CGCTATAATTTCTAGTTAAAGAGAAGTTCTATATAGAAAATTAATATAAAATATTAATCTTTGACTCTAGACTATATAATCGATACGATAATTAATCGCTATACTACTAATAAGATTAGGATTTAAAAGCTTCGAGGATCTATAGAGGTGTCGTAGTCTTAAGTTTAAAGGAGTTAAAAACGGTTGTTAATTATATATAATTATTATTCGCATTATATACCGGAATTTATTAAGACTATAAATAATTATAATATTATTCTATACTTCTTTGTCTTATATATAATACATCTATCGTAGCTATTAGATTCTTTGCTATTTTAGACCTTAAAAAACCTTTTTAAAAGTTATAACAATAAGGTTATTTATTTAACAAGGTAGAAGTATCGAGCGTAAAGTGGCATTTTTTTCGCGAGATCTAATAAATTTATAGCGCTATTACTCTACGAATTATTTAATCTAGGTTTCAAAGATACGATGTCGTACTATTTAATTCCTTTATTGTATCACTCTTAGTAAAGAAAAAAAATTAATTAAAGGGATAACTTAATAATAGTTATCGAAGTAGATAACGATAATCTTCTGTCTTTAATCACTAATTCTACGCTTAAAGAATCCTTCGCTTCGGACTTAAAAAAGTATATAAAAACTTAAAACCGATATTAAATTATAAATAATAAGCTTTATTTACGAATTGAAATAAATAAGCAGCTATTATATCGAAGTAAGTAGCAAACGACCTAGCTTACGGTTCAGTTATAATCGGACAATTTGCCAGTCTTACGCCGCTATAAAGAATTAAATTCTCGAAGAACTAAGCGGTAGATTAAGATAAGGGGTCTTATAGACGCTAGCGATACTAGTAGAATAATTAAAACGAGCGAAACTAAAGATATAGCCGCTAAAAATAGATAATATAAGAGATAGGGTTTACTTACAATTGATAAGGATAGATCACCTACCCTAGCGCCCCGTCTAACTAAGGTAATATTTGATCTAGAGGTAAGTTTATTATAGTAGTATTTATAGTTTTTTTATAATTTAACAGGGGTGGAGAAAAATACAAGAATGTTAACCACGCTAGATAAAAACAACTAGACTATAGCGACCTAACCCTTAATAGGAGGTAGCTCGTGTCCGGACCGGGTATATCTATATTTTATATTTTATGTAAAAAGGTCTAAAATTCTTTCCATATTAAAATAATACAAACATCGCTCCCTCCAGACTGCTTAATTATGACTTAGTATATACTTTGATTCTAAATTTAAGTAGCTTAGAAAATTACTACTATATAGGTAATAAGAGTAAAGACTATCCTAGTAAAAGAAGAATGAATTAATCATTACTCCTAGTAATTCTATCACTACTAATATAAAGAAGGATACGACTCTCTCTATTATTTGGCTATTATATAATAATAGCCTGTTACTACAAATTAAAGATACTATAGATACTAAACTAGTATTAAAAGACTTAAGAAGTATTATTACCTAGTTAGAGGGATTTATTAACTAATCTCTCAATACCTCTTTATATGATTTCTAGTCTATAAAAGGCTTAAAACCCTCATTAATAATCTTTATAATAAAGAAATAATTCTACTAAACTAATCAGTAAAATAATATTAAAAAATCCTAGTTTATTAATAAAAATAATACCTATCGATATAAAGCTAGATAAGTAATAAAGGGTTTTGATTAAAGATTAGTAATCAATTTTTTATAAACTTTCTCTATTATATATAGAGCTAAAATATAATATAAACTATTAATTATAGTAATTAATAAAGGGTAGCTAATTTTATAATATAATATGAAAATTTTATTTATTTATACCGATATAGATGTAGAAATATATAATAATATTAATAAAGACTACTAACCATGAAAGGCGATTGATAGTCCAAAAAATAGCCCTAGATTGTAGTATAAATTCCTATCTCAAGCCCTATATTAATTCTGGTTTGGGGTACTACTATATAATAAGGCGGTCATATAAACGAAGAAATATAGTGTTGTTTGATATATTATGTTAAGGATATTTTAGTTATTTATTCGGATACTATTTATATAAAGGATTTAATAAACAAATTAAGGGCTAATATTAAAACAAAAGAGATAGGCCCAGTCAATATGTCTAGTAACTGAAATTATCGTTAAAAATGAACATCTATCTATGAATTAATTAAATATATATATAAACTTTTGAATAGGTTCAATATCTGTAGTAATGATAAATTTAAGCCTTAAAAAATCCTAGGAGAACCTAGAACTCAATTACAAAAAACAAAAAAATTCATATATATAATTGAAATAGGGCTTAAAATTGAATTTTAAGAAAAAATATAGCCTAGGTGCAACTACAGAATGGGTGGCGGACCCTCCTTCTGAGGGTCTGGTATTCTTTGCCAAAAAAAAGATCATGAATAAGGGTTTTAACCTTGTTTATGTATTCTTTCATAGTATAAGAATCTTATAGGAAGGTGTTAAAAAAAATATTTGAAATGAAAGAATTTAGGTAAAAATCCCTTTGAGTAATAACAATCTTCGACTCTTTTTCAGTACGAATTTAGCATCTATGACATCTTAAGTATTTAGTGATAGCCTGTCATTATATAGCAGTCAAATGATAAAGAGAGCCATATTTTCTTTATACTAGTAGTTATAATATTATCTCTAAGAGTAATTATTAATTCCTCTTTTATTAGAATAGCTTTTACTCTTACTACCTAAATATAGTAATTTTCTAAGCCACGTAAATTTGGAATTTACACTTTTTCAAGAGAGGCCATAATATTATATTTAGAATCAAAGTATATAGAGGTTCGTAATCCAGGGATCGAGTTTAAATTAATTTTATAAAAAGTGCTTATTTTCTTCTATAATAAATAATCTGAAACAAAGTAAAGAATAAGAATAATGGATAAGTGTAACAAAGAAAATAAATCGAACCTGTTTCGGACTCATAATTTATAAGAGGTAACGCATAAAATAGGCAATAGGAAAGAAATAGGAAGGAATAAGAAAGATGAATAAATAGAAAAGATATTAGAATAAAGATAGAGCATAATTTTAGATTTTTCATAAAAGAAGAATTCTAAGAATAACAATCAAAAACATTCAGAACTGAAATTCAAAACTTATTGTAAACGTCGTTTTACCCTTCTTTTATATTAGGATGTATGAATAAATTGTTCGTCATTTCAAAATCCCTTATATACCTTTTAAATTAAATCTTTTTGACGTTAAATAAATAAGCAGAGATTTTTCATTGTATGAATAATGTACTTTTTGAAACATTGACTTAATTAATATACTATATTATAAAATAATGAGAAGATTAGATATTAGCATCAGCTTATGTTAACGAAACGTTCTTTAAAAAAATTAAGATTATATTTTAATGTAACATCTATTTTTGATAATCTCATTGTTGAACAATGTTATTGTATAAAATAATAGGAATGTCTAACTATGATAATCCTTTTATTTGTTTGTCTGCTTGTTTGTTCATTTTTCTGAAAACTATTCTATAATATATAATAAATATGATATGCAGAAACGAGGCTGGCAGAAAAAGATCACGTTCTGCAGAAAATATTGATGCCGGAGGAATCCGAGTCTACACTCTTATATATGGCTATTAAGTGGTAACTCTTCAAAATACACTCTATTTAAAGTCCGAATCTTAATTATATATAACGTAATTAATAAGCGAGTGGGCCACCCAAGCGAGCGGGACACCCTGAAACACTAGTAAATGCCATAATTTGATTCCTTTATATTTCAACCACCAGGAATTATTTTTACTTAAGGATTTAGAATATACGCTTTTCTAAGCATAAGAAATGATATATCTAGATTTTAAGCCATATTAAATATGATTTTATCACTTTACCTTAATATATAAGGTAATTTTAGCATTTAAGACATAAATATGTATATCTCTAGTATGGCTTAAAGTAATGTTTCTATAATACATAACTAGGCTACTTATGCTATCTGAATCATATAATTTTAATCTTATATTTTATAAAGTTCTGCTTATTAAGATATAAAGTTATGTTTTATCGCATTTAGTATGGTGTATTAGGGTGGCCCGCTCGCTTGTTGAATACGTTACCGGCCCTATAGTTAAACCTTAACCGAAACCGTTAAAAAAACTTTGAAAATTGGCAGTTCTATACCAAGAATACTTATGGATATGATCTATATATACTCCACCTTAAATTTTGCGAATAATTAAAAAAAAGTTACTATGCAAATATATGGAGGAAAACAGGGCCTTAAATCGATACATTTTGCTGGTCATCATGGGAGCGGGTAAAGACCTATAAACACCCATGTAACAGTGATGGTAGTAATAATAATGGTAGGTGATAATGGCGTGTACCTAAGGGCAATGAAGTTTAATACAGAAATACATTTTGGCAAAAATCTTTTAATTGTGGCTATATAAAGGTATTGTTTTTTCCTACGTAAACTGTAATTCAAACCTTTATATATATGAAAATGAACATATCAAAATTGATTAATGCCTGGTTTTGCGATGTTAAATAGACATCAATACTACTAAATCGGGTGGAGCGGATGGTTTATTAGCCAAAGATATGTTTGTTTAGGGACGGTGTTCTATTGACACTTCCCTATTTATTATATGTATACGGAGTAGTTCTGCTAAAAAAAAGGTAAGGACTGCTTAGTTGATAATCTGACGCCTAGATATCACATAGGCCAGAGATATAGACAAAATACAGTGAGAACACTCTCGTTAGTGGGCGTCTATCATTATTCTGTAGAATGATTATGTTAGGGCTAAGAAATTAATAATTTATAAAATTCATCTCAAAGCCCCCATTATGAATTATTACAACAAAAGCATATTAAGCAGGACTTCTTCTCGTCACGATACCATAACAACGAATAACTCAATATATTGACCAATACAGACCATGATCCCTCTCCGTATCATACACACATTCTGACATTAAAATCTGACCATCACTGTAACAGGTTGAGAAAGATTGTGATTCTTTCATAGTCTACATCAGCTCCCGGGGGACCTGATTTAGGAACACCTTTAGCCGGACCAGCAATAGCTTCCAAGTCAACCTTAGTCATACCAGGGTACAGCCGTATATCATAAGCAGGGGTATTCACATCGCCAGATGAACTGAGACGTTGCATACCAGTCAACGCAATTACCTTTACTTGTCTCTGGGCAGTACTGGCAGCCAAGCGAGGCCTAAGCGTCAGGAGGTTAAGTGACGGAGGAAGATGAATGGTGATATTCTGTTGTGAGAAAAGTGATGATGGCGGGATGTCTAAGCAGAAGTCTGGTTGCAACGAGAGGGAGGCATGCGCAACAACCCGAAGATTGCGAATCAAAGCCGTGCTCGTGCCTGGCCATAATCAGCCGGAAGAACAGTCAGACTCAGAAGGAAACGAAAAACAAACCTTGACCTGGCCGCCTTAGAAGCGAATCTATAGGCGACAAGCTTGAATTTTGCTGCAAAGACGCGTGAGCTGACAAGAGGTTAGCACAGGCCGTAATTAGATTATAAGGCTCACTGGAACGACCAGACTTATCGGTAAGGGTAACATACGCAAATCATAATGCTGATTTATATCTGCAGGTGTCTCAAAAGGCAGATTTGGAAGAGCTTGCGAAGAGGAGGTTGACATAGGTGCTTCGTTCTTTATTGAACTGGATAGCCCTCGTGAACCTAGGGAAGTGGTTGGTTGTTCCGAGGTGGTGGTGGCAACACTTGACCTAGGGCTGTCGACATGCCTTCTGAGCGACCGCGCTCGTGGGGGTGTACTGACACCTTGAACAGCTGGTTCAGCACTGACAATTTCCCGTCGTGGACCCGATGGTTCATGGTTGATCGTGATATTTGATGACTGCCCATCGTTGTTGGACAGGGTATCAGAGCTCTGCCCAGGCATTTTCAAGGTTAATTTTCCACTTATTGGTGGCACAACTGTGCCCATCTTCAATTTGATGCGAGGCATCTCAGGGGTTCCATCTACCTGCAGGGGATCTGGAACAAGCTTCCTGGCTTCGGCAACTCGTCGCAAAAAATAATCCTGGGTTTCCAAGTTAGCATATTACTGAACCATGAGAGCGAAACGAGAGGGTTGCAAACGCACCTCTAAAACTCCCGCGAGAGCTGAAATCTCGCTGTCATCTTCGTTGTACTCCCTGGCGTTTCTCCAAATATAGCTGACTTCTTCTTCAAATGACTGCCAAGTGGGATAGGCGGTCGTCTTGGATGAATTCTTTCTGCTGTCCGTGCCGCGGACCTTTTTTTGTATACTTCTCAAAGAGACGGGATGTTGAATAAGCTCATAATAATCCCGGTACAAGTTCCGATCTGGTTTCCCAATGAAAGGATAAGCAACATCTTGACCACTGAACTCAGAACATTAGCATCACACACCAGCAGCCTGGCGGGCAACACTGACTCATCGTCTTGAAGCTTGGTCAGCTCCGACATGATCTTGTCCTGGGCGGTTTGTAGACTATCGCCATCAAAGTCTACCTCGGACTCGACTTGCGACCCTGAGGTTTCATCTACCTCTGCCTCCGAATCCACATGTGACGATACATGACTGGGTATCTCGGCATCCAAAAGATTATCTTCCTATGATACACCAAATTAGGTTAGTTACTGAGTCAGATAAGTTTGCAGTTTGCGTATACATCGGGAAATATTGTAGGGAAATCAATATATATAAACGAACAAGGGAGCTAACAACCATAGCTCGGCACACGATAAAATCCCAATTGATGAGAATGTAAGCAAACAGAGACTTACGGAGACCTTTTGACGCTTCGCTCGGGACCTGACATCTGGGGAAGCTGCAACAGCGGATCGTCTTTTAGAGCTCATTGCGAGAGATTATAGAGTCAACTCAACATGAAAATAAGAATTCAAGTTAGGAGATTCAAGTTGTCAAAGAGGATTAAAATAAAAAGATAAGCATGAAACGAGTACATGAAAAGGGGAAGAAGTATAGAAAGCTCTGAGCTGTGTTGAGACGCGTTCTGATGCGGTCATCCCGCGTTAGGTAAAGTTGGTATGTATCCCTTACAAACATTTTCCCCTGTAATTATAGAAAGTCGCTACATCTAGTATGGAAGGATCTGTATTAAACCGTATTAAATTGTATTGAGCTGTAATAGACTGTATTGTTTATAATCAACGTGGACCCCTTCCACGGGGTTAAACGTGGTGACATAATCTACGGAATTGGACACCTCAGGCAGAAAGTGGTTGTTTTCTCCCCCACTATTTTCCCGAGTCCCGCAAAACAGACTGGTTGATTGTGCTCAATTATCGTTTTCTTACCGCGTCACACTTTCTCATCTGTTGACTAACTTTTCATCGTTGTCACTCCGCGCTACCTCACCATTAATATACATCATACGTAACTGAGAGCCCCGCGTCGAATTGATTCAGTTACTATATGCGATAATCGCCTCGACCAGTCGTGAGTTGTTACCTTTTTGAGAGTGCTTCTTTTCATGCTGAACTCTGCGGACTGGATTTGAACAAAGGCACTAACTACACCTATGGGATCTACAGACTGCATCTGTCACTTTCTCTATCCCAATGGACATCGACCCTGTCAGACGCAACAAGAAGCCTCGTCTCCTCTTGGAGACGGAGCGCGAAAAGCTTGATGAATTTGTGGACTCTATCCATTACTCGGCAAGGTGGGGAAATATTGCTTTCAGGATAGATCTCTTTACTGACTCAGAGATATAGATACAATGACGACAAGTTCGAATACCGTCATGTGCAGCTCCCCAAGAACATGCTGAAGAAAATCCCCGCGGAATACTTTGATAGTGCCAAAGGCACTCTGAAATTGCTTTGGGAGGAAGAATGGCGCGCCCTGGGCATTACACAGGTATGTGGGATTTGAGCCCTGGGTATACGTTTGGAGGCTCACATAACTCACGCAGAGCTTGGGATGGGAGCATTATGAGGTGCACGAGCCGGAACCTCACATTCTACTGTTCAAGTTGGTAATTTGAATCATTTTTTTTAACCATCTCACTGACCCTTTTTAGGCGCCCTCTTAATTATCAACCCCCACTGCAGCAATAAATCTCTCATCGAATGGCGTTATCCTTGGAGTTTTGAGCAATTGAGAAGATATCCCTTCGTGGTGATTTATGGCAGGAACATGCATTTGCAGTATTGCTCATCAAGGTCCACAACAGCTTCATGACTGAAGTAATGGAATGAGACAAATTTTCGTTTTCTCCTTTCCTGCCATTGCATTGACACGCTAGACCCAGGCTCTCTCTCTCTCTCTGCCATATCCAATACCAGCCTATGTCTCATCATAGACACCTTGTCCTGGAATGGTCATCAGATCACATTCTTATCCAGCCATTCTTCCCACTGGTCAGTGGTGAAGCTGCTACTGATGCTGCGCTCTTCCGCTCCCTGATTTTGATGTTAGCACCTTGCCATATTACCTTTTGGAGTTCTCTTACATTGAAAAACACAGTGGGAGAGACATGAACTCCCACCACTCGGTCCGTCTAGCCGATGTCAGGAAAGCAAAAGAAGCAAGCGTTGAAAATTTAAGGTGGAAATATGCATACCTTGACCATCCATTTGATATCGTTGGTTACTTTGTTTCCAGCGTTTAGTTGCCCATCCTCGCCGGGTGTTTCGCTAATAGTTAGCAAATCGAGTAACTTCTTCTCATCTATTCCAACGCTGCCGGCAATTATTGCAAGTCGTTCGTATGTCTTGTTGCGGGTTTCATTCACGACACTGATATCAAAGAACTCTGTTTGATGTTTGAACAAAGCTGCACTGAACTCCCAGAATTTCTCGGGGGCAAGCTGAAGAACTGCCGCTCCAGCCTCATGTGTCAGGGTGGAGGATGGATGCCAGGGTTGTATATGCTGCCGAAAGATAACCCGGAGACGCGCACCATACTGTTGCGCAATCATAGTCTTAAGTGAGTAGAATGTATTAAACATTTTGGCTGAGAACTATAGAGTATTAGTCATTACAAATTGTCGAACGTCATGCTCAAGGCAACTAACAGGGCAAACATAATCCAGATCTAGACAGAGTCAGCAAGGTAAGAGGTAAAGTCAAATCCAGATAACCGTACATAATTCAAGCGTATGACTTTTTTGAGATGTAACATCAGAGAGCTGAAGCCCTGCGAAATGGGGAGGGACAGTCATGATTGAAGTATAGTTCAGAGATGACAACGATGACAATAGATGGTGGGGGGAGGTGAGGGGCATATTTATATCATATCTGGAAATAATTCCACGCACGGACTTTTCATAAGATCTATATGTACAACCTTGGAGTAGTGCATACATACAACCATGTATACATGTACATATTTATTATTTTGCTTTAGTTGCGTCGAAAATTACATGTGCCGAGAAGAAACCAGAAAATGTTTCTAATATATGTACAATAAGAATGCAAGCCCGTGTGAGCTCTGGGTCAATTCCCCACCGCTCTCTGTCTTCTCATGTTCAGATCCTTGAGCTCCATCTCCACCGTTCGCCATTCGCGTTTAGCCGGATCAAACTCACCACGGACTTCAAATCTACAAAAGCCATTGGGCCCCTTCAACCCAACTGGACCTGTAATGAAGAAAGCGCCCCGACGAGGTGTCCCCGGATCCTGACCTCGTTCATGGTTGAGTCGTACTTTGAACGCCTGTGATGCCAATTGCAATTCCGACCCTGGGCCAAGGTTAGGCAACGGCAATCGTTGCAATAAAGAAATGAGGGGGAAGGGTGGTAGTTGGAGTTTTCGGTGTTTGGTGGCATGTTTTCCTTGAGTCCATCAGTTGAAGGTGGTTGCAAATTTGATTGCTCTTGTTCGCCAGTCCATTTCCCTCTTTCGTTCCTGGGCGCAGTTGATAATTCGCCGGAGAGTCCTGAGGAATTCGAAGCCCCCCGGTAAGTTTGAGACGTTCCAGTTGCCTTATAAGCAACACTAGATATGCATCCCTGATTGCAAGAATTACATGCATAGGTTTCATGAAAGATTGTAATCTGTCACCCATGTCAGGGTCCATCGGCTTTGTGACCCACGATATACTGCCATCCGCAATCTGCACCCTGCTCGTCGTTAGTCATTAAGAGAAACATCTGAAGTTGACAAGTACAAACCCCGATCGTACGTATCCAGGAGGGGCACGGGTTGGAAATTGATGGACAAGCCAGAATCCTGTCAACGAAAGAGGACTCCCAAGAATTTGGGATATTTGACTGCCAGCACTCTCGAGAACGATAGTGGCAAGTTCGTCTAAGTATGTAAGCTCATTGTGCCAGCCCGAGAACAAGAGTTATTGCTCACCTCTGAGTGCTTGAAGTTTTTCTTTGTCCTTGGACAACTTGACGAAAGCCTGCCATTCCGGATCCGTTGTAGCGTACAGTTCGCCCTTTTGCAACCGAGACCAGGAAAGTGGTATGAATATCGCATCCTTGTCCTTTTTCCCAGTAGTTACAGTGTTTTCCCGAGGGTCATGCGAAGCAGTTTCCCCAGGGTTGGTTACAGCTGGTGTATTTTGATCGTCGGTATCATCGTCGAATCGTACCAGCACGAACGTGCTCCACAAGTGAAATGCGGTGCCGTAGAGAAAACATTTGGAGATGAAAGACCTGAGCATTTGAGAGTCAGTCTCAAATCATATACCCAGACTTCATGCCTTTAATACTGACCTGACCCAAGGCCGCCTGAACCTTACATGCCGCACATTCGGAGAGAAATTGGCACCGGTATGTGTAGGCCGGAAGAGAGACGGACGTGCTTGAGGACTTCGAAGCAGATATTTGAGCCGGAGCATTGGGAAAAGCCAATCCCTGGAAGGATTATCTCTAGCGAATCATTTCAATCGAAGAAGACAAAAGGGACGATATCCTATGCGCGATATGTGTTGAAGGTGAAGTTTCCACGAGCTCAGCCTCGGGTTGATGGATTATGTAACATCTGCCACTCCGGAGGCGTGGACATCTAGGCTGAGGTTAGAAACATGTAAGTAACCATATGTATAGTAATTAACAATATTTATAAATAAACTACTATTGATTGTTATAATTTCAATACTACTGAGTAACTGTAAAATTCATATTGAGATACGAAACTACCAAATTGTAATATATTTGTACAGCACTACTTGAAGACCACGTGATATCTTATCGGAGACTCATCTCTTTAGCTCCTGGGCATTCTGTCCTCCGTTGTCTACTTGACTATTCTTATACAACCGACATTCTCAATCAATAGAGAGGCGATACTGGATGTGATCACTCCCATATCTGCTGCAATAGTCTCGTCTTGCCCCCGGCACTCCCGATTCCAATCCACAATATGCACTGGGTGTCCACCTTTCTTGCCCTGGCCCTGACAGGTGCATTGCAAGTAGAAGCCTCAGATGCTACGATTTTGACCTTCTCTCCCGGGACAGAAGATTCCCTGAGTATCCGACCTAAGCAACAAACACTATCCGAGGATGAGGCTCGACTTGTCTTGGAGCTTCGCATGCAGTCGTCTGTCGCATCAGTTCTTGGAATGGTAGATGCAGACACAGTGGATCATTTAAATCAGTTTGCTGAAGCTGGTTCTACCCTCTTTGGGGGATCCAGTGGGGCGCAAACTCCCGGGAAAAGCGTCCTTATTTTAGAAGGGGTAGATCAACAAAATAGTAGGTGGAACCTGACATCAGCCTGGAAAACATTGGCTGACTTTCGATGTTCGTGCAGCTCTTATATTGCAAAAAAGCCAACCAAGCCATATTATTGTCCCTCGAGTCTCCTCGCAATTCGTCGGCGCAGATCTTCTTGGATCATTTACTGAAGGCGAGGACATTGGACAGTACTGTGAATACCATGCCAACGCTGAACAGAGTGCTCGGGGATGTCTATTCCAGGACCCCATGCTTGCCGGTCAGTCAGGTCTGTTTGACCGTGCTTCCCTTGCCACAATCGATTCAGTGGAGGATTGGACGAGCAAGGACCGCAAGGACTCAATTTTGAAGTTGTCCTTCAAGGTAAATAGACTCCCATGCCCAATCAGAGAACGAGTGCTGACCCAGTGACCTGGATTGCAGGACTCGGGCGATTCTCTCGAGTGGCTAGAATCATTGCTTCTCCGCCTGGCCGAATCGTCATCAACCAGCAAGCGTGAAATTACGACCGTGATTCTACCCCAGAGCTCTCAATCCACAACACTTGGCCCCCGAGGCGCAAAACGCTCCTCATCCGTCGGCCGACAGAATGTCTTCGGACGGTCTGCGCAAGATTCGTCACTCCACTCGACCTTGGCGCCTATCTGCCACGCATCGAACTCCTCATGTGCTGAAACAACAAACCACTGTTCTGGGCATGGTTCATGCTATCTCAAGTACGGAACGGGCTTGGAGGGAACCACGGGAAATTGCTATGCATGCAAATGCCAACAAAGCGTCATCAAAAACAGCGATGGCACCACTAAAACAGTTCAGTGGGGTGGCGCGGCTTGCCAGAAAAGAGATATTAGCTCCCCCTTCTTCCTTGTTGCGGGTGTCAGTCTTCTTGCCATCTTGCTGGTTGGCAGTGCCATTGGAATGCTTTTCAGTATGGGCTCACAGGAACTACCCAGTGTTATCAGTGCTGGTGTAGGGGGTCCCAAGAACCAGATGTGAGAGCATTGGAACGTGAGGAGGTATTTGTTCGTGGAGTTTCTTTCCCCCCCTTCTCTTCTAGGGCGGCTTTATGTTCTTTACTCTATCTCGCAGTTTAGAAGCAAGTTTTGTTGTCTCAGCTTAATATGGACCCGAACTATGTGTATATGTACCATGATACAAATTCTTTGACGAATATATTGCTCAGCATGTACAAGACAGTATGTATTCGTTGCCAGGCATGATAGACTAGACCAATGCAAAACCCATCCGACCTAATAATGGACAAGAACCTGAAGAGATATGTGGGTTGTGTAGATTTGGTGAGCCAATGCGGGCAATAGAAGATCAAATCATGATGCTCCGTCAAAGGAAGAAAAAAGAAAGAGATCATCGCAATCCATGTACGCCCCGTTCCGAGTAGGTAAGAGATGAATCAAAAAATTACACGTAAAAGAGTCATTAACAAGGAAAAAGTGTTTCCAGCCAACATTCCAGATGTGGTTTCAGAGCAAAAGGATTTCGTAGATTAGGTGAATCGTGAGGCAAGGGCGGAAAGAAAGAGGCAATTGAACACTGATCATGATGTTCCGGCTTCCACCTGACGAGGTGTACGTTGTGCCGAGGGCACAGGATCCAGAGAGGAACGTCCATCTTCAGGCAACGGACGAGACCCTCTCGGCGAGGAAGGGAAAGGCCGACGGAGTCCAGTTGGGATCAATCGTGACCATCTAGATCGATCCTGGCGGTCTGGAGAACGGTCTGGACCCCAAGGCTCATCGCGCCGGCGCAGATGCTGGTCTTGGGTTGGAGAGATATCTCCGTCTTCAGGTTCTTCGGGGTTCCTTGACTGGAACATTCGACCAGACATAAACCTCTGTACCCGGAATGCATTACTCCGACTTCCATGATGAGCGGCCCGTGAAGGTCTCAGAATTGCATCCACAGGATTTGCGGCAGTACGATAGCCTTGGCGATCGGCAGACTGTGCTTCGGTTTGCGCACGGGGTTTAGGGACATAGTAATCGGCTTTGCATAGAGGGCAGCACGCCCTTCTGCTGGTTAGCCAGGGGTCTACACAGGAAGCATGGAAAGCATGCCCGCATGTAAGTCCCCGAATGTCATCATCATCCTCGATGGTATCAAGGCAAATGGCGCAAGAATCTCCAGGGTTGGGCAGGAGGTCAGCAGGAACGGCGTGACGAATATGGTCACCATCGTCATCTCCTTCAAGATCGAACTGTATGCTCTCATTTATCAAAGAATGTTGGCATTTTTCTCCCCGGATACTTGTATCAGTGTTGTCCTGATTCGAAGGCGTTCCTTGCTCTGAACATACGTCTTGGTCCGGTAAGTCCAAGTGTGACCTATGAGGTGATATTGGCGATGTAGTGGAATTCATCAGTCCGTGATCCTTGGCAAATGGCGATACTGCAGCTGTGGAAACATCGACCACTGTTGTTACGATATCACTCTCATCCTTCAGACTCTGTGGCCTGCTATTCGGTGCAGTAATACCCCCCTCCGTTGAAAGACCTTGATTGGCGCGAGATGATCTCCAAACTTTGTATTTGACAAGTGGAAATCGCCCGTTGACTTCGTCCATTGTCATCAGCTTTTTCTCTCTCCTCCTCCGGTGAGTCCGCGGCATGATCGTCAAATCTATTGGCTCTCCTGCTTCCTCATTTCGAAGATGGCGGTTTCGTTGATTGTACCGGAAACAGTACTTGACTCCAACGATGATCCTGGCATATCGTTAGATCAGATCTTTACAAGCCGCTTAAAAGTTCCCATGAGGCAGAATCAACGGACATACCAAAGGTTGGTAAATACCACACCAAACCCAAGAGCGACGAAGAACAATAAAGGTGAGCTGGTGGCACTGTTTGAATTCGTATTTTCCCCGCCACTCCCAGCAGTGGTTGTGGCAGCACTGCTCGAGGCTGAAGTCGCTGTTGGGGACATTTCCAACTAGAATGTGGATAGGAGTCACCGAGGACCAAGGGTTCTCACTCGTTTATTGAAGTCTGAGTTGCATGCGAATCCAATACTTCATGCCTCGGATTGTATGTACAGGGAGACCCTGTATGTAAGTCTCAGGCTCCAGCAGATTGAGCGGCAATGTGAAGGTGAGTCGAACGATCCGAGGGCCCATGCGACCGAGTTGAGACCTAAAACCCAGTAAGAGTCATGGAAGACTGTAAGCAGAGGCTTCTGAGCAGAAGGCAAATAGTGAGAGTTGATCTCATATCAGTGAGAAGAAAGAGGAGAAAAGAAAGCGAAGAAGAAGAAGAAGAAGAAGAAGAAGAAGAAGAAGAAGAAGAAGAAAAGTACTAGCGGAAAGTGGATCAGATCATGGAAGAGCTGGTCTCGATTTAAGGATATGCATGCGGACCACATTTGACACCTCAGGTCACGGGAGTCACGGGACACATTTTATGTATTCAGTACTTCACCTTTTGAGTGATACAGAACCAATTGCGATGTATCAGATACTATTTTTTTTATTGTCTCATATAGAATTATCCCTTTGAATTCCAGCCACATTGTGTATATTTGACAATATTCCTCCAAGTACGGAGTAAATAAGTGTAAAATAAAGCAAAACGCAAAACGCAAAACGCAAAAAGCAAAAAAGAGAAATGACCCCTTTGAAAAGCCAACCCCCTTACAATCAAATCAGTGAGGGATACTATCGTTAGAACTGAGACATGTTAACGGCTTACAATGTGTACAGCTGTGTGCATGTAAGCTTACTTACCGAGCAGGTACTTGAATTTATCACAAAAAAATCCAACTTTGTACATTATAGACCGAAGTAATTCTATTCGATCAATGTATCAATATCAATATCAATATAACTACAACTACAACTATCATCCTATCATCAGTTTCATAGATCAATTCCACAACTTTTCTTGTGGGCGGTCAAAAGGCGGACGGATATGTGAATAGTTACTCTAATAATCGTACCTCATACTTCACCTCCACTCACTCTAACCATGGCTGAATCAAATCCTGTTGTCTTTTTCGATATCGCCCTTGGAGGTAAGTACTGATAAACAACATTTGAGGGGGCTTCATAATTAATTACTATAGGCGAATCGCTGGGCCGGGTGAAAATGGAGCTGTTCGCCAATATCACCCCACGAACAGCTGAGAATTTCCGCCAGTTTTGCACCGGGGAGACCAAGAACTCCAAGGGACAGCCTCAAGGCTATAAGGGAAGCAAGTTCCACCGAGTGGTATGTGTTGAAGCTTCCTGGTCATTGACGTCGAACTAACACATGCGCAGATCAAAGATTTCATGATTCAGGGCGGAGATTTCATCAATGGTGATGGAACTGGATCTTGTACCATCTATGGCACTTCCAAGTTTGCAGATGAAAACTTCACTTTGACACATGACCGTCCCGGTCTGTTGAGCATGGCGGTAAGTCTCTTTTGAAGATTGAAAGTGAAAGCCTTTTTTATTGGTAATTGATTTAACTGAGACGAACAGAACTCGGGCCCCAATACTAATGGTTGTCAATTTTTTATCACGACCACGGCAACACCATTCTTGAATAACAAGCATGTGGTCTTTGGTCAAGTGATTGATGGTATGGATATTGTCAAGATGCTGGAACATACTCGTACTACCAAAGACAAGCCCAACCAAGATGTCACAATTGTTCAGTGCGGGCAGATGTCTTGATTGGGTCTACAATCTTGTATTTAGGCAGAGCTCCCTGATGTATAGGGAGATATTGCTCAAAGTCTTTCAAATAATACCATATCAATTTCTTCTTTGAATACTTCCGGGCTTTTTGTCTTTTTCGTTATTCCTAGATCACACAAATTTGATATCTCATGTAGGGTTATTTTGAATGTAAAAAAAAATGGAAAAAAGAAAAAAATAGAACAATGAAACCGTAGAACTAGAGCTTGAACTTGCTCAAATAGTCCGTAGCCAACGTGATGGCCTCCTCAACCTTGTCGGCATTAGTACCGTTTCCAATGGAGGTAAGTCCCTTTCCTCCTGCCTTTCCACCCACGGCACCAGAGACGACAGCTGCCCAGTCACTGGCCGAAGCACCTTGGTCACTCAGTCCCTGTTGAAGTCAGTATATGTTGTTGTTGTATGGAAACCAAATGCTAGTTTATTTCAGTCTACTCACCTGAGCGATGTAACAACCGTGTGAAACGCGACCCTGCTCAGCGTCCGCTGCCAAAAGATAGACACTCTTCCCTTGCAATTTTGACTTGACATGGTTAAGGGACTCACTGACAGCCTTGGAGTTAGCTGAAATGGGGAGTTGCACCACAAGCCACGACTTGTCCTTGTTCTCCGGTGACTCGAAGTAGGAAGTGACGGCATCAACGGCCTTCTTGGATTCGAGCTTCTGTTGAGCCTTTTGGCCATCAAGAACCTGCTTGTTGATCTTGGCAAAACGTTCGCGGAACCTGGCTTTTTCGACAGCGGAGATCGCCAGCTGGTTGAGATCCACCTGGACCTGCTTGGCCTCGTGTTCCTTCTCGGGGCCCAAAGGCAATTTGTTCAAGCTATCAAGACGCTGGCTAAATTCACGAGCGACTCGCTGCACCTCATGGGCTTCTTCCCCAGTCACGGCAATGATTCGGCGGATGCCCTTGGCGATACCGTTCTCCTCCAGGATGATCAAATCCTTGATATCGCCGGTCTTCTGAACGTGGGTTCCACCGCAGAACTCAATGCTGACTTCTTGCCAGCGGGGATCCTTGACATTCTGCAAAATCTCGTCCAGTTCCACACCAACGGAGACAACGCGAACGGGGTCGGGATAGGTCTCGCCGAAAACGGCTCTGACACCAGAAATCTGCTGAGCCGTCGCAAGAGGAACTTCCTGGGAGTATACCGCGCAGTTCTGGCGGATATATTCGGTGGCCTTGGCTTCGATCTTCTCGAGCTCGGCATCGGAGATTGCGCTCTTGTGTGAGAAATCAAAGCGAAGCTTTTCGGCAGCCACCAGGGAGCCCTTTTGGTCCACTCCATCACCTAGGATTGCCTTAAGGGCGAAGTTCAGAATGTGGGTTCCGGTGTGGTTGTTCCGAATAGGCCAGCGTCGGAGCTCATCGTATTCACAAATGACGGAATTACCGACTGCGAATGATCCATACTTCATGAAACCGGTGTGCAGAACGTATCCAGCATAGGCCTGGACGTCGCGAACCTCAAGCTCCGCTTGTCCATCGATGATGATTTTACCGGTGTCGTTTTCTTGGCCACCCTGTTCTGCGTAGAAGTTGGTGCAATCGAGAATGACACCGATCTGTGCTCCCTCGGGGATGCTGTCGGTGTTGTCGTAGAATTGTTTGCCATGGTAGATGGCCTTGACATGAGAAGTGATGTTGCCCCGGCCAAACTTGGCAGAGTCATCGGTCTTGGAAACGGAGGTCATCTCCTCGAGCTTTCCTAGGTCGTGGACATCGAGTTTGACAGTGGTTTCAGCGGCCTTCTTTTGACCCTTACTGGCTTCCTTTGCCTTGAGGCGGGCTTCTTCGAACTCAACATCGTCGATGCGGAGGTTGCGCTCCTCGGCCATGATTCGGGTCAGATCGACGGGGAATCCGAAAGTATCGTAGAGTCTCCAGACATCAGCTCCGTGGAGCTTATCGGTGCCCTTAACCTTAGCCTGTTGGGCGTACTGCTCGAACTGTCGCTCACCTCTATCCAAAGTCTTGGCGAATGACAGCTCTTCCTCGTCTAGGATCTCGATGACATCTTGCTGCTTGCGCTTGAGCTCAGGGAACATTTCACCTAATTGGTCCACAACGGTGGGCACGAGTTTGGCGAAGAAGTTTCCGATATCAACCTGGAAATACTTGCGGGCATACCGGGCTCCGCGACGTAGCACACGACGAATGACGTACCCACGGCCCTCGTTATTGGGGACGACACCGTCTGAGATAGCGAACATCAGAGTACGCACGTGATCTGCAACAACACGGTAGGCTGTGTCAATTCCATCGACATCATCGGCACCAAAGTGGCCGCGGTATTCCCGAGCACCGGTGGTATCCTGGATAGCCTGGAAGATTGGCGTAAAGACGTCGGTGTCGTAATTGGAAGATTTGTCTTGGAGAATGGAGACCAATCTTTCAAAACCTAATCCGGTATCAACGTGTTTGTTGGGGAGAGATCGCAGGGAGCCATCTGCCTCGCGGTTATATTGAATGAACACGTTGTTCCAGATTTCCAACACATTGGGGTCGTCCTCGTTGACAAGATGAGCAGCGTTACGTCCACCGATCCGGTCGTAGTGCACTTCACTGCAAGGGCCACAGGGGCCTTGGTCACCCATTTCCCAGAAGTTGTCCTTCATGTCTCCAGGAAGAATGTGATCTTCGGGAACACCCACGGATTTCCACAGTTCCTTGGCCTCCAGATCCGGCTCCAAACCGCCGGTCTCACTTCCCTCAAAGTAAGTGACATAGAGCCGGTCAGGGTCAAGGCCGTAAACCTCTGTCAAAAGGTTCCACGAGTATGTGATAGCTTCCTTTTTGAAGTAATCGCCAAAACTCCAGTTGCCGAGCATTTCAAAGAAAGTCTAGCCAGAGCTGTCAGCAAATGTTCCCCTCTAATATACATTGTATTATGTTTTTGCTTTTTGGAATTCTCACGTGGTGGTAGCTGTCCTTGCCCACATCATCCAGATCCTGTATCCATCGAGTCAGTTACCCAAAGCCCCTCCAGGTTTGAATCAAAAACACCCACGTTATGTTTTCCACCGGCACGTAGACACTAAAGGTATGGCATTAGTATGCGCTCAAACTTAGTTGTGGGGCACGGTCCGAATACTTTTTGCGAGTTCGTCGCACGCTTCAACTTTCCAAAGTCCGATGTGCGGTCAACAGTGCCGAGGAAAATCGACTTAAACTGGTTCATTCCTGCATTGGTGAAAAGGAGAGTCGGATCCGACAAGGGGGCGACCGGGGAAGAAGGTACTATGTGAAGACCAGTGTTAGTTTCATGGCGGGGGAAATTTTTGGAGGGGTTTCAAAAAAAGAGAGAGAGGCGCAACTCACCGAAGGTATGGCCATTTTTCTTGAAATAATCCAAAAATGTCTCGCGAACTCGCGGAGCGGTCCAGTCTGAACTGTTAGATGCCATCCTAAAGGTGAAAGGGTTGGGTGACAAGGAGTGAACAAAGCGAGGATAGAATGTTCTGGGGGAAAAGATATGAGTCAAGGCCCCGTTCCTCACAAGAACCCGCATTGAGCGAACCCCTCAGAGAAATGAACTTGACCCCCGAATCCTTGAACTCTTCCAGTTCAATTGTTTCTCCTTCTCTATCTCAAATTGTTGGATGGCGCGCGATGAAGAAATTCAATACGGGAAGAAACGCCCGGCACAAGCTGACCCCGACGCGCAACCGTTAGCAAAGAGATTCGGACGCCTACGAATAGGTATTATCCCCAGTCTTATTTCCCTAGTCTGTGCCAATCTTCTTGTCTTTTTTTCTCTCTTTCTTTCTTTCTTTCTCTTTTCGTTTGATTTGATACAGGCAAACGTTAACATATTCTTCTTCTCTTCTTTCTTTTAGATAATAGCTTGCCAATCTCCGCTCGGACCAAAATCAAGGGGTATCAACCTCCGGAGCCAACTGATACTGACACGATGCTGTTGGATGATACCAAACATACAACCTACATTCACAATCTGGAACAAGAATTGGCAGAAATCGAATCTCCTGGTCTTGTCTTTTTACCCTTTGCAGAAAAAGTGCTATCGGTTCCTCAATCAGTTCTATCCGACTCCAAACCTTCGGGTAAAGAATTGATTCTCTATACAGAACCATCTTCTCTTACGGTTCCTCAGGACAAGGACAGTGTACGCAAGGCGATTATTGAATCGAGAGAGAGAGAGAGAGCCCGAGCTAGAGGTGGGAATAAGGAGGGTTCAACTTCCAGTTCTACTTGTACTAAGAGGAGTGAGAGGATAGAAGACGAGGAAGATCCGATGGATATAGATGGGTGATGTGATCAATAATATAATAAGTAATGTGTTTTGTCTCTATTTCTTGTCCCTGACATGTTTATATATCATTAATGTTAGTATCTACTGTACTGATTAGCCATAGCTATAGTAGTCTAGTTATAGTTATACTAGTTATGTGTGATGTGAACGTAGAATCACATGACTCACCGCCTCCGAATTTTTTTCTGTGGCACCGATTAAATATGCACTTCAAACGATAAAAAATTTCCTCTTTCCCCCACCATCCCTCTAAATCCCTCCCTTCAATTCTCATACAAAATATCATAATGGCCGATATTGAGGTCTTCGACGGTGCCGTCGGTATCGATCTGGGTATGTCTTTTGATCCTCAATTTTCAAAACGCACAACTAATTGGGTTTTTCTCTAGGTACTACCTACTCTTGCGTTGCCAACTACGAGGGCACCAATGTCGAGATCAGTACGTTTTTCTTCCCTCAAAAATTTGAGATTCTTCTCAAATACTGACTCTTGAAACTAGTTGCCAACGACCAGGGTGCTTACACCACTCCCTCCTTCGTCTCTTTCACCGACAAGGAGCGTCTGATTGGTGATGCCGCCAAGAACCAGGCTGCTATGAACCCTGCCAACACCATCTTCGATATCAAGTGAGTACTCGGAAAAAAAAATCCTTTGCGACTATCAATTCGATACAGTTCGCATTCTCCACAATTTTTCTTTTCACATATATACGGGTATTGTTGGGCAATGTTCACTAATTCGATATCAGGCGTCTCATTGGTCGCCGTTTCGATGACCCCATCGTCAAGAAGGATGTTGAGTCCTGGCCCTTCAAGGTCATCGACCAGGGTGGCAACCCCGTTGTCCAGGTCGAGTACCTCAACGAGACCAAGACCTTCACTCCCCAGGAGATCTCCTCCATGGTCCTCATGAAGGTAAGATTATCTTACCGATCAAAGACTCTATTCTAGACTGGCTGGCTAATTCCCCGAACAGATGAAGGAAGTTGCCGAGATCAAGCTCGGCAAGAAGGTTGAGAAGGCCGTTATCACCGTGCCCGCTTACTTCAACGACAACCAGCGCCAGGCTACCAAGGATGCCGGTGCCATTGCTGGTCTTAACGTTCTCCGTATCATCAACGAGCCTACCGCTGCCGCTATCGCCTACGGTCTCGGTGCCGGAAAGTCCGAGAAGGAGCGCAACGTTCTCATCTACGATCTCGGTGGTGGTACCTTCGATGTTTCCCTGCTGAACATCCAGGGTGGTGTCTTCACTGTCAAGGCCACCGCTGGTGACACTCACCTTGGTGGTCAGGACTTCGACACCAACCTCCTTGAGCACTTCAAGAAGGAGTTCCAGCGCAAGACCGGCAAGGATCTCTCCGGTGATGCCCGTGCCCTCCGTCGTCTCCGCACTGCTTGCGAGCGTGCCAAGCGTACCCTTTCCAACGCTACTCAGACCACCGTTGAGATTGACTCTCTCTTCGACGGTGAGGACCTCAACTCCTCCATCACCCGTGCCCGTTTCGAGGACCTTAACGCCAAGGCCTTCAACGGTACCCTCGACCCCGTCCAGCAGGTCCTCAAGGACTCTGGCATGCCTAAGAACAAGGTTGACGAGATTGTCCTTGTCGGTGGTTCCACCCGTATTCCCCGTATCCAGAAGCTCCTGAGCGACTTCTTCGACGGCAAGAAGCTCGAGAAGGTAAGATTTTTTTCCCTCTCCCAAATCTCCTTGATTCAAGGGTTCTATATTAACATATCATTATAGAGCATCAACCCCGATGAGGCTGTTGCCTACGGTGCCGCCGTTCAAGCCGGTATCCTCTCCGGCAAGGCTACCTCCGCCGAGACCGCTGATCTCCTCCTCCTCGATGTTGTTCCCCTCTCCCTTGGTGTCGCCATGGAGGGTAACATCTTCGCCCCCGTTGTCAACCGTGGCCAGACCGTCCCCACCATCAAGAAGCGCACTTTCACCACCGTTGTCGACAACCAGCAGACCGTTCAGTTCCCCGTCTACCAGGGTGAGCGTACCAACTGTGCCGACAACACCTCCCTGGGCGAGTTCACTCTTGCTCCCCTCCCCCCATGCGCGCCGGTGAGGCCGCTCTCGAGTGTGTCTTCGAGGTTGACGTCAACGGTATCCTGAAGGTTACCGCCACTGAGAAGTCCTCCGGCCGCACTGCCAACATCACCATCTCCAACGCCGTCGGCAAGCTCTCCAGCGCCGAGATCGACCAGATGGTTTCCGATGCTGACAAGTTCAAGACCTCCGACGAGGCCTTCACCAAGCGCTTCGAGTCTCGCCAGCAGCTCGAGTCTTACATCTCCCGTGTTGAGGAGATTGTCTCCGACCCCAGCATGTCCATGAAGCTCAAGCGTGGCAACAAGGAGCGCATTGAGTCCGCTCTCAGCGACGCCATGGCTCAGCTCGAGGTTGAGGACTCCTCCCCCGAGGACCTCAAGAAGAAGGAGCTTGCTCTTAAGCGTCTGATCACCAAGGCCATGGCCACACGGTAAATGCATACATTGGACGACATGAACATAGACTTACGGCCAACGAATTTTTCTCTTTCCCGGGACTCTTTCTCAGGGAATCTGCACCTAGACCCTTGGGCAGAGTTGGTCTCTGTCGCGCTTTGTTTATGAAGCCGGGCTTGGGCGCAGTTTTTGCTTGAAAAGTACGATTTGTTTTGTTTTTTGTAGACGAAGTTCGCCATCTGCAATTTAATGACATTGTGATGACCTTGTCCCTATTATAATTTTTCATTGATAGAGTGTAGTATCATGATAAGATTTCCAGTAGAGAATTGAGTCCATGTAGTTTGTAGATGAAAATCCATTTTGTTCCCAAGGCGGAGGAGAGTCGGGGAGTACTATGATCTCTAAAGTCAACCTCACTCTACTATCTCTCAAAACTTATTACCTGAAAAAACAACTTCCACCATGCAACGTTTTATAACCCAATCGATACGTTCAGTTTTCCCTCGCGTTCCAATCGCATACCCTCAAAGACTTAAGTTTGCAAGTCCTCTATCCAGAGCTCAGCATGTGGTACCTCTGAGCAGGCGCAATTTTGCCAATTCACCTACACTATACAAGAAGAAGGATAAGGCCAAGAAAAGCCCAGCTCCTGAGCCAGAAGAGAGTGCCAGCATTCCCACCGAAGACCCGTTTGACCTTTCCAAACTACATGATGGTATTTCCGCCGCGGTTACTCGGTTAAAGGACGATCTATCCAAGCTCCGTGCAGGCGGACGGTTTAACACCACACTCTTGGAGGGTTTGAAAGTCCAACTGAGTAAAGAAAGCAAAGATTCTGTCAAACTAGGAGATTTGGCACAGGTCGTTCCCAAAGGAGGGCGAATGGTCACTCTTTTGGCAGCCGAAGAGGATGTAAGTTGATGATGCGCCAAAAAAAAGCTTTCAGGTTGCATGAGCTCAATTGCTCCACCGCCAAACATAGCTCATACATTTGCGCAGCACTTGAAACCTCTCACTTCGGCCATCGTCTCTTCGAACCTCTCTTTGACCCCGCAACCTGATCCTCACAACCCACTCCAGCTTAACATTCCCATCCCACCACCCACAAAAGAGTCTCGGGACAAGAATGTCCAGGCAGCGAAGCAAGCGTTTGAAAAGGCCTCTAGTGTAGTACGCGACTCCAGGGGTGCCATGCACAAACGTCTCCAAGATATGCAGAAGAAGAAACTGGCTCGACCGGATGACGTGCGCAAAGCTCATGATCAGATGGAAAAGGTCACAGAACAGGGCCAAAAGGAGGTCAAGGATGCGTTTGACGCAGCGAAAAAGACCCTGGAACAGGCTTGAAGACTACAACTGGCAAACTATTCTGGCCTTTGGCAATGGTGTTTGTAAAATAACTGGCGAATCCATACATCTAGATACAGGAGATCGAGGAGGCATTTGGGATGAAACAACAAAAAATGAACCCAATGGACAAAACTATATAATACAAATCACTTCTCAAACTCGCATATCATTAAGCCCTTTTGGGGCGACCAGCAGAGACAAGAGACTCAAGCTTAGCCATGAACTGAGAATTTTTTCCGGGTGTCTGATAAGTCCCGTTGTTTCGGAGGTTCTTTGTGACCTCGCCGAGTACGGCATGGCCACCCTTCGCAGCTTCAGCAGTAGGATACTTTCCCTGGACGTAAGTCTCAATAAGAGACTTGGTGTTCTCGGCGTTGAGGGGGCTGAACTCAACAATGCGAGGTTCCACAAGTTCACCCTTGCGCTGTGAGATCCGATCAGCACGAAGTTGAGCCAAGCGCTTAGTCTCCTCCAATGCCTCGGCCTTCTCAGCCTCGCTATTGAAAAGCACATTCTGGCCCTTCCACAGTCGTCTTCCAAGCTCGTGAGGCGGAACATAGCCATCGGCGATACGGCCTCCCAGACTGGAGAGTTTCTCGTAGATGGCTGCTGAGTTGCCATTCACATCTGTGGGGAGTGAAGGCCAAGTCGCTTTCAGTGTAGAGTGGTTAATTTCCTGGGGCTCATAGCGAAGGGGGGTTGGGCGGGATTTGACGACCTGCTCTTCCAGGATTTTGTCGATGAGCGCCGCCTGGTTGTCGTCTGCGCTATCATTCTCAGAGTATCTGGGCTTGCGGGTGGGCTTGCGATCGGCCTTGGCTCCTTTGGCTCCTTTGACGAATGGCTTGCCAGGTTTGCGGTTTGGAGCTTGGTTGCCGCCTCGAAAGTTGAGGGATCTCGGGCTGCGGATGATTTTGGGTTGCTCGCCGCCGCCGGCCTTTGATGCAGCAAAAGCTCTGGCGTCAATCACTCGGGGAGGGCGGGATTGGTTCTGGTTCTGGTAGGAGCGAGGGGGGCCATTGGGATTGTGAGGACGGCGGTTAGGTGTTGCCGGTTGAGAACGAGGAATGTGTTGGCGGTTGGCTAATGCCCGGTATTAGTATCAATGTGCGGGATATCCGGCAATTTGGAAACAAATTGTTATTTAAGTTCCCAACGCCTGTTTTGCGCAGGTGTACCTACCGGCTGGCTGCTTCTGATCTTCTGCCACTGTACGGGTAGAGGAGAACTGGCGAGCAGGCGGAGAAATGCCAAACTTAGCACGTTCGCATCGTAGCGTGATATGTCTCAGCTGTGGCCGAAACATATTGTATTCTGATTGAACCAGGTCGTATCACCCTGGGCCGTGTATGGGAGTCTTCCAAACTACGGACGCCGACGCGGAAAGATTGAAGAGATATGTTGGATCACGTGATATACCGCTTTCCACCTCAAGCAAACATCTATACATCACTCAGCTCCTCTGACAATCCAGTGACTCAAATCTACATTGCTAAGATGCTCCGTCGAAAGCCAACGGCAATTGCCATCACTTCTGAGGATCTTGCTGCTTTTGAAGAGGCCAGGCTACGCAAGCTATCCGAAGAAAACAAGCATGCAGAACAACACTCCAAAGGAACCTCAAGTGTCAACTTTGACCCCAGCGATGAATTGAAACCACTTCCAGGTGACAAAGCTAGGATTGTGCGGTCTCGTGAGGAACGGATAGGCATCAATCGACGTGCTTGAAGGGCTATCCTGCGACATCAAATCCTCTCAAAATGTCATGTTGTTGGATGGGCGATTTGTTCCACCCCACGCCGCAACGAGATACATGACCCGATCGTGATACATCATCCGAAGCATCTGATTATGATATTCAAATTTGAGATCTGAAATCTCCACCAAGAGGACATACCCAGGATAGAATCCTGAGCGTTGAAGCTTCGACCAATGAATGCTGCATACCAGCCATTTCCTGATATCTATCCACCCGACAGCAAGTCAGAGTGTACCCTTCTCAGTTTGCAATGCACATAGAACCATTCTGAAGGCCATATTCTGCTTCGCAATATCAGTTCATGTGGAATCTCTGTGACTTGTGCTATAGACATGCTCCGCAATACGAATAATAATTTGTCCGCTTTGAAGCGACTGTCTATTCTCTCCAAAATTGTAGATTTATACTACCGAGGAGATCAATATGCTAAAGAAAATCATGCGGTATACAGCAAGATCCAAGACATTCAACCATATTATCAGCATTGTCTTGATTCGGCCTCTTTTTGCAAACTTTCCCACGGCGATGCTATGATTTTTTCGCTCCTGATATGTAAGAGAATGAAATACAACTCAGGGAAGAAAAGGAAATTGGGGAATATAGAGTAAAAAAGCAATGGAAGTCGAGAAGGTAACATGGAGCAGCCAACAGGGAGAATCAGGCGAGTCAGCGGGTGCAAATCAAGGCATTGGATGAGGGTTATGTCGATTTATCCTCGCTGGCGCTTGGACATGCCGTCCGAGCCCATGTCAACTGAATAATTCCACCGTCTTTTCGACCCCTGTGGGTCATATACACTAGCAACACTTTGTTGCCAATCTCGCGCGGAAAATACAACAGGGGGCGCCTGGAACTGCGGTGGGGATAGGGATTGGGTTGAGGTGACGGAGGGGACCTTGTTAGGTGTTTCGTACTGAATGGGATATTGAGAGTTCATGACATTTTGTACACCTGGGACGGAAGTGTTCATAGGCATCGGGGGAGAATTCGTGCTAACGGTTGAAGGATTCACGGAGAAGGCCATGTCCCATTGTCTATAGCAGATGATTAGGAACGGATCAGAGAAGGCTGAAGGGGTCATTTGCGTACGTGATAATTCGGGTGGGATCCCAGTTGTTTTCGTCGACCAAAGGGGCATCCATGGGATGGGTAGTCGGGGGTTGATGGGCAACCATTCCGAGGGATTGTAACTGAGAAGAGGTGTCGGACTTCGAGTCTTCAGCGCCAGCCGAAATCGGAGGGGTTATTGGAAGCGTATGGAAACCCACTCTGGATTGGACTTGATTCAAGTGCGGATGATAATGCGCATCCATTGGTGGACTGGGCTGATAGGGCTCCGAAGGACTACCGTATGGGAAGCTGGGTTTCAATTCAAATGGACGATGCATGTCAGCGGAGAACGCCAGCCTTAGGGAGTCGATTTGAGCCTGGATCTCAGGCATGGGCCAGGCAGTTGAGCAGGTTTCTAGAATTCTCATGTGACGAGTGAAAAATTCACGGGCATCTGAGTTGAATTCAGGGTCGGGGGAAGTAATGGCGACCTGCCAGTGTCAGAAAATGGCCGTAATACCAGAATCATACACGCTCTTTTAGAAACTTACCAGATGCAACATTGTGCAAGTCAAGATGCAATAAATAGCGAAGTTGATACCTCTTTGCATATAGAGTAGACCAGACAGTCCGAATCGTTGCAAAATGGCTTCCTGTAGTCGACATAGGTTCTTTGCCGAGGAATAACACAATGACATGTGGATCTTCCATTCACCCCCAGCAGCGAAGGACTGGGAGGCGAGAAGTTGCGGGCGATGTAGCAAAATGATAGCCAGATGGCAATGGCAATGCATATTGCCCACAAAGTGAGAGGGAAGCCATGGTGGAGAGCCATCAGCAGGGTAGTTGACCTGTAAATCGAGAGGGAGGTTACGAAGCCAATCAGCGAAGAGTGGGTTATTCTGTACGAATCGCGAATCTGCGCCCCAATCCTTTTGCTTCTTGACCTTGTGGTAGATGTCCGTGATGATGCGGATATGATGTGCGTTGCGAACAAAGTAGGCGTAATGTCTCGAGCGGTCGATCTCGTATTGATCCAGACCTCTGATATGTAGCATCGGACGCATGTCCACTGTTTCGGGGTCGACTCCGTAATCCGAACGGCCTATTATAATCAGCGTTTGCTTTTTTTTACCAATAAGATGAGATAAACATTGCTTACCTTGAGGTGCACCAATCATGACCTCAACTACCAACAGAGCCTGCCACACTCGGGTATGCACCAAGCATTCAATTGGGTTGAGACCACAGGGCTTGCCTTCAGCATGATTGCTATAGTGTTCGTGGATATCCAAATCCTTTGCCATGGAGACAATGGTTTTAACAGTCTGCCAGGATCTATAATAGTACCCTTTCTTTGGCAGAGATTCCCTAGCTTTCAACAAAAGAAGTAATGCTTGAATAGTACTCAGCCGCGGCACATCCATAAAGCTAGTTTCATGTCCTAGAAAGTGTTAATTTCGAAAGGGATGAAACGAGGGATCATCATTCACTCACTGTTAGCCAAAGCAAGCCATTGAGCTCCCTCGGCAGGCTCATCGGATAAACGGCCTGCACATGCAAATAGAGCCTCGAGAAGAAGAGGGGAGATGGAGCGACGATCATGCTGCCACTGATAGTATAAATGGGCTCGTGAGATGACAGGAACATAGGGATGTATCTCGTCAAAGTAGATCTTGAAATAAGCCATCACATCATCTTCCTCAGGCATAAGCTCAGGTGGAATCCGAATTGTCGCGCCTGATCCGGTGCTTAGAGGTGGCAATCGCTCTTCGACCTCATCTTGGACAGGGGCATCTGGTTCAACTCGATCCGTTCTTTGCCTTCTGATATATGGAGCTTTGGAGGGGAAATATTAGCTCTTCGCCACATAGCCTTGAATAAGGGTTGGAAGATAATGTGCCATACCGATTCCACTCTCGTCAATCTTGAGCTCCCCAAGGACTTCACTGAGATTCTCCGCCGTTGACTGGTCATTATCAACATACATGTTTCGATCCGATGTTCCCATAGATGGGGTTTGAGGGCCAGTATACATGTGAGGTTGTTGGTAAACTTGCTGTGACATTGCCATTGGCGGCGAGCGAAGATCATTGTACATGGCCGGCTGGGCCTGGGGATGGGGAGGGGGGACGAATTGGGAGTACATGCTCATCTGGTCATACGATGGCATGGTATTCATGGTAGGTTGGCTGTTATCCCTGTAAACCGGGGGTACTGGGAATGCATGGGAGCCTTCGCCTGAGCTGGAGGGACCAGTCTCCAAAGCAGACTCGCCCTGGCCATCTGGGAGGAAATCCCCATCTTGTCCTATGGTGGGAGGAACACAAACGAGTTTCAGACGAGTGCACGCCGAGCAAGGCCACGTGTTTGTTGTAGCTGCATCGCACTTAATTTTCCTCTTCCGGCAACCATTACAGGCTCGCATCACTAGCCGAGGCTCATCAGTGTCTTGCCAATGACTTGCCATGAGAGTCTTCCTTACCTTTCAACCTCTTGTGCCGGTTATGCTCATCGACAAATACATAATCTACAAAAGAAACCATTAGTCACCAATTCGACAGGACAAAAACTGCCCGACATACTCTTTTGGCCTTCTCTGGGAGGCCCCGCTGGGGGCGCAAATGAGTATCCCTGCATAGCTCGATTTAATGTCAAGCCTGGTTTCGGGAATGCCGTTTACTGTGACGACCGAGGTAACTTGAAATGGTCTGACACACCGGGTATCAAAAGAAAATAAGGATTGCGCAAGGCAATTTATCCACAAGGACCGGCCTTGGGGAGGTGGAAGGTGAGGTGTCGGGGAGAAGAGTCCCAACAGATGAGATGCGATATCTGTCGCGGAGAATCGGAGTACGTATAGCGGATTGGAAAGTAACTTTGTGGGATGTCGGAATGGTCGCGCGACAAGCGGACTTCGGAACAAACAACTGTTCTGATCGCAACAAGACACTGCTCAGCGGCCTTCAAGAAGAAATTTACAGACTGACCCGAGACCGCAATGATTTTACCGATGTTCCGTAGGTTGCTAAAGTAGCGCGAGGTCCGATATGTCCCAGTGCGTCGAAGTGAAAAAGATTCGCGCCTTTTGAGCAGTTCAAAGGCAAATGGTATATCGCGTGAGGCTAGAAGACCAAATGGGAAGGTTGCCTCGGGACTCGAACTTATAAGATTAATGGAGGGTCGATTGCTATAATTACGTTCAATTAGTGTCGTTCCCACACATTATAGTCCAGATTGCATAAGACTCCCCAAGACCCAGCGCCAATGGAGCCAACAAAGAGTTCAAGAATGAGAGAATAACAAGGCAACTACTTACAATTTGAGTCATAAGCAGTGGCTCGGGTAGATGCATATTCATAGCAATATCCGGTACTCCGCAATGGAATCAACGCATTGTATCGCAATTGGGAGGATATGTGGAAGAAGCGCGGAACGTTAAGAGAATCGAATCGGCATGGCAAGTGGAGACATCAGGGGCGAATAGGGCTCAGGTATCAAAAGTAATCCCAAACAGAAAGTAAAAAAAATAGGTTCCTGGAAAAGGAAGAGGGGAAGAAACTGAGAGAGTGACAGAGAGAGGGAGAGAAGATCCAAAGCTGAGGGGAGGTACTGTGCCAAGTGTTGAAGAGGATCCAATAGCGCCCGCTGCTGTGGATTTTCTCAGAGTGGAGGGGCGATCCGGATTGTCTAAGTTTTTTTTCTCTCTTTCGTTCACATTGATTTTTTGTGTATATACTCTGAAATTGAGCGATTTAAATATACAGTTCTATTGAATAAGAGAGCAAATTATTCCATGTCTCCTTTGGTAGGAAAACAAGAACATCAGTGTTGAAAAAAGTGGAAGTATAGTTAGTATACAGTATAAGAAGAGTCCCGGTAGATGTCCGAGAGAACAATAACTCCACTCAACTGATACTGCTACCTACCTTAGTGAATCAGTAGTACGATTTTATATCATATGTTATTGGATTACTATATTAGTCCAATATATTATAGTTAGTTAGTACACAAGAATACTAAGTTACTGACTTCTAACTAGTATGTATCTATATCTGTAATAGGCTTATATATATTAAATGCTATATAGAGACTATAAACTACATAAGTACCGGATATATCTCATTTGCTCCATATGTATGTATGCATCATGCAGTTTCCCCAAAAAAGAAAATCAGGCAGAGTAACCTTGGAAGAAATCCCGGTAAGGCGCATTGCTGAAACAATTCCAATTTACGTCGGGGAATCTCAAGGAGAGCCACGTTTTTTTAGGCTGTTGGATGAAACAAGGAGTTCAAACTGTTTGTCCCTTGGGACTGTCAGATCTGAAAAGAACCTCGGCACTTGATTTTGTTCCCTTGTCTCAATAATTTTCCCTTGAATTTTCCTTATGGTTCCCTGGTTTGTTTGTTTTTTATTTTTAATTTGTCCCTATAATTTTTCTCTAAGTTTGGCTGGAATGATAGTAATAGTAATAGCAATAGATTAGTAATAATATAATATACGGTGTACGGAGTAATATAAAATAATAATCACGGAAGCACTTCGGGTAAAAAGGAAAATATGTTGATATTAAGCCCGTCGATCACTCCCGTACCGCTGGGAACCCATGTATTTCCCCATTATCGGTATTACCGTCAATTAAAGTATTTAGGTATTAGCTAGGTAGGTCGAGTTAGCTGGTAATCATGATCTACCTACAGTAATTGGATATAAAATTATATAAAATTGATATATTCTAATGTTTATATATTTAGGATGTTCCCTTTCTTGACATAGAAATCATATACACCATATATTCAATGATATACTGACTCCCTAGGCCGGAGGTAAGACAATAATACAATTAAGTGGGGGTCTTCTTCGAAACTCACGTGAGATAAATCCTTATCGGCACTTTTTTGCCTCAACATCTGCCTCGAGTCATCAATATTATTTAAAAAGACAACATACGTGGTAGCGCCTACTGTCATCATGGCGGAAATGCAAAATTCAAATCCTACCATCCTCAATGCTGCTGATCTGCCCACGCGTCTACGACCTACCACTACTCGCAAGTCAGGGGACTACGGTCTCTTCACATCGGCCCTGCCCCTCCCAGCAGACTTCGAGAGTGCGTCATCTGACTCCGACGATGACAACCTCCTAGAGGAACCAATCGATGAACAAGAAGTTTATGGTAAGACAAGTTGGATGTGCCAGCTCAAACCAAGATCCATGTTGAACATTTAACTCAACTTGAAATTAGATCTCATCTCCTCCATCTCCGATCCCGAACACCCCATCTCACTGGGTGAACTAGCCGTGGTCTCCCTCCCAGATATCTCAATCAAGCCAACTCTCCCGGAGGTTCTTGATTCGCCTCTCCAAACGGTCACCGTGCTCATCACCCCCACAATCACACATTGCAGCCTGGCCACCGTCATTGGGTTGGGGGTTCGCGTTCGTCTAGAACAGTCCCTGCCTTCCCGATTTCGAATGGATGTCCGTATTAAGGAAGGTACCCACAGCACTGGAGATGAAGTCAACAAGCAGTTGGCCGATAAGGAGCGAGTTGCGGCTGCCTTGGAGAATGGTGCCCTCATGGGCGTGATTGCGAAAATGATGGAGACCTGCCAATAAGATTTACCGATATGCTCTGTACCATTACTGGATTGGGATGGTGAGAGAGAACCTTCAACAAATGGAGGGCTCTCTCGTGTAACGACATCTTACGACGAATGAACCACCCTGGATTTTTTTTTTCTTTTTACCAAAATGACTTGCATTGGAATAATGATTAGAAGTACATGGAAATAAACATTGCTCTATGTGACATTGTTGAAAAAAGACTCCCCCGTGACCAATCCCATTTTGTTTTAAATTTCTGTTCTCGATAAAGTTGTTCTTAAGAGATCATGAGTCCAAAACGCCACTTTCTTTCAGTCCCTTCCAGAGCTCAGGTTCCAAAAACTTGCTCACAGTAACATCCTCAGCCAGACCCTTACGTCTCCTTGTTTTCAAAACAAAGTCCCGGGCAGTAGCCATAGCAGGGGCCATCTCTAAGGGCTTCAATTTGACATCCCGGTCAAGCGGATCACCAGGGACCACACTCCACTTGTCAAAAGCAAGATTGACCGAGGCTTGACCTTGCGTGTGAATGCGCAGATCGGTCTCAAAGCCAAAGGAGTCAATGACTGGGATCAAGCCGCGAACGGAATAAAGAGGCGTGCCGGCAATGGGGCCATCTGACAGGACGTGACCTCGTCGGCGGGACAAGACTGTGTACACCGAAGCCACGGCGTCTGCAGGTCCAGTCATAGTGCAAGAGTAGATTGGTTCCATAAGACGCGGGGATGCCATGAGGAAGGATGAATACACGGCGCGACGAGCTGTGGGGATGATCTGGCCACCACCGCGGTAGATAGCCTGTTCGGCCAGGGACACATCTGTGAGCCTGAACTTTGTGTTCCGAATGGCTGAATTTCAATTAGTGTCACATTCTTCATTTGCACCGAGAGTGGAAGATCATTGGCGCATTAAAAAAGGGGGGATTGAAAACTTACGTTCTTCACAAAGAGGGCCTTCCCGTGTACCCCAGCTGAAACCCTGAGTGATGGAGTCCCGCACAGTGCCGAGAAGCTTCTTGTCTACCTGAGAAGGCAATGTGTCATCTTGGAGAATATTCGGGCCCATTTCATCGGGCCCAAAGGCCCAGATGCTTCGGGCTGCAAGCTTGTCCCAATCATAGTTCTCCTCGAAGTGTCGAGCGACCTTCCGAATAGGGTCTTTGATACTAACTTTGCCACTTTCAATGTCTTCTGCGATCCCCTCATCCAAGGGCTCCGCGATCATGGTGATCTTGTTCTTCTTGTTCGGGGTGATTGAATAACACATGATGGCCGAGGTTTCTACCACAGTCTCACAGAAGCGTGTGACGGGATCAGAGACCTTGATCTCCATCTCTGAATACAGTTTTCGCAAGTCGTGTAGTACACAGTCCATGTAAAGCTCGCCAGTTCCCAGAACCACGTGCTCTCCAGACTCTTCCACCTTGGTTGAGATGAGAGGGTAGCTCTTGTTGATTTTCCGCAGTCCATCCAACATCTTGGGAAGCTCTGACGGGTTGACGGGCTCAACGGCGACCTTGAAGACTGATTCGGTCATGTGTCGAATTGGACGGAAGATATACGCCTCCTCGTCATCCTCGAGCTTAAGCGGCACCAGCGTTGCTGTCTTGACGATGGAGTTGTCGACGCCACCCAGGAGTACCCAGTTACCGGCAGGAACACCGTTGGTCGAGATATTGTAGCGAGTTTCCGCAATCCACGTGTCAGAGATGGTTGCAGTGGTCTGATCTTCTTCATCCTCTGGCGTGTAGCCCTCACCGAGGACGCGGACTTGCTGACCAGGTCGGGCGGTTCCACTCAGAATTCTACCGAAGGAGTGGAAGCTTCCAGCATCGATACTACTGAAGAGTTTGGTCACATGAATGACGAGGGGTCCATCTGAATTACAAGCAGCCATTGAAGCCCCAACCTTGGTATCCAAAGGTCCAGTGTAGTATCGCTCCAAGGCCCTCTGGGCACCTTCCACCGGGGAAGGGACGTGCTGAACAACCATATCCACAAAGCCAGATGGGGGACCAAAGAATTGTTGACAGACAAGACCGAGCAATTCCTTCGCATCAGTCTTAAGTTGAGACGGCTTCAGGTGAACACCGACACTAGCCAGAGTCTGTTTCAAATCCTCTGGACTTTCACTCAGTGTATGCGAGTAGAGCTTGTAGATTGGCTCCAGGATAAACTTGACAAATGATCGCTTCGAGTTCTCCTCTACACCCTTGCGAGTAAACTTGCGGCTCTTAGGGTTATAGAAGATATCGCCCCAAAGTCGTGCCGCAAATTCTGTAGAGTCCAAGCTCGGGTAGGTGTCTGCGTACATGCGGGCGAATGACTGCAATGTGAAGCACCAATTCATGGAGCTTGATGCAAAGGCAACATTACCCTTCTCGGGGCTCAGTCGTCGTCGCTCGCCCTGTCCTGGAAGGATGCTCTCAATCAGCGTATTGACCTCTTCAATGACATGCTTCAACTTGAAGTAGGCATCATTGGGGGGAAGTTTAAGTTCAAGGATGAGTCGATCCATCTTGTTCACAACCAAAGTCAGGGGAAGACCTTCTAAGACTGCATGCTTGATGATTTGTTCAGTGTTCGCTTGCACACCCTCAACCACATCCACAACCAGTACCACACCATCTGCTAGGCGGATAGAAGCAGCCACCTCATCAACAAAGTTCACATGCCCGGGGGTATCGAGGAGGTTGAGCAAGTGGGATTTTCCTTTAGTCCCTTGGAGAACGAGACTCATTGGAGCTGATTTGACAGAGAGACCACGTTCTCTCTCAAGGAAATGGACATCGGTATAACGAAGCTGTTCTTCCCTCTTCCGGCCGATGCGCTTGTCTAATCGCTCTGTGAGGTCGTGCGTTTGTTGAACGAGCATATCCATGAAAGCTGTCTTTCCATGGTGCAGGTGACCGACAATTGCGACATTTCTGATTTGTGATGGGAAGTTCAAAAGATCGGACATGAACTCTCGAGAAAAGTGCACTGGCGGCAGCTCTGTCTCTGCGATCGCAAACTTCTTCTGTTGCACTGGGGCAATAATTGGCTCTGATAGTGGTTGAGCATCTTCCTCCTGGACCATAGTTTCAACATCCTCGCCATAGACTTGTTGTGCGCTAGGGTAGTATTGCTTGTCTTCGTGCAAAATGACCGCATTTGAAGGACCATCTGTGAAGAGACACGGAGATTTAGTAAAATTGTGTAGACCTTGGAACCAGACGCGCAAGCATACCATCGACCTCCATCAATTGCTGATCATTCACCTCCTCTTCCTCCTCTTCATCATCAAAAGCTTCATCGAACTTGAAGGCTTGAGGTTGGACATCTTCATGGTGCTCTTCATCCGATTCCGCATCGCCGATGTAATTACCAAACCTAGAGAGGGATTAGTATGGTCGCATGAATTATTTTTTTTTTAATAGGGATATAGGGATATAACATACTCATCATATAGGTCATCCATAGTGAATTGAAACAGTGTATGTTTTACCAAAAAAAGTAAAGTAACAATGCACTGAATTGCCAAATTGGAGCTGGACGTGATGCCGGAGAAGTTGATGTTCTCAACTTTCATCGGCTGGTCCGAGCTTTTTTTCGGAGTACTGTAGTACTCGCACCTACACCGTACAGCTCCTCACTACCCAGATATTTTTTTATAAAGAAACTTGTTGTTGTCCTTAATCTGATCTGATCTTCCTCTTCTTCATATCTCTCTTATATATATACCCCCCCACCTTTTTTTTTCAAATTTACTTTCTTCCACAATATTCTCTAACAATGTCTTCTCTTCCTCCTGTTTACATCGTCTCTACTGCCCGTACCCCCGTGGGCGGTTTCCTTGGGTATGCTTTAGATCTCCTTTGTTATTCCATCAACAAACTGAATTGATCTAACATTATTATTATTATAGCTCCCTCTCCAGCCTGACTGCTCCCCAGCTTGGTGCTCACGCCATTAAGGGTATGATCTAGTATATACCCCGCCTCATAATTTGACATACTAACAGTAATATACAGCGGCCGTTGAGCGTGCTGAGGGCATCAATGCCTCCGACGTTGAGGAAGTCATCTTTGGTAACGTTCTATCCGCTGGGTAAGTGGTTTTTTTATACCTTGCACAGCAATTGAAGCTAATTTGGTACCTTTATTCCAGTGTCGGACAGAACCCCGCCAGACAATGCGCTATCGGTGCTGGCCTTGCCGAATCCACCATTTGCACCACCGTTAACAAGGTGTGCGCCTCTGGCCTGAAGGCTATCATTATTGGTGCTCAGACTATCATGACCGGAAATGCCGACATTATCGTTGCCGGTGGCACTGAGTCCATGTCCAACACCCCTCACTACCTGCAGACTTCCCGTAGCGGTACCAAGTTCGGCAGCCAGACTCTGGTTGATGGCATTCAGAAGGATGGTCTGACAGATGCCTACGGCAAGCAGGACCTGATGGGTGTTGCCGCTGAGGAGTGCGCTGAAGACCACGGCTTCAACCGCGCCCAGCAGGACGATTACGCCATCCGCAGTTACGAGAAGGCCCAGGCTGCCCAGAAGGCCGGTCTCTTTGACTATGAGATTGCCCCCATTGAGATCCCCGGATTCCGTGGCAAGCCCGGTGTCACCATTTCCCAGGATGACGAGCCCAAGAATGTGAGTTTTCTCTCCCCCCCCCCTCCTTTTTAATAAGATGATTGATTGCTTACCTTTATTTTCATTTTTAGCTTAACCCCGAGAAGCTTCGTGCCATGAAGCCCGCCTTCATTCCCGGTACTGGAACTGTTACCGCTCCTAACTCTTCCCCTCTGAATGACGGTTCCGCCGCCGTCGTCCTGGTTTCCGAGGCCAAGGTCAAGGAGCTTGGCCTCAAGCCTATTGCCAAGATTCTGGGCTGGGGTGATGCGGAGCAGAAGCCCAGCAAGTTCACCACTGCTCCTGCTCTGGCTATCCCCAAGGCTCTCAAGCACGCCGGTGTCACCCAGGATGCCATCGATGCCTTCGAGATCAACGAGGCCTTCAGTGTTGTGGCTCTTGCCAACCTGAAGCTCCTCGGTCTCTCCGAGGAGAAAGTCAACATCCACGGTGGTGCTGTTGCCATTGGCCACCCTCTCGGTGCCAGTGGTGCCCGTATTGTGTCCACCTTGCTTGGTGTTCTGAGCGCCAAAAAGGGCAAGCTTGGCTGCGTCGGCATCTGCAACGGTGGTGGCGGTGCTAGCGCCCTGGTTCTCGAGACCCTCTAAAGAGTAAACTCTGTTAACAAACGGAGATGTGAAACGACCTTCGATCTTGCATGTGAAATACCAACCCCCTATTTAACCGGGAACATCTCGGAGATGCTGGCAATTGGGCATGCAAGGCATAGCCCATCCCAGCGACGAAAACCCGCAGCATTAGTATCCTTTTGTCTGTATCTAGACCATTTAATCAGATACCCTTGTGTCTTCGTATCATGTTTTCCATATTAGGCTCTCAACTAATTCTAAATAAGGACAGTAGTCCAAATTGGGGCTGAAGTTTCATATATCAAACGCTCGAGTACTGTGTTCGTTTATTACCCTCTCATGTGTGTTCTTCTATTTACCTTTCGATATGCGACCTCAAAGTTTTTTTTCATCCACTGAGATTAATGTTGTAATTGGACCTGATGTCAAGATCATTACAGGTGAACACGAGACGGGAAATGAAGCGCGACAGACGCATAGAGGAACTGGGATCGACAAGGCAGATCATCAGGCGGTGATTGCTGGATCGAGGCGAATGTAATAATCTTAGCTGAGTGATTACAGGTCATGGATGTTGTATCGGTACTGGCTCCGTGGTAGAAGAGAGAGAGAGAGAGAGAGAGAGAGAGAGAGAGAGATATATATCTACGGGTCCTATATATTGCAATAGGTAGTCCGGCCTGAGTGATTAAATCGATTCATTTAACTGGTCATGTTTATTGTTCATCCGGAATATGTTCAATTTTCTATGATACATTTGAAAACAGAATCGCTTGCTTCGTTAATCTAAAAATAATAATGAAGAAACCATAGAGTGAACTATGTTTTTCTAAGCAAACGCACCAACGAATGCCATAAGGAGAGCACCACATGCGACCGACACACAGGCCTCGACACGTCGTCTGCCCTTGAGGGTCTCATAGCTGGACTCACTCAAAAAGTCCTCTGCCAGGAGTTCCACCAAGCCCGCGAAGAGTAAAAGACCGCTACTGATGGCATTGGTAACTCCAACCATCAATAAACCCGTTGTACTTGCAGGATCGTAAAGATTGTGCAATACCAAGCCGATAGCTTGGCCAAGGGGAGTAGTTGTCCCGTAGGCAAGGCACATTAACCACGGCTTCATGGAATCCGGAGAGAAGAGATCCGGAATGAGCGACGCAATTCGAGACCCTAGGGCAAAGCCCTCAAAGGTTTGATGGAAACTAATAGCAATTAAGAGAACGACGAACGATGTGCCAGTCGCAACACTGAGCGCCATACCGATGAAGATGCTATGGAATAAGATGCCTGCCTCCAAAAGAAGACATTGCAGAAGCTGGCGTTGCGGATTTTGAATTGGTAATTCTGAGCCAGTCCGCGGGTGACTTGCGCTCGCACGTGGCGGATGACGACGATGAGACTGCTGTGAAGAACGGATTGTCTGTCCATTGATGGCTTGCTGATCGTCATCCATGTAGTCATCCAACCCATCCAGGTCGGCAAGCTCATCGTCCTTGTCTGCTGATGGATCTATCAAAGAAGACCGGTGGGAGTCACGAGACGATCGTGAAGCTCTTGTCGCCCGTGACTTGGACCTGTGCCCCACGTTATCCAAATTGATACTGCCTGAGACCTGCCTGGCTTCAAGTCTCGCGTATTCCGGATCTTGATCTCCCAGATCACTCATTGAGTCACGTCTGTCGCCAATAAGATTATCATACTCGCTTCCATGCACGTGCTTTGCGCCTTTCATCGCAAAGAACATTTCCACGATAACTACGGCGAACACGGATATCATTGCAACGAACCCAGCCATAGCACGGTATGATTGACTCCAGAAACGCGGAAGGCAGGGATCAGTCAGAGACATGAATGCCGTAGGGAGTAGATGTACAAATGCCGTCGCAATTAGAACACCTGTTCCGAAATGTCTGGATATAAAGAGGAAGCGACGGGGGATCGGAAGACGAGGGAACCGATGCGCCAGAACTGGGAATGAACATGCTGTCACAGACTCATGATTAGCTTGGGCCAGCTCTAAAGAATGCAGAAAAATCAGTACATACCGAGTGTACTTAGTACAAGGATGAGGAACAGTGCCATGACATGCAATGGGGTGTTATAAGCACCCCGTGATTTGGAACCGCATGCTGGAGTATCATCTGAGGAAATATCTCGTCGGAGAAGCTCTGCTTTCAAGACAGCATCGGGGATGTCTGAAATTGCCGAGAGGGCTCTCTTGAAGTCTACTTCCAGTGTTAATCACACCGGGATCACCACTGGTTTGCCAATACTACCAACCTGAGGATAAGTCATCGACAGTCCAGGATCGAGCATTCTGCATTTTGTCTCTAATCTGTTGGAACAGTAGTCACATCACCAATTGCATGCAGAGGGGATGTTCGTAGGCCGATAAGGTAGAGAGCGACGTAATTGAGTATTCAAATAGAATATATACCACAAAGAAAAAAGATTTAATTTGCTAGAGCAGCACAGAAGCTGATAGCATATTAAATGAGCATTATCTTCGAAACACAAAGGCCAGAGTAGCAGAAGTCCGTTGGCGTCGAAAGTGAAGCTCTCCCCTTGCTTACATAACTGATATCGATGCACGTGGGCTTTGGGACGATCTACAGCGGTTTCTTGGTATTTTTGGTGATCCACAAAGTATTGTTCTTGATATTCGAAACCAGGCAGAGAGTGGGTGTGTGTGTATGTGTGCGCGCGTAAGAGAGAGTATAAAGTTGAACGCTTGATATGAAATTTCTATCTGCTGCCCACCTTAGTCCAACCTTTGGTACCTTTAGTGCCTTGTGGTCGTGGAGAACTTGAACCCTCATTATCTGGATCCAATTTAAACCTGGACCTTGATCTTGAACTTGTAGATTTGTTGTATGCTGTATCTGCCTTCGATCCAGATTGGATATTTGAGGCAGCGGACTTGGGGCTGTGCGTTACAGGCGATCGATTGGATTCCGCAACCGCATCACCCCATTCTTTCTCTTCGAGCAGTTCCCATTCCGCACTTGCCATTTCCCCGAGAAGATTGGACTTCAATTTGTCTGCTATCTTAGTTGGCGTTGGAAGTTTCCACATCCGCATGAAGTCCACTCCCTCATATGCACCTAAGAAAGAATGTGCTGTGCCGTGAGAATAATGACCTAGCATGGCAAATGATGTTGTCCGCTGGATGGTCGTCCTGGGCGAGTCTTTGCCAGCTTTCATCTGTGTTTGCGTGTCTCGGCCAGCAAAGGCTCGCATCAACGTTGAAGGATGGGCGGGCGGCGCAACCAATAATTGCCACAGGTTCTTGCCGATATCGCAAACTTCTTCCCAGGAGTCAGAAGATATATTGATTCCTTGAGTGCGACATAGCCATGCAACATTCCATGCCAGGAGGGTCGCGCCTTCAAGGAAGAGGGCGTATGTTGTCGGGTCTTCCTTGGCCAACTTAGGTAAAGACTTCCCGATGAATAGGGGACGCGGACGCGGTGTGTGACTGCGTGGATCCACCGTCCTTGATGCCGCTGGGCTAGATGAGGACTGGTAATCAAACCTGTCATGGGCGTCACGGAAGCGATATGACACCGAAGGAGTGTAGATTGTGGGAACTGGGTAATTCTTATGTGGCAAGGTGATTTCGGCAGGTAGTCTCAAGGAGAGATAGTGTGAAATGATGATAAGAAGGTGAGCAATGTTCGAGAGAGACGTAGATATTTGCTCTTGAGGGATGCCTGTTACATGTTAATAAATGATGCATGAGCCTTTTCGTAAAAGTCAACGGTACCATTCATCTCTCTTAAATCTACGACGAAGCCACCACCAAGCACATAGATCTCCCGATCTTGGCCTTTCTTGGTAGCCTTCCGCAAGCCATAGAGATTGGCGACTTCCCGACAGAGATAAATCCTTGACTCGGCCGTCTTATTGTGTAGATTATGCCACACGTGCTCCACCCGTTTGCTGGTATTCTGGACACTCGCCAGAGTTCCAGCATCCCGCTCTTCCAGTTGATACTTGGCAGATTCCGCATCGGAGCGTCTGCGTGCTAGGACTTCTTTCCGTTGGGTGATCTCGGATTTTTTAGCTTCAACCTCCGATTTCAAAGCTTCAAGCCTATACGATAGTGATTCCCTCCTCGTCAAACATTCGGCATGTTGGCTGCTTATCGTCTGGAGAGCCCAGCGGGGTGAACCCTTGTCCACATTAAGTGAATTTTGCTGTGTTGAGGCCTGATCTCGGGTACCACCACATGCAAGAGCAGTTTCAATTTCCTTCCCCAAAGCTTCTTTCTCCAATAGCACCCGGGTGCCGTCGATGCGCAGTCGATACAGCTGGTTGCGAGCACATGTCAGGCAGTGGAAGGGAAGGTGGGAGTGAGGAGCACGTGAGCATATAGAACAGTTCATCGCAGACAGTTCTGTTATAATTTCGACTGTTCTTTGAGGTAAGGTGCATGTCCATGTTGCGTTCTGTCGTTGATAAAGCGCTACCTGAGTCGCCGCCGCGGACCATATAGAGAAGTCAGGGGGTTGCCACAGAGATACAGATCCCACATGACTCAAAGAATGGGTTAATATAAACGAGAGAGAGACCTCAAGATGGAGGTATCCGAGTTGGCATTCTACCCTTTTATTTGAGGCAAAATATCAAGGAGAAGAAGAGGGAGAAGTCCGATGATGTGCACTTGTCGACGTCACCTGACAGTTTGACCGCTCGCTTATCGCGATCTTATCTTTTGGATAGCATCAAAACAAATCCATAGACCTCTGTCTTGTTTGAATTTCTTCTTATGCTTTTTTAATGTTAATTGCTTTGACCTTCAATACCAGATAACTCAAAATGCAATCAACTCCCAACAGGACTAGCAAAATTCCTCGCCCTGGGACATTGTCACCCCGAATTAGCCAAGAAAGCAAAAGTCCTCAAGGCAGTGGAAGCTCACAAGAGCCGAAAAGTCCTCAACCACTCGAAGGCTCTGCTTCTACTTCTGCAACTTCTCGTGATGAGTACCCAATTGTATCACATTTGACACAAGGGCTCGAGGAATGCGACTGGGAACATCTCCAAGACAAATATGCCGATGCAATGGAGGAACATGGCCGTGCGGAAGAGAAATTGCGTGTTGAAACAGCCCAGCTCCTTGAGGTAAAATTCTACATATATACTTGAGTCAAGTCCCTGCGCCTGACTATCTTCACAGGTATTTATGGTCTGGTCTCAAACTACTGTTTCACAGGATGAAACCAGAGCTTTGAAGAGGTGAGAACTTGTTTAGTTGCAATCCGGTTATATCCCTAATATCCCCTCAGGTTCAAAACTCAGATGCAGCATGTCCAGAATTCCGAAGTCAACGTGGAAATGAAAAAGAAACATTGTGAGTCTTCTTTTCTCATTTCCCTTTGAAAACAAGGCGTCGCTCATTGTGCCAAAAGACGCGGATGTGGTGAAGGCTTTCCAGAATGCTCTGGCTTTGCTCAACGACCAACTCAAGATCTAGGACTACGAAGAGCAAAATTATCACGAACCTTATGAAATCATGTTAGAATATATATCTTTTTTTTTTGTTGCGAGTTGGGTTTTATTGGAGCTGGAGGAATTGAACCAGGATGCGAAAGATCATGATTATTCTGATTAATCTGCATATGACAAAAACATAAGATAGATCAAATTCAATGAAACAGATCACAATTGATTGAAGGCTGAGTCAAAATCACAGAGACTAGCTATTGCATTGAATAATTGAATTAATATTTCATTTCGTTCGTGACTCTTATCGTCGAAGTCACATCATTTAAGGCCTTCAGGATTAGCCTTGAGAGCGCCCGCTCCGAGATGCTCGGCCTGTGATATCTTGCCAACTGGCGTTGAAGCGTCTGCCAGTATTGGCCAACAGCCCTTCTTCCTCGGCTTCCTCGGCATCCTCGTCGAGCTGCGCTTCGTCCAACTTGGGTGAACGAAGTAGCGAGGTGACAAAAACAATCAAATACAATCCTATAGGCCCCGCTGTTAGTTCGATTCTACCATGTCATTTTTTCTCCTGTAGGGCTAGCCTTACCCAGGAAGAAGAATTGGGCCCAGAAAAATACGACTCCAAAGAATGGATAGTTCAGAGTGACCCGGTTCAAGAATGTGCTCACGACACTGGGCGTGCAGACTTGTTGTGCGGCGGGATTTCTGGCTGTTTCGGAGCATGGCTTGATAAGTTCCTTACTGTTGGAGCAATCTGGCTGCCCAATGAAGGTCTCTGGATCGCGATCACAGAAAGTCTGCGGGCCGAAAGTGGCATACTGAGGGGCAACTACCATCGAAATGGAATAGTTCAGCGCTAAGATGATTAGCATCAACATGGCAGTGGCCAAGAGTAAGGCTTGAGGAGACGTGTGGCCATTTCGGATTTGGAAAATCCTGATCCATAAGAAACGAATTCCAACAACTGCGATTCCGACAACAGAGCTGCAGAAAAATAACAAGACAAGAATTGTGAATATGGCATAATCAATGGGGAAGACCTTGGCAGATTGAACAAGTGCCCAGTTGATGGGATTGAAAATGTTGACATGGGCAAGGATGTATCCACAGCGATGCTTGCAGATTGAGTTCTTCGCCTTGTCGATTGACGTCAAGAGCATGGATACCCAAGTGACGAAGGCAATTAAAAGCAGCAAAATGCCTCCTAAAAGTTTGAAGGGACGGAAAACCGCCTCAATCTTGTACCACGCCTTCATCACCCAGCTGCGGCCTTCGCCTTGGGACTCTTCGGCGAGACGCTGGCGTCGAATCAGGGTCCTTTCTTCCCGTACTAGAGTATCAAGCTCTCTGCGGTCTTTCGAAGACAGAAGCTCGGGGTCTCCTGCACATCGACCCTCGAGCTGGCGTTGCCGTTCTTGGTTGGTCTCAAGTTGCTGTGTAGTGCTTGCTCGCAAAGTTGCACTTGAAATCGATGGCGCAGTCTTGATCAAACTGATCGGCAGAAAGGCCAAGCCCACTGAGGTATACAAAACGTAGAGAAAGAGGCCGATCGTCATTAACAAGCCCAGGCCAAAGGTAAGCGCACGCTCGCCATCTTTGAAAAAGAAAAGAGATAGTTGTATTAGCTTGGCGATCCTGTTCAATAGATCACTTTGTACTCACGATTTTCGGTCAGCAGCCGCTTGAAATAGTCCAAGTCCATGTCATTCTTGTCCTGAGACAATGGTACGAAAAAGCCCACTAAGAACAAGATGACCACGACCGCAACAAAGCTTAGCGTGTATTTGAGAGCACCCCAGATCCGTTGGCCAACAGTCTGCTCGCCTGACTCAGTCGCGACTTCGTCATACTCTTCATATAAGAAGTACGTAAAGGGAATGACCAGAAGACATAGAAGAGCATCCAAAGAATAAAGGAGATAATAAATGATAGTCAATGAATAGGTGATCCTATCAACTACATCTTGGGTTGCCCAATTCTTTCGCTGGCCCAGCTTTGACGAGCTTGTTGACGACACTAACGCGACATCAACGGGCAGTAAGAGCACTGTTGCTAGAAGACTGGTAATTGAGACGATGCAAGTCAGTGTTACCGCAGGCGAGCGATCGCGTGGAGTTTGATAGACATAGATAAACACTGATGCCACTGCCAGTAAAATGGCTATTACCACCGCGTACACAATCCAGATGAGGGAAGTTTGTAGGAGCGCCATGTTGAATATTGCGCACTTCACTCTCTGCACATGAATGTTTTCGTTTGCATCAATACTCCGAGAGAGAGATGATGAGATTTTAGAATCAAGAAAAATGATCTTTCACGTAGAAGCTACCCCATCGCTTGTGTCGTCATTGTCCATTCCACGCTAAGCCGTTTTAGGAAAGATGAAGGTGAAGACGGTGAAGATTGTCTGGCAGTAAGTATTTACCGCCTAATTATGCCAGATCAGTCAGCTGACCCACTCGCTTTCCGCTTTCCGCTTTGAAGGAGCTACGAACGTGACTTGCTCAAGAACGAATATCAATATTGATGTTTTCAATCGCGCCTTTCTGATCTCATTGAAAACATAGAATCTGTTTTTTGTATCTTTGAGCTGCCAGAGGTCCAAATCTTCGAGACTTCATCTCCAGGTTCACAATTGCAATGCGCATATTCAATCATATCAGAAACACATTCTAGCTCGTTTAGAGACTTCCAGGCACTCAATACCAGGGCCTTACACAAGCTGAAGCAGAACGCTTTGCCTCAAAATAAAAATGCAGTGTTATACAGAACTATTACCCCCAACAGGGGTCACTCATGCCGTGGCAGCTTCTTTCATCTCCGCAACTGCCAACAATTTGATTGTTGTTAGAACATCCCTATTGCAGGTGTTCTCTCTGGTCAAAACCTCGTCAAAATCATCCAAGGAAGGGCCAGAACTTTTTTCTTCGCAGTTTTCTCAGCCAGAAACAAAATTAGTGCTCGAAAAAGAGTACCCGCTTTCTGGAACCGTGACAGACTTGAGCCGGGTCAAATTATTGAACACTAAGAGTGGTGGAGAGGCTATCATCATCGCTGTTCGCAATGCCAAACTCAGCTTGATCGAGTGGGATCCAGAGCGCAACGGAATTTCAACTATTTCCATCCATTATTATGAACGGGATGATCTGACCCGCAGTCCCTGGGTACCGGATCTCAGCCGGTGTGGCAGTATTCTCAGCGTTGACCCGAGCAGTAGATGTGCGGTGTACAACTTTGGCATTCGGAACCTTGCCATCCTGCCATTCCACCAAGAGGGTGATGACCTGGTAATGGATGATTACGACCCGGATTTTGATGGAGAACGCCCTAACCAAGGCTCCGACAAAGAAATTGGACAGAGCAAAGATGGACAGGCGCATCAAACGCCATACGCTCCATCTTTCGTTTTGCCATTAACTGCCTTGGATCCTTCTTTGCTTCACCCCATAAGTCTTGCATTTTTGTACGAATATCGAGAGCCGACGTTCGGCATTCTGTACTCCCAAGTTGCAACATCTACCGCTCTTCTGCATGAGAGAAAGGATGTGGTATTCTACGCTGTTTTCACGCTGGACCTTGAGCAGCGAGCATCTACAACTCTTCTCTCCGTGTCTCGTCTTCCGAGTGATCTATTCAAGGTCGTGGCCTTGCCACTTCCGGTGGGAGGTGCATTACTTCTTGGATCCAATGAAATCGTGCACGTCGACCAAGCTGGCAAGACTAGTGCAGTGGGGGTCAATGAGTTCTCCAGACAGGTTTCCGCATTTTCAATGACCGACCAGTCAGACTTGGGATTTCGTCTTGAAGGCTGTGTGGTTGAGCGACTCGGTGGTGATAGTGGGGACCTGATCCTAGCGCTTGCATCTGGCGATACAGCATTGATCAAATTCAAACTTGACGGACGGTCTGTGTCTGGCATGACTGTTCATCTCCTTCCAAGAAATGCAGGAGGGAATATTCTGAAGTCGGCTGCCTCATGCTCTACTTGTTTTGGTGATGGAAACGTGTTCCTTGGAAGCGAAGATGCAGATTCAGTGCTTCTTGAGTGGTCTCACGCATCGGCCGCTTCTAGAAAGGCTCGCCTTGAGTCAAAGCAAGCAACCGACGGAATTGATGACCTTTCGGACGATGACCAGATGGATGATGATGATCTTTATTCCTCGGTGCCAGGGTCGACACAAGCCGGTCACCGCATGGGGGGAAGTGACAGCTCAATTCCCGAGTACTACAATCTCCGATTGAACGACCAGCTTCCTAGCATTGGACCTTTGAGAGACATCACTTTGGGCAAAACTTCTCCAAAGGTAAACGAAAAGACCGGAGCTACAAATGAAGGAGTTGCAGCTGAATTAGAGCTGGTGGCATCTCAGGGTTCAGGACGAGGCGGTGGCCTGGTTGTCGTCAAGCGTGAACTCGACCCTTTGACGATCATGTCCCTGACAGTTGACGATGCAGATGGTGTTTGGTCAGCCAGAATCACACAGGGCAAAGGAGCACTCAACACCACCCCCGAAAGCCCCCACCGTCAATACGTGATTATTTCGCGGCCTTCGGGGTCAGAGCAAGAAGTAAACGATGTTTATGTAGTGGAAAACCAAGGCTTGAAGCCTTTCAAGGCTACTGAATTCAATCCGAACGAGGATTGCACGATCGATATCGGATCATTGGCAGGAGATACTCGTCTGGTTCAAGTCCTGCGAAACGAAGTCAGAAGTTATGACATAGGTAATGGATTTAACCAACCCCTATTGGGAAATATTGGCATACGCTAATGGCACACACACTTGGCAGACCTGGGGCTCTCACAGATATATCCAGTCTGGGATGAAGACACCAGCGATGAGCGTGTGGCTGTGAGCGCCAGCTTTGTTGATCCTTATCTCGTGATCATTCGAGATGATGCATCTGTGCTACTTCTGCAGGCGGATGAGAGTGGTGACCTTGATGAGGCTCCACTGCCAGATGAAATCAGCCAGTCTCAATGGCGCTCATGTTGTCTATATCATGATAAAACCCAGGCATTTAACTTCACGGCGGACCCATCCTCGGAAACCCGATCAGGAAGTGAAGTGCTTCTATTTTTATTGAACTCGGAATGCAAGCTTTCGGTAGGTTTTGTCGAGAAAAGAAAACATTCGGAATATCTGAATCTCTAATGTGAACCACAGATATTCCGACTGTCTGATATGCAGCTACTCGCTGTCATTGAAGGTGTCGACTGCTTATCTCCCGTCCTGTCGGTCGAGCCTCCCAAACGATCTAACATTCGGGAGACTGTTACAGAATTTGTCGTTGCGGACCTTGGCGATCCCTCGATTCTTTCTCCTTATCTAATTGTAAGAACTGTCCCCCGGGGGCATCTCATAGATATTATCTTTTGGTTCTCTGACTCGGGATAATTATAGCTTCGAACCGACACCGATGATCTTATCTTTTACAAACCAAGCTTCGTCTCGACCAATAATGATGGTGAACCGTTCCGTCACCTGCAATTCTTCAGGGAGCCAAACAGTGTTCTTCCGAAGAATCCTTCGGGAGAGACATTCTCACAAACAGATGGCCAACAGCGTTTCAGGCCTCTGAGAGTTCTTCCCAATGTCTCAGGGTTCAGCACGGTCTTCATGCCGGGAGCCTCGTCAAGCTTCATCTTCAGAACGGCAAAAAGCTCACCACACATAATCCGTCTTCGGGGAGGCTTTACAACATGGCTGAGCAGCTTCGACTCGGCCGACACTGGCTGTGAAAGTGGTTTCATCTACTTGGATTCTCAGGTAAGCCTTGTTTCGGGTTAACCTTCATCTGCATGATGCTAAAACAAGAGTTTTAGAACTGCATACGGGCTTGTCAACTACCTCCACAGACTCAGTTTGACTACTCATGGACATTGCGCCAAGTTCCACTTGAAGAACAGGTTGATTTCTTAGCTTATTCAACATCTTCTGAGACTTACGTTCTCGGAACCAGCCGCCTAGCAGACTTCAAGCTACCAGAAGCCGATGATTTGCACCCTGAGTGGCGCGGTGAAGGTTAGTATGATCCTCCATTGCTTCAGTCTTTCCTGTACTAACTCTTAAATATCTCAGAGCTATCGTTTTGTCCCAAGATCCCCGAAAGTTCCATTAAGGTCATGAACCCCAAGACATGGACCGTCGTTGACAGGTAAAAAGCCCCTTGAACCAGTGGTTGTGGAGAAAAACAACGCTAATTTTTATTATTTGGTTTTAGTTACCCCTTGGATCCTGAGGAGCAGATCACAGCAGTGAAAAACGTGAACATTGAGATCTCCGAAAACACACATGAGCGTAAGGATCTTATCGTCGTCGGAACCGCCATTGCCAAGGGTGAAGATATGCCGTCCCGTGGAACGATCTACGTTTTCGATGTGATCAACGTGGTCCCGGATCCCGAAAGGCCTGAGACGGGCCGCAAACTAAAGCTGATTGGGAAGGAATCCGTCAAGGGCGCAGTGACCGCGTTATCTGGCATCGGCGGACAGGGATTCATCATCGTGGCCCAAGGACAAAAGTGCATGGTTCGAGGTCTCAAAGAAGATGGAAGCCTCCTTCCCGTTGCTTTCATGGACATGCAATGCTACGTGAATGTCGCGAAAGAGCTCAAAGGAACAGGCATGTGCATCCTAGGCGATGCCGTGAAAGGCCTCTGGTTCGCCGGCTATTCCGAAGAACCCTACAGAATGACCCTCTTCGGCAAGGACCCCGAATACCTAGAAGTAGTCGCTGCAGACTTCCTCCCAGACGGAAACAAGCTGTACATGCTAGTCGCCGACAGCGACTGCAACCTCCACGTCCTTCAATATGACGCGGAAGACCCCAAATCCTCTAACGGCGACCGCCTCCTTAGCAGAAGCAAGTTCTACACCGGCAACTTCGCATCATCAGCATTCCTGCTACCCCGCACACCCGTTTCATCCGAGCTAACCGACTCCTCAGAAGCGGCAATGGACATGGACGAAACACATGCCACACACCAGGTCCTCGTCGCCTCACACAACGGCTCCCTGGCACTTGTGACTTCCGTCGCAGAGGAATCCTACCGCCGACTATCAGCGCTGCAATCACAGCTCATCAATACAGTTGAGCACCCCGCTGGATTGAACCCGCGTGCTTTCCGCGCAGTAGAGAGCGATGGCGCTGCAGGCCGGGGAATGGTCGATGGGAACTTATTACGTCTATGGCTGAATATGGGCAAGCAGCGACAGTCGGAGATTGCGGGCCGGGTTGGCGCAACTGGGTGGGAGATCAAGGCTGATTTGGAAAGTATCGGTGGTGACGGATTTGGATATCTATGATCAACAAAGGCGGGAACGCTTAGAATTATTTGAATTACAATTCGTCAAACAGGCCCCCTCCCCAAAAATACGAAAGAAGCGAAGTAGTCAGCCCAAAATGGGAAGATTTCAATATATTGATCTTGGATGAACCCAAGAGCGCCGAAGCGCCCATCACAAAAGTGAATAGTAGCGTGATATCATATAATATTGGGAATATATAAGCAGTTCCCACAATCCCAGGTAAAATAATCGAAGCCAAAATCCCAGGGATATCGTCAAATCCAAAACACAATTCGCCATTTTTCGCCCATCCGAGAGTCCGCGATTCAAATATGTGTGGACCTTGGAAATCGTATATGCCGAACACCTCCCCCCAAAAAGCAGATAACATAGATATCTCAAAAAGACATGTTTCGTTGTGTGGGACAACAAAAAAACCCAGTCTTAGAAAAAGCAATGGAATAAAGCAGCCAAACACCCCCCTAGTCCCCGAAGTAGTAATGCAGATGCGGGAAGAAAAAACGACAAAACGCCACCTTGCACCAGGCCCTGGATGAAGTTTAAAACACATCTTCAGCGGCGAAGTATCGTTTGCTGCGGCCTCTCGAGGCGACGAACTTCATCTCGGGCATGTTAGTATGATGCACCACATGGGGCCGGTAGACGGCGTCGACGGGAGCCTGCCAGTCATCCAAACCGAGAGGGAAGTACTCGTAAAGCAGATCGTTGCTTTCATTAGGAAAGGGAAGACCCGAAGCGAACGGCTGGGGCACATTGGCTGTCTCGAGCAATGGCATTGATGAAGCCACGCTCCGTGATGGTGTTTGAGAGATGGCGTGGGAAAGTTTGCGCATTTTGGAAGGGGGAGCGGACTGGTCCAGACTTAGGGATCGCTGGTGCGGGAGATCTGTAGCGAAGGGGGGGACCATCTTTTGGTCGAGATGGAGGTTTGGATCGCCTGGGTCCTCTTCCTCGTCTAACAGAGATAGGTTGATGGGTGCAGCGGCGGTTGTAGAACTCACGCGTCGTTGTGAATCTGTTGCTTGAGAGAGCTGTTCCGGGCTAGAATGAGGGAACAGGACCTGGGCATGAGACATGACATTGTTTGATGTAGATGATTGGGGGATTGGAGTCCAGTCCGGAGTCGCTTGAGTCTGTTGCATCAGGCTGGATGGAGGAACCGATGTTGTTTCAGGGGAGCTGCTCTGCGCGGCTGGTTTTGTTTTCGCAGGGGTCACACTTGCGCGACGCGCGACGGAGTCACTTGTTGGGGTGCGGTTCAAAGAATTTGCAGAGTTGGCCTGGGCATTCTTTCGCGAAGCAGCAGCACTACCGCTGAGAGGGAGATCCTTGCGAGACTGGAAGTTCCGTGGACTGCGGCCACGGACAATGACAGGACCCGACTGGACCTCTGAGATGGGAATCTTCGCGCCGGTGGATAGAGTAGCGACCACCTTGAGGCGCACGACGAAGTGTTGCTGGAGCTCCTTCCGGCGGCCGTTGTTGGCTGTTGCGACACGGAACTGTAAGCGTTTCCAAGCAATCGGGAAGGTCGCGTAGTCCGAATCCAAATCTTGGCCAGCCATGATGTCCAGGGGGATTGCGGGAGGCTCCTTCTCAATCTTGGCACCGGTACTAGGGTTATTTTCCTCGGGCGCTGTGCCAGAGTTGGCGGCAGCCGCGGAGGGAGTCTTCCATGGCACTGAGATGATCTTCACTGAATTTCCTTCCACGGATTCTGTAGCTGATACGGTGAGCTCCTGGGCCAGGATTGGAATACGATCGCCTTGATCAGTCATGATATAGCGCATCCCGCGGGGTAACGTGACTGAACCGGTAATTTGGAACAAATTGCGACGATAACACGTGAGTTCGGCGCCTTGCTGGGGTGGGGCGTTCTCCGAGGGAGACGTGGTGTAGGGCGACTCGGCCAGAAAGAACATTCCATGCAACTGCGCCGACACTGACAAGGAAGTCCGGCGCATGGAGTAGTCGAGGAGCGTATAGTGGTATACCGGTAGCGAAAAGCTCAACAGCTTGTTGTTGTGGTCGATCGAGGAGTCCTGGGGCTGTTCCTGGGGTGCGGGCTCAAAGGGAGCCACCATCTCGGTGAAAGGGTCGTAGGTCGAAGAGAAGCGGCTCAGTTGATGTGACAGGTTTGGGGGAGCAAAAGCGAGCTCATCACTGAATGCAATCAATTAGCGAGCTATTTCTCGAGCAAGGTGAGTGTATAGAGCGGAGTGGATGATCCACCCTCCTCTCGTCCCACTTGGATCTTAAGTAACCCACCTAACAAAGGTCTCGGTGTCGAAGGTAGAGCGGTGATCGGGCATGTCCAGGCCAGAAATTGCACTGAGATAGTCGGTACCCTGCAAATTTCCAAGCGACAAGGGACTGGCAAGATTATATGGCGGCATTGCCATGGATTCAAAGCCCTCCATGGTGAGGGCTTATACTCTTACGGGGAGACACGATGGGGCGGAAAGGGTCTCTCTGAATTACCGGAGAAATAGGAAGGGGAAAAGGTGAAGGGGAAAGAAAGAAAGAGGGGAGGAGAGAGAATGAGGGTGAAAGAGGAAGAGGTGAATGGGGAAAAGGTGTGTGCGTGTAAGTGGGAGAGCCAAGGATCGTGAGTAAAGCAGAAAAGCTGCAAGCAAGATGGCTAAGGCGGAAGTAGAGGCGGAGAGGACATTGACGGAAAGAGTAATGTAAAGCAAAGAAGTCGAAAGAAAAGAAAGAGCACCGGAGCCGGAGAAGAGAGGAATCTCGACTTCTGCAAACTGATCAACGGATTCGGGGAATAGTGGAGCCGCGGTTTATGCGGAGAACTGACTCAGCACGTTTTGACGAACGCGGAGTTTGATTGTATTATTTTATATTTGCATGTATTTAAGTTCTTAATTTATTATACTACATTATATTATAGATTATGATGATGTATTTCGTATAAATTGTAGTATATCTACTCCGCAGTGGTTATTATATACACATCTCTGAAGATATCCCTAAAGGACTAAAAGGACTAAAATACTAAAATACTGCCTGATGGGGTAAGACTTGATCGGCTCTCGGCAGCCCTGAAGATCGGTGTAAGATATTGTGTTATTGTATTCATTATATAACACATCACTTCGCAATGATAGGTATATACATATGGAGGATTATAGAACATAGAATATAGAATATGAATATTCAAGAACCTAGATAAAATCAGCAGCAAATATCTACTCTGTACTCTGTACACTCCGTACAATCATTAAATTTACTTTAGGCGTACCCACCTGCCTATTAAGGCACTAATGGTTCGGGTCGACCCTCCAACGCCACTTATATTAATTTATCTCGTTTCTGTTTTTTTGATAGACTCTGATTTTATGCTCAACACCTGGGCAATAGATATACATTGTACGGAGTACACATTGTATACAAGCTAAATAATAAGTCGATCATTGTCTGACACGCAGAAAGGGGGCCATACCCGACCCAATCATATAGGAACCAAAACTCCTCCCCGTATTTGGACCCTGTTATTAGCGCCCCCACCAAAGGAAATCATGCAATATGCAATATGCAATATGCAATAATCTGCAATCTACAAAAATCATGCATGGAATGTTAGTGGCCTCGTGCTTGGCCCGGCGATGTCCGTCGATCTGCAAAGTTTAGTACTTTCAATACATTTAATAACTGTACTTTGATAGAGTAAAGTATATTTACGTTCCACATCTCCACTTCCACTCAGCCATTCAGAGCAAAACCGTTGTGGAAGGAGATACAGACATGTCAGACTAGAGGTCGACTTGCCTGACTAGGATTTTGTGGCAAGTCAATAGAAAAAAAAAAGGGATTTCAATAAGATTGCCCTGTTCTAAGCCACTCAAATCCAAGCTTCGTTTTCGCATGTGAACGGACCTTTCACCAATGAGAATATCCGTGGGCTTGAGTCTGTGCATTTACCCGATTCGATCATCCCGAGATGATCGACCCTTTCCATTCATTTCACGGTTCTCTATCCGGCGCGATTCCCGATGCGGTGCAAGGTGCTGACTTGGGGAGCTCAGGAACAGTACTATACGGAGTACCATAGCGATGATCGCCGATCCCGAAGCTTCTGAGTTCACAATTTAAGACATTAAGCTCGGACGCCATTCCCGAAGTAATAATGAAGAAAGCCAGATAGCTTTGGAAAGTGTAGGAAAGCGGACTTTGTACAAGATTGTACGACTGAGGGATTTAACGCAAACAGAAAACCCAAATTGAAATTACTCCAATTAGATTGATCCGGATCAAAGTTTGGCCCCGAGGGCCGAGTTTGGCTGTTTTGGCTGTTTTGGCCGCTTTGGCTGCTTTGACTGTTTTGTCTGGTTTGATTGATTTGATTGTTTTGAACGATTTGAACTATTTTGAAGTCAAGGAAATCTACTCCATAGACATCTACTTATAGACCATTGTAATGGTATCGTTACATCTTTGAATTGTCCACTTTCAATGTCACATCTCCAAGATAATCCCTTCAGCACAGACCCATTCAAAAAAGAAAAAGAAAAAAGTGGACCAGCGGAGCCAATTTCCCCCATAAAACCAACCTACTTTAGTCAACGGAGCTCCGAACCAGTCAAAGCTGTGGATTTTAACCTAGGTACAAATATATTAATCTTGGTGCCTTGAAGTTATATACGCTTCGGTTCCAGATTTGGAAGCGGAAATCTACAACCGACGGACGTTAAAACCTGAATCCCGAACCGAACTTGACTATCAATATTGTATGCAAATGCATTATGTTGGACCAAATGACCAAAAAGTTTCTGTCCTACCCCCCCAACCGTATGCACAAAAAAGTATACTCAAAGTCCGTTTGGAAAGGGATCAAAACCAAAAACCAGACCCGATGCGAGATGGATATCATAGAAAACAGAAAAGTGAAGGCAAAAAACAAAAGAGATATCTACGATGTATGCATCATCGTCCACGTCGCTGCATCACAATTGACCTCTTCAAAGCTATGCAGCATAGTAAAGCCCATGGTGGAAAGGTTATCAAAGTTGCCATCACCGTCAACCTAATATAACTGTCAGTTCAGAAACGCATAAAAAATAAACCCGGGAGGGGAAATATTACACAATCCATAACAACAGCATTAGCACTCAACTTTCGAATCTGCTTAATAGCCAACAAAACCAAACCCTGCATAACAGTCGAATAATCCTCCCCACAAGGCGAAATAACCGGTGAAGAAATGCCTCCAACAGAAGTCTGCGTAGCCCGCAAAACGGGCATATGCTCCGCCAAAGCAGAACGCTCATTATAAATTACGATGCTCCCCAAGATCAACCCATCGGAAGGTCTCTTGGCCCGAATAATCCCACAATTAGGCGCTCCACCAAGAGCCATCCGGTAGATATCCGCCACGCCTTGGCGCGCATACGTCTTAATATGTTCGAGTATAGCACGAGCGAAATCCCACCCATACACGAGGTCGTAGATAACTTGTGCATTCTGCAGCGTGGCTGTCAATCCATCGGGCGGGACCCAGGTGGACAAATTGTGGAGGACTAAGCTGCAAAGTGGCTTGGAGAGGGCGGTGTTCCAGCCCAGATTTGCAAACCACTGGCGTAGACGTTTGCGTTCGACTGGGTTGACTGTCGGAATGCCGAGATAGATTCCCGGGAGACGGGAACCGAGCTGAAAGCGACGCATCCCGTTCCGTTGGAGGAGTGTTCTGATTGCGCGACTGTGTAGGGAGTGACCGATTGAGAGGTTTCGACGACTTGGGTCGACTATTAGACAGCCTAGGACTCCTGTGCCTGTAGAGCGGAAGAAGTATGTTGCGCAGAAACCGTAGAGGGCGTGGGTGCTGCTGTTACGTACGACGAAGTGAGCTTCGTCGATGTCATCTTTTCGGAGGAGGAAGCTGCTGGATGTTGCGCCTAGGAGCTCTGACCGTTGCCCGGGTGCGCAGTCTGAACGAATGGTGTCGAGTAGAGCGTCTAGGGCGAAAGAATCGCGTTCTTCGTTCCAGTTCTCGACTAGCCAGTGCTGGCGGGAATGGTGGATGGTTTTCTGGGTGCGGCCGATGTAGCCGGGGAGCGCCGCTGACGGTGTTAGGTCGCCATATAAGACCTTCACTAGTGCCTGCAGGGCGGTTTCTGTGAAATCGTATGTGCAGATATAGGTACCGATGGAGGAGTCCATGGCAAAATCATAAGGCGAACTAACTGCCACAACGATCAATGGCTTTTTGTGTTGCTCGCCGGAGGAGGTATTATTATATTGGGATTGGCAGATCATGGAGACGTGTTTCGAGAAGCCCTGCTGGTATAGATTGCGATTTGCATCTGCTGTGACCACGACGACGGCACTTGCTCGTTGGATGAGGTCTTCGTGAATGGGACGCACGCCGTTGGATGTATACGAGGTGTGTAAAACGCGGCCATTTCGTTGTCTTGAGAGCGAGCGTCCGAGTTCTTTGAATACGCCTTCTCCGCTGAGGATTGAGGAGGCTCTTTCTGAAGACAATGGATCGAGTGGGCCATGTGCAGTCTCCGACAGCACAGAGACTGCCGAGGTTGGGAGTGGTTTGACCAGTGGGGTTAGGAGCAAAAGTTCCTCGTCTGCATCGATGACATTGGACAATGGCAGTAAATTGCTCTTATCTCGCATGACCGTGATAGAAGAGTTGTAAGCCCGGGTTGAAAGGTCAGTATGCGAGGGTTGCATTTGTGTAAGCGAAGAAAGCCCCGGAGGATTCAAGGCTTGCTCCCAGGAAGTGCAGCGGGCCTTCAGAGCCAAGACCCGGCGCAACGACTGCTCGATTCGCTGTCGGCCGATGATACCATTCTCCACCCCCAGCTTGAGTCCGTTGATGGCTTCTTGCTGGACGGGGAAGGACCGGCATAAAAGGATGACATCGCAGCCGGCGTTCTTCGCCATCACAGTGCCACCTCCTACCCCAATGTTATGTGTCAGGGCCTCCATTTCTAAGCATTCAGACACCACCACCCCTTGGAACCCAAGGTCTTTTCTCAAGAGCTCGTCGACAACCTGGTCGCTCAGGCAGGCGTGCATCACATTCATTCCAGCAGATGATAATGATACACCGCCTACCATCATAGCGTCCAGGCCTTGGGTGATGGCATTGCGGAAGGGTACCAGAGCACTCAGACTGAGTTGTTCTAGAGACTCCGTGATGATAGGGACATCCATCTGTGAACCGAGGAACTCCAAGTTGCCATAGGACGGAAAGTGTTTCCCACATGTTACCAAGCCTGCTTCCTGGTATCCCCTCATGAATTGAACACCGAATTGAGAAGCCTGTTGAGGATCATCTCCAGAAGTTCGAACACCTAGAGGTTGATTTCGTACATTGGTCAAGACATCCAACACAGGCCCCAAGATCCAATTCACGCCAACAGCCTTGAGCTCCTGTGCGGTGGCGGAAGCGATCTCGCGAGCCAAGGACTTGGAGCCCGTCGCCGCAATGCCCATGGCACTGGGGAACTGTCTGATATAAATTTCATCATATAAACTATTGACGCCCCCATTCTCCTGATCCAGAGCAATGAGTAAAGGGACGGGATGACCTGCATCACGAGCAATGGTTTGTAATTCCAAAACCAATCTCGTAGCGTCCTCGGCGGCTATCATTGCGTCAGTAGAGAAAATAATAAATAGATATGTAAAGAAACTATACATTTCAGATTCTTCGCGGATAGCAACACAGCGCCTAGATGATAATTTTCGATGAGCGATCGAATTTGTGGATTCACTTCGGTCCCATCAAAGCCCATCATAAACAATTGACCCATCTGCCTATATGCCCATATGTCAGCATTAGAATTATTTCCCAAAATGGACATTAACCTAGAAAGGATTCAGGTTCCACAATGGAAGGGGAGAGATACCCCCGACAAACGGGAGACCGGTGACCGAAACGGGCGATCGACATACCTATCTAGATCTTCCCAGCCTGGGGGCAGCATGTCCTCTTTCCGGGCCATAGCCCTGGAGGAATGCCTGTAGCCCAAAAGGTAGGATGCAAAGGGTGCAGTGCAGTGTCGGAGGTCAGTTAGACGTAAACGGAAAAGAGTCAGCAAACAAGAGAGTTGGACGTCAGGTGACTAGAGACGTTGCAAGGGAAACAACAAAAGTAGGAGAATCATAAAAAGGGGATTGGTATAAAGGAGTTCTCTCCTATCTGTCTCAACTGTTTCAACTGTCAACTGTCAACTGCCACAACTACCCAGAGCCGCAATGTCGGGGAAGAATTACCAGATAAGATAATGGCCATTGTCACAAACAGGATAGTCACGTGACCACGTCACTACTCTACATGTTGTATATAGTTATGTACGTATATACATATTGCATATGCATCTAGGTAAGTATCTAGGTAGGTAGACATAAAGTTCTCAATTCAGATTCAATGGTTTTAAGAGAATAACTGTAGATACATATATACATATATACAAATGTAGGTAAAGTGTCCAAGTCGTATGGAGTAAGTATCAGGAATACCAATATATCCCACGTGATTGTAAAATACCAGTACCAGTACCAATACCATACAACTACGACGCTACAGGGTTACAATCTTCCACTCGACTTCAACCGGATGCAACTCCTACATAAATGGAACCTTTCAATGCCTTTTTCTATCCAATTTCCCTACTGCTCTGGGCTTTTTGTTCCGCCTGCGTCATAACAAGATATCCCCGTTACTATTGTTGGCCACCACATGGTATTCCTAAAAGATACCCTTGGATTCCAACGAATGAAAAAATCGGTTCCTATCTCGTGGTCTAAACCAATTCAGAAATGATCAATATGCGGTAAATTGCAAAAGTCAAACGTCATGGGGAGGTCTATCAATCCAATCATCCACATTGGGGGCGTGCAATGATACATTTGCGGAGAGAGATCCATAGTAGTAGAAATGAGAGGTCTGGCCCTATACTACGTGGGTGATCAATTTTGGCACTGTCGTACACTCCACTGTAACCCATTCTCTGCTTTCTTTCTTTATTCTTTACTCTGGCTTTTCTCTTCTCTTCTTTCTTTCTTCCATTAACTCTCGACAACTTCAACTCGTCGACTCGCCATCAAGTGACGTAATCATGTGCGTGACATATCTGTATCGCATCGCATCGCATTGCTAATCAAGCTTGATAGGCGTGTGATTATCAGAGAAGACCCTCGCTCGGCGTCTGTGTACATCGCAGACTACATCATCAGTAAGTCAATCTTCAGTCTCCTCAATGCATACCTATCTTAACCTCCACCCAGGCCGCATTCAGGCGTTCAAGCCAACCCCAGAGAACCCTTTCGTTCTCGGTCTGCCCACTGGCAGCAGCCCAGAGTTCATCTACAAGATCCTCGTCCAGCGGCACCGCGCCGGCGAGATTTCTTTTAAAAATGTCGTGACCTTCAACATGGTAAGCACACTAAGCACCACATCAAATGATACCAAAACCAACTAAATCAAAACAGGATGAATACGTCGGCCTTCCACGCGACCACCCAGAGTCCTACCACAGCTTCATGTACAAGCATTTCTTCTCCCATGTAGACGTGCCCCCGCAGAATATCAACATTCTGAACGGCGAGGCAACAGACCTCACAGCCGAATGCGCCTCCTTCGAGTCGCGCATCGCCAGCTACGGCGGAATCGAGCTCTTCCTCGGCGGTGTTGGACCCGATGGCCACATTGCCTTCAACGAACCAGGCTCATCATTGAACAGTCGCACCCGCGTCAAGACACTTGCCTACGACACCATTCTCGCCAACAGCCGCTTCTTCGGCAACGATACCGCAAAGGTGCCCCGTATGGCAATGACCGTCGGAATCAAAACAATCATGGACTCCCGCGAAGTTGTCATCGTCGCTACAGGCGCCCACAAGGCTATCGCGGTGCAGAAGGGTCTCGAGGATGGTGTGAACCACATGTGGACCCTTTCCGCTCTGCAACTGCACCAGCACCCACTGATCGTGTGTGATCGGGATGCAACACTTGAGCTGAAGGTCAAGACCGTGCGCTATTTCGAGTCGATCGAGCAAGCCGGCACGGATGCGCGGACTCAGGGCCCGGCCTTGGTGTACCGCCCTCGGACTTATGATCCTTCAGTAAAGACTCCTACTGGGCCGCAGTCACAGCAGCTGACTCCGGACCGCACCCCCGAGAAGGTTCCTAAGGATTTGCGCATTAATACCGAGTTGCATCGCGCTATGGAGGACGAGGAACTTACCCCTGATAGTATGTCTTCGCGGTTGGTGGATTCGGCTATTGGGGGGCTCGATGGGACGATGAAGAGTGATCTTATCTTTGATCGGATGGGCACTCGCCTGACTACTCTCTAGTTTGGAGGGGATTTCTTTTTATGGGACGGGTTGAATGCATAATCGCATGGGCTAGTTGCTTTTTGAAGGAGTTTTCGTTTGTGATCTGACCGATAGACGCGTTATCTTTTGATATTCAATGCTTTTTAGGAGTCAGTCTTTATCCGAGTTTTATTCAGGGTTTTAGCTATGGAATTCTTAGCAATGTACAAATATACATTTCATAGAAAGCAACCATATCGGGATTGCTATCGATTCCCTGAGAGCGTGGCCTAGAATATGACATCTAATGGACTAGTGTCAACGCTTGAACTCATTGAAATGTGACAGGCTATTTTGTGTACATTGCATATTATTTACAGCTTGGCAAAGACCGAGGGCACAGAGCCGCTCATGTCAACAAGAGTGCTCTTGTTCTGCAGCCAAGCCTCGATACCGCGGCGACCATTCTCCACACCCAGACCGCTTTTCTTCCAGCCACCGACAGCCATCTCCGCCGGGCTCTCACCCCACGTGTTGACCCAAGTGATGCCAGCCTGGAGCTGATCAATGATACGGTGAGCCTGGTTGAGGTTGTTGGTGAAGACGCCGGCGGCAAGACCGAGCTCGGTAGCGTTGGCGCGCTGCACGGCCTCTTCAACGGTATCGTAGTACAGGATAGTCATCACAGGACCGAAGATCTCCTCCTGGACAATGCGCATGGAGTCAGTGCAGTCGGTGAAGATAGTAGGCTGGACCCAGAAACCGGCCTGGAGGTCCTTGGGCACATTGGGCTTTTCGACACCACCGCAGAGCAGAGTGGCGCGGTCCGTCTGGATACCATGTTGAATATAAGAAAGCACCTTCTCGAAGTGAGGCTTGGAGCTCAGAGGACCGAAGTTGGTCTGTTCATCGAAGAGCGGGCCTGGTCGCACATACTGAATCTTCTCGAGCAGGCTCTTCTCAAAGGCAGCCTTCATGGCGCGGGGGACGAACACTCGAGTACCGTTTGTGCAGACCTGGCCTGTGCTGTAGAAGTTGGCCATCATGGCGCCGTTGACGGCGCTCTCCAGCTCTGCGTCTGGGCAGACAATCAATGGGCTCTTACCACCTAGCTCCATGGTCACGTACTTCATGTTACCGGCGGCGGAGCCAGCCACCTTCTGGCCGGTTGCCACTTGGCCGGTGAAGGAGACCTTGGCAATCAAGGGGTGACTGGTCAGGTAAGCGCCGACGTCACCGGCGCCGTTCACCACGTTAAAGACGCCGTCGGGCAGACCGGCCTCGGTGTAGATTTCTGCCAGGGTTTGGCCGTGAAGCGGGGTGTATTCACTGGGCTTATAGATCATTGTGTTACCGGCGGCCAAGCAGGCAGCGGATTTCCAAAGGGCACTACTGAAGTTTAGCTGCTGAATTCGTTGCTGCTGTTGTTTGCTGTATACTCACATTTGGATGGGGTAGTTCCAAGCACCAATACCAGCACACACTCCCAGAGGAGACTTCTTGGTGTACACCCAGGCGTCCTCACGGAGGTGAGTGGTTTCACCGTTGAGACCACCACCACCAATGAAGTTGGCATAGTATTCCAAAACGTCGGCACCAGTGACGACGTCCACGGTGCTAGTCTCCGTAAAGGCCTTTCCGGAATCCAAAGTCTCGACACGGGCGATCTCATCATTGCGCTCACGCAGGAGAGCAGCGGCCTTGTGAAGAATACGAGCGCGGGCAATTAAAGGAGTCTGGGCCCATGAAGGGAATGCTCGATCAGCAGCGGTGATAGCGGCATCGACGTCGCTGTTGGAGGCAACTTCGATATCGGCCAATGGAGTTGCAGTGGCGGGGTTAATGGTTTGAAACGTCTTGCCGGAAGTCGCGGCTTGAACCTTTCCGTTATAATAGAGCTGACGGGTAGGGTATGGGAGAGACATGATTGTTATTGTAATTGAATATTATTTATCAAGAACTCAGACCAGGATAAGTTAAAGAGGACCTCGGTATGAATTGTTTTTGTTACACCGCCTTTGGGAAGGAAAAAAAAAGAAATGGCACTGACGCAATTAGCGGGAAACTTTTTTATGAAGATCCGATGATGTATCGGGTACTCGGCCATTGTGCAGATTTAGTACGTAATGGCTAAGTACTAGATACGCCTTCCGCGTGGCTGAAACCCCATTATTTCCCATGATCTCCCATTTTGGGGCTCTTAACCTTGTTCAAGACCGGGATTCCCACTCTAAAAAAGGTATTCTTTACCATAAAACCAGAGTGTTAGTATCGGAAGGGAAATCTTATCCTGGAATGAAAAGCCTACTATTGTACTCCAAGTTCGATAGTAACAGGCAATATCTCACAATAAAAAGATAAGCAATTGAAACTGCCGACGTTGCAGGTGAAGTTCCGCCCGTTAACTGTGGACAATGCATTATCTAAGATTTCTCTCCACTTCCAAAACATCTCCACTATGAAAGGATGACCACCACTTATATCTTCGCAAGTTCGCCGAGAAAAAAAAAAAAAAAAAAAGGAATCTGGGTAATCAAGAGAGTTAAAGGTCTCCCGATCAGCCCACCCGTTTTTCTCCAATTCTTCTTTTTATTTAACAAGGGTGGTACTCACTTCATTTCTCTTCCTATCGATACCTCCATAATTCAACATGGCTACCACCAACGATCTTCCCGCTGTCGATGTTAACAGCTATGATTACATTGTCGTCGGTGGCGGTACCGCCGGCTGTGTGATCGCTGCCCGTCTGGCCGAGTATCTTCCTAACAAGCGTACTCTGGTCATTGAGGGTGGTCCCAGTGATTTTATGGATGATCGTGTCCTGAACCTAAAGGAATGGTTGAACCTGCTCGGCGGTGAGCTGGATTACGACTACGGCACCACTGAACAGCCAATGGGTAAGAATCGCTTTCAATTCTAAGGCTACTTTACCCCCCTTTGCTGATTTCCCCTCAGGTAACAGCCATATCCGCCACTCCCGCGCAAAGGTCCTAGGTGGTTGCTCCAGCCACAACACTCTCATCTCGTTCCGTCCTTTCGAATATGATTGCCGCAACTGGGTGTCCAAGGGCTGCAAGGGTTGGGACTTTGAGACCTTCACCCGTATCATTGACAACCTGCGCAACACCGTGCAGCCCGTCCACGCCCGTCACCGTAACCAGCTTTGCAAGGACTGGGTTCAGGCTTGCTCCAGCGCCATGAACATCCCCGTCATTGAGAACTTCAACGACGACATTCGCAAGACCGGTGAGCTGTCCGAGGGTGTTGGTTTCTTCAACGTTTCCTACAACCCGGACGATGGCCGCCGAAGCAGTGCCTCTGTCGCTTACATTCATCCCATCCTCCGTGGCGATGAGAAGCGTCCCAACCTGACTATCTTGACCAACGCTTGGGTTTCCAAGGTCAACGTCGAGGGTGACACCGTGACCGGTGTTAACGTCACTCTCCAGTCTGGTGAGAAGCACACTCTGCGCGCCAAGAAGGAGACCGTTCTGTGCGCCGGCGCTGTCGACACTCCCCGTCTGATGATGCTCTCTGGTATGGGTCCCCGTGAGCAGCTATCCGCGCTCGGCATCCCCGTCGTGAAAGATCTCCCCGGTGTCGGTGAGAACCTGCTCGACCACCCCGAGAGTATCATTATGTGGGAGCTCAACCAGCCCGTGCCCCCGAACCAGACTACCATGGACTCTGACGCTGGAATCTTCCTCCGTCGCGAGCTGCCCAACGCCGCCGGCTTCGACGGTAAGATCGCCGATGTGATGATGCACTGCTACCAGATCCCCTTCACCCTCAACACCACTCGTCTCGGCTACGATGAGCCCGTGAACGCCTTCTGCATGACCCCCAATATCCCCCGTCCCCGCTCCCGTGGTCGTCTCTTCCTGACCTCCGCCGACCCCTCCGTGAAGCCCTCCCTGGACTTCCGCTACTTCACCGATCCCGAGGGCTACGACGCCGCCACTATCGTGGCCGGTCTCAAGGCCGCCCGGGAGATCGCCCAGCAATCTCCTTTCAAGGAATGGATCAAGCGCGAGGTCGCCCCAGGCCCCAAGATCCAGACCGACGAGGAGCTGTCCGAGTACGGCCGCCGCGTCGCCCACACCGTGTACCACCCCGCTGGTACCACTAAGATGGGTGACGTGCGCAGCGACCCCATGGCCGTTGTGGACCCCGCACTGAAGGTTCGCGGTCTCAAGGGTATCCGTATTGCCGATGCCGGTGTCTTCCCAGACATGCCTAGCATCAACCCCATGCTCACTGTTTTGACCATTGGTGAGCGCGCCGCTGAGCTGATTGCCGGTGAGGCTGGCTGGGCTCGCAACCAGCCCCGTCTGTAGAGCAGGAAATGCTCTGGGCTTTTACGTGCCAAAGATTTGACATGCCTGTAAAAGTTGTCCATTTTGGTTTTTATCTTGTTTTATTTTTAGCATATAAGCGAGCGGCGCAGAGCTCCGTCGGAGTCGGCTTAGTCGAGATATTGGATTAAATACTTCGTACATAGTATAGTACAATTGAATTACGTTGTGACTAAAGGGGTGATTCCTAAGAGTATTTGTTGTATGATCAATAATTCTTCATCTTCCCTCGCTTTCTTCTACCGATGAGAAGTGAATATTCTCGGTTCAGAACCTCCGCTTGATCCAGTAATTTAAGTCATTGATAATTATAGCCGGTGGTGGACAGCTGGTGTTTCCTTAACCTGTTCTTCCAGTAAGCATGCAATTCATGTCCTGGTGCAACAGGCTACACTTGATCTAGTAGATCAATACTATATATACACTAGCACACTGTAGACTATTGTGAATAGGTGTTTTAAAGATGTATTACTATCTAGTGCGCTGCTACCACACGCCGTAACCTAGTATCGAAGATGAAAACATATGGAAAACCGCCAGCGGGAAAAAAAGAAAAATATCACACCACCGCCTTCTCAGTATCGTGGATTTTAACCCCGAACTTCCAGACCTGATCCACTGTCAAAACAGACCCCGCAAAAGCATCTTCATATTCTCCCAAGATCACCAGATCCGCATCAGCCCCACTCTCCAGCGACCCCTTCACGCCCTCAAGGCCCAGTAATTTGGCAGGTGTAGCCGTAACAGCATTGATAGCCTGCGCAGTCGAAGCACCTGACCAGCGTCGGAAATTATTGACGCACTCAATCAGCGTCGCCGAAGAACCGGCAATCTTATCAGACCCCTCAAGCGTCAGCCGCGCACCAGACTTGACAATCCTCTCTCCGTTAGTCCAATCATAGACACCGTCGGGTAAACCACAAAGCCGCATAGCATCTGTCACAAGCACACACCCATCGGGGTGGGCATTGTACGCGATCTTGATAGAAGTAGGGTGCAAGTGGATGCCGTCGGCGATGATACCGTAGAACGGCCTCCGGCGCTCGCTCTGGCCGAGCAGACCGAAAATACCAGGGTTGCGGTGGTAGAAAGGACGCATGGCGTTGAAGAGGTGGGTGATCATTCGCGCGCCCTGGTGGGTTGCTGCCACGGCCTGCTCGTAGGTTGAGTCGGAGTGGCCGATGGAATAGATGATGCCGCGTTTGGTGAGTTCAGGGATGTGGGCCATCATGTTCCCAACTTCTGGGGCGGCAGTGATCATCTTGATTGGGTTTTCTTGGAGATTGTTGACGCCATAGACAGTCAAGAGGTCTTCGAAGGTTTCTGCGGACTGCAGGACTTCGGACTTGTGGATCCCGTTTCTACCAGGACTGATGAATGGTCCTTCGGCGTGGGCACCGAGGGATTCAGCGCCGTCGGTTGCGATGTGGGTCTTGGCTGTTGGAGCTAGGGAGGGGAGGACCTGTAGGAGTGGCGAGGATTAGTTGAGAGGCAGTTCAGAGGATATCTCGAGAAAGGACTGACCTTGTGGTATACTTCGGCGGTGGAACTGACGACGGTTGGCAGGTAAGAGGTGACACCGGTCCGGGCGAGACCTTTGTTGACCATGCGCAGACCCTCGTCATACTCGTCCTTTGTGTCGGCCGGGACTGAGAAGTCGAAGCCATGAGCGCCATTCAGTTGGACATCGATCATCCCCGGGGCGACGATACGACCGCCGAGATCGATGATCTCATCTGGGGACAGGTGGAGTTCATAGAAGGCTTCTTGATCTTTGAGGATTTTGCCAGTGAGTGAGTCAATCCACAGGTCTTGATCGACTAGAGATGAGCCGCGCACCAGTCGGCAATTGGTGAACTTGGTGATGCGTGGTTTCGTTGTTTTGCCGGGCATGATTTGGGTGAAGGTAGATAGATGATGGAGATAAAAGAGATAAGTCGAAGTTAAAGAGTAAAAAAGGAAATCAAGTACATAATAGATAAACGCCGAACAAGGTAACACATGTAACACCACAACTTACTGCTTCTTTCGTTATATAGTGACATTCGGCATGCCGATGTGGTAGTGACTGAACCCGGCTGCTTACCGTACTGTCCTGGTATTTGGATTGTATTTGAGCTGTAATTGAATGTCCTTGAATTGTATTTAAACCGTATTTCATGTATTTGAACTGTAATGGAATTATGAAATTTACCCGAATGCAGTTGTTTGCATGCGGATGCAACTCTATTGTGGTCGCATCGTAAGTGGATAGTTCGACTTTAACGTTGACTACTAAACTACTACTAATCATCCTGGGCACTGGCGGTAAACTTGGATACTCATGTTCCATTTCATGACTTTCATCCACTTCTTCACCGTGGTTCGCCCTATCCCCCCCCCCCTTTCTTCTCCAGAGTCTCCATCTTTTCCATTTTCTTCCCCCGCAACCCCATATGAATGATGGTGTCACATCGAAAAAAAATGGATCGAGAGATAAGACCAATCCTCGGCTACTGAATCTAAATCAATTTATTCGTGTACTAAAAAGACTAGTGTTTCTCTGCCAAAAAAAAAGTCGTCTTCAATTTCTGAACTCCCTTTCTTCAATCATTCTTCGCGCTTCTGCTTCTCACGTGGAAGCATTCCTCCCTTGGTTCAATTGTTATTATTAAGAAATATTTCCTACCAGTAGATCTGTCCATCTCATCTTCTTCCCCCCAAAATCATGACAGAGGAGAAGAAGGAACAGAGTCAGGAGATGTCAGAGCAATATGCCTCGTCCACACCCAGAGCCGAATCCGGAGTGGATCAAGCAGTGATAGGTCCAGCATGGATGTACAAACCATTGTTCAAAGTTGGCAAATGGGAAGCACCTTATTTCGCTTCCCCGGAGATGCAATTATACCTGGTGTCCTTGGTCTGTTTCTTGTGTCCCGGCATGTTCAACGCCGTTAGTGGACTCGGGGGCGGTGGCCAGGTGAACGCTCACGACGTGAACAACGCAAATACAGCCCTATACAGTACCTTTGCAGTAGTGGGTTTCTTCGCCGGCTCCATCGCCAATCGGATTGGTCTGCGATTGACCCTGTCCTTGGGTGGATTGGGTTACTTCCTCTACGTGGCGTCTCTGCTTTCATACAATATCAACCAGAATGCAGGCTTCCTCATCTTTGCCGGTGCCTTCCTCGGTGTTTGTGCGGGTCTGCTGTGGTGTGCCCAGGGTGCGGTGATGTTGAGTTATCCCCTTGAACACGAGAAGGGAAAGTACATTGCTATTTTCTGGGTGATTTTCAACCTGGGTGGTGTGATTGGTAGCTTGGTATGATCTTCCCCTCAACTTTCCTACCCCAGACCATACTGATATTCGCAGGTCCCCCTCGGCCAAAACATGCACTCCACCGCCGGTAACGTCAACAATGGAACCTACATCGCCTTCCTAGTCATGATGGCCATTGGCTTTGTGCTCTGCTGGTGCCTCGTCGACTGCAAGCATGTCAAGCGCAGAGACGGCTCCCGTGTCATCGTGATCAAGAACCCCACTTGGAAATCCGAGTTCCTGGGTCTGTGGGAGACTCTCATCAACGACTCATACATTATCTTGATGTTCCCCATGTTCTTGGCCAGCAATTGGTTCTACGGATACCACTTTAACGCCGTCAACCTTGCCTACTTCAACGTACGCACTCGAGCCCTCAACAGTCTCCTATATTGGTTGATGCAGATGGTTGGAGCTTTCATCTTTGGTCAACTGCTGGATTTGAAGGGTCTGTCGCGCCAATGGCGCGCCAAGCTGAACTTTGGGATTCTGCTCGCTGTGACCATGGGCGTTTGGGGCGGTGGATATGCCTTCCAGAAAACCTACACCCGAGAGAGTGGTGATATCGGCAAAGACTTCACTGACAGTGGCTACATCGGCCCTATGTTTTTGTACATGTTCTACGGATTCTACGATGCCGCGTTCCAAACCTGCACCTACTGGTACATGGGATCTCTCTCCAACAACAGTCGCAAGCTGGCCAACTTTGCCGGTTTCTACAAGGGTATCCAGTCTGCCGGTGCTGCCGGCATGTGGAGGTAAGCCCCCCTCTCAAAGAGAAAAAAAAAGACGTCTTTACTAAACAAAATCTAGCCTGGATGCCAAGGAAACACCCTACATGACCGAATTCGCCTCGTGCTGGGGTATCCTGGTGGGTAGCATGGTGGTCGCCTCTCCGGTGATCTTCTTCAAGATCAAGAACAGCACCGCAGTCGAAGACGACCTCCGCTTCTCAGATAACACCGCGGCCGATGTCATGGGTGATACCACTGAGCTTTCTGAAATCGAGAAACCCCAGACAGAGAACCACACTCCGACTGAGACACTCCGCGAGTCCACCGATGAGCCTACACCCAAGGCTTGAACATTTCAATGTTCCTGTATACCACGGTTCAATTTTAGATTTCATTCACCTGTCCGCTCACTAAACGAACTGCATTTACGAGGCGTGTCAAATTTTTGTCTTTCTCACTCGCGAGCTTCATATTTATTGAACGTTCAATGTCAACTCCTTTCCTTCTGTATATTATTTGGTGCCTCGTTGCTGTACGTATGAATGTGGAATATTTCGCTATGGGGTCTGTTGTCAGAGATATGTCAGGATTTGAGCTCAATGGTTTTAGCATTCCAATGATATTTCACTGGAAATGAAATATATCCCATCAATAATGCAACTATGTAATCAAAATCTCCTATCTACACGGTCACTAGAATCAAACCTTCGTCGCCGTGGGTAGAGGGACAGAGGCCTGTGTATGAGTCGCATGCTTGGGCCCCTCGGACCCAGTATCCGCCTTCGCCTTCTCCTCGCCCTTCGACAATTCCCACCCGTACAAGGTCCGATTGAAAAGCTGCAACGAAGCCTCAGGCTGATAGTACGGCACCTCATGACCAGCCTCATAAACCCGAGTGAAAGAGAAATTGCCATACTCCCTTGTCTGGCCATACTCGACACCATCAACGGTGAAAGGCGCATAGCCAGCCTTCCGGAACTGGTCACTGTGCTTATATTTCGCAGACAGGGAGACTGCCTCCCCACCAAACCAATTACAGATGTAGTCTGCGTCTCCGTAGATGAGAGCCACGCGCACGGGTCGCGAGAGGATATCTTCCAGATCGGAGAGGAAATTCGGCCAGACGAAATCGCCGGTCTGCTGGAAGGCGAAGTAGACCTCGTTATTGGACTGGGTGTAGTTTACGTCGACGCCTAGGGCGTTGAGGACTTTGTCTTGTGCCAGGTAGTTGGTATAGTAGCTTTCTGGGGTTGGATCGTTGCGGGGATGACGGATATCATAGGTGCCTCGGCCGCTGAAGGAGTAGTAGGGGCCCTCTGGTGTAGATTAGCAACTGCTTTCAAGATTATTTCCAAGTTTAATTTAGGACATAACGAACCGACGTTGTCGCGGCACATATTTGTTGCCTCGGTACAGAGTGCATGGTCGGACAGTGAGGTGCGGTTTGTCAACTTGCAGGTCAATACTTGGTCCTGGCAGCCATTTGGCATTTCGTTTGCGAATTTCATGTAGTTGTAGACGGTATCGTTGACCTACGTTGGTTAGGGTATATGTATACATCCATGTATGTTCGAGCCCACTTACAGCCTTGATGCCGTAGGTATTGTTGACCGCAAACTCGGGGTAGTATGGAGCTTGGATGCCTTCGTCGATGATGCCGTTAATTATACCAAGAGTGTTGAACTCCAGCTGAATGCCATGGTGGGTGCCATTGGCGATCTTCAAGTTCTCCGTGTAGAAGTGATCAAAGAACTTAGTGATTGTCAGTGTCAAAAGAAAAGTGGTCAAGGCTACTTAGTTCGCTTACAGCAGGGCCATAGTGTCTAGAAAGGGTCAGTAAAGGACTATACACATTCCATTTACACTCGGACTCACCCTCCATAACTTTCGGTCCACAAGTTGAAACTCTTCGACTTGATTTTCGAGTCCAACTTAGGGAGACCACCCAGGAATCCCTGCAAGACTTCCCAAGTAGCCTTGGCAGCAAGCTCAGTTGTATCAATGGCAGTGGCATTAATGATTGGATAGCGGCCGTCGATGCCAGCAAAGTCGGGGGTTTCATAAGAACCCGTAATTGGATTCAATGTACCGGGCCCCTCTTCAGCATAGGAGAAGCCTATAAAAGAAAGTTAGCCGCAATCCCCAAAGTGCATGTAGCAAACATAGCCATACCAACACCCAGCGGCTGCGACAAGAACAGCATATTCGAAACCTCATTCCACGAATGCTTGTTAATATAAGTTTCATTGTCCTTGTTGACCCGACAAGGTCCCAATTCCTCAAACAGTCCAATCAACGAATCACTTCCCGGACCACCGTTCAGCCACAAGGTAATCGGGGCATTTTCGGGATCATGACGAGCCTCAAAGAACCAAAAGAAAGTATGCTCCGTCGGTGAAATATCAACATAACCGGCATAGGATTTGACGCCGGGGGTCGTCTCACAGACGCCTTCTTTCCCGGGCTCCTTATAGCGAATCGTGACATTATTCGCCGTCTTAATGGTCTTCACATTGGTTGCATGCTTGGGTAACTGTCGTCGGAATAAAGACTCATACCCCTCAGGCACTGCAAGGGCCGCTACAACGGGCAATAATGGGATCCAGGAGATACGCATTATGGATGTTAATAAATTTGTCAGGGAACCAGGGCTGGGGTGGCTTACTTATAGAGATGGGGAAAAATGGGGCAGGTAGAATCAACTTGTATAAACAGAGACTAGTGGGGATGATTTAGACAAATCACAATCCCCAGAGGCAATGGATCATGAGATTAATTCGTGTAATCGGCATCCATTATTTCCTGGGGGGGAAAGTTTGGCGCAATAAACCAGACATGGGTTGCCTGGACTGCGATCTCCGTTGGAGTTCCGGCAGAGTCGTATCCCGGCTTGTCTTTGTTGGCATTGTACTCGACCAAGTTGGGGCTCGGCAGGGTCCACTTGGCGGGGTGCTATAGTAGTGATTCGGGTACTCCGATTGTAGGTGAGCTACGAGTGAGGGGAAGATCGACAAGATGCAGGGTTGTAGATGGATTGTATGGGCTTTTGCATTTTGCCAAGAGGTGTAGGCTCCAGTGTTTGGTCTTTGCGTTGGTTTTAGGAGCATTTTGTCAAATATGACATATATTTTGTAGGATGTAAGCGATCAGAAAGGCGATAGGTCACTGTAAATGGCGTGCTATCCATCTTTGTAATTTCTGTTGAGAGCACAGGATTATTTCAAGTTTGAATACTGTTCACAGAGATAAAGGACGGTTAAATTGTTCCCAGGGAATAATGATAATGTTAACATTAATGGATCATGGTCAATCTGATGGTCAAATAGAATCTCACTGCGTTTGTCTCCCTCGTCTGCATCAAGGGAATATGCCATTGGTGCTCTCTCTACCATAGAGAACCTTCATCGTGCCACTAGCATCAGTGTAGTAAATAGCACCAGTCTTCTTATACCCAACCCAAGTATCTGTACCCATAAATGCATTACTCCACTGGAATGTATCCCCACTACCCTGGCAATTATACAAGCTATGAATGACAGTGGTATCGGTAATCAAACCAATACCCCAGACAACAGCATAGATATGGATGGTGGCGCCGCCGACCGGGGCGATAGCACCGACACTCCAGGTACTGGGGGACAAGCTTTGGGCACCGGGGACGACAGTATAGCTCCCGGAATTCTTATAGCGGATGAAAATGCGCCATTCGCTGTCACAGGTGTAAAGCAAAGACAAGCTGGGAGTCTGGCCATACCAGGAGTCCGTTGATGGGAAGGGATTGGTGAAGGGACCAAAGAGGGAATTGGTGTTGACGACAATGTTGCTGCCTGAATATAAGTTTGCTTGTGCGACCGTGGTCTGGTCGGTGTCGGCCAAGCTGAATTTCTGGATTGCGAGCGTGGTGCAGTGCTGGGTGGCGGTGACTACTGCTTGAGTGGTGCTGACCACCACGACTGCACTGGTCGAGGTGACAGCTTCAGTGAAGGTCTGGTCAAGGGTGACATCCACCGTTGCGTAGTCGGTAGTAGTGCTTGAATCCACAGTGGTGAAGTACACAGTGGCCAGCACGGTTGAAGGAATCGTCGAGGTAATCGTATCTGTGTCGGTGATATCGGTTGTAACAGAAGTTGTGACCGAAACACTGGCAGTCTGAGTGGTGGTGACAGGAAGTGTTGTGGTAACAGTAACCTATAGTGTGTTAGGGACTGTCAAAGAGATACGAGAGATAGAGAACAATACAGTAGGGGTGGCTGCCGCAATAGTAGTAGTGATAGTGACCGTAGGAGTAGTCAGATGCAAGCAGTTACAAGCATTGGTGATGAAGGCCTGGTTTTGCTTTTGAAGACAGGATGGCGTAGCAACGAATCCACGCTTCTGCTCCGAGCGACGTCGATCATAGATGATATCAGTTGTCGTGGAAGCGACCAACGAGACGACTGTACTAGGCACGACATCCGTCACAGTAGCAGTAAAGACATCGGTGATAGTAGCAGTATCAGTAACGTCAATGGTGATGACAGTCGACACAGTCTCAGTCATGTCAATGATCTCAGTAACGGGGGTGGTGGTGAAGTCCACCTCGGTGGCAGTGAAGAAGTCACTGACAGTGATTACAATGGTCTCGGTTGCGGTGACGGTCTCGGTACCTGTAGTGTATGCTGTGGCGGTTGTGGTGGTCACTGCAGGGGTAGAAGTGGTAGAGATAGTCTTGGTAGAAGTCTGAATTCCCAAAGCACTTGTACAGAAAGCATCTGCTTTCGAGTCGAGCTTGAGAAGTCCCACAACGAGAGTCTCGAGTAGACAAAAGTCTCGTTTCTGAATGATTGGAACGTCTTCATTGACGGGGAGTCCAGTGGTTAGACCGATGAGGGCGGCTGTCGCCAACGCCAAAATTCGGATCATTGTATAGGAGAGAAATGCCCGAGGAATTGTATTGGAGGTAGGAACTGGAGCAATTCGCTGAGTATTTATACTTTGCTACACAATCTACCGATTCTAGCTTTGAGTGCTTCGACCGAACATGCTACTGGGAGCATAGTCGTTCCGTTCCATTGTGAGGATGAACAAGCCGACGTAGTTGGCACGAAGACTGAGTTTAGTCCCAGAACTGTAGGACCAAGTCAAAATAAGCGGTTTCTAGCCTGGTTCGGTCACTAGTCTCTGCGGGGTGTAGCTTAGCTTGGAATCAAGGCCAGTCATTGAACGACAAGCTTTCTCATTGTCGGGGTGACCGGGACGGGATCAGCCAGTATGAAAGAGTAAGCGACGAGACTAGACGCCGAACAGACGATGGCCAGTGAGGTTAAAGTTCCAGTTGCCAGATTAGGGCAAGCAGGGACAGCATCAAGCCCGGACAAGACCGAGGACCGAGAGCAACTGACAGGAAACTTCGAATTGAATTTAAGCTAGACAAACGCCACTATGGCTATTGATATCACACACTTATAAGTAAATACTTATCGTATAAAGTACTAACTACTCAGGTAATAATATATGCACATTATTTTAGACTTCAAAAGAGCACTCCGTACCTCGACAGATTAAGATATCAGGTATTACGTGCTTCACTTGCATAAACACTAGTTAGACCCATCAGCAGGCCACGTCTGTTTCCTACGAATTTTCGCCACACGGAGAGGGAAGTATAAGCCGAGGGTTCCTGGAGGTAGGAACGCCCAAGGCATCAATCTGAAAATCAGGACATAATAAGCAGAACATTAGTCCTTTCTTCCGAACACATACGTATGCGAATAGCATTACGATCACATAGTTTATAATCGTTTATCCTCGTTGTGGAACGGACTCTTTCTAGAGCTGCCGATCTCTGGAAATTCGACTCGCATATCATTTCCTGAGCATTTGCATAACATAGGCATATATTTAGAACCGAACTGGATGATAAATATTGTATTGGTACAATAATAAATAAAGTATTCTGTAGCACGTACGGAGCAGTAGAGGGCAAGTTCAGTTATTATTCGTCAATTGTTCAATTCTCTCGATATTGACGCGTTATCCTCTTCCTCTTTAACCTCAACCCCAAACTCCCCCTTGATCTTGTTTCTTTTCCAGCATTGCATACCGCCACACAATTCCCCTTGAATATGACAATAGAGATGATTATTGGGAACACACCTTGCAAGTTGGCCTTGCAGTGACGCAGATTGACTAAGAGGCCGGAATAACCAATTCCGAAATTATCCCTTGAGGCCGTCAGCCTCCTACGGTCTTAGACCATGAGATCATCCCAGCCCATCTCTCCTACACGGATGGGGGTGCTCATTTCGCAAATTACCGTCTTTGATTGGCCAATTCGGGGATGTCAAGCGGAATACCATGCCACAAAGACAACGAGAGGGCACAGACAGCCCCCTGATTCCCCACCACGTAATAAAAAGACCCATAAAAAAAGAACAAAGAGAGAAAGGTCACAAAAAGAAGGAAATGAAGGCTTCGCACGGTATCAACTCCGATATTACACGTTGGTCAGGAAAACCTATTATTCTGTGTGCAGAGGGGGACCTTAAGACGTCCCCGGAGCCGTTTTCTCCTCGATCTCGATTAAGTTGTCTCACAAGTGAAACCCACGATTGTTCAACCTCGACGATTTTCGTCGTTCGTTTCAAAGAGTGGCGGTCAGATCCACTCTTCAATTTTCTAATCTCATTCTCTTCCTGTCTCTGTCTCTCATTTTCATATCTTAGAAACCCAGGTTGATGGGTTCTAAAATAAGACCTTGCATGACCAATATCTCCAGCCCATTATGAGTGCCCCCTGAGGCTGGTTCTAATCGGGATTATTTCATATTTATGCATCCCGGCACATTACATGGGCATTAAACTCAATCTGAAAAGTCTTGCAAGACGAAGCTTCCTCTTATAGTCTCTGGACGGGGCGCACCATTACCCTTGGGAACTCTTCTGTCTACACTGCAAACAGACTGTGGGACTCAATTGAAAGATCATGGCGGCGCCAGAGATTCACGTCCATGCACCCATGGAGGATGATAAGAGATCGGTTCTAACAACGATCGCCGAGAGACCATCAACTCCGTACCCATCGCATCCGATTCCTCAACTTCAGGGTCCCTTTGAAGAATCCATTGTGGAAACGACCGATAATTCCGGAAATGATTGGGTCGTGGAGATTGATGCACAGACACGGAGGCGCGATCTGTTAGAAAATGATGAATATGAACGACTCTGTGGGAGGAAATGGCGCCAAAGAGAATCGGAAAAGTGAGAGAGAGACTGATAACCCTCGTACGGGGTCGTTGCATGCTAAACTTTGCGTGAATAGATTTCATCCGTTTTGGAAATTGATCTCTCAAATGGTGTTCGGAGTGCATCTCCTAGCCAAGGGATTGGCAAGATCGGAAGTGTCGGTCATGAAGATCCTACAGAATCATGTTAATGAATTGGATGGGTTTCTGGAAAGGACCACCGAGGACTTCTTGATTGTACAGCTAGATGTTCGCACCCGAATCCAGTATCTGAGTCTACCTCTGAGCAACCTGGACGTCTTCGATGAGATGCTTGTGGACCGAAATTTCCGACTCTCGATTGTCTCCTACAATGATCAGATTGAACATTCCATTGACAGATTTACCCGTACGATCACTGACTCCCTCAAAGACCTACAAAAGGCCAAAGAAGCAATGGGTGCCCTTTGGTTCTTCTTTAAGGAACTCAGCAACGAGGGCTGCTTTGCATCCGAGAGTCTCAAGGCCTTTCATCAAGCTATGACAGATAATATGGAGGGTTGGATTGTCGCCATCTCCAAGCTTCGTCGACAAGGCAGTGCTCTCCAAAAGGCGTTGAGCCAACTTGGTTTGGCAACTACGGAAATGCAGCGACGTGTGGGGGTTGCGAGTAGAAAGGACGTGGTGAGTTGGATTCCCGTAGGATCAAAATTCCGATAGTTATATGGGCTAATCCTCCCCAGCGATTGTTTGCGAAACAAAATAATAAGGCCATGAATCGAAGCAAGTCTGTCAGACAGAGGCTTTTTGAGAAAAGGTCGTCTACGATCTCAGAGAAGCCGCTCCCACGCGATCCATTATCCTTGAAACCAAGGACTCCAACGACTTCCAAGCATTTCGATAGTCCTCCAACCACAGCTAAAGATCAACCGGACACTCCCGCACGTCGACCCAACACCAGCGAAGGAGTTCGAAAAAGGATCCTGAATAGAGCCAAGTCATGCAGTGCTCTGATAGCAGAAGCCGGCGCTGGCGCCGAGAAACCACCACCCATTCCTTCAACACCTTCAACGCCCGGAAAGCTAAAGCGAAAGCTGTCCAAACCCTTCTTACTAAAACGGTCCGCTAGCGAAAAGCTCGACTTGAGCAAAGACCGACCCCGAACCGCACCTCAACCATTACGACCCTCACGAAGCGTCTCTATAGAACAACTACGAGCATTCTGCACAACACCACGACCTCGAACCAGACAATCAATGGTCAAATCGCCCACACAAGCCCGCCAAGAGGCCCACGACCAACTTACCAATGGCCGGGAGACCATGAAAAATCAAATCTCCCAATTCCTCAAGACCGACCGTGTAGTGGAGGCCTGGGACAGTGTATCGAAGAACGCCTCATGCTGTGTACGCCCCCTCGCCAAGACAAAAGAAAAGTGGCCCAGCAGTATTTTCCGCACCAAATCATCCACCACACTACAGAATAATCAGGGTGATACGCTCTCCGGGCCGGACCTGGAAAGACAGATGTCATGGGTGCAAGAGACTTCCGATGTATTACCTACGCATTCCTTCAAAGCCAAACCGGAAACCTCGCCCCGGATCCATGTTTTGTCAGTGCAGATGACTCTCGATGCGGAAGCTAATGTGGCTGAGAGAGAGGCGAGTTTGGATTTAAGAAGCGAGAGCTCTATTACTGCGTTGCCGGCTGTGCCGGCGCCTCCCATTCCACCGGTATGATCAATCAATCAAGCGTTGATATTTGGATATTTTGCTGACTTGGTTTAGATTACTTTGGAACATCGATCTACATTGATTGAGTGTGCGCAAGGTTGATGTTTGATATTATCTTTCTATTAGGATCTAATCTATATCAGAATGTAATACATCACCACTCTAGCATGGGGCAAATCCAGTTAATTCATCAACCCAACTAATCCAGCTATTCAGGTCAATAATTAGTCAAAGCCGAGTACCCATGCACAGCCTTGATCAATACGCTGTTCTCCATTTTTTCCGTCAGCCTTGCGCCCCAGTATACTTAGTAGATCCATCACGATTGGCCGTAATGACTGCGCCACGCGGTTGAAGATCAGTTTCAGTTCTCAGTCACTTTATGTTCTTTATCACATACGTAACGTATATATTTGGAGATTTCTCAACCAATTCTTTGTTTTTTTTTTAACTAATATACCTCTTAAGTACTGGTACAAAAATTAACATACAAATACCACCATAAAACGGAGTCGCAGTACTCCCAGCCCATTTCAAACTGCAGCCTAATCTGCCAAGGACCCACCGCCCCCCCAGCCCCCGTTGACGAACATCTTGATTTCTTCTGCTTTCCTTCTTGATCTCGCAAGAACTTCAAGTGATCCCTTTCTGTCTGTCTTTCCAGATACTAAAATGGCTCCTCTACACCCTCGCTGGTGGTGAGTTATTATATCCGTGAAACTGAAACAGAGAGAGAAGAATACTAACTCTCAAAGCTCTAGTAATTACTACAACGATGACTGCAACTCAACGTGGGATTCTTGGGGTCGATGGGTAGCTTTCGCTGTGATTGTCGGCGTAGCTTTCCTTCTCTTCTTCTCATTTGCGTAAGTTTCCGCAACCTCAATCCTAAAGAATCCAGAATCTAACCCCTTCACCAGATGCTTCAATGCCCGTCGCCGCAGAAACCATGGTCGGCGACCTCTGACAGGAACTGGATGGATGGCACCTCCCCCTGGACCTCCACCACCAAATCAGCCTGTCTATCAGCAACCAGGCTACGGTGACCCATACTACCAGCAAAACGCACCTCCGCAATACAGCGCAAACCCCCAGAACTACGGCTACTTTGGAGCGCAAAACGCACCTCCCCAACAGCAAGGAATCGAGCTCCAGCAGCCACCACACGTGTACCATGCCAATAACGGATATACGCCTCCTGCTGGGCCGCCCCCGAATGGTAGCAAGGTCTAGATCTGATCCTAGACAACCCAAAGCTTAATGAGCGTGGCTTTGAAGGTCTTCCGATATTGCGTTTTCCCATAAATGCAGAATTCTAATGGTTTATGGCGTTTATCAACTTAAGGGCGCAAACATGAATTTCTTGGTTTCAATCTCAATACCCGCATGGGTGGCTGTTTTTCTTTACCTATAATGTCTTACGGCTTTTGTGTTTTTGGATGAAGCTTTGGGTTCATACTTCTCCCCCAGGGTAAGAAAATCTGGGTTATGAATTTCTGAGTTATCTCTCGTACATTGTTTTTCTCTAATGACATATTCTGATCGGCCGAAAAGCTTTGGATAACGTTTCGAAATAGAATTAGGGTTGCTTTTGACAGCCAACTGGTTGGTTCAGATGTAGATCTCTTCGGTTGAAAGTAGAATGTCTAAACCGAACATTGCGCTTGAAAACTTTTCTGCATCTTTAGTAGAAGAACAAATAAAAAATTCATATCAAAAACCTCTTTACAATGCATACTGTGTATGTGAATAGTTGATATGCCCACCGCTTAGTGGATACGCCCATGTCGCGGACTCCGCCCTACATTGATTTTCTTTGCGACAACCCGCAACAACCAAAATGGACATTGACGACATTCTCGCCTCCGTTGATCATGGACCAGGCGCAAGTCTTGAGTCCGCAGGACTAGACCACCAACTCCTAACGCGCTTTTGGGTCGCCGAACGCGCCGTCTCAGAAGTCCTACCATGGCCCGCACCACTAATGGAGCGCATGATGGACCGCGTACGGAATCAGGTAATTCACCACGGGCATAGCAAGTACCATCACCAGCTAACAAAACCAAACCAGATCGAAACAATTGAAGATCTAGCCGCTTCGTCGGGCGACGCAACAATAACAACACATACCCACAACCCCAACCTCAATCTCCGTCTCTCAATCCTCCAAACCGACCTCGCTCGCACCCAATACTTGATCCGCAGCTTGTTGCGCGTGCGGCTAGCAAAAATAACGAAATACAGCATGCATTACCTTGTCCAGCTTGGATCGCGAAATCAATCCTCCCACACACAATCCCAATCTACACCCTCATCTCAAGCGAACCAAGCTCCCGAGGACTCTATACCGGAGATATCATCGTTGACGGATCCGGCGCCTCTTTCGGGGCCGGAGGTTTCATTCTTGCATGCGCATCAGACGCTGTTGGCGGGCCACTTTGGCGGGTCGTTCATGGGTGCGTTTCCGAGGCAATTGAGACGGTTGGATGATAATGCCGGTGGGACGAGTATGATACAAGGGCCGGAGATGAGGGAGCTTGTCTTTGTACGCTGTCTCGGGGCTAGTGTGCCTGTCCTTGTCGGGGGCGATGAGGAGGAGGAGAGTGGGGTTGTGATGCGGATGGGGGATATTTGGGGAGTGAGGTGGGAGGGCGTTAAAGAGGCTTGGGGGAGAGGGGAGGTTGAATTGTTGTAATTTAGGGTTTTATTTGATTTGATACTCATAGCGGACGGTTCTCGATCTCATGGTTGGCGTTGGTTACGATATGTATATTCATTTTATACACAATTTTTGGCAATAAATCATTGATGGCTGAAATCATATGTTGATTCGTTTCAATTCGTTCTCCCCCGGAAGACGCCAATCGCTAAGCTCAGATAAACGCAAGCAATTTCCCCTAAACAACCACCGATGCGAGGACTGGATCATAAGATCATGAGATGGAGAGCAAGGCAAAATTTCAGATACGGGTTGTCGCTGTGTCTATGCAACATACCCATAGGTAGGTGGCTCCTCGCCAACTCGCTCCAGGTATTCACGGTCAATCAGGCTCTCAATACGCCGCTTGATCATGTTGACATCTGGTACGAAGCGAGAAGAAAGTTGGGAAAGAGTCTCGGTCATCAATTGAGAATGGGTGAGAGTTTTTCGTTGCCTGGAAGATGTTAGTCAAGTCTGTCGAACCACACGGCGATGATAGGGAGAAACATACTTCATTATACGAACAATGGCAGCTTCAATACTGCCACCGCGTTCTTCATTCATCTTCTTCTCGGTGTCCTTGCGCTGATCCTGATTTTCGACCTTGTTGGCGCCACCGCTGACGACTCCAATGCGTACCTTCACGAAGGGGCTGTGGAAGTCGTGATTGAAGGTGAATTTATCTGTAGGCTTGACATCTTTGCTCATTGGGTCTTTCTTTAAGACTCGGGTTTTCGGAGCAACTGCTAGTGACTGCAAATTACGGATGAGATCGTGATCGGGAATCTGAGTGCGAGTTTTGATCTCATCAAATGTGATAGCCTCGCCATCCGGGGTGGTATTGAATAGTAATAGGATGACCATGGCATACGTTGATACATTGAGCTCATATCGTTGTACCTTGCCGTTTGAGCGGACAAAAGTGGCTCGAAGGTCTCCGGTTCCCATGCTGGCTTGCCACGAAAGTTTGCGGCCACTATGTTTGTCAAGATAGAAACGCTCAAAGCTTTGTTTGAGAGTATCGATTTCCTTGGGGAAAATGCAAGATAACTGGATGTCCCCTTCTTTCGTGTTGGCCATGATTTCCATTGGCCACATTGTACTGGTGAGCACATTGATCTCCAAGTCCACCGGTTTTTGGTCAGGATCACCATTGCGGGCAATGTGTTCCTTGTAACTGGTTGTGAGATCTTCCGAAACAGTCATGTCTTTGAACATAGACTCGATGCGCTGGGTGAATTGATTGCCGACCTCCATCTTCATCTTCGAGATCATTTGTCGTTCTGCGTCCATGCTTACAGAGCGTTTCATCAGTAGACGGCGGGACAAGTGCTTCTTGTAGTATGTTTCAAAGAGATCCTTGTCTTTGATATATCGCAGCAGCATAATACCGTTGTCCAAGAGAGTGTCCACCTCATTCTCGGTCTTTCCTTTGATTCCCTTCTTCAGGTTTTCATCGAAGAAGAGCGAGAGATACTCGGAGCTTCTGGAGTTCATGTTGATGAATTCGGCGAAGCTGGCACCAATTGAACTTTGGAGGCCCTGATCAGATGCGAAGGCGTTCTCCCAAATGCCATCGAACTTCGTCTTGAGGGCAAGAATGTCGTCAACCCAGCGAATTGCCGAAACTGTTTGCTGATTCTGGGGCTTTTCCTTGTTTTTTCCCTTGTCCGTCTTTTTTCTCACCTTCCCCGCTCTTCTCTGCCGGCGGAATGGGTGCCTGAGCTTGAGGCAGGAGGATGGACGAGGCATTGATTTCCTTGCCCATCTCCACCACACGTTTAGTGACCACTTTTGTCAAAGCCTGTTTCTTCCTGTCAACTCTTGCGTTAAGCAGGTAGACATGTTGTAGCCCTTCTAATTGATCGTGGTCCAGCATATGTCGTACACCAGTTCCTTCGAGGTTGACGACCTCGTCAATATTGCTCCGGATCAGCTGCTGATCAAGCAACTCAAGAATTTTAGGCTCTGTCCCGAGTGCTAGTGTGTAGCGGCACCGCTCCTGTTCTTCTGCAATTCTCTCAGTGGCGATCCGGCAAAATGTGGAAGCATCTCCAATTTCCAAGAGCCGCTGCCCTTCTGCCTGATAGAACTCTTTGCTGGTCTCGAGGAACGCCGGCTCAAACACCGTCAAGTAAAGCTTCGAATTTTCCTCTTCTGTTGCAGTTTCATAAAGGCCCTCCAACATTTGGATGCAGTGCCGTATAAGCGGACGCTCAACGATGTGACCAGACCGTTCTAGTTGAATCATAAACAATACGGTTGATTCGAGTATATCGATGACGGTGGTAGAAGAGCCAGTGCGAATGGAAGATCGGAGAATTTTGTCACGAAACAGTGCCATACAAGTAACGTATATGGAGGGCTTGGTGTGGGATGTGGTTATCATGCGATCCTGCGCAGGTTGTCAGCAATATTCAAAGCATATCGTCTCCCAAGAAAAAAAGGATCTTACCATGTACATCAGAACATCGGTCACCATGCCCATACATAGCTGATGATCTTCCCATGCGTCCTTCAGAACAGCTAGGAACTTCTCACCCGCCTCTCTCCTCTCACTCGATTGATCCTGGGCATCGGTGGATTTTTGCGCCAGCACTAGGCTTGACGAAATTGAATCTGTAATGATCTTTTGAACATTGGTTTGTAGCCACTCCGATTCTAAGCTTTTGACCTTTTCATAAAGCTCATCACCCCGCACCATCAACACGATTTTGTAGGCGTGGCGATATAGTTCCTCAAATGATAGAGACGAAGCATTTTTCGTGTTGATTTCAGTCAATGAGGAAGAAAGAACGGTCCATATGGAATCGAAGTCATCGGTTTTCGCATGCGAAAATCCCTAGAACGATTTATAGTCAGTGAATAGTTCCATAAGTCTTTTTGGTCCCCCACGTCCACGTACCCTTCGTGGGGCTCGAATCTTGTGTCGAGCTCTCATTGCTGCCATTTTCAAAGACTAAACAGTCAACAAACAAGTGAAGGATCGCAAGAAGCGGAAGAATTCAAAGAAAATGTTGGAGTTGTCAGTTGGAGAACACACTCCGCGGAGAGGCCACGGAAATTCTAAAGTTCCGGTTATCGCTGACGAACGATTCTATCGTCATTCGGATTCTTCAATCTTTCTTTTTTTGAAACTCTTAACTTGCCCTTTTCGAATCTTTACTTTGACGAAGCGAAACAGCATCTAAATCAATATCAATTGAGCTTTCAATCATGCGCTCTTTCACCTCGGGCCTTCGCCCATTGAACGCTTTGTCGCAATCACACAAGATCGCACGCATGAACTCGCGCTTCCTCTCTACACAACCCTTTCATTCGCGCTCAGCTCTCGCAGCTCTCCCTCACCAGCGTATCTTCGCCCATACACAACTGCGATGCAACTCAAGCGCCTCTCGTCCTCTCACCGAGTCGCCATCGCCTAAAACTCAGGCCGAACAAGAAGCCGAATGGGAGGCGGCGAACAAGGAACGTCGCAAGAATGAGGAAGCATACCGTATCACTTTTACCTGCAAGCCGTGTGGTCATCGTTCTGCACACCGCATGTCCAAGCAAGGCTACCACCGTGGAACTGTCCTCATTCAATGTCCCTCGTGCGACTCGCGCCATGTTATGAGTGACCACCTCGGTGTCTTCTTTGACAAGAAGACTACACTTGAAGACCTTTTGAAGGAGAAGGGTCAGACATTGACCCACGGTCACACTGATGGAAGCTTGGAGTTCTGGGAAGATGGGTCTGTGAAGAGTTATGATTTGGAAGGTAAGGAGAAAGAACTTGGGTCTCCTAACGAAGAGAAGTCGGCTTAATTTGATTTCGTCTATATTGATGTGCATGCATGGATTCTTGGTGGATTCGGGTTGCATATAACGGTGTCAGTTTATTGTTTGTTGTATATAATCTTGTATATTATGGTGATGAAGGACGTGACTCTCCACTTTCAGCATGGCAGGATCCAAGCATCGATGAGAAGAAAAGAGGATAAATTTGGGGTTATATATTAGAAGGAACTTGATTTCATAGTATTCCTCATGTCTGATCTTTAATGTGCTTCGAGTAAACAGGCTATGCAGAATGATTCATATTCTTCTGAAAATGTATATACAAGTAATTTAATCCCCCCAAACGCCATTTTTTAGTATGCCAATAACACCATTTCATGAGAGATGCAAAATGAATGCCACCTGTCTGTCTACCAACCGCGTCTCTTTCCACGGTGCTCCAAGCCCTTCTCGCGGCGCTTGTCTCTCTTCCGCTCGTTCTTCTTCATCTTCTCACGTCCGTACTTTTCGGGATCAGCAACCGCGTCAATACGACGCTTAGCCCGTCGCCCTTCACGGCGTTCCTTGATAGCCGCCTGGACCCTGGAGATCTGCTCCACGTACTCCGAAGTACCGAGCTTCTTCTGAAGAAGGTCCAAAACCTCGTGACAATTGGACACAAGGGACTTGTACGTATTCTGGAAGGTCTCATCCGACGAGCGTGGCGCCGGGATAGATGGATCTGTCAGGTGCTGCAGGGGAATAAGGATGACACGGAGAGAAGGACGGATCTGGTCAACATCGATATGACGAATGAGTGCGGCAAGAAGTGTGATGGAGGCTGTCTTAGGAATAAGGGCCTGTGCTCGTCCACCAATAGTTTCCCGGCGCAGAAGAGAAGAGATCTGCTTGAAGATGTAGTGCATGGCAGATCTGTTGGATTCCACCTTGACTTCATCCTTGGTCTCCTCCTCAGCGTCGCTGTCAGCATCCTCCTCGTCCTCGGATTCGACATCCTCGCTTGCTAGTCTTGGAAGTTCCAGCCCATTCTGGGAGCAACAACGTCCAAGGAAGACGGTGTTGCGCACGCTCTGCATAGCCAGCTCTTCCGTGATACCCGGGGTGCGGAGACTGCGGAGTCCAGCGCGAAGAATTTGAAGCATTGCCGGCTTGTCCATTGCGAGACCAGAGCTTCCAATTAAGGGAATAGAAGCGTAACCTATGGCAGCATTTGTCTTGGCGAGATCGGCCATCCACAAGCCCATAAGGTTGGCGGCGCAGGTCTTGACCCATGCGTGGGGGAAGAACAATGACTCCTGGACAGATGCCCAAATAGAGGCACATTCCGGGCTCAGAGCGAGCGTGGAGGCGGTCTTGCAAAGTTTTGTGAAGAGCTGCAAGGCGAAGTAGAGAGCTTCCCAATTGCCATTCTCATGATCGTCAAGAACGGGCTGCATCAGACCCGGAAGAATTCCAATGACAAAGCGAGCCTGCTTGTCTTTCTCGGTCTGCTCAGCTTCAAAGTAAATGCGCATGGCCTGCAATCCAATACTGCAGAGAGCCATGTTATCCGTCTGCTCCAACCATGACCGCAGTGGAGTGAGGATGGTCTTCATCTGCTCCCGATCCGCACGGTTGTAGAACTCTCCTAGCAGAGTACCTGCCAGCTCGCGACATTCGGGCGACTCGTCGTTTGCCATAGCAAGGACAATAGGCAGGAAGAAGGTGCTAATGATGTCCTGGGCCAATTCTGGGCCAGTCTTTGAAAGGAGAGTGTGCATTGCCTCCATAACAGACTGCCGTCCGGATTGATGCTTGTAGTCCAGGTTCTTCGCAAAGAATGCAAGTTGCTTGGTCCATCGGCTCTTCGCCTGCGGGTACTCAATCAGGAAATGGACGTAGGTGCCTCGGGCAAGATCACGGGCAGACCGAGTCTGGTTGGTAACCATCATGGTCGCGATGTGATCCATCAGCTCATACATTTCCGGCACGACGAGTTTCCGGGACATCACCGCTCGGATAAAGTTAAACGTCACACCCTGGCGATCTGGCTCTTCGATATCGGATGTCAGACGCTTAAGCAAGTAAGCAAGGTGGCCGTCACGGAGCTTGGTGTCCTTGCGCTCACGCAGCATGGAGGAAATCAACTTCAGGGATGCCTGGGCTGCCTCAGTGTTGGTGCTGGGAGACTCTTTAACAAGCTTGACTGCTTCGGTGAAATAGACATGCGAGTTCTCGTCAATCGCAGGGAGTGGGAGCTTGATGATCGTAGACAGCAGACGGAGAGCAGAGACCTTTACTTCCTCCTGGGCTTGAACGAGCGAATCGCCGATGATGGGAATGAATCCAGATAAGTTAGAAGCCGTCAACAACGAATTGAACTTGTTGAGGATCGCACGGAGCACATCCAGCGAGAACCGGGTGAGCTTGTAGACGTGGGAGGAGGTTGTACCCCTCTTATCACCTCGCTTGGCTCCTTGCAACCTGACCAAGAATCGTTCCTCGGATCTGGACTTGGGGGCGGCCTGGGCCTCCTCTGGGGCATTTGCCCGGTATGACTCCTTGATGACTTCGTAACAGAAGACCAACAGATCACGGCTTTCTGCATCGGGGTTTCTCAACAATCCAATTCCAATTCGTCGCATAAGCTCATCGAGCTTCTTGACGAGGCTGGAGTTCAGCTTTTCTCCTAGTAGGGCCTGCAAAGGTTTGATCAAGTTTGACAATTGGCCGATGGTGGAAATCTTCGCGAGTAGTTCCATAGAGTCGTAACTCTTGCTGCTCTTCACCTCGACCATCTTGCTGGTGTATCCTTCGGCGTCCTTCTCTTGGCCGACTGTGCCGAAGGTGTCATCCATGACGACAGCAACCAGGTCTTTCAAACAATAGTCCAGATCTCCTTGTTTGAAGTGATCGGTGGTATACACAAGCATGGAGTGGACAGTGAATGAGAGAACGTGAAGTTGGTAACCGCGCGCTAGGACGGTACGGAGTTCCTTAAGGATGTAGCCGAAATAGACAGGACCCAGAAGAAGTGAAAGTTCATTGAGTGTCTTCCGCGCTGTATCGCGAGAATCCTGTGCTTTACTCTTGAGAGTAGTGCAGACATCTTGTAAGACAGGTGGCAAACGGATAGCCAGCTCCTCCTCGGGAAGAATCATGAGGAGCTTGACGGTGGTGATCGAAGCAGGGAGACGCAGACTCATCTCCTTCTCCTGCTTGTGGTGGATGTACTTGGTTAGGAAAGGAATGAAATTGGTGGTCAATTCCGTCGCAACTTTTGCAAGAGAGGGAACGGATTTTGCGAGTGTGCACATGGGCTGCTCAATAATTTCCATCTTGTCATCGTCGGCATCGGTTTGGCCATCGGTATGGGCCATCGTCGCCTTCTTTCGCTTCATTGCACTGGAAAGAGCATCCGACATGCGACCGAGCAATCTGAGAATGTTCTTCTCCTTTTCAGGCTTGCTCGCCATGTAGCTACGGTATCTCCGGAAGTTGGCGCGGAACTGACCCCATTCCAGCCATTCTGAAAGGGCCCCGAGGGTCGCAACACCTTCGGCGATTAGGTTGTGAGCATTTTCATCAGCGGCATCCTCGAACACGAAATGCTCAATCAGGGGAATGAAAATGGAGCCCAGGTTTGATGCTTGAATGCTACCTTGAGCGGCATCTCCAGCCAGACGGCGCAAAGCACGTTGACGACGATGCTGCTGAATATGAAGAATGTTGGTGAAGAAAGAAGCTTCCTCGTCATCGCCAACCAGGAGGACATGCATGTCTTGCACAGAGGGTCTGGTGGGATTGAGCTTAACAAAGTAGCCAATAACAGCGACGACTTCCGAGCGAATCAGTTCGGACTTCTGACGGATACCGTACTGCAAAGATGGGAACAGAACGTCGTTGATCAGGGCCTCGAACTCAGCGTCTGGTTCAGTGCAGGTTCTGTCAATGAACCGCCTCAGACCGAAAGAGGCGCTGGATCGGACAGAGAGCTCATCTTCATCCCTGACATGGAAGAGCATGTTGTAGAGAAGAGGCCTCCATTGCTTCGCAGTTAAAATTTGGGACAGCTCGTCAGTGATCTTTCTGAAAGCATTCAAACGTCTCTCGTAATCGGGCTCAAGTCTCTTGAACGAGCGAGAGTTCAAGTCTGCACAAAGCTCAGCCACTTCCTTAAGCTGCTCATCATGAGTAGCAAAAGCGGCGAAGACTCTGGACAGCACCTCTCTGTTCGAATCATCTTTGAAATAATCAAACATCGAGCAAACTGCGTCGAACACCTGCTGAGCAAGCTCGGCATCTTCCTTGGGGTCCCACAGGGGCAAGAAGTGCTCAAGAATCTTCAACAAACCAGATTTGGTTCTTGGGCTAACACGGTCTGGGGGTTGCCGAAGCATATATGTCGTAATGCTGATGAGGCTGGCGGTCTCTTTAGAGGACTCGACACAGGGGGCCACCAACGAAAGGGCATTGACTCCTGAATAGAGAACGGGCTTTGATGGACCTCTCTTGAGAAGGCGCCCGAGGTGGAATAGAGCGTGCTCCAAGTAGGGAGAGAGGACCTCGGTCTTGATTTGCTCGGCTGGGAAGTCAGGCATCTCTTCGCTTTCTTGCAGGGGTTTCCCAGTAGAATGGGCAACCAGGGGCACAATGATTTCATCCAAGACATAGGTCTTGACTTCATCGCGTGCGGATTCAACTGCGAGACAATCGATGACCTTAGTCAATACCTTGTCATTGTGTTGCACCAAGTAGAATGTGGACCTGGGGAAGGAGGCCCAAGTATGGAACAAGCGCAAAAGCCCTGAAACACCCTGGGCGGTCTCAATAGGGAATTGGTCCATTCTGCTGTCGATCATCTCTTTGAAGATTATACGGACATAGGGGGTCCAGTCTCGGTCAGAGACGATCGAGAATACCAGGTTGAGACATTTGATACATGTCTGACGGATGCTTTGGAACACAGCCAAGTGACGCTCATCTGTACTCTCGTTGGAGATGGCCCGGCATGCTCGCACCAGACAGTAAACAACAACGTCCATGGTTTGCGGCGCAAACTTGGTCATGCGGGTTTGAAGGGATTCAAAGACAGAGTCAATCAACTTGAGTAGACCCAACTGTCTCTTAGGACTTGTCAGATCTTGGTCGTAGACACTTGGGTCAAGATCATTGTTGTCCTTGACGGGGCGCACACCTGCAAGAGGACCAAATGCGAGTTGAATGAACAGCCCAAAGTCATGCTCTGAGAGATGCGAGATAGTGCGAAGAATGGTCTTGCGTCTGCCAGCTTGGCCTGCGGCGGCTGAGCCAGCCTTGGAGATCATTCGTCCGTACAAGAGTCGCAAGAGCACAGGAAGGAGGGTGTCTCGGTGCTCGGATTTGATCAAACTCTCTTCACTACCAACATTCACAAACACAGAAAGCTCATCCTTGAATCTAGATTCATCCAGGAGATTAAGCAGGTTCTCCTGATACGGGAGCACATTGGGATCTTTCCAGGTGAAAAGAACCTTGAGGGCATGTCTCTGTAGGTCGGAATTACCGTGACACAAAAGTCCTAAGACTGCCGTGTGAACCTCGGGGGCCTTGAACAACACAACAGGGTTGAGGAATCGCGCGAACAAAGAAAGCATAGACAATCTGTCTCGGAAGCCCCAGCGAACCTGCGCATCGCTCATATCAACATCCTCGGCAGCATCCTCGGCATCCTCATCCTTCGCCTCGCCAGCTGGGGGGCATCATCTTGGTCATCGCGCAATGCCCATGAGAGGAACAGTGGCACAATTTGACGCGAACGCTTCTCGGCAACTCCTGGGACGGCGTTCAATACACGGAGGGCATGGGTTCGCGGAGTGGCGGGAAGAATTTGGGCAACGGCATGATCTTGCTTGAATTGTTGAGACAAGACAGCTTGGGGATCTTCCGTGTTCCTAGCATTCGCGGCGAGAATCTTTTCAACCTTCGCGACATTGTAGCACTGGAAATGGCTGTTGACGAAAGAGCTTTCGTCATCTTCCGGTACAGCTTCGTTGAGCACCTCGGAGTCCCGCTCTTGCAGCCATTGAATTGACAGGTCGGACACGATCTTCTCGCCCGCCGGGTGTTCGCTAATAGCCTTCAGAGTTGCAGCGGAGTCGTCCCACAACGGAGCCAGTTTTTTTGAGAACAAACCGAAGCAGAAGTAAGGAACTAAGGTGGCCATCCATCTACGGTCGGAGATTTGAGGGTAGGTAAGGGCGAGCTTTCGAATATGCATGGAGATAGTCCTCACGCTGTCCATGGTCAGTGGGCTTTCTTCGATTTCGATGGCCAATTCCACAGGCGTGGGATCTTCCTTGGCAATGCGAACAACCAGCTCGCGTAGGATCTGAAGAGACACAAGCCTGAGCCTGTGCGATGGGCTGGCCAGGTTCACGATTAAATCCTGAGCAAAGGCTTCCAGGGCGGGGTGTTCCAGATCCGCGGACTCTGGGAGGGATGTGATGAAAGTAAGCGCGCCCTCTAAGAAGACAGGCAGACGGGAGAATCGTGTAGCAGTAGCGATGATGGGCTGCAAGAGTTTTGAGTCAAGCTTGTCAACTCTGTTGGCGAGTTTGACATATGTTTTGAATCCTTGACCAAGGAAGAACATGAGGCCCTTGGTCTGGTCATTATTGCCTTCAGCGGCACCATCTTTGAAGGCCGACAAAAGGTTACTATGCAACTTGGAAACCATGTTCAACATGGTAGCATTGTCTGCGAACAATGATATAGCGGTAGGAAGTTTCACCAATGCGTTCAAGAAGGCCTCGTCCTTTGCAGGGTACTCCAAAGAATCATTAATGCGGGACTTGAAAGTATCCGGGCAGGAGATGTAGCCGGGCTGCGAGGTTTCGGGGGTGATGCAGCCAGCCTGGTGCAGACGGAGCAGGGTGAAGCAGGTCTCCCGCTCCGACTTTTGCCATGATGAGTTAATGAACTTTTGGAAAGGCGAAAGAAGCAAGCTCTGGAATCTCTCGGATCCCCACTCTGAAAATGTTGTACAAAAGAATAAGAAATATTTTGAAAGCGCACCAGTGGACACCAGGTCCACGATGGTGCGGAGAGATGGGAGCAGCTCGTCCATTGGGGACTGTTGCAGGGAATATGCAACGCTTGTAAGAAGCTTTGATGTCGTTTCTGGGGATACATCGGATACCGAAACCTGCTGAAGCAGAGAGATTTGGATCTGATGGACGATCTTCCAGTTTTGAATTCTGACACCCTTACGGGTTGTTACAAGAAGGAACATTATACGGCAGCACTCTGTGAGATTAGGGTTCGGGGTAGTAGATTTTGAGCGCTCTTCGATATAGGCTTGGACTGTGTCGAGAATCGGGCCGAATGTTTCGGGGGTTGTGGCGTGAACGAGACTGACCATCAAACCGCATACAACTTCTGCGGGATCGTTGCGGTGTTCGCTGGTCGGCGGGATCTGACGCAGAATGCAGTGGAGGATGTCCATACCATTGGAGTGTAGTCCATTGTTGACTCCCCGGATGGCATCGGAGAACATGTTCATCAGTCCTCCTCTGTAGCTCTCGGTGTCTTTGTTGTCCTCGGCGGTTTTCGAAATGTCGTCAAACAAGAATGATATGGCAATCTCGAGAGGTGCTGGATTCTTGTAGTATGTGAGCCCGGCCTTTCGGATGAGGAACGACATCGACTCGGCGGCGAACCTTGCCACAAACGGTTTTTGTCGCTCTTTGCCGAGATATGGGGCCATGATACCGAGCAACTGTCGTAGATCTGGCACCAATAATCGAGAGAGGAACTTGAAAATCCATGCCAGGCAAGTGAAACTCCACTCAACGACCTCAATGTTTGGGTGTGTGGCCGCAACGGATGACACCAGTGTCACCGCCGTAGCGAAATGCTTTTCGAACTTGACTCCCAAATCCCGAGCGAATTGTGCAAGCAGACTCAACAGCGGTTCCATAGAGATCTGCTCTCTCTTCTCAATGAATTCCACCAAAAGTTCCATAATCTTTTCTTCGTGGTATAGGACTTGCGCAAAGCTCTCGGACAGAGGGTTGACACGCCGTACGAATGTTGTAAAACTGTCTGAAAGGTTCATTTCAAACCAATGATCGAGAGCCGACCGGAAATACGAGGATGTTTCGTCTTCATCTTCGCCAAAACTGTCCCGGCGCACGCGGTGAATCGGGTCGATTTTGAGCTTCGAGATGCGTGATGAGAAACCCTCGAATCGGTGATTTTTAGTGGTTTCGGTGCCTGTTTTCAGGCGCCTGACAGGCTTCGCCTTTGAGCCTGTTCCCACCATCTTGACGAATCTGACAGGCAGTACTATTGGTGAGAATAGGTACTGGACATTTTTTTTGTCTGATCCCGCATGGAATACAAAAAAGTTCATCGGAATAGGAAATTGTTTGATCCGATAATCTTATCGAGAATTAGTCACGTTGCGATAAGAACAAGCTCCATCGCGAACTCGGGAATTACGTTCCAATCCTATCGTCGATGCATGTAGCTTAATTTTAGTTGACAGCATTGGGTTTAAAAGATTCTGTATTTTAGGGTTGTTGACGTTTGATCCTCTTTTATTTATCTCTTTCCCTCTTTCTCCCATATTCCCCCGAAAACTCTTCTGCACCAAACCTCATTTACCAGAGGACGCACGCAAGTGTCCTTTTTTCCATGGAAAATGGCACCTAAGTGGTAAGTAGCTTCCTCTCTATATGGGTATCAGTAATTGATCCGGTATCCAGTATTGTTATTGGTAGCTTGAATGGCCAGCTACAGCTCGCATTCTCTAAGCTTGCAAAATTACAGCCAAAACAGAATTTCTCTTTTGCAATCATTGTTGGCGACCTCTTTGGTGATGGCTCATCTGAAAATGAGCTTGAAGAGATCACTGCCCTGCTTGAGGGGAAAATAGAGGTGGTGCTTCCGACCTATTTCAGTCTGGGCAACCGTCCTCTTCCCACTCAAGTGGTTGAAAAGATTCAAGCGCATGATGAAGTGTGTACCAACTTGTTCTTCTTGGGAAAACGTGGAACTCTCAAGACTCTCGAGGGTATCCGAATTGTTGCTCTCGGTGGAAATATGGGAGACTCAGAAGGGCGCTCCAAGCCCGAGAGCAATGCGATCGGCAGGTTCCAACCAACATACAGTGAATCTGATGCTCGTGCACTGTTCGGCATTCACAAAACTGACATTCTAATCACTAACCAATGGCCCAAAGACGTTCGTCTTGGATCCGGTCAGAGTGTCTCTGGGGACGAAAGTTCAGTGCCATCTGAGCTTCAATGCCTCGCTGATGTCGCCGCTACCCTGAAACCCCGATACCACTTTTCTCGCTCAGACGAAGCTTTCTTTGAACGGGAGCCTTTCTTCCACTTGCCGGAAGAGGAAGGGAATGGCTACCAGACGACACGCTTCATCTCATTGCCCACATGGGGCTCAAAGAAAGCACTCTACGCCTTCAACTTAGACCCAACAGCACCACCCTTATTAAGCATCCCTACAGGCTGCACCATCTGCCCCTGGTCAGCAGCGCAAAGCAAGCGAAAGGTTCTCCCCAGTCAACGTGAATCATTCCAGCGCTTTGCTCCCTCCGACCAAGACAGAGACCCAGGCCACAAGCGTCGGCACAAACAACGTGCCCCTCCACCAGGCCCAGAGCAGTGCTTCTTCTGCCTTTCCAATCCCAATATTGCCACCCACCTCGTCACATCAATTGGCAACGACAGCTATATCACTACCGCCAAGGGCCCCTTGCCTTCACCGTCGTTTTTCCCCTCCCTGGGATTCCCAGGCCACATGCTCATCATCCCTTTCGAACACTGCCCCACCATCGATCTCATCTTCGACCCAGCTACTCGCGCCTCAACATTCGCCGAGATGCAGCGTTACCGCGAATCCCTCCATCAAATGCTCAACGAAAAGTCAGGCGGCAAACTCGGCGCCGTAACATGGGAAGTCAGCCGATCCGGGGGCATCCACACACACTGGCAATTCCTCCCCATGCCGGTGGAAAAGATCCGCGGGCGTCTCGTCGAAGCGGCGTTCCAAAAGGAAGCCGCCAATCTGGGCTACGAGAAGTTCAAGACCATCCCGGACCGCGAACAGATCGACAAGCACGGCATGAACGACTACTTCCGTCTCTTTATCTGGACGCCTACACGCAGCGAGGGTGAAGGCCGAGCTGAAGGCGAAGCACAAGATTTGTGGTCTGCGCCCGCTCATAAGGGTGTTTATAAGACTGAATCTGGTGAAGAGAAAATTACCATGTTGCCCATTCAGCCCGAAAACCGCTTCGATTTGCAGTTCGGTCGCCGTGTTATGGGCAAGCTACTTTTGTTGGACCAACGCCTTGACTGGAGAGATTGCACGCAGACGGAGGATGAAGAGACGAAGGATGCGGAGGCTTTCAAGGAGGCCTTTAAGAAGCATGATTTCACCATGGAAGTAGAGGAGTGATCAATTCACGGCAAGCATGTTTTCCTTCCTTAAGCCCTGTTTCTCCCCCTCTCTCACTTTACCCTTGTCTTCCCAATTAGATAGATGCATGGCAGCTCTGGTTCTAGGAGCTTTACTGTTAATGGGGTCATTGAAAAGCCCTCTGTGTACTGTATGATGAGATGTGACAAACGAGTTCAAACATAATTCTACAAGATCTAGGTCAAGATAATCAGATTTCTTGTTTGGAGAAAACAAAAGAGTTCGTTTGCTGTCTGATTGGCAAAGCTCAAGTTCTAGGCTTCCAAAATTACAGGTGAGGGAACAAGTATGAGTGAGCCAAGGGCTTCCATAACAAACCATAAAATCGGACCATTCGAAAATTGGGTTTATAATTTACGCATTCCGAAATATCGAAAAAAAGACACCTGAGTAACGTACCGACAAGAGCCTCCAAGGTGTTATAAGGTATCCAGAAAAGCCATACATTCGAACAAAATTTTTCTTCAATTCCAAGCCATCGGCCAGGAGGGGAGCAGGGGGTATGTATGTAATATAAACGAAGACAAATACAGCCCGAGAATAAAAATGGTATCAAAAAGAGAAAGGTAGGCAAATATGTTCATAAGAACCTCGATCGACGAGGCGGCCGCAGCTCGCTCAAAAGTTACTCGAGGCATTGGGCTGTTTTCCACTCTGCAATAGACTCGGAGGCCGAGTGTTGTCCGGCTCATGGGCAGTGTGAGCAGTGCGAGCGTGTGGGTTATAAGTAGCGTATTCGGTAGCAGGAGCCGAGAATTCAGGAGGGGGCGAAGAGGGAGCACCGGGCGAGTAGCCACGGTATGCAGATGCAGGCTGGGAAGTATAGGTTGGTGGGTATTGGCTTGAGCCAAAAGAAGGCTGGCGCTGGAAGCCAGGGGTTGCCGCTGTGCCTCGGTCAATTTCCGAGGACGGGGAGAAGGCCATTGGCGCGGGACTGTATTGCGTTGGGGGCTTGTATGCAGCGACAGGTGAGGGCGAAGTCACGGCGTGGTAGCCTGCGCCTGCGCCTGCATCGTAGTGATCATCGTACCTTTCTTGGTATTGGTCGTAGGGATTGTGGACTGGGGCGCCCATGGGCGAAGTGAGACCTGGCGAGCGCGGAGCGTAGGGGTCTTGGATCTGAGTGCCGTATGCGGCTGCAGGTCCGGGTGAGCGTCGTCCGTAAGGATCGACTGAGGGTACTACGCCTGGCGAACGCCGGCCGTATGGGTCCTGGGTTGCGGCTAGTGCTGCTGCAGGGCCTGGTGACCTGCGGCCGTAGGGATCCATGCCGCCGGGGGAAGGTACGCCTGGTGAGCGGCGCGCGTATGGATCTTGAATTGGGGTCAAGGCGGCTCCTGGGCCGGGTGAACGGCGTGCATAAGGGTCAGTCGGTGCAAAGCCTCTGTAGCCGGCTGTCATGCTTGGGTTTGGAGAATAGTCCGAGTATGCGGCACCTGGGGTACCAGCACCCTGCTTTCGGTCTGGGGGGTTCAAAGCTGCCATTTCGACGTCCTCGTGGTGGTCCTTATCCTCGACATGCTTGTCCACGGCACCAGCCCAAGTAGGCATTTCAGGTAGAGCATCCTCGTTGACTTTGACGGCGGGTGACTTTGGTGCATCAAAGCGCGCAGTCTGCTCGGCGCCGCGGTAGGATGGTGGAGCTGGGGACGAATGGTATACTGGATTCGGCGCAGGCGGAGGAGGTTGGTGGAAGGGGGGTTCATCATAATGCTTGGGGGTTTTGTTTCTGCGCCTGCCAGAGGGACAGCAACAGCTACAACAGCATTTGCAGCACTGATATCCACAACAGAGGCAATTGAAGATGCATGCTAACACGGCGAGGAGGATCACGGAACCAACAATGATACCAGCAATGACGGGCCACCTACGCGAATTGGTACATCGAGTCAATACAGCACATTTAGAAAGCGAGTGTCTCTTTTGGATTAAACTCACTTGCAGTAAGATTTAGTCATGCATTTATCCCAACTGGAAAAGGTCGAGGGAACCGATTCGAGGTCACTGGCCGTGTCTCGCGCCCATAGTAAAATATTGGTGGGACTCATGATAATGAGATAAGCAAATCAAGCGGAATCATTCGATAATTGTAGCTGTAGAACAGCTAATGTGTTTCAAAATGATATTAGAATATCAATGTAAAATTGAATAAGTGGTTCATGCGACAGCGGAGATGCCGTGCCGTAGGGAGAAAGCGGGGGCGCGCGTCAAGTGCCGATAGTAGCGATGCAGCGGTGGATTTCAAAGCGATCAAAATTCACCAAAAAACATCGAATTGAAGTTGGTCAATAACGAGAGATGGATTGAAATAAGTTGTCAAATGGGTGACAGGCAGACAGGTTTACCAAAATAGAACAGATTGGCCAAGCAAGACAAGGTGAGATCTCCCGTATGTCTGATCCAGATCAAGAGGCGCAGTCTTAAAATGAATGTTGAAATGAGTGTAATGGTTTGAATCTCACCGAGTCTCTGATTATCAAAATCGAGAGAGGAATATAAAGCAGCAAAGAAAAAAGAAAGAAGCAGCGAAAGAAGAAAAGAAGATGAAACACAAAAGGGAGAAGGGTTAACAACCCCATAGTCCCCCCGCCTCCGCCTATCACATTCTTGCGGGAGACGAGAAACGCTCATCATCATTAATGATACATCCACCGTTTGTCGATCCCTGCAGGTACAATATCTTCAAATTAGTAGATTTTATTTCAGTCATCATATTCTGGTTGAAATTAGACTCGAAAATTGGGACTGGAACTATATATATAGACATACAGACATATACAGGAACATCAGGAACATTAGATAGACAAGATAGGTTTGCCTTGAAATGTTTTCACAACGATCAAAGCACAATTGTTCCCCCGGTTTGAGTCGTACTTCACAGACAAATTGGATCTCCCCGCACGGCAAAGCCCTGGGAGAGAAAAGAAAGGAGAATTGAGTTAAAAGAGAAGATGGGAGGTATTTCCTGTTTGGGACTGTAGGGCGTCGTGCAAAAGTGACCTCCAATGACATTCAAAGAGTCTTTCTCCATGTCTGCTTGGACTTGTCATGAAATTACTAACCCTCTCCAGTTGGATGTGGACATTCAGTCCCTCATTTTACCTACATCCCTGGGCTTTGGTGTGATATACTCTATACGAGAAACTACGACGAGAATATTCATTGAAAGTAATTTTTTTCATTCTCACAAAGGAAATCAAACATTTGTAAACTGGAGTCTCCTCTAATTACCCAATTCCAACCCATTAAAATCTCAGGAAAAACAACCAGGGAGAAAACCCGACATAAGCGGAGAGATCTCATATGTACAGCTGCACAGTCTCGATGCGAGAATTACATCAAAGATCATCCTCTCCGACGATGGCACAGACCCAAGGGGGTCACATTAAGAAGAGAACATGCATTCAAATACATTTGAAAGGCTCTTTGTGACTTCATTAAGCGTGAACCAGTGAAGCGACTGGCGAGCATCGAGACGCAAATTTGGTGACAGCGGGAATGGAGCATTCCATAAAACAAGTCTGTAGACTGTACAGAGAAGGTCAAGTGGATTAAAGGGCGTTAAGTGGAAGGAATGTGCGTATGAATAGGAGATGCCAAAGTATGGGCATGATGTTCGATGGTGTTGGGGTATTTCGTAGAGCCCCGAGGTATCGGTAGTGGAATCGAAAACGGAAATGAAAATCTGGCATTGTCGGCCGATATCTTCGTGCGCATGTTGGTGCGAGGTCGTAATCAGACATAGGAAAGGGACACTCAGATAGAAAAGAGTCATGAGCGTTGGTAGCCCTGGAAGATCGTGGGCGATTCATAGATGGGGTGACTTATGTCGACCATAGAAGGAAAAAGAATTGGGCGAGGTGGAAAGTTCGCCAAGGAGAGGACGATACCGATGATATCAAGAGTTGAAGTGTCAATGCGAGGCGGGAATTCCAGCGCTGTCGCGAACAATGCCGACCCAGGCCAGGGTCCGGCGAATGCTGGAGGAATCGAAGGGGGGGGAAGAAACAGGCTTGAAGAAAAAGGGGAAAAAGCCGCCGTAAAAAACATCATTAGATGCATCAGCCAAACACCACGCTCCAACGAAAAACAGAAAACATAAGATGCAAAGCAGGGTGAGTACTGGCGATTGTTTTAGTAAGAAAGCATTCTGCGGCCAGGAGTCCGGACAGGGACCGGACTGGCAGAGAATGAGCTTGCGGAGAATGGAGAATCCAAGAAGCGGCTCCGCTCATCGTCACCGAGACGGCAACGACCAGTGGGGCTATCCTCCATTTGAGGAGAGTGTTCACCAAAAGCGAAAGTCTGGGCACGGTTCAGCTTAGAGCGTTGCTTGACCTTTCCGAGGCCACGCTCACAGGCGAATTCGTGCTCCTTGTCACTCATTTCGACGTAGTTCTGGGGGAAACAAAAGGATCGGTGCTCGGAAAAGAACGAGCTATATCCTCCATCAAGAATGTACATATCGGGATATGTAAGGTTGGGATAAGTATCAACATTGATCGCACGATCTTGGTGACGAAGGTACTTGGCCATAATGGGAGCGCGGTGAGCGGAATATTCACAGTGCAGGACAATAGCGGTGCGAGCCTGGGGAGCACTGAACAGTTCACTGGCGAGACGATCCTTGTCGTTATAGTTGACTGCGCCATCAATGTGGCCTCCTTCATATTCGTACTCGAAGCGACAATCGATGATCAGGATGTTGTCGAACTGGTCGTTGAACTTGCCATTCATGAGTTCCAGAAGAGTGCTTTTTTCGATACGAGGTAATGAGTCCGCACGATCCTCGGGGATAAAGTGAGGAAGCTTCATGCTGGGCGGACTCTGAATGTCACTGATGGACTGGACGGGTGTATTTGTCGCTACCTTGGCCTCTCTATCGGTAATAACATCTGCTGGGTGCTCAAACATGCTCAATGATCTCCGACATTGCTTGCGGGGACGCATCAAGGGATGAGAGGGCTTGCGGATCGAACTGGGTGCGGGCGAACCGCTGTTACGCGCGTGGAATGGCGGCCGCAGACGAGGCGGTGCCAGACGCTCTGAAGAATTGTTCCGGGAGATTGGACGCTCACGGGGAGGCGAGTCACCAAACATATCTTCCAACGAAGTAGAAGTGCTGAGGGAAGTCTTGGTTCCAGTACCGAAGCGGAACGGCGGTGCCTTGCTCTCTGGTGCCGGCCGGGTCATGCCAAGTTGGAACGACTGGGCCTTGCTTCTGGCCAGACTAGGGCGCAGAAAGGTAGGGCGTCTTCGCCTATGAAGAATGGTTAGTCTCATCTCATCAATGGCTGGCTGGATGTCATTAGCACATAATGCACTTACTCAGGTTGGCAAAGAGGTGACTCCATTGGAGACGCCTGAAGCGGACTTGGGAGCGGGGAACCGAGGGGAGATTCCATTGGACTGCACTCAGGTGTAGGTGACTGAAGTTCGATCTCAGTTGTAACGACAAATGTCGGCTTCTTGTGTGGGAGAGGTGACAGTTCCATAACATCCATGGCGGGAGCTGGTGAAGACGATGGCAAAGGAGGGGTGGTCATAACATCATCTATATATAACAAATTAGTCACGGCTTCACCATGTAGGATCAATATACTGTACCATGTCGATTGGCGTGGCCGAGCATACTGGACGTGAACAAAGACCGTCTTGGGGTGGCTAATTGGGGACTAAATATAGGGTTAGTACCTGTCTTTGTTTCCTTGAGATGAAACGAATGAAGCTAAACAAAGTCCCAAAGCCACACATACCTCTGATCAATGTGGAAGTTCTGTGAAAGGTCTGCAGCCAAACTGGCAGTAGGTGACGATCCCCGAATAGGCTTCATGTTGAAGTAGTCCGAGTTCGACTTCTTCATAGACAGGTCTTTGAAGTTGAACGGATTTCCACCAAAACCAGACATCGCACCCAAAGAATATGACGGTGCTTCTGAGCGGAAACAATGACCAAACATGACTGACGGAGGCTGCATGGCAGCTAGAGGTGAAGAGTGCTCCATGACGAATTGCAACTGGACTGACGAACGTTGTACAGTTCAGGGTATAACCAGACCCTAACCCGAGGAGGTCTACCCAGCACTAGGTGCTACACGGAGTGTCCAAGAGAAAGGAAGGCAGAGAGAAAAAAAAAATTGAAGTCGCAAAGGTCTCGGTCTCCACGTTTGCAATTTCAACGTTATGGGTCCCCACGATCGCCGTGACAACCAGTCCACCCGGAACAAGAGAAAAAAGAGAAAAAGCACTTCCTAACTCAGATCCTCCACAGTAAGAGCTGAATTGTGATTGCAGTAGAAAGTTAGAGGGCCATGGCAGGATTTCGGGGTATTTTGATGAATATGTCGGAGGTGATTGGAGGGGTCAGAGGTAGCTCGTGGGTGCTGCAGGACTGAGGGGAAAGTCCGTGAATAAGGTCTAAATGGATCGGAAGCACCAAACATATGAACAAGGTTGAATTGATTCAACTGTCAAGCTGAGGAATGTCGAGGAGATATGAATAAGAAAGAAGAGAGTAGTTAAAAAAAAAGAAGCAGGAACAAAGCGGTTTGAAGAAAGAACTGAAGCTGAAGGGATGGTCTTGTTGCAATGGGCAACGCTCAGTACGACCTGATGTAATAAAATACGTTTAATAGGAATTTCAGATAGTAGGAGAGAATCAGCCATACCGTACCTAAGATTTGCATCTCTAAAACAGCTAGGAGTTTCCTAGTATAAAGGGAATTCTACGCTGTGTATTCCAATTACACATACAGTGGGCCTGCTACTTTAGGAAAGTATTCTTTTATTTTAATTATTATAATTATAATTAAATTAGCGTGAAATAATATATAGTACATAATCTTTTTTGATTTTCTTTTTTTTGGAAGAACCTATGATCTACAGACATGCAATGGAGTGTAGAGAGTAAAAGATAATCCCTAGGGGCAGTTATTTAGCCCCAGTTGCTGGTTGCCGGGGCTCCCTTGCCGCAGCAACCCAGCGCCTATCACACAGCACATTACCGAATTTACTGCTTTTCTTTTCTTTTCTGGGATAATGCGTGTATTAATTTATCGCTCTTTTTCAACTGTGGAGGAAATCCTGACTTGACGCCCATGTGGTGCACAACCTCCCCTACTCTCTATAGGGAGAGTACAATATAGGGATGTCTAAGAACTATATATGTAATTTCTCTCTAGAGTCTCAAAATTTTTTCAGCCGGGTCCTATCTATCTGTACGGAGTACTCCAGGGCTATTTTGTGTACAATTATTTCATCTCTCTTCCACGGTTCTACTGTAATGAAGTATCCATTTCGTATCCACAGAGTACCAATGGGGAATTTTATTTCCTTTCCTTGTGGTTTCAATCAATACCTAAAAATCCCGTGTCTCCCGTCAGAACCAGTGTGAGCTGAAAAAAAAACTAACGGAGTCAGATCGGAGTCTAAGAATTATCTCCACTTCTTGTTCCACTTCGGAAAAATTTAGAGCTTTACAGTTTAAGAGGGTTTGATGCAAGCTGCAAGTGATTGCGATCTTCAAGTAAGGGTTGCTGCGATTGAACATTGTAAGGCCCTTCTTTTATTGCTTTGGCTCGTCAGTGATTTACTCCCACGTCACCCACGAACTAATTACCCCAGGTATGAGTGGAAGCGCGATGGGGCATGGGAGAGTGTAACTCGATGCGATGATCTCTTCCTAGCGAAGGCCGCTAAATTCACTAGAGCCTCCCGATAAGAGAAGAAAAGAGGGCCTGTGATCACATTCATCTTCGACTGGGGACAGTTTACCGAGGTGGTGATTGGCCGAGACGGAGAAATCTACGATATTATACTACATACGATCTCGTCATCTCCGACAAGTTTTGTCACTCCATTACCCCGTTAGGTCTGATCGGTGACCTGGATCAGAGTTGGTCGAAGCTTAAGAATCCTCCGTCTACGACATGGTATCTACCCCAGTAACTACATACTATAGTTGATATGGTCAAATTGCTTCATCTCGCAATCCTGGCACGTAGTATTGAGTAAGGAATGATTAGTTATCGCACTCTGTGAATCCTATATTGCTCTCCCCATACATACCCGTGCTTCCCTTACTTGCACCCGCATTCTCGCTAATCAAGGGTCCGCGAGGAGGACCGTCAATGTCGCGCATCCCTTTCCCCCTTGGATTGTTTTAATTGCTTCCCCAGGGTTTGTCTATTGAAACCTTCGTCGTTCCTGACTTTGTCGTCCGGGTCAACCTTTCAAAACCTTGACTTGGAATCACCCGACAATTGGAAGGGCAATCGCACGATGAGTGATATCCAAAACGCAATACCGAGGCGCCGACGTCACTTATCGGACTTCGCTGCGATCAACAACAATGAATGTTTCCAAGTTGGCGATTTTGTTGATTGAATTAACGCGACAATGATTGTCCTAGGAAGAAGAAGTTCGCCTAAACTGTTGTGTTTTTTAGCCTCAGATCATATTCGGGGTTAGAATCAGTTGCATCCACTCCGATCAGCACATTCGACGCGATGTTTATTTACACACAACCCGCTCATGAACCTTCAATTCGCCACTCAACTCGGTGCTCTGGGTTCTGATATGAATAACTAGTCACCGGAGCCGGCTAGTGGTCAGCTCAAGTGGACCTCTCGGTCCGACTACTGCACCCCACGGTGCTATTCTAGGCCTGGTGTGAAACGCCGGAACTTGGCGCTTCGGTCATTCCAGACTATCCGATACATTCGTGAATTCGAGGTGCATCAGCCCTGGTCCTTGCAATTGGCTATGCGACTACGAGGTATATGCACCTCTCGTGACTGCTGCCCCAGGCCAACGATGCGGTGTGCAATCGGTTCGAAGACCATCTTCCTTTTGGAGGAACCAATCTGGGTTACGTCATGGGATCATCAATCTAATTTGTTGCTCCGTGCAGTACGGAGTACTCCGTATGGATTAGTCTAACACCAAACCTGTTCTCGATGACGTTTATAATATTGGAGACCAATTTTCTGACGCAGGACGCGTTATTTTGATGTTTACAATGTTCCCTCCATGGATATAGTCGCCCGTGAGCCACTAATTATGCAGCAGGTCACCAGCAGAACGTGGCCGTCACCGAGGATTTGATTTCCAGAAGGTACATGATTGGAGTTGTCAGCAGTTGGTCGCATTGAGCTCACTTTTCTGCATGTTAGGTGGGGGTTCTGATGTGATGCCTCAATTCCTAACCAGTCAAATCCGGTCTCCAACCGAGTTGTCTGCGGGGTTCATCACACAGCCCTGCATTTAGACATCTAAGGCATCTAGACCTTTTCCCCTCTTCAGGTTTTTTTTACCTTCTTTTCATCCAATGATGTCACACTGTTGGATCGTCAGCCTTGTTCGCGTGTGTGTTCGCGTGTTTCAAAACAAAGGTAAACAAAGAAGAGCAACAAAAGCCTGGAAAATTTCACGAAACTCATGCGTTGTCCCGTGATATGTGACCCAGATGACATCAAGACTGTTTCTAGAAAAACCAACATTTTGCATCTTGTATTCTGGATACTAGGTATTGTATTCTTCTCTCAATACCCCCAATACGATATTGTACATTGTACAATACTCATTTCCTGAATTCCTCCGGCCTCCCCGATCTGCGCCGCTATTGAATGCCCCGGTCATCTATGCGCGCCTCATCGGCTACGTGCCTGTCAGCCTCTTGAACTAGCTCTCTGAGCCGTGATGCTATCCATTCTTAGTGATACTCTATTCCCCTTTGGGGAGCTGGTGACTTCCCATATCGCACACCTCCGATCTTGGCCCATGTTCCCTGTCAATTTTATCCGCCCAACGTGATACATCCAGCATAATGATTTAGACGCTGGACTATTTAGATTAATGTCTACAAATACTCCGTATACAGAGTAGACTTTGCCTAGATCAGACCATGAACCCTATTTTTACTTTTTTTATCTTCAAGATTGTTCAATCGTAATTGCCCTTAACTATTCCCAAACCGTTCCCGTAGCCTTCGGCTTAGCGCCCCGTACTTTGTACCCGACTAAACACCACTAACCACGGACTACTCCGTATTGCCCCCTATAGCAATATGAAGCATCATAGCTACGTTAATATTCGATTGTTTGATATCTTATCCATGTACTCCATACCATTCGTACCATCCAATTCAAATCCACATTCTAAACCGTCCCAAATGTGAGATGACAGCTGCAGGCAACCCCTGAACACCTCATCCGAAACGCCGTCTGATTCTATCTATCACAACCGTTGCCGGGCCTCCCAGCTCCACCTCACGCCAGACTCCATATATTATCACTCCGAGACCCCATCCGCCTACATCAGAACCCGTGTTATTCGCACGAAATCCGTTCCCACATGTAACCGGCACGACGATAACCATTAAGCTCCAAAAACTACTTAAAATCATGCAGATCTCCACCGATGATCATTTTTCCAACACATCAGTTCTGACACAGAGGTAATTTTGATTGAAAAAGTATATATGAATCTCTAATTCTCGTTCCTGAATCTCTAGTTCGATGCACGTTGACACTGACACCTCTATCTATCTACAACGTACATATTATATACTGTACATGATGCTATAGTTTGTTATATTGTACTCCGTAGAGGTATACACATCGACTCTGCATTGGGGCAACTTGCGGAACCTTCGGAGGCACTCTGACCTTTGGCTAATATAACATGGACATTGCCCGGTTGCACTTGACAACAGACAATAGTTCAGCGTCTGGATCCTGGAAGACGGTCTCGTTTTTGCGATTCGTCATTACCCCTGAATTACTTCACTCCGGAGATCTTTTTGCCTCCGTTCTTTTGGACAGCTTCAAATACATGTCTGGAACTTATTGAAATGGTATGTGCTTGCGTGTCCGATCGCCTTAGGTTTTTGGGATGCTGCGTCCTGCGCCTTCCAGGGGTCACTTTGGATGCTTCGAGGCTGTGACCTCATTGCTTTTTTTTTCATTTTGGTTGGACTCGCAATCTACTAAGGGCGCAATTAGCTCAGGTTTGAGTTGGTCATTTTTTTCTTTTCTCGGGCTATAAGTAGACATACAACCCGTGGACGTATATTGTTCGGGCTGTTGAAGTTTCTGTTGACGATATATTTCCATACATTGCATATCCTTTTACTACGTATAATTTTCTCCAATTGCTTCAATTACGTACCATCCTCACTTTTCTATACAGGACTAAGGCGAAGGCATTCGAGCATGTTATTTATTCAAAATACCCAGCTTAACAAATATCAATGATAGCCAATTGTCTACTATATTTCAGTCATAAATCCGAGGCTCATGGTATCCAAGTCCTTATCAGCTTATCAGTTCCCACTAGTCCGAACAAGGCTAAAGCATAGATTTTTCTGAGCAACTTCAACGGCCGCAAGGAGTTTTGAACGTGCCTTTAGTCCGCAGATCTTCATTGTCAAGGAGATCGGACAATTCAATCGTTAATCTCACCTCACAACTATACCCACACAAACCCTCCGCGATGGGTTTCGGTTCAAAGCGCCGTCGTGAGCCTCACAATGTTGACGTGAAGCTGGTGGAGCTGTACGAAGACCTCGCTAGCGAAAAAGATGAGATCCGACTCAAAGCTGCCCAGGGGCTCGTTTCGCAATTCACTCCAGATCAAAATCCCGTTGATGAACAGATCAAGAAGGTTCTGTCGAGGCTCTTCCGCGGTCTCTGCAGTAGCCGCAAAGCTGCCCGCATCGGTTTCTCAATTGCCCTGACCGAAATTCTGACTCAAGTCTTCACATCACCAAGGGAGACATCACGCTTTGGATTCGCCGACTCCCTGCAACTTTGGGAGGCACAGTCTAACTCCAATGGCAGTGAATCCGGACAGGTTAGTGGTTCTGGTTCTCCGAGATGTCGCATGCGCTAACGGAGATTCTTTCTGCAGGAACAACGCGATCATCTATTCGGTCGCTTATTCGGCGCCGAAGCGATCATCAAATCCGGCGTTCTTTTCCAGTCCACCACACCCTTCGAGCACTGGACCCAAGTCGTCGATCTCATTTTCAACCTTGCACAGCAAAAGCCATGGATCCGCGAAGAGTGCGGATGGATCGTCTACCAGTGCGTCTACGACCTGGCCACCCGCCAGATGGACAACAAGTACATTGAGGCTGCGCTGGAACGTCTTTGTTCGCACGATCTCGCCCGGTCGCCCGAGGGTATTGCTGTTTGGTTGGCGGCCAAGGACATGTTCCCCAACGCTACCTTCCCGAGCAAGGTCTGGAAGCACGATGATCCGCTCGATACGAAGGAGCGCAGCGGTCTGTCGAAGATCATGAAGGAGTCGGGCGCTGGCGCAAGTGAGAGTGAGAAAAAGGCGAATACTGCGAAGTCTTCTGGTGTCTGGAACTCCAAGCTTCACTTTGCCTGGGATGCTGTTTTGTCGAGAACTAGCGTTGAGACGAAGGAGAAGTCGAAGAAGTCTCGCTTGAGCTTTGCTGATTTCTGGACGGAGGTTGTCGACAGTGAGTATCTGCAATGTGATGGCATACGGCAACATTGAACTAACGACCCCTTGACAGATGGACTTTTCGCCGCTGCATCGTCTGACGAGCGCAAATACTGGGGTTTCCTGCTTTTCTCAAGATTTATTAACGATGGCACAGCCCAGCAGGCCTCTCACACCTTTACTAAGAACCTCATGCGCTGCTTGACGAACCAACTGGCTGTGGAGGACCGGTACCTCCACCGCATGGCCGTTAAAGCGGCTAAGGCAATCCAGGCTCGTGTGTCCAGGGAACCTGAATTTGCAGCAGTGGCTATCCGTGGCTTGATGGGAACCAGCGGCACGCTCAACTTCGACCAGGCCACTAAGACCAAGACAGTCGAGAAGATCGTTGCCGAGGCCAACCACGAGGCTTTGGAGGAGATTGTTCCTTTCTTTGAGAAGCTCATACAGACCCCTGGAGCCACCGATGAGAAGACTGCTGCGTCTAACCGCCAGTTCGTTGCTGGTCTTCTTCTTTCGATTGTTCGCTCAAAGGCCTCTGCCACCGAAGGCGATGCTGATGATCTTCAGGCCAGCCTCGAGCAGATTCTGTCTATCTTTGTGCGCTTCGCGTACTTCATGGATACTGGCAAGGGATCCACTGTCCCCGAGCCTGCCCTCTCATCGGCAACACAAGAGATGCTGCGCAATCGTATCAACTCTTGCTTGAACAGCCTCATCTCTAACCAGAAATTCGCCACTACGCTACCATACGTGGTGGTGAAGCAGATCCGCGATGCAGCCAAGTCTGGCGAGTTCGGCAAGTTCATCATCGACATCGATGAGAAGCTGCAAGATTCTGTCAAGGCCGCCTTCAAATCTCTCAAGAAGCTGTCCGGAAAGGTAGGAATATTCCCTTCGCTAAGTCTTTGAGTCCATTTGCTAATTACCTTACAGGAAAAGAAGGAAAAGGGCATGGCCGCGTTCAAGCTGCTTTACTCCATGACTCTCATGCAGGTATACAATGGAGATGCCGACGCAGTCTCCATGCTCGATGAGCTTGAGTTCTGCACCACCAAGTTCCTGGGCGACAAGGAAACCAAGAAGGAAGATGCCGGCGATGCTTCAGATGCGCTGGTTGAAATCCTGCTCAGTTTCGCATCCAAGCAATCCCAGTTGTTCCGTCGCATGAGCGAGCAAGTATTTGGTGCATTTGCTAGCCAGATCACCGAGAATGGATTGGAATCTTTGATCTCGGTATGTAAGCCCCTAAATTATGGGATAACCTTTTTTTAATAAAATCTAGATCCTGGAAGCGAAGGAGAGTCTCGCTGGACAACAAGAGATGTTCGAGGACCAAGATGATGAAGGCGAGGAAGAAGAAGGCTCCGACACGGAGATGATGGATGTCGATGAGGATGAGCTTGATAGCGATGTCGAGGTCGTTGAAGCAGGCGAGGACCAGTCTGACTCGGACTCGGACGAAGAAGAGGTAGAAGAAGATGAAGAAAATGCACAAGAAGTTGCCGCTTTTGAAGCTAAGCTAGCTGAGGCTCTTGGCCAGCACGGCGCAGAAGGCGAAGGCGAAGACTCAGACGCTGATATGAACGACGACGAGATGGACGAACTCGACGACAAACTTGTCCAAGTATTCCGCGCCCGCCAACAACAATCCTCCCAGCGCAAAGACAAGAAAGACGCTCGCGAGAACATGGTCAACTTCAAGAACCGCGTCCTAGACCTCCTAGAGATCTTTGTGAAGAAGAGCCATTCCCGCCTCCTGGCACTGGACCTCCTTCTCCCTCTCCTTCGTCTATCGCGCCGCTCAAGCGTGAAGCAAGTCGCCACCAAGGCAAACAACGTTCTCCGCGAATACACCAAGGTATGCAAGGGCAATGCGCTGCCTAAGATTGAGGACGAAGCACAGGCTGAGGCGCTCTGGGAGCTGTTGAAGTCCGTTCATAAGGAAGCAAGTCACAGTGGACCCATGGGACATGCAAATGCTTGTAGTCAGGCCAGTTTGCTTGTCACTAAGGTTCTTGTTGCTCATGATAAGGATGCCATTGCTGGTGTGGTGGATGTTTACGCTGCCACTCGCAAGGATCAGCTCATGAGTACCAAGTGTCATGTGCAGCCGTCTTTCTTCTCCGAGTGGAACAATTGGTGTGTTTCCGCTAGTAAGCAGTTGAAGTGAGGTCACCTGCTTTTGTGTACAGATGAGGATGATACACCAGTCTTTTTTTTATGTCAATATCATGTTTGTTCAAAAAGTTTGGGTTAGGTTTTGATTTTTATCAGGCTTGATCCCTGAGGTGTATATCTTGTATTGTCGTTCTATGTTTGAATATATCTGCAGGGTTGCCAATAGTATACAGAGAGTCAACATTGAGTCATCATTTTAAAACCCAGTCAAATAACGATGCTCATTCGTCTCCTCCAAAACCTCCATCCTCATCCCGACCCTAATAACCCCCTCATCCCTCGGCGCACTCAACATCCCAAAACAAGGCTTGAATCTAGTCCCTTCATCAACCCTCCGATAAGACACCAACATATCCCAAGGTTGCTTCTTATGCTTAACCGCCGTTCCCGGATCAACATTCGGCACCTGGCAGCGCGCGCAACGAGCCACAACATCCAAATCAAGCTTACTTCTCTCCCAATCCCCATCCCCAGGATTGGATCTAGACCGATCCGCAGTAATACGAACCACCTTCCAAGAATCCTCACTCCAAGCCGGCCCGCCCCGAACAACGATATTCGGCCGGAACCGTTCAACGGTAATAGGACCAACGCCGGCCCTTCCCAGACGCGTATTTAGCTCACGCAACGAATCTTCAGATGCAATAAGAACGGGATGAACATCCGGAAACCCGGTCGTCTGGACACGGCCTAGAAGTCTGGGATCACCGTTGCCTTTGAGTACGCGTGGCGTGGGACCTTTATATACGAGCGCAACATTTCGACCTAGGAATGAAGAGAAAGGCGCATTGATGGACTCGCTATACATGTACCCGTCTGTATCGGTATCCCATATGCGAACGGGGCTGATGGATGTATTTTCCTCGAGCCACTTGGGGGTGGGATGGGATGGGATGCAGATTGTGTGAAATTCATTCTCCTCTTCATGATTTTGGGATTTGTCGGATTTGGTCTCGGTGATCTTTGGCACATTTACGATCAGTTCCTCGCCGTCTGAACTCAGCGCTGTGGTGATGAGTGTCATATTTGGGATTTGGCGGATTGTCAAGAATGTGTTTGTTGATGCGTCGATTAGCATCCAGCGGCGGTCGAGGTCAAGACCGTGGCTTTTCAGGATTGTTTGAGTAACTTCTAGGCCTCGGCATGATTTTATGGGATACATGCGTAGTGAGATGATCTCGCTTGATTTGCGGGGCCATGGCAGTTTGATGGGGAATTTGCGGTTGAGTTTGAGGTAGGGGAGTAAGATAATTAGGGATATTGGGATTAAGAAGACCAGGATTATTGTTGTGTGTGACTGCATATTGGGATGATGTTCGGTGTTGGATAGTTGGGTGTCTTAGGGTTATCCGGTTGATGTGATATGTTTTTGCCGGCTGTTTCCGCATGTGGGCCGACTACTTATATAATTATGTCTGCATATGTACATAGTTACTAGCATGGATAGCCAAGTAGCCCTTGTTGTTTAATATTTGGGCATTTATATGCTTCTCTTGGCTCTATAAAACACCATGCTATACATTTTATATATGGCAGTTGCTTGGATTAATAACTCGAGACGTGGATCAAATTGATCTGGAAATGCCATTGTAAAGAAACACCTGCGCGCATTGTATGCAGCAAAAAGTTACGTAAATGAAGTAATCGCAGTAAATCCAAGAGAAGCAACTGTTCAAGTGAACCGGGTATGAGAATCTCGGAGAAACGAACTCAAAAGAAAGAGAACGAATCAAAATCAAAGATCATAGCAGGTTTCAATCTGACTAGGCATGTTTCTTATCAATCCAGCACGCGACCATTGACTTGATCAGGGCAAGTGCAACCACCCGCCCTTCTTCAATATCAGCATCCTCAGAACCCCCGGGAACATGAAGGAAAAGGACATTTCGATCATGACCATGTTGCAAAGCCAGTGACAAGCTGGTGTAGAAAATGAAGTCGCACAAGTAATGGCCTGCATCCTTGGAGATCCGGAGATCCGACTTGGGAGCAAAAGAGCGCCACGTATCTAGGAACTGCTCTTCGGGTTGGTAGCACGAGGGAGAGGACGGGTTCTCTGTGGCACGACCAGGAATGAGGATTGGAGGCAAACCCAACTGCCTCCATAGCTTCTCCCCATATTCATAGCCGGTGCGACCTTCGACGTCTGTAATGATATAGTCGTCACGGTGAGCTAGTGTTTCGACGGAGTAGTACTGTCGTGGAGACGCGATCCCAATATGAATGATGAGATCGGGTCTTCGCCCACCATTTGAGGCTGCAAACTCCTCCATAATCAAAGGCAGGGATTCTCGCACAGTGGCATATGCCACTGGGATCGGGGTGGGGTGTACATGAAGTGAGACTCGACGCGAACCCACTTTATCTGACGGGAAGGTAAAAGACGACGGAAGGGAGGAGGCGATCAGATATGAAGCATTTACGAGATTAGTTTTGAAGGGCTATTTAGAAGCTCTATATTAGTTTATGTAAAAGACAAGTATGCAGATCATCACTTACCCCAAAGCCTGTTATCAGGACGGATATCTCATTGGGGGATGTCGAGGATTGCGGAGGGTTATTGCCGACCGGGACAGGGTGTAAAGATGGAACACCAGAGCCGTAGTCACCCATATTGATTTAGGTATCGTCAAGGGGTATCCTTGAAGTGAGGTTGAGATGAAGGCGACTTATAGCGGGGAAAAGGCACATGAGCACGCTGAATGCGGGGTCTTGGCGCAAACTCACCCATGGTTTCCATTTATGCTTATATGTACATATATAGACAACCTCTATAGCCATATGTATGTATGATAGTACTTGATTGGGCCTTTCGAATTATTATAACACAAATGAGCTATGTAGGGCAGTGTGCGATTGTGGATTATAATTTTTATCCCGGGTAGCCAAACTAGATCCATGGATTTTGTAAAGCAACGTAGGGATTCCAATACTGTAGAACACAGGGATAGATAAGCGAAAAAAGATTGACAATATTGCTTCCAATAGGTTTGAAATTGAGCCAAGCTCTTGAAAATACCCCCAAACCGCGCTGTTTGAAGTACATATATTGCTCTATGTACCATGAAACTATGATGGTGGATTTAGAGCTCGGAAGTATCATATCCGGGATCCACCTGATTTGAAATAATTATCACCTTATTTCTCCGTAGTAAACATAGGTCGCTTAGTATCAGGTCATCCCAGCTCTCCAATGGGTATACTTCTACCGAAATTTGTGTTGCCTTGTCCTGACCTAGAGAACATATCAGTCTACAACCTATGATGTATGTGATATACAGCCTTGCGCTGGCTATAATTACTAACCACAGACTGAGTTGTATTTGTATCTGTATTTGTATTTTTCCATCTCTATTTCTATTTTCTTTGTACTATATAGTATTGAGTGAGATGCAATCATGTCAAACACTTGTGGCGACTGGTTGTGGCGCTGAGATTCTTGTATCATGGAAACACATTTTTTTTTCTCTGATGTTCGCACATACTAACTTTGCACCATTTAGACCTCATGCATTGTCATTGACATGTCTATATCTTGAAAAGTACGTTGCCTGCGCGATGCAGGTGGATCCTAGACGGAACAAAAACTGTCGAAGAATTGCCCCTTCAGGTAATGATCGCTGAATCTGGCTCTCGTTCTCGCATTTCTCGCATTTCTCGCATAGAACTTGGACCACGGCCATTACTAGCCGGAGCTTTGGCGTTCCGGTTGAAGAATCTGGTTAACTTACACATAGACGGGTGGCTTTCTATTAGCTTCAATTCGGCTTCACAGTATCCGACGCTTGCGTGGGTCCCCCCCCTTACTCGATCTTCAGTCGAAGGTCCGTGGGGGAAAAAAGCAACCGGCCTGACTGGTTCCAAGGTTGGCTTGGATCTATTATAAATATCCAGTTCCTCAAGATGTCAGTCCCTGGAAATCTGGGGATTGATTTATTTTTCCCTTTCTACTTTTGACTATGGCTGTCCTCACTGAATTGTTCAACAGCCCTTATGTGGTACAAGGTGTCTGTGTTGCCTTGTTAGCGGTGTTCATAACAAGCATCTGGGGTGATATAGTGGATGAGATCCCCCACCGTCGTATTCCTTTAGTTGGGAGGGCTTGGTGGGAGATCACCAACAAAAAGGCTAGGTCGCGCTTCACTCAGTCATGTCGCGATTTGATCACCGAAGGCTTTGCACAGGTATGTTTTCAGATAAAAGGGGCTTTAGAGTAGCACAATCGATCTTCCAAGGGTGCTGACAGGCCATCGTAGGGTGCTAGTGTGTTCCAGATCATTGGATCTACTCAACCGATGATTGTATTGCACCCGAAGTATATCAATGAAATCAAGAACCACCCAGACTTGAGTTTCGATGACGCAATCAGGAAGGTATGATGTGACCAGTCCTACCAGTCTGAAATACAATTTGTATTATGTTGGCTGACTTTCTAGACGTTTTTCGATAACCGCATCGCCGGATTCGAGCCGTTCCACAATGGGTCCGCTATGAAGGTCACCATCGAGGTCGTGCGTACCAAACTGACCCAAGCACTTGGTATGGATAGTAAATCCATCAGGCTGAGCCAGACCGAACTGACTATTCTTACCTAGGATCTTTGTCCATCCCGCTTTCGAGAGAGACATCTTTGACCTTGAAGGATGCTTTACCTCCCACTGACGGTATGCCTAAAAAAGTTATTGTAACTACAGTAAATTGTAAATCTCGACTAATGCTGCATTTTTACAGAATGGACTCCATATAACTTTGCCCACAAAGTCCCATACATGGTCGCCCGCGTCTCCTCGCTAGTATTTGTCGGAGAGACCATCTGTCATGATGTCGAATGGATCGATGTATCAGTCAACTACGCTATTGACGCATTTAGAGCCATGCGCGACCTACGAACATGGCCATCCGTTCTCCGCCCATTAGTCCATTGGTTTTTACCTTCCACCCAAAAACTGCGCAGTCATTTAAAGAAAGCCAATACCGTCATCAACCGTGAGATCGAGAGACGGGCGATGATTCGAGAAGGCAAAATCCCAGCAGAAAACCCACCTCACAAAACTGATGCCTTGGATTGGTATCGCGAGACTGCCGAGGCCCAAAACAACTTCACCTTTGACCAAGCTCGCTCTCAAGTCGGGCTGGCACTGGCGGCTATTCATACTACGTCCAATATATTGACCAATATCATGTATGACCTCGCCGCATACCCAGAGTATATCCAGCCACTGCGCGATGAGATCTGTGCGGTTGCTGCTGAAGATGGGGAGCTCAAGAAGACTAGCTTGCTTAAGCTCAAATTGATGGATAGTATAATGAAGGAGTCGCAACGAACCCACCCTTTGTCATTGAGTAAGTGATCAGTGAACCGTGCTTCTGCTTTATATGTGTATGACCCAGACTTACTTATATATATAGCCTCCTTGAACCGCTTCACCCTCCAGAAAATTGTTCTTTCCGACGGTACCGTGCTTCCCAAAGGCGCAAACATCTCTATATCTACAAGCCCACTGGAAGACGACAATATCTACCCCAACGCTGCCACCTACGACGGCTACCGATTCTTGAAAAAACGCCAGGAGCCAGGAAATGAGCACAAACATCAATTTGTGACGACAACAAACGAGCACTTCGTCTTCGGCCACGGTGTCCACGCCTGCCCGGGTCGCTTCTTTGCTTCCAATGAAACTAAGATCTTACTCCTTCATTTGCTGTTAAAGTACGATTGGAAATTGAAGAGTGGTGGACGACCTAAGAACTTTGACAACGGCACCGAGTCAATTACCGACCCAACGGTTGAGATTTTGTTCCGGTCTCGTGAGCCCGAAATCGACTTGAGTTTCTTGGGAGAGTAGGGGATTTGGAATGAGTTGACTGCTTTGTCTTCACTTTATACCTATTGAATATGTGGAGCCTTACATGTTTTTTGGAACCTCATTTACGTGTAGGACAAGCTGGAACTTGCGTGTTATCTGCATTTCAGTGTGATTGAGTCATTTGAAACAAGGAAATTACATATCCATCTCTTTTCTGCGTAGTATTTAGTACATTCTTCAGATAATCATTTTCTCAGAGTGTTCTTCTTGGTACATTGGCCGTCCTTTATGGCCATTTTACAGGCTTCAAGATTTGTGAAAAATAACATTCCATTGATATAATGAAGTACATATCAAGTCACAGCACAGTGCAGTCTCCAAGGTAAGGTGAGATTCGGTTCCTCGAAAGTGGAGCTATTGTCATCTGGCCCACGGCTGTGGGCATACAGTCGGTTATCCACTGTAAGCGAGATGAGAAGAGAGATTTTGTTGAGAACAAATATCTTAATTAGCGAGTGACACAACGATAGTTACATCATTCAATCTATAACGGTGCATATAAGGTATAAGTACATATTAAAACAAGCATTCCCAGTAGAATAGACTACATAGTTACGATCTACAGTGAGTAACACTTAGGGTTCAAGGTGTATATGTGAGATCACATGACCAATTATACGGTATGGTACAGGTAATAACTGTAGACGCGTCGCGCGTCAGTGGAGTAAAAACTAGCCAAAAAAACGCCGTCAAGCTCATCGAACCAACGATGTCAGACCTCCATCACATCTCCATTCCAAATGGGGTTATATGGGTCTTGGTCCCTTTCGCCCCGTGTCTCCCGTTGGGTAGTTCGGGCGCCAGGGCTCCATGAGCTCCAGACCGCACAATGAAAATGTGACCGCTGATCTGGCTCCTTGAAGTACAAACCTATTATTATTATGTACCAATTCTTTCAAAAGCCCCTGTCACATAACCTTGGAAGATATTATTGGATTCAAGGAACAATAGAGCTAGAGCTGATCCGAAGAAAATTAGTGGTACCTATACTGCGCTTAACGTTCCGTCGTTCGTTGTAAGCCCTTGCAGATACCGCACGGCGTTGATGGAGACCTCGATCTACCGTACATGAGTGAATGGAGACATGGGGATTCGACCCCGAAATAAACATTATATACCAGCCCCCCTCTTTTATGAGGTTCGCAAGGTACGGAGTTTGAATTGTACGTTTACGGTAAAAAGTACGGAGTACTAACCATCCATTATGTCTATAATGTACCTACGTCTACGAAGTAACTATGTACAGTAACTGATCTAACTGACAAGTTAACTACATATGTAGCTATACGGAGTACTCCGTACCTACAGATACTAATAGTATTCTCTCTGTATCTAAGTATACCTCTGTATCTATGTATCCTTACCTCCTAAGGTGCTTCCTCCCTTTCAACTTTGTCGCATGCATCAAGTAAGGTGATATCCCATATAGAGAAGGACTTGGGAAAATCTAAACAAACACATTCAATTAGCAAGAGTAGAAGAATAGAAACTGTTTAGAATCAATCAGAATACCTGATTCTGTAAGAAAAAAAACCACAAAGGTTTTAGTTGCGAGTAGCGCTAAGCCTAAGATTTTCACCAGTGGGCCGAAGTACTGCACGAGCTGGAAAGTACAGAGTACCGTGTTCAAGCCGTTGTTCAACACCGGAACATTAGGTACCCAGTACCCCCCTCCCGCAGCACCACGCCCAACCTCTCCCCCATTTCTCTCTCTTCTCTCTCTTCTTCTCTCTCTTCTTTTACCTCTTACCTTCTTTTCTTACCACCACCATTATCCTAACGCGATTTTCTCCGTCTTTTCGGAGATTCGTTTTCTTTTGTGTTTTTTCCCGGGCGTTGGGTTCATGACGAAATCCTCCATTCCATACTACTTGGACGGGATGGAGCCGCAGATGTGATCTGGTGATTCGATTTCCTTGCCGCATTCCAAGCCCACGATCACGCACCCGAGACCTCGGTTTCCTTTTTTTACTTCTTTCTCTATTTCACCTACTCTCGCACGCGTTGCATTTTTCTTATCTCTCACGATTCACGACCTTGACGCGACCTTGCGCGCTTCAGAAGCCGCGCCATCTACACCTCCTGATACATTCATCGAACTCCTTCCAGAAGTCGCATTGACCCACATTCTGCGGTTCAAGATACCGCATCGCCAGCATGGCTCAACGCCAGCTTTCGCGCACTCTCCCGAAGAACTTCACCTTCTCCCTCGACGATGAACCCCAGACCCCCGAGCGACCTAGGAAGACCATTGATGTCCCACCTCCTCCCCGTCACTCAATCCACAGCTATCGCTTGCCCCGAACTCGCGCTCGCACTGGTGTCGATGTGAGCGCTCGTGTGGACATGGCTATCTTCCAATTCAAAGGCTCGGATGTTCCGCTGCCCTCCATCGAAGTTCCCCAATCAACCGGTGACTTCAACGCGCCTGTCCTCAGTGACAGTTCCAACGATGAGGGCTTCCTTGCGCCACCTCGCTCGCGCATGGAGTTCAAGACACCACCTGCGCAGATTCGGGGCACACCTTTCGACTCTGGCGACGCCGCAACCCCATGGCCATCGTGGGACCAGACACCTGGTCCTCGCATCAAGCGCCCAGACTCTGTATGCTCGACTCTGTCTGACTCCTCTATTGAATCCATTGAAACGTTTGCATCGCGACCCTCTGTGGGAAGTTGCACCAGTGTTGAAAGCGACCTGTTCGATTCATACTTCCCGCTGGAAATGTCCAAGGAGCCTGAGCTCGAGTCACCTTCGCGACCCCAGAAACAACACTCGCACGTGAAGAAGGCCGACAACTCATGGACCCGCGAGATGGACAATCATCTGTGGAATACCTACCAAATCTACCTCCAGGATCCTACTATGACGCCATTCAAGATGACACCAGGCAGCATTCCTCCTCTGGGAGTCACATCGCGTGTTGCACGCCGCGCCAGAAAGAATTGGGAGAAGAAGCGCAATCGCATCGTTCAATCCGTGTCAATGGCGTCTGCTGATGCGTTTGGAACATCTACCCCCAAAGTCTCCGATGAAGGGTCGCAACCACTCTGGCCTAAATCCGACTCAAAGACTCGACAGCGTCTTAAGCTGTTGTGTCGGCGCAAGTTCTCTATCTCACCTCACTACCAGCGAATCATGCAATCTCGCACTCCTGAGCCTGTGACAGGGGTTTATGGACCGCCCCCGGAAACTCGTGTGCACGATTTCGCCGACAACTCGGCCTACACGACTCGCGACCTTGGTGTTTCTCTTGTTACATCCTACGATCCGACTCCACTTTCTCAAGTTACACAAGATGTACCCTTGACTGCAGACTGGTTCAACACTCCTGTGTCTGCCACACCTGCACCTGCCCAGGTCGAGACCCCTGTGGCCAAGACGCCTTACCAACACCTTCGTGTCGAATCCGCTCCCAGCATCCCGCGCCTGGGATCGCCATTCGTGTACAATACCTGGGGTCCAGGTGGAACGAGTCGCCAAGCCCAGAGATTCAACTCCCCTCGACGCGAGACCATTCATGTTCCCGGTCATCGTGCTCGCCGCAACACATACTTGGACCAGTCTCTGCAAGATCCCGATGACGTCTTTGCCACCACATCGAAGAAAAAGAACAATCCCTCGGAAGAAGAAGAAGAAGTTGATCGTCGCCTGGAGGACTATGTTCGCGATAACAAGTTCCAAGACATGGGTCACGGCCGAGTTCGCATCCGCAATCGTGGAGCAACCATTGGCGATGTGAACCCTAGGGACATGGACCAGCTTTTCTCTCCACCTTCTTCGCTCAATTCGGGCCCAATTGAACCCGAAGAGACCACACCCATCGTGAAGCCCGGTAACCCCTTGTTGGACCTTGGCGAAAATATCAAACGCCTTGGCTCGCCTTTCCGTATTGAAGGAGGACACAAGCGCCGCGAGCCTCTCAACCCGAGCCTCCAGACACGCGCCTGATTTGTCTGACCCTTTTTCAAGTGGCAGTCGACCTTACGTGGTGCCCCATGACACGACCTCTCCCATGCAGGTCTCTCCGACTCAAGCGCACGAGAAAGCTCCCCCTCTGCCATACAATGCCCATGAGGATGGCCTTTCCGATGCCGAGCGGATTCGCCGGCAAATCTTGAACATGCCCTTCACGCGCAACTAGATTGTGCGTTTGCTGTCCAATTTCTGAGTATCCGTTCCATTGCGGCTTCGATTTATTTGCGAGATTTTTCCCCTTTGCATAATGATTTGAACGAGATACCGATAAGGCCCTTCAGCGGTCCCAGCATTTATTCTTACGACAGCCCCCGCATTATCAACGACTTGTAACGATATCTCTCAGTGACTTGAGTCTGTTTTTCTTCCTTTCTACCACGACTTTGAAATTGCATTACCAACTTCAAACCAAAAAAAAAAAGTGATGGGTTCTTCACCTTTTGGTTGTCGAACACCGCGCACAGTACATGCCCCGACACTCAGCTTGTGCGTCTCTGTTTCGGAACCACCAATCTTCATTGGCAATTACATTCATTTTCTGGTGCCTACCGCTTTGATGCGAGTTCACCTCACCTTCAATCACTCACAAATCTATTATCTTTCCTCCTACGGGGTTATCGTCACCTTAAATTCAGCACAAAACACCGAAAAAAAAAGGCGAAGAACACTCTCATAACCCTATCTACCATCAACAACCACTCGCTATGTTCTGCGATCCACATTCTTTACAACTTTTTCTCCATCTTTCTTTCTTTCTCAGTCCTTATCCAGTCGTCTACATCACCCACATGGTCCTCGACATATTTCTCATGTCCGGGTGAAGGAACACTGCTGGATTAGAATTAGCCATTGAAAACCCGTCACAAACAATCCCCGCCTCCATTCTGACCCTCGTCACTCAGCATGGACGGCATTACCCCTCAAAAAGCGAATGTGCAACGATACATATGCAAATACCATAGACGAACCGATACGAAACGAACGCATGATATTGCAGATTAACCAACGACATCCCTGAATACGCAAGCGAGGTGTTTGGTTTTCTTTTGCCAGCGATTCCGATTCTCAATTTCAATTTTTTCTAATTCACACTACACCGAAATCGCATCTTGAATTCTGATTTTCATACGATATTCCGATTCACGCTCTGATTTTGCTCGTACTTCATTATTCCCTAAGTGGCGAACTTCATTGGGCTTGCATCCGGAAGCATTGTTCTTGTTCTGATTATTTTTCTTTACTCTTCTGCGTTCTTATGACGTATGAATGTCTGTCTTTTTTTTCTTCTTCAGAGCCTGTCTTGTTCTTACCTGGATCTTTTTTGATCTTTCCTCTGGAGCTGTGAGAGTTTGGCTATTTTTCGCTCTTTGTTTTCCCGACAGGTTTTATCCTAGAGGAATGGCTGTTTTGATCATAGTGATCTGCCAATCAACTATCTTTATCTTGATCATTTTGACTTTTCTACACATGTAGCTTGTAGTAAGATGATGGATCAGTATTAGGTATCATCTACAGGTCAGACACTGATGTCAACAAACTGTAACAAAAAAGTCACAAATGAATCCCTAGCAAAAGGGCCGGAAAGATGTAAAATGTAAAGTAAGATAGGGGTATAATTTATAAAAAGGAATTTGCAACAAGTCAACAAGCATTAGATCACCTCTCCAATTTCTTCTTCCGCTCCGCAAGCAACGCCTCGATCTTCCTCAGCTGAAGCGCCAGACCCTTCTTTTCAGCATGATCAAGGAGCCACTCCTCCATACCACGACGAACTTGACGCATGGAATGCAAGACAGGAAGAAAAAGCGACGACGAAGCATCTGGAGGACTATTTTCACGCTCGATACGCTGCCAGCGTTCGGCACCAGGGTTTAACAGGAGATCGAAGACACCGGCCCAGAGTTCGCGGTCCCAATATCGTTTGAAAGATTCACGAATACGATAGGTGCGGGGCGATCCGGCCGATGCGTTTTCGTCATTTACGGGTGTGGAGTCGACATATTTGCCGAAGAGCAGGACGTGAATGACGCCTGCGATACCGTATAGATCGATTTGGTACGTCCATGGTCGTTTCTCGCGGATTTCGTTGCACTCGTGAGTGACAGTTTCCCAGTCAGCGACAAATTGGACGGCGGGCGAGAAGGCTTGCATGTCGATACCGCGCCCGAAGTCAATTAGGGCGAGGCCTTTTTGTTGCCAGCCATGGGAGCCGCTTGCAGAGTAGTGAATGCTTTCGCGGGGGTCGAAGGAAGGCTCATCGGTACCGAGGTCGAGGAGGGAAAGGGCTTTAGCGGGTGGTTCGTTGGAGTTTGGTTCGTCAAGACGGACAAGGCAGTTATCTGCTTTGATATCGCCGTGTAGGACTCCATTTGCGTGGAGAGCTTCAACAGTGCGGAATAATTCAACGGAGAAGAACATTGCCAAGGCCTCTTCGAGACCGCCTTCGGATGTATGATTCGAGTTGAGAGATTCATTGCGAACGATATTGACAAGGTCGAGCAATGTGCCTTGTCCTCGGTAGTCCTCCACTAAGAAGCTTTCCCGTTGGTGTACATGTAGCTCATGTGCACGGACAATGCTATCTGTGGCTCGGGAATCGACGGATTGTCGAAGACGATCGTAGGCTGTGCGGATCATGTAGAATTCCCATGCACTCGAAGGTCCGTTTTCGACCTTGACTGCCTCGAAGGGGAATCGAGGTGTGTCATAAGCGTTCGGCGATTTGATAAGGCTTGCACCGTCGTCGGAGTCGGAACCGTACGCTTCAAGGCTGTCGACACTTTCAGCTAAGTAAACAGGGGCGTATGCACCGGCTCCAAGCTCTCGCCGAATGATGTAGCTTCGTTCCGCCCCCGGGAATTCCAGGATAGGTGTGTCGAGTGCATGGTCGTCGGCGCCTTTTGATCGTCTGGTATGAGTCTTGACAAACTTTTGGATCATTGAAGCATAGTTGCTGTCTTCAACATGGCCATGGTAACCAGTATAAGTGGCTAGTGGTGGCTCCAAAGAATTGAGGATCGTGTTGCGAATGCCCTTGTCAGTCGGGTTGCACTGTAAATCTCTAATTATAGCTTCCCGCCTCTGTAGTTTAGGCGCAAGTGCCTTGAAAGCTGTAGGACTGAATGGCACGTCGGTTGCGGATGTGACGGTATGGTCTCCTTGAAATGGTGTGCTGGTTCCAAATGGACTGGAAAGTAGGAGATCGTGAGCTGGCGATCGAGGCTTGGAAGGTGTCTTGGCGTTGTAAATGCTGTTGCGGGCAGTTGTCAAAGAAGGAATGGAACATTCTGTTCGCTCCACAATAGGTGTCATGAAAGGCAGCCGGTTCTGAGCCATGATCGCAGGATCGCGGTAGGTTCCCCAAGGCGGAGCATAGTCGTCAGGCATTTCTGGCACAAATCCTTTTCTGTCTGGTGTTCCAAGCGTTGAACTCTCTGCATCTTCGTCGTCCTCATCATTGACGACAGAGCGTGAGGTAACGTCAGTGTTTTCGATGTCAGGAATATCGCGGTCAGCATTGAATTCTGTCCAATCGCTTCCCTCGCCATCGACACTTTCAGCTAGGGTGGTGTTGGCATAATCAGTGTCGTCGTAAGATTTGTGGAATGTCTGAGTCTCTTCATCGCCAAAGTCACTTGAGGCCGCCGAGATGTGTCCTGTGCCTGTACTATCTCCTGTACTAGCAGCATCATCATCTTCATAATCGCTGTCGCAAAAGCTATCGGCGTCATCTTCTGTTTCAGCTTTCAATGGTTGATTGAAAATGCTGTAGATCTCGTCCGTTGCTGCACGAGTGTGCATGGTCATTGTCGGTTCCCGAGTACTCTTTCGTCGGACCTTCTTTTTGGCTGGGGAATCGAAGTTCATTTTGACTGGGCGAAGTGTCAGCTTGGGGTAATCATCAGGGCCAATGGCTTAATCCACTCACCTGTTTGTGTTTGGACTGTTTCTCCCTTGACCTTGATGCGATTTGATTTGCTGGACCTGTCTTCATGGCTTCCATCTTGAGTTTGAATTTGTGAATGGCTATCTATGGTCAAATTCTGGGCAAGATGCCCTGGTAAGTCTTCAAGTGGGTGTGATGTCACTGGAAAAGCCTCGGAGCCGGCTGCGTTTCCGGAAATTTGCTGCAGAGGCTCCTTTTGCTTGCGCCAGTCCTTGTACATCCATCCACGTTTGATAGCCCTGAGCTCCTCAAAACTCATCTCGTGGGTAGGGTTTGTGCGGTCAGGGTATACGGATTCCAGGTCGACAAATACACGTTCTCGTCGGCCGGTTCGCGGATTAACGGCTTCCCTTACATGATGCTCGGGTACTTCTGTGGGCTGCATTGGCTTTTTGGAAGGAAAATCTGGATTTGACTGAATACATAATAAAATACCATAGGTTCATGCCAGCAATTAGTCCTGTGATCGTAAATATATGGAGGTCTGAACAGGGAAAGGAGATCCCGGGATGGGAACTAACCTGATCTCTGAAGATTGCCATCTTTTGGGCCGGCGCAGCCTTCTTGCCAACCTTCAAAGTCTCTCCTGCCCATGGCTTCGCCTCCACTTCATTCTCTTTCTTGCGATCCCGGATTGACCCAATGCTTTCCCAGCCCTTTGTCGGTCCACCGGTTGCGGGACCCGGCGCAGCCGAGTCAGCATCTGAGAAAATAGCCATCTTGGGCTTTCCGGATTTTGTCTTCGGAGCAGCACCCGCCTGAGGCGAGGACCGTGATGCTTGAGGATCCGCAACGGTATCGGATGGGGCGAATGGATCCATCTTGGCGGCCAGCGCGGGACGAACTTTCGGTAAAGCGGGCGAAGACGGGCCGGTATCTTGTTCGCGTTGATCGTATCGTTGTTGAAACTCGTTGTATTTCCGTGCCAACCTCTCCACCGGTCGCGCCTCGCGGTCCATACCCAGCCTGTAAACCTCGTCGGCTTGTGACCAGCGTCCAGCGCCCTCTAGCCACCCAGCAAATTCTTCATAGAATAGTGCTAAGCTCTCACCGATCCGATGACGGGCGAGGAATGCAAATGTTTCGCGTGGGGCATCGGAGAAGAGTCGAACGTAATGAAGCCATAGTCGTAGATATCGAGGATCATTTCTGTAATGTGAACTTGAAAGGAAAGACTTTGTTGCCCGTTCCAAGAGAGGTAGTAGGCCAGATTCGGGAGTTGCTTGTGCGGACGGATAGGCGTTCAGGGTCCATTTTACATATCGGTCGTAAACGTCAAGGGGATCGTCCGATTCTCCTATTGATTGCAGTTCACTTTCGTATTCTTGGCGCATAGCATCGTTAATAGTTCGTGTTCCGTTTGGTGATGGCGATGGAATTTTGTCACTGTTGCTGCCACCTGAAAAGATTCGGGCGAGCTCTCGAGCTGATCGGCCACCAGGCAGTGATTGAACGTTTTCCTTTTGTGCCTCGATGATATCAAAATCAACCAGTTCATCGGAAGCCGCCATATCGAGAAGAGTTGAGATACGAGATCTCAAATTCCCAAAGTCTCGAGGTATGTGAAGCTAGAAGTTCAAAAAGGGCAACTGTGTGGAGGGGCTGCAAAGGGAATTGATTTGGTTATCGATAAACATCACATGACCGTTGCCCTGGCAATAGTCACGTGGCACTGTACTTCGCACCTCATTGATTCCAATGACGTCGACCTGACAGCATTGTCAAATATCCAATAACATTGTCAAGATTGAAACAACGTTCAGATTTACTACACAGCAATAACAACCCGGCAATTGGGATATTTGTAGCTGTCGCTGCGGATCTCTGATCTATCAAGATTGGGCCAAATCCTCGACCCACTTCAATTGAAGGAAAAACACTAGATATCATACACTGCACATCCAGTACTATGTGCTGCGAATCACCCGAGTCGCCGGCACGCAAAGAATCAGGACCAAAAGCAACTCACAAACGGAACATCAGCAATGGCACGTCTGAACTTTCGCCAAGACGATCCAAACGCCAGAAGTCAACCGCAAATCTGAAGGAACAATCTGACTCAGAAGTTGAAGACTTTGAAACTGAAGATACTGCTCCTGTGTCTAAAGAAGAGGAAGAGGATAAGCCAATTCCCACGAATACTGCCGAAAAGAAGAAAGTCCCGATTAAAAAGGAGCCCAAGGACGGCGCCCAACCCAGGAAGGCCAGAAAGTCCAAGAAGGACCAGGAGGCCGAAATGATCCCTTTGGCACCGCGGACTAAGGGCTTGCGCATGTTTGTCGGCGCTCACGTTAGTGCTGCTAAAGGTCAGTGCCTTCCAATCAGCCCTCGGCCAGCAATAGCTCAATTCTTATCAAACAGGTGTCTTCAACTCTATACACAACAGCGAACAGATTGGGTGAGCTTGAGTATTTCTCGATCAATTACATCTAGCGTTGTTGCTAATACTAAAATAGAGGAAATGCATTTGCTCTGTTCTTAAAGTCGCAGCGGAAATGGGACAATCCGGCTCTTCAAGACGAGCACCGAGATCAGTTCCTTAAACTATGCGCAGAAAAGGGCTACGATGCATCCAAGTAACTGCTTCTGATATGTCCGACCTGAACATCTTACTTACTTTTACATTAGACACATTCTCCCTCATGGCTCATACCTTGTCAACTTGGCTCAAAGCGACAAGGCTAAGTCCAAGCAAGCATACACCTCTTTCTTAGATGATCTCCGTCGTTGTGAAGCCCTGGGAATCAAACTCTACAACTTCCAGTATGTAGATCGTTCCCAACATTGAAATTGATACTAAACCCCCTCAGCCCAGGAAGTACCAACCAAACCCCATTGCCAGAAGCGCTCTCTCGGCTCGCAGAAATGCTTACCCAAGCCATCACCGAAACCAAAACCGTCATACCGGTTCTAGAGACAATGTGCGGCCATGGAAATTCAATCGGAGGCGCACTCTCCGAGTTCCGGGATCTCCTAGCTCTCATCCCAGAAGAACACCACTCCCGAATCGGCATCTGCGTCGATACCTGTCACAGCTTCGCAGCAGGATACGACCTAACTTCGCCAGCAGGATTCAAAGCCTTCCTTGATGAGTTCGACGAATTAATTGGAATCAAGTTCCTGCGAGCCCTGCATCTGAACGACTCTAAAGCGCCGCGCGGAAGTAAGCGTGATCTACATGCTAATATCGGCACGGGATTCCTGGGTCTGCGCGCGTTCCATAATGTCATGAACGAGCCTCGCTTCGAGGATCTGCCTATGGTGCTTGAGACGCCTATTGATCGGGTTCCGGGCAAGGATGATGCTGAGGGCAGTGATAGCGAGACTGCGAAAAAGCCAAAGAAGGGCCCCAAGGCTGGAGCTGCGGCTGTCCCTAACCCTGGTGTTTGGGCCCGTGAGATCAAGCTGCTCGAGTCTTTGATTGGAATGGATGCCGAGGGAGAGGAGTTCAAAGCTCTTGAGGCTCAATTGTCGGAAGAGGGTCGTGCTGAGCGTGAGAGACTTCAAGATCAGTATGAGAGGAAGATGGAGGCAGATGAGAAGAAGAAGGCTAAGGGAGCAGCGAAGCCGAAGGGTCAGAAGAGTCTTAAGGATATGATGACCCCTGCGAAGAAGGAGTAGATCCAGAAAATTACACTCTGCTCTATGTATGTAACAACAAGTACCCTATCAGAATTAGGATTCTCTTTTTACATCTCTTTTCAAACTCCTTTTAAGAGTACCTAGCTATCCACGGTCTATTTTACGTAGAAACAGCACAAAGAGGGACGGACTCAAATAGAATTTACTCAGGGACTTAGTTTAATTATTATATTCTATAACTAGCCTTTATTGTAATAGGTTTATTGTTGTTGTTGATTTACTTTATTGATTGCATTGTTCTGATTACTTCGAAAAAGTACTACTGCACCCGAAGGCCGGTGTAATGTGAGTAGAGGAAATTCAATTGATGGTATAGTGGTATCAATTAAGCCAAAAGCTAAAGAGCTCCTTGATGCAAAAAAAGTTGTACTCTGGTCATTCCAGAATATGACCAATCCGTAACTGTAAGTAGACATGTGATTCCAATGAGCATGCCACTTTCTTCGAGTAGGTCACAGACCCGTCAACATCGAAGATGCACAGGTATACAAAACCATCACATGTACAATGTAAGGTGAAAGTAAGAGAGGTGAAAATGAACGTGATATGCTGGTGTTAAGTATGATATTGGGACCGAACAGGTGAAAGGGACGAGCTCGACTGCACGCCCGGTGATACTTCACGACCAGGGGCATGGAGATGAGGAAATCCAGCCTCAGCCATTGTTGTGATAGTTGGTGGTGCGGACTTTAGAAGAGAAGGTGGCCCATCGTCTTCTGGGATGGTAGTGGAGACCGAGAGACCGCCTCTGACACCGCTGGCACGAACTCGGAATGAACGCCGTTGGTCGCCAGCTGGCAAGATTTCGTCATTGAAATGGCCGCCCGGTGCGGGGCTGACGATGCTCGAGTCTTGATGTGCAACACGGCTATAGTCTCCCGGTTCACCACCGCTGTCGCCCTCGCCTTCCGTGTCAGTCATAGGACTCGACTCGCGACTCCAATCGTCTTCCTGAGGCTCGGTTTGCATTCCTGCAATTTTCATATAGTTGTATGCTGCGATACTGCTGATCGTGACAACTAGACCGGTCAAGTTGACCGCTGTGAGCTTATCGTGGAAGATAATGCCCGCTGCACTGATTGTCACTACCTCCTTGAATATGCCGCAGATACTCAATGTGACAACCGAGGAACGCTTCAGAAGCGCAAACTCAGAAGAAATCATGCAGAATGCAAGAACTCCAGGGAAGATTAGGAGGAAAGACCCTAGTAGGTCACCATGCTTGCTGGAAAGTGCAAGGTAACCCTGGTAGATTTCGCGGGGGCCCTCCACGGAGAGCGCAATGATAATAAGAGAACAGAACATGACTGGAGTAAGAAGGAAAAGGGTTGAGAAGGGATTGGAAGTAGCCGGGTGGCGGAGTAAGAGAATCTGTGTCAAGCCCCAACGGAAGCCCGAGAAGAATGCAGACGCAATGACCAGTGTGAAACCAAGCGCGTTGAAAGCAGCCTCTCCAGCAACCATCATCACCACGCCTATTGTCATTGTGGCGATGATTATGATCAATTTCATGGAGGGCGATTCAAGGCGGAAAAGGAACGCGAATAGCAAAACAAAGGCCAGAGCGGATGATTTGCACATGGTTAGGAATGTAAGAGAGATAAACTTGAGGGACATGTTTCCAAGGCCAACATCAAGCGAGGTTGCTGCACCACACGGGACAAGGCGAGTGAAGTAGAAGAGTTTGGATATGAGAGGTTGTGGCTCTTCAGGGCCATCGATGGGAGACGTGGTCGCAGACCCGGTCGGTTGCCGCGGACGAAGCGATGGAAATATCCAAAGTATTATAGTGGCGAGAGTAAATTGTACAGCCATGTGCAAGCTCGTTGTGAAAAGAGGGAAAGGAAAGACGACATCGTCCTCGGAGAACATCCACTTGTTATACTGCAAATACGAGAATCGAATTGGGTTAGATTTCTTTCCATGATATTCGAGAATTCCATTTCTGAGAACGGGAAGCAACTCACTATTGAAATGGACAAGGAAAAGAGATACCACATCATGATCAGCCCGCCATTAATGAGCAACTTCTTGACGACATTGCGATCCGAGAGAATCTCGCGAATGTTTCCTTGGCCCTTCACATCCGCAATTCGAGCATCCAATTTGCGGCGTTGTCTTCGCCTTCGACGTCGCTGACGTCTTTGGCTTGCTGTGAGTCCTGTTTCTTCATCATATTGGTCATCATCTGAGCTCATGGGATCCAGCTCCAGGCTCTCTGTAGCGGAAATCTCAGAGGCATCAGCATCCTCTGCAGTTAAAGGTTCTTGCTCTTCGCGCTTATTTCCTCCATCTGCATGCGACCATAAACCATCGTCTCTTCGCTCTGTGGAGACCGCTTGTGATCGCCCTGCCCCGGCGAGCATGGAGCTGCGCCGACGGTGGTGACTGCCGGCGGAAGGCCCCATTTTGGGGGATAGGGACAGTTTAATTCGAATTTAAGGGAGCGGTAAAAACGAGATATGACTGCCCCATGTGAGCTGAGTAAGTGGAAGGGGAAAAATGTGTGTCACACGACAGTTTGCCAAAGCTAAAGTCCGAATTGTCGAGAGGAGAGTCGAGGTCGGAGAATGCTGACAAAGATTTGATAAAGGGAGGGGAAACGAGTGTAAGAGAAACTTGATTATCAAATAATCATTCAAGTTATTTGATTCGGAAAAGAGAAAACAAATGGAAGAAAAGAAACAAGGAAAATGAGTCCATGAGAATCAAGATTGGCCAGAATGGTGAATTTCTCCTGAGCAACAAATCGACTCCATCGGTGTCCTCTTACTGGTTCCACCGATCTTTTCTTCACTCCACTGTCCGGTCGATCCGGGGTCATAAAGGAACATAAAGAAGTTGAATAAGTCGAGAACAATTTTGTGAATTCTCTTTTTGCCCTTTTCTGGTTCCTGATTCAATTGGCGGATTGATACCTCCGATTCTGATGCTCGGGTACTATACGTTCAAGGCAATTCTTGGGTTATAGCCATGTTAAAAGCCCTGGAGGAAACCCTCGGTGAAATGAGGTGGCGTATGACTTGAAAGCAACCATTTCAGCTTGAATCCTGATGGTGAAAGTGAAAATACCGAATTTGAATGAATAAGCTTCTCTAAAGCACTATGAACTGATCAGTGGTCCCTGGTCGATCTCATTAGGCTTAACTCCCATGAGGAAAATGTCCTAACCCATCTGGCATAGCCATGACCTCAGACTGAACCAGTATCATCATCATGTCGTGGTTTCTCCCATAAGTTCCGAATCGAATATATGTTGGACAATACGGATGCTGGGTTTCAAAGGACATTGCGTTTGTTCGTTTGTCTTCAACCTCTTTTCCCTTCCCATTTTCTTCCGATTGGTGCTGCGGAAGAATATTGGATTATCTTCAAGCTCATCAGTATCCCTGATAAGCATTGGATCAATTATTCATTGTTCATCCTCACTGCCGTCATGACCGAACTCGCGTACAATGCCATTGAGGACTATGGCTTGATCGGGGATATGCACACATGTGCCCTGGTCAGCAAGGCCGGTAGTTTGGACTATATGTGCTGGCCAGTCTTCGACTCTCCTACCGTATTCTGCCGCCTGCTGGACGAAAGGAAAGGGGGTTACTTCTCCGTGGCCCCCTACAAGACGGTCGTCGACGCCCACAGCAAGCAGCGATATCTTCCTTACTCAAATCTACTCGAGACTCGATGGACCAACGAAGATGGGGTCGTGACGATGCTGGACTACTTCCCGGTCACCCCCAAAAAAGCCCCCCAGTCGGCCCGTATTTTGTCGGGATATTGTCCCTGCAATGAACCCGGAATCAACCGCTTCAAGTCGGGACTGCAACACTCGGGCGTGATCAGAAAGTTGGAATGCAGCCGTGGGTCGATGGAATTGGAGGTGGAGTTGTTCCCAGCATTTAATTATGCGCGAGACTCGCACAACACCCGTGCCAAGTTGGAAAACGACATGCAAAAGCACCAACTTCAGACCGTTCATTTTGAGAGCGAGACAGAACGGTTGCAGCTTGAGATCTTTGCCGACTCACGGGAGCCAGACAAGCTTGGTTTCCCCTCGGCAGCTTTGAAATTGGAAGAGCGTTCGGGGTTGAAAGGCCGCGGTTTATTTGCCCGGCTCCGTCTGTCGGCGGGCCAGACCGTTCATCTGGTGTTGCACAGTCCCGAGAAGTCTGTTCCCAGCTCGGCCACAATGGCTGCCTACCTGTGGAAGATGGAGGAAGAAACCTCGGACTACTGGACCAACTGGACCCGCAAGTGTGCCTTCCGTGGTCATTACCGGGAGACAGTCGAGCGCAGCCTGCTCATTCTCAAACTGTTGACTTACAAGCCAACCGGTGCCATTGTCGCGGCACCGACCTTCTCTCTCCCCGAAAATGTGGGTGGCTCCAGGAATTGGGATTATCGGTACTCCTGGGTGCGTGACACAGCCTTCACGCTGTATGTCTTTTTGAAAATGGGCTACAGTGAAGAAGCGGAAGCGTACGTCAACTTTATCTTCGATCGGATCTTCCCGCATGCTGCCCTAGACCTTGATCCCAACAGCAAGAGACCCTTTCTTCCCCTGATGTTCACCATTCGGGGTGAGTACGATATTCCCGAGGTGGAACTTGATCATCTCGATGGATACAAAGGCAGCAAGCCTGTTCGCGTGGGTAACGCGGCCGTTTTCCACACGCAGCTGGACATTTACGGCGAATTGTTGGACAGTATTTACCTGTACAACAAACACGGCAACCCTATCACCTACGACCAATGGAACTCCATCCGACGCATGGTGAACTATGTTGTTAGCGTCCGAAACCAGAAAGATATGTCCATCTGGGAATCTCGTGGCCAGATCCAAAACTTTATCTATTCGAAGATCATGATGTGGGTTGCCTTGGATCGTGGAATTCGTCTTGCCGAGAAACGTGCTAGTCTACCGTGCCCAGATCGCTTCGATTGGATTAGAGTTCGTGATGATATGTACGACGAAATCATGACCAAGGGTTACAATGAAGAGCGCGGTCATTTCTGTCAGAGCTACGAGAGTCGCGACGTTCTGGATGCTTCTATCTTGATTGCTCCTCTAGTCTTCTTTGTTGCACCTAATGACCCACGATTTATTAGTACGCTTAAGAAGATCCTAGAAAGTCCCGAGAAGGAGGGTCTGTCTAGTGCTAAGATGGTGTTCCGTTACGATCACCTGCGGGCCAATGATGGTAAGTTCTCTTTTGTGCTTTTAGAAAATGGCTATTTGGAATATCACAAAATGGATGCTAAAGTAAATGTTACACAGGTGTGGGAGGAGGCGAAGGCGCCTTCATCATGGTAACCTTCTGGCTTGTTGAAGCTATGGCTCGTGTAGGGGCTATGAAAATATGACACCATTTTGATATCTGCTGACATTTTTGAAAATAGGCTGCTAAATATGATGTGCCAATTCCGAACATCTGGAAACTTGCACTTTCGCACTTTGACAACATCTTGTCCTACTCGAATCACCTGGGCATGTTCTCTGAAGAAGTGGCCATTTCTGGTGAACAGATGGGCAACAGCCCACAGGCATTCAGTCATTTGGCCTGTATTAGTGCTGCAATTAATCTGGAGCGACTTGGACGAGAAAGCGATTAAACCATTTACATACCTAGGAGGTATAATTGAGGTGGTTACAGACTGACTAAGAGATTTGTTTCAAGATTCTTTTTGTGAAATTCCATGTGTTTTGACAGCTATAGATCAACATATAATAACAGTTTCTTTGTTTTGTTGTCTATAGAGTCGACATGCCGCTTCTTATAGTTGGCTAGGAGTACAATATCATCACAATGTTGACAAAGTGATGTCTAACTTAAAGGAAAACAACCTTACTAATGACATTTAGAGTATAACTACATAGAGAAATTGCTCCATATCTTCACCATTCAAACAATATCCACTATTAATCAGCTAGATGCTCACTGCTAACAAAAATACAAGTACTCGTACAACGAAAACCGTTACGTAATATAAGCTCACCCGACTACCCCAGATTCACTTGTTCCATTACGATCACTGCTCTTTGTCCAAAACAAACACATTCAAGGAAATTCAAGCTTTTGTCCAGCTCCCAGCTGGAGATGTTCTTCATTACTCACATATCGTGCTATAGTATCGTCTTGAGCTCATAGGGAGTCTCTATGGCGGCCGCCAGCCTGGATTGGGTTGATAAGCCAAGCGCTGATCTAACGATGTCGTCGGATGAGGAGGGCTTTGCTTCCAGCCAGAGCACTGCCTCCGTTGAGCTTGAAGTTAATGCCAAACAGAATCTCACACTGGCATTGGAGAAGTTACACCTGGAGCAAGAGGGCTTGAACCAAGCTTCCATGCAGGAGGTGACCCCATTAACTTCCCGCACTGTCGCCGGTCCCCATCAAACTCCACCAGAGCCTGAAATACCAAAGCCACTACAGCTACTGGACCTTCCCTTGGATGTTTTAAAGGAAATTATCAAAGAGGTAACACAAGCTTGCCTCGCAGGTTATGAGGATTTAGCTTACGATTTTGATATAGGTAACGCATACAAATGATCTGACTTCGCTCGCCCTCACTTGCTCTACCCTGCATTCCCTAGCCATTCCACACATGTACTCGCGCTTCGATATCGTCTGGCCCGAGTCTCTGAATCCACCTACAGATGATTACTCCGGGGTGGATGCGCTGTCTTATGGTTTGTCTACACTGGTTATGGGCGAGGATGTATTCAATCGACTACCACTGCCTGAGAATGATTGGACCCCAAAAGGCTGTGAGACATGCGGCTGTGATAAACACCATCATAGACCGGAGTCGGAGTCGGAGGTGGAGGACAGCGGAGCTAGATTCCGGTCGCGCAGAGGCAATCATTATGCCCAATTCACTCGCACATTTTCTATTGGAAATGGCCCTCTGAGCTGGGTACAAGAGTATTCGGTAACCAAAGAAGTCGGTAAAATGCTAGGGACGTTGGTCGCTTTGGCAGTTGCACGGATGGTAAATCTCGAAGCCTTTATTTGGGACATGCCAACCGGAGTGGTTCGTGAGATCTGGCTGGCCCTTGCATCGCTGGCAGACCGACCTGGACATGATTGTCGCTTGGAGCGAATCTGGGTGCGCTGGCACGACAATTCAGAGAATGCTCTACGCAGCTCGTCGGCCGCAGCAACCAGGCTCTTCCAGAAATACAAACATGTCGAACACCCTTCACTGTCTGTATTGCCTCCACTTAAGAGTGTGGCTGTTCTTGACATAGATGAACCTGCGTATGTGGAGGAGCTCGCAATTCTCATTGAGCGATCGCGTCGCCGTTTGACGGAACTTCGAATCGGCATTGCGGAAAAGGCGCACCTGAAGCCTTGGTTGCTTTGTGAGAAGGATTCCGACGGCACGTCAAGTTGGCCTAGGGCTAATGGTCTACTTGGAATCTTGGCACGACAGCAACCGTCGAATATGCAGGATGATGCTGCATATCCCTCCGACGGCAAGTCGAAAACACCACAGGGTTTGACCAACGTCGCTCATAAGTCCTCGGCTGCTACTGAGACCGAAGAAATGCCTTCCAATGATGATCAATATCATCAGAGTGTTACCAAGGATAGAAAGCCTTCGCCAAGCTCTGGTTTGTCAAATCGGAGTGACCGCTCACCTGTACCTTCCTGTAAATCTGACTGTGAGATGCTCAATCTCAAAATCCTTGAGCTAGAACGCGTTCCTCTCTCCGTTCCAACCCTTTTGCCAGCTGTTGATTGGACTGGCCTAACAACCCTTACCATTATGCGATGCGAAGATCACGAAAAGCTATGGAAAGCTCTTCGTCGCAAATATGCCCCTCCTGTTATACCGGCAAAGCGCTCCCTCGCAGACCGTCGAGAGAGCGCCAGTATGTCTGAATACACGCTAAACTTGAAACATATCCGTACGGACACTGTCTCGCCTTACCTGATGCTCTTTATTAAGGATGCGTTGGCTCCAAATACTCTGGAGAGTATCTTTCTACACGAAGCGCCAGGCCACGAATCTTCTGTGCAGATTGATGCCATCTACCGTCACATCCTGCGGAAGCATCGGCAGAGTCTTCGCAAAGTCTTGGTAGATGCTACAAGTCATTCTAGTCCTCGATCGCATAAGTGGATGTTCAATCACGAGATGATATCATTCGTCACGAGTGGAAAGATGCCGCAACTCAAGGAGCTGGGAATGGCAATGCATTATCGCGATTGGGTAAGAAAACCATCAGCAACATGATTTAGACTGAACGCTAATGATAATCCCGCAGCATTTCTTCCTCCAGAGACTACCTAGTATGCCCCAGCTTCGAGCCCTGTACCTCCCAAACATTCACCACACCGTCCATCGTGATCTCAAGGAGCTCGCTTTACAAGTGTTAGACATAGTCAGCATCCGCCCCGAGCTCAAAATCGCCTATATCGGTCTCCACACGAAATGCTATCAGATTCTTGAAGCAAGACACGACGACAACCCGCTAGACTTCGATGACAACCCCACAACAGACCATTCCCCACCCCACAGTGACGACGAAGACGATGGCTGGGTCAATCAACCCCACAATCATGATTCCGACGATGAATCCGTCCATGGAGATGCAGGGGCCGCAGACACCGAGCTCCTTTCTAGTGATCCGGACGACTATGACACCGAACCGGAAGAAGAGCAGGGTGCTTCGCGGATTCGGTACAGACTGCAGGAGATTCTATATTACGACGAAAAGGTGTCCATTTTCAAGGCGCGACACGGTGTTTTGTGAGGGTGCATGTTACTTTTGGTGTCCATCTGGACCATTTTCGGCGTTTGGGAATAACTTATGAGATACCATGGTTAGTATTTGCTGCTAATGACACTTTTGATGATTCGATGGCTGTAGACCCAGTAATTTCATATCGTATTCCAACACTTGCATACATCTAGAAAGTGACAAATTGTCAATATCGCTATGTTGTGTTGTAGACACTGAAAATTTAATCGCGTGCCAGTCAGCGCAAGATCAAGAGTGTTGAATAAATACGCTTAGCCACTGTCTGTACCGCATCTATAGAACACAATTATGAACTATTGTTCTCCTTCCTGATCCGGTAACTCTTCACGTGCTGCGTGTAATATATATACTCCCCCGTGTCCTCCTCTTCCTTACATCGCGTTCTTCCTCACAACTCGACTTATTCTCTTTCAAACTTATTCTTCTCTTTCTGTCTGTTTCACCGAAGCATCTCATTTATTGGCTCAAGGTTCGTCACTGGTATAAGAGTGGTGGATGCCACCATTAAGAGTTGCACATTTTCGAAGTTTGATGACTGCAATTGTACCTGCCTTTGTATATAAACACATTAACGAGACGTCAATAGACAACCTAAGTATCGATGTTGTAACCTGAATTTTTGTAGATATGTAGCGTGATTACGCTGTTGTCAGCCTACTCCTGCTGCAACTCAACAATAACGGCTTCACTAGAGTCCACTTCAAGTCGTACAGCTCCCTTCAACACTTTCAAAACCTCAGTATCATCTTTCCCAGTCCGCCCGAGTCTCCCATCTGTATAGTTCCAACTAAATCCACCCCACGTAATCCCAGTATCAGCACTCGCTCCCGGACCAACAAGCCTCTTGATCTCGGCAGATTTCACACGATGCGAGACATCAAGCGCAAACTTCTGTGAAGGTCTCGCGTATTTCGTTGTCGAATTCCACCCATCCAAATTAACAACCAGATATCTAGCAAGAACACCCGACTCGTAAATCGCATATGCGGACAAATCATCTCGCTCGAGATCCAAAGCTTTTACCTGAACGATTGGGTGCCGACCAATAGCTTCCGCTGCGACGAGTTGGCCATATAGCGGGGCCCGGACTTGCGGTGCTAGGCCGTTGTGTTCAACTGGTGTCCAGCCCGCATAGCCGAACGTTGTTCCTTGGATTAGATTGAAGCGGGTGATGTTCTGTTGAGGCGGATTGTTAGCTTTTTGGAATGTGCTGGTATGTGCGTTTGTGCTTACCACACTCATCCCATAGAGAAGGTAGTCGATCAACCAGAGAGAGCTTCCGAAGACGCCTTCTATCTGGCTCATGTTCAGATTTACGTAGTCGCTGTTTGTTTCGCCGAGAAGGAATGTGATGTTTGGGTTGTAGCTGTGAATCAGGGTCATGTCTTCGATGTACTGGGACAAGTTTCCGGTAACTGCAGTGTGGTTCATGAAAGATTCTAGATGAGTTAGTGTGTCATTCTTTTCAGAGACGTGCGGCTGTTCTAACCTTGGAGTCGGACCCAAGCTTGATTGCCGGAGGCGTATCTATATTTTGTTTTAGTGGCTTGTAAAAAAACATGAAAAGAAGTCATACTGATGCCACGACACCGATTTAACATGTCCATCCATGTCAATCCCATCTTTGAATGCTTGTGCTCTAGTTCTCGTTAGACCAAAAGGGAAAAGGAATGAATTAGTTGGGACCAAACTCACGTAGAGAAGCCATTGAGATTGAAGACAAATGTCAAAGCTTGGAACAACGTCCAGTCATTCAAACCGTATCTATTTCCATGCAGTACTTCCGTAGAGATAGCATCCGCAAAAGATCTCCATTCCTTGACATAATCTGCCACCGTATAATCCAGTGGCCTCACATCTCCCGGATAAAGATCAGGCTCATTTCCAATCTCAAAGGCATAGAGATTTCCCCGAATATGGCTTATCGCTGCTCGGGCTTCAGCAAGAGCATTTTCCAAGGCATTGCTTTTGTTATTGGCGAGATTCACTTGGAAGGTCCATGGTGTGCTGGGGAAATTTTCGAATCCTTCGAAGAAGACAGGTCCTAGGGAGACTTCGAGGGGAATACCATTGTCTGATTCGGCCGAGAGAACTATAGAGCTGCTCTGGGAGGTGTTCAAAATGGCGCGGTCTCTGAAAGTCACTTTGGTTAGTGCAGTTTCATATGGCATCTGGTAGGTTCATGTTACGCCGAAGTTCCGCCAACTCGAATATGTGGGTACGCTCCCGTTTTCTCATGTAGAAGATTGATGATATCTTGTGAGAAATGGTTTGGGCAACTCTTATTGCCTATCAAAACAGTGTAAGCACAGCGTATATCTGCCAAAATAGCATTGAATCGTACCTGCATAGTCCGCAAAGAAATGGACGGGCCACGAGAACGAGGCGAATGCATGATCAACTGGCTGAGAAGCACCGTGTGGTAAGTCTGTAGAAGCTTTGAGCTCGATTAAGTGCCCTGTTGCACCCAGCGAGTAGCAAAATGCCAATAACTTGACCAAAGACAGAGTATACATTGTATGTAAAGCTTATGATTATAGTCGACAAACTGGTAGCTTCCTGTGAGCAATCTCTCTATAGCTGACGAACTTCAATTTATATCAACATACTTACCCCGGATTTCGACCCATATTTCTCCAGAGTGGTGCAATATGTCATCATAATCTAGGTTCTCGTAACGATAAATCGGCTTTCACGGATCTCGGGTCGGATCTCGGCCACGAAGTAATTACTTTGAAGACTCAATCTGTTTGATGAGTAATTATCTAATATAGACCTTGAGACTCTGAGTAAATCATGAAAACGTAAGATGTCATTGTTCACGCTAAAAAGAAGGGTGGTACAAAATGGGTATTTAAGAGCGGAGCTCAATTGATATACAATGTTGTATGATGCAATCGCCAAGTCTTTCACGCAAACTCGCGATGAGCAGTCTCATACTGGGCTTGAATGAGCTGGGCTTCAATTGCAGCCCTCTTCTCTTTCTCTGCTTCGCTAGAGTTGTCCTTGAAAACGTGGTCCATTTGTTCGAGAGTTCGACCCTTGGTTTCGGGTACGAAGAAGTATGTCCAGACTCCGGCGAGCACACAGAAGATGGCGAAGAAAACATAGGCTCCGTAGCCGGTATCTTGGACGAGGGGTGGAGTGATGAGGCCCTATTGGCACATGAGTAATTCAGACGTTGAATGACAGGCAATGGGGACTCACGATGATGAAGTTATTGAGCCAGTTGGAGCAGGTCGACAGAGCGACACCCTTGGCACGAAGGGAAGACGGGAAAATTTCTGCGTCTGTTAGCAGCCTATACTTGGTTTTAGAGGGAAAATCACATACCAGATGGCAAGGCCCATGGAATAGGACCCCAGGAAGCTCCAAATGAAAGCATGTAAAACAACAAGAATGCCACACTAGTCCAACCCTCTGCTTTGTGTGACGGCCAATCCGAGGAGAATAGGCCGACCAAAATGGCAATGATAATGTGCGAGAGGGCCATTAAAGCTGCGCCCCAGATCAAAAGCTTGCGACGACCGACAACATCCATTGTCCAGATACTAGTGGTGACACCCACCAATTGCACGACGTTGAGAACACCAGACATGATGAGCTGCATGCTATAGTCGAGACCCATGGTCCCGAACAGGGTAGGCGAGTAGTAAATCAGGGCATTGATACCAACGAACTAGGCACTCAGTTAGCCAATGTTCATAGCTGCAATGTATAGAATCATGGAGATGACCTACTTGTTGGAAGAAACCCAATCCTACACCAATGTGAGTGCGACGCCAGCAGCCCTTTTTAAAGCAATCGGCCCAAGAGGAAATTTCAAGCAAAATGGCGTTCTTGTTACCGCCTCCCTGCAATTCCGGGTGCTTTTCTTTGTTCATCTCCTGGTGGAAGCGCACCTCAGCCTGAATGTCCAAAAATTCCTGGCGAATGCGTCTGTCGGATGTTGGCAGAGAACGAAGTCTAGCCAGACTTTCTAGTGCTTCATCATTGCGGCCCTTTGAAGCCAGCCAGCGAGGCGAGAAAGGAAGAGCGTAAACACCTGCGGCAAGAATGAAACCCGGGATCATCTGCAGCAAGAAAGGGAGACGCCAGGCCCATTCGCCGACCATGTATTGTGTACCATAGGTAATCCAGAAAGCGATCACGATTCCGAGGACAATACACCATTCTTCAAGGACCAAGAGGGTACCACGGCATTCAGGGGGACCTAAAAAGAGAAAACAATGAGCATTTAGGTTTTAGGGGGATGAAAAGGATATAAAGGTTGAACATACTAATTTCGGAGATGTACAATGGTGCAACCATAGACAACATGCCAATTCCAACACCACCAATCAACCGAGCCACCACCAGCATGGGGTACCCAACGGCAGCAGTCTGAAGCACAGAGCCAACAGTAAAGATAATAACAGCGACGATAATCGAATACCGTCGGGAGATCTTATCAGCGATCCAACCCTGATTCAAAGCACCGACTAAAGCCCCCAGCTCAATCATAGCAGTCAACAATCCTTTCGCAAAGCCCGAGCCGGGGTTACCCTCATCAATGCGCGGAAACTCAAGCAAGAATTGATCCATGACCAGAATGACTGACACGACACCCTGGTCATAACCGAAGAGTAAACCACCTAGTGTCGAGCAGGCGGCACATAGAAGAACAAAAGGGTTGGCTAATAGTCCCTTGAGACCGGGGGGGCCATATGGTTCCCGGTCTGAGGCAATGTTATCGGCATGATGAGAGAAGCCTGTTACCACGGGATCCTGGGATACTTGTTTTGTGACGGGGAAATCATCGGCCATCTTGAAGACAGTTATACACCGATGATGAGTCTGAAAACTCAATTATATAATATAAATAAAGCTGAAGAAGATAGATGATTCTGCTCCGGAGGCACCCCGTGGATACTTATACCCCGATCTCACACCTAAATAGGGTATAGATAGTAGACAAGGTTCCGCAAACCGGTATAGAAAGTTTCCGGTAGGCAAAACGCTCTAGCAAAGGCCGAACCAAGTCGGGGTAGATAATGGTGTATACGGTTGGACCCGTACTAGAGCGGGTTGCCGCGGTCAATATGGGGGAAGATCGGCGCTATTCTTTGAGTTGAAATGTGGAGGAACATAATAAGACGTCTTCTATTGGCGGCTATTGACTACTTTGGGAAACATCTTTCTCTTTCTCTTTCTCTTCTCTTTCTCTTTTGTACATTGGTAGATTACTGTTATATACTCGGGTATACTTGGGCTGTTAAGAGTGAGGCCTTTCGATTCAACCCTAACCCTTTTATAATCAAAATCGAGGAAGCGTTCTTATACTGAACTAATCCCTGTAAAGCTCTAGGCCCGCTTTATTTTCCCCGGCCTCTCCAGGTTTCGGCGAAAAAACCCCCTCAATAACATTCGGTCTTACACCGAGCCTACCTTTGGCTGACCCACTTCTAGCCAGACGTTGATTGAGGATATTATATTCCGTTCTGAGAAGTAACTTATCTTACAGTGATTCCCTACCTAGGTAGGTGTAAACCCCAAGTTGACTATCCAATGTAGATGTACTTATACTTCGTCTCTCTACATGCCTACATATATATATATTGAATGTTCAAAGTACAAGTCAATTACCATGAGGCATTAGCCCTATAATCACTCGGTAAAGCACTGTTCCGCCATGACGAATGTTGCCAAGGTCAAAAGGTCATCATATAGGTTTAGAACTCCATCACTTGGCTGCATCGGGTCGTCATACTCGGGAACCCCAGTGACTTTAGGCGCCAACCTATCCCGTGATACGTTAATGCTTAGTATTGACCTATGCTCGTGAACATGATCCCTTCATATGACTGAATTAATAATAGGAACCAAATAGTAGGTAATAACATCCTCATTCCCCACGGGATAGAAACCACTCGAAGGAAATAAACCGCCCTTCCCCCTTTAATATCCATTCATTTCTCTCAAATTTCGGAAATCGTTGTCCTTCGATCATTGCGGAATTAAACATTGCGGAGATACTAAGCGGTGACTTGCGGCAACCAGTTTCCTTCGACGGATACCAATTCCCGAATCCTCCCCCCCACGTCACTACCCTTGTCAAACACTCGGACTTCTACATTGTTTTCAAAATGGCTTCCTTTGTAGAGGACCTATGGTCGAGCATCTTTACCCCAGGACCCACACCGACCCTCTTGATCGCAACCAACGTCAGCTTCGCCGCCCTCCAGTTCATTTTCTTCGCCCTACTCCTTGCCACCTATAGCCTCCACTTCGTCGCCTTATCTATCATCAGTGGTGGACTATGGTATTCTATCAACTGGTTCGCCGCAGAGGTGCGACTTGCCCAGCAAGCGCAGGAAATTGAGAAGGAAAAAGAAACAAACACGCGCAGCAAAACACCCGGAGACGGCACCGACAGCGAAACAGAGACTGAAGATGTCAAGTCTAGTGCTGTCACGACTGGGAGCACAAGCGCAACCTCTGGCTTTTTGTCCACCGAGCGGGATTCCAAGAAACGACCCAGCGCTAGTGGTGATGGATCTGGGTATGGGAGCACGGATAGCGAATGGGAGAAGGTTGATGATACCCAGTCTTGAAGGCTTCAAGTATTTACTTGAGGATGAAGGTTTGAGACGTGTGCGATAGTAAAGTGATCTCCAACCTGGGGTTTGGAGCTTTGGAGCTTGGTAGCACACATTCCGAATCCCCGTGCTTTTGTCTGAGCACATCAGACGCGTCGAGATAATGTGTAACAGCCAGTCTTGCACAGTCTCACACCGTCTCTCCGCGTTTGAGTTCCTCGGCTTGAATCTGTTCTCGGTTTATACATACGCATCTTGTCTTTTCTGAGTGATACCCCTCACACGATGTAGATGGTTTGATTTACACTTTGTATTGCGCTTGCAATATACATTCTCATTAGACAACTTTATTTACATGATTCAAATGCAAACAATTTATAATAGCAAAGACCTGATCTTTGATGTCTTTTGCACGCAATGTGGATTTTATGCCGGCGGTGCAAACCCAACAAACGCGTTGTCCCGAATCGCCAAAACATTGACCTCATCAATACATTACACGGGCAGAAGTAGCGCTCAACTCATCTATTAATTTCACAATGTCCGATGTCCCTTGAACAGGATGCTTTCAACCGTTCCCCTCAATGTGGGACGTAGACGCATAGCTGGCTCCGTCTTCTCCCCCGCGTCTCTCGAAGCTCACCCGCTAAAGCCAACGGATTCCCAACCGGGCGACTCCTTCCAATCGACCGATTCAACCTCTACGTTCAAAGCAGAGTCACAGTCCAATTCCTTTGCGACTATTGGAGGATCCGCGGGTTCTCCATCTGCAGACGATGACATCTTAGACCATGCACTTGAAGCGTCCAAAGAATTTCTCTCCGTGCCCAATCTGGGGTTCGATTCCCTTTACGATTACTGCGAAACGGATGGCAGTGAGCTGCTAACGGAATGGAATCGACTCAGCCCGCCGTCGAAGGAGACCGCGGAGGCACTGGAATATCTTGTGCGGACTTCTCCGTGGGCATTGTTTGAATGGCATGGGAATGATATCAGGAGGCATTTCCTGGTTAATTTCCGAGATGGACTGTCTAAGGTGAGGACGCGTGTTGTGTGAACAATTGGCTTATGCTGACTATTATAGCTCTTGGCTTCCCCCGATAAACAAGGTCTCCTCCGGAAAATCGTGGACTGTTTACAGCTCGCGCGTCGAATTTACCTCACGCCTGTCGTGCACTACGTACTTCCTTTGATAGCCACTCCCCACCAAAGCGGGCTCCTCGCTCAACTGCAGCGTGCCTTCCATACTGTCGTATCATACAGTCTTCCGTGGCAGGTCATTGCGCCGCTTCTTGCCAGTGAACTTACGCGAGATGCTGTGGTTATCCTGGGGATTGACACCTTTGACGAAAATTATGAGCTGGATACCATGAGCGTGGATGAAATGGAGGTGGAGCGAACTTACTCCGTTTCGTACAAAGACTGGAGAGAGGAAACAGCCGAGGCGCGTGCACACATGATGGTCGAGGGCGAGGATCGTCGCGTGACCATCGCACGGGATCAACTATTGGCGTTCCTCAATGGCCTACAGCTTGTCGGTCTCGGCGCTGACAAGGCCCAAAAAGTGTTCGCAGAAGTCATGAACATTCTAATGGGAGACTTTATCACTGCCGCATACTCCGGCGAGTGGGAGTCGCCCTCGACTGCACCGCAACACCTGGGCCAATGGATTGAGAACGTATACGCACGCCTCGCGGTACAAGTCCTATCAATAATCCACTCTAATGCTCCCACCACCCAATCCGGGGCCATGGATGTGAGTTTTGGCGATGTAGAAAAATGGCGGGTGATGGGCACTGCTCGACTTGGAATGCTTCGAGTCGGCGAGCTTTTCGATGTCGTCGTTGATTGGCCTGCGAGCAGTGGAGCGGTGGAAGATCTGCGACACTTCGTAACTCAGACCAGGCCACGGGCGTATGTGACGCATTGGTTTTCATTAAATCTACAGCAGCGGCTACTGCATCCTGGAGCTTCTACTGTTGAGATATTGCAGGTCTACATCTCAGTCATTCGAGCTTTCCATCTGTTGGATCCCAATGGTGTCTTGCTGGACCGCATCGCGCGACCGATCCGGCGGTACTTGAGAGATCGTGATGATACCGTCAAGGTCATCGTCAGTGGTCTACTGGCTGACCCCGCGACGGCCGACGACCCGTCTACAAACGACACCTTGGCTGAGTTAGCTTCAGAGCTGACCAGACTCAATCAGCATTCTATGCAGAATAAGAACAGCGAGCTAGACTTTGATGATTTGAACTGGCTGCCCGACCCTGTCGATGCCGCTCCAGACTATCGAAAGTCAAAGAGCGCAGATGTTATCGATAGTTTGGTCAGCTTGTTCGATTCGAAGGAGACATTCGTGAAGGAGATGCAGACACTCCTCGCAGACCGTCTAATTCAAAAACGTCAAAATTACGACCAAGAAACCACAGTCCTCGAGCTCCTCAAGGTCCGCTTCGGCGATGCAGCACTGCAGGCATGCGAAGTAATGCTAAAAGATCTCACGGATTCCAGACGTTTGGACCACACCGTACGCCAGGATCAAATATCATCCGGCGATCTAACGCACGAGGATGCCCAATTGCACGCAAAGATCCTCTCACGCTTCTTTTGGCCCGAATTCCAAGACCAAGAATTCAAGGTCCCCGACGAGATCACCACACTTCAAACACAGTACGCCTCATGCTTCGAAAAAAGGAAAGACTCACGCAAACTCAAGTGGCATAACGCCCTGGGCCAAGTAACCGTCGAACTTGAGCTTGAAAATCACTCTTTCCGAGACGAAGTTACAACCTGGCAAGCAACAGTCATCTACGCCTTCCAATCCGACTCCGACTCCGACTCCGACTCCCCCGCCACAAAAACGATACCGGAGCTCGCCTCCGAACTCGAAATGACCATTCCACTCGTCCGCAGCGCCTGTCTCTTCTGGGTTAGCAAGCGAATCCTCAGCGAAGTGCAGCGAGACACATTCCAAGTCCAGGAAGTTCTCGCAGACGAAGAGCAACACGACTCCGAGTCTGATAGCGAGGACGAAGACACTGCCAATGCGGCGGCGGCGGCGGAAGCTGCAGCCGCAGCTGCTGCGAAGGAGTCTGCTGAAGCGGCTGCTATGGAGAAGATGAATGTCCATTGGCAGTTCATTGTTGGTATGCTCACGAATCAGGGGCCGATGCCTTTGGCGCGCATTGTGATGATGTTGAAAATTGCTGTCCCTGGTGGCTTTCCGTTCAGTAATGAGGAGCTTCGGGAGTTCCTCGGTGGAATGGTTTCGAAGGGGAAGTTGGAGATCGTTAATGGAGGGAATTATAAGATTGTGCATTAGTACTGGCATTACCTAGGTGCATGTGGGTTTGATGACAGGTTGGCGTTTGGAATTTTAGGCGTTATGTACAATACCCGTGAAAATATCGTCCTTATCAGATATGAACAAGTAAAGTTACCATTTGACTTGGATATCCATGGAATTCCCGAGCTATTTTGGGCGCAAAGCATAACAATATTAGGTTTTATATTGACCAATTAGCCACAAGCGAAGCCCTCGCGCAAGCAAGCTCACTGACATCTCGTTACAACAAAACAACATATATAAGAGTTTTGATTCCTACAATCTACAAGACCCCAGGAAGGAAAGTGAATAATAGGAATAGGTATCATAAAGGCATTAAAGATATAAAGATCACTCCGCATCTAGAGGCGCAACAGGCGCTTGATCATCAACCTGAATTCCGCCTCTCTTCTTCTCATTGCTATCCCAGAACGGCAACTTCCAACCACCCTCATTTTCAGGCGTAGCAAGCCACAGACGCATGAGATGACGACGGGGGAGGGGAGGAGCATGATCAGTGTACGCAGTGCGGGCGTGCAGGATATGCGCATTGGACAAGAACTGGATATCGCCAATATCGAGAATCATGTGCAGCGAGAGACGTTGGCAGGTTTCTTCAAGAACCTGCAAGGCCTCGTTCTGTTCTGGGGACAGCGGGGGGATGATTCCTGCGTCACTGAAGCGGCCGAGGGAACGGACGTAGTATGGGTCCCATCTGGGTTTGTTGGTTAGCTACATGCATGCAGATGTGGAGGGGTGTTGTATTGTGGGAGAAATGGAAACTCACTTTGTGTAGACACGACCGTTCTCGCCGCGCTCTAGGTAAACAACGCTAGTACGGATGAACTCCTCCTGGCCCTTACTCGTCTCGCCCTTGCGATCGAAGTACCAGATTGGCTCGGTGAGGGTTTTGAGGACATCCGGGCGCTCGATGGCGAGGGTATTGTAGACATTGTGAGAAGAGACGAGGTCTGATTCGCCACCTTCGAGGGCTTTAGTGATACAGAGGAGGCCGACGATGTCTGAGTCGTCGGCATGGAAGTATTGGCGGGCATTGGTGCGGTAGATGCGAACTTTGTCAATTTGGGTTGAGTCCTCGCCGAGATCTTTGACGTGGCCGAGGACGTGGCCGCGGCTGTTTTGGCTGACGAAGTAGCCTAGGTATGTGCCGAGGCCCATATAGGCTACTGCGGACTTGTGGTTACCCCATTTTTGGACGGGGAAGCCCTTGAACAGGATGAAGCCTTTGCCGTCGATTAGATCGGCGCGCAGGGTGTGGAGGTAGCTGGCGAGGTGGGGAAGAATGAAGTTGCTCTGATTTGGTTAGTTTTGCTTTATATATATATGGAGCTGCGAGACTCACTTTAGAGATTCCAGTAAGCGGAGTCTTAGATGCGAGGAAGGCATCTGCCGCTGTGCTGAGCTCGGCGATTTGATCATCACTGAAGACGTGTGTCCATTTCTCCGGGTTCTCACGGTATTCCTCGGGGTTCCAGACGGTTGGGCCGGTTATTTGCTTGGGAAACTTTTCAAAGGGGACAATGTGGTCGTAAAGTGGGTTATGTTGACCCGTTGTCTTCAGACCATCTGGGAACAGGTTGATGTCGATAGGACCTGTAAGGTTGTGGGGGGCTGTGGGGAGAGTAGCAGTAGCTGCGGGAGCCATGGTGAATATACTTTTAAGGCCAAGAGAGTAAATCGCAGAGAAAAGAAGTTAATAGTTTGATGTGAGAAATGAAAGGGAATGGGGTGTATTTATAGTTCGATGCATTGCAACCATCCCAAGATTATCAAGAACAAGGATTATCAGATGTCGTCTTTCTCTGAGGAATGAAGTGGATTGAATGGCGTGCGAGGTCCACAAGATGCAAAAAGGTACAATTGTACAATATAGTCACTACAGCATAGTAAATGTCAAGTCGATAATTAGTTGAAAGGTCATCTTCTGATTGGAGCCTTAGACTCGACAATGGCGCAATTTGCGGGGTGCGATGTTGTGATAGCCAAACATCACAAATTGTGAAATTAGTACGATTGTATGCATATGTAGAGTATGTTAGGGCGATATCTGTATGATCTAGAAAAGACCAAATAAAATCGTAGTCGAATTAGTACAATGTGAACATCTAGGTAGAGATAAATGTATAGAAGAACATCGTGAACAAGCACACAAAGTATACAATGTCTAATGGCGACCCTCGATAATATCAAGTCAAACAATCTCGGCCGATAAACATCCCCAGTGTACTAAAAGTAGACAAAGTAGTCGATCGTACCGGCTGCCATTCGTGCATATGAACCGGCTCATCGGGTTAAACCTGCAACCCGACTAACATTTCCCTTTAGGGAAGGTGGATGAGAGATCTTCTGGAGCCTATCTATACAGTTGATCAATATTAGAGAATGAAAAAAAAAAAATCACTCAGATCCTGTCGGGCGAGAAACATCCTCAATTTTGTCTCGATTTTTATGCATATTCACATGAATGCATAGTTTAAAATTTCGTTGGTTTATTCACGAGAATATACCACCTTGCCTATAACCATGGAATGTTTCAACTTATACGACCCAACAAAAACCATGTTTACAAGCCTGCTATTGACAGCACACTCGCTACCAATGAACCCTTTCTAGATGCTCAGCTATGTTGTGCTTGCAGTTGAATGACCTATCGCAGGAAAGGCACTCGAACGAGCCTGGAGCAATATGTTGCATGTCGATATGACGCAACAGTGCTGGCTTGCCCGAGAATGAATCACGGTTTACAGCCCTTCCAATGACATATGTGAGGGCCATGGGTCTTTCTACGATGAGACAACTGTTGATTCTTTTTTTTAATTCAAAAAAAGCACAGTTGTGGCTCACTTTTGCTTCTGCCGGCATGTTCGGCTATGACTATCTGATGACTTCCCCTCCCATAGTTCTTGCTAACGGCGTTGGACTGAGAGACCTCTTGTTGAGGACAATGGCCTGTCGATGACTTAGGACAGTTGGTGTCAGGTTTGGGGCCTCGACAACAAGGTTTTCATCGACCGGGACAGGGCTGTGGTGATCGACTCACAGGGGATCACTCGAGGTAATTGGAGCGGAGGAAACAGCAAACCCAGGATCAATACATACACCTCGAGCCTACTTGGGGTGATTGTATAGAGCATGGCCTGTTTAGAACATGTGTGATAGAGGTAAGGTACTGAGCAGGCCCCTGTCGGAATCACTTTGAGGATGCTAACGGGTCATAATTTCATGCATTTCAGACACCGTCCAGTCTTCAAAGTAGGTGTTGGTGATGCAAGTACACGACATAGTCGAAAACTATAAAATGCTTGGTAGAGATCATAGAGAAGGGGAGTGTCACCACATTCGCTCCAGGGCTGTTGCGATGTATCTGACCTGGTATGAAACTGATTTGATAAACTGTATGGCGGTTATGTATATACATCTTTGACGTGAGCTGGACCCAGTATCGACCTAAATGATCGCCTGGGATCTCAAGTACGTCTAAGCAATCAACAAGTCAAGTTTGATGTGAGCGAATCATGGTGAGTCTACCACGGGGTATATCATTACATTACTCTTGCTGATTGGTTAAACAGGCGCCCGGCGTTGGGCTTTTGCAAGAATCGGCTACTGGCAGTGTCATTCTCACGCTCACTCCGAATGAACCGAACTGCTAGGGGCCAAACTGCGCCACAATTTCTCTTTCAAAGCGCTTCACTTACACCGGTCCTCTGCATGGTTGGTTTTCCTAATCAAGCTCCGAGTCCATGATTTTCTATTGGTTATCAATTACAAAACGAGGGAGAGTCGTCATCCCCTCTCCATGACCCTTCCTAAGGCAAAGTCTGTCTAAGGGCTCTAATTGAGGAATTTTGAGCCTCATTTTCATTTCATTCGACTGTCGTCTAAGCTGTAGATGATCCTGGGTGAGTTTTGATTTATAAACCATCTAGACAAAAGAAGAAACAGGCTAACGGCACGGTTGAAGGGTAAATCGGGTCAACAGTAGCAGCTTTTTCTTACATCGAGCTATTCTGGTCATTTAGCATGATTTGCACGGATTAGGTGCCTTGTCCTACGGTACTAGTAGAAAAATAGTAAGACCTGGCGTGTGGTAGGAGGAGCTTTCACGCGTGAAACCATGCTCGGTAAAATCTTGAGGCAAATCCATAATTGTATACTTTGAGGTCGTTGCATCGTTCTTGTACTTTCTTCAATCTTGCTACTTCGTATCAAACTTTCCAAAAGGAACCCATACACATGTTTTTGTTCCTGAGTCAAATGCTCACCAGCCACATCCAACGTCTCTACAGACAGGGATTTGATTTCCTATTCGGGATCCTGAACCCCACTTCGATTACTCACAGAAATCCTCATCAGGTATGAACATGCGAGCGCCAACTGTATGTTTCATCATTTAAGAAACAGATATTGTTTCTGTGATACCTGCATACTCCATCAACCACATGGCGCAACAAAAGATCCACGTGGCCGCGCTAGATGCAGACATACCCTGCCTATCTGTATACAAAGAGCGAGGTCTATACAGCTCGCAATTCCGAACATTGCTGCAAAATGCAGCCCAGCGGCTGAACGAAGCCACAGATCAACCACAGAATGGACCGATATCTGTGCATGTTACAGCCTTTGACGCCGTAGGCGGATCTTTGCCACCTCTCGAAACTCTACGAAACCACCAGTCAAACCCTCACGCCGGACCAGTAGGCCCTATCGACGCGGTCCTAATTACGGGCTCCGGGTTCTCAGCATACGAGGACCTTCCCTGGATCCATCAACTGAAATATTTCATCCAAACAGTCTACACGCACTACCCAGACGTGAAGATCTTCGGCTCCTGCTTCGGACACCAGATCATAGCCCAAGCATTACTTTCCAGCAAAGGTGTAACTCCAGAGTCAACATACCACGTCGAGCACTCACCTACCGGATATGAAATGGGCATCCAGCCCATAATCCTCAACCCGGCGTTCACGGCGCTGTTCCCACCTCTAGCACGCGCGAACCCATTCCGGATCCAGCTCATCCATGGCGATGTAGTTGTTCCTACGCCTGCAGCCCTTGCTGCGGGGGAAATTTCCCTCCCTGCACCATGGATGAATATCGGTAGTAGTGCGCAGTGCGCCATTCAGGGATTGTACAATCCAGGCCGGGTGCTGGCGTACCAGGGTCATTTTGAGTTTGATACTTTTGTCAACAGTGAGCTTATGGTTGAGTTTGGACGGCGGGCGAATTGGCCTGCTGGGGATGTTGCTTCTTATATGGAGCAGATTAATCGGTCATTTGTGCCTGGGAAAGAGGATGATGATGACGCTAAGGCTGCTGCTGAGGCGGTTTTGCTTTTCTTTGTTGGTTCCGATCGGGTCGTTAGTAATGGGTTGATGACGCCTCCACTGGTATAGTGATATTTTGGATATACGTTGTATGATTAATTTGGAGAATGCTTGTTAGTGTCAGTGTCGTGCCTAAAGATTTTGTTTCCAGGCTGTTTTCTGGCCGATTTATGGGTATGACGTTGTCTTAGTTGAATCCCTTGGAGGAGCGGTAAGGGTTCTAGGTTGAGGTTACGAAGCCTCGAATATGGGCTCTCAGCCACCCCTGGTGGCGACAAACTTGGTTGCCTTGGACCCTGCATGGGATGCAGCTGGTATGCTGGTCTGCAGGGATGCGGTCTAGATATAGAAATAGAATCACGAGTTCATGCAGAGCAGGTGAGCATTAAATGACATTGTAAGTCAAAGGGAGCTAGAGGTACCCAGGTATTGAAATTAGGTGTGTGCGCAAAGCTCTCCATAAAGTGGAGCGTGACCTGGCACTTGTAGATAACGTACGATAACAGAACATCCAGCTATACAAGGATACAGATGTTGTACATAGACACTAAGTGTAAGCTATATTAGTCTAGTACTATCAGATTATTACAATGTTGTAGCACGTAAGTATTTCGAGTACTACAAGCACACATACATAATGTGCCCAAAACCAAAAATCTCAGACTTTTCGGTGATCCCCCTGCACGGCCAACCATAAGCGGGATGGCGTGGGACTCTGACCAATGAGAGTAAAGATATTTGGCGAATCGGTGGGGGGCTCAAACTAGTTAACCAATCAGACTGCTTTGAGATGCTCTTCGGCATGTGTCGGTTATACAGTTGTTTCAAAGTATTGTTGTATTGGGGTATTGCTGTATCGAAGTATTGGGGTATTGTACTGTAAAAATCAAGCTCGTGCCTTGAATTGATTAGAGTTAGAAACGGGCCAGATCGGAGTGAAGCTCTCACTTGTTTGCATAAGCCCAGAACACAAGATGCTATATATAACTACCTGTAAAGAGTAAGCTGATTTGAGTCAACTCGTCAGTTGTTCATCTTGTCTTAATACATATTTATAACCGCTGTGAAAAAGGCATCGTTGCTTATCTCAATTTAGGTAGTTTCACAAGCTATAAAATTAGAGATAAAATACGGATAAAATACGTGGCGCTAGGTTTGCCACCCGGAGCTCGCCTCCTTCGCCAGCTTCTGGAATCTTTGAGCTCTGGGGAGAGCTTTGGAGGGGCCGCTGATAGCGCCTATCGTGTCCTTTTTTTTTTTTTTCCTCTTTCCCACTTTAAAGCTCAAAGTATTTCTTGACTTGACCTATGTCTTAGATTTAAATAATCAAAATAAAAATTAAAGATCAAACAAAAAAGAAGAGAAATGAACATATCCCAAAGCCTAAATAGTCAAGCTCGGTGTCCCACCGGGCTTTCCGAAGAGCCGTGCTCATTCGGTTGTATTTGATTGAATACCAGTCTATACCAGCCCATACCGTATTGCTCCTTTTTTTTCCTTTTCTTTTTTTCCATCCTTTGTTCTTTTCTACAATACCTTGAGCTAGTTAAAATACCTATAGATGTAACTAACATATAAAAAGAAAGAGAAACAAAACGATACACATGTAGACAATTCCCTTTGATAACGTGGAACATTCCAAGATCTTTAAAGAACAATGCATGCCCCTCTTTTTGGTTATCGATACTTGATAGAGCCACATACATATGTACTAAATTACATGTAGATAGTTACATACGATAATTTAAGGTAGGCAAAAAGAAAAAGACCTTTACAATATTATAGAAATAAAATACAAAAATGAAAAGAAAAAAAAAATAGAATAGCTTAGGGGCCAAAAGGAGTTCAGGCGAATGGTGTAATTACCCGTAATACCACTGACTTTCACCCACAACTGCGGAGTGATCCTCGAAGTAGGTATGATCCCTTTTCTCTTTTTGATTCTTTTTCCTTAGAACAACGTTGGAAAGTCCTTCACATAAACCCTGTCTTATGTTCGGGTGACCTCTTTGTCGCCCTCCTTTCTCTTATCTTGACTCTCATCTTCCTAGATATCGGATGACCTACATGCACCATGCCTCCCCGAAGCTCACTGACCAGCTCCTTCTCGGTGACTGATGCCAACAACGAAGTGGTCTGTCCCTTGAAGAATAACGATGGTTCCAATTGTCGCAAAAGATGCTTAGGCGTAAGTTTTTGCCCTAAACTTCCAATCCTCTCCATCCCCCACCTATGACTCTTCGAGTAGCTTGCGCAGCTCGATCCGTGCTACTCTGAATTACAACTAATCCGGTTGGTGCTTCAGGAAAAACGCTATCGCTCTATGCAGGAGCATATTCGACGTGCGCACCCGAACCACTACATCCCGAAGCTCCCGGCCACCGAGGAGAGCTTCTTGATGATGGTGAACACCCCACTAGAACAACGAGTCCAGCTATCTCCCCCAGAACCTCCTCAACCGAGGAGACCCCATGGTCAGTTTTTCCTTTTCCCCTTCCTTTTCACTTTTTATCCCCACCCGAACAGGGATACTGACGGCTACCGACAGATGTGGCGCCGGAAAGAGAGATCTATGTTGCGGATGGCTCCCCGGCCACCCCTCGAGCTCTCGATGAACCCCACCCAGCTGCGGCCACTGCAGCAGTTGCGCTGGCACAATTACACCACCACCGCCTGGCCTCGGATTGGGATACAGACATGGTTTGTCTTTCTGGGCTGTTTGGTGGGCTTTCGGCTCTTAATCTCCCCGATACTGACCCGCATTTCCCCAGGAAACCCATTCTGACACCGACTTGAGCCACCCACACATGCGCTCGACCATCGAACTTCCCCCACTTCGCGATCATTTCAAGGAGGAATCTCTTCCCCCATTTGCCCGGCCCCGCGAGCTTCTTCCATCTATTCTTAACCACTCGCCACCCGGTCGCTCATCTACATTACCACCAATCCAGCGCCGAGACAAATTTTCCCGCCCGCGCAAATCCTCAATCACCCAATCTGCTCGGAAACCCAAGCAGGATCGGCCTAGAACAAAGGAATTTGGACGGAGACCAAGCCTTGGCGACCGCAAGGCCCTGTCAGCGGAGCCGCAAACTGCGGCTTGGGCGCAAGGCAAGCGCTGGGAGGATTTGATCGAAGCCGCGACGTCTGCGACCGAAGCGGACGATGAGCACTACTCAGAGGTGAGTTTGCGATACAATTGTGATCTGGTCCATACGCTGATTGTGCAAATTCTTAGGCTGGCCGGTCGCCCACGATTGCCCCACTACTCTCCAACGTGACGTCTGCTCCATCTGGTGTGAAAAATCGGTCTTCGCTACCACCCGCCTTCCAATCCACAGGACTGCCTCCCATTTCTTCACACCGGCCATTCCCACCGCATGCCTACGCCGCTTCGCCCTTGCACAAAGCATTGACCCCACCACCGTACGAGAATCACCGCGCCCGTGACAGCGACCTGGAACCATTCCCATCGATTGAATCGTCGCTCGATTCCATGTCATCAGCATCCGGCACCGGCAGAAATTTCGCATCATCAATTTCCGGAATTGCGCCGTCCATAAATTCCGATTCTAGCCCAGTCATGAATCTCATTCCATCCGTTTCTCAGCGCCAACATCACCGGTTCTCGAATCCCACACCAGCGTCATTCCGCAACAAAGAAGTGCAGGTGTTTTGCGCCAACTGCAAACGAGCCTCCGCGCTGAATGAGTGCTATGCATGTACAGAGTGCATCTGTGGAGTTTGCCGCGAGTGTGTGGGCATGTTTATCTCGAGTCCGCCCGCTTCCTACCGAACCCCCGGCAATGGGCTATTAAACCATGCACCGCAGGGGCCGACAAGTTACCCAGGCCCTCGCGGATGTCCGCGATGTCGAACAGTGGGTGGGAAGTGGAAGGCTTTCCAAATTGACATTAAGTGAACGACCTCAAGACCGCCTGCATTTTTGGCTTTACGCATTTTACGACTGATGTTGGATACACGTTCATTTTTATACTGTTATTTATTGTTATCTCGACCCTTTTTTTTTATCTATTTTCCATCTTGCTGCGACATGGCAAGATTCATGATCCAGAGGTTTCAGGAGTTGCTCTTCCACTCAGACCCGGTCTTTTCGGTGCAGGATTCCGACAGCCAACAAAAAACCGAAGAAGCTGGTCTTTTTTGCACATTATATTCAAGGGTCTATTTTTTCTCTCTTTCAGCATTTTAGGGTTCACGCGGACATGTCTTTCGTCATGAGGTATATGCTGTTTCTTTTCCTTTTTTGATCTTTACATGACACGAACTGTACTGCAATGGTTTCATTTATATTGTTTATAGAAGAGAGCCGCTTCAAGGGGAGCTTGGCTGCCAATCCAGGTCTCACAATTGATTTATATAACTGCAAATTTACTCATCCCAGATGATACTGCTCAATCCCTCCGCGGACCCAACCTTTCCAGGCTCACCAACCTGTAGAACAGCAACTTCATCCCCTAGGTTCCCAGTCTGTCGATCCCGAAGCACAATCGCAACTGTCGCCGAAGCCTGGTCCCCAATCGCAACCAAATTTCCGGCTCGATTGATCACAAAAGTCCGTGGCACCTTGCCAAACGCAGAGGAGGAGTTTCGCACCTTCACTGACCCATCCTTAGGCGACCGATCAAGCACAACCATTGAATCATTTGGCTTGTATCCCTGGTCTGTACGAACCGAAACATACAGCGCATTGCCAATGCGCTTGATACCAGCCGGTGTCGCACCGTCAGGCATCACACCCTTAGGATACGGAACAATCGTCTGTTTCTTCTCAAGCGACAAACACCCAGACCGAGAATACGAAACATCATACACCATCATCGTACCTCCGATCTCGTTAACAACGTAAAGCATCGTCTTGCCGACAGCCGCAAGCTTACGCTGGTGCGTGGCGCCCTCAGACGTCCGGTCAGTACCATCTGTCCAGAAGACGCCGTGGCGCGGTCCACTGCCGAACGTGACATTCGTGCTGGGGCACTCATCCAACTTGCCCGAGTCCCCGTTGATGGAGTACACGCGCAGGAGGTCCGCACCTAGATCGGGGCTCACGATAAACGAGCCAGTCGGGTCCAAGAAGACCTCGTGGGGGTGTGGTGAGTCTTGCTGCGCGACTTTGCCTGGGTGGGTCATGTTGAAGTGGAATTCTTGTAGAGCTGGTTGGTTATTCTCGATAGGCAGTGCGAAGGTCGAGACGGCCGAGCCCTCACTGTAGAACATATTAGCATAGACCTAGACAAACAAGATAGACCAGTGGGAACATACTAATGCGCAATCGCGAGATACTTCTTGCCCTCGTCCGCTTCGTAAATGACACTATTCACACCACCGCCGACAGTATCGGTAACTGCGACCTCTTGGAGTCGACCATCCGGCGCAGCACGTAGCGCCGTCAACGTGCCGTGCGTGGATGGATCATTCGTCCCATCTTCATTGGAACAATAGACCGTGCGTGTCTTCGCGTCAAGTGTTAGCCAGCTCGGCATGGCGCCACATGTCTTGAGGGTTTGTTTGATGGCGAGATCGGTGCCGTTTAGTTCTAGAGTGTAGACATTTCCGTTATAGTGTGTTGCCCATAGACGGGCAGAAGCTGGGGGGGTTGGTTTGGCGAGTGCTGTGGATGCCAGCGCCAGGAGAAGGGTATTGAGATGCATTTTTCTCTCTCTCGCAAATCGACGATAATGAGGAAATCGGTCCAGGATCTGATGTCGAGCAGAACGGAGTATGGGGTTGAGGGGACAAGGCGCTTGTATACAACGTAGTACGGAGTACCGGGGCACGGGAAATTGGACGCGATCCACACGCGAGTGGGATGATCAACAATATGCATTGCGACCTCGCAGCGTCATTGCTCCGGGCCCGCGTTGGAATGGATCGTCGTGCCGTTGAGGGGGTTGGGGGAAAGGGGTTAACTACTCCGTCGCATCGTGTGCGATCTGTATATTGTTTTGGGCGCTAATGTGCATATATTAGGGTGGGAACTATATTGCCCTGCATGTTTCAGCTTATTATTAAATGAACTTGAAACTTCGAGGTTGGGATTGGGGTTGGAATAAAAGATGATATATCACTCCCCGGAAGGTGCTTAGGGCTGCAGGGGTGGCATTCTCAAACAGAACAGGTCAGGGCTTCGTTATGTCCTCGGTTTCTGTACAACCTTCAGTTTCAAACGACTCAACTCCGCGTTATCGGATACAACACTCTGCTTGCGATCCACTACGACCCCACAATTAGCGTGGGGGCGTCGGGTATTCGTCGGCATTATTGGGGACACTGAGGTCATATCATTGATCTATACGACATTCTATCTCTAAACAAGAGTCAGGCCGTATAACAAGTATCATTGCGTAAAAGCTCCTCTTGACTCCGTCCTCCAATGACACAGAGTAAAGACTACCACCAATATCAGTAATATAGACAATATCGTTCTGGGCGTGGAATTATGGGCACAAGTAATGCATCAATCAAACCTCGAAAATTAAAAGAAATTGGTGCTATGGAGGAATTTCCTGTGCAATAAGGTAGCCCACGTATCAGGAAGCCGGTGATTTTGGAACCCACTGCATCGTCCATCGACTCGGATTTAGCATGGAAACAGCATGGAAACAACCTAGAGCTACGTGAAATGGGTACATGTTAAAAGGAAGCTCGATCCGCTGTTCTGAATATTCCCAGCAAGAATTTACAGTCATTGAGTGCTTGCATGCTATGTCAATGTCTACTCGATGTCTGGGATGACCGACACTAGCTCCGGATTTAGACAGCAATCGCGGGTCTATGGAACTACTCGTTCTTAATTATTGTATTTTCCTCTCCATTTGTGGGTAGTATCTAGTATGTTGAAGCTTGTAGTGGCATGAAGAACTTGTATTTATTCATGGATTCTTGAGAATAGGGCTATCAGGAAGATTTTCCTTGTCGCGTTGTCATTATCCCTGCTTTTATATGTTCTTCTAGAAACATATATCGGAATTTGGAACGATAATATTCCCATCAGCAACGAGGACGCCCGTTCCAGATATCATGATGCTAGCTGAGCCTTCTTCGTTCGGCTCAATGCTCAGCTTCATCAAACATTTCCTTCCAGTCTGCACGCCCTGAATAACTTCAATATTGTATGTTCCGTTCTCCGCTGACCCAACTGCATGATTAGCCCACATATACGCAGCCAGAGGCCCAGCAGCTGACCCTGTAGCTGGGTCTTCCATCGACATTCCGGGGCTGAAGAATCGGGCCTCGAATCTGGGGATCTGTGATGGCGAGTCATGACCAGCAGAAGTGAAAACATAAATACCACTATTGTGGCTTTCTGTGCTGGCAAGCTCTTTTGAAATAACTTCCTTGTCGGCAAATTTGACTTTTCGGAGGACTTCCTGAGTACGGACGGGAACTAGAAGATGTCGGGCAGGCGAGGTGGTGACCACCATTGGTTGATCAAGTTCGACTCCTGATATATTTAATCCGATGTCAGAAGCATTGAGTCCAATAGATCCAGCAAGGGAATCGAGATTGGTATGTTTGCTCATGAACTGCGGGTTCCCCTGGCGCATTGAAATGACAAGATCTTCTGCATTTGATCCTGATACCTCAACGGAGAGAATATCGCTACCAAGTTGTTGATAATAGGTGTTTCCACCTTGAGACCCATCAAAAATGCTTCCTAAGAGCCCCGAATGTGCAATCCACCACCAAGCACCGAGCGAATTATGACCTGCCCCAAAGACTTCTTCTCCATTGGGGAGAAATGATCGCAGTCGCCAGGTGGCTTTGGGGTCTGTTGGTGGATAGATGAAGGTTGTTTCGGATAGATTAAATTGTCTTGCTATCAGTCTCATCTGAGTATCGGTGAGAGATGAGGATGTGGTGTCTACCACTGCAAGAGGGTTTCCTTGATAGGCAGTTGAAGAGAAAACATCGATGACACAGTAGCGAACCGTAGACATAATTTGACTGCAATGAATAGAATGAAGTACGACTTCACTTTGAGGGAAACTTGAAGGTCTTTTGAAGGTATAAATCATCTGCAGGACTAGGATTTAAAGCATCTCGTATTTGATCACATTCTCCCGTCTTATAGGACCCCGCTCTATCCTATACGAATATTTCCCGTGTTTCACTGGCTAAAACTCATTGTAGCCCTTTCATTGGTTTCTTGAAATGCCTTCAGTGCATAGCAATACGGGCCAAATCACCGCATATTGGGATCGGTGTCTTGCCACAGACTGCATGTCATCGCACTCCAAAGCAGATTCCAATTAGCTGCGCCGCGCGCAGCGAAACTGCGATATGGATCTGGGTGAGTGTCTGCAATAGAATCATACCAAATCCAAAACCTTGGGTGGAGTCCAAAACTCCCAGCCACAGCCAAGCCGCTCGGGCGCCAGGGGCGTGAGCCCGTCGCTATCCATCTCATTGCAGTCAATACCGTGCTGGAGCAGCACACGCATGATCCGGCGGTGGCTCTCCTGCGGGGCGATGTGAAGCGCCGAGAGCTTGCCTGGGCTGGCATCATGCTTATTTGCTGCCATAGGACTTAACGCGCTGGCGCCGGAGGAGCTGGTGGGCGCTGAACCGTCTATAAGCGCTCTCGGTAGGGAATCTGTGTCAAGGCTGTCTGGTGCACTTCCGCGGGTGCTGTCGCTGCTGCTTATGCTTCCTAGGGAACCTGGATGCTGGCGGAAGGAATCTTGATCGCTGCCGATGACGCCATGATCAACGGATTCGGTATTAGATATGCCCGGCGACAGGCCTACGGGGAGGCTTGAAGAGCTGAGGTCCCTCAGGTTATCCACGTTTATGACATTTTGGCTGCCGATCAGTCCATTGGCATCACCCTGTAGGCAGTGGACGCCAAACCCAGGAAGCTGCTCGGGGGCTTCAGTATATTATGAGGCAGGTCTAGGGGATATGTAGACAAGAATTCGAGATTGGGGGCATTGACGGCTAGCATCGTAATTAGTGCGTCTTTGAACTTGATTGCTTCTGGGCTTGAAGAATATCTACTTTGTAGTGAGCCTCCTAATCTCAATACGCGCACAGGGAATTACACCTAAAGAAAACTGGATCTTGTCTAAGGATAGACAGGATAGATTCTCGGTCCTGATGCTTTTCAAGTCCGGCTTTTGTTAGGGCCTGTTTGAGTCTGTTGATATCTTCTGGAGAGAGGACCCGTTGAGTAACCTCAGATTCAAAGGAAGCAACACCAGAGTCTGTTTCGCCTCTAAACAACTCTAGGCGACGATAGTCTGCGAAAGAGGGGGTGGCCAAGATTTTGAGCAGCATGTCCTGGCCAGCCTGGAGCTGGTCTGTGAAATTCCGTCCTTCTCGACCGAGTTTAAATTCGTGATATTTGTGGCGATTGGAGACGTCGATAACGCTATGCATCCCACGACTTTGCCGTGACAAGGCCACAACATCATTCATAGGTGGGAGACTGTTTACAATAAGTTGTTTAAGTGCTATGAAAATAAATTGAATTGCTGTGATGCATGCTTCTACGGCCATCAATTTTCACCAAAGACAATACATAGAGTACAGACGCGCTCGCAATTAGTCTCATCAATCTACTCTATTTTGCACTACGCTTGACCTATTTTGGATATTGTTCGCCTGACCCGTATGCTTGGCAGTATCATGGTACGGTAATACATAATCAAGCGTTTGTATCGTCGTCGTACCTCGGTATGGGCCATGCAGTTTCCGAATTGCTTCCTATAAACAAACAAAACAGACCAGATCACCTAGTACCGCATATACCAACGTTCGTGAGTCGAACATTTATCTATCATGTACTATTGGGAGAATGGACTCAATTAAAATTTTTTAAATTGAGAGGGCAATTTTGCCTGACAGGTTTGTTTCTCATTGTAGCCAGCTAGAGACGCCAATTCCTACGACATCTCCTCGCCCCGAGACATTTTGATAAGCAGAAATGAAAGATTGACGAGTAAAAGACGAAGGTAGTGAACGGGAAGACAGCGGTTGTGGGACCAACCGTTGGTGTTGGTCTATCAATATTCCTGTGGCGCAGTGAACGCAGTCGCTGTGTATACAGGCCTTCTCGGATCTAGAGTGGACTTCCAAGGTTTCGGAATAGGAATCAATTGTTTTGCGCAGGCATAATTCAATCTTGCGTAGTCGGCAGGGTAGTCAGAGGGGCAAGTACGCCTTGCTTCTCGTGAATAAGCGCCTTACCATAGTTAAACCCTGCAACCACCAGTCGTCAGATGAGGCAGTGACACAGCGATTTTTGCCGCGCCAATAGTAGTATACAAGCAACCAACATCTCCTAAACAAATTGCTAGTGAGTTACAAAGCTTCATGCACCTGTGCTGCGCCGACGCGAGGTGGCAGCTGACTTTTAGTGGTATTTTCCGCTTTGGCATGACCAGCAGGAAGTCGAAATGCACCATCAATTAAATAGAAGGACAGAGGCTGCCCTTTTCTGATTTTATTTCATCGCCAATGTCATGTCTGACACTTCGGAAGCAAGCACAATGTTGGATAGGACAGAGTTGAGGAGAAGATATGAGACCGTGAGGGTTATCGAAGATAGCAAGAATAAAATCATCGAGGCATGCTTCGCATACAATGTTGCGGACCTGGACTTTACTGACTGAATTGTTTGTGTGCAGGAGCTTCTTTCGCATGTCCAAAGCCTCGAAAGGGACCTCCAACACGAGAAGAATGAATATCAAGACCAGAAGAAGCTGGTTCAGGTTTACCGGGAAGACGCCGAGAAATGCCAGTTAGAGCTGAATGAGAAGTCTCGCAAGGAGGTACGTGTGGTGATAGTTTCTTTCCATTTAATTCATTCACAAGCCCAACCTGCTACTAACATCATGAGCATAGGCGAGGTTGAAGTTTGCATTGGTACTTGTTGATGGCGACCACATGAACGTGAGTATAATGGTTTCCCGCGAACAATATTTCGATTCAAACTAAAACATCGAAGTTCAGGGACGAGTTTATTCAAGGTGGACAGAAGGGCGGTCGCTTCGCAGCGAGAGCTCTCATTAAGGCAGTTCAAGATCATGTCCGAAAGGTCGAACCTGCTGCCAGCCCCAATATCTACTACAAGATTCGGGTGTATGCAAATGTGGCTGGTCTAGCAGACACGTATCACAATAACAGCATTGTCAGTTCCAAGAATGTGCTGAACTCTTTTATCCAAGGGTTCAACATGGAAGATACACTGTGTGACTTTGTGGACGCAGGTAATGGGAAGGAATGCTCTGATGTGAAGATTGATGGTGAGATATTGCTGTCCATTGATCCGAGGGTGAAGGGTTCTCTAACATATCCTCCAGCTCTTTTCGAGCACTATTTTCTAGATATTCATTGCCAACACATCATCTTCTGTGGATCTGGGGACAACGGTTATGCCCGTGTACTGGGACCCCATCGCGGATCAGACCATATTTCATTGGTAGAGGGTCCACCATTCGCTCGTGAACTGAGAGATCTGGCATCCGACTTCGAGACAACCTCGTTCCCCGAGGTCTTTCGGTCGAAGAAGATGTCTAGAAAAGTATCACTTGGCGACACAACGGCTACTCCATTGCCTACACCGCCGCGGACGCCGACTCCAAACTACGCCTCTATAGCGAAAAGAACGCCTCCAATATCGAACGATAGCACCCCGATGACCAATACATCTACAAAAGCACTTGCAACCAGCAGTCTAAAGTTGGTCGTTTGTAAGAACGCGAATGGTCAACGTGTTGATAGCCCGTTACAATTTTCCACGAATGGAAAACTCGAGGCTCTCAAGCGTCACAGATTCTGCTACCAGTTTTACATATTGGGATCTTGCTCATGGGGAGAGACTTGCACCTACAACCATAAGCCAAGACTCGTTGAGCGAGATGTAGTTGATCTGATGTGGATCGCCCGTTTAAGTGCCTGTCCCAAAGGCTTGGAATGTGACGATCAGAGTTGTGTCACTGGTCATCGTTGTCCCCGTGAAAGTTGTACGGGAAGTGATTGCAAGTTCCCCCATGGCGTTGACACCAGAATCGTCACCCCAAATTGAGATTGTGAATTTTCTTGGCTTCAGAGTTTTACTATAAGTTTTCTTTCAACAAGGTGTCATTACATTATTTCCGCAACGCTATCTTCCTTCGGTTTACCTGAGGTATCTTCTCCTTTTAAGCAAAAATCTTGAGTAATCCAATCCCATAAGTGAGTGAGGTTCCGAAGAGTTAGGTTCACAACCATATCCGGTAAATTACAAAGCCACTTATCATTTGAGTTTCCTTACAAAAAATATCGAGCACTCCAGATAGGCTTAATCACATACGGACTAGTGTGTCCCAACATGAATATAAAGCTGGCTGTGACTGAATCAAGGTGAGTTATCTGGATTTGCTCCCGATTTTGCAGCTTTCCATGCGGCAATTTATCTTTCCCGCTTGTCTCCTTGTCTGCCAACACCTGCGTTTGTTGCATAAAGCCTACCAACGAAGCTAAATTCCATAAATTATCTGGAAGCCATCAGAAGAGCCGTGGATGATGATTGAATGTACTGTTCTGGCAATTTGGCCATTCCTATGAAACGCCCAGGGAGCTGCATTGACGTCCTAACACCCTTGGCCCCACATCTAAATACTACGTACTATTCTGTCTGCCAGTCAACATATCCGGCCAAGATGAGCCAGGTGGCTATTATAGCCTCCTCATCTTGCCAAAAGCTACCTTGCTGATTTAAAGATATTTTTGAGTTTCTAACTTCATTTCCAACAAATTCTCCAGCTCTTTTAAGTGCCGTATATCATGACTTGGTGAACGGATTGGTAGGCGGTAGAGCCTTGGCAGGGGCGATGGGATGGGTCTCGAGGGTCGTTAGGATCCTTGCGAAGTCACTGGACTCCGTATATCGCTTGTAAGAGAAGTTTCTTATGATTTACAGTATCATATGTAAAGCGGTCGTGCTGGATATTAGACACAGTCTATTATTAGATGAAGATTAAATTTTCGCCTTGGGCCAAATATTGATTAGCATAGGTTCAGTTACGGGCTAAGAGTATCTAAAGGAGATCTGGTTTCGAATCTGGTGAATAGCGATGGGGCGTCGGCATTTATGACCTGTCCAATGCCAAAAACTGTGATCCCGGTAATTTGGGTGATCTACTACTGCTTTACATAGTTGACCGTACTCTACGGAGTACAGGGAGGGTTCTTATTGGGATCTGCTGTAGATCAGCCAACTATTGGTACCGATTAAGTTTAGTAGTAGTATGTGGATCCTTGCAATGTCTCATCTATGTATCCAGACCACGGGCTGTCTGATCGTGATGTCTGGTCGGAATGCTTGCAGATCCTTCAACCTTGCATGATTAGCGGGAAAAGTACTCAAAAATTATCAATAGTCGAACATGGAGCGGGATTGGGAAGCTAAGAATAATGATACACGCTACAGAAGAGTCGAGTATAAATCCCCCTGCGACAATCCTCGAGTTCCTCTCCCCGAAGACGAATTCTAGTCAACACCTTTTTCTCCGTTCCAAAACATCCACCTCTAAAACAATCAGCATGAAATCCTCTTTCCTTGTCTCTCTTTTACCTCTCGTACAGGGTGCCCTGGGCTCTGCAGAAGTTTCAGGTGGCTCACCAGCTACGATCGACGACCTTCCATATCTGGTCAGCATTTCGAAATCAGGCGTCTACACCTGTGCTGGTGTTATCATCAGCGGGGACCGTGTTGCTACTTCTGCACAGTGCGTATATGGTCTAGAGGCATCGCCCTCGAGCTTTTCCGTGAGGGTAGGCTCAAGCAACACATCTTCTGGAGGATCTGCAATTGTGGTATCAAAAATTGCTCGGAATGCTCGGTTCGACCCTGCCACCAATGACTTCGACATTGCCGTGCTCAAACTATCTTCCTTTGTCACACCCGGCCCGACTGTCAAGGTGATTGACTTTGTTCAACCTGGTCAGGACCCAGCGGATGGGACTGAGTGCGTGGCTTCTGGCTGGGGTGATTCGGGAAAACAATTACAATCGGTTACCCTCCCTATCGTGAACCGAGACACTTGCAATCAGACTTCTGACGGCCAAATCACCGACCGTATGATCTGTGCTGGCTCGGAAGCTGGTAAAGGTACCTGTTCAGGAGACCGTGGTGGCTCGGTCACTTGCGGTGGTAAACTTGCTGGAATCATCTCGCAGACTCACGGATGCGAATCACTTAGTCTTCCAGATGTTTTCACCGATATCGCCAACTCTTATATTCAATCATGGACAAAGAATCAATAAGTGCAGCTCATTGCAGGTCTTTGCTTACTGAAAATCTGCGCCAAAAGACAGAATCAGTTTCAAGGACCGTCACAATTTCAATGTTGTATATATGAAATGAAAAAACACATCCGAATACTTCGGCGAGTTTATCTCAAAACCACGTTAGTTAAATAGGAAATATGATGAGAATAAGTATAGATACTCGTCAAGAACATCATAGAAGTATCGCGCCACTAGAGTAGCGCAACATGTAACAAAGCTCATTTACTGTAGGCTTTATATTTACCTCGCTTTCATCTCCTGCGAAATTTTCCTTGCACATCAAAGCCTGAGGATAGGAGAACGACTGGCAAGGATATACTTTTTCAATTACTTATCGGATGACAAGTCTCAGAACTGGGATCGAATTGGGGCTATAAGTCTCGAATGGAACTTGAGAGAGGGAGCTTCGCATACTCGAAGCCACAATTTATACGAGAACAACACGTCCGTCAACTTTCCTCCATTTTGCTGTTCTCGTGCTAGCGAAGCAATGCTAGTAGCCTCATCAAAGATAAAGCAGGCATAGGAATTTAGAATTTGTTTCACCTACATACGTTGTATGTAAGAACCTAGGGCTCTGGAATGACATAGTTCGGCGATAAGAGCCGATAAGGGAAAAGTTCGAACTCGGCCGCGGGGGCCACCTTTTGATCTTCAACTTTTTTTTTCTCACAGATACAACAATCAAATTAGCGCAATATGGTCAAGAGAAAGGATCCCGGCGATGTTACTATGGGTGGCACCAAGGAGGAGGATTCCTCTGACGAGGTCAGGATTGTACCCCCGAGTAAATCACCATCGAGTTGCTAACAAGAATGACGACTGCAGGACATTGACATGGTCAATGTAGACTTCGAATGGTTTGACCCTCAACCTATTGATTTCCACGGCCTGAAGAACCTGCTGCGCCAACTATTCGACAATGATGCTCAGATTTTCGACATGTCCGCGCTGGCCGACCTCATTTTATCGCAGCCGACACTGGGATCAACAGTGAAGGTGGATGGACACGAGTCTGACCCCTACGCATTCTTGACAATTCTCAACTTGCAGGAGCACAAGGTTGGAAATCCCCAGTCCCCAATTGCCCACCTACAATTCCATACTGATAGTCTCTAGGACAAACCTGTCATCCAGGACCTGATCAACTACCTTAAGACCAAATCCGCCTCCAATCCGTCTCTCTCTGCCGCCAACCAGCTTCTTTCTCAAAACCCCATTCCTCCAATTGGCCTCATCCTCACCGAGCGTCTGATCAACATGCCCGCTGAGATTGTCCCACCCATGTACAACATGCTCCAGGAAGAGATCGCCTGGGCTGTTGAGGATAAGGAGCCCTACACTTTCTCGCACTACCTTGTTTTCTCGAAGAACTACGAGGAGGTTGAGTCGAAGCTTGACCAGGAGGAGTCGCGGCCCCAGAAGAAAAAGAAGAAGGGCGGTGAGCAGGCTGAGCGCTTCTTCTTCCACCCTGAAGATGAGGTGATTGAGCGCCATGCGCTCTGCTCAGGCTCCCTTGAGTATACCCACAAGTCTGACGATGGACACTCGGACTCCAAGCGTGCTTTCCAGGAGCTTGGTGTCAGGACGAAGGGTAGCATGATCTTGCTTGAGGCATCCCAGTTCGAGCCTATGGTCAAGGCCCTTACGGAATACATGTCCTAGTTATATGAAGACAGGACAGTCATATAAATATCATGTCTGGTTTACGAAAAGCAAGAATCTATTCTGTGCTAGCCTTATTTCCACCTACTTTTTTTTGCATCTACGTTGCCCCGGCCTTTGTGATTGCGGCTATATAATTTTTGATAACTATATAGAGTTTTATGGAAAGAGAAAAATGGGTTTCATAACTTCATGCTCAATTCCGCCTTACTCCCATTGGGTTCCCTTGAGGCGCTGCATGAGGTACTCGACCTCAACAATCTTGGTCAACGGGATGACACATTCCTTTCAAACAGCCCGAGTCAGCAATCGCAGCAGAACAAACCCCATTGATACTCCACTCACCTTGTAAATAGCAACGAGGGCGGCGCTGTTGATCTTCTGCCCCTTCTCATCAGGGAAAGCAGGATCAGTACCGTAGGTCTTAGCCTTAAGACTCAAGCGCTCAAGAACCTTCAGCTCAACAGCAGCGTTGGTAATAGCTTCATCGATACCCTTACGGTCCTCTGCCTTAATCAATCGCACAAAAGTCTCAGGGTCCTTCTGGAACTTCGACTCAGCAACGAACTTTCCAAAATGAATGCGACGCGACAGCGCCTGCAAACAAGCAACGTCGCACGTCGCCGAAGACCCGTAGTTCTCCTGGGTCTCACCGCGGTCCTCCCGTCCAAACTGCGGGCACACGGCCGGCAAGACCTCGTTAATGTACCGCTCCTTGATGACGTCGTTCACGCAGACATCGTTCTCGTGCAGGATGCGCGGGTACTCCAGCGGCTGCAGGATCGGTTCTTCCAGCACATCCGGGAAGAAAGGGTATTCGTCGGGTGATTGGAAGCGGCGCACACGCGATTGTATCCGCTCCTGTTCGCGGAGGAGGTAGTCCAGGAGACTGAATTTGCTGTTAGGGATCTTCACACCGCCGGGGGCGTAGATGGTCTTGTTGAGCGGGAACTGCACTCGTTCGATCAGGTGGAAGGTGATTGTGTCCTCCAGGCGACTGGATGTGTGTAATATTAGCGGACTGCTCGTATTGTTTCGTTGAGTGGAGGGTATGCAGTTGTTCGTATACGTATATTGAAGCTTGGCGGGGCAGGAAAAGGAAAGGAAGCTTTGTGTAGCACAAAGTTGCAGCTCACATTAGCTGGAAACGGATGTTGGCAAGGTCCAATGCCTTGGTGGCATCGGAGAGGTCAATGGCTGTGTCCATGGTGAGTTGAAGAAGGAGAGTCTGCGGGACTGCGTCGGATAACCATATAGCCCACTCTTGTGATCGATCTACAAGTACTAGTACTTATATTTAAAAAGGGGGAATTCAATAATTGTGTGACCGAGCAGCTCCACCCTGTAGGTTTTTGCTTTTTGAAAATAAATAGAAGATCGATGAGGCTGTTAATTCTTTTACCTTGCAGTAGGCTAAGGTGGATTAACTTCTACATATAATAATGTATGCGATCGAGAACATCTGTATGAACACCAACCAGATATCGAATTTACTTCAGAGGGTCGTTAGTAAATTAAATTACAAATAGTTATGTCCTTTAAGTCGTTGTTGAAATTAGATATAGGCTGAAGATAACTAGCTGGTCTCAACCCCGTAAAAGTACCATACGGCAGTACCCGGGGAACGCGGTAAATCCACCTCAGACAAGTCTCCTTCAAACCTACCAACTACTTATCCCAACTTCATTGGATCGCATGGGTGTCGGCTGAACCCAAGATAAGCCCTGGTCTATGGAGAATCAGCGCCGCGACGACTCGCCATCGGGTCTGTCAGATATTGTCGAGGGCGATGGTCTTCTGGGCACCGGCCTAACAACCCGTCACATCGAAGCATTCGGACGAAAAGTCACTACAACCGCAGGACATTTGATAGGACCCGGCGAACAAAAAGACACTCACTTTCACAATGCTATGTCAGACATCCACCGCGAGCTTCGGCGCCCGGCTGCACAGCGCAAAGTGTTTTCGCTAGCACAAACTACGCCGACCGATCTCGTCCGATCGAGGCTTTCGACCTCCGAAATCCAGTCCCGTGCCCTCTCGTCGGTCCCAGATGATCTCCTCGCCAACATCCCCGAAGATAGCAGCTCATACTCCCTTTTCGAAGGCTTCCAGGCCTCTATTCCCGAGGAAGAACCAGGGAAAAAACGACACCGAAGGCGCAGCTCCAAGGGCAAGCATCTCAAGGATGTCGAGAGAGGCGGCTCCTTGACTGCCGGCCCAGCTGGGTTGAAAGAGCAGCGAAAATCGCTCAGTCGCAAGTTGGAGTTGATGGGAATCCGAAAGAACATGTGCAGTGCGGAGATTCACGAGATTGACAATAAGGTCGCCAACTTGCACAAGATGCGCAAAATCGTTCTAGACCGATTGGCTGGCTTGGAAATGGACGAGGCGGGATTGGAAAATGAACGTGGGTCGAACTATACGCGTGGACGAGGCTGCGAAGGAATAAAGCTGATGAATATGCGACAGTAACGGAATTGGATAACAAGCTGGAGGATTTCCCAGAAGAGGAATCTTCAGACACACCAGTTGCGACGGAGACGTCGCATTCAGATGGGCCAGATGAGTCTCTTGGGTCGTCGGGCGATCCGGCTATGGACGCCTCGTTCATGTCAGAATCGATATATGAAAAGCTGCCCACATCCCCACCAAAAAGTTTACGGCATCGCTCTAACAGTATGAGATCTTACCAGACGCGGATGTGGATCGCAACTAACGGGTTTTAGGGAAACGATCAATGCCCATCCTACACGAGCACTTCGAGCCAGGATCTTTAATTAAGGAAATAGAAGCGCACACCGATATGATCACCGCCATTGACTTCGACTATCCATTTGGAACCATGGTCAGCGCGGCGCTAGACGACACCGTGCGAGTTTGGGACATGAACGTCGGCAGATGCTCGGGTTTCCTGGAGGGACACCATGCCTCCGTCCGCTGCCTGCAGGTGGAAGATAACATCGTGGCAACGGGATCCATGGACGCATCCGTGAAGCTGTGGGATTTAAGCCGTGCTCGGCCCACAACTCGGGACGGCCGTCTCAACAAGCACGAACGCGACCAGGAAGATGGAGAGCACCAGCATAAATCTCCAGTACCGCTCTCTTCGAACCTTGAAGACTGCAATGTCTTTTCCCTGGAAGCGCACGTCGCCGAGGTGACGGCGCTGCACTTCAAAGGTGATACGCTCATCTCAGGGTCTGCAGACAAAACCCTCAGACAATGGGATCTGGTCAAGGGCCGCTGTGTCCAGACACTGGATGTTTTGTGGGCTTCCGCCCAGGCCTCCTCGTCTATGGCTGGAGATTCGGACTGGCGACCATCGGGTCGCGTGCCTGATGCCTCGGCTGACTTCGTTGGTGCCGTGCAGTGCTTCGACGCTGCTTTGGCTTGCGGTACGGCAGATGGCATGGTCCGTCTGTGGGATTTGCGTAGTGGCCATGTTCACCGAAGCCTGGTTGGACACACGGGGCCAGTTACATGTCTTCAATTCGATGATGTGCATTTGGTCACGGGCAGTCTTGACCGCAGCATTCGGGTGAGTCGAGGGTTTATTTCGTCCTTTTTTTTCTCGGTTACTAACTGTTCATAGATTTGGGATCTGCGCATGGGCTCCATCTACGACGCGTATGCCTATGAAAAGCCAATCACCAGTATGATGTTCGATGCGAAGCGCATTGTGGCTGCTGCTGGGGAGAACGTGGTCAAGGTTTACGACAAGGCCGATGGGAACCACTGGGACTGTGGCCCCGGAGTTGGAATCGACGATCAGGAATCATCTCCCGCGATGGTCGAGCGGGTTCGTATCAAAGATGGCTATCTTGTTGAAGGTCGTAAGGATGGCACTATGGCTGCTTGGACCTGCTAGACGGACCTTTTGAAGGTCGTGTGCTTGGGGTTTCATTTTCCTTGTACTTTCTTTCTCCCCTTGCCCTTCGCGACCATTGTATAGTATTCAATCTACCTATGTCTTAGAGGCGAACCAGGAGTAGCAGGACCATATTTACCATTTTGTATGCCCGAACAAAGTCTTTCAGACTCCTAAGAGTGGAAACAGAGCTGTTTACCCCGTGCAGGTAGATCTGGCACAAAAATAGTACCAAGATTGTAGCATAACATAAACAAAGACTTAGAAGAACAAAGCCCAAAGCCCAGAGATGAAACTCCAAAAGTACTCTGGCAGGCTAAAGAAGACTCAAAATATAAAGAACATCATCAATCTTCATTGAATTTTCCATCGCAATTCAAGTTTTACCTCAAGTTGGGATTCTTCGGCGATCATTGCGCTCCACCCTTCCCCGTCTACTTTTCTTCCCTCATCAACAACCCCTTCATCCCCGGATTTAAGCGATCCCAAGCGACAAACTAGATCAATATAGTTTATCCCAGTGACATAAAGCGACTTGAAAACTTCTTCTCATCAGCTGGGTCCATTGACGCCGGTGCAATTCACGGTCCGTCGCGTCTGCGCGTCGCCCGGGGTCGCGATCTACAGGCCTCAAAGTGGAATTTGACGAGCGGGCTTGCGAAGTCCGTCGTCTTCGCCTTTTCTTTAAGATTAAAATACCAGGTGAGTCTGAATCAATTTCTCATGTTTTTGGCAATTTTTTTTCACATTTTTGCTTTGACCAATGCGTCCTTGTTCTGCCATATCTCATGTTTCATTTCTCGCGACGCCGATGCGCCAGTGAATGCACCACGGTTCAAGATATCAATGTGATACATGAAGATTGTCTTTGAATCGCTACTACTTTCGCAATCAACAGTCTTCATATATCGCTTCAACGATCTGATTCTGATTTTTGTTCCATCTAGCTCAAAGCTGACATATCTTTACCAGGCATAAAAAGACCCAGACGCAGTCTGAGAATCCATTCTAGGGGTAGCAAGTGATAATGCCCCCCAAAAGAGCAACTCGCCGCGCAGGCGGGACTCCTCAACGGCCATCTAGCATTACTGAAACTGGATATCAGTCAATACTTGAGCAATCCCGTAACCAACCAGATTTACCGAGTATTCCAATCGGGGCATCATGGAACTATGGAGCAGCCACTACAACGGCTGTGCCCCAGCGCATGACTATACGCCCTACTATGAATATTGATCAGATGGCCGAAACAGTGGAAGCCCGCTTGGAGATCGCCCGAGAACGAACAGCGGCCGCAAAGAAAAGGCAGCCACAAGCACGCCAATCAAAGCGTGAGCCAACACCCGACCAAACACAACTTCAGCAGTCCCTGTACAATGCGACAACAGACCAGCACTCTGATAAGACTCCTACACCCCCTATTCCACATGCGGTATCCACCGATTCCAGCCCAGAGGCTGAGCCCCCTTTACAACGACGACTGTCGAACTCTCCACTATATCCATCACCGCTTCAGCGACCTGGTGGCTCCCGGCATGGCTCCATCGGAAGCTGGTCTTCTCGTCACAGCTCTGTGGACAACGCTTCCGAGGCTTCGTGGAATCTTGAGCGTGATATCAACGAAGATGATTTGCAACGAACGAGACCAAGTAAATACCGTGGCGAGAAACATGGGCACAATATATCAGCGCCCCCTCGGCGTGTTTCTGGTCTGGCCAACGTTCCCGAAGAAGATGAGTCGTCTATCAAATCCGAACCCGAACCCGGGGCGTGGAACCCCGTCGCGCAAACGCCTCCCCCAGACTTCCCTCCTGGCCCGCCAAGGCAAAGCTTCCTACGTCGATGGTTAGCATCAATGAAGCCCCGAAGATCTATCGTCGACAAGAGTACCGTTCCAAGTGACGATCCTACTCCGGCGCGCCGAGGAAGCTTGCTGCCGATATTGCTGGAAAAAGCACACAGTGGTCCCTACTCAAGCTTGTATCTGGCAGCAATATGGCTGTTCCTGATTTTGGGATCAATGTCGTGTTGTCTCGTAGCTCTGAAAGTCCACCAAACCCTATATCCACCAGAATGGGACTGGGATTCGCCTACTGTGAACATGTCTCATCCCGAGGTTTTCCACGGTCTTCGAAACCAGATTTCGAAAATGGACGTCAAAATGTCTTCATTATCAAGCGAGTTGAGCTCTGTCGTGTCAGAGCAGTCACTTTCCAACGTTCACGATTCAACACCCACAGATGTCGCCGTCCACCGGAGGCCCATCCACAAGGTAAATTTCCTATCGGTAGGGCTGGGCGCACTAGTCGACCCATCGAACACTTCTCCGACGCTGGGATCGAAGCTTGGCGTTCCAGCACGCGCATTCCTATGGTTTGCCCCGACTGCAGCCAAGAACATAGTTCGGGCATCGCAACCTCCCGTCTCCGCCCTGACTCCATGGGAAGAGGTAGGCGACTGCTGGTGCAGCCCAACGCGCAACGGTACGACCCAACTCTCCGTCCTCCTCGGCCGCGACATCGTCGCCGAAGAGCTACAAGTCGAACACATCCCTGTCGGCGCCTCGCTCGAGCCAGAGGCGGCACCACGAACCATCGAGCTCTGGGCGCGCTTCAAAGTAAACCCGCACAAAACACCCGTCAAAGCCAAACGCACTCCCGAGGCGACACCCCGTCGCGGCTTATTCTCCGTCTTCGGCGATGCAACCGTATCACTGGAGCCACCAGCAACACAGGCCCCTTCATCGCGCGAGACGGGACTAGGCGGCTTCTTAATCCCAGGTATTGGCTCGCTCCACGAGCTAATTATGGACTTGCTGCGTCGGAGCAACCCCTCCGAGCCGGAAACCGCTTACTCGGACGACCCCATTCTCGGGGAGAACTTCTACCGCATCGGCAAGATGGAATATAACATCCACAGCCCGGACAACGTGCAGGCTTTCAAGCTCAACACCATCGTCGATGTGTCGACGATTCGCGTCGACAAGGTCGTTTTCAGGGTCACATCTAATTGGGGTGCTAGCCATACCTGCATCTACCGGTTTAAGCTACACGGGCACATCTAGGCTTGTTTGTGGAATGGGTCTTGGTTTATTTGGCCTTGGCTTGTTTCTTCCTTTGTATTTATCTGGAAAAATGTGATTTGCGATGATACCTTGCATAGCTGCGGTGGCGTTATTGGGCTTTTTTCTTATTCTTTCGGGTCACTTTTTGCGAATTAGTTATCCTTAGAGCTTTATTATATGATAGTCATGATTCCATTCAAGTCAAGTTTGGCCAATTCTCCCGTAGTGTGTTTGCTGTGCGTTGACCAGGGTTGTTGTATATGTGCCTATATAGACAGGATAATGCCTGCTGGGCTCAGTGAGCACCCCTGTCGTTTTTTAGTACGGCGGCCGTCTCGAGCTCGAAGTCTTCGCTATAAATTATAAGGACACTATGTCCCTGTAAACCAGCTCTCTTATCACCTAATCTAAATCCTTTTACATTCCCTTCCAAATGTTCCTTCCCACACCACTATTTCGGGTCCCAATGCAAAATAAAGTTAGAAGGCATGGGGCCCTGAAGCCTTGATCCTAAGGCATCGACAATCGACACTCTACATTTTCTAATTAGGGGCGGCCCCAAGAGCCTGGGGCCATCTACCATCTCCCATCCACCCAAGTAAGAACCCCCTTATTATAACTTGGATTTTAAAAGCTCATCATCTCCCACCTGGTATGGCTTCCGGGCCTTCGCTGGTCGACATTCCAGTCGAAATTCTTTACATGGCCCGGTCATTTTTGACCAATCGCGATATAAAGTCTCTACGCTTGACTTGTAAATATCTGAGCAATGCGGTGCCATTGAACTTTTCACGAGTGTTTCTTTCTGCAAACCCGTTGGATATTGAGGTGTTTCGTGCTGTTGCAAACCACCCTACTCTTCGCCATCAAATACAGGAGATCATTTGGGACGATGCCCGTTTTGTTTCTGAGCCATGGTCTCTCTGGTCCGAGCTAGGAGACTATGAGCGGGAAGTTCTCACAGAGTGGAGTAATTATCACGAAGCCCCCTTTTGGTTTGTTTACAGATGCAGAGAGAACATCATAAGTATGAGGGCTCGAAAGACCTCGGACATCGAAAGACCCGCCCATGCTTCTCTTGAAAGACAGTTGAAGGCTCTCCTGCCTATAAAGCAATGTTACGATCACTATGCGGTATTGAAAAAGCAGCAAGATGAGGTTCTCATATCTGGCGCCGACAAAGATGCGTTTGTTTATGGCCTGGATCGCTTTCCGCAATTGACCAAGGTTGCCGTCACACCTGCAGCGCATGGGTGGTTATTCTGTCCGCTTTATGAGACCCCTTTCATTCGTGCGTTTCCGTATGGATTCAACTACCCGATCCCAAGGGGATGGCCCACCCCTTGGCCAATGTCCCCTGACTACCCGGCACCTTGCTCATGGACCCTGGAGACTGCCAGAAGCATGCCAAACCCACTTTTAACCCCAGAGAATCGCACCGCAGGCGAAGGTTACAAAGATCTTTGGAGGGGCGTTAGGACCGTTTTGAAAAGCCTCTCCCAATGCGACCATCATGTCTCCGACTTGAGATTCGATGCAAATAAACTCAACACAGGTGTTCATCACGAAATGTTCACTCGACCGTGTGAAGAATACGATCACTTTGTGACGCTGCTCAAGCGGCCGGGACTTCGCCGCTTTGATTTGACTTTGTTCATCGATGACCCAGGGCTGCAAAGCTTTGCGACCGGAGACTTCCGACGGGCTATTGGCCATGCCAAAGATTTGACACATATCAATATATCGACTACGCTCGACATTGCGTCTCATTACTGGGGATATAGGGAATATAATGGATCCACGTCTTTACAAGATATCCTCCCTTTTGCTCAGTGGCCGAAGCTTGCACATTTCGGTATCACACGGCTTGAGATAACACCATCAGATTTGCTAGAGACGCTTCGTAAGTTACCACAAACAGTGCAATCAATTGAACTCAACCGGCTGCGATTCTACGGCCAAGGCGATGTCCACGACTGGCGCGAGTCAGAAAATCTGGAACGATTCGGCATGTTCCACGCTTTACTGGAGGAAATACGGCAAAAGCTCAAATGGCACGAGCGATATAGATCCGAGAGGCCATCTCTTGTCATGATTGCGGATGAATGTCACCCATGCACCAGTGAATTCCTAGATGATGATGTCCATCCATGCTCTCGGGGGACTTTCTACCAGGAAGCCTATCATCCCTGCGAAAATGGGCGAGGCATTCGGCTCGAAAAAGAGATTCATGATTTCCTCTACGGATCTGGGGAAAATCCCTTTGAAGAAAATTTCCAGGTACCGAAGCGTGGGATGGGGACGAAACGAGATATCTTCTTTCCCGATTGTATTCGGCCTCAGGTCGGTTCGAAGGAAGATACATCAATGAGGACTACCGACCCTGAAATTTGGGAAGGGGATTGGCCTGGATATTTACAAGACTACTCGTCTGAAGGCTTCAGCCTATTCCACAGGATGGAGGAATTCGAGCTGTGTGGGAGGTCCCGTCCCAACTAGAGAACAACGAGAGGTCTTGTCCACCTGGGCAGGTGACTGAATGATGTGTCTTCAGAAAGCAATCATTGATTCTAAATGACCTAGGCCCGACAGTTTAGCAAGTATTTGGGGTGATGTAGGCGCTATATATTTATTGGCCATGATAATCCAATAGTTATGATCGATGAGATGATCGTTGTTAATTCAAGCGCAAATATAATTAAAATTGAAGAAAGAAAGGAAGGGAAAGAAACCAGAATCAAAAACTACATTAGATTTAGAAACTATCCAGAGAGGGATTTTTGAGATATTCCTAGATATTGTAGAACCAAAAATTGAGGATTGGATATTTTCCGTAACTATATTGAGACGGTATAGTTGATGCGATACTCAGCGACTTGAATAGTGGCAAAGCTGCAGAATGGTAAAACCAACAAATATGGTCCTACTGTCGGGTTGCCTCCCAGCTGGAGGCGAAACAACCGAGACCGACCACCAAATTGATAAAGCCAGCCTTTTGTTGAGGGGACAACGGTCAAGAGTTCTGGTAACCAACTGCATTTGGATGAGGCTAGCATGGTGCATTTTTATTGAGGTGAGCTGCTAACTTGGCTGCTCGCTTTGCTCAGGTGTGCTCAGTGAGCACTCAAACGGAAAGGGAAAGCCAACACTTGTCAGACATTATCCTGTCTACTCCATATATGCGGGCTCATTGTTGGCTATTAGGCTTGGCGAAGCACAGCCCTGACCCCTCGGATCTCCATTCACTTGTTTCCTCATTGTTCTTTTGACCCGAGAGTCACAGAAGCTTTACTTAACAGACGATATGAATGATTCGGGGTACAACGGGCCTCGCCAAGCTTTCTACGATAATCTATTGGGTCTTCCTCGTCGTTTAGAAGAACACGAGGAAGACTACGGGGAAACGACTTTGGAGGAGGTGAGGGCCCGCCTTGATAAGACCTACAAGTCTGGGGTACCGTTTTTCACCAAGGAACGAATTCAATTTGCATGGGATCAGGCCAAGCGTGAACCGGGCTACGGCAAGAAAGTATTTACCAAAGACATCAACGATAAGCTCGTCGAGTATGATGGGCTTCCTGGAGAAGTCGTTTCACGGGAGATGGTAGGAGAAGAAGAAGTCCATTTTATAGCGTGAGTATCTAATAAATGGCCATGTTTCTTCTTTTGATCAACGCTAATATCAGGAAGGAGAGAGATGAAACTTGTATATACGTGCCGAGCAAACTTCCCAATCTGTTGTAAAATCTTTGAGCGATTTGATTTTGACCCGGAGTGGTCGCTCTTTTGCGCCATACAGATCTATCATCGAGGACGCAGGGTGAACAAAGAAACCAAGGAAGAACTTCCACCAGTACTCACCTTAGATGCCGACTTTGTCACCGAAATGTTCAATGGGAAAGTGCAAGAATGGAAAGCCAGTACTGCCTGCGAAAAGCTAAAGTCTATATTATCCTTGGCGGCAAAAGATCACAAAATCGGCAAAGTGATCGGATTTGCCCTTGGTGATTTCGCAACCGATCTAGGCCCAGACAGTTTACATATTCGGCATCAGTCGCATCCCAACATGCGATACTTCTCACTTTAAAGGAATGGTTACAAGAAAGGGACAGAAAAGAGAATGTGCCCTGCTATGTTCAAGATCCTGTATACAATTCTATCGACCAAGAGATCTTGGGAAATGTCGGCATAGAAGTGATTGATGACCCGCACGGCTGGCTCGAGATTGACGAGAATCGATGATGATCACAGTGGCACCGAATGTACCCGTCAAAGAGATAATTGCAGACATCGCTCGGCCTGCGGTTATTATTTGGCACCCTGTAGGATTCCGTGATGGACTTAGGGAAGAAGCGGGAAGGTGAGTGTGATGCGGCGCTATACTTTGGCCCTCTTGCTTTCATATCTAACCTCGAGGTCCCGAGGTCTGCTTGAGCGCTTATTGACTTGCTTGCTAGCACTGATCTCGATTCTCCACGCGTCAGAGCAATGATGGAGGGCTACGATCAATACGATCAGTATGATGGGTTTAGGCCTGATGAGGAGCTGTTCTCGGATATCGTGCTCTATATTAGAAGATCGACGACAGCAGTCGCTCCAAATGTCAGTCGGGGTGAAATTTCAACCTAGATATAGATATGAGCAAGAATGTCAGGAGTATTTGATGGATCTAGTAGCGTTTGTTTATGGTGCGTTTACTTACTATTTATCTGAGTTTTGTTATCCCTCCCTAGCTATAGATAAAGAGCGATTTCCTCAGAGATCATAGAAGATCCATCCACTCAATTCTCTGTCCATTCTTCTCTAAGCACATGCTAGCACCTGTAATGTAGCCCAACCAGACTATGAGGCCCTGCCTTTGAGGGCAGCAGTCCTTTGGCCTTGCTGCCCACTAGACTCCCTCGGGTATAATGCTAAATATAGACCTTCCTCAGCTCCCAGTACCAACTCAAGTGTCATAAAGATGATGTTAGACTCTGTTATGCGTAAGTTGGTAGTCTTGTTGTCTATATCTTGACGTCAATGGTTGCCCTAATTGCCAACGGAAATGGCACGTTGTTCAAGGCGTACTGAAAGACTACCCAATAATTGGAGAAGCGGCTTAAAACTCTACGTAAGAAACTAAGGACATAGAAGGGTATGGTCCCTGCAAAATACAATGGTGAGTATATAGTTATTTGCTATGTTGATTTCTCTTTTCGATCAAAGCCAATGATCAACCAGGGGGAAATAGTCCTTAAATTCACCTGCAAAGCAAATTTCGGCATCCATAGTACCAAGCACGATAAAGCTAACGCATTTAGCGCGTACTGGTCCAACCTTGTCCCCATATCTCTCGTCCATCGAGCATCTCTTCCAAAACAACCAACACTGGGCCCTTTTTAGTCTCACCAACATGTTCGATATCTATGTCCAACAATGGGAAGAAAGCCCGCCCTTCGGAAAACTCACGGAAATTTTGGCCATACATGCAAAGGTCCACAGAATCGACATAGCAATCTGTTTTGGCCTTGGGAATATGTCAAGAGCAAGTCTGACCCCGGGACATCAACAAAAACGTGCATGGCAACGCGCATTACTTCTACTTCGGAGCGATGGAAAAAAAGGATGGCTCGTTATGCTCAAAGTCCGGAGTACAGTTCTGCGGATCGACAGATGTTGGGGCAAAGGGCATCGAGGTGGTTGATGACCCGAAGGGCTGGCTTGCGGTTAACAAGCAGTCGATTGTGCTCTCCGTGGGACCGGATGTACCCGTTAGAGAGATTATTGCAGACATGGCTGAGCCTCCAATTATTATTTGGAATCGTGTGGGATCAGAGTAAGTGTTATGCTGGCACTATGACTTGGCCCTCTTGCTATCGTATCTTCTGACATCCTCACTAACTTGCTTACTAGCATCGATCCCGATTCTCCACGCGTCAAAAGACTGCTGAATGGCTATGCTATGCATGAGTTTGTCAACAAGCAGAACCAAACGCTGATCATGGATCGTGCTTTACATCCGAAATGAAAGACACAGCGGTTGGGACGACTGTGTAACAGCGTAGAGCTTCAAGCTGGACATAGAGATATATTAGCAGCAAGGAGATTTGGAGTATCCATCCAATATTTAGAGCTAGCAATTAAGGAGTCTTTGAGTAAAAGTTTATGAAAGGGTGGCTAAGGGAAAAAGCCCTAACCTTGGAAGTAAATATGATATAGTGACCTATGTAGGCAGACCTCACCACTCTACATTAGGTAAATGACGAGAAAGTACTCCGTACCATTGTACAAGTCAAAAAATGGTAGATTCCTTATCTCAGATATTTTATATAAACATACATCAACAAGGTTATATTTACAAGGATATACCTAGGTGTATCTACTAGGATGTCCATTCCAGGGTTGTAATGTAGCCGTTGTAGGACTTCCTAGTCGGCGCACTTGCAGCCCAATTGTTTCCCCCTCATTTTGAGTGACAAGTGACCCCAATTATCATGGTTGTGATATTATATTCATGGATGATAAATTAATTGAAAAGAGAAAACAATAATGTCCAAAGCCAAAAAAGCCCCCCCAAACAACATCCGAATACTTTCTCTCTTTATTATGCGGTGAATGTGGTGGTAGTCATTCCCCCCACATTCGAAAAGCGGAACGACCCTCGACTCGGGACCTCATCTGGTCACGCGCCTTTCGTGCAGCCCATCCTCGTACCTTAAGCCCCAAATGGCCTCCGAGAGAGTAATCGATCGGGAAGAGCGACAGGGCCTTGTAAGTCGTCACCTTTTGCTTTTTTCTCTAACCCTGTTTGAACAACTAGCTTAAGAGGGGACCTGGCACTGTGACCCTCTAAAGTCGTGTTTCGGGAGCTGCATCCAAATCTTGACTAACACAGTGAACAGCGTGCCATTCGCAACTTCCTCAAGGCCCGAAATTCCTACGATGTCCTCCCACTGAGCTTCCGTCTCATTATATTCGATACTTCGCTTTCCGTCAAGGAGAGTCTGAACATCCTCATTCAAAATGGCACGTCCTGCGACCCCACCCTTTCCCAATGCCTTACAATCCTCTATTCAATCACCCCCCTGGGACTCCCTAGCTAACTGCGACCCGGAAACCGGGAAGTACAGGCATCGTTTCAGCGCCATTGTGGGACTCCAAAGCGTCCAAGTTCGCAGGTCTTCTAACCACCTCCGATTACATCAATGTCATCCAATACTATTTCCAGAATCCCGCAGCTCTGGACAAGATCGATCAATTCCGTCTAGACAGCCTGCGAGGTACGCCAAATCCCGATTTCCTACACGGCCCGGCGATGCTAACGGGATACAGATGTGGAAAAGGCGCTCGGCGTCGCGCCACCAGAGACCATCTCCATTGACCCGGAGCGCCCGCTCTACGATGCCTGTCGGCGCATGCTGGAGTCGCGCGCCCGCCGCATTCCCCTCGTGACCAGCGATAGTCAGACCGAGCGGCCCCATGTGCTCAGCGTCATTACGCAATACCGGATCTTGAAATTCGTTGCTGTCAACGTGCCCGATACGCAGCAGCTGCGCCGCCCGCTGGGAGAATTGCTGCTTGGATCTTATGATAATGTTGCTACGGCTTCGATGGATACGCCTGTAATTGACGTCATTCATATTTTGGTCGAGCGCAGCATATCTAGTGTGCCGATCGTGAACTCGGAAGGTACGACGGTGGAGTCTTGGCAGCGGTGAATTGTGCTGACATTGTTAGGTGTTGTGTACAATGTGTTTGAGTCGGTTGATGTGATCACTCTGATCAAGGGCGGGTTTTACGATGACTTGAGCCTCACGGTTGGAGAAGCGCTGAAGAAACGTTCTCCGGTATGTGACCTGTCCTCTCTTATGATGTATCACGCATATTGTGGCCATATACTCATGATTAATTAGGGTTTCCCGGGCATCTACACATGTTCGCTCAATGACGGACTGGATACTATCTTTGACACTATTCGCAAATCCCGAGTCCACCGTCTCGTCGTCGTGGATGAGCACTTCAAGCTCAAGGGTGTTCTCACCCTGAGTGATATCCTGCACTACATTCTTCTCGAGGGAGAGAATGAAGAGGCATGATCCGGGGCTTGACACCCATACATATTCGGTCTTGCATGGTTTCGGCGTTTTGATCTCTAGTTCGGGAAAGTCGAAGATAACAAACTGGCCCGGCGAGGTCAGTGATTTTTTATGAATGTACAGAGGTAATGACATGGTATCTAAAATTTGTGTTTTGCCGCAGAAATAGACTTGATTTGATTGTCTTGGAAAGCCCAGACCATGATGTAGAAAGCGAAAAGGGAGAATCACTCAGGAGTATAAGAAGTATGAATTTCCTAATCGGGCAATACGTTAAGCCTGGCGATATTGACAATATGTTGTATTTGACCTTCTTTCGCTCCTCCATAATGCTATCTATCCGTATATCATTATCAGGTCTTTAAAATAGATCGCCTGTAGTTATATCATTTCTTAAACCCTTCCTACTTAGTTCCCCATGTCGTCTTCTAGTGCGTTTCAAAGTGATGAAAAGCTAGACGATACGTCATATCCTATTTCGATAAATTGAGTGGATTGGACTTGAAACGCAGGCGTTGTCGCAGAATACGCTATAACAAACAAGATAAAACACGTTTATTTATCTAACTTACTAGGATTACTTGGAGATGAGCTTCAACCATGGATTGACCAGAAGCTGGTTTAGGATAGATCTCTTCCATAGCACACTTTAGGTACTATGCCATCAAAATACTGGATTATTGGATCATTAGACCGTAACTGATCCTCTCACTGTGGTCCTCCAAGGTCTAATAGAATGCTCTCAACCATAACTGCAATGAATTTTTCTTCTAAATACAAGACGCTCAAATAACATCTACCGGTGAAGCCTAATACCCAGTACGCCCTTCTAGATCTGCCAAACCCACAAAAAAGGCATGAACACCATGATGTGCACCGGTTTTCGGGCCCATCTCGGCGGAATAGGTCTAATCAATCCTATAAAATCATTAGAGTATAAGGCTAAGCCGCATCGATCATCACTATCCGACTCACGAACCACAAAATGAGCAATCGTACTCAGATCAAATACTACAAAGCAGGGAATGATCTGGTTGCCAATTAATAGGAAATACTTCACTCTGTTCCTGCATATGTATATTGTATATGCTGTGTAGTTGTAGGTATGGGGCTCCAGACTCAAAATTGAGACTACCCATTCCGGCAAAGACGCCGGTGAACGTCCCAAATCCGAGTCTGGGCAACACCGCTTGAAACACCTTCACAACGGCAAACTCTTGGTCTAAGACACGTCGAATTCTGTATATTGCATTTACAATAAACAATCTACGGCATTTGATTCAATTACCTCGGCACACATCGAGGACCCTTTTTCAGACCCTGATCCACCACCGTGCGGCCTTACTGGATGAGGGACCCGAAATTCGTCCACAGAAGAGCATGAAACACCTTTTTGTGAGAGAAATGAGTTCCCAATGGCCGGAAAGGCAGATGGATTAATCAGATCCAATGCACATGGCCGATCCCAGCGTTTGATTCGCAAGGCTGCTTTTTCAAAGTCCGAAGTATACCCGCCGGACAGATATAAAGCCAGCCAGGGACCTGGTTGAATGATGTTATTTTGACAAGAAAGGAAACCAGAATCACCTCTTTGCTTGCTATTCCCTCGTTCTCTTTTGTCCATTATGAAGTTCTCTCTTCTCGCCCTGGCCATGGCCACCGCCGCCTTTGCTAGCCCTATGGATATCGAGGCTCGCGCTCGTACGTTTGGCTCCTCGCAGCCCTAAATTTGGATGTCTGAATTGGCTAACATGCATGTCGACTCTATGTAGTGACCGAAGGAAACGAGCTGCGCGATGGCGAGTGTAAAGATATCACCTTCATCTTTGCCCGTGCCAGTACCGAGCCGGGTCTTCTGGTAAGTTCTCTACCAGTTCTCCCACAACCAAGTACAAAGTACACAGCTAACACCCGACTGAAAGGGTATCTCCGTCGGTCCGGCGATCTGCAATGATCTCAAGTCGTCCAAGCCCGGCAAGGTAGCCTGTCAGGGCGTGGGGCCCAACTACACGGCCGATCTACCGTCGAATGCGCTCCCCGGCAACACCTCGCCGGCGGCGATCGCCGAGTCCAAGGGCCTGTTCGAAGAGGCAGTGAAGAAGTGTCCCAACACGCAGATTGTTGCTGGTGGCTATAGGTTCGTTTCGACATCCATTCCAAATGAACATACAAGCATGAACAGAGCCCAACTAACACAAATCAAATAAACAGCCAGGGCACTGCTGTCATGGACGACTCGATCAAGAAGCTCTCGTCGGATGTGCAGGACAAGATCAAGGGTGTTGTTCTGTTCGGTTACACGCGCAATGCGCAGGAGAACGGCCAGATCCAGGGCTTTGACAAGGACAAGACCAAGATCTACTGTGCGGTTGGAGATATGGTCTGTGATGGTACTCTGATTATCACCGCTGCCCACTTCACTTACGTGGCGGATGCTGGCGCTGCTACGAAGTGGTTGGTGTCGAAGTTGGATTAAGAAAGAGGTTTGGGAATTGAGGCCCTTGTCGCTCCTTTGGCGGTACTTGATGTATTGCCGTTTCCAGGGTTGTCTTTTGCAGCCTGAGGCTGGTTTCTTTCTGGGTTTATACTCCGTTTTCCTTTTGGCTTGAGCAGAATGGGCTTATATGATATTGCAATGAAATGAATTTTGAATAGTTATATGTTTTGTTGGGAGTGTGGTATAAGAATGTGGTTGTCACGTCGCTAGAACGAGTGATTGAAAAGTGAGGCGTGGGGACGAACCTTGGAACCACGCCTTCGGCGTATTTATGTGAGTGAGAATATCACTCCTTCCTTTGTTCTCCCATCTTTTCTTCTGCAAATGACATGTTTTATACAACTCATCTAGCGGTTTATATGATGCGTCGCCCCATCTTCGGCCAGTTCAATGACGGGATGCGAGGAAATTCGCTATTACTTGAGGCCAAAGGGTCTATGTAAGCAGCTAAGTAGAATATGAGATTATTTCAATTTTGATATAAGATTATAACACTCATGAAGCACCTACGTATTCCTATCCCCTAGCCCCTTCAAGCCTAGAATGGCCTCACAGTCCTCTGAAACCTCGGCGGCTGGCGCGAGAACTTCTCCGGCATATCCCTAGCTCCCTCCTTCCAATAATCGAACTCCATCCAAGCGTTCTCCGGCATCTGCGCCTCAGTCGCCTCCAAAAACTCTCCTAGATCAGGACAAAGCGGGATAACACCCGTCTCAAGAACATACTGATCCCAAAGCTTCAGCAGCTGTTTAAGCTTCTCAGGCTCGGAATCCGACAGATCGTGGATCTCGCCGGGATCCTGGACAAGATTGTACAGCTGCCACTTCTCGGGGCCCTTGGGCTTGGGGATGAAGACGATTTTCCAGTCCGCGCAGCGCAGCGCAGCCCGCCCGCACGTCTCCCACCCCTGAATGAAATCCACTGGGTGGATTCGATCGGCGGCGCCAACGGCCCACGGGTGGAAACTGCGACCTCGCATCGAGACCACTTCGCGGCCCTGGTAGGTTGGTGCAGGATGCGTGAGTCCTGCCATGTCCAGGATAGAGGGTGCCAGATCCATGACGGTTGCGAATTGGTCGGTGATGCCGTTCATCACGTTCGCTGGGTTGACATTCAGGGTTTTCGGGAATCGACAGGTGAAGGGAACACGGACGCCGCCCTCGGTGGTATACGCTTTGTATAAACGGGAGGGGGCGGTGGCAGCCTGCGCCCAGCGCGGACCGTACCAGATGAATGAGTTGCCGTTACCGAGGTTTTCGAGGCTGTTGTCGTAGTATTTCTGGAGATGGGGCATGACGCCGTTCTGTACCATCGGGTAGGCCTCGTAGGCGGCGCCCTCAGCACCATTATCGGACATGAAGCAGACGAAGGTATTGTCCAGCTCGTCGATCGACCGCAGATACTCAACGACCTTGCCGACGTTTGAGTCAATACACTCGACCATACCGGCAAAGACCTCCATTGCGACACAAGATTTCTTCTTCTCATCGTCGCTGAACTCTTCCCACGGCTTGACTTCCTCGGCTTGCACAGGATGCGCCTCTACATCGTCGCGCACCATGCCCAGCTCCTTGAGTCGCTGCAGACGCTTTTGACGGAGGACATCGGGCCCCTCGTCGTACACACCGCGATAGTGGTCGATGTACTCGCGGGGCGCCTGTAGGGGCCAGTGCGGCGCCGTGAAGGGAAGGTATCCGAAGAACGGGCGGTCACCGTTTCCGTCTGGGCCGGCGTATCCGCCACTCTCTTTCCACTCCTTGATGTAATTGACCATCTTATCGCCGTACCCATCGGACGAGTACCAGCCTTCCGGAAGTTGGCGCACGTACTCGCCATCCTCCATGTGCAGGGCAATATAACTCGCCTCGATGAACGTAGGAATCTGGTCTTTGTCTTTTAGCTCAGGCTCGTACGCGTAGTGGTTCGAGCAGGCCGGGAGGTGAGCGAAGGAGCGCACGAAACCACGCTTGTGTGGCGATCGCTCCGGTGTCAGACCCAGGTGCCATTTTCCGGACATGATTGTGTGGTAGCCGCCATCACGGAGAACCTCTGGCAGTGCGACGACTCTCTCATTGAGGAAGCCTTCGTACCCCGGCATACCGCGTTGAGGGGCGGTGCTCATGGCGGATCCTTTGGGGCCGTTTTGACCAGAGATGTTGGTCCATTCGATCAGATTTCCTAGGCCGGCGATGTGATGGTCTGTGCCGGTCATAATCATGGCGCGCGTGGGACTGGAAAAGTCAGCCTGGAAGATGGGTTGTCGGTTGTTTGGGCAAGTACTTACGAGCATGCTGCTGCGGCGTGGAAGTCTGTGAATCTCAGACCCTCCTTGGCAATCTGGTCAATGTTTGGGGTGCGAATTTCACCACCGAAACAGCCCACGTCGGAAAAGCCGAGATCGTCGGCAACAATGACGAGGAAATTGGGGCGTTTGGATGCCATTGTACAGGAGGGAGGGAAAAGGAGATGAGTGGGTTACATGAGGGGCTCATGCGTAGATATATTTATATCGGCAAAGTAGCTATCGCAACAAGCTTTAGACCGCGTACATACGTATACGTTGACCTTCACATCGTCAATCGGCCATCGGCAGTGGAATGTGGGGGAGAGCTCCACATCTGATAAGAATGCAATTAAGAATAAGCCCCATATTATTCGTGATGATCATCGAATGGAATTGAGTTGATTCGGAAATGCCAACGATCCCTACCGAGATAGTTGTAGAGCGAGAGAAGAGAGAGTATGTAGTGCAATGCAGTGTAATGTACGACGAAAAGAAAACAACACAGAAACGTCGCCAATCGGGTGCATGACATAATCTGGCCGATCCCGGGCTTTACGTCCAGAAACAGCTTCAACTCTGTTCGATGACTTCGATGAGCCACTCTCATTCCCCCAATTTGACCCTTTTATTCCCTTTTTCGGCTTTTGTGTTACTTATTTGTTCCATCTAGACCTAACTCTATTTATTACTGATTAATTTATCAATAACCTTATTCAATATGCCTGTAAATCCTATATCTTCCACTCCATCCCCGCGTTCAAGCTCAAGTCCAAGCTATATCCTTTATACTTGGCGTCGTTTCCAGCCCTGGTGGTCAACCTCCAATCAATATACCCAACTCCCACAGCATCCAGGACCCCAAACACCACATTTGGAACCCCCAGCCACAATGTCCCGCTTCAAAGCTCAATGGCGCACATACTGGTTCGCATTAATCCTCTGCTGCGGCGGCGCTCTCTTTGGCTACGACTCCGGCGTAATAGGTATGTTACACCAGAAAACCTTCAAAACGAAAGAACAAGAAACCCTGACAACCAACAACCCCAGGCGGAGTCCTAACCTTCCCCTCCTTCGAATCCTCCTTCGACATAACGCACTCCCAAAAAACACGCATAAGCGCCATCGCCGTCGGAATCCAACAAGCCGGCGCCCTAGCAGGCTGCTTCCTGATCTGGCCGGTAACAAACCAGTTCGGGCGGCGGGCCGCAATGGCAGCGTGCAGCCTAGTATTCTGCGTGGGCGTGATCCTTGAAACGATAAACACGCACTCCCTCGCGACCTTCTACCTTGGCCGCGTGATCTGCGGGCTAGGCGTTGGCGGCTCGGCAACCATCATCCCGATCTACATGTCCGAAATGGCGCCGAAGGAGATCCGCGGCCGGCTGGGCAGCTGCTACCAGCTCACGTACACGGTTGGGATCCTTGTTTCGTACTGGATTGATTACGGCGTGAAGGGGATGCAGCCCGGCGCGCGGCAGTGGCAGGTGCCTATTGGGTTGCAGCTTGTGCCGGGTGCGTTGATGGGGATTGGGATGGGTGGGGTATGTGAGAGTGTGCGGTGGTTGCTGGGGAAGGGGAGGGAGGAGGAGGCGTGGAGGAGTCTTGTTTGGATACGGGCTGGGGAGGGGGAGGATGTGCGAGGTGAATTTGAGGATATGAAGCGTGGGTTGGAGGAGGAGAGACATGCAACCGCTGGGTTTCGGATGCGCGAGCTCTGGGAGGGCCCGAATCTACATCGGCTGCTTATTGGCGCTGGGCTGTTTTTGGCGCAGCAGTCGACGGGGTCGACGGCGTTGGCGTATTTCGGGCCTCAGTTCTTTGCTTTGCTTGTTGGGGATGGCGATCGGACTTTGCTGCTGACCGGGATTTTTGGCGCTATCAAGGTCGTGGCTTGTTTTGTTTTTGTGGTGTTTTTGTCCGATCGCTTTGGGAGACGGCCTCTGCTGGGTGGTGGCGCGGCGTTCATGGCTGTTTGCATGATTGCCACTGCCGCTGTGGTCAAGACATATCCGCAACCTGGGGATGGGACGGTGACTTCCTCTGGGGTCGCCACTGTGGCGCTGATATATCTCGATATCATTGCTTATAACTTCAGCTGGGGGCCATTGCCGTGGCCGTGTACGAGTGAGATCTTCCCGACGAGGATTCGTGAGCCTGGGGTTGCGTTCGGTGTTGGCTCGCAGTGGTTGTTCAATTTTGTGTGGAGCTTTTCGACGCCGTATATCCAGGCTGGTCTTGGATGGGGCACGTTCTTACTCTTTGGTCTACTGGATGTTGTGATCGTTGGATTTACGTACTTCTGTCTGAAGGAGACAGCTGGCAAATCTCTTGAGGAGATCAATGCGTTGTTTGAGGCTGGTCCGGATTCTGAACATGGAAAAGCCATTGGATCAGATGAAGATGATTCACAGCCTGTGCATCATCAGGATGCTCAAACTGATGCCAAGTCGGTACAGTCTAAGCATCACGCGGCACATATTGAGTCGACCGCCGGACGGTTATGACTCAATCGATACTGAGTTCGTCACCAGAAAGAATTAGAAGTATACTTGAGACATAGAAAGAGCTAGAAAGACAAATAGAAGAAACATAGTAAGATCAAAATGGGCTATTTGGTTCTCTACTCGATCCAGATAGCATCGATAGAAAATACATTTCTATCATATTGGCCCGATGCTGAAGAGAAGAGTGTCACGGATGCAGAGGATTCAGCTGCAACAGCAAACATGAATGATCGCAGCTTTACCACTCACGAATGAATGACATTCCTCAAACATCCCCCATGTGAGGATCTGAGGGCGAGCCTGTGGGGAAGGATGGGGCGATGCAGATCCAATTCGATCCCGGCATTATTCGATTACAATATACGTCTGGATAGATGTCTAGGTACAATTCCCAGTTCGCGTATCGATAAAAGGAATTTTTTCATAGTTCATGTCATTCATAAAAGATACATCGAACCTGAATGCTCACAGAGCTTAAGCAATGATCCTAGCCAAGCATAGACAGTGAGAAAAGACAGTATCAGCACAAAAAGAATAAAAGCCCAGTCCAAACACTCAAGTTGGAACAAAAAGAAGAAACGCCAAAAAAGCCCAATTCGAGCACTCAAGATGTGAAACACAAAAAGAGAAAGAAAACGCCAGACACCCTCCAGCCACTGGATCGCCAATCAAGACATCAAACCCCAACCCCAAACACGACAGTCCTGCTGCCCATTACCTCCACGAACTCCACAGAAAAGAAAAACAAAAACAAGAAAGCAACAATCCAATCTCAAGGCGCATTAATTAACTCATCAAACGTCGGATCCTCCGTCGAAAAAGAATAAGACCCCTCCGGAACAAGCGATACCTCAGCTTCCCTACGCATCTGTTGTTCAAACGCCTCAGCGGCCGCCGAAGCCGCAGGCTCAAGCTGCAAGGGATCATCAAAGCCAAACGACAGCGCCTGGGGCGCCGAAACCGGCACCCCCGCCTGCTGCTCCGCAGCCGTAGTATCGACATCCACAGCCTTCTCCAGCGGGCCATCGATATCCGTAATTTTCTTCACCATCTGCGCAAGATGCAACTTAATCGGCTCATCGCCACACTGCGCATGTTTCAGGACCTCGTTTTTCAGCCCTAGGATCTCAGAACGCAGACGCGCAATCTCGGCCACCAGATTCTCCTTCTTGTCCGACTGTTCTTTGAAGCTGACCTCGAGCTGCAGAGTGTGTTCTTTTTTCTTCTGGCGGCATTTGGAAGCGGCGAGACGGTTGCGCTCGAGGAACTTTGCGCGCTTGGCGCGGTCTGGGGGCCGTCGTCGGCGAAGTCGGGGCTTAGCGAGGCTGCGGCGGTTTTGAATTCGCGCACGCGCCGGCGCTTGGTGGCGCTTTCGTGGTCTAGTCGGGTGTCGTCGTATGGCGGTGGTGTTGGTTGGCCGTTGCGGACTTGTGCGTTTTTGAGATCGTGCTCGAGAGAGTGCGAGAAGTCGGTTTTGTCCCAGTTTGCCATTGGGGAGATGGGGCTTAGGCCCCAGAGTTGGTCGTCTTCTGGGATTGGGAGACTGAGGAAATCGCCTGGGAATGGAGTGAAGGCGGGTGGGATGGTAATGTCAAGGTTTGGAAGGCTGGATTGCATTTTTGAGGTTGAAAAGGTAGAGATATTATTCTTTTGGGCAGAGCAAAGTTTGTAGGGCTGTAGGGTTGTAGGGTTGTAGGGTTGTAGGATTGTAGGGTTGTAGGGTTGTAGGGTTGTTCTTGCTGTAAACTAAGAAAGCTTCTCTGCCCTGGATGGGAAGAAGTTTCTGTAGAAGCGCTGATAACCCTAAAAGTCTCTGGCGTCAAGACAGGAGTAAAATTCAATATCGTTGGTCAGTTTCTGGCTGAAGGATGAAGCATCCACGGTCGTCTGTCCGGTGCCTGAAGAAGTATAAGTTGGTTGGAGCCACGGTCGGACAAGACTTCCTACGGTCCAGCAGATCCGAACGAAGCAGATTGGGGAGAATTCTGGTGTGACCGGAGTTGCTGTGGTGTCTAGAAAAGTCTAGGTTCTTTTGCTTCGGTTAGTTCTTTTGTGACTAGGTACATTTCATTCATGGAGAGTATATTCCTTTGAATCTCTTTCACTTCATATGCATCCTCCTAGAATATATATGTATGAAACCATTAGCTTCAAATCTAGAACTGGAGTGGATTACAACTCATCGGAGTAAGTACAAGAAAAAATAAAAAGAGCGGTACCCAACAGGATTGAAATCCCGTTGGGAGGTATACTATAGAAACAGTCCAATCACAAGATTTTGACACCCATGAGGCATTTTCCTTGGTAAAAGATACAACAGTAAGCAATAGAATCCAACAATCCAACAATTGAACGAGGTCGTTTCACTCCCGACCTGGAATTAGTGTGTCTTTGCACCAATATTTCAGCTGGCGGTTAACGTTGTGCCAATGCTCAATCAACAGTGTGGCCACACGACTTTCATCCACTGACTGTTCCACTTCTAATTTGCCTCGGCTTGATTGCCCGAGCAGAAGTGGAGCGAAGACAACAACCAGCTGTTGAAAATCAGGTGGCACCACTGGGTCTCGGACATCGGTCCCGGTTTCCTGGGCTCGTTGTGCCTCAAGGGTAGACTCGGGGTGGAGAAGAAAGTCAAGCAGGCCAAAAATCGCACAGATAAGATCGCGCTGCATTTCACTTGATAACCCAATCACTGCAAGTGCGATAAACTGAGCTCGGATAGCAACTGATGGAGTCACCCCAGCAAGGCAGCTTGGTACTTGCAAGGCAGATTGGTCTGGAAAGGCCGCATAGAAAAGATCTCGCAAAGTCTGGTAGAGCCGGACGCTCCCGAGAATCCCATATGGAAGCCCCGCCAACAAATATCTCAGGGCCCAGGCCACACTCTCTACCGGCACTTGATGCGCCCCAATTCGGGGCATGCCGACCACGCGCATGGTCAAATCGATTCGATCGGGCAGTTTCTCGGCTTCGAGAACATGCTCCGCCCAACCGTCATACGTGCGGAAGGCAGCTTTCGGGTCGGGGCACCGGGTGAACACCTGAGGGTGATTGGGGCCATATCGGTGTAAAAACATCACTGCTGCCACCATGCATGCGGGCAGTTGCATCGGGGCTGGACCCAAATCCCGTATCATGAGAAAGCTCTGTCCACCCAGACGAGCCAAAGTTTCCACTGATTTTCCGGCCATCGAGGTCAACGGATTTGGGCGGAAGTTGGCGATTGTCTTCATCCGTCGCAGCCTGTGAATTGGTGCGTGGGGCTCAGTCCTAGTTTCCAGACTGGATCGCGTCTTACGAAGTCGACTAAAGAATCCACGACGACTTGAACCTTCTGCCTCGGTCACCGGCGGGATGCTGTTGGCTGGTAGCAATGGTCAGTTGATTCAATTGTTCAGTACAGGAAAAGACTCACGAGGGCTAGGGCTAGTTGGGCTAGTTGTAAGCGACCCACTCCCATCAGGTTGAATCCTAACATGTACACGCTGCTGGGCTGCCATGCGGTTGAAAATTATAATTGCCTTGGGTGGATTAAGCGTACTTGGGGGTCTCTTGTCGCTAGAACTACTACTAGCTGAAGATGCCCTCCGTGTGGATTTTTGGGGGTTCGAGTGCCGAGACGCATGCTGAGGTACATCGGCTGTCACAATCTTGTCGATGTTTGGGATTTCCTCGATGGTGTCACTCTCGAGGATCGGCTCCAGTGGCCCTTCGGAAGCCATCGATCCATCTCGACTTGAACCTTCTCGGCTTTGATATGGAGAACGTTTGGAGGGTTTTGGAGCTGACGAGGGATCGGCGGTGGGCGCGGCGGGTGATGGTCCCTGACGTGGAACTGACCCTGCCTGCCGATACTCGGAGCCCTTTCCGTCTGAAAATGGATCTGAGGGTTCGCGAACTCGCCCACCTTCTTCGGGGTTGTACATCAATCCTGGCCAATCCCACGCCACCGATTCATCGTCGAGAGACACCCTAATGTGCTCTGGGGGTTGCTGCTCTGGAGGATGTGGGCAATCTGGGGGATGTTGGCAGTCTGCCGGTTGCGGGCCCGCTGGCAGGTGACAACGGACCGTGTCCTCAGTCTGGCTCGATTCCTGAGATTGTTGAGAGTGGCTTGTCTCGCCACTGACCTGTCGCGCAGTTTGGACTCGATCATCGAATCGAACAGTTCTACCGGGAGGTGGGTTTTGGTACTCGGGGGGCCGTTCAAAGGGATTCGAAGACAACGGGTCGCCGGTGTTGCCTCTTGGTGTCTCTGTCTGTGTATTTTGGGCAAGATCGGTGAGTGGGTGGTCTTCATGGGACTGGCTACCCCGGAAGCGATTGACCACCATATTCCTTAAACGCTTGGTTCCGTACTTGGACCGAGGTAGTTGCTCGGCGGGGAGCTCAGCTTCAGGGTCTTGGACATTGTCATCGGGTGCTCCTTCAGACGAGACGTTTGTTTCTGTGGCAGTGGTCTCTGGTGGCTTCGCTGAAGAGAGTCGTTGCCAAAGATGACGAGATGAATGGTCGGAAGTATCCGATTTGGGCCTGAATACACTTTTAAAGCGCTTCATAATTCCGGTTGGATAATCAATATGAGAGAAGATAATAGAGATGAAGTAAGGAATGAGGTTGATTGGGGGACTCGGTTTTGGTCAGTCACTTTCTTCCTGGGAAAGAGCTACAGGAACTATACAGGGCAATTGCACTCGACACTACACCTATTTCTGTAGTAAGACTCATCTCATGCTCTTTGGGAATATCTCTATAGCATATACTTGTCTTGTGATACGCTCTACGTTATAAATCTGAGGGAGTGAGCCACCAGCTTCTACAATCAATGTCCTACTGTTGCTGCTAAAAAGTGTATTGTATTATAGATCTATGTCCATTCCTCCTATCTATGACATTGAATTTGCCGTTGCATGAAGATAGATAAGTCGTGATATTATTATATCGCAAGTGTCATATACAAGCATTGGGAACCCTCTGCCCATGTATACGGTGGTGCTGAGAGTGCAGGATGTACCCTTACTTATGCCACCTATTCTCGTATATTGTGCCTTGATAACATTGCGTGCCCGGGGGTATTACTGTCATGTTTCTTCTGTCATCCTAAGGGAGGACTATATATACTTATATGTACATATATAGTTACAAGACGCGGACCGAAAATACTCGTAGACGATGGTGGAACATATACTAGTACGCCATCTGTCAGAGTCATATCACTAGTTTGTTCCGTATCCCAATAAGCGGCACTGGACTCGCATAGAGCTGAGTCGCAAGGTCTTTCAATCCATGATCTTATTGTAGATTTGATATTACCTACCTACATAGGTGGGTAGGGTGCAGCACTGATGGTAGTAGAGGGCCTACACTGATCGATTATTGGGTGAAACAATGAATATTGTTTATTTGAGATAAACTTATATGTCCATAGTTATATATGTGGTAGACTATGCCTATATATACGTACTGGTAGATCTGATCTTAACACGTTGCTTATAGGTAAATAATAAATCTCAGCAAATAAAGCCTCTTTATATTATGTATAGCTACATTGTATATCACAAAATGGAGAGTATATAGTATGTATTTAGCTATGTCCAACAAAGAATCAAGCCATAATGTGGATTGATCACGATAGACCAAGCTCGTCATCGAATCCACCCGAATCGGCACTATTGCGGGGAAGAAGACTGCGATTTTATGATCTGGACATTTTTGCTTGCCGAACTTGACTATGTTCTTCGTTTTAGGCTTATTCCCATCATGGAGGTATATCGACATCCAATATCTCGAGACTTCCGTACCTGAAAACTAACATCTCCACAGGTGCCAAAAGCCCGGGGAGTAGGCAGGTCAGGACCACGTCGACGAACAGGCTGCCTAACATGCCGAGCCCGTAAAGTGCGCTGCGACGAGTCAAAACCCCACTGTTCTAACTGCGATCGCCTACGTCTCCGATGCGTCTACAAGCCCCCGACTGCCCCTGGCACCGGGTGGGCGCGCGACACCACCTCACCAAGTAACACAGCGCACCCGACATCCGCAATCACGGCATCTGCATCTGCATCTGCGTCTGCGTCTGCGTCTGCGTCTGCGTCCCGCTCCCCCGATATCAATTTCTTCAGCACGGTACTCCGCTCCGATGACGGCACGATCCCCGCACCGGCGCTGCGAGAGCTCCCACCTGATCAGGATTACTCCGAATTCGACATGCTGGGGTTTATGGGCGGGATAACATCCGAGCTGGAGCAAAAACACTTGGACTTGACGACTGGACTGGCGGCCACGTTCACCGCTAGTCCTGCGCAGTCGCTGCCCGGGATCGTGCCTATGGACGAGACGCACTTTGACCGCCGTACGCCGCTCAGCCCCGATGCTGTGTCCGTGCTGCTCGAGGGGTCCATCGGGAGCTCAGATGTGGCTACTACCCGCGGCAGCTGGTCTGATTCGGGAGGTAGCTCCTATGAGGACCAGTTGCTGCAGTATTTTGTAAGGATTGGCCCGCCGGCTGCGCTTTTCGCGCCGGTCAGTATGGAGTGGAAGTATGTGCGGCCGGCGCTATTGGCCCATGCGCGAGACTTCAGTCCATTGCAGAACGCTCTGTTTTGCTATGCGGATGTTCATAAAGCGATGGTGGAGGGAAAGCGGTGGCACTGGGCGCCGACTTACTATCGGGTCTCTGGAGCAGAGATCCAGGCTTGTCTTCGTGGCGAAGTGTCCGAGTCGACACTGGTCAAGATTTTCGGCGCTGTTTTCCTTTTAATGATATCCGAGGTATGTTGGCTTGATTTGTGGACCAGGTCTGGGCTTATATCGATCTAGCTTCTCTCATCTCCTGAAATATGTGCCGGAACGTCCTATCTTCACTCCGGATACCTCATTCTACGGAGGTTCTACGCCCGCACACGACACTGGACAGGTCTCGGTCATCTGCTCGTATCATGGGTATCACTTCTAGACGTCAAGTCCCTGATCGCTGGTCGAGAAGGCGACCCTCTCATTGAGCTCGGCGACATCGAGCACATATCAAAACCCCAACCCCAAACACCACACCCACCCGACGACTGCAAAGAAGACGATGGCACCGAGGACCCTTTCCGCACCCCCAGCTACCTCGTCCACGAAGCCATTGTCGGCCCGGCGTTCCGCTTCTTCGTCCAAGCCCAACAAGTTGTCCGCCGCATAGTATCCATAGACCTACACCACCGCAGCCGCGGAACCCTAAGCGACGAATTCGAAGTCCTCCAAATAGCTCACAAAGTAGGCGCAGACCTCGAGTCACTCTGGCACCGCCGTCCACCCGTAATAGACGTCTACAGCCGCCCCGAAGCGCTCTCCGAAACCTTGTGCACGCCCATCGCCCTCGAAATCTGCCGCACATTCCGCCAGTACGTCGCCAACTTCCTCACGAACTTCATCTACCTGCACCGGGTCGCGTTTGCTATCTACCCGCGCACAGCCCGGGTCAACGGCGCTGTCAACCAGATCGTTCAGTTGGCGACGGTTGAGTCGACCGGGCCGGGTCATCTGCCCATCAGCCTTTTGTGGCCGATATTTGTGGCGGGGTTGGAGGCGACAGGCGAGCAGAGGAAATGGATTGTCTCTGAGATGCAGCGCATGGCAGCGAAGGAGGCCGATGAGGCTTTGCCTGCAAGTCATCCCTCTGCTGAGAGAGTTCTTGTGCTATTAGAGGAGATGACGCGGCGGCAGGATGCTTCGCGGACGTGGGCGGACTCGAAGTGTGTAAGGAGGGAAATATTCCCTGATTTCTTTGTCGTGATTTGATTCTCACGATCTGTATATATCACTTGTAATTGCTTCGGCGGGTTTAGTCGGTCTCGCTCTCTCGGCTATATATGAATCTTACATGGATTGATGTCTCATTATACATTTCCCAGCATTGAGAGAATCTTCTATGCTATACCGTTTCCGGTCCAATCACACGATAAAATACTTTGTCCCCGCCCATACACCGTGACCGATGCAGCAAATGGCCACGTTCCTTACGCACATACGTCGCAAAGCAAACAGCAGCAAGAGCCACGGCCGCCGCGCTGATCAAAACGGGATACCGGAATTGCAGCGGCAGCGGGAAAGCAATCGTCGACGCAAAAGAAAGCATCTCAAACCCATTCTGCAACGCCATCTCAGTCGCCGAAAACCGCGCCCGAGCATGCTCCTCGACATTCTACTCCCATCCGCAATTAGCACAAACACATATAGATATAGTCAACAACACTAACCTCCTGCACGAGAAACTGAACCGACAAATCAAAACCCCAAAGCCCAATCCGACTCATCGCCACACCACCAATCAAGCAGCCCGCCACAATCCGCGAGCTCGAATCCCAGGCAACAAACGATGCCGCAGCAGCGGCCACGCAGACGAATTGCCAGTTCAGGAACCACAGCCCGGATCGGATCGGTCCGATGCGATTCATGATTAGCGGGGCAGCCCATGTTCCAGATAACTCGGCCGCCACGGAGCCAATGCGCATGTAGCTAACCTGTAACGAGGAGAAGCCTGTGTGGAGGAGGTAGGTCACCATTGTTGCGCCGAAGGATAGAACTGTTAGGTAGAGGAGGCTGAGGGCGAAGGAGGCGAGGAAGACAGGGCTGGATATGTATTCTTTCCAGGGCTTGAGAGTGTCTTGGATTGAGCTGCGAGATTGGGTTAGGGTATTTGTTTGGTCTTCTCTTGGGGTGGGTGCTTTGGTTAGGGCTGGAACTGAGCGGTAGACTTGGGCTATGGCTATGTATTCGATCAGTATGGAGGCGGTGTTCAGGCTGAAGACTGTCCATATTGCGGTGCTGGTTGAAAGGCTGTCGATTAGGGAGATGAAGACTGGTGCTAGGAGCTTGCAGAAGAGGTCGATTCGGCGCATGGATGCGTTTAGGTCTGGGTAGGTTGATGTTAATCTAGTTCTAGTTCTTGGGCTTGGTGTTTGGTATTTCTTACCTTGTCGGGGGATATTGATACTTTTCGAAATAACAATGACCTAGACAAATTCATCAGTGAACTGTGCGTCCGAAACAAAGACAGGGTCTGTACCCAATCCCGCTCTACAGCCACCGTATTAGCTGTAGCAGCCAGTTTCTCCATACAAGCCAACAGCCCCTGAACAGCGAAGAGGACAATCGTAAGTGCCCCCGACTCAGTGTACAAAAGAGCCACAAAGCACAAACATGACACTGCGACTGGGATTCTTTGCCAGACTGTTTGGATCAGCTCTGCCATCGAGAATTGATACAAGCCAGAAAACATACCAATCGACTGCCTCAGAGCTACAAGCCGATCCGACCGATCAACCTGCGCACCCAGCCAGGATGATAACGCAACGGCCGAGAAAGCTCGTACTAGAGCGTATATCGATGCGTACAGCAATGTTCCTGGGAAGATGGAGGCAAGAAATAGGACGGCGCCGAATTCGAACATTCGGGAGTTCCATGCTGACAGTGTGTGGGATATGTAGAGTCTTGTTAATACTGAGCGCGCTTCTGGTGTCGGGGGCTCGGTGACGAGGCGTGCCTCATTTGTTGTCTGTGAAAGCCTATTGGAAGCATTGGAGTTTCTTTCTAATAATTGACGCTCTGGGTCTGGTGATACTTCGTCAGACTCCATGCTTAAGCTGTTTATGTGCCTAGGTGGCAGGTCCCAGGATTGTAGATTAATATATGGAGTTTGTGGCGGATCTGCGATGTCGCGGGTGGGCTGATGGGGAACCCACCTATATTTCTTTGGGCTCATTTGTACTTGTACTTGTCTAAGGTGCTACTTTGTACATCTGTATGTTTTTGCCATGGCTTTGTTTCTACGAATAATTGTACTTATCACAAACACGGAGCTATGATTATTGGTCAATTGACAAAAATGGTATGTGGTAAATTGTGGTATAAGCCAATTCCCAGTAGATTCTAATGCACAAAACAATAAATTACAAGTTATAGATCGTATCTATTCAAATCCACTTGAGTCCCTCGCCAGATGCTGTCGTCGTCTTCCGGGCCAGAACCTCAACGACCTTTCGGCGCACACCCTCGCGGTGTGCGTATTTCTGGAGGAAGTGATCGACCACGGGTCTGCGTGATGAGTGACCCTCGCGAGCAACCTCCTCAATCTCCTTCTCAGAAGGAAGAGCAAAGTGGGCGTGGGGGTAGTTGTTGTAGTCGCCCTTGCTGAGAAGGGCTAGGCGTCTCTCCCCTTGGGGGATCTTGAAGAAGCTGTCCACGATATCCTCGGTAACCTCCGGCAGGGTGGCAGGCTTCCACTCGGCTTGGCGGGGAGGCTTGGACATCAGACGGGCCTTGACGCCCTCGACGAAGTCAGGGTGGCGCATGAAGTTGGCGGCGATCTCATGCTCACGCTGGAAGGTCTCCGAAATGCTCCACTTCTTGCCGAGACGCATCTGGCGGAGAGTCACTTTCAGAGAGGTCGGGGACCGGCTTGAAAGGGTCTCCAACGTCTTCTGTGCCCACTCCTTGTGTTCGGTCTCCTGCTCCAGAGCCTGGGAGATCTCCTCCATGGTGTTGAATCCAAAGCAGCGGTCAATGGCAGTGCGTAGGCTGCCAGCCATAAGCATGGGCTCCTCCTCAAGGGGCGGGAGACCAATGGAGAACTCGGCCATGGTCTTGTTGACGATTTCGAGGCGTTCGGGGAGCGCGACGTGGTCGGGGAAGGTCAGCTCCGAGAGACGCTGGGTCATGCTGCTCAGAACGCTGGAGTGAAGGTAGTGTGTAGCAATTCCTGCGTAGAGAGCCTGCACGCCCTTCAGGCGCTCAGAGGTTAGAGCAAGGTATGTACCGGTCTCGCCATCAAGACGGGGCAAGAAGAACGAGCCGCCAACATCGGGGAAGAATCCGATGGTTGTTTCGGGCATGGCGAAAAGGGTTCGTTCAGTCGCAATTCGGAACGGAGCGTGCATGCTGAGGCCAACACCTCCACCCATGGTGATTCCATCCATGAAGGAAATAACGGGCTTCGAATATGTAGCAATCATGTGGTCGAGGCGATATTCGAGTCCGAAGAACTCAGTTGACGCTTTTTGTCCCTCCACTCCATTCTCGTTCTGCAGCGCCAGGGCGGCAACGTCACCTCCTGCGCAAAGCGCCTTGGTACCGGCTCCGGAGATGAGGATCATGTTTGCAAGAGAGGACTTCTCCCATTCCTATTCATCCAACGCTTAGCATGTATTCATCTTTCGGATACCGTGGGAATCGAACCTGCAGTCTGGGGACAATCTTGCGTGCCATCGAGCCGTTCAGGGAATTGAGCTTCTTGGGTCTGTTGAGCTCGACGCTGCGAAGGCCGTAGATCGAGTTGAACAAAACATCATCGGGCTCATCGCCAGAGCTCTCTTTTGTCGACATCTAGACATAGTGAGCATTGAAAGTCGGCCTTCTCTCCGGGAGTGCATACCTTAGCTGTTGCCCGGAAGGCAGGGTTTGTGACCTTGGCGCGTAGAGGCATTGTAGGAACGCGCGAGATCCAGCTCGGCGAGGAGAAACGGGAGAATGAGTGTCGAAGTAACATTAGATCCAAAGCAGAATATAAACAACAGCCGGGAAGGGGGGTATGGTAACAATCAGATGTTCTCCGCTTTCCTTTGACCTCGGGAGTTTTTTTCGTTGGGTTTTCTTTCCGCTCTCCGAGGGTCGACTCTCCGCCCATAACCGATTGCACGCTTGACACAACTATGTCATGCTTGGGGCTCATTGCCTTGATTTGAATTTGTGGATTGTGAATTGGTTGAATATTCTCTTATCATGATTATGATAAAACTAATGCTTTGGATTTGTTAATTTGAACCATTTTCATGTGGTGTGTTTGATCTACTACAATATACACAACCTTGAATCCAGGTATAGTATCAGTATTGATTGAATATACCGACCTATAAGAACTTCAGGTAGATATCAGATATATCAATTGAAGCAAATATAGCTCCCTATAATAAGTAATGCCAAAAGCCGTCTCCTGAGCAACATGTACACGGTGAATTATTCCTACTGTGGGTAATAACTGAAGTATGAAATGATCTATTTGTACATAGCTAGTTAAATGCAAAAAACAACTCCTAGAATACAATCAAGCCTCCCATGTAGACACCAGCTGGCTAGCCTCCAGCGTCAATACTTTCTTTCCGTCAATTGAAGGCGAAAAGAGGGTGTCAGACTTGGGCAAATCTGTCCTGTGTGCAAGCAAAATCTTGTGGAGCGCGTTTCGCTCAATAATCAATCTTGATGTCTCCAAAAGATCCTTAACATCGAGATCTTCAGTGCTCAAATGCCGTGCCTTGCGGGGATGTTTCTCAACCGCACTGGAGAAGCTCTCATTTGGCTCCAGTGTAATAAAAGTCGAGCGGCCCTTCAGGAACCATTGGTGAGCTTGGAGGAGATTCTTGACGAAGAACGGGGTCGCATCGGGGGCGAGGTCAATAACGTTGTCAATGACGATCAATTCACCGCGTGAAAGACGGTGGCTGAGGGCGATACGCCAGGCTTGGTCGTAGATCTTGCGTGGCAGATCAGTCGAGAAGTCACGAGGATGAGGACCGTGGGCAACACCACCACCTCGTCGCACTGGCGATTGCTTGTCACCCGCACGCGCACGACCGGAGCCCTTTTGTGCGTACAGCTTCCTGTGACTACCGTGCACATCGTCCCTCCACTTGGTGCTGGCTGTACCCTGTCGTGTGGCGTCACCCTCGTAGACAACTGCGCGGTGGAGAATATCGTGACGAATGGGCATCTGGAGGAGCCTCTTGGAGTAGTGGACCAATCGCTCGGGCTTCAAGTCAGGCCAGCGATAGGTCATGACTTGAACAGGGGTTAGGCCTCCTGGTCGAACGGCGCGGTCGGCCTCGGGGGCATCTTGTGGCACCACGGGTGATGGTGTCTGGACTTCCGTTGCCATTGAGCGTGTAAGGCATCGTTGCTGTATAATGTCGTTGGTCAGCCACTGTGTTCTAGAATCGAAACCGAGCAGAATTCATGGAGTGTACTCACCGTCACTTGCTTGGGGCCTGACATGAGTCCGCCCGAGCTGCGTGACAGCAGTCTCAACGACCGAAGAACATCATTACCTGGCATTGTGAAGGCCTTGTGGTGATCAACTATACAGTGATAATGTCCGTCTTGAATGGAGAGCAAAAGTTGATATCGGGCGGTGAATGTTAGCAGAATCTTGGCGTCCGAACAGAAAAAGTTCCCCCGGAAAGACAACAAGTATCCGATCCTCACGGCCAACCCCATCAAACCCAATTCCTTGAATAATGGCTCACTGCGAGCGGGCTTCTAAGCCCCTGCTGCAATGTCTTCGCAGTACTTACTCTAGAAGCATCGCTGGTGTTCAACTCCAGACGCGAGCTTTCCAGTCGACTGCCAACGTTCGCGAGGCCGAAACCGAAGCACCGAGCCAACCTTTCCACAAGGCACCCGATCCTTCTCTTGTGACGAGTCCCCGCCTTGAAAGACGGTTATTGAGACAGGGAACTACTCCCATTGGATCTCGTCGTCGCCGTGCTGCGCTCCAGGCTGCCGACAGCATTCCATTCGAACAATTGCCCTACCAATGTTTCCAAGAAGCCCGGAAGGTCCTGCTCGCCGACCGCGAGGAAAAGTTGAAGGAAATTGAGACAATGCAGCAGCGTCTCGCTAGACAAGAGTCTCTCTCCGATGAAGAGGCCGGAGGAGCAAAGGCGAAGAAGTCCCGGGTGACGGCGATGCAATTACACTTGGAGCGTCTCAAGATCTTGGCCGATATTAACGATCCTTCGGTGAAGCGCAAGTTCGAAGATAATGAAGGTAATTTTGCTGTAATCTCGAGCTGGAGTCAAGACTAACGTTCGTTTCCCTTCGTATCAGGCGACATGTCCAAACCTATCTACCGCTTTTTGGCAGACCGCAAATGGCGCGAGTACCGCCGCAAGATTCTTGTCCAGCGTATCACACAAATGAACGTCATTCCGGATGTTCTCCCTCACTGCGACCCAGTGGTAGACACCAAGCTTTACTTCGGCAAGCGACAGATCCAAGCCGGTGAATTCGTCGAGGCGAGGCAGAGCACAACTGCCCCGAAACTCGACGTGCAGCTTTTCGAGGGTGGTGAGAAGCTTGTCACCATCGCTGTCGTTGATCCCGATGTCCCGAATGTTGAGCAAAACAGCTTCGATTATAAGACCCACTTCCTAGCCGTCAACATTCCCATCTCGGCTACTTCGACTAAGGTTGACCTCGCCCAGCTTTTGGAGGATTCTCAGGTCGTTCTTCCTTGGCTACCACCCGTCGCCCAGAAGGGTAGTCCCTACCACCGTCTTTCTGTCTTCATCATGGAGCAGAAGAACTCCGAGCCGCTCGACTTTGCTGCAGTAAAGGCAAAGGAGACCAGCCGCGACAACACTCTTCTCCGCACCCTCCAGGCCCGCTACCACCTAAAGGCTATCGGTGCTCACTTGTTCCGTACCCAATGGGATGACACGACTCTGGAGGTCATGAAGGAGATTGGCTTCAATGGAGCAGATATCGAGCTGCGCCGCAAGAGGGTCGAGCCTCTGCCTTATAAGAGACGTAACCCCTCTTCTTTCCGCTAATCTCATCTTCTCTACTCTGTTTCCTATCCAAGCCATTTGAGTTTAGATTTGTACTGTACAATTTGATATGTATGAATATGCACACTGATTTAATCCTTTCCAACCAAACTCCATGTGTATGCTTAAACAAAACGGTCCCGAATGCACTCATTCGCCAAATGCAATGGTCCCAATCCCCCAATATGATATACAATGTGTGAGATCCTCAAATACTCCCCTCCAACTGCGCCGGTTTCAATGGATTGCGCACCCACTCCGCCTTCGACGGCGGCCATACCCGCGCAATTATCTTCCCATTAATGAGCCCCATAGGCACGGGTCCGTAATTCCTCGAATCCCTCGACCAGGGAAGATTGTCGCCAGCCAGGAAAACATGGCCTTCGGGAATCTACACAGAACACACATCAGCAATTGACGCCAACCGGCAGCGTAGAAACAAAACCCACCTGAATCATATTGTTGTCCTTTCCAATCTCCGTACTGAGCGGCTTATCTTGGCAAACAAAATCCCCAGGCATACCCACCACCCGCTTCGCAACATTGACGCCCTGGAAGTTCGGGTGCCCGAATCGCACCACATCCCCGACCTCAATCCCCTTGCCATTGCGGTGGATCCGCGAAATCAGGAGCCAGTCGCCGCGCACATCGAAGGTCGGGTACATCGACGGGCCCGCGCTGAGCTGGATGGTGATCAGGTGCTCCCAGATCAGCGCGCATGCGCAGAACGTTCCGGCGCCATTGAGTGCGAGCCGTCCGGCGGTGCGCAGGTTCAGTAGCCGAAGTGTAGATCGTAATAATCGCTCCATGTGGTGTGAGTTGGAAAGCTGTCTGGTCAGCTACAACAATGTCCACTTCCGCGGATGTTCGATGGCGGTCATGTGATCGCACGGAACCTTTAAAATCTCGTTTTTTTGCGGAGTCTCTCCTTCTTCCCCCACCATCGGTCTGCCATGTGAATCAGCCATTGTCAGAATTCTGCTGTCGCATTGAATTTTGATGTCCAGGAGTTCTCCAGCTACTGCTGCCTATTAATGTTTGGGCACTGTGCTGAGAAAGACCTGGGTATCCAACCCCCTGTTGCTCCAAGAGTATCTCTAAATTGATTTGAGATGCTCATACAGCATGACCGTCTTAGATATTTCCCCATTACCTTCTTTTCAATCCCTTTAGGGATTTGCTTCTCCAATGCTAGAGCTGGCCGTCGACGACATTGAGCACCAGGACGAGCTAGTGTGGAATATGAAGCTATATGAACTTAACAAGCCTGTCTTATCAGACAGGCTTTCCCCCAGTGTGTTTCAATCTTGACCCCATTTAACTATGGGACTGGGTCTTTGAGGCATGCGCAGTGGGGAGACATCTCAATAACATATTGAATACATTCTTCCAATTTATTTCTCATAGAATTTCCATCACCTCATAGAAGGGTAAACCGACATATCTCGCAATTCTTAATCAGACTTTGACCACATGGTATCGGCATCTGCCATTTCGTCAGTCCAAAGCACACAAACAGGTTAACGAGAGGCAATACATACCCTTGTGCTTCTCAACAGGCTCAATCCCCTCCCTCTTCTTCGCCTTCTGCCGATAATCAACCCCAAACCTCGCATCTCTCTCTCCAAGCAACGCATCTAACCCTCCAGGCCTAGCCCGCTCAACACTCTCATCGGAAGTAAAGCTGCCCATCAACTGCGGCATACCCATAGGAACAGGATCGCCTCGATCAACCTGCCAAAAATGAAACGTTTTGCCATAGATAGGCGCCAAATCCTGCATCTCGGCCGTCTCAGCAGCCTCCCAGACGGAATCAGGCATGCCAGCCGGTGCAGGCATGATAAGCATGCCGCTTTTGACCTCGAATTCATGCGTGTGCCAGAGCTGGCGCTCTTCTTCTGGGAGCGTTGCGAAGATGCGCGGCGAGACCATGTACTCCACGCCGATGAGGCGAGCGTTCTTCTCGGGCGAGTCGTAGATTAGGCATTGGCGTACGTCTGGGCTTAGTTAGTACTTCTTATTTGTCTTGTGATTGTTGTTGTGTTGTGTACCTTCTGTTAGATGCGTGCAATAGTGGTTCGCTTCGACACATCGGGTTGGGTCGCTGGCGTAAACGTGGAATGCGTTTACGTGTGCGCATATCTGCTTTACTGGTGTGAAGTCTTGGACCACTGATGCTCCTGTTTCGAGGAATTGACTTTTTGTTGTTCGTGGTTCGCCTGGGATCTTGCTTTGGTCTTTTGCGCAGGACATCTTGTTGAAGTATATACTACACGGGGTTAAGGGTATGGTTTGTTGCACTCCGCAACTGTCACTGAATTGATGTTTTTTCTGCTTTCAAAAATTGACACAGATTCTGGGGGAATATACAAGTAATAAATCACCGTGGAAGGTTTTAAAGAGTGAAGCCCTGATTTGAGCCCTGATTCGCTTGACGTCATCATGATTGATATCCTATTTACTTTGTCTGCACTACATGTGTGTATCAATCTTCGAACAACGGGACTTTGAAACCTTGGAACCTTTTGAACTTGCGCTAGGAAGGCAAAAATAGAACATTGCTCACTATGGGCTCCGAAGCTACATTATTCCGAGATTCCAGGCGTTGTCAAAACACGCATTTTGTCCATACCACAATTTACTCAGTCACTCATATTCTACAGCGCTAGTCATGTCAGCGCAGGATGTGGAAATGAGAAAAGAGGACAAACCGCGGGACTTCCTAGGATCTCGGTCTTTTTGGCTTGTTATACGTGTACAAAGACAACACACTAACCACTCCATGATTGGTTTTAACTAGTCTAGGCAAGGACCGCAAAGTCAATCCAACAAAGAAACAGCCTCCCCCCATTTCTATGTATTCGAGGGCTGCTCACCGCTGCTCTTGGAGAAACAGGTACTTAGTCTCGTTTCCAAGACTGTAGTTGCCTAGTTCTCTATACCTTTCTTTGTCAGGCATATCCTAGATCACAACTCTTGTTATATCCCTCGTAGCCAGTCTCAAAAATCACATTGAAAGAACACTCACTCGAAGATGTCATCGCAGAGTTCTTCGCCCAAACCACAGTAACTCAATTGGAATGCAATGCTCGAGCTGAAAAGCTTGTCGGCGGTGATGTAACATTTGTACCCATGCAAGGCAGCAGCAGTTACACTTTGTATGCTGGCGAGAAGAACGAGTTTGTCGTCCAGTTCCGCCTCAAACCGCTATCACTGGAATTGGAAACAATCGCTCTTGCCGGTCAGATCCTCGGTGCATTGGTTCCACGGACTAAATTCCATGGTCAGATGGGAGATGCGGTTGATGGAAAAGAAGTTCTTATAGTCTATATCATGGATAGAGTGCAGGGTGTCGCTCAGATAGACTTTGAGCTGGCTCAGGAAGGTCCTCGGAACTCGCCTGAATTCTTTGCTTGGAGATAGAACTTGATATCGGATATGGCGAAGTAAGTTTGATTCTCGGTATTGAGAGATATCGTCGGCTATAATCAATTAATCATAGGCTCGTTTTCGCTCCGGCATGGAAACATCCATTGAAAGTCGATAAAGGAATATGGGAAAGTCTGCGTCAAGAATATGAGATAGATCTCAAGCGCCTCCTTGACGCCTTGCCCACTCGATTCCACTCCATTATCCAACGGTGCCTTGACTCATTGCCTGATATCATGTCTTTGCCCATGGTCCTTCTCCATGGCCTTTTGGGAATATGCAAAGTAATGGTCGATGAAAAGTCCAATCACCTAACTGGAGTTGTAGGTTGGTCCCTGGCCAAAATTGGTCCATTCGGGCTCAATCTTCACTTTCTCGAAGAGACTATGGGCGACCTTCACTACACGGAAGGTTGGACTAGATACGATGACTACGAAGCCCTCGATAAGACCTTCTGGGACACTCTCAAGAAGGAAGCTGGGCTCAGTGAAAAAGATATCCCGGTCATCAAGTTAGCTATGAGTGCCGGTCTTTTGCTGTCCTGGGCTTTCACACCTAGACTTCCTACCTTCCCTCCTCCGGAGCCTCTCAAGGATGATGCTTCTGGTGCCTACAAATTTCTGACTCTGGATGCACATCTCATTAACCCGGCAACGAGGTTCATCGATTAGGAAGTCTATCTCTCATATACGATGTTTAGGCTTTCGCAGGATTCCTAGGCTTATTTCCTAGTTAGTCGCACTTGGATAATTATGCTTTCTTGAACAATTCCCATCAATATACGCTCAAGATCCTCCTATGTATTGACTAGACACAGAGATACTACATCAAGATTGTCGAGAAATATCATGCATCGACTGCTCGTGTACTTTGATTGACTTGTCGTAGCTTCCATGATCTCTTTGCTTCAAACTCAAATGGCAGACAGCTTTGTTCAACAGTGACGAGAAGATATGGAAAGGCTCTTGGGAGAATTCATTTCGCTCCGAAAAGCAACGGGATCAAATTCGTCATTCTTGGAGACTACCTGTATGTGGAGGCTCTGATTGCATGGTAATTTTCATGGCTCGCGCTTTCATATCAATAGCAGCATTGGCATTGAATTCGTAAGGAATTGCTGTAGTTCTCCAGTATTTTCATCAAGTCGTCTGCAAATTTGAAGCGCTCTTCAACTCCTTAGCAGCGGATGTCCCAGATTATTTGAGGTTGATAGAGTTCATCAGCCAAGCCTGAGTGTGTAAACTGCTGGAGAACCAGTTGCGTGCGGTCTCAAGCATATTACTAGGTTTTTCAATAGTCGTATCAATAAGCGCATAGAGACTTACTCCTATGAGGATTGCTTCGATTTGATTGTGGAGACTGTCTATAGCAAATAACAATCGAGCAATCACCATTATATCACTAGTATTCGCAATAGTCTGTTTACTTCTTGGCAAGTCGCTGGTGTACGGACGAGATGATTAAAGGTCTGGTTTTGTATGGTTCTAACGTTGCAGCCTCTTGTTCTGAGCCTGAATGATCTAGGTATAGGTATCTTATATATACAGAGGGGTTTGATATTGACCAACCAAACGACAGTCACAATTTACATGCTGACTTGCAGATAACCTAAGCATCTTTACTTGGAGAATGTAGAGGATCTAGTCACAAGTAACTGTCTAGTTATGCCGAGGCTGGTCTAGGAACGGAAAGCGGGTGTACATGTTCTGCATGCTTATGATCTTTGTTTACGTCTCCCCTCAGTGCAATTGCTTTGATAATCGAGTTTGTGTTTGTTCATGCAACCTCTAACTGCTACTATGAACCAGGGTTGATAGCTCTGGCCTGGCCGATTGCAGTGTTATGGAGAGATTAACGAGGGTCTAGCCACACCCGCTTATGAGAAGTCCGCCGGAGCGGAGCACACTAACTGCAACGCAGCTTAAGTCAGATCGACTCTGTTTGCATGATTTCCATTCAAGTCTTGGTGCATTTCAAGATTTAGAACTCAACTGCATATGCCAGACAGCTCCTCAAACTCGATCTATCAAGCCCTTGGGGAAGAAAAGCAAGAAAGCCCTCTGCAGCAAATGGGAAACACAACCGGGCTAAACCGAACTAAAACAACCTTCAATCCTAGCCCTTACCTAGGCACAAAATGAAATGGATCACCACATCAAAAAAAATCTCGGCGTCTGACAAGATCAGCCAGCCATCGCTAGTTTTACCAAGAAACACAAGTCATCCGACCCCATGTAACCCCTCGCATTAGATCAGGGAGAATCGTAGACCACCACCACCATCACCTCCGTTAAGGGGCGAAAGTCGGACGGGAAGGCAAATCTATCGGTAGCGTAACACCGCGACGGGGATAATGTGCAGACTCTTAACTATTCCTTTACTCTCTGTACTCCACACCCCACCGGTGATCTACAAGACTGCGTTCTAGAAAAGTGTAATAACGAGTCTACTGCAAACGACAGTGCCCGAAATCAATAATGCGGTCTCGGTAACACAAACACGAGCGGGCCCCATTCCACACCTTTGTCTTGGAGCGGGAATGAAAGCGGGAGAAGAACTTCGCTGGACCATTCATCCGATATGGTAATGATGCGTTGGGTGTGGATGAATTCCAGTGGGGCGCATTTCGAATAATGGGGGGGTCTTTCGGGGTGCATTTCCACCTGCAATTATCATCGAATTAACATGAAATGGTCTTTTTTTTTTCTTTTTCGGGGCGATGATCGTTGGAAATTTTTCGGAAGTATCCTGCCTATGTCAAGTGCGTATCATATGTAGGGAGTCGGAAATCGAGAAGACACTGCATTTTGTCATACTACATATGGCGGACATGGTGTGAGGAGTCGTGTGCATCTACGTTGTAGTTTGCAGACTTCGTCAGAAAAGGGTGTGCTGTGTGTGTGTGTGTGTGTGTGTGTGTGGTGGGGGGGGAGCACTGTATATCACATTTTGCGCTGTGGAACGAAACGCCTTTTTGCGTCAGAGTACGGTGTAGAAGTTTAAGTCGAATCGGAGGTTGGGAATATTAAATTGATAGTCGTGTCTCAAAGTTCCTTGACGCGAACCCGGGCAATTACATTGCCTAATATTGACTAGTTGAAGGAATTGTGGAGGGCGCGGTACGCTGAGGGCCTCGAGCCCCTAAAAGCCCCTCTGATCTCGTAAGCAGAGATGACTCCCCTAATTGTACATGACACTACTCAACAGGGCACCGTAGCGATACAGTAGTCAAATCAAGTAGGGGCTAAAGTCAAAATTTCTATCACAGACACACATAAGTGCCGACAGTCCAGCGCCAATATCAAAATCGTGTTCCCCGATATATAATATCATCTCACTGCAGCCTGTTCGCACGCTGCAGACACCCCTGTGACTATCTGCACCGGTCTTGTTTTGGCGACAAGTGTAGGTTGCCAATTGCACTATTATTTTATTATGGGAGTGGAAACACATAGCGCCTCTACTGTAAGCCCTGACGGTCCTTGATAGATAAGGTTAGTATTACCATATATTATGCGGAGTACTCCGTAGTAATCAGTAGTCAGTGGTAGTCAATGGAGCCACGAATGGGTTTGAGGGGGACATAGTTACGGAGAACCACCACAATGTATACGAGGCAGGATTGGCCCCTGCGTGGATCCTCAAATTATTTTATGATCTTTGAGTTTACTCTGTTAGGAACAAGATCGGCTCACAAAGGAGATCAGCGTAGTGAAAAACCACACAATGCATGGATCATAGTGATCAAGGTGGATCCGGAGACGGTTAAGCACCGAGGAGAAACGGAAAAGTCGCATGTAGATTTTGGATAGATTGGAGATGCAGATAGGTAGGTTTGGAGTAGAAAGTTTTCGCCTAATTCGTACTCCATACTCCGTACTATACTATTACAATCTAAAATATTATTACTGCACTATTACTCTGTAGATTGTATACTGTACGATATGTCAAAATATACAAACCTGTTATTCCGAAAGAAAAAGGGATTGGCCCAGCCTCGTTTTGGGAACAAACCACGTTGACACCGCTAGGACATCAGGTTATCCTTTTTAACCCAACAACCTGGGTTTCCACCTCCGCCACTTTTAGCATCCAAGCGACTTAACTCGATAAGAAATCTTTCGCCCCCAAACCTGCACCTAGACTTTTAGTGGCGCCAACATATCCGAGGATGGCAGCCGGCATCTAAAGCTGCGCCCGAAAGCACGGATGTTTATGATTTCGAATCTGATTATAGTTCGGTTCTAAAAAAAAGAGTTTGCAATGACGAAATCGAATGAGGCTGCAACCTATATGCATTGGATTTGTGGGTAGTTTACGTGTCTACCTATATGTACTCTGTACAGTTGTACGTGGTACGGAGGTACTTACGGTGTCACAGGGCCCTTTCAAGGTCTGGAGCTAGGAGCTAAGCAGTTTGAACACAGGACCAGCTGATTCTACGTTGCAGCCTGTTTGTAGCCTATCGGGGAAGGACAGTCTTAGTTTCAACCTTGAAGATATTCTCCCCTGGGTTTGTGCGCCGTTGGGCTCATGTCGGAGGATAATCCTAACGATCGTCGAGTCCTAAGAGGGGCCCGCCAATAAAATTGGAAATGACCAGCGCTTGGCTATATTTAATTTGTACGAATCAGCCGACCGAGAAAGGGTATTGATTATTATTATTGTTGTTTTGGGTTCTCCTTTCAAAAAGAACGACATCCGTTTGTTTGGTGTGATTTCTTTTTCAAGGTCTCATCACATTTCACAAGCGTACTTTCTTACCTAGGAATGTTAATTGACTCAAAACAAAGAAACGCACGGGGTTCAGAGTGACCAGAACATGCGCATCCGATACTACACCGTAAGGAGCTGGTGACATGGCGCTAAAGCAAGCCAAATTGACTTAGCCCGCAGCTCCCGCTGCATTCCTTGGGGCTAAGAAGGGGAACCGGGCAATCAGAAACCCCGACATTGGAACGTCTGGAAGCACAAAGGAAGCTGGGATCGACTCCGCCCTCCTGAATTGCTCCAATAGTGGAGGTCGAAGTGGATTATGGAGAGGGGTGAATTAGGAGCGTTCATCACTAGTTTACTTTGGGTTTTGGGTACGCGCCCTTTCGGAGGTTACTATGAGTGGGCCAAAGAGGCTCCCAACTGAGAGCTGATCAACGATCTAGTTGGTCGGTCTCGGACAGTCACCGTCTAATTGAGTGAAATAGATTGACAGGATTCAAGTCATGGTTAGGACATGGTACTTGGATTTTACCATGTAGGGTTGTAGGAAATCCTTTGCTCGTATTGAAATCCAACACATATCTATGCCCGTTGGGTTGGTCTTTTGTAAATAGGATCAGACCGGGCTGAATCATTTTCCTTTCTTTTCTTTGTATGGAAAAATACTTACTTACATTCAGTATGTACAAGATCTGGATACTGTAATGTGCCGTAATTGTTACGGTGTGCTCAGCGCATACCTCTTTTTTCAAGATCGGCAGATTTGATGAGGAGTAATTGTTGTCAAGTTCCACTTAGCCCTAGGAGAACTCTGAAGTTAATCAAATAAACACCCCTAGCCTTCTGGTACTTGTCAACGATTGTCTCTAATTATTTCCTAACTCATACTAATGTCTTCCCTCATGTGGCCCCTGCAGTGCATAATGTGGGTCCGCGCCGCAAATGCGTTCCGGTACAGGCTTGGATCCCTTCATGTCGTGTAAACGGAGGGTGTTATGCAGTTCTGGGCATATCTAGATTGTGATCGACTTTGATTGGTTTCAATTCCTGCAATGATATGTCTGATTGTAAAAAGACCAGAAGCATTGCATCGGCAAGGAATGATCGTTTCTTTTTCTTTTTTTGCATGTCTTTGCTTTTTTAGTACCATTAATACAGATACAACTATGTATTAGCCTAGGAGTCTCAAAATCAATCCTCAGATTAGCGTCAATGGGCAGGGAGAAACGCCCCTGAAAACACAAAAACACACCGGGTTTCTACCGGGGATTGGTCCGGTTTTGGCTTTTGGCAGAGCCCTAAGCACGATCAGATCCGCCCGGCCACGTTGTGAATGGTGGCTCTACCGCTCGTTTCCTGATCGGTGACACAAAGTGGGTTTTGAATTTCTTCGGCTCCATTCTTTTTGGATATCTTTTGACCTAGAGAGTTGAAAAGTGTTCCACATTTCGTTAATGAGGGGGCCAAAGTTGAAGGTCTAACCATCTAAATTGGCGCCAATGTTCTCAACTGCCCGGTCTCATCCTCAAATTCAAGGTCCGTTTTACCTCTTAGCTCTGAATGTTACAATGACTGGTCATATTTGGGTCCAGAGCTCTGGGCTCCTACAGACGTCACTGCGGGCTTTGAAAAAAAATTTCTATTTAATCTGGGCGAACTCAAATAGCTCCACGCGGGTTCAACGCTTGGGATAGCCGAGCTTCCCGCTCTTGAGCCACGCAAGATTTACCATGGTTTTCTGGGTCATTTAGTGGCGTCTGGATGAATTCTGTACGTTGTACCACATCCGATGAAACAGGCCCACAACCGTTGAGGCACTCGGATCGATACGCTACTATTAGGCACATTAGTTGGCGCCCCCCTCTTTTTCTCAGGTGATGTTAGAAAATGACCAGAAAATATTGCTGATCCCGAGGTGCAGGTAGCCTAATGTTCCAAGTTTCTCTTTTCGAGATAACCCGACCTTGATTGGTGATGAAAATGTAGTTTATTTCAGGGATCGGAACATTTTCAATCCTTTGATACTTCAATGGGTCAAGTGTATTAAAAGTCAAATTGTTATAGTATGTACCATATTACCTAGGTATAGACGTTAGTTCTTACATGATATATCAATAGAAATTACCATTTTCCCAGGTCAGAGATAAGTAAATCAGAAAATGACCGTCAAACAATATAGACTCAACAATATAGAATATTACTCGGGCGGCGACGCATCTCCTGCATCATGTACTCCGGATAGTAAATAATCAATAAAAAAATCCGAATATTCAAAAAAGGACAGATAGCAAAGAATGCAAGAGAAAATAGCAACCTCACATCCGGGTATGCACGGTACAAAGAACTTTAGATTCCCTAGGACTAATTGGGAAGGGGGTCCGCTAACGATGACGGTCATTATCTCTAACTCCACTTACACCCCTGTTGGAAACTAACCAAAGGCGAAGAAGGATGTAGGCGACCCTATCACATTGTAACCCTTGCGTAACGAGCTTAGGTGACGCTATAGAAACAGGAGGTATCACCAAATCCAATGACATTCCTTTTAAAGAAAAAAGAAGTCAAATATGAGGCGTTTAGCCTGGAAGTATTGGCCGCAGATCGGGTCGGATGTGCGGGCCATTCAAACAAGCAGCATTCCATGGTTTAGAGGAGCCAAGGTTCCTGACTCTTGGGTCCGTTGGTTTTTTTTCTTCTTTTATTCCCTCGATTTAATCTAAAATCTATACTATATAATTAGTACCTAGGTACAAGTGACTTGTTACTTATACCCGTTTTAGTATTAAAAGGGGGGTAACTATAATAAAGAAAAGAAAGGAGAAAAAAAGAAACGGGAACTAGACCCATGTGAGATCGATCCATTTGGAACTATTTGCATAACATACAACATACGGACCACTATAACGTACATATAACGTACGACGTATAACTGTAAATATTACTATTACGTCGTATAGAATAAATATATAGTAAATATAGTCAAGACATTCTAGTAATTTTAGTATTATATGATATACAATATACAATACAATATCGTATATGTGATGCTTCCCCATGTTCGCCCTAAAAAATACCCATGTTCCATGTTCCTATAGGTCCACGGGTCTGATCCCTGCTTATGTGTCTGAAGTATGTAATTAACTTAGTGGAACTGCCCTGATTTATGGATTCGGTTCCAGGTTGCCCTTCATTTGCGTCTAGGCTCATTTCGTTAGTGTCAACGTCGTGTCATCTTAGCATGTGCAGTGGAATCGTGGAGCTGGGGCGGGTGGTAGATCGCCAGGGCTCCCTGGATTCCCTTCTTATAAGGTCTCTTCGCCTTGCCTGGAGGTGATCTTCACTTCACTTGGAATAAATACTTTTACCTGTCGCTGTTCCTGAATGGGGAGCATCGGCCCTATTATTCACCCTTTATCTGATTTTCTTCTGTGCTTCCCTATTGAAAACGTAAGCTACTCTTTCTCTCTCCCACCTTGACATCTAAAGTATACTTAACTGACGATGATGCCCTCTTCTCAGTCTACTTTTTACCAGTTCTTAATCTTCAGCTTTTTATATGGCCAATCAGTCCTGGCAACCTCAGCCTCCTTCAACAGGTTCTCAGTGGCTAGACAATGCAGCTTATAGTCAACCAACCATGCAGGATATGGTCCGTGCTTTCCCTCGGCCGAGACACACTCGGGTCATGAAGCCTCGTAGTGCTGGAAACAGTCCCTCATCGGCAATGAGAAGGCGAGCAACAGTCAATCAAAATGTGATGCATGCAATGCCCTCACAATACCAGCCCTCCTTGGAAGAAGCCCTGTTCGCCTCGGCGTCTCGGAACTCACGCCCGACCAGCTGGCATCCTTCATCGGCAAGAAACCGGGGTCTTTCGAACCCGCAATACTACCCCGATTTCACTGCGGACAACTATGCCGGCATGGGAGCCTTTGATCAACAATATCTCCCTTCGGCCGTCTATGGGGGCGATGACATCATGGCATATCCCATGACCGCCGACGCTGCATTCTCGTCCAACGATTACTTCCCCGTCTACTCTGACATGCAGGATGATTTGCCACTTCCACAACAGACCCCGGCACTTTCAATGACTGGCTCGCAGGTCGAGCCAATGACCTGGGATTTCACCATGCCCGATCTATCAGTAATGCACCCAACATCCGATAACTGGAATTTCGACATGCTATCGATGGGCACCAACATCCCCCCACCAGAAACAACCTGCCCAAGCTACGTCAGCGTCCCCTCACCGGGTGAGATGAGCGGGCCTTCAACACCGGACTTCCTTCCTATTCAACAGTTTGAGGACAATTTCCAGCCTCCCGTCGAGCTCAAGAAGACTGCCAAGGCCGAAGAGGAACTGGTCGGCATGGGCCTCTACAGTCAGCCCAATGGAACACTGGCCAAGGCCCCGCAAAGCAAAGCAGGCGAGGGTCTCAAGCTTGAAGAGACATTCACTCCATCCGATGAAGACAAGGACGGCGAAGCGGAGACAGATGTCGAGAGCGACGAACAACAACCATCGCCCCAGCAACCAAATCGCTACAACGAACCTATGCAGATGGCTCAGTCGAACTTCATTTCCAAACAGCAGCAGCAGCCGAAACAGGCTTTGAATATGCTGCAGCGATCTTTCTTTTTCGACCACGATGAGGATCAGCAAGCGATGACTGCCGCTCAGCCTTTTGCGAGCTTGAACCAGCCTTGTATGAGCTATGGGTATGGGTGGATCTAAAATAGTCGGGTCGCTTTGCAGCGGATTCGGGTACTTGTTTGTTTTTGTTTTATTCCTGTACTTCTTTACCAGCGGCATAGCGTGGCGTTATTTCTATTTATTTTGTCTCGGCGTCGGATACAACGGAAGGATACCCTGGGACCATTCGCATCTAGCTAGCCACACCTATCTGCATCTCCAAGGAGGATGTACTCATGCACGAGCGATACACACAATTAGCTTAAAAATATCTTGCTACCTGTCATTGTTTCCAATTCTTGTCTAAATCGTAATGAACAACAATAACATCGCGATCGTGTTGATCTAGAAGTATACAAATTCGCCTTCTGGTTGGTCGAAGAGATGATGAGGCTCGGCAAAACCATCCCAAAGGAATAACCATCCTCCGAAAATATTTCGCAGCAACTCATCGACACAAAGTGCAGCAAGAAAATTAAGAACCTCGAGTTCCAGTGAATTAAATTTCAATTTGGCTATTCCGGACTCGGCAGCAAAATGGCCAAGGTCATTTTCACAGCTTGGAAGACCAAGTCCCAGCTGATGGATGTGCGGAACGAGTTTTATCCTCCGCCTTCCTACGCTGGACCGGATTTGCGCTCTCATGGTTGCGCAGTGGTATGTAATTTGAAATTCCTCCCAGTGAACTGGTTTTGGCTGATACTCTGTGCAAGGTCGAAGCTTGGAAGTTACGCGGCAATGTGCCGCACCATGTTGAAGCTACGGCGCTATTGACTGACGCTATTCTGCATGACGATGCACAGAGGAACTCCATCTTCTCGATTCGGGCTACCTACTCTGCAGCCTTCTGCCGGTAAGTAACCGAATCTCCCTTAGAGAAGAGTTCCACCATCCAGTCCGGAGATGTCTCCTCCCAACTCCATGCAGACCCTCCCCCAACCAACCCAATTCAAACCAAACTAACACCCAAGCAGCTTCGTGACCGGTCTCGTGGACACAAAAATTCACGGTGTGCGACGAACAATGTTCCAGCGCGCAACAGACCTAGGCCTTCCCGCCTCCTTCGTGGAACTACGCCACGAAGCAACTCACCGCGAGCCCCCTCGCTAGTTGTACTGCGCAAGGCAGCACAGCGCTCTCTCGAATGGCTCTGGGACAACTACTGGGCTGAGGTCTGCGACGATCCTACGCCTGCAACCCATGACGACAGTGCATCTGTCAGGGCGGCCTTGTGCGACGCTCTACAGCCTCTTACCGGTGGGCTAGCGGAACCAGTGTCTAAAAAGCGGAAGCGCGACCAGGCCATTTCGGTCGCTATGCGGCTTGTCTCGGTTTGTAATGTCTCGGGGACTGGCGTTAAGCTTTTAGCTTCTGTTTTGCTGGAGCGGGATTTGCTGGTGCCTGGTCGGACGTGAGTGTTTTTTTTTTTGGTGTTGTGTCTCGGGTGTTGGAACCGGTTTGTCGGGGAGTACACGTGCTAATCTTCTCTTTGCAGGCTTGGAGATCCCTTCGATGAGACTTTTAAAGAGTGGGACACTGTGCTTTTAAAGGTTGCGGAGAGTCATCCTGCCTTTTTGAGACATCTCACGGAGGACCTGGTCAATGATCTGGCCTTCACCGATACGAAGGATGTATCTACCGATCCGCGCTCTGAGGCGCTGTACCTGTGGCTCGCGCACATTTTCACATCGCCGAATTGGGAATTCCACAGGCAATCGTGTCCTCAAAGCTATGTTCTTCAAGTTTGTGACGAGAGTTCACACCATTGGACAACGCTGCTGGGGGAGCAGGTGAGAAAGGAAGCTGGCAAAGCTAAGGCGGTACCCGTCGCTCGACCAGCTGGCAAAAACCGTGTCTCAAAGCCCATCACTCGAAACGAGTCGCGAGGCACTACCGCTCAGCTTTCGGAAAAGCTGCTAGCGCACGGATGGGGTCTCTTGGAGAAATGGGACAGTCGACCCTTGGGGGTGGTCGCTAACAACTAAACACGCATACTTGTAAAACATGAAATGAACATGCTGCTGGCAGCGAAATCGAGCAATCCACCGGTATTAATTGGACAATGTACGTATGTAGATATCTTTAAACGAGCGACCAATCAAACTGAGTGTCATTACTAACCCTGGGAGAGCTGTTAACGGAAGAAGGTTCCTCCGGATGACGTTGGTAATCATGGGCTGTGTACATATTCCATAGCTCCCCGCACTGTGTTGAAGTGATGAACTTCTTAAGGTCTCAGTTATTCCGAAATAGCTCTCGTCTCTACAGATCTCAAGCCAGAGCCATGCATATCCAGTCGATTCCTATGTGTATGTTGCGTCTCCAGAATACCAACATCATATCCATGGATGCAACAACATGAAGATCAGAACATTGGCTTATCAAAATCAATTTTACAGGGACGGGGAAGGGCAACAACTATGCCTACCTCGTAACAGATGAGCTGACCAAGCATTCTGTTATCATTGATCCCGCGAACCCTCCAGAGTAAGCTCCATCTTCTATATTGGAGAGATCCGTCGTGCATAACGCTGACGCGGTGATATTACAGGGTTGCACCGGAATTGAAATCTCAAATCGATGCTGGCAAGATCGATTTGAAGGCTATCGTCAATACTCATCAGTGCGTGAATCGTAGTGCCCCTTTGCTGAGGGTTTGCTGACATTTGCTGGATAGTCACTGGGATCATGCTGGTGGTAATGACGAAATAGTATGCTTGATCTCCCGATATTCTTGTCTGACACAATACTGATTTCTGCCTCAGCTGAAACAATTCAAGGGCCTTCCGGTCATTGGTGGCAAGGACTGCGCTTCTGTCACCAAAACCCCCGCTGATGGCGAAGTATTCAAGATCGGAGACCGTATCTCCGTCAAGGCGTTATATACCCCCTGTCACACACAGGACAGTATCTGCTATTATATGCAAGATGGAGACCAGCGCGTTGTGTTCACGGGTGATACCCTTTTCATCGGCGGTACGTGTCTTTTCCAATGCATTACATACAGCCTTGGGTCCCGATTGAGGATTGTCTAACAAGATGACCAGGTTGTGGTCGATTCTTCGAGGGAAATGCGAAAGAGATGCACAAAGCGTTGAACGAAACCCTTGCTGCTCTGCCTGACGACACCAAGGTTTATGTAGGTTTCCTTGCCTCTCTTGACGATCACATTACTTACACCGACTTTTTAAGCCCGGTCATGAATACACCAAGGCGAATGTCAAGTTCTGTATTGCTGTCTCGCAGACCGAGCCTATTAAGAAGCTCCAGGCATTCGCGGAACAGAACAAGGAGACACAGGGTAAATTCACCATCGGTGATGAGAAGGTAATGATTGAAGAGAGTTCCAAGGTTGTTACACTAAAGCTGACAGTTTTATAGCTCCACAATGTTTTCATGCGTGTCAATGTAAGTTTCCATACCCTCCCTTCATATCTATGGATGCTCACGCAAAATATCTAGGACCCCGAGATTCAAAAGGCCACTGGCAAGACTGATCCTGTCGAAGTGATGGCTGCATTGAGAGAGATGAAGAACGCGATGTAAAAGTAAAGTCAATTGCAAATTGCAAGTCTACCCTCCATTACGTATCTTCCGATATATATTCGTATTTTCGCCCAAAGCCATTCCGAAACTAAAATACCGCCAAGACCTCATTGTAGAAAAGAAAGGGACCCTTAAGAAAGACCTTTATCCTCAATTTATTGGAAAATAAATTACCCCGGAAAATCGGGCAAACCCCGAAGAAATGGGAGATGATTTTCCATTGAGGGGCGCCGACGTCATGCCCACTTTCTTTTCGTCAACCCACCACTGCGATCAACGCACTTTATCTCAGCGATGGACAAAGCATCTACAGATGAAATAGTATGTGGCCATCAGACTAGGATGCTGCAGTGACTGATCAATGTCATCATAGAGCTATGGCGGGGCAAGCGATACGGAGGCTCAGAACCACCTGGAGGTAGGTTGCTTTGAATTCGATAACAGTTCCAAGCTAATTGTCGGTCACTGCATAGGTCGTCTTTTACCCCGACTCCAATCACCGTCGCAAATCCTCTCTCGTTACGATGGACAAACCCAAGCTCCAACCCCGCACAGACCAAGATGACAAGACGACCGCCTGCTACGTCCACTCCCTCATTGCCGGCGAATGGACCTCACCCCCTCACCATATAAAAGACACAGAGGACGTAATTCGGACCCTGAATGATGACAAGGTCGAGTCCCCCGATTTCGAGCCAGACAACGCCGTCTCGGTGGCCGAACGCGACAGCATAGAGCTCGCCAAAGTCCCACCAACAATTCTCCAATCCCGCCATCTCACCAAAAGACAGCTATCCGACATGGCCTGGAACGTGCGCAAGCTCTCCAAGAAGCTCGGCAGCATCAAGCTCAAGCTCACCGTCAAAAACGTCTTCGTCGTCTGCAAAGCACAGGACGAATCCCTCGTCAGTCTGACGCGGAAGGTCACAAAGTGGCTCCTCTCCAAAGACCGCGACTCCCAATACGTAGTCTACGTCGAGCGGCGACTGGAAACACATCCGGACTTTGGCGCGCTGCAGCTTGTACAGGACGAGCCTTCGGCGCAAGGGCGGCTGAAATACTGGGATCCCAAACTTGCGCAGGAAAAGCCGCACCTGTTTGATTTTGTGATCACGCTCGGCGGCGACGGCACCGTTCTCTACACTAGCTGGTTATTCCAGCGGATCGTGCCGCCTGTATTATCCTTTGCGCTTGGCTCGCTGGGGTTCCTGACGAACTTTGATTTCGCGGATTATCAAAAAGCCCTTGAGAATGCGCTGCGAGATGGCGTCGTTGTCAGTCTGCGATTACGGTTTGAATGCACTATAATGCGGAGCAAGGCACGGGCGAAGGATCCTTATTCGAAGACGCTAGCGGATCGCGACTTGGTTGAGGAGCTTATTGGTGAGGAGGGAGAGGATACGTTGACGCACACGCCGGATCGAGTGTATGAGATTTTGAACGATGTAGTCCTCGACCGAGGGCCGAATCCAAGTATGTGTTGAAGATGGGAGATTTGAGAGAACATACAGAGCTAACTTATCCCAGCGATGTCTCAAATCGAGCTCTTCGGCGACGACGAACACTTCACCACTCTGCTCGCTGATGGAATCTGCATTGCGACTCCAACCGGCTCAACAGCTTATAACCTCGCCGCTGGCGGGTCTCTTTCTCATCCGGAGAACCCTGTTATTCTCGTTACTGCCATTTGCGCGCATACTCTATCCTTCCGTCCGATTATCCTACCTGACACCATTGTTCTGCGCATGGGCGTGCCGTACGATGCGCGAACGAGCTCATGGGCTAGCTTTGATGGCCGCGAGAGGTATGTTTCGTATTGCATATTGCGTATAAAGGGTGCTTGACCTGTTATTGACTGACATACTCTAGGGTCGAGCTACACCCAGGCGACTATGTGACTGTCTCGGCTTCAAGGTATCCCTTTGCTAATGTCTTGCCTCCAGGTGGACAGGGCGAAGGCTGGGTTCACAGTATCTCCAAGACTTTGAATTGGAATTCGCGACAGAAGCAGAAGAGCTTCAAGTAGGCTTGCTTGGGGATCTGAATTATATCTTTTCGATTCAATCTATACTGACAGCTCATATTGTGGCGTACATCATGACATTGGAATCAAAATTTACGACAATATGACCTGGCATTGGACCACAAATTATAAGAAATTTCTTTTTTTCAATACTGTTTTTTCTTCGACAGCTATTCTATTCTAGTGATTAATAGAGATAGACTAGCTAGCTAGCATCCCAAACAAAACCCTAGCATTTGGTTTTTTTTCTTCGAAGTGGACTCTTCTAGATTTTTTTTTTCGCTAGAAACCGATGGGTCACGGTTTCCGGGGCAGCTCCGCCGCGGGTATAAAAGGCCGTCGTCCGGCCCGAAAACTTTTTCTTCTTCATCTTCCTCAACCCAACCCGAGTTGTCTAATGTGCACTTCTCTCGTTGAATTTGTTGAGCCCGACATAATAAAATCAAGAATCCTTCACTCTCTTTATCACTAACTTGGTATGTTCCGATTTTTTTTCATGTTCCAATCCAGATCAGCCAACGGCGCAAGCCGTTCGATGATGAAAAACTTCCTACATTCGCAGTTTCCACGCTAGTCATCGTTTGAACCCAATCAAGGTGGCGCTGAGCGGAATATCTTCCTTGGATGTCTGAGAACTATTTGGCTGTTCTTTTTGGATCATGATCTACTGTTGCAGTCGAGACGGTTGCTAATTGTCTCTCAGAATAGGTTTCTTTTTTCTTTGCCTTGCGCTTCAGATACGGCGGGGATATTCGATACAGAAGCTGCTGCAGTGTTAGTGTCTAGTTCTGCTATTCACGTCGCTGTGGTTGTGAGCTGGCTGTCTCTTCGAGACTTTTGGAGACTTCAATTAGATCTCGTTGAACAAGAGCTATCTGGTCAAAACAACATAGTCTAGTTTGAATATATGTCATTTTTCCACGAGTTATCTGCATCTTGTAAACTTTTTAGACAAAATTCGCATGTAAACGCATAACATTGATCTCTGCGCAAATTCTTGAATCCTGCGCTGGGGGCAGATGTGCTCCGCCGTAACGCATCCTGACCCATAACAATTCAACCTCGTCATTCCCGATACTTGAGCTTGCATACTCACATCTTAATTCCCACTACAACCATGGCGGCACCCCCTCGACATGCCACCATGCTGTCAATCAGTAATGGGACACAATCAGGGGATAGACCCCAGACACAACAAGCACAGCAAAACACACTACCCCAATCCCCCGGTCTCCGTGTACCCTCCAATCGCAAAACAATCTATGACCGGCACCTAAACCGAAGTCGCAATGCAGAGCTCAGCAGGGCAAGCTTCGCCTTTCTCTTCGGCGAGATGGTCACATACGCCCAACGCCGGGTAACAGGCATCCAAGATCTGGAGAAACGGTAAGCCAAGCCCTGAACCACCGGCATCGCCATCGTTCCACATCACACTTCCCCCAAACACGAATATACTAACGCACACCCCAGTCTAAACGAACAAGGCTACCCCCTCGGCCTCCGCCTCCTCGACCTCCTCTTCTATCGCTCAACCTCAACCTCTTCTTCCGCCCTCACAAGCTCCTCAACCTCTTCCTCACCCCCAAATCGGCCCCTCCGCATCCTAACCCTCCTCCACCTAATTCACGGACCCCTCTGGCGGCTCCTCTTCGGCCGCGCCGCAGACGCCCTCGAACACTCCGTCTCCCCAGACACCCCCAACGAGTACATGATCACCGACAACGACCCGTTAGTCAACACGTATATCAGCGTGCCGCGGGAAATGAGCATGCTCAACTGTGCGGCGTTTGTGGCGGGCGTTATCGAGGGCGTTTGTGATGGCTGTGGCTTTGAGACGAAGGTTTCGGCGCATAATCAGCCCACGGAGCTTTGGCCCAGTCGGACGGTGTTCTTGGTTCGCTTTGGCGATACGGTTATGGAGAGGGAGAAGGTGCTTGAGCGGGCGGGTGTTAAATGAGTTGTATGTTTGTGTGGCGCTCGGCGCTTGAGTGGTTGGCGGTTTCGTGGTTTGGTTATGGTTCTTTTCGTTTCGGAAAGTGCTAGTCTATGATTCAGGCTCTGGCACTCTTTTTACGAAGTCATGCAGACACAGTGCTCTCTCCCGTGATCTTGGGTTTGGAATCATGTTATGTACAAAAACTAGAAGGTCGGCTGCCAGATATCTCTGAATATAAGTCCTCCAGGAGAGGATATGCTCTATTACGTACATTCACATACCCCGAACCGTCTCGGGGTTGCAATATAGGCAGCTCAAATGCAGATATCACATAGGTGCAACTCTCCTGTGGAGCTCAAATGCCATTGAGGGATATCAAATCGGCGAAATTCACGAATCCACCCGGCGACGCTTCTCCCCATCCCCATAAGGCGACGGGCTACGCTTCCGCCTCTCCCTAGATAAACTCCTCTCGCGACCCTGATCACGATCATCGCGCCGGTCCCGCCGGGGCGATCGCGACCTAGACCGCCGCCTGGACCTCACAGCACTAGCATTCGCACCGGTAGGGCCGCGGTCGCGATCGTCGCCACGATCCGGCATAAAGCGTTCATCCGTAACGCCCTCAGGCGCCCCGTCACGCCGTCTCCGATTCTCAAGCCCATCACCGAACCGCCCCGTATCCTCCGTCTTCAAATCCCTATACCGGGTACGACCCTTCTTACCAAGCTTCGTCATATCCCGCACCTGCATATACTGAGGCAGCGTATCGCGATTGACATCATCTTCGAACCGCGCGCCCATAAGCTCCCGCCTATCGAGACCCTCGGCCTCGAGATCACCGCGGAAGAAAGCGCCCTTATGGAAATAGCGCTGCATGAAGCCCGTCTGACCGCGCGTAGCATCGCGGTCCTCTTTCTGCTTTGCGATGAATTCGCGGTCTTCGCGGTCCCGTTCTTCAGCCGTGAGATTGCGCCGGCGCTCGATCTCTTCGCGCTCTTTCTCGCTTTCTTCGATTGCTTCGCGCTCGCGCTTGACGCGCTTCAGCTCGCGCAGCTTCCATGCTGCGAGTTCTGCTTCGGGGTCTTTGCCGTCTGTGTCATCGATTGCTTCTTCGTCGTCTGCTTCGACGAGCTCGTCGTCGTCCCAGGCGCGGTTTGCGCTTGAGCGCGCGATCGCTTCTTTTTCAAGCTGGTCGCGGATTAGCTGGTCTGTTTTTTCTTGCTGCTGTGCGGCTCGCTTCGCTTCTTCTGCTTCTGCGGCGGCTTGCGCTTCTGCTTGTGTCTGGCCGGCAGACTCTTTGGTGGTGTTGCGCTTGTCTTTTTTGATGAAGGTTGGTCGAATTAGCATGCGCGGTGCTTCGTCTTCCGAGCTGCTTTCTTCTTCTGAGCTTTCTTCTTCTTCTGATTCTTCTTCGTCGCTCTCGGCTGTAGCGGGTGTCGGGATAGTCTTCGGCGCGGGTTCTAGGTCGTCTGTAGGTTGTGCGGCTTTCGGCGCCGGCGCAGATTCGTCGTAATCTTCATCGGTAACGAATCCTTCTTCTTCGTACTCCTTTTCTATTTTCTGAGCTACCGCGGCGGCGGGAAAGGAGCTTGCTTTGGGTGCTTGCTGTCTCCGACGCTGCGCCTCAATCCGCTTGCGCCGTTCCTCTTCCTTCCGCGCCTGTTCGTCGTCCTCTTCCTCCTCTTCTTCTGAGGAGTCGTCTTCTGGAACTGCCTTTCCGGGGCGGTAACGACCAGGCTTGAGGGGGTTTTTTGTCATTCCCCGGTGGGAGGAGGGTAGCGGAGGAGGCATTCTTGCTCGGTCAGTTGAGGAGAGTAGAAGGATGGGTGTTGTTGTATATTTGTGGCCTCTGAGCGCTCACCAGATTGGCTGTTGGCTCTTCCTCGGGAGATTGTAGAGGGACTGATCGGTGGTAGGGCGATGTGTTGACTTGCTCAACTGACGTCTCGGACTGAAGCTTTCACTGGAAATTGATATTTCGTCACGTGATTGTATCGATAGCTCTAAGTATACCTACATAACTAGTAGAACGTATGAAGATTGATAATGCAGATCTAGCAATTGATGTGCCTTTGATGTATTCACCCTGTCTGCTAGTATTCTAGTTATACCTACTCTTCTGACTATTTACGGGCTATCTTTCTCGTTCACCATTATCACCTACGCCATTTTATACTGTTTTATCACCACGTGATCACGCGTTTTGCGATTCGCGTCAGTCAATCTACTCCCCGCCGCTCTCCAACATCAGCCCGAAGCCACGCAATAATTTTTCTACCAATTTTTACAACAAGGGACCCCAATCCTAGTCCAAACACCGACAGATCGCAAAAATGAATACATACCAAACCCCCCGCATTCTCCCCGCACACCTCCAAGCCTTCCACCCTTCCCAAGCCGGTCAGCACACCTCATACACAGTCCGCCTCCTAGGCACTGTAACCGCGCTCTCTGGCAATGCCGGTACTCTTCAATGCGGACACACTGGCGAGGTTACACTCATCTTGACATCGAATGGGCGCTTGCAAGTCGGAAAGTTATTTGAGGTTATTGGAAAGGTTGCTGAACTAGAGAACGGACAAGTATGTTGACCACAGACTCTGAAACGATCTAGAGTCAAGTTTTGATGTGCTAATGCTTCTATCAGGGATTTGGACTCAAAGTTCTAGGCAGCGTGGAATGGGGCAACCCGGATAGTTGCGGTATGTTCTGCTCCTTTCTCGGATTTGTTGGATACTAATTCATTTGTTGAATATAGACTATAATATCTACGAACAAGTCGTCAATGCCACTCATCTCTGTACCCCCATCTTCTACGATGTGGTGCAACAGAGCGGATGAATCAAACACGCATTACAATTTTCCTTTTCCGGGGTTTTGTCTCCAATATCTCATAGTAATGATGAATTGATTATGCTAGGTTTATTGAACTTGTTACTTTCCAAAAGACAGACAAATGGACTATCTTGGGTGGGTGACACTGCCCCTTACAACCAATGCTTGATCAACATGACTAGAGCCAACGGGCTATTAATAGGGCAGCTTAGCTACTTCCGCAGCATATTCATGCATCAAAGCTATGTGCAGCAAAATCGTCCGTAGCAGAGTCTCAGTTACCCGTTACTTAGCTTTTACTTAGCCATGATATACAGAACCAGAAAATGAGAGTTTGACAAAGACGAAGTCGGTAACCGTGTTTTGTCATTAAGAAATCTCCTATCACTTGGCCAACCTAGTCAGGGAATAGACTTCGTCTAGATATATGTATACAATATTCATGCATCAGGTGCTTGTAGGAATCCAACTCCAGGGCTTACAGTGATATTGACGTGGCCATATTTTCTGGCTGGATATATAATCACACCCCAAACCCCAAACCCCAAACCTTCCGTGGTCCCATTTACCTACGTTGGATATTTACCCCCACACGAGGTGATTTTCGAGTCTCTATCCGCACAGTTAGCCCCCTAACTCTGTCGTCATACTCTGCGCTATAGGCAAATCCTTTGCCGGGTTTGGACACGGTAGCTTGCTACATACGTCTGTCCTCCATCTGTGGACGAGTGGGGGATGGTATCAACATACAACACCACTGTTTGATAGCAATTAACTTTATAGAAGCTATTGCATCAAAGAAGACAACGCATACAGTCATGTTTTATCTTCTGGGCACTTTTTCAAGATTACTTCTGAGGGTATCAATCGTTATTCTAGCTTTATTCCCACCTAGGGGGCTGTGCCAATTTATCGCGCATGGCCAAGGGGTATAGTTCTATCAATAGGAGCCTACTAAGCGCAGTGCTTGTCAATCACTAGTATAAGAGCGTGTGCAGTGCATATTACATGATGGCAGGGATGATAGACTAAGCTAGCAGATCAATGCGAGCCCAGGATCGACTGGACAGGACATTCGATTCAATAGATTTGATCTATTGGGTGATTTGAATACCATTCAGCCTAGATCATACAATGATACGATACGATACGGATGTTCGATTTAAATGGAGCAAAAACATTGGCAGTGCATGTGTGTGATCAAATCGAGGCGCACCATTGGCCGTAGACCTATTATTCGGACGTGATGATTGGCCGTTGACGATGCGATCTGAGTCGGCGTCAAAGCAAGTACGAAAGGTTTCTTCAGCGCCACGAAACCTATAAAGAGCCCCATCACGTGCTTTTCCTCTTTCGCTCCTCCATCTCTTTCAGTTCCTCAGCCATGGCTTTCCGTTGCGATACTTGCAAGAAGGCTTTCCGCAACCGCGGACCATGCGAACAGCACATGGCCACCCTGGGACATAAACTTCCGCAAATCAAATGCCAAGGCTGCATTAGTATGTTCAATAGCCAGGAGAATGTTGAGGCACACATGGATGAACGCAATCACTGGCTTTGGACCTGCAAGGAGTGCGGAGAACACTTTGACACCTCTCTCTACCTGGAAATGGTATGTTAAAACAAACTTCTTTTTTATATCATGAGACATGCTGACCTCATACAGCATCTGGCGTCCAATGTGCACCGCCCCCATCACCATGAGTGCCCTTTCTGCTTTGAAAGCTTCGTCACTCCTTCGGCCGTTGTGCACCACCTTGAGAGCACTTGCTGTGAGGTTGCCGACTGGTTGGACATCAAGCATCTGTTTGGGCTCATCAAGGATCTCGACCCAGACAACCTCCTCACCATTCGTGGTGCTGCCCCTAAGGAGAAAGAGAAGAACCCGCCAATCCGCTTCAACGGCAAGCGATTCCAATGTCACCGCTGTGACAGATCCTTCATGCGCCAGGCCGGTCTTGAGGCCCATCACGAATCGCCATTCCATGATGAGCGGCTCTATCACTGTTTGAACTGCACGGAGAACTGCGGAAAAGAATTCGTCTCACTTGCCGCTCTGTTCAACCATCTTGAGAGTGAATCCTGTGGCATCATGTGGTTTGAGGATCTTGAGCATCTCCACAATCAGCTCAAGCGCGCAATCCTCTGCAAGCACATCATCACTCCCGCAACACTTGCCGTCTAAGTCTTGCCGTCTTTCCTGGAGGTTGATAACCCAATTTGGGAAATGGATATTGATCAGCTTGTTCTTGTCCCTGGTGTTTGGCGTTGGAATGGACAATAACTTAATACAAATTTGCCTTTCTTGATGATTTCAATGTTCCCGATGTTGTAGGCTTCAAAGTACGATTTGTCATAAGTTCTAAAGCTTACGCCTGTAGTACGCATTTTATAGGGTTTCTCGGTCACGTGCACCGCCCGAACTACAATAACTTTTTCATAATCCTCTTTATGTCCTGTATTTAGTCTGTAGGTTTATTTCAATCTTGACCGTTCAATCGCGTCAATAATCTTGTTCTCTGTTCTTTTTAGAAACACCTAAATGACACAAAGGTGATGTATAACTGAGATTTTGCGATGGATTGCGTTGCTGCACGTGGCTTGCTGCACATAGCCTTCCTACATACGGCATTGATTGAGAATATGCAGATTAGCTCTAAGAAGCTCCGTTCTACTTAGGTATTCTAAAACTAACATGAATGATAACATTTTCTGATACGTGTTCTAGAACCTGGCAATCGAACTTTCGCGAGAATTACCAAGAAGGAAACCCGTATAAACATTCTGTCGGCCTCCTCAGGGCTGTATCTAGGGCTTTTTTTAAATTGTTTCGAGTAATCACTATATTTGACAAGGTGAATTAGATTGCCTAGTGCCGAGAAATGCCTGGCAGGGTGATTAGTAGTTGAGAGCAGGGTGATTCATATAGCATCTAGTTAGTAGGTTTAGCAATTGGAAGCTTCTATTTTTGCGGTTCTCAAAGTAAGCGTATGGTTTTATTCCAGTTCATTGAAGTTTCCTTGTGAATTTCTTCTGCGCTGCCTTTGTGTTGCCTTTTGGGGTGTTTCTCAAAGGGTCTTTCTAATGGTCTTTCCAAAACAGCCAAGGATATTACGGAGTATGATCAATATGTAAATCTTTTGAATGTATTCTTTCGTAAAGCTATCTAGGATTATTGATCCCATAATAAGCACATAGACATGGATCAGTGCAGTGTAGTAGAATTGTATCGAGGCGACTCAGTCTTTCATCAGTTGTGACAAGTAAGAAAAGGGCATAAATCTGCAAAATGAAAAGGGAACTGGTGCTTTATGCAACAAATGAAATCCCACAATCGAACGCCGACGCTAAAGAACAGCAAGAAAAACAAAACAAGAGTTTAAATAGGAGAGGTAGCTTCGGTGTCTTTGCTGGACTGCGCTTTCGGTGCTTCGGGAAGAGCGTCGGAACTGAAGAATCCGGAGTCGGGGACGATTATGTCGTCAAAGTTGAAAGGGAGGAGTTCGGAGTTGAACTCTTTTTGATTGGGATCAGAGAAGAGAACGCTTAGGAGCTCCTCGGCTGGATGATTGTCCGGTGTTTCGACTGAGGGGACGTAGTCGGTTGGGAGCCAGTCAGCCCAGTTTTCGCCGGCGAATTTGGCGCTCTCCAGCTCGAAATTAGGCCGGTCGTTTTCATCAAAAATATCGAGGATCATGCCGTCGATAGATTCGACGGATGTAGGAAGGATACCCTCTACATCATCAGTCTTGGCTTCGGGTTTGGCCGGAGACTTGTGTGGCCGAGGTGAGCGTTGTTGCAGTGCTTGGATGCGCTGTAGGCGCTCTGCCGTCAGTCGGGCCGGGGTCATGACCGGCATATCCTTGCGCTTCTTCGAGCCCGGCGTAGCTGCGATCAAGGTGCGTCTTTCAATCGCGTTGATACGCGGGTTGCGGCGGCGAGGGGTCGGGCTTGCCGAGTCGAAACCGACGGAAGGACTCTCAAACAAGTCATCGAGGTCATCGTGTGAAGTAGGCGCGATGTTCTCCTTTTGAGTCGGCTTGTCATCCTTTGCTGAGGCAATACGCGGACTGCGACGGGGAGAGCAGCTATTTACCATGGAGGCATCGAGGTCCTTCATAGGACCAGGACCTTCTCTCTGGCTATCTTGGAAGAGCGATCTTCGCACAGACTTTGGAGTGACGCTGTTGGCTGCTGAACTGGCCCGCGCTTGTGGACGTCTCACGGGGCTTGACTTGGTAGCACGTATCAAGGCTTCTCTGGCGTCCAATTTCGACCACCGACGTCCTGGCGTGACGGTCGACGGGTGCGGTTCCTCACTAGCAGACAACTCTTCCGTCGTGACCCGAGAGCGATCATCGGGCGTAGCACCTGCTTCATCCTCGTCATCCTGGTCATCATCTAGGCGGGGAGTGTCTCCCTCAGGATGCACCGACGACATATCGGTAGGTGCCGGAGAAGAAGCCGCACCGGTCTCTGCCAGCGCCGCCTTCTTCGGAGCTGCCTTGCTGCGAGTTCGGGAAGCAGGACAGGCATTAAGCGGGCCATTCGCGCGGGTCCTTGAGGGCCGCTTCTTGGTTTTCTGAGCGGCCTGCTTTCCTCCTGACTTTGTCCACATATTTTCTGGACGCATGTTCTTGAATTTGTGAAGCCAAAGGCCACAGGGGTTACATAGCAGCACTTGGCTGAACGATTCATCATCGAACTCAGCGTTCTTCTTTAGAATCCGGAATCTCCGAACCTCATTTTTGTCGTTTCGCTCCACAGCCTCCCAATAGAGCATTTGGGGAGTACGCATCATCGATTCTGCGAGTTCTCCGCTGCCATCCATTTCCTTTACCCAGGCTCGACGCCAGCTTGGAGTTTCAATCGAGCCACAGTTTTCGCAATAGGGTGGAACGACGCCATTTGCGATAGCGTTGTCCAAGCGGGCTTTGATATGGTTTGGTTTCATATTGGGGCCTTTGGTGGCCTTCGGCTTCGCTGGTTGCTTCATTTGTTGAGAGTTGGGACTAGCTGTATCACATGGCAGAAATGTGATATCCGCAGACGCGGCAAGAGGTGTAGGTTCAATCGAAGTGGGAATGATAGGATCGCTAGCAGTGATTGTGTGGTAGTGTTGGGGAACACCATTTGAGAAGAATTGTGGCGCCGGTGCAAGTGCAAGGGGCTTTGGTGCGATGCGCTGCGCTCCAGAACTCGAAGAAGGTCTCGGGCGGGGAGCTATGGGTGGGCGGGATGGGGCACGAGACTTTGCTGGACCAGAGTTGGCACGAGCCAGCTGTCGTGGTGCTTGCGGTGCAGGCTGCTCGGATATAGTCTCATCGACTGTTAAAGGATCGTTAGATGTTCTTTGGGCGGCACTGACAGTGCTAACTGGGGAACTTGGCTGCACAGCGTTGCGAACAGAGCGTTTATCCTTGGACGTTCTGTTGTTGTCCAAAGTAACGGTTTCGTCATTCAGCAGTTCGTCCAATCCTGCGCTCATGAAACCAGAGTCGTTGTCCAGAGTCATGGTAGGCAAGACAGGGCTTGATCTGTTGGGCAACCGACCATCAAAGACTGGGGGCGATGATGGCATGTTATAGGACTGTTCAAAGAGTCCTTGGTAACGAGTATCTTCGGGGGATGGACCAGCAGCATCTGTGGTAAGGATTTCATCGCTCATAGTGTAGGGGGAGGCATAAGAATCAGGACACGAAACGACACTAGTAGTTGATGACTCTCGCAATAGACTACCGGTGGGACGGCTGCGACGAGGGAAATCGGAAGGACGAGACATAGGCGTGGGTGGGCGAACAGGCTCCTCGTGCGAATGTTCGGCGGCGAGGGCAGGATTGACGGGAGTTGGGCGGTGGATTCGAACAGAGGCTGCCGTACTAGCTGCTACTCGGAGGGAACTTGGCTGTCTTTCGATATTCGCTCCCGATTTTCCAGGCCAGCTAGCTTGGTACAGCTTAGCCCTCTTCCGTGGCGGGGCCTCAGTAGACTCCTCATCACCACTGCCGTATCCTGACTGTATTGACCCTCTTCGGGGGTTGTTGTGTGATAATTGGGTCTGGTTATCGCAATCCCGCATAGAGGCACTAGACGATGGACGAATCATGTCACTGTGAGGAATGCTTTGCTTGTGGTGGTACGATTGGTAATGTGCCGGTGTTGAGACTCCACTGGCAGCATATGAATGTGAGGGTGAGGCTGAGCGAACTGAGGCATTAGACGGGAAGGAGGCGAATTCCCGTGGTGTTGAACCTTCACTTAGAAGTTGGTGGAACCTTTCAATACCCGATTGGTTCATTGGAGAACCAACACGCTCATTATATCCTTGGCTTCTCTGCTCCAACAAGGCGGGGTTTTGGCGAATGAAATTTGTCCATGATTGCGTATCAAAGTCGGGTTGCGTGGCGGTTGGAACGGGTACTAAGCGAAGTTTGACTTCAAGGGTCTCTTGAGCGCCTTTGGAAAAGAGACCGCTAAGGGGATTCTTGCAGACTCGGCCGGTGATCATGGTCTTGGAGACGGAAGCCTCAGTCGAGGAGGAATTGGCCAGCACCCATGAGAGCATGCCTTGTCCGACAAGTGGGGTTTCAAGTTCGGAGTAGTCGTAAGCGTACACGGTGTAATCCTTTCCTGGTTGTCCGACAAGTTCGGGGCTGAATGATACATATAAGCATTTTCTTTTTTGTGTAGTAGGAAAAAACAAACCTAGCAGAGACAATTGCCTGAATGCATGTTTTGAATTCGATTACTCCAACCGGAGTGTTCTCATCCAGATATGCAGTCTGGATGTCGAGCATGTGCGGCCATCGAGCTAGGCAATTGGTCTTGTTTTCGTTGTCGAATGTATAAAGAACTTTCACTGTAAGATGAATTCGTTTAGTCCCAGCTCAATCCATTCCAGTAAAACGGTGGGTAACATACGCCTCATAGGGCGGACATCGATACCATCCGGAGAGTCCATCCCAACAGACTTTGTTTGCTCACCATGCAAGATGGTGAATCAAAGTCTAGAGGCGAGATGTAGGTGAAAGGTTCAGAGGGGCACAAGGGTGAGGCTCTGGGGCATGAGACTCGAGCGTCTAAGATTTGTGACAGGTAGAATTTTTCAGGTGGGATATCGAGGGGGAATGAACAAGGAGTGGGCAGATTGTAATTGTCGAGAGCGGCTTCTCAAGTAGGATCGGAATGGAAGAAAAGGTAGCGAGCCGGAGATCAGCGGTACATATCTAGGATCTCGTCGGCCGGGAGAATGGCGGTTATGCAGGAGTTGGTGGAGGGGCCTTTTTCTGCAAGTCTGGAATGTTAGCAATTTAATTGACATGTCCTGTAGGCAAAGCCCAGGCGCTAAAAGAGAAAAAAAAGATAGACCGCTTCTTACCAAGTATTGATTAAAGAGAGAAAGGCAATAATTACTCCACTAGCTCTGCATAAACCAAAAAAATGGGAGGGAAGGGAGGTTAAGTAAGGTTAAAGTGAGAAGCCTTGCATGCGCGGTTGGAAGCTATCTCGAAGATCTCCAAACAACCGTGACGCGACGTGACCGGAGCCAATCGCGACCTCGGGAAATGGCTGGGAATCGGTGCATTGATGCCTTGTACTTTAGGTGTCTAAATTTCATTTTCTCAGGCTTCAACTCTTCACCACGTGACTGGAGCTATCCGGCCAACTTCAACGACAGACACTGCGACATCACGGCATTTTCGACTTTCACGCCCTTTTTATATCCACCATGTCTACAGCTCCTGATCCCAAGATCCAGTATGTTACTCTATCAATGACTCATAATTCGGAAGACCAATCCGCTAACCCGAACAGAGACCTGCTCAACAAGCCAAAGAGCGAGCTCACGTAGGTCCAACCCATCAGATCTTTACCACCATCCCTTCCCATGCGAGCACTCAATCTGAGTAATCACCAATCCCTCTCTGTTTCTGCCTGATCGGAGTGAGCGGGGTTGTCCACGACGCCCACATCTCGGAGACTTTTCGCGACCGACATCCCCCGTCACATTATGCAAGCTGCGCAAAGCAAAATTGGACAAGAAAAAAACAAAGAAAAAGCTAATCATGCATCTCGCATTACAGGGAATATGAGGTCGCTCTCGTTGAGGAGCACGAGCTCACCGCCGGCCCGCTGTCGCTCCTACAGACCGCCACCCGCTCGCACACCCAGGTCCTGATTTCGTGCCGTAACAACCGCAAGCTGCTGGCCCGTGTCAAGGCCTTCGATCGCCACTGCAACATGGTCCTCGAGAACGTGAAGGAGATGTGGACCGAGAAGCCCAAGGGCGGCAAGGGCAAGGGCGTGAACAAGGATCGCTTCATCAGCAAGATGTACGTTCCCCGACTGCGACTAGAGATCTTCTTCCCCTCTTGTTTTGTCGTTCCACCTCTAATCTGCTCTTATCTAGGTTCCTGCGCGGCGACTCTGTCATCCTCGTTCTGCTCAGCTGAACTCGTCCTCCCTCCCCCCGCACACCATCATCCCGCCCAGGTTACATGATTCTGGGATCTCAAATCTGCAATCTACGGGATACTTGCACAGTACCTCGGGCCCACGAAAAACCCCGTGGGCATCTACGAGTCATCATGTCATCGATCTCGATACCCTTTTTTTCTGCTTCCCCTCCCGTCTTTTCTCCCTTGCTTCTGGCCCCGCCAGAACGATTACTCAATACTACCTCTACTGCCTTGATTGACATGCTTTCTCTCAAAGTCACCGTTGCATGCAGATGAGACTTTGGGTTGATCTTTTCTTGTTTTCAAACTGGGGTGGATTAAAAAACCTTCGGCGTTCACTTGCGCGGGCTGCTTGTCCCGTTGTTTTATGTAGAGGGCATCCTTGGCCGGCGTCACCTTGGAGCAAAGCTAAAGCTGGCTAGCAATGGATCTCATGGAAAGAACTGGGTCATATCTTGTAATATGTTCGCATCTAGGATGATTATTAGTGGCCTTGTGGGAATAGTCGTTCCACGACAATGTAGTCTCCCTACTTCACCGTAAGCTTCAGATGTCTCACCCCTGCATGTAAGAACCCTACTACCTAGCAGGTCAAAGCTCTGGGCCAATATGGTGGGGTTACATTCTGCTCGACAAATGTAAAACATGAGAGCATATATACCTCAACTTTGGATATCTCTCCCTTATGCATATCAGAATCATATTTATTACGAAGCCAAAGACACAAAACAATCAAACAAAACCTCCATAGATATTCCAATCTAAAATGCCAAATAAGCATTGAGGACGAGGTAGGCACCCAAAAAGCATCATTATCATAAACCTAGGCCATCAACCAAACACGACGATGATAAAGGAAAGGAACCCAGCAAATCGCTATGTAAACAACCCCCCAACCAACCCATTCCCATCCCCATCCACCTAAATAGCCTCCGCCATCCCACTCAAAAACTCCGACAACCCATAAGCCCCAGGATCAGGAATCTTCCCAACCCACTCCCCCTCCCCACCAACATAAACACTCCTCCCCAGCGAAGCCTTCATAGCCTTCGTCTCCTCCGTCCCCATCTGCGCCGCAGCAGCAGCAACCTTCACCTCACCAGTCTCAGCAAGCGTCTCAACGAACGGATCAAGCGCATCAACAAGCGTCCGATCCCCCCGCTTGGCAGGCGTATACTTCGCCAGCGCAGACACTGCAGACTGCAGCGCTGTCGCCCAGATCCCCGCCGTGACGGGCGTCGGCGCGTCGCCGTCTTGCGCACGCAACCCGTGCGCTAGCGCGTTCAGGAAGATCGCGTAGATCGCGCCGGACGTCCCGTCCATTACGTTTTCTACCACGCTGACGATCCGCGCGAGTGTCGCTACCACGTCGCTGGTTAGCGGTGTGGATGGGTCGTTGAGTAAGGCGAGGATCGCTTCTGCGCCTCGCGCGAGCCCGATCCCGCAGTCGCCGTCGCCGACTATCGTGTCGAAGCGGGTTACGTCGGGCTCTGCGCGGATTACCCGTGTTAGGCCGCCGGTTAGGACTTTTTTGAGGATGGATGGGTCGACTGTGGGTTGTTAGTTTGGTTTACCAATGGTTGGGGGAGGGAGGGTTGGATGGGGTACGTACGCTGGAGGTTGCTGTGAATGTCTTCGACTAGGTTTGAGGTTTTTAGTTCGACGGGGTTGTTGATGCGGTTATCCCATGTGGAGCTTGGGATTGGGGCGGACCAGCCGACTGCCTGGGCGGGGGCGTCGAGGAGCTCGAGCATGGACTTTCCCGGGCCGAAGCCTGGATCGACGAGCTTCATTAAAGAGATGCTGAAGCCGAGCCCGTTCAGGCTGGTGAGGAACGTGCCTTGGATTACGCGCACCATGTTGACTTGGTAGTCGCGCTGGAGCTGGCGGTGGACTTCGTCGGTGATACCGGCTAATTCAAGGGGGCTCACGCCGCCCAGGTTGTTGATTAGCAGGACGAACTTGTCCTCCGGTTTGCGGGTCACGTAGCAGCGGTCTGGGTCGTTGTGGTCGAGGAGCTGGAGGAGCATGGATTCGACTAGCTCGACTAGGTTGAATTTCACGCGGTGTGAGCCTGGCTCGTTGTGGATGCCCATGCCGACTTCAACTTCGCCATGGGGGATTGTGTCTTCCGGGACGCCACGGCCTGGGACGTGGACGTGCTCCAATGAAGAACCCAGTGAGACGAGGTTTGCATTGGCTAGCTGGGCCAGAGCGTAAACTTCTTCCAGAGAACCACTGCAGGATATTAGTTAAGAGGTTCCGTGAATACGTTGTACTGTGTTGACAACATACCCAGCTTCAGCTAAAGCACCAACCATCTTCAAAATCAAGACACCACCACCAATACCGCGACGACCGACCTTACCACCCTTGACACGGCCGACACCGACATCATCATTGATAGCAAAAAACTCAGTCTGGATACCAGCAGCGCGAGACTTCTCCGCCGCCATACCGAAGTTCAGCACATCGCCGGTATAGTTCATTGGAATAATAAGAACACCATGTTCAGTAGGGACGCGATCTATAACCGCGCGACGGATCTGTTCAGCGGATGGCGAAGCAAAGATCGTACCAGCGACCGAGGCATCGCAAAGACCATGGCCGACAAACCCCGCGAACGCGGGTTCGTGGCCGGAGCCGCCGCCGGTCACGATGGAAACCTTGTTTGGATTGCGGGGTGCATCTGGGCGGCGGAAGACAATTTTATTTTCTTTGTCTAGTGCCAGCGAGGGGTTTGTGAGAGTGAGCGAGTTGAGGGCTGTTAGGACCAGGTGGTTTGGGTCGGTGAAGAAGTGTTTGGCTGTGAGGATCAGATCGTGTGTACTTGTGTGAGTGGAGAAGTTGGTCCGGTGTGGAACTCACTCTGCATTGTTGATCTCGACTTTTGTGGAGTTTCCAATGTTTCGAATGTTTTGTAGATCAATTTTATATAGATCGAAGTATCTCAAATAATTTTGGGGGAGGTCGTCTCAATTAAATGTTTCAATCCAGTCTACGTCTGGATCGTCCTAAGCGTGATGGAGGGAAGACTTCGCGCCAATCGGCTGTGTTTGTTGCTGTCAGGAGGCTCCCAAGAATTGTTAATGAGGTTCGGATTCGAATCAATCTCTCGGATTGGACTTGGATCGTGATTGAGGGGAAAAAGTGGGTTGAGTTTCTCTGTCAAGTCTCTAGTCAGTGGGATGATCATGGGAGTACTTGTAGTGAAGTACTAGTATTGCAGTACTCAATGTACCCCCATACTAGCATAGACTAGCATAGACCGGCATTGTTCCAAGTTCCAAGTTCTGACGACTTCAAACCCTTGAAAACACGGAAGATCTGTTGGGTAAGACTCACGTTATACAAGTGGCGAGTAGTTGTAGAAGTCACAAGTTGAAGTTCAACAACCCCCATCGCAAGAGGACATCTTTCCCTCTTTATGGCATCTCCCTAGTCATTTTTCTTTTTCAATGCAATTCCCTTTTCCGCTTTTTTTCCTGCTCACATGAACATCGTGATCCTTGACGGTCTGGATCTGCGGTTCGGATTACCATCTAGGGAAATCCCGCCAGGCACCGCATTCCAGAAGAGGCGCTTTCTATCGTCCGAGTGAACTTCTGGCCGGGAACATTCCTGGAAGACATGCATGACTCCGTACAACTGGGCAATATTGTACAGTAGAATTATTGTAAGCTCTGTGAAATGTCTACGATATTCTCAAACTGCACGTTGGTCCACTCTCTGACTTTTGTTTAGGGACATCATTGTAGCTCAATCTAGTAGGTTTGCCGGCAATTCCTAGTGTGCACCTACCACCTCTTACTTGGGAGCTTTCTTTGTGTGTGAACGTATATTGAGGCTATGAGATGGTGTCCGTTGTATCAAGGAACGGTATATAGTGTCTGTAGCCAATTGATATACTGCAATTGACTATAATGATCATTCCGTTAGACTAAAGAACAATTCCATTACAATTGCCACCGAGGCGAACATTCACAGACTGGGATACCGCAATTCTAAGTGGAGTCAAATAGACATCATGAGACCTGCAAAAAAAACGAAGCGATCTACGAAGGGGTTGGGGGTCCCCAATATTCGGGGATCTGCTGTCAGATCCAGGGGTGTGTGGAGTATACGTACTTATGTACAATACTGTAGTACTATTATTATAGTACCTGATGCTGTGCAATGCTGGAGCCCCCCGAGGTCATGGGATATTTCTGTTGATATATCATATTCCAGACGTTCAAACTATTTTATGCTATTAGATCTGAATGGGGCATTCAACAGTTCCCTACGTATAGGGATGTCCATTGACTAGTTACTTTACACCGAATTTGCGAGAACACGTAGCTACTATATAGTCACGTTGTTTGTATCAATTTCGATACGTTCTACATGGCACATACGTACGTTTATATCGAAATGTCATAGAGGCATTCAATTTGATACGAATTCATACCCCTCATAGAGAGTGGCACGGAATTCCCCTTTCGTCTACCCCTCCATACCTATACGAGCTCTGCCGTGCTGTAGTATTTTAATACTGAAAAGGTGCCAATTTGAACATCGGCACTGGCCGAGGTCCTGCTCGGCACCTATGCACTGAATAATTATTCAAAGTGGCTTGGGACCGGAGCTTCTCCGACCCTTCTTCCATTTACTCTATGGGGTACATGGGATGATTCTACGTGGAGCATCCCAATTATCCATTACTTCAGGTATCAACATAATCTCAATTAATCAATGTCGCATTGGAACTATCGAACAAGACCATTCTGACCCAGGACGCATAAAGACTAAATCCAACCACCAGAAACGCAAGCCGCGGCTTGTTGAAAAGGATAAAATAACCCCACCGAAACAAGTAATCCCATGCACCAAACCAGAAGAAACATGCACGTGGAGAACTCGGTGAAAGCATCGAAAATGTTCATGCAACGTAACTGTACTGATTGGAGTCACCTTTGCGCTCGATGTAATCCTTCTCGATCAGCCTAGACGCACGTTAGCCAATGGCACACACCAGGAACCTTGCGAATCTAGATAGTTATACATACCTCTCAATATTGGTCTTGATCTCTGCAGGCTGCAGAACACCCAGTCGCTTCGTGGCAGTGATCACCTCTGCGATTAGCTCGGCATGGCTGATGACTTTGCGGCTCTTCATGATGCGCACGATCGCGGCCTGCGTCTCGAAGTGGCGGTCGGCGGCGACTCGCTCGTGCGTGGTCTTCGTTTCTTCTTTCGTTTCTTTCAGTTGGATCTGGTTGATCTTGATGCGCTTCTGTTTGTCTTTGAAGTCGGCATTGAACGAGAATGTGTCGGTGGTGTTGACGTCTTTGCCCTTGGGGGATTTGAGGAGCACTTTGTATTTGGCGCATGCGAGCGACTGGAGGGTTCGCTTTAATTCAGGGTCCGCTGGGATTCTGTTAGTTTGTTTCATCGCCACTGCTGTGTTGGCTGGTTCGCTGATCATCATCACTTACAAAGCCCGGTCGCTTCTGAGAGCTGCGAGTAGGTCAGGCTTTCGCCGTCGGGGATGTCGTTGAAGAGCAGCAGGACGATGGCTTGGAACGAACTGACTACCAGCTGCTTCTTTTCGTCGCCGAAGGTTGCGGTCAGTTGGCAATGAGCCAATTGATGCTTCCAGGAGAGCCTGCGCCCCGTGCGCTTGGTGTGGTAGAACTCTTCGAATCTCTTGATGGCGCGTGCAATCTTCGCTGGGATGCGCACGGGGACATCGGGGTATGTAGGCCATGCCGCGGCTGACAGTACGCTGACTTCAAATTCAATGGACCGAGTCTTCCGCGCCTCTGACTGCGATTGCCTGAAGGCTATCATTTCTTCCGCGGCCGTCTCGATGTCATTGAACATTGACTCGAGGTTGTGAGTAAAGCTTGAACCGCATTCTAGTCATATGTTAGAAAAAAGCGCCCAACAAGGGGATATTAATCTGACAAACCATTTTTCAAACGAGCCAGCATGCTCTTCTCGGCATCATTGCTGGCACTCCGCTTCATCAAGAGGCGACGGGCAAGATCGTTTTTGTAAAAGGCTTCGAAAACAGCCTTGCCTTGGACAAATCGGAAGAGATCAAGCACTTGGTCCAGCTGTCGGTCCAACTCTGCATCATCAGAGATCAAATTTACTTCCTCGGGATTGCGACCAGGCGGCAGCTTGTATCCGCCCTTAAGGAGTCTGTCAACGTATTTGGCGATCATTTCACCTGACTTGGGGTTGTCTGTGTCACCTGTGGACTCCATCTTCTTTCCGGTGTTCATAAAAGTAGCAAAGGCCTCACGAAGCGCGTGCCCCAGGTCTTCATTTGAGCCAAAAGCGTTGGCCCAAATATCATCGACTTTTTGTTTGAATTGAAGTAAATGAACAACCATGTCGGATTCCTTCTCTTGGTCGAACACAATTGCTTCTCCTTCTTGGATGATGTAGTTCTTGAATGCAGACTTCAACTCGAGGCCAGCGCCTCGGCGATCAAGCAGACCGATGAGTTGCTTCAAGACAGGCTTATCTCCAGCTCGCAGCAGGCCAATCACATCAGCTTCATTGGTCAATAGATCCTTTTTATTTGTGACCAACGTCTGATCCAGAAGCTCGGATAGCTTGATCTTTGTGCTGCGATTGAAAGCGAACATTTCGCACCGTTCAAGTTCATTCTCGATCAGTCTGTGGGAATGCTTCACGTATGTTTCCAGAGAACCTGCGGCTTCGTCTTGAGACCAGGCCAGGAGGAACTGCTTAGTGTGGGCGATGAATGCAGGCTCAAAGTCACTGCCATAGACATCAAGGTTGTGAAGAAGCTCCATGACGTCTCTCAGTAGATCGGAGTCCGGAACTGAGCCTGCGCGATCAGCAGCTATTAAGTTATATGTACCATCCAAAATCTTAGGCTTCAAGATAGCGTCAGCGAAGACATATGATCGGAACTGAATCAATCCCATTTCACGGATCATCGGGTATTCTTTAGAGTGCAGAAGGAAAGACTGGTCGAGATAGTAAAAGATCCAGCGAACAGTAACCTTGGGGTAAAACGTGGTCAGCGGTGAAGTACAAGTTCGGAGATATCGTTTCTTTCACGTACTAGTTTCTTGTGCCAGGATGACCATGCCTCCATGACCGCTCGCAAAGTCTCGACCTCAGAGCTACCCTTGGCCTTTTCAACGAGAGCCCGACGCATATTGCCATTCACAAACTCTTTGCACCGATGCTGAAGCTTCTTCGCCAACAGATCTGCCCGCTCCTGTCGGCAAACGTTCTCTCCACCTTTGTACAACTCCTCCAGTGAAATTTCCGGCATCTTGCCATCAAAGATGGCGGTCAAAGCTGCGTCAAGCTGGGCCCATACCTTATCGAAGTATGAATCCTGATCAAGACGAGGTTCTTTTCGAAGATTCCGGACAACCAGCTTTCTCGCGCCAGTGTAAGGAGTGAAATTATTCGGACGACCATTCGAATTCAAGCCCGGAAATCCCGCCGCCGAATCGGACACACCCCGGCCAAACGCGCCGTTGTTAGGCGGGGCCCCGGAATTCGGATGCATCTTATGTGAGGTGGCCGTTTGGGGAGAATCGGATAGGCGGAGTCGTTTGCGGGACTGTGGGTGAGTCGGTTCAGGCGTTTTCCTCTCGGAAAGAAGCTCGTTGATGGTCTGGGATCGCGGCTGCGATGGCTCTCCTTGATCAGAAAGCTTTCTTTTGCCGATCGACTGGCGCTTACCGCTCCTCTTCTCGGTGTCGCCGCTCGAGTTTTGTTGCATCTACCCGGTTCAGCCCAATGGGGATGAAACTTTTAGCGGTAGATGGTTGAACGGAGCATGACAAGCGTGGAAGATGCTGAGGGGAATTGACATGGTTCAACTTGGCCGGAGTTTGGCGATAAGATACAGACCGATAAGCATTATCGGGCTCAACCTTGGAACCCGTGGACCTATTCCGTACATTCATTCAACTACAAGTATGTATGTTTATACACAAGCAACAATGAATTACTGAGAGGCTCGCTACATCAAATAGCATCACTCCTGTGATTCCAGACATCCTTTGTGTCTTCATCCTGTTTTATTGACATCCAAGCCACAATTCAGTAGAAACTCCCAAGAAGCCCTAGACTTGGCCGCTTCGACTGTTTAGTATCTAATGTAGGCCTTCTTTGAATGCAGAGATTCCATAACGGGGATATTGTTGTTGCTGACGGCTTCCTCAAGGCCACGAGCCAATCACCATTTCCTTCGTTCCTCACTATTTATTCACTCCTCGAATTCGTGGTAGGGGTCGAGGACCCCAATATAAAGACACCACGGTGATCATATATAGACTATTCTAAGAGATGGGGCTGTGGAAAGCGATATGATGTTCAGGATTGCAATTTACCAATATGATTGCAAAAATAGATATAGACATCCGGGCATGGCAGGGTAACGTTCATCATCAGTTAACATATTCAAATAATGCAACGCTGGTAAGTACACGATCATCAAGATATTTATCCACAATGTTCTGTTTTTGTCATTTGAATGGTATGTAAGCGCATGAAAACCATAAGCAGGGCGTGAACTCGTCGAAAAAAACCAATCAATCAACGCGCGGAGGACTCCTCGACTTCTTGCCCATTGGACTGGCGCTCGTTCTGTGAAAACTAGGTCAATCTTTGTCTCATTTGCAGCCAGATTTATAAAAATCAATAAAAAACATACGATCGTCGGCGCTCGCCCTCTTTCCTAAACCCTTCGATAATCTTAGCCATCTCTTTGCGCGAGGCATTCGCGTCGATTTTACGGCCTCCGAGACTCATACTCACCTTCTCATGCGCACTGGCCATCAATAGCCGCTTCATGAGGAGGTGGCGCATGTTCACGCACACAAACACACCGCAGTCACTGCCGCCTTCTTGTTGGGGCGAGTCGTTCAAATGCAGAAACCTGATTGGCATGTTTAAGAGGTATCCGAATTTGCGGGTGACTGTGTCCGCCTCCCAGACATTGCCTTGGTATAGAGAGTCATAGTGGAAGGCGATGCGGTCGACGACCGAGATCAGGAGAAGTGACCAGTGTGTGCCGCCTTCTGCTTGGCTGACGTTGCGGCAGTCGTTGATTGGGAGGAAGACGTGGCTGGCGCGGCTGAAGTCTGGGAGTGCTTCGCGCAGAGTGCGTGGGTCGGGGGTTTGTAGGATCATGAACGACATGCTAGGGCGGAGGAGGATGATGTTGGAGGACTTGTATCGGGTGAGGAATTCGTGTTCGAGGTACCTAGAAGAAAAGGTCGAGCATCAGTGCCATGTTCGGTGTTGTATGTGGCTCGAGCCGACTTACTCCTCCCAAAATGAAATGATCTGTACATGTATTAGCTCAGGTGTCCCATCAGGGGGAATATCTCGGTATCAAACCCACATTGTCTGTGAGCCAGTCGTTTTTGAGGGTTTGCATGTCCTCTATAGTTACTGCCGATTCGTTAGTCGTATGTTTTTTTTGGACCAGAACCAAATTCGCTTTTGAGGGGCTGCTTCCATACATCGTACGTCATAATCTATTATCACCCGAAAACTGCCTGTAAGCATGCTGTGCGCAGATCACCAGGCTCATATACGAGAGACTCACAGCTCAAAAAAGCATCGTCTGGGTTCAGCTGCGCGAATCAGTAATTGCATGGCGCGAGCGAATCTCGAACCCGGATCCAGCACTCACCTTTTCGCCGAACCGTCCGCGGACCTTGCGCAACATGATGAGGGTGTATGCTGGATAGAATGGGATCAAAAAAAGCTACGACCGAATCGCTCAAATATGCATGCGAGAAAGATGTACACTGCGCCACAGACAATAACGCGCAACACTTGCCGGCTCTTAATATAGCCAAGGCAAACTAGGCTCCACAGATAGCGGCTCAGAAGCGAACGTTGTAGATCTCGCTGCAAAACCTTCACTGGGGCCCCGCGCAAGATGATAAATAGATTGCAGTGGCTCAATACAAAGTGGCGAGCAAATGTAGCGGCAAAATGTGTCGGCTGTGACCCAAATGGACTCGAGGAGTGGATTCGAGCGACGTCCGCCGTTTCTGCGCTGGCGGAGTGGAAGTGGGACCGATCAGGACCTCGGGATTGGGCGGCGCTTCGGAGGGGAAGACCGTCAAGCCTTAAACTATATAAGTGGCGAGGGTGACAGAGGGATGAAGGGCCGTGCTGGATGTGGGCTATCAGGTCGTTTCAATGGTGCATTCTGTATCAAGGTTGGTAGATCAAAGGATATGATGATCGTCCGTACTTTGTATAGCTACTGGTGCGGTTTTCTTTTTGTTTGGGATGCGATCAATATGTGAAATTTGAGAACAGAAACACACAAGATTCAAGGACACAAGAGACAGGACAGATGTAAATGCTTCTCGGCATGAATTCTTGCTTAGGCGACAGTCACATGTAGTCACATGATGTCGTTTATACATCGTGTATTTACTTACTACATGATCAACTGCTTAGAAGTAAGAATACCATGCTTTTAGTTAAACCCCAATATGATAGATAGGTCATGGACACTAGAGAATATGTATTCTGGAAAGTGAATAAGAGATTTTCTGCTATCTAGTGTCTGTAATGTACCTATAAGATTGAGTGAATGAGGACTTTTTGTGTGGAGCCAAAAAAATCCAAAAAATGCTCACACTCGGAGTCGAACCGAGGATCTCATCATTACTAGTGATGCGCTTTACCACTAAGCCATGCGAGCTTATATTTACTCGTTTGATTTTATGCTATATGAACCTATTCGTCGGACATAAAAGGTATATGTGTACATGTACGCAATATACCTTATGTACATCGACCTCGGAATGGTAATTCAACTTCTATAAACCATATATATTATTCGTTCACCAGCGTAGGTGCTTCTTGATTAGGTCTATTACTGCTCAATAGATGGCACTAGTAGATGGGGTGCGTACATGTAAAGGCCGTTTTCTCTGTCCTGCTGACAGGAAGAAGTGGTGTTTTCAATCGTTTCATCAGACCACTCCGTACATATACGAACAATCCAATCATGTCAAGGATTAATTGTATAGAATAGGAAGAAACAGGATGTTACCTACATGTACCTAACTGGTTAGATGATACGTCTTTACCCACTCTAAATTTGAATGTCAAGGTGAACCTCGACTATATATAATGACCCCGTGGTTAAGACCTGACGGGGATCTTTTAACAAAACTTCAAAGGTTCGAAGATTAGCAGTGCTATACCGAAAACAAATAAAAATACGTTACTATATTAATTTATAGAGGAAAATCTGCACTGAACGTTTGCGTTATTTGCTGGTGACTATAAGAGTGGGTAAAGACTTTGTTGTCAGGATCTGTATGTGGTGTTGGCTCCGTGCCCTGAAACGGTCCTGAAATAGATACACGGACTTCTACCTCAACCAAGCAAGAAACACAAACATAGCCTACAAATGTATAAAATCGAACCTGAGAAAGAAAATCGAATCATTATCAAAGATGGAACAGGGGTATCTAAAAGTATGGTCCACAGCCCCCAAGCCAAGGGCCGAAAGCCAGACAAGAAGGCGAAGAAAAGAAATCTCGAAATTGACAAAAAGTCACGATCGAGAGGAAGAAAAAGAAGAACGAAAAAACGAGAAAAAAACAATTCAGCCATAGAAACCTCAAAGACGAAAGCAACAAAAAGTCACCAGAGTCCGGTCTTGCGTCGGGGTATTATTGCAGAACATCTCGAAAAATAGAAAAAAATATGAAGACATGATCAGAATAGACATTCACGCGAAAGGAACAGGATTAAGAAAAGGAAGAACAGAAAAAAGCAAAGTAATCTGCAAGAGTAAGAGAACAACAACCACTCTTCTGTTCTCTCTCCTCTCTTTTTAATTCTCATCTCTTATCGTATCAAGCCACATAAACACCATTAAAAAAGAAAAGAAAGACATCATAACATCGTTAACGGATTCGAGCAAAATGCTTATTCCAAATCCAGCCGACTGTCCCCGCAGCATCGTCCTGATTCCGCGCAAGCCACAGCTCGCCCTTTTCGCCGACGACATCGAAGACATCCCCAGACGCGTACGTCAGGTAGGGGTAGCCGCCTTCTGTGCGGGCGTCGATATCGAAGTCGTAGAGACTGGCGGCGCAGAAGATGGCTGCTGGGCCGTTGGCGCGGGGCCGGTTGGGGACTAACTCGGGAGTGTCGGACATTGGCATGGCGGAGGAGAAGAAGCCCGAGTAGCGGTCTGGTGGGGAGGCGGGGCGACTTGCGAGGACGTCTGCGAGGAAGGGGGCGTCGAGGCTTAGACGGGGGAGGGAGGGGAATGGTTCTGAGACGCTGTTGCGGGTCGAGGGTGGGGAGCTGAGGGCTTGTTGGAGGAGGGCGCTCGGGGTGTCGGCAGGCCGGGAGATAGTGGAGTCTGCGCGGTAGCGGCTGCTGCGGTGGGATTGCGGGTCTGGGGATTGCATGTATTGGCTGCCTGCGCTGAAGTCCCGGGACATCTTGGGGGAGTCGCCGTTTATGGAGCCGCGGGCGCCGCTGCTGTTGACAGTCGAGGGGCGGCGCGGGGATTGCACGTTTGTTTCGCTTGGGGAGAGTGGGACGAGGTTCAGGGAGTGGGCGAGCATCGAGCCGTTGCAGGTGCTCAGCTCTTGCATGCGCGCTTCCATGAGGAGGTGGTCGCTGTTGAAGTCGCTGACGAGTCTTTGGAGATCACCGGGGAAATCGACGTGGTTGCCGATCTTCATTTGCAGGACGCTGAACCACACAGTCTGGGCCTCGATGAAGTTCTTCAGACACGCCGACATCAATTTGGCAGTCAGGGCGTAGAGCTTTGGCAGCTCATCTTTCAGAGTTTCATTGAGAGCCAGAAACTGCTCGCCCTGCTCCGTGGTCTTTTTGTCCGGCTTGTCGCCGCGGTCTTTGATGGCTTTGTAGCGTGCGTATTCCGGAAGACGCTTGTCGCGCTTGCGCATGACTCGCTGGGGCGCATTGTAAAGGCCAAGCACTTCAACCATCGGAGTGATGACCGTCTTGCGAACGATTTCAAGCTATTGAGAATGTTAGTACTAAGACTTAGAACAAAAACAAGCACCACAAAACCCACATGTTCCGGCAGGGCAGTCGAGACAACATCCTGAACAGTCATCTTGAAGCGATGCCATTTACTCTCCAACTCAGGATAAGAAGACGGTGACATCCCCACTATCTCCCCTATGGCATCGGTATAGTCGCTGAACTGAGTAACCCAGATGTTGACATCCGAAGAGTAAGTCTCAACATCACGCATAACGACCTGCAGCTGAAAGTAACCGTCGCCAAGCTTCTGCGCCAACGCATCATACGTTTTGTCCTCGAACAAATCCGAGAGACCGACATGCTGTCTGAATTTCTCGGTGCGGCGACCAAAGGCCTTAGACAGACCAGCCCGAACATCGGACTGATTACGCTTGCGACCAACAGCCTGGCCAACCAGATCAGCGCGCTTCTTCGACTCATTGATGCGATGAGACACGTTCGTGACTTCTTCCAGTGCGTTGGCGATGGCTATGCGGTCGGGGTGGTCATTTGGCGTGGACTCCAAGAGGTCGCTGAGGAGAAGGGGGTATTTCAAGATCCGTTGCACGGGCTTGACGAGCAGGGAGTCCAAGTCCCAAGCAGTTGTGAGGTCGGAGGCATAGTTGCGACATTCCCCTAGCCAAATGCCTACATTTGGGAGACGCTGCAAGGCCTGAAGTTTTTTGTTCGCTGCATCGTGGTTCTTCAAATAGTCCGTGTATACCTTCTCCATCTGCTGTAGATGGCGGATAAAAACATGACCGACTGTAGTGGATCGGTCCTTCTCGAGCTCGGACAGTCCTGCGTACTCGGCCAGTTGATCGGCGACAGGAGGTTCAGGCTCAGAAGGCGGAAGGTTCTCGCGGTTCCGTTGACTAGTCCACCGCTGAGCTTTGGGGATGATGTAAATGCTTCTAGCTGCCTTTTTAAGGTCGTGCAGGAAGTGATCGGAAAAGTCCGCAACTTGCTCAGAATTGCCAAAGAGGGTTTTGATATCATCGGCGTCCAATATGTCAGACGATGTACTTTTGTAGATATCCTCAATAACCATCATATCATGACCAAATGTATGTTCGGTATCGACAAGCTCTTTGATGATATGCTGCCTCTTCTTGAGGCGGCGTTGCTCAGGAGAAGGCGACTTCCTAGACTCAAGCCGGGTCTGATCCGTGGACGGAGCAAGCGATGTAGCAGAAGAGTCAGGCGCCAGAGGAGATTCATTGGTCTCGACGCGGCGGAAAAAGAATCTTCACTGCTGTCCGGGCTATGTCCCGCAGCTCTGGGGCCGGGCTCACCATGGCTTGGTGGGTGAAGCGGGATTTCCCCAGCCGGAGAATCATTCTGGATTGGTCCTGATGACGAGTGATACGAGGACGAAGAAACTGCCGGAGGTAGAGATACCTGCTCACCCCGATTGACGGAGACTCCAAGACCATTGCTCAGGCCGATATCTTGATTCGAAGGTATCATGCGGGGCGTAAGCACATCAGAAAAGTCGCAATCGGGATCAGTGGCAGGAGTGATCGCTCCATCATTGGCCCTGACCTGCATCCAGTCCATAATAGAAGGAGACGCATGTTCCCAGTCATCACGCTCAACCAAACTGGCCGAGTTGGAGTGTCTATCGGAAGCAGGGTATTCCTGGAATCCTGGGACAACGACCGGATCGTCAGTTAGACTATCAGGGCGCTCATCTGCACGTGTATTCGCGGGTTGAGAGCGAGGCTCAGGCGAGGCACGTACTGCCGAGCTGTAGCTATGGCTTCTGCCTCGCGTAAGCTCTTCAAGGTAGAGCTGAGTGACGCGCTTAGAATCCCATCTTCCTAATCTGGCCAAACTGGGCGGAGTGGAGAAGAGGTTTTCCCGATTTTCGGCTGCCTGAAGCGTATTGGGTCCAATGACGCCGTGGTCTTGAAGAGGTTGCAATTCATCATCCGCTATCGAAGCGGGCCGTGTTGATACGGCTGAACAAGTTTCAGTTGGCGCTTCCGTATCATGGCTTCGTAGACGAAGATCATCGCAGCTTTCATCACCCTGCTCTTCGTAGATAGAATTGTGATTTTGCACGGAAGACCACGAGCTGACGCTCCATCGATTCTGCGTTTGGTGCTCGGTTGGAGCTTGTTGCGTTGATGGACGTCGAGGCTCTTGAGTGTTCCCACTACTTGACGAATCATAGAAGGCCGTGTCACCCAGCATAATCTGAATGGACTCTCTCCCATCGGTCTCTGAAACACTACAGTCCGTTTCATCACATGATTCCTCGCTCGCACCATCCTCGCGGATTTTCATGATCTGGTTCAACAGAGTCCGGTGCGACATGCCGGGGGTTGCTGTAGTCCAGGCTGTGGCTCTGGGTCAAATGTGGTATTGTCGGAATTTGCCGTGATCGCCGAATTCGGTGCATCGGTATTAGATGCATTGGTGTTAACAGGCTGTATTTCGCCTGCGTTTGTGGAGGTTGCCCCCTCCATGAGACCAAGAGTCGGGGAGTCCGTGGTGGTGTGTGATGCCTCGGGGAGAGATGTATTGAGATGCAATCTCGGGGCATCATGAAGTCCATTTCCTCCATAATCGACACCACCAGTCGATTCTTTGACAACGGTAGTCATTTCATCGGATGGTTCGGCGTTGGTCCCAGCCAAGCTAGACGCAGCGAGAGATTTATCTGTCGATATTTTGGAATCATGCGAAGTCTCGCTCCGTGCCAAAGGACGGCGTCGGATTTCAGTAGGAGAACCGGCTGCTTGTTCATGCTTGACTGCCTGTTCATGCTTGTTCTTGTTAATGGCCTGTTGGATGTGTTGACGGCGAGCCTCGAAATCCACGTTGCCCAGTTCGGGCAACTTGCGTCGCGTTTGAGATGACCGCGGACTTTTGTCGACTTGCTTCTGCAGAGAAGAAACTCTATCTCCAATTTTCGAGCGCGGGGAAACCGAGGCACCATGTGAAACGGGTTGCCGGGGTCGAGAACTGCGCAGAGGCGGTGAGCTCTTGGGCGGTGGAGCAGCGATGTAGGCCTGGAGCCGTCGGCTGGATTCGGATAATTGATTGCGGGTTTGGCCAGTTGCTAAGTCTCGTCTGCCACGCGATGAGGGTGCAAACGAGGCGGGATCATCCTGGGGCATGCGGGGAGGGCTATATTTGGGGGATGGAATAGGAAGACGGCTGCTGCCCTTTGGAGGCGAGAGGATGGCAGCGGATCGACTGCTGAAGGTCGGATTAGAGGACGGTGATAGACTTTCGGCACCGGAAGCAGTGGCGAGACGGTTCGAGGAGACAGGAATGCGAGATCTGGAATCTGGGCTGTCCGGCGGCGATCCATGTTTGGGGTTCATCCGCTGCAAGGGGCGTACTGCCATTTCGGGATTCCAAGGCTCCGCAAGGGGCTTCGAGGAAGGGTTTTGGTCCAAGTCGCTCTGAATTCTACGGTGGTTGCCGTTGTTTACTCCGACGTTGATGGCCTCCAGAGAAGTGACGTGGCCCAGATACCAAGCAGTTGGTGTAAGAGGTGTTTTCGCAGAGAACTGATCAGTGTGATCAAGAAAGGCTGGGCTTGGGCTTGGAATATTTCCATCCGACCCGCGACGTTGCAGACGCGCCAATATTCCGTTGTTGAGTTGTGTGTTGATTGGCGACAATTCACCAACGCGTGGGCGGCTAGCATGCGATTCCGATGCGCGTTTGAACAAAGGCGGCGGGACGATAGCACCGTTCACGTTTAAGGGTGGACCGAAGCGGTCTGTCTCCGGTGAAGATGGTGTAGAATCTACCGGTGCACGAGGAGGACTTGTTATTGACGCTGGCAGCGATTCACGGAATTGACGACGTCGAGGCAGAATGCGATTGTGCTCCACATCAATACTACCAGAAGGGCTCGCGGTCCTGGAGGCTGTCCTGGAGGTGGTACGCGAAGCAGCGGGTAGAGGGAGGAGTTGATCGGAGGTACTGTTGAACTTATTGACCAAATCCTTGAATGAGGTCTGTCGTGGTCTTGCGCCCGAGGGTAACGAGTGGATAGCAGCGGGAGCTCCTAAAGTTGGGGAGTCAGAGGTGGAGCGGTATTGGCGTCTGGCACGCGAAAGCTCCTCCATGTTTGTTGGCAGGGGTGACACTTTGTCACCAATTGCAGAATAATCGGCCGCAGCCATATCGGTTATTACATTGTTGAGCTCTTCTTCCACATTGGCAGTTGACAGGGCCCCACGGCGATAGTAATCTGCAGGATCGGGGGACTCCTCTCGATGATCTCCCAATGGATCGCCGGTCGCTCGGTGATTCGTGGAAGTGGAGTGATTATGGGGAACGAAGCCCGACGCATACGGTGAGGGTGCCTGGGGAGGGAAAGAGGAATCTAAGTCATGCGGGATAAATGACGGAGCGGTTGGTTGTCGCCCAAACGGAAGCGATTCACGGTAGACACCGAAACCCTGCTCGTCACCGCCAGACATGGTGCATGCTTTTTTTCACGGTCGACGTGGACTGGCCGTGGGCCTTTCAATTCTGGGCGGGTTACGGTGCGTTGTTCCGGGATGGTCGCCCAACGGGGATGTCACAAATGAGTTGGGGTTCAGGCTACAAAGCAATCGTCTCGGGTGGCGCACACCCATTCAGCATTCATATTTGAGACACTCTTCTTTTTTGGCAGATAAGAATATTTTCTCGAATCCAAGGGAAGACAGAATCAGAGAAAAAGGAAAGAATGGAAGAGAATCAGGAGAGAAAAAGAAAAGACTAGGAAGAGGCGAAATAATAATAATAGCTAGACGAATAAGAAGTTGGGCGTTTAGTGAAGAAGAGTAGTTGAGGGGAAAAGCGAATCCTAGCGGTGGACCATCATCGGAAACAAAGAGCATTCATATAAATCCACTTAGTTAGATCGATGTCATTTCCACTCACTCCGTAGTATTCGCTTCTCTTCGAATTTCTTTGTTCTCGACTGTTTTTGTGTGTGTGTATATTAGTGAACAATATTAATATATGAATACCTTAATATTCGATCATTACGATCGGCACTGTACTCCAATCTTCAACGGATTGACCCGGAGAGCTAACGAATTGGCCCACTGTGTACTGATTCACCTATATAATGTACATTATGACCCGTGGACATATGTATGGAGGACGTAGTAGGGAAAAGAGAAATTTCAATTCATTTCTTCATTTGTACTTTTGTTGCATGAGTACTTCCTTAATGATCTTTTTATAGTATATTTCTAGTGTACCTTTTAACAAATGTACCTGAAATTCAGGAACGAAAAAAAAAGAAACCATGACGTGAAAAGAGGAAATGGGCCTTTTCTAGACCGCCCATTTCCATGGTTGAGAATGTGTCTAATTGGTTCTTTTCGGTTGAACAAAAATTTATGATCTATACACATATACACATATACACATATGTATACACTACAAGAGATATGTTGATGTATCTGTATACCTACATTGATGTACATTCTACATGTCAATACACTGACGTGTTATGTCCTGGATTGAGGAAATGGAACTTGATCCCCATGTGAGGATACGAACCCATCTCCCGAGCCTCGACACGCGACGCGTCAACGTATTGCTGAACTTCTTGGAACACCCCCAGATCCAGAATTGAGAATTGAGACTCGAAAACGAAACAAAAAAAAAAACAAAAAAACTCTTCACAGTATGGGGAAGAAACGCAAGAGACCCATCAAGGATGGTCCCTTGTCTCACAACGGTATCACTACATTTACCCGCCGTTTCAGAACAGCCCCAATCCCCAGAACCCATCCTGTTATTTCCCTGTACTACCAAAATGTCTTCTCACTACGAGATTACCTACTCCAGCAACTTCCCGTGACATCCAAGTCGCGTCGGCGTCGCATCTTAACGCTAGACTCGCCCCATACCCAACCATCGCCATTGGCACATCTCCTCGACTCCACTCTGGTCGGTGTGTCCAAGGGCTCATGTCCGATAGTCAATTCCGAGCGCCAAAGGGAGTATTTATCGTTTACTCAATCGCAGTCGCGCTCACTGCTGGTCAGCACTGATACCGGACCGACTTGTCCGCAGTCGGAGGTTGGTACATGATTTTGATTTGGGAATCAATGATTCTTTTAAGTGCATGTCGCTAACCTCGTTTAGGTGGTTGATTTTGTGATTTGGAAATTGTTCAATCAAAATGGCTATAATGGCTACCAGAAGCCCCAGCATTTGCTGGCTCATGGCTTCCAGCGCCCGGCTATGGGACAGAATGCCCTGGATACTCATATCCCCGGCATTGTGTGCCAATTCCCGAATCACAATGTTGAGACACTCAAGAATGGCCCATGGGCGGATTTGCTTGGCTTGCTGGGTTGTAATGGGGAAGAAATCATGATGCAGCTTCTCTTCGATTGCGGAATATTTGCCGCCATCAACGCTCGAAAAGGTGTTTACTACCAGCTCAGCGGTAACAATCCCAAAATACAAACGAACCATATTTCAAACGAGCTGATATCTCCCTAGGTTTACCACTGTCAAACCTCGAGCCTTTAGACGACAAGGGAGATGGGTCTGCCACAGCACAGAAGCCAACACCGGTCACGGATCCGAGCAAACCAAAAAAGAACGAGGGCAAACAGAAACTTGACAATTCGCGCGGTCCAAACAGTATCGTGTTTCTCCGTCGACGGATCCTCTATGGCCGAACTGAGTCCAAAAAGGGAATCTCCTATGGATTAGGACAGACACGTACGTGCGCCGTTTGAACATCACATCCAAGTTCAAAGCTAACCCATATAGACGTCCTTAACCGGTTCACAGCGCTGGACTCAACAGCCCAAACAGTCCATGTGATGAAATACATATTCCCCCGCCAATTCCACCTGCAGAACGTGTTCATACCGGACCCGGATACTGGCAACACCCCGTATGATTTTAAAAGCGGCACATTTCGCGAAAAAGAAATATCCCAGCTAGAGCATCAGAGACATCTCCGACGGCGTCAGGCCGAGAACGAAGGAGATGCAGATGCAGACGCAGACGCAGAGAGCGAGAGTATAAAGGTGCCCAAGAGGCTTCGCGGAACGACCGAAATGATCCGGAAGATACGGAACCGCAACGCGCAGTGTTGCTATGGCGAATTACTAGGCCATTATTGCCCGTCTGAAGTGAGACATCTTTTTTTGTTTTTTTTCCAATTCGACAGATGTCGCTGACCTCTTGCAGCAAACCGGGCCGAGCAGACTTGGCGCATTGGCCTCGACCCAAAAATCCGAGCTTGCGCCTCTCTCGTCCGAGTCAAATTTAGTAACACAGTTGCAGAGGCCGGATCGTGCATCCTGTGCCGAGACGGAGCCGCACCGTGCCACAGGTGCATCTTGCGAAACGGGGACTCCAAAGGCTCGCAGTTTGACAGACTATGCGACGCCGCCGTCTGCCGTGTCGGCGTTTTGTAGGGCTGTGTTTCAGAAATTGATTCCGAGGCAACTGTTAGGTATCGGGGTGGATGGAGCTTCGAACTTCAAGCTTGTTCTGCGACTCGTTGATCGATTTATCAAACTGCGCCGGTTCGAGAGTCTAAGTCTGCATGAGGTTTGTAAAGGTGTCAAGGTTTGTCTTGGTGATCATCTGAGACAATTCCATACTGATTGACACGCTAGGTAACAAGCATTCCTTGGCTGGTGCCACCTCAGGTCCAGACTTCGCGATCTGAGACAAGATCGAAAATCGCCTTATCTGACTTGCGCAAACGCACTGAGTTGCTCCATGAGTTCCTCTTTTGGGTCTTCGACTCGCTCCTTATCCCTCTGATTCGCTCGCAATTCTATGTTACCGAGTCGCAGACGCACCGCAACCGCCTTTTCTATTTCCGCCACGATGTGTGGCAGCAGTTGACCGAGCAGCCTTTCGGCGACTTAAAGGCTGCTATGTTTGAAGAGCTAGAGCCGGAACGGGTCGAGCGTGTGCTGGCCCGTCGCTCTCTAGGCTACGGTGCTCTCCGTTTGCTGCCCAAGTCGACCGGCATCCGGCCCATCTTGAATCTTCGCAAACGGGCATTGAAGAAATCGTTATGGGGGAAAGGACGTGTCTTCCTGGCCCCTAGTATCAATTCCAGCATTACGCCTATCTACAGCATGTTGATGTACGAGCGCCAGCAAGCTCCTGCCAAATTGGGATCCACAATGATGTCTGTTGGAGATATGCATCACCGGCTTAAGACATTCAAAGAACAGCTATTCAACCAATCGATTTCGGTACCCAAGCCTGGGCAATCTAAGCCTGGGAAATTCAAACTCCCACCCTTGTACTTTGTCAAGGTGGATATCCAAGCTTGCTTTGACACTATCCCCCAGAAGAAGCTGCTCAATCTTATCTCAGAGCTGGTCTCCGAAGATAGCTACCGCATGTCCAAACATGTGGAGCTCCAGCCGCCTATCCCCAATATGCAGACCTCAAAGCCGACACGAAGATTCGTGAGCCGAGCTGCACCCGCAAAGAAACCACAAAATTTACCAGACTTCATCATCAGCGGACCATTACAGCAAAAAGCCAATACCGTGTTCGTGGACTCGATAGCCCAAAAAGATCAAGACACCGACAGTCTCCTCGATCTCCTCGACGAGCACGTCCGCAGCAATCTCGTAAAAATGGGCAAAAAATACTTTCGCCAAAAGAACGGCATCCCACAGGGCTCAGTACTATCCAGCATCCTCTGCAACTACTTCTACGCCGAGCTCGAACGCTCCGTCCTCACCTTCATCGACCCTAAAGTCTCCCTCCTCCTCCGCCTAGTCGACGACTTCCTCCTCATAACCCCCAACCGCTCAGTCGCCATGCAATTCCTCCAAGCAATGATAAATGGCCAACCGACGTACGGCGTCCGCGTCAACGCCTCAAAAAGCATGACCAACTTCAGCGCCATAATAAACAACACCGTCCTCCCGCGCCTCGAAGGCCCTCTCTTCCCCTACTGCGGCAGTCTAATCTCCACACAGACACTAGAACTCCACCGCGATCAAGACCGCCTCCTAGACGGCGAACTCGCCGCCTCAGCACTCTCCAACACCCTCACTGTCGACGCAACCCACTCACCAGGCCTAACCTTCCACCGCAAAGTCCTCTCCTCCTTCCGCCTCCAGCTCCACTCCATGTACATTGACGACGGACACAACTCGCGCTCTGTCGTCCTGTCAAACCTCTACGCCAGCTTCGTGACTACCGCCATGAAAATGTACCACTACATGAAGTCTCTGGGGCGGGCGCATCCCAGCGCGGCGATCATCACGCGCACGATCACCGACCTGGTGCTTCAGACGGCTGGGGCTATCCAGGCGCGGCGGGCGGATCGGAATAACTCGTTCTCGTGCTTTGTGCAGGCGAACCAGTTGAGGTTTTTGGCGGCGAGGGCGTTTGGATTTGTTTTGAGGAGGAAGCAGACGAGGTATGCGGCTGTTTTGGGTTGGCTAGAGGCATTGGCTAGACAGGCCCGACCCACTTCGGATTCCGAGGTGGTCAGGATGACGCAGGTTGTTAGGAAGGGTAATCGGTTGTTTGAGGAATGGAGGTTTTGATGGGTACTTTAGATCAAGTTTTTGTATGGGAGGTATAACTACATTCAACGTATGTATGTACTGATGTATTGTATGTAACAATGCCAATGTGATTGCCAATGCCAATTTACGCCTAATTCTATAACTCCGAGGGTCTCGTCCAATCATATCGTTCGCCCTGTACCATATCTATCAAGACCGTGGAATTGTCGGTGGATGAAGACCCGACTGGATAAAGAAAGCTAAGGAATTGGGAATCGTCTCCATATACGTATGTAGTATGTAAATATTTTGGTTCAGGGGTTTAACAATGTCAACTCTTACAAAATAGAAGTGTAATTGTGTTCAGTCATTTAAACAAGGCTGTGTAGGCTTATCCCTTCCAAGATCGGGTGCTTCAATCTCGATTGTAATACTTGAATAGTACTTGTCCGATAGCTGATTTAGTACTAGTGCAACGAGGTATCCCCGAGGTACCCTCCGTTCCGGCCAGACCGTGTGCGGCCTCAGGCGACTCCGCTTGCATCACGGTGTTTCTTCTTCTTCAACTTCATTCGTTTTGGAATCTTGTTTCTCTCTCTGCCTCGTCCTTCTTTTGATTCTATTCGTCTTCTTTCTTTTCTTCTTTTCTTTCTCCCGACATTCATTTCTATAACTTCTTTACTTGTTTCCACTACTCAATTAATATCCCGTCCCCTCTCCTGATCCTTCTTTACACACATTCGAATTTAATCAGGCTGCGGCTGAGCCTGCAATTTGTTTTCTGAAACCGTTGAGTTCATTTTAATTTATTCACTTGGGGATTGTTTCCTGGATCCTCGCGTTAAAATCGACCCCTTCCGGCCTTCCCGTCCCCTGTGTTTTTTCTCGCCATTTTGCGGGGGATCAAAACATTCAAAATAGTTGCACGAGACCATGACCACCGTGTGTGCGACACCCAATTCTCCCCCCGAGCTCTCCGGCTCCAAATCCTCCAAATCCTCCTCCTTCCATTCCTCCTCTCACCTGGACGGCCCGGACAGTGCCTTCACGGATATCTCAAATTTCGAAGATATCGGCTTGGAGGATGATGCCGATTTATCCTACATGGAGCCAGTAGGGTCATACGGCCGCGCTGGGGCGATGGCCCGGTCGCCCGCTGCAAGAATGATCACAACTCGCGACTTGACCGCTACCCCGAAGCCGCGAAAGCGAAGTCCCTTACCGCCGATGAAAGGAGCAAAACCCCCTCAATCCGGCTCTCTCATGGCTAAGGCTGGCAACCGCCGAGATTCAGGTAGCACGCTGCAATCCCCCGGTTTGACACCATCTCAGCCTCGCCGATCTCGATCTGTCTCCCCACTCCGCCCGACCTCCAGTCGCTCCACCTCGAGCACCAGTCTGGCTTTGTCTCCGCTGTCCGCGCGAGCACCCGTTCACAAGCAAACCTGGCAACCGAATCGCAAATCGCTCAAGGACCTGGAGGAAGAATATCACGACTCGGATGACGAACTACCAGACGACGCAAGCTTGTGGAACATCCCCATTTCACCACGCCCAGTGCAAGAGCGAGCGCCTTCCCGACCTGCTAGTCCCAATGGGCGCAGTCCCGGCCGCCGGCCACTGCCCATCCAGCATACCATTTCGCAAGAGCATGTTACCAAACTGCCCGAGGACACGGCCAAAGCATCCCGCATGAAGCGTACACCGCGATCGAGCTCCGCAGGACCGGAGCGTGGTCAGTTATCGCCACGCAATCCCCGCACCTATTCGTACAACAGCTATCTGTCGGATTTGTCCGAAGAGGCGAAGATCATCACCGAGGCTCTGGAGCTCCATGCCGATGATAGGAACCGCCAGCGCGAGGAGAATGTGCAAACGGGTGCTTCGCGGAAGTCGAGCGAAGACTCTCATCGAGCGTCTCTTGATGCCACTGCTTTGCCGCCTTTGCAGAAGACCAATATCATGATCGATCCGTTACCAATTAGCAAAGAGAAAGAGAAGGTTCTTTCGCGGACCCGCCCCAGCTGGCTTCCGCCTAAGGATCAGAAAGAGGAGAAAAAGCATCTCAGGCAGTATCAGGAAATGATGGCCCAGTCTCGGGAGTCTGGTACGTATTCAAGCAATATCTTGGACCAGTATGACGCCGTGCTAACCAGCATTCTAGAAAAACGCAAAGCCGCCAAAGATGCATCTGCGCAGTGCCACAAGGACAGCACCCGCGCAACCTTACAAAACATCTGGGACGAATACGTTACTCCAAACTGGGAGAGCGCCCTCCGTGAGCCTCGCATCCGTGAGCTCTGGTGGCGTGGAATCCCCCCACGCAACAGAGGTAGCATCTGGCAGCGCGCGATTGGAAATGAGCTAGCTCTAAGCGAAGAAACATTCACCAAAGCGCGCCAACGAGCCAAAGACCTCCGCACCAAGAAAGACGCCGAAAGCGAAACCAACAAGCGCCTCCAAGACTGCTTCGACGCAATCGACACCGACGTCCCAAAAGCATTCCCAGACCTAAACCTCTTCCAAAAAGGCGGGCCCCTCCACCCCATCCTCATCGACGTCCTCCAGGCATACTGCATGTACCGCAGCGACGTCGGCTACATCCACGGCCTGCACACCATCGCTGCCCTCCTAGTCCTTCAATTCCCCACCCCCGCCTCCGCCTTCCTAGCAATGGCCAACGCCCTCAACCGCCCCTTACCAGTCGCCTTCCTAACCTGGGACCGTGGCGCCATGGCCCGCTCCTACACCCTCGCCTCCGACACCCTGCGCTACAAATTCCCCCGCCTATACACCCACCTCACTCAGGCAATGAACCTCTCCGACGAAGAGCTATGGGAGCCCATCTTCCGCTCCCTACTAACAAACGGCCTCGACCTCGAGCGTCTCTCCCGCGTCTGGGACTGCTGGGTCTTCGAAGGCGACCGCATCATTATCCGCTCCGCAGTCGCCATTCTAGGTGGCTTACAGGCCCAACTCTTCTCTTTCCACGAAAGCACCGAGGAAAACCGTCTCGTCGTCCGCGACATCCTAGGCTGGGGCCCGCGCCATGTCGGTGCTAATACCGCGAAGCCGAAAGATCGTCACAGCGCGCCTGCTGCGGCTGGCTTCGCCGGCGGCCAGATTGAGAATCCTGGTATCGCGGATTATTGGGTTCTTACTGCTGCTGGGAGCGAGGATGGGTTTATGAAGGCTGTTAGGGAGGCTGGGAAGGTCCGTCAGCAGCAGCAACCGCCGGCTTGAAGCTGGTTCATGCATGCGCTGTTTTGCTCTTTTCATCATGATTCTTCTTGATATCCACTCGTTGATGCGTAACAAACACTTACCTGTGTTATGTTTCTTTTTTTAACTATATCATATACACCTCACTCGCTCGGCTTTGCTCTATAGCTTTTATTGGTATTGCATGGACTACTTGTTTTCTTCCTGTTGGATTCTTCCTAGCCTGGTTGGGTTGTTCCGCTTCTCTATCCTTGTATTTTTAGCACTCATGGTCTTCAATGCATTTTTCTAGTGGGTTACTAGTAATTGAGGTTGATGATTGTATATCTTTCATCTTCATCTATACCGGGAAGAATGCGATAAGCTACAATACGTACATACGTACTCCTAGGAAGGCCTGATAGGATATGAAAATAGATCTAATTCCATAGGCCTCGGCATACACTGGAACTGGAACTTGCAGGAGATACCATAAGGACCCACATGTGTCCAATCGATAAACCCTAGGAGAGTGGCCGCGTTGTAATAATCCGCCATTGGACATCTGCCGGTTGGCTCTAATTCAAATCCTCTCTTTGTACGACGACTAGATTCCATTATCTTTCCTGGGGAGCCTGAAAGACGAGATACTTTACAGTGTTGGATTGCAATTGGCTTTTGGTTTCATTGTTTTAAGATAGAACCAGATGAAGGGACAGATATTTGCTTCGTAAGAATACTGTTCACTTTTAAAAAAATATTTTTTCTAATGAGAAGATATCCAGCCATATTACATAGAAGAATATCCAAGAGAAGGCCTCATAAAACCAGGCCTCTGCATGCCTCTATGTTTAGATAAGCAATAAACAAGCACACCCAAACCCTCTTTCAAGCACAAGCATTGTATCATCAATCATTAGCCGAACCATCTACCAAGCAGCCCAAGCAACAGGGCCCTTGGGGAAGAGTCTGACAAGGACCTTCCGCAGCTCATCCATACAAAGCACACCCACAGCCAGACCGAGCGGAATAAGCCAGTACTCAATGGGGACGGAGGCGGTGCTGAAGAGGTTCTGGAGACCGGGGACCTCGGTCACAAAGATAGCGATGATGAGTGAGATGAGCATGGAGAGAGGAAGCCACACGTTGCGGCGGGCTGGGCGGATGGGGTCGGCTTGGAGGAGAGACATGCGCTTGCTGCGGACGGATAGGACGTTGCCCCATTGCATGATGACCAGGGTGACAAAGTATACGCATTGGCCGACGGCGATGAAGTGGTTCAGCTCGTCTTGGGTGTAGCCGTGGAAGCCGTCGGCGAAGTTCTCGAATGAGAAGATTAGGTCTGAGAAGGGGATGCCGGCGTGGCGCCACATGTAGAGGAAGAACATGGAGTGGGCGCTGAAGGCTTCCATCACGCCGATGAAGAGGTAGGACTGGCCGTAGATGCGAAGGTTGATGAGGTGGTCTTTTGTTGGGCGGCGCGGGGGTAGGCTGAGGAGGTCGAATTCTTCTTTTTCCATGATTAGGGCGAGGGAGACAAAGAGATCGGTGAAGACGCAGACGATGATCATGAGGAATGTGCTGAGGGGCGAGGGACAGCCAAAGAACACGTTCATGATCACCGGCCAGATCTCGGACCAACTACCTGCGGGAAGGAGGTAGGTGATCACTTTCTGCAGGTTCTGGAAGACCAACCGGCCGAGGCGGATGGCTTCGATGATGGAGTCGAATTTGTCGAGGAGGACTAAGTCAGCTGCCTCGATGGCGACGTCGCTGCCGGATCCAACTGCGATACCGACGTCTGCTGCGCGCAATGCCGGGGCGTCGTTGACACCGTCGCCTGTCACGGCCACGACGTAGCCACGGGATTGAAGCTCTTTCACGATGCGGAGCTTTTGCTCGGGGGTGGTGCGAGCAAAGACGATCTCTTCGTAGCCGCAGACTGTCTCCCAGTTCTCTGATGTCAATGCCGATAGGCTGGGCCCTTCAAGAAGTAAACTTTGTCGAGACTTCGGGATCTTGATTTCCATCGAAGAATCAAGACCATCCATAAGGTCTTCGACGGTATCTGGCTCGACTTGCCCATTATAAATACCGATCTGGTGAGCGATAGCAGCGGCAGTCAATCCAAAGTCACCAGTCACCATGAAGAAGCGAATACCCGCCCTGCGGCAGGCGGCAACAGTTTGAGCTGTTTCCTCGCGTGGTGGGTCAACGATTCCGAAAATACCAAGAACGGTGAGATCTTGCACACCAGACTCCATAATTTCATCGCTAAATTCGTTGGAGCCAGGCGTAGAGCGCGGAACATAACGGCGTCGACAAATGACAATAACCCGCTCTGCGCGACGTGACAATTTGGCTTGGAAGTTTGAGAACCGCTCGCGAGCCTCGTGGTCCAGCGGACGAACAGCATTGTGGACTCCTGACCAGTAGGTAGAGCAACGGTTCAGCAAGACATCTGGTGCGCCCTTGACATAGAGAAGGAATTCCTTGCTTGAGTTTGGATCACGATTCAAGGTGAGCATCCACTTGTTCTTCGAGTTGAAAGGAATCTGGTGTACACGATCAAATCCATTCAAGGAACTGGGGGAGGTCATTCCGACACTGTCAGCGAATCGCAAAACAGCTGCATCTGTCGCATTGCCATTGACAGCACGTTCATGGGAGGGCAGGTTCATCGTAGTCGGGTCGAAGGTGGCATCATTGCACAATACAGATGCATGAAGCATGTCACGCAGGCCATCAGGGAGATCGGCGTTACCAAACTCGCCAGGGGCCAAGTCTTCGAGGTTGAATTCCCAATCTACCATTCCAAGCGACTTGACAAACATGCGGTTCTGAGTGAGAGTACCGGTTTTGTCGGAACAAAGCACATTCACACAGCCCAGCGTCTCAACTGTTGACAGACCTTTGGGCAGGATGTTGTTCTTTTTCATCCGTTTGGCAATCATCATGAGCGTCAACGCGACAGCAACAGGTACTCCTTCTGGAATAAATGCGACAACACAGCCCATGACATTGTTCAACATGGCAACCACACTCATGTAGGAGGGATGATCTTTGTGCAGCCATCCCAGCCACGTGAAGAGAATAAGCAAAGCCAGAAAGACTGTCAGACAGACAATGATAGTGACGAAGCGATTGATTTCACGTTGGATCAGGGTTGCCTTTTGCTTAACGCCAGCTGTCATGGAGGCAATGCGGCCCATGACGGAGCGAGAGCCGGTAAGAACCACGACACCAATAGCATTGCCATTCGTAACACCAGTTCCCATAAGAGCGATGTTGCGAGTCTCCAAGAAGTTGTTCTCTGTGCACTCAATAGCGCCTTCAACCTCGTCCGACTCTCCGGTCAAAATGGCCCGGTCAAAACGAACATCGCCAGAGCTTTGCAGAATACGCATATCGGCAGGTACTTTGTTGCCAATTCCGATATGGACGATGTCTCCAGCGACTAGATCGGTGGCAGGGAGATGGATCAACTTCTCATCACGCATCACCATAGCTTCTGCGGGGAGGAGGTCCAGAATTGAATTCATGACACGCTTGGTGGACCAATCCTGGAATGCTGAGAAGCTTGCTTGTAGAGCAATGACGATGAGAATCAAGACAGCCAGAGAGAGATTTTGAACGGAGGGCGGGTTGCTGAGTGGCTTCCAACAGATGAAGAAGATGACAACTCCCACCCAGAGAATAGAGCAAAATCCACCAAAGATGTAGAAGAAGATCTTCTTCCAGTAGTTTTCCCCATGGTGGGCAATGACATTCTTGCCATCTCTCTGCAAGCGGGTAGCGGCAGCTGAAGAGGTCAGTCCAGTGCGCTGGTCGACGTTGAACTCCTGGCATAAACGTTCGGGAGAGATGATGTGGTAATCCAAGTTCTCAAAGTAGTCTTGGTGTTGGTGCTTCTCCTTCTCAATGTCACTGATGGTTTCCTTGGGGGCATTTTGGGACTCGGAAACTTGAATCGAGAGGGTTCGGAATTCGATGGGCAAGGTAGAATTGCCTTGGATGCTGCTGTGGCTACTGCGGATTGTGTCGCGGCTGATGGAGCGAGTGCGTGTGAATTGAGCCGGCTGATAGATGGAGCGGAATCCCTCCGCGGAGGCAGACTCCTCGAAGGTAATCCTCGCAGCTCGTCCGGCCTGATCAGCGTCGTCTTTGATCTGGTCACCTTCTGACTTGACGTCGGTCTCTGCTTTCTGGTTGTCTGGATTCATGGCGGCTCTGTGTCGTGACAAACACCAGGATGGAGAAAAACAAAGGGAGGATGAGGTGGGGGGTGAGCGTACAGGTGGGAAGGCAGATAGCCACCCAGGGAGAGAGTAAAGTACTGATGAAAGTTAAAGAGTCAATTAAGGAAGTAGATGAAGTAGAGGAAGTAGATGAAAAAGAGTATAAACCGTGCGTACAACCCTGGTCTTATATAGGTCTGCAGACAGCTAGACCGAATCCAGTATCAGAGCTCAGCTGGAGATGAATTAGGAAGGTAAAGCCTTTCTTTTGCCTGCGAGATCTTACAGAGCCACGCGACATCAGCCACGAGGGTCTGAAAATGGAAGCTACACGCAACATTAGGTATGAGTGAATAAATTGGACAAAGGAGAAAATAGTATGGAATGGATGCTTCTAGGGACCCACTATAGATGTTCAGGTACACTAGGATACATACCAAGCTCTGAAGCTACCCATAATAAGTCAGGTACCTCCAATGTATGATCTATCGGAGCTGTCAGCGGGCTTAAAATCCCTTAATACATGTACCGATGGTAGTGTAATATTACCGTCAAAAAGCCTCCCCGCGCCAATCATTAACTGCATATATAGAGTGATACCAAGACAAAACCAATGCTTCTAGCACAGCCCTAATTCTACTCCCTCGGTTCAGATTTTACAAGTTCCGTGGGAATTGCAATGGGTTTTTTTTACCAATTCATCGTGTTCAGAAATGCCGCATCTTAAACGCTTGCAGTCAAAAATTTCCGCAGCCACTAATATCAAACATAATACGGTTGTGGTTTGTGGTTTCGATTCCCCGGCTGAGGGATTTTTCCTCGCCACAGATTTGAACCTCTCTAATCGTACTACTCTGCCGCAATAGGCTCCCGTGTTTGATTTTTTCTCTCTCTTCAATCATAATGTGGTAAGAGTAATTTAACTAGCTCGGAGCATTAAAAAAATATAAATCACTCGGACTTTAAAGATCGTCGTGAGCAGTTTGTCCTGTCCAATCATGGAATTCTGTGAAGCTTAGGGCGAAGCTTTAGCGAACAGCACGATAAGAAACTAGACACGAGAGATTTGTTTGAGTCGAATCCAATCCATGGCTGAGATGGGACTGTGTCCAACCTCAGAATCTTTCTACCTATGTACAACGTACAAATGTACATGTGTAGGTATGTAGGTATTCCCGCCCTTTGTCCTTGTGTAGGCAAGGATATAGATACACACCGCAACTATACAACCCAATTCTATAAATTCCTCATCGTACTCCTTTCCTTTGCTTTTTTAGGGTTCTCTTTTCTTTTTCTTTTTCTTTTTCTATCTTTTTTAAATCCTTGAATCAATTTGATCTACTTTGAGTTTTCACACATAGTCCCAGACTGCAGTCATCATGCATCCTCCAAACGATCATCATCACCAGCTGAAGACCGGACCCACAGCCCATAACGCCAGCCAAAGCTCCGCAAAGCGCGGCTGGTCCTCTATCAAACAGGACCTACTACCTCTAGCAGCCGCCCCAACGGAACATCAGCCTTTGCTCAAGCGAGACTCAGTACTATCAATATCAGAGCGCTCAAACCAGTCATTCGCCGAAAAGTACGGCCGATGCCACGAGATAGTCCACTATGGCTCAAACAGCACAACCCGCCTCCACCAAAACAAAACACAAGATAAAAACAACAAGCTACTCGCAATTAAAGTCTACCGACAACCCATTCCCCCCTCAAGCTCCTCAAGCTCCTCACAATCCACATCCATCCACCCAGACCACCCCAACATCCTCCCCATCCTGGACATCCTCCACAATGAGCGCTCAGAACTATGCCTCGTAATGCCATACTGTGCAGGAGGTGACCTAGGCACCTACCTATCCCGCAAGGCCCCCATCCCCTCCCAAGAAGCCGATTGCATCATAACCCAGATCCTCCGCGCCCTCGCCCACCTACACAAATACGAAATCGCCCACCGCGACATCCGCCTCGAGACAGTCCTGCTAACAGCCAGCGGTGCAGTCAAGCTGGCGGGTTTCGGCGATGGCCATATCCGGCGCATGTGGGAAGAGTCGGCGGTATACAAGCACAAGGCCGCGCGAGAAACCCCTGCTCCACACCCACAGCAAACAAACCCACAGCAAACAACCTATCCACAAGCTCCGTGGTCATTCACGCTGCCGTGGCCGTTGAATAAATTGCCGCGCCATCTCTCCTCTTTCTCCTGCGCTGCTTCGACGAAATCAAATAAGATCGGCTTTGGGGGCGCGAGTATTCCCTACACGCCTCCAGAAGGATTCGCTCATCTTGTGCATCGTCGTAGCGAGTCGAATATCGAGTACGACGATGTTGATCCTCGGCCTGCGGATGTGTGGGCCACAGCTATGATCTATATGGCGCTTGTTACGGGTCGGTTGCAGTGGCGTAGTGCTCGACCGCATTGTGAGGATGCGCGGTATCTGCGGTATCTTGATGATCGGGATAGCAAGGATGGATACCCACCAATTGAGTCGCTGGGACATGTATGTATTTGCTTCTTGAGCATGGAAAGCAATTTCACTAACTTTTGAACAACAGAGGCGACGAACTCCCATCTACGCAATGTTGCATCCTTACGCTTGGAAGAGGATTACTATTATGAAATTGATGCAGTCGGAGTGGATATCGGGCGTGGAGGTTTGTGAGGCGGGGGACAAGGGTCTTTGATGAACTTTGATACCCTTCTAGATTTAATTTATGGATTGACAGATTCGATGTGTGATGAAACCCACAAGAAAAACCCCGACACCCTGTCTTACGATTTAACAAAACCTCCCGTATTGCTTATATAATTGAAATCAACACTTTTCTCCCAGAATTTTACACCGGGAACATTGTAATCCTTAGGCCGGAAACCAGATAACTTGAAGTACATTTCACGCAGCTGGGGTTTCAGAACCTTCGCCGAAACAGAAAGTGAGACATCCTCGCCAGCCCGCGGAATGCGCAACAGTGCAGGCAACTTGTACAATTCCAAAACAGAAGAAACAACCTGCCGGATCTTGCATAGATTGATGACAGGATTCCCATGCCCACTGTTCTGTTCTCGGCAGTAGCTGGAATCCCGAAGACGAATGATTACACCGACTAATAGACAAGCCCCCAGGTGTGATACATCTGCGATGAGGGTTTTATAACTTGCGTCGATGCCATAATCGTCATGAAGGACGACTCCAGAAAAGGTGCGACTAAGTTTCTCGAGCTGGGTGAACATGGGATCATTCGGAAATTTGTCCGAGAATTGGCTCTCGGTATCCACGCAAACTATATTGAAGATTTGCATGGTAAGAATGTCGGAATCAATGCGATTGGAAGATACTGATGGTTTTAATATGGGATCTTTATCCACACCGCTATTCATGGGGTCACCTCCCTGCAGATGCACTATGCAGCACACTGCACGGCTTGATAAAACGAACTTTAAAACGTCAGGATGCATATATAGTGGAGAGGACCATACACCACTCAGTCTATGGTTGCGGCAACGACTATCAATCCAGTTGCGATTTATACTCAACATCTAATTCACAGACCCAGCAGTAAGCACATTACCCCAATCAACAAGAACAGTCTGTCCATTCGGTACTGATTTACAAGAGTAAACGAAACAGTACCCGCCATACCCTCATCTCTCCCCGATCGAGTAACAGGGACTTTCTTCTCATACCTTTAGCTTGAGATAAAATTTATGCGACTATACAATCTTGATCCAAGTAACATTATGCAGGGACTCGAAAGAGAGAGCTTTATGTCCTGCAGGTAAGAAATTTAAGATTGCCATGTTTCAATAAACCCGGGGAATGGTAGCCTTCTATCCTAGGTATTACAAAAGCGCACACACATTCAAGTATCCTCATAGCTTGGCCTTCACAGGCAACGCCTCAGAGATAGGAGCCACTTCGACCATCATCTTACCGGTGTTGGCACCGGCATAGAGATCAATGAGAGCCTTGGGTGCAGCCTCCAAGCCACCAGGCACGATGTGCTCCTTGCGCTTGAGCTTACCCTCCGACAACCAGGAGGCCAGCTCCTTCAGTGCAGCAGGGTACTGCTTCGCAAAGTCAAAGACAATGAAACCCTTCATGGTGATCCGTTGAGACTGCAATCAATTAGCCAAGTCCATCCACAACAGCTCCAGATACAAAACTCACAATAACACTCATAAAGCTCGCCGGGCCCTGCGGCTTAGCTGCATTATACTGACTGATAGCACCGCAGATAGCAAAGCGCGAGTCCTTCGCAGCCCTCGCCAAACAAGCATCCAGAATCTCACCACCAGTATTATCAAAGAAAACATCAATATACTCAGGCGTGGCCTCCTTCAACTGCTTTCTCCAATCCGCATCCTTATAATTAACCGCAGAGTCAAATCCAAGCTCCTTAACCAGGAAATCACATTTCTCCTTCGACCCCGCCAACCCAACAACCCTCTTCGCACCCTTAATCTTCGCAATCTGACCGGCAACCATGCCGGTCGCACCAGCAGCCCCAGAAACAACAACCGTATCACCAGGCTTCGGCCGCCCAACCTCCACCATACCAAAGTACGCCGTGAGGCCCGTCATGCCCAGCACAGACATGGCATCGGTGGGGCGGCCGCCAGGCGGCACGACGACCTTCTCTGCTTCCTTGGCGCCGACCAGTGCATACTCCTGCCAGCCGGAGTAAGCGACGACCCAGTCGCCGGCTGTGTACTTTGACGCCAGGGCGCTGCCGACAGTGATAACCTGGGCGATGCTCTGGCCGCGCATGACGGCGCCTTGCTCGACGGGCGCGATGTACGAGCGTTTGGCAGTTAGCCATTGGCGCATGGCTGGGTCGAGGGAGAGGTAGTGTGCGCGCACGAGCAGCTTGTCGGCGGGCACATCTTTGGGGATGGGGACTGTGTTTAGGCGGAAAGTTCCTGTTTCTAGAGAGGGGTCGATGGCTGGGGAGGGTGGGGTGGTGTAGATGATTTGTTTGGACATTTTGGATAGAGGATTTGGGGATTCAAGATATGTAGAGAGATTTAGAGATATAAATTGGGAGAGAAGAGAATATCGGGGAAAGGGCGAAGAAAAAGGATCTGGGGTATCGGAGGTGCTCCAGATTAGGAAAACTGCTCCTTGGACCTCGGCTCGGTCATGTTGAATAATATTCTTTTATGTTTATGCATAGATTGGAACATATATGATATGGATATGCATTGGTCCTGTAGACTATACAATATTGTACTATATTATATGTTCAATGCAGAAGAGAGAAAGATATAGATCTACGTTCTTCCCATACTTGGTCTCTGCGCTCATCCTGACGTCACTGCAAGTATATAACCTCAAAAATCAACGTTTCTCTCTTCAAACAGTTCTACATATGTACTATATCACCATACACTTATTATAACATTCTATATCTAAACAAAATGAATACGAACCAACAATACGAACGACCCCAATCCTCCAGCGGCTCCGCCGTAGGAAGTGCATCCTCAACGGGGGCCCCCGGCCTCCCCACCGGCCTCCGAGACACACGATCCCAATACAACTCGACAAAAGGCGTCAATCCCTCCACAGGAGCCACCTACTCGAAATCTTCAGGCGGGGGACCAACGCAAACGCGGCAGCGCCCGCTCTCGCCCTCGCCGTCGAGAAGTGACGACCGCATTGTCACAGACGAGCCGCTCCCGTACACGGCTAGTACGGCGCAGCGGGCCGAAATCCAGGACCATTCGGCATCGGGATCACGGCCAGCCCGGGCTGGCGATAAGGTTGGGAAGGGTGTTGTCGGTGTTGCTGCTACGATTCATGTAGGTTGATGGGCTGGTTCTATACTTATAATATATGGAGTGGTACTAATGATCTTGTTATAATTCTAGGGGGCTGGAGAGTCATTGCGTGGGGCCATAAATACGGCTATCGACCGAACTTTGGGATCTGAGGAGAGGGCGGAGCGGAGTCAGGAAATTGCTGATAAAGGGGCAGAGGAGATTCGAACGAAGAGGTTTGTTAAATAGTTGATTTACTAGAAAGTTCTTTACTACTGGTTACAACATTGTATCTAGTTGGCTAGTTCATTACTCAAATACATATGTTGGCCCGGGGTAGTAACTCCCAACTCATCCTCTCAATTCAAACAACCGGCCCCACCCCTGCACTGCGGATGGATCAACCTCACACATTAATAACATGTTCCAGATAACCGTGCTCACTGTATCCAAAACCGTTACGTTGTGAGCTTTTTCCCAGTACTCCACCCTTTGAGCAGCTCGAAGATTGGTACAGAAAGTGGAAATCACCTGCACCTGGCGGCTCGCCAGGTCAGCCACCATCTCATCGAGCGTACGCTCAGCGACGTCGGCGAATGAAGAATTTTTTGACAATTGAAGATGCCGTTCTTTGCCGCAGTCAACCCCAATTGTTTGGTAAGTCTTTATAATGGCCTCCTGGACGTTGTCCATGTACGGTGTCACAAGGCCTAGTTCTGTAGCAGAGAGGACCTTAAGAGCTTTGTTCAAGGCCAGCACGGACGTTGTAGCAGGGATGCCCGTCTCCGCTGCAATGTTTCCGCACAGCTCTTCGTCGGTGGAAAAGCCTAGCCACCCGGATGAAGTGCCACTCCAGCCAATGATGTCGACGTTGGCATCCGCCAGCAGTCTGGCCGCTTCCAAAATTGCTTCATTTTGAAATTGCTGGAGGGCATCCTCCTCGAGGCTTATTTTCAATACGGTAAACCGAGAGAAGTGAACGGAGACATTAGGAAGCTGAGCGACGATTGCTTGTGACAAGGGCTCGAGGCTAGTATTGGAGGAGGGGGTAAGAATTCCGAGGCGGATACGTTTAGTCATTGTAAAGTGATGGGTTAAGAACGTATCAGTTGATAGAAGCTCAATTGGTTCGAAGGAGAAGAAAGCAGAAGAAGAAGTAGAAGTTATAGGGTTGTTATCCGAACATGGCTATCAACGATACTCCGCAAAAACGCCAGGCTTACGCGCATATCCCCCACGATCGGGCGTTGATCGGGCGATATACATCGCCCGATCTTTAAATATTCTTTTTTGATATCATTTTCTTTCCCATTCTGATTGGTCTCCTTATGTTATTATCAGCACTGACACCCCGGAATAATCCACCACGATGGCACCAATCATCCTTTTAGAAGGTGCATAGATAGTTGAGTACTAGAATGGTGTTATAAAATCCAAGTTGTCCTCCTGTTTTGGGAGATATATCGACTACTGAATGAAACAAATTGCCAACATGTCCACAGTAAGGCAGCGCTTTACAGGTGTCATGGAGGCCTTCTCCGGTCCACGCACCCTACTGGAAGCAGTTCGCCTAGACAACGACAAGGAAACCCAGGCGGATGCTGGACTCTTCGGCAGCTGGTCAAATAAGGATTTGGATCCATCGCCTCCGTCCCACAGAGTATGGACACCTTGGTCCTTCTTTGCTTTTCAGTTCAGCATTGCCTTTTCGCCAACCACATACAATGTCGGGGCTAGTCTCTACGCTACAGGTCTGAACTGGTGGATCATCACAATAGCTTCCTGTGGGAATATCTAACGCACCTTCTGGTGGCCAAGCTCGCTAACCTAGATACAGTTATCGTCTCTTTCTTAGTGGGTGTACTGCTGTGGTTGAACTCTCGTGGAGCTGCCTTGTATGTGACTTCACATCTAAATCCGGTATCCCACGTTTAACGATGATTTGTGTAGGTACCATATAGGATATCCGACTTACGTTCGGCTTTCAGCCGGTATCTATGGATCACTCGTGTTCATCTTCCTCCGAGGGGTATGTTGTTGCAGCACTAGCGAAACTTGATAAAATAGCTGACTCCAGGCGGCAGGCTGTCGCAATTTTATACATGGGTATCCAGACCCTATACGCCAGTTATTTTGTAAACGTCATGCTTCGTTGCGTCTTTGGTCATAATTGGACTGAACTTCCTAATCGTCTGCCTGCCCCTCTTATGATACGCTGCAGAGCTAACTATGTCTCCAGATCTCCCTGAGTCAGCCGGTATCACATCGGGAAAAATGGTTTCCTTCCTTTTTATTTGGCTTCTTCAGTTCCCGTTTGCATTTGTTCACCCGAGCAAAATGTCAACCGTGTTCATGGTGAAGTCAGTCATTGCACCAATTGGAATGATCGCAACGATGATCTGGACAGTTGTGAGTCTGCTTGGAGTTTAAATTTTAAGTGCGTAATAGCTTAAAATTTGTTAGATTTCTAGTCATGGCGTCGATTTCCAAGGACTCGGACCTAGCAATGTATCCGGGGCCGTTCTAGGCTGGTCTTTCATGAAAGCTATCAACGCTATTGTTTCTAATGTGATTCCTCCATTGGTCAATTCTCCCGACCTGACAAGATATGCGAAGTCTCCACGGGACACCTTGCCCTTGCCAATTGGAATCATCTTGAGCAAGCCACTTGTGGTGTTTTTGGGGATGGTCATCACGGCCGCTGGATACAAACAGTTTGGAGAGGTAATATCTATACATCTGACAATGCTTGCTTCAGGCACATGCGATACTAACTTGCAGAATAGGCATATTGGAATTTGTGGGATCTCTATTCCAGTATCCTAGACCATTACTGGAGTCCAGGGACCCGAGCGGTGGTGTTTCTCGGCGCAGGTATCCAGGTCAGCAATTCCTATCCAGCAAGAACTATTTACCTCTACTAACAATCACTTCGACAGGCGTTTGCTACATTTGCTACAAACCTCACCAGTAACTCGATCCCAGTCGGATGCGATCTCGCTGGTCTTTTCCCGCGGTACTTCACAATCGTCCGTGGCCAGGTGGTCTGCTTCTTATTGGCGTGGGTAGTCGGTCAGAAACCAGATCATCACCATCAAAATCCACGTCTCAAGCTAATTGCAACTCACAGTTCCATGGAAATTGACCTATTCGGCCTCGTCTTTCCTGACCTTCCTAAATTCATACCTGTGTTTCATGTGCCCCATTGTAGCCATGATGATGTACGTTCCCATATCTGCCCCTAACCCATTTAACCGCTGACACATCTCTGCTATCAGTATCGATTACTGGGTCGCCCGCAAGGGAAACATCCATGTTCCTTCCCTCTACAACACAAAAGCAGGCTCTCCATACTTCTACACCGGTGGTTTCAATATACGTGCATTCGTAGCCTGGCTGGGAGCAATCGCTATTGTCATTCCTGGTGTCGCTGGGGCTCTCAGCCCCGGATCAGTTGCAGATGCCGCCGTGAAGATGTACGACATGGGATTCCTGATTTCCACCACTTTTGCGGCACTGGCATACTACATTTGCTGCAGATTTTGGCCTGTGCAGATCTATCCTACCGGGCTCGGAGCGAAAGACGCCAGTTGGGAGGCTATGAAGTATACAGAGGGCTTTTTTCCTGAAGATGAAATCGTGCCGGACTATTTGCAAGAAACTGTGATTGAAGGAGTGAGAGTGAGGCCGGAAAAAGGCTCTTTGGAGGATGACTCTATGCGTGTGCGAAAAAAGACAATGTCCTAAGGATTGAATTAGTACTGAGTAATAAGAGGCAGTCGTATTTCCTTCATATTTTATTTCGCTATCAATGGTCCTAATAGCTTCGACTGACTCCTATCCCCATTATTGATAGTCTATTCTTTAGTGTTGATTTCCATGTACTTTGCCCAACATACTCTGGCGACAAGAAGGTCGCAAAACGGTCACAGGACAAATTACCAACTCAAACGCCCATGGAGTAGTCGGGCGTTTCCGCAAAGATAAGGGCATGTTGCTTGGCGGGCGATCGGGCGATCGGGCGACTGGTGGGGACCCGAATCAATTGATAATTGTGAAGATAATCGAGCGGATAACGGACTTGAGGGAAGTATTTAGCACGAATAAGACCAAAAGCCAAGTGTAAGATCAAAGCCTCAGAAGCAAAATTGCACACAATGGCTGGCAAATACGATCTGGTGGTCCTCAATGGGAAGGTAGTCACTGCTAGTGATATCAAGTATGTTGTTCTGCCCGAACTGTCCGTAGCATACTAACAGCAAAGTGACTATTGCATTGGCGTTAAAGATGGGAAAATCAAAACCCTCACTGAGGCTTTCTCGGAAGATGAGATGGCAGGCGCCGAGGTGATTGATGCCGAGTTAGTTCCAATCAGACTCCATTAGATGTGAATGTGGAACTCTAATGTTTCACACCTTTAGAGGGGCATATGTGATGCCCGGTGGAATCGACGCTCACGTCCACTTATCTCAAGACTTGAAAACCGGTGAGTCAGTAACCTCTTCTATACGACTTACTCTGACCGTTTTACCTAGGACCACACGGCCTGGGAGGGGAATGTGCCGATAATTTCGAAACAGGCTCACGAAGTGCAGTGGCCGGTGGCACCACGACCATTATCACTTTTGCTACACAGACCAGAGCAGAAGAAGACCGAAGCCTTATCAAGGTCGTAGAGGCTTATAATGCGCTTGCCGAGGAGACAGGCAGCTACGTGGACTATGGGTTCCATATCATTATTGTTCGCAATGATGCTGATGTGCTGGAGAACGAACTCCCGGTTTTGATCAATGACTGGGGAATTAGCAGCTGCAAGCTCTTTCTGACGTATGAAACACAGCGGTTGACGGATTCGCAACTTTTGGATGTTATGTGGGCTGCTAGGAAAAACTCCATCACCACGGTAAGTCTATTGTTTAAGAGAAGACGAACCACCGCTAATGTTATAGATGATTCATGCGGAGAATGGGGATATGATTTCATGGCTCACACGTAAGAGACCGTGTATTGTGATGAACGATTGAAGCTAACAGGATGATAGAGAAACTCGAGGAAAACGGAATGAATGGTAGGCCTATATTCACCCCGGTCTATTCAATGGCCACTAATGTGTTACAGCTCCGTATTACCACGCCTTGTCTCGCCCACCTCTTGTCGAGGGGGGAGGCAACTAATCGCGCCATTGCCCTAGCGCAATTGATTCAAAATCCGATTCTTTTCGTGCATATCGGCTCTGCAGTATGTCTAGCCCTTTATTATCTTATGTAAAAGCTAATTTTGTCAGCTTGGGGCGGCTAATGTACGCCGGGCTCAAAATATGGGATTGCCCGTATATGCTGAAACATGCCCTCAATATTTCCATCTGACATGGAACGACCTAGTAAGTTTCCTACATCGACTGATAATCAAGAAGTTCTAAGAGAAGATCTAGAAACGGTTCCATTCACCCACTTGTTTCGAAAATAGCAAAATGATATGCTCTCCTCCTCCACCACCGGATGCTTCTGACCAGGAAGATCTGTTTGTGTAAGTCTTATGTATAAGAACATGATGCATGAAATCTATCTAACTTGCATAGTGGCCTTCACAATGGAACCTTCACGATTTACTCATCCGATCACTGCCCTTTCCGCTATGACGACCCCCACGGCAAACCTTCTGGGGTGCTTGAGCACGCCAAGAGCATGGAAGGGGAGTCGCCGGATGCTTGCGAGGATTTGCATGGCCTCTTGGCACGCAAGGAAGGGTCATTTAAATTGATTCCAAACGGAATTCCTGGTGTTGAGACCCGACTTCCACTGCTTTACACCGGGGCACTATCAACTGGCCGCATATCGCCGCAACGGTTTGTAGAGCTTACATCTACAAATCCAGCCAAACTGGTGAAGATTGTTCAACTTGCTCTGTCAATCTATGACATCGCTAATTCGATATAGTACGGGTTATATCCCAAAAAGGGGACGCTGATGCCAGGCTCTGACGCCGATTTGGTTATTGTGAGTTGCGCTTTCCTGCTACAAACCCCGATTCGAGTTTCTGACATTGTGAAAATTAGTGGCACCCTCAGAAGACTTTTGAGCCGTTCCATCTCACGAATGCCCAACTCCACCATAATGTCGATTGTAAGTAATATCTCCACGCCGTATGTACAATTCGTTGACTCTTTTCGCACAGATACGCCATACGAAGGGATTAAGATGATCAATTGGCCTCGTTATACGATTCTCCGAGGCAAAGTGATGTGGGCCAACAGTAAAATACTTGGTAAGATTCGGGATGGCCAGTATGTGAAGCGTGGTCCAAGCCAACTGAGTCAAGGGCTTCCTGGAGCCGATCGAGATCCACGACGTGTTGCAGCTTGGCTATATGACTGAAACAATGGTGTAGGATGTGAAATCCGCATCGAGATATCCACGGATGTATTGTTACTATCGCCCGAAAGATAAGCCAATCGCCCGATCGGCACGTGTTAATCTTGGCTTCATATCCATCCATCCAATGGATCTCTGGATGGGCCCACGGAGGATCGGCTCACTTACCGAAAACACGGTTATCTTCCCGATTTAGCCTACACAACTGGTTGGTAGCCTCAGGCCCTTGTAGTAAGGAGCTCTCTCCACATTTCTCTCTTTTGTCTTGTTCAATTTTCATCCCGTCTACCTGCCCCGCTACATAGTGAATACAACACAGTTCATTCTCTCTATAGAGATCCTTCATTGTGTGACAGTCCCTAGAACAACGGACCTCTCGCCTCCCTTTCTGCCATCTATGGCCTGTCCAAATGAGTCACCTAAGTCCAAGCGGGCGTGCATATAGATCCAAGGCCAACCGGCCTTGCGACCGCTGTCGAGTTAGGAAGACAGCTTGTGTTCTTCCAGAGGGCCCACCTTGCAGGAGTTGCTTTAACAATGGCAAAGAATGCACTTTCAAGCTGCGTCCCAGATTGAAGACCCGGCGCATGAGTACAGAAAATCAAGCTCCTCGCACTACTGGGTCTCAGGAGAGGCAGATTGTAGTATTTCAATCCAGCCCAGACAGTACTCAGTTGCACCACGAGCCACTTCATCAGGAGAGGGGACACTCCTACAATGATCCAATGCAGGTTTGGCCGGTGCAACGAGCTCAAAGTGAGCTTCAAGATGAGCCCGTGAGTCATAATCCTTCAATGGACCCTACAGACGATCATACTATCAGTTTGGATGGAGAACCATTACAACAAATCGGAGGCATCACAAGTCTTGGATCACAGCCCGTTCAACGCATCCGTTCTTTAGATCTCATTGAAGGATCGGTAGCGCAGTTCTATGGCATGTCCTCGGAATCAGATCCGTGGCTGCTTCGACATTGTCGATACGATGAGTATGGCATGCGCAGTCTGCATCGAGCTCACATTCGTAACGTTGGTGGCGTCCCCATCGAAGGGCTGGTGCCAGTCCATTTTCTTGAGACTGAGAAGGATCTAATGCTTCCACAAAGCTCAGATATGGATATTCGGTCCCAGAAGGACACAATTCAATACCGGAACAAACTCGATACCATGGTCTCGCCTGCACATGGAACCCGACTTGTATCCTTATTTCTTCGATTCGTCTTTCCAGCAATTCCAATACTATCCAGATCCCAGCTTGGGTTGTCTTCGTCAGGATCGACTGCTGCTTTCAGAGAGATCCCTGTCCATTTGCTTGCAGCGATATATGCCTCCGCCATCCCTTTTGCAGTCCATGACTCTGTGCTGTGTGTATCTGCCGCCTATGGGGAGCTCTTGTCAGATAAGTTGTGGCATATGGTTTACGAACTTATCCTCCAGGAGATTTACACGCCAAAGTTGGCAGTCTTGCAAGCATCATTGCTCTATCTGCAACAAATCCCCACCGGAAGCTTGAAAGCCCTCCCGGATGGTCCATTCATTTGGTCTTTCCTTGGGTCTACAGTGGCCCTGGCTGTCTCCCTTGGTCTCCATGTTGAACCTCGGCCATGGGGAATTCCTCCATGGGAGAAGCGTCTGCGAAGAAGACTGTGGTGGGCAGTCTACGTAGAAGACAAATGGCGGAGTCTTCTTACGGGCCGGCCTTCATTCATCCACCCTGAAGAGTTTGACATCTTTGAGCTTACTTCCAGTGATTTCATCCAAGATGAGAAACAACAAGAACATGACCATGACTGCCAACCACTTTTCTACTATGCCACAGGCTTGGCTCGTATCGTCGAGAATCTCAACCGGACATTTTAGTAAGACAGATCTCCTTCACCCATGTTAATTCTGTCATTAATCGAACAGTACCATAAAAGCGTCACAGAGACTTTCAGACGATTTTCGCGCGTCCATTGACGCCGCACGACCGATCCGCGCCCAGCTTCAGCAGTGGTACTTATCTCTCCCTGATACTCTTCGACTCAAGTGCGGCTCTGGTGGAAATAGCCACATAGCGTCTAACCCAGCGGAGGGTGCCGCCGACCTTCATTTTTCATACTTGGTTCTTGAGATGTTCCTCTACCGTGCTATTCTCCGTCCTCTTGCGCGATCACCTCCACCGCCCCCGATATCAGATGACACAGACCCAACCCCGCTGGGCTCTTTCTGGCTGGTCGAAGACCTAACATTTGACAGACATGGCTTCGATCAACTCCCAGCCATGAATTCCATGCAGCTTGGCGAGGCTGAAGAGGCTACCCTCAAAGCTGCGGAAAAATGTGCCGCCATAATCGTCAATTTTGTAGGTGCCTTAGTGCCCTATGAGTTTGGATCATTCTGGCATCCTTGTGCGTTATCTGTTCCCCGCGCTTTGACTGCAATCTTCAAGTGGCGTACGTGCTGACCAACTCCGCCTGCCAGGGAATCGAATATGTTTTGCCGCCGTATCCAACTTCGTTACTCTACTCCTTGTACAAGCACCCACCAGGCAACATGCATTAAGATCGAGGGATTTGCTGGATCTGTGGGCACACAATCTTCGCTGCCAGCACTGGAGCCATGAAGGCCTAATAAAACTCGGTCTGGTACGACTCAATCAAATGCAGATCGAGGGACTAGAGAACATTTTCAATTTGCCTGCGCATGTATCTGAGATATTAAGGGATACACAACGTAATTGAAGCAATTCCCCAGGGCTAGCCCTATGTAGTTTGAGGGAGGAGAAACCATGAAGGAATGCTGTATATGTATAAGCTTTGTAACTATTATATCCTCCAATATAATTCTAATCCTACAATCTGTCCGACATTATAGAAACTTATCTTAACTCCAATAGGATTAATACCCCGGCAACTAAGAATTAGGGTGCAGTCGTTCTCAACGCTGCCCCTACGAGTATAGACGTACTATATAGAGAGACTAAGAATATTCTTCGTATGCACAGTGACGTTTAGATGACTAAGATTGTACCTAGGTGATAAACCTGCCCAGGTGGGCAGGAAGCTTAAATCATTTTCAGGAGCCGGTTTACCGCCAATCAGCGTCTCCTTAATTTAGTTAGTTCACTAATTATTCATTACATATAACTACTACACACACGTGCAAATATCCCACAATCAAGATGTGAAGTTTGTTCATCCGGGACACCCGAGAAGGCTGTGCTGGTGGAACCCACTGTTTCCGGAAATCCTTCTTAGACATTTGAAAATAGTACTTCAACATCTCTTCTATTACTCTTCACTTACTTTCAATTACTCTACATTCTACCTTATACATTCTACATTCTTGTATAGAGTACTCTGTTTATACTCTATTGGGTACAGCTCCCTGTAGCCCGGACCAACACCTGCATCATTGTACATGAATCAATCCAAGTTTTGGGGCCGATAGTTGCATAGTACTTCATGCTGTGACCTAGAAGCTCTCTATCCTCTCTGTATAACCTAGGAACTCAATATGGCCTCAATTCCCGCCAACCGACCATATACCTCGCGATTAGCGCCGGAAAGTGCCGCCGCCGCCGCATCACCACAAAAACAAACCTTGTATTCCTCGTCATCCTCCAACATAGTCGTCTCCGATTCGCCCTCACACTACTCGTCCTTCTCCAGCTCCGATAGCGATGGGCCGACGCCCCACTCGATCGAAGTCACAGACGAAGACGCCGCCGGCGATGTGGTGGGGGTGAGCATTGGGCGCGAACAGAGCCGCATGAAGGCCCGCGCGACACCACTGGAAGAGAAGAACCGTGTGCTGGAACACCAAGACGGTTATTTCGCGACAATCCCAGATACCGCGGACGAGGGCGGGTTATTTGTGTCGGAGCTCACGACCGAGCCCGACTCCGTCGATCCAAAGGCCAAGGAGCCGCGCGAGGGCACATATGGCGAAAAGGAGCGTGCCACCTACCCCTCCGTGCAGTATATACAGCCCCAGCAGCACCTGGCACATGGCCCGCGCAGTGATCTTTTCGCCGCGGCTTCGGAGAAGGCCCCGCCGAAAGACGCGGTCATGAGCCAGCGGTCCGGGTTTGTCGGGTCGCTGTTGAAAAACACACTGCCTCGTCGCCCGCGTGCCTGGTCCGGCGAGCTGAAGAGGTTTCTGCCAGACCTTACTGCCCTAAGGAAACGCCGTTCGCTCTCGTTCCGCGTCCCCAATGGCCAGAATAGAATCCGTAGCCAGACAGTTGCTCCCGCAGCTAAGAATTCGGGTGTGCCGAAGCGGACTTCGTCGTTAGTGGATCGGCGGCGCCCGCCCTCATCCCTTGCACTGGATAGCTTCAGCAATGATGACGACGAGTCCGCGCAGCCGATCCCGGAACTGCGCGCGCCGGATGGAACCTCGGCTGCGAAGCATTCGTTTGCCAGGCGGCCTAGCACGGCGATGCCGGGCCGACCACCGAGTCTCCGACGATCCTCGTCGGATCAGTCATTGTACCTGCGCGCGTCGTCTACGGCGTCGTCTTTAGAGCAGCGCCCGCTCTATGAGAATGTGCATTCGCAGGTGAATAGCAGGTTCAAGGCTATCAAGGATAGTCTCCAGGATTCTAGTAGTAGGCTGCTTAGCATGCCGACTCTGCATCTGCAGGATATGCGGCCAGATTGGGGCTCTCGCCAGTTTTTGCCGGATATTGGAAACGGTTCCAGCACTGGTGACACTACTGGCTCTGACAGAGGTTTACCATCACAGCGGACTGCAAGCCCGCCGCCTCCCCCTCTGCGAAACAACCCGAAACCTTCCCATCCTATTCTGAATGAAGCAATGGATGAACTCACAGGCGATGTCGTGATTCTGGGCGGATACCGAGGGTCCATTCTGCGGTCTGCCAAACCACCCCATAGACAGCTTTGGGTGCCGATGAAAGTCGGCCTGAATCTCCGCAAAGTGGACTTGGAAGTCGGTCTGGACCCAGAAGACGAGGAACGCATGGAAGAAACGATCATTCCATCAGGCGTCCTCTCCCATGTCGGACCAGTCGACGTCTGCCGGCGCTTAATGAAGCGTCTCCGCAAGAGCGACAACGCCTTGCGCGGCGACTTGCGCGTCCACGACTACGGCTACGACTGGCGACTCAGCCCAGAGCTTCTCTCGCGCCGCCTCATCACCTTCCTAGAGAGCCTCCCTTGTAACCAGCAATCATCCTCCGGCGAGCCTCGCCGCGGCGCAACAGTCATCGCCCACAGCCTAGGTGGCCTGATAACCCGGCACGCAGTCAACGAACGCCCAGACCTCTTCGCCGGCGTCGTCTATGCCGGCGTCCCCCAGCACTGCGTGAACATCCTCGGGCCGCTCCGTAACGGCGATGACGTCCTCCTCAGCTCGCGCGTCCTCACAGCACAAGTAAATTTCACCTTCCGCACCAGCTTCGCCCTCCTCCCTGAGGACGGCCACTGCTTCATAGACAAGCAAAGCAAGAAAGAATTCCGCATCGACTTCTTCGACCCCAAAACCTGGGAAGAGCACCGCCTCTCACCTTGCATCGGCCCTGCCCTCCCAGTCTCCTCAACATCAACGGTAACCAACGCCCTTGGCCTAAAAGACCTCCCCATCATCGGCAAGCGTTTCTCCATGCCCCCACCCCAAGACTCCGACGACTCCCCAGACGACGACCAAAACCCCCACCACACACCTAACCCAGCCGCCTACGCCGCCTACGCCGCCGAAAAAGCCCACAGCCCCCACAACCCAGCCGACGGCATCGTCGGGCCCGTCGCACACCCGCGTGGCAGCGCCGGCACCACAAAAGCAGCCACAACATCAACTATCCCGCGCGCCGCGGCAATGGCCTATCTAACCCGCACGCTCGCCGAAACCAAGCGCTTCAAGTCCAATCTCGCTTTCCGGCCCGCCCACCACGCAGAAAACAGATACCCGCCTGCAGCCGTGCTGTACGGCAAGACCGTGCCGACGGTGTACGGGGCGCGGGTGGCTTCCGCGGAGTGCATGAAGCAGGTTGATGCGTATGACGACTTGGCGTTTGCGGCGGGCGACGGCGTTTGTCTCGCTAGTGCTGCTATGTTGCCGCCTGGGTATCGGATTATTAAGGGGGGTTTGGTAAAGAGCGATCGGGGACATGTTGGGTTGCTTGGGGATTTGGAGGGGGTTGGGCAGTGTTTGAGGGCTGTTGCTAGGGGACGGAGGGAGGGGGTTGGGCTTGGAGAGAAGGTTTTGTGATTTTGATTTTAGAATTTGGACATGTTGCATTTGGGCTTTGGGGTTTGTTTTGAGCTGATGATACCATTTTGGATTTTGCGATTGGGTTGGCTTTGGTTGTGGTAGATTTTGGCATGTGGTTTGGCATACTTTGCATGTTTATACGAAGACTTTGTAGAAATAGAAGATTTACGACTCGAGAATGAAAGGAATCCGCCAGAAAATGTGAAAAGCGAGACATGAGGGAGATAGAGATAGAAGGAATAAAAGGATCAAAACCGTACATTGGAAAGATAAGTATTTTCATTTAACCCTAGTCCATTCTATGTGCTTTTGACTTCGAAAGAATAAGTATATCCCCAAATTTCATCGGTATATAAGAGAAATAATCATAAATGCTATAAAAAACCAACAACAAAAAAACAAATCGTCAAGTCTTAATCAGTGCGCGAGTTGGCAATGTTCAGCACCAAGATATCAGTCGCGCCAACTGTGCTCAGCTCATCCATCACCGTAGCAATGCGCTTCTTCTCCACCATCGAGCTAACAGCGACCCAGTTTTCCTCCTCAAGCGCAGTGATAGTAGGCGCACGCTTGCCGGGGGTGATCTTCGATGCGACAGGCAGCTGAGCACGGGGAATATTGTATTGGCACAGCACGAACTTCTGCGCAGTGATGACACCACGCAGACGGGACGTGAGCAGAGTGAGGATATCACTGTTTGACTCGCGGGCCTTGACCAGCACCGCTGTGCTCGACACAACTGTGTCAATAGCCTTCAAACCAGCCGCCTTCATGGTCTCACCAGACTCTACAGGGCAGGGCATTAGCATGCGTCTCGTCTCCCAAAATGAAACTTGAGTACCACCACTCGGAATATGAGTATGACTTACCAACAAGATCGACAATACCGTCGGCAACACCCAGCGCGCAAGCAGCCTCCACACTGCCACCGACATACTTGATCTTAGTGCTGAGCTTGGCGCCGGCCTCGACGCCCTCAAGACCGCGGAAGAATGCCTCAGTCAGGGCAGTGAAGCTCGTCACGACATTGCGGCCAACGAGATCCTTAGCTTCCTTGTAGTCGCCCTTCTCGGGGACCTGCACCTGCAGCTTGCAGGCGCCGAAGCCGAGATCGAGGATCTCCTCGACGCCGGAGACTTCGCCGGCGGGGAGGGTGGCGTCGTGTTCGGCGACCTGGTCACGACCGGTGATACCGAGGTCGACGCGGCCTTCGCCGACGAAGGTCGGGATGTCGGCGGCGGGCAGGAAGATCAGCGCGATGGGCAGATTCTTGACGAGCGCAATGTCGAGGCGGGTTTCGCGGCGGAACTGGACGTCGCAGCCGGCGAGGAGGTCAAGGGTGGCTTGTTGGAGACGGCCCTCTGTATGGTGGGTGTGCTGTTAGTCTTTTTGTTCTTGGGCTCTTTCATTTTCTTTGTTGGCTTGTAGAGAGCTATGAGTCACTGTTGGGAGAGAACTTGCTTTTGGGCACGGCGAAGAGAAGACGGCCTTCGAGGCTGGGGGAAATTGTGTTAGTAGGGATCTCAATGGCGCAATTGAGGTTGACTCACTGGTTGACGAGATCCATGACGATTGAGCGCGGCGCGGTGCTTTGATGGATTTTTTTGGGAGGGGTAAGGGAATTGGCAATTGACGAGTGTATTTGGTCAATTGGAACGTAGAGACTGTGGAGATGCTTCAGACCAGCCTTGGAAGAATACAAGAATAATTAATAAACCAGAGGAGTCAGAGATAGCAAGATCGGAGACAGAAATTGGAGGGGCAGATTACTTCCGGTGAGCTAGTGACGGGACGGGGGGGAGTGCCGATGAGAGAAGTATAAGCCCACGTGAATAGAGCGGTGGTGTAGAATTGTTGATAGTCTAAATGCTTGATTTATTTTCCCTCAATTGATTTTATATGGTTGACTTGTTCTGTTCAGAGCACTGCTTGTCTAAATAAAAAAAAATGTCATAATGTCATGCCCGCTATCGGAGCCGGAAATCCAAAAAGATTATCTGCCTTAATACCTTAATGCCTTGTCGCCTGAATGCCCTATCTATCAGGCCTAAAACAAACCCCAGCTGACTCATCTTATGCCTGACGGCTCAGGTGTCCAGCCCTGAGCCCTCGCGTAATTTGCACGAACCCACACAGGGCAAATTCAATCTTCAACACTCTCTAACCTTCCCGACCAACCCACTCCAACCCTCGAGCTCAACGCCCTCTCCTTCCTCAAGATGGACTCCAGCAAGCAGCCCCCCGTTAAGCTCGTCAAGGTGACCCGTGTCCTCGGCCGCACCGGTATGTGCTATCCCAACTATGTGAAGCCCAAAAATCCACAATTCGATATCCGCGGGGATTGCGCCCCAGATCGACCCGGCCGAAAATGAAACCACACACTTGGAGGAACAGCGATGGCTAATTTATGGTTTTTTATTATATAGGATCCCGTGGTGGTGTCACCCAGGTCCGTGTCGAGTTCATGGATGACACTTCCCGTTCCATCATCCGTAACGTCAAGGGCCCAGGTATGCGATGACTCGAATCCATTCAATGCAATCCAATCCGTCATTTGGGACGATCGCAAGAGGAGGAAAGGAAATGGGGATCTTCAATTTATCTCGAATTGAAGAACGGCCCATGTCGAAATTATAAGAAATTTCGAGGATCGATCCAAAGACGAGACGCAAACCCCATCTCCGAACCACTCACTAACAATGCTTTCCCTCTTTTCCAGTCCGCGTTGACGACATCCTCTGCTTGCTCGAGTCCGAGCGCGAGGCCCGCCGTCTCCGTTAAAATACAAAACGAAATTTCGCTCGCGTCGTCTATTTTGTCTCTCTTATTCTCTCGCATATCCCTCACGACGGGTTGTTCATGATTACTCTTCGGCCAAAATCGAGTCCCCCGCAATTCCATATTTCTTCAACCTCCCCAACTTCCTCAGCCCTAAGCCGCCGCGCTGCCCAACCACCATCTTCTATCGACTCTCAGGGCCTCTGCTTACGATGTTTCGACTGGAGGGTGAATGTTTGGGTGGATTGACTTTTTGGTAATTTTTGATGCCGAAATGTCCCGGAAATTATGGAGAACCGATCGCGAGAGAGGGGATCAGAGAGCGCAAAAAAGATAATAGAAAGCCTTTTTTTTACATTGCTACGAGAAACGAAATCAGGTTCTTGCGCGAGGGCTGGTTTGGGCTTTGCTGTTTTACTACATACACGCATGGGCTCAATACGACAAACGAGGTTGTGATGTTGTTTCCTTCTTTTTCCTCGTATTGGATCTCTCTCTGGTACTTAGAAACAAAACGCCGATTCGAACCTGGGCCTGGTTGACAAAAGAACAATGGAATCCAAAAACATTTGAAAACTTCCGGTTCAGCCTTGTCGGGGGTCTCGAGGGCGTTTGTAGAGCTTCTAGAATATTGTAGTTTGTATGGCTTGAGGGGTACCTTACCCGTCTGGAATTGATCAGTGTGTCTCTGAACATTAGACGGATATGTGATCTATGTAATCATATGAACTCTGAAGGTTGATTCAAGATTTATCAACGATAACCCAGGAACGCTCAATGCAAATGTTACTGTACAGTGCGGCAATGCCCTGCATAATTGCAAATCAGAACTACAGCTGCTCGGCACTAGCCACAAGCCTATCAAACAGCCCATCACTAGCCAACTCCGCAGGCCCAAGGACACGACCAACAGCACCAACAAGCCCAGTCAACCGTTTCCGGCGAATAGACTCCTCCAGCTCAGTACTCTTCTGACGAGCAACGTCAATGACAGCCGAGGGCAGATTTGCCAGCCGCGCAACATTCAACCCATAACTGCGATGTGCAACACCTTCGGCTACCTCGTAGAGGAAAGTAATCTCCTCCTCTCCGTCCTTAACCTCGCTCCCCGTCTCGGTGAACCGCATATGAACATTACGGAGAGCTTGGTCTGGGAAGGACTGTACCATCCGCGAGAGATGCTGATAGTGGGTGATAAACAAGGTGAGGGACCCTATCGATCGAACCATATAGTCGAGAACGGCCTGCGCGATAGCGACGCCGTCGTGCGTCGACGTACCACGGCCCAGCTCGTCGAGGATAACCAGGGACCGCGGTGTTGCTTGCTTGAGGATATCTGCTGTTTCGGAGAGCTCGACCATGAACGTTGATTCGCCGGCGAGCATGTTGTCGAATGCACCCATGCGGGTGAACACCGCGTCTAACAGACCCAGTCGCGCTGATGCTGCGGGGACGTAGGATCCAATCTGGCCCATGATTGCGATCAGTGCTACCTGTCGCACGTAGCTGGATTTGCCGCCCATGTTTGGGCCTGTGACGAGGAGGGCGCGCGTCCCGCCGTGTTGGAGGTTCGTGTCGTTGGGTACGTATGCGTCTGTGAGGAGTTGCTCTACCATTGGATGGCGGCCTTGTTCGATGTGAAGGCCTGCTTCCTCTGTGTACACGGGCTTGACGTAGCCAGGTTGTTGGGCTATTTCTGCGAGAGACAAGAGACAGTCAAGTGTTGCGAGGGACTGGACGCAATCCCGGAGGGTTTGGTACTGGGCCGCGATTTCGGCCAATAGAGCTGCAAATGCTTGGTCGCAAGCTGCTGCTAGTGCTTCTTTGTGTTGGTCACGCTCGCGAACGAGCCGGATGACTTCTGGTGTGTGGAAACGTGATACCCTTTTTGTGCCACTGACTTTGATCCACGATGCCGGTACGCGTTTCAATGCCGGTGAGTTGTTCTCGATTTCGATCAGATATTCAATGCCTGAAACTGTGGAGTACTCGATTTTGCCTCTCCCAATGGTCGAAGCCGCCTCATTGCGATGTTCTAAAAGGCTGTGCTCGATGCTTCCGATTTGGAGCTTATTTTCGCCGATCTCTTCTGTTTCTTCTGCTTCACGGAAGAAGGTGTACTTATCGTTAGTACGGGCGGCATGCATGTTGATCTTGTCTAAAAACTGAACAATGTCCTTTCGAATCGTTGGCAAAGATGCAATAGCCTCGCTCACTAGCGATGATTCAAAGCCAGTATGAGCGGGCGACTTGATATCTGCAAATTCCATTGCAATCATCTGCATGGCTTGAAGCACAGTGAGAAGTTCAGGCCGCGTGCACTGTATCCCAAATCAGTCAAAATACAGCATTGAACACACAATATGACCTCTTACCTTTCCGTAGTAAATGCGAATCAAGTTCTTCTCCAAGTCGCTCTTGACTTTACTTAGAAGACGTTGAACTCTTTCTACAGGACCCGCCCGAGCAGGATCACAAAGCTCTTCGACGGCATTTGTCCGTTCCTCAAGGCGCGCCTTGTCAAGCAAAGGCCGCCCAACCCATTGCCGCAGCATACGCTGTCCGAAACGGGTTTTGGTTCGATCCAAAGTCCAGAACAAGCTGCCCTTTGCCGAATGATCAGTCTGGTTTTGGTAAATCTCCAGGCTGACCAGCGTGTTCCCGTTTAAAAGCATATGTGAGCGAGCAGAGAAAGGCTGGAAGTATTTCGTGAGGTCAAACACATGTTCCAGCCCATACTCGGTCATATGCTCGATCATAGCAGAGAGGCAGATAGTCACTTGCTCCGGGAGACCAAGAACATTTTGAAGGAGCTTTGCGGCTTGGGCATCCTCTTCGGTGCTCGTTGCTTTCATCTTTCCTGCGTAGAATCCCGATACATGGCTGTGTGCCTCGGCAGCAGAAGTCTTCTGTTTCTGAGCACGTTCGAGACGCACGGCATCCCCGAATACATTCATTTTGCTGCCAGACAGATGCTGGACGAGCTTTTCGCTTGCTCGAGACATCTCTCCGACAATCAAGATTTCACAGGGAGCGATGTGTAATAATCGTGTCTCGATCTCGCTCCGCATGAATCCATCCTCAAAATCATCGTAGATAACATCACCAGTAGCCGGCTGCACAGCTACTATCCCGACGTGGACTCTCTCATCATTTCCGTGACCCTTACCACTGGACTCCGTCATGCAGAGCATGTACCCCGTGGCAGGTGAGGCGCCTCCGGCCGCCGGAGCAGGACCCTCAAGGCCCTCGGCGTCATCGATATAGGTTCCTTTGGTGTATAAGTTGGTCAACTTGCGCACAAACGGCGCATTGCGGTTGTCGCCAGCAGCCTTGAGTGCCGCCGTCTCAATCTGGCGCACCACGCCGACCTTGTGACCGGCAGTAACGAGTCGCTTCACATGTACATGCAATCGATGCACCGGGATGCTAGCTGAAGCAAAACGTCCAATGTGTGCTTCTGAGGGATCTGCAAAAGATTATTAGTATGGGAATACCCAATATACAGGTCTGCAGGTGCACTTACGTTCGTCGAATCTGAATTTGCCCGGGATGCACACAATGCCTAGTTCCTTCGCTGCAATGCGTGCGTCTTCTCCAAAGAACCGGAACTTGTATCCGACCTCAATCACCAGCACTGTATTCATATTCTGGCGTTTGATCTCAATGACCTGTTTCTCCATGGGCGTGAGTTTGCTTGTGGCCTTCTTGGCGCCCTTGCCTTTAGTTGGGGGAGGTGGAGGTTCATCATCTTCCTCTGCCTCTGCATCCTCAGCCTCGACGTTTGCGACATCGTTCACTACAGTTCTTCCAATCCCGACTTGACAGTCCGTTCCGCCGAGCTTCTGAACGAACTGCTTGTGTAGGTTCTCCTTCTCTTTCCTTCGCTTTTCTTGCTCCGGATCTTTATTCTCTGTGGGGGCTGGAGCAACGGTAGCGGAGCTTTGGAATTTATAGATGTCGGTGCGTTGGCTGCTCGACTGGGACGGGTGTTCGAAAGGCATACTTGCCGCAACTCGAATTGGCTCTTCTGCGTCTGTGTCGGTCGTCTTCGCCCGCTTTGGGGCCGGTGGCATAATATCCTCATCATCCTCGTCAACCCCAGCTGGGGCCGTATTTTCCTGCTGGGCCTCGTTCGTCTTCTCGATTGGTGAAGCTTGTCGCTTCTTGGGTGTTTTGGCCGGGGTGGCTTCGGAGTCCTTCAGCGCGGTTGAGGCGGGTTTTTGGGTGAAGAAGCTTGATATTGTCGCTTGCTTTCGCTTCATAGATGACGAGGGGGCAGATGATTGCGAGGAATGAGGCGCCATTTTGAGAAGGGAATTGCTCCCGCCGCAAGTGTGGTAGCGGCAATAGGGTGGGACGTCTGATTCTGAGGCTATGGAGGTGATAGAATTTGATTAAGCTCAATACAAATCATGTCCCATTTCAGCTTTGCTTTTTGAGAATGGAAAATGCTTTACTGTGAAGTTTCTCAATTTGCTCGAATCTCGACGCGTACAGAACGCGCTGAGGCGTTAATGGATTCTGACTCAGCAATTTGTTTCACCCGTGGTGAGAGGTCACAATCGCCTAGTTCCCTCCATCCTTGAATTATTTTGGTATTGACCTGAAAAAAGGCAGTCTAGGCATTAATTAAACTCCAATCTGTAAGTATTGATACCGACAATGCACCTCGCTTTGTTGGTCTTCATGCACTAAATTGCAAGTGACTCGTGCCATCTATATAATTTCTACCTCGTATATCCGTCAACAATCCCCAATGAGAGACACGAGGACCTTCAATCCGTCCCCGGATAAACAATTCCTCATTTAGCAAGTGAACAGAAGAAAAAGACCATCATTTCTATCAAAGCAAATAAAAAGACCTGTAGGCTACGGAAAAGACATAGAAGAAGACGAGCTTTTGGCCTGCGATGCAGTTTATGGATGAGAGACAACCTCTGAAGACATTTCGGCGGGAGAATTGGAACCAAAAGTGCTAACTGGTCGATAGAGGGGCTGTCGATGCTTTGCTCTGTATCAAGAAGCAATGTAAGAGGATTACTAAAGTGAGCTCAAAATACGATTCGAAAAGTGGACATCGTCAAGTGGGACTTTCAATAAGCAGAGTCTTAAGAGGGAGATCAAAATACTGGCTAGTGTGGCCCTTGAAACAAGTTGATATCAAAATAGAGCTCTATCTGTGACTATACTGCCTGCATATAGCAAATAGGTAGGGGCAAATGGAAAACCTTGGTAGTGCGAGGTGTTCATATTATGAATACTGGCTAATCATGATAGTGTACAGCATATCAAACAGCCCAACTGGGATGAGAACTACAAATCAACAACATGTGAATGACCACCCTTGATACAAAAGGGTAATGAGCCTTGGTCTGGATAGAAACTCTGTCGTCGTTTCGAGGAGAAATCATGGTAAAGCTACCATTTTCACAGCTTGCATGGTCTCAGTCTTCAGTTTCGAGTCGCTTGGTATCGGCAGTCAATTCGGAAAAGGTGTATGGTATCACGTCATTCGGGTCCGGAGAGACATCAGGATTCAAACAGGAAGTAATTATGAAAAAGGTAGCGGGCGAGAAGGTCTGGTTGAAACGGGGTCAATAATGGGGTTGATTAGTCGGCGCAAGTAACCTGATAAAGCCCGGGAAATTCCAAATTCTCCTCCGAAATTGTCTCCTCAGATGCAGGAGCTTTCAGGATTGACGACCATCCATCGTGGTTTGCTTCATTATCCTCCTGCTTGAACGGGTTGTCATAGGCCGGGGGCTTGGGAGCAAACAAAGGGTTGGATCGGTATCCAGACTTGAGATTGCCATTAAAAGGACCGCTGAGTCCAAGCAAAGACGGCTCATCAAAGTACAGAGTGCCGAGTTCATCAGGGCCAGTGCGCTTGGCGAATGGAGAGTACCAGCCGTGTGGACCAAGGCCAAAGCCAATTCTGCCCTGAGCATTCAAAATAGGCTCGATGTTCTCCTTGTTAGCTGATGTATGCGTAGCCTTCGAGGCACGAATTCCAGAAGCATTTGACTTGTTGTCTAAGAGTAGGCGGGTGGGAGTCAACGTGCCAAATTGTCCCTTCGATTCCATGTCCTGGCCCAGGTAAGTGTGTTTGCCTCCCTCGCCATCAGCAAACACGTTGAAGCCACCCCTCGCTCGCTCCCCAAATGTGTTGACAGACATCTCGAATTCCCCATCATAGCTAGCGTGAGTTGGGATGGGATCTGCCACACGGCGAGAACGACGGGGTGATTTGTAGTCTTCCTTAATTGAAACCTCGCTAGTAATTTTGCGTCGATTGAATACAGCAGATCTCTGTCGCTTTCTGTCCGCAGCGCGAGGCACGTTAGGATCAGCACGAGCCAGCGGAACCCGGGGGCGAGCTTGGCGCCGGCGAGGAACCGGGGTTTCTCCCTTTAATGGGGTGTCCTCCTCGACATTGCCAGTGATCACACGTTCTTTGAGAAATTTGCCCGAGGGAGAGAAGATCAGCTCGCTAGGCTCAATGATCATAGATGTGATTTCCATCTGCTTTAGCACAGTGCCATCCTTTTTCTGATTGCGCCGGCGACGCATAGCCTCAGTGGCTGCATCAAAACAATCCATGCCGGGCCAAAGAACGCCTTTGAGTCTTGCAATTTCCTCTGCCCGAGATCCAGTTATGCCCGATGACCGAGTGCGATCAGCAGAGTCGATGGAGGGGTTTGGGGTCTCCTGACCCATAGCCCAGTCCATATCGTCGGCCTTCCTCTTGCGTCGGGGCTGTACTGGCGTCACAGGGTACACCGAAAGCTTGTTGTTTCCCAATTCAGATCCGTTGGGCGGGAAAGTCTCAGTCGAGTGTTGGTCCATAGATGTTCGCACCGACCGGAGGATTGGCCCTGTGCGAGTTCTCTCATTGCTGTTCACAGCAGTCCAGCGGATTGGTGTAGCAGGAGAGTCTGCATCTTTCTTCTGTTGGCTATTGTATGTACCAGCCAAGCGTGGATCGATACAATCAGAAACCGGAAGGGCGGCAGGAGTGCTGAAGCCAACTGGCTCCAAGGTGGATTCTTGTTTGATTCTGGGTTGGCTTTTGGAAACATTTGGAGTCTTCTCCTCTGACTTTCTCTTCTTGCGTTGTTCCTTGGAATGCAGGCGAAGGGACAGCAGTGGACCGAGGTTATGAGCTTCGTACCAGTCATCGTATCGTTTCAACAGCTCGGCTGCTTTGGGGTTTGCGGTGCTGCGGACCTTCAGGCCGAATTGACTGGCCAGATGAGCTTTGGAGGCCACATGGGTCAGTAGGTGAGACAGGTCACAGAATTGAGGTCGCTTAGTGCAGATGATGCACTGGAGGTCGGGTTCGTCCATGGTCCAAGAAGAAATGCACAAACGGAACGAGGTACAAAAGGTAGGGGCAAAAGGACCCAATTATCGAAGGAAGAATGGCCTTGGGTGAAGGCGAAGGAACGATGATGAGATGAAGGGAATAGAAAGGCGGGGAGTTGGTTTGTTGACATCAACAGAACTGGTGGTTCTTGCCTATAGTTATCGTTCTTTATCGTTCTCACTACAAGGAAAGCGCTATCCATGCGGTCCCGAAATCGCCGAATAGTCACGGGATTATTGGAACTTCAATTCAGGAATAATACTTGCATTCATTCATTCATCATTCATTCAAGTATTCAGAGGTTGATATGTGCCACGATGTCTTAACAGCTCTTCGGCCATTGTGGGAGGATATGAAGCGGAATAAGTCAAAGTGGACATCATTCTCCTCCCGCATTGTACCCCGTGGTCCATGGGAAGAGAACGCTCACGGGTTATTAGATTGCGGGAGTGTTCTCCAGAAGAATTGGGTATTACAGCTCAGTATCAACTGATAAATCATCCTGCAAGGCATTTGGTTGTAATTGACTTGGGCATACAACTAGAAAGGTTAGCAGGTTATATAAAGGATCACTGAAAGACTACTCACTAAACAGGATCGATCTCTTCCAGACCATCAAACTTTAATAAACTCAACCCTGCAAGGCTGAAATGAGTGTGATAGACATCAACCATATTGCCGGGGCGGTCTGCAAAGCCACCAGAATCAGGATCCTAGCAGAAGTATTAACAAGGGCCCTACCAATATAAGATAACGATATCAACTAACCTGGCATTGTAGGACAAAAGCTGCAAGCTTCTTCCCATCGATCCAATGGAGGCGATCAATCATAGCAAGACTAGATCCCACCCACCAGGTATAACACGCATCAGCGAGCTTTTCTGGTCGGCCATTAAAGCCACCACTTTCTATCTGACGTTCACTGAGCCAAGCTCCAAGGCGATCCTTGTTCACGAGATCCATGCGACCAGCAATGGCTAATGCACCAATACAGGTAAACACCTGGCCAGCATGGGACTCAGCACCAGGGCGGATACCATAAGCACCATCTAGATTTTCACAGCTTTGGACGTGAGTGACGGCCTTGGGTACATCAACCAAGTCCATCAAACGCAACAACGACAGCGCATTGAGGGCACCATATAAGAATCGGGTATCAGTTTCACCCCACTGGTCTCCCATGAAAGAACCATCTGCGTTCTGAAGGCTTGCAATGACTGTGATAGTTTAGTAGGACAATTAATCTTGAAAGTGAGGAAACGGCGTACAAGACCCAACTTTCTCCTTGCCACCTCGGCCTTGCTTCTCAAGTTCATCGACAGCATCGATAGTGACCAAGATTTGAACCGCCGAGACGGTGTAAAGCATGTGAGCATCATGGCCGGGAGCAGCACCGAAGCCACCATTATCACTTTGGCAGGAGAGAACGAAGTTGATGGTCTCGTCTCGCGGCAGTGTATCTGGGTGACCCAGGATATGCAGGGCTGTTAAACCCCAGTAAACACCATTCAATCGAAGGTGTTCGGTCAGCCAATATTCTAGTTCATCTTTCCTCTATATTCGTCAACCATCAGACGATGTTCAGCCGATTTGTCAAGAAGCACGCACTGTGTCCAGGTTCTTAATGTAAGTCACATGCTTCGAAGTATGAAGTTCGGTGTCTGCGGGGCCTCCAGCTCTACCAGGGCCAGATACTAGTGCCATTTTTAAATGATGGAGGTGGCACAAGAAGGAGAGTGGTGATTGGTTGTGTTAGTAGATCAAAGATCTGAGAAACTGAAACTATTAGTAGCAAGGGCGGTGAGATTCATTCAGCTCATGATTAGTGTTCACGATGTGTCCAAGCACAAATTGTGGCTTATGCGCTAGCCCTGGAGTTATGTTAGGATGAGAGAGAATCCGGTTTAGTGTGTCATGGTTTTTGTGATTTGACCGCTCACGTGAGTGATCAACTGCCCTAAAGCCGGACTCGGCAATATAAATTATTATTTATAGGCTATAGGTTGACCATTTAGCGTTTACCACTCGGTAGAAATCCTGCTGATTGGGTGAACAAAAATATCAACATCCGTGCACAAAGCACTGTCATCCCCGAGGCGCTAGTTTGACATCCCCAGCCATGTTTCAGAATGGATGGAACCTCGTGTGCATGCAGGAAGGCTTGCGGTGTGGAAAACGCTATGAACTACAATATCAATTAGTGGAAATTGTTATCACTTTGCATGATTGTTTATGTTGTACTGCATAGGGTGATCATATTTCAATTTACCACATTGTGTAGATTCAACGGTTTTTTTCATCTATCCATTATTCACCTTTACCCGAGGACCACAGTGGGGGTTTCTTTTCAACCCACGCGCAAATCCACGCAAATCGTCTAACCTTGGGGGCTAGTGTGCCCCGGAGGATTTTCAGCGTTGTAGCTCCGAGTCTTCCCATGTCATACAAAATATTATAAGACAAACAACAATAATTGCACACCGTAGCACAATTCCAAGGTTGATGAATGGTCTCTGAAACAAAAAAAACCCCACCATAAGAGGGATCCATGGTCAAGTCGGTGATATTGGATCATTCTGATTCTTTACCGGGTCGAATATGGGTTGACCCGAAACCCAGGCTAATTTAATTTAGGAAAAAAAAGTGGATTCACGACAAATTCTGTGTATTTAACTAGTTGCAGCTTACCCCTGATCCTTCGAAGGTATCTAATCGGGTAAATAGTAAACATCTTGCTTGAATGTATAAAACCAGTAGACATGGTAAAGCCTATTGGATCTACAGAGATATTTACATACATCTACAACTTGCTCTATACTCCAATAACCTTTATAAATGCTGTCATCATAAAATTATTATAAACAATCGTGCTCCTTACCATGGGTTGTTATCAGGAAGCCAGGCACTCAAGTTCCGATCCACCAATAGAATCCTAGACCGACTGCAACGTAAGGCAAGCACATCATCCCGCCCGTGGCTCCAGCTGCCAGACCCAATGGCTCTGACCTACAAAAGTGGAGGGGCCTCTGATCATTTACACAGCCTTGATCTTCCAACGTTTATCATGTCCTTTGTACGTGGTATCTAGGTATGCATGATGGACAACTGAAATTGATTCTCGTCAATTTGCAAATTACACGTTGAAATAGGCCTAATTGATTGATATGTGCACTTGCAATGTCTATAATAGATTTATATTTTTTTTTAACAAATTTCACATCACAACTACAACGCACATACAACGCAATAAGCATGATGTTTACCCACCGTCAGATCCACGTCACGGTGTCCCTTGGTTCTCAATGACATTTCATCCCTTCAGGGGAATCAGATATGCTAAAGGGAAATTAACTGTTGATGATCCTCACCATTGTTTTTCTGTCCCCCTCATCTTTATCCTACAATCTTGGGTACATTATGTATAGATCTTATAATGTTTCATGTTCTCCCACGGATAATGCTTTGATATTATATTAAAAGAAACTAGCCTTAAAAATATAATGGAAAAAAAAGAAGCCTATTATTTTTCTCTCTCTCTCAAAAAAAAGGCTAGTGTGGCTTGAATCACTATTTGGTATGCTCTTCTCTTCTACCCTAGACTAGTGTGTACCGCTAAGTCTATTAGGAGTTCACTCAACTTTTTTTTCCCTTTCTCTGTGTACACGCCTTGGAAATTCTTCTTCAACGCCTGCTATTTATGTTATTTAGTAATTTCTCTACATATTTTGTTTGACCTTGATCCACACAACTCCTGTCTGCCCTTCCGCCCTGCCGATCCCCGAAGCGCCCAAAAGAGGGGGTGAACTTGAACAACCTCTTGGTCTCACGAGCGGTGGAAACATTGAAACCATAATATGAGGATTAATGGTGAGTGATCAGCTGAACGAGGCAGATAACCTGTCCATTGTCTATGCGATCTTGTTCCTGGCCTTGTCCTGTCAAAGAAAGTGGCTTCTTTCAACTCGGAATTTGCCTGCATATGTCACCACATGCGGTCTCACCTGTCTTTTTTTGGCTCTTCTTTCACATGTTTTTGATTTTGCTGACTAGTATATCTGGCGCTCCAGATCCCGTTTCCATACCTTGATTCAATACCCTGAACGTAAGCGCATTCGAGGCGTCATTCTCACCCCCGAGCGAATCGCTACACGGACCTCGAGCCGCGCCCATTGATCCTGGTACAAACACCTCAGCCGCATAGGTGACTTGCATTCGGCGCTGAAGTGCAACCGCCAGCCCAAGGATCATTTCATCTGAATCTACGGGTCTAGAACCCCCCACAACCTTGATCCTGAGCCTTCGCATACAGTTCTGGTTCCTCAATCGTCCAACATGCCAAATCGAGCGTCGACTGTGCCCAATCTCGACCTGAGCTCATTCAGGATGGAGTCGAAGAAGGATAAGATCTCATCGCCTCTGACACCGAATGACCAGAGTTCGGACGGTCCGAGTCCCCAGACGCCTCGCTCGCCCAAGTCAGCCTCCAGCTCTCCGCTCTTCAAAGGCGCAACCATTCGTCCTGTCACGCAAGACTCAAACAAGGCTACCAGCCCAACCTTCTCACTCTCTCCGCACACAGCCCCCGCCGGGCCTCCAACGCCCGGTATCACGGCCATTCCTCAACATTTTCCTTCTCCCAAAGACTCAAAACACACGCGGGATAAATCATTCTTCGGTACCCTCAAAGCACCTAGAACGTTACATAAATCACAGCGCTCCGACAGCTCGGAGAATTCGACTGAGCCTCCCAAAAGCAGAGGCAGCTCCAGAGAGCGCAGGATACCAATGACTACTAAGACATATGAGTCAACACCCGATCTTTTGGGGGCGCTTGCTCAATCAAATGAGACTGAAAGGACGAGTGAGCATTTATCCCAGCGCTCGCTTCTATTTTATCTAACAATTAATCTACAGATGGACACTCAGTCAACAAGAGCTCGCATCAACATCAACCAGGTACGAAGAAAGTCGGTACAGATCTAGACTCTGCCGCGCCTAAGAAAACTATGCGATTCGCGAACCTTCTCACTCGATCTCGCTCCATCCGAGTCGACGAATCATCCGGGAATAGAGCACCGGGCCGACGACCATCCACCGGTCTAGCCAAGCTGGACGAGTTCAATCAAGGCGCCACAACAAATCCACCTCGCTCAACGAACTTGCGACCCGAGCGCAACGTGAGTCGAGGAGCAGGCTTGCAGCCACCTGAGCGCCAAGCAGACGCCATTTCTTTGCGTAGAGAGCGCAGCCACGGCAACATGGTTGCATCTGGCTCACTGAGTCAAGTTTCCGGCGCCTCTGCCGCTATCTTCAGCAACCTCAAGTCATCTTCAAGCGGAGCTGCAGACCGAATTGGCAAGGCTGGAAAGGGCTTCTTTGGCAAAATTACTCGCAGCGGCAGCACCAATGAGCGAGAATTAATCACCGATGACTCTTACACATGCTCGGTGATTAACCTTCCCCTTATCGAACAAGCGCGCAAGACTCGCATTGCGAAGAAGTTGGAAAATTGCCGTGACAAAACCGAATTTTGGATGCCTGCCTTGCCATACCGCTCTATTGATTATTTGAACTTCAAGGGCTGCGAGGAAGAAGGTCTCTATCGAGTACCCGGTAGTGGTAGAGAAGTTAAGCATTGGCAACGACGCTTCGACACAGAACTCGACATCGATCTTTTCGAAGTCCCGGATCTATATGACATCAACACAATTGGGTCTCTCTTCAAAGCATGGCTACGAGAACTACCAGACGAGCTCTTCCCCAAGGCAACGCAAGCGATGATTGCCCAGAAGTGCGCAGGCGCCACGACAGCGCCACAGCTTCTGAAGGACGAACTCTCAAAACTACCTCCCTATCACTACTACCTCCTCTTCGCCATCACCTGCCATCTCAACCTTCTCCACTCCTACGTCGATCAGAACAAAATGGACTACCGCAATCTGTGCATCTGCTTCCAGCCCTGCATGAAAATCGACGCCTTCTGCTTCCAGTTCCTGGTCTGTGACTGGAAGAACTGCTGGCAGGGATGTTGGACAGAGAAGGAGTACCTCGAGATCGAAAAGAAGATGGACGAGCGTGACCAGAAATTGTCGGAGGAACAGAGACAGGAACAGGAACAGCACCAGGAAGCTACCAAGGAGAACCAGCAATCTTCTGCCAGTCATGAGCGCGCTATCTCGTCTTCCAGCAGCAGCGCCGATGAAGAAACTCCCCGCCCGGCGCCCTCGCGCATCCGAAAAGCTCCACCGAAGAATATCGAGACGGCGCATGCTCGCAGTGTCTCCCAGCTCCCTGAATTGGGTCCTCCCCTATCCCCTATCAAAATCTGAAATCGATCCTGAGTCTCCCCTTGGATACCAGGATCTCTGCTTGTGATTGGTTTTCAATTCGGCTGGTCCGTGTTTGGTCGTATCTGCAGGTACAGATAAAATCAGACGACTTGGTTTGCGGTTGCATTTCCTCCCTTTTACCGTTTTTATTTGATACCTTTACTGGCTGGGTATCTTTCATCGCCCTTTCCATCATTTGATCGCATCAGAGTGCATATTTGGTGTCTCAGCTCAGGTCTCCGATCATCCTTCTTCCATCTGTGCATACTTCTTTCTCTTGGTATCTACGACATTGTCGAATGGCGGCCGGCCGTTCCTACATATGTCATTGTGCTCTCTCGATCCCCTTACGCCCTCTCTACCTATATCCATCTCTCTCTCTCCGATTTATAGTCGCTTTTTCTTTTATTCTCTTTGGAAGCGCAGCACATCCTGTTTCATGCTTTACTTGATATTGCGACATCTACAGATTCCCCTCTGCGGTTGACATTGATTTTCATGCTTGTCTTATTTTTTGTCTCTTGTCCATTCGGTTCGCAATGGCGGCTGCTATTTATTCTTTTTAGCTTGACTGGCGTTTTCCTCGTGAGGATTTGTACAATATAAATGGGAAGGCATTTTTTTTTCGGCTCGATTATCTGGAATACTTTGTTACAATGGTTTACGCATAACCTCAGCAGATCAGAGTACAGGAGCCGTTCGAGTAGTGATAGATGCAATAAAAATGCTTTTGGTGAATCACGGTATGTCATGTACAAATTGAAAGTCCTTTACGATTCGAGTCTTGCACTCAAACCCAGGATACAAAAGATATCAAAAGACCTTGAAAGATGCTAAAGAGCCACTTTTCGTCCACAATACATGAAAAAGTCCATTCGACTCCCAACCCCAACGCCAGAAAAAGTAAAGCCAAAGGCCGAGTAAGAAGCAGTAGAAAGAGACAAATCAATCCATCGCCCAAGTCCTCACTTCGCCCGAGCAGGGTTCGACCTCTTCTCATTAGAGCGCTGCTTACGCTCATTGCGCTTGATGCGCTCCTTACGCTCAGTACGCGACATACCGCGGATAGAAGATCCCTGAGCATTAGCTTCCGCTTCCTTCTTCCACTTCTTCTCATCGACCTCAACAAGCCACTGGTTCTCGTCGTCCTTGTTCTTGCCCTTGTATCCCCAGCGAGGGAGCCACTCGCCGGTCGCCTCGTCGTATTGCAGCTTCTTGCGGCGCTCCTTGTCGTTGCCGGCAGCACCGGGCTTCTGGCTGAACTTGCCAATACCCTTCTTGCGCGCGAACAGCTCCCATTTCGTGGGCGCCTTCGGGGTCGGCAGGGGCTTGTGCCGAGGGAGGTGGATGTTGGGGGCGGGGAGGGTCAGGAGAACACCGTCGGACACGGAGGTTTTGATTTCGCAGGTTGTCAGGAGTTGGTTGAGAAGAACTTGCACGCCATCGCGGGCTGTCGCTTTCAGTGAGTTGTTTAGCGTCTCGTTGGGGTCAAGCTCCAGTGGGTTGGGGTCGTTGACTAGCAGGTGGCCCAGGTCGAATGTGTACGGGGTGGGCTTGGAGACGGTAATGGGACTGGGGGCGAGATGTTAGCTATTTGAGGTTTTTTTCGGGGTTTTTTGGGGGTCTTGATGTTTTTTCATCCGATATCAAATTTGGGAGAGTAAACTTACAGTCTCTCGGTCTTGGACGCAGCCGCAGCGGGCGCGGTGTTACCCATCTCGGTATCAGACATCACGATACTACAATTGTGGTAGACAGTTGATGTTCAAAGTGAATATCAAACCAAGAGAAAAAAAAGTTTGGTTATCAGTATCAAAGCCGCTTTTTTCTGCCATGACTAAGGTGGTATACCGCCTTTTTCTCTTGGGTGGGCGGAATTCGCATCAAATTATTATGAGCGAACTGACCTACTGTCTATCTACCCAATTCCCACCCACCTTTCATTCCAGTACTGGTTGTCCTATCACTGGCCGTGCCGGTGCCCCTGACAACCACAATGGCCTCCTCGTGGTGCTGGAACTGCCTCTCGAGGCTTCGACCAACGCCGCGAGCACTCCTCACTCCGCCGTCCGCAACGCCCCGGATTTCGAGCGCCCCCTTCCATTCCACCGCAGTGCAACATGCCCAACCAGCCAAGAAGAAGGGAGCTAGCTTGACTCCCATGAAGCACAGACAGTCCGCTAGCATCAAAAAGAAGAAGAAGAAGGTTGTTGAGCGTACACGTAATGCGGCCCCGGGTGAGCGCAAAGCTTTGCGGAAACGCATTGTCCTGAGCAACCCCAATGCCCTTGAAATTGAGGGCATGGTGGATATGTCCCCCGAGACTATGGTTGACTCCCGTCTCCGTGGTACTGTTCTCGGGTTGCCTGTTCCTATCATCGATCAATTGAGAACTGTGCAAGCGTTCCAGCCTAAGCAGGGTTGGTCGATCTTCCGTCGCCCTGGAACCGTTCTCCGCCGTGATACTATTGAGATGGCTCGTTTGTTTGAGCAGATCTCTGGGGACGGCGAAAATGCTCAGAAGGGCAAGGTCGTCAAGAAGATCATCACTGGTGTCAAGGGCTCTGGCAAGACGGTGCATTTGCTCCAGGCTATGACTATGGGCTTCTTGAAGAAGTGGGCTGTGATTACCATTCCCGATGGTAAGTACTGCGCAACGCATATTCATATTTTCAACAACGGACCAGCTACTAACCCATCAATTGTATAGCCCGCGATCTCGTGTCCGGTGATACCGCCTATACCGCAATTAAAGGAACCGAACCCGTCCAATACCTCCAGCCTGGTGCGGTCTCCACTCTGTTGACTCGCACTGTCGAGGCCAACCGGGAGCTCTTGGCCAACCTCAAGGTCTCCCAAAAGCACCCTGCTTTGAAGTGGCTGCAACCTGGCTTGACCCTCGAGGGCCTTGCCAAGCTTGGTTTCACCGACCCTGCCATTTCTTGGCCAGTCTTCCAGGCTCTCTGGACTGAACTCACCGCCACCACTCCTGCCGCAGGACTTGAGAAGGACTTCAAGCCTCGTCCTCCCATGCTCGTTACAGTTGACGGCCTGGCTCATTGGATGGTCGAGACTGCCTACCGCAACGCCGACTACAAGCACATTCATGCCCACGACCTCATCTTCGTCAAGCACTTCCTGTCATTGCTGAAGGACGGCGATTCTCTGAAGAACGGCGGTCTCCTCCTATACGCCACCTCATCCTCGAACAACCCCAACCCCAAGGCCCTCACTATTGCCCTGGACCGTCTGAACGCCCGCCAGGCCGGCATCAGCGCATCCTCGTCAGAATACCCCAACCCCCCAGCCTACAGTGGCGTCGACGAGCGCGTGATGGACCTGCTCAAGCCCAATGAGACGGCAGCCAGTCCCGTCGAGTTGCAGACTCTGGGTGGCCTGACCCGCGACGAAGCCCGTGGCTTCTTCGAGTACTTCGCCCGCAGCGGTATTCTGCGCGAGGTCATCAATGACCAGTGGGTCAGTGACCGGTGGACCCTGTCTGGTGGTGGTATCATTGGCGAGCTGGAGAAGCTTGGCCGTCGTATTCGCTCTGCATCTGCCTAAGTTTAAGGCTATCTTGCATTTCTTTCTCTTGTTTTATCCCCGGCTTTCAAATTTGTTCTTTGGGTTCTATACTGTATATCGGATGCTGAGGGTTTCCTTGTGTGTTATTCACCCATGTACTTTACAAATCTCACTTGGTCTGCTTGTGTCTGTATGCATATAATGGATTTATTTTGGAAAAGTTACCCATTCAACCTTCAATTCTTTCTCGTGCGATACAGTTCATACTAAGATGATCGGTTTCGCTTATCCTGTTCATTTGGTGAGGTTCTTATTTCTATTGACCTTCAATTTTAGTTCATAAAGAACCCGACCCTGATTCAACAGCTCAAGCATCCAATTCCTTAGGTTTGACAGCACGCACCAAATCAGGATAATCAAACTTAGCAATCGAGTTCAAGAACTGCGAGTTAGCAGGATGCGCCTCCTTGGTTTCTCCCCGGAACAAGAAATTCATCGGGAACCCAACATCAAACTCATAAGCGCCCTCAATCTCCTTAACATCCTCATCCGACAACTCAAGCCCAAGAGCCTGAATATTACTCTCCAGATGCTCAACCTTGCGCCCACCAATAATAGGCGACACATAAGGCGCCTTGCGCAGCACATAAGCGAGCGCAACGCTCGTAATCACAGTCCCGTGTCGCTGCGCAACACTCTCAAGAACCTTCGACACAGCAATATCCCGCTTCGTGGCTGCTGTCCCGCGCCCGGGATTATTTCCAGACTGCGAAATCTCCTCCCACTGCGTACTACTCTTGAAGTTGCCGCCGCCGAGCGATGCCCACGGCGCGAGACCCATGCCTTCGGATGCAGCCATTGGGATGATGTCGCGCTCGAAGTCGCGCTCCGCGGCGTTCCATTTGCCCTGGTAGACGGAGAATGGGCGGAGACCGTGATCACGCGCATCTGGGGTTGTTAGTGGGTCTTTTATTGAGTCTTTATGGGGTCTCTGGGAGAGAGAAGGCTTACATTGATTCGCTTTCGTCACGACCCAGGCGGGTGTGTCGCTGATGCCTAGGTAGAGGACTTTGCCCGAGAGGACGAGCTGGTTCAGGGAGGTCATTACCTCTTCGATAGAAGTGCTGAAGTCCCACCAGTGGACGTAGAGCTGGGTCAATCTGTTAGTTGTAAAGAGCTATACAACGTTGCCTATTGTCCCATAGCAGATAGGTCGATTGGGACATACCAGATCGATGTAATCGGTCCGCAACTTCTTCAGACTGGCCTCAAGAGACAGCTTTAAGCTTTTGGCATTGTTGCCGACGAAGTTCGCTTGGATCTCAGACGGGACGTTGCTCCGGTAGCCGGTGGTATACTTCGTAGCGAGGACGATCTGGTCGCGCACGCCACGGGCTTCCATCCATTCACCGAGGTATTTCTCCGAGTCTCCGTATTGATAGTTGTTGGCTCTTCGCTTTGTTAGTGGGGTTCTGTAACAAGATTCAGCAACAATTGCTATACTTACGTGTCGATGAAGTTGCCTCCGTTGTCGTAGTATGTATCTAGTATCTTGAAAGACGTTTCCTTAGAACATTCACCGAGTCTTGCTTTCCTGTTTTACCCTTTAGTTATGTTCAAAGCAGTGGACTTCTACACGTACCAGCCTTCACCAAAGTTCATGGCGCCTAGGCATAGTGGGCTAACCCTAACGGCGGCAGTGGGAGCGAGCTGACGGTAGCGGCCGAGGTGAGACTTGGGGACATTGGCTGGGGCAAACATTTTGAGATCAGAGTATAATATGTTTTGAGGAAGAATGTACAATGTTTACAATATTGCAGAAATTGATGCTTTTATACACCACTCGTCAGGTCATATGCGGGGTTAATTGTGAATTATTAATCTGCAACTCCTACTCAGATGGACTTTACAATTAAATCCTAAGTCCGATCATAGTCATTATATAGCTCGAGGAAATTCATTGGCTGCGTGTTTCAGCTATGTGTCCCTAAACGAAGGATTTCTCTTGCCAATGCTCTTGAAGATGGCTCAAACATCAACACCTTTCCAATAGTCTGCCCTAGTTACTTGAGATCCTCTGTGAAGGTGCCAAGGGTCAAATGTAACTGTTCCCTTCTGATTGATACTGGAAGGTGCCTTACTATAGGCTGTTGTATTGTAAAAATTCCCCTACAATAGTTAATATTCTCTTTTTATATCTCATTTTATGTCTCTATATTCCCTTTCTACTGAAGCTAAACCAATTCCTCTCTATAACATGCCTCTATTCATTAATCTTGACCCCTATAAACCTTTCCAAAACAAGGCACAACCCTGCGGGGAAAAAACGCGTATTTGAGCCTTGGCCGCTATACACCTTCGCAGATCCTCTTTGGTGAAATAGAGCTTGTCCGAATGATTGAAGTAACATTCCTCTAGCCATTCCTGCAGGTCACATACATCTTCTGTGGTTCTGGCGTCGCTTAATTTCATCTCAATCCACCTCTGGTGCTACCTTTCGGGTAGTTTATGACTTGTCGCATTGATCCGACGAGGATCGGAGGTGTTAGCATAAAGTATCAGAAGGTAGTTGGCCAATAAATATTTATAAGAGCTATTATACTATGTCTGTTAATGAACTATATAATTTTAACCTCGAATTGTACCACCTGCTATATATCCTATACTCTATAAGTTAGCACAATAGTTAATAGGATCCTAGAATACAACCTTGGGTGCTCAAATAGGTAGAGGCGTATATAGCGTTGAAGGAACTTCATTGTGTAGGATTGATCCCCTATTTTAGTTAGCTAGTTCAATCAAGCTTATAGATTAACTCATCTGCAATGTATAATCCAAAAAGTCTAGAAACAGCCAGTACTCACCTCCAGGGCCCGCTACGCTCTGTAAACACGACGCCAAGGCAGGTGGATAGAAGAACTCATGGACAGCGTACGGAGTATAGTGGCATGATATGTGAATGAATATTTAGAGGATTTGCCACATCTTTAACCCAATGCTTGCCATTTCTCTCTGTGCACGGGTGCTATCAACCAGTCACCTAACTAGCATCCTTTAGAACGATGTCACCGTCACCACCATCGTTACCTTCATTGCTACCATCACCAACAGTTCTGGCTGCCCGCGTAGTCCATGGCACTTCTTCTGGTTCGTTATAATTTTGCTTAATTTGAAACTCAGGGTGATTCGCATTAATCGAAGCCACCAACTCTGTAAGTTTCTCATTCCTGCCCCCTTTGGCCATACGATCGCGTCTGCTTTGCAAAGGTTTGTTACGGGCAATATACTGAGCGGCCTTCGGACGAAAAGTCGGGTCTTTGGATGGGTTATAATCGCCCGTATCATCACCGTCATCATCTCCGTAACCTGGTGCATCAGCCGCTGCATCAGCCGCTGCATCACCGCCAACACCACCAGCACTACCAGCACCAGATCCACCAGCTTGTCCATGTTTAGCTGCAGCCCAATCTGCCCGCGCTTTTGCCTGGTCGGCAGCCTTACGCTCGGCAACCCTCCGGCGGCCCGCATCGGCCTTGCTGCCAGGACCAGTCGCTGTGCACTGGTCGCAGTTGCAACCCTTTCCAAGCAGCCGCATAGCGTGGTGCGGGGCTTGGCCTGGGTACATAGCAGGGAAATATCTATGCTGGTACGGGATGCGAATCTCTGTGTTGGCCGCGATGTCCTGAGTTGCGAAGACAACGACGCGGTTTTGCACCGTGGTGTCATACCCCCAGCTTGCATTCTCGCTTTTACGACAGGCATGGTTGAACATGCTTAGTCCGGGGAAGAGGTAGAGATCTGTGATAGATGGCTTGGTGAAATCGAAAGCGTGAACCAGAGTTCTCGTCTCATCTTGTCTTTGTTGGCTTGGCAGTTCTTTTATACCATCGTGTTCTGTGAACGTATTCTTGTTGCCTCGCCGATCTGGATTCCAAGGTACAGCGTTGATCAGTAGTTTCCGCAGCACGAGCTGAAGGGTCCAAGTGTCGAATGAGAAATCTCGGAAAATGTCCACTCCAAGGGCTTGGAGGATATCAAAGGGCACGCGGATATTGCCAGACATGGTAAATGGGAACCAGCTTCCATGCCAGGGCTCGCCGGCATCGGTTCCGCTTTGGAGAATGAGTAACTCATTGATCTCATGGGGCATAAGGTTGGGATCAGCTTGACGGCGATGAAGCGTGAGTTCCATCACGCTCTTGAACAGTAGACCCAGAAATGTTCCCTGCTCTTCATGGTGTGCGGTGTAATAGTCCTTGCCTCCCCAATATTTGATGTTGGCTCGCATGCTGTCTTGTAGCCAGCCCCATTCAATGTCTTTGAACTCTTCGAACGCATATAATTCAGTAGCAATCTCCTTGCATCGTCGAGAGGTGCCAGGTAGCTTTGTGTGATTATCATGACAGAACAGCGGTGCAAGCATGTCGTTGCGTATGCCCGTAGTTTCTGCGTGTACCATGCTTAAACACCAGCAGTTTAAAGGATGGTTTGCTCCGTTTGGATTCGGCACAAGGCCTCGTATGTAACCCCAATTATCCTGGATATGTTTAACATTGGCTCGAGCTATCGGCGCTTTACAATTCTCACATCGTGGGTCGTTGGAGGGCAGATTTGTCATATCTCCATCCAGTATGTTGGGGTGGAGATGTCCACGGATGACAGGCTCTTCGTAATGGAACAGAGTGCCTGCGGGGATAGCCGCCCTAGCAAAGACCCCCAAGCCATTGGGGCTTCCATCCTTTGCAAAAACTGGTCTCACCTCGCACAAATGGGCAGGCATTTTTGCATCTGTACTCGAGGTAAAAACGTTTGCATTCACCAAGTCGACGAATCGACCGGCTTGGCGGTTCACGTCTGTTTGTTGATACGGATATCGCACTGCACCTGAAATGCATCCTTGCATCCATTCATGCCCATAAAGGGTTGGGTGAGTCGCTGAGGGGTTGATTTTTCGATGCTTCATTGTTGTTAAGACAATCTCTACCGCCTGACTCCGTTTCTTCGGAATCTCCATATCGCGGAATTGCAGGTTCCTTCTCTCGTGTTGCTCCAAAAGAAGTTCAAAATCATCCCAACAGTTCATTGCTGCCAGACACAGACTGATGATGTTAGTGTTGGCATTGAGTACCGTTGGAATGAAGTAGTTGATGCCGTTGGCCTTTCTCATTCGAGTCACCTCTGGTGTAGTCGCGACCCTTTGAATTCTGCATCCTGCCATCATGTGCATTTGGATAGCATCCCAGACCCTGGTATAAAAGCCGGGCCGCTTGTTTCGTTGAGTGGCCGTTGTCAAAACTTCGCAGAGGAGGTCAGAGCGATAGGCGTCTCCAATGGCTAAGTCGAAAAAGCCTTGTTGATAATAACAGTACGCACGGCTTGTCCAGTAGGTGGGGTTGTACGGATTCAGATAAATGGCCGAGGTATACATGTCAAGAGCCGTCAACTGGGTATTCGTCGCGGGTGAGAGTATCGGCGCTGTACGAGAGATGCCCCATCGGGACAGGTCGCTTTGTCTCACAACCCCGACAAGCTCATCAACTTCATACCGCCAGAGACGTTCTTGGAGATCTTGCTTTTTTCCAGTCGTAGTAAGACCTCTTACTTCCAGTTCGTTTCTCAGCAATGCAACCGTCCATTGCGTCTCGTCTTGGACGTTGCGGCCATTCACAAAGACGTTTTCCCGCATCGAATCCAAGCCCTGTATACCGTTGTAGACCTGATCCAGGCCCTCCTTGGCATAATTGGCTTGTGCATCCTCGCGCGATACAGGAATAAATGGATGGCTCATCAGGTGCTCGTAGACATTGTGAGCTAACACATGCAGGTCTGCATCGCGCTGCTCGTCGGCTGCACGTTCATAAGGTCGGTTCCGGTGATTCTGCCAGGCAGCCCTCAGATGATTATCAGGCTCTGCCCAGAATCTACGGGCCAGAAAGGCGTTGTCTTCGGTTAGGGGCTCGCCGAACTTGATCTCGGTGAAAAGGGATGGCCGTGGTGGAAGTTTGGATGGCAAGAGAATAGAATGACCGGGAAACTGGGCGTAAATTGCTTCGGCTGTCCCGGCTGGCACCTTTGCTTTAGCCATGATTTCAGAAATCGATATAGAAGAAGGTTGTCTTGTGTATAGTACCAGGCGATCAAAAAAAGGTTGGACGACAATCGGTGAACTTGAGATTGATCCAGTCTATCTAGAAGTATTTGATTTGTCTCATCACATATATGCTGAAAGAATCTAAGATTTGAAAGAATCTCGAATAGACAAAGAAAGGGGATATCGTTCCATGTTCTTTAAAATTTGTGTACATAGAGAATGACCGAAATCAACAAAGGAAGCCCTACTAGTGATTCGAAATGCTCGAATGCTCGAGTATACAGTCAGATGAAATAGAACCGAGGATGTGAGCATATGTAGATATAAAAGAGCGATATCAATTATATATATGTACGATTATATAGGTCACAAGTATGTATGTAGACTTAAGTAGTCCTCATGACCTAAGTAAACATGCGGCAGACACTTACCTTGTATACTCTTTGGGGGCCGGCCCCAGTCTATCCGCCTTGACACAGAATCCTTCAAAGCTCTTTCACTTTCACTTCTAAAGATATTTCTTGTCTTTGTGGATTTGTTTTGCTTACGATGTATGGGGATTCAAATCGTCCCCATCATTCATCACAACCAGAATGGAGGCTCGGTCAACCATCGCAACAGCCAGGACCACCGCCACCACCTCCACCACCACCACCACCACCACCTCCTCCACCACGTCTGCAAGCTTCATACACACCAGCCATTTATGGACCGATCTCACCGGGTCCGAATTCGAGGGTATCGCCAAATGTCGCGGATACAACCACGTGGGGAGTGCGGTTCAACCAAAATCAAGGCCCCCCGTTGCCGGTAAGGCTGACAGTTCAGGCGTCAAATACGGGAAAACTGACAGTCGCATAGCCTCGACCTTCAACTACCAGTGAGCAATCATACAACTACGCGCAACCGCAGCAAAACCTATCTCATGCAAACCATCCCTTCATTCCACCCTCCGAACCTCACCCGCCTCCACCTGCATATACACAAATAAACGCTGTGCCGCCGCCGCCCCCCAAGATCCCTCAACATGCGCCAACACCACACTATGGCCAGGCGGCGCAACCTCCATTGCTCGCGCAGGGCGTAGGGCCAGCTGCGATGACAGGGTCTTACCCGTTCCGGCCTCCGCTCAACACAAACGCATCCTCCACGGGCGCATCGGCTCTGGGCGTAGGAACACCGTCAGATTGGGAGCATCTTGGTCCCACCCCGGGAGATTTCGACGATGCAGCTTGGTTCCCGCCTCGGAGGACGCCCTCTCCGCGACAGGACTCTGCCCAACTGTCTTCAGCGCCCAGCGGTATGCCTAGTGTGCCCGTGACAAACCCATCTGACATGCACTATCGCCCAAGAACAGATACAACCGAAACATTTTCCAGCACCATTTCTGGGGTGACGCAGATAGGACAAAATAGCGCTGGGTCACCGGTTAGTCCATGCACCTCACAGGGAATGCCAACCCCGCCTCCGTTGGTTCGCATGGACAGCACCAACCCTGCTATATCTATGGTCGGGCGCTCGGACACTATCGATAATGTGATCGATGCATGGGTTCAACCAATATCGCCTGCACCGAAACCAGTCCAGCACGAGCGTCAGGGCTCAACGGGTGAGTCGCAGAATCCCGGGCCATTTACCCAAACCAGCCCGATTGAGCGTTCAGAGTCGGTGCACGTCAACTCGTCGCCTGCCGAGCATCTGCGATCGAACTCCAGTGTCTCTGCACGGGTCATTGGAAGGTCGGAAAGTGCCGCTCCGCCGAAAAATCCTGATCCCTTTGAGGATTTGGATCCCTGGTCCAAGTCATCTTTAGAGCGCTTTGTCGCCATGCTACGCAAGGAGGCAGTGGCCGACTTGGACGAGGAACGGTACAAGATCTTCACTGCGTTTATGGCTAAGGAGATGAAGCTTCGGGAGATTCTTTATGGCATTGAGCATGAACCGGAGATCGCTCAGGCGCCTCCGCGAGCTCCTGACTCTGTTGTTCAGTTAGCACCAATTCCTAACCAGTCCAAAGCACCTATCGAGTCGGGACTTATACCAGTCTCATCAGAAGATAACCCGCTCCTCTCGGCGACAACTACAACAACAGAATATGAAGATGATGATGTTACCAGTGAGTACAGTTCAGGTGGTCGCCCCATTTTCGCCGGGCGACGGAACTCGCAGTATACTCCCACTTTGTCCACGCTTCCTTCGGGACCAGAGCGAACATCTAGTCTGTCAAGAGTTTCATCGTTTCCCATATCTGCAGATCCGCAGAAGCAGATCCTAGAGCCTCTGACCACAAACCCTCCAAGGCCCATATACACTCCATTCCAGTACACAGAGGGCCCCCAGCGAGGCTCGGATAATCTCACATTTGACCGTCCAGCCTACCAAGCGTATTCCGATCTGCGGCAGGCTGCTGTCAACGGGCGAGTTATGTCGAACGGGCCAATACCCGCAACTCGATCGACATCTAACCCTGCAATCGTCTCTCCAACTTTGAATGAACAGGATGAGACTTTCCTCGGTCTCATTCGCCACAAAAGTGTCGCTTACACTACGCCTCCTGAACGAAATGCTACGCCGCAAGCATTACTGCCAGAAGCTTTTCAGAAAGGCCGGCCTATTAGTCTTGTGGAGGATCTACGTACTATGGTTTGGAAACCTCTGGACAACCAGTCTGAAAGCCCTTGGCACATCACCACTCGGGGAGGTCTTGAAAAGTTCCCTGATGATTTCTCGTATATTCGACAGGCTGCAGATCGGTGGGAAGCAAAAGCGTCTGTCCGACGGAAAAAGCTGGACCAAGAACGTAAGCTTCGTCAAGAAGAATCCGAGGAACACATCGATGATCTTTTCAATGAAAAATCAATCGGATACGCGGATATCAACACCTTGGAGGAAGAGTTTCGACAAACCGAAGCTCGAGTTCAACTGGAGGAGGAACGGCAAGAAGTGGAGGATTTCATCAAGCAGGTCTTCAACCCTTTAGACGAACACTTGAAAGAGGAGATTTCGTCACTTCGCAAGTCCTACGATGCAGCTCTCAACCAACTTGACCGCGACCAAAAAAGTCAGAAAAGCCAAGGCCCCACCACAGAGCGATTCAGCCCATCGGTGACCATGAAAATGGTCAACGAAATCCATAGTAAGCTTGAGATGCGGTTCCAGAAACGTCTCGAGATCGCACTCGACTGTGAGCGGCGCCGCAAGAAAGCCGAGCGACGCCCTCTCGTATTCATGGGCGATATGCCCGGTCTCCGAAAGCTAGACGGAGAATTCGACCAGATGGAACGGCGCAACATTCTAGAAGCATGCAAAGACCGTGACGATCGCGCAAACCGTCTCATGGACTCCTTCGACGATGCAATCTTGCACGGGCTAGGTATGAACCAGAGCCTCCTAGACGAGCTTGCGTTGAAAGCAACGCGGTTAGACCCAGCCGCGCTGCGCGCCTCAGGCCTGCCAGATTCTGAAATCGAGCAGATTCTCAAGTCCGCAGCGACTTTCGCGGCAACACTCCTAGCCGACTCGGAGGCGATTCTTCGCAGTGCCGGGGTTGCGGACATGGCCCTCAACGACGCAGACTACGGGGTCTCCGTCGCCGAGGCGAGGTATGCGACTTCGGACCCGGAAATTTTCCGTCGGCTGGCTGAAGAGAAGAAGAAAGAGGACGAGAAGATGCAAAGTGAGCTAGACTCGAAGTTGCAGAGTATTCAGAGAGGACCTGTGCAGATCAAGACGTCGATTGAGAAACTGCTTCTGGCTTTGAAGAATAGCCCTCCGGGCGAGGCTCGGCGTTCTCCGGTTCAGCGCTCTGCCTCGCTCAGTCCTCCTGCCAATGTGCCTCTGCCTCTGAGTCTTCGCCCTTCAACTACCGCTCCGGGACCGACGAGTCCTCCGCCCTTGAGTCCTCATTCTGACGACGAGTTTGAGCACAAAGAGAGGCTCCGGAGGGCATTGGAGGAAGCTAAGAAACGCAATGCTGCTAGGAATCATTAATTTTTGTCTCCTATCGTTGGAAGCGGGCAGAACGGTGGATTCCATGATGCGACGAATTTTCTTCAAGTTTGACAGACCCTTTCTGTCATTTCTATTTATCTTTAGCTTTGTTTTGTGATTTCCATAGTTGATACCCACATTGTGCAGTTGTACTAGTTGAATGAAGACTAGGCGAGAATGGCAATATTTTGCACACACAGCTATAATTCTCCCTAGTTCTTCCTATGATCTATGTAAGGTCTATTTAGTTAGTCAAAACAATGTGTCTGTCTACATGTACTTTAAATCCCTCAAGAAACCAGGCTAAATCCGAGCTCGAAACAAAAAAATGTGCCGGAGTATTTATCCTGTTACACACAAATTCCCTGAAAATTTCAGACACCGTAAGCCTCTTACTGTGTTTATCACACCACCCTTCAATCCCTCTGCTCTTCCAAATCTCTCCCATCTTTGCGAGAAACCGGTGTTTTCCGAATCGCCCATCGAATCGCGCCACAGTGGCTGCGTCATCGGGGCCAAAATAAGTCAAGTGATTGAACATTCATGCAGGACGAAAAATAAATAACGCACGGACAATATCTTTAACCCATCGCAAAGCCCAAAGTAGAAGTTGGAATTTACCCTGTCAAGGTGAAAGTGAAACCACAGACCAGAGCAGAGCCCAATTTCAGGCGCCCGGGATGGCGATTGGCAGACGACAGCCAAGCCCTCGAACTAAACTAGACGCCAAAAGCTGCCGATCAACGTTGCGCAGTCAAAACTGTCTGCCCTAGAACTGTTCCAGGTGCTTGGGCCGCATTAATTTGCAGGGATGGCAGCATAACCCTCAACTCCAATACCCAATCTGGCAGGTTCATTGTGCCGCACTGTCTCCTGCGCGCTGAGCTGTCTCCTGCGCGCAAGTCCGCATTCGCTGTCTGGCGAAACAATATCGATCGACTCCCCGCAGCCGAAGGAACATTCTGCGCACGCAGGACTGGTCCACCGGGCTGGTCTTCTCACTCGGTTTTCTCTGGATCCAATCGTGACTCTCAGCGCTATATGCAAGGTGGGTCTCTGTTGTCATTGACCTTGATGGAACATTGATGCGGCGACACTAACGATGATGCGGCGACAAACATGTTGCGGCTGGACTTGATTTCCGTCGGCTGGGCGACCCTTGGGAGATTGAGATACGCGGGATACGCTGAACGTTTTGGTCAGTTTACCCCTGCTCGTATGCAACGATATGTCACATTCAACCACGTTGGCCACGTTTTTTACCAAAGGTTCTTAGTGTGTTTCAATTTTCTTTGATGGATGTTGCGTGGTCCAGCTGCGGCTCCGGGCAAAAAAGAGCCTTTGGGTTCCCCGACCTATCCGGAGATTGATGGTATCCTAGCAATTCTCCACCACGCAAAATGCTAGGGTACAATTGTGACCAACGAAGAAGGTCTTGTTCCATTGGTGGATCCAAGTGATATCGTTCTGGAGCTCCGAAAGAATTCCCATTTTCTATTTCGGTTGGGCGACGATCGTGGTGTTGTGTCTCCAGATATTGACACCCTTTCTGGAAGGTGCAGCAGTTCCCTGTCCTGTTATCTGCCCGGGATTTTCTCCTCCGTCAATTCCGTCTGGCCAACATCGTCTACTGTGCAAGTTCTGCATTGGCCAATAGTAGAACCCATACGACATTCGGGGATCAACAAACATACCGACTTAAACTTTATGTCGACTCTCTATTACATCGTACATTCTTTGACGGTTGCATGTATGCTTCTTAGCACTGTTTCAGCGCTTTTGGAAAACCTATCTGCGTTAGACTCTCAAATCGTATCCCCTGCCCCGGGGCCGACCTGTGCCCGGGAGTCTCAGCCACCAGACCCCAGATCTTTCCCATAAGATCATATTCCCTAGTGAGTGTCTGTGCGCTGCACGATGCTGATCAATGAGGTTATCAGGCATAATTAAATGGTGCGGCCTTGTTAAGACATCATATCCCTTCTCCTGCGGCATACCCCCAATCGAGCACCCTCTTCGCCACTTACCGATGTTTCGCACTAAGCGCCATTGGAGACAAAGGGAGAGTTATTTTTTTGATTAAAAAAAGTACCCCAAAACATGGTGATGCACATGTGAATCATATCGAATTTTCCGCAGTGAAAGCGAAAGATATGCGAGAAAAAAAGCGCGAAGTCACTAATTATTTAAAGCGGGCGCCAGGGAAGCCCGATCCATGGTTCAGTGTACCCGCTTTCGTCCATGGGTCGGAAGAACTCTGTGTACTGACAGGAACATCCCCTCTTATTGAAGGCCTTCTTCTTTCTTTTTCGCCATGTCCGCTCCTACACGCCAATTCCACAGACTCTCCATCGGTCGAAATATGCCTGATTCGACGGCCCTGCCTGCCCGCGGGCAGCCCCATCATTCCCACGACAGCGAGGGTGAGGATGGCTCGTCGGTGGAGAGCTCCAGCGAGGAAGGGGAGGAGGGGGGGAAGAGAAAAGCAGTGACGAAGGCGAGTCGGAAGAATCGACTGGCGTATCCGTCCTCGCTCCCTCCGGTATCACCTACGATCTGAGCCAACTGGACTCTGAATCTGAAGCCAGGGCTTTCGTGGGCTTGACGGGCAGCTTTGACGTAGTCAACTGTCGTTCCACCTCCGCCGGGTATGTCTTCCAGCTACATGATCGGCCACAGGTCCACATTGGCTCGGACTCGGCGACTTGTACCTGCTCGGGCTTCCAGGGTCATCCAGAGGGGGCGTGTCAGCACATTTTTGTGAGTACGCTCTGGGCTAGGCATGAGGTGAAAAACTAGATCTCATGCCTGGGCTTCATGTCTGGAAAACTAGAGAGCCAAAAACGCTGATACTAGCCCCTGAATAGTGGCTCGTCGACCAACTGCACAGCTGCTTTATCCAAGATCCTCAGTCGAGGGAAGTGTCATTGGCTCCGGACGGACGCCCGGAACGCCTTCCACCCATAGAGGAGCTCTTGAAAGGCAGGCTGGAGGCCGTTGCCACGCAGCTTAAGTGGCAGTACTTACGGGACGAGGGCGATGACACAGGCACAGGAATGACGCGCACCGAAAAGGTCCGAGACATCCTCTCTGCGTTCGACCAGAAAACCCTTCCTGAAGACTTCCGGCGAGACTTGAATGAAACGACCCAGCAAGCGCGCACCGCAGAGCAGTGCGTTGTACAGGGAGACTTGAAGGCTACAATGTTCCGGCTGGCAGTGCACGATGATGGAGTTTTCAACAGTCTGTGCAAGGCAATGCCAGCAGGTGCGTGTGCGGCCATTTACTTCGACAAAGTCCAAGACCAGTCCCGTCGACTCTTAGCCGACTTCGACCGCTACTGCACCATGCCTGAGCCACATGCCGACCCTACGAGCTCAGGTGGTCTCATGGGAGTTGACGAGGTCGTGCTACAACTCCAGCATTCAGTGGCCCGCATCGCAGCCAACATTGCAGCCCGCAGTCCCCACGGCAGCGAGGGCGCCGCCGAAGCCCTCGTGTCTCTACTGGAGTCTGTAGTGGCTCGTAACAACGATCCCCTCGAACAAAACCGCTTCCGTGACTCCTTCAATGGCGAAGACGAAGACCAGCGCAATCTGTATCATTTGCTTATAGGGTCCGTCGAAACAGACTCCGAAACAGACGCGCGGCACTTTGTTCTTCGCGCGCTTGATTCTCTGCCGCCGGTGGATCTTTATCAATTCGTTAAACGGCTGAGCGACATCCTTCGCAAGATCGAAGTCAACCGTGCCCCCAAACAATATCTTCTTCATCTTGGCTCCTTGATACGCACTGCTGAGTCTGCTGGAGTGATGGGATCGGGACAGAAACGACCCGCGGCTGGGAATGGGGGCTCCGGGGGTTATTCGAAACGCACCCGTTGAGTTCTACGGGATACCGAGGATATTCTTCATACGTTTGCTTTTTATTGTTCTGGGAGGTTATCGTGTTTATGTTCATCCATTGCAATACCCCCTGCATTTTATGACTTCATGTTCCAGCGAAGAACGTCAGTTCTTTTTTTGCATATCATGTCAACTACGTGTTTCGATGTCCATACATATGATTATGAGAGCTGTTATTTAGCTGTGTTTTCACTGTGTTCTCATCAGGTCCCCATCTCACAAAATTCAAGCTATCATGACGTGAACTGTCTGTCCCACCATGGATACTCAGAATAGCCACCAAAAACCATAACCTGGACCGTCAAGTCCACGGAAGCAGCAGTAGTACCAAGACTCACAATTGATACCAAAACTCGGGAACAAGGCTCCAAGGTCGAAAATATCAATCCTACCGTATGACCACGTTGAAGGCAAATACCATTCCCATGAAAAAGGGTCATCACATGAAATCCCAGTGCTATGGTCTGGGAATCCGGATCCACGGTACAGGCTGAGACCATGGACATGTCAGCACTTCCAAGGGGTAACTTAGTCCGATTCGAGTCAAAATTCCATGGGACATCCCTCGGTAGAGAGTGGGTCACCCACACATACCAAAAATCTAAAATGGGGCTCGGAAGATTGTGCCTACCAGTACGAAGTAGCTATCTAGCTAGGTAATGGTAACCTCGGGACCAAGTAATACGTAATCAAACATATAGGCTTATCGGCTTGGTATATAATACATAATAAAACGAAATGGACTCATCGATCATTGGTTCCATAACTCAGTTGGTTAGAGTGTGGTGCTAATAACGCCAAAGTCGAGGGTTCGACCCCCTCTGGAACCACTTCCTTTTTGGGGTTTTTTTGTCCTTCCTTCTTATAAGGATGGTTACTGGCTCTACGGAGTACACATAGAGTACGGAGTACATTGTCAGATATCGGAGATGCTAGCTATCTTTTTTTAAATGCCGCGGAGCTGTAAGGTTCGTCATTAAGTTCAAAAGTACTTACTATATAACACTGTTGTACTCCGTACTTATTCTTATTCAGACTTGTAGGTTATAAATAGTTCTGCATGGTCTCACTCACTATTATACAACGTATACTTTACGAGTGCGCTATCTAAGAACCAAGTCCCGGGGTCTTGGTATTTGGGTCATGATAAAGCCAAATTCTACATCAAATAATTGGGTTCCATTCCTCAGTTGGTTAGAGTCAAAGTTGAGATTGACCCTCTAGAGCCCCTTTTTTGGTATTCTTGATAGGCCTTGAAGAGCGATTGCTTTATAAATATAAATTTTCAAACCCTTCCATACAGTTGGGTTCCATAACTCAGTTGGTTAGAGTGTGGTGCTAATAACGCCAAAGTCGAGGGTTCGACCCCCTCTGGAACCACTTTCTTTTTTGGTTTTTTCTTTTGTACTCTCTTCTATAACCAAAGATGTTTACTGGATCTATGGAGCACACGGAATACATTCATCGGATCTCGGAGATGCTCGGCATCTTATTTTTAAATGCCGCGGATATTAACTTCAATAGTACTTACTATACAATACTATTGTACTTATTTAGTTAGGTTTTTAGGTTATATAGCTCTGTATCGATCACAATATACCACTATACAACCTAGGTATACAAGTGCGTTGCACATTCAGTGCCAAGAATGAGACTACCACCCCTACGGAGTATGTACATATGAGACAAATCCAAAACTCACACTCAAACAGGGGCGAAAGTGGACAAGCCACGTTTTCGTCTAACCATTCTGCCCCATACAATTTTGATGTGCGACTAGGATAGGCCTCGGATCCAAGCCGGGTTTGGGCCGGGTTAGTCAAACCCCACTGGATCTGGGCCGTGCACACGGCAGCTTTCCTGGGTCGTCTTGGAACTAGTGTGGTTAGTGTTGGGCTAGTTGGCTTTTGGTGTGGATCGTTGTGGCAGATCTTTAAGCTGATAATGGCTTTGTGTGCTTTGCTGGTTGGTTGTTGGGGAGTGTGATTTGGAATAGGTGGCTATTGAAATTTTGGTCTTGAGAAAATTTATGTTGGGCTGCAATGCATTGTTGATGCCTTGGTTGATCACTGAGATAAGCGACGGTGGGTATAAGGTTGAATGTACAAGGACTATGTTGTTGCGAAAGTGACCAGGTCCATGGGTGCTAGACGTAAGTTGAGAAGGAAAAAACATGTGCAATGTTTGAATGTTGGTACTGCATGACTAGAAAGTCTGGCGGGATTCTGCATCTTTGCTCTTGATCATCTTCCTACATATCTGAGGTTTTCTATCAATCTTTTCATATGCCTTAACTCTCCTGCTAATTTATATTGATGGAACAGAATGAGTCTAGTGCCGGGGCCCGTAGTCTGTTAGATCTAACTTATACAAACCTGAATTCGATTGACGGGAAAATATAAACCATTAGCTCACATAGCAAATTAGCGATGAATCTCACGATTCCTTGAGTGGAAGCGTTGTACTCGGTAAACATGATTGCTTTCTCATCACCCTGTCGCCCTGTAATGGATGTTTCTTATGAACAATAATTTAGAGTTAAGTCACCTAGTGCTCAAAGGACTACATTAGGAAAGTAAATAATGTTAATTGATATATAACCTGGAACCCCTGCGTAATGATATGGTATGTCATGGGTAGCAAAGCCTGCATGTTCCTGTCGTGATAGATGTACCTCGAATAAATTGTCGAAGCAAGAGCAAACAATAACCCAATATAACACAAATGCCCATCTCTCACCTGGGCACGTAGAATCAACTCATATAACGCAATATAGCAAATCTCTTCTCTCCAATCCCAAACAAACCTGCTCCGCACATTTTTATTCTTCTTCTTGCTCAGAGAAATGTGGGAACTGACATTCCTTGAACCAGGGCTGCTCGCTAAGAGACATGCGACACCATCGTCGACCCGCTGTTTTCCTTAAAACATCACGAAGCACATCATCATTCCAATCGATCTCATCACTCACAAACTCAGAACATCTCTCAATAAAGATTCCCCACGTTTCGAAAAACTCATGCAAGGCCGGGTTGCTAGCTAGCGTCAAAACCTTGTCCCACACCGGCTCCAAGTCTTGTATACAAGAGGACCGACGCATGTCAATCAGGGAAGCCAGCAGTTCTCTCGGGTGAATCGAGGCATCTGGCTCTTCTCCCGGAGGATACTCCTGAATCATATACTGCAGGTAACAGTCGATATGGGATCGGATGAGGTTCGACATCTCCCGAAGACCAACCTGGATCGTCGCCCAACAACGATATTCCTGGTGATACCTCTCCAGGCACATAGAAAGTTCAGCGAAGTGCTCGGCTCCGAAGTCCTTCCAATCTGCTGCCCCGGGGCGCGCTTGGAGTGTGGGCGGTAGTCTGGGCTCCTCTATCTCAGGGTAAACCTGATCTGCAAGGCTGGGGTTGCAGTACGGCCATACACCTCTCCATCGTGCATGCTGTTCGATGCTCTCGATCCAGAGATTCCAGTTAGTACCTTTGTAAGCAAGAATCGGTGGCATACGTGGTTCCTCTGCTGGGATCGTCTCAGAATCGAGGGTTAGTGGGATTGTCAACATGTCTTGTTGAGTGTGACGCATTTTCGTCGTCGTCGTTTTGTTAGTATTTGTTTCTGGTGGTTTCTGACTAAGTGTTCAGGTCGAATTTTTTGTTTGAGGGTTGTCAATTGTATAATCTGTGTAGATGAGTAGAAAGTAAGATAAGTAGGAACTATGAGTCAAGCACTAGAACAAAATAGATGTCGGAGGCCAACCGAATCTCTTTTGGGAAATGTATGAAGGCCTAGCCATGGGTTCCACAGGTCTATCTTATGCACTTCCATGGATACATGGATGAATACACGTAGGAAGCATGTAATTTTACAGCTTTTTCCTCGAGGATCATATATCAGTTTCTTCTTCTTCCCTCTTCCCTCTTCCGCTCTTTATTAAACTACAAGACAACTCTAAGGAAGGAGTATTCGCAAATTTATAAAGTTAAATATAACCGGCTGGCAGCTTCAGGCAGAGCGGAGGGGTTGCTTGATTAAGAAGTCCAAAACAAGATAACGCTAAGATTTAGTTGCTGCTTGAGCATCCGCTGGCTCGATATTCACGATTGAGCACTAGCTTTGGACCTGCAGATGTACTCTGGCTTATATAACACAGCTTGGCTGGAATACTCCATCAAGGCCGGCTGGCCCAATGGCAAGGCGCTTGACTACGAATCAAGAGATTGCAGGTTCGATCCCTGCGTCGGTCAATTTTTTTGTTTTTTTGGAAATCTAGTACATATGTAGCACCTCGTTTCTGTTTTGACATGTTCTAATTATTCCCTTTGAATTCATGATCAGAAATGATTGTTGATGATGATAAAGTGAATTTGGAGTAATCATAACCTCAATTGGTACACAAAATCCCCAAACTGTACAAGTAATAGAAGAGAGTCTGTCATATATTTCCAGTACATACTTCAAATATATACACTTCAGATATATACATACACATTAACCAGAAAGATCCAATACAACTCTCCCCTTGACCCTCCCTTCAGCCATCTCCTTAAAAACCTCCGTCAAAGCCTCCATCTTCTCAACCCGATAATGCGCCTTAATAACCCCCCTAGCAGCAAACTCCATCGTCTCAATAGCCTCCCTACGATTCCCAACCGCCGACCCCGTAATAGTAGTATGCTTGTTGATCATTGCAAACGGAAACGCCGTCGCAATAGCCTGCGGCTCGTTCTCCGGAATCCCGACACAAACCAGCGTCCCGTTAAACCTCAGCAGCGGCAGCGCCTGCGCGTACGCCGCATTCGCAGCAGTGCATACAATCGCCGCATGCGCGCCCAGCCCATCCGTCAACGCCTGCACGTGTTTCGTCAGCGCCGCGCCCTTGTCGTCCCGCGGGAACTGCGTTATGTCGACGAAGTGCTCCGCGCCGGAATCTTTCACCAGCTCCGCTTTGCTGCCGTCATCAATCCCAATCACCCGCAGCCCCATACCCCGACTCGCGAGCTGCACGGCCATGTGGCCCAATCCGCCGCCGGCACCGGAGATAACCACCCATTGGCCTGGGCGGGCGTGGCTGCGCTTCAGCGCTGAGTAGACTGTTACGCCGGCGCAAAGGAGCGGTGCTGCTGCGGCTGAGTCGAGGCCGTCTGGGATTGGGGTGACGTAATTTGCTGGGCCGAGGGCGTATTGTTGGAATGTTCCTGGGGTGTAGTACCCCGAGACTTTTTGGTTGAAGCATAGGCCGTCGGTGCTGGCTTGGCAGGGTTCTGGAGGGGTTAGATTGAATTGCAGGTTTTTGGGGGGTTTGGGACCAATGTTGACGTACGGCAGTGTCCGCATGCACTCGAAATCCATTTGATGCCGACTCTGTCGCCGATTTTCAGGTTTGAGGACTCTGTCCCCGGGCCGAGCTTCACTACTTTGCCGACGCCTTCGTGGCCGCCTACTTGGCCTGGCTGGGTTGGGGCTGGGAGGCCTTTCCATGTGTTTTCCATGATTCCGAGGTCGGAGTGGCAGACGCCCGAATGTGTTCTGTTACTTGTAAGTATCATTACTATGAATGACCATGGTTGACATACAGATTAATCAAGACTTCACCAGTACCAGGCTCTGGTACCTCAAGATCCACGATCTTAGTTGAGACAGTGCCGGGCTGGTCATAGATGATAGCCTTCTGCATCTTGGGGATCTCAGGAGCGGCGGCCATTATGATATAGTTACGGGTAGTTTGTATAGAATTGGATCAGATATTGCCCAAATGATTGTTTAAAGGACAGTTTGAAAGGAATGGACCAAACATGATATGCAGCTTATCTACCTGCGGCAAGTGAGGGGATATGCGGGGAGAACGAATGGCGGGGCTTTGAAATGTTCGGATAGTCGGGATCGTCACACATGCGCATAGTACCTGCCTCGGATCATGACTTCATACTTCAACTTAAAAGGAGGGGAAAGGGGAGCACCTCGGTTGTGCTTATATTGGTTTATCTCTGCCCATGTCTGCCTATATTTGACTACATACTTAAATTTGAAGACATTGATATCGGGAATTTGGAGTGAAGCTTACACATCGGTGTTTTATAGATCTGAATCTTCTATAGATCTGAGATTCCCCAAAGGTCCTCATACTAGGCAAGCATCATTTAGACAAAAATAAAAAACATAGGGCCATGGGCAATATGTGCATTGAGGTAACGTGTTTGTTTTCGTTTTTGCTATGTACAATAAAAATACCAAGACCATTCAATGTTTCAAGCATATGAGGCCCAGCCTAAAAGTAAGTCAGTAAGGTGGTTGATGCATAACAAATAAACTACATAGGACATACCGCAATACAACATAGCGAGGTTCTTCTCATCAGTGGCCTGTTGAATAAGTTCATTCACAGTAGCAGTGACACTGAGAGTTTTGCTCAATTTTTTGGCCACAACAGTCAAAGCGCGGTCAGCCTCACTGGGTTCATTCTTTGAGGAGTCGTCAGCCGCACCAGGCAAGACAGGAGGCCCTTCGCCAGCCGCCTGATCATCCTGCATCTTTTTCATGCGCAGCGGAGAAACAGTCCAGCTATACAGAGGATCGTAGCGTAACACATCAAGGATAGTCATAATGCTATACGACTCCTGGCGCAGTGCCTCGAGGGTAAACTCACAGCAGCGCCGGAAAACGCCCTCGGTCTTGGTGATTCCAAACCCGTCCACGAGATCGCGCGTCAAGCGGAACGGAACAACTTCAGGAACGGGTAGAATGCGACCCTGCTCAAACGCCACGCCGAGATCAATGTGCACCACTTCTCCGGTCTTTTCATCCAGAAGGATATTGTGGCCATGCCGATCGCCGAGCCCGAGGACGTGTCCGAGTATCGAGATCGCAGCTGTGCTGCGCGTGTATGATAACCGTCTGCTGAACCAGTCGTCTGGATTGTTGAACTTCTCCATGAAGAAGTACTTCATCACTGGGTGGAAGTGCTCGGTCACTTGGCGGTAGGTCCTGACGCGCTGCTCGAACGATCGATTTTGAACGTCGGCAATGTGTTTTCGGCATGAGTTGGGTTTCATGTCTTTCGGGAAATATTTTTGATGCGCTGGCATGAGGTAATCGTGTAGAGGGATGGTGTTTGGGACGAACTCGATGATTCCGGCGTTAGACGTCAGGGGGAGAACCTTGTAGGTTCGGATACCTAGTTTGCGCTGGCGTGTGGGTTGGTGATCTTTTAGAAGACTGCTGACTTGCTCGAATACTTGCTCCATGATGGCGTCTTGTCGCAGATCGTCGTTTCCGCCCTTGTACTGTAGTTTGATCAGCGAGGGAACAAAGTGAAGCGTTCGTTTTGTAATATCTTGTTTAAAGTATATAGATGACCAAGAAAATACCACTGGAGATAGTGATTATAACAGAAATAAGACTTACCAGCTGTTTATAACTTTCACCAGTTGAGGCAACAGCAGTGACAATCTTTGGAGCACTAACGCCAGAAGCAATTGTGAACTCCGAGTTAAACTTCGAAATGGTTGGGACACGACTGTAGTCGCAGTCTACACGCAGGTCGATCTTCATAGTAGGCGGTGGTAGTTTGTAAGTGACAGCATCTTGAGTAAGACGTTGGCCAGTTGCCAGGCTTTTCAGGGGGACCTTTGCACCGCTCTTGTATTTGCTGTCCGGCTTGTCGACGGCGAACCGCACATAGCTGATATTGGCATTGTGGACAGCAACCCAAGTCGATCCGATCTTGCCATCATTCTTCAGACGATCGACCAGTTGGTTTGCAGCACGGAAGCGCGAGACGGAGGACTGGTCCTTACCACCCTTGGACTTGCTGCTGGCAAAGATCTGATACATGCCATGGAAAGGATGATCAGCACAGATCCTGTATACCAACTCAGTAAGCAGTATCTGGAAGTCATCGGAGACATCAAGCAGACGGGAGGAAAGCTGGTTCATTAGGGGCGCGAACTTGCGGCTAGGGACATCACCGAGGTATCGAGACACAGCCGAGTTGGCAATCTCGCTGGCGGACTTGTCGAGCCAGAGGGCACAGAAACGCAGAGCATCGTTGTTATAGGTATCGCACTCCCGCAAACAGAGAAGGTAATTTTCGAGGCATTGCTGAAGGAACGCCTCCCGGCTTCGCAAGAGACGTTGGTACTCCCGGTCATCGAGGTCGAACCATTGCTTTGCTTTGGCACGGTAGTTCTTAAGATAGTCTCTCTCCTTGCCGGCGGCTTTCTTCATCATGTCTTCAAGACCATTGACTTCCTTCTCCTTGCGATCCCGTAATTGTTCAACACGTTTGAAATCTTCAATTCCATCGGGATTGCGAAGTTGCTCGTCGCAAAACGTCGCGAATCCATGATAGACCCGACCGGCCTCTTCTCCCGTGTTCCCTTTCAATTCTTTGACTGCAGGGTAAAGGTATTCTTGGAGAATAGAATCGGGCTTTTCCAAGCGTGCTTCTGCGACATGATGACCCTATAAAGACGTCAGTCCAGGGGTCACCCAGGAAAAATTAAATAAAGTTATTCAATGAGGCGTTCGAAGGATGGAACAGATGTGACTTACCAAGGTGACAAGCAGCTCAGCCCGGCTGAGCGGAATCGTTTGCTTGGGAATATCATGTTGACCCTTCAGCTGTTGAAGCATACGAATGGATGCAGTCATCTCGCCTTGATCCCAGAGGACATTGGCGAGGTCGAATTTTGCAGCTCCATCTATGTTAATACCCATTGATGGCTCAGCGAGCTTCGAGAGATTGATTGCAGACTTCAGCGATGCTTGAGAGATGCCGTGGCTCCTAGTGATCTCCAAAGATTGACGGATGACCTTAGCCTCCAGCAAGCGCGACTCCTCAAGGCTCAGCTGCGTCTGTAATTTGAGAATATCGCTCTTCCTGACTGATGAAAACAATGCCTCATGCCACGACAGAATTTCTCCAACTTCATGATAGCTGTTCTAGTCAGTATGCAGCACTATAATCAATGACAACAAGGGACTCACCTTTCGGTCTTCAGCCAGCTGCCTCTTGCCTTGATCTTGTCCCACTCTGCCGTTATCTCCTCAGAACAGGAAGCGTGTAAAGTGTCACTCATTTCAGTCATGATCCCGAGTGCTCGCATCGAATCCCGCAGTTGTATAGAAGATCGACTGGTATGGACGAGAGAATTCAAAATCGTCAACAGACCAGTATCAATCGACTCATTGACCTCTAACAGAGAACCCGACGTGTTCAGACTTTGGAAAGCCCGGAATACAGTAGCCGATGGCGATGAGTCCAAGGGCGAAACCGGTATATCCCATTTTTGGAGACTGGTAGCTGCTTGCAAAGAACTTTCAAAGGCGACAGAGGCGTCGTTTGCACTGCTGGACGAAGAGAGCATGGTATTGGCAATGCCCTGAAGGTTAGTTGAGTTCAAGGCTTTCAACACTCCGTATGACTGTGCACTGTCGGACATCTGTATCTCACTATCGTATTTCGCGCTCTGGAATAGGAGATTCTTGAATCCGGAGCTTTCGTACTCCAGCCTTTCCATCACACTGGCCAGTGAAGAGCTTTGCTGAATGCCGTAAAACAAGTCTGGGTCATCTATATTCTTGAAAATATCATGCATTAAAGCAGACGGCGGCTCATATTTGATAACAGATGTCCGGCGAGACCCCGAAACCGTCCTAGATGTTTGAATCTCCAGGAAAAGTAGCGAGGTCTTTTGTAGACCACATCGATGTGCAGCCAAAGAGGCCTCCCCAAAGTCGATCTCAAGCCATTTATCACGCTGCACAATGGTTGATTCATTTGGTACAGGTTGGTTGCGAAGGTAGAGAATACAGTTGATCACAAGTTGAGCGTGGGATAGCGTTTCTTCGTTGATCTCGCACAATACCTGCCCAAATGCAGCGGAGATTGCCTCTCGAACTTCTCCCTTTTCGTCTTTGTCAAATCTTTCTGACAACAAAACATCATGGACCACGTATGGCAGTAGTTGCACCGCCAAGCCGGGGGTCACATTGAGAATCTTACGAAGGGAGCCGATGACTGGATCCTCCAAACCAGCATTGGACAAGAAGAGGGAGACGTTGCGTGCCCATTCAGCGGCCGAAAGGCCTGATGTACTCGTCGCGGCAGTATTGCACCTTACTTGCTCCGAAGGTGAGAGCGGAATGGCGGGACATGTGTACGGGCTCCAAATGAGTGCTTTCATGAGAGGCTCGGGAATGACCTCGCCGCAGCCTTGAAAATCTGGAAACTCAGCAATGCTGCTGACAATCAGCTGCAAGGTATGCTCGACAAGACCAGCTTCATCGTATTTTTGATTATGTAGCATGCCACAAAGCACTCGAAGAATCCTAGCTTTGGAGTAGCACAGAATGTCATCCGACAGGGAAGATTCGGGGAACTGGAACAAAGACAGATCTTGCTCGCGCAGGAGCAGTTGATTGATCTTTCCAGTGGCAGCAAAAGATCTTCCAATAACCCGGGCGGCCCAAAGCCGATACTGAGAGCCTCCATTGAATTTCTGGAGTGTGTGCCATAGCGAGACAACATGGGAGGCGGGATCCACATCGTCGTTCAAAGCCCTGTCCCAAGTTTCAGGTATCTGCTCAAATTCAGGGCATAGAAGCGACAAGACGAGGTCAGCCACAGGCCTGCTGAGTAGCGATGTTGCAGAGTCGCGATCCTTGAGTACTTCAAAGACCAAGTCCTTCCCGACCTGACCCATCGAAGAGCTTCCAGAGCTTGAGAATTTCTCGGCCAGAGAAACTAGCCGATCAAATGCCCCTTTCGTAGCTTCGTCCCAATTAGAAAAACGGAGATCACCAAGAAATTTCACAAGCCAATGGTAAAAGATTCGCGCATTCGATTGAACTGCTGCAAGCTGGGATTCCTGAGTAGTGTTTTCTGGGGACGACGAAAACAATGCGCGGAGGGTAACAAGTGTTGAGACAGCTATTCCTGCGGCAAATCCCGGTGTTACTTGAAGATAAGGTTTCCCTGATTCAAGTAGGTACCAGAAAACGCCAAGAGCATCCTCAGAACAATGGATATCACCGAGGAATGGACGCAAAGAGCTGAGGGTCATCTCTAAAGGGTAGTCTCGCAGTATAACTGAATTTGCTACGCAGACGACAATCCTTATTTTGCGAATTACCGAGCAAGCATGGAGCGAGCCAAGAGCAGGATGTATGGATTCGAGCAGTGAACGACAGACAAATGAGACCAGCGAAGGTGTCCATATTGATTCAAATTCGAACCCGGTGCGCTTGCAGAGAAATTCAAGTTCATCAAGGAGATAACGTGCCCGGAATGAAGGTTGTTGATTTGCTGGAAGTACACTCTGAGACGCACTTTTGCTGAGAATTTGCGTCTGAATATCGAGAGCATATCCAAAGTTTGTACGCTTTGAGAATGCTCTTTCGATTTGATCATAGTAGTCAAGCGAATTGAAAAAGTCAGCGATTATTGATGGGAACTGGCGCTCGACCTGTTTCATGAATTGATCTGCACCAAGCAATTTTCGTAAACGAATTTCAACACCCTTGGGCTGACTGCCTTGACCCGGGGAGTGCTGATGTCCCGTGCAATGCTGTATGCTTCAGCCTTGTGGAAGGAAGTCACCAAGAGCTCGACATGGGGGATTTCCAGGTACTTGGCGAGTTCAATTATGTCCTGTTCCTTGGCACGCATCGTCATTTGTCCAACAATTTCGTCCTTAACATCTAGTAGCATCTCTCGAAGGTTGTCGTAACCGAAAATACTGAAAGGCATAGACATTATACTCTGTGTCTCGGTCCACGTATAGAGTATTTGAGAAGAAAAAAGCCGGAAGAGTTCTTTGGTGTCCTGAAGACCAAGAGTCTGAGAGACTACGCTCATGCATTTCTCAGCATACCATAGTGAGGGTGCAACTTGAGCCGGGGTTTCAAAGAGATGATAGATGCTTCTTCGCAGCAAGGTATGCCACTTGGAAGCCAATTGAGAGAGCACGAAGAGGCGGACTGCAATTCCCTCAATCCATTCCGGATCTCGAGGTAAGCTTTCCAGCACATCGTCGAAGATGGCATCGTGATCTTTGAGAAGAAAACGCTCAAATAGAGCAGGGATGAATTTTGCAACACTGAATTTGACTTGAACATCGCCCTCGCGGAGAATCGTGAAGAGGCTTGTTCGCGGTGACGGAAGGGACTGCTGGCTACCATATGAGGGGCATGCGCCAAGGACATCCTGAATGAGCTCGGCAAGAGCAATGTAGACCCTAGGGGAAGCCTGCTTTCGAGATAGAAGCACTTCGATGAACCAGTTATACAAGTCCATGGCTGATTCGTTCAGATTGTGGTCAGGACCATTTGTCCAGGAGTCAACGAAACTGGCCATCATGCGAATGCAAACGCAATGCGAAGCCTCACACCTCTCCATTTCATAAGACTGTAGACATTTTTCACCTAGGTCTTCCAACACAGAGAGGAGTTCAGAAGGCGCCAATTTAGAGCAATGTCGGAAGATTTTGGGTAGGACCGCTTGGGCTGACAATATATCAGCTTCATCCAAGCCAGTTAAGTACTCAATAATAGATGAAGTTTGCAAGCTCCCTGAACTGGAATATGAATGAATGCTCAGGAATATCGATAACTGGATGGCAACGCAGCGTTGGTATGTGGCTGCATCAAAGAAAACAGACCGAGAGGTCCGGTTTATCTCAAGGATTGTTTGATCGATGTCCATCGAAGTATTATCAGCCATGAGTCGGTCGTCCAAATCCATGGCATCTTCTGAAGATGTAATTTTTGAGCTCTGGCGGAAATGCTCGAGTGTTTTTGATAAAGGCGTGACAAGCCCCTGAAGACCCAATTGGATGGCAGGGGGAGTTTCAGAACTCAACAAAGGACCGAGAAGCGGCGAGATCAACTCTAAACATGACTGAGTGAGGGTAGGCTCATGGCCTGCCAAGAACTCGCAAATAGAGTTCCACAAACCTGAGCAGTTCTGGCGGAGGTCTTGCGATCTAGTCTCGGATGATTGGGGTAGACATGATATGAAAAGAGATGTTACAACGCAGAAAGACGTCAGGATTTGTAAGCTCTCTGAGGTAATATGGGCCTTTTCTTCGATCATGGCATGCCACACTTGTAAGAAAGATTCAGATCTGAGTCGAAGCAAATCTAATATCACTGTATCATCTGGGTCCTGCCGAGATGATTGCTCCAAGATCCATGCTTCTTGAAACCCCCATGGATTGGCATGGTGGGCAGCAGCACTACCAGTATGGAAGCTATATTCCAACAACTCGCGATTTTCATGGAGAAAGAACCAATTTCGGGCGATATGTCCCATTGGCCCGTTGGGCTGGTAGCGGGGAATGACGAACGAACGATTAGTGCATGATAAGAAAAGGTCCAGCAAGTCCAGAGGCCGCGCATATGCAGCTACTCGAGCTGTCTGAATGCGGTCGGTCATACCGACAGCCCAGACTTCCCTTAACCAGCCAAAAATCTGCATCGAAGCTTTTTGGGCCGACCCCAAATCGAGTTGTGTTCTTGTACGTGCGATAAATGCCCACAATCTCAGAGACGAATCTGAGATCACGGACGGGCCATTTGTAGAGCCCAGTATTGACCGAATCGTTTCCATAGCCACCGAATACTCCAATAAGTCTGATTGCAAGATCATATCCACGAGGTTACAAGCAACCCTCGAAGTCGCCGGAGAGGAGAATGTACGTGTAGTTAGATCAACTACTCGTGGCCAATGAGCTCTTATCTCTGGCAATTTCGCAGTCGTCCCACTTGCAATACTGGTCAATGCAACCATTGTCCATGATGACACAGTGCTGTTGTCGTCGGAGATGCTTAGTATGAGCCGTTTAAGATAAGCCTCCTTGTTCTCAATGTCGATTTCGGGTTCAAGAAATGGGACGAGTTGTAATGCACATATCCTTCTTGTGCCTGTCGCGGATATTGAGTCTCGAAAGATGTCTTGAATCTCAGAGTTGAATCGCTGTCTTTTGTTGGAGCCCTCGCGAGACTCAGCTGCCTTGATACGGTTATTGATATACTCCGAGAGCTTCAGTAGCTCTGCTATCATCCATATGACCGTCCAGTTATACTCCGATCTAGGAGTTCCAAGACGAGGCCCATATACTGGCCTTTGGCATGCTGCGTCGTTCTTCTGGAAAAGAATTGTTTCGTCGATCTGCAATACTTCTTTTGCAGAACGTTTCACATATTCCGAATGGAGCATATTTGCCAATTCCTCAATATCATGCGCCAAAGACTCGGACGGATCTTTATGGGCAGCATCCACCAGTACGATCATGGACAACATCAAAGTCACAAGCAACTCATCCTTCAGAGTCTGCAATTTAGTGGTGGCCCATAGGCGTCGGATTACTGGAACCAAGCCCAAGATGGACGAACAGACAAGCTTGGACTGATCAAACAAAACTTTTGTAACGACTGCATTGATGCTACTGAACGCCAGCTGGTGAGAATTCCCAGCGACGCTTATGGAAGGTGATTCGACGAATTCCACTAGTCTGTCAAATATGTTTTGGGCCGCAGTCTGGGGAGCATTCGGGCTTGCCGTCAAAAGCTGAATACAAACCATTACCTCTTCAACGGAATTCCTATTGCCGCGATGTCTTTCTCTGTTGACCGGGCCAGGCGTCATCCTGGAAGGGGTCGAGCGGCTGTCACTGGCATCTATGTCATCAGTAACACACCGACCACTTCGGATGCTGAGCTGACTCTCTTCATTATCCCGTAGACCGACACTGGCAAGGCAAAACCCAATGAGATTATCCCAATCATCTTGGTCAAGATGTTCAGTATGAGGTCGATAGCGCAAAAGTGATGCCAAGCACTTGGTATAATCCAGGTTCAGTGGTTCCCATAAACCTTCCCCAGGGACTGGTATGGTTTCTGTGATGTGGTCGATAATGGCACGAACAGTTCTTATCCTCAGATTTCTTAGAAAGAGATCAACCGCAATTCGAATTACAGATGCACATGTTGACAGTCGTAGTGCAGACGGGCTTCTGGAGCTCGGTTGGGTTTTGTTGTATGTTGCCCTCTCTGCTGAAATGAATCGAAACAGCGATTCAAAGATCTTATGACAAGCCTTGTCATTGAGAGTTTGTCTATATAGTATTAATTCCATTGGTCAAACACAAGAAAGCTTCAGTTGGCACCTACAATTTCGATTTGTTCCGTTGAAGAATATGCTTGAGATCTGCCAAGCCCTCCAAGCGGGTCTTCTGTTTGTCGGATGACAGAAGGCTAATTGTTTTATCCAGGAAAACCTCCCCCATTGTCAATGATAGAGAGTGGGAACAAAAGCATTGTCGTTGACTTCGTGTTGATAGGCGATTGTTTGGTGGAATGGCAGTACTTGTTGACCGCCCCAATGCAATGGCTACCATTTTGAGAAAGCATCCACCGCCCAACATACCGCCTGGCCGTCATATTCAGCTCTGTTGATACCTATGTAATCTTCTTTGTGTCCAATCAATAAGGTCTTACTACTAGCTTCTTTGCCAAATTACTGTCATCTAATTCAAAGCCTTTTTTATGCAATTATATTGGAGTACATTCTATATAAACTGTTTCCAGACTTATAATGTACCTAGACAACATGTAAATACTGCCAACAAAAATATGGCGGCTGCCACTGCCGTTATCCACCGCCCGGAATTTTGAGCGCCTTCCGCCTTCCTGGGCTAAACAGAGCTTCGAGCTTCACTTCCCACCTTTTTCACCCCGCGCCGCCATGGCAGAGCCTCACAGTATCCAGACTAGCCTTCATGGTCTGTTCCAGGATCTCTCTGCTATACCAGATGGTGACCTTAGCAATGTCGACCGCTTGTGTCACGAATTGGAGACCCATATTCAAGACTTCCGCAAGCTTTTAGACAAACCGGGAAAGAACAATGCCAGTCGTCAAGCTGTCCTTTCAGGTGAGCCGAGCTTGAGCCGATTTCTCAACTCACCCCACAATCGCGACAATCCACTAACATCGAATGCAATATTCTAGGGAAGATCACCGTTGCGGAGGTTGAGTACTCGGTCAACTCAGATTTCCAACAGGGCGTTCTTCAGCTTGCGGATGCTCTTGATATTGATGAATTGGAAGCAGCTGGAATGTTTCTAGCTGGCCAGGAGGATTCAAAGTTGATGGACAGGCCTCCTCTGATCGCAGCCATAATAGCTTTCCACCAGCGCCGCCTGTTTACACTCGAATGTTTACGCCTCGTCTTCAAACAATCATTCGACACCGAACACGAAAGAACTCAGTCTATTATGCAAGAAACATTGGCTCATGTCTTGGACATCAAGAACAAACCTATACAGAATGCTTCTCTCTTTGCGCGAAAGGCCTTGAAATCCATGACCGAAGTTGAGAAATGGATATCCCTTCTTGGCGACCAAATTCAAAAAGCCACAATCGTCGGCCAGGAGAATGACCGCGATGTCATGGAAGCCATTGAATTCCAACGTGACATGCTGCAACAACAGCACGCGTCACTCGGGGCTATCCTGTTCTACATGTTCAAGGGAACAAACACAAGCGCCGAAGACTTCCGCGCACTTGTTGCACAATTGAAAACTCTCGATCGATTCGATGCACAATTGTTCGACTATATCCCCGTCACAATTGCCTCTTTTGTACAGCACGGATCTCCCGAGGGATCGGGCTCCGAGAAAGGAGCACGGGATCTGCACAAACTAATGACTACATCCCAGGATGGTCAAGCCTGGAAGCTGCCCAATTTCCACGCTTGTCTTGTTGCTTTGTGGCTCTCGGTCTACAGTGGATGGTACTTCGATGGGCTGTCCTCTCCATCCATTAATGCCGAGAAAGAATCCGAAGAACGCACGAAGAGTTTCATGTCTGCCCTTGACGACGGGGCTCTTGACTTCATGCTTGCAATCTGCTCCACGGTCAACACCCAAGAATGGGCGGATCCAGCCCGAAGTGAGTTGGTGTCCTTGCTCTTAAGAGAGAGCGTCGTTTCATTGCCTGAGTCCGAGACTTGCCCCGATTTTATCAAAGAGCTCTTAATGGAGAATTTTGAAGTTTTTGTCGAATCCTGCGTCGCCAACATGCCCGATGCGGTCCGGCAGTTGAAGTCCGAGGAGGACTCCCAACGCCTCGAACAAATAACTGCGCTTCGAGATGGCCTAACGTCCGAACTTCACCGCGGTGTAGTAGAGGCGCGCACCCATCTCGAGTCTCTTCTTATGATCATCTCGTTTGCTTTTGAAGGCCGCGAGGATGCTGCGCAGGAATTTTGGGGTGATCCGGATGGCAACCTTCATGGCTTCCTTCACTGGGCATCCAAACGGCAGACAGTTCCTCGAGTCAGCGCTTTCTGCGAAATGTTATGCTCAATTTCCGAGGGCGAGGTAAATGCAACAGCGGCTCATAGATTCTTGACGGAGGAAGATAAATTTATGTCCAATAAGTTCAAAAGATCCACGACGATGAGTTGGTCGCAAATGTTTTCCGAGTTGAAACTCTATGCATCTCGAGTCAACGAGAAGCCTTCCAGTGGAACGGTCACACAAATGCCGGGCATGCATCATACACGGAAACGCGAGCCCGCCGAAATGAACGAACCCGAAAGCCCTGTGATGCTGACATGTTACCTTCGGTTAATGGGCCATTTGTGCAAGCAGAGCGCAGAAATTCGTTTGTGGATGCTACAAAACGAGTTTGATGTCGTCGCCACACTGTTGGATTTGTGCAGTGGGCCCATTCCATCGCATCTTCGCGCAACTACTTTTTCAGCGCTCTCAGCACTGATGACCAATAAATCTTCCGCCGTTGGAAAAGAAATGTGGACACGCCTCGATGGGTGGTTATCGGGAGGATCCATGACCGCGGGAATTGGCAAGGTGCCTTTGGTTTCCAATCCTGCTATGTTACATCAGCAGCAAGCCTTGCAAAAAATTGGAGAAAGTTTCGACCAAACTAATGCATTTGTCGTTCTCATCAACACACTTGTCTCTACTCCATCCGACTTGATAGAAGATCCCATGGCATTGTCTTTCCCGGAGACTCTGGGGGGATCTTATCGCATATCCGGGATCGAACCCTACATTGACTTCGTTTTGGGGCATGCATTTTCACGGAAGATCCAGGACCTCAACGATTACCAGTCTCGCTTGTTGAGCTTCAACTGTCTGGACTTTGTGGTGCAAAGCTTGGGGACATTCAATGAAGACCTAGTATTAGTCTTGAGCGAGGCGTCAATGTCTGATTCTCCGGCACAAATTTCCTCACTACTGGCTTATGTTCGTTCTCATCCGTTTGCCCGTGTACTGGAATGGCTCTTCAACGAAGATGTTCTCAAGGCTCTGTTCGCAGCCTCCCGGCAGGACATCGCTGAAGTTAACGCTGCGCAGTCTGACTCTGTGCTGGTTTTGACCTTGCTCCGGAGCCTGGAAGTGATGAATCTGCTCGTGGATCGTCAATCCACCTACCTCAACATTGTCAAGTCGCTAGTACATTCGCAGCCCGGGCCGTCCAAAAATAATGTGGCAAACTCCTCACTTGCTTCCTTTGAGGATAGCGTGCTCAACAATTTGTTACTTATCCCGTCATTATGTGTTTATTGCGGCACAGGACATCTACAGCTCACCCTCGTATCCATGAGCCTCCTGGAAAAGCTCACCAGCTCCAGAAAGCTCAACAAAATGAGCTCCCCCGAACTTGCGAACTGGCAATCCTCGAACAAGATCGTGGAAGTACTCACATCTGAAGTCGACGTGGATAGCATTTCACGCTCGCTTGTTTATCAAATGACACCGGATGCGAGAGAATTCGCGTTCGGTCCTCTTTCAGCTGGTTATGTCATGCGAGAAAGACTTCTTGCTCTATTGAACAGCTGTCTGGGGACGATCACGGATCGCCCAACGGTAGCTCATCTCCTGCTTGGATTCCAATGTGTGGGTAATATCCTTGATGTGCCATCAGATGGACTATTCGCAAATCAAACGTCTTTGCTGCATGCCATTATGACCTTCCTGAATTGGTATCCCGAAAGCTTCGATGACAGCATTGTATCTTGGGTGGTGCAGTCGAAACGTGTTGCTCTCGAAGTCTTGAGCCGTCTCTGGTCCTCGAAACTGGCGAGCTTTTATACGCTTCGTGAAATGCGTGCACAGGAATTCCTTTGCAAGATGTTTGCCGAACAAGTTATCATCGGACCCCACACTACTTGGAACGATTGCCCGATTGGTTCAGAGGAATTTTGGCTCACGGATGCCACGGTTGCTCTATCGGAATTTTTGATTTACCGGAGCCATCTGTTCAATTATGCGGCGACTGAAGTTCGTTCAGCAGCACAAGCTAGATCGCCATCTCTGTGTGCCCACGTTCTGTCGGTCTTGCGTGGAAACGCTGTTAAGCCAAATGGCGAACCAAGTCCTTCCGTTTTCGATCTTTTCGATTTTACAGATCTTGATGTTGGGCGTGATTTCAGCCAGCCCCATCTCTCTTTGCTTCGTGATATTTTTGTTAATATTGAAAACAAACGGCAAGAAGCTATCCACACGCATGGACTTGATGAGATGATACAAATACGGCGAGCGGAATTAATGAACAATGGAGTTCTACGACCGCAGGATGAGGAGCAATTCCTGACCGAGGCCAACAGCCTGAAGGCTTACATCCTCGCAACAGAAAGGCAAAAGGTGATTCAAGATAACCGCTGTCTCGCCCTCCGATCTTGGGTAGAGCTTATTACCACAATGATCACATGCTCTGCTCTCGAGGAAGAAAGCAAACCAGTTTTCATTCTCCACACCATTCAATTGATTATTCCTAAGCTCGCAACGGCGATCGAAGCGGACCTTCCTGATGCACTTGAACTGGCACGACTCGCTGAATTGTTAATAAGTGGTCTTGCCTCTGATGTATTGGCAGCAGACGTTTCTCAAAGCGGGGATGTTATCGATGAAAAGCTACACCAGCTTTTCCAAATTTGCCTCCGCGGCACGAACTTAGCAGCTGGCAATGTGTTGTTGAGGGAAGCACTCTATAGCATTTGTTCCCAATACATCACACGAATTACTTCGTCGAACAAGACCCACGCGAACCTACGGCGTCTCAGCCAACAAGTCATCAAGGCGGCTGGGTCTGGTTTGATTGAGATTGTATGCGATGACGCATATACCGGCCAAGAATCGTGCCGTGCATCCGCCCTTGTGTTATTGACTAGTCTAGCCGTTCTAGATCGCCAAACTGATTGTGTTTTGGCGGAGTCCATCTCGCAGTCAAACTATCTGAGTCTATTCTTAGATGCGCTACGGTCTCTCCCACTAGAGTTTCACAAAGCGCAAGGAAGCAGTAAGTTTGCCTTGGTGAAATAGTCATGTTCCGATAGCTAACTAAAAATTATCCAGACACCCCGGCACTGCTCGCATATTATGAGTCCTTGCTGTCTTTCCTCCAGCGACTTTCTCAAACCAAGAGTGGAGCAATCTGTGTTTTGAACTCCGGCTTGTTCCAAGCCGTTCACGAATCACGGCTTTTCGCTGCCGATCCAGATATTGGCATAGGTCAGGAAATACCTTCCCTCTCTAATGACACCTTACTGACTCTCTCAGACATCGAAAATCCTGACGCTCTACAAAAATACTACGACCTTCTTTTGTCGACTATTCGCCTTATCGTATATGCCGTCTTCTCCCGGGGAATCGACAACGAACAAATCAAGGCACAGATCCGGGGATTCTTGGTTGAAAATCGACCTTGTGTGGTCGGAATCTTCAAGCGATCTGCCAATATTGGAAGCACTTCATCTGCGCATCAAGACAGCCTCCGTGAACTGGTCAAGGCGTTTATGGCCCTGATTTCTGCCACGGACTTCTTGGAGGTACGTGATTTCCATTTCTTACAATAATTGTTCGGCGAACTAACACTCTTCTAGTTCGAGGAGCAGGAACTGCAAGATAATATCCGACCATTCTCATTCTCATGAGGGCTGGAAGTTTACTTACATACATATGTAGGCAAGGAGAAATGCATGTATCATTACATTATGACTTGGGGGAGTGCAGGCGGTATTGGTATCTCATGAGCGATTATCCATGAAATCACTTTCTTTTTACATTCAATTTAACTATAGTGATTGATTGATCATTTGTAAGGCCGAGGAAATCCCTCCATCCTTCATCCGTTCTTGCCCCTTTTTTAATACTTCATGTAATCTCGTCATTTCTTTCTCCTGGTCTTTCCTGCCTCACCTTGAAGACAACGTAAGCTACAGAGTCAGATCGTCTAATCATGTTTATTATAATCTTTCAAAAGCTTTCCATCGCTTTCCATCGCTTGTTTATGACGTTTTGACATTCCTTTTGATAATTGTATCCTTGATATACTTTTATGTGGTCAATAATATAGCACTGGCGGTTGATACAACCGGTCTGCTTGCCTTGACTTAGCCACCTATCAATTCTAATACACATGGAGCGAACTTATTATTAGCCTTTTCTAGACTTTTTGCAGTAAACCTTCCAAGATGAATGAAGAACAAGCGTAGTTGTCTTCATCCCTAGGTGTGGACTGCCATCAATATAGTAATGCTCATGAAGTGACCCGGCTGGGCATTTTTGACAATTAGCCCTAACTTGTTGTCCCAGTCTCATCTTTTATTCTACTTAGGAGTACGCATGTAAATAATGCTATACTCAAGATTGCCCAAGGTGACTACAGTGCTTGCCCTAATTGCGCCTGCCACCTTCCTGTCCCAACCCATGACTAGCTTTGCACTTACCAAATCCGTTCTTTCTTGTCGCCATGACTTATTGCCATGGAGTCCGTATTGTGTTATTTATCCCCCCATGATTCTGGTTTTGTTTTCTCCTTTCTTTTTTCCTCATGCCACTGGCTTTTTTGACCATTTGCATATTGGATTACTATTGCTTTCCCTACTTTTGATATTATCTTCTTGATATTGCCTCTTATCTCTTCTTTCTTCTTTTCTTCCTCCTTCTCCCCCCCTCCTTGGCATCTCGGACATCTCACGATGCACTCCTTGATTGCCCTCGCTAACTCTTCCCCTCTCGGCCGCCTTAGGTCCTCGCCCCTCTCCGTCTACCCTGGACATCCCGCCATGATGCACTCCAGGGCCAACTCCTCCTCTTCTTTCCGTCCCGGACATCCCGTCATGATGCACTCCCGGACTGGAATTTTTGCTCTCAGGACTTGTCTGAAGGCGCCTCCTACCTCGGCTGATTTTCTGTCCGCTCTTTCTTCTTTCACTCCACGGAAGAAGAAGAAGTCAGTTTGTTGGCCCAGTGAGGATTCATCTCTCGCCCAAGTTCGCTACATTCCATCTCGATATGACACGGATAAAGAACTCGAGCCTGAGCCCAAGTCCAAGCTGACCGCTATTCTTTTCGCTCCTTCTGGCCGTCTTACTTTCGCTCGTTTTATCGTCAAGCTTCCGGGTTCCCGATCTCGTCCTCGGTTCGAAGCTCGCCCGTCCCTTGCTTGGTCGAGCGTGCGACGTGCCCGGGTTCAGGGAAAACTTCCAGTGGCTCCGACTTCCATTCATTTTTTGATCCCTCCTCCATTGGTCGCTTTGGACAAATCCTCGCGGACTACACCTGTCGACTTTGCACCACAAATTGCTCTTGCCACCAGCAAGATTCAACATGTGTCTGCTCCCACATCACAGGCCCTTGTCTGTCTCCCTCCAAAGTCTTCGCCTGTTCAGGGGTTCTCACCTGTCGACGCTTCACCTCAGCCTGTGTCTGCCGCCAGCAGTTCGCAGTATGAGGTTGATTCCACGTCCCAGGTTATCATTCGTTTCCCTCAGGCTTTGACCATGGTCAAACGCAGGATCAATCCACTCTCTTCGCCTCTGGCTCAATTCGGTCTGCTTGTTCTTGCCCTTGGCTTCCTCTATCCTGAAATTTGGACATTGGCTCTGCTCTTCCTTGCTGGCTATATGACCATCCACCACTGATTGAGCTCGGTCATAATCTGGTTTCTCCGGTGTGCGCCTCTCGTGAGCGGGCGGAGAATGGTCACGTTTCCTCCTCCCTTGGACTCTCCGGTGTGCGCCTCTCGTGGGCGGGCGGAGATATCCTACTCTCTTCAGCTCTCCTCGGCATCCCTCGGCATTGGCATTCTCCTTTTGTTTGATTTTCTCATGTTTTATTGCATTGTATTGCGACTTTCGTCTCATTACATTTTACTTTTGATCTTGAAATCCCCAAAAATCCAAAAAAAATGTGAAAATTGAAAACCCTCACAAAAACATCTGTTTCTTGCTTCTTGTTTTTTTCTTGCTTCTTGCTTCTTGCTTCTTGCTTTCTATATAATTTCTCCTTTGCTTTTTGTTCTTGTTCTTGTTTAGGAGATGCCATTGCCGTTGGGCCCGAGGAGAGCTACGGGGATATCAGGATTCAAGCCATGGAACTTCGAGCAATTTGCCACGCGTTCAATTGTAAGTCGTCTTTCAGCGCACGATTGAAGTTGTTACATACTAACTTCCAACCTCGATAGTTCTACCACACTCTTTTGGTTCAAACCTCTTTTTCTTTGGTGCTACCTATTTATTCGCCGAGGGGGTTTTGTTTGTGAATGTGCGGAAGGCATCAGAACTCCTGGGGGGTGCGGGTAACGTCCGTCTGTGAATGCGCGGAAGGCAGACCAGACGTTGTGGTAGCTCAATTATACATCACCAAGGGTAAGTAAGATTTATCACATTGTGTCCACATGCACTGACAAATTGAACAGTCGCCATAAATACTTTTTCAGGAGGTCTCTGTTTTGTGAACGTGCGGAAGAGATCAGAGCTCCTGGGGGATGGGTAACGTCCGTCTGTGAACGCGCGGAAGGCAGACCAGACGTTGTGGTGGCTCAAGTCCACATCACCAAGGTAAGTACAATTTTTCACGTTGCGTCCACATGAAGTGACAATGAGCCAGCCGCTGTTAATCGAACTGAACGAACCGAACGAGTCGAGCGAACGTCTCTTGTCTGTGAGAATGCGGAAGGCAGCAGGACGTATGGTGGTATCTCGTTTTTTTTCAAACAGTAAATATTCATTCCTCTCCCATCTTACTTGTATACCATGCTAACTGCACATCACCCGGGGGAGAGAGGGAAAGGTTCGTTCAAGTCTCTGTTTGTGAGCATGCAGAAGGCAGCAGAGCGTATGGTGGCTCGCCCCCTTTAACGAAAGAGGTGAGTTGTTCCTTGGTCTGATTTCTGTGACCGCTCTAACACGTTCGCATGGTACCCGGAACCCCTTATTTCCTTTCATCGTGTGTTTTCGCAATGCGAGGGGTCTGGAAGTTGAAACTTGGAGGGTACATTCGAGCACTAAGCTGCCTGTATGTCTGTATGCCTGTATGCTTTTATCCTGACTACCCTGTATGTTCTTGGAACATTCCCAATCCATTGCGTCAAAGCCTGCACTCAACATGTCTACCAAAGCCCCAACGAACTAGACATAATGTAGTGCATCAAATTTGAGAATCGAATAGTAGTCATGTTCCCAAGTCATGATCATTGTATGCGTACATACTCCTCAGACACCATGGAGTCGACTTCCGGGTTTTACCGTCATGACCCAACTTGACCATAAAAAAAATGATTTGATTGTCTCTGCAAAGTGACGGTCGCTATATTGAGTGGCATTGAATGATTAAAAGTGCAATTTTGCCGGACTTAGGGCTAGGTCCCGCCAGTTGGCTTGCAAATCCGAATGTACCTTGAAAGGCATTGATGTCCAATGGAAGGAAGTTTAAAATCATTTTGAATGACTAGCATGCAAGATATTCACTTCTATATTAAATGACTGTGTATACATTAAATGTCATGAATTGAATATGATGGATTGTCAGTCTCCTTTACGTTCGATCTCCGATAGAAACTGGCGACTTTGTCGCATGTTCCATGTCGCTAACACAGCGCCACCCACTTACGAAGATACGCCCGAGACAATTCCTGAAGCAAAGACCGAAGGCCGATGTGGTCGGATAAAAGAGCCTGTTCCTGGCCGGCCAAATCCGCGATTCCTAGGATCCACACACTATCGATCCCCCGATCCCCGATCCCGCGATACCCACATCCTGTCAGGCAACAATTAGCGAAGGCCTACAAGTGTACTTAAAGATGTCAAATTATCGGGTCGTGTGCCGCCGCCATCAATGTCAAGAATCTAGTCACTCATTTGTTATCTGATTCAAATCAACCAGGGCTATCCTTGTCCAGCCTTCATTCCTTCGGCCATGAAGCGGACTTGTGTTTTGCTAGCCTCCTGGGCCACGACCACTGCAGCGGTTGCTTCAGGGGCAGTAACTTGTACCACTACTGCAGCGCAGCTTGTCACCAACCCGTCGTTTGAGGATGGGACGACAGGCTGGACAATCCAGACCGGATCAAGCTACGATACCTTCGTTTACTCCCTAGCACCGGACGGCAGATCTGTACTGGCCCTTAATGGAGACCTGAACAATGTTCTCTCGCAGCCCATATCCAATATGGTCGTTGGCGAAACCTATACAGTTAGTTGGTACTGGCAACTGTTGGCCGTTGCCACTGGCCAATGCGAGCTCTCTGTCACCATAGGGAGCCAGACTGTCAATACCGCCATCTCTACATCGACTTCGAACCAGGCAGCATGGCTTCCCGGAACAGGCGCTTACACAGCTACCGCCTCGAGCGCACTGCTGGAGTTGAGCCTGGCTTGTACGAGTGGTTCTTTCTCCTCTTACTCAGAGGTCAACTTTGACGATATCACTGTTACTGGTCCTAATACGGAGACATGCTCCACCGCCGCTGTTACGCCTATATCGACTCCGACCCTGACCCCGACGCCGAGCTCGAGCGTGGCATCATCATCTGCGTTGGCAATTCTGACTAAATCGAGTTCGGCCGCCGTTAACATTGTTTCTTTATCAGTTGCCACTGGTAGTTCTGCGAGTATTTTGCCCTCATCCGCCATTTCCTCTGCTTGCATCCAATATGCCATTCAGGTGGTGCAGAATCCATCCTTTGAAAGTGGTCTCACTGATTGGACATTCAATGTCGAGCCGGCTACCATTGAAGCTGTGGAAGGCAACGCCGAAGATGGAATTTATGTTCTGTAGGTTTCCACCCATTCACTCTCCATGTCTGAAAAAGATTGCTGATAGTATTGATCTCTCTCCTTGCATAGATCAATTAGCTGGGACAGTCCTACGACCTCAAATCTCAACTTCCACCAAGACCTGATAAACCTGGACCCCAACTCCATCTACGACTTCTCTATGTGGTTCTCTGCAAGCTACGATGACCAAATTATCGGTACTCTATCATACTCCGCCTGGGCGCAGAGCGGCTGTGATGATGAAACAACCCTTGCCTACTCTTCCGCCAATACGAACGGAGCCTGGGCTGAAGTCACAGGTACCTGGCAACCTACTGATAGCACTGGAGCTCTATATATCGGCTTCAGCTTTGATGGATACAAGCCTGAATTGAAACTGAACATCGACAATATCCAGCTAGTGCGGCGCGCTACCTCGCAGCCAGCTTGCGCTTCGTCTCAAGCTATTTCTCCTACTCCTCTTGGGCAATCTAGCCATTTGAGAACTAGCACTCCTCTCATCCAGACTGCTGGGCCAACTACATTGCCTGTTGCTTTTGTGGCTGGTTCGTCTTCGGCGATCATTATTCCGCCTTCGGCATCCGTTACCAGTCATGTGAAGTCTGTTACTCCCCCTTTTCGCCGTCCATCGTCGTCTCGTATTACTCGCCGGCCTTTGTCTTCGGCTTCTGTGTCTGCTTCGTCCAGTTCTTCACTCGCCCCGCCCGTGCCATCTTTGCCAGTCGGGGCTGGCTCATCTTCTGCTCCTGCTATATTTACTTCTTCCGACGCTCAGGCTTCTAACAACATTACTCCTAGCGCAGCTACCACTGCATCGCAGTCATCGTCTGCTGGTCAGTCTAGCACGGTGTCGAGTGCTGTAAATCAGCCCACTGCTTCCGGGACTGGATCAGTTATAGAGACAACTTCCATTACTGGTACTTCCTCCGCTGTGCCCTTGACCACTTCTACCGTGTTTATCACCCAAGAACACACGATCACTGCCTGCCCATCATCCGTGACAGACTGCCCCGCCTCGCAGCGTACAACATATATCACCACAGAAACTATGGGAGCTTATACCACCACTTGCCCTGTCACAGCGACTGAGACTGCAGCAACTACAACTATCTCCATAGCAACTGAATCAGCGAAGAGCGCCAATCTTATCACAACATCAGCGGAGTCAATGACTACATCCACAGTCTACACTACGAAAGAGTACACCATCACAGCATGCCCCTCATCCGTGACAGACTGCCCCGCCTCAGAACAAAAGACTTACATCACTACTAAGACCGTAGAGGCCTATACAACAGTGTGCCCCGTTACAGCTACAGAAACCGGCGCAGCCACCTCTCTACCCTCGACCGTTCAAGTCTCCGCTGAGTCTGAAACTACTATTACTGCACCCACTATCACTCTAGCAGAACAAATGACTACATCCACAGTCTACACTACGAAAGAATTTACCATAACCGCCTGCCCCCTCTCAGTGATCGATTGCCATGCTTCACAGAAGACAGCACATGTTACCACGGAAACCGTGGTGGCGTATACAACCGTCTACCCTGTTACAGCAACAGCAACAGGTCCAGCGACTGATGAAGCCACTCTGCCCGCCGTAACTGATATCTCTGTGGTTTCGTCCGAGACCCAGACAGCAGTTACCGTCCATCTCTCTCCTGTTGACACTGAGACTTCCCGGGTCAGCTCTCCTGCCATCGAGCCTACTACAACCACAACTACGGAGACAATTGTGCCCACGATCTTCCCTGTGGATTCCGCAGCTACGGCAGGCACCAGCTCCGAGGTTGCTGCGGCAGGAGCGCTGCACTCAACGAACAGCGACTCTGTCGAGATATCCCAGACACAGGCTCCGGCTGGTTCCGCCACATCAGCTGAATCTTCAGGTTCTACCTCGGCTGGAGTCGTTGGATCTGTTTCTGCTTCTGCCGCTGGTTCTTCTTCTAATCAAGCAGTTTCAGCAAACTACTCAGGTACCAGCGGTGTCAGTGTCAGCAGTACCTTACAGGCTGTTGTATCACCAACGACCGCGGCCGCGGCTCCGTCGTTCAATGGTGCGGTTGGTACGAAGCCTACGTTGCTCAGTGGCTCTGCGTTGGTTGCTCTTCTTGTGGGGTACTTGGTTCTGTAGTAGTTGCGTGATGTGAGTTTTCGACAGCTCGCTTGTTTATTTGTTACTGTTTTTTCTTTCTAATGCTGAAAGGCTTTATGTTGTGATGGGAACTGGTTATATTAATTTCTTGTATATAATTGTCAGTGCTTGAGTGGCATCAGATTAGATCAGATCAGATCAATGATATTGACTGTGGAACTCAAAAGTGTCGAGTCTCCTATTGGCATGGATTATACGTCCGAAAACACTAAAAACCTCTAGAATATAGCCAAATCCATACCAACATGGCCTGGCATCTTTACAAAAATCCACAGCCCCGATATCCCCTTCGCTGTCTACACTCTACAAACACAAACAATCTACACAGCAAGCCCAGTGAAAAGAATAATTCCAAACTACCCCTAAAGCAGAAAAGACACCCATAGACAAACACGCGATGCAAGAAAGTGCCAGCATAACACCAACCCATGACGAGAGATAAGAGACAACACAAACGGACAAGGACAAGACTAATACTAAGATCCAGTAGATGTTTATGTATGAAGCCGCAGAAATGAAGAATTTGAAGGAATAACCCGATAAGCCCGGCAGGAACCAATGTCTATACAAGTCGAGACGTGTAAATGCGCTGAGAGATCTGGTGGAGAAAGTGGACGGAGATGGAGATGGAGAGAAGGAGGAGGGTATGTGACGCCAGACGGAAGACGGAAATCGGAATGGATACATGGAACATGGAGTAAGCAGACGCTCAACGAATGGGTAAATAGAGAAGAAAAGAAAAAGGAGAAGGAGAAGACAACACAAAAGGTAATATAAGAAGGTGGGTGTGGATCGTGGAATGACAGCGCGGAATGCACTACGGTGGAGTCGGCGTTTGTCCGATTTCCGCGTGGTCACGAGGCTTGTCGCGAGATCGCATATACATGGCATCTGGGTAAGCGTCCGGTGCGGGCTCGATCGGGCGCGGGAGACTGTGCTGCTGCTGAGCGACGACCTCTCGCGCGTAGAACTCTACAAGCATTGTACCGTAGGACTCTAGTTCTTCCACGGATATGGCTAGCCGGAAGTCGTTCAGTAAGAGGAACTGGAGTTCCAGGTGGTTAAGCTCCACTAAGGGAAGGCCGCCAACCTAAATAAAGATTGGGTCAGTGATGGGGGCATGGGATGAAAAGAGATAAATCAATATACCTTTGCGTATCGGGAATTGGTGTAGAAAACATCGGAGAAGAATTTGCTGGCGCAGGTCACGCCTGCGATGACCAGACGGTGGATATTGAAGCTGTCGACGACGAAGAAGTGGGAGAGGGCTTCGGCGTCGGACTCAGGGGAGAGCGTGGAGAGGCTGGGAGAGAGAGAGGACGTGCCCTGCGGGTCCTGCGCAGTGAAGCCTGTCGAGGAGGGTGGTGTTGCCATGGGGGAGTCGTGCATGTGAGAGTCGTCCATGTAGCGGGCCGAGGAGTCCGGGTCTGATTCCTCCGAGTCCCAACGGGTGTGTAGGTGGTCGATTTGGCGGGTGTTGACGAGTTCGGTCATGCGGTCGAAGTAGACCAGTAGACTGAGGAAGACTTCGTAGGTTGTTGGGCAATATTTGTGGATGCGGGTGAGGTAGCTCAGGATAGTTATGCTGGGGACGTTTTTGCCGTGGAAGGCGAGGACACTGGTTGCTTGGGGGCTGAGATGTGAGGTTCCATCGGGGGGAGGGATGTGGCGATGGACGTGTTCGTGGTGGGTGTCGTTCGTGGTGGTGATCTTGGTCAAAAGGCCAGCGACCATCTCGATGATCTCCGTGACCGGCATGGAGCTAATCTCATATTGTCGCGACCCGGTTGGCGTATGCGTACGCGAACCCACGAGGTCTTCGCTGGCGAGGCTTTGGATGTGGGATAGACTTTGGACTCGAATGCGGCTTGGTGAACTCGCTTCCGATCCCGGTACGGACTGCATTGACCTATATGTTGGTTCTAATCGTGGCGAATCCGGTGCTCTTTGATTTGAAAAGGAGTTCCCCATGGACTCCGGGTATTCCGTTGTATTTGAATAGGGAGGAAAGGCATTATTGGACGTCATGGAAGGCGGACGTGTATCGGAGGAAGTGCGCGAAGAGTTGTAAGCTACATCATGCCGAGCAGAAGAGCCTGGCGGGGCAGTAGTAGAGGTGGGGGTGTTGGATCTCGACCGAGTAGAGTGAACGGAATTTGAAACCAACATGGTGAGAGACTGATTGGATTCTCTTTTCTCTTCCTCTTCTCGAGTCTCTTTTCTCATATAACAATTAGTCTGTTATTCTGTCAGTTTTTAGGCGGTCGCAACTCGGTAGTTTGCCACGATGAAACAAATAGAAAGGCAGAACAGGATCATCAAAGTACATATACAAAGTTGAAAAATTAAGATCAAAAAGTAACAAAAGTAACAAAGGTAAGAGGGGTCTACATACTAGGACTAGACCATAAAGTAAAGACAGGAGAGGGGAGTGTTGGATCAGCGAGTGTCGATCTAATTCATCAAGGCAGAACGCGTAAGATTATGATATAATATATATTAAGGAGATGAAATATCCATTGTATGAAGTAGAGTATAAAGAGTAGAAAGAGTAAAAGATCTCTTTCGCTTTCTTCTCTTCGATATACATATAGGAGTAATCACCATAAGTACCTGTCATATAAAAAAAAGACGGTGTAGACTTAATCGTATGGACGAATGAAACAACGATATGAGCGCCCGTGGTGTGCCGAGAAATGGGAGATTATATATGGACTGATCGAATATTTCCCTATAAAGAGTGTAAGAACCTCGGAATATAAGAATACAAGAATTGGTTAATGACTAGTTAAAGAATAAGATCTCAAATATAGCTAAACCTGCAGATAATCATATGTGACAGGTTTTAATTGCATGTCTACTTTGACTTGATGCGTTGTTCTTTTCTGTTTACTACATGATGTCAGACTCGAGTACGCCTGGGCAATCCAGTAACGAACCAGTCAATTGTTTATAGCCTTCCTTGATAGCTTTTGATGATCCTTGAATGTGTGGTGTCAGACTCGTTCTGTCGGATATGTCCTGTCGAGCCATATCTCTGTATTAATTGCAGACTGAAATCATGAACCCATTTCATTCGATTGACGCAATATTAGAAAAAGAACTTATTAATTCGTCACGCCTGGCCCAGTGTAGCCGTTGTCTGGCAGGTAAAGATGTCTCACGGCACCATTCTTGGTCAGAACCACCAGACGAATGACACCGCCAGAGCTACCATCCCACTTGATTGCCTCCTGCAGAGCACTCCGCACAAAGTCGATACCTTCCTCCTCTGTCATCTGTTCCCGCCAGTGGGCATCGGTATAACCGTAGATGTAGGTGGAGCCCGAACCACCGATAGCGAAAGACTGCTTGTGAAGGGATCCTCCCAAAGGTATCGAGTACACCTGACCTCCGTGTCGTGCGTCCCATCCGGCAAGAATGATACCCGCACTATTCAAACACCCGATATCAGCATGGTGCCTGTCAACAATCATTCAAAACGGAAAGCTACTGACCTCAGTGCGTCCTTGTTCTCATAACACAGTTCCTGGAAAAGCGATGCGGCCACCTGTGTAGTTGGAGCCTCGGAATTCGTTACGCCGTACATGTTGAGATGGTAGGAGACGATGTCGGCCACAGCCTGGGTATCGGCCGCGGAGCCCGAGCGGCAGCACCAGATGGTGTCATGCACCTGTGTCAATTTGTCGGTGACTCGGTTGGCGATGTAAGCACCAGTGGTTGTGCGGCTGTCGGCGCCGAGAATGACACCGTCTTTGAAGTTGATTGCCATGCTGATATGCGGTGTTAATGATATGTTGGGGGATGGTTAAGGTTCGAGAGCTCCAGCTCAACTCACATCGAGGTACCCAAGCTAAACAAACGAAAGATTAGTACATGTGACATAGCTTCAGAGAAAATAGTATCAATGGAGTCTAAGCTTACTTGACCTCGCCAGACTTCAGGTGGTTCATGTCGACGTGAATACCATCTGTGAGATGTTAGCTAGGTGCTATCAACGGATGACGATAGCTCTCTCACCTTCACCCAGCATTCCTGATGGACCGTGAGAAGAAACCATTTTGTGATGAAATTGGATTTGAAATGCTGGAATAAAAAACAATAGAAACAGATAATGCGGCAAGGAAGACAGTTGAAGGTAAGGGAGAGTGATGCTATCATGAAGGCAGAAGCTCAATAACGCGGCTCGGGCGGTGAACAGAGTTGACTTATCAACTTTCCCCCCGCGAGAACCTCCTGAAAACCTCTTGTCTCTAGCTCCTGTACTGATCTTCCTGTATGTCTTTGGCATTGGCCTTTTAACCTGTAAAATTTCCCAATATCAGTCTTTCTTTTACACAAATTCTCTTCCATTTTAAGGCCATGTCGGAATCTCCTCCGCCTCCATCTTGGAGCATCAGCACTCTGGCAAACAATGCTGCGCATTTCATGCGACTACCCGTTCTGGCCTCATCTGGTCTGGCTGTGGTTGCGAGTGGACTGCTTTACTTTAAGCAAAAGTACGCTATGGAGCTCTAGACCATCTGTTTAGCACTAACATACTCCCCAGCGAACTAATCTATCCCCGCAACGTCCCTGTGGATGCGCGTACGAATGTACCCAGTCCTCGCCAGTTCGGCATCACCGATTTCGAAGATCTCCAAATCCCCACTCCTGATGGAGAATCCCTGCATGCTCTCTTTCTGCGCCAGCAACCAACTCGATCTTCTCGTAATGTGACTGTCTTGATGTTCCATGGCAACGCTGGAAACATTGGCCACCGCGTGCCCATCGCCCAAGCCCTACAGAATACACTTCGGTGCAATGTTTTCTTGTTGGAATATCGGGGGTATGGAATGTCAACCGGAACGCCAGATGAGGCGGGTCTCAAGGTTGATGCTCAGACTGGCCTTGATTACCTGCGACAACGGCCCGAGACGAGAGACACGGAGATTGTTGTTTACGGACAAAGTCTCGGCGGTGCAGTCGCTATCAACCTTGTTGCGCAGAATGAAGAGCAGGGTGATATCGCTGGACTAATCCTGGAGAACACTTTCCTGAGCATTCGCAAATTGATCCCAAAGTGGGTATTCTGGTGGTTGTTATTTTTGAACGAGATTGCTAATTCTGAATCAGTGTCTTCCCTCCAGCGCGGTATCTCGCTCGCTTCTGCCATCAATATTGGACAAGTGAAGATGTTCTGCCGAAAATAGTGAAAACCCCTGTTCTTTTCCTGAGTGGGCTTAAGGACGAGCTTGTGCCGTAAGTTTGTTTGCCCCTAGGCCGTCTGGCCTCCGCTAATCTCTCATAGTCCGTCCAACATGACACAATTATTTGCCGTTTGCAAGTCCGAATCTAAAACCTGGCGCACACTACCCAACGGTGGCCACAATGACTCCGTTGCTGAGCCAGGTTACTTCGAACACATTCTTTCCTTCATTACCGAGGAAGTGCTGGGTCGTAAAGACTAAAGCTGGCAAATTTATTCAATTTGTCTAAGGCCTAAATGCCTGCTACTGACCATTACGGTCTCCGTCACGATTTTCTCCAACGCCTTTCTTTGCCGAATGCAAAGACTTCAAGCTTGTTTCCAACGCTACACTCTCGACAGCCAATCTAGACCTCTGGTTTTGACTCTTGTGACACAAGATTCAATTGACACTGTCAATTATGACCATGATACCCTCTGCCACGCAATCAAGACACAATTTTTACTTTGCATCCACTTAATGACTAAGGCTACCCTTGATGGCGTATACAGGTCTGATGACCTTTTTTCCTTGGCCCGGAAGCACCAGGGCGAAGTGTCCCTTGAATTGAGAGTGGCTCTCTTCCTGTTTTCTTTATGTTCTATTTTTGTTCAATTCTTCTTGTACGCTTTTTGACTGGCATCATTCTGCTCTCGGTGTTTACAGGGGCTCAGTATCGAGCGCTGGGCATGTATGTTTCCCTGGACCTTTTGCTTGCTTTGCTCATTGGACCTGTCCAACTTATTTATGTGCAACTCTCAACTGATAAAGTCATGGTACGAATGTGATATAATTTTGATTGATGTTTCGAAAATTTCCTCGATGCGTAACATCGAAGGATCGTGTTTGTTATCAATATTATCTTAAAACCAAGAAAGCCTGCAGACAGAACAACATTGCTGGCCTGGGCCAAGAGGCAAACAAAAGGGTTAATGTCCACTCATAGCTCAGAAACATATCCATGAGACAGTCAAACCCACGATAGCATTGACATGAACATTAGAACGTAAGCATCCGAGCTTACCATTGACCAATAGGGGAATTAGTTCAAGCTTCCAAAACCTACTTACCATGTAAGTGTCCAAGTGTCAGATAGCCGAGGGGACCGTGTAAGCAGTACAACATTGCCTAGTATCAGCTCTCGACTCAATATCCCCTTCCCATCAACCATCCATCTTTCACACCATGGCTACCCCAACATACCAGCCCCATGCCCAAACCTCAAAGGCAGTAGCATGGTATCAACCAACCTTAATCCAACTACCCACGCCAACAAAGGACCTCTTCCTCCGATACACGGACCTCAAAACAGAAGATGCAGTAAAAGCACACATACTTGCTGTCCGCGAGAAAGCATGGCAGATGTAAGCAATGCAAGACAACCTTGGAAGAAATCTATATATGTATATTTTCATCCATACATAACAAAGACACTAAATATCCACCCCAAAGCCACCCATACCCCTGCATCGGACTCTTTAAATTCCTGAACTTCAGCATCCACCTCTCTCCAATATACCCTGAAATCCTCAACCGCATCCGCGCAGGCCAAACCCTCCTCGATCTAGGCTGTTGTCTCGGCCAAGATCTCCGCAAACTAGCCTTCGACACAGGAACATCCTCGAATCTCATAGGCGCCGACATCGAAGCCAGCTTCCTACAACTAGGCTACGAGCTTTTCCAAGATCGAGCGTCGTTGCAAGCGCACTTCGTTACGGGTAGTATTTTCGACGAAGACTTTCTCGCTACGCGGAAGGGATCCATTGATATAATCTACCTGGGCAGTTTCCTGCACCTGTTTAATCTGGCAAAGCAGCGGGTTATCGTTTCGCGACTAGAAGAGCTACTCGTCCCGCGTGCTGGGTCTGTTGTTTTCGGACGACATATCGCTGCGCTGGAGGGCGGGCCGTTCTTCATGGAGAGTCTTGGGTGGGATATGTTTCGGCATAGCGAGGTGACAATTCGCGAGCTTTGGGGTGCTGGGTGGGAGGTGCATAGCCAGTTAGAGGAGTATGAGTCTGCGACACAAGAATCGGGGAATTGGCAAGGCGATACGACGAAGCAGATGACGTTTTGGGCTATTAGACGTTGAGATTAAACAGGTCGTGGAATATGCCATTTCATTACCGAGCACAGTATTCTAGTTTCGATCTATAAGAACAGCCCAGGGGAGGGCAAATACTACATATAATACAAGTCCAGGCCGGGAGCTTACTGGAGTCGCTCGGACTCTTCAAGCAATTCCTCAACCTTGAAGTTCTCAACATCACCGCGGGTGAACATGCGCACAAGCTCGCTCTTGCGGCCACTCGCCTGGCCCTCGAAGTCATAGAAGCGCTGCACGCAACTAACCAGCCAGGTTGCCTCGGGCGCGGAAACACCGCCGTCGGGGATGATCTGGCCGTGCATCAGGACTAGGCCCTTGTCATCGGCCAGATCCAGGTGGTGCGTGATAGTAGTGTGAGGCGTAGCAAACGCGCCGTGCATTTTATAAGCGCCCAGGTTTGTGAAGATCACCGTGGAAGTGTGATTGTTCGACGGCGAGGAGGTGGAGCCCTCCGCGGGCGGGTGGAAAGCCCACTGCAGGAAATGGATATCGGCAGCGGTACCGGTTGCGCCTGCGGGAGTCTGCTCCGCTTCCTCGGGGGTCTGGGGGCGCGGGAGGGGCAGGATGAACTGCGGGTTCTGGCGGGCTGCTTGGATGATACGGTTGTATGTTTCCAGTGGGATTACGGCAGAGATGGCGTGGGCGTTGTTTGCGTGGCGCAGGCGCCAGAGAGCTTCGATCTCTTTGGGTGGGAGGGCGCGGATCTTCTCGACATCCAGGTATGTGCTGAGGGGCTTGACGGGGCTGGAGTCGCTGGAGACGGCGCGGGCAGCTTTGGCGGTCTTGGATTCCTGGGGAGGTGGGGGAGGCTGGAATGCTTTTGGGGTGCCTGGGACGGCGGTGGTGGATACTGGGGAACCGGGCTCTGGAGTTGCGACGGTGGATGCTTTGCGGCGAAGGTCTTTGATCTTGTCGCTGTAGGCTTCTTTCAGTGATTCGATTGAGTCGTGGCCCTCCCTAGACAATGTGTTAATTCATGTATGGGCATGGCTTTTGCCGAAGTAACTTACTGTTTAGCCTTTTGATCTAGCTTGGAGCGATACTTGTCCACGACATATTTGGGGTCGTGGTGCGAGGCAAGAAAGCGCACATCGTGGACTTGTGCCCACCGGCGCTGCTGGTTACGCAGCAAGTGGGAGTTGCTCCTGAGAGTAGACTGGAAACCCTGCAGTCTGAAAGGCATTTTGAGTCTTGGGAGTCAAATGAATTGAAGGTCCTGAGGTCCGATTCAGATCTCCCCGGAAAATATGAGATGACATAATCCCTGACGTAAGCTGTTATCGTGCCTGGTCAATCTTATACTTGAGCAACTGGCAATGAAAACATTGCTACAGAGAAGATTTCAATGAATAAAAAGACTGTACTATTCAGTTATTAGACCCTTGACTACACTACAGAACTCACCAGCTACAACTCTTGGGAGCAAATGGCCCAATTTGTCAGCACTTTATGACCCCAACTATAAACCTTAAGTATAGTTATGTCCCCTCAATTACATTATACGCAGGTGTACTTTCTCAATTCTCCAACTCCTCATCTCCTTAAATAACCATTTATTCAATACATCAATCATTCGATCTCTATCCAATTCACTACCACAACAATGTCACTCAAACAAAAAGAATTCACTACTCCACCACCACACCCGCCAGTCGGCACACCACTCCATTGCCCCTCCGCGCTGCCATGGTACTCAATCGCACCAGGCGTGTGGGAGTTTATGCTAAACGGCACCGAAGAAGAAAAAGCCGTGCTGCAATGGTGGGAGCCAAATACGCTCTCGGCACAGACCGACCAAATAACACACACCTACATTGAAGAAGTGTGCACGTTGCGCGGTGGCCTCGAGGATCTTTCGCTCAAGCAGTCGTGGGGTATCGGTGCCTATGCGTATAGATACCCTGGCATGGAGCATGGGCCATATAAGGCTGCGAAGGAGGGTTGTTTGCAGTTTGTTAAGATTATGCCAGCTAAGTAGAGCGGGATCGGTCGTTGCTGGGGCTGTTTACGGGGAAATAGATGGGTGATGATTTGAAGTGTTTTTTTGTTTAGCTATTCTCTTTTTGTGTGCTCAGTCAAATAAACAGATCCATCATCATCTCATATGAGATATGATATGTATAGAACTCCAATATCATGCAAATGGGAGTAATGAGACATGGTCAACGTGAAGTCTTTGTTTTCAAGTCATCAATCATCAAATCGAAAGTTTAGACTTCGACATCAGTTACAGCAGAAGCATCAGCTTCAGCGTGTTGATCCTCCTTTGGCTCAGTTTCAGCCTCAGCGTCAGCCTGAGTGCGTTGATTCTGCAGCTCGGCCCCAGCCTCAACCTCAAATCCAGATCCAGGTCCCAGGTCCACAGGGTCCTCACGAACCGTCTCCTGTTCATTACCCTGTCCCAACTCCTGATCAACCATCACCTCTTGATCTTCCTTTTTTCAGCCTCCTCCTCAGCCTCCTCCCAATCCTCCACGACCTCAGCAGGCGGCGTCTTCGCACGCAAAGACTTCCCAGCCCCAACACCAGACCTCAGAACCAGCCGCTCCTTCTTCGCCCCATCATCAAGAGCCGCATAAATAGACTTACTAACCCAAGAGTTCTGAACAGGTGTCCCACTCCTAGTGCTAGCTCCACTTCCACCGCGACTCTTCGACGCAACCTGCGCCCAACCGCCATCACCAGAACTAGCCTGCGCCTTTGTTACTTCGCGGGCGGCCTTTGCCTCGAGAGCAGCGATGCGACGGGCCTCTGCTTCTTTTGAGCGTTCGCGCTCGCGCATCTTGACGCACTCGCGCACGCTCATGCCGCCGATGCCTATTGTCGCGCCGCTTCCTGTGCCGAAAAGGGGCGGGGTCCAGACAACCGGTTTCAGTACGAAGACGTGGCGGTGCGGTTCTGGGTCGTGGCTTTCTGTTACGAAGCCCCAGTCTGCGGCCAAGGAGTGCGCGAATGCGCGGAGGGTCGGCTTTGCGGGCTGGAAGCGGAAGGAGCGGGTGGTTTTGTCTGCTGTTGCTAGGGAGTGCAGGTTCGTCTCGTATGTTTGGAGGGTTGATAGGGGCACGGATGATGCGAGCTTGATGTATTGGTTCAGGGTCTCCTCTGAATACGGGAGGTTCTCGGCTGTGATGGTTTGCGCCGTGGTTGTTTGGTTGATGTCAATGCCGAGAGCACCTGCCAGTGAGCGGTTTCGCTCTAGGCGCGTGCATTCATCATCGCAGGCCAATGGTGTTAGATCGGGGTTGCGCTGAGGCGACTGGATCTGGCCCTTGGATGTCACGGCTTTGGCTGCGTTGCAGCGTCTTTCCTGTCGGAGTCGTCCACAGCTACATGTCACCGCGAGCTTAGACGAACATGGTGTCGTTTCGGGACACGCGTAGGGAGCATGACACTGCTCTGTGCATGGATGGCCGCAGATCGTCTTGTTCTTTCCACAGGCCTGAGTACATGGTTTGGTTGCGTCTTCGCAATCCTCCGGACGATGGCAATCCTTCCGGCAGAAATGAGAGCCACATTTGAGCGGCTGCCCACACAATTGTCCGCAGCGTGCATCGGACAGCCAGCAAGGGATGTTTTTCAATACCCGCTTGCCGCACAGGCACGGCTTCTCGGTTAGGAACGGACACTTGGGACAGTTCTCTTCATCTGTGTGGCAGGTATGCGCGGCCTGAGGGTGACCGCATCGCTTTGGACGCTCGCATGGATGATGGCAAGCAGGTGGCTTCGAACCACATGGTTGCGGTGGATATAGAACAGATCTTCCGCAATTACACGAGATCTCTTCAAATACTGCCTCTCTGCAGGTATTGCAGGCACCCTTATGGCAAAGCTCTGGGCATGTGTGTCTTCCGCATTTCAGCGTTCGGCCACACACGCGAGTACAGATGTGCTCTGCCTCGATATCCTCTTCAGCAGGGCGGAGATGAGGCCTGAGCTTACGACGTGCAGCTTGGCGCTCGTTCGCCCTCTGCTCTCCTGGACAGCACCGCTCCGTGCATGTGTGTCGACCGCAGTGTAAAGTTGCTTTACACTGGCGTGGGCACATGGGAGGCTGGATCTGACCTTGGTGACAAATGGTCCGGTTACTGGTACGACCGCACTGGCATTTGATGTCGACTTTGAGCAGACAGGCACCACAAGGTCCGATGTGACACAGCTTTTCACAAGGATGACCACATGGAAGACTCTTACCACATGGCTTTTGGCAATTCAGGATTGGATCTTCGCAAGAGGTCCGGGGTTTGTATCCAGGAATCTCAGACAGCGGTGTTTTGCCACAGGCGCAGTCAAGAACAACATCCGGTGATCGTGGACAGTGTGCAGGCTGCGACTCTTGAGGGTGGCAGCCCTTCTGACATGTGTGTACACCACAGTCGAAGGGGCGGTTGCAAGTCTTTCCGCAACCAAAGCAGCCGGTCCATTCCTCCTCCGAGCCATCCTCACGAGCAACTCGACTATCTTCTTCGTCATCCTTGGACTTGCACAGCATTTCTGTCTGCAGCTTGCCACAATAGCAGCGACCCTCAATGCTGACTTCGCAGCCTCCACACAACCCCTCATGGCACGGCAGAGGGCAGGTATGTTCTCCACAAGGAAGAAGCTCACCACAAATCTCACCACAGCTCCATCCATTCTTATAATCCGTATCCTGGCATCGCTTGGTCGAAGAATTCAAACCACAGAAACAATCCTGAGTCGGTCCCATAGCAGTACAAGGCGCACACGGACCAGCATGACAAGTCGTATCACAAGGATGGGGACAGTCCTTACGAGGTCTCGAGCAAGTCTGACCACAAGAGTGCGGAGGTAGACCAGGAAATGGCTTAGGGTCGACTTCCTTCTCACACCAACAAGAGTAATTCGAAGGGAAATTCTGATGCGAAAGATTACAACCAGGACAACGCCAAGCGCGAGGCGTCAAGTTCTCCTGCCCGTCTTCCTGGCCCGAAGCCCTCTGCGCCGAAGCGCCCTCATTCATGGACCATTTTTTGACACAGCTCAAGTGGAAGACCGTCCAGCAAAGCTCACAAGACCACACTTTAGATCTGCGACCCAACTCGCTGCAACAAATGGGGCATTCGTACAGATTGTGTGCAATATCCTCGTGGATTCTGGTAGCCAGATCATCGGCTGTGGATTTCATCGTGACCTTCGGTGGTTGCCTTGCCCGAGCTTTCGCTTTGCCTTTAGCAGACACGACAGATTCCGAGGGTGGTCCGCGTTGGGAGGGCGGCATTCCCGGTACGAAGTCTGGTACATCAGCCCTGAGAGAGTTGTCGATAAGTTGTTCTGCAACATCCAATGGGGCACCACTCGAGTCCTGGTCTGGCCTTGTTAATTGGGCCTCGAAACCCCGCGCTCTCATGCCGCGGGTTCGTGCATCTGGCCGTATATCCTGTCCAGCACTTGGTCCGGCACTTGGACCCTGGGTTTGTCGCGGCGGTCCATTGTTCCTTGGTCTCCGCCCTCTTCCATCTCTGTTCCTCCCTCTCTGTGAGCGCGAGTCATTGTGCTGACCAGGCTGGGGGGTTGTGTTCGACGGCTGGGATTGTGTAGGCTGCGATTGTGTCGCTCCTTGAGCCTGAGGCTCGCTTGTAGGACCGGGCCTTGTCTGTCCGTCCGGGTTCGCAGAACCCCGCGCTCTGCGTCTCGGTCTTGAACGTGGGGGTCGTGACCCGCTGGGAGCGGAGGCCTCCGCCTGTGGTGCTGACATGACCGAGGTAGGTAGAGTCTGACTGAGCACTCCTGGCGTGCTCATATGCGTGCGGTTTATTTTCTCACGCGGCGCTATGGTGGGCTGAATGGCTGATAAATGTGATCGACCAGAGGTCCTGACTAGAAATATAGAAACTGAGAATCAAGAAAGGAGTGAAGAAAAGCCCAGCACCAGGGAAATTGAAAGTAAATCAAGGCAATAGCCTACTAAAAACAACGATCAGGAAATAGCAACACAACGAATTATCTAGAAGGCGATAAAAGCTCTCCACGCGGCAGAATAAGGCGGTGGGGTGTTAGGCGGTGACGTAAGTGAGTCAGGAATTACATAACATGACTCATTTTCCAAGGTGGGTTCGATGTGGGTCGACGATCTATGCGATTGACTCATGTCGTATAGAATCCTTGAAGTGAAAGGAATTGACAAGCCTGGTTGGTTAACACGTGTCTCATTGTATGGGTCCACTTATAGAAGCAGTCTGATACAACATAACAAAGAGAACCAGAGCATTGGCATCCGCCGAGGTTGAAATCCAGTGAACAAGTTTGACCCTTTACGCCGACTCGAATCGAGACGCAAGACACACCAGAGACATCTTACAAAAGACAGACCAAGTCAAGGTAGACATTATCAATGCAATTTAGTCCGTCCCACATTAATATGAACAAAATGCGCATCAAAAGAAACATGGCGCTATGCAGAAAACCAGCCCATTCATCTCATAAAACCCAAACCACAAACCCCATCGAATCTTGATCATACAACCCACTTACTTTTAGATGAAAACCACAATCTCGCCGCGATCATTCCGTCCCAACCGCAAAGCCCTCCAAAGATCCTTCTCATCCTCAAGTCTGCGCTCCCGATCATCACCCGAGAGATCGCGGTGGAAACGCTTCAGCGTCTTGTTAATCGAGAATCCGCGCTCGGCAGCGGCACCGCTCGGCACAAATGAAAGGAAGTGGTGGGCGAGCTCACGCTGCAGATCCTCATCTGTACGCGCAGGCTGCTTCGACTGGTTGTAGACTGTGACCTGGTGACTGGTCGAGTCCGCTAACCCGCGGCGCTCGTCGATCTGCTTCAGGCGGCGGGTGGGTCTGTCGTCGGTGGGGTTGCTGCTCTTGCGCTTGGATTTGCGGGTTTCTTCGGGAGAGGCGCGGGAGCGGTGCGACTTCTTGCTTTTGCGGACTTCGAGCTGGTCCTCAGCGCTGGAGTCGCTGCCGCGGCGGGCGCGGACGACAGTTTTGTGGTTGGGTTCTGTACCACTGGTGCTGGAGACAACCGAGCCGCCGAACATTGAGGAGACGAGACGCTCGGCGCGGTTCTTCATCGAGATTCCAAGGCCTGAGTCACCGTGTCCGTTGGCTTCTTTGCCGTTGCGACGGCTGCGCTTGATCGGGGATGAGGTATCTTGGTACGCGCGGCGGTGGGTTTCCGGGCTGTCGTCGCCTGGGGAGGGCGAGCGCATCATGCGGTTTAAGCCGCCGGTGAGACCGGAGTGTTTGAGCATTGGGGTGCCGGCATTGTTGATAATGCTTGAAGGGGCCTCCATCATTGGGGTGTCGACTTCCTCGCGGGGAGTGCTGAGGGCCTCTGGTTGGCCGCGCTTGCGCTTTTTCTCGCTGACGGTGCCGGGGGCCTTCTCCTTGCGGTCCTTCTTCTTCTTAGGTGCGGGGGTGACGAACTCTGTTGATATGTTAGGGGGCGAGTTCGAGTGGGGAATGCTACCGGCGCCATAGGAAAAGCCGTGCTCGTTGTATGCCACGTCGTAATTCTTACCCTCGTCATCCGTAGTAGGGTTCGCCTCGAAACGAGCCAGGGACTCACTGGGCTCGAATACTGATTTCGCGTTGGTCTTCATCGTCATCTGCTCCTTGGGCTCGGCAAGAGTGACCTTGGATGCGTTCGGGGTCTCTTCGGCGACCAAATAGTCGAACACATTGACAGGCTTGTCATTGGCCGGAGCGGGAGTGCGGACCTCATCAATAGGTGGGGGTGTAGGAGCAGGAGGGGGAAGAACGGTCTTGAGACCCTCGCCATCTGAGCCATCCTCCACACGGGGTTGCTGGTGGCGGCCGTTGGGGTTTTGTTTCGCATTCGCGATCTGCTTTTGGTTGTTCTGGTTGTTCTGACCTTTCTTCTGATTCTTGGTCGGCTTCTCCTTGTACAGAGCACCCTGGTATTTTTGCGCCTCGCTCATACATGACTGCAGTGGTCGACCTCATTAGCCCGTGCCTCCCTTGACTTGGATCAACTGGGAGCCTAGGCCCACAAGTCCAAGTACATTATGTGGCAAGACTCCAACGTACCGTGTGAGCTCTATACTCGGTTCCATAGAAATGTACCATGCAATCGATACAGGTGAAGGAAGCGCCGCGACATTGGCCGCGATGAGGGTCGAGCTTTTTCTTGGTGAGGACATCACCACAGGCCTATCATAATGGTCAGCATCTTTTTCACGTATGCGCATAGCCACAAAACATGTAAGCGCCTTATAAAGAATCCTACTCACTTCGCAAGAGAAAGAAACCATGTTGTTATATGAGATCGCTTGCGCAAACAAGCAGCAAGGATCAAAAAGATGGATCAAGTGGGAAACCCAGAAACAAAATGCGCAAAGTTACGCGATAATATGAGGGGCGGTATCCCTTGAAAGATGTCAAGTTATGCGCAAAGAAGCAAACCAATGTATCCAAAAAAGAATCAAATTCCTTTTTTTTTTTTCGAAGCGCGCGCGCGATTGACTAGTCTGGATTGGGCCAACGCTAAGCTGTTTTGGGATGTATATAATTCTTGCACTGGGAGAATTTGACCGGTGCAGATGTGTTTTGATTCAAAAGAAGAAGAAATAATAGAGTTGAATGTATAAATATATATGTATGATAATAAAAAAAAAAGAAACCAAAAATTCACCATACATCTGGAAATCGTGTTTCAGGTGAACGCGACTAAACCTGCAGATCTCGTTATCAAGCATTAGCTGAGTTGCACCCTGTCAGGAGACCCCAACCTTTCATTTGTTCTCGCGCGGAGAAGTCGTGTCTTAAGACTATTCTTGGACAAAACTCAAACCTCATCCCTTTCGGCTACTTGAACAAAATCCACGATGTACAGTCGTCTTTACTCTTTTGGGATTTGGGATTTGGGACATATTGGCATGAGACTGAACTTAGTATCATGGGCGATTATACAGATATCTGATAGCTCAGAGTATTCAAAAGTTTAATCGGTGCTTCTGTTGAAAAATCGAGTCTAGAGCGACGGATTACGCCGGTTAGTCTGCTTTGCCATTCAGGGATATACTAGCTAGGCTGGTTGGGTCATGCGCGCTATTTGATCACCGGGGAGGATGATCTTTTGTTCAGGTGCGCTTGGTGGGATCGGCAAATAAGGTCAGATACAGGTTGGTTTAGTACATTGCTCACTTATGCTGGTGGATAGCTGGTTGATATCTATACAATAATCATTCGAGTATTCATAGATTTATCTGCTAATGCTTCACGTTATGTTTGCTCCAAGATATAGAATAGATACCTATTTGGATCTATATCTTAGACGATGGGAGTCTTCAAAATCAGACCCAAGACAGAATGGCAAATACCAGACTTAATCAAACGTGCATACTTAGATCGATACTACGATATCGCGCCATGGGATGGACCCCCACCCCCTCTTCAGCCAGAAGCCACTTGCACATGCAAAACATAAGGGTATATTGATATTGATACTGTCAATCGACATTCTATTACTGTACAAGGAGACCAGCTCCACAGGGACAATCCAGCGTCCAAATTAACCCCAAGGAAGCAGTCCAGGAGCGTAGGAAAACCTGCATAAGAGGGGGATCCCGTCAACCGCGCGTAGTCCTAAATCGACATTAGCAATCAAGCACAAGTATCCGCCCCAGCATCACTCACGCCTCCTTCGAAATCTCCACAGCCGGCCCATCCCGCTCCGCATCAGCACCAGACCGCGGCGCCGATCCCTCTGCCCTCTTACCCTCTTCCTCCTCATTGCAACCGCAATCATAGGCGTCGCCCAAATTCGCACAGTCAAATTCCGGCTTATCAAGCATAGCATTGACCTCATTGTGAATAAAGCAACCCCAACCGGAAGCGGCATTCCGCGACGATACCTGCGGCGGGTACTTCTGCAGATGTTGCTGGAAATGTTCAGCACACTCTCCACTATTGTAGTTGTTAGTCCGCGATTCGATTCGTCCGCACAAAAGCACGCGCGGCGGAAGCAAGCATAAATTACCAAGGATATAACCTAGCGAAGAGGTAGATGTAAGAGCGCAGGGCATCCTTCTGGTCGTCCGTGGGTTTTTCGGGGTATCGCGCCATGACGGTGTGGAAATACTTCCATGTCGCACGACCCAATTCAGCCCTGGAGGGGACCAATGCCCGGTCAGCGATTTGTGTCACTCACAGTTTGACGTGTTGTTTTCAAGTTCATTGAAGGGGAAATGAACGGTTCTGTCCCTTGCGCTTGCTTACTTGACTGTCGCATTGCCTAGCTTCGGCATCACCACGCCCCCCTTCAGGGTGCTTTCTTGGATGCTTATTCCCGGCGCGGGCGCGGAGTGGTCGATGTGGCCTGGGGCGCGGATGGCGGGGCTTGGAGGCCCTTGTGGCCGGATGAAGAGGAAGAAGATTAGACATAGTGAGATCGCTGCGCTGGTGATGATGCGCCGGGTGAGTTGGCGGTTCGCCATGGTTGGTGGTGGGAAGGAAGGTCGCCAAGCGTCCGATCGCGGGAGCACCTGGGATTAGTGAACAGGGAATATTTTCGAAGGTGAGAAATACTGTTTCAACTGGAGACTCGAGAATTGAAACTGAAAGGGATTGGAAAGGGATCCAGTGTCTAGGCCTGGAGCCCTGGAGGTTTACTTAGCTTACTAATGGGTTTCGTGGCCGCTCACCAGGTTGATCGGAGATCTGGAGATTCATATTATCAACTACAGTCTATTCTTCACATCATTGTGATCGCTATGAGATTTACCATGATGTTATAGACTTCCGACAATTGATTTTTGATTGTAATTTTTTGAGCTTACAACATAGACTACTATCCAGATCATCCAGATCATCCAGACCTACGTCGGATGTGCTCCGGTGTTTCAACTGTGAAGTCGCAGGGTTTAGCCTGGATGCACAGAAGGTTTAACAGATCGCCACGTAGCAAACTATCCATTGGCGAAATGCCCAACCAAAGCAGCGCCAAAGCTTCCCGCGGAGTTACCTACATCCCCTTCACCTCAATGACCGAGTCGCTCAAACTTGGAGGCAAGTCCTCCTTGCGTGTACCCCAGTCACTTTCCTTGCCCCCGAGCGTCAGCTCAAGCGCCATACCCTGCGCGAAGAACTCATGTCCAATCCAGCTCTTGGTGTAGGGTCTTCCATTGAGCGTGGCACTCTGAACATATATGTTTTTGTAGGTATTATCGAAGTTGATATTGCGAATTGTGGCAGTTTTGTTTGTCTCCGGGTGAGTGATTGCGATGGCCTCGAAGAATGGAGGGATGATTAGGTAGACGTTTTGACCGGGATTGGGGAAGAGGCCCATCATGCTCCATGCTAGGAATGATCCCATGGCACCGGAGTCATCGTTGCCGGGTAGGCCGCTGTGCGTGGCGTTGAATGAAGATGGGATGTAAGCGTGGGCTCGGCTGGCGGATAGAGCTGGCCGTCCGGCGTAGTGATAGTCATACACAGTCAGGAAGACAGGTTCGTTACCCATGTCCGCCAGGCCTGAGGTATGGAAGTAGTCCAGTCGAGAAACGAAGGACTCTGGGCCGCCGACCATCGTGATTAACTTTGCCATGTCATGAGGAACGAAACTGAAAAGTGTAAGCTTGGATATTTCTGGGAGAAGAATAATACGCACAATAGATATTCCCAGATGCTAGATTCAAACGTCTCTGAAGGGTTCGAGGTAAGAGAGCACCACGACGCCAGAGCACTGCAAGCAATTGGATCTTGATACCCCCATGTCCCGTTGATGTATTTCGGCTGGAAGAAGCCAACAAAGCCAGTATCTGTCCCATTCTGAAGAAATGATATTTGGTCTTGTTTATACAAATTTTGCCAGTTGCCAGACCGCGCCAAGTAGGTGGTATAGTCCGTCTTACCGAGGCCCTTAGCCACCACCGACAAGCTGTAGTCATTGTATGCGTACTCGACTGTCCGAGAGATACTTCGCGAATTGGTTCCAAAGCCAATATAGTCGAAGTCCAGGTACGGGATATAGCTAAGATGTTTCCAGCTCTGGAGACCACCACGTCCTTCGTACGACCACTCAAGCGGCTCGTTTTCTGCATCGTTGATCATTGCTTTATAGGCAAGCTCCCAGTCAATTCCAGTAAGGTTTTTGACGTAGGCATCAGCCAAAACAACGTCAGCATTGGAGCCACCCTGTGTCCAGCCTTTGCACAGACTCATGCGGCAATCGGGTAGCCATCCTTCATGCTTGAAAGTGTCCAGCAAGCTGCGGACCATCTTTGACTGTGTTTGGGGGTCAATAATGGTGAGAAATGGATGCTGCGCTCGGAAGGCATCCCAAAGGCAGTAGAAAGAGTCAAAGTAGGGTTCGTCGCTTTTCCATAGTGGGTTCTCTCCTGTCAGATCCTGGGGTGATAGCATAGTCCGGTAGACACCGCTCCAGAAGGCGCTTAGCATGTCATGGCTGACACCACCCGAAGTGACCTTAATAGGACTGAGCTTCTGACTCCACGCTGCCTCAGCTTGTTTGCGCAGAGAATCAAACGCACTTTGCGGCTCTGGGATTTCTGCTTCGGCATTCTTGCAGGCCTGCTCCGTACTGATAAAACTAACACCGACTCTCACAGTCACGGTCTTATCATGGGGAGGATCAAGGATCATATAGCCTCCAGCTTGAAGATAAAAGTTGTTAAAACCACGAGTGACAAATAGTTGCTGCACCGACCCAGCTCGATCATTGACCCAAATCCCACTATCCTTAACATCAGCGCCAACAAACTCAGCACAAAAGTAAGACTGGTAAGAGCCAGCTCCGAAACTCGGCAAGAAAGTCCCATTGCCCTTCATCCAACCGCTACCAGCATCAAGACTAATCGAAGCATTCTGCCGACTGTCCCATAGATCTGTCAAATCCAAAGATATCAAAGGATTTAAATCACTCCCATCAGCGGCCTTCCCTCCCGGAAAAACAAAACGGTACAGCGCCGCATGTTGCGCAGCCGTCATCTCAGCTCGAATACCGCTCTCAAGCGTTAAGGCAAAGTACCCTGGCACGGCAACTACCGAATCATTCTTGTAGTGGGTAGCGCGTGCAGACTTGGGAAACTTGCAATTATCCACAAGATTGTCCTTGCAGTACTGAGGAAACAATGGGAAATTACCCATAGAAGGGTTCCCACCTGTACCACTGTCGTGCATGTGCGAGAAGCCAGTGACATTGCTACCGTCAGTCGAGAAGCCGCCTGTGTTCTGGCCGTCGACGTCGGCGACGGGTTTGGCCATGCCGTACGGCAGGCTTGCGCCTGTGAAGACGTTGCCGCCATTTGTTGACCCGATTAGAGGATTGACATAGTGGAGGTCATCCTGGGCTGCTGTTGCTCCTAGTGCATGGTGGAGAAGTAGGAGACTGGATAGGGTTTGTAGAATTGCCATGGCGCTTTGGAATGTGAGGATTGGAACGCGCGTGGGGACGCGTTGTAGATCTGTGTGTTGATGCGATGAGGGTAGGAGGTAGAAGGCGTGCATGCCTTCTGCAAGGAGTTTTCGTATTTGTAACGTCGCATTGTTCATGCGATCGACAGCCTAAATGGTGTTAGTGCTGGATACAAGACCTTCGTGCGGGGTTAGTATATCTATGTTATAGTCAATGTATTTGGGAGGTTTGATGTAGTACCGTGTAATCTAAGCTTTGATATTTTGAATGCTCTAGCTGTGTTATTGCAACGATACTGGTCCCAGGAAAATTTGGAGTGAACAAAGATCAAACGTGAGACAGAGTTATCGGATATTAATTGTACCCAATTGAGACATCGAGTTCATGGTATTTTCTTCTATATTTCTCATAGAAGTATTCCGAGGAGCGTATCCCACTGAGTTTAGAGCACATCCCTCGATCGGTTTACTTTAAAATATTCCACAGACCAGCATTGAATAATCAACGTATATTTGATGGCTAATGCACTAAAAACATTGCATTGTACAGTATAATAATGTAGTCTAAAGCCGTGAGGGCTGTGGGGTTGATGACGCCCCACTCAACGGAGTTAAGCATTAAACAATGAGACACAAATGTAGGCCCAATGCTCGATACAAAATAGAGCAAACACTCGTAGTGCTCTTTTAATTGATTTGGATATACCACACATTCATCTATCAATTCCGTTTGTCCCGTATTTTACAGACTATCAGGATGAAACAAGAACATGTTCTCATATTTGGCGGCAATGGAAGAATTGCCCGCTCTATGACTGCATTGATGCTTGCCAGGTCATGGAAAGTAACAAGTACCATCCGGAATATCCACCAGAAAGACAATCTCATCCAGATAGGCAAAAGTCAACCAGGAAGCATCAATGTCCTAAATCTCGACCTGAGAAACCTCGAAACCTCAGACGACGCGAAGAAAATTATCGAGACTGTCAAACCAACAATTGTTGTGTTTGCAGCAGGTAAGCCTTATATCTAGAGCAAGATACTCCACTGGCTAGTCAACTCACACTAAACAGGTTCATTCCCGAACACCTACACCATCGACCGCAACGCAGCCCAAAGAATAATCAAAGCCTCCACCGAGACCCCACACGTCAAAAAGTTCCTAATGATATCATTCCCCTCCTCGCGAAGAAATGCCGCACCGTGGTGGGGAAAACAAGACGTTCAAAACTGGCAGAAAGAGATATCTTCGTACCCTGATATCGCAGATGCCAAGATCCAAGCTGACGAGTATCTCGTAGCTATGGCTGAAGCCCGGGAATTACGCCTTGGGTTACCTTTTCAGGCAATCAGCTTGCGACCAAGTTGGCTTTTGACAGGGCCGTCCACAGGGCGGGTCAAGCTAGGAAGGACCCCGACGTTGGGTCAGGTCAAGATCTTGGATGTTGCTGCTGTAGCAACTAGTCTACTTGCTCGCGATGATACAAATGGATGGTATGATTTGGTTCAGGGTGATGATTGTATTGAACATGCAGTGGAGATGTGTGTGAAAGAGGGGATTGATTGTTTTGAAGGGGAAGATTTGCAGCGTATCTGAGGGCTGGGAGAATAAACATTTTTTTATCTTGAATACGTTGTTTCCTCGATGCGCTACAATATTTTAGATTTGGTTTTTTGATTCGCTATTTTATCATATAAATCTACTCTGTACACAGTACTTGCATCATTATTTGCCACACTACACACACTGCAAATCAGAATCAACGGAGTTAAGAAATGGAGGTAAACTAAGCACGACCCACATTAAGTAGTAATCATCGAGCGTTAATTCCGAATAGTGAACAAGTTAGCGCACAAGGCAATTGATATAAATTCAGCTCATTCCGACCTTTTTTGAATCATATCTCAAATTCTACCCAAAACACCATACGAATCATTCAATACCAATCAGCAAACATGGTCCAAACACTTCCCTTTGGCAGCATCCAGGTCCCAACCCCCGGCTTCGGCGCAATGGGCCTAAGCTTCGGTCTCGGTTCTAACCTGAGCCTCGAACAAGCCGAGCCAGTTCTACTGAAGGCAATTGAACTCGGCTGTACATTCTGGGATACCGCTGTTGTCTACCAAGCCGGCGTGAACGAAAAGCTTCTTGGAGATTTTATCAGAAAGCACAATGTCCGCGACAAGGTGTTCAGTGAGTCCTCCTTTTCGACCAAATCCGAATATGACTAACACAGTTTAGTTGCTTCCAAGTGTGGCTTCGACGTCTTCGGAGGAGCCGGCAAGGTCACAAACTCCGCTTCGCACATCAAGGAGTATATCGACGGCACCATTGAAAGACTTGGCTTCGCTCCTGACTTGTACTATCTGCATCGCATTGACCCTAGTGAGTCCCAAAGAACTATGCAATCTCGTTTAATTTTACTGATTGTAATAGACACTCCTCTTACCGAATCTATCCCGGCTCTGGATGAGATCCGCAAGGCCGGAAAAACAAAATACATTGGACTCTCGGAATGCTCGGCTGCCACACTCCGCAAGGCCAACTCCAGTAAGTCAGGCTCACAAATCTCGAAATCCTCTACTAACTTCCGCAGTTGCCAAGATCGACGCCGTGCAGGCCGAGTACTCTGCCTTCGAGACTGTGCATGAAACAGACGGCCTGATCGAGACCGCCAAGGAGCTCGGCGTCGCCTACGTCGCATACAGTCCCCTAGGACACGGTTGGCTCGTCGATAACTTCGACTACAACTCGCCTGACGACTTTGCTCCTGATGACTTCCGCCGCAATTGTGAGTCATCGCAATCTTTGCCAACCAGGTTTCCCAATTGCTAATGATTTCTCCAGCTCCGAAATTCCAAGGAGACAACTTTTATAAGAACAAGGAGATCGTGGAAGCTATTAAGAAGCTTGCTGCTCGCAAGGGCTGCAAGATCAGTCAGATTGCACTTGCTTGGGTTGCTGCCCAGGGAATGATTGCTATTCCGGGAACTACTAAGGCGACTCGTCTGGAAGAAAACTGGGCTTCCCGCGATATTGAATTGAGTGAGGAGGAGAAGAAAGCAATGCGTGAGATTATCGATGCTGCTAAGCCGCATGGAAATAGGTACGGTGCTGTGCATCAGGCTATGGTTGGCCACTAGATAGATAGTGGGAACCCTGCCGATGCAGTTATTATAGATGTAAAGAGATGAACAAATAACAATATATTTATATGGAATCAGAACTCGGACGAGTCAGTGGAACAACCTCGAAATGTGTAACGGCGAATCAAAATGACCGGACCGTGGAAAAATTCCGTAGGTCCACGCCCGTGGACGCCCGATAGATATGCGTGAAAATAATATTTTTGCGAAGCGCCTCAAGCGCTCTCAAATTGATCGAGTGGGCCTATTCGAAGACCCTAGCTGGGGATTTGAGAGCAGAGTATGTAAGGCTTTCCAGCATCGTTCAATGAAACTTGGTTCAGCGTATCTGATTATCAGATAAGAACGCGGAAAAGTTAATTTGGACGCGCGAAAGTCAAAAAGATGAATTCGAGGTGATCCGACCGTAATTGCTTGTCTGGCTGGTGGCTGAGAAACATAATATTAAACTTTGACTTCCCGCGGACCGAGTACTTTTCGCGTGGAAATGTAAGGAGAGCTACAGCAGAAATAGTCGGTGGGGAGACAAATGATGCGATGACTCTGCTTATGTATGTAAGATGTACCTATATTATATATGTACAATGTATAGAGTAACCAAATAGCAATGACGCAAACGGGTTTCTGCTTTGAGCAGTACAACGTCAAGAATTCAAAAAAGGAAAACTGCGACCCTGGAGACTTTGGGGCACAACCACGCTAATCCCAATTCAGAACCACAGTGCGACGATCATCTGCCACAGCGATTTTTGATTGGCCCAGTCATCAAATTGAGGATCCGCTGAACCTGCCCACCCCAAGTTTATTATCTGATCCTCAGCGCTTCGGAAGCATTGGAGAAAAAAAAAATTGGAGCCGGCATGGTCTGTGGTAATTTCTCGCCTGGAACGGACCCTTTACCTATACATCCCTCCGCTGATCCTCCTTTCCACACAATCATCCTCAACACCACTGAGGACCTGACATCTGGTTTGAGCAGTGCTCAAATCTCAGGAATCAGTAATGGGTGTTCTTGATAAGGTCCGTGGACATAATGACCCAACGGTCGAGCCGTATTCGCAAGATGAGAAATCGGTCGCATCCCCAGAAGGGCCGCATTATGACCTCGAAACACCGCCTTCGTCCGACGGCTCCCACCAGGGCGACATGTTCGATGATGCGAAGGAATTAGCCCACAATCCGGACGTTGTCACCTCTGGTGCGGAGCTGGGCCAGCAGAAGGCAGAGGCGGCGGCTCTTGTATGGAGCTGGCCTGTGTTGGTTGGTATATATGCGTGGTAAGTTGAGCGTATGCGCCTTGTGCAGTATCCATTTATCTGACGCTTTGTGTCATAGGATCTGGATCTGTACTTTCATGTTGGCATTCCACTCAACGATCAGCGGCGTCCTGATCAACTACATTCAAGGGGGATTTGGATCCGCGCCTCAAGTTTCAACGGCTTATATCCTCGCAAATATCGTCGGTGGTATTATGAAGCTACCATTAGGTAAGACGTTGAATCTCTGGGGTCGTGCCGAGGGCACGATTGTCTCCACTGCCATTTACCTGCTCGGTATGGTTGTGCTTGCCTCGTGCAATGGACCCAATGGATATGCCGCAGGCTATGTCCTCTACTGGATCGGGTACTACTGTTTGTACCTGATCCTGAATGTTTTCGTCGCCGATACTTCTGGTCTTCGAAATCGAGCGTTCGCCTTTGGATTTATGCAGACGCCATTTATCTGCACTGCGTTTACGGGCTCCCTGGCTGCGAATTCCATTTATACGAAGTATGGGTGGCGCTGGGGTTTTGGTATTTTCTGCATTGTGACACCCTTCGTTTTTCTGCCTCTCGCTATTGTTTTCAAGTACTACGAAAATAAGGCAAAAAAGCAGGGCGTTTTCCAACGCCAGCCAAGTGGTCGCACGACCATGCAGTCCATTGTGCATTACTTCCACGAGTTTGACGGTAAGACCACCCAATACACTTGGTGCATCCAAGTACTAACGTCCCTAGTTGTCGGTGCCTTTTTGCTCATGGCCGCGTGGGTCCTTTTCCTTCTCCCATTCAGCCTGGCCCAGTATGGCCGCTCCCAATATTCCAGCGCAACTTTCATCGTACTCGTCGTCATTGGCTTCCTGATGTTCTTCGTCTTTGCAGCATGGGAGAAATGGGGTGCAAGAACTCACTTCATCCGCTATGAATTGATCAAGCGGCCCACGATCCTCGGCGCATGTCTATTGGCCGCCGTGCTATTCTTCAGTTTCGAGCTTTGGGATCAATATTTCTACAACTTCATCATCATCACCTACGACATCGGCACCGTGTATGCAGGATATATGCTGCAGATTTACAACGTCGGGTCTTGCTTCTTTTCTCCCATCATTGGAGCTATCATCTGGGCTACTGCGCGCTTCAAGTACATCTGTCTGTTCTTCGGTGCTCCGCTTATGATCCTCGGCTCCGGATTGATGATCTACTTCCGCGGCTCGGAACACGGTATCGGGTACATTGTCATGTGTCAAATTTTCATCGCCTTCGCGGGCGGGACTCTTGTCATCGGCGAGGATATGGCTGTAATGGCTGCTGGTGGCCGAGAAGGCACTCCGATGATGCTGGCACTTATCGGATTATTCTCTAACATCGGTGGTGCGATTGGATTGGCTGTTGGTGCGGCCATTTACAACAATGTGTTCATTGATACGCTCACCGCTCAATTGCCGGCTGAGTTGAAGTCCAATGCCACGCAGATCTATTTCGATGGCATCTATGTTCAGACGACTTATCCCTTCGGCTCGCCGCTTCGTGACGCTGTTGCTTACACTTGGGGCTACGCGCAGCGTATGAACTGCATTGCTTCGACTGCTATTTTGGCTTTGGCTATTCCTTGCATTTTGGTCTGGAAGAACTATGATGTTAACCAAAAGCAGAACAAGGGCCGCATGATTATATAGTCGCATTCTCCACTGCACAGTATACCCTTTATGATATGCGGGTCGGAGAGTTTTGGCTTTTGGGATTCTTCGGGCGCGATTAGTTCTCTCGTGAAATGGTCCCCTGTTGGCATTTTGCATGTTTTGTAATTATCTCGCTGGGCATGGATGATACCAAAGTCCATATAAATACATTCTTTCTACTACCTCTCGCATCCAAATGTCCATTTATAGTCTCGCTATCGGCGGGCAATTTCACTCACCGGAAGGGAATAGGCAGAAACACTGAATGCAAGACAGGATAAGAACTAATTACTACATGATAATGCACTTCCTTGGCATATATGGATCCGTCTGTTCTTTTAATGCCATGCTTTCGAAAACTAGAAACAGAAGTTAGCAAACGGAATCAGGGTTCGACGGTAACAAGAGCTTCAACGAACATTCTCTTTTAGCTTGTCTGCTCTCAGCCATGTCGTGCCATAGCCTCAATAGCCACGTAGCAACCAGTGCATCCCTCAACTCCTGCGACATACTCGTAACAGACAATTTATATCTATCATCCTCTTTTTCCTCAATGGCCACCTGTTTGGCAGTGAAATTGGTCCACTTATAGCAATCGCTGCCTTTCCAATTTGGTTGGATATCAAATAACAAATGTTGTGCCCCTTCGTCGAACAATAATTCATCGGCGGCGGTCTTTTTGGGGCTTAATATCGCTTTAAAGGACGCTTTCTGAAAGCGTGCCTTGGAAACCTCGAGGCGAATATTACCTACCATCTCGGGTACCACTGAAGTGACATAGTACTTGGCAGGTATGTCGGTCCGGTATTGTGCATTTGTAGGGTGTGCGAGATAGAAAAGCTGTTGTTTTTGTGACGTGCCAGCTGTGCCCTCGACTCTTTCGAATACCACGGACGAATGTTTTTTCGTGATTGACCTGATGTCACCGTTTATTTGGTAGGCTGAGGTTAAAGGTGACGCCTCGGAGAGAACGGATTGACCTGACAATAAGAGGACGTCAGGCTCCAGGATATCCTTTGAGGAGGTTCCGCCCGCTTTGCATGATTCAGAGTCTGAATCCATCGGGGCGTTGAGTTCCTGGTTTCTGAATAATACTAGCAATTCAGTATGTGATTATTGATGGCGGGCCAAGGTATTATTAACAATACAGAATTAGTAAGTATGGGTTGCGGTTTCAATCACGCATCGAATGTAGCAAGGATAAACTGTGACGCCTCAGAGCTGGCTGGGGCAATATCGTTCATTCAGAGAAGCTGACCCCTTGGTCCCGTTCCCCACTATCGTCGTCTTCATTTTCATTACCTAATAAGAGGAATCTCTAAGAACATATGCGCCAAGTTTGGGGGCGAGGGGCGGAGCAAGCCAAGAAAAACCAAACTCATAGTGAAAGGTGGATGTTGGAATCTAATCTACAACGCGAAGCAATAGTCAAGTCTTGTGGATCCCCATCCAATCAAACCAGACTAAGGAGATTTAATCACAGCAGAGCGGGCGTCTGTGGCTGTGTGGCCGCTGCCAAGCGGAAGCAACTCTAAGGTGGCCCCCCATTTTGTACCCGAGAGATCCTTAGCCTAGTAGTACCTCACGGCGTCTAGTAGACGCAAAGGTTCTACGTAGGATCGCCTTTCAACCAGATAGATTTGGTCAAAGGGCCACTCTGTCAATAATTTTCTGTGCCTGACTCAGTGCTAGAATCATCGAGGCAGAGGCAAAGACTTGACTGCTGTGACGCACGGGGTCATTCATATGCCTGAAAGCTGATCAAATCCAAATGTTCAAGGTACCAAGTTAGATCCTAGCCCCAGCCATGGCTGGGAGGGGATTCTTTTTGCTCTATATCGATTGATCTTTTCTATACCTCCAGATCAGCCTGGGTTCTGATTGTGAATGCCTCGCGTCCTTTGCTGAGTATTACTGAAAGCCCGGAAACTGATGATGGAAAGGACCATAGTCATACATTATTGTGGTTCGATTTTATTAAGGGGCTTTTCCTTCTGAATGATGAGATGCTGAGTTGAAATAATATAGCATCAGACAAGACATTTTACATTCTGAAATATTGTCTAAATAATGAGTTCAAATTCACGAAGTTCAAGGGCCTTGCCCCTGCGTATATTTGCTACGGTTGTGATACTTGGCCTCTCACAAGGTTTTGAGTATTTTGATTTCTTCATACTCCACACAGTATACATTAGTTACTACAATCACAACTATTACTCAAAAATGATATATACGCTAGCTGTCTTATCATCTGAGCGATTATCAATCAGATAGATCGGTCGAACCATATGCGAAAATCAAATAAAAAGACCTAATAATGGAGTGTGACTGGGATACCTCGAATTAACTGACGTGAGATTTGGGGCCATTTTGGTCCACAGCCAAGATGAAACACAAACCTTGGTGGCTTGCGCATCGGATGTTGAACCGAGCATTATTTTATGAATATTTACCATATTGTGTATGTACATGATTGAATTATAATACGCCATGTCTCAACCTAGTACTAATTATGTACTCCGCATACTAATTTGTCGTGGAAACCCCTCAGTGGAACTTGCGGGGATAAACATTGCACTAATCCAAGCTTCTCCACGTCTACCAAAGTCCCGAGATGCACTTAGACATGGAATTTGAAGATTCAACTCTCATTCATGAGCATCCAAAGTCTGTGAGATGAAAAAAAAACAAGGCAAACGAGGTCCCCAACTCAAACAAACTTGAAGTTATGTGGCATATGCAGTTCACGCGGTCCCGTGTGTATTCTTACTCCTTTATGCACGGAGTGAATCGACTCGAAGCTCCGAATTGCGTCTCACCCAGCAGATCTCGTAGAAACTTCTAGAGATATTCATCCTCGTAAAAGCCCAGCAAAGCCTTATATGCTCCTAAATTCACGCAACTGGAGACTTGCCCAGGTGGTATGTAGTTGTTAATCATATTCCATAATTTATGCATAGTCTCGGAGGGCAGCGCAGTAAACTCCGAAGCTAGCGCGATCTAATAAGAAGGCTTGCCCCAACAACTTAGGGTGGCCTGGATTCTTATCTTGCTTCTTTTTCTTTCTACGGCGCTCTTTCTACGGCGCCCTTTCTTGTTTGCTTTGGTTGATATTATCCTCAAAGTAAAAGAACCAAGAACGAGACCCATAGACTGCCTAACCTAGCATACTGTCAGATCCAATATACTCTGACCGCCAAATAACAAGGCCTCCAAAATTTAGACAGAACGTCCTGATCGATCAAAAAGTGCTGCTATAATCAGATTTGCTTCTGGTGAACCAAGACTTCCCCAATATGGGCAAGGAAGATGGTAAGCTTTCATATTATATGTCGGAAGATTTTCCACCACCATCAAATCTATACAGATGAAGAAGAGCAACAATTAACACAACGTACAGAAACCCATTCCATTGATGGATCTACGCCGACAGCGAGCAGTCGGGATCTGAGCACCCAACCAAATGTAGACCCCGAGAAGGGCTTCATCCAGCCTGCTACGGCAGAACAAAAACAAACACCTAACGATCCCAACATCGTCGACTGGGACGGCCCCGACGACCCAGAAAATCCACTAAACTGGACCTCGAAGAGAAAGTTCGGAGCGACAATGTCCATCGCACTAATCACACTTCTGACGTACGAAAACTTCCCGCAATTTTATACTATCCTGCCATCGCTAACGTAACACGACAGACCACTAGGTTCATCGATGTTCGCTCCCGGTGTACCGCAACTAGTCAAAGACTTTTCCGTGACGAGCACCGAGCTATCGTCATTCGTGGTCTCGGTATATCTACTAGGCTACTGTTTCGGCCCCCTGCTCATTGCGCCTCTGTCGGAGATGTACGGCCGACAATATATCTACCATGTGTGCAATGTTCTCTACGTAATATGGACGGTATGCTGCGCTGTTGCGCCCGAAGTCGGCAGTCTCATCGTGTTCCGATTCCTGGCTGGCTTTGCCGGTAGTTGTCCGTTGACTATTGGTGCTGGGTCGATTGCCGACATGTACGTGCAGGAGAAGAGAGGTGGCGCAATGGCAGTTTGGGCTATAGGTCCTTTAATTGGGCCGGTTATTGGTCCTATTGGTATGATATTCGATTTTTTCTACTTTCCTCATGGTTTTAGTACGCTTGCTAATTTTTGATGTGAAGCTGGTGCATACATAGCACAAGCGAAGGGTTGGAGATGGACCTTTTATATCTTGGCGATGGCTGTAAGTCTTGATCGAAATGGTTGCGAATAACTGCTTATTTTACAGAGCGGTGCTATCACCATCAGCTCGGTTTTCACCATCCGCGAGTCCTATGCGCCTACGCTCCTCGCTCAAAAAACCAAAAGGCTCCGGAAAGAAACGAGGAATCCGAATCTGCGCTCAGCGCTTGACACCGGTCGCACAGCGAAAGAACTATTCCTGTACTCCATCATCAGGCCGACCAAGATGCTCTTCCTTTCTCCAATCGTGTTCCTCCTTTCCCTTTACGTCGGTGTGATCTACGGATATCTGTACCTTCTCTTCACAACGATCACGTTGGTTTTCGAAGACAATTACGGCTTCGGTGAAGGAATCGTCGGATTAACATACCTCGGCCTTGGAATTGGCTCGGTGATCGGGCTGCTCGTTTTGGGAGGGACCTCTGACAAACTGCTCACTTATCTGTCGGCCAAAAATGGTGGCGAAAAGAAGCCCGAGTACCGTCTTCCGCCTATGATTCCTGGCTCCTTGTTTGTGCCCGTTTCGCTGTTTATTTACGGGTGGACAACGTACTACCACACTCATTGGATTGTGCCCATCATCGGCACTTCCTTCCTTGGAGTTGGAATGTTGATTTCCTTCGTACGTGAGATGTTCATATTCCGATTTTGGCTTATGCATTGGCTAATCTTTGAATGGCTGTTTAGATGAGCGTGACCACTTACTTGGTAGATGTGTTTACAGTTTATGCCGCTTCCGCCATGGCAGCGAACACTGTGTTTCGATCTCTCGCCGGTGCAATGCTTCCACTTGCTGGGCCTAAGATGTATGCTGCTCTTGGGCTGGGTTGGGGAAACTCGTTGCTTGGATTTATTGCATTGGCGTTCTGTGCACTGCCAGTTATATTCTGGGTTTATGGCGAACGTATTCGAACGAGTCCAAGATTTCAAGTGCAGTTCTAACTTGGACACACTCTTCACTACTTATGAAATACCTTTGCTGCGTCTCTTTCTTTGGGTCGGACTCAAAATTCGTTGGTTAAGCCAATTTAGAGGATTGATATAGCACTTGGGCCTTGAAATAACGGAAAATTGTCATTGTTAGCGGGGTTTCGCTTTTAAAAATGAATAATATTTGAAAAGCGCTACACAGTGTTTGCTATATTAGACCGACTGGATTCATTGGCAAGCAGCCCATGATTAATGCAGAAGTGGCACGAAACTTTGGGTATAGTATATACAAATGGGCCTCAATTGATCGTCGTCACGGTCGATGTGATAACACGGATTTAATTCTGACCTGAGAATTGCTCTCGATGCATCTGCCTCCACAACAGTGCAATATACGCCTTCTTGAATCTATGGCCGGGCGGTATCTTCTTGCGCCAATGTCTGCTGTAGAACGATACCTGCATCGTCTTTCTTTTCCAACTGATGAGAGAGCGCACAAAACACCATGATTCCACCATATAGTCCAAGGCAGAAGAATACCTCCAAGAACGACTTGGCTGCAAGCGAGTTGATCTCCTCTGTAAAGGTGTAGGTTACCACAGTCTGATACCAACGAAGATAATCGACTAGCCACATAAAGGTCATTGCGGAATAGGCAATACTACCAGAAAGCAAAGCAATGGAAGGTCCCTATTAATTGTCAGTTGATTCAGCATGAACAGGGGCTATGACCTACTTTAAATGATGATGTTCGTTTTGTCTTGATCGCAAGGAATGCAGCCCAAGCTGTAATTTCCCACGAAGCCAACCAAATGAGCGCACTCCGCGTGACCTGCACTGGCCGGTAGTCGCCGTCTAGTACCAAGAATGAAAAATCCTCGACGACCCATAGCGCAAAATCGGCAATGCTCAGGACAACAATGAGGGCAAGGATTGTCCAATGAACAACATTGATTTTAACAGGCAGCTTCGCTCCCTCGTTGGAAGCCCTGAGAAGGATATGGACGAGTCGATAAAATGTGCAAAAAAGGAAGCAGATCGCGGCGTGTCCAAAAAGTAGACACAGAAGGGCATAGATAAGATTTATTCCAATTTCCCCATATGGCGCATTCAAGCGTTCGGTAATGCTCTGCACAACATACCAAATGTAAGACCTGTAGAAAAAAATCAGCAAAATAAAACCCATCTAAAAAATTCCGCTGCGAAATCGAATAACACTCACCATGCCCAGGCCCAAATGGCAGTCATAATAGCCCATATTGGAAGTATCTTCCAATCAGCCCCTTTCTGTCGACGCATCACCAAAAAAGCCGAACATCCCAGAAGCGCAGCAACCACAAGTAAATCAAGCACAATGAGTGCGATAGATATCCCCGTCGCTTTCGGGTCCGAGCCAGACAATAGGACCTGCGGCATCTTCGCAGCATGTGGAGGCCAACAAAACCCCTTCAAAGGCAATAAATAATATGTGGGGAGGCGAAGACTTTTGGAACTAGCCAAGCTTTAGAAACCAGCCACGAGGCGGACAAACAGCAAGGCTGTAATGTTTCTTTTGCCTCTTGTTGATTAATTCAGGGAGAATTTTGTTTTGGGCACTGCGAATGCTGCCAACTCGGTTTGTGATCAATTCGTGCACATCTTCTGTTATCGGGCCTGTAGCGCGAGCCTGAGCCTGGCTAACGGGCCCACTCGCTCTTCGGCCCCAGATTTGCGGTCAGGGATTGGATTGTGTGGGCGGGTCGTTGAGCTTCATGGCGAAGGGTCTTCGATTGGGGTAAATTGCTCATTTTGCTTCCTTCTTTTGTGTATATAAGTGGTGCTGATTTTACAGCAGCCTGGCAAACTGGAATGCGAGAGATCGCGCAATCGATCGACGCGCGGCTTGAAACTTGAATCCGAAACGAATCGACATCTGGAATTGCACTGACTGTTCAACCAAACATGCTATTGAGTCATTTGAACCATGTGACGTAGAATTTGGTCTTCGTTTTATACAGCAGCCTCACAGATCTACAACCGTGGAGTATGTATGCCGCTAATGCCTTTTTGAACAAATCTCCGGTCGAACTTTTAGGTTCAGGGTCTTATTGAGTCATACCTAATTTTGTATACTGTGTGTGCCTGACTAGCAATCTGATTTTAGGGTTGATCCTCCCGCAGACATGGCCTAAGATCGAATTTGTATAGTTCTGGGCTGTTTATTGGTAGTTCACTAGGCAGGGCTGTCGAAGCCCCTATTTTGAGTAAACTCGTTGGTGGGCTGTCACAACCCTAAATGGCCTTTCGCTTGATCGACCGCTATAGCCTTTTCCCCTCTACAGATCAACCTTCATTCCTGATTTATGGACTCTAGATGACCAAATTCCTCTTACATTATATTTCTCCTGACAATAGAAACACATCTTATTGACTCCCGGGGATAGAGTACTGATTCCTGAGAGGGAAAAAGCAACCATTTACGTACATTGTCTCAAAATTGGCACTGTAACAACCAGCCAAAATAGAAACCAAGAAAAAAAAAACCCCATAATACAGAACTCCGACGATCCGGTCCTTCAGACCCATCGATCAAGTTTCAAGTCAAAATAAAACGGCCAGAAACAGATGTTAATTCCGAGATCAAGAATATCAAGTCATAAGTCCAACATCAATTAAGGGCCCTCCGACAATTTCTTTATAATTGAGTTGCTCTTTTCCCTGATTGGGACGGCCCCAATCACGGGGATGAAGATCCCCCAGATGGACCGAGGTCGGGGGGCGGTATCTAGTTTGTCCGAATATGAATTCGGGCTAAGGTTGTTGACCATTTTCTTTTTTTATTCTTATATTTAGATCATCTCAGTTCTGAATGGCATCAGCCATCAATGCCCTCCCGTCGCAGTCACACAAAGTCCAGGAAGGGGTGCTTGGAGTGTAAAAGGAGACATGTGAAGGTACTGCGAGTTCTCCAAGCCCCGGTCTTCAGTGCAAATTTCACATGTGCCTTGATTACTCACTCGGCTAGCACAAGGAATGGACAGACAAACGTTCTAACATCAAATATAGTGCGACGAAGGCGTTCCAAAATGCAGCTTATGCAGAAAGCGAAGATTGGAGTGCAGCTATCCTGCCCCAAATGAGGATGTGGATAGCCCTCACAATTCTTCTATTACCCAGGATGAATCAGAAAGCGGCACTGGGACGCCGGCTGGGGTGCTGCCGCAAGCAACACGCATGCTCGAGACGAGATTGTTCCACCAGTATATGACATCAACGTATCATACTCTGTCGCAGGATGGACTTTCCGCAAATCACCTTTCTATGAACATTCCCCTTATGGCCACCTCATGCTCTTACCTGCTCGATGGCATCTATGCATTGTCGGCTCTACACCTCGCCTCCATCGAGACAGAAAACCGGGTCTCATGGCTGGATGCCGCCCTGAGATACCAAAGCCAGGCATGTTCTGGATTAGGCAAGGTACTCCCAGGTATAACGGCTCCGGATTATGAGCCAGCATTCGTCACATCGATCTTTATCATGCTATTCGCCATGGGGTATCGAGTGATATCTATTGACAGTCAACCCCCCGACCCGCTTTCGGCGGTTCGCGAAGTTCGCACACTGATATCCGGCCCGGCCATGCTGTTCGACCGAATAGTCGAAGGCGGATTTCATGCCAAGTTGGATGGCTGGATGCACGTCCCTGACACAAAAGAAAGCCTCCAGGCTGGGGTACATAGTCAGTAAGGCGCGCCTCCTTGATACATCTGTTGTGGACCATATTAACACAAAATAGGGGTGGCAAACCAGTAGAAGACACGGGTATATTATTCCGGCTTCATGAGTATGTCCGAAGAATCAAAGATATACAGCCCCCGGACTGACAGACGGAATAGAAAAATAATAACGTCGCTGGACCGACTGCAACCCATAATAGACTCGAAGAAAGGAACCGATCAACCAGCTTACCAAATCACATGGCAGCAGCTGTACCAGGCGATCGAGCCGTGGCCGAAGATTGGCCCGCAAGGCGGCCCCCTTGCATGGCCATTATTCCTTTCAGATGAATTCTTTTCACTCATTCAGAACGGCGACTGGATCGCTCGCATTCTGTTCTTGCACTATGGTATCGCTATGCGTCTTTTGTGCCATCGATGGTACGTGCGTGACTGGGGTCGTCGGCTTGTATTGGCCACTTTGGAACCGCTGGACGAGATTCCACAGGAATGGGAGGAGACTATATCTTGGATTAGACAAGCTGCTGAAAGAGAAGACTAGTCATTAGTCCAACACAATTAAATTTATCAGCGAGTTTGCGGGGCTGGATCCTTTGCAACAAAACTTGGAAGAAACCAATAAAGACGTGGACTTCGGCTTACCCCAAACACAAAACTCCAACGCCCCGAGCTAACCGTTAGGTCTTGTGCCTCAACGCGCAAAAGGCTTCTTATCAGTGTATCTGTGGAGTCGAGATATCGCGTGCCACTACGTAATGATTAATCTGATAGAAGATCCCTAAAAGCCAAGTCGTCCGTTGTTTCACATTCTTAAGATGTTTTCCCCGATCGTATAAGCCTGAATCGCCATAGCAGCCTACCATGCCGCAACCCTGTCCGATCAGCGGCAGAGATGTGGAGAAGCAGGTACAGGCACTATCTCGTTCCCCTCTTATTTCCCCTCTTCTGAATGGAACGCTAAACCACATATAATAGTGCGATAAGTCTGTGGTGAACCCGGCAGCTTCTTCCTTGGCCGTTGCGCGACAGTCCATACCGCGGAAATACCGGTCGAAATTCACTATAATGTTACAATCAATAAGGCTCGGCTTTTTAGCTGTTCTGTCGCTGTTGTTGATCGTCACTTATCTGCCCAAAGCCAATACTTCCCCCTTGGAGTTCGCCCAGCGAGACCATAATACCGATCATGCATCGCATACTAGGATTGCTCCCGGGAAGCTGGGCGCTGTTGCTAGTGAAAGCGCGATCTGCTCTCAGCATGGTGTGGATATTTTGAAGATGGGTGGCAACGCTGCTGATGCTGTGAGTATACTTTTTTGCGTTCGGGAAAGTTCTTGGCGAGTGTCGATGTTAACATGATGCGCTAGATGGTTGCAACGGAGCTTTGCGTTGGTGTTATTGGTGAGCCCGTGTTGAGTCAATCCTTTAAAACCCAGAAACAACTAACCAGAAACAGGCATGTATCACAGTGGAATCGGTGGCGGCGGTTTTATGCTAGTTAGGGCACCGAATGGTAGCTATGAGTTCATTGATTTCAGAGAGACAGCCCCGGCCGCAGCCTTCGAGGATATGTATAAAAACAATGAGGATGCCTCAATTTACGGTGGTTTGGCAAGGTAAGATATTCAAAGATATCCATCCCACCGAGGTGAGCAAAACTAAAACCGATGCTAGTGGAGTGCCCGGTGAGGTGCGAGGTCTTGAGTACCTTCACGAGAAGTACGGCTCTCTCCCATGGTCAACAGTTGTACAACCAGCAGTTCGAACAGCGCGCGATGGATTCATCGTCGGAAAAGATCTGGTCAAATATATGAAATCGGCTATTGGCAACGGCGAAGACTTCCTATCGAAGAACCCGACATGGGCGATTGACTTCGCTCCAAACGGAACCCGAGTTAAGCTGGGTGATACGATTACTCGTCGCCGATATGCGGATACCCTTGAAGCTATTGGGCAGCGCGGCGCCGACGCCTTCTACTCAGGACCCATTGCAGAGACTATGATCAATGCCTTGCAGAATGCGAATGGTACGATGACGCTGGAGGATTTGAAGAATTATACCGTGGCTATTCGGAAAGTCTCGCAGATTGACTACCGTGGGTATAAAGTCACCAGCACGTCGGCGCCTTCTAGCGGCGTTGTCGCTTTGAGTATCCTCAAGATTCTGGGGACGTACCAGGGTCTCTTTGCGAATGCACAAGCCGTGAATCTCAGCACTCATCGGATGGACGAGGCGATGAGATGGGGATATGGAGAGGTTAGTGCAATTCTTTATTTGGCTTTTGTTCTATCTTTTTGAAAAGTGTTGCTGACCCGGACCAGCGATCTAATCTAGGCGATCCGCTGTTCGTAAACGGGGTATCTAAGTATGAGTCAGAGATGCTGAACCAATCTACCATCAACAATATTCGATCCAAGATCTCAGACGTGCGGACTCAAAATGTATCGACTTATGATCCCGCCGGATTGGAAAGTCTAGATACGTAAGTTGTACGCTACATGGCACTTTTGACTTTTGACTCAACAGTTCGATTAGGCCTGGAACCTCTCATATTGCAGTAGCTGACCACACCGGCCTTGCAATCTCGGTAATTACCACTATCAACCTTTTGTTCGGCAGTCAGATTATGGTCCCGGAGACGGGTGTTATCATGAACAATGAAATGAATGGTACGTTTGGAAAGCAACTCTCAATCAATGCAAATTTAACCACTAATATTTTCTCTTACAGACTTCTCCATTCCCGGATCATCGAATGCATTCGGATACATTCCATCTGAGGCGAACTACGTGCGTCCAGGAAAACGCCCACTATCCTCTATCACACCCGCGATAGTGGAAAGACCCGATGGTAAACTTTTCTTGATTAGCGGATCTGCAGGTGGAAGTCGCATCATCACCGCCACCGTCCAAAACATCATCCATTCTATTGATCAAGGGCTTTCGGCTGCCAAAGCGCTCGCTAAACCGCGTCTGCATGATCAGCTCGTGCCAAACCAGGCCATCTTCGAATATTCCTATGACAACGCGACAGTTGCCTTCATGAAAAGTCTCGGGCATAATGTGACCTGGGTTGCACCTGGACAGAGTACTGCTCAACTCATCCGGGTCTTGCCTAATGGGACTTTTGATGCTGCTGGTGAACCGAGGCAGCTTAATTCGGCTGGGTATTCTGTTTAGAGGAGATACCGGCATGTTAATCTACATACTGCATCATCTTTGCAAATATTAGAACAGACAGAGAAAGACAATTATCAATTACAATGAATGTAGATGCGTAGAAGTGTAGTATAGAAATGCAGTATAGAAGTGTGGAGTCCGCGTCACAGGACTTTGGACGTGCATTCTTAGGTGGTCTGTGCTATCGCGTCTTTGTGTTGCAATTCGTTTCTCTTCTTTGCTCAAAGACAACCCTCACAAGAAGAGTTCAGCTTAAGAGATGCGCGTAAGCCTGCTCATGAGTGTGATCGCTGATCTGAACTCGCGCTATTAAAATTCAATTGCTATCCCTTTCTGCAACACGTCCTTCACCTGACGCGACTCCACCCATCGTGATCCTTGCATCCATCACTCCTAATACTTCATTCCAAGGTCTGATCTACTGCGCATTTCAAAATTTCCACGGTGGTATGTTTCGTGTATGCGCAGCTTGAAATCCTGTTGCTATCGCTCTTCCTCCTCATTCTACTAACTGGCGCTCTTCTAAGCATCCCCCGCGATATGCCTACATCCCATTGACATGACCCCCCGCCTTGGAACTTTACCTGTCACACTAGCTGCAGCACCGGGCCCTGTAGTGCCACCTCGGTGTGCAATTGCTGTCGTCGTGCCCCTCCCTTCTTGCGAATATGACCCGCTGAAGCCTTACGACGAAGACTACTTTGACCGCGCTGTTGATACGATCTTATCTGAGCAAGCCGCGTTGGAAGAACCCCAAGACGACATGGATAACCTCGAGATGGAGGGTTCATTTGGTTATGCTAGTACATCCGACTCAACAAGATTTGATATTCGCAACACTCGACACTTCAGTCAAAGCCTACCGACAGAACTGAAGTCACCACATTCTGCCAAACGTTCTGCACCTTCAACACCTTCTCCTGTGAATTCTCCTGTAATGTCTACCAAACCTACACCTACTCCTGCAACTTCAATAACTCCAACGGTTTATGCCCCTGACTGGGAGGATAGGGCTATCTTCGCTGCTGTGGGTCATGTAAAGCGAATGCAGGTCCTGGAAGCTATTTCCAAGAACCCTCTTATGCTGAAGTGCCCACTCCTACGCTCCGAACGAATCCACTTAACCACAGGAATCCGTGCTGTTGCTGCGAATGCGGGAATGGAGGAGGCCAACATTGATGCATTGATTGAATATGTGCGACTAGTCTACTTCGACACGCACCACCTCATTATGACAGAGAACAACGAATCCATGTTTGGATTTGAGATTGAAGATCCCATCCTCACGCACCCAGAGCGTTCGCACCGCAAACGACGCCACAGCACCTGGGATTCTGACGAGGGGGAGAAGCCTAAGAAAAGCAATAAAAAGAGGCGCCGCTCAAAGAAAGAGGAAGGTACCCACAAGGCTCCGCGGACTGGTGACTCTGCTGCGCCAGTCAACGGCGAAGAATTAGCAAACGTATCTGAATCTCAAAAAATTGGTGAGGCCCAAGTGGACGAACACCAGGACATCCATGTGTCCAAAAAAAGCAAAAAAAGCGACAGGTGTCACTCGAAGACAGAGGAACGTAGCCACAAGGCCCACTCGACTGGCGACTTAACTATTGCAATGAATGACCAGGAACCAGCAACGGTATCCGAGCCCCAGGAAAATGGGCATACCCTGGCGGATCAAAATCAGGACCATGGTGTGTCTAAGAAAAGTAAGAAAAACAAGAAAAGCGAACGGCGCAAACCAAAAACAGACGAGCACGGCCCCAACGCCCAGTTGGCTGGTGACTTACTTTCCGCAACGAATGACCAGGAACCAACAACTCTCTCTGTACCCGAGGAAAATGCCCAACCCCAGGTGAGTGAACCCAAGGACCATGAGGTGTCCAAGATGAGTAAGAAAAGCGAACGGCGCAAATCAAAGACAGAAGAGCGCGACCACAAGGCCCAGTCGAGTGGTAACTCGAATACCGCAATGAATGGCCAGGACCCAACAACTGTCTCTAAATCCGAGGAAAATGCCCACCCCCAGGTGAACAAACCCCAGGACCATGATGTGTTGAACCCTCGCGCAAAATGGAACGATACCGCTCAGGCCAGCCAAGGTAAATCGTCTGACATGATTCACCCCACTGAACCCAGGCCTAACAACAATTTGCATAGTCGACGGAACACTTCCCTGCACTCCTCTCGTCAGAATGGCCACCCGATAGTGGGATCCTTGAAATCGCAAGAGTCCCAACACTCAAGACCTCACCAAGGACCAGTTAGAGACTCGGCTCAAGTAAAAAGAGACAGTAGTAAGAGAAAACGCGCTCGGCAGGCCGAGAAGCGTCGAACACGTATGAGCGAATCGAAACAGCCCGAAGATGCCGTCGATGCTGATGCCGTCGCTGAGGAATTGATCCTGTTGCCGTCCTACCATCAAGATCCAACACAACTTGCAGTAAAAGAGCGCCACGGGACTTTGGGTGACGTGAAGCAACCCCAAGATGTTGTCGATCATGTCATCCAGAAACAAACCTTGCCGTTCACTCATCTGAACTCACGAGTTCCAGGACAAAACCACCGAGCAACTATGGATGCATTGAATCAGCCTGATGATGCCATCGATTCCTGTGATCTATCCCCCGAAGATCTGATATTGCCGCCCACTCAACACCAAACGGCGCGGCGTTCCGAGAAAAAGCGCGCAGCAAGTACGGGTCTCCTGAAGAAGCCCGAAGATGCCGTCGATACAGTCGCTCAGGAAATAAGCTTGCCGGTCACTCATCGATACCCGGCACAGTGTTCAAAGACAAAGCGCGCAGCCAATATGGGTTCTCTGAAGCGGCCCGAAGTTGCCGTCGATGTTTCTGTTGAAAACTCCCTATTGCCGTCTGCTTCACAGCGCGATTCGAAACGGCATGCAGGGAAGAAGCGCGGGGCAAGTATGGGTCATTTAACACCGCCCGGGGATCCCGCCGATGCCGATGCCGCTCCCGACACCCAAGAACCAGTTTTGCCCACCACCCCACAGCAAAATTTGACCCGACATTCAGTGACAAAGCACCGAGCAACCATCGGTGATCTGAAGCACACCGAGGGTGCCATCGCTCAAAATCCAATTTTGCCTTCCACCCCACGACGGAATGTGACAAAGAGCCCACAAAAACATTCTCCATTTCCGCCTCTGCCCGCAAACCCAGCTGAGTGGGATTTGGATTTTTTTTGAAAGCCAATGATTCACAAGGCATAACTCCGAGTGATGAGGTGACATCGAAATACTTCCCAAGAGTCGTCAACTCTAAAGTTTTCATATCAGAAAGCAAGTGGAAAACTATATCGTTGCTTTACAATATGTCTATTCCCGCTGAAGCCCGAAAATTGTTGGAAGAGTTCAGTTTGCCTGCAGATTTTTTGTCGGATTCTTCGCTGAGCGATGTCCCAAGTGACTTGGACGTCGATTGCCATGATTCCTCTGCCCCTGACCCGCACCCTCACATTACATTGTCACTGCCGCAAACTCCTTGTCTGGCACATCAATCTTCCAACCTCAGCTTAAAAATTCCTATCAATGCCCCGAGTCTGCTTGAACCAGAACCCAAAACACCTCGCCCGAAATATCCGAAGCTTTCTCCCTATTTCCCACGTGTACCAGGCGATTTTGAATCGTGTCTTCCATTTCCCTCAATTGATGCGCCTTCTTTCGGACTTGTCCAAGAACAGCTTGCACATGACCCCTTTCGTTTGCTCATTGCTACCATATTTCTTAACCGCACCCGAGGCGGCGTTTCACTGCCAGTGTTGTTCCAAGTTTTTGAGCGCTACCCAACAATTGAGGCGATGGCAGCAGCAGACCTATCGGAATTTGTCTCAATGATTCGGTGCCTGGGGTTTCAGAATCAGCGTGCAAAGAAATGCATCAGTTTGGCACAAACTTGGCTCAAGGACCCTCCTACCCCAGAAAAGAGATATCGAAAACTTCATTACCCAAAAGAATCGGACGGTCGAAATGTTGGCCGGGATGAATGCATAGACAAGGAGGACCTGCGCGTTGCATGGGAGATTGCACATTTACCTGGAGTTGGCGCCTATTCGCTTGATAGCTGGCGAATTTTCTGTCGCGATGAATTGCGGCATTTGGCATCTGACTGGAAAGGTACGAATTCGACAGAGGTTGGGTTCGTGCCTGAATGGAAGTGTGTCTTGCCGCAGGACAAGGAGTTACGTGCCTATCTTACTTGGATGTGGCTGAAAGAGGGATGGATATGGGATCATAACACTGGAGATTTGACAGCTGCAAGTGAAAAGACAATGAGAGCAGCACGAAGTGGTGGGATTGCTCATGAAGAAGAGGGAAATTGGGTACTAGAGACATCACCGGTTAAGGCTGTGAATGGATTACATTTTTAACTGTAGCTACTGTGCCTACTAATGTACCAAGTGTATGTGAGAGTGAAGAAATGAATAAAATTATCATACAAATATAGTGCAGCCTGCATTGTAAATATGTCAATGTGTGAGACTTGTACCCCAAAATACTATAAAAGGATAATTCGATCTGATTCCGAAGAGCGGGGGGCTGAGAATTGCTCACCGCATCGATAAATTTCACGGAGATTTGATTCTATAGCCGCTGTACTTTATTTACCTTCAAGCTTATTCTTTTCTTTTCTTTTTACGTGTCTGTTCTCCCAGAGACGCGCATCCGACTTGCATGATATCTAAGCGGTCAAGATTGTCATCCTAAGCGCCAGGAAAGCCTGGGGATAAAAATAGTGTGACCATTCATTCCCCTCAGTGACGGAGCCCTGGAAACACAGAGAGAGACGACTTTACAGGTAACGGACGACCGATTCAAACCGGAAACCTCGAGCTTCGCCATGTTTCCAGTCAGACCTAATCGAGACGATAGGAAGAAGACCAAAGTCTCGACTTCGAAGCAATCCCAGACCCGCCTTTCAACCAAGGATCAGGACAATCTATCTTCCTCCACCTTACGTCGGTCCTCGATGCCCGGACTTGACTCAAGTCGATCGGGGGCTTCCTCATTCCTCGAATCGAGAACAAGTCTACCATATCCTAATTTCTCCAAAGCACATAGCAAGGAGAACGTTCGCAAAGGAGATAATCCCCCCACACCAGATGCGACCGATATAACGGAACACGATGAGAAGACCCCCAGCCGCGAACACCATGCGCCACCCAGTCCCCCGTTGACCGGTTTAGACGATCAATCAAGGAAGGGCAGCGTCATCGATGACAAGGAGAATGAGAAGCCTAAGAAGAAAACAAGTATCAAGATTCGAGCGGAAGTCAACAGGTCATCATCGAGTCTCCGGTCGAAAAGAGATGAGAGCACTAAGTCCAAGTCCAGCAAGACTTCGCGACCGGAGACCCCTACAAGATCTAAAAGCACCAAGGATGACAAGGAGCCATCTCAACGCTCGTCGGGTCACAAGATCAAGTCTACCGTTCCCGATGAGAAGAAATTACCCAAACGGTCGAGTCGCTCGACCATGTCTGCCTCACAGTCGAACCTTACAATTCGTGATGATGATGCAGTGTCGCCCAATGGATCCGATGTGACTTCCATTGCGCCCAACCAGCAATACTCGTTGCCGCGAAAACCAATGACTCCGCCCACAAAACCTCCCTCTCGAACTCAGAACCGATCGGCCATGTCCCATCGTCGCACTCCCAGCGAAGAGTCAATCGACTATGTGAAACCAAGCCCGAATGCTTTTGGTGCACCCCCGCCGCCTCCTCCTCCGCCAGCAATCGTCGCCATCCCTCGAGTCGATTACCTGCTGAAAAACGGTGGTTTGGAAAATAAAGTCTCGAGGGCACTGCTTGCTGGCCTGGGCCAGACCGATCCCTTTATACCAGGACAACCACAGTCCCGGTCTGTTGCTGGCAAGATCTTCGATCCTTACAACCGCTTACTCGATGACTATGCAAAGGTCATGAGTAAGAATGGGTCGCTTGCAGTAGCCACAGGGTACCGGTCCGTGGCGCGGCGTCTGTTGGATCGTCTGGAAGCGGTATTCGCGCGCGATATTTCTTCGGAGCCATGCAGCTGTCAGATCTGCGTACGAGCGGAGCCCGACGATCGACCGGACGGAGTGAGCTGGGGCGAGGTTTTGGAGCTTGTCTCTGGTCGTAGGGAACTTCCTATGTGGCCGCCGTTCATGATGGCACCGACCACCGTAGATGCTGTGTCAGGCGATGAGCACGTGCCCATGCAGAAACTGGACATTGATGTCCCGGAAGAGTACCGCGAGCACTTCATACGACAATCACGAAAGACCAAGGTCGCTGTGGACAAGTGGCTTTCTGAGCAGAATGATTCAGGAACCAGTGCACCGAACGAGGTCGATGATGAGACATTGACCTTCGCCATGCTGACGCATCTTGAAAACCACCAGCGCTCGTTGTTCTGTTCGTTGCTTGGTATCAATGCCTCAACTCCTGTCCCACGATCCGACGACGAAAAGCCCCGACCGAAACCTTCGGCGCTTGTCTCTTCTGCTTCCGCTATCCAGCGCCTCTACCGGCTTTCTTCTCTTCCTCGCGACCCAGAAACTGCTATGTACATGTTAAACAACCCCAGTATCCATCATGTGCTAGCGACTCTCTCCGCGATCAGCGACGATGAATGGGAAATTCTCATCTCTGGCCGATTCGACGGTTTCCTCCGCAGCGGTGCAGAAGACTCCGGCCCCTCGGCGAATGCAAACAGCTCCCGCTGGAACGGCAGTCGCTCCAGCACACCTTTGGGCGGAGGTATCTCCCGAGGACCAACACCGAACTACATGGACGGCAGTTTCCGCCCACCCAGTCAGTCTAACGGGCCGTCATCACCAGCCTCGTTTGGAGGCCCGATCGCGTTGGACGAGGAGACAGAAATCGCTGCGCTAGCCGAGGTCGAGCGCGACATCTTCCTAGGCATGGAAGCGCTAGAAGATGCATTCGAGGCCCTACATCTCAAAGCCGAAGTTGTGCGTCGCGCCCTACGCGAACGCGGTGCGGGTCTCGCAATCGCCAACCAAAGCCGCCGCGGCTCTACCGTCGAGGCGCGCATGGGCACGCCGTTCTCTGCTGTTGGAGCACATGACAGCGCTGAGGAAGACTTCCTGGATGACGACCGCTCCCTTGCGCCGGATGACTCGGCGAGCAATATTAGCTCGAACCGTCGGCGCAGGCCGAAGAGACGGACGGAGCGACGCACCCCCGCGCCCGTTGAAGAAGAAGACGAGGACGACGACAGATCGCCTGTTCGACCTCGTGGTTCGCGACGGAGGTAGACCGGGGATTTCATTTCGGCATGGAGAAAATGACACACTTCAGCATCATCAGGGAAGGGGATTTTAGGATACCATGGGAAATGGATATACTGTTGCCGTTGCGTTGCGTTGCGTGCGACGAACTCACAATCGATACCCACTTGCCGTCCTGGATGTTTTGTTGCGCACTTTGGTTTCTGTTTCATCTTTTCTTTCTTTCTTCTCCACTGGCATTTACTAAAGCCTTTTTCTATATTTGTTTATGACTGATGAATGCTACGAGCTTCCCTTTTCCCATAGCGTGGGATTGGGGTTATGATACAAGAATCATTTAGCGTTATGCAGCAGATCTCAAAACACCAATGAACTAAATGATTTAAATGGCCACTTCGGTGTCGCAACTATGGCCGGGCTACCTAGATACTTGTGTTTCCTGTATACAGCTTGGTTTTGCTTGCAGCGGAATACCAGTCTCGTCTCCGAGTGGAGAACAGTGGACATCAATTTATCCTGGTCTATCAACCTCATCTACTTGACACATTCTGTGGACATGAAATCAAACTCCATGGGCTTGCCAGCTGCCCCTGAACGGGAGTAGTACTTATAGTTTGCCAAGCTCATATGGAATATTGGGCACAATGAAGCGCAGCGCACTTCATCTCGAATGTTGCAGCGGAAGGCCCTTCGTTGTCTTTTCGAACAAGGTCAGAAATTCCAATTGGAATACTAATAATGGCGATCGTCTCGTAATCAAGCTTGCTTTGCACATCTGCTGCAAACAGATAACCCTTGTAAAAACGCAAAGTAGCACACACGTCTACAATATCATTTGTAAGGGCGCGCGCCGTCACACCTCGGAGTATTAATCCACCCTATCGACAGACATCGTATATGCACAAACTTCCAATGTATAGCTCACACCTTGTAATATTCTGCAGTCTACTACTATATACGGTCGAGAACTTTGTGAGAGCAATCCAACGCGCCTCTCGTAAATCATATCAACTACAATAATGGACCTCGGTAACTTGATATCTCCTATTTTCGATGGGGCACATCAGTCTTACTTATACCCACTATGTTTGAGGTTCCACAGTGGTGATTCCACAACGCAATGTACAATACGGAAGTGTCGGACCGCCAATTATCAGTGCTGGACCACTGTCGTGGGTATGTATGTTCACATGCTCCCGCCGCCAGGGGAGATCACCAGGTGCCAAGTGGGAGATCTACAAAGAAAATTGAATATTCAGCCTACGTTGGACATAGGGGCAATATTTTGAGACGAGCCGTGTTTGTTGTGTTGGAAAAAGTGGATAAGGGCTCTTGTTCCAATAGAATGATGTCTTCACATCATACAAAGTACCTATAATGGGCCTATCGGGAACAATGCAATTGATAAAATGCAGTGCGTACAGTATGTAAACAAAGACTGACGGCGATCACATGGAACACGGGCCAAGTACGAACGCACTGTTGTATCACTAGAGGGGTATAATCCAATAGTCTATTGTCGACCTACCGCCACGATGGCAAATCTCCGTACCTTGTTGTAGATCATTGATCTAGCGTAGGTTGCAGATAGGTCATGCAAGACATGCTTCAAGCGCTATTGACTAGCCAAGTATTAAGGTGTGATTTTAGGTAACATTAAAAGTTATTATGCAGATTGCGAACGATAGTCCAAGCAGATAGCGTTATTATCACCAGGATCCTGGTGATATGATATCTTCACAAAAACAAGGCATATCAGATCGAGACCAAGTCTCAGCTTCGTCACTCACTGTCGTCACTAGATTCACATGCTCAAACATAGGAGGCAATCATCTACGCACGGCTCACACAGCGCTAGGCGGTAGTCCAGGAATGTGGACTAGGACCAGCTCGGCAAGAAATACCGCGATATCTGGCGATTGAGTTTTCATTGTACCTAGGCATTCATGATGCTGACATTGGTTCATCTTGGCAGCAAACTCGACTGGAGGTTAGTATAACTCTATCTGTGCTCAATTATGGAAAGGGGAGAGTGCTTCCGCGGGAGGCAAAGGTGAGCATTGATATTTCTAGAATAGTGGAGCTGGACTAGGCTGCAGTTGGCCCAGGTGTCAGGAGAAGGTCAATTCGTAAAAGAAGGTTAAACACGATCAGCTGTGATACCATGAACCGGTTAACCCTAAAATTGAATCACTATATTGTACATACAACTAGGTTTGATGGTGACTTAGTTACAATATAAGCTTTGTCACTGTTTTAGTCGATGCAAGTCTTTTGATCGTCGAGCCTTGGCCTACGCACAATGTGGTCGGCGCTACCGTGACTTGAATTTTGATCGGCATTGACTAGCGGGGCCAAGAAGACAAGAAAAGACAAGTGTATTCTAGTGGCTTGTGCCGTGAGACACGGTTTTAATGTTAAATCCGGGTTGGTATCCAGGGGGCAAAGCGCAAAAGTGAACGCCTTCCAGGGTTATGGAGCGGGTAAAATGTTTAATTGACAAGTTGACACTGACATCCCGATTTTAAGCTATCAAGAACGTGCAGATTTTGTGTAGTGTATTATTCTACGGATGTTCCCGATTTACCCCTGACATCGAATATCATCCCACATCTGAGACAAAGTATTGACCACTTTCTCTCCCGCACATATCCGGGGCGCACATTCCTTTAAGATGTTCTCAATAATCTCCACGATCGCTGCTAGCGGCTCTAACACAGACTGGAAGAAAGTGCGTAATCATCCTTTCCGTAAATTCTCATTGACGATCCCATCCACTCAGGGCAGAACTCCACTTAAAGAGACCACGCTAGTCAATTGCAATCCTACGCTGGACACTTTTTGTACCGAATATCAATTGCCTAACTTATTTAGCCTGTTTATCCTAGTCAACACATGGCTAACGTGCTTTCACATGGGCCTAACAAAGGATGAGTTCGCGTGATCCTATATGTCATGAATTATTTGCTTTTTGGGGGGCTTATTAACATGCCACATGGCTTGTAAGCCCGGGGAGAGGCTCAAAGAAAATCTCGAAAAAAGCTTCTTGACAGCCAAGTAGAATACAACCGGCCCGGTTTCAAAAGAATTTTTTTATATATCAACAAATTATCAGTTCGGTGAGCTCCCGTCTCTTTAAACCAAATTTGGAATTGAACTGTGGATGTCTTTTGTGGAGTGAAGCTTATCCTAACCCAATCATATAAGATATTCGATGTCCGCTATTGCTAAATAATCCTTTTGTTAAGATCGACACGTTTGTTTCTAGAAAAGCCTTCCATTTCCTTTCTCCGTGGAGTCATTGATGCCGACAACCGGATACGGGACATGCTGTGCGGGGTGAAATACTGCTTCAACCAAGGTTCAAGGGTTCCCCCCTGGAGTTCCCGTGTGGGTTCAGGTTTTCTTGATACTTGACGATCGATGTACCAAAAAGCATTCTTGAGCGGTTCGGGAAAGACATGTCTCGGTGGGCATATAAGAATATAAGAAAATAGGTGCGGTACCATAAAGAATGCTTGTAAAAATTCTGCCGCTAGTGTTCCAGAAACATGGCCCCTGCAGCGGAATTACAGTGTAAGGCGATCTGAGACCTCGATGAACCTTGTACGGAATACACGGAAGACATGGCAGTCGGACGTAATTTGCGCAACTGTGTTTCTCAAAATTGGGGCTTGATCCTTCCTATGCAACACCGTTTAACAACGGGCGTATCCCCTTGTCTACTATTACCCATTAGAGGCCACTAGAGAATACGCTGTACGGCCTGGCCGACTAGTGGGTAAAGTACTAAATTAGTACGGAGTACACCATTTAAACTGTACCATTCCACCGTTTTATTCGACATACTCGTGGCAAAATTTCACCCCCCTAACCCACTCAACCCGATACTCCGGGAGGGGCAAATTCTGGCCTAAAGTTGGCCTAAAGCTGGTCTAAAGCTGATCTAAAAGAGGCTAAAAGAGGCTAAAGGTGGAGTATAAAAGGAATTCACGGCTCTGGGCCGTAAAGTATTATGGTTATCAACGTGGAGAACTCTAGTCATTGACACACAAAGGAGTTGAATAATAATTTTTTAGGTCCATTTCTTCCCATTCTTCTGCCCCAGCCTATCAAAAATAAAGTTCAATCAGTTCCCAGTAGTGTAGCTGCTGGTTCTTTCTCTCCTCATTGCATCTACCTTTTAATAGTCGGCTCGGTGGCTTTTCTTTCAAATATTCTTTGCCTCTCCCTGTCTCTATCTCTCTTTCCTTTACTTACGGCCTTTAGGGAAGGTATAGTGTCGATCTAAGTCTATCTTGCATTCATTTTCAATCGAGCCTACCTTATATATCGATTTCACATTGCCCAATTCGAGACGAGCAACCAAATCTTGGCATTCAATTTCGCTGGACTGATTTAATCAGGCAATGAGAGCAGATCCATCGAATTGAGGTTTATCGACGGAATTTTCAGACATGTCAGCACTCATTCTTATGGGCTTAATGCCCAGGGAGGGCGAGCATTCGCTAGCGGCGCGATTGACCAGCTCCGTGGAACTTGATATCGACCCTCTCCCATTGGTTCAACGACGAGGCCTGATAGCAATTTCGATCATGGCTCTCCTGTCACTCCTTGCAACCGCAAGTCTCCTCGGCTTTATCACATATCGGCTTGTGTTCTGGCGCGGCAGCTATTCACGATACATCGGTTACAACCAGTACATTATCCTGATTTACAACCTGGTTCTAGCCGATTTCCAACAATCACTTGCATTCATTATCTGTCTGCGATGGATCTTTACCGACAAGATCAAGTCCGGTACCGCTGGTTGCTTCCTCCAAGGACTTTGGCTGCAGATTGGAGACCCTGGCAGTGGTCTGTTTGTGCTTGCTATCGCCTTTCATACATTCCTTTTGGTCGTCTGGGGACGTAAAATGTCCTACAAATTCTTCGTCTGCTTCGTCGTCGGCGTGTGGGCCTTCGTCGCTCTAATGGTTATCATTCCTTTGGCAATGCACGGCGGAGATGTCTTCGTGCCCTCCGGTGCCTGGTGCTGGATTAGCGAGGAATACGAAACCACCCGTCTATGGACTCACTACATCTGGATTTTCTTGGCAGAGTTCGGCACGGTCGCCCTTTACGCTGTCATGTACTTCCAACTGCGCCGACAAATCAAGGCATCAGCAATTCTCGGAAACAGCCAACTGGAGAGTCTGAAGCGTCTACGCCGCGTCGTCGGATACATGACCATCTACCCCATTGTGTATATTATTCTTTCCCTGCCTCTCGCCGCCGGACGTATGGCCACAGCAAACGGAGATCCCCCAAGCATGACATTCTTCTGTTGTGCCGGTGCGATCATCACCAGTTCCGGTCTGGTTGATGTTATTCTGTACACGCTTACCCGTCGCAACTTGATCATCGACTCCGAGCCCAGCCACGACCGCTCCTACAACAAATTCGCCAGCAGCAAGGGCAAGCGCGGTGATACGCACCTGACAACCATTACTGCCGATCCCAAGCGCAAGATGGGTGGTGGTACTTTCAACGACGATCTCGACGGCTCAACAGACAACATCGTCTCGCCTAGCCCTCACCCCGTTCACGCCCATGAAATGGCCCCCATCGGAAAGGTGTACCAAGAGACAACGATTGAAATTACCCACGAACCTGCTTTCCCTGAAGAAGGCGCCAGCGAGCGCTCAAGTAAGGACGATTTCCCTTCCGAAATGCCTTCTCACCGCGGATGGCGGAGATGAATGTTCCATGACCATTTTCTTTAACTTTGTATTTGGCTTTCTTTTTCTTCCAGAGACATTCCCAAACTCGCTGTATACAATTTGCGATGATCTGATGTTGTTGACCCGGATTTTCTCATTACTTTTCTCATATTGCCATGGATACCCATGTATATCTTGCTTTCCTCACGATTGTTGTGACCACATCATGTCTCTTTTTCTTTCTACCTTCTTCGACCCTTTCTTTTCGACCGTGTCCCCCATTCTCATCTTACTATCTTTATGACCGAACTTGTATATAACCTTGAAAAGAAAGGACTCGCTCCTCATGTGAATCGCAGCGATTTCCATGTCCTACTTAATGTTTTCAACTTTGAACACCTAACTTACCAAGGAGATGTCCAATTCCACGCCACCCAAGAGTTGATTAATCTGTGAATAACTTAAATGTAGATAAAGTCGAACTGACATCAGCTTGAGAGGTTGAACCCCAAATCCAATGACGGCGTACTTGAGCTACCACCCCTACTCAATGCAAGAATCATGTAAATCTTAAGAGTATATGGTTCACGTCCTTAAAGCCTTCCTTTGTTCAGCACCCGGTGGCGGAATCACAATCCAGAAGCATTACCTTCCAGCGGATACAACCGTCAGTACTCAAAGCTGGACCACTCATCGCGACGAAGATCCCATCCCAAGAGCTGAAAGCTCCGACCCTCACGATGACTGCCGGGAGATCAGCACGGACAGGTCACCAAACAAGCAAGAATGGCCGCTTTTTCTCCTTTGGTACTGGGCCTGAACAAATTTTGGCAGCCCAATTCTTTCGATGTCGAACTGTACAGCTAGTGCTCAGTGCAACGGACGATTATACGAAAACAGCGCGTTGGTTCCTGATTGCCCCACCTAGCCACGGGTATGAGGTTGTTGGGCATGAGGCGAAGTTCCGAGGCCAAGGTCCCCACTATGGCAAACGCAGTGGAGACGGGATCGTGCTTCTATCGATCTTTTTTCTTGGGTCAGGGGGTGGGCATGGTATAATTTCGATCTTCTTTCGAATAAGCTACGTGCGCCAGACTATTTTATACAATGCTATACAATGTAGTATATTTTAAGCGGAGAATATGCCCACTCTTGGCCGTGTACTTTTTCCCTTTCTGGCAACTGATCGGGCTACTCCGGATCTACAAGCATCTAGAATGCTTGTGGAGAAGAACAAGGTTTTTTTTTTTTTTTTTCACCTCATTTTGAATTAGTTCTCCGGCTCCAATTGCCGAAGTAAATTTACAGTTCTCAATTTTGCGAACAGAATCAGGGCTCATAAGGTTTCGCTCACTCTCCGAGTGCGCTATTGACGCTGAAGTATGAAGTCTTGGAGATCTTCGAACCATGATCTCCAAAGAATGAATGATCAAAGGGCAGATTTCCATTGGTCTAGTTTCAGAATCATCCCTCGATTAAAAGCTGAGCCGAGCTAAAATTGTCACCCACCTCCTGTCCAGCCCTGGAAACATCGATTTCCTTATACGGACACCGGTAACCACTTCATAGGTACAACGTAGACAAAATGACTAGGTCATCAAGAAAGCTTCTTGTAGAAGTATACACGCTCAAACCCATCCTCTACCTTTCTATCCATCTCCTTAAAGCCCAGTTTTGCATAGAATCCAATGTTCTCGAACATTTTTACATTCGTAAACAAAGTCACACTGGGTAGCCCACGTTGTTGAGCTTCCAGTTCTGCATGCTCGATCAAAAAGCCTCCATAGCCGCGACCCTGTATGGTTGGATCCACGACCAGATTGTCGATTTTGAGAGAGTCCGATTCCTCGTCAACGTGAAAGGTGATGGAGCCGACGACTCGTTCGCTATCTCGCAGCACGAGAACATCGTGTGTTTGGATAACTTCTGCCCAATTCTCGGACATCGGTGCTGGTGGTTTTCCAATGCGCTCGATGTATTTAAAATATGCGGCATCGATTATGGCTTTTATTGTGGGTATATCGTCGACTGTAGCTTTGTATAGTGTGACATTGCCTGGTGTGGAAGTAGAGGTGGAGGTGGAGGTGGAATTGGTGGCCATTATGACTAGATCTCTAAGATGGAGGGAGATTTATCAGATGGCCTTGTAGTAAACAATGAAAATGATGTGCTTCGAGTGATTTTGAGAAGCCGAGAAGTTCTAAGGGTTGATATGTGTGAGTCAGAACTACCCCTCATAGGTTGATTTCACCAGGGTAAGTGCGTGCGATATATATATTACTGCGAAGATAGACATTTTCACATTTACTTGCGCCGTAGTCATTAATGCACGAAAAAAGTCGGCAGCTAATACGAAGTCGCAATGAGCTATCATATCGTTGTTTAATTATGAAATTTGATTCTTTCTAAAGCAAGGTTGAATTGAAACATTCTCAAGTCAAAGCGGATAAGACGTGTTCTCGTGTGTGATGTAGAGCGAACTCACTCACTCTCAAGCATTCATATATTGCACGTTTAATATGCTACACCAAAACCAATCGAAAATCCATACATTCTAGTCAGCAGGAAATTGCCAATCTCCGATATCATCCTGTATTTATCCCAGCAACTGTGACCCGATTCTCTCATACAACGCCATCAAAGACGCCGCACTGGTGATCTCCAAGGTCGTCACCTCAACCTTCAGCTCCAATCGCAACCAATTGCGGAACTCCGCCGCCGCCAATGAGTCCAGTCCGTAGCTGCCCAGTGGTTTGGCCGCCTTATCGGCTGACAAACGCAACATCGACGTGAATTGACGCCTCGCAACGTCAATTGCCGCCTACTGCACGACGCCGGACTCCGCTTGGTTCTTATCTAAGAGCACGGGCGCCTTGATCTCCTTTGATCCATTTTCGCTTGCATATGCAATGCAACGTCGCCAAGACCAGCAATTACGAAACGTCAGCACTAAGGGAATCAGACAAGGATGACCTGCATTAGTGGATATGCCAGATCAAGCCGCTACCCGGTATTTCGTTCAAATTTCATGGCGATGTATCTCGTTGTATATTACAGCTTTTAGGCAGTAATTGATATACATGAATTCATACATGCGTATTTGAGGCCGAGGAAGGGCATATCTCTCGCTCCTTTGGGTGCTAAATTCTTTCTCTAATTCATTTTGGCTACAGTGGCAGTGTTCATGTTGCTTTTACCTGTGCTGGCCATCTATCTGGCTGTATTGGCCTTGTATCGCCTTGACTGGAGCCCCATAGCCCATAGCCCTGGACCAAGACTGGGCGCTCTGACAGGATGGTACGAGACTTTCTTCGATGTCGTCCACGGAGGTCAGTTCACCTTTCAGATTGAGAAGCTGCACCTGCAATACGGTAAGTCAGAGTATCTACCTCACAAACCACAATCCTTCAAAGCATCGATCCCAGGACCCATCATTCGTATCAGCCCAGGGGAAGTTCACATTTCAGACCCTAACTTCTACAATCAGTTGTATACGGTGACAGCCAGATACAGGAAGCCCGAGGACTGGCGTTTCCGGTTTGGGCTTGAGAACTCGGCCTTCGATACGATCGAGCATGGCCACCATCGACGACGGGTTCCGCTGGCAACGTCTGTAGCGCATACTAAGATCCTCGAGTTCAGCGCCTACATCCAGTAACAGACGGACAGAATGGTCAATTGACTGCAGCACGAGTATCGGGGACAGGTGGTCTGCCTGAACGAGGCCTTCGGTGATCACGTTGTACGCCTTAGGGATGTCCCACAACTTCCTAGAATATCCAGAGTTCAGCTCGCCATTGATAACCGCCATCCAGCACCTCACTCGCTCCCTGCATGTGACAGGCCACTTTCCATTTTCTTCTGGCGGCGTTGAAACCCGCTTCCAGATTCATTTGTGGCGATTCTAAGCCCCACTATGAAGCCAGTCTTCGAGTTCCACGAGGTATGTTTCGTTCAGTCAACTTCTACTCGCTATATTCTGACAAAAGTGAAGAGGACATCACGGTGCAATTAAGTCACATCGTGTCAGGCCAGAACGACAGCTACAAGACGGTCGCGCGTGCGTATGGGACAAAGGAGTGAGAGTTGTTGTTAAATCAATTACAACCTATGGAAAGGGGGTGGGGTGGACCACGGGATTGAAGATACGGTCCTTGGTTGGGAGTGGTTATATATAAAGTAGGTATGTATGTAGTTTGAAGTATATCCTCTCTTCTATGCCCAGGTCTATGTGTACATCAATAGATATAAGCTCGACTAAGTCAATCTATCCAACGGTCTGCCTCACCAGCTCTTTATTCGCAGCCAAGAACTCTTTAAACTTAGTCAATTTAATCCCGAACTCCGCCTCCAGCTCCTGCGGCTCAAACCTATCCTGTCGCTCCCAGAACCACAGCTGCGCGTCGATCTGGGGATTCGAGGGCGCCAGACGTTCCGCCAGATCACGGGGGATATGGTCGATCACAATCTCACGCCCACTGACCTCAGCGATAGCGCTCGCCAACTGCTCCGCCGTCAGGGCCTCACCCCCAATATCCATCGCACGGTGCGAGAATTTTCCCGGATCCATGAGCACAGCAGCGGCTAAGCGCCCGATATCATCGGGGTCGATAAGCATAGTCCTTTTCTCAGCTGCCATAGCGGTACGAAGAGTGCGAAATTCAGCCAATTCAGGGAAATATCCTCTTGCACTAGGAAGGAGATAGTTTGTCATGAAGACAGGGGGACGGAGGATCGTCCAGTACAAGAAACCAGCGGAACTCACGACGTCCTCAATAGCAGCCTTACTCTTAAAGTATCCCTTCATGGTGCCAGACATAGTGCCATCAGACCAACCGGGGAATTTCTCGCGCTGGTCCACGGAGCAGACGCTCGTGTAAACGAGGGTCCTGACGGTGCCGGATGCACGAGCTGCGTACACCACGTTGATCGCCTGTCGCAGTTCAGCGCCGTCGCCTCGAAACGAGGGTGACACGTTCAAAAACACTGCTGTCGCGTTCTGGCAGGCGGACTGGAGTTTCTCTGGTTGGTCGAAATTGCCTTCGACTAGGACGGCGCCGCGACGCTGAAGGTCGAGCGCGGCGGTGCTGGTGGTCGTCCGAACTAAGGCGTGCACCCGCAGTCCTTGGGCTAGAAGGTGGCGGGCTGTCGCTCCGCCTTGTTGGCCTGTCGCCCCAGTAACCAGGATGATCTGGGACATGTTACCTAGGTATAGGATGATAGTACCTTGGCCAAAGAATACAAGTGAGGGCAAGTGGAGAGAAGAAGGAAAGCTAGGGAAGGGGGAGACATATATACACTAAAACACATGTGATAACTAGGTATGTATGTTACGGCTCTAGATACACTAGTAGAACGAAAGTGTCTCCCACATTTCTTGTTCTCTTGCGAACTCGAATTTGTGCACGAGATTATGAAACAGTATATTTTATTAAATTTTGTATGGTAATCAATCATCTGAACTATCCTCAAGGAGCATTTTTGTCTATGTTCCAAGGTTTGATTTTCGCTTGTGGGGTTGTTAGCATCTATATATAATCCAGGATATAGTCAGGGCTCCAGGGCTTCCTGGCTAAAGCCCAACCTTGGAATACCGCGTCAAAGGGCCCCTTCTAATTTATAACTTTGCGCACGGCTTCATGGGCGGCGGCGACCCTGGCGGTGCTGGGACTACGATACTAGCCCACGTATGGCCCCTCGAAGTTGTCTGCTACTTCGGGAGCTCGATCGCATACGGTGGTGCCACTCACAAAGACAATGTCATAACCTGACCGCAGTAGTTTGCGGAAATGGCTGTTTAGGCGGCGAAAATGCGGGCATTGGTGCCCATGCCGTGGATGCAGAGGACACGAAAGGCCATTCCGAATAGATTGGGAGTTCGAGGGACAATGGCCCAGAGATATTGATTACATATCTGTATTATATATAGCCACACATACATATAAATATGTATGTAAGACGGGTATCTAGGCGATGATTGTATGTGTTTAATTACAGATCTATGGATACATCCATGGATGATCAGGGTTAGTTCCCCGACTTACCGAATTGGGAATAGTTCAGGCTTCCTCTTTGTTCTCCCCTGTTGTCCTCTTTTCTCTTCTTCGTTTCAAATGTCGTCACCTTTGGTACTTATTTACATATCATTTGTCAGAATCCATTCGCATTTGTAAGCGCTATTGTGATGTTAGAAATCGTAGTCTACCAGCTGGACATTAGCATATCTAGACTGCCCATCATCTCGTCTCAATGTCACCATCCCGACCGGAACAAGTCCACCATTGCAACTATGACTAATACCATCTATCTCATTACCGGTGCCAGCCGCGGCATTGGCCGTGGTTTGGCCGAGATATTCCTCGCCCGCCCTAACACCATCGTCATCGCGGCCGTCCGCGACCCCGCCGGTGCTTCATCCTAGTCCCTGCACAAGCTGTCCAAGGGCGAGTTCTCTAGACTAATCGTGGTGAAGATAGACTCTAAGTCTTCCACCGACCCTACGGCTGCCGTTGAGACTCTCCAGAAGAAGCATGGCATTGACCACCTGGATGTGGTAATCGCCAACGCCGGCATCAGCGAGGACTTCTCGACCGTGCACAGGTTGTCTGTCCCCGTGCTGCAAGGGCACGTCGAGGTCAATGGCTACGGGCCCATCTACCTCTACCAGGCGGTTTACCCGCTGCTCAAGAAAAGCACCAAGCCCACGTTTGTGGGAATCGGCAGTCCGCTGGGCAGCATCGGCGGCATGGAGCAGCGCCCGTATCCATGTGCGGCTTACGGCCCCAGCAAGGCTATTCTGCACTGGATCGTGCGTAAGATCTATTTCGAGAACGAGGAGTTCGTGAGCTTCGTTACGGATCCTGGGTAAGTGCCTGCTCTCTGTGAATGGTCGTTGCATATTGATTAAATTTTAGCTTCGTCCAAACTGATATGGGCAATGCTGGCGCCCAGGCTGCGGGCCTCGAGAAGGCCTTCCAGACGGTCGAGGAGATCGTCGGCGGTATCGTGAAGTCGATCGACGAAGGGACCAGGGAGTCGGTTGGTGCGCAGCTGCGCGTGTGGGATGGATCCCAGTTTCCCTGGTAAGCGGAAAGTATTAGAGTCATCTTTACATGAGTAGTCGTTTGCTCCCATGATGTAGGTATTTGTCTCACTATAGCTAATTTTCTCCCTTTACATACATCACACAGAGAAACTACTTTGCCCGACCTGCCTTCCATCGTAGATACCATCCAAAGGGACAGATAAAGACAGCGATTCCGAACCAGAAGATGAGATCAAGTTCTAAAGGAATGGTTCGGTGTTCTTCTAGTCCTATCACCATGTTTTGTCTAGTCTATTCCTCTACGACCGACACATACGTTCGCTGTCAGCTACCATCCACACATCACTGCCTACAGCACTGTTTGCTTAGAACAGGTCCTCCGGATCGTACTTTCTCTTGATAGCGCGCAAACGGTTTTAGTCGGCGCCGTAAAAATCCTCCTTCCAGATTCGCAGCATAACATTGGCCTCGTTGAGGTAGCCACCGCTGCCAGGGGTAAGGTTGCGCAATTGAAGCTCCAACTCGTTGGTCAGCTGTAGCTCGCGCTGGACTTCGACGGAGCGAGGCATAATTCCAGACCGAAGACAGGATGAGCGATATACCTGTGTCAAGCCAGGCATGAAGCACCGCGTTGGACCCCACCGGACTTCTGGATGCCGTAATGGAGACACTGGCCGCAAAGCCGACCACGTAGACAGTGTCTGTGGTCCATTGCTGGGGGTAGTACTCACAGATGAGGCCTCATGGCGTTGGTGGTACGTTATCGCCACTGTCCAATGAACAGTTGTTGACGTTAAGGCCGATGCAACCAACTTCTACATCAATCTGCCCGTCGGCGGAATCGTGCTGCTCATTCTTATCTTCTTCTTCCACACCACTAGCGGCCATAAGCCCACACTGGCTCATATATGGACCCGCTGGGGATTCTCACCATCATGTGCGCCATGGTGTGCTACTGTTTGGCCCTGCAATGAGGTGGCGTCCATGATACGTGGAATTCGTCGCGGGTGATTAGGACGTTGATCGGATGGATTATACTCACCGTGACTTTTAGCATTGATAAATGGCTGCAGGGTGGGAAGGCGCTCCTGGTTTCGCGGTTCCTGCAACGCTGCGAGATCGCCGTGTGCTGCGCATTCATCTTTTTGTATGCGTGACTCTGTATGCCCTAACAAAAGATTGCTTTAAATAACGATGTCTAGCCTTGAGTCATCCAATTTCCTGCTTATTTACAACCTCTCAGTTTACTTTTAGGCCATCACCAACGCCTCGCCCATGGGAAGTGGCATTCGCAATCTCCAGCTGATGCCCGCGAGCTGTAATACCTACTGAACATTATTTAGCCCTCTGTACTCTCCTTAGTGGAACCCTCCTCAAATACGCAAAGGGCCACTTCCAGCTCTTCCTGGTGGTAGGATCCGCCGTCCTGACCACCGGCGAAGGCATGCTGCACATGATAGGCCTTAATCCTTCCACCGGACAGTACATTAGGTACCAGATCCTGGTGGGTGTGGGCGTGGGACTGAGTATTCAGGTTCCCGTAATGGCATGACACTGGTAGAGCCCATGGATATTCCCGTCGTGACGTCCACGGTACGATGTACGCTATTCCATGCCACTTCATTCCATGCCCTCTCTTGGTTCTCAACTTACATGACCAATAATAAATTGAACAGTCTTCCAACTCATCAGCGGTGCCCTCTCTGTCTCCGCTGCCCAGAGAATATCGAAAACAGCTTGTCACTGGCCTGGCCACCTACGCGCCCTCTGTCTCGTCCGCCTCTGTCTTTGCCGCTGGTGCGACTGAGATCCGAGATCTTTTTCGTATTTGAAGGGTTTAAGGCGTGGTGGGCGTAGGGGATCGCGCTGGGCGGGACAGCAATGTTAGTTAGTTGGATTCGTGTGAAGAGGTTGGGGAGTACGCCCATGGTCGGTGCGGTGGTTTGATTGATGAGGAAGTTAGTGGCGTCACATGCTATTTACAAATAGTATGGTTGTCCTCTCAGCTCATACAGCGAGATACTTGGGCTCCATCGCGAGAGAAGAGCGAAAGAAGGGATATTGAATCTCTTGGCTCTTTAGCTGCCTGTATTTTCTCACTGTGCATTGCGATGAAGCAGTCACACGCCGAACCATATAAATATTGACTGAGCACAGAAGTAACCCAAGATTGTGATAAATTTGTCTCATTGAAAAGCAAGCAATGTCAATGCGATGTCGAAGTAAAAATTGACAGCCTTTGTTTCTGTTACCTTGAAATTCGTCCAAAGTGAAAACAAAGATGCGTAGAAAATGAGTTCTCCCTTTGGCTGAAAGTCGGCCTGCAGGCACGTGGAAGAGAAATCGAGACACCCGGCTTCCACGGGGATGACAACTTTGCAAACGAAGCTGCTGACGTCAGTCTAGCAATAGCTCTAATTCAAATATGGTGCGTCTTAGACAATGCATGTCTCATATGTTTAGTGGTTTCTTTGGATGCTATAGTTTGGACATGTCTAGGTTAGTTGCGCCCGAGCGCAACACAGTCAAACTGCTCAAGGTAATGCAGCCCTGTATTCCCTCTGAAATACGGAAAGGCACAAATGAGTCGGTCGGATGGACGACTGAAATAAGCCGGACAGGTCTCACGAAGGTCACATCGGACGAGGCAATGAGACCAAAGAGAAAGAGCTCATCATATTTGATTAGAATCTGGATTTCTAGAACGCGGCCCTGATGAAACAATGAATTTCAAGCGGGTCGGAACAGATGAGTTCGCAAACGACAGCTTCAATTTTCTCGTGCGTCTGTTTATAGCCCAACAGAGCGGGGCTCAGCCTAGAAAGGGGTGGGCGCTAACATTGGCGCCTCTAAAGCGATAGCCTTGGTGACAGGCACCCCTTGATAGCAAGATAGGGGGATTCCCAAATTGACTGAGATCAGACCAGTGTTACTGCAGTGCTGGTTCCTTGGATTACCGACGACATGCATATTTGCGATGTTAACGTGATTTCCAGTCTCACAGCGCAAAGGCTATCATTGCAGATCAGGGGTCGAGTGATCTGCGATAGTGGACTATCAGGCCTATGAGCCGCCAATCAAGGCACCGTAGCTGCAAGAATGTGTATTTGTTTTGAAGATGCAGCTATGTGTCTATGCAACAAATAGGAGAATTGAAGCTGTCTTATTTAAAAGAAATAGTGTTCTGCTGTTCTCCCCTCCTGGATAAGTGTTTTTATTGACGTCCTAAAACCATGTTGTTTTCGCGGTTCGGCCTTCTAGCTCCTTCGCTTGCTTCTTTACTCTTCACCGGCAGCGCGGTTGCCGATGACGCACGAAGCAGAGCTAGGAATGCCCTAGAGACCCTCCAGGGCTGGTATAACCCCTCAAGTGGGATTTGGGATACTTGCGGCTGGTGGGATGGGGCGAGTTGTATGACTACAGTTGCCGATCTAGCTGCGCTAGATCCATCCGTGATGGAAACAGCGACATATGTTTTCAATAACACTTTCTATGTGGGGCCAGTATCGAATCCTCATCCAGGGCCAGAGAAGAAAACAGTCTTCACACGCGATGATCAGCCGTCAGCGGTCAATGCCTCGCAATGGCTTGACTCGGCCTACGACGATGACGGATGGTGGGCTCTTGCATGGATTGCGGCATATGATGTGACCAAGGAACCAAACTACCTCGAACTGGCCGAGGGGATCTTTGAGAGCTTGGTGAGATTATCCCGAGACAAATGTCTACCACACAAGTTAATTGAACAATTCAGGTCGATGCGTGGGGAACAGATTGTGGCGGAGGCGGTATTCCTTGGAACCCCACGAGCACATATGTCAACTCGATTACAAACGAACTGTTCTTGTCTGTCGCAGCGCACCTTGCGAACCGAGTTCCCGACAGAAAATCATACTATGTTCTCTGGGCCCAGAAGGAATGGGATTGGTTCACGTCCCAAGGCTTTATTGGAGAGAATGGTACTATCAACGACGGACTTTTGGAGAATTGCCAGAACAATGGAGCCACTGTGTAAGTCATGCTTGAATCACCATGTTTCCGGTTACTCACGTTTCACAGCTGGTCCTACAACCAAGGAGTCGTGCTCGGTGGACTAGTGGAGTTGAACCGAGCTGCACCCAACGACACATACTTGCCTTCAGCCAACAAAATTGCAAATGCTGCTATCGAAACACTGGCAGATTCAAATAATGTTATCCACGAATTTTGTGAGCCACAATGCCTCCCAGACGGCACACAATTTAAGGGCATCTTCATTCGCAATCTTGCAATGTTACATAAGGCATCCCCGAATGCTATCTACAGCAATGTCATCAGCAGCTGCGCAAACAGCATCTGGGATAATGATCGCAATGAGCAAAACCAGTTTGGGGTTAACTGGGCCGGTCCTATTGAGGCCGTGGTGGATGCATCCACGCATAGCTCAGCCTTCGATGCGCTAGTTGCTGCAGTTGCTGCAGCTGGGGTATAAAGAGCCAACTGGCAGCTTTTCCTTTGCTTTTTAATACAGAAGTCCGCGGAGGTTTCACTAGATGAGATGCATATAGGCTTTCGGTCTTCAAATATACCAGTAATATCCCAGGAGTTTGCCTTCCAAAAATACCTCTATTCTAATAAGCTTCTGTTCGCTTCTTCCAAGCGGGCTGCAAAACCGATCTGGGTCTGGTGTAGCCTGAACGAATCACGGATGTAGGGACTAGTTCCAATCCCCTCAAATTTGCACCTTTCTTATCCTGTGCCCACAGCGTCAACGCTATGAAATTGTTTCCATCATGATTCAAAATGCCTTCGGGAATAGGGAAAGCCGTTTGGGGGCCGAGATTGTTGACTAAATAGAAGGGATTAGAGTTGGTGGGTCCCGGGTTGCAAACCATGGAACCAATTCGGCGAGCCAAAGGAAGACATACTGTATTTGCCAAACTGGTACCCATTAACATATACTTGGCATCTGTAATTCTCCCCTCGGGCATTGTACTTGGAGTGAGGTTGGGAAGAGGCGTTGAACACAACACTCATTGGGACATCCCACCCGTCGGGGACTTTCAGCCGAAAGGATGCAGTATAGAACCCAACACCTGGCTGCGATAATCCATCTCTCACTGGATTAGAAGACTTCCAATCCGAGTCTGGTGGACTGGGATAGTGGTAGCCCTGCCTCTCGGCGAACATGCTACCTTCGTTGAGAGGACCACGGACTAGATCCTGATATTGCTCACCTCCCAGGTTACCGGTCAACTTCCATAATACATCGGATTGTGAGTGGCCCGAAATCCCGTAATTTAAAATTCCGCGTGGAAACTTAATTGCATCAGTGCCAGGGGCTTCCTCGTCTTGGCCCATGTGATCAATCAAAATTGATAGGACATATTCGCTTTCCTGTGACAGGGTTGATGGCAATGAAACGTTGTGTATGACTGTGGAGTTGGCACCTGATCCCACCCATGAGCCAAGGAATGTGCTATTGAGCCAAACCGAGTGGCCGAATCCTGTGCCCCCAGAAATATTTAACCAAACATTGGATTCTTGACCATTGGCAGCGAAATGCCCTCGGTAGAACAGAGACCCTGTGTGATATCCATAGTCCATAGAGTACAAACTACTAGGAGTGTCTAACTGTCGTGGATTGTTTGTTGAATTTAACGTGCAAAGTGTCCAATCAGAGTCGTCGTACGATGACTGAATCTCAGGGAGAGAATCAAGGAACTTCCATTGCAGGTTGGCCAGGTCGGGAATGTCCAACTGAGGAGGGTCGTATCTGACAGTTCCGGAGATCTTACCATTTGTCGATTTCGAATTTCGCAACCGCTCTCCATTGAAACTGATCTCTTTCAGATTCCCCGATGGGCTAGAGATAAGCTCAATCTTTGTAGTCTGGTTCACATCGCCTGTCAATCGGAGTTCCGCATTTCTAATATCTGCTGTGCGGATAAGATATCCGGCCTTGATTACCACGAGGTCTTTTCCTGGGAAAGAATAGTTTCCAATCGGTCCTAAAGCAGGCAGTTCGAGTGCCCAATAGTTGTATGCATCGTTGCGCCAGAGCAAGTAGACCTCAAGATCTGCCACCCGAACTATGCACCGGGCCGGTGTAACTTGCCATTGTACAACCCAAGCAGATCCTATCAGCTGAATTTTGATGCCTTGGCCCTCAGCAACCGTTGGTTTTCCAAGTCGACTAGAGAAGGCAAATTCGTGCGCCTCTCCAGCGCCTCCATATAGAAGAAGGACACGTGCTGATCCAGCTCCTCGCGCCCATGTGAGAATCTCCGCAGATGAGTATATCAGATTGATACCACCGACATCGTAATCTGTGACGTGAAATTTAGAATCGCGACCGTTGAGTGTCAGCTGGCCTCCCAGCTGGGGAATATTGACGGTTCCAACACTTGTCCGCAATGAAAGAGTATACTGAGTCTTTTCAGTCGATGTGAAATCAGCGTGTCTGACGATGTAAAAGTTTGTCTGTGTTCCATTCCCAAGGAGAACAGTGACTGCAATAGAGGTTGGTGCCCCGTAGGTACCGTTGGCACCGATTTGAGGAGTTGCTGTCAGATAAGCAGGTGAAGTCTTGAGGAAATTGGCCTCAAGTTTTTGCTCGCTGTATTTCTCACGCCATATTGCCCTTTCTTCGGTGATTGCTGCCCCATAATCGTATGATGTATGCCCGCCCATATACCCCAAGTTACCCCAATTGGTGCCGCCGAATGTCTGAACGCATTGAGCCTTGCGATGAAGAACGAGCGAAGGTACGAACTTACCATGTAGATGTTAAATATTTTGACACCAAAGCTATAGTTGTTTTTGTACACCACTCTGACAGCCTCTTCATTCACCAACTCGTTGCACATTTCTTGAAGAACTCCTCCCCTAGATGCTTTTAGCTTACGGAGTTTGGAAGAAATTTATAACATACCATCCCTCACCAGATCCTCCTTGAAACTCGGCGATTGCGAAAGGTGTTGTGGGACTTTCTTGTTCGTGCAAAATTTGCCAGTTGTATGGGAATCTGTAGGTGGGCCAGATAGTGGGATTTGCGCCTGAAAAGAAAATAGTCAGTTCTAGAACACAGTATCAGAGGAAATAGTTGGTGATAAACCAACAATCATAGCGCATTGGATAGGCATCGATGCCATAAATATCCACTTCGCCCTGTCCTGACCCAGGTGCCCAGTATCCTTTGGCTTCATTGTCGTTCACAATCAACGGAACAGTAATACCAGCGTCGTGCAGCTGCTGATTCACTACATCCATATAATTCCGATTCATTTGGCTGGGAAATTCTGTGACGTTTGGCCAAGTAGAATATTCATTCTCTGGCTGGACCATGATGACCGGTCCACCATGTGTGATTTGTGCCTGTTCAACAATTTTACCCAAAGTGAACATGTAATTCGTTGTCGCATTGAGGTATTGAGGATCATCTGATCGAATAGTTGCCTTTTGGCGCAAAATCCATCCCGGTATCCCACCAGCGGTGGTCTCTGCGTTGATGTACGGCCCAGGTCGAGCAATGAGATATATGCCGGCTTCACTTGCGGCAGCAAAGAATTCATCCAGGCTCCATATACCATCCGTAATAACGTGTCCCGGGTTGCCTTCGACAAGACTCCAGTCTACATAGAATGATACTCCTGTGAAACCCATGCTCTTGATTTTCTGGAATACATCGAGCCATAGACCTGGAACTGGAAGGCGGAATGGGTGGAATTCACCGGAGAAGATCATGAGGCGCTCCCCACGGACTATGATAGAATGCTGGTCCCATGTCACCTGTTCATCCTTTTTAATATAATTTCATAGTTGTTCTTGATAGCAAACGCGGATCTTACAAGATTCTGTAGCTGCTTTTCTTGGGCTGCAAACGTATCGCCGTTAGAAGCCGGCACCATGGATGCAACTATATAAAAAAGGGTAAGACATGTTGATGTCATGAAAAACATGTTTCCTGGTTCACAATTGGAGACTCCGAAATGTCACCTGGCTATGGCTCTTGATGAGTATGAGAAAGTAAGTGCAACAATAAATGGTAAAAATGATGCATGCTATTTGGGTTTAATCGACGGAAATTCATCCCCGCATCGACAAAATCGACTCCGCATATCTCCAGACTCATGATGAGCGTCGGCTTTCTTCCTATTGAAGGAATATCTCATGATTACCCGGCGTGTCGGCAAAATCAATGCATATTAATGCCTGCAGCAAAGAGAAATCGAGAGATCTGCCAAAATCCTAGTTAAAAAGGCCCTTCCATAGGTTTTTCGCCAATCGACAATCAGGCTAAATAACGTCGGTCGATTACCCCGTGTTTCACCGACACTTGCACATACATACTCAAACAGAGAGAGATTCCGGATGCTGATCATGTCATGGTGTGTCGCCCAAATTACATCATGGCTAGCCCATGTTGCCATTCTAGTTCGAGCCACCTGTTGACTAGGAAACATATTATGTCTCTAATTTTCTGACAAACAGTCAACCATTCAGAACTGACTAAATGGCCGGTCATATAAAGCCACTTCTTTTGCACGCTCATTCTTCGGGCCCAAACCCGGTGAAGGTAGCCATTGCGCTTGAGGCTCTCCACGTCCCGTACACAGTGAAGCAGTGGGACTTTTCAGATAACCCAAATACTGGGGTGAAAGGCGCAAAGTTTCTCAAAGTCAACGAGAATGGACGCGTTCCTGCAATCGAAGACCCCAATACAGGTGTTGTCGCGTGGGAATCGGGGGCTTGCATGAACTATATCCGCCGCGTGTATGACAAAGGCAATATAATCGGCCCTTCTGGAGATTCCGCGCAAGACCTCGTGGACTTTGAGAAATGGGAGTACTTTTTGTTGTCAACTCTGGGTCCGATGATGGGGCAGACAAATTGGTTCAAGTATGCGGCCCATGTAGAGCTCAAATATTCCCCGGATGGTGCTGATGAACCATTTTACCAGGCACTTCAACGCCCAGAAAAATAATGACGCGCTCGAAAGATACACAGCTCAGTCGTATCGATGCTATGATGTTCTCGAAGGACAGTTGAAGAGGACTCGCGGGGAAAGCATCCTTCCCGGCCGTGTCACTGCCGTCGATTATCATTTTGAGCCTTGGATACGCGGTTATTCCTTTGCCGGTCTTTCTCTTTATAAGCATCCTTTGATCTTAAAGTGGCTTGGTCTCATGGAGACACGAGAAGAGGTCAAGGAAGCATACCACAAAGTGAGAGGCTAGAAACAAGTTGAATGAGTTGTGCATGTTTGGTCAAGGAAGGGCGTAGAAGTATAGGACATTTAGGACAATGGATCGTGGATTAAAGCACCTGGGCACCATTGAAGAAGAAACAAGAACCTTTTGAGAGAGCGAGATTCGGCTCAAACAACCAGACAGCGACCTCAGCCAACCAGCACTTAGAATCTCAATAAAAGGGGCCAAGAAAGACATTGGCTTTAGTAGCAAAAGTTAGAACGAATCAATCAATTTGCATTTAATCTCTTCTACGGTTTTAAAACACATCAAATTTCATAATCACAGATGTCGCAACTAGCATATCAAAGTACTTGGGACCTCGATCAGGTAAAGCATATATGCTTTACCATGATGCGACTTCCTTGGCATCTTTCCTCCACGCACGTTGACTTGCATAGCCTGATGTACAAGCTCAGGCTCAGGCATAACCTCGTCTCGCGCATTTCTCCACTGCACAAATGCTCCCTCTGTTGAATCTTTCACATGTTTGTTGTTCTGCTGCTGCTCGCCAACCGTAACATACGGCGTAGCTTGGCGGGCTGTAGACTCATTGGATGGAGGATAATCGTGGCCCGTGTATAGTTTTGTCTCTGGAGGTAACTCAAGGAGGCGTTTCATCGACCGGAACAGTTTCCGGGCATCGCCACCAGGGAAGTCGCATCGCCCGCTGCCAATATCTGGGTGGAACATCGTGTCTCCTGTGAAGACATTACTGCCAATCTGGTATCCCATATGATCCGGTGTGTGTCCGGGCAGGTGCAGCGCGGTGCAGCGTACGTCACCAAGGCTGAATACTTCATCGGATTGGAAGAGGTGGTTGAAAGCATCATCGATTTCCTCTTTGGGAATTCTGTACTTGTGTGAAACATAGGCTTGGACGACCGTGATGTTTTCTCCGATGCAAATCTGTGCGTGCGGTTGTCCTCGTGACCACAGCGTCTGCTGGATGTAGTAGGAAGCGGAAAGGTGGTCGCCGTGGGCGTGTGTTTCCAGCAGCATCTTGACTGTATACCCGTGACTTAGAGCGCAATCGATTAGAGCATCCGCAGACTCAGTAGTGATGCGAAATAACGAAGGTTGAAAGTCTAGGACGGGATCAATGATAGCAGCTTCTTTCTCTTTCGGGCAGGCCACCACATACTGCCAGGAACATGTCTTGGGCTCAAAGATTGTGTGAACGATTGGTTCCATTGCCATGGTTGAGTAAATTGAGTATCACTCCGTTGAAGATTTTGTGCGAAAACAAATGCAAATTTGTTCCGGGTTGGATTTCAGTTGCTGATTAGCATTACGTATCTATAGATCATCAGCTGCCACACACATTTTCTTGGCAAAAGCGTAAATTCGTTTCGATAATCAACTTGTGGTGTTTCATGGGAGATGTTCTTTGGTGCCATAGACAGTTCATCTCCTAGCCATCGAACTCTGCGCGGTGTAATACTCCATAAATTGAGCAGTTTTATCTGTTCGCCTTGCCTTCGCCTTGCCTTCGCCTTGCGTTCTGAGTGGTGGCAAAGCCTTGCATCGGTTTCTAAACCACAATTGAACTCCTGAGGAAGATTTTTATAATTTTGAGACTTTTACTGACTACCATGACAGCGGTATCTTTTCTTTTGCTTTCTTTCTTTGCGGTATAAGAACTAATCCTCGCCCCACAATTCGCATCCCTACAGTTTGACTACTATATATTGTCAAGATCTCAGTGTTTTTGTTATCATACAGGGAGATAATCTACCATAGGTATTCTCGCATCTACAAGTTGACCTTTCGGGCTACTTCAATCAAAGGATAACAATCATTCTTCTTTTGGAAGGCTAAACTCTTCCCCATCTCTTCTAGCTTTCAAATGGCCTAGATTAATCCATTCATTTAGCACAAAAGACCACCTCACTCTTTTGCCAAGCAGCTACTTCTAGTAGCAGGTTTTTTCACACATACAAAACCATCTCAGGTAGCAGAGACAGTATGTAGGTGAGTATTTGAAATTATTACCTTGTAGAGGTCGTGATAGGTTCTCTAATCGAACATTGTACCCGGGGAAGTTTCTCCGATAGAGCCATCGCTGACAGACCATTGGTCACCGATGTCGTCCTGATCGGTTGGTATGTCCCATCGAGCGATTTGGAGCTCCAGGGTGTGGGCATTCTGATTGAAGCGGCATTGCCAGCTCTTGACAGCCTTGCATCCAGGCTTTTGGCATAGGTGGCCCATGTAGCATTTGATTGACCGGCAAGACCCAGCGCGAGTGCATGGGTGTTGAAGGAGCATCCATCTCAAGACCTCGATAACGGTGTTGGAGACATCGGTGTGGTCATAAGGGCAACTCATGTCTCCACATTCTCCGGACAGGTGGTAGCTATTGCAGACCTTGTGCTGCTTTGCCCGAGCGTGGTATTCACTAAACGATTCGGGGGTAGGCTGTGGGTAGTAAGGATCAATACGGTCCCCGTCTTTATTCACTGGGATAAATTCCTCCGTTTTGATGCTCGGTAAGGGTAGCATGGATCTGAGAAAGTCGTCCGTGCGACCGGCAGTAGGGGAGCTCCAAAATGATGATGTAGATTTTGCGGACTGCGGAGGTGAATCACCAGAACTCCTGGGCGACGGAAGGTGATTCAATGACTGGTTTGGCATAACATGTTGTTTATTGCAACCATGGCCAAACTTGCAGATACCCTATTTCCGTGTCAGCAGTTGATCAACTTGATGAAATTGTGTAGTAGCATAACATACCTTTTGAAAGTGCTTGCAGATTGGTTTGGTGGAAATTCCACCAGTTGAGCCAGTTGAAACATGGTGCATCCCATTTGCACCATTGGCATTACCGTTGACTTTAGCAGCAGCCGGGCCTGTGGGCGGCTTGCTATTAAGTAGAGGGGTGCTCATGAATACTGAGGGCAACTCTCTGATAGGAAGGTCCAGGGCCTCGAATTCACGGTGGAAACCAGCGGCTTTGATAAGTGTGATACGGTCGCTTCTACCCCTATATGGGGTTAAGAGGGAGCCGTATCCAGTGTCATGACAACCAGCAAAATAGATATGGCGGCATTGATTCAGGTCCGCAAACAAGCGGAACATTTCTTGATTTCGAAACACATATTAGTACAAAACGCTTACGGTTGCCGAGCCATTCATTACCTCTGATTTTGAAGTCACTGCCCTCCTTCTTCTCTGCGGCGTCGACATAGTCAAATAGCTCCTGAGAACGGGTAAAGGATGAAGTAAATGGTGACAAAGATCGAGCCTCATGGCCCGTAAGTCCGGCTCGCGCAAGTGCCTTTGACAAACCGAGAACATTGGCGTAGACACGAACCATAATTCGACATTGTTCTGCCTGCATTCCCATTGTGGAATGCATCAGCTCCTTAACGGAGTCACTCAGCTCGCGGGCGGCGGCAATGCCTCCTTCGCTGCCATTCTTCAAAAAGTGCTCTTTGAACTAGAGCACATTAGCTATTTGAGCTAACAAGAATAGAGCAGAGCAGGCTCACCATATACCCATCCCCGTCGACGAGAACAAGGACAAACGGGTTACGATCCTGGTTGCCTGTTAGTTAAATAATATATTGAAGCTCAACAATTCATACCTGGCCTCTGGCCTGGCGTTTGTATTTCTCGCGGCCTTCTTTGACTTCTTCATAGTCACTTTTGAGGGAACTGTAGTCATCGAGCAAGCTCTTGAAACGACCCAAAAGATCCTGCAAATTGTCATGTTGTTTCTGTTGCTCTAACGATAAAGATGCTAGGTGCCCATTAAGGGAATCTATATCAGAGTCCCGCAGCATCTTGTCAGTACCGGGACGGCATGTGCCAGTCCCACAAGCTTGGATATGAGTCGATCGAGACTACCAACATCCGATTGGAAGTTGGATGAAGGCAGAAAGTTTCCCGCAATGTTCGCGATGTGCGATGGGGAGATCTAATAGTGGGGAAATTTATCTCTAAGTTTGGGCGGTCAACGCCCATCAGGTGACGTGTTTGTTTGTGCTTTGTCTCTCGCTCTCTTTTCGCTTATTTCCTAATTTCCTTCTCTCTTTGCTCTTACCTCACTGTCAATGACTCCAATTGCATATATTGATCTTTTGCAATAAAGGATATAGTCATTAAAGGGGTAAAACCCTCTGCAGACTCACAAACTCATCCCCAACGCGTAGGATGGTTTCAGTTGGATCAACAAACAAAAAAACTTCCTACGTTCTCTTGACTCTGGTCGTGCTGATATATCCATCAGCTTTACTGACATAGCAAATTGCAGTACCTATCAATCAAAAACTTACCTGACTTGTCCGAAAAGCAAAAGGTTGAAAAAATAGCAGAATCTGAAATGACAGACGCGGTCGATATCTCGAATTTCCTCCTGCAGACCCCACGAATCTCGGGCAATTTGCCCAGCTCGCTAGACTGAAATGGAAGCAGAGCAGGCTTGATGGACTATAACCACGGGGTGGACCGGGCGGGAGAGTGATTGTCTCGGGAGGCGGCTCGTCACTCGTATCGCGGCGTGTCCACACACGGTTCGGCATGTGCTCAGCCACTTTAGGCCAGAACTTGCTTACTACGTGTGGACGGGCAGTCGTCGATCGCGTTGAGACAGCATTGAGGCTTTCATTGCATTGTCTGATTGGTCACAACACCTCACTTGGAAAAAGCATTTGCTTCCCTTCGAGAGGCCCAGATACCCCAATTCTGGTCTGGTAGTTGATATTGTTTTATATTGCCCAGGGATAGCGCTTGTTTGTTGCTGCATCTGGAATTGCCCCATCAAAAGATGTAGTACGGTCGTCATATTCCTGTCAATTCGGTGCGTTTTAGCGAAAGGCTCGGGATAGTCCTCTTTCTACATATATAGTCGTAGCAGAATTCAGGTCCGACTCCATCTGAGAACAACTTGTAGGGCCAGTGTACAAACTGTAACACTTTACCGTTGCCCGCAATAAACCACACCTGGTGATAATTTTCACATCGAGTATATTCATGGGGATTTCTGTTGACTGTGCCCATCAAGTTGAAAGGTGCTTTTGTTTATGCGGTTCTGGCTTCTCTGCGCTTCAGGTTGCTCACCCCTTTTGGGTACCGGCTGGCTATACGCACAGTAGGCACAATCTGCATGAATTCCTCGATTGCCTTCAACTCGATGCAATTTTCCTTGGAGGGTGCCGGTGGTATCATTCACTTCAGTTCGTCTCGATGCACTTGACATCTTTAGTGAAGACCGTCAGGCCATGGTACATTGGGCTTGGTTGTATCTACGACACTCTGTGTGACGATACTACAAAGGTCCCCAGCTGCAGCTATGTCGAAGCATTTGATGCATAAGTATCACTTAAAGCTATTATTTCATTTCATATAGTTACTATGTGGTACTTTGCACTCGAAAATCTCTGCCCTAATCTAATCAACCCAGGAGAAGCACTCATGTTCTTTCCTCCAATTCTCTTCGAACAACTCTGCGGGCGAATAATCGGCGAATTCCAACTTGTGGAACCATGTGCTCTTTTTATAGGAACCAGGTCAGTTTGCTCAAAACACCGGATGTGAGGCACAGCATACCTCAGCACATATCTCAACGTGCCCATGAGATTTCGCTACAGTATTCCAAGCCCTCCTGACTTCCTCTGCGATGTGAAATTCCGAGGAGCTCACCCAAATCGCTTTACCCAAGGTTACATCGTACTGGAAAATGTGAGTGGGAACTGGGTTTGGTTCATGTGGCACACTGCTTCTTATTTCAGCTTCGAGTCTCATGCGATTCAGCCGGGGCATGTTTTTAGCGGCATATGCAGCAGCAAGATAGATGTCATTGATGTGTTTGTTTGGAAGCATACGGAACTCATTGCAGGATTGTGGCGAGTCAAAATGGCACGAGGACTCAGTACATTTATCATTCCATGCTGGGTCGCGTTCAAAAAGCCATTTGCCGCAACTTGTAGCTGCCTCATAACTCAGATCGAAAGCAACAAGATTTGGCCAAAACAGAATGGATTTTCCAGCACCTGCTGGCCAGAACAATTCAGAGCTGATCATGATGTGTGAAAGCTTGATACTTTCTAGCTGCTGTGACAGCTGATTTAAAGCAATACTGAGCGAGTCCATGCCCGTGCTTGATCTTTTGGGAGGTGGAAGACTTTGATCTCGCGGGGTTGGTCCCCAGTATGAGAGGTTCAGATGGCGCAAAGATTGAGGCCAGTCGTTGAAGGTAAATTCTATTCAAGTCTCGTTAGAAGCACGCATCTCACAAAATCGAACAATATTATGACACTGGTAACTGCGAAGAAGTGAGGTGGAAAGAGAGAAGAAAGGAGATAGACCAAACTGGACTTACCATTACGCAGTTGATCACGGAGCATAATGTCCTCGCTTTCACAATCATTAAGAGCAACATTGATATGTTGCAGCCGAGGGAGGTGGGATACCATCTTCGATACAGCTTTCGGTGCGATCTTGCGATGGGAATATTGGCCAGGAATTCGGAAGGATGAGATGCAATCGACATTGGAAAGATTGCTCTCCTCTATCAGGCCCAAATAACAGTGCTCGTATCTCCGCTCTAAAAGGTCCCTCTCCGGGAAAATACAACCGGTTTTTTGTCGGGCGGCACGTTTGCCCCAGTCGGGCTCTGCCTGCCAATCACTTGGAGATCGCGAGTAGAGCCCTAGATACTTTGTATTGCAGCATTCATTGGGCCATGAGCTCAGTATTCGAAAAAGAGATTCGATTGCGTGCGTGAAGGCCTCGTTATTGCGGTTGCGGTCATGTTCATTCTCGTAGCGACTCCTAGCGGCAACACTGTACTTCGGTAGTACAACCTTGAAAAATATTTTCTTGATATGATAATATCGCCCGAGTGATTTTGAAGAGCCGGTTATTTGATCAAATTCTTCGAGAATTGAGGAGTTGATATTCAAGTCGGCAAACGTAAGCTTCTCAACGGCGCTCTGCCATGTACGACAGACACTCGCATATGGAGCTAGGCTGCCATTAATGTAGCCAAATATTTGGTAAAGAGTTTCGAGTGGGAGTGACTGTGCTGCCATGGTGAATAGCGACTGTTGATTCGGAACCGTCTTGGAGTTCAAAAAGTGAAGCAGTTTGAGTTTGGTGGTTAGAATGCCAGATGTAGTAGGCTACGCTAAATGTAAGATGCCTCTTGTCTCATCTTTGGGAAATTGTAAGGTTGATACAATCTAGAACTCGCACACCGTTGAAGTAACTACTGTAGTTGACTAAACATCACGGATTCGGTGTTAGGCCTGATATATGAGGCATAAAATAAGTGCAAACCAATCAAACAGACTAAATCCATTTTGGAATGCAAGATGTCAACCCCCCCCCCCCACACTCGACCCCATACTCCACTTATCCACTACTCCGTAGTTACATACAGACTCCGCATGTGAAGAATAACTTCCAGCCTCGGTCTCACACCATACGGCATATGGTGCCAGTCGCTTATAAGGCGATTGCCCCTGTCCGTGCTTTAGAATTTGACAACAACACCTACACAAAGTTCATCCTTTACCATGAGATACGTACTCTTTTCTCTAAGCGCGTTCGTGTTCTACGCCATTTTCTATTTTTCGTATATCAATGGCCTCGATGCTCTGGGTCGCGAATCCATCGAGTCGGGCAAGCTCCCAGGTGTGAACGAGCCTTTGCGGACAGTATACACAGGGGTTGAGCCTGTCGACCATCTCTTGACTCTCCTGACTACATTCTTCTACCCGTCTTTGGATGGGCAAAATCCTGGACTCTTGCTCCACAGTATTGGATTTTCCGGTACTTTCGGAGCGACATGGACTTTGGTTGTCTTGGAATCATGGCGAAAGGGAAACGCCGGAACAGTTGCAGCCTAGTATGTCTCTTTCAAAAACGCTCACATAATCCAATGCACATTTAGCTGACGGAACAATAGCCCGTTGATCTTTGGTCTCATAGCCCAAGTGCTCACTTTCGCTTTCGCAACCCCCTTGATCCTGGGTCTTCAGCTCGGCTGCTCAATCACAGCACGCCGTCCCCACGCAGACAACATTCGGATTCCGCGCGCAGTCCTCGCAGTTTTACCATTGATTTTTGTTGTTGGCTTCATGGTTCCAACTAATATGATGGTTTTGCCTGCTCCTTCTGTGATTTCGGTGGACTTTAAGCAAATCGCAATTGCCATCTGGCAGCCCTGGCCTGCATATGTTTCAATTCTCAGCACTGCCGCATACTACGTTCTGTCTCCGTTTTTCTCAGTCAACCACCGTGCTTCTATGTCCAGTCTGCGATGGGTCTACGCATTTGCCTTCATCAATGCATCGCTGTCGCACTTGGTATCGTGGATTGTGTCCTTGGCCACTGTTGCCGTACCCATGTTGTTCGAAAAGCGTTTCTTGGAAGCGCTCCATCCAGCCAACGTATTCTTCATTCCGCTTCCCTGGTCTGGACTGACGGTTGATAATCTTGGACATGGTGTTCATGCCTTCCTTAGGTGGGACTACATGATCGGGTCTGCTGGTGTTCTGGTTTGGGCTATATCGTTGTATTCCGTTGCCCACAAACAAATACTCAGCACTGTCTCCTGGCCCAGCCTCCTGTTTAAGGTTGCCCTGCTGACTGTTCTTGCTGGACCTGCCGGTGCTGCGGTGGAGTTGATCTGGGAGCGGGATGAGCTGGTGTTCTCCGAGACGGGTGGTAGCAAACAGCAGGTTTCCAAAGCTAAAAAGTCGACATGACCAATTATTGGCTGAGAGAACGTGACTTCGATCTTTATTTCGGGGTTTGGTGGACTTGTTCATATTCCATTGAATTGTCTGTGTTGGACTCATTGGTAACATACATAGGTCAATATACAACAATAACGCCCTGTATGTCTCACAGAGAAGATGCCCGCTCACTTGCTGCCACTATCTCATAGATCGCCTTGATGTAAGCCTCAGAATTTGCGTTACCCAACATTCCATTTGTCATCCTATTCATTGCATAGGTGACAGTCATCCGATGATCCAAGTCCATAGCCACCACGGATCCTCCCCAACCTCCCCAAAAGCAAAGATTGCTGTCGGGAAGGAAGGGGGTAGTCTCCGGAACAGGCAAGCCAACACCGAGACCATATCTCAGGTTCAATCCCAACACCAGATCGACGCCACGAATCCTTTCCTGGATCATCTGATCAACAGTCTTGGGCGAAAGATATTGTTTGCCATCCACAGTTCCCTTCAAAGACACCATAGAACCAATAAGAGCCAGAGATCGTGCATTAGAAAACCCGTTCGCAGCACCAATTTCTGCTTGCCTGAATGCAGGAGTCTCGGAGTACTTAGCGTTTGCGATGGGATTGGTAAACACTTTAACCATCATGCTTTCCATATTAATGCCTTCGGGGAGGGCCACAGGTGGAGGGGGCACAACATCCGCAGTGCGCGGCCAGTCCTCCTCAGGAACGCCCAAACGGAAATCTGCACCCAACGGACCAGCGATCTCCTCTGCGATGAACTGCTTCAAGGATTTACCGCTGATCCGCCGGACTAGCTCACCTATCAGATGTCCATGATTAAGCATTTGGTATCCAGGGGCAGAACCAGGCGGGAAAAATGGCGCTTGCCGGGCTAGCTCATCAGTCGAAAACTGAGTGTCATATACATTATCGATTGTCACGGGCTTCTCCCACCCTGAAAGGCCAGAAGAGTGGCTGAGAATATGCCATACTTTCACATCTTCCTTTCCATTGACGCCGAATTCAGGCCAGTATTTAGAGACTCGCTCCTCTGGGTCCAGTAAGCCGCGGTCAACGAGAGTGAGAGCAGCCAGGGCAGTGACAATTTTGCTGCAGGACCAAACGACGGTGAGGGTGTTCTCTTCCCACGGGCGGGTCTTCTCGGCGTCGGCGTAACCGCCCCAGAGGTCGAGGACGTTCTTTCCATCTATGTTCACGCAGAGCGAGGCGCCGAGTTCCTCTTCCGAGGTAAGTCTTTCTTGGAGAAGATCGCGCACGCGATTGAATGCGGGGTCACAAGACCCTTTCACTGCATTGGCCATGGTGGTATTTGATTTGGGGGTTTGTGAATCAAAGTGAAATCAAGATTGTGGAGGGAAATATTCCAGGTCAGAACCTTGGAATCGCAGCGTGGGGCCTTCAATATTTATATTTCAAACCTCAGCTAGTTGTCTCTTACTAGAGATTTTAGTGCTGATCTGATGGCGGGGATTCGGACGCTTGAACAGCCTGATTTCTTCAGTCTGCGAATCTATTTCCCAAATAGTGCAGCCGAACATTTCTAGTGAAGATTTTTATAAATACTGATAAATCATAGCTGTCGTTTCCGTGATCCGGTAGATTTGTGTGCTTTCCTCTATATTTATTGTTTCGGTCGTGTGTTCTTGCCGAGGCATCTCAATCGTATGTGCTCATCACACCTCATTGTTGCTACCAGACCAGAATCAAACATCCACTTGCATCTACAATGATGCAGATTTGAATGCAGGGTTCTCTATGTCTTTGAACGAAAATACTGGGATATGTATTTAGAGTAATAATCTATCAACACCCAAACCTTGGAAGAGATGCAGGCTGAATAAGGTTGCATGAAAATGGAAATACGGGAGAGGTGGAACTTTTCGGGAATATGGTTTTGGTTGCGCCAATCAAATATCTTCATGGCTTGCACAACCAGAAGCACATGATTCATAAAATTAGCATAGGACATTATTATGTCGCGCCTACAAGATCATGGGTGGCCGGAGACATAGTAGGCCTGAACCTCATTCCGATAATGGACTGTGCACTGTTTCACGAACCCTCCTTTTATTCTTGGTTTCTCTCCCCTACTTCCTCTCTTCCTCAATATATCCAGCTAGGCCCCAAGCGAGCCAAATCCCCTTTGCGTGTCCTTGAGCTTCTATACTTAGCAGACAATCAGTTCAAACCATAAATCTCCATTATCGGCCTTGCTGCTTCTTGCTTCCCCGCCAACCTTCCATTTTGCTCAAGTCAAAGAGGTCATCGAACAAGCTTAACCGGATAGCTATTCTAGATATAGCTTTGGTCATTCCAAAATCTTCTTCGCCCAGAACGGAAACTTCGGATGAAAGTTCTTACACAACTCCAGCAGAATTCGGCCAGCGTTTATGGCCTGATTTTTGCTGTTTGTATAGCTTAAGATTTTAATTACACGCCCCAGGCTGCATCGACACACGGGTTGTTTTCATCGACCCTACAAGTCAGTCCATTGATGGTCATCAGTTCGGGCCTATCCCGGGCCTTTCATCACTAGCAAATTCAAAACGATATTGAGATCACATATTCTATTTTTCTAACATAGTCGGCAAGGATTTGGCCGAATCCTTCGTCGAGATTGCTGGTCAAGCTCGGGCCAGCGCAGATGCAACAGTGCAAGCTATTGAAAGCAGCCCCGACAACAGAATTACACAGCCCTTACCCTTACTTACTCCCAACGATCAACAAGCATCCCATTCAAACTACTCCGTGCTTGTAGTTGCACCTTTGACCACCTCCACATTGGCCAGAAACTTCTTCCCACAGCCGTTGCATTGGCACTGGAGCCGCCCAACACGGACCATAAATGCGGTCTGATCATCAAAGTGACCGGGAATGCATTTCTAGTAAAAAATATCCTGAGCATTTAGAAGATTGGGAGCAGCGCTGGCAGCAAACCTCGTCTTTTCTTTCCGCTACCATGGACTTCTCTCCCAATCAAGGACCATATGAAATTAGACATGTCTTTGCGCCGGTTCCCAATGGCAAGACCGTCGTTGTTAAGGTCCAATTGGGGTGCAATTTGAATTTGCGGAAATCTCTGATTCTTTAGGACCAACGATCACGACAGAGAATTTCGCTTGGAAGGGGCCGCAGTGAACAACGGGCGGGAGAACACAGTGTGCTTTTATAATTGTCTTAAAAAACTCCAGCACTACGGCACAGACGTAGGGTATATCTCGGTATGCTACCCGGAGCGTATTACCCTTTTTGGACATGCGGATCACCCGGGGAAGACCACCACTCTATGACGACGTGGACCATAACTTAAAGCAACCAAAATGGAACTCAACCAACAGGATCTGATTTCTTGCGATATCACGGCATGCTTTCGCGGCATTGAAAAAATTAAAAATGAAAATATATAACAACCTTCGTGTCCGGATCGTAAGCTTTACAGTTTCACATCGGTGATCAACCACACATATATTGTTAAGCATGCAGCACAGCCCACGCGATACCAGCACAGACGAAAGCGATGACCTCAGCAACATCGTAACAAGCCCAGACCACCGTCTATCGGAACATCCATCTATACGCCCCCAGCCTCTCAGTCGACGCGAGACCAATCTGGACGAAGTCGAACTAGAGCGCATCAACACCTACAGACTCCAGCACCGCTCCACCGTCGGTTCCGGTATTGGAGTCGCACCGCGCGAATCCTGGCTGCCGCTCGGCGCTGGAAAACCATATCCACCGTCTTTACCGGACCCAGAACAATACATCGTGGAATTCACCGATGCTAATGACCCCCTGCATCCGCAGAACTGGCCGCTCGGCCGCAAAATCGGTATATCTGTGACTCTCGCATATACGACCTTCGTGTCGTCTTTTGCAAGTGCCATTTACTCATCTGCGATCGGTGAAATCGGTCCACACTTCCATATCAGTACGGAAGTAGCGATCCTCGGAGTGACGTTGTATGTTCTTGGATTTGCGTCTGGGCCTACAGTATGGGCACCCGCAAGCGAGCTTATCGGCAGACGATGGCCAATCTGCGTTGGGATGTTTGGGTATTCTATTTTCACGATTGGAGCGGCGACTAGCAAGGATGTCCAGACTCTGATGTTGATGCGGTTCTTTGCTGGCTTTTTCTCTGCTAGTCCAATTGCGATTGTCCCTGCCGTCTTTGCTGATATTTACAACAACCAAACGCGAGGCGTGGCCATCGCTATGTTTGCCATGGCTGTTTTTGTGGGACCTTTCGCCTCGCCATTTGTTGGTGGCTTCATCACCATGTCGTATCTGGGGTGGAGGTGGACTATGTACATTGCGTCGATCATGGGGTGGCTTGCTACGGGTCTATGTCTTCTATTCTTGCGAGAAACATATGCCCCTGCTGTACTTGTTGAGAAGGCGGCTACCCTGCGACGGCAGACTCACAATTGGGGCATTCGAGCCAGACAAGAGGAGATTGAGCTTGACTGGGGAGAGCTGATTACCAACAATTTCAGCCGCCCGTTCCGTATGCTCTTTACTGAGCCAATTGTTTTTTTGGTGAGTCGCGAGCGGGAAAGAAATAACAAATAACAAAATCTAACATAACTACAGATATCCCTCTGGATGAGTTTTGTATATGGCCTGATGTACGCTCTTCTCAGTGCCTACCCGGTCGTTTTCCAAGGTATACATGGAATGAGTCTGGGTGTTGGAAGTCTTCCGTTCATTGGGTTGATCATTGGCGAGTTCTTGGCCGGTGGCTACATTCTTTGGGACCAGCGATCCTACAGTAAAAAGCTAGCTGCCAACAACAACATCCCCGTCCCAGAATGGAGACTTCCGCCTGCCATTTTGGGGGGTGTCTGCTTCTGCGTCGGACTATTCTGGTATGGATGGACCGGGTGGACGAAGTCAATTCATTGGATGGCCCCAACCGCCAGCGGGATTGTGACTGGCTTTGGAATCTACGTGATCTTCCTGCAGTGTTTCAATTACTTGATTGATTCATACTTGACATTGTAAGATTCCTTCTCACCAGGGGGCCACGGTCTATTTGCTAACTTCGTATCTAGCGCGGCATCTGTTTTCGCTGCGAATACCATTATCCGATCTGCAGTCGGGGCCTCCTTCCCTCTCTTCTCGAAGCAGATGTTTGTTAATCTGGGTGTGCAGTGGGCTGGTACATTACTTGGCTGTCTTGCGCTCATCATGGTGCCGATTCCTCTTGCGTTCATCAAATGGGGTCCTGCGTTAAGAAAGAAGTCCAAGTTCGCTCCAGTCTTTGATGTTGGACCGAGCAAAAAGTCAGAAAGTGGTCCTGACTCTGTCTAATTCTTAGTTTTGTATGCAGAGCATAGCGCTAGGAGGTAAATTAATGTCTAAATCTGGCCTCGAAGCAAAATAGAAAGACCTTTGAATAATGAGCAAGGGTTGTTTGTATATATAATACACCCGTTCGGGTGGTGACAAGCTTGAATACATATACTTCTCTCCGCGGACCAATGAGTTTAGGCTATACCAACCCCTTATTTCATCCGACGGGCAACGTCGCAGGGGCATATCAGAAATTTTACCTACCTTGGTATTGCTTCAGCTTGACTCGATGTCAGACGACCGAACAAATCCGATATCTGTTCAAGTTCTAAGTTTCCAGTCTCACGACGTTGATAATACATCGGAATCGGCCGATGGGATAGTTCATGGTGAGAAGAAGATATTAGAGATTTGACAATCTGTCAAAGTTGTAGTTGATCGGGTTGCTCCGTTATCGAGCTGAAACCTGCTCATCACCAAATGTCAATAAATGTCAATGATAAGAATAAGCCCCACGAGGGTTGAGCGCCGCTTTGGCGTCTTGGCGTAACAAGGGATCATATATGTCATTTTAAAGCGATGGAAAATCTTCAGATGATGATCTCTTGTCTTTCTTATTTTATTTTCTGTGTGCCGTTTCACAGATTTCACAGATTTATCGCCTGTCACTCTTTTTCCCCTCCGGGTTGCCGAGCCTCGACCCATGGCGAAGACCCTTGTCGGCAAGCGTACAGCCAATCAGAACCTAAGTTCGGCATCTCACGGGCGAAACCGACTCCGCCAAGCTGCCAAGACCCCAAGAGGCGGAGATAGCTGTAAAGTGGAAGGCGAATTTTTTTTTTGATGAGTTTTCTGTGGCTGCTTATCAGGTGAATGTGGTTGGCTGAGACGGGAAACTGTCTTGTCTTTTCTTTTTTTTGAAAGCTTCGATTTCTTCTTCGACTTCTGCTGCAGGAACATCTTTAAATACCGCGGACGACAGTGTCCTCGGGAACCCTGTATCTCCACAGATCGTTGATACTCGTCGAAATGGGAATCAAGACCTGGATCCACAACACCAACCTGCGAGTTGCTCGCAGCCCAGTTGGAACATGGTTCCGTCTGGAGGGATGTGGTCATGTACGTTATATGCTAGTCATTTGCTTTGCTATGGCAGGATGAATATCGTGTGACTAACTATATTCCAGCCTAGGGAGAGGAAGGGCAGCTACTTCTTCACGGAAATCCGCGCCGGTCTCGCTACTTTCTTTGCTATGGCATACATTATCTCGGTCAACAGCAACATCACCTCGTTGACCGGTGGAACCTGCGTATGCCCGGAGGAGGACATGCAGGATTTCTGCAAAACCAATGCTGAGTATGCACTGTGTACACAAGAGATCAATCGTGATATTGTCACTGCTACCGCCGCCATTGCCGCCCTATCAACCTTCTGCATGGGCTTGTTTGCAAATCTGCCCATTGCACTCGCGCCTGGAATGGGATTGAATGCATACTTCGCCTACACGGTCGTTGGACCCCGCGGTTCCGGCATGGTTTCATACTCGACTGCTCTGACCGCGGTATTCGTTGAAGGCTGGGTATTCCTCGGCTTAACGTTAATTGGCATGCGACAGTGGTTGGCACGTGCACTTCCCTCGTCCATCAAGTTGGCTACTGGTTGCGGAATCGGTCTTTATCTTGCATTGATTGGTCTGACCTACAGTGCTGGTATTGGATTGGTGCAGGGTGGCGTTGATACCCCCATTGAGTTGGCGGGATGTGCATCGGACATGATGGACCCCGATACGGGGCTGTGTAAGAGCAGCGAAAAGATGCGCAGTGCTACCATGTGGATTGGTATTTTCTGTGGCGGTATTCTCACTGCTATGCTGATGATGTATCGCATCAAGGGAGCTGTTATCCTTGGAATTTTGCTGGTTTCTATCATCTCCTGGCCGCGCACTACGCCTGTGACCTACTTTCCTTACACGGAGCTGGGCACAAGTAAGTTCGATTTCTTCAAGCAAGTGGTCACTTTCCATCCTATCAAACACACTCTGCTTGCCCAAGATTGGAATCTCTCGGGCAAGGGTTCCGAGTTTGGATTGGCGTTCATCACATTCTTGGTAAGTCCAACCATTCATATGCTGCGAAAGACGCAGGACTAACATCAATTCAGTATGTCGATATCTTGGATACCACAGGAACAATGTACTCCATGGCCCGTTTCGCAGGCGCAATCGACGAGAAGACACAAGATTTCGAAGGTAGCGCGATCGCCTACATGGTCGACGCGATCTCCATCTCGATCGGCTCTCTCCTCGGAAGTCCCCCCGTGACAGCATTCGTTGAGTCCGGCGCAGGTATTTCCGAAGGCGGCAAGACCGGTCTGACATCATGCACCACCGGAATAGCATTCTTCATTGCCGTATTCTTCTCGCCTATCTTCGCCTCAATCCCACCCTGGGCAACAGGATGCACGCTCGTGATCGTGGGTGCATTGATGGCTAAGGCCGCGGCAGAAATCAACTGGCGGTACTACGGCGATGCCATTCCCGCTTTCCTGACCATCGCCATCATGCCTTTCACTTACAGTATTGCCTACGGATTGATCGCCGGTATTACTAGCTATATCACTTTGAACGGCGGTGCTTGGATCATCGAGAAAATCAGTGGGGGTCGCATTGTTCCTCCCAACAAGGACGAGTCTGATCCTTGGTCCTGGAAACTGAAGGGTGGGTTCTTGCCACCGTGGGTTAACCGTGCTGCTCATGGAAAGAGGGATTTCTGGAAGCCTGATGAAGAGTATGCTGAAGAGCCGGCTGGTTCTCTCGCTTCGGAGGAGGAGCGTGTCGCTCTCGAGAAAGGACATGAACCGACTGTCGCGCGCGCAGTGAAGTCTGCATGAAACGCTGATACAATCGGTATATATGCCCACAAATTTGCATAGCATGTAGCGGATATGGTAACTTTAGTCAGTAATTTAAGTCATGAAGATGATAATCCATTAATATCATGAAACAACTTTTATATGCTAGACCCTTGTATATGCCGTGAAACAAACCATCACATGTGGAATATCCTCGTTCTGTATAAGATCTGCCAAAAGCATGGTATTGAAAGAGGCTTTTTAAGAGAAAACAACGAAGTATACCACATGCAGATATAATACTATGTTGCAAACATGGATGGACGAATTATTTATAAGTCAACGACATCAGCCATACCCTAACACAAAATCAAAGCCTATCATCAAATATCTAACACAAAATCAAAGCCTATCATCAAATATAATACCACAGATTCATTAAAATATATCACAATGAAAGGGAGAACGCAACGAATCTCGCTACCAAGATCGCAAACGAACACGACGTTAAGAACCAACAGCATTCCTGCTATTAGATCACCCACATAATCACCGAGCTTTTAGGAACGACGAATTCGTTGATCGCCCCCATCGAGCTCACTAATCGGGCTACTGCCCAACTCAGCACTCCCCTCATCGCCTTTCAACTCAACAAGTTTCGATCCAGGAGCCGGCCGGAACCCAACCGATGCAAAGGGTTCTTGGACCGTGGTCCCGCTCATCGAGGAGCCGGTAGCATCTACTTCGTGTGGCCCGTAACTGCCGGGCGTGGTAGAGGTAGCATCTCTCTTATTATTCCTCTTCATGAAGAAAACCACCAGACCGATGATGATGACAACGGCAGCAACAACGCCAATCACAACACCTGCAATCGCTCCCCCGGACAGTCCTTTAGAAGAGCCGGTGTCGGTGGCTGCAGCGGCAGCGGCGCCGGAGGGCGTCGTGGTCGGTGTGGAAGTTGCAGAAGAGACAGATGTGGATGTAGAGGTCGAAGTCTGCTTTGATGTCGAAGTCTGCGTTGATGTCGACGCAAGTGTCGAGGTCTGGGCTTTAGCGAGAATCAGATTCTCAGGCATAATGTCAAAAGCCATGAACGTTCGACTGGCATTTTTTCTCCACGAGGTGCACGAATATCCACCCCTGGAATCACAGGTAGTGTCACGGTATATGGAAACGCATTGATCTGTTCCTTCAGGATCCCACGTGAACAGCTTTTCCTCGGCGATGTTCGCAATCGTGCAATTCCTTTCATCGGTGCCTCGGATGATTTCCGTTTCGTTTGTTTGGTTGGTATACCGGAATGTCCATGCATTCACCAAGGGAACAAATAAAAGGACGTGTCGTGGTAGCATGATGAGTGCGGTTTGGATCGTGGTCGATTTTTAGCAGACCCAAGCATCAAATTCAAATTCCGGAATCGCGCTTGGATGGGTATGATGTCTGTGATATACCTACAGAGTGGGTGCAGGTACGGTACACTGGCCCCTCCGCGAAATTAGGAGGATAAACCTCGTATTCAAATGAGCCTCGCCTGCGCTGTTGTGCCTTGTGGCTTAGGCTTGGGCCCAGTCAAATGCCCGGATTGTGGACCCTGAGATGACTGCAGCCGTTGATCTATACTCGGTGGGGCATTAGAAACCAAAACGAGGAGACTAGCTTGGGTGCAGATCGGCACGGTCCCGAGTGTATGGTGAGAGATTGGGCCCTCGAGTAGTAAAGATAGATTTTAGGGCTTCTGGAATATTCAGCAGCTGAAGTCCAACAACTCACTAGATTGACCCCTGATACAATCCAATTCTTGAATCTCTGCAATAGAAATACCAATAGAAATACCAAGTAGCAAAGCCAGAGTTTGACCCCTGAAGGTGAGACATCGCGTGAGATACGGGGTGCAGCAGCGCTGGACACTTCCTGCACGCCCTTAATTAGACTAATGGTCTGAATTACAATTGTTTAACCGTTTATGTACCCATTCCCTTGACCCCCTTGACCAAATTGCAACGTGAGATCTCCACTAGTCAAAATCTGGCCCGCTCCAAATGATGATTGGTGTCCTATGGGCCGAATACGAGGTGATAGGCATTTAGAAAATTCGAGATGCACCATCATCCATTTGGGCACATCTATACAAAGCAAATACTAAGCATGAGCCAGATCCATGATCAAGGAGATCACAGTAGGTTTGTGGTATGTGCTTGTTGATCATTTATACTTCAAGCGACTGTGTGGTTCAAGAAGAACAATCCATTGCCAAGATGCGGGACTCTTGGCAGTAGGGATCGGGCCCGTGTTGAGCTGAACTTCTCCTTGGGGTCATTCGTTAACAGACAATTTTGAGTAGCTGCCCGTCCCGCAACGGAGCCTCTAGGGCTTGGTCCGACGGTCTCTTGAGGGTCAATCGGGGTGGCCATTTGAGGGTTATCCTGGGATAGAACATGTTTCTTGGCGCACTCTAATGCCAGAAAATGTAGAGCCTGGAAACCAATAGGATACAGGGACTTTATAAGTGTCCGCACATGCGGAATGTGCTCGTTTTCCCCTTTGGTCAGTGTCAAAAGTGTTGCCTCAGGAAGCAACGACTGTGTATATTCACCTGAAACCGAGCGATCTCAAAATTATTTTCTCACGGCTCTTAGACGATTAGCTGCCGTCCCGGTGTTATACTTGAGTCAATTAATCCTTCTCAATGGCTAAACTCGGCCTTGGATGTAAATGACGTCAACCCAGTCTCATGGCCATGATGCACACAAAGACTTTGTAAGAAGTGAATAGATCTTCGAGAGTTTTCATTTCTCAGAGCAATATGCATATCAATAGACCGTGCAACTAAGGGTGCTGATTGTCATTCCACGAGGTTTGAGCATATTGAAATAATTGCTTCCAGCTATGACAAGCCGAGTTTGGAACATGATTGAGGAGTGACGCAGCGCCCCGGGACGGGTGTCCAGGGTTGGTCTTTTTCTGGCTGTTCATTTCTGTAATCAGGGAGGTCGGACGGGGGTATTGTTCCGAAATGTTGAATACTCTTTGTGGTTCAACATTAGGCAACGAATATCAACCCTGCCTACCTACCATAGTGAATAGATACTATCTGGCCTGGCGTTTTTATGCTTCTGCGCTGAGGACCGTGAGCTGGTTCTTCAACACCGGAGCTTTGCGGATCTCATTCTATGGGTATTTCTGTTTGTTGTCGCCTTGAGCTCAGTAGCCATGGTTGAAAATCAGTGGGACGCCAATCACAAGGCAACATGCCCTGATCTGTAGACAGGCACAATGGCACCATGAAAGGTACCCGTTCAGTCATCATCATCGATTGGCAATTCCATTGTCCGTTGAGAGCCGGCTCTCTGGACTTGCTTGTTCGTCCCTTCGCATTGGCAAGGTGAACAACTCATCTGCTGCACTACCTGTTATCGTCCACCGCACCTCTCCTTGTTATATCTCACTGTGGATTCTGGCCCTTCGCCTTAAACACACCGTGCTTCGTGTTGTAGTAAGTGTGCTCCTCCGTGATGAGGATGATCATCCCCACTTTATGCTATTCTCCATAAATTTCATCCACTTCCGTGTCATTTATCAACTCATAACAAAACTATGCTGACACGCCTTTGTTGTAGTTGAACCACCTTTTGATAGTACCAAGTGATATCTTAATCAAGTCAACAGTATTGGTAAGACCCTCATATTGACGATGCCACTTTGGGGTCTTTTCCTAAGGACCAGCTGCTGAATCTAGAGTCTCGTTCAAGACTAACCTTCAGATCAGCAACCGACCTTTGACCCGCCAGGGACAGTATGCCTGCAATCGAAATGGTCCCTTATACCAAACTGGTGTCCCCATCTTTATACCCGATCGTCAAACGAGGTAAAAAAGGCAATTGGGCGAACAGGAATCGGGGCGTGGTGCTGGTCTTCTGCATTGTCTTCCTTGTTGTGGTTGGGGTCATGGCATTATTTGCATACCGACGATATTTGAAACGAAAGGCTGACAAGGAGTCCTATGAAACAACGAGTGATTAGTTCTCTATATCTTGCAGCCTAAACCCCCCCCTTGACCTCGCGCCCTTGATTGTCATTGTCCGTAATTTGGAAGAAATGATATTGCCATGACATGAAGTTGTGCCTGAGCCTGTCAAAAGGATTGGCTATCGCATGTACCTTTTCTTTGCTTTCTGTCTCCTCTCTTTATGGCAAGTTGCGGTGTTCTGTGCAACCGTATGCTGGTGATCAGTCGGGAGATCATGTGGATCTATTTTCTCACTGGCAGTTCACGCCTGCGTGGCGTAGAAACGTGGAGCATGAGAAGTGATGGAAACTCATAGTGAATCAATAACAATCAAACACACGCTGAATGGCTGTCCTCTCCAGAGTTTGCTATAGCCTCCGTGGCTCAATAGTTTATCTGACCTGCTTGATATGTCTATTGCTTGGGTATAACGACCCCAAGTTTATGGCATTCAGTAAAGAAGTTGGGTAGAAGGAAACGATGTGTTGTGAGATATTATCTCTGGAGACCAGACACCTTCTGTATGGCTTCCTGCCAGACTCCATCTTCACTGTTACACACATCACCAATTTCCTTCCCCCAGGATCATGACTTTGGTTTCCACCGTGTGTTGTGTTCAATCCCTACTATTTTAAGATAGGAAAAATTTCTCCTTGTCCTTCGAGTTTAACTCGACCCGTTCCTCCTTTCCAAACGTTTCCTCTCGCCCACTCTGGCTACCAATGTTCTCCGATTTCGAGCTCGAATCTTGCATGACTTGCAAATCATCGAACTTCTCCAGAAAAGTGTCCAACTCAATCCCATCGACTGGTCCTCCTTTCACGGAATGTGTGAGGTAGGGATACTGACTGCTGAGGGCCTTCCGGTCCTCTTGTCTCCAAAGTTTCGCCTCGAAGTCGGAGAACAGGCCTTCTGTTTCTAGTGGTAGTGTCACTTTCATTTGCTTCGCTGTGACCTGCACCAACCGCAGCATACCCCTTCCAAGAGCCCAACGATGTGAGGCTGCTTTGGCGGCGATCGTCAGGCTGACGAACGCGTTACGGTTACCTTCGTCGTCCAGAGCTTCAAGTAGGGTGTACATGGAGACCGTGTACCAGTGAATATTGATGGGCGGCATGTAGTCCAAGCCCCAATATTCCCGTTGCTGATCGACCAAGGCAGCATTCACGCGTGCCGAGTCGATACAACGTTCTCGTGCTTGCTGCCGTACCTTTTCAAATTCAATCCTGTCGCTTTCGCTTGCTTCTTCGCTTTGCGGCAAACCTCTTAGATATCCAAATATCGTTTGGATGGTTGTGTGATAATTTAGGCTTCCAAACATGTCAGAGGGATCTCTCAAGTGCTACAATCTGGGTGGGAATACGCACTGGAGACTCAACACATGTGGTGTTGCATCAATTGTTGCAAGGCACTTCGGCAACCCATCGTACCATTTCTTTAACCGGAGATGCATCTCTTCGGCCAGTTTTGCATATTTCATGTCAAGTTTTCGGTGCTTGTCTTTGAACAAACTCAAGCTGAGCTCATATATGATCTCGCTCATATCACACAGGGTCGTGAACAAACATTCACGATGAGATTTTGCAGTCTTTAAGCTGGAAGGGTACTGGGACCATACATCTTGATGGACGTCACGTTTAGGGGTTTCATGCCGGCGGTTGGGTGTGGCGATTAATGCTCCTTTTTGATATGCCAAAGCCGTCACCCTAGATCATACCAACAGGACCTGGTGTCAGCCTGATGCTCGTTTCATTGCCATTCAATGCTGCATTGCTTACGAGGCAAAATTGAAGATCCCCCATATAGCATTGTCGATTGCACTGTTCTCGCGTATCGTTTCCTCGTCCGCGCCATTGGGAGGAGCTTGATGTTTTCGAGAAAGCTCCTGCGTAGCATATGCTAGCTGGCCGTAGTAAACCCAACCAGTCCTATCTTTCCCGATCATACAGGAACTGATTCGAGAATGTCAGTGATCTCTCCCATCCCCTTGCGCTCAAATAAACTCACACCACATATAGAACACAAAGGCCTTGGACATTCGTAATACTGACTCTTCCTTCTTGTTCATCTAGAAGGCGTTTGGCTTCCTCGTAGAAGTGAGACCCTCGCGACCATTCCCCCTTATGAAGCCCATAGGCTTCGGGTAAGTCGGAATATGCCTATGGGAATTCATCAATCCATCAACCTTCACTAACAGATACGATAATGTCCGCTTACACACGCGTCCGCCAGGATGACGTTCACCAAAAATGGCGAGCAAAATTTGGCATCCGGGTTTCCAGACTGCATATCCCGAATAAAAAGATCTCGGTCAATCCAATTTAAATACGGATGCGACCATGTGAACCATAGCGAGATTAAATGGGACACGAAAGTTGAATCACTGGTCACAGTGGTCCATGGCTCCGCAGGGACTCGAAACAGGACCATCTCTTCCAGGGTTTGATCATTCAACCGACGACGTGAAGTCTCTCTTGGCATTTGATCGAGCTTTTGAACCTCCATAAGAGTTTTGAGTATCTCTGGGGTCTTTTCGATTCGAGCACGTTTCATGATATCGTCTAGAAAAGCTCTGATCTCTTCCATTGACGCGTGACTCCGAACCAGATTCAACATTTGAACGGCGCAAGTCACGTCAGTCTCTCGAAGAAGACCTATCATATCATCCAAGAGTGCTCCTTTTTCTTCCATTAACGACAATTTGCGCTTCAATACCTGCTTTCGTCGCTGATCGGTATTCTCATCGATGGTACATGACCAACCCAGCTTCGCACAATTTTGGCATGGCGACTCATCCGAGCACTGTGATCAACACCCATCTTAGCTGTGCTTTGACCTCCACGAACTCATGGGATTAGTACCTTCAACTTGCGCCTTTTGCAATTGTTACATGCTGTCCTGACATTCTTTCGTTTGGGGGTCCCTGTCGGCGCATTCGAGAGTCCTCTGCCCGAGTTCTCCGAATGGAGTTTCCAAGTTATATAACTGTGCTCCATGGTGCACTTTCCACTCGAAAAATCAAATGCTTTCTCCCATAGCGAAGATGTGGAAATAATTATGTTTTCGTGATGGGGGGACGCGCCGCGGAGCTCACGACTCCGTAGCGTGTTGACATGAGAAAAAAATTATTTTGCCACCAAAGTTCGTGTGCGCAACGCACTTTTTGAATTATGTCAAAGGAACGAAAAAGCTAATTGAATAAACCAATTACTGAACTGAAAAGACCCCCGCAGCTACTCCATTTTATGACGGAAGCTACACACAAACACTCAATCTATCGGACCCTCTTCTCTTTCGCCAATATCAATGCTACCCGCCACTATAAGGCGATCAGAATCGTCGCGTCTGTTGATCTTATTGGCGTGTCCCGATTGGGGTTTCGGAAATCATCCACGACTTCCATCCCTACAATCGCTGTACAGATCTTTTTAATTTCTTTTTCTTTGTTTGTAACGTTTTTCACCGAACGCGTTCTCATTTTTGGATCTAATTTTGCAGGGTGTCTTCGGCTCGTGCGCCAATAATATCCTTATATCCTGTCAGATGGTGCGCCTCGCTAAGACCCCTGTTATTCGGGCTCGCTTTAAAAGCCCTGGTTTTTCGCAGGGACATACAACCTAATGGAAATGAAGATCTGTATTCGATTATTTTGTTACAGATCTCAAGGCTATGCAGATGTGTTATCGAGTAGCTATTCAGTGATAGTTAATTTCAAATCACTCTGGTCGAATCGGGCAGCCTTGGATGGCCACTTTTTCAAAGTTTTGGCACTTATCTCATTGAAACCATGCCAGAATTTCGACAATGTTTGCTTCTGTGATGAGAAGGTTCAGTCCAGCTACAATGGTGTATTGTACTATCAGCCGTTGGATGTCATTATCTAAAAGCGATTGGCCATTTAAATACCTTCTTACTCCCCTGTCAGGTTGTAATTAACATATCTTTATAAGCTTTACTGGCCTACAGTGATCTCCTGGACTAAGAGCATGCACTCTTCCCATGTGACTATGAAGCCCTGTGACGTGACGCGGACGCGGCCATCCGATTGCGGGTCAGCTTCATATGATGATCTGCACTGTACATCGCGTTCGCAGTCTCGTTCCACTAAAGCCAGAGCTAGTGGCCGGAGCTTCGAGGGGCATTCCACTACAAATTTTAGTTGCAATTTTCCTATTCTATTATTAGAGTGGCAATTATAATGTTGAGAACCCGTTTAGACAAGAGGTACAACTATAAACTTATTATAACTGATACTTCACAGTCTACTTCTAGCAATCGTCTCATAGCTATAGTTAGGCACGAGTGCACAGACACCAGTTACGTAATGTGATTAAGTAGGAGGTCTGCGACTTAAAAAGGGGCTGTAAAGTTTGCTTCTATGTAATGCTTCGAGCGAAGGAAAAGGCTTTCGCGGAGCGTTTCCTTCTTCTATGATGGAATTCGGAATTATTTGATTGGAATAGTGACAGAACATTTTCACAAAAGAACATTTTCACAACACACTGAGTGGATTGCTGTTTATACAGAAATGATTACAAACTATAGAATATTGTATATTCCCTGTGGATATATAACCCAGACCCAACCAGCAGTCTATCACCCTGAAGTCTGCCTCTTGAAAAAGCGCTTGTTGGCCCAAGAGTCAACTGCAAAATTGATTCGCTATGTCAAGCACAGACTGTAAGCAAGGAGATGGCTTAAGTACTGCCAGCCATCGTTTAAAACGTTCGTAGTAGGCTATTCGTAATAGTTGTAGAGTATGGCTAAGAAGGCGCTTGATCCAATTATTGCTGAAAACTTATAGAGGGTACTAGATTCTCTTGTATCTGAGTGCTTTGGTGATGATATCGGCCTGTGTCCGCTACTTGAATTATACGTATGTGTTGTGACTTTATGAGTTTATTCCCTCGGATGGCTATATTTCCCACAGCCAAGATTGATTTCCTAGTTAATGACCATTGCCGTGTTACTTTGTACGATATCTTGTGACGTTTCTTGTCTTACTACAAGAACAAGCTTGCCGCCAGCCTTGGAAAAGCTCCTTGGTTTTGTAATGAGACTCACATCTTGTTAACTGCCTATATAGTGTCTTTTTCGGTGCACGTGGCTATATATGAGCTGGTATCTTTAGGTGCTTCGATGGTTATTGACATACCTACTAACCGATCAACTCGATCGGTTCGAGGCGATGGTGTGATGCTATGGATCATCTTTCGTGTTGACTCTGGTAACGCGGCGCACGCTAGAGATCTTCGCATCAGCTAGTATGATATTGTACGCTGCACGCTGTGGGCTTTCGGGTGGAATGACAATTAGGCTGTTGCAATGTGTATTTCCCATCTTTTCGATGAGATTTTTGAAGTAGGCTGTCTGTGGAAATGGCGACATGCACAATCTTACTACCCATGGATACCAACGTTTCACGGATCCAAACAATCCACGAGCATCGAAATGCAAAAGCAGGCTATGCTATCAACACATGGACGTTTAATATGATGTGGACAGTAATGAGAGATATCATGTAGATTATATCACAAATACCCAGCACTGGACGAAAAGTCGAAATTGAAATCCAGGCAGTATAGTCACCTAGATAACTGGTCATGGTGTCTCTTCCACTCACAGTCCGTTACAGGGGCTTTCAAAGCCCCGTGTACGCTTATGCCTTGTACAGACCCAGACTTTGACTTAAAACCTTCTGCTGCTCGGTCAGTATCTCCCGTCTTTATTCGAGCAGTATTTCTACGAAGACATCTGTTTCCACGATTTACAATCAATTCACTTTAATTCATCTTATCACTGCCAATTGTCGAGCTAGAGCAATGAGTTTAGAAGGAGATCTATCGTTTCGTGCCCAATCAAGCGAGGCCCCTCTCAAAAGGAAAAGAGCCGGATCACCCTCAGAAGTACCAATGGTTAAAAAAGTATATCTGCTACAAGCTCCTGCTGTGGCATTTCAAGACTGATTTGTTCAACTACAGTCCAGGGAGACAAATCCTTTCCAGAGATCTTCTGCGAGGCTTCAAGATCTTATGGTCAGTCTGAAGCCAATACCAAGAAACCAAGCAACTGTATGCTCATCTTCAACAATAGGGCAAGGAACCAAATATAGAGCCAGAAACATCATCCCAACATCCTACTCCTTTTCCCAAGCCTTGGGCGGTTCCTACTAATTCGGTGAGGGAATAGAAACACCCCATAGCGCTTGTGTCAATTGTTAATTCTCGATACAACCGAAGGCCTCATTCGAAGATAACGAATTGGGTAAAGTGACGATTTCCCGCGAAAGATTCGACAGTGCCAGCAACTGGAAGGACTTTCTAGATGATCACCGCGACGACGCAAGTCTCGTGGTGTACCTTGGATTACAACGCAAAAGCGACCTTAGACATTTCGCTCTATCCTGGCCAGTCATCAAAACCTGGATGCGGGCTCCCCGTGATCTATCTGGTCTGGGGAAGGAAGCAGTCTTCCAGCTCATCGAAGAGAGCGGAGAGTTGTCGAGCATTGAGGATCCGGAAGTAGTGTGGCCAAGTCACTCCAAAGATTCCGAGCAATCGGCCCTCCTGAAACAGGAACATCGCATGGCCTGGCATCTGATCAAAATGTCCAAAGACATAGCGGAATACATTCAGTCCAGTGATGCGTAGAACTTGCGTTTCACCCAGAACTTTCGTCGTGAACTGGGTGCAATACTTCAATATGATTCTCCGATGAGCGTTCACCATCCTCGGCCTGAGCCCAATCCTTGGAAGAACGATAGCCCAAAAGAACTAATTGACCGATGCTGGAGCATTCTCAGCTACATTCCTTGGATCACCTATCTCAAGTTATGGGAGAACGTTTTGCTGTTTCTAACAGGTCCCCGAAACGATGCTCTTCTATACGACCGCAAGATACCGCAATGGGTGCAGCCAAGGCCCAGTCTTCTTCGACTATCTCAGCTGTGCTTTTCTCCCGTTCCCTTGCAATCTAGTCCAGCAACAGCTCCACTCCTAGTCAAGCTAGTCTGGGATACGGACTGGGAATTTGAGGGGAAACCGCTGTGTTGGAGACACCTTGCAACGCTCGCAGTTCAGAATATCAATCCCCCCAAAAAAGATCATATTATGACGCAGGATCCTCGACTGTGTATATCTGCTGCATCTTTACGGGATGTTGTTCGGCGGTTGATGGATTGTGGTATTCATGGACTCAACTTGCATGCTCTGACGCTATCGTATCACTCGCGTGAAGATAATTGCTATTATCATTATGATGCCCTTCGATCCCAGTGGAAGGTGCTGAAAGGCATGTTCTCAGATCCTGACAACACAAATTTCGTGCTTAAGGTCGTTCTAGAAGCTCATTCCGGGAAGGGAGACATCTTCATGGAGATCATACAAGGGCAATAGAATATGAAGATGTGAATATTGTATTGCGGACGGAGGAGAGAAGGAGAGAGAGAGAGAGAGAGCAAGAGATATCTATCTATCTACTCCATGGGAGACTATCCCAATGTGGGATGTCACCTGACATCCCCAACACATCTATGAGACCACTGATCTACCACCTGCGTGTTAGTTATGATGTTTCACGCTCAACTGGGCTCCAAGGTGTTTCAAGTGAAATTTTAAAGACCTAAGCAAAACTGCAGGCAGAAATACTTGGGCCTTTCTTGCTTCTTTTGTTGCATACGTGCGTGCTTGCTTGCTTGGTTTCTTTCCTTCGGTTTATCTACTATACTCTGTTCGTGCTCCTGTAATCTAACGAGACAATCCGCTTTTGCAAACTGTATGCGTTGTCCTATTATATCCGTAAGTCCGTATGTCTAATTCTATTCCCTCTACTACTAGCTGAAGACATACTCTCATGCCATCGGCTACCCTAAAGCCATTCTTAAATCACTTTGCAAGTCCTTTCAACCGCCGTTCCGACTTATGTTCCACCTAATTAGAATCCTAACGACTCCATAAACTTGTTGGTATTGCGCAAATTCCGAAAGTAGCGCTCATAAAATTTCGGTAGAAAGTTGCCGAACGATCCAAGATCCCACTCCCACTCCGACAACGACACTTACTCTGTCTTTAGTTCAACTGACGGATATACGACGTAGCATCAATTTTTGCCAAGAAATCCGGGGTCCAATAATATATCGGCTGTCATTGATAATTAACTTCTGCGATCGTGCTCCATTGCCATCGATATGTTTTAGCAATACAAAGACACAAGGTAGCACTGGCATCGGCAATTGGAAGCAATTGCCGGCGGCATTTGAGGCAAAAGTACCCCACAAAATGAAGTTCTTTTGTAACTTCACTTTGCTCATTGAATGAAAAGAGAAAACAGCAAGAAATGAATACAGTAAGAACCCCATATCTTCATCAAAAATATATGACGTCTATATCAGACCATACAAACTATACCCCCAGCTTTTATATAAGCCTATCTCAACTGTCAAAGTGGATGATCACCGGACAAACAAGTGTAAATCTTCCATCAATCACCGACCCCTGCACCACGATAGCCGTAACGGCTCCACCAAGCCATGCCGTCCGCATTTCAACGCCAATCGCCATTCCCAGCGGCAAGGCGCTCACCCCACGACCCCTGTTCCGTCAGCATCATTGAATGGATGGAGAAACTGCGTGCTTTGACCCGATTAAGTGGGGTCCCCCGCCAAAAATTCCCCCAATTCGTTCCCCAGTCTCCACATCCGGACCCCCGGACTGTCTAGCTCGGCAGCTTGACATAGAGCCTGGTATGGAAAGATTAGCAAGAAGCCACTTGGTTGCTTGTGGTGGTTAGGCTCCCGCTTGGCGTTGCACTGGCTATTAATTTCGACTGTCGAATATAAATCTCGATGGCACCCGAACTTGGATCTTGTTTTTTTTCCTTTCTGGTAGCAAGACTCTTATAGGGTTCTCGTTATTTTTTTCTTCTTCCTCTTTCGATCAAGATCCTGACGGGGGATTCCGTCAATTCTTCTTCGAGATGGGTTTCGTCAATTTTAAGAACTATCGGCTGTATATTCTGACAGCGACGGCCTATATGGGCTCGCTGCTCTTTGGTTGGTGATTCAAATAATGCAGTATGCACAATTACTAATACATCCATTCCTTAGGTTATGATACGGGTGTTATGGGCTCAGTTTTAGCCCTCTCTAGTTTCAAAAAAGACTTCGGCCTCCCTGTGGAATCCTCTGGATTCAGCGACGCCGAGAATGCCCAAATCGCCTCCAACGTGGTCTCATTGCTCACAGCCGGGTGTTTCTTCGGCTCCATCGGTGCCGCCTACATGAATGACCGACTAGGTCGTCGATACTCGTTAATGATCCTGACCTTGGTCTTCATGGTCGGAGCCGCGCTCCAAGTTGGAGCTCATCACGAGATTGGCTTGATCTACGGTGGACGTGTCATCGCCGGTCTCGGTATTGGTGGCATGTCTGCTATCACACCCGTTTATGTGTCTGAGAACTGCGCGCCCGAAATCCGTGGTCGTGTGGCTGGTCTTTTCCAGGAATTCTTGGTCATTGGAAGTACTTTTGCCTACTGGCTCGATTACGGTGTTTCCCTCCATATTCCTGAGGGTACGAGCCAGTGGCGCATTCCAGTGGCTATTCAGCTTGTGCCTGGTGGTCTCATGCTCATCGGATTGTTCTTCCTCAAGGAGTCTCCCCGTTGGCTGATGAAGAAGGGTCGCAGTGAGGAGGCTCTTGACTCCCTCGCTTACATTCGCAACGATTCTGAAACTAGTGAGGCTGTTCAGCTTGAGTTTGCAGAAATCTCTGCTGCCTGCCACGAGGAGAGTCTGGCTACTGAGGGCATGACCTGGAGGGAATGCCTGAAGCCTACCAACCGCTATCGTTTCTTCTTGGCATTTGTTCTGATGCTGTCTCAGCAGTTCAGTGGAACCAACTCTATCGGATACTACGCGCCCCAAATCTTTGCCAGTGTGAGTACAATCAGTTCACCTTTTGAAGGTCTTTCGGCTAACTTCATTCAAGGTCGGGTTGAGCAAGACAAACTCTTCCTTATTTGCCACTGGTATCTACGGCACAGTCAAGGTCGTTGCTACTGCCATCTTCTTGATCGTTGGTATCGACCGGTGGGGCCGTAAGAAGAGTTTGATCGGTGGTTCTATCTGGATGGCTAGTATGATGTTCATCATTGGTGCAGTCTTGGCTACGCATCCGCCGAACGCAGAAGCCAATTCTGTCTCATCGGCATCTATTGCCATGGTTGCGATGATCTATCTTTATGTCATTGGATATTCCGCCTCTTGGGGACCAACCCCTTGGGTGTATCTCGGCGAGGTGGGTTTCACATTTTATAAACTTGCGTTTTTTTACTTGAACTAACAATGATATTTCAGATCTTCCCAACTCGCCTTCGTGCTTACGGTGTCGGCTTTGGAGCAGCCACGCAGTGGCTCTTTAACTTTGTCATCACCGAGGTCACTCCTCGGGCTATTAACGAAATCGGATGGAGAACTTTCCTCATGTTTGGCATTTTCTGCTCTGCCATGGGTGCGTTCGTCATTGTCTTCTTCAAAGAAACCAAGGGCCGGACCCTGGAAGAGATGGATCTCATTTTCGGTGCTATTGACGAGCAGCAGAGACGTGCTGATGTTGAACACACCTTGCAAAAGACTCAAGTCATGCATGAAGAAAATGTAGAGACTGCTGAGGCTCCAAAGACCACAGAACAGGACCACAAGCAATAGGTTCGACTATAGAATGCTATGTTGGGATAGATATGGGAACGGTACAGCATATAGATTGAAATGAACATGACCAAATTTCTCAAACAAGTATATTCAATTTTTATAAGATATCCCATATGGTGCATTATATACCTATATAGAGCGAAATTGGATAGCATATATATATGTACCTTGGATTATACGCCACTATATACGCGGACTATACAGAACCGTGGAATGTTGCAGGGTGCAAATTAGCCCCACAATTGTCCGCGGGGAACTCGACGATTTTCTTCGACCTCAACGCGTCAACTGTACATACTACACACGCCAATATGGGATCTCTGGAGGAAACATGTGCGTCACTACGCGCCCAGATAATCGCGACAGAAGAACAGCTTGCTGGTCTGAAACGCGACCTTGCAAAGGCCGAAGCGCAATCAGCGATTCCAGCCTCGGAAAACCAAAGCGAACGGCGCTGGCCATTGCTTCAGGAAGAATACAAGCGGTATGGCAGGCAGATGATAGTTCCCCAAGTTGGTCTAAAAGGTAAAATTGTCTCCTGGGAAACTCTTGGGTTGTTGGCTGATCGTGTTTCCGCAGGTCAACTGAAACTCCGATCGGCCAAGGTCTTGCTTGTCGGAGCCGGAGGATTGGGATGCCCAGCTGCACAATATCTTGCCGGCGCTGGCGTTGGAACGATAGGCCTCATTGATGGGGATACCGTCGAGGTGTCAAACCTGCACCGCCAAGTGCTGCATCGCACGCAGAACGTGGGGAAATACAAAGTGGACAGCGCAATTGAGTCTTTGCGAGAGTATGTGAATCCGATTTACAAGCCCTGGATTTGAGCGACGCTGACAACTTTGGCGATAACTAGCCTCAATCCGCATCCCACGTACATTGCGCATCGAACCCACCTCACTCCCAGCGAGGCGCCAGCCATCTTCAATGATTATGACATTATCCTCGATTGCACTGATAACCCTGCAACACGATACCTGATCTCCGACACTGCAGTGCTTTTGGGAAAGACGTTGGTTTCTGCGTCTGCACTGCGGACCGAGGGCCAGCTGATGGTGTTGAATCATCCACCACGAGCACCCGGTGACAAGACCGGAGGGCCATGCTATCGATGTGTTTTCCCCAAGCCGCCACCGGCGGATAGTGTGGTCAGTTGTGCGGACGGAGGCATCATTGGACCGGTTGTTGGGACCATGGGCGTCTTGCAAGCTCTCGAGGCGATCAAGGTCATTACCGCGCCGGAGAAAAACACAGATGGTACGGCTCGTCGAGATCCCCCATCTCTGCATATATTCTCGGCCTACTCGTCGCCACTGGTCCGTACAATCCGCCTTCGTTCTCGTCGAGCGAACTGTGCAGTTTGTTCCGCGGAGGCGACTGTCACGCTGGATACAATCAAATCAGGATCAACGGACTATGTCTTCTTCTGTGGATCTGCTAATCTGCCCTCGTTGCTTGGTCCCGAAGAACGTATCTCTGCCCATGAGTACAACCAAAAGCACTCAAATGTCTCCGGGTCGGCGCAGCCACACACAGTGATTGATGTGCGAGACAAGGCCCAATTTGGAATTTGCAGTCTGGAAAACAGCACTAACATCCCTATTTCAGATGTTCTTGCTTCTAGTTCTTCTAGTTTGCAAGGCGATGGACAACAAGCTGCGCAAATACCTTCTTGGGTGCCATCTGAACTTGCCTCCGATTCCACAAACCCAGTATATGTCGTTTGCCGACTAGGCAATGACTCGCAAATTGTCGTTAAGAAGATGAAAGAACTTGGACTCGACCAGCACGGGAAAAGATTTATCGGCGATATTCGCGGAGGATTAAAGTCATGGAAAGAACAAGTTGATCCCGAATGGCCCGAATACTGAAATTTCTATATTTCAATTCTCATTGTCAACGAGTGTCCGCAATACCAAAATTTCATTCTATGTTCATGGTACTGATAATGACAAAAGCTACCAACCAATACAAAGTCACGGAACGCATAGCTCCTCTGCTTCCCATTAACTTCAGCCTGAAGTCATCACAGATGATCACATGAGGCGGAGGATCTCATATCAAATCCACCACTAATCTACGCGCACATGGCCTTCGTCAAGGTTCCCAAGAGCCTCGAGCGTACCACGAGTAATATCAATACCATCTTCTTTGCATCCAATGGACCGGTCTACAACAGTGACATCCTCACTGCGTCCACCGCGCCGAATGCGAAGCTTCCGACCACATAGCCGATCATGACTCGAATTCCGATCGATGTAGAAACGATCGAAGAGAATATGGGAGACTGCGCAAGCACGATCACCTGCATTGTTCATCCAACAACATGCTCCCACGCCGGCGTCGTACCAGGTTAAATATCCGTCGAATGAGTCTGACGTTGTAAGGCTGCCTGTGTTCTTTTGACTATAAATTGTGCTAGGATGCATTTTTGAGAAAATTGGATGAGATGTAGCGATGAACGAAATATAGCAACTCGTTGATTTTTTCTGTTGTCTCGTTTGGTTGCTACAAGAGGTTTTTGAATGATGTGAAAGGCACGTAGTTATCTATTGAAATGCCTGTAAAGACAGGATACCTGGTGGCTCTTGTGTAGGTAGGTACATAGTTATGCTATGAGATGTGTATATATGCCGCCTATAACAAGCTTTGGCATTCTGCAAATTGCTTTGCACCGTTCTTGCTCATGGATGAAATCAAGAATGTTCCGAGAAGGTGTCTCTCATCATTCGAGAAATACGAGTCTTTATCTAGGTTGTACTTGCAAATTGTCTGGGATTGGGACGGTATGAGGTGGTATGTAATGAGCCGGCACAGCCCTGGGCGGATGAGAATTGACAGGGATCAGCTCAGGACTGCCTGGGACTAGACCGTCCCAGTGGTGCGGGTGCTGAGTGCCATGAGTCACCAGCTCAACTTTGTCTGCATATAAGGCATCAGGAGGAGGTGCTGAGGACTGGAGCAAGACCGGAAGTGGGGTGAGTGGACGCTCTGGACTCAGAACATCCACAATTGCAATAGGGACCCGTACGACTAATCCAAGGGATGTTGATGCCAAAATGGCGACGCGCTTGTGCTCAAACATTGAGGGATCCATTTTGAAACAGGTTCTTTCGGATGTGGGTTTTGGCGGGTGTATTGAACTCCATCGCTCTCTTGAGACGACGTAACATCGCGAACTAGAGTGAGCAATGCACACTTAGAGGCCAGAATGAAAGCACTGCCTTCCGTGACAACAGATGCTTGATGTTTACTTCCTATAAGCCTAGTGACTCTAAATCTCTATGACACAATGTGGCCATGATCACAACATGTCTTAGATGAGTAGATCAATAGGATCCTTGGCCTGTGGAACAAGTTTCGCGTTATCTGGGATTAAAAGATACGAAAATAAATTCACTAAGTTGGCCCTACTAGCCCGGAACAACTGACCAAGTTTCGCCAGTAAAAACTAGTCCCCCATCCAGCCTTAGCTGTTCCGGGTCGAGATACACACTCATTCCCAGATTATTTCCACAAATATCAAATACACGGAAAACCAGATACACCTCTGAAAAATCATCACTGTTGTGAATAGTCTTCATCTATATTTGGTCAATATTCATATAGCGTGGGTGATGATCAATGCACTCACTCTCTCAAACTGATGCTTGCTCATAAAGAAGGGGTGACCCAAAGGCCCTGTCGTTGCTTTGACTTCAATGAAATATTTCGGACGCTTGTCCGCCCACTCCTCGGCGTCAAGGTAACCACAATCAATAAGCAAGGCCGTGAATTCACCCGCTCTATCTTCATAGGTAATATCGGCCGTCTCCCTCCCGTGCCAGGGCTCCATGTCGGCGTAGTCTGGGTGAACAGTGACATATCGGCGAATTGTGCTCTGCCAATTTCGCTCACTCCAATCCATTAATTGTGGGTTCAGTCTGGTGAGAAGCTCAAATACCTGCAGGAAAGTCAGTCAAGGTTGGGCATGAAATGAAATGAGAAGCTAGAAAAATGCAGCATACATAAAGCTCTCCCGCAGCCCCGATTTTCCGGTCTCTTTCAATTTGGCTGTCCGAGCGAAATGCACCCCTGACTCCAAGCCCATCGAAACCGTCGAATTGACGGCGGGTCCCCTCTCTTGGGAGTGCTTCATTTAGCTCGTTCATGTTGATTGCTCCCCTTGAGGGAAACATGGCTCTTCGTGCGGCCACTATCACATTATCGAGAAGTCTCCGGTACTCCATGCTGTCTTCGGACAAATTTATATCGGTTGAGTACATTGGTATTGGGCGATTGTGACTGGGGGTTGGCGACTGGGTCGTAAGTCGAGATTGCACAACAGATACTTGTTCTAAGTTATCCCTCGGGAATAGGAAGTTCTGACTAGAAGCTGGGATGGCAGCATCCCTCAACTGTGCGAAAGCTTCATTAGTTGCTGTATCAGGACTCCGTGATTGTTCCGCGGGTATTTCGTTGTCAAGGCCGGGATCTTCGTTGGGTATGTCAAGCTCGATGACACCCTGACGTTTCAGAACCAGATCGGCAGCGGCAGGATCAGTACTTAAAATCATCGCCATCACACTCACAGCGTCACTTTCGACCAGAATTTGTGTTATTGGATCTCGCATAAGCCAGTCGACTAGCTGCCTTGGTAAAAGATCACAAAAGCAAAGCTCCTGTGCTTTCTTATCTCTTGGGATGTAGATAGTGAGGCGGGACGCTTCTTCACTAATGTGTAACTTTCCAATCAACTCTTCCACGTCGGTCACTTTGCCATCTTGAGAGAGGCGTAGGATCGAGAAAATGCCATCTGTTTCCTGCACACTAACTGTCTGAAGTAATTTGTAAAGCTCCATTGGGTCGGCTTGATATCTAGGGCTATCGAATGTACCCGCGATACTAACATAAGAATAAGAATAACAACACATTAGCAGTATCCACCAAATCGATAAAACCACAGCACTCACCGGAGAATAGCATACGCCTTTCGCTTCAAATCTCGATTGGGCGATGGGTTGAACCGTGTTGTCTCACCCGAGAGAGATGTGAACTCTTTAACGGCAACAGAAAAGTAGCGGTACGAGAGATTGGCCCACTCGAAAAACCTCTTCAGCTGACGAACTTCTTCTTGACTAAAGTCAAGAATCTTGACTTTTCCTCGAAACATTGATGCTAAGTGCTCCCGGTCTATGATCGCGAATTGGGTATTATCTGACCTCAGAGCCTTTGTACCATCAGGGTAGACAACAGGGAAAATCGGCCTCTTTAACAGTGGCCTCGGATCTAGATTCACATGATCCCCCTCTGCGCAGAGAAGCGCATTGAAAGACCAAATCTTGCCTTTTGTCTCATTTATCGTTGTTTGCGCGCTTGTCTCTAGCAAGTCGTCATAGACCATCTGGAGCGTCAAGGTTTGGACCCCCAATGTGTCAATGAAGAAATCTTTTAGGTCCTCATAATGGTCATTGAGTGTGACCTTTCCACTTATCTCTGTAGTGCTTGACCACAAACATTCAGTTGCCAGGTACCAACCAGACTGGCCATCTCTAGTCACAAAAATCAAGGGATCGACTTCGAATGTGTGCCTAACGCCAGCTAATTAGTCTTGAGCAGCTATTGAGTGTGGGCAGCTTACCGCATATCTTCAGCGGTGGTAAAACTTCGCATGTCGTCGAGATACTTGTACAAACCAAAAATTGGGGTGAATTCCTTGAATCCTTCATCCCTTCGAGCTGCCAGTTCAGTAGTCACATCGGACCAAGTAGCCGCCGTGATGCCTAAAACTTGCTTGAAAAGGTTCGAAAGTTGATATAGCTGATCTCTAGGAACAGATTGCTCATAGAGATGCTGAAGTGGAAATTTAGTAGTCATATTTAGCGGTCCTTCCCATAAGCATTGTTCAGGGCTAGCCCAGACGGCGATATCATCTTCATCTTCATCAAGCCTGGGAACATAAACATATCCCCCGTCCTCGAAAAAAGTCCTAGATTCGATGTTTAGTATCTATGTCGTATAGGGTCGTCACTGGTACTCACTTAATGCAGTTCCCCATGACCAGCTGGCTTTCCGCACCAAGATATTTGGCATATATTGCACCGTAAAGTCGGCAGATGCGTTCATGGTCCTCAATGGAAGAGGCTTCTGGGTTCGCCTCTTTGAGCCATCTCAGGATGTCAAGTAAAAATTCGACATTTTCATCTTTGTTGACACCAAGTTCTGTATGAAGAAAAATCCATTTTGAACTTAGTTGCTCTACAGACAACGTTCCCGAGAGCTTCAAGAATGGAAAACTCTCATTTGGTTTCATGAACCGCGCACACTGCTCAAGAAGGCTTGGTAGTGGGAGGTATGTCTGATCAAGCTGGCATTGTCCTGGAAGCTTCGTGCCACAGAGCCATGTTGCGTCCGTTTCTCGAATATATCGTTTCAAAGCATCATTTCTACTTACAGTACCTCCTTCGGAGCTCCAAAGGTGCTGCAGTAGCCCGAGGAGTTTCTTTGGTCTGAAACAAGCCACATACCCCCAGGCAGGGGAGAGAAGTTCGCCGTGTCGGCTAACTAGTCTCAAATTGTTTTTTATCCCCAGATTTTCTTGTAGCCATTTATCCCAGGAGGAATGACCTGCGTTTGGTGGTTCTGGAATTTCCTCGAGATAGGTCGGGTGGACGAAAGACACGCTCAAGCCTGGCAAGTTATCTGTCGCCCCTAGGAGGGCCACTGGCCCGTAGCGATGTTTTGACGGTAAATAACAGTCTTGTTGGGCCGGCCATATTGGAAAACCAGAATTCGAGTAGATGCGAATCAGTCCCAATGTTTCTGTATTCTGCTTGAACTGATGGGTCAGGTACAAGAAGTGCAAGTGCGCCTTTGATTCGTCCATGCTCGGATGCGCAGTAGCAGAGCAATTCTTCCTCAAGACTGAATTTCGTACTTGTGCGACTGATAGCTCCTTAACCCCCAGAAGAATAAAAAGGGATCTGCGACTATCATTTGCTGCGGCTTTTGGATCTAAAACCCGAATATCTAGGCCTGGGGGGATGGCAATGCCATCAACTGTCGGGAAGAAGACAGAGGCAGAATTAGCTGGGACCCAAGGACCGCTTCGCAGAGGGATCAGAGGCAATGATCCAAGACGGTTCTTGTTTATCTTCGTATATGGAGATAGGAAATTTGCGATGCGGCTGTGGCTATCCTCACTCGTAGATATCGATTTGATTCGGGACATAGCACTTGCAAGATCATTGTGCAGCATGCTGAAAACCAAGTCCCAATTCATTTTTTGCAGACCATAATGACGAAGGGCGCTCTTAGAACTACGCGAGTAACGACTGCAGAGGAAATGGTCGGTGTTTGAGTCGTCCAGCAAGGGATTGCCAGCGCTATCCTTAAAACTTGCCACAAGAGTCTTCACATCTTTTATCTTCCGAAGGGAATTATGTCGAGTCCACAAAACATGCTTCGTGCTAAGATTACTTGCAATCTTCGAATCAAGATTGGCCCAGAAAGTACCGATTGTGTCTTCGGCCGACGGAAGATACATTGGCCACGCATAGCTCATGTCAGAGTCATGCAAGAACCCCATGGTCGCCTGCACGAACGCCACCGCAATGTGGTCCACAAGCTCGATGTTGCGTCTTGATGTCGTAGAGATATCCTGCCGGTTTGCAGTCGTGTCGAAGTCGGTTTGTATCAAAAACTACCTATGAATTAGCAAGTGCATGAAATTTTCCGGAGACCTTATTTTACCGCTCACCTTGAAGTTGGTTTCTCTGACGGGCAGGAAAGCAAAAACTGATTGTTTCTCACAAATTGGCTTTCTATCATGTGTCAGGGGGAAGGCCAGCACGATTTCGGCCTCGGAAGAAATTCGTTTCGCTTCAGCGGTGTTTGGGAGTTCACGACTTTCGCTTCTCGGAAGCCCAGTTGCCATGTAACGAGTGACATAATAGCCCTTTCTCGCGATAGAAACATTGCCATGCACATCTTTTGACTTAGTCTTAAGAAATACATCACTTTCAGAATTGGTTTCCAATTGAAACTTTTTGGAGCTCTGCAATTCGTCTTCTCCATCATAGAATGACACTCTAATCTCTTTCAAATTCCTCAGAAATAGTAGGCATGTCTGCTCCAAGTCATTGAGTTGCTTAAATATAGTTCTGTGAAGATGTTCGATATCTTCTGCCTCTCCATTCTCATGAAGGTGAAGAGTTATGCGAGTTAATGAGTCTTGCAGTACCTCGTCGGAATCTTGCCACACGGGTAGCACCATTCCAAGACCAAGATCACCCTTCTCATGCTTGAAGTAGAAGGTATAATTGCCTGATTGAATTTCAACTTTCCAAGCCGCCATGAACACTGATTTGAATCCGATCCCCTTCGCTCCAATGTAGCCGTGCGATGCCGCTTTGGTGCTTTCCCCAACTGAGCAGATGGCTGACAGATTTTCCTTTGTAAATCCATCTTCGTTGCACTCAAGGACAATCCTGTCGGAATACACATTGAAAGCAATGAAAGGCAGTTCGTTGCTCTGAGCAGCCCTTGTGAACTGATTGTCATCCGCATTCTGTAGAAGCTCGAAGACGAAACGAGCGTTGCTGCTGTAGATATTCTTAGCGAGTCTAGAGATCTCAAATTAGTAGAAATTTCTGCCGAAGAAGTTGCAGGGTTGTTCAAAGAGACACACGTTTTGATCGAATGCGCAATTTTCTTGTCCTTAGCTAGCATGCTCTCTTCGATCTCGCGCCGAAGCTCTGGATTTATTCGTCCGATTTCGTCGAGGGAGCTAGGCTGAATGAATCCGTATTCCTTCGCAATCCCGATAACCGCATCTTTCGCTGCTTGTCTGCTCGTCATGGTTTGTTTATGAAGTTTTTGGTCTGATTTGATTGATGTGCGAGGGGGAATCTCTGGAAGAAAGACGAGTCCCCCCTCGACATGAGTACATGGGGGTCTTCTGTTTTCGGCCCCCAAACGCCCAGGCGCCTAAAGTACATTGTCTTGCAGATTTGTCGAATCAAATCCTAGCTACTGGTTGCCCAAGTGTCATTCATTTACGCTGGTTTGAGATTACATGATGTTGGCGGATTGTTTTCGCGAAAATGCTTTAGCAAAATCGCTTGACCAGCTAATTTCTAAGCTCGTACACGTAATGATCAGGTGTTGTTGTGCAGTTAAGCTGCAACTATAACCGCCGCCTTGCCCGTTGCCCCACATAATCCGTGCGCCGGCCTGTTTATTTGGCCTGTGTATTTGGCCTGTGAAACCGGTAGCCGTTCTGACCTTGTCCACCCTGTTTCTATCAAAGGTGATCCTTCCCTTGGATAGCATGCTATGACTATCAATTCCCCTTTCGTGCTCGACATATCATCATTGCCGAGTTGGTCTTGCTAGAATTATAACATATAATTAGAATAATACAGACTGACAGTGAGATACAGCCAAAATAATATTGTTTCTTACAAAAAGTAGCTGGTATGCCTGGCTCAAGCCCCTCGCTGGATATTGTGGATTATTTATCTGTATTCTCACATCATTTATTGAAGGAACGCAGAGCTATATTAATAGGTGTCGTTATATCACCCTAGGAAACCTGAATCAGAGGTAAGTAATCCCTCTCGTCTTTGAACCAAGATAGACTGATATTTGGATCGTACAAGCTATTGGACGGACTGAGCGGTATTTAGGTATGGAAGATCTCCGAGTACGCAATACACGTATTCTGACACTTTGACTATGTATATTTATGGCCAGAGTATGCACCACCACCCAAGTTTAAGCTATTGATAAGTCAGATCAAGAAATACATATGGATATCACAATTTATAGAAATGACACAAAAGGCCTTGGGCTCATGACTACCTAGGTAGCTGGCGCTGAAAATGACCCAGCATATACTGTTAAGTTAAAGATCACTATATTAGAACTGTTGTACTTTAGAATGCTGAGAAGGTGTGTGGTCCATAAAAGAGGCCCACTTTGGTTCAGGCTAACACAACCACGACGGCAGCGGCTGAGGCAACTCCAACCAATCGAACGGAGAAAATGGATAATCCCCCGAAGTCATGGTTGAACGGGGTACTATGTTACGGGCATGCTAGTCACCAATCACATGTGGGGACTGCAACTACTGAAGGCCCACCGAGAGAGAGCCAACCGATCCATCTAGCATCCAGATCACGTGCAACATCCTATACCCAGGCATCCCCAGGTATTTGGGAAAAGAAGAAACAATGATCATGCTCAGAGATCAAGAGCATGATCTGCCCTGATCAGACCTACCTGGCAGGGGCTTCCCAGTATATATGTATACAGAACTGTATATGTACTCTAGATATCGTTTATATGTATAATTGAGTGTGGGGGAGCCAATGAGGGGAAACCTCGGGATCCTCACTTTTGGGTTTTCTTTTCTCCTTTTTCAACTCAACTCTCTTTGACTCTGTAAGATATTCCTGTCTGATTTTAAGGACTTGATGTCGAACATCAAATCTGCGCTTATTTGATTCTTGTGCTGCGCCAAGACGCGTTTGCGCACGGTTGTTGTTCCCCCGACAAACATGGCGTCGCGATCTCGGCAGTCGGGTTCGTCCTTCGACTCGTCGCCATCCAATACACAAGATGATACAAAGAATGATAAAAGGTCCTTCGGAAACTTCGTCAAAAATGCTTGGCAGAAGACTGGACTGGACCGCCCGACCGTCCTCTTGATGATGAAGTAAGTGGCGAAGCTTCGGTGATACAAGAAATCTCTAACATAATCCAGGGGCGGTCTTGCGCCAACTATAGCGGTTGCTATGTAAGTAGTTCAGAATATCTAGTCCATGGACTTAGCTGACCTAACCAGCTACCAAGCCATGCCCGTTGCCCACGAGTATACCACATTGGGGTATCTTGTGGCAATTATTTCGATTCTGGGTTTCGCTATCATGCCCCGGGCAAAGTTTATTCAAATGATGATTTTTGATGTTTTGGCTGTCTGTGTAGCAGCGTGTTTTGCGCTGTTGACGATGTATTCCAGTGTCAAGGCTCGTCAGCATACAGCTGCCAATACCACTGACAAGTACAACTCCTCTGCATCTGCGGTTAGTGGCGTCTGGCTGTTCTTCCAGATTTGGATGGTCCACACCTTCCGAGCCAAATACCCGCAACTGCAGTTCCCGGTGATTATATACGCGATTTTTGCGAATATTTCTTCGGTGTATGCTCCTTCAATGATGAACATGACTTCGGCAATCAGCTTGATAGAGCGATTGTTGAAGTCATTTCTCACTGGTCTCGGGATATCCACCGTGACATCTATGTTCATTCTTCCAATGACCTCGCGCCAGGCTGTCTTCAAGCAAATGGCCGGTTACATAGGCGGGCTTCGCTCGGCCTTGAAAGCCCATGCTGTGTATTTCGAAACTCTGGAAAGGGACGATATGTTTGGTCGCACAGAGACATTTGATGACGCTCAAGAGAAGTTTGGCAAGAAAGGCAAGGTCTACAGCCCTGAAGCGGAGGCCATTCGCGGTGCGATCCGACAAATTACGGACCTTCATGCCAAACTTCATGGTGACCTTACGTTTGCGAAGCGTGAGATCGCGTTGGGCAAACTGGGACCCGATGATCTTCAAGCAATATTCCGCCACCTTCGCCAGATCATGATTCCTGTTGTGGGGTTGAGCTTCGTAGTAGACATCTTCCAGCGACTGTCAGACTACAACAGATGGAATCAGCCTATTGACATGAATTTGGACGTTGTGCCGGAAGATGTGCGTCAACGGGTAGTGCATGAATGGAATGATATCATGAGGGCTGTTCACGATCCCTTTGCAATGATGATCAACACCATTGATGAGGGTTTGCTGCATACTTCATATGTGTTCAGGCTCACAAAACCACCAAAGCGAACAGCTGCTGCAACTTCTAAAGTTGGAAACTCAAATGACGAGAACGATGATGTTGAGGCCTCGGCTGAGAACACGGCTCCTGGCGAAAAGGCATTCACCGAACACTTCGAAAAGCAGCTTGGCGAGTTTCGAAGTGCGAAGCGTCTTGCTCTGCAGACATGGGCAGAGGAAAAGGGAGTCTCCCTTCCACCAGATTTCTTCGATCACCCAACCTCTCCGGAAATCCTTCAGACAGACTTTTTGGATACCTCGGCCACACAGAAAGAACGAAGTCGACGACAGTTATATCTATTTTTATATGTAAGCTCAATCTTTCGAAATTCTATCTTGATGCAGACTTAACACGATCTCAGATGGAGCAATTGCTTTACTCAACTGGCCAGACCGTTCTGGACTTTGTGCGCTATGCCGATCATGTTGAGGCCAAAGGAAAGCTGCTGAAGACTCGACTGGTCATTCCAGGTGGCAAGCGAATCTGGAAATGGGCCAAATCCTTCTTAAGTGCGGAGGATTCGCATGACGATGACAATTTAGGGGATATCCATACCCAGAACAATATCCTCCAACTCGGCGAAGCGTATAGACTTCGCAAGGATCCTGAGCACTTACCACCTACTAGCGTCTTCCAAAAGATTGGCGACAAAATTCGTGTCATTCCTTGGTTCCTGCGCTCTTTTGAATCAACGTACGGTTTCAGAGTTGCGCTAGCCACTATGACGATCGCTGTGGTGGCTTTCCTCCGCGATACCCAGACATTTTTCACCCAGCAGCGATTGGTGTGGGCCATGATCATGGTAAATCTGAGCATGTCCCCCACATCGGGACAGAGTATCTTTAGCTTCGTGTTGCGGATTCTTGGTACCACCATCGCAATGGTGGCTAGTCTTCTGATCTGGTATATCCCCGATCAGAAGACCCCTGGAGTGATCGTGTTCTTGTTCATATTTGTTTCCATTGGCTTCTATATCCCCATCAAAGTCTTCCGTTTCCGAGTTGTGGGGATTATCAGCATCGTCACTACTACCATGATCATTGGCTATGAACTTCAAGTTCGGAGAGTTGGTGAGGCTGTGGCGACTTCCAATGGGCAGCCTTATTACCCCATTTACCTGCTGGCACCATACCGTCTGGCTACCGTTTCGGGCGGTATAGCCGTTGCATTTTTCTGGACATTTTTCCCATATCCGATCTCCGAGCACTCGGTGCTCCGCCAGAGTCTGGGAGCATCGCTGTATCTCCTGGCTAATTACTACTCGATCATCCATGAGACGATCTCCGGTCGCATGCGCGGCGACGAGGGTGATTACCTACTCAAGAGCTCTGCAGGTCGCAAATTGGAGAAAGCGCGACACAAAGTATTCTCAAAGCAGATGCTCATGCTAGCCGGTTTGCGGACGTACTCCGAGTTTCTACAATGGGAGGTTCCAATCGGTGGACGATTCCCAAAGAAGCAGTACGACTCAATTATTCTCTGCGTAGAGAAGTACGTACATTTCCCCATTGTGTAATTCCATACTAACCTCGGCCTCTCCTAGTATTGTGAATTACCTAAGTTTACTTGGCTACGCATCCGACACCGTGATGCACCTAGGCGAAGACGACGACGTCACAAACACAGCCTGGATGCACGATTTCCGCCGCCTAGTGGGCACCGCCAAAGTTACGACCCACGAAGTCACATCTCTGCTCTGTCTTCTCTCTGCAAGCATCACAAACAGACAGCCTCTCCCGCCATACCTGAAAGCGCCGCGGCCGTACAGCTTCACCAAGCGCCTGGAAGCACTTGACAGCGACATTCTGAGTCTTCGGCACATTGCCGAGCCGGGATTTGCTGCTTTCGCCGTCCTGCAGATCTCCACCCGGTGTATTGTCGGGGACGTGGATCGGCTGCTTCGGTGAGTTTGGATAGATACTCCGATTTGATACTGGGTACGTTTGCTAATTACCATGCAGACATGTGAAAAGCTTAGTCGGGGAGTTGGATTTTTCTTTCCATGCGGTTAGTAATACGGAATCAATGGCTGCGTCGCGCATGCCTTCGAGGATGGGGTCGAGGGTAGATGTGGGTGAGATCCCGGCATCAAGTCAGGGTGGTGATCGGGATAAGACAGATTGAGTTTGGAGTTGTGTACATCTTTTGTCCTCTACAAGTGTCTGTGCCCACGTATATATTTTCTCATGGCTGTATATAGGATTGTAACGAATATTATGTCTCATCACGGTGCATGTAAGCGTGTAAAAGGTGGGCCTGTGGATTACTATATCGAGTTAGCTTTGCCTATCGGGGCTTGGCCTCTAATATCCATTGTTGCCGACATAGAAGACCTCCTCTCTCACTCTTTTATTCTTCTACCTCTCTATCTTGCACTTATTGTTAGCCACCTTGGAATTTTGCTCAATTAATCGAACACGAAGACTACTCCATCCGCCCTCTTTTTTTGGCCACAAACTGCGGCGAATCATTTGTTGTTACCTCCACTTTCACCGCTGGAATGTGAGGGGACCTTGACTTCTCTGACTAGTGCTGCTAAATATTGGTAAATCAGTAATGTCTAGAGGGTGGAACAACCCGTCTCCCCTCTAGACCAGCACTACAGAGCAGCCCAAATGACCAAGCCAACGAATATACTAATTCCCGTACCACTTTTAAAATAGTCTAAGTATAAATTCATAGCGACTACAAAGCGGCTCAATTCTATATCATAGTATAACCTATAATCTACTCTGGGCACTACACCAAGTCCTGTGATTATACTACGTACTTGAGAACAAGAGAGTTATAATATATTATATTCGACGTAAGCGAAGATACGATTAACGCTATCTTACTTTTATAGGCTTAAGGGCCAATCCCTTGATTATAACGAAGTTCAGTCCAATCAAGGTGCTGTTGAACAGCCCTAAGGTCCACTGAACTTCCTTGTAGCTGAGCAAGGAATATTGGAACATATGTCAATCAACCAGAAACACCGTTGAAGAAGTTATATTTTGAAGAATTATTGATTTCTTCGAGAAGTATTTAGAGTTGTTCTTCAAAGGCAGGCTGATCTATGAAAATACTAAAAATAGACATTCTCACAAATTCTGCATTTGAAATCAGCATGAAAGAGTAATACTAAACATAAGCAAAAAATATTATATGAAAGCAATAGAACACTAGACAACATCCCAATAAAAAGCGAACAATCAATAGCCAACACCCGAATCTATAAAAGTCACGAGACAATCTCGGCCCGTACCTGAATAACAAAAAAAAGCATGCCTCCTCCTTCTCCAACTTCAACTCCTCCACAAGCACCCCAAACTACCGAAATGGACCCCCCACGCCGCCTCCTCTTCATAGCCTCAATAGGCAACAAAGCACCCTACCGCAAAACCCGCCACAGCGCAGGCCACCTCCTCCTAGACGCCGTCAAACCACTCCTCCCAACCACCCTCCCTCAAACAGGCGCCTTCCACGAAACCTGGTACAGCCCAACCTACATGAACGAGTCCGGCCCAAAATTAGTACGCCAAATGGAGAAATGGGCAGCGCGGCAGAACGAGCTTTGCATGAAACTATTCCCCACAACGCAGTCGTCCTACCCAACGACGCTTATCATCCTGCACGACGAGCTCGAGGCCCCGCTTGGCAAGCTACGCGTTAAGCGGGGCGGGCCTGAGGCGGCGAGTCTACGTGGGCACCGTGGGCTGATTAGTGTTTGTGAGACGTTGCGCGGGAAGGGATTGCATCCGCCGCGGGGGAATACGGATTTCTCGATCCTGCGCGTTGGCGTCGGGATTGGGAGGCCGCCGTCACGGGAGAAGGGGGCGGTTTCGGATTATGTGCTTGCGCCTGTTAGTGAGGGGGAGATGAGGGCTTATCATGGGGCGGCAGAGGGGGTGGTTAAGGTAATTGCGGAGGAATTGTATAGGGTGTGAGAGATGGAGAGGGATGGATGATTACTTGCATTGCATTTACGGAGTTACTTGTTTGATACCCGTGATATTGAAGGAATGGGAGGGGCAAGCTCCTCATGTATTAAGCATATACACAGCAAAGCAAACGCCTGAATGGAAAATGAAGTCTAGCTAGCGTAGCTCGAGCAAAAAGAAGAAAAGAAAAGAAAAGAAAAGAGGAAACAAGCATTCATTATGCGTTATGCATCAAACCGTACCGGCAATACTCAAATCGCGAATCTCCTGCAGCACCTCCTCGACGCGATTATCCAAATCGCCCTTGGCGTACTGGTCGCGCGTCTCGGCATCAAGATACTGCTGGACCTGCGCCATGCGCGAGTATGCCTCTGCGCAGAAGCGCAGCTGAATTTTGACAAGGGCCTCGAAGCTGGGATCGAGGTAAGGCACGCGCAGGTCGATGAGCTGAGGGAGTTCGTTGAAGAGCTGCTCGTTCAGCTGCTCGTAGGCATGCTTGGCCATTTCAGCTTCGCGCTCTGTGCGCGGCAGCTTGGTCACGTCCTTGTCGGGTTTCTCGGCGAGCTTCTTGACCTTGGCACGCACCGCGTCGTAGTCCAGGAGCTTGTGGTTGCGTTTCTTGATGCATTCGTTTACGTCGGGGAAGTAGGCGCAGAAGCGGGAGATGGGGTCGAGGACCGTCGCGCTAGTGTTGTTAGATTGGGTTTCTTTGGTGGTGGTGGTTGCTGGGCTGGCGCTTACCGGTAAGGGCCGTCCAGGGCCTTAATAGTTTCTGCGTCGAGGTCTTCAACGGCTTGCTTGTAGCTGCGGCTGACGCCGTCTCGGGTCCCGGCATCGCCGTAGAAGGCATCGATCGTTTCCGCGATGCGCATTTGAGATGCCGTCATCGCTGCGCATGTTAGTAGCCGTATTGGACATTTGCATTTGTATTTGCTTCGAATGCCTGCTCTTCTCTTACCTCGTAGTGAATCGAGATATCCCTTCGCTTCCTTCTGCAGGCGATTCGCCGCGGTCTCCATGGTCCGGTACCGCCTATGCACCGTCAGCGCTGTCCTGTCTCTTCCAGCCTCCCAAGCACGCATACCGTTCCTCGATCTCATAGTCGCGATCATTTGTCCTCTCGACATGCCCTGCGCCCGTCAGCACGGAACATCCCGCATTCCAATATCGATATCGATATCACAGCCGATCCATCTCCATTGCGGGGTAAAAATCAAAACTCACCCGTCTTCATCATCACCTGTGTCGTCGCTCGGTTGACATTCTTCTTAAAGCCTGTTCTTCTCGTTAGATTGGTCTTTTCGTTAAATTGGTCTCGCTTCTTTGTCGCAGTTGGGTTCGTACCTGCCCAAGACATGGCGGTGTCGGTGTCGGTTTTGGGTGTCGTTCAGAGGCGTCCGGTGAGATTTTCAGATCAAAAATGGGATTTCAAGAAATTTCGTTCAATAGCTCGAGATGTGTAAGATAGAAACAAGGCGCCTAGATTGCGATGTTTCAAAGGTGCACGTCAAACGCCCAAGGCTTCCAACTTTGGATGTGGCTATGCTCCGTGCAGCCGTGGCTAGGCTGCTTATGTCAGCGCCGAATGCGGCTACGTCACGCTCATAGGGCTACAGGGCTGGGCTGTATACATTATGTACAATATGTATGAAGAGATTTTATTATTTCAATGTGAAGTGTAAAACAACTATCTCACCGCAAGATGGACTTGGGTGGTACAAGACCTGTGCATAAAGGATTTTCACATTCCTTCATTTCTCAAAAAAGCTGTGCAATTGTAGTATTGCAGATGAAAACCCTTAAAGCAGAACGTGCACACAGATAAGGCTGAGTCCTTGCGTCTGTAATACCATACACACGATCATGCATATTTGCGACTTGGATTATCCACTTCTCACAGGCTGTCACATTAGAATGTAGATGCCTAAAGAACTGTGTTATTTCTTGGCAGCTGCCAAGGCTTGTAAATATTCCAATGGTAACTTTTTCGTATCATGTGCGCTTTTGGAATCCACATTGCTGCATATATTACTGTACGTACAAAGCTATGTTAGTTACCGGTTACCCCGTACATTGTTGGTAATTGTGCGCTATATTGTGTATCACACAAGCAGACTTTGTTAGAGTGGAGTTGGAAGTGAAATCTTTTCTGTGTGATATCACTGATTCGGGAAGATATTGAGATATGTCTGTGACATCTGTGGGCCTTGCATTGGGCCATGCATTGGGCCTTGGGTGCTGATCACCGAGATCGAGTTCAGGACGGAGTCGACTGCATTGTTAGGGGGCTATGTTTCACGAACATTCAGATGATTCCTTGAATAGCGAGGCAGGTAGTCCAGTGTGGAACTATAGAGAAGCCCATTTACTCTCAAGCATCATATAGAACGTGATTCAAAATGCCAACGTATGTACAAAAAGCATCAGTAATATACTAACACCGACAGAAATGAGCGACGAAAAAATGTCTCAGACAACCTCCAATGGGACACTCCAGGCAGGATCTGTTGTTTGCTGTCGATATTGCAGAGCTTACCGGAGTGAGGCACGCAAACCCGGAATGCCCATGATCACCCGAAGCCGGGCGGGTTTTGGTACAGAGAAAGATCAGAACGCCAACAACTCCATGAGGTATCAGCCGACGCGATAGAGACCGGACGAGATGAGAACTCCGTGAAAGAAAATCGTGAAAAGAAAAGGGTCATGATTCTTCGTTGCATTGACGTCGAACACATGACAAGGGACAAGCTAAGAGACGGAACAGGAAGAGTAAAGAAAAGAGAACAGGCTGGGAGGAATGCATGCGCCTCATACACAAAACAAAGGTCTGGGCCTCCTTCTATGGAGCATTCAAAGACAAAAATAGATAAACGAGTTCCTTGAATGGGTCAATTTAAACAACCACCCTGATGCAAAGGAAAAGAATCCCATCAATCAATCAGGAAGGGTGACTTGATAAGATCAAAACCCTTCCTCGCCGGCCTTACATAGCTTAATTTGGCGCACCCATTCAGACTTAAGAACCTGCGAAGCATTGATGCGGCGAGAAGGATTCGGATCAAGAATAGAGTAGATAACGTTGCGGCAACGAGCCTGCGAAGAAATAAGTTTTTGACCCGAAGGAAAGCGATTAGCATTTCTTACCCGATGCAACGTCTCAATAGGTGCGTATCCGTCTTCATGTTTCCGGCCGTCAAGGTATCGCTGATAGAACTCGTCTTCGTCTTTGCGAGCCACACGCCAGAGGTGTCGGCCCGTGCGCATCGCCATGTAAATCACACCGGTCGCCCACAGATCGACGGCTCGGGGGTCGAATTCCCGCTCAACGTATTCTTCAGGCGCAATATAGGGCGCGGAGCCGCAGAGTCCGGCTGTCATATGGGCTTCTTTCTCCCAGGCCATGCGGAAGCATTCGCCGTTGCCGAAGTCTGTGATTTTGAGGGCGCCGTGGGTGGTCAGGAGAAGATTTTCGGGCTTGAGATCGCGGTGGGCAACGCCCATTTCGTGCATGTATTCTACGCCACGCATGAGCTGCTTGAAGAAGCAGTCGGCTTCAGCGACTTCAAGCTTGCCGGCAGCAAGAACTAGGGTGTAGAGATCGCCTCCGGCGCAGTATTCCATGACTTCGCAGTAGTCTCCTTTGGCGTCTTGCAGGAGGTCCAGAGTGTGGATAACATTGGGGTGACGGAGGGACGATGAAATACAGAACTCCGAGGTCAATCGCTTTTGGTACTTCTTGGTGGTTTCTTGAGGGCGACGGCGGAATTCCTTGACGGCGTATAGCTGCTCACACTTGGAATCTTGGGGGTCGACCTTGTGCGAGATACGGACGATGCCAAAGGCGCCACGGCCGACGATCTCCTGGCACTTGCCGTACTTGTCGACCAGAGAAGCAGTGGCGTTGGGGCCACCCTTCTTATCGGCAGCCAGCTTATCCCGCTCAGTTTTGAACTGGTCGATCCAGGTGGACATGAGCGACAGCTGCTGCTCATCCACCTGGTCGTCTCCCTTTTTCCTGCCACCCAGCATATCGCGCAGCAGGTCGGTCAGCTTTTCTTGCCGCCTGGCGCTTCTCAAATTATGCGAATGGTTGCCGAGAGTTTCTGGGAGAACCTCGAAGCGCTTGTGCGCAGGCGCGGCACCATCTTTCTTCTTATCGTCAGGTTTCTTCTTATCAGACTTGTCGATGGGTTCACTCTTCAAAGACGGGTTTCGTGATGGGGTACGGGAGTTTGCGCCTCTGGAAGGAGGTCTTGAAGGAGGTCTGGAGGAGGGCTTTGATGTCCTGCCATTTGTGTGGGGGACGCTTTCTAAGCTGCTGTCGGAATGGTGGACTTCATTATTTTCTCTGGTTGGTGTGGTTTTCCCCGTGCTGGAGAACATGCGCGTAAGACGAGCGGCCATGGTTGCTTTAGTGGGTTTTCCGGCTGGAGAGAGTGCTGGGGGAGGGAGATCGTTTGCGTTCGCGTGAGCGGACAAGTTCATGCCCGCCAAGGCGCGTGTTACCGAAGCATCTCCATCTCGAGGGTCATACGAGTGTTGTGAAGCTGCTGCGGAGGAGACTGCGGAAGGCACAGGTGAAGGGGAAGGTGGAGTCATGTGCGGTGGATCGGCAGGTGAAGACTTGAAGAATGAAGGGTGGGACACGAAATTCTCCGTCCCCGATCGATAGCTCACAAGCTGCTAAGCAAAGTGATTTCGACGGTAAAGATCAAGAAGCACTGAGGTGAGGTGGGAAAAGAGAAAAAAAGGTGTGGTCTGTGGTCTTTGGCCTGAGGCAGAGTGAAAAGGTAACGACAAAGGATCTCCGAACACGCGCAAGGGAAGCCCTCGACGAGAGGAACCTCTAGGGTATATAATGAAGTGACAAAGAATAAAATGAAAAAGAGAAAAGCAAGTGGGAAGATAAATTTGGCGATGTTCACTTTGAAATACCAGCGAGCTTTTTTTTTGTATGGGGAATACGGGGGAAGCAGTAGACATTGTACAAGATTGTAATATTACTCTCATTGGAATAATGGTGTAATTCTAATACTACAAGTATAAAATAAATTACAGCATAGAAAAAAGAATGTGGGAACTGCAACGGTACGAGGTTACTTTCAACCTTGGAAAGATTATTAATGCTCACTCAGCTCCCGGTGTCCGCGGGTACTTTGCTCCAGGGCTGTCTAGGCGATTCCGGCCTTGACTTATAGGGCTACATATGCAGACGGTGAGTCCGGCGCTGTGAGACTCTGCAGGTGGTATGACCTTTTTCGAGTAGTAATTAGCAATATAATCTAATGTTATATATATTTTTGTACATATAAAGAATTAGATCATCCCATTGATCAAAGAACATATAGCATATATAGTACAATAGGAGTAGAAAATTTAGCAGGATCCCACATTTTGGTGAGAGATTTAATTGTAATAAAAAAGTGCAAAAGATCGTACCCCTGGGTAATAAGATGTAATCCCATATGTAATCAAAAGTAATCAAGTAACACATAACAGAGTAATTGTACCCGGCCAGGTTTTTTTCATCGGATCCCTGGAACGGGGTCTTCCGTAAAGATTAAGCAATCAGAGCTAAGTTACTAAGTTCCCTTTGGTAGTTATTACCAGTTTAACTACTGCTTAAATGACGTTGTTTGAGTGACGTCGACTCGAACTTATACTCGAAGGGGAATAAGTGTAATGTTGATAATATTGATAATATTATTATATTCTTTGTAACAGGTAATAATATTATTGCATGTCTAATGAGCTTTGATACTTCCGCCACCACATTGACATTGGCACCTGAGGCTGTGCAAGTCTGCAAAATAATTTACAATGTGATTCGACCAGGCCCCGCACCAGCCAACGCGCTGGGAGCGCCGTGTGGCGGTTGCATACAAAAGTATCGGAGGTTATGAAATGTTTGAGGAGTATAGCGTACACCTAATGATCCATTATTAATGAATTTCTCCATTTAATTGGCGGAACTGATCTGTTGATCTATTAGCCGGGAATATGGATATTTGGACGTGCTTTATTGCTCTGTCCGGTAGGTGGGGGATTATCATTTATTCCATATTCGTACAATAGCGATGTAGCCAACTCCAATCTCCAATTCCACCTACAATACTGTAGTTGTAGGAAGTATTCAGATCCTGTACTATGTCATCATGAAACCTTCCAAGGTTGCTCTTCAGGACACTGTCCTCCAGCATATACGGTGTAAAAAATCATAATTCCGCTTTTGACCAATTGTCAGATACCTCCGTTTATACCCGTGCTCACTCGCTCTCCAACTACCGAATCAAAGCAGCAACGAAGACATAGACGATCGCTACTCCCTACGTAACTGTCCGTCAATCATGCACACCTCCCTATCGGGCTCGTGGAGACTGCGTGGGGACTTTGAAGTCACCCGCAGGACATATGTCCACGATAGCAATACCATTGTAGAGGGTTCCGCTATCTAGCGTCATTCGGATAGATGACGGCATTTATGGGTTGATCAACAACGTATTGATTCTACCGAGCGAGTGAAATATTGTAGACAGAACCCATTTCGAATCATAGATTGCATTAAAGCAGTTGAACTCGAGCCTATCAGATCAGCAAGCGTCTACAACGTATATTTCACACGGCTTCTCTAGTGTGCGTTCACCGTCTCTTCGGCTCCGATTTCCCATGTGGGGATTTCCCAAACGCTTAGTGTCTGGGATTTACGGATTTTCACTAAGCATGCACAATATTGTAAGAGTGAGCTTCGCGCGAGGCCCTCTGCCGAGACAATACCAGGGTAATCTCGCTTTTGTTTATTTTACCCCGGATTATTCTCTGTCTCCGTGATTTTCTGACCTCGGCATACGATAAAGAATAGATTGTAATAACCACAAAGTATAAAACACACAATTCTCACGTGGTAAAGCAAAAACGGCCCATCTCACAGCCGTTTAGAAGTAATTGAAACAGAAACAGATACAGAACAGAAACTACGAGGGATTTTCACTCACCAATCACAACCCTAACTTGAACCCATCTTAATTTCCTCCAACGTTCTCCGTACATTGATCCCGGTATTTATTGATTTAAATCTCTTATTTGCATATCAATCGATAGGCCTTCAGTCTTGTACAACTCAGTATAAGCCCCCTTACCCCTCTCCATTCCTCCAGTGTAGTCAGATGCCCCGTATACTTATAGTACATGTAGGTATAGTATCATGCGGGCGTATAGAATCTAATTCCCATTCGAGCTGCATCTTGACCGCCAGTTTGATTGACTTTGGCCGTTTAATCTATACATGTGAATAATCTGAGTGGTCTGAATCCATGGATGGTCTGAATGGTCTGACCTTCAGATAAGCTGTACATTGTACTTGCTTTGCTGGAGCTTCTGCATCTCGCATACTAAATCATGTGGGAATGAATCCCAGTCCGATTTGGACTATCAGTGGATGGAAAACAGCACACAACGAGCCTGACACGGTACTTTCTGTCTTGTGTGGATAGCTGTGTGTACAAGGTTTAGTAATAACATCGTAAAATGCATGCACGTCGAAGGTGTGTCTGTGCTCAAGCCAAGCCATGCAGGTTGGAGCTGATCAAGATGAGCTGGAATCCTTGTTTTTTCATCCTTCTGCTTTGTGTAGATTTGCTTTTTTTTATATGCAATTGATACACAAATTCTGGCATATGATCTATCTTGTCTTGCGAGACGACGATGTAGAGCCTATCAGTTTCTCGGTTCAGCATGCACAAGCCGCAGGCCGATTTGCAAACCGCTTGGCGTTGGTCATAGCTTTCTCAATAAAGGTCAGGACTATAGCTTTAGCTGTAGGTCTAGTTTCTGGTGTGGGCTGCGGCATTTTTTGTATCGAATTATTTATACACCAGGACCATCGCTATAGATACAAAAACTTGATATTGCAGTGAGACAATTGGCTTAGGGATTGCGTTATGATCAACTCCGACTCTTCCCGTTGATCTTATATGGATAACAGTAGCATGCAGTCGATCTTCTTGGTTGATAAGACCCATAACCAAACTGAGCTATTGGCGGGCCGACCCCCGAGAGACTCTGCCTACCCGGAGGGGCGCCGGTATGCCACGTGGGCAGGAAACCCATCTCATTGACCACACTTCAATAGCGGTATGAACGCCCATATCTTGGCTTGTGTGCGCCAGTAATCCTTTTAAATGTGTTGTTATGCAGTCGTTCACAAAGCTCGACGGGTGACACTGCGGTGTGCGCTCAATTGCAGTCACGTCGCTCTCGTGGGACATCCCTTTGAATCGTTGGTCTCGATAGGTCTAAGCGGTCAGGCAGGGTAGCCTGTTCCTTGTACACTTCCCGGCCTGTTTTCTTGGCGAACGCGAACACGCGGGATAGTTCGCTAGATATCATGATAGAACTTGAGTCTGCTACCAGATCAGAATAACAAGTCAACAACAAGGCAGCATGCCTCAAAAAAATGCACGTACCACGAACTGCTCCAGCGATTCTTCGAATAGCTCGTTGTTCACGCCAACACCGCCGGTATGTTCAGTCGGGGAAAGGGGGTTTTTGACAACTGATTCGGGCCATTAGCAACAAGTATCTGCCAGGTACACCGAATCCACGTACCATATTCCACAAATAGATTGATGTAGATCTGCTGCAGGGCAATGCGCATGCTGGGACTCTTGAGGTCCGTCAGCATCACGAACTTGGTGTTCGTCGGCGTCTCGTAGTAGTGAAGCTTGTACTGGCTGGTAGTGAACGACACGAAACTGTTGAGCAACACCCATTAGCATGTGCACAACCCCAAAACAGACTCTTGCAGGGGGGCTCACTTGTCATCTTCACCTCCTAGCTTGCGCACCATGTTGCGCAGGGAGAATACCGTGCCAAAAACCAGCTTTGAATCATCATCGCTCGATCGGACGGTTTGGCCGAGACCGGTCGGTGCTCCGGCTGTGTCTGATCGGGACTTCCCCACGATTGAGGTCGGGCGCGGAAGCCAGCGGCGCTTGTAGATGCATTCCGCTGGAGGAATTAGTATGATATTCTTCCTTCTGTCATGGACAATTTGTAATTACCGTGCCTATCAAAGATGTAGAATGAGTAAACGACCATTGTGTAATGTGACCAAAAGTCCCGTTGTGGTTGTTGTTCAGGAGAAGCTGACGGGGGCGGTGAAATTCGATTATCGATAAACAATATCAAAAAGGAGCTGCCTGGAACTTTTTTTTGTCGATTTTGACAGAGTCCTCTGTATACTATTTATTATTCATGATTTTATTCTATTTTTCTTTCTTGCTCTGGCCACATCTTCAGGCCTCGTAAGGCTGACAAGCCCGCATCTCACGTTATCAAAATCCCCCGCTCAAACTTCCCTCCTTTACCCCACACCAGCACAGCGCATTCAATGGATGAAAATGCAGACGTCCCGGTGTCGGATTTCTCCGACTCTATTGACTCGGGTGTGAGCGTATTGCAGACGAGGACTGGGTGAGTTTCAACAACTGCGTATGATACATCTCATACTGATACTCTGCATAGATCTGCTGCATCATATGATAGTCCTCAGAGACACCGGAGGCGAAACCCTAGAGCAAGGCGTCCGGTGAAGGTCGGTTTCCCGCCGCCGTGACAGATCCAGAGAACTGATGTCGCGTAGGAAACACTGGACGCCCGCTCCTCGTATTACACCAGTCAAGATGATGGTACTGCTGAACATCGCATCAACCAATATGTGATTAAGCAGGAGATCGGACGTGGCTCGTTCGGCGCCGTTCATCTGGCAGCAGATCAATTCGGTAATGAATATGTAAGCCTTTCAGTCGAGGCCTTTGAGGATGTTCTTGCTAACGGGCTGCGTTTGGTTTCAGGCTGTCAAGGAATTCTCCAAGTCCAGGTTAAGGAAACGTGCGCAGTCGCATTTGCTGCGCAGACCCCGAGGCCCGAGACGGCCTGGTACGGATTTTAATTCGCCTTTGCATCGGCATCCTTCTGGAGATGATGAGAATGCACAGAATCCCTTGTATTTGATCAAGGAGGAGATTGCCATTATGAAGAAATTGAATCATGGCAATCTGGTCTCATTGATTGAAGTCTTGGATGATCCATCCGAAGATTCTCTGTATATGGTCATGGAGATGTGCAAGAAAGGTGTGATCATGAAGGTTGGGTTGGAAGAGAGGGCGGATCCCTATGATGATGAGCATTGTCGGTGCTGGTTCCGCGATTTGATCTTGGGGATCGAGTACCTGCATGCTCAAGGGATTGTCCATCGAGATATAAAACCAGACAATTGTTTGGTCACAAACGACGATGTGTTGAAGGTGGTCGATTTTGGTGTCTCGGAGATGTTCGAAAAAGACTCAAACATGTTCACTGCCAAGTCAGCTGGATCACCAGCATTTCTTCCGCCAGAGCTGTGCGTCGTCAAGCACGGTGATGTGTCAGGAAAGGCGACAGATATATGGTCCATGGGTGTGACGCTGTATTGTCTTCGATATGGAAAGCTGCCATTCGAGAAGCATAACATTTTCGAGTTGTACGATAGTATCAGAGAAGATCCTCTTGTCTGTGAAGACGAGGAGGATGAGGGATTCAAGGACCTGATGAATCGCATTTTGGAGAAGGATCCGGAGAAGCGGATCGATATGTTTGGCTTACGGGTAAGTCAGTTGTAGTTAGACTGCTCGTCAACGCTGACCAAATGCAACAGGAACACCCTTGGGTAACAAAGAATGGGACAGATCCTCTGCTATCATTCGAGGAAAATACGTCGCAAATCATTGCACCACCCACAGAAGAAGAGCTGGACCGCGCTATCACAAAAAACATGGGCCATCTCATGACCGTGGTACGCATCGAGATTCCACCTACCAGAGCCTCCCGTTAACAAGCTGCAGATGAAAGCCGTCAAGAAATTCAAACGACTGACAGATCCCACGAAGGCTCAAACCCCTCAAACTCCCATGGAGAGCATCCTCGGCGGTGAAGGGTCCTATTTCGTCGAACCCCCAATGGAAATGGACCCAGACGAGCCCTTCCCAGCAGTTGGCGAGGCACCCCATGGCAGCAGTCTACGCGCAGGCGTACGCAAAGTCTTCAGACATCCATTCGCCGCGTTCCGTGACCACGGCGCCCCAGGCTCCAGCGACTCAGCCAGCATCTCATCGAGACCCGAGCACAGTGCTAACAGCAGCCAGCGACCCAGCGGCGTCTTCGAGGAGGGCTCAGACTCGCCATTAGGCCACGCATCCCCTTACATCCCCTCACGCACAAGCTCAGCAACAACAAAGCGCAGCATGGAAGGTACAAGGGGCCATGCGCGGGATCCTCTAGAGGAAGAATTCCCATACCTTTTCATCGGCCCGTCGACATATACAGGCTCCCAGGAACCGGAAGTTGAAATGAGCGACGAGCCCGCTTCCGTCTTTGAAGAACCAGACACCCTCGATGCAGAGCCTGAGCAATTTGTCAGCGAATCGCCCGGCGCTGCAGAATTCAACATATATGAAACGGCCTATAGGTCTGAGCTCGAGCGCATCAAGCAGAGTCAAAAAGACAAAGACCGCAACACCGGCCCGAAGGTCTATCTGACGCGCCGCGTTGAGAACAAAGACGAGGTGATGAAGCTGGCCAAGGAGAAGGCCTTGGATCTGCAGATCGGTCAGCGGTTCACCTTTGCTCCCAGCAGGACAGCGTCGTCGATCGGGTCGGCGGTTAGTGCGCTGCGCTCGCAGATGTTGCAGAAGAGGCAGGCGGAGCAGGTCGGCGAGGCTGCTACTGTTGGTGATGCGGCTGGTGGGCAGGATCATCAGCCTCATCTTCATCCCCCGTCTGTCACTTCGCAGGGGATTCCTGGGCCCGAGCCTTCATCGCTTGAGGCGACAGGTGTGTCGTCTGCTTCGGGTGAGGATTCGAAGTCTCACTTGCGACGGCTTCTTGATCGTGGGAACGAGTAGGAAATGTTTGGCTTATTTTTCCTATACTAAATCGAGGGCCTGTCACGTACATCTCAGTTTTGAACATTTGCATATCATACATATAAGGCGAAGGGAAACCATTTTGTTGAGAGCTCCACAAGCCTCCCTAGACCCCGTATGTTAGGGTTTTTGGCCTAGTTGGGAAATTTAGTCTTTTTTCCCGGCCACTCGTTGCGAACTCTGGCAATCTTCACACGCTCTGATTAACGGCTTCGACGCTCTGAACATGCAAGCCGATTAAATAGCTTAGTGAATTTCTCATGCCGAGTCTGCACCTGGGGCTCCCCTTTCGGTTTCATCCGGCCTATACAGATCTAAAGCTCTAGTAAGGCCAATCTACTACCAATACGTCTCTATCATTTTTCGTCTTAGTATACGAGATCTCCCCTTCTGAGGAAACTCAAGATCACAGTGACGCTACGTGGATCCCACAGAGGGCTAGAACAGTAAGAGGGCATGGGTGTGGTGAGTTCAAGGTTTCACCTAGCCTAGTGGCCATTTCGGCAGTGGTCACACGCATCACTTGTAGGGTGCTCTCATGGTCTTTCACAGTTCTAGACTCACGCTTACATAAATCAAAGATCCAAAGGAATCTTTTACTGAGAAAACATCATGGCGCGTTGGTAGTCGGGGAGAACGGTAAAGCAGGATGAAGTTGTTTGTTTCTTTCGAGATTTAAGCTATATACCAATAAGCTTTTATGCGATAGCTTTTCTTCGCATTATTTTTGAGACTCAGATAAAGAGATTGAGATAGAGACCTGGCTTCTCTTCTATTAATGGGTCTGGGATCAAAGCCACGGACTTGGAGTAACCAGACTTTGAAGACCATCCCTGTCTGTGATTATGTATTCGAATAAGTGCATTCATATCTGGGGACGGCGTTACACAATTGAATTCCCACTTAGAGTTACTTGGATCATCCTTGGTGGTTGGTCATATAGGCAATATTTCATCCAGGTCTGGCTTGGATTGAAGGTGCATGCATTGAATGACCAATCTTAAATGTCCGCAAGGTCAAAAGTCAAATGTCAGATGAATACGAATATGAATATGAATGTAGGTAGAATAGATATTCTAAGTCATTATTAAGCCCAAGGCAAGGAATGTAAGGCATCTCTGTAAGAGATCGTCGAGAATAGAAAGCAAAAGCCAAACCAAAAGGCAGAAAACCAACTCAACACATCGAAAACAGAAAGCGAAATGTGATAAAATACAAGATAAGCCCTTGGAATCTATAGCTCAAAGGACCGCGCCATGCTGTAGCATTAGACATCAATCATCATCAAATGCGCACGCTAACGCTAGACATTGGCGTAAGAAGGAAAGAAGAAAAGCATCATTAAGCAAACGGAAAAGGAGCCGACAGGCGAAATAGAACAGAATAGATGCGAGGCGTGGAGGGGCATCAGTTGGCATGAGGACGGGCTTTGGCTTCACGATAAGCCAGCCCTAGACGAGAGCGAGAGCAGGAAACAAAAATGACTCGCTGATTCAAATCGAAAATAAAAAGCCGTTATCTTCATCGAACGTTGTCGTGGCATCAATAGTTGTATGAAAGTCACTGTCACAAAAAGAAAAAGAGGTCCCCAATCGCGTGTCTGTAAGAAGATGTCTGCCGAAAAGAGAAGAAGACCAGACCTGGATTGTGATTGTGAGTGTCAAAGAAAGTGGAATGTCGAAAATCGCTTCGCTTGAAGAGAGAGAAACCGCACAACAAACAAACATGAAAACGCTGTCTATTGTTCAAAAGGACTTGATCATTCAATCATAGCGCAAAAGCATCGGGAATAGAAAACGATATAAAAAATAACTCTCAGATATCAATGGTCATCGCGGCGGTTTTTCCGAAGGCGTACTCATGCGTCCCTCGTACGGACCGGGCTGATCAGGCCGGCTAGTAACCGAGTCGCGGCGGTCACTGTCCGACGGCGAGAAGCGATCCGGTGGGAAATTGTACGCCCGCTCGGCGGGGCTACTGATAGCGAGTCTGGGGAACGCGTCTGGGGGTCCGAGCTGCAGCGCATGGGGTGATGGGAGGGGATGAACCATTTCCGTGGGCCGGGGGAGCTCACGCATGTTGGAGCCCAAGTTGCGAGGTGGGATGTCGCGGCGGTCTTCTGCCGGAGCGGGAATTGAGCGCATGGCCGAGTCGTAGAGCATTGGGCTTGGGGCTTGGGTTGGGGCTGATGGCTTTTGGTGGAAGCTTGGTGCAGATGGGAATGAGGTGTTTGATGGACCTTGACTTGGGCCTGGGCCTGGGCCTGCGGGACTGGTTGGCGAGGGGGGATCTTCAGTCGACCTGAGCCGGAGCGGCGGGGAGCTGGGTAGGGCTCGCCGCGGGCTTCGGCTAGAAGTTTGCGCCGCTCGGTCTCTGCTTTGCTGGGGCGTCCTCGTTTGCGGGGTGGTTCGCCGGTGTCTAGTCTTGGAGAGAGCTGGGCTGATGCGCCGCTTTCGCTGCTGTAAGAGGCTGTGCTGGCTGGTGGACCGGTGCTTGCTGGTGGCCGAGGCTGAATTGCGCGCGGTACTGGTTTGTCGGATGGGTAAAATGGCCGCTTGCGCATGCTTGGGTCCATTGGGGTTGGTGGGCCGGTCATATCGAATCGTGGTGGAAATGGAGCCACTGGATGTGAAGGTTGCGCGGGCTGTTGCACCATGTTGAGATAAGCCGTTTTGCATGAGCTGAGTGAACGGCCTTAACCGGGCAAGAGTTAGCGCCATGATATCAGGCTTTTTTTAGATTTTTGGCTTTTAATCCGGCAATTGGAATTGATACCTTGAGGGAGGGGGATATGCTCCCAATTCGGAGTTATCCCATATTCTTTAATCATGCGAACTAGATAACTAGAGGGAAATCCAGCTTTCTTGAGGATCTCAGTGAGTAGAGTGTACTGGGAGTTTGGTTAGCATTAAATTGATATTCGAGCACATACAACTTACCTTGTCGTCCTCAGTCCATGGCCTATCAGATTGGTTCGACATATCCAGACCATGGAAGCGAATTTTAGCTTCCCTCTTTTCCCCCAGAAAAGAAAAGAACAACAGTAAAGAAAGGAATAAGAAAGGAAACGTCCAAAAAAAACAAACAAAGCCTCCCAGATGGTCCTGGAAAAAAGAAAAGGACAAGAGCGAACGACAATTGAAGGTCATACACAGTTTGAGGTCGATAGTTCCCTCAGAAAGACAACACTAGAGGGTAAAAAAGAAATCAATAAAACAATCTAAACACGCGCAGAGAACGAGAGAAGGTCTCTTATGTCCCCATATCCTCCCGGACACGAAACAAAAGGGATGACAGGAAAAACGAACGATATGACAATTGAAGGCTTGATAGCCAAAGAAAATGAAAAAAGAGCAGTAGAATAAAACTCCATTCAAAAAAAAATACCCTAAGATCCCTTGTATTTTTTTTTTTTTTTTTTTCCTTGGGGGGGGATTTTTTTGCAGGAAGATTTTCTGGCCAAACGACTTCAGCAGCCGGGATCGCGCAGGAGACCAGCGTTCGGGAGGAAAGCTGCAGGGTCGATGGAGTCTTACCAGACAGTACGATATGTAAAGTACTTAAGATATTACCCTTTTACCATTTACTAGACAGGTGTACTAGTCAAGAAGGAATAGAGGTTTCAGCCGGATACAGTTTCATCTTTTTTTCCAGAAAAGTTTTGAAGAACGAGAAGGCAAAATTACCACTAAGAAAAAACCACCGGGAAGCGGGGAGTTTTCTGGATTTCTGCTCCAAAAGTACGATCAGTACTTAGTACGATCGAGGGGTTGAGTGGGGGGCCTGCATGGAATGGAGTATGGGCAATATTTCAGATTTTATTTTGCTGGCATAAGGTAGTATATCGAACTGCATATATATCACTAGTATAGAGAGAAGGGGCTTAGTTTCGCATTTGGGAAACGGTTGGCCCTGGCAGTCCCAGAACCAAGGGACAAGTAAGAAAGCGTTGTTTTTTATTTATTTTTATGTTTTATTTCCTTTTTTTCGGTGGTTTTTGGGTTTTCTAGTCTTTTTTTATTTATTTTCCGGTGGTTTTAGTGGTTTTAGTGGATTTAGTGGATTTTAGTGTCCTGATTTTAGTTTCATCCTTTCTTTTTCGGTAAACTGTGGGCATTCGTGGATCTCAGGATATATTCTGATAGGCTCCAAGAGTGCCCCAGGAAACTGGGTCGCCTGTGAGCAAAGTGATTTTGTTTGAAGCTAACCTCAGGGGCGGTTAGAGTGGAAGTTAACGGACGATCGTAAGGAATAATAAACAAAACAATGCGTGTCTGTCATGCAGCGGTCTTGATGAAGATACAGAACGATGGCCCAGTAGATATGATCCAACGGACTCCGCTGGAGTGCATTCATCGATGCAGGGTTAAGTAATACTGTAATTGAATGATCAACAGGGGAAGAGAAAGAGGTGAGGTTTAGATAATAAGTATAGATTGGTAGGTTGTTGAGATAGAGATATATCTACAATGGCCTCAGGCATAGTTAGGGTTATCTTTGAATGTACCATGGATTACCACTACACTATCACTACTCTGTACATATATAGACTACATACGTTGTATGTATGAACTATACAATAGATGGTTATAGGTCAGGATCATGGATGACAACCTCAAAATCTAGTAATCTAATACTAATATTAGTTATACTACACTAACCATATTGTCTATCATATAATATAATACTGTACCGCACAGACTAAAAGTTTACATGCAGACACGCTTTGGTTTTTGTTTCTTCTCATCCAATCGATTTCTCCGACATCAAACTGCAATGTCACATTTGCATATGCATTAGTTTTTTTGGATACATTGCTCTCTGGTTGCCCCCTTCACTGCCCCTTTTCTTACTTGACTTCAATGCTGACTTCTAAAAAGGGTCCTTATGCCATGAGATGACGTTAGGGTTGACACCCCTAAGAACCTTCCCTCGAAGTCAGGCATAAAAGAATCACCAGGCCCATGACTCCAATGAACATGCTCTCATTGAGATTTTAGATGTTAAACAAAGAGTCAGAGTTGAACACAATACTATTATCATGATTTGAGTGGCTTCCAGTTGCTGCTATAACCATGTCTGGTTTGACCGATGGATTGATATCCAAATGCCCCATGCTCAGATGGAAAAGATCACGGCTGAGGGCGGTGAGAGCGAACGCGAAATAACAATAGCTTCGGTTTGAATCAAATTAGGCCAATTTTTTCTTTTTTATCAATGAGATTGTTCTTACCGCTTCGGACCCCTTGATTCCCCGAGGACTGGCAGAATCCCATCGTATCTTCTCTCTTCTTCATTCTCCAATTTCTCTCATTCAACCATTTCGTAGTCCGTGTCGTCATGTCTGTCCATGACCACGCGGACTCTGACGACCTGAACATGGAGTCGCCCTCGATAAAGAGCCAACCTGAAGCGTTGAAAAATGGCGACTCGCGTTCGCGTACCTCCCGATCACCTCTCCCGAAGAAGGAACCCTCCCCAACCTCCGACACCTCCGGCAACATGAAGGATAGCCTTGAGATCAAGCAAGAATCCCAACGGCCCAAGCTATCTCGCAGCTCTTCGCAAGTGTCACGTCCGCCGCCGCTGTACACACACCTGCCGGATAGCACCCAAGATGCGCTCGCCACGTTCGAGCAGATTCCCAGTTGCATATACGCCAACAAATACATGGGATACACCGAACTGGCGATGGAATGCGATTGCGCTGAAGAGTGGGGTAAGTTTGAACTTCGTGTACTCTCCGTTCCGTGTCTCTGCAGTTTTAGATTCTGTTCTACGCAATTCCGCGTGAGCCAATTCCGAGAGCATCGCACTGATTCATAACGCGTAGAACCGAAGATCGGCCAAAACCTAGCGTGTGGCGAAGACTCCGATTGTATCAACCGCGCTACCAAGATCGAATGTGCGGGCGACTGCGGCTGCGGCTCCGATTGTCAAAACCAGCGTTTCCAGAAGGGCCAGTTTGCTTCTGTGGCGGTCATCAAAACCGAGAAGAAGGGGTTCGGGTTGCGCGCGGAAACAAATCTCAATGAAGGCGATCTGATATACGAATATGTTGGGGAGGTCGTGGCGGAACAGCAATTTCGGAAGCGCATGAGGCAGTATGATGAGGATGGCATCAAGCACTTCTACTTCATGTCCTTGAGCACGGGTGAATTCGTTGATGCGACCAAACGCGGTAACCTCGGACGTTTTTGCAATCACTCTTGCAATCCTAATTGCTTTGTCGACAAGTGGGTTGTGGGCGAGAAGTTGCGCATGGGCATCTTCGCCGAGCGTGCCATCCAAGCTGGTGAAGAACTGGTCTTCAACTACAATGTCGACCGCTACGGCGCGGATCCTCAGCCTTGCTATTGTGGAGAGCCGATGTGCACGGGTTTCATTGGTGGGCGCACGCAAACTGAGCGTGCGACTAAGCTGTCCAATGCAACCATGGAGGCCTTGGGTATCGATGACGATGAAGATAGCTGGGATACCGTGGTGGCGAAGAGACCGAAGAAGCAGAAGCTGGGCGAGGATGACGATGACTATGTGGACAAAGTGCAGCCCAAGTCGTTGGACGAGGACAGTGTCACCAAGGTCATGGCGGCTCTTGTGCAGTGTCAAGAGAAATGGATCGCTGTCAAATTGCTGGGCCGTATTCAACGGTGTGAGGATGAGCGCGTGCGCAATCGCGTGGTCAGGATGCACGGATACCAGATTCTCAACTCGCAGCTCGCTCAATGGAAGGAAGACACGAATGTGGTGCTGCAGATCATGAACATCCTGGACGGATTCCCTCGACTGACGCGAAACAAAATCCAAGATTCCAAGATTGAAGCGAATATTCAACCGCTGACAACTTGTGATGATGAACGCGTGGCAAAAAAAGCGGCTGCTTTGCTCGCAAGCTGGGCTGGGCTGGAAGTCGCGTACCGAATTCCTCGTATGAAGCGTGGCAAGGATGCGAAGCACGCGGTCAACCAGTTCGAGCGCCGCGAGACTGGAGGCCAGCAGCGCCAGCGATCTCCGACGCGCTCCCCGTCTCCTGTTTACGACGCTCCGCGAGGACCGGCGCAGCAACGAAGAGACCGAGGTCCTCAGCGTGGACCCAGACAACAAAACCGCCGTGGCCCTCGGCCATTGCCTGAGGGATGGTTTACTGCAGAGTCGGAGGGCCGCACGTACTATTATTCTGCTTCTGGAAAAACAACTTGGGAGCGGCCGACTGTGCCTGCAACCCCAACCACTCCTGCGCCAGGGCAGCATTCGAAAGTCAAGCAGAACCTGGCATTGCAGAACATCATTGATGGAATTATGAATGCTCAGGAGGAAACACCCTCCGAGCATAAGACCGATACACCGGCTACGCCTCAGCCTGCTGATCTGCCGGAGAAAAAGAGCAAGGATGGGGAGAAGTGGAGGAAGTATCCATTGGAGAAACAGAAGAAAATCTACGAGAATACTGTGCGTATTGATTCAGAATGTGGTGCACATGCATTGGACTAACGAAACACAGCTTTTCCCTCACATCAAGTCTGTTGTCGACCAGTACAAACACAAAATTCCGAAGGACGACCTAAAGCGATTTGCTAAGGAGGTGAGAGCCCAGTGTCCGCTTTTCATCTTCCTTTCAGATCCGAATATGCTAACTCGTTGATAGACTGCCAAAAAGCTTGTTGAAAGTGACTACAAAAAGAACCGCGTAACGGATCCCACCCGGATCAGCGGCAAGCACCAGCAAACCGTCAAAAGCTACTGCAAGACCTTCTTCGACAAGGCGGCGAGCAAATACGAGACTCGCGAGAAGCGCAAGACCGAAAAGTCAGCAGAGGCAACTCCAGTCGCCGACGCAGACACCCACATGTCCGTCGAAGAAACTACCGCCACCACCTCGCCCTATGCCGCAGACGACGACGACGCCGCCTCCCTCAAGCGCAAGCGCGAGGACCCCATGAACGTTGACGGCGCAGACAACGGCGGCAGCTCACCATCCAAACGACAGAAATCCACACCTCCCCCGCCACCCCCTCCTCCCCCTCCAGCAGCAGAAAAATCCCAAGACGACGGCGACGGCGACACCAGCATGGCAAACGCGGAAGACCCGTCTCCCCCGAAAGACTCCTACGATGTCAATATGGAGGAAACGGAGACACCGAGCCAAAACCCCCAGATCAGCATCGAGGGATAGGCGAGAATTTCTATTGCATTAATACCCAAAAGCGAGGACGAGCAGGGATGAGATGAATCAGTGTGTTACTTATGCTTCTACCGTGTCTTTTTCTTGACATTTATTTTTGTGCTTTTTTTGCTTTCTATGTCAATACCCCGAGCCGCAGTGCCCAGTGCCACTATCATAGTTTGCATCGATTTGATTCGGCTTTTAGCTTCTCACTTTACCCGTGTACATTTGGTGTTCGAGTATCATACATAGCGAATAATATCAGAGCTTGAGCTTGATCTACCATTTCTGCGTCTATATTGACATCGATATTGAGATCAATAAGAAATCCATATCTCGATCTACATCTTACCGAAGCACTTCCTCACTCACTACATACACCCAAGAAATCCCAGCCTCACCAGGGTGGGGGGAAAAAAGATCAGGTCATAACCACAAAATCAAATCATTCCAGCGTGAAAATAAGAAGAACCCTAAATCGAGAATCTAAATCTAATAGAAACTCTCCACAATACTGTCCTTATTCACACCCGCCGCGCCAGCATTCTCACCAAGACGGAACACAGACTCCACAACACTAAGCTCGGTAGCGGTAGTGTCGAGACCGGTAATGGCGAGCCAGTCGTTGACGACCATGCCGGCGCCGACGACCGGCGAACCGCGGTTAACACTACCAGCGACGAGAGGCACCTGCAGCAGCGAGGAGAGCTCGTCCTGGTCGCGGATAGAGGTCTTGGGGTGCACGATGCCGCCGGAGTTGGAGAGGGCCATGTACGAGCCTGTGAGGACGTTGTCGGCGACTGTTTGGCGGAAGACTTCTACGCCGAGGACGTCGGCGATGCTGTTGAAATTAGCGGGGAGTTCTTCTTTTTTGGGGGTTTGAGATTTGGGGTTTCTCGGTCTTGGGCGGGCTTACATCTCCTCGGTTTCACGCTCCAGATCCGGGTGCACGATTGCGACGTGGTCGTTGCAACAGATAACGTTTCCGAGTGCTGAGAGGCGCTCTTCTATGCGTTGGATCTTCACCGTGTCTGGCAGTGTGTTGCGCAGATGTTGCAGTTCTTGGTCTGTGGTTGTGGTGGGGACGAGGAGACCTTTGCGGTTACTGGATTTTGTTAAGTTTGTCTTCTTTTGGCGGTGCTTTGCGGGTTCACTTACCCGACGACTAGACGACCGACGATGCGGGTGCCGGCGATGGTTGCGTGGCAGATGGGGATGACATCTTGGAGTTCGGATTCGAAGACACTGGGTTTGGGTTAGTTGTGTTTGTTCTCGTTTGTTTCTGGGAGATTGGTATGGCATGGTGTATATCGGTTTGCACACCGCTGCTTATTCCATTGCTTCCATCGAAGTCTGAACGCACCTGTAGAAGTTCTCCGAGCCACCGACTGCAACGATGGCGTAGGCGTTTGTCAGGCAGGAGAAAACACCGACCCTGAAGGTGAACTGTTAGTTTTTGTTGTTATGTTCCCGATATTCCTGTTCCACTCACTCGTTCGAGTTCTCGAATTGCGCGCGGACAGCCATCTTTTTAGAATTGGAGAGTGGTGTCTAGAGAAATCCTGGTGAGAGCGGGGTAAAGAAGCGCGGAGCTAGCGCAGTGACGAGGCTGAGAGAGAAAAGAGTAGCAAAGTAAAGACAAATATATTCCAATGACTTTGAATTCTTTGCAGAAAGGTCGAAGAGATAAATAATTGAGAGACGTGCGATAAAAAAAGAAGAAAGCTCGGACCAATCAGAGGAAGCGCTCGTTTTGCCCCGCAGGAGCCGCAGAGGCGAGAAGAGGTGGGTTGAGATTGGGTACTGATACTTACAGTACCATATTAATTTATATAGTAAATTAAGTACTGCTACCTCGTTTTCACTGACTCATTCTGTCTCTTGATGATTCATTTCACTAGTTCAACGTCTATCAAGAGAGTCATCTTGTATATTCTACGTGATGTGGATATTTCCAATACTCCGTGGCAATGCTCTTGTTGTATGGTCTTGTATGGATGTTCAGAGATTTATTCGATTTGAACCCTACATACGTACACAAGTATTGTATCACTAATTCCTTCTATAAAATTATACCTATCCTCTTCTCTCTCACACATAATGCTCAATTTTTAATTCATCTATATGCTTGACTGATCTCTACCTCAGGTCACTTTCAATACATCTAGACTGTCGAGAATCTTTGATTGCCCTGAACACCTCAAGTGTACGAAGAATCATCATCATCATGATATGTTCATCCCAAAGCCAAGATGACTTGGTTTTGAATCTCAATTACTGAGGATCATCAGCTGAAATCAATTAATCAGACAACTAAGGTCAGTATGAAGATGCAACAATTCGCTGCTATAGACTGCCATGTTACTCAGCTCTTTCTAAACAACACTTTCTAGACGGCAGCAACCTCATCAACATAGCCTGTCACTTGTGTCTCATTCCTCTATAACCTCAATCAACGGGGAATTTTTATCAAATGATCACTACTGTGGCTTGTGGAACAAGTGATTTGACAGGCATTTGGGGAAATAAGTCGTGCATCTGTCAATCCGACCGCCGCCGCCGAGAAGGATGAATGTCGAGCAGCCGTGTATGCAAGGCAAGCTGATCCATTGGAAGTCCAAGCGACATTCATCATGTGCGCAGCTGCAGTGCAATGCCCAAAATAAGCGTCGGGCCACCGCGCTCACGCAAATGGCAACCCTTCACGACATGCCTAAGAGGGCGACTCGATCAACCCGGTTCCTTCAGTAGGAAACGGCCACGGGCAACATTCAACGGAACTATGGACAAACTGGCAGGTGTGCTGACAGAGTAGCTATTCCTCTCAGGCTGGAAGTGGAATGCACCGCGACTCGAGCGGCATCATGCTAAACCATCAATCCTGAAGTCTTCTGGCTATTGCTCACAATCAGACAAGACAACGACTGGCCAATCACTGCGAGCAAGTCCTGCAAAGATGGGATTTGTGGTCACCGTCTGGAAGATATTGAATTTCCATTCGGTCATCACATGTTGCAGGTGGCCGGCAAAATCCCAGGAAGTGATTTTTCAACACCTGAAGCCTGCGCTGAAACATACCCATCTATCCAGTTGATTAAGTTTCTACTTTCATAGATATTCAAATCCTCGTACTCAATCGCCTCATACCAGACCGAAGATCTCGGACTGAAGATAGCCTTGGCGCCGTTGAGTTCACTTGCTGAACCCTCAACTCTTGAATCTACACCTCCACTCCAATTGCTCCTGCACTAGATCTTGTTACCTTTTCCCCTTCAGATACATGCTACTTCGAGTACGAATGCATATGGGTATTGAGTACGCCTGGCTTATCAACCAAGGTAAATGAGATTTTTCATTTTTCAAGAGGTATCAATACAAGGGAAGAACCCCTTTTCCTGCTTCAGAAACCTTGAACTTGATCGTTCTGAGCATTCAACGCCTGATCCTTCCGCCGGAAAACAGTGGTAACGAATACAAAATGTTTGAAGCCCGAAAACCGATTCTCGAACGTGATTTCCTCTCTCCTGGCCCTCGAGATCGAGGTCAGAATCGAATCATTGCTCTGTTGTTACTCCGACTTTGCACAGAAACCCGCTCCTCTCCCTTTCATTTCCCTCTCACATTTTCGTCCACTTTAGTCTTCCTCTTTCATCTTCGCCTCACTTCACCGAGGTCCTCGTAGAGAAGCTTTGAAGAACGGTCAAAAAGCCGTAAAGGAAAACCACGGAAAACATCCCTTTTCCGTCCCCTATATGAGTGGTTCTTCCGTTTTCATTCAACTCACCTCGCTAAGGTTCTCGGAGTTAAGAAAACGGTCAAACAATCGAGGAGCGCCCTCCAGTCAATTCATGACGCCGACGAGCTCCTGACGCTGTGGCCGGCATGGCGTATGGTGGATTCGGCGGTAGAGATAGCGCGAGTCATGCGCAAGTCATCATGGATAGGAACTGCAGCGTCGTGGTCTACAGCGTTCTGAGCCCTGCAAGAATGGGGAACGAAGTTGTTCTGAGGGTATGGACAGGTACAGCGAACATGTATCATTGTCACAAGAATGAGACATCGAGGAATGATCCCGGGGTCAATGAATGGTCACTTGAGACATAGCGTTCCTGACTTCAACGAGGACACCGGATTCTGGATACCCCCTCCACAAAGCGTCCGGTTGTCCGAATTACAAGCTTACATAGCGGCGAAGAATTTGAACAATCGCGAGCTTTACAAAAGACTCTCAAGCTCGCAACGTCGAGATACTAGTCGTCCGCCCCGAGGATTTGTCGTACACTCTGAATCTAAGCGACAAAATGGATCCAACGATCTATCAGTTCTGGAAGACCCCCGGATAAGTGCGCCCAGCCAGCTGACGCCGACACATGTGGGGAGGAATTTGCCGCGAAACGCAAGCTCAAATTAGCGCTGAAAAAGGAATATCGCAACACGACTCCAACAGACCTACTTCCACAACCGCTGGACCATCAACTGGACCAGCGAAGCTTCTTATTAGAATCAGGGAGAGATCGGTCAATAGCGGCTGGTCGTTGTAAAGACGTAGGCTCTCTTACTTAGTCCTCAGTATGGATTTACTATTGTTTGACTGTCTCGGTTTCTGATCGAATTGGTAGTCTTCACTTGCTATAATCTTATTCCTGCAGCCTTGACAAGTGAAATAGCAGAGCACAGTACTCGTCGGCTTTATTCTCACCAATATTTCAGTTTGGAATCAATCATGTACATATTTTGACTTCCGTCGTCTCTTTTGATCTTTCTTTAATGTTATTTTTTACAGCCTACATCCTGCATACAATACACTACATTCTACAAGATAAAGCAACTTAAACGAGAAACTTCATTCTCTCCGCCCTCCTCACAAACAAATCACAACCAACAACCCCGAGGGAGGCAGAATTAACTAAGTACATAAAGCGTGGTATCAAACGCGCGAAACGCTACATCGAGAAACTAATGGTACAAACGCAGCCTAATACCGACGCGGAGGGTGCGAGCCAGGCGGCGGCGGCGGGAAATACAAAGAGGGCGCGTGGCCCGGGGGCGGCGGATGGCCCGGAGCATGGCCGGGCTGGTGGGCAGGTGGGTGGCCAGCTTGGTGGCCCGGCGCGTGGCCTGGTGCATGGCCCGGAGGAGGAGGCAGATAGCCCGGCAGGGGCAATCGGGCGAAGTTGGAGCCCGGCGGAGGCGGCAGCTGCGGGGGACCGTTCATGGCGAAGGGGTCCGGGAGGCCCATGCCGCGGGCGGGGAGGAGACGCCGCGGCTGGGTGGGGGTTGGGCGGGGGAGGATGAAGGAGCGAGGGTCTGTTGGACCCAGGTGGACTTGGTGTTGGGGGACGATGCGCTGCATGGGATCTGTGCGCATCATTGGGAGGTGGGGGGTTGGTTCTGACAGAGCTGTATCTGCCAGGATGGAGAGGGCGCGGGGGTCGACGGGGACTTCGGCGGTCCCGTCGAAGTTGATGACTTTGCCGGATGCTTCGGCGTCGGTGATGAAGGTTGCTGCGTGCAGCATGCTTTCGAAGGTGTTGGTGGTGAAGGCGCGCAGAGCTTCTTCGTCTGTTTGTTCGGATGTCACAGAGAGGTTGCCCATACGGACTTTTTGGACAAATTCGTCCCAGCCTTCGGCTGCTGCGTCATAATCAATGGCGCCTTCTGGGTCCCTAACCGCTTCTGCGGTGAAGCCGCGCTCGACTTGGCGGATGGCTGTGTCGCCGTCACGGAAAAGGAATTGCTTCTCGGACTTTTCTGAATCGGATGTATCGGTCTGGTGATTGTTAGTTTGTTTTTCCTTGTAAAGCTTGGGATCCTCTTACCTCTGTGTGTTCATCGTCTTCGGCCACCCTGCGGCCTTGGATCAATGCCATCACTTTGCCCATCAACATTGTAACCATCTCTTCTTGGACTTCCTCAATCTTATGCTATTTGGGAATAATTAGAATAGTGTATCTCAGACAATTGCGTAAAAGCTTACCGCTGCAGAATCCTTGATAATATGAAGATCACCATCGCGCTTCCGAATTGTCAATGCAGACCTCCTCTTATGGTCAGCCGTCAATCTTGCGACTGCCTTGCGTTCATAATCATCCAGTTCCTGCTGGACTTGAGTAAACTCTGGACATTCCATGTGTGCGTTCTTGTCGCGAGCAAGCTTGTGCATATTCTGATCGGCAATTACGCTCAATGCAATCTGCTGGGCCTGGCCAACTTTCTTGAATAGGATAGATAGTTCTTCCTGGCGGGTTTTGAGCGGCTGGGATTCTGGAGTAGGTGATGGAGTCCGGCCACGCCAGTTTTCGGCGTCCCAGATTTCGTCCTCGATCTTCTTTCCACGCTTAATGATAGTAGTCTGCTTGGCTCGGCCACGTCCTCGGCCACCTCGAGCCTTGGCAACTGCCGGAGGTCGAATTGGGCCGACAAACCCACCGCGGCCTCCACGGCCACGACCCCGTCCTCGTCCTCGGCCGCGACCACCGCGAGTCCCACCACGTCCTCCACGGCCGCCTCGAGCAGAGGGTGGGTAGCCAGTTGAATCAAACTCCTCAGAAGGAATCGGGATATCCTCAGCGGATGTTTCATTTTGCGTATCAAGTTCCATGCCATTCTGCATGGGGCTTTCTGGGTTATCTTCGGGTTCAGTGTAATCGATTCGCACCTTTCGGTTAATATTTCCCTCGGGTTCCACTTCCGGAGTCTCATCTGGCATTTCAATCGACTTGCGCTTACGTGACAGTCGAGGTGAAGACACGGCACTGAGAGGTGCTTGTTCAAATTCGTCAAGTTTCGGGCTCGCTGCAGGAGTCTCCTCATCCTTCGCCTTAGTCGGTTCTGGAAAGGAGATCATGGGAATATCCAATTCACCGGCCAACTCATCAGCAGGCCCAAGTTGGGCTGCTGTAGGTGAGGCAGGAGCAGAAGCAACCATACGAGGTTCTGGGGATTGAGAGGTTTTTTGAATAGGAGGTTCGGACTTATAGTCCTCTTCATAGAGATGAGAATCATCCATATCCACATCGTGAGTAGATTGGGGCTCGACAACTTTGGTCGGCGAAACATCTTCATCAAAGGTACCATCTTCATTGGGCTTCAATCTGGCAGACTGCCGAGTAGTCCGTGAGGACTCAGGCACAGGTCGAGGTTGCCGAGGGCGCCGTGTGCGAGGAGTCTGTGGAGATTGCAAACCATTCACATGGCCGTCGCCCTCATCAAAATCAGCAGAATAAGCACGATCCAGCAGTTTTAGCGAGGGAATTTTGAATTTAATAATGAGCGAGCGAACTTCTGGCGGTGATTCAACGCCGGATGGAAGACGACCAGGTAGACTGGAACGGCCACGACCACGAGCTCGACCTCTTCCACGACCTCTGCCGCGGGTAGGAGTTGCAATGACATCTATACAATTAGTCATTAGATCGCCAGTGGCCTACGAAATGCACATACCTTGAGCTGTGCGCCCTGATCGCGTAGAAATACTTGGAGTACGAACTGCAGGCTGTGCAGCCGCACGATTTTTTCTTCTTCCCACCATCGCTGTTGTCTTTGGGAAAAAAGTTAGTGTTGAAGACGGGGAAATTGAAGTAGCAGCAAGGGGGTGTGGAGAGAAACACGGTTACGACATGGGAAAATTGAACCGCGGAGGAAATAAATGTATCAAAGGGGAATCATTCGCAAAGATCATGTAGTTTCAGAAAGAACAAAGTGCAAAATAATATGAGATGGAGGGGGAAGAAAATATGGAATAGGACGAAGTAAAACGGTAGACAAAATGGTTCGAAAAAAGACGAAAAAAGACCAGACGCGAGCGTAGAGAGACAAAACGTCACCAAGTAGATTGGAGTCAAGGGAAGAGGAAAACCGAGAAAAGTCTTGGCAAGGAAGACGATGAAATACAAATTCGATAGAAATAGAACAACGCGATCAAAAAGATTAAGTCGCAGTGGGAAACAGACAGGGTTTTTGAGGCAGCGCGCCAAACCAAACCAGATACGGGAAAGGGTAAAATGTAGATGAATTGGAAGGGGGAGAAGAGTAGAAAATCATGTAGATCACAATGAAGGCGAGAACTTACTGGCAAAGCGATGGAGGATGGAAAAAGAACAAGACACAAGTAGATGAAAAGAGATCCGCAGGTTTTTGACCGGGTGGATGGGGAACACGGGAGTCAAAGTAAAAAAACGGAGGGAGATGCACCAATAACCAGTAAGAAACAGTAGAATGTGGTAGGAAATAGGGTTTAGGTATGAAGAAATAAAAAAGAACAAGAGGATAATCTAATAGAAGGATAGAAATGTACTTGAAGTTGAAGAAGAAGAGAAGAAGAGAAAGGGAAAAGGCCAAAACAGTTCCATGATTAGCTGAGAACCTTTTCCCGTCCACCAACGGTGCTGAACTACTACAATATAGATAGAATATAGTCAATGTAGTGGATTGAATGGAATATTTCACTGAATACCAAACTATTGAATCGTTATTGAACATTGAATACTAAATAACTTCATCAATGTCATTCTCGATTGTTCTCGATTGAAACCGGTGACTTTTGTCCCTACAACCTGGGAGCATTACCTACGATGTATGAGTACCACATTATAGAACATGACTATCATCACACTATCACAATCTCTTATTTAGACAATTACAATGTCATATACCCCATTTTATTCTATTCCAACTCGATCCAAGATTCCAATACTTATTGCATACATCCTTGTAGCTTCCATGTACGTGTATCTCCGATCCCCAGCCACTTCCGGCACACAAGTACCGGAGCATTTGACATTCGCCCCACGGCGGGAGATTCTCTTTTTGAATGAAGAGCACTATGATACTAGTAAATCCTGCTTGTTATTATTCTAACGGTGTACAATGTATGATATCTGTCCTATTGAAAGTGAAAAAAAAAGAAAATCTAAGAGTTGTTCCACCGACCCACTTAGCCCAAGAGTCGGTGACAACGGATGCGGACGGTTACAAGGAGAACGCAGCACTTAACACCGTATATAGTACAAGAAGACAATAAAATGGCGCAAGAAAAAGTAAATAAATTCGCAAGACAAGGATATACCCAAATTCCAACCCAATTAACCTATTCCCATCCTATATACATAAGACCAAACCAAATCAAATATACAGAGGCTCCAAAACAACAACAAAAACATAGCAAGTCGTAGCATTAGCATCAGGCCGTACAAGGCAAGCACTGATCACTTTTCATAAGGGGATTCGTTCAAGTCATATCTATTCTCCAGCATGCTCATGCGCCTCCTCTCCTCGGACTCCGGCAGCGGCGAGGGCAGCGGCGAGGGCGCCCGCATACTATCACGCAGCGAGCGCGCAGACCTCATCCGTGTAATCGTGCCGGCGGGTATAGTCTGGCCTGCCGAGGGCGAAGCCTTGACCATAGTGCCTGGGATGAGGGTGGGTGAGGGACAGGGGCTGTTTGAGCGGAAGAGGGGGTGGATGTTTGTTTCGCGGAAAGGATTGTATTCCCATGTGGAGTTTGGGTTTGATGTAGTTGGTGAGTCTAGGAGTGTTGATGTGGGGGAGGGGAGAGGTGGGTGGACGAGATTGTCTAGGGAGAGTGGGGTTGGGGCGTTGCGGCGGAGACTGGGCATGCTGCGAATGCTGTTGTTGCCGCGGAGGAGGGGGCGATTGCTGAGGTTTGGGGCTTTGTCGGTTATTGGGGATGGGGAGGGGGATGAGTGTGTTGAGGTGGTGTCGATTGAGGCGTTTTGGGTCTTGCTGGATGGGCATAGGGTTGCGTCTGAGTAGCGGCTGGAACGCCGGGGGTATTTGCGGAGGGAGGATCTTTTGGGCTCGAAGAGCTCTGATAGATCGGCGACTCGGGGTGGTGATGGGAGAAGCTTGGGACTCTCCGGCATGTCTTTTAGCTCGTGGGGGTATGAGCGGGGCCAGTCCGGGTTGGATTGTTCTTTATATAGGTTCATGGTGATGAATCCGCAATATAACCCTTGGGCGAAGACTGATAAAGCCCAGAAAACTGATCGAGTGATGAACAAAGCTCCTCGGTGGCTCATTGCCATTGCTCCGGCTGATGCTGCCGCGGCAATGAGTAGATATCCACCGGTCAAATAGGTACATGAGAGACGACCAGTCTGGACGTTCTTGTGGTGTAGGAGACCGAGGGCGATCAAGGCTAAACAGCCCACCGCACTTAAAAAGATTGTGGCCACATCGGCTGAGGCTTGCGAGGTTGCAAAGCAGATACAATTGAGAATGGTGACAACGAATGTTGAGAGCAATGAGGCTCCCGCCAGTGTGTAGGGCAAAGACGACATGTTAAACATTGTGGAAAACAAATGTAGGGAGAGAATAGGCAAAGAACGGCCTCGGGGTATATACTTTGTAAAGAGTGTGGATATGTCAAATGGTGGCAGACAGCCAATCCAAGACGTTGGCCAATGCAGGCAATGAGTGAGGAATATGTAAGTCTGGGAGTGGGAAACATGGGAGTATTTATCTAGCACGCCTAAAGAAGAGGGTTCGTACACGGGACGGGGCGACGCACTCTCAGCGTGGCTCAAAGTATATCGACCGGGGAAGCCAGCCCGTATGAACCTGTCAATTTTCTCTAGAAAGATCGGTCTGATCCATCAACCCAGCGTGGCGGTTAGGGTCTGCAAATCAGACTTCGCTGGGTCAAATGCCCATCGATTGGCTGCGGAAGAGAGATGCCGTGGCGCAAGCTGCATAATGTACCTGGATATTGACAAATTTCGTATTCCAAGCGATGGGAGCCGAGACCATTGTGTGCCTGCCTCACTCTGGGGTAGGGCCTTGTCCAGACCCGGCTTGCAGATTGCAATTCCGATAGTTCGGTCAATCGCTTGAACAATGGCACTATCTATCTGATCTGTCAGTCTTGTGGATCGGTTACCAGCCCTCTGGGGTTAGAGGTGGCGGATCCTCCTCCCGATCTCAATAGTGCGGTCCGAATGTGATGTGTCGGTCTCCCTTGCGAGAAAAAGCTCCGCGCTCCCCTGGATTCTAAGTCTAGGCGGATTTAGCGTGAGTATTTGCATTCAAATTGTAGGTCAAATTCATAGATAGTCCTGACGGATCATGACCTATCCTGCAGGAAATTGATCAGGTTGGACTATCTAGAACATCTGTCAATTTCATGTAGAGGTCCGTGCGAGTGCTATACAATGTCCGTCTACACATATTATCAATTTGGTAAATTCTTAGTCTCGTTTAATTTCCGTGAGATTATCTTTGTCCGTGGGGTTTGAGATCGGCTTTTTAAAGCAACATGTACAATTCCCAGTCTCACCCTCGTCCGCTGTTTTGATAGCCCAACATTCCGATGAAACGCCACCTCTTCGGACAATAGGTTAGGGGAACCATCCTGCATGCGATGTATTTCAAAGCGCAGTCAGCTGTTCGCCAATGATTAAATCTGCCAGTATGAAAGAACAGCCACTACTTTGTGCCCCGTACATAGCAAGCAAATTCATCAGGTCTTCCGGACTCCTGGCCCTTAATCAATTCACCAAGCTCTACTCCGTAGGCAAGCATCGTCGCTTATCTCTAAATTCCACGAGGTAACGCATTTCTCAGTGCTCTTCTGTTGATTATTGTAATGGCTTCTTCGGGTCAATATTGCTTTTCGCAGCGGCGCAGATTGTAGAACAGCCCGGGATATCTGTTCCAATATGGGAATAAATTCTGATATCAACCCAGTGCCAGCGGGTCCAGTAGAATATGATAGAATTCGAGGCTGAGCTAGGTATTGCGAGATACCTACCACAACACAGACTACTGAGTGAAATTTCACTCTTTGCATTCCAAGATATCTGCAACAAAGTGAGATTCGAGTCAGCCTTTTTGACATCTTCGAAGCTCCAGTGCGGCCGATCGGGAATTGGTGAATAGTTTTGGCAAGGTGCAACGGCAACTCTAAATGGCAGTTGCATGATGCCAAGCAAATAATCCAAATGAGAGATGAGTGCTTGGAGATCATGCGTAAAAAATCAAGGGGATCGATCGGTCAGGGTTCCCAGAGTTCGTACATTGTTCATTTCAAAAGTACCGAAGCTCGATCTGGAAGTTCTGGATGAGAATATTGGGATAATAAATTGCAATTGCAAGGGGAGAGAGCGAAGATCCTTGGATTATCATGAAAATAAAAGAGGTAAGGACCCCAACATCCACTCTCGACGATCAGATGTAATCATATATCCTTGAAAACGTTTAAAGCTTGAAGTACAGACTCTGCATGTATAAGTACTCGAATCAAAGGCACTTGTGGTAGAAAGATCCATCGACTTGCTGTTGGTAGCTCAATGAGCTTTAAAGGATTCGGCATCGGCGTTGCCGGTCAATGCATTCGGAGAAATCCTGGGGGAAATCAATTGGTGTAATTTGTCACCTGCATCAATCAATTTCTGCACCATATCAATTCCTCATATGCAATATTTCTTCCGTATGGGTACAATATGTACTACCAACACGGTCCACCTAATTATAGGCATGCTCCCTTGGAAGGCAATGGTGCTTGACATTGCATATATAGGGTCAGAGTGGCCAAATTGAGGAATTATTATTCAAATGCGTTTTGATGTCATTGGGACTAGATTGGACATTGGATCTGCGTCTTCAACCTATCAATTGACATGCCTCGGCGCGTCTGCCTTCCGGTTGTAATGTGGGCTGCCAACATAGGCAACCAGAGAATCGAATGAACATTGGTAGATATCTGCGGGGATGAGTATGTCGTATAATAAATGTATACTTAGACTCGAGTACAAGCACAATAATAACCTTGTAAATCAAGGACAAGTGAAGTCCAAGTCCAAGTTCAAGTCCCATAGCTCGGTGAAAGGTACATGTAGTTAGCACTCAAGGCGGTCAACCGTGCCACCGCCCGCACTCGTTTGCTGTGCATCATCGTCACTCTAATCGGGTCCCCTCCTCTGTCTCTTTTCTTCTTTCTTCTTTCGACTTCATCGCTGGGAAGATCCACTGTATCTGACTCGGTTTTTTCTCGCTATCTCATATCTCTATCTGTCATTTTATTTTCCTCCTCTTTCCTCCTCCCTGGTTCTATACAAAGGCGGCAAAATGAAGCTCACTTTCAAGGTACGAAAACTTGCCCTTGGGTCCCCCACATTCGCTGACAACTTTTGTCTATAGGACCTGAAGCAGGAGAAGTTCGTCATCGATGTCGAGCCTTCTGAGACTGTACGTTCTTCCTTTCGCTATATATTTCAAACATCATAGGGTGCGGGGCTCATCTGTTTAGGTTCGCGAGGTCAAGGTCAAGATCGCTCAAGAAAAGGGCGAGTACGAAGCAGAGCGCATGAAGGTTATCTACTCCGGTATGTATTGTCTCACTCAACAAATCCAAGCAATCGTCTGTCTCCAGAATCTCAACTAACCATTGCTTTTCTTTTTTTACAGGAAAGATCCTTCAAGATGACAAGACAGTCGAATCTTATAATATTCAAGAAAAGGACTTCTTAGTCTGCTTGCCTTCAAAGGTATGATCCCCTTTCTTGATCAATTGTCAATCGCCGAACCACAACTGACGGGATATTCACCAGCAACCCAAGGCCCCTGCCGCCGCCTCTCAAGTCCCTTCTACCCCGGCTCCTCGAGCCCCAGTATCGACACCCGCTGCCCCTCCAGCTCCCCAGGCTGCCGCTGCTCCTCCTACATCTGCTGCTCCCGCAACTCCTTCCCCGGCTGGTGCTGCCCAGACTGGGCCCGCCTTTGGCGACCCCTCGGCTTTGTCCATGGGCTCTGCCGCTGAGGGCGCAGTTGCCCAGATGGAGGCGATGGGTTTCGCCCGCACCGACATCGAACGCGCCATGCGCGCTGCTTTCTTCAACCCCGACCGCGCTATTGAATATCTTTTGACCGTAAGCTTACCATGAAATTGCACTACAAAATTCCTGCTAACGGCCATAGGGTATCCCCGATAACATCCAGGAACAGCAGCAGCAGCAACGGCAGGAAGCCGAAGAGTCAGCTCCTACTGGGGCCGCTCCTCCCGCTGCCACCGGTGGCGAAGAGCCACTGAACCTCTTCGAAGCTGCTGCCCAAGCGGGTGGTGAAGGTGGCCGAACCCGTGGTGCTGGTGCCGCCGCCGGTGCCGGTGCCGGTGCTGCTGGTGGTGAGGCCCTCGGAAGCCTCGAGTTCCTCCGCAGCAACCCCCACTTCCAACAACTCCGCCAACTTGTTCAACAACAGCCCCACATGCTTGAACCCATCCTACAGCAGGTTGCCGCCGGGAATCCCCAGATTGCTTCGATCATCGGTCAGAACTCCGATCAGTTCTTGCAGCTTCTCGGTGAGGAACTTGATGATGACGAGGGTGCTTTGCCACCCGGTGCACAGGCTATCTCGGTTACGGAAGAAGAGCGCGACGCCATTGAACGTGTACGTATAATCTTTCTTCTAATCCCTGCATTCGGATTTTGACTAACCCTATCCAGCTGTGCCGTCTCGGCTTCCCCCGCGACTCGGTCATCCAGGCATACTTCGCCTGCGACAAGAACGAGGAGTTGGCAGCCAACTTCCTCTTCGACCAGCCCGACGAGGATGAGGAGTAGAGGGAAGAGTCACGAGCAAAAATCTTCACTTTATCTTCTTGATCTCCGAAATTCTTTCCCTTTATCTTACGTTATGTTCTGTGATGAATACCAAGCATTCTGCTGTTTGAATTGATTCCCATCTCGCCTCTCTTCCCACGAACCTGACAATGCTCAGCCTTACGTCTGAGTTTCTACTTGCTGTGGACCTGGCTTGCATCCCTTTCTCATGTATCTACCTATTGGGCAAAACGGGACTTGTTCGCTGCATTGAGTGCGTAGCTGTAAATGTAAATCAATACCTAGGAGGTCAATGTAGACTTAATCATAATTTTGATCATATGATAATTGTTATCTTGAAATGATCATGGGTTATATATAGACCGGTGACCTGCAGAGTTGTTCCCGTGCCGAAGTATATATCTTGGCTACACATGATTGGAACCGCCCAATGCGCCAGAATACATATGTAGGTACTGAATTCTTTACAATAGTACCCAGTACCCAGAACCCAACTATAAATGTTCTATACCAAGATACGATCTAAACTTTAAATTTACGACATTCACTCGCGGACATAAAACCGGTCTATGCAACGTTAGTTGTAGCGGAGCGCAATTAAATGGGAGGAGTAAAAATATTTTTATTACTATCGCAACAAAAGTTCTAGGAACCACGCACATGCCGGTTCTTCAATTACAAGCAGAATCTTTGGTGATGCTAGGGATTTTCGTGAACGAGTTCAGTAGTTCTCGTTGCAGGACTTGCTGTAGGACAGCACGGATCCAAGGAGACCCTCCACATGCCCAGCGAAGTTCATCGTAGGCTGGTAACTACATGTGTGTGTTTCGTCACCTGGGACGGGCGGGCTGGGTAATAGGTCCCGGCAAGAAAAGCATCGTCCCGATGCCCACAATGATACCTGCTCTAGTATTGCATGAGACCGCTCGTCGATTTCTGCCTTCCACGGGATATTCTTCTATCGTGTATATGTTTCCTCCCATTGTGGATAAGATCTGTCTGTTGTAAATCCACTCCTACCCTTTATTGTTGTCCTCCCTTGGTCCATCCCATCACCTTTGTCATAGCATATGAGGTATCGTTGGTGCTCTCTCGTTTAGAGTTGAGTTCAGTCTCGAGTACTGGAAAAACGGAACAATCAGGGCGCACTCCCTGTAGGTTGCCGCAGTAGTTGTGTCACTTCGATTGTATCCAAAAGACTAGCGACAACACATTTCTTTCCATCGCACCTAAGTCAATCTAGCTTCAGACGAGCTTTCCTCGACTGCGAAGCAATATTCTCAGTTGAGTCTTCTATTCCAGCACGTGAAGATACGGTGGGTGTGGACCGGAGTGTCTGCATTGTCACAGGCACACCGTTGACCAAGGACTCGGCAAGATTGTGAATTTCTTGGTGTGCTTGCAGAGATTGGAGATGCCGGATAAGATTGAGTTTGCCATCTGGCGGAAGGTGAGTGAGTGTACGGAGTAGAAGGCTTGCAAAATAAGTACATTGTTATCGTTCTGACTGATTGGTTGGGAGTGGTCCACTTTGTGCATGTTGCTGGTAAAATATTACGCGAGATCGTCGGAAGTCAAGAAATTGATATCAAGATACTTTGGATGAAAGGGTTCCCATCAGCAATGTCAATAGAGGATGGCAGGTGGGCTCAGTCTCAGTGATACTCGGCAAGAGCCGAACAAAGCCATGAAGTGGTATGAGGAAATCATGTACACACTATAACTATATGTACTTATCATGACCTATAGGTACGAATATAATTTGTTCGACCCAAAGCATAGAAGACGTGAAACTCCATTCAAGAATAAGATTCCGAAATTGCGACCTTCAAGTCACCAGGACTCCAACATTAGAATTGGCCAGTGCCTACAACTGCCCAGGTGACATCGAAGAGCCAATCAGCGAATTTAAAAGATAGGTTTCATCATCAAGTACAATTTATTATATGCAGTGCTGGCTACACGCATAAATTATGTATTTATATATGTATCAAAAGCTCAGAAATCAGACATCCCGATTACCACTCAATGCAAAAGGTATAATGGTCCCGTAGCCCTAGCCCAATACACCAAAAAATGACAAACAAAACGCATTGAAACAGTGTGTATTTCCAGAATGTGAATGGACCCCTCCCCAAAGCTATCCCAAAATTACACCCCGAAATCCAAGCAAAAAAAAAAGAAAAACTATTTGCAAGACCGCTGAACAGCCCACACACCCAACCCACGGCGACCAACAACGCGCTTCAGCGTGGGGAGGATTCCATCTTCGCCGAAATCCAAATCGTCAAGGTTGAGATGATTACGATAGGACCATAGCGGATGGAGCTGCAGACTCGTATCACGAGCACGATCAAAGGCATACGAGTCGAGGAACTCAGCCGAAGTAGGCGCGACCAGGAAAATGGACGACGGGCTCTCGCATCCAGGCACGGATTGTTCCAGCTGGGCGATCATCTCTGCGCCGGGCAAGCCCATCAGGTCGTGAGTTGTGATTTGGGGGTCATTCTTGCCCAGAAGCCAGAGGGGCGGGGAGTAAGTTTTCCACCAAAAGACGGTTGCTGGGGCTAGGATGAGATTGGGGAGGGCGAGCTGGGTGGGGACAACGCCACCTTGGTGGTAGACGCCCATTAGGAAACCCATTGCGGCGTTGAAGAGGATCCAGGTTGTTAGGAGGATGGGGCGTTTGATCTTGATGCAGCTGAGGAGGAGGGGGACGCAGGGGAGTAGGAAGCGGGGTTCTTGGTGGGGGAAGAGGGAGAGGAGGGCTGTTGCGGAGAGGGCGGAGAGGGCACGCATGTTGCGCATCCAGTTTGGGACTAGGGGCCAGCTGAAGAGGGAGAGAAGCATGGCGATGTAGGCTGGGCCGAGCAGTTGGAGGAGGTTGGCGGTTAGGTGTTGGTGGTGGGGGTGGAGGCCGTGCTGGGCTAGGTTTTGGGTGTTGCTGTTGTAGCGGAGGTTGTTGAGCGGGGTGATTATTGGGTTGCGGAGGGCCTTGAGGAATGTGGTGGTTGGCTGGTAGAAGGTTGTGTCTGTGATTATTGCTATTGTGGAGAACAGGAGGCCGAAGGTGACAAAAGCTGCGAGGGAGCTTGGTCTGTGGTTGTTAGGATGGTGTTTGTGTAAAGGAATAATTCATAATTGACGCACTTGCGCTTGAAATAGGGTAGCAATTGTAGGCCTGGGACGAGGAGGAAGGCTGGAAAGGTGATGCGGTTGAAGACGCCCACCACGGCGATGAAGGCGAGGACGGCATGGGAGAAGATGGACGAGCGTCGCTATTAAAGTATTAGTGGTTGGCTTGTGCTTGAGCATTGTTATCGCACCTTATTCTCGACAATGCGCCGAATCAGAACCAGTCCCCAGGCAACCAACAGGGTCTCGAGGGAGTTGGAGAAGGTGTGCGTCTGATATGTCCAGGTGACATACGACGAGGCCACCAGCACCACCTTCGCGCGTCGGTGACGCGGGGAAGGTTCCAGCTCGTAGATCGCCCAGTCTTCCAGTACAAAGCTCAATAGGAACATCCCACCACGCAGCGCATAGTAGACTAGTTGTGGTGGTGGGCTGCCCGACCCGATCTCATTATAGAACCATTGCAAGAGGCTCATCGGCAGCTCATAGGTCGCCCATAATGGGAATACACTTCGGATGGGATTTTCCACAGTGAATTCCCATGGTAATTTTGAAGGGTATGAGAATATGCGACCTGGATACAAGGCGATTTAGTCAGTGTTTTTTTTTTTTTTTTTCTTTTCCTTGCTCGTATAGGGGAGGTGTCGCGGGACAGCCGGATCGCGCATTGTGTCTTTTGTCTTTCTTTGGGATCGCAACAAATATTGAAGCGCGTATTTCCAGTCGCTGTATGGCTCGCGTGTAATCGGTGGAATTTAAAGACAGTTTGACCTACCTGCGAAGACCTCTGGGCCTTGAAAGTTCTCATCCGGGTGCAGATAGCTGGGTGACAGCGCGAAGTACACGCGAATCAACAATAACAATAAATATGTTCGTCGCCACATGATTCAACACATCATTAGATATTAAGAAATGATAAGAGTATAGTATTGTAAGTAAGAAAGAAAGGAGTGGAAGGGGGGCCGCTAAAGAAAGAAAAGGAAGACGCGTTATTGGGGCTATGATATCAGAGGTCCGCTCTAGCTGAAGATGCTTAAGTGTTTATCCTTCACTCTGCTCCCTGGAGAATATTCTTATATTCAGTATATTGTAGGTATAACAGTATCTATCAATATTGCTAGTACTATCGAATTTTTATTCTTATTGATTTCACTCTTGCGATTTTATTCATGTTCGCGTAAAATATACATAGGTTGTGTAATATCACTACAGATGTATATAATTGATAGATCGACATGCAACAGAGAAGCACAGATCACAAAGATCAATCTTAGCAATTTAACTATTGTTGCCTAGATAAGAAGGTTAACATATAGCCCTCTTACCATATGACCAATGCCGCTACCGCGCATTGGTCATATGGTAAGAGGGCTATTCTTGGCTTTGTTGGTTACATAGTATATATGTCAGGGCAATCTACTATTTGGTTATGCATAAATACATCCATATTACGTTGTACTTATATAGATCTACTATAGCCAGCGCATAAGTCAAATATAATGGCCTACCTCGGTAGCAAACAAGACCTATTTATTAGTACAAAGGTACATAATTATTTAACTAACAGAATCACAAATCGCACTAGGCAGTAGAGCAAACCGTGGGGGCTAAGAGAATTGAGGCTACCATGTCGGGAGCGGCCTACACGCCTTAGGTAAGAAATTCGTGAACATCACCCGCCTTCATCACCCACCTTAGAATCATTTCCACTCCATCTCTTTCAAAACCACCACCAATTTCTCTTCTTCAATAACCTTCAACTTCTCAACACTGTGCTTTTAATCTGTTAGTTACATTCACATATTCGCACATCCCCATCAAAGCGAAAGCTAATTGCCCAGTATCATCGCAAACATAGCCAACATGAGCACAATCACTCTTGTCAGTTCTGATGGTGCTGAACTCACTGTCGGTAAGTTGAAGCTTCATTCCACCTATGAAGACTTACTGATTGACTCCATAAAGGGCGTCCTGTTGCTGAGCGCTCTGTCCTGATCAAGAACATGCTCGAGGACCTGGGTGATAGCGGGGACGCTATCCCCATTCCTAACGTGAGTGTCTACAGCAGTTTTGAATCTGAAATCAGAAACTGACATTTCGTTTAGGTTAACGAGGCCGTCTTGAAGAAGGTCATCGAGTGGTGTGAGCACCACCAGAACGACCCCCCTCCGCCAGCGACGACGACGACAACCGTCGCAAGACCACCGACATCGATGAGTGGGACCAGAAGTTCATGCAGGTTGATCAGGAGATGCTGTTCGAGATCATCCTCGTATGTCTCGAATGAATTTGACTTGCAAACTTGAATAATTTACTGACTGCTACCAGGCTGCAAACTACCTCGATATCAAGGCCCTCCTTGACGTTGGCTGCAAGACCGTGGCCAACATGATCAAGGGCAAGTCCCCAGAGGAGATCCGCAAGACCTTCAACATCCAAAATGACTTCACTCCCGAGGAGGAAGATCAGATCCGCCGCGAGAACGAGTGGGCTGAGGAGTAAGTCGCCTCGCTTCCTTTGGATAGTATCATACTGACTTTCTTTAGCCGCTAAACGCTACCCTCCTCTTTGCTTTTAAAAATGGAATGATATCCTTTCGCTTAACGATCATGTGGATCGACGTTTCTGGATCTTTGAGAGAGCCATCACGACGAGGCGTTGGCCATGTTCTTTTTTTTTGTCCTTTTCCGCCGCTTTGCTCTTTATTTTTATTGCCCTAGGATAACTGGCATTTGGCCCTTAGCTATGAACAATCTACAAAATACCAACACACCCAAATCTTGGGGATATTCCTTGGGATGGCGGGGTCATCAAATGAGCCGCACTGCTGTGTCACGGCTATGACGACAGCCACTTAGCTGTAGATCAACCACGCCTGGGCAAGTTGCACTGCCACACATAAATCCAGCCTTAAAGTAGGAACAAGATCTACAACGCCAAAATACAGGGTATCCAATTCGAATCCATAAAATTTTGTATCAAAAGAGAAAAAAAAGAATCCCCGCCATGCCGTCCTACAAGCCCGCCCGAAGACGAGCACCCGACACCGCAGACAAGGGCCTTAATGATAAGAAGAGACGTGATGGAAATCCCCCAAAACTCCACTCGGAAACCGCGGAGACATTAAGAGATCTCCATTTTTAAAGAAGCACAAGCTTGAGACGACTCAGACCCGGATTGAAATGTAATTTTTTGTCTGCATTGGCAACTCAAGAGTAGTTTCCACATCGACTAGCGCTCTCAGATATCGAAAAAATCTTTCCGGTGTGGGCGTCACGTCATGAAGGTTTCGGAAAACCGAAAACCTATACACCCCGCGCAGACATAACTGAACAGATTGAGGATGGCCGGACGAGGTGCGCTGAGGGTCACTTAGACCTTCAGGGTCGACTTGCGCCAGTGGCGACGCTTGGCGTTGTATCTGGAATTATCATATCAGCCTTCATGTTCCGGTCCATGGCTTGTTTCAAGATCCAGTTCTGCTCTCCTAATATCTCAGATCGTGGTCTATGCGGTTGTTCGTAGATGGTGGTTTTGATCCCTTCGCTTCCCTCCCACATAGACGGTCCGACTGGGATTTTTTTGGAGGATTCTTGGAATTTTGAGTTTGGTTGATATCGGTGCGATTTACCTGATGGTGTTGCCGGTGCGCAGACGGATCCACTGGGGGATGGGACGGTTCTGACGCTGAGCTTTGGCAAGCTTTTGCTTGGTGCGGAAGGTCTTGTTGCTCTGTTGAAAAAAATGACGGGTTAGAAATTTATTTCGAGATCATATTTGGGCGACAAGGATGGCGGCGTTGACGAGACGAAGGTTGACGGGGCTTTTCGATGGGGTGTGCACATACCGGCATCTTGAAGGGTTGATCGCGACGGCGAGCTTGTTGGATGGACGGATGAAGTGGTCGACCTTCGGGTGTGGATGGTTTGTGTGCGGCAGGGCTTGGCTTTCGCTTCGGTTGGGTCAGGTGATGTCAGGCGCTAAGGCAAAGAATATTGCCTTGTCGCCTTGTCGCCTTGCTGCCTGAATTATTAAATTTCAGATTTACTGCCTTGTGGCCTTTCTGCCTTAGTGCCTGATATTCGGCCCCTCTCTCCGTTCAACTGGCCCCGCCCGTCACGGCACTTCTTTACATACATATGTACATATGTAGTTAGTCTTCTACAAAAATATAATGAGACTGTACTACTGCCTTCACACAACATACACCCAAACAGGTAATCTATGACTATCTTGACTCACGTTGATTCATGTTAACATTCGCCACTTGACAAGCGGTCAGATCCTGTAAGCATTTCTAGGCAGACACAACCGGAAACCGGGCATTTAACTAGCCGACATAACAAAAATACGCACGGGCGAATGTTCCAGAGCTCGTGGAGGATCCATAATTATTATAATCATTGTAAAAATCGCCGCGATGCTACTGGTGGATCGTATTTTGACGGGTTTTGAGATGCAACGTACCACGTTGTAAGCGAATCTGATTAGTGGATAAGAACACATAAGCAGAGCGTAAATGCATAAGAACCCTTAAATGTAGAGGACGAAAATTCGGTCGAAACTTATGGGTATACGAAGCTCTGTGACTCAGTTATCCACTCTGTCGTATTCGTTCCCAGATATTGTGACTATACTACGGAGTACGGACTCCGTATATTATATTATATGTGTTGATATGGAGTTGTATGCGATCATCAAGCAATATCAATGACGACTAATACTACAGCACTACAATAGACCATATGCTGCTCCTGTTATGGTAACCTTGCTTAGTACCTGCTGCGAGTTCCCCAGAAAGGGGGGTGTTAAGGGGTGGCCCTGGCAGGTCGTGGAATGTTCCGAGGAATGTGAAGCCTCCTAGAATGTTGATCGTTAAAGAAAAGAGATCAGAATCATATCATATACAATATAAAGGTACGTTCCAAAAAAAAGAGAGGTTCATTGAAGGTGATCGAAACCAGTATAAAGTACATAAAGCATAAAGCGGAGCCTGGAGTAGCCGACCCGATCGAAAATAAAAAAAAATTAGATAGTTCGGAGCAAAGACGCGGACTTGTTTAGGGTATTTAATTATTATATCACTCGACTACCCAACCCACTACTATCCCTTCCTTTCTATACCCCTTTAATTATTACATATTCCTAATCCTCTAATATCTGTACTTCTCTGTCGACTATCTGTCCCTTATCCATTCTTTCAACTTATCGCCAACTATCGCCAACTACCGCCAACTTAATTTGGACGGACCTTCTAACCTTTCGTCTTTCTTCATGGAGTAGAGATCCACAATAAGTGGGACTCAACTTCACTTATTAACCATGCAACAACCCGAGGAGGGCCTCACGGCCATTGAGAAAGTGGTGGAGGAACCTCAATTCGCAGAGAAGACTGAGAAGCGCGACTCCGACTCGGCATCCACATCAACCGCGAAAGAACATGAGACGAAGACGGCGGTTTCATCAGAAGAAGATGCGCTCTATGCTCACTTGCCGCAGCATGAGAAAGACATCTTGAAGAGACAGCTGGATGCGCCCCCCGTCAAGATCTCCTTCTTCGGCCTATACCGATATGCCTCTCGCATGGATATCCTGATTCTGGTGGTCAGCGCCCTTTGCGCCATTGCGGCCGGCGCCGCACTGCCTCTTTTCACTATTCTCTTTGGATCCTTGGCGACAGCATTCCAAAAGATCATGCTGGACACAATCACCTACGACGCCTTTTACCACCAACTGACCAAGAACGTCTTGTACTTTGTCTACCTCGGTATCGGCGAGTTCGTGACCGTCTACATCAGCACCATCGGTTTCATCTACACCGGTGAACACATCACCCAAAAGATTCGCGAGAATTACCTCGAAGCCATCCTGCGCCAGAACATCGCTTACTTCGACAAGCTTGGCGCCGGTGAAGTCACCACCCGTATCACTGCAGACACAAACCTGATCCAGGACGGTGTTTCCGAGAAAGTCGGCTTGACGTTGACTGCTATCGCTACTTTCGTCACAGCCTTCGTCGTTGCTTACATCAAGTACGCACCGCTTGCTGGTATCTGTACCTCCACTATCGTCGCACTGGTCGTGATTATGGGCGGAGGCTCCCGCTTCATCGTCAAGTACAGCAAGCTTTCTCTGGAGAGCTATGGTGCCGGTGGTACCGTGGCCGAGGAAGTGATCAGTTCGATTCGCAATGCGACTGCTTTTGGTACGCAGGATAAGCTCGCCCAGCAGTACGAGGTTCACTTGGCCCGGGCCGAGCGCTGGGGTATGCGTTTGCAAATGGCTCTTGGTGTTATGGTCGGTGGCATGTTCGGTATCATGTTCCTAAACTACGGTCTCGGATTCTGGATGGGTTCTCGATACTTGGTCGAAGGAAAAGTCGATGTCGGCCATGTTTTGACCATTTTGATGGCTATTCTTATCGGCTCGTTCAGCTTGGGCAATGTTAGTCCCAATGGCCAGGCTTTCACCAATGCCGTGGCTGCTGCTTCTAAAATTTTCGCTACTATCGACCGCGTGTCTCCCCTGGACCCTACCTCCGACGAAGGTATCATCCTTGACAACGTCGAGGGCCACATCGAGTTCCGCAACGTGAAACACATCTACCCGTCCCGGCCTGAGGTTACTGTCATGCAGGACGTGTCACTTGTCATGCCCGCTGGTAAGACCACCGCGCTAGTCGGCCCTTCAGGCTCTGGCAAGAGTACCGTCGTCGGTCTGGTCGAGCGCTTCTACCTCCCCGTTGGTGGTCAGGTTTTCTTGGACGGTCATGACATTCAGACTCTCAATCTCCGCTGGTTGCGTCAGCAAATCTCCCTGGTTAGCCAGGAACCTATCCTGTTCGGCACCACGATTTACCAGAACATTCGCCACGGATTGATCGGAACCCGATTTGAGCATGAGTCGGAGGAGAAGGTCAAGGAGCTTGTCGAGAACGCCGCCAAGATGGCCAACGCCCACGAGTTCATTACCGCCCTCCCGGAAGGTTATGAGACAAATGTCGGCCAGCGTGGCTTCCTGCTATCCGGTGGACAGAAGCAGCGTATTGCCATTGCCCGCGCTGTCGTCAGTGATCCCAAGATCTTGCTCCTCGATGAGGCTACATCTGCCCTGGATACCAAGTCCGAAGGTGTTGTTCAGGCAGCGCTTGATCGCGCCGCTGAGGGCCGTACTACTATTGTTATTGCCCACCGTCTCTCAACAATCAAGACTGCGCACAACATTGTTGTCTTTGTCAACGGAACCATTGTCGAGCAGGGTACCCACGACGATTTGACCGAACGCGACGGACCCTACTACAAGCTTGTTGAAGCCCAGCGCATCAATGAGGAGAAGGATGCCGATGCCCTGGAAGGCAACGAGGACGAGGATGGCGCCGAACAGATGACAAAGTCCCACATCGCCCGCGTAAAGTCAATTGCCAGTGGATCAACCGTGCTCAAGGACGAAGCTGAGGCTTTCGATGACGATTTCCAGCGCCGTGAATCCCGCAAGTCTGTGTCCAGCGTCGTTCTCTCAAAGCGAATCGCCGAAGGCTCTGGCAAATACTCCCTTTTCACTTTGATCAGGTTCATCGCCTCGTTCAACAAGGAAGAGTGGAAGTACATGGTTGTCGGCCTTTGTTTCTCCATCCTCGCTGGTTGCGGCCAGCCCACCCAGGCTTTCTTGTACGCCAAAGCTATCAGCGCCCTGTCTCTGCCAGAGAGCATGTGGGGCAAGCTTAGATCAGATGCCAACTTCTGGTCTCTCATGTTCCTGGTTGTCGGTATCGTCCAGTTCATCACTTTCTCCACCCACGGCATCGCCTTCGCATACACCTCCGAGCGACTGATCCGCAAGGCCCGCAGCAAGGCGTTCCGCGTCATGCTCCGCCAGGATATTAACTTTTTCGATCGCGAGGAGAACAGCACCGGTGCTTTGACTTCTTTCTTGTCCACTGAGACCAAGCACTTGTCCGGTATCAGTGGACAGACTCTGGGAACAATTCTGATGACCTCCACCACCCTGATCGCTGCTATCGTGATCTCCCTTTCTTTCGGATGGAAACTCGCTCTTGTTTGTATTTCCGTCGTTCCGATCCTTCTCGGCTGTGGCTTTTACCGCTTTTACATGCTCGCCGCTTTCCAGGCTCGTTCCAAGGCTGCGTACGAGGGTTCTGCCAGCTACGCCTGCGAGGCGACGTCTGCCATCCGCACTGTCGCTTCGCTTACTCGTGAAACGGACGTTTGGTCTGTCTACCATGCCCAGCTTGATCTCCAGGGTCGTGCCAGCTTGTTCTCCGTCATCAAGTCTTCATCCTTGTACGCCGCTTCCCAGGCGCTGGTCTTCTTCTGTGTTGCCCTCGGCTTCTGGTACGGAGGAACTCTTCTCGGCAAGCACGAGTACGATACCTTCCGCTTCTTCGTCTGCTTCAGTGAAATTCTCTTCGGTGCCCAATCCGCTGGAACAGTGTTCTCCTTCAGTCCGGATATGGGCAAGGCCAAGAACGCCGCCGCCGAGTTCCTCAAGCTGTTCGAGCGTCGCCCGACAATCGACACCTGGTCCGATGAGGGCGAGACTCTCGCCCACTGCGACGGAAACATCGAGTTCAGAGATGTCCACTTCCGCTACCCCACTCGTCCCGAGCAGCCCGTCCTCCGCGGTCTAAATCTCAGCGTCAAGCCAGGCCAGTACATCGCTCTCGTGGGACCGAGCGGTTGCGGAAAGAGTACCACCATCGCGCTGCTCGAGCGCTTCTACGACTCCCTCTCCGGCGGCATCTACGTCGACAATAAGAACATCGCCGACCTAAATGTCAACTCCTACCGCAGCCACCTCGCCCTCGTCAGCCAGGAACCTACCCTTTACCAAGGAACTATCAAGGAGAACATCCTTCTCGGCAGCCCCAACGAAGACCCCTCTGAGGAAGAACTCGTCAAGGCATGCAAGGACGCTAATATTTTCGACTTCATCATGTCCCTGCCAGACGGCTTCAACACTGTCGTCGGCAGCAAGGGCGGTATGCTGTCTGGCGGCCAGAAGCAGCGTGTCGCCATTGCTCGAGCCCTCCTGCGCAACCCCAAGATTCTCCTCTTAGACGAAGCTACCTCCGCCCTGGACTCCGAGTCCGAGAAGGTCGTCCAGGCTGCCCTGGACGCTGCAGCGCGTGGCCGTACCACTATCGCTGTGGCTCACCGTCTGTCGACCATTCAGAAGGCCGATATCATATACGTCTTTGACCAGGGCAAGATTGTTGAGAGCGGTACTCACGCCGAGTTGCTGCGCAACAAGGGCCGTTACTACGAGCTGGTCAACCTCCAGTCTCTGGGGAAGACCAACTGATTTGCTTTTTTTGTTCACATACCCCATTTTGATATCATATCCTCAACTCTCCTCACTTTTCCCCTCTCTTGTACCTCTTTTTCTTTCTTGTCTAACCACCTTTCCTCATTGAACCTACCATCATCTCTCGATAGACTGCAGCGCTGGAAATTTGGAGTCTGCGTATACGTTTTTGAATATTCTGGATTCAAACAATAAAAATATTAGGATTTAGGATTAGATGAATACAATGAAATCTCAATCATTAAAGATAGCCTCTGACTTGCCCGAAACGCCAGTCCCTAGTCCTTCTCCCCAACCCCAAACTCCTTCTCCACATCAACCTGCCGCACACCCCGTGCATCAGCGATAATTCCCATTAGTCCCTGCCCAACATCCTTGATCTCATTATACTCATGCAAGAGACGGATATGGCGCTGGACTGTAGTCGTGGGATCATTTCTAATGGATGAGCTATTTTTCTGTAAGTTATGCCCAAGTAAAGTGTGTTACTTACTTCAATTGAGAAGTTGTAGATGCGAGCTCGGCTTCGAGCTGTGTCTGCTGCGCCTCTAGACTTGTTATTGTGGCGCGGAGTGTGGACTGTTGCTGTTAGTGAGTGTTGGCCTTGATGTTACATATGCGTACTAATTTCTTTTCTTTGGTTTCCATATTTGCGAATGTATACAACAGGAGCGTCGAATGAAAGAAACATCGTTGTATGCGTAGATGCTCTACAGCCAATCATGCGACACGCTGAATAATCAATGTGCGAGTCCAGTCCCCAGGGTTGCTGCTTTCTGTGCAACTCCTTTTCGGTGAGGCTCTTGTATTGTAAGATCTTGATGAGAACCGTAGGGATGACGAGTATTACACAAACATTACAATCCAAAATCGAGATCTGAACGTGGTCAAAGAGGTACATACCCACACGTTGTCCTGATCCGCATAATCGGATGCTCCGGATTGGGTTGATAACAAGTACCCGCATTTGTTCTCTTCCTCCTTTAACATCCCCTACACCACCATGAATCTCCAAGCTCCCATATGGGCATGTCTCTTCGCAACGGCTCTAGCCCATGGCGGCCACGAAGCCGTTCCCCAGGGTGAATCTATCTCCCAAGATCCCATCGTACGTCAGCCCATCCCCATCCCCACACAACTTACCGTCTAACAACCTCCAGGACGGCACGCTATGGACACACATGATCCTCATGGGATTGGCCTTTGGCATCATCTTCCCAACAGGCATGGTCCTCGGTGTATGTACCCCCTACCCAACTCACACCCACAAACCCTAACAAATCCAGATCGTCCGCTCGCGCTGGCACGTCCCGCTCCAAGCCGTCGGCACGGTCATCGCTGTCCTGGCCTACTTCCTCGGCCATCACCACAAAGGCCGCCAGTTCGACAAGAACCTGCACGCATCGTTTGCGAACTGGCTTATGCTCATGCTAGTTGTGCAGATCGCGCTGGGCGTGTATCTCAAGCTGCACCTCGAAAAGGGAGGACAGGGTCGAATCCGGTGGATCTTCGTGCTGGCGCACGGTATCGTCGGGAAGGTCATGCCCGTTGTTAGCTGGGCGCAGATGCTTTTCGGAGGCATTGCTTCGTTGGGATTCTGTCGCGGCGATCATCTCGGGCAGTGCCTGGCGCATTTCATTATGGGATCTGCGTTTATCGGGTATGGAATCTGTTTGACGATTCTTTTACTTGTGGGCCAGTTCTGGTTGCGGAAGACTGGACGCAGTCAGGAGTTCTTCGATTCTTTGATTATTGCTGCCTGGGGTTGCGTTAATACTTTCACTGAGCACCGCTGGGGTGGGCCTTGGGTCCACAATGATCTCCAGCATACCACTATGGGTATTGTTTGGTGGTGTGCTGGTCTACTGGGCATGTGGCTCAGTCGCAGTCGCAGTGGTCGTCCCAAGCGCAACCTCATCCCGGCTATCGTTATCATGCTGACTGGTTATGCCATGTCTGCTCATACCCAGGAGCTGATGATCAGTACCATGGTCCACTCGATTTTCGGGTACACTCTGATGGGCGCGGGTCTCACACGCGTTATTGAGATTTCCTTCGTGTTGAAGGATAAGCCTGCTCTCTCGGAGCCGAACAGCTTCCAATACCTGACTCCTTTCGTATGTTGTGTTACCCGTGGATGTGAGACAGTATACTAACTCTCGCAGTTGCTCTATGCCTCCGGATTCCTCTTCTTGGGCGCCACCGAGGAGCAGATGGTCATGTTGAACAACGCAGGTATCATGCACGTATCCTACGTCCTGATCCTGTACAGTATTGCCTTCATTGTTTTCCTATGTAAGCCATTACTTTCCCTCCCACTTAACTCCAACCTCCCACTGACATCTGCAGTCGTCAACGTCCTCCTCCACATCTACGCTGTCCACGCCTGGCCTAACTCAGAGTCCACAGACCAAAACGGTCCCAAGTACACCACTCTCAATGGGAATGCCAATGGCCATACCCGCTCTGCCTCGCAGCAAATTCAGGATGCCGAGGCTTTCGAGCTTCATGGCTTGATCTCCGATGATGAGGAGGGTCCGTCCATGGGTCCGCGCAGGACCAGTGACGAGGAGCTTGGAAAAGACGAGTCTCGTCACTAATCGTAAAATTTAGTCTTGGTATTGTTTAAAATTTGCAAGTACGCCATGCATCTTGTGTTGGGATGGCGTTTGGGCTGGGTTGGGACCGTTCGGGTGAAAGTAGCTACTTTATTTCTGGACAAAATTGCATATACATTTCGGGAAGTCTAGCGACAGTCCTGAATGTCGCTCTATTATCATATTTCAATGCCTTCATACACTTCTGCCGTTCTTCTTCTATCTATAGTTTCCATATTCTTATAGCATATCAAAATACTAATTTAATGTGATGATAAAGAGCTCACATGGTAAAATCAGCTGCATACTCTTCTATTGTACATGAGGCCATATCTAGATTGAGGCCGAAAGAAATTCGTCACGTGCAAAACCCATATATCATGTCTAACCTCCACCTAACGCCAAAACATTCCCCCAATTCCTTAATTCAATTGCACAGCACCCCCGTTGACAGCACCCCCGTTGACAGCACCCCCATTGACAGCCCCAGCAACGGGAACCGTAACAGGATTCCTAACCGGCGGCACAGCAGCCATTTCCGCGCCAGCAGCCAGATCCTCGGGGAAGAAAGGATGAAGCGAATAAATTGGTCCCAGCATCTTCTCACCATCAAACAGCAGCATGTTCTGCAGCGGCTGCTCCCTCGCCGATAGAACATTAATAACATCCTGCGCAACCGCCCCACCCAAGAACGCCGCAACAGGACTCAACTCATTACCGAGGTTCTGCAGGAATGTCCGTAAGAACACGGAGTCGAGAGTCAGCGGGTCGAGCTTCAGTTCCTGGTGTCTGTCGCGGGAGAGCTTGGTGAAGAGCTCGAGGTCTTCGTGGGTGAAGGTTGGGCGGTGGCCGCGGATTTTTTCAAATTCCCAGAGCGCGCGCAGACAGCTCAGCAGCGGAGTGACTTGTCTGCGGCGGCGCGGAAGCCGGGTGTATTCTTCTGGGAGGGGGGAGGTGTTTGCGAGGATGAGCGGAGAGTAGACTTCGCGTTTTGTGACTAGTTCGATGATTTTGTCGTTTTCTTTTTTGGTGTTGATTTGGACAATGCTGCGGGTTTGGGTTTCTTGCATTACCGCGTTCATGTTGGATTTGTTGCGCTCGATTACGAAGTCGTGGCTGATTAGATCGGCAAATGCGTAGCCGTAGAAGCCGTGGAGCCCGGTGGCGTAGAAGGGTTTGTTTGCTAGGCGGCAGGCGGCGTTGACGGTGGTATTGGCAAGGAAGTCTAGCTCTGTGGCGATTATTATGTCGAACTGGGCGAAGAAGTCTGGTTGTTTGGTTTTCACGTCGGAGGTGTCGATGGATAGCTTGACACGAGGGTTCATTTTGCGGATTTGGGGTCCTGCGGCTTCGGCGCGCTGGGCTTTGTTAGAGACTGGATATAGCATCTTTGGATGGCTAGGATTGAGACTTACGTTCTTTCCGATCACATCCTGCTCGGTTTGCGCCTCGGCGATGAAGAACTGTGCTCCTAGGTCGTCCTCCGTGATGCACTGGTGATCGATGATTGTGAGAGAACCGATGCCTGCCAAGACGAGGTTCTTGGCGACTTCATTTGCGAGAGCTTTCACGGTGATAAGGAGGATGCTCGCTGATCGGATCCTGGCGGGGGTTAGTACATGTGTTTATGTTGTGCTGGGCTGCTCACTTTTCTTGCGCCTGGACTCCCCAGAGCCGGATCTGTCGGTCATAAAGCGCGATCTCATCTAGGCATGTTAGTCAGAGTTAGATCTCCTTGGGGGCTGCTCAGCGATAGGGCATACCGGCACTGATGGACTGCGCATTCTCCTGTTGCTCCGCCATTGTGATGGGTCGTAGGTGAAGAGGGAAGTCGAAGGGAAGCTGTACAGTTTTTTTAGTTGCTCTTCACTTTAACGAATTTCAGACCGGCCGTCTCAGTGCAAGCTGAATGAAAGAGCAAAGCGGAAGAAAGTCGGCACCAACATTCAAGGTCATGTGATCTTGGAGCTACTGAGTGGGGTTGTGGAGACATTGTATATTGTACACGGATGACGATATACTTTACAACTGCATAGTTATACACATATGTATGTAACTGTTCTTTGTTCTATTACTAGCCCTGGTGAGGGTGGGAGTTTATACAAGAATTCAATGATATCAGCAGATCTATCGATATTCAACATGCCATGATCTCGAGCTTGCCACTTAGCCTAAAAGAAAGATACTATAGGTCGTAATACTGGTCCAGTTCCTTGTAGGAGTGGTAATCCGCGGGCCTGCCGATTGATGGTCCCATTCTATTGGCAATCACCTTGTGGGCAGATGAGCAGTGCAAAGAAGAATACAGCTAGCATCAATTTTGTGCATTTTCTGGTCGTTGCTCTCATTTTGCATTTTGGAATTGAGGTACACTTTTGAAAATGTCAACACATACTTTCCTAGTTTAGCAAAACATCATTATCCCCCTCGCTGTAGTATTGCACATTGATGATACTGCTCTGGTGGTGACCGGATCTGATTTATCAAGAGATCAATCCAGTTGAGGCAATGTTATGGGGGCATGTAGGGCTGGGATTCACGTGGTCTCGTTTCACATAGAAGACGTAGTACTTGAAACTTAATATAATACCAGGCCTCAGTTTGCTTTCTCCACACCCACTGCCTACCTTATTCCTTCTCCCTTCTCCTCCATAGAGAGCGAATGCAAACTGTTGTACTTACGATGTATGATTTACGATTTTTACTATGTCCAGACTAGATGTACACAGACCTTTAGATGTATCTACCGCCTGACTACCAGTTAGAAATTTCAATGAGAATTCTAAAGGGACAAAGAGGAATGAGTACCCTAGACCTTAATCCCGATTTTGTTCTCAGTAAAATGGCAGTGTTCTATTCACCTACGTTCCATATTAAGTGTAGTTTTCTACTAGATACTAGTATAAGCGCAAGGTATCTTAAGTAAAACAGCCTTTACGATAGTTTTCCTGCAGGTTATTCTCAACGTGAACCATGTTTGAGCAAGCCATGCAAAAATAGGTCTATCTAATTACCAGAAGTTTGAGAAAGTACGACATTATAATGCAAGTGCGAGAGATAAGAGAGCGATATGTGCGAATGTAAGTGAAATACCTAGGCCTATATGAATAAAATACTAGTATGAGCCAAACGAGACCTACTGATGGAAAAGTAACAGTTGTCATATGAAGTTGAATGAAGTGAAGTTGAAACATCCTATGCTCAGGTGGAGCAATTCGATGATCTAATCCGCCATCACGTGTACTCAACTCACATCTCCAGACCTTGGGGAATTTCCTCTTGATTTCTAGCTCGAGTCTCAGTTATTGAATATCAAATATCAAATATCAAATTTCAAATCTCAAGTCCCAAGTCTCATACTCCATGGGATATTTATAATCGTTAATTCCTGTCCGGCAGAGACGGTATCCACCGAAGGTATCACTATCAGTAACCTGAATGATGGTATGTCTTATGTCTCATTAGTTACCTTTAGGTACGCAACCTGATGTCTTACTTCATTCTTGTACATATAGTCAGGAAACTACGATTACCCTCCTGCTTCTTCGTCCCGCATTCCCCGTACCGCCCCCGACGAACGCCCTGACGTACTCCGTCTCCAGCATCTCCGCAATTTAGTATCTGAACGCAACCGCTCTGGTGCCTACAATTCTTACAACGCCAACCGTGCCCTGGAAACGCTAAATCAAGAAATTGCCGAACATACCCTGGACCGAGCTCGCGACCGCACCAATTATCAACAAGCCCGCGCTGCCGTAGATCGTCAGATTCAACAAATACAGTCCGAGATAGCGAGCCCCGCAGAGCGACTACGGAATATTTGGCACGACCAGCTTCGCACAGAACGTCCTTCTTCTCGTCTCTCCCCCGAGTCTTATTCCCGCCGCCGTAGTGTGCCCTGGTCGACTTTGAGTCCCAGCCTGGACGCATCCAGATCACCCTCCCTCATGCCTCCGTCGGGCCAGTCGGGCCGCGATGGCCACGGACGCCAGAAGCGTCGGAAGCTGGATGCCGATGACAACCGCGAGGGCTTCCAAGGATTTAATTATGGGCAATATGGGCAAGTAGTGCCGGGAGAGCTGCAGATGGAGATAGCTAGCTGTGACGGAGGGAATTACGATCCAGACGGGGTGTGCTCCCGCCCAGAGAATGTTCTGGACAACAACCAAAGCGTTTATTCCACCAAAGAAGACCGCTGTAATTTGGTCCTGTGTCACCGGGACGAAGCTCCGTTCTGTTTGAAGAAGATCGTTATTAGAGCCCCTCAATGCGGCTTCGATGCTCCGTATGTACCTTCTGCCCGCGTGCTGGACTGCTAGCTAACTGCACCAGAATTCAGGAAGGGATGGTGTTCGTCGCCATGACCTCCGATGAACTGCTTGCTCGCACCGCCCAGTACCATATCCAATATTCTAATTCTCGATGGCGTCGCCGCCCTCGTCGCAGCGGCTTGCCGCCATCCCAGGAATACCTGAGTGGATTCCGGCCACCCCTTCAAAACCTCGAACGCACAATTCTCATGGGCCCTAATTCGCACGCTATTCCTGACACGTCGGAAGACCCACAAGCGCAGTTTCGCATTACCACGGAGTACGACGAGAACAACGAGGATAACGCATACTCCGAAAACGAACAAGATGGTTCCGCAGATTTGGACGGGACGCATGGTGAACCGTTGGAAAGTTATACTTCTGATACCGACGAAACACCAAGCGACAATGAGGAGGACAGTGCGACCATAATCCCCCGCCGACGAATGCAAGTACGACGACGAGGTATGTTTGGACGATATCCCGAGCAGAGGCCCCGTCGTGAGCCTAGCCTTGTTCATCCCAATCCACCACCCGCAACTGCTCAGTCTACCGCCGAAGTCCTAAAACCACATGCACGCTTCTTCATTGAACGCGAGAAAAGCATGGTCACCATCAAGTTCGATCCGCCTCCGTATGTATCTTTGTCGTTGTGTATGTCCCATCACTAACGACATGATAGATCTGGCCGGTTCATTTTAATCAAGCTGTGGAGTCCACGAGCCGATGGGAATATTGATATCGAGAGTATCATTGCTCATGGGTATGCGGGCCCCCGGTTCTTCCCAAGCATCGGCGCCCGCTAGCGGGGTTTCCTTGTTTCTTTTTTTCGGTTAAAGATAGATTTCTTCTATGTCTGTAGTATCTTGACTCAGACTGCCTCTTAGCGTGTGCTAGGATGACGATGACACGAATCTCGATATGACTTATCCCCTATTTGTTCTTGGTCCAACCTCGTACTTATCGATATACAACTAACCAGAACTGAGTAGACAGCTACTTGTATGTAGCATTGGTCCCTTATTTACCCGAAGATAACTATACAAGCACTAACTCCGAAAAACCAGACAAGGAATACGCTCAAACCCTCCTAACAAAAGTCCAAGTATAATATCCCAACGTGGAAACAGTCGCAACAAGCGAAACAAGCGTGATAAGTCCACCCGTGATAATTCCCTGCTCGAAGAACCCAATCTTAAACCCTGGTCTCTGCTTCGTCGACGGCAACGGCGCAATGACTTCCCGCCAGAGCTTATCTGCTTTGCCCTTATTGGTGTCATCGAGGATCACCTGTACGAAGCTTACGACTGGCGTGATTACTTGTGGGCGAGGAACCTCGAATTGGGTCTTTGTGTAGCGTGTTTGGCCTGGTGCTGTGTTTTTAGGGAGAGCAGGTCCGACTAATCGCTGTTAGCTGTCTTCTCTGGATCTGGCTTGGTTCTGTGTGTTGTGGTGTGTACGCACTGAGCATGTCGCTGGGAACGTGGTTTACCCACGAGATGTGGGCATCAATGAATTGCGTCAGGTATTTAGCTGAAGAGGGCGCGGCAAAGGCATACGTTGCAGCCAGTGTTTCGGTGCTGCAATCGTTAGTTTTGAATTATTGCAGCATGTAACGTGCTTACTTCATGTCGATGGCATCGTCCAAGCTGGTGACTGGGTGAACCAAGAGGATTTTCTCGCTAATCTTTTTCTGCAGAAGAGGAGATTTCCTTTCGCGGATTAGCATAGTTCGGTGCAACATCTTCCCAAAACTCACCGATCTTGCACTTCAACAATACCCCAGTTACTCCCTGACACCAGCACACGAGAAGTTCTATCTTTCTGAACAGACTCCAGCAGACCGGACTTGCGAGAAAGAGATCTCCCCTCCCCATTCTCACCAGCAAGATACTTCGATGCGTGCTGGATAACAGCTTCCACAAAGGGCTTCATAGCAAACTCGTGCACAAGCACCACATCCGGACTATACGGCGAGCGACCACCGAGCGCAAATCGCGCGGCGACCAGTGCCCGCGCAGCTTCTGCAACATTGCCCGTGCGGTCGACGATGGCCACCGCTCTCAAATTCGAAGGCGAGACAAGGCCCGCATATTCTTCGCCAGTTTGTGCAACCACCAAGGTTTTGCTCAGGAATGATGCATCCGGCCGCTGCAATGTAATGGCAAAGGTATCATGGTCCAAAGCATCGGGCAGAATCTTGCGCAGCAGAGCGGGCAGTGCACTCGTTGTTTGGGGTAGCTTTTGTACACTTAGCTACTGGACCAGTTGTCGATTTGGGAGAGCTCACCTCTAGAACAACACAATTGCCCGCAGCCAGCGCCGCGCTCAGCGCCGAGATAACGGAAAAGAATAGCGTGTGAGTACTCGGCACAATGTAGATTATTCCTGCGCCACGCGCGCTAGTTAGGTTGTCTTTGCCATGCGAAATGCGATACTCGGCCTCGAGATCTTTCTCCAAGCTCAGGCTTGAGAAATGCGTTCGGAGCTCTTGCAGAGCGAGGACGACCTCGGCGCGCACTTCGGCGCGAGTATGTCCTGACTCTGAGTAGATAGCATCTTGGATTTCGGCAATATGGGCTACAAGAACGGCCTGGAGCTTTTGGAATTGCGTTTGGCGGTAGCGGGTGTTTTGGGTGCGGCCGTCGATGTTGGCCGCTAGGATGCGGGATAAATCCATAGTAGTTTCTGGTCAAATTGAAACGTAGAGCTGTCCGAACGAGGAAGGAAACAAGAAAACAAGATAATTACATAGCCGTGTCGTTCGGAGATGTCCCTATGTCCGAGTGTACTTCGGGATGTGGGGGAGAATGTGGACATGTGCGCCAAGCCCTAGATCCGGGGTGACCATTTGATACTCGACATCCTGAGACCTCTGTATCCCTATCTACCTGCGATTTCATCGATATCTCCAAGCTGTGTATTCTTCCACAACCATGGCGACCACCACAACAACAACTACTACTCAAACCCTCTCCGTTCTCGCCGACTACGAAGTCCACCACAGCGGCGCCGACCACGAGAGCGAACATGAACCAGTAACCTCTCCACAGCCTGTGGAATGGCCTACACATCATCGTCGCATGCCGGAATTTCGGCCTACAAATCGCAACTTGTCGTTTGAGGAAAGACCCGGTGGTAGTAATCCGGCCGAAATGGTGTTTATCCAGGTTATGTTGCATGGCGTATGGCTTAATGCTGTAAGTGTATCTATTCGTCATGATGGAGTTGTAGATTTATTGACTCTTTATAGGCAGTGTCCAGGCTTTGGCGGTTTACTGGCGGAAGAATCAATGATAAGATCTTTCATTATGAGGTTGGAGGAGAATGGTAGATTCGATATTGGGGCTGGAGGTTATAGCGTACTTTTATTTATTTCAATTCTGAGTGCCCAATTAAACCTGCACATCTTGTCATATTTATCCACATTAGCTGTTCATGATAATATGAAATGTTTCCACAATATAAGTAAGGAATACGAAACAATCGGCTCAACAGGCAATTGTCTTATTTGGCATGTTGGTCAAAAGTGTGTAGAATTGAGGAAGATAAGAGTGAATGCTATACAAAGAGATGGCAATCCATGGCTTTCCATTTCTGTTTTAATGGCACTTGCCATCTTTTTTTCGAGTAAAGCTGAGCACCTACACAGCCTTGGAGACCCCTGAGCTCAATGAAAATCACCTAATCTTGCGAAATCCCAATCCAAACGCAAAACACCACTTACAGGTTACCCTGACCGGCGCTACCAGCAGGGTCTGTGCTGGCCTTATCGGCAGTAGCAAGAGTCTCGCCTTTCAAGTTGCTCAGAACGGTGGTGGAAGAACCAGTCAGAGTGCCGCCGTTGACGTTGGCGACACAGGAGCGACCGATATAAGACTCGCAGGTGCTGGAGTCACTGTCAGAAGCGAAGAGAGCACCTGCAAAGGAGGAAGACTCCAGGACAGCGTCGACGTTGGAGAAGTAGTTGCCCTCCGCAAGGACGTAGCCGCCAGAACCGATCTCGAAGGCGTGACCGGAGTTGTTGTCCCAGTAGTTGTTGACGGCGTGGAGGTAGGTGTTGTCCTGGACCTTGGGGGCACGGCCACTGGTCTTGTAGAGGTAGTTGCCCTTGAAGGTTACCTTGTCGCTAGAGCCGTCGAGGTACACGTTCCAGTAGTGGTGGCCGTCGCAGGTGGCGGAGTAGTCGGATTCACCGTTGATGTAGTTGTTGGTGATCGAGACACGGTTGTCGGCTTCAGTGCCCAGGACGTAGTGCTGGCGACCTATGCGAGCAGTCTGTACGATAAGTCAGTTTAGGTGGATTAGTAGAGTTATGAGAGTGGCTTACGGTAACGTGATCGATCCAAATCAGGTCGGCTTGATCGACGGTGATAGCATCACCACCCCAGACGTACTTAGGGTTGATGTCCGTGACAGCGATGTTCCTGTAATAAGTCAGTTAGTGTGCACTCTAGCGAAGTTTTCGTGCTTAGATTTGAACGCACTGGATGATGATGTTCTCAACACCGCTGACCATACGCAGACCACGGCCCTTGATAACACCGCTGGTGCCCTCGCCAATCAAGGACTTGTTGGAGCCAACGGTGATACCCAGCATACCAGCGTTGTTGCTGATAGGCGTGTTAGCATTGGCAGGAAATCAATTAGAGACCGCGTGATGAGACACTTACTAGGTGACAGTAGTGGTAGCGGCATCAGGTTCATAGTTGGTGCACCAGTCATCCTTGTTGATGGCAACCTGGCAGGCGGAGCCAGTACCCCAAGGAGTACAACCGGAGGTAGTGGTAGTACCCTCAGTATCAGTGAAGTCGAAACTAACCATCATTGTCAGCAGTCGGCCACCCACTGCAGAGGTTCTCTACTCACGTCTTGCTCAGAACGATGACACGGGCCTCGCTATCACCGAGGTAAGAGACCAGCTCATCGGTGGAGGAAGGGTAGACGGGAGTGGCATCACCGCCACCAGTGGCGGAAGAAGCGAAACCCTCGGGGGTGCCTGAGACGCCGACAGCGGCGACCTTGGAGGCAATAGCGGCAATAGCCGTGAGAACAAATGCGTACTTCATCCTGGAAATTGACGGGAATAAATAAAGAGTGACGGTAAATGTAAGAAAACTAAATAATAAAGCGAGAACAAAAAGAAAGTAAATAGTGGAATGGATTAGAGAAAAATATATCAAAGAAAGAAACGGACGGTTACTTATACAGTCGAGGTTTTAGGCCATGAGGTGTGTCTCAACTAATGCCTTCCCCCTTAGCGATTAAACGGCCAAGTGGATAAAGATGCATTAGCTCTATCTTCTCGAACAGTGGCCGAAATGAGGATGATGTGGTCTCGGTGATTTCGGAAGCAGGCCGACAAATAAACATATGGGTCCTCACAATATTGTACAGTGGAGATGCCACCGCCGATCAGTTTACTATCGTTGCTTCGGGAAAGCGATCGTCAGCAAATCCAAGTCCGAAACACCCGGCACGAAGAGAAACCCGAGAGGAGCAATAGAACCGCGACTAAACTTAATAGTGTTTCATCTAGATCGAGGGGAAGTCATGGCTGTCCACCATTTCTTTTCTACGCGTAATATATCTTTAATTAATTGAACTTTTCTTTAATATATCCTCACGCTTAACTTAACTCTTATTCATGGCTTAATTATAATTCCAGTCCACAGGTGTCACTTAGTTCTTATCGGCCGGCAGCATGACGTGTCTACTATATATGTGGTTTATGGAAAGCATGAATGCGTCTTGAATCCCCTATAATGGGGCGGCTGACTGGATAAGGTGAATGAGCATGGCTTTTCTTCCGTACCGAGCTTGGGGCATAATACATTATTTTGCGAAGACGTTGCGAGGATTCACCGTGGTAGCAAGGTCCGAATGCGCAGCACATAGATTCCAAGGTTGACTCTATGGATAACGTTCGCATCAGCTCGTAATCATAATCGTTGTCCTCCATGACAGTGTTGTTCGTCCACATATATTGCGAGATCCAGGCAAATGGTCTCCCTTCTTTATGATCGAGGTCTTTCAAACTCTCGTTGAGCAGCGCCGGGCCTTATTCATGGGTGGTCAGTGCAGTAAAAACAATATTAAACACTATCAATCAACGTACCTCGATCTTTCACAATATTTTTCAATTCCATAATATATGCCGCAGCGTCATCATCGAGGTTGGCTTTTTATCCTCGTTGGTCCTGGCCCCTGAATTCAATGCAAATGGAACCATCCCTTTCAGAATGGCACGTTAATGGTAAATAAGCTTCAGTGTCGAAGTTTGGCGAACTTGAGATGTATTACTAGTAGCGTAGGGGGTTTAAACCTTGGTTAGCAGGGACGTCTTTTTATCTCATCCTTTCATGAACTTCTTTGCCTCACCTATCTTATGGTTCAATAAAGGAGAGACAACGTACTTTGGTATTCCGTTTGGCCACAATTTCCACTTGCCTCGCTTGGACAATGTCAAGACTTGCAATCAACAACGAGAATTGTCAAATAAACCTCAAACCAATCACGGTTTCTTGCTTTCCCGAATACCAAAAGCTTGAGGCGTTTCACAGTCAATTTCATTTGCTTAAGCATAGATTGAACTGCCATGAAATAAACTTGATAGTCCAGGAAAGGACTTGACCAAAACTCTAGTCATTGTTTGAAGAGAAAGATCCTTGAAAGCATAGCATAGATGGAGAACCCTAACTTCGTAGTCATCGGATGACCATTGAAACTTCCAATTTTCAGAACGTAACTTCCCTGCCCAGGATTTTCCTGCACGAAAAGCGATAATTTTATATAGTTTATTTATGCAATAAGGCTGCTTGAACATTGTCGCAGAGCTTTCGACGCTAATGCATCTGGCACAGGGAGTGTTCTCATCACACTAACCCGAGTTAACAAAGGCATCCTTTGCTTTGGGTCTGCTACTCTCGGTCATGTTCGTCCGCTCAAGCCGCGGTTTCAAAGCCGTAGGTGCCGACAGTGGGCTAAGCCGAGTCACGAATGCATCTCAATTTGGGAATTTCGGTCGTTGTTATATTAGATTTTTAAAACGGTGCGATTCCCCCTAGTATCTTAATTCTTTTTGCTCTTCAGCATATCGGTATCTGTATCCTAGTCTACCTAAGCATCCTCGAGTTTACAACCAAGAGGTAACAAGAATGAGGTGTAATATATATACTAGATGGCTATTTCCTCTAGCTGATACATGGCTCAAGAATACAAGAATTCAATAATCAAGTACTCGCCCGAATTCCAATTCCATCAACAACCTCTTTCAGCGGTTTTCCCTCCACAAAAATCTCCCCAGAAGGCTGGAGCACATACAGCATCCTGGCCCACTGCGGGACACCAACACCATCAACAACAACATCAGGCGTAACATTGCGCCACGCATGATTCGTACCACGCTGAACAGCAACATCCCCTCTCTTAAGTAGCCGCACCTCACCAGAGTCCAGCACAAGCTCGACTTCGCCTTCTAGCACGACGCCATAATCCAAAGACACAGTTCGATGCATTGGGCTTTCTGCCCCAGGCTGCATGTCCACGATCCGACAGACAGTGCCACCTGATACTACAATGCCTGGTGGGTTGGACAGGTAGGTTTGGTAATCGACTATGTCGGTGTCGTTGCTTAGTTGTGCGGGAAAATGCGAAGATGTATAGGCTAGGCTGAAATCGGCACCGTCACCAACTTTTTGAACGGGCATTGTCTCCGAAAGGGTGTTTGAGAAGATGGCTTTGCCGGTTTCATCGTGGGTGGTTATGAAACGGTTGAGGGGACGAATATTTTTGGGGACTTTTTCGGTGGCCATTTTGGTAATGGTAACAAGGGAGTTATTTGAGTGGCGGGGGAAAATACACAAGCAATTGAATGTTGCTTTTGCTGTGTAGTAGTCAATACTAAATATTGGAGCTTGCATCCATCTATAGCTTTGCCCCTGCCTCCCCGCATCGGGAGGATGTCCACATCGGCTGGTGGGTTCACTGTGTCCCAGATTCGGATTGCCTCGGTCTCGGACTTAATGATGGCATAGTAAACACCGAAATTTTGGTGAGATATCCACAGATTAATTCACTTACTATCAATTATTATACTGGTCTGGATGTTTGAATGCCCTTGAGTTCGTTTTACTTCGGCAGTCCAGAAAGCCCCACCTTTTAGTTCCTTGGTGAGATCCTATTGGATAAAATACTGCGTCTACGTCATATCTAGGCTTATAGCCTCATTTCATTGGTTGGAAATGGTCAAAATGAGAAAATAGAAATAGTTGTAGTTATAGAACAAAATATATTGAAATCTATAGACAATTTATCTTTAACTAGTACTTTAAGCAGATGGAATAATAGGCAGAGTAACATAATTCTCTGCAACACCAAAGTGAATATGGTTCTGGCCCTGGAAGCGTTCAGTAGATCTGACAAAGTTAGTATTTGTATCGAAATCGATTGAAGAAAGACAAGAGAGACGCACCGATCAACAGGCGAGTTATGCTGGAAAATTCCGCTACCCTGCGTATCTCCACTGCTAATCTCTAGGACAATCTTACCCCCCTTCTCAACAACAACATTCGTCGGCCAAACCTCCACATCAACCGCATACACCTCCCCAGGAATCACAGGACGCGCATCGGTCGAGTAGTAGTTACGATGAGGCAACCAGGGACGGTTGCGCGGGTTCTCTTGGTCAACCTGTCTCATCGAAACCCGCAGCCAGCCCTTGCACAGCGGTACAGGATCACCGGCTGTTCCCGTGTAGAACACTTCTTTCCCCTCAGGCGAGATGTGGCGCATTGTCACAAATAAATCAATATCCTGCGGTGTTGGTGCACCGGCATTTGCACTCATTGACACGTTCAGGTGCGCCACGACATGGCCCGTAATTTCGGTTTCGGTCTCGAAAGCGCTGGTGGTGAATTGTACCAGCTGGGGATCATCCAGGTTTCCAAGGGCTTGGTAGGAAACTTTAGTTGAGCGTGATTCGGTGGGTACTGAGGTGACAAGCTCTTTTTGGGATGTCAGGTAGTACTTTGTGTACTGGGTTCGGGCAATGGGCCATTCCTTCTCCTGTCGGCGAGGGAAGGTCTTTTCGCCCTCGGCGTTGTTGTGTCCAACGTCTCCCTTGCGCAGAACCATATCAACCTTGGGTGCTGTACCATTTGCCCAGCCTGCGCGATCGTCTCCCTTCAAGAAGGCATCGAGGAAGCTGCGTTGGAGCTCAACCTCTTCCTTATAGTAGAAGGGGAGATCATGTCGGCCGGTAATAAAGCGCAGGTATTTCAACTCCGATCCAGCATGTGTGTACCCTTCAACGTTACCACGAAGATGGAGCAGGATGCCACCCCAGTTTGCGACAGAGAGCAATGGTACCTTGATGTCGGACATGCTGTACTCCTTTGAAGCATAGTATAAATCATCCCGGAACTTGTTATCGACATTATCGACAGTTTGATCCTGACGGTTCTGGACGAGTTCCTCTTCGGGCAAATCACCCTCAATGGTATCAGGACCCCAGTTGCGAACCGCACGACCAGCAAGACCGTATTGGTTACTAACGACTTGGCGATCCCACCAGAACTTGATGAACTTGTTCGACAGAATTCCACCATGTCGGCATCGGTCTCGGTAGTAGTCTGACATACCTTCCCAAGGAATAATGCATGATAGACCCTTGGGCTGGCGTGCAGCCACGCGCCACTGGCTGCCTGCGAAGTAACTGATTCCCAGCAAACCGACTTTGCCGCTGGACCAAGGCTGTTCGGCTGCCCATTCCACGACATCGAAGAAAGCCTCGCTAGTTCCGCGGGACATTGTGTCAAGTTTCCCAACGGACTGGCCTGTGCCGCGCTCGTCGGCGCGTACTACGGCATACCCGTTGCTAGTCCAGAACTTGGGGTCGGGTGTTTCCCAGGCAGAGTGTTCAGAGCGCTGCTCTGGGTTGACCTCGCTGAAGCTTTGTGGGTGGAATCTGGGATAAGTTAGTATAGCATTATACTGATGGTTCGAAAAGAAACCTACGCTTCATAGCTAATGTCCTTTCCGTAGGGTCCGTATGTAACTAGAACGGGAACTTTCTCGGAAGTTTTGGGGCGATAGACATTGCAACGGACAAGACCTGACTGGTCCTTGAGCGTGATGGTTACATTCTGCTCGAAGATGTAAGAGAAGGTAGTCTCGTCGGTGGTGGTGATGTCTTTGATTTGGTTGGGCATTTTGGTGACACTTGAAGAAATATAACTTTGGGTAGTGTCAATTGGTAAAATAAATCAGTATTTGAAGGATGTCTTTTTATCACAAGAAAAAGAAGAACGATTCATATAATCGGTGCTAACATCTCCGAGCCCGTCTCCGCCGACGTGGAGCCGAAATGGACATCCGAGAGTTGTGTAACAACCAACTCCGCATTTCAGAGGTATGACATGGAATGGAGGAGTTCGGGTAATCGAATACCATAAATAACATGGCTCGTTCTTTTTTTTGATTCATCTGTCAAGTGGTACTAAGTTTGCTAGCAAATATGACATTCAAAGATCTGAATGGCGAGGCTAAGGGCCTTCGCATCCTCATTGTTGGAGCTGGAATCGGAGGATTAGTCGCTGCCATTGCTCTCAGACAACAGGGACATCGAGTCGAATTGTTTGAGCGCTCACGCTTTGCCAATGAAGTTGGTGCTGCAATTCATTTATCGCCCAATGCAAACGGGGTTTTGCGCAAGATGGGCATTGATGCCACAGAATTTGGCGCCGTGGAGGCCGAATTTGTAAGTAAATGAGAGAAATCAAGAAGATTAAGTCGAGCTAACGGAGATAGCTGCGAGAGTATACACCCGCTGGAGAGGCGGTGCATATTACGCCCATCAAGGAGCATGCGGCGATGTGGAGACATGTACGTGCCCTAATCGGGGACTAATATTGACTGTTCTCAATTCTGATTTGCTAAACACCTCACAGCGATGGCTCCTCGTTCATAGAGCCCACTTCCACGATGGACTCAAAGCAGCTGCCCAGGCACCTGGAAAGGGCGAGCCTGCCCGTTTACACACTGCCAACAAGGTAGTCGACGTAGACCCACACGCCGCAACAATCACTCTTGAAAACGGCGACATCATCAAGGGCGATGTGCTCATCGGTGCAGATGGCGTGCACTCTCTTACCCGCACCAAGATTTCAAAGGAGACAAAACCGTTTAGCTCAGGAAAGAATGCCTTCCGATTCCTCATGACTCGACAGCAAGCACTGGATGACCCCGAAACCGCCAGTATCGCCCAAGACTTTGGCGCAGTTGACTTCTGGGACTCCGAGGAGCGCCGGGTTGTCATTTATCCTTGTGACAATAACAGGCTTCTCAATTTCGTCTGTATCCACCCCGAGACCGATACCCCCACAGATATCGATCCCACCGGCGACTCCTACAACCAGCAGATCGGAAAAGATGCCCTGCTGGATGTATACAAACATTTCAATCCCCAGGTCAAGAAGCTGCTTGAGAAGGCGGATCCACAGACATTGAAGCTCTGGCCGCTGTTGGATATGGATACCCTTCCCACTTGGGTCGAGGACCGTTTGGCTATTCTTGGCGATGCAGCCCATCCTTTCTTGCCGTATCGTGCTTCTGGTGGTGCTATGGCCATTGAAGATGCCGTCTCGCTGGCTGTCATGTTGCCTGGAGATATTGGGCGTGACGAAGTACCCGAGCGGCTCAAGGTCTACGAAAAGGCTCGCCACGAACGCGCTACAACCATTCAACAAATGACCCGGGATTCAAGTAAAATTCAATCTCCTGAATCAGGTATGCCGCGATTTTCCAAGCTCCATCTTTTACCTTCTTCGATCTCCAATCAAATGCTAACCCAAATCCAGCATGGGGTATGGTTAAGTACATTTACGGTCATGACGAATTTGACCACTCCGCTCAAGTCCTCCGTAAACACCTCTGGTCCCAAAACCCCCACATGTACTGGCGCCAGCCTATCGTCTTCGGGCCAATGCCCGGCCCACGACAGGACTGGATGGGCCGTGACCGCACCCAAAAGTCAATCCAGTCAACCTTCACAACGGCGTCAATCAAATTCAAAACCAGCCGAACCCTTCTGCAAAATCTTTTCCCGTCAGACCGGTACAGTTTCATCTCACCGAGTACTGTCGCACGCGCGAGCTTCTCACAAACTACCCTCGGTGGCATGGATTGGCTTGGTGGCGGTGGATACCGCCATATCGGGCTTTATATTCACGGTGTGCAATATAAAAAAGAGAGTGGGGAGGTGTTGAAAGGAACATATATGCCCATTTTGTTTGAAAATCTTGCTGACCCGATCGTTTCGGGACGTGAAGAGCTTGGCATGCCAAAGCTGTTTACTGCCATTGATGTTCATCAGCGCAATAGCTCGTACCGGATGCAGACGAGTTGGCAGGGTGCTGTTTGGGGCCACTTTGAGCTTGAGGACCTGCAGGATCAGGATCCTGCCGCTGATGCGGGGACGATTGGAGGTGAGGCAGATGATGGAATTTTGGTTTATCGGTACATACCTCAGGTTGGGAGGGATAATAAGGGCAAGGCTGAGGCTGAATATCCGATATTTGTCCCGCATGCTGCTGAATCTAAGGTCGTGCCTTCGAAGGTGACTCGGCTGCAGCGTACTAGCAAGGCGAAGGTGGAAATCAATGGTCTTGATTGGGATGCTCTTCCTACACTTCACCATGTTATCTCTCGTTTGGGGGAGATTCCAATTGATGAGATTATTGACGCCAAAGTGGTCAGTGGAGTTGGAGTTCCTGATGTTTCTTCGGCTATGCGGATTGAATGATTGTGGTCGAATGGCTTCGGACGGCAATATCTCATTTCCATCTACCACCTGTTATATAGATATAACCACGCCTTTGAGACGTTCGGTTCCAGCTTATAAATAGATGTTGTAGCTCACAAATAGTTATACATCTGTAGTCATGTGATGTTTACAGGGGTTCGTTTGTGCACCGCGCTTCTCCTGACCAATCGCTTTGTTGACTCATCACTAGATTTAGAATGCCATTACGGTTCCTTTTTAAAAGACCTCAGACTGAGTGCCTCGCGAGAATCAAATCGATCCGACATGTAATAACGCGCTGCCAATCCCTTCTATAACTCAAGCCAAACTGCGTACAAAGTCAACAAAATCCACAGGACAAAGAGCATGGTGTAATTTACCGTCGGCGAAGGGTAGCGAAAGAATTACCTCACATTGATTGACCCCAAAAGTCTGACAAATGCCCACAATGTCAACTTTACCTCATACTGGGGGTTCAGTTCTCAGAGCCACCATCGAAAAAACCGCGGTATTCTTGAATTTTGCGAATATCATCCAGTACTTGGCTAGAATTCGCATAGTCTATCTTCCAGCACTTGCTGATGACTTCACCAAGAATGAGGCCATCGTTTTCTGAAAAAATACTCTTTGAAAACAATTCTCCAATGTCATCAGCTTCCAGGTCATGGTAAGGGGCCTGAAGTGTCTCCAACTCGTAGAAAGCGGACCCAATTGCGAAAATCTCTGACTTGAACGAGGGTGTCGATGCAGGATAAAGTGGGTGCTCAGAAGTAACTGTAGGCAAAACAGTAGGGCCTGATCCGTTGATGCTGGAGCCACCAAAGTCAGACAACTTCACGTGGTCATCCCAGTCTAGAACTATATTGCGTAGTACAATGTCCACTTGCAAAAAACGTCGGCTGTAGATACGGTGAGACCCCTGTGCAATTTGTGATGACCAGCGGATGATCTGGAAAGGTGTAGGGGTTTGTCCGGTCGCGTATGTTTGCGACAGTCGATGTTGAAGCGAGCACTGAAGGAATTCGAGGTGGATCTTGCCATCTTTGGATTCCTAGAACTTAGTGATACATGGATGAGGCCCGAGACGCTGATGAATAATGGCTTCGATATAAATTAGTTCAGCTGAAGACTCCCAATCTGGGTGGAGAATGGGGGCCTTGGCTACAATTGTGTCTGATACCTAGACTGCGGCATATCCTCTCCATTGGATATTAGGCTCAATACCATATCCGCAAATTGAGGATAATGGATATTACTTTCATACCATATCCTCAATGAGGATATCCATGGATATCCGCGAGGATATGAGGATATTCTGCGGATATCCGCACTAGCATAACTCTCGCTTGATTATCTACTTAGGGGTCGTCATGTGCCTCTTATACAGCTTATTAATTTATTTTTCAGAACAAAAGATACACAGGTTTGGTCCTGACCATACTACTACCCTTATTTATCCTATTTCCCAATGAAATATTAAGTAATACCTATGTATTAACCAATATTTATTAGCTTCATTATTACTTATAGCATCAATCTTTATTTTCAAAGTGTATTAGGGGGAAACCATGATTTTTTGTTATTTCACTTTACTTTACCATGGAAATATATATTTACTCATGGAAGAAGTATAGCATCTCTCAGCTGAACTAAGTATATTTGACCAAACTCGCCATTTCCCGGTCAAATTTAGTTAATTTAGCTTTAAATTAATGATCTAAGCCTAACTTTCAAGTATATAATGATTCTAAATAGATTCTCTCGAAGATTACCGGTCGGAAGCTCCAATGTTGTTGACAGCGGACTTGGTGAATATGGCGGCAAGGTTGAGGATATCCAAGGATATCCATGCGGATATCCACAATATATCCTCAATTATCCTCAAATATCCACACCAGTGATTAGTAATAGCCAATCATCGCCATCAAAAGTAAGAGATGTCAAGTACGCACCCGCAACTTACGAGTTACAGCATATTTGCCATAATTCTGATATTTTCAGCTCGTTCTATATGTAAGTTTCTCTCTCTCTCTGACATAGTGATCAAGTACACCATGTCTTACTCACAAGCATCTCAATCCCACTACTCCTTCTGCGCTGATTCAGATCTAGGTCTAAATACCGACCTTCTTTATTCAGATGATATCTCTGAGCTTATTAGCAGCCAAACTCCATTGACATCTACGTCTCAAATTTCATCTCCGATTGCACCCCTCTCGCTTACGCGTGTTGGCCTCCCTCTTCAGCAGTATTGGGTCCTCTATTCCTCTGAGCCTAGTAGCGAGATGGAAGAATCTCGTAAGCGCTTTATAAGTTGGTGGTTAACTACAGAGTCTGGATCAACACCTGATATACAAGACTCTATCCGTTGGGATGGGAAAAAGACTTCAAGTGTCTGGGACAATTTCAATCAGGTTGCACATGAGAAGACTGGCAAGCCAAAGGTTATGTGCATATCATGCCTCTGTACCCTTGTTCATCCAAGATATCGCCGTGCTGGGTCATCACCGATGAATGCACATATTAAGGCAGGCACCTGTACTCGGAAGCCAGTTACTCAGAGGGTTGATCAGCTACTAAGAAAGATGGTATATTACTCTATTATTAAGATTTTTAATATCTCTTTTGCTAATCTTGATAATTATCCTAAAGCCATCGATCCCAAAACACCAACCTTTCTCCCAGGAGCGTCTCGTTAAAGCGATCCTAGACTTTATCTCAGCGGCTCACCTACCCTTCCGAATCGTGGAGCATACCCAATTCAAGGACCTAGTAGAGGTCATTCAACAAGCTCAAAGCAAGATCGATATACCATCCGCGCGAAGCATACGACGTTATCTTGATTCTGCAGTCAAAAATGACCAGAAGGAGATTCTTGGAAGACTTCCAGATGGGAGTCGCCTTTCACTAGCGCTTGATTGCTGGACATCGCCATTTCAGCAAGCTTTCATGGCTATCACAGGCTACTTTCTTGATCAGGATTGGAATTATTGTGAAGTTCTTCTTGGATTTGAGCATCTTTATGGGTCTCATACTGGTGAAAATCTAAGTAAGACCGTTACTCAGCTCTTGAACAATCATGGAATCACCAATCGTGTCTTATCTGTGACAACAGATAACGCAACTAACAACAATACCTTGGTGATGAACATCCAAGAGACTATTCAGTCGCAGAGCCAACCAGATACCTTAATCTTCCGAGTTCCGTGTATTGCGCATGTGATCCAATTAAGCTTAAATGAGCTTCTTGGGAAGCTGAAAGTGACGCCACCTAATAAAGAGATTGAACTAGAGTGGCCTGACGAGCGAACACATTCATTCCAGACTAAACAATCTGGCTCAAGTCGGCAAATTGCAGATACCTTAAAGAAGGTCAGTCCTCTATCTCCCTTAGGCTTCTGAGTTTATTCTAATAAGAAAGTCTAAGATCCGAGGTCTTGCGGTCTTTATTAATGCGAGCCCACAACGCCGGGAGTCATTTATGGCTCTTCAAACTAATGAGCCTCGTTTGGTTCCTATTCAGGATGTCCAAACCCGATGGAACTCAACCTTCATAATGCTCAATCGTGCTAAAAGGTTACAACCATTCTATGACCAGTATTGTATAGATCATCAGTATCTACACTTTAAACTTGATCAAGAAGAGTGGCGACAGATTGAATATCTTCTTCTTCTCACAAAGCCTTTCTTTGACTTCACCACTATGTTATCAAAGACTAGGGATGTTACCACACACAACATCTATAGTATTTATAACAAGCTTTTCTCTCATCTAGATGAAGCTGAGTGTAAGTTGAAGAATAAAGGTGTTGTCTGGAAGAAGCATATGCTCCAGGCTCTTCAGACTGCTAAGCGGAAGCTCTCAAAGTACTACACTGCGACTGATTATGAATCATATGGCGATATCTATGCACTCGCGACAATCCTTTGCCCATCAAAGAAACTTCGATATTTCGCATCGTCAGACTGGCAAGGTGATATTGACTATATTAATCACTATCATGGAGTTCTCAAGCGAGAGTTTCAACGATATAAAGAGATACTTCACCGTGATTCAGATAATACAGTCTTACAAGATACCACGAGAGAGGCCCCGGATGATGAATATGGTGATCTAGATGCTGCTTGTGCATCTCAAAACCAGCCCCAGGATGAGCTCTCAAAGCCTGAAGATGATGAGATCGCGAGGTATCTTGCCCGCGGGATTGAGATTCAGAAGCCAAGAGCATTCTGGAAAGACCATGAGCTTGAGTTTCCTATCCTTGCGAGGATAGCACGGGATATTCTCTCGATCCCAGCTAGTGGTGCAGGCGTTGAGCGATTATTCAATTGCGCTCGCGATATCTGCCACTATCGTCGCGGTCAATTGAAACCAAGTACCATCCGAGGATTAATGCTCCATCAATTCGCCACTAATTTTGACGTTGAGCAGAAGGAGATAGAGGTTATTAAGGAGTATCTCTCTATTGGGGAAGCTGCGTTATTAGACCAAGCTCGGAAACCAATGCTCCATCTTGAAACTCTTGAGCCAATTAGTGACAACGAAGAGGAGGATCAAGAGCCTAGCATACAGGACACACAACAGAAGAGGAGCTGCAATGATGATTCAGATGATGAGAGGAATAATGATCAAAGTAAGCAAGTGCAGCGTAAGCGATCAAAGAAACGATTATCTGAATCTCTTGATGAAGATGACGATGACCTTCCAGAAATGCCAATAGATGAGAGCATGCTGGGACGGTCAGGACGAATTCGAAAGCAGCCTAGGTTACCTGATGGATTTCAGATTGATTTAAGGTAGTTGATATTATATGGAGATAACGGAATTTTATTTACTAAATTGAAATCTTGAAAGTTAATGATTACACTATGATTACATTAAAAATACGTAGGAAACTGCATAAATTATACATACTTAAAAGAGTCGTGAGGCTAGGCATGTTTGGCCTGTTTGATATCCACTGGATATCCTCAAATATCCAGAGGATATTAGGTGGTATACCATATCCACAAAATTGAGGATTGCGGATATTGGGTGATATACTATATCCGCAATCTGCGGAGAGGATATGTGGATATCCATGGATATTGAGGATGTTGCCGCAGTCTACTGATACCCTTTCGATAACTGAGTGCCCACCAGTGCTAACGATTAGAGGCTTGAACTCGGCTGAGGGAGCGAGACAAGCCATGATAAATATAAAGGATGAGATTGGAAGACGAAGAAGTTAAAATCTGGAGAGGTGAGATACATGTTGGAGTGAACGACTTTCGAGGTGGCCCATCATCAACCTTTCAGTTTCCTCCTGTACCAACTGAGTCAAAAAAAGTCTGAACATGTGATTGAATCGTCTGTATTGTTTTAATTCCCACGATGAACACATTTCGGAACGCTACCTTTGCGCCAACTGCCTGGCAACGGCTCTGGGAGCGACTTTCCCTCTTCCTCGCACTCAAGCTATATGAGTGGCGTCGGATCATACTAGCTCAGCCCCTAAAAAGGCCCATATCCGTTGTCTGCTCAGCCAACAACTTTTATCATGATCCCGGGGTCCCAGAAGGCCACATTCTCATCCATGCCGGCGATTTGACATCCGATGGATTCCTCATCTAATTTCAGCAAACATTAAATTGGCTCAAGAAACAACGCCATGCCATCAAGATTGTGGTAGCCGGTATGACCGATCAGCTGATGGTCCGCAAGAGACGGTGGGATCCTTGCTGGAAGCCCGGAGATCGCGGCAAGGTGGATTGGGGGGACATTGTTTACTTGGAGAACGATGGCATCACCATTACTGCCCCAAATGGAAGAAAGCTACGCATCCGGGGAAGTCCAAACTCATCCTTTCTGCACAAAATGGCGTTCCAATATGCTCCGACTCAAAACTTCTGGCATGGAAAGGCCGACAAATTTCGACATGCTCATCACACAATCTCCACCTTACGGACATCTGGGATTCCCTTGCCGGCTGTTATAACCTATTGCATGAGCCTTGGGTTGATCGCCCTCGTCTTCATGTCTTTGGGCGTTCGCGAGAACACCAAGGAACCGAGTGGCTGCAGTTTGACGAGCTTCAGACAGCGGTTGTAGTCAGCAAATGTCACAATGGTGGATTCTACAATCTTTGGGAGGTGATCAAGGGATTTGTGCAGTCCTGGTGTCGACCTGTCACCGAAGCCAAGACCCTGTTTGTGAACGCTTGCATTGATGGGTGAGTTCTGGAACAAACGCCGGGAACCAATCAAGGTTGTCATTGGACCTAAGGGAATTGACATATGCCCTTCGATGATCTCGCATTTCGATTTTGTTTCTTATCGGGTTGTGTATATGAATATAAAAGAGAGTGGACTGTTTATAATTGCTAGCCATCGTAGGCCCTCATGTAGGTGCGACTAGAATATCTTCTTCACTGTTTATTTTTTTATAGATCTTGGCGGTTCTGATTGGACGAAGCTCCACGGTGGGGCCAAAAAAGAACTTCACCTCCACATATCTGATCAACTTCTTTTACAATATTGTACAGTATTGCATAGTACAAATTATCTCACAGTGACAGTGTTGAATATTTGAAGCAGGCGTGTGAAGTTGGTTTATCTATCAGCCGTGAATTGGAATGGCCCCTCAATGCGAAACGGGAGGAATGTCCGGCCTCACCATCTCGGACATTCATTCCTTGAAGAGGAACGAAGCACTGGAGATTCTTGCCCAGGTTTCACGCGTTGAGAAAAAGACCTTCCCCACCAATGAAGCATTCCCATTCGGAGAAGAATTATGGAGAAAGAAGCCTAACACGCGGGTTTTGTACGCGACCCAAGCCAAGGGATCACAATCTGATCTGATCGCCTACGCGGTCTATGTCCGACAGAAGGGCGTTGCGCTTTTGCACAAAATTTGTGTGACAGAGGCCAACCGCCGTCGAGGTGTGGGACAGGAGGTGCTGTCCTACATTCAGCAGCGCCTAAGGAAGGAGGGCTGCCAGTACATTCAACTCTGGGTGGACCAGGCCAGGGAGCCTGCGCGAGCCTTGTATCTCCACAGTGGGTTCGAGGAGCGTGAAGTAATCCCTGATTACTATGCCCCTGGGCGAACAGGTATCAAAATGGTCCTGGATTTAGAACGTGATGGTTGAGCCACACCCGTCAATGCGTACCCTACGGGCCTTTTCCCTTCCACTCTCTAAAAATGTTCCTTACCTGAAATTTCCTTCTTGAACGGGTCCGAGGGGCAAGAAATCATACCAGTGGTTGGGCGTATCTGTGCTCCTTGGCCGCCGCAGGAGATCACCCCTTGCATAGACCCGGGCATATTCGAAACGTGAGCCTGATTTTAGCGATCGCGCCCGCGTGCATTCTCCGCTGTCATTCTGCTACATACTTCTGTGACGTCTAGCATATCCAGGCATGGCTTTTTGGGAAGGGCACACCTTGAATGTCTCCCTGTATCAGGTGTCCCTTGGGCGCGAGTGCCAGGGACACAAACCTTTTCTGGAAGACTATGTGTGATACACTTTCATCTTCGCCCTGAATCTTCTTTCTTCCATCTTGATTACTCTCACCATTCTTCTAGTGAGATCGAAGCGCCGTTGGTGATCGGATGAGCTAGCTGTGTCTTTACAACTATACACAGTCCTAGTGTGCTCCTCCTTAGCTAACCATGGCTTTCTTTCTCACCATCATCCTGGCTGTCCTGTCAGTTGCCAATGCAGCTGCTCCAACTGCCAACTATCCGATCAATGCGCAACTACCACCAGTCGCCCGAGTCTCGCAACCGTTTAGATTCGCATTCGCTCAAAGCACATTCTCCAACAGTGATTTGGACACAGATTATTCCCTGTCCGATGCGCCATCATGGCTCGAAGTTGACAGCAGCACCCGCACTTTGTCGGGGACACCAAAGGCAGATAACAGTGGCTCCACCCAGTTCAAGCTCGTGGCGTCCAATAGATCGGGAAAGGATAGCATGGAAGTTACTCTAATTGTGACGGCGGATCAAGGACCGACCGTGAACAAGCCACTTGTTTCTCAATTGCAATCGATGGGGCCAACCTCATACCCTGCTACGCTATTTATCCACCCGGGCCGTCCGTTCTCGATCGAATTCGACCCAGATACCTTCGAAAACACGCATCCTTCCACGATATACTACGGAACTTCGCCGAACAACACCCCTCTGCCTTCTTGGATTGGCTTCGATCCGGCAGCGCTGAAATTTTCTGGAAACACCCCGCCTTTTGGCGGTTCTGGTTCTCAAACCTTTACTTTCCAACTTGTCGCTTCGGATGTCGCTGGGTTTAGCGCGGCCAATATGACTTTTGAAATTTGTGTTGGTCCTCACATTCTGGCATTCAATGAGACTGTGCAGTCCTTTAAATTGACCAGAGGCGACAAATTCAGCAGCCCAAACTTCACCGAGATTCTCTCTATGGATGGTTCGCCCATCTCAGGCAAAGATTTAGCTAGCGTCGACGCTAATTTGCCGGACTGGCTGAATCTTGATGAGGAAAATGTTTCGCTGAGCGGGACTCCTCCCAAGGACGCTGTGAACCAGAACATCACCATCGCTGTGACCGACTCTTTCCAAAACGAGGCGCAACTAATGGTTCGTTTGGAGTTCTTGAAACTATTCCTCAATACTGTCGACGGCTGTGAAGCAGCCATTGGCAAGGACTTCAAGTTCATCTTTAACCAGACTATTCTTACCGACGACTCCGTCCAGTTGGATCTCGATTTGGACAGTGAGCTTTCGTGGCTTACATACTTCCCAGAGAACAAAACTCTTTACGGACACGTTCCTGATGACATGGAACCCAAGAAGTTTACCATTCCTCTCACTGCCCGTCAAGGATCAACCACAGACACAAGGGACTTCATCCTTGACGTTCTCAAAGCTTCAGATACTCATGAGAACCCTACGGATCCATTCACCAACAACGACTCAAGCAGCCCAAGCCACAAAAAGGCTGGCATCATTGCAATCTCGGTCGTCGTCCCCGTTGTCGTCATTCTCAGTCTTCTGATTCTCTTCTGCTGTTGGCGTCGCCGCAAAAACTCCCCCACAATTGAAGAGGGTCCTTCCAACACAAAGCCCGCTCCTCCGCGCCCCGTCAGACCAGATATGCCCAACTGTCAGCCAAACATGGTCAAGAGGCCTTCTCGGGACGACAATTCGGAAGATTGGATGAGTCCCATTTCCCCTTCATCCATTCCCAAGCTTGAACTTGGACCAGCATGGAACGTTTCATCGTTCGATAAACAGGAGCATCCGGTCAGCTTCCCTATGCCTGAGCCTGTTGTTCCTCCTCGCTCTCCTGCTCGCAAATCTCCCACTCGTGGTGGCTTTGCCCCACTCCGTGACACCGTCATTCAAGAAGATCAGCCTGTTGGAACATCACCTTCCAAGAAGCAAAACAACCGTATACCATACACCAACAGCCCTGTGCGCCGCCGGACCACCAACCGGTCTCGAAGAGAGCCATTGAAGTCTATCCAGCCCCGCGCCATGAAGCGCGAGTCTATTCAATCCTCCAAATCAAAGCGGTACTCCAAGCGCTCAAGTGGCATCTCTTCCATTGCCTCCGGGCTGCCCGTGCGATTCAGCGGAGCAGGCCATGGCGCTGGTGGATTTGGCCCACCCGGCCACGGCGTCGTTTACACATCATGGCAAAACCCACGGCAATCATTGATGAGCGACGAAACCAGCTTAAGCAACATGGCCCCGATGTTCCCCCGACCCCCGGCAGCAGCACGCATGCGCCACAGTATGGCATCCAGCATCCCAGAGAACTACAAGCGCATGACGCTGCGAACTGTCGATCCAGACGAATCCGTTATTTCCGAAGCCGACTCTCTAGAAGCCTTCGTCCACAGCCGAGCCAAGCACCGCAACTCCTCAAACCCCCTGTTCTCCGCTCAAATCAGCCGTCGCACCTCCTCCGCTCTTCGCGCTCTAAACCGAAACCACAGCGTCCGCAGTCGCGCCGACACTGTTTCCGGCTCCACCTTCAGCGACGAGTTCCGCCGGTCCATCCACGATCGTCCCATGTCAACTGCGATCTCGGTGTCGGAATACGGTGATGATAATAATCCCCGTTATTCTCACTACCAGAACCTGCAACCGCCCGGTCTTTTTCCGCTTGCTGAGGGCAGTGTCAATGGCGCCAGTCAATTGAGTCTCGCGCAAGAATACCGCGGTGCTATTTCACCGTTGCCGCGGTTCTGGAGTGAAAATAGCTTGGGCAGTGCTCGGCATTTGGATCAATCCCGGTCCAAAGTGAACGATGAGAACGCTATCCCGCAAAGCTCCTCCATGATCTCGGACCTGGATGAACATCTGAACCGTAAGATCAGCCCTTCTACAAAATCTAATCACCAATGGCGGTTGTCTTCTCTCGAGCCTCCGCCTCCGATGAGGACTACTAATCATCGCGGCCTTCCTATAGCCAGCAGTGGCGAGTTGGCATTTGTTTAATTTTTTTCTTTTTCACCGTTTTATTCTTCTTATCCTGACTTTTTATTGGTCTTTTGGAGTTGGGCATTGCGAACATGATATCCTGGCTTTTTATGGTTGATTGGTTGGAACATCGACGTCTTTACTATACTACACTAGTTGATCTAGTTCTTGAATAATAATGTGCATTTTGTGCAAATACCGGTTTTTGGTGAAAGTTCCCCCACACCAATAATCTCAACAGTACCCTAGGTAATCTATACCGAGTAATGCAAAAAAACGGGGAGAGATGTAAAATTGACAGAGTTGGACCAGAGGAGTTGGTTCGTCAAATGTAACTCATATATCTACTTTTTACATCCTTTGTGAAAGTGTAGTTGAAGGGTTCCAAGTTTCATTCTGATACTCTGAGGATTTGGGGGCCTGTCAGCACTTAATGGCGTGACTGTATGACTGGTTTCTGACTTAGGCAGCTGTCCTGACTTCACGCCTGAGATGTGAGGCTTCCTTAGGGCGATTCCTACATATATGGAGGCAACGCCCATTAGTAGTTTAAGAGACTCACATCTGCCTTATTCTCACCATTTCACATTCTCTACTTCCGATCATCAAGTCAATAATCCCACAACCTCCGTGAATTCCCATCTCACGTGACTCTATATAGACACGTAACAAAAGCGGTAAACGCAATACGAAATCTCTGATCGCTTGAGCGTCTGACTCTCCTCGAATTCTTTCCAAGATCGCACATTTCGCTTCTCTCCGTACTGGTTATAATCTTTTACAACAAGTATAAAATCACCAGTTGAGATAATCTGCGAACTTATCGTCATCCACCGGTTCCCCACTTATCGCGGGACCCAGACGCGCTGAAAGCCCTGCTCATCTGACCCTTCCCCCTTCACTCTCTCACACCTTCATAACCTCGATCTCCCACTCTCCCCGAATTAATCAATCTTTGCCAATATGGGTCAAACCCTGTCGGAGCCGGTGGTCGAAAAGGTGAGTCGCCGAAATATTCGGGTTTTTCTCAATTCCTTCGCCCCCCACACTAGCCCATTGTTCATGTGTTTTTTGATTCCCCACGGCCTACCCATCACACACTCGAAGACACCTGTCCAAACTGTCTAGGGCGTCTTCTCTAGCTGCCAATACTCAGAGACTGGTTTCGGAGGAATCTTCCTCGGGTTGCCATGCGGGGTCTTGGGTCCTTCGGCTGGAGGGGCGGTGGTGGGGGAGGAGCCAACATACAATAAAAATTGGCATCGCATGTTGCCAGCTATTCTGTCTACATTCGAAGGAAACTTATTGGCAAAAGCTAACGTGTTCTCTTTTTCTCTTGTCAGACATCGTCCGAGGGCGGGGATGACTGCTGCGTGTACGGTGTGTCGGCCATGCAAGGCTGGCGAATCAGCATGGAGGACGCCCACGCTGCGATTCTTGACCTCCAGGCAAAGTACAACGGTACTGGCGACGAGAAACCGACGGATCCGGAACACCGCCTTGCTTTCTTCGGTGTTTACGATGGCCACGGTGGCGACAAGGTCGCATTGTTCACCGGCGAGAACCTCCACAAAATTGTCTCCCGACAGGATGCTTTCGCCAAGGGTGATATTGAACAGGCCATGAAGGATGGTTTCCTCGCTACCGATAGGGCGATTTTGGAAGGTTTGTGGTTGTGTGGGTTTGTTGTGGGTGGTTGGCTGACAAGCCGCAGATCCCCGTTATGAGGAGGAGGTTTCTGGCTGCACTGCATCCACAAGCATTATCTCACAGAAGAAGATCTGGGTGGTATGTTGACTATCGAAACATTGAAAAGGCTGGGAACTGACTGGCGATAGGCGAACGCTGGTGATTCACGATCAGTCCTGGGTGTGAAGGGCCGTGCAAAGCCCCTCTCCTTCGACCATAAGCCTCAGAACGAGGGTGCGTATCATGCTTATGCACGACTGTGTATATTCGGCACAATGGGTCTGACTAACACTCTCCACAGGCGAGAAGGCCCGTATCAGCGCCGCTGGTGGCTTCGTCGACTTCGGTCGTGTCAATGGCAACCTTGCCTTGTCCCGCGCCATCGGTGACTTCGAATTCAAGAAAAGCCCGGAGCTTTCTCCCGAACAGCAGATCGTCACCGCATACCCCGACGTAACTGTTCACGAGCTCACAAACGATGATGAGTTCCTAGTTATTGCCTGTGATGGTATGTCTTAATTATGGCTCCCCCGCAAGTCTAAATGTTAACCAATCTACAGGTATCTGGGACTGCCAGTCCTCCCAGGCTGTGGTTGAATTCGTCCGTCGTGGCATTGCCGCTAAGCAGCCCCTTGCCCGGATCTGTGAGAATATGATGGACAACTGTCTGGCCTCGAACAGCGAAACCGGCGGCGTTGGATGTGACAACATGACCATGACCATCATCGGACTTCTACAAGGCAAGACTAAGGAGGAGTGGTACAACCAAATTGCAGAGCGGGTTGCGAACGGGGATGGACCTTGTGCTCCGCCCGAGTACGGCAAGTCTCCCGAGGAACCCGAAGGCATCCCCACTACTTCGTGCTGACGGCCAGTTCGTGCAGCCGAGTTCCGCGGCCCCGGGATCCGGAACCAGTTCGAGGATAACCCCGATGAATATGATCAGGCGGCGGAGCGTAACCGTGGCTACAGTGTGCGTTCGGGCCGTATCATCCTCCTAGGTGATGGCACCGAAGTCATCCCGGATCAGAACGAGGAGCTCTTTGACCAGACCGAGGAGGATCAGGACCTTACCAACCAGGTGCAGCACGACACCGCCGCTCGGAATCGTGAGGCCACCCCGGGCCCTCAGGGGAAACAGGAGACTGGGACTGCTCAAATATCCGAGTCCCCGGCCTCCACTGACGCCGAGAAAGAGAAGTCCGCATCGTAGACTTTGAGCCTTGCTTCTCTCTTTCTCCCTGTCTTGCTTCTTTTATTATGAACCGGTCTCTTGGTCCCCTCTCTGTTTTTAGGTTTTCCCATCTGTTTTGTCTTATCCACGACCCCCTTGATTCTACGATCTATGCCCTGTTTCCCCTCTTTGTTTGCGATTAGTTATCTCAGGGCTCTGGTTCCGAGCCTAAGCTTTATTTTCTTACTCTTTCTCGACTTGAAATGGATATTTGCAACGAGACAGAACATGCGACAACCCCATATGGAAACGAAAGAGATGAAAGAGGGCTATTGACTTTTATTTGCCAAGGGTCGAGGATTGAAAGAGTGCCTTTTTTCTTCGCCGGGAGCCAAATGGGCCTCTATGAACACGTTTGCTTTATGCCATCACCACGAGATACCGCAGAAAATGCCCGTTATTGACGAGTCATTTTACATTTTCTTTCAATCCCCGGTCCCTTAGCATATGGTGGTCTTTTTTGATCTCTATACAAGGTTATTGAGCACTTTGTTCATGGTAGATTTTGCAAGTGGAGTTGCTTCAAAGGTCATTCATATGGCGTATATCTGATACACATGAAGTCATCTTTGTAGTTCTATTTTCGGAAGTTCTTTTCAAGAAGGTATTGCAATGAAATTTTCAAATCTTGAAACAGTATTCAAGTTCTCAAGTTATGGTAGTATGGAGTAACCCGTGGTCAATGGTCAGTGTAACTACAAAAGAAATGCAAAAGAAATCCATGATGCCAAGACCAGCTGTTAATTTCGCAATGCCAAGTGTTTCCCCCCTATTTGCAAATCTCCGTATCGTAAAATCGTAAAATTCCCACTTTCGTACCGAAAGCCACCGTCGTAAGTAACCCTTTGACAGGAACATTTACAGCCCCCACTCTTTTCCCCAATAAAAATTACTCCCCTAAAACCGGGTTGCCGTCATTCAGGGTTCAACATTTAACACCTCACACCTCCCTCCTCCCTCCTTTACTCGACTATCACTCTTTTATTCCTTAACCATGTCGCCCAACACTTCTCCCGCCGGTAAGCGCAAGCGCAGCGCTTCTCACCTACCCGCGCCTATTACCAAGTCCATTACAGCAGACCTCCAACCCTCCTCACGCGACGCGTCCGGCGAAGAAGGCGGCGAGGACTCAACCGGCACTCCCAATGCTAATGCCAATGACACTTCCAATGCTTCCCGCCATCCATCCAAGCGTGCCCGCAAGACCGCCGATGCGGCATCCCAGCCGGATACCAACGGCACAGCCATCAATAAGGAGGACCCCGGCGAGCCCTCCGAGACAACCACGGCCAGCAGCGACATTGAAGGTTCCCGGTCCAGACCCGGTCTGCACATCGATCTACCTGAAAAGGAGCCCGAGGCGCAGATGGCCCCGCCGGTCGTCGGCCGTCTCCAGGATCCCGTTGGCTACCACACTAACCCGCCGCCGACGGGGCGCCCAGTGCGCGTTTACGCTGACGGTGTTTTCGATCTGTTCCATCTTGGGTAGGTGTTCACACAACAATGCTGTTTTTTTAGACTTTTGGTCGTAAATTTCAATTGCTTTCGGTAATACTTGCTGACGATCAATTGCGCTCTCTAGTCACATGAGACAGCTCGAGCAGGCGAAGAAGGCTTTCCCGGATACGTATCTCATCGTCGGCGTTACTGGTGATGAGGAGACACATCTTCGCAAGGGCCTGACGGTTCTCAGCGGCGCTGAGCGCGCGGAGACTATCCGTCACTGCAAGTGGGTTGATGAGGTTATTCCTTGCTGCCCTTGGATCGTTACCCCGGAGTTCCTCTCTGAGCACCAGATCGACTACGTTGCTCACGACGATCTTCCCTACGGCGCTGCTGAGGGCGACGACATCTACGCCCCTATCAAGGAGCAGGGCAAGTTCCTGGTCACTCAACGTACAGAGGGTGTCAGCACCACTGGTATCATTACACGGTATGTCCTCACACAGCTATGCTTTAATCCCAAACTAACATCTTCTCAGTGTCGTCCGCGACTACGACCAATACATCTCCCGTCAATTCAAGCGCGGCGCTTCCCGCCAGGAATTGAACGTCTCCTGGCTGAAAAAGAACGAGCTCGAGATCAAGCGCCACGTCGTCGAGCTGCGTGATAACATCCGCAACAACTGGACCATGACCGGCCAAGAGCTCGGCCGTGAACTGCGCCAGATCTGGCAGAACTCTCGCCCCAACAGCCCTGCGCCCAGCGCTCGCAACTCCATGGATTGGGGTGTCAACCGCGGTCCTCTCACCAGCCCCACTGGTGGCAGCAAGAGCCACTTGTCGCGCGTTGGCGTTGATGTCCCTACTCGCCCCGACAGCCCCATGGGCTCTCGCCGCAACGACGATTTTGCAACCGGATACAGTCTCGGTTTGGTTGGCGGTGTCCGTGCTTGGGTGAGTTTGACTTGAAATCTCATTTGAGCTGCCAATCTCGATACTAACTTTTCTTTTTCCAGATGGCCCGAAGCCGCCAATCCCTCCAGGAACCCCCTAGCGGCATGCACTCCCCCACAGATGAGGACATCGGGTCCCCGCAGAATGGCTACGAGGAGGAAGTGCGCGGTCGTGCTGGCCACGCCGACCACCTCTCTGCCCAGTAGACTTGCGTGACGGTTTTCAACCCCTCGTGGGTTGATCTCGTCCCAGCTTCATTGCATATGATCGTTGCCGTTATTCACTTTCCATTTTGCATTCGGTTCGTGTCTTATACTTTACAAATTGTGCCGTAACTGGCGGTTTTTCTTTTGTCGGGCGCTTGGCGTCGTTGCAAACTGCCTGACAAGGCTTCAGGCTGTCTGGCAGTTTTGCATCTTATCATCTTTGTTCTGAATTTTTGCTTTTGTTCTGGAATTGATTGGTTCTGGTTCTGGGGCTTGCCCGTTCCCTAATACTCCAATGGACTTATTGCTGTTAATTTTCCGGCTTTGGTGAGCCGTTTGGCTGTGGCAGGTGGTTCTTCTACTGCCCCTTTTTTGTTTGTGGATAAAAGCTGGGATTGGTGGGATTTATATGCACTTTTCCCATTGTTTTGTCGGATACTGCACATAGACTGAGATTGCTTTTTTTAGTCCTTTTTGGGACGCCAAATGGATCGTTGCAGGGTACTGCTTGTCATTGGATCGATTGTCTTCTGTAGGTGTAGACTCAATATGGCTGTGATTTGGAGCGTACTCTCAACTCTACATGCAATACTTACACGTAAATTTCATAAGCTACATACATTATGAGACATGACACAACGATACAACAACACGACCCCTCATGTATTCCATGGATGACTGCGCAACTTCATGAGCTTCGGGACGTCTCCCTGTGACTTCACTCACTTGCCGACTCGTACGGACTTCGATTGGTGAAAGGACTACGATGCCTCACACCGTCAACTGACATTGGGATGCATAGGGAAATCTCCCTCTTCCACAGGTAGGGTTAAGTCCAGCCCTGGGGTAGTTGAAGAAGAGAAGAAAGGAAGAGGAAGAGAAGGAACAGCTGAGGGCATTTGTACCCCAGGAAGGCAGGTGACTTTCCTATTTGGGAAGACCTTTTCTTTCCACACACTTCAATCACTACATACAACATATGTATTCTGATCTTTCACTTTAACATTGTGCTACATTCAAATCTTTATTCATCATATATATTAATACTGTTGATCTATTCCTGATCTCTTTTCGATTACTTCAATATTACCCTGAGTACTTGCTCTGTTGAATGTGGACTGTTCTCTACATCGGAATGGTCGTCCATGTTCCTCCTCGTAAATGCCCAAGGTTCAAAGAGGCTGATAGACCAAATTCCAGACCATTGTTGGAGATTTTGAAACGGTGAAAAACCCAGGGTTGAGGTAGATGCGTATCGTTTCAGACAAAACTTGTTTTAGTCTTGTATATATGATAATGGAGCAGGATCTGTATTCGTTGGGCCTTTTTTTCTTTTAGTCAGTGTCGAAATAGTATGCCAGATACGATGGAACCTTATTGGACAGCCTTCATATATTGAAGCGTCTGCGCTACGAGGCTGACTGCGCTGAAAGAATGGATTCATAACTGCACTGTCAATTGTAAGCCATGCTGGCTGCGTCATCTAGGATATCTCACATACATCTAGGCTTATATACATCTGCAGGTAGCCCTGGAGGTCTCTATATTTTGAACTAATATCTTGTTTGGCCTACTCTGAACCCTATCTTGTATATTCTATCTACACTTCAGCTATATATTATTCCAACTATTCTTCTATACTACGTCACTCTAACCCTTGAATGAATAATTCTATAAAAATTATATCAAAAAAGCAATTCCAAACACAGGCGCGGTTAGCGGTCAAACCGGACTCCACTTGAACAGTCATGTGAAATCTCTTTTAGTCAGAGTTCATCGATCGACGCTCTTCACTACTGGTATAAGACTGCTCATTCCCTAGAGTCTGCATTTCTCCAGGGCTGAGACCTTATACTCCAGGAGAATATAAGTCCATCGTTTCCTCTGTATTCGTACAGGAAACAAAGCGAAAACCCGCCAAGATGACATCTCCAACATCCCCCGCAAAGTCTCCACCGACAAAATTCTCCAATAACGAACCCGCGATCACTGATAGTCTCGAGCAGGGTGTTTCGGTGACTGACCAGGATCATCCGGACGCACCCCTGCCGATCGGGCAGACTGAAACAGGATCCAATCAATCTTCAAATCAAAATCAAAGCGAGGGCTCTACTTACAGGTGTGAAAGCGGAAGTGAATCCGAAGTCCAGGCTGCACTCGCTCAGTCTGAGCCCCGACCCATCGAGGATGATTATGACGATGCGGCTGTGGCTGCCGCGAGACCCCGCCATGCATGGCAGGTCTTGTGGCTGCGTAACAAGGGTATGGCGCTCGTCTTACTTGCGCAGATGTTCGGTGCCTCGATGAATGTTATGACGCAGATCTTGGAGATCCATAGTGCTATGCATCCTTTCCAGGTAAGCAGAAGAAAAAGAATAACACAAAAGCAATACATAAGTCCGCTTTGGTAAATGCACGATCTATTCTCTACATCTTCATATCTTCCCTCTACATACGCTCTCACCTATCCAAAACCAGCCCATATATATGACTAAAACTAACAATCTCCTAGGTCCTCTTCGCCCGCATGTCCATAACAGCCGTAGCAAGCTATATCTATATGTGGTGGGCGTCCGTACCCTCCCCTCTGGGTACGCGTCCAGTGCGACTTCTCCTCCTCCTGCGCGCCACCTTCGGCTTCATGGGCGTCTACGGGCTCTACTACTCCGTGCAGTACCTACCCCTCTCCGAAGCAACGGTAATTACCTTCCTAGCACCAATAATGACCTGCTACGCCTGCTCGCTACTCATCCCGGGCGAGACATTCTCTCGACGCCAGCAGCTCGCCGCCCTAATCTCTCTCGGCGGCGTAGTCCTCATCGCGCGCCCATTCAGCAAGCGCGCGCCGCGGGACGTAAACTCCACTCCCACTGCCGCGGCCGTGTGGGCGATGAGCTTGTCCGCGTCTGGGCAAGATGAGACGCCCTCGGACGCAGACTCGTACCACCATGTCATGGCGACGATTGTCGCTTTCGTGGGCGTTATAGGTGCTGCTGGTGCTTATACTTCTATTCGGATGATTGGGCGCCGCGCGCATCCGCTTGTCTCGGTTACTTACTTTTCTTCTGTTACTACCGTTATCTCGTTCGTGGCTATGGCGACTATGCCGTGGGTGCCATTCCGGTTGCCTAATACCGGGATTGAGTGGACACTTCTGACTGGTTTGGGTATTTGCGGATTCTTGCTTCAGTTCCTGTTGACGGCGGGGCTATCGTATGTTCCTCCTGCGTCGGTTACTCAAGGGAAGCCGGGACACTAGGGGTCTAAGGCTACCTCGATGGTTTATATGCAGATGCTCTTCGCGCTGTTTTATGATAAAGTTGTTTGGGGCAGTACTCTCAGTCCCATTAGTTGGGCTGGATCGGCGCTGATTTTGATTTGTGCGATTTATGTTGCTGTTGCGCAGGAAAGTCCTGCTCAGGCGCGGAGAGTGGAGGTGGAAGGTGAAGTTGGAGAGGAGTATCGGGATGTCGAGGGTTACAAGGACGCCACTGACGAGGAAAGGGCTGCATAGAGTGAGTGCATTGAGTGAGTGCATTGAGTGAGTGCATTGAGTTTTTGGCTTGCATTTGCATTTTCTTCCATTACTTTGGGGCATCACAGCGTTTTGAAGTCCGTGCTTTATGTAGCTAACTTAGGGCTTATTTGATTGGATTGGCCACTGGAGCACTCTGCTCCGGTCTTTGCATTGTGATATACTGCATCTCGATACATTACTTACTGTTTCTTTCAAAACTGAGAACAATGCAAAATTCAGTCAAATCCAAATTCAACCCACCGACGTCATCGGGTTACAATGCGTTTTCCCGGGAACTCCCGTCTACAGACGCATCAGGAACATTGGGGTTTTTCCCTCATAACCCCTTTACTACCCTGGCTCTTCTATGGGATCTTCATTCTAGACAACAGTCGACCGATTTGCCTATTCTGCATAAAAGCCCACTAGACCCAATTTTTCCCCGCATTCTGTTCTTTAATTTCGTCGACTCTCTTTTACTTGCATCAACATTCCACACATTTTACACTATAGATAGATCCCAATTCTGGAACCTTTCCATACAAACATCCGAATAAAATGCGTCACTTCGACACCTGGGTCCTCCGCGACCCCTATTCAATCTGGCACTACTACCCAACAGGCCATCGCTGGCGCGACACAGTCCGCGACCTAATCCAATCGCGCGCAATCTGCTCCCCAGAAACCCCAAGCAACCAAGGCTTCAATCAATCGCCCATAAACCCCTATGCAAACTCCCAACCCCAATCCCCACTCCTCCGCCTCCCCGCCGAACTGCGCCAAATGATCTGGTCCTACGTCCTAACAAACGACTCCGATCCAAACACCCCAACCCCCCAAACTCTCCATCTAGTCCAATTAAAAGGAAAAATCAAACACGTACGATGTAACTCTCCAAAGCCAATCCCTCCAAATACACCAGCCCGCCCCGCCCAAACAGCCCCCGATCAACCAAACCCAGCCCTAACCCATAACCGCCACTGCTGCCCCACGACCCCAGCCCGCTGGCGCATCTACGACGGCCGCGTCCCAGGCCACAGCGACAGACTGCTCTACCCACACACGCATGCAGACCTCCCCTCAACACTAAGCAACAGCAACGTCTCCTTCCTGCGCGTCTGCCGCTCCATCCACGCAGAAGCACAGTCCATACTGTACAAAGCGTCTGTCTTCGACGTAGACGATCTCTACACGTTCATTGCATTTTCCAGCTCGCTGTCGCCAATTGCGCGGAGCTCAATCCACAGATTAACTGTCCAATGGATGCCTGTATGGATTCCGATGGCCGGGCTCGATCACAAGGGGTCTATCTATGCGCATACGCACAGCGATGAGCTCTGGGCTCAGTTTTGGGGTGCTGTTTCCCAGCTCGGCGGGTTGAGGGAGTTGGGGCTGAGTTTGGACTTGGGGAGATTTACCGGTGTGCTTGGGAGTGGTGGGGGAACTGTTGTTTCTGGGCAGAGGATTCCGTTTGGGATGGGGGAGGGATGGGTTAAGCCTTTGCTTGGGGTTGCGGGGTTGAGGAGTTTTGATTTGGCGGTTACCGCTAGATGTGATCTTATTGCCAGGGGGGTTGTGGAGAGTGACTTGGTTAAGGAGGTTGGGGAGTTGAGGGATGGTTTAAGAGAGATATTGTATAAGCCGAGAGAGGTTGGTGGTGGGTTGGGGTTGAAGAGGGGGGTGGAGTGTGCTTTGGAAGGCGGGAAGAAGGAGAGGAGGGTAAGATTGGCTATTACTGCTGCTTGAGGCTTGATGCTTTTTGTTTTCGTCGTTATACCCGCTTTGAGGTTGCTGAGTGGTTCATCTACACCCTAAAAGGACATATAGAAATGTGAAACTAGCATGGAATACCCAAGGATACAGCTCACGCGGAATATTTTAAAATACTAGTGTGCGTATAAGAGGTCGACAGACACATGTTACCTACTGTTTACAAGATGGGGTGGCAAGGGGATCAGTGAAGACACTATGAAAGCTGCGATAGAATCCACAGCACCTAGCGAGATACTCCGAGTCTTCTTCAACTGATTGGGATTAACGGTACCAAATACGCAAGTGGTCTTAATCCATGCAGCACGGTGTTACCTCTCCAATACCTTTGAATTCCTTTTGGAACAAGACCATAAACTGGATCTTTTTGATTCTTGGGATAAAATATGGTAGAGTAATTGTCACCACAAGAAAGAGGCGTCGACTGTTGTGTATCTATATGCGAATCCACGTTGGACAAGATATTGCACTTCCACAACGCTCCATTTGATGACGGCTATATGCTTGAATACCGTGGGTGGCTTTTGAATCTCAGTTTAAATTCTACCAATCTGAGATGTTGTCATTTTGATGGCCGAATGTAGATTTGTATCGAGCGAATTGTATCCGTCTCATTGACCCCAGGGTTACCAAGATAATTCTTGAAAGATGCTGCAAGGATAGCGTCAAGGATTTCTTGGACTACCAGCAAGGGAATTGGAACCAAGTCATCTTGATATAGCAATTAGGAAGTGATGCGGGTATGAAAGCGCATTGATGTTCCTTCTGATTCAGCGCATGAGTTTGGAACATGCCAAGCTTCATAGGAAAATGATCTCAGCTTGCATTCTTGAAGGTTTGGTCGAGATCGAAGACAGATTTTGTTTGTGTAATGTGTAATAGTTGTTTGGTTCTGATTTGTCCTCCTCCCCTTCTATTTTTGCTTTCGTGTTTACTCATATGTATGTAGCAAGCAGGTGTTGCCTACTTGCCTAATGAGGCCTTATAATGATGCCAAGACTTGAAGAATGAAAGCCAATCGCAGCGGAAAGTTTGAGACCCACGCGCGCTCGGTTTCGTACCCCGGACTTTTGACGGCTCCTTCACGTGACACTCAAAAGGAAAACAAAACCTGGTAGCTCTGTTAGATCGCAAAGTTATCCTTGGTGCAGGGGTCCTTGCTAAGCTTTTCTGTATATTCCCAATTGACCAAATGCCCTGAAGGGCGGAAAGGCAACCCACCAACACATCTCACGTAATCAATGCCGAAAAAGGAAAGTATGGTTCTCAACATTTAGCTCATACTGTGGTTGGACGGTCTCGAACGTCGGACCCGCGGAGTGGGGCACGTGATTATTTCGCCCAATCAGGCAGTCGACGGCGGGGACTAGGCCACAGAGCCTCAAAACGGCAACTCGATCAATATGCTTCTGTAAGGAAAAAAAAAACTGGTAGCTTCTCTTTGATTGAGCGTGTCATCCTTAGTGCAGGGGCCATGCTAATCTTCTCTGTATATTTTCATTTGACCAAATGCCCCGAAGGGCGAAAAGTGATCCTTAAAGTTCAATATATCCCCCAATTATGGCAGAATGAGACCGCCTAAGGTGGCTTGCTCGAGTTGGTCGCTTCAGCTCCTAAATTTTCCTCATTTCTCACTAGCTATCTATGATGAACACAGGTTACCAGAATATTTTCTTAAGGATGGGCTCAGAATATGGGCTTCAATAGAAATAGAGTAGGAACACTCATGGACTATATCGTTTACCGAAGTGGTAGCATAAAGCTGCTATCAACATGGGTTTTGCTTCTAAAATAAACATATTTAGGCCTCATTGTAAGCATCGCTGAGATCATAAGATTACTGCTGGGATAGCGAATTGAAATTTTTGGCTATTGTAATCTTTTCTGCGGTGTAATTAGTAGTAACAGATGGACCGAGAACCTTGGAAAATACGGAGACTTTAGAGGATGGGCAGGGTTTCTAGCAGTAAAGTGAACATGCTGGGACGTAGTTTGAAGTTTACATGCTACAGACGCTCTAAGTATAGACTATACAATCTTCATACGGGAGGAAATCTGATGGAAACCTAGTGGCTTGAATTAAATGTGCAGATTGGAATATATAAGTACAATGTACTCTCATACAAAAGTAAAAGTATCTCCACCCTTCTCACGCAACATATTCCCAGTCCTAGATGTACCAACAACACGTTCCAACTTCATTGCATCCCACTTGGAGAAGAGCGCACGAACACCGCCCTCGGCGGCGTCGACCAACTCCGCCGGGTCAAGACCAAGATACCCAACAATCTCACCGTAGAACTGCGCATTATCAGGCAGACCGTACATAATGATACGCTTCACGCCACGGATCTGATAGCGTCGGAAATGGTGCGAACGCTCGGTATACAGCAACACCGAGTGGCGACCAGACAGGAAATGACTGCGGGCACGATTGGCCTCCTTCGATTCAGTGTACTCGGAGACAGCGCCGAAAGCAACATTCGTCGTCTGCGAGGAGGTTGCGAAGTGGTTTCGCACGCGGACAAAGTCGAGGTAGGAGGGGATGAAGATAAGGGTTCCAGTTGCGCCTTTGCCGCGGCCGTGGGTGATGTTCTTCACGATGGTGGACAGGACGGCTGTTGTGAAGTGCTTGAAGCGGGCGTCGGGATCTTTCATAGGTGACAGGCTGTCGATGCGGGTGAAAGTTTGCTTGACGGAGACTGGGAGGGGGAGTTCGGTGATGGCGCCGGCGTAGGTTGGGGTTACTTTAAGGCGGCCTGAGGCGTTCTGCATATGGTTTGAGAAGAGGGCGTTAATCTCGGGTGTGATGAAGGATGAGAGCACCACGGTCTGGCGCACGTGGCGGGCTTGGTTGTCCAGGTACCAGTTGCGAACGCGGCTGAAGTCGCAACCGTGGGCTTCTTTTGGTTGCAGGTTGAGGTGCTGGAAGATGTGGTCGACGTGATCCCAGTTTTGCATTAGAAGGGCGTCGGCGTGGTCGACTACTACTAGCTCGATTGAGGAGAGAAAGTCGTGGTCACGCTTCTTGGCGTCGGATTGATCCATGATGGTGCGCAGACCCAATGGACTGGCTAGGATGATATCGGAGCTGTAGAATTGCGCGAAATACTTGACTGTCTTGCGGGTGAATTTGAGACCTAGGCGGAACATGTCGTCGTCGTTGCCGCCGAAGAGCTCTCGGTAATCCTCTGTCTTGTGTTCCCACGCCTCATCCTCTGGTGCCGAGAATGAATCGGTGAATCGCTTTTTGTTTTCTTGTTGCTCAGGCTGATAGATCCGAGTGATGGCTTCAAGGACCTTCACACAGGACTGTCTCGTCGGCAAGATGTAGAGCACCTTAGGCCGGGTGAAGCCTTGATCACGGCACTCGATATCGGTATCCGGGTCCTTGGCTAGACGGGCGGTGTTCTTCAGAACTTGGTCTCGGGTTTTGAGCAGGTGGTTGACCGCGTGCAAAGCAAGCATATCGCGCGTCTCCTTCGCATTAGAAGCAGATCGGGCTCCGTAGAGAACATCTTGGTAATCAAAGACATACGGCGCAATGATTTGAGCTTGGCCATTGATCTTAGGCAATACTTCCGCGGCGCGGGCCTTGAGTTTTTGTTTAAGCTGCCAAATTAAATGTTAGTTTTGCTCAACTGACATGTTCATGTTCATGCTAATGTCGCGTACCTTGAGGTTTACTGTGCTCTTCATTGGTGGAAGCAAGGAAGCACTATCCGCACCTGTGTCAGGAACGGCTTGTACGAGTCGTAGTCCATCGACTTCTTTTTTGGCGAAGGCCCATTTGTTGGATTGAATGGCTTCGATCTGCTTGGTCAAGGCTGCACTCTCGGGCTGAACGAAGTGCTTTTCGAATGGACCAGTTTGGTCTTCGTCATCATCCACATCCTCCTCTTCGTCCTCGGATGGAACCTGAGCTTCCAAATCATCGTCACCATCCTGTTCTGGCTCCTCTGCGGTGTCGGCCATTTTGATCTCCTCATTTGAATCGGTCGCAATCTTGCGCTTCTTTCGAGCTGGTCCACTTGACTCTGCTGGTTGAAGCAACTGGAGAAGTTCGTTGTATGGGCGTTCAGTGCTCTCCTCGTCTTCACTGCTGGAGGATCCATCATCCATGAGGGTATCATCGGCCAACTCTTCTTCTGGCTGCTCGCTACCTGAATCATCTCCACTAGAAGAGCCGTCCGATCTAATGCAATTAGCTATGGACTATTCCAAGATTAACGTATAATACTTACTCAAACTCGTTCAATCGCGAAGTCGCAAAACGACCTCCTCGACTACCACCACGACCCCGGCCACGACCACCACGACCACCACGGCCGCCGCGACCACCACGTCCTCGAGTTCCTCTAAAAGAACCACCTCGTGGAGGCATATTTGTTGTGATGTAGAAATGTATTAATGATAAAAAAAAAAGTGGTTACGCTGTTTCGTCCTACATGAGAAATTTCCCCTTATCTCTTATCTTAGCGCGAAATTTCCCACACAAAGCAGAATCGGAACAATCACGGCTCAACTCCACTTCAAGGAAAAATTGAACCTCCGAGAGAAGCCTGTCGAGTTTGGGGAATTTGAACCTTCAAGAAAAACCATCAACAATTAATCATGGCCGAAGATTCTTTCCTGCACCTTGCTCGCCCCTTGGGCCCCGTCAGCGTGGGAACCGCTCCCACTACTGCCCCTCTTAACGTTGTCATTCAGCCCCAGGTATGTACATGTGTCCTATGATCTGAGGGGTAAAGAAAGCTCATTCCTTAGGCCATTTTCTCCGTTCTCGACCACTCTCTCCGTCGCAATGCCGATCAGGAGCGCGTCATCGGTACATTGCTGGGAACACGATCCGAGGATGGAAGTGAAGTTGAGGTCCGATCTGCCTTCGCCGTCGGCCACTCCGAGGCTGAGGACCAGGTCGAAGTCGATATGGAATACCACAAGCAGATGCTCGCCCTCCACCTGAAGGCCAACCCCCGCGAGGTCCTGGTTGGCTGGTACGCCACTGCTTCCGAGCTCAACACCTTCTCCGCCCTCATCCAGAACTTCTACAGCGGCCAGGGCGATGGCACATGGCCTCACCCCGCTGTCCACCTGACTGTCTCCACTGAGGCCGGCAAGGACCTCGAGACCCGCGCTTACATTTCCGCCCCCGTTGGTGTCACCGCCGAGCGCGCCGCCGACAGTGCCGCCTTTATCCCCGTTCCCTATGAGCTCCGCTACGGTGAGGCCGATAAGAGCGGTCTCGAGTCCATCGCCAACGCCAAGGATGCTGAGGACCGTTCCACCACTGTCACCTCTGACATCGACTCTCTTGAGCGCGCCGTCGAGGAGGTTCTCTCCATGATTGACCGCGTCTCTCGTTACGTTGAGTCCGTCATCGACGAGGAGACTCCCGCCTCCACCGCTATGGGCCAGTTCCTCCTGAACGCTCTTGCTCTCGCCCCCAAGGTTGAGCCCGCTGACATTGAGCGCGACTTGTATGTTCAACTTTTCAATATATCCGTTCGTGTTGATTCTCACTAACATTTCACAGCAACAACCACATCCAGGACGTCCTTGTCGTTTCTTACCTCGCCAATACCGTTCGCACACAGATGGAGCTTTCCACCCGACTAGCAACCGCCCAGCTGACTCTCGGCGGCGGCGAGGGTCCCGCTACCGGCGAGGGCCAGCGCAACCAGCGCGGTGGCAAGGGCAACAACCAGGGCGGTCGTCAACGCCAGGAGCGCACCGAGGAGGCGCGCGCATGAACGGCTTCTTACCACAAACCCCGATGCATAATGTGACGGTACGCGGGAGGAACTCTTCTATCAAGGGAACGTCAATATCTCGTCCCACGTTCACTTCCTCTTTACTCCATTCCTCCCGACGTTCCTATTTTTGGCTCCCGATTCACTCCCCTGTTACTATCCCTCTTCCGCCAATTTCCCAATTCCTTTTTCCGCTTTTTCACATTTTTTTCGCGAGACTTTCATGTTCTCTCCCCGAGGTCATGTTCTCCCCCGAGGTCACGGACAACGGATTGATCACCTCCGTTCAATGGTTTTTGGAGCCGATTCGTCTCGAGAAGATAACTTGTTCCATACTACGGTAGCCGATCTTATATCGATATCGATATAAGAAACGCAGTTGATGAGGCTGATCATGAAGACATGTTCAGTGATAGAGAAAATCTGGGGTGATGAGTCTAGACTGTTGAAGACGAGATGAGTCGACGGGGTCGATCCGGTTTACGAAGTCGCATCTTCTGGGCGCGGCGTTTTCAGTTATGATGAAATGGACATAAAAGTTCTAGAGCTTCTTCGTATTACCTTCCATGGATGTATTGTTCATATCTTGGTACAACTACATAAGCACTTCCTGGGCGTGCCTGCCTTCAAGTCAACAGGATATTGTAAACGACAGTAGAATTCCACGTTAAGACTAACAAAACAGATTTCAAAGCTTCCCATTTTTCTTTTTTGCTGTTTGTGTGGCTGGCTTTTCTTAGCGGCTGACGTTGGGAGTACCCCGAGCAGTAAGTCTTTTTTGATACAGTCAGTGAACAAAAGTAATCGCACGCCCAGCCGAACTGGGTGGGGATAAAGGGGATGCAATTACTTATGCACAGTCACTATATGTCTTTTTTGGCTTCTTCGACGGTTGTGCTAAACTTTGATCACAGGCTCCAACCGCTCGCTCATCAAGACCGTCCGACTCGCCAGAAGGGAGGCGGAAGGAGGAGATTGGCCTGTGGAGCTGATCAAACTTGGGGAGAGCCATGGCATCCCCGTAATGAGAAAGCTCCTCTGGGAGGTGATCCGGTTCATGACAATTTGGGAGATTGTCAAGAGGCTCATCAGCCCTGCTGATTATGCCCTTGTGGCTCTCTTCGGGGCGTCTATGAATCGTAAGTTCCTTCAATTGGACTCTCCAGATCATTATTCTTCGGTTGGTTTGGTGCTCTGTCACTCTCTTTTGGCACTGACAAATAAGACATTCGGCCTTTTACGTTGGACCAAGTCTTGTTGGAACTCTTTCCGAGGTGCTGCTACTCCTCGCGACGAAGAAAAGGCCGATACCAATGCAAACGTTTCTCCTCTGGCCCTCAAGGGAAATCCCAACCTCCTGAGCATCCAGAGGCTCCGGCCGACCAGGGTGGTCCTGCTCCTCCTGCTCGCCGAAGCTCCCGTATTACAGTTATGGCTCCTGTCCATTATACTTCCTAGGCAAACCCGGCAAGTTTAACGTAGTCCTCTTCACTCTTCTTGGTTGCACCTTTCTCTCACTTCTCTCTCACTTCTCTCTCACGAAGAAGAAGAAGAAGAAGAAGAAGAAGAAGAAGAAGAAGAGGCTGAGCTCCGCAAAAGTGGCCATGGTCCAACATACTTAGACAGAGGGTCAGATTGTGCGACGATTGTAGCTATTATGTGTTTATGTTTATTGTGCTGCAATAAATAGCACTGAGCTGGGATATGAACTGTTCCCTTGTGCATAACTCAAAATCAAATTAATTGTTCTGCAGTATATTAATCTTGGAGTATAAGCAATTTGATAAATCGTACTGGGTGAACACATCTTTCTCTGGGGCAAAAACGATATCACGCAAGCGATATACTCAATTGTATCAAAGCAAATAGTAGCTAGAGTGATTGTATACAACTGAGCGCTTGACAAGTCGAGCTAAATCAAGATACTTCGATTATTGAAGAATCAGACTCACATTCGTCACTATAATCAGTACTGCATAAATTGTCATGGTCCTCATCAACCTGCTCACATCCAGACTTAACGAGATCAAATGGGTTCTCATAGCCATCCAAGTGCAGTCCCCAGATAGAGGCCAACTCAACCCGATCATAAAAGTTCTGCTTTGCCTGGAAATCAAGTTGGCTGTAGATTTCATTCTGTTGCTCTTGGGTGAGCTCAAACCCCCGAGCTTTTCGGCAACATCCACATGAAAGAGCACTATGCCCAACTCCTAGTGGGCGTGCCAGATCGAGCTGGCGATTGGTACAGCATCCACAACCGCGAGCACAGCATCCCTACCTTCTCTCACAATCCTCAACAAGAACCTCATGCATATACCATGTAGGATGTGATCGCCATAAGTCGAATGCCCTCGACACAACCCCTTCTCCGAAGTCACTTCGATACTTCCACCATTCCCGTGTGAGTTCCCGGATTGTCTTATTCATGTAATCAAAAATTCCTTTCATTCGTTCAGAGCCATCTTCCTGTTCATGCGCAAATAACTCTTCTTGGGTATAATGTCGCAGGTCTTCTTCCGTGTCTAAGAGTTTATCTATTGGAAGTGGGCAGGCATATCTGGTGTCTTTGTGAAGTCGATATGAAGCCTTTGGAGAGTGCAGATGTCTCCACTATGTTCCAGTGTCGTCTCTTGAGTGCCTTTCTCCTTGCAAAGAATTCTGACTCTTGATTTGGGATATGGGGACCATGGATCGGGTGGCCAAAGCCAGTTGACAAACGAGGAGAATAAGCAACTCATATTGCACTCAACTTCAACGTGGAAAGATCAATAAATAGGAATAAATTCCGTGGAGAAGGGATGTTGTTGCTGTGGCTCTCATGTCAACGAATCGTGTTGATGTCAACGCTAAAATGATACATGTTCTTCGGTGTGCTTGAGTATGCCAAGCTATGAGGCTCATAACTTTAATTTGACGATCCCAATGGACGTAAACAAAACAGATCAAATGACAGTGTTTGTTGGCTAGAAATATGTTACGATGAGGGTTGAAACGTGTCAGCTTGAAAAATAATAAGATTAAACAAATTTCATTGAGGGTATTTTGAGACAGATCGCATATTCAATCAAATCCCCTTGTTCATAATTCTCATACTTCAGCCGCGCAAAGCAGTCTGTAGAAAGATCCCCAACGCCAATAACCATGCTGTGTTGTACAACCCGAAACCGTAGACCCAACGCCATGATTGAAAGCAGAATGCATGAAGGGGAAGAAATTAGCCGATAGTCTTGCGCTTCTTCGCAACAGACTCCTCGGTAGCATCAGATCCCCGACGTGGGGCATCACGCTTTCCCTTTCCCTTATTCTTACCCTTCTTGCCGGTAACACTAGCAGCGGCAGCAGCTTCGGCAGCCTCGGGGTCTTCTCCGGCAGCCACAGCAGCCGCAGCCGCAGCAGCACCCTTCTTGCCAGCCTCTTTAGCAACCTGATCGTCGTTCTGGTCGAATGCCTTCCGAGCCTCCTTCAGCTCACGCTCCATGCGAAGCAGCTCCTGGACACGACCAAGCTTGTTGGGATCACGGCGCAGTGCGAAGCGGAAGTCTTCGACCTTGATCTTCTGGCGACGGGCGTGATGGGCAACTTGCGCGGCACCGTGGCATACTTCCAGGATGAAGTCGGTGACAATTTCGTCGAGCACACGGACAGTTTCAGGGAGTGGTTCGTTGGGGAAGGATGGGTGAGGGCTTGGATCTCCATAGGCGAGGAGGAGAAGACGAACTGGTGTATGTTAGCTGTGAACTTTGTTGGTGCGTTTTATGCAATGCGGATAGCGTACGCTCGTTCTGGAAGTTCATCTGCCCCTTGTGGCGGGCCATCCGGGCGCGTGGTTCAGCCATGGCGGAGGTGTTCTTGCCTTTTCCCTTGAAGTCAGGCGATGGTTCGGACTTTGCTTCAGACTCCGGGTTCCACTGGGGTTTGTATCCAGCCTGTATTAGCTTGGTGTCTTGATTATTGAACGGCCAGGGAGGCGTCGACAGCGGGTGAGGATTATTCGGCTGGGGCGAGGAACTGTTCGAAGTAGGCGAGCGGCGGTTCGTAGTGGAGCGACTCTCTGGAGTTGAGGCTCGCGGAGGTGACGCCTCAAAGCTCACCCGCTTTTTGGAGCGGTCCGTGCGTTTAGCGGACATTTTGGGCAGAATCGACTGAGTTCCGTCCGTTAGCAACTTGACACATGCAAGCTAATTCATAACATCTGCTCTTTTTCTCTGCCCGTATTTTGGGTGAGGACTCGAAAAGATGGTGAGTGTATTCACGTTCCAAGTCCGAGGATTGTGCTGCTCGATTGTCGCAAGACACACATCTCCGCCTTTCCATTCCAAACCCCGATAATAACATAGGCCCAATGCGCTAACTTCTGAACTTACCTAGTCGGCTCTTTTTAACTTTCGGTCGCTGCTTCTCGTCCTGCTTCTCATTATTTGTACCAGCAGCTATGCGCATTCAATAATGCCGGGCATTATGGACCGCAACCAGAACGGGTATGTACTCACCTGAAGGTGCGAGTGCTTGGTCTGAGGATCAGGGATCAACCATCGGAATCAGGAATCGGATATATGAGCAGAAGATGCTAATGACTTTACAATGCAGAATTTTTGGTATCTTCTGGAAGTGTGCTCGTATTGGAGAGAGACTCAGCCCATACGTCAGCATCTGCTGCGTGGTGATGGCAGTAAGTTACTTACCCCATGAGTGATATCTGATGATGAGAGATGAGTGAATGCTTATGGGTGTTTCATTGCAGGTCTCTATCTTCTTCGGTGGCTAAATTGCTACATCTCTCGAATCTCATTGCTACGATCTCCAGTGCACTGGGAACCCCATAACATATCAACCTCGAGCCTTGGATATTCGGTAACTGGAATAACTCCCAAATCAGGACCATAAGAGTAAAGATTCTTACTGGATATTATGGGCACAGGAAGAAATGATACCTCCAGACGAACAAGCTCTTAATGATGCAATGTATAGTACATGATATCCAAATTTACAATTAGATTATGGGGACCTGTGAAAATGACGCTGAAAATGACCGCTATTAACGCCAGAAACGGCTGCCTTTCCACCGTAACTTTGGACGTCTAGTAGCCCCTTCATCGCCCACTGCCCTGTAACACCACTACTCTGCACCCGCCTAGCGCTGTTCGTCATTCTGCGGTCCTGGTGTTGACAATCGACTTACATAGTTCTTCCTCTCGTTTCTACTAGCGACTAAGACGGCGCCGAAAATAGCTCCCCGTCAGCTAAATCTAAGTTCCCTGTAGATTATTCTGTCATGACTACTGGGAACTTGTACGGGTCAGCTTCGGAGTTCCCAAGAGAAGAAAGACTACTCATTTCGGACATTCTAACGACACAAAGCGATACAGCTTTAATATCGATCTAAAAAGATAAAAAGATGATCTAAACCTTCAGCTCAAAACAGAAATTAAACAGCAGCGGATACCTCCTCCCCTTCCTCCAAGGAGATGTCCAACTCTCCAACAACAACATTGACATCAGTCTTGCCAAAGTCGTCCCTCGAGGGCGACGGCGTACGACGCGACTCACCATCCGACAGTGAAGGAGTAGTAGTTTGAGCCGGAGTAAAGACTGGACTCCCAGTCGACGCCGCAGCAGAAGTAACAGTCGTCTGATCGGGAGTAGATCTAGATATGACCGTATTAGGCTTGATCGAAGAAAGCCGAGGCTCAGCCTTAACCGGTGCAACCTCTTCAGTCGCTCCAACATCCTCTTGAGTAGGCATCTTCGCAAGAGCTGTCTTAACCAAGACAGAAATGGATCCACCGCCCATAACCTTGAGTGTGGGAACATCAGCTTCCAACTCCCTCAGGAACCAGGCTCGAATATCGACTGCGACGAGAGAGTCAACGCCCTGCTCGACAAGTGCGACTGACTCGTCGATCTTCTGGTCTTCCGTCATGCGAAGCATGCGCTTGAGATGCGCCACGAAGGCGTCGCGGATGATAGTGTACGCTGCGTCGGCGTTTGGGGCTGTTTGGAGCTGGACACGGACCCGGACGCTCGTTTCGACGGCCTGTACCTCTGACCCTGCCTCCTCACGGGCAATAAAGTGACTGAATTTTACATCGCGGCGGTGGGATTCCTTGACATAGAGATCAGGTGCGATGTAGTTGATTCCCATGGCAACTTGGGCTTCGGTGTTTGAGCCTGGGCGTCCGGACAGGATTGCTTCCGCGAATAGGATGTGAAGATCTTGCTCGCTGATGTTGATGTATCCCAAGGATTGGAAATAGTCGAAGTCGAATGTGTCGGAGTGTGCGGCATAGCCTACGCCGAGGACGGCGGGGATGTTCATTGCAGAGCCGGCAACGCCGCGCTTGCGTCTCTTGTTCACCAAAGATGTCATGAATTCGTTGGCCGCAGAGTAGTTGCTCTGTCCACTCCATCCGATTACAGACGCAATACTGGAAGCAACGACGAAGAAGTCAAGCTCAGTGTCATGGAAAGCTTCGTCAAGAAGGCGTGTACCAAGTACCTTCGGCTTTGTGGCACGCGTGAACTGTTCGTAGGTCATGTTTGCAAAGAGTTCATCGTCCAAAATCATGGCACCGTTGACAACACCGGCAATGGGTGGCAGTGCGGCAACCATAGAAGCGTGGACCGATCGAAGAGACTCCGGCGAGGTGATATCCAGTGAGACCGCTTTCACCACTGCGCCGTATCGAGTGCTCATCTCTTCCACAAATTGGGGATTGACTTTGGGGCTGCGACTCGTGAGGACAATGAATCGGGCTCCGTGGGCAATCATCCATTCCGCGAGAGACTGGCCCAGCTCGCCTGCCATGCCGACGAATAGGTACGAGCTATCACCGCGGAACAAGGGTGCCGAATCAATGGACTGTACCTTAACGGGTACAGAGTCGGACCCTGTCCATTTAATGACAGCAAGAGGCTCGCCGGTAGCCTTGTGATCTGTGATTTTGCTCAAATCGATGCAGTTTGCATTGGCGTCATTGAGGGGAGCTTCCTCGAAACATCGTTGCAGCAAGTTTTTAAGACTTTTCAAGCCATTCACTGCGCTGACTTTGTGGCTGAGTAGTATTTCCTCACTCACTTGGAGACATTCCGGACCCAGAGCCTGCACGATGGCATCTCGAACTGCGTCAGAAGCTCTCCCTCGAGAGAAGTGGACGAAGATAGAGCATTCCGAAACCATGGACTGGATGAGGTGCCGAGGGTAGTGAGAATGGAGGAAAACAGAATCGCTGTTTGGCGTCTGAGATGCGTCCGACGTAGTGAAAACAACATTGATCTTGCTGTCCCAGGCTATCGCTCGAATTGCTGATTTCACGACAGCATCAGGGTCGTGGACCAACAGAGTGCTGCCATCATGGGCCAAAGAAATTATGTTATGCGCCAAAAGACTGGCTCCAACAGAGACAATCTGCGAAGGTTTTGGTGCCGTCGGAACCGTAATGCATTGTTCAAGTGCCACGGTGGCGATGGATTCGCTTGAACTTGTCAAACCTAGCACATGCTCTTTGGTAATGACATCAATGCCAGAGACTAGGCGAGAGAATTGGGAAACTCCAATGGCCACACTTTGCAGAAGAGAAAGAGTAACATGGATGGTGCGATATTCGGTCGCTGGTGGGATCATCAAGGCCAATGGCGATATCTGGCGAATTTCCAGGGCTCGCTCATCGCCACGACCGGTGCCAACCAACTGGATGGTATCATTTGCTGGGTTGGCATGGGAGATAACAGTGCGCCGCTGAGAGTTGTATCTCTCGTTCTTCTTTTTGTCGGGCAGTACCCGAGTGATCAGTTGTCGTCCATGGCGCACAAATATGTCAGGCTCCAGAGTCCACAGCAACGAGTCGGTATCCCAATGTGTAAGTGCCAATTGTCGCAGGATCGTCACAGACAGCTCTGTGGCACTGCTTGGCTGTATACCGTTTTGCACGGCAGGATCAAGGTCAACTGTAAGAATGTGCAACCCCGGATTCTCTGTTCTGATTGTATGAAAGATTCCTGTCATCATGGAGCTGTATGGCTGTTCTTCGCGTGATCCACAGGTAACCCAGATCAAGACACCAGCAGTAGCACAAGCCTTGAGAGCCTCGAATTTTCCAGGAGTCAGATCCTCCAGATACGGCCGATCAAGATCCGTAAGAGAAAGAATAGTAACTCCTCCAGATGAAGCTGCAGCTTTAGCCATCTCAGACACAGCAAACTCTTCCACGGTATTGAAGGTCTCTTTGCTATGGAACCGCTTTTCCATGGTGTCGGAGATCTCTTGACTCAGCTTATAGACTGGCCAGGTTTTTCCTCCGATAATGGCTAGCGCATCGGTTCGGATGCCAGCAGGATGCGCCTTCACAGAAAGGGGATTGCGCAGCAGTGCAACTCGATCGTCGGTGGCTTGAGCGAGGAATACGCTCATTGGAAGAGACGCGCTGATATCGGGGGATGTAGTATCAATGCCCGCAAATCCAGAGTTCTTCAAGACGTTGTCCCACTGGCCCAGAGTGAGCAACGGACCCCAGGGACGGCCAGTCTCAGCTCCGATCCACCAACCGGGCAATGTGCCAACTGTCATTCCACTGAATAGTAAATCGGTCGAAGTGAGCTCAGCAACGACAAGGAAGCCACCAGGTTTGAGCAATCGCCGCACATTCGATAGGGACTTTTCAATATCCACAGAAACATGCAACACATTGACTGCTACCACGACATCATAGGTGCCTTCGACAAACCCTTGTCCAGTTGGCTCTTCCTCCATGTTGAAGGTTTTGAATGCCATGCGACGGGATTCTTGACCAAAGCGTTCTTCAGCTGCCATGAAGAAAGCACTCGAGATATCAGTGAAGGTATAAGATGCATAATTCCCCGAGAGAGAGTCGAGCACCGCAGAAGTGGTGGCACCTGTCCCGGCGCCTACTTCAAAGATATTCAGACCGGGATGACGCTTGGAGATCTGGGCAATAACACGCGCCAGCCAGCGACCCGTAGGGCCGGAGCAAATGGCCCCTTCCTCGTAGAAAGCGCGGAGGAGACCATCCTGGTTCATGTGCTCGAGCATTGAGTTGCCTTCACGGATAGTTGAGACCAGATTATCACCTACAACCTCAACAAATCGGACATCTTTGCGGCCTTCGTATCGAGATAGTATCTCACCAATAGCCTCCCGTGTATCTTCGTTGCAGGACGAAGGTACCTTGTGGTGAGCACCTCGGCTAACCATGGCAACCATGCGGTCGCACCAAGCCAGGTATCGCTGGTAATGAGGCAAGAGGACCTTGCGTTCCTCGGGAGGAATGGAAAGCGAGGCATGGCGCAAGAACCAGTACGAGATTCTGTCCACGTCCTTGTAGAGTTGCACCTCAGATTCAAGCAACGTTTCACCAGATGCAGCTAGCTGTCCATCTGGGAAGGCAACAGGGTACTCGAAACGTGAAAACATAGGAAGATCATTCTTTGAAGTGGCTGGGGCAAATGGCACAAGCGTGGCCCCTTCAAACTGAATGAAAGCATGTGCTAAATCTTCCGTGTGGAGATAAACATCACCCACAACCTTTGAAGCGGTATTCGAGCGAAGGAAAGACTCATACCTAGTGGTGGTTTGTTTCCCACCGTGTCCGAGTGGTGTGAAATAGGGATTGATGGTGATGCTTGCAATTGACACTGGAACATGTAGAGACCACAGCTGGGTATCACCGGGATACGACCAGGCGGCGAATACCGTCTGCAGGGCGGAGTCGAGAAGACCAGGATGAAGGATGAGACCGCCATCCTCGTGTTCAGATTGGTCGGACAATGTGCCAACACTGTATCCAGGCTTGCGGCGGATATTAGAAAGACCACGGAAGGGAGACGAGTAGTTATACCCCACGCGGCTGAGGCTGGTGTAGAACTGCTCAGAATCCACTGGGATAAGGCCGTACGAGTCTGACTTGACAAGCGGAAGCGTATCGGGATACTGAGCGGCTAGTTGGACGAGCGCCTGTCCTTTCGCGTTCAGGTTGATATTTCCCGCATTGTCAACTGAGTAAACGGTCCATTCGGCTGTGCCAGCCACACTAGATATATTGACTGAAGAAAGACTGAATATAGTCTCGACTTGCATTGAGTCATCATCAAAGGCAATTGCACGAGGAATCTCCAGGTTCGTGAGCTTCATGATACTGATAGTGGCTTCTGGGTTCGCATCAAGTGTCACAATTCTGATCGCTTCAAAGGCCATGGAAGCGTATCCTGTGGCCGGGAACACTGTCTGTCCCTGCAGTGCATGGCCACTAAGCCATGGTAGCTCACTCTGCTGCAAAATATTGCGCCATTGGAACTCCCCGGGTGTTGCTGCTTCGGAACAAGGCGCGCCAAGTACGGGATTTGACACATGAGTAGAGCGTCGGTGCTTGAAGTGGTTAGCGACACGACTATCCGTCCAGTACTCGCGTTGGTGCTCAAAGGGATAAAGGGGCAAGTCCGTCAAGGCAGTTCTCTGATTTGAACTGCCAGACAGCAGGTTTTCCACTTCGGAAAACTGCACACTATCAGCACCAAGATGATTCCAAATATATCCAAGTGCTGAACTGAGTTGAACGACATCATCTTGACCCCGAGACAACAGCCCTGTGTATGGTACACTGGCCTCTCCATCGATGGTCGCAGTGGCAGGCCCCTTCAATGCAGCATGGGGCCCAGCCTCGATAGCGAGGTCAAAAGAGCCAGCAACCTTGACAGCTTCGGCTAAGGCACCAGCGAAGAGAACAGTGTTGCACATGTTGTCCACCCAGTACTGATTTGTGACACGCGAGATATCCATGGACTGACCTTCCGAAACGCTAGAATACCAGACTGTGGTTGCGTCTTTGGGCGGCTGAAGGGCCTGAATATCACAATTTTCGAGTGATTGAAGGTAGGAACTAGCACACTTGGACATGTGTGCACTGTGGTAAGCTGTATCGACCTTTAGCTTACGAGCGAATGTTCCTATTGCCTTGAAGAACTCTTCGGCTTCATCCACAGCATCCTCGTCGCCACTAAGAGTCACACTGGACTCGGAATTGACTGCGGCAAGCTGTAGTCGCCCTTCAAACCTCTCAGCACAGATAGATCGGGCCACATCCGTGGATGTACCCACTGCCATCATGGCACCGCGAGGAGCATGGGGGTTGGGGCTCCCAGCCAACTTGGCATGTACACCGCGGAAATAAGCAATTCGAATAGCATCCTTAGCGGTCAAGAAGCCCGCAGCGTATGCAGCGCCGATTTCACCAGATGAGTGACCCACAACAGCGGCAAATGAAACACCAGCTGCGCGAAGAATATCAACAAGGACAATTTGCACAGCGGAGCATAGTGGCTGTGAAAGAGCAGCCTCCGCAAGACGAGAAGTATCTTTGCCTGCAAGCAACTGGTCATGGATCGTCCATTCTGGTCGGTCTGCTGGAGATGGAAGACTTTGAAGAGCATCGTCCAATTCTGCTATACGAGCAATCACAAATGGTGAGGTCTCGAGAAGTCTGGCACCCATGCGTGGCCATTGAGCGCCTTGACCAGTAAATATTCCAAGAATTCGTGCCGGTCGCGACACATTGATACTTCTTGAAGTGAAGTCGTCATTGCTTTCCGAAGCAAGTAGGGTCTCTAGCGAGGCGATGGCATCATTGATATTTTGAGCTGTAACGTGTTTCCTGTATGGTAGAGTAGATCTTCGGTGTTGCAGAGTATATAGGAGATCTGAAAACGCCACATCTGGCTGAGCCTTCAGATATTCTAATTGTTGGGAAATTAAATTGCGAAGAGCTGGCTCAGATGCAGCCGAGAAAACCAGCGGAGTGAAGGCAGCGGAGGAGACTGGAGAGGAAATCGCACGTGGTGCGGGAACATATTCCTCAAGAATGCAGTGTGCATTTGTGCCACCAAATCCGAAACTAAAAAATGAAAGATCAACAATGCGCTCTGATCTGGAACGGAAACCTTTGAGCTTCAATCTGTGAACATACCTGTTGACACTTGCTCTGCGAACTTGGCCTTCGGGAACCGACCACGGTGTTGCTGTGGTAGGAATCTCTAGATGATCGAAAAACGGGGCCACCTTGTCGCTCAGGTTCTGGAAATGGAGATTAGGCGGCACGATTCCCTTTTGTAAAGCTTGAGACGTGCTAATAAGGCTTGCTAGCCCCGCTGTGCTTTCCGTATGGCCAATGACGGTCTTGATTGAACCGACGAGCAGTTTCTGTGCTGCCTGAGCTGCATGCGACCCAGCAGGGAACAGAGCGCTGGAGATTGCTTCGGCCTCCTGGGGATCACCAGCTTGGGTGCCTGTTCCATGAGCATGGAAAAACTGTGGACGGTCGTGAAGATTGTTGATAGGGTCGAGGCCCGCACGAGCATAGCACTCCCGAATGAGAGCAGCCTGTGCCTGATTGCTTGGCATCGTCAAGCCTGGAGTTCTGCCATCCTGATTGACTGCTGTCTCACGAATAATGCACTCGATTGGGTCGTTATCGGCCAAAGCCTGCGACAGTGTCTTTACAATAACAGACGCGACACCCTCACCACGCGCATATCCATCCGCAGCTGAGTCCCACATGGCACAGCGTCCGTTGGGAGACAGCATTCCGAGGTTACTTTCCGATATATACATGACTGAAGAAGTAAGATATTGTCCAGTGCGCTTGAAGTCGATATTTTGATGCGACAAACTCACCTGGGCTCAGAATCAAATTGGCTCCTGCCGCCACGGCCACCTTAGACTTGCCGCTGCGCACGATCTGCACGGCGAGGTCCAGCGCAACGAGACTGCTGGAGCACGCAGTATCCAAAGTCATACTTGGACCATGCCACCCGTAAAAGAAAGAGACTCGGTTCGCCATGATACCCCGTTCCAATCCTGTAGCAGTGTACCGTGGCAACGTCTCGTAGTCCCTTGTTACCATCGTATTCCAGTCATCGGACATCATTCCGACGTATACAGCTGTGTCAGACCCGCGCAGCTTATCCATGGGCTGACCTGCAGCGCAGAGACTATCGTACACTACTTCCATCAACATTCGCTGCTGGGGGTCCATGGCATCGACTTCGCTGGGCTGGATGTTAAAAAATCCAGCATCGAACTTGGTGATACTCGTACGATCAGAATCATCCAACCAATAGGAGTGTGTTGCGTTGGTGGTTCCATGATGGGCACCAACTGGGTGGTAAAAAGGGTCGACATCGAATCGAGATGATGGTGGTTTGCTCGATATGTGGACTGGCTTTTCGATCATCGACCATAGCTTGCTTGGGCTATCAGAACCCCCCGGGAAGCGACATCCAGAGCCAATGATAGCAATTGGTTCAACCATAGTGACCTTTGGTGAGATGTGAAGCCCTGTACCAACAATCGGAGATTGGGATGATTCTATAGATATAAAAAAGGCTCGGACGTGATTGTAGGATGTAGCGATTACAACTTCGAGGAATGGAAATTGAGATGACAAATTTCAAGTCTGAAAGATGCCGAAGATAACCAAAGAATCCAGGGACTATGATAGAGGGCTATTCTGCCTGGAAGAGTGCTTGTAATAAGCTTGTTCGGAGGATTATGCTTCGTTGACCCAACTTGGATTGGAGCATTCACAGGAGTGCCGAATGTTCAGAAGCGGATATAACATTCAGAGATACGTCTATCAACGGCATCTTCGACATGAAGGTTGCATCTAGACGCCACAAGATACCTATGGTGGCGGTCCTACTGCTTGGCAGTGCCGCCAAATTACAGTTCAATTTCCCGTATTTGGGCATATTCCGATTCCGCTCAGTCACTCCGATTTAGATATGCAAGTCAGCCGGTAAAGAGTCTCTTCATTGCCTAATAGGGCTAGTTTACTCGGAGAATTCAAAAGAAGCATATGAATATAGACTCGCAGAAGATACGACGACCGGATCGGCCACTCTACCTAGGTATGTAGGCGCTGTCTCATCCAAATGGCAAGAGTCAAGATTGTTGTCAACTGAATGCAATGCTCGAATACAGGCGGTAGAATGGTCCCCGAGAATTAGTTGAAGACGTGCAATCAAATACTGGCAACGTTGCATTAAGGGAACATGGAACACAGTTCACAAACTATTCGAATTTCTTACAATAGATAATGCTAGGCGGAACATCTGTCCCAAAGTCCACTAATAACGTATTCAAGTTGTCATAGTACTAAATACGGTCCTAGTTATGACCAGTTTTGCCCTGGCATATTCATCATCATCCAACCTTCAGTTGGTCTCTCCAATGCGTTGAAGTTTGGTCCGAATGGTTGAACTTGCTGATTGGACGAAGCCAACATTCCAAAGGAGCCTGTCATTAGAAAATGATCGGCTATAGCTTAGTTAGACCAGGTAAGAGATAAAGCTCGACTAGAAACTCACGCTCGAATAAATTCATATTTTCTGGTAATAGCAGCCTTTCATCCAGTGGTTGGCCCGTAGCTTTGGCACAATTCTCGAGTAAAGCGTACGTTTGATAATTGTCTTGTAAATCGCGAGAGACATCTTGGTTGAAAGACAGGTCGGACTTGTGACCATCGCCAGCCTTTGCGAGGACGAAACTCACAGTTTCGGCGGCTTTTGTTGCTTCTTTGGAAGTGGAACTCCTTCGCATCCAGATGGACCTGGAGATTTGAAGGGCTGCCCGAATCTCCTGTTCCCGCTGTAATGTTTTCCCCCGACACAACATGGAGCATAGTACCATAGTAGCAGTGAGGAATTGATGGTTCATTAGGGAGGTCACACGGAACCTCATGGTATAAAGTTGGCCGCCCGGGCATGTTTCCTCATCAAGCATGTGTTGGATGTTCAGCATGCCCAGCGAAGCATCCAAGCATGCTGTTCGCGAGTATTTCATTGGATCGTCGTCTGTATTAGCCGAGCTTGTATACAGAAACCGTCGATGAAGAACAATCTGCCCCTTGTAAACCATATGACCCAAGAATAATCGCGACATGATAACCTGCGGAGAGTCCGTCACACTCGTCGCCAAGGGCTTCATCTGCAAAAGGGGCGGAATACTGGCTGCGGCTTCTTGCAGTATGCCGTCAACGCGCATGACTTCTGCATAACTACATGGCTGAACCGCATCTGTGAGGTCGGCCACTGTGCCCAGTGCTGCCAAGATACGACGTCGAGCGATCAGTCCAATGGAATTGGTGTATTCAGTCAAGGGACGCGATGGAGGAAGGTCTACAGACTGTTCGTCAAAGTCCGTGTCGTTCAAATTTCGCGGCTCTGCTGTGTCCCATTTCCAGTCGGATATCATGCGTGGCATGCCCATTTGGTTGGACACAAGTGTGTCGCCCATTAAGACTGTTGCCCACAAACGGCGACGCATCTCCCCCTGAAAGGGAGAAATTCCTGGGAAATGACTGGGATCGCGGTGGTAGCCCATCCGCATGGCCAGATTTATTTCCAGGGCCATTAAATACCACGTATCTTGATCGGCATCCGTGCGAAGGCAAAATTCAATATAAACGTAGTTGATCACCGTTTGAAGAACATACGGCCCTGTTCTAGTGTATTCGCCCAACACTAGACATTGGACGATCTTTTCTCGATAGAGATCAATTTGAAGCGTCAGATGTTCAACTTCGGCGTCGAATGTATCCGTAGTCAAACAGGCAAGGCAAATCATGCTGAACAGAAGACCGATCCACATGATTGGAACGCTGGATGGATTCGTCCAAAATGCCTCATACTACTCTCATTAGCGAAAATGTTCAATGCTCACAATGGAGAGAACTTGCCTCTCTTAAAAAGCTTGGACCATGAACGGCTGCTGTAAAGATAGTCAATACCAGATACACAGACCCCGATGGAGCACCAAGTAGAGTACGAACAAGCAGAAACTAGATCTAGATAATTGAAAAATCGAGATATGTAGCGATCAACAGCAGCCTTGGGGGGAAGCGCTGCCAAAATCTCGCCACGAGAAGCGATCTTACGGCATCCGTAGAGGAGTAGCGCATACCCAGATCTTGGCCGGAACGGGTCCTGGGCAGGCTCGTCTGACAGTTGGTCTGGGGTATTAGCTAGTCGTAATTGCTCATCGCGATCAAAGTGGTCCTTTAAATCTGCGATGCCATCGAGAATCGCCGCCCAGTGATCACCACCTACATACCGTAGCTCAGACTCACTGATGCGCATGCTGCCGCATTCTGAATGCCCGTCGATCGGCGCTTCCATGACAGGGTCCATGGTAGGGGTCCCCTGAGACACCGAGCGAGCAGATTCTGGCACTGGCACTGAGGTATTATGGCCTCTGTTTGCCGAGTCGCCCATCAGCGACACGACCAGTCGTTCTAGTTGTATCAGTCGGTCGTGGACCCCTGGGGCCGCAGCCGCAGACTGAGGCTTTGAATTGCCAGTTAAACCCGCGTTATCGGCATAAGTGCAAATCTGTCCTCGAGAAGAACAGCAAGAGCAAGGATTCTGACGATCACATCGCGATCTGCACAACAAAAAAAGAACAGATCGTCGTGTGAGTGCTGGTCACAGACGGGCTCACGGAATGGCATTCTTACTTACGGCGGCGGCACGGATTACATGACAGTATCGGCTTGTCCCGTTGCCGACTTGGCTTTGGTCGAGGATGTGATATAGAATCGGCCCGGGGATGCACTGCCTCTGGTTCCATTGAAGGCGTTGGATTGGTGCTTGACATCACAACAATTCCCGAGTGGTTCTATGATACTGTCGGATGATCCTGTCCTGGTCCAATATACTCAAATTTCGTAGGCGGCAGTCACAATCACGCAAATTCAATAGCCCAAGCCAATGTTGTCAAACACGAAGTTGGTCACAACGGAAAACCGAACAAAGTCCGGGAAGTCAGCTGGTCTCCGATGATCCGACCCTCCGACCCTCCGATCGTCCGGTCCGGTCCGTGCGTCTGAGATCTATGTAGATCCACGATGGCTTCTCTCGCGATATGTCTTCACTTTCGGTTTATCTCTCCGTTTCTTCCATTTCTAATCCCCTGCTACCATCGGAGCACCATGGCTGGACCCGACAAGCCACCATATGCAGCTTTCTTTACGTTTTGAAGCTGCTCAGTCAGCCCACTAATCCCTATCTCCGTGATCCACCTGAAAGAAAGCCTATAGGGAAAATCTATCACTCGGCTCAAAATGAGTTTAAATGGCAGAGCAACGCTGGACACGCTGGTTGAGCGCATTTTACTTTGACTTTATTTTACACCTTGCCGTAAGGATGTCTTCCACCGCAAGCTCCACCAACTTCGCCCCAAGTCAACTGGAGGCTGGCCCAGAAAAGAAGGATAATTCTATGATCGTCGACTGGGACGGACCTGAAGATCGTGAGAATCCCCGAAACTGGTCACCGCGCAAAAGATGGGGACATGTCGTTATCATCTCGATATTGGCCTTGATTACGTATGTTTCATGCTTACTTCCCTCTTTAATCGAAGCGACCGTATGGAGTGCTGCTGTACCCTTTCGTCTTACTCCCTTTATCTATTAGTTCTCTTTTAAAATTTGTGACAATCGCTTACGTGTTCTTGAACAGCAACATGGCCCCCACAATGTGTGCACCCGGGGCGAAGGATATCGCCGCGGATCTCCACATCACTTCTACAGTTGTCAGCACGCTTACTGTGACGCTCTATGTCCTCGGCATTGCCATTGGCCCCATGTTCATGTCACCATTGAGTGAGATGTACGGCCGGGTGCCCGTTTACCACGCTGCCACGACCATATTTGTCGCCTTCATCATTGGTAACGCTTTGAGTAAGACCACCGCCCAATTCATGATCTTTCGATTTATTTCGGGATGTGCAGGCGGTACTCCAATGGCATTGGGGGGAGGGACCATTGCGGACATTACCAGCGTGCAGCAACGAGCCGTAGCGATGGCATTGTTCAGTATGGGCCCGCTTGCGGGGCCAGTGAGTGTTATCTTCTGTTTGCAAAACCTGAAACGGAACTAATTTCCTTTCTTCAGGTGCTCGGACCCGTTATTGGGGGCTTTGTGGCGGCCAGTAAGGGCTGGCGTTGGACATTTTGGCTTCTTGCCATTCTAGGTGGGTTTTTCGGGCTCACTGCTGTGCTTGTTCTGCGAGAAACACACCCCAAAGTACTACTAGAGCGGAAGGCCGCTTATCTGCGGGCTAGTACGGGGGATTCCAATTGGCGCTCGAAATTGGACAGCACCTTGTCGCCCCGCCAAGTCCTCCTGCAAGTACTGGTCCGTCCAGTAATGCTTCTTGTGCGGTCGCCCATTCTCTTCGTGATCTCCCTTTACGTGGCGCTGGTGTTTGGTGTCATGTATCTGCTCTTCACCACATTTACAAGTGTCTTCGAGGGCCAGTACGGATTCTCAACCTCGATTTCGGGGCTCACCTATCTTGGACTCGGCGTGGCGCTAGTGATAAGCATGGTACTTTTCAACTTGCTAAACGGTCGCGTGCAGGCAGCACGCATGAAAGCTGACGGGGTGCAAGTACCCCGCCCTGAGTACCGTCTTCTTCTCATGATCTGGTTTAGTCCCTTCGTGGCTGGAGGATTGTTTCTCTATGGCTGGACGGCATACTACAAAGTCCATTGGTTTGTTCCCATTCTTGGCACAAGCTTAATGGGCTTTGGTGCTTTCTTTGTTATTGTAGGCTTTCTTTTCTTGATGTTATAGCCTCGAGTTTTGTTGCTAATATTTTTTAATTTAGACACCTGCGCAATTGTACCTGATCGATGTCTTTGGGTCCGAGGCCGCGGCATCAGCCTTGGGAGCCAACAATCTACTTCGGTACATTTCCAGCACATTCTTGCCCCTCGCCGGGCCCGCAATGTACAGCAGTCTGAACTATGGGTGGGGAAATTCCTTGTTAGGGTTCATAGCGTTGGCGTTTGTTCCAGCGCCTGTCCTCTTTTACAAGTACGGAGAGCAGCTCCGTACGAAAGCGAGCGCGTAATCTAAATTAGCTCGGCAGATTCTAAGCGATGTATTTAGCTTCGCTTGTGAGACTACAAGGATAATATCATGTAACATTTCTTTTTAGACTGCAATCAGGAACAAGTAAAAATTACCGATGGACCAATCAACTAGAATTCAATTGAGTGATTAAGTTAGATCTAAGGTTAACGATGTCACCAATGCAACCTGCAAGTTCAGCCTAGTCCCTATTCATAGAATGTAGCCGTTTTACGGAGGGTCCTTTCGTATATGCGGAGGCTACCTAATCCACGAAACCGCCTAGACCGACGAAGATGGATCTGCAGCTAAACGGGAAGATCAGCATCTGCTTTGCCAAATCGACGCGTCCCGTAAGTCACCAATCTTCATCACTTCCAGGCGTCCATAGACCCGTATCGGCCAATGCAACTGGCTGCATGTCATAAATAATCCTTGACCAATAGCTCCCCGCGCCACAGCCATGCAATCTGGCGTCTTCAGACCAAGTCTTAGTCGGACGGGGAGTGCGAACCTACTAAGTACATGCTCTGGGCTCGTAAGGTAACACCCCGGTGGGATGTCATCTGGGCATCTACTTTATTTACTCATTAAACAAATCAAACCACGTTGAATAGAACTACACCGCGTGGTCAACACAATGGAAACGCTAGGCCCAGTTTCCAATGGCTGTTCCTCTGCTGCCGCGCCGCTGCGGGCATCATGCGATCGATGTCGTACACAAAAGCTACGATGTGTGCCCTCCTCCAAAACGAACTCTTACTCGGCATGTCAACGCTGCCTGAAGGCTAAAGAACCTAAACCATGCACCTTCAGTCGACGACTACGAACTGGAAAGCCGAGGGGGAACGGAGAGTCGGACAAACAACCGGGTCTGTCGCAGAGGGAGCGGAGTGCATCCAAGACGTCCTTACCGGGCATGAGCATATTCACATTATCGAGTCTCTCTGCCTCGGAGACCGCATCAGATGGACCGGCTCGGCTGAACAAGCCGTCACCCAAGGGGCAGGAACATAACACACATGAGACATTCCCGTCAGTCACATTTTTGGGGGGGTTATGGGCCCAGAATGATCCCATGCTTCATTGTGCGCAGTGGGACCAGATAGATGCGCTTGCCTATTTAGAGCCCATGAATAGCCAGCCGGACGAGGACCCCTGCAGCTCCGACACAAAGGAGAGCATAGACCTACTTGCAGGGACAGCATGCGACGACTTCGCTGATTTCCTAGACCGTGCAGGCCCATTCCCGTCTTCGCCATACACCATTGACCCAGGTCTAGCCCCGGAAATGGATATGGACATGGGAGTGAGCATGGATACCCTTGCAGGGGAGAGACCCAATCTACTAGTCGATCTCTCCACTCTTCTCTCAAAAATGGCCCATTACGAGGCCCAGCTTGCAGGTTTAGACGGGAGCAAGCTAGAAAATTATCCAATCGGGGATGCTCTGTTTCTCTCCAAGCGCTTTCACGCGATCCTCACAGACCAAAGCCATCTTCCCACTATCGACGCCTCATCCGACCTAGACATGCCAACCAGGCTGCTCACACTCTCCTGCTATATCACACAAACACGGATATATTCCGCTGTTTTTGCCTTTCTCCGAGAGCACATTTCAAAGCCCTCGGACCCGTGCTCTGCCCACGGATCCACACACTCTCCCCATTCTCCACATTCTTTGATGGCGGATATAAATGCGTACCAGGGGTTGCGACTGGGTCAGCTACAGACAACTTGCATGTGTGTCGGGTTTGAGACCGCCATGCGTACTAAAAGAGCTGTTTCTATGTTGCTAGACGCGTTGAATGATATAGAGCGAGCTCTGGGATTGCCGGGGTCGTTCCGGGCCGTCCAGTCGCAGATGTCGAGAGAGATGTCTCAGGGGGTGATGGTGGATACGGTTCCCCTATTTGATGAAAGTGTCATGGCGGGATTGGAAAACGGACGGTGGCAGAAGAAAATAAGAGAAGAAGAGCGGCAGTTATGTGATAAGGTTGAGGATGTGGATTACTTGCTGCGTAGTTTATTAGCTAGTACTTAGATGGTTGCTTTCCATGTCCTGGATGTGATCTGCTCTGAAAGCCCTTAGATAGATAGATTCTCAAAGAGGTAGACTACCACGACCAAAGCCCAGGTAGCCTTCCATTTTTCCAACAGCTATATGAATGCAATTCCGATTTTTCTCTACAAACGAGCAGTATACGTCCAATCACCGGTAGGATAAGAACTTCATACACCAGCATTGACTTAGGTCAACCCAGCTGTGGCTGGCCAATGCACATATTTCCAAGATAGGGTTTTGGTTGACCGGTTGGCTGTGGCTCGGACCAGGCTCTTTACGGCCTTTTTTGTCGGAATCGGCGCCTGATTAGGCGCACTCTTTTGGAAGTTCCGATGGAATTTTCGGTAACCTGTGGTCTCATTTTGGTTTTCGGCGTCGGCCAATGTCTTACCTGAACAGGAATAGTAAGCTATCGACTGGCCGGGACCCCGAGAGCCATGTTGGGTATCAGGCCTAGCATAGATATGAGAGTGCGTTTCCTCCTTGTGGCTCGCAACTGTTGATACACCAATATAGTATACAGTAATTATCTCGGGAGTTACTTCTGAACGGCAAACTTAGAATGCCAGTCCCTAAGTCTGCAGTAATTGTAAGTACCCGTCGCCCAAAACGCAATTTACACCAGCTAAACAGTCCAGATCGGCGGGTCCGTTGCCGGTCTCTTACAAGGTCTGCAACTAAAGCGCCAAGGGGCAAACGTCATAGTCCTTGAGCAGGACCCCTCCAAAGACCGCCACAGCCACGAATCAGGTGTATCAATTGGGCCGACGGTAGTGAAACTGTTGGAAAAATACGACGCCACAGGTCGACCAGCCGCCATCCCAGCCCGGTTCCTCAGCGCAGCATGGAGGCAACGACTTCGCGTTGCGAGCATGGTTTGGAACCATAATATGAGCAACTGGGGTTGTCTTTATCTCATTCTGCGTGCCAACTTTGATGGGTTTGAATCACAGACTGTGCCTCGGCCACCGGCTTCGAAGGAGACAGATGGTCAGGTGGAGTATCGACCTGGCAAGCGTGTGACTGGTGTCACCTATGATAAGGACAAAGGCCTTGTTCATGTCGAGTATGTGGATGTTTTGAACGGGGACGTCAGCACTGTTAGCTCGGATATGGTTATCGCTGCTGATGGTGTGCATTCGACTGTTCGAAAGATCTTGCAGGTCCCCACACGTAGGGATTATGCCGGGTATATTGGATGGCGTGGAACTGTTCCCGAAGCACGATTATCCAAAGAAACGGTGGAATATTTCTCCAATCGACTCAACTTCACCTTTATGAAGGGGACATATTTCATCAGGTAAGGCTATAATCTCCTTTCATTGTTTGAGGATCATTTCTTCGTGCGTTGCCTGCTGCCACTGTTCTGACTTCTCTCGACAGCTACCTCATCCCAACCGAAGCTGGCGACATCCAGCCCGGTAAACGCCTCGTCAACTGGGTCTGGTACTTCACCGTGCCGGAAGGATCACCAGAAATGAAAGAGATCTTCACAGATGTTCAAGGAAAGACCCATCCTAACACTGTGCCACACGGTCAAATAAAACCCGAAGTCTGGTCCAAGCAGATAGCTCGTTATGTGTCGGATATGACACCACCACTGGCGGAGATTGTCACCAAGACACCGCGACCATTCGTCACAAAGGTTGGTGAGGCTGAAGCTACCCAGTCAAGCTTCTTTGATGGGCGACTTGTGCTGGTCGGGGATGCGTTCACTGGATTCCGCTCTCATTTGGGGATGGCGTCGGAGCAGGCGGCGCGTCATTGTTTTCAGATGGATCGCGTTTGGAGGGGAGAGATCACGCAGGAGGAGAGAGATCGCGAAGCGAGGTTTTATTCCAAGCGGTTTTTACTGCTGAATCGGCTGATCGGGTTGACTGGGTTAGGCTTAGTGTTGGAAGTTTGTAGGGTTCTAATCGCCTATCTGGTGTTGATGGTTCAGCATCGACTCGGTTTGGTGTAAGTGTTCGTTAGATTTGGTGCTGGAAATGCAGGTTTTCTCTATTCTGACAGATTCGCTGCTGTTAAGTTGATGCTCCATTGTGGCATTAATTCTGACTCCGGCTTAAATTAGTTACTACCCCAATCGACTTCAATTCTGTACTCTAAACGCCCGGCTCTGAAGCTTCGGTTCACGTGCCAAAATGCCTCAATTCTATATTCATGTACACATGTTTGCTTGCTATGACATACCCCTCAGTAATGAGAGTGAAATTTTGAATATCAAATAAGTGAGTCATGCATAGAGACGTTGACAGGAATAATCATCGAATTCTACCCATGGATGTTCGCCGATTCAGACAAACGACAATTCGATTTTTCTCACTACTTGGACGAGATTCTGACCGATTCAAAAGCTGCCACAAAGAGCTGAGAAATTCAATTGGTACACTTTGCTTCGCAAACCTTCTTTTGGAATTAAAACCGTACAGTGTACAAACTTGGATACAGATAGCCTGATCTGATCTAGTTCCAGTGCTTTCCAAAGAATTCCAACACGGTCTTGTAGCCCCGAATGTACTCTTCCTGCACTCGGGGATCAGACAGATCAGCACGGGCAGCCATCCAACCATGAACTTGATCCCCAAAAGTCTCCACATGATGAGGCACTTTCAACTTGTTTTCAAATTGCTTGACGTCTTCAGCTGGATCTTCCCCCGATGCCAGTAGGATGTACGGTACTGGAATCTTCTCCGCCCCAGATGGATCAACCATGGCCGGGTGGCAGGCGGCGGCAATCTTGAATGGGTTTTCCTCGCCAGAGGTCACAATTTCAGCAACTTTACCTCCCCAGCAGTACTATTTAAGTCAGTATTGAGAAGTTGACATAGTGTTAAAAATAGCGAACTCACCCCGATGAGTCCCCAGGAGGTAATAGATGGATTCGCAGCTTTAAGGGCGGCAATGTAACCAGGCAAAGCAGCCGCCGGACCTTGTGGCATGTTCTTACCAAACCACTCACCCAAGTCCTTCTGCTTTTCTTCGGTATTAGGAGGGTACCTAATTTTGGCATGGTTAGCGGTTGCTCCTTTGAGTAGGGGCGGCACCACGGTTCACCATTCAGGAGGGCATGGGCTGCCGTTGAACCAGTCAGGCATGAAGACCTTGTATTTCTGGTTGTGATCGCTGGCTGCCAGGATATCGGCGCCTTGAAGAGTCTGATCAAAGTAGCCGAAGATGTCGAAGACAGCCACAATTCCTTTGGTAGCTTCCTCTGGGCCGGTCACATCTGCATGGGTCTACGTTAGCCCGAGTCATATCAAATCCAGAGGAGTGCTGTTGGCATTTACAGGTTTTCATTCCATCAAGCTCCTCATACGAGCCTTTGGGGACATAGCCTTCCGAGACAACAGGTGGGATGTTGCAGCAGGCCTGGCTGTGGCCGTGAGTTGCCTGCATTGTAGACATTGGTGCGAGTTGAAGTCGACTTGGAGGTAGAGGAAAGCTTCGGGATGAACAGCTTGAAATGCCGGATGAACAAGCCGGGCGAGATGTCGGCCTTTTACATGCCTGGGATGCGATGGCATGCCCTCGCGAGCTAGTCAAGCTAGTTCTCGGTGCGTTCAAGGGCGCGACCGAAGCGCGGTGCGGGAGTCGAAGTGGGGGAACCATTGCATCAAAATTTACCAGGGTAAGAAAGATAGAATGGCGACTTCCGATTGAATGCAATATTCGGCCATCTTATATCGTTTTCCAGATGCGGTAACGGAGGAGTCGGAGGAAACGGAGCATCGGAGAGCCCCTTTTGACTATCCAACCTCTCCGCGACAACGGAATTGATGGATGCCGAACAACTTCGGTGTGTTTCGTCCTCGAATTGCGATTAGTGCAACAATTGGCTACCCATAAATTAGAATAAAAAAGCGCCATGAAGCCACCTAAAGAGCCGAAGTGTTTACTACCCTGCCATTCATTCCAAGACAACTCCAAAGCTTGCTATACTATCCAACAAATCCCAAAATGACATCCGGAGAAGTCGGTCCATTGACTTCCACCTATCTGTTCAGCGCAACAGTATACTTGGGGAAAGCTCTTGCGCCCATTCCACTCCTGGAAGGTGGCAAACGCGTTGTTGAGCCCATCACCGGAGGAACCATCTACGGGCCCGGATTTAACGCAACCATCGACGGTGGAGTCGCTGCTCCGATTGTCGTCACAAACAATGGCACCACCACTCAAATCCCTTACATCTATGCCTACGGCCACGCAAGCGATGGGTCACCGTTCTACATCGAGGAAGCAGGCATCGGATCTACTGCCACGCAGAACACTCGTCTGATTATTCAAGTCAGTGGGCAATATGAGAACTTGCAGCAACTTTACATCTTGGGACAGCCCACTTTAAACGAAGATCGGACGATCGGACAGGTGGAATGTTGGAGCGTGCCCTTGCCTTAAGCGCTTGTGGCTTTTTGTATATATTTTTTTCTCAATTTGAATCTCGTTTGTTTCCAATTCATGTTTGATCTATAGAACAATGGTATGCGGTGAATTTCCCATGTGTGTCTGTTGATTTAATTAGATTTGAGGTATATCAATCACGCATGAAGATATCAGCGCGGAACTGTTCGCGAAGGCTGGTATAACATTCATGGTCTGTAAAGCAGTGCCAAGGATAATTAAGTTTACGCTGAGACACCAAGGTTACAGTCAGTTCCTGCCTCTATACTAAATTCCAGAGTCATCCTGCTCATAAGGAGCACCCGTCGACCAAGCCGACCATTTACTGCATGTCCTGTCCAGGTTCTTCCAATCGCCCATTGTAGCAGATATGGAATCTTGTCTTTCAACAAACTCCAACGCAAGGCCCATACTAGAGTGCCACGCAATATGGCAGTGAACCAGCCACGCCCCAGGATTATCCAATTGGAACGCGAGAGCAAGATATCCGTGGGCTGGGAGTACCGCTGTATCCCGACGGACTGGGTTCTTTGTCTGGAATGAGGACGAGGTTCCGTCCCAGGTGGTGTTCTGTTGTGCGAGAATCCAGAAATCATGTCCGTGGAAATGAATAGGATGTGCGATGCTGGCATCATGTCAGTTCAATTGTACAAACTCTTCATGGGGGACTAAGAGATCAACATACCCTCCGAAAAAGGTAGCGGCCTTGTTCTCGATCACTAGGACTGCCCATTCATCCTTGTCATCTGTTTTTTTCTACAAAATCTGTCAATCACTTCCATCTTTGGGATATGAGGAAAAGAACGAGTGGAGATGAAAAACGAGAGCGACTCACCTCAATCTCTACGACGTTGTAGGGCGTTGGGAAGATGGACTCTTTTTCAAAGATTCGCTGAAGAGTGGGCTTTCCCCAGTCCAGCACCAAGCTACTGCTATTGATAGTCCACTGGAACAAAGCAGCATGAGTGAGTCGAACATTGATGTCCTCCACGGTCGTTTCAGTAATGCTTCCCACATCAAGCTTCAATCTCGGCACCAGGTGGGCTTCCGGTTCGTCATTACAAGACAACGGGGCTACAATAGAGGTAGTACTGATCGGGTCCCGGGTGCTACCGGCGCTGTAACGAACGATTCCAGTGGCAGATTCAGGATGATCGTTGGCAACACCCTGGCAAGACTTGACCCAGCCTCCGCGCAGCCAGTAATCTCCCGGTGTGGCATTGGCCTCGACGATGATGTCATATCTCTGTCCCACGTTGACGATCACGCTGTCGGCGACATACGGTTCAATGGGAACAAAGTCATTGGCAATGACAGTGATACTGTGACCATCGATGCTGAATTGAAACTGGCTATCGACCGCGACGTTAATCAAACGCAGACGGTATTTCTTGCCCTTTTGGAAGAGCATCTCGAACTTCTTTCCACCGCCAACGCATTTGACATCCGACTCGTTGGAACAGTCGAAGGTGTTGGTTCCATTGATCAACGTCGTGGTTTGAGAATGTGTGATACCGAATTTTTGCTTAGTATCCCAGTCGGTGAATGACGGACTGTGCGACCAATCCTGGAGGAAAAGCGATCCTAGATCTTCATCGTGGTCGGCAGTAGCCGGACCGTGGAAGATGAGGGGACCAAAAAGGCCCTCGGTTGACTGGAGAGAGAAATGACTATGGTACCAGCTCGTGCCGTACTGCGTGACTCTAAACTGGTACGTGAAAGACTCGCCCGGTGAAATGGGACATTGAGTGACGCCGGGCACTCCATCCATGTTGTTGTTTCCGCGCAAATGCACACCGTGCCAATGTACGGATGTGCCATTTGACTCCATGTTATTGGTGACGTGGATTTTGAGGTTATCGCCCCAGTTGGCGACAATGGGAGGACCTGGCATTGTTCCGTTGAACGTCATACAAGGACGTTCATAGCCATCTTGGTTGCAGATTCCCTCCTGTACAGAGAGCCACACTTCGACAGTTTCCCCGGTATCCGGCGCAGTGGTGTAGTAGTTGGTCTCGGTGTTGTAGTGTCCCCAACAACTGCGGCTCGTAGGTGTATTGTCGCAAGATTGCTGTTCATAGATGCGGTGGCTCAATTGATCTATCTTGTTGGCCCAGGCATAGTGAGCACATGCCACGAGAGCGCACAAAGGGAGGATCTTGAATCTCATGCTTCATCTATTGAGGCCTGCGTGTTGTAGGAGAAAATATAGGTATCGTATGAAATTTTTGAGAGATCTTGGTGGATCATTGACCGCGGGGAGTATGATAGAAGTCAAAATACAGCACTCAATTCATCAGTGTGTTAGGCACATTTTTTGCGAGAATCCAGCCGTCCTCTGCACAATAAGTCCAGGTTCGGTCGGAATCGACTATTGTCCAGGAAGGGATGATCTTTCTATCAAGCCGACTAGCGAAAATAGAAACAGCATATATTCGGATGTCAGCCTAGGAAATAATTTTCGGAGGTCTGCCCAAATGGGAAATTCGGCATCATGCAAGAGATCGTTCGGGGAGTTTTTAGCGGACATCAGCAAAGGCAAACAATTCGACCAGGGAAAAAATGAAGGGAATTCATCCTTCTGTTTAGCAATGTTCTGGTCTTCTATTTCCTCGCAATTCTAATATTTACATCAAGCGCACGGCGGCACTATCGTTTGATTTAATTTACCTCCGCCCTCTTCATCACAATGGTGACCAATATTGGAGTCCTCTTGCTATCATTGCTTGCCTTTACGATAGGCATCGACGCTGTGTCACTTCCACTACCATTACGAGTCGTTCATCAGTTCTCTCTTCCAACTTATCTCAACAGCATTTTCGTCCGACCAAATGGCGACATCTATGTGACAACAGTATGGCCAAACGCATCCATATACTGCGTTTCCGGTGCAAACACAGACACCCCGACTGCATCACTCGTCCATACCTTTGACGAAATCAATGCCGCGACGTCGATCGTCGAAATAGAGCCAGATGTTTTGGCCTTCCTCGGCGGCAAGCAAAGTAGCTTAGGAATGGGAATCCATGGTACATTTGGGGTGTGGCAGCTGGATCTTCGTCCCAAAGCACATGGTCGCGAGCCTATAATCCAAGAGCTTGTGCGCATCCCCGAAGGAGGCTTGCTTGCTGGCATTGAAGCGCTTCCAAACTCACGAGGTATCGTGCTCGTGAGTGACTCCACTATGGGACTGGTCTGGAGAGTGGACACGCGCACTCGGAAATATGAACTCGCCATCAAGGATGATGAAACTATGCATTTCCCTCCATGGGCAGTGACTCCATTCGGGATCAATGGTCTTCATATCCTGAACGGGTATCTCTACTGGTCAAATAGCTACCTGGCATCTGTTTATCGCATCGCGATTACCAAAGATGGATACGCAGCGCCGGGAGCTCAAGGCGAGCTAGTCAAAAGAATCCAGGCAGTCTATCTTGATACATTCTGCCTGGGGCCCGGCGATAACGACACCATTTGGGGTGCCACTGATGCAGACAATCGGCTTGTTGCAGTTACCCCAGATGGCACTGCCACTTTTGTTGCTGGGGCGCCGGATGAGATGACATTGGCAGGTTCTGTGGCTCCTGGATTTGGCACTTTGCCGGGAGATACCGATACATTGTACGTTGCGACATCGGGAGCCATGGTGTTCCCTGTCAATGGAACTATCATCGAGGGTGGCAAGATCGTTGCTGTCGACACAAGGGGCTTCCTTCCAAGTCCCAGTACAAAGAATTCCAGACCTGTGATCAGTCTTGATTGTCCATCAATCTCATGGCCTGAATATCTTCTGCAAATGCCTTTGAGATATCTCTCGAACCTTTTTAAATAGACATTGCGATTTTGATGCAACCACGAATGACATATACGGTTTTATGGAGAGCGAAGTAACGACATTGAGGAAAATCACGGGCATACAGCGAGAAACCGCCTCCTGTTATTGTGCACTGTTGTAGATAACCAATATCATTCGTCGCATTATCAACGCCAAGAGCAATGCGTCTTGACAGGAAGCTCAATGTAAGCTTCCTCTGGTCCTTAGAAAACATAGTTTCAAACAAAGAAATTGTCCGGTCTTTCAATTCTCGACATACTTTAATCATCCAAGATCTAAAGGCACTATTATGTCGACAAACTAAATTGGATGTTGAACCTACTTATTGCCTATCAATTGTTCCTCTTAAGATCACAATGCAACCGTACCTGTGAGGAAGTCAAATGTGGCGTCTTGATTGGCATCCGTAAGCACTAAAGCTCTCTAGGCTTAGTCTAACAAGGCCAGTGCGCCACATCATATCTTTCCATCGTGAGTTTTCACCGCTTTGCACACCGCTAACTTAGCATTAGAATTCTTAGGGTCGAAACCTTAACGGTGCTAATCGGCAGAGGGCTCAATTCAACTACGAAAGATTAGAACAGCGATCACGATTAGGAAGAGCAGGGAGCACGGGTCATCTATGCCGGAGGGCATTGAGCTAGGTTACGTGACGGTGTACTGGAGCGCTAAACCCAAAAAGGCAAAACTAACTCAAAAAGGCAATTCACAGGTCCGCCGTTTATGTACAGAAAATAGTTCAAACCCACTGCTTCAAACACCTCCCATCCAAAATGCTTCCAGGTTCTTGGGACAACAGCCAACAAGTATAATACAAAAGGGTATCCTAGCTCAAATCTTCGGCTTTGACTTCGATCCCAGCTTCTCCAAGCCACTATCTATCAGCAGATCACGCTCCTCTTGGCCATTGTGCACATCAGACATAGGCTCTCGAGCAGGAGGTTCATAATTGTCTGGACCATAGGCCTGATCCATTTCCTCGATAGATACCCAAAGGCGTTCGGGGTCACGGAGGTAGCGCAGACTCTTCATCGTGTAATGGTCAATGGCAAATCCTTGTTGCTCCATCTGTCTAATCGCAGCTGCAGTCTCCGGAATGTTCTGAGTATTTGCGAAACCATTAATGATGGTGTTCCAGGTCACCTGGTTGTATTTGACATTGTGCTTAGCCATCATCTCCTTGACCTTCTCGGCCGCGTCAGGCTGGCGGTTATAATTAAATGCACTAAGAAGAATAGTCCAAGTGCGAGGGGTGGGTGCAGTGTGCTTGAGGCGCTTTCCGTCTGAGGTCTCCGTCGGCAAAGAAGATGGATCCAGCATGTCCTCGACGAGCCGGATGCTTGACCGCAGCCCGCGGGGGCTCTTGCGGAAGGCAATGAGAAATTCGTTATATACGTGGTCGCTTTCCACTAGAGGAGCGATGGACGGGTGGCCCATCTGTACCAGTTCACGGAACTGGTCGTACATGCGATGCACCTGGGAAACCCGGTTCCTGCAGCGGAAGAATGTTGCGAGCATGAGGAACAGGGCAACTGGAGAAGGGGGAGTTTTGGTCTCAAGCCCTGTTGACGGCGATGTGTATTGAGGGGGAATCAAAAGAAGTTCTTTGAGGGGAGAGATGTCGTGTAGTTTGTTGTACATATCGAGCATGGAGTAGAACACGCCTGCGGGGTCGGTCTCCGGGTCCATATGCTTTGCAGTGAAAGTAAAGTGGGCGTGGAAAATTTTGCTGAAGATGTAGGGATTTTCTTTCAGCTGGTCTTGCAACTCGACTTCTTGGACCAACTCGTCCACACGGCCGCGGTCACCTCGAGCGACTGCGTCGGTAAGAAGAGTCAAGTAAGTATATGAGTCAGGTTCATGGTTGTGGTTCTGCATGAACCGAAGGATGTCCTCTCCAAGCTGAGGATCGCCGGTTTTGTAAGCGTTAGCGAGCACGACGTTCAACATGTCACGGTCTGGCTGAACCCCCATTTTGAGAAGACGTGGAAGAATGCGGAAATTGCGGCCTTCGGCTTTATCCTCCACGGTGTCAAGGGTCAGAAGCTTGCAACAGTGCCGTACCACTCCTTCCGAGGTCATAGTGAAGTTTGGATCCTTGATTTTGGGAAGAAACTCGAGCGCACTGAACGCAAGTTCCACATTATTTAATTCGGTGAATTTGTTCATAAGGCAAAGCGCTGTTTCCGCTGACAGCGTGATGCCTCGCTCATTTATTATCCGAAACCCCTTCATCAAAGCCGAGAAATCTGATCGACGAATGAAGAGCCGCATTCCCAATTGGGGTGGAGAGATAATCGGCCAGCCCGTCGGATCCAGACAAGATGCAACAGCTGAGGCGTAAGTGTGAGAGCCATGCCGCCAGTCTCGAAGCCAGTCATCATAGTGGAACCTATCCAAGTAAATGAAACAGTCGGCAACCATGGTAAAGTCTGGCTTATCCTGAGGCTTGCTGGTCACGATTAAAAAATCCAAGGCCTTCTTCGGGTCATTTTGGAGAAGCCAAATGGCCAGGCGCTGCCAGGCCCAGGCTCGAGCGGGCCGTTGCAATTCGCTCCATGCCTTTCGGAAAGATCCATAGGTGTCATCGATAACAAGTTGTAGCAGGGCTTTCGCATCATCGTTCAATGCAGGCAATACACTTTTGTTGATGACCTCTCGGTTATATATCTTCGCCTTATATATTGCTCCGTGGGCGGCTTTCCATTGGCGGGCTCCCAGTTCACGCGAGTATATCGAATTAAACCTCGTAGCAAGCGCCAAATATAGCCCTCGGTCCGTCAGGTGTTTGTTCTGATGTTGGATTGCGGAGTTGACTCTGCTGGCCGCCCTTTCCACAAATTTGGGGTTAATCTTCCGTGCAGCAGCAACCTCCATCACCTTTTGGGGTGTGATTTTTGGCGTTTTCGATCTTGGGGTTCGAGCGGAGCTGCGAGGTGAGGTTGTATTTTGTGTATATCCGTTCTGCGAGCCCTGCTGATCTGTTGCAGCCGGTTCTGATTGCTGTCTTGTCGGTGCATGAGAATTGGACGAATCTTGGGCGGAGTGGTTGGATGTAGCAGAGTTTGAAAAATCGTGTACCATGCCAGGTTCCAAAATTGCAGGGGCGTTGTATGTAGAGAGGCACACTCTTTGTCTAACATCCGTGCTGGAGCCCCGATTCCATCGCCTTGGTCGACATGGCAAGAGAAACCCGTTCAGACGAGACTGAACGAGTTTGTGCGGACACGATGACATTCAGGAAATGTGAATTGCATACATCCGGGGAGAAATTTAACAGTCCCAGTAAGTTGCGCGCAGGAGTTGAATACAACGAAGAAAGTTGAGATTCCGCCCGATTTTGCCGTGGCTAGTGTGTGGCGCACCGCCTACTTTTATTGCTCCAATATCACCGTCTTTTTCAACATTCAAGGAGCGGAGGAGCTTGGGATTTTCTTGGAGTTATTTTAGCCATTTTCGACCTTGATATTTGGGCTCAACCTTTCTCTCAACTCTCCTCCAATTCTCATTCAGAACCATGTCGTCAAGCCACGCCAACCTCGATGCGGCTTCCAATGACCGCAAAGCCCGCCTTGCCAAACTGGCATCGCTCAAGCGCAAGCAACCCGAACCCGACACAATGGAAGTCGACAACGAAGATGAGGAGTTGGCCGATGCCGACGCAACACCAGATGTCACCGCCAAATACTTGTCAGGCCGCAATTACGATATCGAAGCCCGCGGGCCCAAATTGGGCTTCGAGCAAGGTCCGCAAGAGGGCCAGGCGACGCTAGAAGCACAAGCTGCAGATATCGCACGAGACATTGCAGAAAAAACCAAGCGGGACGCAAATGACGAACCCATTGATCTGTTCAAACTACAGCCGAAGAAACCCAACTGGGACTTGAAGCGCGCTCTGGACGAAAAAGTTAAGGTTCTCGATGTACGGACAGATAATGCCATTGCTCGGATAGTACGACAGCGGTGGGAGGATGCCCGCCGGGCTGCGAAGGCGCGCGGGGATGCGCCCACTAGAGACGACCAGGGAGAGGAAATGGGTATTGAGGGCGAGACGCTTGTCCAGGGCATCCATATGCGCGAACAAGAGGAAGAAAGGAGCGACGAAGAAACGATTTGAAGTGATACCCTTTGTTGCAGGACTGCGGACGTCCTCTGGCTCTTCTGCTTTCCCCTGTATTTTTTTTATATTTTCTCCATTTGATCATAACTTCATCTTTTTTCTACTTGGTCATGGCGTCCAATGTGGTTCAATGGCATATTGCAAACAAAACTGAGGCGTTCGGGGGGCTTAAAATTAAATTAAATCAAGTTCAATGAACATTTATTTGTTGTCGTTTGCAAATCTTTGACTTTTTTTTTTGTGCCGCTGTTGAGGCAGATGTGTTTAGAACCCCACGATAATAATACTAATAATAATACAATGTTCCCTTATATCGATGGGTCATGAGCTGACGCCAAATTGCACCCGTCAACCATCTGCGCCATAAAAGTCCCAAGGTTTCAAAATGCCTGTTTCAATTTAGTTATCGTCCAATGTTCATAGCTTGAGTCAAAGCAAGGCGCTTGCTGAAAGGGCTCAAGCTTCGCTCCCGAGGAGGCTGGTTAGACTGCGTTTTGGGTTCCTGCCTAAATCTCTCTGGTTGAGACTGGCGTGGTGGGCTAGCTCGATCTCGGTATGAGTGGTCACGATCACGAGGAGCATCTGGTGTCATAGAACGTCTTTCCTTTGGTACACGATCCTTATCTGCACTTCTGCTGCGGCGATGTCTACGCTCGCTGTGTCTTCCTTCTCCGCGGTGGCGTCCCCGCTCCTCGGGGCTAGATTCTCTGCGTCGCCGCCGGGTGTTCCGGTCATCGGTTCGCTCTCTGGGTGGTGAGCGCTGTTTGGGTCCTGAGTGCACGGAGCCATCGCGGCCCTCTGAAGAGTCACTGTAGCGTCTCTTTCGGGTTTTGGTTGGGACTGGTGATGTAGAAGAGTCTCGACGACTGTTGTCGTGTGCGCCGTGTCCGTTGCGGCGGGGAGACGCGGAATAAGACCGGTTTGTGGATATTGTTGAGATTGAGCTCATGGAGATCGATCTGGCCCTCTTCGAAGAGTCGGCGCGGCGGTCTTTCATATCCTCAAGGTCTCTCTTCCGACCACGTTCTTCCTCCCGACTGGCAAGTAGTTCATCTGCCACACCTTCTCTATGGTCAAGTCAGTCACGCTAAGTCTAAGATTCAGGCAAAAGGAGTCAAATAATAGCTACTTACGTTCGTAGTAGTTCATTTGGATTGTCATTGGAGAGCTTGGGAACCAATTTTGGGTTCAGTAGCTGTTGAGTCCGAGACGGCCGCGGGATATATGGGCGCTCTTGTGTTGTAGCCTTGCACTCATAGCTGTAGTGTCGTGCATCGGAGTTAGCAAAACTTCTGCTGGTCATGATCTGGGATCTACATATCTCGTTTTAGGCATTTTTGACACAGCGTTGTTGCAGAGGCTTTGCTGGGGCCTCGGAGTGTCGGAGCGTTTCGATATCGATTCATTGAGGCTTTTGATGTGGCAGGTTGAGAGAAGTCGGACACAGTAGATGCGCTTGATAAAGTAAATGATATAGACAGAATCACAAACAGAATGACCGGCGAAATTGCTTGTAATATGAATCGGCGCAAATTGGCAGCTGTTTCACGTTCGAAGCCCAAGAAATTGTAGGCGCGCGGTACGAGCGGTGGGGCGCGGCAATAATGCGCCCACGAATCTTCTGATGATCAAGATTCTGGATTCCAACTGCGCTCCTTCTTGATAACGCACTTCATCATTAACTCTAACGGCATCCATCTCGGATGATCTAGAGTTTTCTCGGCGTTTGCACCGCCAAGCCGATCCTGGGTTCCCCAAAAATCTCAGTACGGGACCTTTTATGTCCCTGATCATGAGCCAGCTTTGATAAAATGTAAGGAATCGTTTATCCGTTTGGGATTCTCACTCCATTGGAATAGATCCACCTTCTCATTCGCCCTATTGTGTCGTTATCTTCTGCCCGGCTCTTGTGCTAATGCCTATTGTCCCACAGCTTTCTCCATGGCGATCGCCCTCTCCCAGAGATATGTCTTTCGTTTTGGGCTTGTGTGAACCGGAATTACGCAGCGACTTACCTTTCAATCAAACGAGTTTCGACTACTTTCGTATCTGCAAATCCGAAGCGTGTTGAGTGCATCTGCGTCTTAGCTTGAACTCGGTTTTTTTTTTCTCTTCTTGCTCCATCTACACATTTTCGGGCAAACATCCCACGGAGTGTTGACATGGCATCAAAAAGTCCCCCCGGTGGAGACAGCCTCCTCTCCTTTGCAAAGGTAAGATCTACCGGCCTGGATAGATTTGGCTACCTCGCGATGTGTTACTAACTCAATATACAGATCGCCGCTATGCCCGCACCCCTCAACCCCAAATCCTCTTCGGTATCTGATGATAACGAAAATTCCCCGCCAGCAGAACACTCCTCTTCCTCGGAAATCAATGGCTCCAGCCCTCCTTTATCCAACCACCACAATCTAGATAAAACGCCAGAGGCCTATTCCATCGATCTAGCTGTGGACGACCTAGGCAGAGGAGTCCAAGATATAGGCCTCACCTTGAAAAGACATACCGAGAGCTCAGATTCTTTGCTTGATCGTCATGATAACAGCTTGCTCAAGCGGGAGAACTCATTTGAAGATGATCGAACCCATCTTTCTACATCATCTACCAAAATGACCAATTTCGATTCCAAGAGTCTTGCCTCTGTAACCACATTTGCAATGGATGAAAAAGACTCTGTGCGACCTGATGATAGTGCTAGCGTTCAAGCTATTGACGAAGACGAGTCACTTTCTGGACTTGCCTCTGGCGCGCCAAACTCCGTCGCAGGTTCTGAAGCCGACAGTCGTGTGTTTCGTGATCAATTCCGGGATGGCATCCCTACACGCCCACGTGGTATTTTGCCTATTTCCGGTCCTTTGTTCAATGGTTCTCAGCCAGTCAATGGAATAATTTCTCCTGATTCAGTCGCAAACAATTTTGTGATACCAGCCAATCCTGATAGCGTTCAGGATGGTCAGAATCTACACGGGTTTCCTCTCGAGCCTGACGAGAAGCTTCTAGAGGCAATGAAATCACCTAAAGATCGGTTGTTGATCCTTCAGCTAGAAGAGAAGATTCGGTATTTCATCAAGGAATGCACTGAGCAATCCTTGGAGCTCCCTCCTTCCAACGCATTTGGGCGCCTTCTTGCCCATAAGCTTGGAGACTACTACCATTTGACGCATTTTGTCGACAACAATGTGACATCAGTCAGACTTCACCGAACGCCGTTCTGCCGACTGCCGACTCCTTTGTCTGCTGTGCATGCGGCCACAAATACCACCCCACCTCCAATTGTTCCGGCCATGAAGATTATGCGGCGAAATGATGGAGGCCAATTCGACGAAAGCGTGGGAGGATCCTCCAACCCTTCCAAAGCCAATTCAGAGACAGGTGACAGTGGACCAGATGGAGAACGTAATGGCTCTTCGTCGGGCGCTACCCCTGCTAAAGATCGAATGGCATTGACACGAGAGGAACGTGAGGCAAAATATCACCAAGTTCGTGAGCGAATCTTCCGTGATTTCCCCGACTCTGCCAAAACCGAGCCTGCCACTGGTGATCCAAATGACATATCACGCTCCAGTTCCACCAACGGCCGCAAAAAACCCCAGAAACAGCGAACACCTGTTGATGACAGCTTTGAGGTGCGCTCGCAGTTTAATGCCTACTACCCTGGGACGAAATACGGCAATGGCCATGCTCCATACAATGCTCCCATGAACGATAATCCATACTCAAATCAAGTACCCTATTTGGTCGGACCTGGTGTGCCGCCGCCGTCTAGTGGGTACATGTCAACAGGTCAAACCGGTGCCATGTATTCGGGACAAATGTCAATGAACAGCGCGCCCCAATATCCAGTTGTAATGTCGCCTCAGATGCCATCCAATGGCTCGTGGCAAAATGGTAACATGCCGCAACAATCGCCTTATCATGGATACGCGTCGATGAACCAGCCGGGGATGATGAACCAGCCGTCTTCGAACGCGTCCTCGCCGGCAATGAGTAACTACGCTGTGCCCAATGCTGCGCCATACACGCAAAATCTCAACTGGAATTCGACACCTTACCCCACAAATTTCCAGCAGTCCCCGCAACAGCAGCGAAATGGACCTCCCGTCCATTGGCCCAACTATCCCCAACAACCCATGCCGTCTAACATGCAGCCCAACATGGGCGGATATCCTTACACGCCATACTCCGGTCAGCATATGAACCCTGCTTTCCAAAACTCTGCTGCACATCATTCGATGCAGCCAGGATATCCCCGGTCACATTTCAACCCTCAGACGCGCTCATTCGTCCCTGGTGGGGTTCCTCTTGGGCACCACCCGAGCAAAGGTCCTCAACATCCGACCCAACAATATAGCAACATGCAGTCTGGGGTCCAACCCGGGTGGAACGCTTATCCTGAAGCTGTCTCACACCGACCCATGGACCCTAACCCGGCCATGATCCCTAACCGGTTGCCCACCGGTCCCCGGGACTCAATCGCGAAGTGGGGTACCCCATCTCACCTTCCTCCCAAACCCCCGCCATCCGAGGTCCCTTCTGAATTTGATCTGAAGAACCGACCCATCCCAGCATCAGTTCCTGTGCCGCCATACGCCAGCAACGGGGTCGCAAACGGACCTCTCGTGATCTCTGGAGGTGTGGCTCTTTCAAAACAAAACTAATCCTTCCCGGATGATTCGCTCTAACTCCAGTGTGCATTGTTTCTGCGGGCTACGGTGCTTGTGCTATCGCCATAACATTCATTTCAACTGATCTTGCGAGGTGCATTCGTCTATTCACATGTGACAGCCGTCTTCCAAGGCTTGTACAGGGGCAATGCATAGTAATATGGGCGCTCGGGTGTGTCTTGTCTTTCTTAGCTAGTCATGGAGATGTTCATCTGCATCTCATCTTTTTCTACTTGTCCATAGTCATATGTCCTAGATCTTCAGAATGAATGCTTCAATTAATCCCTAGATCCAGTCTGGTATTCCAGCCAAAGGGTACTGTCAATAGAGATCATACTTCGAGCTGTGTATCTCTGCTGTTCACTGACTCTAGCCATCTGGTATATGTTGAATTCTATTAGAACTAATAAGATAAAATAAGATAGACATGAATGCTCCGATATTCCAATCCCCCAAACCATCTTAATCGCTCTAGAGCGGTATCCAAAACGAAAGAAGAAAGGAAAAATATGCAACACTTCAGTGTTTCGTAGCGACAACAGACGGAACAATGATAACGATCAGAAGAACAAATCCGGCAACCACAGCACAAATTAAACTATACCGATGGCGCCTCGACTTTCTAGATGTATTCTTCAAATTTCCCTGGTTGCCAGTCTCATCTGCCTCTGTCTGTCCTCCACTTTCATGCGCCTGAGTCTGAGTCTGGCCCACTGCCTCCTTGTTCGAATCTTCGACCCGTCTGTTTACTTCGAGCGTACAGTCCCGGTCGCTGGGCTCTAGCGTACAATCACGGTCATTGACTTGCGGCATGCAATCTTCTCCATTGTGTTCGATTGTCGCTGGTTGCGCGACTGCGACTTGTTTGTAGGTGTCGGTCGCAGGTGGTTGTGAGTGTTCTTCAGACGTCATATTTAGTTCTTTCAAGGCTTTATCTGCCCCTTATTCTCTTGCATGGCATTGTTAGCTATGTTGAATTTCCGAAAAAGCTTTGGTGGTGAGTGGGACAGACGTACATACTTTGTACAACATTCGGGTTAAAGATGAATTTCTGGATAGATCGCTTGAATTGAAGTAAAGTATATCTATATTCAATGCAAGCAGTAGGCAGTGCTAAGTCTGTGATTGATTACATGGATGATCTTCTTCGAAATTGGAGTTAGCTTGGCCCCCGTTTGGCCCCATGTTTATGGGCTCGATTATATAGTACATGCGTATGTTTTCTATTAGAATATACTTTGAAATGAAGCTAAGAATAGATCGAGCGAGGCTATGTGACTGAACAAAATACGCCAAAATTCATCTTTACATACCAAAAAAAAAAAGAGACAACTTAAATTCGCAATCACATATATCCTAATTAAGTGTTTGATACAGAAATATTGACAGCCTATCCACATGTACCCCTAAATTCGTACCCTCCGACTACCCCGAGCCCAGATGAAACTTTACAAGTTCTCCAGCCGCTTGTTAGATGTTCAATTGCTCAGGCACACTGTTCTGAGACTTCGAGTTACGAGTCCCAAAAATAGCCGAAGGAACAATAATAACAACAAGAATAACGACAACCCCAAGAACTGAGCTCGCAATGATCCACTCTCGTCGATGCGATCTCCGACGCATGACTGTTCCAGTCACTGATTCTGACTCAGGATCCAGTTTGCCATCTACTGTAGACTGCCGTCCACTCTCATCCGCTGGGTTGGCCGTGCCGGCCTCAACCTGCTTGTCTGTGTGGTTGTCATCGACATATTGGTTCAGCTCGAGGTTGCAGTCTCGGTCACTGAATTCGAGCGTACAGTCCCGGTCATTGACTTCCAGTGTGCAGTCGTCTCTGGGTCCGTTTTCGATAGTTGCAGGTCGAGGTGGGTAGAGCACTGTGACTTCCTTGAATGTGTCGGCGTCCGGGAGGGTCGTCGCCCTTTGGTGGTGGGCCTTGTATGCTTCAGGTGACATATTTGGAGCTGACGAGGCTTGACTGTCTGGATAGGTTAGCGCCAGGTTGAACTCTAGTTATAACCGTGAATATCAGATATCGCATACTTCACTCAGAGAGTAGTGGCAATGAGAATCAGGGTTTCGGGCAACAGAGAACCGAACTGTCTATATCATTGACCAGAATTCTGGAGATGCTCAAGACTAGGATCTTGCAAAATGGAGAACTGAAGCTTGGAGCTTTCTTGCAGTCCAGGATGAAGCCTGGTGACCCCTTGGGCAGATCGACTTGGCTGTGAATCCATATGCTTGGGTCACATGCTAGAGAGTTTAACTATTGGCATTTCTGCAGTGAAATCAATTGTCCCTTGATTGTGGTAACCGTGTGCAGCGCTAGTCTGTTGTGTCAAGCCCAGAGTTGACACATCAGATATTGCCCCAACCTCCTGTGTATTTTTGTATCAAGGCTAGTAGGAACCTTGGAAGTTAGAGAAAAAAGCTTGGAGAAAGGTTTTAGAGTCCAATTTCTTCATCGCAGGTTTCATTCTGGTTGAAATTCAGAAACGGAATTGTGGTTTGGCTGAAGAATGGCAGTCGATCGTGAATATATACTTGCGTACTTGATTGCTCTTTTGTCAATAAATCACCGAATCAGTCGAAATTCTCACCACTTTATTTCGTTGCAGTGGAACGTTCGTTCGATTCACCCTATTAATATACAGCCAATGCAATAAAATGCTTTTCTCATGAGGCATTCCAAAAACTCTATAAACAGCCTGAATTGTGAGGCAGACAAATTCAACAATGACGGCTCTTTAAGGGTCCTTGGACACGACAAACCTATATCTGTGGACATATGTTGACAATCCAGTTTTTATGTTTCAAATTCTTATGTGAGAACATTCGGTGTGGTCAAATACAGATTTAGGGATATAATCTGAGACAGGGCGTCGTCCTGGCTGATGTGCGAAGAGCAGAAGCATGAACAGCAAAAGAATAATAAAGAGGTATCAGAGTCTTTTATACAGAGGCTATGTCACATGCGCAAGTGCAGCCGAAGGCAGGATGCGATAATAAACAGGAAGAAGACGAGAACTCCTGATGAATAAAACAACAAAACAGAGAGAAGATGACCCTTATGCAAGCAAGAGAAGCGTCTACTCCTTCTTCTCAACATCCTTCTTGGAGACGCTGAGCTTAGAGATTGCCTTCTCCAGAGCCTCAACACCGTCCTTCCGGAACTGCGTAACCTTCTTCACATTCAACCTCGTCAGTCCGTGCACCAGGTCTCGGCCCTGCTCGCGCTCCCGCGCCACTGTGCGTGCTGTCATGGCAAATCGCATATCCTTCGGCCCATCGACCAGCTCGAGAATGGCGGTGGGGGCTTTCACATGTGGCTTGCGTTCCGGGCTGGCCATGCGGTCACTCTTGTTGACGGAGTAGTATTCGATCTTTTCGCGGGGTTCCATGCGCAGAACTCGGGTGTAGCCGCCTGGTCGGTCTGCGTAGCGCTCACGGAGGGGACCGAAAAGTTTTGGGAGCATTGCATGTGGTGTCTAGTGGCCGTTAGTTTTGCTGGTTTCTTAGATGCTTTTTTGGGGGTCAATGGTTTCAAAGTCGCTGTTGAAAGTCGCTGCTGTTTACCACAGAGACAATCGAATGAAATCATTCTATCTCACAGCTTCTGCAACTAGCCTGAATCCATCTTTTGCGTTGAATCTGACGAGGGCTTCCGGGACTCAACGTACGTAGAAAATTTCCAAGGCCCGTCTCCGACTCGCTTCGGTGTTCTTCTTTCCCAGGGTAATCAACTTGTCGGCCAAACGTTGGGCTTCCTTGGCCTTGGCCCATGTGGTTGTGATTGATTCATGCTCGAAGAGGGAGGTAACCAGGTTACGGAGCAGGGCCTGTCGATGCGCAGAGTCGCGACTCAAGTGGCGGTATTTGCCACCACCGCCGGCCATTGTGAAAGTTGACAGAGGAGAGAGAGAAGAGAGAGAGAAGAAAGAAAGTATTAAAGTAGAAAGGAAGTGATTGCCAAAGCGCAATGATGCCTAGGTGTAATTGGACGTGAAGGGAGATTCGGTCCAGAAGAATTGTCCCGGCCTCGCAGCCAATCGGAGTGCTTCCACCGCTCGTCCGACTTCGGTTTTCCGCGTTCCTTGAGAACTTGGCCTTCAACTTTTTGAATACTTTAAAGGCTGCTTGTTCTGTTACGAAAATACAATTTACACACCTTGGAGACATCGTGTAAAATCTCTTTATTCTCCCACCCTTGCGTAAACTGCAATCAACGAGCTTCTCAACTCCGCCAATAAACATGGGCTTCTTCACTGGCTTTGTATGATCTACCCTCCGAGTTATACTATAAATCAGCGACTGACATCTTCAACAGCTTGGTGGCTTTGCTTTGACCTCCTCTGTACTCTACATTACTGTCCAAGTTCACCGCTCAACGCGTATAGCGCAACGCAAAGCCATCCGTGAACAAGTTGACCAAATAGACTGGCTGGTCTCGTCCTCTGGTGCATATGACCGCCGCAATCTCCCAACCGATATCCCGAGGCGGCGACAAGAAGAACTAGAAGCTCAGAAACGAGCCGAGCCAACTATGAAGGAGATACTGAAACACAGGTGGAACAAGGAAGTTGAGGTTCTGACGAGGAAGGCCTACGAGACAAGATGGCAAGATGTCAGAGATACTGTTTCCGAAGGTTGGAAGGCTGCTGCGCGAGTCGTGAATCGTGAATAAGCTTTGTTCTGGGACCAAAATTGGGACAAGACCAACGAAGGAATCTATGGATGCATTTTCATGTCTGCTTTGTTTTATTTGGGCTTGAGCAGCGGAGTTTGGATACCCTTGATTATATTGAGTTTTGTCATAATATAAATACATTAGTGTTATTGATTTCCACAGGAATATTGTAGATGCGCCCTGCGCACTCCATGGCAGGATGAGAGGTATCTTATCAATGCGATGCGGTAAGACTCGGCGATATCCAGATCCAACCTGAGACTTTAGTATTGCGGGTTCAAATTCAAGATTGGCTGAAATGATACACGGGATGACCTTGTGCACAAGCCAAGTGAAAGACTGGTCTGATCAATGCGTTGAGGATGGTGCAGTTGTCGCCACACTATCCGAATCACTCCAAATATCCTTGCTCTCTCTTTCAACCGTGCGCATGGCCTGAGCAACTTCCTCTAGTTTAGCGACAACATCCAAAACGCCTTGGTTCACCCGATCAAAGTATCGATCGTTGGCCTCGCGACGCTTGCGCGCGAGACGAATATCTTTCTCCGTTTCTTCGTCCAGGTTGTGATGAGATACCGAACCGCGACCTGCGCTCTGTTCAGTGGTAGCATCATCCTTGGTATTTGATTCACCACGCTGCCGAGTTGAATTGGCTTTGGTGCTACTTGCATCGGCACCACTGTGACTGGGGTCCACGACTTCGTCGTCCGCTTCGCTACGTGCCCATGCCTGAGCGAGCTTCAATTGCTTCAGGCGTAGGTCTTCCAGGGCTTCAGAGTGCTTCTCGCCGAAGACATTCTCGCTTGTCACGGCACTGAGCTCGACTTCTGACAGTGCGTTTTGCATCTCCTGCCAGATAGCGTCGGATCCATCAACATCACTTCTTGACTGGCGTCGCGAAACGAATGGGGATAATAAACTTGATTTCTCGGCATTCTCGCCTTCTGCTCCACGAGGTGACCGGTTTCGATGGAGAGGTGGAGGTTGGCTGCCGGAGGGTGTTGCCAAAGTGGAGGTTGCGGGCGGTACAGATAGTGAGAGATTCGAGACATTATGTGAGGGTGGGCCTTGAAAAAGAGCCGGAGGTGGTAGACGCTGAGAATTTGTTATTTTCCTTGACAAGTCCATTTTCAAATTTGTATTTCGAAAGAGAGCAAGCAAAGCAATCGAATGGTTCAGAAGTTGGAGTTGCTCCAGGGCTGATAGCCGATAACGTTATCGGGTTCTTATCTATATGACATAATCATGTGGGGGTTAGGAGAATCCCGTGACTCGCTTAGGGCTAAGCGCACAAAGTCACGGGAAGTGCATCCAAAGCGTGTGGTGAAGGGAAACTCGGAACTCTTCGACTTTTCGACATTCGACCCTAGCCCCTTTGGCCGACAACACCCTCCCAGTCGGTACGTATTCGATACTATCTCTTTTCCAATCGCTGCATTGTCTCTTGTTTTTCGAAATATTTGATTTGTGGGATCACTGTGAGATCCTTCGTCGACGATCGCATCTACACTTCACGCACAAAAAATCGACTTTTCCCAACTCGATCACCACCATCGAATCGCACACAATCAACCGTTCATCGTTATATTCGACACAAAACTAACTTTTTTTTTCTTTTGCTCAGTTGACCGTCGAACATAAATCGCCAACATGGGTAAAGGACAACCCCGTGGTTTGAACGCCGCCCGCAAGCTCCAGGCTCACCGCAAGGATCAGCGCTGGGCTGACGACCACTTCAAGAAGCGTCTCCTCGGAACCGCCTACAAGTCATCTCCCTTCGGTGGTGCTTCCCACGCCAAGGGTATCGTTCTCGAGAAGGTCGGTGTTGAGGCCAAGCAGCCCAACTCCGCCATTCGCAAGTGTGTCAAGGTCCAGCTCATCAAGAACGGAAAGAAGGTCGCTGCTTTCGGTGGGTAACCCCAGTCCCCTACTTCAATTGTGTTGGAAATGTCTATACGAGTTGGAATTACGACGAGATGGAAATCGCCACACAGTCACTCAAAAACACACGCTAACGAGCATATTATCACAGTCCCCAATGACGGTTGCTTGAACTTCATCGATGAGAACGACGAGGTCCTGCTCGCCGGTTTCGGTCGCAAGGGTAAGGCCAAGGGTGATATTCCTGGTGTCCGTTTCAAGGTCGTCAAGGTCTCCGGTGTCGGTCTTGCCGCCCTCTGGAAGGAGAAGAAGGAGAAGCCCCGCTCTTAAACAACTCAACGCATTCTGTTGTTTCGAAGTCAAAAATGCAGCGACCGGGAGCCTTGGGAGTGTGGAACGGTGCCGGACGGAAAGCCCGCCTCATCAGCGCCTGATTTCATGAGATCTTTTTCTTTTTTGGGGAGTCCCCCGGCGGGCTTTCGTCTGGAACGTGATGGATACGCTTATTGCGAATTAAACACGATTTGATACAAATTCCAAAAGATTATGGCGCCACGACTTTCTAATTATTTCCCTGGTCCCGCTTGGCCTTGTATCCGTACATGGTGTGCATTCGATGAAACGTACAGTAGGATGTCGAGCCACTGAACTCGCTCAACTTGTGCACCGTTTATATATATAAGACCGCGGTGGATGTATTATATCAGTAGCTCTATCAGTCTGTGGTTCTCATCAATGTATTTATCTCCACAAGGATGCATCTACACAACTATCTATCGCTCAAAACCCTTCTCTTTTCTCGCCACGAAACCAACGACATGCCTTTGTTTAATGCTCGCTCGATATATATTTATGTAGTGAAGTAGTCTTGAGGGCAGGGTTCCTACATATGCCCATCAAAAGGAACATTCTAAAGTGTCTTCAAAAGGGTGCCAGACCTTGGAAGCATGGATGTTTGGGAGCCTTGGAACTAGCCAAAACCTCATCGAGGTCGAGGTCTTGCAAATGTCTCTTCCGGTGCTCTCCCCAGGGCTCTTTCCAATTAGCCCCAGGGATTTTGAGGGCTGACAGGGCTCTGTTCTTTGGGAGGTTACCATTGCATATTTATCTGATACATTATATATAAATATATATATTCATGTATATCCATATTATGAGACCAATTGATCATTCCTCAGGAAATACAGATATAATTTCTTACAAACACACTATGAACCAGCCCCTACACACGTAGATTTCGTAATGACAATGACATAATAATCTCATTGGTGCTAGATGTCTATGTTTGTCCTTCGAACTACCAGGACGGATTCCCCGTAACCATGACTCCTGCCCAGGTGCGCGCATCAATCATCAATATAATTCCTCGGGTATCGTTGTGAATGTCCTTCAATGATATCCTTGGACAACTTTCGTGAAATGTCTACCACAACAGCCTCTGAAACACCTTAGAAGCTAATATCCTCCTTGCGGTAGTGGTCTGACACAATACGGTAAAGGTATGAAGGTGCATGGCCGCCGCTGGAGCGAAGAAAGAGGTTAGCACTGCGCATCAGAAAACAGAGTGCGTGATCCAAACTTACAGGTTAGTGATGTAAAGGTCAACGAGTTCAGCGGGAACATAGTCATAAATGGGGTTCTGAACATCGATCTGATCGACAAGGTCACCATCCTCGTATGAGAGAACCTTGCTGGGGTCACCGTATTCGATGAGAGAGTCGAAGTCAAAGGGATAAACAGGGCTGAGCTTGTAAACACCGCTGACAACCACGACTGGGGTCTGGTGGACCTTGGCGGCGCGAGCAATGATACGAGTACCAGCAGCGGCAATGAGTCCACCGTTAGCGAGAACGGAGTGTGTACCCAGAATGACCTTGTTGACGCGCGACATGAGAGCAAAGACTGCAGAGTCTGGAATGAGAATAACAGTGATTCCGTGCTCAATAAGTGGCTTCTGGAAAGCTTCTAGGCCGAGATTGTCATCCTCATTGATAGCGGCACCGCTGACAGTAGCATGGACAGCATCGTGATTGTTTGGGTACGACTCTGCATGAATAACAGTGAACTTGCGCTTGGCAGCGGCTTTGAGCAAGAATTTTTGGACGGTTGTCGAGGAGGTGTGTGTGAGGATGATTTCGTTAGAGTGGATGTGGTCCAGGGCGTAGGCAGCAATCTGGTCGTCGACCTGGCCCAGCTCGTCAATGATTTCCTTGACACCTTCCAACACCTCAGCTCTTATATCCTTGGTTGGGCCGTGGCTGAATAGACGTCCACCGGGGGAAAGGGACCCTGGCGTGCTTGGGAGGGAGTTCTCGGGTTCGGGTTGTGAGAGAAGGCTGAACATGGAGGTTAAAGGAGGACGAGTTGCTCTATCATCGCGGAGCGAGGGGGAGTCACGATCCAAAGGCAAGGATGGATCTATGAAGTTGTGAGTCACCGCAGTAAACATTGAGATCAAAGATTGGGACTAACCGTCATATGCCCGTGGTGTCTGGGGCTGACTTTCGGTGCCCACTTCACTGAGAGAAAACTCAGCCTCGCGATCATCTTCCGCTTCGTCGCGAATAAGGCCGAGGACTCGGCGCACAATATTGCCCACAACCATCTCCCGCGGTTGCGCAGCCATTAGCCGCCTTCCCACGGTCTGCACCCGCTCAATAATCTTTGCTGAATCAGTTGTACGACACTGTGAGATAACAGTGCGCAGCAGGCAGGCAGTTGCTGTAGCACATGATCGCGAATGGCGGATTTGACGTCGCTTGAGCAATCTGAACAAATTATACAATATTAGCAGCTTGACAGCCGGAGTGGTCTTCTTTAAACCAGGACTTAAAAAACGCACGAGATCAAAGTCTCAATAGAAGTATCGACTGGATTTGTCTTAAGACAATGGAGGAATGACTCCAGGCCCGGTGTCAGGGCGAAAGAAGCGGACGGCATGAGGAAGGTGGGATGTACGATTCTGCGCGGTGTCAGCGAGGAAACTTGAGGGTCAAAACTGCACAGGGTCCTATTCTCGACATACCCGTCCTTCAAATCCAAACGACAATCAAAATGTTGTGAATAGGAAGTTTTGCGTCAAAAGGGATCTCCAAGAAAAGGTGGGAGTTCTTTGTCGCTCTTTTCTGCCGTTCAATCTTGTCCGCTTCCCCACATTCGGGGGCCCTTCGCTTTCTCTCTTCTTTCGGCTTTAGGCTTTCTTCTTGATTTGGGTTTGTTCTTTCAGTCATTGCATTGTCCTAGGTTCTATTTTGTATTTGGAATACCTTTCCCTTTTCATCGGTATTGCATTCGCGGTACACATTGTATTCAACTTGCGGAAGCATTTCCGAGGCACGGGTGACTGGCGCATTGAGGTTAGAACAACAGCTTACACCTTGCGATCCCCTCTTCCCCCTAAGCCATCCCATCATAAACGCTCATGGAACGCCCCAAGTGAATTTCGTGATTTGCTTACGATACATTTGCCAACAGATCGCTGTGCCCCTGTCTCCGGGTCTAAAGGGAAGATGAACTCATTGAATATCTTGTCCTCGCGAGTCATTGGACAATCTTCCAGCTCATCACGACCACGATCGCAATCCCAAGGCGACAACAAGCGCATACCTCTACCGAGTGACTTTTCCAAACACCGTTCCTACAGCGAAGACAACTTCCGTTCCCTCGATAACTCAGAAAATAATTATGACGGTGGACCACCGCCTGTGACCGAAGATGCAGAGGAAGACGGGACATATGGCTCCGACGAGAAGACACCACTACTCCATGAGGCTCACAAGAATGGCACATTTACTGCTCGAAGCACTTGGCGACTAATCACCCAACGGTTTCTCGATGCGATTACGGAGACCATTAAGTTCATTCTGACTACGATTGCTGCCCCTGGTGTATACCTGGCACATTGCTTTCAGGCTGACGATGGCAACTATTCACTTCTGGCACCTATCCGGAAGTTGCGGCGCTCCTCTGCCGACCCAACAAGCCGGTCGGATAAAGGGGCCATCCGGGTAGATGGTCGGCGTCGCAGTGGCTCCACCCGGAAGCTCCGACCTCAAATATCCAACGAATCCATTACATCAACAACTTCAGAATCAGACACCGATCGACGAAGGAATTCTGAAAGCGGGAAGCACCGGCACACAAAGTCAAGAGGTCACGATCCAGACCCGATTCCAGAAGCGGAAGAGTACGAGCACACGCCCCGTCGGTCTATACGAATCAAGCTTCACAATGAAGAGTCTCTCAAGCGGCAAAAACAACGAAGATCCCAAAGTGCAGATTTAGGACCGCCAATGCCCGAGGGTGTCTCTCGTGTCCAAGGCACTGTGCAGCTGGACAGCCTAAAGTCCCCTACCTCCCCCAACATCCACCGCATTACCAAGTACCCACATTCTCCCACTCCCCCACGCCCGCTTCTTCCCCCACGAGTTCCTTCATATACCGCGGCTCCTCGAAACGCTAGACCCCCGCAGAAGACGTTGGTTCTGGACCTCGACGAGACCCTCATCCACTCGCTCGCCAAGGGTGGCCGGATGTCTAGTGGACATATGGTCGAGGTCAAACTTTCCATGCCCACGACTACGGCATTGTCTCCAGGCGGGCCGCAGACCACATTAGGACCTCAACATCCCATTCTATACTATGTCCATAAACGACCACACTGTGATGAATTCTTGCGCAAGATCAGCAAGTGGTATAAGCTCGTCATTTTCACGGCCAGTGTCCAAGAGTATGCCGATCCTGTTATCGACTGGCTCGAACAGGAACGAAAATATTTCGCGGGTCGCTTATACCGGCAGCATTGCACGTTCCGCAACGGCGCGTACATCAAGGATCTCAGCTCCGTGGAACCGGACCTAAGCAAAGTGATGATTTTGGACAACAGTCCTATGAGCTATATCTTCCACGAAGGTAATACCTGCCTACCTTCGGATTATTTTTTTTTCACACTGACTAACATTTTCTACTAGATAATGCGATTCCGATCGAAGGCTGGATCAACGACCCCACGGACAATGGCCTTCTCCACCTGGTTCCCATGCTGGAGGCTTTGCAGTATGTTACAGATGTCAGGGCTTTCCTTGCACTTCGCCGTGGTGAGATCGAGTCATAACCACTGTTTGTATTTGTGTGCACGAATTAGCTTGTAGGTGTATGAGTTTAATGCTTTTAGAAGCGAGATTCCATCCGCTCTGATAAGAAAAAAAAAAGGAAGATATCAGATACAACGCGGGATCGAGAACCGATCGACGTGATCATGCATGCGCAATTATCCATAATGGCACTTGGTGCCTTGCTATGTTACTAGGAGTGGTGTCAACGTACATATGATTTTGGCTTTTTCTTTATATGACCCTTAATGCATGAAATTAGCCAGCTTTTTTTTCAGGGCTTTTTGGATCTCTCGTTGTACTTGGTGATGTTTGGTCACTAAGCTGCAAGTGTAGATTGACGGCTCGTTCAGTCAATTGGGAGTGAAGAAGATCGGGAATTCTATCATACAAATGCGTCTTTTCTAATTTGAGGCAGAGGAAGTGGCTCTATTATATCCCCGACGCGTCTCTGCTATGACCTCGAGATGCCTTTGCTCTATGTCCAGACGCCTCCACCATATCATCTTTACTATGCTCACAGAATTTTGAATCCTCGACCAGGTGTGGTATTTTCATAGCTCAAATTCCTCTCTTTCCCTTAATTCTTTTAACCCTAAGATATCTATTGTCGTAGCAATGATCACCCTCGAGTTGGCGAATTGCCACCCTAAAAAGGAATGGAAACTGCCATGACCTTTCCTCCAAGAGAAGCCGTATTGTTAACGGGATTCTCTGTTTCTCCTCCGGTGGTGACATAAAGAACATGGCGTTCACTTCGTGTCCTCCCAAAAGCCGCCGATGTAGCAGCCATCAAATCTCTCGAATCTTTCGAGCCCGCAACGACATCATGGGATCCATTTGGGAAGACTCTGGTAATCTCATTATCTGTCAGACTAGCTAGGTATCCGATCCCCCGAGGATCAATAGCAAAGTCATCGGCCAGTGTATCATGGCTGACAATCTCATAAGGTCCCAAAGCACGACCAGTACGAGTATCAATTCGAACACGACAGAAGATACGCTTTGGGCTGTTGCTGTAGTACATATAGTTGTGCAATGTTCTCAATCCATTAACACCGATCAACAATCCCAAGTCGGAATTCGCCTCCATTGTCTCGTGTCGGTGTAAAACGGTATAATTGCCGGTTTGGATATCGAGATGCCATACAAGGCCGAGTTGCGAGTCGGAGATCATAACTGCCTTTCCTTCATCTAGTGTAGCCATACCATTCAGGAAGCCGGCGGGTATCTTTGAAATTAAAGTTGCTTTGGGTGGATCGTCATGACTGTTGAATTCAATCTGCCAAACGGAGTTGGATGAGATGACGGCGAACGTGTCCGGCGAAACCTCAGTAATTCCGGCCACGTCGTCGGCTCCATCAAAGTGATGAACGAGGCGGATAGAGCTATGAATTGACTCCGTTGGCGGCACAATTTCCCAGAGTCCTACCGTCATCAGATCCGTAACGAGGAGGTTTCCATTTAGTCGAACTGCAATATTCTCGAGCCAAGTGCCGTTGGGGAACCTGTACACTTCACGGATGTTGAAAGATTGAGGGAAACATAAAGCCTGCACGAATGCAAGAGAAAACAGCAGAATGCTTAGGAATGCTGGCATTGTAGAAGGGTTGCGGTCGCAAATTGAATCAGGAATAGAAAGAGAAATGAGGAATTAAGTCTTCGTTGTTATATGAGCAACTATGAGCAATCGTAGGTAACATGGCTCGTATTCTAGTACAACAGTGACGAGAGCCAAGTCAGATCATTTCTTGGCAGCTGTAGTCGGCTTATTGTTCGTTGTCATACCCCTTCCTCAGGTTATCGGAATTCGGAAATAGACGTTGAGAATCTATAATAAGGGATATAAATTGGATACATTAGTTCTGATATTGATCTGCATGGCTGCAGATCTTGGCGTAAGCAGTCTACATAATCGGCTCTGATCCCATTTTCAAGGCATGCATTTCTTGATGCAGTAATCTGCGGGGACACTTTTGGTAGACTCTCCCTGCATGATACAGATAATTATGTCATAGATAATTGATCTTGATGAGACTATGGCAGCCTACACCGTGATAAAGGCATATAAAAAGCCACACCAAGTCGACATGAATCTTAAGTACAAATCGCTTGTATGAAATTAGATATGCTGTTGCAGAAGACCCTTTTTACTTTCCTTTTGCCTGCGATTGCAGCATCAGCGGCACAATCAAACACTGAAGCCTCCATCACTTCTTTCTCCACATCTTGCTCCAATGCAGTAAGTCTCGTATGCTGTCTCCATTTTCGATACCTTCTGACAGCACCAAAGTGCGCACAACTGTCCAAAAATCTCGGATCCAAACTCCACTATCATAACGAAGGCTTCACAGTCTGGGATGCCAAACAACAAGAGACTCAGTCTGCGTGCCGCGTGGAGCCATCCTCCGCTCAAGATGTCAGCAGTATCTTAACAATACTGTTGAATAACTGGTGCAATTTTGCGGTCAAGGGAGGAGGCCACTCCAGAGACGCAGATGACTCAGTGTCAGTTGGTGGCGTGACTATTGACCTGCAATTGATGAAGTCTCTGAAAGTGGCTCCTGATAGAAAGTCAGTGAGCCTCGGGAGTGGTCATGTCCTCTATACTATGTACCATGGTCTCGAGGCGTTTAACCTAAGTACCATCGGTGGTCGAGTCGCGGATGTTGGGTTGGGCGGATACGCCCTTGGTGGCGGTATCTCAGATCTCTCCCCAAAATATGGACTCGCAGTGGACAATATCCTCGAATACGAGGTATGTGTTGAGTAAAGCCCTCCATAAGGAAATCCACTCGCAGTCAGTCTAGGTGACACCGGCTAAATGGAGTACCAGATTGTTCTACCTAACGCGACCATTGTTCAAGTGAATGAAAATCAGCATCCCGATCTTTACTTCGCACTTCGAGGAGGAATGTCCAATTTCGGCATTGTGACGTGCTATACGATGCGCGCCATTCCACAGGGAAACATATTGGGCGGAAGCAGGACATACAGCTCTGCCCAGAAAGACACGCTCACCAACGAGGCTTTTAAACTCACCACGATTTGGAAAAATGATACCGACATGGCCTTCTCCTATGGCTACAACTACAATCAAACGCTTGATGAATTTTCTCTTAGTTTTACGCAAGCATATACACAGCCAGTGCTCCAACCTGCTCCTTTTGTGGGTCTTCATCGGATACCGTACAGATCGAGCACAGTGCGCATTGATCGAATGAGCAACTTTAGCTTAGAAGGTGCTTCGCATACACCGTCTGGTGGTCGGTGAGTCGATTCACCCAGTTGAACCTAGATGAACCGTTATCTGATGCCGGGCTTCTAGTAATTTGTTCGCCACTGTGACCTACTCTCCCTCTGCGGAAATGGACCGACACATCATGCAGATAATGGCAGAGGAACTTGATTCCATTAAAGACGTACCAGGATTCTTTCCCAATGTGATATTTCAACCTCTTTATGAAGGTGCTGTTCGTGCAGGCCATGAAAGAGGGGGCAATGCTCTTGGTATTGACGCAGAGGGCCCACTGACCAGTGAGTTAAGATGCGAACGGCGTCCCGTGCCGTGTGAGGCACACTGCTAACAAGTTATTACCATGCAGTTTCTTTATTGACTGTACTATGGTCTGACCCAATTGATGACGACGCCGTCAATGCTTTTGTTCATCGGTGGATCCAGCGCGCAACGAACGACACCGATCAAGCGGGAATTCACCATCGTTGGCTTTATATTAATTATGCCTATCACCAGCAGGACCCGTTTTCTGGATATGGCAAAGTAAATAAGGAGAAGCTAATTGACGTTCAAGAGTCGATTGACCACTTGGGGGTGTTTACGTCGCAGGGCTTATGCAGAGGATCTTTCAAGCTGCGTTAGAATCGAAAACATTTGGATACGGATGCCGCAAACGATGGTGTAATATACAGACGACGGTGTCCTGACTCTAATCATATGACAGAGAACTTTTGACTTGATAAAATTACATGAAATAAGCTCCTTGCTGATTACCCGGAGTTAAAACCGTCCGCGGATTTATGCCTCTTGCTTACAGGTGGGTCCAGTGAAAAGAAACATGATTGGTCAATAGTATTAGTAGCCCGCCAATGGCCGAGATTTTAAAAAAGGCAGAGACCCACTTCAACTGTAAAAGTGATCTCTTGGCCATGACGTTGTATAAGCAGCTAGCATGAAATAGACGACGATAGATATATTGGCACATATGCTGAGAGTCGGCATCCTTGGCGTATAAGGCTGCGGTATTTGGGGCATAGCAATGTTGAGTGGGAGTAAGATAAGTGCCAAAATATTAACTTCATAGAAACCAGAGCCGGGTTGGCGCTTCTCCGATGGTGGAATCAGGAGTGCAAAACAAGGGAGCAATAAGCAACATGTCTATATCGAGTGCATCCATTTTGTTGAATCCATGGACGGCGCGGGATGCCGAGTCTTCTCCTCTTGTCCGGCCTTGGCGGCACCGTTTCTGTAAGGTTACATGTCCTAGTTGAGAATTTGCTATCCACAGTCCATGTTGCCAGGTCTTAGGTTCTGGGAAATGAGTTTAAAACTGGCGACATCGGTTTCGAAGAAAGGTTTTCTTCATTTGTTCTTGCTACCTTTTGCGCATCATTCGTTGCTCCGAATATAGCAAGCATGTCGGCTCGCAGGCAAATGGCCTATCAACCTCGAACCGAAAAGCACACCCTCAGATTTAATGAGAACGGTACATTCCAGATCTCGGTTTTCAACGACCTGCACTTTGCCGAAGGTACAATGACTCCTAGACTCAATTCAAGCCTCAAGACTGACAAATTCATAGATGACGGGAAAGACAACAAGACACAGAAGGTGATGGAAACTGTCCTCGCTTCTGAAGATGTGCAACTGGTCGTTCTGAACGGCGATTTGATCTCCGGTGAGGCAACACATGCCTCTAACTCCAGCACCTACATTGATCGTGTTGTTGCACCGCTAGTCAAACACGATCTACCCTGGGCATCGACATATGGAAATCACGATAGCGAGGTTAATCTGGATCCGGCCGAGATGTTCCGCCGCGAGAAAAACTATACGAGCAGCTTAACCCAAAGAAGAGTCTCGGGCTCCACCGCCGGCATCACAAACTATTACTTGCCAATATTTGGACATGATGCTTCCAATGATACCACACCCGCATTTATACTATGGTTCTTCGACAGTCAGGGTGGGCATTACCCGATGACGAAGGACGATAATGGAACATCTGTTGCAAGACAAGACTGGGTAGATGATTCGGTGAGTATTAATTGTGGTCTCAATGAACCATTATATCCTATCCCTCCTTTTCTGGAATTGCGCGCATACTGACTTGATATAGGTTGTTAGATGGTTCATCAAGACAAATGAAAATCTATTATCTACCTACGGCAAGCCGATCCCATCTTTAGCTTTTGTCCACATACCCGTCTATCCGATGCGGGCATTCCAAGTCACGGGCGTTAGTCCAACCGGTGAACCAGGAATCAATAATGAACGAGTTCAGCAACAAGGCTACTCCAGCGAGTCCGGATACCATGCACAAGATTACCCATTTATACAAGCTCTTTTGAACACCACGGGACTCGTGGCGACCTTCAGTGGTCACGACCACGACAATGACTGGTAAATCTTCACGAGGTCATGCCCACAACAAGACACCTGAAGCTAACAAACATCATTTACAGGTGCTTCAAATGGGATAGCAAGCTCCCCAATCTGAATATTACAGGAAATGGAGTCAATATGTGCTACGGGCGACATACTGGGTATGGAGGATATGGCAATTGGGCGCGTGGCGGAAGGCAGATCTTGTTGGATCAGCGATCACTAGAAAGTGATATGCGGAGCTGGGTTCGGATGGAAGATGGGTCTATCTCGGGTAACGTTCATCTCAATGCGACGTACGGCCAGGACCAGTATCATTTGGTGGATAGAAGTAGAAGTGGACAAGAAGGTGTTGCTCCTCAATACTTGGGTATTGTCTGGCTGTGGGTGTTTGTGTTCTCTTTCTTCACGTCTGTAATAAGGTTATAGAAATAGAGCGTTTGGCGTCTCTTATTGGGTTGCGCTAAAAGGAATATACAAACTAGCGTTGGATAATTGCTGATGGGGGTTTGATGGACATGATATCATATTGGAAACATATAAACCAAATAGCCAAAGAATTCCACTGGCTTTGAAGCGCAGTAAACAAACCGACAAGTTCTGACTCGGCGTCCATATGTGTATTCTCATGGCATTGTATATTGTACAGTATAAAGCCATGATGATTAAGAAGCAACTAGTTATACGTGGCTATGTGGGGCCACAAACTTAGTACTGTTGACGAATAATGGATTGTACCTGCATTAGTCGTTGATAGTGGAAGAAATGCTCATGGATTCGATTGTGTGGGATTTGTCTGGCAGTGGTCTCAGTCCGTGGACGGGCTCAAGTATTGGATTCGACTGTGAAAGTGGTAGCCTCACAGCCTTGTTCTTAAAGCTTTCAACCGTTACATCTATGCTTGCTTCCACAGATTGAGCCTGTGCTTTTGGGAGTCATCAGCATTTTTTTAGATATACTGCCGTTGAGCTTTTGACGTGATATAATGATATTTACAACACGACAGCTTGCCACGTATATTGTACGGTGCATATTGTACATGTTGTACAAAGTAAACGATTTGGAAATTGAGAAATGAATTGGAACCAAACTGACGTTGTAACCCCTTAGTGGAGTCCAGAACACAGCCCTTTTAAAAGATCGTCGAAAGAGAAACGAGACGTACAAACTGGCTTCAGGGCATCCCGCCCCTGACGTCAGTGGCCCCTGGATTGGCCCCACTATGTTCCGTGGATCCGTCATGATAATCCTAATGCGGTCATCCGAAAACGGAATGAAAATTTATCCTTTACAATGTACGCACAGTGTAACTAGATGAATGACGTTAATGTATAATAGAAAGACGATATGTTAAGAGCTGGAAATATTTGAGCCAGAATTAACCAACCTCATCTCGTCATCTACCTAGGAACTGAAAGCTGGGGACTGTCAAAGTGGAGTGTTATGAAACATTCATTCATTGAATCTGGGCCAAGAAGTCAAAGTTCCGTGGTAAGATCCATTTAATAGCTTGTCTTGTCGCCTTAAACAATGTTGGACACGCGTTTCAGGGCTTGGCGTATGTATGTGGGTATCTGAGCCCTGAGAACCAGAAGATCCGAAATTATAAACCCTCCTATTACCGAAACCATCATATGTTACTTCCAGTCTCCTCAACCATGAAAGGTAAGTATAGATCAAACGAATTGAACTAAACGCATTCCTCATTCCTCAGCCAACCATGAGCTGTATCCTTTGCGCACATCGGATCATCCTCGGCTTTTACCGTGCCAGTGGCAAGCGAGATGATAGATCTACTAGTTGATCGTCGGTCAAGTGTTTGCTAATCAGCCAGAAAAAGCTTGCAATTTAATTTAACACCACAAAAAAGTGGATTAAGCCCTGGAACTATTTTTATTAGGAACTTTGAACCCCGGGGCTGGTTTGACCGTACATCATCGTTGTCGCATCCCCAATCCCCAAACTCTTTCTGACAGGCAAGATCTCGCCTCCTCGCCTTATCTTGTGACTGTTGCCTTCGATAATTTACATCAATACCGATGATTGATTTGAGTCGCCATGAAATTGTCTGGCACATGGTCTATCCTTAATGGCCTTATTACAACCCTGCTCTTTTCAAGAATAGCGCTTGCGATCGACTTGGATATTAGCGATAAAGGTATGTACCATTTATTACTCTATATCCGCAGATATGAGACGACTTGACTAATGCAATCATCTGACAGAATCGATTAAAGATGCCGCAAGTACGAGTACTTACGCCATGATGCGATGGTATGCCGGAAATGAAACTGGACAAATCCCTGGTGCTTTTCCCACGAAATGGTGGGAAGGATCTGCGCTGTTTCTTGCACTTCTTCAATATTGGCACTTCACTGGCGACACGCAGTATAATGATGAGCTGAGTCAAGGGCTGCAGTGGCAGTCGGGTGACAATGGCAACTACATGCCTACCAACTACAGTAGCTACCTGGTAAGTACTCAAGAACATAGATATACCTCACCAAAAACTGCTTTCTAACTGCTTTCGGGACTATATAGGGAAATGACGACCAAATGTTCTGGGGTCTTGCCGCTATGATGGCCGCTGAATTTCAATTACCCGATGTCAAGGGCGGATTCTCATGGCTTTCGCTTGCTCAGGGGGTCTTCAACACTCAGATCGCTCGATGGGATACAACGAAATGTGGCGGTGGTCTACGCTGGCAGCTGTACCCTTATCAGGATGGATACACCATGAAGAATTCTATATCAAACGGAGGGTTGTTCCAATTGTCAGCACGTCTCGCTCGCTACACGAATGATGACAAGTATACGGAATGGGCCGAGAAGATTTGGGACTGGTCTGTATCTTCGGTGCTGGTCAATAACCAGACTTGGAACGTCGCCGATTCAACAAATATGGACAACAACTGCGCCGACGCGGGTAACTATCAGTGGTCATACAACTATGGTACTTACTTGATGGGAGCTGCCTATATGTACAACTTCGTAAGTTGCGATCCTGCTTTCGCAGTTTCGAACTCCGCATTACGTTTTGCATTCGCTAACAAGATATCCATCTAGACCAAGGGCGCCGAAAAATGGAAGACCCCCGTAGACGGTCTTTTGAAGAAAACATTCAGCACTTTCTTCCCGCACGGCAACGTCCTCGAAGATATCACCTGTGAGCCGACGGGACAGTGCAACTTCAACGAAATTCTATTCAAAGGCCTAGTCTCATCATGGCTTGTATTCACCGGAATGCTCGTCCCCGAAACCGCCGCCCAAATCACACCCAAATTGCAAGCTTCCGCGCAAGCCGCGGCAAAGACTTGTACCGGAAACAACAACCAGACTTGTGGTATCAAATGGTATACGGACCAGTGGGATGGGACGACAGGAATGGAACAAGAGATCAGTGCGACGAACGTTTTCCTCGCGAACTTGGTGTCTTTCGGTGGAATTGATGGACCTGTCACATCTGATACTGGTGGCAAGAGTACGAGTGACCCGAATGCCGGTACAGGGAGCGGGAACTCTGATAAGCAAACTACGAAGCCTATCACCACTGGGGACAAGGCTGGTGCTGGTATCTTGACGGCAATCTTTATTGCTGGTTGGGCTGGGTCTATGGCTTGGTTGCTCATGGGAGCTTGACCTGGCATGTTTGTTTTTCTTGATCATATTCGCATCGGCTTTGGGAGGGTTGGAGTTCTTTGGGGACTCTGTATTACATGTAAATAGTATACCAAATTTCGTATAAAAATCTAGACATAGAGCCATTGTGATAAACACACATTCAAATTGGCATGACGCTTTAACTTAACACGACTTTAGCGCCAATAGATTGATTTGCATGCTATAGGTCAGGCCTGGCCCACACAGTAAGAAATGAAATTTTCAAGTAACGGGAGGAGGAGCCAATGTTCAGGTTGATCTAGACGTGCTTTCTGCCAAGATTCGTACTGATATCCTCCTCACCTCATGTCTATTCATGACAAACCTCTTGGTTAACTGGTACTGCTGAGGCAGTGCATGAGTTTACGGTGGAAAAATTATCTTGTTGCACGAGTTTCTTGCATGGACAAATTGTTCGGCCTTTGTATTCACATCACGATATGGGGAAAACCCTCAAGTTTGGGGCCAAAAACCCAAATCAAGGCATCAATGTAGTACAAATTGAATATCTTAACTTCATGTTTTCCATCACTAAAGTCAAAGACCAAACCCTGTTTGTCCAAAATACACGAGCATTTTGCACTATCAAACAAGCCATGATATGTTAACGCCAAGTTCGATGGGCCAATCATCTGTAGGGCCCTACCTATACTTCAATTTCCAATGATACTTCCCAGCTACATAATGTAAGTCAGTAATGCACAAATGATAGGCTTGCCGGCTTAAGGAAAAGAACTTACCAGCTTTCTGATTGTATCCTTGTTGATCGTATCCGCGTTGACCACATCCTTGTTGATTTGATACCCAGAGATCGTTTTCTCTGTGTCGTCGAGATCACTTACCACCTTTTGGTGCACGCAATGTAAGTAAAAGCTCAACAAGTTCTGTTTCTGTGGCGTGGAATAAAACTTACATCCTAAATCGAATGTTTGTTAGTTTTGGGCCGTCAGATCAAATCTGAAGAAAACTCACCTCCTGTTTATCAAAAATGCATAAGCCTTGTACTGAAGTAGCTGCGAAGCTAGTATAAATTGGAACTACTCACAATCTAATTGGTCAGCTTTTGGGCATATAATGGAGAAACCAGGAGTCTCATACTTGCTGTTTGCATTCGCAATTAGATTCACTCTGAAGGAAGTAGCGTTGGTATGTTTTTCTGCGGAAATTCGCACTTACATCCTAAAATTTGGCACAATGTAAGTCACAATCCTTAATAATTTCGGGCACTCCAGAGCATCACTTACTAGCTGTTGATCCATATTTATCAGATAATTTGCCCAGTGAACATTTCAAATGAGGAATGCATCACGACTCACCACCTATAATTTCAATCCTATTAGACCCTCATTCGAAAAGCAAAGAGTTGCTCAAACTCACATTCTTTTGATGACCACCACCATAAGTCCTCAATTTTGCATTCAATTTCTCTGCAGTTCTGATTTTACTCACATCCTTGATAGGGTTAATGTTGAATGTAATTCAAGGTCCAGACGGAAACACTTACTAACTGCTCAGTCGAAATAACATGCCTATTAGTTTTGTCTGCTGGAAAGTTTGACTGTTGATAGAACTCACACCCTAAGGACAGCAATAATTATTAGTTCTTGTTTGGAGATTTTGGCTCATATATTGGGACCTAACTCACCGGCTATTGTGAGAATCATTAGTTCGCTGGAAAGCTATGAAAATCAATGCTGGTCTTCGTGTTTACTCACAAACTAAGATTGCCAAGGCAGTAAGTATATTGCCAACCACTGAATCAGAAAGTAACTCACAAGCTATTTGACACGTAAGCCATCAGCACTCGAATCCTAATAAATCGCGAAATAATCAAAAGGGGCAGATAGACTCTTACCGGACGTTCCACAAATTTTCTTCCAACCAAGTCGTTCGATGACATTATAATTGGGGCTGCAAATGTGAAGCTGAAAAGCAACATGAGCAAGAAAGCAATGGGCTGCATGTCTGCGGTTATGGGTTATCTGTATAAGTTAGAAAGGAGGGGGAAGACCGTCGAGTTGATGAGGCGTGCTGTTGTCGATGAATCGCGAATTTACTACAATTTTGCGAGGTAGCTCACTCTTCTTAAATAACTTCGTTTACCTTACAGAAGCCAAAACACACATTTCACCCCTGATTGTGGCTCATTTTTCCTCTTCTAAAAAGACGAATAGGACCGTTGGTAAAACGCCTAGGGCAGAACTGTCCAAGCTTTGGCTTACGGGAATTTAAGGTTCTGATTTGGCGTCTCGGCTATAAAGAACTAGAACTAAGATTTCTATAGCCTGGAGAAATAAGCATGTCGGGACGTTCCCCCCTTTGAGCATTCTCCAAACCCTAATCTTGCTCCAACATTCCCATGAATATCTGCTTTATTGTGTTGTTGTGGGGTCTACATTCCAGAACCATCTGTCATATTTGGACTTGGAAAGTTGGAAAAATTAGGCGATGTGTAGAACTGTGGTATCAGGTGTATTAAGCGTAACACCTTCATTGCACGAGAAATAGTCAATTTCTTGTAGTCATCAAAGAGACCCGAAGGCTTTAAAAGATTGATTAGTGTTTAAAAGAAAAAGCTGGTCTTGAAGTAAGAAACTTTTGTTTGAAACGGAATATTCCCTGTGAATGGTCAAATGTTCTAGGAACAGAAAGAGACAAGGAAAGAAGAGAAAAGTTCTGATGTCCTAGAATTTGTGATCAAATTAGCCCACCAAATGTTTTTCTCTGGTACAGGTGAGGAATGAAAATAACAAACCCAAATCATTATAGGGTGAGGTGTCACCTGTCAGGAATGCTATTAGGTCTAGATTTCTCCAAAGACACAGTTTGCATTCTACGTCTGTTTAATCAGCCTCAAAACAATAATGTTCAAGAAACAAATAATCACAGAATCGAAATGCTGAGTCATTTGCTTGTACTTTTGTCCTCAAAAGCTCACCATGGTGCAGTGTTGAGCAAGAAGGATTCTTACACGGATGATCCTCAGAGATCGGGAGCCAAATTGGCGCAGAATCACACCCAAATTGAAAAATCAGGAAACCAAATTCTGGAGAAACCTCAATTCACGGAGCGATCCCCAGAAAGCGTCTGCTGGGAGGCATATATACTCAAATAGAAAATGCAATTTGTGATGCTACGTGTCAATGGGGATGAACTCACTTCTACAACATATTTCCTCCCTCCCTATCCGCTTGATTGAGCCTACCATGAATCTGCGCAACAGGTTCATGAACACATCGGGCAAATGAATACATCATCATCATCGTCATCATCATCATCATCGTCATCATCATCATCATCATCATCATCATACTTGACACATGTTCAAATGTTTAAAGGAAAGATTTGTTGATGGTCGATTGATACGGGAAAGTATTATGGATCAGCCTTTTACACCATCCACCGGTTCATAGGAGGGCAGGAAATTGAGAATAGCAGGACATCGAGGTCTTTGACTAGTGTCTGCGGTAGAATCTGGATTTTGTTGCCGCTCCCATACGTCTCGGGGTCTTCGTCATCCCATTTGACATCGTCCATATATTTGTACTGGCGGAGCTGGCGGCGCTTTTCTTCTTCAGTAGCTAGACCTTTTCCTTCGATTTCATTGATGCGGTCCTGAAGAAATTTTTGGTTTGCGGCAGCCATTCTGCTACGGAAGCGGGCAATGGCAAGGCGCATAGTCTCCTCTGCGTTTCTGTCTATGCCGAAGGCTGAGGCTAAGGTTGAGCCTGCCATTGGTGTTGTTGATGACAGCTTCTTTTATTTGCGTCCGTCATTGTTGTTGGTTATTTCCTTGAACTTTTAGTTGTTATTTTCTTTTTCTTCTCTGGGAACCATGTCAGAGAAATAGTGGGTTTCAAAACTGCACAGTGACCATGTAGAAACGGGCAGATCTAGTGTCAGCCAATGGATGGTTTCTTTGTGGATTCACACTGTTTCCAAGGTTTTACGGCCTTTAAGCAAACTGTTGGATCTTTAGATGCTGTCGGGTGAATTGCCAGAGAATATCCACTGTTTATTTGTAATTACTTAGCCATGTCAGAAACCCTTATAAATTGCCAGAACCAAGGGTAATAAATCACAGAGTTGATCGCACTTTCTTATTGGCTAGGTCTGTGTAGCATCTGACAGAATCTTTAGATGCTAATGATATCATTCTCGATTGGTCAATCGTTTGTATGAGGCCCTCGGTTGAAAAAAGGTACATAATAAATACTGTCTACATTCGGAAGTACCGCATTGGTCTGGCCGGACCCTATCTTTAGTGGGGATTCTGCCACTACCAAAATACGAAAATACCAAGACACCCTCCATAGCAGATTCGATGCCAGACTCTCTACCTACCAATATGCCTACCGACCGTTCTGTACTTCCGCCATCTGGCTAAAAGATAAGTGGGACATGTAGCATGTTCAAAGCACCTATCCACGCTGACTGTACATACCATACATGTGTGCCCGACACAGACTGAAGCAGGCAAGGACATGTTCACCCTATTTAGTTAGATATATCACTGCAATCTACCCCAAGGCGGCTAGTGGCGGCGCTAAATGGTGCACGACAAGTCCAGCTCATGGGGCACTGCTAGGCTTCACCCCACAGCACATTGGGGGCCAGTCCATGGTCTTCCAAGTGTTAATCCATCCTGACGGTGCAAAGGGCTACATACTTTGGAGTTTCCAGGTGCCTACCCCGGTCTTGGAAGCAAAGCCTGATTCGGATAACGTATGTTTGCCATCTTATGCGTCCAGTCACGGATAAAAATACTTCTTGGTATGTGTGGGGCTTCTAATTAATGTAACCCCGGCGGTAATTATTTGGGACGCAAGGCAGACTACCAAAAGTACCTTGCAGCCATGGCGGATAACTAACACGTGACTGCAATCTACTTGCCTTAGCTCAAGAATTAGTCAATCTCATATGCCATAAATATTACCAGTTCCTCTGATAGCATGCCCTACAGCTTTTTTTCAACATTCCAGCTCTGCAAGGAATCAACATCCACCATTTATTCATGGAGAACAGACCCGAGCGAAGAAAAAGGCTGACCAAAAATCAAACTCGGGATTTAATAGCAAAGCACAATATACACTTCAAAGGTCCACTGCATCATTCCAAATGGCCCGAGCAATATTTTTCTATCTTTCAACCCATCCGCCAAATCGAAGAAGTCAAGTACGAAAAATACTATGGCGAAATGAAAATATGTGTAGAGACACAAAAGCGGGTTCAAATGAACAAAATGATCCGAGCTACGAATGAGCTAATGAATGAGGCTGAGCAATGTCGTCAAACCCGTGCAAATGAGCGAGACTGGAGGGGCGCGACAGAGAGACTGGTTTTGAAACGCTTCATGGAAGACCTGTTTTGGTGCGTGACTAAAAGTTCATCTTTGCCATAATTGGCCTAATAGTCTATGGAAATAGTTATCGATGTAAAGGACGTCAGTGGAAAGCCGAGTTCCAGGCTGAGCCTATGTGCCCAAGGGCTGCATTTGAACTTTCCCAAGTACGATCCAGCAGGTCGATATGCTACTGCAACGGTAATGAATTTGGCCATGAAACACAGGTAAATATATCACTGCATTTTTTTCTTAGATCTGATGAGATGGCATGCTCACTATCAATGTTATTAGTCCCCATACTCAGATGGTCGCAGAATATTCGCAGGGATACATGAGCCAAGCATATCTGACCCAATGATCCCCGCAGATGGAAGGAGAAATCCTGATTATGTTCTCGGACTTTTGGAAGGAGAAAACTCCCCACTGAGCCGTGCTATGAAAGATTCAGCAGGGATGTCATTCACTCCACTGGACACTGGTGGCCATGTTTTATTCCCTTTCCTCATCCTTGAGGCTAAGTCAGGGGATAATTGCTCCGATTTCTCTGCGATTGAGAAACAAACAGCTTTTCCGATCAGAAAGCTAGTCAATTTTCAGAGATCGGTAGCAAGAACAACGGAAGAAAGGAGCTATCATCCATTGGTATGGTTTTTGGCCTTCAGAAGTGAGGATTGGAAAATCCATGGCTGTTTTCCCACTTGCGGCGGAGGAGTAGTATGTACCATGACCAATTCTATTGCGAAACCTCTGACACGCTAATAGCAAATCATTCAACTTTGGAGTGGCGATATTCGCGGGGCCGATTGTGCATTGCAACTGTTTCTGATAATTGACATGATTTGCGACTGGGCTGCGGACATTTACTTGAAGGAAGTTATAAGTTGGATGTCTGTTGGCCTAGGTGCTTTTCCAGAAGAGAGTGATACAGACAGTGAAAACTGGTCTGATGCAAAGTCTCAATCGGGGGAGTTACCTGGTGAACAGGACACTATCGAGATGACAGATGACCCGGAGCACGACACCGAGACAGTGACCGTCTACTCCTCTGTGGCATCCCCGCCACTGCCCCCTACGCCAGGAGGTTTCCCTCTTGATTGGGACATGGCTTCGATTCCTCCACCTCACAGAGAAGATTCGGTCACTCGCAACATGGATGAGATCTCTTTCTCGTTTCATCACCTTACATTGCCCGAGTCAACAGAAGAACTTGTTGCATTTTTATCGATTCCTGGCTCACAATCTGAGGATATCGGTCAAAATGCAGCAAAATTACTAGGCCTATTTAATCTGCGGTGTTCTTTTCAGGTCACTGGGAATTTCGTGTCCAATTTGGAAGAGTTCTGGACCGAGAACTCTGGTTCTAGGTCGCACCCAATGCTCAACCACGATGAGCTGATGCTTGCTCATATATCCTTCCGATCGCATGCCCGACCAGATGAGTTTCTCATGCTGAGGGATTTATCCTGCATCATTGCATCGGCTGATGCCATCAACACTTTGCATACTATTGCGGGAAAAAAGCGATCGATACCCATTGGGGATCGAAGGTGCTGCCTGCAGAATCTAGATATGGTGACCCCTTTGAAGAAACTATCTAGATCAGAATCACTCCACACAGCTTCTCGAACCATTTGTCTTTCCTTATGTGTTGAGAAGGAACCGTCAGATCCAACCCCCAGATTTACATGGACTCAAGACGGCCCACGTGCAAATTATATCTCCGGACTTTGGCAGAGCTTGAAAGCTGGGACTGCCAGAGCTAATCTTTCCCCAATTCTGGGAAGTTCCATCGCAAGCTACAAAATGGACCGTAATGGCAATGGCCTGCTCCGCTTGCTTTCGTTGGAATGAGGCCCTCTCTATCACATGCGGTTGATTGCTTTTTATTGATTACTTTTATTTTTTGACTAACTGATAGACTCTTACTCCCTTCAATGTTGCATTGCTGTTCTGTGCCATAACGGAGCGGCGCTAAGCGATTCTAAGCTGTTGTCCCGCTCCCGGGCAACTGTAAGCGGTGTGTACCGGGCCAAATTGAATATTGGTGTGGGTAGGCTGGTAAGCCTCGATATGGTTGTGCGTCAGATAGCTATTCTGACCTGGCCAATAAGAATGTGCGAAAACTCTGTATTTTATTATCCCTGGCTCTGCCAATTTATAGGGATTTAACATGACTAATTGATTACAAATAAATATTGGGTATCATTCCTGTTGATGGCTCTATCAGCCTCAAGAACACATATGTTGCTAGAGGAGCTGTCTTGAAATAATGTATTGTTCTTCACTGAAGGAAGCCATTATACTTAAGAGCGGTTTGTATCAAATGCAGCGTACATGTTTGTTTCGGGCGCCAGGTCCGAAGCCAGGGACAATACAACAAGGCTGGATAACAGTGCGTGCACCACCAGAAATCATGAGTTCGCCGGACTCTCAATCGAGGTCCAGTCACTGGCTGTAGAGTTGTCTGTCGCACTCGATTCACGCACAAAGTCCCAGTCACACCAGGCCAGAAGAATGTCGTATACGTCGCGTCATTGCAAACCAAAGCGTGGTAGTGCCTGCCAGTGTAGGTTTCCATCGGCCTGGATGTAAGTACGGAGTCCTCGCTCTGCATCGTACGTCGAGGATACGTTGTCCGGGTGTGTTATCGATTGCACACGGAGGGCGTCGAGGAGGGCTAGATGAGGGTCATGTGAAGTTGAAGAGGTCACGACGGCCGCGAAGAAGGCGCCCATGAGCGCCCAAAGTGTGTAAACAGGGTCCGGATAGGTGATGAGAAAGGCTTGAATGGGATCGGTGAAGGGATTGGCGGGGTGCTGCCCGAGACATCGAAAATGGTTGTCAATTTGCATACAACTGTTTTAATGCGATCAGCTAGAGGTTGTGGAAATGTTAGTGGCTTTGAAATGCAGACTTCTGCATCTCGATGGTTTCTTTTCTTGACATGGAGTGCGTAGAGGTGAATGATCTCACAAAACCTGGGCAAATGCACATATCGATCAGCCACCAGATTTGCCCTCACACGTCTATTTTCGTCAATCGCCTGCGGTTTCGGCATGTGATTGGCTTGCAATAGTGTGACTATCGTTGGGCCTCTGGCATGAGCCACGGTCATTAGCTCAATGTTTTGACGCGCCATTGGCGTTCCTTGGTTCCTCGGCTCGGGAGCGCCCGCATGTTCACCTTCAAGGGATCGAGGCAGGTAATAGTGGGAAACGGAGGTAGCGGGAACAAGCTCGGTCCGCGCTCAATAGATTGCTGTAACATACTGCATATTACTAAATAGCACAGAAGATTCAGGGGAAAGTTTCCTCTTTATGTAGCCATAAATGACGAGCAACACCTGTACATTCAATCAATGTAAATTACTCAAACTTTCTGTGACATACTGAATTTCCCCACACTGCATCTAACCAACACCACTCCCATCGAGTTCACTGGACAAAAAATGGCATTCAAAACCTGGCTTGTCGCTGGTGCATCCTCCAGTTCAGAGCCACAATCGCAGAGGCAGTCCTCCAAGCCGGTCATACAGTGATCGCCACCGCCCGCAACCTCACTAAAGCAGCAGAGTCCAACCATTAGATCTCAGACCTCGGCATCTGGATTGAGCTTGATGTGACGAGCTCTGGCACCACGAAAGCGGTGGAATTTGCGGCCAATGAGTCTGGTGGTGTTGTTGATGTGGTTGTTAATAAAGCCGGGTATTCGTTGCTAGGCAGTATCGGAGATATGAACGAGGCCGAAATCGAGGCTCAATTTAACACGAATATTTACGGTCCTGTTCGTGTGTTGAAGGGTGTTCTTCCTTTCGTGCGGGCGAGGAAGTCTGGCACTGTTGTCAAGATTAGTAGCAGTGCCGGGGTTGATGGACTGCCCGCATGCGCGATGTACTCCAGGACGAAGCTTGCTCTTGAAGATGAGTGTTGCTCCATAGACGCCTTTGTCCTAAGATACAAATATATTTAGAGGAATGGCTTAAACAAGATGAGCAGGCATGTCTGAAAGCCTCGGGAGAGAGCTAGCACCATTTAATATCGGAGTGCTCGTCGTCAAGCCGGGATCACTCCGGACCAACGTTTGGTCAGCCTATGTCGAGCCTACCATTGGGGTGAATAAAGACTATACTGTGACCCCCTTGTAACATGCTCTCTATGTTTTAAATCAAACAAAGGCGCCTAGCCAGGCGATGCTGTTAAATGTGCTTGGAAGGTTCTGGAAGTCGTAGACCATACTAGAATGGGTGCTGAGGAAGGGGACCTGTTTCGCTTGCAGCTTGGCTCGGATTACTATGAACGCCTGCAAACTAAAATCGAGAACCTGCAAGACAACTTACTGCAAGTGAAGGACATTGCCCACTTAACTAGCTACTGATGCTACACTTATGTGCTGGTTGGAATTTGCCTACATTTTAAATAAAACAATTTGGAATAGTGGGAGATAAGGGACATAATTTCTAGTACCCGCATCCCGCTCTTATAGAACACTTTTCACTCCTTCTTTGTGTTTTCTTAGATCTATCAAGCACTGGCAGGTAGATTTTTGTTGTTTCTTAAACCGGATATATGACTGCTTGTTGTATCGTGGACAATATGTCGTATTATAGGGTTGAAATAAAACGCTGCCCAGAGCCTAGTAAGCCGTTGGGCGCAAATGACCAAGCTACAATTAGCCTTCGGTTCGTACCTTCGGAACCACAATTATCAGCGGTTCGCTGCGGCCTGTGGATCCTTCCCGCTGGATCGGGATTTGTTATACCAAACCACTCCTCGAAATCAATTTATTTGCCTAAGAGCTCGGACCTATTTGATGCGTTGCCTTGCAGGATTTGCGAACCATTTATGACATCACTCAGGCTCCCGCGGACCCCTGCAGTATATACTTATAGATGCTGATACGGATCTGCGCCTCAGCTCTCTGCTTACACCCCTTTTTACACCGACTCTTGAGGGCTGATGTTGCTGTGCTTAAGAATGCCGACACCGAAGTTCGAAAAGTAACTTCATCACCTACCTCGAACCCATAACATGAAGCCACAAACGTTCTTGTTCAACGTCCTCCTCATATCTCCCTTCTCCTATGCAAAACAAAAGATCAGCCTCCAATGGGCAATCTGCGACTTAAGTCCGCAAGACACGCTTGCAAAATTGGGACACAATGCATTACCCTCATACAAAGAGAATCCAATCACCTACTACGATGAATATCCTCCTATCCATATCAACTCCGGTTTGATGTTCCGCACCAAAACAAACAAAGGCCAGCCACTTTCCACGGTCAAAGTACGCTTCCCTGGGGCAGTTACTGATCTTCCGGACTTTGTCGACTGTTCCTGGAACCAATATGGCAACAACTCACCATCATTTACCTGCGAAAAACGCTGTGCATTGGACAGTACAATTTGGCAGGAGGAACAGGTCCGATTCGCCGAACGATATGAGACTATTGACTGGGATGCGCTGCATGCGTACGGGCCTTATCCGAATGCGAAGTGGAAGGTGCGAATTAAGGGATATAAGACCAAATTTGATGATGTAGTTGTTGGGGATCTGCATCTTATGGAGATAGAGGTGAAGGTGCTCAGAGAAGAGGCCCATGGTGCGCTTCAAACGATTACGAAACATCTAAAGAAGAGGAACGTTGTTCTTTGTGAGCCGCAGCAAGGGAAGACCATGCGGCTCTTTCGTGCCATGGGGTACTTGGATTATAAGAATGAGGAACTGTGAACAAAGGCAGGAGATGTAGGCCTGAAGTTAGTGTTCGAGAGAAATGACTATCAGGTGTGTGCGTTCAATACAATGGCCAATAAGCTTTAACTTGGCGAAATAGTCTTTTTCATACCGGCATCCTTTAACCCGTATGTGAGTCTGGGGTTGTCGTTGGGAACACGCATATGCACCTGGTGTCAACTCGGCTAGCGCTCCGACTTCCAAATAGGATCTCCCACGTTGGGGTTCCCCCCTAGGATTAGCTCACCGGCTGAGTATTCACAAATAATCCGCAGGGCTACTACTAGCGGCGCTGAGTACGCCGGGTCGCTGGGCTCGAGTAAAACCGCCTCTACGCTAAATACGCGCATTCGACAGGAGTATACGCCAGGCATCCCAGAAAGTTCAGGATAAGAGATTGCCCAGTTTGCTTCAATGAATCTCCGTACTTCCTCCGCGGGACTTTGAATTACCTCTACGAGCCAGTCAAAATCTTGGTGAAACACAATGATCGAAGATAAAAAAATCATTCACTCCCGCTATATAGGTTTAACAGAAGAAGCAGTGCAGATAAAAGACGCCAGATCTGGACGCTGTTCGGAGTGACCTCTACGTGCTTTGGAGCCAGGGATATCGTCTGTAGCTCTGGCCTTGATGCACTCGTATACTTTCCAAAAGCACGAGCTTGCTGTAGCTGCCGTAGCTCAGGACATTGGGTTCAAAGTGGCCGTTTCATACGAGCTGCAAACAATGGCAAAGTTGATACCACGTAGTCAATCGGTCGTTGTGGATGCCTATCATTCACCGGTGACTCAAATGTACTTGGAGGGATCTCGAAAAGGGTTCCAGGGTGAACTCAGAGATAGAAATGCCAAGAATGTATTTGTCAACCAGTCTGATGGAGGACTTGCATCCATCGCAAACTTTCCTGGTTTACGCGGAGTGCTCAGTGGGCCAGCTGGTGGTGTGATTGGCATGTCCAGGACATGGTATGATGCCGAAGACAAGACGCCTATATTGTCGTTTGACAGTAAGTTCTGAATTTTGCATAACAAGATTATCATCCTGCGTTTAAAATGCGAGTAACACTACGCAATGGGTGGTACAAGTACCGATGTCGCTCGGTATGCTGGGGCCCTGGAACATATGTTCGAAAGCACAATTGCTTGTCACCATCCAGACACCACAGCTGGATAGAGATATATCTCGAGCCTACGACTAGGCCTTATAAATAGAAGATTCACTCAGCCGAGAGCGGTTTTTCAAGCGATCTATTCTTTCCTATTACCCGCACCCTATAACGAAGCCTGAATGATTCAAACCGAGTACGATGGAGGCTCGCAAATTGCAGATCATTGTTTCCCAGGCTCTACTATAGAACCAGATCTGAAGCCCAGTGACACCCTTGATTTCTACTCAAAGCTCAACAATCAAAGCCCACTAGTAACAGACGCTAAGGGTGTTGTATAGCGCTTCAATCAGACTAAGGTGAATTTATGTATTGGAGACCGCGGCAGAGGCTAGTTCTGCAGTCGAGCTAAGACTAGTCATACATGATATCCTCGCTGGAAATCCCATGCTATGTTTGAATTCACTTTTTCTCCAATTGGCCTGTGAAGCCCTGCTTTTCTTTGGAACAGGCAACAAGAACAGAAACTGAGCCAAATCCTTCTAAAAGAACCCCGAATCTAAAGATGGAGCCACGGCGCTTCGGAGGTAGTGATATCTATGGAGGGTGAAACATGAGCCTAGAAAAGCCTTTTTGCCGATCCACGGCAGTGATTGCTTGATTCTCATTGTGCCAGGTTTGCAGGGATACGGATACGCGAGAATTACCTAAAGAGGTAATTTGCCATCCACGGGCCAGATCGAAGAGTGGAGACTGGATATGCATTATTGGTCGATCACGTATTTATAGAACTTTAGATTTATTCTATGGTTGCGAGGAACTTGCAAGGAAGGTCAAAATGAAAAAGAAAGGCGACGAAATTTGCAAGATCGACAAAGCCAACGAATATAAGATCATAGCGACTCCATTTCTGTTCAGTCCTCCGCTCAACACCTCTCCATACTGCTTCTTGCCTCTATCTTCACCTCCTATCCCAAAATGCCTAGGCAAGACGCTATCATAGTCGACCGATACTGGCATAAAAGTGGAGTCCGTGGTCGCATATCCCGTGTTATCCGCCCTATGCAATTTCTCTTTGCTATGATCGTTGCCGCCCTGTACGGCATCGATCTAGCCCATGCGACAAACACAAACAACACCGCCCCAGCGGAGTGGGTGTATGCCGAACTAGCTGTCACCTTATCTGCCATCACCTGCATTGTGTATTTCTTCGTTCCGGTCATCCATGCTGCGTGGTCGGCCTGGGATGGAATTTTATTTGTCTTCTGGCTCGCCCAAACGGGTGTTTTCGGAAATATCTACATCTCCGGCACACTAGACGAGCACTACAAGCATGTCACTTTGTCCATCCCTCGGATGCGTGCTGCTGTCTGGATTGACCTGATCAACTTGTTGTTATGGCTTTTCACGTTCATCCTGGGCATCACTTGTTGTTGCCGTACCCGGAAGTCCACACGCCAAGGAGACGAGGTTGGCGACAACAAAGACCATTTGATCAAAAATGACGAGGAAGATTGTGCTCCACCGGAATACAAGGAAGACCCTGATGAGGATTTGGCTGCTAGTCTCGCTGCCGCTGAAAAGAAAGTTCATCAATGCGACTCGGAGAAAGGAGGCCTTTCAGGTTGAGACAGATATAGAAAGATGCCAATTTGGATACCAGGACTGGCTAAGTGGTGGACGTACTCTGGCTTGATCACATATGCGATTCTCCTTGAATGTCACGATGCCGATGAGTTTTTTTAAAGCGTTCATAACCCCGTGTTAAGGGGATTATCACATGTAGCAGTTACGAAACACCTCTGAGCTGTGTGATTTAAGTAGACTACATTCACTCATTTTGTATGGCGTGCATTGGTTTCTACAAAATTCCTATCATTCATGATTACTTCTGCTCTTCGCCAATTGATCGCCGCTTCCTAAATGCAGGATCTCTCTTGTTGCGAGAAGATCTGGGGACACTGTACATGAGAAGACCACCCATGCGGTCAGCCCGCTCATAAATGGTAACAGAGTGACCATCACAATTCAACTGATCAGCAGCAGCCAGACCAGCGGGACCAGTCATTGTATCGTTGGCTGTTCAATCAACTGTTTCGAGCCCCATTTATTATTATTCAAAATAAGTTTCATACATTGATTTTGTAAACCTCAGAATCCCTCTATGCACAGCTTGTTAAAAAGTGGACCTTACCAGTTACCCTTGCAGAGTCGTCCGGTATCCAAATCATAATTCCACTCGTCGCTTCCCACGCCCGAGAGAACGAAAAGACTGTAGGTAGGGTCATACTTGGCTTTGATTTGCACGAGACGCTCGTAGTTTGAGCCGTAGAAGTCCTGCTGGAAGTTGCTGGTGTATGGATTGGCTTCGTTCATGTAGGCACCTGAATTGGGCGACCACTGTCTCCACATCCGCTCCTTGGCCTCATTCCACCGGGCTGCCTTTTGCAGGGCCAATTTCGGTGAGCCTGCAGCTTTGGAGTCGACGGTAGCACCATTGGAGATGAAATGGAGATAAGCGGAACGCCAAGCAGGAAGCAATGCACCCCAATTCTTTTCAGCCGTGTTTCGTACACCAGGGCCACCTTGAAGGCCGACCGTGGCATAGGTTCCGGCTGTTTCGTTTTGCGAGTGCATCGCAATCTTTAGGTATTCTTTCTGCTTCTGAGAAGGTGTTTCATTAAGCTCAGCACGTCCGAGGAGGCGGCTGGATACCACGCTCTCTCCACCGGCCACTCCAGAACTGCCGGAAATAACATCGTAAAAGGAGGAATAGTTCCCGGAATTGGATGCAGTGAATGAGATTGAGATACTGCTGTTTCCACCAGCCGCTTTGGTGACATTGGCTAGAATAGGATCCACCAGCGCCTTCATCGCAGCAGCAGTGGAGTTGAATGACCAGAAGACCTGCTTGACCACCACGCCCGATGTCCACTGATCGAGCGACCCGAATGATACAGCCATGTCACCTACGGCCACCATTGCGGCTCCTGCGAGTCCGGCATCCATAAGGTCAGGAAGGGAAGAGAGATGTGTCACGGCTGCATCCCAGGATTTCTCTGCACTGTGGTTGCTGCTGTCCTTGGGTGCGATAAGAACATTGCCCATGACCACATTCTGAGGTGCCGGATGGTGTCTAATGACATACTCGGTTACCACGCCATACAGACCTGGACCGCCACCACGGAGTGCCCAAAACAGGTCCTGATTCTGGGCATCGTTGGCAACCAGAATATGGCCTTCAGTCGTTACCACTCTCATCTGGTAGACATGACTAGCCGCAAGGCCGTAGGTTCGAGAAATGGGTCCGTGGCCGCCTCCCTGAATGTAGCCGCCGAGTCCGACACTAGGATCTTGGCCTGTTGTGACCACTCTGCCTTGCGCGAGGGCCAAATCGAGGACATTGCCCCATTGCTGGCCACTACCAACAATGTACACATCCTCGGAACTGTTTGTGGAGGGATTCTTCCAGGAAGTGTGGCGTTCCAACTTGCGCAGATTATAGGTCCAGATAGACAAGGAAAAGGCACCGCTTGACCTAAAGCACCACGCATCAAATATTAGCGATGAAGACCTATAGTGCTTTGCAACGAATGTGGCATACCTTCCGTTCAGATCATGACCGGTTCCTTTAACAACAACTCGGATATTGCGGGCAGCCGCCCACTTGAGTGCTGTTGCAATTTGCTCTTCGGAAGTGGCATTGACAATGTATTGTGGCATGCCGCCAATCGAACAACCACGACCTTTGACGTAACCCGAGGCATCAGGTGGCAGGCAGGAATTATTTGCAAAGATTGGATAGTCAATCGACTCCGGGAATCGGGATTGCCACGAAGCGTTCTCCCAGTCGGACTTCACGTTACTGCAATTGACCGGCGAGCCAAATGGATTTCCATTCCAGCAAGATGAAGCCACTGGCACAGTTTTTAGAAGCTTGTGGTTGATAGAACTGTTGAGAGACGCCCACTCTGATTGGACAGGCCATTCTGCATCATGTGGGGTCACTTTGCATGCAGGAGATGCGGATGCCGTGATGGCGAGAGAAAGGGCGGCAAGGATGACGGGAAGCATCTCGGGCGAGGAGAAATGCTATTCGTCTGTACCAGTATAAAAAAAGGCGTCGCAATGCAAACTTATATGTGGGCAAGGAGCGGGCTATGTCATAATTGTTGCTTTCCTGGCAGAGATATGGGTCCTATTCAAAACAAGATCAAAATAGCAAGGCAAGATCAATAGAGCCTCAGCCATGGAGGTCAGCCGTTTGCATCTGCAGATCTTGAAACTATTTTAATTCAAACGAATACGATTAGTTGCCCTACCAAGATATAAGACCGATGGGTGGCCATTAGGCTGAGTCCAGAGGATCAACGTTTCGGATCCATTTTTTGGACATAGTGACCCGCGCCATCTTGTAAACTAATTCTTGATTTCTTGATTTCTTGATCTTTGGCGCGGAGATCCTCAGATTGGAGAATCATTGTGGTTTAACATAATGAACTCCTTAACCACAGACCCACCGGTCTCCACACGTATTCGTTCCCAAGATTTCCTAATCTGGCATGAATCATCCAGGCACATACGAGGGCGTTGAAAGTTGGTTTCAAAAAATTCAAGTCCATTTAGGGGACCCATCTTACCCATGAACTTCAATCTTCGTTAGAGCATAGAGGGGTTGGTAGTCAAAACCTCTTTCGGGGAATACTAACGAACCAATCAAAGCATCTTTTTTTCGAGGCTTGGGCATACTATAGCGAAGCTGAGGCAGCTAAGCGGGGCTTCAACGAGAGATTCCAAAAAGTGTATCCCTTACCACCGGAGAATATTGTCACACACGATTAGCATCATGGACCGATTGCATGGCCTGATAGTGTCGCAAAATTGGATGAGTTCGGGGGAAGGACGGCAACCACTACAAACATATTGGTTGCCTTGTTGTGCCCTTATCAGTACCGTTTAGCGCCAAGGATATCAGAAATCATTTTGACCTACCTGAGTTACTCAATATTCGATCGTTCACTGGCCAAAGGCGCAGTTCCAGACATGAAGGCGTGAAAAGTCTTAATTAATTTCATCCATATGGCTCGGCACTCGTTAAAACAATCAACCTAGCAATGGGCCTACTGTATCTCATCGCGAGATTTTAACATGGAGACACCTTTTGTTCTTGCTTGCAGAGAAAGAAACACTAAATTTGTTCAAATATTTTAGAACATAACGCTCCATTTCAGAAAGCAAATTCTGTGATTTTGAGCTACTTCCCCAAGCCCTCCAGGTATTGAAAATCGATGATCTTCAATTCGTTTTGGACCTTCTACACTCAGCAGTGAAGAGAGAAAATGAAAGCCTGGTCAGAATACTCAAATCAAGTCTAATCAATATCAGTTCTAGGCCGGAGGCGTGGAGTGTCATTCACGCCGCAACGGCTCGAGGGAATTTCACGATTGTTCAACTGCTGTTGGACAAACAAACTACCCCCTACCTCGATAGCCAGTCCGAACGCTTCGAATTTTATCCTCTCTATCTGGCCGCGGAAAGAGTAATGAGTATATCACCAAATTACTCATTGACTCGGGAAAGATAGACGCCAAGTCGCTTGACCAGATGGCGAAATCCCACTGCACAAAGCGACCAAGCAATACAATAACAGCATCGGGGCTAGGTCTATTGAAAGATTCCTTTTCTTGGCAAACCCTGGATTAGTCAATGCAATCAATTCTTCGGGTCAAACTGCGTTACACCTGACTGCTCTCATTGGCGGTAGACAAACGGTCGAGCTTCTAGTGCAGTTTGGAGCCCACATTTGGCTGATTGATAACCTAGGATGCACATGCTTGTATTATGCAGCTTTAGGGGGTTATATTGGATTCACTGAATTCCTCCCTCGGCACCACAAATCATTGGTCAACTATCAGGATATCTGTGGAAGAACACCTTGTCACATTGTGGCCATGACTGGATGTTACGATGTATTCTACCAACTGTGGAAAGTGTCGATCGTCAATCTCAAAATACTTGATCAGGATGGTCGGACAGCTCTTTCATATGCACCGCGTCCCTCCTCTGGGTTTCGCTGGACGATGATTCCAGTTATGGAAAATCCAGATGCGCAAAGCGAGCCCGAGCCCTGAATGCTTAATGCAATGATCTAAACAGACTAAAGCTTGCTTCGATATATAGAAACGAACCGAGTCAAAGTCTGAAGTCAGTGCTTCTTAGAGGTATCTCTCTATGATTTGGGTCAAGAGGAAGAGGATGGCATATGTTATGGCTAGTTGTGGTGTAAACCGATGTATTCGTAACATTAACTGGAATAATAGGCACCGGAACTCTGTGTGACCATTCTAATTCGTCATTTCAAAGGCTAAATACAAATCCCATCAATGGGATATTCAATGGTTTCAATGTTCAATTTGTTTATTTTCACAAACTAAGGAGCTGACTGGGACAACATTGGTAGAAATGGACCAAGTATTTGAGTGAGATCAACCAACAGCCAGCGGCAGCTTAACCGACGAGTTGAATGATATTTCCTCTTATTTTGTATTGAAACCTCTAAAAGTGTGTCACAACTTTTCCTTATAATGTAACGACTTCCAGATTTCCCTTTTTCGTGTTCAGCGGGTGCCAACTCAGCCCAGGAGTGACATTGCGATCGCCCCGCATATATGCACGGCCATCACCTATCAGCCAGCCATGATTAGCCAGCCCAAATATGTGCCTAGCATATGTATGGTGTTGTTGTCGGCAAAAATGGCTTCATCGAACTGCACCATGAGTGTCTGAAAAGAATGCAGCTTGACCGTATTTGTTCAGGTAAAATACGGGTGTGGCCATAGATATCGTTAAGTGCTGACTGAGAAATTTGCTTTTACTTGAACACACAAGTACCTTTTTCTATCCCTGCAGTATTGATACCTCACATCTGAAGTGTAATAATGATTCGAAAGCTACAATCGAATGTGGCAAGCTCGTAGCTTGAAATATGATGGAGTAGTTCAGTGCACCGTATGCTTTCATAGGTTGTTGGTCAGATCTCCTGTTGCTTGGACTTCAAAGCGAGTAGAAAGCTGACCCTATAGAAATATTAATAAAAAAATGAATCTGGCTGTATTTATTTCCGCAAATTTTGTTGTATTACGCTGTGCCCAAACGAGAATCCAGTGTCCAATCCCCTCTCCACCTCATGTATCACGGTGTCCAGCAATCCCATGCCTGGTACTTTGAATCCACTGGTGCTGCGAAAATTGGATTGATTTGCTTGGGTCTCTATGATTTTGCATAGCTTCTGCCAGGATTTCTTCGCCCGCTCCGCATGTAAGGCTGGTATTTGGTGATGGCTGTCTGCCAATGAACGCGAGAAAACCTCATGTGCAAGGTATCCTGTCCAACCAAGATCGAGGATGACTCTTAGTATGGCGAGAACAGGTAGAAAGCCACCACGGTCGGGCTCACAAAGAAAAAGCCGACAGTTTCGAGACCAGCTCAGTCGGCTGGGCTGGCTGGCAACAAAGAAAGGGTGGCCTGCGCGGAGTGGCTCGGCAAGACGCTCTCCGTCAGCTATTTGGACGATAAACAGCTTGCTGACATCCAAAGTAGTGGCCATACGAGCTAGCGAAGCGGACAAATCAGCCTCAGCCGTGTCCCCCACGCGACCGTCTTCAGTGGTGGGATCGGCGTAAATGGCGCCGGCAATATTGAACGTATCCAGGGCGAGGCCTAGATTGGGGCGATTAACCGCCTGCACAATTTTCCAAGACTTTTCCCATGTATTGACGTGCGTTCCCCAAGCGAGTGCCTCGTAGGCAAATTTGATGGAATGCTCGTGTTGAGCGCCGCGTGCAGCTAGTTCACGCAGATCTTCGACAATTATGTTAAAGTCGCCGACTGTCTGAGGAAGCTCAGTCGCGGGGTTTTCGGGTAGGAAGTTGGAGGGAACCAAAATGGTGTCTGCGCCGAGGATTTTGAGCGCGTCCATCCATACTGGAAGCACCTCATCTAGGATTTGGTTGCGCTTTTTGCGATCAACCAGACCTTCGTAAAATCGCAAGGGCTGGAGGTTGAGGATAATGATGTTTAACCTGTCACATTGGCGGCGAATCTGATAAGCAGCCGCTAATATACATTCACGAGAAGGGATCAAGGTGCCAGGCTTTGGGCTGATGTCTCTGGCGAGGGCCTCAAGGTCGTCGATGAAGAGTTCAATTGCGTTGATTCCATTTCGTGCGGCCTCATCAATTTTGACAAAGATGCTATGAAAATTGCATGATCCAAGAGAGACTGTCGTGATAGCTGGCTTACACTTCATGTTGAAATATCAAATAGAAAATTAAAATCGGAAAGATTGTCGAATGAATAAGGTCGCAGTCTAGATGACCTGATTTCAGGGGATAACTTATACATATGGTGCAACGACAAGAATGTAAAACTGCCCTCTAAGATAGACCAGTGCATGAACCCGAGGAGATTAGGTAACTATTCGAATCATAGTATGATCTCCCAACAACGTAAGTTCGGTCTTCTGCGGTGGCGCTACAAACTGCCCGTAATGTGGGACGAACATGCAGTGCATAGATTTTGCGCTGGAGGATTATGCAGCTGGCGTCACCCAAAAACAGTGGCGCGCTGAGCTCAGAGACATTGATTGACGTCAGCTAGTGGACGGATGTTCTTTTCATTTTTCATAATTGAAACTTGGCAAAAGCCTCAAAACAAATGCCCCTGTGGATACGTATGTGTGGTGATAATGATGCATACTTCTCAATACAACAACCCTCGTATACCTAGGTTCGTGCCTAGTTATATGCACATGTATGCATGCACACTAGCTGAGCCAGTTTTCTCTGGTTGCCCCTAGCGCAATTGGACATCACAACTGCAGCTCCAGCCAGTCCAAATTAAAATTAGAAACAAAAAAGAAAAACCAATGTTAGTTGCAATGTTACTCATATAAATTCTGTCGTGATTATAAGTAATCAAGTTCCGCCAGCCAAATTACCTCTCCCGATGTTTCTTTTCAAACACATCATATATACCAGACAGAAACAAAAAAAGCCACGTTCTTCAAAGATGTCAACACCGGAGTGGAAGTACTATCCCATCGGTGGAATTCCGGTGAATTCCGAGGACCCATCCCAGTTGGGTCCTGAGGTCGAAGTTCCTATCCGCCAGGAAATCGACTCATGGAGCAATAACCCCGCCAACGAAAAACAAGTCAAGCTATTTGTGATGGCTTTGTCTCGCTTTCAAAAGATCGATCCTCACGACCGGGACTCGTATTTCCAAATTGCTGGAATTCACGGGCAGCCTAATGTGCCGTGGGATGAGCCTGTTGACTCCAAAGACGCGGAAGGGAGAGGCTACTGTACTCACAACAACATCTTGTTTCCAATCTGGCATCGTGCTTATCTAGCACTGTATGAGGTAATTGATCCCTCTTATGGCCTGGGCATTCAAACAAACTAACGGCTTCTCAGCAACGTCTCTACGAAATCATGAGTCAGGAGATTGTGCCAAATTTTGCTGAGGACCAACGTCCCCAGTGGAAGGAAGCAGCCGACCAATGGCGTCTGCCTTTCTGGGATTGGGGTGTGTCCACTTCAGTCCCTGATCTGTGCAAGTACCCTTATACTCTTGTTCCCACCTCAGATGGTACCGGCGAAGAGAACATCAGCAACCCCCTATTCCAATTCCGCATGCCGAACAATCAACCCATGTCCACTGCTGGCATGGATAACTTCAAAGATCCGTGGGTCAAGGATGGAGACATGCTATATGTAAGGTTTTAGTTCCAAAATCACAAGACAATTCTGACCGAGATAGTTCGGTGAATGTATCGGAACAACCCGTTGGCCGGATGTGGGCGAAAATGCCTCCGGTACTCATACATGGAAGTACGGTGTAGTGAACAACTACAAGGTGCAGGAAGCACTGAAGAAGCCGGCCTGGTTGGACGACACTCCTTACGGTCAGCCTGCAGAAATGGTATACCGTCTGCTCACAGTTCCCATGGAGTATCCTACGTTTGCAACCACAGCCCAATTGTCGGACAATCAGGAAGTTCAAAATGACATCAATCTCGAGTATAGTAAGTTTCTTTTATGCTCATCTTCTCCACGCCGATCTGACATTTCCAGTCCACAACAACATTCACGGTTGGGTTGGTGGTGATCTTAACGGACACATGTCCCAGATTCCAGTGGCTACATTCGATCCTATATTTTGGCTCCATCATTGGCAAGTTTATTTCCATATATATATGACTTTTCCGAATGCTAACAAATTTTTAGTAATATCGATCGCATCTTTGCCCTGTGGCAAGCCCTCAACCCTGATAAGTGGTTTGAGAAATCGAAAGTCAACGCATTCTTCCAAGAAACAATTGGCCTTCCTGATGGCACGGAGATTACCCCCAATACAGAGCTGCGCCCATTCCACAAAGATATCGCTGGAACTCTTTTGAAGCCAAAAGATGTTCGCTGGCCTTACAAACTTGGCTATACATACCCAGAGTTGCAGACCTGGAACTACAAGCCTGAAGGCTACGCCTCCGAGACCTTCATCTCAACCCTACGAAAAACCATCAACGAGCTTTACGGTGTATCGAGAAAGCAGCTGATCGATGCCACAAGTAACATCAAAGGAGTGGATTATTTGGCGGATGGTTCCAAGTCCCTCGACTATTCGTTCAGCGTTCGCTATCGCAAATATGCTCTTGATGGTGGTGAGCCCTTCTGGATTCGCATCTACATCTCGCAGGATGGAAAAACACACAACGCAACTTTAGATCTTGTGACTGAGATATACAACTTCAGTCAAAAGCCAGAGGACAAATCAGGAAAGCTCGCATGTGGAAACTGCAAGGACAACAAGAGCAAGAACATCAAGTCTACTGCCAGTATCTCTCTCACTCCAATCTTGATCACTCTTCTCAAGTCAGGCAAGGACTTGGCTAGTCTTGCTAGAGATGACGTTCTGAAGTTCATCCAGGACAGGGCTTACTGGAGGGTATTTAAGGGAGGCAAGGAACTGCCTTCGTACCAGGTGGAGGCCCTCGATCTAGAAATCATTGGAAGCACCAACGACTCAACTGTCTACAATGACCCCACCAAGCCTCCGAAGCTGGAGAATTTCAAGGAAGAGCCTACTATATCCGGAGGACCAGGCGGCGCTCTGAACCCAAGCCTCAAACAGCCCGTGGCAGTTGCACCTCCGGTGGTAGCATTGATTCCCAAGGCCAGTCTAAAGGTCAACTCCTTCTTGCCTTTCAAGCAGGCCCTGAAGGCCGACAGTGTGGTGATCATCGACTCATCCAGCTTGAACCTGACCCCTGCCAAGACCTCAGGCATCGACAACACCCAGATATATCTTAATGAGGGCAAAAACGGAGATGGCGACATCTTGTTATTGCTCTCTATCAGAAGGGCCGAGAACCAAATTGTCTTCAACTCCAAAATTGATAATACTTGGGGGAAAGAAATCCGTATCTCGCTGGAGAGGAGGTTCAAGGGTACAACACCTTCTATCCTCATTCATGACCAGGATGATGGTTATGAAGTATTCATCGATTGGAAGCACGCCCTGTTCTTCCAGAAGCGGGCTCCAGGCAAGGTGGCCCAGTCGGTGTCGTACACTGTGAATGATGGGCAGACACCTGTGTGGTCATCCAATCTGAAGGTGAAGGTTTACGCTTCGATGAAACAAGTGTTCCATCATTAGCCTGCACCATTGGCCTTCAAAGCGATGAATCGTCTTGTTAATTGCGATTTCGGACTTGTAAGAGAGTAATCTATTGTCTTTACCGTTTTTCCGTTCTGAGTGGGTTATTCGAGTAAATGGATGTCGAAGCACTGATGTAATCTTGTCATTCAACTCTGCAACCTCATAGCCAGTGTTCACCAAATGTTTCAAACCCAGAATATGCCTATATAGTTTTGATCAATGAGAGTTGCAGCACATAGGACCATAGGATGTCGAAAACAGGGCTTCCTGTCTAATCTTCCCACTTAAACCACAAACTGAGTACAACCAATTCTGCGCTGAAGAAATCAAAATACAGCGGCCAGCTTAACGAGAAACACACCTGACTGGCCGATATAACACAGGTTCCGCAATTAATAAACAGTCCAATTTATCTTGATTTCATCCAATCTTGTAGATCTTGCTTTGCCTCGTCAGACACATCAAAGTAATCATCATTACAAACATCTTCAGTCAATCTGAGATATTTCTGAAAAAATCCTGGCGTCTGATCGAATCTCCAGGAGACAACTTAATGCAGAAGCATTTGCCTTTGCATATCACACTCAGTGCTGCTGTCTTGTGCTCGGGATGCCGCATGATTTCTTTAAAAGACCAATGGGACGCTTCTTCTAGGTTTTCTGATTGGAAGATCTTGTGGATATCTGAGGGGTTCAAATTTATGCGACAATACGAATAAAGGGATAGTAAAGTGTTGCTTGATTGATTGTAAAACGTGGAGGATGAGGAAGTTGGTGTAGTATACGAGAGGCGAAACTGTGTATGAGTATGTCAAAAGCTATAAAAGTCCAAATGAAAAAGCCCGTGCGACACTTATCTCTCTCCCATCTCTGAGTAGATCGTCCATGGTCACGCTGATTGTGTGCAATGACACGATAGCGGTGTTTCGCGAAATTCATCATTTTGTTCTTCCCATTGTCACCGCGCAAGGGCCCGCCAGGGATGAAGGCTACGATAACACGGTTGGTGATGCTCCAACTCTCCCAAAGGAACTCGCTCTATCTTGAAGCTTCAAATGTGGCAGGATTGATAGAAAATGTCCTTAGTGCTCGGTACTCGGAGAGATTTCCATTCTCAAGATTTATTAATTCCACACAGTTGAAAGAGCTACCTTGTTACATATGTAACTAATACCTGCTCAATCATTTTACCGTCAAATAACATTCTATGCAGCAATAAAATTGTCTCGGATAGTTTGTTCACCCGCTCCGTCCGACCCATGGCATGGTTTCGACTGTGGATCTACTGTGGATCCAGCCGATCTACACACAAAGTCAATCCAGCTACGGAGTACGGAGTACGGAGTAGCTGAGGTAGACCGCACTTGAGCCCTTTCATATTCTGTCGAGTCTCAGTATTCAAATTTCAGAAGAGTTAAACTAGTAACCTCAAAATATAGAACCTTGGAGCCTTGGACCCCATTGTCCTTCACAAAGTAGAGAAAACAGTGATTCATAAGTAACAAACTTCCTATTTGGGACTATTTATGCGCATAGGGCAGGCACGCGGCGAACCGAGGCTCGGCAGACAATGAGTTTGATTCCAGTGAGTTCGATGATTTGATTCTGTCCACGGTGCAACAATCACTCCGACATGGACAGGACAATACAGTATACTCTCCAGAAATTCCAATAATGAGTCTTTGGTAAATAAAGAAGACTCTCTACAGCGTTGCCTAGACCAACATCAGCCTATCCCACCTCTTACTGCTCTTCCCGATGAACAGGACAATTAGATCTTCGATTTCTTATATAGCATACCGCCAGCGATCGTCAATGGCCTTCGCACCGTAAGTTTCTATCGACTCTATGCTCATCTTAACGTGATACTGAATCTTCTATGGATACGTAGACGCTCAAAGGGACCGACCACCCAAGTCAAATTCGGAGATCAGAAGGTCGACGTACTCAAAGGCGGTTACTATGACCGTTACCGCATGAACCCAAACCTGGAGGAGGTATCTCGCGACCCCGCCATTGGACTCGGAATTGACTTCTTTCGGAAGATACCCAAGAAGCTAGTCGATTCGAGGGTCGGTCAGGTATACGCACCCAATTTCTATTATCGCACCAGGAGCGTCCAACTGCTGTTCCTCGCGCCCCTCAATTCCTTGAAGTCTAAGCTTCCAGCACCCTTGGAGCCTATCATGGCGCTGCCCGGTTACGGTTTAGTCGCGTTAACATTTTACTCGTACCTCGTCTGTGACAATGATCCTTACAACGAGGTCTCGATCGCCATCATCGTCCGTCAGCCGGGCAAAGATAGTTACAGCATCACCCAACTACTCACCTCCATATGGAACCAAACTTTCTACGGATATGTGCTGGCTCTACCTGTCGATACCGAGATCGCTCGAGTACGAGGTGTATACGGATACCAATTGCCTAAATGGCTCGCCAAAATCAATCTGGAAATGGACGCTCACAACATTAAGGCCGAGGTCACCGCGACCGATGGGACACACGATTTGGCACTGGACGTACCCCTTCCAGCTTTGAAGACCATCCCGTCGGAATCTTCAATCGGAACCAACAACGCTATCAACAAAATCGACGACAAATGGCACCAGGTGGCAGTGCAAACAAATCCACTCTTGGCGGCGCAATGCATTTTCCCTAGGAACGTCATTCTCTCTCAGGGTGAAGGGCCATTGAGTAAACTCCTGGGTGAATTGGGCATTTCCATCATTCTACGGATGGATGTCCTCAAGGATGCGCAGATGGTGTTGAACATGCCCACACCCTTGAAGGCGTTCGATTAAGGTCAACTATGGGACACCACTATATGTATTCTATGCTCTCTAAACGTTTGAAGGGTTTATGAAACTGGCCTCTCAAAAATTAAAGAAAGAACCTTAGCTTGTCCTCTTTCTCAAGGACGTTTTATCTAAAAACTCGCCTAGCATGGTTCAATCCATGGTCCAAACGATATTTGGCGTTCCGTGGCACAGAAACGATTTACAATTCGCGACATCCACCGTAACTAAGATGACAAATGTACGATAGTTCTCTCATGAACAGAGATATGTTTATAAATTTATTCCAAAGTAAATCAAGGATCGATACAACATCATTATTATGCCAGACTTTACAGGCCGAGCAATGCCCTGCAACTGGCTAAATACGAGCATCAGAGAAGGGCTGCCCAGGCCTGTATTATACCGGCAGTCGCTGTGAGAATTCCGCTCGCCTTCACTCCTCTGCGAAGATACCAACCAGAGCTAGCCCAAGCAATGAGGACAAGCAGGCCAGCCATGGCACGGTTCAGTGGTTCTTCCAAGGCTTTGGGATTTCTTGCCCAATGGAGATTGAGGAGAGCTAGATGTGGACATGTCAAAAAAAGGTTCCTTGTTTCAGAAGAGGGTAAGTTGTACCTGTTAAAATCAAGTAGCCACTGCCTTGATACCATCCGACTGTACTGCATGTGTATGCAAGATTTGGCAGGTCTTGAAACTGGCGGAGGCGCTGGAATTGTTTTCCGGAAGCCTATACAGATAGTGAGATTATGTTCTATTATTGTGTAGCTTTCTCGTTGATATTTCGTTCGACACTTACTGCATGCTTTATGGCAACAAGAAGTGAACCGTATCCGGCAGCCTTTAGGAGAGCAGGGTTTGGCATGTTTATTTTTAAGAAGCACAAGAAATGATTTTCAAAATAGAGGTCAAAACTCTGGAGCAGAACTCTGGAGCAGATGTGAGAAAGTAAAGTCTCTCAAAGATAGATGATATTGATCCTACAGTATCCAGGTCAACTTTAACCTCGGCATGTATCTTCGGCTATAATTATGGTTTGACATCTTCCAGTCATTGTGGAGGCCACACTATACAATGAGCTGCGATCAAGCGGGATTTCGGATGAACAGTTCGTCCTGCTTCGTGACCGGACTCGCAAGGAATATCATTTTTGGTAGTTAGGTACAAGGTACTGATGAAGGTGCCTCGGCGTAATTCTCACCCCCGAATCTCACTCTTGCGAGACCCACTCGGCTGCCGGCCGCACACGCCACACGCCGGGGATTTTCATGGTTGGGTGCATCACCACCATTCAATCCTCACTGTTGAATGGTTTTGCTTTTTGTATAAAAGGAATGGACTACAAATTAATAGTAGTGCTATTGGGAGGTAGCGGACGAAGTCATGGTTCATCAAAATCTGAAAATTAGACCACAAAGCACGATTCAACCATTTCAGCCCCTTTCCGATCGATCCATTGCCCACATCCCATTCTGAGCATCGATGACCAAACCCCAAGCATTGTGCAGTAAATAGCACTCATTTAGCATCCCTACAGCTTCCCGGTCACGCAAGGCAAGAGGTGTAGGTAGCGGGGTGTATTAATTTGTAATCTTTATACAACTCCACTTTGGTAACAAACGTCCCTGGTATTCCATGAAGAAAGTAGGTGTCTGCGAAATCAACTGGCTATTCTTACAAGGAATGGAAGGAATATTCTTTTACAAACTGATTTTGGTGACTCGCCTTGATGCCATCCACAAATAGCATCACGGGACAATAACCTCAACATCATGATATATTTCGTGTCTCCCCCAAATAAAGTTTGGGTACGATCCAAAACAAAATCGAATGGAGTGGTTTCGATGAATTCCCCGCGATTCCTCCACTTCCTGTACCTCGTCATCCATATCTCCACCAAAGCAGAGAAAGGGACGTTCAACACTCGTCAAAATAAAATCCTCACACTTGATGACCGTGGTAACGACCAATAACTAATTTCACCATGTCCTTGTCCATCGGACCCCTAGAATCGTCTGAAATGTCAGAGTACATAAGAATGCAACTCAATGCATTTCCGTCCATGACCGCTCGCATCCTGTATGCACCTTCTCCTGAGACTGCAGAACAGACACGATTCCAGAACCTGGAGCTATTGAAGAACAATCCCGAAGTCTATTTTCAAAAGACTTTCGACCCAGCTACGGGGGATATACTGTCCTGCGCGAAGTGGAAGATTTATCCAAACGGGCGAGAAGAAGCAAAAATGGATTCCCCAAAGCTGGGTTCATCTCAAGAACCTGCAGTAGGATGGGAAGCTGAAGCAAAAAAGACTTTTCACCATTCTCTTTCTCGATATCTGCGGGATTTCATGGGCACTCAGCCTTTCTACCGTATGTTTCCTCCCATGCCTTTAGTAAGAGTCTTGATGGCTAGAAGGAGATTGCTCACGCAGGAATGTTCTAGACTTGGACATGCTCATGACGGATCCTCGATTTTCAAGACGAGGTGCCGCCCAGAAAATTATAGACTGGGGTATTGCCGAAGCAGATAGCAAGCAGCTTCCCATATATCTTGAGAGCAGCTTGATGGCGCGATCCTTGTATGAGCGGAATGGCTTTCAACGCGTCCAAGACTTCACCATGGACCTAGCAAACTATGGTGGAGTTGGAGCCGAGAGAGTCACGATCATGATTCGGATGCCAAAATCTACATAATAAAGTAAGCCCTGAAGACTGTCAACGTTTGAGTGGGAGTGATGAAAACCAAGTGGAAATTTGGGTACGAGGTAACACGAAAGCTACCAGACTGTGTAGACGGAATATGACCGTGTTTTCCAAATGCCACGGACACCATTAGCAGATAAGAACACAAATCGATCACCGCTAATGCTGTCATTTTATCAATCGTTCACAATGCAGGGGCGGTTGTAGTAGCAGGAATGGGAGGCTCGTCGCTTGAGCAGCGAGTGCTATGAAAACCTCCTGTCCAACGACTGGAAGCAAATGATAAAGGGCGTATCTTTTTGTTCTCATTGGCAGAAGCAGTATGGAAAGTGGGTTCTGAGTCTTGAATTGCTGTCAAACACATCTCATTTTCTTAGAAGCTTAAGGCTCTTTTTATGGTGGTTGAGTTGATTGGTGTAGGTAATGAGCTCGGGTGCTTGATGCAGCGTGAAAGACAAGGATTGTTTAATCTTTTCCCACCACTTTATCACGGAGCATAGGTAGTTCTATCAGGTCAGCTTGGCGATTGAATACGATTTCGGTTGCACGAAATAGCAGCACAACTGATATATGAAGAAGGCCAAGAATGCTTTTTGTTCATAGCTAAGTATCACAAGACAATGTCATTCATCACCGATGTTACCCTCTTGAAGCTCTGGAAGAAAGCCCAGGGACAATCTTCCGACGAAGGACAAGAAAGAGAAACGCGTGGATTGCATTGGGCGGTCTCGTAGTCTCTGTATTGGTGGTCAATGAGCAGAAGGCCTTTATGCTGTGCTAGAAAACACATTTAGATTTGAAAGAAACTGCATAGCGTGGTCAGCAATGAGTCTTCCGCTGTTCCTGTTATGCTGCATGGAGCGATAAATACATAAGTCAATGAGTGTGATGGTGCAGAATCGATTATGTATATGAAAGGGATAAACATAGCAAGAAAGGAATATAGGGACGTGAACAAGGTGAATCAGAAGCAGAGCAAGGCGGGATGTGCAACCAGATCCCTACACGGAGTCGTGATCCTGGTAGGTCCAATGTCCTATGTTACCAAATCCAGAGATAAATTGAAAGTTTGTTGTTGGCTTGTAAAAAAAACGAGAGCTTCGTGAGTAGTGGGTTACATTGAACAAAGAACAGGACCAAGAATCCAGAACAGGAGAGGGAATAGATCCTGCATTGCATGCTGCAAGAGGGCGTAGAAAGAGGAAAGTACAATAAAGGCATAGAGAAAGAAAACCACGCTCTATTCCTGTCCAAAGCCAAGCGTTTCCTCCACCGCAATAGACATTTTGTGCTCGAGAGCCTCGTGCGTCTTGTAAGGAGGGAGATCAAGACGGTTGAAGCTGGAGAAATTCATGTTAGCGAATTGAAGATGCAGAGAAAGAACATTAGATACATACCAAGTATGTGACTTTGGCAGCGCCTGAGGATCACCAGACTTCTCGATAGTGAAGCGTCTGGGACCGTCGGAGCCCTGAAGATCCTTGAATCCGTTGACGGGAATACGCGAGGTACCAGTGGTGAACTGAAGAAGACGCGACTTCTGCTCAGCATCCCAAGTGCGGACAATTTTCCAGAAGTTCTGGATGACCTCGTCTTGCTCCTGGTAGCCGCGGTAGTCGGTGTGCTTCTTCCAGTCGTCGACGTCGATGTCGGCAATACCACCGATGAGCAGCTCGAGTTCGCGCTCGTCGAAGACGTTGACAAGATCAGGTGGAATCAGCTCATTGAAGCCGGACATGAAAGCGTTGAACTGCTCCTCAACTCGCTTCATAATTTTCCATTCGGTAACCAACCTGGGAGATCAGTTAGCTTGTGCTCGAGGAAGATCAGGCACGTAGTACTCACTCGATGTATCGCGGCTTGTTCTCATTGGTGACGGCTATATCCCGACCACCGGGTATCAAATCCATAGTGCTACGCTCGCCAAACTTCTCATCATCAACCGAAAATGTAAGTTCCACAATTCCTTCAATGTCATTATCCCTATTGCAATGTTAGTATGAGCAAATTGATTTCAGACACTGAAAATCACTTACAGTGTCCATGCCAAGTTACGGTGTAAATCTTCATCCACACCCTCCATGTCTTGAAGAGTGACCTTCTTCCGCAACATCATCTTGTAGAAAGCTCCAATGAAGAAGGAATCCAGGAAACGACGATGGAAGATAGCCAGACCAACCACTCGGCCGATGAATTTGAAGTAATTGAGATGCTCGGGGTTCACGCCCGAGTGGGGATTAATCTGCAAGGTATAATTATCGTGGGCGGAGTATTCGAAGAGACAGTAGAAAGGATTGAACATTTCGTGGGAGAGGAGGAAAAAGAATTCACTGAGAAAGTTAGCATTGATAAAGCAAAAGGCAATGAATCAAACCATACCGTGAAAGACCACCATAATCGAGACCATCTTCGCCGTCGAACTTGATCATTAAGCGCTTCTTAAGATCGGACGCGCTCTGTCGCATAATCTCTGCGTACGAATCCTCAAAGATGTTGTTACGACGGACCTTGACATGGCACTGCCCAGACATGATGCGCAGCGCGGGTTGAGAGCGGAAGTAGATCAGCTTGCGCCGGAAGTCACGCTTATACTGCGGCACACCCTGATCCAGTGACGAAGGCAGACGAGGATCATCCCATGTGGTCGTCTTTGTATTGTGATCAACGAAATATACCCGGGCAGTGTTCGTGAGACGCATTTCCCAGCCGCTGGGAAGGGGGCCCAATTGGGATACGGGCTGTTGCTGGATAGTGGTGTTGTTGGCGCCTCCAGTAGTCTGACCTTGTCCATACATGCGGATATACTGCTGCCGACGAGGATCAACCCATGTTGTCGTGCGGGTGTTGTGGTCCACAAAGTAGGGCCGTCCCTCCGGTGTCACCCGTCTTTCCCAGCCTGGCGGAAGCTCCCCTGTGCCTGCAGTGGTGGCTCCCGTCGCCATCATAGAAACCGCAGCAGCCGTGGAGCCGACTGGGGCTCCACTTGCGACGGAGGTACCTGCATTGGGCCCAGGAGGCGGCGTAGGTATTTGCTGGGCATCTGGCAGGTTGGGCGAGTTTGCGCCAGTTCGGTCTTCAGGAAGCATTCGACTCTGATGGGCGCGACGTTCGAGCTGCATGTTGGCTTCACGTTGCGTACGCTGAGTTTGCTCATTGTAGTTGGCCGCTGGTCTTGACCAGGTCGTTGTTCGCGTGTTATGGTCCACGTAATAAGTCCGTCCCAGGTTATCCTCTCGCCTTTCCCAGCCTGCAGGGAGTCGGCCCTGGCTATCCTCGAAGGAGCTGAGGTTGGCGCGCGATGGGGCGCCCGGTCCAGGCGGGTTGGTGGGAGCACCGTTCAAAGGAGGGGGGGGGCCAGTCGGGGGAGCAGTCAACGCGTTGCGCTGGTTGAGCGAGGAACTTGATGCCGCAGCGGGGGACACATCAGCATTTCCGGGGCCTAATTGTGACTGTGGAGTCGACGCCGCAACCTGGGGCACAAGTCCACTTGAGGTGGACGTCTGGGGCTGTTGACGCTGGGCGCCATTCTGGTTCGGATGCGGGGCACTAAGGTTAGAAGACAAATTGATGATCAATTTGCCGTGAACTACCAAGTTGTCATTCGACTTTTTCAAGTCCCGGGTAAGCATCTCTACAGAACACAAATTCGTCAGCTGAGTCCACTTTTCACTGCTCGCGATCGGCGTTCTTAGGACGTACCATCACTAGCACCCATCGATAGATCAATGACATCGCCAATCCGAACATTGATAACTCCAAGGAAACCCTGATCCTTCTTCTTGAATTTTTTCTGGTCGAAGATTTGGATCGCCAGAATGCTGTCCTCGTTGACTCTCCTATAGCGAGAAACTCGTTAAAGAACACTCATCTGGTTATCTGACAGGCAAGGTATCACGTACAAGTCGAATGGCTCGTTCCAGTAAGGATTCAGAGTTTTCTTGATGACGGAGGTTGTATGTGTTTGTTCTCCTCCAACAGTAGCCACGGCGAATGGATCGGGGAATCCTAAGAAACAGCGATCAGTCCAACTCTTTCAACCCGCTCGACTCCGCAGTCGAACAACTCATCCTAGAATAGAGACACATACGGAAGACATCGCGTTTGTACAGACCATCAGCCGCGATAACTAGAGGTAGAAATGTCAGCCTCGTGCCGAAGTTGAACCCCGCAGAGTCTCATGTCGACTCAATAAAATGAGTCAAGGCGATCCTTACTCGTGACCCGGAGGTTAGGCTGTCTGTAATGGGGTCAGCGGTGATCTTCATATCGAAATAAGAGTAAATGATATCAGAACAAGCACTTACGCGGGGAGATTTGACGCCATGATGGCTCTTTACCTGCCGATCAATCACGCCCAAAGAATAGCGCGGGCGCGCACATTAAGGGGCAGAAATGCCAAACCGAGTCGCCTAGAGTCAATACTTGGAAAGAGTGGGTGAGAGGTTGATGTGCAAGATGGTGATGTTGGAAGAGGAGAAGGAAGAGAAAGGAAGGGTTAGGCGTTAAGATGCGCCCGGTTGTATGGCGCAGGTACTCGGACTACGTATTCACTATGGACTAGGTACGCGGTCAGTACCTCACGGGGCTGAGCACGGGAGATCGCCTCATTAATGGCCTGGACTTAATTAATTCGCTATATAATTAATTTTCTTTATTATATTATCTTCTTTACTTAGCCACAATTTGTAAGTAGAAAAGAGATGCTATCAAGTTTCTAGGCATACGTAATATTGGAAAGGATTTTGTACGGGTGCGGGCGGGTAGAGTATGAGTGGCAATTTGATGATTGTAAACTAGCTGATTCTCTCTATGTTGTTCAATGTCCAGGCAGCCATATTAAACATCTATAGATTGTTTATTTTATGGTTTTATTGTTAGATGGAATTTCATTTGCATTAGATTATAATTCATTGCCCCATATTATTGATGTTCAGGTACATATGTACCGCAAATGTTTGAGATCTATATCATTTCTACAGCAAAACACAGCCTTGTTCCTAGGCAGTAGCCAAATCCGAGCCCTTTTTTTTTCTTTTTGCTATTTCTCTTTTGATTGCCCGGAAATTATTGTACATCCCAAATCCCATAACTCCAAAGGCAGAGAGAAAATGAGAAGAGGAGCAGATCAAAAGTCCAGATTTCGGACGCCAAACCCGGGACTTTGAGCATCAGCGTTCCTATCACTTCACTAAGACCTTCACCAAGACACCTAGTAGGGTGAGAATCCACGACCGCGGCCACGGTAGCCACCACGGTAGCTACCACCACGAGGAGGGAAACCACGACCACGACCGCCGCGGAATCCACCGCGGCCACGACCACGGTGCATACCGGGCAAGTTAGTGCGCTTGGGGACGACCTATGACATAACGTTAGAAAATTCTCGCGGAAAGTATAAAAGCACTAGAAAAGCATAGGGCATACCTTCAAGTTGCGACCGCGGAACACACTCTCGTTCAACACTAAAGCCTGGGCAACCAGATTTGGCTCCGAGAACTCAACGTAGGCATAACTGCACGCCACATTAGCTTAGAACTTTCTGTACTGCCCTTTGTTCTAAACTCACCCTTTAGGCTGGCCAGAGAACTTGTCCAGCAAGATTGTAACCCGGTTGATCGAACCACAGCTCTGGAAGTGAGCTTGAATCTCCTCCGGGGAAGCACCATAGTCGACATTGCCGACAAAGATACTGCGCGCATCGATGTCTTCTTTATTTTCCTGCAGGTTCTCGGATTGTTGGTCGAGGGTGGCCTGCATCTCGCGAAGCTTGGCAGCCTCCGATTCCATCTCAGCCACTCGACGCTTCATGGCCGCAATTTCTTCCTATATGTTTCAATCATATTAGCGGGGAGTCTCGGCTTGATATAAAAGTATGCGACGCAGGTATGAAAGAGAGAGGCGGGAATTGGAGAACAAAGAGTCCTTTCAGGTGCATCGGGAATTCGGTCACACCTACCTCGTCATCTCCACCTTCTTCCTGGGCTGGAACCTGGTCCGCCTTGATCTCCTCCGGAATCTCCTGGCCTTCGGCAGCCATGTTGTCGGCAAAAAAAAATAAAATGTGTCGTGGGTTGGGGAGTACTCGAAGGGTCGGTGAAAGCGCCGGGAACCGATGAGGGGAGCAATCAAAGCTCTCCGAGGACCACTTTAATGATCGTCCACAATTTGAAAAGGAAAAGGTGGATTTCAAGTGGCGTAGACCTGAGAAATAGTCGAGTAATTTATGTTGGAAACCTGTCAATAGATTCTTTAACAATGAAGTCCAGAGCGAACGGAATTGAAGTTCGCTTTGGGATTATGAGATTCTATTTTAGGTATAGCGTCATTTCCGACTGGGATGGATGGCGTCACCGCCCGGCAATATATCACCTTGCTGAGGGAACTTGCGTACATTTGCTGTTTCTGAACATATGACGTTTGAAAATTCAGTGAAAATTCATCCATCATATTTGTGCTGTGCAGCTTCGCGTGTATACAGGTAGCAAATGGCGCAGATGGAACATCGTCGGCGACAGACAGCCAGTACAACATATGAAGTGTATCATTCCCAATATCAGTGCGCATTTCAGCTTCTATTTAGATGAAAAAGGCTCAGCATGGTGTGCAAGTGGAAAGGACTCGATTTAAGGTATCATGTATCAAATCGAAAACATAACAAAAGACATTAAGTCTGCAAGAAGGCCCAAATGTAAGCAGAACAAAGCACATGATGACGCGGACACCAAGAGAATATATACACGAATGACAGGAAGTAAAAGGAAAGTAGGGAAAAGGCAGTCATGAGAGGTTCAAGGTGCTCACGCAGCTGGAGGGTGGTTTTTGCGGAAAGAGACCTTCTCAACAGCAACGTTCTCCGCACCATTGGCATCGGTCTTGAGCTGATAGACATATAGGACGAGAACATCACCTTGGATCTAATCTGGGTCAGCATATCCAATAACATATTTAATACCCACAATCGCAAGAGAGTAACTCACATCCATCAAGCAGAAACTCGGTGTAGGTTCCTCGCCATCTGCCCAGTAGCCCGAGCTCATAGCACCAGTTGCACTTCCCGGGTTGATGAAGAAGCGACCTTCCATTTCAAATGCCTCAAAACGATGTGTTCCACCCCACAGCAAAACATCAACATCCATCTGGCGGGCCGCAATCAGTAGCGCGTCAGCATCGGCGGGTGGCACGATCGTGTGGCCGTGGGTGAATCCGATCCGTAGGCTGCCATGGTTCACAATTTTGGAGAGGGGGAGATTGGGAGAGTCGACGTCGTAATCGCCCTTGACCATCTGCAGGTCTGGGGCTACATCGCGGAGGAAGTCATATGTCTCGCGATCGGTCAGATTACCCAGGCAAAGGGTTTGACCGATCTTGCCAGGGGTCAAGAGTTTGCGGAACTATCACGGAATGTTAAGATAAGCGGAGAAAAGTGAGGGTGAAATGTGATAGAAAGTTGACGGACCTTGGCTGGTAGATCCTATATGATGGGTTAGCGGAGATAGCGAAGCTGACTTGGGGTTGACTTACGGGAGCTCGATCAGGGATGAACAGGTCGCCAATGACCAATACCAAGCGGGCGGTCATGGTTTAGGATGAAGGTGGGGTAAATGGAGGTCAATGGACCATCGACGATCACGAATAGAGAATCGGAGCCAAAAGGGAAACAAGTCACGGCTGTTTGGCTTCAGCCTGATCTGGAGCTTCGCGGGGAAGAGCCAACTACGCAATGCCCTAAGCCCTGTGTTATATCCGTATGTGGTTAGCGCTATCTGAACAGGAACTAAATGCATCCCGATGCTATTTTACATTCGCATTGGCTCGTTAGGCCGAACGTCTCGTCCGAATACCATTCGGATTGATAATTCCAATCCATGTCATCTACTAATGACTATTTCGAAGGTTTCCTAATTATTTACGGAAGTCGCCGTGAGGAGCTCAGGACTGGTCATACAGCGCAACATTCAGCACATTACATTAGGATCAAATGCAGTAGCAATTGCCGAGAAGACAGCGGCAATTGAATGATTTGCATATATACACTGATGCGAAATTACAGTATACATCCAAAATTAGAGATTTGTATGGATTTATATGTAACCAGGACTTGGGTATAGGTACCTCATGGTATTTCCTTCTACAATAACGAAACTACCTAGGTATGAGGTGTATATATATGTCCAATTGCTCAAAATTATACCCACTGTGATAATTACACCAAACTAAAACGATAAACAATGTAGTTAACTGGTGATTAGCGTATCATACTAAGTGGAATAACCGCAATGTAGAACCACACCTACAGCGTAGGCTATAGACTATCGGTAGGGTCCGCCCGGTGTTCTCTTTTTCCGACGACAAAACGCCCAAGGGAAAAAAAAGGAAAACAATCAAAGTGACCGGAGACAGATTTGCGAATTCATAAATACCCCAGCATTGCTCTCAATAGTTACATCTCGGTATTCTCATCCGAAAGATCAAATAACCATATCTCAATCGGCCTACCATCCGACTAGCCATATCCACCACTCATCGGCGGCAATCCCCGAAAATCACAAGCAAAGTTTCCCTCGGGAACTTCCAGTATCCAATCCCATTCGAATTTACCCCGCGGCTCGCCGCAATCGGAAAGCTGGCTTCCAAATCGACTACGCAGCGTTTGAGCCTGATCTCCAGACACCTGGACCAGCGCCTTCCGTTGCCTGACCTCAATACCCCCTTCTCGACCGAGAGAGACTCGCTTGTACCTGACGACGTCGAATATAAACCCATTGATCGCTCCATTCCCCCTGCCCCTCTCCCCGAACCAACGCCCAACATGTCTTCTCAACCCCCTCACAACACCCTCCTGATCCCAGGACCCATCGAGTTCGACGATGCCGTCCTCCAGTCCATGTCCCATTATGCGTGAGTCACTATACAATCAAAGCTCAATGTCACGCACTAATGTCCCTTTAGTGAGAGCCACGTCGCTCCCGGCTTCGTCAAGGTCTTCGGTGAGACCTTGACTCTCATTCGCAAGCTCTTCCAATCTACCTCCCCAACCGCACAACCTTTCCTTATCGCCGGCAGTGGAACCCTGGGCTGGGATCTCGTCTCTGCCAACCTGATCGAGCGCGGCGAGAACGCTCTCGTCCTCAACACCGGCTACTTCGGCGATTCCTTCGGCCAGTGTCTCGAGACCTACGGCGCCAACGTCACACATCTGAAGACTCCTATCGGTCAGCGCCCCAGCCTGGAACAGATCGAACAAGCCCTCAAGGAGAAGTCATACAAGGTGATCACGCTCACCCACGTTGACACATCAACCGGTGTTTTGTCCGACGTCAAGGGCGTAGCGCAATTGGTGCGCCGCGTCAGCCCCGAGACCCTTGTGATCGTCGACGGTGTCTGCTCCGTCGGATCGGAGGAGATTGCCTTCGACGAGTGGGACCTCGATGCCGTTGTGACCGCCTCCCAGAAGGCCATCGGCTGCCCTCCCGGTCTCAGCATCGTCATGACTTCCGGCCGCGCTATCCAGGCCTCCAAGAACCGCAAGACCCCCGCCGGATCTTACTACGCTTCTATCGCCAACTGGTTGCCCATCATGCAGAACTACGAGAACAACAAGCCCTCTTACTTCGCTACCCCTCCTACCCAGCTCATTCACGCCCTGCACACCACTCTCCTCCAGATCACTGCCGATGTCCCAGGCCGCTTCGCCCAACACGCCCAGGTCTCGGATAAAGTCAAGGCTGCTGTCGCCGAGCTTGGGCTCAAGCAGCTTGCTGCCAATCCTGAGGCCCAGGCTCATGGTATGACTGCCATGTACCTGCCCGATGGTCTGACCCCTCCTGATGTTCTCCCTGGTCTGCTTAAGCGTGGTGTTATCTTTGCAGCTGGCCTGCACAAGGAGATTGCTACTAAGTACATCCGCTTCGGTCACATGGGTGTCAGTATCACTGACCCCAAGCGCAATGATGTTGACAATGCCCTGGCGGCGCTTAAGGAAGCTCTTGCCGAGGCTAAGCAGGCTAAGGGTCTGTAAACTTTGGAATCTGATGTATATAAGACCAATTTGATAGTTCAAAGCAGCTCTGTTGGTTTGGTCTTGAATATAGATACTACAATGAATTATTGACATAGACAATATCCTCTATCGCACCTCGCTTGACTAGCCATCAATAGCCAAAGTATATGCCCCCAACTATGAATTTGTCAGATGCATTGGCGAATTCTGTGAAAGCAAGGGATGAGAACAACCAGTCAACCACATTGTTTCTCAGCCCACATTCTTCAAACCCCAGCAACAGACCTACTGCGAATCACACAAGTTGAGCAAATTAATATGCAGGTACCCGTCCCAAGCATTCACGTTTTAATGAAGTGGAATCCTCCCCATTGGTCGTTTACCCGGACAGACCAAAGCTAGAGAATGTACCCCAGGGCAACCACACTTGATTTGTGGTGTGCATTGACCAGTTGGGTCGGATAGGCCCCCTGACCCTGATGCCTGGCTGATAATTGAGCCTGGTTTCGATGTTTCATATTGAATGAGCAGGATTCAGTATTAAAATATACATGGAGCCTATCCTCGTAGTTCAAGGTCTTGATGAACTAGTACGAATAGAAAATTGCGTACCAATTTGACTTTGTTAAGAGTGGAATGTTGTGTCTTCGACAGATATGTATGCCCACACTGATCTATTCTATATATTGTATTGTATCGCTTGCTCAACTCCGTGCTATTTTTGTCTGTCTTTGTCTGTTCTTCGACTCATACCAAAGACCAAACGAACGATTCAAAATGCATTACTTAAAACCAATGTTTCCTTTTATCTTGGCCGCAGCAACCCTTAGTTCTGCCCAACAAACTGATACCACAACCACCTCCTCGGCAGATAATGCAGTGAATACAAAGTGCGAGGCGGACAAGTAGGTTAATTGCTTCTTCGCTTAGATTGGAAAAGCGATACTAACTTTCCGCTAGCGCTGTAAAGCAATGCGTCCAGTCAATGAAATCAAACCTCGATAAGTGCACATCAGACGACCGGACGTGTCAATGTATCAACAGTGCAAGTGTGGTAGGGTAAGTTTCTTAAAAACACTGTTAATTTATTATGGTTAACTTTGTTAAGCTGCTATAATGACTGCCCAAATGATCCTGCTAGTGCAGGCGCGCAGTCCATACACGAGCGAAATTGCGCGAAGACCAGTAAGGACACGCCGGCATTGACAACATCTATCTCTGTGACGGCATCTACTAGTTCAACCTCTATTTCCGTGGTATCTAGCGAGACTGCGACTGTTAGCCAAGCAGCGACCACGAATGGCAGTTATGATAATGATTCCGATTCTGATGACAATAGCGGATTCAAGGAAGGCCATCCGACCATGTCATTTAGTGGATTGGAATCTAATAATGAATTGAGCGAAAGTGCGAAGGAGGGTGGTGCTTCTAGCTTGGGGTCGTTGAAAGCAAGGAGTTGGATTGGTTTGTTAGGGCTGAGTTTGGGGATTTTTCTTTAATGCCATAGAGTCAATTGAATCTCCGAAGAATAAGGCAGAGGCTCAAGGTAAAATTGTTTGTCTACTTTGTATAATGCTGCAACAATCCAATCTTTACTCAATGTAGTTAGTAGGTGTTTTTGGCATGGCCAATAGACCAATAGACCAGAAGGGGAGAAAAGCGGTGCTTACTGGTGCCAACACACTGAGTGGGGATTAGAAAATCAACTATCTTATTACATACATCTCATGCAAGCACGGCACAAGACAGTGTACTTCAAGACCCCGCCTAGAAAAATTGCGATCCGACCTCGATTTTCGCAACAAAAGTTCGAGACGGGATACCTACATCGTAGGTCGCGGTCACATCAAACCATCTCCGGGAAAGTCTGGTTGGAGACAAGCCTCTCTAATCGAATCCAGTATGGCTGACCCCAATTCGACCGTGTCAGAAGCTTCTAGACCTCGCTCTCAACGGAGATCGTTACTCGACGATAGGCAGAGCGCATCAGGCGAGGATTACTACCATTACCGCCGTGAAGTTCCTCGCGAATTAAACAAAGATTACTACAAGATGGATCCTTATCCTATGACGCCGCGCGCTGCAAGGTTCCAGCAACCAGCCGACGATGTAATTTCATTTTCCAGGCCAATGAACAGTACTGGAGAGGGTCGAGCAAGATTGAGAGCAAGCAAAACTATATCTGACTATGGGGCTTACCCAGAACTCTCGAGCTATGGAAGTTATAATCCTCATGATAATCTCATGTACAATGAACGCCCTTACCTGCCAGTTGGTGCGGGATACGAACCATACTACTGGGTTCCAGCGCCACCGATATATGATCACATTGCACCTGGAGCTAAGACGGAACCAGAGGTGGCTATGAATCAAGTGCAAAGTTACTATAATAGTGGTGAGGATTACGACATTGTCTCAAATGATCCAGAAGACGAAGAATCTGCGGTGCACCATGTGGTTAAACTGAACTTTCCACAATCGACCGATATCAACAACGAAATTACACATCTTTTCAATGCCCGAAAGAGGGCTTTCACAGACCAGCCAACTTTTGGCTATGAAAACAAAATTGAAAAAAAGGAGTACGAAATCGTGCAAACACAACTGCGAATTGCATCGAACGACTTGGATCATGATATTGCGCTCCTTACGTACGAAGACAAGTCTGAAAAAACTGATGCGTCTAGACCCAAGCCTGAGACTCGCTGGATGTATGTGTATCCTTTGTTGAAATTCGCTGCACAGACGTCCCAAGTCTCACAATAACCAGTCACTTCCAAACCGACTCCATGAGCTTAGAGTCATTCAAGGTATGGAGTACTCGGCAAATTTAATTGAAACTTGCTCAAAAGTAGCAGATGGAAGTTCTTAAATCGAATCTCATCCCTGATGATACGACCGCTCTTCTGATGCATTTGTTCAAGCGCTTGCAACAGCACCACGAGGGATCATCCGTCCATGGCAAACATCTCGAGCCCACCGCCTTGGACTTTATTGGAGAAGGCAAAGAAGGCGAGACCAAAAAGTGCTCCGTTGCTTTCATTGCTGTTCCTTACTTAATGCTGGATTCACCTCGCCCTAAGAATGATCCCTTGACATCTCCCTCGGTACATCCGGTGAGAAGCCTATTTCAGTTCCACTACTTATTCGATTCCACCGAGATGCGCGATAAAGACCAAATTGTTCGATCAGCTCTGGAACAAGAAGAAATACTTTATGTCCCGCAGATATGGATGTTATGGATCAATGAAGGTAGATATCCAGCAAAACTGACATGAAGGCCCAAAATTTTAACGTGAAACCCGGCAGACATGATTTTCAGCATGGCTTCAACTGATATACGCAGCTTGGAAAGAGATTACATCGCCTTTGAAAAATTGCCTCACATTGTATCTGTTGCCACACAAACACAGATTCGTGTCATCGACCCTGAAGACAACCAGTATTCCTTGACATTACCTCAGCGCGGAACATGGTTTGTAAGTTTCTTATTGCATCTAAGGATCTGAGGATCTGACATTTTATGAGATTGACAAAGACCACTTTTTCTAGGAATTTATTGGCTTGTTTACTAGGGAGCTTGACTCAACCAGTACAATACGCCAATCCTTTCTCAACGACACTTGGAAAGAGATGTATGAGCTTCGCTTGAATGGAGATGAGCTTGTCTCGGAGACGAATTGGTCCGAAACGCTCAAATCACAGGAGAAGAGCAACACCATCACTATTCGTATTGTGATAAAGCCATCCCAAATATTGAAAGACCACCGAAGCATGCTACAGCATGAGATAACCCTCGACCTTCAAGCACCAGGAGTGGAATTTCCCCTTGATCCAGAAAGCTCGATAAGTTTACCAGATCCATACCGTCATTCTTCCAGATACTCGGAGAGATCGGGGGGCAGCAGGATAGCTGGACGAAGACCACCGCTGAATGATTCTTTACTTCCTGTTCACACCCCCCGCCCGATAGAGAATGGAATTATCTCATACCCTTCGGAAGTGATGCATCCCCCGGAGAGAAGAACAAGCCCACGACGATGGGTACCTGGATACCCTGCACGATCCTCTCGATATGAAGGTTCTGAACCAATACCGCGACTGATTGAGAATGCTTCGTATGGTGGATCATCAATAAACAGGCCATCATACCCTTCGCAAGCATCATATCCTTCACAAGCATCATATCCTTCACAACCGTCATTCCTTTCACAACCATTATACCCTTCACAATCGTCATACACTTCACAAAATCCCAGGACAAGAGAGCCCTCATACCCTGTTAAACTCGCAGACTTTGATACCATGGTACATTCTCAAGGGAGAGTAAGATGGGCTGACCCCGTCGGCAGGCGTCAAGAGAACGGAACTCGTTCAACTTCCACGGACCTTGAGCTACCTAGTGGCTACAGTCGGAGTTTAAAGTCCTCATCTTCTGATCAAAGCTCTACAAAAACTGTGAGACCCGTTTCAGAGAGCAGAGAAGTGCGATATTCGTTTGAGACTGCTCAGCAGATCTCGCTAGATGGGGAGTCTAAAATGCCTGATGAAAGGCTAACTGAAAGGGAAAAGGACACCTCTGCAGTAGACCTAATCGTTGAGACGGCTTCCGACTTCCACAAAGAGCCGATCACATCACCCAGGAAAGAGCCATCTGAGCCTTCTGCATCTCGAACGCATTATCCGTTTTCTGCACCAGCTTCACCTTCATGTGTCAAATCTGCATCCCCAAATGATCATTCGAATGATGATCGGCTGGTTCCTCATCGTGCCACTAAAGCCCTCCAAAGCTATGTTGAGGATGCCAATGATGATGACGACATTTCGTCGATCAACCAAGCTCCTATTGTCAACGAGACTAAGGATCGATCGTTTGCGCCAGATATGGAAATGAATAAACCCACCGATGAAGGTGGGGCAGATTCCATAGCGCTGTTTGGGAGCGATGACGAAAGGCCTAGGAGCAGCTCCAAATCTTCCAATGGATCTAGTCTATCTCCTGCTCCGAGCAGTCTCAATAAAGTCAAAAGTGGTGAATCAAGTGAAGTGAGAAGCGTATCAACGAGTTCTATCTCGAGGTCGGATGTAAATGTTCACAATGAGGTTGACTCTCAAAATCAAGAGCCCGTGGCCCCAGGTGGCATTTCAGTCTACGATTACATGGTTCCACATTTTGCAGACGAGGATATAACACAGATAAATGGCATCTCCGAAGAGATGAATCCCTTCGCTTATCAAGACTACAACGATGCATGGGAATCAGTGGTAAGCATTTAACTCTTGTTCGGTTGGGGCCTCAGAAGCATGGATAACTGATGGATGTTCGTGTCAATCAGGAACGTGTGAAGACCCCTACGATTCGATCCGATATTCCCCCTTTCTGTCCGATCTTCGCTTGGAAGCCCGAGACAGTTGATGGTATCACTCGAACCCCGACAGAAACACACGACTTGGTACCTCAACAATGGAAAGACATGGATCAGGTAATTCATGCGATTTTGCGAGAGCGAGATGCTGATGCAAAAGCCTTCCTTTTTGAAAATGATTTGGAGAACGATCTTGTCTCCGAGCTTGCTGAAAGCTCTAGAAGCGAAGTTTTTGATCAGCTAGGGAGCATTGAAGTCATAATGAGCCAAATGGAGGAGCTGGACATTGAAGAAAATGAGAGATTGAAGTGGGTGTTGAAAAAGGCAGTCATTGCAAGTGCCATTGAGATATTTGATTCATTTCTGCCGTTATATTATCAGAAATTGGATCAGTATTGGGTGACCAGGAAGTTCTGGGGCGCAATTCTGCGAATCGCTGTTAGTGAACAGGTAAGTTGCCACTTGGCACCGCTGGATAGAAAAGCCGGCTACCTTATTCACATTAATACTAGTTTTCAAACTCCTACCTTGAAGATGTAGGGAATGTGTTGTCACATTTTTACAGGTGTATCAGACAGATTCACAACGGAGTGTCGTATGACAAGCGCAAGGAGTCTTCCACATACTATCTTCCAAAAGCTCTTGTCAATGCCTTCAATCCATTGATATTTTACCTATGTGTTTGCAGCCAGCTTGATCGTACAGACTGCCCAGGGTGGCACGCCCTGCGGAGTCGAGCCGTGAGCATAAATGAGTCACTTCTGATCGGCAGACACCAATTGATCTCTATGATTCATGCTGGAGATTATACTGGAGCCAAGGTCTTCCGACGAGTAGACTCACAGGCCATCGTTACCTTTGTGGTTGGTGGAATGATCAAGCCGAGCTCGAGAACCAGCTCGGCGAAAGGCTCAGAGAATGAATTCAATTTGTTGCAGACCTATCGTCAATATCTTTCAGATTTGGTAATGTATCTCCAATATGTTAAAAACTCAATGCTGATTTCAGATTGCTTTAGAGACACGAAGTTCGGCGGGAACCTAGAGCCGAAACGTTTGATCGTATTCAACAGATGAGAGAAGAGCTTTCCATCGTCAACAGTGTCCTCGATCAGCAGATGAAAGTCTTAAAGCAACTGCGGCATGTGTGGACCAGCATCCCAAATCCTGCAAATCAGATCAGCAGTCAGAGTATCTACCAAAGTCGAAGGCAAATCAGACAATTCAAGCGTGACTTAAGCGAGCTTGAAATTTTGGCAGGGAAGACATCAATCCTCGTATGACTTTGATTCTCTGCTTATTCAAGTATATACACACTGACATATACATTCCTAGCTCCGATCATCGATTGAAGTTCGAAAGGAATCCAACAGCCAAGCAATCGTAATATTTACAATCGTGACCGTTATTTTTCTCCCTCTATCCTTCATCACTTCATACTTTGGTATGAACAGCGTTGATATTAGAGATGGCACCTTTGATCAATCTATATTCTGGATTGTTGCCCTTCCAATCACATCTTGCCTTCTCCTTGTGTTGTGGGCCTTGATTGAGCTTAGAAGAAGAATGCGAACCACAGGAAGGAGATTTGGAGGCGGTTTACACACAGCAAGGGGAGTAAAAAGGCTGTGTAAACTGCCGCTGCGAAAGTTTGCATTGTTTTATAATGATATTTTGGATGCGCTGTCTAGAGACCGATCGTCAAAGAGAGAATCCATGCAAACAATTGTATGATACGGATATGGTTAATATAGATTATTGTTCAATTTATAACAAATGTAAACATCCCATCAAAAATCCTAAAAAAAGATCATTTCCAAACAGAAATATTATTTTTAACGAACTCAGCCCAAGTAATAGGCGTGGAGTCGAGAAGATTGAGACTGGGCTCGAGAGGCTCCCCGAGATAGTAGCCTGGATCTTCGACAAACAACTGATTCTCGAGATACTCCTTGGCAACAGCAGGAGGAAAAGAAGCTTCGTACTGCTCAGGAGAAACCTGAATAAACACAGCCTGTTTGCCGGATACCTTGGAAAAGGTTTCCACAATATCCTCAGGAGTGTAATACTTGGCGGCAGCTAGAATCTGCTTGTTGTTCAATTTGTCGCCGTGCTTAAGAGCGGCCTTCACGAAGAGACCTAGTAGTCTGTCTTAGTCATTGTGAAGATAGATGGGGATCCGCAAAGAGATCTTACCGGTATCCTGAACAGCATCAAACAGAGGGAACAGAGCCTGGTTTCCAACAGGGTAGAAGAGTTGGTATGTCCCATCCTCGGCACGGTTGAGCATCTGCGTGAAGTTGCTCATATAATACCCAGGAAGGACAAAGCTACATCCAACCCCCGAAGCCCTAATGTACTTTTCAACATTGGCCTTGCTATCGAAATGCGGAACATGAGTGAGACGGCCCTTGGTCTCTTCGATGACGTGATGGAGTGATGAGAAGATCAAATGGGAAACTCCAACAGCCTTGGAGACATCAGCAACGTTTTTACCCTGGGCATACTCCACGTTGGCATCCATTGTCTCCCAGTAGTTGGTGACAAGGAAAACCGTGTGTGAGCCCTTCAGAGAAACGGTGAGTGACTCGATGGAGCTCAGATCCGCCTAGTTGAATATTAGTGTATATAGATCACCAGTCCTTATACAACCCCAAAGAAGTAGAAAAGGAAAGCAGAAAGGGAAGGTGCAAACCTACCGAGACAACATCGACACCTCGCTTGACCAGATCTTGGGCTGATTTCTTGCTGATGTCGCGAGTGATACCCCGGATCTTGAATTCCCTCGAGAGCTGAGCATCGGCGAGAATCGCATTGATGACGGAGCCTCCCTGGTTGCCGGTGGCACCGAAGATAGTTATCAATTTAGACATGCTGATGGATAACTAGATCAAAGAAGTATTGAGAAGAGGTTGTAAAAGCTATCTTGTCTGTGTTTCGAAAGCATCCAGCAATGCTGAAACCAGGGGCTTTTTATAAGATTCATTTGCATCGAAGGCTCAAGGTGGCCAGAGGCAATGAGCGGTCGCGAAAGAACAGTGTGAATAAGCTCGGCCTCATTTTGTGGTCCGATCGCTGGCTGAACCATATCTATCTCCATCGAAGGGTTCAATTTGAATTCAATTAGTGATGTGAATCGCGTCGGTCTTGTTCGCACCCCGAAAACTGAGGGCTGAATAATGACGTCATACACACAACCTGATACCTCAGGCCACAAGACATTCATGATGCTTACAAACACGGTCACTCGGCCTCGGGGTGGAAGGGGGGTTTGAAATCCTAGGAGTCGGGATTAGGGCCAGCCCCGAAGCCCCATGATGAGAAAAGATTCCCCAGTTAGTGCATACCATATACCATGAGTTTTTGAAGTGCAGCGCTGTTTTCTCAGGTGTAAGTCATCCCTCAACGCGGCTGCTCATGCGGATCCAAGAATGTTATAGACCCAAATTTGTCACCACGTCCCTGAATATGTCCAAAGACGCGACATCAACAGCAGGAAGACTTTCCAGCAAATCATCTGACTGGTCCGCAATCAGAGAATCATCAATTTGCGTTCCATTTGGGTCAATTCGAACAGAAGGTGTCACTTCTGACCCATGCAAGTGATGAGTGCGGGCGGCAGAAGCTCGTTCCATCAGACGTCGAAGTGGCCGCATGAGAAATCCTTCTTTGTGAACACTTGTATCATTCCACCGGTCCCAAATCCGACTCACAGCCACCCACGCGCGATCAGACAGCGATGATTCCGGACGCACGCAGAGTTCCGACAACAAGAAAGCAAACGATTGCCATTGCACGTACCCTTGAAACAGCCATGACCATTTGGTGGTATATTCATTCGTTTCGAGCAGATAAATGAATTCCAGGACCTCGATAGCTGTCAAAATCAGCACTTCGCATCGGTCAGGCCAGACTGAGGGATCAAATCCTACGGCGGTCATCAGGGAGAAATGGGAGACCAGCCATAATTGAGCAAGAGCAATCCGTGCAATCGTCGCTGTTACCCAGTGTATTGGGATGCTGAGATCACAAAATTGGAGATATCGCTGGTCAAGAAGTCGCTTGGAGTTTTCTAGAGCAAGATTGCGATTTTGGAACAAGATGTACAGGCCTTCAACCCCTTGACATGTCATTTGCATCGACTTGCGACGCGAGATCAGGATCTCACAGCGGACCAGGGTGAGCGTCATCTCTGTGAAGCCCGTTCGTTCAATTGGAAAATCAGTCAGGTCAGACGACAAATCGTCATCATTTATGTTCAATGGCAAATGGGTGTCGTAGTCGCCCTCTCGAATCTGAGGGCTCGTTGCTTGGTACTCAGAAGATTGAACATCTAATAGATAGATGTACCACCAGACTCGACGCCGAATCTCTGTTTCATAGGGGCTAAGACTGAAATTGCTCCCGTCGCGGTGCAGTCCTAGCCCAAGGGCGAGCCGCGTAACTACGGCTATCATCGTCCAGACAAAATGAGAGTCTTTCGGGTGACAGGCGCAGGTCAAGAACAATACGGCCGCTTGTAATACAAGCAATTTGTGAGTGTGCAAAAAGCCTGCGCGTGCTAATGCCTGCTCCACCGCAAAACGGTATCGTTTAACCATGACAGCGTGATCTTCTCCTAATCGGGCGAGACATTGTTTTGGCGTCATACTCGATACTGCAGCAAAGTACACCGAGAACATTAATGCCTCAGAGCCCCGATCAAGCTCAGCAGGACTTGTAGATGCAATTTGAATAAGAGCTCTCAAGGCTGACTTGTGAATAATCATAACTATTGGTGCGACGTTTTCTTCAAACACATCCAAAAGTATATGGCTTGTAGTTGAAAGGGGGTGGTAGTCGTGTAGTGAATTAACCAAGGAGTGATAGCCAAATATAAAAGGGCTATGGGTTTCCGAGTACGCTGCAGCCGAACCAGAAGCTAGGGCATCCTCATCTGACGATGATGCCGGTGATGATGGAGATTCAAACACGTCGCGGAGCTCCTTGATCTTTAAAAGCGACGGAGTAAGAATAGGTCAGCAAGCCTTCCCGCATTTGCTTGGGGCTATATAACAGAGAAAGACGAAATTTACCTGATCTCCCAGATCGGTCAGAACCCGGTGATTAACATAGCGACTCGTACCGGTTTTTCTATCAACGACCAGTCGGCCAAACTCTTGTCCCAGTGCATTTTCCGAGGTATTTTCCGTCGCTACCGATGATTTTGAACCCTCGTAAATTTGGTCGCTTCCCTCTTCAGAATCTGCTCCGAGGCTTATAGATGCCTTGGAAAGTGATGTTGAAGCAGAAGTGAGACTGGTCTGCGGGTTTTGGTCGAACGTCGAGTTAGCTTCAGTGTTCGCCACAACATAAGAAGCGCGCTCCGTGCCGAGTCTCTGAACTTCCTGTTCTAAGAGACTCAATCTTAATATTAATTCTGCTTTATTTGTATTTGATTTTGCAGGCTTTTTCCGTGGTTTCCGCCCCGGCGGTGGGAATGTACACTGAAGTCCCAGTCTCACGCAGTTGTCACATGGAGATCGCCTGTTGCATCGAACCTTTCTGCGGTGACAGTCATTGCAGCTGCGATGAACCAAAGCCGATACTCCTTCGCGGAGAGAGTCAGTTGAGGGATTTGGTTGGGACATTAGACATGTGTACAGTAGGAAGTTCGAAGTGTTTGGCCAAAACGAATGTCTGCAATATTTCCCCACATTCTGCATCCAATCGATTGGCGTATGACGTTCAACGCGGTTTCTTTATTAAGATTATCACTTGCATAAATTTCTCTATCTACTCCAATATGTATGCCTGTAGACACTTCGCAAGATTTGTCAAATGCTTTTTTTTCCATTTAATCGATCAATAATCCAAGTAGGCAGGCACAGCGATGAATGTACTATTACGTGGTAACTTGCCTAGAACCAATGAACTCCATCCTCATTCATTTTACCCTGCTGCGCCAACTCCTGCAAGCACTGTACCACCTTTTTGCCTATCTGCTCGCCATATTCAAACCCGATCTTGGGCCTAGGCGCAGTATCCAAGTTTATATCGTGACGTAACCACGGTATGCCGCTTTTCCCAAGACAAGACTTCCGTAGCTGTTCGAAGTCTGTGTCATTATATCCACCTCCCACCACGACTGCTGCGACTTTGCGCTCATACTCTTGAATTCCCGGATCCGCCAATTCCCTGGATGGTGGAAGATCTCCTTGTAGAAGAGGTGGGATGTCTTCAACCCCTGTCTCCACGGATAGAACAATATGAATTACTTTGAGATAACCAATCAGTATACAAAAAGTTTGATATGTCCTATATTGGGCTTACCTTCATATGCTGGTCTGATGGTTTCCTTTACGCCAGTGGCAACAGGAGAAGCTTTGCCGCACAGTATGATGGGGATCTGGTTCATGATGTTGTTTATTGGAATAGACATTACGAAACCCGGTTGTAACTTCAGTGTTGCAATCTTATGAGAATAAAATATACTTGAAAATGAGCTTAACTCCAGGTATTGTTCATTGTTTTAGGTTGAAGCGACAACTGGTGGTCCTTCGCGCTCGGCCTTAATTGCAACGCCGAACCCCGGGGTTTTCGTAAGGATCTAGTCTAAGCACTCCAAGGTTGCCTGCAGCTTTGAAACTAAAACAAACGTAGTAAGCTCTGGGTGCGTGTGCAAGGACTTGGGGCATTGTGGACAAGTCCTGTCCCCAGTCGCCCTTATTATACGCTCCATTATTAATGGATTCATAATTATGCAGACGTGATCATATTGACCAATTGTAGTTACATAAATTCATTTTTCGGGCTAGATCGTTGTTTATCGGGGCTTCGGGCGACCGGGGTTGATCTCAAAGCCGAGCGCCATTGAATGCTTAGTGTACACATCACGATTAGTCATGATTCCAGGATGTATTGGTGTTCGAGCAGGACTATATAAAACTACGTATGTACAATCTTATCCATTTAAATTTGCTTGGTTTGTATCGTGTTTTCATTTTCGCAGTCTAAGAAAGGCAGAAAAACCAAACCCTTTGATTTGATTTTTACACAACATTGTCTCCTTCAATCAACCAGCGCAACAACCATGACCTCACCTTTTGTTGCAGTCGCCGGTGCCACCGGTGGCCTGGGCCAACTGATCGCAATGGCGTTGATCAAACGCGGTGTGGCCGTCAAAGCTCTTGTTCGCCCAAACACCGACCCCTCGCGCACCGAAAAGCTTCGAAGAGCCGGCGCAACCATCGCGCCAGTAGATCTCTCCGCAGTTCCAGCTCTCACCAACGAACTGACCGGAGCAATGTGTGTTGTTTCCTCGCTTCAGGGGTTGAGAGACGTCATCCATACAGCTCAAGGCAATCTCCTTAAGGCGGCTGTAGCCGCCAAGGTTCCCAAATTCATCCCGTCAGACTTCTCGCTCGACTTCACCAAGACAAAGCCGGGGTCTAATCGCAACTTGGATCTACGCCGTGAGTTCCACGCTGAGCTGAAGAAGTCTGGTATTGCATGGACGAGCATTCTCAATGGCGGGTTCTTGGAACTGCTTGTTGGTGACTCGCCGATGGTGAATCACAAGAGTCGTAAGGTTGCGTATATTGGACAGGAGAGTCAGCTGCTTGATTTTACCTCCATGGGAGATACCGCTGCTTACACTGCTGCTGTTGCAGCGGACCCCAAGCCTACGCCCAATTTCCTTCGCATTGCCAGTGCTACTGTTAGTGCAAGGGATATCGCCAATGCTGAGAGTAATGTCGAAGGCGCGCAATACAAGCCTGGCTGGATGGGCCCAGTGTGGTTCATCGAAATCGTCATCCGCGTGATGCGACTTTTCGGTGGTGAGAAGGAGGTTTTCCCTATTTGGCAGGGTATGCAATATATGACCAACATGGCATCTGGGGCCGGCAAACTTAAGCCGCTTGATAATGACCGATACCCCGAGCTGGTTTGGACAACAATGGAGGAGTTCCTCCGGGAGCACAAGAATCATTTATCGAAGAAGTGAACTTCCTGTTGTTTCTATGGCAATCCCTTGTCTATCATACTGTCTTATGTGTATTCACCACATTTGTTAATCTTAATTGAGAGTTTCGTGTGTTCCTTCCTTTTCAAATTGACGGATTTCCAAATTTGTAGAATATACTTGAACTTTATTAGTACTGTTATTCAATTTCCAAGCAATGGCGAATATTTCTTTCTTCACCAACACTCCGAGTATGGTCTCAGATCGACCTTCTGGGTGAAAGAAGTTCTCGGCTGGGTATGCAAAAACCAGTATGATTCCGCGACCTGCATTGAATGCAGCCCCAGTGCTGATGTGGTTGGTTTGTTCCAAAGTTTTAATCGATAACCACCGTCTAAATTCACTATAATTGACGAGGTATAGTAAGAGATTCCATCGGGAAATCGTATGCTATCATGTGCACGAATGCAGCAGAGCTAATATTGGGATAGCCTCTTGCTAATAAGTAGTTCTAGCCCTGGAGACAGTTTAGTTTAGTCTTATCGAGGTGAATATATATATCAAAAATAAGGTTGAGATAGGTATTAGAATAAGCATTGAAAGAGGCATTGTAAGAGACATGACATGAGCAAGTAATTTCCACTGGATAGACCCCCAAAAGTCGTGTTAGCTCACTGCGTTCGCAATAATGATAAGCAAATACAACTTCAAATCTTCCCATTCTTAGCCAAATCCCGCAAAACAGTAATCGTACCCTCCACCGCCATCTTACTCATCCTCTTCTCCTTCTCCAGAAATGCAGCGAGCTCTTCCTTGGAAGCACCAGGGTGTCTCCACTCAAAAGTGTAGGTCATGAAAAGCTCCCCATCGGCGTTTTCACTGACAACATTGGCAATGGTACTACCATCTGGCTGTACAAATACAGCCCTAGAAGGTGCAAATGCCGTGACAGTCTCTTGGACTTTGCGCTGCCCTTCAACGAAGATGACGTCTCGAAGAGTGACTTCGTTCCCCGTGGTGGGGTCAATTGATTCGGAAATCACAGTGGTGGATTGGATCGCATTGGGAACGAAGGTTTCTGCAGATCGGATTTTGAGGCGAAGACCGGCCCAAATTTGGTCTTGCCGGAGCTTCGGGCTTGCGCCGGTGGGGTTGATAGGCGCGGTGAAGGCAACGTTGTTTGCAGGCATGGTTTTGATTTCAATGTTATATTTTGATTTCAAGAGTGGGTTCAATAGTGAAGTGATCGGAGTAAAATGAAATGTAGGGGTTCTTATATTTAGGAGCGTCTGGACGGGAGGTACGTAGTTGTGAGGTCCCGAAGGCCGAAGAGCGAGGTGACAAAGCTCGGCTTTGGCCACAAATCCAAATCTACATGTCTACCTTTCCCGCTGTACCATGGGTGAGCTTCGCCATCAGACCTTAACTTTTATATCGTAAATCGGACTCCGACTACCGCTTTATTTTGTCAGCTTCGGTAATTTTCATAATCAACCTGCAAATACGCGAAAGGGCCTTGCGACCTAAGTATAGAACCATAAGAGAGTAAGTATTTGATTCCATCTAAAGAAGTCGAATTACCAAGTCATACACTATCTATATACACTGCAAATCTACTCTTTCAAAACATGGAACCCATGGCCTTAACAGCCATCATGCAGGCCCAAACTTAAAGAAAGTAGTGATGGTGCTTGAGGAGCTTAGCCTCCCCTACGAAACCAAAGTCCTTGAATTCCCAGAGGTATAAAAGCCCGCCTACGAAAGTGTCAATGCCAAAAAACTGTGAGGAGCAATTCATGTATTCAAGATTGTACTTTCTGAGAATTGAAATGGGTCGGATTGTGAGTGTAATCACTCTTGTGTATTATTTAGATGGGTATCACGGAGATAAATGCAAATCTCTAACATAAATGTCACAAAATGCGGCGAACTGTATTCGGCTGTAAGACCTGTAGGCCATTCGTGTGCTTGATCATTGCTTGAGCCTCTTGCTTTGTCTCTTTGTAGTCACGTCCGCTGTATCTGCTTCGGACTTTCGCTTTTGACTGATTTCGACCGTCGCTGTCTCTTTCTTTGGCGGTTCAAGTGGTTCAATAATTGCTGACTCTTGAGATATGGTCTCCAACCCTTGACCAGCAAAACCCGATAGAGCAATATTTCGAATCACATAAGCAACCTTTTCAATATCAGCAAGCGAGACAGGCTCACGGTTGCTTGCTTGAGCCTTTGTGTCATCGGCATTCAATCTTGCTCTCAGCTTTTGCACAGCATTCCACAGATCACGATACTCATTCACGTTATATTTGGCAATGAGTTCCCCATTAGGCTTCTTATTTGTCGACGGCTTCTCTTCCTCATCTGCAGATTGGCGGAAATCATTTAAAACCAGCCATAGGTACACGTCGTCGCTGTAGAAGGGGACTTGCATATTGGCATCACCGAAGATTGTGCCGATAGATAAAATCAAGGATGCGGTGGCTGGACCAACGCCACGCAGCGGAGATGTGAGAGCGTCCAGGCTGGACTTGGGGAAAGCCTCAGCCGGCGCGGATATGGGATCTGCGTCAGGCAGCACAGCAAATGCAGTAGATGTGGATTGGGTGACGGTCTTGTCAGGATTGCTTTTCACCATTCCCATAAGAGCTGGGCGGAACACCCCGTGTTTCCTGTGATGATTCGTTTAGTGGTGTTCAAAGTATAGAGTGTCAAAGTAATCGCTCACATCTTCCAATCCATGATATCAACAAGCTCCTCCTTGAGCAGGTAGCCCCGATCTGTCTCATTCCCTTCCTTTTCACCAGCGCAAGCTTTGCGTTCTGCGACAATATTTGGCAGAGTCTCATAGCGCCAACGATCAAGTTCAAGGAACTTGTCCGTCTGCTCGCGGATCTGCTTCTCCTCCGAGTCATTAAATTCCGTCTTCGTTATCACGGGCGCGCCTGCCTTTTCCTTCGATCCCTTCGCTGGTTTCGGCTGAAGCTTCAATGTCACTTTACGGCGATGTACTTGCGATACGGTTGCTTCGTAAATGGACAATAGGTGGTGGAATGTTTCAAGGGTGATTCGGTGCGGGCTGAATGATGGCGCGGTTTCGTCCTCCTTTGTTTGAGCTCGGGGTTGGTCAAGGCGCGCCTCGCCTAATGGTTTACTTCCTTTTCTGACCATGGTTGAGACGAGTCACTTGACAATGCGCTTTGGTAGGTTGCTGTAGGCATCGGAATCGTGACATTGTGACAGATGACTGAAGAATGTCATGTGACTATCGGTGAAGTGAGCTTCCATTGTCGAGACCATTTCAGCCCTTATTTATCCGCTAGGCCAAAAAGGCGCAACCTTTTCGGCAAAGCCAAGTAGGGTCAATTATGGGGGTCTCGGCCCCATCTTTCTATTTTGACACTCGCTGTTAAACAGCGCTCCCTCCACTCACTCAATTTCATACCAAGCAAAGCTACATCGTTGTTTTGGGAATTTACCTCAATATTAACCACAATAGGAGCATTGCAAAAGGTTATAGCATTTTCCTGTTGTATGCACAGTTCAAATAAGGAAGATAGCACCTCCTCATAACTATATGGCATGTTTATCAAACGATTTCAACTAGATGTTCGATCTAGACCCAAATTCCCCCTCTTAAGTTCTGAAGAGGTTGCCCGTAACACATTTAGAACGACCATTGTTCATATCATACCGGAGCTAGTGACACGAACGTATAAATCCGGTAGTGTCCATACAAATCCGGACTTGGCAGCCTGTTCCCACTCTATCGGATCGTTTATCATCTCCAGATCATAGAGCCAAATCATTTTGGCAAGGGTGAGGCGAGCCGTTTGAAGGGCCATCAGACGGCCGGGACATGCCCGCGGTCCAGACGAGAAGGCACGGAAAGCACGAAAGTTGTCGGTCGATTGTTTGTCAATCCACCTCTCTGGTCGAAATGACTCGGGATGCTCCCAGTAGAGGGGCGATCGGTGCATTGAGAAATTATCAGCGGAGACCGCAACCTAGATAGAGTTAGTGCTTAGTCCAAAAAGATACCATTTCTAGTTAATGACCTACGCCTTTTGGCACATAGACACCATCAATTGTAGTACCACAAGAGACTCGCTGCATTACTTTACCATTGACAGGCGGCATCAGTCTTAAGCTTTCATTGATGCATGCGTTCAGGTATGGAAGCGAGATAAGCTTTTGATCCGAAATTTCGCCTCGTGTTTGGAAGTTGGACTTGAGCTCTTCCCGAACTGCTCTAAAAGCAGCGGGATCTCGCAGTAGGAAATAGAAGGCATTATTGACTGTGGTTTTTGATGTTTCGTATCCCGCGCCACTATGACTAGATTAGTGGCTCTAGGCCATTTTTGCTTCATGTAGCTGAGGCAACAGTGCTCTTGAAGGGGCACTTACGCTAACATGACAATGTTTGCTTTTACCTCGGAAGGTGTTAATCGCAAATCCGTTATCGTCCCAGAAGTGAGACGGTCCTTGAAGTTGGAATGGGCACTCTCTGCTTCCCAGGTATTATCCCTTGTAGCATCGATGAAATGCGAGGCTTGGAGAAGGGTCATTCCTTTCATACCTGGCCATTCAGCGATACCCGCAATGGCACGTACAATCTTTTGAAACAGAGATCTTCCTAGAATATAAGAGCAACATTCAATGACAATTGACCCCAGTGGCATCATTACTTTCATTTTGTCAAGTTGAACTGTTTTCACATTAGTCTTGATTCCTTTTTATGAGATAGACCCGGAGACATGGATCTGATACCTTTGGCCCTTTCTGGGAGCTCATGCCCAAGTACAACGCCTCCAGCGAGGTCCCAAAGCAATACATCCAAGTAGGAACTGAGATTGAAGGACACTTCCTCGCCGGTCAAGCTAGGTAGATGGATAGGGTGCTTATTGAAGATATCATTGTGAACGCTCTCCTGAGGCCCCCTGACCATCTCGTCGAAAATAGGACGAAGATCTGTTCTAACCTCTTTATGATTTTGTTTATTGAATTGTGATATCATTGGTTGGGTAATTTCCGTCACCAGAGATATAAACAAGCCTTGGAGTGAGCCTGACTTGGTAGTGTTCCTATCGGAAAGAGGCCCGTAAATCGTGTTGAAGGCACTGATTGTTGCAAAGGATATTTCGCTAGGTCCTAACCGTACAATGGAACCTTCAAAGATTAGTACTAAAATACTACTGGTGTGAATTGGACTTTGCACTTACCATGCTTTTTATGAAGCTCTTCGGTACTCTGAGACATGCGTCCCGTCCATAGTTTCCAAATTACCCATAGCTAAGTATGTCTGATCAGAAAGTCGGCAATTCGGTACTGGGTGAATTCTTGAGCTTACCGGTTGGAGAGCGACGAGCTTAGGTCCCGGAATTCGGGAAAGTCGTTGAAAACAGCAACGGTGGACGGCGATGAACACCGCAACGAGGATGCAGCAAATCTAGTAAGATTGGAGACAAGATTAGCTAGGACTGGGCCTTCATATGACCATAAATACAGCAAGAACTTCTCACAACTGTAGACAGCATATCTATTGCACGGCAATGCAGAGTAGACGTGGAATGTTCTACGGTCTTAATAAAGGCGAGCGGAGCGGAAACATCTTGAAACAATTATTGCGCAATATCAAGAGCAGAAAGGATGTCTTGGGCTAAGTAGGAATGTAATATCTTACATGCAGCTGCAGCTGCATAGAACTAGCGATATTTCCTTGGGAAATGAGAGTACGTATGCATTGCATCTAATACAACCAACACCCAGGTTCATCTGCAGATACAATGTCTCTTTGCTTTTTCTATCGTTTCCCACCACAAATAACTCTCCTCTATTATACTCTACGGCTTCCTAAGGCAAAAGGCGAGATAATGAAAATATGTTCAATCATCGGCCACATTCACGGCAAAGTGGCCGCTGCTTATGCAGCCGGTCCTCACCTCAAGATATCAATCGTCAAAGTCATTACACCGTAATAGAGCAACTTTAGATGCTACCAAAATTGCTTACTATCTACTGAGATAAGACACACCTGAAGGTGCCGTTGGTGAATTAATGTTTCTTTTCCGTCATCTCACCCATTTGATGGGATATTTGGGGGATTTTTTATGCCTCTGCAGATAAGCTGAATGCCTTATTCAGAGGGCCAGGTTTGAGATCTGATTGTTAGACTCAAAGTAGAGCTCAAAGCGTGACGAGCTAATGGGGGCTGTGTGTTCTCGCATCCGCTTCAGACGCTGTCTCCATTTGTTATCAATCAAACCGGTACAATGTAGCTTGTAGCTCTGTTTGCTGAAGTATTTGCAAGTTCAGGCAGTAGTGGACATACTTCACGAAGGCCATATGACTCATTTTGGTCATGGTCAGGTTGATCTTGATTGTCGCTTTGGACTTGCAATATCGAACGCTTACAGCGGATATGAATCCACGTGTATTACTCCCGCGAACGACATCAGCTACATATGTAATAAGCACAAAGATGCGCGAATCATCACAATAATCAATCTAGTCTCCCATCTCATGCACTACTTGACCAGTCAAAACGCGGCGGACAGCCCATCATTTCTGATAATCGATTTCCTTTTCTGTCTCCGGTCTTGGTGTTCAAATGGAGCCGAATTTTTTTGTAAGTCGTTCTTTTATGTTCTTTGGTTCTGCAGCTGCAAGCATGTGGGCTAATCGATGTTCAGCCCGGGTGCCTCGGAAGCCCTTTTTGTGGCCAGCTACTCTCTACGTCAAATTTCCAAACCCGAAAATGGCAAAAGAGCAACGTCTGAAAATGCACCTCCACTTGTGATGAAGCTATTATTGACATTGTGTTGCATTTGACAATTTTCCATCTGCTCGTGCTGGTGCCAGATAACAAGAACGTATCTGACTGGTTGGCAAATAAGTTTCAAGGTATAAAGAGATGCCCTGACCTGTTGTCACCCTTAATTAAGCTCATTCAACCACATCCTAGGAGAAGAGGCGCATCAATATTGGATGATGAAGTTTTCACACTCTGATCTTCTAGATCCCCAAGTGGTCGCCCATACTTGCCCTACCCACCTTGCTGTGCGTAAAGGCAAATACGACTTCATCGCAACCAAAGCCACTGAAGAATTCCTTAAGCAATGGGAAGACATAGGTGGAAAATTTGAAGGTGGTTGCTTATCTTCCAATGGTTCAATTATGACTTTCGGGCTACCCGAGTGTAAACCTGAGAGATTGCCTATCTTAACAAAACTGACTGAGTTTCTCTTTGTTGTGGATGGTATGTTCTTCCGCTTCTCCTAATATGTCCAATTGACTGTTCTATGACTAAAACAATGTCCATTAGATGTTTTCTCAAGCAGAAAATTGGAGAAAGTATGTACTTCCATTCTGAGCCTATGATCAATTTCCTTATTTTCCTAGTCTTTTTCGACAAGATCCCCAGAGTCAGAAGCATTTCTGGCTAAGAATTCAGCTATAGCAGCGAGCGACAGTCATCACCTGAAGACAACCGAAAAGCAGCTTTACGCTCAAATGCTTGTCGAACTTATTAGAATTGATCCTACGCGAGGAGCGTTGATCATTGAAGCACTGGACCAATATCGATCATGGATTGGGACACGACGAGCAGATGAAATCCAGTCATGGGATGAATGGTACCAATACAGATGGGAAGACGGCGCCTGCCAGTGAGTTATCGTCCAATCTTGAAGAAAAATGATTACTGAATCTTGAAGTCTTTATCTGGCCATTATCATCTTTGCCTGTGAGCTTAATTTGACTCAGGCTGATCTGAAAACCGTTGAGCATATCACTTGGCCTGGCATGGTTGTTACAGCCCTAAGCAATGATATTTACAGCTTTGATAGAGAGGCTTCACTAGAGCTCCAGACGGGTGGTAACATAAACAACGCTGTTTGGCGATTGATGACTGAGCTTGATGTCACGGCTGGTGAGGCCAAGGATCTGCTTCTGCGTGACAAAATGCGCCCACTCGAAACAGAATTCTTGAACAAAAAGAACACATATCTGGCGGAAAATGAAAACCAGCCATCGGATCTGACCTATTTTGTTGAACTGGTAGAGCTCATGGTATCGGGGAATTGGTACTGGGGGGTTTCAGCTTCTCGATATCTGAACTGGAGAGAGAATGTCTATCGCTTTGGAGACGTGAATGCTGCTGATCTTGAGTTTTATCACATTGATGAGACGAAGGCAAAGTGTTCAGACTACCTCAATCTAGCATCATTGAGAATTGAGGTTTCAAAGAAGACACAGCTACTTATTCTGGACAGCGACGTGTCTAAGAATGACCAAATTGTTCCTGAAAAGCCACTAACAAAAGCCGTGAGTCATTCCTTCGCCAATAACCCTAAGAAAAACCAAAGCTCACTATCTGTGGAAAGATACTTCTCGGACCGATTGAGTATATCCAAGGACTTCCATCTAAGAATGTCCGGGGCATTCTTATTGAAGCGTTGGCGTCTTGGTTCACAATCCCCCAGGGGGTGGTTGACCGCATAGAAAAGATTGTCTCATCTTTACACCATGCATCGCTATTGCTTGACGATATCGAAGATCAATCCCCTCTCCGTCGGGGAAAGCCATCGGCTTATCGCATATTTGGAACATCTCAAACCATCAACTCAGCAAATTACCTTTATGTCACAGCCGTGGAGGAGTTATTACAGTTGCCCGCTGATGATTCTCATCGAGCCTTTCTTGGTACGTTCTCGTAATCAGAGCTGACAAGCCACAGCCTATATACTCACATTTTCACTAGAGGAAATGAACAACCTTCACATCGGACAAAGCTACGATATCCATTGGGCGCGTAGCTACAAATGTCCTTCGATCGCCGAATACATGGAAATGATTCAATATAGTGAGTAAGAGAGAATGGTTTTTAATCGCACACGCTGATGGATATTGAATTAGAAACCGGCGGACTATTCTGTATGCTGGGTCGCTTGATTTATACACAAGCAAAGGAGCCAAGGTATATCCATATATATGATATCTGTCCGTTAAGATTGAGACTATCATTAACTATTAATGTTACAGAAAAATTGGAATTGACGACTTGAACAACTTTTTGATTCTTATGGGACAATATTTCCAAATTCGTGACGACTACATCAATCTTACTTCTAAGGCCGTGTGTGATAGCAGTCCATTTTTTTCGATTGAAAAGCTAACGGGCTTATAGTACAAAGATGAAAAAGGATTTGCAGAAGACCTTGATGAAGGCAAGCTTTCGTTCCCTCTGATACATCTTTTGAATCATTCGCCTGATCGCCTCCTGATTGAAAACATTCTCCACGAACGGTCCAAAGACGGAAGGATGTCGAATGAAGTCAAGGAGCTCATTTTGGAAAAGATGAACCAGGCCAAGAGCCTCGAGTTTACGAAGAAGACTCTCGCGTCTCTAGGGTCTCAGGCAAAGAGCGCCCTGGTCAAGCTCGAGGAACAATCGGGAGCAAGCAATTTTATGATGCAGTATTTGATTGAGCGACTGGGCGTTGCTTGAAACGTTCATTTGCATTATGGCTATGCGTTTTACTTGAAATAATTTCGGGTCTTTTTATAAACCTTATGTCAAACATTAAAATGAACAATTTGAACAACCTTCTGCAAATCTGTTCATTCGTACGGGGTAGAGATCGACGAAATTCAAAACAGGAGGAGACAAGTTGATTACCATGGGCACAAGACATATATCCATCACATACAGTTATATAGTATGTAGTGGAGCAAGTATCACAGACCTTCATTTTCAGACACCTTAATTCGATTTCTACTTCGATCCCTTGATGACCCATAAATCGGAGGAAGATCCGGATGCAATTTCACATCAACAAATGGGGTCATCTCCCAACCATGTATACGATGCCACTGTTTCAAACCAAGCATGACGTCCTCGTCCTGCTTAGGGCATTGATAGAGCTTCCACTTTTCCATATCATCAGAAGTCATCCTCCCCAGATGAAGTGAATAAACAGGAAGTGGTATGTCTTGCTTATGTGCGTGCTTAAAATTGTACGCGTGGTCATTGATTTCGATGATTGCCTGTGAATTGTTGCACTGCGTGTGTATGGCAATTGAGCCTCATCCGATTAGAGCCTAAACTTCAAGGGGCATTGCTGCAAACACACATGAAGTTACGAAGCTCTATCCAATTGTGACTTTTGAATTGATTATACATCAAATACATTAAATAGATCAACCCCTTACCTATGAAATTTAGTTTTCTACCATTTCGCCAATAGTATAGACCTTGGAAAGTAGATGCGCTAGTTCGAAACTGGAGTTCTCCCGTTCATTTTTCTTTTGGCTATGCATGTTGCCTCGGCTTTGCTTGGCCTGATGAGCTAGACGGTGTGTAGATTATATTTGCATGTGGAATACCCTCGATAGGTTGCCTGCCTTGATACTAGGGAGGGTATGAAGGCTCATAGTTATACCTCAAGTCTAGATTATTGATCTACTTTGGCATGCAACTTACATATGTACTTTGTATCAGCTCTGGAGAGAAACCTGTATAGCAAGTATTTTTGAAGTAAAGTCTATGCCAAACCAGTCGCATTTTTTTTTTTCAATCTCATCGCTATGTACATGGCCGTTAAGTCTTCATTAAAAGCAGATATCAAGATACAAGAGAGACGCATGCATCACAAAGAATAATAAAGGTAGGGAAGTCGTATCACATCATCATCTGATCCATAAATCGGCATCGTCAAGATAGCCATATTGGAGTCGATTTTCGACATGATGGACAAAGGAAAAAAGTTGAGATGTGTGGAACATCCAACAAGGGTGAGGGGAGATAAAAGTAGCATCAACGTATCTTGGGGCGTGGGCCCAACTTGACAGTCTCTAAATCAGGGCTTGCGTTCCGCAGCGCGTTTTGCCTGATCCGGGTGGACATAACCAACACGGTCTTCGTCGAAAGGCATGGAGGAGATCTTCTTCGAGCGGGAGCGCTTCAAGGTCTGGACAGGGGGTCCGTGGTTGGGCGCAGGATTCGCGAGAGATGGGCCAGGCTTGGCTTCTGTGGTAGTTGGTGCCGCGGCACGCTCGTCATCTTCGACTTCAATGTGGCGAAACTCTTGCTCCTCTTCGTCTGCGTGCGAAGGCGGGGGAGTGTCGGAATCAGACGCGGCCTCGTAGTCGTCCTCGTCATCACTGACCAAGCTGGGGGCTTGATTGGACTCGATCGCGTGAGGACTGAGGTTGACATGGTCCAGGTCTGAGCGAGACTCCATGGACTGGGCTTGGCCGGCGAGAGTGATGTCCAAGAAGGTCTGGGGTCGCGAAGGGGTGGCTTGGTCCATTGGAACATGGGCGCGTTCGAGGGCCTTTCGGCTCTCGGGCTCGGCGGTTTGTCCAACGGGCATGCGCATTGGCTGGCGACCAGCGCGGGCACCGAGGTCCTGGGTTTGTGTTGGTCGGCTGTCGTCGGAGTCGCAGTCCTCATCAGAGAGGGCGCCAAGATCCACGGGCTGCTGAAATTCCTGCACCAACTTGCTCATGTCGAGACCGGCGCCTCGAGATTTCATGAGGGCAGACAAGTGAGGAGTGGCAGGGGAGGCCAGGAAGCTGGGGTTCGGAGGTAGTCTGACAGGAGCAGCTTGTCGGCGAGTCGGGTCAGTGGCGGGAGGAGTAGCAACAGCGGAGGCGTTAGCCGCGATGGGCTTAGAAGGAGTAACAACGTCTTTAGCGGGTGTTGGGAGAGCTTTTGAAGGGGTAGCAAGGTTCGAGCGAATCAGAGGGTGAACGTATCCCGGAGTCATAGGGTTAGCAGTAGGCTCAGCAGAACCACCGACCACAACTCCCGCGTCGTCCACCTCAACAGATTGACCACACGCCACAGCGGCAGCGTCATGACTAGCAAAGTTGCGGTTGTGCGCAATGCGACAATGATTTATAAAACCTTGAGTACTGGAGAAGTTGTCCCGTCGACAGTCCAGACAAACCAACTTCACCAACACACCATCTGACTTGCGTCGGATGAGCATCGGCCCAGACTTTTCCTTGACCACGGGATACCCAGCCGGGAGCGCAGTATGCTTTGCACCAGTTGAGCCACGCTGAGGGCGCGACTTTCCAGCAAACATACTCAGGTCCCCTGGATTCCCACGCGTCGAGCGACCCTCCGGAAGAGTTCCAGCCAACATCCCAGAGTCCTCGCCATCGAAGCGCGGGTCCTGAATCAACCACCGAGCGTAGTGTCGCGCGTACGGTCCGTCAGTTATTCCCCACGGCGCAGGCGACACTGCCGGACCATTTCCAGGTGCCAACAGTGAGGCGCCAGTGCCGGAGCTCACATCCGCGGACAAGCCGGCGACGTGAGAGCCCGGGTAAGGGATTTCGCCACAGCGTCGCAGCTGTTCCAGAGCGACCTGACACTTGGCGATCTCCTGGTCTATGAGACGGAGTTCATTGTGCTTCAGAAGCACTTCCAAGCTCAGTTGGGCTGAAATCGTTTCCCGAAGTCGGGAGATACTGGGAGCGGCGACGGCGACCTGCGCCGATGGACGCGATGCGACCGGAGAATTTGAGGTCTGTGAAGGAATAGAGTCGGTCGAGATCACTGAGGGTAGACGCGTTGACTCGGTGCACAGTTTTGTCGGGGCGGGTGCATCGGTGGCGGAATCAGAACGTTTGCGCTTCACAGGGATTGACAAGGAGTTCAAGGTGCCTGGTGCTAGCATCTTGACTTCCTCAATCATTTTATTCCCTCCTATTGAAGAAGGCCAAGGAACGAGCCTGAACATGCCATGAGAGTGCATATGGTATTAGGTCGATGGTCCATGCGTTTCAAGATATTACTAAAAAGGAATGGACGTCGACTTGCGACCGATGATTACGGTTTGGCGGGTTAATTGGGGGTGTAAAAATCTATTAATAAGGGCTTGAGTGGTTTTTGAAAAAAGAAAAAGAGAAGAAGGAAAAAAAAAGAAAAAGGTGTACACAAAGAATCCTAAAGATTATTGAAAAAGAAGAAAGGGGAAGAAAGGGGGAAATACCAAGAAACAGAAAAGAGAAACAATGGGAAACACTTCTTCGTTTTGCTGGGATGATCCAAAGTGGAGTAATGTGATGTGATGTGATACTTGTTGATCTGCTACTAATTATACGTTCTGGCTAAGTACCGATTTTCCCCCCTAATCGTAAACTATTGGATCAATCTCTTTACAATTGAACGACACGTCATACACTTTTTGATTATTATTATCATATTCTCACCCTGGGCATATTTGTACCATAGATCATACACAATTGATCTACTATTTTTTATGAGTAAATATTTACATATCATACACTAAAACACTAATTGTTTAGAAAATAAGATCTATTATCAAACGCTGTGCTATTCACGGACAATATCATATTGTTTGTCATTTGTACATGAATGTATTTTTTATTTTTATCTTTCTATTGACATTGATACAATCAGGCTTTAAGGTACAAGTGTCCTATTCGGATGTATGCGGCTACCCTTTACCAAAATCTACCCAACGAAGGCAAACCAGTCTACCGGATCTTATTCGTTAGTCCATCGCCAAGAATCTTAGTCTAGGCCCCTAGGTAAGCCAAATCCAGTTGTGTACGCGATCTATCAAGTGGCGGGAAATATCTAGCAAATCAAAATGACATCTAAGGGGGCGATAAACAGGATTACATAGGATATCCAAGTGAGCTGCTGCGCCTCAACGGGGTATTTATTTGTACAACTAAAACATGATTTGGTCAACTTGTGGCTAATGGAAAGTCGTGGAACGTCGTCGAAACAAATCGGGAAAATCGGACAATGCCGCTTCCCCAGGTTCTCACATGCCGAACTATAAGCCACGGTATTCAACACCTCTTTCGTAGTATTGTCCATTCTACAATATCATATGCTTTCACTCATCTCAGTCTCCAAGGCTACAGCTTCATTTAAGTAATCTCTTGCTCGGACATCCCGATCTATCCCTCGGGGTATTTCCCCCGAAATCAACAGCCTCTGGCATCTCCGAGCAAATTAGCACATGATTAACCTAACCTCCAAGTAGCCTCCCCACTTCCCTCATCCACTCATAACTCCTCGTTAACGTTATCCGCTAACCCGGCTCCATAATCCCTGACTATCCTCACTATCCTGGGGTAACCGACGGACAAATAGGCGAATTAGCGGTTCCTGGCACTCTTGGCTGTGCCGTGCCAATGCCGGCCTGCATATAACGGCTCACCCAAAATGGAGCTCCACCATCTCGATCTAACGCTTCCAAGCATTTGGTCCCGAGATCAACATCTACCATTGTAGTATATCACTCTGGGATATCCGAGTCTCCCACGTTTTCCCACGTTTTCCCACTTCTGCACTCCACATTTGCGGGGATGAGAAGGGTTCATGTCAACTTTGTAGCGATGCACGGGTGGGAAAGCCGGCTCTTCGTCTGAGGTCATGGTCGAGATATTGGAGTATATAAAGGACCGTTGGATGTCGAGAATTGAAGATCCACATTCCATTCCCAATTGCAAATTCCAGCCCGTTGCTCCTCCCTCCATACGCCATGCGTGCCATACTCCCAACCCTGGCTGCTCTCTTCATCCAACAAACAGTAGCTTCACCACACCAGCTAACAGCACCCCACAAAGCCAACACCAATACCAACAAATATGTAAACTGGCGCACCTTCACCGGCCACGGGGTCAACCTAGGAGGCTGGCTCGAACAAGAATCAACAATCGACACGACCTGGTGGGCCACCAACTCCCACGGCGCGAGTGACGAATGGACAATGTGCGTCAACCTCGGCAGCGCCTGCTCCTCTGTCTTCGAAGACCGCTACAAAACCTACATCACCACCGCCGACATCGACACCCTTGCCCAAGCCGGCGTGACAATCCTGCGCATCCCAACAACCTACGCCGCATGGATCAAGCTCCCCGGCTCCCAGCTCTATCACGGCAACCAGCAGAAGTATCTGCGCAAGATCGCCCAGCATGCAATCACAAAATACAACATGCACGTTGTCATCGACATCCACAGTCTGCCCGGCGGCACAAACGGCCTAGACATCGGCGAGGCTGTCGGGCACTGGGGATGGTACGACAATAGCACAGCCCTGGAATGGAGTCTCAAGGCCGTCGATGCGCTCGTGGAGTTTGTTGCCTCGTCGCCCAATCCATGGAGCTACACGATCGAGCCGATCAACGAGCCGGTTGATAATCGGGATTTCTCGACATTCGGCACCCCGGCCGCGCTCTCCGATAAGGGCGCGAAGTGGCTCGTGAAGTACATTCGGGCTGTGCTTGAGCGCGTTGAAAAGGTCGATGCTCGCATTCCTGTTATGTTCCAGGGCAGTTTCAAGCCTGAGACATATTGGAGTGGGTTCTTTGAGAAGGACCGGAATTTGGTTTTCGATGCCCATCATTATTACTTCCAGTATACGAATGCGACGTCGGTGAATCTGCCGACGTTTATTTGTAAGGATGCGGCCGATACCAAGGGGGATGGGAAGTTCCCAGTCTTTGTTGGTGAGTGGGCTATTGAGGCGGGTGGGAATAACACTCTTGCGTTGAGGGGGGAGAATCTCAAGGCCGGTCTCTCGGCCTGGGCTCAGTACACGCAAGGTAGTACATATTGGACGGCCAAGTTCTCCAGCAACGCGACTGTTGCGGGACAGGGAATCAAGCAGAATTATTGGAATTTTGCCGAATTCATTAAGGCTGGGTATCTAGATGGAGATGTCGTGGTCAAGAATTATTGCTGAGAATAACCCACATATGTATCTTTGGTTGTATATATGATGTGATATGAAGATATGAGAGTGAAGTTTTCGCTGGCCAAATGCCAGAACTTGGAGTCCATATTATTTGGGCATTCAGCAAATATAAGATTCAATTCATTCTTTTTTCAGTAATTCACAACCCTGATAAAAAACGCCTATTGCAATGAAAGCAAACGCTCGATTCAATATGAACAGAAAGCAAGCATGACCTCATAAGCACAAAGCAGACCATATACGCCGCAAAATCCATGAAACATGGTAATGACAAGAAAACCAAATAAAGGTAGAACCTCAAAATCGAAACCGGAGTGACCGGACGAGATCAACCCGGAACTCGAGTTTCAGAACCCAGCCAATGGCCAAACTCAGTTCATTGCCCACCCTTAATGCGCAGAATGAAGTTCACCACAACAGCGGCAAGAAGCGCAATGGCAAGGATGGTAGGACCGAATCGGTCGTCGATACCGCTCTGCCCACGGCGGCGAATACTCTGTGCTCGCCAGTGGAATGTAACGAGGGCGTAGATCATGGCGCCCATGGCGATGACGGTGAAGAGGGCGGCGGAGATGCGGCCGATGCGGTCGCCGAAGTTCAGGAGGCCGACGGCCAGACCGCCGAGGATGACAGTGAAATTGAGCCAGGAGAGGAAGGTGCGCTCGTTGGCGAAGAAAACTTTGGGCTCGACGCGAGTGGGGAGCGCAATTCGCTTGCCTGGGCTTGTTAGTCTGGATTGTAATGTGGGTGAGGTTGGGGTTGCTCCGACTCACCCGGAGCGGTTTGGAGGAGAGGTTGGCTCGACATTGTGAGGTCTGGGGAGAATTGGGAGTTACAAGAAGAAGAATCAACAAGAAAAGAAATTTCCGGAATTCAATTCAGGTACTAAGAGAAATAAATCGCCAGAGGGTTTGGAGACAGCTCGTCGCAGATGGGTCTAGCGCGGGTAGCTTTCGACAGCACGTGCGTCTACGATTTGATGAGAGAATCAGGTGACTCCATCTTCTATGGGTCTCTTGTTTAGCGTGTTTGTATTCCCTCGAACAATCATTTATATCTTCCATTGCTTGCTAAATATATTCTTTGCTATATAATGACAATGTCATAACATGATAATTCGATGCTTCGAGCCCTGGAACGAAAGGGTGCAGATGCCATAATATCCCCCGAAGGAAGATTGACAGGTCCACTACTTAGGTAAATCAAGATCACCCCAATAGAGTACTCGGGATATATGTGTGCCATCCACTGTACCATCGCCCTCGGAACCTAGACCCACATAGACTACATGGACCACATCTACAAGGAAAGATTTCAATCCAATCACTTGACATTCCCTACAAAAAAATGCTCACACCGAGTACAATACTGCAAGGTTAAGTGAAAGAGAGGTGAGCATGGGAGAGTTTCATAACTGGCACACAAGATGAAGCGTGAGTAACGTACCAGTCCTAGAATTGGTCGTTCCAAATGACGAAGCCTATCGCCTCACCTAGGCATACAGATTTACCTAGGAAATCTGTTATCCGTGAGAAAGGCATTGATTCCACCGACTAAGACCATGTTCTTCAATGATGCATTAAACAAAAAAAGCTAGAATGACTACCTAAACCAGCAACCAAATACGGATCTATACCGTAGCCTTCTTGGCAGCGCTAGAGTCCCAGTCCTCACGAATCAAATCCGCCGCCTTCTCCGCCACGGCATAGACGCTGCTAACAATATTGCCAGAAACGTTATTTGGGAAAATGGAAGCATCGGCAACGCGCAGACCCTCAACACCCTTGACTCTAAGTCTGCTATCCAGCGCATCGCCCATAGCAACAGAGCCGCAGATGTGATACTCGCCTGCAATGGTGTCGTGCACCGCCTTTCGTCCAGCATCCAGGTCTTGGAGATTCACTGAGGGCTCCGGGAAAGCACGACGAATAATCGATGGCTTTAGATTCTTGTTTTCAGCGACCTGGTCGCTCCATCTAAGGAAGGCGGCGAGAAGAGAGACATCTGAGGCGTGGCCGGCGTAGTTGGGGTCAATAATGGGGGACTTGGTGGGGTCTGGGTTGTGTCAGTTCCAACGAACCTTTCACTAAATGCATCTTGGATTTGACTTACCTGCGCTTTCAATGTGAATTGAACCTCTTGCTACGGGGTACTGCAAACATAAAGCCAAAGTCAATCCAGCAGGCTTGTCCGCAGACGGAGGCGAAATAATTTGGCCTTGGTGCTCCACTCCCTGGGGGTCCATTGTAGCAGGAACGGTGACAAGTTGCATGTTAGCCGAGTGGTCACTTTCGATATGTGCGATAATTTGCGCAAGTTGCTTCTCGTGGAATGCGCTAGTTGGCTTGACATCGCGGATGCTTTGAACAACCTCCGCCAGCTCGGCTTCGGACAGGATCTTCTTTGCAGGGAAGAAACCTTGCATACTAGCAACGCAGCTCAAAGGTCCGCCCTGGGTCTCAGCGTACTGTTTTCCGGCAGCTTCCATTGCCTCGGGAACTTGGGTCAGGGTGTCTAGAGTGACGACACCTGGCTGCACCTCCAGCAAAGACAGGGTGATAGAGTGGTCCTGCACATTTGCGCCAACACCCTTGTTGGCCACCTTGCACTCGACACCTGCAGCTTTCAGGACGTCGGGATCACCAATTCCGGACAACTCCAGAATTTGTGGGGACTTGATTGTTCCACCGCTGACGATAATCTCGCGCCGGGCAGAGACTTGGTACTCGACTCCATCGTGGGTGAGGCTCACGCCTGTTGCTTTATTGCCTTCAAGAACGACTTTGTTGACGAGGGCTTCGCAGAGGACTTTCAGGTTTGGTCGAGTTTGCCGGTTTGCCTCGTAATATCCTCGTGCTGCGTAGCTGCGCTTTCCCTTATTGGGTCCTGTCCGAACGACCGCACCAAGGGTGTGATAGAATCCGATGTGATCTCCGCTCCAGGGGTCGGAGGGTTTATTCTGGATTCCAGTGACTTCTTCGCAGGCTTTGATAACGTCGTTTTCAATTGGCATGAAGGTATCGTTGAAACTTGTGCGGACTGGCCCACTTGTTCCGTGGAAGTGGCCTAGCAATGGCATTGTGGAGCGATCGTTGATTGTTTCGTCGATCGGCTCGAGGGTCTACATTGTATTGTCACCAATTGAATCCAGAGGAAAACTTTTTGTTCAGAATGGGGTTGACGATATGTACCTGGTGCTTCCGCATATAAAGCTGCATATTCTCCGCCGACCAGCCTTCATCTTCGGCCAGTTCCGCCCAGTCATCGTAATCCTGCAACGATCCTCGCACGTACATCATATAGTTGATGCCGCTCGATCCACCGAGCAGCTTTCCTCGCGGAATATGATGTTTTTTCCCATGGTTACCTTCCTAAAAACACGAGAACGGTCAATAAACGCTATTGACTCTATGAACACAGTACAATATACCTGAGGAGTTGTATACAAACACCAATCATAATCGGGATTCTCAAACATCTGGCTAAATGCCGCAGGTGTATCGACTAATGGATCTCCAATGCGATACTTTCCCGCTTCAATGACACCGACAGTCACATCAGGGTTCTCGCTAAGCCGCGAAGCAACGACGAGTCCGGCAGTGCCACCACCGCAGATGACATAGTCGAATGTCGTACGGGTGAACTCCTCAACGGAGCAGGTTGGTTGAGCCATTATTCTTTGTCTTGGGATATCTTGAAGACGACGAAAAAACGGAAAAGGGAATGAGGGGTAGCCTGGTTAAATCAATTCGGCTGAAGTGCCATGACTATTTATTCAAGTAACCATATTATCGTACATGGGACTAGGCCGTAAGCTCTGGGTGAGGGGGCGAAAGAGGATCTTCTTTTAGGGAAATGCTGGGAGGCCAAATTGTTGGTGAGCTTGGCCTGCAGTAATGGCAAAGCTAGGGGTCTCATCATCCTTAGCGGGGTCTCTGGTTGGTCTGATAGTTATAGTGGACATCATCGCTGATCAATGAGGCTTAGGTTTTTGAATATCCCTCCCTCCCCCCGCAGACCCCGGGGCAATTCATTTTTGAGAAAACATGTTCAAGTCAAGAGTTTGCGGGGAAAAACTCTATATTTGAATCTATTTCACAATGTCAATAATCGACTAAACATACTCGCATCACTGTCCAAATCCACATACAGCGGCGCACCATCCAAAATGTATAAAAGCACAGAAAACTTCCTTTTCTGCGGGATAAGCGTAAGGCATGAAACCCCACTACACCCCTCTGGATTAAATTGCACAACATATCAGCGCCCCATTGCTTACGTTGACCCGCCCCTTCTGTACCTCCACGTCGGTCACATGAAATTCGATAGCGAAGCACTCATCGCCAGATTAAGGCACATTAAGCCGAACCGCTAGCAAATCAAAACATTGCTCTGCGGATTGCGTCGACTTCGGTACGTTGCCAAGAGCACCTTGATTAGCATGGCCCGGTGGGTTGAGACTTGTTTTGGCGCCTAGTTCTGTTGTTGCGGATAAGTAAAACCTTCGCCACGACGCATTCTCAGCCCGATACCCAAGCCTCAAGAAGACGCGCGCCTTTGCTTGTTTAGCGTGCTTGTGTATGCGATCCATCACTTCATTTGTTGGGTATAAGGTATGTCTCAGCTAAAGGGAAAAGGGCATGGCGCATCAGCTGCTAGATACTGCCGCAGGATGTCATTCCGCGTTCCAGCATTGCCAGTAAAAGAACAAGGTATATCTGTAAATCGCTTCAAAAATGCTATATGTACAATGTATTAGTCCAACCAAGTAGAAGCGCATGAACGTTTGCGGCGTTTCTCCCGATATTGACGGCGATCTCGTCACAGCGACATTTTGCGCTGTACCCACGAAAGGGCACTACCCCACCTGGGATCTCCGGGTCTCAGGGCATCGAGCAACTCAGTAACCAAAGCTTTCCCCGAGTTCCGCGCCCACCACCGCTGTCCGTCGAGCTCCGTCAACAACACACCCCAATACATAAGAATCAACAATGAAAACGGCTGCCGACACCTCAAGCTATCAACAAAATCCTTTTCAACACGTGCAAGCCAAGCAAGCACGGGCGCAGGATCGGCAGAACGCGCAAATTTCGCATAACAATGCCGTAAATGTGAAATGACCTCTTTATTGATTCGATGCTGCTCGGAATAAATTCCAATCATCACCTCATCGTTCAACGCCGACAGATTCGCCAGGGCGGCCTCGGTATCTGCGTCGAGTTCCTCGGGTGTTTTTTTCCAGAACTCGCCTTGTGAAAACAGCTCCAGGTTGATCCAGGATTGGCTGACTTGTAGGATCTTCCTGACGCCCTGCAGTAGCTCGAATAGGACCACAATGTTCTCTGTGATGCTAGTGCCTTCGTCTTTTGTGACTGTTAGTCGTGGTGACGCGATACTGATCGCGATCATCACGATGGAATGCGCGAAGACTGCATCGCAGTTCCGCGGTGTGATGCTGTCAATCGCGTTGCGAAAGGGCGTTAGGCTGCGATTGTAGTACTGTAGTCCTGTGTCGAGGTAGAGCAATGCTTCCGCTGGCTCCGCTGATGTAGCAATGTGCATTGAGGCCAGGGCCAAAATGCCGTTCATAAGATAATTATGTTTGAGAGCCAGTCGAGGGATAGTGATTTGCCAAATTTGGGTCTCTGATTCGCTGACGCACAAAGTTTGAAATGTCTCTGTGGAAAATTTATGCATCAATTCTAAATTGTCGATCCCGAATGTGTTTGTTTGTCCGGCAACTGGAGAACGGCCATCCAGCGACCGGGCGTCATTTGAACTGGGTGGGGTGCGAGTTGTAGTTCGACGGGCGGCAGCGACTTTCAAGTAAGTGCACTCCAATTCGCGATTTGTGCAATTCGAGCATGGTGGACCCTGCTCATCGCACTTGACCCGCCTAGTTCTGCATTGATCGCACCCATTGCGAGATTTGGTGTGCGCTCGAAGGGGGGGCATGTTCAAAGTTAAATAACATGCCGATATCCAATCAGGGAGAATGGGGATAAATGGGGAGAAACGGTTTCATGAGAGATTATCCGAGATACTGAGAGTGGTATCATGTGACTCGACTCGGTCTAGAACAAGTATACGTGTTGGATTGAGGGAGAGGATAAGAGTATCACAATTTTTAGATAGAATGCATGGATAGGTTTATAGAAACTTATTTTGAATTTGTATTTAGTTTTGGAAATATTGATCAGGTTGACGATATCATAGTTATTGCATTATTTTCGTATTTCATATTGCAATGATATACATAAAAATATATAGAAGTGGCAACCATGGCCAACACATAATTAAGAAATAAAGTTAAATCAGAGTATTAAATCACTCGCAAAACGAGACTTGAAACTTCCACAATCTAAGTCACACTTAGATAAGTGCAGCGGCGACAACAAGTCCTGCACCAACAACACCAGCAATATTACCAGACATCATGTGGGCAGCGCCAGTGTACACGGGGGAAGAAGCGGAGGCGGTAGCGGAAGTGCTGCTCCAGGAACCAGACATGGTGGAAGAAGGAGTAGGCATGGACATACTGCTCTTGCCATTGCCCATACCCATCGCAGCCATACCGCTAGGAGTACCAATAGCACCCTTCTTGCCAACCTATTAAATCAAGCAACATCAGTCCTGCGAAACAAGGGACCGGGCGCCCCAATAGAAAATGTGAACAGCAAAAGGTAATTCTAATTTACCTCGACGATAGCGGGTCCCGCGACAATGTTGTCATCAGTCGCCTGCTTGTTGCCCTTGGTCAGGACGAAGTAGCTCTGTCCGGCAACGCCCTTGGGGACGGTGACAGTGAACTTGCCATCACCCATGGACTCAATGGAGGCCCAAATGGGACCAGTGACGGTGATGAAGGCGGCGCTGATGTCAGTAGCTGAGGTGTCGAAACCCTCGCCGGCAGTGACGGCGACCTTATCACCGACCATCACGGCAGCCATTGAGCTCATAGTGAGCGAGGGGAAGGCCTTGACGGGGAGAGCGCCATTGCTAGAGGGACATGAGGCGATGAAGGGAGAGGCAACAGTGTAAACCTCATTGAAGTCGAGAGGGTTCTCGAAGGCCTGGGCAAAGGGGACTTCACCGAGGGCGGCGCGCAGGTAGGCGCTATGGCGAGCCTCGACGGTGAGAATGCTACCAGCGGCGGTGAGGTAGGCATCGTTCATGATGGAGGCGGCGGCACCGAGGTAGGCGCTGGCACCGACACCTGGAATTGTTGTTATTAACCGGGGCTATTGTGATTCTTGGATATTTACTTACCCTCAAGAACACTGGCGAGGGCCAGGAAGCTGCTGACATCGGTGGATGGGAAGCTGTAGGTGCAGGCGGCAACGGGGGAGGCACCGGCAGCTATAGAAATGTCAGTTTTCCTCAGTATGTGTTATTGGGAGTGGGGACATACCCTTCAAAGCAGAGGTCAGGAATGACACGTGCTCGGTCTCATCAGAAGCAACCTCCTGGAGGTTGGCATAGAAGGGGTCCTTGAAGCCGGCCTTGACGAAGTCTGCCTGGGTGTAGTTCTTGAGACCCTCCTGGTAGAAGGCAGCCTCGAGGTGCTCAAGGGTTAGAGCATAGTTGAGGACATCGGCTAGCAAGATGGAAATGTTAGTTGTTGATCACTAGGCTTTTGATTGGGGAGACATGCCGTCAGTGATGGCACGCTTGGAAACGGGGCCGGCGTTGGCAAGACCGATGGCAGCACCGGTGAGAGCGATGTTGGTGAACTTCATTGTGCTGGATTGTGGGCTTGAATTTTCTCTTAGATTTGATGTATGGCTCTGAATGAAGGATAATCAGGCCACTTCTGGGGCGAGCGAGAGATCTTTTATAGCTGTCATGCCGGCAATTTGAGAATCCGAGGAATGGATACATGGGATACTTTCTGGCGTTGACATGGCTAGGCCATGCGAGACTAGCTGTTTCCTTCCTTGATTTGAAACTCTCTTTTTGATATCCAATGTATGACAGAAGAGAAGATGAAGATCGGCACGATGGAGGTTCCAGATCGAGGCGGAAAATAGATGGGACATTCGGAGGGAGATGACGATATTTCCGAGAGGAACCAGTGGAACTACTAGTGTCCACGATAATTGAGCTGCAGGGACCAATTTGTGGATCGGTCCGGGGTAGGTAGAGACCCGTGTGTTAGTTTCCTTGGTTCAAAGTGGTGGGCGAACGGGTCTCAGCGGAGTGCTTAAGCTTCTCGGTCATATTAGCTGCAGAATGAGGCTTGGGATTGATAAGCGAGAGCGAGATTGAGACACCACTGTACAAGGGGACTTGGGGGAACGAAAACGGCACCGGGAGCGAAAGCGGGAGCGAGACCGAGATATCTCACCCAAACTTGTCTGCCAACAATTGAGCATCAATCTTGTTTGGTTTGATTTGAAATACTCGTAATCTTCCATAGTTGAGAGATTTTTTTGAACCATTCTCCTCAATTTAGATATAACGCTTCCGCAATTCCAACCTTGAAGTCCGCCAGTACCTGTTGACCAAGTACTATTGTTTCCACTTGGGTAGTCCTGGCAACTGAGGATAAAGATTATATTCCTTCGATATTCAGAATCCCTATCAGAAATTGTAAAATCTTATTTCGTGTCTCCCCTTCGCTTTTCCTTGTGGTTGCGCTATCTTAAGGACTATAAGGATTGTCTTGAGCGAATGAAACAGACCATCCCATCCAAAATAACCGTGCGAGCACACACATTCATCAGATATCTTGGTCAACTGGAAAATTAGCGAATTGTCTTGTTTGGTTAAGCCCTGTATGCCATTTGTTGTAAGTAGTAGAGGGGACTGGTAAGCTCAAACCTAGGAAAAGATTCAGTGTTCTAAGACTCAAGCGAACTGGACATGGAAATCTAATCGGTTCAAACTGATTTTGCGAGATGAAATATTCCAAGGATTGACATGACAGATGTAACAGTTCGTATGTTTGCACATTTTATTTTACAGAAAATGATATTCTTTAAGGTTGTCGGACCTGACGCAGGTACGAAATATATTAGCGAAATCTAAAAATATTATGCAAATTTTGGCTTCACAATAAGCGTATAGGTGCGATCAACATATTCTATCCTTTAGTATGTGTGCTTGAACCCAGGCAGATTAGCGATAACCAAGTCACCACGATCAACCCGTCTGTTGAGAAAGTGGAAGCGAATCGACATTAATCCAACCAGAACAATACTTAGTGCCGTAGCTATAATGCAGGTGATAATACCAGGACGATATGTAGGTGCATCTTGCGATCGAAAAACCAGGGATCCTGTCATTCCACCAGACGCACCTAGTCCGACGAAGATTGCACTAGAGATAGCCCGTTTCCACTGGCCACGGATGTTGTTTGCCTTGATCCAAGTCAGATATAAAATGGAAGCTATCTCTGGAGACCTGACGAACCTGATATGCCATGGCAGCAGGAATATTGGAGTTTGCTCCCATTGTGGTTAGAAAGCAGCCTATCAGGCGCGGGGCATTATTGGCGGTAAACCCCTGTTCATTGTTAATACGAGTAAATTCAATGGATAAAACTATAATCATGATCCTTACCATCAAAGCAAGTCCGATGAGGGTGAGCATTGCATTGAAAACAACAATCGGCCCACGGATATGATACCGATCACCAATCCACGATGTTGCGTACATCACAATTCCAGCAGCTGCATATGGTGGCGCAAATAAACACAACGAAGCACCCAATGAAAATCCCATCCCTTGCCGGAGAATAATGGGCAAAAAATATGACAAGGCATATGCAGTCGTGGTTTGCGCATAATAGATCAGACCAAATATCCAGATATTAAGGTCCAATCCCGCGGCCAAATATTTATTCAAGCTGAAAGGCTCCACAACAACATCGGCTCGGTCTTTGGTAATGCGGCGCATGATGAAGTCATACTCGCTGTTGGACAAGAACTTTCGCTTGCTATCTTTCATGCGATCGGGAAAGTCGATCAAAACAAACCAGCTTATTGAGGCTACAATGCATGTTATTAGGCCTTGGATTACGAAGATCCATCGCCAAGCCGTAAGGCCACCTAGCCCATGCTGTCCAAGTTTTAGCATTATGTTCGAACAGAATGGCTCATAACATACCATGAAGGTCAGCCCGTAAGATAGAATTCCCGTGAAAGCAGACGCGACACAACCAAGGAGATAAAACACAGCATAGCGTTTCTGGATATCATATCGTGTGTACCATGTTGATATCAGATAGACGGACGCAGGAAAGAAGCCTGCTTCGAGTGCACCGATGATGATACGTATGCCGACCATTTGTGTCCACTTTTGGATAAAACCTGCGGATAACTGGTCAACGAGTCAGCGAGCGTCAGAAATTAAGGTTTTGGAACATCACACCATGACGGCGCCCCAAATGAAGCAGACACTAGAAAGATAGTTGACGGGTCCGATCTTCCGAACTAGCACCGGACCGAACAATTGCAGACAAATATAAGGGGGAAAGAAGGCGACAGCGATAGAACTCTAGTATTGAAGTTAGAAATGTTTCACCTGGATGGCTAGAATACCCACATATTGCGTGCCTACGAGATGGAGTTCCTTTTCCATCCCGGCAATGGAAGCAGTTCCAAGGTTACCCCGATCGATCAACGACACAGTATGAAGGAACCCAAGCATGAGAATCAACCGCATATCGACGCGGTGAATAATCTTGCGCTGTTCCTTATATTTATATACTGGATCATCGTCAATGTTGCCAGACATAGGGCTTTGAGATTCAACAGGATCCAGATGAGTTTTGAATGCATCTTTTTCAATTGCATCCGATGCCATCTTGAGTGGGCTGGTATTTGAATTAGATTTTTGATTCCAGGGACATTGAAGGCTGTATAAATGAATCTGTCAGTGACTTCGTATAATGCCCGTGTTCAGTGACGAAATACATGATCGTTATGTTGCAATATGCTTTTTGTAGTGCTAACATGAGGCCTCGTGTTAGTTCGTTTGAAAGTTTGTGGGGAAATCTATAAGCTGAAGAGCTGGGCCTTGATTATTCGTTTTCTGATTGGACAGAGTAGGAAATGGGGTTTAAAGTGGATTTATAGGCCGTCGGCTCATCGGCGTTAGGCAATTATCATTATGTTGAATCACTTCCTATCGCCGATATATCGTATTTTGCCCCCGGCTTATTTTGCCCCCGGCTGGAGTCTAAGCTGTGGCTATGAAGTGTCCCCTGCTGGAAGGATGCTCATCAAAATACTGTGATCGCGCGATTATGGGCCTGATGATGCTTGGGCCTTATCCGGTTTCATCGCCCTTAACGCAAATTTTGTAAGGTACTACACATGTACATACAACACTCGGGTCATATCTTCTCGATCCTAAAGCCGAAAGCCGACGGCATCCAGTATGATCGTCGATAGCTTTTCGACTACGCAATCGGAAAGATGCAAGGTATATAATACACACTCACCGAGCGATTTCATTTTACATTGGCAACTAATTAAACACTATAAGGTCCCCGAACAGGATTGCCAAAGCCTCGCGTCTAACACATCAACTATCGAAGATGACAGCCCGCCAACACTCAAATGGGTCCCTGGACCAATTTGACCCGGTCCTGGTTACTCCAGTAATTGGTAATGAATTTAAAAAAGACACTGTCAATATTGTCGACGACATCCTGAACGCCCCAAACGCAGACGAGCGCATCCGCGATCTGGCAATCATGAGTATGATATCCGACCCGAACCAAAAAACCAAGCATCTTACAAGTTTACAGTCGCTGAGAGGGGCGTCGTCTTCTTTCGCGCCCAACACAACCTAACGAACGATCTCCAAAAATCCCTCATCCTCCGCATGGGCGAATTGACCGGCCGACCCACCTCCCACAGTCTACACATCCACCCGATAACTAACAACGCACGGGAATTTGGCGACCCAGACCCAGAAATTAGTACCATCAGCTCAGAGGGTCGGAAAAAGCTCTACAAGGGATCTAGCTATACCACCATGGCGGCTGTTTGGCACAGCGATATCTCGTTTGAGAAGGCACCCGCGGATTTTTCCTCGTTGAGATTGACGCAGCTTCCTACTACTGGTGGTGATACGCTGTGGGCCTCTGGATATGAGATCTATGACCGGATCAGTGTGCCCTATCGCAAGTTTCTAGAGACGCTTACTGCTACGCATGACGGTGAAGGGTTCAGAAAGATGGCAGCCAGTGGGAAATTCAAAATGTTTGAAGGGGAGAGAGGCGCGCCTGTGAATGTGGGAGGTGATTTGTTTGCTGATCATCCGGTTTGTTTTGGTCTTTGGGATTTGAGTTATGCATGTTGACTGAAATGGACAGATTGTTCGAACAAACCCCATTACGGGATGGAAGTCAATTTTCCCTATTGGTGGGTTGAGGTGAAGTCTCTAGCTGACCTAGTATACTGACACCTTGGTCTAGGCGCCTTCCCATCACAAATCAATGGGTTAAATCGAAAGGAGAGTGCTAGTATGCTGCAGTGGTTCCATGATCTCATTACGCATGGGCATGATCTCCAGGTGCGATTCAAGTGGAACGATCCCAATGATATCGGTAAGTTGCGGGGGATGTCAAGTCCATGTTGAGGAGACATGTTTCGCTAACACTTTCTAGCAATTTGGGACAACAGAAGTGTCTTCCATACTGCTACAGGTGATCACGAAGGGTTTGGGCAGCGAAGTGGTAACCGGGTTGTGGGTGTTGGTGAAGTCCCGTATTTCGATCCGGAAAGCAAGTCTCGCCGTGAGGACTTGGGTATTGTTGATGATCTTGCGCCTTGTCACTTGTAGTTCTTTTGCTGGTTAGCCTTATGGGCACCCCCAATTTCAATCTATGTTCATCTATATAACAATGAATGCAGTGTTGCTGTGAATTCTCAGCCGCATGATCTACCAGTGGTACTATTTGACTTTTGGTAATCCGACTTCGATAGTCGTTGTCATTAGACTGTTCATATTTCATACCTTCCAATTACAACCATCTAACATGGGCATATTAAAACCATCCGCTTCCCAAAATTCCTCACTCAACCAATCATGCAATGAGCTTGCTTCGACAGCACCCCCAGATCCTCCTTCAAAAATCGAAGGATGGTCCGGCAAATTCGGAATTATGTCAGAGCTCTGGGAATTGAATGAACCAAGTGCAAGTGGTTGAGCAATATTCGGTGGAAGTGATTGCGGATCGAACGTGTGCATAGGATCGAGCGAAAATTGCGTTAGCGGTTGTTGTTGTTGTTGCTGGAAACATATTGGATCCGCATTCGCGGGCAGAGATAGCTCATTTTCCAAGGCACAGGCAGATGAATTTTCAACAAATTCCATGACGCGGTTGATAATAGTCTCCAATTTGTCACGGTATGGTTTCAATCGAGGATTGCGTTCCGCCATGACAAACAAGGCAGAAGAGCAGGCTCGGAGGTCGTTTGATACAGCCGGCGTCCAAAGTGCTGGCGAACGGAAGAGGCAGAAACTGATTTTTTTAGCATCAAATGCAACAGTGTTCGAGTGAATCACTAACCACATAGTCAAGCCAGCCATGAAAACCGAGTTGACCAATAAGAACGAGTATCCTGATGAGTCTCTCTGTCGTAAACGCTTGAAGAACTGGCACATCTGCCCGGACGCCGAAAGGCAGATACCAATCAACCTGTCATGCGAATGGAGAATATTCAAAAATGGCTGTAATAAGCCCCGGATCGCATTGTTCCAATGCATATAGACAAAATCTCCGTCACTAAGATCCAGAAAGGACAGTGATTGTTTAAATTCTTGCAAAGAATCCATCAATGGTGGTATTTCTGAGACCAACTCGGGGAGGCTTTTATCGACTCGGAAGACGCGTGCATGAATCCGAGAGACGATCCGTTGCAATTTTATAGAAGCGATGAAGCGGCCCAGCGTCGACTTGTGTGTTTCCGTTGGAGGGGTTGGCGGGCTTTCAATTGTCCTTTTATGGCAATGATATTCAAACGATTCAGTCATGTTTAATGGCAATTTTGCATCAATGTCTTCTTCCGCAATACTGAATGGCCGACCGTGAGACCATGCTGTGTATCGTTCGATGATGTAGACGCTCCAGAAAAGACGGCGGCACAATTGGCCCTCCTGGGGTTCCATCTTTTGATATCCTGCTTCCCGGTGGAGTCCAAGATCTACGCACATTCGCATCGCTAGGCCAATCATGTACCAAACATTAGGACTTGAAGATGAGCGAGTGTGATATAGCACGAGCAACATCATTGCTTCTATACTTGAAGTCGACAAAGATTCTCTTAGTGTTGTGTCGAATTGTAATGCTGTGGCAAGAAAATTATTTGGAGGGGTTGAATCATAGATCTCGGTCATTTGGAGAAAAGCTGCTCCGATGGCGTAGACCATGAATATTTTGAACCGTCCAAATTGGTCTAGTGGTGTAGGACCAACTGGTTGGTTCCTGTTTGCATGCAAATGAAGGATGTCCGAACGATCCAGGAATGGGAGGCGAATATGCTGGTTCTTGAAGTAAGCATGGAGGATCTGAGAGCCAATGGTATCATCCGGTGGCGAGACTTTAGTCTGGCCTTGATCCTGCGTCATGGACTCGGACTGGTTGCTGGCATTTATAGGAAGCAGCTTTGATTTCACTGAGTTGTGAATCATGCAACTCAGACTTTCTGCAATTGATATACCCGAAGACGGGCCCAGATAAAGAGGTTGCTCGCTCTCCCGACCTAGCGTTAAGAACCAACCAACACCGCGCGGCTGGCTTTTGCTGTCAAAGCGAGGAGAAGTAGCATTTGATCCTACCCCATCTAGGGCATCGGATAGCTGTGCTTCCAGGACCTCTATTCGATGCGCCAATGCTCCCTTTGACATGCCGTGATGCCACGACGGGGAACTGTTCGCTCGTGAACAGGGCTGATTAGCGGCCTCACAGTTCGCGCAAGTTGGCTGTCCGACACATCGCTTCTTGCGCCTGTGACAACGGCGACATGATTTTGGAATTCGCTTTCTTATTCTTTCTGATTCCATGACACGAAATTGCAAACAGAACTTCCCGTCCAAAGCTTCTTCGCACTTTCATGTTATTATTTATGGCGTCAGCGAAACCGAAAAGCACGCCATTGGTTGACTTTCATAGTGGATTTATATGCAGATTGACCATTTATCTAGGTACCTATGTCGGTTCTAGATGGCATAGCATACATATATGGAAATCTATGCAAAGTATTGAAGTGATTAGAAAGATCATAGTTAGTAAGCGACTGTTGTTTGCGTGCGAAATATTCTGGTAAATGTTCCCATTTTATGAAGAATACCTGGTGCGATGTTTAATTATACACAAAGGGGATATGAATAATTTGTTTTGCAGAATAGTTGGCGACAGTCTGAACAATGTATTGAGAATGCTGACTGACCCCTATGGGTAGTGGCAACCTTGGAAGATGGGAATCATCGACAAGGATTGCCGAGATCCACACTGCATAAGAGCTAGTCCTAATGTGAACATCTAATGTATCAGCCTCATTTCTTTCAGATTTGTCTTGAACAGACGTAGAAAAGAACCAGAATATTCCCAGCTGAATTCGAGTCTTTAAGGAATGATAGATCCATGGAAGAAACATATAGATTTAAGTAGGCTCAAATCTATGTCTAAAGTATCTAGAGATGAATCCATGACACGAAAGAGTCTGTATAATTGTCAATATAACAAAAAAGGTAGAGACGATTGAACTATTGAATTAATCTCCATGTCGGATGTTGGGGGGGGGGGAGGAAAGGTGACAAATGAAGACATAATACTCGGTAAGTCATTCCATCCTATAAGCTCACTCTATTTGGTAAATTCGACACAAGAAAATTGAATCGAGCATTCTAGGCCTTTGAAGACATCAAGACTTTTGAACCAGAAAAGAAATAATTAAACGAAATTGTTGGCATCGGCTTCAAAGACCACCGTAAGTCTCTGATCTGCCAATCATCGGGTAGACCCGCTTTCCCCCCAAAAATCTCCATTAGCTTTCACGTGAACTGGGGAATTTCATGATCTCAATGACCACAGACCTCTTCAACAGTCATGACCCGAAGATGGTTTATTCATGCGACTTGGCCCTCACCGATCAAGAGGAGCGGGAGCGGATCCGCGAACTATCAAGGTCAGTGGCGTTCGGGTGTCCCGCACCCAACTGACCAACGCTCATCTCTCCCAGATACTATTGCACAGTCGCACAATCAACACCTCCAACGGGGGATTCTTTAACGGGGGATGAACAGCCAGCAACTTCCGAATTAGCCAAAGACATAACCCTCACCGCCCTAGCCCAGCTAGGCGTCCTCCGCTTCAACGCCAACCGTTCCTTCGTGTCTATCATCGACGGCGACACTCAACATATCATCGCCGAGGCCACTGGATCGATCTCCCTTCGGAACAAGGAACGCCATGCACCGGGAAATGGGATTTATCTTGGAGCGCGATCGCTGGACCTACAGTGGGGTGTGTGCCCGCACACCATACGCCTATTTACAGGTCGCGAACCACTCGCAATTGAATCGGGCAACGTAACAGCCAATCGATCCCGCTACATTATCCGTGATTTCACCCGCGAGGATTGTTTCAAGGATCGACCATACGTGAAGGAATGGCCGCATATGCGGTTCTACGCCGAGGTCCCGCTGTTCAGCTCATCGGGATATGTCTTGGGTTCATACTGCATTGTCGATGACAAACCACGCACTGAATTCGGCGACGAACAGGTCAACGATCTCCAAGAAGTGGCGGATGCTATTGGTGTGCATTTGGAAAATATGCGCATGAGCCAGACGCATCTTCGGGCGGAGCGCTTGGTCAAGGGATTGACCAATTTCGCCAAGGAACATGCAGGATTCGATCCTTCGGAGGCCTCAAACGGCGGTCGCATTCAGTCGAGTGTCAGTGCTGCGCACTTGGCGCGCAGCGAACTCCCCGAGACCCCGGTCGGTCCTGTTCCGCCTATCCCGGTTCTTATGGATCCCATAACCAAACCTACGGAGGCTGAAAGTCCGGATTCGGGACAGTCATCCCTGTCAACTATCACTGGCGATGAATCTGGGTTTTTCCTCCAGGATCAAAAGTCTTCAACCGACCCTTCATCCCTTTATTCGGTCTCGGATCGCCCAGTGGTGCTCAGCCCAGGAGAAGAAAAGTCTCTTGGGGATACCATGAAGGTGGTGGATACGGGCGCTTTGAATATCGACAAAGGTTTCTCACAGCTTTCAATCGATGAGAGAAAACCCACAGCTGAGCGAATTGCAACAATTTATTCTCGTGCGAGTGAGCTACTGCGAGATTCCATGGACCTGGATGGCGTTACGCTGCTTGACGCTTGTCCAACCAACTTTTCTTTGTAAGTTCATATCACATGTTCATCAACCAATATCGCTAACGTTTCTTTCAGTGTACCCAATGAATTAGAGAGTTGGGAACCATCAACGAAGCCTGCAGTACCCGGATTCCCAACCATGCCACTACCTAGCCCTCTTGGCTTGCCCCGGGTCATATCGCACGAGTTCAACCACCCCAGTGATATCTTAAGTTGTGCTTTGAAATCACCGCCAAATTCTAACACATCCAGCGGTCTACCAGTCATCACGAAGGGCCTTCTGCACCAGCTGATACGGACTTGTCCTCAGGGCCAGGTTTTTACCCTGGAAGATCCAGTTGAAGAGGATTATCATACGCATGGTTCTGCCGATGGTCTCGATTCTACGTCTGATATCACAGATATTCCCGCCATTTCTAATCGCCTGGCGCGACATCTGCCCGGTGCGAAATCCGCCATATTTCTACCTTTGTGGGACTGGAACAAATCTCGTTGGCTTTCCGGTGTGATTGCATGGACCAAAAGCAGTTACAGAGCACTGGGTCTAGAGGAGCTACATTATTTCAACGTCTTTGGAGATTCCATAATCTCTGAGATCTCCCGCATCCACTGGGCAAGTGACGAGCGATCCAAGTTTGACTTCATCTCGTCTGTCAGCCACGAGCTTCGCTCTCCGTTGCACGGAATTTTGGCTAGTGCGGAATTGCTCAATGCCACTTCCCTTGATGTGGTGCAGAATGAGATGGTTGATATGATTGAGAGGTCTGGATTGACTTTGCTCGATACGACGAACCATATGTAAGTGTAATGATGTATTTGGGAAGAGTGGTACTGATAACTTTTAGTTTGGATTTCTGTAAGGTCAGCAACCTCCGACATTCCAAGGTATTAACCGTGGGAGCCTTGAACGATACTGCCAATCTTGTCTCCGATTTCGATGTCAGTCACTTGGTGGAAGAGGTGACAAACATATTGTATGCCGGTCATCGAGCGCCGGGACAACTTACACAGGGTCCTCGAAAGATGTCATCCGACTCGGTCGCAATCGATCCAAACGGACAATCTATTCCCACCCCACAAATGTCCGTCGTTGTACGAATTGATGAATCTGATACCTGGAAGATACGGTCGCTAGCAGGCGCCTGGAGAAGAATAGTTATGAATCTTCTGGGAAACGCAATGAAATGGACCACAGCTGGATTCATCGAGATATCGCTATCAAAGACCAAGAATCAGTCTGACGGTCAGTCGCTCGTACACTTGTCCATCACCGATACTGGCAAGGGAATCGCGGCCGATTTCCTTAAACATAAACTGTTTGCCCCATTTTCACAGGAAGACCCTCTTTCCGAGGGTGTAGGGCTGGGTTTGAGCACTGTTCATCAGCTAGTGACATCACTTGGAGGTCATGTCAATGTCCGCAGCGAGATAGGCATTGGGACCCAGGCAGATGTCTACCTACCCGTTCAATATCTGCCCGCTGATATCGATACAACAATTCCTTCTGCCCCGAAAGCCACCAATGACGATTCTGGTTCCATTCATGCGTGCCTGGTTGGCTTTAACGGCTACCCCGACCTCACCGAAACACCAACTGGAATCCTGACTGTCGAGGGGAAACGACAGCTCTGCATACAAAGCACACTCGCTAGTATTTTCATGTCAAATCCTAACTGGAAGATTTCTCTTGCGGATTGCATCGAGGAAGCCCATGGTCAAGTCGTTGTTATCGAGGAAGATTTATTGCGTCGTGCAATGCGCGAGAAACAAAAAGATGTTGCGGAGATGGCGGCTCAATATGGATTTGATTTTCTCGTTGTACTTTATGGCAATGCTCCCATTGATCCGGACCCTTCTTCGGTCCATTTTGTTCGTGTTGTTCAGCCGTACGTTTCCCTTTTTCCGGGCTGTGAAACTTTAAACTAACATTCCACTTAGATTTGGACCACAAAAGATCTACAATGCCCTAGAGCAGATGATGAAGCGGCGCGATGAGAGCTTGCCAGCCGCTCCCCTCGAATCACTTGGTGTGATTGAGCCATCAGTTTCTGAATCCCCGAACATTGATCTCTCGGCAACTGCCTCCTCGAATGCCGAGGATCAAATGAAACATGAACCTTCAATCGAGACAAAGAGTTCCCCCGGTGACTCAAATACGTCCACACCCCGCACAACACCCTGCCCACCCCGCAAGCAATCCTCGGCCCATGTTCTCGTCGTGGATGATAATGACATCAATCTCAAGGTATGTCTTCCCTGTCTGCTTCGTCACTCCCCGTACTAGACCCATCATTTATGACCTTCCCACTTCTCATCTGGACCAAAACTCATACTGTATAGATAATGGCCACATTCATGAAAAAAATCAATTGCAGCTACGACACAGCCAGCAACGGTCTAATCGCACTCGAAAAATACAAAGCCTCCTCCACACAATACGACTTCGTCCTTATGGACATCTCAATGCCAGTAATGGACGGTCTCGTTTCAACAGGCAAGATCCGTGAACACGAGCGTCAAGTTGGCCTCAAACCAGCTTGCATCATGGCTGTTACTGGCGTTTCCTCTGCCGGCTTCCAGGATCAAGCTTATATCGCCGGTATTGACAATTACCTCATTAAACCCCTTTCCTTGAACGACCTCAAGAGTCGGATGAATCTTGCATGATACCTTTCTTTATATCATTTTTTGTATATATCTGTTTCGACCCTGTATGGTTCTTAACGCACGGCGTGGTGTTGGTGGATTGTTTTTTACTGTTTTACTTCCTGTCTCTTATTTATCTGACCTGTAGACAGGAAATGCACATTCCAGATAAGATGACCTTTGTCATCTTGGTGAATCGTATGGATCGGATCTCTCTGCTCCGGCTTGGCTTTTGATGCTGACGTGGAGTGCATTGACATTTTAGAACTGGGTCAACTCGAACGAAGGTCGAAATAAGCACATCCCTGCCTTTTGATTCAATAGCGGGCTTGTTAAGGTGATTTCGTCAACGACAGCCACACGAAACCTCGATCTAATTTGATTTGATTTATGGGTGTTTGTTAATTAAATTCTTCTAAGAATGACTATTTGTGTTTCGCACTAAACCCGGTATTTGTCGCATTGGAGATGAGGATGTTGAGATCCTACTATTGTCGCATTGGGGGTGTTGAAAACCAACAACTTCCAAACGTCAGGGTGTCGCAAGGGCTGTGTCGCACTGGGTTTCTTCATAGTATTCGTTCAGGTCCGATCAGATCTTCTCTAAAATGAGCAGCACAGCCCTATCACCATGTCCCTTTACATAATCTATAAGCTCCTCGGTAACAACCTTGACCGACCCCTCCGCCTTCAACTTCTCAACCTCAGCCTGGAACCCGCCAGGCACCCAGATCTCCTCGAGGATCGTCGATACAACGATGCCCTTCTTTTTGGTGACCCGGACCAGCTCGCGCAGCGCAGGATCAGGACCAACATGGCCTAACGTGAATGTGCCAACACAAGACACAACGTCGTACGTCTCGTCCTGCTTGGGTATCGGCCGGTTCATGTCTGCTACCGCAAGATCCCGGTAGACGCCTGTCTTCCTTGCCACGGCCAGCATGGCCGGTGAAAGGTCGATGCCGTCTATTGCTTTCGCCTTGGCTAGTCCGAGGGCTACACCCACGAGACCGGTCCCGCACCCGGCGTCTAGTACGATGCTGTTTTGGGCGCCGTCCGACAGTCCGTACTTGATGGCGGCTTGGGCGACGAGAACGGGCGCGACGTAGTTTTGTGCTTCATCGCCGACTTCTTCGTCGTAGGTCTCGGCCCATCGGTCGTAGAGTGCCATGCAGTCTTTTGTGCTGCCGCTGGCGCGGGCTTGGCCGAGGTAGAGCTCGTTCACTGTGCTTGGGGCCAACATTGTGGAAGATGTCAAGGCTTATAGGGTGTGTTTGTTGCTTTGAGAAGGATGCGTTGTTTTAGGCTGTATATTTCGTAGTCTGTGAGTTAGAATTTGGTCCATTTTGCCCCGTGTGTGAGCTCCCTTTTTATACTCAATCCTGCGTATAATCTCGGTTATAGATAGCCTTGTAGTCTCAGAATATAGGACTCATGGCGTGATGCGGGGTTATTCACGAATCATTCCGCAAAGAGTGACGTTTCGTCGATCGATGATGTCGGTGGGTTATAGTTCCAAACGCCCCGAGTCTGGGCCTGTCCTGATCATGCATCAGCTAATGAGTGTTTCAAAGCTGTTGCCTGGGCGGTGTAACCTTTCACAACAAATAGCGCACATTTTTTCCAGCAAAACTTTCAAGTAACGACATATCACAGTGGCCCAGTCAATATGATCAATTGAATGATCAAGGGATTGTCGGAGACTTGAAAAGTGTTCACCTAGCTCGGGAACATTGTTCTGAGAATCGGAGCCCACTTCCCCGCCAGTCAGCCCATCATGGGCCACGGAAGTTTTTCCAAAAATGCAGCCATTTGCCAATCAGAGCCCTCATCCTATGCACGTCCACTGCGCATCATCCAGATTAGATCCATATAATATAGATTTGACATTGACATCGCTCTGCGGGGGTAATGCCCCACCAAGAAACCACTAGACCACATTCTGACTAGCCCGCTGATCTATTTCCGAACTAGGTAAAGCCTCCTATTAGCCTCTCCTAGGGTTCCGCAGAGATCAAGTTATTGGGTGGGGTTATTTGCATGTACCTGCACTCCTCATCTGCACTCACCTGTACTGCCATGGTGTATTCATTTTCATAAGCGCCCTTTGCTGCGGCAATTATTCTGCTCCCGGGCCACCTTCCTGCCATGCAACATATTATTCTCGAGGCCCGAGCATCTCCTAACTTTTTTAGTATTCCTACAGACAGGTGTTCTCAACCTTGTTTTTCATCCATTAGAGGCCCGGAAACTAAACCCTTACTAAACTGACACGTTGCACCCGAGTGTCTCCATTCTCAAGGACTTGGAGTTTTTCGTCACCTATCATTTTCGAATGGCGTCTCCTGAGTGGCTCAATCATTCGAATTTTCGATGGTTCGTCGAGAAGTTTGAACATTGCTGCGAGGTACCCAGCTCCAAGTATTACTGAGACAAACCCACACCAGATGCTCTGACCGTTAGTAACGACAGGCCCTCAAAGTGAAGGGCCGGAAAAGAGGATGATCGTCGTTCAGGTCAACGGTGGTCCTGCCTTGACGCATGGTGCCGCAGTAGAGAAAAGGTTCTCATCCGAATGCTAGTCAAATCCTCTCCACGGCCGAAGGCAATGCTGCCACCCCTATTTAGCACCGACAAATAATTTGCTGATTGAGTCGAAAACCCAGAAATAGAGATATGAGTAAATTGAGGGTCTTATTTTTTGTCATGACGCTCAGCAATAAGTCGCTCAATACAGTATGAGACTTTTGGACAAATTTCCAAGGTTCCTCGCCGGACTCGGTGTACTGTAACGTATTGTGATCATCTGCGGAACCAATGATATGAAAAACGAAGGGAGAATCTGCGAATGTCATAAAATTTGACTTACTTCGAGAGTCGGATCGTATTAAAGATAAAAACAAGTAAGACTAAATTCTGTAAATGACAAAATATACTCTTAGCATGCACACTTCTGCTTCGCTGGCCCTATAAAGTATTCATGTGCTCCATTTCCATCTTAATTGCCCTCACTCTCTTCGCAGTAATGTTGGCTAACGTCGTTTGGACTGATATTATTCTAAGAGTTACGCTGACGCATGCAGAACAGAACTATTAACAGGGTTTTGTGCAAGTTATTTTCATTCGTTTCCGACTATCCCACGAATATAGGGCTTTTGATTGGCATAGCACTGAATTTCCTGTTCCTTGGGAAGAGTGCCTGCTAGAATATAAGCTTTGGCAACTCGATCCGTGCAGTCCGACCTGTCACGTCTAGAGCTATGCCCATAGGCATGATTAACAATCAACCGGGCATTTTGGCCCATCTCCGCTAGAAGCCTTCTTCCATTGCGCAACGGTGTTGCAGGATCATACGGGGAGGCGATAAGGAGGACAGGAGTCTTGAGAGTGTGATTGAGGTCGCCGCGATACACCTCAGAAGGGCGGGACCAATAGGTGTTGTAATATCGACAAGGAAGAACTGCGAAGAAGCGAGAATTGCCTGCCATCCAACTCTGGGCGGTCATGTTCGCCCACAGATGATCCCACCAATCAAGCCCATCTGGGAGGGGTGCATCGTATGAATCAGAACAGATCACGAGAAGATCGAGTTCGCTGGAAGATGGGACATAAGGATAAGATGGCTCCTCGGAATGGTCACTCCACGAGAGATCTAATTGGTTGGCTGCTAGTGTAGCATTCCCGGCTTCGAGCTCATAGAGCAATTGTGCAGTACCCGGCCAATCCATCGGCCTATACATAGCCGGATAGATAATTCTTTCCACGAGGGCTGAGTATGTGACCAGGGATGGGCCGCCTGTTTCTGTGTATGCGGATTGTGGGCGAATTTTGAGCGACTCGAGTAGTTTGGCCATGCGCACTTCCAACTGTGCGAGGGTGACCGGGCCGTCCTGCTCGGAAATAGGATTTGCCAACGCACACCACTCCGGACCGGCGCTGATACACTCGCCTAAAAACCCGTCACGCCAAGCATCTGTCGCATTGTCGAGAGAGGTCCAGCCAAAGCCACCGAGGAGGCGGTGATCCTTGACATATTCCGTGCCATCAAGAATCATGCGACCCGCTCTATTGGGAAACATGTTGACATATGTCTGACCAATTCCTGTACCATAGCTGACAAAGTATCCCGTGACTCTCTCTTCGTGTAGTGCTTTTCGGATCTCATCTAGGTCACGCGCCACCGACGCTGTGCTGACGAAACGACCAAGATCTCCTAGCCGTTGCTGGCAGGCAAAGAATGTGGCATTGTTCATGGCATCCACCATCTCCAGTTGGCCCTTTGGAGCCTCTTCGCGATATTGGAGTGTTAGGAGTGACCACCGGTCCCGGAATTTATTCTGAGGGAAACATGCCGCGGCGGGGAGAGAGAAATTGACGCCGCGCGGGTCCCAACCAAGCACATCGAGTTGCCCATTACTGAAACGGTTGGTCATCTCCTCCGCAGTCTCCCAAAGGAAAGATGTTCCACTTCCTCCCGGGCCTCCCGGGTTAATGATGATAGTGCGCTTACTCTTCTGGCTCTTAGGGGAAATACTGGGATTGTTTCTATCCAGACCCGCGACTTGGAACTTGTTGACTGCAATGCGGACTATACGAGGGTCTGACGAATTGTGGTAATCGAGTGGGAGATCTAAGTATCCACACATATAGATGCCCCGGCCTGTGCTGCCCCAGCTCCAATGGTTGGGGTTGGGATCGAAGACGGCGGCCCATGATTGCTGCGGAGTCGGGTCGTCCAGTGGCGGCGGACGACTGGCGTTAGTGCAGGGGAGAAATTGGAATGGGTCGTTCTTTTGTGGGAATGATCCATAGGGCGAGTCTTCGACATGAAGATCGTACCGAAAGACCCAGCGCTGCGCTGAGATAGGGAAGTTGTCGAACCTCATCATACCCACTATTCCCAAGGCTGCTGCCATGCAGAAGATGAACCTCCAGGGCCATTTTCGAGGCGGAATTGAGGAATTGAGTTGCTTTTTCTCCATGACGAAGTTCCTGGGGATCAAGGTGAATTTTACTGTCCAAGAGGGCAGCCGTAAGTTAATGAGGTTCGAATTGAGGGGATCACGTCATCGTCGGCGCCAGGCTCCTTGTGGATGCTTGCAGGTGTTGTTTCTAGGGTAACCCAGTGCTCCCGAAAGAAAAGACACACCTGGCTCTATCTCATTTTTCCATTCTTCCTGCCACTCTATCTTGCACTTATCGGGTTTGTCTCTCAAAGGCGTACGAAGGTCTTAGACCTGGGTATTTCTCGTCCATGGAAATCCCCACTACATCCATGGGAATTCCTATTTCCCCGCATTTTACGTACAATTTCTCGAACTAGATGGATAACCTGCTGAATTAAAAGTATTTTTTATTGTTTTTAGACATGTTTCGGTCACGGCCGCGGGGTGGTAATCTTAACGTGACTAATCAGCACAAAGTAAAGTCCTGCGGATCCAAGCCCCCTTACCCGGCCGGTTCACCAATCGGGACATCACAACTGGAAGGCGGGTGGAGATCTGGTCAGATACAAGGGGTCAGGGTAAATGAATTACACAAATACACATATCCATGTCGTATCAACGGAGATTGATGTGCTTCCAATTGATTGGTATAGCTATATACATATGCGGAATACTCACACGTCCCTTCTAGGAAGAGAAAATCATCATTTGACCAAGGCTTCTTGCTTAAGCATCAGAACCTTGCTACAAAAGAATGGTTGCGTACAGTACAGCGATCCTAGTAAGATAACCCGTGGACTGATCGTCGCGCGACTTAATCCTCACGTTGGTTCTCACCTTGATTCTCACTCCACTATAGCGCACTCACCCTTCTCATCCTGGGTCGCACGACTGTAAAGCGGCGAACAGTTTTTTTTTTCCACCAGGCTAGTCCAACTTTATTGGCCCAGGTGGGCGTTCGACTGGTGGCTTAAGTACGGCTGAGCGGGCGGGAAGCCCTGTTTTCCACATCCTATGGTCGCATGTGCTTGGATGATCATTGAACAGAATTTTACAGTGATGAGTGAGATGGTGCGGGTAAAAAGGCGACAATCGCCCTCTCAACGGTGGGAAATGGAGATCCAGTGAATCGGAGCGTTTGACTCGAAACACTCATTTTCTTGGATGGGAGAGATGTGTGACCGGGCAAGTTGCCGGGGACAATACGGATTTGTTTCAGCCACTACTATCGCAAACAATACTGGCAAGATTGATGGAGGAAACGGATGCAGATTGGTGGCGTACAGAAAATTGCTATAGAAAACCAAAATTAAACTACATAGCTTGTCATACAATGTGACTGCCCAGGCATATCCATGGCTACACTACATAGCTCAACACCAGGTACCACGCATATGCGCAACATTACACAGGCCACTTCCTCTTTCAAATGCTCCTTGAGCGCAACGAACCAGGGCACCAAAGAGTACTAGGCCCCATTTGGAGTGCTTGGAACATTCGCTCGAGACTTTGGGGTATTTTGGTTCGTGGCAGAGTCCCTTTTTTTGCTCCCCCATCCCCTCCGGGTCCACTGAGCCGAATAAAAATATTAGGACCATACTTTATCCTCCCATTGTCTTAAGAACCAAGAGCCTGCAAGTCCAAAGTCCATATTTCCATCGTTCATAAAGTCGAAATTGATATCATCAATAGAGGGCATTGCAATTGCGTCACCGCCTATCCCGCATGCCACATTGGGATCCATGGTAACGCTCGAGAGTAAATTCGCAGCTGTGGATCTCAGTATATCATGGCAGACGATGAGACTGTCCCTTGCAGACTTGACAATAGTATCTTTGGTTGACGTGTCGCTGAGCATGGCATCCACTTGACCCATAGCCATACTCATAAACACATAGCTCTTCACATTTGTCTCACCAAACCGAAGTCTATCGTGGGCATACTGAACAAGGTTCCTCGCATCTTCCAACAGCGGCTCCCTGCGTGCCTGGTTGCGTTTCCTCACTAATGCAGAGCTCTCTTTTTCCAGCTGTGTGATTAATTCCAAAAACACCAACATAGCACCAGAGGTCACAATATCTCGAAACATGCCTCCACCAACAAGCAGTAGGCGACGGTATATCTCGTCGTCAAGAAGTGAGACTAGATAAAGCGCGGCCTCAAGGCCTACCTTTGAAGAGTAGCTGTTCATCGGATTGTGTGCGGCTTTGGCTGCATAAGGAAGGTGAAGGCACAACAGAAATCGACGGTGAAAATGGTCGCACCAACTATATGGAAATTCTGTCGGCCACAGGTCCTTGGCAACTGACTTGTGGTGATCAATGGTGACAGTCGCATTGCGACAAACCGACGCTAACTCCTCTCCGAGACGCACAACGCGATCATATGGAAGCTCCTCCTTCAACGTATTGATGACCCTAGCAGCCTCCAGCCTTAAAAGCACGGATGTGGCTAATAAACATTGGAATGAAGCCCGCGTTGGCGTTGAAGGCATTTCCTTAGAGGAATCCCACTGCATTTCATTGTCCAAATCTTCGTCGTTGAGATTCAAAGGCGGACGGGTGTCAAAATCATCACTGGTGACCATGGGACGCATGCCTGAATCCAAAGCAGCCTGCACATTCAGCTCCAAAATTGTGTACCAGAGTCTTCTTCGGATCTCCTTTTGTAGCCGCGCCATTCCCCCTAGGTGGTCGGGATCTTGATGCAGTCCCATCTGTATCGCCATTCGCATCAATGAGCCAGCTGAGATCCAGACTAAATCTGCTCCGACACAATTCACCTGGCGAGCGAGAAGAAGTAAACAATAAATTTGTAGTCCATCTATTGAGAGGCGATCTTTTTCAATGGGTGCGGAGACCCAACTTTGAGCAACATGAATCCAGCTGCGGGATTTCGCGCGCAATTCCTGCTGCAAGCCGGCATCTTCAACCAAGGAAGTTGCAGTAGACATCACTAGTATAAGGATCACCACAAAGGAGGTCTTTGCAGTTCCCGAGTCCTTCATATAGCCCTCATACTCTGCTCGGAATGATGGAAAATGAAGTATGCGCAAACATGATTCAAAAGAGTTGAAGTATATTTGCACCAATTGATTGGTCACCGCAGGATCGGGGAAGGTCAGACGTAGGCCGGTGGGCAGTGGACCTCGACTAGGGCGTTGTGATTTGATATCCCGAGCAAGCTGTTTGCATTTCTGCAACACGTCTGAGATCCCAGGAATTGGAGTGTCACTTGTTTGTTCAGTTGTCATGAGTCCCATTTGGGTAATGGGATCCAAGTTTGGTAGTCTTTCCGCCTGTTTTCATCCGCGAATTTCATCAGAAACGGCAAGGGAACAATATGAAGTAGAGTAAATGTGCGCATACCATATGAAATGTGCTCATCCAATGGCCATGACCAAATATTCTTGTCTTCGATACGGTACCCACGATTGGACCAGATGCAGATGAAACTTGTGGAGTTTCCGTCGATTTGTGGCTGGTGGGGAACGTATTGTGTGGTTGGTGAGAGCCTCTGGCTCTCTCAGTTACACCCGTTTCAGCACCACTTGTGGTGTTTCCGGAGGCCCATCGGCCGGCAATATGGCCAAGAGACTGAGAATGGTTCAAGGGGCGCACGTCGCCTGTACAAATTTCAGTCGTAACGGCAATTTCAGCCCTTCGGCTTTTCTTCTCGTTTATTGTTGTCCGGTCATCTTCTATGTATGTACACAAGTCGGAGTTACGTTGTGCACACTGTTCGCAGGGGCTGTTTCGGTCACATTTTACCTTACGGAGCCGGCATGGAGCACAAGCCAAGGCTGGACGACGGCGTTTCCTGGGTAATGGCCTTGGAAGCATTATTCCTCGGCCTAAACAATGGTAAATGGTAAAGCTTCGTTCTAATGAATCGGAGGTAACTGCGTGTCGCCAAAGATATGAAAAGTCCGGATGAGGGATTATCTAAGAGAGGGTGAACTATTATCTCAGGAGCAGATTTAGATCTGCGGAACTCAAAAGAGCATGCAGCTCCACAATTTACCGATATTCTGCTCTATCTCCGAAAAATGTGGCGATGGTCAAAGTATGTTTCCATATCACTGAACGGAGATTTCGGTTTCAATTTCGGACTCTGGCTAACTGCAATTTCCCGAGTTGTCCGATCATGCAAAATTCAGTTGACTGGACTATGTAGAATACTAAAAGCATTTGAAGTTGCGCAAAGAGTCTTTTTGTTCCGACTTCGTTTTATCCACCGTTGTTGATTAAACTTGCGGTATCCTTCACTTGCCTTGGAATTGTAACCAATATCATGCAGACCCCTATGGATGACCGGGCCAGTGTGACTGTCGAGGACGGTAGCCTTGGTAGTACAGAAGAAGTCAAAGCAGAGCAGCCGCAAGCCACCTTCCCGGAAGGTGGACTCCGTGCATGGAGTGTTGTTGCCGGAGCCTTCTGCATCTCATTTTGCACCTTTGGATATTTGAATGCATATGGGTAAGTGTCATCCATCGAACGACTAGCAGAACTATTGCTAATTTGTTCGTCCATATAGCGTCTACCAAAATTACTACTCAACGCATCAACTCATGGGCAAGTCTGCATCCACAATCGCATGGGTAGGGTCTGTACAGACCTGCCTCTTGCTCGGTGGGGGAATAGTGGGAGGTCCTTTGTTTGACAAACATGGTGCAAAGGTAATTACTTTCAAATTTTGACTCATGAAGTATATTAATTCAACGATCTGACGACTTGCAACAATGATAGGTCATATGGCCCGCTGCGGTTGCATTTATATTCTCCGTTATGATGACATCCCTTGGCAAGGAATATTATCAATTCATGCTGGCACAGGGTATTCTTGGCGGACTAACTTGCGGTATCATGTTTTCGCCGGCAATGGCCGCAGTCAGCCATTATTTCCAAGCGAAAAGAGGTGCTGCACTTGGGATAACTGTTACTGGCTCTTCGCTGGGAGGAGTAATATTCCCAATCGCATTGAGTAAAATGTTCGAGAACGAATCCTTAGGCTTCGGTTGGACAGTGCGCATCATTGGATTTATCATGTTAGCGATGCTGTCCTTGTCGTTGGCTACGGTTCGACAACGTTTACCCCCACGAAAAGGCACAATCTTGATGGCTTCTGCTTTCAAGCAAGTCGCTTACTCCTTGTTTCTAGCGGGGATGTTCCTAATGATTTGGGGCGTGTTCACACCATTTTTCTATCTAACGGAATATGCCATCGCACAGGGAATGAGCACCAACTTGTCTTCCTACATTCTTTCTATTCTCAACGCCAGTTCGGTCTTCGGTCGACTTCTACCTGGTGTGCTGGCGGACAAAGTGGGGCGGTTCAACACAATCTGTCTTTTTGGTTCATCGACGGGAGTCCTCCTCCTTTGCTGGATCGCTGTTAAATCAAACGCAACCATTATCGTCTTTGCAGCCCTTTATGGTTTCTTCTCGGGGGCGATCGTCTCCCTGATGTCCCCTTGCATCGCGCATCTTTCGCCCACACCCAGTCACATCGGTACTTACCTCGGTATGGGGATGGCTGTCATTTCAGTGGCTGGCCTAACGGGAACACCGATTACAGGTGCGCTGATCGATCACTACAACAATTATACACAGGCCGCCATCTTTAGCGGAGTTTCGACATTGGTTGGTGCGGCGTTGGTTTTTGTGGCAAAGCTTACGATGGAAAAAAATCCATTGGCCCGGATCTAAGATTGGGAAGGTCTGCGTAAGCACACTAAAATGATTGCTGCCAAGTCCCAAATACTTCATCTATATATAGAACGCTTCTTTTTCTGTGATTGAAATAATAATTGACTATGTTCGAAATCAAACCCTTGGGCATACTGAATGAAAGAAAACATTTTCCTAACTGAGCCTTATAAAAGCTTGAAGACCATCAAAATATTGTTTTCGAACCACCCGGGTAGCACTGCTTGAAAATTACTTGGATCAATGGAGACGGTCTGATATTTGTATTGATGAATGACATGGCTCAACCCCAGCGGCGACGGTAACCGATTAGAGAAGCAACAGGTTTGATGGAACATTAACTTTGATTGATTGATTGATTGCCCGAACAGAATGTTCCAATCTTCAACGGCCCGAGACCATAACTCCGATACTCCTACCCCCGAGAAGTCCGCCGGCAATAAGTTCAGGATTGCCACTGGATCATTCTTCTCCTTGGCCGAGCTTTTTAAGTACAACTCTCGGAGATGATGTCGCGTCGTTGGATCACCAGCCGTAATGGCGGAGGTATCGCTATGCCAGCTCGGAAGAAAGCTTTCCGATGCTTTCTTTTATTTAAAATCGTACTGACTTTGGAAAGACCACGCCAACAACATCTACAGTACTACGACGTGACACTATTATACAGCCCTCTCATCTGAGTCAACTGTCAATTGAGCCAACCGTTGTGCTCACTGCTCATTTAGTCTTTGCTCACGCTATGGCACCCCTGAAAGTCCTCATCTGCGGTGGAGGCATTGCCGGTCCTGCCCTCGCTTTCTGGCTATCAAAACTTGGCCACGAGGTTACAGTTGTCGAGCGATTCCCCAGTCTCCGTGTCAGCGGACAGCAGCTCGATCTACGGGGCCCCGGTATCCCAGTAATGAAGCGTATGGGCCTCGATGATCTTTTCCGGGCCCAAGGGATCAAGGAGGCGGGCATACAGTTCGTCGATGACAACGGTAAACGGAAGGCTTTCTTTCCAGTCAACACGTCGGGTGAGGGATTACAGAGCTTCACAACTGAATACGAGATTATGAGAGGGGACCTCTGCCGCATGTTGTATAATCTTGGCAAGGATCATGTCAAGTACATATTCGGTGTTCACGTCGAAAGTTTTGAACAAGATGCCGACTCAATCAGCGTGAAGTTCTCAGATGGAAAGGCGGAAACATTCGATCTTTTGGTCGGTGCGGACGGGCAAGGATCGCGCACTCGGAGGATGATGCTCGAACCGAACGACCCAGATCCATTCCACTTTATGAAACTATACATCGCATACTTCACAATTCCTCGAGAGGAGGGAGATGAATATATGAGCACCCTTTACAACGCTCCAGGAAAACGTTTTGTTTTCACTCGAAGGCATGCACCGGACACAATCCAGGCATATCTCGGCTACTGCACTTCTTCGGACAAATTGGATAATGTCAAGAAGAGCGACATCGCAGAGCAAAAGAAAGCCTGGGCTGAACTATTCGCCGATGCTGCCTGGAAAACACCGCGAATTATCAATGATATGCAGAATGATGAGGCAGCAAACGATTTCTATTCCCAGGAAGTGGGACAGGTGAGACTGGACTCATGGTCTCGGGGTCGAGTGGTTCTTCTCGGGGATGCTGCTTATTGCCCATCTCCAGCGACAGGGATGGGTACCACATCGAGCCTTACTGGTGCCTATGTTTTGGCAGGTGAGATTGGCAAGTACTGCAATCATCTTGAAGCTTCAAATAGTCCTAAGGACCCTCTTTTCAAAGCCTTGAGCGAGTACGACAGAAAGTTCCGACCCTTCATGACGGAGGTACAAACGCTGGGACCCGGTATGCCAAACATTGTAGCCCCAGAGACCTGGTGGGGCATTTCTGTGATGCACTTTATCTTGTGGTTGGCTGCGTTGCTAGGCATTGATGCAGTTGCACAATGGTTTCTACGCGAACAGAATTCATGGAAGCTGCCATTCTATGAGGAGTTGGCTAGTGCTACCCAAGGGACACCTGATTTTGCTGAGGCTAAAAAGTCTCGTTGAGTCCAGATGAAAAAACCAGCGAGCTTGACAAAGACAATTCAAACCTTGTCTGGAGCAATCGCAGCTCGACATCGAGCACCCAGGTGCCAGGAGGCCTAACTTTCGCGCAAGGCTTTTGATCATTTTGTGCGTTGTATTTTACTCAATCTTTTCTCCGTAAAATAAAGACTCCAGCTTGTTATGAAAATCGATTATCCACAAAGTAGACTTCCTATTCCAAGCAGGCTGCATCCCGGCGTACATCATGCAAAGAGGTAGTCTTCCATAAGAATAATTGCCATATCGCACCCAGATCCTGGGACAGCAATATCCTACATGGATTGGGTGATAATATTCATTATTCTTCATCCGATTATTCTCTCGTGATTCACAATCTATCTCACTTGTTCGTCCTAGGGCGTTGAGTTTGCGAGGAAAGTGTTACTTCACATATTAAGGGCTCAATTTAACATATATGACACAGGAACCAAAAAAAAAAAATATTTGCAAGTCAATAATAGAAAATTTTAGTCTTCGGATGCTCAGCTTTCCTTGTTTCGACGGAGACGGAGATAACCAACATAGCTCGGCCGAAGTTTTCGGGTATCCATGTAGTAAGAATGGTCACAAAGTAACATTGTTAAATGAGACTCATAAAACTGCGCATCCCTCAACATCAAGTCTTACCAAACAGAATGTTGAATACTACGATCCTCATATTCAAGTTCGTTGGAGTGGTCTTCGCTGCCGTTGGCAATGTCATCAAACAAAAAATCGCCTCCGCGATCCATCGTTACCGTTACAAGCCGGTGGATTCCCCTAAAAACATTGTGATAATCGGAGCTTCCTTCGCGGGATACCACACCGCTAAATTGCTGGCTAACTCTGTGCCGACCGGTTACCAAGTCGTCGTGATCGAAAAAAGCTCCCATTTCCATTTCACATGGGTGTTCCCCCGTTTCTCGGTTGTCAACGGACACGAACACAAAGCGTTCGTCCCCTACGGGCCCTACTTAAAGGGGGCACCTAGAGGGAGCTGGCGGATGATACAGGATACCGTCCTAGAGGTAGGCCCGTCCATGATCTCGCTACAAAGTGGAGTCAAATTAGAGTATGAGTTCCTGGTTCTTGCAACGGGCTCCCACGCAAGTTGTCCATCTAGGCTCAATGTGAATGAAAAAACCCATGGAATCAAGGCCTTGCAGGAATTTCAAAATCGGATCCGGAACGCGAGTGATATGGTGGTAGTGGGTGGGGGACCTGCTGGTGTCGAACTTGCTTCGGATGCCAAGAGCGCCAACCCTCACAAAATTGTGACATTGGTCCATTCGCAGAAGACCCTGCTGAACAACTTTGGAACTAAGGTCCATGACGTTGCGCTCGAGGCCTTGGAGGGGCTCGGTGTACGCGTGATCCTAGGCGAGCGGATACAAACCCAGGGCGAGAATGACGGTAGTGTGGTGTTGGGGACGGGGGCAGCGATCCCTTGTGATTTATTGGTATGTAGCCCTTATTGGCATTGTGGATGGGGCTTACTCACCACAAGATTCGATGCACCGGCCAAAAGGCTGCGTCAAATATCATCGCCGAGCTTTGCCCCGATATCGTCTCTCCCTTAGGTGGCTTTGTGAAAGTGAAGTCTACATTGCAGATCGCGGACGATCGGTTCAGCAATATTTACGCCGCTGGTGATATCATTGCGTCCACTGGTCCCAAGAACGGTCGCTCTGCCACACAACAAGCAGAGATTGTGAGCAATAACGTCCTCCGCGCGATCCGGGGCCAATGTCTGACCATTCATCACCCTAATATGTTGATGGAAGGCGGCATTGAGTTAACACTTGGACTGGTAAGTGGCCTTTTGCCGGCCTTTGTAAAGCACCGGTAACTGACTATTACAGGAGAAAAACATAGTCTACCTTACAGACGGCCTGAGAGACATGCTTCTGACCCTTACATCGAAGGAAATCGCGTTAAAATCCGAGTCTTGCTGGAAAAGGATGGGGGCAACGCCATTCTTGGATGAGGCCTGGGAGGCGGCTCCGTGATATAGTGATGCTAGACGGCGTGTTAAATCCAGAAGTCTTCAAGGGAGACTGGCTAGTTATACTAAGGTGCTTCTGTGCCATGTCATGTTCCCACCATTCAAGTAAATTAACGCATTACCTGGGTGGTCTTGTTCTTCAGAACAACGACCCTGCGCTGGCAGGAGCTGGGCTCTGTAGAATTTTTACGATTAGTCACTCACCAAGTCGTAATAAATGATTATCGAGCCTTTCTTCACTTATAAGGGTAAGCATTCTCGTCCTCTAATAGCCGTAGCGAAATTAACGACGAATATAGGGTCTCTGAGCTAGTGCCGTATAGGATAATATGGTCTTACATTATAGAGGGCATGTTCATAGTATGGCTTTGACCTACGCTAAACTAGCACTTCTCACAGTTATCGCAGTGCCTCATTATGTTGAGGCTCTATTAACAATCATAAGGCCACTTTATCTTGCACTAGCACTCTTTCCTATGGCTATCGCGCTCCCCGCTGCAATACCTCCGATCAAACCATGAGCGGCGGCTGCTGCTGCTAAACAAACCACAGCACCGCTAGCTCCCACGACCACACATGCGGCCAGAACATGGTTTCTGAGTGGTCTGTCTTGCAACCTATTATATTTTAGCATAGGGAAAGGACGATCGAGGGTGTAGAGCCTGGCATGATGATCCAGGTCAGCGACTCCATATATAATTAGCAAGATCGCAAGGGTTTCATGCAATAAATTTGCGAGATCGAGCCTTACCAGGACGAAAACCACGCTCATCAAAGTTGTAGACTAGCTGCGCGGGGATTTCTTGTAGCAAAATTTCAAGCTGAGGGTACCAGTGAACAAGAAAGCCAGCATCTTCTAACTGTATGCGTTTAGATTCTTTCGTCCTTTGCTTGGCTGAGCGTAAATTTAGGTCTTTTGGAAGGTGTTTCACAAAGCGATAGGCCCACATCTTGCTGAAATGTCTATCTTTGCCCGCGCGAGCAAGTGCCCGATTTGCCCATTGCTTGAGACGGGGAAGAGAGAGAGCTAGCTAATTTATGGAGGATATGCCCATCAGGGAACGCAGGCCAAACATATAAAGACGGCAGATTATATCCTTTTAGAGTATCTACAAATTTCAATACCCAAGAAATGATTTAGCTGTGTAAACTGAGGACCAGTGTACGAAGGTGTATAGACGCCAAAGGTCAAATGCGTTTTTTTGCAATTTTGATGCCTGAAAATGTCTATTGGGGCCTTATTTAAAATTGGCAGAAAATTAGGATACATGAATTACTATGACACGCGCCTTGTTTTGCAAAGTATCTAAATTGATATTCCCACCACACTCAACGTCATGCACCCCTCAAATTGTCCCTCCACACAATTATTCACCTCCAAATCCTCCCCCGCTGGCTCCGTGAATCACGAATATTGGTGTCCGATTCAAGATGAAATGGAGATGAAATGGCGGTCCTCCAGCCAGCCACAATACTTGACCAGGAATGCGCTCGCCTACTCGTAATGCAGATCAGCCGCCCACCTTCCTATTTTCAGATTGTGATATCGCCTAGGCTTCATTAGCCTAACTCTCTCTCCATACAACAGCAAACTACTTGAGGGCCCGTTCAGTCAACGGTGGGCTACCGAGAGCCAACCAGTTCCCAATAGTTCGGTGCTGGCTGCTAGTCACATGTTGGTTTAATATAACTCACGGCCTGCAAGCCTATGAGCCAGAAGATTTTCGACTTTGCTCGGGCTCAGTGAGCAACGAGGTGAGTGGGCGTGGGTCCACTTATCCCCAGACAACACCCTGTCTACATGCAGATATGCACACAGCATATCGGCTACTTCTTGAACTATGCCGCTTTCGAGTCATGACAGAGATACGCAAAATCGTCGGTGGTGCCGCGCTAAACCAAGCCATCTGCGACGGAGTGGGTCGGGGCGAGAAGGCGGACCCGCATCCACGGCCGGGGCCGACCCAGGATGGCTGGAGGCGGGCTTCCCGGTGCGATCTGCGGCGTTGATTTGTGGACGATGGATAGGACTAGGTCATGTAAACTATCTACAGTACGTACTGATTGAGGTGGGCATATGAGCGGGGAGTAATATGCTCTGTGCAGTAGGAAACTGTAGGATTGGCCGTCGCCCGTGTAATGCATATTTTCAGCTCCTATATAAACCCCTCATCTCAAGCTGAAATGCAGCCCAACTCCACCATATCCACCGCAAAATACAAATCAGAAGCCAGCATGTCTGACGCTGCTCACTTCAACCTATCTACGTCTGTAACCCGATCGGACTCAGTGGAAATTGGAATGACCAAGATGGTTTTTGAGGCATTGAATGCACGTTCAATTTTTGAGTCACTGCGCATGTAATGTAGTATGTGGACCCCTGGTTCCGCCGCGGATCGCCCTTAGATGGGAATAAGCCCAACTCCCAGCATACCAGCCAGTATACTAGTTGTATAAGTGGGGGTTCCACCTTCAGAGAGGCTTGATATATGAGAGCTGAACCTTGGAAAATGACTCATATAGCCACATAGCTGAGGTGTGGCGACAAAATCAATTCGTACAGTCTTGCACTGCCGAATTCCTAGTTTTCTAAAATGTTAGGACCACATTCGGCTCGACCATACGATAATTGTATACCAAGATCTATGACCACATAATTTTCTAGATCTAGCGTAATACATAAATGTGTGACAGTGACAATAGAGCCTAGAGATTAGTGACAAGAACTGAATCATTCATGCCAAGAAGCAAGTCCTTTCAGCTCAATGCATTGCAACGTCACGGGCCCAGATTTGGCAAGTAGAACGTCCATCATGTGCAATAGAGTGGGGATGGCAGGCTTCCTATTGTTATTCGCAACTTCACCTAGCAAAGATCGATCCTCAGCTCGTGGGTCAACTTGGAAGACATGATGAACTTGACTGTTTGATTGGACTGTAAGCAACTTGGAGTAAGATATTCTGGTGAGGCTGCGTCCTACAGAGAAAGCAAGGGAGCTGATGGGCTGCCTCATTTTATGCAAATTGCAAATTGCAGAGCTGAGTAACCGGGACCGATGGATAGGAGGCTTGGCAGACGACGTCGCAACATATAAAGGGAGACACGTTCCCTCCTGAATCAATTTCATCCTTAGAGTATCGCAATACAGCAATTGAGTTCCCAAATACAGACAACCAACTTATCAAGCCACCCTTTTCATCCAAGGTCTCATTAAATATGTCTAGCCCTCACAACACTCTCGGTAACGACGAGTGGCTGCTCACGGGCAACAGCCTGTTCAGTGAGAATGGGGTCTACGAGTTTAGAATGCAGAAGGACGGCAAAATTGTCGTGTACGAGAACGGCGAGCCAAAGTGGCAGAACACCAAAGAGCAGCGCTCCGACGTGAAGGGTGTCAAAATGCAGGCAGATGGAAACCTGGTCATCTAGTAAGCTTACTCCCCTCTGTTCACCCTCTTCTTGCATGCGATGTCTTTATAGAGACCTTTGTAGCTGACAGTTATGTGCAGCACCCAGAATGGCGAAGCCATCTGGCACTCCAATACCGCTCCCAAGAAAGATGTCATCCTTGTAATTCAGAATGACGGCAACCTCGTTATGTACGAGGGCAGCCCAGTCTGGGCCAGTTCGACCACCCCCTCCGCATAATGAAACTTCACCCAGAGACAGAAGCTGGAAGTCGAGTATAAGTGGAAGATGGCATGAGAAAACTGGGGTCAATTCAGTGAAGGTCTACGTTGGTAAACTGTAGATAAGAGTTACCTTTCCCGTCGATCATATTGGGATCCTGGGATGGTCCACGGTTTTACTTCCATATCTCCCTCTCGCAGGAATGACCACGTTTTCTTCTTTGACCACGATTTAACTTTCAACTTACTACTTGGAGGCTTTTAATCAAATGTGGAAGAGATTTCGGGGTTGAATATATATTTCCTCTGTTGAGATCCATGTGTTGTAATATATGACTAGACAGTGGTATCTTGGTAAGAAACGTATGTCAATGAACGAGGTGTTTTGATTCGGGCTCTCTGAAGATGTACATCTACAGCTATCTGTAGTAGTGAAAATACATTGAGCGAGAGCGCGATGGACCGCAAGAGTTCCATAGTACAGAGCATCCAATAAACTCTACATGGCTGCTGCGCATGAATCCAGAGATGTTGAGGCCTCAGACTTGCAGGGCCAATATTTCAACACATGATAGGTATTTAAAATACCTTATGTCTATGTATAATCGATACTTGCACCTCATTTCGACCACTGATAGCCATTGGTCCGATCCTCTCATGGCCCCATGGCCCGATCTGCGTGCTACATCACCTTCTATCAGTCATTTCACCCCCCCTTATATTAGGCACAAAGAACCCCCCATGGACACTCAATTCCTGACGTCGATCCCAACCCAAAGTGAAGACATGTTTCACATGAAGTGTTGATTTGGGCGTGGCCGGGATAAGTGCAATATGCGGAGATGAACTATCTTCGGGCTGCTTAGTGTTATAATTACCGCTAAAAAATAGTATGTTTACCGCCCTAAAACATAGCAGATTTTTCTGTATTTTTCACAAAACCGTGTTTGCATTGTTTGCGACCTAGTTTGGGGCCCCAGGCCCAGTTTGGGTTTCCCAGTCCGACCCAGGACCCAGTACTGGGTTGGGCGGGGTTGGGTCCGGGTTGGGTCCGAGTCCGGGTTTTACTGGGTCGTGCGGAAGTCTACCCGAAAGGGCCACTTCCGGCCTCTAACTTACCGACGCTACAAATTCCTTATTGAATAAGGCTACGGCTAGACCTTACGTGATTATATAGGTAGTAGATAGGCATAGTGATTAAGGGGTAGATCTTGCGAAAGGTCATCTACTAATATACTATCTACTAGATCTACTATAGAAGAACTTAGGGATGTAAGGACGCTCCTTTCATATATCTAGTTTAGTTCTTCGTCTTTAATTATATTTTATTACTCATGAATACCTAGAGAACTTTAGAGACTCTTTACTTAATTATAACTTAACATACACTACGAATAGACTAATACTCTAGTATAGATCTACGAGTAGACTCTGGAATCCAAAGAGAACAGATGCCATTTTTTCTACTAAGACTTCTTTAAAGTTTAGGCATCAGCCCCACTACGTGGCATCTTTATGCAGTTCGAATAGCTTAGCAGTTTTGTCTTTCTCTTTCCCCGAATCACTCTATTTTCCTTTTCTTTTCATCTTTCTTCGTGATCACTTTAAAAATCGGTTGTTTTATTGGAACACCATGTCTAGCGCCCTGGGGGAACAACTGATATCGGGGTACAGTGAATTCAAATTGAATCGGAAGCAATGTACCTACAAACTAACATCTTTATTTGGAGCAATTAGATCTGATCCAGACACGGTCAAACCAAGATGCGCAGAATTCTATAAAATGACCAGACCGGAGATTCAAGCAACCGACACTTGGAATTCCTGGCTCCCGTTCTTTTCATCAAATCCAAACCTATTTTTACAAATCAGCCAATGCACCTCATGGAATGAAGGCATTGCCTCTCCGGTTCTCAACGTCTGGCGCCCTGGATATTTTGGGGTCTCCCTCCCACGAATAGGGTCCGACCCCATTAAATTGAACGGCTCAAACGATCTCATCGTCACATTACACGGAGATGACATAATGGAAACCCTCAAGGCAAAGGGCTCAGGTGAAAGTAATTCTCAGTCGACAGGGTCAGCGGTTGGGATCGAAATTACCCCACATCGCTTCTTCAGATGCCGTGTGTGTTACTGCCATCGTGGAACTATATCTTTGCCCATTGGTGAGCTATGGAGCTTTACTGAGATCGACGGCGAGCACTATCAATTCAAGCGGGTTGATGATGGTGTAAATAAAAGCGTACCCACAAGGTCACTCGTATGGCAGTTCTGCAATAGCTGGGCACCGCCGAAAGATCTTCCTGCGGACTTGCCATTCGCCGTGAATCGAGACGCCCGAGTCTGTCGAATTAACGAGTTAGGCAATGATTATGAACCAAGATTCGGCAAAAGCCTCGCTGTAATGAATCGAGAGGGATGCGTTCTCTTCGATGAGGTGGAATCAAAAATGGCTGGGATTCAGAGTGATGCTAAGCAGTGGTTGATTCTGCTGTCGGCCCTAGCTATTGCGAGGTATGAAGGTTGGCTAGTAAACTGAGGAACTCCAGTGAGATTATTTTGTCCCTTTTTCTCATGGTCCTGTTCCCTTGACCAGGTGGCACAATAGTTTGGAAGTTGTGCGACAAGAGAGCAGTTTAAGAATGGGGGCGGCAATTAAGCGAGGCTCGAAATATGTTTTGAGCACTGTCTGCCTGTGTATATATGTATAGAAATTATTGGTGAAACTTGCATATCATTTTGACAGTTCCAAGGTTGGTCATAACCTACCAACTAGGTACCTAGATAGCCACTTATCTGGGCACAAATCCGTCGCCTATTCCAGGCTCTCTCACATCGCCCGTTAAGCATTTTAACCATGGCATATCATCCTTCGATCTCAACTTCAACCTCCCAGTGCTTTATACATCTGCTCAACATCACTTCCCATCTGAAGCTCAAGATCATCGATTTGAAGGCGGTAAAATTCTTCCTCGCCTCCTGCCGCTGCGACCATAGCAAGAGGTACATCATCGAGGTATTCCTGCTTCGACATGGAGACTATCAGGATTAGCAAGGATAATATTCCGAAGAAAGATGATACATCTTACCATGGGCGTTGACGCATGCGCGCTTGGCCGACCACATCGCGTGATAGGCATTCGTCGAGCCATCGTTATTTGCATCACCAACAACATAAAGTCCACCAACACTGGACTCCATGTTGCTTTTGACCTTTACGGACTTGCCATCCATTTCCAAGCGCAGCTGCTTGTGTAGACTTGATGTTTGTGCAGTAGGCACAGAAATAAGCATACCATTCGTCACCAAAGGATTGGGGCTGCCACCATTCAGATGAATTTTATATTCGTCATCTTTGGGTTCTATGGCTGTTGTGGTACGCTCGACCTTCGTAATATCGTTCTCCCTGATAGGGATGTTGTAGGTCTTCTTGACAACAGTCTCCCAGCCGGGCCAGCGTGCTTCTGCTTCATCCTTGTCTTCTTTGGTGAGTGCGCCACCGGTCACGATGGTTATATCCGTAGTAAGCTTCCTGAGGTTCAATGCAGACCCAATAGCGCTTGCAAGCTTGCCATAGACAACCATCTTGCGTTTCTTATAGTCGTGTCCGTCGCACCATGGGCACCAAAACACACCCCGTCCAAAAGCTTCGGCAAATCCAGGCTTGTTGGGGAGGATATCCTTGATGCCAGTAGCTAGAATGACCCTCTTGGCAGTGACTTTTCCACCCTTATCGTCGTAAACGCGGAAGCCCTTTTCCAAAGAGATAATGCCAGTGACTTTTGTCTTGCGTGTTGCCCAGAACGAATAATCGGGATATAGCTCATCGATCTGCTGTCTGACCGCTGCCCGGAACTTCAATGGTACTTGGCCTACATTGGGTCAGCATCTAGAAACATTTCATATTCCACTTGGTGGTAATTACCATCCTGGCCAAGCACATCGTGCATGTATCTTGTCTGCTCATTGCGGTACTCCTGCGAATCGTACAAGAGTGATGTCCGCGCAACTCGAGCCAAAGACATAGATGCAGCGAGACCAGCAGGGCCACCACCTACAATGACAACATCGTAGTCAAATTTGGTAGGATTCCATTCATCAACCGACGTGTAGTCTGATATATTGAATGCAGTATCATCGACCGCGAGATCCTGGTTAGGCTCGGAAATTATATCGTCGGACAGTTCAGCCAGAGGCTTTTGAGGGACAGTCAATGCAGATGCTAATGGAAGGGAAAGAAGGCAAAAGCGCCAAAAGGAGTAATTAGAGAACATCATCTCAACAATGCAATTGTTGTGAGCTTGCAGCCCGTAGTTGAGACGGCCATGACCTCACTATTTATACCTTGAATCAAACTGAAGTTAGTTTCCTCGGATACAGTCTATTGATTCTACATACTTCAGCTTATCACACATGGTTCATGCAGTGTGATTTCTTTGGGATCGTCACTGCACTCGAGAGTCAAAGCCAATACAGCATCTGTTGTGGATCTCGGCTTGAGTGCAGGCCTCTCCCCACAACGCAGGTAGCAGACCTACAAATATTTCTTTCAGTAATTTTGCTTCGTTTTCTCTCACCTTCACTACCTTTTCCACACATGATCATTTTGTGAAAACCTCCGTCGTCTCTGTGCGACTAGTTTTTCTATCAGCATGTTCTTCCTTTTACTCCCTTCTGTGGTTTTGCGGGCTGAAGAAATCTGGTCCACGCATTACCCGAGCTGTGCAAATGGAGGTCTCGTGCAGATGTGCGCATACCCTCGTAGTGTCGACGAATCATCACTCGCCGATCGAGAGTTCGTCCGCCTCAGCTAGCCACGCCACTGCCGATCCCAACAAATGTCGGCTCAGCCGTGACAAAAGTTTATCTGTTCGATTTCCCCTCAATAGACATGGTCGCTCGGTGGAGTCTAGAAGGGGATGATAAACCTTTGCTGTGATGTGACGAAAATCGCTGCAAGGGGGTTTCCTGTCCCCATCCACTATGTGTAGATGCCCCTGAGCACCCACTTTGGGGATCTTTCAGCGCTTGGCGGCCTCGCTTAGGGATGCCTTATGGTTTGGGCTTCTTTGTGAATCATGATTTTCTGGTGAGATCAGATGGTATGTCAGTTTGAAAATGACAGTCGATAGAAAATCTGGAAAGTCCAGCTTCTAAGAAAAAGAAACAAATCGAACCAGGTGAGCACTAGATGATACGAGAGCTACTCGGAGTTACTGCAACTGTATTTAGATTACTTAGAGAACAGAAAGAGGCCCTTATTACGCACCAAAATGATAGAGAAGCCCTCAATGAGTGAAGAGGTGGTTCCCAACAGGCTAGAACATCAACTCCTATACCGTCTTTCACCAGTAGCAATGCATAACATCCAAAAATGGACCATTATGTTCGTGATTTAGATTTCGGTATGATCTACCAGCAAGTTCTATATCAGTATATAAATAAAGTTAAGACCAACAGCGAAGGTATTCACCGTGGATTGCTTCTAATGTGAAGTAAACAGACTCATCCTGGACGTCACTCAACTCCAGGTATAGGTCGGGTGTGCGGGACAGATAGAGCGATGACGGAATGTCTTGGATCGTAAAGATGGGATTTTTCTCATCCACTCAAACGACCCGAAAGGGGATACTCGACCCCTCGGGGTCAAGCTGGCATGGGCTGCCCCGCTCACAAAGGAGGGGCTTAGAGGAGTCTACACGGGTGATAACATCTTCATCGTTGGCGAAGCCCTCGGTGTTGAACTCCCAGGACTGCGAGTAGGAATCGGGCGCGGTACCAAATTGCACAGATGTTGCATCCTAGACATCATAGAGTAATCAAAGTGTGCTGCCGTCGATGGTTTGCTTGATTTTGTCCTTGAACACGAGGCCGTTGGTTTGGTCAGAGAGAGCGGCAAGGAAACCGGCCAAAAGATAGGAACGCATCATATTGACTGTTAGAAGAGTAGGATAGAGAACTTCGATGTGTGAAGGTCCTAGATCTTTAAGGGTTGAGGAGAGTGATGAATACTTAGAAAAGTCGAGGAAGAAACGAAGTATTTATCTCCGACTAGCCACCGCCCCAAAGTTTTGAATTTCATAGATCACGTACGTAGGTCCATCGCAAAAAGAACTGCGAGAAAAAGCAACGAACAATTATCGATTTTTGAACGAAGGGGATCCCAGCAGTAAAGCCCTTCCGACGTTGGCGAATATCCTTTCCACCAATCCCACGCTGTATTTCTTCTCCGCATGAGGCTCCTCGTTTCACTACATAAATAAGGGCTTGATCGAGGTAGAAAACCCGGTATGTCTATGGCCATGACTGTAGGAATAACTGCAACCATGATGACATCTTCTGCACTCAATAACTATCCGCACATCAGCCCATCACCGAAATGTCTAGAAATTTCGAAACTTAGCGGTGTAATATAGTCGCGCATATGATACGGAACAAGAATGGACTAAGCAATGCATGAATTGCCCAAGTGTTCAAAGGTGATGAGTGTTCTGTCACTAAGATATACAAGAAGATGCGGTTATTTGGTAGCCCCATGTCTCGCCTGGTTTTCCTTGTGAGGTGTGTGGCTACTTCAGGAAGGAGAGTCAGGAATCTGTCTAGTAGGTCTTTCTATCCACAGTTCACCAGTTGCTAAATACTGTACACCCACCCCGGAACACCGGCCGCCCAAGCGCTGGAGAGGCAGAGAGGGAATGGGATGAGGAAGAGAGGAAGAGAGAAACTAAGCTACTGGAAGAAAGGAAAGGGAAACTCCAATGATAAGTTTTTATCTACTCATAATTTGGTCTATTCGGTTTTTTGGCTCATTTTCATTGCAGTATGACCTGAAATTGCGTGAAATGATCCACATTGGATCTTTTGCCGCACAGGTTCTGCTGCGGTTCCTTAGAAGGATCCAGTAACAGGAGCACCCTCGAGCTTGAAGTATCCCGGTTGGAGAGTCTGGTAGATCTGTTCCGGATCATACTTCTTGGCAATCTTCTGTAACCGAGCCTTGTTGGAAGTGCCATATCCAGAAATGGGGTCCTGGAACATGCTAGCGTAATTCATATAGATATACTCGTTGTAGACACCGATGCTCTTAGCCTGGGCTAGCACTTTCTCCCAGAAGCTGTTGACAAAGGCGTAAATGGTCGCGTCATCGGACTCATTGGTCCACCAGCAGGAAATGTGCATGAGATGAACAGGTCCGTTAGAATAGTCGAGACCGAGTGCGTTACCACCCCTTTTGGACATTTTCTTGAGCATCGGTTCCGTAATTCCTTGATAAACAAGGGCTGGTAGAGCGCCGCTGACATTAGCCACCTGGGGAATCATCGAGTAGAAAGTATCCACGACCCAGTTGGAGAAGTCCTCGTTCAATTGGACTGAAATTGGCCAGTAGACTTCGCGAAGACCGAAGGGATTGGAGGTCTCCAAATATTTCACATACTCGACGAGGGACTTTGAGCTTGAAGTATCGGAAACCGCGGGGATATTGCGATATTGCTTGAAAATCTCAGGATTTGAGTCGTTCTTTGTGTAAGTCAACTCAGCTGAGGCGATGTTCATTCCACCGGTTTGTACGAATGCAACATATTGCTGAGCATGACCGTCCACACTGGCGTTGTTGACAACATTGATCCAGGCATTCACAACATCAGTAAATTCAGTTTGGAGGAATGTTCTAGATCCTCCATACATTTGGGGTGCAGGGATGGTATAAAGGTTGTATTTGGTGACAAGACCGAAGTTGTTGCCACCACCTCGCAGGGCCCAGTACAGGTCAGAGAAAGATTTTTCGCTAACATTGATGATCGAACCACTCGCAGTGACAAGCTGGATATGTAAGAAAGAGCCAATAAAAGACTAGATCGTAATAGGAGGCATACCTCGAAGCTTTGAACATTGTCGCAAGACCACCCGTACAGGTTGGAGTGGTAAGAGATTCCACCACCGAGAACAAAACCGCCGACTCCAATGCTAGCCGCACGGCCACCGATAGTAGCCAGGCCATAGGGCTCGAGCGCAGAGTAGACAGATAGCCAGTTATTTCCAGGCTCAATAGAAGCAACCGATCTGTCGTTGTTCAGGGTAACCTCATTCATATCCTTGAACCAAATGCTAATACCGCCGGGGCTGCTCGAGGCACCGGCAAATGCAGCATGCCCCCCACTTCTAGCTGCAAAATGACAGCCAGTGAATCGGGAAAGCAGGACTGCAGTGCTGACATCGGTATTCACGGTCGGCCGGAAAACACAATGAGGCTGGACCTCTTCTTGTTGAACTGACCAAAATGAACCAGTGAAATTACTGTATCCAGCACTATTCTGGGCTGAAACTTTAGAACCAAACAAAAAGCTCAAGCTTGAACACTATCCGAGTTGTGATCAGTTAAGTCAAAACAACAGCCGAACTAGCAGTATTCAAATAATGCAAAGATGCGTCTCACTTACAGCAATAGAACACGCTGTTTCTGTTGACCACGACTGGCTTTCAGAAAATGACTCCAATGCTGGGATTCTAGCCACATCTACTCCTAGATCCTGCAATGCGCTGACCACATTGAAATTATCTGATTCGACTGTAGTGGCGAGGGCGACTCCTCCGATAGCAGTTAGGCCGCCAACAAGGCTCGAGAAACGCATCCTTCGAATTTTATGATTCCAAAAGGCAGAATAAACCCAAAATGATATGAAAAGAGAAATGAAGAAGAGTTGGGCTTTTTCAACTTCCCCACAGACGTGTGGGTCGAACGGGATCTACCCAACCCGGCTCCGATGAATTTCCTTACGTGGTTGTCATTTACATCGTTTGTGCCGGCAGTATAACAATTCATCAAGGATCAGGGTAGTATTTGTTATGTTTGCATTCACTTTGGTAAATGTCCGAGACATGAATCTAAGCGAAGCGGCGCAGCCTGATCGCAATTATTGACAACGCATGCATATCATTGGCTGGGCAATGCTAGCTTTCTGCTCCAGATACATTGCAAAGGGGGTCAGAGCGCCCACACAAACCAATGAGATGAGATTTTACATCCAATTTAACATTCGTAAAAGGTAACAGGCAAGTGGTCAACAAAACCTACGAATGGAGAGTACACAGAACTTTTGAGGAATGTGCGGGTGTTCTCGTTGAAACTAGTTGGTGCTGCAATTGGCCCCCACTCTTGTCAGGATTGTGGCACCTCCGCCATCGGAGCCTTAGGGCGGGCCATCCAATCCCCTGGCATCGGCTCTCCCCGTGAGTGGTCCGGCCCGAGATGGGGCATGCATCCCGTATTCCACTCAGTAGCGATCATACTCGAGCCCCACGTCCGATTGTAGATGTCGTAGGCGTGCACAACATAGAAAGTGACTTGTTATTTAATGAGTTCCTGTCAATCAGATGACCCTCTTATACCTTCTGATACAGAATAGCGCTCAAATTTAGTTCAAGAGAAGTTTTGATATAAATTACAATGGGAACGCTTGAGAAGCTGTAACAATGATATGAAAATATTGGGGTTGCATTGCGGACGAAAGAGACAAGGGGAAGAGAGAAAGAGAGAAAGAGAGAGTGGGAAAGAGAGCTGTATGCCTATCTACAATACATGGGAGACTATGCCGAAATGATAGTTAAGTTTGCAAAAAGCATTCCATCTTCTTTTCCATGAAATGGGCATTGTCAAACTCTGCAAATTCTAGCCCATGGGAGTGCACCATTCAAAATGAATTCTGCGCTTCCATTCCTCCATTACATTCTCATTTTCCATTGCACATCCCAAGATGCTTGACGAATTTGGGGAAAGCATCCTCATCAAGTGGCTTAGTGAATCCTCTGGCGATATTAGCTTTGCTGTCAACTCATCCTAGACCAATGAAGCTCTTAGCAGCTGCATCATTTACAAAGAAGTAACGCATCTCCAGCCAATTTTTAGAATTCCTGCCGGTTTTCCTGTTGAAAAGCAATTGCGTAATAGTCTTCATCTCGGACGGCTACGTGTGATTGCAGGTACTGCAATCGTGCCTTCTCTGGACCATGTGACCATTGTAGGTACTAAGGGAGGGCGTAGCAGCGGTGGTAGCGCATCGCAAATGGCTCGGCTGATCAAAGAAGCGGCGTAAGGTGGGGGAAGGAGGACATTCGCCCGCGTCAGGCGCATGGTCTGGGGCCCACAACGAGCAGCCAATCTGCTCTCGAGCTTGGAGAGTGCAAGTGATGGTTTCCTGTTCGGTGCTGCTCTCGTACATTCCAATGTTATTGTGCAGGATATGGATGACGTCTGCCATCTGGGGAGCTGTTGGGGAACCAATGACTTGGAGGATACGGGCAATCCGTGCAGCGTGATAAAAGAGAGGAAAGAGAGGAAAGTGAATGTATATGGAAGTAAACTTGAAAAATACTTCAAGTTGGATGAGATCGACTTCTGTTCTGATGATTTCTTATTTTGATCTGTCGATCATGGGGAAACATTCTATAACTGAGTACTGAGTACATAAAAGTTAGATATCAGATTCAGAACCACCTGTTCAATGACTATGAGCCATAACTTATATCACTAGTCACTGAGCCCACATAATTTATAATACTGTTAGTAGGCCTTTGGCAGCACCTCAATCCACGCACAGCTGCCTAGGTACATTGCAAGGAATCCTTGAAGCTGAAGAATACTCCCATAGCCGAGGTATAATCAGAAAGGAGATGAGACTGGCGAAAATCTAACCCACAAAGGTAACGAATGAGATGAGCCGTAAATAACTCTAAGTGAAAGGTTTAATTCATTATCTGGTAGCTCAGGCATCGATTATATATCTATATAATGCCGTGAAACTGATACATCATGTCATGTATGGAATCCGAGAAAGGCAGAAGGCAATACAATTTGATTTACCAGCACTGGAGAAAACCTTCCACCTTTAAGTACTAAGGTACATACATAGGCATTTTGAAGTGGGCTCTTACAGATATCTATCAAACGTCGTTCTCAATCTTACTTGTATCCAAGAGATTTTGTTTGACATGGCCCAAAATTTGCGTTCGCAATCGCTAGTTTTGGACATGGCCACGTATTTTCTGTGCCTATCACAGTACTCTAGCTATTCAAATACCCAAAAAAAAAGGGTCCGGTTAAAGAAGCAGCAGTAAAAAAGGAAAGATTGTACTTCATCGCTCACCGTTACCGAAGGAGCCGCATCTGCCCCACTAGGAGGTCTTTAATTGGCTCCTTTAACTGGCCCCCACCACTGTTCAGCATCTCCAAGCTGACGTCGATTCTCTCAAACTATAGATTATGGTTGGCGTTGGAGGCCGAAGCAAAGGTTGTCGCACCTGCCGACGTCGCAGAGTAAAATGCGGTATGGGTTGACTCACGAGTGATTTCTCCAAATCTCTGACACATAGTTTTAGACGAAGAAAGGCCGCTCTGTAATCGGTGTCAAAAAGGTGGATTTGAATGTGAAGGCTATGTGGAGTTTGCTCAGTTCATTGATGAGACAAAGCGCTTGAAAGCAAGGGCTACGCGGAACTTACCAACATCATCCAACTCAGATGCTTTTGAGCCAGCATCAGAGGAACCGGTCCCAATCATTGACTTCCCACTAAATGTCAATCCACCGTGGAGCGAGAATCACATCATGACTACCTACCTCTTCAATCACCTCTTCAACTGGAATGATGGTCCAGAATATCCAAATGCGCCGGCATGGACCTCGATACTGCTACGCCAAGACAATGAAGCGGAGCTATCAACGGCATCTGTCCGCGCTTTAGCTACGGTCTATTTTGCCAAGGTCAACAAACAACACCAGCTGATGCGAAAGGGCGTATGCTTCTATTCTTCTGCTCTTCGGACTCTGCAGGCAAAACTTCAGCGTCAAGACCAGGCCGTGGGCGATGATGTCTTCGTTGCGATCATTTGTCTCGCTATATATGAGTTGATAACCCTTACCCAACCCAAAGCCTGGCTTTCTCATTATGAAGGACTGGCTAGACTGGTTAGTCTCAGAGTCTCGCTCTGTGTTCGTCGTTTCGGGTACTAATATCGATGTAGATGGCATTGAGGGGTCCCCATCGACATCAATCTGGCATTGCTTTTGCTATGATTCCGACTCTCCGGTCATGCATTGTGAGTATAGTGTCTTCCGCTTTGTTTTATTTGGTCATAATACTGAATGATGCACAGTGTATTGGATATATTGTGGAGCGAAAACGATGTTTCCTCGAAGATCTCGCCTGGAAAACTATACCGTGGGCCGAACGAGGTCTTGATTCAAAAACACCCACGGACTTGCTGCATGATATTATGTGCGATGTTCCCGGTATATTACAGGACCAAAGCGAGGCCATATTACAGGATCATAATGCCCCCGGCAACGCAGAGCTTACATCCGGCTTTGTACCAAAAGTACTCTCGACCCTCGAAGCCCTGTACTCCTGGCGCTGGGATTGGGAAGCACAATTCCCGAACTCGACATTCATCACCCAACCGCCCGACTACATATATTCGGGTGTATCATCTCTACCGCCAAGTCCATTTCAAACGGTGATCTGGTTCCGAGATCCACACCGTGCCGTCGAGCTCATCGTTTACAATGCATTGCGTCTCATTCTCATAAGATCTCTTCAGATAGCAGGCGTTGATCCGGATCATGCTCGACTTGAAGGCTCCAATGACCCGCTGCTCCCAATGCAGGGGAACAGAAATGACATAGCAACCGAGATATGTCGGATGGTCGATTACCATCTGCACTGTTTGAGAAGCACTGGGGCGTTCATGCTGTTGTTCCCTCTTAACGTTGCTTATATACACTTGGACGAGACATCGACTCAGTCTCGGCATTGGCTGGATAGAGTCATGGCGAATATAGCTGACTCGCATGGCTTTGAAGTTGGCAGGTCGGAGAATATGCCCAGGAAATGGGCCGATGTTCGTGGCGGGATGTGAAAATGAAGCTTTTCAAGAAGTGTATATCTATTTTGGTACGTGTCTGTATCATCTTGCTTATTATATACCCCGAAAGTCATGTCAGACTCTTCTATAAAACACAGTGCATCTCTTCGTCGTCAGAATCCAGGTCGTGCTCCTCATCGCCCATGCTGGCGTTCGCCGACATGATCACTATCCAACGCAGCTTGTTGACCTTTTTCACTTCTTTCACGTCTCTCCTAGCTTGTCGTTTTGCTCCTTCGTCGCTATTTTGAGACAAATCATATTCTCTGTTTTCCTTGAGGTCGGCCAACTTCTTCTCCAACTTCCGCAGCTCTCGCTCCAAGTCCCGCTTAGTTTTGGCTTGACTCTGCTGTTTTTGATCCAATGACTGCATTCTGCACTTGATATCGTCTACGTCGTCTTGCAACTCAGCGATCGCGTTCTCCACCTTGCGCTCTTCTCGTCGGCTCTTCTTGTCCTTCTTTTCTTCCCTTTTAGATTTATTAGACCGTCTCTCCTGTTTCTGCAATTTTTCAAGTTGCTTTCTCTCGGCCCTTTGTGCAGAGTAAGCCCCCCACTTCTTCATCCAGTTTTCCTCGTCAACAGAAGAGGCGAATGTGTCAAAGGACAGCGGCATTACTTGATCACCCAGGGCTGCCATCCTAGTTGCGAGGGGGCTCTGGCTTTCACTTCCATCCCTTCCCACAAGAACCCGATACTGCTCTCCTGAAAATATTTTTGGGTCTCGGACTCCAACCAGTGCAAGCATCTTATCAGTTTTGACAACTCTGACCAAGAGACCCTTGGGCTTGAAAATAACCTCATTGGCCTTCTTCAAATACTGCTTGGTCCGTACAGCCGAGACACCCGCACTGCCTAAGCCTGCGGCGACCTGAAGTCCACCTCCGACTATCTGCGCCACTGCTAGTGGAACAAATCCGACAAGCATACCGATTTTATTGGTCGCTTGGAGAGCGGGGTTGGCTAAGAAGGCTTCATTGAGGCCCTCGATAAAGCCTAGGAGATCTCCCTGTATCAACCCGGTTTGGAGCTCGAGATCTCTGGCCCGGACTCTGGCAAATGGACTCATATTAGAGCCACCGAAAACTTTGGTGATTTCTGCTTGAGGTTAATATCATTGTTGTCATCTCACGGGGTTATTCTTACGAGGTATAACACATGGTTTTATTCGCTGTACAACACCTAGTACGACAGAAGGGCTTTGAGATTGAGTGCGGTACAACTGTTGTGATGTATGTTCTGTAATTGAATATGAATTCCATGGTTGCTCATAGGTATCAGCTTGATAGGTGTCGTCTGAAGCAAGGTATGCTGAAGGGGACCCGTGCGTGGGTGGTTGTGGCTGAGATTGAATGGGTTCGTATGACGTAGCATAGTTTGACTGTCATTGTGATTGCTCATGAGTGGGATTCAGACTAGAGTCGTTATAGTAAAGAGTAGGTGGCGAGACTGTGTATGGCGGAAGAGATGAGTAAGATTGATGTTGTGCCATGGCAATGGATTGCTTTTCCTGAGCTCGAAAGTTTAAGTGCGGATATCTTTATAAGAGATTTTGGGTGAGACCTCTCCCTTATATCTGTCAGGATCACCGAACTACGCAAAATCTTGACAAAAAACCAACTCCTTCTGGCGCATCTCGCGAGCGATCTACGTGTGCAACTTGGTTCTCCACCCTTCCGGGACCCACACCTCGCGGATTGCGCTAGATTTGGTTTAGCTTCCGTTATAACAAACGATGGACGTACAACAACTCAATAGTTACTGGCAAGGTCTGACATCTTCCCATCCGCTACGCCACAATCAAGCTTTGAAGTTGTACGACGCGATGGTCCATTCTAAGTCAATCTGAACACGAACTACACCCCAAGCCTCTGTCTGATACGGAAGCCGTTTGAATACTTAATCTACCGTCCGAGATCCGCTCCTATGGCGGATGCTATCTGTATGGTGCCAACACAATCAATAAACTTTTCCTTCCTCTGCCAACAATAATCACAGAATTTCCGCGACGTTATAAATAAACCATTCGACAGAATAACAAAAAGAAAACAGAGTGGAGTGAAACAAAAAGAAATGGCGCTACCCGGAATCGAACCGAGGATTCCTGAGTAATTGAATGTGGTGAACCACAATCAGACGTCGTAACCACTTGACCATAGCACCTATTTGGTGAGTGATACTTCATTATTGTGCATTATTAGCCATAGAGCAAGCTCTGGCTTTTTCCAGCCGCTACGATACACCTTCGGTGGGGCATCAGGTATATAACCTCATTCTGTATTTTACAACAAAAATGCTGATTTTAGGCCCTTTGTGCTCCGCAAATTCTTAGTTTTTTATATCATCGCTTACATAAACTTAGGGTATAAAATACTATAAGTTATTCCGTGAGTAGTTTTAGAATGGAATTGCTCATATTTAAAATTTAACACAGAAGTGTTTTCAACACCAATATATATAATCGACATTCAACGAGTATTATATAGGAAGTAGTATTCCGTATATCTAATACTGATTCTTGATTAGAAGCCATCTAAACAGTTATTGCCATATAAGTTCATGGAAAAAGAAAATGAGGCCTAAAAAGCTTTTTCCTGGCGTTCATAGGGGTGGGTATAGACGTTGAACACATTACGATAGATTTAAACCGCACGTGTTGATTGTTGATGGCTCCGAAGAATTTCTTCCCGAGGTCCTTGGTAATTGAAAACCAACCTTTTGAATAACTCGATCCAGAATTCGCTGCAAAAGATAGACAAGTAAAAATGAATAAGTAAATGAGTCGTGACCTACAACTTATGGGCTGTGTGGGATGCTCATCCTCTGATCCTCGGCTTTCCCACCGATGTGATGAGCGCAGCCGGATTTACCGGGGGATATGATAGACCATTGGACTTGCTGTCCGGATTCCACAAGGCCTTGACCCCGATCTATGCCCAAACACCAAGTCCACTGCCCCACTTGTACTTTATAATCTCTATCATTCCGGCAAATCAGGTTAATTTGCCGGAGTTTTGCCAACGCAGAGATTCGTGCCCCCGGAGTTTTCCAACATGTTATAATTGCCCTCTTTTTCTCAAATAGCTACACCTACAGAAGCTCGCCGCTTAGCCCAAACCTTCACATCATGTCTTTTCCCACAGATATCCCAGATTGGAATAACCTCAACGTCATTCACAGAGGTACGCTTCCACCTAGGGCGCACTTCTATCAATATGTTTCAGAAAAAGGAGCCCTTTCGCTAGACCGAAACGAGAGTGAATATGTATCGCTAAACGGGACTTGGAAGTTTCGCCATGATGAATCCCCTTTTGAAGCACCTGACTGGGCATCAGCCGATCCCTTGAGCTGGGATGATATTCAGGTCCCAGGAATGTGGCAATTGCAAGGATACTCTCATCCGACCTACACCAATGTCAACTATCCATTTCATGTGAACCCTCCTCACGTTCCAATTATCAACGAGACTGGGTCGTACTGGAAGGAGTTTACTACACCACCGAAATGGGATCAACAACAGATTCGACTCCGCTTTGAGGGTGTTGACAGCGCTTTTCACCTGTGGGTAAATGGAGAGCAGGTCGGCTATTCTCAAGGCTCGCGCAATCCTGCAGAGTTTGACATCACTTCTGTTCTTCTCCCGGCTGGATCAATGAACACCATCGCAGTCCGTGTCTATGAATTCTGCGATGGGTCATATATTGAGCGACAAGACCAATGGCTCTTGAGTGGTATCTTCAGGGATGTTGGCTTACTGGCTTTCCTGTCAGATTCGATAACAGACTTCAGCGCCGTCGCAACTCTTAGTGAAGATCTCTCATTGGCAACCCTTGATACAACCGTCAAAATCCAGGGCACTCATAGCAACATTGAGGCCAAGTTATATAAACCGAATGGCGGACTGATGCATTGTTCGACGTTCTCATCTACCGAAAATAGCATCATCCAGGTATCAGGGAATGATCTGCATCTCTGGTCCGCCGAGAACCCCGTCTTGTATACCCTATTGATTACATTCAACGGCCGAACCATTCCACAGCGCATCGGCTTTCGGCGTGTTGAACTGAAAGATTCAAATTTCTTGGTTAACGGGAAGCCTATCATCCTCTATGGCGTTAATCGGCACGAACACCATCACCTTCATGGCCGGGCGGTACCTTATGAAAGCATGCGTGAAGACCTTATCATGATGAAAAGGCACAACATCAATGCGCTCCGATGTTCCCATCAACCAAATGATCCTCGTCTATACGATGTCTGCGATGAGCTTGGTCTATACGTCATGGCTGAGGCAGATCTTGAGACTCACGGATTCGCTCCCGTTGAGCGTTCAAACATTCCCAACCAGCATCTCATGACCGAATACGAGATCCAAGAAACATCCTACAAGATGGCAAAAAGGTGGACTTCCGACAACCCAGAATGGAAGGATGCTTACCTTGACCGAGCCATCGAGCTAGTTGAGCGATTCAAAAATTTCACCAGCATTATCATGTGGTCTCTCGGAAATGAGGCTTTTTATGGCCAAAACCACGTTAGCATGTATAAGTGGATCAAGAACGCCGATCCGACGCGTTTGGTCCACTACGAGGGTGACCGGGAGGCTCTAAGTACCGATCTTTACTCTACCATGTACTGGAGTATCGATGCCCTCAAGAAGCATGTTGCTGAGAAAACCGATAAGCCACTGATTCAGTGCGAATATGGCCATGCCAGTAAGTTCGGATATGTCACCCGCTCGATTGCATGCAGTTCGCATCATCTGACCGATGATTTTAGTGGGCAACGGTCCTGGAGGATTGAAAGAATACATCGAAGCTTACCGCACAGAAAGACTTCTCCAAGGGGGCTTTATCTGGGAGTGGTGCAACCATGGTCTTCGAAAGAGGGATGGAGACACTTCATACTATGCATACGGTGGCGACTTTGGAGATGAACCTAACGACGCAGACTTCATTCTCGATGGACTGGTTTTTTCCGACCACAAACCAAGCCCCGGACTGATCGAGTACAAGAAAGTGATCGAGCCAGTCACGGTGTCGCTGTGTCAAAATGAGCGACGTCTGGAACTGGTAAACCGCTATGACTTCAATACACTCGATCATCTTTCTGCATCATGGCATCTTGTCACAGACACCAGCACTACCGAGCCCAAAGACTGGGACTTGCCGCAAATCAAGCCTGGTCAATCCAAGGTGCTTGATTTCCCTGGAGACGTAAGCTTTGCCACTAAGCCAACGTGGCTCACTATCAACTTCTGTTTAAAGAGAGATATGGCATGGGCGCCTCGTGGACATGAGATCGCCTGGGCACAGGTCCCGCTACACAAGACCGAAGATTTCACTACCCCTGCGTCTTTGAGCCCTCCACACATGATATTATCCTTACGTGAAGGACCAGGTCGACTCTACGTCACCTCGAATGCCCTTGGGTCTAGTTTCACTTACGATCTAATTCGAGGATATTTGTCTTGGTTCACTGATATGGGCAAGATCTTCCACCGCGGGCCACTGCTAGGTATATACCGTGCTCTAACCCAAAACGACCTTGGCCTGGAGGGTCCCTGTGTGGAATGGGACCGCTTCCGTGTAAGGAGCACTCGGATGCTTATCGAATCTGCTACCTGGAATGTTAACGATAACGGAAGCGTGTCCATTACTACAAATGTTAGGGTTGCGCCTACGGTGCTGGAGTGGGCAATGGAGGCCACCCTCACTTACACTATCACCGATTCATCTGTCAGTCTTCACGTCAAAGGATATTTTAGCGGCACACATCCAAAATACATCCCGCGACTTGGCTTGACTCTTCGATTGCCCCGTCGTTACGATGCTGCCACATGGTTTGGCAGAGGTCCTGGAGAATCTTACCGCGACACGAAGGAAAGTGCCCGCTTTGGCAGATACACTGCTTCTCTAGATAATGGACTAGAGACCCCATACGAGTGGCCGCAAGAAAATGGTAACCGTGTGGATACGCGATGGGTGCGGTTACATTCATCGCTTCCAGATACCTCATATTCGGCGTCTGTCGCGGCTCATTCCCCTTTCCCGCAGATGCAGGTCTCGATGGACAAACCCTTTAGTTTTTCCTTGCGAAAATATGCTATGGATGAGATTGACCGCGCAAAGCATCCCCATGAACTTTCGGAGTTGGATGATGAGACTGAACTCAACATTGACTATTTACATGATGGAATTGGTACTGCTAGCTGTGGTCCTGGTCCTTTTGAGGCTCACAGGCTGGAGGCCGGGCCATTTGAATTCACCACCATATTCAGTCTTGTCGAATGATACACCGATCTACCAGGCCATGATGGCCGTTCCTAATGCTATTGCAGCAACAGAATACCAAGCACAGAGGCTTAACCATTCCAAGAGGACCGTCCTATGGCCACCGTCCCTGCAAAATCTGTAGTACCAGGATCTAATGGAAAGCCAGTGTCAGATATTAGGCTGCTGTTGCATGCATTCCCATTTTTGGCGGTTAAATCACCAAAATGCAGGAAAAAAGACTCTCAATACATCAAACTCACCTTCAATATTGGTTCTCTTGTGGATCATAGTCACTATAGCAAAGCGAGCCATACCGACCTCGATTTCCCGCTGTCGTCAAATGTCGTTGTCTTTTGACCAACAAAGGGCGAAGTGGCATCGAGACCTCGGGAGTTCGTAGATAGCTACTCTTCGTTGTCCCATTTACCGTTTTCTTTAACTCGGAGCAGCCGAGATCCTTTGCAGGTACACGCTAATTGCGACCCGATGAGGATTTATAACTTGAAACGGTAGACCAGATTGGTGTGCAGATCCGCCCGCCCAGCATTAATCTCCAATCATGTGAACCTACTATTTGTTGTCGTATGACACGCAACGTCTTTCACTGAAATGTTCGGATTTTTACATATGCACACCCCCACCTAGGTGACAAGAGTGACAAGAAGTACAGGCAAATGAAAGCTCACATGTTACCGCTGGGATGCTTAACAGGAGGAGATGTTATTTCTATTCAGCCTGCGACAAGATCCATAATCTCGCCTAGAGCACAGAATTCTGAGCAATTTGCTACTTCTTCTTTGTCAGTAGTAGTTGGGGGGATGGGCTTTATTGCTCAATCCACCAGGGTATCATGATCGGTCGAGTCAGTAACAATATTACAAGCATATATTTGTCTCTGCGTTTCAGGTCTTTGCGTTTCAGGTTGAACTCGAGAATTGCGGTGGTCTGGTTGTATGCAATAGAGTTTTATGCTCATAAGTTCCCTCATATGGGACATCTTAAGGTACCAGTCTAGCATTGATCTGGTTGACTGCATTATCTTCCGTGGCTTTCTTTCTTATACCACCGGGAAAATCTTCAGGGGAATCAAACAAGCATGACTATATTCTATGTCTAGATCCAGCTAGGGTTGAAAATTTGGGCGATGTCCATCCACACTACTGTTTCACTTACTGAGTGGCTTTGGTCCTGCAAAGATTCAGGCTGCAGCTAGACACAGCCCAGATCCCTAGATTTGAGATTGATCTTGAAGCTTCGAGGTTTCTAGCTTGGAACAGGGTACACCTTTCGCCAATAAAATTTCTTCCAAGACTTCATGATATGCCGATTGTCCATAACAACTGGCATTGCCTCGATGAGAGCCATGTTATGCTGCAAGTCAGCAATTGAAATATTACGCTTTTCGATGTATTGCAGGAAAAGCCGGGAAACCTTTTTCTGGTTTCTTTCGGCTGCCATGGCCCATGAAAACGAGCCAAACTGTGTCTCAGGCAGTGGATTTGCCCCTAGCTCTAACAAAATCCGGTAAAATCTCAAGTAAGCCTCTTCGGGTTGGAGTCCGCCAGATGGCTTACAGAAGGGATATGAAAATCCCCTGAGGTTATGAACACCCGCGCCATGGCGTAGTAGAAGATCAATTGTCCCTTTCTTTTCTTTGGAGACTTCAGCTATGACCGCGAGCTCAAGGTGGGAAAATGTCCTTGTTGGATTATCCTTCGGGTTCGGGTCAAATCCACGCTCGAGAAAGAATGCTATGGCTTTTAAGTCGCCTTCTCCGATAGCTATTTGGAATGCAACTTCCGCTTCATCCTCTCCCGGATTCGCGACGAAGCCATATCGGTGTACAAGTTTGAGCATTTGCACACCTCCTCCTGCTGCTTGCTTAAGCACTGTTATCCAAGGGCGCGGAGGTTTCGTCAGATTCCAATTGACCTTGAGGCTCTTCATCTTTTCAACCAGGGCCACGTTTCCAGATTTTACCGCTGCTCCCATCGGGGTCTCTATTTCTCCAGATCTATACACGTTGAAACTGTCTATGCAGTTTGATTCGCCGGGCATACCTGCATCAAGGAGTAACTCGAACAGGGGCGGAAATTTGATTGCTGGGATGAGGGGGGACCTGCCATCGTCTCCTTTAATACTGAGATCAACACCGTGGCTGATTAGCACCTGGACAGCTTGGATATGACCACCAATGCAGGCCGCAAATAGTGGGTTGGTTTCTTCTGGCTCTCGGTTTGGGTATGCACCGTGCTTCAGCAGAAGCTTCATTGTGCCGACGTGGCCCCACCTCGCGGCAGAAGTAAGTGGTCCAGGAGAACATAGAAGGTGGACTTTTAGGGGGTGTAACTTCGCCACTTGGTAGCGGCTTTTTTCCAAAATACGCTGAACAATCGCTTCATTTCCACGGGTGGCAGCTGCGAGTAAAATAATGGCAAGATCATGGCGGTTACCAAGCAACGCGGTTTCCACGTCTAACTGATCCAGAAGAAAATCGGTCAGCTTGGCCTGCCCAGTAGATGCTGCCTCTTCTAATGGTCGCAATGCGGACTCTGTGGTCGAAACTCGAGCACCTTTTTGGATGAAAAATTCGAAGAGCGAGACGCTTCCGTTCATGGCTGCTTTGCTCAATGGAGAGAATTCGCCCTCAGGGATCATGGGATTTAGATCCGCTCCGGACTCGATCAATAAGCGAACCATCTCGATCCGATCTTCAGTGATCTCTTCTGCGATACCATCCCAGACGGTATATATGAGTGACTCCGACAATGGTGTATTGCCACTCGAGTTTTCGCTAGTATTGACACTTTCAGGGAACATCTTTGCAAGTCTCTTCACAAGAGCGAGGTGTCCTCCTTTGACAGATTGCCACATTGCTTCTCCGGCCTGTGCTATATCCCACTGTTCTGTTTCACCGTACGCAACTAGTACATCGAAAACAGTCTCACGACCATGGTAGATTGCCATCGACATCGGATCCGTCCTATCCCCTGTCCGAACTGTTCCTTCAATGAGAAATGGACGTCGGCCCTCAGTCTCTCAAACTCCTGCTCTTGCTCTTCTTCCGATTCCGAAGACTTTTCTTTCCAATCTAGGAACATTTTGACCAAGCCGGCGTGTCCAAACTTCGCAGCTAATGCTATTGGCTTAAACGTTGATTCGCCAATAACAGTTGGTGAAGCACCAGCATCGAGTAACTTTCGAGCAGCTGACTCATTGCCAGTGCTAGCTGCCCACTCAAGACCACTGCTTCCATGGTTGAGGATATGGTTTTGGTAGAGGAAGTCATTCAACACCATGTGTAAGAGGCGCCTTGTCCTGGAAAGGGAATTTATGTCTTCATCATATTCCAAAAATTTGGCGACTTGGATTATCAGCTCATGTGGCAGTTCCAGCAAGCCCATGATGTGTGAGAAATTGGAAGAAAAATGGAATTACGCCTGAGGGGTAAACGTTGAGGTTGCGCACAGGAGGCTTTCCCGCTCTCAAATCTTCTAGACCCACCTTATCCTGTGTCTCGATGTGAATACAAATCTATCGAGACACACTAATGGACCTAGGGCTGTATTGCAAACAATCTCATTCCAGTCATAGAAACAGTGGGAGATACTCTCATAAGATGTTTTGCTTGCCAAGGTGTTGATATATAGCTACACCGCCATGGCAGTATCAAGCAACGACTAAACCACTTTAGGACAGACGCCCAGATGCCAAACATCCAAAACATCCTTGTGATAACATCAAAGCACCGCATTGTTCTCGCTGCTGCTAGGAATCCTAGGTATGATAATGCAATTTCTATTATGAACTAATTGGATGTCACCTTTGTGCTACCATTCCCCACCAATTGAATGTTATCTCCCCGCATTACTCCGGATTGCAATTGCGCATCACCCGTGGCATTCTGGACATGATGTCAGCCCAATGGGGTCTTAACGCGTTCGACATGCGATATCCGTGCTCTCAGCACTAACTGATCTGTTTGCATAGAAATTTTTAATATTCACCACGCCAGCGCATCTTTTTTCTAATCACAATGGCTGTCGAAGGCGCCTCTACATCTGTATGTCAACAATCTAAGATGCGGACTGGCACCATATCTATGGGCAGTCATATCTAGAAATGAAGCAAGCCACCAGCGTCAGTTTTTGAGACATGCTAATAGTCCATCAGCCCATCCCCATCGAGGATCTCACCAAGATCACCACCGAGGTATGCTACTCCACACTCAGTGAACCCGACCCCGCGCTAATACAATCTGTCAGGCGTGCGAGGAAGCACTCAGTACCAGCAAGGGCTATGAGCACGACAATGTCGGAACCTGGAACTCAAAGATCATTGTAAGCGCTACACCAATCGAGACTCGCAATGTCACAGCAAACATACTAACAGGCTCTCCCAGAACACCGTCCTCAAGGCCCTAATCGCGGCTACCGCACCCACCGAATCATCCAAGCCCCCTCCCTACCGCTTCACCGTGAACAGCACTATCGTACAGCAGGGTGTGATAGACGAGTCAGCTGCCGCAGATGGCGCACTCAGCAATGCCGGCAAGCGCGGGATGCACTCTGCCTCCGGCGCTTTCTGGGATGTGAGCCGTGATGGCATGTGGACTTTCAAGTACACCGGTGCTGAGGAGCGGGGCTTGGATGTTGTTGTCTGTGTTACTTGGTTTGCCGTTGTATAAAGGGGATTTGATTCTATCAGCATTCTGAATAGAAGGATTGTCTTTGTCTGTGAGAGTTGTGTGTATGATTCTCGGACTTGTGTCAGTGTTTCTAATTTTTTTCATGTATTGGACTTTCTTGTTAGTTCTCTGAGTACGTTCAGACCTATTCTTCTTCTATTGGGGGATTCGATTCGAATCCAGTCTGAGCGTGGTGTTCTGTTTTCTTTCAGCTCAAAGAGTTTTCCTCATGAAACTATATTGTCTTGCAAAATTATACTAACCTTGGGAGTTACTTCATAAAGGTCAGACGACATAGAGCCAAGAGAAGAACTGCTGTGGGGAGTATTGAATTCGCAAATGGTATTTTGGTTCATACAAGATCCTCCATACGACAAGAATTGGTATTAGCAAAAATATTGTGACAGAGATCAACTATCTAAACTCTCCAAACTGAAAGACACCATGTAACCGAAGTAGACTTCCTTGCTTGCGCCATGCGATATGTGCATTACCCAATAGATCAACGCCACTCAAATTACGTAAACTCGTAAAGCAAAAACGCCGTGCAGCAGACACCACCGAATCCGTTGCTTGCTTTCAACGAGGCTCGGAATAGTCGTTCAACGCAACACAAACAGCCCCGCGGTGATGACCGCTGTACTGGCGGATGATGTTTCCAGTGCCGAGTTCCCACAAACGAGCGTAGTGGTCGCTAGAGACGGTCACTAGGTAAGCGGAGTCTGCAGAGAACGCGCAGTCCCACACCCAGCGCTGGTGGTTGGCGAGTGTGGTCTCTAGGAACAACGTGTGGTTGACTGGGTCCATTGGAGGCCCGTCAGGAGATGAAGTAAATGTTTGCTGCGGGGTTTCCTGCCGAGGCGGGTTATCAGTAATACGGAGAAGATCCCGGTCTTGGGCGGGAGTGTCGAATATGCGGAGGAGATCACGAGACTGTGTGGGTGTCTCGACAGGGGCCACTGGTTCTTCTGTTGGTGTCTGCACAGGTGGGTTCAAAGCCTCCTTCTCTTTCCATTGCTTCAAGACAGCCTTGGCGGGTGCGTAATCGCCGTCAAGGTTCCATACTTTGGCGGTGTGGTCGGCAGAGCATGTTGCGAGGTGCTTCACATCAGGAGAGAGGAGAACGCGGGTGAGGTAGTCTTTATGGGCCTGGAAAGTGCAAACTGGGATGATGCGAGTGGTCTCGTCAGTTTGAACCATGCGCCATAAGTAGACATTTCCCTGCATAAGCATCAGTAGAGAACGATATGATTGCCTGGGATGAAATCTCGCACCTTCTTGTTTCCAGCGCAGAGTAAAGATCCATCACTAGCCACGCTGACACTGAGGACTGCCGTGTCCTCCTCTGGAATCAATTGGTGGGTGCAAACGCTCTCGCCCAGGTCCCAGACACGGACCATACCGGCGTGGTCACCGCTGATGAGCTCACCCTGGTTGGGATGAATGACAACGTCATTGACAGCCGCTTTGTGCACGTAATTGCGCTGCAAGCTACCAGTCCTGGTATCCCAAACCTTCACGGTTCCGTCCTCGGAGCTGGTGACCATCCATTTGCCTTCGCAGTGAAATGCGACGCCGGTGATGTTATTCGTGTGACCTTCAAAGGTAATCACAGGGTTGGGATTGGTCGATTTGATATCAAAAAGTTTTACATTGTTATGGCCGGCTGCCGCCAGGAATCGCTTGTCCGGTGTGATGCACAGGCGGTTGACCTGGGAGTCAGGATGCTGGATGGTACGCGAACAAATGCCAGAGAGTGCTTCCCAAAAGCTATTTGTGTAAAGTCAGCACAAATCCCAGCTTTATCTTCACTGTGCGAGCGCTGCTGAGCGCAGAGTTTTGCAGTCGATGCTCAACTTACCGAATGGTATGGTCATACCCCGCTAAAATATGCACCAAAGTAATTAGCTCAATGCTTGGAAGAATGCGGGGAGCTCCATATTCCACGTACCGGTACATAGGATGACACTCATAATTGATTCTTCCGCGACTGCCAAAGGAGTATAGTGGGAAAAGTAACCGATTCTGGATTGCTCGTTTTGAGAGCCGCTTAAGTCCCTTAACGCGGAAGGGGACCGAGCAGGGGAAACAGCGATTGAAGGCCGTCCAGACCGAGATGGAGTCCCATTTTCTGCCATTTCACGTGATAATAGCGGTGTCAGATGAGAGTGGAGCGGTGGATCTGTGTCTTCGGGTACTTGGTCAATGCGCCTCGATAAGCTAAGGCGGTGGAAAGCTAACGGGCGATAACGGATAACTTGAACTTCCTCTGGAAAGTGATCCAATTTGCTGCAAAGCTGAACAGTTTTGTTGATATGGAATTTTCAAGTCAGAGAGCAGGGGCACATAAAACTACGCCTAAAAGAAGATAAATGATCTACATAATAAATTATTTTTCTTTGTGTGATTTCCTGTGAAGTCTTTCACATGTCGATCTAGTGACTTGTGGTTTCGTGGGCGGCGTGGACAAATGGGCGGTATAAAGGTCGGCAGCCAAAACGATTATGTTTTATTGGCTAATCTCAGCTAGCGGGTTAAGTTAATGTTGGCAGAAAATAGTTTATTGTCCGGCAGAATAAAAAAACAAATCATTATTTCCTAATTGAGTCCTTTCATGCGCGTCTTTCTTTGTTGAAAGATGCAATGGCAATGTACCGAGTATCTTTGTTTGTTCTCCTTTGTTTTCTTTGTTCACCTTGACGAACCCTCGTTGACGAACCCTAATTCCCACGATACTGCACACATCTAGAACCATCCCATCTTCCTTCGGTCTCTTCTTCTTCTCCATCATCCCATCCTTGCTAAGACATTCTTCCAATTCATCTCCATTCAGCCAATTGATTCAGCTTATCTATTCAATAATCAATATGGAGCCCACTGTTTTTGACGATGACGGGTTCTCCGTGGACTTCGAGCAGCACTTGCAGGACCTGCTGGCTGAGGCTGATGCTTCCGTTGCCGCTGCCAACTCCCATCTTCCTGTCGATACCTATGCTAATGTTCCTGTTGATGCATTTGTTAATTGTGCTGGTGATGCGTCTGCCAATGTTCCTGCCGATGCAGCTTCCAACGTTCGTGGAAATGTCTCTGATTGTAAGTTCGACGCCATCGCGCAGCTTGAAACCCGCTTCTGTGGCCCCAACCCCGTTGGAACCCAGGAATCCCACAAAACGGTTGTCCCAGTGTCTGGCGGGCTCCAATTCTACCAGCAGCCCAATCTTCAAGAGCAGGCCACCGCCCACCTCCAGGCTGCCCAACAGCAGACTCCACGTGCCGTCCGATCACGCAACGAGTCTGCAGGGCCCATTTTCGACGCAACTACCTCCCCCAACATTGAAACTCCTCTGACTTCACCTGAGGCGTCCTCTCTTGCCATTAAAGTTCCTGCCAGCACCCCTTCCAAGAAGAGGAAGGCCGGAAAGAAGTCCACTCCCCGATCCAAGGATAGCTCTGTTAGCAACGCACTGGTGAGTAAACCAATAAGGTTCGATTCTTTGGTCTGAAGAAGTATGCTAACAACGAGTTTTCAGAGTAACCACAAGGTTCTGAACAACGTTCTTCTTCCTCGCGCTATCGCAAGTGCCCAGCAATACTCCCAGCACGTCTCGCCGTTTGCTGCCATTAGTCCTGATCGCTGCACCAAGGCTCCGCAAACCACTGGTCAGCTCGATAAAGCTCGCCGTCGTATTCGCGAATTGGCTCAGGAGCGAAGCAACTACCAGCAGGCCCTTCGTAATGTTACCATCATTGACCCCCAGACGGGCAAGACCAACTTGCAAATGCTTGAATCTCAAAATGCAAACTACCGCCGAGTGAACTCCACCCAGACAACCATCAACAAGAAGCTCAAGGAGGATTTGGTCAACGAGCGCAACAAGTACGCTCAACTGGCTGGTCGTTTTAACTTGCTGCTGCGTAATCTACAGCAACTCCAGCAAGAGAACATGGAGTTGAAGGCTAAGCTTGGCAGCACTTGAATGCGAAACGTGCTCTAACAAATTCAATTCCTATTCTACTCGCTTGTTCGGGCTGCGTTTTTCTGGTTTTCTTTGCTTTACGGTCCAAACTCTTTCTTAAATGCGGAATGGGGTCTGATGAATGACGGACCTCCTTTTTGCTCTCTTTTTTGCTCTCTTTTTTGCTCTCTTTTGCGTCAACTTTACAGCAAATCAAAAATAAATCTCTCAAGACCAAATCCTTGCTTTACTCGACACTTCGAATTGTCTCATAGTCCTTGCAGATGTAAAAGAACACTGTAAGGCCTAAGCGCCTCACACCTTCCCCCCAAAAGCCTAGGGCCTAGACTCTACGTCATAAAAGCCTGATTTTTTTTTTTTCATCAATGCACTAATATTTACATGCATCTGCCTGGGTGCCATGTTTAGGTAGTCAATGCAGTTTGTGAAGTCTAGAATCCATCGCAATATTGTATGTCTTCGGAGGTTTCAAAGAGGATGAGGATTATTGACCTTGTTTCTCATATCCTTGCTTTACTCTAGATGACCTTTTATACTAGAAATACAATCCCTTTGTCTTGATGCAATACGCAATATAAACTTTGACAAATTTCTCTCCAAGGATCCATAGTACTTAGTCTTACAATTGTTAACTCACCGCAATGTTACCTACCTTATACAGTCACACTACATGAAGAACACTACATCTCAAGTGTGAATTCCCTCAACTCTTTAGCAAAACAGGCATCCGCCAGAACCGAAAATATCATTAGATTCACCCTACAATATCGCAGGTGCAAAATGACGTCGACCTGGGCTCCAGAGAGAAAATAAAATAGAAAATGGTTCAACGAGTTCACGAGAATGGTTGAAGAAACTCCCATCCCTGGCGCGGTGGACCCTCGGATGGTAGAGAAACAAGGCAGAGACCAACTAGATTTGGTTCATGTTTTTCAAAAATATGAAAAATGGAACGAACTCAACGGAGAATTAGCGGCGTTAGGAGATGGCCTTGAGATAAGCTCCACAACACCGTCATCAAGTGGGTTTCCCTTTAAGAAAGTGGATGCGGTTGGCCAAAGAACGTTCGTCGCTCCCGACCGGGTTCCCGAAGGGGTAGATGCAAAGTACCGGGCTGATCTTGTTGGCTTTCGGCATGCCGGGAGTTTCGGGGCTCTCGGATCGGGTCTGGGTTGTAACAAAAATGCCGTACAGTATATGCAATATTGTACGGTTTTATTCTTTTTTTCCTAATTTTTATATTCTTTTTAGGGAAATATAGGATTTTTTTCTTTTTTTAAAAAAAAACAATAGAAAAAAATCAACACCAATATGTACCAGTTCCATTCCTTTTTATTTGATTGCTGTTTTAGTCCTTCATTCTTTTTCCTCTGACAGGTTTGACATTTCTAACAGTCTGAGCAAAGGGAAGAAGATTGCTCATCATGGATGGTGAAGATGAGATCCGCGGCAATTCGGTCTATCAGACTGAACAGCCTTCCTCCACCCCGTCGCCTGTGCAGGAGAAGCCCATCGCTGCGCAAATAGAGAAGAAGCCCGGTTTGATGGCCAAGTATATCTCTCCGGTTTTGTCAACATCCCCATGGGCAGAGCAATCCCACTAACTATATCATAGGCTTGGACGAATGATCAATGGAGATGTCAGGGAAGGAATGCCCGCTTACAAGGATATCGAAATCCATACCTGGGACGGCCCAGACGATCCCGAGAACCCTTTCAACTGGAGTACCAAGTACAAATGGCTGCTGACCATCACTGTCTGCTTCATGTAAGCATATACAATCACTTGCTCTGGTGGGCATACTCCAGCAGCCGGACAAATCACTAACTACCCCCAGTTCTATCTTGACCGGTCTCCCCGCAGGAACTTACGGCTCCGGTAACGACTGGATGGAGCAGGAATTCCACGTACAGAATTCGCCTTTCCCCAACCTCTACTGGGCCACCACTTCGTGGAACATGGGTGCCGCCTTTTGGCCACTGATCTTCGTCCCTCTCACCGAATCCTCGGGCCGCATGCCAGGCTACTTTGTGGCCTATATCATTCTCGTGATCTCGCTGTTCCCATCCGCATTCGCAAAGAACTTCGCGACACTAGTTGTAACCCGTTTCTTTGGTGGCGGTGCCTCATCCGTTTCAATCAACATTGTCGGCGGCAGTATCTCAGACGTCTGGCTAGGCAACCACGCCCGCAGTTTGCCCATGTCCATCTTCGGATTCACCAGTGTCGTGGGAATTGCGCTTGGACCTTTCATCGGATCCGCTATCGTTCAGATCCCGCGCTCTGAGCCCTGGCGCTGGATCTTCTACGTGCAAATCATCTACAACGCCGCTCTGATCCCAGTCTTCTGGTTCATCCTCCACGAAACCAGACCCGATGTCATCCTCAAGACCCGTGCGCGCAGGATTCGAAAAGAAACAGGACGCCCTGTCTACGCAGCCGCTGAACTCGACGCCCCGAGCAAACTCCGTCTGCTGCAGATTTCTTTCGCCCGCCCCACAAGCATGCTGATGACTGAGCCCGTCGTCATCTTCTTCACTCTGTGGATCAGCTTCGCCTGGGGAATCCTGTACCTGTTCTTCTCCAGCGTTGTCCAAACCTACTCTACCAACTACGGGTGGGGCTCTCTGTCCACCGGTCTCGTGCAGCTCGCTATCTCCGTTGGTGCGATCATTGGAACAATCATCAACCCGCTGCAAGATTGGTTCTATTTCCGGTCTGCGCGCAAAAACACAGAAACACCAGGCAAGGCCATCCCAGAAGCACGTCTGTACACTGCCATCCCAGGTAGTTTACTCTTCGCGGCTGGTCTGTTCTGGTACGGCTGGGCCAGCCAGCCTAGCGTGCACTGGATCGTTCCTACAATCGGTATCACGGCTGCTGGTATTGGCATCTACTCTATCTATATGGCTGTTGTGAACTACCTGACCGATGCATATGAGCGATATGCGGCTTCTGCACTGTCAGCTGCCTCGCTTGGCCGAAATTCTTTCGGTGCGTTCTTGCCGCTTGCTTCACCCCAGCTGTTCAGCAACCTTGGCTTTGGATGGGCTGGTTCTTTGCTTGGGTTCATTGGTGTTGCATTGTCGGTTGTGCCGGTTGTGTTGGTGCTCAAGGGTCCCCAAATTCGGGCCCGCAGTACCTTCATGAGGGAGGCTATGTGGGAGCCTGAGGAGAAGGTTGAAATTGATCAGTCTGGAAAGGCCGATCTCGGACCTACCTCTGAGGGTATCGCCTAGAGGTGTTGATGGGTTGTAATTTTACATGCTACATTACATTGCATGTTTGGAGTAATGTGTTCCACTTTCTGGATTACCTTGGCAGTGGATGGTTGATTTTATAGAACGATATTAGACTCAATAGATGAAGTGATGGTTGGTCTCTATTTTTTATGTCCATCTAGTAGTCGTTTTCTATTGTATTCGATACACAGATAGTATTGAAAGACAAACCAGTAACCAAAACATCTCTCAAGTCTCGGCCCAGGCGACGGTGGATAGTGGAAGAGGGTATCGGGGCAAAGGGGTCGTCGGGGTCGGAGTCAGATGGCCATTCACATTGCATTTTGCTTTTGGGAAACGCTTTCGCTATCAAAGATTCAGGTACAGCAGGTGCGACAAGTAGCTTACTCGGCGCGCATGTTGCGGAAGAAGTCCATGACACCAGTGAAGACAACGAGCAGGATACCACCACCAGGTCCGAGACGCAGGACCTTAGGTGTGAAGCCCTTGTACAGTGCGGAGAAGCCCTCCTCCTTCATGACGGTTCCGAGAGCAGGCCAAGCCCAGTTGTACTTGGGGGTCTGGCCGGCAACCTTGGAAGTGTTCTGGATACGGGACTTAACAACATCCATGGGGGTGTTGAGGATGGTACCGGTGATACCACCGATGGTACCGGCAATCAAGTCGTTGCGTGTCTGCTGGTTCTTGTTGCCGGGCTCAACAGCGGGAAGCTGTGCGCGGACCTGGAAGATACAGCCGAAGTAACCGGCGTTCCAGAGAATGTGGCGCCACATTGTGGACTCCAAACCGTTGTACATGGCCAGAGGACCTTCGGCGGCCACGATCTTCTTCACGACATCAAACATGCCGTTGTACTTGTGGGCCTGGGCCTTATCTTGCAGACGAATCTTGACCAACTCGAAGGGAACGACGACGAAGGCCTCAGTGGCTCCGGCTGTGGCTCCAGTCAGGGTGGCCAGTCCTTGGGTCTGCTTCTCCACGCCAAACAGGTTGCGGTAGAAAGCACCCCAGCTGTCATTGGCAGCGAACTTGGTAGCACGCTTGGGCGCCTCCATCAGGATGGGAGCGGAGATACCGCGATATAGACGGGAGGCACTGTCGAGATCGCATATTAGACTCAACAAAAACCAGTTCGGTGGGTAAAGACATACCCCTCATTTTTAACAATCTTGCGGAAGCAATCAAACATGCCATTGTAGTGGTCGGTGCCAGGCACAGCGGATCCAGTCTGCAGCTGACTGCGAAGTCGGACATATTGTTAGCCCATGTCAAAAGTGGTCAATGCTTCTTGCGACCGGCAATTGCTTACATTCGAGTCTTGAGCACGTCCAATGGGTACCTGCAATGTGAGTTTTGTCAATTGAGTCCAATTTTCATATTATACCAAGATTGTCTCGTATACGAACGGCCATGCGACCAGGGAACGGAGTAAAGGTATCGTACATAATCAAGATCTGCTCGTGCGGGGAGAGAAACACATTAGTCACTGAGCATTTGGCAATCGGACTTCAACGAATCACGCCGAATCCATTTCTCAAGGAGATATTTAGAGCGACACATACCTCTGAGACACCAGCCACCGCACCGGCGGCGAACTGGTAAACGAAGGGGAGGGGCTTCTGGGGAGTTTCCGACATGATGAATGACCTATATAATGTCAATATTAACTGCAGTCATCAAGTGCCCTGTGAAATTTCGACTCACAAGACCTGAGGGAGTAGTTGGAGAAGTGAGAGAAAGAGGTTCGGCGAGAATCGGTGATCAAGTCCGAGTGCAGCAGCCGGTAAGTGGCCGGGGGCTAAACGTAGCTCCCTGCAAAATTATTACTAATCACCCCATGGGGTTTTTCGCGCATTCCACGGAAATTCTTACTGTTTGCAATTAGTTTATCTACAAAAGGTAGAAAAGCAGACATATAGGTAGTATTTATGTGGTTTATGCGATTAAATTTAGCCATTCGCTGGTATTCATCAATTCATGATCATTACTATTCTAACTCACATTATCCACAGACACCACAGTACACTAATCAGCAGCATACTACTAGCCCTCAACTCTGACCCATCTCCACTAGTCGCTTGTTCCTTAGCAACAGTCGTAGCAGAGGCTGTGTCAGTCGCAGTACAGCTAGAACCACAAGCAAACCCTCGAGGGCAGCATCCTCCACCCACTGAGTCAGCGCAATGGAACCAACCGTTAGCACATCGGTTCCCAGTAGATCCACCAGTTGTAGTCGCAACAGGTACGACAATCGTCACCCCATCGGATACAAGCGTCGTTGATATTATGGTTGGACAGGACGTTGTATCGCAGTTTCGTCCAGTGCGGCAGCAGCCACCGTGGTAGACTGCAGAACAGGCATAAAAGCCCGTAGGACAGAGGTCATCACCTCGGGTCGAACTTGTTGCTGTTGAGAGGCTTGTTGGTCGTCCCGGTGGTGCTAGACTGTCATTTGTAGTGGTCGAGCTACTGTAGGAAGTTGTATCTGTAGCAGTAGACGATGCACTGGTCTGTGGGATCGACGAGTAGGTTACCGTGGAAAGAACCACGGAGGAATGAATAGTCACTGTGATGACTGTTATATACGCACCTGGTCCAAAATAATTAGTAAACTTCAAAGGTGGCAAAAGAAATCAACTCACATCCTCCATCAACACAATCGTACCCCGGGATACAGCATCCTCCTCCTAAAGCCTGTGAACAGGCAGTATAATCATTCGCACAAGAACCGATCAATCCAGAGCATGTTTTCTCTTTGGCACAACAGCCAACATCTCCATGGCCCGTATCTGCGACGATCTCACACGTTTCCCCGGACCCACAGCAGCGATCGGATCGGTCAATGTTTGTACATGCCGATGTACCAGTCGGGCATTTGAAGTCTCGTGCCTGGAGTCCCTCTTCAAATTCTGGAGGAAACGAGAACTCAAATGGGTATGATTGGTCCACAAATCGTGCGGGCGAGTACCCGTTCTCGCTTTCCGTCTCGACTGTCGTTAAGTTGACACTCTCGGGTAAGGATCGCTCAGTCAAGGCACCCGAAGAACCCACAAAGTCCCAGTAATCGAGGAAGAACTTCTCGCCTTCGTAATCGCTCATCTTTCGAACCCCTCGGGCTGGTCCCTCTGCTAGCTGTGATGCAATCTGAGAGTTGCGCCGAAATATGGTCTCAGCTGATAGCGAGGGACTGCCATTTCGTATTTGGTTTAGGCCATCAAACGAGTCTAAGCTCTTGGTAGCAGCCAGTGATGAAAGTGCAGAGAGCGAAAGGACTGTCGTGATGGCATGAAGGAATTGCATACCGCTGATGTCGCGGTGTAACTGGTTCTCGTCGCAACTCTTCAAAAGAAGTTTTATCAAGGCAAGCTGAATGAAGTCTTTATCTTGGTCGTTTGAAATATGCGTTTCACAAGTCAAGGCTGTGGATGACTTGGCTAGGATGGAAATTTTGATTTAGGCTGAGGTAGATACCTACACATATATGTAGGTAAATGGGAAGCTAATCTTGACGATCGGCACAGGTTCACTCTTGATTTTGAAAGTGAGAGAAAAAAGAGAGAACAAAATTGTCGGGGATATGGCATATTGGACTCAAACCGAAACAAAAGATGGCTGGGATTGATTGTGCAGACGCCTCGCATTAGCCTGCAGATTTACATGGATCTAATGGAAATACTGGCATGTCGAAGTCGGACATATTTACCTCAAGCTAAATTGTTACTCCGTACAAAATGTTAGTACCGTTAATAAGATCTACACTTGATTTTAGTTTCGCAGATCAATAATGCAAAGATCCAGATTGATCTGAATTCTAACACTCCGTTCCTTTTGAGATCCTGTCTCTCTTTCAATGTCGTATATCAGTATAATCTTGATTAAACAATGACTTCTTGATAACTGTACATGCATATATGTATGTTTATAAACCTCACCAACTGTTTATAGATGTGACTAAATATTTTGTTACTAATATGACTTCGTATTCCCCGCAATTACATTGCAATACGTAGCATCTCTATTATTTTACCAATATAGTGTGATTAGTTTACAATACATGTTTCAAACTGGCTTTACCTGTACACCGCCTCCGACCTCGGCAGGGAGGGGCATTTTGACTCAGAAAAGGTTCGCCGCCAGGACTACATTGTCATTGTATTGATCCTCTTAAATCACTCGTTTTTGCGCCATTTCTCGTACCGGCTCTATTTGAATTAATTATTGAGATCTTGCACATTTGCAATTGAGGCAACATGGTTACTGACTCGCAACGCTACCGTTCTACTCGAGGCGGGGAGGAGAACCTCAGCTTCAGCGAGGTTGTTCTCAAGGGTCTTGCCGCAGATGGAGGACTGTTCCTTCCTCACGCTGTGCCAAAGGCCGATTGGGTATGTGAAAGCGAAATTGGACCTGGAAATATTCTAACAATTCCATAGCAAAGCTGGAAAGACCTTTCCTACACTGAGCTTGCCTTCGAGATCTTCCGCCTCTACATTCCCGAGTCCGAGATCCCTTCCAACGATTTGAAGGATATTATCAATCGCAGTTATTCCACCTTCCGCTCAGAAGACGTTGTACCTCTGGTTCCCCTAGATCTGGAAGGCAACATCAACCTGCTTGAGATCTTCCACGGCCCCTCTTACTCCTTCAAAGATTGTGCTCTTCAATTCCTCGGAAACCTGTTCGAGTACTTGCTCACCCAAAAGAATGTTGGCAAGGAAGGAAAGGATCGATACCACCTCACCGTTGTTGGTGCGACGAGTGGTGATACTGGATCCGCGGCTATCTATGGTCTTCGGGGTAAGAAGGATGTCTCAGTGACCATCCTCCACCCCAAGGGTCGTGTCAGTGCCATCCAAGAGGCACAGATGACTACTTGCACAGAGCAGAACGTCCACAACCTTGCAGTCAATGGCACATTTGATGATTGTCAAGACATTGTCAAGAGCCTCTTCGGTGACGAAGCCACTAACAAGGAAGTTAAATTAGGAGCTGTGTATGTTTATTCCCAGTCCTGACGGGCGATTCATCTACTAACTAAGAACAGGAATTCTATCAACTGGTCCAGAATTTTGGCCCAGACCGTTTTCCACTTCTGGTCCTACTTCTCGCTCGCAAGGCAATCTGATTCCTTCACTGTCGGCCAATCTGTTCGCTCGGTCACCCCCACCGGCAATTTCGGTAATATTTTGTCTGCATACTTCGCCACAAAGATGGGCTTGCCCGTGGAGAAGCTTATTGGTACATTTATCGCTCCTTCGTCAATATATGCATCTTGCTAACAAAAAATTCTAGTTGCAACAAATGAGAATGACATTCTTCACCGGTTCTGGACTACTGGTCGCTACGAGAAGCACCCAGCCGAGGAGAAGAACGCAGCAGACGTCTGCAAAGAGACCCCCAGTCCGGCTATGGACATCTTGGTCTCCAGTAACTTTGAGAGACTCCTCTGGTTCCTTGCCAAGGAGCACGCAGAGGCCTCCGGAAAGAATGCCACCGCTGCAGCCAAAGAAGCCAGTGAAAGTGTCGTCGCTTGGTATAACTCGCTCAAGTCAACTGGCGGCTTTGGTCCTGTCCCTAATGACATTCTGGAGAACGGCCGTCGCACGTTCGAGAGTGACCGTGTGAGCAATGAGCAGACTCTCGATACCATCAAGTCCGTCTACAAGAAGACCAAATACGTCCTCGACCCCCACACCGCAGTTGGTATCACCGTTTCTCAACGCTCAGTTGCTCGTGCTGCCAACGCCACTGTCCCCCATATCTCTCTTTCCACTGCCCACCCTGCCAAGTTTGCGGACGTCGTGAAGGAAGCCCTCAAGGGCGAGCCAGGCTTCGATTTCGAGGCGCAGGTCTTGCCTGATGAGCTGAAGGCCCTTTCCACCAAGGAGACTCGTGTCACTGATGTCGAGAACTCTTGGGAAGCTGTCCGGGAGATCGTCAAGAGGCAAACCTTGGAGGATCTTGAAGCTCAGGCACATGCTAGCTCCTGATCTTCCTCTTTTGGAACCTTGTAAAAATGCCACATCCTCTTTCTAGTTTGTCATTTATGGATATATTGTTGTTTGCGCTTTACGATACTTGAAAATAGCCAGGCCCTACTGGCTAAGTTATGAAATACACCACCACCACCACCACCACTACTATTACTACAAATGAACCTTTAAATAAAGAACAAGTGCTCATATCATTTTCAAAATAAGAACTTAATGCCAGTAGCACACCACGGAGTGTGGCAGGGTATCGTCAATAAATGACATAGGGGAATTCAAAATCCAAACACGTTGCAAAGGGGGACTCGCACAGGAAACACGCCAAAGGTATCAACGCAAATGACATGAAACAACAAAACCAAGGCCCCAATGCGATCCAATGTCCAATGCAAAAATAAAAAACAGAGAAAGAAATCATAGACTGCGTGAAGTATATTCACTTTCCTTTATCAATTAACAATTGCCAAGATGGAGAAATGCGCAATCAACCAAAGACATAACGGAGATGGAAAAACAAGGGCTTAGATCATTGGCGGGGAGGGAGGCTTTTCGGCGTCTTCTTCATCTTTCCCAGGAGCTTTGGGAAGAGGCTTCTCGGTGTTGGCTGACGGAGACTGGGGTTCATCCTCCTTATCCTCTGTCTGCTCTGCTCCGTCCCCATTGCCAGGTGCCGGCTCCGTCTCATCGGCCTCCTTCTGGTCAATATCATCGCCGCCATCTTCATTATCAGGTGCCTCTGCTGCCGCCGCCGCCGCCGCCGCAGCTTCAGCCTCGGCCTTCTCCATCTCGGCATTTCGAGCCTGCTGCCTTTCCCAAACTTCTTTACGGATGCGATCATCCTTGGCAGTGCGAAGGCGCTCAGTCTCTTCAAAGCCGCCACTCTTCTTCAACCTACCCTCCTCAACAAAAGCGCCAAGTTCCTTCTGGAACATGTTGTTCCGTCGGGTCTCGAGCTCCTTCTTCCGTGCCTTCTCAGATCGCTCAATAGCCTCGAGACGACTTTCATGATTAGGTTGCAATGCTCGGACTTCGCCAAGCACACCGTCCTTGGCCTTCATGGGATCAATGGTGGGGTCGATACCAAGACTCCGGGAGGTAGCGCGGACAGCAGCGGGGCCACCGGCAGCATTGGTCATGACCTGCTCCTTGGTAGCTTGTTCCACAAGAGCGAAAGTCTGTGTTGCTTTCTCCAGGTCATCTTGCAAGTCGGCGGCAAGATCTTCTTGCATTGTAAGCTGGTCGCGTTCCTCGCAAACCAACTGCAACTCCTTCTCCCAAATCTTGGTCCAGATGGGCTTCTCGCGGCCGAGGAAGTCCTGCATTTTCCTGATCTCTTTCATGACGGTGCTGATGTCCCGGCTGACGCCCTCGAGTTGTCTTGGCAGAGGACGGACACCGCGGGTGACGACATCCTTGCGAAGATCTTCAACCAGATCTTGAAGATCGTCGACGCGAGCAACTAACCGCTCCGACTCGCCTGCAAGTTCTTTTTTGCCGGTATTGACGCGAGCGCGGCCGGCGTCGCCTTCGTAAGAGGGCGTAGTGACATCATCGGCGGCGGTCTTGACTTTGCTTGCCTTGGTGCGGACTGCGCTCATTGAGCTGGTGATGTCGGCTGTGAAGTTGGAGTACGTCTGGCGCAAAACAGCCAAGTCACGGCGCAGGCTCTGGATTTCTGCGAGCTGGGCCCCGTCCCCTGAGACCAATGCCTTTGAACCAGATCCAGCGACACTGGTGGCGGGGGAGCTGCCGCCAAACGAGCCATCTCCTTGGCGGCTGCAAGTTGACGATCAGATACCCGCTGGATGGCATTCCCTTGGCCAGAAATCGCCTCTTTGACGCTTTCTACAAGCAGACGCACGCTCCCAAGACCATCATCGAAATGCTTCTTGACCTCATCGAGGTTGTCGACGTTCAGCACCAGAACTGATCGATCTTTGACGTCTGCAAGATCCTCCAATTCATGCCGAATACCTGAGATGGGGTCTTGAATGTAGATCTCAGGCAAATCAACACCATTGTCGTGAGTGTTCCAGGCGAATTTTTCGATGAAAGCCAACTGAAGACGCCCAATGGTAAGGTCCGCGATACCATCCGGTAGCACATATTTTTTGATTTTGCTTTTATATTGAAGGAACAGCGTGAGTTCTTTACCCGGGGAGGGCTGCTCCGCAGTAAACTGGGAAATCGAGGGAGGTGTTGCAATTTGGGTGTTCGGACCGAAGGAACTGGTCTTCGGAGTATGTGGCGCCGCCTTCGTGGGTTCAAAGGCGTCCTCGAGTGCTGGCTTCTCTTGGGGCAGGGGGATTATGGGAGGCGGAACAATTGCAGTTTCCTCGGGGAGGTCTTTGTGGGAAGCTGGCTCGGCTTTGCGAGCCGCGTCAGGCGCAGTTTCCACGCCTTGCGGTACTGAAGGGCGTTCCGGGGGCGGTGGAGTGTGTTCCTCTTCTACGACATTTGGGATACTTGCAGGTGGAGGAGCCTGTGCGGTCTTGGCGCCTTCCTGCAAACGATTGGTGGACTTTTGTCTTGAATGAGTATATGAGCCCCGCAGACGGACTGCATTCAATGATTCGCGGACATCGCGACCACGATTGGGGATAGGAGAATTCTGGGTGGGTAAGACAGGAACACCATTAGTAGAAGTACCTAGGTGTTTCTGGATTTGATAGGCAGAGAATCGACGAGAGGCACGACGTTCCAGTTCTCCGCTCCTCTGCAAAGCCCCCAGCGCATCATCCTCCTTCGGCGGTGGTGGAGGTGGAGGTGCTGGAAAGCCGGCGGCTGTGGTATATGTAGAAGGCACTGTGTTACTGGATGTGCCGGCGCGCGGGGTTGCTTCATTGTCCGAGGGTGACTGAGACAGCATTTGTTGAGCTTCCCGGCGTGATGATTCTCTTTCGCTATGATTCGATGTCCGAGGGTCACTGTGCGGGGGTGCCGAGGAGGTTCGAGCAACGGTCGATTGGTCCTCTAGACTTCCATTGCTCCCAAACCGTCGGTTGGTGGATCTTCGTGGGGATTGGCCGGTCGATGGCATAGTGGAAGCCGCGGCCTCATCATATAGTTGGCCGATTGCTTGCCCGCTGGCGATACTTCCGGCACTGGCATTACGTGCAGGCGTGGGCCTACCATCCTCACGTTGCTGTCGTGATCGTAGGCGAGCTTGCTTCTTCTTTAGCCCGTGGAGTAGGTTTATGATTATATCGCGAATTCGGGGGAGGTATCGATCAAGGCTTGCAGCCGACGCATCTTGACTGAGGGTGTCTTCAAGGATGGTGCGAAGCAGGTCCGGTACTGGGCCCAGATCTGAAGTATCGACTCCGATGGCACTAAAGGCCCGACAGGCCAGATTAAACTCATAACCCAGACGTACGTATACATCCGACACGTCGTTCTCCGTTGCTTGTTTGCGAGACCATTGAGTAAGAGTCTCTAGTAGTTGTTTTGTCGCAACCAAGAGGTGCGTCACGCTCTTTTCGATTTGAGAGATTTGCTTATCGGGCTGTGTGGGGGGAGACATAACAATTAGCTACCGAAGGGCAGGCGATCAAACAGGGTCGGGGACTTACGGGATTCTTGCTGGATTGAGAGCGAGACGAGGCAGATGAACTGCGGCCAGACTGCTGGGAAGACATGGAAATGTCGGTACTGCCAGACACCGAGGGTCGATGCTGAGGAGATGTTTGTTGATCCGACTCTCCGGGATAGGGGTACTGAGTTCTCTGAGCACCTGAGAATTGCATATGATAAGGAGAATTATAAAGAGTTGGTGAGAACAGGGAGCGAGAAACAGGTCAACAACCGAGAATGGGCAAGCATGTGTGGAAGATGATGCCCAGCCTCCGTCAACTTGGCACCTTACCGCGTCTAAACCAGGATCGGCGATGTTGATTGCACTGATACTGTAGATTACCATAAATTACCGTATATCTCTGTAATTCAGGGACATCCAGCTGCGTATTATTGGAAATAATATTCTTAAGGCTCACTTGTGTAACATATTCTTATAAAGGAGTCACATGTTGAAAAAGACATAGTATATTTATCTATATCATACCCTAGTATATATAGTATAAGGCATGCGCACATATGTAGTCTTTTAGAATCAGAACAAACGCCGCAGACTAGGCATTCGGCAAGACCCGCGCCTATCCACTTCCTAGCCATATCTATAGGTACAATGTACATGTAGGGCTAGCTAGTTACATGCATACATACGTAACTATATGTACATGTGTATGTAACTTCATAGATGTATAGTATGTTCCATTGTTACCCTATAGCTGGATACTCCTGTTGTTTTTTTGCCCTGCCTTCCTTCTGCTTATTTCAATATTACCTTTTCCCTTGCAGACCTCCTAGGCCCATTGTCATTTTTTCGATCTGTACTCCGTATACAATGGTACTAATTATATACAATGTATTAACCAACCCCAGCATGGTGCTTTCATTTTCCGATGATTACTGGATAGTTCATGAACTTAGCAATCCCTCAGATGATATTGATGACCTCACAAGAAGAATACCTGGTCCCAGCCATCAAGACTTGTCATAAGCTCGTCACGCATGTAGAGGGCAACGACATTGCTATCAGGCGGACAGCGGCGGCAGATATCATATCATTTTCTCAGTAAAGTGTTGTATGACCTCTTTAGTGCCTTTATACTCCGTGGTTCTTACAGTGCCCGCACATTTTTAGTACATTTATAGTTGCATCTATAACTAGTTATTTGGCTATCTAGGTATCTGTCTTTACTTTGATTATGGATAAGGAAGTGTCTTCATGCCAATAGCTTATACTGTGGGCAGGTATTATTCGACCAATTACCCACACCATATAACTAGTACCTTACCTCAGGGTCGATAGTTAGTTCTGTAGTTAGCAATACGTCGAATTTAGGCTGTAGGTGTATTATGAAGAGATATATCAAACTATGCAATTTGTTTAAAGCTGACCTCGGGAATTGGTCAGAGTTATATTTTCGCTCTGTATCACAATATATACCAGTGGGATCCATACCATTTGATCGCACAGTAAGATCAAGTCAGAGCAGGTTGTAATTATTAATACAGCCCTAGTGTTGACCACATATGTGATTATATATACGGGCCTAGACATGCGGGTTCGCTTGTTTTTATTGGCCTTGATCATGCATAGCATTTCGATGCATCCTTTTGGAAGTAAAATATATAGGTATCATTGGGCTGATATGCCTGTGTTTTTTACCCTACATCCCACAAAAACAGAAATGTTTGTCTGCTATATGTAGTAGTAATTCTTGCAATATAAATAACATGTACCTCATTATAACCAACTATAACTAGAGCAACTAATTAACTAAGAGGTAATTAGGGTTTACTTATTTACTACATGTACTCTAGCTTACTATGAGGGGTCATAGAGCTCCATTCCCCCGTACCCTCGGTGATATTAGCAATTGGCCTATTTGAAAAGGAAAGGAAATAGACCACTGCAATTATAACTACATACATAATCCCATACATTAATTCATATATATGTATACAGATTAAATATCTGATCAATCAGTCCTGGGAAGTACATAATTCGAAAGGAAAAACAAAAATAAAAAAAGAGAAGGGTGTAACACTGAATACAATACGATACGCGTGACTTCTCTCTCAACTTGCGACAACTCACTCTTGCGACAACTTACTCTTTCCATTTCCCATTATTCATTCTCACTCTCTATCATTCTTTGCTTCTTCTTCTTCTTCCATTCTTCTTTCCTCCTGTGCCATCGGTATTTCGGTATCTCCACTTATCCACCCCTCACTTTCCAGTCCGTTTGTGCAGGCGGTGTGTTGTGGCTTCGTGCCTCATCCTCGCGGCTTTCCGCCCGTACAAGTTCCACGACGCAAGCTTGCCCTGACTGAGACCAAAAGTCAATCAATGGCTTCCGCTCTGAATTCTGTGCCGGCAAACAACGCGTCTGGCAATGCCAACGCGGGTGCGCATAACCCCGGCCGATCCACTCTGAGATCCAGCAACAGCACCAAGGGGTCCGACGGTCGACGACAGTCGGGCAGCCCTGTTGATGGCGGACAGCGGTGCGTTTAGCTCTAATTTCACCCTCATCCCCACTCTTAATGAAAAACAACCCATATTCCCTTCATCACTGGACAAGGGGGACACATCGTATCATTGTTCCCTTCCCCCTCAACGGTTGAGACTTGCACGTGCCTTTGGGCTAGCGAGCTCCGTTGCAGACTTGCATATCATTGTACACCAATAATAGCCAATTGAAGATATCGGATTCGATGGCAACCATTTTTCGCTTTTCTTCGCTTTATTACCATTGACCGCTAACCCAAGCATGTTCTACCGCATAGGCGCACAAACTCCCACAAGGCCTGGACCCAAGGGACCAACCCCATCACTCAACGCTCCTCACACTCCTCATCAAACGGAAACATGACCCACCAAAGACAGTCTGCTTCTCCGAGGCCAAACCACAAAGAATCAAATACTCCCGATAACCACTCTCATGACCGCCTCGTCTTCTTATTCGCCAGCTTCATTGTAAGCCTTGTCGCACTGCCTTCCGCAATGTCCATTAAGTCTTAACTGTTATCTAGGGCCTTCAAACCACGATTACTACCAAGGATGGAGAGAAGTATACTGGTGTCTTCTCTTCTTCATCTCTAGAGTCCACTGAAGTCTCCTTCCTTCTCAAGATGGTCCAACGCGCCTCGCATGATGCTCAGTCGCGCGCAAACGGTGTGAGCGATGTCGCAACCCCATTCTTGGGCTCTGCACCCGAACACATTATGTCCTTTGAGATCAAGGATGTCGTCGACGTCTCCGTTCCGAACGTAACTACGGCAGAAGTCTCAGCCAAGGAACCGAATGGTACGGGCTGACTTTCTTCTTCTTGCTTGTATATACTAATTCAGAACACAGGTGCTTCCCAGGGGTTCCGAACTGATAGTGATATCTCTGGAAATCTCGCCATGCGCGAGCGCACCTTGCAGCGCTGGGAACCTGCCGAAACCGACGTTGATATGTCACTAGACACAAGCAACAACGCCACTGGTTGGGATCAATTTGAAGCCAACGAGCGTCTTTTCGGCGCCAAGACCAATTATGATGAGAACATTTACACTACTCGTCTCGACCGTACGGATCCCACCTATAAGCAAAAGCAGGTAGAGGCAGCTCGAATTGCGCGTGAAATTGAGGGTCAAGATGTGGACAACTCCCACATGCGTGAGGAGCGCGGTCTCGCGGCACCGGATACTGGCGACCAAGATGAAGAAGACAAATACAGTGGTGTGCGACGAGAAGACAAAGCCTTCCCTCCCCTGCTTTCTGGTCAACCAAACAAGTACACACCTCCTGGGCGCCGCCAAGCCCCACAGCCTGCTACGGCAGCTGCCGGCACATCTGCCCCCATCCCCTCCCAGCCCTCGACAAAGGAAGCTGTATCGTCAGATAAGCAACCAGAGCCGACCGCATCTTTGCAGCCTCCCGTGGATATCGAACCAAAGAGCGCATCGGGCAAGGGTCTTTCGCCCGCCATCTCCTCCGTGTCCACCGCGTCAAACACAAAGCGAACCGTTCCTGAAAATGCAACTGCAAACGTCGAGGCAGAGGTGCTGGGCCACTTCCGCCAGTTTGCCAAAGACGAAAAGGCCAAGCTGAATGAACGCCGCCGTAACCAAGCCTCATATGATCGTACCAGCAAGCTCAACGAGTTGATGAAATTCTCCAAGAGCTTCAAACTCTCAACTCCGGTGCCCAAAGATCTTGTTCCTATCCTAGCTAAGGACCGAATGAAGCAAGAGGCAATCATGCAGCGGGCCCTGCAACAGGTCGACGACAAGGGATTGCCCAAGGTGATCACACCTCCCACCGAACAAAAGGCCCCTGCTCGTGGCACGGGACCCACTGGAGCTGTGCCCCCATCTGCGCCACTTGATCGCCAGAACTACAACCGCGCTCGCCAGGGATATCCTCCCACTGGACCTCTAGCCAGTACTGGAGGGCGTTTCGCTCAACAGGCTATTACACCCGGACGCCCTGGCGTTGGTATGCTCGGCCACAGACTCGCGGACAATTTGCAGCAGCGCAAGGGCACAGGAATGGGCCCTGTTCCGACCCCTCTTCCCATTCAAGATGCTCGTGGACCCCCAACGGGCCCTGCGAGTGAACAGCAAAAAATCACAAGTCCTGTGAAGTCGCCTGCCGGCCCCTCTGTTGCAACCAAGTTCAACGTGAAGGCCATGGAATTCAAACCTAACCCTGCAGCAAGCACCTTCACACCTGGTGGACCCTCTGGCGCCGCCGCAAGCCCGCGGTCTTTCTCTCGCAACCGCTCTGTATCGCGCGCAACCACACCGACTGCTTTCTTTGGCCCGAGAAAGCCTCAGCCCATTTCGGAACGGCCCTCGATCAAAGAACAATTCAACCCCATCAAACGTATGAAGAAGGAGAACACAGGCCAAACCGAAAAGCCATTTGTGTTCAATGGAGGCATCACTCCGCCTTACAAGACCTTGCCAACCTGGGATATCGCGAGTGAAACTGAAGAGAAGACGTACGATCAGATGTTCAAGCAACCAGCTGGTGTACCTTCGGTGTCGCCCCAAGCTCGGTCGACGTCGAACAGCAGCACTGTCACCCACCAGACCAATATGCCCTTCCACTTCCAGCAAAGCATGCCTCCGGTTTCCGGTCCTTCAAACGGACCTCACAACCTCCACCCTCAGGGTCCTCATGGCCCCTCTCACGTAGATGATCATCATCGCATGCAGCTGTCCGCATCGAATTCCCAGGTCTTTCCCTCTCCTCGGATGCAACATGGATACCCGTCTCCAATGCCCCACCAGGCCCAGCTATTCGGACCCGGACAACAAATGCCGCAGTTCTACGGTGGTCCTCAACCCAATCATATGAGGCATTACCAAGGTGGTCCACAGTTTGTGAACCCGCAGGGCGGTATGGGGGCTCCGATGATGGCGCAGCAGCCTTCCAACGGGCCCTACATCGGGGTCCCACAAGCCATGCCTCAGTACAACGGACATATGCCAATGTACTCTCCTTCTCCGGCCCACGCCTATCCTCATGCAGCTGCACCTCAGTCGCATAGTGGATACCCAAGTCCCAGCCGCGGTGCTCCAATGATGATGCACCAGAATTCTCAATCTGGACAGTCTCCCATGTTTATGCCCGGTCAACCTGGATACCCTCAACCTTCGGGACACAGTGAGTTCGATTTCAGTCCCCAGTCAAGCCTCTCCAGATTTTAACCCAACCTCAGTGCCCCAGAACCGTGGAAACTTCCCGCAGCAGCCCCAGTTTTCTTCCAGCCCGCATCAGCCGCACCATTTCCCTCCTAACCAGCATCGGACCCCTAGCAATGGATTCAACCAAACACCTCAAATGCCACCCCATATGTCTGCCAACACTCCCACCTCCGGAGGATCTCACTCGGCCGAGGCTACGGATGAAGGGAAATGAAGTGCACGACTCATGAAGCTCGTGGGTGGTTCCCTTGGATGACGCTACATCTGATTCCCACCCTGCTGTGACTTTTCCCGCTACCGCCATTGTTGACACTCATCAACTCACATTACCCCGGTTACTATTCCCGTAGCCACGTCTTCATCTATCTCTTGCCGTCACTGATACGGTCCAAGACATTTGAAATCTGCGGTGGTCTCCACGTCGCCTCAAGACTGTTTCAGTGAGTCATAAAGCTTTGTGATGCCATGCAACTGCTGTTAACTCCTGAATTAGACATGATAAATCAATTCACTAGCTGTGCCTATTTATCTTCGAGATCTCGGTCTAACAGTGTACATGACATCCAAAATTTTGGACGATGAATTTGCTGAAACCGACCGCTTGATATCCCGACTGTCTAGTATACAACGAATCTACAAAATGGTGAACTTGAAGTATTGAGGATCGACTACCTTTACTACGAGATCGTCATCTTTCTCTGATTCTCTCTTATCTTGTGTTTCTTTTCCTTTTTATCCATGCTATCACTCACTTCTCTCTCACTTGATCCTATTAGCAGCCTGTGGACCAATATCTATGTAGGCTTGCATGATCTTTATGCCATCCACTGAGAAGAAGTGAGTTATGCTATGGGTCGTGTCTCGAAGACTGAGCGAATGGTGATGGGGATGTATGTGGATGGAAATAGGGTTGATGGATGTGGGGAGAAAGGAGAGCAGCAGGGTTTGTGGTGAAGATGAGCGAGCTTGACCACGGTGAGCTAGCTCTAGTGAACAGCAATAAAAATGGTTATATCATAGGAATTTTTCATTCTCTTAATATGTAAAGACATTCCATAAGAGATATGTATAGAAAGCTCAGTCTCTATGCAGAGGTTGAGGATCGATCTTAGAACAATAACACACCTAGACAAACGACAGACGTTAGCTAGATATCCAAAGTTGAACATATCTATCTAGACATGTGTAAGAGCATAATATCTCCTCAGTTTTTAATTTCAAAAGTGTCATCATACAAGCGATAGACATCAAGACAACATCCCATCCGCTGCGGTGCTTCACCTCATGTGAACTTCCGCTTTCCCTCCAGCCATGACCAAACTTAAAACAAACCCCAACAGCACAACCAACCAGCACAGATCCAACCAAATCCAGCCCAAACCACGAACAACGCACCTCCTCCCCTCCCGACTTCTAACCCCCGTGATCATACTCCCACGCCACTTTCCACAGCAGGTGAAAAAGAGAAATGAAGGAATGAAAAGGCCAGCCGGGAATGTCCCTCCCCAAGCAGACAAACAAAAGACACCGAGATGAAAGAATTCCCGCAGGCAGTCAACCAAAGCTACCGACGAGAACCCGAAAATCTTAACGCCCTCCGATGAATAAAGCTCGAGTCAAACGGGATGTTCCCTCATAGCTGCCCAAAGATCATTCTCCAGATCCAAGCCCTCAACCCTCTTCGCCACAGCCATTGGTCGCCACCCGTCCTCATGGAAACGAAGCAGACAAGGCAACCCCAGATAGTGGCGACACCGACCCGTTTCCTGACTTTCGCGCATGTGAACAACAGCATCGTGCAAATCTGCCACCTAACCCCCTTCAAGGTGTTATCAAGAGGGGGAACCCGGCAATTAAAAGTCCAGTATCAAGACTGGAGGATATGAATTTCCGAGGTCTCAGTGATGAATACACATGAGCCATGCCCAGTGCGGAAGATCCAGGACGGACAACGGCATGAATTTACACAAGCCTCCCATGATCCGCACGCACGCTATGCGCGTGAACAGAGCCATGGATAAGGCTTGGATCTCTGCGGACGACAGCCCATTGGGAGACATTGTGTTCTGCTGCAAAGAGTGGAGGGAGCATGGAGACGGGGAGATGGTTGCTGGGAGACCTAATGGAGGGAGGTTATCGTCGTGATGTAGACACAGTATGTGACCATACTGATCCGGGCGAAACGCTTTTGGATAGAAATGGTAGATCTGCGTGCTCGGCCGTAGCTCTCAAGATTTGCCTGAAGCTCGGTCATGGTGTTTTGGGGTGGAGCTCGAGAGAGTACCATCAGTTTATGGGATGTGTTTTTTATATGTCGGTGCCACGGTCTGACCTTTTACCAGATTCACATCATAGGAGAGAGGGCAACTTGGGTCGCGTTTTGGAGTGATATGGAGACTTACCACGTTTGAAGGTATCTGGTGAATGATTGGTGGACTGTTGGGGGGGGGGGGGGTGAGTGGTTGTTGTAATATAGTTATGCAGATAAAGTCATTGAACACAGAAATATTGGAGTTCGCGACAAAATTAGACGCGTCCAGATGAGCAGTCAAAAGTGTGAGGCTTGGAAAAAAGCCAAATGCCGCGCTCAGTATTTATTTGGGATCAGCGCCTTAGGCAGAAACCCATTATCGCGATAAGGCGGGGGGGGGACTGTGAAAGGAGTCCGACGTGAGTTCTGAAGTTGTCTGTTCACAACATAAGAGTGTTTGATCTCTGGCTTTGACCTTTTTCGCACTGATAGTAACAACACGAAGCTCAAAAGAAAGAAAGGGCCATTGACCGCCTCGTCTCGCAAACCTAATCACCCAAACAATCTGCAACTGCCACATCGGCCACATCGGCCACATCCACGGCCATGGATTTCCTCAAATCCGCCATCGGGTCCGCTATCGCGAAGGGTGGTGGACTTCCATTCTCCCTTGGTGATAGAGTCGACATTGGCGACTCAGTCTGGGCTTTACACAACGGTACAAAACGGGTATGGAGGCTCTGATTCAAGTGCGGGTTGAGCTTTGATGGCTGACGTGACGCGTTGTATATAGGATGATGGTTCTGCTTGTAGTGTTTTTGCATTCGATATCCATGCAAACAAGTCGCGCCTTCCTCTCGCAAAAAATGCAGTCCGCAAGTCAAGGACGTTACGGCATCCCGGTGTAATCAAGGTCCTGGATACCATTGAGGTAATGCTTGGCTATACTTGAGACCTTTGGTCTTGAATTTGTTTCTGAGGGTGGATGCTTACAGCTACTATAGACGGAACACAATTTGTATATTGTCACAGAGCGGCTCGTGCCTCTCAGTTGGCCGGTGAAGAGGAGGAGTTTGAGCGAGGAGACTGCCAAGTGGGGTCTACACAATGTCGCGGTATGGTGTTCTTGAACTTCTTGCTGTGATTTCGCTGACTGGAATGGATGCAGTCTACATTAAAGTTCATTAACGACGATGCTTCCTCCGTTCATGGTGCCGTGCGTGCATCTTCGGTATTTACAAGTGAAAGTGGCGAATGGAAGCTCGGCGGATTCGACATCCTTAGCTCCATGAAGGAAGACGATGCAATCATCTATGTGAGTGAGCCCTGAGCAGGTCTGTCCCATCTCAGTTGCAGAGAATCACCGTGAACTAAAGCGAGACATAGACCTATGGCAGCATTGTGCCCGATGCCGCTCGATACACCCCACCCGAGGTTGTCAAAGGTGGCTGGGATACTATCAAACGCAACCCTTTGGCAGCTGTTGATGCATATGGCCTGGGAATCTTAATCTTCGAGGTGTTCAACGGCAACTTCTCAGGTGGCGATCAAGTTGGCAAGACAACGAACATTCCGCCGTGCATGCAACAAAGCTATAAGCGTCTTTGTACTGCAAACCCCAAGCTTAGATTGAGCCCAGGGCATTTTGTTGAACAGGGAAAGAAGCACGGTGGTTTCTTTCAGACGCCACTCATTCGGATGACTGAAGACATAGACAGTTTGGGGCTCAAAAGCGATACTGAACGTGAAGAATTCATAAAGTATGTCCCGTATCACTTCTGGATATTAGCAACTAACAACTCACCCATTACAGTGAACTTGACAACCTTTCAGAAGATTTTCCAGAGGAATTTTTCAAGATGAAAGTTCTCCCAGAGCTACTCAAGTCCGTCGAGTTCGGTGGCGGCGGTCCGAAAGTTCTTAGTGCAACCTTGAAGATCGGTGCAAAGTTGTCAGCAGAGGAGTTCAACTCTAAACTGACCCCTGTAATCGTGCGTCTATTTGGTAACCCTGATCGAGCACTACGGGTCTGCCTTTTGGACAATCTTCCGTTGATGATCGAGAACCTCACCCAGAAGGTTGTCAATGACAAAATCTTCCCTCAAATGGCAAGTCACGCAGCTAGGTCGCCATCTTAAAATTATTCTAACTTGATTTAGACATCTGGTTTTACCGATGTGGCGCCGATCGTACGAGAGCAGACAGTGAAGGCTGTACTGACAATCATAAACAAACTTAGTGACAGGATTGTGAATGGAGAACTCTTGAAGTTCTTAGCTCGTACTGCGAACGATGAGCAACCGGGAATTCGGACGAACACGACTATCTGTCTTGGTCGAATTGCTAAGAACTTAAGCCAGAGTGTAAGCTAAGTTCCTTTTTTTTGCGTGACCATGTGGCTGACACTCTCCGTAGACTCGCTCCAAGGTACTCATCGCGGCATTCACCAGAGCCATCAGAGATCCGTTCAGTCACGCTCGAGTTGCAGGACTCCTAGCTCTATCCGCAACAATTGATGTGTTTACGGAGGATGACTGTGCTAGCAAGATCCTGCCCGCCATCTGTCCTTCGCTCTTGGACAAGGAGAAGTAAATTGTGCGCCTGGTCGTCATATTGGCATTAAGCTTACCATTGGACAGATTGATCCGTGACCAAGCAAACAAGACATTTGATGTGTACGTCCAGCGGATACGAAAATACGCTGGCACTATGGCAGACACCGTGATACCTGCTTCTGCACCGACAGAAGCTCACAAAGTCGAACCCCGTGTCGGGACTCCCAGCGACAATTCCTGGGCCGGATGGGCCATCTCATCTTTCACCAATAAAATTGCGACTGCCGACGGCGAGATTGAACCCACAGCCAGTAGTGTCAAGCCCGCAGATCCCGAGACTGCGCGCTCTGCTTCGGTTCCTCGCCCGGCGAAGTCATCCCCTTCGCTCGAACTACACAAGCAAGCTCTCCGCCCTACAGCCCAAACTTTGAACCGGTCAATGTCAGACCGACCTCCCCCGGTGGTCCACGATTATGAACCCGAAGAAGAAGAAGAAGAAGAAGAAGAAGAAGAAGAAGAAGGGGACGATGTCTTTGATGCCTGGGGTGCTATGGATGACGACGCAAATGACGTCGATCCGTTTAGTGCTGCAGTAGCCTCCCCCAAACCTATATCGCCTGCTCCTTCATCAAGCAAACCCCCCGCAATCCCATACGATGATGGGGGTGAACCCGATTTCGCCGGCTGGCTAGCCGCCAAATCCCAAACCAAGGCCAAGAACCCGTTGCCAAAGGGTCTGACCAAGGCTGCGTCTACCAACTCTGTTGCTACTCGCTCAACGGCGAGCACCGTTAGGCCCCGAACAGTAGTCGTTTCAAAGAAGATCGACATTAAACCTAAACAAGAGGAGGCTGATGATGACTGGGGTGATGCGTGGGATTGATTGGACATACCCTTGCTTTCTCTTTTTGACTTTTATTTGTCTATATCTCTTCTCATAATACTCTAGCCTGTCAATATTTGAGAACTTTGGCATCGAGGGAGTTTTGGAGTCGGCACTGTTGGTGCTTTGATAATATTCCGTGTACACGACCCTTATAGATCAAATAGTGCAAAAACGCTTTATTTATTCATTTATTGGGCTCTTTGGAACCTTTGTTGTCCCACGAAACCTTTATACGGTGATAGCGACTTGTCAGTTGGTAGAACTTGATTACTGCCATAGAGAACAAACATCCATGGATACTTTCGAATAACGATTGATGAACCTACCATCAAACCTGGTACCTAGGGTAATTGATATAGCAAGCATCCCATTGAGTTTGCCAAACTCTCTTGAGAGATACGATAACTAGCAGGCTGTGTTTGCCCACGTACATATTTGGGGCATGATATTCAATCCGACTTCTGAATCTCAAGTTCACCTTGCTGATTTCCAATTGCAGCAAGATCAGTCCAACAGAATTCTCCTCAAAATGTACATGAATCAGCTTTCGCTTCCCATTTGCCTCAGTCAACTTTTATTTCCTCGTAACACTCCTTTTTGTGGGCCTGAATTTTTGCTCCTTTGCCTTGCCTGTTCTGACCCGAGCCCTCGAATCAATTCTCCGTCTTGTCTTCTCATCCTGGTATTGGGCGTCTCTTTTCTGTTGCTGTAACGCCTTTGCTCATGTACGGGTCTAGGATTTTGATTCTCATAACCCGCAGGTTCTGTCAATCTATCCCTAGAGTTCATGCTTATCCCAGTCGTAATCGAGGTCAACATGCCTCGATTCACCGGATTTCCTGATCTTGCTATATGGTTTCCCCCACTAACCCGCTAGCAATCCGGATACTACTTCGTAGACCTGGGCCACTTGCCACGTCTGGCTCTATCTGCAACCCCGATTCCATTTCATCATCCGAAATGTATATCGCCAGCGGGTTATCAATTGTGCCATCAATGATATCCTGTTGCTCAGTTCCGAGCTGTGCTTCCAGCTCATAATCCAAAGTGGTGCGCTCGTTTTCACTGAGCCTGGGATCCTCCAATGGCTCTTCCTCAGCACTGAATATCTGAACCTTAAGATTAGGAATTCCCAGATGCCCACACAGCTCGATTTCGGCCTCCCATCTTGCCCTGTCGTAAAACTCGCTGCGCTCCGAATCCCGTTCGCAGAAAAGCTCGTGGGTTAAGTCCCAACGATCAGGAAATTGGAGTTTGTCTGCCTCCAATCTATGCATAATCATCTGCTCAATCTGGTGCTCTTGTTTCATGCGCTCCTCATGTGGCAAACAGAGCCTGACCCTTTTTCGGTTCCGTTCGGAGGGTGAATCATGCTCTACGGCATTTTTGTCTGGTGATTCATGCTCATTACTGGCCTCGACTCGGGGAACGGCTTGAGTCATGATAGGTCGGAGGCATGAGCGCAGGGGAAGACGGGGTATGGAGAGATCCTCCAACGGCATCATGTCACATGCAGCTATTGTTTCACTTGCCATAGAAATATCTCGGGGTAAATTGGGAGCAGGCAATGATGGCGAGCGTGTTGAAAGTTGCGATGTCCTCGAGAAAGAATCCAGAAACGAGAGAGAGCCTAATTGTGATGCAGAGGATCTCAAGTTCAAGGTTGAGCTTGAGTCGAAATGCTCAATTTTCGAGCCTGGGGATATGGCTGACGGCGAGAAAGTGGACAAGCTTTGTTGTGATAACGGAGAGGGCCCCGAAGATTGCCATTTTCTCGAAATTGATTCTGACAGCGAGACCGAGCCCGAGTGTGACAAAGAGTAGGATCGCCAATTTGAGGTCAAACTTGAGTCCGAATCCAAGTCGATTTCTGACCCTGAAGATAGGGTCAGAGGTGGACAAGTAAATTGGTCTCGTTGCGGCGATGACGATGGAGCTTGGTATTGAGATGCAGATTCTGGTTCTGAAGGAGTTTCTTTTCCAACTTCCCTTTCAACATCCTCTGTCGGTGCTCGCATGGGCCGTATGTTTTGCACTCGGTCTCTTAGCGGATAACGTCGAGTCCTTTCGTCAAATTCCGTAGATTCATGAACCCAATCCGATTTAGGTTCCAGCGGGTATCTCGCTGATGGTAGAGGCCTTGAAGATGACGACAGCTCAGTGGCCCCGGGCGGCGATGAACGTAAATACGAGGGCATATCGCTTCCCCGTCCCGATCGACGTCGCTTTAGTGAATCCACCCATACCTCGGTATAATGGACTGAAGTTCTGTTGTCTCTTGACACTTGCGATTCCAGTGGCTGTGGGGATGGGGTGTCGTCCGACAAGCGGACAAGACGGGATCTGAGTACTCTTGGCATGACTTTTGACTTCCCAAGTCAGACCAGGGATCAAAAGCTAGGATGTATGGCTTGCAGAAACCATGAGATTTATGTGATATCCATGATTTCGCTTGTTGATACTTGAAAGGGTTAGATTGATACCAAATGGGGCGGCTGTATACCTCCGGTTCACCGTTCAATGAGAGGCATCAACACAACGTTGACAGCCAAAAAAACTTTAATCGGGAGGATGCGAGTCAGAATAATGAAAGACAGGATCCTCAATCCCCTCTGGATCTTCGTAGTATAGATAGTTTTGTTATTTAGTGGTTTCCTACATAGTCTATCACGTCTAGTCCCAGTTTAGAGCGTAGAGTAGCTACAGTATATAGGGTTAAATTTGACAGCTAAGGTATTCTCTAAGTTTGGGTTTTGAGCTAGGAGACAACCAAATTTCACGAGACCGAGACTATTGCTCCACTTTCACTCATTTCATTGTTCTAGGAGATAAAGATCAGTTTTCAGAATAAGGGTTTCCCGGATGGGGGAAAACCACTCCTTTGATTTATTTCTATGAACTGTCAGTGTATCCATGTATCAAATGAAGTTTGATTAGACAAGGTGCCAGCGGCAATGATTTTATGGGAAGCTTACCCATCTGTCAACAAAAATGTGGGTATTCATTGGAAGAAGCGGGAAAACGTTATGTGGGGATTAGGGCAAAATGTGCATTGACGGGGCAACTAAGTGTTAATCCGCCAACAAGATGATAAATCTCAATGTATCGTGCTATCTCATAATGTAGATTGAATTGTCGTATTGAAGCAATACGCAATACCAGTCCTTACGATATCGATCCTATATTGACAAGACTGTTCAAAAACCTTTCCCTATTTTTGCAGCAACCCGCTCCAGCACTGATAGCTTCATCCATATACCCAATCCAACGGGAAGCAATTTCTGTCCCAGCAAAATAGATCCTCTTAAATGGGTCCTGGAGATAGGGCCATATTGCGCCAAAACACCAGGCGGCATATATACCCCTTGACCTGCTCTCGAAAATTCTTCCAGATTCCAGGGTTGTAGGGAAATGTCGGTTGCTATTTCTATGTGCGGACCAAAGAGATTTGTTAAGTTTTGTTTGACTTCGCGTTTGAACTCGTCCTCAAGAGGGTAGAAAGTCTGTATTTTGCTGATGCACTTGATATCTGCACGTCAAACCATTGTGATAGAGATATGAATGTCTAATATACACAGAGAATTAGAGACAATGAAATGAGATCACGTCCCCGTTGTTCATCCGAGACGGTATCTTTTACATTGACTTCAGACATAAAGAGAACAGAATGCAGTTGACAAAGGGTGAATAAAACTTCAAGTCACATGAAAAGTGACTTGTTCTTGTGTCCCTGGCATGTGCCACGGCGGCGTTTGTACATGGCAAGAATTCCGTTGATTGATTATTGACCACTGTCTTCATGTTGCGCTATTCTATTCAGCGCTGAGTCATTATCATCCTCATCGGAAGATTCCGATTTCATGGAGATATCAGACCGCGATCCCGAACGAAGCTTTGGCGTTGGAATACGTTCATTGCAGCGCCGTTTTGCAGCAGGTGATTGCGATGGATTTTCCTTCACATTGGGGCGTTTTGAATTAGGAGTCTGAAATGAAGTCGGGTGGCTAATTTCGAGGATTTGGATGACCTTCAGCACCTCTTGCTTCAGCTTCTCTCTGGCTGTCGAGCTATGTTGCGAATTTTCGAATTCCGCTTTCAGGCGCCGCAATATCTCTGTCTGGAGATTCGTAGACTATAATATTGTTAGTATTATAACTACGCTAAGATCGATAGTACCTGCCTTAATGCACTGGCGACTCTTATTTTTCTTGACGCAAGGCCCGCAAGTCACTCGTCCTTTGTGATACTTGCAATCGGGCAAATCCTGCTTAGCTCCCAAATTTCGTTTCCAAACTTGAAGACATGGCAGGCAAAAGGTCTGCTGAAGCTCGCCCACACTCTGACGAGCTAGAGATAGAGGGGTGGCTACGGGTTGAGGAGTCATGGGAGTGTGGTGCTCCTCCTCATCCCGAGTAACGTTATGAGGTTCAGACAGCGCTGTGGGGCATCCATTGGTTGTTTCGGTCACAGTTTCTGGTTGTCGGGCTTCTTGGCTGCTCTCAATAGGAACAGGTGAAGTTTGCATCGCAGATGAACATGCAATAGGCAGTCTGCTTGGTGGTTCAACTGTAAAAGCTGCATGCTGGGTCTGTTCGATACTCTCTATCGCTGAGAGGAGTTTAATGGATGGAATAGTAGAACCAGGTGTGATCAAAGATTGCTGAGGATCCACGCAATCATTTGTTGTCATGTGTGTGTCATGTGTAGCATTAAATGGTGCAGCATCATCAATACTGCCAGCTGGCTGAGATTGTGTAGTTGATTCAGACTGTCTCCATATTTGCTTCAGATCCCCAGCGAATGAACTCAGAGCATCTGCAAATGCCCAGATGGATCGGCTAATCCTTGGGTCATTCATTTCGATCTAATAACTAGAGGGAATAGTGGAGTTTTTGAAATGTTGGTGCGGTTGATGTTTTTTTCTTCTTTATCCGCCCCACTTTGAATTCGATCAAACATAAACTTGAGCAACTGAACAGAAACGAATTCAAGACTGTTGTACGATGTGTGCAAATACATGGCCATCTACAGTCTCTTAAATGCCTACGAATCATTTATTACAGGCCTCTATTCTATTCAATTTAAGCAGCATGGCCGATCTTCCTCGACGTCAGTACAAGAATATATTGAGGACTACTAGACTATAGGTGACGGGAAATATGAAATCCTAGGAATCAATAACCTCATCACAAAGACTATACGGCCTATGATTGCAATCCATTGCCACAATAACAGAGCCTGGTTTTGTTTATGCACATACCCTTGCTTGTCTTGATTTTGTGGAAAATATGTCTATATGAAAACCATATAAGTTGTCAATGAATAACTATATTATTAAACTAATTTGCCATATGAAGGCATCATGATTGGAAATTTGAGTTTGTCTTCTTCATACATACATGTACCAATATGAAGTTTGTGCCTGCAGGTCTTTCCCTTTTGATCCCCCCAACACGTCTTCCACACACTGTCTCTGCTTTTCTTTTTCAATATCTTTTTAATACTCTGGCTGGGGTTTCAACAACACTGCTGTTTCAGATCTGGCTCTCTCATCTTGCCTGCTGCGAGCTTTCCAGTTGACTAAGCCCTCCTCTACCAACTGAACGTAACCGACCCATCAACCCAAGCCATCATGGGCCGTTGGGGATGGCGTAAGTACCAGAATACTATCCCTTCCTCGCCCAAATATTGAATTGGTTTTATCAGGCCTCTTTGAGAGCGATCAAGACCTCGATACTGTCTGCTCACTGGTGGAAGAGCTCGGCTTCGAAACCGATTCCTGGGAGTTCACCCTTAGCAGCATGGTCTACCATACTGACATGCTCGCCCCCACTGAATCGCGAGCATTATACGAAACCCCCGAATACTCTAATCATCTCGCAAACACAATCGTGCCCTACCTGCGCAACAAGCTGGACATTCCCTGCAAGAATGGGACAAGCTTGCAGCTTGGGTGGTTGACAACCATTGAATCCGAGTATAGCATCACTGCGGCTCAGGTGAGTTTCTTTACTGTTCATCCTTTGAAAAAGAGTATGAGAACTGACTGCGTTAGTTCAACACGTGGAATCCCTATGTTGGAAGCGACTGTGCGGGTCTTTGGCTCAACTTTTATGTTTGCGTGGGCGTTCAAAAGGGTATTACTACCGCCCATGGTATTGGGACCTCGGGAGTTGATATCCGTGATTTTTGGCATCTCTGGTTGTCCACTTAATATCCTTACATTTCCTAGGTACTAGGCTTGATCAAGTATGCTTCTGATTTGAAATCCTTGTATTGATTTTCCGCAATGCGAACCTAAGCACGTTCTTAGTTAAGTGTAAAATATCTGTTTTGGGGGATTCAACTTCGATTGTTCATGCGTTTCCGTTGGTCGTGAGTTGCGCGGACCACACTTATCGGCCGGCATTGGATCAGTCTTTGGAAATTGGGATTTTCGTTTTTTAGAACATGTCCATGCTTGGAAAGTTCGATGCGTTGTTACCGTGAGTATAGAGTCCCCCCCTCCCTCTTTCTCTTTCACCCTCACTCTTCACTCATACAAAGACACATCGGCCTATGTTTCTGGAATGACGTGGATATGCTAGTTCAATTCTCGCCCACCCTCTTACCCACACTACCCACACACCTTCCGCTTGTCCCGGTTCTTAAGTTCCTAAAAGCGGTACACCAGACCCATCTTAGTATTTGTTATTGGTGATACCTCGTCTAATGAACAATAATTTCATACCTCGCAATCCTTGATTCTAGGTTTTCAACAGTCCTTTCCGGCCAGCAAAAAGAATGCAATCGCCCGGTGTCCTAGTATATCCGCGGCATAAAAGTCTTATGCAATCTGTCATCAATTTATGCCCAATTATGCCGAAACCGCACCTTCAATCTGCCATTCCGACTCTCAAACCTTAAATCAACATGTCTTCAGCAGAGAAGAAACGTTTGAGAGATCGCCGGTCGCAGCAGAATTTCCGTAACAAGAAATCGCAACACATATCTAAGCTTGAAAAACAGGTGGCCCATTGCGAGAACAACCATAGCGACCAAGGAGTCCAACGACTTTTCCAGGTAATCGCTGGACTTCGCAGGGAGAATGAGACTCTTCGGAGTCGCCAGGATGGATTGAAATATCTCATCAACTCATGGAGCGCGGAACCGGATACGGGCACGGCAGATCTTTCCAGTGAAGACTATCTCTCTTTCTCCAAGGGTTTGAGCCCTCAGTTCTCGTTTCAGCCAGACTTTCATGATTCGGTATCATCGAATGCAAATGCTCTCCCGAATACCATCAATAAATTGCTGTCTGCTTCAGCTATGACGACCCCACCCTCACAAGCGCACTCCCCATCGTCAGAGTTGCTCCCACCAGGAACCACACTCTGGAACCAAATTCCACCACACAGTGATGATCTTTCAAACCCGCAGTCGATATTTTCTTGTTTATGGTTCCTCTATCCGGAACAGATAACACCCTGTCCGGACACTCTCGGCTCTCCTCTCGACATCCTTTACGGGACCAAAGAAAATGCGTTGGCAGACATGATTCACTCAGCCCTGCAAAGGCGACCAATTCGGGATCCAGAACGTTTAAGCATTGGTTGGTTAAGCTACCATCTCTCTAGATGGTTCTTGCGACCCAGTCCGGAGACTTACGAGCGTCTTCCTCTTTTCCTAAGGCCCGTCCAGGGCCAGATGGAAGTGAGGCATCCTTTGGTATTGGATTTTTTGCCATGGCCAAGATTAAGATTGAATCTCATCCGCCGGTGGCATTTTTATTGCAGCAATCGTGAGGATTTGTTCGGCATGTTTGCCTGCTGTACCAAGATTCGCTGGCCTTGGGGGGAGGATATCCTTGAGAGAGATGATAGAAATGAGTTGCGTATTAAGAAGAGGTTCTTCGATACATTTATGAGTCAGAGTGGATGGGGACTTACACCGGAGTTTATAAGAAGGTACCCCGATCTCGTGGAGGGGATGGATATTCGTGAGATTGAATTTGCGCTCGTATGATGGACTAGGGTGCTGCGCAGAGAAATTTTATTATTATGTATATTATGGGATATATAATCTATATGCTGTATGCTGGTTCTTGCTCTATTGTGTTTGTCATCAAATGGTCTTATGAAGCAAATGAGCCTCTTTCAAGATGTGAGTCTCATGCCTTCTTGCCATCAAGGTCAATTGGCCACTTTTCCCGAATACTCTTTCCATACTTTGTGAAGACAATCGGAATCGGAACAAATGCGAGGGCCACAAACCCAAGTAGGGAGTTTCCCCAACCAAGGCCTAGGGTATCAAACATGGTGGGTCCAGCTAGAGGAAGCAAGGCACCAACCAGCGAGCGCGTCGCAGTCAGAGTGGCATTTGCAGATGCGGCATATGCGGGATAGCAATCAATAATATATGTTTGGATAGGCATGTACACGCCCATCATACCGACTCCGAATGGGAACATCCCGATGATCGGCACAATCCAAAACACATGCTTGTCGGCTGTCCAGCCATACCAGAAAAAGCTGATTGGAAGAATACAAGAGAAGAAGATCATCGTTGGTAGACGCATCTCGGGCTCAAATATGCCGCCGTTTTGCTTGGTGAGCCTCATTACCACTCGATCGTTGGTCATGGCGATAATGGCGAGTCCAGCCATGAACCCAAAGCCAATACCGAGATATGCCAGTCCCGATAGACCCACTGAAAATCCGTATTGGCTGGTGAAGACATCAGAGATCGTGGTGAAAAAGAGGTAGAGGAGACCGTAAATGAGAGCCTGGGGGTATGGTTAGTAAGTCACGCCAAACATAGCAGAGTAGAACCAGGATAATAATTACCATGTAAACAGAGAGAAGGAACACAATTGGCGACTTGCAAAACAGCAAGACAGGCCTCTTCAGGCCCTGCAAGAGAACCTCTTTCGCAGAAGCATGTTCCTTATCCGCTGCATAAGCGCTCCTCAAATCACTTCTCCCAGTCTCTTTGGCCAGTTTTTCCGTCTTCCACTTAATGAGCACAGCAGCATACGTTTCCTTGTTGAGAAGTTCAACTCCGAACGACAATGCTCCACCAGCAATAAGCAAAAGCCAGAATATCCAGCGCCAGCCGACCTCTTCGCCCAGGAACCCACCAGCAATGGGGCCCACCACCGGGCCAATGAGGGGTCCCATCGCCCAGATCGAGGTTGCCACGCCGCGCTGCTCGCGCGGAAACAAGTCTGCGATCACGCCGGCTCCTAGTGTGATGCAGCCTGATCCACCGATTCCAGCGAAAAGTCGACAGACGATCAATGTCTCGATGTTTTGGGATAGTGCACAGCCAATTTGCCACACCACGAAGAACCAATTTGCAGCGCTGAGGACGATGCGGCGGCCATATATTTCACTGAGAGGGGCGAGGAGAAGAGGACCGAACTGGGTAGCTGATGTTAACATAGTTGGTGATTTGATTTAACTGGGACACTTACTGTATATCCAAGCAGGTAGATGCTCACGCTGAAAGAGAGGATCGTTTCGTTGGTTACTTTGAAATCTGCTGCCATGAAGATAACCGCCGGCGAGAACATGCTAGATGCGAGGGGCGAGATCAAAGTCATGGCACTTATCAATGCGAGAAGCGACCATTTCTTGCCTGAGGAGAAATTCTGTGGGTTCTTGGGGTCATCTTGTCCATCCCAGCCGACTATGCCGCGGTCGAGATCTGTCTCCGGGTATAAGTTTGTGACTAGGACTGATTCTTCGCCGTGTTGTTTCTCAAGGTCGGGGGTTTGAACTCTGGTGCTTGCTTCTCCGTTTGAAGCGGAGTGACATGACTCTGCCACATGCTTTTGAGGCGGATCCATGATCGGAAAAATATGTAGCAACCCGAAGCTTATGCGAAAGAGGAATGGATGAGCCCTCCAATAAGGAGTAGGTTTGAATAGTTCGAAGAGATCAGAGGTAAATGGATGAGATAGAAATATGGTTTGAGCAGATCAGGTTACGATCAGGTCGGAGCGGATATCCAAACTATTTATATGAATTATCGGAGCATGCTGAATCTTCGAAATCTGTTCGGTGAACTGATCCTTCAAGTTTTATGATATGATTCAAGTGATATCTGACCTATAGCAATAGCTGTTTCCAAGCAGCACCCAACTGTAATCCAAGCGATGAATCAGTGCCCTGAAATGTTCAAGGGAACCACCAATCATATCTAGTCAATCGAGGCACTGAATCAGCGCGACCCACTTTCAACCCTGGGTTTTTATTTTATGCGCATAATTTTTCCTGTACATATGTTAGCTGATTTTACGTAGATTAGCTGATTTTCGGTTGTTTAATACTATCTGCGAAGGTGTATAGCGACTGGGGGTCATATGATGATGTCTGAAGATGCCTTATCCTAGACTGCTTTTTAGACCGCTTTATACCATGTACTGTACACAGTCCCATCCTAATAGTTGAAACGTTCAATCATTACATCTATTTTTGAATTCCTATTGATTATCACTATCTCCACTATTTTCATAATTCAAACTTATTTTACCTACAAGATGCCTTGTTTCGTTGATTTCAAACCTTATAAAAACAAGATCCTTAATCGAGTCTATAAGATTCTACTCCACTATAGCTCTAGTGATAAAAACGTTGGATATATAGAAGATAATACCTTGAATGCCTCAGATTGGGTAAGAACATATACTTGTATAATGGGAATAGCTTTTGAATCTTTGGACCTCCAAGGTTACCTAAGTAGATAGTACATAAAGGTTTCTTGACTGTTTACTAGACCCTTGGAGCTCAGCACCTACCCAATATACTCAGGCATGTCATTTCAAGGGTCCCACTACGTAATTACCATATCACCGGGGATACCAACTGACCAGTTGTCCAATTTACAAACAATTCCACGCGACATCCTTTTTTTAATCCTAGGCTGCCATAATCCACCCTTTTGACCCAGGCAACTCGAGCCAGGGTCTGCCACAAATCAAAGCGAGCGATATTCTTCTGTTTCATTTTTTTTGGGACACACAAGGCAATAGATATTGGACAACGAACCAAAGAAGACCCGGTACAAACTCGGTCAGAGGCGAGAAACATGCTATACCAACAAATATTTCAGTAAAAGCTATCACAACTGTTATCAAATTGGGGAGAGGTGAAGGGATGAGAGAGTGAGCAAAAGGAGAATTCAAAGAGAGAAGACAGAGGGTGCACTGTATGGCACTGTACCAAAGGGGTCCTACGGAGCGCATGTCTATCTATACGCTACTTTTAAACTGCAGCAGGTTAAATGAGATTTGCTTGATTGCTTCATTGTTCATAATTCAACACGTCCACCCCATCGTTACCAAAACCTTCAGACTGATGAGATGGCACATCACTATCCACAGACATGCTCCCATTGGTGCCAGCCAATCATTGTGACTTCACACCTCATCGGAGTTCGCCGACTCCGATTCCATGGCCTCATCACTTGACCATTCTTCTTTACGTTCCTCGATGTACTCGAGGACATCGTGGCAGTGCCCTACGAAGTCACTGTTGGTGAGTTTCGGGCTGCGTTAGGGAGCTGCTGTACTACATCGAGCTTTGCCTGGATAAGATCGACGAACTCGTCCTTCAAATCCTGGAGCAGGACGGAGAGCGGTACAAACGGCGGAATTTCCATCTGCATTCCCTTGGTATGATAGTAGTACTCCATCAGGCGGTAGTCGAATGACTTCGCATCAGGCCAGCCGGCCCGGTTGCAGTGGGTGACGCGGATCAAAGCAGCAATCATATCATCGACATCGTAATGGGGTTGCATAGAAAGTCTATTAACCCCCCGTCCATCAAAGATTCTTATGGCAGCGTCGAAAAATTCGTCGGCAAAGATGGTTCGGCCATGAATACAATCAATCGTCTGGACCAACAAGCTGTGCATATTCCAAGCCAACCATGTGCGGACTTGCTTGGAGGACCCCGACCATCTGTCAATATCTGGAGAGCCCTCAGCTGGACGAGGAATATACCAGTAAATCAGTCGGTAAAGTCTCAACACTTGGAGGACTGCGAAGACATGGATGGACCAGGTGTTCAATTCAGAGGGGGCCGGCAGGACACACGGGTAACGGTACAGTACATCACAGTTCTCATCATGCAGATCAGTCGTTTGGTCAATTGTTTCTTCCTCTATCGGAGGTTTCATTTTCACAGATTGGGCGAAGTGAGAAAGCGGCCGATCTGTAACTGTACGTAAAACTTGATTCATCCAATCAACGCATAGTTTATTGAAGATAACGTACTAGATTCAGAAATATCACAGTGAGTGCAGTAATCCCAGAAGGGCTTCCTTGTGCGAGTCTGAAGTCGCAATGGTTCACTTCATTCCAGAATGGGCAGCCAACCCGCGAACAAGGTAAACCAACAGCTAGGATGATCTTACTGCAAACCTTACACTGCAGATAAATTTCATCAATGAAAAAAAGATTGTATTGCAAATTTCAAAGAAACTGGATGTGTGCGGATGAAATTGCAGCAAAGGAAATGAGAGCAGAAGGATGTTGCCCATGAAAACAAGTCATACCCTGACAGTTATGCCCCGAGACTGCCCGGACTCAAGCCTCGCGATATCCCAGACTTAACCCCACGCCGCCCAAAATTCTTCCACTCCGGGCATCAACAGCCCCGTGACTGCTGGTAGCCCTATCATTCTTCACTTTTCATGCACTTTATGGCCTCACTTCACCGTAGCACCCAGTCCCTCTTCCATGGTTTTGATAGCTTTGACCTTGATATGAACTAAAAGCCTTGTTATCCTTCCTTGTACGTTCGGTGTTAGAACCGTGAACAACTTCCAAAGCCTTCGTGCCTTTTCTTCCAGATACTACATACATTCTAGGTGCGTAATTTACTTTTATCTCCAGTTCTATTATTGTTCAAGTCTTGCCTCGATATAAGTGACTCAGATGAACAAGATCATCTAAATTGAATATAAGTTGAATTGAGCCAAAAGTGACTGACTATATATGATGCAACGACCATGAATGTCAGGAAAGTGACGTTTCACCTATGTGGAATTGCTAGGAAAGAAGGCAGCTTGGCAGTAATGCCATTCACTAAGAATTTCAAGATTTCATACAATGTTTTACTCAATTGAGGTTTTGGTTTCCAGTCATGATACTCGACTAGCCTGTCTTAGGCTTGCAAAATAACACAGTATATAGATATATAATAGGAATGACTTCGAGTAGACAACCACCTGGGCAGATCCAAACCAGAATTGTTCATATGTTAACCTTGGAAGGCAATATATATCATATAAAATGTATACTAAAACTATACTAAGTACATGTTGATAAAAGTTTCGCGGAATCCAAGGACGTTGCCCCGGGCCATAGGGCTGACTTATCTTATCGCCTCACTCTTGCTTTCGTCCAATCTCTCCTCCACTTTTTCCCTCTCTCACCATCCTGCGGATCATCGGCAGACTCCCTGTCGTCGCAAGAACGCTTTTTTTATCGGTTACTCAGGTCAGAAATTGTTGCAAGGTCTTACGCCAAGTATTATACACTAACGACACACCTCCAGTCATAGTAATCCTGCTGCCTTCCGCCCATCGAATGCTCGTTATCTTATCACAGAATGGGGATTCGGGTCTGACAGAGCATCCGCACCCGCCTCTAGGCCACTAAGTTCTCTTTGGCGCCCCCTCGTTCTTCCCTGATCGACCGACTCCGATCGCCCCTCTCAAAATGGACCAGGAAGAGGCTCCACCACCGCCGTACTCCGCCGTCGATCCATTACTTGCACCGAACAACCGGAACAACAACACTTCCCAGACCCCAGCCCCCCACCGTGGAAGGGCATCCTCACAGGATGCCAGTAGCTCGCGCATTCCTGCCCAACCAACGGTTGTGCCGACGCACTTCACCTCCGCTGCAGCGTACTTTGAGGAACGGGCCCCGCCGGTCTTGGACGAAAGCCGGACTCTTTTGCAACATCATATGACCGTATACCCCCGAAGCCAAGCGAAGGATTTTCCACGACGACCCCGCTGCTGGTCCTCGCGCTTCAACGAGACAACGCAGCAGGATTGGGATACGTTTGTGAACTATCTTTTCCCCCCACAATTGGGACTCGCTGCATCTTCCCAGCACCTTCCCCGTCAATTGCGCGCGGAGATTCGACGTGATCGCAAGGACCGCCCCCAAGAAACCGACGAGCAGCGTAGGGCTCGGATTGCTGCTGTTGTTGGCGAATGGAACGAATGCTTCTTCGGCTTCCGCGGTACTCATATAGTCTTCATCTATGCGGGCGAGCCTGATTCTGCGCCGCCGTCTGCTCTTTGTCCCCGATGCTACCCTGCTGCAACTGGATCGATAGAGGGCTCGCCGTCCAGATATTCGAATGCTTCGTCACCTCAACAGAATTTTGTACAAACCCCCTGGCCGCCGTCTCCGTCTCCCTTCAACCCACATCCCCACATATCTCCATCTCCGTATGGCGCGCCTTATCCCTCATATCCCTCCCCTATATCCCCCAATCTTCCACCTCAATATTATCCACAGCATCCAGCACCATGGCAACCCAACAACTGGGGATATGCGCAGCAGCAACATCAGTACCCCAACAACGGCACCTCCAAAGGTGGATCAATGGGATGGATTTCGCAGCTTGCATCGACAGCCCAGAAGTACGGGGAGCGGTTCAGCGAACAAGCACAACAATACGGAGATCAGCTTAGCGCGCACGCACAACATTATGGACGGCAGGTCGAGGAGCAGGCTCTCGCCCATGGCCGTTGGATTGAAGAACAAGCAGGACTGCATGCTCGCAAAGCACCAGTGGCCACTCCATATTATGGTGGTTATTATAGCCGACCATCCTGGGACAACCAAAGTCCCACAACGAACGTTCCAGTGCATCAGACCCCGAGCCCTGTGACTGCAACTACCCCTCAAACCAACCCTCCAGCAAATCCAGCAAATCAAGACAATAGCATACCTAAAGTCCTAGAGCAGTCAGATTTAGAGTCGACTGCTCTGTCGCGGCGAGTATCGGTGAGCTCCGTCTCATCCGATTCCTCGTTTAGCTCGATTGATTCAATATCTACAACATCGGATTTAGGCGTCTCGGACCTTGCCACAGTGCGAACCCAGTTGGAGCTTTTAGATGATCGCCACGATCGTGCCTTGTATGACGCCGCGGTGGAACTCCGACGGCAACTCACCGTCTTACAAGATTCTCGCCGAGAATCCAAATTCTCTGGCAACAAAAAGTGGAAAGCCACACAAGCGCCAAGTCGACAAAACCAACAAGCCGAAAGCAGTGACTGGGGCCGGTGGGACTCACCCGAACAGCAACAACGCAAATCCGTCGACAGACGCGAGTTCAAGGAAGAAATGCGTGCCACCAAAAAAGCTTTCCGGGATGTGCTTCGTCGCGCCCGTGACGAGCAGCGTGAACGGCGGCGCACAAAACGTCGTCAAGTCCGACAAGCAAGAGCAAATGATGGAGACAAGGCAAAGCAAACATACAATCGCCCTCTTGATCAACAGCTCCAGAGTTTGAGGCTAGATAATCCGTCACAGACAGTCAATCAACCACAGCTGGCGGCTCCACACGGCTCGAACGTCGGCTCCGAGCTTGCTTCGGGCCAATCCTCTATCTCCAGGACGAGCACATTGGATCTTGCCTCGCCTGGCTCGGTCGGTTCGAAGAAGGGAAAGCCAAGTGATACTTCGAGTCGTCTGAAAGATATGCTCAAGTCGCGCAAGGCGAAAAAGCAGAAGGAAGACGATGCGGGGAGCAAATAAGTTCAAAATCAGAATCCCTTTCTTGTTGTTTAGCCTGGAGTTTATTGGAGGGCCGTAATGCGATTTCGCTTCATTGGTGTAGTGCGTCGATACTATACCAACTGACTCTGTATTGCTGGACACAGAACCTTACATATCCAGACGAAAGTTTTGTACATACATACAATGAATCATGCATCTCATGTCCATCGCACGAGCAATATATTTAAGCCTGCGACTCATTCTTCTCAACAAGATCGCCAACACCGAGACCCCTCCCGACCTTGACGCGAATCTGCTTTTCCATATCCTTCTTCCCTAGGTCTCCAACCTCCTCTCCCTCATCGACATCCTCGTCGCCTTCCTCCTTATTATTCTCCCGGTCCCGTTTCTCAATCGCCTTCCAGTCTAGCCACATATTCTGCAGATTCAAGTGCATAGCGTACGCATCCTCGCCATCGGCATAGTATCCACTCTCGACTTTTTCAACCTCAAAGCCCAAAGTATCACGGTAAAGACGGAGCGCAGCGACGTTCGACATGCGCACGTGGAGAGACACAAAGTGCGCGCGGTGGGATTCGGCCATCGCGCGTTCTGCCAACAATTAGTATCAAACACAAGAGGTCAATTTCAAGAACATACGACTCATCCGCATCAACCGCTCCGCAATTCCCAGCCTCCGATGTGTCCGCATCACACTTAAACTGGTAATGTGTCCATGTTGCTTTCCGTCCGCGGGCTCCTCCTCCATCTTCGCAAGCACGTACCCCACTACCTTGGGGTACTGCCCGGAGACATCACCTGCAGCGCCGACGCCGGCAACACCGCTGCCGGAGCCTTGCTTGTAGCCATTGCGCGGGCGCACGACAGCAACGAAGCTGAGTTGCGGCCAGGTGAGGGCGTGGTACAGGTAGTATTTTAGGAAGTAGTTTTCGGGCAGGTTGGTGATGTTGCAGGTTTGGATTGAGGGGAGGAGGTCAATGTAGGAGGGGTAGCTGCTGAGGGGGACGATGTCGACCATTTTTGCGGTTTGGGCCGGGGCTTGGTGAGGGCTTCGTGGTCGTGGTGAGGGGTGGTATTGTGGTTTGCGGTGCGGTGGAGCGGGGGTCATGTGATGTGAGAGTATATTCTACATTGGTTTGTTTAACTGATATCATGGAGCTTGAATTATTTGCAGAGATATAAATTAGATCAAATTGTACATAAGTGCTATTTAAATGTCATCTGTACAAAGTATGTATGGTCAGAAATAAATGAATAGTTATAGCGCCGACGACCAATTCGGTCATGCTCCCCAAATAGAGTCATAGATATCGTGGAAATCAAAACACAGACATCAGCATCTGCGCCCCCATCGCTACTAGCACTACCGTCGACATGCCGGCGACAGAAGCACTAAGTGACGCAGCAGATTCCTTGCCACAGCATTGGCGGGTGTATGAGACATTGTTCATCTCGGCAGCAACCTCGAAGACGGAACCGTTGAAGTTGCCGTAGTTGTAGTAGTCAACCAAAAGGAAGTTAGGGGGGCGGTCCCAAGTTTCTATCTGTGTTAGGAAAAATCACTTCGAAGAATCGAATGTACTTACCAGTACAGTTCTGGGCCATCTTGCCCAGAGTACCAGTGGTGTTGGTGGCGTTCGAATTGGTGGTACTGAGAGTAGCAGTGTTGGGAATCAACAGACTCAATGATCCCAAGTTCAACTGCAAGTTGAGGTTATGATTGGCCATGTACATGCGGTTCTTGGCGTCTTTCCTGGAAAGACCCGGGGGACGCTGCGCGGTACACGGGAAGTTCACGTCAGTGGGGGAGAAGGGTGTCTCCCACATCTGCGAAAACTCATCCATGAGCCAGGGGTGCGCGGTCTGGTTGGCCTGGTAGTCCATGAAGAAGACTGCGCGCTTCTGTGTGAGAATCATCTCGGACAAGGTTGGCCAGTCGTTAAGGGCCATGGGGATCTTCGTAGGCGTGTAGATCAGATCCTTCAATCCGGAGTTATAAATTGGGGTAGTGAAATTCTCGGCAGAAACGTAGTCGTAGTTTCCAATCATAAAAGTCACTACATCGTAGGGGTTTTTGCGCATCCACTTGTTCACGTCCGTCAAGTAGGCTTCTAGGGTACCGACGTCGAGCAATGAACAGGTCGTGTGGCAGAGGTACATGGTGCCATTCTCGTAGTGAGTTTGGAATTGCACTATGTTGAAGAGGTTAGTGGATGATCCAGCTAGTGCCTAGTAAACTTACGCATGCGAATGCCGTCATTCAACTGCTGCGTCACGTCCAGCACCTGGTTGGCGGCGACGTTGTTCTTGCGCACGAACGGGCTGTTGTGTGCTGCGACCATGGTGATGTTGGAATATTTCCTTGCGCAGAACTCGGCATAGTTGTTGCAAGGCTGAGTGTTGACCACGGGCGAGGCAGTAGCGGTACTGCTGGTGGTAGCGGTCGCATTCATACTGCTGTTACCGATAGTAGTCGTTCCTGCACCTCCGACCAGCAAAGTCCAGGAGTCACGGGTAGTGGTGACTACAGTCCCATTGCCCGAGGTAGTCATTGTACTATTGTGGTGTCCGGTTGTCGATACGAGGACCGAAGTCTCACCGTCACCCAGGGTGACTGTTGTGCTGACCTGTTCATAGGTACCCGAGGGGATGGCTACGGGAGTTGTAACGGTCACAATCGTGGATCCATCAGTGATGGTCCTTTCGGACTCAGTGCTGGAGTCGGAGGTAGTAGTGGTGGATGTATCTTGGGCCACAGCCACGACCGCGAGGTAGGCGAAAGCAATTGTAGGCCACCTCATCGTGCCGTATATTGTGTTTTGAAATTGACAAGGAGGCGAGGATCTTCATAAGTTAATTCCTTGAACTCATATACCGAAATTACCTAAGCGGAGGTGGACCAAACAGTGACGTTAGTGGTCAACAGAGAATGGAGATCAACCAATTAGGTCAAGCCGTTATTTTGAGTCCAAAGAGGCGCAGGAAGCAAAGTGGGAACAGAAGGATAATAATAAGCTAGGGAAAAGATCTTAAGACATTCGACTAAGCCGAGAACACTGAATATGATGCTGCCTGATGTTAATTATTCTACTCTAATCATTAACCCCTTAAAGGCATTGATCACAAGCTCAAAACATTATTGGCCTCTTTTTTTTTAATTCTCTTATATGTTCCTCCCCCTTCCTTTCAAAGCTTTCAAACCCCTCTCTCTCTCTCCTCATCCAATGCCGCCAAGATAAGCCTGAATGATCGTCATCAGAAACTAGGGGACACGCCACTAGTGTTCAGCCACTGACGATCGCACGGGAGACCTTAGACGATCTCAACCAAAATTTCCTTGATAAAAGAAGAACACAGAAAAACAGAAAGTAAATTCGCGATCTGATATATTTTTCGTCGTATTCGGCTTTGGTTACCAGGGTTGGAAGTTGATATTGGCCAACGTCATCCCGATAAACCCTAAACCTTTCCTTTTCTCTTTCTTTCTTTCTCTCCTGCAACAATTGGGGATAATACCTTCATTTCCCCAATCACACATCAACTATAACATGGATGGGACGGACAGCGGGAAGCGAAAGCTCCCCTTTTTTCGCTCCACTACCCCAATTGACCGCCGCCGCAAATCCACCGTCCACTGGCACCGTGGACTGCGGTCGTTCCTATATCTGATCGCCTGGATCTTTTTGCTCTTGGTAGTCATTGGCAACATCGCTAATAAGCCAGTCCTACGGAGTACCTACTTTCTTTACCTCGATCTCTCCAACATTATCCCCGTTTCCGTGCCCAATGCTGTCCTTATCAACTCTATCGCTCAGACCATTGGTCTACACGACTTTTACCAGGTCGGTTTGTGGAATTTCTGCGAAGGCTACAATGGAGATGGTATCACCCATTGCTCCAAGCCAGAGACTCTATATGCGTTCAACCCAGTTGAGATTATCCTGAACGAGCTCTTGTCCGGTGCTAGTAGTATGTTTTACACCCCTTAACAGATGTGACATGAAAATTAACGATCGCAGTCGCTCTTCCATCAGATATTGAGGAACCCCTTAACCTGGCCCGTGTCGCCTCCCACTGGATGTTCGGACTTCTTCTCTCCGCAGCTGTCCTCAACTTCGTGATGATCTTCGTTGGCCCACTCGCTGTATCCTCGCGGCATCCACGCTACATCAAGGGCTGGGCAGCAGGCTACGACTCAGCCAATGGCAACGCCACGCACGCAGCCGGCCAGCCGCCCCACCGCCGACGCACGTTCGTTTGGCTGCGTGCCCTCCCCATGCTCATCCTCACATTCTTTACCGCCCTGGTGACGATCGTCGGCTCGGCCGTCGCGACAGTCATGTTCGTGATTTTCGCCAACGTCTTCGAGACCGCCGACCCCAGCATCAACATCAAGGCTCACGTTGGCACCCCAATGCTAGCCTTTATGTGGATTGGCTCGGCATTCTCCTTGATCGCATTCATCATCCAGATTGGCTCATGTTGCGCGGCCTGCTGTCGCGGCCGCAAGGCGCGCAAGCAGCTCAAGTCTCAGGGCGTCAATTGGCGCGAGAAGGGCTCAACACACACCAGTGTTGATTCTCCGGTTGAGTCATCTACCCCGGCGATTAACCACGCTGTGTCTTCGGGTAGAGATATTCACCCTGTGAGCCCCATTGAAGAGCGTCGTCTTAGCTCGAGTGGCCATGCTTTCTCGAATGAGCATGAGCAGCGGCTTGGCTCGAGTGGCGGTTATCCCGAGCACACCCACGGCAACACCTTCTCAACTGAGCCCCACGCAGTCTCAAAATGATTTTGGTCTCGATTTCGAGCTACATTTTGGATTATTCATACCCATCATACCACCTTTCCTTTCTCATTTGATTTCTGTGGAATTTTTTCCCCACATGTGCTATAGAACTCCCTTATTTTGGATATATCATATCCTACTACTTATTCCAAGCCTATCTGTTTGAGAAAAACCCCTACTTTTGCATGATACCGCAATTTTCAAGATATAGAGCACATTTCCCATCTCGCATGACGATATTTGATTTGAAGTTGGTTCAGTGAATATATATACAGTCTATACGCGCTCTAACATTCTGTGCATTGGCCAGTGATTTACTTACATAGCTTACCCCACTGCATCGATGTAATTCCATAGGTGGTCAACAGCTTACTCTCTGGATATTATTGTTCTATGTATATCTCCTCTCTCAGTTCCTCTTACTCAATTGTTCGTCTATCAATCAAATTTTACGTTTATGCATACATGTATATATAGCCTCTGTGTTGGTCCCTTGAGCAGCAAATACCAAAATGAACTGTTCATAAGTATTCCAACCCCTCCATTAGCGGGTGATGATCAGAAATTGTACGTCACTCGAGGCTAACCGAATGATAATCCACGTACCCCACCTTTTGTCATGGCCATCCCACATTTTTACGAGAGATCGTACAATGAGAAACAGAATGGAATCAAGATGTAGATTTTTGATTTGTTGGCACTTAGGTATGTATATTATACACAAATCTCAGTACGTCAGACTTTTGTTAGGCCTGTATTGAGCCAGGAGTATGGGACCAACAGTTCGTCAACACGGAATGGGTCCTTTAATATATTTACAGTAAATCGCGCAGCAAATCCTTAATTTGAACCAATCGAGAAGAGTTAAAGTCGCCATGTCGTCGAAAGTGTAGATTCTGCTGCCATGTGAATCTCGCTTGACGTCAAGTCAGACCCGACATAGTGGTATATATCCACTTGTATTCAGCCATAGATACAACCGGGTAGATCTGAACTATCCGTGCGAAAAGAACCTGTTATAAAGCCAAGTTCCCCCAACTATATAGTGTGCTTGATTAAAGATTACTCACATCAATACACCAATATATTCACCATGGGACTCCACACAACCGACGATCAAGAGTACGCCGAGCTTATGAAGCATCATGGCAAGGGCAACTTCCTCTATGTCCCTGAACGATTTAGCAGACTGCACCCAGGATCCATTGGTTACTTTGACAAAGAAGGAGGATGGAACGAGATCACCGATCTTTCACAGCCTGGCCGTGCCGAGGCCGATGGATTCACGGCCATCGGTCGCACCCTGACTCTCGATGAACCTAGGGAAGCCATGTGGAAGACCATGTCATCGGAAAGCGGCAGTGAGAGCAGCCTGCGTCTCACTGGTGGCTTGTCTGGCGCGGCGGCGGCCGCCCCAGTCGATGTATCGGCCACAGGAAAGAACAAGAGAACTTCTGATAAAAAGGCCGCTCTCATCACCGGGTCCATCGTCAAACATGAGAAGTTTATCGCGCCTTACTTCCCGCCTATTCAAAGTTGGGTTAAGAAGAATGCCCGCGCGCTTGTCGAGTCGGACTTTGGCGATGAGATTAAGAAGAATGGACTGTGGGCTATTCAGTCTACTTGGGTCACTCCGGAATGTGCCATTACCATGACTAGCGACAAGAGCCGTGACTTTGATGTGGGATTGGACGTGGGTGCCACTGGGTTCGGCAAGCTTGGTGCTGGGGGAAATTCACTCCAGAAGCTTAAGAGTGAGGGCTGGTCGACATATGAAGCGAAAGAGGTAGCGGGAACCTGCCAGTAATGTTCAAGTTCGAATGCTGACAACTTCCAGAGCGATAAGGGCCTGGTGGTCTCGTTTGGGGGTGCCTGTTACAAGTTGAAGCCATTCTCAAGGTGGAGGTCAACTGTATGTCTTCATAAATTCATTTGCATATTATCCGCTAACCAAATAAAGCCTTTGTCGCAGGTCGAAAGAGCCGGGGAGACTGAGAGTCTGGTCCCTGTCTATGATGCAGATGGAAATATTACAGGTTATGAGAAAGAGAAGAAGCCTGAAAATGAAGACAAGGAAGACAAGGGAGCTGCAGCAGAGGATGCAGAGGAGGAGGAAATGTCGATCGACATTGAGGGTGCTCCGGTTGGGTTGACTGACAGTGACATTGAGGCAGAGCAACAATGTGCAAAGGAAGAGCAAGAAAGGATGCAAGCAGAGTTCACAGCAAAGGCTAAGGAGATGATGGAGATCCCAGATGCACAGGAGAGAGATGCGGCGCGGAAGAAGCTGCTGGAAGAGTATTCCTATACAACAACCACAGTGACAATGAAGTCTTGGATCTGAGGAGAGACTGCATTTATGTATAGATAGACAAGGTTACCAGAAATTCAAGACATGACAGGTGTTAGTTAAGTCTAGCGACATTTCTATCTCATTCGGTTATCTGGCTTTACGTTCTAGACCAATTTTTTTCAATATTTTTGTAGAAGATGTTATAATTGCTGATGTAGGGCGCTTGCGGGCTTGCGGGCTTGCGGGCTTGTAGTGGTGATATCAGTGATCTCTCCCAAGGTTGCCTTTCAGACACTAGTCATGCTAATAAGATAAGGAGAACAGCATATCAGCCCAAGGAAAAACGAGGCCCTATCGAATATGACACGGTAATGTATAAACAAGGAAGCATAGATCATATGAGTATATTTTACGATGTAGTCTCTGTGAGACTGGTAGATTTTTACATCAATGAATTGAAATCAGTGGAATCAAATAGGTATTAGTGAAGAGCATGCACCGTTTGTTATGCAACGGATGCAAACCAAAACAGTAGAAATGAAAACAAAGTACTCAAAGCCATAAGAATGAATTGTAGACAATCGAAGTCGTATTTCAAAGTTCAAAGATCAGAGCAACACGTAAATGAACAACACACGAACCGACCTTGATAAACGCCATGATCACCATCCAAAAGACAGGATCAGTGATATTGATCAGGTCAGGGAAAAATAAAAACGAAACGGAACAGGGTATCGATATGGAATCAGAATAAAGGCAGAGTAACCGAGATGAACACTAGACCCAGAAAACTTCACAATAAGAGCAGAAGGGGAAAAAAATCGCACTCGTACTGACATAGACACATGCAGTAATGACAAAAAGAGCAAAAGGTGAAAAAGCAAAAAAGCAAACAGAAGTTGAGCAAAAAAAGGAACGTACAAAAGAGACCATAAGCCCCATGTCTTTCACTCCTGGTACGCCGACTGGTCGACCCCCGCATTAAGACGCCATGTATGCAAACTCAAAATGACCAGATATGAAAGCCAAAGAGAAGACCATCTACATCTCCATGCCATACTCATCCTCCTCCTTGAAGCTCATGGCAGCATGACCAGCGCTGTTCCAGTACTGGGGCTGGCCTGCACCGTTAGCACTGCTTGCACCGCTGTGGAATGAGGGGCTCAGGCTGGGAGGAGTGAGGCCGGACATATCGCCACCCTGAACGGCGTCGCCGGCGATGTTAGTGTGCTTAGGGACACGAAGGCCGCTGCCAGGTCCACGAGTGTAGCTGAAGGAGGTAGGGTCGTTCTTCTCAAGTGCGTCAAGGATCTCGCTGCGCATGCGCTTTTCTTCTTCGGTTTGCTCAAAGGGCCAAGTTCCACCAAGGCTGGAAATCAACTCAGCGAGTTCCGCTTCTTGCTGGTACTTGATGTGCATTGCCCACATCAGGTCACGGGTCCAGCTGACGGCGCCGTTGAGGATGTCACCCTTGTTAGGCCCCTTCTCCTTCTCTTCAATGGGCAGTCCCATGGTAATGTTGCCAGGTGTTGCGCGGCGGCCGTTGCCTCCTGCCAGGAGAGAGGTGGCGGCACTTCCGCCTGCGCCAGCCATAGAGAGAGCGCTGCTGTTCACGAGTTGCTTTCGAACCTTGTCGTCTTCCAATCGGTGTTGAGGGACTAGGTGAGACAGATCTTGGATCCGCTCATTGATGTTGTCGCGACGGCGGCGCTCAACCAGATTGTGAGAGGCACGGCGGCGTCGGCGCTTGGCTTCCTGAGACTCGAGGTCACCACCACCAGGGAGATGCGTGTCAACCTTTGCAGGCAGTGAAGCATGCTTGCCAGACGTGAGAATCTCAGAGATGCCCGTGCGGTGAGATTGGTGGCCAGGAGAAGAGATAGGGGAAGACTCGACGTATGACTGGGAGCTACCAGGGGTTCCATCCCATTGGTTAGACAAGGTCTTCTGGTGGCGAGCCTGTAGTCCGGTGCGAATTGGTTGGGAAGGGAAGCTGCCAGACTCGGGGGTACCAAGAGTCAAGGAACCCAGTGCGGGTGTCTTTGGGGTCATTGGGCTGCGGCCGTCGGATGAAGGACGGTCCATTCCCTGCAAGCTCTGGCGCTTCGTTCCGAGGTAAGTCTGATCAAAAGAACTGGCATTCTGGATGTGTGGGTTCTGTTGATTCATCCGGTACTGATCATAGTTGAAGCTGTTCTGGACGAAAGGGCTGGCCATCGGAGCATTGTCGGGGGTGTTTGAGTATAAGTGCGACATCTGACTCTGGTGACTCATAGCGATGCCACCGGCGGATTGGTCTTGAAGATAGTTCATGTTATCACGTTGATGGCCGTTCTGCCCACCACTAATCTCCAAATCCAGCAGCTCGTCTGTGTCAATCCCGGAGTTTCCAAAGTTGAAGCTGGAGGACATGTTTTGCTGCGAACCATATGAGTAAGGCATGAAGCCATTCTGCTGCTGCATGGTCAAGTCGGAAGGGTCCACGCCATCGTTGGGGTGGTTGCCGAACTGGTTACCCATCGAGTAACCGGAGTGCGACATCATGAAAGGGTTGGAGTGATCGTCAGATTCGTGTTTGATGAAGAAACTTGCTTCAGCCATAACCTGGGAAGACAATCTTAGGGTGGAATTGGGGCGATGCGGCTCGGCGAGGGATCAAGGGAGAAGTCGTAGTGCCGATGCTACTGACTCTCCGTGGTTGTTGATAAAGTCAGGTGATTCGAGACACCTGCGGAGTTTGAAGGAGGTAATGGATAGAAGAGATGATGGAAGTAAGGATGTCACGATCTGCGCAAAGGAATAATGTTAGTCAACTTCGACCCCGCCCGTAGGCGATTTGAAGATGCCGTGGCCTCCGTGCGCAAGGCAAACTAGGCAACAAAACCCAAAACAAGATGGGCTGATGGAAGAAGGAATGTGGAATAATTACCCTTTGAGCAATGGTGAGAGCAACCAATGGAGATTGTGGGTGGAAGTTGAAAAGCCGGGGAAATTTCCTCGGTCTGAAAGCCGGTGGGATGAGTCGAGGGTCTTCGGGGCACAACTGTCCGTGCAGATCTTGACAACAAACGCGTTGAAGGCAATGGTAAAACGACAGATTCGTTCTAAAGATCACCTGTGTAAGCGATGAAAGACCCAATCAGATGAAAATAAAAAGGACCGATCAATGGCTTTGGACGCGTGTAGAGGTTAGAAAGAAAAAGATACAAGTGGGAATGGCGTGAGCACAAATAGAGTCAATGCTAGAGACGAGCAGGAAAAACCAAGCCCGAATCAGGCACTCAATCCCAGTTCACACACAAAGGTTGCAGTTGCAGATGCAGTTGATGCAAAACACAATAGAGAACGAGCGAGTGGGGGAGAGAAGAAGCGGTGGGTGGGCGGTGAACAGTGGCGATCCGGAGATATCGTTCGAGAACCTTTTTGACTTAACATCTTCAACTTCTCTGGTTTTCCAGTCTCTAACTTGACTTCGTTTTCGGTTTCGAGCAACTTTTGCCAAATTTTGCGTTTGGACCTCCTATGTTTCGGGGTTTGAAGTTCTCCCCCTCACGCTCGGATTGCAATCAATACGAATTGATGCAAGCGCTTACCTTTTCCTATAAAAAGAAAGGAAAAAAAGGAAAAAGCAAAACGAAAGCAAAGGACAAAGTTGGGTTGGGCTGAGGCTGATGAAATGGGTTTGAACTTACCAAAGGTATATAATATAACTTTGTTGAGGTATATCATGAAGTGGCCCAATATATCGGGATGTAGAACGACAGTCTATACCAACGTTAGCATTAGGACAACCATGAAAGTATACAACATCAACATCAGAACAATTATGTGGGGAGAGACATGATATAAGCCACGTCAGAACAGAGCCCCCATTTCACACGTGGAAGCCTGATCCACGTAGATAGATAGGCAGCAGCCCATACATCGATCATAGACGCAGGAACAACAGTAAAGGATATGCGATGTATAAGAGGGTCGGTCCGATAAAACAGACTAACTTAACAGTTTGATCACGTACCTGATTGTGTATGGAGGATTGAGACTAAGCTTGTTCGCACGGGGTTAAGTCTGATGGATACTGAAAGTCTTTGCGAATCAGAAGTTCAATGTAGTGACAACTCAGCGATGAGGGAAAGCACTTGCAGGTTTCGCAGACGAGGGGATGGAGACTTTATGAACTCAAGCGGCGCTCTCCTGCATCTCTCATTTGATATATTACAACATTGGTCATGCAGCCTGTCGATCGGTGGAAATCGATGAGATTCACCTACGCCATCGGACTGAAAATATAAATCAAAAATTAATAAAAATTAACGAAGATAAATAGTATTAATAGGATTAGGTTGACTACTACCATCTGGATCAGAAGGGAAAAGAACCAGGGCAAAGGGGGTGTGAGTCTAAATGAGTGTGAGTGGATTTGCTCTGGTGAAGGAGGGGTGGCGACGGTAAACCCCCGAGCCTCTATTTGGTTCTTTTGTACTATACATAGTAAAATAATAATTAATACAGCATATATGATTAGAAATAGTAAATAAAAAAAACCAGTAAATGATAAATCAATAAAATCAAGCTGGACAAAGGGGGGAAGGGTGATACAGCCGGATCGAGTAAAACGGTGGCCATCCCATGATACCCGTTAGGATGTTTGTCACCTGTCAATACAGTCATGACTCACGGGTGTCTTGAACATAGCAAGAAAGAATGTATCAGATGAGGCCTTGAGGTTACAAGCATACCAAACCAATCTTCCTGTGAGGAAACCCTAATCTATAGTGTCTGCAGAGTATGTAGTCAAGATACCCGAATGAGACCATGTGGATGGATATGGAGGGGATATCTCCGTCTTCAAGTATGCAGAGAGTATTAATCCTAGGACGGAAGACGACGGAGTTGGTAGAGATCGCCAAGTATGGAAAAGATAGTTACAAGTCGCAAATATCATCCGGAGAAAATAACATGCATAGCCCTATCTATACCTTGGCAATACAAGGTAGAGGTGAAAACGATCCTAGTGCATTCGACAAGGAAAAAGCGATAGAAAAGGTGAAAAAAGTAAAAAAAACACGCCCACAGACCGCATCCACCGTAAGCCCTATCAACTCTGCAAGAGGATCAGTGCGGTCTGTTCTTCATGTGCGATGTCGTGCAGAGGACATCGGGGTGACGATCATATCGCCATGATCTACCGTTAAGGGAGCTTGGACCTTTTCCTATGGCTCCGCTCCGACTGCACGCCTGGGCTTAGTTTTGAGGATTTCATCTCTACGTAGGGAGCGGATTATTGATTTGGGTTACGGCGGCAAAGAAAATAATATGGTTTCTATCAGCAAATCGTTGAGAATGTTTGAGACTTGAACAGTGTTAGACAGTGACCGGATTCGGACTTATCGGTTCGGTCTTCTATCGTCGCCCTTTGTCCGAAGCAAGAGTTGGTAAGAGTTGGTTATCCAGAATGTGGTGGAGAGACACCATTGGAGGGGTTGGAATGTGTCTGAGACCATCCGCCAATAGCGGATTAAACCCATACACCTTTCTCACTTTGACATGACTGTACTGAGCCACATCGCCAGATTTTCCTCTGCAAGCCACTCTGAAATAAGAAAATCCCAGTTTCGACTCATTTTCACAGAACTAAAAGATCGACGGATAGGGAGTGATGTCCGGGATGAGGGGGAAAATGGATCTGACGTCCCGTCCCGTCAAGGTTCGGCGATACACGCCGAGTATCCACGGTTGATGCAAGGGAGAGGCCTCAGTATTGTTGAAGTTGTATTGTATTCAACACAATCTACAACACAAAACTGGGAATTATCTCTCTAAACTCTGCGCACAGGACCCTTATATGACGACATTATGCTGCATGGTTAAGGTCGCACTCCATTCCGGGGGTCACGATTAGGGCAACTCATGTGCGTTGGGCATTCTAGTAATCAGTTAAGAACTAAAATCAACCATAGATGTTCAAAGCCAAAATGAAAAACGAAAGATAGATAAAATAAAACGAAATAAAAACCAGGAAGCAAGCAGAAAAATAGAAAGCAAAAGTTGAGAAGTCGAAGACAAAAATTAGTGAGGCTAATGTCAGTGTTACCCAGATGCTGAAGTGCATATTGACCTAATTCTGGCTATCGGACAATTCCCCCAGGTAGGACACGGGTAGCCACATAATACGAAAGGTTATAGTTATGCAACATCGAGTTTTCCTGGAGTTCTTCCGATACGACTACCAAGCAGACAGGGCTATATAGTATATGTCCAAATCGAGGATAGATCAGAAAGAGTAGAGTGATAATATATTAATATGATGCGCAAATAATAGTCGAATATCCCATACATTGGGGATTTAAATTTCATATCTAATAGGCTGATCATCACAAGTTGAAACCTACAACGTACTCTAGTCAAAGGTTCCGTTGACAAATTCCAGCGGGTATAGCGTTACTTTATCGCAAAGAGTGGGTCTTTTTGGGAGATAAAATATTATATGCAATGTCTAACCCTATATAGACTTAAGACATAAATGATAAATAAATAAAACAAGCTCAAAAAGTGAGTAATAAGTGAAGTTGTATAGATTTGTACAAATAGTTTTTGTATACTAGACGATATTTGGGTCGCACTATGCCCAATCAGGGGCTAGCCCCCTTTCCCCATCTTCGTCCGCAATCCGCAGCTCACAGTTCGCAACCAACTACCTACAACAGGGTACTGCATACACATCAACACATTTGATCTTGGTATGTAAATGTAGCTCTACCTCTTTTGACTGTTCTTCTGTGGGGATTATCCTGGTCGAAAAAAATCTCCACAGGGCTCGGTCCGAGAGATTTTTACCCCAACTCTGGGACATCATCATCTGACAGCTTCAGCACTTATCGCCGATCGGGTTGGTCGCATCGGTAGCTTCGCGCCATCTCGTCATTACCTTGATTCGCCTCGTCCTCTTCCCCTCCTTTATCGATAGTGCAGCGCTTCCTGATCCAATCAGCGATCCTCGACTTCCTGCGCTGTGTGTTCCCCTCCCCTTATCGGATCGTGCTCGTAAGGTTCAACGCTTCCCACCTTGCCTCCGCTTGGTTACCTCGACTTCATCAACTTCATAATCGATCCACCGGTGCCGCGCCAGAGACTCGCAAGCCACCCCCCGGTTGTCTTTGCCGACTCCGCATAGCTGCAGATCCCGTTACGTTGACCCCTACCACATCAGCGCAAAAGTATTCACTTTCGATCGGGGAGATCCGTAAGGTTTTCCATTAGCCCACTATCGTCAGAAAAGTCTTGACCGTATAATCGAGTCGGCGAACTTTCCTTGAAAGCCCTTCGACACGAGGCACGGCGTATCCCAACTCATCGGAAGCCGAATCCGCGTTCGGCGCAGTTGTCATCTGCTCCTCTGTTGGCTTGACTAGGGCTCCGTTTCCAGCCAATCCTTGAGGATCATTCACCACTGGCGCAGATCATCTGCACCCCATCTCGCATAGTCCCTGCAGACGTTTCTCTCGGTCTTGACTTGGGCCCTCTCTTCAGACGCAACCGTGCACGCCCCTCCACTACTCCTTTCAATTGGGATCGACTAAAACTTGACTGAAAACTCGTCTCTTAAACATGGCGAATAACTCGTTTCGAGACTCTGTCAACTCGCTAGGATGGTCGCGTAGAGATCCGGATCTTCCCGTGCGCACTGGCGCGTCATCTAACACACCATTCCTATCAAGGCTACAATCATATAATCCCTTCGGTGATGGTGGCTACGTTCAACTGCCCACTCACAATGATGGCCCTGGGGCCCCGTTACCAGCACCCAATCGACGTGAAGAAGAGGAGGGTTTCTTTGCTTGTAAGTTTTGTCCCTCCTACCTTGTGACCCTCCGATCCCTAGATCCCTAGATCCTCCCGGATATCGCTTTGTGATATCCAGGTGATGAATGTGCAGTTCCTGCGCCGGGAGGATTTATTATCACTATGCTTGTTTACGTGATTACAAGCCGACAGACATTAACAAACGCGAATAGTGAGTCGGTGGGACCGTATGCTCATTTTCGGTGCATGCAACTTGGGTGCTGCCGTCTGTTTCATGATCTGCTTCTTCCTCTTCCCCGTTTTAAGCCTCAAGCCCCGCAAATTTGCCATCCTGTAAGTTGCCTTTAATGGCCCGCATTGTCGTGGTTTTCCCACTCTTTCGATTCCAATATTCGCCCACCAAATCCGAGCTGGGAAACAATAGGCTACGAGTCCATTGTGACTAGAGCCATGTGCGCGTGCGCGTTCGAAGATCAACCCGCGATATGATTTGTTCTAATCCCCAACCTATATCTGCGCCTCATGCCAAGAGCCTTAGTCTCTTTAGTCTGCGATATCGCTTGCTAATATCTCTTTAATAGATGGTCTGTCGGTTCAGTCCTGTTTTTGCTATCATGGGCGGTCCTCATGGGACCATGGTCCTACGCTAAGCATCTGACCTCGGGAGCACGGCTGCCATTCACAGCGGCCTATTTCGGATCGATCGCTCTTACACTCTATTTTGCCATCGGGGTAAGTAAATCGATTTATGTTGCCTATTTCTTTTGCCATTCCAAAACAAAAACCACTGGCTTTTGCGTGTTCCACGCCGACGATCTTTCCCTACCTCATGATACTTTCCTTCCATTTTCTTGTTTGTCCCACCTTGCTCTACCCCAACACGGAAAGTATGGTCGCACTGCACAACCGGAAAAAAGGGGGATCTTGCAGCCTTCGCATCCATCGCGCAGTACAACCTGAGGCTACACTTTATCGAATCTGTCTTAGGTCACAGCCATTTCAGCTCCCTCAACTCATCCCACCCTGTCCTCAATCAGCTTCTGTGCTCGCTCTGCTATGGCTGTGACACGTCCCACTACAGCGCGGGACTTGGATACGCTCTCCCTTGCTTTATCTTGTCCGACGCTGCGCCGTGTCACAGAGCGCGGAGTCCAGAGCCATCGAGATCAATCTATGTCTCACCGTCCCTGGCAGCTGTTATAACTGCATATCATGACTGCACGCCTTTTTGCTGCTTTTGCTGCCCAGACTAGAAACGCATCCACTTCTAGAATATCTTGCTGACTTCTCTCTTTTCGGTTCATTTTAGCTCCAGAACTTCTTCCTCACTCTCATTTCGTCCATTTTCCAGCTCACGGCCCTGGTCTGGTACCTCGTGAGCTATTTCCCCATGGGCAGCACTGGGTTGCAGTACATGGGCCGCTTCGGTGCGTCGCGTGTCACCGCTTGGATGAGTGGTTGATTTGGGCAGTTTCTCAGTCATTCTCGACTCGTTCGATTCGGACTCGGACATCGTTCACCTCGCACAGCATGGTCAGTTTAGGATATTGAACTCAATATACCTTCTTTGTATAGGTAGCCAGAACTATAGAAAGTCTGGTGTCTTGGCTTTGCACCGCGTTCCCGCAGACTTGTTGGTCTCTGGGTAGTACAATAATAAATGTTGATATGACGAAAGAGGCTTCTCTATGGTTACGAGTGATTCCCATGGCTACCAGTGAAAGACTTGGATGCTGCTGTTTATACCCGTATGGCCAAAGTACATGAGCGACCCTACTTCATACAAAGCACTCTAAACTATAGAGCTAGCAAAACCAGCTCTCAGGCGTAATATGAAAAATCATAGAATGCATTCCTCTTAGTTGTATCCATAGCCAGTGTGAACACAATGCAATAAACAATAATTGAACATTCAACGTCGGTCAATCCATTTCAAACAGACTCAATACTTTCCCCGACTCATCACCAACCCCACCACTCCATCAACAACCTTAACACCCTCAATCTCCGCCTCAAAAATGCCCGTGTTACCACCCGACCCAACCTCAACCCACCGTTGAAGTAGATCATTACTCTCCTTTGGCTTGACCTCAGGCGATACGGTACCGACGGTGATGTGCGGGATCGCATTTGCACATGGCCATTCAGAAATAGCATCGGAGCCCTCGGCACCGTCTGCGGGTAGGATGCGCACGACAAATGCCATGATCCTATCGTCCCAGACTAGACGCTCGAGGCGGACACGTGCACGGCCAAGTTCAGGTGGGTTTTCTATAGGTTTGGAGACAGGGTTGGCGGTCTGCGATTCGATGTAGCGGTTTGCCAGGCGGTCCCATGTTTCTGGGTTGTCTTTCTTGGAGGCGCGGTGAATGAGCGTTACGTGAAAGGATGGCTGAAGGCGACGGGAATTGACAAGTTGGCGGTAGAGGCGAGCTGTCATAGATGGGGTAGATTGGGGGAAGAGGGATTGGAGAACAGAGGAGATCTCATTGGGTGGGAGAGAGATGTTGAAGTATTCGATCTTTTTGGCAAGGGCCGAAGGAGAGAAAGGGTCTGTTGGTTGAGGTGGGGGTGTGCTGTCCGTGTTTTTGGCCTTGTTCTTTTGCTTCTGGGGTGGGCCGTAGCTGTAGCTGAGATCGGTTTCAACGTGGTAGTCGTTCATGGAGGAGGCGATGGCAGCGTCGAGCTCTTCTGCCGTTGGAATGGTGGTGACTAACCGAGGGTATGCGGCGTGCATGGCTTTGATGACTGTTTCGAGGTTTTCGCGAGAGGAGGCACATACGTCGAGATCAATGACATGATCAAAGGACATATCTGGCGATCTCGTCGTGTCAATGCCTTCAAAGCGGCCCAAGAATCCCTCCATGATCCCGATGATCTCTTCGCGAGCGTTGGTGCCGGCTCGGATGGTTTGATGATTATCGCCACGAGCCAACACACGTCTGCGAGTGATCTCTTTGATGTCTGGAAAAAGCTTTCCTTTCGGCTCATGGACGTAGTGGAGAGCCACGAACTGCACATCGGGGATCACGGGGTGGATGTCCTCCATGAGCTGCTTGCGTTCGCGCCGTTGATGGTTGTTGCGGTCGGCGATAACAACGTTGTGCTCTCCTAGAGCGTGGCTGGCCTCAAAGGCAAACTTCTTAGGCTTGCCTTTGACTTTGGGGATGTTGTCGTTTTGAACATGTCCCCATCCGAAGAGCCGCACAAGAGCCAAGGCAATTGTCGTCTTGCCACACCCTAGTGTAGCAACGGGGACAAGAATGACATTCTGAGTGACCTCCTTGGATTCAAGTTGTTTTTTGGCCTCTAAAGCGATAATTTCGGGTCCATTCAATCCTCGTTCTTTGAGGAAAGCTTCACGCAAAGCGATGATGCCGTGGTTGTGCAAGTACTCGTTTGCCATCTTGGAGTTCTTAGCCAAAACCCGTCTAGCAAAGAGCAGGTACTCTTCAGTAATCTGCTCGTGCTTTCGAATTTTGGGGTGTTTGCCTGCAATGACGGATTTGGTGCATTCGCGCCACTGACGATACATCAAATAGGGCTCTTCGAACTTGTACTTGAAAAACCAATGCCGGTAGGGTTCAGTTTCAGTGTTTCTCAGCTGGCATCGAATCACAAAACCTTCTGTTTCACGACCATCCCATGTCCCTGTTTCGGCGCAATTTTCCAAAAAGCTCTGCACTCGAAAAATATCGTCAAAGACCTCGAACTTCGTCTTCTTGAAGCCCCAATCCTCTGCAAATTTGTTCACCTCATCACACGACATCGTCTGAAATTCCGGCTGGTTATAGTTGAGACCGTGCAGGTAGATTCCCGAGGCGGCTTCATCGTACGCCAAAACATGCTCCTCAAAGGTGTCGTCGCAAAGCTCTCCCACTGCTGTAACATTCATCTCGCGTAGAGTTCGAGCGAGATCTCTAACAGATCGGTTCACGGACGAAACATGGCGTTCGGTCCATTGTTCACCAACTTGCGCATGGCTGAGGACGGAATCCTCTCGTACTCCAGTGGAATGCTTGCTGCATACTAACAGTTTGTCGTCTTCCAATCCAGAGATAAAGATAATACATCCATTTTCCTTTACACTCAACTCATATGGTCCCCGTGTGTTCTGTTCAATATTCCGCCATTCGGTGGTTTTTGTCTCGCCGACATTGAAGAATTTGTCATATCCGCGCGTTGTAATTTCGGGGATTTGGTTTTTAGTTCTTGAAGTGAAGAGTCCACGGGCATATGTTGGCAGTCCAGAGCGCTTGTAGTCCCAATCCATAAACTTCCACGAGTCCACAGTCTTGTTTTGGGTGCCGGCGACGGTGAAAGTGTTCTTTTTGCAGCTGAAATTTTGTCTTTTTTCGCTCTTATTTTGTTTCCGAGCATCCTCTAAGGCTTTCACAAGCTGTGCGATCTCATGGGGATCTTGAGTTGCCATTGTAGATATGTAGATTCGTTATGCGGTATACTGTTGCGGGGCAGGAAGGTGGGATGAAGGAACGAACAACCACCTGAAGGACTAATAAGACCAGACAGGCTGACTCGAGATATTTGAGAAGTGTTCAGTATAAAAGAAAAGAAAAAGAAAAAGAAGCGAAAATAACAGAGAAGTAAGACGAGAAGTCGTGACAAGAGTCATGTAGAAAATGAATGTGTCACAGCGCGGGCAACAAATTAGGGAAAGCGGCTCTTTTGGAATTTTTTTCTTCTCTCTTTACAACATTCTCGACCCTCCCAACTAGTGTTCCTTTTGTTTTTATTCGCTTTGAAATCGTCATTTCACTTGAAATTCAAATTAAAATCCAAGTCTGTCCGTGACTCATACCATGGCCCAACCAAACCCCTACATTATGGCCTGCGACAAACCCGAGGCGCTTATAGAGCTGCTGCGGTCCAATCCCTCGATCGCATCAACCCAAGATGAGTCAGGCTACTCATTGCTACATGCCGCGGCATCCTACGGACACACCGATCTCCTACGCGCACTAGTGAATGAGTTCCAAGTGGACGTCAACCTTCTCGACGAAGATGGCGAGACCTGTCTATTCGTGACCGAGCATGAACATATCGCAAAGTGTTTGGTTGAAGAATTGAAAGTGGACTACAATAAGAAGAATTCAGAGGATATGACCGCGGTCGAAAAGATGGAGCAGGATGATGAGTTCCCGGAGGTTTCTACCTACCTTCGTACAGTCGTTGGCGGTGCTCCCATCTCCGCTACGAATGCAGCCACTCCCGGCGATGTCTTGAATCCCCCCGCACCCATCCCTGGAAGTGACATGAAGTTCAACATTGGCACAATGACCGAGGAAGAGGCTACTGCTGGCGAAAGTGAACCAGATCCGGAATTCAAGAGGCGTATTGAGGAGCTTGCGGCCCGTGATGATTATTATAGCGAGGAAGTACAAAGCCAGGTGCGCGCATTGGTCGAAGATGTCATGGCTGGAACCAATATTCAGGCCATGGAACGGGAGGTTCGGAGGAGAACCGAGTAAGCAGGAAGTCTGACATTCAATTTTCCATTCGCTGCTCTGAGACCATCCTCGTGCTGGAATATGCAAGCGAGGAGCGATCAGCAGGTCCAGTTGAAATCCTGATTCCCTGAGAACTAAGCAGTGACACACATTTCCGATCTTTTGCCCAAAGCCTCGGAGCTCAGTGCCTGTTCAAATCTACCTGGCACTAACTCGAGCAACCTCTACAATGTAGACTACAATGTAGACTTCGATCTTCTACCTATGATTATCTCACGAATACCCATGACAGAATAACGTCTTTTTTGTTTTTGAATCTTTGAGATAAGCCAGAACCTTTAGAAATAGAACATCCTATTTCTTATTAATTTGAGCAATCGCATCTGTACAATATCGTGTGGACAAATTTGGCCAATCATCGACCGCCTCGATCCCGAGCTCGGGCCGTCTTCACCTCTTTATATCTCGGGCCTAAGCCAATCTTAGAATCAATCTCCAAAGGCATATGAGAAGTCTTGACCATAACGGTATCAGCTATATTATGTCTCAACCAGCGTCACCATTCCCACCGCAATCTCAATTCTACTCCCCACAGATCATGGATCTAAATACGCCTCCTCCGCCTCCTCCAAAGCCGAGCAGCCACGAAGCTAGTCGGGGAGGAACCCCGCAAAGCATGTCCGCCTACCAGCCAGATCAGACACAGGCACCAGTTCAGCAGCCCTACATCCCTAATCCCCCTACAATTGAGGAAGGCTGGCTTCCAGACCTAGTGAAAGACAAATCGTAAGCTAGCTGCCTCGCAACGGCCGAACACCTCTAACCACTTCAAACAGCACTATCGACCTTCAAACAATCCTCCAAGATCCCGCCTTAATCTCTGCTCTGTCGAGTCTACATCCTTCCTATACAGCCCGTCAACAATCCATCGAGACCCTGATCCATTCAAACAAAGACCTCGCAACCCGCGTGCTCGACACGCAGAACCACCTAGCCGAGCTCCGCGCCTCAACAGAAACAATGCTCATTACCCACCAATCCCTCGAGGTCTCCTGGCGCAAGAAGCAAGCCGAGATGGATTCTGCCCTTGCGCCATGGTCGCCTAAAGCACTGTACCAGCGCTACAGTGCAGCAATCACGGAACAGGAAGCTGTTTGTCATGCGGTCGAGGAGAGCTTCCTTGATGAAGATCACCATGGTCGCGCTACAGAGAAGGAAATTGCGGATTGGGTACGGCGCGTGAGAGGCGAGGCCTCAAAGCTGGCAGCTAGAAAAGAAGCAAAAGCGAGATGGGACGAGGGAAGGGTTGGCGGTTGGCGATAAGCTGGCCCAAGTCAACTTGTCCTTTACTATTAACGATGCCTATGCTGTCTCCGATTCAGGATCTTTATTATACACTATACTACACTTTAACTAAACGGTTTTATCATATGTTCCCATCCAGCACATTTGCACTCAAGCTTCGACTCTAGCACCCTCTGAATTACCCGGCTTGACATGCTCATACGGCGTCTCCGGTACACCCGGCGCATTCTCAACATCCGCATGCCCAACCGCACCACGTGTGTCAAACGCCCAGCTATCCGTCCCCAGCGAACTGGGAAACCCAACACCGCGGACGAATGCGCGTTTGCGACTGCGCGCACCCCAGGCCCAGCCCGCTCCGCGCCGGATCGGAAGGTGGTACATGTTGAAGCCGATGTAAGCGAAAAATATACCAAGGGCAGACCCGAACAGGATATCAAAGCCGTGGTGCCTATAGTTGAACCAGCGCGATGCGGCAATGAAGCACGCTGTCGCGGTCGGGAAAAAAGAAAGCAGCATGAGATAGATTGGCGGCGCGGCCCCACGCGTCCGCACAGACGAGTGGTCGTTCGCGTAGCTCTGGTCTTCAACAGGGTACTGGGGCAGATAAGGGAACGCGACGGAGAATTTTGCGCACAGCCAGAGTGTTAGATAGAACAGGCCGGCGAAGGAGACTGTAACATGTTAGCACTTTGAATATATGACCGTCGACGTAGACATACAGGATGAATGGCCACTGGGGAAGCTTGCGAAACCATCCATCCGCAACGAATTAGACTGATCGCGACAAATTTCCCATGAAACCAGCGTCGCCGCACCGCGCACCTTATCTCCAAGCCCGCCGATGGTGAACTCCGCAATCCGCGAAAGGTCCGGATTACACCGAGCCAGGAGATCAGGTCGCGGTTTACCGACGAGCACCTTCAATCCCTGAGTGGCTGTCCATGCGCTCGCAAGCGCCAGCGCAAGCCCCATCCAGCCGGCATTCCATTCCCAGAACTTGCGACGGATGTATTGCGCCGCGGGCGGTTTGGACCCATCATTGCGACTGGCGGTTGCTGGGACGAGGATCCATGAGATCAGGAAGATGAGAACGGCTGGCGCGAAAAGCCCGACGAGGATGAGCGTTGTGGTGGTCACGGTTTCTGTGTGTTCCGGGAAGCTGATCGTAGGATCTGTGAGACTGAAAGCATGCTGGTTTGGTCCTTGTTTGTAAAAGCCATAGCCGATTAAAGCAATACCGCTGGGTCGGGTTAGTTTGATTTGTTGGGATGAGGGTTCGCCGCGTACATTATGAAGACCCAGTCTATTATGTAGGATAGCACTAGGAGCTTGGAGATGGTGGCGAGGCGCGTCACTGTCTCCTTGAGTTGGAGGGGCATGGCGCAATGGTTGGAGGAATGAAAATGTTTTGAGCGAAGGGTTTAATGGGCTGATGGTTGTCGCCTTAAGCTCTTCGCCGCTTGTTCCCCTCCCCTTGGTGTGTCAATCAAGTTGGGATGGATTGAGGCCTGAGGATCTACAGGACCCCAGGCAACACAGTCGACAAGACAAAAAGAAGATGATTGCGATACTTCTGCAAGAGAAGAATAAGCTAGGCAGACATTTTATCCAAGGGGTGAAGAGAGTGGCTGTGTCGTGGGGTGTGAAGTCTAATTTGACCTGTGACTTGCCTAGAACGATCATCTTTATGAGGTCATTCAATCATCACACAGAGAGTCACGAAAATAATTGTATTTCTCATTGTATCCTTCATACCTATGAATTTCCAAAGTCAGCTTTTGGGGCATACTTTGATCTTAATGAGCAGCGGTTATGGTGTCGATCCTCCAGTCTCGGGTGGCTGAAACTTGCAGGAGGCTTCCCGTCATTTACTTCTATTCACCCTTTTTTGTAACAGAGAAAGAGACTCATTGAAATCCTCTTCTTGAATTTCTTTCTCTTTCTGGGCATCTTCCTGTTGTTCCTCGAGACTAATACGCCGCAACTCCAACTCCCGGAAGCGTCCATAAAGCGCCACGATGTCAGGTTCAGTATAGACGCCTTTGTCGTATGACAGCTCATCCAGCCAGGCATGACAAGCTGGATTGTTAATCACAGCGGCGAGAAAAACCTGGCAGCAAAGACGCTCAGAGACTGGTGAACTGGGTTGTGTCATTTGCATATCGGCGAGACGGCCAGCCCAATTTTGGACAAACTCGTGGGGATTTTGTTCAGGTTCGTACTTGTATGTGAGCCAGCGAACTGCCGTTGTGTAAGCCGTAAATGGTGGGTTTCTTTCACATATCTTGCGGAGAGACTCAAAGGCTTCGTAAGCCAAATGGCAATCCTCTATGTGGACAGCTTGGGCCATCGTTGTGTTGATAGTAGATTGAATGTATGTGAGAGCAAGACCATTGCGGTGATCCCACTCTCCCTGAGCTTTCTCGACTTCTGAGATAATCGCTTCGTCTAGAGGGTCAAGAGATATTGAGGGCGAAGAGATGGATGATTTTGTCCCCAATCTGGCGGTAGTAGAAGCTTGCAGCACAAAGTCTCGCGGGCGGGCTTCCTTGCCAGTGATGATGCCCCATAGTCTATCATCATTTGATGAAATCTCACTCTGAAGAGTGACTTTCCACATGGCCCAGTTACATTCTCCTTCGAGTATAATGATGCTATCACGGAAATTGTTCATAGTTTCAGACATGATTGTGGTTCTCAAAACACGCGTGACGGAGTTCGGCGATGAGAGGTGTGGAGGGTGGTATATTTTGGATCGCTGTAGACGTCGATGGTTTAACCACCAGACCATGGACGAGCTCAAGAATACTGAGTTGTGAAATCGTGTCGGTGGGCAATTTGGGAGACTGCAACGATTGACGCTGAAGATAGAAACTCAAAGCGGAATGTTGTGTGAAATCTTGGTCAAAGAGCGAAATAGTAGGTAGAAGTGTCCCGCGCAAAGTAGATATCAAACCATTTCAAAAGGTGTTGATACAAAAGCCAAGTCAATATAGTGAAACTGAAGATCTACTGAGTGGACCTCAGCCTCAATTTGATACAGGAAAAACTAGACCCACTACCAAATTGTATATGGGCTACATTCCGTATGCAAAGTCTGGCAACATTCAATATCACTCTATTCTCATTTCCCTTTATATATTCAAAACATCTTTCTACCAGCTTTTTCCCCCAATTTCTACACTATGTACATACTTTGGAGTCTCTTCCCAGTCTTCTTTTTGCCATTTCTACCAAGCGGCCAAATAGTCACTTGTATCGCTGCAGGGGAAACCGTTTAATTCAAGCTATTTCCAGACAATTCAGAAATTTTACACCCAATTTAGGTCCTTTGGATACAACGAGGTTGCCCCAAGTATTATGTATTTGAGTAGCTATTCCGTAATCGATGCATTATTTGATTACAGTGGTGATATTGACATATTGAGGCCTAGAACATGGCCACAATTGCAGCAATAGCAGCTGCTCCCATTGGCGCCGCTGTGATCAAAGGCTTCGCGATAGCTGCTGCGGCACCAGTCGAAGTGGCTCCGGCAGTAGCCTTGGTGCCAGAGCCAGAAGCAGTAGAAGTAGCTCCGGAAGTAGCCTTAGTGCCAGAGCCAGAAGCAGTAGAAGTGGCTGCGCCAGCAGTTACTTCAAGGGCTCTCCATTTAACAGATTCGGGCGCAATGCTAGTGCTCGAGTCGATGTTGGAAGTTGAAACGGTGATGTCTCCCGAGGATACGGTGAATGCAACGCTCCAAGAACAAGAGACGGATTCAGAGGTATGGGTGAAAGAGCATTCCTCAACATCGGTAATAATACCGGTAGCGCCCAGGGTTTGGATGCTGTATTCGCCTGACATGCTATAGGTCGCAGGACCCTGGATCAAAGTCACAGAATGAGGGAGTGCGCATTTGGCTGCACCCTTCAGACATCCGATCTCGTAGGTGGTAGCGGTGCTATCACTGCCAATGACCCTAGCAGCGGTGCTAGTGTAGGCGCCGGGATCGGCGCCATAGGTATTCGTGCCGGAATCAAGTCCAAAATAGCTGATGGTGGTTGTGCTAGAGTCGGCAGCAACCAATGTCGCAAGAACAGAAGTGAGGATCAAAGACGGGCGCATTTTGATGTTATGTTGGAAATGTTCAGTGTTGCTAAGAGGGAAAAAATCGGTGGCGGATGAAAAAAAACCACTCGAGACTAGTACAGCAGAGCAAGCCCTTTAACTTCAATGGTAGGCAACATTCATAATTCCCCGAAAAGTTCGCAGGGTCCTAAATGTGGACCTAATCGATTTAAAGACTAGCCTTGGCTTCACTATCGTGGTTGAGATTGGCTAGGTATCTGATGTGCCTATCAGCTTACGGACACGGACCTGTTTAATGTCACTGAGTCATAAGTTCCCCAGGGGAATGAATTAGTTCATTGAAATTTCTTCGTGGCCTCAATTCCAGCCCCTTTTCCCTTTTCTTCAAAAAGCTCATCCTCGCTCTATTCCCCTGATCCAGCCCGGCCATTTCATGGTTCGGTCCACGGCTCGGAAGCGAAAAATCGTTCCTAGCGCTATGGAGATATCTTAGCGTGTCTCGTGGGTTAGATCCGCTTGAACCGACATGGCAAGACCTGATCACTTGGTGTTAATGGTATGGCGGCCCGGTCTTCTGTTGAATGATATAATCAATAAATGGTGTCAATAGATACCTAAATGTGCAGGTAGGGTACTAGTTAGTTATATTAATTCATCCCGAGGTCCTCATTGTCGCTTACTGTAGAAGTCATTCTTCGCGTGGCAAAAGTTGACCAATAAGAAAAGAAATGGACGACCCGCCTCGCTTTCACCAATAATGAACAAGCCAGGGGCCAACCCCAATCTTGGCACTGGAATTAAAATGAGAACGTTCGGGTATCATTTTGAATCTACAAGAGATTGAACTCCTTTTGAGGCCAATTTTTGTTTCTTTACTTGCTGTTGAATTGGAATGCATAGAGCTGTGTTCATTGATTCGTTGATACTGTATATGAACCATACCTAATTCTGTCCTTCAACCTCACGCTTGCGCGCCTTCTGACTTTTTCCAAGGATGACTGTACTCAAATCACCTACAGGTAGTGAAACCGGGAAATCAACGGCGTCAAGGATTTGTGCAATGAAGATATGCCAGATCGGGAGGCAGAGTGCGAAATTAAAAGCGCCCGCGGCCTGTCAACAAATATCAGCGTATACTCGATGGACATGCAGTCATTCAGCCATACCTTTTGTAGTTTGGCAGCCAGAACAAGATTACCCAATGCCATTTGGAAATAGGTTCCTGCAAACAGCCCAAAGGTGATCACAAGCAAAAATAGCGCAAGGAAGAGGCAGACATTCGTGCGAATGGAGCAGATTAAATAGATGAAGGTGAGGATTGCGAGGGAGACGTAGTAGAGTCCTATTCCAGAACATGTTAACAAACTCCACAGAATGTATCCCTATAATTGAATTGGAGAACTTACCGACTGTAGCGCTGTATTCGGCGGTTTGCATGCCCTCCAATGTGTTACCCGTGGGTGAGTACATTGTGCCAACCGCGAAAAATGGCATAAGCGATGTACCCTGAACTAGCCAAAAAGTGCCTGTTCCAATTTGATTAAAAGGGTGCCATTTTTGGGTCATATCAACGAAAAGTTCATACCATACGTGAAGAACAGAGCACAAGAAAATGTATTTCCCAGAATCCATTCTCCAATTGCGCCAAATATCTGCACCATTGCCCCGAAAAAGATATAGACCGGTCTAGCAAGAAGTTGATTAGTATATATTCCTCACCACGATCGTTGTTTTGGCACGTACATAATGGCACCGCCATTTCCACCTGCCCCTCTCCAGCCCATGGTAAGCATTGCCGTTGGGGTTGCAGCAAGCAAGAAACCCATCAAGCAGATCGGCGTGGGATTTCCAAAAGTAGATCGCAGCTTGCCCGCATTTGGAGTCTTGGGGCTGAGGTATAATTTTTCAAAGGCATCGCGTGGAATAGGAAGTAAGACACTGTCCGCGGTTTGATAACGGCGGAGCATCTCCGCCGTGGAGGTCTCATGTTTGTCGCTGATATTGTCGTCCGACATTTTGGACCAGATTTTAGCAATTTTCCAAATGAGTCTGATTTAGTAGATTATAAGAAAAGCCCACTGTTCCGGGAAGATGATAAAAAAAGAAATACACGGACTAGGAACAGGGAAAGAAAAACAGGTTCACGATCCGCAGTGCTCTTTATACTTGTTCTTTCAAATTTTTATCCAGCTACTGTTCCTACCCACCTTCTTAATTCGACCTATTCCCCGTTCAATCCACCGCTTTTTGGATCCATCTCGCCCCTTAACCCCAGATTTTCTCCACCGGCAACCAACCTGAACCAAATCTCACCTAGGGCCAAGAGTCTAATTCTCTTCAGATCCAACCGGAGGTAGCTGATAGTAGCATCAATTGGGCACTATCATTTGTTAGTTTATTCATTTCACACCATAACCAGAGCGGGATGCGAAACCCCATAGCCACGTTGTCGTGGGGAAGGTCATGCGGGGGATAATCCGACCCGCTTCTCCTTACTTGTTTCCCCGCAAAACCGTGTTGAGAGCCGAGGGATGTTGGTTTTGAACTCGGTTGTATGTCTTCTGTGTAGGTTTAATAATATCGTAAGGAGATGGAAATGTATATAAAAGTTATATTCTACGGCATTGATTCGCTCTGACTTATTTTGGCTGCCGAAAGTGTATTTGACAAAGCTTGCTTGGCTCAAAGTCGTCTTGGCTTTGTTTTTTTGGTCTAGCCTCGGCAATTGTACTGGCCGATAGGGCCTGCTTCTGGACCATATTCCGCTACCCCGTCGAAGTGGCGTAGAATATTTTCAAGGCAGCGTGGTGATGTGGAATGGAACATGACGTGGATTATGTGGGTTTTCTTTCTCACGGCGTTTCAGGCTTTTGTCAGGGGGGTTTTGTCACTTTGATGCTTGCCCCTATGCGCCTTCAAACTTCACGGAGTTGGTCCGTTATCTACATGAATAGTCAAAGCGTTGATTCTCATTGGCGCTTTGAGGCCATGCACGGCATTGATGAGTTCATTTAACTTGGTGGCATAAAAGACAAAAGCCGCACAGCACGAGTGTTGAGGAATGCAGTCGGAATATTTCCGACTACGACCCTCATTTAGTCAAAAGTTAAATATGTGACTAGTATCCGTATGTTCTTCAATCCAAAAGAATCAGAAACAATATTTTCTTCTCTGCCACTTTCAAAATTAAGTATTATACCAATACCATCAAGATAAAACATCTCATTCACAACATCGTCAATGTCTAAAACCGAATAGACTGAAAACAAATTCATAACCCCGCAATGACATCAGCAAGCCCATCCATATTGTCCAAAAACGCATCAAATTCACCTCTAACCTCATCCATATTTTCATCAATGTCATCGGTCCAACGATGAACGTAAACAGTCCTCAAGCCACATTTCTTCGCACCCCGCAGATCATACGCATGCGCCGCAACTAACACAACCTCTTCTGGCTGGAGTTTGACAAGCTGTAGCCCTACCTGATATGCCTCCGGGTTGGGCTTGTAAGAACCCAAAAGCTGGCTTGAAAACAGCATATTGAAATCTAATCCCGATGAGCGAGTCAAGTCCAACTGTAACCGGGTCGTGCCGTTTGCATGAACAAACACTTCCAGGCCGAGTTTGATTCTAAGACTCTTAATTGCTTCTGAAACCTCAGGCCACGCCTTCTGGGCATGCCATGCTTGAATGAGTTTTGCTTTGGCTTCACTGTCGAAGAGGAGTTGATGCTCGGGCGACTGGTCGAGAACGACTTCAAGAGTGTGGGCAAGGGTTATATCGATATCTTCTGGGTGAAGGTTTTGACTGACACGATTGCTGTTTTCGAGGAAGTATTGCCGGCGCCATTCAAGGGCTAGCTTTGAGGCTTCTTCTTGGGTAATAGTAGGAAGTAAAGCTTTGACTACACTGCCGTGCCAATCTAGACATGTTCCCATGAAGTCGAAGAAGACCGCTTTGATTTTTGGTTGGGACATGGCAGCGATAATTTTGATGGAAGTTGAGCGAATTGATCAAAATATAATCCGAAGAGCCTGTTTTCATTTAAACAAACTCGAGGGGTAAGCACATTTGATCACATTGGTGAGCAATTTAGGGTTTCAGCTGTGCGCTGATCTGATTAGAAATCCACATGGACCGACCACCTAGGCACCCGTGTACCTGCTGACTCAATGGTAATTAATAACAAGCATGAATATCTTGAGGGATTGTTAACTAGTTATCCAAGGATCGGGATTGGGAGTTGCATTAACAATCCCCCATCTTGATCCTGCACTTTACGTAGAGAATTATATGATCACTATCTGTATAGCTAATAGTAGACTTTGTAAGAGGCCTCAAGAACAAGTAACGTTGAGGGGTTCGATTTGTGTATAACCGTACATTGAGAGTTCCGACAAGAGTGCATGAGCTTTTTCATCAATTTTCAACCGAGTGATCTCCTGCGGAAGATCAGACTCCGATTGAAAATGATATTTTGTGCAGAGATATTAGCAAAATACCAATCCATGAGACGTTCTGCGATTTCATAAACCATATCTTCATCCCACATATATGCTTCGATGCATAGTGACAAACAGTGAGAGTACCGCTGGTGCTTAGGTTCGGTGTTAATTGTCGTCTGTCGGTTTCGAATACGGTAGGTCATTAGATGGGCCAATGCGACGTCTGTTAACCTAGCTTCTTCAGGGTCGAACCACAACGTGACCCAGTAGACGTCCTTTCCACCTGGTTTGTCCGGGATATAACCATCACGGTCTAAGAAGACACCTTGAGTCAGATCCATTAGTAGACGGGTGGTTGGCTGTTTGAATTTGGAGGATTATCCCTCGGGCGGCCAGATTTGCAGGGGATGAGTATTGCTAGAAGGGGTTTTTACAATGGCGGATGAGATATTGAGCGAATCTTGTTGTTACTATATTTAAATACCTCTGTTCTAAAATAATTAGTACGCGCTGCACTATTGAATTCGGTGAGCTTTGTTAAAATGAAACAAAAAAAACAAAGAGACCTTTGTTCAGTTTATCAGCTTTGTATCGTGTTGCAAATCTAATGACAGAGAAGAATTTCTGCGTCCATGAACCTCCAAGTCATAAATCCAAGTCAAAAAACCATTAAAACCCAAGTTCTAGCACAGAAATCCAAACCTCACAACCGAATCCACCTCCCCATCCAAGTCTGAACAATTTCCTTAGCCTCATCTACCAACCCAAGATCGAGTAACAACTGCGCTGTACCCCTGACAGTCGAATCCAACGCCGAAAATACCCAAGCATGGGTGTAACTAGTATGCTCACCCACAAAAATGGTCTTGAATTCTGTCTGATAATAAGCAGGCAAATACTCCTTCTGCTGCCCAACAACTGGATCCGCCCATGCACCCGCTTGATGTCTATCCGTCTCCCAACACTTTCTCTCATAATGGCCAGTGAACTGCTCCGCGGCAATCTCGCCATGAACTTCGACCATCGTGCGTTGGGCAAGTGCGACATGTTCCTCGTCACTGAGAGCAGCTATTGAACGTGCTGGCGCATCAAAGATGTACGATGCCAGGACTACGCCTGAACCGGTGCCATTTGTGTTGTATGAGGGATAGCATATGTCTCCGATACCAGGTACATCGACGGAGCCACAGCCCCCAAAGATTGGGGCTTCCAGGTGTTCCCAGAAGCGTGTTTTGTAATTTAGGGCGATTTTACAGGCCGGGGCGTAGTTTAGCGTAGAGATGGCGCGATTGAGGACGGATGAGAATCGTGGCAGATCCCACAGCCGCACTTTGGTGAATGGGACGGTTACGACTGCGTGATCGTACTCGATAGTCTCAGGTATCATTTGAAGAGGATCCTTGCGCCAGGCTATAGCAATTTTGTCGTTGGTTTCGTTATAGATGAGGCCTTCTACTGTATGGTTCAAAGTAATCTTCCCTTCGATATGTGGGGTAAATGCTCGTGGAAGTGACTCGACGCCTTTGTCGATGGTGCGTAAATCGGTCGACGCGTGGTATACCTCGTAATAAAAAGATTGCCAAATGTCGAAATTGTACGAGTCGGTTACCTTGTCGACAATACTATAATTATAGCCTTTGGCATATTGTAGGTATCCGGCTTCAGACCAGTCCAGCAACCCACTTTCCACAGCTTGCTTGTGCGCTGTGTACATATTCTTTCCAATCGCCCGCAAGGTCTCTTTGTTGTGAAGGTTGGTAAGGTTCTCATAGGCTGATTCAGCATTCATAATCACTGATTCTTGGGCTGATGTCGGTGTGTAAACAAGCGATCTGTTCGCTGTAACATCAGCGGCACTGGGAATTCGACCATTCGGCAGACGATGTCCACCAGAGTTTGCTGGCAAGTTGGGACCTCTTTCATGCCAGGGGATGAATTCGATAGCGAGATCTGGTTGATCTGCATTCATCTTGTTGAGGACGTCGGCGAGTTGGAAGACCATGCGGTGATCTTGTATTTCCAAAGTCTCATTTGTATCCGCATAAGTGATACTCACTGGGAACCGCATAGCCCCCATTTCCTGGTATTGGTACTCATCAGGCCTTGTGTTATTGAGATACTTGGTACGAATGCGGCCGCCGATTCGCTCGGATGATTCGTAAATGTGCCAATTGTGAATTCCGACGGACTCAAGGAGCAGACTTGTCATGAGCCCGGATATCCCACCACCAATAATCGCCACTGAGCTATTCTTGGCTCGAGTTACAAAGGCTTCTTCATTGGTTTTGGATTTCATATAAGCCACTCCATCGAACCACGGTCCCATGGCATCAGCCACATCAGCGATGTTCTCACGCTTCTTGATGGGCGACGAAACGTGGATAGGAGGAGAGCGACCCAAACATCTTGTACCGGAGAAAGCATGCAGACAATCCAGACTGGGTGTATCGGATGGCGTTGCCCAGACAAAACGCTCCGGGTGTGCTCCACGTTTCACGAACGTGTTCCCAATCTCATGGTGATTTTGTGCCGGATCTTCGATTCCACATCCTCCGTAGACAAATTGCAGATGACCTTCAAATTGACTTTCAAACTCCACATGAATGTTGTGCAGAGAATCGGCGGTTACACCGCCGGGGCTGCGGAACCGTACCACGTCGGTGTATTCTTGCACGGCATTTGCGAAGCCGAGGCTGGAAATTCCGAGTGCTAGAAGAGCATGTGGTCGATAGCTTTTCATCTTTGATGCCAGTCGCAGTTCTTGTTGTAACCGTAGGGGAGAAATACCTCCCTTTAATCACTTCTGATATACACCTACAAACAGCTTCAACGTTCTCTGTTCGTCTCCCCCGCAAGTATGAGCCCTCGTGATGTGTCACACTGCCGGTTGGTCAGGTTGAACTTTCCAAGGCCGAGGGGTGAACGGCCGGCTGTTAGCATTCCAGTTGAGGAAGGTATGTTGGCACCAGGGATACGACGCAAGGGGATTTCGAGCATCTCTGGCTTCTCTGAGTAACATGAATCTGTCACTATTACGTCGACTATTAGCAGACACACAATGAGACGAGCACGCGACCAACAGATGCCAGCAAAGTCTTTTCGGAGTCTACGCGTGGTTTTCTTTTTTTTGGGGCGAGTTGTTTTCTAGTTCGGATCATCGGCTATCAGGAGATCAGAAATATGGTCGTGTCAAGGAACGGAATGTCGGCTTCTAGAATACCAAGAAAATAGTTGCAGACAAGTCCAAAATAGCTTGATCGCTGACTTCTTGGTGCCCAGTCCGTGGGATTTTCGGGGCCGCTCAGAGAACTTTTCCGCAGCCCGGCGCTTGCTCATTACTACAGGCAAGGACTTCGAAATAATGCCAATTGAACAGTAATACGGATGAATGAGCATTAGTGACATGGAGACGACTAAATACAACGAAAGGAGATGCAGGATGTAATGGCCGGCTCGGCTTTGGATGTCAATATTTTCGCTATAAACGCTGGAAACCGTACAATATTAATATAGCCATGTAGGCAATCAATCATCAATCAATCGCAACATATCGTTGTCTCTTCCATTTTTCTTTCCTGCACGTCATCGATGCCCACGGTGACAACCATCCAATCACATAAAAATTTGCCCAACCCGGCCCCAATGAAGATGCAAATAATCACATAAACATTGAAATACATGGCCAACAGCATGGTGATATAAGCTCCCGCAAATGTAACGGCATGAATGACCGCCCTAGTCAATTGCTGCAAAGGCGTTGCGCGAAAAGTAATAGCCGTTCTTGATTCCCCCCATTTCTTGGCAAAAGTGCTGTGCGCGGCTTGGCGGTGAAATTGGCGAGTCAAGAAATTGTCATATTCCCGACCAATACGTCGACAGAACTCGACAAGTACAACAAGTAGAACTGTACCAATACATGTTGCTGCGAACATGCCATTGTTCTTAATTTGCCATCCTGTTGATAGGAAACATGCGTCGATGGTATTGAAGTTGAACAGCATCTGGCTTCGTTAGCGAGACCGTTTTAGGAATGACTATTCTTGGCATACTCACGGAGATTTGACACTCGCTGTCACTCGAACCCATATCCATGCCTTGCATCTTGACGGAGAGTCAATATAGTGGTATATTCATACAATTATACAACGTAGCCGTGTCCGAGGACCTCCCCGACCTTATAACCTGATCGCATGGCTCCACGCTAAAAAAGAAAGTGGAGTAAAACCAGAGATGGTGTCAGAGAAATGTGCTCAAATCGACTCAATTTCGAAACAGCCACGTTTGGGCTCAAATGTCCTCATAAAATTGTCGAATTCGCGTGCAAATCGTTAAAATATCGTTGGTTCCCCCGGACGAGAACCTGATAACTACCACTCTTCCTTCGATATGAGGTCACACAATAATTGGTGTCCTCTTGGGTTATCTCTTTCTCTCCAGCGTTACTGTACTTGCATACCGCCTATCACAGGCAATCAAAGGCATCATGTTCTCAAAACTGGATGCACGTCATATTCAGAACATGAGCGCGGCGACAGCTATCGAGCCACATTGGGGATATGCTGATCGTGCCGTGCCATGCACCAATGATGCAGGATCCTGTGCCTATCTCGACGATGTATACTCATCCCACGACCGGGGAATGCTATACTCGGGCATCATGTGGTGTGTCATTGGCGCCATTCTACTCCTTTGGGTTATTCTCAATCAGTTCAATGCGCCCACAATATCACCATCACCAGCAACACAAGAACCAACGGGGTTAGTCAAAGCTCGACGTGCTTTGATATCTTTCACCCGTAAATATCTCCTACCCGATGCAGCTCGGCTTATCTTCGGCCGAACGACTCGCCTCCAGGTTCTCAACCTTGCCCTACTGATGGGCTACCTTCTCATCTTCAGCTTTGTCGGCATCGGTTACCACAGATGGGTCACGCCGGTTTCCGATATGCCTGGCGTGTACAACATTCGTGACAGTATTGGCCCATGGTCAGACCGCGTCGGTACCCTAGCATATGCCCTCACACCGCTCTCTGTGCTGCTGAGCAGCCGAGAGTCCTTCCTCTCTATAATCACTGGCCTGCCATACCAGAGTTTCAACTTCCTTCACCGCTGGCTGGGCTACATCATCTTCGTACAGAGCTCCCTTCATACAATCGGCTGGTGTGTAGTCGAGCTCAGACTATATCAACCACAACCTACCGTCGGAATCGAGTGGGTCACACAAACATACATTGTCTGGGGCATCGTCGCTATGATTCTCCTTCTCCTTCTCTTCGGACTGAGCACACCGTGGGGCATCAGGCTCACCGGCTACGAAACCTTCCGCAAACTACACTACATCCTCGCCATGGTCTACATCGGTGCCTGCTGGGCGCACTGGAAAGCACTCAAATGTTTCATGTGGCCTTCGCTGATATTCTGGTTCCTCGATCGCGGCGCAAGGCTGGTCCGCACCGCTATCTTACACTACCACCCCAACCACGGCGACGCTAGTCTAGGTTTCAAAACCGCCGACGCCATAATCACGCGCTTCCCAGACCCCGACCACGGCGACGTCATCCGCCTCGACTTGGATAACAACCAAGACCCCTGGGCCATAGGCCAACATTACTATCTTTGCTTCACGAAGGGCAGCGTCTGGCAATCCCACCCCTTCACGCCACTCAACCTCCCCCTCATTTCAAACGGCACAGTGAAGCATTCTTACCTCCTCCGTGCAAAGGGCGGCGAAACGAAAAAAGTCGCTGACCTCGCCGTCGAAACCAAATCAACTCCCGTGATCTTGACAGGCGCATACGGTGAATCAATCACCACCCACTTAACACCTTCTACAAATATCATCTGTATCGCCGGTGGAACAGGCATCACCTACGTTCTCCCCGTCCTTCTCGATCTCGCCCGCCAACAGCCCTCTCCAGACCGGAAGGTCGAACTCATCTGGGCGATCCGCCACACTGCAAACACAGAGTGGATTGGTGCAGAGCTCGATATGCTACAGAAAGTGCGCAATACGCTCAACCTAGAGATCCGAATATTCGCAACCAGAGACGCGAGCAGCAAGGCACCTTCGGAGATCTCTGCGGAGAATTGCAATTTAACAGTTCCCAAGATCGACGAGAAAGTGCAGATTGCTTCTGAGTCTTCATGCTGTGGCTGTGATAAACCCACATCGGTTGAACGGCTTGGTGGGTCGGAGGATTTCTCTCGTCATCCGGATCTGCCTCAATTAGTGAATTCCTTCTTGGAGGACACCGTGCGTGGCCCGACTAGTGTGTTCGCTAGTGGGCCTGGAGGCATGATTAGTGATCTGCGGGATATTGTCGCGTCTTGTAATGACGGGGGCAAAGTCTGGAAAGGCCAGGAGAGATTTGATGTAAGGCTTGTCTGTGATGATCGCCTAGAATGGTGAGCCTTTCGGCCTATATATTGATCGCATTTACGTATATATTTCATGGATTCAATGTACATACTTATCATGAATCACGGTTTATTCAATTGACCTTGAGCAATTTGCAGAGCTCCATACTATATAAAACATGTTCAGGTTCAGGTTCTTTCATGTGAGCAAGGCAAGACGTAGACACCTCAGGCCTCAACTTCGGAATCTTGACGGAATCTTGACGGAAACTGTGATCTGTGACTTTTCTCGATTCAACAAGTTTCCGAAGATTCCATGGAGATCTCCCAATTCCGCCATGATCGTCGCCAAATCTTGCCTCGAAAAGCCCCGCCAAGTTTGATTTCACGCTATGCGCGTCATTTCGGTCCATTTCAGTAATAAAACAATTGGATTTATTCCAGTGAAATAGATTGAATAAGCTTGCAACAACTTGATTGTTCACGGTTGACGTGTTTATCGGGCATCAATCACTCGGCTAGCCGAAAGCCACCTTCGGCCTCAACATACTGTATTCCCAGTCACTTTAGATGTGGACCGTCTTTTGCAGAGCGGGAGCCGTTTTAGCCGGGATCCATGAGTGCTTATTCTTCGAGCAAAGATCGTCACCCTTACATTGAGACATGGGGTGGACCTGAAGATATAAAAGATTCTCGGGTTTCCTGAAAACGTCGTTGCTAGAGCACTTGTTCAAGAAATCAAAAAATGGGCGCTCCATCAGCACGGAAGGTTGCATTTGTCACGGGCGCAAATGGTATAAGTGGATTCAATATTATTGAACATCTTGTTCGTCAACCTAAGCAGGAATGGTACATATCTCCCACCTGACAACAATTGCACAGAAGAACAGTCTCTTATACTGACAACTATCAACAGGAGCAAGATCATTGTCACATCCAGGAGGCCTCTTCCCAATGCCTGGGTTGACCCCCGTGTCAACTTTGTGGCTGTGGATTTCCTCGATCCAGTTGAGAAGATTAATGCAACTTTAGAAAACGTGTGCAGTGATGTCACTCATGCCTTTTTCACTTCATATGTTCACAGTGATGATTTCCGCCTTTTGCGGGATAAGAACGTCCCGCTGTTTCGAAATTTCCTGGATTCGGTCGATAGTGTGTGTCCCAAGCTGCAGCGCGTGTGTCTTCAGACTGGCGGCAAGGTGAGCTACCGCTCCCTCGTGCGGCTAACAACCGCAATATGCTTACCAAATCTATACAGTACTACGGAGTTCATCTCGGCCCTGTCAAGGTCCCGCTGGAGGAGTCTTTTCCCCGGTACGACGACAAGGGATTCAACTTCTACTACAACCAGGAGGACTACCTGCGCGAGGTACAAGCTCGTCGCAAGACCTGGACATGGAATGTCATCCGACCAAATGCTATCAACGGTTTCGCGCCCCATGGTAAGTATATGAATGAAGTCCCATGTCACGTTCAAACTAACCAAATCTCAGCGAATGGCATGTCAGAAGTTTTGACCATCGCCATCTACATGCTGATCTGTCGAGAAATGGGCGAGCCTGCCCACTTTCCAGGAAACGAGTATTTCTGGAACTCCATCGATGATAACTCCTACGCACCCAGTCTCGCTGATCTCTCCGTCTGGTCCGCCTCCCAGGAGCATTGCCAAGACGAAGCATTCAACCACGTCAATGGCGACGTGTTTGTGTGGAAGTACATCTGGCAAGATTTCGCCGCGCACTTTGGCCTCGAGGTTCCCGAGCCTGATTTCAAGAAAGCTTCAGGTCAGGCCAGTACCTTGGCCAACGAAATCGATATGATCGAGTGGGCCAAGGACAAGCGTGAGATTTGGGAACAGGTCGTTGCCAAGTACGGAGGCAAGGCGGATGCTTTTGACTGGGGTACTTGGGGTTTCTTCAATTGGGCTACGGGGAAGTCTTGGTTGACTATCTCTTCGATCAATAAAGCGAGGGAGTTTGGTTGGAATCGGAATGATCGGACGCTGGATACTTGGATTGAGACGTATCGGGCTTTTGAGAATGCCGGTGTTATGCCCTCGGTTGATCTTTTGACCAAAGAGTGATTGAGCCACTATCCTTGGGGCAATCGCATCTGGTCCTCAATCTTGGGCCTGGGCGATACCAAGAAGATAACTAAAGCTGGGCTGAAGTCAGACGTTTACTTTTAACTCAACTCCATACGAGATGCTTTATCTCTCATAGACCGGTCCAATCGGATGTGGGAGGATACGACTCCACTTGAAATTGACAGTTTAGTTTAGTTTAAACACACACAAAGGCGTCAATTTAATTGGTTCTCGGCAGTGATAGTGTGTATATTATTATAATAATAGATATAGAGAGTTCTAGAATAATAGTGGATGTCCTGCTTGTAGTTAGATACATATGGGGCCTTCAATGCAATTCATGCCCCTTTATTTTGGCACCGAAAAATTTTCCTTACAGCTTCATCCCGAGACAAGTTGGCAATTTGAAAATCAAAACAGAGACATTGATTCTCAGTGTCTGATCAGTTGATCTGCAGTCAAAATCTATAATATGCACAAGAAACACAACCGCACTACTCAACGGCGGTTTTGCTCTGTGAATCAAGTTCGCTTCAATGTCTCCTGACCATGTTCACGAAATCCAGGAGCTTTCCTCTGAGAAGAGAATCTTGCTTGGGGAAAAATACCGAAAGTACCTTCATCATGTAGCGCAAGCAGCAATATGGACTACATATGTCTACTTCGTTATTCGGCTGTATTTCATTCTGACGACCCCTGAACCGACATGGAAGATGTGGTTGATGTTAGCCATCGAGGGCTTGTTTGCTCGTAAGTTTGTTCCGACAAATACTGCATTGATCAAGTGTTAATCTGAACAGACATGTCGTATCAACATCAAAGCTTGTCGTTGGCAGCAACAAGCTCTCCCGATCACATCTCCCGAAAGAAGTTGAGATTGTGCAGCAGTGAAAATCTTCCCAGAGTCGACGTGTTGGTAACATGCTGCGGAGAGCCAGTCGAAATTATCCTAGACACAGTCCGAGCAGCCTGTGTGCTGGACTACCCGGCTTCCCGGTTCCGAGTTCGACTCCTAGATGACGGTGCATCACTTGACCTTCGTGATGAAATTGCCAAACTTTCTTTGAAATGGAGCCATCTGACCTACCACACCCGCGGGAAACAGTCAGGTCAATCGTTTGCGAAAGCAGGAAATCTAAACTATGCGCTTTTCTCGCTGCAAACCGAGGACCCACCGGAATTCTGCACAGTCGTCGACGCGGATTCGATTCTCATGCCTGAATTCCTGCGTGCAACATTGCCCCATCTGCTGAAAGCTCCCGAGGCAGCGCTACTCACGACAAGGCAATATTTCTATAATCTGCCACTTGGCGATCCGCTCTCGCAATCGCGGGCGTATTTCTACACATGTGAGAATACCGAGCTCGATCTGCTTGGCCATGCACTTGACGCTGGCTCTGGTGCCGTGTTCCGTCGCGATGCTATCTTGGAAGCAGGCGGATACCCGACGTTCTCATTTTCGGAAGACTGGCAGCTATCGCTTATTCTGCGGGGACTTGGGAAACGCACGATGCAGGTCCAGGAAGTCTTGCAATTCGGACTCGTTCCTACTTCTTTGGCAGGACATCTCAAACAGCGCAATCGCTGGCATATTGGCCATTCTCAGCAAATTTCTGTGGTCTTCCCTTCTGCCAACAAGTCGATTCCGAAGACTATGCGTTGGGACATTGCCCTGGGTGGACTGTCTATCATGGCAGGGCTGGTAACCTTTGTCGTTGGCTATGCCGCTGTTCCTTTTCTCTTAGTCTGCGACGGCGATCTCATCCCCAACACGTCATCCTTTGAGATCAAACTACAGATCGTTCTGGCCACTGCTCACATTCTGTCTACGTGGGCATATGATTGGTGTCGGAGTGCACACGCTAGTGTTCCATTTACGCCTTTTGCACATGCGGAGAATAGCTGGCTCGCTGCAGGTAAGTCTCAATCCATGCTTATTTAGAAGGTGACGCTGATCCACTCTCCATAGCGCATCTATATGCCGTGATTCGGTTCCACTTACTAGGAAGCAAGCCCAAAGGTTCCTTCGTTACTGGTAGTACGGCAAATTCTAGCGACAACGCTACATCCATCACCCTTTTGCAGAAAGCATACAGGGATACAATGGGTAGTGGCATCTTGTTGAACTTATCCCTTTTCCTTGTGATTTTGGGGGCCATGGGTTTTGCGGTTCAAACAACTATGGAGGCGAGTCGCCCAGTAATCCCAACGCTGCTCACTACAATTGCTTGGCCGCCATTCTTGCATTTGTTCTTCATGGCGGTCACCAATAACTGGGTCCCGGTTGCACATATTTTCAGCCCTCCAGCCTATCACGTCAGAGACTCCAGATTGATCGCCACGGAAAAGGGAGTATCATACCCGAGTGCAGATATCATGGGAGAGCTTACCTGTGAGACGTCTTTGCTCGGACTGTGCTGCTCCTTTTTGGTACCGATTTTTCTTGTTGGAGTGCTGGTGGGAGCCTTCATCTCAGCCTGATCACCTTGATGAAGTATCTTGCTGGATGTGGGATTGCGAATTAGGAGATTATGGATTGGTCATATGATAATCTGTTAATATAAAACAATTTGGGCGAAGACCTCTTCGACATGGTGGATCTAGCCTCCGGAATATTCATTGAACGTAGCTGCATCCCAGTCAATAATGGATCAGAAGTTGGGGTTCCGGAGAGTAGGCTGTCGTAGAAAATAGGAAAGCCTAAGGCAATTTGCACTGAATAGTTTTCTACGAATTTGCGTCGATTAAATGGGCTGAAAGGAAGAAAGATATTTACGATGGGCTAAACTAAGATTGATTTTGAGTCAGAAAAAGCGAGATTGTATTGTAGAAATTATAAAAAAGAACTGCAAAAGCCCGTTCACAGCCTGCTACTGAGGCGACACTCTAACGAAAAGGGGTGTTAGCATTCTTTTGTTTGTCAAGTGCTGTAGACACCTAATGCCAACAAGCAGGGGAATACTCTGACCCTTCACAAGGTCAGAGCTACCCTGGCCTCCAGTGGGGGAGCCGGAAGCCCCACCCTCAAGGCCACCATCACCACCGACAACTGCAGCAGTTCCAACCTATTTGAAATGATGTCAGACCCGAGACTCAGTGTGCCATACCACGGATTGTCCACAAAATGTGTCTCCCTAGCTATACATAGAGAGCTTTTGCCTCAAAGATTCCAGAACCCATCGCCATTCATGATCTTTCATCCATCTATCTATCTATCTATTACATATTATGCGCCTATAGTGCAGTCTGATCAAGCGCAAACTGTGCGAGGAAATTCGCACGAAAATTCTCTCTTCAAGAGCCTCGGTCTCCAGGCAAAAATTGAAAGGCATGCTGTATTTAATCTGCGCGTGCCAAGAGCTGCTACAGCGGGGTAGAAGCTTATAGACTTGATCATAGATATCAAATCTCCAGAAGGGGTTCAGATGTATATACCACCATTCTTCCAGGCGATTTCTTCAAGCCCAACCGACTGGTCATAATGTGGTAGTTATTTGTCTTGGTCTCTTATTTGTAGGAGGGACCGAGTATAGTTAGTTCTACGTAGTAATGTTGGATATTGCGAAGGCTTCATTCCGGTGCGCTGTTTCGGGGCCTCGTGGTCTTTTCCGATGTGAGACTGAAAATCCGGGCAGCAGATTACTTTGGGGGGGACTTTGACTATATAAAGGGTCAACCCCTTGAAGGTATGCAATTGAAATTATCCAAGTTAGAGAGATGGGAGTAGTACGCCGCAACGTAAAGAGGTACTCCATATGCCCATCAATGTCACGGATGTCAAAATTCTAAGTTGTTGAAAATTGCCAAGATCTTGTGGGCTTTTCGTATTTGAAACTCCATAAACTTGAAAGAAACCAATTTTGGAGGACGATCATCTCCGCAAAACGGGGATCGGCATCCTGCCCCTCCCCAGGGTCCGTTCGTCAGGGCTGTTTTCACGATCCTGAAAAAAGGGCCCATGCGTCAATAATTTGATCAACGCAAAACACCGAGGTATCAACTTTGAGTTGATATTGGCCGAGGCAGCCTAGTCCATTCATGTGGGTGTTCGGTCGCATTGAATAGGGGCGCAATGCCAGGGTCGAGAATGTGCCTTCACTTTCTGTATTCGACTCACTGTGCCTATTCACATCATGGCTCCCATTTCCAACAAGTTATCAGGGCACCTCGGCCACCTCACCCCTGACCAAGAGGCAAAGCTCCTCGAGTTCTGGGCCATCATCTTTACCTCTGTCGCATCGGTGTTATCGGCAGTATACGAGGTCCCAATCCCAGAAGGCCCCCCAGCAAACTGTTCCAGGCTCTGGACGAGATAAATGAACCGACGGTGGAAGCTATCACAGCCGCACTGAAAGGGAAATCCACACAGGAGTCGAATGGAGCCACCACAGAAACAGAAGCCAACGGAAATACGAACGGTCACACAAACGGCCACACAAATGACGAAACCAATGGAAACAATGCGAAAAACAAAGAGCAAGAATCACTCGACAAAGTGGAATCTCTCATGAACAAGGATGCCAAAGCTACTCTCATGTCAGAAATGGCCAATCGAAAGGTCATCCCCGAACACTTTGCGTCCCTCTTTGCGGAACTCCGCAAGCTTGGTGTCCAAGATTCCGAGATCAAATCCATGGAGAGTATCCTATCTCAGATGACACCACAAGAGATGTGTTTTGCGATCTTGAAAATGGTCAAGCAAGAACATCCTGACAGCTTGCTACTCCGGTTTCTGCGGGCCAGGAAATGGGATATCGGCAAGGCATTCTCGATGATGGCGTCGACTATCCTGTGGAGAAAGGAGCTAGAGGTCGACGACGAAATCTTGCCTCGTGGAGAGGAATACGCGCTGAAGCAAGCTCATGGTTCAGGGTCATCTGCGAAGGAGAAGAAAGATGGATCTGATTTCATCAACCAGCTCAAGATGGGAAAGAGCTTCCTTCATGGATTTGATCGCGAGGGTCGTCCTGTCAACTATGTTCGAGTCAAGATTCACAAGCCTGGCGCTCAGAGTGAAGAGACTCTCGAGCGGTATATTGTTCATGTCATTGAGTCGACGCGGTTGATCGTGGCTCCTCCGGTTGAAACTGGTGTACGTGCTCGTTGATTTTGAATGTGTGGACTGGTGCTGACATGTGCATAGACAATTGTGTTTGATATGACGGGGTTCGGTCTATCAAATATGGTAAATGTCCCGTTATAACAGCCACTCGGGTTTATGCTGACTGCTCGCCAGGAATACGCACCCGTCAAGTTCATTATCAAATGTTTTGAAGCCAATTACCCGGAGTCCTTGGGACTGCTTCTCATCCACAACGCACCATGGGTATTCTCCGGTAAGTCCAGCAGTAGGTACATTATTGCAGACAAGGACTAATTGTTCAGGAATCTGGCGACTCATTCACGGATGGATGGACCCTGTCGTTGCCTCAAAGGTCCACTTTACCCGGTCCATCGCAGACCTCGATAAATTCGTCCCACGGAATCAGATCCCTAAAGAACTCAAGGGCGACGAAAATTGGACTTATAAATATATCGAGCCCGTGAAAGATGAGAATACAACTATGGAAGACACTGCAACTCGTGACTCACTCATGTACGAGCGCATGATGATCGGCATCCGGATGCTCGCTGCCACGGCGGCTTGGATCTCAGCCACGACAACAACCGATGGAACAAAAGAAGTATCGAAGGTGGACGGTCTCAAGTCTAGACGCAATGCGATTATTGAGGAGTTTCGGGTTAACTATTGGAAGTTGGATCCCTATATTCGGGCGCGGGCACTTATCGATCGGGACGGGATGCTTCTTCCGGGAGGTACACTTTCACGGGATGCTGTCAACGGGAAAGCCAAATAGATTCATATGCTCCACTCACTTTGTGCTTAATCTGGGTAGCGGATTTCATTCCATCTATCCGAATGGCGCTGTTTCGAAATCCTCTTCAATTGATGAGCACGATGGCAAATTTTACTTCAGAGGACTTCTGCAGTGTTATGTCAATGTCTTCGCCGACACATTATCATGAATAGCACCTATTGATCTCAAACATGATATCGGCCAACATTTGTAGATGAATTTTTCGGATATTACATAAGGCCGGGGTTCTGTTCAACCGGATGTGGATATCATTCGGCGACTTTTGGGTGTTTTTCTGTGTTTTGCCTCATATCCTGACAAATGGCTTGAGGTCTACGTTTGTATTGCGTGGATTGGCCCCTGGCGGGATATTAAATTCCTTAAGAGGTTTTGACAATTTAAGTATTTTTAAGTATTTTTTAAAGCTATAGAATCGTGTTGGAAACATCGAAAATTTTCCAGATGATAAATCAAGTCTTCACATCCCCACTGTAGATCAAATCCATAAATTGAACACAATCCCCACGCAATGTATGTTCAATCCCATAATAATTATAATATTCATTCGAGAATACTTCCAAAATGACTTGGCCCGATGTCTCCGTCAAGCCCGCTGAGGGCATCTCATACTTCACCCCTGCCCAGAGCCCCCCAGCAGGCACTGCCCGTGATCCTCAAACAAGCGGAAAGCCCATTCCCAAGCTATTTAAGCCTTTCACCGTCCGTGGAGTAACATTCCAGAACCGATTGGGTGTATGTGATTCCACATTTCGCTCAATTGCACCGCTAACAAGACCCTAGCTCGCACCCATGTGCCAATACAGTGCCGAAGATGGCCACATGACCGCCTGGCACCTCGCACACTACGGTGCTATTGCCCAGCGCGGACCCGGAAATATGATTATTGAGGCAACCGGCGTTGTCCCTGAGGGCCGCATTACCCCCGGCTGCGTGGGCCTCTGGAAGGACTCACAGATCGCCCCGCTCAAGCAGGTCGTGGAGTTCGCCCACAGCCAGGGCCAGAAGATCGGTATCCAGCTTGCTCACGCTGGTCGCAAGGCTTCGACCGTTGCGCCTTGGCTTGGCGGTGTTGTCGCTAACAACAATGTTGGTGGCTGGACTGATAATGTTAAGGGTCCTAGTGCGATTCCCTTTGCTGAGGGCGATCCCATCCCTATTGCCATGACCGCGGACGATATCGAGGAGGTTAAGGCTGCCTGGGTTGCTGCTGTTAAGCGTGCTATTGCTGCTGGCTGTGATTTCATCGAGATCCACAATGCTCACGGTTACCTTCTCTCGTCTTTCCTGAGCCCCTCGTCTAACCAGCGCACCGACAAGTATGGTGGCAGCTTCGAGAACCGTATTCGCCTTTCTCTGGAGATCGCTCAGTTGACTCGTGACACTGTTGGTGACAATGTCCCGGTATTCCTCCGCGTGTCGGCGACCGACTGGGTGGAGAGCGAGAAGGGCTGGAAGCTGGAGGACACCGTTGAGTTTGCCCGCGCTCTTGCTGCGCAAGGTTGCATCGATCTCATCGACATCAGTTCTGGTGGTGTGCACTCGGCTCAGAAGGTGACTTCTGGTGCTGGGTTCCAGGTTCCTTTTGCTTCGGCTGTCAAGAAGGCTGTTGGTGATAAAATGCTGGTTGCTGCTGTTGGCATGATCAACAATGGCAAACTGGCCGATCAGATCCTAAACGAGGATGATCTGGATGTTATTCTGGTTGGCCGTGCCTTCCAGCGTGACACTGGTCTCGCTTGGCAGTTTGCGAAGGACCTGGATGTTGAGATTGCCATGGCTGGACAGATTCGTTGGGGATTTACCAGCTTCCGTAATGCTTCGGAGTACATTCAACCTAACTCCATGAAGGCTTGCATTTTTGATTAGATTTAGACATACTAGCTGTTGACCGTTTCGGTCACCGGCATTACATCATATAGACCGTCAATTTAACGAAATAGATCGACATGCTTACCGAAGAAGCCATCATCCTTATCCTCTTGTTCTTTGACACTACGAAAAGGCTACGAAAAACTAAAAAGGAGCTAAACGATAAGTAGATCCATGCTAGCACTAAGACCCCCGATTCTATATCTAACAACAATACTAATTTTCCTCGGACTCGAGTGATTCAGATAGTCACTTCGCTATACCTAATAATATACTACTACTATTAGGTGACTAGGCAAAGCGAAGGGTGACCTTGGAAGAATGAGCGAGCTAATAAGCGGAAGAAGTGATCTCGGGATCGATTATTGACATTTTATTATTTATGATATGCTGAATAGGTCACTTTTTGTTATCGTGATTAAAATCAAGATTAGTTCGATAACACCGGCGCGCAGTAGGGTTCTTGTTTTATAGATATATGTTAACTAGTAAGGGAGTAGAGTAATTATTGGATCCGTGGATACTGAGTGATAATATACCTCAGCTGCTACTTTTCTACACTTAGGGAATGGTAAACACATACATATAGCTATATCATAAGCAAACAAAGCGAAAGCATAAATAAACAAGCATACGCTGCTATAGCCATTATATTAGTTTTAAAGAAATAGAAAAACGTGATTGTTGATCTACATTTTAGAGCTTTAGATTTACTGACGTCGAGAAATAATCCAGTCCTAGAACTATATGTACTCGCTTCGTCAGTCGAGTCGAGCAGTCTAAGATGGTAAGTTAACTGTTCTCCCTGGGAAAGGAATTTCCGCTAACTGTGATGAATTTAAGCTATAGTTTGTCTACATGGATATTACTATATTCAATTTGCTCCCGAGAGGGACTTGGTCGAACCCCAAACGACGCCTTTATTCTTAGAGAATAACCTTCTGTTAATTGGCGAAGAGAACGGCAAAAGTCTCCTTTCGTTGAAAGGAGAATCTAACAGAACCTCAGTTAGATGCAGTGAAAGTATCAAAATTTGGGGACATGAAAAGGAAGGTACACGGAATTACTTAGGCTTAAAACCCGACAAAACGCTACGCGCCAGCCCGTCCTTTTTGCAACACTGATTGATACACATTTGATTTTGAAAAAAAAAAAAAACAAAAACAAAAACAGAGTCAAGAACAAAATCGCAAATTTCTATGCGAACGAATAATGGTAGGATATCATCAAATATCTAAGAAAAAAAGAAACTCCGATAGGGGGAATCGAACCCCCGGCTGTCGTGTGAGAGACGACGATGTTAGCCACTACACCATATCGGACCGCTGTGCTGGAGTCTCGATTTAGTTTACTGTTGACCCTTCTGATTTAGCGCACTTGGCTTTGTGCGTCCCCGCGTAGTTCTATATAGTCCCCTGTCCTCTCACCCCACACATTACCTTTTCTTTTTCGCTCTCCTCGCCCCTGGTCTCTGCAGGCGAAGCATTTTTGTTATTGATCCGGATCACTAAGCTACTAAGCTCCGTCAACCCCTTTTCCTTGTGTGACTCGTCACAACATCTTCCATCGCCCCTCGCTGCTTTCTTAAACTCTTACCTCGTTCGTGATCAGGTGCTTTCTCTGAGGCCCTAACGCTAGCCCCAGAATATTCAGTCCTCATGTAACTAACTGTCCGTCGGTCGCTCGTAATCCAGTTATCGAGGTACCTTCCGCTCTCTCTAGACAGTCATCTACGCGAGAGGGTCTACGAGTCGTAGGATGTAAAGAACTATTTGATCGAACCTTATCATACTTAAACGATAGCGCTTGCTTTGTTTACGCTATAACCGAAATCCAACGTGGCCTATTTGACCGATCGAACTGCCCTAGCCGTCGTTCCCCGCCTTAGATAGGAGCCGAAACGAGTGTAGGGCACCAGGACAGAGAGGTCGACTTGTTGTCTCTAGTGCATGTGACGCTGATAGTACAGCAGTAGCTAGCTTATTCAGCGTCCCTCTATCTCCTCCTCTACAACAATTAATTATAATGCCGACCGATGGTTGCGTTGACAAGGCGAATTTGGTAAACAGAGGCCGGGTCTGCGCAGATCTTTTTAATGACCACAAGGAGAACGGGTTTAGATTGATATATTCGCGCTATCTGATTAATAGACGATGTCGCATTTTATGTAGTTTTGCAGTCTAAGCCTAGGAGGACATCATGGAGTTGGGGGCTAGTCGTTCGTACCGTAATGTTTACGGACTTAGCATCCGCTTGCTCGCGTACTAAATATAGCATTACTCTAGATGTCGCTCTCGTGATGGACCTTGCCTTCCTGATCTCCTAGTACGGCCTTATTCTGTGAAGACCTACCTACTCTGCCTTAGTATCCAATTATGTGAGCTAATTACCCGCTGTCGTTAACGCGAAGGCTTCGAGGAGTTCCCTAAAGTGCTGGTCTAGTCTTGCGCGATTCGTGTTCTGTCTCGAAACATAGATTCAATGGCGAGTAAAGCTCAATCAATCTAGTAATGATGACAATAGGCGCTTAAGATGCGCAGACTTGCAAAAAGATTGGCAAGAGCGTTAGAGTTGCCTAGTCTGTCTATGCGGGTAGTGTGTGAGATTAAGTGGAGAGAGGGGCTGTTGTAGTTGTGGGATCATTTGACTGGACCACGCGATGGGAAGGGTATTTGCCTCTTGCTTAGATAGATGCTCGGGTGCTCTGACTAGAGCGTAGCAAGTGAAAATGAAAATATTTGGAAAATTACGGACTAGGAAAAGACCGTGGGCCGGAGCAGTGTAGAGCGAGGCTCGTGTGTAATCGTAGTATAAAATCGGCCTCGTATCCTCACTCCAGGATCTCTCTTCAAACCAGATTGACTGAATACATTATCAACGAAACAAAACTCTTATCTTTTTAGTGGTTTATTCCATATACAACTATCATGTCTCCCTGCTCGTGCAACTGCTGCTCCGGCAACTGCAGCTCCTGCTCCTGCTCTAGCTGTAGTGTATGTCTTCCGCTTCCTATTTCCTTAACGTGATAGAAGTTCTGATTATTCTACCAGCACTGAGCCAGCTCACACGCCCTCCCCGCTACCGTCCTCCAACTCCTCGGCAACGTATACCAGGCCCCGGCTGCCGCTGCTTTCAAATTGGGACCGGCTTCCGGTGTATAAAATAACGATTTTCGGATAATTTGATTTTACTATCTGGCTTAAGGTGTATGTATGAGCCTTTGGGATGGATTTGGATTTAACTCTGGTCTTTATGACCACGTGTATTTTTCTGCTTTTACGGTTTTATATGTCGTGCAAACATATATAACTGGACATTTTCCAGTAAAAACCCTCGAGTGCCACTGTAAACACTGTAGACAGAAATATAATATGTTCTCTGATCTTCCAAAGTTTTCTTTTATAGGACTATGAAAAGAGGCATGCGTAGAAATAAAATTTTTGGCGGAAATTTACGAGGATAATGGTCTCTATAAAGAGATGAGACGCTAGCGATTTATATCGGACAGATCTTTCATTTTCCTAGCGGCCAGAAGACTCGCTATATTACGATCTAGGATATTCTATAGCTCTCGACTCCTCGCTATACATTATTACCCGTTCAAGTGTAAGAGTGACCAGAGTTTCCATTACACTAAGCAATAGTGATCTCAAAGAGGTGAAATTAACATCAAAGTCGTGAATATAAAGCTCTCGGAGTCGAGTGAAGCTAATATCATAGGAAATATCTCCAACGCAGCTTCTTACCGGATAGGCAGGTATCTCATCTTAAACAAGATAAAAAGGCATATAATCTTACGACAAGATCAGTCCTTCTAGTTAAGGTGCAACCTTACTGAAAATTTTCAGCTAAGCCGTCTCATTAAGATCAATACATAAATAAAGATCCTCTAGGCCTTTTAAAGTAGATAGTAGAGAATCCAGTTTTTCTTCGGGGAGGGCAATCATAGGGCCGATATCACCATAGAACTTAGAATCGCAGGTATATAGCTTTCGGGGTCTGCAGCTTAAGCCACATAACGCAAGAAAAAGCTTTAATAATACTAAGGAGTTTAGTTTCCGAATCTTGCTATCCTTCTAGGTATACGTAGACGCTTACAGACTAAACATCGAATCGAAAATTGATCCGGCTCATTATCTGTCGCCTTCCGAGGAATAGAACTATTTACTGCCGGGGATCAAGCAAAAATGATGTTCTGTAATGTGCGAGTCCTATTGTTTGGAGGTTCTTAAATCGATTTATACATGCCCGAAGTCGAACACTAAACGCTTCTAATCCTAGCAGGTTGAGATTATCCGCCAGTATAGCTTTATGGAGAGCATGCCGACTTTCCAGCTCGTCGCCATTAACCTACCGGCAGCTTTTTAATGATATAGATATCATGCCGAGGGGCTTTTCAGCACCATCGAACACAATAAGGATCATCTATAGCTCTTAGACGTGCTCGCGGAGACCATTTGACTTAGATAATTCTTCCAGTCTGTGGAGAGTTTCGCTTGTCATAATGAAACGGATTTTTTGGTAAAATGTCTTCGCAGAATTTTCCAGTGAGTTTTTGTTCAATGCGCGGCATAATAACCCCAGAGCGACGAATTGTGGAAATCCAAATAGCTACATATCTTGAGATCAATTCAACGGGTAGGGCTGCAATAGACATTTTGGCTGCGCGTGCGGGGTTTCGAGGTTGAGAACAATAATAACAAAAGGCTCAACAAAAGGCTCAGTTTGTTTTCCGCAGAAATGAGTACGAAAAGGGCTGGGCGGTCAAGGGGAGGCTGGACGTTCAAAGTTACCGGTGGAAAGGGAAGTATTTAGAGATAATCAGCACGATTCACAAGTCAATATTCCAAAAAAAGAAATCGTACCAGCATTCATGACAGGCTTTGACTGTGTAGCATCAAGTTGAGCTTTATCGTCTTTAGCAAGCTGAACGATGTCGATCCAGCCATATTTTATATCCTCTAAAACAGTTTAGATAAATCATTCATTAGCTGACCGACATGTTGGAAGTCGCATCATAAAGTACTAACTTTCAAGATATTGACTAAATTGGCCTTTCCCGTGGGTGAACTCATGTGCGAGGAGTCGCTCCAGTGTGTTAAAGAGCATTTTTTGAAGCAAATCAGGGTTTCTCACAACTGCCGCTTTATTTGCAGGTTGACACCAGAAGCGCGTCTGATATTTCAACTGGGACCACACCCCATGGTCAAAGAAGAGGACAACTGCGACAATCTCGCTGCGGAATGTAGTATCACCAAGGAAAAGATCCAAGAAATCAACAAGCACACCTGGGGCAGTGCAGAGGAAACTGTTCTATGTACGCAGATTCTCCCTTACTGTGTGTCTACTTCTTCATATAGAGTGCTGAGAAAATCATTGGAGAATCTCAGATTCTTGCGAACCCTTGAGCAAGAAGTTCACATGTGATGTCAATATAAGAGCTCATCGTCACCGCGGTAGGCAGGAGTCTTAGGAAAGAGCGTGGGCTATTGGTTAATGTTATTAGGACTGAGATGACGGGCGTTCATAAGGGCCCTTGCTAACACACATGAAGTTTTGATTTGAAAGCGAGAGATAAAGGAAAGAAAAGGAAAGGAAAAAAGGGCTAAAACCGAATTTCTCGAAATGAAGTCACGCCCAACGCTCGCATACTCTCTTTTTCTCACTTGGGCAACAAACAACTCCCGTCTCTTATCCTAGCCTTGGCCTTTCAGCTTTTCAGTCCGCTCGAACTCGTACGCACTGCATGGATAGAGCACTGATTTGCGCAAGTATGGACTGCTAACATAGTACGTCGCTGATAGTCTCCCTCGTCAACTGCGTCGCAACTCACAAAATGCCAAGCACGATCAACCCGAAGAGAGCTGTTGAGTCCGCTGCTCCAGCTCTAAACACGTCTCAACACCATACAAACTCGAGTACTTTGCACAGCATCTACTTTGCCGGTGATCTCCAGCCGTGGCCAGGCTTCATCAGTGCTGTTCAGGCATGCCATGAGAACCGTACCTGGCGACAACAGACTTTGGGTTATACGATCCAAGCCCGAGATCTATATGCGTATGGAAATGTCGAGGTTGGCGATGAACACGGTGTCCAAGGCCGCTTCCAAAAATTCTTTGGGGACGTACTTAACGCCATCTTCGAGTCACAATCGACCACCGAGGAAAACATCGACCTCCGATTCGCAGATTTTAAATGTATCCAGTCTACATACCCCGGCACACCTGACGTGATACTGAAGGACAGCAACCACGCCTTAAAGATTGTGGGGGAGCTCAAGGCACCCTGGATTGGTGAGCATCAGATAAAACAAAATATTACCAATGCGAGGCTTTTGAGAAAGATATTGGCCCAGTCTATCATGTATATGAAGGATCTGGGCTGCATTTATGGATTTCTCAGCACATACAAAGAGACGATCTTCTTGCGACAAGCCGTGGACAATGATGGCGCATGGAGGATTGAGTATTCTCCTGTGATCTTGTCGTCCACCACTTACGATAAACGCATGACCACTTCCCCTGTTATTTCTGTGAAGCAATGTTTTTTCTATGTGGGCCTCAATACGTTGAATCAGGGGCCGGTCAACAACATGTCAACAGGGTGGATTGTAGATATCTAATCAGGAATTCCGCACATTCGAATTAAGCACATCTTGGGTATTCTCTGTGTCCATTTCGTACACATTATTTATAGGCTCCGGACAGATGTACCGCTTCCCTCGACTGTGACTATCAAGTAAGATTTTTCTTTGTCCCAGACAGGTTTCCAGCGTATTTGGTCACAGTGAAATCTATTCATTACTCTCTACTCCAAAAATTGAAGTGTATGGCGCAACTCCTATGTGTGCTGCATGAGCCTTGGAGGAACGCAGAAGAGGATGAAATCGAGTCTTAACAGACATTCCCCGTCCATGAGTGGTACCCGAAATATATATGGTATCGAATTTTTTGAAAATAGGTTACGGTTGAAGACGTATTGATGGTGTAGGAGAGGCCTGGCTACGTTCATGCGAATCTACCAACAGATTCCTATCACTGGAACGGAAGACGCTGACCACGACACTCTGGATAGACAAGCCGTTGCTCCTGGAGTTTGTGGTGAGCTTGAGTCCTTCAAAATGTTGCAGAGTGGAGGCTGTGGCGCCGTTCCTCGCTTTCTTGGTCACGCAGAAAGTACACAAGGAGACAACGACCTCCTTCCTGGCGGCTATATTAGATACCTTGTGTGGGAAAAGGATCCAGGGGAGCCTCTAACAAAGGAATTCTTCTGGGGCTTGAATATAACCGCGCGCGAAGACATCCGTGTTAAGTTCCGTGACGCCTGTGAGTAAGTCTATGCAAATATCAGGCAGGTAGATGGGATATTGACATAATCAAAAGACAGCTACTTAGTTGCGGGATAACACCAGGCGAAGCCAGGATCTGGAAAATCATCTTTGATCAGTCCACAGGCAACCTGTACGTCAGGGATGCCCTATAAATGCGTTGAAAATATGTGCTGACGGATTATAGTCATATCTCTGGATTTCGAATGGGATGGCCAATTATCGATAAAACTGAATGGTCAGAGGCTCGTTACGTCGAGTTTGAACTGGCGGAGCCGAGTGAAGAAGGAGACTGGTACCTCCACCCGGAGAAATGGCAGTGGTAAATGCTCGTAATCATTTAGAATCAAGTTCATTCCAAATTGCTGTAGTCGGAATGAATAATTTCTCCACTATCTCTTGCTACTCCCTGGCTCTCAAGAGTGTAAGTAACTATCATGTGGTCATAGTATCAATTTTCATTCACCAACGCCACCCATTATCTCAAGTAATACATCTAGCATTGCTCTGCGGCTATGCCGCCCCCGCAGTTCTCAATAAGATCTGCGTTGTAGACAAGATAGAGAATCGGCGAAATTGGCGACCACTGCGGAATGCCTGTTGGTGTCGGAGTTTGATAGGAGATGCCCTCGGGCATACGGATTTTTGTGCTCCGATTAGACAGGAACGCTTTTACCCAGGGGGCAAATTGGCTCAGTCGTCGCTTTCTGAGGTTATGGAGCAGGCGGTCGTGAGAGAAATTATCGTAGGCTCCTGATACATCCAGCATCAGCAGTGAACACCACCGGGTTGCCTTTTCCCAGGCTGTTTTGATTCGGTCGATCATGTTATGAATCGCATGGTCGTTAAAGATGCCCCGTCGGCCACCAAGAGAGATTTGAAGAAAGAGAGGCTAACTGAAGACAGGAATCACGTATGAATTAGTAAACACACTTTATAGGAACTATCAGGAAATCGTCTAATAAAATACCGATTATATCAGAAACAAGCTTATGTCGCCTGGTATTTTTGACCTATAGCCCTAAAAAAGCTACTGATGTTGGATTTGAATCCACAATGTACATAAGAATGGAATTGAACTAGTCAGTATAACGTTTATAAAGAACATCTACCCTTCTTCTACGGCTTCTTCTCTTATTTCATGTAAGGGGCCTGAAAACCCCTGATATGCCTCTATGAGTAACGCCACTGCTACCTGGACGATCGAGACCAGCCAACGAAGAAAAATATCAAATCAATCGCATTTTATTAGTTCCTTGTCTATCTATCACATTGGTACAAGTGGCAGCTGCATGACTTGAAAGCTCAACGTCTCAAACACTTGCTAACCATGGAATCAACTTGACTCAATTTCGCTTCAAACAGATTTCCGAAACCCTTTATCTCCTCGTCTTTCATGCCACGTCGAGAGGCAGCAAGAGTATCGTATCTAAAGGCGTTCAATGATTCATCACTGATTGTACCAACGGCTGCACCAGCGTCAAAGCCCAACAGCATACCGAGAACCGCCACTGGAGCACTGTCAGGGTTCTGCACCATACTGTAGATATCGTAGCCTTCATTTGCGGCGGTCCCCGCCAAAGCGAGTATTGCATCAAAGCCTTCAATGACATCCCCAAGCCCCGAAATCGGACCCAAGAAAGGCAATGCCATGAATACAGCACCGATGATCTCCAGTATTTTCTTTTTTTCTCTTCAGCCGCAACTTTTTCACCTATATCGACGACATTGTACATGCGATCGACTAGCTGACTTAGCGTGAAGACAGCGGTGGATATGGTCTGAACAACATCGTCTATCACGCCGCTAAAGCTTCCGGTTGCGATGCTAAGCTGGGTCGAAATGATCGAGATTTGGAGGTTGGGGATATTTGGCAAAGCCTTTTTCATGACATCGCGAGGGTCAGTGACAGTGATCTCCTTGGCTGGGACGGGAAATCCCTGCCACCAACGGCAACTGTATCCCCAACTCGGAAGCACGTCGCAGTGAGGCCTGCTGGTACCATAGTAAGGCCCCTGTTTTTCTCCCAAGAACATGCCACCATCGAGGGTTACCCATTCAGCCTCAACGCCGCAGTCTGCCGTGAGATTGCTGTAGAAGCCTTCTCGGTCCAGAATATCGTAATAGGTGATATGTTGCTCTTCCTCTGACCCGAAAAAGTCGGCTGGACAGGCGGTCGTTGACGAGTTTATGCCTTCGTACTTGCTGTACGTGCATTCGAAAAACGAATTACCCACGCCATTGGGCACACCCCTTGCTTCGCTGACCTTCATAAAATTCATGAGCTGAGGTTGAACCTGCCCTTTCATGTACTTCGCGTACTCTTTAAAGTCTTCGGCGTATTTGGCTGTATCAGCAATGTCCGTGTAGTTGGCCAAAGTAGTCTCGAGTTCTCCATACAATGCACCAAGCATATAGTAATCGACACAATAGGGATCCAAGCTGTCAAGGTCTGCATCCAGATCCTTGAGAGAGGAGTAATTAATGCTGAAATCGCAAGGGGAAGTGGCTTTGCACTTCGCCGCCGTGTCATCATCCCAGCTTTCACAAGGGTCATCATCCTCATCGTCATCGTCAGAGGTCGAACCTAGGCATACAGGCGAAGGACAATAGTCTCTGGTACAGGCAAATTTGCAAAGACCATTATCCTCAATATCTGGTGCCCAGCCGACAACAGAGGTGTTTTGGGCAGGAGGTACGTTCAATGGACCCGTTGCGGTGCAGGTGCAATTGTAAATGGGGCAATAGCCATAGTTGCAGGCGAAGCTGCAAAGACCAGCCAATTCACCCTCTCCGGAGCCACCAACACATGTGTCCGCGGTGAATGGGGAGACTGTCGGAATCGTCAATGGAACCGACACAGTTCCGCAGGCAGTTGACGGGCAGTAGCCATATTCACAGGTGAAGGAACACAGACCAGCATAATTGGCGTTTTTGCCTGCAGCTGGATAGCCGACTATGCCTGTGGCTTTGGGTAATGTTGGATGAGGTCCCAGCTTGATGCACACGCACGCACCAACTGGACAATAGCCCAAGCTGCAGGCAAACTCGCAAAGCCCATTGAAATCCCCCATCCCCCATCCCTCGACACAGACTTCCTTGTCAAGATCAGGGGAGGTTCCGCTGAGTGAGTTTCCCATGGTGTAGCCCACCCATGCATTCCAATTTTCGACTTGGTCGCCCATGTCACATCCACTGCTGATTTCCGCTCCATCAACTTTGAGTGAGCCACTGGAAGTAGTCACGCTCAATATCACGCCCCCAGAATGACCGGTAAAAGAGACACTTCCATGGTAAATGCCGACATTGCCACTGGGGGTGTTGGTCCAGGTTGCGCCGACATTCACACCATCTATCGTAACAGAGATATCTCCAGGCTGTGACAAGAGTGCTGAATAGAATATCTTATCCTGGACCACTTCCTTGGGCCAATACTCCAGTTGGAGCTGTGAGACGGTATTGGCAGTTGTGCCACCATCAGCGCACGCACCTGCTGCATTTTGACGATACCATGCAACAAGGCCCTCTGTTCCTGAGGTCGTGCTGTTGAACTTGTAGAGGTCAATCAGGTAAGGCAAGAATTGTCTCCAGCCGCTGTGATCGAAGCTTTCGACATAGTTGTATGGGGCATCCCCAGTATCAAATGCCGTGTACATTGAATCGGCCAGCGAGTTGTGGTAGTCAACAGTGGGGCCGATATAGTGACTCTCACCAAAGTCATTCCAGGAAATGATCTCGATGAATTCCGGGGCCAGGTAGAGCGCTTGCTGCCACCGGGTATACCAGAGATCATCACCACGCCAGAGCCAGTTCTTATCATACCCAGGCAGGTTTGTGAAGAACCAAGGCGAAATTGGCATCATGTAGGGCTTCGTTTCCAGGTATTGCATGTAAGAGGCGTCAACATAGGTGTTCATGTCATTTGGCCCATTCGGCCATGCAGCCCAGCTAAAAAGCCCGTCTGCAACACCGTCTCCCAAAGCCATGGCAGGCTTGGCCCCAACTGAGGACCAATCTGGAACAAAGAAGAGGGACATTTTTGATTTGAGATACACCCAGTCATCGGCATTGCCAGGTCCTTCAAATGTCGAGACCAGTGGAATTTTCCCGTGGAGGTAATAGGCGCCACTGGAAGCGTATTTGTTCAAGAGACTCAGCACGTCGCCTTTTTCCCATGCTCCATTGCCTGCATAGTCGAAGGAGAAGAAAAGAGAGAATTTGAGCTTTTCGGCGGCTGTAAAGGCACTCGGCATGGAAGTGGAGGTGGTGTCTTCTCCGTTTGCGATATTCAAAGCAAATGCGTCGATATGGGCATCCTGCGCGAGCTGGATCTCATTTTCCCAGTCAGAGACTGAATATCCGGCCGTATTTGAGACCATGAAATGAGCGAACACAGCACGGGAATACCCCTGAATGTAGAACAAGCATGACAGGAAAAGCATGTAGCGCCACCAAAGTAACGAGGCAGGCATTTTGCTAAAGTATGGAACGAGTCCAAATTGGAAACAAAAAAGAAAGGAATGATTAAGGAATGATTATGGCTCATAGAAAGGTTATCAGAGAAGAAAAAAGAACGGCAGTGACTAGGAGAGCATGCTTCAGAAAGTTTAGATGCTATCTTCTCTTCTCGTTGACATATAGTTACTTGCCAACTTTTGGCCCCGATTACCACTTCAATAGCACCCTACCGGTGGTGCCTGTCTCATAAATACAATCTCCCAGTGGGCCCAGATATCAGCCAGTGTCTCGGATAACTTTACCGCGATCCCAATGCAATATTACTTCTTGACGAGAAATTATTTACGGCATATCATCCCAAGGATACACAAATCTTATACAGTAGAGCTCTTCATTCTAAGATGAAGAAGCATCCGAAGGGTTAAAGAATTATATTTCATATTTTATCGGATCTCTTAGATCGCATATAAAAGTCAATCGTGCCTCATAAGCCTCGCCAATGTTTTGGCTTTGCGTCCGGAGATTACCCCATAGACAGACTCAGTTTTCGAGGTGCAGTAGCTCGTGGGACGGAAAAGGGGTCGGCGTTGAGCTCATTAATGCACCCCTAAATTATATAGTAGGGTGTGATTTGGCTGGGCTAGATAGCAGCACCGTCTGAAAATTAAATGAGGCTAAAGGTTAGTGCTTTTTTAGTGCAGAACCCCCAATACTGACTCATTACGCCTTTGTGTAATATTCATACCACAGCGAATGAGTACCATTTACAATTCTTTTGTTGATTATATTTGATGTCTTCATAAGGTCCATTTCTCGGTGTCGTTTCTTCCTCTGCTACTCCGACTCATTCTAGTTTGACGGAAATTTCCGTGCCAGTCATTCGCTCCAGCTCAATATACTGCCTGCTTGGTGTACATCATTGCATATCTACTTGATTTGCTGTGCCCATCCTTATATTTCATTGCCGTGAGCTAAGCCTCAGGCCTCATCCTTGTCCACCAACTTTAATTCGCCCTCCACCCTTTTCTCTATCAACATGAAGGCATTCAGGCTTCTGCTCTGCACATTCCTGTCCCTTTTCAGCCTTGGACAAGCATCCAAGCTCGCTGTCCCCAGCGAGATGCTCGCCATGTACAACGCATATGTTTTGGATTTTGTCAAGAATGGAGCAAAACGTACCCTGGGACCAGGTCTAAGCAATGAGGCCTTAGTTGACTTTGGGACCTTTACGGCGCACGTCTGGATAGACATTAAGTTTGATCGAAAGGGCCTTTTCTTGAGCCAAGCCCCAGAATATGGGAAGAATACCTTGAGCCAAATTACGAAAAGCCTGCCAAAATATCCACTATACGACCGATCTCATTTGCTAAAAGATGATTCTGTGACGAATCATCAGATGGTCCTCAAAAAACTTCATCATGTCGTTCAATCGACTCGAGGTAGCACCGCGTCGGGCTTCTCAGACGCCTGGAAAACCCATCTCCCCGAGTTCAAGCGGGCTTTTGCAGGGACCCAAGGAGCGCGGCTAAGTGAGATGTTCTCAGTCGGACTAAAGCCATTGTTTGAGAAGAAATTTACGACTTCCAATTTGAAATCTTCATCATATCCTGTACTGGACACAGACGTTTCATACGTTTACCAGAACTGGGGTTTGACAGCGGCGTCCGAAGATAATCCTATAGATGCAATAAATAAATACCTGGAGTGGTATCGTGGTCTGCTATCTGAGACGGAGAAAACGAGAGGTGTGAAAACTTACCTATCCCATCGAGAAATTACCGCGTCGATTGGTAAGAGCTTGAGTCAGTTGGACAGCCTGGACAGCTGTGATTAGAAGATCTTGCATACAGGATAGGTGTCGAATGGCAGCTCAAATCTTGATGTCTTTGGGATATATGTATGATCCGGACTTGTCGACTATACAAAATTGAATCTGCATCTACCTGCTTGCTTTCCATAATGCTCGAATTTATCAGAAGAGAGTGGTATGTTCTATATTGTTTTGTACATATGGTGTTCCAGCATAGTAAGCACTATGTGTTCTAGCTGCTAGCATTAATCTCTTATGTTCGGCCGTATTGAAAAATAATGCAAACTTCCGCATAATTGTGCTGCGAATGTCCGGATTCAAGGAATCTCTCGCTTATCCTGTCTCTATCCTGCCTCATTTGGTTTCGAGCCTCGACTGCCTGCGTGAATGACATTAAATTATAATTCAGCGCGTTCTTCGTTGATTGTGATGTCTCGACCCAGCTTGGGTCCTGGGGAGGCACATTCTGAGTCGAGCAAATTCGATAATGCGGGTCTACCAACCACAAAGTCGCAAATCGAAGGTGCCCTGGCCGTAATGGATCTGCCAAACTGAAAGGCTCGGCCTTAGACCGCAGTGTACTTGGCCAAGCAAGAAACTGCCCATTCCGTGAAATAGGGATAGACCCCATGGTCTGTAGAGCCTCCGGGGAACAAGGATAATCGCTGAGCATTGACCAGCTCTGAACATCAAAAACGCGATCCATAGCGTCATACTTCGCAATGTTGAAATCATCTGTCTCGATATGTGTCTCTTGTTGGAATGAAAGCTTTGCATCTTTGATGTTGTGCATATCGAAGTAGCATACGGCTGTAGAAACGATATGCTCATTGAGGATACCAGCAACATTGTGATGGGAATCACCATTATACAAAGGCTCTTCTGGGGTGAGCTCAATAGTTGACACTCGAACTATGATCTGCAAGCCCTCGAATTGATCTTGGAGAGATATCGAGTAGTACTGGTGATCTGGGTCGGGAATTCGGGGCATTTCAGGTTCATCAGGGTCACTCCATTTGGGCATGATCGCGCGGCCTGTATTTTCACCAGTCTTCCACTCATCGTATGTAAAGGAGATTCCTGGCTCAATGCCTTTCACGGCGTACAGCTGCCTGCTCTTTGCGATTATCAATTTTTCCAGTTCTTCAGAAGAATTCCACTGCCATGGCTGCATACTAGCGAGAAGATCATGGTCCCCAGAGTCAGGCAATATGCGGTGCCGCTTCTCGGGCTCAGGGAGCCTAAGATATTCTCTTACTCGTGATTGAATCTCAGGCCACTCTTCTTCTGTGATGGGTGGTGTTCGTCCCTGTCTCGCTTTCCTCATGTACGTAAGCAACTCGGTCTCGTCATCACCGCCTTCCACTTGGAAGTCATAAGTTCTGATTCGAATTGGTGTCCGACCCTGATCTCCAAGGATAAGCATTTCGTTCCACGGTTGAATGGCGGCTGAAATGAGCCCTTCGAGCGCTGTGTATATGCTCCTTTCCTTGGGATGCACACCATTAACATAGGAAGTAATCTTAGCTCCGCCTTGCTCATTAAGAGCAACCTCACAGGGAAGACATTGAAAGGCATTGGACCAGCGTTTTCCACTCCACCGGGTATCACTAAAGGCTCCTGCTTTTCTCTCTTTGAGATGCATCTCATCACATGGGCGAGCTGGTTTCTCGGGAATCGGAGCAATCTGGGACTGTGATGGTCTCCAGGACTCAGGTCTCTCCATATAAACTTTGCCCTCGTCGGCAAGGACTCGAGTTCGCCCATAAATGAGAGGATACATCAAGGGGTCAATCACATCTCGAACCGGGCTCTCCGAACCACTCTCATTTGGATCACCCGAGGCAGTGGACGAAACAGATTTCGATTCTGAAAATAGCGGCGACATGGATTCTTGAAGCTCTTTGAGAAGATCGTCATGAACCTGAGATTTGATGACTCGTGAGTCTGCATCAAACACAGCAACATAGCCTGTGCGTTTGAAGTCAGAGGCTTTGTCTTGCAACTCCTTTACACACCACTGCCATGAGGATTCATCGAGATCAAAGACCGAAACGGCGTGCCGATGCCATTCCTCCAGTGTCTGCGGGTCTTCGGACTTATTTTCCCAGTCTGGCTGTTCAGTGACATACGACATGAATTGCAGCATGGAAAGCTCTACCAAAAATAATTGGGGAATTTGTCTCCAATCGCAAATTCCATGTGCAAACCGATTGTCTTTTGGATGCTCATAGAACAGGGGTACGCCATTAAAACCAGGGACTCGCAAGGGGCCGGTGCCGCTGTTGTCCAACTTGATAGATGGAGGGTCCATCTTTTTCATTTCCGAGTAGCAGCGAGATGAATAGAAGGGGATTTTGGTGGTTCTAGCGCGAACAAGTAGTCGAGGATGAAAGTGAAGCCGTTGGAGGATGGTCGCCATTGAGAAAGAGCGGTGTGTTAATTTGAGGATGATGCCATGAGACGTGGGATGCGGCGGAAATAAGAGAGAGAGAGAGAGAGAGAGAGAGAGAGAGAGAGGGAGGGAGGGAGGGAGAGATTCATAAGATTCCAGGTCCAAAGGGGACTGCTCGGGCCAAATGAGTGGTAATTTTGATACAGGGCATAACAGGGCGTGTGTGTACACCCTTGCGATCTCTTGGTATTAGCGCGGGCGCTAAGCTTATCGATGGCTTCAATAGCTTCCGTGGCTTAATTAGCGAGGTATTCGCCACCGGCGGAGTTCCGGAATTGATTATGGTTCTTGATAGTGGCATGAGAAATTAAACTCGGAAATTACCAAAGGCCACCATCATATCCATGTTTGAGACTTCCATATTGACCCCTATAAAAAGTGATAGATGTAATAATCTACTTTGCCTTAACATGCAATTCCACTATCGAGCGAACATCCAGAGCTGCCAGAAACCATGCAACCAACTTCAATCCTTGTTTTCACCTTTCTCCTGGCTATAGAGGGGTTCATTTCCTCTGTATCAGCCTCTTGCTTCCCCAGCGCCCAGAATGAAACCATTGGGTTCTTCAGTAAAGCACCTCTAGCCCACGGATACACTCATTTATCGCCATATGAATGTGCTAATGAATGCGACAGCATGAGCGCCTGCCAAGCATGGCTTTTCATCGTCAATGCGAAGGAATGTCAGCTCTATCGTTCAGCCCCTGTGGCGCAGGCAAAGAGTGCAGGTTTCATTATGGGATCGTGTGATACAGATGGCACCCGAGCGATTGAATTGGCATCAAAAATGCCTCTACTAGCTTCGTCCTCTGTGATACCTGGTTCACAGACTGCTCAGTCCTCCCCATCCAACGTGAGACCATCCCATCTGTTGACATGAGTCTATCTTTAGAGATTTCTTCCTAACAAACGATCCAGATCGCAGGACATAAAAACCATCTGAACCGCCATAAGCGTGGTCATCATCACCTGCATCGACAAGACTAGTTAGTTCACAGCGACCTGTCGTTCAGCGAGTTTTATGCTTATGTAACACACAGGGCGAGCAATCAGTGGCAAGGGGTCAGCACGGGTTCCAGCTGAGCGGGACTAAAAAAATCTTACCTTCGGATTCTTGTTATCCTAATACAATTTTACATACCCATGAGGCCTAACTTAACCAGAGAGTCCGTCTCTATATAGGCTAACATCCTCGATCTATAATACTATAAATTTGTTAATTTTGACCTTTCTCTTTGATACATATTAGTTCAAATTTCAAAATAATAGATCTCTTTTAAATAGCTTGATTTATTAAATATACTGTAAAGGTAGTAAAGATAGCTACAATACACCCTATAATCCTTGAAATAGTAAGGGAATTCAACTTAAAGTACTCCGTAATCAGGCCGGAAAAACCTGAGGGGGACTAGAATAAAGCTTGCATAATTTCTAGTCTCCATCTTCTGACCTGGCCGGGACCAGAAATTATGTGAGCTTTCTCTAGTCCCTGCCAAGTCTTTTCTAGTCCCCCTTAGCTGGGTGGCCGGTAAGCACTCAAGTGGGAAAGCGAAAGCCAAAGCCATGTTGGCCTAAGATCAGGTGCACATGTGCTAGTGGACTACAAGTTCTAATATTCTCTATTGCACTACAAACAGTCCCAGGCCGTATGCCAATATAAGGATTTGGAAAGAAACTGAAGCCAAAGCGCAAATAGCGTAGTTCGCCCCATGCTCCTACGGGAGAGCAGAGTCAAATTAAAGAATACATAGTGGCTTGAAATCAAGCTATGGGTTGGACATCAGTATACCGCTTTTTCATGATAAGCCCGACCTCCGTACAAACCTCAACTCTCAACTGCCTAATCAATCTCTTTAACTCTTAGTTCTTAGTCCCTGTCGTACTCGAACAAACAGTACACATAGCTGAAAGAAAAAGTTACGTGGGAGAGAAGTCTTGCCGCAGAACAGGAGAAATTAACCTTTCTTGGTCAACATGCGGTCACTATCAAGTCACTCTTCTACCCTCACAATTTTTGAACCTTTGTCCCCATCTCCAAGCTACCTGGTATGGATTCATCAATCAAATATCTCACCGATCTTGAAGGAACACAGGTCAAGTTTGATGCTGTTGCGGAACCACCGTTCAACTTCCCCGCCCAGACATCGATAATACTTGAGAAGCTCGGAGAAGATTCGAATCGCCTGACGAAGGAAGACATCGCCGCGGAGCTCGGGCCTTCAGACACCGCCGGGAAGTTCCTATGCCAACCTGCCAGTGAGGAAGACCACAACAGGCGTGCATTTTTGCGCATTTACCAACAGCTTCCTATAGCCGGAACTGAAACGAAGAAGGCCGCCATACGGGCTAGCCAGGCCGTCGACTCCCCTCCCGACAACCTAGAACTGAACGCTTTCCGGGTATTCACAAAGCTGGACTGTGACGTCGTTCCTCGGCTGCTGGGCTATCAACAGCGCCAGCAAGACCACGACGAGGGTGTTCCTGGGGGGCACATTACGTATATTCTATGGGAAAAAATCCCGGGCGACTCTCTTGATTTGACCGAATTCTGGAGGCTCCCCTTTGCCGATCGCCAGGCCATCCGCAATAAGTTTCGCCAAGTCTATACGTATGATTATTGAGTGACCACTACGAGAAATTTAGCTAACAGAGAGCAGGAAGTTTATGCTGTGCGGGTACATGCTATGTATGGGTGGTCCATCGAAGATCATTTATGAAAAACCCAGTGGTCAAATGTATGTCTATGCGATTTTATCCACGTGGAAACTGGTATTCTAACTATCTCTAGGCACATCTGCGGATTCAAACGCGCATTTCCGTTTGACGAACCTCAAACATGGGGTGATACTCATTACTACCAATACGGACTCATCCAACGCTCCAAATTTCCATTCTACTTGGAAGAAAAACCACCCAACAAAGCGGATTGGATCGAAGATGTCAACGGCTGGATATGGTAAACATGAATCCAACCACAGCGGAATACATTGTGAAGTATGATCCGCCATCTGGTTTCTTCCTGGCTGGCTTAATAGAAATAGATGAATCAAGGGATTGCTGCTGGTGGAATAAAGACGTACTTTGTCAGATATTACATGCAGTCTATTGGAGTTTCTTTTCATTGCTAAGTTTGGCACTATTTACCGTATGATCATAGACGTAGGTCAATTTCACGCACACATTATCTCAGATACTTGCTTGCGTGACTGTATTTTCTATACACGAAAGTGATTTGGGCAGCATACTATCATTAATGTTCTCTGATCCATTGAGTGCGAGGGTTAGGATTGACGATCGATCCCTGGGCCTCAACAATGGTAGCAATATACAGAAGACATTGATTGAAGCTCAACACAGGTTCAATAGACTGATTTGCAGGGTCTGGGGGCGCATATCTGACGGATGCATCGATCAAGGGGGAATACTCAATTCTCCAAGTTGATCCAACCTGAATTTGTCGAAGGAATATGGTCTGACAGTAGTTGGTGATAAAGCCATACATACAATCAAGGTCTAACATGTATGAAATAGGTTGCCCGAGGACCTCTCGCAACAAAGTTGAGTTTTCAGCACACAAATCATGTTGATGCTGTACCAGCCATGGTACTTTCACCTCGCCAACAACTCTTAGTTGCTGCGCATTGTCGTTTTGAAGATCTGGTAAAGATAGCATGACTACGTCGGGAGTCTTGCTGTATGCAATTCCAGTGGACTTGAAGTTTCCTAGTGCTATGTTGATTGCTTGGGCCTCGAACACTGCACCAAGGACCTGTCCGGCAGCTTGCTGGAATCGAGCATAAACCCTGGCCTCATCTCCGACGAAAACTTTCTCATTGGTGAGATTTCTGGCTTGAAGGCTGATCTGAATCACCCGATTGCTCCACTGTTGTGTATCGTAGGCATTTTTGACAGCTGTGGTGAATCCTGTCAATGGAAGAAGCGGGCCAAGAAATCTTATTTTATGAAGCGCGCTTGATTTTGTCCGTTCATGGCTGACGAGGAGATCGGGAAGAGGCGAGATGACAACATCACGGGGGCGTTTCACAGAAGGCATCTTCTGGGCCTTGTTTGCTTGAGGGGATGTCAGCATGAGCTTTCGATGCTAGCGACGCGCATAATTTCTTACAGTCACAGTGTTCAAGATCAAGTGATGCAGTGGTGCGGATTGGGACTTGAGCTAAGTAGTGAATCGAGCTGGCCGCAGAGGGGACTCTCTGAGTCTCTCAACGTAGTTCATCTTCCACCTCTTTTCCCCTCAACTACCATCTTCGCAATCGCTCTTCCATGCAACCCGAGTGAGGTTCTATAATACATTGAACAAACAGCGATTCGCTATCAGAATCTAGAGTCTAAGGTCCTCTTGGAGCCTTTGTCTCTCCAGATTCATCATGTAATGGATTCTTTGCCTATCACCATAACCAATCTGACTCGTTGTCGAACCGTATGAGCCACTATTCGACTTACTATATCTTCTTGCTTGGCGACTGTACCGGCGGTGGCACGCACTTCCCATTAATCTCCCGACCAGATGAAACGACTTGGTATGACTTCATTTATGGTGACAATATCTGTCACTCACAACTGTAACCTTGGAAGATATCAGATGGCGGCTACTACGGAACATATGCACTGAATGCGCTAGGTGACCACCAATACAAAAATTCTAGATCAGTGTTACTTTCCTAACTAGATGATTCTTCGCTTAATTATGATGTAAAATATTTAGTAAACATATAAGTTTAAGAACAGGAGTTGTAAGGTTTAACCGGGGAGTATGACTATCGAACGGAGAACTTAGGTACCTGCCTTCTAGGCTACCTTTATTGATATAGAACAAAATTGATATAGAACAAGAGAAACCCGTCAATATCCTTAAAGTGCTTGAGATTGGTTTTCCTTGTAATCTACCAGGATAAAATAACGTAAATTCTACGTAAATGATTAAATGGTGAAAGAAGTAAAGCAAGATGATTCAATCAATTATTAGAAGGGCAATCTATGCGCTAAGAAGACTATTTGCCTATCGGACAACGCGACTTGATGTGCACTGCCATGTTCTCTCCTTGGGCTTTCGTATCGGCACATCAAACTAGCAGCATCGACATCATCTTTATTAAGGCGTTCAGCAAATATGACTTACACTGCTGGTAGTCACGAAAATCGAATTGTGGTATCACTCATCACACGAACTACCCTAGATCTAAGAGCACAATTCGATCTGAGTGAATTCATCAGGACTACATAGTATGAAGATCTGCAAAGTACTTGTTGAAGTAAATTTTGTAATAGTCATTTGCCATTTAGACGAGTTGCTAGGAACAGAGGGAGAGAGCGGCGACCCACTTTAGTTAATTTGTCCTGTTTCGGATAACACGTCAGTGCGGCTGAAAACTGGCACTACGTAGTTCGAACCCTAGCACGCTGTGCGCTGAATTTATTAAAATTTGTTGTTAGAAAATGGAGACCAAGTACAATACGGAACTTCCAGAAAGAAAATCTTCGTGGATACCCGAGTATAACCTACGTAGTTCTTGTTTATACCCAATATCCGAAGTCCTGTGCAGAACTTTTAAAGGTACATTCCTAAAAATGGAATTTATCAAAAATAAAGGATTAATTGGCTTAGTTATAGATAGAAAATTTGATACCAAAGTATAGCGTTTCATACGCGGCCAGGATTTGACAGTTGTTCGTTTGTTAGGCAGATCTTCCAATTTTCAATTCGGCCAATGCGACTTATCAAGACAGTTGCACGATTTGACGAATATCACGCGGGATTCCCCCCAAGTTGCATGCATGATGCAGGGGCAACACATGTGGCATTTCGCGTGTGGAATATGTTCGCAGCTAGCAAAACGCGATAGCCGTCTCACCCTTCGGTACCTCAAAAACATCGAAACTTTGCGATACCCATGAATCCATGATCCTCGCGCACTTATAACAAGATCCGCAAGTTCATAAGCAGGGGTAGTCAAAAGGATACATAAGAAGTGGACAATTCCTATTGGTAAATAACAGTAGATGGGCATAGAGGTTTTTCACAAGTCATGTCATATAACGAATTTATACAAGATGAAGATAGCAGCTCGACGGGTCGAGTTATCACACTACCAATAGTAAGAGTTCACACCACATACACGACGTTGCTCACACTTGGGCCTGCCCCGTCATCTGACTCTACACCTTACGAATCCTCCACCGCAGGTTCCATTTACGAGCAATCAGAAGAATCGAGCGATCACAACAACGCTGCTGTGATAGGTGCTTCGGTTGGCATCTCAGTTGGACTAGCTATTATTCTTGGGTGGTGCCTATGCTGTAGGAAATGTGCCCGTGGACCTCGAGGTCCAAGAGGCGCACCTGGTAGGGACGGAGATAAAGGGTCTCCGGGATCCATAGGCTCAAATGGAAGACCAGGGCCAGTCGGACCGGCTGGACCACCTGGTCTTCAGGGCCCCCCGGGACCTAAAGGCTCAGATGGAAGACCAGGGCTAGTCGGACCTGTTGGAGCCACAGGCAAAGTTGGACCAGCTGGGCCACCTGGCCCTCAAGGCCCCCCAGGACCTAACGGCTCAGATGGAAAGCCAGGGCAAAATGGATCGGCTGGGCCACCTGGTCCTCGAGGCCCTCCAGGACCTAACGGCTCAGATGGAAAGCCAGGGCAAAATGGACCGGCTGGGCCACCTGGTCCTCAAGGCCCCCAAGGACCTAAAGGCTCAGATGGAAGACCAGGACAAATCGGACCTGTTGGAGCCAAAGGCCAAGTTGGACCGGCTGGGCCACCTGGTCGTCGCGGCCCCCCGGGACTCGTTGGGGCGATGGGTCAAGTTGGTCCTGTTGGCCCAAGAGGGCCACTAGGTTTTCCAGGTTCACAGGGTTCTCGGGGCCTTCGGGGACAACCAGGACGAGATGGACCAGTTGGAGCCAGAGGCCCAGTTGGACCCGTTGGCGCAATAGGTCAAGTTGGACCCCGCGGGTATCCTGGTTCTCCGGGCATCCAAGGGGATACAGGCGAGCAGGGCTTGAGTGGACGCGATGGACGTGATGGACGTGATGGACGTGATGGACGTGATGGACGCGATGGACGCGAGGGACGTGATGGACGTGGTGGTGGACGTGATAGACGCGGAGAATCCTGCGACTCATATCACGGGCGGGTTAGTGAATCCCGGCAGGAAATTCGGATCATCCACGATCATGATCATAGTCATCCTAGCCATCGGAGAGCATCGTCCGTGAGACGATCTCCCCAAACCATCTGTCAAAATGCTCCTATCTCTGGAGTCACTCCGGGAGATCAGATTGTTGTGATCAGAAGATGAAAGTAAAATAGAGAATTTGCCTTCTCTCTCAATGGGCTTCGTTGGTATGGATACCATTGAACTATGCCCATTGCAAGAATCCATAGTGCTTAGCATCAGAGTCTTCGTCCCCGGACATGTTCAAATCGAGCAGGATTGGTTGTTGCTGAATTGGCTACAATCTTCTTGGAATGAGACTCAGTCAACATTGAAATCCACGTGATCTGGCTATTCCTATGGCACCTCCTAAATAGTCATTAAACAGGCTCCAAACAGAATGTGAGACTTGTCTCAGAGATATGAAGAATGGCAAGGTGTTCTCTGGATCTCTGGGGGGAAAGCTCTCTCTTATAGCTAGGGAGGCGCGACAAACATGGATAAGCAAACAATGCGAAGGCACAAACAAGCAAACGCTGCTATATCCATCACAATCACTGATTGATTCCATCAATTAATCCCAGACGTCTAACTTAGTGCAACAATTGATGCCTCATATCACTGATCTCAGTGCGCTGATAAGCCCAGTCCACGAAAACTTCGCAATCCCAGAACCACATCCGCATGAAGGCACAAGCGCTCACGGATGTTGCAGTCAATTAAGTGGTTGTGGGATGACACTGCACTTTCAGCCATTGCAGACGAGTCACAATCAACCAAAATAAACAGAGGGTTTACAGCTGGAGAACAACCAAATTAAGCGCACGCGCACACGCACAATCGTGGTATCTAATTTTTCACCTCGACTTACACCATATCTAGTTTTCATTGTAACGTAGGCGATAGTATGGCCTTACCAGCAAAAAAAAGCGGGACGAAGAAAGCTAATTGCGAATTCATGAAGAGTGCATGACCAAATTAATGGGTTATCTAATCAGTATTGGCCGCAGTTTTGTTTGTATCAGAAGAAGAATCCGCAAGTATAGGGTTATTCAGGATCGCCTCCCGGAGGATGCTGCAGTAGTCCCTTGATATGAGCAAGTGTCTTCTCGATGGACCGTTTTGACTGATGTTTATGCTGCGTCTTTCGAACAGTGGATGTCAGGACTCGGCACACTATCTCATTTTTGAGCTAGTGCATAATGAATCATTGCCCCTGGGGGCTTGCTCTGGTGTAACATGGATACAACAGTTGGACCCATCCCCGAGTCTTCACCTTTGCCTTCTCCATAGAGCTTTTAAGTTTGACGGTGGAAGGTAATGCAAAGCCAGACACATGACTGTTTCCAGAAATTTTTCGAATATTTGTTTCTCCAGACCTTCAGCGTTTGGGGTAAATAAGTTTGTTCATCAGCGAATAAAATTAGCCAGTCTCGGTCCCCCTTGGGTAACTATCCAGTAGTGTAGGGCATCCTGGCCACCCAGGATTTTGTGGTGTGTAAACTCGGAATCCTGGCACATCATCTTGTCCTATGTAATATCGCTAGTGATGTCGACCAAGCACATACCAATATTACTTTCAGTGCAAATCTTGGTGTCCCGCTCGATCCGCGGTCGTTGCTCTCTTCTTCTTTTTTCCCCCTTTCAAGAGACCTTAGAAGTAGATAAGCCTTGGCATGATAGCTTACTATTTTTATTATTAGTCTTTTTCATTAAAGTAGAATTTCATTAGACATTATAAGCAACAACAATAGGGCTGGTTGTATAGTGTGCTTTTATATACCCTAGGACAAATGAAGCTTAAGGTGAATCTAATATTAGGGTATTATAACGTATTATTTCTCCATTACATCATCGCTTGCAGCGGTAATTCAGTGGTAGAATGCAAGATTGCAAATCTTGTTGTCCCGCGTTCGATCCGCGGTCGCTGCTTTGCTTTTTTTCTTTTTTACCATGAAAACCTAAATGTAATCTAGCCATAGAGCTATCCTTTAAAAATTTACTAGCTAATAAAAGGTAATAATTAATTTTAGACCTATTTTCCATTATAGATCTTTTGTTTGGTGAAATTCTTTCAATGACTTTTAAGAAAAGCTAATTGTCAGATTGGTACAAAACTTCTCTTCTTGAAGAGGAAGGAAAAATTGGAAAAATTGACAAAAAAAGCAAAGCAGCGACCGCGGATCGAACGCGGGACAACAAGATTTGCAATCTTGCATTCTACCACTGAATTACCGCTGCAAGCGATGATGTAATGGAGAGATAATACGTTATAATAGCCTAAGCTTTGGTTGGAAAGTTATCTTAGTTCCGGATACATCAAGCTTTATATATCGAGTATGATAGCCGCTTGATCATGGCCACCATGTAGACAGCGGGCAACAAGCTCGTTTTAGGAATTTGCGTGCTAATGGCCAGTCGCAAGAATTGGAAGGTGAGAAAACCCTGCAGATTTCTTTGGGCCATGGTTCTGCGACGAAAGATGGGAACAAATTTAGGAGGGAACGGCAAAAGCAAGATGCCCAAACGGACAGAGGGTCTTACGCTAAGATAGACTACAAAGTCGGAGTATGGATGCAATCAAAAATCAAATAGCGGCAGGAGTTGAAAAAAAAACTGAAACGCTCAATCCTTGCTCGCATTAGGTCGCGAGTTGGCAAGGCATGGGCAAGCTTGTCTAAGAGCCTGGAATTTCCCTCATGAGAGGAGGCCCTGAAAAGAGCGGGATTGGGAGCCGACCCTGCCAAGGTTTGGGCATCAGCCGTTGATTTCAACATACAGAGCTAATTGGTATTTACATTCGGACTCGCTGATCAGATGGGTTCGGTAGATGCCCGATCCACACGCTAAGCCCTCGAAACACCAGTTGAACATATACATATTGAGCGTCACTCTTTGCTCGCGGGCGCTTACGCATTTGATTGCCAATCATCAGCGTTTCACAAGTGACCACGACATCCGAAAAAGTACCGCGACTCTCTGCGGGAGTGCTACGCTCAAATCGCGATCTGTCCACCAGTGTAGATCAAGTAGTATCATGTCAATGTTTTTGTCGTTACGGCGCCTAAATCATTGGGACACTGCCCCACACTTTCCCACCTGGAACACAGAGGAGCTAACGGCTGGTCTAGATCGATTATCGCTCAATGAACGAATCGCCCAAAGGTGCAGCATGCATACGGAGTTTTGTTGCGATATCTCAAGGCCAATCGAAGCAAATTTCATCCCGACTCTTCAAGCGCGTACAAGCGCGTAGGTGTTTCGTTCTATTTCCGTGGATTGGACTTTGGTATGAATCTTGTGCGGTGCCATATATATATTCGGTTATCAGAGTTTCTCGCCGATCAAAAAAAATTCATTTTTAGAACACATTCGATCGTCTCAACTGTTTGTTTCGTGCATTGCCTACCACCTATTTCATTCTGCGCAATCCATTCTGGTTGCTATTTCACCATTCGCGGGCCAACAACACAAGTCATGCCTTCTAATAAGAGTTGGTTGTACGTAGCGTTGTATACCAGTGGCGTCTTAAACGATGATGAATGCAAGCGAGCCAGCTGAAATTTAGAGTTTTTCTACAAGTGTTGACCTTCTAAGATACCACTGTGGTTTTCTGATTGGACTCAAAGAAGAACGCGACGACGTCATACCAGGCACACGTTACCACGTCAAAAACCCCCATCTTGGCTGGGAATATCAAGAGCCTCCATTGTAAGATGTCCGAACCACTATCAACCTCTTGGCACGCATTATCATTGCTAAGATTGAAGACGAGCAGCGTCTCATTGCCCTTTTTCAACGACTACTAGTTGTGCAGGACGAACCAAACTGGAGATGTCGCACATGGGTGGCGAGCGCCCTTGTCGAGATTGCGAAGGATGGGAAGTGTGTTGACTCCGCTGAGTTGAATTGGCAGAAGATCGAGGCGGTTGCGAGACAGTACGTAGGCCGCAAGACTGCTGGTGGTCGCTGTCAGTCTGCCGCAGATTTAATGAAACCGAAGCCTACCTGGGATATGCTTGAGAACAAGGAAAGTGTACCCTAGGAGCTAGCCATCGTGAGATGTCTCAGAACAGTCGTTGAAATGGTGTTTTAATAAGTCAACTCGTTGCTTAGTTATGTTACGATGAGCAGTGTGGATATCCATATGACTGCGTATTAAGCATCGCTCAATAGAGGGTCATTCACCCCACCATTTGTTGCGAACTTCTTCCATCTTGAGTACCTCAGGATGCGGTTTGTCGAGAATTTGATCAAGCTTGCACTGCCATTCCGTCTTCGTTACATTGCCAAACCATGCCGATGTATATTCCCAGTAATGCGGATACCACTCTGAGAACTCCCAGTCGATGATTTCAACCACGTTGCCCTCACGAACAAGGATGTTGAACGGATTTAGATCTCCATGGGTGAAACATAGCGGAGGAAATGGCCCATCCTGTTTGCTCATCATGTCCTGGAGGTCGTGCCAATCCTGATCTTTTTCCCGATCTTTGAGATCCTCGGGTTTCAGGTCTCGTCTGAGCCAAAAACGAAACTTTTGTATTGTCTTAAACGGGCCGAAACGTGGCTTGCCATAAGGTATGCGAGAGTCGTACAGAGATCCCCCAGCACAGCTTTCCACACCTGTACCTTGGAGAGGTTTCAAGGCGCGTAACTCCTGGAAAATCCTTTTTAACTGCGCAAAAACGCCCTCCATTATTTCTTCAGACATGCCACTCCAGACCTTCAGTAGTTTTTCACCTGGGATCCTCTCCATAACGATGTAGGCTCTATTGTTGTGCAAAAGGAACAGTAGACCTTGGGCACAGGAATGGCCGTATTTTCAACTAAGTATTTCATAGTTGCACCTTCCGTAAGATGGATACGACGCCCGGTTCTGACGATTTTTTGTTTCGAGATTGGCACGCAAGGGCCATCCCGTGAATAGAACCTCGCCGTAGTATGAAACGCTAGTCGTGTCAAGATACGACGAAAAATATTGTTGTTGATGGCGAGGTGTTCAGTGCCATCGTCTGAGTGTTTACGTTGTATCCAGCCTCAATATACAGATATGGCATCCTGCCACTGTGCGGTAAGTCGAGGAGAGTGCAGGTTCTTGTGCAAGATCTAGAGGGCGGAGGATAGCGAACATTTGGGCGTGTGGACTCGAGCCGCGCAGGCGCAGTAGGGCGGACGATAATTGGAACACGCGGCGCTTTCGTAGATGCGCAATGCAAAACCAGGCACAGAGAGAGTTGTCTTGAGCCAGGTATTTTTGCGCAAGGCCAGCCTCAAGGGCACGGACCATTCGGTTCGTGGATCGTGGAAGCGAGGATTTAGGCGCAACCAACAATTGCAAAATCGAAAGCACGCACATTTCAGCTTGGGGTTGTGAATTCAACAATGAGTATAGAGGGATCACCACGCTGACAAGGCCTGGGATGGTAAGCGACGGCAGCGTGGTGTGCGGCTGGCGTGGTGAAGGTGATGTAAGCGTGAAAGTGGTGGTGGGTTCTCATGCCTTTGGGAGGCGCTTTAATGTTTATATAGTTACACAATGATCGTCTAAAGGGCGGTCCTTGATTCGTGACTTTTGGCCCCGGTGCCCCCACCTGAAAATGCTCCCGTTATGGGTCGCTCACTATGACCCGAACGAAGTAAAGGTCCTAATTGATGAGCAATGCAACATCACTAGCTTGGACGACTGGGGACTTTCCACTCCGCTTCCATTTATTTAGATTTGGCTTCGGTCGCATCCACAGCTATGCTGGTGAATATACGGGCGGGGAATTGTGGGTGCTTGATGAATTCGAGGATGTAGAACGAGCTTTCTGGGATGAGCTGTTTGACGGAATGCCGGTAGAAATCCGTGAACAATTCGGAAAGCAAATTGACTCTGTCCAGGATGCCGAATTCTGAAAACCCTTTTAAACTCCAGGTCTTTCGAACAAGGGGAGGTTACGATTGGCTCAATTTCTAAGAAGGCTCTACCTAAACTTCTTACTTAACAAATCCCTTTTGGTAGAGGGAAAGAGCCCGCCTATAGAGACTATAACTAGGATAAGCCATGCCCTAAGATATCCTTAAGAACTCTACTGAATACAAAAACCCTTCGTAGTTCAATATGGATTAATCACCAAGTTACCCTGTCATTTAGGTCTGATTAGATACATGGCTACTCATTATTGCAAGCCCCTGCCTGCCAGTCCTGCTTTGCGTCAGTGCTGATATAAGAGATCTCAGGATTCATCATCGCGGGAAGTCATTAATTCTGGAGCTCTTTTGATCACGAACCCTGTTGAGTCATCTTCGGATCCTCGAGTTATTGATTACTATGAACGTGTATGCTCAGAATTTACGGGCTTATTGAAGTAGATAACCCTTCTATCTCATTTTGACCTTAATAAAAGATAAAAGGGTGGAAAAAGTGATGCGAGAATAGGAAGAAGTCGGAGTTCCAAAGGCTCCGGGGTGAATCAATACTTATTTACGAAGACTGATTCTAATGTAATACTACATATATAGGCCCAAGGAGCACTCTATTCTGATACTCTTCATAACGATACCAGAATACCTATGATTCGGATATCTCTGCCGATACTACAACAAAGAGCTCCCGTAAGTAGACAGGCTCTCTTTTGATTTACCAACTACTAAAGTCTTGTTTTAGATGTCCAAACGCCCCTATCGGAGTCTATTTTGCTTTTCGCGTTTTTATTTCGTGCTCATGACAATCGTTCATAAATCCGGTATACTTGAACTGTCCAGAAGAACAACGAACCCGGTTAACATGCAACATTCGTTATTGTCTGCCATTGAGCAGGTTAGCAACGAGCAAAACAAAGCCATCCGACGATTGTAGAATGGCACTTACAGCAATTGTAGCGTAATGTCTCCTCTGATCTTTGCTTTCAGTTCAACTTCCAGATCCAGATTCAAATCCAATCTCAACTTCAATTGATCATTTTTCGATGACTCCGGCTTCGCTTCGACAGTTTCGGTCACATTCTCGACAGCTCCAACGGGTGCGGTCGGAACGAGATCGCCAGCATTATTCAGTGGTCGCCCTAGTTCGCGGGGACTTTCTAAAGGATTGAGTACATGGCTTACGCGTCGCTCCTTGATCGTCCGTTGTTCCTGGCTGTCGTTTTCTGTGTGTTCGGGCCCGATGTCTTCATATTGACTTGGACCTTGTGACAAAGATGAAGCTCGACGGGTTCTTCTGTTGTGCCGCGTTCGCTGATGTTCGACCTGTGTTGCCGCTTCAGGTGAAGGAGATTTTGGGTCATTCTGACTGTGGTTGGGGGTATTGCTATCCGATTTTGGGGTGGGATATTTTGATTTGGTAGAGACAGGGGCACCATTGATTCCATTTTCATACACACCATTCGTGTCTGGCTTTGAGGTCGGACCCTTTCTCAATTTGGGTGGTTTGCGTTTCGGTAAGGGACCGCCCTTAACGTTACCGTTCGCGCTTCCAACATCATGCTCAGATTGTCTTTGCATTATGATTATGGGAGATTGTACTGTGCGAAGTTCAGTCTGGAATTAAATCAATTATCGATCAATATGAATAGATCAGCTCCGTTTGCGTATATTTTACCCTGGTGACGTCAGAATAGCTTCCTGCAGGACAGATCTTGACACGAGCGATGAGTGGCGCGGAAGTAGCGAGACGATACAGAGCTCTATACTCAGTGCAAGAATAGATGCGTCATATAACCCTGGTCTGAGGAGCTCCCGCTCGAAGCAGCCCAATGAGGATATTGTTCAAAGATCCATCCATAGGCTTCGAAGAGGTGCAAACGTCATGAACCATCGGAACCGTGGATACTAGGACTAAGGTTTGGATTCATTATATTATAATTAATTTGCGTTTTCATTTGAATTACATGCCTGTTGATATCCTTGGGAAACTGATTTTTCTTGGTACAGAAATTAATATGAATACCATCAAGACCACGCAGGAAAGGCCAGCACTACAAAAAGAACCAGATCATTCGAGTGAAGAGAATGAATTCGATTCCTACACAGATTCCGAAATTGATCAAGAATCCAGCGATTATAAAAACAGAGTCAAGAAACTGAACAAGCCAAAACCCAATTATATAACAACTTCTGAGATTCAATCAATCGAAAGAGAGACTCTGCCACAAAAGCTTCGATCTACGCCTACGAGAACAATTAGTCGAACAGAGAAAAGCTCAGCAAACCCCCAATCCAGTGGGATAGCGCCTATACAACCCATAATTGAGCGACGAACAAGCGTGCAAACGATTGCGAACGATGATAAAACTGCATTGAGTCTTAGGCTTGAACTGAATCTTGACATTGAAATTGAGTTGAAGGCTAAGATCCGAGGGGATTTGACATTGAGCCTTCTGTTAGTATTTTCGTCAACATTCCTCGAAACGTGTCATATTAAAGATATACAGCAGTTGATCTGGGACGTGATGGAGAACGAGCGATCGAATGTGCCTATATGAATAGGCTGGTTGAGCCTGGTCTTTAGCGGGAGATTCATCTAGTCTTTTGGCTTTTAAATGTTGGCAATTGCGACCGCCTTGCTCAATATTGTACACTTGAAATCACATTTTATCGTAATATTTTGACGTGTATCGAGCAAGACCTACGACCTATTGTTGTATGGACTCCCGAAAAGTCGAGAACGAATTTTGTCTGGTGACTCCTGGGCGAAACTGATAGACTAAGCTACTAAAGCTAATTATGTCGACCGAAAAGGCTGTGTCATTCCATATTAATGTAAAAGGCTTTGCAATGCAACGCCGACTACTACCTAGATAGCCTTGTTCCCGAAGCCCTCCCGCGAGCTTCTAATGTCGCTTTTGTATCAGTTTTATCTAGCATCACTAAGAATGATGATTCAATGGTGGGTGGACCATTGAATATCGTCTATATCTGATGGAAAGTGGCCATTGTAATGTTTAGTCCTCGGTGTAGCGGGTCAAATGGTAACCAAAGAATGATGATATCATGGAGGATTTGGTATCGTACCGACCACGATAGAATCTATATTTCAGATTTCACAACCTAATTATTGGCAATTTCGAGTTTAATGAGTCCTTTCTAGTGAATATTAAGTCAACTCTACAAGAAGACATATCAGTGCAACGAGAGCTGGCAGCGGAAGCTTCAATCGCACAGCAACCAGTTAAATGCAACCGCAAGCGAAAAACCGATTGTTCTCTGCGAAGAAGCAGTCGCTTCCCCCTGAAAAGTCCATGGGAAAGAAACCAGCTCCTCAAAGTCCTCTGCCAGGAAAAGCTGCGTCGGATATCCAATCTCCAGGACCAGAGAACCCTATCACCAGACCATTCCCCCCAAGAGCCCTCAAAAAGAATCTCCCCAAGTTGCCAAAGAAACCGGGAAGCAAAAATTTGTCTTCTGGGTTCCAAGAGAAAAGAAACTATGGAAAAGAAATCCCCGCAACCGAGAAACCTGAGGTTGCAAATGAATTGAAAACGGAGGATTTGGAATATGAGCAGACAATGCCCATACAAGAGCCCACCCAAGGGCCTGAAGAGACGCTGAATCTCACAGAAGACACGCACGAGGATATACAACAATTATCCGAGCATCAGAGAAAATTTGAATCAAAAGAGCGAGGTTCAGCTTCTGGGTCTGGCGAAGGTTCCATGTTCCAAAAGGAAAATTCCCCTGCTTCCCGCCCATCAGACTCTGCAGAAACTGCCAAGGACGTGAACGGCCGGACCGTGTCTGCTCGATCTCAAGGTACCTACGATGTTCAGGATGGCATTCCAGGTTTAGCGAAGAGATTCAAATCAGATGGAGGTGATCTTGCAACTAGGCTCGAGGAGAAAGTTCCCAATCATCCGACCAAGCTGTCTGACTTGGAAGGTCTCGAATTAATTGGGAAGAGACAGATACTCGATGATTATGGCAAAGCGGTTGCAACAATTGTTGAGGGTGAGCCCAGTGACCTTGTCGGCCAGGTGGTTGGGGCAGATGGTGAAATATTAGACGAGGATGGTGATCTCATCGGCCGCATTGAATTGATCAGCGAGGAGACACCAAAAGAAGCTGATGCAGTCAAAGAAGCGGTCGCTATGGATCATCTCCCGAGCTTGCAGGACCTCACAAACTTGCCAATCGGAAAGGACGGTGCAGTCAAGGACAAATATGGGAGACTCTTAGGTCACCTCATTGAAGGTGACCCTGATGATTTACTCGGCGAGACTGCCAATGAGAATGGTGAAGTGCTAGATGAAGATGGTGACTTAATCGGGCGGGTCGAGCTTACCTCTCTGATCCAAGTTAAAGAGAAGAGTGATGAGGCTGAGCATACTGGTGCCGAGTCACTTTCCTCGGCTGCCATGCTTCAAGACAGAGAAACCAGCAAAGGCAGCAAAACTCTAAATGATGAAGGCCATCATCTGGGTCGAGTCTTAGAAGGTCAATCCGCCAAGACTTTGTCAGAAAAAGTCCCAGATGAGCTCGGTGAAATTTTAGACTCTACTGGAGAGGTGATTGAACAAGTCCACCCAGTTCCAGAAAAAGCTGCAAATGTTTCCATGCAAGAGTTCGAACAGAAAACGGTACCCAGTGGCAGGGAGGATGGTTCCACAGAGGATGGACCGGAAGAAGAAAATTCAGACATGAACGCGCCAAAGAAAACCTCCCAGGAATTACCTGATATCTCTACGCTAGAAGGACTGAAGTGTAACAAATTTGGAAACATTGTCGACAAAGAAGGTTATCCTGTTGGCGAACTGATTGAGGGAAATCCAAAAGAGCTATCTCAAGGAGGGTTGAAGCTTGATAAACGTGGCCAGTTTTGTGACAACCGAGGCAATATCTTGGGTGTGGCGCAGGTCGTTCGAAATAAGGACGAGGGCCCATTCGCAGAATTTGATGATCTCGTCGTGATTGAAGATGGATGGGTTGCAGATGCAACCGGGGCTCGAGTAGGCCAGGTTGTCGATGGTGAGGTTAAACAGCTCCTTGGCCGAGCTGTCGATGACAATGGAGATATTCTAGATAAGCGAGGAAATCCCATTGGACATGCTGAGCCCTGGCAAGAGCTAGAGCCGGAATTGGAGCCGGAAGAAGAAGTCGACTTGTCTACCTTGAACGGGCTGTTTCCCAACAAGCTTGGTTTTGTCACGGGACCAGGTGGCGTTCCAGTACTTCGAGTTATGGGAGGGGACTTGAAAAAGCTCGTGGGTGGGATCATCGACGACAAAGGCCAGCTGTGGAACGACGATGGGGATATTATCGGCCGAATTGAGCCCATGTCAGAAGATGAACGCAAGACTCCACGGCTTTTCAGCGACCTGGGGAACCTGGCGGCCAAGGAAGATGGGCTTGTTAAAAATGAATATGGCAATGTGGTTGGAAGGCTCATTGACGGAAATCCTCGGCAATTGAAAGGAAAGGCTGTAGATGATGATGGTGATGTTATGGATAATCGAGGCAATGTGACAGGGCACGCCGAGCCATACACTCCATGCGAAGAGTGCGAACAGCCAGAAAGAGACTTGTCCGAACTCGAAGGGATGACAGTCAACGAATTCGGAGAAGTGGTCGACGAAACGGGTGCAGTGGCTAGGCGACTCATCTCGGGTAATCCCAAGAGGCTGAATGGAAAGAAGGTGGATGGAGAATGTCAGCTATGGGGTGATGATGGGATAGTGCTCGGCAAAGCTGAACTTGTTCCTGTCGATGAGCGAGAGAAACCTGAAGGGTTGTCTTATGGGCTTGACGGTTTGACTGCGACAAAAGATGGATCTGTGACAAATGCAACAGGAGAAGTGGTCGGCAGGCTGATCGAGTGGGACCCATCAAAACTTGCTGGTCGTGCTGTCAATGAAAATGGTGCGATTGTGGACAAAGTGGGAAATTCCATTGACCGCGCCGAGCGATGGATCTCAGAGGAAAAGCCACGCGATAGAAATCTTATGAGAGGCCAAAAGGTCAATCGAAATGGCGAGGTCCGGGACGAAGATGGCAAGTTGATGGGCAGATTTACTGTGGGTAACATCAAAGCGTTGGTGGATAATACCGTGCATGAAAATGGGAAACTCATTGATAGCAACGGCAATAAGATTGGCGAATGCACGCTGGAGGATAATCTGCCAGAGCCTGATGAGCCTGAAGAGCTCGAGGAGCCCGAAAACTTACCGGAAGAAGCCGAAAAATGGGTCAAAGAAGATCATGACCGGGATTTAGTCAAGAAAATATCAAGCGTTGTACAAAAAACACTGGAGTCGGTGGAGCCGCTTTGCAAGCAAATCACAGAGGTAAGCCACTCTTACTATATCCTCAATGTTGATAGAAGGTTGTTAACCTAATATAGCATCTTCAAATAGCAGAACTTACACCACAAGACGATTTGGATGAAGAGAAACTTGTCCAGACCGTGAAACCTCTGGTTCAAGATGCTAGCAGCATATTACAGAAGTGTAAAAGTACTGTTCGTGCGCTTGACCCCGACAGTTCCATTGCGGCATCTGCAAAGGTCCACACTTCTTCTGACGAGGCGACGCCGGATGAATATCAGTTAGCAGACTTGTTGAAGATATTGACGCAGAATGTGTCTACTACCATGGAAAGTGGCCGTTGTCAAATCGCAAATATGCCTCGCGCGAAGAAAAAGCTGAATCAGATGTGGTCGCTGCTTTCCGATGCGCTGTTCCAAATTATTTCAGCAGTCTGCCTGCTCCTGAGCGGTGTACTCGGACCTGTAAACAACATTTTACGCGAGCTTGAACTTGGCGAGCCTGTTCATGGGCTTCTCGGTGGTCTTGGACTCGATCAACTGGCGAGACTTTAAATTGTCTATTTTCCGACTTCCCACATTTTTGAAGTAGCTCTTCTTTTCTTGTATTGGCTCTAATTTTATTTACACTGTATATTCTGTCCGTCTCCTATAAAAGCAACATCCCAGGCGAAAAAGTGACCAGTGAACTAGGCCTTGGTGCAGACGTAGTGGTCAATCCACAGGTTAGTGCAAGTGGCGTCAATCTGGGTGTTCCAGGAGCGGAACTGGGCAAGAGTGGTTTTTGCAGCGAGTTCAATGGACTAACAGCTGTCACTAGACCTGACCTTGTAATAGGTCTTGCAGGTGCTCACGATGCCAGGCATCTGGGCATCTAGGCCTCGGGTCCAGTGGACGTCGGCTGGGGGGTTGAGGCGGTAGTGGTGGTACCTGGGACGTGCACGCAGACGTAGTAGTCCAGCCAAAGGTTGGAGCATGCTAATAGAATGCGTTAGTGGGTGGGTATGTACAGAAGGGGAAAGATGGTAAACATACTGCTGTCAACGCTGGGATTCCAGGCCTTGAATTGGGCATCGGTGATGCCGTACTTCTTATCAATCGTATCACATTGGTCGCCGGATGCGATGAGGTGGAAACCATTACAATTGGACGGCGTGCCAGGCTGGACAGGCTCTTACTGGGAGGCAGTGGTTGTCGCAGCCTTGGTTGTTTTAGTGGTTGTCGCAGCCTTAGTTGTGTTCGCTGGGTCGGCGGTGACAGTGCCAATAACACAGTAGCTTTGACCGGCTGTAAGAGTTGGGCATGAGACGCCGGGGTTCAGAGCTTGGAAGTCCGCAAGAGTCGAGCCCCGGAATGAAGCGAAGGACGAGCAAGTATCACTACTGCTGACTGCAGTGGAGAATTTGCAGACGGCAGCGGCAGAAACCAGCTGGGGGACCAGTCCCAGGACAACGGCGGCCTTCAAACCCATGACTTGGATGAATAGAGAGAAGAAGATAATGAAGGGAAACTGATGCTGCTTCTTGGATTTGCGGTTCCTGATCTGCTTTTATGCCTGTACCTGAGGCTCCACGTGCTACTACAGGTCTAATTGCGGATGCAACCTTTGCATCAGACTGGCTATACAATATCCACTGTCTACTTCTTTTGTCCTAAGGCGTCCTGCTTTTTTTCTCGACCACTTTATAGCAATATGGAGAATTCGGACTCTATGCTGGAACCGGCAATTGGTGGCGGACGGACCTGACCGGCCTCACTGCCAAGACAAACCTGAGCATTTGTAGGATTGTTTACGGGCGTATTCCGTATCGGATGCAGCCTCAGTAGAGTTTTGCCAAGGAAGCCCTGGTAAGGTCACCCAGTCGGAGATATTCTACCTATGATATGCGGGTTCGGGCCGTCCCGGATCAGCCGGGGCCCCATCAATTTCAACGTTAAGCAAGAAACTTTCTGCAGTAACAACGGGTAGGGGCTTATGTTTGGCCCCCAGTTCTTAGCAAGGGGGCCAAAGGCTGCTTCATTTGCCCCTACATACTATTGGCTACTAGTGTACATATATATTTCATCAAGACGGAATAAAACCTTAGAAGCAGAGCAAGATTACATTATTACATTGCGAAGGATCCCAACAGCTAGCGTACAATATGAGTGGCAAATGCCCGTAAGAGCAACAACCTTGACATCAAACAAGTCTCTTGAGAGACAGTCGAGCAGAATCATGCGAAATAGTAAGTGAGCAGGGTACACATCGCCAAGATCCATACGCCACCCATCGGAAAATGCGCCTTGGGGGCTGCATTCCTAGGAGACGGACTTGGGCAAGTTATTCCAGTTCGAGCTCGCTCACATGCAGTAGAAGTCATGTCCGCCGACATAATTGCCGCGGCTGATGAATCAATCTTGACATTGCAAGGATTGGTAGGGGCAGGCAAGGTAGTCGGATAGGCCAGACAGGAGGTTCCGTAGGAAGTTTCTGTTGCTGGGACCTCAGTAAGATCCAAGTAATTAATAGCCTGAGCTGGCGATTTGTCGCAAGTGTCGTCGTAAGTGGCAGCGACGAAATCCGCCGGCGAAGTTCCATTCTTGGTGGTGAAATAGAGAGAGGTGAAATTGCCAAAATTTCTTATCTTCTCCTCATCGATCCTCTCGTCAAGAAAGCATCGATCAATAGTGAGACTCCATCTAAACCGGAAGGTTCCCTCAAAGTTGTACTTCGGTGTACCCCAGGAAAGGAAGTGGGGGCTACTAGTATCGTTGATCCCCGGGCTACTAGTATCGTTGATCCCCCATAGGTTGATATCATTGGTAGTACTGAAGTTTCCCCCGACCTGCTCAACAATGTATCTGATTGTTGGATGGAAGCTTTTCGCGAGGCTTGGGTTTTGAACGGCGAATATGATCGGAAAGATTGGCGATGGGGGATATGTTTCATTGCGCGGCAAGATCAAATCCACTTCAAATAGCTTTGTAGTGTCGACCGCCCAACAGCATAGGGTTTGCGATATAGCCAGCAACAGCCCAAGGAAATACATTGTGCTGTGAGATTCTAGTACTAATGCGAGATGAAAATGTAGGGGGCCAAAATATGGCGAAAATGAGATGTTATGTTGTCTGAGCCCCTAAATTTTACAAAGGTGAATTCTGGCAAGGGTCTTCACTAGCAATAGTTGCTTGTAGATGCAGCCAAGCCCTCGCTTGTGAGTTTCAGCCTATAGTCACTCCACATAAGTTTGGGTCAGTCACGGGGCCGTTCCCAATTCGGAATTCAACATTAATGCGCTTTATAGGGCTGTGAAGTTAAATGAACATCATAAACATAAGCAGTATCTTTTAATATACTCGCTATAATTAATTCCCACTGCTTTGATGTCAGAACTGCTGTAGTAGTAATTGTTTAAAATAAATAGCTTAGTCTGGTGGGTCTACTTCGTACAAACGGCAAATAGCTGGGGTTACCTGATGCCAGTGGATTCAAACTTCTGCGATTGAACTATAGTTCTTGGCATTTTTTCCCTCTGTTCCGCTAAGCTTGGCAAAAAAGTTCTCCAATTTCCTAAGGCCCCCTAGCCCTAGTGACTAGGCTGTCACCAGGGTCCTTCGAATGGGGCCAAAATTTCAAGAGTATCTTCATTTCCTGGTAAAAGACCTCATACATGTATTCTCACCAAAGCTCATCTCGAAATTGTCTGAAGCTTTGTTCCTGTCCGCTTCTTCATTTTTTGTTGTTGTTGTGTGTTGTGTTTTTTGATTTCTTTCTTTCTTTCTTTCTTTTTTGTTTTTTCTTTACATTTGCTGTTGTTGCAAGCCTACTGAGTATCTAAAAGTCAAAACCGACACAGCAAGGCTGTGTATATCTGAATAGACGTGGCTGTATGAACGTGTTTTGAAGGGACGTGTTTTGAGTAGACCTCGCTGGGCTTACCTGTGCACATACCCATTACAGTCAGCCCCATGTGAGGAGACAATATCGGAACACATTGACAATAGACAATAATGTGACAATTAGACAAGAAGAAATGAACTCGCAAAGTGGGAGATGGAAGACAGAAGGGGTGTGTGGTTGAGTTATCTGGACGATAAATGTAAGTATAAATGTAAGTATAAAGAAAGGAAAAAAAAGAGACAAAACGGGCAAGCAAAACATACAATTCTTGTGATGGATGATGAAAATGACACGTGCCAGGCACGCTGAAGGAATATCTTCTCATGTGGTTGAGTTCCAGGGTTGTCTGAAGGATGAATGTCAGTAAGGAAAGAGAAAGAAAGTCGGCAGTGGATGGCACAACTGACCAGTCATGTAATGACTGTGGACGTGAAAAATGCCGACGCCAATATGTCAAGGACATGACGGTACCAGGCTTCATCTCATCATATGTGGATGTAGAAGGTAGAAGAGGTGATGAGGCTCAAGCTGATAAAGGAAAACAACAGTTGATGATGGAAGACCTGATGGAAGATGAAGGGTTGATAAAATATTTGATGAATTGTTTTGTTGGATCGTATTGGGAAGTGAGGAGATAAAGAAGGAAAAAAGAGAAAGAAGAGGAGGGAGGAAAGGAGCGGGTATCTATACCCCAAGGGTCTAGAAGTACCTATGTACCTAGCTTGTCCTTCAGGTGATCCCCAGTTCTCAACTTCCCCTCATCAACTATTTGTTCAGCAAGTTGAACCCAATTCCCACGGTTATTGAGGAAGTAGTGCAGTCCTGGATAGTCCAGATTTGCAAAGAGAAGATACAACGGTGTATACACTCTATAAGCTTACTCCAGTGGATAATGTCATTGTCACTCCCACGCATCAACCTAGACGTTTTTATTGTATCCTGCTCTGACTTTGTAAAGCTGAGTTTCATATAAATGCACCATGTTGCCCACTGAAGATAAAGGATGTTGAGATACAGTAAGATGTATGGATTGTTAAGGTTATGAGCTAAACTGTGTTTGGTATGGCATGCGTGCACGGTCCTTGTGTCATACAGTACAACCTTGGCACTTAGTGCCTACCTCACTCAGCATATCGGGCGTTTCTATGAAGTCGCTATATGTGAGCTACTGATAGTGGTAATTGTAGTTAATCATACACCTAGGTTGTTTGTGATGCTTTGGCAAGCCAGAGATCACGAACTGCTACAAGTCTGCCATTGCGTTCAAGTAAATGTATATCAGGTCTGAGATTTTACATGGGCATTACAATGTCCCCATGTGGGGATTTTGGATATAAATAGAATGAAGACAAAGCAGTGGCATAAAGGACCACATACTCACATCAGACTGTAACTATGTTGTAAACTAATATGATCATCTGATCCCCAGCTTTGCTTTATTCGCCCGCGGACCCTTTGATCGACCTTCTTAGGTGTGATCTGTTGGCCCTCCAGCTTGAAGCCACCGGTCTAGATCGCGGGAAGGTGCACATCAATTTTCTGACCAATCAAACCATCGAATACAGAGCGAAATTCCCTCTCCTTTGACGGCGTCGTTGTTAAGCTGGATCGCGTGGAATTCTTGATCACAACGAGTGGGCTGGATAATGGAAATGGTCCCCCACGCCACCATGTACAGAACCAAGATGGATTGTGAATGGGGTGTACCCCGTAACGAGTAGAAGAACAACAGGGTCGAGGATGTGATGTGGTTACTATTTAGGCTCTTTTCATAACCCTGACGGCAGGATAGCATAGAGGACTACTGAGCGACATTCGGATTTAACTCAATAAGGCCGTCTGCAATCTCTATCTACGTTTTGTTGATATGTATTCCTCCCGATCATCGCTCGAAGCACAGCCGACCGGACAAAGGGTGTATGGACATCAATGGAGGCGAAGTTATGGGAGGAGAGTGGATGCCTACAGATTTCTCGAGATCCTATGCCACCCGCTGAGTGGGTAACCCGACAAGCTTTCATCCAGGTGTCCTGTTCTGCGCCATTAGAGATTCGTCAAAGACCGTGAAATATCGAAGAAAAAATGTTCAATGAGGTGAGATATCTGGGCACCGTCCGCCCCTGTTCGGCGGTGCGTGCTCTGACGGATGTGGGTACACCTCGTCGGCGCTGCAGCCGTGACAAACACATTGAGTGTCGAAAGCAGGTGCCATATGGGCAACGACGACATGTCCACCTTGCACGTGGCTGTGCTCAGAGGTGTCGAAATGACCCTGAAGCTGATCCAGGAAGGCTGGCACCGGACACCGGGGAGGACGACTAGATGAAAACAGCGGTGAGGAAAACGGGCAGGATATCAAAAAAACTGATCAAAGGACCAGGCACGCAGACACTACAATACTGCAGAGCAGAGGTCAGAGAAAAGCCACATCTTCGATCATGATACAGATGCGTGAAGAGTACCATTGTGTTTTGTGACTCACCGATATTCATTTGCGATTGAATGCCCGGCGTTCGAATAGTTGCGCACAGATCTGTTCGGCGGACTGGGCGGCCGAGGAATATCAGCGAGTCTTGGTGAGAGGGGGATGCTTACCCGAGACGTCCGCAATTCTTTTCGCCATGAATTTTATGATGAAAATGGGGCTCTTAGGGTAGTTTCACTTAGTGGACTCTGTCGCCACGGGCAAAGAAAAAGACAGTACAATAGCGACCGCCGTTGGGGGTAGTGCACGATCACAAACAACAGCAGAAGCATCACCGACACGGAAAAACCAAGCAAATTAGAACGCAGAGATGTTGAGAGACCGAGGGAGCACCATACAGGGGATAAACCCTGGTCCGCGCTATCACTCTCAGCATCAAGTTCACCAACCCAAGTGGCTAGTTCTGTAGGCGGTATCAATAACGGGGACGAGGACGAAGAGAAAGGCGGCGGAGGGTGAGGGCCAGTGGATGCATGAAGACGATCTTTTCCTATATTGGGACATGTGGAAACGCTGGGAAATAGCTGGGTTTGGTGATCTGAGATTGACGGAGGAGGCGATGCCGGTGAAAGGACTGAGGGAGAAGTGCAGAGAAACAGATGTGGGCAATTGAGCAATTCAGGCCAGAATGCGGGTTGTGGAGAAAATCTGGAGACTGCAGTATCAAGATAGACCTGCTCCGGCCAGCTTGATTCAGAAGACATGTTCTCGGACTTTGGGTATCTGTATCCAAGCTCTCCATCTTATATACCGCATACAGGATGGCCATGCAGCTAGGAAAGAGCCACCAGCTCGAACGAGACATTGTTTTGTCTAAACTGTCGGGATGATATGAGTGAACTTGTTCGACATTGCAGTATTACCTGTCCAGTCGACTTCACAGGATGTGTTGGCAAGTTCTGTCATCATTTACAGATATACGGTATATCCCATTTCAGTCCTCTTTTTCCGTTTTCAAGCATCTTGACTCTTACAATGAATGTTAGTCATCATCTCCTTCTCCTTGTTCGGGACCTTCCGAGGTCGGGACGATCCGAAGATGACTCAGCAGGTCTCGACGCGCGGGCAATGAAGAATCCTCATAGAGGTTCTGGTGAGACAATTGACTATCATTAATTCGCATGACTTCCAATCGCCCCATACCCATCTCTGGGGCGTGGGAGAATCCCGATGCCTACATTAAGGCCCTCCTACGCTTCTCTACTACGTCGGTGCTCTTCATGAATTTGTGTGGTGGCGTGCATATGGTCGACTTTCTGACACGGGAGCCTGACCTCTATACACAAATCCTTCCAAATGAGTGGATATCGTTCTTTGAACAGCATGATGTCCAAGATATCATCCGTCTGCTTCTCAGAGAGGACATTGAGCACTTACGAGGCGCCGGCGAGCATTCCGTAGACCAAAGCAGCCGTACTTGGAATGGAGGAGCATTCCCTCCCCAGAGCCTCTTGGACTACATTTTTGACATCCGTCAACTCACAATCCAACGAGAAATGCCTATCTCATCTTTAAAGATGGTCGAATTACCAAAGCAAGTTGCTATGCATATGAACAAAAAAAAAGTACACGAGGTTCAATGCTTTTCTCAACATGTCGCATCTCTGTCAGACACTGTCAGTAAGCGTCGCGGTGAGCAAGTCAGTCATATTGTGGATTTTGGGTCCGGGCAGAACTATCTTGGACGGACACTGGCCAGCTCGCCTTACTACAAGCATATCATCGCAATTGAGCGTAAGCACCAGTACATTAGCGGTGCCAAGAGCATGGACGTTCGAGCCAGATTGGCAAAGAACCCGAACGCTCGAAATTCTCAAAAGGACAAAAGTTCATGCGATAACTACCGCGGAACTCCGGAAGTGACTGTTCCTGCGACGACGGACATCTCCCAACCAACGATAGAGGGCTTGCACGTTGCAGATGTTCCTGTTTTCAAGATGCTGGGCGATATTAGCCTTCAATCTGACGAGCTACTCGGATCCCCCACTCAGAGCCCATTACGAGAAAAGATGTCCAAGCCGGAGATCCATACCCGCGGGACTCTCAGCTATATTGAGCATGAAATCCAAGATGGCCACTTAGAGCCCGTAATCGACCACATCATCCATCCATCCCCTGCTGGAGGTTCTGGTGGGAAGGAAAAAGAAGAGAGCGATGCTAGACTGATGGTCGTTTCCCTTCACTCTTGTGGAAATCTTGTTCACCATGGCCTGCGATCTCTGATACTAAATCCTTCGGTTGTGGCTGTCGCTATGATCGGCTGTTGCTACAATTTGTTGACTGAACGCCTTGGTCCAACCACACATGACCTCCCTATTCTTCAGTCTCTCCACCCTCGTCTTAAAGAGACTGGAGCGTCATACGATCCGCACGGGTTCCCTATGTCTAAATATTACGAGAACTACCGAAGTCCCGGAGCAACGAGCGGCGTCAAGCTGAACATCACAGCTCGTGCACTAGCCGTGCAAGCTCCATACAATTGGGGTGTCAATGACAGTGAAGTTTCGTTTACCCGTCATTTCTTCCGTGCTCTTCTCCAGCGTATCCTCGTGGATCGAAGTATTCTTCCCAAGCCCTCTGTGCCGGAAGACGTTTTCTCTGACGGGACTCACCCAGAAGCTAGCACCAACTCTATTATCATCGGAGCATTGCCAAAAGCTGCCTTTAAGTCCTTTACTGCATACGTTCGTGCTGCGACGATCAAGATGAGTCGAGACCCGATATATGGTCTCCAGGTGCAGGAGCATATTGCTACCCTCACTGATGAGGAAATTCACTGCTACGAGACTCAGTACCTCCACACGAGGGAAAAACATGAGTATTGTGTGGAGCTTAATGGCTTTCAGTGCCCAGCTCATCGAGGCTATCATTGTTGTTGATCGGTGGCAATTCCTCCGTGAACAGGACTCAGTCGAAGACTGCTGGATTCAGCCAGTTTTTGACTACAGGGAGAGTCCGCGTAACTTGGCGGTCGTTGGACTAAAAAAGTGATGAGTTGTGGGGAAACCTTTAAGAAAGTGCCAGGTTCTGAAGAATATATCATGCGACGTAAAATAGTAGGATAGAGTTTCACATTCGACTTTAGTGCCGCGATCGCCCATGATATTGACATTGAAGCTGCTAAGTACTTTCAGCTTCATTCTCCGGCTGAGGAGAAATAAATTTCTCTTCTTCCTCAAGAGCTTGCGCCCCTCGAAGCGCCCCCCATTTTACACTGTCGCAGTTTGCAAAAAAAACAACCGCCGGAAAGAGCTTTAAGAAGACCAGAGAAGATATTGTTGGAAAGACAAACAGACAAGCATAGATAGCATGCGAAGAAGGTGGACGAATCGGCGAAGAACTCTTTCCCCAATGATCCAATGCATCCGCTGGAACTAGAGTACCTTGTGGCAGATCGACGGTACACCATGAAAAGGAACGACCTCTGATGTCCGAGAATGCTCAGCGGTCTACTCCCAGTGAGGAACCTCAGGATAATAAGTATGAGGGATATGCGCCCTGCAAACTTCATCGCCCTGCTGAATACAAAAAAACAGCACTATGAGCGGCCAACCGCCGCCACAAAATCATCTGTAGATGGCATTTGTGACCGGCATCTGAAGGATATCGAATTTACATTTGGTAATCGGATGTTGCAAGTAACCGGCATGATCCTAAAAATCCATGTTTCAGCACCTCAAGGGGCGTGTTCAAAATTACTACGGTTCTACAATAAGCGACTTGAGCGATTTCCCGCTGACAGTGAGCTCCCGCGGCCTGAGGAGATTGCATCAAGAAAGGATATGGGAAGACTTGCATGAGACACGCTTAAGAAGGCACAGGTGATTGTTGGAAGTCCTGCTGTTGAGTCACAGTCTATGATGTATTGCCATTTGCATTCAATCTTCGCGGCGATCGATGATGGAGGTATGGCGAAGAAGCCAGATTTGCTTCCAGTCCTCACATACTACCTCCCTCGTGAATTCGGTGTATTTGGGGATCCCAAGCAACTGGGCCCCACGATCATCGCAACCAGAGAGGAAATCCATTCTGAGGACAGCTTACCGTACCTCTTCTCGCCCGCTTGATCACAACGAAACCGAAAATTTCCGCCTCAACGTGCAACGGAAATTGACGACAACATTTACGCCTTGGTCAACTAGCTCTTTTACAACAATTGGCTGCGTTGGTAGTCTCGTGACTTTCTTGATTCCGAGCATATTGCACAACAATTTGAAGAACACAACTAAAACAAGTACATATGACCCAGCCGTACATGTTGAGGACTCATTGGGAAAAAATCTGAGAAAACGACAAGGCTTCGCTTTTGAATGGGGTAGAACCAAACGTCGTGTTGGGCTTTCTCGGGATCAGATCTTACGAGCAGCACTTTCTGTAAATAAAGACTTCATGATTGATCTCAATTTAAATTTTGATGAAAGCAATCTCTATATTGAGTGACCTGAGAAATGATAGCTTGGAGGAACACTGAGATAAACAAGAATCTAAACACCCATCCCGCCAAAAAAAAAGTGTTCAAAAACAGGCTAAAAATATCAAATAAACCACCACCCCAGCTTTCCGAAATCAAAAGCTTCACGCCACTTAGTCGATAGGTTTTCCGTGTATAGGTTGGGGCTGTTGAGCCTCGATATGAGCCTCCTTCCCTGACCTCATAAAGGCAGAGCCAATAAGGTTAAGAGGATTGTTGACGCGAAGATACATGCAGTAGAACAAAGTCAATCCCACGACCACGATCTCATCCATAGCGGCGGTATCAAAAGCCTTCGGACCCAAAAGCTCGATTTTGGCAATTTTCTTGAACGCCCAGACATTGACGGTGAATCTCGCGACGGGGATTTGGTTTTCATCGCAGCAGATAAAGTCCCATCCTTTGAACCCGGTTTTGCTCGCCCAGGTCATTTTGGCGGGTTCGCCTGTATGCGAGAAAGTGTGGGACATGTGAGTGTAGCTCGTGCGCAGACGACTCTGGGCGCGAAGTGAGCCTTTGGACCCGTGGAGCTCGAAGTCGGGACTGATGGAGATGGCATGGACAGTGCCAGTTCCGATTTGCCGATTTTCTTCCAGCGACTTTATCTTTAGATGAGGGGCTAGCATTCCACAGGATACATCGTAGACTTGCTTCGGGTTCTCGTTTTCGGGGTCGAATTCGGTAATGGATATGCGAAACTTTGACCACAAGAAATCGACTGCCAGGGAGCGGGACTGAACAGCAGCCATGTGGGCGGGGATGCTTTCGGAGGATGAATCCATTGTATGAAATTGAGGAGTTTGATAGACAATATTGTTAATGGAAGGGAAGATACTGTGAGGAGCGCGTGCTTTGAATAAATCTAAGTCGAGGACGAAGCTGGAATATATAGTTTTTGGTGCCACGAAATGGTATCTGTAGTTGTTTCAAGCATCTAGCTGAAAATGGACATACGGGCCGCCCGCCAGCTGCGGGATAAGCTGTAGTGACAGTTCATTTGTGAAGAGCATGGGCAGGGGGTTCAAGCCTGTGGCGAAGATCTAGCCCTGCCACATAAGTGGAACTGAGCTTAGAAAGTTGAAGACGACAATTCCCGTAATCACCCTGATAATCAAAACTGAATACGAAGTTCGAAGGCCAAAGTGACCAAAGGATCGTCGGTACTATGCAGGTGGCACTAACTAGATCGGGTGCAATGTTGCGCCCGACCAATTAGCTTGATGCAACAGCATCTTATGATATCATCGGGCATTAAGAGTGAAGTATAGCATGGTGTACAATATTGGAAAAAAGTTTCAGGCGATAAGAAAATATGCTTCTTAGCCTTCGAATCATTAGCTTATAGTAGTCGACATTCGAGATGAGTCGCGCAGTGTCATTGAGATTGACGAGCGATGCTCCAAAGCTCCATTAAATGGTAGCAAAAAAGAAACCAGAAAACCTAGTTTTCATGGTCCATCAATGATCTTCACGGGTGACTGAAACTTATGAACTCTGATTTCTCCTGCCACGGTGATTGAAACTTGCCATTCCTGAAAGTTCGTATGTTTGATGCAGTAGGTGGTAAATTCTGGGGTGATTTTACCACCCACGGTCAAAAGCCGAGTCCCAGATGATAATCCCCTTGAGGAGAAAGTAAGCTGAAATGTATTTCCGAGATGAACAGGCTCGTTGCCTTTTCCCGTAGATATCGTCAGGGGGGACTCCATATTCGTGAACAGCTTCACTAGACCCGTGTCCAGGGAATTGGCCTCGACATGATCTCGGTAACTGTGCCATGCACGACTCGGTGCTCTGAATTCGGTACATTGACGAATAGCCAATTTGATCCAGTTTATTTTGAATTCTTGCGGCACATCTTTTATAACATCGGTTGTCGGTTCTCGCCAAGGCGTTATGAGTAATGAGACCGGGAGGGGCTGTGAATCGCCAAGCTGGATCACGAGAGGCATAGTGAGTTCGACGTAGTAAAAAAGCTCTGGGACGCTGGAAGTTCCGAAGAACTTTTTGATTCCTTGTCCGAAGGATAGTTCGGCATCCTTCATCCCTGGTAGCAAGCGCTGACTCCGAACCAAATTTTGAGCTTTGATAGCCTTCACTTCATACCGGTTGGGACATTCTGACATAGGGCCTCGAACGTCGATAGGCCACACTGCCTTGCAAACATGATCGCCGCCGAATTTGTATCGAAGTGTCGCTTTGAGTGCATATTCCACTTTGCATTGTGAGCCACGAGCCAGGTTCGGCGCGCAAAAGAAAGACCCTGGCAGGACATGGTGTGCGGGGTGATCCTGCATTAGTGGTAGAAAGCTTGCCCGTTGTTGATGATTTTGTCTCATTGATGCTGCAGGCTCTGTTGGAATGTTCACCTCAAAAGGCCAGTCGAGCGTCTGATCGCTACCCTCGGGGAGATGAAGAGGCCCACGGTAGAGAACTTGCGGCCTCGAGTTGAAGAGTTGATATTCATCGCGAAATACTGAGGTACCATTATTTCCATTGGACTTGACAACTTTGGATTTTATGCGGCCGGTCAACACGAGTGTGATTTCGGCGTCGGGAGTGACAACCGGGTTGTGGCGCACCAAGTTGCCAATTATGGTGTCGCCAGCGGCATAAGACCATCCCCGCGGTGCCGCAACGTCAAATTTGAGATCAGGGCTCGACTTTTGTTGGTTGAAGTGCATGTTGGTGAACGTGAGTTGCAATAATGTTTAAAGTTTCGACATTATGTGTTTGCAGTTGACGGCTAACCGGCTAGAAAGTCAACATCAAACAGGGGCCAAAATAGGCAACCCATGTCAGCCTCAGCCATAGAGGCTCAGCCTCAGTGGGGATTATTGCTACTAAAGTAACTACGATGGAGTAACTGGAAGTACGTAGTACGTAGGCACGACGTGATCGGCAATTTCTCTACACAACTGCCGGCGAATACCGACATATCGACTGCTCTGCCACGTCAGTCGCTAGTCTGCTCTTACTGCCCACTAAATTGTAGATCTGCATTATCTCCACGTTTTTGGGCTGAATCGTGCTGGGTTTAAGGTTCTAGATCTTTCTCTGCATTTTTATGCACTCTGGGTAGGGATGACGTCTCTTGTGATTTATCCTTCGCTCTATGTATTGCAACGCCAGGCTGTTAAAATCTTGCCACCAGAATTTCTAGTCAGTACTATAGTATGATGTCTCCTATATTCGCCCCTATTCTCGCTTTCCTGTCTAATGGTATCGAATCGGAAGGTCCACTCTATATCGCACTAGTATAACTGGATATCTATGTAACGAGGAATCCCGAAAACATAATCAATAGCCTACTTCTGTAGAATACAAATAAAATTTTGAAGTCGGAATTATAACCATCTCTGATCTACGTTAGTTGGTGGTTACCAACGAGAACGAGTCTTCGGGAATGTATGTTTATCATTTCGTATTTTTTGAATCATATAAACGGCATGAACGAAACGTAAAGTAATATAAATAGCCAGCATTTGGTCATGGAATCTGCTGGATGTACATTAATAACATAAATCGTATCTACATGGTTCTACAAGAACATAAAGGTGGCTGTGGCCATCGCTGCAACCAAAGCCATAAGGCTCTTTCCACCAGCCGATTCTGTCAACAGTCCACTAGCAGCTCCAGTGTGATTTGCCGAACCATTGACTGATGTTGGGGTCTTTCCCAACCCGTCGGGCAGTCCTTGGTAGCTAAAAGTCAGATTTTGGGGAATGGACTTGTTGTAGCAATCCCCATTCGCGATATCCAAGTTGGTCAGGTCATCCGCGTGCACGAAGAACATATAGTTTGACTGATTGAGGCTCTTGAATCCGGACGTGTCGTAGGGGAATTTGTCACCCGGGTCGGTTGCCGAAGTGTTGCGGAGCCAGATGCACTGCACCTGCCCAGGGAAGTCGGTGGCCATTTTTGGGTAGTCGCGCATGACATCACTGTTGCTAGTGTCTGCAATCAAAATGAATTTGCGCTCTGGGAAGGTTTCGAAGACCTTTTGCAACAAGAACTTGCGAATTGACAGAGTGGCGGAGACGTCGCTGAAATTGAGAGGGCGAGTGTCGAAGGAGCCGCCCGGGAAGTTTTCGTAAATGAACTTCATGTAGTTTCTTGTGACTTGCTCGGGGGTGGTGGTCTAAGATGATGATTAGTATTAAGAACAAGTGAACGGGTGTTCACCAATACTTACAAGGTAGTGGAAATGCAAGTTGGGCAGGCTGGTAGACCAGTTGCGGTAGATGTCAGGCATATTCTCCCAAGCTGTGAATGGACGAGCGAAAGAATTGAGTAGCCCTTGCTCCGGTTCGTAGATCTTGGTCACACGCAAGATGTCATCAATGTCGGAAACGATAGTCACTCCAGTTGGAGGTACGAGATAGGCAGTGCTGTTCCCAATAGTTGCATTCTTGACATGCACGTCAAGCCTTTGAATTGCCGAGGTTTCGTTGCCTGCAGTGAGTCCCTTACTGGCGATTGGCACGAATGTGTCGAAATCGCCTTCGACTGTTGTGTTGTAAGGCAGAGTGATGTCCTGCGTGCCACCGGTTGTATTGGATGACCCACCACCACCCGGCTGCCCACTAGATCCCTGGCCAGCAGCAGGCTCCAGGTGGATCGTGTTCACAGCAACTTCTGGCTGTTGAACAACAAAGATCTCGGCAGTCAAGTTACGTGCCTGATCTGCCTGGGACTTCGGAAGATCTGAGATACTTGTGTTGACGAGGAAGACATCGGCAAGTTTGTTCAAGGTTGAGACAGAGGTGTTTGGTTGCTTGTAGACATTTCCGTGGAATCGAACGTTCCAGCCTGAATTGGTCCAATTGGCGTAAGGGTCGATGTTCAACACATTGGTTGGCAGTGCTGCCAGATCGGCGCTGTTCAATCCGAGGGAGCTTGCAACCGCATCTCCAGTGGGGAAACCCTGGAAGAAGTTGGGCACTCCAGATGCGACCCATGAGGGTAGGCCCGACCCAAGCCCCGAAAGAACATTATCAACATCAGATTCTACATCGCTCAGGATGTTTCGGGCGACGACTGGAGAAGGAATATTCTCGACCGGGGAAGCTGTAATGACGGGGTCGGGCGGGGCGGCATTTGTGAAAGCAGTTGGAGCGGGAGCGGCAGAGACAAGTGTAAGGATAGAAGAAGCCTGTACAAAGGCACGCAAAATGGTAGACCTCATTTGGCCAATTAACCGAGGGTAAACTCGAGAATCCAAAGTCCAAAATGGAAATTGGAGAGGGAAGATCTCAAGATATCTATAATAATTTTTTCCATACGTTGTCGCGGTAGTAAACAGTGACCGACGTCATCGGCGGATTTTCCAAGTTTGTGGAAATTAAGGGTCTTTTTTTTTAATTTATCCATGGATACATTACGGGGTACACCTGCGTCATATTCTTACATTGTACCTTCATGTTTTTCTTTCTCCTGCGAGCATATGTTCATCTCATTTGATTGTCCCAGCAAAGTAAAATATTGTGCTTAAGTATCTTTGTAAACTTTGAATAGCCACAGGCTTAATATTCCTCCTAGCTTTCCCCCGTCTCAAAATAAGAATATCTCTTCTCGGAGTCTGTTTCATTGACGCTATCCTCTGGACCTGTATGATGATTTCCCTCAAATATAACAGGATTGTCATCTCCGTCAATGAGGTTGTCTTGAGGCCGTCACTCGGGTCGTAGAATATGCTTCGAGTTGTGATGGAAACTCTTGTTTCCGTAGCTATGCATCTTACCCAAGTAAACACGCGCATCCTGAGCAGGGATCCGACAGAAATTGAACTCGTTCAGACCGGGATAAGGGAGATATTTGATTTGAGCCCACCTGCGGCGCGCGATCTTGGTTGAGAAGTAGTCTAGCACCACAAAAACAAACGTCTTATCGGTGGCGGATTTCTGGTCGATGCTAGTGAAGTGGCAATGTCTCCCGAAGGGCTCAGATTCGAGTCTGAGCAATCTCCCAGAGGTCTCAGATGGTCGCTTCTACTTCGCCAGCTACCCTGGGCTTCCATGACACAAATCCATAGCCCCTGTCTTCTATTTTGTACATTCGATCCCATCTAGGATCAAATCTGAATTTATTGGTAATTTTCTTTCGCCAAATCGTTCGTGAGATAGAACGCGGGTAACTATGAGACTCCATGAGGTGCTGCCGTCTGCCATTGAAGAGATTCGTAATGAAATGGTTGATCTGGGTGGCATAGACTCTTTTGCTCAGAGGGTACATGAGCGTCTTGATTCCTGTTCCAGCTTATTTCGCCATCTTCAACTTTGAGGAAGGTGAAGAGCGGGATTCGCAACACAACAGCCATGGTCTTCTTGCCAGAGAAAAGCCCCACGAAAGAGGGAGCGGAAGTGTCTGCAAGAGGTTCAGGCAATGAATGCAAAACAGGGTAGCCATTCCAGAATGTAGATGCGTGAGAGTGATAAGCCCACCAAAAGCTCATCAAATCTCGGCGAGATTCAATTCCATATTTATCCAACGGTATCAACTCGAATGTCAAATTTGGTTCATCAGGCCCACTTGACTCACCACTCTCACCCTCGTCATTTTCCGTCTCCAGAGGTTTATAAATAACAAAGGTTGCTGTTTGAATTTGGCTTGCTGTTGCGGGAAAGAGCAGGAAAATCACCACATGCTTTGTACAAGGATACTTTTTCCATGTGGTTGTTTGTACAGCTCGTGAAGCGCCCACCTGGTCAGCAATCACGCGTGCTATTCAAATGGGAGTCGAGAAAGAGCCACGCTGTGGCTTGAAGTTGGCTCTCCCACCCGACCGATGCATTGATATCAGTCGAATGAATTGGACAATCAGGGCCGTGGATTTCCAAGCCCACTTCTCCCCACGTTTGGGTTTCAAACGCAGTTGCCTCAAAATGGGACGCTATATAGTCTGGAACGGGGGTTGGATTCCCGCCTTTCTCCGAGGTTTACAAACATTCCCTCAATGGGTTTGCCCACACAGTACTTCCGTCGCGCGCAGACAGAAAGACCGTCCGAAGAAGATGGCTTTTCATTCGCCGATGTCAGAATCACGGACAGCTTGGACTTTTAGCCTGGGCAGAGCTTCCCATTCACTTGTCATTTGGAAGGCTTAACCACCACCAGGAATTTGGAGTAACCTGACTAGTATGCTGGAATGGCGAGAGCATACAAGTTTGCTTGGCTATTTCAATACGGACCTTGTGGGGTCATGGATGCACGCAGCGATGTAGATGTGATTCATGTTTGCACCTTTCTTCGCGTTGAAAAGTCTTGGGTTTGTTAGTTCTCTTTGAGGCCCAATTGATAAATCTAGTAAAAAAACATGCCTTTTCAATCATCGTCCCTTACTTTCAGACTTTCTGTGGTTTCTATACTCCATAGACTATGTGAGAGAGCAAGAGTAAGGTGAGGTCTTCACAGTAAACAGACACGTCAAACTCTATACTAGTACACACTAATCCATAAACTAGTACTATAAACTAATCAAACACCATGTGTTTCCATAATGGAGAATAATCTAAGCGAACTAAGGGCATTTGGGCAGCGAAAGGTGAGGTGAGGGGCATGATCGGAGAGTGAACAACAATTTATCCGAACACACGAAAAGACCCCTTCGGAGTCCCCTGAACTTCCTCTTCTATTTTCTCCCACTAGAGATCCGAAGCCTGATCTTGTCTCCATGATCCAGCAGTCAGTAGTCCCATGGGTGTGACTCCCTGCATAATGTTGGCTTTATGGTGCACATGGTTACGTTGGAGGAGTCCCTCTCCGGTTTGCTTGGAGGTAAGAAATGTACATCTCAGATGACATTGGGAGACTTCCATACCCCCGCTCCGTCAGGACTGTGGCTCGTGGTCACTGGAGACCCAACTGAACCATGATGATATTGATGTGCTATATTCGATGGCTTGTCACCCATCGCATTGCGTCTTATGAAATCAACACTTTGATCAAGTGCCTTATGTCCGCCTAGGATATAGGCAGCCGCGTTAGCATCACATCTTAGGTGTCCAGAACAAACGAGACTAAATAAAGTTTCCGTTGTTCTACTCATCGATGTCGGCAATCGACCAAAACCCAGGAAATCCAAGTGGGTCCATCGAACTTGCAATCAGCTAAGGTATCAACGAACCAGGGCGTGTCTGCAGATATTTATGGCGCCCTGATGGATCAAGTCGCGTGACAGCAGCCCCTTGAAGGAGGTATGATTGCAAGGAACTCGATTGGCCTTGTGAAAGTAATGGCAGTCGACGCTAATGCTTTGAGGATCACGTACCCCAAGCTATAAGAAGGTTTTGCTTTATGCAAAATTATTTCACGTTCTGTTGGATTCATATCTCAAGGCCTTCCGTGGCTTGATTACGATGTTTTGGTCATCATCGCCAAGAGATTTTGCGCTTAGTTAGGAGTAGCGATGGTGTGAAACCCAAGGATGAGCGCTGCAGCCTACCCTTGTGGATCTTCTCGTGAAACAGCATCGCCCGCTATCAGTGTGGTAAGACTTCCAAGAGATTTTTTCCGATCTGTTGGAGTAGTAGCACCGAGAGTGAGCGCGTCGGCCTCCAAGCACCCAAAGGACGGCGAGCAAGCCCCTCTGTGCACGGTAGTGAAACACCATTGCTTGCGGCGACTGGCAACCGCCAGGCGTGTCAGATGACAGCAAGGCGTGGACGGGACCGATCTGCCCCCACAGCTCTGGTTACGTTTTGTTGGGCCGGATGTTGCATCCAATGCGGTGAAATTTCGGTTTCTCGCGGTGTGTCTAATTCGCTTAAGCGTCTCCAGCACCTGCACTTTTTGTTTCTCCTGGATTCGCTCGGGAGGTTGCTTTTGCTGAGGCCATGTGCGAGTTTCGGATCCGCTGTTCTATGGCCTCTTCAGCGTCCGTTGAGAACCATGTAAATGGTTTTCGATGTACGCTGAACTTTCCATACGACCGCTGCTCCGGCTTGCCATGCGCCTTAGCCCTGCGGATGGTGCGCTGAACGATTTCTACCTTTCTGTCATTACAAACTTTGTCATTTAATGTTTCTCCCAAATTTCATACTGGGCTCACTTTCTGGTCATTATAGATAACTTGCAATCAACCACTTTGCTCATGATTCTACTCTCCAATTCCAAATGGGTTCGTTAAGTTCCAGCACAGCTCCCTGTAGCTCAGTCAGGATTCCCATCCTGCTCAAAGGCTGAGTTTCTAGGTCCCAGTGATGCTCACGGCACAACCTCCTCCCCCTTCCAATCCCAACACCTTCCTCTCCCTCCTTTTGCATCCGATGGCAACCTCGCAAGAACCTCCAACAGCTTCCCAGCTGCATCGATCGGTTCCAACATATCCCTCCCTCCCCAGAAGTCCTTGGTGAAATCCGTTTGGACAGTCCCAGGATGCAGTGCTACGGCAATCGCCCTCTGTGCACTCTTAGTCTGCAAATACAAATCAAAAGACTTGGCCAGTTGAAACACAGCGGCCTTGCTCGCGCGGTATGAATACCATCCGCCCGAGGCATTGTCGGAAATCGAGCCGACGCGGGCTGCCATCATGGCATAGATGGCATGTGAGGGCAATGGCAATGAGTCATGGGAGCTTGCGGCGTCTGCAGTAAACGCCTGTGCGGATTTGGCGGGGATAAATTGAGAGAGATGCTTCATGAGCAACAGTGGGCCGATGGAGTTGACTTTGAAGCTGTCCAATGCTTTGGCAAAGTCAATTTGACTTGGTGATTTCTCCACATGCAAGATTCCAGGTATTGCTAGTCCCAGCCTCAGTGGCGTGTTGGGGTATTCCCGTCTAATCGTATCTGCCATTGCTGATATCGTGGATTCATCTGAAAAACAGTTTAGCTTTATGCTGTCCGGAGTGATCTGGTCTCAAGATTAAATGGCCTGCACTATACCTGTCACATCGACTTCAAGTACACGTAATCTCTTCTCTGAGTTCTCAGGCACCCCTTCGCTTGACAGTAATCTCTCGTGAATATCGTTGCAATTCTTGCGGGCTGTTGCGATTACAGGGAGCTCGGTGCGTGCTAAGAGTTGCTGCGCAAACGCGAATCCTAATCCCCTCGATGCTGGAGTTACCAAAGCAAACCCAGTTGCTGGAGACATTATTGAATAATGGCAATTTATGTGATGTGAAAGATGGTTGCTGAAAGCAGACACAGCTGCTCCTTGATCGATGTCTTCTAGGTGACGTCACAATACTCCTATTACCTGCACACTCTATCTAGTGCTACATTTTACAACAACATTCTGACAACCTTGGACTGCAGCAAGGTCTTACACCCGACTGAAAATGAAGGTGAATCGGGATCATCCTTATTTATGATCTCGGTTACGAGATAAATTTTCCTGACCTCGCTCCCATCAAACCTTCCCCTCTAAACCAGTGAAAAACTCCCTCCCAAACTCACCACTGCTATCATTGAATCGAAGCTTCTTGTTTAATTTCTCGATCTTCTTCATGTCCGCAGGACTCAATTTGAAGTCTCCCTCCAAATTGGCTCTGATCCTCGCGGGTGTCTTGGACTTTGGCAATACAGAGTGGCCCTGCGTGACCCCCCAGGCTGTCGAACCCACACTTAATATCAAACGCATTCTTTAGGTCGAGAAATCCATACCTAGAGCAACTTGAGCGGCTTTTTTGTCGTACTATTCACCAATATGTGCTAAGACAGGCTCGTCGATCAACTTCGAGGTCCCACCTTTGTCTCCATAGAAGGTGTTCTGGTTCCCAAATGGCGAGTAATGCGTGACGTGTATACCATTTTCTCGATGCCACTTTGTGAAATCATTCTGTTGCAGCCACGGGTGGCATTCCATCTGGTGCACGGCGGGCACGATCGAGCTGTTGTTGATCAGGCGCTCCATCTCCAATTTGTCAAAGTTGGAGACACCGATTGCTTTGGCCTTGCCGGTTTTCAGAAGCAGCTCCATGGCCTTCCATGTCTGTCCTCGAATTAGCACTGTTGATACCACATGTGATATGCAGGTACAGCATACATCGACGATGTCAATGTTGTCCATCACAGGCTTGCCGTTCTGCTTTGGGAAGAATTCCTCGCCTCGCTCCCAGGCTACTGGCCAATGCATCAGATAGAGGTCCACATAATCTGTTACAAGATCGTCCAGAGACTGCTGCAAAGCCGATTCGACATCATCCGGGTGATGCTTATTGCTCCAGAGCTTGGTGGTGATGAAGATATCCTTACGTGGGATGCCGCTTTTCTTGACGCCTTTTCCTACGGCTTTCTCTGTTTCATACCTTGTTTTTACATCAGCGCTAGGAGCTCGGCTTCTTGATTGCTGTATCTGAAGGGTAAATGTGACTTACACACGTGCAGTGTCAATGTGACGATACCCAGCTTTGATTGCCTCTGCTACAGCTTCTTCCTGCTCACCTGCATCCTGCCAGGTGCCAAATCCGATGGCAGGGATCTCTGCCCCGGTGTTCAGCTTGTACTTCGTTGTCATTTTGCGATTACGCTGACAGTCACGAATCTAATGGGTACTTTCTGCTCACAGAATCAGCGTGAATCAAGGAAGAGCCATAGGGTCATATTCATGAAGTACTTTAAACAATTATGCACGTCAAAGTGACGCAAGCAGATCTTCTATATTGTAATACGGTCGGCTTATATGACGTGAACATGAGGTCTGCGGAGATCTCAACCTTGGAAAGTCTGTTCATTGAACTAGTAGTGAAAGGTTTCAATTTAATAGGAGGTAAGTCCCTTCTTAAATTGGGCCCTTGAGTTCTACTCTCGCAGTGCATGATGGGGCTTATGTTTCTAGTTCAATGCAGCCTTCTGCTCTTATCTGCCAAGCCAAAGACTAGTGGGTATCCGCTTCTATATCACTCTACGGATGTTGCTTTGCTATGAGTGTCTATGCCAGACTAACCATTGTAGAGCTCTCTGCGCCCAGCATCTTCAAAAATGTAACCTGTGAATAACTCCAGTGGTCAGTAATTCAGACCTGTGGGAAAATTCAACAAGCCCTGTTCTGTCGTAAGAGCTATACACTAATCTCAGTGCAGATTTGTTTACAGCTCTGTGAGAGGAAATGTCGCGAACAATTTCTTCAAGACAAGCTCGGTTTAGCTGCTGACCACTGTATATTACAAGCGACTCTCTGTAGAGCTCCAGGGCTCAATTACAGACTAAATAAGCATAGCACACAACATCGGAACTTGGAAACTTGGAATGTGAGGCTCTCTTCATATTGCAGGTGCTGTTTCATTCTTTTTCCACAACTTCACAGATACAGTTCTGATGATGGAAGATGAACATCAATGTTCGGGCATATGAAGCAGAATATCGCACCTTTGATATTAGTATCTAATTTTTCTCAATATCGCCAATAAGATATGGAGCTTGAGAAAGTTATCTCGGCTCCGTTGTTTTGCCGATGTTTGATGCCAGGACAAACAGCGGCAAAGGTTTACCTCGCCCACCGTAGTCTACCGCTTTAGTTTATATAGCGAGTTCCACTTGCAGAAATTTTTCTTTCCTTTGCATTGCTTGCAACTCTTTGGATTAGAGCTATGAGCTCTCCATGCCCTTTATTTTTCTTTTCAACCTGGACTGTGTCTTGATGATGGCACACACTCCAGTTGCACCCAAAGCCTGAGGTGAATATCGGTGCTACAAAAAAAACAAATTTTAACAAATTTTAAAAGGTAAGAAAAACTTTTTTTCCCTCGCAACCCCAACCATCCCCGGGGATGATTATATTTTAGACATGCAAAGGCATTCCTCAAGCAGAAGATCCATGTTGAATCTGTCATATTTTTAAGTTTCAGCCTTGTCTGACCCAACACAACAACCTTGTTATATTTATATGCCATCTGTTGAACGAATTTTGACTAACAATCTTTCTGTCGTTCAGGTAAATCACACTTGCATCCATCACAATATTCCATTGCGGCCATTGCCTTGCATGAAGAAATCTTGAACGAACGGGCGGACATAACGTGCCCATTTTTCATACACCCTAACAAAAACGGAGCGTACAAACTCTGTGGGTGTATGCGAGATGGATCACTTGTTGAGAATTCGTCACCTGACCCATTGCCCTTGTCACAATCACTTTATGGCGCCTTGACAAGTTGAGACCTTTTCTAACAGAAGCTTTAGGTAATTCATCTCTCATCTCACTACCCTTCCTCAACATGGTCATACTTTTCATGATGAATGTGTTATTCACACTGTTTGACCTGGACTTCGGTCCGGGAATGAACATTTATACAAAAATCTGATTTAATGAGGTATGTGCATCCTGTTGACAAAGTATTCTGTTCATTACTGACTGACCTGAAGCCTGACTTAGTTGCCATGTCTTGATATCACTTTTGACTCTTGCATTTTGCTTGAATCCCATTGCTGACTCGACATACAAGTAAACAAATAGGAAACCTTATTAGGAAGCTATTTGGCTTGTTGACCGTGAGTTTACTTTACAACTCCCTCTACCTCATTGCCTGATGAACCCTTAATATTCGCTGTGTTATTTCCGAATTACCCTGTCGATACAATATTATTTCACCTTGGAGAACTGATCTTTTCCTTGATTGCCATCATTTCACTCACATTATGATTTGATCTCTTGCTAACATGCAATTTAGGAGCCAGATGTGATTTCCATAATAATTTTAATATCAATGGAGAACTTTGCATCATGCACCTATCTTCATTGTTTCAAATTCCCTAACCGTAATAAATCCGTTGTAGCCATGTAGCATCCTGTCCCCTTTTGATAAACACCTTGCTTGCAAACTCTCGCGAAATTAGTCGTAAAAGAGTCCATGTCGCTTATGCCATCCTTCCAGACTATCTTCGCCATAGAATTCGTGCACACTTTTCTTACCCTCAGGCCATCGTGCCCACGCCGGTTTCGAACCCTCCATAATGCACACCATCTCGTCTGGAACTGGCAGTTCTGTATCAATCGCTGAGGCAAATGGGTGAATCAGTTCAGGCCAGTGATGATCCCAAAGCCACAGCATGGTACTGCAGTTCGAGCAAAAGTTCCGCTCGGAAGAACAAAGCTGCTCATCAGGCGTGCCGCGGTCTTTGATTGCAGAGTATTTCCTATAGTCAATGGATCAGTTCATGTTCAAGTCATATCCTCGAAACTCCTCCCGAGGTCTTTGTAATATAATAAAACCTGCGCTTGTATCCATGGGTATTTGGGTCATTTCGTACTTGATTAAATCCTTGCCCTTGGTGATATTCAGGCTGTCGGCGATGCCACCCAAGTTCACACTACCGAGATGTCCACCTACTTTACGGCAAATGCTGCAGGCACAGAGCTGGTAGGGGACTGGGGTTTGAGACTGCAGAGTAAATTCAATGGCACCGCATTGGCAGCTTCCTTCGAGTTTGCTGTGAGACTAGTAAGTACGATGCCAGATAGATGAATGCAGGCATCAAGATTGCTTACATCGGCATGGTTGATGATATCTGTAGTGAAAACCGTCAGTGATGGGGATATATCAACCGGTAATTATAGGTACTTTGTTCGAAGAATTCGAGTTGACCCGGATTCAGAGTGCAGGCTGATATATATAGTTCTGAGGTGGGGGGTGAAACACGTCAACAAACCTGACAAAACGAACAAAATTTGCAAATTCAAAACCAACAGTCGATGCACCTAATTTTGCTTAATCTTTATCCAATCCTAAACCTACATATGAAGGTCCAAGTGCTGTTCCCCTCTATCCCGAGTCTTGAAATACATCATCGATCGGATCCCGCAACTGTGATTGGCCCATTAAGTGTTTACAATGTTTGCTCTGTTTGTTTCCCGGAGTTTTGGTCTCGCTCTCGCCGACTGATGCTCACCTAACTGCGCTATTTTCTCATCTGCCCAAAGCGGATCTTATTTCAATTGATAATCCGAGCGTACAAACGCCAAGATCCGGTAGAAATGAGTTTCGGAGCCCCAGGAGGTGGTTCGGTGAACTACAAGCCATCACCGTGAGTTGGAGACCGCGTACCCTTTGTCGTTGCGCATGCAACCTATCAATCACCAATTGAGTGAGATTGGATACATGGCTTGAATGTGTTACTAACTGGATGGCTCCATGTACAGCCCTGAGCGTGGTAGCTTCCCTCTTGATCATGAAGGTGTGTTCATTTGCAGCCACTTGGCGCAGATCCAAGAAGGTTGGCAAGACAAACAGAAACAGTGGACTAAGTGCAAATTTAAATTATGCAGGGGAATGCAAGCATATAATCTCGGGATACTTGAAGTGTATCAAGCTCAACAAAGGCACAAACGATGAAGCCTGTCGGAAATTGGCCAAGGACTACCTCGCTTGCCGAATGGACAAGTAGGTTGAATCAAATATGGGGACATCAGGGCTTCCTATCACAGGAGAACCCGTCTGCGTGGCAGTGTATGACAAAATAACTTGCTGACCGAGACAACTTTGCGAATTAGGAACCTCATGGCGCCGGATAATTTCCAGAACTTAGGTCTGATATTCAAAGACGATGAAGGGAAAGACCAGACATCAGCTGCGTCAGCTGCACCAGCCGCTAATGCGAATCAAACGGGGAATAAAAGCTGATATGAAATTGCGAAACGTTGATGAGATTGTACGATATGGAAGAATGACGCTAGTCCGTGATCTACCGGTAGTGCTGGCATTATTCAAGGCGTTGTACATAAACATGTACTTGATACCTAAAACACACATGAACATAGCCTTATTCCCAGCTAAATTGAACCAGTATTCAAATTTGTACAGATGCCCCGATTGAACCGTACTCATTGGTTGTCGCCCCATGCGGGGAACCGTTTCCGCCCAGCCACACTCGATCGAACAATCTCCAACTCTTCCACGGAATACCAGGATACCCCATATGTCGTCGATTGCACGACCACCTGACCCATGTCTTGTTGCAATTATCCTGATAGTACGCTCACGCACAGGGCCACGCCTCGTCTTCCACTACCCTCCGAACCCACTCAGTGAGAGTCGCCTGAAAACCACCACCAAGGGCGGCCGTCGCGTCCGCACCCGCACCGGACAGGGCTCCAAAAACACTGATTCGAGCTCAAGTGATGATAGTGGACTGAGTTCTGACGATGATGATGAGGAGCGAGAATCCCAAAGTCAGAGTCAAAGCCAGAGTCAAAGCCAGAGCCATAGTGGAGGTGTGAGCTCCGTGCTGGCCGGTCGCCGTGCGAGCAACTTTGGCCTTGATGAACATTTATCTGTCGCTACTTCACCAGCGGCTGGCGATGTTAATCGTCCGGGATCGCTAGGTTCTGGTCGCGGCTCGTCAATGCGCAAACGCGGTGGTGCGGGTTCTGATCCCGAGGAGGATGGCACGGCCTCTGATCGCCCTGATGATGGCCCTGGAAGTTCCAGAACACCTTGGGAGTCACTTTTGGGTGTGCCTGGAAGTGTTTGGGAGAAGTTACTCAGCCCTTCTCGCTCGTGGCATAAGCGACGTTTTGAAGTCGGAATAAACGATTTGGCGCTAATTGGATGGCCGGTGTTTGTGCGCGAGGATGGTACATGGCGCAAGCAACGGCGAAAGAAAAAGAAGAAGCAGAAGCCTCGTGCTGACTGGGATGGTGGAGAGTTGGGCCACAATGAGAATGCCGAGGATAGTCTGAAGGACGAACGATTTGTTACTTCTCCTGATCTGGGTGCTAGTGTCGCTTCCATCGCGGAGTCTTTGACATCGGCAACGGATAGCAAGCGAGGATCGACCAGCGGAAGACCCGGGAAATTAGATGATACCCTTGACCCTGAAGACAAAGATCATATGACAATGTTTAATGTGGTGTTTGTTGTTGATCCACCTTTGTTGGAATACTCCATGCGCGTGAAGGACATTTATGAGAACATTATCAAGAAGTTTGCTAAAGCGCTCAAATGGGAACAAGCTCGCACTGACTATGTGTGGAGAGAATCTCAGCACATTTTGCAAGTGAGGAGGAGGGCAAGAGAGACAAAGACGTCAACTCATAACCTTTACTCGGAATTGATCTCACAATCCTCTCTGGCTCGTGCTATCTACACAGTCTACAGCAGCATATCGGCATCCAAGATTGCATCCGTCTCGCTCAGCCCCGATGTTTCTCTCTCGCTGCAGATTCCACCTCTGACCTCTACCCCGTGCCTTGCTGGTCCCATGGAGAAATCTTACCCGGGTTTATGGTTGACCACAGCGGACAGCGCAACACCAGTCGATGAACCGGGCACCGATGAAAACAACAACCCTCATCAAGTGTTGGCAAAGCACTTTGCTTTGCTGTTGTTGGACAGCGAAGCTGCCATTATCAAGGACATTGAAGCTTCCGGCGGAGCGCTTGCTCCCGCACTTGCGCACTACATTCGATGCTCCAAGCCAACCAAATCATTTGCGCAGATATCAGTGTCTTCAGGAATTCCCCTAGCGCACATACAGATGCTATCGAGTCATCTTGTGTATTGGCGTCGTGCTCGCGCCATTCCTCCCATTCACCAACGAGACACCTATATTGTTTCTCCAAATTGTGACCTGAGCAAATTGGAAGTTGCTACTATTGCCTATCAGACAGCATTCCCAACATACCCGAGTCTGCCAAAGATGTTATCCACCCTTAGTGGTACTCCACGCCCATATAGCAACTTCATCCCCAGCAAGGACCACAAGGAGATATACTTTACCATCCTGGCTTGGTTGCTGCGTGGTGGCTGGGTCACCCAACTACGCACCTTCGCTCGTATTAAGGTTTCACCTGAGATCAAAATCGCCGTGGAGACAGCCCTGAGAAAGGAAGAGGTCGACCGCTATCTGGCAAAGGGCAACCCAAGCTCCACCTCGACTGAGGGGGACACTGAATCTGATGACGAAACTAACGACGCGAACTCATCCTCGTCATCTTCCCTCGCAAGCCATGGCAGCGGAGAAGAAACACCCATGCCCGGCCGAGTTGACCCACACGCCCAACTCCGCTTCTCTCACAAGCTCCTCGACCGATCAACTGCTCTCCGGCTATCCTCTTTCATCCTCTCTCCCCATCGGGCCTCTCCACTGGAATCTCGCTGGCTCGATGAGATTGTCCGCCGATTCCCTGACAATCCCCAAATTGACCAGGGTGGGGAGCAAATCAGCCCGGATATCACGCCGAACGATATCCAAGCCCTCCGCAAGAAGTACTGGCCAGTTTTCCTCAAATACTTCAATGGCCACGATGCCCTAGAGAAAATTTCCGTGCGTGAGAATCTCAAGCGCAAGCTGGTTTGGCAGGTTCTCATGCGTTTGGGCTTGATGACTGGTCCATTAGGGTCAATTGATCTCGACGCACGCGAGCAGGTATTGGTCAGTGTGCGGCATTGGTAGATGTTGTTTGATGATATTGTGGAGTGTTGATTAAGGAGTTTTCTCTTTTTCCCTACATGGACAATGATATCCCCCTCTATGGGCGTTGAGTTTACCGTCAATTTCACACATAGTTAGATTTTATATATAGACTGACACCTAAGGCATTCAGTGGTAATACAACCGGCCACAAGTTGCCGTATTTTAATTACATACCCACTCCCATTCCGATCGTTTCCGCTTGCCCTCAGCCCTAATCTGTGCCGAAAGCACAACTTTTATTTAATGCAATGAGAAAGTGAAGATGAGGAAAATCAATACAAAATGGAGTATCTCAATAGGGTTGTTTGAGTTATTTGGAACGAGTTAGTGTGCGCTATGTATGTAGCACTTGGGTAGCCTGTTCGCGTACGAGAGAAGTATACAATATTGCTCTCTTTCGTCGCACAAGAGTCAGCATGGCAGTACTGGGTAATTTATTTTTTTGCTTTCTCACATCCTGCAGGATTAGCCTTAGTAATTTATGGTAGTAATTTACTACGTCCAAATAATACTACAGTGATGTATTATTACCTAGCCAATAGCCGGTTCGTATATCCGAGCAACGGCCGAACGGGATGAAGATTCTTCTCGCTAGTATATTTTGAAGCTTTGAATAAGGCTATGGTTGAGTGCAATTATGTACATAAAGTCGATTCAATATGTTGAGATATAAATATCATACTGATGAGACAATATTGTTTATTCTTAACGTGAGAACATGTACGATACTTGAGGAAAAATCTTGACTCTTTCACGTCAGATATTATTTCTATTGTGCGCCAATGGCCGGAGGGTCTCCGGTGGACCCCGCGATGTTCATATGTATGTATTTTATCTCATGTAAATGATATGAAGAATAGGAGTGTATGATATTGTATGCTACTGTAAAGCAGTTGGTAATTAAGATTAAAGTCTGATATAAGCGTTCGACCTGTGTAAATAGAACAAAGCTCTGGAAGGTTCAGAACAATAAAGCCATAGTGTTATCCAATTGGCTGGACATAGATATTTCAATCCTCAAGACCCTGAACTATCGCCACTTGACAGCTACTTAAATTCCCGGCTACTTGAACTAACTCGGTTAATACTTCAATATGGGAAATGTTGAGTTATTATTCATTTGACTCATAGATATGTACAAAGTACTTGGCTTTTTGGATTTGGACAGTATTAAAACCGTCGACCTCGGCAAAGCAAATGCACAATCAAAGGTGAAGATGGAGTTTTAGGCAGAGCATTCGAGGGGTTTGTAAAGAGTAAGTAGTGGTAATCCATTCTACTATGCATATGTACATATGTAGACAGTAGTCTGTACTCTGGGAAGTATGATGTATCAAAGAGTAATATGCCTCAAATTACTTCCTAATTGTACAAATCGGCCCAATGACATATGTACCTGTGAATTTACCTCAAGAGCCGAGTCAGGCAATGTAATATAGGTAACAATATAGGGATTTAAAGGACCTTGTGACCCCCCGCTTGACAATAATACCAACAGCTTACTTTGAGATCAAATAGAAGAAGAGAGAAAAGAGAAACACTACAATTTAGAATTAAAATAAATTAAGAGTAAAGAAATCCCATATACGAAATTCCACAAAAAAAAGACCCCAGTACTATAAGCAATTAATTACGTGTAAAGAAAAAACCCCGCTACCAGTTCTGCCCTGAACCAAATAATTTTTGTGTTCTTCACTTTCTTTCTCTCTCCTCTCACCCCTCCGCATCGGGCTGTTTTCCCCTTCCATTCCTCTTTCTCGGTTACCTTTTTTCTTTCGCGTCAAGTTTTTCTTAAAACCTTTCGCGGTACCTCTCCATCGTCTCAGAGAGAACCGATCCTCTATTCTACCCACGTGCGAATCGCGTCAATTCCTTTCCCAAGGGATCGACACCCAGGTCCACGCTCCTCGAATTGATCTCGGTACCTCGCATCCTTGCAGTTCCTACGGATCTACCGGTTCAGATATACCCGTGAGCGCGGTGGAATTACACGAGGGAAGAGTTCCTGTGCATCCGACTTGCACAGCGACTACGACGGTCAACTTCTCATTGGCGCACAACGTTGACAGGGCAGTGCCTTTGTAGCGTCCTCGAGAAAATTTTCCTTGCAACAACACACCTCTTTGTCTCTTGACTTGTGCGCTCGTGGGCCACGCTTGATTTTCCCTCCACATCCGAGAAATCGACATCCTCTATCTCGCATACGAAGCAACCCATCTGTTTCGATACAACTGAGAGCCTCTCTAAACGACGGAAAGCCACAGATTAGCTGGTCTCAAGAAGGTCGAATTTTCGCCTCTTGATTCCTACAGGAGACTTCTGGCCCCCATCAGGCGCAGGTTGATATCTCCAGAGCCGCCAAAGGTCGTTTGGGCATATTGACCCGAACCCACAACCAGACTCACTTTTTTTTTAACATCCGTCACGAGCAGAGCTACGATAAGCTCTCTGTTCGACATGTCTACTTTTTCGTACGCACAGGCCGCCAAGGGCACCACCGGGACACCGACCCCGTCCAAGACACCATCAGAGTCAGAGAAGATCGACACCAAAGTGGAGGAGCAGACAATCACCGAGACCACAACGGAAAGCGCACCGGCCCCAATTGAGTCCGAAGTCCCTCAAAAATCCGAGGTAGTCGCAGAGGAGAAGGACGATGACTTCACCACCGTTACCAACAAACACGCTGCTAAGTCCAAGGCTTTGAACTCCCGAACATCCAGCCCGAGCGTTCGCACTGGCTCCAAGCCGCGCAAGTCCAAGGATGATGAGTCTTCAAATACCGCGAATGGCAGTGCAGATGCCACAGAGAAGCAGGCTTCTACCGAGGGACAGACCGAGAAGGCCGAGGGCGCCGCAGAGAAGTCAAATGACAAGTCCGAGGATTCCGAGAAGAACGAACCTCCCAAGGAGCTGAAGGCCGCTCCTCTCCCTTCAGTCAACATTTGGCAACAGCGTAAGGAGGCACAGGACCTCAAGGTCAAGACTGTGCCCAAGTCCGTCCTAAACGGCAAGGCTTCTTCCACCAAAGCGGCTTCGAGCGCCGATGATACCCAGCAAGACTCCAAGGCCTCTAAGAAGAAGGGTGGCGATTCCGCATCCGAAGGCACCAAGGATCGCAAGAAGACCGAGGGTGGAAAGGGACGTGACGCCGGTAAGAAACCCCCTCGATAAATCTGGTGCTCATCCATCATTCTGGCCAAGCTCCCTTGGCTTGTACATGGATGATGGCGCAATCACATGAATTTGAATTCGAAATGCTGACATGAAGGATCAGTTCCCTCAGTAGAGGATTCCACCGCATGGCCCACCCCCCAGGTTGCTATCGGCGAAGAGAAGAAGAAGGCTCAGGAGAAGACCGACAAGAGCCCTGTCATCAGACCTCATGGCAAGGAGAAGTGGACCCCCGTCCCTTACGTTCCTACAGCCGTTTTCAACACCCCTCTCCCATCCGCCGGTGGAGGTGGTGGTGGCCGTGGAGGCAGACGGGCCACTCGTGGTGGCCGTGATAGTGGCCGCGGAGCTCACGGCAATGGAACTGCTGGTGCTGACAAGGTTGCCTCTGGTCAGGCAACTCAAAACACAAAGCAGGCATCTGGAGAGCGAGGACGCCAAGATTCTAGCACTGGACGTGCTGCTTCCCTCCCTGCTCAGTCAAGACGATCCACAAGTACGGATGCCGGCGCTGCAGCTGATGCACGCAAGACCACCCAGCCCACCGAAGGAAAGCGCGGAGTTCGCAACGGAGAAGACAATGCCCCCAGTAAGCAGGTAAACGGTGGAGAGAATGTTCCCCGTGCCCATCGTGAGGGCAAGCCCTTTGGACGAAACCAAGATGCTCGCGCAGGTGACCGCCAGAAGGGCGGAAACTTGGCCGTTGACTCCCAAGCTGCTGCCCGCTCCAACGACCGTCGTTTCGAGGCCGGATCAAAGTCTGCTGACCCTACCGGTTTCAACGATTTCGGCCGTGAGCGCGGCGAATTCCGCGCCGAGCGTGGAGGCCGTGGATCCAACCGTGGCCGTGGTGGCCCTTACTCGAACTTTGGCGGCCAGAATGCCCAATTTGGTAACCCCGCTGTGTCTAACAACTCTTTCGCCGCATCCAAGTCCTTTGGATTCAACGACCGTCAGCGTTCGCAGCAACACGCTATGCCCAATGGCTCACAACAAGGAAATCGTATGCCCCTCCGATCGCCCTCTTTGCCGAATTCCGGAAATGTTTATGGTGTTTATCCTTTCCCAGGCGACATCAACACGATGTATGGCTACCCAGCTGTCAACCCTGCTCCGATGAGCGCCATTCCCTACCAGCAGTACATGGAGCCATTCTCGCTCCTCAATATGCTCTCCATGCAACTGGAGTACTACTTCTCGGTTGATAACATGTGCAAGGACATGTTCCTCCGTAAGCAGATGGATTCCCAGGGCTTCGTTCCATTGAATGTGCTCGCCAGCTTCAAGCGCGTCAAGTCCCTCACCGAAGACTTCGAACTTCTCCGCCATGTGGCCCGCCAGCTTCGCAACGTTGAGTACCAGACCGGCGAGGACGGTGTTGACCGTCTGCGTCCCAGAGAGAAGTGGCAGCAGTGGGTTCTACCCGTGGAACAACGCGAACCTGCCGCTCAGCATGACGGAGCTGCCCCTGCTGGAAAGACCGATGAAAACATCCCAATTAACACCCACACCGAAAGCACTATCAACGGATCCGCTCCTCAGTTCGTTCCCAACGGTACTTCCGCTAGTGCCAAGACTTCCCTTTCGTCTACCGCTCCTGAGTTCATGCCTTCCTTGCCACCCACGGCAGGAAATGAAATTGCCAATGTAGGATACCCCTTGGATTTCCCTGTTTCCCCCGAAGAGTCGACCATGTCAAGCTCCCCGTCTTTGCCTTTTCCCTGGGATTATTCAATTGCTGACAAAACCTCAGCGCGCGGATTAGACTCAAAGTCCGAACCTCCTTTCCCCTCTGATTTCGATGCAACCGTGGGTCTGATGAGGTATGTATGAGGATTCGCTGCCAGTGAGGCATGGACTAACTTCAGTCAGTTCTGACGCAGAATGTTTCTCATATCAAGCGGGCGGTGCTGCTTGTCCCATGGGAACGTTTTTTGCCAAAACATATCATCAGTACAAGCCAAAAGGGAAGGGCCGTCCAATTACAGAAACGCTTAATGTTCCAAAATCTTCCGATGTGTCTCACGGTGAATTTTTCAACGGCCGAGGCCGATCGGTGGCCAGGAGAAATGGTATCGGAATCTCTCAATCTTACCAGTCCTTGTCATCGAGCTTGGCACAAAATTTCGATTCCAACTTGTACAATGACTTTAGGCGTTCAGCCCTTGATGATCTTTCTACACGACATGTTGACGACGGGTTCAACGCGCTCATTGACTTTTATCGACACACTCTGATTGACCGTGGCTCAATCCCCGATCTGGTGATCAGGGACATGGTCAAAATTTCACAGCAAGGGCCGGACTGTCACGCTATTATATCGAATATCGTCAATGATGCCCTTGCTAGTGGGGGAATGAAGGGAAAAAACGAGAAAAAAGTCAGGAAATCTTTCAATACCCAGCACGGCAAGACGCCCGAAGAAAAGTTATCATGTTGAGCCCTTTCGCATTTTTTTTTGCTTATCAGTTTGCTTTTTTGCGACACATTTCCTTCGCTGTTCGTTCATCAGTCATGACCAGCATTCTTCTCTCTGTTCAAAAGGTTTTTGCATGCATATTCGCCAACTTTTCTTTTAGAGTGCCAAATGACACTTCCATTGCAACAAAGCGGATTGACTTTTCAGTCCTCGTGAGCCTCGGAGTTCCTCATTATTTCTGCTCTATGTTTATCGCTTTTCTGTCATGGGAGGTTCTCAAAACGTTCTGGCGTCCGGTCATGTTTTCTTTTCCCTGGCAGTGTCTCTCTCTTTCGATGCCTGCCGCTACGGCGTACCGGGCCAACAAAAATTGTTTTATTTCCCTTGACATAGAGATTTGCACTTGTGTTTTATTGATCCAATTCATTCGCAACTCCTTTATTCGACCTGGATCTTAATCAGTATCAGCACAACAATGACCTGAAGACAAGCAGAGGCTCATCAACAGCCTTGTCTGAGGGTATCATTACCTGTGTGTCTTGAGTTTTTCTTTATTTTTTTATCATGCTGTCGACCGGAGTCCCAAAAATTTTAGCACATTAACATTGATTTCGTACCTCGGAGACCGACCATTCCTGTCTGCCAAAGTTATTTGCTTTGGGGACCGATCTCCTTTTTCTTTAAACAATGAAATGGCCTGGGCCATTTCAATGTCTTGTTATTTTGATTTGCTGGGCATCTTGCTTCGCAAAATATGTTTCGTGTACTTTGTTTTTTTGCATAAACCGGGCTGAGGTCTTTGTGGACTAATATGATTGATATGCATACTATGAGCCAATTGACTCTTTATGATATTCAATTTGCTCCCCAAGAGAATCTTTATTGTAGCCAAAAACCTGTAGCTGTAATAAAACCTGGAAACACTAAGTATAGATATACGTTCCATCTAGAAAGTCTGGCGATCTGTGATATCCAGGTACGCTTACCAGGCCTTTTTATTTTTTTCCGGGTCTTTTCAGCATGCTTTGGAGATTTTCTTCGAATCATCAATTTACAGCTGCCGAAAATTCTACAATACCTTCGTTATAACTTGTTTCCAGACTTTTTAGATACTATGTACCTCATTTCTATGGTGCCCTTATACAAGTCATGCGGAAGATGCCGAGATTTGACGCCTAAGGCGCCAAGACCTTGCTACCAAACGGAGGAGACATAATCAATTCCCGAACCTTACTTCAAAGAGCTCTTACCTCTTCGGCTTGGTTATCCGCCTCTTTGAATCCTATCTTCACACTGTCCCGCCAAGATGGAGGGAGTATCTCGTCAAAGTTCAAGGCTATTAAGGCCCCGTGGCCAAATTCCCCAGCGCCTTCTGCGATCGAGCACGACGCCCTTCACTCAGCTTCAACGACGGACCTTCTCAAATTCCCCCCCAACGTTCGCCCCGGATTCTGTCTTCAGCAGCTTTAAAACTGGCAGCCCATACAATGACGGCCCTACCAGCTATTTTTCAAACCGGCAGACCCTCCCCGCAAACACCGTTGTGCGATTCGTACCCCAGCAAACAGCATGGATCGTCGAGCGCATGGGAAAGTTCGACCGCATCCTTGAACCCGGTCTGGCTATCCTCGTGCCTTTCTTGGACCGCATTGCCTACGTGAGGAGCTTGAAAGAGGCCGCTATTGAGATCCCCAGCCAAAATGCCATTACAGCCGATAATGTCACTCTCGAGCTGGACGGTGTGCTATATACACGGGTTTTCGATGCGTACAAGGCAAGGTGAGTGATATTTTGACACCTTTTCGTTATCCCAGGAAGCACTTGGTCAGCTAATCTGGTCACTAACCTCTCGATTGTTAATTGCAGCTACGGAGTCGAGGACGCAGAATACGCTATTTCACAACTCGCGCAGACCACTATGCGATCAGAGATTGGCCAGCTCACTCTCGATCACGTTCTCAAGGAACGCGCTAATCTCAACACAAACATTACTAAGGCAATCAACGAGGCTGCCCAAGAATGGGGCGTTGTCTGTCTTCGTTACGAGATCAGGGACATTCACGCACCGGAGAAGGTCGTTGCTGCCATGCACCGACAAGTCACTGCTGAGCGGTCCAAGCGAGCTGAGATCCTTGAGTCCGAGGGTCAGCGTCAAAGCGCGATCAACATTGCTGAAGGTCGCAAGCAGTCTGTTATCCTTGCGTCTGAGGCGCTGCGCGCTGAGCAGATTAACCGCGCATCTGGTGAAGCCGAGGCTATTCTTCTCAAGGCCGAGGCCACTGCTCGTGGTATCGATGCCGTCTCCCGGGCTATTGAAGAGGGCGGTGAGAACGCCCACAACGCTGTTAGCCTCAGTGTCGCTGAGAAGTATGTTGCGGCTTGGTCGAACCTGGCCCGTGAGGGTACCGCGGTTGTTGTCCCTGGCAATGTCGGCGATATGGGTGGCATGATTGCCAATGCCATGGCTGTCTACGGCAAGGTTAGCGAGACGCAGGCTCGGGGATTAGCGAAGAAGGCTCTAGGTGTCGAGGGTGCGTCCCAGTCGGCTCAGACTCCGGAACAATCCGTGGACGAGAAGCTCTTTGAGCAAAAGGAGGAGCCCCATGTCGCGTCCTAGACTGGTCGAGAGATTCGATATGGCCGGCTAACACAAAGAATAAGTCGTCTACATCTCACCCAATCGAAACGAGCACGACGACCTCTCCTTGATGCGTGTTTTAAGACTCTTTGTTTCAACTTTTTTCCACTCCCATCCGGGGTCCATTTGGCGTATGGGTTTGTTATTCACCACTCTATTCTGGAAACTCCCTGGACCATGTGTCTGACCTCCGTCCTCTATTTTCCATTTCTTTATCCCCTCTCCTTGTTTTCATCTTTATTGCCTTCCATCTTTTCATTGTTTTCCAGCATTCTTCAGGAGTCTAACAAAACGCACGAGCCTCGCTATGCATGTCGCATTGAGCCTGTCGACTTGGCATCCTGTATGTGTACATAAAGGAATTATTTTTGATCAGAAAGCCCGTGAAGGAAGGGAAACACTCAATGTACAAGTATTAGTCTTCCTACTCATGGATCTGTCCCTGGCAGTATTTGTAATCCAATTATGAAATGAGACGTTGCTGATCTCATCATTACTACCACATTGCAACCTGCTCTTTATGTACCGCGTCAGGCTTACCCGGCAATTTTTCGAGAGAGTCGATTCAGTGTGCTGTGAGGTCTCAATGTGTGGATCAAAGACTCAAAAATAAAATTTTTACAAAGCAGAATAGCAAGTACATCAAAGCATTGTTTTCAACTATGGCTATAGTTACATGTTTCTTCTTTGAAGCAACAGGATCCTGGCAAACTCTCTACAAAAAGTGTACAGAGGTCCTTTTTAGTCGCCATTATCTTCTTCGTCGGGCATTCATGTTTCTCCGTTTACCAGGCCAAGTGTTGGATAACAGAAATATATAGTCTCGAGTTTCCCACCTCATCGAGTCATTCACCAGCCTCATCAACGGTTCAATACACACCTTCCATCCACATTCTCCAATCAACTGCAAACCTCTAAGCATTGTCATACGTATTGACCCTAATCTTCAACCTTTCAAGGATTCAGCCAGCCGTATATTTAACAATGTCTCAGCACACTAGCATGCATGAAAAGCGTTTCCACAACGCCTGCGAGGCCATTCAGGACGACCTTCTCGACGCAGCTCACTCTCTTCATACTCTTCAAGCCAGCTGCTCGCAGAGTGTCCAGGTCTTGGCCGCTCAAACTATCAGAGTCAGCCGTATTATGATGCTCGCTGAAAACATGGCAACAAAGAGCCCGCGTTGTCCTACTGTCCTTATGAGCCCCCGAGGCTACTTCCAGCGAGAATTCCAACAAGTTTTACGTAAGAAGATTCTGCGTATCTTGAACAAAGCAGTGATAATACTTAATACAGGAGATAAGAATGACTGCCAGGTAAGATATGCAGCTGCTAATCAAGTGGAGACTGCGCTGGAAGAGCTTGAATTTGCCCCAAATAGCCGCGAATAGATCATGTTTTCGATTTATTTCCTCAGCGCTTTTTTTTTGAACCAGTGCGTTACATGGAAGTGCATATATCTGTTGCTTGGTTTATGAATGCATCTATGTGGTTTTATATCTATACATACAGACAATGGCAGTATCAACAAATGGTCATACGTAGAAAGGACTGGCTGTTGTTTTATCGACTGAGGTGATAACATAGTGGCCTTACAGCTATAGGGCATAGGTTTGTAGACTATATTGTGTTCAGTATCTCTAAAATCAGGATACTTTGATGTCCCTATTCTGTGGAATACTGGGACTGTCCAATTGAGTAACATTTAATACATCATATGCTTATCCTTCCCTTGCTAGAGAACTGGTTAATTCCACGTGTATGTCCAACACCATCTGGACTGATCACATGCAAATGGGTGATGATTGGAATATGGAGTAGCCATACAATGTAGTTATACAACACTGGTTCAATGGGCACAAATGTTTCAACATCATCACGCCCATAAACGGCAAGAGTCAACAATGGTTTCCATTCTCCCCTCCTTCCACTGGGTATATTAAGCCCCTCCCTCCTCAAACTTCTCTTCACTTCTTATTTATTCTATCACAACCGCTTTAATAAAACATCAAAATCATTCATCATTCCTTTCGGAAAAGGATACACCGTCAAAAGTTCCGGCACCAACAGCCAGGTATGCTCTATCTCTTCCATCCATCTATGTTACCATAACGGGAAGCGCAATTACTTATCCAGTTTCGATAAACCATATCATCTCGCCAAATTTGAACTTATTCTAATCAGAACGAATCAGGGCAATCATTACTGCTCCCGTGACTACGGATCCAGTGCCTCCAACACGTAAGTCATGTCCGACGACGCGGTGCCAGGCACATACAGCAAGGGAAATAATAGATACTGATTCTCTTTTCCTAGCGATGGCTCTTACTATTATTCCAACCCCAATGGAAGCACCTATCACAAAAGTGCATCGGGAAACTCTACTTACACTCCTCCCTCCGAAGAATCGGGAAAGATATAAACTGTCGTCCTCTGACGGCAGCGCATAATCAATCTGCCTGGAGGAATTGCTATATGCAGGTATCAACTACCTAGGTAGCATCAATTCATCTGTTTAGCCCAAGCGTGATCACTAAAGCCAAAATGGGTTGTCTATGTGTAGTTTCTGCATGTTGTCACTTCGTGTTGTAGTACTTGATGAAACGAGGTTCACTAGAAAGACTTGATAGATTCGAATATAGCTTTCAGGAAATGTTATAATGGAAAATGCTCTCTTTCATGGGGTTGTCACTCTTTGCGAACTAAGAAGCACTATCTATGTATCTATCTAGAACAGAGCAACCGGCATCGATACAAAACCATGTCGCTATTAGAGATAGGTAGCATACAGACTAGCCCAAATATAGATCAACAATTGTATATACAGGAGAGTTTGGAGGTCAAGCCATAAATTTCTCATACATGGATGCCCCCCGATAGCTAGTAGATATCCCAGGGCTTGCAAGCACATTCTTTCAATCCACCTAATGTAATTTATCATATACATAAACAAACTATATTGCTATAGCAAATCGAAAAAATTTATATGGAGAGACGAAAGAAATATACAAAATATACAAAATAGAAACATTGCACGATTTCAAAGAGTGTGCTGGATCCCTAAGCTATCAACGCGAGAGCTCGGACCAAGCAAATCTGGAGATCGCGACTTTTGGATCGCGCCCTTTTTATCTTCCGAATCAACTGTTCCACTCTCATTTCTATCTCGTGAACCCGTGACCGTGCACGCTGATCGCCCTTGCCATTGCCCCTGCAATGTCCGATATAAATATCTGAAAGACCAGCTTCAAACCCGACACAAATCCGAAACGCTGCTCACCCACGCTCGCGCACCGCGCTAAGACGTGGCGCACAATTCAAACCCAACACTTGGGTTTCCAGATTTCCTAACAACTATCCGAATAGACTGCATTGCGCTGGGACTGGCGCGATGCATATAATTAAGCCGGTATGGCTCACACATGGAGGTATGGAGTTCCATCGTTGTGATTTCTGCGCTTTTCGGCATTTGGGAGGAAATCTGGAGTCTCTCGTTGGAGGGACGCTGGAAATTATCTGATGACAGGGCCTGATTTGCTAACATCCTTGCTCGAACAGGTGAACGGAAGGATTTCGAAGTTTACAGCTGCGATGTGTCGCCGGATGGGAAGCGGCTTGTGACAGCTGCGGGAGGTGAGCCTGGCCCTTCCTGCATCGGCCTGAAGGACGCCAACGCTGTCCTCTCTGAGGAATGATCGCTGATTGCTTGAATTTGACATAGATGGATACGTTCGAATCTGGTCAACAGAGGCCATCTACGGCACCGGAAACGCAGAAATGGCGGGCAAGCCAAAACAACTGGCGTCCATGAGCAACCACTCAGGCACCATTCACACCGTTCGTTTCTCGCCCAATGGGAAATACCTCGCCTCTGGCGCCGATGATAAAATTGTCTGCGTGTATACGCTTGATGCCAATCCTCCAACGCACGCAACTTTCGGTAAGCTTCGGACATAGTGGGAGTGGACATATGGATTCAGACACTGACATTTGTTGAACAACACATAGGCACGGACGAAACACCTCCCGTCGAGAACTGGCGCACGATTCGGCGATTGATCGGTCACGACAATGATGTTCAGGATCTTGGATGGTCATTCGATTCCTCAATCTTGGTCTCCGTTGGACTGGACTCCAAGGTGGTGGTCTGGTCTGGGCACTCGTTTGAAAAGTTGAAGACACTCTCGATCCATCAAAGTCACGTCAAAGGCATCACTTTCGACCCAGCAAACAAATACTTCGCAACTGCCAGCGATGACCGGACTGTCCGCATCTTCCGATTTACCTCTCCTGCCCCGAATTCTTCCGCGCACGACCAGATGAACAACTTTGTCCTCGAGCAAACCATCACGGCACCATTTGCCAACTCTCCATTGACTGCCTATTTCCGCCGTTGTTCTTGGTCGCCTGATGGAATGCATATCGCTGCTGCAAATGCCGTAAATGGTCCTGTCAGCTCCGTCGCAATCATCAATCGAGGGTCCTGGGACGGCGACATCAATTTGATCGGACACGAAGCTCCAGTCGAAGTTTGCTCGTTCTCTCCGCGGCTTTACTCAACTGAGCCTCCTAATAAAAAGCAACCTGACGGCCAGCCGGTGCCGCAAAATCACATTACTGTCATTGCCTGTGCTGGTGGAGACAAATCCCTCAGCATCTGGATCACGAGTAATGCTCGACCGATCGTGGTTGCTCAGGAGATGGCGGCCAAAGCCATTTCAGATCTGGCGTGGACCCCTGATGGAAAATGTCTCTTTGCTACCGCTCTTGATGGCACAATCGTAGCAGTCAGATTCGAGGATGGCGAGCTCGGATGGGCTACAGAGATGGAAGAGAATGAAAAGTCACTCACTAAATTCGGAACGAATCGAAAGGGTGCTGGTATCACAGAAAACATCGACAGCTTACTACTGGAAGAGAAAAGCAAGGCCGGCGAGATCAAGCACGTCGAAGGAAGAATGGGTGCTTTGATGGGTGATAGTGCCGAACCTAACACAAATGGAGACAAACCACCACAGGCCTCAAATGGGACCACACCTGCTCGTGGCTCGTCGCCGGCCCCTGAAGTCCCGAAAGCGCAGCCCAACGGAACTGCCCCAACACCTAGTGCCACAGAGGCCGAGAAGCCGGATCCTTATCAAGCCAAATTAGAGAAGCTGAAACAACGCCCGACATATACCAAAGAAGGCAAAAAGCGTATCGCTCCATTGTTGGTCTCCGGGGCTGGCGCTGGCGAGTCATCTCTTCCACAGGCCCGTCTGATGGCATCCATCAGCAATCAAGTCAAAGCCGACGCCCCAACTACCATCGTCGACTTGTCAAAACCCTTCGATGGTCTGCCTAAAGGTGGTCTGACTGCTTTACTACTTGGAAATAAGCGTAAATTGGCCCAAATTGATGGCGATGAGGACGGGAGCGTGGAGAAGCGTGTAGCACTTTCCACCCAAAACGGCGCAACTCCCATCATGGCGAATACCCCTGATGGTCTTCTACCAGCCCAAGTCCAGTCTGCGATAGCCGGTCAACAACCAACTCCGGATTTTATCCGACCTGCGGTTACCAACCCTTGCATGTCAGTTAGCCAGCTTCGTTTGGCAGTCCCCAAGATTCGCAGTCAGATTCTCCGCGCGATAGATGCGAGCGGGAAACCGACAGAACCCCCAGCTCCTGGTGCAGACCCCGGCACAACCAAGGGTCGTGTGGATGTGGTCTTCGAGGCCCGAAATCCATCACCCGCAAGCCTGACTGGTCGCGCTGTGGACCGTGAACCAGTACGCCTGACTCTCTTCCGTGGTGATCAGCCGCTATGGCAAGATTTCTTGCCACGGACTGTTCTCCTCGTGACTGGTAACCAGAGTATGTGGGCAGCTGGCTGTGAGGATGGGTCGATCTACCTGTGGACACCAGCAGGTCGTCGGCTGGTGAGCTCGCTTGTCCTTGAAGCACAGCCTGTCATCCTCGAGTGTAACGGACCGTGGATATTGTGCATCTCATCAGTGGGTATGTGCTATGTCTGGAACGTGAAGCACTTATCTTCCCCACACCCACCAGTCTCTCTCCAACCCGTCCTGGACGCTGCTATTCATACACTAGGCGCGAATCCCACCGCTGCTCCTGCAGTGACAGATGCACGCATCAACTCAGAAGGCCGAGTCGTCGTCTCCCTATCCAATGGCGAGGGTTATTCCTACTCCCCATCCATGTTCACATGGCAACGAATCACAGAAGCCTGGTGGGCAGTTGGTAGTCAATACTGGAACACGACAGATGCACCAGTTAGCAACTTGCAAGCCAAGGATGCACAACAAGACAACAAGGATGCAAAGGCAGCTGTCGCGGCTGGGATTATTCCTTGGCTGGAGCGGAACACTACCAACGAGACCCTTCTTCGCGGAAGAGCGTACTTCCTCCAGCGTCTCATCAAAGTTCTGTTGTCACGTGAAGGTTACGAGACCTTCGAATCCAGCGTCTCCATTGCACATCTCGAAAACCGTCTTGCTGCTGCTCTATCCTTGGGTGCTAAAGAAGAGTTCAGGCTGTACCTGTCCATGTACGCCAAGCGCATTGGCGCCGAAGGGCTGAAGCTGAAGGTAGAAGAGCTACTGAAGGGATTGATGGGCGGTCTTTTCGACGACGAAGATGATGCCAGTGAGGGTGTTTTGAAATTACAGGCCAATGAGCGTGAGGGCCGCAATTGGCGCGAAGGGTCTGACGATCTATGTGGCTGGCCACGGGAAACACTCTTGAAGGAAGTCATTCTGGCACTCGGTATGCTCTTTCCTTTGCTTCTTTTTTGGGTGTCAGTTACTAACTTATGTTCTTCTAGGTAAACACCGTGACCTTCAACGTGTCACAGTACCCTATGCCAAGCTTCTTGACATGGTTGACACAGCATCGGAGCATGGCGATGCCATGGACCTCTAGTAATCTTTCTCTCTTTCTTGACTTTTACTTTTTTTGTGTCTATTCTCTTTTACTGGCGTTTATAGGTTTTGGGCTCGGTGACCTTGGTTAAAAGGGTTTGCATTATTTATCTCTGCCGAGGCGGGATTGGAAATGAGAAATCTTCATTTCATGCTGTAATTGTATCATATATATCTCATTCAATTTGCTTTTATTCGCTGGACACCTCGAGAATCTCGATTAATAGCTCCATATGTAGACTGATATTCATTACGTACCCAAAAAGGAAATGACGTCGATTAGGGCTTGGACCCCACGTGAGCGGTCACTTCTCTGCAGGCAGAAAATTTACGACTTCTGGCGCGAACCTCAACAACTTTGCATTTGATTTGCACCTCACTCATTTACTCTCATTTTATCATCAATTGAACTTGCCCACGAGTGTAGTGGGCAACCCGTCATCACGTTTTCCTCGGCAATTCTCCTTCTTCGTATCGTCGATCGATCCGCAGCTGGTCCTGCATTTGGCGTGCTCCATCCCTTCCGCTTCCGCCTTCAAACATCTCCCCACCTCCCACTTCTTTCCTGTCGCTTCTACTCAAGCAAGAAGAGAAAAATCAAATAAAATGCCTCCTAAGAAGCAGCAAGTTCAAGAAAAGATTCGCCTGGGTCGTCCAGGAAACACCCTGAAGAGTGGTATCGTAAGTCAGCAAGGCCCCCACCCTTTTTTCCTCTCTTTTTTCCACACAGCACAGTCCACTTTTTAATTCCACAGAAAACTATTTAATCCCCCCTGTCCCCTTTCTGCCCCGAATTTTTTCTTCTCTCCTTCCCAACCATCCATTCTAACAATGGCTTCAGGTTGGTCTTGCCAATGTCGGCAAGTCGACACTCTTCCAGGCAATCACCAAGTCCACCCTGGGTAACCCGGGCAATTTCCCCTTTGCTACCATTAACCCCGAGGAGTCCACCGTTATCGTCCCCGATGAGCGGTACGACTGGCTCTGCCAGTACTACAAACCCAAGTCGCAGGTGCCTGCTATCTTGTCCGTGTATGATATCGCCGGTCTGATCAAGGGTGCCTCCACTGGTCTTGGTTTGGGTAACGCCTTCCTGTCCCACATCAGCGTTGTCGATGGCATTTTCCAAATGGTTCGCTGCTTCGATGATAAAGACATTACGCACGTTGAGGGTGATGTTAACCCTATTCGTGATTTGGACATCATCAGCAGCGAGCTGCGCATCAAGGATATCCAGACTGTTCAGAATTCTCTCGCTGCCCTCAAGAAGGAGACTCGCCGTGGTGGTCAGTCTCTCGAGATGAAGAAACTCAAGGAAGCGGAAGCCACCACTGAAACACTCTTGGAATGGCTGCAGGAAGGTGACGGCAAAGGCCCAAAGCCGGACGACAAAGATTACCAAGCGGATATGAACTACGGCAAAGACGTTCACACACGTGAATGGAGCCCTAAGGAGGTACGTTCTACAAATTCCCCATTTTCTCTTTATTTTCCCCACCTACTACCCACGACTCCTACTCTGATGAATAAGAGCACTGCTCGAAATTTAACCCAGCTCGTTGAGTGCCCTCATATAAATACTCACAACCGAGGGCACCTTGAGAAAAAAAGTTATAATCTGAAATTTTTGGAGTCACTTCACATGATTGCATCATCCAATTTCTTTGAGACATGTCATGCTAACCTACATGGTTATAGGTCGAGGTCATCAATCCCCTGGGTCTCCTCACTGCCAAGCCTGTTGTATACCTTGCCAACATGAGCGAGGAGGGTTACATCTTGGCGACGAAATTGGAGCAGGGCCTAATTAAACTGGAAGACTTCGACACAGATCAGAAGAAGCTGATCAAGCACGCTATCAAAGTCAAAAAGTGGATGAAAGATAATGCTCCAGACTCCGAGCTTTGCTTCCTCTCTGCCGCGTTCGAGCACCGCCTGAGTCTCATGGAGGACGATGCCGCCGCTCTTGAGGAATGCAAACGGCTGAACACTTACTCCGCTCTGCCCAAGATCATCACTACCATGCGTGCGGCTCTGGACCTGGCCAGCTTCTTCACGACTGGTGAGGACGAAGTTCGCCAGTGGACCATCCGCAAGGGCATCAAGGCGCCCGCCGCTGCCGGTGTGATCCACACTGACTTCGAGAAGACCTTTATCCAGGCTATCGCATACAACTACAGTGTTCTGCGTGAGTATGGCGATGAGGCGTCTGTCAAGGCTGCCGGTAAGATTATGACCAAGGGCAAGGATTATGTAGTCAATGACGGTGACATCCTGCTCATTAAGGCCGGTGCTGCCAAGAAATAGATACATTTCAATGGCGGTCCTTTGAAAATAATATGTGTTGACGGCTTCTACAATACAAGTTTCTCTTTTGGAAACATCTGTAAATAAATTCTGGAGCAGCAATCGTGTTTGATACTGCTATGCCTTTCTTAGAAGCAGCCTGATTAGCTTTATTATTTCTGTGTTATGGTATAACCAGAAAATAGAATTCCATTTATTCGTATTCCGTATACAGTTGCTCATTCTTAATCTATAAATCACATGCAGCACATAGTTATCCAGCTTGTTGAGTTCACGTCAGGAAAAAAAATAAAGCAATATACCACTCACGTGACAGGTCCCCGCGCATCCCACTTGCGCATCAAGAGCTTCATTTCTAGTCTCAACCAACACAATGTTCAAAAAAGAGTACGTTGACCGCCCTACTTCTTCCTTCAAAATATTGTGACGGCATCTTGATTTAATTCAAGCCTCTTGTGCACTAATTTGGACCACATGGCTTCAGAGGCTTTCGGACCCAGCAAAGAGAGCAGGAGCTGCATTGTTGGAGATTGAAGCATCCAAGCTACTTTTTTTTCAAAATCAAGATGTCCAAAGTTTCCCAAGAATGACTGTTAACATTCTTGTGATCACCAGTATCCCCCCAAGCAACCGGTCAAAGGTCAAGTCCTCTGTGCAGCGCGGCTTGCGCCAGAAGCTGTTGGACACATACCCTGGTTTCGAGCCATTCATCGAAGAATTCATGCCCAAGAAGGCTTCATTGGAAGCTGTGAAATTGTACAATCCACCCCTCCATTATTATGGCCCTCATCTACTGCAACGTCATTTCCGCCTTCTCCACCAATATGCTATTGCATCAATCGAATCTGCTCTATTTCACAAAGCAAAAGCTTACAACAAACCTTTCTAGGCCCGACCGTGTTACCCTTTACACAATAGACTCCACCCCCCTTTTCTTCCAACCCATCGATGGGCCCCCAGTACCCCATCTCCGCCTCATCCACGCCTACCCCTCTGCCATCCCAACAATCCAGATTGACCGCGGCGCCATCCGCTTCGTGCTTTCCGGTGCTACACTCATGGCCCCTGGGCTGACCTCCCCAGGAGGTAGACTGCCCGATGCAGAGCATGCGATTGAGGCAGGCCAGATTGTTGGTGTTAAGGCTGAGGGCAAGGAGGAGATTTGCCTTGTTGGTATGCTGAAGGTCGGCACCGAGGAGATCAAAAGCAAAGGAAAGGGTGTTGTTATGGACGAAGGCCATTACGTGGGCGACGGATTGTGGAGAATGCACCTGGATTAAGGGTGGATTCGTTACAAAGAGGCAATGAAACCTTGGAATGATTTGGCTTCGGTGAGGGCATCAGATGTTGTCCTTGGCATATATACGATACCTTAGCACGGTTTGAATGAATTGAAATGAAATATTCTCTAGATTCGGGCTGAGAATGCGCAGTATGATCGGAGGACTTGTATATGAAGATGTCTGTTCCCCAAGGACGCTGTACTGACTATCTAGTCTAATATTCTCTGGAGTAGACGGAAATTTGGAGCTCGGTTGCAAATGTGGGCAAAACGATAATTGTTGTGTTCACTTGCAGAGTGTCAGACACCTTGACCACTCTTGGATGTGCGTGCATGTGCAAGAGATAAAGGACGTAGAAGCCTAACGCGGACGGTTCCATTTAGCCATTCAGCTTGCAATAGTTGGCTCCAGGATGAGAGGGGGGTGGGGTGTGCAGGGGATTCATAGCTTTTGCACACTATAAATGTAGAACGTTATCGCCGATTTGAATCTTTACTTTCTCTTTTTCCAGTGTTCTTCCTAAAAGTAATCATGGGACTGCGACGAGTCTCAAATCGAATCTTTCGACAATGAGGAGAAAACGACAGCAATGGGAGCAAGGCTTCCTCAACCGAGGCATGCAGCAGCGATGTCACAGACATAATGGAAACCAAACACACGGCGACTGAACCCAGATCAGAACCTTCACCAACCAATGCGTCTTCTGATCAAGCTATCTCTGGATCAAATATAGATCTATCGCGTGAGTCTCCTTCTCTCGCCCCAAGATCTATGAAAAGGAGCTGTGGGACGAGGCATACGACGTGCTCAAACAAGATGAGACTCAGATAATAGACAGGTATGAGAAGATTTTAACCCGTGAGCTTCTGGGAGATTCTGCTCCCACAAATTTAATGCCCCAGGAGAACATGACAGTGCAAGGCAACCCGAAGGAAAGGCAGATTCAGATGAACCAGATGGTGCAGCGTGGTCTACAGATTATCGACAAAGAGACGAAATTGAAAAGAAGTCGAAAAAAAGACGCGAACCCTCTCTTCTGTCGAGAACGTGATAGAGGAGGCCGTTAAGGTCTCCACGGAAGCAAGTCTCGCATGGGTAGGGGATTTCATGTGTTCTTCAGGTAACTACTAAATTTCTGCCATGAGTATCGACTTATGAGACTGATTGCTTTTTTTTCTCGTATAGATTTTTACAAATCCAATAACCGAAATTCCAATGTTCATGAACTCTATACAGCTTCGCTCTTTTCGAAGGCAATTGTACCTGCCAATATACCTATATCTTGGTATTGATTGCAAATATGAGAAGAGTGAGGTTAGGAAACTACCTAGGTACAAATGTACAAATGTATATACTAAAATGCCAAGATTGAAGCGATCTTAGGAACGCTGATTTGATACCAAAGGAATCGCAGATGTACTTCGAAGACAAATATGAGTCACCATATTGAGATATCCCTTGTATATCAACCAAAGAGCCTTGTGCCTACTTATTATGCCAGGGAATCCCAGTGCTACGGCATTACTCAGAGGCTTTTCAACTCGCAGACTAGCTTTAAAAATACCAACTTGGCACGAGTATGGTACAGTTCAATAGGATACATATGTAGAATCTATTATCTTTATCACTGTCGGAAGTGGCAGTATAGAACATAATAGAAAAAAAAAAGGTAGAAAGGGCTTGAAACTCAAGACATCCACAGCAATATGTTCAGACGAAGATGTCGTTCTGGGCACCTATTTTCGAATGTAATCAGCATTTATCGACTGGCTGGAGAAGGGTCTTGCGCAATGATAACATACCGGTTTTCCAACCCCACGCCGTGTTGTACATCGGTGTCTTTCCACTGGGCACTTCAACGTTGTTCCCGGATTTCTCTGTTGGACTCAATTAGCTATGTAACAATGAGATCAAATGTCCAGATATCATACGGTTGAATGCAATCATCTGCTTAGCACCCTTCACGCACTTGGTCGCGTCATCCTCGCAATAAACAGCGACTTGAGCAGGCGCGACCTTCTTGGTTGAGGTGGATCCAGTGACGTTGCATTTATAGCCGGCCATATACCTAATTTCCAAATGTCAGTTTAAAGCTCAGAGTCCGGCAATAGGTACTCACATGTTGGGTTGTCCGCAACCGTTGGGCACCTGCCAATTTGTTAGCTACGTTGGAGTAATGTGCTTTCTATTAATACAGGAACTTACCCAGAGCCAAGCGCATGTGCAGCCGCCTTCAGGACAGGGAGGCAGATCAGCAGGAACCTCATAAGTCGCAAGACGTTTCCATGGAGTACTGAAATTTAGTCAGTAAATCAAGTATCTTGGCGCACAGTATATTCCCAGAAGTACTCACTGTTCCAAAGTAGTGAACACCGACAGGTTATCCATGGTCACATCAGCCAGATTTGACTGGTAGCTAATGGCAAACGCTGTACCAGCAGCGGTGGTTTCGTTGTTGGTGTGCATTGCGCCGTCGTCCTGGATGCACTCAGGGGGGTTTCCAGGGCCCGCCCAGTCTTCGGGATAATCCTTTCCATCCGGCCAGACAGAAGCGTACTGTCCATCATAGGAAAGGGTCGTCTGTGCCCGGTTATGGGCGAGTTCGACAGTGAAGCTCCCACCAGCAGGAAGTTCGAGAATCTCACCGTCCGCTGGCGGTGCTGCGTCACAACCGCGCTCGTGCTGGAACCACCAGTCCTCGTGGGAGAGGTCGTAAAGGGGTCCCACTGCAGTGTTGGTGTTGAGGTTTACTGTGGAAGGATCAGGACCTCCCAAGCAATACATGCCTTTAGTCCAGGCGACTGTATGCGCCTGGGCGGCACCAATCAATGCGAAAACGGCGGTTTTGGACAGCATGGCGAGAAATAGAAAAGAGTGTAAAGGCCTAGTGTGCTGGATCTATTTGGGAGAATAGGATGAGGCTATTTATAATGAAAAATCCGAATTTTGATTATGCATGCGATGTTATGCTCGAGTATAAGTTTAGAGCTGTCTATAGAGATGACTGCACAATGCCGAGCTTTTATGGAGCTAAACGCCTTGTTAATTAATCCCTTAATTGTACGTCGTTTCAGACTCCCCAGAAACTGCGCCAAAGGAGCCGGGGTGGGTCGGACCCTGATCAATTAGATTAATTTTGGCCCGTTCATGTCGATTGCTCATCAAATTGCCCCAAAGTGGAAACTCCTGTCCTTGAGGTACTCCAAGCACGGCAACTATAATTTGAGCAATAGTGCCTGATGTTCACTTTTTTGTTGCGCCAATGTATTGTTGCCCTGTAGCTCAGAAGCATCCGGGAACTGGAAATGGTAAATTATCTAATGGGATCCTCCGGACTCGGCTTGCCGCAGCAGCATTAAATCGACACTATAACTTGTCGGTCGAACATGAGCACGAGGAGGGTTGTCACTAGGTAGGCGCCAAACAGCACATTCCGAGACTGTTGTGGTCGCAATACAACGTCGCTTTCATACACATACGATGATATACTAGGAGTAAACAACACATTATATAGGGGCCAAGTCCAATAGGAGATTTTAGGGTAGGCAAAGAGGGGAATAGAGCTCAGAGATCAGTTTCGAGAAGACGCTATGATAATACGAGAACGAGGGATTTGAAACAAGCTACACCATTTCCCATTTACGTCAACAAAACCCTGCAAGCTAGATGCTCGCTGTATGATGTTAACCCATTCTCTGAGCGAAGTAAAATAGTACCTGAAGCACTTTATCCTAACCTTTAGCCAATACGGTTCAGGGGCCATTGATTACGCGGAGAAAGTAATTTACAGCTCTTGAGAATTGTGTAGCGCAAAGCAAGGCAATAAAGCTAGACGCCAGTGATGTACTCATTATCCAGGTTGCTAATCGCCCTATTTCACAGCGACTCATATGACCACTGAAAAAGCCCTTTTCAGGAATGTCATTGTAGGTCGAATTTAAAGTAGAATACAATCTACCCTTACAATAGTTATATACCGGTCCCTACCGGCCCCTGGGAGTTGAAAAAGTTGACTAAGGGTTTAGGTTCCGGCTCTCGGAACCAACCCCCGCTGTTTCAACTCTCCCGGGAACCGCTTCAAGAATACCAAATTTGTCTACTAAGTCCACTTTAGAACATGATTGAACAAAATATATACCTAAGTACCTTCTGGATACGGGAAAAACGTGCGCTGCCTAAACACCTGCACCCTACACAATGAAGAGTGAGTCAGCCTAAATAACTTTTATGGGTACCTAGCTGCATTTGGTCTCATTTGTTGTTCGAACCATTTTACTTAATGACTTCAAAAAATAGTGACGTAAAATAGCTGGTTTAAGGACCGGATCAGACAACTCTGGCAAATATATAATCAAAAGATTGGTTCCAGGGCAATTATCCCTGCTATGAGTATTGATTGTCACACAAGTACCTAGGCAATTATATATTGATTAGCTCACTGTTTTGACCAGGGCAACTTGCACTGCAAGCATAATTACATCAACTGTGCTTCTGTGCCTGAAACATACCACTACCTTAACAAGTGAGTTCCTCCATTTCTCTGGGATTCTTCGCCGTGATTTGATCTAGAGACATACAGAAACGGTGAGTATGTATCTAATGATTCAGACAGAAGTCAGGAGAATGTTCATATGAAGCTGAGACAAGTCGATTATCTTCCACCTGGAAACATAGACGGTATCTGGTTTGATGACAGTGAAGTAGTCAATTGGGATGTTTTAGCAGATATACCAGATCGTTGCATTGCAAGAAATAAAAATTCCCCGGCATCCATTGGGGATATAATCCGAAAAGAAGAGGAAATTTATATACCTAACCGCCTACGTCTACTTGCAGGTATGTTGATGATACCTTTCTTTTCTTAAACAAAAAGGATGTCATAGCTGATGACGGGAAGTTCAAGAAGGGGAAGCAAGAGAAAAGAGGTACAAGGTAGGGGGTGACTTCCATGGAATGTGATCAGGTAAAGCTAACATTGAGCAAAACGTCTGGCCACCAAGATAGCTCACAATCACAGTCTGTAAAAGCAAGACCCGCAAACACAAGGTGAAGACTCCAAAGATATCAAAGAGGAGTTCATCACCGAGGAGTGCAAGGATGAGGTACAAACCGATGAGACTGTGGATGCAGAAAGGGAGAAGAAGCAACAGCGACGAGCCGAAGGAGAATCGAAGCGCAAGCTTAAGGAGGAAAAGAAGAAGATGGTAACATCAGCCACTTAGATAGAGTAATATTAAGCGGCTATTCAGGTAGCTTTCCCGCCAGCTATAGACCAACTAGATTGCTTCTCTATTCTAGGGTTAAATAGGAAGCAAGACATGAAAGTATTCTATTCAACATGCAGCACTTAGGCATGACCTCAAGGGCCTACTACAGCGTGGCGAATGGACAATACATATGGGTGTAAGAGGAAATTATATTTCCACGCCATCGACTGTTCATCGATAGTATTCAAGACCTCGGGATTGATAATAGCATAACCTACTGCAAGAATAGCAACTCGGAGCCTACAAAGAATTATACTAAAGTACTATGATCATATCAAAAAAGCATAACTCATGCATGCATTGCTTGACTACCTAGTTTACATCCATAGATGAAGTCTCGAGAGACCGACTAATCAGCCATACTTAAAGCCAAAACCTCATCTATCTATTACCCTTCCTCCATAAAATCAATTAGAGGTACTCAATTCTCAACCCAAATTCTCCACATCTTGTCGTGCTATGCCATTACAGCCCAGCATCTATGCTTTAAGTTGCGGCTTACAGATTGAAAGCGAGAGCACCAGCCATCATACCGGCGATAGCGATGGGCTGAGCGATGAGAGACATGGCAGCACCAGTAGAGGGGGTAGCAGAGGCGGAAGCAGTGCCGCTAGCGGTGCCGGTGGTGGAAGCGCTGGTGGTGAGACCAGTGGCGGTGCCGGTAGAGGTACCAGTGGAGGTGCCGGTGGCGGTTCCAGTAGAGGTGGTCGAGCCAGTAGCTGTGAGAGTAATAGAATGATCAGTTATGTGCTTGCCAGAGGTGCCAGTGGTAGAAGGTTCTAGTATGGGATCCAGAGGACACGCCAGGGGAAGAAGTACCGGTAGTGGAAGCCTCAGTGGTGGAGGATCCAGCAGTGGAAGAAACAGAGGAAGATCCAGTGGAGCTGGAGGCAGAAGAAGAAGAAGAAACAGTGGAAGATGTACCAGTAGAAGTGGTGGAGCTCTTGGAGGACTCGGTCACGTTGAATTGCTGAGACTGGGCGAGGATTCCGGTGTTGTGCTCGGAGGTGGACAGAAGGTTGACCTGGAAGCCGTGGCTGTGTTGTGCGTTAATTTCACGCACATGATATGGCGCAGTGTTACCGGAGTTGACCTACCCGTCGGTGACATCCTTGAGACCGGAAGCAGTGTAGCTGCCCTTGGAGGTATCGATGTCGGAGGCGATCTTCTCCTCAACAGGGGGGTAGACATTGTTGTTGACAAGGACAATGTTGACAGTAGTCTCGTCGGTGCTATTATGCAGTTAGCCTTGTAGCGCGAGAGCGCGATCATAGCTAACATACTTGACGCTGGTCCACTTGACAGTGAAAGACTTGGACACATCAACCTCGGCACCCTCAACAGGCTCGGTGACCTTGAGAGCTAGAAAAATAATTAGCTCATGTTTTCTTTGTTATAGAATTGAACAACATACCGGCGACGGAGAGAGCCAGAGGCAAGAAAGACAGAGCGAGTGACAGACGCATCTTGTAAACGAAAGTATGTAATGGATTAGAAGTAAGTAAGATGGAAGATTGAATAAACGAATGGACGTTGAAGCAAAGAGAGATGCGAAGAGAAGATGTAGATGGAAGTTTTAGCAAATGTTTAAATTCAAGAGAACTATGGCATTATAAGTAATGTCCAGTCTGATATCGTCCAAACTCTGGCAGTCTTGCACTACAACAAATGTCTCTGACACCCACAAAAAACCGCGGCAAAATTACAGCAAACACTGAAAATAGAACAACACAAAAAATCCCAGTTTTAGAGGCTCTAATAATATCTAAATCATTTTTTTGTTTGGCCACCAGATGTGGGATTCAGGGTCTCTACATTGGGGTACCATACTGAAGAGATGATCATCGTGGTTCGACATGGAGCTAGTCTCAGGGCTCGAGTCCCGCTTTATAAAAGACATTTTTTCTATTACAAGACTACTCCGTATAATTAGCAAATACAGAAAATAGAAGAGCGCATTAACCGGGATTATATGGATATTATCCTGATATTACCTTGATTTTACTAGATGTGGTGCTATAGGGCCGATAAAGAAAACACTAGAATACTTAGTCAAGCCACTAGTGTCTTGGCACGGAAGTTTGCGCCACGTTTTATTTCTTTTTTGGGTTTGATGTTGGTAAAATTTGAAAGCTTTTATCGATGGGCTTGGTATTTTTGGTTTGCAAATTCTGCTGTAATTTACCTTTTACCCGAAGCTGTAATGGACCCTGATCTACTTGTATTTTTAATTTGTGACACTTGGCCATAAGATAAGGCCAGTGTAACGTAACAATCTGCACGCATTTACTTAGATGTACATACATGTACCTAGGACTATTGACTATGTGCATCGGGATGCACATTCATGTGGTTTGCAAAATTTCCCTTAATTGCGACAGGTATGAAATTAAATAAAAAACTCGTGTCTCAAAATTGACCCCGAAAATGGGTTTGTGCGAGAAATTCGGTGTTTCAATGACCCACTCATGTACAGGTCAATTTCTGATTGAGACATCTCGCAACAGGGTACCTTGACGCTAATAGCAAGAATAAAATTAGTGTCTCACCGAAAATCTGCCGGCACATTTTAGCTGAATGATGCCTTTTGCCTTCATTATACGCCAGAGCCTTTGATTAGGCAGAGAACTCTGATTATTTCAAGGTTATGAGGTGTCCTCCATACATGTATTGAATACGAGATTGAACTATGCAAGTCCAAGAGTTATGTTATCCTGATTGGTATCCCTTACGGTGTAGGAATATGCTTTCCACCTAATTTCCATGTGTATCTGCGCCCCAAAAATCTCAGCAATTAATTATTGTAAATATTAACGTTGCTGACACAAGTGTTAGCAATTGAATCGTGACAAGTGTAGCAAAATGGAATATACTTACAAATCCCTTTTAATATTGTCGCGGCTGACAGTAGCCGACTCAACCCAGACGCTAGCACTCATCGCTTTGACAGCGAACACCCCATACCCCTTTTTATCGATAATGACAGGCTTCATCTCAGAATGCAGCAGATCGACCCACTCCTCGTATGCGTGGCGCTGGCCAACATACATCTTTTGCACAGCCGAACCGGCATTACTGATAACACACGCCAGACCAGAGAGGTGACGGGCGTTTCCGTAACGGACGAATCCTGTATGGGCTGTCAGCTCTGCCAAGACCAGGTGTTCCCCATAATGGAGTTCAATGTCGAGTGGAGATAGTATCCGTTGGAGGAAGGGTCATGCGAACCTATGCAGTTTGGTTGGTCGAAGTAATCTTGCTGTTCGCCGTTGGCGTACAATTTACGTGCTTGCATGAGAATGGGCAGGAGGCCGTTGCAACTCGGTGTCATTGGGTTCTCCACATTGGCTCGTATTCCATACAAGTCCCCGTAGAAGACGCAAGGGTGCCCCCCTTTGCGGAGGAGGATCAGGGCGTATGCGAGCAGTTTGAAAGATGGGGCGACCGGGGTCTGTGGTCATTATTAGTCTCAGCTATTGCGCTTGTGGATTTGGTCGACTTACTTCGAGCATTTGTCCTGGTTGCTATACTTTGTTAGATTATTGTCCAGGTCGTTCTTTGATTGTACTAGCTTACCGTATCGTGGTTCGTGACGATCGTCTTTAACAGTCAGCATTGATATCACTAGCTGAGTAGTCTTGGAGGGCAACTTACCACGGCGTGGTCTGGCCGGCACTCTACCAATGTATCTTTCAGAATGTGACGCATGTCGGATCCCTTTGCATGCGATATCTTGGAGAACTTCTCCACTAAAGGGACATCGTAAGCAGTGAGAGTATATTCCACCTTCTCGAGATAATCAAGCAGAGACGGTAAATGTCCTGTCCAATACTCTCCTATCGCAAAAAAGTCCGGATTGGCGGTTTTCTTGACATGTTGCACGAAATCCTTTTGGAATCCAGTAGAGAAGTGTTTGGCAGCATCGAGCCGCATTCCATTGAGGCTCAATGTATTCGTGATCCAAGTTCCCCATTGCAGGAGGTCAGCGCGAACTTCTGGATGTGTCAGGTCCAGATCGGCAAACATAAGATAATCGTAGTTCCCGTTCTCTGTGGAGACATCCTTCGCCCAGTCTTTGTTGGGGGCGACGATCTTGTAGATTGCGTTTTCCTTGCTCTTATCATCCCAGTCGATCCCGCTGAAATGTTGCCAGTGATACTTCATCGAGCTATACATATCACCGCGACCGGAGAATTCAAAGCCTGTCCAGCCATTGACCTCAACTGGCTTGGAAATTTCCAAATCTCTTCCTGTGGATGATATATTTAGTATTTGCAAATCTCAAAAAAATCAAGAAAATATCTGCGTTCAAGTAAAAAGACTCACTTTTAGGATCAACTTTAACAGCCTTGAAGGGCTCTGGATAATCCGCACCAGCCTTATGATTAAGCACTGCATCCCAAATCACACGAATTTCCAAGATTTCCGCTTGAAGCATCAAATCCTCGAGTTCTTGCCTCGTGCCCCATTTCGTGGGAACCGCGCCCTTTTGATCAAACTCTCCCAAATCATACATGTCATAGATGTCATAGCCATTGCCATGCGCATCCATGCCCTTGCATCCGGGCGGAACCCAGATCTGATCAACACCGATGGCTTTGTAGGCAGGTAACAAATCCCGCAGACGGCGCCAATGCGACCGGTCAGCTGGAACATGCCATTCAAAGGCTTGAAAGATGAGTGAATTATCTGGAGCATTCCATGATGGCTGTTGCTCTAAATTCGCTGCCTTTTCTGCATGTACGATTGTCGTTAAAATCTGTATCACCTATTGCTCAAGGGGGAACCAACCTTCAATTTGTCTCCATTTCTGGGCTTTCTGTCGTGATCCACACCAGAAAAAGGATAGCATTGTTGAGACTGTGCAACTATTGCAAAAGCTCTAACTACATGAAAGGATATGCACATCCTCTTCGGATAAAGGAATTCGGAGTCTCACATGTGGGGCCCGACTATTTTTACAACGGTAAGCTACAAAAAGGTACCCGTGGACTACTGTTTGTTCGGCCCAATAATAAATGTTATTTATTGCTTAATTATGGAGAGAGAATTTTTTTCAATTGCCTGTTGATTCTTTCGAAATTTCCCGGAAACTCCACTCAAATCCCAATATCTGAGATGTTCAAAAAAAAAGAGACGATAAAAATTAGAAAATAGGGGGCAAATTCCCATGTGGTCCAATCAAATGTCGATCATTTGAAGATGCATATGTATGTATGTATGCAATGAAAAGAGATCGCAGCCATATCACCAAAGTAAAATGAAGAAAAATGTACATGAAGGGATATCTGTGCAAACTAAGCCGAGTCGTCAACACGCCTCATGCAAAGCGGAAAAAAAAGAATGGTGCGGGTAAACAAAAAGATAAATAAGAGAATGACTAGAAACATAAAAAGAAGGGAAAATGCTTGCGGCTAGGCACATCATAGGATCATCACATAGCTCATCACTGCAGTCAACAGACACACCAAAGCAGTATTTCCAATGGTCTTGACACCGGCGGAATAGGAAGTAATGTCTTTGCCAGTCTTGATGGAGGCCAAAGAAGCATTCGAGGCAGCATAGCCACAAAGACCACTGCCATCCATGTATTCTGAAGGGAAGAATACACGTGGCTCACCCTTGTTCATATCGACCGCCAGCGTGCCTGCATTATCAACCGTGTAGTTCTTACAGTTGAGTACATCCACCAGATCTATGCCAGCGTTGTAGCTGTTAAACAGGTTGATAGTATAGTATGTGCTGGTTGAGGGCTGAGTGGACAAAAGCATCACCACTTGGCGGCCCTCGACACCTTTTGTGAAGGCGAGCGCACTGCTGTCTTGGTAGATTGTGTGTGTCGGTAGGTTAAGGTAATCGCTGCTCAGAGTGTAGGCGTGTTTCCGGATGGCGTTGAGCTTGGCGATCAGTTTGTAAAGCACCGCATCGGTGTCATATTTGGTCAGCCAGATGGCTTCTCGATTATCGGGCGTGCCACTGCCGGCAAGGTGTTGCTCCTGGCCTTGATAAATCATCGGAATGCCATCAAAGAGCATGGTGAAGACCAGAACATTCTTGGCGATCTGTACGTAAGTCGTGTTAGCAACCGCTGGACCCCGGGAGACCAAAATACACATACCGACATGTCCTTCGAATAGCTAGCAATTCGAGGCTTGTCGTGGTTTTCGGAGAAAGAAGTAAGGGCGTTGACATCAGGGCAGGAGACCCTCATGTTTTCAACTTCAAGGGCTAATTGGCTCGTGTTTCCCAGAGTGAAAGCACTCAGAATTTCAAAGTAGACCGGATAATTCGGGACACTGGCGATATAATTACGCTGGTAGTCGGAAATAATGTCGATGCCACCTTCAAGGACCTCACCAGTCATGAACGTATTGTCAATGCCCTTGGCAAAATTCGGGAGAAAGCTTGGAGTGACGTGCTTGGCTGCATCGATGCGCAGGCCGTCGATGGAATATGTCTTGATCGCGTTCTTGGCCCACTTAATTAGAAGATTTTGAACCTCTTCATGCTCCGTATAAAGATCGGGCAGTGCCACGACATTATCACCCGTTTGACAGAGCTGTGCATTGGTCATGTTTTCCCATTCCGTGATCTTACAGTAGGGATGGAAGTAGTCGGCGTTGTCGAAAGGAGTGAGAACGGAATAGTCGATATGAGTGGCAGGGTTACTGCCATTCGTGATATAGGCCATGTTGTTGATGACGGTATCCATCATGAAGTACATTCCTCGGGCATGAAGGGCGGCACCGAGGTCGAGCAGATCCTGATGCGTACCGAACTTGGAGTTAAGATTGTTTAAATTCAATGGCCAGTACCCATGGTAGGCTTCGCCATATTCAACGCGTCCGTCGATGTTTTCGATGATTGGAGAGATCATAACAGCATCGAAACCCATGCCTTGAATGTAGTCGAGCTTGTCGATGGTACCTCGCCATGTACCTCCACAGTAGAGACCTGCCGTTGTGTTGCATGGTGCTGTGGTCGATCCGTCTGTGCGGGCGAAGCGATCAGTCATGGTTTGATAGATCGACCTGGGTTTCCAGTCAGCCGTCCCTGCGGCTGACGTGGATACGATCAGCCCCGTAAGAGTGAAAAGCCCTGCCAAACGGCGAAGAAACCATGATGACATCATGGCTGTTATTTGTGCGACAGATCCGAGAAGAAGTGAGAGTGGTTATGGGGGGAAACGAGTGAATATGGCTCTCAAATTAGAGCGGTTGAAAGGACAAGGATGGCCAGGGACGATGAAATGAGTGACATGTGGACTTTAGCCGCGGAAGATGAAAATGAGGGGAGGCAAAAGAGAACGAAAACAAGAAGAGTCGATGGAAGCAAATTCGGGGAAACTACTAGTTCGGCAGGGGGGAAATGGCCCTAAGTCAAGTGGCACGCGCAACTGTGCTTTACAACTTCCATTGTCGCTCCATAAGTCATTACTTACTGGCTATTACTCGCCGAGAATTTACAATGGATACTACCTTATTTTGAGGACTATAACTTTTCTGTACACTCTATTTGCTTTGCGGTATGCATCAACGGCAGAGGCAGGAACTCCCATGCGCGACAAGCCACTTGGCACAGTGCCCCCGGGATTTCAAGGCGAAGAAAAAAAAAAGGAAGGATTTTAGTGGATTCCCGAAAGTTTACCCCGGTGGATTCACAAAGCTAGGCATAGAGCGGAGACTGAAGAAATCAAGTTTATTCTTATTCATGACCCATCCTCGAAACTAATCGGCCAAATACACCTAGCCACCTAAGGTGTGGAAGAAGATGAATAACTAATCCAGGAACCAGCTTAGCTGCAGGTACACTTGAAGTCTTGATTTAACATGAGCTGGCAAAGAATCATGTGGCTGAGACAAATGCTGCCCTAATTTCCAGAGACAGCAGTAGTCACATCCCCATCACTGAGCTAGAGGCGACAAAGTTCGGATGGGCCAATGATTCGAGACAACGTTCCATACACTAAGACTAGTCTTTGACTGTTAATCTCCACACTTCAAAATTCTATAGATAGTACTTTTGTCCTAACATAATTAATACCTACTGTGATTGGGTTTGGAGGGAGAGCCGGCATAGATAGGCTGGCTGTATTGAGTATCATAGCACAGGTCAACGGGTTTTGCGGATAATAATGGCCCGCGGGATGGTACCAGTCTGATCTGGCCAGTCAAAGTTATTGTATTCACAGAGTCGCGTGCATTTTAATTATTGGACATGGAGTCAAAAATCAATTCGAACTCCAAGAAATGGTTGGTAAAGGCGCTAGATAAGTAGATCCCATTTCGCACTGCAGCATGGAACAACCAACAACCTAATACGGAGTAAATAAGTGAATGCTAATGCCGGGTGGCGGCATCAGTGGCTTCATATGTATACAAGTCTAGATAATGCAATGTGAATGTAGTGATACCCCTTGATTCGCATAAATCGGAAAGGTACTGTGCTTTGTGTAGCCGAGCCTATAGTTGTGGGGGCCGAGGCAGAGATTTTCCTGTGCATTGTCCTTGGCTTAGTTTAAATTTTCTTATCCGATAGATGTGTCTGGGCATCAAGGAAATGCAAACATAATACTAGTGCAGGGGGAATGTGTCTCTGTGTAAATTTCTGATTGGAAGATGCAATTGACCCAAATATCTATACAGAATCTTGGAGTCCTGCGTACGCTGTATGCATTATTTCTCACTCCTTCGATACTATTTGGTTAGGTAATGAAGCAAGAACCCCAAGAAACTTGAGAAGAAGATTGCCTAGGTGAGAGAAAGAAGGTGTCCGATGCTCTTGGCATTTTTGGATTCGAGATTGATTGGTTGGGGTCAGCCCGAGATATCCGAACGATAATATTTATTAGGTACTCCGTACGGAATATTATGTTAATATTCCGGAGTCGATAGAAAGTATTAATAAACAAAAGTCCACTACGCCAAGCTTATATGAAAGCCAAAACGAAAAAGACAAGCTCCGTATTGTAACAAACTCGATTGTGAAATACGAGCTAAGTGGATTAGGGTTTCAGTTGATAAACCAATCGGTGTAGTCGGTAGCTATCAGGCACTCACCGGCCGTAACCGGCTACATTATGGTCCGTGGCCGACTACAATGTTATACATCTCTCGGCATCGCCATAGGTTGATATTTACGGGTCTGTAACAAAGTAAAACACGAGTTTACAGTGTGATTAATGTCTCACGTAGTGTTGCTTACATTCTAATTCATGATCAGACATGTAAGCTGTTTATCACGTACTCCGCAAGATGAGACCAATATATATAGACCTGGCTTCCACAGGCAAATAGGCCAAAACAAAAACTGTTATAGTATTGTTCATGCTATATTATTAGCGATGATAGGATCTCAGGGTCCAAAAAGTGGCCCTATGGGTCTGAGTCCAATAGCGTATCAGAAATTTCCCATCGGGTAGACCCGTTTTGGCCCAGTGGAGGCTCCGTTTTTCTTTTAATTTTCCAGAACACGATGAGAGCCCGAAGGTTTTTTTTCCATATCGAGACAATGCCGAGCTTTACGAGTTATTTTGGTATTGGTCGAACCAAAGGTCGGTTGTGATGTCTATGCAAAGCCCCCCTGATGCCTTGATGTAGGCAGCATAAAAGCAGTAAAATTCAACATGCAATGCAAAAAGGCAATTAAAAGAAGAAAAAAAAAAAATCAAACAAAAAGAAATCCAATATACAGGTACATATTAAAAAAAAACAGAAGAAAAATTACCAAGACGTTGGAAGAATCTCCAGGCTGATAACTCACTCTATTGCCAAGGCCCCGTTTCTATAATCAGCACGAGCCTCAGTCTTGTCTCATTTACTTTTTTTTATTTTTATCTTGAGCTTCAATGCAAGCCACTAGCTTATTAGCTCTTTCGTTTATGTGATCCCTTTTCAGCCCTTCTACAATCTTTCCTCTCTTCATCTCTCGTTGCTCACTCGTTTTTATCACTCGTTATCGCTATCTTTCGCTCTGATATTTCTTTTTTGACAATCGTTCTTCCCCACATTCTGAACATCCTCCAAATACCCCATGGCAAGTGAGAACTACACATCTTCATTTTGCTTGTAGGGTCTTCCACTCTTACCGGGGATATCTGGAGGTGCGCATTTTCATACACGGGTTTCGCATTCACCCTCAACGATGAAGTGGTTGCTCGCCAGCGGGTTGATCTCGCTTTTTGCGACAACTGCGACAAGTTGGCCGTACGACGAGGCCTTTCTCGATTACAATCTTAATCAAAACAAAACAGCTACTAATCCAGCTGAGTACTGGGGAGAATGGCCCGATCATGCTGGCAAATACCATCCCTCCCCGAAGAACTGGCGTTTCCCGTTCTACACTCTTTTCATGGATCGCTTTGTCAACGGTGACCCAACCAACGACAATATCAACGGTACACAATTCGAGCATGATCTTGACTCGACTCAAATGCGCCATGGTGGCGATGTGGCTGGCCTCGTCGATACTCTGGATTACCTTCAAGGAATGGGCATTAAGGTTGGTCTTACCGGTGAACTTGGACGTCAGAGAATATATGCTGATGATCTTTAGGGTCTCTATCTTGCCGGAACCTCTTTACTCAACCAACCGTGGGGTGCCGACGGTTATTCGGTGATGGACACAACTTTGCTCGATATGCACTATGGTACACTCCAGGTTTGGCGAGATGCGATCACCGAGATCCACAGGCGCGGAATGTACGTGTTGTTTGACAACACTATTGCTACGTAAGTCTTTTTGCCCCCGGTTATCGCAGACAAGATAAGCTCTAACCCGAATTTAGAATGGGTGATTTGATCGGATTCGAAGGGCATCTCAACTCTTCCACTCCCTTTTCAGAGAAGGAGTGGGGAACACAATGGAAAACCGATCGTCGCTACGTTGATTTCGATATCGGCAAAGGTGATTACAACGCTACTTGTGACTACCCTCGTTTCTGGTTCGAAGACGGCAACCCCGTCAATCAATCTCAACTTTCGGAGCTCGTTGGTTGTTATAACAGCGACTTTGACCAATATGGTGATATTGAAGCTTTCGGTGTGTGGCCTGATTGGAAGCGTCAGCTGGCCAAGTTTGCCTCCGTCCAAGATCGTCTCCGAGAATGGGTCCCATCTGTTCGCGAGAGATTGATCAGACACTCCTGTATGATTATCGCATCACTGGATATTGATGGTTTCCGTTACGATAAGGCCACTCAAGCCACTGTTGAGGCCCTCGGTGAGATGTCCGCTGCCTATCGCCAATGTGCCCGAGACGTTGGTAAAGATAATTTCTTTATTGCCGGCGAAATCACTGGAGGAAACGACTTCGGTACTGTTTACCTCGGACGAGGCAGACAGCCCAGCCAGTGGCAGACCTCGACCCCCCTCCAAACGATGTTGTTGACCAACGAATCTGCCGCGCAAAACTTCTTGCGCGAAGCTGGCAACGAAGCAATCGATGGCGCGGCATTCCATTACACGACATACCGTGCTCTGACTAGATTCCTTGGTATGGATGGACAGCTTTCGGCTGGATATGATGCCCCCGATGACTGGGTCCAGGGGTGGAACTATATGGTGCAATCGAACGACTTAATCAATGCCAACACTGGAGTATTCGACCCCCGACACATGTATGGTGCTACGAACCAGGATGTGTTCCGCTGGCCAGCTATTAGCAATGGTACTCACAGACAGCTGCTCGGTTCTTTCGTGACGACACTTATGCTCCCCGGAATCCCTCTTCTTCTTTGGGGAGAAGAGCAGAACTTTTATGTGCTAGATGGTACCGCGTCGAACTACATTTATGGGCGACAGGCAATGTCCCCCGCAACGGCTTGGAGAACCCATGGCTGCTTCCACTTGGACTCATCCCAGTACTATAATTGGCCTGTTAACGCCGCTAGAACCGGCTGCACGGACAGAACAGTGGCCTACGATCACCGCGATCCTTCCCATCCTTTGCGTAACATCATGAAGCATATGTACCAAATGCGTGAGGACTTCCCAGTCCTCAACGACGGCTATGCTCTCAACAACCTGTCAAAGAGTACCATCAACGTGCTGTACCCTGGTTCCAACACCACAGTCACAGAGACCGGAATGTGGTCTGTCTCTAGAGATGTCAACGCTGCGGTGCCTAATCAAAAGTTGGGCTCTGGGAATGATACTACCCAGCCGGTATGGTTTGTCTACTCGAATCTCAACGACACAAACACCTACAAATTTGATTGCAACAGCGAAAATGATACAAAAACCTTGACCGCGCCATTTGACTCCGGAACAACAGTCAAGAACCTTTTCTACCCGTATGACGAGCTCACCCTGGAGACAGGTGTGCGGAAACTCGGTTTCCTTGGATCGAAAAAGTTCAACGGCTGTCTTCCTTCCCTGAAGTTGAAGGCGTATGAGTTCCGCGCATATGTTCCCATAGACATTCACAAGAAGGCTCGGCCTATGATCACCCAGTTTTCCCCCGGCCATGATCACCCGCAGTTATCGACCGTGGGGGCCAATTCTTCCGAGAGTGTGAGGGTTGAGTTCTACTTCTCCGAAGCAATGAATTGTGACTCGGTCAAGAAATCGCTATCATTCACTTCATCCACAGAGTTCAATTCGCTACCAAAACTCAACGAAAAAACCATCAACTGCACGTCTGTTGATATGCCACTCCGAACGAACTGGACAAGTGAAATTCGAAGTACCTTCATGTGGGCAGCAAATCTGACTGGAGTTTACAACGGAATCCATCGATTGACGCTCAACAATGTTACCAACGCTGCCGGCAATGCTTCCACAAACGCCGTCGATCACTTCCTCTTGCGTATCGGCCAATTCGATAACCCCATGATCCACCAGGATACTGGAGCAAACTACTCGAGCAGTTTGCTCCACAAGAGAACCAATGGCGATCTTTTCATTCAGCACCACGCTGCCGGTGCCGACAAATACCGTTACTCCACTAATTGGGGAACTACATTCTCCAACTGGATCACATACAAGGGTGGTAACGACACTATTGAAAAGCTCGCTTGGTCAGGAACCAAGAAGCAAGAATGGTCTGGTGACCACGTGCGTGTTGAGTACTGGAGCCGTTTGACCGGTAGCAGTGATTACGTGCAGGAAGGTGACATGAACGATGACGAAAATTGGAAGGGCAAACCACCGCGTCGTTTCCCGCACGCATTCTTCAACGGACCTTATAACCAGTATGGTTACGATGGCGGCCTCGACAACGCTATCAAGTTTGATGAAAACACAGGAATTTGGTCTTATCATTTCACTTCCGAGTGGCCTGCCGTTGGACAGCTCAATATCTGGGGCATAAACCCAGATGGAGAGCCTGATCAAACCTGGGTGCTAGGTGATGCTGACAATGATACCATCCTGGACCGCATGCCGCCGTCTTCTCTCTCAGCAACTCTGATCAACATCACTCATGCTCCTGCTAAGGGATACCTCTCACACAAAATTTATATCAACGACGCGACTCTCAAATTCTGGCTCGATCCCGTTGGACCCCAGTCAACCCAGATTGCCATGTTCGTGCTCTTCTGGATTATCCCCTTCCTCACCGCCGTGGGTACCGTCTACATCTTCATGAAGTCGTTCTACAAGGTCAAGTTCAACCAGGTTGGTGTCAGCGAGAAGCACTCAATGATACCCCTTGCCTTCTGGAAGAAGCTCAAGCCCTCCCGCACCGGAAAAGATCAGTCTTCAAACCCACTAATGCGTCTGGCCAATAAGTCTGGCTTCATGCAGAGCACTACGGCTCTAGGCGGTGCTCTCGCTTCCGGCAAGCGCCGCATGGTCCTCATCGCTACTATGGAGTATGATATTGAGGATTGGGCTATCAAGATTAAGATCGGTGGTCTTGGTGTCATGGCTCAACTCATGGGCAAGACCCTTGGCCACCAAGATCTGATCTGGGTTGTCCCTTGTGTTGGAGGTGTCGACTACCCGGTTGACCAGGCCGCTGAGCCTATGACAGTTACCATCCTCGGCAGTTCCTACCAGGTCCAAGTCCAGTACCACGTTTTGAAGAACATCACCTATGTCTTGCTCGATGCTCCTGTGTTCCGCCAACAGTCGAAGACTGAGCCCTATCCAGCTCGCATGGATGACTTGGACTCTGCTGTCTACTACTCAGCTTGGAACCAATGTATTGCGGAAGCTATCAAACGATTCCCTATTGACGCCTATCACATCAACGATTACCACGGTTCTCTCGCCCCGCTTTACCTCTTGCCAAACACTATCCCGGCTTGTCTCTCTCTTCACAATGCTGAGTTCCAGGGTCTGTGGCCTATGCGAACCCTCAAGGAAAAGCAGGAGGTCTGCTCCGTCTTTAACCTTGATGAAGAGGTCGCTCGGCGTTACGTCCAATTCGGTGAAGTATTTAACTTGCTGCACGCCGGAGCTAGTTATCTCCGTGTTCACCAACAGGGCTTCGGTGCCGTTGGTGTCTCCAAGAAGTACGGCAAACGTTCATACGCTCGGTACCCCATTTTCTGGGGTCTGCGCAAGGTCGGCAACCTGCCCAACCCCGATCCATCTGATGTTGGTGAGTGGACTAGGGAACCTACCAAGGAAGAGGACATTACCGTCGATGCCACCTACGAGGCTGGCCGTGGCGAGCTTAAGAGACAGGCCCAGGAGTGGGCCGGACTCGACCAGAACCCCGATGCCGATCTTCTTGTGTTCGTCGGTCGCTGGTCTATGCAAAAGGGTGTTGATCTGATTGCGGACGCCATGCCTGCGGTTATTGAGGCGCGCCCCAACGTGCAGCTGATCTGTATCGGACCCGTCATTGATCTTTACGGTAAATTCGCGGCCCTGAAGCTCGACCACATGATGAAGGTCTATCCCGGACGTGTCTTTTCGAAGCCTGAATTCACTGCACTCCCGCCTTTCATTTTCTCCGGTGCTGAATTCGCCCTGATTCCCTCTCGCGATGAGCCCTTCGGCCTTGTCGCCGTCGAGTTTGGTCGCAAGGGTGCTCTGGGTATCGGTGCTCGTGTTGGTGGTCTTGGTCAAATGCCAGGCTGGTGGTACAACGTGGAATCTACCTCAACTTCGCATCTGCTCATCCAATTCAAGCTTGCTATTGAGGCTGCGCTGAACTCCAAGACTGCCACTCGTGCAATGATGCGTGCTCGGTCTGCTAAGCAGCGTTTCCCTGTTGCCCAATGGGTTGAAGATCTCGAGATCTTGCAATCCACTGCCATCACTATCCACAACAAAGAAGCGACGAAGACTCACACTGGCCAGACTCGCCCTGGCACTTCGTCTGGAGGCAGCACTTACAGTGGTGTCATGGGCGGTTTGCCTTCGCCTGGAATGAACTCCCCCTTCGCCCATTCCCGGGAGAGCAGCTACTCCTTCAACCAGATGAACGATGCTTCCGCGCCAAAGAAGATCAGCTACAGCATAGATCCCAGCCAGGACGATACAGAGAAGCCAAAGTCAGGACTGAGCCGGTCTCTCTCCCTGGGTGTCCGCTCCGGTCCTGGTCACGCTGGACGTCGCAGGCAGGCACCAGCCACAGCAGGTATCCCAGAAACCGATACAGATGCCGACGTCGAGGATAGCAGTGACGAGGATCCTTCCAACGATCTGTTCGAAGATGACGAGTACACTCTCACCCCAGCCCAGGTTGAGGAGGGACGACGTGCCCAGGCCGCCCAAAAGGCGCGTGCCCAAGGCATTGCTTCTCCCACTAGACGCCTCAGCCAAGAATCCCTGCACCCCAGATTCATGATCCCTCCTCAGAGTCCTGGAATTCCTAGCAGTCCCGGAAGCCCCGGAACACCCCCAACCGCTGATAACCTCCTTCTCCCTCCTCGCCCTCTTGGTGAATCCCACCGCTACAGCAGCGCGTCCGTTCTCTCTCTCGACTCCGTCGTCGGTAAGAAGACAGATTTCAAGCTGCAGAAGGTCGATCCATTCTTCACTGATAGCACCGGAGAGTACTATAAGACCTTCGACAAGAAACTGGATGCACTGAACGGCACCAACTCCGAATCACAACTGTGTATCGAGGAGTTCCTGATCAAGAGTGAGCAGCAGTGGTTCAACAAGTTCCGCAATGCCAGACTGGGTCGCACCAAATCTCCCACGCCATCAATCCGCCTTTCAAGAAACAACGACTCGCCTCCTAACTCCTTCTATCACGATGATGGTGCCTCGCACATTGCCAGCAGCGAAGATCACCCAACTGACGACGAGTTCCTCCTCGGAAAGGACTATGTCCCTCCCACTGGTCTCAAGAAATGGATGCAGATCAAACTGGGTGACTGGCCTGTCTACTCCATCTTCCTTGCTTTGGGTCAGATCATTGCCGCGAACTCGTATCAGATTACTCTGCTTACTGGTGAAGTTGGTGAAACTGCCGAGAAGCTGTACGGAATTGCCACAACCTATGCCATCACATCCGTCTGCTGGTGGCTCGTGTATCGATACTTCAAGTCTGTCGTCTGTCTGTCGACTCCTTGGTTCTTGTACGCTATTGCATTCATGTTCATTGGCTCTGCCCATTTCGAAACCGACTCCTTCACTCGTGGATGGATTCAAAACGTTGGCAGTGGCTTCTACGCCGCGGCCTCCTCCAGTGGCTCCATTTTCTTCGCCTCCAACTTTGGTGACGAGGGCGGTGCTCCAGTCGAAACCTGGATTTTCCGTGCTTGTGTCATTCAAGGTCTTCAACAGGCGTACGTGATTGCACTCTGGTACTGGGGTTCTACCATGACCAAGGCTTCTGCACAAGGTCTATTGACTTCCACCAACAACATCTCCAACTCCTGGAAGATGTCGGCTATCTGTTACCCTATCGCCCTCTTCCTTGTTCTTGTCGGACTTCTCTTGGCCTTCGGACTTCCCAACTACTACCGCCAAAAGCCAGGCAAGGTGCCTTCCTTCTACGTGTCCCTCTTCCGGAGAAAGATCGTCACCTGGAACTTCATCGCAGTCATTCTGCAGAACTTCTTCATGAGTGCACCGTACGGCCGGAACTGGAGCTTCCTCTGGGGTTCCAACCACACCAAGCCATGGCAGATCGTCCTCCTCTGTATTGTGTTCTTCGGTTTCGTATGGTGTATCTTCCTCTTCTTCGTTAGCAAGTTCTCCAAGCGACACAGTTGGTTCATCCCCGTCTTTGCCTGTGGTCTGGGCGCACCACGATTCATCCAAATCTGGTGGGGTATTTCCGGAATTGGCTACTACCTACCCTGGGCCGGCGGGTACACCGCGGGAGCACTTGTATCTCGCAGTCTCTGGCTGTGGCTGGGCGTGTTGGATTCCATTCAAGGTCTTGGATTTGGTATCATCCTGTTGCAGACTCTTACCCGAGTCCACATGTGTTTCGCTCTTATTGCATCTCAGGTGCTTGGTTCCATTGCGACCATCTGCGCCCGAGCTTTCGGCCCCAACAATGTTGGACCTGGGCCGATTTCTCCTGATATGACATTTGGTGCCCATGCTTTGGCTAATGCCTGGTTCTGGGTCGCATTGTTCTGTCAACTTCTTATTTGGTAAGTTTGCTCTTTTTAAACCCCTTAAATCTGTGAATGGCGACTAACGATCATCTACAGTGCTGGTTTCCTACTCTTCTTCCGCAAGGAGCAACTGGCCAAACCTTAAGCTCATAATTGTTTGGGCATTTCTTTTTCATAAAGCGACTACGGGCATAACGGCGAACATGAACGATCCTTAGATAATTTCTTTTGCATACTTGAAGCATGTCGGCTTTTGTCATGTTCATTTTCATTTTCGGATAGATTAATTTTAATACCATTCTTGAAATGAGTACTCAATTGTTCATTTTCACTTAGATTCCGGGGTTCAAGGTATTAATCCTAAGACAGCTTATAGTCATGTCAGTAGTCAAACTTCAGTACCTACGGTCTCATTGGCCACGAATACTATTGTTCAATAGATTGAAACATAGACATTGCTGTTGTTTACTAAAATTTAAGTTCCATACCTCCCTTCGATGTGTGGAAGGTCGTCGAATAGCAGCATAAGACTCCCAATGCTCCTCTGCAATTGAATTGTTAGACTCTCTTTACTGTTCATTAGGTGTTCAGCTTCTCTGGTAGCTATGACAGTCGCAGTGGCAGGTGTCTGCTGAATTGACCTGCTCTTGGTATTTCCCAGGATGAAGATAAATTCATCGGTTATAACTTTGCTAGAGTATTAGCATTAAGTACCAAGATCTCGTGGGTTCTGAGATCCCAATGTGCTAGAAACTTGGCGATTTTGCGTTGCTAGGCCGTTTCTTGTAGTTATGAAGGGGCACGGGCTGCATTTTTTGCCAAGCTTCACGGTTGGGTGGCTCTGTCTCAAGGCAACCCCTAGACAGTGAATTCCCAATCCACATAGCTTGAAATCATTGTTTGGATGTAGGCAAGACGGCAAATTTGCTGGCAGGGGAAACTGTTGGGACATGCCTGACGGTCAGGCTAGTTTGTGATGTGATCGGTTTGTGATGCGGTCCAATTCTTTGTTTGATGTGTAATATAGGCTGCGCCTTATCTCCGACTGTAATCGACTAGCGATGTACTATTCCAAGCCCGCAGTATGTAAATGATCACCCGACCATCCGTCTGACTGTCACGGGGCCTCGAAGAATTTTCATGCCAAATTTTGACAATGGCGCCATCAGATGTTCCGGCTCATCTCAACAAGGAGCGTGCAGCCAATGCCGAGCCGACTAAGTCAATTGAGCCGTGACATGATCCAGAATTTCGGTCGAACCTGCCATTGTAGGTGTGAATGGAGCTTGGAGTCGGAAGGAGTTGCAGGTAAAAAAATTGAGATGAGGAATGGGGAAAAAGCAACTAAAATAGCAATGTAACTAGGGATGTACTCCATAGCTACAATGGAGATTAAGATAAGCCTCGGGGCATAGCTTCCCTCTCTGGTTTGGGGCTGAATCTATGAGCTTTGTCTGAAATGTTTGATTTGTTTGTTTGGCTTGAATGTTTGTTGTGTTTGCATCAATGGAAATCCAGAATGTGCAATACAATACAAATACCAACTATACACGAGAATTCCCGGTTCAAAGTGGTGAAGCATCATTTAATACAGAAAAATCAATACATAATACGCACATGCAGCACAACAACAAAAAAAAAAAAAAAAAAACAGGCTGAGGTCATAATGACCCAATGGAACCAGTAAGAGACCTAAAGATATCTTTGCTTCACGCTGGTTTACTGTGCTTTTCCACATTGCTTTCTGGACTCTCCACATCTTCCACTCATTTTTCATAGATATCTCACTTTCAATGGATCGTATCCACTATCCCCATATTTTCCAACCTTGGAAGGTTGAGTCCGCATGATGTCAACTGACCTGGTGGCTAAAGGTCAAAAGCAGCGGTGAGCCCCCCTAGCTCTACTTTTTTTTCTCTCTGTACATTCTTTTTACTATACTATAATCATGGCGCTCAAGCTCAACAGCACAAATTTGTCCCAAATCGCAGGTGACCAGATCAAGGTCCCTACCTACCAGCGTGGTCCCGCTGTCAAGGAGGGAATTGTCCACATTGGAGTGGGTGGCTTCCACAGAGCTCACCTGGCTGTTTATGTTGATAAATTAATGCAAAACCATGGCGTGACTGACTATGCTATCTGTGGTGTTGGTCTGCAACCCTTCGATGCTACCATGCGTGATATTCTGGGTGAACAGGACTATCTTTACACTGTCATTGAGCGTTCCGCCAAAGGAAGCTTGGCCAACGTGGTGGGCAGCATCAACTCTTACCTCTTTGCCCCTGATGACCGGGAGGCTGTCATCGCCAAGATGGCACACCCGGACACACACATCGTGTCCCTGACCATCACCGAGAGCGGTTACTACTATAACGAGAACACCCACGAACTGCAAAGCGAGCACGCCGACATCCAATACGATATCAACCCGGCCAACGAGAACCAACCTCGCACCACATTCGGCTTCCTCTATGCTGCCCTGGCACGCCGCTACGAGAAAGGTCTTAAGCCTTTCACCGTGATGTCCTGTGACAACATGCAGAAGAACGGCTCCATCACACGTCATATGCTTGAATCGTTCGCCCGCCTCCGCAATCCTGAGATTGCCAAGTGGATTGCCGAGGAGGGTGGATTCCCTAACGCCATGGTTGACCGAATCACCCCTCAGACATCAGCTGCTGATAAGACGGCACTTGCCACCGACTTCTCCATTCAGGACGCATGGCCAGTTGTGACGGAGCCCTTCATGCAATGGGTTATCGAGGATAAATTCTCTGATGGCCGCCCAGACTTCGAAAAAGTCGGCGTCCAGGTGGTCAAGGATGTTCATGCCGTTGAGGAATTCGAGAAGCACAAGCTGCGTCTGCTCAACGGTAGTCACTCCGCCATTGGCTACCCAGGCCAGCTTGCAGGCTTCAAATATGTCCACGAGGTGATGGAACACCCAGTGTCTCGCAAGTTTGTATGGCAGATGATGCAGGATGAGGTGAAGCCCCATTTGCCCGACATCCCCGGCGTTAACATCGATGAGTACTGCCAAACTCTCATCGAGCGCTTCTCCAACCCCACAATCATGGATCAGCTACCCCGTGTCTGTCTCAATGCCTCCGGCAAGATCCCCCAGTTCATCATGCCCTCAATTGCCGAAGCCATCTGGGACTCCGGTCCCTTCCGCCGCCTGTGCTTCGTGGCGGCCGCTTGGTTCCGGTACATCAACGGTGTTGATGACAAGGGCAACACCTTCCAGGTCGAGGACCCAATGCGCGAGGAACTTCAGGCCAAGGCCCGCGCGGGTGGTACCGAGCCGCATGAGTTGCTCTCCATTAAGAACTTGTTCGGTGACGACTTACGGAATGATGAGCGATTCTTGAAGACGATCACCACCGCGATGCAAGATATTGCCCGTGATGGCATCTTGAAGTCCATGCCCAAGTATGTCGACTAAATCGGTCACGACTTGGAGCTCATTGCGAAAAAGAACTTATACCAATGCGAGCGATTTGTTTTATTTTGTGTTACGAGGAAGTGACTTACGAGAAGTAACTTAACGAGAAAGGACATAGACCTAGATGGATAAGATAGATAAAATTCATAAATTCTCACTTCATTGCATGTCTATTCGGAACAGTGTTGTCATTCGATAGTAAGTCGTCAACTCAAGCACGGTAGGGTGACACCGTGTAACAACAGGGAGATTGGTTTAGGAGACACCAGTGATCTTATATTGACTCCATACATGGCTGATATTTGAGCTTGATCTTTAATACTTTAAACTAATAGCTTTGAACAAGAATGTTCATCCTTCGTCTACCAATGGTATAGATTACCGATTTTATGAAATGTACTGCTGGACTGGACGTTGGAGAGTAGTGTAATTTGAGTGCGTCCCACGACACACGACGTAGTAAAGACGCATTCTGATCTGGGAATGCCCACCACTCTTGGCTATGCCGCTTTATTGAGTGCTCGAGCGAATAGCAGCGCAACCATCGTTGTGAACGTATTCTAGAGATGGTCGACGGTCTCGATATTGTTTAGACTGACAGATCGAACAGAGGATGGAACGTGGCTTGATGATCCTTGCAAAAACCAAGCCTAATGTATGAAATTCAAGCTTCATTCGATGCCTCAGAGCTACGACCAATTAATTAACTTTAAGCTTATGTTACAGGAGCTTGCTAGCTGGAAGTGAGTGCAGAAAGACTCGTATTTTCCTTTTACGCTCACAGAAAAAGGCCAACGGAATCAATGAACGGCTGGTCAGCCGTCGGTGACCAAACCAACTCCGCATACGTCAAGGGAGGCGTAGACCTGAACGACGGAGTGACGGGCCATACTGTAAGCCCGGACTACGGACTTCTTTGTTCTCCCAAAAGGCTGCTGACGACTACGGCAGAACCACTGCGGCACCTCCACTGGAGCTGCAGTCGGTGTGTCAACGGGCTTTAATCCCGTGGCTATAGGGACCGAAGTGGATGGCTCGCTTGTGTAGCCAGCAGCAAGAGCTGCCCTTTTTGCACTGAAGCCAACGGTTGGATCCTCCAAGCTGGGTGGCGTGTTTACTGTTTCAGATGATTTTGATTATCTGGGAGCAATGGCCAGGTCATAATGACAGCAATGGTGCTCAAACCAGAGGCTCGGGCAAAATTTCCTTCTGATGATACATTTTGGGCCACTCTCTTCTCTGTAATGTGTCAGTATTGGAGTATGGAATGAACTCACCATTGTATACATGCATTTCTTGCCATATGATAAGATTCTAGGCTTTTACCAGTTAGACTTATTCTTCGGATATCATTCAATTCTTGCCCTACACATTGCCTTTTGATCTTCTTACATATGCTTGTATAGAAAGCGCTCCTGAGCTTCACATTGTTCCTCGCTTGTTTCTTACTTTCTTTGTCGCTAGTTTCGTAGAATTTGGGTAGGACGAAATATAGTATGATAGTAGTCGCTACCAATAGCAAAGAAGCTTCCACTCCCCCACTAGATCGAACTTCAAATCAAAAACTGAGAGATTCAAACATAAGTGATTGGCTTGAAATCACAAAACTCTTCCTTCCATTCCAAGGCTCCGACGCTCTCCAGCTTATCACCCAATCCCTCCAGTAGGGTTCTTCCACCCATAATGCGATAACCAGTGTTGGAATATTTCCCAAGATGCCTATACTCGGCGCTCTCTGCGTTCTTCCAAAAGTGCAGCCATAGCATCAACTGAGCTTCTTGGCCATGCACGGGTTCTGTTTCAGTGGCCCATATCTTCAAAGGAAGCTCAGCCTGTATTCGCTTCACGCCACGGCACTGACCATCAATCCCGAAGGCAGGTTCGCGAATACCCTTCAGCTCCGAAATTTGGGTTTTCTGGGCTTCGGTCACAGGTGTCAAAAAGTAGACCCAGAACAATTCCACGTAGGAGCACTGTAAGGCGCAAAACCAGTAGGAGTTCCTGTCCGAAAATGTCTCACGAGAGGACATCTGTATGATTCCTCTAGCCATGAGATTCTCCCGATAGAGCTGGGTGGAAGGCGAGACCATGAATTCCCTCATATCCGAGGCTCTCTCCTATGCTTTATGGCAGGTATTAACCGGATGACTTTTGATGCCCGGTGATATACGACTTACCTGTAACCAGAAGAATTGTGTCTGGGCGCTCCTGGACTCTTGCACTCCCAGAACCCTCGTGCCCCGGGGCCCAGAGTAGTGGCTGGAAATGTCCAGCCCATTCGATATCTAGCTTCAGGTCTTTGGGAACTTGAAACTCGGTCCAGACTAAAATTGCTTGGTCGTTGAGGTCGTCGACCGGTGATCGGTCTATAGTAGTATCTCCGAAATATTCCATGGCTGAAGATTATTGATTTGGATGTGAACAGGATTTTTGGAGTCCAGGTTCGGAACTAAATATAAAGTAGGTAGTCGCTAGTGACAAACAGTTGCAAGGTCAAGTCTAAAACGGGAAGGGGAATGAAATAGCGTCGTTTCGGTATTATCTTGTGAGTTACGGTGAGCGCTAGGTGACCACCACTTTAGACATGCTGTTGTATATTTTTTGGTCTTTCTTATTTTATTTACATGTTGATGTTGTTCCTAGACCGATGCTTTTATTATTGTCTCTCTTCCCTTTCAGATTTCCCGTCCGGAGTGAATAAGGCCGAGTCCAAAGCCGAGTTTCACAGAGAGAACAAGTTTATAGTTGTCTGCTGCTATAATACATGTCCGTTCAAGATCCCAATCATGTCAATTTGCTTTCCACAGGGGTCTCGGGAGCGGCGGCGTCTAAATGTGTTAAAAGTCCGCCGCAGTCAATTGTCTTACTGTAGACAACTCCGCCGTTGACCAAATCCTTGCAATCAATATCAAGAAGTAGGCGGATCAGGTCGGAACGCATGTAGTGACCACCAAAGTCGCCAGAGACTTGGTCAAATCGATCTCGTCGCGGTCAATTTTTGAGAGATTAGGTCGAGGCGACAGTGTTGATTAAGTTATTTTGGAGCACAATCTCGACCTAATTGCCTTCCCTATGGGTTCTCCTTGCCCTATAATTGCTGCTGGTACAGGTAAGAAAAGAACTCCGCCCTCTAGAAAGAACATGGAGCAAACCGACTTATGTGTGGTAGGGTCTCCAATTGGGACGGTCCCAGTGGAAACAATTGACTACAATCGATGTCCTTTTGGTCTTGCATTTATAGCATAAGCTGGTAGAGAGGATTTAGTCTTTCAGATTATGAGCGCTGTTGAAGCGCTTTCAAAACCACTGCGGTGTCTCAAAAGCTGGTCGATTGACTGGCCGACAGTTCCAGGTCTATAAATTTCGGGAAATAAAACCTTAGTGCGTCTTCCCTCTAACAGTCCCGTCAGTTCCCTCCAAGTCACTGTACAAACGCCACTCATAGTCCAAACTGGGGTCATTGAAGCGAGCCTTTGCATCCAAAGTACCGATCTGGGCCATATCCTCTGGCTGCAGCTCAAAATCGGCTTCAATATTTTGCGAAATCTGCCAATCAACAACACTCTTTGGAATGACAGATCGGCCACTATTAATGCCCCATGCAAGGACCACCTGCACCGGGCTTTTGCCATACTTTTCGCCGATTTCTTTCAGAATCGGCTGGTCAATGACCCGCATCATATGTGCAATCTCCTTGGACCAGCCAGTTTGTCGGTAGAAGTCATTCATGTTGCCTAGCGGACTGAACTGTACCACGTGGATTCCCTTTCCTTTCAACCACTGAGTGAACCCTTTTTGCTGTAGATAGGGGTGGACTTCCATTTGGTGAACGGCAGGAATCTAGAGGAACGATGAGCATGTTGCAAGGCTGTAATTATAGTAACATTGCATACCGTAGAAGTGTTTTGAATCAAAGCTTCAATTTCCCCTTGACTGAAATTCGAAACACCAATAGCCTTGACTTTGCCAGATTTGGTCAACTTTTCCATCGTCTTCCAGGTATCCACAAAGGAAGTCTTGCCGTGGATCATCCTCCCCTGGGCGTCCCGAGGGAATCTATCAGGGCCACGCTTGAAGGTACATGGGTAATGCATCAACAAGAGGTCCACATACGGGGTGTCCAAATCTCGTAGCGAGTCATCCAAGGCCCGCTCCACGTCGTCGGGGTGATAATCATTGCACCACAACTTTGTGCCGATGAATATCTCTTCGCGAAGAACTCCACTTCTCTTGATTCCTCTTCCGACTTGCTCTTCGACGTTATAGACACGGGCGGTATCGATCAGACGCATTCCCTTTTGTAGGGCTCTGCTGACGGTCTCTTCCTGGGAGTCTGGATCCTGGAATGTTCCGAATCCAAGTGCTGGAATTTTCGCCCCAGTGTTGAGTGTATAGGAAGTTGCACGAGATGTGATGGTCCGAACAGCGCAGGGCTGGAGGAATGACCTGAACACCGCAGTACGGGTTCTTGTTGCAAAAAGTGCCATTTTTAAAGATCCTGATAAATTATGTATTTCTTCAGGATTTGGAGTAGATGAGTAGATGACTGTGACAGTTTTCGATGTCAATCCCTCGCGGAAATGGAAGAGGTATCAAACTCCCCATGTGGAGACACTATGGTCTCGTGTCGGTGACATCGCGGCTCCCGTCTCGGTGTCAAAGGCCAAGAGATGGGGTTCAGTAATAACAATATCCATGCAGATTGAATAAAAAAAGCATCTATCAAAATCGCAGAGCTTTTTAAGAATAATTGAGATCAGGTGCAAGAGGGGGAGACAGAGTTTAGGCCCAATACCCATGACGTAAAACTACCAGGAATGGACGCAAGTACAGATTGATGGGGATGGTATTGTTTGACTGTCAACATGTTCTTCATTTATCTAGATCTGCTACAGAATAAGAGTTGTTGTCCGACACTTCGCCCTCCCGTGTACTTGGAAGAAACGAGAGAGACGACGTCGGAGAAAGGGACGACCATGACGGAGATCTGATCGGAAGATTCAGGCCCAATCCCTGAACTCCTGCGGAACCGAATCGGGCTGCCGGGGCACTAAATGATCCCTTCGTAGAGGACCCCGAGTTCGATCGCAGACCCACTCGGGCAATAGCGCGCCGCAGCATCTCGCCTGAAGCATCCAGAGCAATCAGGAAACGTGCAAGCTCAGCGCACAGCTCCCAGTCTCCCTTCTGTGAGGCCAAGGCAATCAAACGAACAACATACTCTTCGATGCGGCCATCATGGCCTTGCTCTTCGTCCTCGAAAGCTTGAAGCACAAGGAGGTATCCAACTGCGGTCTTGAGCGAGTCCAATCTCAAAGCTTGCTCGAACAGATCCTTGGGTGGGGGGAGATAGGCGAACAGTGTGCGCCATGATCGGAGCTCTGTCTTTCGTGTACATTGTACAACAATGTCAAGGTATTCTCTGGTGGGGAGCGATGCTTGGAGAAATGCGATAACGGTTGGGAGGATGGGATCTGCTCGATCTTGCGGGTTGTCCGTCTTGTTAGCTCGGCTCTCATTATCCACCTCATCATCCAAGACGTGGTGTAGTAAGATTTCCAAGCCATGTGCAAAATAGGACAAGTGAGAAAAGTGGCGACAGAGAGCGAGGGCAGCAGGTGCTCCAATGTTGGTTAAGCCGTATCGGAGGAAATACGGTAAGAAGAGGTGTGTCTAGCATCAAGTCAGTATGGGGCTCTTTCATTTGGAAGAGGTAGCTTACGCGAATCGCAAATTTTAGAACAGTGAATGTCATATCTCGTCGTTGCATCATTTCTGATTCAACCCCAAGTACAATGCCCTTGTTTAATAAAACAGACAGTGGATAAAAGTCTATAGGAATGCTGAGCGGCGCCGGCACCGTCTCCTCTCTTAGAACATCTTGGACATCGTTCCAAGCGAGCAGGTTTTGACCTCGGAACATCCATAGGGAGTCTCTGAGAGACAAACTGCTGTGCGGGGGCTCCAATGCTATATCAGCCGAAGGACTAGCCGGAAGGGTTTCGTCGATTTGTGGTGAAAAGTTGAAGGAAAGTTGGTCACGCATCAAGATATAATACTCCACATCATGAGAGACGACGCGCATGTCGTATTTGAGATCGCCTGTGTCTGATACAGTAGGTTGTAACAGGACTAGATTGCCGTCGACGAGGAGAAGCACAGATGCGACTTTTACATCTTGGGATGGTTCACCATTTCCTGCCGGCCATTAGTGGTGCCCAGATAGTTCTTCGATAATATAGAAAACTCACGCATTTGTTCCTCGGGCAAGACCCAGCTAATTGATCGAACGCGGGTAGGGGCCCTAACGATGCCATTGAAAGCGATCTGTCCAACCGGAACAAGAGTGATCTGAGGCTGCGACGCATTGATGATATAGTGGTAAAGAATGTTGTCGTATGTATAGACCAAGAGAGAATCTTCTCCAGAGGGGCCAATGAACACAACTGGCGATGGGAGGTATTCCGTGAACATGATTGAATTGTTCCCAAGGGAAGCTTCACGCGAATAAAGGCGAACCTGCAGATAAAGGTCCACGGGTTAGTCCACGATCAACAAATTGCCCACAAACAAGACACACCTCATACGAGCCATTGCTCTCAACAGCCGCAATTAATATGTGACCATACCAACACATGCCTCCTCGCACAGCAAACGAATTCTCAGCTTTAGAGTCCTCGAATACCTTCCATCGGCCACTATTGACACTATAGTGCGCAAGGCCCCGTCGACCTGCGATCGCAACATAACGTCCATCTTGGGACACTACACAAGATCGAATTGGCCATTGAGAATGAAGATAAGCAGGAGGATACTGCGCATGATGCCACAACGAGTCCTTTCCTGATATTGTCATCAGATCCGGAAGATCGTGACCGCGGTAGAGGATGAATTCGGTGCCGGTCTGAAGCAAGCCACGAGCCAAATTTGCAGACGAAAAGCAGCCAGTCAAAGCACTACGCGCTGTCTCCAGAACCCACAGGCGACGGTCATTTTGTCCAGACAGAATAATATCTGACCCGCCGCCAATCCAGCATCCATTCGAAACACCAGTGAGCCAATCCTCCGCATTGGTCGCCGCTAGCGCAGGGTCCACCGAAAAGCTGTTTCCCCCGGGTTTCCCAAAGACACTCCATGTGGTCCAGCCATGTTCGAAACCAGCAAAAAGGCAATATCCATCTGGAGAATAGCTCATGAAAGTTAAAGCCCCGGTTGTCGTTGGTGAGGCTGGCAAATAGAGCTTATGTGAAAATGGAATATTTCCCATGTAATCTTTCGCAGTGTACACCAAAACATCGCCATTGGAGCAGCTCACAGTCAACAAAGAGAACCGTGCGTTCACTGCCACTTTGACTGCATGTTCGCCGTCTTGCTTAGGGTCATGGAAGCAATGTCCATGGAAGAGTTTCTTCACTGCTTCGGCGTCTTTTTGTGTCCCCAAATCCCGTTGCACAGCATATGCTTGACCACTACTGGTAATCCAGATGAGAAGATTCATTGCTCGATCATAAACCATATCCACAATCGAGACTTTCTTGGATACACCTAAGATGCGACTCAGAAGTTCTGAGGTGGTTTGTGTCCCTCCTGCCTCGGCTGTCCATCGAATACATTGGATGGCTGGTGGTTTAACAGTGGCGACGACAAGTTCCTGGTCCAGCGCCAGCGCCTTAACAATTCCTGACTCAATCTTGATAGCCATTCGGAAACGGATGCTTATGTCGTCAACTACATTAGCCTCTTCCACGGCTGAGAATCGAGCCAGTTGTTGACGACGAGGATGTGTGGAATGATCGAATCGCTGCTGGTAAACTCGAGTTGCTAGATCCGATGCTACCGAGTATGTGAGCAAGTACCCATTGAGGGTCTGTACTACCAGTATCGTCGAGTCGGGGTGCATGCAGAGAGATACATTCGGACCGTATGTTTTTAAAGAAAATCGAGACCGAGAGATTGCGGTTACAACTGCTGTAGGCTGTTTACCATTGTTAGTGACAAACTTCAAACACTTCCTATAGATTAATCACAGATCACGGTCAACATACCCGGGTCTGCCAAAGAGCAATTGAGGACTCCGAAATCGTGGCAAACATCTGGCCAGAGCGTGAGACACAAACTCCTTTGATGGCTTCATCTTCCCATTTGGAATTGCTAGTATCAGGGGACGGGTTCGTTTGCGATTCTTGTTGCTGTTCTTCCTCATTGTGTTGAATATCATGTCCTTCCTCGTCTTCACGAGTATCTAATGGGTCAGGATCCTCTACTCGAGGGGAATGCGGGACATTGCGATTCTCATCGGAGGAAACATATGCAATATCGGGCCCATTGACCGCATAGACCCTGGGAACTCCATTGGGCCAATACATGGCTCGGGTCGGGTTCGGGGTGTCAAATTAACGATGGAGCTCACATGGAGTCATCTCCAAGCAGTCAATCTCAGTTGAATAGAGAAAACCACCCAAATCGAACACAAATCAACAAATACAGAGAAAGTAGAAGACCAAATGGAAACCGGGGGGACTGATAAGCCGCGATCACGTGGAAGAGCTCTTCCCCCCGCATTGCCTCACCTGTTTTCTTTTTTTCTTCACTCCTGAACGTTGGGATTTCTATTTCATAAACGTTCTTCATCTATAATGGTAAGATTATCGCTTGCGATCGCGGTATAGTGACTGATCTCATGGTTAGGCTCCTACCGAAAGCAGCAAGCGCTTGGCTTTGGCCATCATCGATTTCCTAGGCTCCAGCTTGAAAGACGGCACCCTCACCGCCGACGATGCCGAGTCTATTGAAATCGCCCAGTCATGTATCGCCGATACCTTCAAAGTTGACCCCACCGATGAGGCTGCTGTGAAGGATGCCGTGGGCGGACAATCGTTAATCGGAATTTATAACGTCTATGAGAAGCTGCGCGGCAAGTCAACCCCGCAATCCACTGGTGCAGCCCAGCCAGCTCAAGAAGAGAAGCCAAAGGCCGGTGTGCCTACGCCGGAATCCGATAAGTTGAAGTCTGAGGGAAATTCTCTTATGGCCAAGAAGGACTACGCTGGTGCCATTCAGCAATACACTAAGGCTCTCGAGATTGCCCCTGCCAACCCCATCTACCTCTCCAACCGTGCCGCTGCCTATTCCGCTTCAGGCCAGCATGAAAAGGCTGCGGAGGATGCGGAGCTCGCTGCTGCCGCGGACCCCAAGTACTCCAAGGCGTGGAGCCGTCTGGGACTCGCTCGCTTCGACATGGGAGATTACCATGCCGCTAAGGAGGCCTACGAGAAGGGGATTGAGGCAGAGGGTAACGGCGGCAGCGAGGCCATGAAGCGTGGCTTGGAGACGTCGTCTCGCAAGCTTGAGGAGGCCTCCCGCACCAGCGAACCTCCATCCGAGGAGCTTGACACTGCCCCTGGTGCCTCCCGCGGAGGAGCGGGTGGCATGCCTGACCTGGCTTCCCTGGCTGGTATGTTCGGCGGTGGTGGCGGTGGTGCTGGTGGTATGCCCGACTTGGGCTCTCTGATGAGCAACCCAATGTTCTCCAGCATGGCACAAAACTTGAAGAACAACCCCGATATGCTGAGCAACCTGATGAGCAATCCTCTCATGCGCCAGATGGCCGAAAACTTCGGCAAAGGTGGCGGTATGCCTGACATGTCCAGCCTGATGAGCGACCCCAACATTGCGGATATGTAAGTCAAAGTCTAAGTGGACAGCATAGCTTGGTTTCGGAAGGCACAGTACTAACGATCTGTTCTCAGGGCTCGTAACATGATGGGCGGCGGCGGTGCAGGCGGACCTGGCGGAGCTGATCGAGGCTTGAACTAAACTGCTGGCACTTTGAATAATCTATTTGAATTTGAAAGGCACAATTTGATAACTATACCATCTAGCAACTTCGGGTTTCAGAATGTTAGAGAAAAAAATACCATCTTCTATCAATTTTTACTCCTAGTCTCGCTTGTAGAAGTTTAGATCCAAGGGCTCATACCGATATGTCCTGCCGTGTTGTACACTGAGTTTCGTCTAACAGATAGGTGAACAGATAAGGATCGAAGAATACAAGTTCAATGTCTCTTTTGGTATATTTACACGATTTGAAAGCATCCTGACATGATGGTGACCCAATTTGGCTCCACCAGAGAACAGAACGTTGAAAATCAACAGCCCAATGCAGCAGTCAGTTTTACACAGTGGCGAGAGGAGAGTAGAAGAACAATGCACTAAGACGCCAGCAGAACACCTCGAGACCCAAGAAAATGTCATCAGATCAAATCCAACACGTCCACGTCTAAGGATCAGACCACCAAGTAGGGAGTGAGGCTGATCCAAGAATACAACTCAAGGCAAACACATACTCAACCCAGGGAGTTGGATGTCAGACCGAATGAAACATTAATACATGAAGAAAAGAAAATCTGATTAACCAGCAAAGGCCCAAATTGGCGGTCACTGGAACAGGCATAACCGTAAAAGGCGCCAGGTCCACCTGGCTTGATATCAAACAGTCATATTGTACAATTGAAATGGGTGAGAGTCAAGATGCAAAAGGGCGATGTCAACAAGGAGACATGTCGACAACAAAACGGAGTAGCGAGAGCGTAGAATGAATTAAACCGGGGATGCTCTTAGATGTAATCACGAGCAGCTTTCTGCAACTCAATCAGTCTCCATCCCCGAGTTTCGGGGTTGTTGACCTCCTCGGGAATCCGAGTCAAGCCAATGGCGTATGTGACCAGCTGCACTTTGTCGTCCGTGCCGGCAGCAAGCTCCCCGGTCTTGACCTTGCGATAAACATGAATCTCTTGTGTACGACAGGTGACGACAAACACGGGGATGTCACCAGGATCCAGAATGCGTGCGTGGGAGATATCCACGCCACGGATATCCAGAATCCGGCCATCAGACTTCAGACCGGCGGTTGTGTATTGCTGAGCGAGAGCAGCGTAGACGTGGTACTGAGCATCGGAGAGCCAAAGCTTCAGGGTCTCAACATCTCCCTTTACATAGGCGTCGAGCACTTCCGGTAGCATGTAGTCGCGCATTTCTCGCAGGAAGGGTTCCATCTGGAAGTTGGGGTCGATCTCACGGAACTTCTTGATGACCATAGCGGTCTCGTTCTCCGCAAAGAAGCCGGCAACGCGGTCGGAAATGCTGCGTGCTGTGCTAATGAGGGGGTTCTCGGACTCGTTGTATGACTCCTTTATGGTAAAAAGCTTCTGCATCATGGGGTTGGAGTCCTTGAATTCTCGCCATGAGTCCTTCCAGGCGGCATCTTTATGAAGGGTGACGTTGGTACCGGCGCTGTAAATGATCAGTTAATCGTATTTTCGTAGACATTATGACATCAAAACTTACTCGGGGTTTTCGACTCTCTCCTCGACGACATGGGACTTTCCAGCCTTGCGATCCAATTCCTCGCGGCGTTGGCGCTCCTTGCGACGCTCTTCCTTTTCAACCCAACCACCGTAGCGGGAGCTGCTGCCGTCATCAATGGCCTCCTTCACGCTCTTGTATGCCTCAGTCTCCCGAACCGGTCTCGTGGCCTTCTCAAGCCCCTCTCCGGTTGCGCTGACACCTTTGCGGACGCCCTTCACAACAGAGGTGTTCCATGTCCAGGCAGCTCCCTTTCCAATAACCTGACCAGTAGTCTTGATGGCTGTGGAGGTTCTGGAGGTTGTGGCGGTGGAAGCAGCCTCATAAGCAGCACGAGCACGTCTCACATTCTCATTTTCGGTGAATTGGTGGGCAGAGGATGCCAATGCCTTGGTTGACTCCTCCCATTCCTTGGAGGCCTTGAATTCGCTCTGCAGAGTCTCGCGGAAGACTTGCCAGGGAGACTTGTCTCCGTGAGGTGGCGGTGGAGCCTTGTCTTCCTTCTTTTCCTTTCCTTCCTCTTTAGACTCCTCGCCCTGTGATTCAGACTTGGTATCTTCGCCCTTCTTTTCCTCTTGTTGCTTCTGCTGTTGTTGCTGTTGCCAAAGGGAGGTTGCGACGTGGAAGGACCGAGTCAAAGGGAGAGCGGCGAACGGCGAGACAATTTGAGTAACGGGGTGAGAGGGGATTTTGAGGGTTACTCTGTGGGTCTTAGAGAGCGCAAGTGATTGCGCAGAGACAGAAGAGTATGATGCGGCACGTGTACACAACCGTTGAGATGATGCTCTGAGAGTTGGTACTTGAGACCGTAGGGAAGCGGCTCGTGCCGCAGTCATCTTGGCCTGAATCATGGAGAAAGGTGACGGAGATAAAAGGCCAGTTGATATCAATTATATGGGGAGATGAAAAAGAATAAATAAAAAAGACGGGGTTTCCAGCCCAGCCTGGACGCGATATGAGGAGGTGATGAGAGGCAAAAGATCGGGTTCGCAATCGGGGAAGGGAAAAAGTGCAGGTGCCAAGACTTCGAAAAACTTCCAGCATTTCCCTTCGGTCCGACAACGGCTGTACACCCGCCATCGTCAACGCGGCACTTTTGAGATCTTGCATTGTGTTCAATTGAAATTACGTTTCAGTCCTTGTGAATTTCCCTCCCATTGTCGCCCTGGCAGTTGCAAACTTGCACTCCGCCATGAGCTCCCTTTCCTTGAGTGCGTTGGCCAAGGCATTGCCGTCGGTATGCCGCCAATCTCAACCTCGAATTGCCTCCTTAGGTATTACACGTCCGTTCTCGGTCTCAAGCTTCCAACAAGACAGTGGCCGGTCCACGCGCGAGGCCGAGCGCGATAGCAAGAAAAGTGACATGGAGAGGCAAATCCTGAACCGTGAACCGGAGACGTCTTCCGATTATTCGTCGCCGCTTTCTGCAATCACAAGAATGATGCAGGGTGACAGGTCAGGCTCACCAGCTGCGCGCAGTGGCTCCGAATACTCCAGAATGGCTGAAAGCCTTGAATCCGACCTGATCAAGAACCCTTACGCCGACCGAGCTCCTCCTCACCACCTCCACGTCTACTGCCACAAGCACAACACAATTATCACCTTGACACGGCCAAATGGCAATCCCCTGTTGTCCCTTGGATGTGGTCAAATCGGTTTCCGCAAAGCTGGCCGCTCCGGCTTTGACCCTGCATACCAGTTGTCTGCACACGTCATGTCCCAGATCCAAGAAAAGGGCTTCCTGATGGATATTGAACGCTTGGAGATTGTGTTCCGTGGATTTGGAAAGGGTAGGGAAGCATTCACCAAGGTGCTCCTGGGCAACGAGGGCAAACTCCTACGGGGACTTGTTGCGCGAGTGACTGACTCCACCCGACTCAAGTTCGGTGGTACTCGCAGCAGACATGAGCGTAGACTGGGTTGATCTCCTCATGCGGTGTTGGATATTTGCTTTTGCTCCGCGGGAGAAACGATATAGTTATTTGGCTGGTTAGGTCCGGCAAAGCTGCACTGGGATTGCATGGTGTGGAGAAACATAGGCAGTCTTTTTTGTGTTTTATTTATTTGGTGTGTCTATCTGTCTGTCACCATTTATTTTCTGTATATTAGAAACCTCATGACAGAATCACCAGAGTTTCATCTACCAAGTCTGTTCAAAAGAGCCTGTTAGGTTACCTCGGTAGATACCTGCTTGATCCGCCACTTATTCAGATCTAGTGCTGATACTTGAGATTAAGGTATCAATGATTTCCCATGCTTGTAATCCATATGCCGATCTTGCTCAGAACGAAAGAAGAAAAAGCGAAGTTATGTGGGGGAGAAAAAGAAAGGTATGTAAGTATCTATAAAATTCTCCAAATAAACAAATACTGAGCTAAATTTTGTCCAGTACGATATTTGAACTTGGAACTAAACGCATTTGAAAGTCCTGAGTCAAGAGCTAGCTCAAATCAGTGAGCCAGAGAAGGCAGACTATAAGCCAGTTCAATCAGTACATTGTAGTAAACATGCAATGATAGACCTAACTGTTGATGGTATAGAAGGGAGAATCAACAACACCTACATTTGGGGTCGAAGTTGCAGGTGAAAAAAATTCAACCTTGAGTGAAATGCCTTTGTATCCAAATTACTAATTTATTAAATAAATGTATAAATATACTCCGTACAAAAGAATCCTCGAATATTAAGCTCCCAAGTGAAGTTATATCGGGAGATCCAATCCAAATGCATTACCCAAAGCGGTCTAGCGCGCATCAACTCGTCGATCACGTTCTCGAACACATGCATCAGCTCTCATTTGTATCTTTGTGCTTTCATGTTTTCTGCAATCTAGCATTGTGTTTTTTGTTTAAGCCTCGTTCAAGATATCATTGACGCGCTCTGACCTCATACTGAGTTGTTGCCTATTTGAATGCTAACTTCCCCGCGAAATCTTACGGCGCATCCCCTGCGGAGATCTGAAACGGCTTGATGATTGCTGGTGATTTTCGACTGGGCCGTCCAAAACCGTTTGGATGCACCCTCTAAATCCTTTCCTCCGTGCCTTCCTCCGAAGCACTGTCCCGGGCCAGTGTATACCGGTTGAGAATCATGTACGTGTTGTTTTGTCAACCTATCGGCTCGTCCGGAGTGGCTAATCGTGGCCATCTGTGCCCCTCAGGTCTTGCTCGTCCCCACGACAGAATCTCTCATCGGTTCGCGCGAACGAGAGTCCAATCTGCTGTACTCCGATCTCGTCGCGTCGGAGGAATTTCTAGGGAGCCATGTGCTCCGCATCCCGATTCACACCGGTTCAGCGAATTCCAAAGAGGAGAACAATGTTCGAGATAATCGAGGAAAGGCGAAGCAAGTAACAACATTCAATGGGAGAACTGTAATCATCAAGGACAACTCAGTGTACAGCAACAAAGGTTAGACGGAAAATTCCGGGAAGGCATTCATTTGATTGTACTGACAGTGGATGTTTATCAGGATTTAAGTCCCTCACACAAGCTCAACTATTATCCGACGCGCTTTATTACACCTCATCCAACGAGTCGCGACCATGGCTCATCTATTATATCTCTCGCCCGCTAATTGGGACATATGACCCCGCCAGGATCATACCGGCTGTGGTCCCTGGGGTCCAATTCAATGTCGCCAAACCAACAAATGCAGATAAACATCACGGAAATGGCACTTCAATCGGGACTCCGCCTAAACAAGTGATAAAATCGTTCGGGGAATTGCTCGCTAATTTCCCCATGATCGCTAGGCAGATGCAGCCGGGTCTGGAAAGGTTGTTTCGTGAATTCGGCAAGGAATTGGGAAAGCCGTTGCCCCCGCCTCCCTCACGATCATCATCTGCATCTGGCAGTGAACGTGTCCACCACTTGTCTCGAACCGAATCCTGCACTGATGAAAATTCTTCCATCCGCAGCTGGTCTTCACGAAGCAGAGGGCGGCTCCCATTCAATTCCGAGGAATACTTCGAAGATGACGAAGACTTAATGCGTCGAAGCTTGGAGACAGCTGTGACTGCCGCCATTGATCTTTTCCGTCTCGTCGATAAGCAGCAGTTATCTTTGCTCGGTGCTACCACAGACCTTACCGGTCCCTTGGTGGAGCGGTTAATAGAGCGTTATGTCGCCGAGCAAGTCCATGAACCATTGCTTTTCCCTCGGCTCTGCTCCTTCCGCCAACCTGAGGACACCGAATTAGATTCTCGGATTCGGCAGATGGAGAGCATTGACGTGTCCCAAGTTGGAATTTCTGTCGAAGGTGGCCGAGATGGGAAGCGAGAGTTGATTCGCCGACTTGGACGGGGTGTAGAAGAATTTCGGAAGCTCAATGACGCTCGATGTCCCCACGATATGCTGAGTACTCTTCTCGCGACAGTCAAGGTCGTCTCATACCCTGGAAGCTATGATCAAATGGACGGCCCGGCATCCGAGAAAGGAACATCATCTGTCACAATCAACGCGGATGTCTTAGTCTCACTGCTGCTGATCGTTGTGATAAGATCTCAAATCCGTCATCTTCAAGCTCGGCTGTTGTACATGCAGCACTTTATCTACATCGACGATGTGGATAGCGGCGAGATGGGCTATGCTCTAAGTACATTTGAAGCTGTCTTGATGTATCTTGTCACCGATTCCGCAGGACTCCGGCGTGCCAGTGTTCGTAACAGACGCATGTGGCAAGCAACGAAAGCAGGCAGAATATCTGACATGAAGGCCATATTGGAACCGAATGAAGACCACGAATCCATAGACGACACAACTCCACCAGAACCAGAGCGGAAGTCTGTGCTATTCCAGACAGACGACGTGGACGAGTCGGACGACTTACCGCTTGCGAATTTCTATCACAGTGCCACGAACGGCGAACCACACCAAGATGCAGCTGTCGTTGATGCCCCCCCACTGTCCCATGTGTTCCCATTCCAGACCTGGAATGACACATCACATCATGAGTTTTATCGTCCAGTCAAAAAAGTCTCGATGGATGTTCGGAGCTTATCGGAATCATCTGCTGTCTCATTCATTTCTAGAACCAATACTTTGAACTCCATGGCCAGTGGAATCGAGGGTGACAGTTCAATTGAGACTTTGACCAAAACGCAGGACCCTGCTGGCCATTCAATACCGATGATGGCAGTAGAGGGCCGTCAACCGGAGGCTTTGAAATACCTACTGAGCTTGGAAGAATTTTATCCCTTGGAAGAGATTCTGCAAGACACCAACGTTGATGGGACGACTCTTTTGAACGCTGCGGTGCAGCTAGCACATAATGAAATCGTCAAAATCTTATTGGACTTTCTATTTGCAAAGACAGATGCAAACGTGGTTGCATTTTATTTGACCAAGTCTGACGTCCACGGTCGCACTGTTGCCCATTACCTCTTTAGCACACCGTCTCTACTGACCAGACTGGGCGTCATTATTCCATGGCGACAGCGAGACAAACATGGCCAAACGCCGCTGTTTGCACTCTGTCGATCATACGACCATCCTGAATACAAATCCATGGTCCAAGCCGCTTTGACTGCTGCGCAGCATGCACAAGGTGACAATAAACCCCTTCAGCTTGATGATCATGTTGACGCCAAGGGAAACACCCTCTTGCATATTGTTGGCGATCCAGAAATTACACGTCGCATTCTACAGGACAGTGATTGTGACCCGAACGCGACTAACGATAAGCGATTCACACCCTTGATGATGGCCAGTAAGTACGGGCGTGTCGACCAAGTTCGTATCCTTTTCATGGACCCAAGGGTCGATGTGTATGTTAAAGAAGCTCGCGGTTTGACAGCTGTGGAATTGGCTAAGGATGACGAGGTGCGAAATCGTATCGATGATTTGATCTTGCTGTCTCATCCTCCGTCGGCCTGTGGAGATCCGTCTGGTCGTGTCACAACAGTCGTGCGCTCGTTTTTTGTCGAGGATGCCACAGTGCGTTTCATCCTTAAATCTGGTGCACCGTATCCTCCATCTGAGTCTGTGGCATCACGGCCCGGATCCACGACATATACTGTTACAACATGTCGTCGGAACTTCTCCGACTTTGAGAACCTGGCCAAATGGCTTGCAGTGGAGCATCCGGCGTCGTACATGCCGTCTCTTTCAGACTTCCGAAACCCATTCCAAATACACTCGAAACCTTCCCGATCTGTGCTTCATGATCTTCAGGAAAGACTAGATCGGTTCCTCAAGACACTTTTAACACACCCCACGTTTTCAACACACGAAATGCTATGGGAATTCTTCCTTGTTCCAGAGCTCCAGCCTGAAATGGTGGCTGATCGATCGCGTCGCAAGGCTGCTGTTCTTACCGAAACTATTTCGGATGAGTATCCCCCAGTTTCACTCGAAGGAATGCGCGACACGGAACAGTTTGTCACCCACGCCCAGGAAATGGTGCGTGGAGTACACGCCAATACGCGCAGTCTGATACGCCGAGGACATGCATTGCAAAACGGAGCGTCCGACCTCGCCGATGCGGTGATGATATGCTCCTCTGTTCTGGCCACCCTCCGGGAACCAACAAACGCACTTCCGATCTCACACATCGAGGCATTTTCTCGTTATGCAAGCTACCTTTCTACCTCCCGCTCCGATTCCTCCCCTCTCCTCCAGTATCTTGCCGCTCTTTCTTCCATTGATAACACAACGGCCGCAATCCTCAACTCCCTCTCTCGTCCGCTTTCCATTATGTCATCCCTATCTTCAACAAATCGCCAAGTCGCTCGCTCACGATCCTCCCTCCTATCATCCTCTCTCCCTCGCAAATTCAACCTCAACCTCCCTGGCTTCGAAGAATCTCGACAAAAGTCCGCCCGCGATCTTGAACAAAAGATCCGCGATGGTGAATCTGAATCCAACAGCCTGGCAAAGGAGTTATCCTGGAATAAAGATGTCGTTGTCGGCGAGCTCGCTGGCTGGACCTCCTGGCGGGAGAAGGTCGGCCGCGACGCCATCCGAGCTTTTGTCAAGGATACCCTTGTACGCGAAAAAGAGCGCGGGAAGCGCCTCGAGCGTTGCCTGCGCAGTGTACGCGATATGAATGCATGAAGATGAAGGTATATTTGGATAGATTTCTAAGGAGTTTTGTTCATTTCATTTCTTTGAATTGTACATCTCATGGCGGCCATGTGTTATTTATTTTGCTTTTCTATGTCTTAAGCGTCTTACTGGAATAGCGAGGCGTGCGGTGGTGGGATTTCCCTATGTTTGTGCTTATAGCTCTGGTATCAATGGAAGATATTTCTAATTGACCGCGCCTCATAAAGAAGATCAAGACTTGCGGCTGTTTACTTGGATGTCTTGTTTTCCAATATCAGGATCTAAGGTTGCATAGTAACTAGGGGAAACAGAACCTCTGACCCCAACATACGCGAAGATGACGACCGACTCAAAAGTTTTCAGTCCTCCAAATTCGAGTGGTACGCCGTATTCGCTGTTTCCTCCTGGGATCAGAACTAGAGGATCGCCACGCGTCCTTCGCGAATGATCAAGAGTTATTGAGTTTATCGACAGAAGTGCGAGTTAACTAAAAGGCTTAAGGAGAACTCTTCCCTTCATATACGATCTGGGTTGACTATGTATCAAATTTATGACTCAATTTCGGGCCATGCTCTATGTGGTATCTAGCGAGACTGAGACTATTAGGATTGAAGAAATTAGCATTGTTAGAAAGCCATTAGCCCAGAGACCGTACTAATAGCGAGCGTTGAGTGGAAAGTAGAGCATATAGAAGGCGACAGCTTAGGGGTTAGAGAAATACCAGGAGCCACCAGGGTGTGGAGAAGCCAAAGAAATCATACGCGAGAATGGTGTTTCACTCCAGTAATGGGGGGAAAGGAAAAGCCTCGAAATAATCCCTCAACCAACTTTCCTGCCTTGTCGCAGGAGTAGAAGCAATTTGACAATACGGAAACTGCAGTGTACACCTAGATCCCAGAAGGATGGAAGGGAAACGGATCTGGAGGACGGGATGATGCCCATCGAGACTGATCCAAGTCAGTCGAAACATCTACCAAGATCGGTGAGATGGGAGAGAGAGGAGTTGTCTCATCAAGATCGAGAGTTCTTGCTTGTCTCCGCCGAGAAAACTCCAAAAAGTTGAATAATCGAGGAGAAGAGTACAAGATACCCGTGCTAGACGGACGGCCTGATCCGCGAGGGGTATTGGAGCGACATGGATAAAATCGAGAACCACGCGAGGACAGAGGGCTCGTAGGACTTTGAGATGCGATTTGAGAGTGTTGCGAGGGGTTCGAATCTCGACTCAGAAGCGTGCAGGTATCAGTGTTGGCAGAAGCTGTAGTCCACATCTGCGAGGATCGCGCAGTTGGCACCATAGAAGACATAGACGCTCTTGGTGTAGAGCTTGATGATCGCTGTCCGGATGTGGCTTCCTGAGTAGTGCTTGCACTTGGTACACTGGGTCCAGATTGAACTGCTGAGACCTGGGCCAGGTTGACAACGGGAATCAAGGTGGAAGTTGAGGTGTCGTGGCTCGTAAGATAGGACCGGGGAGCAGAGTCACAGTAGTCTTTATCCTCAAAGACCATAGTGATGGATGGAGAGCGGCTTCTACGGCGCATAATCGACGAGCGTTGAGGTTGAACATCTGTCATGAGAAACTCATCCAGGGCTTTGCTTGTATCCTCCGCCAGGGAAACCGCGGACTGGCCAAATATGTCATCGTGCTGACATCTTTGACTTCGAACACGTCGTGACCGGAGTCTTCGTCGCAGGTACCAAATCAACAAGTAAGCAAGTCCCGTGAAGGCCAGAAGTGAAAGGATGATGGTTGCGGCGACGGCGAACTTCTCGTAGCTCCAGTGTTGGGCTGATTTCCGTTCAAAATGGACATTGGCAACAATCGAAGGAGTCCTGAACATTGGAGACATCACTGACAATTCTGAGATGGATGAGTGGAAACATTCCCGGAAGAAGCATCACGATCTATGGGGAAGTAGTCGCACCCCATTGCACCTTCTCGAGATCTATCTGGGCAACTTCACCCGATTATGACATAAAAATACATATACCATTGTGTATAACTGTATCTCATAGTTTATTTCTGTAATTTTATCGATAGTCATGTTAACGCATCGCGCGAATGTGACTGGTGGGAAACGCTTATGGAATTATGCTTTCGTGCTTCTTTTGCCTATGCTGCTTCCAAAATAAACAAAATGGTCAATACTCTTTCAGGTCTGAGTCGTTTCTTTGAAGAGTGATCAGGCCCATGAAGCGAAGGGACAGCACGAAAAACAAAAACAAAGCGTTTCTGACGTAAAAAAGCAGAATGAGATCAAAGATCTCTATGCTGTCTTTGTTTCAGAAAAGAACAGCTCATCGAATTGACCGGTCAATGCCAACGCAAAGGGTATAAAACGACACGATCTTCTCAAGTTTTCGAGGCATCAATATGTCCAATCTCATTCACAGTACCACTCAAGCAACCAAGTAGCCAAGCAACAATTCATACATTACCACACCCACTCACAGTCTCGAACCTATTACCTCCAGCCAAATCTGAAAAAAATGTCTGAGTCATCGGACCTGCAACGCGAGGAGCGACGCATCAGGCAATTCAAGGGCGCTTTGATCGCTCAGGCTTCGTATGTGCAAACCACTTGCCCGGACCGAGTAGCCGTCGAAAAGACCCTGAAGTCGCTCGCTAATGATGTGATCGCTATCGGATTCTACGGAGACAAAGTGAACTATGCAGGCATCGAGCTTGCGGAAATCTGCAAGGGTTACTCTGATCGATTGAAGGCTCTGGGCTCTGAATACAAGAGCTACCCTCATCTGACTATTTATTCCAAGGGGCTCACAATAGCCGATGAGCTCCACCAAATGGTGATCAATTTGCCATTCTAAATAGTAATGCATTGACCATGACAGGTCATTCTTTATGTTGAATTTAACGGTATTCAAGCAGAGCACCGATATTTTGTAGGATGTAAAAAAAATTTCACTATCTTATAGTATAGTTTTCTGTCTGTAATTCACTTCGAGTTAACATCGTCGATGAATATGCGTTGTTGGGCCTCGAACTTCCGAAGAACTACTTGGCGACCCACTCGACTTTTATCTGAGTGTTGCTCCAAGTATTTTCCTTCTCTTCTCCGAGCTTCGATGATTTGCTTTCTGGTTTTGGAATGTGTTGCGGTGTACAGGCTTTTCATCATACCATGAGCTGGATATGCCACCAACCCCAATGCGGCTGAAATCGATTTGTTAAAACCACCCATGTGTTTCTTGACAAAGGGCTCAACATACCTGATGAAACCTTCGTGGTAGCCCCAAGTGTTCCTTTAGCAAGCCCCTTCATCACACCCTTGGCCCCTTCCTGTCGACCACCTTTGTAGGGTTGCACGAAAAGATCACTTAAACCTTCTGTCATTCCCTGGGCGAAATTCTTCCCTGCAAACATGGCCCCAGATTTCCAGTCCCGAACATCGCCATGGCTTTTGACTTCGTCACCGTACAGTCGTGGAACTGCTCTAAGTCCTTCGCTCGCAGCTAAAGGCATATCGATAAGCATGCCTTTATATGAGTGACCTACTGCTTTTCCCATGCTCTTTGCAGAAGCACCCAGGGCCGCACCTGCAGTCTTCAGTCTTGATTGCCTTTCACTATTGGTGGTGACCACAGAAGATGCTCCTGTAGATGAAACGCTGGGCGATCTACCAGAGGTCTCAGGGAGATCGTTCTTCGATGAGCTCTGAGGATGACGACGGAATTCCTGATACGGAAGGAGAAATATATCGCCGGTGGCCTTCATTATGTCGGTGCTAGTACCAATGAGGGAGGAAGTGGTGCCCGTAACTGGATCCCATCGCCTATTCTGGATGTAGATTGAATGACTCGCGTAGCTGTTTCTCTGTTAATATGGAAAAATGTACATCGAGACAAAGAGGAAGGGATTGAAGAAAATCGATTAGACTTACGGCTCAATGTCACCCAACTTTAAACGATGGTGTTCGACAAGAACTTCTGCGGCCAGTTTAGATAGATGCAAAGGCCTCGAAGCCTTTCTCAACTTCCAAACGGCTGGTTCTGAGGTCAACAAATGGCAGCGCATGGTATCTAGAGGTAAATTGCGATGAAAGGATGTGACTGCCGTGCTAACACCAGACTCATCGCTCATTTGCCTGGCGACATCACGAGCGGCAGCCTGAGCAGACGGTTGAAGGCAGAATTCGATGGCACTCGCCAAGTTCTGTGCGTTGAGCTGTTTGTATGGGATAGGGCTTGGTCCAAGACCACGAGAGGCGATCATATTTCCCCAAAAGAGTTGGCTAAACAGATTTAGTATGGTCAAATTTGCAATTTGGAACACAGCATAACATACTCTCCAAAGAATGGCACGATAGCTGTAGACTTTCCAAAGCGCAAACCGCACGCTGTAGTCCCTGCGCCACCGTGATGGACAACAGCAGAGACATGTTGGAACAACCACTCGTGAGGGCAATCGCCGAGGTAAAACACCTGATCGTCCGAAAAGTCATTGCCCAGTTTGCTCCAGCCGCGGGATACTATTGCGCGAACACCCAATGCTTTGATAGCCTGGAGTATCAGACTGGTCATACCAGCTGGATCCTCGATAACAATACTGCCGAAACCAATATATACCGGTGGGCTGCCATTTCGAAGAAACGCATCTAGATCTGGGGGTGGTGTGTAGTTCGGGACCGAGCGAAAGAAAAACCCACAAACATCGATGTGCGCTGGCCAATCCAGTGGCTTGGGCATTAGAGATGGAGACCAACAGTACGTAAAAGGTACCTTGAGAGTTTCAGTTAAAGAAGGCCCTTCGGTGGCTGGTATAGGTTCTAAATCAAGCGATGCCCTCCAATCGTTTATAACATCACCTAGGCTGTATTCATTGATCAGTAAATGGTTCAAACTTTTGCCAGATTAAGATTCGATACCCTTGCCAAGTCATCCATTCAACGATACCGTAGGAGACGAAATTTGCTATTTTCGGCTCCGTGTTTGAATACTTCAAATTTGCCAAAGGGTGAGGGAAGGCTTTGGTGCTGCTCCAAGGCATAGTGAACATGATATGCAAAGGAATCGAGAGTGCTTGGGCGCAGTGGATGTGTGCAAAGCTCGGAGGATTGGCAATGATGGCGTCCGCCACAAATGGAACGTTGCTCACTGGATCGTCCCTAATACAGGATTCCCAACAGCCATTTAACATCTCTGCCACCATTGCTCGCTTGCGCTGGATTTCTCCATCTCGCAGACTTTTCATCTGAGGTATCAAGCCCGGGTTCTTGACCATATACGCCATCAGTTCTGATGGATCCCCGCCAATCGGATAGAACTCCAAGCCCGATTCGATAACGAAAGTTTCAAACACTCCGTGGGTAGCTAAACGCACGCGGTGGCCATGCAGTTGAAGCTCATTTCCCAACGCAATAAAGGGCTGTACATCGCCTCGACTCCCGACAACTTGAATGACGATGTTCAGGCGAAGGTCACAGAGATCGCTTCCAGGGTATTCCGGAGGAGGGGCCTCGGCTTCGTCGCGCGGTGTCCGGATCAGCTTTGAAACGGCCCTACAAATCTTGGAGTCAAGATCAACCGCGATGCGGCCATCGTCTAGAAACAAATTAGTATATATTGGAACAGATAGACTTTAGTGATGTCGCTGAAACCTTGAACTTCTGGACCCTCTCGAGACCATCCAGTGGCCTCGAGCACGGAGTACCTGGGGGGTTGTTCATCCTGGGCCTCTGATGATGATTGAAGCGTTCCACTGAACATTTCAATATAGCTCAGAGCCAAAGCTGTATGCCTTTCCCCTGATAGGAAGCAGAAATTTAAAAGTAGAAATCAGATGGAACAGAAGCAAAGCACTTGTCCACCGTTATACGTGATCTCTGGCAGGGATTCTAGTCTCAGTTTCTCCAACCAATCTCCAGTTAATATCAAACCTCAAGCTAAGAGTAATACTTTTTTCCGACATCGATAGTCAACAATGGAGAATTCTAGTTTGCCCAAAACCAATTTTTCACTAACTCAGCAATGATACATGTAACTATGCAGATAGCCTAGTCGTATTTGAATCAAGAATACGATTACGACTTTAGAGTTAAGACAATGCAGCCAATGAGAAGCTTTCGTTGCCATGTTTGATCTCCGTCTAGGCCACAGCGCGAGTGCAGATCAGGGATGATCGGTCATCGCGTTTGAGAATTATATTTTGTGGCCTAAAGGGGTTGAACTTCGACAAATCAAATGCTGGTTACTGCCTCTCGCGTTGGGAAAAGGTTTCCTATACGCGTATAGTTGTGGGGGTTGACCAACACATTTCATATTGCAAATTTCTTACATCGACTCTTGAGATTGTATACATTTAATTTCAACTGGAGATAGTAAAGAGAAAGATGCATCCTATGGCTTTTACGCCCTTGTGTGTCTTTCTACGATGGAAATTATTTTCAGGTTTTTTCAACGTTCATCAGGGGTTATCTTTGACTCAAAAGATATATAACGGCTATTCCATACTACCGCTGCATTGGAAGAACTTTCACCCGGTTCTAGGCTTCTCTCCAGGGCTGGGATATATAAATTCACATGGTGTAGCCTTCTCAAGTGGCACCTAGATACGTATCTTGCATTGAATCCTTCAATTGATCATGGATGTCAAACACAAATATTGAAGATTCAATGGATAATGCATCCAAGTTACGAATTCTCGTGTTAGGTATTTGAATTGAGCACCCCAAGATTAGAGCTGCAACGATACAGCTGGGGTTTATTGTTGAATGAATGACTATAGCCGCGACCTTTTTGTTTTGCTATAACAAGGTAATGCGAGATAATCCCATCATATTGATGAAGCTCGGGCTTGGAATTTCCGGCTCGACGACCAGGAAATGATCTCGGTCTTGGAAATTTGAATTCCGCCGATTCTCCACTCTCCATGTGATAATCTACGCCTTAATTGACCTCGGGAACTGATCAGCCCACTTTATTGATCGCTGGCATAGCTTGTCTCACTCGAGGTCCACACCAGACTTTGTTTAAGGCGTGAATAATCCCAATATCTCCCTGCATTTATACATACTAGGAAAGTGGGTTGACTGAAAACCTTGTAATAGGTTGAGGAAACATTCTATTCCACGTTTTTGGCAGAGAAAAAGTTGGTTATTGTGTGCATAACTTGAAACGGCGTGTCCGGCTTCCTTTTATTGGTGGGGAATCGCTGAAGAACTTAAAGAGAAAGAGGATCGGGGTGTCGGGATACCGAATCCGGTCCTTGGCGCGAGAAAAAATGAAAATCTGCACCTTGGCATCTGGACGGACCTTGCGTTTCTTTGCATAATTGGAATCTCTCAGCTGGTGGAAAGGACATTCAAAAGGGTCCCAAGCAGTAATGTGAAAGAATAGCGCCCAAGTAGGTCTAACTAGGAAAATAAGGTCCAACTAGGAAAACAATACGAAAGATACGACCCACTAAAGAAAGCGAATACGCAGTCTATTTTCGATGCCAATCCACCCGAGACTGCCGGAATGATTAACTGTAGGTTATATTTATGCGCACTAAATTTGAAGTGAGGGAGATGGGACGTCAATCTCTATCCGGGTAGTTGTCAGGGGCAATTTGATGTGGAATGTCTGGTAGCCATTTTCGTTTAAAAATCTTGGTCTATTTCATAAACAGTTTCAATTCTTTGTTCTTTCCACAAGAGACCTTATTGTTCGTCATTAAATATACAACATTCTGTGACTTTTCTAGAAGCGGTTTGAGTGAGGAATGGCAGCTATTGCCTCCACCATGTCAAGCATGACACATTTTACTCCCCGCGACTCACCAGACCTGGGAAAACCGCAACTAGCGTCTCACGCATGGCTCGAGCCTATTGTAAGTTCATCGAAAACAAAAAAATGGTTGATATTCAGGTCCTAATCTCAGGATAGGTGGTCGTGAGTATCATGGTCGGATCCTTGATCGTGAACCGCCGCAAAGACTCCAACCGAAGCTCGATGGCATTATTAAGCGACTTCGATTCTGGTTACAATGCAAGCATACTGGAGGATGGTGATGCACATGGGAGCGGTGATATTCACACCAAGTCCGAGACGGTATGCGGGATCACTATTAAGACCCAAGACACATCTCGCTGGGCGCATCATATCCACAGCAGAATCTTGCAAAAGTTTCCTTTCCTCGTCGAGATGTTTTACTGGATTATGAACTACCTGTTCTATTCAGTGACGAAAGGCATGGCACAATGGCTATCACCGGCCCAGATAGGCGTTGTTCAAGTGGCGCGAGAGCACGCCCTCAGTATCCTCGACTTTGAGCAGCACACTGCATCTTGGTTTTTTCCCATTAAGGAAGTGGATTTCCAATCGTTTTTCATTAAATATCACCCGTCGATTTTGACCGTTTTCAATCGAATTTACTCATTAGTTCATATCCCAGGTACTGTGATGTAAGTATCCCATACTTATTTCTCTGACAGCAAACTAACTCATCTCGTCATTTAGGTTCCTTTCCTGGTACTATTACACTGCTAAAAACCATTCAACCTTTGCCGTCGCCCGCCGGACAATGACTCTTGGAAACCTCGCCGCCTTCTTGATCTTCTGCGTCTACCCATGCATGCCTCCCCGGTTACTTCCCGAGTCATATGGATTCTACGATACCGTGCGACAAGGCAACGCTGAAAGCGTATGGGTTGGGGGAAAATCCGTAAACCAGTTTGCGGCCATGCCCAGTCTTCACTTCACCTATGCTTTTGTGATAGGTTCCACCTTTTTCTATCACTCCGGATTCCTGCAAAGACTCCGTGGCAAGACATCACCCAAGTCGAAAGTCACTGAATTCGGATTCCTGGCTCTTGCTATATTTTACCCCATTCTTGTCCTTAGTGTCATCGTTGCCACTGCAAATCATTACTGGTTGGATGCTGTTGTAGCGATTTTCACAGTCACTCTGTGTTACCGCTGCAACAGAGTGCTTCTGCTGCTACTTCCTCTCGAGTATGCATTTTGCTGGGTCTTGCGTTTGGCGAAGCCTGTACCTACCACGGGGGATAGAGGCAAAAGATGGGCTTCAGATATAAGTTGATGGGTGCTTCTGATCAACATAAAGTTGGAGTCACAGGGTAGAGACAATTTCGATACATTCTAATATCTTGCATTATCGTCAATTAATGATTTAATATTCCGCCAGGTATACTTTCAAGCCCGATAGATGACTTTATGACCTTATCAAATTAACACAGTCTTACTCTGCCCGTGTCAGTGAGTTTGGGTGTGGGATTGGAGCAAGTGTTCAAATCAGGACAGAACTGACTTCCCAACATGGAAACTTCTACCTCTTCCCACTCAATTGTATCTCTTTTCCTTCTCTTTCTCTCCCTTTGTGGATCAACTCTTCGCTTTTCTTTCCCCGTATTTACTCTCGACCATCCTCTGCTAATCAAAACATCCCATCTTATGGCGTTTGAGGCGTTTTGACAGCGGACCCCGTGTCCCCTTTTTACTGAAATCCTCTCCTGGAACTGACATATCGTTTCTTCTCCTTTTCAATAAACAAAGCTTGTCAAGCTTTTCAGACGACCGCGAACCCGAACCCGCGAGACATCCCTCCTCACTCTGTAAAACCGAGCTTCTCGCCAACCTCGGAGAAGATCAGGATATTGTTGCAGAATGTTTGGGCTTAGTTTGCACCATGAACAGCCCAGCGACCCTACGGAGTCTTCGGTGCCACTGATTACACAAGCCCAAGGTCTACCCGAGGAGGATGATCAACTCTACCTGGGGATTCTTCAGCGGAAGACGCTCGAAGTCTTAACCAAATCCAACACTGACGTCGAAGACTGGATCTCGTCCCTAGAAGACGCTCTACATCCACTGCGGTTAGAAAATCTCCTCGACAAGACCATTCCCCGACCCGAGTACAGCAATCCATCCTACGGAAAATGGTCCTTCTGGTCTGCGGCTGTGGGCTGGTGGATGCGGCGATTTATCGATGAAGAGATGGAGGTTCATCTTTGTTTGATGGAAGGAGAAACCACCCATGCCGACGATCTTTTCCGTATGATCAAGTCATACTACGGCCGAGCCGACTGCGCAAGCCACGTGAGACAGGAGCTTAGAAAATGGGACCAAATGAACCGGGCCGAATATGATACTGCTGAAGATTTCGTGATTGCCTGTGAAAATTCATGTATCATCCTAGATCGATTCGGCGTTGGGCCTCCGCCTTGCATGGCCCTTGCTAGGTTGTTGGATGAATTGAGGGATGAGCTTCCGAAGGTTGCGTCTATCGAGTGGGAATTGAAGGACATGATTGCTACCGATATCACGCAAGTTTCCTTTGCTGATTACTGTAGGGAGTTGATTGATGCATTACGGCAACTGGAAAGTACCAGTGCGGTGCCATGATGGAAATTAGGGTCAATGCTCAGTTGCTGATATGATCTTGGTAATGCACCGGCAACATTTACTTCAATCTCACCTGCACAGGGAATTCTCTGATTCTCACTGTCAACTAATGTGATGTTAGAAAGGAAGTTAATCAACTTTACAAGATTTTTTCTCGTTTAGATGAAGCAAAGTGGTTGAGAAAACAATATGATTGCCGCATGATGGATCATACTGTCGAAGAATTTGAATCAGCTCACGTACTCTAAAGAAGAACATGCCTTTTCAGTAAACTCGCGATAACTGCTCTCGGTGCTGGATCTCCTGATCATCAGTTTACTCGTCCGAAATGAATTCACCTTATGTTTTGCTTAGATCATATCTAGTATTCGGTCAGCATTCTCAAATATTCTCGATCTCGAACTTCAGACGTGGGGCACCGAACGATCAACAAGGCTGATCCGCACAACACGCTTCGTACTTTCCCCGAAGGCCCCCAAAATGAGATTTACAGCCACCTTAGCGATGTGCCGAGTAAAGCGTTGTAATCAGCAATAGTACCTAACTGGGTAGGAGTCCAGGCAACAACCCCGTTGTTCGAATCCTGGTGTACCGTACCTGGACCGTATAGATGCATGTTGATGAAATCGGTAGTCTCGTTCTGGATATAAGTTACCCAAATTTGCCTCGGTTCCTCGAACTAAAAATTCTTGTCATAGACAGCCTTGAATATGTCAAAAAATAGGACTCGTCAGGGCGCTTTGCTTGCTCAATACTGTTGATAAAGACCACAGCCGGGCCTGTCATACCCATCCAGCTAGTCATGAGCTCTCACTTTCCATGGCGATCGTTCCGCGGTAAGCTGACTCTTCGTTTGTTGGTGTTTCCCCGTTGCGATACTAACTCGGCCTCGCCATCTGTGATACTTAGTGTGCAAACGCTGGGGGTCGGAGCTGATATCCAACTCCGAGTGGTTTGGTAAATTGTCTATAGTAAGAGTGATTATAGCGATTGGGAATCCGGGCTCGTTTGCATCTCGGGTTTAGGTTCCAACTACTTCCTATGGCGGGAACATAACCATATCAATTCTGAAATTCTATAGCGAGGAGTGTAAAGTGCGAAAAACTCAGCTTAATGAATTGAGTATCTAACTAAAAAACTACCGAAATGGGTTGACGTGATACCGATAGTAAATTACTGCAGCAGGTCGAGTTTGATGATCAGGAACGCGAGAAATGAGAGTGTAAATGAGAGAACAAAGGAAACTCTAACAAAGACAATAGAGGTATTTTGCGATTTGCCATGGGTTTTTGATTAAAGCGCACATTATGATACCTAAACTTCCGATCATTATCTGTATGAGCGATGTATGAAACATCGGAAATGCGAAGGGATGAAGACACCAAATGTCGACATATGGAGATTTAGGGGCTAAATAATGGAACCGAGGGAGCAGGTTAAAGACTCCCAGCATAGGAAGTCAAGTCACAAGTCGAGAAAGGTGTCGCTGGCTTCGCTTTTGCCAAAGTCCTGAAGCCACCTTTACTGCAGTGTCCATGCCGTCCATCCGGTTCCTCACATTCAATAATGACGCATTGACCAGCCAATCATAATACCTCACCATATCTTTAATTCAAGGGAATACCTTTCGAGGTTGAGAACGCAGCCAGCTCATGATGTTTCCAGGTATCAGCCCATTCTACTCCGTAACAATTCACCATTCAGTACAGAAGGCAGATTCGGATCAGACCCACTGTCCCTACCCAGGCCAGATCTCGAAATATGTTCGCTTCTTTTGTGCAGCTTCTTTAGCAGTAGCTTATATTTTCGTTCCAGGCATCTTGTAAGGAGTCCTATCAAGCCGGTTTGTCTTCCAGAGTTCTACATTGTAGGCCACATCACCCATATGATTCCTTGCTTTGGTGGATCGGCAAGATGTTGCGAAAGACCTGCCATTGCTATTTCAAGGGGGTGTGCGCAACTCATGACTAGTGTGCCTGCTTCACGCGTGGGAATGACGCTCAAAAACCCAGGGGCAAGGGGTCTGCCTTTTTCAATTTCCGTAAAGAGATGAGTGAAGAGGGAAAGAGTGAAACATGTCGAGTTTCCAACAAGGAAGGCAGGCACGTGGACGCCTCGTAAGCAATGTAAGTGAGTTATTTTATTTAATCTTAGAAAACAAAAAAAATAATGTGATCGAACTGTATGTATAACTGACATGTAAGGCTGGAATATTTAGTTAAATTATGCAACATTGTAAAGTTTATAAACATGGAAAGCATTAGGTAAACGGAAGATCATCTGGGGAAAGCTATTTAGCCAGTAACCGAATAGGCTTTTCCTGCAACCATGGCAATAGTTCCAATTAGATCAGGCTTATTTCTGATGTGAGACTCCATTCAATGCGCCATTATGCTTCTAGCGCTCGATCTGTGGAATTATTGTTGTAGGCATACGTAACTAAGGAGTCCCTGATCTGCAACAGAAAAAAGGAGAAGAAAAGCAAATATGCAAAAATAATGCCTCAAATTGAGAATGACATGTCTAAATATGTAGGTAGTCTGATCCGTCTCCATTCCACGCGATCGCCAAGCCTATCCAAGCCTTTTTCCCAACGTTGGGAACTGCAGGTTGAGAAAACTTGACACGTTCGGAGTGTATCTGCATGAAAATATATGATTTACGCTGTAGAGCAGAGCATAGCAAAAGAATTATTAATAGAAGCTTTACGCCTTACACAGAGGCCCCAAGTTACCCGGACAAGGGATCCAATCAACATCGGGATCGTGAAATCCCTGGATTCCGAATTGTTTCGTCCGACAAAGCTGATGTGGACAGTGGGTTCCAGACTTGAAGACTTTTTTTTGATTAATTTAATTTTTCAACTTTCTTCTTTCAACGGGGATAATGGATAATAATGGCGCATAGGGCCGTGCTGGAAAACAAATATCCGGAGCTATAGTTAGTAATCAAATCCCTGTCGGCGACTGAGAGCCATTCACAACGCCGAAATAACATCGTCAACACGGCGGACTCGAAACCAAAAGGTCTCACCGGGAAGTTTCCGATCGGAAGACCTCTTATTTGTTTTTCCTATCTTTGATAATAATACTCTATGTATGTATTATTAAAACAACCAGAGTAGGAATCTAATTGCGGCAGTCTCCGTCGCCGGCCTCCGGTATAGATTTCCCGCCTTCTAGAAGGTCAGCAAAATCACCCCTAAAGAAGGTAAGGAAATAGGGAAACATGAAAAAGAAAAAAGAAAAAGAAATAATCCATAGCAACACCGAACTTAGAGACAATTTGGGCAATTAGTGGGACATTCGGCACTATCTGCGGCTCTGGAAGCTCGTAGCTGTGGATTTGGGTGGATTTGGGTGGAGACAAAGGGAGACTAGTGTGTCTCTATTTCTCTTCTCCCCGGCTTTAACGACCAATCAGAGTACTTTGTTTATACAGATTTTGTTGAACCAAGGTCAAGAGTTTGAAGTCTACCGTGTATATTTCTGACTTACCTTGATTTCTCCAATTTTGTGATTTATTCTATAATCCTATAATATCGTAGATCTGTACATAATACGTAGTATGCAAGTAGTATGTAGGCGTCCATATTCAGGGTCAGAATACGTCAATTCTGAATTGTACACTGTAGCTCTTAGGAATGAGGCATAAATCCCTCAAAATTCAAGGATGTTGTAAATAATCAATTGTCTCTTGATTTGACTGTATCTCCGCATTTGTCGGAGTCGGCGCCCCCCGTCTCCACACGGCGATACACTTCCCCTTGCCTGGATCTGCTTTCCGAACAAAAAAGGAATAGGGAAAAGAAAAAAAAAATCATTGTGAAGGATCCAGATTCCCAAAATTACTTTCAAGCACAACGGTTCGCTGTCATCACCGAAAACGAATCCACATGGGCCCTTCCGTGACCCTCTCCCCCGTCCATGTCCGACTCTTCCCGACTTCAAATCATGACTCTTTTTTTTACTATACCGTGTCGCCTCGACACGCGGTCCCGGTTAATTCTCTGGTCATCGCCTTTTGCCTGTCGGAATGTCCTGGATGATGTGCGCACGAACTTCCCAGGGGAAATTTAATATGTTACCTCGTGTACATAAAAACAGACTCCAATCTGCTTCTCGCTCTTTTTTCTCTTTCTACCATTCTACCACTGCTCCATTGAACACTTCTACAATGGCTCGATACCCTTCATTGCCCACTCAACAGACCCGGCTGGTGCATGCCACCCCGGCGCCGTTTGTGAACCACGCCTCGCCTGCGTACGTTGACCATCCCATCGTATAGCTAGCTCTATAGATGGCTTCAATGGTATGGAAGCAATTGGGCTAACGTTCTCTCTCTAGTGACGCCAACTATGACACTGCCAACCCTTCATATATTCGCAAGTACCTGCGCACCTACGGTCTCACTCCTCCTCGCGCCGAGGGATACGAAACACAAAAGACACGATGCCTGGCCCAGCTTGGTCTCAAGAATACCCCCATCGACAAGTTCCTATATCTCAGCACTCTGCGCAAGAACAATGTACACCTGTTCTACCGCCTGGTGACCGACCACCTCAGGGTACGTTAACCGCCGAGACATGTGATTGGACCGGGGAAAGTTGGAGAAAACGAAAACTAACTATAATCCCCGCAGGAATTGACTCCTTTGATCTATACCCCAGTTGTGGGCGAGGCCTGCCAACGGTGGTCTGAGATCTACCAACAGCCTGAAGGTAAGATTCGGAAGATCTGCACGAATTAGAACCGGAGCGATGCTAACTCTATATTCCAGGTATGTACCTCAGCTGGGAGGATCGCGGTAATCTTGCTTCGGTCATCTCCAATTGGCCACAGCCTAATGTCGAGATCACATGTATCACCGATGGTTCTCGTATCCTCGGGCTGGGTGATCTGGGCATCAATGGAATGGGAATCCCTATTGGCAAGCTTGCTCTTTACACTGCCTGTGCGGGTATTCGTCCCGAGGCCACTCTGCCTCTGACTCTCGATCTGGGTACCGGTAACAAGGCTCTCCGGGAAGACCCGCTGTACATGGGTAGCCGTCGTGACAAGATCTCTCCCGAGGAGGAGCGTGAGTTCCTTGATGAGCTGATGTCCGCCCTCACCGAGCGCTGGCCCGGTATCGTCATCCAGTTCGAGGACTTCAAGAACCCCTTCCCCGCTCTAGAGCGTTACCGCGACTCATTCACCTGTTTCAATGATGACATCCAGGGTACTGGCGCTGTCATCCTCGGCGGTGTCATCAACGCTGTCAAGCGCTCCGGTCTTCCCTGCAAGGACCACCGCGCCGTGTTCTTCGGTGCTGGCAGTGCCGGTGTTGGTGTCGCCCGCCAGATCGTTGAGTTCTTCATGCGCGAAGGTATGACCGAGGAAGAGGCCCGCAACTGCTTCTACCTCGTCGACACCAAGGGTCTTGTCACCGCCGATCGCGGCGACAAGCTCGCCGACCACAAGGTCTACTTTGCCCGCCGTGACAACGAGGGTTCTCAATACAAGACCCTCGAGGAGGTCGTCGACTACGTCAAGCCCTCCATCCTGATGGGTCTCTCCACCATGGGCGGTGTCTTCACCCCCGAGATCCTCCGCAAGATGGCCGACTGGAACACTGCTCCCCTCATCTTCCCCCTCTCCAACCCTTCCTCCAAGTCCGAGTGCGACTTCGAGACCGCCGTCAAGAACACTGACGGCCGCTGCCTCTTCGCCTCCGGCTCCCCCTTCCCCAACTACACCTTCACCAACTCTGCCGGCGAGACCCGCACCTACTACCCCGGCCAGGGCAACAACATGTACGTCTTCCCCGGTATCGGCCTCGGCAGCATTCTTTCCAAGGCCGTCCGCGTGACCGACAGCATGATCTACGCCTCCGGCGAGTCTCTGTCCTCCGCCCTGACCGCCGAGGAACTCGAGCGCGGTCTCCTGTACCCGGACATCACCCGCATCCGCGAGGTGTCCATCGTCGTCACCCGTAAGGTGATGCGCGCCGCCCAGGAAGACAAGGTCGACCGTGAGATCTCACTCCGTGCGCTCTCCGACATTGAGCTTGATAACTGGATCAAGGCTCGCATGTACGATCCTCACACTGAGGTTCGCGCTCTTGAGCGCGAGGTCGGCCACCTTCTCTCCAGCTTGGGAACAATTTCGCCTCCTATTACCGCGAATGGCTCTCCCACTGAAGAGAAGAGCGGTGCCAAGCTGTAAGATTTGTGAATTGCATTTTCAAAACACATGTTCTGATCCCTTTCAGCGCTTAGGATCTCTGCGTGATGGACTCGCACAGTGACTTTTCTTTTCTTTTATTTTTGCTTCGAGCGCACTTGCACTTGCACCTTTCTTGTCTCTTCTTTTCGCCTTTTCCGGGTCGTGACGACTTTTTTTTTTGATAGAATACCCATCGTTTTCTGTTTGGTCACTTTTGGGGCCTTTGCATTTTGGGAATAGTTAGCATCTATTGTCATATGAATGAACAAATTTTAAAAATTACTTCTTCTCCGTTCAATAAGTTTTAGGTCTTTTGATTCCCTTCCATTGCTTTTGTTAATTCGCAAGCACTTCTAGTGTGAGCATAGTTCCCCTGGCGATCAATAAACTCACAACATATTGTTTATTAAGCTACCTCGGGAGCACTTCATCTCACATGGAGCCCACGGATGAACCCAATCGCCGAGTATAAATCTCAAAATATCAAAACAGCGTGAAGACTCCTCAATCGGAGCGGGGACATCAATCTCTCCGCAGATGGATGACTAAGTTCAACCGAGGTCCCTTTTTTTTGGAGGCAAATTTCCGATTTGGAGATTTTATACAAGTTGAAGAAGGTCTGGTAAATTGGTTCTGTTTTTAAATTGTTCGGCTTGACCAGAGGTATGCTTGTGTCTCCTGCTTTGAACCATTCATCTTGACTCAATTGGCAGGTCTCGTCGTCTAACTCGTCCGAATTTGTATAGGACTAATTGCACCACACTGCATATACATATATCTCAATCATAATAGCGCATAAGGAGGCTGTACATCATGCCGTCTCCTCTCGCAGATCCCGTGAAGCTCCCTTGTGGACTGGTTTTGCCTAATCGGCTCAGCAAGGTATGGGAATCTCGTATTTTTCTGTAACATAAGAATAGACATTAAATTAACAATCCCAAGGCCGCAATGGCTGAGCTAATGTCTAAGAAAAACCACCCAGCAGATCCTCTCGTCGACGCCTACGAGAAATGGTCTGATGGTGGATGGGGAAGTATCCTCACAGGTGAGTAACCCCAAACCCTAACAACTCACTCCAATTCTCACACAACACAGGAAACATTCAAGTCGACGTGAACCACATGGGCAGCCCCTTCGACCCAGCCCTGCATAACGAATACCAAGACCCAGAAAGCAATGCTGATCTCGTCGCCCAATGGAAGAAGTACGCCGACGCCTGCCAGAAACACGGCACACCGGCCATCGCCCAGATCTGCCACCCGGGCCGGCAGTCGTTCCGTGTTGCAGGCCACAGGGGTATGTTTGCGCAGACGCTGGCGCCCAGCGCAGTGCCCATCAAGCTTGGGGATGGGTACCTTGAGCGTTTGATGGGGTGTTTGGCGTGGTCGGCACCGAAGGAGATGACTGCCCAGGATGTTGAGAGAGTTATTGGGCAATTCGTTGATACTGCCAGGCTTATGGCAGATGCTGGGTTTTCTGGGGTAGAATTGCACGGTGCTCATGGGTATTTGATTGGTATGTTTGTTGTTACTTGGTTATCAATACATGCTAACAGTGGTAGATCAATTCCTTAGTGGCAAGGTATGAGACTATACGAACGCCGCATTGACTTTAACTAACATACACTAGACAAATCTCCGCACCGACGCCTATGGCGGCACGCCCGAGAAACGCGCCCGCTTCGTCCTAGAAATCCTCAGTCAAACACGCAAAGTCGTTCCCTCAACATTCTGCATCGGCATCAAGCTCAACTCCGCAGACCACAGTTCCGCAACCTTCGAAGAAACAATGACGCAGATCAAACTCCTCGCCGAAGCCGGCATCGATTTCATGGAGATCTCAGGCGGCACCTACGAAGACCCCAAGATGATGGGGTATGCTAAAGCACCGGCCCCGAAGTCCGAGCGAACCGCCGCGCGCGAGGCCTTCTTCCTTGAGTTCTCGAAGGAAGTCCGCAGCCGGCATCCCGAGCTTGTGCTTATGCTGACGGGCGGGTTCCGGACTCGGGCTGGTGCGGAGGCTGCTATTAACGATGGGGCTTGTGATCTTGTTGGTATTGGGCGGCCTGCGGTTGTTGATCCGAAATTTCCGCTTTTACTGCTTGATGAGAGTGTTTCAGATCGAGAGGCGCAGCTGCCGTTGAACAAAGTGCCTATTCCTTGGTATACGCGGTTTTTGCCGTTGCATATTATTGGGGCTGGGACTGAGAGTGTGAGTTTTGGGTTCCTTTTAGAGCCCACGGGTCCGTGTGAGCTTTGCTGACTTTCATAGACTTATTATTCTGCTCAGATTCAGCGCTTGGCTAAGGGGCTTGTTACTCTTGCGCCATCTTTGTAGATTACTTTTTGGATACATCTATGGATGATTGTATATAGTTGCTTGGAGCTTGTGGAAATATACCAGTCGAGGGACAATTCCCTAAATCAAATCCGAGTCCACATGAACTGATTAAAGAGGCATTTAGGCCACTTCCCGACCATTGAAGTCAACTCCGTCTATGGAGTACATTGAGAAATTTTCCATGTTGCGTCATGGTTTGTTTGAGGTCATCTTTTATCCGGCTGGTAGACCAGAGGTATTGGCAAGTATCGAGCAAAGCCTATAGATCGACGTCTGGCTTTTTAAGGGCAGCTTGATTGATGAGGTTGTTAGAAAAGATTGCAAGATGTAGGCGTGTAGACTTGCCTCGTGTCTCTTGGGTCCCATCCCAAAAATTTTGATCATGACTAGGGGTCATTGCGCTGTGGGCCTTTGTATAGTTGGTTCATATCTTATTCAACAGTCGAAAGCTTTATAGACAAGCCCATAGCTGATGATTCCTGCAGATTAGTTAACGAACCGCAATTCCTCCTTAGTTTCAGACATGATATCGCCAAATGGAGAGTGGCAGTGCCAGATCTTGGCGCGTCTAAAAATAAGTTCATCTCAAACTTCGCCAAGAGTACTTTGGGTATTCCGCGCAGCGGAAAAGACTTGGCATCGTGGCCCCCCTTGCTGTGCGAAATGACATTCAGAGGCATTGTCCAACCCGAATGCGTCGGGCTTTATTTTCACGCGGTATCACCGTAGGTTTATTTGAAATAGCAGCACCTCATATGTGATCTCTGAATGTACCAGAAGGAAATTCTACCTTTTTGATCCTGAGTCCCCAGATGTAATTGCCGGAACACCCACCTCAACCAGGCTAAACTGTCTTGTTTCGCGGGCATGCTTGGATCTCTGAACAGATTATATCAAAAAGATCTTTGAGGGTAGAGGCCACCCTTCACACTCAAGTGTTTATGTTTCCCCTAAGCGCTTTCTCCGGCCTCCCGGAAGGGGGCGGGGTAAAGAGGACCATTTGGCACTTGGCATTACCACACTCTCGTTCCGCAATCAAAGAAAGATCCAACGCCAAGCACCTGAAAACTGGGCATTGCTGAGCAGAGCTGGGCGCCTAGAGCGAATCCAGGCAGCAGGATCTGTCCTGCCAATGTCTTGGGATATCCATAGAGACCCTTTCCTGTTGTAATGCTGCTCATTTGGCGCCTCTCTCTGCCAAGTGACTTGTTTCATAAATAGCCATGATTTGGCACAATTTTATGGTTCCATTGTTGTGTTTGCCATTTCGTCCTGAGAGATGCACACTCATAGTCCCCTGTTCTCAATGCACTCAACTGCTGTTCTCCATATCCCAGTCCTATGCATTTCCTCCGATGTCGGTCGACCCTCAGCTCGCGTCAAATGATGCCTACAATCCTTTCTAGGTGGCTGATCACCATTTCAGTCTGCCTTCTCGTACGAACCGCACTCGCGATTGACGTTAGCCCTGATGACGAGAGTAGGTCATAATTTCATAAACTACCTCAAAGCAGCTCAAATGACTTACATGTACCTATCTGGCAGCCTCCCTCAAAGATGCCGCCAAGACCGTTGCCTCCGCCATGATGGATTTCTACAACGACCGCGACTCGAAATCTATTCCAGGCAAAATGGACGATACCTGGTGGGAGGGTGGTTCGATGTTCATGACCCTCATCCAGTACTGGTATTTAACGGGCGACAGCCAGTTCAACGACGCCATCCAGGAGGGCATGTACTGGCAGAAGGGCGAAAATGACTTTTTCCCAAGCAACTACTCCCAGTACCTAGGCAACGACGATCAGGTTTTCTGGGGATTAGCGGCGATAACTGCCGCGGAACTAAACTTTCCAGAAAGAGACAACCAACCCTCATGGGTTTCTTTAGCCGAGGGTGTCTTCAACGGACAGATTCCTCGTTGGGATATGGCCAGTTGCAGCGGGGGTTTGCGATGGCAGATCTGGCCTTACCAGAATGGCTTTCATTTGAAAAACGCCATCTCCAACGGAGGGTTGTTCCAGCTGTCAGCGCGTCTGGCACTATATACCAAGAACTCGACCTATGCCGAATGGGCTGAGAAAATTTGGGATTGGAGTGCATCTACACCGCTGTTGAGAAAAACCTGGGTTATAGCCGATACAACTTCTACCGCTGCGGATTGCAAGGATCATGGTGATCATCAATGGACTTACAATTATGCCACGTATATATCCGGTGCTGGTTATATGCACAATTATGTATATTCATCCCTTGTCCTTTATCTGTGAACTATCCGGGATATCCAAACTAACTGGTTCTATAGACTAATGGCGCCGAAAGCAAATGGCTCGAAGGCGTAAACGGACTGATCAAGACATCTGATCAGTTTTTCCCCGATTCCGGTGCAAAACAAATCATTTCCGATATCACCTGCGAGCCAATCAATAAATGTGATCGCAATCAAAAAACATTCAAGGCCTATTTCACTTCTTGGATCGGATTCATGTCCTTGATAGTACCGACCGAGACCACGGCGGACTTGATGGCGAGATTCAAGAGTTCGGCTGTCGCTGCCGGTCAACAATGCTCCGGTGGAAGCGATGGGAAGCATTGTGGAATTCGCTGGACGAAGAAGGCAGAATGGGATGGAACTGTGGGCTTGGAGCAGCAGATGTCTGTGTTGGGTGTCCTTAATGCTATCATGGTCCCATTCAAGGCTCAGGGACCTTACAATGCTGACAACGGTGGGACATCCAAAAGCGACCCACATGGAGGCACCAACACTAAGAATACCTTGGGCCCGAAAGATGTCGAGACAGGTGACAAGGTTGGCGCAGGAATATTGACGGCGGTCTTTATCATACTCTGGGTCGGGGCTGTGTCTTGGATTGTTAAAGCTGAGTAAATATAGTCAGATGTAAACATTGATAGATAGTGTATGTGTATACTAGGAATCTTGATATCCTGAGCAGTTTAGGCTCTGTTTTGTGATATTTTATATTCCCAACAATCGCTTCACAATTATAATTGAAGCTCAAGTATATAATACATAAGGAGTACCTAGCAACTAGTTCAAGGTACTAATTTTTAGCAAGATATGAAATTGTACAAGAATTCCTGTGTAAGTGTAAGTGTAACTGTTGAGGTGTCGTCATGTGCCCGAGGAAAACAGGTTGTGTCGATCACAACACAAAAGCTTCTTGAGCTTCCTGAGCTTCTTTGAACAACTCCCTCAACCATATTTATTGATTTGTCCAACTCCTTGAAACACAAGTATTAGCTGTTTATCTTAGCATCTCGGGGATTCAAGATGCCCTCCGAGACAGAACCTCTCCTCCCTCGCTATGAGGATGACACCTCCCGTCAGCGACGCCTCCACCAGAAGCTCCACAGCTACCAGATGATCCGCGCCATCTCCGAGGGATACATGCCAACAACAGAACAAACAATCGCAAACCTGCGCACCTTCCTAGCTTCCGACGTGCTAAATCTCCGAAATCAAGACATTGGTAGTGTCGGTCGCCAGCTAGTGCGCGATACCAGATTGTGGATCCAGGTCTTCATTGAGTTCCTGCAGCAGAAGAACCACGAAGACCAGCTCCAGGAGTTTCTATGGCGTTTGGCCCGCTCCCGTGTCCATCTAGATAGCGACCGGGTTTCCAGGCAGGCTGCCCACGTGAAAGCCCGGGCTGATACTAAAGCTGGTGGGTCGCGATAATCCCCAGGTTCTATCTAGGCTTGGCGCAGCCTCGGTCTATGGTCCACGGGACGATCATTTGCTAACAGTGGATGTCTTTTTTAAGCATATGACAGCTTCCGCACCGTCGGCAGTCTGCTGTTGACCAATGCCGACTTCCGTCTTTTCGTGGATGATATCGTTACCGTCGGACGCCAGATCTTCGCTGATACCGCCGAGTCCCTTGCCGAGTCTTCTAAGCGTGTGGCGAAACAGGTCCAGCCATCCGCGGAAGAAGAATCCGCCTTACAAGGAGCTGGGGCTGATGAAGGTCATGAGCTCTCGAAAGATGAGTTGAGGGAGGAAGTTGCCCATGTAGCAGATGCTGCTAGTGAAGGGATTGCCCGTACGGGAAATGATGCTGTACAGAGTGCCAAAGAGCACCTGTCCGGTCGAGAGAGGGATACTCTACTGTTCCGACTAAAGCAAGCTGTTACAAAGCTCCGCGAGAGAACAGACTACTCCGACTCGATTGCGACACTTGCTCAATTGCTGCAACGATACGCCAAGATCTACGCCGATGTAGCGGAGAATACTTCTTCTTTCGCCCAAGAAGATTTGGAAGTTAATGCTGACCTTAAGCGTGCGGTCGATGAATTTTGGAAGGTACTGCGGTCTTTTGGGAGTGCAGAAGAATGGGATCGGCTTCAAGAGAAATTCCACGATGTCCTACGCCATGCCAACAAAGATCCCGAGTTTGATACATTACTGGGAGAGGCAGGTAACTCACTCCAAAATATGCTCACCGATCCCGAGTTCTTTGATTCGGCACCACAGAAGCTCGATGAACTCAAACAACAGTCCGAGAAGGTAGGCTCGGAGACGAGTCTGCGCAAGGACGTAGATGACTTTTTGGCCCAGACCAAGCGGACAATGCGGACTGTGCCGGAGGACCCTGCTGTGTTTAAGTTAATTAATGCCACGAAGAAAGTCTACCAGCACGCATGGACTGCTTACAACGACAACAAGGCAGACCTCCCAGCAGACCTGGTGAATGTCTTCCTCCCCGTCCTCCTACGCACGATTCAATACATCCCAATTCCACGTCTGGAGATATCAGCTCCAGAAATGGACCTCCTCCTCGAGAATCTTATTCTCGAGCCCGGACACACAGTCAACTTCTCTTCTTTCCTCCCTTACCGATTGCACATTGTCACGCGCAACGATATTGACGTGATAAAAACTCACTCCAAGCGCACGGAAACACTCATGAAAACAGCTTTTACAGTCACCGTTCAAGGCCTGAATATCAGCGCCGAGGACTTTGGCTTCTGGTTCCGTACTCACCCAGGTCATTTCTTCCACTTCAAAGACGAAGGCATAGCTAGCTTCTATCTCGACCGCCGTGGTATCGACATATCTTTAGATATCGAAGTCGGCCGTGGAAATCTAGAGCAGATATTCTCGCTGCGTGGCGTCCGTGTGGTCATCCACAAACTCGACTACACTGTAAAGCGCAGCAAGTGGAAGTTCCTTCTCTGGCTGACCAAGCCACTCCTCAAACATCTGGTCCGCCGCGTACTGGAGAAGAAGATTGCCGAACAGATTGTTGCTGCGGCGTTCGCATTGAATCGCGAATTGGTCTTTGCTCGTGAGCGCCTTCGTGCCGCTCGCATCGCGAACCCGCAGGACCTAGCCACTTTCGTGAGAGCTGTTCTTGCTCGTCTTAAGCCTGCAGACTCCGATATTGAAACAAGAATTGGTCTTCAGCCATTGAAAGATGGTGCTTTCAAGGGCGTTTATGCTCCTGGCAGTATTGTTAAGACGTGGCAAGAGGAAGCTACCCGTGCACAGGAGGTTATTGAGGATGGAGATGAGACTCATGGGCTTGGCCATACCTGGCAGAATGATATCTTCAATGTTGCTGGACGACACTGATTGTTCTTGGAGCGTCGTTTTGATATTTTGAGGCTTTGAATTACCTAGCACTTGACTTGTTTTTTCATGATTTTACGATGACCACTACCTATGCAATGTTGCAGCGCACGAACTATTTCACCATTCCATCACAAACAAAGCTTATCCTTGTTAAGCATGTCGCCTGTTGCAATTGTATGCACCGAAATCCAGTTGATCAATGTAATTAAATTGTTCATTCATCACACGGAGTACTTTCGATTTCAACCACTCTTTGCACGTGACCCGGCTGAACATTGTTCCTATAGGCCACCTAATGTAGATCTATGAAAGTCGTGGAGCTACCGTTAAGTCTCAGTTTCTCAATAATATACAGTTCGGTTGGCGTAAACATCCGTCCTCACGATAATAGTACACACCCATGTCGACTAATTAGCCACGATAACCCTCATTCCTCGAAACCCCCGACAAGCTTCGGAAGCTTTGATCGCGAGGTATACGCACGAACACACAACGTGTGAGCAACTGCTCGCGCAACTCAAATTAAAATGCAATTACTACGACTCCTGGTTACACTAGCCGTTGTGCTTTTCTCCGTCGTTGTTATCGCCGCGGAAGATTACTACAAAGTGCTTGGCCTTGCCAGGTCGGCGTCGGAGAAGGATATCAAGCGTGCGTATAGGACGCTGAGCAAGAAATACCATCCTGACAAGAACCCGTAAGTTCATCTTGTTCTCTGCAGTCTATCTAGCTTTTGCGCCGGGGGCAGGAACAAAGAAACAACTGCTAACAAATCCTAGCGGCGATGATGACGCGCGCGAAAAGTTCGTTGAAATAGCAGATGCCTACGAAGTTCTATCGACCAGCACATTGCGCAAAGTCTACGACCAATACGGACACGACGGTGTCGAGCAGCACCGCAAAGGCGGAGCCGCTGGTGGCAGCCACGACCCCTTCGATCTCTTCTCGCGATTCTTCGGCGGCGGCGGACACTCAGGACACGCACCGGGCCACCGACGAGGACCGGACATGGAAGTGCGCGCTGCACTGCCATTGCGAGATTTCTACACTGGTCGCGAGATCAACTTCCTCGTTGAGAAGCAGCAGATCTGCGATACCTGCGAGGGAACTGGATCGAAGGATCACAAGGTTGAGACCTGTGATCGCTGCAACGGGCGCGGAGTGGTCATTCAGAAACATATGCTTGCGCCGGGCATGTTCCAGCAGGTGCAGATGCAGTGTGATAAATGCCATGGACAAGGAAAGAAGATCAAAAACCCGTGTGCTGTTTGTGGTGGAAGTCGCGTTGTTCGCAACCAAGTTGAAACGAGTGCTACGATCGAAGCGGGCATGGGCAAGGGGACGCGACTTGTGTTTGAGAATGAGGCTGATGAGAGCCCTGACTGGATTGCTGGTGATTTGATTGTTATTCTTGACGAGAAGGAGGCGGAGCTTGGCACAGCAGAGGAGGAGAGGACGGATGGTACGTTCTTCCGGAGAAAGGGCAAGGATCTTTTCTGGAAGGAGACTCTTTCGCTACGGGAGGCGTGGATGGGCGATTGGAGTCGCAATCTTACCCATCTTGATGGACATGTTGTTCACCTTGGACGTGGACGGGGCGAGGTCGTGCAACCTTTGGCTGTTGAGACTGTCAATGGGGAGGGCATGCCGCATTACTCCGAAGGTCATCTGCATGATCACAATGAAAATGACGAGGCTGGCAATCTGTACATCGAATACACCGTTGTTCTGCCTGATCAGATGGAAAGCGGTATGGAGAAGGACTTCCATGCTCTTTGGGAAAAGTGGCGCAAGAAGATTGGAGTTGATCTGGCGAAGGATTCTGGCCGTCCGGTCGTGCCTCCGCCGGCGGAGGGGAAAGATGAGCTGTGATGTCTGAGTTTCATTTTTGATTTCCTCTTCTTTATTTGGGGTCACTGTATATTCCATGTGATGATTTTCTTGCTGGCGTGCATTGGGCCTATGGGTTGCATTAGATTAGACCCTGGCTTATCTGAGTTGAATGTGAGCGCATATAATACATGTTTTGACACTACATTTAAGTAACGGGCAGAGAATTCGACATCGACATAGATCATATCACAATTGGTTAACTGAACCATCCCTTTTGAGCTCTTTGCATAAGTCAAACCCTAATTTAGCTCTAGAATCACGAATTGATACCCATTTTACCCCGACCTTCCTCTTCGTTTAGCTTATTCGGACAAGTAGGCTACAGTCTACTGTTCGTGTCGCCTTATTGCTGCATATGGAATGTATTTTATAGACGCATGTTCCAAATCGAGAATCATGGGGCAAATTTGATCGTCTCCAAGTCCCAGGCTTTCCAGACTGGCACCATTTGTCCCGATCTGATGGGGCGGTGTAAACAATGAAAGATGTGGTGGATGTACACCGCGCAGATCTATCGGAGCTGGTCTCACTTAGATTGGCAGAATCTTGGGGCTAGAATAGGGGCTTAGGGTAGGGATGTTGGGGCTTCAACCAATGGGCTTGGGCTTTCTCAAAAACATGTATACATATCGTTGAGCGTTATTTCATGCTCAATTTAGAAAGCAACAAGGTATCTAGATACGTAGATGACTGTTTCGGTCGTCTGAAGATGACGCTAGTGTTCTCTGCCATGTGCAAACAGTCTGGAAGCATCTCTCCACCTCGGATGCATGCTCTAGTCCGAGTTCGTAACCTTGTCAGTTCGTTGTAATCGGATGCTAGGTTTATGACTGCTTCGCAGTTTTTCCGTTGACTTCTAATATACATGATCGCAAAGAAGTATATATCTCTTTCCTGGTTTACCAAATAGATTGGTATGAACAAGTATTACCTAGGTAGGTGTATGTGCGTGCCATCATATATATAACAGAACTCTGGACACGGTGTCTTGCTCTCGTGCCAACCCAATTTTAAGACATCCCAAACAAACCCGAGGACAGAAATAGAGTGCAATCAAATGGTAGCCGCTCCACTCACCTGGGGCATCAGACAAAGTTCAAACGATTCACAGCCCTCCACAATTCACTAACCCGTGTGTGTTTCCAAAGTCCCAGTGACTCGCCACCGCAATTCTGATTTTCAAACCCAGATTGACCGAGTAGCAGTCTATCTAGGCAATGATATACATATGGACGGTGTTATTACCCCTCACACGAACTACCCGAAGATCTACAAGTACCTAGAGATATGCCAAACCTTGGAAGAGCAGTTCGTCACACTAGGATTGAGTAAGGCGCTAGAAAACATTCTAAGCTCTTCGAATCTACACTTGCCTCTAACTAATCCGCAGGTTCGTCTTGAATTCTAGATGTGCATATGCGCAATGTACGATCCACTTTTGGAAGAACCCCGCCAGCTGTACTTGTTTTTGAAGATAAAGAGATAATCAGCCAATACACATGATCCACGTTGAGTTCAGCATCTAGACGCAGCGATAGACAAATTGAAAATGGGCCTTGGGCTAGATCTAGAACCCAGGCGCGAGTTGCCTTCCAAATTGCTAGGTAACATAGGGAAACATGAATAATCATTATTCTACCCGGGAAAACAAAGACCAGAGTAGAATTGCTGTATCAGGTTTGATTGTGTCTCTAGATCCATACGTTGTAGCTGCCCATGCGTTGTCTACTTATGTAGGTTTCAAAATTAACCAGCAGGGTGGAATTTTCGTAAAAGCGAAATATTTTGTCGGTTAAATCAGAAATCAATTAGATTTGGCTGACCTTGGCTGAATCAAAAGACAGGTAGAACACCTTGGAAATTACTTTTCGAAGCTAGTACTGCTTCGCCGATCTTCTGCAGAAATCGAAATGAACCAGGTCCATACAGTTACGGAGTACTACTTTACTATTGGATATATAGGCCCAGGCCTAGGTACTAATATTAAGTCCGGAGTAATTAAATCAAAAGTATCTGCGTAGGCAAATAAAAAGCTTACGAAATGACTAGGGTGGTCCTAACTAGTCGGCGGGTTCCCATTCACCTTGTTTACCACTTTTATAGCCAATCAGAAGCTCTAGCTGGAGCTTTTTAGCGCTGAAAAAAAAAGTGAAAAAGCTGAATTTGACAGCGATCGACAAACGTTGGACTCTAAACGGCAATGCATCTCCCCGCAGGCCCAGCGTCTCGGAATTACATGGCCTTGCATCCGACCTAGTGGTTCAGTATCTTTGCTCTACATACTTACATACACTGCATGGACGTTAGTTATATGACATTGTATGTATAAGCCTATGACTACATTTACATCTAGAAATATTTATATATGCTTAGTATCACGGATCTATTGGCTTCTCCCCTTATTATCTTGAAGACCCTTATAGACTGTCTATTTGATTTTATTCATTTTTTGGTTCAATTAGGAGGATTTCCAATCCTACGACGATGGGGGTCCACTTGAAAGATTATTGCATGAATACATCATAATGTCCTACCGTAAACATTAATGGATTGTACGTGTAGTCATCAAAGGTGACAGTGACACCTGTAGTACTTACACGTGGATAGTGTTTGACATCACATTAATGCATGAATAAGTCACTATCCACTTTTGTAATGAACGCAACCAAAACAGGAAATTGAGGATGATCTGTAGAAATGCTCGTGCACGGCCAGACGGGCTCGGGCTTCTAACGCTTTTTAGCGACTTTGCAAATCCCGTTCCCCCTTGGCTTCTTCAAACTATACTGTACTCACATTGAGGGTTGTGGTATGGAAATGAGCGAATGTTTGCTCCATCTAAATCTTTATTACATACTTGATTTCCCCATCCCAATTTCCAAGATCCATTTTATAATTATGTGAGCGCCTTCTCATATTTCATTTCTTCATCTATGCCCACACCAAGCCCATTGCACTTTCCCTCGTATTCCTTTACTTCCTACATCATTTATCCCACTGCCCATATTGGACAACAACCTATTGGGTAATACCAAAGACCTTCACATGTTTGCAGGGAAGATGCGTCCCCTGCCTCTGGCAAGCATATCCAGTAGCGGTGGAATTGTGTCTCCTGATGCCCTAGAGCCTATCGCTGTTGTCGGCCTAGCAACCCATTTTCCTCAGCAGGCCACCAGCACAGAGAGCCTCTGGGAGCTCCTCTTACAAGCTAGGTCAACCTGGTCCAGCATTCCGAAAGAAAGATTTAACTCAAATGCCTTCTACCACCCGGACCCTGAGCATGGCGGAACAGTAAGTCACAACCCATTGCATGTCGAATGTTATCTTGTTGAAGTGCTGGCCAACTAATTCTTGCTAGTTTCATGTACAAGGAGGGCACTATCTTTCGGAAGATCCTGCCTACTTTGACAGCTCCTTTTTCAACATCACAAAGAATGAGCTACTGACACTGGATCCGCAACAGCGTTTAGTGCTAGAGAATGTGTACCATGCTTTAGAAAATGCCGGAATACCTATGGTCAATGCGGCTGGCTCCAACACATCAGTTTTCGTCAGTGGATTCAATCATGACTACCTAGGCATTCTGAATTCAGATCCGGAAACCACTCTGAAATACCAACCTACGGGTGTCACCAACGCACTCTTGTCTAATCGGGTTAGCTGGTTCTTCGACTTGAAGGGCCCGAGTATGACTATTGACACGGCCTGCTCGAGCAGTCTGGTGGCTTTACATCTTGCTGTACAGAGTCTGCGAGCCCGAGAAACGAACATGGTATGTAGTGCCTGCAGACATCGAGGTATATACTAATATTGATAATGGCAAAGGCTATCGTCAGCGGCGTCAGCATCCTCGAAAACCCTGTCGAGTCTATTGGAATGAGCCATCATGGCCTTCTAGGGGCCCAGGGACGATCATTCAGCTTTGATTCCCGCGCTGAAGGCTATGCACGAGGAGAGGGCGTGGGTACTGTAGTAGTGAAGACTTTACAATCCGCCATCCGAGATGGAGATACGATTCGTGCGGTTATTCGTGAAAGCGGTGTCAACCAAGATGGCCGGACCCCTGGAATCACGGTTCCTAGCGGAGATGCCCAAGAGAGTCTTATTCGTGAGGTATACAGAAGAGCTGGACTGGATCTTGAGTACACCAGATTTGTCGAAGCCCATGGCACAGGAACAAGCATGGGAGATCCAATTGAAGCCAGAGCTCTTGCAAGAGCATTTGAATGTCGTCAAGACTCCCCGCTATATGTTGGGGCTGTTAAATCTTCTATTGGGCATCTAGAGGGTGGCTCTGGTGTGGCTAGTATCATCAAGTCTATTCTGACTCTTGAGTCTGGAATAATTCCCGCAAACTGTGACATGAAGTGTGTCCACCCCTCCATACCTGCAGCAGATTGGAATCTAGCCTTTCCTTCCGAGAACATCCCATGGCCATCGTCGGGGCTGCGAAGAGTGTCAGTCAACTCGTTTGGAATCGGAGGCACAAATTCTCACTGTATCCTTGATGATGCCTATCACTACCTTAATGACCGTCATCTCACAGGGATACACTGCACCGCGGTTACTGTCCCCACGGCGCAGAAAATCAAGAGTCGAGTTTTGTCCTTGTCACGGACAGGGAGTGACGCGGAGCAGGACATGCTGGATACCTCAGACGACAGCGACCACTCGGCGCGTGAAGATCTGAACACCCCTAACAGTGATAGCTTTTGTGAATCACCGCAATTTAGCGTATCTTCTGTGTTTACCAACTTGATATCTCGACCAAAGCTGTTTTTGCTCTCCGCTTTCGATGAAGATGGCGTTGAAAGAAATGCTGCCGCTTTGGCGAGTTACCTCAACAGGAGAATGACCAAGGCAATTCCACATGAGAGCCTTCTTCACGATCTTTCGTTTACCCTGTCGAAGAAGCGATCTCTCTTCCAGTGGAAGAGTTTTGTCATGGCCTCTTCAGTCAAGGAACTTGCATGGAACCTTTCGGAGACCAATTTTGTCAGACCATCCAGAACAACTATGACTCCAGATCTGCATTTTGTTTTTACAGGTCAAGGTGCCCAGTACCAGGCTATGGGTCGAGAGCTCATGGTTTACCCGGTTTTCCAAGACTCTGTAGAGGAAGCAACCAACTATATTCGCCGACTGGGTAGTTCATGGTCATTACTCGGTAAGAGCCCCCATGTGGTGTTTCTATATGCGTACTAACTAAGTCTAGATGAGCTTTTGACCGAAAGAGAGCCACCCCGAGTGAGTTTACCCGAGATCGCCCATCCACTGTGCACAGTCTTACAAATTGCCTTATTGGATCTTTTGGCAAGCTGGGATATCTTCCCCACACGTGTAATTGGACACTCCTCTGGCGAGATAGCTGCTGCCTATTGTGCAGGAAAGCTGTCACGCGAAGGTGCCTGGAAGGTGGCATATTACCGTGGCTACGTCTCATCCAAGCAAATATCTGCGAATGGAGCAATGATGGCCGTTGGTTTAAGTGAATCGCAACTCGAAGGCTACCTGAACTCTGTACATGAGCGTTGTACTGGTGAACTCATCATAGCTTGCCAGAATAGTCCCAAAAACAACACAGTATCGGGAGATGAAGCTATGGTTGATAGCCTGAAGAAGTTGCTTGATATTGATGGGGTTTTTGCGCGCAAATTGAACGTCAAGAACGCTTACCATTCAGCTCACATGCGAGCAATCGCCCATGACTACATCCGCCTCATGGGCACCCTTCCACATGGGAAACGATTGGCGGCTCCTCACCAGGTGCAAATGTTTTCAACGGTCACTGGCGATAAGGTCAAAGAGGACCAGCTGTTAGCTCAATACTGGGTAGATAACATGGTTTCACCCGTGTTGTTTGCAAGTGGCTTAAATTCGATGACCTCAAAACCAACACTGGGTTCTGGCTCGATAGACCCGGCTTCTTTACGGCTCATTGTGGAGATTGGGCCTCATTCCACTCTGCAGAGTGCTATTAAAGAGACTTTGGGCTCGAACAGCCTCAATCTGGATTTCAAATATCTGGCTGTTTTGAAGCGAACAGACCACAACCTCAATACTCTACTCACTACGGTGGGATTCCTGGCTTCAAGTGGTTTTGCCTTGAACCTGGATTCTGTGAACCAAGCTTCTAGTTCTAAGAAGAGAAGGATACCTAAGCTTCTGGTAGATCTCCCGCCATACAGCTTCAATCATACTGAGAAGATCCTTTTCGAAAGTCGTTTAAGCAAAAATGTTCGGAATCGAAAATACCCTCGTCATGATCTATTTGGTGCCCCAATCACAGACTGGAACCCCAATGCTCCCAGATGGAGACATTTTGTCAGATTGAATGAGAACCCATGGCTTCGAGACCACATGGTGAGTCAGGAGTCATTCTGGGCTTGTTTCAATCAGCTAATATATTCTAGGTAACCGGAAATTTTGTCTACCCAGGCGTGGGGTACCTTATTATGGCGATCGAAGCGTCGAGACAACTTGCAGGTGGAACAAAAGTCACCAGCTTCCAGCTCCGAAAAATCATCATGAAGAGAGCTTTGATAGTACCCGATACCAAAGAAGGCATCGAGGTCTCTTTGTCACTGGCAACTGTGGACGATCAGTTGACTGGATCAAGAACATGGCGGCGCTTCCAGATAACCTCGTACAATGCCTCAAGTGACGAGTGGGCAGAACACTGCAATGGGCTCATTACGGTGGAACATGAACTGCCCCTAGATCCAGTGGACAATCGTCGCGAAGCTAAAGAAGATATTCAAGCATGGAAGGCCGATCTCGCCCATGCGAACCAAAAATGCGACAAGCCGATCAACTTCAAAACTACATACAACAATCTCCAAACATCTGGGCTCAACTTCGGGCCTCTATTTCGGAACCTCGGGGAAGTCCGAGGGAGTGGTTCTAGACTTGGAAGAGTTGTTGGATCAGTAATTGTTCCTGACATCGCGCAGTCCATGCCTAAGCAATTCATGCATTCTCACCTGATCCATCCTGCCACAATGGATAGCATGATTCATATGATGATTGCCGCCGTTCTTGACTTCACCGGCAATCCTACATTAGACCAGATCCGATTACCCACTTTCATTCGTGAGGTTTGGATTTCGGCAGATTTGAATGCGACCCCAGCACACAAGTTTACTGGACATGCAACTGTGTCTGTAATGAAATCTGGCAAATTTGAAGGTCAAATTAGAATGTTGGGCGAAGGATCAGATACCGAGCGCATTCGCATGGATGGCATCGAGCTCACTCCACTAGAGTCTGGCCTTGCCGAGAGCAGTGAGCGACAGCTATGTAGTGCGATTGAATATAAACCCGACCTTCATTTCCTTGACTCACGTACTGCCTGTGAGGTGACGTCGGTTGGTTCCAGCTATGAAGTTGAGGCTCTTTATTGGGTGAAGCGCCTTCAGCTTGCAACGATGATTTATGTCACAGATACATTGGCACTATGCCAGGACCTCGATGTGACGACTCTTGATTCACACATGCAGAGATTTATCGAATGGATGAAGCACATGAAAGGGAAACTTCTCCGAAATGAGATTATTCATCTCCCTTACAGTGAATTCCAGGAGGTTTCCCAGGATGAGTTTCTCAAGGAAGCCATTGACAAAGAGATTGAAGAACACAGCGCCGAAGGTGCCATTACCGCCCGAATGGGCCGTAATATTTACCAAGTCATACGAGGGCAGACCGATCCTCTGCATCTCATGTTTGGCCAAGACAATGTGATGGAGCAGGTCTATAAAGAGGGCCTTAATCTTTACAACCTTCCCCAACATCTGCGGAGTCATCTATCTCTGCTCCGTCACCAACACTGCGAGCTAAAGATCCTTGAGATTGGTGGGGGTACTGGGAGTTTCACTGCAGAAATCCTAGCAGTGTTGTGTCCAGACCCGACAAAAAGCAGAGGAAGTATTGCGAAATACACATTCACAGACATTTCTTCTGGCTTCTTCGAAAAGGCAAAGCAACGCTTCCAGCCATGGTCCAATATCATGAAATTTCAATCTCTCAACATAGAGCGCAATGCTGCTGGCCAAGGACTTCAGCTCGGAGAATACGACCTGATCTTCGCTGGTAATGTCATCCATGCTACGGCTAACCTGCAAAATACATTGCAGAATTTGAGTTCCTTGCTCAAGCCAGGTGGTCAGCTCATAATGCAAGAAGGGATTCGGCAAGACTTCCTCTGGTATCCACTTGTTTTTGGTCAGCTTCCTGGTTGGTGGCTTGGTGATGAGCCGTGTCGTCAATGGTGTCCCTACATTCCGACTGAGGATTGGGATGATATTTTGGTGAAAGCTGGTTTCTCGGGTGTCGATATCGAATATCCAAGCTCGAATAATCCAGATTTGACTTGGCAGAGTATTTTGGTTTCTTCAACTCCCACAGCTACTCAGGCGAGAAGGTCAAAAGTAAATATGTTGATTGTGACAACACTCTCGCCGAGAACGAGGAACATTATTTTATTTCTCCGCCAACATCTACAGGAGATAGGATATGGTTCTGTCAACATTGTTCCTCCCTCAGAGCTTCATACTTCTGTGCTTTCAGGCGTGCATTGCATTTCATTGATCGACATGGAGTGTCAGTATCTCACCGAGATGGATACAGCACAATACAATGGTCTGAAGGACTTGTTGAATGGGTGCGAGAATCTTCTTTGGATTACTGCAGGCCCCGAGGCCAGTCCACATGCAAGCATGAGCTTGGGTCTTCTTCGCACAGTGCGTTGGGAACGAGACTCCGATGGCTCGAACATCATTATTTTGACTGTATCAGAGCAGGAGCTTGCTAAGCAGGAAAGCGCAATCTTTTCGAGAAATATCGAGAAGATTGCCAAGCACCAATTCTTGAACCTTTCGAATGATCGCCATGCTGAGTACCTGTTGCGAGATGGTGTCATTCACATTGGCCGTCTAAGTGAGTGGACCATTGCAGAACAATTCCTTGGTGAGCGGTCTTCGAAGCTGTATCCTCAACTTCAACATTTTGGTGATATCGATTACCCCATTGAGTTGCAAGAGACTGCAGCCGGGACCGGTGAGTATCACTGGGTAGCAGACCCCCAACATGAACTTCTGCTGGCAGACACCGAAGTTGAGATTGAAATTCGTGCGTTCGGTCTCTCCCCAAGTCCTTCTGGCAGCGCTCTTTTGAATGAAGCTGCCGGAATTGTGATTAAGGTCGGTTCCAGGGTGAAAAGTACCATCCTTGGCGAGAGGGTCGCTTTTATTTCTGCTCCAACGAAAGGCGGTCGTTTACGGACGCATGAACGAGTCGATCACTTGCTAATAGCTAAGATTCCTGATGAGATGTCTTTTGAAATCGCGGCCCAATTAGCTTCAGCATATACAACACAAAGCCACGCGATCAATTGCTGCGGTGACTTCGATTCAGAAGACACCGTATTGATTCACAACGGTGCAATGGCCGTAAGTCAAGCCGCCATTCAATTTGCCCAGAGGTTTGGGAGCAAAATATTCGCTACTGTAGCCACGCCCGAAGAACGTGATCTACTTGTGTCTGAATACAAGATCCCCAAGGAGCATATTTTCTCCAGCAGAGATCTCACTTTTGCCAAGGGAGTTATGCGGTACACTAACGGCCAAGGCGTCAACTTCATTTTCAACAATATGAGCGGCGAGGCACTTCAGGCATCACTGGCATGTCTTGCCTCGCATGGACAATTTATTGACGTAGCGCAGAAGGATGCACGGATTGATCATACGGTTGACCTGGCCTCTTTGTCTCGGAACATCAGCATTCACAAAATTGACATATTATCTATGGCTGAATCTCGGCCAAAAAAGGTTCGTGATCAACTTGAACATGCATTGGCGTTATACTCCAATGACCAAATCGGTCAAATTCGAGGATCAACCGTCATGGACCTCACGCAGATCAAAGAAGGACTTCAGTCTATTCAGAATGGGAGATCAGCAAAAGTCGTTTTTATTCCCGATTCCTCTAGCATGGTCCCCGTAGTCCCAAGATCAACTACGCCATATCAATTTGAGCATGATGCTACCTACGTCCTTGCCGGTGGCTATGGTGGCTTAGGCCGCAGTCTAGCAAGATGGATGGCATCCCGTGGTGCAAAGAATCTCATCTTCCTATCACGTTCATCGGCATCGAGTCCGGAGAAGCGGGAAATGGTCACCGATCTCAAAAGAATAGGATGCAAGGTCATCAACCATACCTGCGATGTTTCGGATAGATCTTCTTTGGAAGCACTATCTGGAAATCAATTTTCACATCTACCTCCTATCAAAGGATGTATCCAGGCATCCATGGTCTTGAAAGTAAGTCCTCACCACCCCGGCCAGAACGACAAAACCTAACAAGTGTATAGGATAGTGCATTTTCTCGAATGTCCTTTGAGGACTGGCAAGCTGCTCTCAAACCCAAGGTACAAGGCTCCTGGAACCTGCATACAGTCCTGCCAGACAACATGGACTTTTTCGTCATGCTTTCCTCCGTGGCGGGTATATTCGGAAACCGCGGCCAGGCAAATTACGCAGCGGGAAATACCTTTCAAGATGCACTAGCTGCGTATCGTGTCTCGCAGGGCATGAACGCATCAAGCATCAATCTCGGTAGTGTTTCTAATGTCGGGTGGGTGGCTGAGAATAGAAGCTCAATGCGCACTCATACCGCAACCCTATTTGAGTTGATCCGCGAAGACGAGGTCCATGCTGCGATTGAATTCCTCATTGATCCCCGCCAGGATAAGCATTTCGCCAATGGCATGCGACAACCCCAGCTGGTACTTGGTTTGCCCACAGCAGAGATGTGTCGCCAAAATGGGGTGCCAACGCCCACTTACTTGGACTATTCAATGTTCACGCACTTCCGCAGTGTTGCCACATCAAAGGCCAGTGAAATCACCGAGCAAAAGACTGTCAGTACGACTGCCCTGTTGGCGGCAGCTTCGGACAACGAGGCTGCCGTGGCCGTTATATCGAATGGCGTTGTCGAAAGACTTTCTTCCCTGCTCGCGATTCCCTCATCGGAGCTTGATCCTCAGCGCTTTGGATTTGGAGGTATTGACTCTCTTGTTGCGATGGAGTTCCGCTCGTGGATTGTCAAGGAGCTTAAAGCTGATATTTCTCTGCTGGATATCATGGGAGCCGAGAATATCAAGATTTTGAGTGAGAAGGTTGCCGCCAGGAGTCGCTTGGTTGGGGGCCCCGGGTCTTCATCTCTGTGAATTACTCCTTTGTTGAAGATTTCAATATTGTTGCGTTTTGTTTTATTTTAATTCTGCTTGTAATTCTTTCATGATTTATGAACATAATACCCTTGACGAGAGATGGTTTTGCTCTTCTTTTATGGTGTTATTGGGCGCTAATAATGAGATTGGTTATGAGGATGCATAGATTGATTTGGAATTATCAATTTCATGAAACCGTTGAATTTGAAGACATACCTAGGTATATGTCTCGAGAAGTGGCCCATCACCTCGCATCATAGTTTTCTTGTGATAGTCCACGGGTTTAACTGTACGTTTTGTCGTTCTAACTTATTCTTCTCACCGTCTAATGATGTGCCCAGGTGCACTGCAATATAAAAGGTTTCGTATAACTACATGTAGTTGTATATAGCATTTTGAATAACTTTCTACCTAGGATTCACCAATGTTAGATAGTACCAAGTCTAAATGGCGAATTAGATTTCAAAACGGGATATAATTATATAGCTCAAACAAAATCCCGGCCCTTGACTTCAATTCATTATTCGTTACATTCATTAATAGCCACTTGGGCATCAGCCATAACTATTACCGCATAGATTGCGAGGGCATATAGCCCCTCAGACCTTGATCAGCAACACAAAGAGCCAACTTGGGTTCGGCGCCTAATCGCTCATGCCGCCACGCCCGCTCGCGCAGAGCTAGGTAAACGGCGCGAAAAGGTTGGAGATCGCCGGGCGACCGGGCAGGCGGGTTATGAGGGTCGAAACCCAGTTCCTGAAGTTGTGCCTCACACCAGCGCAGTGTATCTGGTGGCAGGTATTCATCCGTGTCGGTTTGAGTGTGATTTTGTTGCATGACTTGGAGGATTGGGGTGTCAACTGGAAGACCGAAGTTTTCTACACCTTTTGGCGGGTGGTGGTAGTTCATGTAAGGTTTTCCCGGGGCGCGCTCGGGATGATCTGCTTGTTTGCGGATGTTGTGCATGTTCCAAGTTTGAACATAGGATTTGATGTGGCGTCGAAGAGTGGGCATGTAGACTGCAAAGAGGGCGACTTGTTCTGGTACTACTGTTGATGAAAAGAGGCCCTCGCTGTACAGTTGACGGAAATAGTTCTAATTTGGCGGGTTAGTATTTTGCAACTTGATGAAGCTCTAACAATGCTTACGTGGTACAGAGTAACTACTGATTTGGCAAGCTGGGCCCACCAGGATTCGATCCGGTGAGTGTCGTTTGCTCGGCCAGGTGCACAGCACTGCTCACGTTGGACATCTGGCTCAGTAGAACGGCGGAGCGCAAAGTGGGCATCAGCTAGAAGAGGAACTTCAGATTCCAGGTCAGATCGGAGAGTACGTGGTTGGCGGCTTTTGGTGGAAACCGCATCAAGATGGTGCTTGAGAACACCCGTCGCTGTGTGAGCATCAACCCCGACATGAATCCAAAGAACATAGCGAGAATAAGAGTCGATCTCGGCGTGGATTCGGACACCAAAACTCGCCAGTTTGGAGTACCCGTTCACATGCCAGGTCAAATTGGGCCCGGCCAGAACCTTGGGGGGTGGAGGACGTCGTTGGAAATCGCTTGTGCGGCGCTCCACCGTCTCGGGGCGCATCATGCGGTAAACATTGTAGAGACGATCTCGGGCGAATACATAACCCTTGCTTCGGAAGTGGTTGTGCAGTAGCTCCTTGCCATAACCCTCTATAGTGCCCTTGTCCATTTCTTCCGTCAGGGCATTGAGGATTTCCTGGACCTGCGCTTCCTGTTGTGCTGGCGAGTCGAGACGGAGCCGGATACCGAGCTGATGTCGCAGTCTGCGGAGAGTCCGGGTTGAGACATCGTAGCCTTCGTCGTGTAGAACAGTGACAATTTCTTGGTCCGTGAGACCCACCTCGAAGAAGAGGTTTTTGATGCGGGCGTGCAGCGCTTGATTTGAAGTGTTGTTTTCCATCTTCTTCTTGACACCCCAATGCTGCAGCCGTTTAGTCAGGGTGCGTGAGGAGATCTGGATATCATGCTGTCTCTTCAAATGCCTGCAAATGTCGTCATTTTTCATTTTCTTCTTGAATAGACCGACAATCTCATCCTTGTACGGATCCAGGTCAACCCTAGGGCGACCGGAATTCCTACTGGGCGTATCTGGAGCTGTCTCTTCCATTTTTGCGCAACCAACACGATATTGATCAGGATAAATTCCGGGAGGTACAAACAGTCAACGGTTGGGGGAAGGCGGTGAATGGATCAGGGTAAAGAATGTGCAGAATATCACCGCTTTGATAACCCAATTTTTTTTGTTATCGCAATTGAAGACATCGAATCTTCACTCAGGGCACTCAAGAAACTCAAGAAACTCAAGATATTTTCGTGCGCGTAACCTCCAATTTAATCGCCACAATGGTCCGTGAACTCAAGCATCATGAGAAGAAGTACGTGAAAAATCCGACAACAAAAATCTCAATCTAGCATCAAAATTGTGACAGCTTCATAAAACCCCAGGAATCGAAGGACTAACAGCGCTATTTTTGCAGACTTCTCCGGAAGGTCGACTTCCACAACTACAAATCCGACGGCAATCACCGCGAACATGAGATCCGCCAACGGTACCTCCTGCAAGACCCAATGGACTATAAGAAATACAACGCCCTCTGCGGTTCCCTGCGTCAACTCGCCCACAAGCTCTCCCAACTGGACCCCGAGTCCGACCCACTGCGCAAGAAGCTCGAATCCGAACTACTGGAGAAGTTGTGGCGCATGGGAATCCTGAAGCAGTCCCGCGAGCAGGGTGCTGGTTTGTCCAAGGTCGAGCGCGAAGTCACAGTTTCCGCCATGTGCCGTCGCAGACTCGCTGTCTTCATGGTGCGCTCTGGAATGGTTGAGACTATCAAGGCTGTAAGTCATGTTCTGAGCGGACTTTTGGATAATCGAAATGCTAATTTTCCTTCAGGCTACGACTTTCATCGAGCAGGGCCACGTCCGTGTCGGTACGGAGGTTGTCAATGATCCCGCTTTCTTAGTTTCTCGCAACATGGAGGACTTCGTTACTTGGGTGGATTCCAGTAAGATCAAGCGTAACATCTTGCGCTACCGTGAGAAGCTGGATGACTTTGATCTTCTGTAAGCGGTCCCTGTGGAATGAAAAGGGAAAAAAGCATTTTGGGTTTTTGTCTTTGATATACCCGGCGCTTGTGCATTGTGACCTGTTTCAGGTTTGGCGTACTGATGTTTTATGAAATTATATCGATTATGTGCACCTTGTGGTGATTCATCATATAGGGAAATTCATTCGCGTGCAATTGACTGGATTTGGAACCTAAATAGCCCCGTCGACTTTGGTCGAACCCCAAAGAGCAGGCAATCGATGACATGATACATACTTGTAGTCTTAAGTTCCCAAAGTTCTCCGTCTCGTTCGTACTGGAGTTGAACATGAGTAACAGTGGTGCAATACAACTCAATTACAAGACTTAAACCAAAACGAGAAAACATAGTCAGATCAGTTGATTATGCTCAAAGATAATAGCACCACTAGTGCCGAATATGTACTGAATAAGCTATGAACAGCATACTCAAAAGAACAGTAGGGTATCTCAGTCTGAAGAAAGTGACAGGGAAAGCAAAAGCGACTAAAGATGATATGCCAGTGTCGATTAACACTACCGTCAAGAACAAGACGGAGACGACACTGGATGCAAATGCAATGCAAAGTGTTCATCACTCAGCATCATGGTATCATAGGAAAGCAGAAAGAGCAGCACCAGTGCTGCTGTGACGGGGAGATAAAAATAAAAGTCGACAAGAATTTAGATGTTAGAGGGAGAGCTCTTGGTGCGAAGATACGCCCAGCGCCGTCGTCGAGCACCATCAGAGTCCGATTTTTTGAATTCCATAGTCGTGTTGGTCGGAGAACATGGTTCATCTTCCGGAATGTCCATACGGAACCGACGCACACTTCCCTCGCGCTCGGGCTTTCCCTCTTCGAAGAACGGGATTCGCGCATCGCGAGTCTGGAAACAGCGCGGCGCAACACGGCGCCAAAAGCCTCGCACACCACTACTTGCGCGGTCGATTTTCTCATACTCTCGACGCCGGGTATCAGGCGATGTCCATTCCATTACTGTCGCCGGGACGTAGACAGATGAGGACGATAGTCTGCCTACCGGCATTGTATTTGAGCGATCTCTCGACGTGAGAAAGTGCGCTACGTGTGTTGGCGGCTCGGGCTCGAAGCGGAAATCGGAGTATGAGGAGACGTTCGGGGATGAGGGCGCCGAACTGCCTTTTTCTGTTAATGAAAGGCTTTCGCGACGAGTTCTATATGTTGCTGATGCTGCTCGTTGGAGTGTTGCACGCTCTGACTCTGATGGTTCCTGGAATAATCGGCATGATTCTCGGTGCAGGGCTATGAGGGACTCGCGCCTTTCTTGCGGTGAGCTGCGAGACGATGGGACTGGCACGATGGATGCTTTTGGCACTGTCCGGCGTGCTGAGTGAAGGGAGCTACGGCGGCTGCTGGGTCGCGAGCGGATCGTGCTCCGCGATGCTGAGCGAGAGTGATTTATAGAGGTTGATGCCGACGTTGGCTGGGAGTCGCTAGTCGGCGAGCTGGACTTGGCGGGTGGGTCGATACGCTTCACCTTCATTTCAGACGGTGATATAGACATGCTTCTCTCAACCTCGGTGATGATAGATGTTTTTGTAGAGAGCGTTAACGAGGGCTGTAAAGCCAGACATGTGACGGACGCCATCGGGAAAGTTCAGAAGCATATGACTGGCAGGTGCCTTGGTGATCACCCCTGCAACTCAGGTGTTCGTGTTTATTTATCGTATCGTATTCCAAGGTTGTTGTTGCAGTGTTGGTTTGTTGTATACTTTTGTGATAAGATTAGGGCTGACAAGTGTTGGAGGTCGACTCCATCTTGACCAAATGAAGATATAAATGGAAACAAATGAATATAAAAAAAGAAAAGATGAAAAATGAAACAAAAGACGACAAAACAAAAAATTAACGATACGATGAGCTTCTTCTTCCCTATTTATTCTCGCGCACACCGCTCCTCGTCTGTTTTAGCGGAGTGGGGGTTCGGCGTCTAGAGTGTCTGGCCATGATCGTCCTATAGAGGCGCCAACGCCCCTGCAGTAAGAAAATGCAGGGGTTAGTATACCTATTTGAGCTGAACTAGCTATATTAGCTTATGGCTGTTTTATGTTAGTTGATTGGGTAATGAAGATATTAATACAAACAAAATATGAAGTGATTATAGGCAGCATATTCTGTAGGTTCCCCCTGCAGCGTACGCCCCATGAACCCCCTCATAATTTGTCACTTGAACGGTCCACATGGCCAACACACAGCAAACTCTGTTTGGACGATCATATCATTCAGTAAATAAGGGTTTTGAGAAACAAACTGGGAAGCGTCACGCTAGTCCACGGTGTGATGCACGTTCTTGCGTGCAGAGACCCTAATAGACCCTAATATATTTAGTGCGTTGGGACACCGCCAACCCTAGTCTCAACGAGATCTACATAATGACGATGGATGTCTCAAAAGAAAAAATTGAATTTGACCAGCAAATAGAAGAAGCTGTGTATCATAAATTAAAGATCCAAGATAATCCAAGACCCTTTATTCAAAGCGAGTAAAGAAACTCGGGATTCTCCCGGTCTGTCAAATCAAGCCACCTGCGAACATATATTAGTTTATAAGCTAAACCCGGAATTCATGCCGACATCGCACAACAAATTCAAAAAGACAAAATGGATTCAAACTCACTCTTGATTTTCCAATCTCACGTACTCCGGCCGGGCAGTAAAAAGGATCTTCTTCTTATTCTCCCGACGGTACCATGTCCATACACCAACCAGCAAAAACAAACACACCCCCCAACAGACAATGATAGTCACTTCGGCGGGGACATAGCGGGGGGCATCCTTCGGGCGGAAGGTTTGTGGGCCTTCAAAATGTCAGTGCGCCAGTTCTAGATGTCCTGCATGTGGATACTGCACTCACCGATAATATTTCCAGCACAATATCCAATTAAATACAATGCCGCCACAGTTGTCTTCTTCGTGTATCCAGCCACATTAGAAGAAATCAGTGACAGCAATGCAACAAACGGTGTTGGGCTGGCTTGGGTGAGGTAATAGCCAATTAAGCGGCCGACGTGATTTTCAAGAGGAAGTGCCACGATAAGTAGCATTCCCACGATCGCAGCAACGAGTCCACCCAAACTTGTCAGGACACGCTGCTGGGTGATATGACCAATGTAACCGTTGAGTAGCAATGCAACAACCTCGACTGCGCCGCCTGGTACGCCCAGGATCAGACTTTGTGTCTCGTTGTAGCCGAACCCTTTGATCTAGCTCCGAGTCAGCATATACCCAAGTAGCACTCCTGTTTGTACAGTGGGATGTCATACCAGTTGACTAAAGAAATTCGTAATACCGCCATTGGGAATATCTGCAATAATGGCATAAAAAAAGAAGGCCCAAGTCATAGGATCCAAGAGTGCCTCCTTGACCTGATACATTTTGAAGTGCTTGTTTCCAATGCCCTGCTGGTTAATGCGAACACGGGCAATAGCCAGGACGCGATCTTCCTTTTTCAGCCAGCGCGCATTGAGCTGATTATCCGGTACAATCCAGAGGAAAACGAGACCAAGACAAACGGTTAGCAGGCCGGTAACAAGAAAGACGATTTTCCAAGGTTCGATGGATGATCCATGCTTTGCGGTGCCGACGGCGATTCCATAGGCTACTACGCCGCCGAGAATCTGACCTACGCCGTTAAAGCTAAACCAAATGTTGACACGGGCTCCTTGTTCGTTTTTGGTGTACCACTGCCTTGATTAGCTAGATCCCAGGGTTGTATGCTGATAGCTTGCAATGTATGATTCAAGCGTACCTGAGAAGTCAAAAGAGCGAAGCCCGGTGTCACTGCTGCTTCGAATACACCGAGCATGAAACGGATAGCGATCGCACCGGGGTAGCTGTTCACAGCGGCAAAGCAGCAGAGAATCGTTCCCCAGATCAAGATACATGCCGCGGAGTATTTTCCTAGTGGAAGGCGCTGAAGAAGACGGTTGGTTGGGTACTCCCATGCGAGATATCCTATAAAAATATCAAAGTTAGAGCTGAGCGCTCAATAAAGTGATGGGAAACCACAGAAACATACCAAAATAAAATAAACTCCCAAGCCATTGATACTGATCTCCTTCGAGATTCAGATCTTCTTTGATACCCATAACGCTAGCATAGGAGAGAGTGGTTTCTTTCAAAATTGATTAGTTTCAATCATCTCTCGAGTTCTGGGGACTGTAGGCATACTATCCAGATAGTTCAATCCATAAATGAAGCACATAATGGGCATCATGTGCCAGTCAATAACACTCAGCAAGCGACGATTCGTTGCCTCATCAAGCTCGATAGTTTCGCCATTTAGCTCTTCAATGGCCTTCATAGCCTCGTCAGCATCGTGGGAGTGCTTCTCCATAGTTGGGTCGACATGCTTGCTTTTTTCGATGTCGACACCAGTATCCACGCCCGAGGAGAGGCCGATCTCTTTTTCGGCCATTTTGAACTAACCTCAGTCGGAGGTCTGGGAAGGAGGAAGGCTATTGATGAAAATGTAATCCGACTGAAAGGTTTCAAAGGATGATAAGGTTTAAGTAGGAAAATGCGGAGTCGAGTAACTAAAGTACGAACAACGGTGAGTACTCTGGCAACTAAGGAAACGCACGAATGAAGCACACACATACCCATGTCACCTTTGGAGCTTTGTACTCCGGCTTCATCCTATCAGGCTTGGAAGTGTTACAGCTCGGCACGAAATAGTGGATCGGGCTCGATAAGAACTAAGTTATCTGGGGTTGAAACTAAATTCATTGATGTGACTGGCTGAACTGAGAGGGGGTTAGCCGATCGACGGGAGAAGGAAGGAACTACCTTGGTTGGGGAGTCTGGGCATATCTGGGCATAACTCTCGGCATTGCTTCTACAATATTGTACATGATGATGTAGTAATATAGTACTATATACGTATGCACTCCGTAGGGTTCTATCAGTCGGTTTGGATGATCATAGTATGAGAGATCAGATGTACGACGTTGTAGATCCAGATCCGATTTACGTCAAGACCGCATGTGTATTTGCTTCAAGCTTTAAAAAGAATATGTTGCATGTACGAAGATAATGAATCCTGTTCGGATCTACTTCTAGTTCCGTGCCATCCCGTCAAAGTACAGTCTTATCTATTGGGAATAGCCTTATCAAATTGAGCTATCAGTTTCATGTAGTCAGATAGCTTGCTAGCTGACCAGCTGAAATCACCCAGACTAATAGTAATATCTATCGGTTATCTGATTGCATGATTCGGAAAATTCAAGCACATGCAGTTAGTTGACACGCGTAACTCAAATCTACAAACCTTGAAGCTATCCCCTTACGTCCCCGCGGCAAACCCTTTAGATAGTACTCTCGGAGATGTGCAAAGCAGATGAAAAGTCTATAATTGTAGCACGCCATCAGATCCTCATTATGCATAACCACATGTGCACACATTACAAAAAGGCTAACTCTATTGCGCACCAACACGGGCCAGATACGCCTCCCATCCCTGCTGCTGGTACTGCCTGGCAGCCTCGACCGGGTCCGCCGCTGCGTAAATACCCCGACCAGAGATAATGAAGTCCGCCCCGCGACCCACAGCCGATTGAGGCGTCTGATACTGCTGACCGAGCTTATCGCCCTTAGACGAGAGGTTCACACCAGTAGTGAAAACGACAAAGTCCTCATCCTGCCCGGGGGCGACACTCGCGTCAACCGCGCCAAGGGAGCGGGTCGACACAAAGCCTAGCACGAAGCTGGGGTACTTGCGGGCGATATCGACAGAGGCGGAGGTGTAGGAGCCGGTGGCGAGGGATCCCTTGGAGGTCATTTCAGCGAGGATGAGGAGGCCACGCTCGGAGCCGTAGGGGAAGGTGGGGTCCTGGGCTGTTTGGGCGAGGGCTTCGACGATGCCTTCACCTGGTAGGATGGAGCAGTTGATGATGTGGGCCCATTCGGAGATGCGGAGGGTACCGTTGTGGTATTGCTTTTGAACGGTGTTGCCGATATCAATGAATTTGCGGTCTTCGAAAATGAGGAAGTTGTGCTTGGCGGCTAGGGCATTGAGACCGTCAATTGTCGCTTGGCTGAAGTCGGAGAGGATGTCGATGTGCGTTTTGATCACGGCGATGTAGGGACCCAGACCTGGGAATTGTTAGTGGATTGAATCTTTCGGAGGCTTGGCTTACATACGGTCGGCAAGGTCTAGGAGCTCTTTTGTGGTGGTCACGTCGGCGGAGATGGTCACATTGCTCTTTTTCTCTTCGGCGACTTGGAAGAGCTTGCGCGCGAGGGGGTTAGGGTGGGATTGGGCGCGGGCGCCGTAGGTCAATTTCGACTTGGAGGACATGGTGAAATATATACGAAGGAGACCAAATGCGTTTGATCAACTATAGGGTGAGTCTATAGGCAATTCAAAATGCAGAGTAACCGAGAGAAGAGGGAAACTTTTTCTGCCACAGCGGGGCAATCCCCGGAACTGTCATAGTGGGACTGTCTATACTGTAAGTACTATGCACACTAACTACATGCATTGTAAGAAGGATTTCTAACTCATAAAAATACATTTCAATTGTGGTTTGCTAGTTTTCTAGAAAGAAAGCAAGTCCCGTCCAACGCCAAATACACTCATTCCCCAGAGCGCACCCTGCACAAGCCAGAAGAACCCGCCAATCAGGCGGCCCTTACCCTGGGCCTTGCCGGAGTAGACATAGCCATACAGGAATAGAGCGCGGAAGAACACCCACAGAGCACCAAGACCAGCAGCATACTCGGGGTACTTCAAACCAGCGACCAGGGTGAAAAGCATGGTCTGGGAGGCGTTCTCGAGAAAGTTGGTGTGGGCGCGCTGAGCGCAGTTGAATTTCTCAGCTTTGGCCTTTTATATGTCAGTAAGTTTGGAAGATACATATGCACATAAATAAATATCCATGGATACATATAATGATGGAATTATCTAATGGCAGAGGGCTTCGGGGTTGGTGTATACGAACATTTTCCTTGCACTGCTCCATGGAGGCATAGCTGTGGGGGTAGGGTACCTTAGCCTCCTTGCGCAGGCTGCCAGTGATACAACCGTGAATGAATCCCAGGACGGGAATGGCGCCGAGAGCGACGCCAATGACGGCGCTAGGCTGTGTTAGTCGTGTACGAATGGTTTGTACCTGCATGGTAACGTACCCGTAGTTTCCAGGAACAATGAATGCAACCATGATGTGAAGTTGTTTTAGATTAAGATGAACAATAAGTGGCTCAAGTCTGAATGATGTGAGTTCGTGGCTTTGTGTTGTGATTTGGTCCAGCTCCAGCTCCTTTATATGTGGATCGGGGTCATCAAACCCCGACTACCCGTCGGCGCAACCTGTACCCGTTTCATCCGGCGGTTTGGTCCCCGTGTTCTTTCTATTCGATTCCAAGCTCTACGTTGCTATACAATGTTTTGGTTTTGTCTCTGTCCTTCGGCTTTTATTTATGCGCGAGGTAATTGAAATTTCACACTGGATTGATTTTGGTACTGCGGGCGGCTGGGGACATATCTCAAGGGTGAAGATCGAGTCGCATTGCCTCTCAAGGATCAACCCTACATTTTCGACGAGATCCGGAGCACATTCCAGCATAGGAGCTATATGCGAATTGGTTGAAATACTATCCAACCTAAATTTACACTGTCGCGTTAAGAGGTGCCATGCGGCTCACGCTCCCGTACTTAGCCTGCCAGGCGAAAAAGTACAAGAGAGCTCCAAGCGGCTGTCCAACAAGACAAAAACTAACCCAGAAGATGCAGTTACCGATCACCTTACCCGATGGTCCGCGCATTTTTTCAAAAGGCGTGGTGAGCATGATCAATGGTAGCTGGAACATCATCCCCAAGAATGCAACACCTGAAATGATTAGCATAAGAGTTGTCTATCTGAGAATGGCAACTTACCAATGAAGTTATGAGTGGGAATACCAACGAGCATTTCGTGAAGAATAGCAGACAGCGTGAACACCATCCCACTTGCAGCGAGAGGACTCCAGCCACGACCCACTAGGGGCGAGAAGACGTGTCGCTTCATGAAAAGGTAAACAGGTCGGTTCCACGATCGCCAATACACACCCAGACTGGAGCTGTTCCACCAGTCGGTGTAGAACTCGCGATCTCCAAACTGCATAATCTCGGCCAGAGCATTCAACAGTGCCTGGAACAATGCAAAGAATCCGGCCAGCCAGATAACCAGTGAAATGGTAGACAGTTTCATCACTCGCTCGAGGATTGAGGTAATGTCCATCACGGCAATCTTGTCAATCGAGTTCCGCAGTACCGGCGCCGCATACTGGGCAGACAGGAGCCAGATGAACACCGCAAGGCCCACGAACTCTGCAAGGCGCTTTGCGACAAACGACCATCGAATGGATGGAGTCCGTGGGTAGACAGGCTGGTAGACTAGTGTAGGGGCAAGCCAGAAATAACCCAAGTTCTTGATGGTAATATTGCTCGGGTAAGGGCATGTGGAGTAGATATTAGGCAAACCCGGGTCCGCAGAGGGATTCAGCAGTGCGAGACGGAGATCACGGTTTGTAAAGGCATACGAGCAATTCTTCAACCATACGATGATCGCGTGGAGTTGGCAGATTGTACCGATCCCCGGGTGGTGAATGTAGAAGTATACCACGTAGCTGGTCACTGCGAGACACAGAGTGGCATTCAATGTGTGCAGGAAAGCAGTATACGGCCATGTTGATTGAAAGTCTTTTTGGTCACGCTCCTTTTCTTCATCTGTCTTCTTCTGGCGGCCCACTGTCTGCTTCGCTGCGGTGGCTGCCGACAGTTCGATGATGTAGGCAACGAGCAAATGGCATGGCACCGAAGCAAACAAGATAGATCCGAGAATGACGTCCTGCCTGCGGTAGTCATGGCATTTAATACAAATCAAAACACCATACTATAGACATCATGTATTAGTTTCAGACAATAGTTTGTGTCGCTGGATTACCCACTTTCATGAAGTTCTCAATAATCAGTCGCAGGTTCATCGCCACTGTTGAAACAATCAGCCTATACCATAGATCTCAATTTTTGAGTGACCCTTACCAAGTACCAGCACCATGAGATTTCGAAAGCCCAGGAAATTAGGCAAAACATCAGCTTCGCGACTGAGACTTGAATGTTGTAGCTTGGAGTGATATGCAGCTACATGGCGATATTTACTGCGTTTCTTTGACGAAATAGTACGGGGTTCATCGTGAACAGCCCCGTTCGCCGAGTTGTCCTGCGATTCCTCGCTAGTCATGGCTTCTGTGCGAGAAGTCATGACAACTTTGCAACCTTGGCAGTGCGATATTTGAAGGGTCTAAGCTCCAATCCGGAGCTCCGACGGTACTGCAATGCAATATTAAAGCAAACGAGTGGTAAGGCCACACTTCAGCATGGCAGATCGAAAAAAGAAATAGTAAGAGAAAGAGAAGAAAAGGGAAAAAAGGGACTAAAAAGACTAAAGTAAGTCCCAACGGTTGTTAATATGGCCTGGACTTGACATGGCGGGGGGAGCATCATAGCGCTTGCAGATAAACCCGCAGCCAATGAGATTCCAATGTGGTCAAGGGGATCCTGCGCTCCGAGCTTCGACTTTCTCCCATTCTTGAAGCTTCAGCCTTTGGTTTGTTTGAGCTTGAATACGTCTTCGAGTTTACCTGGATGATCCGATCTTGATCCGGTAAAGCTTTTTGACTGGCCGCGATGGCCTACTACGAGGATGGAGGCGAAGGAGGCCGATTTGGAAAGAATTTCGACGGTCCAGTCGGACCTCGCAGACCACGTATGTTTGAATATCAAAGCTGCTTTCGATTTAATGAACTCTGGAGCTTTTGATTCATTTTGCTTAGTACTAACAGACAATCATCGCAGGACTCGTCACTGATTATGGTTCTTCGATGGTACAATGGATGCGCACGCGGCAACCGCGATACAAAGGAGGATATCGACTAGAAGCAGAGCGACCGAGCCCCAGCTTTGCGGTCGATGTATGTCGCGTGAAGTCCCACTCTGCAGAACAAAGATACTGATGCCCGATAGGTTCTTCCCCCAATGGCGCGACCATATTCGGCTGTCGATACTATTCCCGTCCGACACCTGCACCAATCGATCGGAAAATCAAAGAAACCTATCGTCGTAGTGCGATGGACCCCTGAGGGAAGAAGGCTGTTGACCGGCGGTCATACGGGAGAGTTTATGCTCTGGAATGGAACAGCATTCAATTTCGAGACGGTGATGGACGTGGGTATTTCCAGCTTTTGCGGTTGGTAAATGTCACTAATATGAAATACTCAAAGGCACACTATGATCAAATCCAAGCCGGTGTCACATCACTAGCATGGGCTCATAGTCAGGATTGGCTGGTTTCCGGCGGACAAAGAGGAGACATCAAGTACTGGCGACCCAACTTCAACAACGTCGAAACGATTGATGACGCCCACCACGATGCTGTTCGCGATCTGTCCTGGGCACCCAGCGATACCAAATTCCTTTCTGCTTCCGATGACACAACACTCAAGATCTTCGACTTTACCACCCGAACCGCTGACACCACTCTGACCGGACACAACTGGGATGTCAAGTCCTGTGACTGGCACCCAACCAAGGGTCTGATTGTTTCCGGATCGAAGGACCACCAGGTCAAATTCTGGGACCCACGCACCGGTCGATGCTTGACTACCCTTCACAGCCACAAAAACACGGTCACTTCCACGCGGTTCTCGCGGGTGAATAGCAATCTTCTTGCTACCTCATCACGGGACCAGACTGCGAGGGTATTTGATCTGCGCATGATGCGCGATATTTGCATTCTGCGGGGCCACGAGAAGCCGGTTTCTTCATTGACATGGCACCCCATCCACAGCAACCTGATTTCGACTGGTGCCGAGGACGGTTCTCTCTACCACTATCTACTCGACGAGCCGAACCTGCCCAGCGGCCAGATTCCTACTGTGGCGCCATATGACAGCCCGGACCCAGCCAACACCCCGCCGCAGGTGATCTACCCAGCACATCGGGTTCAATACGCTCACGGAGCTACGATTTGGTCATTAGACTGGCACCCGTTGGGTCATATCCTTGCATCTGGATCCAAGGATAACTTCACTCGTTTCTGGTCACGAACTCGACCGGGTGAGACTAGTTACATGAAAGACCGTTTCCACATCGGCGAAGAAGCAGCCGAAGCTCAAGGAACATGGAACCGTGGATTTGGCCGGAAACAGATGCGGGATGACGAGGAGCAAGAGATGCAGGACGAAGCCGACAGTTTGGTTGACCAACGACGCCCAGGTGCTTCCGCTCTGCCAGGTATCCAAAGTGCGCCGCCGGCCGGCTCTCAGCCTGACGGCCCAGGCTTGCTACCTGGTATTGGCAATGCCCTGCCTCCGCCACCTGGCGTTATGAGTGGGATGAATCCGGATCGTTTGGCTGCGCTCATGTCAACCCAGCAACAGCCATCTCAATCAAATACACCAAATCCCGGAATGCCTGGACTTTCTATGCCGGGTATGAATGGAGCTCCGCCGATGAACATGGATCTGGTACAATTGCAAAAGCAGCTCCAAGGGTTCCCCATGCCACAAAACCTTAATCTGCAAGCCATGGCAAACAATCCAGGCTTCCCTGGTGGATTTGGCGGATTGCCTGGTCTGGGCGGTCACATGCCAGAAGCAAATCAGAGGCGGTGATGAGCCATTTGAACAATTCTGTTTGAATGCTTCAGTCGGTATGGGTTCGGCGTACAGGATATAGCATGGCCATTATGATGCAGGTCAACGGCGCTGTTTTAAAATCTCAATTCCCAGTTGTATCATAGGAAATTTAGGAAATTTATAGGTTCCCACTCCTTGCAGATTCGTAGACGAGGCTAGCGTAGACAGTTGTTTGTAGTGAATGGTGTCGTTGAGCTGCAAGTTGCTCAAATGTCATTCAGAGACCGCCTTGCATAGGAAAGCTAGTGACAATTAGGACCATGACATTGACACCACCCCATATCACAGGTAGCCAAGTCGACATCCTGAAATTGCCTGCTTCATAAACTGCCCCGAGACTAAACCCAGAGAAATCAGCTGCAACTCGACCTTTAAGATGAAAGGATCAATTTGATCCACTTACACAAGCCCAACTATACTTCCAGCCAGAAGGCCTTCCAACCCTGCAATGAAACTATACACTAATGGTACAATCCATATCACGTTCCAATTACGGAAGTGTGTCAATACAGCGCAGCCGGCGACTGTAAGATGGGTTGCAGCATAGAACACCAGCGTCCAGAACAGTGTGAAGCGCCATATATCCTTTGTGTAGTATAGGTAATACGCTTGCTGGTGATGCGACGGCAGGGGATCATACAACGACGGGAAAGAAGGAACTTCGTAGTTGATCGGAACACGATTATTGGCCATCGAAATGTAGCAGCAGCTCAACTGTAGCGAATACAATTATGAAGAAAAAAATGTCATTGTCACTCCAAGGTCTGCAATTGAGTCGCGTCTCAAAAAGGCAAGTCTGGACATTCGGAAATGACGATGCTTGTTTGCACTGTTTGCCTCCGCACCCGGACCTCGGCTGGTCTGGGGTTCTCCGCGATTGATCTCCTGAGCAATGTGATGTGAGCCTGGGAGTATCCCACCAGTCTTTTCAATGGCGACCGAACGATCTCTGGCTACCCTGCTGCGGTCGCTGCAGACGACTTCCAGTTTCCAAGATGCTGCCGGGTAAGTGTTCCTGTTCCGGCCGCGCAACGTTAGGCTAATAACTATCTAGTCTTCTTCCTACGGCTACTAGCTTCCTGTCTATGCTGGGAAATCCTCTAAACTTGACTCTTCTTTCTTCACAGCTTCTTACGGCACCTTCCCTTTGGAGCCACCCCGTCGACCTACAGGCATGCCGCAAAATCCTCAGCGTCTTCAACACCTCCGCCATCGCTGTTTTACAGAATGATACCACCGACGAACCGCGCATACCGTATGGACGGAATAGAAAGATCGAGTGCGAAGCGTGGGTCAAGGCGGTTGCGGAGGGCGCCGACGAGAAGTCCCCGCGGTGGAGGCACATGCTTCTGCTAGGTGGAATCCTGATGGGATTCGAGGGACAGAACCGACAAGGCTTACCACGGCATATACGGATTAAACTCGAATCAGCACTTGCGACGGCGGCACAATTGGCGCTACAAGAATTAGGCCCGGAGACCGGCATCGATGGCCAGTGTATCACTATGGTCTTGAACTATACCTTTGAGCTGCTGTCGGATTTCGAGAGGGGCAAGCTCGACTACGATCGCTTGCTTCCGGCGATGATTCAATCGGCGTTCTTTTCTTCCGAGGGCCTTGAGGGTGGATACTTTTTGGGATCTATCGATCAGGATGTTGTTGAGGCTCCCGGGAAACAGTTCAAGTGGTCTTCCAATTCTCCGACATTTGCGATCGTATCCGCGGTATCTGCTCGTCCTCTTGTATCAACACTTGGTCCTCTGTCACGTCTTATATCACATTCCATTGATAATGTGCAAGATCCAAGAATCGTTGCTCATACCGTTGATTACTTAGCGGACTTTGTTCGGACGCTTATGGTGCAATGGCGGCAGAATAAATTGTCCGAGATTGATGTTGCGGAGGAAGTCGAGTTTTTAGACGCTGAATCGCGGGAAATCACTCTTCCTGCGCTTTGGAAGACATTACGAAATTGCTTATACTCAATCGTTATCACTCTCCGGGCTGTGCTGGGGAGAACCATCAATGATCCGGCTCTTGCTGCTAGCAGTAGTAAGTTGCACTCCAATGATGATTATCACTATGGGACTGACTTTGACAATTCAGGTGCTCCGTATTTATCGATGCAGTGTCTTCATATTCTTCGCAATATGTATTTCATATCTTCTCGAATCGGCCAGAATGCTTCGTCGCAACAGACATTCGTGCTCTTGACGGCCATCGATATTCTTTCACAATATCCTGTCCTCGCCGAGAACTTTCTGCGAAGTATCAAGCCAAGCGATCTTGGCCAGATTCCTGCTCATCCAGTCGAACGATGTCTAGACCTGTTCTTCTTGAATGTCGCAGAACACTTTCCTCTGGTTTTATCCCCGGAGACAAGCGAGGAATTGCTCTTAGCTGCTGCTTTCCCTTATCTTGCTGCGGGTGCCAACAGCCTTCTTTTGGAGATTTTCGAAGCTGCTCACAGCTTAGTGCTTGTTGTTTTTGCTATTCCTCATAACTCGGAATTAGCTGCCAAACACCTCCCCTTTTATATTGAAAACCTTTTTGCAGTGAGTTTTGCCGCTCTGGCTCCTAATATCCATGCTGATTGTCAATAGGTTTTCCCCAACAACCTTTCCGCGCGCCAATTCCGCCTTGCTTTCAAAACCGTCATACAGATTACAGCACCTCCTTCACCCTTAGCGAATACCCAACCTCTTCTACCCTCCATCTTGTTGGAAGTTGTTCATGACCGTGCGTTGAACGCATCCTCTACTCTGATCCCACAGAAAAGTCCAAACCCGGACATGAGCCAAAGTCCACCTGTTTCTGAACAAGCAGTTCTGACACTAGCCCTTCTCGATTCCCTTGCGTTCCTTCGGGTCGATGATCTCAAAGAATGGCTCCCCCTAGCAGCGCAGCTGATCAATGCAATCTCTGACCGGAGCATGCGCCACACTTGTATTGACCGGTTCTGGGAAGCCTTGGCCGGTGGTGAGATGGATGTCGATCGCGCCCACTGCTGTGTCACTTGGTGGAGCACCGAGGGCGGGCGTGAACTCGTCCTTTTCGGTGCCGAGACTGCCAACGGCGCTCCAGGCGAGTCAGATGATAGCGGACCTTACATGAGTGGCGCAGTTGGAGATGTGGCGCCCGAAAGTAAGCTATAAAGATAGCAATTGGAAAATTCTGCAGCCAGCCTACTTTTCCTTCGGGCATGATCATGTCTATACATATATCCTCACTATATACCAGGTCTCTAATCTATTGGTCCGTTCCATTGGAAGTTTTGAAACCATTTCCTTTTGTGCACTTACACTATTCCATACATACAAACTTGTTTCGTGTTCGAATTCAAATCCCTTACTAGATACCTGGAATCCCCACAGGAGTAGTCTTTCTATATTGGACATACTCTTCGCCGAAGAAAGATATTAAGTAAGCTTCCTCGCCTGTCAACACATATTAGCAAGGGACGCCATCGGGAAACGCAGACAACTCACGCTTGATTCTGCTCGAGAAGAACCGCCACAGCACCAGTGCATACCCAACAAAGCATACCACATTTCCCAGAACCAGCTGGGTTCCAAGTCCCCACCAGAAGAAGCCAAAGTAACTCGGGTGCCGCAAGTAGCCATAAAGACCACTTTTGACCAAGACGTGGCCCTCCTGGTGCTGACTCTGAACATGGTGATTGAAGTTACTAGCAGCAGTCGCCATAGCAATGGTCCGAACGATCTGCCCAACGACCAACAGCACAAAGCCGACAACAAGCAGCAGTGACACCTCGCTGCCAAATACTGGTTCGGTCACAGTAACCAGTTGACCGAACGATGTCTGCCCGGGGAAGAAATAATGCGACACAATGCACTCGACGATCGCAGATCCATGCGCAACATTATACGCCCACCCATTTGACGAGAGCAGGAATGCAGAAACCGTTGCATACCGCGTGTTATACTGTGCCGTCACGTAAAATTCCAGAAAATGGAACAGGCTCAATGAGGCGACAAAGAACGGCACGCGCCAGAAGGGTGTCGGGTATACGGTGCTCAGGAGTAATGCTAGACTAAATGTCAGGCCAAGTGAAGTTCCAAGGAGCATTGCGCGCAGTGAAATCCCTGCCAATGACATCTTGCCGTCTGGGTAGTTGGAGGCGTGGAGCGAGGGTAGGCTAAACTCAGCGTCGGAGGAGTCCATGTCGTCGGTGTCTTGAATGCCTTCGGGGCTGTCGCTGCGGTCACGAGCTTCGGGCAAAGGTGGGGATGTGTTGAATGAGGCGCGCTTGCCTCCGTTTTGTTGGTTGGCTGGGGCTAAGATAGAGTCGGTGTCTCCGTATCCTTCGTTGAAGACTGAGGTGCTTTTTGCGGTAGACATTTTTGTTCGGTCTGGACTCCGTTTAGGTGTGCGAGAGTAGGAACATTTCGAGGGAATTAGGGTTTGAATTTCTGGGCGAGTGAGTGTTTTTCTTTGTTTTGAGAACAATACAAGACCGATGCCATTCAAATGTTTATCTCCGGTGAGTGCCTCCGGGGCCCGACTTGCCGATGACACATCCCCCCACATCTATGGCCCTTCCCAAATCGGGAGTGTAAGGGTGCGCACTGGCTGCTGTTTCTCTTCTTTTTCCAATTTCTGAACTGGGGTTCTGGAAATTATTCGACTATGTCTCAACCTACAGAGAGAAAAAATGCTCCGCGGGGAGCTCTATCGCGCCTTCACCCCGGACTTAATTGCAGCTCGAACACGCTGCAGATGGGCTTGTGTTCGGTTTAACAAAGCTGATGAGGCATCTCGGCGGCAACTTGTGGAGATGTGGAAAGAGTGAGTCGTCTCCGACCGAAAGTTTTACGACCTCCCTAAAGCTATTAATAGATACATACATACATCCGCATGTATATTTGCATGCATCTACTAACACATCGCTATAGTATCACCGAAGACAAGACCCCACTGCCATCAAAGCTGGATGATCCAGTTGCCGATGAAGCTCTCCTCGAACGGGAACCCTGGGTAGAAGGGCCCGTGAAGGTAGATTACGGGTTCAATGTCAAGCTTGGAGAAGGTGTTTTCATCAACTCCAATTGTGTTTTCATTGATACGTGTCCCATCACTGTTGGTGCTCGGACCTTATTTGGACCTGGTGTCAACATCTACTCCGGGACTCATCCACTTGATCCTGCCTTGCGAAACGGGACCGAGGGACCCGAGACTGGGAAACCGGTTGTTATTGGGGAGGATTGTTGGCTTGCTGGCAATGTTATTGTTCTTCCTGGTATCACTATTGGTAAAGGGTGTACCATTGGAGCTGGAAGTGTGGTTACAAAGGTAAGAATCTGCATTTCTCGACGACAGAGCTTATTATGAAAGTTTCTTATCTACATTACAACATGTCCACCTAGGCACTTTGTTGTATGCTAACATATGACTCCATAGGATGTGCCCGCTTTCCACCTTGTTGCCGGAAATCCAGCCAAGATCATTCGTCGCATTGAAACTACTATGACGGAGTGAATATATTTCATTCAATTGAGTGAATTTTACTCCAAGGTGACATCCGTTTACAAGAGAAATGAAAGGATTGATGAAATTCCATGTTACATATATGCCATGCAGGCCCGGTCCATTCGACGATATAGATAAAGATGCTTTCAATATGAATAGAAGAAACATCAGAGCTATATGAAGTTAACATGCCAAGGGGTTAAGTCAATGCAGTTGCATATGGGGTTGTGCAATCTATACAGTGAAGTCAACTTTACATACTGTAACCTTGGAGAGCATAACCTGCATATAATATGGATTAGTGTATAATAAATCAAGATCCAGCCAATTATTACGGTGATTCTTTTTGTTTCCCTCTCTGCAATTACAATCAAAATCACCAAAAAACCAAACACAATTCAGAAACGCGTGAAGTTTGCCCGAGCTTTGTTAGTGTCGATCGTTTGTCCTTCTCTCCACAGCAAAACGTCACTGGTCTTTTGGCGCGTCGAAAAAAGCTGTCGACCGCTTTATCTCTTGACCTTCACCTTCTCTTCAATCCTACTTCTCCTTTCTTTCTCCTCAACCTACTCCTACCTTATTATTTTTTCATTTCACGCGTGACTTTGACTTATCCTTTCTAAGCTCGCGAAAAATGCCATGGCTGCACCCCCGCCAGATAGCTCTTACACCCCACCAGACACGCCCGTAAACGAAGCACCTTTCGATAACGACTCTATGGAGGATCTCGATCCTCAGGCGACCCGCAAGCGCCCGCGTCTTGACAGCGGAAGTGGCGTGAGCCCGACCCTGTCAATGGATGGAACCTCCCGTACGGCCTCCGTTGCACCTGCCTCGGACATGGACGAGGCTTCAGACTTCGAGCGTCCTGCTAGCAAAGTCACACTCAACATGAAATCCCCTATTCCCTCAAACTCTGCTCCCTCGGAGCCCAACATTCCAGAGAACGACCGGGAGGTCCAGGCAGACACCGATATGGCCCCCAACGTTATTTGTCTCTCATCCTCCCCTTCCACGCCCCGAAGTCCTCAAATCGAAGTCGCCGAACCCGAAGATATCGATCAAGAATCTTCAACCAGTACCTGGAGACCACTGGACAAAGTATTGCAGGACCAGAACGAGCCCGAGGTGATCGAGATTGAAGACACTATTCACTTCGCCGACACCTTCCCCAAACTTGACGATGAGTTGCGACACCGCGAGAACCTCAAAGCTATCAGTGACATGATCGAAACTGGTAAGAAGAACATCACCCAATGGGAAGGTAGTATTCGTCGAATACTAACCCACATCACAGGTCACCAACGTGAAAGCGTGGTACTTGCCACAGTGCAGCGCTGGATGAATACATGTGTGAAAAAGCTTGATCGACTTACACTTGAGGAGTTTACCTCGGACCTAGAATTTTGGGAAAACCTGCCCTTGATCGTGGAACGTCTACTACGCAGACAGATCGACCTGCATTTAGATGGTGTGGAAGACCTCTGGTCGTTCTTGGAAGACTTCTTTCTTAACTATTCTCGCATTGTCCTTCACCTTGTCCGATTGGATAGTGCGGTTCTCAGCCGATTTACCGGAGACGCCAATATCGATCCCCCACTTAGCACCTCCCGACGCTATCTTCAGACCTTCTCTTGGGTATTCAACAGCCCCAATACCCCCTTTTATGTTGCGCTACATAGCCGGTATCGTGCTCAGACTCTTGGTTTCATTGCTCGCCTTAAGGATCAGGTCACATCGCTTCCATTTGATGCGCCTGGCGCTCTTATGCAGTATGCTTCCCATGTGCTCGCCTTAGTTCCCAAATGTCCACAGGTTTTTACAATCTTGCCCTTCGTCGTGTCAAATTCTGTTGTTTTCTACGAGTGTGACCAGGGACTTTCCAGTTCCCCGGCCGATTCGGCCAGTCTGCAATCTTTCTACGAGACTGCCCGAGCTTTCGACAAAGTGTATCAGACATTTGTGACGAAGAAATCACAACTGGTGACCAGTGACATGAATCTCAATGTGCTGAGCTCCCTTTCTCGCGCCTACAGTCTTCTTTGCAGCGCGGATCCCGACTTCATGCTCCAGCTCGCCAAAGAGTTGGCAATGAAGCTCCCCGAAGACACAGATCCAGAGCAAACCAGAATGTGCGTTGTCTGGACCTGGAAGTTCGATGCCTTGAAAAGGCAGGCAATGGAGGGTCGGATGGAACTTCGTGTAAACGGCGTGGAAACAATGCAATCCGATCTCGTCAGCTTCTGGAGCAACCATGTCTCCCATCATAACAATGCCCCGTTCGTGCAGCACATGGTCCAATTCCTGCGCGAAAACAAGATCCTCGAATATCTAATGAGTGTCGACTCCCATCCCCAATTAATAGGTCGCAGCAGCAACATCTTTGGGTTCTTGATCGTGACCGGCACCTACGACGACTACATCACAGATGTCATATGGAAAGCTATTACGGATAGTCAAGATGATCGGACCGTCTCGGAGATCGTGGCTATGCTTGCACGCACCTTGCCAATGCACACATCCAGGTCGAAAGCTTTGCTGTATGTGTGCTCAAAGTTGCTCGAGTTCCCGCTGGAACGGTATGATGCTCAGATCATCGATCTATGTGAACAACTGGTGCCTCGCATGCAAGAAATGTACTATGATCGAGATTATGGTGTCATGACAAATGGCGATCATGTGGATGCCATTCCACTGAAGCTCTGTGTACGACTAATCCGCGAGAGCGCTGGAGCCGAGGACCTCCCAGTCGAAAAGAAAGAGATCATGCAAGAATTCGGCAGCCGACAGCTGGTCCAGTTCATCAAAGCTGGATTGAGCCCAAGCGACAAAGCAGAGACCTATGAGCGTTGTATCCAAGACATCGCCGAGATGAACGCGTGCACTGCGGGTAGCATTCAAGTGCTGAATGCCCTGGTGTCTCGCGATGATACTGAGCTCTGGAAACTTGCGCATGACCTTGACCTGACACGCTTGGTGATCACGGAACTTCACCATCTCGTTGATCAAGGTCATGAATCGTCTAAGGACCTTTCTTTGCAGCATGGGTTTGCGTCACGAGTGGAACTCTTGCGCCGCCTCATCCAATTCGCACCGGACACCATCACGCCGGAGCTTGGTAACATAGTGTGGAAACAGATCCTGATGTCTGACAAGCTGGCCCACGAAGAACGCCAAATCATTTGGAAAATGGCGGAAGCCACGCTTCATACCGCGAAGCTCAATCCATTCATTGAGCGTTGCATCCATGAGTATCTACCGGAAGTGCTTCCAAAGTACTACTCGCGTGAGGTGCTTTGCTTTGCTCAGCAAACAGTGTTCTATGATATTCGCATCAAAGCACCTCCTATTGTCGGCGAAGATGAGGTAATTTCTGTTCCTGGGATGGATCGTATTTGGAACTTCATCTTGACTGCCCCCCCGCATACAATCGAGACCGACGCTATCAAGTTTGCCATCGACCTCTACTTGGACCACGCGATCATCAGCAGAGCCCCCGATCGGCTATTGATGCTACCCATGTTGCTCTTGTTGGTCGTTGTGTGGACCAGTTAAAATCCGCAGCAGGGGCGCTAAAGCCAGCTGCCAATGGGACGTCCAATGGTGATAACCCCATGGAAGTTGATAGCCGCAATGGGGAAGTCGGAACCGAGGAGCTCGTCTTCAGTCGATCTCTTCTATTTCTCCGGCAGTTGCTGCATGGATTGCGAACTCGACCGCGTTACAACTCACCTCAAAGCGCAAGCAATTCTCCGCCCAGCTTTGCTGAGCGTCCACTGAAAGGTGACACTGTTACCTTCCATTATCAGTGTTTCGGAGGGGGACCTTCACCACCAAAGATAGCCTCGATGACCGTCGGCGGTCTATCGACGGCTGCCGAGCTTAACGATATGCTCATTCAGTTGAGTCGGTTCTCTAAGTTCAGCCTTATTCATGGAGGGCAGAAGCTTGAGTTACTCCAAAGGCCGGATACTTTGGTCAAGGAACTTAAGCTAGACTCGGGCCTGCTCATGATTCGAAAGGCTGCCGATGCCCAAGAGATTACTTCGGCTGGGTTGAGTCGATCTATGACCGCTGTCGATAAGGAAGTGTTGAAGCATTTCGACGAGCTGTATGATCTGCTTAATCTGAAGGATGCCTTGGCTCAACAAGTATGTTTTTATTTTCCCAGCTCCATTTCCACTGAATACTGACAAATGTTTTTGCAGATAATCGACTTCCTCATTGTTTTCCCGCCGCAGGGGCAGGCTCTGGAACTTGTCAAATCCAATGATAACTCAGAGGTGCACATGTTCCCGTTGAACACACCATTTAAGGCTTTGTATTCATTGCACACGCTTTCAATCTGTCTTCACGGTGTGGCACTGGCTGTAGATGTGAGTTTATATGCTATCTGCTCAATGAGTTCATGCTAACTACCGCCGTAGATGACTGCCAAACAGAACTTTGTCTCTCATAGTATTCAGGTCCTGGTTGCGTTTTTGACGTCCGATGAACTGTTCGACTCGCTTAGTGGCAACTCAATAACCACAATGCTTGCGTCAAGAGCTGTTGAATGTCTTCTGTTGGCTATCTCCGGTATGTCGAGTACTCACCTCTCGGTCAGTGAATTGCAGCTAACTATGTCTAGTGCACCGTCGAACTGATGGCAACTCAGTTCTCATCTTCGATCCAATGTCTTTGGTCTCACGTATTCTCAGTCTCCTCGAAATAGGCCGCAATGGCCCTATTGGTCCTCAGACTAGCGCATGCGCCCAAAGTTTGGTTTGCAACTCCTTTGCAGTGTTGGTCGAAGCTTCATTGCGCGATCGAGATTTCTGGAATGCGGCCAAGCAGCATGTGCAATTTGATGAGCTGATCTTGTCATTACTCTTGAATGAGAGTCGAACGCCAATTCGAAAGGAAATAATGGAGCGCCTCAAGATCATGAGTGGTCCTTTAAAGCCACTGAACATGCAAATGAAACTTGCTGATGAGGAATCCCCGATCGCTGAAAACCCTATTCGAATTGACATGCTAGCCACAGTCTGGAGTTCGGTTGTACGTGCCATTCCTCAGACGCTTCAACATGTTAGCCAGTCGGAAGAGTTTTTTATTGCCGCTTTGTGGATGTTCCGTTCCGTTGCGGAGAGATCGCCTCGTGATGTTATCTTCAGCGAATATCTGAAAGAATGGACCGGTGTTCTACTTGACCACAAGACTGAAGAGGTATGCAACTCCAAAAATGTAAACCCGAACCATTGCTGATGACTTTTAGTTTGTTGGTCGTGAGACGGCTGACCCTTTGGTCATTGGAATTTCTGCTATGCTCGAGTGGTGCCTTGAGCTCGCTACCAATGCAAATGTCACATTGGATTATCTGTGCGTCTTCTTTTCATGCGAACTCAAAGCAATGTAGACATCTGACCTTTAAACAGGGATATTGCCGAACAGATCTTGAATAAGTATTTGTTCCCGGATTTCTCACCCGAGACAACGGACATCGCAGACCCCCGAACTCCAATGATGCATAGCTACACACGGCAAAAATTGTATAGTGTTGTTACTATGTTGTGCCAGCGGAGTGATGAGACTTATGGTCGAATTCTGGAGCTTCTGGACACCATCATTCCTCGAGGTTTGGAGCCCCATTTGGTTTCATCTTCTGATCAAGCTAACCTGGAACGCGCAGATTCCTCGCATCTAGGGTATGCTTTCGATAGATCAGTGATGATTAGATCCCCGGAAGGCTATGCAGGGCTCAAAAATCTTTCAAACACTTGTTACCTCAATTCTCTCATGACACAACTTTTCATGAATATCGAGTTCCGCGACTTTATTTTAAATCTTCGCATCGCCGATCCAGTGTCACAAAAGCTCCTCTTTGAAACGCAGAAACTTTTCATCTGGATGCAAGAGACTTGGAGAAAGGCTATTGAGCCACAGGATTTCGTGGAAAGCATTCGGACATATGACAACGAGCAAATCGATGTCACAGTCCAGATGGACGTTGATGAGTTTTACAACCTCCTATTTGATCGCTGGGAGGCTCAAGTCTTGGACACAGAAAAGAAGAAGTTATTCCGATCTTTCTATGGCGGCCAGTTGGTTCAGCAGATCAAGTCCATGGAATGCCCTCATATCTCGGAGAGAGAAGAGCCCTTCTCCGCTATCCAGTGCGAGATCAAGGGCAAAGCAACCCTTGAGGAGAGCCTGCGGGCCTATGTGGCTGGCGAGACGATGCAGGGCAGTAAGTTCATCCTGATTTCCACGGCGGTGAAAAAAGTCGTCTCTAACAAGTGCAGATAACAAGTACTCCTGTACCTCGTGCGGCCGACATGTGGATGCCGTGAAGCGGTGAGTGATGACCTGATGAAGGTGCAACTTGATTGCCTTTTACTGATTTTAGTTTAGCGCGTGTCTAAAAGAAGTGCCAGACAACCTCATCTTTCACCTGAAACGGTTCGATTTCGACATGCTCACCATGTTAAGAAGCAAGATCAACGATGAATTCCAATTCCCGCGCCACATCGACATGGCACCCTACACCGTTGAGCATCTTGCTGATCCAGACCAGCCCATCGAACCAGATATGTTTGAACTGGTCGGTGTTCTTGTACACACTGGTACAGCTGAGTCTGGCCACTACTACTCATACACCCTTGAGCGACCCTCGCCTGCTGGTGAAGCTTCATGGGTCGAGTTCAATGACTCGGAAGTCTCCAGGTTTGACCCAGCTTCCATTTCAGATCACTGTTTTGGTGGGTTTGATCCTGCACAATATGGGAATGGAACCGCCAAGGTCAAAGTGTGGAGCGCGTACATGTTGTTTTACCAGCGTGTGTCCACCATTGAGAAGTCCAAATCCGCGTACAAGCCATCAAAGCCGGACATACCTGTGCATGTCCCTGTGCCAGGCTCTATCCAGAATCATATTTCCATGGACAACGAACTGCTCATTCGGACTTACTGTCTTCTGGACCCTCAATACGCATTTTTTGTCGAGAAATTGCTTCAGCGGTGGGTTGAAATGGCCCCGGGCGACAACAAAGATAGGGCCGAAACATTAGTCTTGAACGTGGGAATGGACACGATCGAGCAATTAGTATCACGCACCAAAGAGCTCCAGGGCCATCAGGAAATCTTCCACGACCTTGTTGACATGATTCAGCGAAGCCCCGGCGCAGCCCAGTCAGCCCTTCGGTGGGTCTTTGACCGGCAAACGTCAATGCGCAACATCATGATGAGGACAACTGTTCCAGAGGTCAGGGCAAAACACATCTCGCTCATCAACCATGCCTTGAGACATCTCCATTCCCTGTCAAACGATCCGAATACCGACGACGACGACCGGTACTCATGGCGTATTGAATTCGAGACAGCAATTTCAAACATTGTGCCCTTGCTGGCAAACCTGTGGCCCAACGTACAATGTGCTCCACGAGTCTGGGAGGACTACTTTGGATTCTTCTGCAAGATTTGCACATACGGTCCATTGGCCATTCAAGTCCTGCTTGAGCAAGGTATCTTTCTATACTGTCTGCACATCCTGTGGATCGATAACGAAGACAAGAAAGGCTTGCAAATCCAATATCCCACCTACGTGCGGCTCATGGACAAGGGCCGTCGTTTCTCATACCTGAACTTGATGTCATTGTGCCTGATAATTTTCAAGCACATTGATCTTTCCCTCAAGCCATCCCCCATCGGCGAGAAGCGACGGTTCTTGGCCGAGACTGGCAAATTCTCTCCCAGGGAGTGTGAACTGGATATGATTCAACCTCTGGAAGAGGATGGATCTTTGTCTATCTTGATGAAAATCTTCAAGCACTGGTCTGTTTCCAGAGTACAGGCCGCTCGAGGGATTCTCGCAGTACTTTTGGACGGAGAGCCCGAGGCAGGCCTCCTAAACGCAATTCACAAGTCGTTGGAAAATGGCTTGAGAATTGATCCAGCTATTGAGTGTGTCGCCTTTCTGGAGGCAGCTGTGACGTTCTGTCAGCATTGTCCAGATGAAAGCAGAGTGAACGATATCATCACCTTCATTGCAAATGGAGTTGAGACCATTGATAGCAGTGGAGGCCAAGAACACATGGACTTCTTCACCAAAATTTGCGACATCACAAACGAGAGATTGGGAATGGACTCCCGTGCTTTCACCAAGCTTAGTTTTGATCATCTCCCCGCATATGCTCCGACGCTACTCATTGACAGAGTAGATACCGTTCGACAGAACATGAAGAGCATTCTGAACGAGCTGTTCAATGGTGAAGACAAGGATGAGACAACTGAACTCGCATACATGCAGCAGGATGGCGAAGGGTATGAGCAGGGTGAAGATGGTGATTCCATGTACAACATCATGCGTGAGGAGCGCTCTTCCCTTGGCCGTCGCCTCCAGAAGGCCTGCGTTGAGCGGGTCACGGCAGCGGTGAAAGACCAAATTCGACCCATTGATGCCAGACAGCTGGACTGTATTATGTCCGTCATCAACTACTGCCTGCACACATTTTATGGTGACAGCGAGGAAGATGAAAAAGAAGTCAGGAAGACAAAAGGTGAGTTCGAATGACACCCTGAAAGTCGGTTTCCATTTCAAGAACTGACAAGTCTTAACCTTCTAGAGCTTCTCATCACTCTCGAAACAATGTCCCTTCAAGAGACCGCCGATGACGTCGCTTCCGGTATGCTGCTACTCATACCCCACTTAATTTTTGAATACGCTGCTGATACATATTCACAGACTCTGACGTAGCCTCTGTTGAAGAATGGGAGATGTCTGATTCCGAGACAGGGGTTCGCGGATCTCCTTGAGAGGAAAATAATGTTCCTGCAATCTGCTTTTCAGTCTTTTCGGTCTTTCGTTCTTCTTGTGCATTTTTTGCAATGTCAAGAATTCAGCGAGCGCGATATGTGCCTGCGCTACCAAGCGAATTCTCATACGTCACGGATTTTACGAATTTCGCTGTTAAATTTTCTTTTCTACGAGTTTAACCCGGCACTTTTTTTTTTTTTTTTTTTTTTTGCTCATGATGAATGAATGAGCTGGAGTAAGGCTGATTTACCAGTGGCTCGGTCGAGTCGTGCATTGTCAATAATTACTTGGAGATAGAAATGCAAGTGTTTCTGATCTCGCGATTTCATCAAGCTCTAGTTGTAATTGGATCATAATGAGATATATCGTGAAAAATTCGTTCATATCAAAACATTTCAAAAGATATACGTTATTTAATTTTGGAGTATTTGGGAGTATTTCTAAGATTGGTCCACTTAACCCTCCTCTTCTCCGCCAACTGGGGCTTCACCGTCATTGTCCGACTCGCCCTCAACAGCGGCGAGTACATCCTGCTGAACGTTTCGAGCTTTGCCACCAGCCTTAGGGCTGCCGAAACGAGCTCTGCCACCATTTTTAGGGCTGCCAGGATCATGAGGCGCAGTCGCAGCCGCAAGGTTGGCAGCTGGGATACCACCAGAGGTGACATAGAGGAAGTATGCAACAGGGAAATGATCAATATGGTTGAAGAAAGAACCAAAGCTGCAGCCAAAGTCAGTATTATTATTGCAACCTAAATGAGGCACAACTTACGTAGCACTTTCTTCCTCCTCGCGGAAAATCCTATCATAGATCTCCCGCTGCTTGAATTCATTCATCTCTGCCTCCCAGCGTCCAAAGTTGAGAGGTTGACGGTCCAAACTTGACGCCTTCTTGTTGTAGGCCTCAAAGATAGGTCGCTCAAGTAGCAATCCCAAGCCCGGTGCCTTGGGAATGGCAATGCGACTGGGTCCATAGGTTTCAGGAATCCGATCTGGGTGGCATCCCGCGCGGACGATCATCGTGGCCATAGCCACCATCTTGCGGATCTGGTGCATCATGAAACTCTGACCATGGACTTTCAGGCTGAGCCACTCTGTGCCGTCGATGATGATCGGTGTTGTGTTCACTTTGAAGGACTTGATGTGGCGCTTGGCAGATGGGTCGTTATATGCCTTTTGGATGGTGTAGTTGTGGAAGTTGACGGTGCCTTCGTATTTGGAAAGACATTCTTGAAGGCGGGCGATGCGAGAGGCCGGGGCGCGGTAGGCGCGGCGAGCTTTCAGATATGCTGCTTTGACGGCTTTGATTGCATCGACGATGGCCTTTTGGCGGGGCTCCATGATGAAGGGCTTGGGCTCTCCCGATTCATCAGTTGGTTGTTCGCTCTGCTGTTCGGCGGGGATCTCGGTTGGTGGCTTGATATCCTCTGCGGCTTGTGTTGGCTGAAGAACATCACGGGATGTGTCTTCTTCCCATAGGGACTTTTGAACGACCTTGCGGATGTCTTCGGGTAGGGCGTCGAGAATTGGCTTGATGTATTGCTCATCGACATCAGCCCAGAAGTTTGCGACTTCTTCTTGACGGCCCTTCACGGCATCCAACTCGCCTTTCTCTTCCGCGATTTCGACGATCTTTCGCCCAAGATATGTGCTTGGGTGAGGTGGCAGAAGGCAATGGCTCGGCAACAAATATTCGTAAACCCGGGAATCACACATCTGGTAGCAACTGAAGCTCTTGCTTGTAACTTCATAGCCCCAAACGCGGATTTGAGGACTAAGTTGGTCGTTGATTTTCTGAATGATATCTTCATCTTCGACGATCATTTTCAAGGATACAACATTGCCAGCTGCGTGGACACCCTTGTCTGTGCGGGCGCAACGGACAAATGATGACTTTTTGGGATCTGCCGCGTTCGCTTTAGAAACTGCGCCCACGTTGACAAGAGCGGAGAAGAGGTCGCCTTCGATAGTACGCGCTTTCTCGTTCCTATATCATATCATGTGAGTATAATGGAGCCCATGGAAACGGAAATGGACATACAGCTGCATCCCAGAGTATCCAGTACCCGAATACCCAATCAGAAGCGCGACCTTCTTCTTGGGGCGCCGCTCTTCGCCATCGATCTCCTCCTTAGAGAATTGAGTCGCGTAGATAGGTAGGTCGGCCTCTTCACCATTTTCTATTCTGCGGCGCTTGGCCTCGGCCTTCTCTTCAAGGCGCTGTCGTTTATCTAGTGTTTGACGACTTAATTAGTTAGCTCACAATGCGACGTACGAAATCACCATTGGGTCAACGTACCTCCATTCGGCTCGTCCCATATCGCGGTTCTTACGCCTTCCACTACCTCCGCCTCTTCCTCCTTTGTTGTCGGCCATTTTATCCGTTCGAATATCTCTGATAGAACTGCACGGGGTACAGACGGGTCGCGCCAATAAGATCGGGCCAAGATGCGATGAACAGGGGATCGGTGAGGAAATAAAATTGGGATTGAGTTCCTGGGTGTAATGAAAATCCCGGATAGGGTCCGCGTGCAAACAATCGAGGGACGCATGAACTTGAGATATGAGGAACCTTGTCGTAGTCTCCGCGATTATCTTTTCATACGAACTAGACACTAGGCCCAGAATGGACTAGCGTGTGAACATAGCTAGACTATCCAGATATGGGAACTTTATGCCTCAGGCGTTAATTGATTTGCATGTGACGTTGAAGCTTAGAAGAGCTGCGAAGGCTCGGAGTTGCGACTCATTGTTCAAATCTTGGGCGCTGTTGGTCGCTCAATCGCACTTTCTTTTTCTTTTAAAACTCACGCTCTTTTCATGCTTTGACATCAAAGCATGCTTTTTCTCTGATATTTGAACCCTCTGAAAGCCTTGCGCCTCCGTTGAACCCGTCGTTTTTCCAACCACCGTCTTTTCCTCCGAAGCCTCGCAATCATGGATCTTTCGAAAACGCTCATCCGGACTGTGGCGCGCGCCTTCTACGAGACCCGTCATATCTTGGTAGTCGATGCGCTCTTCTTGCACTCAGTGTACGATGACAATCAATGCACTTGAAAAGTCAACTCGCTAACACGCTACAGCCTTCACGCCGAGGATCTTGCTTTCTTGATGGGCATGCAGCAGAAGGATCTCCGAAAGCTGTGCGCCAGGCTTCGAGAGGATCGTTTGATCGGAGTGTATGACTCCTTTCTAATGGGACTAATAACAAAGCAACAAGGCTGATCTTTTTCTTTCCCGAGTCTAGGAGCACACGCGCTGAAATTCGCGATGGATCCAGTCGCCCTGTCAACCGTGAATACTATTACATTCCCCTTCATCCCGTTGTCGATGCAATCAAGTACAAAGTCTCCAAGTTGACTGCCACGATTAAAGCGCAGTACACCCCGAGCGAAGAGCGCAAGGAGTATATATGTCTCCGGTGTTCATCAGAGTGGACTGAGCTGGATGTGCTGAGCCTGGTTGGAGATGAAGGGTTTGAATGCCAAAACTGTGGCGCCGTTCTGGAACGAACTGAGGATGTCAAGGGAGTCGAAGGAATTGAACGCACAGGCCATGAAAAAAACAGCAAGCTCATGGCACAGCTAGATAACATGCTCAAGCTGTTGAAGCAAATTGACTCCGTTGAGATCCCGCCAAATGACTTTGAGACTGCTTGGGATCACAAGGTTGAAGTCATCCGGAACCAGAACACGCACCCAGTCCGCGCTGCGATTGCTGTTCCGCCCAAGGCCCAGGATACCACACGACCCAATGCCAAGACAGATGCTGCCGCATTGGAGATCTCTCTTACTTCGAGTGAAGAGAAGAGTGCTGCCGAGCAGGCCGAAGAGGCCGCTCGGAAAGCGGCAGTCGAAAAGCAGAATGCTCTTCCCGTTTGGCATACGCATTCTACGGTCGATGCAAACAATGCTGCCAATGCTCAAATCAAGAACGAAGCTGGTCAGCTGGTGAAACCAGAGCTCGCGGATGAGGACCAGAAGCCCAGTGTGGATGCCCTGGACGACAAAGTCGCCGCTTACTATGCGGAGATGGAGCGGGAAAAGGCACTTCAAGCCGAACAAGATGCGAGCAGCGCAGAAGAAGATTCCGATGAAGAAGAATTCGAGGATGTCGACGGTGTCTCTGGTCAGAGTGGGCCTGCTACACCGGCCACACTTGGCGGCCCCACGAGTGCCCCTGTCGCCTCCTCTAGCGTTGGTATCAAGCGTGAGCTTGATTCAGCTTCTAGTGGACCTCAATCCTCTGTTGGCACGCCGTCTTCTCTTGCTGATGATGGTCCTTCGGCAAAGAAAATCAAGGTCGATCAGGATATCAAGCCTGATCCTGACGTCAAAACTGAGCCTCAGGTCAAGACCGAGCCCGATGACCAAAAAGAAGCCGAGGAATCTGACGAGGATGATGAGGAATTCGAAGATGTCTAATGCAATATTGAAAAAAAAGGGGTTAAGATTGGCGCTGGCGCCGATAATAACGATGGTAGTGAGTATGGCTTCATCTTTGACGCATCTCTCGCTACTTGTTTAGCTACATACAGAGCTAGTTTACAGTTAAACAAAATCAACCACAATTTACTACTGTATTCATATATTGCCATATTTTCATGTTGCGCCATATGATGTAGGAAGTTACCCTTGATCGGTATCATGGGTTCATCTCTACAGTCCTTTCTTCATCCTTGAACCGTATGGCTTCATTTTAGATATAGAAGAGCAGCCAGCCCCTTGGATCGAAACCTATGCAAAGCACATATGTAGGTAGGTGAATGCGCTGGCATATGACCTCGTGTACATAGCGTCGTCGCATTTTGAACTTCTCTCCCTTCGAGCGTCCCAAAGTTGCTTTGGGGTAGTGTTCGTTTGTTCCTCTGCCTACAGCTTAATTTCTCTCTCTGTCCTTTCCCCTATCTATTTCTCATCCTCTTGTCTATATCTTCTTCCTCTTCTCCTCCCCTAATGCTCTCACCTCTCGTTTTCCTTCTTTCATCCCCAAGAAAATCTGATCGTCAAACTCGGCCATGCCAAACGTTCTCGTCCTTAGCGGCGGATAGTATCGGCGGAGGGGATTATTAAAAGGGTTAAAGTAGATTAAGCTTCGTAGATAATACACTTAAATAATAAATTCTTAATGAGATACAGTGATAGCTAATTAAGGGTAAGGAGTCGAAGGATTTCGTCTTTTTAATCTTATTATAGAAAGGCTATATTTACTGTTTTTCATTTAGAAGATATAAAATATTAATATATAAATATATTAATATAGTATTATAATAATAAATATGCTTTTATATAAAAACTTTATAATCTTTACTTTCTTCCTATTCTCTACCTATAAATACCTAATCATTATTTAAATATTTCTAGATTATTCATATATTATAATACTACGCTTTACCTAAGCTATTTAGACTTAAGGAATAAAGATACTCAAGAATCTTTTTATAATATTTATATATAAACTTCAGTATATTATCTAAACCTTAAGTGTTTTCTGCGTACTGGAACACCGACATCAAAATTCGCCAATGTCGCCTTGGATCTAATCTCGTATGCAGATAGACTTCGGAGCTCATTCAGTTGGTCTCCAGATGGGCGAATACGTTTGTGACAGAGCTTCAAGCCGACAGATTCCATTTTTTTCTACTAGTGCGTCAAACTGCGACAGTACCACACTGGCAGGCATATGTTCCTGGACGGCCGATTCTGGCCTGCTGGTCACCGTCACGTGGTGATTTAGGGTTATGTCGGGATGGCGAGTGAGGCCACAAGTGGCGCAGGCAGTGAGCGTGTACAACGGTTCCTGGGAACTGTTGGCTGACAGTGCTCAAAATTTGCTCCAAAGGTGGGGGCCAATTGGGTCTGTAACACCCCAATGCCATTTAATTCTCCTTCTTAGACACTGCTGACCCCATCGTCCTGGCGACAAGCGGAAGAGGCCAGGCAAACTGGCCAGTCGGATCCTCGTGTACCTCACCAGCCGTGAGCATGTCGATAACCACCACGGCAATGTATCCACCAATGGCTGTGAAAACATGCCACCTATATAAATCGTCAGCATGTGTAGTCTCGTAGGCAAGGAAATGATGTCATATTGACTTACCATCCGTGGAGTTCAAATAGGAAAGCCAAGGGAAGGCCGATGGAATGTCGGATGGAGATCAAATGTCTACAGGTGAATTCATCGACGAGCCAGATTATGTATCCAAAAAGGAAGCAGACTGGAATTTGGCCATTAGTATGGATCCGTGGAGAATCGTTTCGGCAGTGTAAAAAGCTCAAGTGTGTCGGCAATGGTGATTGGTAAGAGAGGCACCTACAAATTCCAAAATGAGTCACGCTCTTAACATTCCTCCGAATCACGGCATCTGGAATTTGTCGCGGGATGACTCTCATTGTACAGATCACAATCAGAAGAACACCCGATCCAAAGGTCACCGCATGGAGAAGGAACTCATCCAGGGCCATATGAGCAACCATGACGACGGTGAACTCGATGAAGAGGATGATGCCCATGAGTCGGGTGTACTGCTCGCTCTTCTGGAAAGTGAGGAGACGGTACACGAGCGGCGTAGTGAGGAGGTGCATTGATAGTTCATCCGCTGGAAAGATAATTCGAGAAAGGATGTCAATTTAGCGCCAGGCCCATATGGGGACATGCAGAACGTACACATTTGCGTGTGATATTTCAGGGTCATGTGGTACCCGGCGGAGCAAACACCCACGCCCATCAAACCGAAGAAGGGAAGTGAACGACCCACTGTCGCTTGGCCATTTTTGATGATCCTCAACAGACCGTGAATCCCAAGAACGACTAGGCAGGCGAGATGGATTAGTTAATTTGAAGGCAAGGTGTTTTTGGCATACCCGGTGGATTCCGAACGCACTGTATACAAGGCTGCTGAGGGTGTTGATGAACTCCGCGACGTATCTGGTGATTACATAGTCCTTAAAGAGCCAATCACATTTAAGATTAGCATTTTCAGGAGAGAATCAGCAGGAAATTCCGAGACTGTGCTGGTATACCTCTTCACAGAAGCTGGGACAGGTAAGTTACGGACAAGCACTAGGATCTGCGGCTGATCAAAACATACTTCAAATAGGATGTCTGGGGGCCCCAGAAGGGGGTTTTGGTGGCCAGATCCATCAGGAATGCCGTGCAGGTGGAATTATATTTGTTGGGAGCTAAAACCAAGGTGGACGAAAGAAAGAAGAAAACAAAATGACAGGAACAACGACAGAGAATGAGCTGGATGGGTGGGGCGGGGGTTGTTTTGAATCGATCAATCCCCTTGAACCAAGTCAGCTTAGGTGGGCCCCCACAGGAACCCGGTCTTGGCATGGATTCGGGACTTTCGAGAGTTTTCTACATATGCCCTTCGGCCCCACCGCTTCCCGTTGTGGGTGCCACGCATCAGTCACATTTTAGTAAATGCAGTGAACTCTCGCTTATGGCACGCCAAGAGATAAAGTATCGGGCTATAGTGTTGAGCACTCAATCTTACTGGCCAATCATAGATGTATGCAACTCTGAGGTGTATTACTATAAGAACTGCACATTATATTACCCCATGGGCCGCTTGAAGTACCAATTAATACTACCAAGTTGCAGCCCCCGAAAATGCGTCACAAAGCTGCATTCTTTGGTTTAATGATTGTGGGGAGCATTTGGCTCCTCCTCCCATCGTTCTTGACTCCTGTCACCCTGTTGTTTGAAGATGCTTCGGCGGATCTCATCCCTGCGAGTGAACTCGCCGTCGTTAATGGCAGCAGTAGGCCGCTAATGATCCCCAAAATTCTCCACCAAACCTACAAGAATGAGACAATTCCAGATTCGTGGAAAGGTGCACAGCAAAGCTGTATCGATTTGCACCCAGACTATGAATATATCGTAGGTACCTCGTCTCTCTGCTCCGAATGCAATTGATGCGTGTCGCAGTTGTGGACTGACCGGACCGCCCATGAGTTCATCTCCACCCACTATCCCTGGTTTCTCGACACTTTCGAACATTATCCATATCCAATCCAACGCGCAGATACCATCAGATACTTTATCCTCTCGCATCTAGGCGGGATCTACATTGACATGGACGACGTAGCCCTCCCACACTCTTTTGCTTTACTTCTTGCGATAACCGATGAGAGAAAATTCTCGACTAACCCTCTGGGCCGCGCAATAGGGCTGTAACCGTCGAATGGACCCCCTCCTGACCTTTCCCGCCTGGGTTCGCCGCACCACCCCCACCGGCATCTCCAACGATGCCATGGGCTCCATCCCGCAACATCCATTCTTCCTGGAAGTGATCGAGAGCCTGCAGTCCTACGACCGCTCATGGTTGTTTCCATATATTACTATCATGTCCTCGACCGGGCCACTGTTTTTGTCCATCATATGGAAGAAGTACATGCGTCGGTCTCGACCACTGGACGAGGCGAGTCGAGTGCGGGTCCTGATGCCCGAGGAGTATATGAATCATCCGTGGAGCTTTTTTACCCATCATGTGGGAAACAGTTGGCACCTAGATGACGCGAAGATAATATTCTGGGTATGGGACTTTTCATTTCTCTCTCACCCTGTCCGACCCAGACTGCGAACTCAGAGTGATACATAACATCAGACTGACGGTGATCTCGACGCTAGATGGGAGCTCACTGGCCAATTGTCACCGTATGCGGCCTTCTTGTTATATGCCTGGTGGGAGTGTGTCTGTGGATGTTATATTGTCGACTCGTTCTGCTTGTCTCAGGGCGTCGGTATCAGTCTACACTGCTATCGACAGTTGCACTGTCATCTTGGCACTCTCGTCGTCGATTTGCCATGGTTCGGGTGGTAAAGCGCTGGTTCAAGTCTCCGAGCTATATGGAGGACGAGGAATACCCGCTTTACCGCTCTTCCACTGAGAGGGATGATTGAGAAAATGGGGGAGTTCTACCGAGAGAATGTTCATCAGGCTTCCCTATATTTACAATGTTGCACTGTTATGATTGCTGGAGAGACAAATCTTCAGAATTAATAGGAAGCTATCGGTGCGCCGTATGGCTGATAACGCCGCGGACCGTAATGCTGCCGATCCTCCGAACCACGTGTCAGATTAGCCAGTCGATAATCCGACGAATGAAATTCGCCATTGCCTTCAACTCCCCCTTCCTCGCTTGTTCGAAGATTATAGAGATGTCTCAGCTTGGCCAGCTCATACATGAGCACCACCCGACAAACAATCACGGAGCCCATGAAGCGGGTAATCACCGCGACGCTATCTCGGACGGATATGAACAACATGCTGGAGAAGACGAGAGTGCCTAACATGACATGGGCCGCGGTAAGGAGGGAGAGGACCCATGAAAGGAGTATGTAGAGCGGGGTTTCTTCTTTGAGCTCAAGTTGCGGCGGAGGTTGATTCAAGGTGTAGCCGACGGAAAAGGTCATGAGCTGATCGCGGAAGGACGACAACGAGAAGAACGGGATTCGATATTGCTCGATGGAGGTGCGGCCAGGCCAGTGTACACGAAGACGGAGCGTCCAGGCGGCGACCACGTGGCCAATGGGGCTGAAGAAACACCACAGGAGGATGAGGTACCCGTAGTTGGGGGCAAATGAAAGCGCAACATTCTGACCGAGTTGGTAGCCTAGCGTGCCGACGTTGGTGATGGCAGCGAATACGAGTGCATACTCGAGAACTGTGATGAGAAGTTCAATGTGAAAGGTGAAGAATATGGGAGCGAGACGGCCAGGGCGGTCTTTCAAGACCGCTTGGGGAGCTCGATAATCGAAGGCTCGGAGGGCAACCACGGCAGGCGACCCGAAGGCCAGACACAGAGCGAAGAACGGACGGTTCCCAATCACGGCCAACACAGAGGTCTCATCGACGTCGGATCCTAGGGTAGCTAGAATCATGGGAGCCAGGCCTAGGAGCACGTTGGCGCTTGCCATGTTGCTCTTCATGTATTCAGGGCAAGCGCCCATTATACAGTTTACCAGCGGCGCGGTGAGCGCCGCGGTGCTGCCGGATCCAATCCAGCGGGAGGTTTCGTACCAGTAGGTGCGGTTTTTCTGTGCCGTGAGGTAGAAGTGATACTCCGAGGAGCAATTTTCCTGAATGATGCGATCAAAGATGAAGTCGAATTCCGGATACCAGTGTTGGAACTGGTCCCGTGCCCCTGATACACGGGTAATTTGAAGGGGAAAAAGGAGAAATAGGCCGAAGATAGATGGCCTAAGGAATCTTCGCATGGTGTTGAATTTTCTTGGAGATTGGGCAATATGAAGGTGCTCGCAAGATAAGTACTCTGTCTGTGTTCCCTCTCGGGTATGAGTCTGAACGTCTTAACAGGAACAGGTTGGCGCTGTCAAGAAAGAAAGAAAGGACGCTCTTGCCTGAGCCCGAAGCGGTGCTTATATTGCGAGGATATGGGAACCAGCTGCACCAGGACCAATCCCCCTGATCACTAACTGCGTATAATTGGTCTAACACATTGTCAGTATTACCTGCACCTCGTTGTCTCTCGATGTAAGCCAATGAGGATGTCACTGACTACAACCCATCTATACATGTCGAAAGCCATCAAGAAACGTATGATACTTTGTACAGACAATTCAGACTCATACTGATGGAACGACACTACTTGCAGTTTGTTTTAGTCGACCTTAGCCGCACCATATACATGTTTCACCGACTGGAAAGTGCTCAAACCACCGCTATTCTACAAATTGGAGTGACCAAACAGAACTGACAGACAGATCGTTCGGCTCCTGCGAAATGCAGAGTGTGCAATATTGAATACCATTAACGTAATCCAGGGCTAAACGGATCACGCAGTGAAGCGGGAAAATGTTAGGCTTGACACCAGATTTCAAAGAAAAAGTATACAAAAATGAGGGAGGATCTTTGGTGACTGCGCCTATACTATCTCACAATATCGTAAATGTTCCAATGTCATGCAGACTATCTCGACAGGGAAGATACCCATTTCATAGCTGCGTTACGAGTCATGTACCGCAACCATGATTGGAGGCCACCAGGTGAGTGGCGTTCGCCCCGTGCCTTTTGGCCCGTTTCGCCAGCATCCTTGATTCGTGCCCTCCCCTAACCAATAACCCTCTAACAATTCTTACGATTCAGCATCTTCGTTCCCACAAGAGGATTGGATAGCTCAAGGCCCGGGGAGCGCGCCTGGCCCCGTGCGGGACCCCCAGTGCGGGACGCCCCGTTGCGTTTGCTTACAGTACCCACCAGATGGTTTTTCAACCAACTTTTCGTGCTGACCGTCCTGGCTCTTGGCTCGCTGGTCATAAGGGGGTAACAAAACATCAAAAACATACCTTGAGGTGAAGCCTTATCCGTATGTTACTGTGTATATTACTACCTTGTATATAAAAAGCCATAGCGCGAAAAGTGGGCTGAACAAACATCTGGTGGGCAGCGTGTGATTATGTGGATATGAGCGTTGTTTCTATACGGACCGTTCGTTGGTTGGAGTGATGGGGCCGAATACGAGGAACTACTGTGAGATAGCGGTCGGTTTTACGTTCTGGGACAGCCATGCAGATATTTTAAAAGTGAATCGTCTGGGATCAGTGTGCAGCATCTGGGATCAATGTGCAGCGTCTGGGATCAGTGTGCAGCGTCTGGGATCAGTGTGCAGCGTCTCATTGGGTAGTGCTCGTGGACAGCCAAGAGATGGGATGCGGGAGAGCGGAGCTTCATCACGTCGTTCGTTGCCTTATCAATCTCACACTCGACTGCGTCGACGTGACGTGTCATGTTTGCTCACTGGTGGAGGGTGGTCAAAGGTGCCCCCGATTGGACATCAGCTTGGATGCCATGACTCTCGAATTGCCAATCACTTTGCGAGGACTCTCACCAGGATGGGAGGGATCAGTGCCTCTTATTACTTGTGAAGTGAAGCAGCCCGAGCGAATCATCTGTGATGCGCCACCGGGCACACGACTAACCCCTGAGCGCTCGAATTTGTTGCCGAGTCACGTATCCCACATGTTACGTGATACGGGAGTAAACAACCGAACTTCGATGGTTATTCCCTGCGCAACTAGGAGGCATTGGACGTTCCGTGCCAATTAGCAATCTCTGGGATTGTTTCATCGATCTCTGGCTCTAGTTTGTGCCTTCTATTGACTTCGAGGCTTTGATGGCGACGCACCTATCTTCCGAACAATCGCATAAAGACATAGTGCCTTCAATTGAGCCAGACCAAAGTCTGGTTTTTTCAGCTTCCCCGAGAAAGTGGCTAAGCGCATACGATGAACAGCAGAGGTTGTGAGTCTATTGACTCGACTCTCGGAGATTTGCCGCGGCCATCGACGGATACTGAGAGCTCCTCGGTGTCTTTACTTGACCAGGTAGTATCTAATTCATCTTCTCATAACCACGTATTCGAAAACTTGATAGAGTTGGACGATTGGCATAGTTCCCTGCTACCTGGACAGAGGAAACCACGGTACAGGGGGCCCACAAGTGGGGGATATGGTTTCGCAGTATGGCGGCCCTGGAGTAGTGTTTGGTCGTCGCTCCTTGACAAAGTCCGCGCCACAACTCAAACGCTTCGCCAGGCGGTCTCCCGTGCTCCGTTAGCGGCAGGTGATGGCCGACGTCTTATCCTTGACTTCAAGAGACGGCAGCCGTTAATGGACCACCGCTTCCAGCGCCCTTATGTATCCAATTCCATCCGGTCCAGCCGCTACACACTTTGGAACTTCTTGCCCCGTCAGTTGGTTGCCCAGTTTTCCAAAACCGCCAATTTCTACTTTATGATCGTGGCTATCTTACAGGCCATTCCTAACCTCAGTACCACCGGCAACTTTACGACTTTCATTCCATTGATGATCTTTGTCAGTATCTCCATGGCAAAGGAGGCTTTTGATGATTTTCGTCGCTATCAACTCGATCGAGAAGAGAATAACCGTCAAATTTCAATACGTCGTCTTGATGGTCTTCACACCATACCCTCCTGGCAGCCGGCACGATGGAACGAGGTTCAGGTCGGTGATCTCATCGAGATCAAAAGAGACCATCCTGTCCCTGCCGATATCGTCCTCATTCATGTCGAGGGTGACACTGGTGTTGCCCATTTTGAGACAACGGCTCTCGACGGAGAAACCAGCCTCAAATGCAGACAACCATGCCCGCTGATCGCGAAGACCTATCAGAGTCCCGAGACGATCGATACAATTGATATGCACTTGGTGATTCAGGATCCCAACGTGGACCTTCACAGATTTGAAGGTCATGTGAGCATCGGAGATGTGAAGGCACCTCTCACCAACAATCACATCGCCTATCGTGAAAGTGTCCTGCGCAACGTCGGCAGAGTCATTGGTGTTGCCATTTATACTGGAGAGGAGTGTAAGATCCGAATGAATGCCAACAAAAGCCCGAGAACCAAGGCCCCACTGATCCAAACTAAAGTGAATCGCGTTATCCTCTTAGTTGTCTGCGTGGTCTTTATACTGGTCCTTTCCTGCACCCTTGCTTACACAAAGTGGTTTAGCAAGCTGGAGAATGGGTTCTGGTATCTACAAGGGGCAAAAGTCAAATTGGGGCCAGAGTTTATCTCATATTTCATTATGTTCAATACTATGATCCCATTGTCATTGTACACAACCCTGGAGATGGTCAAGATATTCCAGACAATGCTACTACTTCAAGACGTTGACCTATATGACGAGGACAGCAACGCCCCGGCGCAAGCACGAACTTCAACAATCAATGAGGACCTTGGTCAAGTGAATTACATATTTACTGACAAGACCGGCACTCTGACTCAGAATATGATGGAGCTACGAAATCTCAGCGTAGCAGGAGGAGGTTACTTCCACGACCCGAGGCACACTTTGAACGTGCCAGTTACTGATACCGCGAACACTCGTCGGAACTCACTCTCCCAACCGACGTCAGATCTCTCTCGCACTCAACATATGATCGAATTCGTTCAGGAAAATCCACATACAAAGTTTTCACAGAAGGTCAAACTGCTACTATTAAGTATCGCTCTGTGTCACACCTGCTTTCCGGAATTTAACAGAGCAGAGAGCAGCGTTCGCTTCCAGGGAGTGTCTCCAGACGAGGTAGCTCTCCTTACTGCCGCCCAAGAACTCGGATATATGCTTCTGAGTCGCCGCCCGGACTCCATCACTCTCCGAATCTTGCATGATCAAAGGGATGATAGGTATTCCGACGAGATCTATGAGGTATTGGATGTGATTGAATTTTCGACTACGCGCAAGCGGATGTCTATCATTGTCCGCATGCCTGATCGACGGATCTGCCTTTTCTGTAAAGGTGCAGATAGTGTTATCAGATTGCGCCTTCGACAGAATCTTCGCCAGAACTCATTGAGCCAGGCTAAATTGGAGACGGGAACTTCAATGACTGGTCTGGGGGCACCCGTGAGGGGCGAGAGTATGTATAGTGTCTCGTCGGATGATCTGTCACGATGACGCAAGACTAACCGTTAGGATCACTGCTTAGATGCCAAATCAGATATCGACACTGCCCTTCTGTTTAACACCGAGGGCGACTCATCAGCATCCGAAGTTGGAGCGCAAGAGGCGGCTCCTCCCATGTTTGACACTATGGACGGCACTGTTCCGCAACAAGTCAACGTGTATGATGATTCAGAAGTTGCCGAACGTTGCTTTCAACACTTGGATCAGTCTGCTTCTCAAGGACTTCGAACATTACTGTACGGCCATCGTTTCCTCGATGACCAGATGTATTCTGAATGGAAGCGACGCTATACTGGTGTTCAACTCGGGGCCACTGAGCAGACAGAAGCCATCGACGAAGTCGGCCAGCAGCTCGAAAACCAGATGGAGCTGACGGGGGCAATTGCTATTGAAGATAAGCTTCAAAAAGGAGTCCCAGAGGCCATCGATACACTACGCAGAGCAAATATCAAGCTTTGGATGCTAACAGGCGACAAACGCGAGACGGCAGTCAGCATTGGACATTCCTGCCGCCTTCTGCTTTCTAATTCAATTGTGATTAGCCTCGATGAAAGTAACTTCCGCCTGCGTCTGGCTGATGTGACAGAAAAGATATCCATGGGACAAATGCCGAGCTTTTCCATCGTCGTTGAAGGCTCAGCACTGTCTGCATTCGAGTATGACGGGCTTTCCGTGGACAGCTTCTTTAGACTTGCAATTGTTGCTGATACGGTAATATGTTGCCGTGCGAGTCCTAAACAAAAGGCGTTCCTCGTGAAGACAATCCGCAGATATTCCCGAAACGCTACAACTCTGGCGATCGGCGACGGTGCGAATGACATTGGCATGATACAGGAAGCCAGCGTAGGTATTGGAATAGCAGGCAAGGAAGGGCTGCAGGCCGCCAGAGTGTCTGATTATTCAATAGCGGAATTCCGCTTCCTCGTGAAACTTCTCCTCGTTCATGGACGATGGAACTATATCCGGATCTGCAAGTTTACTCTGGCCACATTCTGGAAAGAAGTAGTCTTCTACACAACACAAGCCTTTTACCAACGTTCCAATGGATACACCGGAACCAGTCTGTATGAGCCCTGGGGCTTGAGCATGTTCAATACGCTCTTCACCTCGGTCTCAGTTGTTCTTCTTGGAGTATTCACGAAGGATCTCTCGGCGTCCACACTTCTTGCCTTTCCCGAGCTCTATGCGACCGGCCAGCAGCATAGATGCTTCAATATCGCAATCTATCTAGGCTGGACCCTGATGGCCCTCTGCGATGCCGTCATAATCTACTTCATCATCTACAACCTGTACAAAGATACAGGAACCGACATATTCTCCTTTGGCCTACCCACCTACTCAGCCTGTGTCATTGTCGTCAACCTAAAGCTTCAATTCCTCGAGGTCTACAACAAAACCATCACCTGCGCGGCTTCTTTGTTGGTGGCTATCGGGGGTTGCTTCCTGTGGAATATTGTTTTGTCCTTCTTCTATCGATTCGAGTCAGGTAAAGGCATCTATCATGTCCGATGGAACTTCATGCATGAGTCCGGTGAGAACATGTTGTTCTGGCATGGTTTGGTGCTGGCGGTGCTCAGCGTCTGCCTGTTCGAGATCGCGGTCTCAACCTTCCGGGCTTGGCTTTTCCCCACAGATGTCGATCTCTTCCAGAGATATGAACGGCGACGAAGGAACGATCTTTCTGTGATGAGCCAGATCATATCAACGAAATGAGTGCATTTCAACTAAAAAACTAGTACGGAGAGGGAAAGAAGGAAAGAGTGACAGAAAATAAGAAGAAACCCAGCCAAATCCCCCAGCCAACGAACTATATAGCACATGTGGCACCACTTGATAATAGCCAGATCGTAATACCTTCGACCGATTAAATTCATGTTGGAATAAGCAAGTAAGTGTTTGAACTAAGATTATATTCTCATGCCATTGAATCACTCGATTGGATGCAAAAGGCTTTTATTTCATAGAGGTGGTAGCTGATGTCAGGACCCAAGTACTAAGGAGGCTTGACGATACATGTCTCGCAGTCTATGTGAGACTGCAAGGTGGTCAGTTCGCAGGTGCAAACTAACCCAGGGCTGAGCCCCGCAGTGCGAAGGCTCATGACCTCACATGACCCCACAGTTGTATTTAAACGGTCTACGGAGTAGAGGCTGGAGTCTTGGACTCCAGCGATTAGTTCAGTATTGAACCGCGGGTTCCAGCTGAGTGGGACTAGAAAAGACTTGGTATGTAGGGACAGGAAAAAATCTTACCTAATTTCTAGTCCCCTAATACTATTTTATATACTTGTAGCCCTAAGTTAATTATAGAACCTATCTCTATATAGGCTAATATTGTTCTACTTTAGCGGGCGATTTAGCGATTGAAAATCTAGTAGCTGTGAAATCTTTTGTCGATCTTATTGAATCCTTAGTAGAAGTATGACTTTAAGCTAAGACTAACGCTATGCTATATAATATTCTAACGATATTTTATTGTTACGGACATGCCAGTCATTAAACACATATGGGGACTGCGACCTATTGACGGGCCAATCCTGGGAGAGCTATGGAAGGATATTGTGCAATCCAGTGGCAGCATCACCGATGCCATCGAAATCCCCGCCGAGCCAGATCTTCATGTTGGATTCATTCACGTTGACGGTGTTGCAGCTGCCTTCCATGCTGTCGTTGATCGCATCACGGCTGGGCTCCTGACCGGTGTTTGATCTGTGGGCTGAGTCAGTGCGTGTTGATGATATCATGGATGAAATTTAATTTGGGTCAGAACTGGAAGTCCCTTTGGCTTTCGGTGAAGGAATTCAGTATCGCACTTTCGAGACCTGGGTGATGGAGAATGTCTCCAATTTTCGCACGCGAAGCCCATTCTGGGTTGGACCCCAAAGAGAAGGAATTTTCTGACTGATATTCGTTTCTACATTACTGTATGGCAGGCTACCCAGGTGTATGTTCCACGAGCCAGTTTGATTTGAACTCGGTTAATCCACATGCCTTCGATCGTTCGGATGCTTATGGAAGTTTTTAGTCGGGAAAGTGCACGCAAATGATATGCCCTAGTTTGAGATCAGAAAGATTCAGTTCAGGGGTATGCTAATTCAATCACTATGAAGATGCAATAAACACATTTATGCCTCAAATGCCTTTCTGTTAACAGGCGTGATAGGCTCTCCCTTGGACTCCCCTTTATCACCCACCACAGACAGAATATTGCGCATAGCATTCAACTCAAATTCGATCCTCGTTTCAAGTGCTCCGCCCCCAATATGTGTAGTTAGGGTAACATTTTCCATACCAGCCAACACTGGAGACACCTGAGGCTCATGATAATGCACGTCCAATGCTGCCGCAGAAATATGACCCGATTTCAACGCCTTGATCAATGCATCCTCATTGAGAACCTCCCCCCGAGCAGTATTAACAATTCGACTACCAGGTTTCATCAAACCAAAAGCTTTGTCGCCGATAAGATCCAAAGTATGCGAGTTCAGTGGCGTATGCAAAGAAACACAATCCGCAACTTTGAGCAACTCATCCAAAGAATCGTGGTACGTCGCCTGGAGCTCACTCTCAACGCTCGAATCAGCACGCACAATATCAAAATAATGAATCTCCATCCCAAGCGCCATACGCGCCTTATAAACCAGTTTCTTGCTGATATTTCCAAACCCAACAACACCGAGAATATGGCCCCGCGGGTTCTGCGAGATCGTCGCAATCATTTTGTGTGTTGCAGTGAAGATCTCCGGGTCTGCCGTTCGCGCTGCGAGTTGTGCCCGCGTGAAGTTGCGGAACACACTTAGGATCATATATAATGCTGTATCGGAGACTGCTTCGTCTGATGCGCCTGCGCCGTTGGTATACCAGATGTTGTGTTCGCCTAGAATATCGACATCGGCCCAGTTGAAGCCTGCACCTGCTGAGGCGAAGATTCGGACACTGGGTGGGAGGTGGGAGATTAATTCTTTATCCCATTGTCCCATGAATCCGCCTGTTTGGAAGTGTGGGCGGAATAAGGCTGAAAATGCACCGTATCTGGGGTTCATTAGTATTTTTGTGTATGAGATTAAATGGGAAGAATTATCTGCTTACTTCTTGGTCTTTAGTGCTTGGATGAAGGATTCACGGTCTGTTTCTGTAGCCTGGATGACATCGAAGCGTGATTGGAATTCGTTTCTGTAGAAATCGTGGTTGTATTTGATTGCATCTCCGAGGTGGAGGACAATCGGCTTCGGTGCTACAACGCCCATGTTGCAATGTTCACACAATGGTAATTTTTGATAAAATTCATGCTCCGCAGAAGGCATTTCGCGTGTTTATATATACACGTTTTCCTGGGTTTCCGAGCTTTATCCGAACGCGGATATCAGAGCGTCGATGAGTCCGGAGAGAAAGCCGGTCGGAGTCATTTGAAGACAAAAGTCACAGTCTTGACGATAAAGACCTTTATACAAATCAAAATGTGTAATAATTATAAAGCGGTGATGGGACCCCATATATCTCCATACGTACCATATTGTTGCTGTCACTATGTATCCTCTCGGTGTGTATCCAGCCTTTCTGCACGTAATCCTTTATAGTCTCATCTTTCTCATCGAATTCGATGCTGTTCTCTTTTAGCGGACTTTAGGGGCGATTGCGTTTAAAACAGAGTGTGACTTCAAGCTGTAACGAATGTAGGTAGCGTGCGGCTGGCAACATTGTCTTCTTTCATCAAATCAAACACCTTGTTATCATCTGCAGGCTCTTCCGAAACATCTTTTGACTAAATCCATGAATGGGGTATTTACCGTTGCTTTTGTTTGCCTCGGAAGCGTTCAAGGCGGATCTAGCGTTCAGGTTAACTCGATACTCGGATTTGGCATCTGAACTTAACTTGGCTGATGTATTCCAGAACAGCTTTTGTGGAATATAAGATCAAAGGTTTTGTAAGTGGTCGTACCTAGGTAGAGTCTCTATGATGATGGCAGTCTGTGACGAGTAAGTGGTGTTGTAAGTTGATACTCGAAATGACCCAAGCATGACCACAAGCCCTGGAGGTCTTGGTGCCTGGCAAACTGAAATCGCACTGTATTAATCTCGCATCAGAATTTGGCCCTGGTGAATTGTCATCTAGAATGATGATAACTAGCCCTGGCCCCGGGGAGGCAGGGTTGATTGGCACTAGGTATGAAAGAGGTATAAAACGAGGTTGAAAAAGAGATCTAAGGAATTTAACCTTGTTTAGATAAACTATTGCACTGCTCGTTCGGCAAAAGTTGCTATACTTTGGTGGCAATGAATTGGGCAAATGGCCCTTTTCCAGGAGGATTTTTTTTTCGGCCTAAAAATAAATGCGAAATTCTCATTCATTTTTCTCCAAAAACAATAATGTTAACGTAAAATTCCATCGGATGTATGTATCTACATAACGTTGTATATTATTGTACTTATTAATACAGAAATGCCCCACTAGCATGCTGATAACCGTTGCTGTGATCCTTTTTATTGGCTCGCAAATACTTGAATCGCTTCAGCAACCCTCCAATCAACACGTCCTTTGTAAGCCGATTCACATCACCACTGGGACATTCTCACTGTGAATGGGCTTTATTCATCATATAGAATAGTAAAGTTGACAAATGCACTTCTGTTCAAAAACTATATATACCTAGTAAATATCAGACAAATATTTCAATCCAACAGCTTCATTCAATAGCATTTTTCATACCTCAAAAACTTTCACACCTCTCTCTCTCAAATACTTCGTCATGTCTTCCTATCTCGTCACCGGCGCCAGCCGTGGTCTTGGTGTTAGTGATATATCCACCTCATTAATTTGTTCGCGCCAACTAATCAAGCATAGTTTGAATTCGTGCGGAAACTTGCTATTGATCCAAACAATACTGTCATTGGACTTGTCCGCAACAAGGCCGCTGCCGACACAAAGGCGACAGCTGAGGGCCTTCGTAATGTCCACATGGTCGAGGCACAGTACACTGATTTCTCCTCGCTGAAGGTACGGGCAAATAAGTTTGAGTGACGGAGTAGCTTGACTGATTCCTTTCAGAATGCCGCCGAAACTGTGAAGAAAATTACCGGGGGTAGTCTGGACTATTTGATCAACAATGCAGCCGTTGTGTCCCACATCAGTGGATACAAGACATTCGAGGACTTGTCCGTAGTGAAACTGACATGGCAAAAGAAGAAATGCTGACGATGCGTATAGTGATGATGATTTTGAAACTATCGAAAAGGACCTTTGGGAATCCCTGGAAATCAATCTTCTGGGCGTTATCAAGACAGTTCAAGCATTTATCCCGCTGATACGTAAGGGCAAGGCAAAGAAGGTTCTTGCAATTTCCACCGGAATGGCCGACCTTGACCTGATCAATGCGACCGAAATTGATTTCGCTGCTCCGTACGCTATTAGCAAGGGCGCGCTCAATGTCGCGATCGCTAAGTACAACGCTTTATACAAGAAAGAAGGCATTCTATTCCTTGCTGTCAGCCCAGGATATGTCACCACTGAGCGAAATCAAGGTATGTTAATGAACAATGTTTGATTTGTCACTGGGATGTATACTCACTCTGTTTAAAGAGGAAGTATCGCCAGAAGATGCCGAAAAGGCAGCGGTTCTTGTCACCAAATTCATTGAATATGCTCCGCATTTCAAGCGTCCTCTGACACCCGAGGAGTCGATTTCTGCAGTGCTCTCCGTCTTACACAAAGCTTCGATTGCGAATGGAGATGGTGGTGCATTTATCTCACACTTGGGAACTAAACAGTGGCTGTAGCTAGAGCTGGACACTTTAATATTGGAGAATCCGATCGAAACCTTATCGTTAAAAATATTAGTCTAGTTTAATTTGACCTTTTATAGTGCTGCTTTTTCAATATCTTCGGGGGCGGCCCGCGGGCATCCTTATTGATTGATAAGCGATGTGAATCTCACCAACATCTACGCAACTCTCTACCTATGCAGAATCATCTCTTCGCAGGTTTACATACTGACATCATGTGTGATAGCCTTTTGCCTATCTAAATCAGATTTTAAGCAACATTTTATCCGTTTGATGAGCTTTAATTTGCACTGGGATGTCCACAGCGAAGACACGAGGTCCATACCGTGTTGGGCTTCCATCAAAGCGGGGGTGTTGGACATGTCGCGGTAAGATGACATCAATCTCTTTATTTAAAATTGCGGACTCGAGCAGTCGGTTTTCTCATGCTTTAATAGATCGAAAGGTGTCCTGTGATCAAGGGCGGCCGGAATGTCAGAACTGCACATCATTGGGTCGCAAATGCAAGGGCTATGGCCTACGCTTGAGCTGGCCAGAAAACGGCTCACGTCGAAATATTCAATACACAGTGAAAAATACAGATATCACGTCAAACAGAAGCAAGCACATACATTTTATCAATACATTGACCGAGCACGTGGAGCTTCTGTATATGCAAGACCCTAAAAGTATAGGTGGGTGGTTCGACTGGCCTTTGAAGAATTCGGCGTCGCTAAACGCAAGTTTTTTCTCGATTACAGGGAAATTGTCACTTCATACTAGATGCATATTTCCTCTAGTGAACTTGGAAAATGCGCGGCCATCTGTGGGTGATGAGCACCACTTGATTACATTTTGTGAGCAATGGTACATTCGGGTTTGTAGAGACTACTGACCTCGTTTCGCTCAGTCATGACAACAGTAATGGAATCAATCGCTCCAATCCGCACGGATGGAACGAAGCTTTGGAAATTACTATTTCAGCTCTCATTCTCAGACGACTCGCCCGCCTCAATGGCCGTGCTGCGAGCCATGTTATCACTTGCGTCATTATATCGATATGGTCATGGAGAAGAAGCACTCACACTCAAGGTCGCAGCTATAAAATCTTTGAGAGCGTCCATGGATGGTCGAGTTACTGGCACAACAGAGATTTACCAACATACAGCGGTTGGGATGTTGTTATGCGCTTTTGAGGTATGTCGGTTGCCCATCAGCGCTTGGGCGCAGCTGATGACATTAGGTATTCATCCCGTCAGAGAGTTCATTCCAATGGCCATTATACGTTTCTGGTGCCAAAACTATGCTTCATCATATTTGCGATGGTGGACATTCCAAGTTAATGGAGGTTGACCAACTTGTACTTTGGGTGCATTACCATGATATTCTGGGCAAGTTTGCATCTAAACATTGGAAAACAAAATCTGCAGAAAATGCGTCAATGTTTCAAGTACCGGGCATGGCTTCGAGTTTGGTTTCGTCAATAGCGAATGATCAGGTAAGATTTGAATCTCTTCTCATCGCTCATTGGTGTGTGCTGATCAAATTTCTAGGTATTGGGAATATTTGGATGCTCACTAGAAATGATCAATTTGATTTCCAGAATGACGAGCATACAATCGACTAATGACATTGCTGAGTCTTCGAGATTTGCGGAGCGAGAAACGCTGGATTCCATTGAATACGACCTCTGGACACTCAATCAAGATACCACGCAACTCGTGGGTACAGTTTCCACAGCAGAAGTGAAACATGGAAGCAGAATATCTCAGCTCTACCGACTGGCAGGGCTAATCTACTTGGAGCGTGTTTTGAAACCTTCCCCTACCAATGGACGACTAGAAAGGTGGTCTGCAGAAGCTTTTGACATCCTCCGGCAATTGGACATATGCGAGCGGCCATTCCCACTGTTTTTCGTCGCGTGTGAGGCAACAACTGATGAAGAACGCGAGGTGGTCATTTCTCTTTTGAAAAGAACACATAAAAGATCAAACCAGCGCAGACTGCATCTCATAGAACATATGATTCAGTCAATGTGGGTGCAAAATGATCTGGTTTCAGATATGGGAGAAAGGAATTATGTGGATGCATTAAACACTACCATGTCTTCGAGCCAACTGTTGCCGACCTTGGCCTAGAAAAGCGATCAAATGGATGATGTTACATCCAATTTCAATGGAAAGAATTCCAGCCTTGCAAACAGAGATATATCTCTATCTCTTCTGTGCATACTCTTCTTCAGTGACAGCGTCGTGCCAATCAACACTGCCTAGTCCAACGACGAAGTGTGTCATGATACTGTTATCATCCGCACCATGCCAATGGGTTGTTCCCGCCTGAGCCCAGACAACATCACCAGTTCTTAAACGCTGCGGAACCCCGCCCTTATCGCAAACCCAACCGTTTCCCGCAACGACTCTGATCAGTTGGCCTTTCTCGTGAGTGTGCCAGTGTGTGCGAGCACAAGGCGTGAACGTAACATTTGCAATCGATGTATTGGCGTCGAAATGGATGGGATCGAGGTAGACGTGGCCTGTGAAGGTTTCGGTTGGCTTGATGCATTTAGAAGCTTCGTCGTAGCCGTTTCTGATCACGATTGACTCCGGCATTATGTTTCGTTGATATATTCCTTATGTTTCATAGGATTAGATCCGCTTAGTACATGTGCGTTGAGAATTCTTACTTTGAGAAACAGAATTTGGTGTTAATATTCAATGAACAGAAATTAACATGGTGAATCGCAGGCTTTTATACATTGTCAATCCCGCGAACTTGAGATTTGATTGCTCAACACAGTCAAAATGAGTGTCGCACGCAAAAACCCCACTCGAAGTCATCACGAGCGGAAATTGGCTACTGGGAATTGAGATTCGGCTTAACTCCGGGTTGCTTACTTTTTTTCATTTAGCAGCATGCATGTAATTTTGATCATGAATTTAGCCAATGGCAATACGCCAAACTGAATCGTCTGCAAAAGTGTATAGCGGCCAGAGGTCAAATCATTCTCTAGGATTGATGCCCTATTCTAGACTGCTTTTTACAGCACTCTACACCATAATTACCCATCCGTGATAGTAAAATTTCATTGATTGTTGATAAGTCTTTTTAAATCTCCATTTATATTTACAGCTCTATTTTTCACTATCTTCTATAGTCAAACCTAATACTACCCATAAAATGCCTCTATTTATTGATCCAAAACCTCATACAGACGAGAACCTTAATATTGTCTCCGATAATATTATGAAACAACGCTTTCCATCCATGGCCGTTATACACAGTCGCAAACATCCTAGGATCGACAGATACAAACCCAGGACCAAGTACCGATCTTACTTTATTCGAAGTGTTAGAGACGATGACATTGTCCCGGAGATATCGGATATAGCAACACGGCAATGACAATCGGGTCATGATCCGGGTACTATCAACGCTCGAGTTGTCGCATATATCAAGAATTTAATATTAAAACTTCTTTCCAGTAACATATGCCAAGTTTGAACGTAATAACTTCATAAACCTTTAAACACAGTATACATACATTCACCTGATGATGCAGCCTAGGCCCGACACGACACACGTTTATACCGTAACCCTGTTGGCCTTGAGGTACTCATAATCAGGCATAGCATCGCGCGTAGCTTTCTCAAGAAGCTCAGCAGTCTCATCGCCGAACTCAACCCTCCACTTGGCAACCTCAGCGTCAATATCAATGGACTTGGGCGCCTTATCCTTGACGATACCATTCGAGTCCTCCAGAGTAGACAGCATGATCGAAGCAGCAGATCTCTGTCGAGCCAACTCATCGGGGTTCCCAATACTCGCCCGGTCAGGAGTCCAGTTCTCAGACTTCTTCTCATTCCCATTCCACTCGAACTGCATAGACGCAGTATCTAGACCAGCCCGCTCACAGAACTTAATTACAGCACCGGGATTGTGAATAACATCATTGGCATCGATGACCAGTGGGGTGATGGGCGCATCGGGCTGCTCGAGACACCAGTCGAACAACTTGCGCGTCCACTGCAGGCTCATGTTCGAAATTTTAACTCCCTTCAAGCCATCATCATCCAGGAACCCTGCCTTGGACATCTTCTCCATCGCACGATACAGCGATGGCCATGCTAGAGCCGGGTGGCGAATAATGAAAGCCAGCTGCCAGGTGCGTAGGTACTCATCCGGCAGGACGGTCTTATTATTTGGAGAGAACGTACGCGAGGACCCGTAGGTTTCAGGCATAGATACCTCGAAAGATTGCAGATCTTGGTCGTCTACGGCGCCGTGGGTCATGCTGGAGAAAAATCCCGGGTTGACAAACCAGAAGGCGTGCTCTTTGGCGAACATGGTTTTGTTCTCGGCCCGTGCCTTGGCGGAGTACTCTTCCAGGTCGTCCACGGCGTGTTGGAAGGCATCTCGGACTTCTGTCTTGTCGTTTGCCGTCCATTCAGACAGAGGCTTGTTGAGACGACCGTCTTTGCCAGTTGTCATGAAGGCATCGTAGAAGAAGTAGCCGCCCTTAGGGCTGGTGATCACATTTGGTTGTTTGGGGATATTCAAAATCTTCAGGAGAAGATTGGAGGCAGTGCGGGGTACACTGATGAGAAGAAGTCGGTTGGAACCGTTATTCTGGGGGTGGGAGCCATGATGTATAGATTTGTTGATATCGATCTGTACCACAGTGGCTGAAAATTAAGCTTAAGTTGCTGTGAATCAATGAGAGTCAGACAAAATTGCTACATTCCGGAGACAGATGGCGTGATCCATCTTAAATAGAATGGAAATTTGCAGATCCTTGTGTTTTCGGCATCGGAAAATTTACTAGTCTCCATTTGTGGTGGGTCACTTTCTGACATGTAGGGCTCGGTTCGATATTTCAGACGTCGTGCGAGGAGTGCAGATCGCTCGGCCTTTTCCAGATGGAGTCGGATGCAGTAGAAAGTGCTCCAACCGGGTTTTGTCGCCCTTAATGAGCGCCGAGGGTGGAGCACTTCTACCCGCGACGGGGTTTGTTATTGGGGGTCGTGGTGGTGATCGGCACTCGGAACAGACATCTAGCCTTTAGGTTTCAGACTGTCGGATACTGGAATCTCCGCGCCGACTTTGCATTATCAATAACTTCCCTCACCTGGGTGATCTTCTGCGTTGTCGGATGATTATGTGCATATTGGCATATCCCAACCCTGCAAGTCTCAAACTTAGGGCGAAAAGTGGAGGCGAGAGAAAATGGACTGACCGTGAAGATTCCCACTGTTTGCACTCTGCAAACGAAAACACGTTTCCTGTTCCCTCGTATTAACACATTGAGTTATTTCAATCGCAGGTTGCGTATCACTCCTTGCTTATCACTCCTTGCTTTCCAAGCATAAAGTCCACTCCAAATAGTGACGAGAATCTCCGCTTGATTACGGCCACACTGAGGTTCGGTAGAAAGAGAATCGTGTGATGGTTGAAATCCTGTCCGGTGTGGAACTCATAGGTTTCAAAAGTCTTATGCAGATTATTGCCTGTTCAGGTAGATCCGTTCATATTAAAACAATCATACATACATACATACATTTTGCAAGCTCCCTCGCACAGGACTTAGTTTCTTCCATCAACATACTATCTAAGCAGAGTACTCAGAGACACTGCTTTCAGCTTCCGCCTTGGCCAAAGTCTGCTCCTTGGTAAGTGTCGGGTTACGAATGACCAGAGCGAAAGCAATCAAAGGCACCGTGATGCAAATTCCAGTGATACACAGCAAGCGCTGGGTATGTTGGTAGGCGAGAATAACATTGTCTCGATCAGGTGTGCCAACAGGGGTTGAGGCTGCAAATGCAAGGGGCTGAGCGTAGACATATGCGGCCAGGGTGTCATTGCCGAGCCTGTGGCTGAGTTCACCAGGCAGGACTTGGTTCCAGATTGCGCCCGAGATTGTGTTACCAAGTGCACTGCCGATGTTGTATGCGGCAAGATAGAGTCCGGTAATAACAGCAAGATCTGATTATCGTTAAAGGAATTCCTGGGATTGTCGAAGAAGTAAACTTACGTTCGTGCTTGGAGGCAACTTGAATACTTGCTTGCGCTGGATAGGGGAACATTCCACCAGCTGAAACTGTTAGTGGTTTTGAACATCAAAATGATGCGCGTGAATTGACTTACCAATACCGAGCAAAACCTGTGCACCAATGACACCAGAGTGGCTCGAGCTTGAAGCACCACCTCGGTAGTAAATCAGGATGCCGAACGCAACCATGAAAAGCACTGTTCCAGCAACAATAAAAGGCTTCAACTGGCGAACTCTCATGACGATGAAACCGAGAATTACACCCGTGATGACCGACACAAAGCTGTAAAGAGATGTAATACGGGTCGCGCTGAGAATCGATTCATCAAAACTGACGTAGAGCACTGTGTAGAGGAAATCTCCTTGGAGATACCACGCTTAAAGATCATTAGACATGGAGCGCACACAGGACATTTGGATACATACCAGTGTTGAGCAGAATAGGAATTCCAAGAGCACCCCAAACAGCACGATCTTGGAGAAGCTGGGGAAGCTGTTAGTGGCAATGAGACTAGGTGGTTTCAAGTGGACTCACTTTGAAGGGTACCATTGGATGCTTGCAGGTCTTTTCCCAATAAACCCAAACTGGAATCAACAGGAAACCAATAACAAGCGGCGCAATGACTTTTGCAGTCTTCCACTGCGCAGTCACACCTCCCGCAAGAGTGAATGGAACAAGGATGCAAGCCAGCATGGCAATCAGCAAAACAATACCGACAACGTCCAAGTGCCAAAAAAGCTCTACCGCCATTTGTTTTCCTCCCAAGAGTTCAAGAGAGCTCTTATACGATTCAAGCGACCCGGCCTTCTTTGAGCGTCGCTGGACGGTGAAGAGGACGGCGATCAGAGGAAGAGCGCAAATAGGGTAAATAATAGCAAACATCCCGATTCCCCATTGCCATGTTGTCACCTTGAGAACGGACTCGGTCAAGTTACCACTAATCCAGGTGTTGATCTATATGTTGTCAGTAGGATCACAGAATGGGTGGGCGGCTTTTACACTCACGATGAAGGGGAGGGCGGGAATGTATGAGAAGAGCAGACGGGACCTAGAGGATGTGATATCGGCAATCAAGACTTCGACCAGAAGCATGATGCTGGTGTAACCAATCTGGACAGATTTGAGTCGGGGCGTACAACTCATCGGAGAGTAATTAGAATTCTTACCTGATAGATCACAGCGCCTGCGGCGAAAGCTGACACGTTCTTCGCACAAGTTTCAACAACAGTGCCCACAGTATAGAAAACGATCGACACGACGATAAGCTCCGCTCTGCCGAAGACATCTGCAATCTTGGCCGCGGTCGGCTGGGCGGCCGCAGCAATGACGGCTCGTAGGACATTTATGGTGGCAAGCAAACTGTGTTGACCATAGCTCTGAGTGGCATACGGCTAGAAAACAAAATGTGTCAGTACTCTCCTAGAAAACTTGCGATTCCCACTCCTCTTTGGAGAGTGGAGTGGGGCGCCGGATAACGGACCTGGTATGTATAGCGAACCGTTCCATCCAAACCGTAAACATAGGCGATCAGGAAGATAGCAAGAAAGAGACAGACACGATCAACCATTCGGAAATGAGATGTGATCACCTCGATGCGACGAACACCGGGGCTACCTTTACCGAGCAGGTTGACATCGTCATGTACCACAGCCGATTCATTGTAGGGGTTCTTCTCCACCTGGGGATTAGCAGGGACCTCATTAACGAGCGACATGGCCAAATCTGAGTAGCTGAAGCAAGCACTTGAGAGAGAATCTCTTCCAACTTCGGAGTTGAGAAGAAAATTTTGCAGCCAAGGATTACCACGGGAAAAATAAGTCTCAGAAAAGTCAAAGATTAATCGAATACAATCTTATCTGATTGCCTCGTGTGACCCTGACTCCCAATTAGGCAACTGCCGAGGCGCTAGGGTCTTGGTCCATTCGGGAATTGACCAATCAAATCACTTATAGCCTACCCCCGCTCGTATTCAACCATGGTCTGACCATTTTGACGCGGTTGGTTCTCGCTCTAGACTTACCGATGTCCACAATCTCCTGTTGCAGCATATAGACGCGAATCTATACTCTTGAGACCATTTTACATTTGAAGATCATATGATTTTGATTTTGTCGGGAGCTTTCTTTTGCTGCTCTTGCTTCGCTGGGCCGTCCCCAGGCTGGTTGTTTCACAGCCATGTGGTCGTTGTCAACAAAAGTTTAATCCAAGCTCTGTGATATTTGGGCATCATCCTTCTGTAAGACATGAATAAGGTACACCCGGATATCTTACTATAGAGCCCTGGTTCGAATAAAGGCCATGATCAAACGTTCGGCTCACACCGAACAAGCACCAAAAAAGCTTAGCGCTTAGCGCTCTCTATGTTCAGGGCTGGCATTGGTTTTTTTATTTTGTAAGAAATTTTGCTGAAATGGATAGTTGCGGGAGCATCGCGTCAACGAAAGCGGTGTCGGTCAGGTTATCATCAAAGACTGGAGAAGACACATGATGACATCAGAAAGGGGCAGTTTCTATACTGCGTATCTCCTACTATTGTATCTTCCAGGGTGAACAGTCTTTACCCCTGATCTGGTAAGATAGGTAGAGTTCTATGTCCGTGGATGTTAAAAATCCACAGACAGCTCCAAATAGCAACTCAACCAGGCAGCTATCTTTCATTGGGGGACACCCCCCTATATTGTAGAACTATTGAAAGGACATTGGTCCGCAAAATTTGCTTCACATTCCCAACTAAGTCGCCCCATTTTTCAGAATCATTGACCCCGGAGCTTTAGAAGATTGAAACTATTCCGGGTGTAAACATCGAAGAGACTGGGATAGTACCGCAAGCCGAGACCTAGCGTACAAACAAACCATTACTAAAAGCCGAATACACTGGTTGAAACATGACTTCGTTACTAAAAATATAAGTTCTAGACCTATAAAGCCTCATAGCCTGGATTTGACAGACTGTGGTCCCGGTGAAGAAACCACTGAATCCCTGCTAAGACTACTCATCCCAGGATCATAAAGTGATTCTGCAGCAACAGTCGCTTTAATCCTCTTGCCGAAATACTCAATCTCAACACCTTCGCCATCATTCACATTCCCCGGGAGCCAAGCATAAGCAATCGGCTGTCCAATCGAATGCCCAAACGCAGCACTAGTGACATAACCAACAGCATTGCCATTATAGAACACGGGTTCTTTCCCAAGAACCACCGAGCGTCCATCATCAACCGTCAAAGGTCGGAGGCGTCGCAAGGGTGGCTGGGCAGAAAGGTGCTGTAGAGCATCTTTACCCACAAAGTCATCTGTCTTGTTCGCATCGACGGCGTACGAAACACCTGCTTCGAACGGGTTGTGCTCGGTGGTCATATCCGACCCGTAGATTCTGTATCCCTTCTCGATGCGCAAGGAATTGAAAGCACTGCGACCAGCCGCGATGAGACCATGTAGCTTGCCAGCTTGCCAGATGTTGTCCCAGAGTCGCTGGCCGTACTCGGCGCTTGTTTGGATTTCCCAGCCGAGTTCGCCGACGTAGGACTTTCGGATGAGTGTCACTGGGATACCAGCGACAATCGTCTTCTTGAGACTGAGATAGGGGAGGCCTTTGTTGGACAGATCGTCTGTGCTGATTCCGCTGAGCACTTCCCGTGCGCGAGGACCCCAGAGACCGATGCAGCATGTGCTGCCTGTGATGTCGCGCACCTGGACCCATTGCCCCGGGGTGGTTTGGCCTTGGATACGGGCTTCTCGCTCGAGATAGGCGAGGTCCGTGGCTGTGTTTGCGCCGATTTGGAATACATCATACTCGAGTCGGTGCGTGAAAATGTCGCTGCGGATTCCGCCATGCTCGTTTAGGAGAAGAGTGTATGTGACTGTGCCGGTTTTTGTGGTCATGTCACTCGTGGTCAAACGTTGAAGCAAACGGACTGCTCCTGGACCAGACACTTCAAAGCGATGGAAGGCGGTCATATCGAACATCGCAACGGCGTTTCGCGTTTTCCAAGCTTCGGCTGCAGATATGGGTGAATGGAATTGCGCTGACCACGCGTCTCGCTCGAGGGGTTTCCAGGATGGTGGGAGAGCTTTTACGAGATCTTTGTTTGCTTCGTACCACCATGGCCGCTCCCAGCCTCCAGTTTCAAGGAAGTAGGCACCAAGTTCCAATTCGCGAGCATGGAAGGGACTGACACGGAGCGTGCGGGGTGATGTTTTGGGTTGGAGTGGGTGGAGAATGTCATAAATTTCAACAAAGTTCTGCTGCGATGTCTCGCTCACATAGTCGCGGGTCAATTGAATTTCCTCGAAGCGAGACAGCTCGCACTCAGACACATCAATTTCAGACTTGCCGGTCGTGAGGATTTGTGCTAGAGCTCGGGCTACACCTGCTGAATGTGTGACCCAGACTGCTTCCGCTACATAGAAGCCATCGAGGTGAGATGGCTGGCCAACGATAGGACCGCCATCGGGAGTGAAAGAGAAGATACCATTGAAGCCATCAGCAATCTCCGTTTCTTGAAGGATTGGAAGGAGCTTTTGCGTCTCCTTCCATGCCGGATCAAAGTCTTCAGTGGTGAACTCGAGGCGAGAGGGCATATTGTGTTCATCAACATGCTGTGAGGTGAGTCCTAATGAGGACGCAACGACAGGCATTGGACGGTGTCCATAATATCCGATTCCATACTGGTCACCGTGCTCACGATAATAGAGATCCTGGTCTTGGTGGCGCAGAATGGGAAGTTCGGCATTCATTCCATTCATCGAGGAATTAATATCGCGTCCTGCGAGCGCCGGGACTGTTGTGGTCTTTGCATATTGATGTGCGAGTGGAAGCAAAGGGATCTGCACACCAACCATAGCACCCAATTCCACACCCCAGAATCCAGCACAAGAAACGACTATCTCGGCTGGAATAGTACCGTTTGGTGTGGTGACTCCGGTCACGCGACGGTCCGCCCGTTCGATCCCGGTCACGGGAGTATGACCCAGATATCGAACGCCGGCTTTGCTCGTCCGCTCAATGAGCAATTGTGTAGCGCGTGCCGCCAATGCCAGACCATCACTGGGAATGTGCAGGCCTCCCAAGACCATGTCTCTGTTCAGATGGGGGTATTTCTCGAAACATTCCTCGGCGCTCACCAATCGCGCCTCAATGCCCCATGACGAAGCGTACCCATGTTTCCGCTTGAGCTCTTCCAATCGGGCCGGTGTAGTCGCTATTTCAAGGCCACCCACTTGATTAAAACATTTCTGTCCATCCTTTTCGATCGATAGGAATTTCTCGACGGTATATCTGGCGAGGTGTGTCATTGTCTTAGAGGTGTTCGTTTGGAATACAAGGCCGGGGGCATGTGATGTCGACCCGCCCGGCATGTTGAGCGGACCTTGCTCAACGACGGTGATATTGTTCCATCCTCGGGAGACCAGCTCGTCGGCGAGGTTGGTGCCCACGATACCTGCTCCAATGATGACAACGCGTTGTGAAAGGGACATTATGAAAAGATAATTATTATAACCTTGAAACTATCCGCGTTGGACCGGCAAACCCTCTTATATTTTATATTTGTATCTCATATGTTCATATATTTATGTACTTTCTTACAATATGTGACCTTATCGTACACATCTCCCCGCACCCCGCAGAGGTGTGTGGTGACGATAAAGTGCACGATGAAGCTATAGATAAAGCTGTTACGCCCCACAACGGGTTCCGGGTATGTAAGGCCGTAAGGATTCCAGTAATAGACACGGATTCCTCGTAGCAAGTAAAATAATTAAATAATTACATTCGGGTTGGAGGGGTACGACTATGTTGCCCCACGTTGTTGCAGGCTATTAAGCTCACTCGATGAATCATAGTTGGCCGATCACTTCCACCAGTTGCTGATTCGTTGAAGCTGGATTTGTTTTCCCTTTTCGGCACAGGCTCGGAGGTCCAGATCAAAATTAGCATGAGGGGCATGGCATAGTTATAACCTTGGAATCTGCTTCATGCATGTGTGTAGTTATATTATTAATGTACGTGAATTGATGTGAATCGTCAAGTGGGATCTCCCTCTCGGTTCGAAGTTGTTTTTGACGAACCGTTGAAAATATATATATTAACGTCGCAGAGATTATCCTAGGATATGAAAGAAGTTTCAACCAACATTTGAAGCTATAACTGTAGACAGGAATTTACTATCAATCAAACCTTGGAGCATATCATTGACTAACTGCTTGGGGATTTAGTAGTTTTAGGGCTTCAAAAGCGTAAGCTGTCTAAATAAAGGTTATCGCGATATCGCTAATTAGTTATGTTTGCTTTTTGTTTAAGCAGAATGAAATATAGCTGACCATCCAATCCCTGTAAATGTAGAGCTATAAAAAAGAACAAGTGTTGCCCAGGTGGAGGTAAAAGCATTGCCATTGGCAGCACATTTCAACATTGTGAGCCGAAATGATGCCATCGCCATTTCAGGGGATGTGATTGGTCGAAATAGAAATAGAATATAGATAATGAATGGGGCTGTGGGGTAAATAAATAGAGATTGTATAGCTTCAGATCTGAGCTATACATCCAATTCAACTTTCTTTTAACCTCTTTTCACTTCTTGTATGCCCAATGTCCTCCAAAACGAAAACCCCAGACTGAGCGGGGCCAAGCCTGTCGACGGCTGGAGCCGGTCCGTGGGGAACACTCCCTGTCCCTGTCCTTGTTCTGTTTCCTTGGACCCTTCACCCTTCATTATTTCAAGAGCTTAATTTACCGACGTTGCAATGTCAATCTCCATCATATTCATCACAGCATGACAGAGCACAACGAACACTCAGTTCCTGAGCCGCCTAATGCCCTCTTATCCGACTCCCGACCGACATCCGCCCGCAATGACAGCTTCAACGATAGGGAAGCATTCGAGCTCCACAACATTCAAACACGCGAAGATGACGACTTAGACTATCCCGATCCATCTGGGTCATCCAGCGACGAATATCATGGCACTGTGCGGCGAACCGCGTCCCGTACCGACTCCCAGCGCGAACTCCAGGCTCGCAATGGTGTTTGGGGTCGGATCTGTCGGTTCTGGGCGAGACATGTTAGTATCACTGTGTCTCAGAAGGCCAATCGTGACCACTTCGGTATGTTTGATATCGTTTTTGCTGCTGGATTCGACTGATGGGTTTGAAGCTCTCGAAAGAACGTTCCTGGCGTATATTCGTACGTCCACTGTTATTGCTATGCAAGGAGTACTAGTCGCGCAATTGTTCCGCCTGCAACGACCGGCGGGCAATGTCAATCGTCTTTCATTCCATGAGGTCGGAGTACCGTTATCCGTCGCTTGCCATTTCGTGGCTATTGTTGTTGCTTTGATCGGCGCTTTCAGGTTCTGGAGACAACAAAATGCTATATCAAGGGGGAAGGTGTATGCCGGAGGATGGGAGTTGAATTTTGTGGGAATATTCTTGTTCATTGTAAGCTGCCCTTGCAATGGTCTTTGAAGTTATCACCGAACTAACTCTCTTGCCTAGATTATCGTGGCGACGTTAGTGCTTTCGGTTATTATCCTCATCCAAATCGACATGACCCATAGCACGTTTGTCGATCGAATATTGCGCTTTTGATCGAATAAAAGTTTGAAATGCATTTGAAAGCGAGGTAGGGGCTCGCCCACTCTCGGGACTCACATCATTGATTGTACATAATTATCACTGGATAGTATGATGTATATGACTTCTCATGACTCTTACATCTGACACCGGAGCCGCTTGCAAACGCTCCAATGACTTTTTCTATGTCTTTCCTTTAATTCGTCAGTCGGATACTGCTAACAACCTCATCTATTGCTCTTCTGATTCACCCTGGTCGTTTCATGGTACCATTCCCGGATAGCCCAATGAAGGTACGGGATTCACTTTGTCAATTCTACCAGCAGCTCATGCAATCATTACATGCTTCCAGTCGCCTATACCACTCAATGGATTGTCTGCATATTGAAATCATCGGCAAATTAATACGCGGGGTTTTGACAGCAGTGTGATCCAACTTATCGGATTTTAGGCTGGATAATTGTGCGAGAAGCTCAAAATTTTGATTACAGAGATATGCTCTGGCACTACCTATATCAACATAGTCTCCAATTTGAGACTCTTCAAGAATTCTGCTATCCTCAAACTGAGTTCTTTTTGACTAATTCCATCCTCAACGACGACCCAATGTCTGCAAAATTAGCGTCGGCATCCAAGATTGCCAATAAGGCTTGATTGATCCATGCTCACAGTTTTGTTCCTCGGTCATACCGAACACATCTTCCGAGGACTGAATAGTCTTAGAGTTCAAGCCAATCATCATGATCTTTGCGATGCTGGGCACACCCTCCCGATCCATGACAAACAGCATCCAGTATCCGGGAATGAGAATACCGGAATCAGATGGCAGGGCCACCTTGTAGGAAAATCCGAAGAATGAAGTCGGGAAGACCTCGAGGGGAATGCGGCGCTGGTCCGTGTTGACGGTGTGGGTGGCGGTGCCGAGACGGATCAGCGAAGCAGTGCTGATCGGCCTGGAGGTCTTGAATTTCAGAGTGTCACCGACGGAAGCCTTCGGACCCAGGCCAGAGAGAATCTCAGGGCGAGGGCGGGGCTCGCCGTTAGCAGTCAGGAGGTAGGGGGGAGTGAAGATCTGGCCATCGTAGTGGTTGGCAGTGCAGTTGCCGCAGAGGCCGCCGCCTGCATTCAACACTCGAGCATCGGGGAGGAGGATTGAAACGGTGTGGTATACACGCACGATGTTGTTCCGTTGCAACTTCTGGAAAGTGTCGGTCTTGGGATCGTAGATCTCTGGGACAAACTGGACGTTCTCCTCGTTGAAGGCGACACCGAATGTCTGACCACCGGCAATGAAGACCTTTCCATCAGGAAGAACCACAGTGGTGTGGAACACCCGATCGTAATGCATGGTTCCCTTTCCGCCGGCGAGTTCAACCTTGGGGGCCTCGCCTGGCTCACCGAGGGTAATGACGTGGGCGGCGTTGGTGGCCCAAGACTTATCATAATCCGGGGAGCCTCCAAGGGTGAGGATCTTTCCCTTCACGGCATCGAACATGATTGCGTTGCCAGACATGGAGTGGTCATCGTCCATACGGTATCCGGCGGGCTTGACGCTTCCATTGTTTGCGGCAGAGTACCAGTTCATCTGCTTGCTGGGGCCGGCTTGGAAGACGCTCAGGTTCTTCCAGCCAAAGAGCCAGCCATGGTTATCCGCTCGCCAAGGACCTTCCATATCTTCGGTCAACATCTCCTTAACGGACGCTCCGTCTAGCATAGTCCAGTTCCTGGTGGCAGGGTCGTAAACTTCACCATTCTTGGCAACATTCGAGGCTCCGGCCCACGAGCCTCCAATAACGAAGACCCGTCCATCAGAGAGAGTGGTTGACGCCTGGTAGCCACGGCGCAGACGCATTTCATTTGCTCTAATCCACTCATCACGCCGAGAATCATAGAGACTGGTCTCGGACGCGTCGTTGCCGCCGGTGACAACCATCATGCCGGTGCCATCATAGGAAATTCCAGGGCAGAACATGTCATGGTGGGTTTCACTGACAGTCCGCTTGGAGACGTCGCCGGTCAGTGGGTTCCACCGGGTCATGACAGTCTTGCCACCCGGGGTAGAGTGGAACTGATCGTCGGCCCAAGATGACCAAAGAGCGAGCATGCCAGATCCCTCCTGAGCACCGGAGACAGGCACGATGGGGAAATCGAGAGTAGGTCCCCAGACACCAAGGGCAGGGTCACGAGGAATAGTGTACAGAGTACCATAGATGTTCAATTCAGAGATACCAACCCAAGGGTTCTCCTCGTCGGCGTCGGTGGTAATGCGCAAGTATCGGGTAGAGGAAGGCTCAAACGCAGACATGCGCTGTCTGGTGCTATTGGGCCACATGCCATATGCAACAGGCCCGGTCCATGTTTCGTGGTCGTCGCTGGTCCAGATCTTGTGCTGGGTGATAAGGCCTTCCATCCCCGTGTCTTGGGGAGGGAGAACAACGACGGCGCCAACTTGGTACCACGCCCCGAGATCGACAATAAAAGTGTGTCCCTTTTCGGAAGGCTCACTACGCCAAGAAGTGGTGTTTTTGCCATCGATCGCATACTTGCATGGGTAGCCGCGAACAGAGCTACTGCACGTCAAGGTCCAATCTTGACGGGGGATTCGATAGCCTTGGTATGGAGGAGACTCGTCTTTGAACTCCGGGGTCCAAGAAGGCTTGTCAGCTTTTCCGAAGCCGGAAACACGCTCTCCCCTCATTGCTTGGGCCATGTATTCAGCCATACCATTGACTCCCCCAATGGAAGCCCCGAGGATAAGGCCGGCCCATTGAAGTTTCATGTTGGGCAAAGTGTCGACCAGAGAGGGAAAATATGAAGAAGTGAAGGAGAACAAAAACCTCACTTCACTTTTGACTGAAGAAAAAAATTCGTGACCCAAGGCCGCATATATGTAAGTGCTGCACTCGGCATACTCCGCTTGAAGAGGGGCACAATCAAGTTGATCTTCCACACTGCAACCAAATGGATCAATATTACGCAAAGTATGACAATTAGGGTCGATCTTTAGGGGCCCCTTTCCGCCAGTCAAGTGCATATCCTGGCGTCGCTGAATGTGGAGATGGGGAGATAGACGTCAATGGTTGACATCCTACAGCTGAGTTCACCGTGCACATTGCCTCGGTTGACTTTCCCTCTTGCATGCGGTGTATGAGCAAGACTCAAAAAATAGATCATACAGGTCGAAGATCGGCGTCATTTTCAGACGAACATATGTGGGCCTGGGACAGATACATAGTGCTGCAGGAACTCGCTCCTTACTGGATGGATTAAATCTCAGCGGGGAGGTGCACAAGACCTCGGTAATGGAACATTGAAGCAATGATTGGTTATAACAAAAGTACAACTCCATTGTCGATCGTATAATATTTGTAGCAAAAGATTCTGCAGTTCGCCAGATAGTTCGTCCTAGCGCGGTGGAACCCGGCCCGTATCCGCTGGGACGGGCCTTGAACCATTTTGAACGAATCTGATTCCTCCGATTCCTACGATTTCTCGGATTTCTTCCTCTGTTTACGTCACTTAGGTGGAATCCACAATTCAGCTGAAATTAATTTGCGATTGTCCACGATTATCCACGATTCTCCACTTCGCTCAAACTTCATCAATCGCTATCCACGCATTTTCATTAGCTCTCTGTTGCTGGCGTCGCTTGTGGACCCTTCATGGAAAAATTTGTTCAGAATGCAACGGGTATCATTGTACTGTCACTTTTTGCAAAATGAGCTCAGACCTGCGAGATGAAAAGTGGAAAGCTGAAAGCTGAAGACTATCTGATCCCCATGCCTCGCATTATTCCTTGCATGCTGCCCCGACATTGCCCTACATCCAAACTCACCAATTAAGCTTGTGTTCATTTGTTTAAGCTACCATTGGACAAATTGGACATAAAGCCTAGTGAATGATTGGTATCTGTACCTTCATCAACCCAGTGATAGCAGATCTCAGCACTCCGCCAATAAAATTATGGGTCTTATCCGCCGAGGTCGTGATAGATCCACGATGATATAATTTGTGTATCATTTGGTAAACGGGAACCCATACATATATCCAATGTGGCTGTCAAGCGGGGAAAGCCTGGACTTCGTCGATCTCTGATCGTCGAACGAACCATTAACCTGTGAAGATTCTTGAATTAGCAATTCCTTTGATTGATGAACTATGGCAGCGGTATGTGCGCAGAGTAAGGACACGCTCATCGCCTGCGCCAATCCTGTAACCCAGTGGCTGGCTAGAGGATGTAATATATGGTTTCTCTCTAACGCAGGAGCTGCTCGTGCAGCCCGATATGGCTACGATCGATGCCTTGAGGACTCAGTGGGGTATGTGTGCCACCGACATCCATTACCAATGGCGCTTGTCCAATTCGTCTCCTCTTCGATGGACGACGATCTAACCCGGTGAAGGAATGATACATGCGGTTCAATCACAATCCGAGATTCAGCTGCCCCGCCCCATTCGTTAGTTTTTCGAACATGAACATGCAGGTAGCTATTTGCCTTGCCCATAAGATAGGCTGCAACCTCACTTTCTCATATAATATCCCCATCCCCTCAGGCCGGCTTGCGTGATTCTAGAGTAAATTCATTTGCTTCGATTCGCACACTCATCTGGAGTGAAACTTTCCATAATGAGTCTTACTCCCGCCATCAAGGCGAACATCCAGGGAGATGTTTGGTAAGTTTCCTATGATGCCTAGTCTTTTCAGTCCGCATGTCTTTCACAATGGCTTATCTCTATCATTAGGCCTGGCCTTCCCAAGAGATTCCAATCATTCCTGTTTTTCCGCATTCGAAACAAGGTTGATTTCAAGAGCCGGCTCAAGACATTCATTCCCAAGATCACCACTGCCCAGCAGGCTTGTCAGATGAATGAAATAATTAAGCAGGCAAGAGAAGAGGCCGCGCGGAGCAAAAGGTCGGCTAAGCTTCAAGCTTTGCCTGGAATCAACATTTCATTTACTTCCACCGGCCTTGAAGCAGTAAGTTCATTCTCACATCAGTTCCCACTAACACCGGACTATTGTTGATTGATTCATAGCTTGGTGCATTTGTGAATGTGAATGATCAAGGTCTCGTTAAGAAAGATAGAAAGCTTTCTCAAGTCTTCCGAAACCAACAACTCCGTGGTGGGCTCTTTGAAAAGGGCATGTACGCGGATCTCGTTGGCGAGGGATGGGACAACCCCCAGGAGTTGCGAAAAGAATATCACCCTACTAGTGATAATCAAAGACTTATCGATGGTGTCATCATGGTGACCTCCAGCGTGAGATCTGAGTTGGATGCTAAGGTTAGCGAAGTCAAGCAACACTTCCTAGCGGAGGAAGGAGAGCCTCTCAACCCAGATACATATGTCATCAGCAAGGACCCTTCAATCGAGTTGACCTTGGTGAGAGATGGAAAGGTCCGCCCCGGTGACAAGAAAGGAAAGGAGCAGTAAGTATCTCAAAGAGATTTTAAATTATTTATGGGGATCCAGACTCACCTTTCCTGCTCAGCTTCGGATTCAAGGACGGCATCAGTCAGCCTATCATCGAGGGTTGGGATGAGAAGCAGCCTACAGGAAAGGAGCCAAAAGCCACAAAACCAGGGTAAGAGCGATTGAAGGATTGTATTTCCACAGGATATTGACGAATAATAGATTGATTCTTTGCGGATATGAGGGTGACGATATGTCTCAACCGAAATGGGCCAAAGACGGCAGTTTCCTTGTCTTCCGTGATCTTCAGCAACTTGTCCCTGAGTTTGAGGAGTAGGTGGCCTATGTTTGATTAGTTCTTACCTATCGAAAGTTTTATGCTGACCTAGTATCTAGATTCATGGAGGAAAATGCTCAACACGCCCCCTTTACCCAGGATCACCCCAAACCAGGCGAGAAGCTTGCGGCATACCTGATGGGAAGATGGAAGAACGGTTCGTTACAAAAACATGATACCAACGGCGCGCGTTCATTTGCTTATCATAAAATCGTACAGGCACACCCGTTGATGAGTCCCCCCACGATGACTCTGACGAGAGCCTGCACTCATCAAACAATTTCGATTACCACCCCGTCAATGAGCACAAGAAGTGTCCCTTCGCGGCCCATACTCGCAAGATGAGACCCCGCGCTGACCTGGATCACGACCATGCTGTCATTATTCGTCGTGGTATTCCCTATGGCGAAGAAGTCACGGCCGAGGAAGCTGCCGAACGCAAATCAGCTCAAGATAAAGAGCGTGGACTTTTGTTTGTTTGCTACCAGAGCGATATCCGCAATGGATTCAACTTCCTAACTACCCGTAAGTGCTTTAAACTTGCACTACTGTTCGACAAAGGGCTTATTACTAACAAATTTCTTTTCTTATGCAGGCTGGGCAAGCAACCACCATTTCCCCGATCGCAAGAGCAATTTCGTCGGTGGGGAAGGACCTGGTATTGATGCTATTGTGGGTCAGAGACTTGATCATCACCCACCTCGCTCTATCGGTCTTCCTGATGGCAAATTCCCCACGGAGGCCCGCATGCCCCTCGAAAGCTGGGTCATTCAGAAGGGTGGCGAATACTTCTTCGCTCCCTCTCTGTCAGCGCTAGAGAATGAGCTTACAGGTCCCGGTATCTTTGACCAGGAGGCGTTGGAGCGCCTTCGTGAGGAAGACGAGTAATAATGAGAGATTGGAAGGCCGTCCATATAGTTACTCCGTACAATATAGTCGGCATGGCGTTTGATTTGTCGAAGGCCATTTATGCATGGGTTTTGTTTATGGGTTTTGTTCACATCTCATGCTCGGGTGGGTGTTATCTCCCCAACTACAAATACTTTTTACAAAATAGCTTCAATATTCACGACTTACAGAGATTAGATAAATTAAATCCTCTACAATGAGAATTGTACCATTTTGATTGGTTATTTTTCCTTATCTGCTTAATCTGTTTGATGCAGTTTGATGCAGTTTACCGATATTAATTGTCCAATGTACGCAATCTGATTATCCCCCGCTTCTGCTGATCACTCTCTTTTGGGCCGACGCTGCCACTTCTTTTCAAATAAGCGACCTTCTTCGACTCGTTAAATTATCCCTCCACCCGCTAGACATTTCTTCATCCTTCTTTGAGCCGTATTCGCCAAAGCAACAGAGCTCGACTTATCCACATCTCAATATGACAATTATCTTCTTGAAATTCGCGGCAAACCCCGCCTCTGTGGAAAATGTCATCATCGTCACTGACACTCTTCAAAATATGAATCCAAAACTGATGGAGACGGCTCGGACCCAAGACAGTATCACACTTTCTTCTCCAGACGAAAGAGTCGATATCTACGGCAACATCTTTGAAAAATGGGCGTCTATGGACCCTCCTATCATTGCAACTTACAACATGTCGGGTGATCCGTACCCCTTGCTGTCTGGCTTGTAATTGTTTTGAGCTATGGTTTACGCGAGCTATGGTTTACGCGGGCGCAGACCAATAAAAGAAGGGGGAATATGATTTTATAATCAAGGAGTGTTCAAAAATTATCTCGCCTCGGGACATGGGATCGGAAAAGCAGAACATTTTCGCAAGATCGTTATAAGAGCCGCCTCAGAGAAGGAGCCATGTCTTTTAATCTATTCGTCGAATCTCCCCAACACCACGACCCTCACTATATGATTGGTTATCAGCGAGTGCTATATCCAACTTTCTTGTCAAATGGCCGAAAATCTCTCGCCAGGTCCGTCACCTTACGCCTTGACGTGTAATGGATGAGGCAAGTCATAACCTTTTCAACCGGGTTATCATCATGCTGATTTGCTTTGCGAATCATAGAGTCGTCTCAATCAAACGACGATCCTGAACTCTGGATACGCGTCATTTGAGCATTTTCCGATATATCCCCGCCAAAGACAACCAGATTCCACATCCCGTTTCTGGTAAGAAGGGATTGAATGTGCCATGGACTTGCTGTGAGGAAGGAGAGTATTCGTTGGCCGGCGACTCGTGAAGTCCCATGCCGGTGTGACGATAATGTTGGGCCGATGTTAAAGGCTTAAACCGGACGAGGATGTGTTTTCTTCTTGGAGTGTAATATTGAAACATTGCCGCTTTGATGATTCTTGTGTGGCTCCTGGATCTGTATCTTTAGGGCACACGCCCTCGACCATTCATTTTGTCAAATAAAACACGATGTTTCGCTACTTCAAGACGTCCGCGTCTTGGTAGGTATGCAATGTGCTAGTGGCTTCCTTACACTCGACCATCGAAGCAAGCCTCTAGCATGTTTTGTGCCTATTTTGGGTGCTGATGTCCATGCCTTGCCCTGCCTTGGGTGATTGGGTATGTAGCACAACTCGATTCTGCGGCGGCAATATTTGACAGAGTCTTCGTCCAAAATCCGCTTCGTTAGACTCAATATGATACCTTTTCTTGCTTAAAATTTGAACAGCATAAGGTAGACCGGTCATCATGCGTTATCTCAAAACGCATACCGGTGAAAGATCGCTTTGATCAAATCTATTCTCCCTCTGCGATCGCCGCCAAATTGGGGCGACAGTTCCACGTATTATCGCGCAAGTATTCCTCGCTCCACCGCTTCGGATTATGTATCTTGCATATACCATGCTGCTTGTGCGCTGTCGGACGTGATCGGCGTTGCTATGCTATGGATGCAAGCTCAATTAAGATGACCTTTGGTCATACCTCCGTCTGAGTTTGTGTCAACATTAATCCCGGACTGCATGATCTGAAGTTTTGGAACGCATCCCCAAATCAATTAATTTGGTGTTCTTACGCACTGACACAGACTCATGAGAGTTGACGAAATCGAGAAGGTTGTGTCCGCTTCGTGCTTTTCCAGGTGTGGCTACTTGGTATTGATGTGGGTTGCAATTTTTCAACACGAACTCCCGGTGAATTCCGCTATTCGATACATGTTCTATCTCGCTAATAAATAAGCACTACAACTTCTCAAAATAGGGTACGTCATACCGTGCATCGTTTGATTACATATGTATATTCCTCTATTACAGTGGACGCATTGTAGTGACAAAAGATGACGTTACCTCGAACTCGAAAACCGAATCAACAATCACCGTATGCAGGGAAAGCCACAAAATGCTAGGGTGGGATTGGGACGTTGTGCAACCCTCTAAATAGATCTCACGTCTTCTAACCCGACTCAAAGTCTGATGACCCTTGGCATTCGCGTCGAGAGATGTACTTCGTACACATACACTCAAAAGGACATATAAATATCCTATAGAATCCCGTGCTTCATTGGAAAGCAAATCTTGTGATTGAACATTCATTCCGCTATCGTCCTATCAAAACTACGCTCTCGATACTTCACATGCAAAGTCACTATGTCGACACACCTCGCGCAGATCCAGGCCTTCTGGGATAGTTCGAAGCGAACAACCACACAAATGGATGTTGCTATGACTGTGGGTGGAGAGTTAGACTCACTTGAAACACCCCACGTTGTTGCAGTGGCAAGGCATTTGGTTCATACTGTTCTCGGTCAAGCCGATGTGATTTTAAAACGCGTGGAAGACAGTATTGCAGTACTAGACTAACCACTTGGCAAATAAAGAGGATGTTCATGGTGCGTGCGCAGTTGTTGTTGGATTGACACTTTAAGAGCCCTGATTGTGTCTAGGTGTCAATACTGGGTGTGGTGGTAACGCCGGCAAACGCACAAAAAACCTTGAACTGCTTCAAAACTCATTTTTACAGCATCACCAAGCGTGTATCTTGCCCGGAAACATGAAAGGTGTCACAATGACTATGCTATACCGCGAGGCATTACGCGTGGGACAATGTTGCTACGATGCAACTCGTTACTTCGGGGACACTCAGCAGTAAGGATGGAGTTGATCAAGCTACTGATCAAGAGTCTCAATGGGGGATCACTCCTCTAATTCCTTCAAGAGGTAGTTTATCTGCCTCAGGCCATCTGTCTCCACTTTCCTATCTTGGGGGTCTGCTGGAAGGGAACCCAGATATCTTCATGCAAATCCGCCCCAAACATGCAGATAGAGAGGCTGAGGTGTTATCAGCTGCAGATGAACTTTGACAGGCAGGCATCACTCCCTTGGATTTGCATGCTAAGGAAGCCCTAGGAGTGATGAACGGAGCTGCTCCAAGTGCTGCTGCCGCCACTTTGGTCTTGTACGACGCAAACAATCTCGCTGTACTCATTCAGATATGACTGCAATACATCATTTTATCTCAAAGTGTCGCCCAGACCCAGGCCAAAAGGAGGTCGCCACTTATATCCGTTCATTTCTCGGTGGATCTCAACTCAGCCAGAACATGAACGTCAAGCGGCAAGGATTGGTTGAAGACAGGTATGCCCTACGTACTGTCCCTCGGTGGATTGGGCCTGTGCTCAAAGACTTCTCGTTCGCACATCGTCAGATCACCATCGAATTGAACTCATCAACCGACAATCCATTGATTGATGTGGATGGAGACTGTTTCCACCATGGCGGAAACTTTCAAGCCGCATCTATTATATCTGCAGTTAAGAAAACAAAACTCGGTTTAATGATGCTCGGTAGGCTGCTTGTATCGCAGTGCCAGAAGTTGATCAACCCTTTCCTCAACCAGGGATTGTCTCCCAATCTCTGCTTCGATGGTCCTAGTCTCTCGTTTAACTGCAAATAGATCAACAATAATATGTCATCCTATCTATCAGAGTTGGTATTCCTCAGCAATCACATTATAAGTCATGTGCAGTTTATAGAGAAGAACAACCAATGAGTCAATTCTCTGGCGTTTGTTGCAGCTCGGTATGCGGTTCAATCTGCAGACATTGTCACAATGATATGTTCCTCCCGGCTATATGTACTTTGCCAAGCACTGGATCTGCGTGCTTTGGACAGGGTCTTTTTCAATGCAGCCAAGCCCGAACTATCGGCGCTCTACCGCCGTACCGGGCCTGAGACTATTACTCCGGTTATATTTGACCAAGCTTGGGCTGGTATCACTGCCTCGTGGCGCAAGCATAATGAATTCGACATCCAAGTCCAGAGTGAGGAGGTGGCTGCGGATCTAGCTCATGAGATCTTGGACGATCTGATAACCTCTGCTTCAAACACCTCATCATACGGACCTATACCAGCATAGAAACATGCTGTGGCATCCGCTTGAGCCAAAATACATGATTAGACACGCCAGAAGTTTTCATTGGTTCCATCTACTCCTAAATGCCTAGCACTATCCACAAGGGAATTGTATCTGTGAGTCCGCCATACTCTGAGGTCCCTTTGCATCGTGGGTTGGTGGATCATCCTTCCGCAAATGATCGATCCAAGAGGACGATTTGAACAAATATCACAAAGGTCTACACGGGAACTAAATCAGGACAAGTCGTTGAACCGCTACAAATTGCAGCTCAAAAGTCAAAGTGGTGACCAATTTGGACTTTTGTGCTCAAGTTTTCATTTCAAACCGAAAAAAAGGCTCCTAGGACTTTGATCCTTTCACCTTTCATCTTTGCTCTCCACCGGTGAAAAGCATGAGTTTTAGTTTCTTACGGCGTGTGCGATTGTGAAAATAAGGGACGCAATTGAGGACTGCGACTAGATTTCAAACCCAGGAGCTAAGTCAAAACATATATGATTTGTACAACATAAGAATTTATAGCACGCCATCTTTCAACATCCAATCTTAAATCGAGCCTTGGGACATAATCATCATTTGACTATATGCAAGGAGATTTGTGTATTGTTTTTGGTCATTTGGCTACGATAGAGTTGGTAGTTCGACAAATGCGGTTGACATCACAGTGTCGCACGTTGCAGAACATCAAATATATGTAACACAGTCATCACCAGGCATTTCCACTGTATTTAAGTTCTCAAAGCTCCCTGGCCAACCCATGGATCTAGTGATTTCATTGATCAAGATTTTGCTTAAGTACGGGTATAAAGTATTAACAAACTGACATGACCCAGGACGAGAAACGACTCTACAAGCCCGAGGAGGCAATCTTTGTATGCCTATCATATTTTTTCCTATCTATTGGAACTGATTTCTGATTGTTTAGTAGCATAACGATGGCCGGGAGGAACGACTTCTCGAATTCATTCGATCTCATCCTGATTACGACCAAATGCACGGCGATCCGAAGCTAATTTTGGCCGCAATTGATGAGTACGGGCATAAATGCGCCTTCCTGATGAACGTCGGATCTGAGAAAGGCAAGATTGTAGCCGAGAAACTCATCCCCGAGCTGAAGCCTGATTTCATGGTCGAGCTCGGAGGGTATTTGGGTTACTCAACTTTACTGTTCGGCAGTGCTTTGAAGACCACAGGTGGTCGCAGATATCTCAGTCTTGAAGCAAGTCCCAAGTTTGCAGCCATCTCACGTGCACTTGTCCAGCTAGCTGGTTTGGACGATATAGTCGAAGTTCGTGTTGGTCCGTGTCGCGAATCTCTCCGCAAGCTGCGGCAAACTTATCCGACAGGCGTGGTCGATGTACTTTTCATCGATCATGCTAAGCTAGAGTATGTTAATGATCTGAAGCTCTGTGAGGAGCTCAATCTTGTCGGTCCAGGGACTACTGTTATTGCTGATAACGTGATATCGCCTGGTGTCCCTGACTACTGCGAATATGTTCGAACGCCAACTAGCCATAAGATTGAAAAAGTACAGAATGAGAAACTGTCATTTTTAAATGAGGACAGCCGCGACAGGTCTTTTGGAAATCCATATTTGGTTTATGAAACTAGGCTGATCGATAGTTTTCAGCCAACTGGCGAAAAGGTAGGTTTCGCTCTTGTCAGCTCAAAAGCGATTCTGTACTAAATCCTTGAAGGACAGCTTGGAAATATCACGCTGCGATAGAATCGAGGAACATGACGGTACTGTGGTTACAGACTAGGGCGACAAAGAAATAGTGATTGAAATTGTGGACTATTCTGCCTTGCGCTGCGTTCTTACAGCCAAATTCGAAATTATTCCAGTATAAGTGGCTAGCAGATGAGAAGTTGGTACTTTTTTAATGACTCTTATCAACTATTTTATCGTGATTTATGAGAGCAGACTGATATTTTCACTGCTGCGGTGCTGCTCTTCTCGCGTTTGGTGCAAGTGATGTAGAGTTCAATGTGAGATTGCCATTGCGTTATGTAAATCAAGCTTCTCGTTCTTGGCCCAAGACAACCGATCGTATGGTCGAACCCGGTCACCACCAGCTATGAAGAAAGCAAATTCATCGCCAGCCTCTTACCTGATCAAGAAGAACACTCAGCACATGTCCATTTCTCCATCTACCTCCGGAGACAAGTCGCCGGTCCCATCAAGCGGTGGAGCAAAGACCGAGACACCGCTGATGAGCTCATCGGGATTGGCTATCTCCCGAATACACTGAGCTCCGCAAATAAAGTTGATTGGATACCTAGAGCCATAGTTGTAGAAGCCCTCTCGGAATCTTATCCGCAATTATGACAGGGATGGGAAGAGTCCGTGAATAGAAAACAAGGTATTATCGTATTGTGGATTTGCTTCGTATCCAATACTCGATGTTCGTTTCTTTCTTGGCAAGGCGCGTTGGATTGCGGTATTGAAATTGTTCGTTGTACACGAGTGGACCTCTTGGCATATTAGGGACTGGATACCACGTTTCCGGGCCTTCTTGGCCTTCTTCAGGGGCGGCTAGTCAAATGCCAAGATCCTCTCATTTGGAATGCGGTTTTTGCCGAGAACTATCGCCCCATTTGGGTAATTCGAAGACCTATCAGAGTTGAATGGCTGAACATGTGGCTTGAATGGCTTGTCACTCGAGGTTTGCCTCCCCCTTTTCTATTTTAGGAAATTCGTACAGGTTTTGAACCAGGAGAAACAAGTTAGGAACAGATCAAGTTTGCTTATTGCATATGGACAGCGTCATGTGGATTTCATGTCAGGATCAAGTTTCGGTTTCTCAGCAATTGAGTTTATATGTACAACCGAAGTTATCCCCGGGTCTCTGCCATCAAATACCAAACGTAATGCGACGCTCCAATCGATCGTCCCTAGAACCAAAAAAAAAAAAAAAAAAAAAGAAATGAAGGTGAGAGGAAAATGAGCTCGGAAAAAATCAACATAGAAGGGAAATAGATGCAAAATATGACATGTAAATGTAAATGATACCAAAATTGACATAGACCCTTGACATAAAGCAAAGGCCACCAGGGCATTGCTTCGTAAGAATCATTCCATCACTTTTCCGAACGAAAGGACCACAAAAGAAATTATACAGTCGCCATAGGGATGCTGGTCATGGGCAGCTGCGGTGCAGCTTGCTCATCCTCTTCAAATACGAACTTCTCCAACTTTTGGGCCATTCTTGCGCAGAATGGGTCAACATATTTGGTCCACATGGATGCGATGAAGTAAACCAGCGCAATCCAGACCGGAATGCTGATCGCGACAACCCAGGGTGCGCGGAGAGGGATCCAGTGAGGGTGGAGGGGCTCGCCATCATCGCCGTAAATGGGGTTACCGTTGTCGTCGACAATATCACCATCCCAAGGCTGCCCGGTAATTCCGTAAAGCATCCAGCACAGCACGGTACGGAGGAGGGTGCCATGCACCAGGTAAACGGCAAAACTTTGCTTTCCAAGCCAGAGAAGGAGGCTGCTGGATAGGAATTCTTTGGTCGAAGGGGAGATATAGATCGCGAAGATAATGAGGTCGACTCCGAGAGCGGAATAGCGCTTGCCGATATTGACCTCTGGCGGGAAAATGTAGGCGGCAGCTTGGTACATGTAATTTGACCATGTAGCCCACTCGGGGTGTTCTCCGGGGTATGAACAGACGAAGAGTCCGATAGAGAGCAGGGTAAGTGCAACGATCTTGCGGCCCCAGCTGTGGCGCTCAACGAATTCCTTGAACCCCTTCTCATACGAGAGGTCACTGAGGAACATGCCGTAAATTGCTTGCATCTGGAAGGTTTCTGTGATTTATGTTAGAATAACCACAAGAGAACCCTTTTTCTGAGGGCAGACTAACCGGTATTCTTTGCTGCGTCCTGGTGGAAGTAAAGGTACATTCCCAGGTAGACAACTAGACGAAAGCGGAATTTCACGAACATAGTAGCACAGATGAGTACGTAGATCAGCATGGACGCCTGGAGCAGTGGGAGCAAAGCCCACTGGTGATCATCGTATGCCATGTATCCCGTGGTCCAAACCTCCAGGAAGGTCTTGAATAGGCGAACGAACTCGTCCCAGAACGTAGGCGCCAAGTCGACGGCGGCGTATCGGCACCACCAACAATCTGAACGATTAGCCACGACAAATGCGCCAAATTGAGCCATGATCCACGAGATGATCAACGCGATAGTGGCGGGGAATATAAGACGCGGGGGTCGACGGAAGGCACTCTTGGCCACCGATGTAAAAGATCCGAGGATGTCTCCATTACGAGACTGCTTCAGTGGCTTGAGAGCGCAGACATAGCCAGTTAAGAAAGCAAAAATCGTGACGCCCAAACGGCCTTGCCAAGGAATACGGAAGACGGGCCACTGCAGGATTCGAGGAGGGGTGTCCACATCGTCGCGAGGAGCGAAAAGGTCGTAATCCCAAGCTCGGGCAAGGTGTGTTAGGACAACTAAGAAAGATGCGATTCCTCGGAGGCCCTATAATTATGTTAGTGTTGAACCTCCTCCCCTATAAGGCTGGGCTGCAAACGCACATCAATCCACTTCACACTTTTCCGCGGATCCCCTTTCACCGATGGATCTGCGGACTTCCAAGGCACGTTGTCCAATATGCGAGAGTAAAGTTGTTGAGGTTGGATGTAATCCATGATAAGTGTTGTAAAGACTGACAGAGAAACTGAGAAAGCTGGAGGGGCGACTTGAGGTGTCTAGCGAGTTGGTTGGATTGGAAAGGCGAATGTGACCATAAACATTAAAAGCCAAACAGGAACTCAAAAAATGCAAATACAACTTCTGAAGAATAATCAAGGAGGGACAGACAAGGATAAGGACAGGTCTATAGATGGAGAGCCCAAAAATTCGAAACACCAGCCCCCATAGATCAACGAGCGCAGACGAAAAGGATTCAAAGATGGAAGAAGCTAAGAAAGCAGAATGGGGTATATGTAAGAGAATCCGAATCAATTCACACCCAGAAGTTGAAGATCGGGACTTGGCCAAGCGGAAAACGGTACGAAGCGGTCAAATCAGCGAAGCGTGCTATGTATGTATCGCGTGGGGACAGGCGCAGTGGGCCTTCAATACAAGTTCCAAACCCTTGATATGGCAAGGTGGATCTAATCCCCAAGCAGGAAGGCAGCTACTTTTGTGAGACCCCGGATACTGCTAGAAAAACAAAAAAGAAAGCACCTCCTTGCCCGCTCGTTTACCGTATTCTTTTACGCTCCGCTGTACAATTACTATTCAGATGCTCGGATTGATGGCGCGATAGAGATCAAATCAACACTTGATTACTTTTAGGGCCGCGTAGTCGTTTGACCAGCGTTACCTTGCCGTCGGGAGTTGGCATCGTTCTTGTCCGAGCAATTGAAAGGGGAAGATGGAGTCTCTTCAAGAACACGTAGCAGATTGAAGCTATCCGATGTCTCTCCATGCCCAAAATCAGCTATCAAGATCAAAAAGCTGACGACGCTCTGCAGAATGAACATTATCCTACCAATAAAGGACCGGTGTTCATCCCATGTTAACCATGGCTAAAAGCCGCCTCAAATTGCGCAACTTCGAATCGGAATCTGTGTTTTGAATTAATTTTTTTTTGTTTTTTGGTTCCCCCACAGGGACCTACAGGAATTGGCGTTACTCCCGTGAACGCTATGACTGCCACATTGCTGTAGTTAAGGGACGGAATTTTAAACATCATATTTACCCCTATATTTCTGCCGAAAACGAAAGCGAGTAGCCAACAGTGGTTTTTTTCTGTCTGCTCACGCGTGTTATTCAATACATTTTAGTCCTGTTCAACTATTCCGAATTGCACGACTTTGTGGACAAATGGCGTCATACGGTCGAAACATTATCTGCATTCATAGTGAACATCACTAACTTCTACTCCGTACTCGTTCATGAATGTGAAGTTCGTTAATTAGAAACACCAATCCTTTTCATAATTATGTAACTAGTTACTCCGTACCCATTCGGACATGTACCGCCACCTGAATTTATTTAGTGAAGCCCAACCCATTATTAGCTTCTGTGGCCAATAGAACCGATACAACTCTTGGCTTAAAAGCCATGTGATATTCTAAGTCGTGGATTGATTAAGGTCTAATCCTAGCTCTCGGCACTATTGAAAGATTGGGCCCTTCTGGAATTAATTTTGGAAAATTCAATCCAACTGTTTTCTGCCCTGTGATATCCTCGTCTTGGCGATCTACAAACCCTGAATAATTGCTCCGTTCTGCCTCGGTTCAGGGTTATTTATAACTATGGAAACTCGTGCATAAGGTAAGAACTATCTGATAAATCTCGCGAACTATAATTGGAGAATATACAGTAGTTTATTCAAGGCCAAATAATGTAGGTACCATATCATACTCCGGGTTGAAGGGTATAAATTCCGCACAGTCGGGTAAACTAGCTTAGCCCTATGAGGTTGGAGTGCGGGATCCCCTTTCCGCGACTTGTCAATATGTGTTTGTCCATTATTTTTATCATCCCGCGGCTCTTGGCGCCCCATATGTTTTTTATGGAAAAACCCGAAAATTCAAGGGTCTAGTCAAAAAAGGGTAAGATCGTCCGTCATATGCAAAATAAGTGGCGGTTTCCCTTGCATTTTTACAGTAAAAAGACCTCTGTACGTTGTAGGTAGGGTGTACAGGGGGCTCTTTGATTTTATTGATATCCCCGACTTTTCGGAGATACGTATTTTTGTTTGAAATTCTCGGGTTTCACTCCAAACATGACTTTCCTGTTTCCAAAACGGACACCTTTCCGTCTATTTTATTGGCCATCAACATTGTATGAACATTGTATGAGACCCTTCAGGCCTGCGCTTTGGCACCGGGTATCTCGGAGCCCCACTTTCGCTTAGATTCCTTAACAAATGGTCTCAAGAGCAGTATTACTATGTGAGAGATGTACTACTGGCAGAATGTACTCCGTGTAGCTATCCATTTTATAATTAACTAGTTAGTAACTATGTATCAGATTCCATTATTTCAGGGTTACATTGTAAAGTGACGTGGATCCAAGTCAATTCAAATCAGACTTGGCAGAGAAACCCGAAGGCAATTCGCAGCCAAGATCACGCAATTTTTAGTCTTTCAACCGACATATCCATTTTAGTTATGTCCGAGATTACCCCTTAGTTTAGGGCTTGTCAGGCTGGGGATCTTTAACGTGTACATTATTGTACTCCGTACTCCGTACGTGAGGTCCATCTGCGTATCCCCATCTGGTCACATCATCAATTCTCAGAATGCGGGTTGTACATCGGTTTTTGGCGTTTTTCACTTTCGCGTTAGCATCGGCAACGATCCTTGAGAACGGCCAAGTTAGAGAGAATGCTTATCCCGGGCAAGTATCAACAATAGCCTTGGATGATTCTTGGAGAACCTATCCGCCGAATGCTCCGGAGATTTCCTACAAAGGTCGATGGGATAGCAAGCACGTTTCCTGTATGCCTCCCCACATTATTCTTCCCCGGAATTATTTATTTTGGCTTCATGCTAACAAACGTCAGGGTGGTCGTATGTCTCACCTTTATTTTTCGTCTAATGCATTAGCTGATCACATGGGATAGCGCACCGGGACTCAAAGTTGAATTCTCTGGGGATAAGGTGCGCCTTTTTTTTCCATTCCGATCAACTTTATCGGGTCCACATGTTAATCCCTTTTCTAGCTTGCTCTCAGCTTTGGCCAAAGCACCACTCCGGGTGTTCTGGTAGCTTACCGGTATGTATACACAGTCTCTGTCGCCGTTTGCTTTGTGATATCTAAATCTCAATAGTATTGGCTCTCTCGATTGGCAATTTTCTAATGTTACTGCCGACTCAACGTATCAATTTGTTGGCCCGTGGTCAGAGCTTAAGGATGACGAGGAGATTCCTGAAAAGAATGTGTTTGAGATGCGAGGTATGCAACCCATGGGAATTTATCATAGAACATTCACTAACTACATTCCAGTGACAAATTGGGGCTTCGGATAAGTCTTCACTAATCCTTCATTGAGTTTGTGGCTAACAATTCACACAGTTCAAATTGCCGGCGTCGCTGTTGCTAATAATGCTGCTATCTACAAACCTCCCACTTTCGGGAAGAGAATTGAAATCATCGGTGGCTCGTGAGTTTTGCGTCGTCCTGCGAATCACAATGACGTTCCACTAACTTCGTGGAGGCTTGCATCTGGTCAATTTGCAACCTATGAGACACTTTCTTCCTGGTCATTCCTCTTTGCGAATGGTTTGGGTAATGTCGAGTACGGAATTACAGTCAGTCTTTCCACCTGGTATGAATTCCACATGGTATTGACACATTCTTCTCCAGGCTTATCCCGGGGTTTGCCTTGCAGACCTCCAATGCTACGGTGGCGGTACTCATGGCGTGGTACGATGCTACCCATCCAAACTAATCATATCGATCAATTGCTTGCTAACACTGTCTAATTTAGCAATGGTTCTGGCACCACGCCTCAGACCCCGGCTCTCGTGCCTCTGCAACTTATGGCCACGAGCCTGAGAATTGGGACCTTGGCGCAGAGCAGCCCGCCGACTTGGTGATCATCCAAATGGGTGGTAACGATCACCGTCATCCAAACGAAATTCCAGGGACAAACTACTACCACGCTTACGTCGACTTGATAGATGACATTCACTCTATCTGGCCCAATGCTGTGGTGATTCTCATGGTATGTTGAAAATCAAATATATCTGTCTATCGCAATGATTCTGCGAGATGTACATTTCACTAACTCTCTCAGTCTCAATGGGGAGGTTTTACCAAACAAGGGAAGAACTACGTCGGTAGTACATACTACCTAGAAGAGACTAAGCAAGTCCACGAACACTTCAAGGACCGTGGCTTTGTCTACTATTTCCCCACCGAGGGTCTCCTGGCACACAACGACATCAACCCCAAGAACCATCTTACTGATGTGGGTCATGTGAAGATTGCCAGTCACCTGCTACAGTGGGTGAAATTGGTGCTTAGGTGGAAGCTTGAGCCCACGGGCGAAGTCCAGTCTGGGACTACCTACTGGAATGATCAACAGGAGTATTGATTTCTTTTTAAAGACTAGATTTGGAGCTGAGGATTGGATCGGCTCTTGTACATTTATTGTTGAATATTTGACGACATTGTGAATAGAATTGACGGACATAGGTTCTTGCTTCTGAAGCTCAATTTTCACATTTCTAAGCTCCTCCTATGGCAGAGTTAAAATTTCATCCTTTCATTCCAAGCGGAGGTAGTTTTATGTCGACACTCAGTATTGACCATTTGATCATATGAACAGATCTAGCTTTAACCGCCGCCCTACGGGGTATTGATGCTTGTCTATCCCCATTTTATGCAATGACTGCAAGCAAATGCAACAGACGGAACGATAACATAGAGCACAATGCAACAGCTACCCAGCTGATCTAATCACTACTCGGTCAACTTCCGAAAGATGCCTCTTCCCCAGATTAGCACCCCGCAACCTTAGCAGTGCCGGAGAGAATCCCGGTGCATCGCCAAGTCTGAAGTTTACCAATGACAGTGGAAGATGTACGCCACGATATATCTGTCGCTGGTGAGCTCGGCAAATGTCCGGCCATCACACGCCCTTCCAGGCCTTACTTCACTTGGCACACTCTGCGAAAAGAGCATCTTTCAACATTCGATAACTCCAAAGCAACCTGCACTTCCCTTGGCTCAGTGAAAGAGGTCTGATCACTTAGTCGATGAGATCTTCGCCGGCATGCGAGTGGTGGGGAAGGTAGTATTGCAACTTTGACCTTTTGTACGTGGTGCTTGAATACTACAGCGATTCTGGTTAAGCTCGCGCAGCCCTCATGATCCCTGTTAAACCGCCTCCCGCATGAAATCCCTATGCCCTCGTAAATATTTCAACCTCGGTGGTTACAAAAAGGTCGAAAGTTCCACTGAATTTGCCCAGTGTTTTTCTCTGTCCGCTTTGCTGACAACGGCACTCGATATCCTGCCTCATTTACGCATAAAGGAGTCATTCCGTATATTTTTGATCGCGAGATGGGTTTATTTAATTGTCTGGGTCTGTCTGACACCCCCAAAGAAGTATTCAACTATCATCTCTTTTGGTCTGTGGGAGTCTTTGGTATCGTACCATTTCCAAGATCTTGTTGGTCTATATTAACAAAATGATAACAGGTATTCTCGGCGCGGGAAGAGGAATCGACGAAGGCCTGGTCGGTGGCATGATCTCACTCAAAAGTTTTAAGGATGAATTCCCGTTAGAAGTCGGTTCCGCTGCAGAGATCGCCAATCGTGAATCGAACATCACGAGTATGGTTCAACTAGGCTCTATAGGCGGCGCTCTGCTGGCCTTCATCCTGTGTGATCGAATTGGGCGCGTCAGATCTTTGCAAGCTCTCACTCTTCTCTGGGCTATCGGTTTTGTCATTGTTATCACCAGCTTTGGCAACATTGGACAAATTCTCGCCGGCCGTCTGATTGCTGGACTGGGCGTTGGTATGACTACTGTAGTTGGCCCAACATATCTAGCTGAGGTCGCTCCAAAGGAAATTCGTGGCATGCTCACCAATATCTTTGCTGGTGCTGTATATCTTGGTGTCATGATCGCGTACTTTGCGAATTGGGGTTGTTCAGAAAACATATCAGACTCTTCGCGTTCTCAGTGGGTAATCCCGCAATCAATCCACATAATGTTCGCAGGGTAAGGACCTCAACATCTCTATATTTAGACTTTATGTGAAATGCTGATCATTTCTTTCATTGAAGGGTAATATTTTTTGCGTCTTGGACCGTTCCCGAGAGTCCACGCTTTCTCGTAATGAGTGGAAAGCAAGAAGAAGCTCTCAATAACCTTTGCACCCTTCGCCAACTACCAAGTGATCATCCAAGTATCATGTCTGAGATTCTTGACATTCGCGATCAGCTCGAACACGAGCAAGAAAGTACCCGTGGCTCATCATTCTGGGGGAAGCTCAAGGAGCTTATCACAATCCCAGCGAATCGTTATCGTTTGATGCTCGGTGTTATGTCACAACTCCTGGGCCAATGGTCCGGCGCGTCAGCAATTACTATTTATGCCGCCAGCTTCTTTGCTGCTCTTGGCAAAACCGGTCAAAGCGAAAAGCTATTTGCTACATGCATTCTCGGAATCGTCAAATTTTGCTCCGCGTATATTTGCGCATTCTTCCTCATTGACTTCCTCGGCCGGCGTCGCTCCCTGTACACAGGAATCACCTTACAAACTCTTGCAATATGCTATATTGCAATCTACATGGCCAAAGTCCCAGCCTCAGCCCACGTCTCAGAGACTAGCGAAATTACAGGGTCTGCTAAGCGTGCGGGCATCGGGGCTATTGCGGCAATCTATATTTCCGGCTTAGGTTGGGCAATTGGCTGGAACTCGTTTCAATATCTGGTCAACGCAGAAATTTACCCTAGTCGCCTGCGCGCAATAGGCTCATCTATTGTCATGTGCATCCATTTCGCTAATCAATTTGGTAACACCAAGGCTGTGCCGAGTATGGTCCTTGCTATGGGAAATTACGGCTTCTTCGTGTTCTGTACAGCAATTTGCGTGCTGGGTCTCTTGTGGGTTTGGTTCTTTGTTCCAGAGACTGCAGGCCGGAGTCTTGAGTCTATGGAGTCCTTATTCTCCCTGCCTTGGCATCAAATTGGTCGCCATGGTAAATACCTTTCACCGGACGGTGTTGGATACTTTGGCAACGATCAAGAGAAAGCGAATGCGGTTCATCGAGAATGATTACCTCGTGGACTACCTCGAATATACCTACCAGGCGGGGACTAGATTTTCTAATCGTCAAGGAAGCCTATGTAACTACCCCATAATAGTTAATGTATGTTCAAGTGGGGGCAGCAGATGTTGTATAGGCCATGCCACTATGGTATTAAATTCACTGCCTAAAGTTTGTTTATACATTTGATTTATAATCACTTGGTTACCTGTCCAGGGTCCGGCCAATTTAATATTTCACTCGGAGTCATTTCAGGTTCAGCTCGGATTCAAAGACCACATTTAGATGTAGAATATTCCTCTTATTTAATCCGTGATTGAATGAGAGATACTGATGTTGTATACGGAGATCAAATGCAACTCGAAATCGGGTTTGAATCCTTCTATATGAATATAAAATAGTTTTGCCTGAGGCAAAGATGAATAAACCCAAAAAGGAGAGTGCCGAGGTACATAAAAAAAGCACAAAAATTGACTAGAAATCTCATTGGTCAAGTGCCCTGTTCTCTTTCCCAACCAATCCACTTACTTCGAAGAGATTGGTGCTGAACATTGAAACAGTTCCCAACCATTAGCTGTTAACTAACATCTCCCTTCTGTCACTCCGGGAGAATTTCCATATCGGGTGGTCACCGGCTGAATTTTTTTTCTTTTCAAGGACTTAAGACTCAAGAAAGAACGACATGTAACTAGATCAAAATATTTCACAATTATCTGAAATCGAGATTAATTTGACATTATTCATCTCCCTTGAGTCCCAGTCCCAGTAACTCAACATCCCTCTGCACAATGGCTCCACAACCGATTCCTTTCCCAGGTTTCACTCCGATATCTGATCGTGTATACATTCGCAATGGCAATGAGAAAGCCAAACCAGTCCCAGCTGACGAGCCCACAACAATCCTCATCTCCGGCTGGGGTGATGGCATGCCCAAGCATGTCTCCAAGTACTGTGACGGCTACCATGAGCTGTTCCCATCGGCTCGGATTATTGTGATCCTATCACGTACCCTCCAGGCCTCAAACCAGCCCGAGGAAGATAGAATCCAAGCCATGATGCCGGTCGTCGACACCATCTTCCCGACCCCGACGGGTAGCGGCGGTGAAGAAGAGCGTGTCCTTGTACACGCCATGTCAAATACCGGCGCGATTTTCGCTGCTGCAGCCATCGTCGGTTATCAGCGACGCCACGGCACAGACAAGACATTCCCGCACAAGCTTCTGGTGTGTGATTCCACGCCCGGAAGTTTAGACTTTGCTTCTCAGGTTGGCCGATGGTCGCGGGCCATGGCGGTTGGAACCGCGAAGTTCTTCCCTTGGCCTTTTATCATCACGCAGGGTCTATGGTATGCCTTCCTCTGGGCTAATTGGGCTTGGGAAGTCTTGCGCGGCTCGGAACCCTCCGGTGTTTGGGCGAACCGAGTCATGAATGATAAGTCAATTATCACGACCGACGCTCAAAGGCTTTACCTGTACTCAAAGGAAGATGAGATCATTGGATGGAAGGATTTGGAAGAAAACGTTGCAGGGGTCAAGACTTTGGGCTACCCGGTTGAATTGGAAATGTTTGAAGGCTCATCGCATGTCGGACACATGAGACTCCACCCCGAGCAATATTGGAACAGGATCTCTGGTTGCTGGAAACAGGCCATGTCGCAGAAGTAATATGATGGGAAGTGTGAAAAGAGTGCATCAAGAAATCCTGTATTTTAGCTAAGAACATATATAATACTCACATAAAGGCGATCCATGACAGACACCACAATCAAACAATCACAGCACCCCCATCCAAGCTAGAGATACAGGGTAGTTGAGAGAAAATTGATATAATAAGCGCAAGCTAAGGTCACTTCCTGATTGCTTGAAGATAGAGCAGAAACGCCAGGCTGCCAGGCTGGACGCACCGCTCGCACCGCCGGCTAGCTTGTGAAAGAGAAAGATTCATCTTAGGGACCTGCCAACCACCGAATCTGGGGATTGCGGGGTGATCGCCAACACTATGCTCCAAAGTGCCCGCTTATTGGGCGGGCCTAGTAAGTGTTGTTTTTTGTTCGAAAAGCGGAGAGAAGGCCGGCTTTCATAAAAGCAAGACTAAATGTTGTTTGATTTGTTTTCTGTCTGATGTTGTGTCGATTTATCAATATGGGCTCAGTGAACAGCGAAAATAAGAAAAAGGACAGCCACGATGAAGTCGCGGTTGAACTGCAACCATTTGAAAAGATTGATAAAAATCTTTTACCAGAGCCTGACATGAGCAGAGAGGAGCGCGCGCGGTTTGGAAAAGGCCTTGGTTTGGAAGCTCGATATGCGACTCCTTCCCTTGATGATGCTTATCTGTGAGTCGATCTCTGTTTTGTTTTGGAGTGACAACCGAGTGGAAGCGGCGCTTTGACATGGCATTCAGACGTCTGAAGCTATTTGGACCGCAACAATATTGCGACTGCCCGACTAGGAACTCTTGAAAAAGATCTTGGGCTTGAAGGTGACCAGTACAACATGGTTATCAGTGAGCATCCTTGTCAATCCAGGTTGCTCGAGCTCATGGATTATAGGTCTATTCTTCGTTGGTTATATCTAGACTCAGATCCCTACCAATATGATCTTGAATAAGATGAAACCTTCTCTGTTTCTAGTTAGTGCCGCTGAGGAAACAAATACATCATTAAAGCACTGGCGGCTGACATTTGCTTAGCTAGCTGTGATGTGTAGCTGGGCAGTAGTCAGTACCTGCACTGGAGCAGTACAAGACTTCCGTGGATTATTAGCTCTACGCTTCGTGCTTGGATTTGTAGAAGCACCATTCTTCCGTGAGTTTCATACATACTTTGCTATATCCTATTCTATCACTGACTACTTCTGTATATCAGCTGGTGCACTCTTCCTGTTCTCTTCATGGTATACCAGAAAGGAGCTCGCAGCGCGTATTTCAATTCTTTATGTTGCTGCGCAGATATCCGGCGCTTTTGGTGGCCTTCTTGGCAGTGGAATCATGTCCGGCATGGACGGCAAAGCAGGTCTCCCCTCCTGGCGGTGGTTATGTATGTCCAAGACACGTATTTTACTGATTTTGCTATGTCTTTAACCTTGGTATGCATGACCAGTCATAGTTGAAGGAGCCGCAACTATTCCTGTTGCAATCCTGGCCATGTTCGTTCTGCCCGACTATCCAGCAACCACGAAATGGCTCAGTGGGGACGAACGAACATTGGCAATTACCCGATTAGCAGAGGAAGCAAACGAAAGCGACCATGATGAAACGAATGGAAGCTTCGACGGCCTGAAGCTTGCATTCTCGGACGCTGTGCTCTACATAATATGGTTGATGCAACTCGGTCTAAACACAGCTGCAGCATTCACGAATTTCTTCCCCACAATCGTCGAAACACTCGGATATGGAACCACTGATACTCTATTGCTATCAGCGCCACCTTATATATTTGCAGCTATCTTGAGTGTTGCCAATTCGTTTCACAGTGACCACAAGAGTGAGCGCTGGCTGCATGTAGTGTGGCCGCAAGTATTCAGTGGCATTGGTTTCATCATTAGTGCAGTGACACTGAATGTGGCAGCTCGGTACATCTCCATATTTATGATGATGTCAATATACGGCTCATTTGGCTGTATTCTCTCCTGGGCATCGACCTCATTGCCTCGACCTCGCTCTAACCGTGCTGTGGCGTATGCGGTCGTCAATGCTGGGTCCAATTTTGCATCTATATACGCCAGCTACTTTTATCCTAAGTCGCAAGGCCCAAGGTATTGGCAAGCAATTGTTGCGAATGTGACTTTTTGCGGCCTTTGTATTTTTATGGCTACGGTGTTGCATTTTACTCTTCGTGGGCGAAACAGACGTTTGGACATGGCTGCAGATTCAGATCTTACGAATGGGCAAGACCCTGCGATTGAGGGTTCCGATTGCTATCAACTCGTCTGTAGATGGAATTGTCATCCCCTTTATCGATACACAACTTGATCTTTTCTAGGTCGTGTTTTAGTGATACAGGAGTTTTTGAAGCGTTAGTTTGTTGCTCGTATATATTTATCTTTGTTTTCATAGAAGTGCAAAAATAATACGAAAGCAAATGTCAAATGATAGCAATCCATCAAATTCAGAAGTCAGTAGCTCAGCTATGTCAATTTGCCTTGTTCCAATCAATACAATGTCGATTTACTAAAACCTCAAATCATCAATTTAGTCACGATCATCGGGATGGAAAACCAACGCCCGAACTTCAATACTTTCTCTTCCAGCCTCATTTTCCGTCTCGGGGTTGACAAAGGCTGTATGGGGGACACGACGAGCCCTGCCATCGGTCTTGGAATCGAAGCATTTGATAAGTGTCACTAAATCCGGTGTTTGTCCGTATCGGTAATACCACTTGATGTTGGGATCCGCTTTCACAGAATATGTCTCGCCTTCGCGGTTGGGGTATATGAGCTTGACGGGTACAAGATCGCTGTCCGGGACCGAGTGTGCATCTGCCACGGCCAGGGGGTCTTTTAGGATAGTCTTGATTGGACGCCAAACGTTGATAATCTGGTATCTTCCTTTGAGGAGCTCGGGGCCATCTTCTGGGAGGTGATAGGGAACTCTGCTCTTGGCCGCATCGTACGACTGATCAATATGGACCCGTTGAACTGGTCCACGGAGCTGGGGACCAGTGGAACCGTCGGCTGGGGCTCGGCGGATGGTATGATCAAAGATGAAGATACGAGAGGCACCCGTACTACGTAGATTGAGGTTAGTCCGGTTTGATCTGGGAATGCTGCAGGTTGTTTGCGTACGCGTCTTTCAGCAACTGCTCTGTCTCTGGATAATATTCTCTCTTGATCTTATCGTCATCTTGGAAATCCTTTTCCTTGCTTTCGTGATAGTAAAGCTGGAATCCATGGCTATCTAGTGTATAGTCAAGCTCATGGCCACTGATATCATGGATGGTGGCGGGTAGGGAAGTAACAGGTCGATCGTAGGTCTCTGGTCTTCCAGCATAGGTGGGGTCTGGAGGAGATCCATCCTCCTTCTCTTTAAGAAAGTTGAGTGTAGTCTGTACATGGTGTGGGTTTTCTGGGACTGGAACTCCGGGCTTTTCTGCTAACAAGGGGCCCTGGGAGGCGGGAAGCTGAACAGCTGCAGAGGCCATATTTGCTCGAAATTAAATTAACTGCTCAAAAAATGTATGTTTATTGTGTAATATGGGTATAATAGAAGGATTTAAGATTATTATATAGTGAAAGCCAAGTTGCGGGGTGAATTCACATTTGTCAGGAAACAGCACGCAATCTTCGTATAACATAGAGAAATGGCTGATAAATAGGCCTCTCATTCCTTGATCACTAAATCAGTCTCTACAATTAGGCAACATGTGACAGTTTCACATTATTAATTATATGCAGATGGCATTTATAAGCTGCTGCTGCCTGTTCATTCGACAGTCAAGATGACGCGACGTGATCACGAATACACGCATATTGATATCTTGGTCGTCGACTAGGTCTTTACCTAGCTATTGTGACAGCACTTCTCTATAGCTGTAGATCGTTACTTATTATAGAAGTCATAGCACATCCTGGCAATATTCAAAACTGACATTCGGCCTCCAGGCCTAGACTACAACGATGTAGAGCGTAAAACAAGTATTTTGGCACTTGAGCAAAAGTTACATCTACACTCACATGGCTAGGCATTTTATGTGTTATTTCATATAGATTCAAGGCTCAATGGGGAAGTCTTTAAGCAGAAGTTTTTCGGTATGCGTTCAAGTAGCTGGGCTCAAACCCGACCAGTTGGCCCACATATATTGGCCTAACCCAGGTAAAGGTGTATAATGGCCACGGGTCAAATGCGTTTTGATATACATAGGCTACCTAGGTAGTATACAGGTGCTTGGTTAAGAAAAATACATTTATCATGGCCATTCAAGCAAAATGGACTAATATCCTTGACGCGGAGGCGATCTCCCCAAATCGTATCCGTCATTGACAAACAATTCTACTGTTTTCGGCGGAAAGTTACAACCGCGTGAGCCCATGGATGATGATGCCCATACTGTTTCAATTAACGGAAGTGAGTTGCTTCGCTCCTAAGCGCATTACATCTACTCAGTCAAACCAATGTCACAAACTAACAACCCAGTCGCAACCCTCACCACTAAATCATCCGGCTGCATATCCCCTACGAGAAGAGTAGGAATCGCATCAACGACACTAGGTAGGAACATAAATCTCTTCTGTGGGTGGGGCGGCGCCGCAATGTCGCCTACCGATGAAGGGGAAGCAATCTGGGAATTTGATCCCAGCAAAATCAAATGGTCGTTCTTAACCCCAAAGCCTGGCGCAAATACCCCAGTTCCCCGCAGCTACCATTGCGCTCCCAGCGATGCCAAGGACACCATCTACATTTGTACAGGCTGCCCCAATACCGGTCGGTTATCCGATCTATGGCATTTCAGCGTATCTGGGAGGAGTCGACGACTCTTGCTCCAGCACATGATCGGCCCCATGACGGGAGGGACGTCTATTACGTTTGCGCAGGGAAGACTGTAACGCATGCATGGATTTGATGGGAAGTCTGAGCGGGGCGGCAGTGTGGATATTTATGAGCCGGAGGCTAATTTGTGAAGCTCGATTTCATTTTTGCCAATTGCATTGAGGGCCATTCTCCGAAGATTGTTCCAGCCTTGGTCCCTGTTGTTAGTAATAGTCGTATTTCTATAGTTACTTTATTCGGTGAGTGGAATCCTACTGCATTGGGCCGTCAGCGAGCCGGTAAGATGTTGGGCGATGTGGGCTTTTGGTCTTGACAGTAGAGCCCGGATTAAAGGTAAGGCTCAAGGTGAGGCGAATCCTGATTCTCATGGCTGGGTTGATGCTGATAACTTAGGTGTTGATGGCGTTGTGGTTCACGGCGGGCTTGGTGAAGCGAACAATCAATTGACTGGGTGACGTTTGGACCCGTCGATTTTGCTGATTTTTTAATCGAGACAGGTCTTCAGAGGAATAAATTTTGAACAAGAAAACGAAATTTATATTCAACCCGAATTATGGACTCATGAAAGGGAAGTAAGAAAGAGCAACGTATGTATCATTAACGAGCAACGGAAGCTGCAGTGACAGAGTAACATGAGAAAATCAGATGTGCTTGCTATGAGGGTTTGAATCGTACAATTGCCGTATTGAGGATGCTAGGAACAGGCTTTTCCTCACTTTGATCACAAAAATTCATAGGAAAGGATAATTTCACAAAGAAAAGGAAGAAGAAAACAGTCGAGTCGCATCATACACCAACACCTCAAAAAAGATTGCTGAGTGGGAAAGAACAAAAAGAAACGAAGCAAAATGACTGGCCACGCGTAGCAAGAAAAAGCAAGAAAAGACATTGAAAGGGCAAATAAAAAAAAGTAGTTATTGTGACAACACAACTTGACATCATGGACAGAAGAAGTGAAGAGGGGGGTTGGTATGAAATTCAATTCGTATGCGAATCGAATTCAAAACATGAGAGATCGGGTTTTCTGTCGACGAGCCTCGGCAGAGCCCAGCTCAGGTTGAGAGTAGGTGTGCTTGTGTCGGGGACGAGGGGATTGGGGCGCCGGCGCCCCGGATCCTGCTGAAGATGGAGGTCCCACCATAGCACTATTTCTACTCCGAGTAGGCGAAGGAGGAGCGGCGGATGCGGTGGGAATGCCACTAGCAGGACGGTGCTCAGTAGTCTCGCTGCTTGTCTTCATGCTGCGCTCGCGCTTAAGCACAAGATCAGCCCAAGGCTTAATGGACCCGCTGCCTGAGGAAGAACCCTTGCCAACAGCTTCAGACATGACTCGGAGCCAGCCTTCTTTGTCTGCGGGGCTATCCGCGTAGAAATCAATGACTTCACCGTTGCCAAAGCGGATACGGAACCCTTCTTCAACAAACATGTAGCCGTCTTCTTCCTCGGCAAAGGCGGACTTGCGGCGGCCGCCATTTCTCGTGCTGGTCTCTTTCTGAAGCAAAGACGACCGATCATCGATGAGCTTGGAGGCCTTGGCTAGGTTAATTGTGGCACGAGGCTGGCGTGTTGTTTCGTGGTAGGCTGTCAACTTGGATCCCTGGAGCTTGAAGAAGCGACGACGCCAGAACTATTGTTGATTGTTAGCGGTACATATGGGAACCAAAGGATTGGAACTACTTACGGGACAATCTCCACCCTGCTGAGACAAGAAGCCTTCCCAGGAGCGAGCTGCGACACTCTCTGCATCCCGCATTTCGCGAATACAAGCATTCATGCTCTTGGGCATATCATCATCCTTACTGCCCTTGGGCTTGGGCACAAAGAGCAATTGTACTTCCAATTTACCGATCTTGTATGGTGGCCGACGCTGCGTGCTCACGCTTGTCGCACTCTTCTTGCTCTTCACACTACTCATTTGCTCCTCAACAGCCCACTCATTGAAGCAAGCAACATCGACAATGTGAGGACGACCAAACGCCTGCTGCTCATGATCGCTCAAAGCCACATACGCACGGCCGAAACTGCCGTCACGTGCAACCAAGTTGCGCAGTCGTTCATATACAGGGGCATTGACATCCTTGGCCTTTTGCTGTTGTGACTGCATTTGCTGTTTGATGTCGAGCTCCTTGCGACGGCGGGGGGATGCAAAGACACGGCTGAGGGCGGAAGCCTTCTGGCGAGACGGCGATGCGGCAGGCTCCTGGGTTTGGAACTTGGTCTCGTCGATCTTCATCTGGAGAGTGAGCTGGAACTCCAGGTCATTCTGGACAATAAGCTCAAACTCCTGTCCAATGGGGGCGGATTTCCCCATCTCCAGCCAGGATGTGGTAACACAGTGCAGTCCGTTATCTAAAGTGAGTGCAAAGTAGGAACGTTCACCTAGTGTTGGGTTAGTAAGATAGCCTCAGGTAAAGTGTGTCGGTGTATGCGTACCGCGAGGAAGAGGGAGATCACAATACTTCAGGCCAACAACCTTGACAAACAGACGGCCTCGCTCTTCGCCTTCTTCAAACGATTCCGAGATCGCTGGTTCGTTCTCTTCGATGATTGCGGGGGCTTCTTGTACGTTACTCGCCTGTCCAGGGAGAGGGGGTACACCACCCGTACCAGGAACCGGCTTCTTCTTTGGGATTCCACTGGCAGGCTTGATGCTTGACCGACGAGCAGAGCCATTCCATGGAACCGTTGTCCAGGTCTGCTGACTAGGCTTGCGTGGGGAAGACCCAGCCGAACGTGTACCACGTGGATCTTGGGCTGTTTGCTCTGTGGGTGGCATAGGTTCTTCTTCGTTACGGCTGCTAGCAATAATGACTTTGGTGTTCTGTCTCATGAGATAGCCTCGCTGTTTTGCAAGTGAAGGGTCAGCGGGGGTTCGATTTCCTTGATTCACGGGATCCTTGTGTGTTCGGGTCTGGGAAGGCACAAAATGGGGGCTTTGGGAAAGAGCGATGTGGAACGCTACCTTTTGTGACTCAATGACACGGTCAAACTCCTTGTTAAGGCCGGAGCCGAGACTCTCTTCCTGGATGCTGAAGGGGATGTCCAGCTGCATCAGGCTACTTTGTCGTTGAGCGAAACCAGTTGGCATCGCTAATTTGGGTGGCGAGTCAGTCGGCTTCTGCTCGCGATCGGAAGAGTTCGAGTCATTGGAGGTCTGTTTGGTCAATGGTGGAACTGGAGGAATGTGCTGGCCACTAATCTTGCGACGGGTAGCGGCCATGGATTGCATATCCGCAGGGGTTAGAGACGGACGAGTCTTCAACCCGGCACCGGGAGCTCGAATTGTGGCCACAGGTTCCGGTACAGACTCGTCAGATGAGCTCTCATAGTGTTCGGTTTCTTCCTCCTCTGGGTCCTCTTCATGGAAGCTCTCTTCCTCTGGGTCCTCCTCCGGGTTTTGATCGTCATTAACAGGATGACGAATGACCGAGTCTGGCGTGGAGGGCTCAGAGGCCTCGCCTTCCTGCATTTCGGGGGTTACAGGGCGTGCCAGAGACTGACGGACAGATGACATATCAAAAGCCCGGTCGTGGGAATCATTGAGCTCTTCGTGCTCTGCATTCGTCTTGTTGACTTCTACCGACTTTTCGGCGTCATCCTGTTCTTCGGCGACGGGAGTGGTCTGCCCAGAGCCGTGGCCGGAGTGTTCAGGTGCGGCGCGTGCCTGTTCGGCAGCCTCAGCAGCAGAGCGGAGTGAGTAATTGCTGTCTTCATCGTACTTGGCACGCTGATCACGCGACGACAAGCTGTTGTCCGACTTGTTCTGATAATAATCTGTGATGGAATAAAGGTCTTCCTCCCGCTCTTCTTGCTTAACGATTACGCTGGATGAGTCGTCGTCGTCCGTTTCTAGTGATGGAATGGGAACATCAGGGTCGTAATGGTCATAATGGTGGGGGCTGGAAGCAATCTGGGAGGACTCGTCAAAGCTGTCGTCCTCTTCGAAGCTGTCACCATTCCGAATGCCTCGCAGGATAGAGTCCCGGGAAATGCGTGGCGGAGAAAAGAAGAGTTCATGAGACTCATCATCGTCGCGTACACCGTTCGTGGGTGTGGCGTCCTCGTCTGCCATAGGCAATTCCAAGGGCTCTTCTGTGGGGTGTTTCTGGTCGTGGTTCTCGTCATTCTCCCTTTCTTGAAGCATCATGAGACGCAGTCTATCCTCCAAGGAGACAGCGCCGGTGATATCGGATTTGTTGCATGAGGCAGCAGCCGGAGGTACAGGAAGCCCACGCAGGCCGGCGCTACCAAGCTCAAAGGCAGAAGCCATTTTCCCAGCCGATGAGGGGCGCGCAGCAGACATACGATTCACGGATGGCAAAGGTGGGAGAGGGCGACGCTCGCCGTTGGAGTCCAGTGACTCAACCCGTGTGTGCCCGGATGAACCCGCTTCACGTGAGATCGGCCGTTCCTCGGTGCTGTCTTCCTCAATATGGTCGACGAATGGGTCGCTGTCAGCGTTTGAGCCAGGACTCATGAAGCGCCAGTCTTCGGGCAACACAACAGGGGTCTTCTCAATGTCCTCCAGTGAGGCATCAAAGCTATCATCACGCTCGATGGATGACTCGTGCTCGAAGCTAATATCTCCCTCTTCCTCGGATTCGTAGCTATTTTCGCGTGATTCAGACGCAGTTGATGATGGATCGGGGGTCGTCATTTCATATTCATTAACTTGAGGGGGGGGCATGATCAAAAGTAACACTCTTGGCATGTCTATGTCCGGCGCTGCCATATTCAGACCAAATATCGTTCTGGGGATCGAAGCCCTTTCCGTATCGGCTACCCTTTGATAACGATGATTTGCTTGGGGATGCTTGATCTTTGCTCGGAGACGGAGGGCGACCCAACTGCGCGGTATCCTCTTCGTGGGCCTGTGACTTTGCAATTTTCATTTGGCTGTCTCGTTGCGGCGACCGCGCCGATGCCAGTGGTCTGTGTGGCACAACTACTGATGCCGGATCATATTCCTGGCTGCCCTCTTGGAAGCTGTGATTTTTCACCTTCGACACGCGCTTCAAGTTCTCGAGCGATGGGCGCCTTGCTGGGAAGTAACACCCCTCTGGGTCGTATGGGGATTTATTTTCGGCCCCCTTGGAGAATGGCGACGGGGAGTCGCGACCCTTCCAAAAGAGACGTGGGGAGGCTGTGTTATTCAGAGACGAGACATCGTATGCGGGTGATTCGCCATTTGGCATCTGCTAGTCTTGTTAGTATGGCGGTCACAATAACATATCCCAGTCATGTTACCTTGGTGACTTGGTTCCAACTGGGCGAGTTGCGCCTCTGGGCCATGGGACTCACTTCGGAAAGCGGCCGCTGGCCAGATCCGTTACCCATGCTGTTGTTGGGCTTCGGTGGGTGGGATATAGGTGTGATTGGAAATGAATCTAAGGCAATCAGATGCCTATGGTGTATCAGTCCTTGTTCATCACCTAAGTACGTCCAGATTGGCGAGTGGATTCACAAGCGATGACAAAGGACATAAATCGCGCAGAGATCAGGTACCATACCTTTCTTAACAGATGCCTAAAAGTCGCGTGGAAAATGTTTGCCAACAAGATGGTGGATTGGCTAAGATAGCGTAAAGGTCGTGTCGATCGTAGCAGGAATGCTGCGCCAGAGAGCACCAAAACAAACCCAAATCAGGATGTCGAATGGCAAATAAGAAAGGGATAACGAAGGGATGTGAATTGATACGAATGCCAACTCACAGGAAGCAAGCAGAGAACTGAAAATAGCCACAAATAAAGAAGTTGTGAAGAAGAGAAGCAAAAACAACGAAACTTGATATGTCTCTCCCATGGATTCAAGTGGATTGTTACCCCAAAGCAGGTCTGTTGTTGCGGGAGTCGTCATGGCAACCGCGCATCAAGCTGCTGACTCATCAGTTTCGGCGTCTGTTTTGCGTCAGGTGTCCACGGCACTAGTCTCGAGCAGGTTTAGCCAATATCGAGATATAGATTCACGCTAACTTCCTTGTATGAAACCCCTCTAGATCTTGATATTCGTGTTCTCTCGCAAAAAAATTCGAATTCACTTCGACCAAACTGAGAATCATGTTATATTTTGGCCTAACAAATGCCTGACAATCAAGCTGAAGGCTTACAAGGTTATGTATAACTTTTATATAATGACACAGAATCCAACGAAATAGTTATAGTCACGGGAAGCACAGGCTGAATGCGCTTGGATTGTTGTAGAAACTCCACTTCATCCAACTCCACCATCCTCCTTGTCCAAATGTCAGTAGGCAACCTGTCGACGATCGAGAACAAAACTGTACAGTTATCCCTCGGGCACGTAGATAAGTCTGACATCTCTATTGATCTAGGCAGTTGAAATCAAACACAAGGTGGGGAAGGTGTCGACCTCGGGAGCAAACATCATTAGTGAAGTTTCAGTTATATTGTTGTCCTGATGATGTATAAACAAACACATTTTATCGCCCCAGAAACATAGACACTATCCTACATAGGTATTATGAACAGTTTTCTTGATATTTTCCCAATTCCCACGTTTGTATCAATACAAGACAATAAGGACATAATTATGGATTTATCACCACCACTCCTATGTCTATAACTTGGAGGGGAAAAAGACTGGGCAAAACAAGCAAAATAAGCAACAAAAGAGGGAAACAAAAACAATTATTCTCCGCAATTGATATAGATATACTGGCGGATTAGCATCGAAAAACACACGAAGACAATCAAGTGTTCAAATGTTGATATCTACATATGTAAATTTAGTTTTATACTCTACCTAGGTACCGTTAATTCGGCCTGAGGCTTCACTATCACATGATCTTATCAGGTGTCTATGATCGGCACTAATCCGAGAAAGGAATGGTGCATTATATCATCGCGGAAAAAAACAGCCTGAGCCTTGTTCTGGCCTCTCCTTTCACGATTTTTCAACTTTCAGATTTTTGCTTCCCATCGCATCCACTCCAGGCAGAATGCCTCTGCCGATTCGTTCCTCGATATGTTTCCTATGCCAGACTAAGGCGACCTTGATCGCCCCATCAATTCTCTTAGCCTCATGGCAGACCACACGAGGCATGGCCACCGCTCGATTGCGCCGCAAGGCTGCTCGGATGGCCCTGTCACCTGACGTTTCTAAGCCATCCTTGCCATCAACTACCAAACCGCGAAGGGAACGGGCTGGCCCTTTCGCTTCGATGAACCAGACCCAGGCACGCATTCGAGATGCTCCACGTACACGATCTCAAGCGGCCCTTAAGCGTTCGGGAGAAGAAGGCAAGACGGATAAGAGGAAGGATAGCCCACTGTACAAGGCGTTGAAGATGCAGGAAACCTTGACAGCTGTGCCCTACGGCCGACGTACAGCCATTAAATCTCGACTTGCCAACATCACCAGTTTTGACCACTTCCCTCTCCTTCCTGCAGTGCGCCAATCAATTTTCCTTCAGGCTCTGCCAGGTCTGAGTGACGTCAGCCCCACACCGATTCAACGACTTGCTATCCCGGAACTCTTGCTGGATGAATCTAAGAGGAAGAAACAGCTGAAGAAGGCAGGTGACGAAGAATCGGAATACAATTTTGATCAGTACCTCCTGGCAGCGGAGACTGGTTCTGGCAAGACTTTGGCGTACTTGCTTCCCATCGTTGACGCTGTTAAGCGCGCTGAAGCCCTCGAGGTGGAGGAACAGAAAGCCATTGATGAACAAAAGGCACAAGAGCGGCAAGAGATAACGAAGCACAAGGCGTTCAGCCTCGAGCCCGAGGAACCTCCGATGACCAACGCCGCTCGCCCCCGCGCTATTATTCTCGTTCCGACTTCCGAATTGGTTTCCCAGGTTGGTGCCAAGCTTAAAGAGCTGGCGCACACAGTCAAATATCGCTCCGGCGAAATCTCATCGACCTTCACCCCCCGTCGTATCAAGAACACTCTTTTCCACCCAGCCGGCATCGACATTTTGGTTTCCACCCCTCACCTTCTGGGCTCTGTTGCGAAATCAAATCCCAACATCCTCAGCCGAGTCACTCACCTCGTCCTCGACGAAGCCGACTCACTGATGGATAGGTCATTCATCCCAACTACCACCGAAATCATTGCTAAAGTAAACCCATCTCTTCAAAAATTGATCCTATGCTCGGCCACCATCCCCCGAAGTCTTGACAATCAGCTGCGCAAGCGCTTCCCCGACATGCAACGACTAACGACCCCGAACTTGCACGCCATCCCTCGTCGCGTGCAGCTGGGTGTTGTAGACATTGAGAAGGAACCGTACCGCGGAAACCGAGACCTGGCCTGCGCCGATGTCATCTGGTCAATCGGCAAGGCAGGCGACAGGCATGAGTCCAGCGAGACATGGGGACCTCTCAATGCGTACATGGAACAGAAAACCAAGAAGATCATGGTGTTCGTCAACGAACGTGAGGAAGCCGAGGAGGTTACCAAATTCCTCCAATCAAAGGGCATTGATGCTGTCTCGCTGTCCCGTGACACCGATTCTCGAAAGCAAGAAGAAACCCTCAATGAGTTCACGGAGGTTAAGCTCCCTCCCACTGCAGAGGAGATCATGCTCAATAAAAAGAAGAACCGCGCTAGCGGCGGCATCCCCTTCGATTTGCCTGAGCGTCCCCAGGAGCATACCCGCCGCCTCCCTGATACCAAGGTCCTTGTCACTACTGACATCGCATCCCGTGGTATCGACACGCTGGCAGTGAAGACTGTCATCCTATACCATGTTCCCCACACTACCATCGACTTCATTCATCGTCTCGGTCGTCTGGGCCGTATGGGTAAGCGTGGTCGAGGTGTTGTCCTGGTGGGCAAGAAGGACCGCAAGGACGTTGTCCGCGAGGTTCGCGAAGGCATGTTCCGTGGCCAGGCTCTGATCTAGATCCAGATTCATGCATTAATCTCATTGTATAAAACCTGTAACATACATGGCGTTGATTAGAGAGGGTTTGATTTTTTGGAAACTGGGAAACGACTATACCCATTGTCATTGCAATAGTCATTGGATCTTTGGAAATATACAACTTTTTATCACGAACCTAGTTCTCCCTTAGTCCATAATGGTATTTGATTCCAATTTTTGATTCTATTCCGTGTATCCATAGCGCACTAAGTAGTAGAGACCAGCCATTCATAGTTCTAGGGCAAGAAAAGAAAAGAGATGTTGAAGTATCTCTGAAACTCACGCTCCCATTTGGCATGCTTGGGATCAGCAGTCTCCATGTCGGTAATAGTAGTGATATCAAGACCATGTCACTGCCATGAACAACCACATTCCGCTCGGACCTATCTATCATGTGCAATACCGGCCCACTGATCTAGTATGGTCCCCGATCCTGGATTCTTACCGAGTTTGCTGTTTCTTCGGCCGATTATGCCGTTCTTCTTGCTGGAGTTCTCATTTGTAAGTCATAAACTCGGTGGTGGAAAAGGAGAAGGTAAAAAGAGAGGGGGGTTGACACTCGTCCATGTGGCTTGATAAAACTATTGCAGAGAAATTGGAGATAACCTCCCGAGGTCAATTGAAAAAACATTCACATCCATAATAGATAATGATATATCGTTAAGTTACTGCTCTTTTTTCGTCTCTTTTACATCTAGTTTGGATGTATTGCCATTTGTCTTAGAGAAACTACCTTATTGAAGCTATTGCTATCTGTCTGTAGAATGCCTCTATTCATGATCTTAAATCTTGTACTTATAGCGGCGAGATATTTAATTTTTCTCGGACAATACATATAAAGCTATTCGACCGAACCCTCCTACAAGATAAATAACCACCAAAGCATATGAACAGCGCATTTGATTCCTGGCTGCTTTACACCTTGACAAGCATGGTTCTTGGTTGTCTATTTACTCTCTAGATGGGTATCTCCTCAGCCAACTTGCGCCAAAAGTTACACCGATCCTTCAAATCAACCAGCTTCACATTCTGAAACCCATCATCCACCACGACAAATTCCTCGCCCGTTTGCCTAAGCTCTGGCACACCTGGCTCTGAGGAATTAGTCACTTTATGCGCATTCGGGTCACCCGTTTGAAAGAAACTCGCAAAAGCACCCGCGTAGCCTTCATAGACGACAGGGTTCGTTTGTTGGACTGCATTGATACGGTTCCACTATCGTCAAAGTTAGCACACGACCCGTCCAAAGCCTAGGAGCAACGTACATAAATAGTATCACTACCGTGTGTGGCTGGCGAAATCGTATACTCCCCAAGATACCCTTTCACCGTAGCAGTAGAAGCAATCCAGTAAGCCGGACAGGCTAGAACAAGATCACGATAAACCAAGCCAGCCCGCACATAAGAGGTTGTATAATTCACTATGGTCTCTGTATCGCCCTCGGCTGGATAATAGATTGACTCAACTTGACCAATTTGCTTGGCTGATAATTCCGGCACAAATCCAGTCAACCAGTGATGGAAACTCCCAACCGAGGAGTTGAATCCATTCACATCAACCGCACTCTTCAATCCCGAGGGGATAAAGTTCTCTCCCTCGTGGCTGTTATACATGCCCCAAACGAATTGTGTATTCAGCGCGTCACGGTTGACAGTCTTTGTCAGCGTCTCGACAAGAAAGCTCCCGTCAATGACAGGAGCCCAGGTATAAGAGCTCGTCGTCCAAGTGTTACTCGCTGATATAACGAGGTTCGCATCACGAATTTTCTGCACATCTACAGATTTGAGACAAGCGAGTGTCTCGCTAGCATGCGCACTCGTGCAACCAGTCAGATTGGCAAGCTGGGTATAGATCTCTTCTGCCTGTGGAGAATTGTAGTCGTATGTCTTTGGCCAAAAGGGCGAACTGGCGAGCGCTTTGGAGAAGAGTTTAGGCTGGCCGTTTCGGCCATTTGCGAGGACTTGTGCGACGACTGAGCCTGCGCCGGCTGACTGGCCCCATATTGTTACGTTGTGAGGATCACCGCCGAAGTGGTGAATGTGGCTTTGGACCCATTTCAAAACGTATTGTTGGTCCAGTAGTCCGGGGTTCAGATCGGAGGTAGGGGAGTCTTTGATTGCTTTTCCAGGTAGAAAACCAAAGGCATTGACGCGGTAGTTTGGGTAAATGACGATATAATCATTTGTATCTGTCACATTTAGGATAGGGAATGAAGATGGTGGCATTGTGAATGCCGCGCTGCCTTGGATGAATGCACCCCCGTAGAAGACGACTAGTACAGGCCGTTTGGTGCTCTTGGACACATCCCATGGCCGTGAAAAGAGACCTAGATAAAGACAATCTTCGGTCCCATTGACAGTGCGTTGGGGACACATGTCGAAGTCTTGGTCTGTATCATATATGTCGGTGATCTTTAGTGGTGGTTGAGGTGCGCGGAAGCGGTTCTCGCCTGTCGGTGGTGCAGCAAATGGAATCTTGCGGAAATACGAAAGATTAAGTGAACTGTCATACTGGCCTTGGAAGGATCCATAGTCGAGGGAGACTAGAGGATTGTCATAGGCGTGAGCTGTGAACCCGAAGCCAAGTACGGCCAGGATTGAATTGTATAGCAGTCTCATCATTGAATATTATTGGTTTGCAACACTGGTACAATTGGCCCTAACAGTTCAAATCTTCTTGATCACTGGCAAAGGTCATATATAACATAAAAGATGAAGGAGCAAATACAGCAAATACCCCATTCAATTAACCCACACTCGGTGGAACAACCCCCCGAACGAACTTGCGTGACTTCCAAGCAATTTAACCATTTGCAAGAAATCAATCTCGAAATCGAATATGCAAGGCGCTCATTGGTGCAGTTATTGTTGATGCTGCCGGGGCAAAATGCGGGGGATGGTAAGATGGCCAAGTCGGATTTGATCATGCCGACATCTATGATGCTATATTGTGATACATATTGATATGTAGGTAGTGCATTCAGGTTTCACATGTAATCAAATTCAACGCCGTGCTCATTAATGTGTCGAAAACAAATATCAAAGTATGCAAACAAACATAAAGCTTTCCAACCCTGAAAATGCATCGTGATCCAAACACCAATCCGTTTAACGATGCAGGGAACCAAATATTGTCACATATGCCCTCCCAACCAAACTCCACCTTCTTATCTCATAGACCCAATATTTTTTACATAGTCATACGAAGCTCTCTAGTGCGCCGGCGGCTTGCCCTCGCATCGCGGCGAGACTCATTGGCGTCACTAGTCTCCGTTTCGGGGGTGTGCGTGTCAGACAGTTCAGGCGTGGGAGTGATTCCAAAGCTCACGCCGCGGTCTCGACGATTAATGCGCATTTGTGCATCGGGGGACAAAAACCGATGGACTGTGCGGTGGTCCATAACTCGCTCTTCCCCGTCCGGATTTTTATCGGTGTAGGGCCATTGGAACCCATAAAGCTTGGAGTGGCGTTCACAACGTGGACATTCGCGTCGTGTGAGATACGAGTTCGATTGAAGGAACCATGCATCACAGGTTTGGCACTCAACCCAGCGATCATACTTCTGAGCAAGTAGCCGTGATGTCTTGGTGTAGTCTCCGGGGACTCGGGCAACTTGCGACTCAGTCTCGACCGAGTCAACGATGAATCGGCGCTTTTTGTATGACCTTTTCTTCTTAGGCTGTTCGATTGGGGTCTCATTGGTATCATCTAATGTAAGGGAGTCTGGTAAGTCTGATGGTCCTTCTCGGAGATCATGATCCATAGTGTATGTGGAAACGCGCTGACCTTCGAGAGAGACTTCTGGACGATTGTCACCGTTAGGTGTTTCTGATTCAGTTGGTTCGAATGCGCTTTCCTCGGTTTTGATCCGGGCTCCAATGTCGTCCACAGTTGTGGGGGAAGTCGACGTCGAGGATCGGTGAGATTCGTCGGCGTTGGACTTGGGCGACCCATAACCTGTGGGGGTTGGATTTTTGCGAATGTCCTCATTTTTATCGCTTGGGGTAACAACACCTGACAACCCCGATTCTGCAGCGAGCGAGCCCGGCGTTAGTGAGTCAGGTGATGCTTCTGCAGTTAATTCTGAAATCTCCTCCTTCAGTTTGGCCACTTGAGGCGATGATTTGGTCAAAATACTCGTTGGTATAAGAACAGTATCCGGAATAGGGGTGGCGTCCGATCCAGGTGTTGGTGCTGATTCGCCAGCAAGTTCAGAAGCGGAGATCTCCTTTCGCAATTTGGAAATCTGCCGCTGGAACTTCGCCCGTTTGCGCGGGGTAGAGCAAGTCACAGACGAGGAGCTATCAGAATCATCCACTTCCGAGCTGCGTCGGCGCTTCCTGCTTGCAGCGCCATCTTCAACCTGTGCTGCATCAGACACAGGGCTGGACTCTTTGCTGTTGGCGTCCGAGTCTGTATTCGTAGACCAACCGTTTCGGACGGCTCTTTCACAGGTGAGGCATAAACACTCGCAATTATCAACGCCGAAGTAGTCTTCACCATACGAGACCGTGATTTCTTCCCCCTCATAAATGTCGCGCATAGCCAAGACAGACATGCCCTCGTTTCCCCGGGTCGTCAAACTACCATTGGCGTCACAGTCATGATTGGCAAAGCGAGCAGGGCCCAAAAAGAATGATGGGGACTTGCGGCGACTGGACATCACGATGCTGAAGTCTTTACGGGTCAAGCCAAGATCCAACTCTTCTTCGTGTGTCATGGACACGAGCGTTCCACTCAGGTATTTTATTTCCTCGCCCTTTTTGATAGACCTGCGAGCACAAATTGCAGCTTCATGTTGCGTGATGATGTATCGGTTGGTGGTGGTGACCTCGAATGGACAGTCTGGAAGATACATCTGAATGTACTTGCGAATGTGTCGGCGAAACCACTCCTTCTCCCGTGGGCTGCGGAGATTTGCCATGTATTTCTTGAGGCCTGAGATATCCAACAACTTGCGTTCGGCGGCTGGGATATCCTTGTTGACAATGACATCGTGGAGAAGAATGCGCCCAATGTCGTCGTCGTGGATGCCGCGGGCAGGGCTATACTTGGTGCGGTTCTTTCGAGTAGTGGTCCAAAAATAAGCCTAGGAGTAGAGACAGTCAGCGGACAAACATCAATGTTGAACTGTGTGCAAAGGGCGTACATGATCCACCAGCGCATCGGTTGCGACATCGTCATAGCTGGCCAGTTTGGCCAGAGTCAGCCGCTCGCGTCGTTCGGTCGCGGGCGAGCTATTGCGCGCTCTCTTGGGAGGCATATTGGATGTGGCAGGCTAAAAACCACTGGAGATCGGAGCGAAAGAGAAAAGGTGTCATGGAATGCGGTGCGAAGGTAATTGCACGGTGGAGAGAACCGGAGATCCGCAGGGGGTCGGACCCTTGGCTCTTCGGAATAAAGAAATTCAAAAGAGTGTAAGTGTTAGAGAATGTAGACGGGAAGACAATGTGAATGTATTGAGACCCCGAGACTCCAAGGAAGGAGAGTGTTCCTCCGCAACGCATGTTTTTAGGGGCGGAACCGTGCACTTTGTCTTTAATGTCATCGAGTTTTCTAACTTCCAATTCTACTTGAACCTGTATGGATTGTGGTTTTGCATCTAATTTCTGCATCAAATTTATTGAAGGGCCTATGGAAGTGTTTAGGCATCATACTAGATAGCCAATAATTCACAAATAAGATTTGAGACGATAATTGCGATCAATCTCAATGTTCTTCTCATATATATTCTTCCGTATCCCATGCCATAAAGCCGACCAAAATCACCGTAAAACCAGCAATTGGACAAAAAAATTCATCCTCACCCTCAAAGACAGTGTGCTTATCATCAATGGCTAAATTCGAAACGAAATTACTTGATTTAAGTACAAAAATCTACATTATTACCAACATAGTCAGTCTTACAAGGACATCTCAACGATTAGAAATGAAGTTTGATACATGCCATTAAGAATATGCCCATGACATACAACCTTTGAAAAAGCAAATCAACATCGGTTTATCAAGTCCTGAATATCCAGCGACCAAGTTGAATTTCACAGGACGAGTTTGAAGTGCCCATAGTATACGGAGAAGGGACATAGATACCCGGAAAAACCCAATGTCCGGCGAAACCTCCCTCCGGCCGCGAGAACAAATTGCGGACAAGCGTTATCACCCAGCAATTAAACAACAACACAATGATTCAATTAAAGGTGAGCAAGCCGTTCAACACAAAGCCGGAAGTCACTGACTGTTTCACCAGACACTATTAAGTTGCATTGACAACTCGGGCGCCTCGATCGTCGAGTGCGTGAACGTCCTGAAGAAGAAGCGGCCCGCGACAATCGGTCAGTCTCCGACCCAGCATACATTAGGGTATGCAGCAGACAAAGAATCTAGACTAACATGGTGATTGTGTGTGTGCAGGTGACCGGATAGTCGTTGTCGTCCAGAAGCAGCGATCTGCAGGCTCCGAAGCCACCACCGCCGCTGCGCTCGCGAGTAAGGTCCGCCGTGGTGATATCCGACATGCCGTCGTTGTGCGCGTGAAGAAGGAGCTACAACGGCCCGACGGGTCACTTGTCCGCTTTGGTGACAATGCATGCGTTTTGGTGAACAAGTCCGGTGATCCTATCGGGACAAGAATGAACGGTTGGTCATCTCGAGTGTCGGCCTTGACATATACATCTCGGCAACTAACATTTCATAGGAGTCGTCGGACAGGAACTACGGAACAAGAAGTGGTCGAAGATCTTGTCTTTGGCACCGGTCCACGTGTAATATCTTTGGTTTCTACAGTTGGCAAAGCGTTTTATGTTTGGCAGGATCAATTTACTCCTATGTATCAATAGAAAATCCGCATATTTCCCAGTTCAAAGACATTTTTTTCTTTTCTCTGTTCCCGATCGCCAAACTCCAGTATGCATCCCGAAGCTCGAATTAACGTAAAACACAAAATATTAAAAGGGGTATCGGAAATGGAGACCACCGCATTCGCATTAAAAAAGCAGAGAAAAGCAACCATAGTCACATGTAGACATTACCGCAGGCACAGCAGACGTAGTAGAGTTTCTGAACGGAAGGTGAGTGTCAGCGCACGATTCCTATAGGTTAAGAGGTTGGGGGTATCGGTTGTGTATCGATTCTTACCATTCCGGTTTCGGCGGATCGTTGCTGTGACTGGAAGAAGACAGCCTCGGTCTCGCTGCAGCTCGGGCAGGTTTTGTTCGCCCGCGGAAGCTGTCATCCTCGGTGTTAGTCTCAAGTTGTTCAATGGGAATGGGTGTGGTTAGAGTCGGCGGAGACCCGCTCAAGTTTGGCAGACTCAATTGGGACGCTTTCTTCGTGAAAGATGTCCTCAGTGATAAAATCCTCGATTTTGGGGTAGTCCTCGGGAAGTTTGCCGATGAACATTTCATCCAACAGTTCATCAGATAGATCCTTTTTGGGGATGGGGTTGGGTTGGACCTGGCCAATGAAAGGGGTGTCGCCGCATAGGATAGTATAAAGATCAGGGTCACAAACCGTGGGATCGGAGCCCACATCCTGAGTCACGCCGGCGGTATCTCCAACTTGACTGTGGAGCTTGTTTTGGTAGACGCAGTAAGAGGTGGCGGGCTCACCAACGTGACAGGTGCGGCAGGTAAACATAAGTTGGTTGGTGGCGCGGTCTTCCTTAGGATAAAGCAAGTTGGAGCTGTTGAGGTGTTAGTGATTTGCTTGAAGTGAGGATGGCTTGAGTATCGCCCGCTCAGGTGGTGGTCGCCCGTCTCTTGGTTATCAAAAAGGTGCGATCCTCGTTTAGAACGATGCGATATCAAGCCCAATTATGTGTTGACTTGTCAAATTACTTACCACTCGCGGCAGAACTTGAAATGGATTTGCTTCACCTGCTGAGAGTCGCCACCGGCGGAGGAAGAAGGACTGTCGGCCATGTTTGCGGGGGATTGTTGGGAGTCGCGTGGAAGTGTTGGGGATCCGTCGAGGGGAACTTACGGACACCTCGTTGCTGTGTAACGAAGGTGCAGCAGAGAAGAAACAAAAATGCGAGCAAAATATTTATATTTTGGAGACTCCCGCTGATGTTGAAGTTGGAAGGAATCCAGAATAGGATTAGCGTCTCGATATTGGCACGTGCCTTGGAGCCAATGAGCGATCGCTGAACAACTACGGAGTAAGGAAGTTATGATACACGTCTGAAAAGCGGTGATAATACTCACATCAATTTGTATTTAGAGGAGGTATCTCGTCTCTGTTTGTGATCAGCATTTGTCTATACCTGTAATCAATTATAGCCATTTTCAAATGTACATGTATATATATCTACATGGTTGATACATGCCTAAGGTTGTTAGAATCTGTCGCATATTAAGAAAGTGGAGCTTAGCTCTGTTTGGACTGTTTGCACGTAATTCCCCCGCAGTTTCCGCATAAGACTTACCTGGTAGATCGTTTCGTTGACATTTGCAATCCCATTCAATCTCCTTGTACTAAAAGCTTCGGCAATTTCTTGTTGGAAATACAAAAAATGGTGTGCTTCTGTTATGATTTTTAATCCGTTCATAGGCTGACTTCTATGTAGGCTGATACAGGTCTCCCCGACGCATGGGAAGTTCGCCATTCGAACTCCAAGAACCTCCCCTACTACTTTAACCCCTCCACAAAAGAATCTCGCTGGGAACCTCCTGCCGGAACCGATACTGAGAAACTCAAGATCTACATGGCGCAGAACCACACCCCGGCCGCCCGCCCCGATGCCTCTGGTGAAGGCGAAGGCAAAATTCGTTGCAGCCACTTGCTCGTCAAGCACCGCGACAGTCGTCGTCCCAGCAGCTGGAGAGAGGCCGATATTACCCGTTCCAAGGAGGAGGCAATTGAGATCCTAAAGGGTCATGAGCAGCGCATCCAGTCTGGAGAGACCAGCCTTGGTGACCTTGCGGTTGCTGAATCTGACTGCAGCAGTGCCCGCAAGAAGGGTGATCTGTGAGTCTTCATCTGTGCATTACATTTACTCAGATACTAACGAGACCAGTGGGTTCTTTGGACATGGCGAGATGCAGAAGGAGTTCGAAGATGCCGCTTTCGCTCTTCAGCCTGGCCAGGTTAGTGGAGTTGTCGAGACCGCATCTGGCGTCCACCTCATCGAACGGTATGTTTTCCTCCAATATGAACCTGGTTTCGCTATACGATAACTAACAAAGCTCATATATAGCGTTCAATAAACCCGTGTTTTTTTATCTTTTATCTTGGTTTATTCCGAGGAGCGGCGGAAAACTTTTGATCGCATTTACGCTTCGGATTCATGGTCTCACGTTTCGGAAATCTTTCAAAAGAAAATAAATCTACAATGAATGAAATGCCATCTCTTCTGTCTTTATATTGAGGTACTTAGGTACCTTGTCTCGGGTAGGAACAATGGAATTGCGGTAACCTGCAACAATGTAAGTGCGAAACGAGCTCATCAGATGAATATTATAGGTGTGGTTGTGACATAGGACCTTATTGACAGTGGGTCACAATTGGAAAACCTCATTATATCTGAAATGAACAATGGAGATCGTCATTGAAACGTCAGCAAATGGATACTCCATCAATAAGCTCGCTTTAACCTCTTACTTATGTATGATTGATCTCTATACATGAGCTTTTCAAGGTTGAACTAAGATTTCTAACATTGGAATTAATTCGAAATAAACAATCTGGGGAGCGGATAGAGAACCCCGGAAATAAACCGGGACTCGAAGTAAACAACTAACCTTATTTTGGGATCTGAATTACTCACTCATGTATACATGTAGGTCCCATGGTAGGCTTAGTCTATTGACCTATTGTTGCAGCAGAACAAAGAAACTTGGAAAAAAATGGAATTAATTGAACCAAAGTAGTGTATCCAGCGTCGGAGCAAACACTACTCCGATTCCTAATTCAGGGACGGGGCTGATGTATATCGCCTTTCCCCTCGATCCCAAGTTCCTTTCATTCTTTTTTTTCTTACTCAGATCCAAAGCCTGTTTTACTAGCACCATCAAATACTCGTTTGCTTCTTCGCTCGACCGATTACTCGCTATTTTCACCTTCTTGAATCCATTCGCAATGTCTACTTCTACTATGGCTCGAATCAAGGCCCAGGCGTCTAATATCAACGGTAGCCCCTCCATCCTTGACTACGAACTCGATCATACCAAATTTGAGGTGCCAATCTGGCTCCGTATCCCCCCAGAGCTGCGCGACGCCCTCCTCGCACTTGAGCAAAAAGCCATGGCCACCATCGCTACCATGAAGAAGTTGATGCTGCGGCGCGGCGACCGCTTCAACTGTCTGTGCTCTCCCGATCACGCCTTCTTCGACCGACATGCCCAATCTATGGAGCACCTCCTGGGATGGAAAGAGGAGTGGAACCTTATCAACCCCACCCTCGCAGTCTCAGCCAAGATCCCCCAGCAGGCTCTTAGAATCTTCGTCGACGAGGGCGCCTACGCCAGACTCTCCCACCAGTACACCCAACTGGTGGGCGCCTACCTTGAGGGACAGTTCTTCAACTGGTGCCAGGCCCGCAACGGGGTCATCCACCTGGCCCACCGTCTCATGTGCAACCCTCGAAGCCTTAAGTATAATAACCCAAACGACTACAAGGAATTCAACAAGTGGTTCAGCAAGGTTTTTCTCAGCGCCATGTTCCAGTGGGAGTCTTGCCTGAACGCCTTGGTCCTGCCCACCTATGAGGAAACCATCATGGATCTCCGACACATGATCTACGAACGCGTGGACAACAGCATGGGGTTCGAGGGGAACTTTTACATCCCCCTGTGAGCTGTGCTACTTGTATGATTTTCTGGCTCTATTTCGGAAAGGGAGGGACTTTGTCTCTTTTCATTACTTTTTAAAGGATTGAATGAGGAGATGGAACTATGACTGGGATTTGGCTGGGGCGTCAGACAGGATTGGCGCTTTCGTAGGGCAGGTAGATGGCGCTCAACCAGGTGTGGAACTTCTGCCCTGGAGCTTTGCTTTTTTAATTTTTATGACGATTGTAGATTTTTATTGAGAATTTTGTCAGCTTTTTCTTTCTTTCCAAATTCACATACAGATGATCGTAGACAGTGATAGTTCAAAGGTAGGTGAGCATTGCTGCGGGTGACCCGGAATAGATTGCATTATGCTTAGCTCTTTCACAACGCATATAGGCTATATTTGATCTGACTCATATCTTCAAGACCATGATAGTCCAATGATATGATGTTTAGCATGCAAAGTGACTGCTAATACTTTATGGAATTGTGACCTATGGTCACGTGTGGGCATCAGCCCTACATAGTTCAGACCAATTTGAGAGACCAGCAAAATATATCGAAAGGCCAGACACAGTGAATCCCCAAAAAAAAAGACAAAGAGGATTGAAATTTAAAGAAGTTGATTAACATTACACAAGCTAAGAGAATAGTGACAATATTACGAGGTTTGACAAAGGGGGACAAAGATTAGCCAAGAGGAGACTATAAGTCTTTATATGGCTTTGTGTTTGTGTTTGATTTGGTTTGTATTATAATCAAGACTCACTACAATGAAAAATATAGCTTGAAGCTTCAAGCTAGCAGAATCTATATATTTATAAGACTACTTCCATGTAGACCCAGCACTTAACACTCCCTCAACGTTCTCGTGTCACGCAACGCCAGTGTTATCCTAACCCCTCGCAATGTGCCTGTTCTGGACATGCAAATATACCATTTGCGGTTGCATTTGGGACAGACCCCCTACATTGTGCCCGGACATGTTCCTATGCTGGGGCCCACGAATGATAACACTCGAGTCGCACGCAGCGACATGTGCAGAGTGTTGGGCGAGAGGCGATAAGAGGTTGAGAGAGGAGAAGACTTGCGACAATACCGACTATAGAGAAAATTATAACAGAGAGGAATCGAGCTGCGCAAGCAAAACAAACACAGACCAGAGCGATGTTAGTTCCACAGTTGAAGAAAACTATGTCGAAGCTGCAGAGTTCCCACTATCCAATTGCTCACGTCCTGCTACCCCTTTCCTGTATGCTGAAATCTACTCGGAGTTATGTCCAATTGCAGAAGACAACAATTTTGATTTGAGCCGAGTTTGTGACCCGGTGAGCCTTGCCTCTATGTGGAGGAATTGCCGAGCAAGGCGTCAAGTGGCACAGAAAATTGCTTTGTGCGAAGAAGAGTCGGATACGGAGTCATTTGTTTCCTGCAAAGAATACCTGGAGGAACAAGCCCGCGGTGATGATACTTTAAATGGAGAGACGACTCTTGGTGAAGGATTCCTTGACTTTTTTGACGAAAAAATCTTGGATAGACATACACTTGATGAGAAAGATACCAATCCAGAGAACAGCGGAGAGACGAACATGCCTACTACAGTATGCTGGGATCTTTTATAAGATACAAACCCCCTCTTGAACGCTAAGAGGACGACTCATTGGAATTTTATGAATCACTAAAGTACTACGAGGAGTGGGAGCAAGTGAGCAATTGAAACATCACCTGTGCGTAGTGCAAACCAAGGTTTCAGATATATAACAAAATTTTTACAAAAGTCCGTGTGTCATTCATGGAAACAGCTTTGTTCCTTGATCAATAGCAAAAGCACCAAAGTAGAATTAATACGGTAGATGTTGTGAGATATGATGATTCGTAAAAAGAAAAACTATTATTGAAGCTACCTAGACATGGAGAGCGAGAGATACAGACCAACTTTAACATGTCCAACCCTAATTGGTAACCTAGATCTAGCTTACCTAGATGTTTGATGCAAATGGCTTTGTAACCAAAGAGCTACTCGTTTTAATGTTGACACCGAGGCTCATGATATGACATACATGCAGAAGGTTTGAAACCCTTGCGACAGGCTAGAAACTTCACAAACTTGTGTTCAGTCGTTCCAAGCGCGAGGTAATGGCATCAATAACAGCGGACCTAGAAAATATTAGTCTTGGCTCTGCGACAAGCAATTTTACAAGGCAATGACTCACTCTCGTTCAACCATCCTCATCGCATCAGCAACCATGGCACGTTGCAGTCTTTGCGGTACCTTAGGGTGACTGCCGGATGAAACCGGACTCCCGGGTTCTGGAGAAGGCATCTTGGTAGATATGGACTTTGTTTGGGCCATGAGATCCAGGGCGAGGCGTTTGACCTAGGTAAAGTGTGAATATTCGAAAATGGAGTCATGGAAGACAAACTTACAGTTTCGATTCGTGGAATCAGTTGTTGGTCGTCTTCTTGATCGCCACTGGGCCGCAAGGATTCGGACAATGTCTTCACTTCGTTGACCCAAGCCTTTTCCCTCTCACTCAATGGACGTCCGCCTGAATTCAGGACCTTCATGCGCAAAGCCTCATACCGGCGGTTCAGTTCACCTTGCTTGTCTTTGGCAGCTTGGAGTCTCTTATCAAGGGCTTCTCCAGTCCGGACGCCCTCCTTGTGACAGCCGTCTTCGCCAATTTCACTCGTAATTCCCTTCACACGCTCTGCAACGTCTGAAAGTTGCTTCAGTTGGTCTTGCATCTCGCCCTGCAGCCGTTCACATCGGCGGAAGAGATCCGAGGCAGCACGCTCAAGGGCATTTGTATGAGCGGATAGAATGCGGTGGGCAGTAGCCACAAGATCCAATGTTGCTGGTGACAGGCGCACTTGCTCTTTGAGTGTGTGGCGCTGGCGGTGTGGAACGTGCTTGTCAACAAATGAATCCAAGGGGGAACTGGCGTAGAAAATGGCAGGAACTTGGTATGGGGCACGGCTTGGCGGCAAAACAGGTAAGCTTGGCGTGGGTCTCCTGGGCTCATAAATCGATTTGTCCAGTGCTACCGAGAGAGAATCTTCTGGTGTGTCCATGACGGCAGCGTAGGGGTTGGACGGATGGTAGGTGAGTAGCAGGTAGCCAAGGTCAAAGTCGTAAAAGACCAAAGACGAGGCAAGATGCTCTGTTTGGGTGTTAATATCGGTGTCCGCTACCTGTAAGATCCTTTCTCGCTTGGTGACGTTTCCATCGCAAAGAACTTGAAGACGGAAAGCAGATCCTGCGGTGTCTTCGGCCTGCAGCTCAGCTTCTAGTCGCTGAACCCACCCAGATAAGGATAGGAATACCACGTTCATTGAAGTCGTAACAAAGAACGAGTATCGAGAATGGGCATCTCTCGTGAAAGTGGGCCATGTACTTGATTCCTCGGGGTTCTTGAGAGTATCTAAAGATTCCACCAAGACCAGATCAGCGGGCTCCGAGAGAGGCGTTCGGAATGCATTCTTTTTGGCCTTCGGTAGCCACTGTCCCTCGACGCCATCGAGCTCCAGACATATATGGACACGGCCATTTGCGCTGGTAAGAGCCACAACTGTGGCAGAGAGCTTCTCTTGATCTGCGGCTTCCACGGCTAATTCTTCTTCCTCGCCCATCATAAGATCTTCGACGTTCAGCCCAGCAGCAATGACGAGAATATCACAGAGATCTAAATCATCAAGCTCATCGCCAGTATCGAAACGGAAAGGTCCTTGCAGCCTAGGGATGCTGCTGGGGTTTGCCGGGCGAGTGAACACATCTGCGCCTTGAAGAGTTTTAGCGCTGGATGGTACCTCGAAAGACTCTTGTTCATCGAGTTCAGACAGCCAATCGTATTGTTGCCGACAGGCAGTGAGTTCCTCGTCTGAATCCTCGGGGTCCTGTTCCAAAGCACTGAGTTTCGGAACAATTGCAGCAGAGAGCGAAGGAATGGTCGTGGAGGGGGCCTGCCACTTGGAGGGCAGGAGAGGACACAGCGCATAGAGATCACCGGGTCTCATAGCCACCCACAGGGTCATAGGAGCCCATGCATCTTCTTTCTCGTTCCCGTTGCCGGCAAAACAGGCCGACGCGACTTCCATATCGATAACATCGGCGGAGAAACCCTTGTTTTTGCCAAATCCAGAAGGGGCAAAGTCCTGATCACAATAGGCTCCGTCGACTAGTTTCTTCAAATCGATTGCCAGAGTTGGCTGGTCGAATGACCAGTGATTATTCCGATCCAACTCCCACACGCGCACCGCTGCATCAGCAGTAACAGTGACGATACATCCACCTAGGTTACTGTGCAAGCCCAATGGATGCCACAAAGCAGAAACCACCGGTGCCTCTGGAATGACATGGGTCGTCGGTCCTAACTGGTAGGTCTTGAGTCGAATTGAATCGGAGTCGGAAGAAGAAAGGTGAGCTGAATCGGGGAGAACGGAGATGTGAACTGTGTTTTCGGTGACAATCGCGAGAAAGGCGCCATTCGGAGAGGGAATGATTTGCTTGATGAGTCCATACACAGGCACTGCTAGAACCTGCGCAAAGTTAGCGATCAAGTTTACAACGATTTGAGTCTAGCCTGAGCTCCATACCCTGTATGGAGGAATCTCGGTACTATCGGCTGCATCATCAGCCTGAGCGTCAGATCCCTGATTCTGCTTGATTTGTTGTTGCCATTGATCTTTCAGTCGGGAAAGGTTGGACCACCGGATCTCGTTGTCAATCACTGCGAACACCTCATTTCCTCTCTTTGCAATTGTTCGCGTAGCTCCGGTTTTCGTGGGTGTCTTATATCCAGTTTGCAGGTCCTGTGCTGGACTTGGGACTGAACTGTTGGACAGGAACTTTGCGCCTGGCGAGGGCCGGCACAGCCAGGCAGGCGCATAACTGTTGACCTTGGGCATTGAAAGCGCTCAGAAGTGGAAAATTAGAATAGGGAGCTAGTTATGAAAAATATTCAGACCATACTGCGAGGGTCGGAAATAGCAGACAAAGTGGTAGCGCGGCTAAAGGTGGAAAAGAAAGCAAAGTTGTTGATGCGGAGTGGAATTCTTGTGCCAAGATCTTTCTCAGAGCTCCGAGCTTCTTTGATCCGTCAACGACATCCTCGACCACCTTTTCTCTCTCAATATTTTTAATTCTTTCACCATGAGTCTACTGTCTGTAAACACCGTCGATCGGCTGGACCGACCCAGCGCATACTTTGGCAAAGTAAGTCCTTGCCCTTTAATGCGCTTTCACTACGTGGAAAACAGCTCGGATGGGCAAGGGCTAACCAATCATACCTAGAACAAGCGACGCAGATACAACGAGGAGGAGGAACAACAACAGGAAAAGCCTGACGACAAGCTCAAGAATGCGACTACTCTCTATGTGGGAAATCTGTATGCACCCATGCTATCAGCTTGAACGCATTTCATGTTACTGACAAATGCAAGCTCTTTCTATACCACAGAGGAGCAAATCCATGAACTTTTTGCTAAGTGAGAAAGTACATTCGAATATGTATTGATCATCCCTAATTTCAATCGCACAGGTGCGGCGAGATCAAGCGACTGGTGATGGGCCTCGATCGCTTCAACAAGACACCCTGCGGGTTCTGCTTCGTGGAATATTATACCCACCAGGATGCGCTGGATTGCTTGAAATATGTCGGAGGAACCAAGCTGGATGAGCGGATTATTCGCACAGATCTCGACCCCGGATTTGAGGAAGGACGGCAGTTCGGGTACGTGATCATTGCGCTTGGGTTTGACAAGTAGAGGCGACTGACGAAGTTCACAGACGAGGAAAATCTGGTGGTCAAGTGCGTGATGAATACCGCGAGGAATACGATCCAGGCCGTGGTGGATATGGTCGCGCCTACGACGAGCAGCGCCAACGTGAGGAGGATGAATACGGTGCCGGAAGGTAGGTCGGGGCATAATGGAAAAGTACTGGCTTGGAAAAGCAATGGCGTTACTCTATGGGAGGTGAATCCAATTAGCAGAACAGGAAATGTCTATTCACCAAATACCCTATTTACAAGTGTCTTTTTTCTCCGCCTTCTAACGATAGTCTATTGCTTCAATTTGTTCCGCTTCAGCACAGCTGCTTGCACCTCACGAAGCCACCAAGTATGGATTCTTGCGTCGCCTGTCAGCTCTGGGTGGAAGCTAGTACCGAAGACATTGCCTTGTCGTACTGCAACAATGTCTCCAACTTCTTTGTCGGGGTCGCCATCTTGGCCCTCTGTGGCTGAACGAGCTGTCTGTCCCACCAATGTGGCCAGTACCTCGACCTTTTCAGCTGTCGCTGCTTGCGCCACTGAGTCCCGCGCCTGTCGTGATGGTGCCACGACAACATCTTCTTGCTGAACTTCTTCTGTCTGAACACCCTCATGGTGAGGAAGGATTTTTTCGACAATGGGAGCTCGAATAAAAACTGCTGGGAAAGGAGGAGCATCTTGACCCAAGAAAGGCAGATCCAATGGGCCTTGGAAACTTTCAGTCTGTCGACCGAAATGGTTTCGGTTCACTCGGACATCAAGACCACCGATTAACTCTTGCCCGCCTTTCTTGGTCTTGTTGGCAGATTCGGCCAGCAAAATGAGCCCAGCGCAGGTACCCCACGTTGGTTTGCGATCCACTCTGCGCATGGTGTTAGATCGGAAGTTTATATGTTGATCAAACCACCTACTTGACGAATTCCCGCAATGGTTCTAAAATATTTGATCTTGCTGCAACCAATGACATGGTGGTACTCTCTCCTCCAGGCAAGACTAGACCATCGCATGTTGCCAGCTCTTGTGGCGTCCGTACTTCAATGAAGTGCCATTCCGATGGAGGCGCTTGCTCGGCTGCCTTCTTCAACAGTTGTACGTGCTCAAAGAATGCACCCTGCAGGGCTAGGACTCCGACGGTGATAGTCATTTTTGAATATATGAATTGTAGAATGTCCTTTGCCCCGACTCTTTGATATGACTCTTTAAATACACGTGACTTTTAACTTTCCGGCGGAAAACTCATCTCCACGTGAACTCTTATCGATCTGATTACTCTCGCTATCCTCACGTGGTGATAACACAATCACACGATAAGCTTGACTATCTCTTGGGGTAATGATGCCCCTCTGTCTGGGTATAGGGCTTATTGGGGCATATTAATCCCCTATGGATAGAGCTTCTGGCTTTGTTACGATGGTTACCGAAAAATTAGCATATGTGAGCACCCCCCATCGGATATGCTATGGCCAATGTTCGATCAATAACGTTCCATGAAGCCAGAGATGGGGTACAACACGATCACCCGAGATGACCTGTCCAAGGAACCAAACAGGGAGAAAGTTGATCAATCTATGCTCCATCAGCCGACTTTGGTTCGATGGTTCATTGATACCAGACGTTGGGAGAACAAAGGCTTTGATCTTCCCTTGGTCCAAACTCTGACCCCGTCTGACCAAACAGCTGTCAAAAAGTACTTCCACACTTCAGACAAGCGCATGTCCCTGGCTTCCCAGCTCTTGAAATACTATTTTGTTCATCAAGCTACTGGTGCTCGCTGGGATGATATCGAGATAAAGCGCACTCCTGATCCTGAAAGACGCCCGTTTTACGATTCAACTGTTGATTTCAATGTCAGTCACCAGGCTGGTATTACTGTGCTGGCAGGCACGCGCGCCGGAAACAGTGTTGAAGCTGAAAGCAAAGCGCCTCCTCGTGTCGGTATTGACATTGCTTGTGTGGATGAACCCTCTCGTCGGCGCAACGATCGGCCTCCGAAAACTCTTGCCGATTTGACAACTTTCGTGGAGGTCTTCAGTGAGGTCCTCTCGCCTAATGAACTTCACACCATCAAGAATCCTCTTGAGACCCTTCGAATGGCTTACCAACGTAATCTGACGGATATTGATCCGAGTAAAATTGATGAAGAAGTCCTTGCTCGCTACGGCCTTAGGCTGTTCTACTCGATCTGGGCTCTGAAAGAGGCGTACTTGAAAATGACCGGAGACGGCCTCATAGCCCCCTGGATCAAAGATCTTGAGTTCTCCAATGTCATTCCCCCAGGCTATGTTTCATCGCGCGCATCTGAAGGGTCCTCGACCGGCTTGCATGGGCCTGAGCCGTCTGCCAACCCTGCCTTTGCCATTGCACGCTCCGTGCGTCACTGGGGCTCACCCTATACTGATATAAAAGTCACCTTGAATGGTGATCCGGTTGAACACGTGCGCCTCCAGCTCATCTCCTTTGAGGAAGACTACTTGGTTGCCACCGCTGCCTCCGGCTCTCATGTCGGAACTGTGTCTAGTGAAATAACCAACTGGGACAATCATCACCTGCCTGGATTCATCATGTTCCGCGATTCCACACAAGAATTGAAGAAAATTCGCATCGCACCCATCGCAGGCCGAGAAATTGGGGACCGAGACCCCTGGCGCGCGCAATCGGCTATCAGTGACCCCTGGCTGCCCATTCAAGAAGTTGACATTGATATTGACATCCGACCCTGTGCCGAGGGGCGCTGCAAGCACCCGCAGAATCCCCACTTCATCTTTGCGTATGTTGGTTCCCAACCCACCAACTGGATCCAGTCCGATGGCCTGGGCCAACAGCTGACTCCGTTTCTTTCCATAGCGACATCGATTTTCAGGCTGCTGGCATCACTTCTCTTGAAATTTGAATCCTTATCTGCTAGAAACCCATCCCTCGAATCTCTCGCAATTGCATATCATCTTCATCCTCTCTTTCGTATCTGAGCGGATTTTCGGGGCGGTGATTTCCTACTTACCACATTCTGTGTATTATTCTTGTTGTGATTAGCGATTGATTCATGTGTGATTGATGACAGCAGGAATGAATATTCTCTTTGCACCCTCATCAGGATCAAAGTCTTATTTTTTGGTCATCTAGTTTCCAATTCAGGTTCCTGTAGGGCACGTTCTTGGTTCAGCTATACTTCCGCAGGTCACGCATTTCACAAATCCATTTAGGTTACGAGTTTCGAACTTCTGAATTCAAACACTTAAATCAAATCATCTCTGAGCGTAGAATACAATCTGTTTGTAGAAAAAGAAACCTCCACAACCCCCAAGTCTATCTAATGGACCAGGAAAGCCAGTAAGTATAAAAAAAGCTTTAAAAAAAGGTGTCCAACGGGAGCCGGGTCATGCTATGAGTTCGCGCTAAAAATATATACATCCCGAATTGCAGAGGGGGAAAGGGAGAACCGAAAAGCGTGGGAAAGGGGAGAGTATGCCAAAGTCGAGTGTGCGGCGAGTCCCTGGCCGGTGCAGTATAAAAGCGATGCCAGAGGTCCGTAAGATTCCACAAATTCGTAAGGCATTGGGTATGTACCGATTGGACGAGATATACTGCAGTCAGCTGGTTGCTTGGGGGTTTGTTTGCTATTGTAGACATTCGTTTTGAGGACCAGATGTTGTGTCAACCTGGGACACACATCAGGAAGCGTGAGGATGGCGAAGAGCACGTGAGGTCTATAGCAACTTTATTTGTGCGCTTAAATCTCGATAGCGCTAGAAACACCGTTGGTGTGGGAGGAATCAAGCTCGTTCTTCTGCGCGTGGGACATTGCAACAAGAGTCTTGAGCATCGACTCACGCGTGGATTGCGTCAAGCCATCCACATCCCCTGAAGTCAGGTCCTGAGTCTGAATGGGAGGCAACACTGGTAAACTCATTAGTTCTATCCTCCACACGTCTAGTGCCACTTTTGACATCACCAACCTTTGATCTTGATAGTGCCAGAGTTGAAACGCCAGGCACGAGGCGATAAGATATGTGAGTAGTTCTCCGTCACAATGGGTACGATTGGTACACCGGCCTTGACAGCCAGATGGAAAGCACCCTTTTTGAAAGGCAGAAGGGTGGGCTCGTCGGAGTAACTCCGAGTGCCTTCGGCGAAAATGAAGACACTCTGGCGGTGATCACGCATCTCAGCAGCAGCGCCATCAAAGGCTTTGAGAGCAGTCTCCCGGTTAGCACGGTCAATGAAGACAGTGCGCGAAAGAGACATGAACCAGCCCAGGAAGGGGATGTTGCGTAGAGACTTCTTGGCAGTCACACTGCAGTATGGTGGGAATACGCAGCCAAGCATCAACACATCCAGCTCAGTCTGGTGATTTCCAATGAAGACGGCCGGACGTGTGGTGAGGTGTTCTTCGCCTTCAACGATCTCGAACTTGACGCCGGTCGTGAAACGCATCAGCCATTTAAAGCCTCGTCCAGCTGCCCATTGCGAGACACGTCCATATCCAACTAGCCGCAGGCAGATTGAGGCGATCACGCCGTACGCTGCAACTAGGAGGAGGGAGCCATAGGAGGCAAGACAACGAGCGACAAAGGCGGCGCGGGGTACTTTCTGACCGATAGCAAAGAGAGACACAGTCACTACCACGAAGTAACTGACGCCTGACACAATACAAGAGCCGAAAGACATGGTGACGGTTGTTAAGTAAGTGAAGAAGAGCTGAATGCAATTAGAGGACGGATATTATAACTCAAATGGTAGGGACGTACTTTATTCACTCGTTATTATGGGGCACACCCAGCCCACGAATGTGGTTCGACGCGGTCTCAGGCAAACCGAAAGAGAAATAGAAAGGGAGAAGTTGAAGGGAGAAGTAGAATAGTAGATCAAATCCAAGACTCCATGACTGTGGGGAAGAGTCAGTCGGAGAACAGGAAACGTTGAGTACGTTTTTCTGCCTTACTCTCCCGCTCAATCCCCAACTTGTAAACATTGGTGCCGACTCACCGCCTTGCATGCGCAGATGACGGTGTCACCGGAAGATATGCACTTGCGGGGGAAAGCGGGGAGTATACAAGCACTCACACACATGTAGGATCTTGTGATTATAGGGTCAATCATTTGAGGTATTCCAACAATAATGGATTATGCAAACACCAATCTCGTGATGCATGTCAGGGAAATCATTCAACTAATGTACAGTACACCTTGATGCCAGATCTAAACCTGGAAAAGAAAACTCCACAGTGATGCTGTGCAAAGAGACCCTCAAACGCCGAGTTCGTAAGAAAGGGCCTCCGTAGGAACCCAGAAGAAAGACCTAGAACGTCACAGGTCTACGCTATGTCCTCATCCTCCATGTCATCGTCGTCCAACGACTCCATTGCGTCCTTGATGTATTGTGCTGCCTGAGGTAATGTCAGAGATTGCGATGGAATAGGGGGGTAAAGGCTAAAACATACCTTTGGATCCAAATTCAAGGCCGCCGTGAAATGTTTGATAGCATTGGCCTTGTCATGGAGCGTTTTGTACAGCCTGCCCAGAAGGAAGTGCACGTTTGCCTCATCTGGCGCCATGTCCTTCAAGACCTTTAATTCCGCCAGAGCGAATTTATATTCCCGTAGCTTCATCAACACTCGCGCCTTGCGGAATTTGGCCAAGACCGAATGGGGAGCCAATAAAGAGGCTCGGCCGTAGTGAACTAGAGCATCCTGGGGGTTGTTCATTTTCTCCAAAACCAGACCAATGCAGCAAATGAGCACCGCGTTCGTCGGGTTGATGCTGGCTGCATTTCGGAAATGCTGCTCGGCAAAGTCAAGTTTCCCCATCTTATCGTACACTGTACCTAGTCCATACCATGCGTTGTAGTGTCGACTGTCCGCATTAATGCCGTGACGATAAGCCTCCAGTGCTTTGTCGTATTCCTCATTGGCAACATACTCATGTCCTTGCAGTGTAAAGGCATATGCAAACTCTGGGTCAATCATTGTTGCACGCTTGAAACACTTCAATGCTTGATCGTGATCCCGTTGGTGAGAGAAAGAATTACCAATCGCACACCATGCCTGAGGGGATAGTCGGTCAGCTTCAAGAAGTTGGTGTGCTAAGTAGGCCAATTCGACATCACTCTTCAGATGCCATAAAACGGTTGAGTAGATCTCCATATCCTCTAAGCGAGATGGGGCTAATTTCTGGACCCGGGAGAAATATTTGGCGGCTTCTGTGTAGCTTGCTTGCTCGAAGTTGGCCCGGCCAAGTTGAGAAAGAACCCAAGGAGTTTCTCGCTGCCCTTGGGAAAGTGAATTGAAGGCGCTGATGGCGTCTAGGCACTTGTAACGGCTTAATGAGAAATAACCAGATGCAAGTTTACTAAAAAGACCCAGAAGCCAATCCAAGGCTTCAATCTCTTTTGTCTTTTCGGCATTTTTAGGCAATGGAGGAACAGCATTATGAGGTTGCAGTAAGCCGTTACGATGATCTTTACCATCGTTGTCGGGTGCCTCCATGGGTTTGCGATTGCCACTTACGACACGACCAACAGTAGGTACGGATCCTGTCCGGCTTTTTGAGGACACTCCTCTCAATTTTTTCATTTCGCGGCCATCTCTGCCGGTGAGAGTGCTGTTTGAAAGCTTGCTGGTGGTTGGTTTGATTTGATTAAATAAGCGAACGCTTCGGCGCTGAGGAGCACCCGGTTCAATTGGTTGTGATTGGGGGAGGGGGTGGGCGACTTGTCCGGAGACTGTGCGCTTGCGGTCGCCAAATCTTGATGTAAGAGTGGGTTCTCTTTCCATTGGAGCAGTGGGCAGAGAGTCTGGTTCTGTGCGCGTTTTATGTCTGGGTCGGATACCTGTTGGGCGCATCCGCGGTGGAGGTTGCCCGGTATGATCGAGGCTCATGGTTTGGATTGTGCGCGTCTTTCGGGCCGGGGCCAAGGGTGCCTCCCATGTAGAATCCGGGTCGGTCACTCCATTGGCAATGCGAAATTCTTCAGAGCCACTGCTTTGTCCGCCTGGGGTTTCCATTCCGTCTTGAAATACTGGCTGCGCTATCGATGAAACATTGACGGAGCTTCCATTTAACTTTTCCCAGAGAGCAGCGCTCCCATATGTGATGTCCGGCTCGCCACGGGAGGCAGAGACCATGAAAGGGTCAGACTCAGGATTACCGGGGGGTGGAGGGGGAATCTTCCTTCTCCGGAACCCATGTTGTCCGGCGCACTGGCTGATTCCTCGGGGGATGAAGAAATTATTGCGAGCAATTCTGGGCTCAGTTGGAAAATATTCGGCACTCGGATATTAACACCTGCTATCGCGTTAGAAGAAGACTCAACTGCAGTACAAAGGTAAAGCGTACCCGTCTCGCATAGCCCGAGGAATGCATCCCACATGAAGGGGTTCAGTTTGAGTGCCTCCACGTAGCAGTCAACTGCTTTGGTCAGATCTTTATGGGCATGCCAAAGTTTTCCCTGAAGGCAGTAAACGGCTGCAGCATCGGGAAGATGCTGTCGCTGAGTTTCACTGTGTTTATCTGCAATATCATTAGTTTATGGACTCGGCGTCAGAGAAAGGATTGTTGGCGCTTACTCCAGTGGTTCTTGGAAACCCAGAGGTTTTTGCAGCGATCCAGAGCTGTGGCGCCATCTAAGTGTTTTCCCAAGTCTAGACACGTCTGGGCGAAAACATAGGCACAACCGGCATGTAGTCCGCGTGAGCCCGAAACCTGGCTGACATCAAATGCCGCCTTCACTTCTCCATTATGTAGGTGGCAGAGGGCCAGCAGATATTGTGCCTCGAATGATCGCGGTTCATAAGCATGGAGGCGCGCCGCAAGGAAAAGCGCATTTCGAATGAGGTTATTGTCAAGTTGGTAGTAAATGAGGTGCCGTAGCTGGCTGGCAACATGTCCGGTGGACAGGGCCATGGTGAGGGGTCCAGGGCACGTTATGCGACAGCGCAGGGCAAAGTGGACGGCTATGGGGATTTAGATCGAAAGTTGAGGCAATGATGCGATTGCAAGGGTCGGTTGCTCAGCGTAAATATCACATCAATGTCCAGCGCCTTTGTTGGTGTCCTCCGAGACGCGGGGAGGAAACAGCGACGCGATCGAGTGAGTTGTAGCGCGAGGGAATAATCCAACAACTCCCACAAGACATGGACAGGAACGATTTCCGATGCCCTCACAGCTTCGTCTGGATGCAGTAGCAGATCTCGATACGCCTGCAGGTGTGGAACGTGGAATGTAAACCCAAGCCGGAAATGGTAAGAGGATGAACGACAGAAAGAAGTGAATATCTGATTACGTCATCTGCAGACGCAGGATAGGTCTCTCAGCGAGTCCAGGGCATTTCAACAGATTAAAAAATAGAAAAGAAGTAAAGAAATGCACCAAAAGTTATAGAGCTTCTACCGTTCTTTCTGTTATTTTGGTCGCCGGTCTTTGTCGTTTCTGCCGTAGGGCGGTGAATGTTGGGGGGCAACAATCATCCGATGTGCAGCTGTCATTCTCTCTCCACTCAGCCTCAGATCTAGATTGATTATCTCAATTTGCAGGATTGACTTCTCTTGGAGAATTGATCTTGATCCTTTCGAGCTGATATTTGACTTCATTCAGTATCAGATTGGGGATCATTTGGTGATCATATTCAATCATGGCCCAGGTATGTATTGAACATGGTAACCTGCAGCGGTTGTACACTCCGATTCCAGGTCAACCTTGAATATCGCAGGAAAAGAACATATCTGATCAAGTCTTAGAAAGCTGCGAAATCCCTGGCGACCCGCAATAGCGCTGTCCTCAGTCGTACTCACCTCATCTCCGCCGCATTGCACCTGCTCTTCCTCGTGCTGCATTTCACCTTCCAGCGGCCTCGATCCCTTAAGCCCTACTTCTTCTTGGGGGTTCCAACTCTTGCCATTGAATACTACCTCGACCGCATGGGCCGACCCCGGTATAACGACGATGGCTCTCTCCGCTCTGCGGGTGAAGATCTCAATGCAACTGGGCTAACGGAGTACATGTGGGATGTCCTTTACTGGACACAAGGATGCATCGTCGCTGTTTGTCTCTTCAATGATCGCGCTTGGTGGCTATGGACTGTGATTCCATTGTACTCTGTCTATGCCGCCTATACTACCGTCATGGGCGTGAAGAAGGGATTCGCCGGAATGGGTGGCGGTGCAGGCGAAGAGGTCGATGCCCCGAAGAGCAAGACACAGATGAAGAAAGAAAAGAGAGGCTCGTCTATGAAGTACAGGTGATCAGCTTGAGGTGTCGAAATGTACAAAGCATGTTGTATAATTAAAGCTCATAAAGTTGCTGTCATAAGGTGTTCATTCGTGTTCGAATATACCACATAATAACTTCCTGTAGTCAGAAATTGGCAGCTGATAATCCCTCTCTGTGGACATACAAATTACTTAGACGGAGTCCACATGCCTTTGCAGTAGCATCAACTTGTTAAACCACCAACAGACTTTGACTTATACACGCCTTACTAGGTCACCATTACGATCTTACTCTATGGTCACTTATTCAACTATGTGAGTATTATCTTGTCAGACTCTAGGGCGCGTCCAATATATACATCCATACAAGCAGGTACTAGGCAATACGGGTGTTTCCAGTGACGTTGAAACTTCCAAGGTTGCTCGTTGTGAATATATATATATGTACAACATTGTGCTGTACAAAATTGAGGAACCTGTGCCACAAACTTCAAAACTCTTTCAGTCAAATCAGCGAGGACCATACCAGAATCGTAGTTTATGTAGAATTGTGGTTTATGAAACCTTGGAAAGGGATGAAGAAATGAAAATAGCTCAACATGGCTTCATAGACACGCAGGACCTTGCCTCATACTTATTAAAAACACAAATTCATTCAAACACATATAACATGCAGATATGTAAAATGCTGTTGCGGGTCAACCATTTGCTTGCGATATTGCAAAAACTTCCATTCATTCATTATGTACTCGACAGATATCACTTCTTGCCAAGCCTCGTATTCCGACCAGGAAGTGACCGTAGATGAAGCAAGATGATGACATAGAAACCGAAAAAAAACTGTGCATGTGGCAGGTCATTAAAGTGTGGTTGTTGTGACAAAATATGTGGGGAATAATGCATCGGGAGCCGCATGAGGCATGCCCAAGACATGGAGTGTCCTTGGAGCGAAGTGTTCTAACCCGAAACAAGAGTGGGAAAGAGAAAGAGGAAACAAAAGTCGTAATGAGATGCTGCGGATCATATCGGTCACAGCTCATCTCTGACTGAGGAAGCTGCACTCTTCACGCTGCTAGTCGCATCATCGACGTGGGATGCGGCGGTCTCGTCTGCCTCGGACGCAACGCTGCTAGCACTGGCGGCTAGGTCAGCCAAGCGTGATTTGGCGCTTTCAACGGCACCGGCGAGACGGATTGTGGCGCTCTCCACTGCGTTGGGTTGCTCGCCATAAATGGCAGAACTAGCTTTGGATTGGATATCCTCGATGGCGTTCTTGGCGACATCAATGTAACTGGATTCCTTGCCGTAAACAGCGCTGCTGATTTGCGCAGCTGCCGTCGAGTAAATATCAGCCGCAGCATCTGTGGCTTGGTCATAGGAGCCCCTGGGAGTTCCATAGATACCAATACTGGCAGCGTTGACGGCGGCATGGAGTTGGTCATTCGCATGTTGCATGATTTCTTCTATGCTTGGAGCTTCGGAAACGATTGCAGCGGCGGCTGAAGATGCAGATCCATATGCCTCATTGATGTAACTTGAAGCAGATGATACTGCAGCAACCGGGTAAGGCGTCTCGTATGCGGCGTGGAGCTTGCTGAGCACACTCTCGGTAAAAGAGGGCTGCTTGCCCACCATTAGTTCGGACACAATGTTCTGAACTGCCTCAAACCGAGCAGCCCCGTTGTTCACCAGTTGCTGTGCATAGGGTGTTGGTGCACCATAGATTTGCTCGCTAGCTTGAGAAACAAGGATATCCCAGTTTGCAGATGCTTGACTGGACAGGGATTCCAGGGGGCCCGTAGAAGTTCCATAGATAGCCGAGCTAGCGGATATGGAAGCTAAAGAGAGCGAGGAGGAAGCTGCGGAAATCGCAGCGTTGTATCTAGATGAAGCATCATCGATGATGCTCTGCATTTTGCCGTCGTCCGCAGATGAGACAACCGAACTTGCTGATGCCACGACCGCGGCAAGACTGGCAGAAGCCAATGAGGAAGCACGTTCGTATCGAGAGCCAGCTTCCTCAATGACTCCATTGAAAACCCCGGGAGCTGGGGTTGGGGTTGGGGAACCATAGACAGCACCGGATGCCGCGGAAACAAAGACAGTGTAGTGGTCATGAGCCAAACCAACAGCCTCATAATAGCGGCGCTGTGCGTCGAGAACAAATGGCTCTAGACCAGAGGGGCCTGTGGGGGTTGCGGTTTGATGCACCTGAGCTAGTTGTTCAGATGCCAGGCTGAGGCCCTGGTTCAACCGAGATGATGCGATAGAAGAAATCTGGACTAGAGGCCCGGCAGTAGATGGCGTCGGGGTGGCCCAAACAGCGTTGAGATTCGAGTCCAGCTTATCAGTGGCATATTGGAGGGACCCAGAATAGGCCGACTCAATAGCGGCCAAAAGCTGGACATGAGCGGGAGCGCTGGATTGAGCCATCTGGGCAAGGACCTGGGATTTTGCAATCTCATAGAGGAATTTGGCCTGAGCAGTAGAATCAGCAAATGCTGAGCTCGCATCGCCAAACAAAGATTGAACCACTGGTGTTGGGCTCCCGTAGATGACCGATGATGCACTGTAGCCACGGTATTCAATTAGTGAGGATTCATTTTTGGGGGTATGTACTTATACAGAAGCTGGGATAATTCATGCTACTTACGCGGCAACAGCCTCACTGTATTTTTCAGACGCAGCACTGGCGACCTTCTCACCAGGACTCAATGGAGTGCCGTAGAGAACGCCCGAGGCGGCGGACCAGGCATGAGCGTACTGGTCACTAGCTAAGGAAGCTGCCTTCTCGCCGACTCCAGGTGTTTCTGAGACACCGTAGATGGCTTCGCTAACAGCATTGCTTGCTTCAGCGTAGGTATCACCAACCTTGCTCGCCAAGTTGTGGAGCGCATCCTCGTGGTCTTCGTCATCAAGAATGGGTACTTGGGGCGAGTTTATTTCGGCAGCCGCAACACCGAAGGCAGGCCTCACAGAGGGCTCGTCTTCCACCACAATATCATCAGCCATGGATGACTCGTCCTCGTTATCAAGATGTTCAGCATCGAGTCCAGCAGAAGGAGCATCGGGACTAAGAGTATTCGCAGGGGTCGCCTCAGAGGCAGTCGCCGAGTTCAACTCCGAGGTTGTTTCAAAGCGGTCAGGATCAGCGGTGGTTTCTTCGTCAAGTTCCTCAACTTCAGCCGGGGGCTGAGGTCTCGGTGGTTCTCCAGTCCTTGTTTCGAAATCATCGCTAACTTCGCGAGCGGCGATTTTCCAGACACCGACATCCTTCAATCGAATAAGTTCCTTGGCAGCTTCTTCGGCGTCATGCATACCACTGTCCAAGATCTCATTGGCCACAACGCGGGCCTTTGACACAGAGTTGTGGTTCAGGCCGATATGCCGGATTTCATTGCGCCATTCCTCGAGCTGGGCCTTGAGGGCATGGTACTTAGCCCAATCTTTGTATGTGACACCATCATTCCAGGCCCAGCGCATGCCAATTTCTTGCAACCCTAAATCACGGATGCTGTCGAGAACATCAAGGGTGGAGTTGACCGCGGCAGTTACGCGGCGAACAAGCTCCTCTTCAAACGAGTTGGACCACTCTCGCAAGGCATGAGCACGATCTCTCACTGAGATGGCAGATACTCGAATGTCCTTGACAAGCAAACTGGAAGTGGACTCTTCGATGAGAGGAGCATCTTCCTCTGGCATTGATTTTGCGAGCTCATTGATACGCTGCTTTATCCATGATATTTGTTCAGAAGAAACTGACTGGAGCGCGGTAGAAAGACTCTTGCCATGGCTGTTGGCACTGCTTGAAACCAGAGCAGAGACGATCTCAACAATGCGCTGCTCAAGATCTTCAACGCCCTTATCAGCGGCAAGAGAAAACTTTTTCTGCCAACGCTCAAGGTCAGAGTCGATCTGATCACGGGCCTGCTGTGCTTGCTCAGTAGGGGTCAAGGTGGGTTGAGAGGGTGCCTCCGTAGTGGATGTAGAGGTCACAGTGCTTATAGCCAGCTTCTCTTCGGATTGGGTGACCGAGGTGGTAGCAGGTTGTACGGTCGAGCTGCTGGTGATGGGGTCAGTAAAAATATAGAAAGGTCTGAGCATATGATTTTGCTTTACTCACCTGTCCAACTCTTCTACAACGGCGCGAAGTCGTTTGCCCTCCCTGTAGCTCGCTAAACGCTGGCCAATTTTAACCAATTGAGGCTCCACTTGCTCGGAGTATAGACCGGTCACATGCGGCCACAATGAGCTGTTGGCGAAATAGACCAGAGAGGACCAAATATACTGCGCACCAGGCATGACCTGGGTTGCCAGAACGCCATGGCTTGTGGAGTAAGCTTTTCCGATGAAAGGTTTGGAATGGGTGTAGAAAGGCACCAGATGGCCCCAGTAAACAGAGAGCGCAGCGGTATTGGCTTTCTGATAATATGGCAAAACAGCAGAAACGCCACGCTGAACATATGGGTCCACTTCAGCCAGATAGAGCTGATGGGCTCTACCTTGAGCTGTCTGCAGTCGAGGTGTGACCTGGAGTTGCCATTGCTGAACCCCGTAGGCCTGAGCTTGTTCCAAAGCGGGAGCACCGTACTTCTCGTATCCCGATTTGGCAACCTTTGATGCCGGGGAGTATACCCGCTGGTTGAGCACATTTACGTATGGGCGAGCTTGGTCAACGTAAGGCGCAGCATACATATCATAATATGGCGTGATATAAGGATCGACGTGCGAACGAGCGATCAGATAAGGCTTGCAGACTCGAGGGGACGTTTCCGTAAGATTTGCAAGGTCGGCAGGGCATCTGAGAAAGGGCGTGATGAGCGCGTACCATATACACAGTCTAAGAAGTTCAAATATTAGTATTACCCTATGAATACCATGATAACGGCAGCACTCACCTAGCGACAAGCCCAATGGTCCATCGTGCATAGCCCTTCTTCCGTGGCCTTTCAATATGGGTTGGGCCGTTTGGTTTGGTGGCCTCTACCACTTGGCCATTCTCTTTCACTACCATTCTGTATGTGGCTGACCCTTTGCGAGGCCACGCGATTTGTGAATTGTAGGTGGGCCGCCTTAGTTAGCGGAGGACTTCCCTTCCACGCTTGAATCAAGTTGGCTGAAAAAGGATTACCGCATTGGGAAAGAAGCTCAACGGCCGATTCGAATATTGGTAGGTGATATTGTAGCTTTTGAAAGTGATGTAAAGCAAATTAGCTGTAGACGGGAATGCTCGCGTCGGTCTTGGCGCTAGACTTTCACGGGCCGCGGTCAGATATTTCGAGTAGATGCCTAGGCTTGAGAGAAATGCTAATTTGGAGGGAGTTAAAAAGAACCGAGATCGAAACTGGGAGGGAAATGCAGAGTATTAAACGAGAGCAAGGGCCTCTCAATATGACACAATCAGGGACGATTATTCTGTTGGAGTTTCAGTGAGGTCATCGGTGGCCAGGCGTAATGCATATACAATAATACGGCAAATATTCTACATGAATGTGTAATCTATAGTGTAATTTATGTAATGTTGATCAAGCTTACTCAGCTTAGCGAATTGTGGACTGAGAATCGAAACAGGTTGAACTGATGGCTTTGTTACTTTCATGATCTGCATAATTACAAGGTTGGTGCTAGCAAATGTTGCCCCCAAATGGCAAGGCTCTATATACTGATTGTTCCCTTCAGCCTAACTTGGACTGCCTGAAAACCCAAGCCTTTCCGCATGTTTACGCCCGCCTTCACCAACCCGCTTGTCTAAGAACATGGTGAACAACTGAACAACTATCACCGTCGATTCGACGCAAATCTCACCATGGAAGGCGCGGATAGTAATTTTCGCAACCATGCGAATTCCGCCGCGTTCCCCGACGTAATGAACGACCCAGCCTACGACGAAAGGGAAAAGGGTTTCGACGACCTAGACACATGCCGGATATGTCACGGCGAAGCTACAGATGAAGAGCCGTTGTTCTATCCGTGCAAGTGCAGCGGTAGTATCAAATTTGTTCACCAAATTTGTCTCGTGGAATGGTTGTCGCATTCGCAGAAGAAACACTGTGAGCTGTGTAAAACGCCATTTCGGTTTACGAAGCTTTACGACCCGAACATGCCCCAGAGCCTTCCCGCGCCTCTATTTCTAAAGCAAGCTTTGATCCAATGCTTCCGCTCATTGCTTACTTGGATGCGATTTGTTCTTGTCGCCTTCGTTTGGCTAGGATGGTTACCCTGGTCCATGCGCGCAATTTGGAGAGCACTGTTTTGGCTTGCCGATGGCCGCTGGTCTGCCACTGAAAATGCTCGGGTCCAGGCTGCACAAGCTACCAAAGAAGGACTTGGACAACTGCTCTCAAACGGCAGCACTGTCAATGCTGCTGTAGTTGGCGCGGTCTCAACGGTTTCCAGTGCGGCTATCTCGTCTGCCACTGCTGCACCTTCGGCGCCGCCATCGATTCTTGATTTTGCAGCCGGCGAGCCCCTCATGCTTACCGTGATAAAGAAGCTTGTCCCTACTCTGTTCATACCCGCATTCACCTCGACCGTCGGGCAAAATAGCGCAGACAGCAACGCTGCGGCTAGCCCAACCAAACTACGGTACCCATCATGGCTTTCGGATGTCAAATTTCTGAACTCTCTGACGCCGTATCCCACGATCAACAACATGATCATCGATACATTGGAGGGCCAGCTGATAACACTTCTTGTGGTTGTGGCATTCATCCTACTCTTCCTAATCCGAGAGTGGGTTGTTCAACAGCAACCCATGGCCAATATCGCAGAAGGAGAGCGCGAGGCGGCTCTCCAGTTGATTGCCAATGCCAACAATCGGATTAATGAACGATTTGCCGAGGAAGGTGGATTCGGACATCCAGAACCCGCTCTTGCCGAGGCCCAGAATCCAGCGAACAATGAGAATGCTGAGGTCCATGAGCTCGACCATGATCATCCGCCGCACTTTCGTCCGCCCTCCCCAGCTCCATCTTGGACCGATTCGGAAGATGGTCCTTTCGGCCTTGAGACCGATGCACGAGAATTCGATGCCCTCAACCCAGAAACTGAAACTGACGATTCCGCTCCCACTGCTAGGGCCCTAGCCTTTCGAGAATTGGTGGCTCGGACTCATGGCAACCATGATGAAATGCTGCGCATCCTCCGGGAAGAGGCTCACGGGGACGATCTTGATTGGATTGTAAATGACATGACCGGAGCCACCATAAACAGGGGCATTCCAGAAGGACCGTCTAACCGGCCCCAGGATGCGGACGACGGGGAACTTCCTGACAGTGGCGATGTCTTCAATGCTGGAGAGGAAAGTTTCAATGGCCATCAACAAGATGTCGAGGGTGAACGTACAGTCGCGGACAATCAGTCGCCCATTGCTGCCAACGATACTCCCGCTTTCAATGAACAGGCGGCCAATCGACCACCACAAGCCATTGCCGAGAGAATTATTGATTGGTTCTGGGGTGACATCACACCGGCAGAGAGGGACGCAGATGATTTAGTCCCCGAGGATGAGGAGCACATCGTTCAGGACCCGGCTTTAGAAGACCCATTTGTGCCCCTACCAAACCGCATGATGAACGAACCAGGCGAAGCAGAAGCTGATGCTGCTGCGGCCGCGCAAGTTGGGTTGGACCCTAACGACATGGAAGCAATCGAAGGCGATGATTTTGAAGGAATTATGGACCTGATCGGCATGCAAGGTCCTATTTTCGGACTGTTCCAAAATGGCGTCTTTTGTGCCCTTCTAATTGCCTTCACAGTTGCCATTGGTATATGGCTTCCTTACCTCTGGGGCAAAATTGCCCTAGTGTTGTTGGCCAACCCATTGGAACTGATCATTGGTGTTCCTATCACTGCGGTCGAAGTCGTCGCGAATGTCGCTCTCGACACACTTATTGGTGTTGTGGGATATGCGTTGTACTGGTTCACGTTTGTGTTCAAAGTTCTACTAAGTCCACTCGGTGGACTTATTCCCATCGGAGAATGGATTCCTCGCGACAAATCGGTCACCAGTGCATCGCTTTCTCTCATAGAAGCTAGCAGTCGCCGTTTGAACAAGGTTATTAAAGCGTTTCTGGCCTTTCACGAATCTGACATACCAATGTTTTCAGTTCTCTCGCACCAAGCGCTCAAGCTACACCAGGCTCGTTTCAGTGCTGTCTGCCAGTCTGTATTTGTCACCGTGAAGTTCATTGTGCACGACCTACCACTCCGAATCGTGACGCTAGGCGTACCAGGTGCCTTGTCATTTGAATTCGATATTTCATACCTGATGCATTACGCCGGTCAAGTCCAACAGCAATTCATCGATTTCGGCAAATCAGCCTTCTCGTCTATATTAGGAAAGAGGTTGATGAATGCAAGCGCAGCAAAAGCTGCCTCAACAGCAGCGACCGTTGACTATGAATTGGCGGTCTGGGATTCCAAGGATCGTGCCATTGCCATTTTGATGGGCTATGTCCTTGCATCCATGATTGGGCTCCTATATCTCCGGATCACTGGGCTAATGACACGCGCCAACGGTGGTCAAAGAATCGAGGGTCTAGTTGCTGAAGTGCTTATCCAAGCCGGGGGAGTCATGAAAGTCATTCTCATCATCGGAATTGAGATGATTGTCTTCCCTCTGTACTGCGGCAGTCTTCTTGATCTAGCTTTACTCCCGCTCTTTTCTGAGGCTACGGTCGTTTCTCGTGTTGCGTTCACAGCCGCCTCGCCCCTCACATCCCTTTTCGTGCATTGGTTCGTTGGCACTTGCTACATGTTCCACTTTGCCCTATTCGTCTCTATGTGCCGGAAGATTCTACGGAGTGGTGTCCTTTGTAAGTGGTTTTGAATATTTGCCAGCTTCATCGTCATGCTAATTCGCCGAGCACAGACTTCATCCGCGACCCCGATGATCCGACTTTCCACCCGATACGCGATGTTCTCGAAAGGAGCATCACCACTCAGCTTCGCAAGATTGGGTTCAGTGCCCTTGTTTATGGTGCACTGGTTATTGTCTGTTTAGGAGGAGTTGTTTGGGGCCTGCATTTTGCACTCGATGACGTTCTCCCGATCCACTGGTCGGCCAGTGCGCCAATGCTCGAGTTCCCGGTTGACCTTTTGTTTTATAATTTCGTGCTACCGGTAGTCATCCAATCTTTCAAACCATCGGAGGGGTTGCATGAATTGTATGACTGGTGGTTCCACAAATGCGCTCATTTCCTGCGCCTCAGCAACTTTTTCTTTCCGGAAAGACACCTGGAGGAAGAAGGTTACCATGTCCGAAAGTCGTGGTGGGGCCTGTTGTCTGGCAGCAAGGGTGATTGGGAACATCCAGTCATCGGTGATGATCAACGGGCTGCAGCCGAGCAGGAAAACCGTGATGTCTATTTCCTGCGCGATGGTCGATATGTGCGAGCCCCTGGTTCAGACCAGGTCCGCATCCCGAAAGGCAACCGTGTTTTCTTGGACGTCACCGAGGATAATGAACGTGTCGACGGAAAGCCAGATCTTGCCGATGGGCTACACGGACGATCCAGTATCATGTTCACCAAGGTATACATTCCTCCTTTCTTCCGGACTCGGATCGCTGCCTTTATCCTCTTGATTTGGCTGTTTGCCGCCACTACTGGAGTAGGCATCACTATTGTTCCGCTGATCATTGGTCGGAGAATTATCATGTCATACTCGTCTAATTCGGCACCGGTGAACGATGTTTATGCCTTCTCTAGTGGCCTTTGTGTAGTTGGTGCGTTTGTCTACCTGGCCTACCACTCTCGCACTGCATTCCAAGTTGCGCGAGAGCATGCCGGTGTATATCTTCGATCCCCTCGCCAGGCAGGCCAGATTAGCCTGGAGCTCGTGATGCACGTTGCTCGGCTGGTTTACCTCGTCACCGTTGCCATCATTATCCTCCCATCACTCTTCGCGCTTCTCACTGAACTCTATATATTGATCCCTGCGCACACCCTCTTTGGAGATGGACAGTCGCATGTGGTTCATGTGGTTCAAGACTGGGCGCTCGGCGTGCTATATGTTCAGATGGCCATCAAGTTGACTCTGTGGCAACCTCATTCCTGGGCCGCTGCTGTGATCAATGGCATTTTCAAGGATGGCTGGTTGAAACCCAGTGCTAGCCTTGCTACTCGAGCCCTGGCCATTCCATTTTTCTTGTTTACCGCCGCTGCTGTCACTTTGCCATTGTCATTTGGGTTCATTGTGCGTTGGTCATTCTTTTATTCTAGCACCGGAGTGCAGCCTAATATTTACCGCTACGCCTACCCCACCACACTGTTGATTGTGCTGTCCGTATGTCTCTCCCATATAATTCTGAGACGAGTGGCGGCCTGGCGCACCAACATTCGCGATGAAGTTTATCTCATTGGGGAACGCCTGCATAATTTCAGTGAGAAGCGGGCGCGGGACGTCGGGGTGTCGCGAGTGATGACTGGATAACGGAAATGATGTTTTACTTTTTAAGTCTGAATGGCTTGCGAAGGGAAAAGAAATCCCCTCACTTTATTAATTTACGGCATTAGTGCGTGTGAATCAAAAATGAATTCAATATTGAACTATATTGAGACTTGCCACTGAGGCATTATATACACGTATTTATTTCTATATGGGTAATTCGTATCTGTATTACGGTAATATAACATTTACCTGCTGCCTGCCACGTGATCCACCATCGGCTGGCTGTGAGCGCTCATTGGTTAGGCAACAGGATTCCCTCGATCGCCGCTGTGTGGTTATCGGTTCATCGCCGTCCTCAAGGCACCCATTGAAACTACACTTTAGCCCTTTGCCACACACTTTTTTTCCAATCCATGGATTCTTTGCTCTTCAGCGACTCTGAAGATGTATTCTTGAACCTTCTAACTGCAGTGAATTGTCTCTAACGTTCGATATTGTGCTCTTCGCCCTTATCAATTGCCTCCGCAAACGCCAAGATGTCAGTCCTCCGCCATGGAGGAGGGGGCGGCTTTCTTCAGCGGCGCCTCACGAAATTATACACTGATACGAAAACATCATGCGAAAGTGTCACAACAGCATCGAAGGCTCTCGACGACCCGGAGCTCGTTGCTCTCCACGGGAGTTTTCAGAAACAGAGAGATCGCTTGTTGTCATGGGGTCTCGATTGGAGCGATGCAAGCGCTGCACAGCCCAATGATATCGATGAGTCTTTGACCGCAGCAGGCTTCAGTGATGTGGTTGAGAGTGTAATGTCATCCATCCAGGAGCTGCTGAACGACGCCGAACGAATCCAACATCTGGATGCGCCTATGCTACCTTCCAAGGAACGAAAGGTCGATTTACCATCGAAGGACACCCTCGGCAGTACACCACTGAAGACGCAATGGACGGAGGATGATATAACTCGCTCGAACTCGATATTGAATGAACTTACCGGCTGTATTGATACCCTATATGACCTATCGCGCTCCCGACGAACGATGGCTTCTAGTATGTCATCAACCAGGAACAGCGCTCGTCGCCAACGACCCAACTTCAACTCACCCTACGATTCCTCACATGGCTCCTTCTCCGAGTCAAAGGAGAAAGTTCAGAACCCAAAGCAGATGTTCGACCCTTTCGCCTACTCCCCTTCGACTCCGCATCGCGATACTACCAATCCTTTCCTTCCATCGAACCATCTCCTCATTGATCGATCGGCTTTACAATTATACGGAGCCGCTCATGACAATAGTCCGCCACCATATGAACCTGTCGCGGCGTCGGCGAACTCACGTGCCATCGGGCGCCTGAAGTCTTCCGCCTCCCCGCTTCTTGCCTCGGCCAAAGAGTCCCATGTCTCTGTGCTTGTCGAGTTCATGCCAATCTTGGCAGAGACTAAAATGGACAACAAGAGTTCGCGTATGGAGAAGCTACAACAATCCCTTGAGCAACTGCTGCAGAATGCTAGAATTTCTCACTTGGGGCTTATGCGATTTTTGGGTTACAGCATTGACCAATCAAATGTTCGCTATGCGTTTCTGTATCAGATGCCTGTCGACTATTTCCCCTTTTTACAAAACCCAAGTGATTTGTTGAGGGAGCTGAAGCCTAAGCCATTGGTGGCTCTCCTTCCTTCGGCAGATGAACACCGAGAGAACCGAGTACCAAACCTTGACACTCGTTTCCGATTGGCTTACGACTTGTTGATGTCTGCTCTTCATCTAAGAAGTCAGAATGCAGTTCATGGCAATATCAACAGCAGCAACGTGATATTTTTCCCTGGTCGGAGTGATGCGAGTGATGACGAAAGCGGCCTTGCGCCTGACCTTCGCCGTCCGTATCTCACTTCCCCTGCACGGTTTTCTGGTGATGGACCAACACCAGAGCCACTGTCTTCGGCGATGTATCGCCACCCAGAGGACAAGAGATCTGTTGAAGATGATGGCGCCTGGGCCTATGATCTTTACTCCATTGGCCTGATTTTACTCGAGATTGGACTTTGGGCACCAGTTGGACGTCTTTGGAAAATGAAGTACGACCGTACATGGTTCAAGCATCGGGTGGAAGACCTCTACGTTAAGAAACTTGGCCCAAAGTGTGGTGGTGCCTATCTTCAAGCCGTTCAGCTGTGTCTAGATGCCCCTAATTTCCATCTCTCCACCCAGCCTATGACTGACCTGGGTCTGCGTGTGCCACAAATCTACCACTACCCGGTGCTTGACTTGTCAGACCCCGATGGTACTTTCTCCTTCTCCATGAACTTTATGTACACCATCTGCAAAATTCTTTGGTCATGCTGCCGCATTGATATTTTTTCGGCCCCCTCGGCAGAGGAATTGGATGACTGCCTCCCACTTGCCCTTGTACCGACCCCCGAGCCAGTGACCATTCAGGACAAAGTCAACGCTTACAAGGAATCGAAGCGCGAGATGGCCTCCAATCTCGACAAGAAGCTCCCTACAATACCTTCTCCTGAATGGGGTGTTGTGAATGAACCCACGACACACGAAACGCCGCAGAAAAAGCGTACTGTCAAGAGGCTTCCGCACCTGGAAATCCCAGATGAGCATTTACAAGAGTGGAACTTCCATATGATGCCACGGTTAAGTCGTCTTCTGCAGAAGATATTGAAAGAATCATCGGAGTCTTGTGGTGTTAATCTCATCATGACTGGCGAGTCGACGGAAAGTGCCAGAACAACAATATGCGTTACTTGTGCGAGTGTGAAAAAGGTCAGAATGGCACTCAAGAAACACTTTGCTCTCGGCCGGGATGACTGGGACTTAATTGTCCTGCGTGGTGATATCGAGAGATCGAAGGTACCTCGCAATCGACGTCGCAAACCGGCCAAGGCTCGTCCCAATGTTTCTAATGAGACACCTTTTCGTCAGCGGGAGCTCAACCCCTGTCATCAACAGCGACCACTTTGCGGCGCATCTATCGGTGCTTTTCAAAACGAGGAGCACCTGCCCCCTGTCTCCTATGGTGGCGCCGTCTTTGTCGACGGCTTGCCATATGGTTTAACAGTGCATCATATGCTGGAAGCTCCCAGTGAAGACGAAGGCGAAGGCATCGCTCCCGCAGACTCAAGTCAAGATACCCCCGCAAGATCGGCCGGTAATTGGTATGGTGATACCCCGCATACCTCCAGTCCTGAATTTGTGTACACCTATTCCGAGGAAGATTCAAAAGAAGCTGGCCTTGAATTTGAATTGTCCGATGTGGAAGATGGAGACGACGGGTCATTATCGCAAGGTCTTGAGTCTGGCTATGATGAATCTTGGCTTTCAGATGAAGATTCATCAGACGATGACTCCCTAGGACCCGATGATGACGACGACGATGCTGCATCAATTGGCGATACTGCCGGTATCGAACCGGGAGAAGAGCCTCGTCTTCTTGTCACTCAACCGGCCATTGACGACGTACACGATGATTTTTTTCCATCCCCCGAAGACCGCGACGATGAGCATCTGGCCTCACACTCCCTTGGTTATGTCCACGCATCATCTGGTGTTCGGCGGTGGACCCGAAAAGGTCTCAAACACGAGATTGACTGGGCGCTCATAAAAGTGGACGAAGCCCGCATGGACCCGCGCAACATCATTCTTGATACCACCAGATCCAGTATTGCTCGTCCGGGTCGTCCAATACCACCACAGCCCATTTTCTTGAATCAAGTAGCCCGAATGGAGGAGCTAGGTGGCTTGCAAGTTCATTGCTGTGGTCGGACGAGTGGATTGCAAACAGGGCAGATATCCAAGGCTATGACCTTGGTTAAACTACATGGACGGCATTCTTTCTCAACCAGCTTTTGCGTCCATGGAAATTTCGGAGGTAAGAGGTGCACTTCAGCGGATCCATGTCTTTCTTTATGTCTATATGATCCTTAATTAGATACCCTTTTTTCGTTTTGTCATGTACACCCATGATCTGTCACCCTATTGGTAAACATTCAGCATCGCATTAAACCACATTCACTCGTATCGAGTAAAACATTTGAAGCTAATTTCTCCCCTCCGACAGCCCCCGGCGACTCCGGCGCATGGGTTTTCGACCGTCCCACCGGCCGCGTCTGCGGCCATGTTCTCGCCTGGTCTGCAAAGAGCAATACTACCTACATCTCCCCCATGGAGGTTACCTTCGACGACATCGCCCGAACCCTCAACGCCTCCCTTGTCACCCTTCCAGGTGATCCTACCAGGCCCATGGGCTACATCGACCCTTCCTCTCCGCAGTCCGCCCAGTACCGCTACCAGGCCCAGCGATTACCAGGGAATTTCGGTCAGCTAGCTCTCGGGCCTGGAGGCTCCCCTGGTCCACCTTTACCACCCCACCCGCATCAGTACCAGCATCCACAAGCCCACCATCAAGGCTATGGTCGGGCTCCGCCTCCTCCGCCTCCTCCCCAGCCGGGGTCATACCGTGGCCCTGTCCCTCCGATCCCACCGTCGCTTTTGACTGGACCCCGAAATATTGAACGTCAACTTGCTTGATTATCGGAGCATTCTATAGAATGGAAATAATGAATTGGAGATTCATGTTATGCATTGCGGTATTCTGGGAATTCTTTTTATGATTACATGGATGTTTATGGCTATGATTACCCTTAATGATGGTGTAGGGAGGTTTTCAAATTTTTTGTGTTGAAACCTTACTATTATCGGTGATATCCCTATTAGGTTCTGCGAAGTTGTACAGCGGCCAGGAGTCAAACACAAGGCTTGCTGACCACGGCCTCAGCAAATCGAAACTATATACCTTTATAACCTAATAAGAGATGTAATTGATTGAATATTGACGATTATAAAGTAGGGCATTATCAGGGATCAATCATAGAAAAAGTACAATTTATGTTTTGGTCGCTATACAACTTCGCCGTTAATATTTAAGTTTTGGCCATACGAAAAGGACATTCATCTGCTTGTCGACCCCCTCGCTCACTCTTGTGTGTGTTCAATCCTTCTTCCTTATTTGAGAAAAAGAATATAACAATATATTATTGTACCAGTCCTTTTGTCGACTGTAGGGAGAAACAAATAAGCCACCGTAAATCAAGGAATGGCTGCATCACTTGCAAGTACGTTGACTCCCTTCCGAAGTCTTCCGCCATGCAAAATTGACGTTGATAGACTACGCCATAAACAATGCGGCGAGGGGAGGCTAATCTGGACGAATTGTATCAAATCGGACCATAAATGCGAAGGCTACAGCACCCAATCGCAGACCAAGCTTCGGGCGAAAGCTTTAGGCTTCAATGCAACTGTCAACCCCAATTATCGCCATGTCCTTCATGGATCTAAAGAAGAGAGAGAGCATGTGCACAAGTTTTGCACAGAGACCTCCAAAATCCTCTCAGGCTATTTGTTCCTATATTGTGGTCTCGCTTGGCTCCCCAACTCAGTCAACATTCTTGTCCGGTGCGCTCCATGATGAAGCCGCAGGGTGTTGATGGGCCCTGGAAAAGCTACACTGAACATTTGAATTGGTAAAAAGAGGAAAGAATCAAGAAGACATAATCAAAAAACGAATAATGCACTCATCCCATTCACGTGTCGAGAACGGGCCTTTACATCGGGCCTCAGCAGTCAATTCTCTAACTATGATAAAACACAAGGCAGACTATAATCCCCCTTGAGAACATCAGTTATTTTGTTTCGCCTTATTCCTCAAGCTACTGTTTGAGTTTTGCGACTTGACCCATGCTGGAAAAACATTACAATGTATAAATAACATTCTTGATATTTGATTCCAGGCCGGTTGCAGTTATCCCACGTTCGTGCAGAGACCACCTAAAAACGGCGTAATCAACAAAGACTCGAGATATCCGACGATTTGAACGATAATGACGTTGAAATTGATGGAATCAATCCGACGGCAATGTGCGGCCACCGAGACCACCAAGTATCCAATCAATTTTCAAGCCCCTAAGGCCATGTCTATAAAATGTGGTGACTTGAATTTTGAGGCTAATTAATTTCTCAAACCTCTAAGCCCCTAATCAGTTTCATATGCTCATCGCAACGAATTTTAGGGCTCAGTGGATCATGGGAGCGGATCAGGAGTTTCTCGACTCGAATTTGAGCCTTGAATCTTCATTGGATGCCGATGCTTGATCACCACTCTTCATCGAGTAATTATGCCGGTTTCTACCTGATACTATATAATCTAGTCTTTTCTCTCTCTTATTGCCATGAAAACATCGAAATTCTCATCTCATTCTTTCCCAGGCTGGCCTGGAAAGACCTCTTTACATCGTCCCACACCATTATGATAAACGATTTTACCTCGCAATGTCCAACATCCACCAGGTCCTGAACAAGACGCAGCAAGCCGAACTACACCGGGGTTGTCATCCTTACCACCCCGGTTGGCAAACTGCATATGGATATGTCCCATCAGAAGGCGCAGGGATCGCGTTCTGTGCCCTATTCGCTGTATCTATGGTTATCCATATTGTCCAGCTTTCATGGAAGCGTACTTGGTGGCTTTGTGTTTTCCCAATTGGATGTTTAGGTATGAATCCTTCTGTAGGAAAAGTTGAAATCTATATACCCTGAGCTAGACTAACATAGTCATATCAATAGTCGAGCTACTTGGCTGGGCTGGTAGGACGTGGTCTTCTATTTGTGTTTACAACCAAAATGCATTCCTCATGCAGATTTCTACTTTAATTATTGGTGAGATCCCATTCATCAACTCGACAAAGAAGGTGAATCAGAACTAATCCCAACCTAGCCCCGACATTCTTCACGGCCGGCATCTATATCCTCCTTGGCCGCTTCATCCAAATTTTCGGCCGTGAATCCTCGATCCTCTCACCAAAAGCATACCTCTGGGTTTTCTGCACCTGTGATATTATATCGCTCGTAGTACAAGCAGTTGGCGGCGGTTTAGCCTCTTCGGCATTCGCCAAAGAAGGTGGCGACACAACACCAGGGACAAATACCATGGTGGCAGGTGTGATATTCCAACTCGCCTCAATCACGATCTTCGTCTTCTGTGCCACAAAATTTCTGCGTCGTGTGAAAAAAATGGGCGTTTTGCAAACAGCCTCTTTGTCTTTCATAACGCTCATGGGCGCAATGGTCGTCTCGGTTCTGTGCATTTATGTTCGTTCTATTTACCGAACAATTGAGCTTTTGCAGGGCTGGAGAGGCTATTTGATTACCCATGAGCTGTACTTCACTGTGCTTGATGGTGTGATGATGGTTGTGGCTGGGGCTGTCTTTAATATCTTCAACCCCGGTTGGTTGCTTGACTCTGTCAAGGGGGCCACTCTACCTAAATCTCGGTCTGCTACTGAGTTGACGGAATCCAAGCCTGAATATGAAATGGAAAGATCGCAATGGATCTAACCACTTTGGAGGCTATTGTCGAAAGTTCGAACTCAACTAGTGTCAATGCTACGACTTTCTTTATAGTAAAGTGATTAATGATATTATATATAATTGTGGCAAAGAGCCATATCCTTTTTGATGTATGGGGTGTCATGCTTGATCACCACACCTTTATGTATTCAATCAAAAAGTCATTGCACGGCAAGTGACGCTCTGCTACACTACTTATACATATTACCCATAACTATTTCTGATTTAAAGCTTTTAGAAGACCATTAAATTACGTCTTGTGATCTCCAGAGCTCAGTATAGAGACTTGTAATTAGCCTTTAGAGCCAATTGAAATACCGCTTTCTACCACTTCCTAATTAACTACCATTCACCCTTGACAAGAGCAGAGATTCCATTCGCCTCCGCAGCCCTTAGTGTCAAGCCAGAACGTTTGAAGCTCGTATACATATTTAATGACTTAGACCTTGTGAATCTGAATCAAAGTTCTGGGTTAGGTATGTCATACCTGTAAATGTAATTGAACACTGAATCAACGCATGTATTGGAGCAGAAGAGAGAAGAAAACATTGGAGGAGAAATGACGATGAAAGCTGCTCCGTGAAGAGCTAGGTGTTAGACTTGACCTTAGTTTCCATACTCCGAAGTTTCCTGTGCTACCTCACTTAGCTGATGATGACCCAAGAAAATATGGCTCATCAACTTGGAAACATCCTCATATGGCTATTGAAGTGCAACCCCAACCATGAGCATGTGTTTATGATTGATTGTCGGGCATACCATTGTGTGTGATTCGCCCAGTGCTGAGTTTAATGTCAATATCAAAACCTTTTATCCCCACACTGAAGAATTAATCTTGAATTGGGAATCGAGAGGCGAGAAACAGGCAAAATATCTTTCTGGAAGCTCAAGGGAGCAATATACGTATTACAAGGAAGTGGCACACAAATGGTAGTACGGTGTAAAGCGAGACTATCGGATGTACCGGACTCATCCCATGTCAGGCTTCCCCGGGAATGAATAAACCAAGAGCACGTAGTAAGATCACGGGGTAGGAAGTACACTGTGGTACAATGGTATTTGTTAACGCCCCGAGATCTCCACGCCCATAGACATAAATAGTTTTGTAATGTGCTCTGGAAGATCTAGCCTTCGATTATCTTTATGTAAGACTCTTGCAACTTGAAAGGGCCAAGCAGAAGATATTTGGATCTTAAGATATTGTATTGCTCTATCTTGGAAAGGCAAGCCCGACTTTAACACACTGAGACTGGAGATTCCAGAAATACTTTTGATATCGATTAACGGAAAGGAGTGAATATATGCTTACATTGAGGATAGGAAGAGGCCTGAACCACCGGGCTTTACTCAAACCATGGCGACATCAAAGCATTTGCTGCTTCTACTGTTGGGGTTGATATTTCTAACCGTCGACGTGCTTGGAGCGAGAGTGGCTTATACTGCATGGTATCGAGAAGGCCTTGGTGGTAAGCCAGGCTCTACTAGACGCTACGGACAGTTGAAGGATGTGGATGTGGAGCCCCTTCTAGCCCACATCGAGGAGTGGTCGGGTCGCAAGTTTCAGGCTGAGAGGGGAGAGCACAATATCATCATCGTGAGGCCGTTCCACCGTACTCGAACAAAGACTCAAGCCAGTGGAGTAGTACAGGAGGAGATTCAATTGGTTTGTAGGAAGTTAAAAGAATGTGGACCAACGACAGAAGGATAGGCTGAGTGAGACTTATATGTGAGTTGCTTCTAAGGCCAAAATATCTTTGATATCACGTTTGAATTTAGCTTAATAACCCAGCTTGCCCAGGCAACAAGCCCAATATCCGGACTTGAGATGGTGATTTGCAAGGTTATATTGAGGTGACAATGTGTAACCATGTTGAAGTTGCTTGGCCGTTGTATGGAGTTCTCCAACGGAGTTTAAGCTCGGCCGGCCAGCGGGATCCTGTCTTTACCAAATAAAAAACGAGTCAGTTTGTTGCATTGATTACCGAAAATATCATTGAGCTAGCATGAAGCTTTGTGGCTCAGATCCTCAGGAGGCAGGCTGACATATCAGCGCCCTCCGGTAGCTTCGATCTTTGTTGAGCGAAGGTAAATAATAGGGGGTGGGCTCTTCAGTTTGATTCAAATTTTATTGAACTATTTGCCTCGTCAGAATGTTGATCGACATGTTGTGCAGAGCTGGTGGTGGGTTCTGTCTCCCCCTGGTACCCCACTGGAACTACCACCTCCTAACAACATGCCCCGGCCGTATCTCGAAGTCACAAACTCTAGTATCTAGCAGCCCTTTGATAGCATCATCTACTATCCCGATCATGTCGTATACCCGTTGAAACGTTTTGTCATGGAGGCGATTACCGGGCTTCACCACCATCTTTTCGGTTCTTTTATTCAAAATAAAACCCATCGCTCCATTAGCGCCATCGATTTCCCATCGCGATTGCATATCGAGACTCATATCATCCTCAAATTCTGGTTGCGGGTCTGCGACGACAAAAAGGAGCGGGCTGGAAACGAGGCACCAAATTGTTTCGCTTAGCAGACGAGTACTTTCAGCCTGAAAGAGCCCTTCTGGTACCGCAAAGTGTAGCTCTGAAGGTACGACCGAAACATCGTCCACATCATCGACCGGTGTAAATCCTCCCCAGCTCCGACGGTTGAAATCCTCGACAAGGCTGTATGGAATGTAGATAGTGTCTAGAGCAGGATCGAAGGGACGTAGGAAGGTATAACAGCTTTTTTCCATGTGAAAATTGACTTCCATTCCGATAATTGGAGCCCAGGCGATCGCGGTTTCACGGGCCTCGTGGTTGACATAGGCGATTGGAATCTTGACTCGTACTTGACCGAGCAACTCCGGTCGTAGTTCAGCTTCCACGGCGTCCAACCATGAATATAGCTGCCAGGCGTCACTTCGGTAGGGGAACAAAGCTGGGTCGTCGTCATCAGACATTGCTTCACGCCATATCAAGAGGCGCAGTTCTGGAGGGAGGGACGCAAATTGAGGGAACGAAAAATTAGTCGCAGCTTCAGTCATCGTTTATAGATTTTTGATAAAATGAGCGAATGACAGGAAGAAATCAAAAACCAAGTTCATGGCGTAGAAAAGAGGCTTGGTGCCACGGGTAGTACAAACAAATTGTGATGGTTTTGCCCGAGGCACTCACTTTACACAAGACAACATTTGAACACAATAGTCCCTTGCAGAACTTCTATCTTTCATTCAAATTTTTGCATGGCAAACAAAACGCATAACATATCTCCCAACTCGCCATCAAAAAGCCTAAAGATATCAGCGATTTGGAGAGTCAAATGTAAGAGAGATGAAGGATTTTCTACCCAGAGCGAAATAGGGCCAAACGGTAGAAAGGCCTATTGATATCGAAGAGATTGACACAAGACTTCACTTGCTGCTTAGACTATTTCTGATCGATTGTGTAATGGTATATTCATTTTGATCTTACTGACTGGCGTGTCATGTATTCAAGGCACTTCGCTGTAAGTAGCTGCTATAAATGAACGATTGAGAGAGCATCGGAAAGACCCTCACAACATGTCTTTTACGAAGAGATGTAAAAAGCATGTAGAAAATTACAATAAAAGAACACTGAGAGTTTTACTAGACAGTATAGACAAGAGGGAGAATTGGGAGAAGAGATCGAAGAGTTGTCCCAGTTGTCTTCATCTAAATTTCGACGTCCTTCAAAGTGAGCCAAATCAATGGTGCTCTTCTTCCTGTTGCTCTTCTGCGTCTTCTTTCTCTTTGCCCCTTCTTCAATATCCCCATCAGTTTCCAATTCACATCTCGTTAATTTTCCATTCGGCTTGTATCAGAGCCGATAGGAAGCCTCTTTGATCGCTTCTCGCTTCCTCATCCATCATCTCATCTATCTCGTCAAGGCTTTGACAATGCATGTCCTATCCACCTTACACAGACCTCCCGAGATGGATGCTCGACCATTCAAGGATTGGCCATCCAGTTTTGCCATTGCACTGGCTCGTCTCGACGAGTGGTATCAGGAGGGAAAGCCATTTTTTACGAAGAATGATCTCGAAGATCTTTCCAACCAACTCAACAGGCGCTATCCCACACGGCGCACGAATGCCCAGCGACGTTTAATCGCGGTCAAGGGACTCACTGGGTCCGTGGTCCTCTACTCGGACTTGACAGGCCAGATCATTCCTAACCAGGGTCCAAATGAGGAGTGGGCCGTGTAAGTAGTGACAATGATGAATTCTACACTGAGCTCCAGCTAATACCACCAAACCCAGGAAAAGCCCCTACGTCAGATATGTTTGCTATGAGAAGCTCAAAGAGGTACTTCGAAAGCCAAACGCCAATATCGTTGAAGCTTTCTATCCGATGCAAATTGATCACCTCATGCTCCGCAGAGCGATTAATACCAAGAAGCCCTTGACTCCAAAATGGGCGGAGTGCCCCGAGCCCGTGGAACAGTATCTCAAACAGCATCTTGAGTCCTGGAAAAAGACCACCGAATACCACAAGCTTGAGAAAATCCTCAAGCTGTTCAAACACGATATCACAAAGGTCATCAACCTTGGATCGGGCTGGATGGAGTTTGGCATGGGCCTTGAAGAGTTCTCTCGCTGCGCCACACAGCACGCTCTGACAATCGTGCTCTACCAGTTGCTGCAGAAGAAAACAAATAATACCATCAAGCATTATGCACAGGATCCTGCCTATACCGCCGTCGATATTCTTGCCCTTTCGCTACACGGCTGCGAAGTCCTGGAAGATCCCCAGGCTTTGATTGAAATCGACGACGACTCAGTGGTGTTTGCCTGCTGCCCTGGATTTCCATTGAAAGATATCACCACTGATATTGCTCGACCTGCTATGTTGATCTGGGATCAAGTTCATGAACGTTTCGGTGCTCGGTAAGAGCTTGCCTAAACACTATTCGTGACTCGTACTAATTAGTTCCAGAAGCCAGAACCCAAACTCTCCCCGTGTCCGGGAAATGATTGCAGCTCACTATGATTGCCATAGGTTTTGGGACCAAGACCCACAGCACCCTGCGCCATTCAAGTCGGACCTGGTCGTCTACATCCGCCGACGCAAGTGAGAGGTGAATACTATGATGCAAAGTTGAAGTAATGGGTGATTGTTCGCTCTGGGGGCATGAGGAGAAAATTTCCAGGCAAGCATTATTACCTTTGATTGAATGGAAGAATGAAACACTATCATAAATCCTTTAGTGTATCCATATCTCAAAACTTGATCAATATTCCATACATGGCTTTCTATCTTACCTTCCTCTTACAAGTCTAGTAACACTCGTGGATGTTACTTTACTTTGGTACTAGCTTTGTATACATCTGCTAGACATAGTTCTATCGTTTCGCTTTTTCATTTTTTTCTTAACCTCCCTTGGTACTCTCTTGCCCCTTGGTACTCTCTTGCTGATTCCGTTATGATTGTGAGTAGTTATATGGTAGCTAGTCTGATCTTCTGAGCCATTTTATTTCACTCTAGTTTCTATATCAAGGAAACATGGCACCAAAGCGAACATCAGCACAATAAAAGAATCAAGCAAGGATAGATAAAAGAAAAGTCAGAGAGCTGGCTTCCTACTTCAACAAGACATAGGAGCTGAAGTTTTGAGTGTCCTAGGTCCAGGAAGGACTCCATTCGCTTTGTAGAATCGTCTGTCGCGAATGGAAACAAAAGCCAACAATCCAGCAAAACCACTGCATGAATTTAAGGTTAATGAGGAGCTCATCACATCTGCAATCACCGTTTCACATCACTTACCACAGAAAGAAAGCCAATGTAGCGGCAATACCACCCAACGCCCGACTACTCCCGTTAGTAGAACCTGTAGTCCCCATGATGGTGATGATAAAGAGAGCAAACCAAAAGACAGTATCAATAATATTCAAGATCATGTACGCTTTTGTGCTTGCCCAACGTTTGAGTCGGTCCATGTGAGTCGTCAATATTTGGTAGGTCATGAAAACGGCGGATTTGAGGCACTGTGAGTATATATTAGTGAGCAGGAAACAATTTGGGTTTGAATAAGACCGAATGCTTACCACAGCGATTCCCCAAACATTAGTTCTTGTCTTCGGTGTTCCGTGGTTCGCAACGCGTGCGATGATCAGAACGAAGACAAGAAAAGCCAGGGCACCAATTATGATGTGAAGTCGGAACTTGATCACAGGGTTTCTCTCAATTGATAGATCCATTGCTGTAGTTGAACATAGGAAATGACGTGTGAAGAGTCGGTCCGGAGAAATTGTACAAATCTTAGATTAATCTCGCTATGGGAATTGATCACTTTAAATATTGAAATCCATGATGGTGAGTCTCGTAATCGTTTAGAATGTCTATTGAAGGCAGAATAGTTTCAGATAAGTAAAAGATTGGCTGGGATCTGACGAGGTCTAATCTTAGTGCTACAGTTCGCATTCGTATTCTTACCCATATGGGGAGATGATCACCCAAACACAATGTTTTGATTTGGACTCTACCTTTTTTCTATTTTCATCTTGCCTGCCGTTGAATGCCATTAGAAATGCTGTCCCCAAACGGCTGTTTTCTCGTCGATGTACTGAATTTGGATCGATGTGTTGGCTGTCCAAGTCCCTTCGCAGGAGATGCACCACAACGATACCGCCCAAGCCTTTGATGGTTAAAGAACTGTGGTCGATACACCCTGAACGAAACAGCCATTGGTGGTGAGGCTGAATGAATTAGTTATGACGAGGGCGGGTCAGATGAGACAGGACGCTTGGAAAGAATCAACGCCAGCCAAGCTACCAAATCAAAAGCATGGAGCCTTTGAGACATTTAAGTCGGCGGACTCACACCTAAGCCCCCTCGTGTTCATTTGGTCCTTCTTCTTCTTCTTCCTCTTCCTCCTCCTCGTCACCCTCGCCCACACTCTCCCACTCGTCCTCTTCAACATCAGATTCCTCGAAGTCTGCTTGTTCTCCAAGCATGCTGAGCAATTGCAAGAGCGCAGCTTGCGCAGGCCAAGCCTCCGTCCCAGGCAATGTCTGACTAGTGCCTTCTTGACCTTCTACATTCGCCACAGGAGACTCATTTGAATTGTAGGTAGCGCTAGACTTGTCGGACAACCCGGGATCTAAGCTGATAATGCGAATGGCCTTGGTAGAGAAGACGCGGGGAGGGTTGGCGCCTTGCCGAGGGGGTTGCCCATCCGGGACATCGGAATGACGCCATCCAAGGGTCTGTAAAGGGTGATTTTAGCTATCTTGCTTCGTATTCGTGTTCGGGTGAAGGACCTACGGTATATGTAGTCATGATGGCATCGTCAGCCAATGCCATATAACTGATCGGAACAGCGAGCTGTGGGGCGGAGCTGGTGAGCAGGGAATATGAAGCCCGGGCAGGATTTTTAACGTTTTGAATATGGTTGTTGTCATCGAGAGCGACCACATAGACTCGGTCTTGTATCTCGAACATAACGCGGTGGTTACGAATCGATAGCCAGCCACCAAGGTCAAAGCCTGAACCATCCGACTCGCATTCTAAGATAGAGCTGTTCGCCACGAGAGCTTCCGGGCTTTGAAGGGCCTTACGGAAATCGGAGCAAATGAACACACGACCTGCACGAGAGAAACCGACAAATAGATCGCCTTGCAGCATTCCCGCCCCCCAATCATCCTCTCTGTGCCAGACATGGTCTGGGTCATCTGGTGGAGAAAGAGGGCCTTCTGATATTTCGATCGGCACCAGGCAGTCTGTACGGGGAGCTCCTGGAGGGAAGAAGCGATGTGTTGGACCAAGTCGCGCAGCTCCTGCTAATGCCTCACCTGGAGATGTGTTTGATGGCGGGGGTGGGCCGGCATGATACCTTTTCGTCACCTGCGACGGCTGAAAAGTACCTAGAAACGCACCAGACTCTTTACTGTAGGCAAAATAACCCTTTCTGCCCATGGAGTAGATCACAATGTCTTCGCTCTGATCTAGATGGCCGATGCCATCTCGTTCGATCTTCAGATGAGTCTTCAACTGAGGTGGTCGTTGCGTCATATCGTACACAAAGCCCTGACCCTCATTGGAAACGACACAGAGCGTCCAGTACGATAATTGAAATCCCCTGGTCTGGCAATCGTGGTTCAACCTCGCAATGCGCTGGAACTCTCCACGCTTGGCACCTGGTTGGTCTGCTTGCCAGACCTCGATTGAATCTCCGTCGCTATCAAACACAACCATTCCGTCTTGGTACTCCAAGTGTGCATATGGACGGACTCCATCTTCGTGCCATAGTATCTTGCCGGTGTCCATATCAGTGACATTCAATCCACCGGCGTGGGAACTGGAAATGAAAAAGCGACGCTTAAAGTCGGCGCGGAACCGCCACACGGGATCGTTGCCAACTTGCAGTATTGATTCCCGATTGATCGGACGCGGCTCGGCCCAATTGCGGGCCAGCAGTGTCTGACGCTTGCACAGGTCTTTCCATGATTCCGTGCCTTGCCATATTTTGGTGAAGCTGTGGGATTCCGACAGAAAGGAGAAATCATGAGCACCCCCGGTCGGCTGGGCGGTTTTGGATTCGGAGGCGTAGATGACCTCTTGGTGCGTGACATCGATAAAGTAGTTCCAGGCTTTGGACGTTGCGGTCAGGGATGCGAGTGCGGAGATTGGGGTGAACTCCAAAATTTGCAGGACAATCTCTGGAGGAAGGACAGTGAGAGGGTCCAACACTGTGGTAATAGTCATATTGAAGAATGGTGTATTGGGGAACAGTTTGAAGTGGGGGATGAGTATTTTGTCTGATCCCCATGCGATGACGTAGTGCCATGTGACGGCAGGCGCTCGACTAAATTTTAAGCTTAAATCAGCTTAATCTTATTTGTATATTTTGTCGGCGAAATGAAATTCATTGCTTACTGTAAGTATGTTATATCTTCGATTTTATAACATAGGTCAAATGAGTCGTGTGGGATCCTTTGCACCAGGCGAAATTCCCGGAACAGACCAATAGCTAACCAATTGAGTCCCAACAGAAATAACCAGGTCTGTGTTCTGAACCTCGAATAACACGCCACCACGATGCGATGATGGGCAGGAACCACCCGGCCTAAGTACCAGGTCCATAGAAGCCACTGATACTGGCGATATCAAGCACATCAGGGGGATCGGTAGTGACTAGGAGGTATATATAAATCTCAGTACGGAGATTGGCAGTGGTACGGAGTAGTTGGAGCGGAGATATCGTTGAGGTATGTAGGTAGTGGTGGTTGGAGTCACGGTAACGGGATCAATTTTGTTTGTCGTTTGTAGCGCGAGGCCACAAGCCATGATTGTCGCAAGGAAATACAGTGCTGCAGCTCTAAAAATCATGGTAACAAAGGAGCTAAAGTATTGAAGATTTTCTATTTCATTCTCTGTTTACATTTTTCTGAAAAGAAGGCCCGGGCAGTGTTAGGCCGCACATGGACTTGGGCTTACATCCAAGCCTCTCGTATGTTTGTATACCCCGCCCTCTCAAGCCACACCACACACCATGGCAAACGAGGCTCTTCAGCATTTCGCAGCCCTCAGTCTGGACTACTTGATTATCGGCGGAGGAACTGCAGGGCTGGTTGTTGCAACGCGTTTGAGCGAGAACCCCGAAATAAATATCGGGGTACTCGAGGCTGGTCCATCGGTGCTCAACAAAAATGGAAACGAAGTCATCAACGTGCCCGGTCGCTACGGAGAGAGTATTGGCTCCGAATACGATTGGAAGTTCCAAACCACGCCACAGAAAGGACTTGGAGGGCGGTCGCTGCCTTGGCCACGAGGTCGTGTACTAGGCGGCACAAGTGCGCTCAACTTTATGGCCTGGAATCGGGGTCACCGCGAGGACTATGATGCGTGGGAAAATTTAGGGAATCGTGGATGGGGATGGGATGATTTATTGTATGTATATCGAGCGTTCCTTTATCTGCCTTGGCCAAATATCTTTTATTGAATCGCTTCAGACCCTTCTTTCGCCGCAGCGAGAATTTTCATCCACCAAGCGCTGCTCATCAAGAAAAATATCAATCTTCCTACGTTTCTAAATTCAATGGGACTGGGGGACCTTTGCATACAACTCACGTTAAGCAGTATGGTCCCGCGCATCAGTATTGGCACGAAACTTTGAATCGCCTCGGCATTTCCTCTAGTCATGATAGTCTGGCTGGTGTTAACGTGGGCGCCTGGAACATGGTCTGCACAATCGATCCGGATAGACAAGAACGCAGCTATTCCGCCTCGGCATACTACTCGCCTGTAGCCCACCGTACAAACTTGCACATTTTGACCAACGCAACTGTCATGGAGATTCTGTTTGATTCGGAAAATGAGATCATGGTTGCAACAGGAGCTCGAGTGCGCTATGATGGCATTGAGACCATCATCCACGCCAACAAGGAGGTGATCCTTTGTGCGGGTAGCGTACAGTCGCCGCAACTATTGGAACTGTCGGGAATTGGAAATCAGGATATATTGGAGGCAGCGGGAGTGAAGGTCAAGGTTCACAATCCAAATGTGGGAGAGAATCTTCAAGACCATATGAGTAAGACTGAAAGCGTTGTTTCCCTTTCTGGGCTGATTTTGTAGTGACTGCCATGATTTATGAAATTTCACCTACGCTCCTCACTCGCGATGACATCTTGAATGACCCAGTCAGACGACAAGCAGCCGACCTTGCCTACCAAACCTCCCAGACTGGGCCCTGGACTGAGATGCCGTGTTCTGTCGCTTATTGCTCGCTCTCACAGATATTATCATCTGAAGAATGCGCTGAGTTACACGCCCGAGCCCAGGACATAGCCAGACAGGTTGGTCGGCCACACGACGCTATTCTAGCCAATCAGTTTGAGCAAGGGCATGAACTCGGCCAGGTTGAATATATCTTTGATCTTGGAAATTGGAGTCCATACTTTGTTCCCGAGCCAGGAAAGAAATACGCAACGATGCTGCAAATGCTGCAGTATCCTTTCTCTAGGGGGTCTATTCACATACCGTCCAAGGCCGAGAGCAATTGCGAAAAGACCACCATAAATGATAAGCCCGTTATTCATCCACGATATTACCTTGGACCTGGTGAAATTGACAAGAAGGTCATGGCGAAGGCACAAAGGTTTGCAGATCGTATCTGTCAGAGTGATCCGCTGTGCAAAATCGCTCGAGGCCGCGTATTCCCTCCTCCTTCCAGAGATTCGGACTCCGAGGACTCTATCTACGACGATTTTGTTTCAAACTATACAGCTACTGATTGGCATCGTAAGTTGCACTCCCAGGATGACGCCTTCGATTAGTCGCTAACGGATGAACAGCAGTGGGAACCTGCGCTATGGGCGAACGAAGCGGGCCTAATGCCGGGGTTGTCAATGAACGCCTGCAGGTGCATGGAGTTTCTAGTCTGCGAGTGGTGGATGCTAGCATTATGCCTCTGCAGGTTGGCGCACACATTCAAGCTACTGTATATGCGATTGCCGAAAAGGCGGCACAAATGATCGTGGATGATCACTATGCAAGATGATGGCCAGCAAATTGGAAATTCTAATCGTCAATGCTTTTCCTTACTTCTGCAATAGTGTGTTGGAAGTTGGATGAATTTTATTAGAATTTTCATGATCACATTTTCTTCCTGGGTCGGTCAAATTAATTTAGAGTATGACCATCGACGTTAGTCGCAGTGCTAGAGGCAGCAGAAGCCCAATATGGGAAGTTGAGGGCAGCGATTCCAGGGCTAGCTTTCTCATTGTCAAAAACGAGAAGTATGCCCAAGTGGTAATTAATGCAGCTAAATTATTAGCACGTAATAACGTACGTTGTTCAGCTCGTTACTAGGATCAACTGGCGAATCTGAGATGCTAATGAGGAGCAGACAGTCATTCCGGAATTCCATTTTTTTAAGACCATGAGTTTTTCATGGCGGACTGTTTGAAGCACATGGTACACCCAGAAGACTTGAACTATCTTGAATGGCTATTAAGAGGGGTTCACACTTGGGGAGCAGATTCGTCTGCACAGTGCCAAAATAATAGCACCACATCCAGTGATCGATGTGATCATTACCTAGGTAGTCATTACTAATTATTTATTAACTATGTAATTGCCCGCAATGCCAATAATGTAGCATGTACAATATTGTGCAGATCAAAAGCCCGGAGATGCGCCGAGATTATCGGCTAATGCCGAGTTCTCTGCGGGGACTACCAGGAAGGGCCATGCCGACTATTTGGGCATTTGATTCGGATACTTTTCCAGGTATCATCTCAGACACTTGACATATACTGATTGTACTGTCGATTGACCACGATTGACCTCCACACTACATGTTAACTAACCGTTGACTCACTCGTCATACACAACTGCGTCCGACGCGGAAACTGATTCCCGCGCCGCTTGAACCATATATCCTGGACTGCGGGGGGCTTTCTTAATTCCACATTCCAACCTTTCACATCTCACATCCCACATAATGATTTCCGGAATCGCACACATAAACCTCACGATCCCCCAGGATACATTGGAGCAGGCCAAGGAGTTCTATGGCACTACTCTCGGTCTCACCTCCGCACCGGTACCGGAGGCCCAGAAGGGGACGATCCTATGGTATGTGCCGAATTCCGACCTCCAATTGTTTTCCATTTCTGACCTCTTCCAAGGTTCAATATCGGCTCTAGCGGACAGCAAGTGCACATTACATTTGGTACAACCGATCCAAACTCCTCCCGGCACCCATGCTTCAAACTTGACTCTCGTGAGGAACTAGAAGAGATCAAGACCAGTATATATGATCACCATTTACGAGGTGGACCTGCAGCTCCAATGGCTGCTGATAAGCCCGGTGAGATGGATTCTGGTAAGTTACTACGATCTCTGACTGAAGGTCTCTGCTCATTGAATTTGTAGGCACCCAAGGGAAAGAATATCCCACTCGATTCTTTGCCCGCGATTTTGGTGGAAATCTACTTGAGTTCACCTTGTAATTAAATTTGGATTTTGATGCCAATACAATTACGCTTCATTTGAATTAGCTTCAGCGATGGTGGAAATCAACCTTGTTTCGAGAATGAACTTACAAACTGGTCCGGAAAGGAGTAGAACGCTAAACTTTCCAAAGCATCTCAGATGTACACAAAATCAAACGAAACCATGCAACATAGAATCGCAAAACGATGGAGGCCCAACGTGTATTGGAGAGCTTGTGGATCTATACACATTCTTGATATCAGTGGATCCACACCTGAAATATTACAACCAAAGTGAATAATTTCCATGCCATCGTCCTTGTTCCTTACTGCGAATGCAAGGAGAACTTCAGTTGTTGAGCATTCGTGGGAACACGATCTCATTGCTCTCTCTGTGTCACTTTGAATAGAAGTCTCACCGTTGTAACAACTTCGGACGTTACCAACCAATGTTGACATACGAACAACCGTGTCTATCCCATTCGAAGCAATTGTGCTCGACATCAGTAACGTCTTTTTTAAGTGGTCAGGGAAAGCAACCGGTACACAGCAACTGTCTTTGAGCACATTACTGAATTGCGACCTTTACTCTCAATGTAACCGAAATCTGATTCCTTGGAAAGCGAGTTTTGTGAAGCTCGAGGCTCTCAACTATTTGGATCTATGTGTGCTAATCAGCGTTTACACTTGATAAGATGCAGTGCTGGACTGAGTAGCCGGACTTGAATAATTAGGAATTCAACACACGCATACTGAAACCTGGCTACCCAGTAATTAAGAGCAACCATTCAATGTGACATGTGGGAAAGCGAGAAGTAAAATTTGTGAAACGAGCATGCTAGGGGCTAGTAATCGAAGAAAGAAGTTTATTGAATAAATTACACGGAAAGAGAGTGAATCAAACAAATCCGAGGTCTGAGCCCGTGCTGACTTCTTTCGGAGCGCCCTCATAAAAGCGGCGGCAGCTCAGATAGGAAATCCACACCCGCCAGCGACAGTCCAGCACGTATAATTGCATATGTGCATGTAACTAATGGTTCTTCTTCATACGGACCTCTTTCCAAGCCTGAACGCTGACGATTCCCAGAATCATTAAAAACAGAGCTATCAGAATGAATGTCTTGGCAACCATGCCACATGATTTTTGACTACTCTCTCGCCTTTCCCTTCGCTCCCGCTGCCGATCACACTCAGCACAGTGAGTATGCTGGTCTGCTTGGCCGACTGTCGTAGATGTCAGTTCGACAGGATCACTATGATGGCGATGACCTTGTTCCACATCTGTGTGAGGAATTATGTCTGACTGCTCGACCACAGCGTACTGCATGTTTGTCTGATCAGCAATCTAACACTTCCATACATTTTCCTAGCCGGATCCACATACGCCGTTGCTAGAGCTTGCGCCTCGCTCGTGGAATAAATCCTCATAGGCGGGGGCCGCCTCCGTGGGTGCTGGTTTGCCCATAGTGAATTATGAAGGCTCGCGGTGTTGTCACTTTTCAGTCTTATAGAACAATGTGAACAATTTCACGGAGTGTCAACTTTATGAAAATACCATATGTCATGAAAGGGTGGTTGTGACTAGGCAACAATTTTCTTGATCGACGTCAATAATTGATAGTCAGCATGGCCTAGAACGGCCTAGTGTATCAAGTGTGGCTGATCCACCTGATGTCCAGGCTCGAGCTCTACCTTCAATGCACAGCACGTTTCATACGGCTTTAATTTTTTTTGTAGATCATGATGGCGAGAAAAGAATTAAAGTAAGCACCCATGTTCTGCGAAGTCATGATAGATCCTTAAGCCCCATAGGGTCAGGTATCGCGAGCCGCCTTTTCCATCCCTCGCCGGGAGACGGGTGCGGAGACATGATTAACGTCCAACAGCTGGTATCTAAAGCCAAGACCGCCCCTACGCTCTAACATGACCTCATCCAATATTGAATTCAACCTTCACGCTTGACAAATTTGCAAGAACTCCTTTCCATCGTTTGTCTCCCCTGGCTTGGACCATGCTATAGAAACTTACCAAGGTGGATCTATGGTAAAACAAAAGAAAGCTCCCATTCCGAGCTCGATATGTTAACCTGGCTGAAACATCTGTTCACTCTAAAGGCTAAAACATCACCAGCTAAGGCTGAAACTCCTCAGCATATCGAGCAGCTAAAGCGCAAAGATAAATCGCATATCCGAACACATAACAAGCGAGTCCTAGAACGCGAGCGCGATCTGCGCCGCAACTACACGGGCCAGAAGGGCGAGTAGAAGAAGTTGATTGCGAAGGGTGGGTTTATGGGTGTTTGTTAAGTGGATTTAAACCTGTTACTTTGTTTTTCACGGATGCCGTTAGGTCACTTAGTTATTTCTTTCTTCTTACTATTCGTCGCTATAAGTAAAATCTTGAATTTGAACGACGGCTTTATTATAAATTATTCTTTTTTTTAACAAAATTCATAGCCCGCCTTTACCGCTGTTTTTGTCTTTAGTGCTAGAGCTTAGTCCCTATCCCTAAAATATACGAAGGGCGTAAGAAGAAAGGTGCTGTTCTTCCTCTTATAAAGGACTAGACTCGGCGCCTTTACTTTTAAGAACTCGTGGGCTTTTATAATTAATCGTAATAACTTCTCGACACCGGGAGAAATGTAGGATCCGTGGATGCTTATCTACTGCTATAAAAGTAGCTTAATATAAGGCCTTAGTTCTAGTAAGACGATATAGCAAAGCTGTATTAGTAGCCGAGGATAACAAAAGCTACCTATAAGAGTCAATGTTGCCGTTATAAGTCTATTAAGAACGTTTACGGGGCTAGCAATATTGTGTAATGGCCGGGAAAGCCTAGAATTCAACTTACGAAAGCGAGCATGGCCAAGTGTCAGCCATGACAGTGTATGGAACCTGTTTGAGGTACTTCAATTTGTACAGACACGTGTCGAGAGCCACACACGAGATCTATCTAGCACACGCGGATTATTGTTGTGATTTCATGATGGATTAGCGAGAACCCATTCTAGATATGTTCGGTAGATCACACTTCGACGACTGAGATACCACTGCCTCAAATACTCCCTATTCGGGTCATCCGCAGGTTTCCCCCATGAACCACGCATGCTTTGAAACCGTGTCGTAAAATACTGCCTCGTTCCACAACGGGCGGCAATCTATGTAAAAATACGTTATACCTCAACTGGGAGCACTCCAGTGCCCGGTGGTCAGAAAGAATGGCGAAAGACCCCTATACCCTTAGGCCAATCAACTCCGGTCTTCGGCCGTAGTATTCACCAAGGCAAATGCTACTCCGAGGTGACGAACCAACCTTCTACTCTGTTTGAAGTGGGGTTTTCGACCCACATCGGACCGGAGTATGCACCTGGAGGACGGCTCGGTCAATTCAGATCGTCCATCAGGGAGGCTAAACGAAGTAAGTAAGGATTCATTCTCTTCTCTTTTTGACATTTGTGTTTTTTGTGTCTAACCCTGAGGGGTTCATATCGAAATTAACATACCGCGGAGGCTTCAACCATCTCTATCTATCCTCCCTCTATATGTTTAATTATTTATCTACAGGATGACGCTATTGGAACTCCCCGCGGATTCAATCCTGCACATTGCACCCTCCCTCCCTGAAAGCGCTCTCGCCCATCTACTACAAGTTCATCGCTCTCTTTACAAACTTCTCCTCTCGAATCTTTACCAGCGCCATATACGAGACTGTAAACTTCAAGAAGGGCTCTTCTGGTGCACTGCCACGGGTAATGAAGCAGCTGTCAAAAAATTCCTTCACTACGGGGCAGACGTGAACGCCTCCATTGGCATAGGCTCAATTCGTCGGCGTGCAAAAATACCTTTCCAGCCGTGGTTCGATGTGCAGACACCCCTGAGCATAGCAGCAAACACAGGAAACGACACATTAGTTGCCTTACTGCTAAACCATGGGGCGAATGTTTACGGATTCCCTTCTCGTCACTGGGGCATAACCCAGCCGGCGGTAGTAGATGCCCTATTATCGGGCCATGAGAGCACGGTCCGGCTTTTACTATTGCATGGGTTACCTATCCATGAGCCTGGCATGGAGCAGGGCGGGCTGGTTAAATGCGCAATATCCAGGGAGCAAATTTCTCTTCTCAAATTGTTAGTTAAGTTTAAGGCAGATCTCAATAATCCCTAGCAGGGAGAGTATCCTTTCAATAGAGCTATGTCGTCTCGCAATCTCTTAACAGCGATAGCTTAGTTCCTGCTAGATAATGGCGCAGATATAAGTTTAGCGAATGGTCCTGGCCTTATCTTAAACTAAGCGATTTATAGCAGAATTGATACTTTGCGTCTATTACTTGACTATAGAGCAACCTATCCGCTAGATGAATTTAAGAGATGGTTTAAGATATTAGTTAACAGGTATACAGTCGAGACCGTACATCTATTGCTCGAATACGGTTATACGCAGAATATCGAGACGCTGTCGATTATAGTAAGGGCTCGGCGGGGAGATATATATGAAATATCGTATCTAAGTATAGGGTTTTAAAGAGTCAAAGGTTTCCGGAAGTACTATATCTCCTGATCTCGTTATTCATGCTAAATAACTTGATATGTTCAGCGTATATCTAGGCGATAATTATTTTTAACCTTCCTTTTGCGTGTTGCGTATTTTCTTGACTGGGTTGACTGGAGTAAGGGCACGTTGCCCTGCGTGGAATTATTAGATGATCAGTGAAAGGTAGGGCTAGATGGACGTCTGGTCGGGGACGACGGTGAAAACGTCTTTGATTATGAGTCTTTATTGCTACTATAGAGCATAAAAATTTCAACGATGCACTTCCCTAAAGTAACGAAAAGACATATAGGAAGAAGAGAAAATTTAATTAAAAAAAAACTTTATCTATGTTTTAAACCTTTGCAGAGTTACGTTAAGACAAAAATACGATGATATAAGTGCACATTTAACAAATCAGTACTACTCCGATGAGACTGTTGAAGCGGCACGGCACCCTTGTGACCTCGTTGAAAATGACGGGGTGTTTGTCAGACTGGATGACCGAGTCGTAGGCGTAGGAAGTGCTGCATGTGGCCCCGGGCCTATGGAGGACTGCTTGGTAAAGGTGCAGGATGTCACTTTTGGTGTGCTTTTAGAGCCTGTATCTGCGTGAAACAAATGTTTATCTAGACTTAGATCTATTTCTAGATAAAAGCATACTGCGATATATATTACCCTGCTATGTATAGTGCTCACTCGGAACTTGTTATTATTCAGGTATACTTTCTAGGCTTTTCGGTCTCTTTTAGCTGTCTTTTTTCGGGTCATTTTAACCTTCTTTCGAGATGCTCGTTGTATCATCAATTTATAGCGGCTGAAAATCCTATAATACCGTCTCTCATTGGGACATTTTTGATATAACCTGTTTCCAGACATATCAGATACTGTTTATCATGTTTTGTTTCTTCATGTTGCGTGATGATGTTTACGATGTCTGCCACCTTGGTAGCAATCTCATCGCAGCAACGTTGAAAGTATATTACGACAAACTAGTGGTTTTTACTCTATGGTCTCTTCAAGGGGGAGGATAATGAATGAATTATTGAAATGTAAATTGAAATTTGACAACAGTCCGATATATGCTAGACATGAGAAACACCATGCAATCTGAAACAAGAAAAAAGCATCAAGTCATAATCACCCTACAAGCGATCTATTTTTAAGCGGAACCGAGGTACTTGAGCACACTCTCGCGCTCCTCAACAGGCAACATAGAAAGCACCTGCTGGACACCACGCAAACCACCCTCCTTGTTACCAATCAACAACTGCGCAACCTCAGAAGCAACGCCCTCGGTGCGGAGCAACTCGACCTTGGTCTGAACAAGCTTCTTGTTCTCCTCGTACCAAGCAGCAACCTTCTGGTCATCGTGCTCGAGCTCCTCGTCCAAGAGCCCAGTCCAAGCGTGCAGAGTGCGCAGGTGGGCAACACGGGGCGACTCGGTGGAAGGGTGGGATCCGGTGGTGGGGATGGCACCGGCGGCACCGGTGCGGGGTGCGGGGGAAGCAGAGGCAGCGACCATACGCTTGACGATGAGCTCTTCGCTCAAACGACGGCGCAGACGCCAGTAGAAGAAGCGGCGGGAGTTAACCCACTGCAAAGGCTGGCGAATGGCGTTCTTGGCTTGCATGCGGCCGGCGCGATCGTGCAGATCGGCGAATTGGAGGGCGATCTGCATGTAGACGGGCAAAAGCTGCTCTTCGCGAGCGGCCATCTGGGACTTGACGTCGGACAGCTGCTCCTTGGTAAGAGAAGTGTCTTCCAGGGCACGGCGGAGCTCGCCGTACTTGGCATCCAGACGGGCCATGGTGTCGAGCTGCTTGTCGCGGCGGTACTTGATACCAACGATACCCTCGGGTTCGAGAACACCTCCGCGGGAGTCTTCATCGGCGTACATCTCCATCTGGTCAGGGTTGATGGTGGGATCAACGACGACCCAGGATCCTCCGCGAAGCTCACCGTGGGGTGGGATGTAGACGAAGACGGGCTGCTCGTACTTGACCAGGGCGTCGACAATGTACGAGCCGTACTTGAGGACTTCGTTGTACATGTCACGCTGACCACCAGAGAATCCACGCCAGTTGGCCAGGATCATGACGGGCAGCTGTTCACCGTTGTTGAAGTCGCGCAGAGCCTGCGCAGTCTTGTATGCCGAGTTGGGGTACCAGACACCGCCAGCCTCGTTGGAAATCATCTCCATAGAGTCGGGGTTGGCGGGGTCGGCAGGGGTGACGTTCTCGACGCTGCGAGTCTCGACAGCAATGACACCCATGGGGATACCACCGAGGCGGGCACGGCCGACGACGACAGTGCGGGCCCAGCCACCAAGGGCCTCCTCGAACGAGTCCTTGTCAAACAGACCAGGAAGGAAGCCGTCAACGTCCTCCTTACCGCCGATGAGCCATCTAACATCATAGGTCTGCTTGGGGGGAGGGAAGTAGGCAACATCACGATCCCAGTTATCGGACCAGGGGCGGATGGGAATGGGAGCACCCTTCTTGTCGGGCACGAAAGACATCCACTCAACAATCTTCTCGACACCCTCGAAGTCATCGTTGGCAGTCATGTGAGAAACACCGTTCTTATACATGATCTGAGTACCACCAAGCTGGAGGTTGGAAGTGTAGACCTCGCGACCGAGCAGCTTGTTGATGGCAGGGGCACCAGTGAGGATGATGGGCTGGCCCTCAACCTGGATGGCACGCTGACCAAGACGAACTAAGTAAGCGCCAATACCGACAGAGCGGCAGGTAACGAGAGTGATGGTGAAGATGTCCTCGTAAGCTTTGGAGGTGGCACCGGCAATAAGACCGGAACCCTTCAGACACTCGACACCCAGACCGTCCTTAGCACCGATGACAGTGGTGATCTTGTGGCGCTCTTCGCCTTCATCATGGATCATCTCGGTGATGACTTCCTTCTTCTTGCTAGCATCGAAGCGCGCCTTGACCTCGGGAGTGAGGTAGAGGTACTTGAAGCCGGCCTCGGGCTTCTCGGGGTTTTTCCAGGCAACAGAGAAGAATGGAATCAGCTCGTCGGCCATGCCGATGCGAGCACCGGAATTGGCAGACAAGTAGATGCGCGGGATACCCAGCGACCGGGCAAGCTCGGTACACTTGTGGAAGTACTTGTCTTCCTGGGGACCGAACGAACCAATCTGGAAGGTGATGTCGTTGGCGACAATGATGAATCGTCTGCCACGGGGATACTCAGGAGTACGGGCGGTGACAATCCATCCAACCATACCGTGGGTGTTTGTGCCGGGCTCGCGAGCAACCTCAATGAGGTTGTCGGTATCATCGAGAACAAGCTCGCTGTAGTCCATGCACTCGCCGACAGGGGGACGCTTCTCATACAAGGAGGGGATGGTCTTCGATACCTTGGTCCAGCTGTTCTGGAAGGCCTGGCGGAAGAGCTCGGGGAAATCGTACACGTACTGGGTTCCCATCAAGTGAGCCTTGTAACGCTTGGGCTGCAACCACTCCTTGGTAGGATAGGGAGTAGAGACAGGGCGCATGTGCATGGAGCCGAGCTTGGTGGTACCACCAATGCTCTGGAAAATCCACTCGCCCTTCTCAGACTTGCGCTCGATGTAAAGCTCAACGTTGATGATGAATCCGTAGGTGTTGCTGATGATCACACGGAGAGGGTAGGGCATGCCTGTGGTGGGGTCAGTGCAGAGGATACGGATCTCGGCACCGGTGACACGGAGGCGCCAGAGACGGCGACCGAAGCGGTCGAGGAAACCGGCGAGGGCCTGCTCAACATCATCTGGCTGGAGGTTGAAGACAGGGGAGAAGTTGATGAAGATGTGGTTCAGGTCGGAGTTGTTGTTTCCAATAATCTCCAGAGCGTCCAGGATGTCGTTCATAAGGCGGTCGGCCTCGGATATGAGGTACTCAGCGGTAGGGATATCATCGCGAAGGCGGCCGGGACGAACGACGGCGCGGATGAAGTAGCGCTTGTCGACAGCCTTATCGTTCCCAGCGCCCTTGCCAATAGCCTCATACACATGGATGCTGCGGTTCTCAGTGAAGACGGGCTTGATGTTGAACAAGGAGAGACGTCCAAGCTCGAGCTGGAAGGCAAGAGCGGGCTCGTTATGACGGATACTCAAATCCTCCTCGTAGTGGGGACCGCGGAAGGTGAAGTAGCCAGGGTAGACGCCCTGCTTGCCGCAAATGAAGGTAACACGACGAACACGGCGGGCAAGGAGCTCGTCCTTGTGGTCAGCAAGAAGCTGCTTCATCTGTCCAACAAGCTCCTGGTCATCGAGATCCTCGATGTCGCGGATGGCAATGTTGCAGACACCAGTGAGCTCACTGTCGTGTTCAACTTTGGGGATGGGGCGACGCTTGCCCTCAAGGCTGGCGATAAGGCCTTTGTCGCTGGGACGCTTGGCATTGGAGCCGCCGAGAGGGAAGGACTCAAGAGCCTTGGAAAGGATATCCTGAGCATCCTCCAAATACTGGACAGGAATGATAACACCCTTGCGGACCGGGTCACTCAGGGGGTCGTTCAAAGAGGAGAACTCGCTGATAGAGTTGATCCGCTTAAAGGGGTTGACCTCCGAAATGGGTGTACCCGGGGCCGAGGGCTGGGTGGAAGAGAGGGAACCGAACTCGGGCTGGCCCAGCTTGCCAAGGCTGAAGTCCCAGGATAGGAAGGGCTGCTCAGTGGAGGCATCGTATTCGATGCCCTTGAGGGTATAGGCACGGTAGGCACGGCGCACGTAAACTTCCAGAGCAGCGAGGGTAACCCAAGGGTCGTTGTGGACGAAGAAGCGAGGAAGGACATCAAAGACGGTGTACTTCGAGTCAACAACCTCCTTCAAGATATCGAAGGAAGGCTCACGGTGCTCCCAACCGGTCTCACCGTAGCGAGACTCAACAACAGAGGACTTGAGGATGTGCTCCATCTGGGACAGACGCTCATCCAGAGAGGGCATGGCACACTGGATCAAAACCTCACGGGCCTTGAGAGTGACCTTGGCAGAGGAGCGTGACTCGAGATCTGTCAACTTCTTGAGGATAGGCTTGAAATACTTGCCAACATTCTCAACATTAGGCTGGTTGGGGCGGTACATGTCCAAAATGGCCAGGACCAGGTTGTTCTTGGATCCAATGCGGCTGTGAGATAGAACAGTGTGGACAATGCCAGTGATATCATCCTTGTTCTCCTCACGGAGCTTGAGAATGACGTCCTCATCACGGAAGTTGTGAGTAGAGAATAGCTTCTCAACGTCATAGTACTGCTCGAGCAGACCAATGAAGACATTGTACTCGTTGGACTTCAAGCCATCCACGTACTTGTTGATAACCTGGACTAAAGGCAGGAGGGTAGCCTTGAGGATATCAGCATCAGCAGGTGCAACATTCTCCTCGATGAAGCGAACGATAGCCTTCTGGAGCTGCTTGGCAGGGAACTCGGCCTTGCGAGCCTTGGCCTTATCAACAAGGGCTTGGAGTTGAGCATCCAGCTTCTGGGGGATACGGGAGTGCAGCGCGGAGGACTGCGCATTCCACTCGCCGTAAGGAAGGTCGATGTTACGCAGCACCTCAACCAGATCATTCAAGGTAGTGCCCATGATGACCTGGTTGTCGAAACCACGGAGGATGTTCTCCAGAATGCCGTGGAGCAGGAAGAATCGCTGCGATGGCTTGTTACCAAGGACAGTGGGGGACCCAAGCTCGGGCAGCTGTCCAGTGAAGGGCTGAGCGTGCTTAACGCGGGAGGGGTCATCCAGAGCAAGTATAGCGAGAATGTCACCAGCTTCCAGGGTGGCACCCGGTTGCTTAATGAGCTGCACAATACCATCCTCTTGGGCGATGAGGGGCATGTACATCTTCATGACCTCAACCTCGGCATACGACTGGCCTGAGCGGACGTGCTGACCGTTCTCGACGGTGAACTTGACAAGCTTACCAGGAGAGGGAGAACGAAGTTGAGTGGGGTCGTTCTCCTGCTCCAGAAGACAGGTCTTGCCGTCAACGCTGAGACGGGTCGCAGCGGGCTCTTCCTTCCAGTAGACGTTGTGACTGCGGCCATCGAGCAGGACCAACAAACCACCGTCAGCCAGAGCACGAACGCCAACTGAACACTTGGAGCCGTTGATGAACAGGTGGTAGCTGTCCAAGCTGGCGCGAGTGGCAGTGAACTTGTAGCGCTCGCCCTCGTAAATAAAGTCGACGGGGAAGACAGTCTTCAGGATTTCCTTGGAGGGAACCTGACCCTTTCCGAGGCTAACGCGATACTCTTCAATGCCAGCCTCGCTAGCAAGATGGGCCTTAGTGACTGCACCACAAATAATGGCAACAATCTGGTCAGGGCGCTCAGCGGTCAGCTTGTTGGTAATGAGCTGGTCGAGCCATCCAGTGGTGATGGTGTTATCCTCGAAGGCGGGGGTTTCCAGAAGCTTAATTAAATACTCGACAGTGGTGCGGAAATCACCACGAATGCTCAGCTCTTTCAAAGCAACAACCATGTGCTTGCGGGAGGCAGATCGGTTCTCGCCGTAGGCGAAAATGTGACCAAACTGACTGTCGGAGAAGCTGTGAATACCACCGGCAGTACCGACAGAGAAGTAACCCCACACATTGGAGGAACTGCGGAAGTTCAGCTCGTGCATAGTACCACTGGAGGGCTTGAAACCCTCGCCAGGATCTTCGGAGGTGATACGGCAGGCAGTGGTGTGGCCCTTGGGCTGAGGACGGCGCTGAGTCTGGTAGCTCTCCTCCTTGGAGAAGTCGAAGTCAATGTCGACGGAGGTGTTGGGGTCCACACCGTAGAGCAGACGAATGTCACGGATGCGGTGAAGGGGAATACCCATGGCAATCTGGAGCTGAGCAGCGGGCAAATTGACACCAGAGACCATCTCGGTGGTGGGATGCTCGACCTGCAGACGGGGGTTCAACTCAAGGAAGTAGAACTTGTCGTCGGAGTGGGAGTACAGGTATTCGACGGTACCGGCAGAAACGTATCCGACCAAACGACCCAAGCTCACGGCAGCGCGCTCCATGGCCTGGAAAGTGGGCTGCTTCGCAATAGTAACGGGAGCTTCCTCGATAATCTTCTGGTGACGACGCTGAACGGAACAATCACGGCCGAAGAGGGAGATGTTGTTGCCGTACTGGTCAGCCAGCAGCTGCACCTCCAGATGGCGGGCGTTGCCGGCCAGCTTCATGATGAAGATGGGCGAACCAGGGATCTCGTTGGCGGCGGCGTTGTACAGAGAGATGAACTCCTCCTCGTTCTCGACCTTTCGGATACCCTTACCACCACCACCTTCGGAGGCCTTGACCATGACTGGGAAACCAATCTCCTTGGCCTTCTCCAGACCTTGTTCCGGGGAGAAGGTGCAACCTTTGTTATAGGTTTCATCCTCGACCGTCACAATACCATCGCTGTCAACCTTGACGGCGTCGACACCGGTTCCAGACCAGGGGATACAGGGCACACCAGCATGCTGTGCAACAATGGTGGAGGAAATCTTGTCACCCAGAGAGCGCATGGCCGAGGCGGGGGGTCCAATGAAAATGATCTTCTTCGGCGACGCAGCAAGTGATTCGGGTAACCGAGGGTTTTCGGAGGCATGACCCCTGCAAACTGAGTATCAGCAATCCGTTCGCAATTCTCCATCTCCATATCCAAGCCACTTACCATCCTGCCCACACAGCGTGAACATCCATTCGCTCCGCAACATCGACGATCAGCTCGACGTTGGCATAATTATTATTATTAGTTCCACCGGGAACCTCGACGTATTGGTCGGCCATACGAATATAGTCGGCGTTGGCGTGCAGATCTTCAGGCGTGGCCATCACGGTAAATTGGATGGCCCGTTCGTTGCCAAAAGTCTCGTAGGCCCATTTCCGCACTGAACGGATCTCTTTGACAGCAGCGATACCGTTGTTGGCGATAAGCACCTATCGAGAGTCAGCTTCAACCCCTCAATTCTCGCAGTATTGCAGTGCTGTAATACTGCAATTCGCTGCAGTAATTTCGAAGGTTGCTTACCGATGTGATGACAGAGTGACCCTCGTGAGCGGCCACAAATTCCTTCACTTTGCTCGGGGGTGCTGATTCGAGGGCATTGCCACCGATGAAATGTGAGGGAAGGTTGCTGTGCTTAGCAGAACTGCCGTTGACCGGAGAGTTGCCATTTGTGACACCCATGATGATTTGATCACAGGTCAGATTCCCATGTAAGAATTGAAAAGCTGAATGCTAAGGCGCGGTATGCAACAGCGCCGATTAATAAGAAAAGTCGGGTAATGTACAGATGTTGAGAAGTGGCGGAATGTGCCCGGGTAGCTTATCACGGGCAGAAAAAGTACGTGGAAAGAGATGGATGTCAGGAGAGTGAGATAAGCGTCAGGAATAAGATCTGCAAAAGAGAGAAAAAACCGAGGTGTCAGCGTCAGAAGAGGAAACAGAAGGCCAGATGCGGACAAATGCGGAATTGGACTAAATTGGTAGCTACCGATGTAGCCAGTTCGCAAACGGCAAACTATACTCCGTAGCCACGAAGCAAAGAAAAGGGTTGCACTTACCGGGAACCACCAAGACCCGAGAATAAGATATATAAAATAAATATGTATAGAACAAAAAAAAAAGAGAGAGAGAGAAACCGAAGAGTTCCAGAGGAATGCAAGTCCAATAAGTTCAAAAAAAATTGATGAGAAGATGATTTTCTGGAGTCCCACCAAGGTGGAGATCCTCCCAACTGGACGTTGGTGATTCCCTCACAGTTGGTCCAAAGTACCCCTGCATAGTCAACAGTATGGAACGGTACCTTCCAGGCCCAGGAACACTTCCCAACTCCCTCGACTTTGTTGGGCCGGTTCCACTACAATTTGTGCCCACCACTTCTGCCACTTTCGATGTTAATTTTTTTTTTCCTTTTTTTTCTTTATTGAAATACTGTCGTTTAACTGATATGTTTGAAAATGGTATTACAGTTATGTGTGAATGATAATGGATGTTGTTTAATTGTAAATTTGTACGGAGTAAATATATAATATTTGTACGGAGTATAGAAATCATTATCCCCACGCCCCTCGGTCCCCGACTCGGAGATTCTTCTCCTTGCTTTTCCAATTTTGGTGAGTCGGGGTTCGGACTAGGCTTTCGGAGGCTTTGCTTTCTATTCTAGATCTGATGTTACCGTGACCTTTCCTAGCTTTGTGGTTGGCCATAAGGCTTAGTATATACAATATAGTCATAATCTTTATGCGAACTATAGTTAGAGATAAATTAATAAACTCCACGTCATTGACCCGAGAATCATGGCGTTTATAGTACGGAGTACGCTATTCCAATTTGGCCGATGTGCATGATTCAACATCAACATTCCAGATCGTTCCCTTGACAAGCACCAATCATTTCCCGGCTTAACCCCAGAACCCCAACTCAACCCATTCTTGGGGCCAACCAGCGCAAGCCAATGGATTTGATCAACTACCAAAACAAAATTAAAAACTTAATTGGAGCATAAACATCGTGGGTATTATTGAATAATGAACGAAAAGACGAGCTGAGACACAGCTTAGGACGCCCCCAGAACCCACCGGGGGCCGCATTGAATGGACCAGGCCTGGCTGGTAGATCAATCAGCATGTGCAAGTCTATACACGAGGCGTTGTATCCGGGATTGGGTCCGGAGGGTGCACCCTTTGTAGATGCAGTCGAACACGGTCAAATAGGTAAAACAGCCTTGAAAGAAAGCAAACACACAAGGCACAGAACCACTCAACCCCCATGGAAATACCATAACTATCAACGAAAAGCACTGGAATCAGAATGTTTCCCCCAGGTCACTGACTTGGGGCTTCCGGTTTGGTGGCGGCATGGTACCGGGTCCGATGCTAGTCTTGAAGCTTCGCGGTGCTGGAATTCCACTGGTGGTTCGCTTCTTCACTCCGGGGGTGGAGCCTGCCGCAACAACAGAGGGCCGTCGAATATGAGTATCGCGGGGGACACGGGACGTTGTCGGTGTCGAGATTTCGATGTCCTTGTCACTGTCCTCATCGATGAGACACATTCCAGCAATATTGGGGAGCTGACCAGCGTGGTTGCTGAGAGACGACCGAGGCCGGCGGCCTTCTGTCATCGGGTTTGTCGAGTAATGGCCCAGTGGCGTTTTGGCGCCTGGGCGGCTCGATCGGCTTTCGGGTCGACCATTCACGGGTACACCAGAATGAACACTTTTACTGAAAGAGCTACGGCTGGAGAAGCTGGTTCGGCTGCTTGGGCGACTCTCGCCTGTTCGTCCAAATGACTGGCGACCTTGTGGGGTATAAGATGGAGTGCCTTCGCTGTCCCGTACAGACGAGCCCAGACTGCTGTTACTCAGTCGCTTGCGAGAGTTTCTGCGGACTGTGATCGATGAGGGGACAGGGCTGTCACCAGTCACAGAGCCGGAGCGCGGTGAGCCAAGAGAGGAGGTGTCAGACGGGGCGGGTAAGCGTGACTTGGCTGATTGAACGCGTTCTTCGAGTTTTTGCATCTTGCCAATCAAGCCGCGGATCTGGAACAATGATCCAGACTTCGGGAGCCCTGGTGGCCGCGATGTATTCATTCTCGTCAAGCTGTTGCGAGACGAGATCGACATAGAAGGGGTGGGGCGGCCATTGCCATTGCTGTAGGCGCCATTGCTATAAGCAAGAGAAGGGGTTCGGGAGTGAGTGGTGCGTGGCTGAGTCCGAGCGTGGAGGGTGCGAGAGTTCACCGGCTCCGCGCCAGCAGCTCTCTGCCGGGGGAAACTGGGTGTAGTGTGTGCGTTGATCGATTTGCGCATGTTCACAGACGATTCGGAGATAGGGGGCGAAGGCGGGGTGGCAGCCGCAGACGCAAGGGATGGTTTGGCGGGCGGTGTGGCAAAGACTGGGGAAGATGTAGCGGTGCCAGGAGAGCGATCAAAGATCTCCAAATTCTGAGGGGTGGACGGGCTGCGGTGGTACAGAGGAGTGGGCTTGCGACGACGGAAGCCGTGACCCTCGGCGTTCCGAAGTTTCTCTTGAACGATTTCAGCCTCGATCTTCAGGTCGGACAGCTCATCGCGCAGGCGCTGATTGTCAATCCGTAGCTGCTCCCTTTCTTGCTCCCCATTCCTGATTTCTTCTTCCAACAAGACCCCGCGCTCGATTCCGATGTTGTATTTGGACTCCATGTCCTCCAGGGACGAGGTGGTGTTTCGGGCTTGTCGCTCGTAGTCATCGTTGGCAACTTCGATATCTCGCAACCTTAGCTGCAAGGTACGGTTTGCGTCTCGCAGAGTGGTGATCTCCTTCTGCAAATTATTTTGCGCAGTGTTGGCTTCGGTCTTAGACTGCTTGTATTTTGTCTGCCGGTGCCCATGTCAGCGTCCGCACGAATGTAGGCAATGAGCATAATCTGGTGTACCTTCCACTCTTCGACCTCGTATCGCATTGTGTCAAGCTTTTCCTTCAGTTGCCGCTCCCGCTTTTCCGAGGCTTCGATGTCCTTCTCCATCTCCGTCTCCAGCTCCCGGCTGGAGGACTGGAAGTCCGCAAGCTCTGCCTCGAGAGATTCATACTGGGCTTTGTAATGTGCCAATTCATCTCTGTAAGAACTGCTCGTATGCTTCCGCTCGGAAGGAGGCTCGTCGACGGCCGGCATCTTCGAGTGTTGGGCAGCCAGACCGGTCGCAAAGGGGATGTCTGGACGACGGGCGTCGTCCAAAATTGGCCGATGTTACTAGAGACAAATCACCAGGCTGTCTTGCCCTGCAGATCGCGCCAGCCCCTCTCAAAGACTCATATGTTACGTGGTGGCCCGATGTCAACAACCGTGCGTTGATAAGAGCCCCTCGCCGAGGCGGTGACGCAAGGGATTGATCGTGGTAGTCGGCAGCGTGTTCCTCCACAAAGAGAGTGCAGAATAGTTGAGGGATGCACAACAAAGTATGCAAAATTGACTTACCTTCGACCCGCCTCTCTTGTCGCGAAAGCGGGTTAGATTAGATCGGGCTGGGAGAAACCGATGTTGTTGTTTCGGTCGTCAGGGGCGGGATACGCTAGTCTACATTTGGAAGATCTGGGTTGAGCCACCCACCGCTCTTTTGGCGCCTGGGGCATAAACTCCTGCCTCAGATATCAGGTGCTCAGGCATTCAATCCGAGCCTAAGCCTCATTGGAAGCTGGACGTGACCTCGGGATCGACCCTCAGCCCGTAATCTGGATTCATCAGTCCCCAGTCTCCAGTTTCTGGGTCCGTAGGGCAATCAAGTCGGAGCGGTAAGTGGCTTTATTTACTTTTCAATTTTCATTGTAAGCCCTTCATGGAAACTTACAACATCCAAAATCATGTGTTTGTTGTCTCCAGACACCACTCTAGGGGCTATGCCCACGCACACGCTTCATAAGATCGTTGATCGCCTTGTTTGCTTCCACGCACTTGTTTACCCCCGACTCTTTCCAAGCTTCATCTATCTCTAGTTTTGGGGCGCATAGATTGGACGTGGGAACATGGTCTGACAAATATGCTCACAGCTATTTCTACTCTGATTGAGCACTCTCTGTGAGGCCAAGGCCTATCTCGATCTATCCACATGGCTGACTCAACGGATCTCAACCTGGACGATGCGCCCAGTGACCTTCAAGACATTCCGGAGCTGGCAATGCAATTGGTGCCCCCTCCAGAAGGTACATACCCTGACAAGTAAGCTGATACCCCACCGCCCTTTGCTTGATAGGGCCAATATCAACAAATTATCTATGAACTAGAAACACTCTTCTCACTGCGGTTCAAGACCATGGAAAGGAACATGGCTATAATGTGGTGGTCAAGTCTTCAAGTACGCCTACCGAGAAGAAACCTGGCCGTACTGCCAAGATTTGGCTGCGCTGTGATCGTGGCGGGCACTATCGGCCGCGCAATGGCTTGACCGAGGAGACACGAAAGCGCCGTAGAACATCGCGTTTGATGGACTGTCCTTTTATGCTTGTCGCCGCTGGGTCTCCGGGTATCTGGAGCCTGACGGTTTTGAATGCCACGCACAATCATGGCCCCATCATCGAAAAGCCACGCCAAGTGCCTCACCACAAAGTGCGCAAGGGCCAGATTCCAGCCCTTCCATATGATTGGCCGCATGATGCAACATTTACCAAGTACACCACTGCTCTAGTGATCATTGACATGCAAAAAGACTGTAAGCATACAAAACCTACTGTCTGAGCATGCAAACTAATGCACCTCTAGTCTGTTTGCCCGAGGGATACCTAGGATACCAGGGCTATGATATTTCTGGCACACGGGCCTTGATTCCTCGTCTGCAGAAATTGCTAAAAGCTTTCCGCGATGCGGAATTCCCAGTATACCACACTCGCGAGGGTATGCATACACTCATATACGAGCCCTACATATGTAATCCACTAATTCCTTATAGGCCACCGCCCCGATCTGTCCACTCTTTCCAGTCGTGAGGCATATCGGTCTCGCAACAATGCTTCGGGCCTGGGAATTGGCTCCACTGGTCCCATGGGCCGCCTACTCATTCGCGGCGAACCAGGCCACGACACCATTGATGAATTGTATCCCACAGAAAATGAGCCAGTAATCGACAAACCCGGCCGCGGTGCATTTGCACATACTGACTTTGAGCTTCTTCTGCGCAACAAAGGAATCAAGAATCTCGTCCTAGCAGGTGTGACGACCGATGTGTGCGTCTCGACCACCATGCGCGAGGCCAATGACCGTGGTTTCGACTGTGTTCTTTTAGACGACGGTAGTGCAGCCGCTGAACCATCACTACATATTGGCACGGTTGAGTCAGTCAAGATGGAAGGCGGTATCTTTGGATCTGTTGCCAAATTGGAAGATGTCATCCAAGCACTCGACAATTCCGTCAAAGCCGCCCACGCACTCAAAAACGCCAATGTGAAGAAGCTGGCTCCTCAGATTACAATCTAGGTTTTTGCTCATTATTTTCGCGAATTGGCTTGGGCCCTGGGCTGAACGGATATCTTTGGCGTTGCGGGCTGGAGTAATCTCCTTACTTTCGAGAGGCTGCAGAGGCATTCTTGTTGCTTTTTCGAATCCATCTTTAGCAGGTTTAGCATTGGGATTCTGGATTCTAGTCGATACCAGATCGATTCATATTTGCCAGCCTTTCCAGGCTCAGAAACGCTGCTTTCATCGAGACCTCAATTGGTAAATGATATTGGAAATCATCTAGTGTCATGAATACACTTGCTCGTTACATAAAACTCCAGTAGATATTTGGCTCAGTCATAGACATGACACCTTTATAGTTCTTATTATGTAGGCCAAGTCCCGGTAATGCGATAGAAACAAAGTATCAAGCCCCCCAAGATAGAATACATGCCCACAAACGCCGCGCTTATGAACCAAAGCGAAGACAACCTTGGAAGACCAAATTAAAGCCACTTCTTCCCAGCAGCCGTGACCCGTGTTCTGAAAACTGGGCTTTTAATCTCCATTCCCTGCTTGTAGAATGGATTCATTGCTGTCTTGACGTAGTTCTCGTAGACCTCGTTCATGAATTGACGCACGGCCTCCTCTGTCTGCGGGGAGGTCGGGTTTGCGGCGATAGAGCTTGATGACGCACGTGTAGTTGAACCTGCTGTTCCAAGCAGGGAGGAGGATCCGAGACCGCTGCCGGTGCTGGTTGAAGAGGGGAGATGCGGGGGTTGGTGCAGTAGGAGGAAACGGGCACCACTGGGGGTCAAGAAGGCTGTGATGTATGCCGCTGCGGGAGGGTAGGTATCGATGTGCTTCAGGTACCTTTATCATTATATTAGCTTTGGCAACAGTTTCGATTGGTCATTGGATGTGAGATAAGTTCCGTGCGGGTGGATGTCTCCTGGTAGCTCGCAGGGCCTTTGCGTCATGTTTCAGGGGCCATGTGTGGATACGAGATATGTTTGTATACTAACATTGATCCATTTGTCCATTGCGCTTCTTCCAGAATGTCCAAGCTCGAGTGTATGATAAATTGGTTCATGTACTGTGCTGTCTCTGGAAAGCGGAAACGAGCAATGCCATCGCCACCGCCTTTGGACGTGCCAAACGCAATGTTGAATAGAGGTGTATCAGTCGGTGATAATATAGTGAAATAATAAGACATTTTGGGCTGATTACGATAATCAGGGTAGAGATGGGAAGACGAGGACATCGGGGGCTATTTACTAGCGGCCGATGATCACGTGGCTGATAAGAAAGTGTGGCTAGTGGCTTGTGGCTTGTTCGGTGAATATGGCACCCACGTATGAGCTTTTGTGTGGTAAATTTGTTTGTTGAAAGATAAGTTACAGATTGTAATGCTCTTGGCTTGAGCAGTCGTCCCAGATTACTGATGTCTCAGCAGTTTCAAAACTTTTGAGTATCAACATATTGTCATGCGTTGTGCACGGATGATTATATATTGTTGAACCGAAATATCAATGACAGCTATTGTAATAGCCACCGACATGTTGTTTCCAGAGCGTACTTGATTGGGTCTTATTAGGTATAGACCTTGTGATATAAGAGCGAAATATTCCAATTTCATCAACGTTTATTGAAGGTTTGTATACTTCGAAATGATCATTCCCCGCAAAAGCCAGACCACGTGACCTACTGATAGACTGTTGCTTTATCGCGCCCTATCGCTGTCGCAACTTTTTGACTTCAACATCTAGCCCAAGACAATCGTGTCGCTGCTATTCATCTCCATCCCCAATTTAAGCATTACCCGATAAACATAAATTTTGCTATGCCGATGAATCTTAGTCTCGGGAACAAAAAGCCCGCAGCACCGAAACCGAGAAATCCTCTCGGACAGAAGAGAAAGAACATTTTTGACGATGGCTCTGGCGACGAGGACGAGTCGAACGAACATGGAGCAATTGAGCTTTCTACAATTGGAGGCTTAAAAGAACCTGTACCGATGACGAAACCGCAAAGTGCAGGTCCGCCGCCGAAACGCAAGATGCAATTCGGAAGTGCTGCCAAACCCTCGATCAAACCACTCAACAAAAACTCGTTGTTTGCTGATGACGAGGACGAAGATGAGGAAAAGGAAAAAAAGCAGCAGGGCGAAATGCACTTGGGGCTTAATAAGGCAAAGTCGAACAAGCCGACCGCGCCTGGCCAAGATTTCACTAATTTGTCAGCAATGCACAGCAGCAAGAAGCATGCAAAGCAAGCCGAAGAAATCGATCCCTCGATCTACTCATACGATGCTGTATACGATAGCTTGCACGCCAAAACTGCCAAGTCCTCGGTGAATACCAAGAGCGAAACGCCGAAGTATATGCAGAACTTGTTACAGAGTGCAGAAATCCGGAAAAGGGATCAACTCCGAGCGAAGGATCGTCAGCTTGCCAAGGAACGTGAAGCTGAAGGTGACGAATTTGGCGACAAGGAGAAGTTTGTCACGGCTGCATACAAGGCGCAACAAGAAGAACTGCGCAAGGCCGAGGAAGAGGAGGCACGGCGCGAAAAGGAGGAGGAAGAGCGAAGAAAGAAGAGTGGCAACTCCGGCATGATTGGATTTTACCGAGACGTGCTTTCTCGAGGCGAAGAACAGCACGAAGAGGCTGTCAAAGCTGCCGAAGAAGCTGCTCGTCGCGTAAAAGCAGGAGAGCTTCCAGAAGCAGAAGAGAGAAAAGATGAGGATGAGAAGACAGAGGCCCAGAAGGCCGAGGATCTTAACTCTCATGGCGCTCGTGTTGCTGTCAACGACGAGGGTCAAATTGTCGACAAGCGCCAGCTGTTGTCTGCAGGATTGAACGTCGCACCAAAACCGAAATCCCAACAACCTGCACCCAAAGCAGTTCCACGGCCTGCTGCTCGCCCAGCCGGCGGTCACCAAAATGCACGTGCTGCCCAGAGAGCTCGACAGACCGACATGGTTGCGAGCCAATACGAGGAGCGTGCCCGACAAGAAGAGGAAGCCGAGGCTGCGAAACAGAAGGAGATTGCGGAGAAAAGTCGCACCCGCAAGACCGAGGGAGAGGTCTCCAGCGCAAAGGAGCGGTACCTGGCAAGAAAGAAGGAACGCGAAGAAGCTGCTGCGAAGGCAAGGGGGTCATGAATATACACTTAAGAGCGAGTTGGACTTGTTACAACTACGGAATCTTGTAATTATAATGCATAGCGCTGGAAGAGGATTGTACTATATGTAGAAATGATATCAGAGGGTATACACCCAGGGTCACCTCCGATTTTTGAGTCGTATGGCTAAAGAAGCCGTATGTTGTTGTAATATTTTGTAGATACCTCTTATTTTGTGGCTTCCGTGAATATATCTTCTTTCTTCTCACCCATCGATTGATATCAATACCAAACCTCGTCGAAACAATTTTACATCGTAAGAATACGTTGTAGTGAACTTATACCTCGGTGAAATCATTGCCAAGACCCTTAACGCCGGATTACCTCACCACAGTCACATGACCCCACAATGGCTGAGTTAATCCGGAATCCGAAGGCACTCGCTAAGCCGCCCCACACAGGTCGCACTCCCAATTTTGCACTCAATCGAGACTCAAGAATCGCTTCACACACCACTTCAATCTCCCGTTCATCAACGTCAATCATCCAACATGGGTAAGGTTCACGGCTCTCTCGCCCGTGCCGGTAAGGTCAAGGCTGCTACTCCTAAGGTGAGTTATCTTCGAAATTCAACAAACGCCACTCGATACACGGTCGCAGTGGCCCTCCATCCGAACCACCTTTTTTAACGATGATTCTGCATCCAGGTCGAGCCCCAGGAGAAGAAGAAGAACCCCAAGGGTCGCGCCTACAAGCGTGTGCTTTACACCCGCCGTTTCGTCAACGTGACCATGACCGGTGGCAAGCGCAAGGTACATACCGACTGACTCACACCCCACGCACAACCGAACATAAAATACTTGCGACACCTATGCTGCAATCACCACCATCAAAAGTGAAGGATAGAAGGCTGACTAGTCGCCATTTACAGATGAACCCCAACCCCGGTCAATAAATTATTCAAGTCGTTAAAACAACCACCTGAGCCGCGATCGGCTAGTCGAGTTCTACGATAAAAATCTTCGCATTGCCACGACACGACCACGGCCCAAACGAATGATAGCACACCAGATACGGCTGGTACTTGTACGGATGATATCACGCTTCTTCGTCTTCACTTGAATTTTTTTTGCTGGTAACGGATGGTTTATTTGGAGGTTGAATCGCGGAAATGGATGAATACCCATGGCGGTCTGAGGATGGAAAGCTGTGTCTAGATGTGAGCTGTCTACGGACAGTCGCAGGCTAGACCAGAGTCACTTTTCGACTCTTTACATAGGCTCCATGAATTGCATTTCCAATCCAGAAATGGACTCTGCTTCTCTTTCGACGTTTTCTCGATACATGGTCTGGAGTTGAGACTGGATCTGAGCATGAATTTGGCTCGAGTTTCATGTGCAAGTTGTAGATCTGATTCGGCAAGCTGACAGTATCAAGGCCGTGGTTAGTTTGATATCTTGATACTGGAGATATTGTGATCTAGATTCTCGGGCCCCTCAAGATTGTATTTGCGAACTGGCCGAACGTTTCCCTATGCGCCTTAGGGCTTACTAGTAACCATAATCAGCACGCCTCCCTTAGTTTGATTGAATCTTGTCTAGAAGTGTGCTTCTGCATTCACATGGAGCCAATAATTTGCGTACAGGAAGGGCCTAGTTCTTTGTTGAGTTTCATAATGGATCAGGATACCATAATTATATCTTTGATGGACACCATTTTCAGCCTTCTTGACAGTTATCATATCATTCATAAAACAGTACAATATGAATGGTATGGAGTAATTTGCGTTGGCAATGGATATCAGCAGAGCATCTTGAAAGACAGGCTCGTTGTATAGCGGGTAGGGTTTGTAGAGCTATGCATCATTTTCGTCACAATTATCTTTGAACTTGAAACCCTTGCCCTGAATTCCAACTATTACCAAGACAGATTTTGCGTCTGGGAGATCATTCACCGTCAAATACCAGAAGGTCGTTACTTTGCTTGCCAACCGACCTGCTCTTGTCTATTATAGAAAGCCTGGAACAGCATGGCTGCCTCTATTCAAGATAAAACCCTCACAGATTTCTCGTCTAGTCAGATGCAGGCTATCAACTTGGTCTAGCGATGGTTTTGAGATAATCGTGAGCCTTTCTTTTCATATATTTCTTATGTGGAAGCTCGAACCTCGTAATAATTTACATACTTAGCGTACCTTAGCTGCTTGTGTTTGACAATATTTCTGAACTGGCCAACATACAAGACAACATCCCTGCTAGCGATATTGGATCGATAGTCATCACTCCAAAATCCCGCGAAATCGCTACACAGTCCTGCGAGATTGATAGTATGAGCCCTCTGGGACTCTCAGTAGACGGCTTGTCTATGGATGATGGGGGACATCTTCTGAGATCCATAGTATGACAGGAGGACCCGTAAAACTTGCCAGAGCGAATCTCTACCGAGGTAGGAGGCATGCCACTGGCCGTAGCCCAAATTGGAGATCATACCAACGAGTTTGAGCTATTATACAAGCAATTTCTAGACATTTACCGTCAAAATAAGAATGTCCATGATACAATAAACTAGGAGTCACAGCCTCGCATTACGACAAGACTTTGCAATTGGTGTTCGACACTGCACTTGACCACCTAGACGACATTGCATCTTACCGGCGAGAGCATGGAGCTCGCAATTTGATCAATTGCCTTTCTTTTTTCAGCCCCGAAGGTGTTTTGAGAGATTCCTTTGTCGCAGCACACAATATTCCCGGGTTGGAGTTCTTGTTAAAGAATGTTATCTCCTGGTAGGTCGGTCATTCTCGCTTGTATTGACCAGAAAAGTGCGAAGCTAATACGAAGAATCTCGCTAATTTGACTCATTGAACAATTAGACGCCCCGTCCTGGGAGCTCAGCTGATCGAACGGTGCTTGGTACCGACAGGGTGCCGGGCCAGGCACTGCGCCGAGCCTCTCGAACCACAAAATCTGCTACAGCCAGATCTAGAATTACATGAACGAGCGGGGGTTTTTGGAGGACGCTTTTACCGTGCTCAAGACAGCCGAGCGAGTCTAAACACCATCCTGGATTCAAATGATCCGGATTCCACTCGCACATTTGATGGCCTCCTTCGAGCTCAATTTTGGATGTTCCATGCAATTTCAAGGACTGGAGCACAAGAAGCAGATATCGGCCCTGCGACAGAAATTTGTGGACTCTTTGTCGTTAGGTCGTGAGTCCACTATTTACCACTAACTGTTTTTCTAGCAAGTGGTAATTCAATAAAAAAGATTATCATTTCGACAATAGCGCTCGTAGATCTCTGCCCTAGAAACTTGACCATGATGTGGTCTCTGGATCTGGCAAATTGTGCTGATATTGGTAATGAACAACCCCTATTGGACATAGCTGTGCAAGAAGTAGGTATATTCTCCCGTAAGGGAAAGCCATGGGTAGAGATTGAACAGATGATATATTTTGCGTCTAGCTGATCCGCAAAAGCGCAAAAGCCATTTCATCTCAATAAGTTACTTTCGGGTATGCAATCGATGATTGGAGAACCTGTAAGCCCTGTCAACACGTAGCCCATATTATAGCTAAGAATGAAACACTTCATATTCTCTTAGCCCAAAGAATTAGACATACAAACACGTGATGGGTTCCGCCTGCCTTAATTTTGGGTGGATACCCGGCGGGTGATAGTGGATACGGAGTCAGTTAGGTCCAATGAGGATCGAGTACTAAGCTTAGACCAAGTGCTGTATCTGTAAACCGACGACAACAAGGAAAACGATGTAGATGTGATGGAGATATTGGGAAGAAATATGAATGATTGAAAAAGCAGAGAAATGGATGAATGGATCAGAGCATGAATCGAACGTGCGACTCTGCCGAACTGGAAGTCTTGCAGGGGACCTTCCTTCCTATTTTAATGTTCTGAATAGCCTCAACTTCTACTCAGAAGGGAAGTGCCCCATGATCTTTGAAATGATTAAACAATCTATTGGATCGCTTGATTTGCTTAAAAATGATAATAGTAGACCTTCAATCCTTGAAAAAGAACTTACTCCAATCTGAAGTATGTATGATGCCCAGGGAGCGAGATATCCGTATTTCAAGATACCAAAGTACAATCATGTAAAGTAATGGCGCTATAAATCTCAAGTTCAGAGGATGCATTTCAACCAACCCCCTCCGGTGGTCTATTGGTCAAGGTGGCCTTTCTTCCAGTAGTATCACCGCCTCCTGGGGCCTTGTCGTCTGAAGCCGCATCGCGAGACAGCCACACATAGGTAAGCCCTGCGCGTCTGGTTCGCTCCGCGTTATTAGCAGGGAGACCGTGGTCGGAGTTGGCGGAGGGCGGCAAGCACCCTCAGGGGGAGGAGAGTCTGCGAAAGCCACTCTCCTGAGTCCATACCGGTCTGGATTTATGGGGACCTCTTTTTTATATTTTTTATCATGATGCTATTCGCAGTACTTGATGTTCTCTTTTATCCTGTTTTTCCCTTCCCAAATTTGCATACCGTTCTCTATCTTGACCTCTTCCCTGTTGATCTGTATACTTTCATTTTCTGTTGCTCTTTTTCCATAATGACTTTAGCGATCAAAGCCTTGGATTACATCGAGTCAACTCTCTTCACTCCCAGGGTTAGTCTCCCTCAATATCAGGAAGGACAAGACAGGCTTGAATATTTGTTTCTTGCTTATGATTATTTTGTCTTGAAACACGGACACTTTTGATGGTATGGACTTTTTATCCTAGTGTATGCAATCAATTCTACGTGCTGACCTTGAGACAGGTCCATTAGGAAAGTTATTAATGCCAAGCTAATGCCATCTAACCAAAGGGTAGGTCTCAGGTTGTACTCCGCATTCAAATTCCCGTGGGAAAATCGGAGCCTCTGAGGACAGCCGAGAAAGTTATTGAAATTGATGACATTGAACTAACTAACGTATTATGGACAAGTACAAATTGGTCCTTCACATATTTTCAAAATCCAACAACGCCGGCGTACTTCACGTCAAAATTTACAGGGCCTGCACAGAGATACGTCTCGGGGCTCCATTTCCGTGCAATCCACCTCCACTCGACTCGCGGAGATGATTATGGTGGGCTTGACCCTCTTCCTCCAAATCCTCAACATCTAAGCTAAACCGTCTGGGCTTAGACCAGACACCGAATTGCTCACCACCATTCGCCTCCCCAATGTTCTTGATCTGATCAGACTGCACACCAAAGCGATCAGTCAACGACTGGAACAGATCTTCATGCGCGGACGCCCTGTTCGAGCTTTGACTCGCACCGAGGCGGGCTTGGGCCCGTCGCAGCAACTCCATGTGCTGAGAAGCGGTGTCAGCAGCACGCTCGTGACCCTTCGCCTCCGAATCGCCGAGCAAGTCATATAAGATTCCCTCGTGCAGAGTCGCCGCAGACTGGTGGTTATCCGAGGCCGTGAATAATCCAGAGAGGAGCTTGGTCATCTCCAAAGTGACGGGATCACAGCTTCCCCAGACCTGTCGCAGATTGTAGCAAATGTCACGGCACAACTGGATGGCAGAATCAACGTTGCCACGACAGAAGCGGGTTTCAACCAGGCGTCGGCCAATCCAGACGACTACATCCGGGGTCCAGGTGCGCTGGACAATGCGGGAGGTCCAGAGTTGAGTCAGTATACTTTCTAGTTCGTCAAACATCTCGTACTCGCCCAGGAGGGTGATGATGTCGTTCAAGTCGCCGAAAGGTAGGTCGACCATTTCTGTGCCGATGGACTTTGAGGATGCCATAATATCCTGCAGAAGCAGCTTTGACTTCACTGACATCTCAAGGTAGGTCTTTTCATCGGTGCACTTGGTCGCCTTGTGTCCGCTCAAGTACAGGCAGATCTGGGTGGCATTCTTGATGCTGTCGTAATTGTTCAGTCCATCGGTCAGATGCATGAATGAGTGCAGAACGCCGGTCAGAATGGTGGCATCTTGGAATCTGTTCGAGTTGCACAGTTCCCGGACTAGGATGGTAGACGTCTTGAGTATGTTTGCAGTATAGTTCTCATGGTGAACCTCGCGCAGACAAATTTGGTAGAATTGTTGTACAACTTCCTTGTCCGAAACACTGGTGGCAGACAGGTTGGAGCAGAAATATTCGTACAACTTGTCTCTGGTGTCATTTGCAGCGCGTGTTCGCTTCTGATCAGACTGTAACGTGTACAAGATGTGGCCAGAAATAAGAGTGGGAATAAAGTCGTGACCCGAGAGATTCTTTGAGAAGGCTTGGTAGTTTTCCATCTCGCGAGACATCTCTTTCATGATTTGGTCGTAGCTAGCCCGTCTGCCGAAGACCTCCTCAAAGGCAGCCACAAATACAGCATCACGACGATCACCCAAGGCCATAGCCGAGGGTTCAGAGCTATAGACCACACGTTGACGGAGCTCATCGAGGATATCGTTGCCGCCTTCAATGAAGCCACACTCGAGGTAGATACTTGCGATTCTGCGGGCCCAGTCACCAATCATGTCAGGGTCCCCACCAGCATGCAATACGTCTGTGGAGTAGATGTGGAGAAGAGCATTACCCTGCTGGACAGAGGTAGTGGTACCCTGTCGAGAATGGGCAAGGGCCAGCTCGCGCAGCCAAGAAAGAGTTGTAGTGGAGAAGTATCCCTGCGTGTTCTTGGCCAGCTGGAACTCTTCCGTGTACAGGGCTCGAGCTTCGCTGGTAGAGTCATGCTTACGAACAAACAGCTGCGCAAGTTTATGCTTGAGGGTGATAGGCAATGGCGCAGTCATTTGATCCAGACTCTTCGATGACTGAGCAGGATCAACCCACTCGCTCGTCTGCAGTGGAATCTTGTACAACGAGATAGCTTGGTCCATGTATAAGTCGTTGGACTCGCAGAGCTCAGCAAATAGCAAAGTAGCATTCAGCGTCTTCTGGCTAGTCTTGCCATGCACATGGCGGCATGTCGCGACATAGTCAGAGGCCACCTGCCATCGCTCAGAGAAGGCAGATGGCTTCCTAGTTGTCAGAATAGACATGTAGCCCATGTAGGTCTTCTCGAGCATTCTGTCCAGAAGGGTGTGGTCATAAGACTCTTCCTTGTTGTCTTCGACCACCAAGGTTGGCCAAAGGGCTCGGTAGACTTCCAAAGCAGAATCCCATTGCATCTCCTTCTCGTAGAGACCAACCAGTGCAATTGCGGCTTCGATACCCTCTGGTGCAATGGTCTTCTCCTGTGATGTAGCCCGGAAGATGCGCTGATAGGCACTCTTAGCCTCACCATTCATCTCTAGGCGAGTCGCCAAAGCAGCCTCGAGATACATATTATCGATGGTATGCTTGTGACTCTCCCCGATGCGAGATGCCAAGAAGCTGCTGACAGTATGGAGCAGAGCCAGCGCCTTTGTAAACTGGTAAGAAGTCTCGTAGAATTCCACCACGGCCTTGGCGACGGCTAGCACAGATGGAACAGGGACCCTGTCGGAAGCGAGCAAGGATCCAAACGCGTTCTCATAAACCGTCGTGGCCTGCTCCAAATGCAATCTGCGGAAGTGGCTGTAAGCCAAGACCAAAGCAAGATCTGCTGCTGGAGGCGCAAGTTCGTGTGAAAAGCTTTTGTGAGACTTGGGCTGCTCGACAGTCGGCCAGATATGCTGCAAAACAGCCATCGCGCATTCACTGGCCTGTGCAAAGTCTCCCTCGCGCACGTAGATGCTAGAGAGATTGTGACACATGATCAGTGTAGTGACCGTCATGTTGTTCGCACTAGCTGAGATCACATCCAATAACTCAACCAGCAACCTGCGATCTTGAATGGTGAGCGACGATGCGTCTTCGATTGAGACAGCATTTGCCATGCTTTGGGCAATGGAGAGTGCTAGAGCAGTAGACTCCTCAGAATATTCCTGGTGGGTTTCCTTGTAATAGCGCCACATCAGGACCGACAAAGACCGATCGAGACTGTACAAGTTCATTTCACGGGTCTCAGCCTTGAGAAGAGACACACGCTGCATCATCTCCTGGGAATGAATACCGGTCACCTCAAGATCAGCGACCAGTTCACGAATGATGATCTCGGCCTCATCGATTCGGCCCTGACGACGGAGGAACTGATAATACACAAGCGCAACATTAGCTTTCTTGTCCATCATATCGACAGAATCAATATCGCGCGAGTTTAGTCCAGCCCAGAGGCTTGAAAGCACTGTCTGAGCCTGAGCCGTGTCACCCTGCTTCTCGTACATCTGCGCCATGTATAGGGTGTAGGAGATGCGGCGCTCATCCGTGACTTCCATAGTGCGAACAACATTGTCATATTTGGTTCTGGCAATATCGCGGCTCATTTCATCGCTGCCAGTTGTGGAGAACCGGGCCGTCAAGAAATCGGCAGTTTCCGATGACTGGTGCGAGTTTGTTCCGTACTTCTGGAGAACCTGCTGGTAGAAGTGCTTCGAGATGAGGAGGGCCGAGTTGTTGTCCCCACGAGACTTGTAGATGCTGACAATCATTCCGAGGTACTTCAGACGGTGATTGAAATCGACACCGGTGATCTCGGAATCAGTCAGGATCAGGTACTTCATGATGTCCTCCTGTTGAGTAGTCATCGAGCCTCGTTCGGAGAACGACTGGGTCATCATCTCGGAACATGTCAGTGTGATGGGGTGCGACTGTCCAAGAAGCTCCTGGCTCAGCTTCCATGCTTCGTAACAGTGCTCATCGGCGTGGTTGGCATGCGCTAACTTGGACACACGTGCGCTTAGTACCAGGCTCTCTAACAATGCAAGAGACTTTTCGCCGAGAATCAATCGGCGGATGTCACTTGCCAGTCGGTAAAGCTCAACAACGCTAGACCGAGTGAATTGAGATTCGCGGCAGGTCAATTCCAGACGAGCAAATAAAACGGTTGCAGGCATAAGTTTCTTGAAATTTGAGGTGAATTGGAACTCTCCTTCATCGCTGACTAGAGGAGAAGACAGGAGGTGCGAGAGCCAATAGCGCGCAGTGTATTCCAGAATGACATACTTATCAAAGAGATGGTTGCGTTCCTCCATGCTCAACTTGTCAAGAGAGATATCAACTTCCTCGCGCACGCTGAGCTGCACATCAGACAGGCACCTGGTGAGTAGGTCGTAGTGCGCATCTTTCAGGCTGAGCTCAGACTTTTCTCCAGTCGATACGCCGGTAGACTTAGCTTGTTTGATGACATGGTCACGAATGCAAGTATGGGCAAAGGATACTACACCATCGCGGGTCATAACCAGAGGGCTCAGTGCGTTGAGAATCTCGTAGCTTCCCTTCAACTCAGTAGATGAGTAGCTGGGGCCCTTGGGATCCACATTCAACAAATGCTCGATCTCATCAACTAGAAGTGGTCTCTCGGCTGCTGCAAGCCAGGAAACAATGTTGATAGCACCCTGTTGGCTGAAGTCGAGGCTCTGGGAATGGAAATTGAGAAGCTCGGGCATTGACTGCGGCAAGCTCTGCACAGCCGAAACAGCCTGGGCCAGAGTCTTCTGCTGTTTGGCATATGCCACTGCCATTTCGGCCCAACTGAAAGAGCCTTGAGAGCGGCCCACAATGGCAGATACAGCTGCTTTGAGCTGATTGCCTTTGTGGGTGTCAAAGCTAGCATCAGATGCAAGCAATTTGTTGACATAGGCTGTCAGATCAGTCTTAGTTTGCGAGGACTGAATGATAAATTGCTGAATGCCCTTGGAAGTGGACTTTGCGCTGAGAGGCCGGGTGAAAGCAATCATCTTGGATCCGGCATTCTGTTCAGATAAGATACTGCAGAAGTGATCAAGGCAAGCGCGGGCATCGGCATCGCCACCCTTAATTTGGTCGACTCCATCAACCACGAACATGTACTGAATGTTTGAAGCCAGACCAGCGCGAATACCCCTCCACAGTGATTCCTCAACTGCATCTTCTCCAGCTCCATCGATTGCTCCTTGGGCTGCCTTGGCGACTTCAACGAGAACTGCCTCCTGGGTGACTTTATCACTGACGGAGTGGTCCAACATTTGGTGCAAGACACCCTTCAGGATGCGCAGGGGCAGTGTTGCGACAGGAATATCAGCGCCTGAATTTATTAGCGGGTGTTCTGGCGACGACAGATTAACATAACTCACGGATAGTGTATGGAATGACATTCCAGCTATCATGTTCAGCGGACTCTTGCAATCTTTCGACGGTCCATTGAGCCATGGCACTCTTTCCAGATCCAGGACCGCCCGAAATCAGCATAGCTGGAGAGCTGGAGACAGTGAAATCATAGAGCGTGTTGTTGAACCACTCAAATGATCCTTCAGCAAGCGAGTGAGCTCGCGAGTCTAGGATGAACTGCAGGGGGCGGTCCTGTACTCCAAGGAATTGACGCAGACTCCCAAGTTCAGGCGAAGAATAGATCAAGGGGCTATTCGCCACAATCTTTGATGTATGAGTGTCGACAACAGTATTCCAGTGAGTCGAGAAGCGCCTGGCGTAGGTAACAAAGGCCGCGTCAACGTTTCGACCGATGACTTGATCAGACTCTTTGCTTTTGAAGCCCTCAACACAGCTGGTGGTGGTGCTGCAAACCATCTCAAGCAGATCGGCGAAGACTGCAGCAACCTCTGGCTGGAGCTCAGGAGAAGACTTGTATGCAGTGTCGTACTGCAAAAGCAAATGAACCCCGACAGCAACACGACCATACCGGCCAAAGACACTCTCAAACACGTCAGTGTTGTCCATGTCAGACTGATCAAGAGGTTAGCATCCAAGGTGAGGGGTTCTGTATACAAAGATTTTTTACTGACCTCTAGGAGAAGAATCGAGAATCCCCAAATGAGTGTTGCAGCCTCATTGGCAGCAGGCGCGAAAGCCCCAACGGACTCGCGGAGCGCATCAACAGCGTAGGCTAGTCTGGAAGCCCATCTGAGACTACAGTCAAGTCTGCTGCCATCACGAGGCATCCAGCGAAGACGTTCAGAAGCAACGGCATCGAAGAAAGCATCGACGCTGGGGCTTCGCTTACTGATCTCACTGGATGACAAGCCCAGCTGCGTCTTGCACTTCTGAGACACAGCCTGAACTTTCTCCTGGAGAACAGTGAGTTTGTAACCACCACTGCTGAGCTGTCGGACAGTGCGCTTGGTAGTAACACCATTCACAACGGTGGATTTGGAACCACCAGTGCCAGACATATTGCTGAAGTCACTTTTTCTGGTGGCATCAGATGCACTGACTTGTCGAGTTCCTCCACCAGTCATGCCTGCTTGTTTCGACACACCCTTGCTGTTGTTAAGCACGCCGACGGCGCCGCCCTGTTGGAGTTCTGCGCTAGCGAGGCCTGCTGGACTCGATCCATTGAGACCAGTGCCAGTGGTATCATATCTGCTACCTTGCTGAGGTCCTCGGATCCCTCCACCAACAAGGGTTGGTTCATTTGATCCACCTGCGCTTGTGGGGTAGAAGGCCTTGTTTGCCTGGCTGGGAGCAGTGGAGCGAAGACCACCCGGTTCGTTGAGTCCGCTGGGGGTGGAATTGCCTGTGCTAGTCATACTTCCAGAAAGATTGTCTTGTCCGCCTACACGGCCATATCCACCCGCAACAGCAGCGACCCCGCTCTTGGGACTAGTGGACGCGAGATCTTGACCTCTTGCTGCGCCGGTCCCGGCACTTGACGGTGCCTTTGTCGTCAGATTTCGAGGAGTAGATTTCTTCTCAGTGACTCCCTTGCTCGCCCCATAGCCTCCCGCAATAGCGGCGGCGGCGGCAGCGCCTTCGCCTACTTGCTGGGAGGTCTGAGAGCCTTGCTTGTCGAGATGCGCTTTGTCAAGATGGTATTTGCCGGAATTGTCTTGTTCCGCAGCTTTCTTGGAGAGGCCTTTGGCGGCAGCGCCTCCGCCTACTTGCTGGGAGGTCTGAGAGCCTTGCTTGTCGAGATGCGCTTTGTCAAGATGGTATTTGCCGAGATTTTCTTTTTCCGCAGCTTTCTTGGAGAGGCCTTTGGCGCCAGTTCCATCATCGAAGACGTCTGAGCCGATGTTTTCCTGATCATGCAGCTCATTCTCTATGAAACTGTCGCTGTAACCACCTTCAGCAATGGCACCTCCAGTCTTGTTGCTCTTGTCTGTATCAACTCCCGCAAAGGCAACATTGGAAGCGCCTTTCTGGTCGATGTTTTCTTCGGTGTTTTCTTTGGCGTTGTTGGCATCGTCGTTCTTTCCTCCTGACGAGATGTCTTTACTTTGAACACCTCTTTGCATAATGGTTTCTCTGCCGGTTTTGTTGTGGAAATTCTTTTCTTGGAAAGTGCCAGGTTCGGTGATGGGACCTTTTTTGATATCGTAATTGGGTTCAAGGACTCCAGCTGCCACACTGCCCCTGCGGTCTCTCTTCTCTGTTGCGGCATCCTTCGATTTCTGCGCAGACTTTTCATCCTTTGCGTCGGTTTCTTGCTTCTCATTGCCGGTGTCTCGCTGCTCTGCATTTGATGCCCCAGTCGAGGTATATCCGGTAGTATCTTGGCCAATTCCTCCTTTGCTGATTTGATGGCCTGTTTCTTGAACACTTTTGTGGCTGAAATCTTCCTTCACTCCAGTGCTGCCCGAGGCGCCGCCAGCATCGCCTTGGCTCACTGATTCTTTGGTTGATTGCCCTTTGGTGATGATATCTTTGGCCCCGCTGAAGTTTCCATGGCTGACCTCGTCCCGAATTGATGAACTTCTGTTGAGGATGTCGTTGGACTTGCCTCCCTGGCTAGGAGCATCTTTACTTCCTTGACTCAGAGACAGTCTCTTGCTCAGTCTCTTGGCAAACCCAAGATTCTCGGTCTGTTCGGCTTCCGGCTTGGTGGTCATTTCTTCGGCGGACATATTGATGTGTCTTTGTAATTTGTTGATGTAAAGCAATGTATTAACAATAGGTTGGTCATAAAATTAAAATAAGTCAAATAATATTGTCGTATAGTCGTTGTAGTTCAGATATCATGAATATAGGATATTGAAAATGAACACATATTAGAATGAAAGAAGCTGAATATAACACCAGGAACTTTTTCCTGCCTAGCTAGATAGTCATTGCATCATAAAATCACCTCGGGCTTGTCCGAAGAGTGTGCACCTTAAGAAGTGGGCACAACCAAAGAAGATGGCGTATGAGAAAGCAGCCTTCACACTGTTTATCTGAACCAAAGCATGCTCTTACTTGGAAACCAAGTCCTGGAAGATAATTCAAGAAAATGAGGAAGTTTCCGATGTCATACACAGCACAGTGTTGAAAGTCGATGATGCCCAACCGCGTGGAGGGGACGGGATTGGTGGACCTGCGGAGTGTCCATTCTAGCTGGGGGAACTTCGTTGTAGATTTTCTAATTCGTTAAGATGTATCTCACCACTATATACTCACCATGAAAATGGGGCTAAGAAGAGACTGTAAAAGCTATTAAGTTAAAGGTGAAAAAGACATGCAGAAAGCGTTTAGGCAGATGACAGTAGAGTCATATTCAACAGGGCCAGACTTTCTAGATAGATGGGATTTCCTCAAAGTATGAGCCTACTGTGCTACTATTAGAATGCGGCTGCCATAATGGTAGTCCCCGTTTATCCTTGATCTTGGTGTAAGCATCAGTCGTCACATTGATTTTATAATATCAAATCGTTGTCCTCTTCAAAAAGGACCAAACGATGTCATTGCGTTCTGTGGGGTAGAGCCATCGAGTTAAAGCTCCCATCAAACTCAATGGTCTTAATTGAATTTCCAATGACGTATAGACATGAATATATATGCTCATGTGCCCGAGATCGAGCAAGTGGGTCCGTTGATAACCCTAATTCAACTCGACCCGTGAAAGTTCTAACATTGGACATTCAATCATTTTTAATGAACTCCGGATGATCCGGTATGTGGTGAGGTCACTTCAATTTCTCACGTTGGATGATCCAAGGCGGGAACATCCGCCGTTTACAATATTGCATGTCATGATATCGAGTTTGCGAGAACCGGGACGTCATGTTTCCCCAGAGCATCTCTCGTAAGCACAATTTACGGAATATAGTTGCTCAATTGGTCAAATGTCACCTAAGACAGAACGAAGAGAGAAGTAATCTAGACGATAAAATCTGCAGGGTGAAAGGAGACTACCTGTAAGATGGGACCAACCAGAATTAATCTAGCTGAAAGAAACTAAATAAGTATCAACCAGGCAGAGCGACGAGCTACTGACCAATTAGCAGACAAGGATCAGTCCTCAGTCTGTCTCGAATTGGTGTTCATTCTCCGGAGATATGCTGTTTGAATTTGTACGTTCTTACTAGATGAGCTGGCCAAGAAGGAAACATTTATGATTTTGATTCATTGTCTGCAACAATTATGTACGGTCTAGAACACTCAATAATGTAACTCCCTTGGCGAGCATGTGCAGCATTTTTTTCATAAAAATATATCAAAACAAGTCCCAGTGATGTATCTATACAAGACCACACAGTGGTCATGTTGAATGTAACAAAACGCCAAAACGCATTACCTATGTTCCATGCACACCAAAAGATCGACAAGCAACAGACAAATGGTTCGAATGTCAACCACATCAAAACTTGAATACCAAAGGTAATCATGCGGTCAAAGCGAAGCTAACGCCCATCAGTCCCATACCGGCAACAGCAAAGCCAATGCCCATGCCGCGGTGGTGCGTGAGACCTAACCCTTCGCTAAAGAGCTGCAGCGCAACAGACGTCATAACGCCCGCCGTAGCAGCAAACATGCCGCCGTAGATACCCCACGAAGGCCCTGTCGCATCATCGCTGCCATGTTGGCCGGTGCCCCAAATCCAAAACGCGGCTATGCCAGCACCGGCTGGCTGGCTGATGCCTCCGAGTAGACTGGACCAGAACATCGCTTTCCAGCGGGAGTTCAGGGCCAGATATAATGGGAGGGCCATGGCGAAACCTTCCACAATGTTGTGGATGAATAAAGCCAGGAACACCGTCAACCCGAGAGTCGGACTCGCGTGGTTGGTCGCGTAGGTGATGAATCCCTCGGGGAGCTTGTGGAGAGCAATTGCAAGCGACGTCTGGAGTCCGATGGACAGGAAAGCATTTTGCGGAACGTGGTGGTGGTGAGGGTTTCCAGCAGCGGACTTGGGACGGAAGGAGTCGGCGTCATCTGCGTGGTGGTGAGAGTCGGTATGATGATCCGAATGAGAGTGTGCAAAGTGATCCGAGTGCGATGCTATCTGGGACGAAGCGGAGGAGGCAACGCATGATTGGAGGGTATGCTGAGCGGAGATGTTGTCGAAGTATCCTCCATCGGTGGACACATGGTCGGTTCCGACGTCGCGTTCCGCTCGAGAGATTTCTGTCTCGAGGGGTGCGGATAAATTGCCGCGGTGCTCTAAGTTTGGCCGGTTGATCTCATTGACGGATGGCGGAAGTACTTTGGTGCATTCGCGGCCACAGGTCTGTGAAACCCCGAAGCAGGGACCGTCCTCGTCGCAGAGTGGTTTGACGCCACCCATCAACGCAGTGATTCGTCGTGTCAACATTACTCGCATGGTCTCGCGGCGTCTTGGCGCTGGCTCGCTGTGCTGGCTCCGCTGGATCACCGCCGGCGTAGACTTGAACGAGGGATGCTCCGTGGACCGCAAGAGCGGCGTTTGCTCCGTACTTCTGATCACGTTCCTGTTTCCATTTCTGTGTTTATGGTTGTGGGAGCGACTGAAGTCATCCTCGACTTGAGGTTCGCCGCGCTCGGGATCGTCTTCCGACTCGCCGTGAGTATGAGCGCAGTCGACGACATGTGATGGAATGAATCGGTGCGCAAAGCCAGATAGAATTTGAATTCCTGCTACTCCGGCGATGAATAGACCGATCAAAATGTAGGCAGAAGCGGAAGGAGAGAATCCGGCGCGCGTAAGGTACTGCTTCGAAGTGGGGAGCATGCTATACAGGGAGGTAAAGAGCTGCTGAAATTTAGTTTTTCGCAATAAATAATCATCAGTCATGGCTTACCATCACTCCCGCACTTAGGCACAATGAAGCCGACAGGAAATTACTACTGTTGGCAATTTGGAAGCTCTTGCGGCGAGAGATGACCTGCACCAGCACATCGACACAGATAATGGAAGAACCGAGGACACAGGCTAGGTACCATTAGTAATTTATCATGGAGAAAGGATTGCGACACCTACCGATGCCTGAGACAACGCTCATGATCCATCCCCGGGTGTCGTTGGCAGCCATAGTTATCGAGTGTGGGGGAGAAAGTGAAGAAAACGGGAATGATGTAATTTGAATCCGACGGAATGTGGTTGGCGGTCAAACCTCTCGCCTCTTCAATGATGTGAAATGGCAAGATTCATTCGATTCAACATCTTTGAAATGGCGCCTTTTATTGCTGAAATACCTGAGTTGGGTGAGCTGGCATCCTTTGCCCCCAAGGTTCTCATCTGTCTGGGATATCCGACTTGAGAAGCCATGGTTTCTCCATGATGTGTGGTGTATGGTGTTTGATTTATTGTCTTCCAACAGGCGAAGTCATCTCAATATGTTTGGCGAACGCGAAATCGGTGATATGTTGATATATCATTCATTCATACACTGCAGGTGATACAGCTTGGTCGGGTGATGCTAACCTTTGATCGACTGTGCATGCAAGGGGATTCAGTACATCCTTTTTCTCCGAAGCACTTGACCATTGCAGATGATATACCCCAAAAACATACCTACATACGTAGGTAACATATATTAATGAATATAAGAATGAAACGAATCTCGTCAACATATTAATCAATCCTTTCGACTTTATATATGAGGTTTCCCAACTAACACTCTGATTGGCTCGTGACCCTCCATCCTTTATTTTGTTGCTTTTTCTTTTTTTGTGACTGTTGATTTTCCGACTTACTCAATCTAAGACAACACTCGACACTCAGGGACATCAATCATGTCCAAAGCAACATTGGCTGTCATTGCTGCCGCCAGTGCAGCCACTGGCGCTGGTGTTACCGCACTCCTCTTCTCCGGCAAATCCTCCAAACCGCAACCGCAACAGCAACAACTGCCAACACCCACAACCCCAGGTGTCAAAGCTCCCTCAACAATCGCACCCCCAACCCTAGCGGCCAAAGCGATCGGTCCCGTCGACCCAGCCGGTGTCCTCCAATATGGCTTCCCGGGCCCAATCGCCGACGAACTCTCCTCCCTCCCCCTACACGGCGCCTACGATCGCCGCACTCGCAACCCCTCCTGGGTAGCCGAGCACATCACACCGGCGTCTTTGGCAATCAACAACGCCGACCGCAAGAAGAGCACCTTCTTCGAAGACACCACCATTCCAGCCATGTTCCGCGCCAAACTGTCAGACTACTTCCGCTCCGGCTACGATCGCGGCCACCAGGTTCCCGCTGCAGACGCGAAGTGGTCCCAGGATGCCATGGACGGTACTTTCGCGCTGTCCAACATGTGTCCCCAGGTCGGAGAGGGCTTCAACCGCGACTACTGGGCGCACTTCGAGACCTTCTGCCGTGATCTCACCAAGAAATACCCCTCCGTTCGCGTCGTTACAGGCCCGCTCTACCTACCCGCCCGTCAGCCGGATGGCAAGTGGCGTGTCAGCTATGAGGTTATTGGCACTCCGCCGAATGTCGCTGTGCCCACGCACTTCTACAAGGTCATCTATGCCGAGGACGGAACTAATTCGCCCACTGCGAAGGTTGCGCTCGGTGCTTTTGTTCTGCCCAACGCTCGCATTTCCAACGATACACGTTTGACAGACTTTGAGGTTCCACTTGAGATTGTTGAGCGTGCATCTGGCTTGGAATTCGGTTCGCAGTTGGACTTGAGCCGTCGTCGTCGCCTGTGCCAGGAGGTTGCTTGCCAGGTTACTGTCCGCGAATTCAACAACGCCAAGAAGCGTTCTTAAGTTCGGCTCAAAGCAGAAGACTAAGTCCTATAGTTACTCGGTCGCCTTTTCACTGTATATCTAGACTATTTTATTTACATATTTCGGGCGTTCATCACCGCTCCGGGCGGCGATATGAGGATAATTATATCGTACACGCGATTGATATTGTGATGGCTCAAGCTTTTTCTTTTCCTTTTTTTCCGGCGCTCAGCACTGGAATGCAACACCGGATTTTTTCCCCATATTCCCACCCTTACCAGCAAATCCAGTTCCCTCGGAACTGATTTCAACGAGACCAGGTTGAATAGCATCCTTATCCTTCTTCTTAGACTTCTTGCTGGTCCCATTTCCATTCTCTTTTGGCCGCGCTGTAATATCCGCTTCGCAGACGTAACACAAAACCACTCCGTGCAATGCCGCAGTTTTCTCCTGCTCCTCCTTCGAAGCATGGGGATCAGGAACGTGATGATCTTGTGGAGTCATGAATTTCGTTACACACGGTAAGCACATAACATGGCCGCAGGGTTTTGTGACTGCGAAACATATTAGTAAATCCAACACTACAATCTGGCGTATAGCCGTATGAAGCGGGCCCACATACGCATTGCTTTGAGCCCATTGCTCAAATTCTTCTTGCAACTGGGACACACTCTCGACACAGTCCCATCGGAAGCCTTCTCCTCTATGAAATGCACATCGACTAGCGACTTGAGCGAATATGGATGTTGGTTATCATCCGTAGACCCAGGGCAAATAGGTGTGAGTTTGACTGCCTTATTGGCAATGATTTCATCCGCATCCGTGCCGGGCGTGAGAGCAGGAACCCAGAAGGACGGCAGAGCGGACTTGGTAGACCCGGCCTGGAACAAGTTAGCAAACCCTTAACCCTCATTTGGATAGAAGAACAGACCTTTGCCTCCTTGACCTCTCTCTTCAGCCTTTCCTTCTCCTCAGCCGCAACCCTAGCCATCTCCTCCACCCCAAGTTCAAAAACCTTCCTCTTCTTTCCATCAACCACAACCTCCCTTTGCCCAAACTTCTCGATCGCCTCACTTTCTTCGATCTTCCTCTTCTTCGCCCCACCACCAATAGCCTCCAGCCCCTCCGCCCTCGCCCTCTTGCTATCCTCCCCAGCCATCTTAGCCTTAGCCTCCAGCCCCATGGAAACCATTTCAAAGTCCCTCAAATCACGAGCCCGAGCTTCGCCCAGCGCGCGCTCGTCGTCTTCCGCAATGCGCTTGCGCGCCTCGTCGCGCTCTCGCTCAAGTCTCTTGATTTCTTGTCTTTGGGCGAGGAGGTCATTGATTGCGCATTCGCGACAGAAGAGGTCGCCATTGCTGCTGCATGCTACTGGGTTTCTGGCGGGTTGGAGGCAAAGACGGCAGCTGCCGAATGAGAGAAAGCTATCGCGGCCGATGGCGTGTTTTTTGGAGCCCCATGATTCGCGGAGGAGACCCCGTTCGTAGGAGGTGAAATGGGGGAGGGACGTGTTACGCTTTGAATGCGCCATTTTGTGGGCTTGTGAAGTTGGGATTTGAGGAGCTTTGGGAATGTCGTAATGTTGGTTCTTTGGTCCCAGGTTTTGGAGAGCGGTGGGTGGGTGGGCAATTTAATTGGCTAGTTTGGTCACCGCTCGGTTTACCGCTCTGCTCAGCCCTATATGGACTATGCCCTTGGAACATTTGGGAGAAAAATCTCTGCCTATGTAATTATACTAGCTTACTGTTGTTTATTTGGAGGCAGTCACCATGTAATAAGAGTCGGATCATTGTCAATCGTAATGTTGCTTTTGTCTATGGGTGATGCACACACAAAACAGTAAAAGGCCATGGCCTCAGGAAGCACACGCCTATCCATGGACAAAAATCAGATGATAAGCACCCACCTTCCGCAAACGCAAACATGACATGCTGAAAAGGACAACCGAAACCCTAGCACCAAACCGATATTCACCAGAAGTCAATGCAAAAGCGCAATAGAAGGCAAGATGAGGCAATTGTTGGAAAAGGGGGTATAATAATCGTCAAGCAGAAGATCGAGATCAGAATAGTTAGAATGTACAGAGGAGCAACAAAGTTTCAAAAAAAAAGGTTCAGGCGCCTACGGCCTGCTCACGTAGGCCTTCGGTGGATGGAGTATCGACGACCCGCTCGTTGAGGGATGCAGAGGATGAAGAGACAGAACCATCGTGTATTGGTGCGGAAAGATGGCCATTGGATGCTTTTGTAGGGGAACAAGGGTTGTCTGATGATGGCTCTGTTTCTGGAGGTGGGATTGAGATGACTGGGGATCCGGGGCGTCCGAGATCCTCTTCCTCTGACTGCACCTCCTGAGCATCCTTGAACTCCGCTAGATCATCGTTGGTGCGGATGCTGAGGCCGGTGGTAGTGCTGTTGCTACGAAGTGAATGGGGTCTTTCCGGTTCGGTCTCCAGTACCAGCGAATCTCCACTGTCGAGCGGAGTGGGATCCGATGCTCGTGGTTCCTCATGAGGAGTGGGCTTTCGGAGCTTGAGACGCTCCTCAGGGGGCATGTTCTGCCACTCGGAGCCGAAGGTGACAATGGACGCTTTCTTGCCGTGCACGGTGAAGCTAGGCGCTTTGCGCGGGAGGATGTCACCATCGCCGGAGACTTGGTCGTCTTCCTCCTGTCCGGTGCTAGAGATCGACCCACGCTTCTTCTTTGAATAAGAGTGGTGCTTATGAACATGCGACTCGCGAAGTGTGCGATGAAGGCTTCGGCGAACACGGCTGGGTTTGTCGGATTTATCAGCTGGAGCTGCGTCGGGCTCGGCGGTTTTTCCGGGCGTCGCGTCGGGGGAAATATCAAACTCTTTGCGTCCCGGGGACTCAGGCAGCTGCAATAGACCAGCCTCCCTCAGAATTCGCTCTTCATTGTCATCAAAGCTGACAGGCGAGGTCAATTTCGAGGCTCGAGACGCAATACTGGCGCCATCCCATCTGCTCACACGGCTGAGAACCGAAGCATCACGCTCAAGTTGGATTGTTTTTGGATCGGGCGAGTATGACTTAGCGCGTTCGGGAATAGTGACCGCAGAACGTCGACGCCCAATACGAGAAACGTCAGAAGATGTGACGGATCCTGGTATGCTGGGACGACGTAGCTCGTCGTTTGAAGGTTTCGCCAATAGTCCCGGCTCTGATGATTCGTCAGTGACGATCACGTTAGGCTCGGGCGTATCAATGCTAGCGAGGGTAGGTACAATGCTACCAGCCCTTTCGACGCTAGGCTCCGAAGCAACAGACGGCCCAGAAAGAGAAGATACGCGTGCTACATCCGCCTGGGATGGCGCTGGTTCAGTAACAGATCCAACCCGGCTGTCGGCTGTCTCATCATCCTCTCCAAGGTCTCGCAGTAGAACCTGGCGATAACATTTGTTACGCCAGATATCCTGTCTGACCCATTTAAGTTTCGCAGACAATCGACCTGCAGCCAGGATAACACCCTCGCGGGCACGAGCATGAACCGGAGTGAGAATTTGAAGGTGTCGGGCATTTTGAAGGAGATCCTCAAGTTGCTTTTGAGACGCGAAAAGCTTTTCATTGGCCTCGCGAATCTTCTGGCTCATGAGCTGTCGTCGCGCGGCAACGAATTCAGCAACGATGTCGTTATCAATGCTGGGAGATGGGGGTTCCAGGTCCGTTGACTGGGATTGTTGAGACTTCAGCGAAGAAACGGAACCCATGTGCTGGCTCTTGCGATATCGCTGTCCTTCGTAGTTTGTGGCGATCATACCCTTGGTGCGTACACCAGTGGTTCTGAAAGCTGCAGCATAATTGAGATGCGCCAGCCAATCGTTCATCTCCGGCTCCGAGGTGGCAAGGAAAGTCTCCTCCAATGCGTTGTGTCGAACGAACATGAACGCGTGTTTGTGCTTCTTATAACTCGTGTCTAAAAGCGCAACCGCATCCCCGGTAGACATAATGCCGTCGGGTTTGAAGTCTGACAGGGGCGGGTCGAAAACCAGAGTCCCGCGGCGGCCATTCTTGACGTATGCCTCATGCTGTGCCATTAGCGAGCGCACCCAAGTCACATTGCGGAAGAAGTATAATTGAGAGAAAGTGAGGATCGCTCCCCATTCCTGCCAGGGAGACCTAGCTCTCTTCTTCTTTGGGTCCTTCCGCCACAGCACGCCAACCTTGGCAACTTTAATATCCACCAGACCCGGATTGGAATCAAGAGGATTGTGCAAGCTAGAAGGCATGAATGCATCAGGACGAGAGCGCAGAGACACAATCTGCAAAATCCCAGACTTGGCGAAGGCTTGATGAAGCGCATCCATGTCTGGTGGCCCAGCTGAACCGAAATGATCGTAGGTATCCTCAAGATTCATAACGTCCTTCAAACTTGGGCGCAAAGATTCCAATTTTCCTTCCAAAATAAGGGCGTATGGATCTACTGGTTCACGAGCTATCCGGGCGAGATTTTCAGTGCTCGTGCTTTTGAAAAGGGTACGGCGGGGCTTCGGAAGGTGGCGATCACGAAGATTAGCATCTTCCACGTGAATAAATGGAGTGTACGAGATATTCTCATAGAAGCATTCAAGAATATCTTCGGAGATTCCCTCGCCACGGCAATTCTTGACATAATCCGGCTTCTGCATTTTCCGCTTGTTATTCTTGTTGAACACGTCAGTATGAAGAATCAAGATAGAGAACGCAATGAAGTATGCTTTGTCAGGAGATGAGAAGATGCCAGGATTGCATTCATGATAACGATCAGCGAATGCCTGCAGAAACCGATCAATCTGTTGTGTCTCTTTTGGAAGTTCAACTTCCATCAAGAGCTTGCGAATCGACATGTCTAGTGGATCGCCAAAATATGAGAAGCTTCTCATATATTTCCGTAGTCCAATTTTATAAAATTCCTCGTCCGATTGTGCAAGGATGCCCGCGATCATTCCGCGAGGTAAACATTCTTCCAATCGCGTCAAGTACGATGCTGGAGTATCGTTTTCATCTCGTTTGGGGATTGAGGGTAGCTTTGAAACCGGTGTTAGGGAGCCACCTAATGCGGGGGAGCCATGGCGAGGGTCAGGTGGTGAGGAGTTCTGCCGCAATCGCTGTGTGATATTAAACATATCTCCAAAGCTCTTACGGCCGCTAGTTGAAGTAGAGGTGCGTGCCGAAGAAGCCAAATATGGGGGTACAGACAAGTCGTCCTGGTTCTCGGCCAGCGATCCCATGGTGGACGAACGCCCGCGTTTCTTGCATGATGGATTGGATCGAACAGAGCGAGCGGAATTCGTGGAGTCATTCCGGAATAGATGTGGTGTACTAGTTGCGGCAAGTCCTACCGTGGAACGCGATGGTGATGGTAGCGGTGAGACTTGGTCATGGCCATCTGAGATCTCGGAGTTTGGCGTATCTGCCGGGGGGAACTTCGGTCCATTATCCATAACATGACTTTGCGGGAATTTCGGCGGCAAGGGAAAGAGAGGATTCCGGTTCCGTTTCAACTTGAGACGGAATCGTTTTGCTGATGTCGCACTGCCTCCATCGCGTGGGGAGTTACTTCGGGTGACTGCCTGATCTCCGTAGCTCTGATCGGACCGAGAAGACTCAGAAAATCGAGGATCGATCACAGATGAGCGCTGGGAATCATTCGGTCGTTGATTCCCCCGAAGCGAGTTTGTTGACAGTCTCCCAGGCTCTTCGGTGATGCTCCGGGACATTGCGAGCGCTGGATCCGTCACCTGAGAATCCGCTGATCCCTGACCCCTCCGGCGGGACTTGGTAGGTTGTTCCGTCGATTTCCGGGACATTTCCTCCATAGACTGCTTTCGTGATGACGGTCGAAAGTTGAGCTTGGATCTTTGTTTTGTGGGCTGGTCAAGCTCGTGGCTAGTTGGGGCAGTAGTGATAATTGTAGGAGCTAGAAGCAATATACACAATCAATCATTCCGTCCTTAATATAGAGTTGTCCAATGTTTCACTTACGCGGCAAGGAGGGGACCGGCGGAGTGTCTTGTTGGCCCGCTTTGGCGTAAGACTTGGAGAGTTGGGGATCGGATGCATGGCGTAGTCTCATAAAGCTAAATCTATTGCGGCGCAAGCTGGGGGTGTCCCCGGAAGATGGACCTGTAAAGTCCGGTTGAGGTACGCCATCGTTCGACCCCTTGTCTTCCGGTACTTGCAGGTGAGGCAGATGAACGTGGCTGCTTGACAGACCGGAGGAGCGAGGGATCGACTCGGATAGCCTGGGTTCGGTGGCGGGGGGATTGGGACGTGGTAGATGTTCACTGCGACGTGACTGGTCTTGAGTTTCGACGGTCTGTCTTTTGCCATCCATCAAACGGAGTCCTTTCCAATGCATGGTGAAGGACAGAATCATGTAAATGCCATGAAACGAAAGTAGCAGATACCTTAGAAGGGAATAGAGGACATGATGTGGAGGGTTCCAGAACACGGTATGATCTCTTTAGTGGAGAGGTTGGTCGTCAGCTTGCAAAAAGGGGAGAAACGCGGGAGACTTGGAGCGACGTTCTAGATTTCCTTCCGCCACCATTTGGGGGTTTTTTTTTGTTTCTAGTTTTTTTTTAGTCCTTTCTATTATTTGGTTTTCTATATATATAGCTCAATTTTCACAAAAATATAGTATCAAGTATAAGATCGAAATCAAACAAAAAGCAGGAAGAGGGGCAAGGCAGACGGGTTTTCAAGACTATAGCGATCTGAGCGGACGAACCGTTTGTATATAGTGGAAGGATGATTACATGTTGCAGTAATTTCATTACTATTTTTTTAACACTCTATAGATATTAGACTAATCAAGTGTTATCTACTCCATAGATCATTTACAATTGACAATATGAAAACAAGAACTATACATGCATATGTATGTAAGAGTAAATAAGTAAATAGACACAACCCCGGGTACGGAGATGGCCACTGACGTGTAGAATCCAAAGTGCTTCAACCTCCCCTTCTTTTTTTTCTTCTCTGCGTTACATCTTCCCATGAAAGAGCTACTTGCTTTCCATCTCTTCAACATCTTGAAGCTTGAATTATCTTCAATCTGTTTGGATTTATTCAATCTCAAACACATCGACATGACTTGAAACCTCTTTATCTCCTAACAATTTTCCCCTCTTCTCTTTTCTCCGCAGACTGTCTTGCCTCTTGCCTCTCTTCTCTCTTCTCTTCTCTGCTTACAACAATGCGTCTTCTCCCTTTTTTGGTCGCATCGACCTTCATTCCTCTTATCTCCGCTGTCCCCGCTGGTTCAAGCATCACCCCACAGCCGCCCCTACAACCTGTCCGCCTCGCCCATTCTGACCCACGCCGCCCATGGACCAGACTTCGCGACTGGGTGATTGGTTCAATATGGGATATTGATCGCACTTGCTCGAAACATTCATCGCCCCCGTCAAACATTTACCATCGATACGGTAGTGATGTTGTCCTCCGCTTTCATTTACGTCAACCGGATGAGGCAGAAGCGTTGTCGACTGCTTCTCATGTGCTATTTTTGGACATCTGGGCCATCACTTCCGAATTCGTCGATATCAGACTGGCCGATGAAATGGTACGTTTTTCTTCCGATCTCTACAATACATATGTATTGTTGGTTAATTATTCCATCAGATCCCTTCATTACTTGACCTGCTGCCTTTGACCCTCCGCACCTCCTATACGCCCCTCATAGATAACCTTGCCGAGAAGATATACGCTTCATACCCGTCTCGTCACCGTGACAATCTTGACTTTGGAGCTGGAATTGTATCGGGTCCGCAGAAAACCGCAGCAATCGGCGACCTCTTCTTTCAAGATTACCAACCGCTGTCCGTCATTACGCAATGGATGCGATTGATGGCGTCAATGTTCTCCTCCCACGTTCGCCTGACCAGCTTGGGACTTTCTTACGAGGGTCGCGAAATTCCAGCATTGCGACTCGGCGTTCCTGCTGCCGACCCTTCATCAGGACCGCGCCAGACAATTGTCATTGTAGGTGGTAGCCATGCCCGAGAATGGATCAGTACTTCCACAGTCACATATGTCGCATACAGTCTCATCACACACTACGGGTACTCGCCAGCAGTAACGCGACTGTTGCAAGAGTATGACTGGGTTTTAATCCCAACTCTTAATCCGGATGGATACGTGTACTCATGGGAATCTGACCGTTTATGGCGCAAGAACCGCCAGCCAACAGGTCTCCCAATCTGCCCCGGTGTCGATCTAGATCGAAATTGGGACTACGAGTGGGATGGTGAATCAACTCGCTCGAACCCATGCTCAGAGAACTATGCAGGGTCAGAGCCATTCGAGGCAATTGAATCCCAACGATTGGCGCAGTGGGCTCGAAATGAAACTGCGCACGATCGCGCCGACATCGTAGGATTCTTGGACCTTCATTCCTACTCTCAACAGATTCTCTACCCGTACTCATACACCTGTTCCTCCGTGCCTCCCACCCTTGAGAGCCTAGAGGAGCTCGCGCTGGGGCTAGCTAAATCTATTCGGCAGACCTCTCACGAGTCATATGATGTGACTTCCGCGTGCGAAGGAATCCTCACAAACGGCGGAACCGCTGGGGTTACCTCTGGCGGCAGTGCCTTGGATTGGTTCTACCACAAGTTGCACGCGCGGTTCTCGTACCAGATCAAACTTCGTGATCGAGGCAGTTATGGATTCCTTTTGCCCTCGGAGCATATTGTGCCCACGGGCAAGGAAATATTCAATGCGCTACTAACTTTCGGTAAGTTTGTCTGGGGCGAAGAGGCCTCGGACCTCAGCTTTGAAGACTTGAGGAGTGATCAAGTTCCCCTATCGAATGGCGTATGAATTACCCATTGAAGATTGGCACTCCGCCTTATTTTGATGATTGCATGTTGAACTTGTGAGCGAGTCCTTCTTTATAACCCATGTTTCTCCTATGGAGCTGTATATTTCGGCCGTAAGCCCGAGAATGTAATGTGTTTATATCCTTGATCGCTTGGTTGATGTATGACTACAGCCTGGTAGCCTAAGGGTGCTGCTATGCCGTATATGCGTACACGCGGCCCTTCGCACCCAACAACCTCCAAAGACCGAATAGCTTAGGGTGGAGTGCCGCGTATACTATTGCGCTGCACTCTTGTCTTTGCGTAAAGCCTAGCCGAGACCTGCTGCCTAAAACCGACAGATCTATTTAAATTTGCTGTGTGCATAAACCTTGTTAGTACTTTTGCTCAATAGGATTCGTTCGTTTTACCCTACTTATCGCCTGCATTCGAAAAATGGCTTCACGTCTTAAGTCTATGAGTGGAGAGCATAGGAGAACATTGCTCCTTGTGAAGTTGTGTGGAGCCTTCGGGGTTTGGTTACCTATGTGCCTGGGCCACTGCTCATGTCGATCTTTGTATATTTTAACGACAGAGGCTTTGCGTAACTCACCGAGTTAGGTGAAGTTGAACATTTCGCCTAGATTAAGATATTGATTAGGGTTAATTAATTTGGAAATGTCATTTAAAAGCTTAATACAGATGTATGTTTGGTATTGTCTACAATCTATTCTCCGGCCCATTCCATTCAGACATCAATCTCTGCTGCACGTACATTGACAGGTGTACCTACTGGCTTCCCACACTCGTCTCCTCGCAAACGTGTATTCTCATCAATAATTGGTTCTTCTCGTTCAACCCTCCCTATAACGCCCCGTGCTCGGTCTCTTTTCTCAAGATACGCAATCAAAGCAATGAACGGGAGTGTCAGGGACCCCGTCACCAGACTTGCAATATATCCTTTGTGGAAGTTTGGCGCAGCTGTGGCAGGGTAAAAGATCAACGGCCACCAAGTCACGAAGGCAAAGTCGAAGGAATTCATGAAGCCCGTTGTGATGGCGCGGAGCTGGAAATCATGGCCCGTGACGTCTGCCATCCACGAGTACCAGACTGCTTGGGGCGCAAATGTTGTACCGAGTAGATAAAATGCCACGAAATAGCCTGCGTCCGTGGATGGATTCGACACGAGGATCGATGAGCCGATGATGAAGGTCAGACCGATGGCAATGGATACTTCCCAGCGCGACTGCAGCTTATCGGAAATTCCGGCGTAGACTACAGTGCCGAGAATGGCAGTTGCGTGGATGCCTGTGGGGTAGTTGTTCTGTTGAATGGTGGTATAGCCACGGGATGCCATCCAGTAGGCCATAACATTGTTCTGCAGGGACTGCACACAAAGGGAATAGACTGGAAATAGGTTAGAGGATTATTTGGGCTCAAGTCCTCACTAAGACTTACGCATGAAGATAAATGGTAAGAGCCAGAATTGCCAGCTCAGTAAAACACGCTTGAATACTGTCACGTCCCAGGATTGTTTGCGTACAGTACCCAGTCGTGATACTGCATGCTCCTTTTGTTCGCTGTTCAAGAACCAGGCCGCACGATGTGCTGGAAGATCGGGGATGAATACCCACCCTAAAAGCCGGGTCAGTCAGTATTCACAAATTTTGGTCAGTGACTTGTAAGCTTACCAAACAACGCAACGGGCACGGTCATCGCTGAAACAATGATGAAAATCCATTTCCAGGGTGGAAGACCGTCCTTCCCTGCTAATGCCGCCAGCAAGCCTGCTTGAATCCAGCCACCCGCCATGGTCCCCAGTTGACCAAACACACAAAAGACAGCAGCCCGCATGCCAAGCTCAGACCTCTTGTACCAGGAGCCGAGAATGAAGTGGGCACCCACACTATTCATATTGTCAGTCTTGGGTTCTCCCGAAATTCTTGCCTTGGAAAATTGGGATACTTACTATGCGATGGCCGAAAACCCTCCCTCGATCGCGTTGAGCAGAATCACTTGCCAGGCATGTGTCATCTTGTACGTGATCAAGGTTAAGACGCTCCAGGTGACGTTGGCAGCTACGAACACATATTTAGGACGATAAATAGTCAATAGACTCGTTCCCGGCATTTGGCACACAGCGTAGACAACCAAGTACGCAGTAGTCATATAGTTGTATTCTTTGCCCTGGAAGCCCAGTGCCTCCTTCATGCCGCTGATGTAGGCAGAGGAATAACTCGCTCGGGTGACGCCAAACAGAAACCAGATCAATGAGAAGTAAGGGAGTAGGGTCACGTCGAGTTTGGACAACAGGGCACGATCTTTGGCATCTGGCCCCCAGAGCCAGATTGCAATCTTTGTCCAGGCTGAAACCATTTTGTAAAGCTACTGTCGAGAGATTTCACAAGGGATAGGAAGTTGATGTGCGGGTGTGTTTCGGCAGATATATACTTCGGGATGAAAATTCGTCGATGTCACCATGGCAAAATCGCACATGCCACATCAAGATAACGAGGGCCGCGGTTCCTTGAGTGAAAGAAGAGATCGTGAATAGCAGAGTGTCAAAATGGCGATAGAATTCTCGAAGATGATGAATCGATAAACGATGACTGATGATGTGATATTATGCGGGGTCCGTGAGGTGCATTATCTTCCTTTCATACTTGTGATCTTGCCAGAAACCCTGCAACTTATATATGTATGTAAATTTCGAAACAATTTGAAGCTATCGAAAAGAAAGACGAAAAAAAGAAAAGAAAACATTTCGAAATACAATCCAAGTGCACGTGCACAGACCACTATGTTCACAGAAGATCTCAGACCACTTTCTCACCGTCGTTGCGGACAAAAGGATGTCAAATTGCATACATACATACATACATACAGTACAATATATACACATGTATATATGGTATGAAAAGATTGATCTACATTTCGGGATTGGTCCATGGCTAAGATGTATGAGATGGAGATCCTGGAATATTGAAGCATTATGAGGTTCGGTTGGGTTTCCTCTTGGGATTATTCCGCTATGCCCTTCAATCTGCTAAGAAAGCGGGGGTTTTTCTCTAACATTTGTCAGTGCATCAATTTCATTCTTAGATCTGGTCTCGTTATACGCCGAATATCCCTTTTCCGAACTACCATCAATTCAAGACTTGTACACTGAGCACTATTTGGATCCATAACCCGCAGACATGACTGATTCCACATCACCAATTGGAATTGCACTTCTCGGGGGAGGTGAGTTCCAAGAATAAGGGTTGAAAAGACACTGCTGAATTGTTTCGCTTTAGGGCTTTGGGCTAGAGAAGAGCATGCTGTGAGCTTTGTAATCCACCAAATTATAGTACTAGCTAACACATCGAATTAGCCTGCTATCGAGGCTGCTTCACAATGCATCTCTCTCAAGGCTGTTTATTCGCGATCCGCCGCATCTGCCCGCTCTATCATTGAAAATTTTGCACACCCCGTCGACCTGTATTCCGAGGATAGCGACAATGGATTCGAGGACCTACTGAAGCGACCTGACATTGAAGCTGTAGTCATATCGTAACTTGAATCTGTTTGATAGTGCTCATACAAAACGTTAATATTTTGCAGGCTTCCTATTGGACACCAGGAGCGCTTCATCTAAGCTGCATTGCTGGCTGGAAAATATATTCTCTCGGAAAAGCCAGTTGCTGAAAATGTCGAGGCCGCAAAAGAGCTTATTCAGTGGTATAGAACTGAGATCAAGGGCCCAACTTGGACAATTGCAGAGAACTGGCGATTCTTGAAGAGCTACGAGTTCGCGGTGGAGAAGATCAAAAGCCTGGGCAAGATCATTGGTTTCCAAGGACGACAGCATGGCATGATTTCTCAAAATTGGAAATTCAATCGTGAGTTTGAAATGTCTATGGTACAACCACCTCTAATTTTGTGACTAGTCACTGAATGGCGTCGCAATCCCACCCATCAAGGTGGCTATCTTCTAGATGGCGGAGTGCACTACATGGCAGGCCTCAGATTACTATTAGGCGCAGAGCCTGGAAAAGAGATTGCTTCTCTTTCAGCCCTTACCAACCAGACCCAACCTTATCTACCCCCAGTTGATACAGCCGATGTGATCATGAGAACGACTTCTGGCGTGACTGGTGTTTTCCAGATATCGAGAGGCACTTCTTTGTTGACGGATGAATTGGCCATCGCCTGTTCGAATGGCTGGATCAAACTCGAGAACGAAACTGTCACAATCTCTCGAGATGGAAAGGTTGAGGTTGTGACCGTTCCCAACGAGAGAACCGGCGTTCTACCTGAGATTCGCGTCTGGGGATCAAGCATTATTGAAGGAAAAGCACGACCAGAGCAGGAGCCCGAAGCTGCACTAGCCGATCTTGAGTTGGTAAGAAGCACTGTACATCAAACAGTTCCCAGAGCGCAGCTAATCAAGTATGTATACAGATTGAGCTCATCCTCAAGAGTGGGAGTCGTGGAGGAACCCCTGTTATCTGCGAACATCAAAATGATGTGTAGAGCACGGTATTACCTCCCTCTGATCACAACCATGATTCTTTCGACAATAACATGTGAAAATTTCATATTTCAGTCCACTTTCAATCCTGTTAACTCCATTCGAGTAGCTTTGAGATTGATTGCAACAATGCGTACCACGAATGAGCTGAGCCAACAAGCGCAAAAATTTGTGATTTAGCGAGAGAAAGATGATCATTTAGAATTGGTTATCAGCGGGTTGTTCTGGTCACCAGATTGAAAGAATACGGGAGAGTAGAGCAGTCTTGTGGAGGTAACGAGATGACACTTAGCATGCCTAAGTGGCGGGAGTAATGACTTTTCATCTAAAAGATCTGTGACCAGATCCAGTTCCGTTCCTTGTACGCGCACTCACTGGGTTGACAAAAGTACTGTGCATAACATAGATTCACTTGATTCCTGATGCTCAAGCTTTTAACAGCCGCATCACCCCGAACAAATTGCAACTTTGGAATACGTTTGGCCTTTTCACTCAAAACTGTAAACCGAAAATTCAGCTGCATATCTTTACATCATTCATATAGAGTTCAGACAGAGAGATCATTAAGCCCCAACGAAGGTAGTGAGGCTTTTAAAACATTTCCTGCCTGGACACTCCCCAATTACCCCACCTCCTCTCCTGCAAGATGGATATACAGCACATTCAAAACTTATTGGAGGACACAAAGAAGTCAGTTGATCTTCTCAAGTCCGACGACTCAGAAACCACTCGTACTCATGCCCTCGAGAATGCACTGAAGCTATCGAGGGCTCTCGAGCACCCACGAACGGCGATCTTGAAGATATCATATTCTGTAAGCCGGCATATTGATCTCGAAGTTGACCAGCTAATTTATAAAAACCCTGCCTAGCCTACTGTAGTTATGGCTGTTAAAGTGGCCCATGATATGAAAGTTTTCCCGGTTCTTGCTAGAGCTGTTTCGCCTGTATCTTTGCAAGAGCTCGCAGATGCAAAACCCGCGCATCCTCTCTTGGTCGGTGAGTGCCAATCTCTCTACCGTCCTTGATATTTTTGCAGACGCATAACTGATATTCTCATAATAGAACGCATGATGCGGCTCCTGGTCGCAAATGGCTTTGCCGCGGAGCCCTCGCCTTTGAAATACCTCCCCACTGCTTTATCCAAAGAAATGACCCAACGCACTTCGATTAGCGTAGTGGAATCAATGTATGGAACTTCTTGCAGTCACTGATGACAAGCACTAATTGTTCATCGCACGATTCCAAAGCTTTCTGGAATTCTTCCCTGCCATCCAGAAAACCCCAGAGTATCTCGAAGCAACAAACTACCACAATCCAGACGACCCACTCCTCGCTCCGCTGCAGTACACTCACAACTTCAAAACAGACGGCTTCACCTGGCTATGCGAGAACCCGGCCGCTCTTGCCCGCTTTAACAGCTTCATGGAAGGCCAGCGCGCAAACAGACCCCATTGGGGCGATTGGTTTCCCATACATGAGCACGTTCTCGATCATCCGGATGTGCGAGTTGACAGCCCTCTGATTGTAGACATTGGCGCAGGGCGAGGCCATGACCTGATTGGATTCAGGCAGAGATTCCCCGATGTACCTGGTAGACTGGTTCTTGAAGATCTTTCGACGGTTGTTGACGAGGTGCGCGGGGCGCAAGATCTGGATGCTGCGGGAATTGAGACTGTGGCATATGACTTCTTCGCGGAGAAGCAGCCTATCGAGGGTCTGTTGTGTTCATGGCAGTGGAGTGGCTTCAGAAGCTAATTTATGTTCGCATTTTAGGTGCCCGTGTTTATTACTTCAAGACTGTGCTGCATGACTGGTCTGATGAGAAGGCGAGGATTATTTTCAGGAATTTGATACCCGCCATGAAACGTGGGTATTCGAAGATCATCTGCGAGGAGTATATCCTTCCGGATTCCAATGCTCCTAGTATTTCCTGCATGACAGACCTGGCAGTAATGGTCTTTTGCTCGGGACTCGAGCGGACTCGTCACCGCTGGACTGATCTCTTCACTTCAGTTGGTTTGCAAGTTTCGAGATTTTGGATGCGGGAGGATGATGGGTTTGGAATTGTTGAGGCTGAGTTACCTGAGATCCAGTAGCTGGTTCACATATCCAATGTTTCGAATGTCCATGTTCAGCTTTATCAGCCCAAGGACCTCCCGAGAAGTCATTACTTCAAGCTTGGATAGCTGTGATTCCATGCTGATCTAGCTGTTGATATACGAACTATTGTCAATTGATTGATATGGGAATTGAGAAGTTGATTAGAAATCTTTGGTATTTTGTTTTTCTTTTTCGTTTTTTTTGTTTACAACAGATCTCATGGCTTCGGAGTGAGAGACAAAGGAAAGGAAAGCTGAGTGACAAAAGGAAAAACGAACATCCATAACCAAAAGACGCTAAAAATGATGAGACATGGATATTTCCAACTCCAAAAGAAAAATAGAGATAAAACGAACACGCCAACGATGTTGTACACGATGAAAATGCGAGAAAGGAATCCATAATGCAGGGTGGAATGGGAGGAACGAAGAACAGCAGGTCGAGTGATTGCACACAAGAGGGAAGAAATCAGAGACCTTCGCCCCGCAGAAGGCGTCGAAGAATTCCCTCCCCAGGGCCAGCAATCTGGCTTTCGATTTCCTGTTGGGATACAAAACAGAGGAGACCCTGTTCGTCAAGCGCCTTATGAGGCGTAGAAGGCGCGTGACCGGACTTGGAAGGTGTGCGACGTAGGTCTGTGCCGCCTGCGACAGTTCCACCTCGGCCACGGCCCTGATATTCTCCAACCAGGCCCATTGTTTCGAGATTGCTCAAGACATCTTTGAACTCAGTAGCAGTCAATGGGTGAAGGATGTTGTCATTGCGACACAGAGCGCAGTATGTATCAAACGCCTGCTTGATAGTTGGCGCCGAGGCGCGAGACTTGGATGGAGTACTTGGAACCTCAAGCTGGCGACGCTTACGTTCGAGGGCAATCAGCGCACAGATCGCGGCCTTTTGCTGAAGGTTTAGGCTTTGAAGTCTTTGGACGGTACCTTGGCCGAAGGCTGCAGAAGTGATCCGCGCAATGTGTGCGATACTGGCTCGGGGTGCAGTGATGACTGTGTAGCTTGACATCGAAGTTGGTTTTGGTAGACTGCCTCCTTTGACTGGTGAAGACAGGTTGGTGTTCTCTCCAAGTATCGCTACATTTTCGTTGGCTTGCTTCTCTAGCTTTTGCCAAGTCTCCTGCTCAATCACATCAATCGCCCGCTTGATCAACTCGAAGGCTTTTCGCAAGTCGCCTGTTTGCGAGGCTACCTTCTTGGAACAAAGCTGAATGGCGGCTGGTTGAACGAAAGGCACAAGCTTCGGATCAGACTCGGAGCCAGCAGGAAGCAACGATCGAAGACGGTTGGTCATGACATCTGCGATAGAAGCAGCACTGTACGGCAAGAACGCCAGGAGTCGGGGCTTCAAGTTCTTTGCCTTGAGTTGCGGGAGAGATCGATCGGTCAAATCAAGGGCGTTGGCAATGCCGATCAATAGCAACTTGGACTTGCTTTGTAAAGCCCACTCGAAAAGTGACTGCAGGACCCCGGAATCCCCATTAAGTAAATGGTCAATCTCATCTAGGGTAACCAAGAACAGATCCTCCGCTTTCTTTGACGGGACAAACATAGACTTCAGGCGATCAGCTTCGCTTTTCTTAAAGACGTCTGTATCTTGGCCGAAATCTTGAATGAGTCTGCTGTAGACATCGCGGGAAACTCGCATGCTGGCACAATTCACATGAGAAACTCTCACACCAGAAAGATCGAGGTCCTTGCACACTTCCTGGACCATGGCACTTTTGCCAGTGCCAGGGGGACCGCTGATGTAAAGACATCCTCCTTGTCGAGACTCAATTCCCTCCGTGAGGAAAGACACAAGCTTCTCCCGTTCCGCATCTCGCCCCACTAACCGACCAGAATTGGAACCGCGGGCAAACAATTGCCTAGCTTGTGAATACACGGAGTGTGTAATAGTCGGGGTGGCACTCTGTCGAGGGGTCGGAGGAAGATCTGCGTGGCGGGGGGTACGTGGGGTTATCGCCTTTGCGCCCACCTGCACTCGATGTCTGGGTGTGACAGGCGATTGCGGTAGAGCATCTCGGAATCGCGATTTCGACGGTGTTTTGAACTCGGTTGGTTTCACATTTTCTTGTGCGCCTCTGGGTGCTGCCGCCTCAGGCGCCACATCTTTCAGTTTTTCTGATTCAACCTCTACCGGTTTTGAGGCACGGAAATGCGAATTGATTTTCACAGGCGACTTGAACTGTTCTTCGCGCAGGGTATGTTTGGAAGACACAGTCTCCGGGGCAATCTTGTTCTCGCCATTTTCTTGATCGGGTTGTTCAAGCTCCTTTTTCACCGTCGACCTTGTTCGCCGTAATGAAGGAACGGGGGCAGTTTCTTTTACTTGTTTCTCCTGCTTCTCTTGCTTCACTCGTGGTGCGATTATGCGGCGCTTGCTCGAGATTCGTACTGGTAACGCTAGAGTGGAAGGTGAGTATTGGAAAGTGTGGAGGGGAAGGTGGGATGGTCTTACCTTCTGATTCCACACGAGAGCGCTTTCCCAAAACAGTTCCTGCCATATTTCCAGACCGATGTTGTTCGAACGCAGCTTCCGTAGGAGTTGGAGGAATGTCAGGAAGGAAAGAAGGCCCAGTTAGGAAGTGTAATTAGTCCAGCCCCACGCGACGCGTCGCGCGTTTTACTACGGCCACCCATTTCTACCCAATGTGCAACCCTGTTAGCCTCCTTTTGGGGCGCCTTAGGTGTCAATGATCGGCTTCTGGTGAAGTCACGTATTCAAGATGACGGAATCATTTCAGCCTACACATATAGTCCATAATAAATCTCGAATATTTCTTTCTTCTTTTTGCCTTTGTCTTGCCACTTCATTCCAGTCACTTTCATACATTTGACACTGGCTGTGACGACTTTCGTGTTTGCAGCAGTTTGCACCACACTTCCCCGGTCCCCTCATAGCACAATCTCCAATTACTCGACATTTCATAAGCTATCTGTGGGTATTGAACCACAATCCATCGCAAAATTTTGATAAATTACCTTAACCTCTTCCTCAACAAACCTCACCCATAACACTCTGCCCATCATGGATACCGATGTGGTGGCTCAGTTTACTGAAATCACCGGCTCCACGCCGGAGCTCGCCATACAGTACCTTCAAATCGCAGAATTCAATATTGAGCAAGCGATGCAGCTCTTCTTTGAAAATGGGGGCGCGCCATTGACTAGCGAGCCTTCTCAGCCTCGAGGCTCCGGGGTTCCTAACGATTCGGAGGTGGTGACTATTGACTCGGACTCTGATGATGATACCCCACGACAGCGCGCGGTCCCCGCCTTCGATGATGACGAGGCTATGGCTCGTCGCCTGCAGGAGCAAATGTACGGAGGTCCGAACAATGAAGATGAAGTGAGGGCGCCGATGGCGCGCACGACAGAAACATTGGTGGGGCCCGGTGCGGACTATGATGATGATGGTGATGACATGCACACCAATATTCTCAGTCAACTTCGAGCTCGTCAAAGAGGGGGTGAGCTTTCTTGCTTCCAATACTATAGTATTTTCTTTTTCTAACTGCTATTTTACTCTAGGCCGGGCCGGAATCTTCAATCAGAGAGAGTCATCTTCGATATGGCAAGGCAGCGAGAATAGTCGTCGCGAAGAGCTTTCTGCTGCCACCGGAGGCGCCTCAGATGCCTCATCTAAATCCAACATGCTTGCCGAGATGTACCGGCCTCCGTTTGAGATAATGTCACGATTCTCCTGGGATGTGGCACGCGATGAAGGAAAGGACAATGAAAAATGGCTGCTCATCAACGTTCAAGATGCCTCGGTTTTTGACTGTCAAGTGCTCAACCGTGATTTGTGGAAGGATGCCGGTGTGCAAGAGACTGTCAAGGAGCATTTCATTTTCCTGCAATACTCCAAGGACGACCCCCGTGCGTCTTCCTACATCCAATATTACTTCCAAGGAAGCGACGTCTCCGATAATTACCCCCACATTGCCATTGTCGACCCACGAACCGGTGAACAAATGAAGATCTGGTCTGGTCCACCTCTGGTCAAGCCCGCCGACTTCCTCATGCAACTCCACGAATTTCTCGATCGGTACAGCTTGAACCACAACGTGCGCAACCCTGTTGCGAAGAGGAAATCCGAAAAGAAGGACAAGAACATTGATGCCATGACGGAGGAGGAGATGATGGAAATGGCCATGAGAAACAGTCTTGGTGGGGCTGGAGAATCTGGCCCAGCACTTGAAGATCCCGACGATTTGACGCGCAGTACAGGTGATATTAAGGGCAAGAGCCGGGCCACGGGCGAGGCGGATGTCAGCATGGACGAGCCAGAGCAAGCTGCGGAAGTCTCTCCATTTGCATCCATCCCCAGCGATAAGCCACACACTGAACCTGATGCGGATCCCACTACGACTACTCGTATCCAGTTCCGACACCCATCAGGTAGAGTGATCCGGCGATTCGCATTGTCTGATCCAGTCCAGCGAATTTACGAATGGCTCAAGGCCGAACCCCCCTTGGAGGGCAAGGCTGGTGTGGAGTTTGACTTGAACAGCATGGGCCGTAATCTTATTGATCAACTTTCTACAAACATTGCGGATGCAGGACTCAAGAATGGCACTGTGATGATTGGATATCTGGAAGAGTGATATTCCTTCGCCTTTCGGTCTTATCTTTACGTTGTCACGTTTGCTTGGTTTCTACGAGGCGTTGATGGGAATTTATTAGATCCCGTGTGATCTCACCTTGGTTCCTAGGCAGGGTCTTATCATTTCGGGAAATTGATCAATCTACACGGCTCCACGGTTGTTATTAATTACCTTTGAGCCTACATACGAACTTACACACATAGAACACTTGAGGCTTGCCTGCAATGAATCATGATATTTGACTCGTTCACTACTTGGATATATGTAGAATTCATAGTACTTTAAAATAACTATGAGCATCGTTTGATCTTTTGATATATTTGTGCCCTGCGTTCACGTGCATTAACTGCAGCAAACCTTTAGGACTATCACCATAACCTACATATGTGCATATGTAATCGTTATAGCTTCGGGTTAATTAGAGAAATTATAACAATTCTACCTATTTACGTATTTCGGTAATGTGATAACCCATTGCATAAAAGGTTGTCAAGATCTCCAAGGCTACCTTAGGTAGATTACTGTGATGAGCTCCCCGTGAACAATTTCTTTCGAAGTATAAAAATTCATGCATATGCATTCTCTATTCCAATCCTAAATATTCAATGTTCATGTTCACCCTGTGGACTGTATATTTGATTAATTGATATTTTTGTCTGGCTTGATCTGTGTTGATATCTAAATTCTTAATATTCGAAATGGTACAAACTTGACCAACTTACCACGAACAGGGATGACTTCACGAACTTCGAGTCGGATCCAGTCAATTGCAATATCAAAACTGAAACTCGAGCCTAAGACTCGAGATATAGATAGAGATACACCGCCCTCAGATAAGTGTCGGCAAAATAGCCCCGCGTTGATAAACAAGCAAGGGCATTTCTATCACAACTTCCTATAAACTCCCTTCCAAGGTTGACGGTTGATGTTATACACCTGGGCAGATAGATCGGTCTTAAATGTGAAAAAATAGGTAGTAACTCACCCCAATTCTTTCTCGTGCAACCATACTCCTTTGCGCAACTGTATTTGTTTGTCGCCCATCTTATCAATCGTCCACCTCCACTCTCCAAACACCGCATACCATTCGTTCGTTTTCCTTTCCGATCCTAAAACATGCGGCTCTTGATCTAATTTAGTGAAATTAGATTACCAAATCATCAGATCGTACCTACATCATCTGTCCCGAACATCCATACTTTCTCTGTGACTCCAAGTTTAAGGTATGGTCTCTACCTTTTGATATGCGTCGGCTTCTGGTGATTCTGACTTTGCGGCCATAGAGCCTCACATCAGAGACACAAATTGCGCCAATTTGGCCGTGGTCCATGACTGGAACCTTCCGGTGACTCGGATAACCCGTCAAGATGCCGGCTCCCATCGATCCGGAATCCATTTACACCAAACAATCATGCATCGGTAAGCTGGCCGATTGAGATTGAGAAGCGGCGGGATGGATTCAATTGCTGACACTTGCTATTCACCTTAGGCGGTGGAAGTTTCGGTCAAGTTTTCAAAGGGTGAGCCGAACATTCCAAGACAGTGCCGTGTTTAAACAAATCAACTGACTCGATTGGCCAAATGTAGTGTCGATAGGCGCACCGGAGAAGCAGTGGCTATCAAGATTATTGACGTCGAGAATGCTGAAGATGATGTTGACGATATCATCAAGGAAATTGCCATCTTGTCCGAGCTCAAGTCGCCCTATGTCACCAAATATCATGGTTCATACTTGAAGGGATCCAACCTGTGGATCATCATGGAGTTCTGCTCTGGCGGTAGCTGCCATGGCCTGTTGCGACCTGGTGTAATCCACGAGGAGTACATCGCTATCATTCTCCGGGAGCTTCTGCGTGGTTTGGACTATCTGCATACTGATCAGAAGCTGCATCGAGACATCAAAGGTATGCAATGGCAATTGGTTGAACGGCTTGATTTAATACCTAATAATTTGCAGCTGCAAATATCCTTCTCAGCGGCAGTGGCCAAGTAAAGCTTGCAGACTTCGGTGTTTCTGGACAGTTGTCAGCGACAATGACAAAGAAGAATACTTTTGTAGGAACTCCATTCTGGATGGCACCTGAGGTCATCAAGCAATCCGGATACGATTACAAGGCCGATATTTGGTCTTTGGGCATCACGGCGATTGAGTTGGCCTGCGGAGATCCTCCATATGCTGATATTCACCCGATGAAAGTGCTGTTTTTGATTCCCAAGAACCCACCTCCGACACTGAACGGCAATTTCACAAAGCCTTTCAAGCAATTTGTTGAATTGTGCTTGCGCCGAGACCCTAAGGAACGCCCATCGGCCAAGGAGCTCCTTGAGCATCCATTCGTGAAGCGTGCCAAAAGAACAACTTACTTGACAGAACTCATCGAACGTGCAGAGCGTTGGCAAATCACGCACCGTGGCCAGGACGACGACGAGGATGGATATGATTCGCATGATGTGGAGCCTGATCAAACATTGCAGGATCGAACCCAGGAAAAGGAAGATCTTTGGGACTTTGGTACTGTTCGTCCCGTAGGGAAAGGACCCGCGCCCCCGTTGCGGCCATTGAAAGACTCCGAGAAGAATTCACGTATTAATGAGACTGAGGAGTGGGATTTGTGTGATGAAACACCTGGCAACAAATCCACATCCCGGACACAACCACAAGCCCAGACTACCACAGCAAACTCTGCTTTCAACGTGTCTCCCACAAAAACACCTCTTCCTCCATCTGCCCCTTCTTCACCTCTCAAGCAACGACCATCTCAATGTGCACTTCCTCCACGCAAAGTCGTTTCTCCCGTTTCTAGCAGACCTGCAGAAGGTAACTCTCCCACGCGAGGTCTCAACGAACAATACGCAAAGGCTGCCCTGAACTACGCGGGAAACATTGATACGCCTCCTTCAACTAAACCCATCTCTGCATCTACTGCTCAGGCCATCCCAGCGAAGCAAATCCCATTCAACCTTCAAGAACAATACCGCACTCCATCCGGTCAAGTTGTGCGCAAGCCAGCTCCACTCTCACGTACCAGCGCTGACCCTCTGGGACCCCAACCACATCCGCAATCCCCACGGCTCTCCCAAGCAGGTCCCCTCAGACAAACGGAGCCTCTTCAAAACTCCAAGCCAGTCTCCGGTCTAAAATCAAAACGTGCACCATCAAACATGGAAGACCGCAGCTTCGCTCATCGTTCCACCCCTCCCACCCCAACCAGCGACAAGCACTCTCCGCGCCCTCTTCCCGAAGCCGAGCGCGCAACGGCCTGTGGATCTGTAATCCTCCCAGCCCTCCGCGCAGCCATGGACCGCCGCCGCCACCACCTCGCTCGCCTCGAGCCAGGCCGCAACCCTAACGACCCCCAGGCCACCGCCGAAGAGGAACGGGTCTTCGACCGCAGCGTGCGTATCCACCGCGGCATGGAGCAGGTAGCTGAAGATATTGCCCGCTCTTTCAACAATCTCCACCGCTGGGATATGGAGGACCCTGTTGACATGGGTGGTGGTGTTGATGCTGTTCTCGACGCGTTTCTCGAGGAGATTCTCGTCCGTCTGCAGCCACACGCGTAGGTTGACGCGTTTGATTATGTTCTAAGTAAGGAGAGCTCGTGATGGCGTTTATGCGCAATCTTAATCTTACATTGCTCTGATGATTTTCTTCTCAATTCTTTGTTCATTTGTATGTGTTTCATGTGATTATTTTGTATGTTGTAGTTTGTAGCTGGCTCGCTACTAGCAGAAATTTCTCCATTGTCATTTCAGTAATCTTCACTTAGCTTTCCAAAATCATAATTTCATCTGTCATGTTGTGCTCAGTAAACAGTAGTAATATGATGCTGAGGACCATTGGCTGGCTTGGAAAAAGACAGTTTACGATGCATTTCTTTGTTATTTTTGCCATCAAGCAACGTACGTACCCATTTAAGTGTGTGCTTCTTATTCTTCTTGTGTTAAAATATCACTTTAAACCCACAGTCAGTGTTGAACAGGCGATAAAATGAATGATGCCTATATGTGTATGTGTAGGTAGGATGCTTCTCCTTGGACTCCTTGGAGAATCATAGACTGGGGAACAGATACAATTGATATAGAGAAGCAAGTAGCAATTCAACTGAATATAGCTGGATATTATGGACTCCTCAGTAAAGCAACCTTGCAGATGAATTTGCGTTGTGTGTGATTGTGAACACGATGATCACTGGCCCTGCGTTTCTGTGCATCATGGTCGGGTATCAAGGTCCAGGGCATGGTTTTCTGTCAAATCACCTGCGTTATATCTTAAGAGTGGCGAAGTTACATGCTTCGAACGCTAGACTTCAGATCCAAGGGATACATGTGGGTATACAGCTTGCAATGCTGGGGCATCTTTTGGTATTGTGTGGTTGTAAAGTTTGAAGCGTGGCATGCATCACATTTCTTTATTCAGCAGTTCGTTGCTCGGTCGCCAGTTCGTTGATCATTGAATGTTGACAATGTGATAGGCGATTTATCTCGAGATCTTGGCCATAGAGGATAATGATCTCAGAAGCTCAAGTCCCTAGGACGGGCGAAACAGCCAATCCGTCTCCGGCGTCGGGATCAAATAATTGGTGATATTAAACTCATTCGAGTTAGAGTGATGGCTACCGTCAACAACCGACCCCGACGGAGGCGCGGAGCCCGCATCGGTCAGTCCATGAATAGACATAGGATTTGGTACAGTCTCAGGGATATCCATATGAGATGGAGCAGAAGCCGAATCAGGGGCTCTCGCTGGAGGAACGCGGGGCACATTGAAGAAGCCAAAGACATCAAGGTACTCAAGCTCGTTGGGGGCAAAGTTCCGGGGTGGCATTGCAGGGACAGGCGGTCTGGGTTGGTGGCTTTCGCCTATTCCATTGTCTGCGGGCGATTCCCGTGGCTGGCGGGAAATCAAAAAGTCTAGGTCAAATGCACAGCGACGCATATCGGCAAGGATCTTGACTGTAGATGGTGTAGAGCGTTCTCCATCTAGGGCGATAGATTGCTGGTATTCGTTGTATTCATCAAGAACGCGTTGGAGAATGCTGCTGTATCGCTCTGCGACTTTCCAATATTTGCCTAGCTGGAAGAGGGTGTCCACAAAGAAGAGAATGTCGGCGCTGACAGTGTGTGCAATCGTTGAGCCGTGAACGAGAAGGAGACGTGCTGATACCCATAGAGTGAAGGCGAAAGGTGGGCCCATCTTGTCTAGCATGTTGCTCTCTACGACGAATCTTGTTGCTGATAGTATATTTTCGACAGCGAGTAAGCATCGCTGGCTCGCACTGTATGAAGGTGTGAATATTGGGGATCGAGTTGTCGGGTATGCTGCTGATGAGTGCAGACGGATTACAGCCCTATGTTCATTAAATAGTCAGTCAATTTTGGAATAGATCGTAAATAAGTAACCGACTCACGTCTGATAGGTGGCATGTAATTGCACCCAGTCGCTATGCACAGCTCGACCATTTTTAGAACCATTGAATAGTCGAGATGAGTTTTCATATGCATATTCCGCTGGAAGATTGAATTCCCATGATGTCAGCTCACTGTCGAGTTTGCGATAGGTAGCCTGCCATTCCTCGACATCGGAGAGAGCGCCGATATCTACAGGCCGTTTCAAGAACAAGTGAATTCTTGAGAGAATGCCCAAGATCTCGACATAAAGCCCGAAGGATCCGACATTTTCTGCGTGACTTATATAGTCTGCACGGTCGCTGGAGCAGTGGAACCACCGGGTCTCAACGGGCTGATTCTTCATAAAGTAATCATCCTTACATGGGAGCCTGCGATCGATGTCTCTGTCGTCCAAGGCGAAATTGAATGCAGTCGCGAGAGTCGAATATCGGTCAAGCAAATAGACCATCCAGAAAAGACGTCGTCTGCTCTCGTCTTCAATCCATGAATCCGGTTCAGAGAGGGTGACAGCTCTCAATGTGTAGATAGAGGGATAGAGGGGGTTGATGAGGGACGATTTGGCTTCAACGGCCAGGCCGAGCTGAACTACTGATCGTGTTATCAAGGCAAGAAGCTTCCAACCGGGTGGGCCATTGGACGAGCCAACCAAGTCGATGGCCAATATTACAAGTGCCTGAAGTGCCTTCACGGAAGAGTTTTCCAAGCCGTATAGAAGGACTTTTTGTTTGGACGAGTCATGGTAACGCTTTCTGTTTTGATCGTTAAGCCTAGCATCTGAGGAAAAGCGCAGTGTAGTTGCCACGATTGCATAAAGAACCATTCTATCTGCCTCTTCCAGTGGTGATGGACCAAAGAAGGTATCTAGCGTTGTTCGTCGGTGGAGGATCGGACACCAGGAATTGATATGCTCGAAATAGAGATCCACCAGTGCATAGAGCAGATCATATGGTGGCAAATCAAGGTCAGGATCAGTAAGAGACTGCTCCTGATTTGAGAAAATGTTGACAGGAACTTTCAAGGATGATTCGTTCCCTGTGTAGTCATGCTGTGTGTTTTGGGCCTGTAGCAAGGATCCTGCTGGTGCAGCGATGCCATGTTGCAGGTGGCCTTGTGAGGCATTCTTCGCCGATGTATCAGATGGACTAGTAATTGATACATCTGCACGGCGCGATGGCAAAGTCATCGAAGACCCGGGGTCATTAAAGTACAAAGCAGTACTGGGGCTGGGCCCATGAGGCGCCGATGGTTCTGACGGGGAGCTGTATGAAAGAGGGCCGGTGTGAGGCAATTCATGGCTCATTGATGATTGCGATTGGATGATATGCATCTCAATCAGGCGAGCTTGCGATTGGATAATATTTTCCAGTCGATCTAAGCCGGAATGAGATATGAAATAAAATGATCAAAACACCGAAATTAACGTACCAAGGCGTTGCTCCAATTCTTTGCCATACCCGGCCCTCAGACCAGGTTTCTTTCGCTCTCTATATTCGCATAGTTGACCATTGCGGGTACACCATCCACAGCTCGGTAGCACTCGGTCTATTTTGTAACCCCATATTAGGAGATACACATTTGTCTGGGGCAATTGTACGCCTTACCGCATTTGACTTTTCGTTGCTTGCACAATTCACATCTTTGCAAGGTCAGTTCGGTAATACTGCATCAAGAACAAAGGTCCTGGGTAGCATTGGACGCGGTTCAGGTACGCACGAGACAGTGAGGGGGCGTTTCCGCTTTAATATCCTCGAGCCATTGGCCCCGATATCATTATCGGAATCGGCAGAAGAATAATCTACACTCTGATCTCTTTCGTTGCCGAATAGCTGATTGGAGGACGGGGTCTCCTGAGCGGGAAGCGCAGAGTTCGGCATTTTGATGTAGCGAGATAGCAATCGCCCTATCAGGGGCCGAGCATGATGCAACAGGGTCTTCCGAATAAGTATCCGCAGAGGCTATGATAGCCCTGCTCTAGAACAAAGTTGGAAGAATTGAATAATGACAACGGCGATAGTCCGAGAAGAAGTTCAACCGAGGAAAAGAAAAGACGGAGTCATGGAAAGCGGCCTCAGGCAGAAACCGGGGCACCCCGCATTTCTCCACTTTGGGAATTTTCCTTGTGAGTTTGTCTAAGTACATACTTAAGTAGCTATAAAGTGGTCAGTACTTGGTAGTTATTGGTGTAGTTGGTAATCTCTTGTTACTACAGCTAAAGCCCAATGATACAGGAATTCTAATGAATATTTACTATCACACGTTTTGAACTGGTTTATACTCCGAAGTATACACAGCCCTAAGCTGCATAAGTCTATGTACAGTTGCACATCCCAGCCTCGGATTGTAACATCATAAAAGAAGACCAAATCGACACTAAGTCAATACTAAGTACACATATAGTTAGAACTGCAAAATGACAGAATACTACAATAAATAAGCATATCATCTGCATGTGTCCATCAATTTTCCATTTATCCGTCTCTCGGGATAGTGATACCCCGAGCCCTCGGTATTTCCCTCGACGCGGAATCCGTTCAAAGTTGAAATAGACTGCTATCCCCGCAATTGTCCTTTTTCTGTTTCTGTTTTTCATTTTCTTCTTTTATTCTTGTTGGCAATTGATCAGGTCTTTTTGTCTTCTTGAGTCTTACAGTCTGATACTAGATACATCATGGGTTCAACAAAAGAATTTCCCCGCATTAAGACAGTCAGCACCTTCATCATTGATGGTGTCGGTTCTGGCGGTGATTACCACAATGTACGCACTTGCAGATGTTATACCAGTTGGATTTTGAGACGTTAACTGTTTTTGTAGGTCAAGGGAGGTCACTGGTTGGTGGACAGCAATATCTCTACCCCCATGACCAAGTGGGCACAGTTCCGGGGTTCGCGCACGTCCTGGGGTATCAATGTTTTGGGATCTTTCTGTGTTGAGATTGAGGCCACCGATGGCACCAAGGGCTTTGCAACTGGTTTCGGTGGTCCCCCTGCATGCTGGCTCACCGAGCAACATTTCAACCGTTTCCTGATTGGTGCTGGTATGGATTATTTCTTTTGCCTCATTTTTGAACCATGTTTCTCACAAAATCTATGTAAACAGATCCTCGTGACACCAACGATCTCTTTGAGAAAATGTACCGCGCCTCAATGTTCTACGGCCGCAAGGGTCTGCCCGTCGCCGTGATCTCAGTCATTGACCTTGCCCTGTGGGATTTGCTGGGCAAAATTCGCAACGAGCCTGTTTACAAGATGATCGGCGGTGCTACCCGCTCAAGACTAGATTTCTACTGTACCGGTCCCCAACCTGGCTCTGCTAAGGCTGCTGGCTTCATCGGCGCCAAGGTGGCCTTGCCCCACGGCCCTGATGAAGGCACCGAGGGTCTTCTGAAGAACGTTGAATACCTGCGTCAGCAGCGCGAAAAAGTCGGCCCCGACTTCCCCTTGCGCGTTGACTGTTACATGTCCTTGACTGTCTCTTATACAATTGATCTGGTTAAGCGTTGTGAAGCTAAAAACCTTGACATCGACTGGTGGGAGGAGTGCCTTTCCCCCGATGACTTTGATGGCCATGCTCTCCTCAAGCGTGCCCACCCCACTGTCAAATTTACCACGGGTGAGCATGAGTACTCTCGCTACGGTTTCCGCAAGCTTATTGAGGGTCGAAACCTTGATATTCTCCAGCCTGATGTTATGTGGGTTGGCGGAATGACCGAGCTGCTGAAGGTCTCCGCCATGGCTGCTGCTTACGATCTGCCCGTGGTGCCTCATGCTTCCGGTCCCTACTCCTACCACTATGTTGTCTCCCAGACAAATTGCCCCTTCCAAGAGTACCTGGCCAACTCTGCTGACGGACACACTGTCGAGCCCGTCTTCGGGAACTTGTTCTTAAACGAGCCCATTCCTACTAAGGGCTACCTTGATGTCTCTATTCTCGATAAGCCTGGCTTCGGGCTGGAGCTCAATCCTGCTGCTCCTCTGATTCCCGCTGCTGCTATTCTGACCCCGGCACCTCAGAAGTCCCTACGAGCACCTGACAACGAGCAGGCAGCCAATGGCTCCACATAGATGTTTACGATTGGAGTGTTATATGATTTTTTTTCCCGCGTCTTTTTCCATGTTCATCAATTCTTCACCCGCTATATGATAGTCATTGTACATACATACATAGGATCACTTTATCCAATAGACTGAAAATTACGGATTCGACGTCACTATTGTCGTTGTAGACAATTATGTTCACAGAGTAGACATAAAACCCAGTTGAAAGTACTAATTACATTATTTTACCACCATCTTAGCCGAAATGAACTCGAGTTCAATTATGATTTGTTGAAACCAGAATTCGCCCTGCGGAATTGCCCCTCGATTTCCCCCACAGCTCGGTCTAACATCATCACGAAACCCCGAGATCTTATCGGAGAAATTCATGGAAGCCCACCTCGAGGGGAGAAAAGAAAAACACCTAGTCATTGAATCTCTACCAAACACATCATCATGGCTTTCCCTCAATTACTAGTAGGCAAGGTTGCTGCCATCACCGGTGGGCTCACAGGCATTGGACGGGTAGGTTAATTTATTAATGCCCAAACCGAAGATAGACTAACAAAATCACAGGCAATCGCCCTCGATTACATTCGTCATGGAGCCAAAGTTTCAATCAGTCACCTCGGCGGGCCCAAGGAAGATTCCTTACTGGAAGCACTGCGCAATGACGTGAAAGAAATCGAAGCCGAAGCAGCCACCCGATTCATCACAGTATCAGGCGACATTTCCCAGCCAGAAACTGGACAGAACTTTGTCGCAAAGACCGTCGAGGCCTTCGGTCGACTGGATGTATTCGTGAGCAACGCAGGCGTCTGTCAGTTCGCCGAATTCCTAGAGTAAGCAAAGCCTCTCCTATCTCCTCTCCCATCCAATCTGACAACCCAGACTCGAGCCCTCCCTCCTAAACCACACAATATCCACCAACCTCTCAGGCGCTTTCTACGCAACCCAAGCGGCAGCCCGCCAAATGGCTCTGACACAGTCACCACCCGGAGGCTCTATCATTGGAGTGAGCTCCATCTCCGCGTTGGTCGGTGGCGCCCAGCAAACGCACTACACACCCACCAAGGCTGGTGTCCTGAGTCTCATGCAGTCCTGCGCGTGCGCGCTGGGAAAGTATGGGATTCGTTGTAATGCGCTGCTACCGGGAACTATCCGGACGCAGCTTAATGAGGAGGATATGAAGGATCCCGTTAAGCGGAGTTATATGGAAGGACGGATCCCGCTTGGTAGACTTGGTCAGCCGAAGGATTTGGCGGGTCCGGCTGTTTTCTTGGCCTGTGAGGAGTTGAGTTCCTATGTCACTGGTGCGCAGCTTTTGGTTGATGGTGGGCTTTTTGTCAACTTGCAGTGATATGCACGAGTATACAATATATATATATGTGTGTAGGAAATTTCGCTTCATCTCACATCAGTGCCTAAACCCCAATTCCATACGCACGTAAAGCAACAGTTCCCCAAATGCCTCCCTTCTGCTCCTCAGACAGTCCTCTCTGCTCTAAAACTTGCTCCACGATAGACTGCCATCTTCCCCACGAGACATCATTCCCACCTCCCCCAACATTGCATACAGGCCAATCTGACCCAAACATAACACGCTCGGCCCCAAAAGCATCAAAAACAGCATCAGTCCACGGCTGAACACACTCAACTATCGTCATGATATCCAGCCCCGACTGGGTTTCCAGCTGCGGAAGTTCCGAAAACGCCCCAGAAAGCTTCATATAAGTCTTCGGAACCCGAGCCATTTTCGTAATAAGGTCCTTCCATTCCAGGAACTCAGGTTGTGAGCGCACATTCGCCAAGCGAAGATTCGGCTTACACATATGGTCTAGAAATGCATTTAGCCAGGTCAACACCAAGAGGACGTAAAAAACAAACTTATAACAATAGTCACAGCCTCAGCCTCCTGCACCCCCTCATAAACCCTCTCCATCATCTCAACCGCCTCCCTCAACTGTCCCAGCCCCCCAGACCTCGCATCAACCCCAAGATCAAACACCAACCCCTCCCTCCCCAACCACCTCAGCGCATCCACAAATCCACCGCCTACCATCGTACCACTAGGCTTATCCTGAACAAGATATCTGACTCCCCTTACCAACCCGAAAACATCACCCGCCCGCTCCCGCACAAGTCCCATGTACCGCGCCACAGCGTCCGCGCCAGCGGGAACAGGCGCCCACGGAACAATGCCCAGACACAGATCCTTGTCTGTGGGAGTATGTCCTTCGTCGGCGATGGGTGTGCCGCATGCAATGCGGGTTAGGAACGAGACTTCGTCCAGAGCATGTTTCCAGCCTGGAGTTGTATCAGTGAGCGAGGATAGTCGGTCTGTTTCGAGGAATATGAAGCCGCGGAGGTTTGGAGAAGATTTGGTTGCGTGTCTGTATTCGTTGACGCTGTGTTGCGCGCCTAGTGGGTTTGAGGGACTGTGCCAGGATAGGGTTTGTAGGTGGGTTGCGGGGAAGAGGTGGATGTGGGAGTCTACTATTTTGTGGTTGCTCATTTCGGTGTGTTTTGTTGTTCAACCGTGGGGAGATGTATGAGTTGTAGATTGGGGATTTAATTGATTGATTTGTTGTCATATGAGTTGTATTGCATTTGTCAAATTCTATTAGAAAGGGAAAAGTGCCAATGATCGATTTTGGGGTCACTCGGTGGTTGTTGTCCCGAATTCCCATCAGTGGAGACAGGCCACATATTATTATTCAACAATCAATGCTTGGACTCGGTACAATGGACTCAATCTTTGTGCCAATTTCCACTACAAAAGCCGTATCATCCAGAACAGATAAAGAAATTCATGTGCACGAGAAAGAAGCAGAGTATACATACACCAAGGGCATAACAGCACAAGGGCAAAAAGAGGAAAGCATAAGGAAACGTGAGAGAAAAGAAGCAAGAAAGAGACAGGTAGGACAGAAGTGATGTAAACAACCCCTTCTACAGGTAGCAGAAAGGAGAGGGTATGTATGCATACATGCGCTCGAAAGAGGCACGAAAGTAAAAAGAGGTTCAAAAGGGTAAAAAAAACAAAAAAAAGCTGAAGTTCACGCAATTCCAAGGGTCGTCTCCGCCATATTCAGGGAGCAGGATGGACCTATCGAGAGTATGCTTTTATACATGTTCCCGAAACCCGACACTGCTCCCATGTGTTCTATACAAAGGTTTCTCAATGTGTCACGTATTGAAGCATCATGGTATTGCCATTTAGTCATCCATGGGCTTGTCTTCCAGAGTGACTCTGTTAGGCTCGCTTTCGGCAATACTGCTTCGGTTGCTATCCGTACCAGCGGCGCCGACAGCCTGACCGGTAGGGAAATTGGACAGGCTACCAAGGCCTGGCTTGCGGCCGCTGTATCGAGCCGAAGAGCGAGACATGGAATTGCGCTTCTCAAACTCGGCGGATGCGGCGGCGGGTGTTGGGGTGGGAGTTGGAGAGCCGTCGGAAGCAGTTTCGGGCAGATCGGAAATCGGAGGTGGGCTGGGAGAGCCGGAGTGACCGCTAATGCTGGCAGCGGTTGAGGCAGGGGAGTCGGTAGAAACACCGTTGTTTGTTGGCTCGGCAACTTGGGGGTTCACGCTATTGGCGTGAACAGATGCAGAAGCAGGTGCGGACTCGTTGGTTGGCACGTCTAGACTAGTGCCGCGAACAGCTCTGCGGTCTGACGAGGTGTTGACATTGATTGGGAACCGGCCCATCTCGGATGCGCCACTAGAGCGGTCACGTCGATGCCTTGTTCGGGCGGCAGGGCTGGTAGCACGGCTGCGGTTGACAATAGCTCGCTGGCGTGCCTCCATCGCCGCACGTCGGTTGCTCTCGTCCGTGCTGATGGATCGCGCGCGAGATTGTTGGGTGGAGTTATTAAGCCCGAGTGCACTCGATTGGCGCTTGAGCTCACCAAATATGGCATCCTTATGGGCGAACAGGTCGCGGATCAGTCGGTAGCTGTGACGCTCGTTCATGGTCAAACTGCTCTCGAAGCGAGGGCGGAGAATACAAGGGGAGAAGGCCTGCGCCAGCGAAGTGATGTATTCTTCGTCGGCCGAGGTCAAATCAATCAGGCGTGTGAAGTGGGTCATAATTGCATCAAGCGTAGCGATATTCACGAGACGGAGTTGTCCAAGGGTGCTCTGCAGAACCTTGATCCGTCCTTCTTCGGTAGTCTCGTGGGCAGTTGTGGAGTAAATTGTCTTGATGATTTCGTAAACTTGCGAAGAAACAAGGGAGTCTGTTCGGTGATTAGCTTAATTTATAAGTCAAAATGACTGGCAAAACAAACCTGGCAACTCAAGCAGGTACAATCTCAGAACGCTTGCAATAACGGGAATTTCAAACTGAGGCAACAACTCGTTATAGTCGGCCTTGCTGTTGTTCAAAACGTAACGAAGCTTATGGGTGCGGCTTAGATCGACTTCGGTGAGCCAGATCATTCGCCGTGTCTCGTCACCTTCGAGTTCAGGGTAGCCTATGAAAACCTTTTAGCATCAATGAATCCAGCTAGGCACAAGCATATCTTACGGTTATCGAGGTAGGTTAGAATGGTGGTAATCAAAATTGGCACACGTTTGCGGTCAACACGGGCTCTGGCCTCCAGATCGACACCGAAATTTTGTTCTGAACAAGTTAGCACCATTTCTTATAAGAGTATTAAATAGCGCTTTACCTTCAACGGAGCCGTAGTAGTTTTCGTATGCTTGAATCCTTGGCACAAATCCACCAGTGCGGTAATTCTCAAGCAGATATCTCAAGTCACCAAGAGGTTGAATTGTCTCCTGGTACAACATCATATGGTCCACCGTGCTCTGCAAGTTGGGAATGACGTTACTGATCGCGCCAGAGAAGTCAAGAACAACAGCCTTGATGGCCTTGAGGCGGTCTAGCTCGCACTGCTCCATGTACTTGAGCTGGGTGATAACTTCTTCTTCCAGACGGCAGCGAATTTGGTCAAGCTTGCGCACTGCAACCTTGTACCGTTCATCCGCTTCCATTGCCTCTCTCCGGAGCTTCTCTGATGGTGTTTCGTTCGGGTAAGGGTTGTTGAGAGGATTCCAGCCAGACAGTATTTCGGAGACAGACGCAATAGGAGATTCGTTACCGCTGCCATCCTCACTGGATGCCACCGAGGTAACACGCATGAGAGGCTTCTTCTTCTCGGGGATGCCAGTGATCTGGAAAACTTTGGAGCGCCATTGGTAGTTCATCTTGGAGCTGTTGGCGAAGACGTTGCCCATATTGCCAACCAGGCGGAGAAGACCGTTGTCTACCATGTCCTGGCCGATCCTCTCCACTTGAGCGAGATTCTCGGCTTCCATATATTTCTGAATGTATTGTGCAATATCCGCACCGGTAGAAACGTTCAGGTAGGTACCGATGATAGGAACCTTTGCCTCTCCGAGCTTAATGTGGTCAAGCATATGAGAAAGAAGCTTCTTTAAGTGATCCGGGGGAAGACCCGCTCGCCCAGCTCGATGGGATCCTCATCCGGGTCCTCCTCAGCAGGAAGAACAATCTTCGGTGTAGGCTTGACCTTCGGGCTTGACTCGGGGTCCTGGAAGGCAAGTTTGTTCTCCTCCTCCAGGTCCTCTACGACACGGCACTTGTTGAAATAAGTACTGCGCAGCTTGCGGACCAATTCAGCTTGCTTGGTGTGTTCTTTGATGCGGGTCTGGAGGAGATCATGCGAGTACTGGACACGCATCTCATGCTGGTCGCCCCAGCGCCGAAAGGGAGCCACCACCAATTCACGGATGTTGTTGGAGATCTTCTGGTGGTTTCTAGATGCCTCGACCATCTCGGTACGGATTCCTTCATAAGCCTGCAGTGAGGTTCGCGCATTAGTTCTGTCATTTTGGTCTCGTTTAAATTCTTGAACTAACCTTCCTGACACTTGCACCATCGTCCTTGCCGAATCCCACCGCTGTCATCCGATCCACGCTCGGGGCAATATCTCCCATGCGGAGTCCATAAATCTCTTCCGCATCTGCACGCATGGAGGCAATGGTAAGGATCTGCCTGTTCTCCACCACTCCCTGCTGCAGTTTCCCGTACAGCACTCCCAGCCCGCTGGCATAGTCGGGGGTCCAGAACGAATCTGAGAAACCGGGCATTATGGCGGATAAGCGACTGCTTCAGACCGCTGAGCAGAGATACGTGATCGGAGGAAAAAGGGCAAGCGATCCGGGGTCTATCACTGGCGAGTTCGTAAATTTGTACGTTCGGAAGATAATGGGAAGTTGTTGGGCGGAGATAGGGCGCAAGCGAGAGTCAATCGGAGCGAATGCTTCAGCCACTGAGGCTCTTCTGGGTTTGCTAGGGGACCGGTGACACCGAAAGCAAATCAGTTGGAGTGTTGAACAAGTCAATCTCCAATTTTTATGATAGATGACAGCACGCAGAGATCGAGAAACCGATGAAGGGACGATCGCTTTGGAATGCGAGACAGAGCATAGGCTACTAAGCGCCGGGGTGAAAGGAATCTGCACAAATGAGCGAAAGCTGCAGCCAAGGTAATCGCGATGCGACAGGCAATACAAGCGAAAAGAAATGAGAGACAAATAAAGCTAGAATCGGAGTGCTGAAGATGTTGACGGATTTCCAGATCGCAAGCCTCGTCATGTGGCTCGTAATATTACGGTTATGTGACCATCAGGCACTTGTAGAACCCGAATACGTTGGTAATTTCCAGGTACCGTGGCGCCTTTGTCTCCACAAAACTTTGGATGCGAATCCACTTGGGCACAGTCTTTCCCTCTATTTTTGGGGTTGAAAATTACACCGTTATTGCAAATCTTTAGTTTTCGGTATTTTTGGGCTAGAGACATGGAAAAAGGGGGAGAGAGGCCTTTGTAAATGTTGTTTGCAATAAATAAAAGTCACTATAGATATCACAAAGCATTAGTATTGGATACAGGCATGTAGAAATCATCATTTCTCATGCAATATTGTGATACATATCATATTGCCCCTGGAGCCGTTGATCCTAGGTTCTTGGATTCAACGCTCCCCACAACCTTGAAGCATGCCAAGCCTAGAGGCTCGAGATTAAGATCGACACGATCTAGGTCTATATATACATATACACGGACGGAACATATTAAACGGTTCAATATTCGTGTGATATTCATATAAATATTATGGTATCGTTATTCTCCAAAGCAAACGGTTCATGTTGACCACGAATAAATGAGATGTACAGGAGGTGTGGCCATCTAGAACAAAAATAATAAAAACATTAGCAGAAGAACTTGTACGCTTTCTTCCACTTAGGCCATTGCTTCTGCTCAGCCCGTTCCTGCTCAATCAGGTGCTGGATGTCAAGTTCCCGACGACCGGTGGTCAAATCCACCTCGGAAGTGCGAACAAATTTGGTCTTGTACCAGAGCTTATAAGGGATGTAGAAAGCAATGATCACAGGTGCGGCCAAGTAGACCGAGAAGAAGTTGTACACCAACTCCCTGGTGGTCATCTCGGCATATCCAACAGGAGCGAAACCAACCCAGAACTGGGCAATCAACACAAGGATGTTGAAAATCAAACCGATCCAGGAGCCAATGACACCGGGCTGGGAGCGGAAAGCCAGCTCATCCAAGCTGTGACCCTGCTGTTTCCAAGCTTTGCGGAACAGAATGTGGGCACCGCACACGGAGCCCCAAGTGAAGATAGAGGACAGACCGGAGATAGCCATCATCCATGCGAAAGCAGTAGTCTGCTTATCGGAGGCGGCGAGATAGCAAAGCAAACCAAGGGCGGAGGCGACGATAATGGCAGGCAGGGGACGACCCTTGCGATCGATGTATGCCAAGAACTTTGGGGCTTGGCCTTGCTCGGCGAGAGCAGCAAGAGTACGCGAGGAACCGTAGACGGAGGAGTTTCCGACGGAAAGGACTGCAATCATAATGACAACGTTCATGATCGAGGGCAGGACCTTGATACCGGCGTTTTCGATGGCGATGACGAATGGAGAGGCCTTGGCGTCGGCAGAGGAAGATCCGCTGACCAGTTTTGGGTTGTCGTACCTGACCAAGAGACCGACGAGGGTGAGGGAAACGATGTAGAAGAGGGCGATACGCCAGAAGACTTGCTTCACGGCAGTAGGGAGAGACTTGCGAGGGTTGGAGGTCTCAGCGGCAGCAAGACCGACAAGCTCGGTTCCAGCGAAGGCGAAGGCGGCGTTGACGAAGACACTGCACAGACCCTTGAAACCGTTGTTGAAGGCACCTGGGTTATACCAGTAAGCGGCACCGATGTAACCACCCTCGGGGCCACCACCGCAGTTGATGATGATTCCAAGAATACTAATCAAGTCAGCCGCGCACTCAACTGATAGGAAGAGGACGTTGTTACTCACATGAAACCAATAACGGCAGTGACTTTGATAATAGAGAAGACGAATTCCGCTTCACCGTATCCTCGGACACCGAACATGTTGATAGAAACGATCAAAATCCAGAAGATAGTCACCCAGGCAGCGTTGGAAACGCCTGGACTCCAATAATCGACCGTGATTGACGCAGCGACAATTTCCAAAGGCAAGACAATGAGCCACTGAAGCGCATAGTTCCATCCCATGGCGAAACCCCAGGCAGGATCCACGAAACGAGTAGAGTAATGGGCGAAGGAACCGGCAACGGGGAAGAGTACGGCCATTTCACCTAGGGCATGAACTGTGCAGTAGAGCATGCAGCCGATCAAAACATAAGCAATCAAAACCGAGGCTGGACCACCAGCAGCCAAAACAGATCCGGAACCGACGAAGAGACCGGTACCTAGAATGTATTAGTCAGACAAACTTGAAAGACACGCAGACTGTGCATGCATACCGATAGAACCACCGATAGCAATCATCTGCAGATGACGGCCCTTTAAACGACGTTGTAGCGGGGAATGGGCAGTGTTGTGCGCAGCAGTCTCGACATCGAAGCCTTCACCACCTGCTCCTCTCTGGGCTGAAATAACATGATTGGGATCTCTCTTGAAACTGTCCCAGATTCGCTGACCCATGCCAGCTTTGGTTGCACTCGAGTCACCATATGCAGGTGGAGCATCCGCGCCAGTCTGGACGGTATGCTCATCAAACTTCTTCTTCTCCTCCATGGCGAGTTGATGAATCTAATCTCTTTGTTATAGCAAAAGGGAAGGAAACCGGTGAAGAGTAGATAGGATTCAATCGATTCAAATAGACCGAAAGAATCGTGATCTAAAAGAAAGCAAAGATGTTTGACCGGTTTGGAAGGGGCGGGAGTATAAGAATGGGGGGAGGGGAGGGCGAGGGTTTAAATATGACCCAGTCCTAATTCAGATAATCGAATATTTTACTTTCCTTGTCATATAATAATATAATAATCAGAGAAGGCCAAATCTATCTGAACTTAATGCGCTTGGGCCAACTAGACTTTCCCACTAAGTGCATTCAGAATGCAATCAAATCTTCTGATAACCTTGGCACGGTCTAGGTAACGCCCCGCCGAGAGCCCCGAGTGAAGGCAAATTACCCTCCTTTTATTGTTAGGCTTATTTAAATCTTATTTAATTCCTAGCTTTTATCTCAGCCTACCGAGTAGTTACTTATACCTACTTACATATGTACATATGTAGGCATGTATGATTCATTACACAATATGCGGGAGACTCGGTCTGCAAACGGTCGTATAACCCGGGCTCATGTTTCAGCTTTCATCTACGGAGTAATGGTTCTCAGATTCCCAAGATAAAGAGAGATAATTAGGGCGAAGGAAGAGTGGGGCCGCGCCCCGACTGGTATCTCTGTTTCCTCGCGTGATTTAGCCTGTCACAACGGGACGATCTCACCCCAGTTGTGTCTATTTACTACATATATGTTATTTGTATTCGTATGTTGTACACTTTACCATTGCTGACTCGTCTTACATCCTGCAACATACCTAATTAGCCAACGCGGAAATGAGATAATACAAGTTCAACTTGATAGAACCTAAACTACCTTCTGTTCAGAGAGAAAAAGCCAAAGTTGTTAACATCCCAAGACGGCAGGGATCTAGATACACTAAACCCAATTAGGATCTCTCCGCACTTGATAAAGTTGATAGTCGATCTTTACCCAATTGGATTTGCCTCGGGAGATAAGGATCATTCCTCTTTTGAATCCTTACAAGTACCTAGGTACCTATATCTTTTAAAAATAAAATAGAAAAGAAAATGCCTCATATCGTGATACTATTCGTCTTTTCAATATGCATGCAATATCCAGGAACAATAATAGTACTGTAGACACGTTGGATTCTTCTAGAGTTCCATGGGTAAGCACATGCATTCATTACCTTTGGATGGAGGCCTAAGTGATACCTACTCTCACCCCCTTACTTGGTATGGTCTTCCCGACGGAATCCGTTCCTGTGGCATGCACCCCGGGGCTACACGAGGAATATGCGTGAAATGCCATATGGTTCTGAGGTTGCCCCACTGAGGCTGGTTCGCAATTGACTTTCTGGTGGCCTCGGTACAGACTCTTGGCCCGGCATGGCATGAGTATGAAAGGGAGAAATATCATGGAATTGCCATCGGGTTCGCCGCTGGGCATGTCTAGGCCAGGTAAGGGATTTTGGGCTCCCAGATGGCACCATGGAACCCTGCGCTTAGGCACTTTGAGGCGATTCTATTCGCGTGTGAGTTCGCTAGCCCGTGGCGGTCTGCCACTGATATGCATGGAAGCACGGGAGAAGCACACCCGGGCGCCAACAGGATGTGTTGATTCCTTTGTAGGGGATCCCATCATGTGGTGTTCATCAGATATAGCTGTAATGATTGGTTTGGATTCGGCGCTTTAATCAAGATGCTCGTATCCTCGCTGGGCAACTTGCAGGTCATTTCAATCCGCGACCTCTGGTAGGTCCAAGATTGTACCCTCGCACCTAGGGTCCACGAATAGAGTTTCAGAGACAGCCATCGACCATACCCGGGCTTGAGGATCCCGGTCGAAGAAAATATGAATCACATTTGACCGGTCCTCCAGATCCCATGTCAACTGGCTGACACTTCCTCTGGAAGCTCTTTGGGAGCGAATCGAAAATGGTAACGTGCGCTTTCTTATCTTGCAGTATCTCTGTATCCACTCAGCATTATCTACATCCTGGACCACCTTGCCAAGAGAGCTTTTTTTATTCAAGAATAGTGAGACATACCGTGGCTCACATCCTGGTTAGATAGTATGGGGCGAGAAAGGGACAAATCCTCGGCGTGGAGTTTCGAACAGTTGATGCTTGTATACCAGCCACACAAAGCCTCCATAAATTGATGGCGCTCAGTGGCGGGCTCCTACTGGCCACGCTCCCGCAACAGATAGCCACGGTAACATCGGGTTGTATTGGCAATGTGTTCGGCTGACCTTTGCCTCTAAAAGGGAAACAAGGCCGACTCAAAGAGTAGCGGCAGCGCCCGGTTTACGTATGCCTGTAATTTATCGCTTAGAAACCCCCATAATCCCAGATGTAGCAAAAAGAAAGTTGGCACTGCTTTTTTGTCTTTTTGGGTTCCACGGTTAAATTTTAGTGAATTTTAATATTCTTTCCCCGCAAATTGGCCTCCCAAACATCAACATTTGAAAATACAAAAGGAACACTTACGGAGTAAAGCCTTGGTTTCAAAATTCCAACCCACACACGATGCGCAACTAATATTCCGCCACTTCCCGTGCAGAGTAACCCGCCTTACAAGCTTATTTCTCTTTATCTCTTTTTCCGCTCTACATTCTGTATTGGCGTATTCGTGGTTTATGCCAAGTCGGAGCTCCCCATTCAGGACCGTGAGGCTCTTGGTATTTCTTTTGTCTCACTCCAAGACCGAGCTAGATATCAGCTCGTCTCAAATTGCTCGAAAATAAACTAACCGAAACAAGAAGGATCCAATATAAACCTGGAGTCGACTTTAGGTGAGTATAAATTGCGGGGGTGATTTTCTGTTAGGTAACAGTTTCCACATAGTCGACTTGGAGTCTGGGGAAGACGGAACACTAATGATTATCAATTACCCCAGAATATCAAGTAAATTTTGGACCATGCCTATTCAACATCCATCGCTATCCGTTGGCATATCATGGCGCATCCCATGCCTGGAGACTATTATCACCCTGGTACTTTGTGCCCACCCCAAAGAAGGCTGCCACTTTATTTTACTTCAGATTGGCTCTTGGGAGTCTCCATCATCTCCGTGGGCTGATTACATTGGCTACAGTTATTGTTCGATTCTGTCTTCCGTCGTACATATGCAAAGGTAGACTTTCACTAGCACCGGGCCAGTGTAGGTTTGATCTAGGCGCTATAGACCGGAGAATTTATCGCAGATGGGGTACATGATCAACTTGTATATTGTCGTTTGATATCGATCGCTGAGCTTGTGTCAATCACCCAAGTTTTATGCGGCCCAGAGGAGCTATGAGGTAATCTAGAGTTTTTTTTTTTTTCCTGCGCCACGACATTGAGGGAAAAATGCGTATGAATCATGATTGAGCATCGAAGCGCACGTGTATCGAGCCCTGGGTTACCAGGGACCCATTGACCCATCAAAGCTTTACAATATCCGGCTGTAAACCGTAAATAGCGTGCGGTAACCGGGGCTACCCGTTGATAACCTGGTGTTAATCAGAGGCAGCTTACCTACATGCAGGTGCGGGGTGGAAGCTTATTTGTGGCCTGTAGTCTTTGATGGAGACCTGGGATGGTGGTCCTTGCAGTCCTGCTTGGTCTCTCTTGATGGAGTTTGAAGTTGGCCCTTGGAGTCAGGGGGAAGTATCAAAGAGCTGACGGTGCGAAGGGCAGTGCATTGTAAATAATTGTCCAGTTCTTTGGCCATGGATGACAACCATCTCCCCTCTGATCTACAGGTTCCTGAGACTAGAAGGCAGCTTACGCAGACGACCGGCGTGGAAGTTCATCAATTCAACGATTTTGTTCTATCTCGTTGCATTTGGTATCATTAATACACAGAGGTTTCTTTTCATCACTGCAAATTTGGTATCTCGATCATGAGCTTGCCACGGGACCTTCGCCACCAGGGATCAACTGTTCTGAGAGTTATTTGGGCACAAATACATTCAAGGTGGGCTAAACATACCATGCAAATGTTGTTTCCGTTCAGAAGGAGCTTGGGGAGCTTGATCTGGGCACCAGTGTAGTCGCTAAGACAAATTAGTATAGGAAAACGAGTAACTTTTCGGCATATTTGCCGATAGGGTATTCAATGGAGAGCTAGCAGCATTGTGCAGAAACTGCCCGGGGGTGTAGAAAGCAAAGCTAGAAAGCAAGTTTGACCACGAAGTGATAAGGCTATTGCAAAAAGAAAAACATCAAATCACATACAATTCTGTCACATCTTCCATGACCATGTCTAGAGCCAAGATCAGTGCCTAGTAAAACCACAGGTGCTCGCACAGGGATACTCACTGACGTAGTCATCGAAACCGAGCAAGGTTCCGGAGAATTCTTTACAAGTGTCAGTAGTCAATCTGAGCCGTGAATTAGAGCATTCAACTGGGGCTGACCTTTATCACCCTTCATGACAACCCAAATCCGGGAGCCGACACACTTATCAATGAGTTCTATCAAATGAGTTGGCGGGGTCATGGCTTTTTTTAGGTAATTAGGCACAAACCAAGAGGGAGAAGCTGGGAAGCCATGATATTGGGAAGCAATGTACACGACTGAGCGAGTGTGAATTTGATCAATAACTTTCTGAACTGTAAAAAACGAAGATGATCAATCAAATCGTGTGGGCAAGATTGATATAGAAAAGGACGTGATCGTTTGTCGCTCGGTACTTGTGATGATCCGCCCCGGTCCACTAGGCTAAATATGGGTTAGTGGCAACCTCAAAGTTGATTTCCGCGTTTGAAGCTCCGCGGCATATGGTATCCCGTCTCTAGTTATTCTCTTGATTTGCTTTTATTTCACAGGTCTATGGCGAGATGAATGCTTGTTCCACATCAATTGAAGCTTGATCAATTCTTTCGCAAGCATTCAAGCTAGACCACTATGCTTGTCACGCAGTATGCCAACGCGGCCAAACCTTTCAGCAAGTCGGAAGACCCGATCTTCGATTGCAAACCTCAGCGACCATCTTGGTAGATCCTTCTCTCATGGGTTGATCCGATGGGGGGTCTGTGAATGGCGGTGAGCATATCCTGTCCATTCTCTGTGCTTTTGGTGGCGGTATTCTAACAAAATTCCAGTGACGCCGTCTCTCCGAAACTCCGATATCGAAATGTGCGAAGTCCGCGCCCTTACTACACCCTTTCTGTGACCTCACAACATAAGCGGGCATTTTCTAATGCTTCCCATCAGAGGGGTATATGGGATGAAGACGACGAGGTTCCAGAGCCGGCCCCGACCAAACGAAGTGGACGCCCACTCCAACCAACCCAGCCAGTCCGCGCTCGCCCTACCACCCATCGGCATATAGGTGGCTTGCTCCGATCAAGGTTTGAGACAAAGCACTTGGCTGAAAATTACGCAATCCTTAACAAACGGTTCAATTCGCTGCCTTTGTTCAGCCATTTTGTCGAGCTTTTTATTCAATTAAAGTACAAAAATGTCGATGATCTTCTTTCTGAATGCGAACTAGATCGTCTACGCTATGAACTTGAACATCAAGCTCTCTCGTCATCGTTCAAGAACCAAGTTACTGCACTGATCTCACGAATTACAAACCGTGTCCTTGAAGCGGAAGAGATCACTCAGTTGTGTGTATCCGAGTTGAAAAGCCTTTCAAACTCCATGGAGCAGCGTAGGGATTATGTGATTGCACGCAATACTAATAGAATCTTCGAAGCGAATGTGGTCACCCAAGAATGTGTGGCTGAGTGGGAAACCCTGTCATTCTCTATACTAAAACGTATCGCCACTGTGGTTTCACAAAACACAGATCGAGTTTCCCAGGCAGAGAGGATAACACAAAGTTACATTGCTGAAGTAACCCATTTGTCGTCCTCCATGCTAGGATTGGAGCGCATTCAAGCTGCTGTCTCAAAGGCAGAAAAGAGCAATAAAACAATCGATCATGATTTCTGCGCTACTGTTTTTACTCAAACCTCAAAATGGACACAAGAGCTGGAACAATTAGAGGAGACTATCCAGGGTTGGCAACGCGACCTTCGCGTTTCTAAAAGCACAATGTTGGAGCCCCTAGTCAATATATCTGAGATATCAATCCGCCGGCTGCGAAAGACTCTCAGAGATGGGTTTCTGCGACCCCGGAAAACCGCGAGAAAGCACATAGATGATATTATTCGTCGATACGAGGAATTCCAAACCATCTACGAAGAATTACAACTCAAAAGTTCGATAGTGCGCCGCAACCAGTTCGTCAAAATGTTATGCGCACACCTGGAGCAAAGTGAGAACTTGAGCTTAGAGGATAGATTGGCTTTTCGCAACTTCATTACAACCTTCGATGATGATAGTTCGGAATTTGGACAGGCGGCTCATATGTGGCGTTCAGCGTGGCGCGAAAGTTGGAGGCTCGACAATAATCTTCAAGAAAGTCAATTCTGGAACCTGAAAGATTTCACCTCCTCCTTTCCCACAGAAGACCCTACTCACATCCTGACCAACTACGCACTGAGCGCTTTCGATCCAGATATACCTCGGATTTTGGAAAACAACGCAATCGAATTTTCCGATCAGCTCCAACAAAAATACAATTCTCTCTGGAAGTTCGCAGGGGCACGCAGTCCTGAGTTACACATTTATTGGCGGCAGTTGGATGTTATTGCGCCAATACAGCTTGTTGACCTCTTAACATGGCGCCTTTCCTGCGATGTATGGTATCTTTACATCAGTCTCCGTGGTGAGTGTGGAAGACTGTGGGCTTGGATTCCCACAGACGAGATGGTATACATCGCCCAACGCGTACGAACGTGGTCGAACCAATTCCAAGCTCATCGCAGCGACTTGCGAGCGCTTCATAATCAATTCATCGATCTGAATTGGTTGCGCCTTCAATCGGAAAGCAAACTGCACTCAATGAAAGAACCGGTCCATCTGTCTGGAAGATTTGAGATCATCAATCCACTAAGCCAAGATCCTTCTCGTTTCGCGCAATGGACTGAGCAGATGGCTCGCTATGCTGGGGAGGCTTATATCTACCAATGCGTCGGCCGAGTTAAGCCATTGTTTTGGGAAACGCTCTACGACAAACTCGAGGCAATTGACACAACCCCATCGTTGGCCTTAAGACTTCATTCTTCAATGACGCCCAAGCCAATGTTCATTAAATCCATTCGTGATAAGCACGAAAGATACCCCCGGATACACCATCATAATAATACTTCTCACATATCCCAGAGGTCGATCCTACCTCGACCCTTTTCGAAAAATATATTGACTGTCTGGCTTGAATCCAAACTCAATCCGCCCTCTAGCCAGGGCGGTGATCAAGCTGCCAATGAATTGTCTCCAGGCCTGAGAATGGAACTCGAAGCTCGCATTATCCCAATAAAGCTCAAAAGTGACTGGCTGGAGTTCAAAAATCTTGCAATATTGGAATGGCGGTCTTGGGCCAAACAGCACGGCAGCAAACCCACAACTGGTCCATCTCTTCAACACCCGGAGGACCTGCCAAAAGAGTTTTTAAAGAAATTCTTGAGCCATCCTAAGGTGAACAGGGAGGATCTCAGCGCAATCCATCTAACTAATCCAATAAGCGCAGCAAAGGGAGCACAGCTCGCGTTTGACTCATTCCACAAACCAGACACACGGCTGGCCCTCGAGAAAAAATTCGGACCACCCCCAGCTCCTGTCCCCATCGAAAAAAATCCGCAATTCCCCTTGTTTGAACGTAACACACACGGATTATGGACCAACGACAGATCAGATTCAAGACACTTACCTGTCCTCACACAAGATGTGTTCAACGACTGGCAAAATTTCCAGCACCTCACATGGAGATCATGGGGCCTACCCGGGGGTCTACTCACGAAAAAGTCGCAAAGGATGCTCAAAGAAAGACAAATCAAGGATATTATGTGTGACTGGGTCAAGAGACAACAACCACTGTACGAAGCAAACTCAAGTGCCATCCAGGGTACCCAAAGGGAAAATCACGATTCACTCAAGTGCTCAAAGGTTGGATCAAAACATCCGCTGGCTGAGCCAACAGTCAATCAAGGCAGTCAAGAAGATAGCCCGCTCATTTACGGGCCATCACCTAGCCCCTCTGATGAACCGACTAAAAGGTGCATAACGGATTCCGAGTTCAAAAACGTGCATGATGATCGTTTCCATTCCATGACTACACGGAAGACACTCATGCCTCACGAAATGGCTCAACTAGTGCAGCTCGTTGTGAATTCCGATGCTAAACCCACGGATATCTCGCCAACTCAAATGGGAATGCATTCAATTGTGGACGCTGGTTCTCAGGCAGTCGCAAAAAGTCCACTGACCCCTGATCAGGTTTTCAAGAAGCTATTTTCAGTTCCAAAGCGCCAGGACGCATCACAGATTCGCAATAACCTGCCAGGCGTCAGGCCTCAAAGTGGGTCACACCACAAGGCCCAAATGGGACGACCACCACGCATATGGAAAAGCGGCTCAGTCTCGGCAGGAAAGAGGCCGCAAAATCCCTCTGCCGCCGTCATCTTTGGCCACGAGCCACGAAACCTGAATGGGCGTGAATATAGCACAATTGCAAGCTCTGACCGCGTGAGCTGCCAACAAACCCGTGATGTGAGCGACGTGTCCCTTTCTGACCAGTCACTCGGAGATGACATGTCTCCAGTCACATCTACCAATCCCCGGTCGGTTGAGGAGAGTGTTTCGACAGATGAATCGATTTCTTCTACGGACGCTGATTCCAGTGCAAATGCCTCTGCATCGCCTCTGTTCTGGAGTCATAGTTCGCAACAAGGCCCCAATGGCCAGAAGCTCGTTGTTCATTATTGCCGGACGCTTCGAAGTACTGAAGATACTATTCCCTACTTTCTTGGAAGCAAGGTCATTGGGTTTGACATGGAGTGGAAATCATCGGCCTCCAGCTGGGACAGTATCCAGAACAATGTCTCGCTGATTCAAATTGCGAACGAGGAGCGCATTGCCCTTTTCCATATTGCACTTTTCAAGCCCGCACGTACTCTGGACGATTTGGTTTCTCCGTCCTTGAAACGCTTGATCGAGTCTCCTGACGTCACAAAAGTTGGGGTTGCAATCAAGGCGGACTGCACGCGGTTGCGGAAATTTCTCGGTATAGATGCGCAGGCTACTTTCGAGCTTAGCCACTTGTTCAAGCTGGTCAAGCACGGTAAGGACAACCCGAAATTGGTGAATAAGAGAGGTGTCAACCTGAGCGACCAGGTGGAGGAACATTTTGGTCTCCCTCTTGATAAGAGTGAAGATGTCAGATGTGGTGACTGGACTCGACCCTTGACCTACCGAAAAGTTCAATGTGAGTGGTGACATGCAGACAAAGCCTTCCAAGCCAATACTAAACTGATCTTTGTCTGTTCTTATAGATGCTGCTACAGATCCGTATGCTTGCATTCGTCTCTTCAATGCCATGGAGGCCAAGAGACTGGCTATGGACCCAACACCGCCTCGTCCGGTGCATGCTGAACTCAATCAACCCATTGTTCTTCCACTTAGACAAGCGGTTGGTCGTGTGCAAAAAGACAAACCAGCTTGATCTTGTACATACAGATATTCGTATATCTAGTTGTTTCTACGATACTCCTCTCTGCTTTGCAAAAGTTCTGGCGTAGTTACAATGCGAGCATATCTTTTATTCTTTTCATGGGACTTTGTGCTTTATATTTTCAAACGGCGTGCATTTGTATCGTTTAATTTATACTACTTGCTTTGTCTGGAAATATGTACATGGGTCGTGTTTTGGTGTTAAAAAAGGTATTTCTACATATGCACATACCATGAACATATTCGTACTAAGCGTTTAGATTAACCTGGGCAATAGAACTCAGAATCTTGGGCTACCATGTCATGGTCAAAATGAATGGGAAAACGGGGGTATATGTTTATCAAAAGTAAGTATATCAACAGCTATCGGCCGCACCAATGTCTTCGGACATATCCACAAGGAGAACGGCAGAGGCGGTGGCTACATTATTGACTCAGCCAGAAACACCGTTACCCTCTCAAAGGAAGTACTTTGGACAGTAAAACCTCCTGACGACAGAGAGGACACTCAGGCTTCTCACGAACCCAGTCTCGAACACAAATCCAACAAAAGACATGGCCACAGGTTGTAACACTGGGATCTTTAAACATCTCCAAACAAAGCGTACACTTCCGCTGCTGACCCTCAGGGATCCACGAGACAGCACCAGGGTCCTCCTCGAGATCATAAAGAGGCATAGAAGCAGGGAGCAGCGGAATAGCTGACGGGTTCTGGATCGAAGCAATCACAATTCCCTTTGAAGAAGATTCGCCTGCATCCGCAGACTTATCATCTTCCTCGATCATACTAGCGCCTAGCTTTCGAGCATGCAGGAATCCCTGCACCGCAATCTGCAGCACCATCAACACGCCCAGCACCTCGTATCCGATGCGCTGCTCATTGTCATCAATCTTCTTGGTGAAGACATAGCGCAAGCGCCAGAGCCGTTTAGAGAGATGATAGTACGAGCCCGTAAAGTAGAAAGTAGCAATGCTAAGGGCGTAAATAGGGGAGACAGATGTAATCGAGTCCAAATGTTCAAGGAGATACTGCTGAATTCGCAACTTTGTAAAGAACGGCCGCTTAGTCGGCATTGTTGAGAACTGGGGCTTATTGAGCAGGCCAGCCTGCTGAGCCGCACGGAATTGTTCACGCGCGATATTGCGCTCGAGCTTGTTGCGAATTCGCTGCCGCAGTGCCGGCAGGAGTCGCTGTAGTGTCCATGGTACAAGGATGCTGCTGAGGATGTAGCCCACACGTCGGCCTATGGAGGGTAATTGGAGAGTATCGTCTTCTAGTTGGACTAGGTCGCAGTATTCTTCGCCTAGGGTGCGATTACCGATGGCGGTTGTGAGAGAGAAGTAGAGGAGTTCGGTGATGTGTTTGATGGCGTCGGAATGGGTATGGGCGTATCGGGCGCCGCGGAGGGCTCGCACAATGCCTTGTGATTGTTGGATTAGGCTTCCTGTAAGGAAGGCATCTTTCTCGTGCGAGCGAATGACATCTGGAGAAGTTGCGAAAGGGTAGAAGTGTGAGGTGGATGTACTGAGGGCCGAGCTTGGGTTTGGGAGAGAGAAGTGGGAATCATCGTCCGCCATGATGAAGTTGAAATTGAAGCTCTTATGTGTTGGGTGTTATTGGGTTTGCATCCCGATGTCCAGACAATTCAGAGACACGATTCCCCAGCTTTGGAGATAACCCCGGAGTTGACATGATGGTAATGCCTCGGCTCTAGTCCCGTGACCGCCGAGCCGATGCCGGTATTGTGTCATGTGACTTGTCCGACACTATGACTAATAAATTACAACTACGTCACCTGATGCGGTTTCACGTGGAGAATATTACCATACCATTACTGAATATTACCATACGCCGCACCCGGCTCCACTATTGTCTGGTACTTCGGAGGTACCTTTCTGCATGATTTAAATGCGGGAGGCTTCCAGTGGCTGAAAAAGTACCCTCGGTACCGCGTGTGTATCCCCCTTTGTTTGATTGCTTCCAGGGTCTTGTTACAAGAGTATAAGTTGTAGAGTCAAAGAGAAAAGAATAACACAATTACTCATTATGATGGCATATGTTTTATACATTGTGGACATTCAATGTAACTAATAGTTATGATAGGCTCAAAAGGTTCTTACTATGTCGATCCAGTCAAAAAGATCTCCCCCCCCCTGAGATGTGCTTCTAATTATACCAAATCCGACCTGTGGAGTTCCAGACTCTTCACTAGTCCAGCGCGTACCCTCTCTCCGCTTATTAAAATTGCACTGAAAGCGGCTTCACGAAAAGTCTCAATTCACATCGGCTCACCCCTAGTCATTCTTTTGAAGGTCTTGTCATATCCCCACGGGGTCTTTGTTTTTTTACCCCCTCCAACTCTCAACTCCCTACACCCCTCTCCTGATCAATGGAATAATGGGTCCTGATCAACATGCTCAATTGGATCCCTTTGGGCTGATCTTCCCATTGCCCCTACGTATAGCTGCCATTTTGGTTGCTGGTATGTGACCCATTGTCGAGGGATTCAAGTATCAGGCATACTAACAAAGGAACCAGGTTTCTGGGGATGGGGTTTGAATCTTCAATACCTGGCGAGAGCCAACATTGTAAGTGACCACCCACGCGACCACACCACATTCGATAGATGCTCACCAGTCACTCAACAAACAGGACGTTCCGGCTCTCATAAAATATCCTGCCCGCACATCCTCTTCCCAACGCCCGCAGCATACCGCCGTCTATCGCCTGGCGACATGCTTCACCATCCCACTTGTCCTCTGGTTCGTTGTCTTTTGGCTAGCAACCCGCCGGTCTCCTGAGTTGGTAGAGCGACTGGATTGGATTCCGCAGTCGGTCTTTATTATCCTCCTCCTTATTCTAATCTGGCCCTTCAACCGTGCCTCCCGTTCCGGCCGAATTCGCTTCCTTTTGACCCTCAAGCGGATCAGTATTGGTGGCTTGGCGGAGTCTCAGGATGGCAAGTTTGGTGACATTCTGCTGGCAGATGCCCTGACTAGCTACGCCCGTGTCATTGGAGACCTCTACATTAGCTTCTGCATGTTCTTCACCGATGGCATCGCCGCCACGTCTAAGCCCAACCGGGCCTGCGGAAGCGAAATCGTCGTTCCGATCATCCTAGCTGTTCCCAGCTTGATCCGTCTTCGCCAGTGTTTGACTGAGTATGTGCGTGCGCGCCGGACGACCACGCGGAGAGAGACACAGAAGGGGAACCAGCACTTGGCCAACGCCCTCAAGTATGCGACTGCGTTCCCTGTCATTTGGATGTCCTCCAAAATGAGGAACTATAACCCTTTGGAATTCCGCGGGTATAGCGAAATGAGCATGATGCGTTTATTGTAAGATTAGAGCCCACCCCCATCCATGCCCACGCCTAACGCCTGCAGGTTCATATTCTCTTTCGTCAACTCCGCCTATTCATTCTGGTGGGATGTGGTCAAGGATTGGGACATGACGCTCTTCTCGCCTGAACGCCGCAATATCGACCATCCCTACGGACTCCGGCGATACCGCTACTTCCAATCTGACAGGATGTACCACTACGTCATCGTCGCGGACCTTGCGCTCCGATTTTCATGGCTCTGGCGCATTGTTCCAGGCTTTGGCTGGATCCCCGAAACAGAGAGCGGTCTCTGGATTCTCATGTTCCTAGAAGTCGCGCGACGCTGGATGTGGGTGTTCTACAGGACTGAAGCTGAATGGAGTAGGTTTTCCCCTCGCACTCATCCCTGATCCTAACGGTGTGACATGCACATCATTTTGGTTCTTGAAATATTAGCTTACGCCTTTGTGCAACAGTTCGGAACACACATGGCCCTGGTCCGGATGATGTCCTCCTTGGCGAATACAACCACAAGTTCGACGCCGACTAAACTTGCCCTCTCATCTTCGACCACATCTTCAAGCCACCAGGAGCGCGAATGAGACACAGATTTTTCCCGTTCACCATACAACGACATTTGAGTTTGCGGGCGTATGATTCATATGCTCTTTCACCAACTCCAGGTATCTAATGCTAGAGCAGCGATAGGTACAAGACCTCAGTCTGCTTTTCCTTTATTTTCGGCGTGTGGAACCATCCCATGTCCATGTACGCCTATTGTTTGTTTTTGGCCTTTACCCGTTGTGGTTAATTACCTCGATCATACTGATTTCCTAGACTCCTTGGATTGATTGAAGCGTGTGACATGCGTACGCGTATTCGGTGTGCTTTGTGAGCTCGACGTCTTGCGGCAAGCATGAATTTCCTTTTCAGTTCTTTCTGGTGACTGTCTCCCTTTCATTGTACCAAATATCCAGGGTCAACCTGGTCCCACGTCTGCATCTACTCTGCCCTTTTTTGTCTCATTCATTACATATACCACTTCTTCATTGGATCGCACTTTCTGGTCTTTTCTTTCATCTTTTCTCGGGGCTTGGTCACACAGTCTTGGGTGGCATGTATTATATGCTTGTTTTGGGATGTTGGTGGTTGGCCAACTATTATGATTGAAGACTTAATGTATGGTCTGTAGGCAAGCTCAGACGCTTCGCAGAGCATTTTAGATGCGCAATAAAAGCTGATTACCATAGGACTCTTGTCTTTGTTAGAGGATGCTTCTTTTCAATTACAAGCCTTGTTGCAACTGCATGTCTGTACACATTCATTTGCACACATGCATGGATTTAAAGGAAAGTCTAGGTTGGATAGATGACCATACAGATGAAGTCTGAAAGAGTAATTGCGGGATGTGTTCGTCTAAAGAAATAGTCCATTGACTTTTAAAAAAAAATAACATCACAGACAGACTCGTTGACTTCGTGCAAGCATCCTCTCCCAACAAGACGGTATGGGTAGATAGAACGAACACAACCGTAGATAAATCTTAGGAGATATCAAGGCGGACCAGCCAGACAAGCCGCTGACCTATCCATGTTCCTCTCCTAATCCACCATGTCTTTTCTTGCCTTTCCTGCTCATTCGTTCAGATTTCCCCTCGCCTCGCTTAATTTCATATTGCTCATGTCATACATGTAGTTTAACTTTTGATATGTTCACATTTGAACATCCACACATCAACATTATCGGAATAATATCAAGCTAGCCCCCCTGGGGGCTATAGACCCCCGGGAAAGCGGATGAGGGCCGAAATCATGCATGGAACCCTTACAGGTTCTTCTTGATGATGTGGGCCCTGGGGAGAGTGCCAGCGCGGTCGATAGCGTTCTGGCGAGCTCCGGTAAGGCCGTGCTGGGTGTTAATGCCTTCAACACGGTGAGTGGAGTTGATGTTCTTGACAAGGGTGAGCTGCCAGCAAGTGGCACCACCCTGGCGAGAGGTGATGGTGGAGGAGGCAAGGAAGTACTCCCAGATGCGGAACCAGCGCTTGCCGTACTTGGCCTCGACCTTGTCACGGTTGCCCATCCAGTTCCGGTACCAGCGCCAGAGGGTAGCAGAGTAGTGCACACCAATGGTGTCGACGGCCTTGATCTCAAAGCCGGCACCCTCGAGGCGATCCACAACAAAACCGAGAGGGGTACTGGCGTCGGCACCGGGGAAGATGTACTTGTTCATGAAAAGACCCCAGATGAGGTCCTCGTACTGCCAGGACTTGCGGAGACCAGCGATTTGCAGGAAGAAAGTACCATTGTCGTCGAGCATGTCGTAGACCTGAGACAAGAAAGAAGAGAAGTGGCGGACACCGACGTGCTCAGCCATCTCGAGACAAGTGATCTGTTGGTATCCACCATCGACACGGGGAGCATCGCGGTAGTCGGAGCAGATAATGCGACTCTGCTCCTCCTCAATACCAGCCTTACGGAGACCGTTGTTTCCCCAGGCAGTTTGGTTGCGACCAAGAGTGATACCAGTAACGTGAGCACCGTAGTGAGCCGATGCGTACTTAGCAAGGGTTCCCCAGCCACAGCCAAGGTCGAGAATCTTATCACCGGGCTTGACGCCAATCTTCTCGCACACAATAGCAAGCTTGTTGTCCTGGAGCTCCTCGAGAGTTTCTTCCTTGTTGATATCACTGATGATACCGGAGGTGTAGATCATGCGGGGACCCAGGAACCAAGCGTAGAAGTCGTCACCTCGGTCGTAGTGGTCACGGACCTGCTCCTCGTCTAGAGTTGAATTAGAAACTGTGTAACAAAAAACAGTAGACATATGAGATGAGACGTTCTTACCTTGAGAGCGAGTGTGCATCAGCATCTCGGGGATGAAACCAAACAGGAAGTGCTTGAAGAGGCTGGAGGTGAACTTGAAGTTGGCCCAGTCGTGACGGTACTCGAGAGCCTCCAGGGCATCGCCCTTGAAGTCAACCTCGCCGTTGAAGTACTTCTCGTAGAAGACAACCATGGGAATCTTGCTCTTTCCGCGGTAGGTAGCGCGGTCGTGCTCGCTGTGGAACTGCAGATAGTGCTCGACAGGAAGGCCACGGTACTTGGCCTTCTCGGTCTTGCGAGGAGAGATGGAGGAAGAGACAGCCCAGAAGGCAACCAAAACGGGGACACTGGTGAAGATAGCAAAGAAGATGGTGGTGTAGAAGCCTCCACCGACCTGGCGTGCCAGCCACCAGGGCACCAGGATGAACAGAGCAATCAGCAAGCCATTGGAGAAGCTGTCGCTGCCGGGTGAGTCGGCGGGAACCGGGGCATTCTTGATGGAGGGGTACTGGATTGGAAAAGCAAATTAGCACCTAAAATGACACTCGCCTCGCGGGTAGCTCTAGCTGTGGACTTACCAGGGTAGTGGGCACACCGCAATCGAAGTCAGGCTTGGTCTGCTCGGGGGCAGCCGGAGTCTGAATATACTCGAACTCCTCAGTGGAGTCCGGATGAATGGTCGTCATGGCGGCTAGGCGTCAATTGAGGGGAGTGGGAAAGAAAAGGAGAGGCCAGAGAGTAAATAAGAAGATATGGCAATTCTGGGGCGGTGTGGGCTAGAACAAGGTACCTATAATGTACCTGATTGGTACCTGTTGTCCCGTGCGTAGGTTAGCTGAGGACTTGGTACCCGCCAGGTACACCGAGTTTACGGGCATTTTCCTACGCTGACGTACCTTCACTACCTTGAAAAATACCTTAATTTAGTATTTTTGATCCTTTCTTGATTCCGTAGCTTTGATACAATATACAAACGAAGCTCTTCTCCATCTTTGTTAATCAATTGGACAGCAATGGAGCATAGTTCAAATCTGGTACTGCCTACGTGGTCCCTGACGGAAATGCATGTGCGACCTCGTCTGTGGCTTGGCGAGAGATCATCATAGTGGAGTGCGCCTGAAACAGTATGATCCGCGGTTGAAAAAGAATATCCAATTAAGATACAAATGGTCCCTTCATTTCCAAAACGCCCATTCGATTTGAACCTATGAATCAATATCTCTAATACCCATACTGTAACAAACTTGTAATTAACAGAACAATTCCTTACAAAGTGAGCTGGAAGTTATCGGCTTCTTCATCTTCCTCGAATGTCGGCAGTTGCTCTTCTGGCTCCTGGAAGCTCTCCTCTGGTGTGTCAAAGCATCCAGCAGCTTTGCAACGGGTCCACATTTCCGAGTCCAGCGGAGGCGGTCCGTACAACTGCATGTAGGTTTCAGGCGACAAGGCTTGGGAGGTCTGAGGCTTCTGGGCCTGGGCGGTCTTCTCCCGTAGATTCGCTGACACACTACGTCCTTTCGAATAGCCAACGGTTGTTCGCGAGTTGACCGAGGCAGCAGTGTTGCGCATAGAGGAGGGGTTGGATGGGGCCCTAGCGTGTCTCTTGGGAATAATCAGGGCCGATGCAGATGATGCAAGTGACGACACTCTGGGCTTTGGGGTTGAAACAACCCGGGGAGTCGTGGTTGCCAGAGAACCGGAAAGGGCTGCGGCAGCCTCACGAGATCGAAGCGTAGAGACACTGCGAGTGTGTCGTATGGTAGTAGGTCGCTTTGAGGGAAGAGCCTGCGGCTTGCGGGCCTTTACAGACTCACGCTCACCGCTGCTCTCAAATCCGACATCTTCGAGTTGCTTCAAGATCATATCATCCACCATCTTGTCGCATGCTGCTGAGTCCTCCTTGAATTTGCGCTGCTTCGCTGTAAGTCCATCGCTACCAACTTGTTGCTTGCCGTAAACACTCTCCAGGCCCAAAGCTCGATTCTTCGGTTGAAATTGCGGGAAAGTCGTGTCATACGTCACATCATCTGGAAGATCGGGGAGATCTGTAAATTGTCAGAATCATACACCTAGCCTGATAGCCCTTTTGGAGTATTTTGTTCGCGTACCTCTAGGCTTGGGTGGCATGTATTCAATGTCAGGTACATCATCCACAATAGCATCAGTATGAACCTTGAGTGGAGCTTGTTGCGTAATTGGAGCGGCTTTCCTGAGCTTTTGGGCTGTTGATTGTCTCCGGTTTGTCTTGATGGTTCCTCCGAAGGGAGCAGGCGTCTGGAGGTTCTTGGCTTTAGGGTTGTTCGTTTTCATGCCCAGTGGAGCGCGGTCCTTCACTATACAATCAATAAGCGTCAGTCAGATCCAAAAGCGATCCTCAAACTGGGGATTTTTTGTGGTGAAAGCTCTCATACCCATCGGCGTGACAAACGCATCTTTGCCCGGTTTTCCATTCTCCTGACGATTTCCATTGCCCTTCACAGTGCGATTTCCAAAAGCTAGCGGGTTATTCTCGTCGTTTCGCTTTCCTGGTGTCTTGGGTGCAAATTGCTTCAAGTTTTGGTTCAAGGGCTTAGCTGCCGCGGCGGTCTGGTGCGTGTTTACCAGGTTCTCCTGGTCGCGAAGAGCCAACATGGTGGCAAACTGAAGCTGTTTAGTTTCATATGCCTTATCAAAGAAATAAGTCGCGTCACTATCGAGGTTAGAGAGTGATAAAGAGACCGAATAGGTTCTAGATGCAAGTATTGTCGATTGGTTGCCCGTGGAGACGCGGCGATCTCAGGACTCTAATTGGTTGAGAGTCAGGAGGGGAGTTGTAATACACAAGTTACGCAGCTGGTACTCCGTACACACTAAGTACATGGTACTTCCCCTGTAGTGGAGCTTCTTCGAGCTCGGCTGGTACTGTCTACTTGTTCACTAGTCAGCCATTATTATTCCTCTCCTTCTCTCCCAAATCCTCTCCAAATCATCTTCCTCACATCCATCCACATTTGCCATCGGTTTCTCGCAGAGCGAAAGCCTCAACTGCTCTTTCTTTCACTCATACATATTTCCTCATTTATTCCCCTTTTCAATACCAAAATGGACAAGATCAAGGAGGTATGACCCCTGCCCGGCGGGGTAGCTTCACCTGTCACTCAAAATCACCTAACCCCTCATGCATACATGCATAATCTCCAACCATCCATCACTTGGTAACTATGCTAATTTATCGGTAAATAGCGCATGGTCGCCCTCCGTGCTGAGGCCGACGAGGCTCATGAGCTGGTTGACCAGCTGAAGGCTCAGGTCAAGACATTGGAACAGGAGAATCTGTCCAAGGAACAAGAAATTACATCCCTCAACCACCGCAATTCTCTCCTCGAAGAGGAGGTTGCGAATGCAGAGGCTGCCCTGAAGGAGGCCAAGGCCGCTGCTAGCCAGAGCCTCCAGCACGACACCCAGAACGAGGCCCTTCAGCGACGGGTGCAGCTCCTCGAAGAGGAAGCTGAAGAGAATGACAAGACTCTGCGGGAAACAAACGAGAAGTATGACTATACACTACTACTTCCAAGACTCGGTGCTGACATATTGCGAACTCAGGCTTCGCCAAACCGACATCAAGGCTGGCCACTACGAGCGGAAGGTGCAGGCACTCGAAGACCAGCAAGCCAAGCTGGAGACACGGTACGAGGATGCGATCACAGAACACAACAGGATCAAGAAGGAACTCGATGACCTCGCAAGCCAGATGGCCGACATCTAAGCTGGTTTAGACCAGCAAGGCGTGCAGGACATCGCTGTACACTGGGTTAAATACAAGCTTCATTCTCTGATTTGTCGTGTTTGTGTTTCTATGCTGCGACTGTAACTATTGCCTTTGCCCCAGTTTCACAAGCCAGATACAGCACTTCCATAGCAATACCTTTACTAAGCAATCCGCACTACGGTGTCTACTATTTCCTGCACTTTCAGTTCCTTTGGCATGATGTAAAACGCCTGTGCTCCGTAAAATTGATTAACAAACCACGGCTGAAAATGTCGAGCATATGCACATGTGATGTCGTATCTTTTTGTTCAAGTCTCTTTATCCTTGCGTGCCTTCGCCTTCTTGGATTTGACGTTGCGCTGCTTGCGCATTGTTTCTCTGCGCACATCCTTGCTCTCGTAGCGGAAATTCCTCTTCTTCTTCCTAGCTGCCTCTGAGGCTGCACTCCGGGGCTTTCTCTTCTTGGCAGTCTTTGTGTCGGCGTCTTTCGTCTCAGTCGGCTTCTGCTCTTTTTCTTCGGTGTCGGTATCATATTCATGTGCAGATTTAAGCAGACCTTCACGGGATGCATCCATCTCTTCGACAGTGACTGTCGTGTATTTGTCTTCGTCGATATACTCGGCTTCATAATCCACTGCTGGAGGTTCTTCAATTCCATTCCAGTCATCTTCATCCTCCTCCTCCTTCTCATCGCTGATATCGCCAGCATCTTCTTTCATACGCTGAAGTACTTTCGAATGCTCATCCATTGCTTGTTCGAAATCTTTTTTGCGCTCCTCGCGAATCTAGACAAATTAGTAGATTTCTTTGGACAAGCGTGAAATGTCTTACCTTTGCTCTCATGGCTCTCTTGTCCTCTTTGTATTGCTTTGCGGCATTCTCTTGCGCTTGCTTGGCGCGCTGCACCTTGCGCTTGTGAAATCCAGTCAACCATTCCTGACGACTTTCGGGGTCGAAATTGATCTCCTCCACTTTGGGGGCAGCGACAACCTTGCGCTTTTTCAGGTTTTTCATATTGTGGCCCATGATGACGAGAGTAATCGAATTTCAAATCGTATTTATAGTCCAGAACCGAGGTTCTATGTAGGTTGTGTCAAAACTGCGCGGAGAAAAAAAAGTTGCTGCGAAAGCTCAGGCGGGCCGGGGTTCTCGACCGCCTCCGAGGCCAACTCGGACACCTCCCGCTGCCAACATCATCAACCTAAGCCATCACGACAAATACAATGCATCTAAGCAGGTTTGGGCTGGTTGCCTTTGGGGCAGCTACTGTAAATGCTTTCAGAGATACTTCGCCATTCTTCCTTGCTTCAACCTCTGAGTATGCTCAAATGCACCACGTTTCAAGCTGCAGCAACTAACCACTCCTCCCTTAGGGTCTTGACGAACTCCGCCTACATCCAAACAGGAGCCTCTGTGCTTGAAAATCTCTCCTCCTCCCTCAGTACTTGTCCTTCAGATTACTATGTCGTCGTTTACCAGCCTGGTGTGCATAGCTCCGACTTCTCGACGCGCAAGTCGGCACCCCGCTTGGGTGCGAAGATGCTCGGGAAGGACAGCTCGATCCGTTCTAAGATGAGCGTGGATGAAGTCGCTGGATTGGTGGAACCAAAGGAAATCAAGAGCCTTCTGGAGAAGAAGTGTAACGCTCAGATTACTACCATCGATGGATCCTGTGAGTCGTTCTTGGTGGCAATGAGCTTGATAAACCAAACAAGAGTCACAGAGCTAACATTCTGAAGCCGGATCATACCCTTCGACACTTGAGAAGGGCCCCCGAATCCTCGATGTTCAATTCCCCATGCTATCGCTGGACTCGAACCGCGCGCAGCAGCTTTCTGAGTTCGGTATGTAGACAAGGCACTGTTGTATGACATCGTTACTGACTCGCCCAGATGGCTTCCTTGCCGATGTCGTTGATCGCATTCCATCTACCTCAAAGTATACCATTCTCTACATCACTTCCCCCAGGGAGTTCCCTGAGACAGATTCGGTTATCTACGAAAGTTCGGGAGATTCGTACCAGGACTCACTTCACATGGAAATGAGACGTGACTACTCTGCGTCTGGCAGCGCTTCGGGCTCGTCAACCAGGTCAACATCTCTCTTTGAAGAATACCAGTTTTTCACTCCAGGTTCGTATCCACTTCTCCATCCATTTCTGTTCGCCGTACTTACTTCTTTGCAGGCATCTTCATGGGCCTCATGGCTACATTCCTGTTCCTCGCCATCTTGTATCTTGGTATCGGTGCCCTGAGCAGTCTCCAGGTCCCCTATGCTGCATTCGAGAAGGATACCTCGGCCGCTGTGCAAAAGAAGCAGCAGTAATTGTGTAGCACTTTGTTGGAGTGGGGTTTGAAACACACCTCCATTGCCGCAATTTGATTTCTCTTTGGGCTCAGGGGCAATCTTTCGTATTTATATGTATGATACATCATATTTTCCCAATTGTCTAAACGTTAGCCTGTTCATTGTAAACGTAATCCTTGCTTCTTTTTTTGGATAGCTGTCAGGTGACAGCCCAAGTACTGCCTGAGGCTGTTTCTCCTTTAGCGTTGGCGTCTTTTCGGCTTCTCTTCAATTCTCGCTTACGCTCGAAGGACCTTTGATTTGCAATATTCTCAGACGTTCTTTTTCCTCACTTGAAAGCCAGTCCCTCGTTTGTTATTGGAGAGATTTCTCAAGCCTCATCTCATACGGAATTCTGGTAGATCTGTGGCCTCCAGCCTTACGTACAGTACCAGCCAGTCTTCGATGGGAGAGGCGAATGACAGTCGTTTTTAAAATCAGCATCAAGTATCTTGGAATTGCATAGGTTTCATTGACCGGACAGGCATCAAAAATCCACCTATCTCTCGCTGTCGTGGTGATCGACGCCTACTCCGAAAGACCCGCACCTTGTGGAGCAGATCAATTGTTTACCGCGGCAATATGCGAGTCTTGCCGCAAGGGCTGGGAAGATCCCAGCCGTCATTTATTCTTTTGATCCTTCTGGTCATTGCTATCGCTGCTCAAGTGTCTGCTATACCTGCAGATGATACATCAACCGATACCGATGCCGCTAAGACCACCGATGACCCTCAAAGCACCTCTAGCGTGAGCGAGACCACTGCAACAACCACCACCTCTGCATCCACTTCCAAATCAACGTCGAGCACTACCACCAGCACCTCCTCAACGTCTACAAGCACAACTATGGATACAACCACCACCACCACTACCTCATCATCGTCATCCTCCTCGACCTCCACAACGTCTGATAGCAGTACAACCACATCATCGGTCTCCACGACAACGACTTCATCTACATCCTCATCCTCCACAACCGCCGCTGCCATTGTAACAATACCCCCAACTGCCAATGCCCCATACATGCAAGAAAGCAATGCTCCAGAAGGAACAGTCTTCATCGCCGTCGGCGCCGCCTTAGGCCTAATCGGTCTGACCCTACTCGCCTGGCGGGCAATGGTCGCATGGTCTGTCAACCGCTCCGTCCGCCGCGCAGCCATGCTGCACGCCTCAGAGAACAAACGTCTCCTCCGCGGCAGCAGAAAGAAGCGCTCAACCCCATACTCCGCAGCGCCAGCCGCAGACGTTTCTCTCGACAAACTCGGCGCTGCCACCCGCGCAAGCTACAAGCCCCGCGTCTCAAGCGCGAACAGTGGTCTTTTCTTCTCGCCCACTGCCGGTGGCCCGACTGGCTCGCACGCCAGTCTGAACGCTACTAGCAGTACAGGCAACCGTGGTTCGACTTACTTGCCTGCTGGCTACTATGCTGCTGCCGGTAGTTCCAACCCTGCTCCAGGCGAACTCCCGTACTCGCCTACCGCTGGCCTCTCGTCACCTTCGCTGCCCCCTACCGGTGTTTACCATGATCCGCATCAACGTCAGTCGTACGTGGGCGCTTCGACTAGCTCGCTGAATCTGAACCAGGCTCCTCAGGGCCGTGCGCCAAGCGCATACCTAGAGGACTTGTTTGAGAATCATGCGCCGCCTCGTAACTCGGACTCGGGGCGGAGGGAGCGCGGCTAATGTGGGGTCAACATGCCTCATGAGATGACGGAACGATACAGCGAGTCTTTTAATCTTGGATCTACTTCGATGTATTCTGGTTTTTCTGCGATCTGCTCTGTATTCATTTCTCATGTGAATTTTCATTTCGGTTCTTGATCTAACTCGGCGTTACATAAATGCTCTCGCATGTAGTGATCTTCTACTTCATTTCTCTGCGCATTATTATCATTATTCTCTTGTCAATACGTGAAATCAATTCTACTGAGCATTTTAGCAATACAAGCTGCAAAGATTGTTATACCGTTCGCATAGTTCAAACCGTACACATGCACAAAGCCACTCTCATACAAGTAGAAAATAGATGATCAAAAGTCGTGACATCGAGGAAGGGGATCATGGTTATCATTGAATCCTGCCAACATGTCTAACACAAATAAATATTCTCAAGTTAATTTCTCTGTACAGGACACAGCTTCTGAATCCAGAAGAATACATACGGCGGACGGGGCATGGGGTATCACAACACCAAAGGAAGCAGCTAGTCAACACATTTCTACAGCTTCGGCTTGCTATCAGCAGACGCGGATCCAGCACAGCACGCAGCACGCTTTTCCTCGGGATGCAGGGAGGATTTGTTGAATAGCTGGGAAGATTGCGGGACGTCAAGAGCCGGGTTCTTGTTGAAGAAGCCATCGGGCTTCAGCATGACGCTGATACGCTCCATCGGCATGACCGGGAAGTCTTCAATGCGGGGGTTGTGGGTAAGACCGAAGGCTGGTATCAATATTAGCAACATTGAATGTATCATTAAGATGGAAACAAGAAACTTACTGTGCCATAAGACGACATCTTCGTTCTCTGTGTTATCCTTGCGCTGCACCCAAGTCTCGACGCCCTCTGCGCGTCGGCTCTGGTTCGTGAACTCGCCTGCAGCATACAGCTCATCATCCTGGTATTTGGTGACCCAGATGGGCTTGGTAGCAAATTCGGCACGGCGGAAGCCCGGGGCGTTCTTGCTGACCAGCAGCATCTGGCTGGGGGCTGCCATGAGCTTGTATGCAACGGGCTTGTAGGTGATTGGGTTGGTGACGTTGTCGTTGCGGATCTTGAAGACACGGTGGCGGTCTACACTAGTGTTGGCTGTGCCTGCTGTGCGCATTACCGTGGGCTCGGAGATATAGCCTACGAGGTGAGGGTTGCTCTCATCTTCCGGCATAGGAACGCTGTCCTCATAGTAAATGGTGTTCTTGAATCCATCAATAGCAGGGTCGATGCGCAGTGAGAACATGTGTTGGTGGAAAGGAGCCATAACACCCGGCCCGACATTAGTGCCCCAAGGAACAGTTTGTCCGTTCTCGTTGTCGAATGGCACAGTGGAAAGAATACCGGTAGCACGGACTTCCAATTCGACATTAGCGGCCTGGTCGAAGATGTAATTGAAGATATATTCGTAGTTGGCCACGGTGCAAATCATCTGCAGAACCAGCTGGCGGTTGCGCACCACGGTTGCAGCACCAGTCCGATAGTTCGTGTGCTTATGTTGTAAACCGTTATCTTGTTCGTGCATGCAAATCACGTTCTTTAACTGCAGCGGGTTGCCCTTGCAATCGTTGCGGTATCCGTCAAAGTACTTGATATGACCGAGGCAGTCACATCCAAGCGCGAGCTGATTGGCGTTCATGCCGAATCCAGTATCACCGACATCGAATGCCTGCTTGCGGTGGTAAGGAGCTCGGGGATCTATACTCATGTTAGCTAGATGTTCCCAACCGGAGGCTATCACCCTAGATCCCACTAACCTCCGTAAGGAACAGTCATTTCCGAGACAGCCAATCGATAGAACAGGTTCCGGTTATCATAAGTGACGTTATAGATGACCAAGCCTTCACGAGCATTGAAACCAACCCTGAAGCGCCACTTCTGCCAGTAAACGGAGTTTCCATCTACTGAGTATGAAGGGCCCTCTGGCTGCTGCACGATATAAGGCTTGAGATCAGTACGAACAGGCTCATCCAAGAGGCCGTGGGCATATTGAACCGTCTTGACGGCCTTCCAGGGCTGGGTAGCGGTGGTCTCGAAATCAGCCCCACCGGGGAGATAATCCATACGAATCAGTTCGTGGGTAAGGCCATCGAACACCGGTGAGAATTTGCAAGGAAGAGAGTAGTGGTTGTTTTGAGGGTGATCGACTTCAACCATATACATAAAGCATTGAAAGAGGCGTCGGTCTTCGGTGTCGTTATCTGTGCCATACATCCAAGGGTCGTTGCAGACTGTCACGCCCGCGGGCAATTGCAACTTTTCGATCTCGGCCAGCACTGCAGGGTGCTTCATGCACATCTCTTCAATTGCAGCAATTTCATCAATATCGACGGGGCCCTTTCGATCGAATGTCAGTGGATGTTGAATTCGCCGGGATGGAAGTTGTGCTTACTTGGACCTCCTTTGGGAGCTCTTTGGCATAGACGATGGAGCGTCTGTCGGCATTCAGAATAGCCTTGTAAAATGCGCCGGTGTCCAGACGGTGGAAGAGGACATAAAGCAGACGGGCTGGGGGTGGGGGCAGTGGCCGTCGTAGGCGCTCTGCTTCAATGTATGCGATAACATCTTTCTTGATAGGTTCGTTGACATCAATGCGCTTGTAACGCAGAGATACACCGGGGAAAGTCGCCTCGAGGATCTTAACGGCGAGCTTAATCTCCTCGGGTGTGATAGGGTCGAACGGGTGAGGGCCGTGGGTCACCATTCTGGTAGTGTGGAGTGCGACAATTGGAGTAATTGGATGTTGGGTATACTAGGGGTATACTACTACACAATCCCTGCAAGAAGTCAAGGCGAAGAAATAGAATGGGTAAAAGGAATATTGAAAGAGAAGAATGACTGAGTTCCAATGGCTGTACTTAAGTATCTTTTGCAAATCGGTATCTTATCGCCGCTAGGACTTCCCCGATTAGGACGAGTGGGGTGGTTGGAGAAGGGCAGCCCTGGAGAAGTCTTGGCCCCGGACAATTCGACAGGAACCTGAATACATGAAGGCAATTAAAGAAGGACCATTTGTCTATGCATCATTTCTAATTTGGAATTGTTCACCGTAAATTACCTGCCTATAATCTGAGTGGAAATAGCGATATTTCTCATACAAAATGTAGTATACCTACAAAATAGTGTAGATTCATAGTGAGTGGAGAGCCCTACAGCGTGAGGTTATCCTAGTTGGGTTTAGCGCTCTCTTATATCCCCAGTCCCCAGTTAGTCACTTCATACTTTTCATCCGCAAAACTTGACTGGATTCAGACATTATTTGCGATAAGCATGCAGTCACTAGGACCGATCCAATCTCTATACTATCTTGTTCTTCCCTGACGTAATGAACGCTGGGGAATCGAAGAAGGGTAGGACACGGCAGTCTGGCACACCGTGGACTCGTTCGGGATGTTTAACATGCAAGAAAAGACGCAAGGCCTGTGATAAAACAAAACCGAGGTGTGTGCATAAAACTGGACTTAGTGTTTTTAACTAACCAAGTCAGTTGCAATAATTGTCTCAAGCAAGGCCGAACGTGCGAGGGCTATGGCTCAATGTGGGTAGAGCCACTGGGCCCTTCAGCGCAAGTCTTCTCAAAGTTTGAGGCCCCAAAGCGTCGGAGACTGAGTAAATCCTCCGAATTCCCTTCGCCTACGCCCTCGCCATCCTCAGATGCATGGATTGATATCCATCCATCTTCGGGACCGGTGACACCATGGAGCTGGTCAACTCTATCATCTCCCCGCGAGTATAGAACCATCACCTCGGGATTTAGCCCCGTTATGGATGCAGATGAACCCAGTCCCACGGATATTGATATGTGCATCTCTGGCGCAGTAATCCCACAACCTCAAGGATATATCAGTCATCTCTCAACCCATGAGACCCACTACCTCCAGTACCATATGGAGCAGGGATCTCGGCTACTAGCAAACCTGGAGAGCGAGGACAATCCGCTGCGGTCCATTTTGATTCCGAGGGCGATGTCGTCACCTCTATTGATGAAAGCCGTGTGCGCTGTCTCCGCTCTGCATCTAGCAAACCGTTCCCACGGCTTCGGTGCACATAACGCCGCAGTCAACTACTACAGCGGGACTCTAAATGGCCTCCGATCAGCACTTGGAAAGTGTTCAACGGAAGTTTTTCCCGACGATGCTCTACTGGCTGTGGGGTTACTGTGCAAATATGAGATCGTACGCGGCAGCGTCAAGCAATGGGTTGTTCATCTGAATGCATTGCAACGTCTGATCGTTTCTCGCGGAGGGTTTGCATCGATGGATCGAGACGCAGCTGAATTCTTGCGTGGGCTGTACGTGTAACAATATACGGAGAATGACAGCAGATTCTAACGAATTGCAGATTCGTCTATGCTTACCAGATGGCCCGAATCAGCAACCACAACCGCATCACCTCCGCAGATATCTGCGTCGATAGCAACATTGGTATTCCCAAGTTGGACATATACATCGGATATACGGAAGAGCTCCTCGAGCTCTGTGCACGTATTGCAGAGCTTCCTTCGTTGAAGAACGACACCTTGGCTCTCCGCCTCACCGTTGCATCCATGTACGTCTTTTGCTCACTGCCAAGCTTTAATTTATTCCATCCCACTAACCCACCCAGAAATGAATCCCTGCTGGTCTGGTCTCACACCTCAACGCCCTACATAATCCCGCAAGGCACATCCCCGGCCACGCTAACCCGGCTACAACTCGTCGCCGAGTGTTTTCGCGACGCGGGCTTCACCTATCTCCACTCGATCATGGAACGCATCAGCAGAGACCATCCAGATACCACTCTAATGAGTCCCAGCACTGATCTTCCACCGCAACCGCCATTTTCAACGCATGATTGGCTTCCTCTTATTTCCACGCCAAAACAACTTGCCGTGCATCGCTGTCTTGCGCGTGTTGAAACCTTTCCGCTGGATGACCACTGCGAGTACTCGGCGCTCACGTTTCCATTATTTATCTCGGGATGTGAGAGTGAGAATGTAGCCGATAGAGACGTGGTACTTGGGTCTCTGGGCAAATTGCAGGACAATTTCGGTATTGGAAATGTTCGGCGTGCGAAGGAACTGTTGGGGATCTTGTGGGCGAGGCGGGATGCCGACGCCGGATTGTATGGGGCTGTTGGTGTGGATCGAAAAAAGATGCATTGGTTGGATATTGTCGAAGAATTGGGATGGGAATTAATTCTTGCGTGAGTTAATTAGGGCTTCGCGTCGTGTTTTCTGTCCACTGTACCTGGGTACTTGTACAGTGGGTTTCTTGCTGTATACATATTCCACTTCCATTTTGTATTTGTATTTGGGGTTTCTCAAAGCTGGGATGATTCATGCATGGTACACGAGAACGAGAGCAGTGTAAGTTTGAAAACATCATGACGGGACTAGAAACATATGTATGAATAGAAACCCATAACAAGAGTGGGTAGTTCCTATGCCAAATCGTCGAAAAACCGAATGAAAGCCATCATGTGATTAGAAAATATGTAATCAAGTTTTAGGTAAATTATTGTGTTTCTACATACTTGTTTCTAGGCGAGTCAGGTGGGCTATTAGAGAAATATCTAATTCGGCGTCCGCACTCTCACCGCGTCAAGTACAGAAAGGACGGTGATACGAATATTGGGTAATCGAATTCAATGCCCAGCAAAGATATATAGCGAAAAGCAAGCCCGGAAAACAATCAGCTTTATAAATGGGTGAAGGACACATCAAGTTCAGCTCAACCCCATGTTAACCTCATCGCTGAGCCCCCATTCCCTTTCCGCTCTCTCCGTCCCACCAGCAGCCCGAGTAGACCAGCGATCAAGATGATCATGCGAATTTGCCATTTCCTTCTCGCGCAAACTGGCACTGTCACTGGTTGCCACGCTTCCTTCGCGAGCATGAGGTGGCTTGCGGGAGTTTTGAATGCTAATCGGCCGCGAAGGGCCTGGTCCATCGGTTGGAATGTTTGAGCCCGAGGTGCGACCACTATCTGTTGGAGATGCGACGTTGGCTGAATCCTTTTCTTTGTCCTTGCTATTGCTAAACCAGCGACGACGGCGGGATTTCGAGGCCGTGGACGGGGTAACGCTCTTCGTGTCGGCGTCGTCGTCATTATCCTGTTCTTTCTCCTTTTCCAGGGCTTGGGTGAGCCCGGATATTGTTTCTTCAGAGGAATTTTCAGTACCTGCAGGTGACAGCTCGACTAGTTCGGCGTCTCGGTACCACTTGCGTCGGCGGGTATAACGGTCCCATCCATCTTGTCCGCGGCGTCCGTCGTTCCACTAAAATTGGTTAGAGATACCCTTGGTGAGGAGCGAGGAGGAACCAACCTTGTTGTCATAGTAGATCCAACCTTCGCCGGTCGATCCCCCTTTCGAGTCTGACTTTCCGTTGAAGTTATCTGCTCCTTCGACACGCCATTCGCTGCCTTCCACCCAACGCCATTTGGCGTCTCCAGTTCGGACATCGGGTAGTTCGAAAGAGTCTTTGGGTGCGACGATGTTCATATGCTCGTCTGTCCAAGCAGCACGTTCCGACGGGAACAACGAGTAAGTCCATCCAATGCCTAACCAACGACGCTGGTTTTCATAGACAACAAACGTAAATCGAACACCCGCATTTGTCCCGCGCCGCCGAGTCGAGATGTTCAGACCTTGACTCTGGCCCTTGGCCTGGGCTTGGGCCTTCTGTGGACTGACTGGGGTATCGGCGACTGAAAGGCCTGTGGCGACGGCACACAGTCGACGCACGGCCCTTGACCGCCATAGAATGACCCGCGAGACCCTGGCAGGTCGGGAATGATAGGTGAGGGCGATGGTGCCAACGGCCATGACAATACGGCGCGTGGTGATTAAATAGAAAGGAGGTAGGGTCAGACCGATCCATACTGGAGTGACTAAGAGAATTCGGATGAAGAGAGCTGTCAACGCAGGTTTGGTAGTTGCTGATGTGGCGGTACGTTGCGTTGACAGGAAGTCAGTAAGGTCGAGCAGTGGCTCGAGAAGGATGTTGCATCTGGTGGTGAAGATGCGAAGAGTTTCAACAATCTCGTCGAGGCTTTTTTGATGACGGAGGGAACTATCTGGTGCGATCTTGGTCTTGTGTTTTTCACCTGTTGAGGTAGTCGATGATAGGGGCGAGTAGCGGCGGCCATACATGCCGAGGATCAAAGTGATCACGACCAGGATCGGGCCTGCCCAGAGAATGATGGCATCGCTATACAGCACGATGGTCCAAAATGTAGCCACCAATAAAAAGCTCTGCCATGGGTCTCCGGAAGTCCATGTGAGAAGACCGGCAAGTTTGTTCAGAGGGAGGAGGAATGGGTGTGAGTAGGCCAGGGCCCGAGTGATGGCTGGTGGTGTAGCCACCAGTAGAGGTGATTTGCGATGCACGATGACACTGGAGCGTTGGCGCGAGGTCAGGGCCGAGCCGGTTATCGTCGACGGGGAGAAAGCAGCTACCGTCGGCGGTTGTGAATCCGGCTGGCCATGATCCTGTGCGTGAGATGGGGGTGACATGGAATCTATCCACGGAAGATCGTCTGCTTTCCATCAGTGAACTATTGGAAAATTGGTGATAAATAATACATACCGAGAGCGGCCATCCAATTATGGACATAATTTAGAGAGAATGATCAGCTCATTCTGGGGGAAATGAGGGTTTATACGAATTAATGAATTGAATATGGGAAACTGTTCGGTCAAACGAACTCCCCGCAGATCTTCAGGCTTTGGGCATGTGACTCTCGGTAACGAGTTGCGTGTGATATTGAAGTCATTTAACTCTTTTTTAATTTGTAGAAGTAAATGTAGTAGATCAAAATGGACTTGAAAGTATTGTAAGTATTAATATGAATACATATGTATCAAGTACAAAGTACTTTATAAGCACTATTCAAGTATTGTCATATTGTTGTTCTCTATACATTTGTAGCTCCCCGACGCTAAAACCCGCAGCCGAAATTTTCCCCTTCTCTTCCTCTCTTCACCTCCGATATCGTGACGTCCACGGCACTTCCACAAAATGGTATGGTCTATCTATCCTTTGAATTTCAAATTGACTAATTTTTTAATGTATTCAGGCTCATCGCATTGTCTCTCAAGTCGTCGTGACCGGAGCCCGAGTCTTCGGCCGCGCTTTTGCCGAAGCCTACAAGCAAGCCCAGGCATCTGGCAAATACAAAGGCCAACAAAGTGCCTCCGGAAATCCCGTCACTTCCTCCAAACTGAGCATCGATGAAGCGTGCAAGATCCTCAATGTCAAGCCCCCGGCGAGCGGCGAACAAACCCTGGAGGATGTCATGAGCCGATTCAAGAAACTGTTCGACATCAACAATCCCGAAAAAGGCGGCAGTTTCTACCTGCAAAGTAAAATTCTGCGCGCACGCGAGCGACTAGAGATGGAATTCCGCGAGGCCGAGCGCAAACTCGCGCACGACAAGGAATTGAAGGAAGGCTGGAACCCCAAGGTCTACAAGGATAAATGAAGATCGTGATTGCTGTTCCAGTCTTCATTCTCGAGCACATCACGCTTCCGACTGAAGTCTTTCCATTGGCTTCGTTCCTTTGATCTGCTCAGTTCTCTTGTTTTGGCATAGCATGGCGTTTGGGTTATTGTTGGAGAAAGACGCTTGGTTTTCCTAGATTGGGGTCTTTCTCTCTGATCTTTCTTGGTGGCTCCGAATCCTCGGATATCATTCCCTGGAGATGGAAATCATCCCTCCATCTCTGATTCCCATTGACCTCTCGGTCTGTGTATATCATCTTCGATGCGCGTCTCCGTTGACACCCTTCTCCACTCTTCCCCGGAAAGGATATATGTACAATAGCCACATACTTGCATTCACTTCTGTAATGTTCAATTTAGACTTATATTTGGGCTGTCAGGTAAATGTATGCACTTTAGTAATATCATTGCAAGACTCATCATCAATTCTGTTTGCCTTTTTGCCACTCCTCCCGTGTTTTGAACACCCTAAATCTCAATGTGGCGGGACATTGGCAAAACAAAATAGCACTCTGAAAACGACTAAGAACTTGGTATATCTATTGGAACAGATGTTACCAGAAAGTCATAAACGGACGAAACAATGGTCGATTGACTCTGATAATGCCGCCATGGCGCCATCCGGAGCGGAGCCCTTGGGGTTACATCTTTTTTTTTCTTCTTTGACAACTAACTCATATATATGTACTCTGTTTAACCTCACAACTGACCAGAGAGAATCGAGATAGACGTTTCTCACTCTCAAAGCCATGCGCCCCTCAACACCCCTGTCCGCGGCCCTCCCGCCGCTCATAATGGGCACTGCAACCTTCAACTCCCAATACAACGCCGACCCCTACGCTCTCCCAACCACAGAACTCGTGCAGCGCGCATTATCCCGTGGAATTCGCGCCTTTGACACATCACCTTACTATGGGCCCGCCGAAGAACTCCTCGGCCGCGCATTGGCAACACAATCCGTGCAATCCAACTTCCCCCGCGACACATACCATCTCCTCACAAAAGTCGGCCGCATAGGAGGCTCTTCCTTCGACTACTCCCCAGCATGGATCAGATACAGCGTGCGCCGCAGTCTACGCCGTCTACACACCAATTACTTAGACGTGGTCTACTGCCATGATGTGGAATTTGTCACACCCGCCGAAGTCGTCACTGCCGTGCAGGAGCTGCGGCGTCTCCGCGACGAAGGACTGCTCCGCTACGTCGGTATCTCCGGATACCCGGTCGACACGCTGAGCGAGCTTGCCGAGCTGGTTTTCCGGAAGACAGGCGAGCCACTCGATATTGTGATGTCATATGCGAACTTCACGCTCCAGAACACGCGGCTGCACTCTCGCGCTTTGCCGAGGCTCATTGCCGCGGGCGTCGACGTTGTGCCGAATGCTTCGCCTCTGGGGATGGGGCTGCTCCGCCGTGATGGTGTCCCGATTGGCTCGATGGGCGATTTCCATCCTGCGCCCGATGCGCTGCGGCGGGCCGTGCAGGGCGCTGCGGAGTGTGCGGCGCGGCATGGCGAGAAGCTTGAGGTTGTTGCTATCCGGTTTGCGCTGGAGTCGTGGCTTCGGGTTGGTGCGCGAGGTGGTGCGCTTGGTGCGCCGCTTGCGCGGGCTGTGGATGCTGATCCTGGGTTCTTGTCTGTTGCCAATATTGGGACAGGGAAGAGGCTCGGTGTTAGTGTCATGGGGGTGAGCAATATCGCGGAGCTGGATGAGACTTTGCGTGTGTGGCATAGTATTGTCGATGGGCTGGAGAATTGGAGTGAAGACGATGACGGCTCGTATTTCGATACTAAGTTGAAATCGACTCCGTCAACTCCCAGCTTGGGCGCTATTCCGACGGCCCAAGGTGCCAGCATGCTCACCCCTGGCGAAGGCCTCATTACAGACCGTGCTTGGTCCCGTGCGCGCGGTACTCACATCCTCGAACTCGCGAAAGAGATTCGGGATGTTATTGGTGCGGAGTGGGTTGATTATGTTTGGGCTAGTCCGTCACCAGACTTTGTGAATACGCTTCCCGAGGATCATATTACAGACATGCACAGGATACAGGCCGAAGAAAGCAATGGAACGCTGGATCTCTCTGATTCTGCCATCAGAGAGGATCCTATGCTCACGCCACCATCAGACGTGGAGAGGCAGCTTGAATAGGCATCAACTTATAAAAACGAATACAGCCCCTTTCACTTGTACATATTGAATACATGTCCTGATAGATACGTGATTGCCTACACTTAGGGAGTCTGTGTTTGGGTTTCCCTTGCCAGCGTGAGGGATAGTAACCTGGTAGTCTCTTTTCTTTTTGTCTTCTCTGTATTTTTTCATTAAATGCGCAAATCGGTGAGATTGGCTTAATAAAATGAAGCCTGATAGCTGAGAGAGGACTCGATCTCAACGATCCAAACACCTGAGCACGAACAGAGAGACAGACGCACAACGATTGCGCCAAATTAAGGATATCCTAAATCTACGACAAACCCCAAGTCTCTGGTCGTTAGAGGCTCTCCAGATGTTCACTTTCTCGGAAATACATACCTCAAGGCAGCTCCGACCCAACCCTTGATTCTCAAGTCCTCTCCCAGAAATCGCATATAGCGCATGCTGAGTGAGAAGGAAGGCATCAAAGGGAAGGGGAAGCAAAAATAGTAAACGCCAAACCGTGGATGCGCACAAGGCGAGCCAAGGATTGGTGGGTTTCATTTGAATTACTAACTGAATCCACAAGGAGGGAACAGAAAATTCTGTATGAACTAGGTTCTCGTCGTCACGAAAGGAAGATCGATCGAGGCGCCGGACTCGAGAAGTCGGAAACAAGGTCAGGGTTGAGTATTGTCGAGGCTTGCCAATAGAATTAGTTCCCAATCAAACAGAGTTGGTGAATTGGTTGCTGTTCTGTTGGATGGGCCTAGTCAATTCGGCTCGAGACACAAGTTGACAAGTTCTGAGAAGGTCACCGAGAGAGAATCCTAAAAGAATAAGTCACTTTTCCTTCGTATCAGGCCCAGAATGCCCATATCCAATTTTCCACCGTTAATCGGTTCTCGTCGTCGAGAAGCTGACACAAAGGGTTGCCTAAGCACAAAAAATGAAACGATCGACCCCACGATACCACCGTAGAGAACGCATCTCATCTTTCTCCGCGAAAATCACCAAAAGATCGATCCATTCGAAGTAGGGGTATCATCATACAAAATAATAGTACAAACAAAATTTGAAAGAAAGTCGTCGCGGGCGTCGAGGTTGAAGTTGAAAGAGCAACGTCTTTCAGGCTGAGGTTTGTCTCTGCTCTCTCATATTCAAATCCTTTTCCATTTCCTCGTTGGTCTCATAACCGGCGTGCCGACGAGCCTGTCTGAGACTGAGAGTGTTAGGGAGCTTCTTGAGATCGGGCCTTAATCGTTTGATTCTGGCGGCGCGCTCCTGACAAACTTGGCGTCTTGTCTCACCCCTGCGGGACTTCGACGACTTTGTTTCGCTGGAAGAATCATCGGAAGAAATGTCTTCGGGCTCAGATTTCGAACCCTTGGTCTTCGTTTTCGACTTTTTGGCGGGCTTTTGTGCCGGGGGCACGGGCAGATCTGATGGTGGCGGTCCATCAGGCAGCGGCGGAAGAGGTTGCGCTCCATCAACGGGATAGGGTCCTGGCGGCGGAGGTGGAGGTAATCTGTGCTTAGCGAATCTCTGCTCTGTCATGAAGACTCGGCGTAGTTGGTTGCGCTGTTCAATGTATTCCTCGAAGTTGGCCCCAATGATAGGCCCCAAGATGCTCTTGTTTGGGCCTTGAACGAGTGCGAGGTATTCCACGCGATTCTTCAGGGTAGTATGAGCACTCGCAAAGGTGCGAAGAATCAAATCAATCTCCCTTGTGCCACCAGAAATGTCGTTATCCATGTTGTTGGGATCTTCGATGGTCAGGCGGTCAGGATTTCCAAAGTAGATCTGCGTGATTTCAGAAGTCAGCTAGGGTGCAGATGTGTTGATCCAAGTAAACTCACCTTGTTGAAATATCCTGGAGGGTTCATCCGAATTGCGACATGATCGTATTGGAAATGCTTTCCGTAGAAACTGAAGAAGTCCATCAGAATGCTACCCAAATTTGGCTGGACGTTCCCGTGGGGCAGATGCTGTATAAGACTTGTGACCAAGCAAGTAATGGAGAAACCTCCCAATCCACCGGTCGAGACTTCATTGAGACCACGGATCAGCAAGAACTGCTTAATCACCGACAAAATGACTGGCATCATAGGGAACTGTTCCTTCCACTTTTGGAATGTCTCGTTGGCGATCAAGCCACTGTTGTTGTCAAAGGACATATCAACACGCAGCCCAGTCAACTTATCCACGAATTTGAGGATGGGCACTCGGGCATGGGCAATGCACTCAATCGAATTGGGAACGGCAATGTTGGTGCCCTTGAGGAAGCCCGAAAACGCGTATATTTGTCCTTTTCTCTCGCCAAATGTACGGACTCCTGTACGTCTAAATGTGTTGGAAAGCAGCACCAAATCAATATCGGCGGTTGGGAGGTAGAGGCCAGAGGCAAAAGAGCCAAATGCATGGATTTCGACACCAGAGTATCGCTGCCTGAATGCAGCATTCAAGCGTTCCACAAGATCTCTGCGGACAATGTTTTCAAATTCCTGTGGCTTGGCCCAATGGTAGAAACTGAGGATCTCATTATGAAACCTGCTGTGGGTTAGTGAATGGTACTTCGTATGTATAATGATAGTGAGAGAAAATAGGCAGTACTGACTGAGTTCCCATGTGTAAAGAAGCCGGAGTAGACTCAATCCAAGGCGTGCCTGTTTCTTGAGACAACGGCCTCCACTCATCAATAACCGAGCCATCGTAATTGTACCTGCTTGCAGGCTTGCCGGTCTTTCTAGAGTAGCCTTTGATTTCATCGTCATGGGTTCGCTTTCGACTTGCGATGGCAGAATCCGTACCTTCCTGGGCCCTGGGCCCTTTGGGGGCGTTCTCCGGAGCGTTGCTTTGAGGTTCTGGTTCTGGCATCATGCCGAGGGAGATGAAGTCTGAGTTTTCCTTGACTGCGTCTGTCTGTTCAGTCTTCGTGGCGTTTTCCAGTCTTGCTTTCCTAATCAACTTGACAACGTCGATCCTTTTGTTGGTCTGCTCGCTTGGCGGAGGGAGCACGGTGTATGGATCCGGGTTCGACCATTTTGGGGCAGGAGGGGCAGGAGCTGCGCTCGGCATAGCGTCTTGGACCCCGTCAAGACCCAGAGCGCGCTTCTTCCGCGGTCGCTCATTGTCGGAATCGTCGTCGGACATATCCATTTCAGCCTCTTCGCTGTCACTCAAAGCAGACAAAGAGGCAAACTTGAGTGCAGGTTTGACCTCACTCTCACCCTGGAGCTGATCCGGTGTGGTTTCCCGTTTCCTGGATAACAACGGTCGGTCTGAAGTGGGAGGTGGCCGGTAACGGAAGCTGAACTCATGCTTTGGGTTTGGACGCGATCCACGATAGTTTGAGTTTCCTCTAAATTGAAAAGGCGGCATTTTGAAAGGCTGCGTTTAAGCAGCGACAGTGGCACGTGCAGAAAGAAACAAAAGGCACTGTGGACGCGAAAAAAAAGTGTCGTTGCGGAAAAGTATTGCCAAATGATGAAGGCGGTGTGGGAACTGAGCAATCGAGTATCAAAGCCCTGGAGCCCTGGAGACTACCTTGGCACCTGAACTATTGATTGTTTATTTCACCATTTTTTGATTAAAAACTTGATCTCAATATTTTATAAATCGATTCCTGTGCGAATATAGATGGCAATGCATTATATGAATAATCACTCTTTTGAGGTCGGATTGGACCATCAATACACCTGGGCATTGAATGAAGCTTAAACTGCCCAGGTGGCTTCCAAGACAGCCCTTCCCGATAGTCGATGTACCATTAATTAGTGTTGAGGTCTAATAGAAAGAACACAGTAGTTAAAACCGGGGAAGGAATGTGGTAGTAGTTAGCTCTGGCATCCTAGAGCCCTACGGCCCTGAGTATCCTCTGCAGGAGAGGACAAAATGAAGCCTGTAAAGCGCAAACAACATTGTTGGTGGAAACAAGCTGCTTGAATTATTAGAGAATACCTTGGACTGTCGGATGTATGGCATTTCCAAACGTGGTACCTAGTCGACCACGTCCTACAGCCCGTAGTATAAGATTGCTCAGGGACCGGGACAATAGCTCGTTCAAATTGAAACCTAGACTATGCACGGTGGTTTGTACGACCTGTCAAATGGCCGTATCGGATGGCACTCAACCCCGTCTAACTTGCGGCGCTTAGAGCCTGGTATCTGCATCTCATCATCTTCCTTTGTTATTGTGAGACAAGTAAATGAATCTAGAGGTCGACATGCAGTTGCACTTACATTGTGCCGAAGATAAGGGGAAGGCGATAGATATAAAAGAAAATTCAAACGGGACACAGGTACGTCTTTAAACGTTGATATCGGGATGTGAAGGTACAGGTGAAAGTAGGGAGAAAAAGAAGCTCCAACATACATGTGTACTTATGTAGATGCCAGGGAAGCTACAGATGTTCTTACGTGACTCGACTCCTTGAATAGGATCATGAGTGGGTCATGAGAAAGTTTCTGAGGCTCTAGCGGTCCTCATTAGGTCCTTTTATCGGAGAATATCTTCACACCTTCTTCTAAAAGCTGGATTAAATCAGACTGCACCGCCATCTCAGCGAAACTTACTCGACTTGGCGCCCAATCCAACCAGTCCTCAGCTCTAGCACCCTTTTCCTGGAGTATACCAACACTGACATCGATCAGTGTTGGTCGCTCGTCACAATGCCAGAAAGCAGTAGCACCACAGCAGCCGCAAAACTCTCTATATACTCCAGGTGAACTATTGTGTCGTCGTAGGGTACCTTGATTGAATTTGAGCGGTGATCCATCTGCATTGAAGATGTTTGACCTGGGCACAAAAGCCCAGGTCTGTATGGGAAATCCACTGCTCAGTCGACAGGTATTACAAACGCAGGTTCCTGCAAGATATTTTGTGTCTCCATCTCGGAGCCACCATTTGACATCGTCGGGGTTAGCTCCAGATCCACTGTAGTATGGAACCAAGAGATCTGCCCATGGTGAGGTTGCTTGCGAGGAGGACGCATCGGGTTTGGTGATATAGAAGTCAACCCCTCCGCAAAGACAATTAGCGTGCAGGTACTGCTCTTTGGCCTCACTTTGCAGGTTTGTTGGTTCCCAGTGGGAGCTTTCGGGCAATTTCGAAGCATCGAGCCTGCAACCTGCGATTGTGGACTCCGACCCGGGGAGATATGCACTGAGTCCACCATCGCCAGTGTCGCTGGTTTTCCAGTGCTCAATTTCTCGAACCGAGGGAATTTGTGTTACTAGCAACCCCGAAGCAACTAAAAACCGTCCGCCAGACTTCAAATGGGCGAAGACATGGGCACCACAAGTCTCACAGAAAAAACGAGTAATGTGGTTTGACTGCTGGTACTCCTGTAGCCCTTTGAATGTCGGTGGCTTACACTGGAGAAGATAATATGATGAGTACAACTGTCCAACGTTTCTGCGACATTGTTGACAGTGACAGAGTTGAAGTTTAGTATGGTCGGTAGCAGTGTCCAGTTGAACTGTTAAGTCTATGCTTCCGCATAGACAAGCGACAGAACTAGCCATTTCAATGATATTTTGAAAGTATTCCCCCAAACATGCGTCAGATATGTGCTCAAGCGGGGGATGTAACGTGGAACAAGATTATTGAAGTGTAATAAGTCAAGACTAAGCCTACCCTCAGACTCACCAAAACTGTGATCCCGGAAAGTCACGAGTATATAAGTTTCCCGCTCTCCCCCACTCTCAAACAACTTACCAACCCACAACTCACAACTTTCCTAACTCACACAACTATCACAACTCTTCAAACTTTTCAAGTTTGCTACCTCCAAACAACCAAAATGAGTAAGCTATTTCCTGCAAGCCCACAGGCTCAGCATCGTGTCTTTGCCTTCGATCGTGAAAATGGCGGGGTCAAAGCGGGGTTGCCAACTGTGGTTTTTTTTTTGGTCACTTTGTTAACGACGCTGACAATCCTGATAGGCGACCACGGATGCAGCTGCGGTGCTTCTTGCCAGTGCCCTGCCGGTAACTGCAACTGCCCTGTACGTGATATGTGATATCCCTCGAGAATCCCCGAGGAACCCCCTCCCCCTCGCGATGTTGTGTGGCTAATACAATCCGCATAAAAGAAATAAATCAATACGGGCAATGGCATTCATGATTTGATCTGAATGACCTTCGTGCGATGGATATTGGCTTGCAGTGAGACGGAGGATATTTGAAATGGATACCCTGGTTGCGTTATCCGAAATGGGATTTCTGCATGTCATGTCATACAAAAGGACAGCTCGCTACATTCAATGAGATGCGGTTGTTTAAACATTTTTATCATTTGTAGGACAAGTACCTTGTGGGCATCAAATCCAAGGTTTAAGCTGTTCAGATCGACAGAAACCTTGGGAGCTCAACAGTATAAAGTAAATCCCCGAACCATATCTGATAGAGACATCTGAAGATGCCAAACATGTACCTTTGTACGCCATTTCTATCTCAGCATATATTGGAGCGTCCATTCTTAAACGAACAGATGCAATATTCCGGGGGTAGGAGACAAAATTCCAATCGGAGAGGAGCTGTCCGGGCAAGTGGTCACCGACAATCTTAATTCATACAATCTCAGGCATCCTTCTCAACCCAACCACACAGACCACTAGGTGATCCTCTTAAGCATCATTATGACACTGCCCAGAACCGAATACCCCTTTCCTCTAGCGATTCCTTCCAGCTTTCCCGACTGAGATTTGCCGATGCGCCTTTTTTGGCCATGTCTATCAAACATTGTCGATGGAACCCCAGCACCTAGAACCGCGCATACTCAAAGCCAAAAGAAATAAAAAGCGGGACTCGATGCTGCACGAATCCAAGAGGGGTAACATAAGATCGAAGCCAATCACAAGTGTGCATCATGCATTTCAGAGAGGGTCTGTGTACGTTGTACTGGGATATTCTGGCTTCCAACGAGATGCAGTCTCTCCACTTCCCTGCTATGCTGGTTTGCTTCTGATCTTAAGTGAGTTCCAAGAAGTCTGTGCTCGTATCATACATATTATAGGACTAAAATGTACTATACTTTAAGATCACTCAGGTGACTAAAGATCTTAATGCCTTCGTTATCAGATCTCGCCCTAAGCTGTATAGAGCTTTTGATTTACTAAAGTGTAGCGGTGCAAATACAAGTTTTCAAGTCTCATTCATGTGTAAGCATGATCGAGTTTCCGTCTCAGTTATTATCAATCATCCTCGAACCCCCATGTAGGCAGCTCCATCTGATACACCCTCAAACCTAACAACGCGTATGTAAATCATCCCCTCCGAGCGTCTCGCCGTTACAAATGCACGTCCGGATTCAAATATGTCCGAGTAAAACCAAGACTCAACACGTTGTCACCACTCCACACAGTGGATATAACATGCAGCACAGATAGGCTAGGGCTGCCAATGAGACAAGGCACCACCCCTCCTCCAAGGTCCCCAATCCATGCAAACACTCGCTTCATAGGCTACCACGCCGATGTTTCGACTCTGCGCCGCTCCAAGCGCCGAATATTCAGTTTTGGCCTCTTTCTCTGGCTGATCGCTGTCTCTATTTCCTTGTTTGGATAAATACGTTGTGGAATATACTGGTCTGTTCCAATCCATATAATTTCACAGTTATACATTGCAGATACCATGAATTATACATGACTACCACATACGACGTACAACATACGGAACTGCCTACGGGATAATAAAAGACCCGTTCCCAAATGAGTGGATCATCCATACAAGTAACCTTCTAATGCAGATCTATGTCGCACCCGAAACGTGGCCGTCATCATGGCATGGTAGAGGGTCTTGACGCTCTGTTGGGGGTAAAGTAGAACTTCACTATCGTGTGTTCCCTGTGTATCTGTCTTCAATATACTTGACTGTACATTCTATACACTATACTTCCTTGTTATTGCATATGATGGTGAGATTTCCAAGTCCAAGATCAAATCTCACAACAAACATGTCTAGGATAGGCAAATATGACCGCATCCGGCAAAGCGTAAACAACGCATACAACGTATTGCTCCACAAATGAACACTGCGGCACTCTCCATTAGTCCGATAGTTTTATAGTAATAGACCGACCAGACAATTCTCATGAAATCCGCCGGCCCAAGCACAACACAAACTGATATACTCCGTACATACTTGATAAAGCTGGTCACACTGTATGAGCTAGGTTCTGTACGAAGTAAACACTGAACCATACCTAGGTAGTAACGGGCAACTAAGCTCCGCAAAAGAAAACATATCGGAGCTCAAAGCCTCCATTTACACCCGGTTGTGCCCCGTAGACCGGCCAGATCGGTGGGCTCAGTCTTTATTGGAGGCCCGCATCATAGGCAAAGCCCGGGGTCCACTTGACTGGCTAGCTAGAGGCCGCAGAGAGAAGGTACATGGTATGATGCAGGACTGCGTTCATTTGAGTTGACGATACGAGGGGTGTGGACAGGGCACCTCGACGTAATAGGGTTTTGGATTGGATGGAGACGCATACATAATACGAAAATTGGAACATCCGCAGGGCTATTATTGATTGGGGTCTAATATTGTTATTTGCAGCGCAGAGAAGTATAAAGTCGGTCTAGTATCCTCCTCTCTAGCCTTTCTTTTCTCTATCCAAGCCATCCATATCCAAAGCCAAACAAACAACTTCTTTCAAACTCTTTTCAAGGTTTTTTCAACTACATCTATTCATAATGGGATCTGAGTGCACCTCTTGCAACTGCTGCAGCAGCGGCGGCACCGCATGCACCGGCAAGTGCGAATGCACCAGCTGCAAGGTATGTCTGAATTGTCTAGTGCTTTTGCTTTGTGCCTTATATCCATGATTGAGATGAGGCAAGGGGACTACATATGTACTAACTCCTTGTTCAGCACTAAGCCTGTTCACACACCTTCATTGCCGTCTTCCTCCAATATGACCCATACCAGACCCGGCCTCCCACTGCTATCGAACTAGCCGGGGTGCGGTGTCCTATCTGTCACGTTTATGAAATGCTCATAATTGAGATGGTTGGATGCTAGGATCTGTGGAGAAAAGGGCCTGGGGCTTTTTTGATGGGACGATTGATAATAGGTTGACTTCAACTTCATGTTTGTTCTTGTGATTTAGTTCAGAGCCAGGTGCTATCTATTATATATATGCTCGTTATATCATGACCCATCTCTTGCGTAATACCTACTTAGGTACATTCCTTAGCCATTGAGACTGGATGAGAACAGCCGAGCCCTTGGAAACCCATCGACCTTTGGCCTATGTATGACCTCCATGCTTATTTACGTGTGCGGGGTGTCGAAGGCTCAAATTTGTTTCTTGTTTAACAGCAAGTTCACGCTGTGTAAGTATAGTCAACAGGATAATATAGCAGAATCTCTGGTTTGAAGAGCCTCGGGCTGATGCATGAAGTATGTACGCTAACTGTAGGGGAAAAAAGGCTTGGGAACAACATGCGAGTAGTTTCAACTTCAACTGTAAATAAAACAACAGATCAAAAACAAGGTCTTTCGAGTTTCACAGCTCGTCTTTCGATCGAGGCGCAGCATTACCTGCCTCCTCACCACCTACACAGACAGCTGGCGAAGTGACAAGCATAGCATAAACGCACTTCTCCTCTTCCGATGTCTTCAAGATCTTGTTCTCCTCGCCGCACTCTAGAATAACCCTGGTGGACCTGTTTGGCCCGTTCCAGCACGACTGGCCATGATTATATTCAATCACAGTCTTCTCAACATTGATGACCTCGCCAGCCTCGTTGACCTCTTCAACACTGGTAGTCCCAACCTTAGAGAATTTACCCATAGACACAGAATTGCCTCCTTTCCTCTGGTTTTGCTTAGTCGACTCAAGGAAGCAATGCTCGTATGTGTATTCGCCCGCATCCTGCGAAATGCATACTCCCTTGAGAGCACGGAAAATGGAGGCTGTGCCATAGTCTTGCTCAAGATCGGCACGCTGGTCGCGCAGCTTATTCTTCAGACTGTTCAAGGAGTCCTGGGCCTCTTTGAGGGCATCCCGTGCCTGGGTGACGGCCTTGGATTCCGAGGAAGAATCTTCATCAGGCTTGGGCAAGATGCCATTTTCTTGAAGGAAGCTCTTAGCAGACAAAACTTTGCCTTCAATGAAGCTGACAAGGGACGGTGGGAGATAAGCCGCCAAATTGTACACTGCAATACTGTTAGTCAGCTGCTGGTGGCACAACAGTCACAGGGACAATTTACCTAGCTCAGAATCGTTGCAGCCATCTTCCTCGTTCTCCCAGTGTTCCCAGTTGACACCGTTGTCAGCACCGTCAGCCTTGGAGATTTCGTCCAAGTCACGATCCACAGCACCGTTTACATCCTCGGTGCCTTGCTCACGAGCAGCATAGTCCTCATAGCTCCGAACTGCCCGCTTGACACCCTCGTCATTAAAATTGGGATTATATTCCACCTTGAGCTTGGCCAAGATATCGACAAGCTCCTTCACATGTTCGCGGGCTTCATCTCGCTGGCGACGCACATCTACCAATGAATTGCGCAGCTCATCAACGCGGCTTTTAGCCAGGTTGGCAAGGGCACCAACCTTGCCCTTGCCCTTTCCAGTGCGGACAACCTTGCGATCCTGTTCCTGGGCGAGCTTCAGATCCGCCTCAAGACCCTGTTCCTTGGCTTCAGCACCTTGAATCTCAGCTTCTAGACGACCGATATTGTCTTCGATCTCCTTCTGCTGGCGGCCAGCATCGACGAGAAGGTCTTTTTTCTTTCTCAGAGCAGCAGTCATGGACTTCTGGTTTTGCTCTTCCTGTTTCCGCCATTGCTTGCCGATTTCCTTGCAACGGTCTTCGCACTTCGTGCCCCCAACACGTGCCCACTCATCGCTGCCATCACAGCACAGCTCATAGTCACAGATTCCATCGTTGACCCGCTGGAATGGAACATATGATGGCCGGTGGCCCTTGTTCTTGCAGTAAAAACCCGGGAGGCCGAGGGCTATGTCCAAATCACTGTTACCGGGGCGGTCAGCCACCGTCAGAGGCGAATTGCGCGAGATGTGGGAGCAGGCAGCCGTGCCGGGCTCATCGCTTCCGTCGGGACAGTCACAGAAGTCATCATTGACGGCCGAGAAAGGGATTTTGACGGAAGGATTTGAGATACAGGTGAATGTTGCCGGATCTTGGTAGAATTTAGAGACTAGGAAGTATTTTGTTAGTAACAGACTCTTGTATGAGGTTTCAAATTTCTATCGTAGATCCCCATTGCATGAACCCGCTGCGGAAACGGGTGGAGATCTAGCGTCAGGATGTATATACTCACATTCCGGGCCCACACCGCGGGGACGGGCAAGCTTTTCACTAGCCTGGGCCGTCGACCCAGCAGCAGCTAGTAACAGAAGCGATTGTGGGAGTCTCATACTTGAGGCATTGAGCTGTGTTTATGAAGGTGCGGAGGGAGCTTCTGGCCAGATGTTGATAGGACCCCGGCATCTAATCAGCGCTGAGTAAGCATGCTATCTTTCGCCCGGGCGACTTTATCGTGGCGACAGAAAGCTTTCATTTCAAGTGTATTGCAAACATGGGTAATGATGGTGGCAGGTAAGTGATTTGTATATTAATTTCTCATTTTTAACAATTCTGACACCCCGCTTTCTAGTATTCCAACCCGCCGCGAGCTTGTTAAAGAAGCGGCCCGCGCACCGAGCACAGCGCAAGTAAAAGAGACTCAGCGCGAACAGCAAGAGCACTCCTGGACTTTTTGTCCGCTTTCACACAGGTCCTTGGCTCGACCGATTGTCTCAGATTGCGTCGGGAATCTGTACAATAAAGACGCCGTGCTCCAGTTCCTACTTCCAGGTGACGATGGCGAGGGCATCAGCTCCAAGGCTGACTGCGAGGAAATTCTATGCGGGCGCGTGAAGTCGCTCCGGGATGTGATTGAGCTCAAGTTCGAAGTCGACACCGAGCTCGAAGAACACCCATCAGGTCGTGCCCATGCGCCCCGTGAGCGCCGCGAGGGCTGGATCTGCCCGATCACCGCAAAGCCACTGGGCCCGAACGTGAAATCTGTGTACCTAGTGCCATGCGGGCATGTGTTTTCGGAAGAAGCTATTCGCCAACTCAAGGGTGACAAGTGCTTGCAGGTAAGAGTACTCCAATCGGTACAGTGGAGATGATGGCTGACTTTGTCTACGAAGTGTAACGAACCCTATACCGAAGAAAACGTCATATCAATTCTCACCACAAAAGAAGCTGACAAGCAGCGGCTCATTGCACGAGGACACAAACTTGCCGAGCAAGGCCTCACACACTCCCTCAAGAAGGCACCCGGCTCAAAGAAGCGCAAGAAGCATGCTACGGAGAGTGCAGCTGATGCTAGCTCGGAAGCTTCCAAACAATCGTCCGACCCTAAAAGTAAGAGCAGCACTTCCACCGCGGTCGCGAATAATGCATCAAGCAATGGAATCAAGAATGCTGCCACTTCTTCGCTCACTGCCCGAGTGCTGGCGGAGGAGAACGAGAAAAAGAAGCGACGGAAGATGATGCGCGAAAACGAGAATATCAGCAGTCTATTTTCTAAGAAGGATGGAGCCGCCAAGGGTGCCGACTTCATGACCCGGGGATTCTCCATCTCATGAAGGGGCTTTTGCTTTTCGATTGTACATTTGGACATGGGGAGTTTTCTATCCGGAGTACACATGGGTGTTGTCTTCTTTTTTTCTATTCCTTGACGGCCTACAACAAAGATACACTAGCAAACTTAACAAGCATATCAAGATTAAATTGTACATTTTTCTAAACTGAACCCCCTTGCCATGACGAAATGAAATAAGAACAAAAATGCAATTCAATCAGTAGTTCTAATATACAGAAGATTGTCTCATATAAAAAGGGGAAGATGTCTCCAAACTTTCTCGTAACAAGAAAAGCCACTCTTAGGTCGTCCTCTTGGGCACCTTCTTCTTCAGAGCCCTCTTAATCAAACCACTTGAATAGAGAGCAGTGACAATGGCCTTCTTGCGGCCGAGGTCTTCGTCATTGTCGTGGCGGGTTTGACGAACGTCGAAGATTTTGACATTGGACAGTTCAGCGGTACCGTTCTGGTCCATCTTCCGGTGAAGAAGTGTGGGGTTCAGACGGTTTGTCGTTTTGAGGAAGGCCTTGTGTGCGGTGAAGACTTCTCCAATGGTGGTAGAAGAGGTGATGACGGAGTCGGAAATGCGCTGGGAGGTCAATTTGGACAGGCGAGAGAAGAACTAGGGTTCCAGGTGAGCAATATTCACAAACGTAAGAGTTGGGGGGAAACGAACATCAAACTTGACTTGTCCATCAGTCAGCGGGAGAGACTTAAGGCTGCTCTGAATTGAGCCCGGGACCTTCGCGTCGTACAGGCGGTTGTCGAGCTTTCCGGCGTCCTTTAATTTCTCGATGGCGGCGTTGAAAGCGGTTTCCGTCTCATGCCCCCCTACAAAACGGAGCAAATGGCGCATGGATTTCTCGCTAGTAAATCGGAGTCGGTCGCCCCATTGTTCACCCTGTCCTGAGATCTTGGTCGCCCGAATCTTCTTGCGATGCTCATCGAAATTGAGTCCTGAAATATCTTTACCCATCATTTGGGACAGACCAATCTCCACGACAGCTTGGTGCACAGCCTCGCTGTGAGATAAGCGCTGGGGGTTGTTGTACCATCTGTGGGGTGGGCATGGTTAGCAGGTCTTCGAGCAATACGGCGTCTAGTCAAACAAGCTGGGCCAAACGTACGGCTTAACAACATCGACCTTCTCATTAGGGCCCTTAAGACGCCATTCTTGTTCCTTCAGGTAGCCAATCTTGGGCATATCCTCCAAGTTCACGAATTCGGTTTCTTCGGTTTTTGTTTGAGTTTCCCCATTCTTGGCTAGACTGAACTCCTCCTCTGCCGGTTTTGTTTGGGCTTCGGCCGGGCTCATAGCAGATCCAGGCATGATTTGACTTCCAGAGTAGGGGTCTGCTTGGCCGGGAGGTGTGTCGGTGCCCCAGAGTCTGCGCCGAGTGCGCTCGAGGAATCCGGGGGAGTTGGAGGCATAGTGGCGGAATTGACCGAGCGGCGAGATACGGGGTGCAGCAGCGATTCTGCAGCTAGAGCAGACAAACTTTGCCTCTCGCAGAGGAAGGCGCATTGATGGCCGCATTTTGGGAGTGGGCGCGGATGGTAAAGGCGTCTGCGGACTTTGGCTACGGAGAAACAAATTCAAGAACGGGTCACGTGCAATTTTGATTGCTTGGCATTTTGTATTCTCCTGGCGACACCGAAAGATCATCTAGTTATTGGCATTTTCTATCTTTTCTAATCCTTTTCACCTCCTTTTCACCTCCTTTTCACGTCTCTTATTTAGTCCTTCTTGAATCTCTTTGAAGTCTCTTTCTATCCCTTTTCGATTGTAACTATATATCTGTTGATTACGCCTTGGTATTTAGCTGAATACCTTCAATATAAGCTGTCCTAGAGATAAGCATACATGAGATGATAATCTTGTCCTGGATTTTTCCTCTAATACCTCTTCAGCCCGGGCCTTCTGAGGATAAAGAGGAACCATGTTTGGGTGGCCACCTACAGAGTAGCCTGTACTACAGCAACCCAGAAAATCACCCTCAAAAATCAAGTGGAAATGAAGATGAACAGAAACGATAACGAGTTATACAGTGAAAAGAGCCAGATTGAGGTAGGTGTCTCTCAATGTCAGGAAATTTGGGTTCAATATTCGATATGCTTCGAAGTATCGGACTAAACCCGAAAATTTTCGGAGTTTTCGCTGATAGTCGCATTCAAACGCCTATGATTAGAAATGGTTGTATCAAAGCCATCAATATATGAACAGGCATATTATCCCATCTTCTTTTTGTCATTTCTTTCTATCCAACCACTCAACCAGCAACAACTCTTGAGCTAAAGCAGTATGCCAGCTCCATACAGCACAAACACCACCACGACGGAACTGGTCACCGACTACAGAAGCCTGATAAAAGGCAAGGTAGTCCTAACAACAGGTGTAACCCCAGGCTCACTTGGCGGTACCTTTGTCCAATCGATTGCAAAAGCTAACCCCGCCTGTCTGATCCTCGCCGGTCGAGATCTCTCCAAACTAGACCAATTTGGTAAAGAACTCAAAGCTGAAATTCCAGACTTGCAAATCATCACGGTACAGATCAACTTGGGCTCTTTGGCCAGTGTTCGCAATGCTGCAGCAAATATCAATACAAATACGGACATCCCAGTAATTGATGTTCTGGTAAACAATGCCGGCATCATGGCTGTGGATTATGCTCTCTCGGAGGACGGGATCGAGTCGCAGCTGGCGACGAATCATCTTGGTCCATTCTTACTTACCAACTTGGTAATGGGCAAGATCCTAAAGTCTGAGAGTCCTAGAATTGTGATGGTTACCAGTGATGGGCATCGGTTAAGTCCTATTCGATTTGACGATTATAATTTTGACGTAAGTGTTTTGTCTAATTCTAGGCTTCTCTTTTGTTCCATTATTCTTGGTTCAATAGTCTGCTAACGAGTGCCTTTTGAAGGGAGGCAACACTTACAACAAATGGGTCGCCTACGGTCAGTCCAAGACTGCCAATATGCTCATGGCACTTTCGCTTGCATCCAAGCTTGGTACCAAATATGGCTTGCTGGCATTTAGCCTACATCCAGGAGTCATTTTCACCGGTTTAGGCAGCCACTTGGACTGGAACGGAGATGTGGGATTGCGTGAGTAACTCTCCTGTTGGGCTTAGGATATGAATGATACATGTCGATACTGACCTTTACAATCAGAATCTGTCGATAGACAGCTTGGCAACCGCGAAGGATGGAGTGAATTCAATTTTAAGTCATTAGAGCGCGGTGCAGCCACTCACGTCTACGCAGCGTTTGATCCTGCTTTGAATTGTATGTACCCGTGGCGCTCATATACATCCTACAGTGGACTTTTTTGTGCTGACCATGATATACTTATTCTATTTCTAGCTAGCAACGGTTCTTATCTTATCGACTCGCATGTTGCGGATCCGTTGGTTGATACTGTGAAGTCGTGGGCTATAAGCAGTTTTGAGGCGGAAAGGTTGTGGAAGATGAGCGAAGAGTTGGTGGACCAAGAGTTCACCTATTAGTACCTAGGTTTTGTGTAACATATTACACAAGATATATTACAATCACTATAAGCTGGAATTTGAAGAAAATAGTCATTCATGGTATGCGAACTATATATACACATGCATCGCTGATATCACGCAAAAGAAACAAAACCCCTATATGTACAATTTTACTCGCGGACAAACATACCTGCCATACCCATACCGGTACCAATACACATACTGATGACACCGACCTCCTGGCCACTGCGCTCCATCTCAGGCAGCAGAGTAGCCAGTTGGCGGGCACCAGTAGCACCGAGCGGGTGACCGATAGCAATAGCACCACCGTTAGGGTTAACCTTGGCCTGATCGATGCCAAGCTTGCGAACGCTGTAGAGAGCTTGCGAAGCGAAAGCCTCGTTAATCTCCCAGACACCGACCTCGGGAACCTCGACACCGACAGCCTGCAGAAGCTTAGGAATAGCGACAGCAGGGCCAACACCCATCTCATCGGGAGCGCAGCCAGCAACAGCGGACGCAACCCAGCGACCCTTGATAGAGCCGGACAAACCAAGCTCCTCGGCAGTAGAGCGGCGCATCAACAGGGTGGCAGCAGCACCGTCGCTAACCTGCGAGCTGTTACCAGCGGTGGAGGCACCATCAGCCGAGAAAGCGGGCTTGAGGGCTCCGACCTTCTCGAGGCTCAGGCCGTGGCGGATACCGTCGTCCTTGGACACAGTCACGTCCTTGGCGGGGGCATCTGGGTTCTCGGGGTCGAGTGTCTTGGTGGTGACGGAGACGATCTCAGAGTCGAAGCGGCCGGCCTTCTGAGCAGCGGAGGCCTTGGCATGCGACTCGACGGCGAAAGCGTCCTGATCCGCGCGGGAAATGCCGTAGCGCGAAGCCACGTTCTCAGAGGTAATGCCCATGGGCATGATGCAGTCGCGCGCATCCTTGGAGTGGGACTCCTTCAGCTGGGGCCAGAGGACTGTGGGGATGGCGCGGGAGCCGTAGTTGCGGGTCATGGACTCCATACCACCGCCGACACCTACGTTGATGGCGCCGGCGCGGATGCCGTTGGCGATGGTTGTAATGGCGGCGAGACCGGACGAGCATTGACGGTTAATTGTGTTGAAGGGGACGGAGTGAGGGAATCCGGCGTGGATCTGGCCCATGCGGCCGGCTTTGGCACCACCTAGCTCTTGCAGGACGGATCCAATGAGCACATCGTCGATTTGGGCGGGATCCAGGTTTGGGTTGGCCTTCAGTGTTGCTTGCAGCACGCTCGCGAGTAGCTCCTCTGGGTAGGCGTCCTTGAAACCACCCTTCTTAGCGCGGGTGACGGGTGTGCGCAGAGAGGAAAGAATGACAATATCATTGGGGGACTTTTGAAGGACCTGGCGAAGACCCCGGGGAATTGGAGAAGCCATTTTATGTATGTTCGGAGGTAGATTGACAAGTTACACTGAGGGTCTGGAGTATTTCCGGTCTTTCTCGGAGTTAGCTATAATAATAACAATCTCCAGGATATTAAGGATACACACTCACTTTTGTACAGAGAGCAGAGGATACAGTAACAATTATCAAATCTGGGGACGCCAGAAATACTTATAAGAAATTGCCGGGCAAAATTCCGGGGTCGGAAGTGATTTGGGTCAGTTACCGTTGCGGCATTAAGCATCGGCTAAGTGGTCTCCCGCCGACTTGTGGGGAGATTCGCCACTTTGGATCTTTATACCTTGTATGTACCTATAAATCAATGATATAGAGACTTAAATGTAGTCAATCTCTCCAAGAACCATATACCTTACATCTATGATCTCGCCTTCAAATCTTTTGAAAGGACCATGAGAGAAAGCCCTATGGGCGCAGTCGGATCTTATGTCAGCTTCGGATCGGAACCCGAAAAGTATTGCCGAAACTGATCTCTACTGCTTGTATGTACCTACATAGGTAGGTTGTTTGAATTGGAAAAAATAACATGCATAATCATCGAGATTACCCAGATGGTGGGATTGACTGTATAATAGACTGTCTTGAGATTCAATGTGGCCCCCGTGCGCGATAGTAGCCCCTAATTAGGGCTATCTATTGATGACATGACGTTTGACCTCATTATCCACCCCAAGCCACAACATATCTGGCCGACTATAGTGACCGCACACGTCCACAAATGCCCGAGATTTAAGAACTTCACTCAGATCCAAATGATGATACAACATCCTCTCTTCCGTGTCAGGTATATCAACCGTCAGTTTGCGCCCATCAGGCCCGAAAATTGCAGAGCATCCACCTCCGGGGATACCCATTAAACCGCCCTGAGACTTCATCAAGTCGATACCAGGCTGACTTATAAGGGCAGTGGTGTGAAGCACAAATGACTGCGACTCAATGGCGTACGTTTGCGCAACTGCCGCGGTGCCTAGTAGTTTAATTAGCTTTTTGCTGCTTCCAAGTGTCATGCTGGAGTGAGTCCGACCGCTACGCGACAGTGAATAGAGACCCTTGCCGTCTTCGTCACCAAATAGTGGGGGCCAAGCAGCGACATGAATCTGTTCCCGCTGCGAGTAGGTGTGGTACTTTAGTAGAGGTTGAATATGTTCCTAGCATGACAATGCTCCTATTCGACCCGCAGCTGTATCGGCGACGCTATCGAGACAATCGCCGAATGAGTCCCCGAAGATAGTTCGCTCCATGTGAGTTGCCTTGACTTTCTTGCGGGTGACACGAATTTCGCCGTCTGCGTCAATGATGGCTTGTGAGATATACAACGAGTCGTTGACGTTCTCGGAGAAGCCCAGTATTACAACGATCTTATGCTTTGCGGCGCACTCCTTGATTCTCAACATCTGAGCAGATTCGAGCTTCAAGGAGTTTTGAATGTATCGCGTGGTCAGTTCCATGTCAACCGGCCGTGACCTTCGGATGCTCATTTCGTCAGATAAGCATCATGCAATGAAAACTTTAGACCCAACGTACCATATCCAGGCTGGATATCCAGGCACCCAGCATTCCGGAAAGGTCACAAGTTGAGCCTTGTTTCCCGCTGCTTCAGAGATCAGTTTGCATGTTTTATCAACCGTACCGTCCAGATCGAGCCAGACAGGTTCCGCCTGTGTGACGGCAACGCGAACGAAGGATGGAGAACAAGCCATGGATACAGTAGGATCAAAAGGTATTCTAAGGCTATGAGTACTTTAAACTATCTTTTATAAGTCTTCGATGTAATTGTGGGGGGCGGCATAGACCGAGGCGAGGAACTCGGGATTTGGATAAGATCCTGGAGACAATGGGTCCCTCAATAGTAGCACCTTACGTTTGTCTTCTTTGATATGAGATAATAGCTGAATCTACTGGTGGTTACGTTTTCAAAGATCCTTCTAAGGTTATCTCCAAGTGATCTAGATTGATTGCTTCTACACGCTAGACACACATGCTGTCTAGTCGCATCATAAACTTTTTTTTTGAGTTGGTAATAACGAATGTATGGATTTGAAGAGTCCGTATCAAGACACATACCTTCTCGATATATCTGATGCCTACCTCAATTCCATTCTCATCTTCAAAGTCATCCTCGTCGCCAAAGTCAAAATTCCCAGGATCCAGACAAGTCAGACAAGTAACAACAACATTGTGATACCTAGATCCCATACGTCTTCGGAGCTCACCCACTGTCAAAAGAAGCAATTGCTCTTGGAATAGTGATCCGCGACTCGGTCCAAGAGTAGATGCGGGAGTGAAAATCGACCCATTCCCATCATCCTTAGTATCTAGAAAGTGGTTTGTCTCATGTAATTGAAGTGGCATTTCTTTCTCCTTCAAGTTATCTGGCTCATCTTTCTCATCAAGTGCCCTCATGTTAACGATGATTTGCTTCGGTGTTCTGGAGATTGATCGAACCCGCATCCCAGAAGTCTCTAGAAAGCGGTCTTCCTCATAGTCCACGATAGGCGCCTTGATGTCATCAATGATTTGCTTCGATGTTCCGGGGATGCATAAAAGTGGATTGTCGGAAGAAGCTTCCAAATTTAAGTGGTTTGTTTTATCATTCTCGTTAGGCTCCTTCAAGTCAATGATGGTTCGCTTCGATTTTCCGGGGATTGATTGAGGTGGGATTTCGAAAGAAGTGGTCCAGTCTGGCCGACTGGTTTTGATGGTGATATCATAAAGCGCAACACAGAGCAATTCACCGTTCCTATGGGTTGCCAAGGAAGGGTCATATCTACAGTTGTGCGAGACCATACCCTTACCTACATGTGATTATGCGTGACCTCACGTGGACATCAGAACTTCAAGTACACCGTCAACATGCTAAGTTTTTCAATTGCCAAATGCCAACGCTAACCGGATATGGTCCAATAACAGTTATGATGGTCGCGTCGCCTGCAGTCAGCGTGGCTTATAAGATACGAGTGCGGATTATCTCCAAGGAAGCAGTGGCAATTCCAACGCGACTGTGGATAGTGTTCTATTCATCAAAAGGTTGGGGTGCATATAGGTTTCGTATTACTATAGCAGTAAGCTTCTGGTTTTTTATCAAATTTTTGGTAGCGAATATGCCGAGAATGCGGAGCCCGCACTGCGAGTGAGAATTTGGTTTCTTTTCATGGTCTTTCTATGTGAACGACACTCTACAATAGGATGAGTTCCTACCGGGAACACGGCATTACAACGTCCCGTGACATCTGGAGAGGTCAATTTAAGCTTAATTTTATAATCCGGAACTTAAGGCTCGAGGTCACAAGTGACCCCACTCAATATCATAGCATTATGCTCCACATAGTAACGATCCCATCCCAGAGATATCAGTTTTGTCCCTTTTGAGCGCCGCAAGAAGAAAATAACGTGAAAAGCATATCGACAATCCTGGCCTCGATTCCAGGAATCCCAGAAAATAGCATATATATACGAGAAGATGGAAGAAGAGAAGATCTCAACAGAATTGAGGGAATAGACAGGAGACATCAAGATCAGGGGAATCATACAATCCCGTAACCAGGAAATATGTACGGAATGAAAACAAATAGACACAGGCGTTGAAGTAGAGCCTTGTCGAGGGTATGAAAGAATCAAGAACCAGAACCAGAACATATAGCGAACACAAGAGAAAAAAAATTATCAAATGCATGGCAAGAACTAAAAATTAGATTAGTATATGGTCAACGAAAAAGTCATCGTCAAAACTCACATTCATCACAATAAGCATCGGAATATCGAACACATCACGTTTGACTGTCCAGCAGTACGCGCAATCGACCTTTCCATCCTTGAAGCCAAGCTGGTTCATACCAGCCTCGCCAGCAATCCCACCCTTACGGAGATGATTGTTCCATTTCCCGTGATCGTCAGGAGCAACCTCCATATCCTCCTTGGTCTTGTATTTAAGAAGCTTGCATCTCGTCATGACACTTCCGCGAGAGTCGCCAAATGCCAGACGAGCAAAGTCCTCATAGAATTCCACGACACTGTCGTCGTCAAGGAGCTCAGCCAAGAAGACAGGTTGTGGGTGGCCAGCGGTGGAATTTTCTAGCGTTGAGCCGCGGGGCGTGAAACTGCCTCGCGACGTTGTCCCAGACTGAGGTACACCTGACCCGCCGGTGTTGACGTTCAGGTTTGCTTCCTTGCCCAGGAGAACGTCTTTCTTCCACCCGGTAAGGATGCTGAACTCCTTGCCTACGGCGGCGATTTCACCGGTGCGTCGACAGACGATTGTCGGTGTGCCGCAAGCATTGATGAAGTCTTCGTATTCCCACAGTGTTCGCTGGAAACATTTTTCCATGAAGATGAGATCATCGCGATTGAGTGTCTTGGTAGTTGCGATAAAAGAGGGTCGGATAGATGCGAGAGCCTTGGCGATTCGCACGGTCTTTTGTGGCGAAAAGCGACGTTGTATAAAAGCAGTGAGGTTGTGGAACCCACTTGTGTAAGCATAGGGCTCTTTAACGCTCTCGTATATTGAAGAGGGATTGCGATGACGCCGTTTGGAGCCAATTTGCAGATTCGGGTGTTTGAGGATCGACGCTGATGTCACCTGGCGCTGACCATTCGGTATTAAACTGTTAGACTTGGTATGAGCAGAAACATTGAATGTGCCATCGTCAAACGTAGTCGTTGGGATATTTGGACTCGGTGCCGAGCCAGGGCTAGTTAAGTTGGCAGGGCCGCTTTCGATCGCAAATGCATGCGGTGCATTTGCTTTCATGTGTTCGGGAAGCATGCCATTTTGACCATACACACCTCCGACATTCACATGTTGGCCCGAGGCCGGTCCAGTTGGCCATTCGTTTAGAAGAGGATCGCCGAACATGAATGGTTGATTTCCCGGGCTTTCCCCAAATCCAGGAGCTGGTGTGGAGAACTGTGCAGATCCGCTGCGGCCGATCGACCCTCGCTGTCCTGCGGAATCAGTCGGAGAGTCACCGGCCCCGGTGGCCATGTGTCCAAGCATCCCAAATTCTAGAGCACCATATCGATTTTCAAAGTTCATGCTTGAAAGATCAAAATTAAAAAGTGCGGGATCACTCGGGTCGAAAAATGGTCCTGCAAAGGGATTCTGAGGCTGGCTCGTGTCCCCGGAAAGGGCAGTACTTGGGGTAGGCTGCTGGTTCACAGTCGAAGAAAGACTAGGGTTCCGGCCATTGGTACTGTTCTTCATGTTGAAAGTAGGTGAAACGGGCGATTGTGTCGTAAAAGGGCTTTGGCTCATAGGAGGATCTTGATAAACATTGTAGGGGCCTGGCTGAGGCTGAGGCGTAGGGTAGAAGTTGTTATTGGTGGGAGCTTGTTGCTGACTGTGTTGTTGATTATGTTGCTGGTTGTGCTGCTGATTTGAGTTGACGGAGTTTGAGCCATTTCTAGACATGGGCAAATTATTGCGAAGCGTGTTATTGTAGAGGTTGTTGGTGCTGCCGGTTACAGCTGGCATCAATGCTCCATCTGGGGCATCGTGGAGATATTTTGCCTTCTTGCGAACGCCATCATGGCACGCATCTTGAAGGCCACGCTTGATACAACGTTGACACGGTCGTTCGTCGCCTAAAATCCGCATATATCAGTGACAAGCCCAAAAAGGTGCTAGAAGCAATATTTCACCATACCGCAAGTCAAGTGAGCTCGTTGACAGGCAAAGCAAGCTCGCCGGGCCTTCTTCCGTCGCGGTCGCGAGGGGTCCTTGGCATTGGCAGCTTTACGGTCCGCCTTGCTATCGCCATTAGTCTTGGATTTTACATCCATTTGCTCGTGTTCCGTCATATCGGCAGAATCACGATCCCCGCTTAGCTCTGCAGGAACCGGGGAGCCGTGCTTGGCTTCCATGTTCATTTCGGCATGTATCCCGAGGCGGGCAGTATCTAGACACGTCCACGAAATTGAAATGTATCACCAATTCAATGACCACAGGCCCTTAATTGTGCCTTCGGAGTTCGATCTAAAGTAACAAAGCGTGGTGGCGGCAATACCAATGATACCATCCGCGCTTCGATGTCGACGGGCGAGCGGATCTCCGTGCGCGATATTCTGCCCGACTGTAAGATAAAAAAGGTCGCAAATAGTCGTTTGTCCGTTTCGATTCTTCTTCAAATCTTTCCGGGTCGCTTCTCGGGGTTCGGAGGTCTATCCGTTTCTTGGGTCCTATAATCGCGCGTTTGCGACTACAGCTAGTGGGGAATCGGAGTGGCGGCGAGCCGAGTCACGAGTGTAACGGGAGACAATGGAATGGAGATGCGACGGGTGTATGATCTGACACATCGAAGGAATTCAATGTGGTTCACAAAGTGAAAACTTGGCGCAAAGCTGACGAAGACAGGAAAATGCCGCAAATGTTCGGGCGCGGTTGAGTTGGAGTGGAGAGGCGGACACGACTTCGGCTGCGGGGAAGATGGGAAGTTCTCTCCCAAAAAGAGCTATACCGATATGAGGTCGGTTGGAGAGGCCGGTGAAGAATGAGGAGTAAGAAAAAAAAGATTCGCAGATATGCGCGGGGAAGGTAGAAGAAGTGGATTACTCTCTCTCTCGAAGGGCTTGATCGGAGTGTTCCCGTGACTGGCAGGAGTTTAACACGACACCACGACACAGTCCAATTGCGAAGGGACTATAAAAGACTCGCGTGAGTGACTAGGATGAAAATGTTCGAAGTTTTTCTTTATTTTTTATTATGATTTTTATTAAATTTTCTATTAAAAATTTAGGGCATTATTTCGCACTTGAAACTCCATACGAACTCTCAGCCCTGAGCTGGATATAGTTCGTAATAGCCACTTTTTACCTAATTTAAATGGCGCTTTTTCTCTCTTTTCCAATGTTGCTACCCAACATAATCTTACTTTGATAATTTTGTCTTATATTTGTATACAACTAGATCATCAAACGAGAAGTAAATAGGGAAAGGAGAAAAGGGGCCAAAATTCATAAAACACGTGAAGACTTCACATGCTGACGTTTAGAGCAGCGACAACTGGAGGAAAAAGCTCACGGCATTTGAACTTTTGTCTTTCAATTCATTACCGGTAACTGGTAATTTTGGGCATGTGTACAGAATTGTATTGGCTGAACCACGATCCAGTTTTAGATCGAGTTTGACGGTTACCGGATGACCAAAACCCCGGAGGCAATTGCGCGCGTGCGGAACATGTCAGGGCTATTGTATACCCGCCTTTGGTCTTTGGAGCAATTGCTATACTTCAAAGATACAAATTCAAGCATTGGAATCATGAACAATCTTAAAAAAATGCCCATTCTTTATAGGATACCCCCCGCTTTGAGACTTTTCACAGTTCCCGGGAATTCAATTCGGCCCCGTTTTGTTCCGAGGCTTGCTGAGCGTGCTCTACCGAGGCTAGGTAGTAAACAATATCGCTCACCATTGCTATAGATTTATCTGCAGTTGACAGTTGGCGGTTGGGGATGGTTGCCTGTGAATGGAATCCAAGACCACATGATGCTCATATACTTCGCAACTGGCCTGGGGGACTGGGGGCTGCCGGACAATTCAGTTCCGGGCCAACTCCGTCCAATCTCCATTCATGGAGGGGGAGGGATCTTTTTATTTTTAACGTGTCAAGCAACCTAGTATCAATGGGCTCTTTAGTCTGCTTGCTGGAAAGAACAGCCATATCGAATCTGCTGGTGTGTTTAGAAAATCAAGCAGAGCTGGAACGTGAGACATATCCTTGCCGGTCATGCGTATTCGTATTATTTTCTATGGTCTGCATTCACTTCTTGACTGCAGGCCGTACAGCATTTAGAGACGTTAGGTCTTGATCTAGAGTAATGGGCCAGGTACTATTTTCATCATCCACAGTAACGTCTCAGCCCGGAAACTTGCCAAAACATGGTCATGGGATACCCTGATCATAATTTACGGCACAACGTGTTCAGACGAGACCGGTCGACAAATTTTTGGGATGCAATGGCACCGATATTCTGTGGATTTCCTCGTTAAGAAGTTACCAGCAGTCCAATTATTGAAATGTATGGGTTATCATGTGTGCACAGGAGCATCGATCACGTTTGCGAGGTTGCAAATCGACTCTTCTTTCGGAGCTGCCTTCCATATCGGTAGAAGATGTATCTTGTATGAATGTCAGTATACAATATTCGAGGAACACAATGGACTGTTGTGTTGTCTGATGTCTGACACCAGAACCATATGTAACTGGGATATCAAACTTTCCCCACTTGGGGCAACCTCCTTCGAGGTTGATGATGCAGGGGAAGAGCAAGTGGGTAGGTCAAAGCGCGAGCAATCAGGGAGAGCTCAAAGGTGCCAAGTAAAAACTTACGGAAAAGGGGTCATGACAAGAGTCAGGAACGCCAGCAAGGAAGTCGCCCAGTGAAATCCAAGGTTGTTGTACACTGCATAGCCGTTAGCTACAATCGCCACTTTGCCGTATGCAGACAAATGTAAAGCTTAAACATCAAGCTAAATTGCAGAGCCTGTTCAAGAAACTATGCATCGACCCGCAGCTGGAAGTATGCTTCCTATGAAACGCACAGACACTAGGGTCTTGTTGCAGTATACGAACAGAGCAGGCAGACTTACTTTGAATTCCAAACAATGGAAAGATACCTCCAAAGGATGACCGAGTGAAGCTATTGGCTGCTAGCGCGCTGGCAGCAAAAGTGGGATACGCATCGACCAAAAATGTAAAGATACCCGAGTATACCAGGATTGTGCTAGAAGTAACACGGCCTGTTAGTATCACACGGCACCAAAAGAAAATCCACAAAGCGATGAGGAATTTTAGGACCAACGGGTGTGGCCTGGTTGGGTGAAATTTGAAGATTGATCTTACCCTGCACCAAAAACAGCACTGCCAATGATAGGGGCAATCCAGTGGACATCAGGGTAGATTGTCCAAGCAAAGATGAACATGCCAATAGTTACCAAAGGCCCACCTAGGATAGCTTTTTCTTGTATGAGTCGACAGTTCCCTTGTGGGCAATTGGATGACAAGCTTACCTGGGGGCAGCCGCCACTCTGGTTGAAAATCCCCGAACTTGTTTGTCGCTTTCTCATGACTACGTTCCAGGCGAACATAATTTCGACGCCAAATTGGATCCGATAGGATGGCAATAACCATACCAACAAATAGGCCAAGGAAACATAGACCGCGTTGCCATATGACCATTCCATACACCTCAGCAAATACAAGCTGGAAAGCACCGAAAAAGAGATAGAGAATACCCAATAGGATGGCCGAGAAAATGCACAGGCAGAGGCACATAGGCTCCAACGTCAAAAGAAGAATAGGGCGATACATGGAACGCAGGACCGTTTGAGCTACTGTGCGTTGGAGCTTCTCGATCGGAGCTTTCCATCGGTCGTCTCCGGTCTCCTTGCGGAGCTTCTGCGCTTTGCGCCTCAAAAGCCTAATATTGTTAGAACTTCCTATTCAAGTTGCTGAAATCGAATGTCCATACACTGGGTGGTATGTCTCTGGGACAAAAAGGATTATCGAGACGAGTAACATGCCGGTCCAGATTAAGAGCACGTAGAACACCCAGCGCCTATCCATTTTATTAGTTTTTGAATTATGAGAGATACCGCAGAAACTGACCAGCTGGTAAATGCGTTAATAAAGCCACCAACCCTATTTTTTATCACTGTCAGTATCCAACATCGGAGATGAACAATCAGAAAAAACTTCACTTACAGAGGACCAACTTCGGGTCCTACAAATGGACTGGCAGTATAAAGCATCATAGGAAAAGCAAGCTCATGACGATCAAACATATCGCCAACAGTGCCTCCAGCAACACTCAAGAATGCACTACCTGACAGTCCATTGAAGAACCGAGCGATGAGCATGGTCTGGGTATTCTTAGCCACCGCACATGGAACAATCCACACAAGAAACAGCGAGAATGAAATGATGTAGATGTTTCTCCGGCCATAGAACTGTATCAAGTCAGATCAATCAAATCTCGGATTTTGCATGGAATCAATATACTTCAGATAGAGGACTCAGAAATAGCGGACCAATCCCTTTAGTAAGAAATCGTTAACACAGAGTTCAAAAAAGCACAACAGATCACCACAAACCAAGTCCCCAAATATAAAATGACAACCCAAGAGTAGCAACCTCCTGTGAACATCCAAACTCCCTCATCAATTGATTATACGTGGTGGTATAAATTGACGAGGTGCAGGCCCTAGCTAGGTCAGCGCATGCGATTCAATGCCGGCCCCGCGGCGCAGACCACACCGTGATATACCAGTACTCACACGCAAAGCGAGCCCAACGAAACAATAATAGTAATCAACCAGCGTCGACCCTTACTCATATTCCGCGGATTCATTGGATCATTTTCATCCCAACCAACGGTATATTCCGTATCTTGATCCGCGGCCTCATCAATCTGATCTGGACCAACACTAGTTCCATCATTCAAGGACCAACTGCGCTCGATGGATCTGATCGATTTAGATGCATTAGAGCGCTGTTTTTGGAGCGGTGTGACGCGCTCGTCGTGTTGAGCGGCAATTGGTGCAAATGTCACATCCTGGGACCTCGACAGATCTAGTTCACTTTTGCTGTTATCGGGTGACCCGGGCATTTCTGTTTTCTCTTCGAGATTATCGTGCGACGTGCTTGACCGTGAAGACATATTGGATGGTTGGTCAAGCTTGTATTCTGATGTGTTTTTTGCTGGAGATGGCGGTCATGCTAAATCAAAAACAATAACAACTAAATTGAGCTAGGAAAAGTGATTAAAAGCCTTATGAGGACGAACGGAAGAAGATGTTCCTTTTATCGGAGGTCGCGATCCAAAGGCCGAGCTGATCAATCAAATTATATGACGGAAGCTAGTTTCTTTACGGGGGTCTAATTCCGTTGTCCACTTTTTTTGGTTCACATTGTCGAGTAATATCGCTCCGTCTAACCTGATAGTTGACTACGATAGTATTGTACTTGTTCCTAGCATACAACCTGGATCTCTCTAATTATGAAGATAAAAATCTCAGCGTCTTCAATAGTACATGGACATCTATGTGGATATAAATATTCTCCGATGCCAAGATAACGTGCGCACACGTGGGAGCGTTGGATAAGGTTGCATATGAAATCTCCGTTCAACTATCGGACCGAAAGTGTAGTCATATATACTAGGCTTTCGGTCCGATATTTCATGCAGAAAATTGAGATAATTGAGATATGTTATGTTCAATTAAGCTATGGCTAACACTAAGACAAAATTCATCACGCTCCGGAACACCACACGGCATCCAATCCCAGCAAAAAGTAGTAAAAGTCCGTTTCTCCAATCCCAAAACACCTGATAGTCATCGAATTGATGCTATTCTCAATATCAAACACCAAATCTCAATCGAGACATATCCATGAACCATTCCAAAGTCGGGCTGTACAAGAAAGCAATGCGCCAGAAGTAATCGGATTTCCTTTTTAGTGAAGGCTCTACAGGGCCTGACTTAACTGACCCATGGCACCAGCGGCGTTCTCCTCGGCCCACGAGCCCCAGAGTGCTGGCTTACCGTGGATCTTGAGGGGACCACCGATAGACTTGGCACTCTGCTCAACCTTGACGGCATCCTTTGTAGCTAGAACCAGAGTTTCAAAGAACATCTTGGTAGCATCGGCCTTGGACGAGCGCTGCTCGGGGAGAAGATCCTGGAACAGCACGCTCTTCTTCTGGGAGGTGGCGGAATCACCAAGCTTCTCGCGGAGAATGTGCACGGCATGCTTGGTGCCCATAGAGACCGGCTCGGTGTCCACGGGGTAGATGGTGTCGTCCAACTCCTCCATGGGTTCCATTTCACCTTCACTCAGGTGCAATTGCTCATCGTCGTCTCCGGGGAATTGAATCTCAGAGCGCTGGTTCAAGGTGGTGTCGAGAGCAATTCCCTCGTCCATAGGGGCAATGGCTTCCTCATCACCAAGCTCGAGAGCAGGGACATCAGCGGCAGCAACATCCATATCAGAGATTCCACTGTCACGCTTACGCTTCAGCTCACCAGCCTTCTTAGCTGATTCCAAAGAAAGCATTCCACGCAGCTCGGGTGCCCATCCGCGTCCACGATCCTCGCCAAATACGCTAGAGACGAAGTCCCCATTCTGCTGGCGGGTCATGAGAGTGAGCAGGACAGGGTCACGGGGCAAGAAAGAAGCAGGCTTAAGGATGGACGAGCGGTCGTTCTGCTGGTTCTTGAAATTGGAGCTGGAGATCGCAACTTCGTTGTCCAGTGCGAGAAGCTTCTGGCGCTTGGTGCGCTGACCCTGCTGGGCGCTGGTGGCGTCAGGAGTGGCGTTTTCATCGCGGTTGAATTCTTCCTCCAGTTGGTTCATTTGATCGGATCCAGCGTCAGAAAGGGGGCTCTCAGTGTCGCGTTCAAATCGGTTTTCGGCAGGGCGGGGGGTCTCGTCGCCACCACCAAAGTCGTCGTTGCCAAAGTCCATGGGAGCATCCGGGAGAAGATCATTCACGTTATCGAGGCCATCGTCAGCAAGGTCCATTTTATCCAGAGGTGTGTCATCATCCCCAAGGTCCAGTTCCAAGTCGTCGCCGTCGTTGAATTTTCCAGCGTCACTGAAGAGATCCTCTTCGACTGGACGAGGCGCGGGGGCGTCTCGACCAACTTCCATGGTCGGGTCATTTCCAAGAGGCAATTCATCGTCGCCAAAGTCGAGATCAACCAAAGAAGGATCTTCAAGGCGAGCGGGTTCCTGGGAAACAGAACGGCGGAAGCTACTGTCGGGGAGAAGTTGGCTTCCAAAGTCCATACCGCCGGGCTGCTTTTCAGCTGGCTCCAGGTCAAGAGTTTGAGGAAAAAGTAGAGATGTATCGAGATTGGTGAAGAGATCAGATTCAGTAAGCACATCGGGGAGAGTAATTCCACCAGGGGCGACGACAGTGTTAGTCAAGTCATTGTTATTTGTGAGACGGAAGGCCTGACATATATTGTTAGATCAAGTTGGGTCACGATTGCTTTCAAGTATGTACGTACCATTTTGATTTTCATCAGAGCTTCATTGCAGTCGTCGAGGAGGTAGCGAGCCTTGCGGCTGTAGATTCTAACAACACCCAAGAGCAATTGGCCACTCAAACGCAAGGCCATGGGAGCCTGGCCCTGGTCAACAATGGCATTGACACTGCTCTCAATGTCGGACTGGAGAATGTGCGACTTGGAGAGTTTGCGCTCGATATTGGCCGACAACCAAACGCGAGCCAGTGGCCCGGTTTTCGACAACAGAGTCTCAGAATAGAACATGATGTCTTTGACGTAGTGAGATACTATACAAAGGCGAGATATTTGTTCACCAAATCTTCAAGAGAAAAGACCCGCCCGGCGCGGGGATAAAATGGAAAGGACGACGCGCTGAAGCCGGGGAAAACAAAGACTCGGGCGATGACTCGCACTCGGTAATTGTATCAAAGAGGTTAAAGATGTAGTCAAAGAATAAGACGAAAATCACCGCTTAGGTCGCGTGTATCTTAAGACATCGAACACGATTAACTTGGAGGAGACTTGCGCGCGAGGGATAAGATCGAGTTGGCTGAGAAACCGGGAAAGATGCGCGTCGGTGGGAATAAGGTGTCAATCCCATTTTTGCTGAGGTAATTGAGGGGGCTGGGAATGTGGTCCACGCCACATCAGTATTTGAAGTATCCTCTATACTAATTTACATACAAAAGGTACATGCTCTGCTCTCTTGGTATCTACAACGTAGTTCCACAAACTCGACGGGAATGAGTACTTTGACTAGTGCGGAGTATTCTCATTTAATAAATATCAATGTTAAAATATTAGAAACCTATACTGGTAATGATCTCGAAGCTACAGAGTAGTTCTAACTAACCTTTCACACAACTCTATGATATCTCCAGTCTAAACAGTTGGCGATGTATTATATTCAGGAAGCCTCTTCAAGAGATTCTATGTTTCTTTCTATCAATATATTTTTCGGTTTTTTTCAACGTCTTTGGGGTCTTCTCTTTTCTCTCTTTGGATACGCCGTAATGAGATAAACAAGCACGTGACTTATTGCGCTATTCCTGAAGCAGATCCTCGGATAAACTCCCTACCCGGTATCACTAAGCCGCAACAGGTAAAGCATCATCATGGGACTTGGCCTATTCCAAGCGCTTTTGATGCTGTGAACGGAGTCAATTTGCGGTTTGGATCACAGCAACAAAAGGCTGTTTCGCGAGCGACTTGTATTTTAGGTCAAATTGTTAGTTCCTCCATTGTTTGGTTGGCCGACCTGCGCCAATTCCGCAACTCCACTCAGTTTCAACCCCCCGTGAAGCTACTGCCAGATCGCATCTAACGTGGCTTGCCGCAGTATTGTCAATTCTAATTGAGGCGGTATGAAAATTATTTCTCGACAAATCTAACACTTCATTCGATCGCCTCTGTTCTATCTTCCAAAGCATGAGAAATGTCAAGGTCGGCAACACCTTCATTACCTTTGCATAATGCATCAAACACCGATTATTTACGGCCTCCCTCTACAACCCCTATGACCGGGCGGCCAGATGCTCCATCATCGGTGAGTTTAGTTGAGCAAAGTGTTTCTTTTACGCTGTTACATCCGCCACGCCTTGGCACCTTTAGAGAGTAGTGTTGCTAACACAAGTCTTGTGTCCTTTCAGACATCCACCTCCGCATATTCATGGCTCGAGCCTCATGAAACCGCCGAGCGACTACGAACCTCTCTTTTACATGGTATAACCCCCGCTGAGGCGGAGGTACGCTTAGCACGAGATGGACCGAACGAGCTTCCTCACGATGAGCCGGAACCCCTGTGGCTACGGTTTCTCAAACAATTCAAAGAGACTCTCATCCTCCTGCTGCTCAGCTCGGCAGGAATCTCGTTCGTGATGGGCAACTATGACGATGCCATCAGCATTACTCTCGCGGTGACAATTGTGGTGACAGTCGGTTTTGTGCAAGAGTACCGGTCGGAGAAGTCATTGGAGGCGCTGAGCCGGCTTGTGCCCCATTATGCCCATTTGATCCGTGATATTCCAACTACATCCTCCATGGCAGCCGAGAATAGCGGTACCCCGCCTTTGGACTCGGGCAAGGAATTGGACGAACTTAGGAGCAAAAGTCCAGGTTCGGCATCTGCCGCGGTCAAGGCATCTTCGACCGTACCAGCTAACGAACTCGTGGCCGGAGACTTGGTTCTTTTCACTACTGGAGATCGCATTCCCGCTGATATTCGGATCACCGCCGCAACGGACCTCAGCATTGACGAATCGAACTTGACCGGTGAGAACGAGCCTGTCACAAAATATGCCGAAGCTCTGCGAAGCACGCCTGCTGGCACCACCGCAGCGTTCAAGGGACCAGAACCACCTCGCTCGCCGTTTTATGATGCACCAGCTACTGGTGCTGTCGGCGCTGACATTCGATTGAATGAGCAGCACAACGTTGCGTTCATGGGTACATTGGTCCGCTCAGGCTATGGCCAAGGTATTGTCATCTCGACCGGTGCAAAGACGGAGTTTGGCAGTATCTCGGCTTCTTTGCAAGATATCGAGAGCCCTCGAACCCCGTTACAATTGTCTATGGATCGATTGGGCCAGGAACTAAGTTATATCTCATTTGGAGTCATCGGACTGATCGTGGTTATTGGTCTTTTGCAAGGCCGTAAACTTCTTGAGATGTTCACAATTGGTGTTTCGCTGGCCGTCGCAGCCATTCCGGAAGGGTTGCCCATCATTGTCACAGTCACCCTCGCCCTAGGTGTTCTGCGCATGGCGAAGAGAGGGGCTATCATGCGGAGACTCCCCAGCGTTGAGACTCTGGGCTCTGTCAATGTTGTTTGTTCGGACAAAACCGGCACCCTGACTCTCAACCATATGACGGTCACCAAGATGTGGCACTTCGACTGTGAGCAGCCATTCGAGATTCAAAAGGATATGACCACGGTGATTGCTCCTGGGCCTGCAGCGCAGACGATTCTCCGTGTCGGAAACATTGCCAACAACTCTCGGTTGTCGCGGATGCACGCCAATTCACCTGCCAGCGCATCTTCTGCGGCAGTCCTTTCCTCGACTCTTAACAGCGATTCAGCTGCTGCCAAAAGTCGCTGGGTAGGCCAGCCCACTGATGTGGCTATCCTCGATCTACTGGATAACTTAGGAGAAGACGACGTGCGCGATCGTATCAGTGCTCGAGTTCATGAGACGCCATTTAGTTCCGAGCGCAAATGGATGGGTGTCGTCATTGGTAGCACTTCTGGCTCTTATGGAGGTTCCCACGTTGCCTATATCAAGGGTGCTCTCGAACAAGTCCTGGCGCGCTCTGACACCTATTTGACCAAAGATGGACGAGAAGTCATTCTGGATGAGCCTCGGCGCAAGGTCATCAGGGACGCAGCAGAGAACATGGCATCAGAGGGCCTTCGGGTTCTTGCTTTTGCCAGTGGGGCTGTCCGAGAATCTAGAGGTAGCAGAGGCTACCGATCCCCGAAAACCGCCCAACTTGATGAAGATGAGCGGTACAACGGTCTGGTCTTTGCTGGACTGGTGGGTATGAATGACCCGCCTCGCAAGGACGTACACAAATCTATTCGCCGCCTCATGTCTGGTGGAGTCAGGATCATCATGATTACTGGTGACGCCGAGACAACTGCTGTAGCAATCGCGAAAAAGCTCGGTATGCCCGTTAGCGATGCTCCTAACGCACGTTCGGTCATCCGCGGCGATGAACTCGACCGAATGACCGCTGGCGAGCTTGCCCAGGCAATCTCAACAGTCTCGATCTTTGCCCGTACCAGTCCAGACCACAAAATGAAAATTGTGCATGCACTCCAATCTCGCGGCGATGTGGTTGCCATGACCGGCGACGGTGTCAATGATGCACCTGCTTTAAAGAAAGCAGACATTGGTATTTCTATGGGCAAACTTGGTACCGATGTTGCCAAGGAGGCAGCGGATATGATCCTTACCGACGACGATTTCTCGACTATTCTGCGCGCCATTGAACAGGGCAAAGGCATTTTCTATAACATCCAGAACTTCATCACATTTCAACTCAGTACCAGCGTGGCTGCACTCAGTCTTGTACTGCTAAGCACCACTCTTGGCTTCAAGAATCCGCTTAATGCCATGCAGATCTTGTGGATTAGTAAGTCACTCGACGTCCCTAATTTAGAATTCCTCTCTAACAAGTATAGACATTCTCATGGATGGCCCGCCAGCCCAATCCCTCGGCGTGGAGCCCGTAGACCCCTCAATTATGAACCGCCCACCGCGCCCCAAGACAGCTCGTGTCCTTACAAGACCTCTGATCCAGCGTGTCCTCACCCAGGCCCTGGTCATCATGGTAGGCACACTGTCAATTTACATCCACGAAATGGGCGATATCACCGACGGTTCTCCAGTGGACAAGCGTTCTCGCACTGTAACAGCCCACGACACAACCATGACCTTTACCTGCTTCGTCCTCTTCGACATGTTCAACGCGCTCAGCTGCCGGAGTGAAGCCAAGTCCGTGCTCCGCGGTGAGATGCCGTTGTTCGGAAACACAATGTTCAACTACGCCGTGCTGGGCTCCTTGGCCGGCCAGGCTTGTGTGATCTACCTGCCCTTCTTGCAGCGCATTTTCCAGACCGAGCCTCTTAGTTTCGGCTCTCTGGTCAAGCTGTTCTTCATTGCCAGCTCAGTCTTCTGGGTCGACGAAGGCCGCAAGTATTTGCATGCCATTCGTCGTCGCCGTGGAGTCGGCTCGGGATATAGTGTCAACGTCTGATTGATGCAATGCATCCATGGATGGGTCGGATCCCCTGTTACGATATTAGAGGTGTCCGTGATGCAGACATGTGTAGTTTATCATATTTTGATCGATATTCCATATACATAATAGAGTTTTGTTGGTTGCCAGCATACCTGTTGTTCTTCCCAAGCATGAGTTGTCGTAGCAGTCTATCTGGGGATTTGATGTGAGTGGCCAACATAGTGTGAAATTAGATGTGCTCCCAGATCTACTTGTATTTGTCGAAACATAGCATCCCGGATATTCGTGGCCTTTTCCTAGGTCTTCGCTGCAGGTGTCACTTCGTGTATGTAATATCTCTACATATGTTTACCTGTTGTAGATTCTTTGGTATCGTTCAAAAATATTGACTAATCGTTTTATATCGAAGGCCTATAATGACCCCCCTCTCTCTCCACTTATATATTGTGGTATTCCGCCTGGTCAAGCTTGCATATGTACCCAGTTAGACATGCGGCCCAGCGCGATACCCTTCGTACTACATCTTTATCCACGTTCTCAACGCTAATTGTTTGCAAGAAAAAAAAAAGGCAGGCTGTCATCTTCATAAGCAATAAGAAGATGGCAAAAAAAGTGACCGACGCAGGGATCGAACCTGCAATCTCTTGATTCGTAGTCAAGCGCCTTGCCATTGGGCCAGCCGGCCTTGAGTGAAAGCTTGTCCCCAAATTGGCCTTCTGATTCCTAGGCCTGGTAATATGCTTCAAAACCCTCATGGTCTCGAGGAGATCTCGGGAGCATCTAATCCGACTGTCACAACGCTAGACTCAATGCGGAAATTTCCTCATGAGCTTATCGTGAGACTTGTCAGCTTATTCACCATGGTTGAACAGCGTTAAGTATTGAAAGTATAAATCGTCGATGATTGAGATTGCCTCTTTTGCTGAATTTTCGGTGTCCCTGTGTGGAATCTCGAACAAAAAGCACAATATATATAATGTAAATTTCGGTGAAGTTTAAAGTAAAGCATACTTAGATCAATGACCCGATATTACCTGGGATATCGAAATATTATATCTTTCTAGAATGGATTTCCCCCACAAGCAATTGGCTCCATTGTTACTCAGACAAGGATTGACCGAAATGAATATGCTATTAATACTTATATGGACTTCTAGTTATACTCCGTACATAGAAAACGTTGTTCGAGACCAGAGGCTGAAGGAAGGCCCAGTCCCGCGGGGGCGGATCGATTGACCCTAGCTGACACTACTGCAGAAAAGTCCCGAGAACCCAGATAAACCAAGTCTTCACCTGGGCATACGGAGTAAATTGTCAAATATCTCTTTTTACAGTAGTAACTAGTTCTAGGAAGTCGATCTAACGGTTAAAAATCTAAAGTCAACCATGTACCATATGTACAAAGAACCATATTTCGTACAATGTTTAAAAAAGAGACTCCGGCACCGGTGGCAACCCGAACTCATACGGCCCGGGGGTCCGGGTAAATTCGGGCTGGCTTATCTCTGACGGTGTTCAACCAATCAAAGTATTGTGGGTCTCAAGAGGCAAATTTAACTTTCTCCCGCTATACTGTTGACCAATCAACTGTCACAGATAGGAAATCTGTTATCTCGGAAATGTGAGTCAAATGCGTAAATCCCATCTACAGCAGAGATAAGCCATCGTTCTCTCCCTGGACTCCCCGGAAATGGACGCAAATGTTAAGATTTCTCGGATTGTAACTGATTTTGGAGCAATGGGTACCTGCAGACATAGAGATAGAGATCTAGATAAGCTATCTTTATCTTTTAGCCCTTGCAGAAGAAATAGAAGAGAATAGTATATAAAGATTGTACTATATAGAAGTACAGAAGATCCCCAATTCCCCTGTGGGAATCCACTTCCCTGAAACCCCAGGAACTGTTCCCCGGAGTCGATTCATTGCCGAATAGATTCAGTCACCGGTGACATCGATTGGGCAATGGGTCATACGAGGCTAACGCGCAAACGAAAACTGATATCTACAATACGGAGTTGCTATGAATTTCCCTCAACAGGGGCCAAGACTTGCCCAAGACTATTGGCTCTAATGGTCACTATCAACTTTGCCACCATTTCGGCTCTCTTTGCCGGATGATGAAAGCGATGAGGATGAGGACATGTGAATATTGACTTACTATAGGATATGAGAAGTTGCAATTGGATAAAAGATGAACACATATATTTCCAGTATTTTCCAATATCTGGGGGAGTGAAGCATGGGGTGAGATCCTTACATATCTGACTTAACCACTCCCTGTTGTAGTGATTAAGCTGATTATCCCATTGATATTGTCACAATCTCTGACCAAACCATTTTCTTTAACCCGATTTTCTCCCTACCGCGCCTTCCTCTATCTTATTGTTATTTTGTTTCATCTCTATCTTCTTTTTTCTCCTTTATTTTATTATCCAGATACTTTTCTTTTCTTTTTTCTATCCCTTCAGCTGAAATATACATTCAATTGTATGCAAAGAGGGAAATTGCTGACAATTCTGCCTTGACCCACAAGTTGTCGATCCGCCTATCTCTGGAATTTTGATTGTACCAAGGGACCCATAACTACTAGGTTTCTTCTTTTTATATTCTTCTGATTTCCCCCCCCCGTGGCAAATTCTCCATCGCCGGAGTCCTTTTCTTCTTTTTATCTTCGGCATCTCCAATTCTTTGTCCTCAATCTACTTCTCTACAATTCTGCAATATACAATCACTGTCACTTCTCCCGAAAATAAAAAAACACCTCTTCGCAACTTCCATACCTTTCAGCTTCGAGCTTTCCAATGGCGTTCAACGGGAAGGCCCCGTACGCCCCGGAGTACGCATCCTACAACTGGATTGGAGCTCCTTCCAACTACGAGCTTTCCACCAATGCAGACCTCGGTGGTGATTCCCGTATGCAGCACCCGATTTAACACAATCAAAGCTCCCCAGTCTCTAATGTGGCATTCTTTCCAGGCACTGAAAATGTGAACAAATGGTTCCAATCCGGTGACCAGGCCTACATCATCGTGGCCTCTGCCATGGTCATGGTCATGATTCCCGGTCTCGGTTTCCTGTACTCGGGGTTGGCCCGCCGAAAGTCTGCCCTGAGTATGATTTGGGCTTGTATGGCTTCCTTGTCCGTGATTACTTTCCAGTGGTATTTCTGGGGCTACTCACTTGCTTTCTCGCCGACCGCCACCAATGGGTATATCGGCAACCTGCGCAACTTCGGTTTAAGGAACACTCTGGCTGATCCTAGCCCCGGTTCGCCTCTCGTCCCTAACTTGCTATATGCTTTCTATCAGGTATGATTCGAACATCGAGAAAAAGAATTAGGAATTGTGGCTTTAGTTCAGAAATGCTGATGCTGATGGATCCTTTAGATGCAATTCTGTGGTGTCACTGCAGCTATCGTGATGGGAGCTGTTGCCGAACGCGGTCGGCTTCTTCCTGCTATGGTTTTCACTTTCATCTGGGCGACTATTGTGTACTGCCCTCTGGCCTGCTGGGCCTGGAACGTCAACGGTTGGGCCTTCAAGTACGGTGTTATGGACTACGCCGGTGGAGGTCCCGTCGAAATTGGATCTGGATTCACAGCTTTGGCCTATTCGATGGTCCTCGGTCGCCGCCAAGAACGCATGATGCTCAATTTCCGCCCTCACAACGTCTCCCTTATTCTTCTCGGCACGGTTTTCCTCTGGTTCGGCTGGCTCGGATTCAACGGTGGCTCTTCTTTCGGTGCTAACCTGCGTGCAACCATGGCTTCCTGGAACACCAACCTGACCGCTGCCTTTGCGGCCATCACTTGGGTTCTGCTCGATTGGCGTCTGGCTCGCAAGTGGTCTATGGTCGGCTGGTGTTCCGGTACCATTTCCGGATTGGTTGCTGCAACTCCCGCCTCTGGATTCATCTCTCCCTGGGCCAGTGTGATCCTCGGCGTGGTCACCGGAATCGTTTGCAATTATTCGACCAAGATCAAGTACTGGATCCGCATTGACGACTCTATGGATGTGTTGGCCGAGCACGGTATTGCCGGTATTGTCGGTTTGATCTTCAACGCCTTTTTCGGTGACGACGCCATCACTGGCCTGGACGGTGTCAACACCGGCACCGGTGTCGGAGGCTGGGTCATCCACAACTACAAGCAGCTATACATTCAGATCGCGTACATTGTGGCGACAGCCAGCTACGCCTTCGTCATGTCCGCCATCATCGCATACGCCATCAACGCCATTCCAGGCTTGAATCTGCGCGCCTCCGAGGAAGCTGAGCTCCTGGGTATGGACGACGATCAGCTGGGTGAGTTCGCCTACGACTACGTCGAGGTCCGCCGTGACTACCTCGCCTGGACCCCTCAGAACCACGACCAGCTCGAAGACGGCCACCAGATCCCCGCCGCTCAGCGCTACGGCATCGGCGAGCACAGCGAGATGATGCTCGGCACTCCCCCGCGTGAGATGATGCTCGAGGGCCATTCGCCCAACGGCGAGATCAGCCAGAGCAGCCGCGGCGGTAGCGAAGGTGATATGGTCCACGAGGTTAAGATGGCCCCTGCTCCGCGGCAGGTCTCCGAGCACAACCCTCCCAATACACAGCAGGTCCATGCACCACCTGCTGTGCTGAGACCGGTCAACGAGAAGACAGAGAACTAATCTTTCCACTATACTCTCTGCCTTAATTTTCTTTTGCATGGCATATTGCATAACGCCATTCCGTCAGCCTTTTGATTTTTCTTTCTCGATATCCCTTGAGCGTGTTTTTGCGTCTACAAAGCCTGGGGCTTTTTGATTTACCTTATCCGTTTTTGTCCATTTTCTCCTCCCATACACTCCATCCTCTCCGCGATCCTCAATCCTACCACGCACTATATACCTTGCCACTTGTTGCTCCGGAAAAGCAACTGGCTTATACTCGTTTGGCACGGCGTTCTATTGTTTGATTTTAAGACCATGGGATATTAAATTGGGGGTCGCTTGTACATAAACCGTTTCATTTACCACAAGGATTCTAATCCTTCGCTTTTTGTCTATGTTTGTGCGGCAGTTGAGTGCGGAAGCCTAAATGACAGCTATTATTTACTTCACGTTTCCTCTCAGTTACAAGTAAACTACTTAGACAATACTCATCAATGTAGGCTATTTACATGTAATAGAGTAAAAAATCTATATTGGATCTTGGAAATCACAATCGAACGACAGATAAAAAGAACCCCTTCAACAAACAACTTGCAAACAACAAATCCACCTACCTCCTCACCATCCCCCTTACCCTAACTAACTCCTCTCGACTCAACTTCCCAACCACCTCAGCAGCATCCCCACCCCCTCCTCACCTCCTCCCACTCCTCCTCATCCATACTCAAAACGAGCGTCATCTGCACAACCCGCTCAAACACCTCACGATGCTTATACCTCCCTGGCGCACCAGCAACATATCCCACCTCAACAGCAGCCCCAACAAGGCCGGCGATGTCACGTTCGAGCCGGGCAGCACCAAGCGCGTTGATCCGTGAATGATACGAGTACAGCCTCTTCTCCAGCAGCCGGGATAGATACGCAAGCGTGACGCCGAGCACGCGATCGAAGGCTGGCGCGGTGAGGATGCGCGCGTGCGGCGCGAGGACGTCGGTCCAGGAGGCTGTGAAGCGCGACTTGACGAGTTCGCTGGCGCTGGTTTCTGGGTCGAAGGATTGGGAGGTTGGGTCGGGGGTGTAGTCGATATCGCGGAAAGCGTCCGCTAGGATTGGGCGGAGGCGGGGCTTTATTACGTTGTTGAAAATTACTTGGATGCCGTCGTTGAGGAGGTCTGTTATTTTAGATTCGAAGGTTGTTGAGAGGGCGAGAAGGGTGGAGTAGACTTTTGCGGCGGAGGTTGGGGATGGGAAGATGTTTTGGAGGTGGTCGGTTGTTTGGGTTGGGGAGGGGGTTTCCGGGAGTGTCTTGGAGCCTGTGTTGTTTTGGACGATGCGGCGGATGTAGTCGACTCCTAGGTCTAGGTTGTTGATTTGGACGAGGAAAGCGATGGTCATTTGCTCGGGTGGTTGGCCGCCTTGGACGGATGCGCGGGGGTAGCACTCGTCGCGCATTTTGCGCTGGGTCATGCCTATGAAGTCCGAGCCTAGGACGCGGGAGAGAGTGGGGACAACGTTTGTGACTACCGCTTCTTGGGAGGTTGCGATGGATTGCTGGATGACTTTGTTGACAATGTACATTATGTCGTCGACGGCGGAGGTGATATGCGGGGGGTCGGCTTTCAGGGGCCGTTGGATATTCAGCGTGAGGCCCGAGGGTGATTCATCCAGTTGGAAGGCCTTTTCGACCGAACGGCGGAAGAAGAAGGTTGTCATTGCGTTGAAAGGCGAGACCAGACGGTCGTTAATCTTTTGGGCCAACGACGACTCCCGAAGGAAACTGGGAAGCTCGAAGCTCTTCTCGGCGTTTTCATCACCCGGTGGCTGCGACTTGTTAGTTTCGAGAAAGGACAGAGGAGTAGGCGTACTGACATTACATGTATCAGCCAAGAACCGACAGTACAGCGACCACCGGCCTAGCATGATTGCCATTTCATTCAAAATGCCGTCGATCTCCTTCATATCCACTCCTTCCTCATCGGTTGCACCGGCGCCAGTGGCAGGGGACTGTGAGCGAGGCGGGCCTGGTCGTTGAGCAGGCAGGAAGCTCTGAACCAAGAACGTGAAGGCATAGGACTTAATATCCATCATCTTGCGATCGACATGCCGCTCATCACCCCATGTATCAAGGATAATACCACCCTGTACATCCGCCTCAATCTGTAGGCGTTCAATGACACGTCCCATTTTCCGTGGACCGTAGTGGTGTTCAACGAGCCCGCCGTGACCGTCAATAATTTGTGCAATATGCTCAAACAACTTAGTGAGTGCGCTGGCGTAGAAGAACCCGTCTTTTGTCGCACCGCCAGTAGCCGCATTGAGATTGGCACGAGCCTTCGCTGCCACGCCCTGGCACACGTAACGCCCATAGACATCGAGTCCGACCTCGGATCGGCCTATCAGGGGGAAAAGCTTGAAGAAGCGCGTGATCTTTGCGCCGTCGTTTTCTTTAACTGCCTTATCGAACTCCCGCAGAAACAGTCCGCATAGCGACTCCGCCGCATTATCCAAAGTCACACTTGGTGGATCTGGCACGTCGGCGGTAGGAACCATTTCAGCAGCAAAAGCGCCGTTCACAACCACGCTAGGAATCTGCGCTGCCCGGTGCAGGTAGCTGGCGGCTTTCTCCCAATCCTGGGGTGCGCCCATGGACCCGGCCACACCCAATGCACATGCCTTGAGTTCAGCCACCTGCTCAACAACCTCTAATGTAGCTTTGACTCGCGCTTTCTCCAGGTCCAACCGGCGGACGGCGCTGGAGATCCGATCGGCGGTGCCAGCGGCTTCGGAGAGCATGCTGTGGCTGATGGAGCGGGTTGTACTGGCGTGGGATCCGATGTTGGCGCGCATTAGATCCAGCCTGCCCAGTTCCCTGGACAGGTCTTTTTGGGATGTTACGAGAGCATCAAGACGGGCGGTTACGGATGCTTCCTGGGTGTGGAGGTGAGACAGCGTGGCTTTGATTTCGGCGACGGAGCTGGCATTGAAGATATCCGGCTGCGGGGATAGTGGTGTATCGGAGGCATTAGCTACCCAGAGAATTTCTGAGACATGCCCATTTGTTGTGGCCATTGTGGGCGCCATATGTTGCCGCAATGGTTTGTTGATGCCAACTATCCATGTTGTAGGCGGAGCCGGGCGGTGAGGGTAGTTTCTTACAGCTTCAGGTACTCCGTAGTGAATCGTGATACGATGAAACCCTGGGTCTCAATCGCTTTATATTTGCCCAAAAGAGAATATCATGTCATACATATTTGTCTCTGCGCCTTTGTCTATCTAGTAGTCTCATCATTTGCTCAATGTGGTTGTGAATCAGCCCGACGTCATTTTCATTTTCACCCTACACGCGCGCGACACCATATTCATTTTCTTTCTTTATCTTTCAGACGTGATTTAGAGACCTTGTTGACTACATAAAGTCCTGCACAAGATTTAAAAAGACCTTTTTTCTTGTTTTTGATTCGTCATCATCGGAATACCTGCAAACACATATCATCAGCACTGGCGCCCCGCGCGCCATGGGTAACGAAGAATCAACCATGATGGATGATACCATCGCCCCCTCAGTGTTGGAAGCGCGTAACATTGAGGCAGTGGCCAAGTACATCAAAGTTTACGATGTGAAGAAAGTCGTATTGATGGTATGATACCGATATCCACAACATAGAGCGAAGAAAGCTAATCATCGCACAGGTGGGAGCCGGCATCAGCACTTCAGCAGGGATTCCAGACTTCCGCTCACCTGATACCGGAATCTATGCCAATCTGGCCTTCCTGGATCTGCCAGAGCCCGAAGATGTCTTTGATATCGGTTTCTTCCGGGAGAACCCTAAGCCGTTTTACGCTTTGGCGCATGAATTGTACCCAGGCCGCTATCGCCCAACTATTGTCCACTCATTTATTCGACTGCTCTATGAGAAGGGTATGCTCCTGAAGCATTTTACCCAGAACATCGACTGTTTGGAGCGCCAAGCTGGCGTGCCGGGCGATAAAATCATCGAGGCTCATGGAAGCTTTGCCTCACAACACTGCATTGACTGCAAGGAACTCTACCCAGACGAGGAGATGCATGAAAAGGTCGCCAAAAGCGAGGTTCCCCACTGCCACAAATGCAATGGACTAATCAAACCGGACATTGTATTTTTCGGCGAAGCTTTACCATCATCTTTCTTCGACAACCGCGACCTCCCCGCCGAAGCCGATCTTTGCATCGTGATGGGAACAAGTTTGCAAGTGCAGCCATTCGCCAGCCTGCCATCGCTGTGCAGCGAGGGTGTGCCTCGCGTGCTCATTAACAAAGAACAAGTGGGTGGACTGGGATCACGCAAGGACGACGTGTTACTTCTCGGCGACTGCGATGCTGGCGTTCTCAGATTTGCGCGAGCTTTGGGATGGGAAGAGGAATTGGAGGCACTTTGGGAAAAAACCAACCCGGATCTTCAGTCGAGGGCGGAGGAGACTGCTCCCCCGCAAACTAGGGATGAACGGCTGCACGATGAAGTGGAGCGATTGACGGAAGAGGTTGACCGAACCCTGGGGCTGACAGAAGCGTATCAACGCAAGGTTCACGAAAAGCTGGAGTCACACGAATCACCCGAAGCACACCGCCAGTCTGGGGGTCTCGGCCACGTTTTCCCCCATCTCAAGCTGTCACATTAAGAATTATGATTTTCATGAAAGGAATATGGAATTAAATGAATACTTTGAGAGATTTGAAATTCAAGAATTCAATGAGATCATCGTCAGTTATAATTATGTATCTGTAGATGAGTAGATATAAATAGTTAAGTGTCAAAATAGTACGGAGTATGCAAGTCAACTACGAGTGCCAAGAATGCGCTGTTGATCCATAATACTCTGCCTATCTCCCTACATACGTAACTAGCTATCGTTGTAAGTAGTAATAATTTAGTTCTCCCCGAATTTCACCGGTAACTTAGTTATTTATATGTTGAACAGCAAAAGATGGTAATATTAGTATCTAATACGTTATAAATTATATTTTTGTATGCATATTAATAGAAAAATAAAAGACAATACACAAAGTATTCCAAACCAAAAACTTGACCGCAACCAAATCAAGTCAAGGTGATCTTTATAATTGCCCCACGTTCATATCGTCATTTTCCCCCCTCCTACTTTTTCTCCCTTTCTTCCTACATACTATTCAATTCACCTTAATACTCATTTATTCACAATGGTCGGACTTGGCCCTAAACAACCACCCTCCCGCAAGGGTGAGGCTCGTCTTCCCTGTACTGATTAAGCTGCACTAACCAAGTGATGCAGGGTCCATGCAGGAGCTGCCCCAGGACCTTCTGGGGCCCATCCAGAAATTCGAGAAGGAATTCACCGTCGATAAGGAGAGACTGAAGAAGATCGTGAACCACTTCGTGAAGGAGCTCGAGAAGGGTATGTTTATCCCTAGCTCCCCGATTTCTCGCGTCAGCCGGACTAATCAGCAAGACAGGTTTGACCGTTGAGGGCGGCAACATTGTGAGAACCCTAAATCCTCAGCTACGGAGATCAATTGAATGGCCACTAACTTCTAGTAGCCCATGAATGTTACCTGGGTTATGGGATTCCCCGACGGCCATGAACAGGGAACCTACCTTGCCCTCGATATGGGCGGCACCAACCTGCGTGTCTGCGAGATTACCTTGACCGAGGAGAAGGGCGCTTTCGATATCACACAATCCAAATACAAGATGCCGGAGGAGCTCCGGACTGGTACCGCCGAGGAGTTGTGGGAGTATATCGCCGACTGCTTGCAGCAGTTCATCGAGACCCACCATCAAGAGAAGAGCATTGGCAAGATCCCTCTGGGTTTCACTTTCTCCTACCCTGCTACTCAGGAGTACATCGACCACGGTATTCTGCAGCGCTGGACCAAGGGCTTCGACATTGATGGTGTTGAGGGCGAGGATGTTGTTCCCCCTCTGGAGGAGATCCTGAAGAAGCGGGTATGCAATTGAGAATGTGTTTTCACGCAATTCCCCACTAACTCGTTACAGGGCCTCCCCATTAAAGTGGCCGCCCTTATTAACGACACCACCGGTACGCTCATTGCCTCTGCTTACACCGACTCCGATATGAAGATTGGCTGTATCTTCGGTACCGGTGTCAACGCCGCATACATGGAGAATGTTGGCTCCGTGCCCAAACTGGCTCACATGAACCTGCCCGCCGACATGCCCGTGGCTATTAACTGCGAGTACGGTGCATTCGATAACGAGCACATCGTGCTCCCTCTGACTAAATATGACGAGATCATTGACCGTGACTCTCCCCGCCCCGGTCAGCAGGCCTTCGAGAAGATGACCGCTGGTCTTTACCTTGGCGAGATCTTCCGTCTTGCCCTTATTGACTTGATCGACAACCACTCCGGCCTTATCTTCAAGGGCCAGGACATCTCCAAGCTGCGCAAGCCCTACCTGCTGGACGCCTCCTTCCTTGCCGCCATAGAGGAGGACCCCTTCGAGAACCTGTCCAACACCTTGGACCTCTTCAGCAAAGAACTGGGCATCAACACCACAGAGCCCGAGCGTGTACTGGCCCGCCGTCTCTCCGAGCTCATCGGTACCCGTGCCGCTCGCTTGTCCGCCTGCGGTGTTGCCGCTATCTGCACCAAGAAGAACATTGACTCCTGCCACGTCGGTGCCGACGGCTCCGTCTTCACCAAGTACCCCCACTTCAAGGCGCGTGGTGCCCAGGCCTTGAGAGAGATTCTCGACTGGCCCGCCGGTGTGACCGACAAGATCGATATCCTGGCTGCTGAGGATGGTTCCGGTGTAGGTGCCGCTTTGATTGCTGCCCTAACTCTCAAGCGTGTCAAGGCCGGCAACCTGGCCGGTATCCGCAACATGGATGACATGAAGACCCTACTGTAAGGGGGTAATTCTGCTTTATTTGAAACGTCACCCTTGCTCTCTGTTGGGTTGGAGTATGTCTAGATCCCGGCGGAGCGATTTTACGAATATCAATTCTGCATGACTACTGAGCTCATGTATAGATTAGTGGTGCCTAGGTAGTATATACCAATGAGATCAATGAAAATGCACCCAACGGGCTACTATCCCCTTGAAGTATTAACTCGAGCCCTAAAATACCATTGGTTGTAAATCATGCGAGAAAACCAATAAGCCACCACACAATCATGTTCATCTAAAGACCAACTTCAACCTAAATTCCCGAATCTTCCTGCTCAATATTAAACGATTTATCATAAGCATCCCAAGAAGCACAATTCTCCTTCAACCCATTAATATCAATCAACGGTTCAATCTCGCTTTCCCGCTCCAGGAACTGTATCGCAAACCCTTCATCAGTATGCCACCCAATATGACAATGCATAAGCCAAGCACCAGGGTTATCCGTCTGAAACGCAATAAGCAAAAATCCATTTCCGACAAGTAAAGCCGTATCCCTCCGCGGCGGATTAGCAGTATGCACAACCCCATCCCACGGATTCGTCCCCTGCGCCAAAACAAAGAAATCATGCCCATGCAAATGAACTGGATGCGCAACAGGAATGCTCGTGTTGATCATGAGATAAACCCACTCGTCTGCCCTCGGGAGCTCAATGACGCCGCTTGAATTGCTGAAGTCGGGCGTGCTCGCGCTGTTGAATAGTTGCAGTAGAGTCGGGTCTTCCCAGAGGACTTGCATCGTTGTGCTGTTCAGATACCAGCGGAAGAGATTCGCCGAGTTCTTCGCCACCGTCACGTCTGTCATGTTGCTCCAGGATGCTGCGGAGACGGTCTTCGGGACTTGTGGGACGAGACTGGCGGCTGGTTCGTCGACGCAGCCATCGACAAATGCCAACGCGCTTGTTGTTGGTGTTCTAGGTTGGGTGCCGTAGTACAGTATTCCTCTGATGTTTTCTGGACTGGCGTTTTCAGAACAGGCTTCTTGTGGGATTGCGCGGATCCAGAAGGAATCGGAAACTCGACGTTGGTTGGCTGTTACAATTACGTCGTAGCGTTGGCCTGGGAGGGTTAGCGTACATGTCTTATTGTTGGCGGGGGAGGATGGGGAAGTAGTGGTAAGAGACAGAGGGATGGTACGAACCCATTCCGATATCGATATAATCCGCCTGGAAAGGCTTGATAGGCACGAAGTCCGTGCCAATAACGGTCAGAGTATGATTATCAATCATGAATTTAAAGTGTGTATCGACGGCCGCGTTAACAATCCTCAGCCGATACGAAGATCCCTGATTGACCTTCAACTGGAACCGTTTGCCAGTAGCTTGGGTGCCATTTCCAAAAACATTAGTGCCGTTAATTAGGCCGGTATCCATTGTAGGGGGACCGACAGTCTGAGCACTCAAATAGAGCTCGTCGACAGTCGGGTGCGACCAATCGGACAGGAACAGACTGCCCTTGTCAACGTCGTAGTTTGCAGTGGCAGGACCATTGATCACAATCCCACCAAAGACACCCTCCCAAGCCTGCAGGCCAATATGGGAATGATACCACGAGGAGCCGTACTGCACCGCGCGCCATTTGTAGGTAACGGTCGAGCCAGGCGCAGTGGGGCACTGGGTGATTGAGACCACACCGTCGTTGCCATTGGTGTAGTTCTGTCTGATACCGTGCCAATGAATGCTGGTGCCATTTTTAGATGTTGTCAGGCTATTTTTGACATGTACGACGACCCAGTCGCCCCAGTCTGCGAAGATGGTAGGGCCGGGGATTGTGCCATTGATGGTCATCACTGGACGGCTGAAGCCATCTGGTGCTAAGGTGAGATCCTCGAGATTCATCCAGTACTCGCGAGTCACGCCTGTGTCTGGCACGATCTCGGTGTAGTCCGTGTTGATATCGTATTTGCACCATTTAGACCTGGTTTTAGCTGTGTTGCCAGCACAGGGTGTTCCTGTTGGCTTGTGAGTCGTCTTGGTGGCTGTCTTGGTATGGATGGTCTTGGTATGGATGGTCTTGGTATGGATGGTCTTGGTATGGGCTTGACTAGGTTGAGTTGTGGTTGCGGTTGTCTTTGTCGTGACTTTGTGGTTTGCAGCATTGACTTCATTCTGCGGGAATGCTGAGACTGTAGCGCCCAGACTCAATGCTAAGAGCAGCAGGAATCGGATCATCATTCTTGCTGTATATCCAACAGAGACGTCTTTGCAAATCGTAATACTCTTCCAACGGACAATGTATAAAGGAAATAGATAGAGTTTTCAACTCGTGTAGTAGTCTAACAGTCTGAAGCAAGTAAAGCCCGAAGCATATGAAATGATAACGAATGTGTCTTGTTGATGATAGAAACCAAGAGATATATCCTCTACTTAAGCCATGAGCTTGTAATTAGGTCTCGTACAGCATGATCAAGGGAAACTCTTGTCAGGAGAGCAAAACGCCGTGCGACATCTCACGGGATGCCCTAAGTCTGGACCTCACCAGCATATGCCGGGTAGCTTTGCAGACCAAACGGGAGAAAGCAAGAGATTCTTACACACATGACCATTCAGCGGACGAATGGTCTAGAGAACTGACGTACTTCGAGTTCGGTTATTGAGGCTATGTGTCTATATCTGGACATGCGACTAAGCCGCCAACTCCAACCCAAAGCCCGCTCCCTGCATATATCACTCAGAAGTAAGAGAATGGTCGGCTCGGGAGACTTCTCAGCTTCGCAATTGGTGAATAGAAGTTCTATCAAGCCCCGAGAGGTACTAACTGTTTCAAGGAAATTAAATATTGGACATTGCTTTTGGATCGTATTGATGATTGCCGAGTGAGGTCCCCGACAGGAAACTAGGGCTGCGTGTCTCAGATTACCGAACCAGGTGTCAACTCAGCGAATGGCGGAGGTTGGAGAATACTGGTTGTCTGAGTCTTGTTCGATCGCAGTCAAATTGGCTTGCATGGCCTGCATTAGGGTTAAGTGCCCCGGCAAGCCGAGGTCCGGGTTTGGGTTGGCTGTTCCATTTTCAGCTATATACGAGGGGTAGTAAGCAATCAACGCGCAAGGTACGCCAGTCATTTACAGCATCACAGATTGCATGTTTTCTTATGTGGCGGTATCAGGTGGTTGTGATTGTTGATTCTTGTGAGCAAGCGTTGACGTAACACTTGCATCGTGGGTGGGTCTTCATGCCGACCATTGGGGATGAATTGGTTGGAATTGGGATGTTGATATGGGAAAAATAGTCGATCAATCCCTAATACTAGTAAGGCCACTCGTACTTAAACCAAGTGATCCTGGTAATGATTGCAAGGTACGGGCCCTCGTCAGCTCGTATCAGGCTAAATTAGAATGATGGCTTAGAAGATACAATAGCTGGACAAGAAAATTAGGGACTGCGATCAAACTAACTTTGAAAAGAGAGGAAGTGTTGCCTAGAGTTTGCGTCACCTTCATTTACATATTGATATCTCGCTCGCTATACTTCTGAGGTCATTTCCCATCCAATCTATAAATCTTCTCAAACGCGAGAGAAAAGCGAGCTATAACTTCTTATTGCTTCATAGAGCACCTATTGAGAGATGGCATCTTTTTTCATACTCCCTCTGCTTCTCACCTTCGGGTTGGTCTGCTCGGCGCATCCACTTGACGCACGACAGTCAACTGCCCCCTTCAAGCTATATGCATATGGCAAGGGTATTAGCGGATTGCCTGTTTTTTACAAAAATGGTATCTCAACTTCCAAATCAATGACGCAAAGTTAAGATCTGACACTCAATTCTACAACAGGAACTGCTGAACTTGCGGATACCGCTAAAGTTGACATGACCGGAATGGTCTCAGTTGACTGTAAGTCAGTCCAATATCGCTGGGAATATGCATCAATGAGATCTGTCGCCTGACTATCCCACAGTTGCCTCGTCAACTGACTCGTCAAACAATTGGAATGCGTACCCCAGCTCCACAGAACTGTCTGCTCCATTCTCGACAAACATGCTGTGCCTAAGCCAAGGCAATACATCGGCGAACCCGGTTAGCTTCTGCGGGACATCCAAGGCAGAGCGCTCAGACAGGCTTACCGACATCTGGACACTGTATGGCAACTATGTGCTGGTCACGATAAGCGGGGTTAATTTTTACGCTAAATCAAATGGCACAGACGGCCTGTACTCGCTGCTTTGGAGTACCTCAGCTGAAGCAATGACAGATACTATACCGCTAGTTCTGCGGACCACCAAGCCGGCGACGGGTTCTGTGCTCGCTTGAGCTAAGCTGGGGGGACTTACTGGCGACCAGTAGATAAAAGAAGCTGTGAATGCGGAGGATTCTCCTCTGTCGTAAGAGGTGGTCTGTGTTCGTAGGGCGTGCAGTAGCTCGCTCTTAGCTCTGTATCTCTGTGTTGGCCCGGGAATTCCGTTACCGAGAATGTGGCTCAGCTCGGCTTTGCTTTCCTTTTCTTCTTTTGGTTGGGCATACTGTGATTGATGTGTGAGATTTGATGGGCTATCAGGCATCAGTTCTTCTGCAGCTCTGCTTTGCGGTGAGGGGAGCGGGGGAGAGGCTGGGCCAGAGATAGGGCTTCGGAAAATAACCATCCATGAATGCATAACTACATACATTTATGAAAATAGGAATATGTTTACTCCTAGATAAGTCGTAGTTGGCTTTCGTGGTCTAGATTAGGTCCCCACCGATTTCTATTTGACATGCCATACCATTTCAAATTAAATGGTAGCTTTACAGGCCGGCTTCCGATGGGAGCACATTTAGTGCAATGACGCTGGGGGTGGCATGGCTCGGCTTTTACCTTGTGCCGTAAGCCACACGCAAGTTGCGGTCTAGCACAACAAAAGCTACATAAGGTAATTTACCGGGGGATGATAGAAGCAAGTCTATGCTCGTGCTATATTGAATACCATTTCAAGAGCTCTAGCTGAAAGTATGCTCCAAGTAACTCATCAGCAAATCAGAAACACTGAAACAGCGAAAACGTAGGGTTTATGTATATATACTGCATTTCTGCTGTTTTATTATACATAGGTTACTACTGCTCACAGATTAAGAGAGACTAAGTCCCATGAGAAATATCAGAAAATACCAAGATAGTCCGCACATGGCTGATATCCATGAATTATATCAATGTCGAAAGACGATTCTAGGTCCTATGCATAATGATCTGTCAATCCATCACTACACTTTCCACGTGATGCATTTAGTAATGAATTTGTGATTATAGAGAAATGAGCTTGAAATAAGATAATCTTCTGCAGATGTCTATAGAACGATCTGAGTTGCCTCAACAGATAGGAAGCATTGATAGTACCGTCCATATTGCCATCTGCCTGGCTTGAATGTCTGGCTTGAACTGACACCAAGAGACGGACCACTTTAGATACCCTCCCATCCTGACTCTGTGAACACCATTGTTCGTCTGCCCCGAAGCTAGCTCAACGATGATTAATTCCGAGAATGTCTCTCTTTTTCTGTTAGACCAAAGAAAATATAGTCTCCAGAACTACATATACAACCTGAGCTAATGAAGTGGAGTTGTTACAGCCTGCCACAAACCCCCCCACAGCCCCAAAGCGAGGATTGACGGTTTAGCGGCACGGGCCGTCGAGTGGCGGCTAGTAGTTGGAATTGCACCATCGGGGACCGATGGCCTACCAAATCGTTTGAACAGTTGATAGAAACCCCTAGGGCTGATATACTCGGAAGAGTGAAAAGAACAGAAAATGATTTCAAACAAAAGAAAATCAAGTACATATACGACAGGGTACGTCTGGGTGACCAGAAAAGGCCCTTGCTGGACACAACCAGAGGAATTGGAAGGAAAGCCCAACTGTTAGCAAGCAAAGTGTTGGTAGATAATCTCAAACGAAGACAAAGAGCCCAGATCAAGTGGAATAAAATAAGATAAGGAATGGACTAGACCAGATGGAAAAAATGACCCAGAGAAGCAAGGCACAGATGGCCAAATCAGAAAAAGAAAGGAGGAAAAAAAAAACGAGAAGAACCCGATGCAAAAAGAGCATTGATATCGAAGACAAAACTCCCCATTCTCCCAGACCCATAAACGCCGAACTGAAACCTGAAACCTGAAACAAAGTGCTCCTTAGAAAACACCGGAGCTTCCCCCTAAACCATTGGTAAATTGATATCACGATAACCATTGTCTTGACCGAGAACAAAAAAAAAAACAAGAGAAAAAAAGAACACCCCCCCTTTCTACCTTTCATCTGTACCATATCACACCAGTGAGTCGGAAAGTCATCTTAAAAGACCTAAACTCGAGTCGATCGTTTCCGTAAACCAAATTCTTGTTCTTGAAGCTCTCGTATCAAACGAAGGCTTTCCTCGTCTGCATCTTCATCTCCCGTCAAATGTTGAGCATGCTTATGCTGACGTGGGGACAATGATGTAGGGGCATGGCGATGGAAGTGCTTTTCATACATCGGAGAGCTCTTCTTCGCATGTGAAGACGATGGACGTGATGAAAGCTTTCTTGTCGAAGATGGCGGAGGTGTTGTCTTGCGCGTGCCGATATTGGAAGATGTGGCCCGCACCGCTGGCTTCGTCGCCCGAGACGTAGTCGATTCGGGTGCAAACCGATCAACATGACGGGGCTGGCGAGATGAATGCCGAGAGCTGGAGTTAGGTGTGTGGAGGGCAGTTGACACGTCTCCTTCCACAGATTGTACTGCATCTCCCTCTTGGACCCCATCCATCTCGTCGGCCAGCGACGTAGGCGGCGACACCAGGGATGTGTTTGGCTTGGATGAAGACACGGACATGGAGTTCAGATCCTTTGCATCCACAGACCCAGCCTGAAAGGCAGGTGGCGAAGCGTACAGAGCTTCATCTTGAGGTGCCTCGCCTACATCCGGCAGTTGTTTTGTGGCATGAACGTGGTCGATTAGTTCGTGATCAAAAGCCCCAATCAACTCGGACTGCGCCATCTGCTCATCGCCATCATCATGACCGAAGAAGACAGCTGGTTGTGTCATAGGTGATGTACTCTCTTGCTTTGTCTTTTTAGCTGCAACGGGCATGTAATCCTCCTCGGCAGGACGTGCTCGCTTTGCAGAAGCATTCGCACGAGGTTTGGAACGCTCTTGAGCCTTGACCGGATCTATTCGGCCATATTCATCATGAATGCAGCGGCGCTGGTGTTGAGTCAGTAAAGGAAAACGAAGCAAAAAATGCGTCTTAGGGATGCAACATACCTTGCTCTTCCGACAATCATCGCACGCCTTGCTGCGCCCCTTTTTCCCTCCATTGGTGCCATCGGGACTCACATCAATGAGACGGTTAGCAGCGGCTGTTGAGTTGCCCATGACTGCTGATTGAAATCTCGCCGAGCTCTCCAAACGTTCGAGGTCCACAAGATGGCCATTCTTCTGGAATCCGGTTTGAGATGCAATTGCCGCTAGTGAATTCAAGGCAGAGACAGCGTCCTGAGCCAGGGAAGATGGTGTGCTCACTCCTGAGCCGGGTGTAAAAGTATTGACTGCGACTTGTCCGTTCAACATCAAATCCCCGGGCTCATCTTTGTGCCTGCATCGGATGCGGCGTTTACGACAGGCGTCACATGCTACTCGCTTCGGGCCGAGACCTGAACCTCGTTGCACGACTCGAGGCTTGGGGGTGGTGGCCTCTTTGGTGCTGGAGTCCGGAGCATAATTAAATGGCGCCGGCGTCGCACTTTCATCGGACTGTGCATAGGCAGCACTGCTGTGTTGGGGATTCGGAGTTGCAGGGATCTCTTCTGATGGCCATTGGACCGCTTGCCTCTCAGCATAAGTGCGCTGATTGTCAAAGTTGCGTTCAGATCGACGACTAGGTCGGCCCGCTGGTTTCTTGTCTGCGAGAGACACTTTGGGGTTGCTCTCAATGATGCCGGGTCGAGTCCAATGGGGGGACCTTTCGTTACCGCGTTTCCAAGCCACCCACATGCCAAACCTCCTGATGATATCCACAGGATCACCGGTGCATTTGGGAATGGAGCGTTTGACTGCGTTTCGAATATCAATGGAGGGGTTTCCATCGACAGTATAGCCACCTGCAATGAGCGCAGTCCGCAACAGATACTTGGCCAACTCAGGCAGACCCTCTAACTCTGCTTGCGAATAGAAACGAGCATTGTGATGAGGAGAACCTCGAGGTTCCTGATTGGCACGTTCCCCAAATTCATAATAAATCGGATACTGACGGTGGAATCGATAATTCTCATCCTGCATGAAAGCTTCCAGCACATTCTGCGGAATAGGATCATCCTCCAGATATTTCAAGGCCGTATACCACTGGATCTTTTGGAAGAAAGGATATCGGAACTTCTTGGGGACCTTGGTTTCTTTTTCAATGTTGAGTACCTTAATTTGCATCCCGTAGTTCAGTTTGGTTAGGAAGTTACCACCAATCACCAGACTGTTTGTCGGGGTCCAAACTGCGTGAATCCAACCGGATGGAATCAGCATAGTGTCCCCCTCAGAGAGATCCACGCGATAGCACTCCTTTGTCTGGGTACCAAGGAAGATCGAGTCCTGAGCGGGAGAGTTGCACCATTCTTCATACTTCTTAAGGTGTTTGTCTTTGGGTGGAATGAAGAAGAAGGTCTTTTTGCCCTTGAGGATATGGTAGTATACCGAAGATCCACCGAAGTCGATGTGAAAGTCAGTGTAGCAGTCGGCAACAGACATCAGACAGTAGAATTGAACTTTGGGATAATCGCCAATGGCCTTCAATTCATCCGGCCACACGGCGTCTTGCAGATCCAAGTCACGTACAATCTTGGGCCGTCGAATCAGCCTGCCCAGTTTGCTTTGCGAAACTTCCAAACTGATCACATTTCTGACTGGCTTGTCTGGCTCACTGCTTTCGTAGTAATCGGCCCATTTTCGCATGTTCCATCTCTTGTCCTCGCCCTGCTGGGACTTGACATCGATCACTTCAACCCTTTCCTCGGGCCCATAAAGCTCTGCCACAGCACGGACGGTAAGGCCTTGAGGAATGACCATACCCAAGAGATCCTGGCCACAATCAACGGTCTCTTCAACGCGGGTTCCCTGCTCTGGGAGATTATCGAGGAGATCATCAAACATCTCTTGCGAACAAGCATCCTGGACCAGAGACTCAAAATCAGAGGTGTCTTGGTGAGGTACCGGTTCGCGGGTATTCCAACAAGCAGGAATCACAATGGGCTCGGTCCATCCATTCCCTCGCTCAAAGTATTCCGCTGTAACTAACTCGGGCTTCATTCGAGGAAAATTCTCTGGTTGGAATCGAATCTTGCCTTCACGTATGGGTTCTAGGTAGTGGTGTTCGAGCGAATCACTGGCGGCTTTGACAAGGCCTTGGTTGAGTCCGGCATAGTCAATAGCTGTACGCGCCCGCGAAGACTTGCGCACAAAAGTTGTTTGCCCATAGATTGAACGGCATGGGCGACATATGTATTTGTCAATTGTACGGATCTCTCGATCGGTCTTGAAGCCGGCACAGACGATGTGGAACCATCGATTGCATCCATCGCAATTGATCCATGTGTCCTCATCCTGTTCCTCGCTGTCGGCCGGGATACGCACTAACTGACACCCCGCGCAGCTTGCTTGATTGACATCACTTTCTTCAGATTCCGTTTTGGGTGGAAAAGTCGGGAGTTGGTGCAGAAAGTGAGATTCCTGAGAGTCAGCCGGCGGATAAGGGCCATAGGTCGTTGGGGGAGGTGCATCAACAGGTGGATGCCAGGCGTTGCTTTCGTTTTCGTCCTCCCAAACTATAGGCGGCAAAGTACCTGCGCTGGTAGTTGGGCGGACCCCGCTGAGAACAGGGCGAGAGATGAAGGCCGACCCATCGGAGCGAGAGCGCATGCGAGATGGAGGGGCATCATCAAGATTGCGAATGGATTTCGAGTCGCCCTGGTCCGTATACCCGCCAGACGAAAATCCAACTCGAGCTTGACGTATCGCGTCACCTGCGTACTGATTGTACGACTCGTCGATACTGACTCTTTTGGTGTGATTGGCGGGATGGAAATAGGTGGGTCGCGCAAGATTCAACAAAAGTTCAGCATCAGTTGTCATGCTTTCACTTCCAGCCGGGTGGGCATTTTCTGTGGGCATTCCTGGCCGCGGACGGTAGGGCGATGGATCCCTTGCCGACCGTGCTCGCTTGGCCGGCCGCTCAGAGTCTGCGGAGTCGGCAGGAAACAAAGGAATCGAGGACCGAGGACTCGGGGAAGACGGATTGGGAGGGAGTGGTGCGAATGTAGGACTAGTTGCGAGGGCAATCGTCGCAAGTGTGTCAATGGTTGAATTTGAGCGGCCATGGCCCGATCGCTGGTGTGAACCACCTTCTGCGGCGATATTCCGATTATGATTTGACGGACGTGGGTCGCGATCAAGGCTGGTGGCTCGAGGGGGGCTACGGGCAGCCCAGGAGGATTGGAAGTCGGCGGCTGTGGATGGAGTGATAGGTTCGACGGCGCGCAGCGGAGGGGACGGAGTACGGTAATGAGGCGGACGGCCGCCTAGGGGACTCGCGAATGATGCCGCACTCATCATCTTCGCGACCCAGTGGAGTGTATGTTATAGAATGTTAAAGATGAAGGGTTGGAGGTGCGAAAAGTTGCGCTTGCGGTAGGTGGGTGCAAAGCGGGGATACTGGACCACACGGGCTAGCGAAAGGCCGGCGCAGGCGAAGGGAATGTCATTCCTGGCAGAAGGGCATGCGCACGGCGGACCGCAAGAATATGATTGATGTTTAAATGAAAGATTGAGGACGAAGTGAGTAGTCGACGGGAGTCGCGGAGGGCTGCGTTGAGGGGGGTCCGAATCGAGCGGCGGAAGGACAAAGGCGCCGAGAGTCGCGCCGCAACCTGCGGGCAGGTAGGAAATGGAATCGAGTAATATCCAGTAGCCAGGAATCGATACCTGTCAACTGGATGGGAAATAGCAAGTATGCGAATAGATGAAGCGCTGAAAGAGAGAGAAGAAAGGATGAGCGCGAAGTGTTGGGCGAAGGAGGAAGCGGGAGTCGAGTAGCAACTTTGAAGGTATGTACGCGGTACAGCGGTCTACAACATTACACTGCGCTTTGTGATAACTTTTGCCAAAACAGCTACCCGGATACTGTTTGTGTTCTATAAGCTCTATTATATCGATACTGAAATGCGATTGTACCTATTTGGGTTGCTCTCCTACTCATCTTCAGTCTGTCTAAGTGTATTGTGAACGCCGAGAGCGTTCACAATACAGTCCGGTACATACCATCACGTGCTGGATTCGATACATGGTGTCTAAAAAACAGGACTGGAAACATTTTAAATGGAAGTAATTCTGTTGCGAGTGAGATACCAGAGAGTAAAAGAGACATTATACATACACAACTAACAGAGTAATGGAAAGACCCTTCAAGTTACTTATAGAGAGCCATATCAAAAGACTTGCAGATCCGAAGCTTGAAGTATTAAGGGTATTATATAATCCTGTTACATATGGTATAAGTTACCACTAAACCAAGATAGGCAAGCGCACTGCCAAGAAACCTCGTGGTTGTTCTTGCGACTTGCTCTCCATCTTCTGCTTCTTCGTTATTCCAATTTGCAATCGATACCTTGTGTATCTTTCTTGTCAACACTTTCATTCAACATATTTCTCGACTCTCTCAACTCTGAGAATGAGCCGAAAGCTCGCCCCCGAAGCCAATAGGTACGTGAAATACTTTTTCCATGCCCCTCTCCCCGATGGTCGGCACTTAGCCATTTTACCATCAACGGCGTGATTGTCGGGTCTACAGGAAGATCTTTGAATTTAAACATTGATTGCTAACTTTTCGTTTTCTGGCTTTAGGATTCTCTTCGTCAAGAACCTCAAGTACGTACCTGATCTTTCGCCGCTTTGCTCCGGCTGTCAATCTTCCTACACCTTCGCCTTCTATCCTGTCATCTGCAACTTTGACCATATCGCTGATATCATCTTACAGCTATAACGTAACAGCGGAACAACTCTTCGACCTCTTCGGCAAATTCGGCCCTATTCGGTAATAGTCTTCCATAGCTCGTTTCAGCACACGATCTAACTTTATTTTACTTGCAGCCAAATCCGCCAGGGTATCGCCAATAATTCCAAGGGAACTGCATTTGTTGTCTACGAGGACGTTCACGACGCCAAACAGGCATGCGATAAGCTCAATGGCTTCAACTTCCAGAACAGATACTTGGTTGGTACGTATCGCCATATGGATCATGATGATCATAAAACCCCTGGAGGTTGAACAAAGATCGCTAATCTGATATAATATAGTCTTGTATCATCAGCCAGACAAGATGGTCCGTACGAAAGAGGACATTTTGGAAAGGCAAGAGAATTTAGAACGGCTCAAACAGCAACACGGGATAGAATGATGTGACGATTTCCTCTTTCTCATGATGCCCTCTGCTAGCATTTGGCTGTGCATGGTATTCCAACGGCTCTACTATTCAATCACGGCTTGGTTGAGGGGTTTCCGGCGTTTTTATTCCCTGGGTTCTTTCTTATTTCAGAGGGTTTGGTGGTGGGCGAGGCTGGATCTGGTCGTCAGAAATTGACCCAGAAATGATCGTGCGACACGTCCCGCGAGATTTGATTTCTTATTCTGTCTGTTCTATTTACATTACTACTATTACTTCCCGTCAATTTGACCCTCCGCTTTGCTCCACCCAATACTTCCTGCATGCGCAAATCCAGAAATTCGTCTGGGGAAGACTATCCCAGCATGAATATGGTTGCACCGCCAAGCATTCTCGAGTTGGCTTCCCGGGCCAGAGCCGGATCAATAAGTAAGAGGTCTTCTGGACAAGGTTGGCGCACCACTGGAGCAGTACCCACCCTTATGCAGACAGCCGAGGACCCTTGATAATCAATTTTAGGCGGTCCACTAATCTAGACTGTAGCCGATCTGAGCAGTTTGCACATGCAAGGCTTAGCATGGAATTAGATAGCGAAATTGAGGAATGTGCCAAGACACAAACCCTTAAAATAGCCATAGAAAGGGAGATATCAGCCTTGTCGATCCCGCTGCGGGGGGACCCTGACACCGCCCCAGGCGCAGCGCTACAAACTGGCATCCTACTCCGCACTGAAAATTCAGTTTGATCTCTGAGAAACTTCGTTTTCCTTTGCGAAAAACAGCTCTCTTATTATAATAAGTTCTTGTTTCTGCTGATATTTGTCAATCATACTTAGGGTTACACCCCTCCACTTCTGCCTGGGCATATCACGCGTATGACGTCCAGCCGCCGCCTCCGCCTTGGATAAGCTTTCCCGACTGTTACCTCGATCCATTCAGCACATGTCACATCATCCCCTTTGGATAACCTCAGACCACATTTTCCATTACTGGGGAAATGATGGACGACGTAACTGGGTCACTGGTTTCGATAGCGACGACTACTCTTGTCGCTGCTAGCGGTCTCGCCTCGTATTCCGGCACGGCTCTCCCAACTCCTTCTTCGGATTTACACACACTATACTACCATGGAGTATCCCCTGCAGACCAAGGGAGAGATCCAAATGGGGAAGATGGGGGAGAATGCAAGTTACTGGGTCCGTTCTCTGTGTTTGTGCAGGTTGCCCTTGGTGGGCTTGCATTATTATCACTCGTTTTCAAGAGGTGGAGAGAACGACCACAACGCCCGATAAAGGTGTGGGCTTTCGATGTTTCGAAACAAGTCTTTGGGTCGGTGATGCTCCATATGCTGAATCTGCTCTTGTCCATGTTTTCAGCGGGCCAACTGGAGATTCGGAATGCATATAAGCCGAACCCGTGCTCTTTCTACCTGCTCAACCTGGGAATCGATGTGAGTCTCGACATTTTACTTTCACTCTTGTTTAAGAACCGCTGGCTAACTGATTGCGATGAACTAGACTACCCTCGGTATCCCCATTCTGATCCTCATCCTCCGTGTTCTAAACTTCCTAGCGTCTTATACAATTCTTGCCAACCCCCCAGAATCGATCGAGTCAGGAAACTATGGCCAGCCTCCACGTGCGACGTGGTGGTTCAAGCAGGCCATCATATACTTCGTGGGATTAATCAGCATGAAGATTTGCGTTTTCTTCCTTATTCAGCTCCTGCCTTTCATCGTCAAGATCGGCGACTGGGCTCTACGATGGACAGAAGGTAACACTGCTGTTCAGATTTTCTTCGTGATGCTCCTCTTCCCAGTCATCATGAACGCCATTCAATATTATATCATTGATATATTCATCAAGAAGCCGATTTCCCAGTACGCCATGGATGACGAACATGGTGATACTGCCACGGACGACGATGCCCTTCGCCGGGAGGCTCTTCTTGATGGTCTAGATGGATCGTATTCGACCGATTCTGATGATGACACACCTGGAAAATCACAAGGTACTGTCTCTCATCCAAAGGCAGCCGCAAATGCTCTTCATGAGTCGGAGCAACTACTCACCGAGGACCATTCTCCTGTTCCTCCATATGAACCCATTAGCTCAAGTAGTAGCTCCAATGAGCACGATGCTAAGCCTCATTCAACTCACTACTAAACACGATGGGGCTGTGGGATTTGGCTGTTTGATACTTGTTTTGTCTGGATATTTTTGATGACTTTGAACGTGTATACGATTGTCGCTCATACATATTAGTGTGGTTATTTGTCTGTAGTTTTCATATAAGTTCAGCAATGGAGTTTGGCTACTTACTTTTAACCATCGAAACCACCAAATAAATCTATTTAGGTTTTCATAACTTTGATCGGCAATCATTTGGCCTGCTCTTCAAGAGTAACTAATTGGACTGCAGTGTAACTAAACCATGAAGTGCTCGTATGGGCGGACATACAGGCCGCTTTATACACCGCCTTGTTCTGCCGGTTCTGGAAAAATCAAAGAAGAAAAATATTCTAGCTCCGCCCGAGAAACATTGACGGCCTACAGTTGCATTATTGCCTCCAATTACTTACTTGGTGGTCGAATCTGCAAGCAATTTTATTTGATTTGCAGATCCTCATACACCAGCCATCATGCCTAACGTAGGGCTGAAGGAAAAGTCCAAGCGGACGACTACTCAGTCTCCGTTCGAGAACAATACAGCCAATGTCCGGCCGGAGGATTCAGATGTCGAGATGGAAGATGAAACCAGCTCAGATGAGGATGATGTTCCCGAAAAAGACGAAGCGGAAAAGAAGCTGGAGCGCATGCTCTTCGGCGACGATGAGGGGTTCATGGGCGCATTAAAGAACCAACAGGACCGCGAAGCTGGAATGGCTCTCGCTTTGAACAGTGACGACAGCGATGCTGGTGAAGATTCTGAGGGGGGCGAGGCTCAAGATCTGGCTGATATGGCCGATTCAGACGTATGCGATCCCAATTTTGTTTTTTTCTACCTGTGTCGATCTCTTGAACTAACATATCGCGGCTCATATAGCTTTTCTTCCTCGATTCAGGTGCACCTACCACTACCGATTTCATTCCCTCTCCGGATGGCGCATCGGATGCCGAAGAGGAACAAGAGGATGACGAGCCCGCAGTGTGGTACGACAGCGACGATGATCGTCTCGCCGTGTCGCTAGCAAGCCAAGCCAAATTGCGCAAATTGCGCAACACCGAGGCCGAAGATGTCGTGAGCGGCAAGGAATACATCCGACGACTGCGCAGACAGTTCACTCGCCTACACCCAACCCCAGAATGGGCAACCCCCGAGCAGAAGCGCCGCAAGACCGACTCCGACTCCGAGGAAGAAATCGACTCAGACAACGAGAACGAGCATCTATCCATGCAGCCGCTGGCCAAACTCCTTCAAAACGCCTCCGACCTAACCCGGATAGAAGACAACTCGCGCTCTGGAAAGCGCAAGCTGCGCCAGGAAGTCATCGACATCCAGCGACTGAAGGACGTCGGCAAATCGCAACCCTCTTCCGTCGACTCCCTGAACTTCCACCCGCATTATCCCCTCCTGCTCTCCTCCGGCCCGGCATCAACCCTCTTCATGCACCATATCTCCCCATCCGCACCAGCCCCCAACCCCCTCCTCACTTCCCTGCACATCAAGCGCACCCCCATCCACACTTCCGCTTTTGCCCCGCCAACCGGAAACAAGATTTTTGCCTCCGGCCGCAGGCGCTACTTCCACATCTGGGACCTGGACACCGGCAAGATCGACAAGGTCAACGGTTCCGCCGACAGAAAGGAAGAGCAAAAGTCCATGGAGCGCTTCAAGCTCTCTCCTTGCGGACGCTTCGTCGGCCTCGTCGGAACCTCCCGCAAGGGCGGTGGTCTCATCAATGTTCTGGACGCAACCACGGCGCAGTGGGTGTCACAAGTGCGCGTCGACGGCCGTGGCGGTGTAGCTGATTTCGCATGGTGGTCTGACGGCGAGGGTCTGACCGTCGCGTCGAAGAACGGAGAAGTCTCCGAGTGGGACGGGCGTGTTGGACGCGTTGTCGCTCGGTGGGTGGATGCCGGAGCCGTCGGCACGACTGTTCTCAGCCTTGGAGGACGCTCCGGACGTACGCAGCTTGGAGGCGATCGCTGGGTGGCGATCGGTTCTTCTAGTGGTATTGTCAACGTTTACGATCGTCGCGAATGGGCTGCTGCGTACGCAAATGCTTCTGCCGCCGAGAAGGACTCGCCGGCTCAGGCTGGCATCCCGCGTAGCCCTGCGCCTGTGCGTGTCTTGGACCAGCTTACTACTCCTATCAGCCACCTGGTGTTTGCGCCTGATGGACAGATGATGGTGATGGCTAGTCGTTGGAAGCGTGATGCTCTACGTCTCGGTATGTTTTGGGTCTCCAATTGTTCGCTTGTCTGTTCTCTGCTAACTTTCTCGCTTAGTTCACCTTCCTACTTGTACGGTATACCGTAACTGGCCCACTTCCAACACACCCTTGGGTCGGATTTCCTCTGTGGCCATTTCGCCAAACTCTGAGCAGTTGGCGGTTGGCAATGAACAGGGTGGCATCCGTATGTGGGAGATTCGGGGTTAGGATTCATATCTTCCAATAAAATATTTATTCATCTTGTTATATCCATATATGCCTAAGTGCATTTTGTGGCCCAGGTTTCGTAATGTACACTCAGCTTGTTTTGGTGGCTTTCCGTGGGGGTTTTTGGGGATTGATCAATAGGGTCGCACGCTCTTTGAAGCTACAGCACGACTGCGATAATTTGACGATGTTGAGCTAGTCACTTCGAATTGGTCACCGCGAATGGGCGAACTATTCTTCAATTTATGCCTAGACACTCATGGACATATACTAGCAGATGGGTTTGGCTTTTGTGCACAGTCCCGGCCCGACCCGCATGATAAGTACTAATACATAGAATGACGCGAGATCTCCCCTTAGAACGACACAAATTCTAGCACGGAGGCTGCGCTGTGTTCTGAAATCGTGAGGAGTAAGAGGCAAAATGAAACTGGGCAAGCAGGCAGGGAACAGGAAAGCTAGCGGGCGATCTTGCCAAATCAACAGATCAACAAAAGCGGTTCTAGATTGGACCTATACTACGATGATACTGGAATAGTAATTCTATCACAGTGGCAGCATCACTACCATGACAATTCTGCTGAAACTAAGCCTCCAGCTCTTATTGAAAGTTTGGACACAGTGTTGATGGTTAGGTGATTGCAGACCGCACCAATAAATCATTCGTGGTGAAAGATGGTTCTAATGTTCAGTCGAACTGCAGCTCAGGCCTACTGTCTCCACCCGACACAGGCTAGATCGGAATTTAGGCGCCCAGGTTAGCGCTGCCCCCGGAAACCAGGGTCAGCAGCCAATGGCCATATCATATCAAGCAACCTATAGATGTCAGCAAGGTGAGACCTACATGATGAGCAAGGCGACTGTTCATATGCACTTCGTAGCCGCATTCTATATTTCTCTCATATTTCCTCTTTCCTTTCTGTTCATATACCGCCCGCACCGACATAATGCTTAGTAGAATTTCCTTGATCTCAAGTCTGCTCGTTCTCGCACCATTGCACGCGCTGGCTAAAGAATGCTTTGCCCCGGATGGATCCGTCGCCGACCACACGTACCGGCCATGTATTGCAATCGACGGCGTAGAGTCCATGTGCTGCTCGCTGAACTCAACCACCCCTGATACATGTCATCCGAACGGTCTATGTTTGAGCAGTGCAAACAGCACATACGGCTCAAACTACTGGAGGGACTTCTGTACTGACAAGACATGGGATAGTCCCAATTGCCTAAGCAAGACACTCTGCGACAAGAACGTAAGTCGACGAAACCAGGGCATCATCCTTATATTCTTATCCGGCCTTTGAATCTATATTAACAAACCTTCCCTTACAGGCTGGCGGATCCTCAAGCTGGACATCTCGACTCACGATATGCGATAATGGCGCGTATTGCTGCGGTACAGATAAGAGTTGCTGCTTGGAGGGCACAACATTTACGCTCGCGGCTACACTAGTCGACATTGGGAACCACAGTACTGCGACTGCGACTGCGACTGCGACTGCAACTGTGACTGCAACCGCCACCGTGACATCAAAGGTCTCAGGATCATCAACTGTGGCCATTGGGGTCGGTGTAGGGGTCCCATTGGCAGTTCTTGCCCTTGCAATGCTGGGAGCAGGCTTCTTTTGGGGGAGGAGAAAAGCACAGGAGAAATACAATGCGTTAGGCGGTGCCCATGCGGATGTAAAGGCGGGAGAGTATATACGATCAGGAATATGGCATGCCGACTCAAATCCGCTCTATGAGGTTTCAGGTCAGGGATCGCCCAGTGAACTGCCCGGGAGCAAAGCACCAATGCGATAGAAATTTTGGCTTGATACGTTATATGTGGGGGATATATTGATATACAAAAAAGATCCTCGAAGGTGGACGATACAAAGATGACTTTTGTTCACCATAAGGCCGACTCATCCTTTGCTGACAGCCACCGCAACCCCTCTCACAACATTTACTCCAGCTCACTAGTTGAGCAAAATCTCCGCCCCGCGGAACTCTTTCCCATCTTCAATCCATATGGCATTCCGTTTCAAGTACACATTTCTAGTAGATCGAAGCCTATTGATGATACAGGCTTTCCCGAGGGCGAAGACCCAATTTTCTCAAGCATATAACTTCGTCAAAGAAGGGTTTACTGTGTTGAATACTGTGAAGCTGCAGTGACCCTTGTCATCACCAAGTCCATGGCAGGGCTCCATAGCCCATGCCGGTTGCGTTGTTACTTGCCCCTATTTGAGCCTACACCTACCCAAAGCCGCAGTGTCCAAGTCTTCATCTCTTAGTGGGTGGCAGGCAGCGCTGATAGCAGCGCTACAGGCACCGGTCAATGGCATATTAGATTTGAACCTTCAAAGAGCCCGAAAGCTAATGCTAGAGCTCCATGAGCTTCGCTGATATCAATTACGCGAGAATCGCAATTTCGGGTACTTGTCCAGCATTATCAATGATTCTTTGGATGCACGCAATGAATATAATCAAATATGGCAACGGGCATCCTCGAAGTTGGAGTTAGGGCTGAATCTCGAGGCCAGCCGGGACCCTAACTATGTATGTACATATGTACTAGTTATAGCGCCCTATTGACTACATGTAATCAATCTACTACAAGCCTGAATGAAATCAAGAAATGGTACTCCGTGCTGATGTTCTCAGACTTATCATCTGATTTCGATATTCGCTGAAAGGCCAAGCTTTATTTTTTTGTAACTGTCAGATATTTCTAGCAATACAAGCACGCAGAGCACCAAAGATGAACGCCAAAGATCCAGAATGGGAAAGAAAGGAAAGGTATGGATTTTCAGCGCCGGGGTCCGGTATCGAGGGGAATATAAAACGAGATAACGCAACCAAATCACATGCAGGCCGTGCCGATCAAATCAGATTCGTGGGTTTATTCGTAAGGACGGGTCTATACTGCTGGCCTTTTGAATCAAGGGTTTTCAGTAACAAAGGGGGTATATGGAGTAAGTAAAAGTTAGAGAAAAAGAAAAGAAAGAATGACAGAAAATGTTAGTAGAAGAATCCTAGGAAAGCTTTATAAATCTGGGTGAAATCTTGCTCGGCAAATTTTCACACAATTGAAAGCAGGTGTGGAATGGAAAGAAGGGAGAGTTCTTTTTATGGGCCTGAATCAATTCAAGTTGCGAATCAATTCAAATTCGAGGTGTTATTCTCCATTCCCACTTGACGCCCACCGCTGGGGCCGCTTCCCTTGTTCGATGTAGTTCTTGATAACGCAGGGGGCACGATCAGGGCCTTGGCAGACCTTGTGGCGGTTGAGATGCTTGAATTTCGGACCGAGAGGCCCATTCACGTAGTGATACTGGCCTGCAAATCGGTACTGGCGCTCATCGCCAAGCGGGTAGAACTTGTCGCCCCACTTGCCTCTATAATGGAACCATTCAGTCGGAGCGGAGGGATTTAATGTTGATGCGCGCAGATTCTGACTGTCAAAGTCATAGGTGTATGTTTGTGAGTTGAGTAGGGGATCCCATAGTGGGCCGCGGTCTGTGACATCGTGCAGTAGCCCCCAGGGAAGAATGTACTCATGTACTCCGGTTGTGGCGTACATGGCGTGGCTGCCCTCGGCGGAGTATATGACAGGCTTAACGGAACGAGTCAGTTGGGCGGAAATCTTTGCTGCAAGAAATGAAGACTTACTCGTTGACCTATCTTCTCGACTGCCTCGTAGCTGTAAGCCTCTCCACCCTGGTGGGCGCTGAAAAATAGTGCTTTTGGTATGCCGTTGTGGAATCGCATCAAACAATGCTCCCAATCACCAACATGATTTCCAAATCTGACATTGACGACAGTGTTGCCAAGGTTGAAGCTATAGAAGTAGAACCAGAATGCGTCTATAATCCCATTGCCTTTGTCTATCACTACCAAGATGGCCGGCGCGTCACTTCGGCCACCAGCAGCGTCATCGTGGATTTTTTTGCCGCTATACCGCTTGTGGAGCTCTTGTCTGAGGATTTGCTGGGCCTCGGCGTGCTCATTGAAATTCGATTCGTGCGCAGAGTCGGTCCCTTGTTCCAATTGGGTGAAATCGTACCACTCGGCGCGGCTTTCTTCCGTGTCACCGGGGATTTCACCATCCACCCGACCATCCCAGTCTGACCATGATTCTGGCGTCTTGTCGCTTTGTGTTTGTGGGATATTCCGTTCGCCTTCCAGCCACGGCGGGCGGGTCTGTACATCATCATTGCTTGTCAAAAATACGTGTCTCCCCCTTTCCCACTCATTCAACTCATCCAAGTCGTGCAGAGTTGGATGATCCCATTCCGCCTGGATAGGCGTGTAATTCAGCGTCGGGGTGGTATGGTACAAGTGCTCGGCGATATCACCGGGCCAGAATTGCTCGCTAGAATAAAGGTGGACGAGTGGGGCATAGTTCAAAACATAGTCCGGGATCTGCCGCCGAGCCCGCTCTTCGGCATCCCACTTGGACTCGTTATCCCCGCTAAGCCAAAAGGAGCGCCAGGGTTCTTCTCGCTCGGCAATGTGTATATCTGCCCATTGCGCCGGGTCGCGATGCCCGAACCGACCCTGCGCAGTACGCAGATGTGCCGCACCGCAGACGCCCAACCACCGACAGGCTTTGCGGTCGAACCACGAGCGCGAGCTCGCAATCCAAGTCCGCTCTTCCCGGTCCTCCACGCACCAGACAAATGCGTTTGGTCTGACTATGTGGAGTATGCTGTTGATGGATACATAAGCGATCAGGGTCGAGAGCACGGCAATGGTTGCCTTGGCCTTGCGGGTCATCTGCTGAAGCGAGTCGACATAGACTGTCAAGGCTGAACACCGTTGAGGTTCATAAACTGTCAAATGGGGGATTGGAGTTGAGGCTGGATCAATGCAGTGGGGGTCAAATAGGGCTGCGGCAATTGGACAGTCCCCACGATCTATAGTAGGACGAGAGATAACGAATGGGATAAGAAGGGCACACAACAGGGCCGCGGGGTCACCTATATAAACACCGAAGTCATTGTTAGCGAGTCCGGTCTTCCGAGTCTAGCTAGTATCCTCCGAGAGTAGGAAAAGAAAAAAAAAGGGAAAAAAGTCAAAAGATGGATATCGAACTAGTCAAACACACCAGCCGGGAACGTGCGGAAATGCAGAACGGTAGCCAAGCCGGGATGCGATCGCCACAGGCCCCGAGCTACTACAGTAGGCTTATCCGTCCAGAGCCGGATTGGAGAGAGAAAGATAGAGAGAGGAAAAGGGAAGAGAGAGGGAGACTTACGAATAATAGATGGCCCTATGGTTGTTGCGGTGAAGAGAGAATTACTACTATGCGTAAGGCTGAAGGGCAGTTGATGAATCAAAACTCTACTGGTTCTATGTCGTGGTTCCATGCAGACCAAGAAGAACAAGATCAAGGCTAGTGGATGCTATTTGGAAGTTGAAAAATGAGAACCAATTGATTACGACTTGGAAGCATCTGACGGCATAATTCACCCGATCGATTTGCCCCTCCAACTGATAATTAGTTGATTTGAGACATTGATAGTCAATTTAGTACAGTAGAAGCACGAAGTGGATCCACTGAGGGGAAAGAGAAAGTACATGTCTACATGTAGAATGTCTGAGCACTCCTGATGGATAGTATTGAAAAACAGCTATTCCCCTATATATGTGCAATTGATGATAAGTTGTAAAAAATCTCCAAAGAAAAGCAAAGAAATACTTGAAACAAAAGGAGTGAGAAGATGTATTGTCCGGTATGTCCACGGGTTTGTGGAGTTGAGTTGTCATCGACACGTCGGGCATCGGGAATGTCCAAGTCACCGCTTTACAAAGCTAAGTCACGTTATCTTATTATCTTATCTTTTTCATCTACTCCACGGAGTACTTTGTTTAAAGATGGATACAACAATGCTTGATGCTTCTGATGGTGAATATGAGTATGAATATGGGTCAGAAACTGAGGTGAGCAGCTCTACATGATCTGTATGTCTTTGTGTTTTGCGTCCACTGACTCCATTTTGCTAGACATTTTACCTCAACCTGGACCTGACCGCCCACCATGGTGCAGTGCGTCCACCACGCCGTCGCACACCTGCAGGTGATGCAGAATCCATGAACGAGGTCCAAACTTCCGCGGATAATAATGACGATAACCGTGCGAGCGAAGCTTTTACTCCAATCGAGACCGCCGAGGGAGGCAGCCTCTCAAACGAGCGAATCCAGATACTCGATCTCCACACGTGCAACCCAATCGTCTCGTATCACAACCAAATGTTCACCTGCTCCTGGGCCGATCAGATCGGCACCGAGCTAGTCTTTGCAAGCCCAAACACAGAACCAGGGACCAACCAATCCACCGAACCCTTGCACCGTGGACCCTCGTTCGAGCTCATCGCCGCCAACAGCGTGAAGATCCTCGGTCGCAAAGCACACATCACCTCCAGCTCTGGCCCGGGACTGGTACAGAATTCCCAAGCCGAGACTCCCCCTACAAACCCTGCATCCGAAGCAACCTCTCAGGCACCTTCGCAGGCCGGCGTGCCTCGTCGTGTGGCGCCGCCTTCGCACCAGGCACAATTCCTGAAACGGCTCCAAGATTTAAAATCCGCCAAGGGGGAAGGAGACACCGTTCGCACTGTTATGAGTACACGGCGAACCTTGCATAGCGCAGACCATCTCGAGCGATTGCAAGGCTGGACGCGCACCGAGGCACAGCTTGCTGAAATCCAGCGCCTCAACGAACGTGCAGCCAGAGGGGACGCAGAGGCCCAGACGACCCTCAATATGATGATCTCTGGGCTCCAGACGGAGTCGGAGTCTGAATCGGAGAGCGGAAGTTCAACATCCTGAAGGTGACATCTAAGGTGTCCACACTGAAGCACCCAAAACACTGGTCTAGACTCCGTGCTTTTGAGCCGAATACCCGGAACTAACTAAGCTGCCGGCTCTCGGGATCTCAGTAACGTCAACGCGCTATGATTTCATAGCCGACTACTGTCACGTGGGATTGTGCCGGGGACCGGGGACCGAGGACCGGCACTAGCGAGAAGATATTGATACGATCCTGAAATTATGGCCGACTATTCATTGCAGGAACTCAAAAACAACCTGATTCCACTTTTGCCGCGATACCATATCAGCCCAACACAGCACCCCCAACAGCAGTTACGTTGACCCCGGAAGCCGAGAAATCGCCGGGCATGATCCCAACCCACACCTCACCTGCACGATGGACACATTAATTTGACGTGAGAGCTATTCCATGTTGCTCAATGAACTTTATTTGTGGGATCTACCAGGCAACGTCATACTGGATTTTAGTTCTGGGATGGTGTCCTGTCCTCGTTCCCTGAAATAACCTGCATATGATACAATCCAAAAAAACGCGTATAATATAGACCTTTTTCACTTTACCCAACTGTATTGTACCTTTAGTACTTCCCCTTTGAGCATGAATATTGTATGTTGTATTACTTCCGGTTCGAGCATAAGGCAGAGTGTGCGACCCATCTCATTTCACGAGGTGAGTGACGTCGTGATCGGCAGTCATATTCAGCAGATAGTTCTGTCGCATTTAGGAAGGGTATGCAGCTAGGTAGCACTATGTACACGGTACTTTGAATTCTTTTTGGGAGGAGATACTGCTCTGGGCCCCAGCTGTATGAGTCGTCGTTACGGCGTGTAATCGAGTTTCTAAGACAAGTAAGACACCTTGTGGTTTATGTACTCGAGATCATAGATGGTGAAGGAAGATAAGCCCAAAAAATGTATACTAAAGCATTGAAAATGGTTAATAAAGATGTAAGAAGCAGCATGTCAGCTTCGTGTTAGCTTACGAATTCTACTCGATGTGTGTAATAGATGTCTAAAACAATATATTCAAGATCAAAATTTGATTCCAAAGCCCAGGGAAATACTATATAACACCATCACCCCAGACCTTTGAGATTACCCCTACTGAAGGGAGGTATTGAATGATATCCACGCCGCCATGCACACGCTAAATCCAACAGGCGACTAGTAGATAAATGAGAAAGCAAAAAGAAAGACATCAGGCTAAAAGCATCGCGGGTGTAGACATAGAAGAGAGGAAGCAGAAAGCAAGGGACAAGACCGGTGGCTGTAACTCCAAGTCAAGCAGCCAGATCCATATACTGGAAACCGATTATCGAGATATCGGGTTGTGTTGGTACAAGGAGCTCAATAGGGAGGTCCAGGAACGATGAAAAGACAAGAAAACAACCCGAAACTGAAGACGAGCAAGGGCAGGATTACTCCAAATTCAAGCTTGGGATATTATCGTAGGAGCCCTTTGCTTTGAAAGCGACGGGTGATGGAGGCGGCGCGGGAGGCATGCCGTCGATGAGGATTGAGCGGTTTTTTTCTGGCTTTTGGGTTGTGGCTGTCATGATTGCGGAGAGGTCCTGAGACATGGAGAAAGTGGGAGGCATGACGGGGGTTGCAGTCTTGGTTGAGACAGTGGCCATTGTTGGTCGGTTTACTGAAGGGTATGGATTTGATTTTATGGGGTGGTAGAGGGCTCGAGGTTGGAGAGAATGTGTTGGGAGCGAGGTTGTTGGTTGTTGACTTTTTATAGATGCGGAAGAATATGTGGAAGATCCGGTCGTCTACCTCGGTTGAGATGTGATGGGATTGATGTATTTGTGTCGTCAAGGCTTGATATCACGGGAATGTTAGCTTTCTGTTGTGCAGAGTGCTTGTGCTTTGTACTTTGATCTGGCATATGCTTATTCCTATAGATGGAGCTCGTGGTTCCGAAGTTGCCCGAGCACCCGATTTCGGGGGATCGGATCGGAGGGGAGATGGGATGTGGCAATTATTGACAGGAGTCTTACTCACATGGAAGAACGGAATCGATTTGAAGATTTTGTGGTGGCGGTGGTGGTGGTGAGCTTGAGCGTGAATAGTTCAGTTGGGTTGATGCGGATGTAGTTGACTTGGCAGGTGCGCAAAATGTATTTGTCTGGTTGGAGTTGGCTGATTATAACAATGAGTTTGTCCAGGTGTGAAACGACTGAAGACAACTAGTGAGTGGTGATAGCCAAAGCTCTTAAGCTGTTGAAGTGCTGGGTATCTTATGTTATAGTTGGAGATAGTTGTACACAAGAGTGGATGAGAACAATTCCAGAACTAAAATGAAATGGCTCCTGGGTCTACTACTAGTTATATTTTTCTCCTGGAATTAAATATAAATTCCAAATAAATAGATGAGACACAAAGGGAAATTAGAAAATTAAAACAAAAAAAAGCCATCCCCGTAAAAAAAGAAAGTGTGGAGGAGTACATTCCCTGGGGAAGAGATCAAGTACCGTGTACAATATTGTACACGCATACCTGGCCAGACCCAAGGCTTATTGTTGATCCCGCCAAGGCTCGTCCCATTCTAAAGCACCCAACAACCCAGCCCATCGAGGTAGGGATAGGGAACATTCCCCATCGGAACAACGGGACCCCAACCCGGAAAGCCTGTCGGGGAGAAAACAAAGGAGGAAAATGGGGCCTGACGCGTTGGTGTGGGGGCAGGATTGACTTCCAGGGGGTGAGAAAATCGATGAATCGATCATCTTTGCATTATAATTTGTCGGGGATGATATGACACTAGACGAAACAACTAACTAGTGAAAGCCGGAATCGGCAAGGCTTAAGGATTGCTTTCACTATTGTACAATATTAGAATAGTCGACGGGTTGCTCCGTATATTGTAGGCTATGACAATATATATTGTATGATTATTCAAGACCCTTAGTGTTACGCGCCAGTGTCTCCAGGGCTTCCTACACCTTCTAGCGTTTCCCGGAGAAAACCCGTTAGCACAGAACCTCGGCACGAGAGCGGATACGGCGATCCTCCTTTCGAGAACAACTAGGGCCAGCTACCAATCACTCGGAGTTGACGGAAGCTTTCTTTTCCGTTGCGGTGTAAGAGATCGGCCTTGTGGTGGCGACAGGAATCGGGCTCCTTTTTGTTTATCCCACGAATATACGTGGTTTCAGGCAGAACAGTGAGATCCTGTAATTTGATCTTCCGGAGGTGGAGGTATGTATCACCGATCGACAATAGGAGACACCCATACATACATACAGCAACCATCCACCTCCGTTATCGCGCAATACAACATTGTTGGAAAGAATTTTTCTTTCTGACAACCTCACCGACCCGATTTGTATAGCAGATCAGGGCGATCATCCAAAAATTGAGATAGCTCGAAGATTCTTTGGAGTTCGTACGGAAGGTCCGGTATATCCGCCTATAGTATACTCCACACAATCTAACACAGTGTCTGACTAGCAAAAATAAATGTCTTCTTTCATGAAACGTATCATAGCGCAATACTTCGCCCGAGCCGCCATTTCAACACAACATTGGACCTTCGCTTAAATCTCAGAAAGGGAAGATATCCACGCTAGGGACCGAGACACGTCTGGGGCGCATATCAAATTATTCTTTGTTCACAATATCAAAGACTCGAAATCAAGGTAGCAGGGATATGATTCAAGATCTGGGGTTAGCTGTCCAACGTTCCCAACGTTCTTTTGTAGGTTGCCATTGGTAGCGACCCTTCACGCCTTCAGGGGCACATACATACATTGAGCTTGACAAAAGTACGAAAAAAAAGTAGACCGTTGATCGACGTCTCAATAGCTAGTACAAGCGAACTCCACAATTATTTCCCCGGATTCAAGGGGCAGAAGCAGACTTCACTATTTTCAATACCTGCAATGCACTCCGCTGCCACCTACGTACTAGTCCATCGGTAGATGACTAGCTAGCATACGTATATCTGGGGGAAAGGGGGCAGATTTACTCCAGAATGTCCCATGCCAGACACACTCCGGATTTCCTGGGTGTCGGGTCCCCGAGAGTCAGGGCGCATTGTGGGAATCTCAACCCCCCTTCGATTGCGGCTGGAACTATCCCCGGTATCTGGAAGGTTTCAATATCACATAGTCTTATCGATGGATAACAATACAACCTAATCAATAAACAATGCTGCTACGACAACCTTGTAGTAATAACGGGAAATTTGACAGGTACAGTATACTTGCATATCGACATGCACTGTGTACCTCCGTGAACGTTGTAGAGAACATTCTTTTCATGATAAGCTCCCCGCATGACTGGTGACTTGTCCACTTCACCGCTCGTTCAAACATACAATTTTTTTTAAAAATAGTGAATTTTTAAAAGTGCGTAGAGATAGGTTATTGGAGGGGAGGGGAAGTGATGAGTTGGCTATGTTTTGGGCGAGGCGAGCTTACTATCTGCTGCCAAGGCGCCAACTGTGGAATGGATTCGTCAGGTACAAGATGTACAACACATCCCATGCATAACTATCAGTTGTGCTGATGACTCGTGATGGAAGCCTTGCGATGTACATTCTCCAACGTACAGCTACCGGGGTCTATTGTTTGCTGGTTAATTTTAACTACTTGAACATACATAAGGTCGACGTTGGTCTACCCGACACGTCAGGTCGTCTGTTGGCATTTATGGAAACATGTCCCTGTAGATGCTGGGCTTCGTATCGAGGAGACAGTGCTTTGGGGCATGCCTACAAGGCATAGAGGTATCGACTGGTCCATGCCTAGCCACATGTCACGAGTGCAGGGCTATCCTACAATGTATTTGTACGCAGGGGATACTTGGATCGGTGAGATCGAGATCACATAATTTACTCCTGCTTTCTTTGCATGTTATCTTATGTTGGGGACATGGATCGACAGGCCGGCACAAACAAAGAAGAATTCAGAATTTGGAATCTCTTATCTATGGTCTGCCCAGGTGTTTGGACCCTCCGGGCCTTGCAATCTTTCGAACATTTCGAATCTATATCCAATGATAACTACATCCCTTTTTTTGTGTAATGTGTACCCAAGATCTTTCATGCGCGCCCTACAATGAACGGTAGGAAAATCTGTCAATCCGTGCAGCAACTCTGTTGGGGAAAAAACGCGACGACAATGATCTTCTGACCTGCCCGTGTCCTTTCTTGGAAATTCACTGCACAAGGATCTTCCCAATACGAACACAAGTCAGCGATATCCAAGTAGCAAGGTATGAACGTGTCCCAGCGTGTTTCCAAGTTTATGTCAGATGGGGTTGCACCAGAAACCTGGGCAATACAATGTAGTACAACAATATATTCAATATCCAAATGATTCTAAAGGTTTTCTGGTTTCGGAAAGGGCTGCCGACTCAAGACTCCCCCAGATTTTCGAGATTAAGGCCTGAGGCCACCAGAATCTGAATTTTCTTCATTTACGTCATCCACAGGTCACGGGTTTCTGGGACGGAATATCATTTCCCCTAGAGATCGGACAGTCGGTGAATTCTTCCAATCAAAATTGTCTATTGAGGCCGTCAGTGGTCCGCTATCACGTAAAATGCCCCGCCGGACGTCCTTGGAAGATTTGGATTGCGTGAAAAATATGACAATGATTGTTGGGGTATGGAGAGACGAATGCGCTATTTCTAACGAATAGCGGTGCAAGACCAAAACAACGTGCATCTGAGATCGAGGGGGAAACCCATGCGATAGGAATGTTACCCCGCAAGTCGACGATCCAGGTACCAGAGCCCCTCCGGTTGGAGATGGAGATAGCCTGTCACCGGGCCGGGGATATCTCGCGACTGCAATAATTGTAGTCATTAGTTTGGTCGAGGCTTTGATTGCTTTGGTTTATTGGTTAGCCCTGGAGTCTGAACCCCGATCAAACTGATCAAACTCTTCAAACTCTTCAAAATTCTCCCCCAATGGCGAAAATCCCCCGGACATAGGGCAGGCGATCATTCAATCTGGGGACGCCATCTGGAACCTTGGGAACGTAATTGAGGCATTTAGCATGGGTTGATTGGTTTATTGAACTATCTTGGTACCTAGGTCTATTCGTGATTCAAGAAAAAATCTCTATCCCGGTGGATTCATGACACATTGCATTCCACGATGTTCGATACATATCGCATCATATGGAAATTTGATAGCAAAGAATAAAAGATTTACCAGGATCGTAGTAAGACAACACTCAGGTGACCATGTATAACTCCTGCTAGGGACTCTATTTTCAGTCTCTGTCAAGTCACCCGGTCACTTTTTATTTTTTAATTTTTTTGCGCTTGTTCCTATGTTGGTAACCGCAGTTCTATTCCCTCAGCCACGTTCCAGACTTGAGGCAATTGTTTCGGCCCGCATGACGCAGCGGGATTTTATCATTGCATTCGGCTTCAGCTCGGAAGGAGGGGCGTTGGCTACCAATCAGAGTGACACCTATCGCCGGCTCTTAGTCAAAAATAGTCCAAAGTGGAAAGGGAATGAGCGTTTGAAGTGGATCAGATCAGAAAATGTGCTTCGAGACTCTCTCTATACGGTTGACCCTTCCGCCTAGAATCGGTTATGACTGGCCAAGGATTGCGGGACATATGTAATGATAATAGAATAACAAGAATTATCAAGAATTATCCAAATGATTTAATTGGAATTTATTTAAAAATTTTATAAAGAATTTATTATTATATCTGGAATTGCAAGGCAAAAATATACTCTATGCTATGTTATAAAAGGACAAGGGTTCCCCGGATTTTCTTGACCAGAATTCATTATCATCTCCATTACATTTTTTTCTATACATTTTGTTCACCTTCAGTCCATGGCGACGATCGGTGATCATTGCATTTGTTAATTGTAAGTTAATCACTTGACTTGGACAAGGATGTTCTTCTTTCCCTTACCTCCTGTTTCCCTTGTTTCTCTCGTTATCTCGGGAATTGGCAATCGGACGAGATAAGGAACATTCTTTGTGTCGCCTTATCTCACTCATGTCTATGAATCATCTCAGCTAATGCTTCTTAAAGACTTTTTCATCTTCCCTCTTACGTGTTAGGAGATTTTCCTTATATACACCATGTCGTCTCCTGTATCTACCCCACTGTCGGAGACTCCCAATGGCAATGGCAATGGCGTGAGCTTGCCTAGCCGTCCTCAGCCTAAGCTTGTGGCCAGCCAAGATGGAAGCTCCGGCTCAGGTACTCCCATCGGTTTCCAACGCTTCCATCCCCACAACAAGCATTTGGATCACGCAGTTGGAAATGCCTTGCGTCAACCTTCCCCGCAGCCCACTCATTTGGGTATCCCAGGTACTCCGCAGCATCGTGTGCTGTCCGAGGAGGACCCGGGCTACATCGCGGCCACTTTTGAGGGCAAGCAGAAGCAGATGGAACAAGGTTGGTGGAATTGAAGCTCTAGCGATATGCAAAATAGCTAATTTTGGACTAGTCATGGATCAATTGGAGGAGAAGGGCTTCTTCCCCAGTGACTTCGTCATCTCCGAAACTACTTGGTTCTACAACATGCTTGGCATCGACGATACCTATTTCCAGACCGAGTCCGTGGATGCCATTGTGACCCAGATTCTTTCCCTCTATGCCGCCAAGGTCGCCGCCTACGCTCGCGATGATAAGCAGTTGGAGATTCGCCTGGACAAGGAGGCCGAGGATCACGCTGTGTACATCGATACCAGCAGACCCGGTATATCCTCCACGAAAGGTCCGCGGTACGAGCAGCGTATCGATGAGAAGTACGTCAACCACTCCAAGGGTGCCAACAGCTACCGTGTGGAGACCTTCCGCTCGCCCACCACCCTCCCCGGTGACAACGGCCAGCAGCTCCGTTGCTACTTCGTGTACAAGTGTCAGTTTGTCAACCCCAATCCCTCACCCAATGAGACCAACATCGACATCATTGGCGAAAAGCGTTTTCTCCAGAAGGCCACACCAAACACAAAAGCGATCTACCAGGAAATCATCACCACTGCTGTTGGCCGCTCCGGTCCCGTCATCGAGATGTTCGAGATCGAGGGCAGCCGGGAGAAGCGTCTGGTTATTGCCTACCGTCAGGGATCTGCTATGGGTCTGTTCAGCGCTCTGTCGGATTTGTACCACTACTACCGCTTGACCAGCTCACGCAAGTACCTGGAGAACTTCTCCAACGGAATCACTGTGATTTCGCTCTACCTGCGTCCCTCAGACAACTCTGAGATCTCGGCCAAGTTCCCTCCTATTGAGGCCGCCATCCACCAGATCATGAAGGAGGTTTCCCTTCTGTACTGTATTCCCCAGAACCGCTTCCAGGGCCACTTTGCCAGTGGTCGTCTCAGCCTGCAAGAGACCATTTATGCTCACTGCGCGTGGGTGTTCGTGCAGCAATTCCTTAATCGTCTCGGTTCAGAATATACTTCGTTGTCTGCTCTTTTGGATAGCAACAACAGTGTCCACGCAGAGTTGCTTTCAAAGATCAAGAAGCGTCTGCGAACTGAGACCTTCACTGCAGACTATATCTTCGAGATTATCAACAAATACCCCGAGCTGATCCACAAGCTCTACCTTGACTTTGCCAACACCCACTACGTCCAGACACAGGGCCCCAGTGGTGATGACTTCCTCCCTACTCTCAGTTACCTGCGTATCCAGACCGACGAGGTCCTCGACAGTACCAAGCTCAAGCAGCTGATCCGCGGCACTGCCCTCAACGAGCACGATGAGATGGTCATGAACTCCTTCCGCGTGTTCAACTCTTCCATCCTCAAGACCAACTTCTTCACTCCCACCAAGGTGGCTCTCAGTTTCCGCTTGAAGCCGGACTTCTTGCCTGAGCACGAATACCCCCAGCCTCTGTACGGTATGTTCTTGGTTATCAGCTCCGAGTTCCGTGGCTTCCACTTGCGTTTCCGTGATATCGCTCGTGGTGGTATTCGTATCGTCAAGAGCCGAAATGGCGAAGCGTACAACATCAACGCCCGTTCGCTGTTTGACGAGAACTACAACTTGGCGAACACCCAGCAGCGCAAGAACAAGGACATTCCCGAAGGCGGTGCCAAGGGTGTCATTCTTTTGGATGCTGACCACCAGGACAAGGCGCGGGTCGCCTTCGAGAAGTACATCGACAGTATCCTCGATCTGCTCCTGCCTCCGGTCAGTCCCGGTATCAAGGACCCAATTGTTGATCTGCACGGCAAGGACGAGATCCTCTTCATGGGTCCCGATGAGAACACTGCCGAGCTTGTCAACTGGGCCACTGAGCATGCTCGCGGCCGTGGCGCTCCCTGGTGGAAGTCTTTCTTCACCGGTAAGAGCCCCAAGCTGGGTGGTATTCCCCACGATTCTTACGGTATGACCACTCTCTCGGTCCGCCAATACGTACTTGGAATCCAGCGCAAGCTGAACATCGACCCCTCTACCTTGCTCAAGCTACAGACTGGTGGTCCCGACGGTGATCTCGGATCCAACGAGATCCTACTTTCCAACGAGAAGTATGCTGCTATCGTTGATGGAGCTGGTGTGATCTACGACCCCAACGGTCTCAACCACGAGGAACTTCTTCGCCTGGCTAAGAAGCGTGCCATGATCTCTGAGTTCGACATGTCCAAGTTGTCCTCGGATGGTTACCGCGTTCTGGTTGACGAGAAGAACATCAAGCTCCCCAGTGGCGAAGTCGTCCACAACGGCATGATCTTCCGTAACACTTACCACCTGCGCTCGCAGGAGAAGTTCGACGTGTTCGTTCCTTGCGGTGGCCGTCCCGAGTCCATCGACTTGTCCACCGTCGGCAAGCTCATCAAGGACAACAAGTGCATCGTTCCCTACATTGTCGAAGGTGCCAACCTGTTCATCACCCAGGACGCCAAGCTGCGACTCGAGAAGGCCGGTTGCATTCTTTACAAGGACGCCTCGGCCAACAAGGGTGGTGTGACCTCCTCCTCGCTGGAGGTTCTCGCCTCGCTCTCCTTCAACGACGAGGAGTTCGTCGAGAACATGTGCATCCGCGAGGACGGCACCGTGCCCGACTTCTACCAGGCCTACGTCAAGGAGGTGCAACAGATCATCCAGCAGAACGCCGCACTTGAGTTCGAGGCCATCTGGCGCGAACACGAGAATACCGGTGTGCTGCGCAGTGTCCTCAGTGATCGTCTCAGTTTGGCCATCACCAAGCTCGATGAGGAGCTTCAGATGACCGAGCTCTGGGACAACGTTGCTCTCCGCCGCTCTGTTCTTGGAGACGCTCTCCCGCGTCGTCTATTGGACAAGATTGGCCTCGAGACCATCTTGGGACGTGTATGTTTACCCCTTCCATCCCTACTACCGTTGTGAATATTTACTAATGAATCTTAGGTCCCTGAGAACTACCTGCGTGCCATTTTCGGTAGCTACCTGGCCAGTCGCTTCGTTTACGAGTACGGAAACCAGCCCAGCCAGTTCTCTTTCTTCGACTTCATGACCAAGCGTCTGTCTATGGTCCAGTCGTAGAAAGAACTTTGGTTATAGACATTTCTTTTGCGAGCGCGAGTCTTGTGACTTTTTGTTTTCCTTTTGATGAGATTTGAGTCACACGATATTACTAATACGGGACAAAAGATTGTTCCTTGACGAATGTATGGTTAGAAAAGTTTTAAGCGGCATTCTGAAAAGAGATAAGGCCTTTCAGGGTCCTTTAGAATTGCAATCTTTACATTATATATGGTCCTAGTATCTTAACGATAGTATCTAGGGAGCTGCGGCTACATGTAGTGATGTTGAGATCGTTAGGTCATGGTTATAAAAGTCTAGTCGAGGTCTAATTATCTATTTCTAGTTATACAATTCAAAACGAACTCCAAACAATGCAGTCTCATCTAGACGACCCAACCTCCATCATAATCAGCACGATATTCACTGCCTAGTTCAAAACATAACCGTCAGCACAACTAGTTCAACCCGAACCCTACAACAAACTTCCCGTAGAACCAAAGACAAACTCACCAGCAACAAATCCACCCCCTCCGCCACCTGAACCTCCCACCTCGCCTTCAGCTTCGACTTCGACTTACTATAATCCATCGCATTATGCCGAGTAATATACATAATCCTATGATTACCCATCATCACACCCGTCCCCGACGCAGCAGACTGCAGCACTTTCAGCTCGACCCTCTGGCCGGTATTGATGTCTGCTGTCTCGTGCCCAGACCTGGGCCTTGATCTTGAGCCGGAACTCGACAGTGCGAATGGAGAGGTTGGTGCTAATTCTGGGGCTGGTGCTGGGTCTTCAGGTGGCTCGATTGCATCGAGTAGGTCTCGAAGGGTATTGCTGGAGCTGAGACGCGCGGAGGCGTAGGATGGAAGTATAGACGCAGAGTCAGGCTGGGTTCTTATATCTGGCGGGCTTTGCTCTGGTGAGGCATTTCCATAATTTGAATCGTGGAAGAGGCCATCTTTCTCGTTTCTTTGGGTCGATCTCCTTTCTTCTTCTACATCACCAGCAACATCACTATAGGGTGGTGGTTCATCACAAATGTGCGGTTCTGGGATACTCGATGTCCTCTCCCTCCCCGCAAAGCGGTACGTGGTAAGCGCAAGCGCATTTCTGAATTCCAAATCTAGCTGAAACCCACCTCCAACTCCGATTTTCAAATTCCCTTCCCCAATCCACGGCATAGAAGCATTAAGCAACTCCACCTTCTCTCTCTCTTCCCCTTTTCCCTTCCCCTTCCCTTTCCCTTCATCAGGAAGTCTAACGCCCCACTTCCGAGCACCAGAAAGCCAAGCCCGTCTTAGTACAAGCACCGGTGCATTTTGAGCGCAGATAACCCGCATCCCCGCGGGCCATTGCTTCTCCAACACGGTGTAAAGCAGCTGTCCTTTAAGGGTTTCGGATGGCTCGTGCGCAAGCAGTCGATGTACAGTTAAGACATGATTTTCCGTGGATGTAATTGATAGGGTTGTCGGGGTGTTTGTTAGGCGGTCTGGGGCTGGGGAGAGAAGGTGGCTTTTCTGTAGGGCTATTGGCGTTGCGGGGGGGTGAGGGGTGGCGATTTGGGCATTGGGGTAAATTATCCCTTTTTGCCGGATTTGTCGGATTGGATTGGGGTTTGGTTTTGAGCGCACGATTTGAGTTCTGTATCGTAATTAACAAGGTATATCTAGAGAAGCTTGAGACTCTCAGATGCTGATATGTTGATATTGATGTTGATGTTGAGTTGATGTGGGGTTTCGGCTGGGCCGGATATGTAGACGGTGCTGGTGGTTGGCTTATCGAGCAGTGTACTGTGCCCAGATGTTGTTTATTGATTTCATTTGATTTTATGTCAATGACATAATTCATACATTGCTACATCACTGGTTTAGCATGTGGTTTTAGGGTTATCTCTCGACGCCACCCGATGTTAATTACATGCATATTTACAAAGTTATGCATGCAGTAGCTAGTTAGTTAGTGATTCTTTAGTTGTGTTATTTAGCTTGTTCTTGATAGGTTAGTTGACTTGGTCATTCAGATTGTAGGCAAAGGATTGTTGATTCCCTCGAATCACACTCCAATGTTTATCTGACAGATTCTCATTCTCACGTAAGATCGAACGAAGTCTTTCCTCTGGCTGAAGCCCACGTCCCCAATCTGTAGCGGTTTAAAGATGTAAAGCTCGTTATTGTCTGCGGCGACATACGGACAGATGTCGTCCAACGTCCTCTTTCCGCAGCGACTGCGTTTCCTAGGCATAGGTTGTCCTAGCTTTCCAGGTACAGCCTGGGAGGTGACGATTGGTTTCCTCTGTTGTGTGGTTCTTATGACATACACCGTAATGATCGTACACAATATGTCCCATGAACCTAATAATTCTACGTGCAGTTGGTAAAATTGTAAACTACTTGAAATTGCATTAGCCGTACAATTGGTAGCGTGTATCTTATTACCCTCCAAGATCCCAACTTGATGGATTCCATTAATACAACTAGTTAATATCACATGTAGGTAATTATAAAGTTCTGCTCGCTATAATAATGTCATGATAACATACGACTAATACCACTGCTGTGCAGAAACTAACTATTGCGGAGCGACTGTAACTATGTGTCGCGGAACCAAAAAAAAAAAAATTGAAGCACTCCCGGCGGGGTACGATCCCGCAACCTTGCGATTAAAAGTCGCACGCTCTACCAATTGAGCTACAGGAGTACTGTGCTTATGACTGTTGATGAACTGTTTGGATTATGACCACTCATTTCTTTTCCCAAATCAGGCTCATTTATGGTCATAAAGCAAAAGGCATCGCGGAGGAGTTCTAGATTGTCTTAGCAAATGTTTATCTGACAGATCATCTCGTGTTATGCCAAACTTAAGAAACAAACACTCGACGTTCTTGTCACAGTCAAGCCTGCGAAATCACCGATCAACCCAGATGAAGCGGGCACGCTCTTACTCACCGGGGCCCCAGTTCATAGAGAGTTCATTCCACGATTGCTAGCCTTACCTCTAATGGTCACGGGGTTTTATAGAATGAGATCAGTCTGCTTATTGTCATTATTAATGTGCCTTATATCTACATATGCATCTTTCTGGTTTGGGTTTTTGGTCTTTCTCCACATTCATACAAGGCCCCTTTCAACTGAGCTTATATATATACAGCCAATGATCTCCCGACACCGATGCAGTGGGATAACTTCCACCAATTAGTCCTAAGCTTTCTAGACTATAAACTGAAGATATATAAATATTTTCAGACAAATCAAGACCACATTATATTTAGTTCAGCGCGATCTTTCTGGGGCGTTGAAGTACCTATAAGATGTCCACGTGAGCGGATGTATCGGATAGAGCCGTTTACAAATGCCGAGGTCATTTTTATATTGTGGAGGAACTACTATGTAAGCCCAATTTGCCATTGTTGCCATTGGCACACAATTGGCACATACCCAGTCCTTACTAGATTCCAGATTGGTCTCGCCTTTTCTAAAGACAAAATTAGAATGTTCACCAAAAAAACCACAATAACGCATCCCGACGGTTCATCCGGACAAAGTGGAACAATGGCCCACACCGTGCCGAAGGTAATAATAGTCGGAGGCGCAGTCTAGGCCGAAAGAAAAATTTGCTTCTCAAGTGACAGGAAGGATTTTAAATGGATTTTGGCTGAGAAACAAAAGAAAAGATGCAAGTGTCAGTACATACGTGGTCCCATAATGTGTACATATGTAGATAATGTATAGGTACACGTAGAGAAAGAGATGAAGGAAAAGCCATAGAAAGTTAGTGTGGGTTAGTGGATGAATGAGAAGCTTATTTTGATGATTTTATGAAGGAATTAGTAATTTACAGTTATACACCTGGGCAGAGAGTATGTCCATGGATTATATCAAGATATTATTTCGGGCCAGGAACGAGATTTTGCGCAAATTGTACAACCCGCCCTCCAGGTACGGAATAGAATGTTGTACTCCGTACAATATAAAAACAATAATAGCCCGCCACGTTGGTGGAACGCGTCAGTCAGTTGAAGACCCATGGCCATGACCTCAATCCGCATTAGCGACGTGGGTCTCTGTCATAAATTTGTGAAAGGACTGGCTTCTCCTCATTCTAAACAAAAGGATCGTTCCACCCCTGGACCCTCTTGGTTTTTTTTCCTTTTCCTTCTCCCCGGAATATGAAGTCTGACCGTTTGTGGGGTATTGAATTGGACCGTTGATCATTGAGCTCTTGTGTGAGGTCGGGGTTAATTCGACCTAAATCCCCTGAGCATCTTTTTCTCCACACATCTACTTGGAAAAGTACCCAGTCCACTTCCGAGCACTTCCGCAGGAATCGATTTTGCCGTGCCACTTGCGCGAAATGTCGGATCCGGAAGAGAAGTTTCCACCTATTCCTTCCCATCCTTCTGCAGAGGATGCGGAGCGGAACCACAAAGCAGATACGGACCACACTGGAGACGATACCAAGCCAGACGCGCTCACTCCAGAAGATGCTAGTGTGAAGCCTAGTATCTCATCGTCCCAACGATGGCGAACAGCAAGCCAGCGGGTCCGAAACCGTGCCGCCACTATAGCAGAGAGACTTGGACGACCGCCTGAGAGAGAAGCAGATGGCTTGGATTCGCCATTTTTACCGGAGTATTATGGAGCAACGGATGACATCAAAAGCTATGAGGCCCGACAAGCAAATGATGAGGAAGACAGACTTCCCGGAACAGACTACAATTCACAGGCTCGTCTGTTGGTGGAAAGATTAGGCTTACAGTCCGAACCAAGGCTTCCGCGCGTTGAAGAGCCTCGTTCAGGTGCCACAACCCCAGGCACTCCAGATGGAACGGCAATCCCTGGCGGTCCACCAGGTGGACTTCTTTCCCAGTTACTTCGAGTCTACGCCAACAACCTTCAAACGGCGAGTCGGATGAGTCTCGTCTCCACAGCATCAGAGACCGACCCGGAAACGGAGACACTGGCACCGTCTGGCACGGTGACTCCAGGTGGAAAGAAAGAAAAATTGAAGTGGTACAATAATGGCCACCATCAAACCAAGTCAAATCACAGTTATACCTCCTCTCTCATCCATGCATCCATGGATATGAGCCGGGTCGGAGTCCCCAATGCCGCAGGACCACCTCCCGTAAACCCCAAGCAACGAAAGAAAGAGAAACGCAAGAGCAAGAAAGATGTCAAGCTCACAGTGCATATTGCCCGCCTCCTGGCCCGTCAGCAGTACATAATGCAACTTTGTCGTGCGCTGATGAAGTACGGCGCCCCAACTCATCGACTAGAGGAGTACATGATGATGACCTCCAACGTGCTGGAGGTCAAAGCGCAATTCTTGTATATTCCAGGTTGCATGTTCATGTCATTCGATGATCCTCTGACCCGCACAGCGGAGGTCAAAATCATTCGCGTGATCCAGGGACTCGATTTGTCCCGCCTGGCCGAGACTCACAACGTCTACAAAAATGTTGTGCACGATGTCATCGGCGTGGAGCAGGCCACGCAGGATTTGGACCAAATCATGCAACGCAAACCGCGCTACAACCGCTGGATGCTAGTGTGTCTAACTGGCCTAGCCAGCGTCGCAGTCGGACCGTACTCCTTCAGCGCACGCCCAGTCGACCTTCCCATCATCTTCATCCTAGGATGTCTCGTAGGCTTTATGCAACACGTCCTCGCCCCAAGCTCAGCAACGTACTCGAACGTACTCGAAGTATCCGCCGCAATTCTAACATCATTCATCGCCCGCGCCTTCGGCAGCATTCACCACAACGGCGAGCGCGTCTTCTGCTTCTCAGCAATGGCCCAATCATCTATCGCAATGATTCTACCCGGGTTCGCAGTCCTAAGCAGCAGTCTCGAGCTCCAGTCCCACCAAATGAACGCCGGCTCCATCCGCATGGTCTTCACAATCATCTACTCCCTCTTCCTCGGCTACGGCGTAACAGTCGGCACAACAATCTACGGCCTAATGGACAACAACGCAACCACAGACTCAACATGCTCCGGCTTGCCCGAAGTCTGGGGAAACGAGTACATCCAACACTTCCCCTTCGTCGCGCTATTCTGTCTCTTCGCCGCCCTGATCAATCAATCCAAAGCAAAGCAGCTGCCTGTCACCATCACCATGGGCGTGTGCGGGTACGTCGCGAACTACTTCAGCACGAAGAAACTCGGCGCAAACCAGGTCGCCAATACAATCGGCGCGTTCACAATTGGTCTGCTGGCCAATCTGTACAGCCGCGTTTGGCACGGCCATGCTGCTGCGGCGATTATCCCGGGCATTTTCACGCTCGTGCCGTCTGGTCTTGCGTCTAGTGGGTCGATTATCTCCGGATTGGAGTATGCGGAGGCTGTGAAGTCGGGTAATGTCTCGAGTACCAGTGGAGCGACGAGTAATAGCTCGCTTACGTCGCTTGGATATGGAATGATTCAGACGGCGATTGGAATCTCCGTTGGGCTTTTCATCTCCGCTTTGATTGTTTATCCGCATGGGAAGAAGAGGAGTGGGATTTTCAGTCTTTAGACTTGCCATTTTTGTCTCCTGAGAATATTTGCGTCGCATTTACATTGTATTATTTGCATCATATGCATTGTCTGCATCAGCATCAGCGTCTTGGCCTTGCAGCGAGAGAAGAAAGCCATACAACCAGTTTTGTTCCAATCAATCATTTTGTACATTTAATTAGATTTACTGGCATTTCACTGGGGGCGACTCAGTGACGACGGCCAACCGAACAACCGATAATTACATGTGTGTCACTCATATACTTCCACCTATTCGTTGTTCACCTTTAGCACAGCTTCATTCATACCTGCTTATGGCTTTAATTCCTTTGCTACCTGACCTCGGGGACTCATCATGCGCCAGTCACACATACATGGGAAACGAACATATTGTACATTCAGTAGCTACCTAAATGACCGTTATTACACCGTCACATCATTCGATATACCGTCAAATTTCAACCCTTCCTCGTGCTCAGTGCGTTTCATCGTCAACAGGTGTTCCCAATGTTCGGGATACTTCTGAATTGCCCATTTCTCAACCTCGTCTTTCCAGTATTGATACGGGATGGCATTGTAGAACAGCCCGATACTAAAATGTTTGTTAGCGACGATAGATACAAGAGAGATAGCGGATGTACTCACGTATTACTTGTGGGAAGGACGCCAATCTCGGACTCCATGTTGTTTATAACCTCGGTGGCGAGATCGAACTCGCACTGCGCTGCCAGAGCTTCCATATAAGCCGAGTAAAGAGGGCGGTCCACGGTAATCTCCAGCTTCTTGACTTTGGCCATCATCTTCATAGCCTCTTGGGCGCCGTTGTGGTGCTTCTCGCAAACCTTGAAGAAAAGGGTGATGGTCTTCTGGGAGGGGCCCTCGTCAGACTGGAGGATCTGTCGAAATATTGTCATGCTCTTCTCTGGCATTTCGCAAGCGGCATAGGCCATCATCAGGCCATTCAGAGTCCTCGTGTTGAGATCCACCTCAAGATCCAACTTCAGCATATTGTGCACGAGTTCCAGGTTGGTGGCGTCTGCCGTGCGGGCCAGGCCCTGGAAACAACGGGCGTACGTATCGGGCCTGGGGCGGCGGGTGAACTCATCGGCTTGACGCATGTGTCCGAAGACCAAAACCGCCAGATCACTGCGTTTGCGCTCGAAGAAAGCGGTCATGATTTTGGTGCGTGTTGCGACACCCGTGTATGGGAATGCGATTTTCAAAAACTCATACGCGTTCCAAACATCTGTGTCGGATTGGCTCATGTCCAGAATAAATTGGGTGACCGCGTCGCGTACCGGTGCCTTCTGATCGTCCTCGTAAGTTCCTAATCGTGGACGGAGCAGCTCTGAAACGGCATCCAGGTCATTGCGGTAGAGAAGAAGGTGCGTCAATGCGGCAACGGTTTCAGGCTCCAGGCGTACATTGTCTTCGAAGAGCGGGTCTAGGAGAGACGAAATTTGATGGAACAGCTCGTCTTTTTCTTCGGATCGGCAAAGCATCGCGATGAGCTTATTGGCAAGGGGGAGGTAGTCGCTCGTGAGGGAAGCTGCGTCAACCTTGTCTTCGAGAAGCCTCAAAGTCTCTTGAACGTTACCGGCCTGGATTTGAGACTCCAATTGCAACATATGTGTGTTGTTATCCGGGGCAAGGCCCCATTGGTCCGCTAGCGCCATTAAATCGGAAGCCAATTCTGTGTTTTGCTTTGCATTGGCATACCGAAGAAGCATATTAACAATGGTGATATCAACGGAGTCCTTGAGTGCCGGGTTCTTCGAGATCCAGGAATCAACTTTTTGCGCAAGAACAGAAGCATTGTTACTCTTTGCTGCTTCCCAAAGTAAGAGGATGCCAGCAGTGTCTTTGTTTGGTTCGCCGGAGATGGTATTGATGATTTCTGCTGCCGTATCTGCCTGGGACTTCAAGATACAATATTCGATGACGGCTTCTTTTGTGCCTAGGGAGGGCTGCAAGCCGCCGGCAATGGGACAGGCGTAGACAACTTGGACAGCTTTAAATTGGTCGTGGTCGATGAGAAACCTGATGATCTCTTGATGAGAAGCTTGATCAAAGCTATTACCATGAGTCTCCCATTCATCGACAATCCTCCGTATTTGTCGTAAATCGTCCTTCATGGCAAATCCTCTCAGCACAGTGAGCCAAGGTGACGGTTTGGCCTTGCTCATTGAACTCCAAAATTTGAGAACAGTATGTCTAGCATCCTCCGGATTGCCATTCATAGCCAAAATTTCAATGTACAGAGTAAGAGCTGGTCTGCTGATCTTATTCGGACCAAATCCGTGATCGAGGTTAAGTTCTTGATATGCGAATCGGGCGAGTCGAACCACAGTCTCACGGGCCTGTGGAACACATTCTGATTCGGCGAGTACATGCAAAATTTTCTCGAGGTTTTCCGTCGAGAAAATATTTTGCCAGTCTTGTTCATCAAGATCGTTCTGCTGGGCCCTGAGATGCTTCCACGTGACGACCAACGTACGGGCATGGAATTGAGTGATCACCCCTGGAGTTTCAAGCCGCGTTGTGAAAAATGTTTGAAACGCCCTTGCGAGAAGATAGCTCGGAGGAGATCGGCTTCTATCTTTAAGCGACCTCATCAAATCCGCCATTGGTTGCAGGCCTTTCTCGGATGGCAAAGTACTTGGCCGCCGGTCAGGGTCTTGAGACGTAGTGAAGGAGAAGAGGGTGCGTCGCGAGGTATATGAGATGTTGGACATGGCAGGTCGCACACGAACAGAGGTTATTGTATGCATTAGGCGATTTCGACGACATTGCGAGAATTGAAGTGGTTCATTGTTGGTAATTGCCCGGAAGACCCGTCTCGTGAGATGAGACTGCATGGTGAGCGATTAAGACTGGACCTGTAGCTCAGTTAGAGCAAGGTTTGAACTTGGAAGAGAAATTCGCGATCTTGAGTAGCTCTGAATGCTTGGGACAAGAAATAATGGTGATTCGCGACGCGGAGAGATCTGGAGGTTGACTTAGGCGGAAGAAGTCTTGGCAAAAAAAAGATCTCAACTCCGCGTTGACTCCCGGTCTCCCTGTCAGTTGCTCAAACATCTAAATCAGCAAAACCCCGTGGCTGAATACCGGTGTATTTTCAATATGTCCTTGAATATTTTTTCTTCACCCTCATTGTTGCGCAATGCTGCGACAACCGCCAGTGCTGGTCTGTCACTATGTCGCTGGAGCTCGACTGCTGCCATCAGCGACTTCACTTCACAGCGCCGCACAACTTCGCACAGTACGTTGACTTGGTACATTGAATTGACCTTACTACTCTTTACATCTTTTCGTTGGGAATGGGAAACTTGATCACTGGATACGTCACTAACATTTCACGACAGCCGACATGGGCAGCCGGCGCCGGGTTGTCAACCGGGTAACCAGTCGCTCGAGGTTCCTTGAGGACCACAAGGCAAACAGCGAGAGCCGAGCCCTTGAGAAATATCAGACTCGCGATTACAAGCCCGGAGACATCTACGCCCCCCACGATCTCAGCCCGTTGGAGATGAGGAAATGGGGAAAACGCCAAAGCCCTAAGACGGATGCTTTTGACGCATTGAACTTGAATCCATTGGATATGTACAAGGTAGGCCTTCTCAAAGCCCTTGAGATGTGACTTATATGATACATGTCTGTATGGACCAACAATTACTGACGTTTTATCTTTCGCTCGCTACAGAACTTTGCTGTCATGTCCGAATATATGACTTCCATGGGCCGCATCAAGCCTCGAACTGAGACTGGTTTGCGACCTGTCAACCAACGCAAGATTGCCAAAGCTCTCCGCCGAGCCATTGCACTGGGCCTTATGCCCAGTGTTCACCGACACCCGGAGATTCTCGCATATGAGATGCGGGCTAGTATGGAACGATCTGGTGGCATTTGAGCAATTCATTACTATTGGAGACTCAAATGGACTGGATAGAATGTGTTGTACAAGCACCGGTGCCTGAAGGGACACATTTCGTGTATTATTACTCTTAGCGATCATTGATTTTATTGGGAACTTCCAGTCTCGATATATTTGTAGTTGTGGAAATACTGTATACTACTACAGATCGATTTTGTTGTATGTTTACCTACCCACATACAATATTGCACAATATTGTATATTATAGTAGTAGGTAACGTGCACAATAGATGCGTGGCTGTGTTCCCCGCTAGTGTGGCCCGAGTACGTCAGTCGACATAAACAACTTCCCCTCTACATTTACCCTTTGTTGACGTGCTTTAGCGATGTCACTTGCAAACGGTGAGACTTTGAAAACACATTCCTGTCATTCATCTCATTCTGACAAAATTTGAAAAGAGTCTATTTGGGCTGCTAGCCCGTCCACCACCCGCGGCCAGCCCACCCAGCTTTCTTCTGATGCCAAAGGCGAGCGATTGGCATATGCAGTATGTTTTTCAACCGCTTATATACAATGATATATTCTCGATCTAACACAATTCTCTTTAGTCCAACAAATCTATCTTCCTGCGTTCAATTGATGACCCCGCGGTTGCAAGACAGTACACCGAACACAAGGCGCAAACAACGGTCGCACGGTTCGCCCCTTCTGGCTTCTACGTTGCAAGTGGTGATGCCGCTGGAATCGTGAGAGTATGGGACTGTGTTGGCGAAGGAATCACCAAGGGCGAATACAGTATTGTCAACGGTCGAATCAATGATTTGGCCTGGGACGGCGACTCCCAGCGCATTATTGCCGTCGGTGATGGCAAGCAGCGATTTGGACACTGCATCACCTGGGATAGTGGAAACACTGTTGGTGAAATCACTGGTCACACCCACCAGCTCAACACTGTGTCGATTAGGCAGCAGAGGCCTTTGCGTGCCGCTACTGCGGGCGATGACAGGAAGACAGTTTTCTACCACGGAGCGCCTTTCAAATTCAACAATGGTATTGCTGATAAGCACTCAAACTATATTTACGGAGTAGGCTTCAGCCCAGACGGTTCGCATCTGGTCAGTGTTGGCGCAGACCGGAAGATTTGGCTCTACGACGGCAAGACGGGCGAGACCAAGGGTCAAATTGGCGAAGGAGAGCACACCGGCAGTATCTTCGGTGTGTCATGGGCCAAAGACTCGCGCAAGTTTGTGACTGCCAGTGCAGACCGGACTGTCAAGATCTGGGACGTGGAGGCCGGTAAAGCGACACAGACCTGGACCTTGGGAGAGGAGGGTGCTATGGCTGTTCGTGACCACCAAGTTGGCGTGGTCTGGCCCCATGGAAGAAGCGATGACCTGCTCATCAGTTTATCTCTTAGCGGAGACCTGAACTATCTGGTCGAAGGGACTCCTAAGCCCCGCCAGGTCATTTCGGGCCACCAGAAGAGCATCACCTCCTTGAACCAGACTACCGTTGACAACAAGGAGACTCTATGGACAGGCAGCTTTGACGGAAGAGTCTGCAGCTGGGACGTGTCGACAGGATCGGTCGAAGAGATCGAAGGAGAAGCTCACCCCGGTTACGTCGCTGGGCTTGCAGCGACATCAGAGGGATCTGGTAGAATTTACAGTGTCGGCTGGGACGACACCCTCCGATCTGTCGATGCCGCTGCTAAGACTTACACTGGTAGCGCCTCAAAGCTCAACGGACAGCCAAAGGGTGTTGCAGCTGGGGACACGACGGTTCTGGTTGGTGAGTCCGAAGCTGTCGAAATTTTCCAGGATGGCAAGAAGACTGGAGAATATAAAACAGACTTTGCAGCCACCACCGTAGCCGCGCATGGTACCATGGCAGCAGTTGGAGGCGAGAATGGATCGGTACAGATCTGCGCCATCTCAAGCTCCAGACTTTCTCCGCGGGCAGATATCAATGCCTCTCGCAACCCGATTTCTTCTCTTGCCTTCTCCCCAGACGCGTCCCACTTGGCAGTTGGTGACTTGCGTGGACGTGTGCTTGTTTTCAAGGTTTCAGATGGCAGTTTGGTGACGGACCGCTGGACGGCTCATACGGCACGAATCACATCACTTGCCTGGAATGCAGCTGGATCACATGTTGTGAGTGGATCGCTAGACACAAACATCTTTGTTTGGAGCTTGGCCAAGCCAGGAGACTGGATTGAACTGCAAAATGCTCACAAGGAAGGTGTTCATGGCGTGGGATGGGTTGCAGAAGGTTCAAAGATCATCTCAGCCGGTGCAGATGCAGCGGTGAAGGTTTGGAAAGTCGAAGGCCTACAATAAATGTCAAGAGTAGCTGAGATCGAATTTTGCTATGAATAAATCATAAATTCTCCAAGTTTCTTTTGACTTAGATCAGCAAATTTGAAAGAACAAAATTGGGGGTTTAGAATTGGTACCCAACCAAGCACATAACAAAATACATATTCTCTACGGAGTACGGAGTGCTCGGCGTAGAGATAAGAGGTGCGTGGAGATGGGAAGTGGGGAGTGGCCGTAACTTGCTTCCAATCGTAGCCAAGCTAACAAATTATCCTGCATAGCTCTGCATCTCCGCACGAGGATCTCTGACCTCTCAAAAAAGTCTGGAACAAGGGAGACTCCATATAATTTATTTTGCCATGAGGCTCGTACAATGACTTCAAAGTACGTGACGCGAGAATCTGAATTATGCCGTCCGGAACTCCCAGCAGCTCCCGCCGCTCACGCCCTACGGTATGTACTTGCATTCTCTGCCCAATATTCCGAGCTCAACTACTAACTGTCGGTGAAGCTCCGCCAGGCAACATTTGTCCTCCCAAAGACCGGACAGCGCCTAAAAGGTCTGATCAACCTCCGCGACGCGGCGCCCGATGCCAACGACAATCAACACGATGAACGGCGCGGCCTTCTCACAAATGAAATCTCAAGTCACTATGAGGGGTATCTCACACTACTCTCACGCCGGTTACAAAATGCAGGGGCTCAGGCGAGTGAGTTCATCAGGTCTGAATCAGGTATTGGGGTCTTGAAGTATAGTCTCGCGTATTTCATCGGATCTCTTGCAACATTCATCCCTGTGATTTCGGCGATGCTGGGCCATCAAGATGGAAAACATATGGTGGCCACAGTCACAGTTTATTTCCACCCTGCCAGGTCCCAGGGCGGGATGGTCAAGGCTTTAATCTGCGCGTTCCTGGCATTCTGCTATTCGGCGTTCTTGACAATCACTAGCATGTTCGTCGAAATGTTCTTCCAAGATACTCTGGAACTACCCGTCCTTGGCCATGCGGTGGTTCTTATTGTCTTTTGTGGAGGTGGACTGGGCTTTGTTGGTTGGACTAAGCAACGATTGGGAGATCCTCTGGTCAATGTTGCTTGTTCACTAACTGCTTTGTCCACAATCACCGTCCTGACCAAGGAGGGTGCCGTGCAAAGTGGCGATTTATCACTGGCCAAAATCTTCCAAGTCTTGAAGATGGTTCTGATGGGTGTAATGGCTGTCATGGCTGTATCTTTTTCCATATTCCCTATATCGGCGCGAAAACAATTGCGATCGAACCTTGTCACAGTCACTGACACATTGGCTACCATGATGGCAATTATTACAGACAGCTTCATTAAGGGCTCGGAGGAAGAGCTTGTTTCGGCCGAATTTCTTGACGCAGAGACAAAGCACCGGAAGGCCTACAGCCAACTCGATAAACTCGTCCGAGAAGCTAAACTTGAGCACTATGTGGCTGGCACTGAAAAAGAGTATAGGCTCGAGAAAAAGCTTGTCCGCTGGGTGCAAGACATCACACATAACATGGGAGGACTGCGCAATGCAGCTTCTCTCCAGTTCGGTTTAATTCGAGAGACCATTGCCCGTGAATCTGGAACATTGGAAGAAGGGCAATGCACTTCGACCCATGTAGACTATTTCACACCACTCGAACGATCGTGGTCGTTCCCTGATGGGTCATATCTAGAGCCTATTGTTGAGCGACCAGAAGAGGAATTATCTCCAGTGGGCTCTACACGTTCTCATAAAAACGGAAGTGCTGAATCGACACCAAAGGCTGCACTTCTTCCCGCGGATGTATTTGATATTTTCATCGCCGCTCTAGGTCCAGAAATGGTAAGTTGGCACCAAGCAAACACCTTGATAGAATACAAAAGTTGACCAAAAACAGCGTTCATTGGCCTTCACACTGAAAGAGATCTTCAAAGAGATCCCATTTGGGCCTGCTCCAAACTATAAAGTCTCGGTGAACGGCCGGTTGAGGATTAGTCTCGACCGGGCTCTTGATCTTTACAAAGAAAAGCGCGAGGATACCCTCGCATCTTTATACCAGCATAAGGAGAACATGAGGCCCAAGACTCATGAGGCTGAGGCCGATGTTGAAGAGGTTTCAGCTAGCTGCGGCCATTTCAGCTTTTCCCTCCTTGAATTCGGAGAGCAGCTACAACAGATGTTGGCCATTTTGGATGAGCTGCAGCTTGAGGTTGAAGAGCGTCCTCATGGGCGATCTTGGTCGTGGCTCAAATTTTGGCAGTGGTCGGCGACTGCAGAGGCTGCTAAAGCAGAACCATTTGATGCAGGTGTGTATCAAATGAGAAAGCATATAGCTGATGCTATGGAAGATGTGCTAATTCTTTCACAGAGCCAGCTTCCAGACTAACCGGGGCGCCTGCTAGCGACCAGAACCACCATGGACATGCTAGACATGCATCGGATGGCTTGATTGCACATGACAGTGTGCCCATCACTGCACAAAACCTCAGAAGCACACCCAAAAGAGAAACAGCGAGGGAAAGACTCGGCTATCGGATTTGGAAATGCCTCGGGTTCTTTCGACGAGATGATACGAGATATGCCATCAAGGTTGGAGCAGGAGCTGCAATATATGCCTTGCCTGCTTTTCTCCCATCTACACGTCCTTTCTATGGGCGCTGGCGAGGTGAATGGGGTCTTTTGTCATACATGCTGGTTTGTTCAATGACAATCGGTGCCTCAAACACCACAGGATATGCTCGTTTCCTCGGTACTTGCCTGGGTGCAGTTTGCGCTATAGTAGCATGGCACATCACAGCGGCGAATGTGTTTGGCCTTGCATTCCTAGGATGGTTGATGGCCATTTGGACTGGATACATTACCATTGTTCGAGGTAACGGACCCATGGGTCGTTTTATCATGCTCACCTACAATCTCTCAGTGTTATACGCCTATTCTCTCTCGCAGAAGGAGGCAAACTTCGACGAGGATGAGGGAGGTACTCATCCAATCATGAGTGAAATTGCACTTCACCGCGTTGTTGCCGTGCTGTCTGGGTGTGTTTGGGGCGTCATCATCACCCGATTGATCTGGCCCATCAGCGCGAGACGTAGGCTTAAAGACAGCTTAAGTCTTCTCTGGCTGCACCTGAGCCTCGTTTGGAAGCGTGACCCTCTATCGATAATGGCCCAGGAGAAAAGATCTGTCGTATACATGACCCCACGGGAAAAGCTCGAGATTGAAAGATTTCTTTCTCGGTTGGAGTCTCTTCAGGCCGCAGCAAGCTCCGAATTCGAATTGAAGAGTGCATTTCCTGTAGCTTCATACGCAAACATTATTCGCCGTACACGCAGCATGGTGAACTCTTTTCATACCATGAACATTGAGCTGATGAAGAACGACCCTGCCACCGAAGGTGAAATCAGCCTTCTCCAATATACAGCATTGGAACGCCAGCAGCTGTCTGCTCGCGTCAGCCATCTACTATCAGGTTGGTTGATCCCTTTGTGATCTATTCTTCGATTTCTCTTGCTAACCACCTTCCAGTCATTGCCTCTTCCATGAAGCTAGAATACCCCTTGAGTGATGTGCTCCCCAGCATCGAGCATGCGAGAGACCGATTGCTTGCTCGCATCTATCGCTATCGTTTAGATCGCGAAGAATCTCAACAGACCACAGATGAAGACTGTGCTCTTCTCTATGCCTACGGTAAGTCTTCTGTGTATTGTATCTTGTCCTTGGCTAATTCTGACCCTTGTACCTCATCTTTTAGTTTTGGTAACTGGCCAACTTTCAAATGAGGTCACGGAAATCATTGCAGAGATTGGACAGCTCTTTGGGGTATTGAGTGAAGATGTAGTACAGCTAGCTTAAAAATATACCTAGGGGGCCAATCGATCGAAAGGCATCGCAAAAATACGAGGGGTCACTATAGTAGGGTTGATGTAGACCAGTCAATAAATAGATATGTCTCGTCTGAAAAGTCTGGCAATATCTCCAATGCCAATTTATCTGCATCTTTCTACACGCTCTGGGTCGTCTTGACATTTTTGAAGTCTCTTCCTAGTATGGTTACAATCCAGATGATACAACAGCTAACCAGGTCCTAATCTTGTCGCAGCGTAATGCTTTCAAGATTGACTGCCTCCATACATTTTCGACATCATATATTACGAGCCCTGGAGGATGTACTGTGTCGCCCGAGTTTCCAAAAGTACATACATAGTCTATGTTCAAATGCGAGTATGTAATGATACTTTTCAAATTAAGAAAAAAAAACGGATTTATGAAGAAGCAAGTAGAATTCATGGGTATTGAACAAAGCCTGACCTCCTCTTCCCAGCGAAAGTCAAGGTCATTGTTTCGGTTTTTGGATCCTTTTTCTTTTCCTTCGAAATCTCTTTTGTTCTCGACCGCTACCCTTTGTCTCTTTGACAAGAAGTGATACTATACATCGCAAGGTCCAAGTAAGACCAAGGTGAAAACGAAGAGAAATGTGGGGACAAGGCAGATGCGGTCGAGAACAGACAGTAAAGATATATCTTCAAACTCCAAATCCATATGCAAATCATGTGGCACCGCAAACAGTAGTAGCCTCCATTGGTAGTACCCAGACGCCGTGAGCCACCCTCCATCCAAACCAAGAAAGAAAAGAAACAAGAAAGAGGGTGAAAAAGTAATGTGGCAGCGTGGGTGTGAAAGTGACGAACGAAAAAAAAACAGAGCGGGGGTATAAAATTCTCACGCAGCCATGGATAGACACTCGTCAAGCAATCCGCTCAACTGATCTCGGTCAGCAAGGGTGCCTCCTTCCCAGTCGGGCAGAGAGCCGTCATCGTCATCCAGGTCCATCTCATCTTCGTCCTGTTTGATGTCCTGGTGTGATCCACCAACGCCATTCTCCAAGCGATCTTGTCTTGGTGTTTCGAGCTCATCTTCGTAGTACCCGCCCATGATCTGGTCCGCAATCAATGGCATATGGCCGAGAACACCGCCGCCCAGCTCCAAGGTTAGGCGGAGATCCCTGACACCCAATGGCCTTCGGGTGCTAGCCTCTCTCGCTTCAACGGGTAATAAACCCGTTGCGGCGTCTTTCACGATTTCACCACGTGTGTAGGCAAGCTCTTCGACCTCGAGCTGGTGACGATATTTGCGCATCATCATGTTGTTGATAGTACCTGACGGTCCATTTGACCGCGTGCGTGAGAATACTGCGGACAACACCTCCTTGACGAATGTTTCCGTCGCAATCGCCATGAATTCTGCGCAAGGGAGCCCAGCACCGCTGGGCAGAGACTCTTCGTAACATATAGGGACCATGCGGGCATGGATTGATTCAGCATCGGGGAATTCGCCGGTTTCTGCGGCAAGGGGTTGGGCATAACGTTTGCGGATTTCCAGTTCCCAGTCTGTAATTATGGACAATGGTTAGAAGCTAATCCCTCACAGGAAGCCTCGGGAACGGAGTGGATTTCTTGATTCCGAGGCTTTAGATGTCTCTTACTAGTTTTGTTCAGCCCCCCTGCACTTGCGGGAACTTGGCTAGGTAATTTGATTTGCTTGGCTAGGTGGCATTCTTCTAGCTCCGTGAGTATCGTCTCGTTGGGATCTCGCTGTTGAAAGTTAGTGGTGTGTCTCTTTGAGGATGGGTGGTCATTGTTTCGACTGCATACCTCTGGGATTCCTTTTATGCGCCGGCGGTCCCTCGGAGGCAATTTCATAACCTCGGTCTTCAATCTTTGCTCCGCAGCATCTCCGGAAATAGGTTTCGTGACCGCTGATGGTTTATCGTTGGCCGATACCCAGGTTGCGACGCCATGATCGGGGAGGTCTCGCGTAAGGTTTCCGATGAGCGCGCAAACGAAATTGTTATGAAGATGTTCATTTTTGGGATCGGCGCATAAGAAAGGGTCTACTCGCGACGCGTATTCGTTCTGGTTGTAATGTCCTAGAATTGGGTAAGAGGTCAGGAGGTTAGCGAACCGAGGTCAATTGCTGGGAGGGATGGGCAAGATAGCTTTGGTGAAGCTTGAATTATCGCTGATAGGTCACAAATCCTATGCGCATAATCACATACCTAATAAAAAGAGAGCCGTAGACTCCTTGTAATCGGCCCACTTGTCTCCGATGGCGGCCTTCAGGTCCGTGTAGGCAGGCTCCAGCTCCAGCCGCGGTACTGATATCAAAGCTCTGGAGGTCTTAGATGATGCTGAGCCGTTGGGCACGGAACCCTTGATTGTGTTTGAGGCAGAGTCACTGCGGCTCAAAGCCGCCGGATCGATCTGCATGATTGCTGGACTCGCGAGAGCGCGACGGGCGAAGCCGAAGGGCGGCAGGGAATATTGGCACCTACGCCTTCATGAAGGAGAATCCAAGGATCTAAACCAGGGATAATGAAAGAGGGGATACTTTCATGTAAGAGATTGTCGAATTGATGATGAAAATTGATGAGGTGAAAGAGATGGCGAAGGGTTTGGTGGAAGGGGAGGTTCCAACTTGCGGTTCCCCGCCAGACGCCAGAAACGGATACATCGACGTGCACCGAACTCAGTAAGCTGTCTTTAACATGTACATTATATGTGTATCTACAATGTTTACTTTATATAATCTTGTCACGATGATATTACCACATAGCTAACCGCTATATAACCACAATTGAAAGAGGATTGAAAGAGATTTGAAAAAGTAGTAAGAAAGTCCTGAAAAATGACCTTAAAAAAAGATGTATGCAGAGCATATGAAAAGATGGTAATACATTGATATTGAAGAGTCTCGTCATCCTTTCTAAATGGAAGGTAGCTACAATTCCATGAGTTCTTTGCTCCCAAAACGCCAGAGAATACACCTGCGATGACCATGCCAACTAGTTGATAGCACCTGCAACCAAATACAGAATCTCCTCGGTGGACTTGTACGCATTGGCCGGGTCCTTTGCAATGGACTGCCAGAACTCGCCGTGCTTAGGTTCCATCGTAGTGCACTTTGACACAACGTCTGACCGTTTCTCCTGTATTTAAGAGGTAAGCTGGATATTCAAAAGTCAAGGAGCCTGAAGGCATAGAAGCAGAATAACTAACCTCAACACCATGTTCCAGAAGGAACTTGTAGTACCAAGCCCAACCGTCACCATAATCGCTGTCCGACACAATCGCCTTCTCGAACCACGTCATAGCCTTGTCCAGCCGACGTTCAGCCCAGAAAATGCGGGCCACAGCAATGAACAAGACCGGGTCATTTTCGCATTTCTTGATGGCCTCTAGACTACGAGCCTTGCGCTGAGCGCGAGGCTCAAGATGCCAGATGCTTTCGCTCCACAAAAGACCCGACGACGGAACTTCTTGGAGCGCACGCGCCATCAAGGCCTTGGCCTGAGTGATGTTGTTGGCACGACGTTCAACACGTACACTCTCAACCCAGAGCTCGGGGCTTTTAGGAATGGCCAGACGGGCCCGATCAAGGACAGAACGGGCCCGGACAACAACACCGGCTTTTTCTTCCAACCGTGAGGCGAGCAACCACAGTGCGACGGACTTGGGGCAGGCTCGAGTGCCTGTTCCGTATGCCTCGCGTGCTTGTGGGAATTTCTTTTGAGCTTCGTAGAGCTGTCCCTTGATCATCCAGAGCTTGTCAGCCTTGGGAAAGATCTGGAGACCTTGGTTAACCAGGTCTAAAGCATCATCGGTATTACCCAGCTGTCGCTCGAAGGCGACGCTTTTGGTCCACACACGATCAGTACCGGCTTCACGACGAGCGGTGGCCAGAAGTTCTCTAGCTTGGTCGGTTTGCTTGGCATCAGCCTCGAGCTTGACAGCCGCCAGCCAAATATCTTCGTTGTTGGGGTTTTGGTTGAAGGCACGACCGAGGACTCGTCGAGCATCGTCGATTTCTCCAGATTGCCATTTCTCTTTGGCAAGCTGGAGCCAGAGCTCCTCGCTCTGAGGGCAAGCCTCGACTGCCTTCTCTAGAAGTTGCCAGAGTGCTTCTTTGCTGCCATGATTACGCTCTAGGTCTGCTGCTGCGAGCCAGATTGATCGGCGATTGACAAAGACACGCAGAGCATATGCATAAATGGCCCGTGCAGTCTCATATTTACCACGAACAATACTGGACTTTGCGTCATCCATCCAGATATCTTTGCGGTCATCATCCTCGTCCAGCCCCCATCCGAGGGTCTCTTGGATGATACCACCGCAAGTGAGAACAGCACCTTCTTCTTCACATTTCTCGGCTTCTGTGATCCACTCCTCTCTTTTCAGCATCGCGTTTTCTCGAGCCAAAGATTGGACAGCACGCTTCATGACATTGACTTTATCGAAAGTGCCCATCTGCTCCTGAAGTCGAGCTGCTGCAATCCAAATTTCGTAGCTTGTGGGGACTGCCTTGCGGGCAGCGTTCAACACCTTCTGTGCATTTTCCGGGGTTTCAAGGTGAGCCAGGGCAAGCCACAACTCGACTGAAAGGGGAATGATCTCAACGGCCTTGGCCAGCAATAGACGCGCATCGGCGGGATCTGCCTCCAGATTGACAGCCTCTTTCCAGATCTGCACCGATTGAGGAATGTGCAAAATAGCTTGTCGGAGGACATTCTTCTTAGCACGAGTGTCCGTTTCTAATCTCATGGCCTCGGTCCAGAGTCTTGTAGAACGGTCATTGTTCTTGATGGCGTTTGCTGCAATGACCTTTGCATTATGACCTTCGTTGAGTCGAATATTCTCCATCCATGCGTCTTCACTCTTTGGGCAAAGTTCACATCCTTTGGCCATGAGGTTTCTAGCAACTACCTGCCGACCAGCAAGCTCCTCGAGACGAGCGAGAGCAATCCAGCCGGGGGCATGCTTGGGATTGGTTTTGGTGACAGATTCCAACAAAGTTCGGACTCGCTTGACATCACCCACCTCAACTTCACCGGCTTTGGTTTCTGACTGTGTCAAACTGGTCAGGTAGCCAGTGGGATCAATGTTTGTGGCGCTGCCAGATGCTGTATCGGCGGATGAACCCAACGCAGCCTGGTCCAGCCTGACTTTGAGTACTTTATCACGCGCAGCACCAATGTCTGCGAAATTCGTCATCGTGCCATCGGCGCTCTCTCCGCCGGCGTTGGTTTGTGTGCCATCGTCGGCAATTGTCGTTTCGTACTGAGCCGAGTCTCTTGCACCAGCAATAACACTATCTGGGACGGCGTAGAACCGTTGTCGATTGTTCTGTTTCTCTCGTCGATTCTTGCCTGTCAAATCACCAACTTCCGGCAGGTTGGCCCAGTCCTCCTCGGATACGGAGGCGAGGGTTCGTTTCAAATCCGCAAATTGCTGTTGGATTTTCGGATTCTTGCGTTCGAAGTCTTCTTTTTCGGCCTTTTCTCGGGCTTCCCTGTAGGTTGCGAGCGATTTATGTCGGTACTCTGTCCAAATAACCGGGGCTAACCCGATGAACAAATGGATTTCGGATGGGTTGGGGAGGGGGATAAGACTAACCTGCGAGCTCTCCGGCGCTTGTCCATCTTCTCGTCTACCTCTTGATAGATGCGATCTGCCTCATCGTCTTCCTGGTCAAACTGTCCGTACGCGAACAGTCCGACCTCGTTGTCGGGGTCTTGGAACCGCTCATCATCCTCTTTCTCTTCCTCTTTCCCTCCTTTCTCGCGTGTAGTACTGCCGTAAGCAGTGGGCGCAGCAGCTCCCAGTTGTTGAGCTCTCTTGGTGAGAGCAGCTTGGATTTGTTCGGGCGTAGGTCCTTCACGCGCCGGGCCAAGATCGGAGCGAGTCGTGAAGCCTGTCGCACCACGACCTAGACCGGCGACATAGTTTTCAGGCGCAGCCTGGCTCAGGAAATCCTTTCTTCCGGACGCCATATTGGGCACAACTCAACTCAGATAGCTCGAGGTCGACGGCGCAGAAGACGAAGGCGGGCGACGTTGAAAAGTAATTCCGGTCCCGACAATCTTATCGCAAAAAAAGTTGCCGCCCACTTTTGAAGTCGGTGCTTTGTTGCTGCAGCATTTCTCTCTCAGTCTTTGATTAATTTTGGAATTCTTGGGGCTCATTGGTTCAACATGCCCAAGATCCAGAAATCCAAGCGCAATAGCGCTTCGCAGGGCATGTCAGATGCCGCTGCCAAGACAAAGGCTGCGCACAGCATCTTCAAGATGAACACTGATATTGGCCAGCACGTTCTGAAGAACCCTGGTATTGCTGGTATGGATCAATCTACTTGTCATTTTATGCACCTGGCTAATCAATGAATTTTTAGCTGCAATTGTGGAAAAGGCTGAGCTTAAACAAAGTGATGTAGGTTATGAAGGCATTGAATCGATTGACATGCATTAACAAAGTCGATAGATCGTCCTTGAAATCGGTCCCGGTACTGGTAACTTGACAGCCAAGATTTTGGAGAAAGCAAAGAAGTGCATTGCTGTGGAATTGGATCCCCGTATGGCTGCAGAAGTCACCAAGCGTTTCCAGTCTACCCCATACCAGAAGCGGTTGGATGTCATCCTTGGAGATGTGATGAAGACCGAACTCCCATACTTCGACGTCTGTATCAGCAACACCCCCTACCAGGTATGTGAACTATGCGACAAACATATTTATTATGGTCTAACGGAACGGAATCCAGATTTCCTCTCCTCTTACATTCAAGCTTTTGGCTGTATCCCCGGCACCTCGTACCTGCATTCTCATGTATGTCTCCGCCCTGGAATATTGCAACACCCCAGAAATAGTTTGTATCATTGAGAGCTTACATGTGATTCGTGATTTTCTTATGCAGGTTCCAACGTGAATTCGCTCTGCGATTGTTCGCCAAGCCTGGCGACAAACTCTACAGTCGACTTTCAGTGAATGCGCAAATGTGGGCCAAGATTGATCATATCATGAAGGTTGGCAAGAACAACTTCAAGCCCCCGCCACAGGTTGAGTCTAGTGTCATTCGAATGGTTCCCAAGAACCCGAGGCCACAAATTAACTATGAAGAGTGGGACGGCCTTCTGCGTATTGTTTTTGTGCGCAAAAACAAGACTCTCAGATCCAGTTTCATTGGTGTGACTAGCATCATGGAATTGCTAGAGGCAAACTACCGCACTTGGTGTGCGCAAAATGACATCCCTGTGGAGGACGGCCCCGCTGAAGTCGCTAATGATGACACGGCAATGGATATGGACGGAGAGGATGAAGAGGAGGAACAAGTTGCTGAGCCAACCGACGAGGTCATGGACATGGACGATGACGATGTTCCCGACTTCTTCAAAGAAGAGACAAATGCCCGCCTCCAAGCAGCGCTCAAGAACGGAGCTTCACGTAAGAAGCGAGGCAAGGTTGCGGAGCTAGTTCGTGAAAAGGTGCGCAGTGTCTTGGAGGACGACACTGGCCTTGGGGAGAAGCGCGCGAGAATGTGCGATGAAAATGATTTCTTGAAGTTGCTGTGGGCATTCAACCAGAAGGGCATTCATTTCAACTGAGCGAAGCGATACCATGTCTTTGCCTCGGGGGAAAAACGTCCGAAGATCGGAAGCCAGGAATTCGGATGATGAATTATGATTACTATCAATAAAAGATACCATGTTCAGGAGGTTCATCACCAGCAGGCCGGAGATGAGCACGCGAATCTTGAAACAGGCTCTGCCAAATGAAAGCCTCGCTGAGTAAGAGCTCAATGTCTTTCTCCGTCCAACCCTTCGTAGGCAATGCTTGGAGGAACATCATAACCTCCTGGTGGTGTGTCAGTATTCCGGTTTTGTATAAACATTTCAAAGAAGTTCTTACCTGGAAATCCATTTTCACCAATTGATCTGTCCACTTGACCAAAAATGCCGCGCAGACATAAAGGTGAAACCGTGAGAAGCCCTGCTCCTCCGCCTAGATATGATATCAGTATCAGTGATACGGCCCCAGGAAAGGCAAACGTACCATATACGTGTCCCACATGCGTATCGTGTTCTTGATGCTCATTTCCCGCATGAGCAGGCAGTTCATCCATCGGAAACTAAATTGCATAAACTCCACACCTTCTTGTTCTAGGTGCTTCGCCAATGCTGAATCGATGCGCATTGTGAGGTCCCGTAGCGCCCTGACCTGCCGGTGAATTCCCGGTTGGGCATAAATGTAGTTATCCTGGATACCGTCCAATAGCTTTGTGAGACACCAGAAGGTGTCAGCTTCCACCGCATCCAGCACACTCCGAGGCAATTGGCCCGGATCCATGCCTTCTTCGACATTCAAGTCGGTGATATAAACGCCCAGAAAGACCTGCCAGAATGGCGTCACTAAGTCGTTGATTCCTTGGACATAACCGCTAGCTGGGTGTCGGATGGCCCACAAGTAAAGAATGCGTTCAAGAGACCTCTGGGTAGCCTCGTAGCCATATAGCGGAATGTGTGGACTGGTGCGTGGAACATCAATACTGATCTGGTGCCAAACCGCTTCGTCCAGTCCTCTGCCGCGGCCTTTGGTTGAAGCAGTGGGAGTGGCAGAGTTTGCACCGCTACCTCGCTCAAAGGCCTGCCGAACCCCATCTAGATATTCCTTGCGTTTCCGTTCTAGAGTGGAGATACGTCGCTCACTATTTGTTGGCAAATACCCAAGAAGAAGTTGCCAGGTCATCGGCCGTACTTCTTCTGGTACACCTGACCAAGACAGATCTCGCAATTCGGTGGGTGATACAGTGCTCGCTTGGAGGATGCGTTTGAATTTGTTGATTCGGGTAATGCGACTCGAATGAATGTCTCGTTCTTTGGGCGAAGCATCTGTGGGTGGCGGAGAGTGGTTTATAAGGTTTAAAGCATTGGCGGGATCTGGGAATCATCAGTATGGCACTACCTTTACACCATCAACTTATACATACCCTGCAAAATGTCCTTGTATTGAGGCCGAAGAATCTTCCCTTCTCCCTTTCGGGCGACAGGGTACATCGGGGCACCCCGCTCCTCCGCAATGTCTGCGCTATTTGCTCGTTGTCTGTTGCTGGCTGCTAGTCCAAATCCAAGTGATGAGGTGTTACCTCCTGGCCCGCCACTAAAGTTAATGTTCTTTGACTTCAACGGCGCAGACCTTTTTCTCCTCATGCTAGCCAGACTGGGAAGCCCAAATTCATCTTCATCATCATCGTACAAAATCTCGTCATCGTCATCTTCATCATCCTCTTCGGTGGGGTCACGACTCCGCTCGTCAACCCCCTCGGTCATAATCCCGGGGTATGGTTGCCGGGGAGGAGATGCTACCACGTTCCCTGATCTGCGAGCTAAATGTGAGGTGGAACTCGCGCCTAATGGTTTTGATGGTGTTCTTGGTCGAGAGTGGGAGGATGTGGGCCTGTCAAAAGAAGAACTCGTCAGCTATAGTTTCCGACCAATTGCACTGGATTCATGCAAGGGTTGGAACATACTGTACAAGACTGGCATGTGAATATGAAGCACCAACAACAGTGTTCGGATCATAGATCTTCGATGCTCCCTGGTTCAGGGATGTGCTTCGGCTGGCCCAGAAGGGTGATTCGGCGCGTCTTCACCACATGGTTAGTACAAGGCATGCGTGATAGTTGGAATGACAGCTGTAGAACAGTATTAAAAGGACCTAGAACTTACTCCGAATTGTCTATAAAACGTGGAAAAAAGGATTGTGTAAGCTATAGCTGCGATTAAAATGCAAGGGGAGGCAAAAGACACGAACCAACCTGGACCATTTCCTAGGGGGGTAGTTAGCTCAATTTCCAATAAAGGAGGTAAAGCTATAAAGCTTGAGGGCTGGGAAACCTAAACATACCTGCTGCCCTTTTTTGTTCGCCATCTTTACGAGATTCCACAGGAAGTGATCTCATGCGGGAGTCTTAGCAACGTGCGGGGTGACGCTGGAACGGTATCCTTGCTGTGTTTCATCCAACCAGGCCATGTATGGGATAAATGAAAGGTATCAATAGAGCATTCTGGGAATATTAAATTGGAAGTAAAAGGTAAATGAAAGCAAACCTGTAGGTTCTATAGATACAGACGAAGGGTGTTTAAGTCGGCGGGCAGCTCAATTCGTTTATGTAAGCATGTTCTCCGCTTGCGATCCCGCTCCGGTCCTGACTTCTCAACTTTCTTCCGCCTTGCTCTCCGCTACATTTTCCGCTCTTCTCGTGATTTTGATCTCTTTACAACTTCTTTTAGGGGTTCATGTTTGCTTGTGACCATATCTCGTAACCAGATCTTTTAATTGCTTAATACACTCTACTTTCAAACCATCATGGCTGACCCAGAGGATGGTGATGATCTCTTCGCGGATCTGTATGTGTACTACTCCTACCCTGCATTGAATACTACGAGGCGCTCTAATGATGTTTTCGTTCTTTTAGTTATGATGCCGATGAAACGACAAACCGCACTACTTCAGCCGCCGAGGCCCCAAAGCCTGCTGATCCAGTCGCAACAAGCGCTGCGCCTACTGGGGATTCTGCCACCCAGGGCTTTGAATCTGCTCCCGTCGCCGCATATGAATCGCAGCCCGCCGCCGGTCAGGCTCAGTCTTCAGGGTTCGATACTGGCTACAACAGCGGTTCTGGAAATGCCTATGGTGCTCCAGCCACCACAGAAGCTCCTGTCGAGACCGAGTCTCACGGCACAGGTATCAAAGAAGACGGGTAAGTCAATCAACCGCAATGTTCCATATTTCAAGATTCCTATTCTACCTCAATTGCATGTGCCGATTTGGTATCGAGCTGTGTCTTGCTGGTATGGGTTTGGGTGGTATCAGTTGCTATTCACGGGTTCGACTACAAATTTGTGTGCTGGAAGAGGAGCTTCCTGGACGGAAAGAAAAGCTTTCTATTTATGGGATCAGTTGTTACTGGGCTATCTGAGGGAGATTCAACGGTTGTTTGGGTTGTCGCGTTTTCATGGGAGGAACACAAAGCGGGCTCTGCGACCAATCAGCATCTCTACCCGACGAAACCCGTTACGTGGCCATCAAAACCAACGATCAGTATATCACGCACTGGTCACACTTCGGTATCTGGTTCGCCAAAGTGATCAAAGTCCTAGAAGGAATCGCCTGAAGTCCTTGATGATAACCAAAGTTCGCACAAACCAAACCAGCACTACCCATCACCAACGCGGACCTTTGTCACAAGCCATTCATATATAGTACAGCCGATACTATATAGATTCTTGTCTATATACCTTTGATAGGGCAGAGCAAGAAGTAGCTATCTAGCTTGGGACTCTGTTAGACAAGGCAAAGGTTTTCACGGGTCAGACAGACAGAACAGTGTCAATTCACTTTTTACGACTGAATTACTTGCACCTCTACGCTTATCATCTCGCCCGCTTGCAGCTTGGGCCAATCAGAAAGAGGAGGACATGGATCATCTTGCACCCAGGCTCATGTAAATCAATGGGCTCGACGTTAAACCCCATTTATGAGTATCAGATCAATTGCCCGGGACCGCCAAAACCGTACATTGATGACAACGAAGTACAATGGCTAGGCATTGAGCATGGGACCTGTTCCAAGTCTTGCTTTGTCTGTCCCATGACAGTGTACTCAGATTAGCGAAGCTTTTCGCACACACACTTCGTTAGCCCGTGAATAGCAGCGCCTCGCCACCCACAGCTTTAGCCAGGATACCTCACCCCTTGATTTATGTTCCTTCAGCCAACCTTCACCCCATTCATACTTCTCTATTGCCCGTTCTCATCGGCAATTGGCAACCATCAAATTTCGCAATGGTCACTGATCGCAGGAAACAATAATCGATTGAAAAAATCGTCCTAACAAGACACCCTTTGCTGACTGGAAGTTGTTTTGTCTAGAAAAATGTTCATTGGTGGTTTGAACTGGGAAACTACCGACCGTATGTTCTCATCTTTGCTACACGAAACTTTGTACACCAGACTAACATAACAATCTTATCCCAACTCTAGAATCTCTTCGTGACTACTTTTCCTCCTTCGGTGAGGTCCAGGAATGCACCGTTATGCGTGACAGCGCTACTGGTCGATCTCGTGGCTTCGGTTTCTTGACTTTCCGTGACCCGAAGACTGTCAATACTGTCATGGTTAAGGAGCATTACCTGGATGGAAAAATTGTAAGAACTGGTTCGCACTAATTTTAGGAAGCCTCTGCTGACAGATTCCGAAGATTGACCCCAAGCGTGCAATCCCTCGGGACGAGCAGGAGAAGACTTCTAAAATCTTTGTTGGTGGTGTTAGCCAGGAGGCAACTGAGCAGGACTTTAAGAACTACTTTACGCAGTTTGGTCGTGTTGTGGATGCTACCCTCATGATTGACAAAGACACCGGGCGTCCCCGCGGATTTGGCTTTGTGACCTTCGACAGCGAGGCTGCCGTTGAGAAAACCCTCTCTCGTCCTCTTGAAATCCTAGGAAAGCCAATTGAGGTCAAGAAGGCACTGCCTCGTGGTAATTTGCGTGAGAACAATGATCAACGTGGTGGCCAGCGCAATGGAGGATATCGTGATCAAAATCACAACGACGGAGGCCAGCAGCAAGCGCCTCAGCAGGGACAGGGTAGCACCATGACCCCCCAGATGATGGCTCAGTACTGGCAACGCATGCAGCAGTACTTTACCATGATGCAGCAGTCGATGTCCCAGGGCCAAGGAATGCCTGGAATGAACATGAACCCGGCTATGATGAATCCCGCTATGCTTCAGCAAATGCAGCAGATGCAGATGCGTCAGCAGCAACAGCAGATGGGTAACCAGCAGGGTGCTATGAGCCCCGGTCCCCAGAGCCCCGGTTCTCAGCAGTCGATGCCTAACATGATGAACCCCGCCATGATGCAGCCCAACCAGGCCAACAGCGCCACAGGTGGCCCCGGAAGTGACACCGCCAGCCCGGGTCCCAACGCCGCCGCTATGGCCGCCAACCGACAGCCAGGACCAGGTTACAATGCGCACGAGCAGCTTGCCTTCGAACAGCAGAAATATGAGCAACAGCAGCGATCAACAGACCCCCGTGGATTCTCGCCTTACCAGCAACAGGGAGGCCCGACTTCGTGGGAAGGCATGTACGACGAGGTTCCCCAGCCTCATAACTCAGGTGGACCAGCAGGTATGAGATTCATTAGAAGTTCAGGTGGTGGTATGGGACTCTCATGAGGGTCTATATATCATGCCCCTTTCATCCCGAGTTGTAATGAATCAGATCTAGACGCTAACAATCTTTTCTAATAGGATCTACTCCTCAGCCTCAAAGCACAGCTCCTGCTAACGCCCCTACCGGACCCCGCAATGCCGGCAAGCCGGGTGCGAACTATCGTGGCGGCGGCCGAGGTGGACACCGTGGTTACCACCCCTACCAGCGCTAAGCTGCTCGATGTGGTTGCACCAAGGGATTTTCATTCAGTCTCTTATCTTTCAGATACGACTTCGTTTCTTTCGTGTGTTTTCTACGTCTTTTCTTTTTTTGTCCGGGGCCAGCGACTTTGGGCCTCATGGATCGATATTTGCGTGACCACCGGTGAAGAGAAAGAGTGGAGGCTCGACGGGCTGGTTGCATTGACGTTTTCCATCCTCTGTATCATTATTCTCAGAAAACGGCGTTTTCTTAGGGGGTTTTTTGTGAGGGCTTTAGGGCTCGAGGGTCGTGGTTTTGAAGGTGGAAAACTGATTGGCGATAAGTCAGCGTCTGGGCTTTAAGCTCGGTGGTGCACTTCATTTTCCTGTGACTTTAGCCTCACAATCAAAATGTTCATCTAATGCGAGGAATTGTAGACCTTGACTCTTGGTGATGCTAGTGCTGAACCTAGAGTTATGTTGTTGCTTCATAGTTTGAGGACATTCGGCCCCGGGGGCAAGTGATTGTGGGCTGTCCGGGCTATCGGGGCTCTTGAGGCTATTTGGCTTGCTGGAGCTGTTCCAAGTAAGACAGAGAGTACTGTGCTGATTTTAACCAGCAATTTCACACCATGCAACAATCTTGAAATAAATCAAATAGAATATTACAATGTATAGATGTCTACCAAAGTAGGGCCATGGTATCCACGTGACCCATTGGTTGGATCCGACAGAACGTGATGCTAATGCATACTCGAGGACAATCAAGAATTACAGTCTGGTGGTTCTGTTGAGGATAAATAGAGATGAAATAGAGGGCAATATATATCAAAGATGACACGATTAGCGCATGGAATGCTCATCAATTGCAAATTGTAATTTGTATGATAAATGGTAAAAATGGTAAAAGAATGAGGTATGTATAGAGACAAGATCAAAAGAATGGAGCAAGTGATATCACACAAGAAAATGCATACAAAGGCGAAGGGTTTAAAAAAAACGGGCCCAACCGCCATTTTCCAAGCACGCTAAAAACCGTCAAAAAAAAGTAAATATCTAACCACAACGTGTGTACCCAGTCTAAGAATGAAGAGTCGGAATGAAGGTGACAAGGTGGGAGAAGTAAGAATGGTAACGTCATGGCGAGTCTGTGACGCTTTCGTGGGTTCGTTTTTTGTTCTTTTCTTATAATTTAATATGCCATCCCGTACGCAGGTTTTGTGGGACGACGGCCCTCAATTGAGCTCCGCGAATGCTGGCTGTCGGGACTTGAGCTGCGACCGTGCGCTATGCCGTAGTCGTTGCCAACCAGGCGGTGGTGTTCGTTGCTGCCAGTAGACCCTGGTCGGTGGGGTTGGTCGCGATATGGCTCGTAGGGGCCGGTGAAGTTGAACTTGCTCATTTCAGTGTACTCCCTGCGCTGAGGATGTTCCATGAGGAGGGAGTCTCGAGCGTCCAACGGGGTCAGGTCGTCTAGATCACGGTTTGCTTTTTCTAAAAGGAAGTTGCTGTTAGCATATGTATTTTTGGATTGCCATTTGGATGGAAGGTGTCTGGACTTACCGGCTTCCCTTCTGCGCTTGGCGTGGGGGTTCTCGCGGCAGCATGCAATAACAGCATTGACCGTGATGAGAATAGCGAGGACAGCAGTGAGAGTGGACTGCACGACAATGAGAACAATTCCGGTGACAGTCTTGGTTGTTTGGGAGAGACCGAGCTCTTCAACAAAAATCAAGACACAAGCAATGGACAAAACGCGAACGACCTGGACAGCAATGTTGATACCCATGGACGCCTTAGTGGCATAGGGGCGACTCCACACTAGAAGTCCTAAAAGGAGAATCTCGCAGGCAAGTTGGCCTGCACTTTGAAATAAGCCGTGGCCTTCGCCACCGGCGATGATGCAGCCCTTGACCAACGCATACACGATGACAGGAATGAAGATCCACCAGAAATCCTTCTTGTAGTTATCATAGAACAGACTGTACTTTTTCCAAGTCTCCTTATTCTCGTACAGTCCTGCGGTATCTCCCTCGGCCCTTTTGTATTTGCGAGCCATGTAGACGATGCGAATGGCAAAGAAGAAAAGAAGCGCAGTGAACAAAGCAAGGGTTATCGCAGCCAGAAGTTTTGCTGCCCACGAGTCACCCTTTCGAAGCTGGTAGACACAGTATAGCACCCAGATGCTGTAGAGCACGAGAATCATGTTGGTGATTGTTCGCGCCATCAGGCCCCAGTAATCCTTTCGGAAATCGGAAAGCTTCTTGGGGAAGTTGCCATACAGCGCCCATAGTTCAAGGACGACTTTCACGAGAAGAATTCCAACCACAACCACGGCAATGACGATGGCAAAAATCAAGAGAACAGTCATGAAAACATTGGCGGAAGGAATCATCAGTTCTTGAGCAAGCTCCTTTAATCTGTCAACTTCGCTGGAGGGCCCGCTGTCATCGCTGCTTGAAGTGCTGTTTGAGACACTGGAGTCGGCAGATGCATCAACTGAACGAGCAACAAGCTCACCAAATTGGATCGTGTAGTCCCAGCTTCGTTTGGTTGTGTTGGTGGAGGCTGAGCTACTACTGGCCGACAAAGAAGCATTTTTTAAAAAGGTGTAACTGTCAGAGGTCGTGTTACCTCCAGTGGCGCTCCGGAAGTTGTCGATGGAGGTCTGCATGCTGGACCAGGGGATTAAGCCGGTACTCCACATGAAGTTCTTGGAGAAGCTGCTATAAACAGTTGGGTAAGCCACACTAAGCATGCCATTGGTGGCCATCGAATGGAACCAGCCCATTACATCGCCGAAACCAGGGCTGTGCGAAGGCGATCCGACACCTCCAGCCGCGCTGGCAGCAGAGACACCACTCAGTGCCAGGGCGCCTGCTGCAATGCCAGCGGAGACGTAAGTCACAGCTTTAACATTGGTGGTGTGACCGTTGGACAATTCGGACTGGATACAGGCCACGTTATCATTACTACCCTTGGATTTAAGGACGAGTTTTGCCTGGCCATCCAGATCGGGCATGGTGAACGCAATGGCAGGGATCTGGCTAGCATATTCTGATGGAATCTCCATGGATCCACTGGCCTTGAAGGTACCCTTGGGGACGGGGCAGAGCTGATCCACATGAATTTCATCGCCGCAGGGGTCAAATTCTTTGCTGTATAGATCGTGACCGTATGCAGTAACTGTTATGGCCGCAGATACCTTCTGTTCCTTGGCGTTGGTACCAGCCACGTCAAAGACAACCACTCCAGTGGAACGAGTATATGTAACATCCAGCTTTTGGACGTTGATTGCCGAGTCGGTCATGCACAGGTTGAATCCGCTCGTGGAAAGTGTGTCGGCTGCCAGTACCCGAGGTACGGCGGCCAAGCCTAGCAGAGCCCAGATGATGTTCCGCATGTTGGCCAAGCAATGTTGAGTTTCCAAAGATTTATACCAATCCAAAACCAACAAGTTATACCAAGGGGGGGATATTCATCAAGGATATAGGGATCGATTGGGGATCGCGATGATCGGACGGATTAAAACGTATTGGGGGACGAATGATTCGCAAGAAAATTGCAGGGTCAACCCGCGATAGAAAAAAAAAAAAGGATAGATAAATGAGTCGGAAGGGTCGCAAGAAAACAAGCCCGGTGGACTCGTTGTTAGACACTGGTTTGTCGCGCACCAGGAGCTGTGGGAAATTGAGCGAAAGACGATAAATGATAGTAGTAAGAGAGGAAGCGATTGGAAAGGGAGCGAGTGGAATTTCCTCTCTCACAAAGAACGCGATGATCAATAAAGGGAGGAAGAGAGAGCATGGAAAGTCTCGACTTCCGAATTACGACTCTACGGTTAAGTCAGGGTTTGGGCCCCCCTGAATTTAGGACTGATTGGCTCTGATCACGTTTCAGAGTCTAGACCGAACTCTTGGTATGTTACTATTTAAATTTACTTGTATTTATAGGTATCTTATGCTATTACCTGTTGAGATCTCAAAATTGATCCCTAACGATCTAGTGATACAATACAAAGATCAACGTATAAAAAAGAAAGGAGAAGGTCCAGGTAAACAGTGAAGCTAACAAGAAGCTACCGCTTCTCAGACTATTGAACCCAAGGTTTTCCATTACCATTACCAAGGTTTCACCCTAAGTCTGCCCGGTCGCCTAACCACGGAACCGAATCCTGCCCTACACCATTTGAGGGATCGTGTGTCCCACTTCCTCACTGGTGCACTAGCATTAAAAAATCAAAACAAAACGCCACAACTAGCCACACGGCTGGTCGATATTGCCTCTGGTGCTCGCGGGATTTTGATTGGCCCATATATATTAATGCAAAGATTCCAATAATAATAAACTCCGTAGTCCGTACTCCGTAGACGCAAGGCACACGGAAGCGGTACCTGTAAGCCTGAAACTTGTGTATCCATCGTCGATTATTTAAGACAAGTGTCGAATAGCCCTACTCCGTACAAACGATGTTGTTTGGCATGATTTATTTTACACGCATGACGTGCCCGTGAGGGGCAGGTTTCGCTGACCTACCACAGGCCTTGCCACACACTAGAGACATGCCGATCGAAGATCCTCACGAATCCAAGTTCTAGCCTTCTATGGATTGTGGGCCCCTTACAGGCTTCGAGATGGACACATAATAATGTTCCTGGTAAAAATTCGTGCCACGCATGCGACCAATCCAGCTTGAAGAATCAGAAATCACATTATAAGCGTATTGCAACAACATAGCCAAATCATCTGAATGTGTGATACAGAATGGGTCAACCTACGTTGCAGGTGGGTACGAGATAGAAAGGACGGCTAGTAGCAGTTTTCATTTACCTCGAACCCTCGCTGCTAGGTAATACCCTCGTGAAAGCCATGTAACCTACTGGCTTTTGATATTTTCAATTTTGCTTCAATTGCTTCGGATTTTCATGGCTGATCTTTTAGAACTAACAGATAGAACAAGACCTTCTGCTACACTCACTTTATGCATACCTAGTAGCTGGCCCAACTCCCTAGGATTAAAGATCCGCTCAGAATTTAGCTATGTCTTTCACGCCACCTCCCGCAGAGCATATAATCGTCTGTCCTTCCAAGCTTTCATTTTCCCTAGCACACTCCCATTTCCAGCTTCAAAAATTGGAATGGTCTCAGCACTCATCAAGAGCCTTGTGGGCAAAGGTCGCTAGTCCTAGCCCGCAACAGCATCAAAGATAACTTTAATACAATCATCCGGTCGAGAAAAGGTCTTGTGAACGGCTGAGCTCATCATATACCGCATCAATTGGTTTATCCGGCTTGTCGGGTATCATGCGCGGGATGGCAGTTCTTGAGCTGCATATTTGAGCCGAAGTTGGTCTGCATGCTACCTGGAGCAACCACTATAAGTTTGAATCCCTAGCTCGGGTCCAATTCTTTGGCCATGAATTAGATAAATCCACCGAGTACAAATTTGCTGTGATTGAGTTAGTACGCGATCACTTTATGGCAAAAGTGTGACTTACCCGACGTGATAGAACGAGCTACCTAAGGATGTCAAGTAACCATTAATGGAGGAAAATTAAACGATATTTCCACCCTTTCTAGCCAGATTAACTACTTTAAAGATGCAAATAGCCTTTTGGGTTATTAGGACTGGGCCCTAGAAAAGGGTTTACGTTCAAAGCTAAATATCCGATTGAGGTATGCCTTCGTTGACTTCTATAAGGGCATATCCTACATTGTTTATCACTACGTCGATGCGAAACAACTTCACTACGGCAGCGGAGAGGCATTGAAGAATAGTAACTCTAGATGTAATGTTAAGACTAAGCTTTAGAACATTTTGTCTATCGGAGAGGTAAGAGAGGGTGTCGACATTGCGTGCTGTGGCCACAATTCTGGGGCCGGCCGCATGGATAGTGCTCGCTAGGGATTTTCCTACACCGGAGGAGTAGCTAGTGACTGCATCTAGTTAGCTCTAATTTGTTCTTGCTTCCTTTTTTATTCTTTTATTATTCTTTTCATATACTTGTTAAACCAAACAGAATCCGAGTTCAACATTTCGAAGCAGGTTGATAATTGCCGTCGTTTGACGATTTTCACCAGAGGAGGGAAACAGTTATGCTGGGAATTCACAGAAGTTGGATATGGTGTTTGCTTAATATAAGTCCTCTTAGTCTTTCATACCTGTCTCGTATCCCGGCGGAAACGGCTTTACGGAGGCAGCAGCTGTCCAGACAAACCTTAAGACTCTCAGCCGAGGGCGGAAAAATACTATCAACGGAGTTACTCGGGAACAAGAGACTTTCTCCATGTCAAGGGCAAGACAACTGACCCTTGGCCTAGATTTGGGGATGGAAAACAATTGATTTTGGATGGGTACTGAGAGTTCCCCCAAAGTGTGAGGATAGACTTTTACTGTAGCTCTGCTGGGAAACTGTATGCCCAAATTATGTCATACCTACTGAAGGAATCGGTCGTCCAGCGGCTACAGCTCATCGATGGATCAACGCATCCCTCAATGAGACTGCATGCCTCATTGCCAACTGTGCATCATGTCAATCGAGAGGTGAGCGGAATGATGGCGATTTTCTGGTATCATGATAGTTTCGGCAGTTTTCCCGAGGTAATTGATACATACGCTGATAGGCTAGCATTGCACCGTTGGATGAACGCTGTCATGACTAGCCTCAGAGTCCTGTCTCGTGTCCGCTGATGGCGACGTTTGCATTTACTGTGAGCTTGACGCGCATTAAGAACTTACTAGACCCACCCGGTCTTTCACGAACACTCGTCTTCAGATCAGGTGTCTTGGGGTATAGTATAAGCTGGTCAGATGTTATCATCTTAAGTGAACGCCAAGTTGTGAGGTTTTCACTCTGATAATTGATTTTGCAAAAATATCAAAGTTCATAATTAATACACTAGATTTATGCCTGCATGTCAATAAAAACTGATTTCTCTACAGATAGGTAAGGTTCTATTATTTGTTAAAAAGCGGCAAAACTGATCCTAAACCCTTGGAAGATAGGATATATATAATCTAGCTACTAGACCGGCACGTTGCTATTGACTTTGAGGTTAAACTAAAACCAACCATACCGATGAGTTTGTCTAAGAAAATACCACTGTCCGCAAACTTTTCCTCTGAGTAATTTCGATTAGCCAAGTTAAACTCGAGGGGCGTTTTGGATTCTCCAAATAGATAGATGACGGGTACTAAGAAGCCATAAGCCGCAATGTATCATTTTTTAAGAGGTGATAATGTAAGACAAATATCAGGATAGGTTGTTACCAGATCAGGAACTGCACTATGCATAAACACTTTATAGACATGAGAATAAGCATGGCCATATGGTAGATATATATGTGCAAATGTATGTATGTATAATATCAAAATTCATTATGTGGGACGCTCCCAGGGTGAAAGCTTAAATTAATGACGGTTGCCTACGTCTAGTATGAAGCCAGTCATCCCATGAGGTATTTCTTTTCTTTTCTTTTTCTTTTTTTTTTCTTGAATATCTTACCGTGGGATTCGCCAGGATTAATTGACGCATATTGAAGTAGATCTAAAAAAAATAAGCGAAAAGAAAAATTGTTACGAGGAGAAGAAGTTGATCTTTGGCAGTTGCCAGATTGAGTTGCGGGATTTAACATGGAACTCGATAAAAACTCTCTCATTACCTTCTCCCACTTTCTCTCTCTACCTTAAATTCTTCTTTAGTTCTCATCTCGCAGAGCTGCAACACTACACACAGTGTTCAATCACTCTGAATGGCTCATTTTTACTCCATGAACTTCTTCATCCCATCAGTGTCCTTCATCTCAGGCGCATTGTTTGGCCCAGAATCATCCTGTGGCTTTGCAGAGGTCACTCGTCCACCTTAATTCCCAGACTATTCCAATCTACCCACAGCCTGGAAATTGCTTGCATACACTCAAACGCTCCTTTTATGATCTATCATTCAACACTCGGTACGCCACAATGAGGTTCTACCGGCCAATCTTTCTGTGTGAGGTGGAGGGAGCTGCAGAGACGCAATTGGTTGTTCAATCGACTCAAGAGAAAGGCAAGGACAATGATCTGATGACAGTCAGCGACGTCTCTGGCTACAAACCCAAAGCAAGTCCAAGACTCGTCGATCGCTGGCTGGACCTTGTTGTGCGAGTAGCTGGCTCGGCTCCGATTTTCCTCTTTATAATCGGTGGCCTTCTCGTGTGGGCTTTGATGGGAATTCACTTTGGTAACTCGGATGTGTGGGTTGCTATCATCTCTGATGTGCAGGCTATTCTATGCTATGTATTCGACTCATTCTTGATGCGACAACTTCTTCGGGAGTACTCCGAGCAACGCACGGTCATGGTCGAAATGCACTCTCGCTCCAATAGTCATCGCAGGATGCTTGCTGCGCTCAACAGCAAGCTGGGACCAGAGACCACTCGCTGTGTTGCTGAAATGTGCAAAGACGAGCCTCTGCATCCACTCGATCCACCCATTGAAAGCCAAAGTCTGTTCGCTCGGTGCATGATCTTCTCGGCAAAGCTGTTTGGCCATCTCATAACTGTTGGGCTGTACTGGGTGTGCATCTTTATCTGGCTTGGTTTTGGCCATAGCTGCGGATGGTCAAATCGCTGGCAGCTATACATCAATGATGCCACGTCCGCTCTAATGGTTCTTGTATTTGCTTTCCTGGCTTGTCTCCGAGAATGCTACGCTGATTATACCAACACCTGCGTTGATGCAATCTTCCGGCTGGATGCGACGCTTGAACAAGAGCTCCGCCGCCTCACTCAAGACGAGATTCCAAACACAACTGAGGTCATTTCGGCACCCAAGGAAAGCTACTTGCAAGTGGTTGTCTATTACTATGCCGATGTAATTGGCACACTGCTTGGTATTATCATTCTGTTGTTAGTGATCGTTACCTGGGGTGCCATTGGCCCTGTCTTCAAGTTTAACAACACCTGGTGGCTACTTGTTGGGACCTATGCCGGACTAGTTGGTCTTTTCGACAGCTTCGTACTCCGGAACATCCAAGGCAAAGTCCACAAATCTATCAGCAGCCAGATAAGTCGCGTGGAACGAGGAGATGAGCCCATCTTTGCCACACTCTCCATGCAGGTTCCTTCAGCCGATAATCTCAAGTGCCCGTCTTTGAGCCGCCGTGTATCCCGACACATGGATAAAATCAGTTCCCATCTCCTCATGGTTGTAGCTGGCTTTCTATTGACTATTGGGTGTCTCACAGCCTCGAGCGCAATGCACTGGAGCTTGACGGGTCAATTGATCTCAAATGTTCCGCCTAGCATCATCGAGAGTTTTTTCATGCTCATTCTCATTACTGGACAGAATGACGCAGAAGCGAAATCTCGCATCAGCCTGACAAATATCTACTTCCGGCGCCAACGATTACTATCGTTCGTGAAGCATGCGAAGGGTTTTTGCATTCCTGAAATGTAGAGCAATAATCAAGTGGCTACATGATGAAGCCACCGTGATTTTATTCGTCGATTTTTGTGAAATTTTGTGACGAACGATCTCTAGTCTGCTATCGATTTTCATGTTTGGTTCTTGATTTTTGATTTGAATTTTTTTGTTCATGTTAATTGATTTAATAAGGCAGAATTCACCTTGGTCCCGAATACTTACGCGACGATGGAAGGAGTGAGCCTACACAAAAGTATTTTTTATTTTTTTATTTTACACATGTTTCACAGATAAATTAGTTACCAGCTGTTCAAGTTTCATACTCCAGTCTTCTCATTCGTATTCTAGTGTACCTCTGCCATTTCATATATCCCTGGAAGACTACCATCGGGTATATCCCCATCTAGCGGAAGAATGATACAGTTCCAATATCTGCCTTGGAAACAGATCACCTAAACAGCTGGAGCCACGGAAAAGTCACCAAAAAGCTTGAGAGATGGAGTGATCAAGTAATCACCGCCATTGGCCCGAACGAAAGGCTCAAAGGTGACCTTATTGTGCTGTTTATTACCATCGTAGATGCTCGTGTACAGTATCTTGTCATCTTCTTCAAAGGCACCCTTGACCGACTGGCCAACAATGGCATCCTGTCCCGGATTCATACCGCCGGTGAAATCAGTCTTGTCAGCCGGAAACGTGTCAGGGTTGATCCAGCCTTGAAAATTTGAGAGTCAGCAAGGCCACAATATGTTTTGAATGGACCCGGACTTACGGTGTTTGATAAATTGGAATCCGTTAGAAAGACTGGACTGGTAGCAAGTGAATATAAGGCCGCGGTCCAATATAGTCTTCGAGTTCTTCTTCTCGTAGGGACCGACCTCGGGTCCGTACGAAATACCGCGCCGCATGATGTCGAATACATCTCGATCATTGATCATACCACGGCCCCTAGTCTTGCGCATGTGCGATGCGAACGGGCAGTTGGTCTGATTGTCGAGGGGGCAATCAAAGTCGTTCCACCTCGCATAATCCTTGTTGTCCTCGTCGGGAAACATCTGAACAGGTGCTCCTGACTGTGGTCCCTAGACAGACGAGGCGGCTGCTCTCATTGAGCAACACCAAGCCTTCTTGATTTTTGACAAAGAAAACTGGGACCTGGTTGCATATGGAACATGGTGGCCAGATCAAACCCGAAAGATCTCAGCCTTCCAACCTAAAAAGGTCCGATATGTCCGAGTGTCAGCCCCTGCTCCAAAGGGAATCGCTATCGCAGATATCAGACTATACGAAACGGAATTCATCCCACCGAACGCTTCCCTTAGAGCTTGGGGCCCTACCATCGACTTTCCTCTCATTCCAGTCGCCGGTGCAATCGATGCAAACTCCGGCGAGGCCGTCGCCTGGTCTTCTTGGGGTTACAACATCTTCACTGGTGGCAAAGGGGGCAAGACACAAACTGCTACCCGGAACGGGGAAAGCCAGTCAGTCACGAGACGCGCAATTACCAATACCCAGCATGATATGTTTTGTCCGGGTCTTTCAATTGACGCGAATGGAAATTTTGTCGTATCTGGGGGGCAAGATGCCAGGGCAACTAGCATATACAACACGACCGTCTATGACTGGTTCAGGGCAGGACATTTGAATGTCTTTCGCGGATATCAATCTTCCACGACCTTGTCCGATGGGCGCATCTTCTTAATTGGAGGATCGTGGCAGGGAGGTGTTGGCATCAAAAATGGGGAAGTCTACGACGCCAAAGCGAATGCTTGGACGGAAATCGACGGTGCAGACGTGAAGAAGATGTACACACAAGACCAGCGGACCTACAGACAGGATAATTATCCCTGGCTATTTGGTTGGACCAATGGCTCCGTTTTCCAGGCCGGTCCCAGTGTACAAATGAACTGGTTTGGTACATAGGGTAACAGATCCACTGCCCCCACTGGGAACCGGACTGGTGATGCAGATGCCATGTGTGGAAAGGCAGTGATGTATGAACAAGGCAAAATTCTTGCCTTTGGTGGCTCTCCATGGTAAGAGACACTCGAGGCCACCAATCACGCCGCCATCATCACCATTGATAAAGTCAACAAAAAGCCTCGGTCCTTGCAAATGCAGGAGGTGGAATGAACTACGAGCGAACCTTCCACTCGTCCGTCGTCCTACCAGACGGCTCTGTATTTCACGGTGGTCAGGTTGTCGGATTGCCATTCAACGAAAGCCAGCCTCAGATGACACCGGAGCTGTTTATTCCTGAACCTAAGAGTGCTACCGGAGGTGCATGGGTCAAGCAGCAGAAAAACTCGATCGTCCGAGAGTGTCACATCATCTCCCTATTGCTTCGAGATGGTACTGTCTTCACTGGTGGTGGCGGTCTATGCGGAGATTGTGACGCCAATCATTTCGATGGCCAAATCTACACCCGCGTATCTGCTCAATTCCGATGGATCTCTTCGTGACCGTCCCGCAATCAAGACTGTGACAACGAATTTAATCCACCCTGGCGGCTCTGTCGAAATCACCACTGATGGCCCTGTAGATGTTTAAGCGTCGATCATACGGTACGGCTCTGCCACTCACGCTGTGAATACCGACCAACGACGTGTCACCGTTCAATTGGCAAAGACCCGGGAAAACGAATGTACATTCGAAATTCCTGCTGAGCCAGGTATTGCTCTGCCTGGCTAATACATGCTCTTCGTTCTGAAGGATGGAACGCCGAGCCACTCAGTAAATACCAAGGTCGCGGCTTAGACCAATGCCGGATTTCTCGCTTCCTGATGTTGGGGAAAGCACATGAGTTTTGCGATTGCTTTCGTCTGGGTAGATCAGCCAAACTCTTGAAACTTTGTTATCTCTTGTTAGACTAACTTGGACAGAATTCAACTATCTTATATTGCTCCACTATCCATCACTTAATCATCATCTACAAAGCACGTACCTACAGAGCTTCTGCGTACCTGCTGGCATCTATTGTAGTTGCTTCGATTATTTTGGGCCCTTGCAAAACCCGAAGAGTAGGCTGTCAGACGTATAACTGTGAAGCCAGTTATCGTTATTTTTGAAATTTGTGCTAAGACCCTTGGAAGTTCGCATCCCAGAAAGGAAATCGTAAGGTCCCGTCTCGCACAAGGAAAAGTACGATCTGGTTACAGCTGAAAGTGAGCTTCAACTTGGAGTTTGGGATGAGATTGCGTATTCCCGGATCTCCATCGTAATGTGAGAACGGAATCCGCCTTTTTATCAGTCGCGTCTTTGGCCGTTAATAGGCCGTGGAGCCGTGGGTTTTTAAGATGGGAATTAAGATGCGGTGTCTTTATACAGGTCCGAACCGCAGTAGTTATCAATGAAAAAAAACCATAACCCTAAAATCGTGGACGGAGGAAGCTAAGGCGCATTGATCGAGATATCAAAGCGAGAAGCTCTTCAATGGTTGGCCCACCTACCACCTGCGTGCAATCTTGTTGACTTACAATTTATGGTTAACTGCGGTCAACGACGAAATTTTGTCCAGCTTGCTGAACTTAGTGAATTTTATACCCGCACAATATATTCCATGCAGGCATCCCGATGGCGGTCATTGTCAAAAGAATGTTACTATAGAGAAATCTAAAAGAGAGTAATTGTTTTGATTGATTCAATTTTCGTGCAGAAGCAAGATAAAAAGATCACAAATTGTGATAGTAGCTATGCTGATGCAAGCATCAGACAGGATGCGAGAACACCTGAGAACTTGGCGGTCCTAGGTTAAACAATACGATAATGAAGAACATCCGAGTTTCTTGCAGTCATCGATCCATCAATGAAGATAACCGACTAAATTGCAAGTTGTTCTACCTTGCTTTTCAGCGCATCGATCAGAGGAGCGAGATCACTGTCATCATTCGAAGTGATACAAGCCGCGATGATCGATCGACTCACACCACATGCGCGCCCCAACGACATCTTTGTAGGCACAAAAATGTAAGGTACGTTCTTGTCCTCCGCGAGAAGGGGGAGGTGTAGCAGGATCGCGAGCGGGCAAGCGTCACCGGCGAGGACAATCATTTCGGACATGCCTCGGTTGACGCTCTTTGTGACTGAGGAAAGGTTAGCCTCAATAAAATCGAGAGCACTCGTTTTGAGTAAATACCTTCGTTGGCACCACGCTTGAGCTGGTGAGAATGGTGCGCTTGCTGCAAGAGGTCTAGAATTTCCTGCGCGAGGGCGGGATCGGCCATCGGCCAAGCTGGAAATTGTGTCAGAAGAAGATTGGGTGGATTGGGATACGGAGCAGACTTACCAGCAGAATAAGAAGAGATTTCCATTTTGTTTTTAAAAGGCTCACTACGAGAGATCACGGCCTGGATGTGGATGACGGGGATAGTTTGGTTGATGCGAGCGTTAACTGAGCGGTGCGGTAAATGAAGTAAGTAGGGTCGAGTTATGCGGAATATAGAAAGTCTGAAGGATTTAACCGTGACTTTAAATTTTATTCCTGATTTGTCAGGCACAATATCACGTCCATGGCTTTCATTTCTCTCAGATGAATTTCTCTTTCTTTCATCAACTATGTTGGATCAAGATCTGCTGGTACTGAAATAATCACTCTGATGTCGATTATTTGTACATTGCATTCAATCTCCCATCCCGGCTCATATCCGATGACTGAATGAACATCAGGTTCAGGGTCCAACACATTCAATAAAGTCTCCTGATATGGACAAACATTAAGAGCCAAACATCGGACTTGTCATCTACAGATGGCGATATCGAACTATCTTTGCCTTTTCGCACACATCAGATTAGATATGGTCGGTTTGGGCATTGCAGATGGCGTCCAGGATGGATTGCAGCTCGCAGCGGTAGCTGTCCCAAGTCTTCATCTACTTCTTATAGGCATCGGAGAGCGATGCCAAAGAATTTACAGACATGATGGAAACTTTTTCAGCGCAATGGAGCGACCGAGAAAAACGAAACAACGAATAACAAAACCTCAAAGTTGTCAAGGCCGCAAGGGGATCTTTCGGCAGGGACTTGATAGAGCCACGCACCTAGAGGAACCGATAGCGCTAAGCCGGAATGGTTAAGAACCGCACCTAGCCTTTCATACGACATCTGATGTTTTTTCGATTTATCGAGGTCGTGGAATATTCAGTCAGGGCTAGCAAAGCGTCACCCTGAATGCTAAAGACTTATGATGCCATGGCCTTCACATACTCAAGGCAAAAATATAATGGCAATCAAGTACAAAGTCGCTCTTAATGTCTGGTAATAGTGAAGTGTATTACCATCCGTCTATTCAACAGATTCAAGGTGACAGCAAAGCAGAGGAATATATCGAAGTACACAAGATAGTCGCTTCCTTGTGATGGAAACTTATACATGCCGGAAGCACGGTCATCAATTATATCACTGCATTATTGGCACATCAATAGCAATGTAAATAAAACATCAACAAAAGGTGAAAAACAAAATCGGAGACATCTATTTTCAAACATAATCATCACCTTCAACCACATCTATAGCAAATCCATGAAAAGAGCGCTATTTCTTCTCCTGAACCTCCTCGATCTCGTTGCCACTGTCACTGCTGAGACCAAGTTCGTTCTTCTCGGGTACAGCATGATCGTTGGTATCCAAGCCCAGCTCGCGAGAATATTCGACGATCTGTTCGAAGCTGAGCTTGGGCAATTCATGGGCGACTCTGAACGGCATCTTTCCGTCGACATGCGCTTTGGCGTAGATTATGTCGACCTCTTCAAGCTCACGGCCGGCTGTCTCCACATAGAAGAAGAAGCCGAATATCAAGCCGAGGAAGTTAAAGAGTGCGAAGAAAAGATACACGCCCCATGGACTCTGACCAGCAAAGAGCGGCGTAAACATAACGACGGCGAAGTTGCAGATCCAGTTGGTGCAAGTCGATGCCGCTGCACCCACGGTACGGGTGCGGAGGGGGTTGATCTCGGGTGGATAGATCCAGGGCAGTGGGAGGAGAGTGAATGCGAAGAAAGTAATGAAGAGGAAGATACCAACGGCAGCTCCCTTGGCGTTTTCCTCGTTCTGTTTGATCAAGCAAGCGAATGTGATGACAAAGCTAAGCCCCTGGCCTAGGAAACCAATCAAGTATAGATTGCGACGGCCGACTTTTTCAATCATGAAAAAGGACGGAATTGTTGCAATAACATAGACAGTAGCGAACACACCACCCATAATCATAGAGAGATATTCCCCCATGTTGAGGTTTTCTTGGAAGAGTAGCGTCGAGTAGTAAATGGCGGCGTTACAGCCGGTGAACTGCTGGAAGAATTGGCCGGAGCAACCAATGAGAAGACGCTGGAATTCCTGGGTCTTGCCAAACGTGAATACTGTCTTCCAGCTTGACTGTACATTCTTCGAGGATTCCACGTCCATCTTCAAGAAGTTGAAGTCGTGAAGAACTTTATCAGAATCAGGAGTGGTGTTGTTGAGCTTAGCGAGAACTTCGCAAGCCTCCTTATCACGTCCGTTGTTCACAAACCACGAGGGGGAATCCGGGAGCATCATGGCGCCGGCGGCCACAATCACAGCGAAGAAAATCTGGAGCGCAATAGGGAATCGCCACTGAACGCTGTCCGCGGCGTGCGAGAGACCAAAGACGACCCAATAGGCAATGAAAGTGCCACCAGCAATCATCGCACCCTCGAAACAAACCAGAAAGCCACGATTGTGAGCCCCGGAGCATTCTGATTGCCAGACCGGAATTGTGGCGGTGTTCATGCCGTTTCCAATGCCTGATATAACACGGCCAATGACGAACTGACCTACTTCCCATTTGCCAGTAAAGCAGACGGTTGTAAGCAAAGCACCGACGATGAGGATACTGGCACCTGCAAAGATCAGACGAGTGCGACCAAGTCTATCGCCAAAGAACATGGAGAACAACGCGCCGAAGAAACATCCAAGCTCATAGCAGGATGTGACAGCACCGCGAATGACGTCGATATAGTGTTTTTCCGATGCAGTTGGAGATTCGGGCATTTTAAGGATTGGGAAATTGTTAACAAATTCCTTGCCGTTGAGGAGGCCAGCCATCATGCCCTGATTGTAGCCGAATAGCGAGAAACCAACCACAGCCGTGATAGTGATGCTCAGCCGGAGCGGCCGACCACTCAAGCCGGTCGTGGTCGTCCACATGTTGACGGAACGTACAAAGTAAGAGCCGTCAATCTGCGGGGTATAAGAATGTCGGGGAAAAGTACTGGTAGAGAGATAAACGGGAGCAATGCTGGGGGACGGGAACCGGCGGTCTTATAGCAAGCACCTACATGTGGGGTGTAAAGCAATACGCTAAATCAAATATCCCACACATACTGCAACCTTGGTCAGCCTTCAAACAGGAAAGTCCAGCGAAGGCTCTGCGGTTCCCGACGCGGAGAGACGCGGGGGAAATTTTCACCTTGGCACTTGGCGGAGGCACATGGCACTTGGCGGGCGCACATGGTACTTGGCGGGGCACTTGGCACTTGGCGGGGGGCCTTGGCAGACCCACTGGTTTGGGCAGGGACGACTTGTATGGAGACTGCAGGCTCAATGTTCAGCGTTTAGTACAGGGCTAGCTCACTATTGATGCATTGTACCGTATTTGCCTTCACGTAGTTATTTCAATCTCCTCTCTTCGATATGATATGCATAATATGCATACTGGCGTTGTGCTAGTGTAGCGTACTTCATGCCGCCAAGGCCTTTTGGCCCCAACATGACGTCGAAAGCTTTTTGCCAAGTCTCTCATTCGGCGCTAGAAAAGGTACAAGGACCGGTACAATCTCGGTCAATTGCTTTTTTTTTTGCGTTAAGCCGGCTTTCCGACCAAACTACAGGAGCAGTTGGCATCAGAACCGACTCGGCACCGCCGTGTTTTGTTCCATGTTTGTATTAATTTTATTAGTTGTATAACATATATCAAATGAGCGCTTTCCAGAGCCCTGGAGAGCAGCCATTCAGTCATTGTTCTTGAGCCTCCGCGGTCATTCACCCAACGGTACATACATCGGTACACTTAGAATCCCGAGTCTCGGCTTTTGTCATCTCCCCACGCCAAGAATTACAAACTCTCAATCCCGCCCCTTTTTAATCTCGCATAGTAACTAGCTGTAGTGGTAGTACTGTGGCATGGTCGGATGTAGTTTCCATGGACAGCCGAATTCCATCAATGGCTGTAACCTTCTGTTCCACGTATTGATTCGTTCGGCACGAGAAAATATTAGCAGATGGAAATCGGTTGACCTTGGAACAAGCAATAGCGAATACTACGGCGTGGCTGTAAGCCACAAAATATATTGGCGATGACATCAGAACTCGCTAGACTTTCCACCTTCCCTCTGTATCAGCCGTATAATTATTAATTGTATGCTGATCATATATGCGCCACAATTACTAGAACAAAGAGAAGAGCAAGCCATCGTGCTCTTAGGTTTGATTTGAACAAGTTCCGGAGCTCGTAGGTCTATGATAAAAGGTGAAACGTGTAGGGTCATGACTACAACTTTAGGGGGCGACCAGGGATGGTATATCAATTTTTAACTTTCGGACATTCAAAGCCGCCTTAATCTCAACGCAACCGTTGTAGGACCTGAAAGGTGCTGGCATCACGAACGCAAGATGTTATTAAAATATGTAGGGATTCGACAATCGATCGGAATTCAAGTGGATGCAGGTCGGTGCAGCGGACAAAGGGCTAAGCTTCCTCAAATCATTCGCACTGGTGGGAGTAAAGAGAGACGGGGTAACTATAGCGAGTGAAATCAATGCAAATTGCTTAAGGGCCTTGGCCAAATCTTTGTTAAGGATTTGCAGTGGCCTATCTACTAGGGGTAAAATTAATACCACACTTAGTCAAATCGGAGCTTTTTGGAATCACGCACGGTTATGTAGCGAAATACTATTAGAAATCATTCTTAATCTTGACAGTGTCCATATCTATGCTTGGATGATCAAGTCGATCAAGTCTGTACAATGACTATGAAGTGTATGATGGTGGGTCCCGCCGTTTGCCAAACATTTAGCAAGTGTAGCCACGCCAAGAATAACGTCGGTGGCGGAGCTTGGTGACCTAGGTGGATAATAGAAAAGAGTAAATATCGGGAGAGCGGGTCAAAGAAAAAAAGCCTCAATACTAGATCAAGGACGAGGGTGGTAAAAATTGTTGAATATCTAGGGTGACCGAACGATTATATAGATGTGAAGCAAACCATGGCAAAATTTGGCCCGAAGACTCATTCAATATTCAATATGGGAGTATAAATGAAAATCAATTCTCATTTCTTAGTACTGTCAGTCTCGATTCTCTGGACCAAAACATGACCTCGCATCGATAACTACAAATTTCGACCCGACCTTGATCCGGTCGAGCGGCAACGTTGTTGTCATGTCAAAATTTTCACCAACTACCTAGAGAAATTTCCGAGTGCACCAACACTTCTATGCGATCCTTTACTCTGAGCCACCTGGGGACCATGGACAGATACGGGTTGAACCCCAAAGTAAGGTGAAGCACATGTTCAGAAGTCGGACTTTAATCTGAAAGGTTGCCTTGTTTCTATTTCTTATGTTGTTTCTCCACAGCAAACTGAGTTATATCTGATCTGATATGCTTGCACCGCTCCAAACTTCTTGTGCTTTGATGTACAATATACCTATTGGGCTGGAGAGACCTTCCTCAGAGGAGAAGTTGAAAACTCGAATTGTAGGAACAGTTTAGGGATCTAGATCAATCGCAGAAATGACTTTATCTCAAAAACGAACTGGGAATAGCAATTTCAAAGTCTACAACATGTAACGTAGGATCTTGATGTTATGCATAATTTTTACTAAACCTAAATATGTCGCATACAACCCCCCATCACAATAAATGTTTCTCATGACATCAAATCTTCAAATACACACATACATAATTCAGAGCCCATGTGTAAGCCGAGGGAAAGTGACGATGAGCTGGCCTTTATGACTCCAAATGCGATCAAGGGTACATGTTCCCCACAAATTATTACATCCGCCAGACTTTGCTGACATGATGGCGATCTGTTCCATTGGATGTAGACATGTATGGAAGTGCTACAAAGAATCGGAAGATCCTTTGAAAGAGCAATTTCCAGGGGATTAGTGAGAACGAACCGGGTATTCCTGCCGAGAAAGACCCGGAAGTTCACCGACAGATCGCCAAGCAGCTCGTTCCTGCATTTAGCACCAAAGCTCTGAGAAAGCAAGAAGATGTGATCCATCAACATGTAGATGGCTTTGTCGCTCAGCTTCGCAAACACAGGATGACAGATGATGAAGTCGAGATGAAGCAGGTATGGTTCCTCGGTTTCTGGAATACTGAACCAGGACTGACATTGTCACCTAGTGGCTCGACTGGCTCCTCTTTGATATCTGGGGTGACATGGCGTATGGTCGGGCAGTTTGAGCAAGTTCAGGACCGTATGCCGCCAACGGATACCCCTAAGGTTAATTGGAGCATCTGTCCACTTATTAGCAAGTTCTCTTAGTTTAATTATCCACTTTCCTATCCGTGTTTGGAAAGGTTGGACTCTGGGGCACCACTAATCAGGTCACTCGACGATTTCGCATGCTTCGACCATTGTTTGGATGCTGATTCCGTCGTCCGTGGTGCTCACCGTACCTCCACTACTCCGTCTGAACAGACAAGAGATTCGTCGCCGGATGTCCCAGCGAGACGAAGTAAAACATCCTGATTGTCCAACGAACAACTTGGAGATGGATCTTCTAATCAACCTACCTGTTGACGGTTTTGCACTGGTACTTCTGTTCTCGTTGCTACATACTAACTACCAGAGCAATGCAACCTTTTCCCAAAAAGTCAAGCGTATAGAAACCGATGGAATCCATAGTGCAAAAGATCAAACACAGAGCTACTCCTAACAATCTGGCGAGATCCTTCTTTCATTATTTCATGCCTTGGTCAATTGGTCACGCGCAGCCTTCGCCCACACTAGTTTGCATTCAAAATAAGGCTGCAGTGACACCATCAAGAACTTATCCTGGTAGGCAATTTGTTTCTTTAAAGCTTTGGCTTCTGTTATCCACTGCGATTCTCATTCGTTACCAACTCCTAAAAAATCCGGTACTTGGGGAAACTGACATAGTCCCTCCCAGGATTGCCATACTATGTAGAGGAAATAAGGCATCACTCTCTTTTGGTCTCTAGCTTCCCAACGCTTCTCATGCCATAGAGGCTGACAACTACGGAGGCAAATCCCAGTGAACAGTTATACCACCAACCAGCTTTATAGCCAAGCAACAGTGCCTCCTTGGTGCCTACCTCCTCTACCTGCGCTGTTACTTGCCTTGCAATAACTGCCGAGGTTGCGATACCGACACTCTTCCCAATCTGGGCCAGCATGTTGAAGACACCGCCAGCCATAGCCTGAGTGCTGGTTGGAAAAGACGCCGTCATCACCAAATTCGCGATAGTATAAATTAGGTCCGCACCCAATGGATTGAGAGCCATGGCTTGAAAGATACCCCGCCAATACCCGGGCCCGTCAATATTACAAAGGGTGGCTAGAAGTAACGGTGCAATACCACTCACAAGGCACCCCGTGGGTACCGCTATTGAGGGCCGCAAATGCGGGAGCAGGGCACCAATGGCGACGTTCATCAATGCACCACAAATTGGCGCCGGCAGAAAATACAAGGACGATGTGAGAGCCGAAGCGCCTCGGACATCCTGTAGGTATAAGGCCGTAAGCTGCTCGCTCGCGTTCAGGCTGCCCCAGACCAGAAAAACAGTAATGCAAGTGGCTGTAAACGGTAAGTTAGCCCATAGAGTATTTGGAATCAACGCCGGGCGGCTGAGGCGAGCCTGGCGCCGCATCCATAAGCCGAATGCAAGTATGAGTGCAAGTGCAATGAATAGTATCACAACATTTGATGGTTCTCGCATACTTCGTGCCGCATCTGATCCAGTGGCCAAGGCCAGCTCATACGATAGAAGCGCGAGGGAGGTGCTGATGAGCAGTGCACCGACCCAGTCGACCTCACGGGCGAGACGTGTGAGCGATGCTCGACCCAGCGGACCGTCATCAATGACACATGGCAGTGCCCACAGCCCTAATGCCACCACAGCACCGTTGAGTAGGGCAGTGGCATAAAAGCCCCAGCGCCAGCCGACAGTATCCGAAAATACGCCGCCTAATGTCAACCCCAACCCAAAGCCGACAGCCTGGCCGCCTCCCATGGCTGCGAAGGCGATGCTACGACGGCGCGGGCTGCTGTTGATGGGGAAGACGCGTGCAGCGATGCCGACAGCGCCAGGTAGACAGAAAGAGGCGGCGAGGCCTGCGGTGACCCGCAGTGCAATAAGTTGCGCCGATGTAATAGCAAGCCCGGCACCTAAGGCACTAGCTGTTTGAAACAACCCACCGAGCAAACAAGCACGACGCGAACCCAGAACATCGGCAACGGCACCGCAAGGAAGTAGCGTGCAGCCGCATGCGAGAGCGAAGGCAGCAGTTGGCCAAAGTTGTTGTGCAGATGGGATGTGTAGGTCCTCCGCAATAACTGGAATGCTTACAGTCAAGAGCCCAGCTAAGAGGTTGCCAATGCCGGTGATGCAGGTGATGCAGGCGATGATAGCTAACATTCGGCTCCTGGAGACAGCCAAGTCCGTCTCAGCTTCTTCCATCGCTATAAATGAAGTCATTCCCAGAACTGAGCCTGTGGCTGGTGCTGACCTGCTTGGAGGGGAGGTGGGATGCAAAGTCAAATTTCTGGTAGATATGAGGACCCGTAAATTCAATGTGATCTTTTGACATGATGCGATGCGGGTTTTTTTTTCTTTTATGAACTAATCCGGATTTTTGTGGAAAGTAGCCGTTACCTAATCGAATTATGGGAAAATGCCACCTGGGACTGCTGTATAACACGTGGCAGCTCATAATCGGAGCGGCCAACTACCAGTGGAGGGTAATGTAATTCCACGGGGGTTAGTTATAGGGTTGCTACCCCCTATACTATTACATAAGCCAACATTCAACCACTAGGTAAAAAGTTCATAGCCAGATCTGGAGGTAGCCAAATTTGTCTGTAGCAATATATATACCAGACCCCTAAAACCTTAGGGGACCACAGTAACGCCAAAATAAGGTAACGTGAGTAATAATAACTGTACGCAGGCAATATCTGATATCGTTGGTCGCGGTGAAACTGTGCTACTTGCATGGGGCCAACACCAAGTTGTGAACAGCCTGTCCGCCTGGACTCAATTCGTTTATCACATTCAGATTCATCAACGTAAACTAGATGATAGGACTGGAAGTCCGATAAATTATGCAAATAACATACTCGTAGGTCCGCATTTCGCTCCACAGCTTGTTGTCAAGTTCTCTTTTCAGACCTCTCTTTTCAGACCAACCTTCGGCGACAAGGGCTCTTCTGATACTGGACGTTGTAACAAAGATCTAAAAATCATCCAAGAGGAAAGCAGCCATCTCATCGAGGTATAAACCGGGTTTTTTAAAGCAGGTAGTCGCAGAGCGCTTGAATCATCAGTGGTGTGACAGTCCGTTAACATCCTATTCGAGCTGGGCGTGCGTGGACACTTCCAAATTGTTGCAGGTTTTTGCAAATATTTATAATCGTAGCCTGGCTGGATTCAGCTTCTTCGGCCATGTGAGATGTGGTAAGCGACTGGCTCTCTCTCATATCGCGGACGAGGCGCAGTTTTGACGGGGAAGTGTCGGAGCCATTTTGCAAGGCCGACACGCAAGGTTCAAAAGTGATGGGTGAGTGAAGAAACCTCCTACTCAGAGTGGATAGACAGGATAAAAGGAGGGGTATAGAGATACCATGTGTATGTAGTCCATTTATGTGTAGAATATATAGAACCGTGTCCCACAGCCACTGTAATCCTGCCTAAGTAAGACTTGTCTATTCTCTATTCTCTCCTTTATTGTTTATTGTCTAAAAAAAAGACGTTGCTTCGAAACGAGATAAGCTCTTAGTAGGGAATAGAATAGACAGAATCTATTAGAGGCAATTACCTCCGTAATACTAACAACGTACTCCCCACTAAGTACACTTAGCGGATTTACGGCTCCCTACCTAGGAGCATAGCCTATGTTCTGACGTAGATGCGAATAGGACACTACTAGTTGTCCATATACGAAGGGTTACCGTATCCGGGATGAGAATCTGTACATCTATAGAGACCGGAAAACAGCGACGCACATTCTATAGGGTTGCCCTAACCTAAGAGACCTGTGGCGAAAGCTACGGGGGAGAGTCGGCAACGCGTGTAAAAGCGTATCGAGCCTGTTAGGAGGCTCCTAAAAAGCAAGGAGAGGCAAGACAGACAGCTACCCGCGAGCTAAGACGGTAGAAGCAGTACTAGATATCGCTGAGGCGCCACAACGAGTTCGAAGTAGCGCGCTAAAAGGGCAGCTAAACAATGGAAACGGCATTTAGGCCATGAAAAGCGTCGAGGAGGCTCTAACCTTGGAAATTGTTGTAGGAAGTGGTGCAGTCTACATGTACGTACACGGATATATACCGTTGTGATAGCCTACATATCGCATTTCAGCGAGGGGTGAGGGTGAATGAAGTCTACCTACCTACTGTAAGCCAACAAGTCGTGCCATAGTTATGGCATAGCGTCATTCTCTTAGCTACTTGCATCATTGAGATTAGTTCTAGCCGATGACAAATTCATGTCTGTCTCCTCGGCCTAAACTGGTCCGTTCCGGATTACTGAACGGTCGGACCAGTGTACTGTGGTCTTACTTCCTAAACCTTATAAATCGACCGAGTGCTCAACAATTTATGCTCTCCTTTTCTCCACCGAATTAATGACCTCGACCATTGCTTTCAGCTACTAAAATAAACATGTCTGACACGGCTCAAAATGGGTTCAACATCCAAGCCTCCCTCTTTTTTGCCCCGGAAAATATACACAAAGTCTTTGCGGCACTGAAGCCAGTGTATGAGAAGACGACCGCAGAAAATGATTGCCTTTCCTTCCAAGTATACCAGTCACTTGATGACCCTGGGCAAATACTCTTAGTGGAAGATTGGTTGGTTCAAGCCCCTAATCCAGTCAAAATGGCTTATTATCGCTCACATCGAAGCTGACAACATCTTTCAGGAAAACCTCTCTAGATGACTACATGGCGGTATGTTGACCTGTTTGTATTAGGTTTTATCGTGGCCTGAGCGATACTTCGGGCTAATGAAGTACGCTATAGGAGAGGCTCAAGACTGATTACATGCGAGAATTCTTTGCGATTATCGAGCCTTTGTTCGTGAAGACTCGTGAAGTCAAGGTATTCAGCCGTCTTCCCCAGTTTCACAATATGAAGATGTGAGATCACTGTTATTTTTTCCGAGCTCGTTATAGAACCAGTTCTTTAGATCGACTACAACAAGAAATTGAGTTACAGTTGCATATATAGCAAATCAGCCTTGATACTCCATTCAGAAAACCCCAATATGTGCACTCCCCTCAACCAATTGTCGATTTCACATGTGCAGCGGGCTAACCTGCTGAAACGAATCATTATCGGACCATGACTCTGTTCACTATCGCAGTCTATCACTTACATGGATAAATAACAAGGCATGCAGTTAAATATCAGTGTCTTCCCTGTGCTTGACTCACTTCTTGCAATACTGTTTGTGTGGCTTCCAGGACGCTCGATGCAATGGTGAGTCTAGAATTAAGCTCTCGAGCCACTTCGGGGGCTCGATCTGCTTCAGCAGCCTCGTTGTCCGGTGCAACCACAGTGTGAGAGTCTCGTTTTATGTCTTCAACTTGCTCGAGAATCTTTTGTCGGAGAAAGCGCAGATGCTCAGAAACAGCCTTGGTATAGTCCACCTTGGCACGATTCAGGTAAATTCCAAATAGGCATGGGTCTCTCAGGTGGTTTCTCATGATTTCTTTACGTCTCATGTCACTTCCGGTCCCTGGGAATATTGAGTCAGATGTGGACCACGCAAGTGTGCTCATAAGCTAACCTCCTTCCATACTACAGGCTGCATAGACTGGGCGCATCAGATCTCCAATATAGGAGCTGTCGTGGCCTTCAAGCATGTCGCGTCTCATTTTCCTAGTAATATTATAAGTCAATTGCCCATTACTCGCATTCGAGGTGTAGACTGACCATGTGTCCTCAATAATCTTGCTGATAGAATCCTGGACATGATCTATGATACAGCTCTGGCGGAACTCCATATTGTCCAGAAAATTATGCATGGCTTGGGGGGCCAACGAGACATGTTCTAAAGAGTCTGTCAGTGTCTGGTTCGTTGTATTCCTGTCACTAAAGTTGTCAATACTCCAGGGAGTCTTACGGCGTAGTTTCCTACAGACACTGTTGAAAACCGATATGATTACCTCTGACAGTATATCAGCCTGTGGTTCTACCCAAGCGTTAATCGTTTCCCATCCCGGACTGAGATCCTGTCGGGGCTTTTGAACCAGTTCATCGTTCCAGCAATGGAACCCGCCAGCTGCTTTGGTACCATGGGTTCCATTTTGGCGACAGAACGCAGCATATGTACTATGATGCCACTAGAAGGTTTCCGTTAGAATATGTTCAATTAATGACTTTTGTGTCACGAGGACTTACAGATGACCATCGTCCGCTCACACTGAGACAGTTATGCATCCACTCGGATCTAGAAGTAGCTATTTCAGCGTTAGGAATTGAGATCAGTGGAAAGGATACTAATTGAGGGAACTCACAGATGATATGGAAGATATACTGACGAAATGAGTTGTGCAATGTTTCTTCAAAACGACGCACTTCTGATTGGTGTGTGACCAGCTCCTATTAAGCATTAGAAAGCTATGTTTGTATTCGGTCCCTTACAGAGATCCTTCATTGGTTTGATTCATATGACATACATTATGGAGAGTCACTTCCACATCTTCCAAAGCGCGACTGAGCGTAGCTGCTCTCTCCGTCGTAATTGTATCAGACCCCGCAAGTACCCATTGGCGAATAGAGCCCAGGAGTGCTGGAACTTGGTGGGTCAGAAATGCCCGTGTTGCACGTAGCCCAGCCTCCGCTGGGACTAACTGGCAATAGCGTCTCAAGTCCAAGATCCCACTGAGATTAAGGTAGGCTTCTGCTGAGTCCGGCGGGTCTTGTCAGTGATCTCTGTATAGTGTGTTGCTGACACAGAAGACCTGGATGTCATTGTACTTGTCAGCGAGCTGGCGTCTCGCGTTCTCGTTGCGCCGATTTATCAGAAACACTTGGATTCTAGTAGCATCATCAGTATTTTAAGACTTTTCGGATTTTTGGGATGCTTTACTCTAGCTTGAGTTCACTTTCTTGGCGCCTGTCGCTGTGTTAGTCAGTTGACTTAGCTATTCAGCGAGATAATATACTAACTCGAGATCATATAGTCGGAGCGCGTTTCTTCCTTGATCTCTTGAAACTGCCTTCACTATTCGTCTCTTAGCTTGTCTGATGCTATTCTTCAGCTCTGTGGCTCTTTGGTTGAACTGTTGCACAATTCGAGCAGCCGGGCCCTGCTCGCGAGTTGACTCTTCGAGTGAAACATCCTTCAGAAAAGTCAGTTTCTGAATTCATTGCATACAGATAAATAGATACCTCGGATTGGGTGCAAATGATTCTTTTATGCTGATCCTTTCTGCATCTTCGAATGATATCGAGAATTGATTCGTCCGTGATGCATCGCTTGATCGCTGCTACTATGAAGACTTCATCGCAATTGTGGGCCATATACCTTTCTGTGGCTCTCACTCTGGCAAAATTGAGATCTCGTAGGCCTATTGTCCTTTAGTCTCAATACGCACGTAGATATTCTGATCACCCAATCCTACCTGGCAGGTCGGCTAGCACTAGACCGGTCCGCAGTATCGAGGAGTCGAGGTAAACCCTATATGTTTTAGCATAGTCTTCTATCAAGGTATTTTCCTTATCAAACCTTATAATCTTAATGAAAGGCCATAGCACTGGTCGCTCATCATCGAACGAATCTGCTGTGAGAAAATCAAGATTCTCTCTGCACTCTTCCAAGTTCCTTGCGAGCTTCATGTAACGCATGGTATTTAGCCCGCCGGGCTTTTTAGCTAGTTCGGCATCGGTCCATTCTTCAAGCTGTGCTCGAATGGTACCTTCAGCACCGTCCTCTTCATTAGCAAGAAACTCAATTCCCATGTCTGGTTGATTCTGGAAAATTGTTTGAAGAGTCTTAAGTGCTTTAATCGCCGAATCTCTAAGTTGCTGTTGCTCTTGAGTTGAGGTGACATCCTGATACGCTGATGTATAAAACTGTCTAACGCTCCGTAGAAGTTCTTGAAGAAGCTCGCTCCTTTCTTCGGCGTTCATGTAATCGGCTTCAACTGTATATGGTTCTTGGTGATCGTCATCCACGTTTCGGAACTCGGTAACTACACAGGTGCAAGCAGATCCTTCGCCACTCTAAAGTAACACATTAGAATATGTCAGATTTAATCAATTGAGATCTATTGTGAGAAACATACCGATCTTGCCAAGTTGATTTGGTCCAGAAGACAGTTTATCACAGAGCTCTTCCCTGTTAGGGTAATTAGCTATCTTTCAGAAGTGAAAAGTGATATTCGAAGCATACCAACTCCAGAATCGCCAATAAACCCAACAGTTCGTCTTTCTGGGTATTGAAACTCGCTTATCTTCTTGGTATCACTGCGTAATTTGTGCAAGCTAGAGTTTGGATCATGGGCTAGACCAGAGGCTCCCATTGCATGCACCAGATCTGCTAAGTGGCTCTTCACATCCTTGAGGCCGGTTTGTAGACGCTGGTCATAGATAGGCGCCGAAGGGAGAGATTCTTGGCGGACATCATATAGTTCATCATCAGCATCAGAACTGCGTTCAGACTCGCTCTCGTCTGCTTCGATTTCAGGTGTCTTCGGCGGCGTCTCGGAGGTGTCTCTGGTTGAACCCCCTCCTAGGGGGGAAGAAGATAGCGGCGGAACTTCCTTTCGAGAATTTCCGAAGTCATCTCGGTCCACAAAAGTAGTGGAAGCTGTAGGCGATCCGCTTGACGAGTCTTTTTTGCGAGAAACTGGAACAATAATACGTCTTGGACTAGGTGTAGCAGTATGTAGACTTGCATAGGTAGAAGGTATATAAAGAGGAGTCGAGCTTTCAGAGTGGCCAAGGCTTTGCATGTTTTGTCTCGGGGAAGATAGTTTCGTCGGTGTCACTTGCGCTCCCGTCGAGGATGATCGGTGGTAGTTTCGGGAGGATTCAGCCTGGCTGCCATCCTGAGAAGATGTTGGGGTGAAATTACCCTCACACGAGTCTGTAGTGGAAGCGAGACTGGATGCCATGTTTGGATACCGTCTTAAGAAAGAAAATAATTCAAGGAGTAGAAGATAAGGGGCCACTTTATGTGTCCTTGTCTTCGGAAGTCCCGCATTACACACGCTACGCCAGGAGAAGGCTACTGCAACCTGCTGCGCCCGGTTGTTTTATTCCAGGATAGCTTCAATATGGCGCTTAGCGATAGGAAGGAATTTGACCGTTTCTCAAAGTTTGAAACCGACCAATATTTGTGACAGAGGCTAGGTGATTATGATTGGAACACAGGCGAATTTCCAGCTTTCAGGGAGAGTTATCATCCATCGGTTGTTCGAATGTTTAATTTGGCCCCCAGAAGTTGATTGAAATTGGCTACGGCGTACCACTTTGTCTCAAAGAGTGACAATGGATTCCGTGCGCTAAAGCTGCATCGTACTTTTGTGCCTACGGCCACTTGAGCCCCTCCCATTTTTCCTCATGGTCACGTCTTGTGACAATCTAGCTCAGTAATCAATGTGATAATATCTAGCACTCTCTTGGGTGCGCGAAAATTTTACGTCAATGTTCTCTGTCAGAAACGTTAGATTGTATGTATCTCCCTTGTTAGTTGATTGCGGGGATGCTGGCGTTTTTTGAGCGAGTCAGGGATCCACTTGTTACGGACCCACAGGGGCCGCTCCGCCCGCGGAGCAACAATCAGTTCCTCGAGGCTACGTTAGTACGCAAGTCACGTCAATGGCGTGATATCCAGAACCATGGTCATCTATGAGGATAACTTTTAATCAGGTAATGAGGTCCTGGTTTCGGTAAAATCACAGTGATGAGAAGGAGGATTTTGCTGGACAGCTGCACTAAGGTCCTAGAACGGCCCTAAAACATCATGAGATGGAGCTGAGAGAACAATGAGATATACATGAGGGGCGAGAAGGGAAGAGGGGGTTGGGGGGGGGGGAGTGAATTTACGCTGAATCTGCAGTAGTCGTGGGTCTCCCACATGATTGGGCCGACATAGAGGGTGCGTATTAAAGATGTTGCCTGGATGCCTTAGGGGTCTTCGGGGCCTTCGGGACCTTCTGGTAACAGATGATTTGGGCCTAGCACCTGTGGTGTCGACTGCAAGACTGCTCAATCCGTCGCTTCCCAAGAGATGTCGTTGCTTATGAAAATCTCTGCTAGACTAGGTAGATTGTCCAGTGGCTGAAATTCACCCTGGCTCACCATGCCCCTGGAAATGTCTTCGTAAACATCAGTGATTTCCGATTTCCATTCGAGCGCGTGGAAAAGAAGTCAGTCTGTTTGAATATAACCTTCGTTGTTCAGTTTCTGGTCTTTCCTAGGAATAAAAATATCGATTCTAGGAAGAAATGGGCCTTATCAGCCTGCCGCAATGTCCCCAGATTCACCGAAGTTTCTGGGTTTTTGGCCCACACTGCTAGATTGCAGTTGATATAGTCTCCCCAGTCCCCGCGGGTTTGAAAAGCTCTAGTCACCGTGAACCCACTTAGTTTCTCCCATGGTTGAGACCAAAACCCCAAGTTTAAATACTGTGACTGGGCCGGACCCGTGGGATAGGGATGAAAAGACGATGAATCCAGCTAGTATTTCTAAAAGCCCAAAAGATGTAAAAGCTAACCTCTAACCAATGTAACGCAATGCGGGGATCCACGGCCCCTCATATACCTACATCTGACGCAATTGCAGTGGCCAGTCGGTCAAAGCTGGTGTTCAGAATCTCCACAACATGGCCCCATGGATCCGCAACATATAGGCACTCATCATCAACCCTAATAACCATTTGACCAATCTGTCTTCCTCCAGCCTCCGTCATAGTCTGTGCAAGCCGGGCAGGATCCGAATCAGTCACACAGATGTGAAAGAACCCTCCGCGGGTATATTCGAACGGCTTTTCCGGAGTAACTGGAGCCGGGTCCACGAATTGGAACACTTCAAAGCCGATGCCGTTGCCAGTTGCCAGGTAGGCAATTTTGACCTCGTTCAGATCAGGCGGATATATCTGAAAGATACCCGCGCTGGGGTCTTCAGCTCGCTTGATGTGGATTATATTGCCGATAAGTTGGAAGCCGAGGACCCGACTGTACCAGTCTACTACGGCGTCGATGTCGCTCACGGATATGGCAATATGGTTGATTGGGCGACTCTGAACTCTCTGCAACCTGTGTTACTAAATGCTCGGAACATTGCTCTTCATAACCTACCAATGACTTGATGTCCATCATTTTTCTATTATCTGAGCAAGCCTTGTTTTCTGTCTATTGTGTCCTGTTCTTGTCGAAGGGCGGAACAAATTGACATCAGAATTCACGTCCGCTAAATGGCTGCGCATTATATAATCACGAAGTTATTTATTTTGTTGCAATGGCGCTGATACCCCCCTACTCTGAAGTGGCAGCAATTCGCAGTGTCACTCGTGCCATCTCAGTTGCCTGGATAGACGGTGTGAACTTCATATTGTCAATCATATATTCTAGCTCACATGCCTATAAGTGCATACACAGGCTCTGACGTGGCAATCTTTGGCAGTTCTTACTGTCGGACCACTATCCGTACGCACTACTACGAAGGGAACCAATTAAGTGCATTGATTGAAATACTCTCTGTGAAACCACTTTGAGAGGGTCTCATAGCCTCCAGGGCTAGTATTGGCATTTTATGATAGGAGTATCAAACGGACCTGGTTTACCATACAGAAACACGAAAGACTGTAGACGCTGAATCATCCCTGTGCTGAGTGGTAAAATACTACCTCCTAGATTGGCAATTGCCTATATCCTCGGAGATATCGATTTCTCGATTACCACATAGTATACAAATCAAGATACCCAATGCGATTGAAAGAAATGAATCTCACATGTTCCCGCGGCTCCAGTCTCATGGCTCTTTGATCCTATTAATGCATTAAAGTATAATCCCGGAGTAGAACACATCTATCACATACATATTGCAGATCGTCAAGGGCGCTGCAAACTAGCGGCCTCGGCTATATTCTTTGATACCCGGATCGGTCAATTGGGGGGCTTCTCAGTCTCATCCTCCGTCCATCTTCGCCTGGATGATCAGCTAACATGTTCTGCTTTGACTTGACTGAGTATAAGCGATTCTGGTCGTCCCATCACTCTTCCTTCGGCTCACCTTTCCTCAAATTTCGTAAATAGCGTTCCGCACTTCCCTGCATTACCTCATTCCCCCTCCATACGTTAAGCTCCATCACATAGTAGGAACTCGCATCCCATATGACGAGTTCCGCTGTCTTTGCATTGGTGCCGAAGTTCCCCGAATACATATATCCGTGAATCAGGGCCAGGTGCAGTTGTCGCCCGTCTTCCTGCAGCACTCCAAGAAGGCGAGAAATTGCATTAGCGATAATGTGCCGGAGCGATACCCCTGTACTGCTTTTGTCATGGTTCACAGAATCAAGAATAATATTTGCCCGGCATAGAGCATCATTTGGTTTGGTAAACCTGTCCCGCCAAAGTGAGGGGCCAGCGTAAATATTTATTAAATTTCACAGTCGAATCTGATACAACGAGTAACGCACATAGGATTTTCTTCCACAATGTTGTATTATGGCGTAAATTCATGCACGCCAGAAAAACAAATGACTCACCTTATCTGACTGCATTTCTGACGCCTCCAATAAAAGAAGAAAACGCAATCATTGTTTTTTCCATTCTGATGCATGATGCAAAGTCCAGCCCCATCACATTATCTAGGTTGGATCTATCAAGTCCACTTTTCACACCGCCAGTCAGATTCGAAACTGGTGGTTTGGCATTTTCCTACCTATAGCGCTATGCCAGATTAGAGAGAAGTAAGATTTACATAAAAGAAGGAATTCGATAAAGGAGGGGTAAAAAGCATGCCGAAATATGTTTGTAAGGGCAGGGATTATATAATCTATTACAGTGAATACCCCAATGTGTTGAGCTTTGGAGATCTTCAAACAAACTACTCGGTACCTAGGTAGACATCATTGCTAAGGAAGTTATGAAACCCCAATTTGCAATCCGTGCAGCCACATTAGAGTACCAGATGATTGTCAGGAGAAGCGACAACAAGTAAAATCCAACGAGTTAGGGCACCATGCAATTGGTTCAACCTCTATTGGTAGCATTTTCGTACCTGAACAATCATCATGTGGGCGTATGTGTTATCACCAGTCAATGACAGTCTAGGTCTTGTTGAACTAGAAGTAAATTTCGAGATTTACTATGTTTACAAACTTGGCGCCAAATCAATATGCATGGAGTGGAGCTTTTCAATAATATTGAATAGAGCAATGGAATACAGTATTTGTTTGAAATGTGGCCCGGATGAAGGAGCAGGGATTAGTTCGCTGTAGCGTAGAAGTAGTCTGTCCATGCTTTCGATCCGTACTTCGAGAATCTCTTCGGCTGCAACCCTACTTATTGCTCCCCCTGCGCCCCCGGCCCCCAGAATTGACATCACTTCAAAAAACATCTGTTTCAATCAAGCTATGTCAGGAAACAATTACTCGATTCCTCCTGGATCCCTAATCCTGGTTACCGGTGCGAATGGGTATATTGCCTCTCACACCATCGACATCTTGCTGAAGGAGGGGTACAAGGTCCGAGGTACCGTGAGAGGGCCTAAGCCGTGGCTAAACAGCTACTTCGACGACAAATATGGAAAAGGTCGATTTGAATCTGTCCTGATACCGACGTTGGATGATTCGGGCACCTGGCTTCGTGTGATGGAGAATGTCTCCGGAATTTTGCACCTGGTAGGTCATTGCAAGGGTGAGTCGAGTTCTGTATTAATTTAACCCAGGCATCGGACTTGTCCTTTGGTTCCGACCCCCATTCCGTGATCCCTTGGGTCAAGCGCGCAACTTTGACTCTCCTGGAAGCGGCAGCGAGCCAGCAGTCTGTGAAGCGAGTTGTTCTCACTTCGTCATCAGCTGCTGCGCTCATTCCAATTCCTAACGAGACTGGGATCCGAGTGGACGAAAGTAAGCCTTGGCTCCTCATTCAGTCCACAGCAGAAGGCAGGGCTGTTTTCGGATACTAACATATCATATAAGATACGTGGAATGAAGTTTCCATCAAGGCGGCTTGGGCAGAATCAACTGCCGCCCAAGATAAAGGTTACCATGTATATGCAGCCTCAAAAGCAGAACAGGAGCGAGCCGCATGGAGATGGGTGGAAGAGCACAAGCCGGGGTTTGTATTCAATGTCGTGGTGCCGAATACCAATGTGAGTGTACATATACTTGATCGCCTCTGTCGAATGGCATTAATTCTGCCCAGTACGGGAGAATCCTTCTTCCTGAAATCGGAGGATCCACTATGGCCTGGTTGTGGGGACTTCTCAAGGGGGATGATAGTCTGATAAGCAGATTCCCTCCCCGTAAGTGTCCCCTGCATTTGTTGAGAATTAGTAATCCATGGCTCTAACCAGAGAACCTCTTCTTGACAGAATGGTTTGTCAATGTGGAGGACACAGCTCGTCTTCATGTGGTCGCTCTGCTAAGTCCAGCTGTCAAGGGGGAAAGAATATTTGCCTTTGCCTCTGCCTTCAACTGGACGGATATCATCAACATTTTGAAAAAGCTGAGGCCCAACAACCACTTGATTCCGGAGCCGCCAGCGAATGAAGGGCGTGACTTAAGTGACATTGTTCTGTCCCGCCGAGCGGAAGACTTATTGCGGGAATTTTTCGGACAGCCAGGCTGGATTGGTCTAGAGAGGAGTATTGCTGAGGGGATTGAAGGCATTGAATGATTCTACGCATGGGTGTTATGACCCTTAGTAAAATTATATCGATCACGTCCTCGCGGAAAACTCTCGCCGCCTAAGATCGAGGTCGTGAAAGAAGTACCGCAGTCTTCCCTTTATAGACTCGCAAAGAAGGATTTAGTGTTATTAGTGTTTTTAAAGGTCCGATCAAATCTTATATATTAAGAATGGTAGGGTGCCGCTCGGAGCAACTGTCTGTTTCGCGGACAAGCCGGATTTGCGAATTATCGAGTACCAGTCGGCGTCGCCGACTATCCGAGACTAGTATCTGTGAAAGGTGGTGGTTTTTTATTTAAGTACTCCTTAGCTAGCCTATGGCTTTGCATAAATACTAAAAAATGTTCTTTGGGCGCACACACCCAAGGCATTCCGATTTACCACGGAAACGAGGGAGGTGGACAAACTTTCATATAGGCAATATTTGTTGAACTAGGTATCATGTGACACGCTAGTATTGACTGTGATCTGTCCTCTATCTAATTTCTTGATACTCGCACCTCATATGACAGCGGCCAACAAATGAGCGCGCAAGATGAGCAACGATTCATTCCACTATTTTTTGCAGCTACCTGCAAAGCTACGCCGTATGATCTGGATGCACTGCCTACCGTATCGTATAGCAGAAGAAGACCCCCCTAGCGACTTTTTTGAAGGCTACCAATCCAAACATGTCTGCTCGAACCTACGTGTGACACTCCAAAACGCTCAGATACCGGTTATTGCATACGTTAACCGCGAGTCTCGGCAAGTCGCACTAGAGCAAGGACGCTTGTTAGAGCCGGCTGACGTGAGAACTATAGAGTCGCTAGGGGTGCAGCCACATCGAGATGTGCTGCATCTTAACTGGACACGATCACGCTATATTGACTGGGCAGTTGATTCAGATGCTCCAGGCTGGGTTGACGAGTTTCTATTACAGGCGAAGGATCTTGGGATATGGCCTTCTATCGCGACTGATCTTATTCACATTTTCAATTTGAAGGCAGTGTTAGATTGCGCTGGCGATGCTGATACGCTTGGCAGCCATCACCCTTTTCATTTAGGTATACGGGATATACCAGAAGTTCGTTATCGCAGCAGAGGAGGTGGAGCGGATGACGTACGTGAGATGGTTGATATACTACCTTAGGCGAAAGGTTAACGCAGTAAGCTAGACGTAGCTATGGCGGCAGTCTCTCCCCATATCACTAGGGAAGTTGCTTTAAGGTCTGGTCTATTCGGACTACTAAGCGATGCGCCTGTTCAGATGGTTAATGTTGAGGATGAGGTTCGGTTGAGGGAATTCCAAGCACTATACCGGGAACACGCATTAGAAAAGGAACCGGTCGTGCAAACGCTTTTCGAAACATTTACTAGTTCTCTGTTCAGAAACGCTGTGAAGAATTGGAAAAGAAAAGCTGAATGGACTATCCTCGCGTACATGTGGCAGTCAGCTCGAGACAGACATCTCGATATTCTTGGGACGAGCCCGAGCTCCGCTTGGCTGCCTTACCTGCCGGAGCAAGAGTACATTTGTATGGACCAGTATTTGCCCAATGATCAGCACCCGTGGGTGAAGCATGCTAGGCAGATTGCGCTCCAGCTGGGACTACGGGTCATGGTGCGATATTGTACTAATGAGTGTTACATAAGGAAGTGACTTCCCAAGGGCTTTGCGTTCGAATAAAGAATAGTAGATACCAATGCAGATTCTTTCCTTCTAAAAAAACAACGCAACAGTGCATCATGCATTGCAAGCCTCAGCAATATGTTTATGTACATCGTCCGCCTTGTTGATAGCCTGGATATGGTTTGACGATTGTCTCACGCTGTTTTCCACAGCGAGCCAGTCCCTCACCCACTTCTCCATCCCCTCGTTAAATAGAGGTCCCTTAGCAGTAACTCACAGCCCTAAACATGACGATCTGATAATCAAAACCTCTTTCGGGGAATACTAAAGATTCAATCAAAGCATCTTTTTTTCGAGGGTTGGGTATACCATAGCGAAGCTAAGGCAACTAAGCGAGGCTTGAACGAGAGATTTCTTTGTCAGGACACTAACTCTCTATTATACCTAGATAAGCTGAACTCTATTGTGTTATGGTGACGGGGAAATCTATACACATTAAATAAAATCAGGTAGCGGCTATGAGATTACAGCCGATGGATGGATGGATGGTTGGATTTCATTTACCCTGCCCCCTCGCAATCAAGCGATATGCAGGCTACCACTATTGTGTAAATACATGATTGTGTGTTCCAATGAGATTATTCCAAAACTTCCTGAACGGTGAACTTTGAGCCTCACCTGGTAAGGCCTGTGATTGTCTCCACTTCAACCTGTGAGAAGGCTGGGATAACTCCACTACCCCGGTATTATGGGTCTCTCTCCATAGAGACCATGATGGTGGGTTTTTGGAGTTGTCGGCACTGGGATTCGAACCCGAGAACCCCAGAAGATGCGAGGTGACCAACTCCGCACTTCTGTGTCAGTTCCACTTTTCTGCGGGTTACAGGGCGTAAACCACTTGCCCTGCTACCGAACAACACGATGAAGGAGGGCAGGGGTGCTGGGATTCGAACCCAGATTCCAGAACTGCAGTTCTGAAAGCTTCCATGATGACGACACTAACCAAGTGCGCGCCATCCACACCAATGAGATTGCAACCACTCGCGAAATTGGCTTCACAACCGGATGGAATATTAATGCCCAATAAACTCAGACATTCCAATGCGTGCATCACTATATTAGACATTGATGATAGCTCCTACTGAGTTAAGTCGGGGGAACAAGATACAGAAATTATCATACACCGACTTTCCATTTCTTATGCTGAACAAGGCTTTAGAGATACTCGGCAACAGCGTAGACGTTATGCAACCAGATCGCTGCCACTCAGGACTACACACTTTGTGGTGACTTTTTTGTGAAGGGGCATGGAGGCAGGCAATAAGTGAGAGAAGGTTAAAGTGGAATACTCGGAATGAGCTTTTCGTCATTTCATTTTATCACCAACCCTGATCCGGGCCTTGAGGCCTTGTAGGACACAATTACGACAATCGTAAGAGCTAAAGAGTGGGACTGGCCTTCTGGAACAGGCCTGAGCCAGCACCAACCTACTTTTCTCGACTTGTCACATTCAGCAGGCCACAACAGAGCTGGAATATTCTCGAGCATCGGCATAGGTGTTATCACATCACTATGTGCTACTCTAAATATTCCGACGGTCAAGCTTTATGCTCACCTGGACTGGTGACTGATGGACTGCAATACCATGGTCTAACCACTCCAGGTTTGAGGTCTCGAAAAGTGTCATCTCAAAGCGTGAGAACATCACAGCTAATAAAGTGTACATTTCTAGCCATGCCAGACTGGGAGATACAGATTAGCTAACACTTCTTGCGGAAAAAGTGTGGTGGATGACCACAGCTCGCTGAAAGACCTACTTAATTCCAAGACAGGCACGAGGGCCCTTGCTGAATGGCAGCAAGTATTTTTCAAGTTTTTGACTTTGTGAGCCCAGCCATCGCTCTGGATCAAAATTCTCTGGGTCGACAAAGATGCTTGGATTGTGGTGGATTGCATGATGACTTGCAGAAATAATTGTCTGCATTGGTAGTAAGCAAAGTACAGGAGATAAAGACGTAAGGTCTTAAAACGTACGCCGCCAGGAAGAAAATGAGATTGTACAAATGCTCCCTTAGGAGGCACCACACGGGGAAGTACACCAGGGACTACAGTGTACAAACGCATGGTTTCTTTGAGAATCGCTGTCTGGTGAATGTGTCAGTATAGTAGACGGTAGGGGGCATGAAGACTACTGAAACAAATACTTATGCTTACTAGATATGGTAATTTCTGGACATGCTTCCAGTCATACTCCCCTTCAATACTTGACTTGGCCTCTTGGAGTTCAGTCATAAGCTTCATCAATACATCAGGAGATGTGAGGATATAGTAAGTCGCAGCCGCTAGTGTGAAGCCTATCGGATCAGTCCCACCAAGAATGAACATGAATGCCTCATCGATCAACTCATGCATCTCAAGTTCATTGCCGCCTTTGGCACTATTTGGCTCAAGAAGAAGATCGAAGATAGTTTTACTACCATCTTCAGCAATACCAAGCCCGTCAGATTTCCTCTTGACGGCGTCTTTGACCAAAATTTCGGCTTGCTGTTGGATATATTAGCGCCATAGGTAAACTGATAAAGAGTAAATATGTGTTCATGCATACCGCTCTGAAATTCTTATATCCCGGGATCAGCCAAGCAGCAATTGTATCTGGCATGTTCAAAGCCATCCAGTTCAAAAAGGGAAAATGTTTCACTGTTCGTTCACCAGTCAGAAAACTCAACAGCATAGTTGGTATCTTGATCAAGTCTTACCCAACCAGACATGAGAAGTAAATTTATCGATGCTGTCTATCAATTTGGGCTGTTCTTTCCCTGCATCTAGCAGGCTCTGAGTTTTACCGAATAATAGTTCACATGTAATATCTGCCTAAGTTGTACAAATTAGAACAGGAGCTAGCTTTACCTTCAGCTGAGGAGAGTGCTCAATCGTCTTGGAAATACAGTGACTGACCGATATAGAGCGATAAAGCCGATTGAGATTAATAGGCAAACCCTGCTGCGCCCGATTTGCAACAGATTCGGCCGCTTTTCGAGCCCTTCGGATAATATAGGGCGCCATTGAATCAATGGCCTTGACTGAAAACATGGATTGGACTGTGCGACGTCGTGTATGATGCCTCTCAGGGTTGAGTATGCCGACAATTGACTCATTAAACAGGGACTTGTAGTAATATGGTGCCTTGTAATAGGTTGTCCCCATGTGGAAAATCCTGTACAGAATTGATATTATCGTCCTTGACCTTCTTCACGGTGCAAATTCCTTACTCTCCATAGAAATTCGGGTCATTAACATGAACATGGTTTGGCGAAATTCGGATGACAGGTGAGTCTTGATAAAATTTGGTCAGAAATTTAATAGCTCGTATAAACACTGAAGATTCTCACCATATTCTTTATGTAATCGCATAAAGTTTTTCACATAGGTCCCATCACAAATAACATCGTGGTAAAACTCGTACCAAGAGGTGGCGGCTGCTATTCGTAATCCTGGTATCTTAGCAAGAGGATGGAAGTAGAGTCGTTGCACAAGGCAGAAAGCAATGGTAAAAAACAATATTATAAGCATCGCCGGGAATGCTCGAGCAAGCAGATAATACGAAAATAGGGGATTTATCTCAGTGCGAGGTGCAAGGCTGTGAAATTTTTCCATGGCTGGAACTTGAGCTGCAGTAAATCCCTGAGGTGCTATTATTGAGAATCTCAAGGGGTCGTTTCACCACTTTATATGATAACAATTTCCTTTAGAATGTAAGCGTCAAGTATCTTTCATGAAAATCGGTGCTAGCAGTCCAACCTGAAGCCCCAATTTGAAGCAGACCTGTAAGCCTGCCCAAAGCCCAATGTGGTACGGGGTGACTTCATTGGTTTCCGCAATGGTCGGAGACTGCACCTAGACATGCTTGCAGCGCTTGACTGACGTCCAGAATTTCTTCCACGTGTAATTATGCAGAGCAAAAGTCAAAGGATCAGAAGGATGTCGCATCAAGGCCCCAGGTCTTGCACATATGCCCAGGTCCCCCTTATCACACCAATAGTCTTGAGGATGTCATCATAACAGTTGTTCTTATCTGACCCTTTCCGTATTCAATACTGAACAGCCACCTACGGTATGCAGTACGCTTGATTTTGCCCAACCAGTTAAACATTCTCATATCTTTAAAATACCTCTTGAAGCGACAAAATAAATTATCAGTTCATGTTTCACCGCTGTTTTGGCGATCCTTGGGGATACGATCGATCATGCAGTTGATGGTATATGCTGCAAGCTCTTGCATGAGTACAGCGGACGAGAACGGCATGCGGGCACAACGTCGACTCAGACATGTATGGAACGGTGATATTAAAAGCCATTCCCAATAGATATACGGTCCAGGCTACCTCGGGTATGTAGGCAAGACGCAGTTCGAAGAGCTACAATAGGATCAACAGGTAGGCAGCATGGCCCACACGACTTCTTTCCGTAGTTAACAGATTTATGATATCTATAGACCGAACCGAACGGCGGTCTCACGATGTAACGCTACATGGGTAATTGGTAAGTCCGAGGAGTGGGAATTTTAGCGTTTCAGATATACCTGCTTCAGGTCCACTCAAAATCTTGGCCAGACCCACTCGGGTCTACATCTGGCCTATATCACATTGTAATGTCGAATAGGAAATGGGCTACGAGCAAGGATCTGTCTTCAACTAACTACATTAGGCTTGGCGTTACTCGAAATACAGTGTGAGAAACTGATTCCGATCCGCCCTGTGTCTTTACCGCCGGTAGCGGCATCTCCGTGGATCAAATAAACATGTACTTTCACAATTGATGTAGCCAGTATATCGTTTGCGAAGTTGGATTAAACCATATCCCACTAGGCTGGGTACGGATTCGTATTTTAGTCTGGCTGGGAAATCAATTTGCGAGGGGCCAGAGTAAATTGAGTTACAAATTCTACTACTGTATCCAGGAACTTCAACGGGGATATTTCGGTTTCGGCTACCTGCGCGAACGCCTATGTTGCACAATAGGTAGTCAGTTTCTTAAAGGGCCACAAGCTATGGATTGTCATGGAATACCTATCATGAATTTTGCATTCCATCTCGCTGCCTTTGCGAGCCTAAATCGGCCAGAGAGGGAGAAGGTCTTGTCACCACTCATTGGTCTGGAATAAATCATCGACATGTTTCTTTCTTGCCCCTTTCTGCGCATACTCCATGGTCAAATATTGCCATCTATTGAGTTTGGCATTACTTATATTTTGTAAAGCAAATAAAATGCAGTAAGAAAAATCGAGATATTCCAAACGGAGGGGAAAGGACACAGTAATAAGCTTTAAGCCATAGGTTGAGAGACAGTTCGTTTGATTATTCCACCATCAGAGCCGTGAATTACCATGTCAGCAAGCTTGTAGCGAGTTTGGTTCAAATACCAAGCTATATAGCCTTGTACGAACATTTCGGTAGTCTTTAATATCTCAGGTTCGTTCGATAGTACAGCACGAATATTCTTCAAATTTTGAGCAGTTTCTCGACACACCGAGCGCAGTGAATCAGAAATAGTGAGGCCGTGAACTTTGGAGTAGTTGCAGATGTAGTTGAGTCGCTCATTCGATACCATTGACTCTTTGTAGAAGGATAAAATGTCGTTCCCGTAGTTGATAAAATTGCATAAATCAGGAAGAATGGGAAGATAACACTTCAAATATGATTCTTCTGGATAGATGCCCTCGGGAAAAACGAAGTGGGTGTGAGGCTCTGCATATCCTGTCTTTAGGCGGAAGTAGGAAGGAAAGTTGAGAGCACCGATGGGAGGCACCATTTTTCCATCATAGTAGCATTCTAGGAGACATCCATTGATGAACTCTATTGTCGCTTTGGCAATCATTCCCCTGGCGTAAGGACCGTAATATTGGCCAATATCAGGTAGAAACTCAACCAGAGACTGAAGGATGGAACAGGGTTGTGGCTTTCCACAAATCAAATTGGTCTCGAACTCCAAGAGTGCATGTTGAAGCTCCTTGCTAAGATCATCAATGAAAAGCACGTAGGTCGAGAAGATGCCAATTGCCACTTGCGCCTCCTTGGAGACAAATGGGTAGCACAAGCCAAGGCCTGTAGACATCCATTTACCCATCTGAACGGCCTTTTGTATTTGATGAGGATGCCATGGCTGGGACTCAAAATATGCCATGACTGGTTGCTCCAACGAGAAATCGTACTTCGCTGTGGGCATTGTGAACCCGATTTCCCGGAGAAATTGTGACAAGATTTCACGATATTCATCTATAGACTGATTTGAAGGATTCATGATCAAACACAAATTGGGTGTTAAGTGAAAGGCTGGAAATATGACGATGGGAAAATACTCAGGACATGTCGAAATAAGGAATTATAGGTTAATATATAAAATATATCTTGGTTATAACAAACTAGCACTCTGTTTACATCCAGTATGACGTTACTCAAGTGGTTTTCTAGATTTTTGATTGGTTGACTGATTTTCTGTCTTCAAGATACAGAACTGCAAAGGATACGAGACTAGTTTCGGTAAAGGGCGCATGGGCTAATAAGAAAAGGATATTCCAATAATTCTTCCCCGCCAAGCAACTAGTCGATGGTCTGCAAGTCGAGGTTTAGTCTTAATGCAAAGGAGTCTGATCGCAGCATTATTAGCCGATTACGAACAAATGTTTGTCCGCGCTCGTCATAATCTTCGATGTATAGAAAACTTAAAACGCATTCGACGGTGTCATCATCAAACTCCGTCCAGTCAATAGCACCATTTGCACCATTCGTCCTCCATGGGCCGTTGATACGAGCTTCCAATACCGGTGAGCCGTTAGTAGATAAAGCTCCGGGGTTGACAGCCCGTCGAGCGACCCGACGCGCTTCCTCCCTAGCGTGCGCTCGTCGTTATTGAAGCGCCAGCACGAAGAATGCTGGGACAGCGACATTTACAGTAAATCCAATTCCAGCCGCACGCAGCAGGAAGCGTACAAAAACGACTGCCAGTTGCTGCTTACCGCTATGAAGCGCTCGCACACGACAATTACCTTCGCGCCCGAGCAGAGTATAGACTTCTTCCCCAGTCACCGAATATGCAAGCTCACCGTCCGCAACCAGCAGAAGGTTAGCTGCAGCGTCAAGACGCAAAGTGTGAATCGCGCCACGATGGGCAAGTCCCTGGGAGAGACGCTTGACGCATACCCGTCGCTAGGGCAAAATAGTGGCTGGGGGTATATCACGGGGAAACCGAATCTGGCCTATATTGTCGAGCCTAATCAGGTTGCGCCACCTTCGTATTCGCCTAGTTGCGAGGATGGTGGCTTCTCTGGAAGCAGTAGCAGCGGTTAACAAGATTCATTAGTGGCTAATGGAGACCTATTCTGGTGGATTAAAGCTGGAGCGCGGATATTGCTTATCACGTTGGAGGAGGTTATATGAGCCTTTTTAAATTTAATTCTAACTTTCCCTATATTCCCTAAGCCTTGGTGATACTCATGTGAATTCGGTTTACTTATATCTAATTTATTCAAATTATTGCAGGTGTTTGAAGAGTTGGGTCCAGGCGGGGGTGTCATGGTCCGAAATTCCTAAACGGGAAATTGGTCCAAAATGCAGTTCTTAGCCATACCCGTGGCACTGAACACCCTACCCCTACCTGCAAAGGGATAGAGATAGCAGAGTTGTTTAATACGTCTCATTGGCCCATACATCTTGGTTCCGACATCTTCCCGGCGGATATTAGGCTGGTCCATCTGCTTGTGCATAACAGTATATTCGATATATCTATTTGTTGGACGATAGCACGATGGCCATGTCATTCTCGAATGCATCGCCAAGGTTGTCAGAAATTGATGCAGCGGCTTTAGCCGCCAAGTTTAGTTGATTCATGGTTTCGTACGAGTTGATACGCAAATTGGGCGATTACGAAGTGGGAGGCCTCTTTTATTCTCTCGTGTGTGGTTCCTGGGGTAAATAGTGAGCTTTCTACCCCGGATAGGTCAATTTGATAGAATAAGCCGATAAGCTAGAGGGCTTATAGCCTAACAGCAGATATGAGAATAGAAAGGGCTAAAGTAATAGATGATATTGGTCCAGCTAGCAGGAGATGCGTATTCAGAAGAGAGAGGGAGTGAGGGAATGGATTCTGTCGTGCATAGGCATACAAGACTACAGTAGAGAAGAAAGGGTGACCAGGATTGATGAGAATAGGTGAGATGATGGTGATGATGAAATTTAACTAGCTGCCATGAAGCTGCGTCTATATAGCTTCATGGGACAAATGAATCAAAGAGATGAATGTTAGAAAGATCCACCTAGTAAGAAACTTTCTATAAGCAACGGAAGATCTGTCACTAATGCATCATGATGGTCAAACCAGCTGCCATGAAGCTGCAAGCTACATGGGAAAAAGAAAACAAAAACATGAAGGCTAGACGGATCTAGTAAGAAATGCTCCATAAGTCAGGGAAGATCTGTCACAAACTGCATGAAAGCACTATCATTGCTGCATTGCAAACTACGTGTAACTACTATCAGGCCTGCCACCTGAGGTATCTTATCAATTCTCTCGCTATTAATCGAAAGCTTTTTCTTTAGAGAACATACCTAGGTAGATCATACAGGATGTTCAAGCCAGCGTAGCAATAGCCCATATATTCCCTGTGTAAAATATTCGCGGGTGTTGTGGTTGGCGGTCGAGTTCATCATGGTTCTTAGTGGTCTTAACGTGGCTTTCGATCATTTGAGATTGTTTCTTTCTACTTTCTATATGACATCAATAAGCTTGATCTTTATACGTACGGTTCTTTTCACCCCTATCTTTTCCTCATCAAGTACACGAGAATCCCCCCCCGGGAAAATTATAACTCTACGTTAGAACCAAGCCCTGGACACTCTCAGTTTACTACACTAGGCTCTGAGTCCATGATGATCAACTGGGAAAAACAAGAAAGATAGTCAAAGAAAGACATCTAAGGTGTTAGGATACTTTTTGGAGACTTAAACGTGCCTTCAAGCTATCGTCTTCATTCCCCATTCTCTCTTTATGTTACAATAACAACAAATACAACCGAGTATAGAATTCCAGGACGATTAAAATGTGCTTTGAATAAATTTTCACTTAAATAAGTTATAAGAGCAAGAACGGATTATGGTCTAGTGACTCGAAGGAGAAGCAAGTATAATAAGAGAAAAAGTAGCGGTTCAAAGGAGAAGTATGGCATGATAAGAAAGATCCGAGTTGAAGACCAAGAGAACCCGCAGACGTACATAAGCGACAGAAAATGTTGTTGTAGTATCTTCCTTTCAGGCTTAATTACCGAGTTGCCATAACTATATGGTCGCAGCTTTCATATTGCGAATTGAAGAATGAGTGAACTCGTCATTGGTGGTGTGAATCGAAGTATTTCCATCTATATCTGATCTTACGGGATCAGGCTTTGTGGTGATGATGGACAAATCGACAGCCGGAGAGGGGTCGGTATCTCCGCGGTAACTGCTCCTTTGACTCGATACAAGATCATGAAGGACACAACAACGGCATCGACGCATTTGCCAATTTCCAAGAACGATACTAGTGGAATAGACAATAATTGAAACTATAACACCGAGACTGTAGTATAGAACAGGCAGGTACTTGTCTTCCATTTGATGTCAGATTCTGGAAATGGGAGAAAGCTGTACTCATTGAATTCTCTGCTTGTCAACATATGGTCATATGCGCAATGACGATTCATGGACGTAATGTAATAATCAACAACCCTCAATCAAAATTATCCGTGGAAAAGGTTACGCTATTGGTGTCTCAAAAATGGGTAAAGAAGATACCTAGGTAAGATGTCATGTTGTTAGAGATGCATCCCGGCTTCTCCGGTTCTTGCTCTCTTGATTGCTCCTGCACCTCTTCGGCTCTCTTCTTCTTCTATAGCTCTCTGCACTCCGCATATCTCAATCTATCAACATTTCATGATGCATTTTAATATCTCTATCGCACATATTATTATGTTTGTAGTTGAGGTATATCCATGTGGTGATTATGTGAAGCTATGTAGTGGAGGGGAAAAACGTATTATTTTCTTTCATATAAAGATCAATACTTGCTAAAGGGAAGTGTTCCATAAGGGTCCTCATCACCATATATGCTTCCTTGCCTACGAAGGTGCATAGGGTCCTCGGGTCAAATGTAATATATTCCCAGTATTTATGCCTGAGGCTTCAATATGGTGCCTGATCTCAGACCGCCTTTTTGACCGCTCCATACCATGTATTGTAAATGAAGCTATTCCCATCTCTCATCATTGATATGAAGCTATTTCTAATCATTAAATGCCTCCATTCACCAATTTAAACCCTCATAAAGACGAGATTCTTACTCTTCTCTCTGAAAAAATCACACATGAAGCTATTCGCACCCTCTTACAAGACAAACACCACATTAAAATCAGCCGGTCAGGCCTGAAGAATCGCCTCCGAGAATGGCACTCTACACATCCTACTCCTACCTCTACCCTTACCCGGCGATTCGATATACAGGATCGAGTCCTAGAGCTTCTGCCTGTTTATAACACAAGTGAGATTCTCGCGATCCTTGATAAAGATGGTACACCTTCTTCAATACGCACTGTGCGTAGAATCCGGGAGGATCATAAGATCAAGATGCGTCTTTCACCTTTTGAGCGACAGCAACAGGTCTGTGATATTGAAGCTATCCTCATTAGTGAGAATATTATTGGCGATATTGAGGACTTTGGCCGCCGAACTCTTTACCGTCATCTCCGTGCAATGGGATTATTCTACACTGAGTACTGAAGCCTACTATATATTCTTCTACAGTGCTAATGTTATATCTTTTAATTCATTAACAGGAAGCAAATCGCCAACGTCTATCGACTCCTTCGTCCTGATGCTGTTAACGGTCGACTTCCTGGTCAACGGAGACCACGAATCAATTACGTATCACCGGGACCGAATGATGTTTGGCATATTGATGGGCACATGAAGCTTGAACCTTTTGGTATAGAGATCTATGCTGCAATTGATGGCTACTCTCGATATGTTATTTGGGTATATATCGGGCTAAGTGCTCGCACTTCGATCAGCGTTTTGAGTCAGTGCCTGAAAGCCTTTACGGATAATGGAGGGTTTCAACCAAGGAAGATCCGGTCTGATCGAGGCACTGAGACTGGGCTTCTTGCTGATGCACAATATGAGCTTCGCAAAATAGCAGACCCAACGGTGAAGATCAACGACTGTTACCTATACGGTAGGAGTGTTGATAATCAACGGATCGAGGCATGGTGGGGACTTTTATCAAGAGCATGTACTGGTCTATTCCATGTAAGTTATGTCGACAGCGACAGCGACAGCTATGCTAAATAAATAGGGATATTTCCACCATCTCCATCGCGATAACCTCTTTACAAAGGACTGTATCCCCGAGCAAGTGTCTCTTCTTGCTATCTATATGCCAGTTATTCGACGCCGAGTTCATTCATACACTACTAACTGGAACACGCACCGTATTCAACACCAGAATTCACCAGGTTTTGTATCAGGGAGACCATCATTCAACTACTACTATTCTAATATAGCAGACCTTCGCTGTCCAATCAACTCAGACCGAACCTCGGCTCAGGCGCAACTATTCCAGAAGCTACAACAAGATGTACGAGGTTGGGATTCTAACGAGTATCTTCCTCTATCTACGCTCGCTTGGTGTCAACAACAGCTTGCTGAAATTGGGGAGCAGCTAGCGGGGATACCATTTAACCCTGAAGATCCGGATCTCTGCTTTGTTGGGGACCAACAAGCACCATACCGAGCGGTGTACGAGGCATTACGGGAGCGAGCGTTTGCGCACTGGGATGCTGGTCGAGATCCAATACTCGACGTTTGTGCTAAGCCGATTGGTGCTGCTAATTGGCGGCCTAATGTCTCAGAGGAGATGTAATGTCTCGGCAGTAAGTGGTTGGTCATTATTATAATACTCATCTTTATTAACATTCCCTATTAATCAACTAAGGATATCTATAGATACGTTTTACATCGATCCTATAATGTCAGATATACCCTCTGCTGCTGCTATTGCTGCCTTCATTACCCAATGGCGGGAAATGAATACAGTAACGACTTCGCCAGCGACAGCGACAGCGACATCGACACCGACACCTATAGCGAGCGCACCTCTATCTTCGGCCCAGCTCACAAGCACACCATTTTCTACACTTCGCGGCGCAGTCAGTAGTACTAGGCTTGCATACGGGCAACACCAGCAAGCTACTCAACAAGTGGAGCGGGAGGTGTCATTCATTGTAGTGTTTTATCTACAAACAAGCCCAGATACCACAGAACTAATCCCAAATGGTATAGTATCGTGATCTAATATCGCGAACCCGCGGATACTAACTTAACCTTATTATACTAGCTACTACAACGATCCGGCTCCCTCCTTACGACCTCATCGGCGACATCGACCATTTAGTGCGGGAAAAGATACTCCCTGAGCTACCTGGGATCGTGACGTTTAAGGCCGAATACACAGACAAGTTCTATCTCGCTGACGCGATGATAACGGGTGCAGGAAAAAAGCTTCTTCCTAGGTGGGTTCCAGGAATCAAAGCAGATTTCCTTGGCACAGCGAAGCAATTTGTGGAAACTATTCGCACTGCGAAGTTACATATTGTTGTTGCGCGGTACGAAGGGCAAGTGTGGAATTGGCCGGATACCGAACTCATTACAAGACCCCCTCGGCCAGCGACACCGGCGCCAGCGACACCGGAGCTAGCGACAGCAGAGCCAGTGTTCAGAGTACCACCATTCATACCATCTTCACCAGCATCACCAGCATCACCAGCAAGAAGCGTCCACGTTATCAGAACAGTACGGAAGCGAGGTCGATCTCAAACACAGGAGTTAACTACTCCGCCACGTCGGAGCCAGCGGAGGAGGGTACGGAGGTGAATAAAAAAATGTGGTGGGACAACATGGGGGTGCGTGATGTTTTGTGTGGTAGGAATGGCTTCATCGCCAGGTCCTGCGGGTGCGTGACGTTTTGTATGGTAGGAATGGCTTCAATATTGCAAAATACGCAATTGTCAAATGAAAATATATTCAACGCCTGATTTTGGGAATAAATGCAGTTTTATGTAGTGGGAATAGCTTCAATATTATAAGATACGCAGTTTTGTCGGAAAAAAATTTCTTCAACGCCTGAATCTGGGGATAAATGCAGTTTTATGTAGTGGGAATAGCTTCATTTTATTGAACTTGAGCATTTGGGCAATTCTGGTACTTTGCTTAATAAGGCATTTGTTATAGTAATTCATGTATTTTAATTTCTGCCGGTCTAAAATAAGGCACCCACAGGCACCACCAGGCATCAATACCAGGTTTAAATTACATTTGACCCGAGGACCCTATGCACCTTGGTACTTGCCTTATCTTTGCAAGTATAAAAGAAATACTAACGTATTACACAAGCGAGCTGGCCACCCCACCCAACCTACTAATTTCAAATACATATATCTTAACCAAAACTCCATTAAATTACATACCCGTCCAAAAGTCTGTACTCACTCCCGTTTTTATCTCATCACTCTTAAATCTATATCTTCACCACCATATAAACTATTTATTTACAACAAAATTTTTGAACCCTAGGCCACCCTCAATTAAAATTCAATTTAAAATTTAGTGTAATAAATAACCTTTAGCCTTCCGCACCGCCCTATAACGCCAACCCATGCTCAATATCAACCTATTAATTCGCTCCTACGGAATCGCCATCTAATCCTCCTCAGACCTTCCTACATATATAAGCTCGGGAAATCACCTGAATTTTTTAAGTTTTAGCCATCGCTAAACGGTTATAATCGGGCTGAAATCCGGTAAGTGCGGAGGCCACTCCTTTATATATACACCGTGAGTTTTAAACTAATTTTTATACCACTCTCGCTATATAGATTCGCGTGTTATCTTATTAAAAGATAGAACCCGGTCGATAGTCTCGAATTAACCCTTTTCGAGGGTATTGATGTACGAAATTATAATATAACTACGCTTCTTCGATACGGGGTCGGTTTTATTCTCTTACTTCATTATAACTAACGGTAAACCTCCACCCCACTTCGATATGGTGTAATCCAAGGAGATAATAGAAAGACTATGGTTGTGGGTGTTTTTAAGAGGGATAATCGTGGTGTTTCCTTATAGGCGGTTTTATAGATCTAACTAGGACTAGTGTTAATTATATGGCCGGCTAGGTTTAGCGTATAATTGTCCCTGCACTTCCTAAGCTTCTTCTGGCTTGCTTTGCGAGGAGCTATTATGGGCCCCCACTCTTTTCTCACTAATAAAAGCCAAGCAAAGACTTAGCATTCTTGGCAAGTTTTTGTTCTGGATCTCAACCCTTAACTTCTCACACAAGACACAAGACTGATTGGTGACATGGCGCGATCATTTGCAGATAACAACGCAATACCCAACGGCTGGCGTACTCGACACCCGGGATCTGCCATCTGGATCGTCATCGCTATCTTTCGGGGCTTTTTGGAGGCATTTTTCTACAGTATCTACTACATCCCGAGCCCTTTGCGCCAGAGTCCAACGTGGACCTACCGTCAGGCCTGCATGACACGGCTTCTCGAGAGAGTCTTTCATATTATCACGGAAATTGGTTTCACGCAATCTTTGAGCCTGGAAGCGGGCAAACTCGGCGATCGCTGGGTGACCATAGACCCAGCGCCAGAGTCCGCATATTGCGGTGACTTCGCGAGTGACACTATCAAACCAGAGACGGTCGGCGGTACCTGGTATCCAAGTCTACCATTGAAACAGCAGCTGCTGGAAGAACAAGGCCTAGTGGTTTTGTCCTTTCATTCTGGCTCGCTTCTATGGCTGACTGGACGGCCGGAGGACTCAGGCCCCACTGCAACTATGCTGAACAACAGTCTGGGCAACAATACTCGCTCTTTTTGGCTGCAGTATCGTCTCGCCGGTGGCAGTAACCCAACACCATATCCCGGGGCCATGCAAGACGCGGTAACAGCATACATCTACCTCACCAAAGACATGGGAATATCCCCATCGCGCATTGTTCTCGCAGGCGATTCCACAGGCTCAACCATTGCAGTCGCACTGCTGCGCTATCTTGCCTCCACCAAGGAGGTAAAAGATCATGAACTCGCCGAGCTTCCACCTCCAAAGGCATGTCTTTTGTTTTCGCCCTCGGTCGAGTATTGCTTCGAAGGTGATCCGGAGGCTGTCAGCGCAAATAGGAATATTAAGACCGATTATGTCGAGGCGCGTATGATGGCATGGGGTGCAAGGGCAATTGCGTTACCTGAGACCGTGCGACTGGATGATCCGTATATCTCTCCAGCGCTGCATCCATTTGCTACCCCGGTTCCAATTTTCGTTCAGGCGGGTGGCGCGGAGGTTCTCGCTGATAGTGTTCGTGGATTTGCCACCGCGATGGGCTCTATCCCGGGCAATGTGGTAGAACATTTTGAAGTTCCAGATGTGCCACATGATATTTATGTTGTGGGCACTATTCTCGGATGGCCGAAGGAGCAAGAAGAGATCCATGAAGCTGCGGCCAGATTTGTTCTACAATAAGCTTTTAGCTTTTCACCATGTCATTTCATTTGATTCTATATTACATCTGTTTTTGGCAAAGAGAATCGCCCAGTTCGTCCATAGTCAAGCGATACAGTAGTCTAGCGTTTTGTAGGGCTGGTACAGAAGTAAAGTGTTCCGCCAATACTGTATCTATACCTTCTACTTGTCTTACCTGAAACATGAGTACATCAGCATGTCCTCCAGCTATTCGTTCGCTCTACTGCCGGGTCGAGCAATGATTCAGGGTTGAGTGAAGTCTTGAGGGGGGGGGAGGACTGGGAAATGACTATATAGAGCTATCCACAGGTATGCACAAGGCTAAGTGCGCTAAACCAGAAGGGTCATAGTTGAACTAAATCGAGCCATCACCATAGCGGTCCGATATGGTGTAGTGGCTAACATCGTCGTCTCTCACACGACAGCCGGGGGTTCGATTCCCCCTATCGGAGTTTCTTTTTGTGTTTTTGTGACTCTGTCAAGTGGGTCGCGGCCCGAGTTGAATTCTCGGCCACCCGGTGCACTGCTAGGTTGAGCCGAGTACAGTAAAACCCCTATAGGAGACATACTTTGACAGAGCCTCCTTCTTACTCCATAACGGGGTATTCCTATCGAATGTGTGCTCACGATTAAATATGCCTTATCGCCTTCTTTCCATCAATAAGCACTGATCCTGTAAACGGCACATTTGTACTCTCTAAAGAGTTAGAAAGGAGATATAAAGAGAGATACAAGGAATTCTGATTTTGTTAGTGTAGGAAGTGGTGGAAAAAGAACCAGAAATTTGAATTGTCATAATATGTTGTGATCAGTTTAGAACGGCCTAGAGGATGGAGAATGATGGAGAAATTATACCTCAGTAGACAATTGAGACCAACGCCTATATATAGATAAACCCTGGAAACCAGTAATAGATTTGAAACATACTAAGCATCATCTGCATGCAGATGTCACTTGCTTCACATAGAGACGTATGTGCTCAGATGAGTATGAGGCACATGGCCAAGACTTTTCTTATCATATCAGAAGCCGTAGCGCTGACATGTGAAATCGGAGATTTTCATTAGAATGTTTTAGCAAAACCGTTTTCTGTCAGATGTCAAATTAAATCTCGATTTCTTCTTTTCTTCTTATACTCCTAACATTGTTCTTATTGACATTCATATGGATTACCCAGGATTTTCTATATTTCCCATCCCGGCCTCAATTCGGCGACGATTGCCCCGCCTATATTTGTCTCGGGCCGTGATCAAGTCGGAGACAACCGGGGATCCGCGCCGCGGACTGGCATCCACATCTGAACCTCAGCTGTGTTACACCAAATTTCCACTGGGTCCCGAGGTCCAACGACCCTCAACAGCAAGCGATGACCAAGATTTCGATTCTAGGTCCAGAGGATCGGACAGTACAGCCGAGGAAATGGGATCTCCAACGAAATATGAGGCCGAGTCTGGGTTGCGATGGAACAGAGTAGTACCCGGTGAGTTCACGCAGGATTGCTATCTAGGCTTTTCTGCTCGTTGCACAGCTATCATTGACGAGTTGAAAAGCGTTCAACCTCCTTCGTAATGCGGGATACGAAGCACAGCAGCCGCATGCTGATGGCCGACTGGCGCGGTCTCTCTATGTTAACGCATTGGTTTACCTGCTCGATGCTTTGCCTCCGGACCTTACTGGCGAGGAAACGTCCATGCTTCGGCATCACATCCCAGAGTCTGTTAAGGCGACATTAACCACATACCCGCAACCGCCCAGGTATCTGCAACCCAAATCAAGTCCCGTTTCCAGGTCTTACCTGCATAAGGTGCTTGCTTCGACAATCCTGCAGTTGTTCATCTTTGTTCGATTTATTTTACCATATGCCAAGCTGCTATTGCGGCAGGTTTATGAGTACGAGCGAACACATCGCATCACTGAGCGTATCTTGACCACAACTCTGGATGCCGCGGACGGCCTGGGAAAGGGTAGTGTGAATATCGGTGCTGCTGTTTGCAAGTTGAATGAAGGGCGGGTTGGCGCTGCATTGTCCAACTTTGCAGTTTGGTGGATGGAAGGAGTGGCTGGTGGTATATATGAGGGTGTCGGTGAAGGGATGATGCATCTGGGTATAATGGGACAGGAGGCAGAGCTTGATAGATTTCCTGTGCAATCAATGAATAGATAAATATATAGGCATTATTTAGAGTAGATTAGCTTTTATGATAGTTTCAATTGCATGTTCTTCGGAAGAGTACTATAGAATTTTGATATGTAAAATAATATTAGTAACAAATTTTGGTGCAAGATCAGACAAATGAACAGGTGCGGTTTTTCTCTCCAGCATGGGAGCATCATAGAGACTATGCCTAACAGTGACGGTAGTCTTTTTTGGCACAGTGATCTAGGGATGCTCTGAGTATACTGAGAAAAGATATATCATACTGGGCCGCAAAATTGTCGAAGAATCACTGGCTGAGATGATGGCAAACTCTGCGCCTGCTTTGGCAGTGCAGTCAATAGAAATCACTCAGAAATGAGATCATGGATCGAAAGTTGTCGCATGTGATGGATTGCTTGCACTTTGCGTATAACATGGTGCGGGTGCCAATCTGAGGCCACAAGACTTCCCCTTTGACATTGAGAACTTAAGGTTAAATAGTAGAAGTTTGAACAAAAGAGGCGCGGAAGATGCTGCTCGTAGTTATACTAGGAGCGTTACAACGTCAAGATGCTGAGAGGTCCCCATATCTTCGGCTGACATGGAAAGATATTCATGGTGATGCAAGGTAACTTATGGGTACAGAATATACAATTCTTCTTGTTCATTATCATTATTATTATTGACTCATGAATGTCTTCTCAACTATACCTACGGAGTACCTACATATGTGCCTAGGTAGGTAGGCAAATTGTCCACGGGTGTTTGTTTATCGATCGCCGATAAGCACCGATAAGCAGACCAAGCTCTCTAAGCCCCCGGATCTTCCCAACAGCCTCGACCTGTCAAATACTTTAACATGTCGACGTCCAGGTTACCCTGTGTTCCTTCTCTTCGAAAGCAACAATTACACCTTGAATTGTGAGATCTTTTCCGGTTAAGCGCGCTATCTGTACTGATTTTCAATAGCGCAAGCTTAAAACATGCCGCACCACCGGGGGTCTACGTAAGTCTCGCGCCTGGGGACCCGACGCTTTGGAATGGGGTCATATTCGTTCGGTCTGGTGAGTCAAAAACATTTAATGAAATTTAGCGGTAACTGATCACCAGTTCAATTGAAGGCCCATATGCTTCAGCTGTCCTCCGCCTCCAACTCCGCTTCCCGGATACCTACCCGGACCTCCCACCGCTAGTCACATTTGCAACCGACCTGTTCCACCCATTGATTGTACCTCTTACCACATATACCTTCAGTACCGGCTCGGCAAGTGATAATCCCGTTAGCGCAACGGATGATGAGCGATTACCGCCGGGTGGGTTCAGCCTACGCCATGGATTCCCTCATTGGTTTGGTAGGGCAAAGCGCAGCGGCCGAGCATCGGGCAATAATTCTCGAAATGTTAGCGGTGCCAATGCCAGTACTGCATCAACTGAACAGGAAAGTTCTGCAGACCCAATGACGAATGATGGTGCCTCGGATACACCAAAACCTCCTGTGACTTCAATCACTAGAGAAGTAGGAAGCGAAGAAGCCAACGTGGAAACCCTGCGTTTGGCAAAGGTACCGACAGATCATTTTACGCAACCAAGGCAAGTTGTGCCTGTCTCCGAGATATTGGATTACATCCGGTCGACATTTGACGACGAAGCAGTGTTGGATTCATTGCCAGTCGAGGTCGCGGGAAATACTGGAGCATGGCATGCGTGGAAGGCACATCGTCGAGGTGGATCTGGTCCTGGTCACTTGAAACGAGGAAGTCCACAGGCTCGGCTTCCGGGGGATTGGCACTGGGATGGAATTTGGGCTCGACGAGTACAGGATGAGATCGAAAACTCTCGTTCTGAGCCAATGCTGTTCGGAGGTTCTGCTCGTGGTGTGGATGAAATGGTATGGCACTTTGATTCCTGACCTTTGATGCTTATATTAATACGATTCCAGATTCGATTCTCCCGGCTGGACGATGCGACTCTTAATACAGTCAAGGAAAATATGACTGCGATGGCAGGAAATGGTATATAAGTTTTTTGTTCCATTTATATCCCATTTATACCCAAATGCTACAACTTTTTGGATTCTACTAGAAATTTCCGTGGCTCTCAAATGTTCGAGCCGTGGAATTGACCGAGAATTGAACCTTATGGACGTTATGCTATTTCCTTCTTTGTCATCGGTATCGAGAAGGTACATATGGCCTCCGAACTTGCCATACTCATCTGCGCATATTGTTGCTTCTATCACATATCACGGCTATTGCATATCACAACATGATGAACTATAAGCTTCCATATGACATCAAAAGTGCAACTTTAGTTATTGCATTGATTTTGGTTCCTATCCTTGTTCTCATCCTTGTTGTTATCATCGCTCTCAAGTGTTCTAACTACTGGAGTATTCATTCTCTTTCATCCTGTATCTGCTGTCATTGGAAGCAGTGGAGAAGCAAGAAGATCTTATCGGACTCGGAAAACTGGCCATCGCCCTCAACTCGTGCGACAGAAAGTTTGGAACTCTGGGTCGAGTTCGAACCATCTGTTTCCAACAGAGAACACATCTAGTTATCTCTTCTCCAAATCATGGAGGGAAAACATAAGACTCCACCCACAGCCCTCAGGCGCCAGACCTCGAGCATCAAATCTCGTCGCAGACCGGCAATGCGGTCTTTTTCAAACTCTTCTTACCCGCAGATACCTTCTCGTCGCTCCTCACTTTCCATGACTACAGGGTACGATTCGAGCGACCTTGCGACGTCAACCAGAACACCATCTCTCAGCGATAGTCTTTACAAGATCGACGTAGTGAAAATTCGCCAGGAGCACACTAAACCTGATATTCGCAAGAGCGGTCTCGATGCGAGTGAAGACCCCTTCGTTGAACATGTGCGTATCTCATATTCTTCACATTGAATTACCTCGGAATTTGCGCTTACTGACTTCTTTCTCAAATAGAAGTATCCAAACCGTGCCATACCCAGAGTAGGATTAATGACCAGGAGCGGGTACCAACTGGTGCCACAACTGCTTGTCCGCTGGAGCTCTGGTTCTTATCGCTCTATAGAGCCGTGTCTTTCGTCAGATATGGTGTCGTCATCTGATGGAACGGGACAACTTAACTCGCATCAAGACTCCAGGCCAGACTCTGATCCATTGTGCCCGTTGGAACTTCCAGTGGCTTTCGCTAGTATGCGCTCTTGTGCGGGAAGGCCCTATATGAACGCAGACTCATCTATGTCTGTATGGACTTCGGTGAACATAACTGCCGATGTGAGCCCTATCTCGCTTCGCGAAAGCACAAAGCTTGCGCCTCTAGACATGATCATACTTTTTGACAGCTTGTAAGTCAGCTTGATTTTTTTCGGGGGTACATTCGATTGACTAGTGACAAAATAGGCAACAACCTTCCGTCAGCCTTCTGACGCCAATGGTTGTGGCATCTTCTGTGCTGACTTCGAATCTGGTCTTGAACCATGACAGGCTGGCTATCGCGTGTGTGGATGGAGGTGCCAACAGCGGGTTTGAGCTGTTACTCCCTTTGGGGTTTCACTCATTTGGAACAATAAGAATTTCTCTGAATACTTTCTCTCTTCGCCAGCTGAAAAAGAAAAGGAGAATCGGATCAAACTTGGGCCACTCCCTCCGGCAGATCTCTCAACTGTTTTCTCCTTCTTCCAGAGCCGCCTTTGGCCACTTGGTGCTCGTTTCCGCAAACTCTCCGAAAGATACTCTTTTCATTTCCGGTGTTGATCCAGCGATTGGTTTTCACACGATATCCCCACAATTGACTTTTCCTTTGAACACAACGAACCATCCTCTTGGGTGGCATATCTTTTATGACGCCGATGCAGACGATCCACGATCCCTCGAATCCCACTTCATGCGCAAGGTATCCAAAGTTGTTCGGCAGCTTCGCACCGGCATCAATCCCGGCTGTATATCAAATCTTGAACTGGGCGTCAACCACGGCCCTGGATGCAAGTTCGAGTCCGCAGTGGAATGCTGCAAATTGAACCGACTGCGACCAGGCGAAACATGGGTCCTCAAAACGAAAATCGGCACGCCCGTCAAATTCTACCAAGAGACCCATCTGACTCAACACCCCATCATCCAAGATTTGATCGGCCAGATCAATGAGGTCATTCGAATGTATTCATCTGAGCCGGTTGCCCAGCATGTTCTCACTGCTCATCTTAAATATTATCATTCTTTGCTTCCACCACTACATGCTATTTGCTTGGAAACCCACTGTACCATCTCTCGTACCCCGTTTTCATCATTCCCTTCTCTTTCGGAGCAAAAGGACTCTGCGCTCATGCTTTATGAACAGGATGATGATGCTATCAGTATCAGCATGGAATCTGCCAGCGAAAGCAATTGAACAGAGAGCAAATTTCTAGCGCTACTCTTTATGGCTTGAACCATCACTATTCTTATGGACTCCTTTCACACTTCTCGTGTGTTTTATGTCTTACTTGATAGGAGTTTTCCTGGAATGGCAATTTGACTGAATGCAAAGGACTCCTTGTCCGTAGGACGATAAAAGTACAGTGATATATTTTTTTCACACTATTGGGATTTTCAAACTTCGAGCCCATCCTGGAATCATCGTTATTCGAACCAATTCGAAAGCAGAAGCAAACCTCGCAGAAGACATAGAAAAACCAAATAATTAGGCAGGCCTGGGTGTATTAATTGCTTCTATAGATTCAGATTCAGACCTAGAAGATTTAACAACGCGAGATATCAAATTCGAGCATACACATTGCCCGCTGTCCTCCATGTCTCCTTGATCAAATCTGCACACTTCTCGCCGATGCCATAAGCCGGCATTTGAGTGTGACCACCGTGCAGCGTGGGCATAACACTGCAATCGGCAACCCTCAACCCCGAAACACCCCTTACCCGCAGCTTTTCGTCAAGAACAGCCATGGGGTTATCTCTCTTGCCCATCGCACAGGTACCTGCCGCATGATAACCTAGATGGCGTCAGTATAATCTCCCCGATTCTCTCAGAGCTCGAACTCACAAGTAGTAGCATGCTCCTTAACATAAGGAGCCCACTCCTCCCTTGATTTATACGTATGATGGTTCAAATTCGGGGGCCAAGACCCCTTAACAATATCCTTCGTCCCCGCACCCTGCATAACAACCTCATTTCCGTAACGACAAGCCTCACTCAGCACCAGCAAATCCAAAGAATCAGCAAGGTAGTTGCAATCGACAACAGGGTTATCGGCCGGATCCGCCGACTTCAGCGTCACCGTGCCACGGGACTTGGGCGCGAACAGCTCGGCGATAATCGAGAACGCGTGCTGGTGGTTAATTGGGAACTGGTCGTACTGCTTTGGTCCCCCGTAGCACTCCGTGCTGAAGAACTCGATGTTTGGCTGTTTGGGTGTAAGGCCCATTGGGTCGCGGCCTGGAGCGCGGGGGGCATTTTGCCAAAGTGGGGAGTCTTTTAGGCGGTCGTCTAGGCGGGCGAAGGCGAAGCTGCCGAATGGGAAAGTCGATAGGAAGCCGCTTTTGTTTTCTTTCCATTGTTGGTAGGTTTTGTCGAAGTTGTCATCGTGGTAGACGTGTGAGTCGTTTGTGAGTCCTTTCTTTTCTGTTTCATAGAACATGAATACGATCTAGATGGGTCAGTCTTGTTCGAGATAAGTTGACCAATGGGTAACGGCTGTGGAGGATTGACTGACAAGGTGGTCCATTAGGTTCTTGCCCACACCGGGGAGATTGACCGTGCAGGGAATATTGTGCTGCTCGAGTTCTGCCGGGGGGCCAATACCTGATCGAAGTAGGATTGCGGGACTGCAGTATGCCCCTCCGGAAATGACAATCTCCTTTCTAGCATAGTAGATCCTGGAGGTGCCATCTGATGTCTGCGTCACGACACCAGAAGCACGAGTTTCATTTGCCTGTTTGCTGAAAATGATCTTGTCGACCATGGTATCGGTCTTGATGGTGATGTTACCGCGTTGGTTCTTATTTGTGACGAAATCAGCGCCGGTTGTTCGGAGGCCCTTGTATACTGTACGAGGCACATGGCCACATCCTTGGGCGATGTCTCCAGTGCTAAACATATCATGGTGCAGGGGCATTCCCTGCGAGACATATGAGTCCATGAGAAGCTGGGAAATCGGCGCTAGATCATGCGGCTCTGTATGAAGGGGCCCGGAATGACCATGGCTCGCTGTATCGGCTTTGAACCATGCCTTGGGGTGGAAGGTCTCCGACTGTTCACTGTTAATTTGGATGCTCGTATGGGTCGTGTCATAGGCACTGTATACCTTTCTCATGCTCTCGAAGAATTCCTCTCCACTCCATCCAGGCAGTCCCCAATCATCATAGTCCTGCTTGCTGCCGCGAATGCAAAGCGTGCCATTACACCCACTTGACCCTCCGAGGAATCGACCCCGGCTTAATTTAACCTGGCGATTGTCAACTCCCGCCATAGGAGGAGTGATGATGTTCCAATCGGTTTCGGCATCAAAGTTATTTGACCACCTAATTCGTCAGCACGAGTTATGCTTTGATTGATGCGTAAAATTCACCCGCCTGTCATATGAACATTTTCCAGGTTCTTGTTGTGCTGTCCAGCTTCAAGCAGCAGGACCTTGACATCTGGGTTTTCAGCTAAACGGGCAGCAACCACACACCCAGAGGTACCTCCTCTAGCTCATGATCAGCAAAATCAAATAATCTGCTGAGATGGATATCCTACCCGCAGACAATATAGTCATAAGTATCCGGGATTCCAGCCATCGCAACGAATACAATTCACAAAGAGGTTTTCAACCCAGAATCAGGTCGTGAGGAAAATTTTCAACATGGCAGCCTTTTAAGTCGTTTTTGTGAGATAGCGGAAGCGCGGGAGTGGATTCCGCATATCTTGAAGTGCGTTGAGGGGTTAGCTCTTTACCAATGTCTACGCAGGCTTGAAAGATAATTGGAACAAAAATCACATCGGTGGAGTCTAAGGCAAATTCCGCCTACTTGGCGTTTCACTAATCCAATCATTGGAGAATTAGGGGAGCACAATGGGGAATTGAGCCGTGTACAAAGGTGGGTTATTTATTTTGGGGGCGGAATCTTCAATCCACTCCCCGCGGCCTAAGGTTATTCATAACCCCACAAACCTTATTCTTGCTCTTTTGGTTCGACCAAAGTATGTACATGTACAATGTAATTGTATGTAGATGTATGTATATATGTAGATCGTTATAGTATCTATGGGGGAATTCCGCACTCCCGCTCTTCCGATCACGATAGATCGATTGGAAATTACCAAGGTTCAGTTTGATCTATACATGAACCATCATCTAAGAATATTTCTCAATAAAAGGCGGGACTGTTCCATGTCTCTCATACTGCGTTGCCCCGAAATCAGGAGTACCCCAGATATCCCATACATGGTGAAAATTTCAGAGCTGTCCTACATGCTTTTTAAAACGTGGGAAACAGCCTATTTGAAGATAGCGCGCTGCAACAGTACTAAACTATAATTGACCGCTATGTATTTGCAACTGTAAGAAGCCCTGGAAAATACTTCAATACTTCAGAAATGTGAAAATCCCCTGATAAAAACACAGACAACATCAAATAGCAATGTGTCTATAAATAAAACGGCGCGGTGATTGGTCAATTTGAGAGCAATCATGTGACGATAATTATCTTATCGTGGCTTTGCTGCTTATCAAGCAATCAAGATATCTCAAATACTTTCACAGTTTCCAGAGTCTTGAGAATGAGATGATCAGAAATCGGGTTTTTGAGTAAACATCCATGGATTCGTTTGTATCAAGGAAGCGTCAACGACTGTCTCCCAACAACGAGGAGGCCAAGTCAAACCAGGGGCCGTCTGATCCATCCATCGAAGACTCCACTGACATCAAGCTTGCAATACTATTATCGCTTTTTCCGGCCATCAAGCAAGATGATCTGTTGGATATACTCGTATCCTGTGAAGGGTCCGTGAAAGCGGCTTCATCGATACTCTCCACACAAGGGTCTGCAAGGGATACCCCGTGGATAAAAAAAGAGCTGCTGGTGGTTCGCTGGGCATGCAAACCTCTCTATCCTCACATGTTTTCACAATGACTGAAGATGGGATCGTCAAGTCTATCAATGAAACAGGAAGAAAAAGAAGAACCCCACCTACAAAAAGAGGAAAGACACTACACCTTTACTCGCCCGAGGACATTGCAATCTATACGCCCTGTACAATCATTCACAACTTCCTACCGGCGGAAGATGCAAACAAACTCCTACTGGAGCTACTAGATGAATCAAAGCATCTTACGCGGTCTGAGTTCCAGCTCTTCAACCGTACCGTACAGAGCCCCCATACACACGCCGTTTATGTCTCCACGCCAGAGCAGCACCGGCAACAGACATCCGAGTACACCTACGGAGGCACATATCGATCGAATGTACGGCAAGCAACGCCACAGCTACGCTTAGTGTCACGCCGGGTTCAAACTGCGGTCAATGATGAAATCCAGAAACGGATTCGCGAGGTCTATCCAGAAGGAAGAAAACTCCAATACCAATCACCAAAAGAGTGGAAACCCAACGCGGCATTCGTCAACTGCTATAATGGACCAGCTGAGAGCGTGGGATATCACTCTGACCAACTAACTTATCTTGGACCCCATCCGGTAATAGGAAGCTTGAGTCTCGGCGTGGCACGCGAATTCCGCATCCGTCGGATACTAGCGCAAGACGATGATATTGGAGAAGCGAGCGAAGACAAAAATTCCATCGTTTCAAAATCTCCCCAGAGCCAAGCTGCATCATCTCGCGCAGATGCCCAAGGACAAATTTCTGTTCATCTTCCGCACAACTCACTCCTTATCATGCATGCAGAGATGCAGGAGGAGTGGAAACATTCCATCGCCCCCGCACAAACCGTCTCTCCACATCCCATCTCTGGAAATCGTCGGATCAATGTCACCTATCGTTGGTATCGGGATACTTTACATCCACGCTATACACCGCGCTGTCGGTGTGGAGAACATACGATTCTTCGGTGTGCGCAACGCAAGCAAGAAACGAGGGGGCGGTATATGTGGATGTGCTATGCTAGTTTTATTCCGGGAAAAGAAGGGTGTTCCTTTTTCCAATGGGCCGAGTTTGATGATGATGGCGACCCGGTGTGGGAGAAGAAAGCAGTTGAAGATCAGGCACCTATTCTGGATAACTTTTCGGCCTCACAATAAAACGTTATATCTAGCAAGTATTTGGAAACTCTCAGTATGTTTTCGGTGTCATCTTTCTACTGATCGTTTTTCAAGTATTTTTTTACATTCTTCAGAGTCTCTTCCTCCGAGGTTGGCCCTCGTTCAACCGTGAATATATACATAGCAGCTATTTATGCCTTAGTATGGTTGCAGCGGAATACCTCTGCAATATACCCGTTTCCAGACTTTTTAGACACAATTGTTGTCGGTTGAATGATGTTTCGATTTGATGTACAGTTTTCGGTGGACGTTACATGTTGCTCCATTTTCCTTCTCCTAGGTACACCCGTCCCTCCCGATGATAATCAACCAAAGCCTTTATCTGCCTCAGCCCATCAAAGACCTCCACCAATGCATCAAGAGCCACCATCGTCCACCCATGATAATTCCCACGATAATTTTTTGCACAATCAGATACACCATTTATATCAACTTGCGGGTGATCACTCATTCTCGAGTCTGGGAAATTCTCCTCGACAACCTTCACCCAGCATCTCCCCAAAACAATATCTTCCCCAACCATTGAGGATGAATCTAAAATAGTTTTTGAATGCGATATTACTGCATCGTCAACCATCAGACATATACGCAGTCTGCTCGGGAGCTCTGTCGCAGGTATCGCCAGCGACACCTTGAATTCATGAAACACCTGTCGAATCGCTTCCTCGTTCAGGTCGGCGTACATATCCCGCGAGCTGAATATTTTGGAGGAATATGTCTGTGTCAGGATACGAAGGTCCTCATCGGAGCCTGTCAGGGTTCGGTGTAGTGATTGGCTCACGGAGTCGTTGAGGCTGCGCAGGAATACTGGGAGAAGACGCTTGGTTTCGGGGGCGTAGGATGTGCGATATATAATGGGGCCCCATGACAGAGTGAGGAAGTCACGCTCTGGACCTGGTGGTAGGGAGCGTAGACCTGGCAATGACCCAAGGCGATAGACTTCTTCTTTGAGAAATTCACTGGCTGGCGATTTATAGTCTTTGTGTTCAGGCAGTTTATTGTCGCAGCCCATGGAAGGGCGGGGTTCATAGTGTCTTTGACTTATCATCTTGTTTTTGTTTGTGTCTCCAAAGCTAAGGGCACAATAAGGAAGAATAAAAGATTGGGACAGAATCAGACGAGAAGAGGCCGATTGTGGCGTCGTTCCATACTTAAGCTTGAGGCGAAATGTGGTTCTAGACAAGACGATAATTGGCCTAAGCCTACCTATCTTATGAAATCCACCCATAATTGCTATATATCTATGACTTAAGGTAGTTCTAGTCTGTTCGGAAAGCTGATATGGTTAACACTGGCCCGTTGACGTCAATGATCGTTCTACTGGAACTTAATCTCGACTTCACAATTTCTGTACATATATGTGTATAGCATCAATGGCTGATTTTGGTGTAATATTTTCGGCTATTCCATAAAATTATATACGAAGTTCTCCCACCTGGGCATTAAGAATGTGAGCTATGATCTATAATTCTAGGAAGCTCTAATTTTGTGTTGCATGTATATACATGTGGCAAATCCCCAAATGTCAGTCATCCCTGACTGCGTACTGTGTTATTGGCCTCTCAGTTCTCTTATAAGATATTACCAGCAGATGTGATTCACATATCAGCTACGTAAGACAAAAAGTCGAAGAACCAATGCATCGAGCCCTGTTTCTAGAGTTCCTTCGCGCAAGTTGCGTGAGCTCCAATGAAGTGAGATAAAGATTTATATGAACCAAAATATGTCGTCTTGCAGAGAAGTTCCACAAAATCCATGAATATAAATTGATATATGTATTGATAAGAAAGTAACTGAAACATGAACGTGACAATAAAAAAGCAGTGGTGCCTGAAAACCAAGGAAGGACCTCGGCCCATTTGGATCCCCGCAATCCCGAGATCAATTCGCCGTAATTTGGATTTCGCATCTTCCTGATCGGTGATGTTTAAGGCCTGATGTTTTGATATAATTTGTTTGAGGGCCCCCTTTTATAGTTTCCTATTCTGTTCCTCAGCGATCGGCGCTGGCTCAACATGCTCCACTACCGCACGCAAGGATTCAACGGCTGCGCCGTCAAGTACTCCCCTTTCTTCGACAATAGGCTAGCTGTTGCAAGCTCGTCAAATTTCGGCCTTGTTGGAAATGGTCGCCTACACATCCTGGAGTTGACCGCTAATGGTATTCAACCTGTTAAATGGTAGGTGAGATTATCGCGAACCCCGCGGAGAGCTCGTCCCGCTATCCATGGGAAATGCGAACACATCGCTGACGACGTATTGTTTCCACATTCAGGTTCACAACACAAGACTCACTCTACGACCTCGCATGGTCCGAACTTCACGAGAACCAAGTTCTTGCCGCCTCAGGTGACGGCAGCATCAAACTCTTCGACTGCACAGCGAACGACTTCCCCATCCAAAACTGGAAAGAGCACGCACGCGAGGTCTTCAGCGTAAACTGGAACCCCGTCGCAAAAGACCGCTTCTGCTCAAGTAGTTGGGATGGCACAGTCCGCGTCTGGTCGCCTCATCGCCCACAATCTCTCCTCACCCTCCCAACCCATAGCTGCACATACTCCGCATCCTTCTGCCCACACAATCCAGATCTCATTTCTTGCGTGACTTCAGACTCATATGTGCGCGTCTTCGATCTCCGCACCCCGGCCTCCGCTTCAAACCACCTCGTCACCCAAATACCTATCCATGCGGCACCACACGCTCCCGCTATTCCCGGCCAGCCTGGTGGTCCGGCCCCGCCTGCCGAGGCACTCACCCATGACTGGAATAAGTACCGCCCTACGGTCCTTGCAACGGCCGGTGTTGACCGTGCCATTCGCACATTTGATATCCGGGCGCCGCAACAAGGGCCTCTATGTACTATGCTCGGGCATGAATATGCTGTCAGGAAACTAGCGTGGTCACCCCATCTTTCTAATGTTCTATTGAGTGCTAGTTATGATATGACTTGTCGCGTGTGGAATGACCGCTCAGACACAAACCCGGCGGGCGATTTGGATATGATGCGCGCTGGCCCGGGTGGTCCTTTGGTTGGTGCGGAATTGGGGCGAATGGGTAGACATACTGAATTTGTGACTGGTGTGGACTGGTGTCTGTTTGGAAATGAGGGTTGGTGTGCTAGTGTGGGCTGGGATGAGAGTGTATATGTTTGGGATGTGCGGGCTGCAATGACATGAAATGGATGCATGATACCACCCAATTATTTATAAACTTGGCTTCAGCGAGATTTTTGAATGCCAAGTTAAAACAAATGTCAGACCTTTTGAGGCACACAAACTTGCAGGATTCAACGTATATTTATCATTTTATTTCGTAATTTATATGTCGGAACAACTGAGAAAACATAATGCATGGTACAATGTGGAAATCACTTCGACCGCGTCTATAACTTGGGCTGAATTTTTCAGCCTTCTGTTTGAATTGCAGTGATATCATGATGCAAATCAGCCGATTGTCTCGAAATGTGCAAAATGAGTTCAAGTCTAACCAAAAGAGGCACACGTTCGGGAGTCCATGGTGGGTATTTGAGAGCCAAATCTTTCTTCCTATTACCAGCAGAATCTCGGCGCATCGGCCTAGTGCCTGTGATCCAGTAATAGGCCAATCTATTTGTTGCCGAGACGGCCCTCGAGCTTTTTGCGCTCGTTGTCGCGCAGCAGGGCAACCTCCTCCTTGGAGGCATTGACGGCAGCATGCACCTGATTGAAGGGGTTCTCTTCGCTCTTCTCGAACTCCTTTCTGCAAAGGTCCATACGCTGGTTGCGGCGAAGTCCGGGATTCTCTTCTTCAATCTCGGGCAAGCGTCTCGCCTCAAATGCGGCATAGGCGGCCTTGAATCGTCGCTCGGGGTGTCGGTCAATCTTTGTGGTGTCCTTTTCGGCCAAAGATAGGGCGTCCAGCGCATTGTCGATACCGGTGGCACTGAGAGATGATCCCTTCTTGCTGGCTGGGGTGTCGTCCAGCTGTGAAAGATCGAGACCGCGGGTCTTCTTCTGCGCAGTCTTCGCGTTGGCACCTTTAGCCTTAGCTGGTTGAGATGCTTCCTCCTCAGCTAAAAGGGCGTCACGCTCGGCCTTCTTGCGTGCTGCTTCAGCCTTCTTTGACTCCGCATCATCCCTGTAAATTGCAGAAGATGAGTTAGCTCGGCATTCGAGAACATGTGTTGGGGGCTAGCGTTGTGCATACTTCTTAGCGTTGCTCTTGGATCCCTTAGACCATTGCTTATCCTCCTCTGCGGATTTTTTCTGTTCCTCGGCTGCCTTCTTGGAATTCGCTGCCTCGGCTTTCTATACATATGCCACTGTCAATATAGATTTAAATGTCGTAATGCTGAGGGATGTGGCAATAATAGTGGGGGCGGGGTTAGTAGAAAGAAAAACATACACGAGCCTGTCCGGCAGCCTTCTTGGTGTTTTCACCTGCTGCTTTCTTGCCTCCCATGTTGAATTGTGATATCCGAATTAAACGCTGGACTGAGTCTGAAAAATAGATGTGAAAAGAAAAAGTTGGAATAGATTTCATCTACATGGTTCGATCCACAAGGCCGTTATGCCGACTCCGACCAAGGCGGTGACCAAATTTGGCCCGTGCGTCATTGTAATTCAGGCACGGGCGGTGAGTTCCCCGGGTTCATCATTTATAATCTCCTATCTCATGAGAGCTTCAGCCTGATTGCAGTCATTTGGAAAAACTATGGCCTTGGTATAGTTTTGATGTTTGATTTCTGTGGTACTTGACCTAGGTATTGATTTACTGCTGCCCATCTTGCTTTCACCATCCGGCAAATCAAGTTCGTTCCTCCCTGCCGTACTATGATCTGATCGTCATCTGTCGCAATGGCTTTGCTCTTCCGCTTCTTGCAGGCTTTCGCCTTGCTTCTTCTCGCCAGCACAGTTGCCGCTGAACATACCTCCAATTGGGCGGTACTAGTCTCTACATCCCGCTTCTGGTTCAACTATCGTCACCTCGCCAATGTTCTCTCATTATACCGAACTGTCAAGCGTCTCGGTATTCCCGATTCGCAGATCATTCTCATGCTCCCCGATGATATGGCTTGCAACCCCCGAAATGCCTTCCCAGGAACCGTATACAGTAACGCGGACCGTGCTGTCGATCTCTACGGCGACAATATCGAGGTGGACTACAGGGGCTACGAAGTAACCGTGGAGAACTTCATTCGACTGTTGACTGATCGCCTCGACGAAGACGTGCCGCGCAGTAAGCGCTTGGGATCTGACGCCGGAAGTAATGTGTTAGTATATATGACTGGGCATGGAGGCGACCAGTTCCTGAAGTTCCAGGACGCAGAGGAGATTGGCGCATGGGATCTGGCGGACGCATTTGGACAAATGTGGGAGAAGAAACGATACCACGAATTGCTCTTCATGATCGACACTTGCCAGGCCAATACAATGTACACCCACTTCTACTCGCCCAACATTGTGGCCACAGGCTCCAGCGAGATCGACCAATCTTCCTACTCTCACCACGCAGACAACGATGTTGGTGTCGCTGTGATTGACCGCTGGACATATTATGTCCTTGAATTCCTCGAGACCCAGGTGACGAGCGTGACTTCCAAATTGAACTTGGGAGACCTGTTCGATTCCTATGATGAATCGAAGATTCACTCCCAGCCAGGTGTCCGGTGGGATCTTTTCCCTGGAGGCGAGCAAGAAGGTCGCCTGAGGACCGTTGTGGACTTCTTTGGCAATGTCCAGAACGTGGAAGTCGAGAACGCCAACGCGACTGAGCCTGGTTCTCTGAAGGAAGATCTGGCTGAGATCGCGCGGCTTGTGGAGAAGTGGCAGAAGCGTGACGAGGAATATTCAGCTATACTCGGTGACTCTACTCGAAATGCCACCAACAACTTGCATCCGTCATCTTCCCTGCATCTGAAACCGAAGAGCAGTGTTGGGCCTACCAAGATGGGCGAAGACAACAGCTGGGGAAAGCGGCTAATTGGAATTTCTGTTGTTGGTGCATGCACTGCCATCTGGGTCGCGGGGGCAATACTTGGTCGCTCAGCTGTTTAGCATATGCAGCAAAACATCAGGTTATGTCTGGGGGCTCATTGCACACTCATAACTCATACTTCGACCTTGAAACTCGAATCTAAGCCCTTTCTGTGAGGATCCCGGAGTATATAGCATTCTTACGGCGTACGGTGTTTAATCTGAATCCTATCTTTTTATCTTACATTCCTTTGAGACGAGCATCCCTTAGACCATTATTCACAACCAAACCCATTCTAGAGTTCCTGTGGTTCGGGCAGACTAGACAAAGCGGTCGAATTCCATCAACGAGTGCTGCTAATGCTTCGTTTATCGATAGGCATCTCGACAGGTACTCATGCATCCGGCTCGGGCCCGGAACGTTGGCCGAAACTGGTTCCGCGATCTTGTTATACGATGCCGAGCAACCGTCTGCACATGTATAAAATGCCTACGGATGCCTGGATTGGATGTCAGATGACAAATGCGATTTCAAATCAACAAAGATAACATTAAACAAACATCTTTATTAGATTATCTCGCCTACATGTCTGTGCCAAGTACTCTATTGGGCGGTGCCATGATAGCCAGCACTTTCACCACCGTGGAACAAGTCCAAGAAATACTTGATCGGTTTAAGATATGTCCAATTGACCACACATTGATACTAAACCCGATACCCCCTTGGAAGCCCCGACCGCTCGGAGGCTTTGCTTGGAGAAGTGCAGGCATCAGAGGGGGGCTTCATCATTGAGAACATGGTCATCGCTGGGGGTTCCTCCACGAGCGATTGATTAGGGACACACACGCCATCTGCAATAAATATATCCATTGGAGGCAGTCTCAGCTAGCTTAATGAGACTAAAGTCAATTTTCTCTATTTCCACCATCCAGACGCTGGTAGGTACGCCGGTTGCCGAGCAAGCTGCTCAAATCAATAGGCAATACCTAGAGGGTCGTTTTGGAAAAGTCAGCTCGTCTAGTATTACCAAAAAAAACCCCTTTTCTTAACCAGCCAGTAATTTGGTTTATCCAATTTTCCACCTGAGACGGTCACAGAATTCATCACAGTCTTGAAGAGTAAGGTTATGTCAAGTCAAGTGTGTATCAAGGTCTCTACAATGTTCTAGGTCGAGAGAATGAGGTTATATTTCCTCTACTTCGTCAATTTGGAATTGCACTCCATGCCTACAGGTACGTGTGTGGCTCCACCTCATGTCAATGTTATCTCTAACCATGCATGTCAATCTATCCAGTTCTCTGGCTCGTGGCTTTCTAACGGTGGAGATCACCCGCGGTGATGTCGAAGGCACTATGTTTACACCAGCACCAAACAACGCAGTTTTTGAAGGTCATGATGGGATTTATGATCGACCTCATATGCAGCTATCACGGACCTTCAAGATATCATTGAGCCACTCCAACATTCGGGCTCTCAAGCCTGTCTCCGGTGGGCATACTATCGTTCGATTCTCAGTGAAGTTGATGGTATAATCTCGGGGACCAGCACAACACCACAGATTGTTCAGATTGTGGAAGATATATTGAAAGCTTGGTCGAAAACCTTCGTGCAAAAAATTGATTCGATTTAGGATAGAGTACGGCAATGAGTGGAAGAAAGTCTCGAAAGGATTGGCAATTTTAATGGGTTTTGGTTTTCACTCTACAACCTATCTCTAGCTGTAATATCTAACTTTTAGATACAAAATGTAATTATAGTGTACATATGTATTTATCTATTATATTCCAATCTCTCTTTGCGTCTTATATCCCAGTCGAGCTATATGATATGAGGTTTTACTCGACAGATACCCTACCCAGGTAAGCTTGTAATATTTATAACTAGGAGGGGCATTTATTAGTGATAATAATTGGAGAGTTTGTTAGTACTAAGCGATTTAATAATTGTAGGATTCCTCAAGAGGGAATATAAATGGTATGGAGGTACAATTATCCTTTATATGTTCACGATTGAAATGAGACCAGGAGAACACTTTCAAGTTTGCATGAAAAGGATCCGAAAAGACCGGTAGAATGGCATATAGAAAGCATCGCAGCCTTACTGAAGAGTGTCGCCAGACTCTCTAGACAGAATGTAGAACTATTGGCTCCAAACAGTCACACTATGGATATGGTAGAATCTCGATCCTTGCAAAGAATATTGTATAAATTATAGGAACTATTGAGCATATTATATGCATGTCGTGCAGACATACGTTGTATGTGGTCTATACATTATGCAAGGCTCAATTTGGGCGGTTATAGATGCGAATTTTCGCGTAAAGCATCGATCGAAGCATTAAGGGCAAGAACAACAACAAGAGCTATTATCTTTGAAATTAGAAGATCTACAAAGTGATTCAAGGAGTTAAGGAGTGAAACATTTCGATTTGATCATAAATAGTGTACATAGTGCAAATACTTGGTTTTTGTCAAGGTGATGAAGAGGTATGGAATCCCGGCACGTGCCCGACGCGTCGCGCTTGTCCACTTCCCCGGCGCTACGAGAGTCTCCTGCAAGGGCTTTCCTAATAACGCTCTCACAATTCACCTCAACATTATTCTTACGAGTTCTTTTTCTTCATGAGCTGTCGCATGAATATCTGAAAACCAAAAGCTGGCCATGTATCTTCCCAGGCAGCTCATCTCACATCTCTACCTCCAACTCCTCCGATCTCACCATCCACTTTCCCCGCCCGTCCTAATTCTCGTGGCCTTGGAGCCAGACGCGCTATGTGCATGCCGAATTCTCACAGCATTGTTTAAACGCGACTATATTCCTCATAAAATTCAACCAGTTGCAGGATATGGCGACTTGTCGCGTGCGGGGGAGGAACTGGTCCGCCCCATGCAGACCACCAATGGCGGCAGCGGAGGTGTAGTTGTCTGTCTCGGAGTCGGGGGTCTGGTTGATCTGGGCGAAATACTGTCCTTGAACAGCCCAGAAGATGAAGTGGAGGATATGGGTGGCGTGGAGATCTGGGTGTTTGACGCGCGACGGCCATGGAACCTGGGGAACGTCTTTGGCGGACAAGCCGGGCTGAACCAGCCCATGGAGGAGGTCGATGCCAATGCGCGACGGCGAGAGCGTGGCGTGGAAAAAGGCTGCATCACTTCTTCTTACACGTCAAAAAATGGCGGCATTGTTGTGTATGATGATGGAGACATTGAAGAAGAACTTCACACCGAACGAGATGCATATTACGCGTTGTTGGAGATGCCGGAAGTGGATGACGACGATGCAAGCGATGATGGTTCCGAAAATGAAATGCCAACGGGGTCGAAAAAGCGCAAATCTTGGTCGGGCCGTGAAGACGATGAGGACTCAGGCGGCGATGAGCCGCCCCATCAACGGAGGAGAAGCAATTCGGTATGGATTTCCTCTCAGAAATGAGTTGTTACCGAACTAACACGTTCTTCAGGGCTCTTCTATAACATCGTCTCCAACTCGTCGGAAAAAGACCGACATCAACTCGTCAAACTCGTCGCGATCTGTGACCCCAACATCTGACTCTCCGTCCCCACCGGAGACGAAACAACCCTCAGCACGCACTTTAAAGAAACGTTTACTCAGTCTCAAGAGAAAACATGACTCTGTTTTACAAGCCTACTATTCGTCTGGAACTTCATACTCGGAACCAATCTCGTCTTTGATCTATTCTCTGGCATCGGAACTTGGAAGAGACGACAATGACCTCTTGTGGCTTGCTATTGTGGGTGTCTCTAGTCTGGAACTCAGTGGTCGAACGATGACCGGTGTAGGTATTTCAAACACGTCAGAATCCGGCGGCTCAGCAGGTTGGGGTGGCCAGCGTGGTGAACACATTCGCCAAATACTTCGCGATGAAGTGCACCGTCTGAACCCACCTGACACTCAGGAGCGCGATATTAGAGCAGAGATCAACGGAGTCATTCCAACAACTGCGAGGTCACCAACTGATACGTCAATTCGCATTTCTCCTGAACCTCGTTTTCTCCTGGTACGCCACTGGTCTCTGTATGAGAGTATGCTGCACAGCCCTTACCTTGCCCCACGACTACACGTTTGGACAGAGAATGGCCGCAAGCGACTCCACAAACTTCTGGCTAAAATGGGTATCAGCCTGACCCAATGCCACCAATATTATACCCACATGGACATGGAATTGAAGCGTGTACTACGAAGCCGTTTGCTCAAGTACGCTCCCATGTACGGGTTAGATGGACTTGTGCCAGCGGAGGGCTCTTCAAGTGCTAGTGCCCGCGAGGGCTGGGGCTTTGTGCGCTGCTGGGGCTGGAAGGCCTGCCTTTCTGCAACAGATGTAGGTGTTATCGTGGGTGCAATGCTGGAAGTTGGGCCGCACGAGACTTCACCTTCGTGGGATTCCAGACGCTTGCCCCCAGCACGCACCAACAACGACAACGAAAACGGCATATCGGGCGAATCCGATCTAGCCAGTTTACTCCCTCGATTTTGGAGCGCGTATGACGCCCTTTCGTTGACATCCGAGTCTCCCACAATCCTTCTGGAGTCTCTGCCTCTGGCTCAGCATCTACACCGTGCTATCCTCCGCACTGGTACATCCTTGCTCTCCAAGCATCAGATTCGTCACCTGCGCGCATTCCGCATTGCCGTGGTCAAAGATGGACCTGATGTCAAACTCTTCGCAAATCCCGGTGCCCTGACGAAATTGGCACTATGGATTGCTGAGGCAATTCGAGTCCAAGAGAAAGATCGGGGTGATTCCGTCAAGATCGGTCGCAAGAGAGCAGCAGGAACTCCTCTTGTCCTTGCTGGTCTTGATGAAGATCGTGATCTCTATGTAGTGGTTGGTACTGGTGGTGGCGGTGGTGTTATTGACTTCGCTGCTATGTCCAAGCGCCAGGAGGAGCGCAAGAAGAAGAAGGAACTCAAGGATAAAAAGCAGAAGGAGCGGGCAGATCGCCGGTCTAAGAAAGCTGCCGAACGTGCCGAGCGAGAAGACGACACTGGGGCTGAGGACGAAGAGTCGGAGGAGTCTGAGTCCTCAGATTCGGATTCGGAATCCGACGAAGAGGAAGATCCTCGTGGGAGGAAGCATCTGCTCCGCAATCGCTTTGGAATTGCCTTCCAAGAGGTCGTTCAAGAGACAAATGCCCGTGTCCGCATTGATAGCTTTGAACACTGTGTTGTCGAGGTCCAGAAGGATGACCTCGGTGGCTTCCTCGAAGCTCTGAGCTTCCGCAGTGTGGTGGGCTAAATCTTCAACAATCATTCACGCAGTCTACGACCAGTCATCTTTGTTTACTTTCGATGCATGGGATGGCCTTGGGGGGATATATGGGAGGATACTGGACTCTGAAATCGGCTACATGCATAATGACCTTTGCATCGCTTCTACGGGAGGCTTTCTTACAAGCATTCGACTTCATTCTTGCATCCGTCTTCAATGGCGTTTATGGTGTTTGTTGTGAGGGAAACATGTCTGACTTCATCTAGTGCAATCCACATTTACATCTATGTAGTTATTATTGCAACGAATCTATGCATTTTCGGCCTTCTCTCCGAACTTCCGAAACCTCCCCGCATAATCCCCGCAGCATGCTTGTCTAATATCCGATCAGTACCCAATCTCCAATAGGTTAAATACTAGATCCTAGACTCAATTGATGCAGAGACCAGATCATAATCGAAAACTAATTACTATGTTTCAACCGCGCGAGTATCCAGTCCTCTCCCGCGAAAGCACTCTCGCCAAGCTCCCCGCGGAGTATTCCTACGACGCGCAAGAACAAATCACCCAAGCCCTCACCACCGCACCAATAAACCGCCTGGTCGTACTAGATGACGACCCAACAGGCACGCAAACCTGCCATGACATCTCTGTCCTAGCAGTCTGGGACATTCCAACCTTAAAAACCGAATTCCAAACCGCAAAGCCGGGCTTCTTCATTCTAACGAATTCGCGCGCCCTCCCACCAAAGGAAGCGGAGGAGTTGATCCACGAGATCTGCACAAACGTCTCACAAGCTGCGAGTGCCACAAACCAAAAAGTCGACATCGTCCTCCGCGGCGATAGCACCCTGCGCGGGCACTTCCCACTCGAGCCCGACGTCGCACAGAAGGTCTTTGGTCCTGCGGACGCGCTCATTCTTGCGCCGTTCTTTTTCCAGGGCGGTCGCTTTACTATTGATGATGTGCACTATGTTGCCGAGGGCGAAAACTTGGTGCCGGCGGGTGCTACCCAGTTTGCGAAAGATGCCACTTTTGGATATAAAAGCTCGAATCTGAGGGATTATGTGCTTGAAAAGGCACCTGGGAGGTTCAGCGCGGATCAATTGTACTCTGTCGCCATCGAGGAGATCCGAGTTGGTGGACCACAGGCTGTTTGTGAGAGATTACTTGCCGCGCCGAAGGGTGGAGTGGTGATTGCCAACGCTGCTGCTGAGTCTGATATGCACGTCTTCGTCGCAGGATTGTTGCTCGGTATGTCAGAATTGACTCTTAATACGGATGATTGAATACTGATTGTTTTCAGCCGAGTCGAAGGGGAAACATTTCCTCTATCGCACCGGCGCTGCGTTTGTCTCAACTAGACTTGGAATCCGCTCCAAGGCACCCATCTCCGCGGCTGAACTTCACCTGCCCTCACCTCGTCAGACAGGTGGGCTGATCATCGCTGGGTCATATGTTCCCAAGACTACAGCCCAGCTGAAAGTACTGACAGATCGGCGGGGCCCAACTGGCCAGCTAGCAATTATTGAGATGAAAGTCGACGACCTCATCTCGTCTCCTGAAACTGCAGCGCAGGCTGTGCAGCGTGTTGTCCAAGAGACGGAGTCTAATCTGCGGTCTGGGAAGGATACACTCGTTATGACGAGTCGGAAGCTTATTACCGGTGGTGATGAGTTATCGTCGTTGAAAATAGGGTCTGCAGTTGCCGAGGCGCTGGTTGATGTTTTGCAACGCATTGAGGTGCAGCCGCGGTTTATCATCGCTAAGGTATGAACTCGGCTGTCTCATTCTATTTTAAATGATCTGATGGAATGCTGACTTTCCTTAGGGTGGTATCACCTCTTCAGATGCTGCGACTAAGGGCTTGAATGTCAAGCGTGCTACGATTGTCGGCCAGGCAGCGCCTGGTGTACCTCTATGGCGATGCGACGAGGAGACGAGTCGTCACCGTAGTGTGCCCTTTGTCGTCTTCCCTGGTAATGTGGGTGGGGAAGAAACGCTTTGTGAACTGGTCGAAGGATGGAGTTAGACGCAGCCGTCACCCCATTTCTGCAAGTCATTCATATGAAATATGGGTGTAGGCAGCGGTTAGATGAAAATAATATCCGTTATTGTACATTTGGAATTTAATTGGAATTTATCAATCGTAGCAGGACATGTCATTCCAAGGTTGAAGAAATTTGCAAAGTCATAAAGATGCCTACAAATAGGTATCTCCCAATCATCAGGGTTCATACGTCGTAAAGCAAAAGCAAAAGCAATGTTCTCATTCCCACCAAAAGCTCACGCTGATGCCAGCCCTCAAGCCACGCACATAATGCCACCACCCAACAGGAATGTAAAGACATTCCCCCTCATGGAGAACAGTCTCCACGTACTCAGCATCCATGAACCCAGGCCACATCTCTTCCCATTGATCGAACTCGGCGGGAGACTGCTCGATAGCAGCTAGGTCAACTTTGGACGTGTTAGAGGTGTCAATCAAATGGCTAGCCAACGGCTGGGCTCCGGTTACGGGGTCTGGATCAGCCGACTTGTCAACAATTGTGACCACCTCCTTGCCCCGTGGGTAAATCTGGGAGGCAGGCGTGTGTGGCGAGTACAAGCGAATATACTTCGTGCCCACGACCTGCGCGAGGATGTTGTGATAAGGGTCATGGTGAAGAGGGGAAATAGTGGACGAGGGACCCATCCATATGTTGATCAACGGGTCCTTGGGAATATGTGTTTCCTCGTCTGATTCCCTGTCATCTGCGTCTATTTCAGGGGTCTGTTCAGGGTCCTGCGAGTTTGAACACGATTCAGATGTCTGCACTACTGCTTTCGCTTTCGCTTCCTCGCGTTGACGTTTTTTGTTATCATAGACTGGAGTTCCAGGCTCCGGGGCCGGCGGATTGATGTAGCAATAATCCGGGATGCTGAGGTCGCTGCGCAACTTGGGAATTTGTGTGAGCAAGTCATGTTGGGCTAAGTAGGCTGTCTCGGTATCTTTCTGGGTTTCCTGATATTCGCTTTTGTGGGAGCTGGTTGATGTCGGATTCCCGTGCCAAATGTAATTGTCCACAAAACTTCCAAAGGAAACGATCTTCTGTCCCCATTGCTCGTCGGTATATGACCTTCCCACCTCGATGGGAACTAATCTGCGACCCGCGAACGTGCGTTCCCACCAATAGTCCCGTGAAGCCCATGGGCGCGTTGTTATGGCCGGCCAATGTTCTATCGCGTCGGTTATCACCAGCGGGGTCCGGATATTTTGAATGTGGAGTTCGATGGAATCAAAAGATGGCGCCGACAAACGCGGTATGGGGTGTTCAAGGTCGGGGTTGGGGAGCGCATTTGGAGGGAAGAGGGGAGGTGAGAATTTCCTGCGTTTTGAGCGGAAGTATTCCGTGTCGCTGTCTTCATCAAGCCGTGGAGGGCTTGTGGCGTCCTCTAGTGCGCTCAGTAAATCTTCGATGAGTTTCTCACGGCAGGGTGCTCCAGTCATGATCAAGGCATTGTCGAGGATTTGCACGACTTCCGATATCCATGGCGCGTTTGGAGAAATTTGTGGCCTATGTTTGAATTTCTTGGTTTCTTCAATAAGTTGCGGAACATCGAGACGCGTTTTGAATGTATCTTCCGAGCATATGTTGCATCTAGTGATGATGATGACGCAGGCTTTAATGATGGACGCGTCGGTGTAGAGTCGTCGCCATTGAATTTGTACCCCACTGAAAGGAAACACGTTTAGTTTTTTGTTGGAAAACTCGAGCGCCTTTTCAGTACCGTTGAAGAGGACGTCTTGCACGTCGAGCTCTTCATTGCATCGAAGGATTGGGTCATCGGATTTCGGTTCGGCGATAAGCGACAGCGCGCAGGGGAGTATCGCATGTAGACTCATAGCGCAGGCAAAATGGAAAACAGAATAAGAGGCAAATTGCCTACATATGTATGATGTATACGTTGTCGAGCTCCGACGAAGTAGGAACTGAAAGTGTTGGTTCTTTCTAGGTTTTCCGCCTCAGAAATAAATTTCCTTCACCTTGGGATTCACCTTCGGACTACGTCTGTTTTGTTGGTTCAAGGCTTCCTGCTTTCTTCTCGTGTTTTATTCTTATTTCTCTTCATGGCAAGATGACACAATGGTTGGATCACCCCAATATACGTCAATATTTATTATATAGTACACTTTGTTCACAGTTAAGAGGGCTTCCTAATAACTATACAATAATCATTCCAGAAGTTCCATCACCAACTTAGGAATGCGAGAGACACCTTCACCTTTCTTAGCACTGACCGGGACAGCACACACCTTCTCCTTCCATGCCTTGGCATGGCCAGATGGGTGTTCAAATGAGCCATTCTGGACGCCAGACAAATACTCCTGCAGAGCACGGAATTGATCTTGTGTATTTTCCAGATCTGCTTTGGTAGCCACAACGAACCAAGGCTTCATATGTAGAGGTGTCATCGCCAGAGGGGGCAGAGCTCCATCGGGACCGACATTCGATGAAAGCCTAGCAGGCTCATCACTGTCTCTCTTCCACGGACGATGATCCTCCTCGTTTTCTTCCTTAAATGGATTCCATTCGATGATTTCATCTTCCCCTGGTGGTCCAGAGTCAGGTTCTTCGTCGCGCACTCGCTCATACTCTCCAAGCTCATGCCACAGCTTCTGCAATTCCTCCACGGGATCACCAAGACTGAGATCAACAACAAAGGCCAAGATTCCAGCCCGGTCGATGTGACGCAGGAAGCCGAGGCCAAGTCCTCGGTCAAGATGAGCGTTTTCAACAAGACCGGGAATATCTGCGATAGTAAAATGGGTACGGCGAGCCTTCGACTCTACCAGAGGACGGCCCTTCATGTCATCGGTAATGACAGTGCCAATGTGAGGAGAGAGTGTGGTAAATTCCCAGTTACCGATGCGGGTCCGACTGTTGGTCAACGAGCGGAGAAGCGTACTCTTGCCCGCATTCGGTTTACCAACCAGCCCGACATCCGCTAGAAGCTTGAGCTCAAAATCGAGCTCTAGCATCATACCGCCTTCGCCTTTGGATGCGAATTTCGGTCTTCCCATAGATCGTGTTGAGAAGTGAGGGTTTCCCAGCCCGCCGGCACCACCAGCAGCCAGAAGCATAGGTTTATCCATGGGTTTTGAGAGATCCAGCCAAATCGGCGACTTGGGCTCCATAGCTGCTATAGCTTGTCGCCGCGGATATGACTTCGGAAACTGTACCATGAAGAAATCAGACGGTTTTGAGGATGGGTGTAGTACCCAGCGATCGTGCCGAATGGGGTTGTATTCTGGATCTTCTGACAATTCGAGTCCTCCGTTGTCGGCTTCGGGATCATCGGGATCATCGGGATCCCCCCAAACCTCCTTCTCTTCTTTGGCGTTCTGGGATGTCTCCTTCGCCTCCTTGATTCGAGCCCACTCTTCCTCAACTGGGTCATAACGGCTCACCTCTCGAACCACAGTGCCGACGGGAACCTGAATCAGTACATCATCGCCTCGTTTTCCACCCTTGCTTTTGCCCTGTCCATTTCGGCCACGGCTTGCTCTCACAATGCCTCTGCGGGCCAGCTTATGAAGACTAGTCAAGCCCTCCACGGTCTGGATGTAGATGCCTCCTCCGCTACCGCCATCGCCGCCGTTCGGGGGTCCCTCTTCGACATATTTCTCACGCAAATATGCGACACAGCCATGACCACCAGATCCAGCATGCATTTTCACCCGGCATTTATCTTGGAAAATGAATCTTGAGTAGTCCTCCGGAGGGGGGGTCAAGATGCGACAAGTCCGGTGCTGACTGGTCGGGTACAGCAATTTCGCTGGATGACAGAGGATTGGCATCTGCGGTGGTGCTTTGAAATCGAGATCGTGCGACACACGGTTTTTGTGAAGTTTGTAGGAACGTTCCATTACAACGTGTTCTTGAAAGGAATGGTCGTTTGAGAAGGGTAAAACGGGCTCGTGGATGCGCCATGTTGTGTAGTAGACGGCTATTGCTCGCTCATTCTGCAGCTCAAGTTTTAATACATTCAATCAAGTCGGAGATTGATCTTGAAAAGCAAGTATAAACGTTTTGGGGTCAATTGCCAACACGGAACGAGTTATGACTTCAGCGGATTTCTCAAGCTCCCGATAAGATCACATGGCGATAACCAAGCTATACTGCACCTAATAGTGCAGTATATTACCATTGGGTTATGCTTGCACAGGAGCACACTCGTTTTTGCAATCTGGTTCATATTGAGATATTCACAATCTTCATGAATTTATCAATCGCGCCGAAGATGGATCCCTTCGCTAACTCCCAACCGAAGTTATTTGGCAAATTTTCGAATCTTGCAGCGACTTCACTAGCTTAGACGGTCTTCAACAAATATCTCCCCGAGTGAAGGAATCGTTTAACGGCTCGTTCAAAAACACCACTGAACACGTCCTAAGAAAATGCTCCCTTACCTCGCACGGGCTTCACTGCTATTTCACGCTCCTAGCCTCTATTCTATCGACATCATTTACTCCACAAGCCCTGCAAGAAGAGCTCGCTAGCTCACTAGGGGACGTTATACGACCTATTTCCCTTTCCACTGCCTAATCACTAGCTACGGTGCATCAGACTATAAATCTAGCAGTGAAAATACATCTTACTGCCTGTGCTTGCCTCCAAAGTTTCATTAATCGTCTCGAGTCCGCAGAGCCCCGTCGTCCTATAGCTTCCGATACTAATGTTATGAAAGGGCAGAAACATTATGCTTAGTTATTTTGATGCCCTTCGTAGCGGTGAAAAAGGCCGTAGCTATTATGCTCTCTAGAAAGTGGATTTCAAAGCATTTCGACGACTTAGTATACCTATCTGGAACATATGGCGATTATACCAAATGAGACTTATGCCCCAATCTCGTAGTGTGCTTTCACTACGGGGCAACTTGGTTAGCGGAGAGTCAGATCATACTGAATGGCCCCCTTAGATTAGAGCCTACGTATGGTTTAGTCTAGCAAAGGAAGGCGATGTGATTGTATAGTTTAGAAAACAAGTCCTGAAGTCCTGAGTTCTGAGAGATATATTTAATCGACGTGATAGATCAACCGACAGCACATGGACATAGTATGAATCGAGGCTGAGACGAGATGCATAATAAATCAAGTATTAAGATTTATCAAAATTATCCACGGGTGATCAATGTGGAGACAGCCTGCATTTTAGCGAGTCCATATTTGGCTCAGATGATTTTCTCTGCAGGACAAAACCTTTGGCTATGCAAGGATCGCCAGCGACAAACAATCCGACCAACGCCCAACTGCATTCTCCCGTATGATTGCCACCGCCTCTTAAGACCCCTCAGACAAGTATTTCAAATTTGTGCAGCCGTTGGACTTCGACATATGATATGTAGGGCCATAACAGCTACCCTGTTTGCATCTGCGAGTTGCCGTTGTGACTCCCCAGCTGATCCTGATGTAACAAAGCGACCAATCAACAAATGAGGCCGCCAATTCAAAGTTTTGGCTTGTTTCGTTCCCGCTTGGATTTATTACTCTTCTGTGGCTCTCCTAAAGTATTTCGGGTCGCTGACATGCAGGAGAAAAAACCGGTATGCCCGTGGATTTGTCAATTCTCAAACCTAAAAGAAATATGCTTGTATATACATGCTGTTTAGAAAGTCCGGAGACACTCTCAAATATCTCTCTATTATCACATTTCCATGGCCTCTAATCTGCCTTCTTGGTCCTATAGCTCAAGTTTCTATGAAGCCCGTTCTCACTCCCTTTCAACTGTAATTATATAGCGGCAAGCTCCTATTCCCTCACACCATTGGATTCGAATACCTTACTTATAAACTATTTCCGAACTTTCTGGACAACAAGTATGTAGCTGGCTATATAAATATGTACCAATCGAGGGTTCGATCAAGAACCTTGGGATCGCCAACACGCATCCGTGGATCCCTATGACGGCATTATAGCACGATGACTCCTCAACACTTTTTTCTCTGTGCTCTGGAAATCTCTTTCTCTTGCATCACTTTGATCATGGAGTCAACTTTCAGTAAAGAACAGCCTCGGGGAGTCAAGTATCCAATACCAGTTCAGGAATGCAACCGGGATAGCGAAAGCCTCAAACCCAGCATAGAGGCACTTAGACAGAAAGTTGAAAGGTTTGACAAACGGCTCAGTCTCCTCATAATGGACCTGAGGTCTCCTATGGCAGAGGAGAGGAGATCCAATGAGGTGGATAGGGAAGAACTCAGAGCTGTCAAATGTGTGGAATGTAGGATCAAGCGCGGGCCACATGCGTGTTCGGATAGTTTCTGCCAGAGCTTTAAACAAGCAGAAAGCAGCCGGGAATCTTCAAAGACTCATGCCAACGTGTCTAAGGAAACTCTGGACACGCTAAAGTATGTGCCATACACAGACCAGAAAGCAGTCGCCGCCCAACAACTTCGCATTGACACGTTGCAAGACCATGTTATCAACTTGCAAGATTCTATTCAACAATTCAATCACTTGAATGAACAAGTCAGCATGCATGAAGATTTGTTGAAGATAGCCAATGATCAAACGAAACTGCAACAAGAACTCATGCAAACCCTATGTGATGCGCAATTTTCGACGGCCCATCAGGTCTCTTCCATGGCAGACCAGCTTACACGCCTTGAACTACGTGCGCAATTGACACAGAAAGGACAGCTTGATGAAAATGACTCACAGCACCCGGAATCCGTTACTGGCAGAAGCAGTAGAGCTACTGATATCTCTGGTTTTGACTTCCTTTCAGACGAAGAAGCCTCCTGTCAAACTGCTTTGGGTTCGAGTTTTTGAAACACTAAAGTGCTTGCTTCGCATATCTCGATGATTTCTCACGTCAAGTACCACTGGGTTATTTTGGCATTTGGCTTTTGATATCTCGACGGTCAAATGAACTAGTTCCGCCATCACGATTTGCTCTTTTTTTTTTTTTTCTTTGGCAACGATATGCTATCGATGATGAGGGGTTGGATTAAAGAATTTTTTGTTTTTTTGTTTTTTTGTTTTTTTTATCTCATTAATTCGGGTGAAACTTTGATTTCTGTCTTGCTTTAAACGATTCAAACTTTTTTTCGTATATGGCTGATCAAGCCTCTCCAACAACATACATAACAAGTCATTTTCACATACCCGAACAAGGTGTCAGTCTGGATTCGTCAGGCAGAGTTTTGGCATAATCAAGGATGACTCAAGAGAGTAAGCTAATCTTATATGAGTTACACGGTTTTAGGCGCCAATTAGTGATACAAACTTTGATGCAACTACGAAGACAGAGTTCGACTACTCCTTTTAAGATCAGATGATGAATATTACCAGAATATGCATATATCCACGACACACCTATTACTCGAACCACGGAAAGTCGCAGTGCCCATGTGTATAGTTGTGTCTATAATGCCTTCTTTTCTTTGCGTGGGATATAATGCGTATATAGGTGAAAACCGCGCAGGATGGGGAGCCACACCGACCTGCATATCTACATGCTTAGCAGGATTACGTCTAGTCATCAACAGGGGCAATGATAATAATGAACGAATAAAGAGAGCCCAAGAGGAGCATACTTGTTGGTATACAGTAACTTGCATGTATGGGTAATTATTTGGAATTCTCGAGATTTGGAATCAACTCAATCTGTACTACCGGGTAGAAAATTTGATTAAAGCTTCGCAGTATCAACAGATCGTTCATCCCTATTTTCCAGTGTTACCTAAGTAGGTACTGGGTAACTAACTTGTACAGTAGACGTATCATAGAAGACCCAGCGATCTGAGCTGGTTGGTCTACGTCTTCCGCCTATAAGCTAGGTTCATCACAAATAGCACTCTTCGATCCGCTGTCACATCTAAAAAGGGTACATATCATGAAGACGATTCGCTCTTAGCCCAGGGCAGCAAAGGTACTTTGGGGAAGGAACCGGCCCTTGTTGTTGTACTTTTGCCGTCAGTCTCAGCTCTTGAGAGTTTATGCAGGTTCTGAATCTGGACTCTATCTGGAGACGATCGGTGGCGCTACATTTTCGATCTTCCTTTACGATTGAGTAAAATTTATGGGGCCATAAGAAAGTTCATGCATATGCTCTGCCGCTCGGGACTCGGGATCTGAGGCTCGGTTGTCTGATGGAGGAATCCGAACATGGTTGATGTATTTCCACAAGTAGCGTCAAAAGGAGGCACTGTTGCCTCGTGAATCGACACAATTTACTGTCACACCAGTGCGGTGCACCCAGTACGCTCTGCTGTTTTCTTGGGTATCACTGCCTGCATAATTGTGCATTCGATAGCAACGAAATGGGAATGAGGCTGAAGATGAGTTTGATCATTGTCTAGTACTGTATATGTATGTGTAGCTTTGTTTACACCCAGGATATTAGGAGAACAAGCATCAAAATATGGAATCACAAGCATCTAAAACAGGATACCTGAATTTTGAATTGAGTGAATCATACCCAAGTTGCCCTTCCACACAAATCAACGACATAAACAATGAGCACGTGATCATAGCTTACCCAATAATTCCGATGTCTAGACCGCTGCAGGGGAACGGATCTTGATCATGTCCCGGATCAGCCCCAAAGAGTCCAGAATCAATGAAGCAAGGCTAAAAAAAAGTACAGCATAGGTACACAATTTGACCAAGGTACGGAGTACAGGTCCAGCTGAAAGACCAAAGTCGGCCCCACTTGGTACCTTGGACAAAAGGCGTAAAGAAAAAATCAAAGAAAGGGGACAATGGCTGTTCACATGACCAACAATAGAATCAATAGTGTGAAAATCCTTGCAAAGACAAGATGTGATTCGTGTCCACTCGCAGAACTTTTGTTTTTTGTACCCGTCATCGCGGCACCGGATCACTGCTTCCGCTCGCCACTGGTGGGGTAAAGGAGTCGATCGTTCCTGTTGGTTACAGAAATAGAGTGGAAAAAAAGTACATACCTTTGTAAGTACCAAATAAACGTATGTACCGTACATTCTTGATATTTGGTCCACTAATGTACTCCATAGATGTAGATAGCTGTACTTATTCTTAACTGAGCAGGAACTGGTACCTTGTATGTTTCCGCGGTTCCCCGATGGTAAAGAATGACATTTTAGATATCTGATTCGTCCGCGGAGCCCCCGCTCAGCTGCCGGACCCAGCCCCAGAATTTCGTCACTTCAATGGATTCGATACACACTAAGGGACCTGCAAGGTTGTGCACTCTAGACAAATTCAGATCTTGACTTTTTATATTTTAATGTACAGCACTACGTTATGCGTGGGTCCTTTTCTACGGATACGCTTGCCGATTCCACACTCAATTTGAATGCAGCTTTTAATAGTGTCGAGTAAAAACACCTTTAGGAATCGAAACATTCCGAGATCTGGGATAAAACCCATAGAGTCCAGATCGGTATTTGGAAGGGCGGCTGATCGGCAGTTATTGTGACAGCGTGTCAGAATAATAAGCTTAGAGGTCCAGCTATACCTCTTCCTGGAGATACAACATACGAGATAGTACGGAGACGTGTTCTAGTCTTATACATCGCATCAGCAGTAAGGCGACGGACTCCACCATTGTGTCTAAGACCCAGGGTGGCAAAGTTCATAAGTATCAAATCCCAGTACTACTTGGACCATCGATCGCCAAAATAAGCAGCTTAAGGACATCATGTAACACATCGCGAGTCCATCTCGCGCAAGGTTCGAGATCGGAATCGAGATCGTATCAATGCTCGACACAGCAATTGACTTTAAACTCTTATTTTTCTCGATCGATCGGGTAAACTACGTAGAAAATTAGGTATCTCCTTGCAAAGCACACATTGCAGGGACGGCACAGTTTGTGGCGCTTTATTGATGTCGTGAAAAATCGACTTGGTGCCTTTTGGTCAAAATTAGGAGAGCCACCCGTGTCAAGCCGAATCGAGCGATTTGCGATCGATAGACCTGAGAACATGATTCATAATGATCTGCAATGCGCATACGTCTATTACCTACATGGGGTAATTGGTGGTGCTTTCGAGGGGCATACGAAGTTAAACCCTTGTGTTTATATTCCGCCCTTTTTGCTTTTTGCCGCCATGTTGACATGGAATAATATCTGGAATGATTGAGCAACTAGGCCATACACCACCGGCGCGGTGACACCCAAAAGTTGATAGATCACACAACTAAGTTTTCTTCCCGTCAACCATCACGGCAGAGGGGCCCGCTACGAAAAAGTCTGAGCCCACCAGCCCTTGGGGCCATTTTGCCCGGCTTCCCCTAGATCGGAAGCTAGTCATGTCAAAGGGAGTTTTCCTATACGTTGTATGCAGGGAATTCTTTTCCATCGTGCATTGTCTTTGTATTTTTCCTTTTTAGCCTGGAGTGGCCCAGCGCCACACAATCGATTATCTGGGATTGATGCGACTGTCAGAACCCGACAATACGGTGCGGCAGCTGTCTAACGTCGATCATGGAGCCTCTGTGCCTACTGTAGTATATAGTCAAAGCTAGATTGTTTAGCGTTCCCTTCCAAAACACAATGCCTGCGATGGATCAATCTGGACAAATGCCAGACATGGTGGCGACCTTGTCCCGGTATCTTGCCGAGGTGGAAAGATCTGTATGTAATCGAGCTGTAGGCTTGCTCTCGCATCATTGGCAATGTAGCGGTAATCGCGGCAGGCATATACGATCTGGGAATTACGAGTGCGCGATAGACGGCACCGACACGATGTCGGTGGAAGCCGCCTCACATTGGTCATTAAGCTCGATCGGGGGATATTGAGGTGCAAATCTATGGCGTGATGCATTATTCTGCTCACTTTGGAATGGTAGATATAGCAAGGGCACAGTGAGGAATGTAGGAGCTTTTGGGACAATGTCTGACGACGGTGGGGTGGAACACGACATAGTAGATCCAGAATTTGAACGTTCACGTTGTATACGATGTCACTGGCTGTTGGAGCCAGCACATATCGGAAGAATCACCGAAGTGTTGATAAGGGCATCGTGAAACGGATAACTCGGCGTCATCAATGCTCTAGAAAGATGCGTCTTGGCTCACCGTCTTTTGCGAGGCTCTTTAGGTTGGGCAACAATAACCGCAGAGGTCTGGATATCGATATGGGCTACATACGCCCCACCGGTTCAAATCACGATGGGCGTCGAAAATTCTCGACGGTCAAAGTCGGACAGCTTACCGGCGGTGCAGATGCAAATGGCGGGGCTGCGAACAATGCGCCATAGGTTGTATAGCAGACGTGCAGTTCACCGAGCCCTGTGTACCAACAGGATGCCAGGAACGAGGACCCGAGGTTCAAAACAAGACGTCAAAGCATCCACCCTTGTTGCAGCAGATGAAGGGATTGCAGCCAAGAGACACACCGCTTAGTGTCAATCATTCTCATACCCGGTCTATTGATGCAAACGAAGCGGCCAGTTCATCTTTGTTTACCCCCCTTTTTAAAAGTGGCGAGAATCGGAAGAAAGGAGCTGGGGTTCCTTTCTACCCCCACCATACATAGAATATTCGGTTGGCTGCAGGGTCGGGTACTTGAAGCCTCACATGATCGACGTCTATATTACAATGGGAACATGAATCTGTGAGAGTTTATATAAATTATTTTTTTTAAAAGCATTATTATTCCCCGCGCTTTGTTCACAGTCAACCAACAGTTGGGTCGCAATACTCCTTCCGAACAGTCCGAATGGATATCGAGGTCGACACGACTTCGCTGACGGAGCTACGGCGGCAGCGCACTGTCGCGTGATGCAGGGAAGATAACGGGCTTCATTATTATGAGCAACATGAATAACAGTCACCGCTACATCCAAGTCGAACCACGTTGGGCATTTTGGGTTACGAATACCCTCGAAAACCTGCCATCAGTTGATGGTTGGCCCTTGTGGCCAATGGTATCACTGGATGAAATGCATGCATTGCGATCGATGTTTCATGCATGGAAGAATTTGTCAACGCGCTGCTTGTCAGAATCGGGGCTTGTATCGGCCTGTTGTTGCAGTTACTTTTTTTTTAATGATCTTTGATGAATCTTTGTATCGCCAAACTGTTTGCTTGCCCGAGATCAACAATACTACGATCTGGTTACATTTTGTTGCACTGACGGTTTGACAAGGTACAAAAATCCGCTTTAGGCGGCGTGGAAGTCTACCGGTATGACGTTGTTACTATCATTAATGTTTTTTATAACTAATTAATTCAAGGACTTCGTGATCATCGTACATACTACTATATACAAAACCATCTCACCGGCTTGTTTGCCCCTCTCACTCGCGTGGTCTCGAACAATTTTCCTGTACGCCATTAAGAATGGAGTCGATCAACTAGTGCATATCTTTTTCTATACGAGATTCAAATAAATGGTCCCACTTCTTCCCGATCCCTTGGGTCTCATGCAAGTTGCGCCTACTGGGTCGGCACTTTACCGACTTTTCGATAGATTCCATTGCATTTGCCAGATACATTGTAAATAAAAAGTGGCAAAAAATAAATTTGATTATAATGTAATTATGCTCTATTGCCACGTTGTTATATCTTTCTTTTCTGCCTAGGCAGGATTATGTAAAATATTTGTATAATATAAGGGGCAAAGGGGTAAAATGGTGGACATTGTTTTCCCCTGTCGCGATCGACCTCTAACGGCCGATAAATGAATTTCGGAAGTGTCGGTGAATTTGTGACACGCTCAGCTGATTCTTTGGGGTCTTCTCGAAGGTCTCACAAATCAATTACCATTTAAGAAAACTAACAATACATGTTTTAGAGTATATTTTACCTTTGTAGTACCCCATACGGTGTGTATGTACATACCTTTAGTGACAGGACGATCATCGAGGATTTCAATAGCCTCTCTTTTTTATACCGGTTCGGCTCCATCAGTGCCAAAGTGATGGGAGGGACATGCCGTGCTTAAATTTTGGGTTCTGCGAAGTTGGAATTAATATCCCTTTCTTTAGAGCCACTGGGGGATCGCGAGGGTAGACATCATCCGACCCACTATGCTAGATTATGATCGATGGAACATTTTTATGTCGCGCAATAACTAACTAGTCATGTCTATCGAACACACTTCAATCCCGACTAGATGGACAAACTGGGGGTCGATTTTTCCCTCAACGGTTTTCACCTTGTACGGTTGTATACATTTTGGTCTCCGGACAATACAATATGGTTTGACAACGGACGGGACGGCGCCCAATTGGCTTCATACCAGGTTTTTTCTCTTCTTGAGATGTACACCGCATGTCTAGGTGATTGACCCTTCGTACGAAACTTGCTTTAGCTCTATGTATGCTTGAATGCTATTCCGCGATTTTCCACGTTTTGCCTATCTTTGGACCCAATCTGCCAGTTCACCTTCAACGTCGATGTCTGAAAAGTTCAATTTCTCCTGAGAACACCTTACGACTATACTATACAACGTACACTAGGAAAGCGGCTAGCGGTGAGGACCCCGCTACGTGAAGAGTATGACGATATTGAGATTACAATATTTATGGTATACTCCGTATGCTAGTATGGTTTCTGGTTTGACACAGAGAGACACTCTTTTTTTTTCTTTTTCTTTTTCTTTCATTTTGGTCATTTTAATTATATCAATTTAGTTTTCGATTCTCGATCTCACATAGTCCAAAATTTTGTCGATGTATTCTTTTTTTCGTCTTTCTCTCTCTCTCTAGGTTCATACTAGTGCTACAAGTCTCGGGGAGGCGCAGAGTCCAAAGGATGCGAGATCTATCATCTCACTAGGGGACACTAAAACCACACCTCTGGGTAAAAAAAAATAATAAAACGGATCACCCCTGCCTTACGCCATACGGGTGGTAGCAGTTAGCGCCGTTTTGGGGGCTAAGTGTACGCAGTAGAGTAGGCCTAACGCTGTTCCCCGGGGGCCCGGGACTCAGGGCAGTGGGTCTGAATAAATCAAACTAAACAGGATTTAGTATGTATCAGCCTTTACCTTTTTCGCTCGATCTGGGGGGATGGATCAGATCTGTCGAATTAAAATGTACTACAAGTCTAGTAATTTGATTTTGATTTTGATTTTATACTGTGCTAGTGTTACCAGACCAAGAATGATCTGATTTGATTGATAGTTCTGATTCTGGATTTTTATAAGGATTTCGGAAACCAATGTGTTTTCCCCCGAAAAATGGTATCAAATGGTATAAAAATTCATATCCCAAAAATTAAAAATAAATATATACTACAAGTAAATCAGAATCATGATGTATTCCTTCTTGCCCATTGGTTCTCTCTCCCCCTTTCCTTACCTCCGGGGTACTTCTTCCGTTCCCGCCTCTTTTTTCTTCTTCTCACGGAACATGTCAAATCTCTATGAATGGTCAGATCCATAAAGTTCCCCGATCCATAAATAATAAAACCCTTTTAATATAATATAAAATATATGATATTATATGTTATTATAATATAATATAATATTTTGATATGTATATGTTTTTATTAAATTCAAATAAATAAAGGGAAAAAAAATCACATTGACCCACTTCGTTCGTCTTTATCCTGATTCAATGTTTGCTGGCAACCGCATCCTGTACAGCTGTAACCGAAATCTCTATCCATGGATGTGTGGTGATGAACCGTTGACGTTTTAGTTCTTTGGCGCCTGATCATGTCTATAGACCTATCCACTGTCAACTTCATTAGTATAATAGCTTCCCCTTTCCCACTTCATTGTCTTCTTCTTTTTCTTGGAATGACCCTCTCCCTTCCATCCAATTGAGCCTCTAAACTTGGACATCTTGATTCCCCTTTCCAATCTCCATATACCTTATTAGGATTCTTCATAGATCCCTTTCTTCATTCTTGAACTCCTAGCCACAGTCAAGCCCCAACTCGATCTCGTGATATTGTTCCTCCTATAACTTTTCGAAGGTGTCAACTCTCTCTCCCTTGCAGGTGTCTCATAGTCTCTTGAGAACCCGAAGATTTACCTTATCGATACCGATTTTCCAAAGGGGGAGCAATGCTGAAGCCCTAAAACCAAAAGACGGTCCTCCTTGCTCCAATTGCACCAATCTCATATATCAACCATTACATTCTCTCCCTTACAACTTAAGATCCACTCTGGGAAAATCAAGGAGACAAAAGCACCTTTTTTCTGGTACTTTGTTTTCGATTTTGGACCTGTCATTCAACCTATTTTTTTTTAAGGGAAGCGAAGTGTATTCGAAGGCTCTGCGAAATTCTTATTTATTGCATATTTCGACCTTCGATATCTCATCACAATGTTCCAACGACCAGCCTGTCTACAGGGCCGGCGCTCGAACAAAGATATTGAAGATGACTCGTCTACATTTCCAATCCGGCAGTTGTTCGTCTTAGGTAAGTGGTACTTTTGCAATGCGAACTATGAAATCTCCCCCCTCAAACACATAGTTATGCCAGCACGCGGTCCAACATCTATAACCGAAGCTTATTGATTGCTGACGATGTCGTGCAGCACTCGTCCGGATCTGTGAACCGATTGCTTTTATGTCAATTTTCCCATATGTATATCGCATGGTCGAATCATTCCATGTGACGGACAACGACCGCCAGATTGCGATGTACGCTGGAATGATCACATCCGCATTCACCTTCGCTGAATTTTCAGCGGGTATGTTCTGGGGGCGTATGAGTGATCGGATTGGCCGTAAACCAGTGCTCATCATGGGCTTGGTGGGCACGGCCGTCAGCATGGTAGTCTTCGGATTTGCGCCCAACCTGGCCACGGCTATGATTGCACGCGCGCTAGGCGGCTTATTAAACGGCAATATCGGGGTTCTTCAGACGACGGTTGCGGAGATCGTCACGAAGAAAGAGCACCAACCGCGAGCTTATTCGATCATGCCGTTTGTCTGGTGTCTCGGATCGATTATTGGACCGGCTATGGGCGGCGCTTTGTCCCAACCCTGCGACAACTACCCGGTCCTCTTCTCGCGCAACACCCTGTGGGACAAATTCCCGTTCCTGCTGCCCAACTTGGTTTGCGTCACTGTTCTAATTTGTGGAATCGTGGTCGGTTGCCTGTTTTTGGAAGAAACGCACCCCGAGAAGAAGCACCGCCGTGACCGCGGCGTCGAGCTCGGCCAGTGGTTGGTCAACATATGTTGGGGTTCGCGCGTGCAGCTTCCTGATGGTTCCGATATGATTGAGAAGAAATACTTCGATGATGCGCCTGGATACGGAAGTGTCGAATCATCACCTTGCTTGCGCCCCAGTGACGCTTCTCCGGCTGATTGCGACTTGGAGGGGCAGAAGAGCCGTGCGCCCAAGGCATTTACCCGAAAAGTCATCTTGGCTATTATTGCCTACGGGATCCTTGCATAGTGAGTTGGCACAGCACCCTTCTATCCGATACGTCTGAACGAGTTACTGACATACATTTTTCTGTTGCAGCCACAGCGTATCATTTGATCAGCTGATGCCTGTTTTCCTGAGCACTCCCATATCCGATGACGCCGTATCGTTGCCCTTCAAGTTTACCGGCGGTCTCGGAATGGCCACGAAGACCATCGGGTTTATGCTCGCTGTTCAAGGCGTGTACTCGATGATTGCCCAACTGTGGTTTTTCCCATTTGTCGTCAAGAACTTCGGCACTATTCGCTGCTTCCGCTTCGTCTTACTTGCCTGGCCCCCTCTCTACATGGCTGTGCCTTACCTCGTTCTCCTTCCGGCCAAGTTTCAAATGCTTTCTGTCTATGTGTCCCTCATCAGCAAGATTACCTTCCACGTCATCGCTTTCCCATCCATCAACATCCTTCTCGCAAATTACGCCCCATCCACCAAAGTGCTGGGCCGCATTAACGGCGCTGCCGCCTCAACCGCTAGTCTTAGCCGTGCCTTTGGTCCCACCATCACTGGTATGCTCCACTCTCAGGGTCTCGAGAGTGGCTTTTCCGTGCTCGCCTGGTGGGCATGCGGCCTTGTCTGCTTCATCGGCGCCATCCAAAGTTTCTGGCTGGAGGAGGAGTCATCCGAGCCAGAGCGTTTCAAGACCAATCAGCCTGAGTTCGAGGAAGAACAGCGACTGCTTTCTTTGCGCTCTAGTCTCGACACTGATTTCGACCCCTCGCTACTCGACCTGAAGGCTCTCGACGAAGTCACACACGATACCAAGGTTTAAACAACCGAAATTTGCATTTTTTGCAGCATCTTCCTACTTTCTCTCTGGCCTTCTGGAAAGGCATTTATTTCTATTCTCATGATACCTCATCTTCTTCTTTTCTTATGATTTTTATTCTTTGGAGACCAGGGAGTGGCGCATTATATAGATGGTTTATTGCATATGCCAAGGCATAAAATTGGGTCTCTTTTTAGTTTCATTTTGGAGCATCGACAGGTTATATCATGATCATACTCATATGCATCAATCAGGAGGCTATTCGTGTTTTTGTTGTTCAGTTCATTTATGACGCAAGCATTCTATCTTTGTTAGAGTATGTTGTTACGATTCGCTCAATGTTAACGACTGTCTTCATCTCTACAATCTTCTCTTGTAACTATATCCTAGACCACTCCATATGCATGTTTCACTCATGACAGTGGACCTGCATATTCATGGTTTCCGACGGGTGTCCGGCCATTTTTGAAATTATTTCAAATCCAAATCAAAATCAGATGACATTTGCAGCATGTTATATAGTCTCTTCATGTTCCCCCTCAAGACACCTGTCATATGTCTCTTCTGACGGCGGGGAGTGGGGGGTGTGGTCCACAAATCTCCAGATCCCAAGCCCTTGAAATCAAAGAACAAAAGTCCTAAAGGATCGCTGTAGCCTTCCCGTTCGGCACTTTTTAATTTTTTTTTCAAAAGTCTGGGGAACCGAGTGAACCGAGATGCTCGTTCCCGAGGGCAACTTAAATTCCGAGCTGGGGAGGCACTCCACCAGAAACCCTCGATACTTCTCCTTTTCCCCATATTCTTCGATCTTTCGCATTCATTCGTTTACGTTTAGTTTTACAGACATTTAGTGCCACAGTCCAATCACGGAGGATAATCTTTTTCCGGTTTTGCGGAATTTACGCGGAGAGGGAGATTGGGGCTCCCACGTTTCCGCTGCGGGCCTTTTTCCACTCCATTCAATTCGAACCTCTCGAAGTACCGAAAAAAAAAAAACACCTGCCGAGAACAACCCAAAATCCACTGTGATCTTATCATGACTGTTGATCTGGTCTGTGGAGTCAAGACGCAGTTCCCGACAATCTCCGTCTCCGCACAGAAATGATCGCGAGTTTGCGGTACTCGTCACTTGGTCCTAATAATGCCTAACCCCCCTTCGCCGCCCACCCCGGTCTCTTCAGGAAAGAAGAGACCACATCCTCCGAATGATCCTCCGACTCAAACCGACACCGCGCATTCATCGCGGGATGCACCAAATCCTTCAGCGGGTGTGCCCTCTGCCTCGCCCGCTCGCTCAACCGCCACCGTCTCGTCCACCGCATCCTCCTCATTTCGCAATGTTTCCGCGTGCAATCGATGCCGACTACGCAAGAATCGCTGTGACCAGCGCCTACCGCGCTGCCAGTCTTGCGAAAAGGCCGGTGTGCGCTGCGTCGGATACGACCCCATCACGAAGCGGGAGATTCCCCGCAGCTACGTCTATTTTTTGGAAACTCGTGTAGCACATCTTGAAAAGCAATTGGCGGACAACAATATTGAGTTTAAGAAGGTCGTGGCTTTCGATGAGGAAGAGGCTATCAAAGTTGAGACTGATGGGGACACCGCGCAAGCCCAAACCGGCTCGGATGGACAGGTCGGAGAACGTTCTGTAGCGGAAAAAGTACGGGGGAAGAATACCTCAAAAGAAGAACTTGGCCAGTCTGATCAAAGGGAAGGAGAGCTTGTTCGCGATGCAGAGGGCGACCCCACGAACGAGGATAATTGGCGCCTACATAATTTGGTTTCGAATATTGGCATGGTCTCTGTGCAGGGTACCTCCGATCCACGATATCTCGGTTCGACATCGGGCATCTCATTCGCCCGGGTTGTTTTTGCTGCGGTGAGGAGTTCGCTCCCTGGCAATATGCCGGAGCGTGCTTCGGTCCGCACGAGCGATCGTTTGCCGCAAAGTGCTGCTGGTACCTCTGGAGGAGGAAGCAGTATGCGCGATTCTTTCTTCGGCCTGCAAACAAGACCGATGATGAAGCGCGCGGGGTTCCCGGATCGAGAGCTCGCAGAGCGACTGGTCGATCTCTATTTCGAACATGCGAATCCTCAGATGCCGATCCTCCATCGGGGAGATTTCATGGAATTGTTGGATCGCACATATTCACTAGAAGAAAAGAACCGTTCTCCGCGTGCGCTCTACGTGCTTAATATCGTGTGCGCTATCGGCGCTGGAATTATTTTTGAGGATAAGCCTCAAAGCTCAGATGAGGAGAACCGCGGTGATCGTGACCAGTCCTCGTCTGGGGCGAAGAGGCCGAGACTCTCGAGCCATCAATATCAACCAGAAGAATACCACGCTTCGGCGATCATTCATCTGGAATCGTTCCTCGGCTCATCTTCTAGTGAAGGCTTTGGTGGGTTGGAAGAGCTGCAGGCAGTGCTTCTTCTGGCCAGTTTTGCCCTACTGCGACCTGTTGCACCGGGTCTTTGGTATATTGTTGGCGTTGCCATGCGCTTAGCAGTCGATCTCGGACTTCATTACGAAGACGGCGTGGGCATTGACTCCGCAACGAAAGATGGAAATCAAGCACAGTCGCGGATCGATGCTCGCGAACGAGGACGTCGCGAATGGGTGCGCGATTTGCGCCGCCGCCTGTGGTGGTGTGTCTACAGCTTTGATCGGCTGGTTGCTACCTGTGTTGGACGACCATTTGGTATCAGTGACCAGGCCATCAGCACTGAATTCCCGTCCATGATGGACGATAAATACATTACCAAATCCGGTCTACTCACACCTTCAGACGGAGCGCCTACCTATAAGCATGTCGCATTCCATTATTTCAAACTACGCCTCCTTCAATCGGAAATTCACGATGTCCTACAATATCAACAGGTTCGCGCTGTGCGGAGAAGAGCTTCCGGTGTAGCAATTCTCCCACATACTGAGCTCTCCTCCTCTTTCCTGCAGGGATTTGACTCATTCCGCTCATGGCGCCATGATGTGCACCGCCGATTGGTTGAGTGGCAAGAGACTGCACCGACACGCCCAGAAACAGGCGTGAGGTTTTCCATCGAACTACTCGAGTTGAATTACTGGCAAGCTATCATCCTGCTATACCAGCAGAGCTTGACAGTCCCCGCAGAGCTAGCTGGGGAGCTAACCCCTGCAGATGATGTCTCGAGTCCTTCTTTCTCAAATTTCGACGAGGGCGATGAAGAGGACCACGTCTATCTGAACGTCGCCGAGGCTGGCCAGAAAGTGATTCGAATTTATCGCCAGTTGCACAGAGTGCGCTTGGTGAACTATACTTATCTTGCAACGCATCATATCTTCATGGCTGGTATGTGTTGTGTCTATGTAGTATTTGATTTATTGCTAACACTCTCTAGGAATCTCTTTCTTATATGCTATTTGGCATTCGCCTTTGGTTAGAAGCCGTTTAGTGCGTATTATCGGATCTGGACCCTTCATGATCGAACTTGCTAATATCTCCATCTCTATTAGACTCTCGACGAAGTAGACTTCACAGTACTCGCCGCAACTTCGGTTCTGGGTGATCTGATGCACAAATGCCCGCCTGCCGAAGCCTGTCGCGATGCATTTGAGCGCATGAGCAAGGCTACTGTCCAAATGTGTCTTTCCACCACCGGCTTTGGGTCGCAGGTCGATATGAGCCGGATCCACGCTACATCACAGGCCGGTAACCAATTCTACCCAGGTCGGGCGCGACAGCCCATCAACCAGCAGCCCCGCGCAGGCCAAAGTCAGGCTCGTCGGGCACCTCAGACACGCTCATCTCGCCCAGTCCCAAAGTTCGATATGAACCTGGCTGATCTTTTCACTGACAACACTCCCCTGGCTGACCGTTCTCGACCCGAGAATAGAGCCGGAGGGCAATCCTACCCTCAGCCGGAATCAATGGCTCGCAATTTCCCAACTGATCAGTCCCGATCATATGGACAGCACAATCCATCTATGGAGTACTATCCCAAGTACGATAATGCGGGTTCCCCGCAGCCTCAGCCGCAATTCTACTACTCCAACTCGCCGCAACAAAGTGGCTCTCCTGGCAGTAATGCTCATGGCTTAGCACCTACCGATACAGAAGCGCCGCCAGGAATGAGTCTGGATTTCTTGGATTTCGGATCTGGCGATGCAGAAAGCCAGAATAATATGGAAGGCGAAGCAAATCCGGATTACAACATGATGCCTGCACCATCTTTAGGTCCCAATCTGGGCCAAAACGTTGGTATTGATCTTGGCTTTGGGATGGCAATGGACTTCCAGCATGACTGGAGTGAGAATCCCAACTACGATCTTTTAGAGGGTTATTTCTTTGGTGGCTCGGGGGCTGGCGCTCCTGGAGGGGATCCTTAGGCGTTTTTTTGTCTCTTGGCTGTCTTTCGGCCGTCCCTTCCTAGTTTGCGCCGTTCTTTTTCTTTTTCATTCACCCTTGTCGTCACATGCCTCCTTCTATATATTGAGAGAGCAAGGAAAAAAAAGATATCATTTCGCAAGGGGTTGTGTATAATTTGGCTTGTGAATCTTTCTATTGGATACCAACTACAACATATATATATATATATATTTATATAACTATATGGATACCGATACACAAACATCTAAAATTAAATAATTGAAGATGAGCTAAATGTCTAGTAATATATATAGCTCAGTATGTAAAATCTAGCCCTTGAGTAGTTGCGAGGTGGCTTGCCTTGGGCAGCAACGGAGGATTCGGCCAAAACAAACACTTGCCGCCTTTTTTTTCTCTCTAACGGCCAACACACCAACCTTCAATGCCCAAGTGATCGCGGCTCTTACCGCAAATAGAAAGCAACCAGTGCTATTCTAGATCTGCGCTTGGACCTGACTGCCTGATCTCGACATCAGGTGCCCACTCCGATCTCCAATTTTCGATCACCTCTGTCTGCCCTGTCCCCCCGCCTCGCAAGTTTCACTCAGAATATGTGTATTCACAATCAAGTCCAACCCCAGAACACTTTCTTTTTCAAGTCCGAGCTTTGATTAGCGCTTTCGGAGACGCTGCGACCCACCGAAACCACGAAGCACACACAAGGAGGCTCTGCCATTTCTGGTCCAGCACCCAGTCTTGACTTTTCTTTTCGGCTACATACTGCGAGGGAGTTGCGGATTCTCTGGGACGGTGAAATATAGCATTTGACATAATCTGCTTGCTTAGACCGGTTCAAAAGGCTCTACTTTTGTGCAGCGTGCTTTTGATCATACTCTTAGGTGGACTTTCTATCGCTGGATATGCGTCGAACCGCCAATTGTCTACTTGAAATCCGATAATGCGAATTTGGCTCAAAAAGTCCGCATAAGCTTTCGGGAACCGCAAGATCAAAATGGTCAAATCAGACGTACGAAGTGATTATTATGCGGACCTGGGGCTCTCACCCAGCGCAGATGCCGAGGATATTAAAAGACAATTCAGGAAACTGGGTGAGCTCTAAATAAACCTAAGACTGAAAGACCGAAGACATCACTAACCAGTGAAAAAGCACTTTTGTACCACCCGGACAGAAACCCAGGAAGAGAAGCCGAGTTCAACGCCAAATTCCAGGCCATCCAGGCTGCCAACGAAATCCTCAGTGACCCTAAAGAGCGGATTAAGTACGACACCGAACGTTTGCGCGCAGGATACGGCAAGAATTATGTACCATCCAGAGCGAATACCCAGCGCAAATCACAACCACCCAGTTATCCGCCTCGCCCTGCAGCTACTCCCACACCATCGGCCAAACCACAATATGCGAAAACACCACCGAATGGACCGTCAGCTGGTGCACGACGATACGCATCCCATGCGCGTGCCGGTCCACAGCAGTGGAAGTCCCAGGACACTGCGGAAACAAGGGCCGATGCTTACGCGGCATTTGCCAATATGAGAGGAGGAAATAAGTCTGGATGGCAGGGCTTTGATCCTGCAACTGGTCGTGCTTCAGCTAGCACACCAGGTCCTGGGGCCCAACGTCACCCTTTTGGAGCTTCTGCGCAGTCCACTCGGCCGAAATCCGCCTTTGAGGCTTTCCAAAACGCCCATACTAATGCGCAGGCTCACAGCACTAGGAAAAAGCAGGGCTTTGCGCCAGGCGCTGCTGGAGGTGATGAGCCCATGGCCCGCAATACTTCCGCCTATAGCAGTAGCAGTCGAACCGAACGACCAAGCAGCCAATACTTTGAGCCTGCTCCGCCGCCAACGGCCAAGAAACCCGCAGAGCCTGAGCTGTCTTCTAAGCAACATCAATTTACCCCAGAGTTTGAACGATCCAGCAGGATATACGCTCAAGCGGGCAGGGGTGAGAAAACCTTCGTTTCAGGCAGTGGATTAGGTCGCTCCCAGACTTTGCGAACCCCATCAGGGTCGACTCGTCCAAATGTGAATGCCAATACATCCAGTCCTGCGTCAGGCCGATCTGGAAGACACCGTAGCGCCAGCCCCAAGGCGAGACGGAACCCCACCAACTATGACTCCACTAGCTCGAGTGAATCGGAGGAGGATATGCCCAAACCAAAGGCCGTGCCGAAGAGTCGACTGCGGCCAGAACAAAAGTTTGCAGACTTCCATCGCCAGCATACACAAGGACCCAGAAACGGTGAGGACCTCCTCTTTTCCTACAGACTTAAACATGGGATACCAGGCATCCCAGACTTCGTTTTCGACCTGCCAGTCTTTCCAGATTACCTACTACCACTACCCCATCCTCCCTGCGGATTTTATCCGATACCACAGGTTTCTTCCCACTTTGAAACCCAATATACTGACTGCAACGACCCTAAAGGACATACCTCGGATAGCGCAGCTTTCCCAAAAAGCTCGTTTCGGCCGGACCAGGCCGATTCTTCAGGCTCCTCCTCTTCTCTTAAGTATGCATGGCTCAACCCCATTGGGGTTTGTTACCCCAGCTGACAGATTAATCTAGTGTTGAGCATGGGATCAATACACGGCGACCTCAGCCTACTCCATTCGGTCGTAGCAGCACAAGTGACTTGCATAAAAAGTTTTCTGCGGATGATTGGCGCGATCATTTAAGTCAGTTCGATTTCATGGGCTCTGTTTCGCCGGCCAAGGATTCACTTCCAAAATCGCCCGCTTCACAAACCCGAGCACGAGCAGCCCAGCGAAACGGAGCTGGGTCCCCAATCTCGAATCCCTTCGGTCCTACACCATTATATCAAACTTCCGACTCCGCCAAAACCCAACAACAACCTACTCCCTTTGCGCAAGCCAAGTTCTCTGCAGATTCGTGGTCCGAGCAACTTCGAAATCTCTCCTGGACAGCTCCCGAGGCAGATAAAACTCGGCAAGCAACGAATTCGGTGCCACCCCGGAGTCCTAAGAAACAGCCCAGGGCTGGCACCAAAGTACGGGGGGCGCCGCAGCCTGCAAGTGTTGCCACCGAAGCGGATGAGGCCAATGCGACACTTGATGAGCAGAACCCTCTTGGGCCACCACCGCGAGCAGACGCAGCGCCGGATGTTGACGTTGAGGAGATGGATCTCGACGAAGACCTCTCTACTCCGCCAGGCGGACCACCTGTCCCAGGCAAAGTCTCACTTGACAGATCAGGCAGTGGCAGCTATCCTGATTTGGCTTCTCAAGCTGCGCCGGAATCCCCAGCCAAGAAGCCCAGACATCCTCCTCGAACCGAAAACAGCACACCAAACTCACCATCTAGACCCGCTCTTTTTAACCTAGACAACCTCCGCAATGCCGCTCCGTTTGCCAATACAACCGGTGGAGGCATCGAGAACCTTGAGGATTTCCGCACAACTCTCCCATTCGACTCCCAAGCCAAGCAACAAACAACCACAAAACGCGACATTCGACCACGAGAACTCCAACTCCCGAATCCCCCCAAACGCCCCATGGCCCCCGATCCCATTTTATTCCCAGGTTCCTCCAAGCCCGTCCTGCCTCGCGACAAATGGAACTGGTACGTCTCCGCAATGGGGGCATACATGCACGAATGGAACTTATTCAACCGTCGCATGCTCACGCACTTCAACGCACGTCAACACGCGAATGAGACCGGTCTCGCGCCAGGCTGGATCAGTGCCGTTGGTGACTCAACGCGTTTGAGAATAGGCCCCGACGATGAAAGCAACGGCACTGACGGCAAGACGAAGATCCGCGAGGATAGTGATGACATCGACGAGTTTCTTATTCCTGATTCGAATAAGGGCGGCTTCAGTGCCTACCTTCGTGGCGTTGAGGAGGATATCCAAGTGCGGAAGCATTGGGATGTTGCTTCCGAGTTGCACCGTGAATGTATTCTTGAGCTTGGAAAATTAAGAGAGTGGATTCGAAATGGAGGGAAAGTCGCCTAGGCTCACCCTCTTCGTCTTAATGCATTAATCATGTCGGCCTGCTGTTGTTAAGACTTCATGGTGCAATGGGTACCGCGAAGAAGAGCAGTGATGGTTCGGTGCGGCTGATTTACTTGGGTTGGCGTTTCGTAGGGCTTCATATCCAGCTTCATATGAAGTAGCAGGATCTGACCTCTCTTTTACTCGAGGGTTTTAGATTCACTCACTTCTAACGCTGTTGTTGTTCTCTGATTTTTCTTTTGTTTGGGATGCATAATTGACTTGGTGTTTTTGTGAATACCCGGGGTTTTGATCACATTTCCATAGATACATCTCATGTTGTATACCAGAATATTATCGTCACTGGGCTTTTGGAAGTTATTTCATGTTAGATTTGAATTGCAGGATCTGTGTAAGAGAACCATTCATCTCGGCCTTGATATTTTCTTTTTGCTTTCTTCAATTGTTCTTGTCAATTTCCTTAGAATTAGCAAGCCCTTTGATACCCTAGACCGGCAAAAAGATCCTGCATATAGCCAATATAATCTAGTAGTTGATTTCATTGTAAATTTTACAACTTGCCTTGCCTTTCATATGACTCTAATCTCATCAAACTATCAGAACAGAAATCTTGCCCTAACCCTGGCCACCTAAGGTGTCAAGCCCAAAGTCTCAGGCGACAAGGCCGTCAGGCTACAAGGCTATAAGGCTGCAAGGCTGCAAGGCCAACTAGCCCCGCGCACCCCGCCGAATCCGTGACAGCACGGGGAGGGAATCGCTGTGACTCACTGAATGAAAATATAGCTCAAGCTGTTAATCTTGGTTCGACTGTATTTATTCAACCAGAATCCCATCATCAATTGTAATTCCTGCACTTTTGCGTGGTTATTCGCCCCGGAAAATTCACACCGGCAAACCTGATCTTGGCCCCGCTATCGGCTCCAGACATATTCCTTTTTGCACTCGAACATACCCCACCATCCAAAGCAATTGATCACGGCCAAATACCGAACTTGACTCTTGTAATCAAGAAGACTATCTTGTCAAGTGTACAATCATGGTTTCCATCGTTTTAGGCAGTCAATGGGGAGATGAAGGTTGGGGAACAAGACCCGGGGACGTCGGACACCGCCGCTGACCATGAACAGGCAAGGGAAAGATCACAGACATGCTGTCGCAGCAGGCGACTCTCTGCTGTCGTGCAGCTGGTGGACACAGTATGTTATACCCACCCTGCATCCCCTTCGCACCCGAGTTTTGAACTGGGCCATATGTTCAAGAGTTGTGACTGACCAACCCGTTTTTTTTAATTGGATACAGATGCCGGCCACACCATTGTCCACGAGAACGTCACCTACGACTTTCACATTCTGCCCTCCGGTCTGGTTTCCCCCAAATGCATCAACCTCATCGGTGCCGGTACCGTTTTCCACGTCCCCAGCTTCTTCAAGGAGCTGGCCGCTATTGAGTCCAAGGGCCTGAAGGGCGCTGCCCAGCGCATCTTCGTCTCTGACCGTGCGCACGTCTGCTTCGACCTCCATTCCGTTGTTGATGGTCTTGAGGAGCAGGGTCTCGGTGGCCGCAAGGTCGGTACCACCGGCAAGGGTATCGGTCCCTGCTACAGTGACAAGGCCGCGCGCCGTGGTGTGCGTGTCGGTGAGATCTTGGATGAGGTCACTTTCGAGCGCAAGCTGCGTGCTCTTGATATCGCTTACCGTAAGCGTTACGGAGAGCTCGCATATGATGTTGAGGAGGAGATTGCCCGGTTCAAGGTATGCATGACTCAGGGAAATCCATGTTGGATTTACAAAAACAAACTGCCCATGGCACAGCATTCAAAATGGGGTCCCTAATGTTTTGTTACCTCGAAACACATGACTAACACGTCCACCAGGAATACCGCAACCTCCTGAAGCCCCACATCGTCGACCAGCTCGAGTTCCTGCAGGAGCACAAGGACTCTCCCAACACATTGGTTGAGGGCGCCAACGCCCTGATGCTCGACTTGGACCACGGCACATACCCCTTCGTGACTTCATCATCAACAGGTCTTGGTGGAGCCGTGCAAGCGCTCGCTTTGAACCCCACAAGCATCAAGTCCGTCATCGGAGTTGTGAAGGCGTACACGACGCGCGTGGGCTCCGGCCCCTTCCCCAGCGAGCAGCTCAACGCCGAGGGCGATAAGCTGCAGCAGGTTGGTCGTGAGTTCGGTGTTACCACCGGTCGTCGCCGCCGCTGTGGATGGTTGGACCTTGTGCTGTGCCGCTACTCCCACGCCATCAACCACTACACTGCTCTCAACTTGACCAAGCTTGATGTTTTGGATGACTTTGACGAGATCAAGGTTGGCGTTGCTTACATTTTGCCCGATGGAAAGCGTACCACTGGTACTTTCCCTGCTGATCCTAACGTCGTGGAGAAGATCCAGGTCGAGTATGTTACTCTGCCCGGCTGGAAGTCCAACACGATGGGTGCTAAGCGTTATGAGGATCTGCCTCCTAACGCTAAGGCTTACATTGAGTTCATTGAGCGTGAGATCGGTGGTGTCCCTGTTAAGTGGATCGGTACTGGACCTGCTAGAGAAGACATGATCGCCCGCGACTAAGCGCATGTCTACTAATTGGTTTTCTTGTTTTCGTTCGGTTTATCGGTCTCACGAGTAAGTGACTGTTTCTTCGTTCATATTGCGATATACTTGAGGTATGTGATATAAGGTTCTCTTTCTGTCCCATATGCACGATTTAGATGTCTCGAAAATGGATTTGGTTAGAGGCAATAGTTACTCAACTGTTTTCTGTTTTATGGGCTGAATAGTATAAATATAGATGTGTGCGTCAAAGTCGGATTAACATTGAATTCTGGATAAAATAAAGGCAGATGACTGAATATAATATTGTACATGGAATCAAAAATGCGTCAGAACTTCATGCCCAAACAATAATCCCGCAGAACAGTCGCATAGTACAAGAGAAGGAGGAGAGAAGTCTAGATTAAAAACACAAAGCACCCGGGGACATAGAGTACATGCCAAAAAAGATGGGAAAACGCCGGCCTATGCGAGAACCGTTGGTTCTTTTTTCAATCCAGAAGAATCTGGACCCATGGAGGGAAAGCGCTGACCTCCACATGAGCACAAAAGAACATGCGGTTGCCAAAATGTCTGAAAAGAGTTGGGCTCTAATTCAGCCCATTTAGAAACGGAAGGAGGAGCCGCCTTCGTCATCGCCGAAGTCACGACGGCCGCGCGAAGGGGAGAAGCCATCGAGAGCACGACGGGGGGCACGGTCACCACGAGAGTAGCCGCCGCGGTCGCCACGGTCACCTCCACGAGAGAAGCCGCCGCGGTCGCCGCGGTCACCTCCGCGAGAGAAGCCACCGCGGTCACCACGGTCACCACGGCGAGAGTAGCCACCACGGTCACCGCCACGAGAGAAGCCACCACGGTCACCTCCCTCACGGGGGCTCTCATGCCAGACCCCGTATTGACGCCGGTCATACCCCTGAGACCCATGAGCTGAGCCACCCTGGGGTTGATCTCAGGGGGAGTGCTCAATCCATAACCGTTGAAGGACATGTTGTTCAGTGCCTGGATAGCCTCTGCCTTGTCTCTGAAGTTGGTGGTAGTGGTGCCGAGTTGGCCCATGTATGACTGGATCTTGACAAGAGGGGGAATTTCGACGAAGGCTGCCTTCAGCTGGTTCACGGTCTCGCCAGCGATGGTGCTGTTAGGGAGTTCCTGCGACATATCGGCGCTGGCAGTGGACAGGGAGGTAGAATCGATTCCGATGGGAAGACGACCGAGGCGCCTGCGAAGGGCATCCTGTTCACCCTTGTGAATCAGGAGCCAGCCCTCACCCTCCTTGCCGGCACGCGCTGTGCGGCCGAGACGGTGAATGTAGGTCTCGCGGTCACGAGGGACACCCACTTGGATTACGTGGGTGACATCAGGGAAATCCATACCACGGGCAGTCACATCGGAAGAGAATAGAATACCCTCGCGAGCTCTGCGGAAATTGTCTGCACTGCGAGTGCGGACAGCCTGGGTAAGACGAGAGTTGATTTCAAGCATGGTCATGTTACTGAGGGAGGACTGGCGGAATTCACGACTGCGACGGATGTTGTTGAAAACATCAGCGGAGATCTTAGTCTCGGCAGTGGAGTTGAAATAGACAATAGCCTTGAAAGGACGCAGCTCCTCGCCGTTGTCCCGGCGTGCTTGGTGGTTCTTGGCGAGCTCCAGAACGGCAGGTAGTCCGTTCTCGAGGCCGTTCAGGTATACAAGCTTTTGGGGCACCCGTTCGTGTGTGGGGACCTCATCTTCGCGCACGGTATTGACATGCTTGAAATCAGGCTTCAGGGTCTGGCGAACCATCTGCATGACTTCTCTGGGGACAGTGGCTGAGAACATGAGCGTCTGGCGGTCCACTTCAGTGGGCTTAGGGAGCATTGTCTGGATCTCATCGATGTCTGCAGAGAATCCTTGGTCCAAAAGGCGATCTGCCTCATCGAGGATCAGAGTGTTCAACTTAGGAGCAGAAACACCAGTCCAAGGGTCTGAGAGGATGTCCTTGAGACGTCCAGGGGTACCGATGAGTAGGTGGCAGCCCTCATTTTGAATCTTAGTCAGGCCGAGGCGCTTCTGGGTGCCACCAACAGCGGTTTGCACGATAAGACCGGTGCCAAAGGCGACCTTTCTAGCCTCGACTGCGATTTGTTCCGCGAGCTCGCGGGTAGGAGAGATAATAAGGGCGCGGATTTCTGAAGCGGCAGTTCTGGGACGGCGGCGACCGGTTTGGCGCACATCAACGGTCGGGTCATTCAGAATATTTTGAAGAGTAGGAAGAAGGAAGGCAAGTGTCTTTCCGGTTCCTGTTTTGGCCTGGGCGAGGCTGAAAAGAATTTCGTTAGTGAATGAACTCATCTCAATGTCTAATCGATAGAAACTTACACATCATCGCCCTTGACAATCTCACTGAGAGTGAGCGATTGTACCTCAGTCATGGTTTTGAGGTTCATTCGATCCGCTTGAACAATGTTCTTGATGATAGACTTGTCAATGAGTCCATTCGATAACAAGTCAGCGAACTCTGTGAATCTCTCAGGCTTGGAGATCTCGGCATCCTCAACAGGTGCCTCTGCAGTAGCAGCAGATAGTCTGGGGAAGGAGGAATGCAGCGATCTGGTTGCAGAAAGAGATGAGAGAGTTGAAGGAGCTTGCCATTTCGGCAGTTGAGAAGCAAATCGTGCTGAGATTGAGCGAGGCGCTGATGCGCGCAGCGCATTAGTGATGCCGAATCGGCGAATTGTACCAAGCATTATTGAATAATGCTGATGGGTAAAAATGGATAGGGGGATGAAAAAAGTTGTAAAACGCAATTGGGGCGTTCTAGGAGAGCGCAAAAATAATCACAATCACATGACCCTTATCAATAGATAAGGAGATTCTGTTGGCCTGCAAACCCAGGCCGCGAGTATCTTGTTGGTTCACTAACTAATAGGATCTATGTATAGTTACATTCTAATTATTTTCCTACGTAGATTGCTTGAACTGGACTTGGACTTTTTTCTTGCTGATGAAAGTCTCTTCTCATCTACTAGTTTCGGCAACAATATGAAATTCTTAAAGCTCTGTTTGTAACTACATAAGTGACCCGTCTCTTCGCGGTAGGGGCAAACAGCTCAGCAAACATATCAAACTATTCAAACGCCACAAACTGTTTCATTAGATAATCAGCCAGTCAGAGCAAACAAGTCCAAAATTCAAACTAGATCATATACAAACAGGTCTTGAGACTTGATGGAGATTATGGTTTATCTTGCATTCAATAGTAGAAATATTAAAAAATGGTATCAATCTATCGTATTCCCCGTGTACCGAGATCAAAGTAGCAAATTACCAAGGCGTAAAGCTCATTATAATGTATGAGAGATAGTCTTGCCAATTGTTATTCTAAATTCCTGTCCAGCTTCCAACTAGATAACAAGCTCACTTCCTGGATTTACTGTACTATGTACATACACATAGTGTGTAGCCATAACTGCAATATGTACGTATGATGTATGTATAATATAGATCTTGATACTGGAGCCAGAAAATCAACTTGCCGTAGCAACGTATAAAACAGTGCAAACATGCCAAACAGCCCGGCCTTTTTTATCAAAATGAAATGATACTCCAAGCCCGGGTTCCAGCTGGGCATGGCCCAAGATAAGTTGAGCATGGCCCAAAAAATGCTGACTAATTTTTGGGCCATGGTCAGCTTATCTTAGGCCATGGTCAGCTGTATGCCCCTGCAAGCCACCTGAGCGATATTGAGAAAGTCAGCATTAGAAATAGAACAATTCGCTGACCAACCAAAACCCTTGCGAAAAGTTTTGGGAGCCTACGAAGTGACATATACGGCTTGTACCAAACCCTGCATAAACGCGGAGATAGGAAGATCCTGCACATATAAAACCTCCCGTCCCTCCCCAAACAAACCAACTCTTCTAAGGTTCTCCACCCATCTCCACATCATGGCACCTATCAATATAGTGGTCATTGGCGGCTCCTTTGCAGGTCTTCATATTGCACACTCGGTGCTTCGTGATGTGCCCGATGCGAAGGTGACGTTGATTAACCCCTCAACCAGTTTCTTTTGGAATATCGCTGCCCCACGCATCGTCGCCAAGCCGACTGCATTCCGCCCCGAGCAGTATTTGCTCCCTATCAAGGACGCATTTGCAAGCTACCGCGCCGACGCCTTCGAGTTCCTTCCTGGAACTGCTACCGCCATCGAAACTACTGCCAAGACAGTCACCGTCAAGCCCAATGAGGGTGAAGCCAAGACCCTATCATATGACTACCTCGTGATCGCATCGGGTAGCACAACATCTGCCACGAATGGCTCACTCACCGGCACTTCTATCCCATTCAAACAGTCGAATCATAATGATATGGAGCAACTGATTGAGGCTGCCCAGGGACACATCGCTGGTGCAAAGGAGATCGTCATTGGCGGTGCTGGCCCCATCGGTGTTGAGTTGGCGGGTGAGCTTGCTGAAGCAGTGGAGCGAAGTGGAAATACCGGCAAAGTGTCCATCACCATCGTCTCGGCGACTGAGCGTGTGCTTCCGATGCTCAAATCATCCGCCAGCGCAGCAGCACGCAAGATGCTCGAGCACAAGAACGTCAAGGTCGTGACTTCCAAGCGAGTTGTGCGTGTAGAGACTCCAGCGGATGATAGCTCCAGTTGGACCGTCAGCCTGGAAGGCGGGGACAAGCTTTCAGCGGATCTCTATATCCCTACAACTGGTGTCACCCCCAACAACAGCTTTATTCCGGCTCACCTCCTTGACAAGGACGGCTGGGTGACTGTGAACAAGGAGATGCGTGTCCAATCAACTGATGGATCAGCACTGCCCATCTTTGCTGCTGGCGACATCACCAATAACTCGATGCGTCTCAGTTTCAAGGCCGTGGAACAAGCACAAGTGGCCGCAGCCAATCTCAAAGCCGAGATTGTAGGCGGGGCGTCGATCAAGTCATACAACCAAGGCGACAGCATTATGATGGTGGTACCTGTTGGTGAAACTGGTGGCACGGGTCAGGTCTTTGGGTTTGTGCCTTTCAGCTTCATGGTTAAGATCATCAAGGGAAAGCACTACTTCATTGACAAGGCAGTATCCGCACTTGCTGGCAAGGCCTAAAGGTCATTGGAAGAAGGGATGAGATTTAAATTTTTGCGATGTCTTTTTTCTGGGTTGACTTAGAATGCTGCCCTTTTCCGGCGATGACTACATACATATGTAATGCATAATGCTTCCAGGATGGAGGTTGCGACCTTATGACTTCATTGCGAAACGTCAGGGACTTTGTAATATATAGTTAGATAGATATATTATGTATTAAGGATTATACATATTGTACCCAACGAAGAATGAGGAATATACCAGTTAAACCTCGGTCCAATCGAGATCTATAACTCTGCGGCCCGCTCTGACCCGAAACGGTAAATACCTCCGTGCTTAACAATCATAGTACTACGTTGCACATTATGCATCAATCAACAAATTCTCCCACCATTTTTGCGATCTGCCGAGGGGTGGGCGGTCCTCTTACCTAGAATGGGGATCCCCGTCGGCCTGAGCTGTCTTCAATTCATCCGGTCCCCACTGTTTTCTAAACCTGATCCGTTGCCACAGTTATGAAACCATTGGACCGGATCTTCTTCTATGAGATCGGTACATTGAAAGCCACGAATATGAGTATTAGCTGCACAATCTAAATTATGCAGGTCAGAACATAGGTCTAGATTAGCAACTCTGGAATAAAATAGAAACTATAGAAAGTGGAGTCCATTCAACCCTTTCTGAAGAACATAACCTTTCTCGAGAAGCTTCTCCGAGATCCATCGGTTGCTTTCTAATTGAAGAAGAAAAAAGGGAAAAATGAGTTTTTTGCATTGTTCCTCGGATGTCCGCCCCGCTTGTTTAGAGAGCTCTAATCGTCATATAAAAAGAGCTTGCTCCTCCCGTACTTTCACGTAACAAATAATTCCCTTTGCCAATAAAACTTACTTCTATTCATATTCAACATGTCCAACAAGGCTCTCATCTTCAAGAAGATCCCCCAGGGATACCCCGCCCCCGGTCAGGACTTGGCCGTTGAGGCCGCTGCCTATGACGCCAACGTTGCCGCACCCGACAATGGTGTTGTTCTCCAATCTCTCTACACCAGCTTTGACCCTTACATGCGCGGCCGCATGCGCCCTGCTGAGGTCAAGTCCTACGCCCCCGCCTTCGAACTCAACAAGCCCATTGAGAGCGCTACCGTCGGCAAGATCGTCCGCTCCAACAACGCCAACTACAAGGAAGGTGACTTGATCATCGGTCACGTCGCAGTCCAGGAGTATGTTGCTGTCGCTGAGCAGGAGCTGGTCCGCATCCGCAAGCTTGAGAACCCTCTTGGCCTTGAGGACATCCGTGTCTTCCTCGGACCTCTTGGCATGCCCGGTCTGACTGCCTACTCCTCCCTGTACGAGATCGGCAAGCCTAAGAAGGGTGAGACCATTTTCGTTTCCGCTGCCAGCGGTGCCGTCGGCCAGCTGGTCGGCCAGCTCGCCAAGCACGAGGGTCTGCGCGTCATTGGTTCCGTCGGCTCCGACGAGAAGCTCAAGTACATCACCGAGACCCTCGGATTTGAGGGCTTCAACTACAAGACCGAGAAGCCTGCTGCCGCGCTTGCCCGCCTCGCCCCCGAGGGCATTGACATCTACTACGAGAACGTCGGTGGCGAGCACCTCGAGGCTGCTCTCGATGCTCTTAACAACTTCGGCCGCATTGTCGTCTGCGGTCTCATCTCCCAATACAACTCTGCCCCCTACCCCATCAAGAACATTCACAACGTCCTTGTCAAGCGTATTGACATGCGCGGCTTCATCGTCGGTGACAAGGGCATGGGTGATGCCTACACCAAGGAGCACCAGGAGAATCTGCAGAAGTGGATCAAGGATGGCTCCTTCAAGGTGCTCATCCACGAGACTGTCGGCATCGACAACGCTGCCGAGGGCCTGGTCGGTATCTTCCACGGCAAGAACATGGGCAAGGCCGTCCTGAAGTTCTAAGCGCTTCATGAGACTGATGAAATAATGAGCTGTTTCGCGTAATGACTTTTTGTTTAAACATTGGAAGTGAATTGGTATGCAATACCTCGGTTAGGATCCCTACAGTATGTAGGAATCAGATAGGCCATCACTCAAAATAGCAAATCAAAGATAAAATGCAACTATAACACAAACGTATGAGCATCAAAATTAAGGAACATGTCAAAATAAACAGATACGAACAAATAGGAACAAATAAGTGATGAACATCAGAGTTGAAAATCAGTAGCTGGCAGGGCTAAATGTTTCTCGCATCGGCCAATTTCGGCTGGGCGGAGGCACGTCGACCAATCACCTGACCCGTAATAGGATGACATACCGAGTCGGACTCCCGAGGTCTCCAACTTCATCCGTTTGTGTTCACGGCGTTTCTGTTTCTTTACGACCATACTCTCCCCTCACAATGGCTTCATTCGTGCGCTCTTCCCTGCTACGGCAGACTCTTGCGGCCCCCCGGTCGTCCTTCTGTCAGAAGAATGTCGGCGTGTCGCAGATTGTCGCTTTCCACGCCTCCGCGAAGAAGCAGATCCTGCCTCCTCTGCCTCGTAAGTTGAGACCCTTCCAGTTGGAATACTGCAATATTTGAAACGGAGCGAAATTCTCGGCGCTGTTAGGAAAGTTTTGCTAACGTAATTCTTGTGCAGAGTCCGTCGAGGGAACCAGTATGTGATTTCCGCGCTATCCCTCTCCCAATACGATCCTTTTTTTGTCGATTGCAATGAGCACAAAGCCCCCCGGCAATCTATGGATATAAAAAATCTCCACAGTTCCCTCAGCTCGAACAATGCTTCGTCAAATCGTGAACCCGCAGCTTCATCAGGTCTTCAATATTAACCAATCCAATAGTGAACGACCCTGTCGCCGTCCCTGAACCCCACCCCGCTGAGGGCAGCTACCACTGGACTTTTGAGAGGTTCGTATCGTTCCTCTGCGCGGAAGGACGCGCGGAACAATTCCAAGACTACCACCCTTTCCGACCGCCCCGAGATGGCCGAAGAAAGAAAAAGTTACTAATCCCTATAACAGACTGGTCAGCGTCGGCCTCGTTCCCCTCACCATCGCTCCCTTCGCCGCTGGCTCCCTCAACCCCGTCATGGACGCCATCCTGTGCACTTTGATTGTCGCCCACTCTCACATCGGATTCCAGTAAGGCCTCCCCGCACAAATTACCCCAGATCTCCAACCGGCCGCATTCTAACATCTACTAGGGCTGGTATTGTCGACTACTTCCCTCCCTCGCGTGTGCCCAAGTTCCGCGCCACTTGCAACTGGCTCCTGCGTGCCTTCACTCTCACCACCGCCGTTGGCCTGTACGAGTTCGAGACCAACGACGTCGGTATCACCGAAGCTCTGCGCCGTATCTGGACCGCATAGAGTATTGTTCTTTTCAGACATGTTGTCTTTCTATTTTCCTTTTTTGACCTGTTGGTTCTGGATTATCCAGGCGTTCTGTTCCGCCATTGTATATGTTGATACTCTTTTTTTCCATTTGTCTTTCTGCCGAATCTATTCGTGCCAGATTCCTGCTCGAGGTTGTTTCTGAGCCATAGAAAAATACGGAATATAACCCTTGTACGACAAGATAATTTATTGCTTGGCTTGGTGTATCTTACAAGTACTGTAGATCTATAACTAGCTGTGTTTTTTGTATGGCTTATGCGTAGCATATCAGGCGCGGCACAATGCAAACATTGCCTGCATTGATTTGCTACATGCTGAATAGCAGACTCTATCTAGTTCCAACTCCATAGTTTTAGCTTCCATAAAAGCGATCATGCAACATCAAATATAAAATCAGGGCTAACAAAATGAGACCGGATATGTAGACCCACCCTCTTCAATCATAACACCATTCATGCAACTTTTACTCTATGTCCTCATCCTCATCATCCGAGAGCAGCCCCTCGTCATCGTCAGCCTTCGCCATCACATTCTCAATAAGTTTCAACGTCGCCTTGAGCGGCAACCCAATGACATTGTCATAACTGCCATCAATCTTCTCAACGAGAATACTCCCAAGCCCCTGCAGCCCATACCCTCCAGCCTTATCCGCACCCTCGCGCGTCCGCACATAAGCCAGAATCAACTCATCGGTGACCTCGCCATCGAACCGCACCGCCGTCTCCTCAACCGTCGTCTCAATAGCATACCCCGGGTCCCGCGCACTAGCCAATGGCGCCATAGCCACAAGCGCAGTATAAACCTTGTGATTGCGCGCGTCGCGCAAAGAACGCAGCATGGCTATGTGGTGAGCTTCTGAGCGGGGCTTTTCGAGGATTATTCCTGTTGAGGGATCCACGACGACGGTATCAGCGGCCAGGATGAGGGCCGGCTCGCCGAGCGTTTCGTTGTTGATTTCTTGCTCATAGACTGCTTGGGCTTTTTTCGTTGCTGTTGCTAGCACGTATTCGAAGGCGCCGAGGCTCTTCGGTAGGTCTTCGGCAGCGTTTGAGGGGATGATTTCTAGGTTTGCGAGGCCCAGAAATGACATTATCTGTTTGCGGCGCGGGGATTGGGAGGCGAGGATTACTCGTCGGCTGCGGAGGCTGTTCAGTACCGGCAGGTTGAGAGGTGGTGGGCGTGGGAGAGGTGCGCCGCGGTTTAGCTTGGTTGGAGGGTCATAGGCTGGGGGAGGGGTGGTTTCGCGGTTGTTGGGGTCTTCCATGTGTGAGAGAAGGGCTTCTTTGGATTCTGACATGGTGGGTGGTTTTAATCTTGTCTGGTTTTTGCTCTGGGTGTTGTAGGATGGATGCGATGCGGGGCTTGAAGAGATGGGTGCGTTAAGCCTTCAGATCGGGCTACGCGGCCCCCCACTGGTTTCTGCCGGAGGCATCTCTGGGAGCGTGACAAACCTGCCTTTAGCAATGAAAGGCCTATTGACAAAGATTGTGGTAAATTTTCTCACCTCCATATTCCCAATACTATTGTCAGTTCACAAGATGTTTCCATTAAACTTGCATCGATTCTAGACCCATCGCGATCCAAAAATTTTCGGCAAAGCTCTTGAGTAGGATGATTAGGGATACAAGGATAGGATTAATATCTAAAACGGCTTGATCAACCCAAATATCACAGCTGGCGGTATGCGCGTATAAATAGAAATGCTAACCCGCTGCATCCTCATCTCTTCAGTTTTGAATGGACTGTTCCTCATGCTGAATACGCACTTCATACCAGAGGCTACGCGAAAGCTAGCCTAAACAAAGCCTTGGTTTAGTTTTATCTTAATTTTTGGTGAGTGTGCGTTCACTTTAGAAGATTGGCCTAGTAAGAGCCCGCAATCCTTATCATGAGGCATTCTTTGATGCCCAGTAGGAGTGGATGGCCAAGTAGATTGCACTTTCAGGCCACAGATCTCAGAAAGTCGATGCTTCCTCAGCTTTATCTTAGGGATATTCTGTTCAGGGCAGAGGTTTCTTGGCGAAATCTATTTTTGAGCTTGCCAGAATTTGGGAGTTGTATGATCAGGGTCGGATCTTGCAATGCAAAACACAGAATTTTATATGCTTCATTGTTCTAGCCTACTTATTTGTTGAACACATTCTCTAAGGATAATCCTGACATCCTTCAACCGTGAATATATAACTAGCGACTAGCTAATATCTTTATGTCGTTGCAGCGGAGCACCTTTGATACAAGCTAGTTCTGATTCTTGTCAAGTCCTTAATAATAGCTATAACTCTAGAAAATAGTGGTTGCTAGAATTCCTCGAATGACTTTCAAAAGACAGCTGATTAGATATAAGATGACCTAGTTATAATAAGTCCGTGAAGTCTACAGGCCTATAGTGAAGTTTTCCATCTACGAGCTAATTGTGGAAGCGGACTTGATTGTGGCAGATCCGCGTTAATCTCCGTACACGTGAAGTGAAGTACGGGCCTCGGGACTCAAATTGTTCCGAGTTGGAGTTCCCAAAAATGAGATGGCTTATTCAAAGGATAGAACTCAATTCTCAAATTATTCGGTGTTAAAAACGCCCCAGTTGCTTCGCAGCAACAACCATGACCATATACATTCTGGTGCTCAACAGAAACAAACAAGATGAGAGAGAGAGAAAAAAAGAGATCAATGTACAATAGACACAAGAGGACCTAGGTATAGAAAGAAATACAAACTTGTCGCAGTGGATTGATTGCCGTTGAGTCCAGTGAATGCTCAGCAAGGTGTCATTGGCATCAAATCAGACAAGGAGATATGAAGACATGATATACCGGACAAGAAGGAAATCCCCGCAGTTGATCATTTTCAACAGTTCATTCGTAATACAGCGGTGAATAATGATAAGCGAAGGAAAAGAAATTCGTTGCACGAGTAAAGGAAATATGGAACCATGTGGTCCATAAATTAAGAAAGGGCCCCGGACCCCCCGGACCTCGGCAAATGCATGCAACTCCAACACCCCAGATCCGCCAGCGGGAAGTGTCAGAGGCAATAGTATAGTGACTCAAATGGTATTTTTTTGAGGCCCAAGGGGAGTAAAATCATGTTGGACGGAAAGAGTCGTCCACGCGGCCTCCTTTGCTTTCAATCTCTGCAATGAGATCGTGGCGCTCTTGCAGCTTCACATGGATAAAGTCCACCGTCTTTTGTAGCACAATGCTCTCACTCCGGCCCTGGCCCTCCAAGCCAGGCACCAGTTCTGTCAGGCGATCGAAGCCTTCGCGAATGGCCGCGCGCCGCTTTTGCTCTGAGGCAATGTGGTTGCTCTTCTTTTCTTGGTCGGTCAGACGAGGCTTGTCCTTGTCTTGGGCAGATCCTTGCTTGGATGTACCATTCGGTGTGGAGGATGACCGGTCATGCTCATCTTCTGGATTCATCGTGGCGTTCGGTGACTGGAGGATTTTGAGAGGAGCTGGAAACGTAGAGATGCGCCGAGGGTATGGATTCGAGGTTCGTATAATTCGTTATGTGCTTATCCCTGTTGTTTATATGCGATGAGGCTATAGACGAGGAATATGTAGTCAATCGAAAATGGGGGAATGCGAAAGAGAGGAGCAAGAGAGACAAGGGAAAGCGGAAAGCGATAAAGAACGATAAGCCATTGCGGAGTAAAAGTGTGGCCGGAAACTCGGGACTTGGCACACCTTAAACGTCATAGAGAGGGTCCACAGAACACGCCTGGCTTTTCTTTTTCTTTCACTTCGTATCTTTTGTTCTTGCGTGGAAATCAATTCCTACTCTCAAATACCCACGAACCATCGACTCATCGATCAAGAATTCTACCAGACGAACACCTTGTCTGCTCGCTTAGCTATCCTGAGCACATCTATAACACGGCCATCCGGCGCCACCGTATTTCTTCGTACCACCATGGCCTTCGAGCCACTACGCGGCTCATGCTCTTGTGGCCGCAATGAATACCAGATCAATATTCCGGAAGATGTGACAGACCATGCCGAGGTGTATTTTGACAGCAGCCGAGATAACCGTGAGTAAACCCAAACCAAGCTTGTCGATCTCCCGACTAATATCAATCATAGGTCGATTTCACGGCACTCCAATCTCAGCATGGCTACGCGTGCCTCTTGATTGGTACCAATCCTCCACTCGCTCCTTCTTTGAGGGCGAATCACACTCTTCTATCCGCCGCAGCTTCTCACCCCGCCATGCACCACAGACCCAGCGTATCTTTTGTGGTTTCTGCGGTACACCATTGACATTCTGGACCGAAGAACCCCTCCACGAATCTGAATTCATGTCTATTTCAATCGGCAGTCTTCTGATAGAAGACCAGCGGGCATTGGATGATCTCGGTCTACTTCCCGAAGACTTCGACGACGAAGAAGCCCCCGTGCCGGTGTTTCACTCTCGGAGCGGGCACCCGCGCAGACTACTTCATCTTCGGTTATCATTCCTTCTTTCGAGGATTCAACGAGTTTCCCGGATATCTCAACGAGCTTGCAGCGTGGTAGAACCGGGGGAATTCCTTGGTTTGAAGAGATGATGGAAGGCAGCCGCTTGGGTCGCTTGATGCGTTCACGACGCGGTATGGGAATCAGTGACGACCAATCTACCTCGATACAGTGGGAGTTCAGTGAATGGCATGATGACGGAACTGGTGGAATTGTGCAACAGGACTCGGACTCGAGCGGGCGTTCGAGGGCCAAGAGAAAACGTGTGACTCGGGCTGATGCTGAGATCCAGTCACCTTCGAAACGAGTCGAGTGATTTTCTGCATGCCTTTGAGTATTTGTTTGTGGCCGCTGATACTTAATACACCTCAAAAATCATGTCGTAGCTTTTCTTTCCTAATCTGAGATGTGCACCTTGAAAAATTGACAATGTCCAGGCGTTCCATGCGACAGTATAACAAGTAGATATATACATATGTATATATATAGTTATACTCATGTAGTTAGTCAAAATGTACTATTGATGTGGTTCAAGCATCCATCGGATGATAGTCGTTATTGCTAAAGTCGAGGACAATTTTACCCTTTTAATAAATAAAGAGCCACAACCAAGCATATTTGATCCATGGATCTTTGTGTATTTTCCTTGTATATTTTCGAAATGAAGTATACAAAATGGAAGAAGTGAGGCTTATACGAGAAGAAGATCCACAACGTTGAAGCTTTGGGTCGCAAAGCATACCCGATTGGGCCAAGTGCGGGCCAGGCGCCCCCCCCCCCCAAGATCATCGCGCTTATTCAACTTTCTTGACTCGATCCTGTACAGATTTTACACCTCTTCGACATGGTTTATTGTGGGAAACCAAGCAAAGGATGTGGAGAGTGCAGGTCCAGGAAGATCCGGTGTGACCAGGCCCAACCGGCTTGTTCGCAATGTACAAGGGCCAAGCGGGACTGCCCCGGATACCGGGATCAACTATCACTTATGTTCCGCGATGAAAGCAAATCGGTAGTCCGAAAGGCGGCGGCAGGGGCTGTTAAACATAAACGACCAGAGCGATCCTTACGCACAGCATTCCCTTCTGGGAATGCTGTGCGGCCTATGCTAACCCCCGATCCAGTGGACCCCGTGGAAGTCAGGCCCGATCCACAACACGTCTATCTCACGCAGCAGCTGGGAATACGCCCATTAGAGGTCCAGCCAACGCAAGACGTTGATTCAATAAGATATGAAGCTATCTGCTATTTCATAAGGTCCAATTGTATACCAGGTACGTTTTGGACTAGCGATTTAATCACCAAGTTCCTGCTGCAGACCGGGGGTCCTGCAAGCCAGAAAGCCATGCAGGCTAGTGTGGCTGCTACCGCTACAGCCATGCTCTCTCGAGTTAGAGACTTGCCACACCTGAAAGAAGTGGCCCGTCGGGAGTATGGATCCGCTTTGAGATTGCTCAACTCCGCTCTAGCCGATGTGGAGGAGGCAAAAACGAATCAAACATTGGGATCAGTCGTGTTGCTTGCCATTTATGAAGTAAGACATTTGATTTCTTGGCCCCGGAATGATTATTTATTCCTAATTTTCTAGGTGGTCACGTCAAGGGCCGCGGAAGATATCGACAGTTGGACAAACCATATAAATGGCGCGACAGCTTTGCTCGATATAAGGGGAACCGACCAACTCAAAAGTGAAAGCGGTCTCCGATTATTCTTACATCTGCGCTACCAAGTGGTAAGTATTACCAACCCAGTCATTTGGTCTCAAACTAAGACCCCAATAGATCATTAGTTGTCTACAGCGAGACGCACGAGTACCTCAATCAGTACTTGAATGCACAAAAATTGCGATGTTTCTTCGCCCAGCAGAGGCCCATGGAAACCGACTGGTTATGATCATCGGCAAGCTGTCAAACCTTCGCGCAGATATCCGATCCAACATATTCAGCGATGAGCGGGAAATCATATCAGCAGGCTCGGCCATTGAAGCCGACTTGATTGCCTGGCTAGCCTCTCTTCCACCCGAGTTTAACTATACCACCCATACGAAATCCCCCTTTGACTCTGTCTTCCAACCGCGATTCCGCGGAATCACCCCATACGACGATCAATACCATGTATACCCCAATCTCTGGGTCGCCAATTCCTGGAATCAGTATCGCGCCGCCCGCATTCTCGTCAGCGAGATCATTCTTTCCCATGTCCGCAAAATGTCCGACAGTACCTCTCTCACTTCCTTATCCGAAGAGTTCCGTCTCCAGTGTAGAACGCTGCGATCAACTATCCGGCGGTTGGCAGTGGAGATCTGCCGTGGCGTCCCGTTCCATTTCAACGCCCACCAGGCAGAGAGGGAGCCCAATCTACCACCGCCCGAGAGTTACCTTGGGGGGCTTATGCTTCTCTGGCCTCTGTTTGTGGCTGGTGTTGTTGAGAGCCCGAATCATGGGCTTCGTCGTTGGGTTGTGAAATGTCTGCAGATGATTGGACATACGATGGGACTTGATCAGTCGCTCGCTATTGCAGACATTGTTTCGGCTGATCCGGGTGTCTTACGTTTTGTGACAGAGGAAGATGATCCACTCGTTGAAAGTTCTGATACACCCGATCTAACAAGGCGACACCCAGCTCCGCCTATCAGTGCTTCTATCAACGAGATCCCTCCGTCGGGAGTATAACACTTGAAGCAATGCCTCATTTCTTTACATCATATCTCTTGTAGTGGTTAATACTTTTTTATTGATTTGTATATTATTGCGTTTTTGTCTGAGATTTTGGGATAAAGGGGCGTCATTGTATGGGCTGATTCGTCCTGAATCACAGTGTGTTTCCGGTGTCATAAATGGAGAGCGGCCAACGGTTTCTTGTGTTCAGTTTAATCCCAGAATTCATACCATTATCTTCATGATCATTCATCATTCTTCATATTTTCTATCCTGCAGAAATAGTGTAGTCTTATCACATTAAGATGAAGTAAATATTGATTCTTGTAAATGACATTTCAAAATGCACTGAACAAGGGCCTTACCAAACATACACAAAAGAAAAATACACAAAAGAAAGAGTGAAATGCTTCTTTTGGTGGCTGGACGGTGTAATTTTATGTCAGCGGCAATGTACATGCACGTATGGACCGAGTGGTTCCCACGTCAACAAAAAGGATGGGAGCCTTCATTATAGCCAGGTTCCCCTGGAAAATTTCCAACGACATTCCAGAATGACACCAACACTTATCAGGTACTCTTGTCTCGTTTTCACACGCCCATGTGGGGTTGAGTGGTGCAAATTATGCGCTGCGCCCTGTGTGCATTATCAGATACTGGGGCTGTGCTCAACACCGCCGACCCAAGTCTTATGAACTCGCCTACACTTGCAGCTGTCACGAAGAAATGCGCCGGTACCATTGGCTGATTTTAGATATCATGAGCAAACTATATGAGCATGACCCTTTCGCTTGCTGGAGTTCTGCTTTGACTCCGTATATCGCCCCTCAGCCCTGCCTTCAAACGTAGGGCTGCTTGGCGAGTCTGCCTCGAGGTTTAGGTTTCGAAGGTTATCATGTTGTGCATAGGCATATTTGGCTCAACTCTTGAAATCTAGGTCTTGATCATGGGTCAGTGGAATCTTCATTGGTCACGGAGTGTCAAAGTGTGACTCGTACTTCTGTCGCGGCTTTTTGATTCATCCTTTGTATACGGTGTTCCACAACTAAGCCCTGGTCAAGAATGCCGGTAATGATGATATAAAGAAGATGTTTCTTGCTATATCAAGTCCTTTGTTGAGATAGAATATCAATATATATTTCAACAGCCACTGTAACCTTGGAACTCCAATCCATTCGATATATATCTTTTTCATTTTTTCCAAAGCCGGCCACTCTATTACCATGGGGTTTTATGAGAAGTTCCTGTCCTCATCTAAACAACGCAAGCAAGACAAAAAAAACAAAAATACCAAAGAATACGAAGGCACAAACAAAGGCAAAGGACGATCTTTGCTCCATATCACCAGCTCATCAGTCCGCAGTTCAGATCTCCCACCTGCCTACTCAGAAACCGTTACAGTCGAAAGTCCCCTTGATGAGTCACAGTATGACTTCCTGGGTGTTTTCGACACGATATTCCTGGTAGATGACAGCTCAAGTATGAGAATAGACGGAAGGTGGGCCGAAGCCGGCAAAGCCATAGCCGCCATCGCACCAATTTGCACAAAATATGACCAGGACGGAATCGACATCTACTTCCTCAACCACAAAAAAGGAAACCATACTTCTCGTGGTCTTCGCGCCGGTGGATATCAAAATGTCACGACCAAGGAAGAGGTAGAGAAAATATTCCGCGATGTGGCACCCAACGGTCAAACCTGGGTGGGTACTCGGCTCAACGATATTTTGGAGCCATACATACACCGTGTGAAATTGATGCACGAGATGAAGAAATCAAACGGCAGCTTCAGTTTCAATATGGATGTTAAGCCGATTAATATCATCACCATCACTGATGGGAGGTTCACGGATGAGGCGGAGGGAATTATCATGCAGACGGCTAAGACGCTGGACGCCTGTTCTGCTATTCCGTGGCAGGTTGGGATTCAGTTTTTCCAAGTTGGAAATGATCCAAAGGCAACTTCCTATTTAGTGCAATTGGATAATGAGCTGAGTGAAATGGGACAGTCAGAAAAAGTGAGGGATATAGTTGATACTGTTATTTGGAAGAAGAACGGTGTTTCCTTGAATAGTGAGGGGATTTTGAAAACGGTTCTTGGGGCTGTCAATAAGAAGTGGGATAGGACAGAAGTTTGATGTGTTAGTTAATGTTGAGTTGTTCCTAGAGGCTCAATTTTATATTAAAGGTTGCCACTTTGTACAGCTAGATTGTATATTAGTCTCTTTCTCCCTGGTTTATAGTCTAAAGTTGATGGTTTATCTTGATTTGAATTTATTTTACTCGTCTTTACTTATTTACTTGTCCATTCGCTATCGGAATTCGTAGTTTCGACTCGACTCGCACTATCACCAAGCTGAAACTGACTGTGACGTTCAAAACGAGTGGCTAGTAGAAGATGATGTATCTAGCTATCTAATGCGAGGTATAAGAGCCGCCAAATTACGGCGTTTAGATGAGCTGACCGCCACCACCAGCCAGCCCAACAGTGACATGTAGGCGCCATAAAGTAATAGTCTCAGGAACCGCCCGAGTGGAGAAGAGCTAGTAATCATTCCTGAAGTAGAGATATAAAGAAGGTTGTTTCCTGTTGAGTTCAGTCCTTTGTTGTGATACAATATAATAACTCAACAGTCGCCAAAACTCCAATCTATCACCATGACCTCTTCCAACAAAAGGTGGTACTCATTTTTTTCAGATGACAAAAGATGAACAGACCACAGAAGTGAACCAACAGCTTTATCACCTGCCTAGTCAGTAAATTTCCCGTGTCCGAAAAGTCGCAGTTCGCCTTCCTGGCTAAAATCAGAACGGTGTTACTGGTAGACGACACCCTGTCCATGATCGGTGACAAATGGAAGAATCCTGGGAAGCTAAAGCTGCCATCGTACCAATTTACACAGAATGTAACAAGAAGGGAATCGACATCCAGCTTCTCAGCTACTCTCCCCACTACAGAGAAACATATTGCGGAGACTAGACCGCAAACAGAGTAGAGGAAATCTCGAAGAGAACTGAGCCGCGAATCTGGGAGTATCTATGGGGAGCGCTCGAGGACATACTGGATCCATATATGCTGAGGGTGAGAATGATGCATGGCCAGGGGGAAGCACATGACCCCAACAAAATCAGGCCAATCAATATTATCATCATCACTGATGGGTTAACTACGTGTCAAGTAGACAAGCTTATCCTCAAGACAGCTAAGACACTAGACAAGTGTTGTGCTGTTGCGTGGCAAGTTGGAATTCGGTTTTTACAAGTTAGAAATGAACTCAAGGGGACTCTTCTTTTGAAACAATCAGACGATACTTTGTGTACACGGTATAAAGTGAGGGATAATGTTGAGCCTACTCTTGGAAGACGAATTGGAGGATGGGATTTTGAAGATACTTCTTGGGGCTGTTAATAAGAGGTTTGATAGACAAGAAGTTTGATTGTTAAGTTTATAGTTTGATTTTGGGTTGGTTTAAGGTGTTTTCCACGAGTTTCAGGTTTATATTAAAGGTTTGCCAGTTTACATATCTATGCTGAGTTGTTTCTACGTGGTTATGGTTGATTTTGATTGTTGATTTTGATTGTTGTTTACTTATTTATTTGTTTACTTACCCACTCACGACCTAGTCATGTAGGTTCGCCTCGACTGATACCTATCAACAAGCTGAAACTGACATATCGAACTGCGGGCGCGCCATAAGGTAATCTTAGGAACCGCCCGAGTGGAGAAAGGTAGGCAAACATCCCTGAACCTATGAGCGGCAATTAGGGACAATTTTAGTTGCAGTAGTGTGTTCACTCTCATTTAATTCTCCAGTGTAATTTCGTCCATTAAACCAATGATCATATCCCAACCCCAACTTGCCAATCATGTACTCTCGGCATTTACAATGCTTTTACAAATATTTCAAGAGTTCTTTGCTTCAGTATTAGACCTAACATTTTTGTAAACAATAGCATATACTGCAAGTAGAGCAATCTTTCTTTTCTCCTAAATTTGACAAATTTTTCAAAAAAAAAGTCATAATGTGCCTTGCGTGGGGATCGACGAACTATGGCTGGTACAAGTGGAGGATAGCAAGCCACACCGTAAATGAACAATCTGACCTCTTGCTATTTCCTTATTTTATACTCTCCGTTCATATTTCCACTTTACATATTGTAGTGGGTTTGTATAATATTTGAGGTATGAGACCGGTATATTCTATTCAATATTGTGTGATCTGCGGAGTACAACAAGATAAAAAAATTAGAAAGAAATGAAATCACTGATCACGTCGACTGGTTTAGCTCCATCACCGCCAATTTTGTGATCATCAACCATCCCCGCGCCGATCGCCTTCACGAAAAACCTCGAATTCGCCCCTTCTCTCACTTTTCCCTAGTCCCTTCTATTCCAGGGTGAATACCCCCTGTTTCAACACATTTTCGTTATTACAACAACCTTCCACAACTAGCGCTGGACTCTCAACGCGAGGAACACCAGCCCTAGTGGTCGGCGCTTCCTCCTCCATCACGTCCTCCGATTGGTCAACTTTGTCGCTCTACAGCACAACTCAGCACACTCGGGAAATTGGACCGTCGCGATTCCTGAAGCATCCGCCTCAGTTCTGACATTTGGTCCAGGCCCTGTGTCCAGGCCATGGCATCGCTGTGACTACGCCGTCGTACCTGAAACGAACCTTCGATCGGTTATTCTTAGACCTGTCACTTCAACCTGAGACAAGTACAGCGTTCCCGCACCAGCTGTAATTATAGAAACGCCTTTGTGGAGTTGCTTTGATTTTGCAGGCTGGTCTGACCGGGGCTATATTTGTGGTCGCTTTGTTATATGAGCGTGGGCTTTCGTCACGAGTTGATTGTTTTGCCTTCATCTATAGACCACTGTCCTTCGTTGCCTTGCATTTGCGTGTACTCTATTGAGATTCTTTCTTTTAGCATTTTCTTTTTTGTCTTGCATTGCTGTGCATTGTCTTTCTCTGATATATTCTTTCTTTTTTTACTTTCCTTCTTTCTGTTACTGTCTTCAGCTTGTTCAGTGATTTGTCTACTTTCTTTTTGGTTGATTTAACCTGCAATGATCTCAACCACCCTCATGACTTTTTTATTGTGAGTGTCTTCCATACATTCGCACCTGTGTTCAGCTGCTAATCCGCAATTCAGGATGACCAGACCCGAAGTTCGGTCAGTCAAACTGCTCGGATCATGGGATAATTTCTCCAAACAATACGTTATGGAAAGAGATAAACGCGTCGGTCCCGGTCACTGGAGAGGCTGTCATACTTTTAAGGATATGATCAGTGATGGACCCGACAAGACTCAATGGCGAACAGGGGGTTTAAAGATGGGTGGTACTTACTGGTATTATGCAAGTCTCGAACCTGACTTTGGGAGCTTTCTTACTGGTGATAGAACTAACAAAACAATAGTACTTGCTCGATGACGATATTGAATACTTTAACGAAGCAGAGTCGATCACTACAGCGTGCCCTCTCCTTCCAGGCCAGCCCGTGAATGTGCTCAATGTTCCCATCATTTTGCCAGACAGTCGAACACATGGACGCTCAGCAAGTGGCAGCTCTCAAACATCAGAGCACATTCGAACCATGAACCCAGAGGACAAATTTATGAACCCGCGGAAGCCGCCACCTCAACCCCAGTCAGTACGTCTTCAGACGTCAGCATCAGTCCGTCGCGACCCAAGTCCTGCTTCTAGCAAGTCTCCGATGACTAGAGTTCATCGGAGTGCATCTCAGCCGTACAGTGCCACTCGCAAGGGCCATAAAAAAGACTCACGCTCTATGTCACCCCCGGCAGCTCGGGCCCTCGTGGCCGCTTTAAGACAGCCAACCGACGCGGACAGAAAGCTCGAAACAGCCCACTGGGCGAACACCCCCACTAGGTCACCGCAGCGGGGAGAGTCCGACGAGAAGCACCGGAATGTTCCAGGAATCAAGGTCAACGCCGAAATTGCCGTTCCATCTTCCGCAATCTTCCCCAACAAGCCTGGTCCGGTCGGCCCCTCCACCATTCAAAGCCGACGCGCAATGAAAGCAGCTACTGGAGACGCGGCACCAGGGTGTCTTTTAACCGTACAGACGCGACCTGAGCCCCGCAAACCTAGTCCGTCTCGCAGCGCAGCAAATGGCAAGACCGGGTTGGACGAGACCGGTGCGATAAGGGAGGCACTGAAAGGCTTCGCAAGCTCTAGTGACTTGCCTACGCCAACGGCCGCTTTCACCAAAGAGAAGAAAGAAAAGAGACTTCCAACACTTCCCAATACACCATCCTCAGTCATGGATGAGGCAGTCCGCGCCATTGACGAGCGAGACAAGGCGATGGATGGCGAGATCCCACGCAGTCACTTCTCTAGCATGACAGTCACGACTGACGACTCTACTCACTCTCGCTTCATACCCGAACGCAGCCGTTTCTCCGAATGGAGCACCGATACCGACACCGAGTACAACCCGTGTGCATCAATGGTGTCGACTTCCAGCTTCTCCAACCACTACTTTGACGAGACCTCGGCTGACGATCGATGGAAGACACCAGACCTATCACAGTCCGGTGATGGCGCAACAAACACCGACCCGAATACACCCCACCTGACCGTCCACTCCAAGCCTTCATCTCCAAACTCCGCCTCCGGAGAACTTCCCCCTTGGAACGTCTCTCTTCCCGAATTCACCGTATCTCTATCCACTCCTGGTATCGAATGCTCCGGGCTGGGAATTGAGAACATGGACGAAGTGGAAAGCAACCCCAAGCGTCACGCAGCCCTGTTCAGTGCGCTTGAGTCCATGGAATCCTTCTCAATGTCGCGCAGCCCCAATGGCTCGCCCATTACGCTCCCCCATATTCCCAAAGACTATGGCACCCCTAGAAAGCTGTCAGATACAGAGCGGGAGGTGAGTGAGGCTTCACTCGAGCGAATTCGCTCTCGTCGTAGCAATGCTTTTTTCTCGGAAAATGCTACTATGCAGGAGATGATGGATGAGCTCAGCTACTTGAGAAACATGATTCAGTCTGAGATGGATGGGACTCCATTCTGATAGGAGGCATTGGCCTCACTGTCTCGTATTTTTATTCTCATGTTCTTGGCGCTGGTCGCCGAGTCCGCCCATGTATCATAAATAGAGATAAATATTTGCATTTAGATTCAAGCACATTTTTTAAAAGGAAGGAAATTGAACTTGTCCATAGCGAACCATCTAAATAAGCAGATACAAAAATGCATCTAATGCTGAAGGTGTAGTTGGCAGTTTCCCATACCAAGCCCAAAAACAAAACACGCGCCAAGAATCCCTGTATCCACCACCCGTGATTAACAGCTTTATCAAAACGCCAGAAGACCAAAAGCAAACCACGCCTCAACTCTTTCTTCCGGCTTTCAATTTTGAATGTGTTTCAAATCAAGCATGGGCTGAGTCCAAAATCTGTCCAGTAAAAAGCATTCAATATGGCAGACGAGGGACCCCAACTGACGCCTGTCGGGGAAAAGACCCTCCCAGCAAAATGCAAGGCGCAAGCCGTAGCGTACTGTCCCACAATGGACCTAATTGCGCTGGTGACCGAGGATGAAGAATTGCGCGTGTTCCGACTTAATGGACAACGCGTGTTTGGGGGCTCATTTGGGGGTGATCCCTACTTAGGCGAGGATGAGGAGGACGGCGAGATTAGAGGGATGGCGTGGAAGGGGAATGGTGAGTTTGAGTTTCCTTTCGCTGGGCTTGTTATGGGGCTTTTATTTGGTTTTTTGTGTTGTCGCATTACCCTTGTGAGGTGATGTCATGCGAGCTAGTCTAATAAAAATGCCTAGGTCGTCTCCTCGCCGTCGCGTGTGCGGACGCCACGCTCCGAATCATCAGTTCTTACAGTGGTAAGACGGTGCACCACTATCCCGCTTTTCAGCCAAAAGAGGAAGTTTCAGATTCTTCCCAGAAGCCAATTCCCAAACCAACATGCGTGGGATGGGGTATCAATTTCACTGACAGTAGAGCTGCACGGCGGCATTTGCTTGACTTCGCCGGCCAAGTCTCCATCGAGGATCTTCTAACGCCGAGCACCTATCCCTCCAAAGCAGCTGGTATTCTGAAAGCAGACTTGCCTAGAGAACTTGCCTTGCTGGACATCGAGAGCTCCTTGCCTAAGCTGAGTACCCTCCCTGCAACAGGAGGCGAGGACGACGTCTTCAGCTCGCGCGCATCTATTGATGCCATTTTCCATTCTACGAGGGATACAAGTGACTCGGTTGATGTCCTTTCCGTTGGATTTGACGATGGCACCGTCCATCTGCGCATCTTTAATTGCTTTGAGATTGGCTCTTTTCCCGTGGGCAGCTCTCCTGGTCTCCCTGAGTCGTGTCGTATCTTGCGACATGCTTCTCATCCTTTAAGTTCAACACATGCTCTGCTGGCATCGCCCATGAAGGGAAATGCCCGGGGTTCCCTCGATCTGGTCACGATGGACCTCCGCTTCATCACCAAGTCTGGGAGGTATTTGTCACTTCTTGCATCGAAGACGACCCAGCTCCAGAACCTGCTCCGCTATATTGGCCAGGTGCAGAAGCAAATTGAACTCGAATGGAAAAATGCACAGGAGCTTCCGGCACGGTTTTTGCGTAGTGTCAATGAGGACCTACAAGAGAAATGCCAATGTGATTTCATCACTGCAATCTATCATCTCGTGGTCACTGGCCATTGCTTTGAGCCCATGAAGGAGTTCCTTGTGGACATTGTTGGGGAAAGAGTATGTGAGCGATGGAACCTTCGAGAGACCTGTAACTAATGAGCAACTCAGGGCCATAAGAGATGGGAGAAAGCTGTCGCAGGCGGATATGACAATATTCGTCGACTAACACATGAGTGTCTTCTCCCAGCCTTGGAACGCAGCCAAGTTCTTCTCAGTCGATTGGTTGGACTGTCCAAATTCCACAAGCTGAGCGATGTCCTTGGACTCGATACAACCAAGCTGAACGGCATTGTAGAAACACTTGACTGTCTTCACCTTTTGGCGCATCGCGTCCTCAATCATGTCAACGAGGAGCTAGGTCAATTTAATGCTTTCGCCAGATGGCTTCGGCATGAAATCCACATCCTCAACAGCGAACCCTTATCACAAACTCTGGAAGAGCTGCAAGAAAAGAGGGATCTATTTGATGTCCCCCCCACCGTGAAGTACATCACAGGAGCCCTGACTAAGAGTGCCCTGCGCAACTTCATTCGACAGCTTCCTATGATCGGAGTCGTTCAGCCACCTGCTCCTCCCCCTGGTCGATGGCTACCAGATGGCCATGACCGTTCATTCTATGACACTTTCAAATCCCTTCTTCAGCAACAACGCCAGGCCCGAGAAAGGGGAGATAGCACTACCTCAATTGAGACACCGAAGCTCAACGATTTGACGAAGCGTCTAGAAATCCAGTTTCAAAAGGTCTTTGGGGAAATTGCCCTGACCCAGCGGAGGGGTATTCTCCATCGCTCACCTCTCACACTTCACTCTGACTGCGACCAGCAAGTGATTGATATTACTGTTTCTTGCGAGGTAAGCTTTGATTTTGTTGGGCTTTGTTCGTCCATACTAAATTATGATTTAGGATGTTGTCGAAGACCGACCCTGCACTATATACGTTGCCACTAGATCAACCACGTCAAAACACCAAGGTTTGTTGCACCTCTTGTCTGGAAATTCTGGATAATTTGCACTAACATCCCCCAGTCTATCTCTACCGCGTTGTTCTAGACTCAGTTGGCGGCGTCAGCTCAACGCGAAGCATTTTACTTGCAAACCTCGACCTCCAAAACGGCGAAGTACGTCAACTGCAATTCGTAAACGATGAAACGATCATGATCCTCTGGCGCAATAATAGTAAGTCCAACTCATGACTTTCCCTCCCCAAATCCCCGATGAACGCTAACCAATTTACAGATGGGATCTCCCACCTCGTTAACATCCCCTTCCATCCCGCCTCTGTACATCAGCATGATCTGAATGACCCGCCAATTCCAAACCTGATCTACACTAAGATTGATAGCACACCCTCTTCTCCCAAACCTACAACACCCATCACAGACCTAGATCTTTCAGCTGGATACCCCTGGGGAGGTGTTCTCAAACATACGTTTGCTGCTCATGGACCTAAAGCGAGACCTGTCCATATTGATGTCAATGGGCGAAAAGGAAGACGGGCTGTGTGTGTCCTGTATGGCGACTCTATGCGCTATGAGGTTTTGGACCTGGATGCTGCTATGGAGGAAGAGGAAGAAAAAGATGAATACTCTGATGAAGATGAGGATGTGATAGATAGCGATCAAGAAAACTGAGGACTGCCAGTAATAATATCTTGAATGATAGCCCAGACTAAACTTTGTCAAATATATAGTGTATACCTACCTAGGTATTACCTCATTTACCTCACTACTATTTGATTCCTTCTTAACTGAATATTGAGTTTCGGCTTGTCTTTCATGATATATATGATGCATAGTGCCTCTTCCCAGGTTCCCAGCCTGAAAGAAAAGGACAATAAAGATGCTGCAGACGGAAAGGCGCGGAAAAGATAATGAAATATCAGTGACCCCTGGAAATATATCCCTTGGAGCACCCTTTGTAATGAACCTTGGACTGATATGCCAGCCATTGTATTGAATTATTGCCCACCCTTTGTTTCAGTTCTACCTATATGTCTACATAGACCGCGTAGACAGATCTACGAAATATCAGAGAAGAAGGTTACCTGCGTGGAGTATGGGGGTTTGTATAGCGTTGTGTCGACCTTTAGTTGTGAACTCACTCCTTTCATACTGAAATCAGAAGAATATTACATGTTTTAACTAATAGTCTTTTTTTAGTATCTGTGCTTTGCATAAGTAAAGCTAGCGCTTGATTAATCTAATTGAATCTGCCTATCATATCATCAGAATCAAAGCTAAGAGACATGTCAAATAGACAGGGATTTTTTTTCCCATTCAATAGTAATAATACTGTAACTACAAAGCAGCTATATATGGCCCTCTCTAAAAGGGTAAAAGGGTTAAAATGAGAATAAAAGAAAAACATGCAAAGCCCTAAACAATGAATGTTTTTTTATTTCTAGAGGATTCTCTTTGCACTCCACTGTGGAATCGGTCGCTGGGGCCACAAGGTGCCCGGTTCTTTAAGAAGAAAAATCAAAATAAGCAAGAGGTTAGAGGGGCTGCCCCTCCATGGTCATTAGGGCTTCGAACTCTCTTGTCCATGTTTTATGAAAGCCATTAGAGCTTGGTATATAGCAGTATGGCTACATATATATCAATCTCGTTTCAATGGGAATTTTATGCCAATAATATCGAGTATTTTACAACGGTAAGATGTAAGGATCATATACCAATCACGTGATACATACAGAGGCGAACAAACGAGACTTGGAGCATGTCAGCGATAAAAGATGATTGTATTTGGGTGAAAAAGCTTTGATCTATGCCCAACATATTATAATGGATTGTTCTTCTATTCTCGAACATGAACGAATCGACATTCCCGGCGATCGGACAATAGTACGAGTCAATTCAGGAGCAAGGAGATGGCGGCCTAAGGCTCAAAGTCACGTGAATCATGACTAAACCATGTATAATGGCCAATCAGATGGCGACCCCCGTAGAACCTCACCCATTGTGGTCTTTCTTGCTTCGAATCTGTGTTTTAGTCTCTTCACATATCTTGCTCTTCAAAGCCTTCTTCCACCCTTTCCAGAATTTCCCACCTTGCTTAAAAGTGTTGAAATTTGGGCGTGCACTCAAGGCACCTTTTCCTCTCTGTGCCTCTTGTCGCGGAAAGACCTAGTGCATGCCGCCTCGTCATATCCACAAAAACACTCCGTCCCTTCCTCCCACTCTCAAATCCTCCTTCCACTATCATCGTGGTGATCAGCCTGTGTTCGAACCGTCGACTGATACAGGCTAAGAGGGGTTTAAAGACTTTTTTTTTCCTAATCTTCTCTGACTCTTTTTTTCCTGTCTTTTTTTCTCTCCCCCCACATCCTTTTCTTTGCACACCATGGATGCCCGTCAGGTGTTGCAGAGCACCCTCGCGCCAGATGCGGCCGAGCGTACTAATGCCGAACAACAACTCGCCCATGCCGCGGAGGTCGACTTCGTACGCTTCACCCTGCTCCTTCCACAGGCGTTACTGGAAAAGATTCAGGATCTGGACGCTAATATCTTCGTTATCTGATAGGCTGCCTACCTTATTACCCTCGGTCAAGAACTTGCCAACGAGAGCAGCCCCGCTCATATTCGTGTCGCTGCTGGTATTGCCCTGAAGAACGCTTTCACTTTTCGGGATCAGGCCAAGTTGCGAGAGGTGCAACTTCGATGGGCTCAGAGCATCAACCCTGAGACCAAGACTCAGGTCAAGGAGCTTGCGCTTAAAACCCTGCAGTCCCCCGATGTCCGTGCCGGAGGTGCTGCCGCTACCCTTATCGTTTCGATTGCCTCAATCGAGCTGCCGCGCAATGAGTGGCCTGAGTTGATGGGCGTTCTTGTCCAAAATGTGGCGAGCGGAAACGACGCCCTCAAGCAGTCCTCCCTGACTGCCATCGGTTACATTTGCGAGTCCCAAGATCCAGATCTTCGCGCAAGCCTTACACAACACTCTAATGCTATTCTCACTGCGGTTGTGCAGGGTGCTCGACGGGAGGAGGAAAACAACGATGTCCGCTATGCCGCTATTGCCGCTCTCAGTGATGCTGTCGACTTCGTGCGAACCAATATGGACAACGAGGGAGAGCGCAACTACATTATGCAGGTCGTTTGTGAGGCTACCCAGGCCCAGGAGGTCCGCGTGCAAGCTGGTGCATTTGGCTGCCTGAACCGAATCATGGGTTCGTATTACGAGAAGATGCGCTTCTACATGGAGAAGGCTCTGTTTGGCCTGAGTATCATGGGCATGAAGAGCGAGGAGGAAGAAGTCGCTAAGCTGGCTATTGAGTTCTGGTGTACTGTCTGCGAGGAGGAGATTGCCATCGAGGATGACAACGCCGAGGTAAGAATTCGACGCCTTCCATCAAGTGCATTTGAGCGTGTGTTTATTAACTTATTTCTTTTGATAGGCTCAGCAAGAGGGTGTTGAGGCTCGTCCTTTCTTCGGATTCGCTCGCGTTGCTACTCGTGAGGTTGTCCCCGTTCTGCTGCAATCTATGTGCCGACAGGACGAGGATGCCACCGATGACGAGTACAACGTATCCCGCGCTGCCTACCAGGCCATGCAGCTTTACGCCCAGTGTGTGCAGGGCGATGTTATTCAGCCCGTTGTGACATTCGTTGAAGAAAACATTCGCAACGAGGACTGGCACCGTCGTGACGCCGCTGTGGCTGCTTTTGGCGCCATCATGGAAGGCCCTGAGCCCCGTGTGTTGGAGCCTCTGATCAAGCAGGCACTGTCTGTACTGCTTGGCATGATGGAGGATAGCTCTATCTCCGTTCGCGACTCAACTGCTTACGCCCTGGGTCGCGTGTGCGACTGCTGCCCCGAGGTTCTCGATCCCGAGGTCCACCTCCAGCCTCTCATTTCTTGCCTATTCAATGGCCTTGCCAACTCTCCCAAAATTGCCAGCTCTTGCTGCTGGGCGCTCATGAACGTCGCAGATCGCTTTGCCGGTGAACCTGGCTCGCAGACTAACCCTCTGTCGAAGCACTTTGAGGACAGTGTGAAGTCCCTACTTACAGTCACCGAGCGGTACGTTTTTCAGTAATAACCCCCAACTAGATTTCGTTGATCTAACAACCCTTTAGACAGGATGCCGATAACCAGCTGCGTACCGCTGGATATGAAGTTCTGAACTCATTCGTCATGAACTCTGCTAACGACAGCTTGCCCATGGTTGCCACCCTCTCAGACGTTATCATCCAGCGCCTTGAGCAAACTGTTCCCATGCAGCAGCAGATCGTCAGCGCCGAGGACCGTATGCTTCTCGAGGAAATGCAGACTAGCTTGATTAGTGTCATTCTCGCTATTGTTCAGCGCTTCGAGGGAGAGATCAAACCCCAGGCTGACCGCATCATGAGCGTGCTCCTCCAGGTTCTGACCACCATTGGTGCTAAGTCCAGCGTGCCAGATGTCATCTTTGCCACCGTCGGTGCCATTGCTAGCGCTCTCGACGAAGAATTCATCAAGTACATGGAGTCCTTCAGCCCCTTCCTATACAACGCCCTTGGCAACCAAGAGGAGACCGGTCTCTGCTCCATGGCCATCGGCTTGGTTAGTGACATTGCTCGTGCATTGAACGAGAAGGTTCAGCCTTACTGCGATCACTTCATGAACCTCCTGCTTAAGATCCTTTCGGTAAGTGATTCTTTTGAGATTCGCTAATGATTGTGATTTTGAATGCTGACTTTCAAAACAGGCCTCCAGTAACCAGCTTAAGCCGGCGATTCTTGAGACCTTCGGTGACATCGCTCAAGCTATTGGAACCAACTTTGACACTTACTTGGCGATTGTCGGCCAGGTTCTCCAGCAGGCTTCCAGTGTCACCACCAGCTCTGATCTCCCATACGATATGGTTGATTACATTGTTTCTCTCCGTGAGGGTATCATGGATGCTTGGGGCGGAATCCTTCTGTCTTACAAGGGCACATCTTCGAGTAAGTTACTTTTTACCCCACATACATGACTTCAAAATGCTAACTGATTACAGTCACTCAACTCCAGCCATTCATTGAGTCTATCTTCAACCTTCTGCACATCATCTCTCAGGAGAGCAACCGCAGCGAAGGCCTTATGCGCTCTGCTATGGGTGTTATTGGGTAAGCATGATCTTCTTGTCGATTTGGGTTCTTTCTTTTGACATGTTTTGATAGTGACCTTGCCGACGCGTTCCCCAATGGCGAGATTGCTACGTACTTCACCAACCCTTGGGTTACCGCCCTCGTACGGGAGACCCGGCAAACCAGACAATATAGCGAACGCACCATCGAGACCGCTCGCTGGACCCGTGAGCAGGTCAAGCGCCAAGTCAACCTCGGTGCCGGTATGTCGTAAAGCCATTGAGCCGTCCCATACCATCGAATCCCATGGCGTCTCGTTCGACTTTTCAATACCACCCGCCACCCACCTTGGAGCTCTTGGGTTTAATCACTCGAGCCCTTGTTGGACGTGGATCCAAGGCGGTCTGGCCTCGCGCCCACTTGGTGCCATCGGTGGACGTACAGAAGCCGCCGAGTTTGTTGGAGGCTTATCGCAGGCTTTTTGCCGTCTGCCTCAAATATTTCTCCCCTTTATTCCCAGCACAGGACCCCCCCTCCCCTTTGGAAATGAACTCAGTTCCCCAATCCCTTTGCTGGTGCTCAATTCCTTGATGACACACGTTCGAATGAAAGCCAGTTACCTTTGCCCTTTGTTATGGCCCTGTCAGATTCCCTTTTTTCTTCTTGACACAACCCTTTTCATCTTGCCCTTCCCATCCTCTTCTAAGTTGTTTTTAATTAGACAAGACCCCTTCCCCCACACCCGCATCCTATAGCATTGCGACTCATGTAGCCCAAGAATTCATGTATTCCCCCATCTCCTCACCTGCACCCACTATTCATGTATCCCAACCCCTTTATGTCACCCTACCAGAAAAGAGTCATTGTCATGAAAAAGCTGTCCCTGATTTCGTCTCCTCCCTCGTATACGCTCCGAACTTACCCCGACCACTTCACACTGAAGAATCATGTATAGACCCATGGTGGGTATTACCCATGAAAGGAATAAGTGGATGGTGTGCTGATGATTTGTTAGTAGCAGTAATAGTAGGGATATTTGTATGATTATTTGCTTCGTGATTTCTGCCGCTATTGTGTACGATCATTGTGTAATTTTACTACTGATTTCATCTTTTCGTTCTACACTACGGTGAATGCGAATAATCTAAGTTGCCGAGGAGATAGTTATCAGATGTGTTTGCCTAAGGCACTAAAGATTCCTGAAATGGTAATATCACCACGTGACCCGAGATAAGGGCTTTGTTGCGTGACAACCCTACCCGCCCACGAAAATCAAAGTTCCACCCGTTCAGCAAATTCTTCCCTTCGCTCCATCCATCGTCGACCATCTCTCGAGGTATGTTTTCTGCCCCCCCCTTTCTACAACAGCCTCTCGGCTAGTCTGGGGGTGCAATCATCTTGTCTAGATTGCTTCCAATGCCAGAATTATAGAAAATTCTCAGGAACTGCGGTCCAGGAAGCCAAGATGATACGCATCTCCCAACTCGGCACGGGCTGAAGAACTCCTTGCAATGCAAAAGGGGCACTCTTTGCGCTCGAAGACTAGTGGTGGCTGACTTGTTCTGCAATTTGAAAACACCCTTCCGGTTAGTCGGAATGGGGTGCTTTTCTGTTGCGTTTGTCGTACAGATACCTCATAATCCTTTTTTCTTCCAAACGATTTGAGAATCTCGATTCCTAAACCGCCAAAATGGTCAAGACTTCCGTCCTCAACGATGCGCTCAACGCCATGAACAACGCCGAGAAGGCTGGCAAGCGCCAGGTCCTCATCCGTCCTTCCTCCAAGGTCATCGTCAAGTTCCTTGCTGTCATGCAGAAGCACGGTACGTTCCATTGTGATATCCTTTGCCTTGATTTTATTTCTATTTTGTCCTTTTTGCTTTTGTCTGTTATGTTTTCTTATGTCTGTTGTCTTTTTTTTCATCTCCATATCCTGTCCCGAGAATTTTTGTCCCAAGCCATTCGGGCTGATAACTAGGCGGCCGGTCTCAACAACCTACGACGTCTGCCTTTTAAGTGCCCGATATATTGACTGCGGAGATCTTACACGTTTTCAAAGCGCTTTAATTGCTTTTTCAGTATTTGACGACTTTTAAATCTTCGCAACATACTGACATTCTTTCTTTTTCAGGTTACATCGGCGAGTTCGAGGAGGTCGATGACCACCGCTCCGGCAAGATTGTCATCCAGCTCAACGGCCGGTACGTATCCACAACCATTACCGCCGGTGAACATCAAGCTAACTTACATCTTCAGTCTCAACAAGTGTGGTGTCATCAACCCCCGCTACCCCGTCCAGCTCCGTGACCTCGAGAAGTGGGCTACTCAGCTCCTTCCTTCTCGTCAGTTCGGTTACGTCGTCCTGACCACCTCCGCCGGTATCATGGACCACGAGGAGGCTCGCCGCAAGCACGTTGCTGGCAAGCTCCTTGGCTTCTTCTACTAGAGGAGTCGTTCTTCTAAAAAAGGAATTGAAAAAGTTCTTGCTTTGACTGGTTTCGCATGGCGTTTGATATACTGGGCTGGACCCTGGGAATGTAATCTGGATGTAGCTGTGAACAAAATACCCCCGTTCCGCACTTTGATAGCTTGCAGAGTACATGGTGCGCTCGTATTTGAATGTTAGTCGATTCTGGTCTGCAAGTGTATTTTGCTCATCATCACTCCTTGTAGTCTCTAGACACGAACCGAGGCAAAAGTTCACCGCCTTCGCTGTACAAGTATTCTGCCTTTTCCCCCGCAACAGGTCAACAGGTGAACATTCAGGAACTCATATGCCATGCCTTTGGACACCATATATCTGACCCGACATGGGGTATGTAATAGAATTGTATTTTTTTCTGAATCCAGTAGACCTGACAATCGCAGCACCGGCTCAACTGGACCATCGATTTCAGTACGGGAACCTACAAGTCCCAGTTCCCCACGCCGTCAGGGAATCCAGCAGACCCGGCTTTGACTTCGCATGGTGTCCGTCAATCGCATGAGCTCGCATCGCACATCGCCAGCCCCCAGTTCCATCCGAAGCCATTCCGGGTCTATTCGAGTCCTTTCTATCGCTGCCTGCAAACGATTCAGCCCACGGTCGAAGAGCTGAAGAGGATCCATGAGTCTGGAGAGAGCCAGAACGGGGCTTGTGGCCTTGGTTTGATTGATCGACATGCGAAGCTAGATGTGCAGATTGAGAATGGACTAGGGTGAGTAGTATATGCTCGAGAGATTCTTAGTTCGGTCACAGTACTCATTCATATACAGAGAATGGTTCGGTGCAACGGACTTCTTCGACCACCCCTCGCACCCGACAACAGAGGAGATGTCAATACACTTCCCAACACTGCTCCCACCAGCCAGTGTGCACCAGAAGCCTCTGTTGATTCCCTCCACACGTGGCGAGACAATAACTCAGCTTCACAACCGTGTGGCAACAACTTTGGCAGGTATTATTGCCGACATTGATGCGCAGGTCTCTGCGCTGGAGGCGAACTTACCCGTAGAACAAAGAAAAAGCAAGTCCGTTTTGATCTGCGCACATGCAGCTCCGCTAATCGCAATGGGCCGGGCGTTGACGGGCCGCATGCCACATGATAGCTCAGAGGAAGATTTCAACGTGTTCACTGCTGGTATGAGCACTTTCAAGCGCAGGAATTTTTCCCTCGACGGCGCGGAAAGCAATGATCACAATGGAAAACAGGAGAGTCTACTGGCTAAGGGAACCCGGTTCATTCGTGCGTCGGAATCTGTGCCGCAGTGGAGAGGGCGTGGTGTGGGAGGTGGATGGGACTGTGTTGCAAATGGCGATTGTAGTTTCTTGAGCGGAGGCGCCGAGCGTGGATGGTGAGTCTTCTATATTCTGGTTCTGAGAGACTATATTGACATGGAGTCTGCAGGCACTTTGATGGCGAAGAGAATTTCCAATCGGGTCCTATGGGTCCATCGTCGGAAACAGCCGCGAGTACTACAGCCAGCACGAAGTTGTGAGACACAACATGGATGCTTTGTAGAAAGACCATTGACGACTTGGACAAGGAGTCATGCTGATGCTGTTCACTCATTATGTGTCTAAGAGATGCTGGTATCTGCACCAGTTGACACTATTTCCATTACCTAGGTATAAATAGGTCTGCGATATTGCATAGAAAGACGAAAATCAATCGATCACTGCCATTCGGTGGTCGAGAACCTTGTATAGCAAAACAATAATACAACCAAATGATAGCATCATTTAATGGGTCAAAGTTACTCAAAGCGACAAGGACAAACAATGGCTCATTCCTACGTTTATATTCTACATGGTTTTTCCGGGTCAAGGCAACTCCCTGTCTGGGCATAGTAATAGACCATGGAAATATTTACAAGTAAACTGTCTTCTCCAATCAGCTGGACAGGCTGAATAGTTGATGAGAAGATGTTGCATCGGCCGAAGGTAGTGTAAGCCCTAATAGTGCAACTTTGGAACCAGCATGTGCAAGATCAAAAAGTGAAATAATCAACTTCTTGGAGCAGAAGGTTTCGGCGATTAATCTGAAATGAACTGGTACTACGCCTGATCGGAGCCAGAGGCAAAGCACGTTAGAGAAAAGAGAAAAGAAAAGGAAATATCAAGATAGATCTCCGTATATATACCCCCAGCTCAGGTTGTGAGCACACAATAAGACTGCTGTTTTCACATTTGGGAAGATACTGTGACGCTAAAGCTAATGAGAACTATGAAAATTTATATGAAATCCATAGTTGAGATAGATATCCATCTCATTCAGTGTGTTGCTGAACATTGGCGGAACTGGATTCATCAATAACATTGGCATCGACATCACCCGCTCCATTAGGAGCTTGTCCAGCCTGCTCTGCCCGTTCCCGTTCCTCTGTCTGCTCCCGCTGCACACGTTCCTGTTCCGCACGCTCACGTTCCTGTTCAGCGGCATGGCGGGCTTGAACCTGACGCTCTCCGAGCCCGGGAATCAAACTTGCAACAAGCAGAACAACAGACCGTTCCATGCGGCGAATCTGGTCCCAGATGCTGAAGACTGGCGCCTCATTTGCTACCTGCGCGGCTGGGTCTGATGGCCCACCAACATGGGTGAGGCCTTCCAGATGGCGCTGCGCAGGCGCAACAACCAATCGCATCAGTTGCTGTGGAATCTCCGTCTCCGACAACAATGTGACCAGAAGAGCGATGCTGACAAAAATATAGCGTCTCCAGGTTCCGGGTGCGCTGGTCAGGTAGCAGAAGAACCACAATCGGGTAAACAGCCAGATGCGGCGCATGTGTCGTGCTAGACCGGCATGCTCAACGTTGTTTCCCCGGCGCTGTTGGTTGAGCATCGCTTGGCGAACGACATTTTGCACAGCGGCTGCATTCGGGTTTGGCTGAGGCACGGCTTGATCGCCCGCTGGAACTGTGCGAGTGGGGAACGTCGGCTGCATTGTGGGCAAGGGGGAGTTGATTACGTTTGGTGCCATGATGATATTTCGATCTCCGCTTGGTGAGGACAACATGAAGATCTGGGGAGAGTTTGTTGCCCCCCTATCGACTGAGCCTATAGCAGTCGAGGACTGACTTGGAGAGGTAAACTGTGAAGGCCGTTGCAGCATTTTGTCTAATAAGCGGGCTCGTTGTTGGGCGTCCAAGATGCGGCAAAGCAGCTCTGCAATGCCAGGAACCGGAAGTCCCCTCTCATAACGAGTGTCCTGGATCTCAAGAAGTTGAGTTCGTATGCGAATAACGTGTTCCATGGATGGCATGGCATGCTGATCTAGTTGTTGTTCGATGACTTGAATCTGACAGCGTATAATGTGCACGCGCCGAGCGAATTCAATGCCGTCAACTTCTGATACATATGAATTGTTTGCAAATGGACTTGGTAGTGGGCTGTTGAGGGGCAGGTTAGTTGTGGTGTATGGGGCCCCAGTGCCAATATTAGGTCTTGCAAAGCTGGGTATGGACGGCATGCTTGGTGTTGCCACCGCTGAATGCGTGCTGGACTCCATCAGATTGGACATTTGGACAGGACCTCGAGCAGTGACTCCTCCTAAAAGAGGGCTTTGTGGCAATTCAGATGACACAGGGGGATTCTCTATCTTAGTTGGCTCGGGTGGCAGGACAAGGTGCATACTGTCACTGTCATTATGTTCCTATGGCATTATGTCAGACTAGGAAACAATATCATATAGAGTTGGTAATGACGAGTTACTTACCTCCCCAATTGATACTATCGCTTCGAGTACTGCGTCCTCAATTCTGAGGGGCTTTCCTCGGTATATCAGTCTCTGGGTATTTACCGGAGGATGCTTAGGGAAGTCTCGTTCAATCCGCTGCTTCAGCTGGGAAACTGTGGTCGACAATGGAATATCTTCAAGGGTGAAACGGCTCGGAGGAGGTAGAGATTGGCACAGTATATGGAGGGTGATCGCATTGCGTCTTTCTTCCGTCGCGGGCTGGGGCAATGACGAAGTCGCCGCCATTATTTGAAAGAGGAATATCTTGTTCAAGTAGAATGTGTTCAGGGTTTGAATGCTTGGATATGCACAGACCGAGAGTAGACGTTATGTGGGTGCCACTAGTGTGTCGTCGGTGCTGCGTTATCGCGGAATGCGGGAATGGGACACGGGCAGACGATGCAATTATCTTTCGCTCCGAGAATTTCTATTGCTTAGACCAGACTCCCCAAAGAGGACGGAAACGGAGGCCTCTGAACAAAAAGCTTGGGAAGAGACAGCTGTAGACTCGATCTAGATCCTGATATCTGGCATCAATCTTCCGATAAGAAGTATACGCGAAACCCTTGATATGCGGCTTGTGACCGTTGATTAGACAAAATAATAGGATGATACCAAGACAATTAATGCACAGAGAATCGAATTTGTAGGAAATGTCCAATGAATTGCAGAGAGATGATGATAATCAGACCAGAACATTGCATCTCCACGTGCAATTCTGCCTGGGCGGTGTATCGGCAGCAGGTCATTTCCCCATTTCGGAAAAAAAACGCTCAGAGCTTAGGGGTCGATTTAGCGTCTCCAGGCCGATGGATTAAACATTATGGCCAAGCGCCTTTTTTCATCTTCTACGCTCCTTCACTGTCCTCCCGCTTTCCCTCGGACAGGGGCTGCGTCGATGGAGGTTCTCTCGTTTCGGGCCACGGCCCGCCATAAGGCCAGTCTGCGGCATTTTTCGTCCAAATCATGGCGGCAATATCACAAAGACAATGAAAATAATAGAGGTGGATTCGGTTCACGGCTAGGATTTGCCCTGCGCAACACTAAGGTCGAATGGTATCCCATTCCCGTTGGACTCGGTATCGGCCTACTAGGGTTGTTGAGTTTCTACAAATCACAGCGCGCGGAACGCGAACGTCTGGCCCGCGATGCCGCTGGAGATGAATGGGAGGATGGAAAGCGACCCCCACGCCGTCCACGCATATCACTATCTGGTCCATGGCATGTTCAGATCATGTCTACCCTACCCCTAAAGGCCATGTCGCGGCTGTGGGGTCGTTTCAACGAAATCGAACTTCCTTACTACTTCCGTGTACCCGGCTTCAAACTCTACTCCTGGGCCTTTGGTGTCAACCTTGAGGAGGTCGCCGAGCCTGACTTGCACACATACCCAAATCTGGCCGCGTTCTTTTACCGCAAGCTGAAGCCCGGTGTTCGACCTTTGGACCCTGATCCCCGCGCACTTTTGGCGCCCTCCGACGGTCGAATTCTGCAATTCGGAATGATCGAACGTGGTGAAGTTGAACAGGTTAAAGGAATGACGTACAGTCTGGATGCCCTCTTGGGTTCGGCCACGCCTGAACATGCTGATCACACTAACCGGTTGGTCGACAAGGGCGCAAAGGAAACGCAAAAGGATGTCGAAAACATGTCTGCCCATGAAGAGTTCGCACGCATGAATGGTATTTCTTATACGCTCCCAACCCTGCTCTCTGGTGAATCCGATGGCTCCAAACGCCGTGCGTCATTGGATGCTTCAACTGCATCCAAGGTAACCTCGGAAATCCAAGTCCAAGAAGAGCTGGCTCGTGGTGACGGAGTCCCGTGGTACGCGCCAAAAGCTGCGGCTAACCATGCCTTGTTCTACGTGGTGATCTACCTGGCTCCCGGTGACTATCACCGGTTCCATTCCCCAGCTCCCTGGGTAGTTGAGAGCCGTCGTCACTTTGCTGGTGAGCTTTACTCCGTTTCACCCTATCTGCAAAGGCATCTACCCGGATTGTTTACTCTCAACGAACGTGTGGCACTTCTTGGTCGGTGGCGATGGGGATTCTTCAGTTACACACCGGTCGGGGCCACCAACGTAGGCTCCATCAAAATCAACTTTGACTCGGAATTGCGTACAAATAGTCTTTTAACCGACACCGCTGCGGACTTAGCAGCGGCCTTGGCTGCTAAGCGGGGTGAGCAATATCCCGGTTTTGTCGAGGCGACTTATCGCCACGCTAGCCATACGCTTGGCGGACATCCCCTGCAGCGTGGAGAGGAGATGGGAGGGTTCCAGCTAGGCAGCTCGATCGTGCTTGTGTTTGAAGCTCCCCTTGGAACTCGCAAGTCTGTCGATGCCGGCTGGCCGGACGATGCTCCAAGTGATGGCTGGACATGGAGTATTGAAAAGGGTCAGCGCATCAAGGTCGGTGAAAAGTTGGGCTTTGTGGGTGACGCGTGAGGCACCTGAAGTCACACAGCCCCCATGGGCTGCATTAGCCTATGCATTCAACAACATAGCCTGATTTTGGATTGTGATTTGATCTTATGTATTATACCAGGTCTATTGGACCAGCGCCGGTCTCGAAACTTTATCATTTCCACTTGTCCTAATAAACTGTATCATTTTGTATACTTCCTAATAAACTGTATCATTTTGTATACTTTATGGAGTACAACAGCCAATTCAGCGTATATACAACGAGTTACATGTGTACATGAGTTAGTTAAATATATAGAAGTATACAAGTTCTTAATTGGGCCAGTAGAGGCTATCTAAAATCTTGGCAGTTGACTGGTGATATCATCTCCGAAACGCGTCACTTCATTGACTTTGATAGTTACACTGTTATAAGTTGTATGGCGTATTGATTCACAACATTGCACCATATGTACAGTAAATGCTTTGATCATATTAAGCAATTATCACGTATGAAAAAAAAACCAAAAAAAAAAAAAAAAAACTTGTACATAAAGAAAGAAGAAAGAAAGAAATGTGGATTAGCCACCCTAGCTAGCCACTTTGTGGAGATAAGGCAAGGAAATTCCCATCCAAAGAACTATCAACGTGCCAAGCTTGTGATAAAAACAAGGAATGTCTAATTCTTCATCTTCTTTTCCACACCATTCTGAGGTTTTGTAATTCATATTCTCATGGCCATCTTTAACTCACCTCGATCATTTCAAAATGTCAATTTCAATCAGGCCCCTATGGGCATTGATCGCTCATTCATGGCAAGCGCCCACGAGAGTCATCCCCCATTCTTTCATTTAGTGCTTCTTGTGTTTGAGGCCGTCTTAGAGGTTGTCTGCGTCAGTCTCCCTGGATACATTGCCGCTCGTACGGGCATGTTTGATGCCGATGCTCAGAAGCTTGTGGCGAACCTCAATGTGACTTTGTTCACGCCGTGCCTGAGTATGAATACCTTCCCCGATCCCCCTGTGAGAGGGATCTGAGCAGATTCTTCCTTAATTCGCTAAGCTGACTCCTGTCAAAGTCTTCACAAAATTGGGTTCGCAATTAACTGCTGATAAGCTGACGGACCTGGCGATTATCCCCGTCATTTTCATCGTCCAGACATTTGTTTCATACTTCTGTTCCTTTGTTGTTGCAAAATGCTGTCGCTTCAAGAAGCGTCAGTCCAATTTTGTGGCTGCTATGGCGGTAGGTGATTATCCTTATCTAGCGAGGTTGACCATTTAGTTGAATGGTACTAATGACGAACCCTTGGCAGGTCTTCGGCAATTCGAACTCCCTCCCCATCTCCCTCGTTGTGTCACTCTCACAAACCCTTAAAGGCCTCCACTGGGATCAGATCCCTAACGACAACGATGACGAAGTCGCTGCACGTGGAATTTTATATCTTCTGATCTTCCAGCAGCTGGGCCAGCTCGTGCGCTGGAGTTGGGGATACCACATTCTCCTAGCCCCCAAGGATCGATACCTGGAAGAGGCTGAGCGCGATGAGACCGGCCAGTCGGTCATTGAGCAAGGCCAAGCGCGGTACACCGACAACCCAGACCAGACAGACCCGGACGAACCACTCATCCGAACGCGCAGTTCAGAAGATCTGGATCATGCGCACCACGCCACACATAGCGACCGCTTCCGATCCGGCGATCAAACACCCGTATCAACGCGTGCATATTCCTACTCCAAGCTCTCCTCCGCCCACTCCGACTGCCCAGGTTCAGACGACACCCCGTCAGTAATCGGACCGCCACCATCGGGCCCCTTCCTGGCCCGCCAAAGCACCGAGGGCGAAATCCTCCAATTTCCCGATGTGGAGGGCACTGCCCGGGAAGCCCACGAAGCAGAGCAGACCCGCATCCAACGCTGCAAAGCATCCCTTCGCAAATCGCGAGACCGTTTGGGCCGCTGGCGCGAAGAGAAAACCAACGCGCTGCACGCGCGTCTCCCTACACAAGTTCAAAAAGCCCTTGGCTCGACCACGCGCGGTCTGCGTCGCTTCCTCAGTGGTCTGTGGGACTTCATGAACCCGCCCTTATGGGCAATGCTCGTGTCAATTATTATCGCCTCCGTACCTAACCTCCAACACCTCTTCTTTGATGACGGTACCTTTGTTCGCAACTCTGTGACCCGCGCAATCGACCAGAACGGACAGGTTGCTGTGCCACTGATCTTGGTCGTTCTGGGTGCCAACCTTGCGCGCAACACTATTCCAGAAGAGGCACTGGCCGATATGGAGCACCCCCGTGATGAGCGCAAGCTGATCATCGCTTCTTTGGTTGCGCGCATGCTGCTTCCTACTATCATTATGGCACCATTGTTGGCGCTCATGGCCAAATTTGTGCCGATTAGTATTCTTGACGACCCGATTTTTGTTATTGTCTGCTTCTTGCTTACTGGCGCGCCCTCGGCTTTGCAATTGGCGCAGATCTGTCAGATCAACAATGTTTATGTGGGCGCCATGTCGAAGCTCCTGTTTCAGAGCTATGTTGTCTGGTATGTTCCTTTTTCCTGCACAAAGAGCAAACTCTTCGCCGATTGGGACCATTTGATATACAGGCATGCTAATAATTCTCAATCAGGATCCTGCCCTCCACCCTTGTGCTCGTCATGTGTGCCTTGGAGGTCGTCGAGTGGGCTGCCGCTTCTTCGTAGCCTCATCCTATGTTTCCGTACTAACCTGAATCGTGGAGCTGGTCTTACATTCTTTGATATTGTTCCTCGGTCATTGCATTTTAACTCGTTGTGGACATTTGTGATTACCCTCTCTCGCTTTGGACTGCATTGGCGTTATGGCACTGGACACGGCGCAGTCTATATATCATCCTATGAAATGTTTTGACTATATTTATATTGAAATTAGATCTTCTTATCAAGTCGAGTCTGACACGGCTGAACAGTATTAATCTTTCTCGCATTTTCAAGCCCTGGGAGATCAGTGGGGGCCGTACCTTGATCCAAGTCGACGACTTTGTTAGGCGCCAATGTTTGGGATCATTTATCGAGGTCCAATACTAGCCTACTTAGCTCAGGCACTAGACAGTGGCTTTGGTCCCTGCCAAGACAAATTGGTGATTTAACGCTTGATGAGAGGGGTCAGAGGAAGTTTTCTAACCACAATTGAAGCGCTTTAAGCCTCGTTTGGATAGCGCTGCATGGTTACGGTTTTTTCATTCCCCCTTTTTAAGGAAGTTTATTTAATAAATAGGAGCACAGAAATCCTCAATATGAACACGGTTTCATTATCGATTTTAGGGAATAGGCTGTGAAGAATCGACCCTCGCAATGCCTAACGTTACAGCTTCCGATGGATGGTGGTCTTTTGAGAATGTCGGCCCTCTCACAACAACATTCGCCCGGCCCACGAGCTGTTCCATTCTTGAGCTTGGTCACATGAGCAATGGGATTTTCTGGGGTAGATTTGACGTTCAATGTACTTCATATGACTCAGCCTGCTATCCAGCCATCACGACTGCAACATCATCCGTTGACCTTAGTGAATTTGCTGGATATGGAGGGTACTTCTCGCCAGGTTTATACTGCCCCTCTGGCTGGGCGACAGTCGGTGTAGCAGCCCGCGACGAGAACCATTCGCTCAGCAAGTCGGGATTCATGACTACCTCGACGAGCAAGCAAGAAGCTGCATTCGACTACCCGCAGACTCTCCTAGCCAGCATACTGGAGCCTAGCCAGACTATGGCTCTTTGCTGCCCGAGGTATGCCCTTTGTGATCCAAGAGCCAGGCTTATGCTGACTATATTCATAGCTCGATGACCCCAGATGTCGGTGGTGCTTGCGTCTCCACTATGCCGGACATGAAGCCAACTTCGGGATGTGTCGTCTACGAACAGTACCAATGGGAGGGAACCGCTTCTCCTTTGTCGACCACGGTTCAACCCAGTCTGGTAACTTCTACGGAAACTAGGAGCGAATACCTTTCCACTTTGACTGTTTACTCATGGGCACCTATGATCACACTCTTGCACCATCAATCTGATCTGGACTCGGCTGCCACTGGCACGTCTGAGTCTGGAGCCACGAGTACCGCTACAACTACGTCGAATGCTGCAGGCAGAATAGGCTCGCAGGGGTCGTGGGGTGGGTTGAGCGCTTCGCTTGGTCTCTCTGCTCTTGCGATGGCTCTGGGAGCTAGTGTCATTTTCATGGCGTAAGAAAGCACGCCTCATTTTAATAATCTTGTCAATGTTTGGCTATATATCAATAGCAAGCCGTGCTGACCGCGCAGAGCGCGATCTCCTTCACCTTTCAATACCTTGGCAAACTAGTTCATGCACTTCCAACAACTAGTTTGCTTGGAAAATTGAGCTAGGTTTCGCATTGCATGGAGCAGACGCGGTGGGCATGCAAGGGAGAGACATATTGAGAGAGCTGAGCTTTTAGGCGATTGGGCGCATGCCTCTTTCGTTAATTTATTGGCGGTTTGCTGTTGAGTAACTTCGCAGCTAAATGCAGCTGGTAGACTTGGCCATGCTTCAGAAAAACCGAGTAACAATAAGATTGATTACTTTGTCTTGTAGTCGTGACTAAACGGCAGAGGAAAGTCGGCGCAGACAACTTTCAACAAATTGGCCTATTAGAACCAAAGGTTTCATCGGCGAACTCCTTGAATAGGCTCAGCTGAGCACCCAACAGCTCGCCACACGAGCGCAGCATTCCCCGTATTTGGCGTCTGACACCCCAGATCGAGATCTGCATAGCCGAGCCCCGATCAATCAACACCTCGCAGACCCACGCACACTCCTCACGCCAAGAGGTCAAAATTTCAATCTGAGGCCAAGTGGAGAATCAGAGTGAAACCCTGTCACTCAAATCTTGCAGACCGGGTGTTTAGATCCCGAAGCTATAATTAGGGGTCTTGTGTCGTCGGTGGCACCACGACGCTGTATAATTTCTGTGTGTTATAAGACCCTGAGTATCTGCAGTGTGCCTGTACTTAATCCAGTTCCAAAAAAATCATCATCTCTACATCTACATTTTGTTCAGTTCCGAAGAATTAAGATGAAGTTTACTGTCCCAGTCCTTGCTTCCCTGGTGGCTACCAGCACCGCCTTGTTCGATAAGAACCAGCGTATGCACTATCACACCAACTGATCCCTCAAACCAAACATGACCCCGACTAACAGTTTCGAATCAATTAATAGCGTGGGGCAAACGCGACTACTCCTGCGTGAACGTCTACCAAGGTATTCCCGATAACTCAACCGTGACCGCCGGACAAACCATCAAATTCCGCTTCGACCGCAAGCCCACAGGTCGCTGCCCAGACCCGTTGACCCAGTACCCCGGTGACGACTACAGCGTCTGGCTGTATAACAACCCCGTGCGCAAGCTGGATACCATTTCCTTCGACCAATCCATTAAGATCACAAGCGGTATCAAGGAGAAGGCTGGTGTTGTGGACGTTACTATTCCCAAGAACTTGCCAGATGTCAAGGATGGTTCGCTTTGGTATTTGAGAGTCGGTACTTCTCTGTCGACAGCACCTCAGGTATGTTTCGATGTTTTGCCCTTTTTTACTATGGCTTATTTGTGGTTGGATTGTTTACATCGGGACTGCTTTTGTTTCTGGATGACTGCATGCTAATTTGATGATGCAGATGCCCACTCTGTTCAACGCTGCTGGACCGTTTACAGTCATCAAGGCATAGATGAATTTAAAACCAAAACTAGACTCGGGTTTTTAGTGAATATGAATGAGTATCCATGCATATGATGAACTGTGTTGCTTTGAAGTTTACCCAGCGATTCGCTGCAAAGAAAACAGAAAGAGAGAAAAACAAGTTGACCTTTGTATGTTCATTGGTTTAAGGCTCCTGGCCCCTGAAAAGACTTTAAAATGCTTATAGCGAAAATAAATGATCTGACCGGGCACCAGCCTCGAATGAGATGGCTATACAAGATGTCGTAATTTCATCATATCAATTCCCTAGTCCCGGTAGGAAACACTGAAGATCTTGTAGCCACCGATAGCGTCGATTCGGGTACTGTCAACGCTCAAGTATCCCTGGGCGTTGATATCAACGTATTTGCTTTGCTCCACGAACTGGATGGTGTAACCGCGACCATTGCCCAGGAAAGAGAGTCGCACTTGAGCTGCACTTGCGCTTTGGCTCTTTGGAAGTAGGACACCACGTGAGCCAACCCATCGGCCATCGAGCGCACTCGATATAGTGAAGACTTGGCTTTCCTCGTCGCTGTTGTAATGAATGATCCAACGCTGAGATTTATCATTATGTTGAGGGGTTGCATGACTGGTGGTGAGAGTGTGGCCGTTGCCGGGGTTAGTTATGGCCAATCCATCTTTCTCGAACACTAGGTAGCGGCCCTCTGTCAGGTAGCCAATCACCTCTTTGTATCCCTCTTCAAACCACAAGGAGTTGGTATCCGTTGTATTGCCTTGTTCTCCATATGGAACAGGAGGCCGTGTTTGCGCATGACGAGACTGGCAATTAGAGCTGCCAACATAATTACCCTTGGCATTTGTGGCTGGAGTCTCAGCTTCCGGGATGTTAGGGAGAGAGTAGTCCGGATGATCGAGATCCAGTGCGTTGACAAGATTTGACATGTGCTTGCGCCTCCATAAAACCATCTGGTCTGTTTGAATATTTTTGTATCCTCGGGCTGTCAACCACTCTTCAACAAAGAGAATCTGGGAGTTGTGGTCTGCTCTCTCGGTGAAAACGCGGCTTCCTCGGGTCCACGGAGAGATCATGTAGAAAGGTACTCTGAATCCCGGACCAACGAAAATATCCGAAAATAGACCCAAAGGATCCTCCATCCATTCTCCTGGAGTGTCTCTGGGAGAATGGAATGGAGTGACATGATCGCCAAAGCCACCTGTCTCATCGTAGCTGATCATCAAAAGAGTGGAATTGTACTTGGGACTGTTGGTTACTGCGTCCACAACTTTCTTTTGAAGCCAAGCTCCATCTTTGGGCATATAGGGTGGGTGCTCAGACAACTCAGCTGGACCAACAATGAAGCTGACCTCGGGCAAGGTGCCGTTAGCAGCGGCCTGATAAAAGGCATCAAGGCCAACGAATGACATGCCCTTTTTAGCGAGGGGGCTGTTCTGAGGTGCATTTTGGAACTGCTGGAACCAAGCTAAAGGGTTGTCGTCGAAGTTATTCTTATCTTGGTAGAGTTGCCAAGAGACCCCAGCTTCCTCGTAGAAATCATAGACTGTCTTCCACTTGAGTGGGTAGCAGTTGATACCGTGATCGTCACAGCCTGTACATTGCGGTCAGTGGGAACAAAGTATGCGACATGTTGCTAGATAATGACCAGGAAGAAGGGAGGGAAAGGGAAGGAAGGAAGGGCATGGTAATAGAAGAGGAAAATCGAGAACGACACGTACCTGGAACTTCGTTGTTGTCGATGTAAACACCTCCCTCATCTTTGTTTTGTGGGCTCCCGGGTACATTGATAGAGCCGCTTACTAGAGTTACCCGGTTAGGGTTGGTGGCGGTAATTTGGCTTTCCTATCTTCGATTAGTCTTATGCATCTTTCCTGATCATACCTAATCACGTACCTGATACATATCTCCTGCTGTCCATCCTTCGGCAATAGCATATTGAACAGGTATGTCCTGCCGCTTCAAGTAGCCCCAGCTCCAAGGTGTGTTTTTAGTAACCCAATGATTGTTTGAACCATTGTTCAGAGACTGCTGGTTCTCTTGATAGCCATTACTACCCGCAACCATGCACTGAATAGCATCATGCCAATCTCCGCCCTGTTGGCCCAAGTACCAGGGCAACAAAGACTTGGTTTTACTGGACTGTGCGGGATCGACTACTCTGGGAGTTGTCAGAATCTCTCACTTATTCCTCACTGAGAATATGTATTTGTACAACTTACTGGTGCCAGACCGAGTTGCCGTCGGGATTGACTTGAACATTGGGATCATTGAAGCCCCGGACTCCAGCCATTGTACCGAAATACTTCAATCAAATGAGCACAATGTCAATAGATAGTAGCACAGGGAATTGCTTACAGTGTCCCACGACCGATTTTCCTGCATGAAGATGACTACATGCTCGATGTCCTTCAAAGATCCACCCGACACCGGGCTACTTCCCAACAGCACCGCGAGAACGATACCTGGAAGCGTCTTGAAACCCATGACAGAGGGTATTTGTAGTAGGGATTAGATTGAAGAGAGAAAAAAAGAAGGAGGTTTCACTACTTCTTATTTATCTCAACAAGATCTGAGACCTTGTCACATCTTGAAAGTACCTCTTTCGTTGTACTATACCATGAAAAGGAGTCGGAAGTGATCGGAGCGCAGGGATAGGCTACATTCCTGTGAATTCATGCCGATCAATCTCCGCTTTATGCACTATACACATAAATTCTAACTACATATGAACTTACCGTGTATATAGTATGTAGTCATAGCAGAAGTTGTCCAATCTGATATGCGGGTAGATCCACGTGAAGATCCACTAGAGTAAACACTTTCTCGGCAGGAACAGCGATTTATTTAGTTTCGTGTGACCGGGCCCAAAAGCAGTGAATGATCGATTCCTTCTCAATACAACTCTGAATAATTAATTATGTCTTTACTCTGATTGATCAATAAAAGGCACGTGGGTTGCATACCTTTCTGTAAGGTCGTAGTTGGATACCCCTTTGGAGCAAGGGTGGCCATGAGGTCATAGCTCGGACCCTTGTATCTCCTCCGTTGTACGTTGCATTCATTTGGAACCATACCTCTGACATACTATAAGTGCCGCTGAATGCACTATGCTTGATCGTTGATAAATTATGCGAAAGGATAGTCTGTTTCAAACTGTCGACACTTCGGAAAAAGCCGCCCTTGGGCCGATGTCCAAACCACAACATAGGCGGTGGCCTATCGTGGGCTGTTCATTAGTCGCATGCTTTTTGGTAGGGCTGGTATACCTGCTTCAGTTGACTCCAACCTCTCCGCCCTTGATATTACCTGGGCATCGACACCAAGTGGACGAGGCCACGCGCCCGCGGATTGAAGTCCATCCGGAGAATCACATATACCGGGCACCGGTTACACATCATTTGAATTGGCGGGTGACCTCGGGCTACCGCAGGCCAGATGGCGTGTCAAAGCGGGTCTATCTAATTAACAGTCAGTCGAGCATATCATTTGGTAGTGAGGTTGTCGATCTAAACGGAGAATATCGATCTAGACCTCTTTCCTGGGCCGACGGTTGAGAGTCGATCTGGTGATACGTTGATTATCAATGTGACTAATGACCTGCCGGAAGAGTCGATTGCTTTCCATTGGCACGGTCTTCATGTAGCCAGTAAGTATTAAATTTCGGTCATATTGTCTTCCAAGACGACATGGCTAAACTCTACAGATGGCATGGATGGAGCAGTAGCAGTTTCGCAATGCCCGATCGCAGCCGGAGAACAGTTTTTGTACAACCTGACGATTCCTGCTAGCCAGAGTGGCACATTTTGGTATCATTCTCACTCAGGAGTCTCACGGGCAGACGGTCTCTATGGTGGGTTGGTTGTTCATGCCCCGGCTTCCAAATCAGCTGTTCGAGGCCGAGCTCCCGGAGACCAAGATGGAGCTCACCACCTGCCATATGATAAAGAGGTGTTGCTTCTTATCGGAGATTGGTACCATCGATCTGCGAGAGACGTCCTTGACTGGTATACAGATCCTGGGAATTTTGGAAACGAGGTAAGATACGAGATTGAACATTCAACATGCAAAGAGCCTACTTAACACAATCATCAGCCTGTTCCTGACTCACTTCTGATAAATGGAGTAGGATATTTTGATTGCAAGATGGCCGTTACTGCTAGGCCAGTGGACTGTATGGATCAGGCTTTGATTTCATTCCTTGATCTCAATCCTCGGTTGAAATATCGCATCCGTGTGGTCAACACTGGGTATGGAAACATCACGAGAGCCAGACGATTTTTAACTGACTCGTTTCCAGATCTCTTGCTGGGTTTAGTCTCAAATTTGATTATTGGGTGGATCTGATTCAAGTAGATAGCGTGGATGTCGAACGCCCTAGAGATGAAGATATTAACTCCATCGGTATACTTTACCCCGGACAACGAATGGACTTCATTCTTCGGCCACCACCGCAGAACGCCGAGAATGAACTCACCGTGGCAGTTCAATTAGATCAAGAGTATGAGCAAATTCAACGCACACCCCAGCAGCGATGAACTTCCGGCTGATACTCGACTAGGTGCTTTAAGTATGCTAACCCGGCATTGACTCCGAATCAAACTTTCCCTTTGAGTCACAAGCCTCGTCCTCTATCCGACGCTCAAACCAAGTCTTCTATCCGGATCCATCATCTCAACATTCAAGATGTTCCATCTTCATCCTCAATACTTCAAGCTATCCCCCACGTCGCACAGCAAACACATGTTGTATACACCAAAATCCAAAAGATGGCCCGGCATTCCAACAGACCACTTGGGTACTTCAATCAAACCACATGGAGTCCCCAAAAAGACCCATCTGCTCCTTTAGTATCTTTACCACGAAAAGAGTGGGATACAAACCAATTCGTGATATCCACGGGTCCATCGCCCGCGTGGGTGGACTTGGTAATCAACAACCTAGACGAAGGATCTCATCCATTCCACCTGGTAAGAAACTTCATCCCCTCCACATTGACATACCATTAACTCCATTTCACAGCACGGCCACCACTTCTACGTCCTCAAGACCCATCAATCTGAATACGGCTGGGGCTCCTACAACCCTTTCGTCGATGAAGCCCCACCCCACCTTTCTTCTGAAACAGATTTGAGATCTAAAGTTGGACATGACTCAGAAGATGCAAGCATTCCACTGTACGACCTAAACAGGGCTGCTTTGCGCGACACAGTGCAGATTCCTAGTCGCGGCTATGCTGTGCTCCGCTTCAGGGCTGATAATCCTGGTGTGTGGCTTTTGCATTGCCATGTTCTTTGGCACTCAGCTACGGGTATGGCTATGTTGATTGATGTTCAAGATGAATCGGCAGGATTAGCTGCACATGACGTGGAGTCATTTTCCAATGCAGGTGGACTGTGTCCATTCGTTTAATAAATATATACACACCTGAAGACATGAGATACGTACAGTAAATTACTAATCCGCGATGTATGCAATGGAAATAGGCATAATTGGTTAAACTAGTCGAGCAGCTCTTTCACCCGACTGTCGAGAACAACTGATTCAGTTGATCCAGTGGATATTTCTCCAGAAATTCCAGACATACCCAACAATACTTTTGGGGTGGACCCTTGAGGAAACCCTCCTCGATAGCCTTCTTCAAGCTGATAGGTTCGTTGATCTTCCACAGTGAAAGAATCTCATAGCCGTAACCGGAGAGCTTCAAGCTCTCGTTGAACTCAATGTTTCCAATGCCGCCATCTTCAGGCACATCTCCTGGACGTTTGCCCTGGGATATATGTGCGACGTATTCAATACACTGCACGGGGCTGGAGGTGTAGAACCAGATTCGCTGGATATTTGATGGGAGAAGATAGCTGCGGTATTCATGGTTTTTAGATCGCGAGGCGATGTTTCGCATGTGCTCAGGTTTGATGCTCATGAAGATGTCTGTATTGGATTTTTTATTGTTGATTTTTCCATGGTGATAGTATATGTGGACGAAAAGGTCTAAAGAGTAGTGGGGGTTGTCGAAACTACGTTTGCTTTCAATGGCTAGGTAGGAGAGGTTAGAAGCAGGAAAGAAGAGAAATAAAAGCTCCATGTTGTGTTGGACGTGTTAAGCGGTGAACTGACACGACAAAACGTCTACCTAGGTGTCAACATCATATTCTTTACGTATGTAGTTATATCTCTTTTCAGGGTATAAAAGTACTATTTGAGGTAGGAATAGTTCAATGAGGGACTACTTGATAGATGATCTACTTGGAGAACTTGGTGTGAATGACTCATAAATTTTGTTCATTAGTTTTGATTTACATTCATGCATGCACCAAGGTCCTTGGCGACGAAAAAGCATAGGAGACCATGTAGGGCACGATCACTTATTTCACTTATTTCACTTTCATCCTCATACCATCATCGTGCTTAGAGATAATCTTTAGTGCCAGAGATATATGGTAGTAAAGCAGTTCATTTCATGTCGTCTTAGTACCCACATTACACAGCTCATAATGAATATCGTATTGCCCATTCGAATTTTTGATTGGCACACCAGACCCATCCCGCTTTGTTGCACCCATCCCTATCTTCGCCCCGTCATAGTGGCGTGACGTAGATACGGCGTGACGTAGATACGATGGTCACAAAGGCTTCTATGTTCGCAAGCTCTTGTTCAATACATGAATGCTCGATACCCTGGCATTACCGGGAAACCGGATGAGTACCTGAGTCCGTTGGGGTCCCTCGATACACTGGCTATGAAGGGACTACATGATTATAGTATCAGCCACTCGGACATTATGAGGCGTTCGATAAGATCAACCTCTATCTTTTTGATTTTGGCTAATATATGTGTAGCACCCTGAATCGGCTACTGCGGGTAATAATTAGAGCGAGCAATGAAAAACCATTACTTCTTTCCTACCATCGGTAGCAAAATATCCAACAAATTTATGTAGGTTACAAGTTGATCGAATGTCTATTTTTAAAGCTAGGTTTTACACCCGCCGCTACCGTCCGAAACTCTGAATTTGTAGTTGGGCAGCAAAAGTGGCTCCTAGAAACATAGGCTTGGTAGTTCAACTTTTTTTCCTATTGGGTGGGAAGTATTTTCCAAAGTGTTGCATATCCAGGTCAGATGCGGGACTGCTTGATAGTCCAGTATGTTCCTAGATAGAATCTATTACACGAGAGGTGGAAATGAGTCATTGCTTACAATTAAATTTTACGTAGGGCGATGAGCGTGAGCACGAGCCTAGGCATGGTAGGCCTGTCTGGTGGCTCGGGTGAGGGAAATGTAAGGAGGCTCAAGCGGCCCATCGAATTCATACGCAGATTCAGCTGATCGATCTCGTAGCCAAATGGCCCGATTCAACCACATGCAGCAGATGGTATCCATGCAGCACCTTGATATGGACATAACCTGTTGTACAACCCCAACCTGCCGAGTTCAGTGGAAATACAAGAGCTCCGCTTGCCACCAATTGCCATGCATTATCTACTCAGCTACCAAATGATGATCGCAAGTTTGTCTCGTGCAGTATATGTTTCATCTTGCATTACATTGCATTGCATTAGCTCGGCGGTCCGAGCCGTGATCTCAATTAGATCGGGAAGTTCTTTTTCCAATTGGCCATCTAGCCCATCCATTCTGGTCGGTCCTTTACCTCCCTAACGTGCGGAAAGAGCTCGGTGAATCGGGTGGCGACATCGCCTTGGATGACTGCATCGCACTGAATATTTTATTGATAGGCGGACGGTGGATTTCGAAATGAATAACGCCACCGCATCTTTCTTTGTCAGCTGCTTGCGCAACAGGAGCAAAGCGATCAGGGTCTCCTGTCACTCAATCATTAGAAAGTGCACATAGAGCTATTCTAAGAAGCATAGCGAGAACCATGCCGATAGTCGATAGTCTCAGTCTTTGTTGAATATGGTTGTGAATACAGTGAGGCTTCAAATGGTCTCCAAAAGGTAGAATACTTTACGCTCAACCCAAAATAATGCATGTGCTATAACTTCTTGATAGGCAATCTGATCATAAGCTCAACAAAGCACCTTGCCAAAAACAATACAAAGCGAATCGGTAGAATTGCCTTTTTCCAATCGATATACTTCACACACTTGTGATCGTTCGCCTTAGCTGGCATCTGATCGAGCCATTTACATTGAACCCTAGCCCTGCAAGGTCACCGTCGACAGAAAATTGAGCTTTCGACATCAGATGTCAGACCGGCATACATCTCTTGTCTAATATGCAGAAGGTAGTCGGCTATCTGCTCGTCTGTATGATATGTTTGGTTGTAACAGGCCCTGATAGACAATTTATTACCAAAGGTCTGGAATCCGAAATAAATTCGTTCGTCAGTTGGCACCCCAGCCATCCAGAAGTCCCGGATTTTGAAAGAGCCGTAGCTTTTCGGGAAGGCTTTCGAGACATTCCCAATGAAGCTGGGCAGTATTCCCTTGAAGTATTCTTGAGACAATTCTGACGCGGATTTCTGCAAATATGGCACCATCGTGACGAGGGCAGCAGACTTTCGATGAGCGAGAGCCTTGTATGCATTTTTAATACGCAAGGCGGTACGTTGAAATTTATCCGTTATCAGCACCTGTACAGGCCAAAAGCCAATCCGCAGAGCAGCAGCTCTTGAATTGGCATTGGGAGGCGAGTCTGTACATCTTTCTCGAAAACTGAAAATAAGAACGGCTGAGTGGATCATACTTTCAGAACTGGGACTAATTCTCTTTCCGGCATAGAGAAGTGCTGCATGCAAGAAAGCAGTAAGCCCCAAATTTTGATTTTTAGCTTGATCCCGAAGCTCAGATGTTTCGTTTTCGGAAAACTCGAGAGATTGTGTCTTGCCTGCTCCAGGTGGGTGCGTGTTATCAACGGAAGGTATTTCGAACGCCTTTCCCTCTGCTCGTAGCTGGGGCAAAGTCGAGACAAAATTCGAGGACCAGGAATTTTCCAAAGCGGTTATTCCCGCAGCGTCGAATCCACCAGAAGCAAGGCTCTGTACTTCCGCACCCCAAGGTTCATTCACAGTTTCTCCGCCCAAGTTCAAGCGTTGGATCTCAGTAAAGAGGTCTTGTAACAAAATCACAACTGCCTGTCCATCCCCGTGCATCTGATTCATGCGGAGAATAAGTTTTTGCTTGCCAGGGAAGTAGTAAAGCACAGGCGACTGGGCAGAAGGTGCGATACCGAGGTCTTGACAGCCTTGAATTTCACTATCCGAATCCCACTCTTTCATGATGAAAGTCTTCTCCAGCCAATTATCAATATCCGCTTGATCTTTGAGAGGCATGTACCGGAATTCGTCTTGGCCGACTTCAGTGGCAAGAGTAGGATGGAGATAGCGTAGTCTGATCCATGCTTTTTTGATCGTCTCCAGAAATTTATTTGCGTCCTTAGGTAAAGTTTCCATGCCAACGCTGGCCACGATGTCAAGGCTTCGAGTTTCCGGTCTAGCCGGGTCATGACAAAAAAATAAAAACATTTTTTCAAAGGGATCAAATGGCCTGATATATTGGCCGTTGCTGACCTGTTTCCATTTGACTGATGTTGAAGAAGGTTCCGAGAGGCTTTTACTCTGGCTTGTTGTACCGAGTATATTCCCAGTGGTATTTGCAAAGGTTTCAAAACGAGTGGTGATCGCTTTGACAACAGGAAAGTTCTTCAAAATCCTAGTACGTGGTGATCTGAACAAGATAGACATGGTGTAATATGGGCCGAAAGAAGAGTCGTATCAGATGGATATACCTATCTATATCTCCGATCCTACAATGATTTACCATTGTTGCCTGTCAACAAATGGCATCGCAAGCACGTCTCCTGGCAGACTTCCAAGTTTGCGTCACCTAAGATCGAGACCGGGCTTTCAACCCAATTCAAAGTCAAGAAACCATCAGTTTTTCTGTGTACTACATTCGATTGCGGTCTTTTGGCCCATCGTCATGCCAACTTGCATGATATTTGGTAAATCTAACATAGCTTCGGAAAGTGGCAACGAATCAGCTAGAAGCCGCAGAAGAACATCAGATTGCTAAAGGGTGTTGTGTCAGTTCAAACTTGTTTTTCGACATTGACCTTGTGTGACAAAATTTGTTGTCATGTATGTTCAACTCAATCTGGTAGTACCCGTCCCGAGCGATATTGGAACTAACCGATCGGGCAGTTAATCGGCACGATCGGACCCATATATTTGCTTTTTTGCTTATCTGTATACCCGAGCAAGGGTCACTAACGGTCTCGGTACGGGAAATATAAATTAATCAACTAGTGATAATCTATATCTGAAAAATATGAATTTTCTCATGAAAACAAGCCATTGAGCATGCATACACATGACGAATGTTTTTGATGGTAAAGCCGAAAAGTTCCAAAGACTCCTCACCGCTAGACTGTATCTTCACTATGTCAATATTATGCAGCAACCCAAAATCTATCCGAAACATCTTCAAGTACAGAAAGAAGTGCTAGACACACATTTAGGTAGAAGTAACCTACCGGGCCTGTAAGCATGTACGACTCAGTAAACTAATCTATTCATATGGTAGTCTATCGTACAAAACCCTTAGTTTGTCGGATGAAGTATGCCTGCATTTACAAACGCTTTTTCTTGACTTTGCTCTCCCAGCTTTCATCCTACCAATAAAACATGAGCATATAAGCATACAAACTTGGATTCCTTTCGTTGAATGCATGAGTAGTAACAAAGTCCGTTGAAAAATCCCTCATTGAAAATGTTGTTTCCGGTGTGAATACCAACGATAAGAAAGTGCTTTCCTATACTTGAACATGCATATTCTTGCGCCGAGAGAAGCATATTAATTGTCACCGCTGCTATCGCCCATATCTTCACTTAGTTACACGACGTGAATGATTTGAAATCAATGGATAAAGCAGGGAAAAGGATGATCTGATCAGAGCCTACTAAGGATCAAGTATCCAAGGCTGAAGCCCGCAGAAGACCATAAATAGCAGGAGCATACCATTAAAGAATGGACTCATTATCACATCAGTCTCTCAAATCTCTCAGAGGTTCTCCAAAACGCCTCCATTCTTGAGTTCTTCATTAGCTCTCCAGAGAGCTATCGTTAGGATTTAGATATCGTTCATATCTTGCTGGCTGGGTTATCTTGTTACTTCTATTAACTTCAAACGCAAAGATGACAACAATCAAGTCAAAGAAAGTGAATGGGGCTCACAAGGTACTCGAGATTCCGAAGATGCAGTGGGCACAGGTGTTTGAAAAGACAGCCTCAGGTAAATGCTGCAATATATCCTGAATTTAACTTCTGTGCCAGAATTGTGCTGATCATTAAAAGCTTTGCTTTACACTCAAATTCCGGTGCCATCAATCTCCTCTGACGAGATATTGGTACAAATTCACTATTCGGGAGTGTGTCATACCGATTTGCACGCATGGAAAGGTTTGACTCAAGAATATGCGTCGAAGATATTTTCGGCTGACTTAGAACAGGGGATTGGCCACTTGAAACCAAGAAAGATTTGGTTGGTAAGTCACTCATTCTAGACTTGAATCATTTGGTAAAGATTCTCACTGCGGACAGGTGGCCATGAGGGAGCCGGGGTAGTAGTTGCCCGAGGAGGTAATGTCAGTCGAGTATCAATTGGGGATCGAGTTGGGGTACAAGTAAGCCTCTTCTCCGTCTTCTCTGAAGTTTTTCAATTACGAGATTTTTTCGATACTGATATAAAATGATTGATATAAAGTGGATGAATGACACTTGTGGAAGTTGCGAGTTCTGCGATGATGGCGATCAGCCACTCTGTCCCAGTGCCAAGATTTCTGGCTACACTGTCAATGGCACATTTCAGCAGTATTGCGTTTGTAAAGCAACGAATGCTGTCCGTATACCGGACGAGATTTCTTTGGATGAAGCCGCCCCTGTCAGTCAGAAAATACTTGATGTGACCTAATTAATCCCCTTGTTGCTGACATCCGTGATAATCAGATTCTTTGTGCTGGAGTGACTGTATACAAAGCACTGAAAGAAAGCAACCTCAAGCCAGGACAGATTGTTGGTAATGCTACCAATTTCCTACAATGTTGATGTCTGTGTCTAATCAAGGATCACAGCTGTTGTTGGAGCCGGCGGGGGTCTTGGTACACTCGCTTGTCAGTATGCTAAAGCACTTGGATATCGTGTACTCGCCCTTTCGGCAGGGTCCAGCAAGGAAGCTATGCTGGTGAAGGAGATTGGAGTTGACTACTTCGTGGACTACATCGCCTCTCAAGAGCGTCTAATTCCTGAAATTCAGGAACTTACAAGGGGTGGACCTCATGCTGCTATTGTGGTCGCATCAGTGGAGAGGCCAATTGGTCAAGCAATTCAGGTAAGCTCCATGACATTAAATACTGTTTTGCCGTTACACTAATCGTGCAACCAGTACATCCGACCAAAAGGAACCGTCGTTGTTGTTGGTCTGCCTAAGAATGCTATCATCAAGGCCGACTTGTTTTCTACGGTCGTAAAGCAAAAAATGGTGAAGGGTTCTTACGTTGGCAGTTCTATTGAGACCGAAGAGGCACTGGCAATCTATGCGAATAATCGCTTTCGCATTCAGTATCAAATAACCTCCCTTGAAGAACTCCCTACGGTCTTTGAGAAAATGGAACAAGGCAAGATGCAGGGAAGAACTGTGCTGAAAATTCCTAGTCCCGAGACCGTGGTCAATGGTTCAATAGGGATAAGCCCAAAATTTACTCCCAGCGAATATAACATGGGGACATTGCTGGCATCGCGCCTGGAAGAGATTGGGATTAGGGATTATTTCGTCGTTCCCGGTAAGGCTCGGTCTGTGAGAGGCTCTGACTGCGAGGACAATGCTGACTGGGTTCCTAAGGGGACTTTAACCTGACTCTCATCGACCAGATTTTGAAAAACCCCAACCTGCGGATGGTGGGTTGCTGCAACGAATTGAATGCCGGCTATGCTGCCGACGGGTACTCGCGATCATCTCCAGCTCGGACCGCAGTTGTGTTTGTCACCTTTATGGTCGGAGGGCTCTCGCTGCTCAACGCAATTGCCGGCGCATATTCTGAACGACTGCGGGTCATCGTCATCTCCGGAGCTCCTCCATCTGACACATTTGGACAGGATGATTTGATTCATCATACCACGGGGCTGAAAGAGCGAGACCAGGCAATCCGGATGTTTGAACATGTGACTACGGCTTCCGTCCGTCTAGATCCCAAAGCAGATCCAGCATTTGTCCTGGATCAGGCACTTCTCCGTTGTCTTGAGAACTCGCTCCCGGTTTATATCGAGATCCCAGCCAATATTGTCGAGTACCCTTGTGACGCTCCCAAACCGCTCATTCTCCGGCAACCACAAGTATCTCTACCTAGTGTTCTTAGGGATACATTGGATCTCTTCACCAGCTACTGGCAGGACGCGCAGAGCCCGGTGATACTTGTTGGTCCACTTGCACGACACAGCCTAACCCGGGATACTCTGCTTTCTGTTATCGAGAAGTTGGGATGCCCCGTGTTCTGTCAACCTGACGCCAAGTCCATAGTCCCTGAAGTACATCCCCAATTCCAAGGGACTTTTTGGGGGTCTATTTCAGACTCAGCATGCCTGGATGTGATGATGGGTGCTGACTTATGGGTTGGGATCGGGACACGTTCGACCGATTATAACTTGGTGAAGGGGCCCACACCCCCGCTTATAGATCTAAGCCTAGATCATCTTCGGGCACCGAATGGCAGTTTGATCGGTCCCGCCACAATGGCTGATCTATCGGGGTGTATTGTCGCTTCCAATCTCACCAGCTACTGCATGAAGAGCAACGGTTCCGCCAGCCATGCGGAAGACCCCCCGAAATGGATAGATATGCAAACTTCTATTAGCCAGCCCCTCACGAGGGCAGGAATTTTGAAGGAAATTCAGTCCTTACTGCTACCTAATGACACCTTGATAGCGGAAACCGGTGACAGCTGGTTCAATGCGCAGATGATTAAACTCCCCCCGGGGTAGACTATCAAATGCAGATGTTGTATGGCTCTATCGGGTGGGCTTTACCAGCAACACTGGGTTCTCAACTTGCCCAGCCACAAGGGCGTTCAATCTTAATGATTGGAGACGGAAGCTTCAAGTGACAGCTCAGGAACTGAGCACGATGATTCGACTGAAGACAAACTCCGTGATTTTCATCTTCAATAACATGGGATACAGAATCGAGGTAAGAATCTCGACGCCAGCTTTGGATCTACAAAACTAAACATTCAAATCTATTAGAGTGCAATCCACGACGGTCCCTATAATTACGTCAGCAATTGGAATTATGCCAATTTTGCAGAGACCATGTGCAATGTATCTCACAGCCCTGGAAATGGGAACAATTACCTGACGGAGGCGGAAAAAAGAGGTCAAAACAATCCGGCTCTACTTGCAATGCGCATCAAGACCCACGACGATTTACTATTGGCAGTTGATCGAGTTCTGAGAGAACCAAGCAAGCTGGCAGTTCTCGAGTGCTGCATCCATCCTTGGGATATAAGTGAAACCTTAGCTCGATTTGGTCAAGCTGTAAGCTCCAAGGAATGAGCGGCTTAGACCTGAACGCTGGGACATGACATCTGCCACACCCGCCGCTATGGTGTTTGAGATTATGCGATGCTTACGTACCTGATTTACATGATTTTGAATTGTCTTTCAAGAACGCTCATAGAGAATAGAACCTATTGGACGTTTGGATACACTGGGCGTGGATGATAGAGAGTGTCTACATGGCAAAGTATTGCTTTTAGCGACCAGTAATAGTTTTAAAAAGGAGCCAAGACACTGGCCGATAACTACTAAATAAGATATTCCTGCGATGGGAATTATCCAGTGATAACTGAAAGGAAGCCAACATTTTCCAGGGGTGAAACGTTGACCGAGTACATCCAGAGTTCTGGGATGTAAAAACACAAAGGCAAGAAAAGTGGTAGCATGACTGCCACCTCCAAAAACTCTCATAGAGGAGCAACCACAGCAGCAAGAATCAACCACCGTCTTGGAAATAGCGTTGTACTGGACAATACTCATCCTTAATGAAAGAAGATATTCTTCATATGTAGCTTATCAGAGGAAATATACTTAAAATAAAATCCCTCGATATGTTGACGGTGGTAGCTGTTCTAATTCCCGTATAGTCCACCAGATATGCGAGAAAGGGCTGACTAGACCAATTTACACTTTGTTTTAGTACTTTTATCTTGTTTGGGGTGTTCAAGAGCGATACACCTGCGACAGTCAATAAGATCACGCTTGCGGTTTCGATATTCCATAGCCGAGTAGTCAATGAAAAGGATGGGTCTACTATGAGCATCCCAAGAGTACTTTTGTTCAGCGAGTCGGCCAGTGTCATCAAGAATATGTTGACGAACACTATGATAGCTATGATACGGGTAGGCCCCACAGATCCCGACAACCAAGAGGTGAATCAGGACATGTTGTTTTAACATTCATATCTCAATGACCCAGCCTCGGAAAGTCTTCAGCTCGCCATGCGAAAATCACTTAGCCAGCATAAACTATAGTGAGACAATTTGTACTGTGTAAGATACCATCATCTAGCTTGCCATTTGAAGGATTACACGGCGGCCAATGTTGAGCTTTAACCAAGAGCAACTCATTTATTCTAGGTGCGCTTGTTGGCCAAGATCCATAGATGTGGAACTGATTTAGAAATTTGGGTACTAGTTGTTGATTTTAAAATTATAATGCGCTCATAGTTTATAGCCTAGGTGGTTTAGGCCAGCCATCCAAGTTCCCAAACCACCGTGAGCGATAGATTTCATCACCGATATTTATCTTCCGTCGCTGGCCATTGACTACCAGGCTAGTATGAAAACCACGGAACTTAGTCCACAAGGACTGCACGTAGATGAAACTTCCATCGGGTGCAATGTTGAAACTCTTGAGATCAGACTGTGGCAGCTCCTCCCACACCCCTTTAGTATACCCATGACGGTCATTGGTTGTAACCTCAAACCCTCTGAGGTATTTCTCGGTGACATTCTCATAATGCTCCGTGTACTGTCCTGTCTCTATATCAAAGGCATGAAGACCGCGATCTTCTGACACAAGGAACTTCCGCTGGCCAGGAATGGGTACCAGATCGTGTAACCCGGCCCACCAGGGGTATCCTTTGCCCCATTCAGCCTCAATTAAGGTTGCCTCGGGCAGCTTATAGATATAGCGATCATCCTTCTCCAGTAGCCCTGTCGTGCGGTTCCAGGGATATCCTATGATGGTGCCGTATGCAGGGACCGGATCAGAGCCGTCCGCCGCAGCGTCTGTCCCGGCAGCCCATAGCATCTGCCCTTGTTCGTCCCAGATCAGCCCGTGGATAGCACGTAGCCCGGTGATATTTTGAATGATTGGAGGATTCGCCATAAGAGGGTTGGCGGCACTAGCATTATAGACAAGGATTCCGTCCCAGGGTCGCTGGCCAGTAGTACCCACGGCGAGTAGATCTCCTGGTAGCGGCTCGAGGGTATGCGCATTCCAGAGAGCATCGTTTCTTCTGCAGAGTGTGAAGGTGATAAGCTTGTCGATGGCCGGATTCTCGGGTGTATGGTTTATGACGAGAGCGAGGTCACTATAGACACCACCGACGCTGGTGCCGTTGTTCATATATTTGACTTCGGTGGCATCGTTGGCTCTAGAATAGAGACATGTGTGCACATCCTCGGGCAGATCTTGCGTAACGTCTTTGCGCTCAAAGCTCCAATTCACAACCCCATGGCGGTCATGAATCTTCCAGAGGGGTGGGCGGCCATACACACCGGTGATGATCTGCCCCCAAGGTTGATTATGGGACTGGATACGCTCCTGGGGCTGTATAGGAGGGATATAGTAGTTGGAGAGGGGTTCGAAGAGAAGGGGGATCCATCCCAAAAGCCCGCTCAGCATGATGAATGTGTGTCTGGGCCAGCTGGGGGGCCACTAGTTGAAAGTGGTGAAGTCCCTCGTTCGTCCGGGAAAACAATCTCGCACCTTTTTCCGAACACCTCTTAACAAATGTATGTTGTAGGTTTCCAAGTGGAGCATGAAATATAGATACCACACTCCCGTACGTTGTAGGTGGAACTTAGCTTCAATACTTTTCTGCCGCGCACATGTTTGGCGCCTCCACCTTGGAAGCCGCGAGATAAGTTACAAAATAATAATGGTGCAAAGTGACTCCCCCTTCAGTCGTCATTGCGATTCTTGGCGACCGGAGAACCTACTGAACATTCTGGTTGATTGGAGCCTGATCAATCCTCCAAACTAGTCATGCAATACATTGCAGTTGAGACAAAAAAAAATCAATACCAAACATAAAATTCGATATAGAATCTCTGATTAGCTCCAGCGGGATATGGGCGGAATTATTGTAGTACGTATACTATCCGCATACGAACGGTACGAACTCAACCCGATTGGTATTCGGCATAGATATGGCTTTAGGCGAGGAACTATCTGGCCAATAATAAAAATGGAGCTCCCGCTGCTCCCTCCAACATACGTATGTAAAGCTCCACCAGTCTCCACTCTTACGTATGCTTAATCGCAGTATAATATTGGTTAGTTCTACGACTACTAATCCGATCTGGTAGAAGAAGCATTGAGCTTTAGAGGGTTTACCACATTCTTGCTTTTATTTTTCATCAAGAGATACTCGAATACATATCGTTTCGGACCCCTGACGGTGTCCAACCTAGTGGACTCCATCTTGGACCCTAATTCAAGTTACAACATGAAGCTCATTGAGGGTTTAGAAACCCTTATCAGAAGCCACAACTGTTAGTTTGCAGGGCCTTGTGATCATCAGAGCACCGATTCGGGCTATTTGGTGTCTCTAAAGCGAAAAATATTGCTTGGTGTTCTCACGTAGAGGTGACCACAAAGTCCTTGGACTTTGTTAAATCTCTATCACCTTCATCTTCACTTTCCCTTCCATCTAGTCTATCAAACAACATAATCATGATAAAAAATATGAGATAATAACAGACTAAAATCCATCGAGGGTTAAAATTCACGTTCGATCAAATTACTCTCTCGGCAAATTAGACGTGCTTTTAAGGCTTTTGTTAATCTTTTCTTTTCAAATGCCCTTACGTAGATCCTAATTTCTGCAATCTTAATAGTCATCGCAATAATTTGGTGATATCTGACAGTATTCCCTAACAAGGGGGATGAACTTCGAAAAGCTGGATGTGGTTGAGGACAATTGGAGATATGGTGGCGCCTGAGGCACCGAAATTTAATTTTCAGGCCACGTGCATTGATCTTCAAGGTTGCTCCTGTTGCACCGCATACATGAACACAACACCTGCGGATTCTAATAAACAGAACGCGCACTAGATGATTATATATATTGCTTGATGCACATCCTGTCCGGCCATGCCTTCATCCCAAAGGTCTGGCCGTATTGGCAGTACCAAATCGAAAACAGGATGCGATACCTGCAAGTCAGTCCACATTTTCTAATCAAGCCCGCTTAAATTGGGTGGGGCTGAAGAACTGATGTACTCCTAGAATTCGTCGTATCCGGTGTAGTGAGGAGAAACCATTTTGTGTGAGATGCACTAGCACAGGCCGACAGTGTGCTTACAGCACCCATTCCCTTCAAACAATCTTGGTGTCACCGTATCCACAGTCGCATTCGGGCCAGCGGGAACGTCGTGCTTTTGAGTACTACTTCCATCGAGTAGGACCAGCTCTTGCCGGCGTGTTAGATCTCACCTTTTGGAACGGATCCGTCCTGCAGATCTGTCGATTAGAACCAGCTGTGTGGGATGCTGTCATTTCACTTAGCACACTTCATGAGCGACCTCCAATCCATGACACTTCTCCATTTTCTCTCATCAATAACCCGGCCGACGTGCGCCATGACTACCACCAAGAAGCTTTAGTGTGGTACTCACGTTCACTGGCTGCTCTACAACAACGCATCAACCGGGGTGTTGCTGATCTCACGATATCCATGATCAGCTGTGTTATTTTTATCGCTATTGAGCTACTCCAGGGCAATAGAGCAGCCGCCGTTACTTTATATAAACAAGGGGCGCAACTATTGGCCAGCACAACATCTATCGCGGCTTCTGACAATGGCTTTGCATTATTGAAGACCACTATCTACCCGATGTTCCACCGTTTAGGGGCTCAATTTCTCATTTCAACAGATGGTGCCTTACGCGACTCATGGGCATTGAATCATACCAGTATGAGAGGAAGGTTCACGACCACCAATGAAGCTCAAAACGCACTTTTAGATCTTGTTGCAGAATGGAAAATCCTCAACAAAGAAGTCAAAGCTGATTTGAAAATATTTAACGACGGCAATATACCGGATGTATCTGCCTTTGCGGACCGACAAAAATGCCTGGAAGATTGTTTACGAGTCTGGTACATATCTTTCAATTCTATGACACCTTCACAAAATCCGAATTACTATCCAACTGTGGAACTCTCCGATGACTCGACCTGTCTTCTTTTGATGACTTTCATCAGTATATTGATCGAAACGCAAACATCTCTCGTTCTCAATGAGATGGTATATGACGAGTTCGAAGCAGAGTTCGCGCAAATTCTGCAATATGCGCCCAAGGCCATTAATGCTACCCGTAGCCCAGACGGCAGCCAGCCTTATTTCATGCTTGAAATGGGCATATTTCTTCCTCTCTTCATCACAGCGCTCAAGTGTCGGTCTCCTAAGTTGCGCCGCCAGGCATTGTCGTTTCTACTGGATGCGCCGCCAGTACAGGGGCTATGTATGTGTGCTCCAGTTGCGAATATCATTGCTACAATTGTTTTTATAGAAGAGGATCTCGCGCAGGACGGGATCGAGTCGTTTGCAGATTTGATGGGGTCTTCCGGGAATATTCCGACTGCAGATAAGCGCATCAGTAGTTTGAATGTCTCGTCAGATTTGAACAATGAAGGGGAGCGGGAAAATCGGTTGCATTTTACGGCCTATGTCTCTAACATGGAAGGAAAGAAGTGGCTTTCGGAATCATCTGTGCTGCTCCCACTTCTGAAGGATAAATCTGAAAATCGATAAGAGGTTTGGGGGCTAAAACTAGATTACTATTCCCGCCCAGTCAACTTCTTTTGAATTTCTAGTTCATGAATAATGGTGCGTGTGAGAGAAAGTAGAGTACGAGAAAGGCTACGGAAAAAATTCATTCGTAGCTGAGCATTGTGACGGTCTTCTTCCCACGATTTAGAAAGCATTCTGCCCGGGATTGCTCAATGTACTCAATCAAGATACAATCTGTGACCAAAGGGTGGGCGCCTTATTAAAAATTCGAATATACCGAGAAGGGACTGCGTAGCCTACTCACGCCAAAACCCACCGGTGGACATTTTCCATCGAGCGTATAAGCATAGCTAGATTGTCGAGAGGAGCGAACTATATTGATAAGCATGAATTCCACGGACATATGACATGGTAACGGACAGTCTGGCCAGTAGCAAGTCCGAATTCATATAGATGTGGAACAACAACATCTGGGCAATTTGCCTGGAGCCATACATATGCCCATGCTTCACAAAGTATCTTCTCATCGGCAATTCCAGGACAAGAGACTTCCCCGACCCGATATGGCAAGGGAAATCGTATAATCGTTTGTATTTCAGGCTTTAGGCCTTGACTATCGGTGTTGACTGGGATGCAAATAACAAAGCTTCCACACATCCATTGCTCAGGATCAGCGATGTGGCATTCATCTGCCGAACTCAAGCCAATTTGATGAGCAACAATCGATTTGATTGAGTTATAGTTCTGGTATAAATGTGAGAGAAAATCTGTCTCCTGCTACCAATAGCCCAATTCACGAAGATCATTTCTTTCGCACTGTTTCGCGCAAAGTATGCGATGCTGCCATTATCAAGCTGACGAGGCTTCAGTTAGCTGATGAGGGACCATGGACTGATGCCATCGTTCAACTATTCGGATCTGGGACCATGTGCAAGGCAATTGCACGCAGCAGAAAAGAACCCTCTAGTCTGACTACACTATCGGAAGGTTGTCAATGTTCGCTTCAAACAGGGGTATTCTTTCCGCCGTCCACCGGAGAAATATTTCTCCTGCTCCCTGCTCTGAATGAAGCAAGGGCAAACATAGAAGACCGCGCAGCGCACGGTCGGAAAGCTTTGTCAATTGGTTAAATTAACGTGTACCTAAGTACTCCCCTCTCAATGGACATTCCCCTCAATCCAACCTTCTTCTTCTTTGTATCCATCAAAATGATTCCAACGTCAGAGAAGTCGAGACCAAAATAGGTTTCCGACAACCTGTGATAATACTTCCAAAATGAGACTCCACGAATGCTCCGCCCATAACTAGACTCTCTCGGGAGCCGAGACTACATGGGACTACAAGCTTCATCCCCCACATACGACCATTTCAAAGCCATCTGCGCCATGTACAATATTTTATCCGTATCTGAGATGCTCAGGTGACCAACTTTGTGACATTGCGTGTGCCGACGCAGCCACCAAATACAATATTCGGCCTTTATCGATGACGAGTACGGAGTACGGAGTAGTGTGACACATTTCTCAATCAGAACTAAATCTATCATCCCGGAATAAATGAAATGGGATCGATCATTGGTCAATTGACCACAATTATTTGTTGGCTGCCCGATCCACCAGGCATTCGATACGGGTCACCTGAGCGATAAGCAATCGTTTTTTTCGCCACTTTTTTTTTTTGTTGTACATTTGACACCCCGCGATCAGAAGAGATCGACTATTCATTCGACAATTGTTTGATGGTTACTGCAGTAGTCTCATGGTCCTGAATTTCCCCAGATTTCGTCATCTGGCCGGAGTTGGGAACTTTTTCAGGGACCACATCCACAATCAGGACGTTTCCGTTCGCTTGTCAACCCGTGGTTTAGGGGTCCAATTATCTCCCCCACTTCAGTCTCTCCTTTCTATCTCCAAACTACATTTTGCACAAGTTGAACACTTTTTGTTGTCCAGTGCAATCATTTTTGCAACTGGTCGCGTGCCCGATAAGCCCTTGAGCCTCGTCTCGGCTTACACGTGGATCACACCCGGGAACGGTCCCGAACAAGGTAGGATCCCCCTTTTTAACTCCTTTTTCCTTTTCTCTTTTTGGTGGCTTTTGTTGTAGTTAAGGAATCCACCTGTATCGCTGTTCGTTATCTTTCGCCCCCGCCATATAAGTACACGTTGTTCCCTTGCTTGTAATTCAGTCTATCGGAGGCGACTCGACGCTCGCCCCCAGCAACCTCACACGAATCATCTGCCTTTCTCAGCTCAAAAGCTAATTCCCGACAGATTCTTCTAAGGGAAAAGGTTTGGATATCGATTTTTTGACCAAAACCGTGAAAGCAAGAGAACCCGTTATTGGCCCCCCATCAAACGGAAGTCTGAATCAGTGTTGGGCCTCAATGTCCCCAAAGCCCATTGCGCAACCAACCTCTCAACAAGCACCCACCATGCCTTCTTTAGACGACCAGTCAGGTGCTAAGCACGATGGTGCTCAAGATCAATCCAAATTGGAGGAAGATACCCAGCAGGGACTACTCCACCAAGTATACGAATGGCTTCATCATGAAAAGACCAGACGTCAGAATCGTAAAGCACGGAAATCCGAAGCAACATCCCATGCAACACCTGAAAGCGACGCACCTACAGAAGAGAGTCTTTTAGAACGACCTAGGTCAAACCCTTCCTCGGAGACCTCATTTTCACTGGATAAACTGGAGAAGATTCTCCTCCAATATGCGACCACCCAACCAGGATCTGAAGCCAGCTCGACTCAGCGGCAGCCAATCAAAAAGCAATCTCGACGCCGTCTTAAGGGCCTACGAAGAGGTTCCGCCTCTGAGTCTGAACTTACGGATGCCGAGGCACCCCCACCAGGCGTGGAAGCTTATCTTGACAATACAAAGACACTTGCCTACACCGGTGGCGCTGCAGTAGAGGAGAATATTGACTCCAGCGCGAGCGTGAAGCAAGCCAAGGACGCAGACGCTTGGGTGACATTCAAAACTGAGATCGTCCGTATTGTGCACACCTTGCAACTGAAAGGGTGGCGGAAGGTCCCTGCGGACCTGGCTGGAAACATTGAGGTGGTCCGGCTCAGCGGCGCTCTTACCAACGCCGTATATGTAGTTGAGCCACCCAAGCATCTGCCTCCTCCGAAGACCGACAGCAACACTCTGGTTTCTAGGAAGCCCCCACCGTGAGTATTGAGTTGTTGCGACTGTTGTGAGACGCAAACTAACTGGTGTCACAGGAAGCTTCTTTTGCGTATCTACGGCCCTCAAGTCGACCATTTGATTGATCGGGAGAAGGAGCTACAAATCCTCCGTCGCCTAGGAAAGAAAAACATTGGCCCCCGCATTCTCGGAACTTTCCTTAATGGTCGATTCGAAGAGTACTTTGAGGCTCGCCCACTTACACACAAGGAGCTGCGTATGCCTGAAACGGCGAAGCAAGTTGCTAAGCGGATGAGAGAGTTGCACGAAGGTATTACGCTCCTGGAAGAGGAGCGCGAAGGGGGACCGATGATCTTCAATAACTGGGACAAGTGGGTGGACCGTTGCGAGCAGGTGACCACATGGCTAGACAAAGAGCTCGAGTCCCCGCAGAATGAAGCCAAGGCCGCAACAGAACCATGGCGTCGCCGCGGCTATGTCTGCGGTGTACAATGGGACATCTTCCGCAAAGCCGTGGAGAACTATCGTCGTTGGTTGATTGCCAGCTCTGGTGGCATTGCCGAGATCAAGCGCCAGCTAGTCTTCGCGCATAATGATGTAATTGTTTTTCTCTTGGGTCACCTCGGTATTTTATTGACATTCTCTCTAGACTCAATATGGCAACCTGCTTCGCATGGAGCCAGCTACACAGTCACCCCTACTTTTACCCGCAAACGAACACAAGCAGCTTGTCGTGATCGATTTCGAATATTCCTCTGCCAACACTCCTGGCTTTGAGTTTGCCAATCACTTTGTAAGTTCATGAGTTCAATTGCCGGCCCTGAAAGGTGCTAACTATAACAGACCGAGTGGTGCTACAACTACCATGACGAAGAACGCTCGTGGGCTTGCAACAACCGTGCCTATCCCACACCAGAGCAACAATACCAATTCGTGTCGACTTACCTCACCCACAAACCCGGTGCTGCCGGAACTATCTCACCCCTATCTACGCCAACCATTCACCCTCGCGCTTCTGCCGCATTTGCGCCGCTAGACTTGGACGAGGGGGCAGAAGGGCCCTCTCAGGCTTCGCAGATTGAGAAATTCGCTGACGATGAGCACGACAAACAAGTGCGATTCCTCATGCAGCAAACCCGTTTATGGAGGGTAATGGGATCCGCTCAATGGATCGCCTGGGGTATCGTTCAGGCCAAGGTGCCTGGCATGGAGGAAGGCATTGCCGAGGCACTCGCTGCTCGCGATGGGTCTAACAAAGATGAACAAAACGGCGAGGGCAGCCAGAAGACTCCCCAGGTGGAAGACGATGCCGATGAAGAAGGGGACTTTGACTACCTAGCTTATTCCCAGGACCGTGCGATGTTCTTCTGGTCTGATCTCCTTGCAATGAAGCTGGTCAAAGAAGAGGATCTTCCCGCTCCCCTGGTGGAGCATATCAAGTCTCGACTTGTTGAATACTAAGCGTTGGAAGCACAGCTGCGTTGATATTTGCAACGAAGACTGTCCATACGCATACACATCGTTACGACGCTCGAATTACGATAAGGACGCCAGTACATACTGCGTCGCATCGGTGATTTATCGCATCTACATGTATTTAGTACACAATAGCGTTGTAGTTTCGACGTTATCATCGAATACCATACCATATCTTATTTCACTTCGATCGTCCCCATCATCTCAAAAGGGTATCTGAAATGCCATCATAGTAGCATAAACGACGAAAACAAATCCACGAGGAATCACTCATGACCAACACTCAGAGGTATCTCTACCGTCGCATCTCAAGCTTCTTCCTTGTCTCCTTCTTCGCATTCTCAACCCACTCCCCATACGCCTTCCCTTGAGGATCCTTCTCCTTAAGCCCAACAACCCCCTTCATAACCTCCCCAATAAAGCCAACGAAATTGCACCGCCGCAGCGAATTCTCCCACTGCCACGCAGCCCGCTTTCTCTCCTCTCTCTCCAGTGTCTCAACATCCCCAATCTCCCGCGCCCGCCCCCTAGGATCCTTCACAACAGCCATAAGATTGAAATGCGTTTCCTCAGGCGGGTACCGCGCAATGCGCCGCTGCAGCACCTCAATCACCTTCTCCGGGAAAGACGCCACATCACACTCCCCATGGCTAATAGGATGCGGCTGCAGTCCGTCGAGCTCATACAGCTTCCCATTGACAGGCGTGTACGCAATGAAATGGTACACGTCTGCGCCCTTCTCGTCGTCTTGCGGCCGGGCCGTCTCATCGGCGAAGGGGCTTGCGCGCGCGAAGCTGTTGTGTGCGGACCGGATCGCTTCGCTGTTGGAGAGCGCTTCACCGCGGAGTTCAGGCGGGAAGCCTGTTGTGAAGTCTTTGAAGGAGCGGAGCTCAGGGCCTAGCTGGATTGGTGGGAGGGGCGCGGGCGGGTTGTCGTGATTCAGGATTACGGAGAGGATGGCTTGCGTGCCGCAGGCATTTTGGATTGTCTGCGCCGCGAAGAAGAGGTTGTTGTCTGTGGCTGTTTGGTCGTAGGTTCCATCGAGGGGGGCTTCGGCGCGGGCGCCTGCTGCTTCGCGAGTCCATTTGAAGAGGAAGATCACGCCGTAGACGGGACTGTTGCGGGTTTGATAGTTAGCTTTGCGGCTCTCTTTTGGGGTTTTGGTATGTGGTGGTTTTCTTTAGAGTTGCAAAGTTTGGGACTAGGAAAGGTTTGCAGCTTACCCTAGTGAGCGGATTGTGTCTGCATCGAGGGAGATGAGTTCTTCGAATTGGGTATCTTGAACCCCGAGGGTCTCAATCAGAGAGGTGAACAAGCCCTACATTGTGTCAGCTGGCTACTGAGGTAGATCATTGAAATAACAGTACCTCATCTGACTCAATAGTACTCCAGCCACCTATATCAGCCATTCTGACTGTTATTAGTGGTGTTGATTGAAAAGTAGGTGACGTTGTTGGAGCTCTCAATCAAACGTTGCTTTCTTCCCTAAACGGGCGGTTATGTCATTATCACGTGAGTTTCAAAGTACACATATCAGTCACGTGGGTGTCCACTTTATAGCACATAATCACCCAAAACAACAAGAACGACAAGAACGACAATGAGTAATTTGGGCAGGTACGATGTACAATGTTGTCGAGTGTTAACTCCTCGTTTCTGCTCTTCCTTCTTCCACTATCTCCAAATCTCCCTATATCCAGAGACAGAGTCATAAAGCATCATGAGTTTTGCATGAGAGGAGCGGAGCATACATCTCCTAGGCAACCTACAAAGAGACATAAAGAATGTGCGCTCTTTCACGCAATAGGCCAAGCTAGGATTAGACTCCTAGTAGAAGCAACTTATAGCTTTATACATGTCATAGATGCCTAAAGGCTTTCTCAAGGCAACCACTTCCCGAGAAAATGAGAAGTATGCAAGCAAACGTGATAGGAACAGTGACCTATTGCTACGAGCAAAGTTAGTATTAATATAACTCAAAAATAAGCTGCCACGAGAGGAAACCATATTTTATTGCGGTGGGAAAGTACACATCAACGAGTGGCCCATGCAACAACCCAGCGCCAATACCAAAAGTGCTATCCAAGACGCAAATTTCCTTTCTATGTTATTATGACATAGTTTCCACCTCATCCAAAACGTGCACCAGCATATTACTAGATTCTCGATATTGAGATGCTAAGAGTATCAACAAGAAGGGATAAATATAGAAATACGAGGGATCGGCAATCCCAATTTGCCATATACAAGAGAACATCGCACCGATGAAAGACGAAACAAACCAAGACTGATTTGAAGCCAACTAACAGTACCATGATATCATTAGCAGCTGAAGAGATACATATCGACCGAACCCAAAAATAGACGATCATCATCCCTAGGGCTACGATATAGTACGAAAACGACCCCACGAGATACACTTGGCGCATAAGGACACGGCCTACGAACCGCCGTAGCCACCCAATTTCTCTCTTCGCTGAAATACAGCCCGTGAAGTTGTATAGCTCGAGTTTCACCGTACTGCCCAATTCGTCTTAGACCTGTAGGTGTGATGCTGATTTCGGACAGATCTGGAGAAGCCAAGGAAGTAGCCGAATACGAGCTCTGGAGGACCCATGATTAGCCTGCCAATGAAAACCCCGGATTTGTAGTCTAAATTCTTTAATATTAACTTTGCCCCGGTCGTGTCTATTCTTAGTTTCAAGGGTCTACTGGCTGGTGGCTGTCCCTGTCGATCGGCGTGATGGGATACATGTGCGTGTTGAGGAAATCACAACGGTGCGGGGTGATTGCTATCTTTAGATGGAGTTGTTTAGCTTTGAAGCCAAGAAGTGTGACGAGGGACTGTGAAACTGTACCGAGGGAAATGTATGACCGCAGTGCCCGTTTTGGATCTCAGGCTATCGAGTACCTAGGTAGCCTTTACTGCAGATTGAATAGTTTTCATGATATGAAGTGTTCACATTTAGTGTAAACAGAATCTTTGATAAAACCCGGGTATATACATAATTTCAAACGATGAATGTCACAAGATCGGCTCGTAACTGCAACCAAAATATATAGATGAGACTAAACATCAGCATCAGCATCAGCACCAGAACAAAGACCACACCAACGCTCATGCTCGACAAAAACAAAATCATCCCAAAAAGAAGAAGAAAAAGAGTCAGGTGGTGGAACCAAAACGGATGAATACAAGGGTTCCCTAACCCTTGACCTATAAACCAACTCCGTAACCTGTGTAGTTCGAGAGATGAGATATAATCATTTTCTCGCTGGTACCCAATAGCCAGAACCAGATTGAAGAGTAGCCATCCCAATATTCCATGATTTGTTTGTTTTGTTTTGGTTTCTTGTTGTTAAGTCAAGAACCATCAACCTGTGACTCAGGATGCAGCTCCACTCATGTCCAAAGAGAAGCGGGAGCAGCCAACCCCGGAATCTCAAAGGGGTGTGTCTGCGAATAAAGCTCCATATTAAGACCCAGTGTGCCGTCCACTCGTGGCATCTCGGTGCACAACTCGCTGCTATATGGCGGGGTATATACCGAGGAATGTGGTATCGAGCCTGAATGCGCATGGCTGTGGCTCAATTCTGATAAGCTGAGGTGAGGGTCGTGGGTGTCGATGAGATGTGGGGAAGGCGGGTATAAAGAATGAGAAGGGGCCGCTGGAACGTAGCCATCTGGGAGGTGGAATGGAGAGTTGGCAACTGCGACAGCAGGAGGGGAATGCAGAGGAGGGGTATAGGCGGGGTATGACGGTGAAGCAGAAGCAGGAGAAGAAGAGGCGACGAAGGGGTATTCATGCGGATTGTGGTGGTAGGGGCTCGGAGGGCCGGGGGAGTATTGGTCGACCGATGAGCGAGGGGACCATGGGAGACGGCCGCGGTAGCGGGCGACAATCCCACGGGGTAGGTCCATCAATGTAAGGGCAAGGCGGAGTTCGGCGTTGAAGGGGTCTGTTGCGCTGTGGGTGGCGATTATGCGGTAGATTTCTTCAATGGGACCGACAGAAAGAGCGCCCAAATATGCGCCGCCTAGCTCTGGAAAGAAGATGTCGAGGGAGATACCGACTGCGAAGAATTGGGCAAGGATTGGGAGGGCGTTGATGTCCGAGTCACCACTTCGGAGGAGGGAGGCTGGAAGCCAGAAAAGCCAGCGGCGGAGGGTTTGGATGCACTCGAATGATTCTTCGGACGTTTGGCTGGGGAAGTCGTCACGAAATTGTTGTGTGAATTCGATGAGCTCGCCCAGGCGCTGCGAGTGCTCAAGGTTGTGGGATACTCGCTCTTGAGTGATTCGTAGGGTCTGGATTGTTTGATCTAGATGCAGCATGTCTTCATCGAGAGGTTGGTAGGCCCCGGTGATTGAGGGATCTGTCGTGTGTAGTGCTCGCTGGTTTTCTATAAACTGTGCGAGATCTGAATCTTGCTTCCAATATGGATGCATGGATTCGAGGACGCTTGAAATTCCATGCTGTAAAGACGCCCAACTTTGACTACCCTAGGATTAGTTAAGGAACATTCTGGAGACATACAAGCCACTCACTGTTCTGTCGCTTGCCACGATAAAAGAACGGAAGCCGCAAGGATTGCATCACAATTCGCTTTGGAAAAAGACCCAAGGGCAGTCTGTAGCCCTTGAAGCGCAGTGGCCTTGTGACGGAAAGCCAACTGTTTAGTGTCCGAGTTCCGTGTGAGGGAACCAAGATGAAAGGCAGACAAGCCCAAAATAGCGCTCATCACAAACTCGCTACCCAACGCAATCGCAAGGAAACTAAAAAACAGCGGCCGTAAGCACAGCCCACCAATCCCAACAAAAGCCAAAAGAGGACTTACTTGGGCATTTTCTGAGCCCATACGGTGCAACTACTTAATCCACGACGATGCAGATCAATAGAAAGCCCAATAATATGATGAATCAGGCGTAAATCAGAGCGCGACAATCCCAACCAGCCTGAGCGCGGACACTGCAAAAGTTCGGGATATGGAGGTACCCCCGTTCTATGCCAGTTCTCTATTTCCGTCTCGATTTCTGGCGACATGAGGAGGTCCGGACCGCGGCGTGGTGCGGGTGGACTGGCCCTTTGAGCGGCAGCTGTGTCCTGGTAGTCACAGCGGCAGTTGTGTTTTGTACAATTGCGACTAAACACGGTTAGCAAGCGCAAATCGGGGAGGTACACAAACACAGACCATTGCGGGAAAGTCTCATCGCATCGAATATGTCTTCTCTTGCATGTTTTGCAACCGTTGCGGGATTTGGTGTGGCTCTTGCGTGGTGGACCACCGCCTGGACCGACCATTTTGGCTTTTGGAATTGCGGGGAGTTGAGATTGTAGTCACGGACTCCGTGAGATATTGATGGGCATGCCCTATCGATGAGATCCAAAGAGCAAAGGTGGAAATGGGAGTATAGGAGTATATATAAGAAGTCGTTAGATAAGAAGAATGTTGAATTAAGCACGTGGATGCGAGTCCAGATTTAAGTAAAGAAAGATATATAGGGGAAGAAGAAGAAGAGAGACGAGCTTGAATAGTACTCGGTAGTCAGGTGCAAATAATAACCAATTTTTAGTTATTATTATTATTATTACTATTATTTTTTTCCTATTGACGATCGAGATTTTGAGCCTCTGGGTACAGGGGGGAAAAGTCAGCTAGGAAAGGAAGAGAAAAATACAGTAATCAAAATTCAAAATCAAAATTCAAAAAGATAATTGAGTATTAGAATAGTTCCTAGGTAGTCAGAGAAATATAATAAGAAATAATAGAAATAATAAGAGAAAAGAATATATAATAATAGTCTAGGATAGCACAGGTGGACCACATGGGGAATCGGGGACTTCCTGACGGGAAGCTTATACAGCTGCCTTCATGGGTTTAGACCAATAGACTTGGCACATATCTACTATAAGGTGCATATTGTACTCTCCGTACTTGGGGAGGAGCTGCGTCCTCCGTACCGTTGACATATGTGGAAATTACCTTACTTTACTTTTTTCTTAATGGGCCCAATTAGACCGGATTTTGGAACAATACAAAGTACCAGGGCTATGATCTGATGGTTCTAGTTCTAGATTCCGATATATTATATCTATATATACCCTATTGTCGATTCTCTTTCGTGGTTCTCAGGCAAATGGGGGCTAAAGCTTAACTAACTATAGGGGCTGATACACGTTCATCATTCTCGTTGCTTTTTTTACCTCTGCTGATTCTCATCCCGCGTTCCAGAGGACATAGTTCTAGCCAAGACTATGCAGGGGCCATTTTAAGAACTTCTCCAGTCTTCGGGAATGTACCATTGAACACAATACTAAGAATTAAGAAAATAAAAAGCGTCAAATATAGATTGTAGACCACCGATCGACTTCGCTAAGGCGTGCGATCTGAAGGACCCTGGATTGTGGATCACTGTCAAAATACCGTTAACCTCGTTGGGAAAGAGAATGTGTCAATCGGTGTGCCATTCTAGGCAATACTGGGGTCATTTCTCACTGGCTCAATCAGTCCACTCTTCTCGCTAAGGAGCTTAGCCTGACAGGCGGAAGTCGGCCGTTTCTACCCGCCTGTGAGTCAGATACAATATATATCATCTATATAATAATAGTAAATTAAAATAAAACTCGGTAAACACAACCGAATAGAGAGAAAATCCCTTGTTACAATCTCTTTCCTGGAGAAAAAAAAAAGAAAGATTTAGAGTGTTTTGCACCACATGGACCCTAAGTATTGGAGGCAACACATTTGAAGGTTTAGTCCGCAACCAGGGGGGTGTAAGACCAATCTCTCGGGATCACCGCATCCACATTTTCAATTTCTCTTCTTTTTTTTGTTTTTTTGTTTTTTGTATTAACTTTTTGTCACATCCCTTATCCTGACCAACAAGGCGATTCGACCTGTTGCGAACGTTGCGCCAGCCGGTCGGAACCTTCTCCCTGTCCAGTGAAGTTACCACTGGGCTGGAACGTAAGGAAACCATGTGTTGTAAGCCTGAATATGTGCGACGTCAAGAGGGCCTAAATGGGGAAAAGGACCCCTGGTACTTCATTGTCTAGGCATGCAGGGATGAGCGAAAAGTCGTGAGATCAGCTAGTTATTCGGTACCAAAGACCTTAAACAAGGATGGGCTCATTCCTGCAGGGTCTAGGGGCTGAGTCCAAGTGCAGAACGGTTGGAACGCTCTCAACACCTAATGAGGGGACTAACAGAGGCCTTCCCTGTTAGAACCATTTCAATCATGCACTCTAACCCGAACGGGGGTAGCTTGCTCTCTTCATGAATCTGAGTATACTGGAGCTTAGGTATGACTCCCCTGAAACTAAATAGACATAATTTGCTGTAGGTGTCTGACACCGCTAGATCGATCTGACAGGCCACGTTTTCTTGGAAGGGGATCAGACGTTCAAAGTCGGTGTGTGCTACCTTTCTATCTGGACGGGAAGACTGGTGCCCTACCATATCCCTGATCACTTGCAGTCAATGACGATGATTACTATTAATCCACACGTGGCACCACATTCTGAGATCATTGTTATTTGTGTAGTCAAGATTTATCGATATCGTCAATGTAGTTGATGTAGTCGATATATTCTGCCGTTGATATCTCTATTAAAATCATTAAAATCATTTAACTTGGTAGCTACAATGTACAATATCGTACCATTTTTTTTTAAAACAAAACCAACTTAAGAAATGTCGATCCGGAAATGTTCGGGGAAGGCTATATCTCTCCGCAGATCGTGGTGAGAACATAAGATCTGAGCTGTCCAATCACCATTGATTGGTCTCGCTTGTCGCGACATGACACCCAAAAAGGTTAGGGGTCAATTGGGGGCCAAAAGTACCGAGACCTAGGTTTTCACTTTCAACTTTATTCTTTTTTGGCTCTAGTTTATATTGTATGCGACTATTTTTGTCGGGTTTCTGTGAGATGTTGAGGATAGAACTAATACAATGTTCATACGGAATATATTCCTACATAAGTAGTATTATTTTCAAATCCACAAATATATTCCTTGTTGTTTTTATCTATATATATATGGGGAAAAGAAATATTGGAAACCACAACCATGGTAATACACCTCATATAGTTAATATCTAGTGCTTGTGATCTGAAACCCACGGAAATCAATATTCATACCTAGGTATGCCATGAAAGAAAAATAAGAATGGATTCCCCAGTTCTTACAAAAAGCACAGCCCATGGGTGGCCGTAGTACGTACACTACCCAACTCTATTATGCCAAGAAAGGGCCATTGTAGACCAGTGGAGTACCTCTTGATCAGCACGAGATCGTCAACTATCTGCCATCTACCCAGGTGGGCGTGAGTCGCAGGGAGGCTAATCACGGCCGTTGGGTCATCTGCAAGTACTCCACTCAACCACCCATGCACAGCAATTTAAATGACTTTGGAACAGAGCTCAGCCCTCAATGCGAAATTAAAGCCATAGCATTCGAACCTTGGGCCTATCTCTAGATCCTATCCAAAGTATGTTCTCATAACACAATGAAAAAGATCGCTGTTCATTCACCCGAGTCCCAGTGTATAGACTTCCCTTTCTAAAGTTAAAGTCATTAGTGTCAACTCTGTTTCTGCAGCCACCATCTCACATTCTACTCAGTTCGTTATCATACTTATACTTATTACCCGACTGCTGACCTAGAGCAGTGCCCGACGTTTGATATATATCATTGGGAGGCTGACATGCTTTGCGGCTGTGAAGGGTTTCCCGTGCATGAGGTCACTATGAGCCAAAGGAGATTGCTGCGTTAATTTCTCCGTCCATTGATGTAAACTTTTACCTACATATGTAGATGAAGATATATTCAAGCCCTACAATGCATGTCACAATGAGATAACTATGATGACCAACCTACTGGCCCCCGTCGTTCCTCATTTGTTCCTAATGGCCAGAGTGAGACTTCTACGCTATACCGATGTCATTAGAGGCAAGGGGCAACAATTTCTTAATATTCGGACCATGTGTATGCCATCGTGAGATTTACTTTCTTTCTCCTTTCATAATGCCGCTCTGCACAATCAGACCGTTTGGGTGATACTCTGTTGGCCCGCATACTGAGACGACATTCTAAATAGCTTGCTTTTCTTGCCCAAAGATTGAAAACTAAAGGGCTGTAACGTGCTGAGCTTTAGTTACATATTCACCTTGATACTTCGATATCTTCGAAATGGGCTTCCACAAGTCATCCATGGACATTAAGCTTGAGAGGGGTCATATCCTCACTGCTTACTGTCGCCGACCTACCGGAGAAGCAATCTACTCAGAACTAGATTTGGACCAGTTTCTAGGAGCAAAAAAAGGTAAGTAGAGCTAGAGACTTCTTTTTGTTCATTGACTACTCACACGCCCATCCTCGATTTAAATGAGGGTCGCCGAACAACGTTTCTTGTCCATTCCATGCATCATGCACAGATTGACAGAGATGTCACTACAGGACAATTCGCTTGGGGAAGCCATAACTTTTCAGCGCATGCCACCGACGTCGATCTACAACTAGAGGGACCAACCCATGAACCAGTGCTGCATGCGCATATTGACGATGGCATTGGAAACATTCAGGACTGTGAGGTGAATTTGGCTGCTTGTATCAAAAACGAAGATGGAAATTTGCGTTTCATGGAGTGTTTCTAGTGACATATAGAGGACTCGAAAATCCGGTTTTGTCTTTTCTTTACATTTGTGATTTAGACAAGAATAAAAATATGGGTTTCAAGTCTGAATGTTTCATCTAAAGGCCTATGGCTTCATTGCAACCTTGGAATATACATTATATATAACCAATACATGTCTTCTGGGGGGTTGGGTTGAGGTCCGAGGCCGACGCCTACGTTTCAGATCTGACGCTGTACCACAGTCCCAAGACTATGCAACAGCAATAGCAACAACTTTGGCACAGCTGAGGCTGAGAAACATACCGGACATCTAATCCCTCCGAGAGCCGTCTGCCGCTCCATCTCTGAATTGGTCTGCTACAAACAACCCACCATTCGAGAGTAGTCTCCCCCAGATAGGCTCGCACTTAAGTTTACCTTACGGCATGGCGCTTGCTTGGGCAAAGCATGAAGCAATCCGGACCGGTCCCGGTGTTCAACAATGCCCCGGTGTGCCCTCAAACAGTAATGAAGATCACCCAGGTAGAATGCCTACAATAACCCCGAACATCTATATTCGCAAGCCACGCTAGGCATAGCCCAACGCTTAGAGAGATGACAGCGCCCCATTGCGAGCCAGGGCGCACTGATCTTACCTAAAAAGGCAAAACAAGAGCCACGCCTCGGGACGCCAATTCTTGGTTAATTTCGCCCTGCATCTTGTTCCACATGCCTTGATCACCAGGGTGAAATCCGTGGGGGCTATAAAGATGGGCAGAAAAGCGCCCCGTTCGTGAAAAATGTCCATTAAAGGAAAGGCTCGCGCCTTGGTATGGGCGGTCCTTGCCTGAGCGGCCAATCGGTGGGGGCACGGCGCTGGCTGAGACTTCCGTTGCCGACTCTTAATCATAACGCGCCAATTAAGCGAGATCCGGAGATTTCAGGGAAGACCATACATATGAAGTTATTGGATGATAATTTTGGTGTCTCTGATTACCTTACTATAATGGAAGTAGTTGGGACTTAGTTGTCATGGCCTGCTATTTTCGTTGCAGAAACCAAATATAATCGATCATAATGATCGGGACAGGCCGGTCAATAATCATCACTTCGAACATATAATCAACTACAAAATCGGACAAGTAGCCGTTGTTAGCCTTAGTGTAACTATAGCGAAGGACTGGCAAAGGGAAGACTTAGGTCTAAAGATTTAGGTATTGATGTTTCGTTTATAGCTTCCCAAGTGGAGCGACCTGCCTCTCCAAAGGTATATAAATACATCAAGGGCCTAGGCAGAGTCAAGTTCCCAGAATCAAACAAACTTATGTTCCCCTAAATAGAGTGCACAACGTTTGGATATTCAACCTCACTTCCCTAGTCCTGTTCACCAACTATAAACTGGAAGGAAACGGGGTAAATGCCTTCACACAAAGGAATTTAACACCTTCCTAAATAGGCAAGACCACCTGACTGGTCATAATATGTCCAGAGCTTGGGGCTAGAAAGTCAACAGCCAATTTCCAACTTTTGGAAAAAAATTGGGGGTTAGCAAGCCCATTATAGCCGAAATCATTAGAGCATGCCCTTAAACAGGGCTTAGGCTGCCATAGATAGAGGGGTTATAGATATACCTAGGTATATCTAAGATGAGGGTGAATGTAATGAATGTAATGAGTGTATTTGAGCTAAAGCTTAGACTTTGCAGGTAGTCTTTCTCATTAGTGGGAATTAGCATCACTACTGGGCCTAGTAGATCACCTAAGGAGAAGGAATCAAAGAGGCGATTGTTTGCAGTCTGTGGCATGTAATGATGTTTGACTCGCCATATTAGCGAAAGGCGTCGGATGAAGAAAAATACCAAAATAATCTGTCATCTAGTCATCTACGTAGATTGAGTGCTATCGATTTGTTAGGCCTTGATCTGAGAAGGCGATTGCTTACAGTCAGTCATATTTAGTGATGTTCGCTTTTCCCTACTTGCTTAAAGCATAGGAAGTAGAAAGGAACCAGGGAGTTCCGCTAGCCAGTCGCCGATAATGCAGTTGGTCTTTCTGGCCAATCAGAGCATATACTGTTCTGGTGTCCTGAAGCTGGTGTAGAAAGGCATCAAAAAAAGGCTCGATACGATACTTGTCAAGAAAGACAAAAAGCCGAGTACTAGGGAAATCTAAGAGCATGTACGCCAATTTCATACTTTCACGCTGTAGCGTGCATCGTTATTTTTAAGATCTCCATTGAGATCTATCTATCTAGGTATCTATCTAAAGGGTTGGGGGGGATATGGATATGACAAAAATAAAAGAAAACAATCCCCAAACTAGCGCTGAGCAAAAAAAAGGCTACCTAGGAGCCGGCCCTGACTTGATGATATGCACAGTAAAATGCAAGATAGGTACCAAGAAAGAAAAAGTGAACAAAAAGGAGGTCATTTCAGGTCATGCATGCTCATCGGAACATGAGATGTAACATAAAAGAACAACTAAATCGCAAATTGCTCCTTGTTATGATTTCCCCCAATTCCTCCTCTTACTATTAACTTGAAATTCTAACCAGAAGATGACCCCCTCCATATCCTTCACCATCCCGGCTAGCTCACCCCCAACGGCCTGAGATGAAAGTGAGCACCTCGGAGACTAAATCTAAGTAGAAATTGAGATGACTTCTACTTAGATCTGGTACACCGTGCGCAGAGTTTGGGCCGCAGCAGGGGGCAGCTGGCCGAGGAAATCGCCAAAGTTAGGGATCAAATTCTTGTATCCCTGAAGAACCTATAAAGTTGGGTTAGTGGGATCTTAATGATAAAGGGAAGCACCCTTACCTGCTGGAATGAAATCTGGATGTCCCGATATTCTTCTTGGGCCAGTGACCGGGCCGGGAAGGAGGCGATGGCAGAGAAGTAGTCGAGCAAGCTCGACTCCATCGCCTGAGGGTTCTTCATGACAATCTGATTGAAGCCCAAGAAGGCCGAAGCCTTCTCCCGGGTGAAATCGATCTTATCCATTGATTTCAAGAACGGCTCTGAGAATTCGCCCAAATTGGGGGCAATTTGATCTGCACAGCAGAAACCCAGCCGTCCCAACGCCATCGCAGCGTTCTCGTTCACCGAGTCGATAATCTCCTCATTCGTGATAATAGTGATCAGCCCTTGATAAAGCTGGGTAACGTAGGGAGCGAGAGGAGAATTTTCGTGAACGGCAATTTCACCACAAGACCAGCAGGCGTTGTTCAAGACGCTGAATCCTGTGTGGCGATCGTCATCGCGGATCAAATCTAGGTCTAGCTGCTTGATAAGGATCGGCATGATGTTAGGAATGAAGGGCTCTAGATGCGGGAAGATACTGATAGCACAGTCGCCGAGCAAAGCGTAGGTCGACTGGCGAACTTCGTAATTGGAATCCTCCATGCAGTAGCAGAGGAGCTCAAAGAATGGAGGCTTGGAGGTTGCAACAAGTTCGCCGCTCTTTTGCGGGTCAATAGCTTGAATGATAGCACTTAGGAGGTCAATACTAGTGACGAGGAAGTCTTTATCTGGCTCGTCAAAGGCATCGTTGCCAGATGATTGAACCGATGCCTTCAAGTTATCGTAGATGATTGCCTTGCATCGATTGAAAAGATGAGGCGCGAATTGCGCAAAGGCATCACCGTAGGCAGCTGCGACATAACCAAGACATTCAAGTAGCGGGAAGAGCTCTCGAGAATCGTCACTGACTGAGTTGTAGCGCCCAATCAAGGCAGGCATCAAGATGTCGACCAGATTTGGCTTAGCTAGCTCGCTCATAACACATTCGGCAAGAGTTTGGACACAATCATAAAGGATGTACATGTTACGATCTTTGTACTTGCCGAAGCAAGCGACGAACTGGCGCAGGATAGGCTCACAGTAGGGCACCAGATTCTCGTCTGACTTCTCTTCCAAGCTAGCGAAAGCTGACGCAGCAGCTTCTTGGACCTTCTTGTTATTATCAAGCATGCGGTGAAGGATGCCCTCCATCATAGGCTCGAAGAATTGTGCTTTCTGGGCGGGCTCGCGGAGTTGTGCCGCCCAGCCGGAGTATCGGGCCAAACACCAGCATGTAATTTGGCGAACGACGGGCTGTGCGTCGTTAAGAAGGGAAATCAGATAGGGAATGAGTTGTGGAAGGTGGGGAGTGACTGCATCCATGCAGCCATCTGCCACGGCACCCAAAGTGAGAACAGCTGCCTCGCGGTTGGGCCACTGTTCATGGCGCAAAGTTTCCATTAAATAAGGCAGTATAATTTCAAACACGGGACCGTGGTAGACGTTGGAGAAAACATCGAGCGCAGCAGCAGAGCACTTGCGCAAAGTCCAGTTACCGGAAGGATCGTCTCCAAATTCTGAATCTTCTATTTCGCCCTCACTGAGGTCGGATTCGTCCTCAGTCTGTAGTTCTTGGACTGCATTCACTTGATCACCAGGCCGGGAGGTGTTAAGACGATCGCCCTTCGATTTGGCGAATTGCGGTCGCAGATCCTCGGCGCGATCCTCGGTTTCGGCATCATCTTGCTCTTCCATCAAGCGAGCCACTTCTTCCTCATCGTAGATCATGTTTTGTAGGAGAACCGGGATAATCTTAGGCATGTATGGCGCCAGCTCATCCTTTAAACGATCTTGTTCACCAGCACCAATCCAGAATTCAGCGGCATCAAGCGCAAGCTCTGGATCATCCTGAGATTGCTGCTGAATGATAATGTAGTCAACTAACCCTTCCATATGCGGGGCCAACTTCTCTGGGGCGAATTCTACCAGTTGAGAAAACGATTGGCATACCATTTGTCGGACGCGAGTGTTCTGATCGCCCGCTAGACTGAACAGCTGCGACAGGAATTGATCAAGAGAGGCCATCAAAGCCTGAGGCTTGTAGGGTAGGAAGATATGAATGGCGGTAAGGGCAGTAGACCGGATTTTAGGGCTTTCGATAGAAGTGAACTGCAGCAAGCTCGGAATGATTGTATCAAGAGGGCGTTGACCCGAATAGTCACGGTCCAGGACCCGACGGTTATCTTCACAGACCTTCAACAGAGCATCCATCGCAGCTTCCCGCACGGGCATGGGAACATTTCCGGTGGCATTGCCAACGAGACAGAGTAGCTCGTTGACGATTTCAGGCCAGGCTAACAAGCCTCCGCGAGTCACCAGTTCGGTGATAATACTACCGGCGGTTCTTGAGACGTTGCGGTCGAGGTCGCGCAGAGTGTGCAAAGCTGCGGACTTGACGTAGACAAGACTTTCAGGGGATATCATGGCGTAGGCAAGAGCAATCTTCGTCTTGACGTTCGTGCCAGCAGCGAATCGCACGGTAGGGTACTCATTGTCGTGAATCCCTGACGAGGGAGGACTTTGAGGGTGGGAAAAGATGTAGGTAATGTAATTGATGTAGTCGGGTGAAGACGTCGCCTGCGCAAGCATCTATTACCAAAGAACAGAAAGTTAGTTTCTGTCTCTATGATGCGTTTGTATGGCTCGCTCCATCTGAAACGAGGTTGCAGATTGCAGCGAACAAAAAAAAGGGAAAAAGCTATTACCTGTTCAGCTTTAGCTCGAGCGGGATTGTTTCCTCCAACGAGTGAGTCGCGAAGGAAACGAGCCAAATTGCTCAATGCCTCCTCCTCAGGTTGCCAATCCATCTTATCGCGCTGGGAAGATATGCGACAGAAGGGAGAGTCGAAAGTGCGAGTGGCACAAAAGCCCCGCCGAGAGTGTGGGAACGGGTCCTCTTTGTTTCCCCAGATCAGAGAGCAAAGCGGCCACCGAATTCGCCGGACCACTCAAGAAGATCCGAAAATGACAGTGTATGGATTGAAGATAACAGAAGAGAAAGCGAACCAAGCAAGGCCATAAAAAGAAAAGGGTCAGAAATATTGAGGCATTGAGGGGTGCGTAGGCGCTTGGCAGAAAAAAAGAGATCGATCAGTCAGGAAGGCGGTCAGAGTATATCGATCAATATAATTACCGATGTAGGCGTCTTACCACATGACCAATGCGCGGTAGCAGCATTGGTCTATTTCACCCTACACAAAATACATAGTTTAAGTACCTTTTGTATGTGAAATATATATAAAGATACATTAAGTATGCATTTTGTGCTAGGTGAAGATTTTGCGTGAGGTCAAACAGACTGATGGGCGGGTAGGCCAGTCATGGTAAGATGGCTAATCGATATCAATGATATCACGGTGTGAATAGTATCGTATGTTGATATCCACAGTAAATCTCACAAGGCAGAGCCCATAGAGATATCGGGAGTGCCGTAAAAAAGTGGAAATCAACTAGCGGAAGAAGCATGTCTTGAGCAGAAAGAAATAGCGGGAGCTGCCCACTTAAACATGGCTCCAGGTACATCGACTTAACTTTAACTTCCACCCACGGTTCACTAAATTGTTACTACAGTAGTTTTCATCTCCATGGGGTCTATAGAAACAGAGAAAGCTGTGAACTGCTACATGGCGAACATGAATTGTCAATTGGGGTTACCAAGCTCCAATACCAATTGGGTGTTCAGATCTTTATGTAGATAGGATCAACAAGGCTTCGTCAAACATTGATGAATAATGACAAAAGTAGGAAGTTGATGGAAAATGAGAAACGGAATGTGCACACAAACAGCGCCGCCGCAAGGCAATGAAGAAATGTAATCAAAATCAGGCCCAGACCATCTTTTTGATATCGTAAACAAGATATTCCAACCACCCAGTGCGCTTCTTAGCATCAGCCAAAGAGATAATATCAGACTGATCGACCGCAGAGCTAGCTTCGACATTGCGGGCCTGGCCAGCAAACATAGCACGCTCAATATCCAAGCAAATAGAGCGTACACGATCCATCTCTCGCACAGTTCCACCGCTAGGGGCGAGCCTTGGGCTCGCCACGGAAGTCGCCAGCGGCAGACTCTTAAAGGCCATGAAGCGTGTCGTGGCAGGCTTGCTACCACGCAGCCAAGAAACGAGGTCCCATTCACTGTTTGCACTAGCGGTGGTCTCTAGGGTGCTCAGATCGACATCGCTTTGTAGCGAGCGGGTATTCACTCGGAGGGTGTTGATGTCGCCATCGCGGTAAACCAGCACAAGACCAACGTTACTTGCCTCGTTCGCTTGGCTATCTGTCAGGATGGAAGTGATGTATGTGCCGTAGTGGATGTGGGAGACGGAGCGGAGATCGATGCGCTCAAACGACAGAACCTTGTCTGTTTCCCAGTCGAAGCGACAGCTATAGACCGCCGCGTCTGTTAGAAGTAGTACTGATTCCTCAAATGGTAATGTGCGGAGCGTATTCGGTTGACGGGGCGTTAGCATTGTCCACCCACCGAGGAACTCTTCAGAAGGGCTACTGATGACGATCTTGCAGCTTGTGTCGATTGCATTTTGGCGAAGCTTTTGGACTGATATTCCTGGGTCGGTGGTTTGGAGTTGGATGGCAAACTCATCGAAAACTTGGGTTGAAACGTTGCCTAGGAGGTAATCGATGCAGGCCTGAGAGAAGAAGTCGTTGACGATATTGTTGTAGTATCGAGAGAGGGTTAAACCCAGGTCGTTGAGAGCACCTCGGTAATCTCGCTTGCGTGTGCGGGTATAGTCCCCCTTCAAAGCAGCGGTGGATGAATACTGCTTTGAGATTGCGTCGCCGTTGTCTGCCCACAGGGTATTAAACCATTGGGTGGATGAATCACCACCAAGGTCAATGTCAATGCCCTCGTTTTCAAGTTGACGTTCGAGAGCCCATTGCCCGAAAGCACACTGGGCGACACCAGTTCGGTCGAGACAGTCCATGCAATTGGTTCTAATAATGCCCTTTTGTGTTTGCAGGATAGCGTTGTCTGTAACAATGGTGTAGCAGAATTCATTCAAGGTATCCTTTAACCGGTCTACCAGGCGGGAGACGTTTTCAAACTTCATGCCCCGGCATTCACGATGGAATTCAAACCATTCCAGTCGCAATGGAGTGCCGTCAATGCCGCCGGCATCATTGAAGAATTCAGTATATTTTTCATACTGCTCTCCCAGCTTCAGTTCGCCGGCCAGCTTGTCAATGAGAGAAACCGCCTGGACTTTGCCATACCGCCGACTCATCTCTCGGAAATGTCTGCTAAATGCAAGCAAATTCGTGTCCGCGGAGTGATGAAGCACTGGGATTGGCTTCAACGCATATGGCGACTGCGAGAAGTACAAAGGAATGGATCCCCGAACTTGCAGATAGGAGTAAGCAGGATGGGACGGGCTCCAATCTGGCACCGAGAGAATCTGCTCAGTCTCAACGGTGTTGGCAGTATTGCCCTCGTCGTCGACGCCGCGGCGCAGGTATCGCAGACCTGGCCGGTTGACAGATCGTCGAGAGATGAGAGTCAAAAGATAATCACGTTTGCTTGGATCAGTTGAAGCATCTTCAGCCTCGGATTTTTCACCGAGAATCCGCCCTTCAGAGAGTTCATCTGATGAGCTCGAAGATTGCTTCGGCTCAGTGCCTGCAACTGTAAATTCTCGTTGGCCGACAAAGCCTTGGATGAGTGGTAGAACAAAGCCGTGGGCTCCATTGTCAATAAAAGTGTGCATCAAATGTTTGTTCCAGAAATACTGCCTATGGATTAGCAAGTAAAGCTTAAGAGGAAACCAGGCCTTCGGTTCATACCAATGGATCCACAACTTTGTGAAGGGGGAGCTGGTCTATACGCGCTTCCTGCGTATATAAAGAACGCGTAAGATCATATTCATATGTAAAAAAGAAATTATGCGATGCAAAAAGCAGCTTTGTATATCGAAGCAGCTTTGGCAATAGATCCGCCGCCTGTGCAGATTTGGGCTGATCTCCACCTTGGGATCCAATCTCTGGGGTGAGATTGCCTTTCTTATTCTCATATTTGATGTCGCCGGTATCACCCGGACTGGGCATTTCGTCAACGAGGGACTCCGGTACGTCCTGTTCCAGAGCTCCCGGATGAGGCAAGCCCAAATTTTTGCGTGACAGCCAGTTGGCCGCAAATCGACCAAAGCGAACTTTCTTTCCGATCACATCTTCCGCGATGCTGCCGACACTAGTTCCACGGGTATGTGACGTATTGCGTGTGGGTGATGCGGGCACGCTTCCGACCTCCGTCTCGGTCTCCGCTCTGTCGGTTTCATTGTCAGGAAGGTCGTCTTCGTCAGAGGACGATTCGACAACGACTTCCTTTTGAGATGTATCTTTCCTGGCCTGGGCGATTGCACGGCTGGCTTCATCTTCTGAAGAGATGGGAATGATTGCGACCTTTGTAACTGCGTAGATCGGGCGGCCTTGGATCTGCGCTACCTCCTGCCGCTGAGTGATAGAGACAAGGAATGAGTGCGAAGCGACGGACAAGAGACCTGTGGCGGTAATGATCCTATATTAGTTTGGTTTCTTCGGCTTTCGCCAAGATCACGTACCCACGAGACCATAGGCCTCTAGGGCGTCCTTGCCGCCGAGGGGCTCCGAGGCAGAGGTGGGCAACGCAGTAATTTTGTTCGTTTGGTAATCGATGCGGATCGAGGATGCCTCATTGTTGCTTCCACCGTTATTCCGTCCGTTGGCAGTCTGTGCATACAAGACCAAACCATCCGGTGCGGCGACGATGGCCAACTTGCGTAACAAACTGGGCATGTCGAAAGTTCCCCGCAGTGGGATCCAATAACAAAATCACCCCAAGGTTACGTCTATACCAAAGTAAATCAACATCAAAATGAGAAGAAGAGTTGGAATTGAGGTTGGAAAACAAGAATTTCGGAAGGGCAAGTTCCATAAACAGCTGACCTGCAAATACATCATCGGCCCCAGCCCCACCTAAATACGTTTCTATTCAAAAAAAATCCAACTTGAACAAAGTATATACAAGCCTCTCGCCATGCCATAGCACCAATCAAAAATAAAATCAAAAATGAACGCAACCATCCAGAAAACCCCAGAGTCATATCCAGTCGTTCAAACAGCCACGTCCAGTGCCTGATGTGTTCGCCCGAGTTCCATTGCAACTCTGGCATTTTCGTCGGAGAAGAGTAAAAATACAAGTTTCAGGAAACCAAGCTTAAGCCTGCAAGTAGTCGAATGTGAAGAGAAATGGAATCATGCTCAATGCCTCGTTATAAGATCGGAGTAGACCTCACTCGGGTTCAAAGCTGGCTGTTCCGTTTTGTATGCATCACAGTCTGTGCTTCGGTTCGTTGGAAAGTCGGACCGGGCTCCCCTTCGCTTGCTTCCGTCAAATTGTTCAGACCTATCCCGTGTTCCGCATCATATGCGTGGATCAGCCCTTCTCGATCGCCGTTTCCATTGAAGTATATGCTCGAAGAGCTTCGGCGAGACTGCATTGAGCGCCGTGTTTGGAAGCTTGCCAGGCCATCCGTTGGTACGCCATCTTCGTCAAGCTTGGAGTTGACCATGGAGTGTCCATCTGGATCGTGACGTGAGAGGTTCAGAAGGTACACGCCGGTGAAGATGATGAGGAATCCGCAAAGCAGTGATATTGTATTGACGGCGTCTGTGGTATTGAATCCCTTGAAGAGAATGAAAGAGGCGCACAGGGTCGCGGTTGTGAAGGTAACATAGTAAAGCGGGTTGACGCTGTCGAAGATGTTAGGTTAGCTGTAGACCTTTAAATCCAAGTGAGACCACTTACATCGAGGTAGAGAAAGAGTTCAACGCCTTGTTGAAGTAGTTCATCTGCGTGAGAATGCAGAATCCAGTCACAATGGCGAAGACATAGGTAGACGCATGAACGAATTGATTGTTGCCTCCAATAGTCAGCTTGACCGCAATACCGAAGGCCTTGACAGACATGACGGAAACCGATCCAACGGTGGAGCAAATCGAGATGTAGATGAGCGGGTTTTTCTTGCCATAGACTGGCGCAACCCGATAGATCATCACGGTCGAGAAAATCGCAACCACCAAACAGTAGAACAGGAACCCTGGCTGAACAGCATATCCAAGGATCTCATTGACTGTTTCCACCTGCTTGTCCGGGGAGCATGGAGGACGATGACGACCGAACCCAACAGACACAGCGCACAACCCAGCTTTCCTAACACTCCGAGTATCTCGTTGAGGAAGTACGAACTCAGGACCGCACTGTGACTTGTCAGCTAAGCTTTCGTGCCGTTCAGTTAGGTTGCCTACCCGATCAAAACACTCAACGCACCCAGTGGCGTGACCAGGATCGCCGGCGCAAAGGCATATGCCGCAAAATTGGCAACTTCACCGAGAGCCACTAGATGTCCATTAGCTTCAATTTGGCCGCAAAGTTGAATCTAACTCCGTACATGTCACGATGCCACCCCACCACACAGGACTCTTCAGGTATGAAAATCCTTCTCCCTCAAACCCATGTCGTTCGGAGGCGTGCATCAAGCCCTAGAACATATTAGCGATTGCGCTCCAATATCGATTCCTCTCGCAACGACCAAGTTCCGCCGCAGGTCCTCCAGTTCGCCCGAATCTCGGTTGTTCGCTTGGAAATCTTGAGAGACCAACCTTCTTCGTAATAACAAAACTCGTACCGATCGCCATGGTTGATACAATGGCTAAAATAAGCCCAACATATCTATAGGGGAAAGCGCGCAATGTTAGTGTTGACCGTCCTGTCCTCAGGGCCAATTTGAATGAACGCAAATCTTACTTGTCTGGAAGCATCTTGACACAATATCTGTTCTAGGAGCCGAATGCTCCTATTGTCGAAAGACCTCCAGTGCCGGCAATGAATCGGGAAATGAGCGAGGGACTCGGATGAGCGAAGGAAGGGCGGCTAATGGGTTCCAGCTAAGGACAGCTAACTCGAAGCGAAGGCAAATATCGGATATCAAAAAGAACAGAAAACGAGCCAGCCCGAGATTTCTGCAATGTAGGATGAGTAAGGAAGGGATGGAAGAGCCTAGGTGTGATGAAGGCAGGTGTTTGGTGCCTGCGTGCGGTGGGGTTCCGTTTCAAGCCAGGCCGATCGGGGACGCGTAAGAGCACCGAAGACCATGTTCCGAGGTGTCCTTGAGGTGATTTTTTCATATTTTATTTCAGAGTTGTACTTTTTCTTTTTTTATTAGTTAATTATATAACTAGTTACGTTATTGTTAACCTACCTAGGTACGGGGTAGATCGATATATATTGATTTGTTGATCCGAGCGTAAAATATAGGTGGTCCCATCTTAACATTCTTATACTAGTAGTTATGGAGTACATCTAGTTATAAATTACCCTTGTTGTATTTTGTTCAAACTTATAATATTAGTATCTGCAAGTTTCTGCAAGTCCCTGCAAGTATCAAACGTCCCATGCCATGTATTTAATTCAATTGGACCCTGAAATGTGGCGAAGATCGTCGTTTAATCTCGTCTCGGTCCGAATGCGGCATGTGTTTCTATACTTAGGGCATCCCCAGAGATGTCTCAAATTTGTGGGAAATTGCATGCGAGATAGAACCAAAGTGGATGAAGTTCCATGTCGATATAAAAAGCTTGGTCTAATGTTAGATCCGCCAACCCCGGTGTACTTCTCTGCTGACACCTTTGTGCCCCATAATATAAGCGAACTAGGCAGCACTCAATCTAGATGCAATAAATGAAATGAGATTGCACTAAAAGCAGCAGTATGCAAGCAACTTAGGCTTAAGGCGAATCCATGTACATAGCCTCGGGTGCATGCACAGGGTATTCATAATTAAACCAGGAGCGTAGTTGGTAAAAGGGTTCATATTGATAACCTCGGGAAGTCTACGAACACGTGGACTAACCCATCGCGCCGATACACCGGATCCTATGGAATATGCACTCGAGAAAAATCAACGCAACCCGAGGGGCAACCATCAACACCAAACAAAGATTTTGGCCTAAGACCGAAGTGGTATCTCGAAATCGCAGGGAAAGAGCCGGAAAAACAAAACAAAGCAGAAAACGTGGTAAATGTTGAGCAATTGAGAAATTTGTCGGGCACAACTGGAGTTTCATTCAATCGGCCTGTAATGCGGACGGAAGAAAAGCATGCCACGGAAACCTCTAGGCGTGCGTGGGTTGGGGAGGAAAGGGTCGAACATACCTGTTTTTTTTGGTTAGTTATCAAATGAGATACTTCGTCCACCGATCGAGTTCGTCGCTGGTAAGTATGATTAGTAGGTCGGATGGATGAGTCGGGCGAAACGAGCCATCGAGGGCCAAACTCGCTTGCCACCAGGTATGGGGAGATTGAAGGTGGAGATTCAAAGTGAAGATTGAAAGGGTGAGAGAAATATGGGTTATGAGGACCGGCGACGTTTGGTGTCAAGAGTGGTATTCACAACGTCCCAGTCATCTTCTTCATCGCGGGACCGTTTGGTAGACGCGTTGTCGTGGAATTGGGAGTCTGCGAAGGAGGGATCTGTTGCACCAAGCTCTACCGCCTCCGATCCATCATTATTGGGGTCATATTCGCCAAGCCCATTCACTCCGAACTCGTGATTGTCGTCGGCTTCATTGTCCGCTGCAGCAGGGGCAGCTAATTCTTCCTCGTCGTCACCGTAATCTAAGCCCTCGAAGTGATCACGCTCGGTGTCTTTCTTAGGGGTTTGCATGAGGTCTACGGCGATCCCAAGCAAGTCATCGGCGGGTTCTGGCGTCTGCTCCTTCTCGTCAGAGGCGGTTTGCAATCCGCTGTCGAGCGTCGATGTCGCCTGTCCAAGGATGGTGTGGTTGCCCTCATCTTGCAATGATTGCACGGGGGCTGTCTCATCCCTTGGAGCGGCATCGAGTTCGTTTCTGTCCTCTTTTTCAGAGACGGCAGCCAGATTGTCTGGCTGTTGAGCTTCACCATCATCATTGTCAACTTTGTGGAAAGCTTCTTCATCATCGACAGGACCAAATTCTCCGTCTTCATAGTAATCCTCGGGTCCAAGATCATCATACTCAGGATCCTCTCCATGGGTGTTCTCATTGTTTTGTTTCTCGGTTTCGACAAGCTGGGAGTGCTCATCTGGATTATGCGTTTTGGTGTCAGATTCTCCAGCCAATGAAGCCGTGGCAGTCGACACACTGTTAGGGTCATCGGATTCATATCGCTCTGCATCGTTGTGATCATCAAATTCCTGGGGCTGGTCTAGCTTTTCAAGTTCAGGTTGATCTGCGTGTACCGGCTCGGCAGCAGCGTCGTCATCCGGGCCAGGTTCCTCTCTGTCCACATCTTCTGGCTGAGCCTCATTTGTGTTTTGTGCCTGCGTTGGGGACGGATTGGATGGTAGCTGCTCAGCTTCAAGATGATCCTCAGGGATCGACAAATTCTGCTCAGCCTTGGTGGTGTAGTAAGCTTCGTCCTCATGTTCCTCAGCCTCGTGGTCGTGATCCTCGGAGCCAGGCTCAGCTTCATCGTATTCATCCCATAAATGAAGCTCTGAGAGGGTCTTGCCGTCATTGGCGGCATCAAGAAGATCTGCAATTTCAGCAGGAAAGGCACGCTTGCTGCTCAAGGCAAGGTAAAGGGCATCAGGCTCATTTGCTCCGTCGTTGCGACAAAGTTTGAGGTAGAGATCGACCACCTGGTGTAAAGTAACCTGGGATGTGTGGAAGGAGTCCTGGAAATATCGGTTAGTACTATTGCCAGCGAGACACAATCGGCAAGGGGCTTACCTCGGTCATTTGGATACCAAGAGATTCAATGTCGATGACCAGTACCTCATTGTCTGCAACATTGCCTTGGAGTACCTGGCGCAAAGACTTGAACAGTTTTTCAATACTTTCATACGCAACCTCTTCATCGTGAAGGAAGAAAGTCTCTGCCGAATCTCCCTCAAGGGGAGGGAACAGTGCGATCTCGTTCTCCTGGTAGATGATCTTCACAGGATGAAGGGATTCATGGTGTGCAGGTTCGGTATCACCTGCGATAAGGTGATCCACCTCTGAAGGTTGAGCCGTGCTAGCAGCAACACTGGTATCTTCGGCGACTTTCTCTTGACTGCGTGCGAGGTCTTCGTGGGACAAAACCTTTGCCTCGGAATTGGACACAGAAGGCTGGACTGTCTCGTTAGCCTCTTCATCGGGCTTTTCATCGGGCTCTCCTTTTTCATGATCATTGTTGCTTTTGGTCAAATCAACTGTTGGCAATGGTGGCTCCGCACGATCATCGCCATTATCACCTGTGTTGGACTCGATTTTATTGCTTGGAACATCGCCTTCCAGTACTGGAGCCTGACCCGAGGCAGATTTGAAGTGGTCACTTGAGGTTTCCGGCACTGTTTCAACAGTTTGCGCTACCAAAGCCGGTTCGTCCTCCTTTATAGGGTCGTGGATGTTGTCATTGCTAGGCGACAGTTCGACGCGAAGACTGGGGAGAGCAACGGGAGGGGCGGCGTCTTCAGCCTGATCGCCCTCGGTCATTTCTGCCTCGTATGGTCCTTCTTCGAGTTGCACGTCGATATCATTATCTTCTTCAATGTAGTTGTCGGCGTCAACCATAAAACCTTCCGATGGCTCATCGGCCATATCAGCATCAAAGATCGCGTCGTTGTTCGGTTCCTGTGGCTGGGAAGTGGTCGAGAATTCATCTGCGCCCATCATATCACTGTCCATGTTCGAGACATGGTCCTCCATGAGGTCGATGTCGATATCGAAATCGTCTACCTGCCCAACGTAGGGTGAGGCCATCTCCATTGTATCATCCATAGTGGGGGCTTCCATCGTTGGGTGTGTTAGAGGAAAAGTGGCTGTCATAGCAAGAAACCGCGTAAAAGGCGCTTTGAGGTATCGGAAGTACGTATTAAGGTGTTCAGTGTTGTTCCATGAAAGCGGTTTCAAAGAGAAAATAAGATAAATAGTGTGAAATAAATCCAGAGCGTATGTCTATGAGTCAAAATGAGATTAGAAGATGAACTAAGTCCCGAGAGAGAAGAGGTATGAACGCGTGGTGAATTGATGAAGTGAAGAGAAAGAAAGGTTTCAAGTGTCTTCGGACGACTAAGCGAAGTGTATGCACGGGCCAATCGCCGCCGCCGAAGTGAACAGATGGTAGCTCCCTACCCGCCAACCATCACAAGGAGTACACTTTTCGTACTCCACGCCTCGCTCTCATTCTATCTACTGTCCTGTTCTTTCACTCTTTTTTTACACGCTCTGTGCCTATTTCATCACCATGGTATGTCTTGTACCGAACTAATTCGCGGGGGCACTCAACTGATCAACACACAACAGGTCGTTCTGGCAGCGTCGATATGCACTCGCGGAGGCAAAGCTGTCCTCTCGCGTCAATTCCGGGATATCTCTCGGTCTCGAATCGAAGCTCTACTCGCATCTTTCCCCAAGCTCGCAGATTCGGGAACCCAACACACCACTGTCGAGCAGGACAACGTGCGCTTCGTGTACCAGCCATTGGACGAGTTATACATTGTCCTGATTACCAACCGTCAATCGAACATTCTACAGGACATTGATAGTCTTCATCTGTTCGCGCAAGTGACTACTAGCATCTGCAAGAGCCTGGATGAGCGGGAGATTCTTCGCAATGCATTTGAACTCCTCAGTGCGTTTGATGAGCTGGTGACTTTGGGGTACCGTGAGAACCTCTCTCTATCTCAGATCAAGACCTTCCTGGAAATGGAGAGTCACGAGGAGAGGATCCAGGAGATCATTGAGCGGGTATGTTCTGCGAGAAATCGCGGGGTTTGTTTGTGGCTAACATATATCAATAGAACAAAGAGTTGGAGGCCAGCGAGGAGCGCAAGAGGAAGGCGAAGCAGTTGGAAATGCAGCGCAAAGAGGCCGCTCGTTCAGGTCGGGCCGCGGCTCCCAGAACTCCATCCTACCCTGTTTACACACCCCCAGCGCGCCCGTCTGTTCCCGATACCTACGATTCATACGAGGCCGAGAAGAAGAAGTCATTTGCCAAGTACGTCCTTTTTGTGATTGGCCGTGAAATAATACTGACCGTTCAATCATTAGGCCCATTCCCACTCGTGGCAAGGGTATGCAACTAGGCAAGAAGTCTAAGGCAACCGACATCTACGAGAAGGTTCGCGGTGATATGGGTCCTGAAATTGAAGAGGATATTCCATTGGTGGCTCCGCAAACTTCAACTCCGGTGCAAGATATTCCCTCAGCGCGCCAATCCCTAAATGCAGACCGGGAACCCATTCAACTCACAATTGCCGAAACCATATCAGCCACTCTTACCCGGGAGGGTGCCTTGAAGTCTTTCGAGGTTAAGGGTGACCTGCAGCTTCGTATTTCTGATCCTTCATTCACCAAACTTCGACTCGATTGCCAGGCTGTTCCCACACACGGTGCACAGTTCCGCACCCACCCCAATGTTGACAAAGCTCTCTTCACCAACTCGTCCACGATTCAATTGAAGGACACCACCAAGCGCTTCCCTGCAAATAACTCCATCGGCGTGCTACGCTGGCGTGTTGCTAGCTCGGTTGACAATGCTGATATTCTCCCAATCACATTCACTGTGTGGGTCAACAAGGGCGCCGACTCCACCACTGTCACTGTGGAGTATGAGCTTACCGGCGAAGACAGCCTCCGTGATGTCGTTGTCACTATTCCATACGACACGACAGAACCCGCGGTTTCTAGCTTTGATGCGGTGTACGAGGTCTCTGGCGACAGTCTGGAATGGAATCTGGGTGCGGTGGATGAGTCGAATGCATCTGGCAGCTTTGAGTTTGAGTCGACCGATGCCGACGAGAACGAGTTTTTCCCTATGAGTGTTCGATTCACAAAGACCAAACCATTTGTGGATGTCGATGTCAACAACGTCGCCCTGTTGGACATGGATGGTGAGAGTACTGCATTCTCAAAGGATATCCGCAGTGTTGCGGAGAACTTCCTTATTGAGTAAAATGAGGTTGGACTACAAATGTATAGAGTTTCTAATGATGTCCGGATTGTGGTGTTCTTTAATTGCTTCCAAGATCGTGTTAAGCCAATCTGATTATTGTTCTACTATACTTACACAGTCAGCCTCGTGGGTCACCTGGGCAATATACCAGATAAATAGGGCTGAAAAGCCTGGGCATAATTGAATTCTATAGTCATCCCCACGTAATATTCCTACTATACAGCACATCCAACATTGTAGGATTGTGAATCTCAACGGGAAATCCTCATGATAATTGCCGTGAAGCTTTCCGTGCCTTAAATTCCGTAGCGCATGATTGTCGTCCTTCCAATGAAATCTTGGTATTAGATGCCAACCAGGGACAAAACAGCTTGAGGTTACCGCCACGCACACGTCAGATTGACTTCGAGTCGCAGGTTTGACCCACGAATGAAATGACAACTTCTTCTAGCACCAACAGTGGCTTTATATTGCTTTGCTGAAGATAGCTCGTTGGTTGCAGTGAAAGTTCATGTTGTCCATGTGCAGGTTAGAAACGTTTAGCTTGGGGATTCAATAGAAGCCCGTGGTGACATTGTTGGGTGAATGGAAAGATGAAAAAAAGCTCTTCTCGGTTCTTATATCACGACCCTTGGTCGGTGCATCGGAATCCAAGGCCACTCGGAACCGACAACCGAAAGCTAGCATCTCTACTCACCTACCTAGGTACACGGTGGAGGCAAATAGCGTGATAACCACATGAAGGTGGGTTTGCTCATGGCAACGTTGAGCATTCGCCTCACATCTAATGAGGCAAACTTCTCAAGGACTATTCCCAGTTTGTCGAACGGTGGCTAGTTGTGCGCGTTTACACATTACCATGAACGTCAACGACCGTGGATGTCATCGGGTATCAACCTGACCAGCTTGCAGTTCCCAGCGGTGGTCGAAGCCCGAATCGCTTGCTCGTCCTTCCCCGGTCTATGCTTCTCATGGATCAAATCCTGGGGTCGTTTTATAAATTCCATCGACCTTCTTCTTACCTTGCACCGTGTTCTTGGCCCGATATATATGATATATATCTTTACCTTGCTGATATTGTCATAAATATATCATAGTTGTCACATTGAGGGCTGCACTTCCTGTGAGTAGCTCAAGTCGTGACATTGAGCATTATTGACGTTGGTAGCTTCTTGGTTCTCTAGCTCACAATGAGTAATGTCCATTTTCCCTTGTGGGAGCAACAGAGCCTCTTCAAGTTATCATGTGCTGATGCAGAAACGTGTAATCAGTTAGCAAGTGTGGTTAGTGTGGAATCACTCTGCTAGCAAGTTTTTATCTGACATTGAATACCTAGGAGAACCAAGTATCTCATCAAACAGGTGATTCTGAAGTGGGCACCAAGAAGATGGCTATCCCACGCCTCGCGGAGGGAGCTGAATCTGCGTTCACCTCTCCTGGTAGGTTTCACCGAAGACACGTGCGTCGAGCGTGCGAGTCGTGTCGACAACGGAAAACAAAGTGTACTGGGGACAAGTCTGGCTGCCGCAATTGCCGAGACGCTGGGATTATCTGTTGCTATACAGACGGAAAAAGAGAAAAGTCCAAGCGGTACGTATGGCCAGCTCACTAGGCTTGATGCAAAGGTTGACAATTGAGCCCATAGGCAGTTGGTAAGTCTGTCAGCAAAAGTGCATGCATATGAGGATGTCATTGGGAAGTTGAGCAATCGATTTGGGGTGTCTGATGAGCAATTAGTGAATATTGCACTAGCAGCGGTATGGTCAACATCGGAATAACGAGACGTCGTCTAATATGACCCAGGAATCGGCTCCAGACTTGTCACTCAACTCAAAAGCATGCCTTACAACTAGATTGTGGGATCCAGGTTCTGAGCCACCGCCCTCTCGAGCATTATCTGAGAGTCCCATGGAATTGGGAGACCAGACAGAAGAAGACTTCAACAGGGATGAAACTTCACGGGCAACAGGTTTCATTGGAACAAGCTCCGAGATTACTTGGCTTCAGAAGCTCAGTAAAGTGGTCAACGCCGAATGTGAAGCCTGGCCTGCGCCCTTTTTAAATGGCGATGAAGATAACGGTCTTCCCTCTCCGACCTTAACACCTCGACCAGAGAATACCAGCGATCCATTGGTGGTGGCCTCCAATTATTACCTTGATGATCAGGATATTCCAACAGCAGATCCCTCAGGTATGTTTGGAGTGCCCTCGCGGGAGATGGCAACAAAGCTGCTGAACGCCTATCTGACCTCGGTACATCCTTCGTTCCCAATCATTGGAATCTCCACATTTGTGCCCCAATTCCAGGTCTTTTTCAACCAGCTTTCCCTCAAACCAGGGAACAAATGGCTTGCCATTCTTAACCTCATTTTTGCCATTGCAGCAAGATATGGACAATGGACAAACGCAGATTGGAAAGAGGAAGACGATGATCATCAAATGTACTTTTCCAAGGCGCGAGCTTTGAGCTTGGAAGATCAAATTCTGCATCATCCTGATCTACAGCAGTTGCAAGTTGAAGGACTGACTTCGTTCTATCTAACTGCATTGGGACACATCAATCGGTAAGTTGGTAGATTGTGAATTTCGGAGAAATACTTACAGCTGTTCAGGGCCTGGAAGTTGTCTGGAAGTGCAGTTCGAGGAGCGCTGGCTCTCGGGCTGCACCTACGTAATGTCGGTGTGAGTATACCAGACAGCTCCAAAGAGATTCGCTATCGAGTGTGGTGGTCGCTATACACGTTGGAGTACCTTCTCACTACTATCACGGGACGTCCGTCATGTGTCACGGACAGCTCTTGTACCACACCCATGCCCGTTCCTTTTGATGAAAGTGATTTTCAAAAAGTTGAAGTGACTCGACTGATCACCAATGGACACCACGCCCATTCTGAGCAGATGTCTACAAACAGCCGTGCAGAATCAACTACGGGTTCTGACAACGATGTGTCTACTGAGGCCGAAACGAAAATGAGTCGGGTAGAATATTTGAAGACTCTTCCGCCTTGCACTTCACTTTACTTCCTGCAGCTGGCTTCCTTGACATGTATTTCTAAGCGGATGACTGTGAAGCTTTACAGCCCGGAAGCGCAGCAATCCCCGTGGGCAAGCACAGAGTTTACCATGCAGAGCTTGATGCTTGAGGTTGATTCGTGGTTTATGAATCTTCCTGCGGCATACGACTTTACTTCGACGCAGACATCTCAATGCCCCATCAGTCAAAGAATGGGCCTCGCCTTTCTCTTCTACGGCACCAAGATTGGAATAACCAAGCCATGCCTACGTCATTTGAATCAATCTCTTTCCGAAGATGATAAAACATACGAGTTTTGCAACAAAACTGCTGCAGACTGTGTTGAGGCTGCGTGCCACATGCTCACGCTGTTCCCGGAAACCCCAGACGCAGTACTTCTTTACAAGATGTCACCCTGGTGGTGCACATTACATTACTTGATGCAAGCGGTTACGGTTCTTTTGCTAGAGCTGGCGTTCCGAGCACAACACGTTCCCGAAAAATCCACGATGGTGTACAAGGCCGCAAAGAAAGCCCTAGACTGGCTGTCGACGCTATCAGAAACAAATATGGCGGCGGAAAGAGCCTGGAAACTTTGTGACGGGTTCCTCCACCGCTTGGCACCGTACATTGGTCTCAACGTAAACGATTTCCCCCACAACGAAGAGTCAGATTCACTCTTTGACATCCCTGATACTGCAGACTCCGAGGCTGGCTCTTCGGTCATGCAGCAGGCGTCTGTGCCATTCGACACTTCCGGGGCAATGCCCGCAACAGCAGCGGTCAATGCCATTCCGGTAGAGCTTGATTCGATTACCTGTTCCCCGATGAATCAATCTGATACTCCTTCCGCCATGCAGGGTTCCTACGAGATTGAAGCGCCCGATTTGCTGGATCAATTTATCAAGCAGGAAAAAGACCAAAACTCGTATGACGAGTGCTTCCCTTACGACCCGGCTACTGGTCAAATCACGGGTTCTTTCTTCCCATCCGGTCCTAACTTGGACCTTGATCTGGGGTATTTCTGGGGCGACCCAGTATGTTAAATAAATGAAGACCATATCAGGCGCATTCGAAGAGGGAAAAAATAAGGAAAAATTTGCAAACAAACGAAACGCAGAATCAAATTGAAAACTATCTCTGCAGTTATCTGGATTCGGATTCTTTTCTTCTGTCGCTTCATTTGCATGCCATCAAAAGAAAGTGAAGTCTGCGCCTGTCTACATATAGACACTATAGAGAAAAGTGATTCTTGTTTGTCTGGCTTCTTCACTGCACGATTTACAACCCAAACTATCACCCTTTTTTTGTATCGAAAACATGTACTCCATGCTTATTAGCTTTGGACGTCATAGTGTACGTGCATCATGTCGTGTAACTTAATATAACTCGATACTTCCATTGCTTTCCATCCAAATATGTACATTGTCAACCAATTTCATACTTCTCCCATGTCTCAAAAAGCTTAAGGACGCACGTGCCAGAGATCTAAGTACTGTGGTTATATGCGGAACGCTTCCTTGGATCGAACATGGTGTCGAGACCGGTCTGATGGCGCTAAGTTTTTCTAATACCAGTGGCTGCATCATTATGTCGATCAACCTTCTTTTTGATGAATCTTCTTTTATGGGGCCAGGTCAGGGGTGTGATCATTCTGACATGCCTGCACGACTCAGGCTCAATTATTCTCTGCACTTGGCAATAGAATATGTGCTTCACTTGAATCTAATGGAACACATTCCCACTCGTATTGCAAGTGCGCTTAGCATTTGTGTCAGTGTGGCAAAGTACATGTGTACGACTTGGAATTTTTCCAGTATAACAGCATCTACATAAAGACATAGATACAACGATAACCAATAGCTCAATTCGAGCCCGCTGCACTCCAATCTCTCCTCGCAGCAGTAAACAGTAGTCGACAGAGTTCTTCTTGTGGCGTGGAACGGGTGACTTGGTTTTTCGACGGTGCCGAAGGATAGTACACGGCAGTAACCCTCGCAAAAGAAACATCAGCCATGTGTTTACGGGTCAATAGATCTGCCCATGGGATCCACCTCGATGATGTAGATTCTGAAACAGAATCAGAGGCAGGAGAGATGCCCAGCAGGCCACGATCATCCCAGACAAACTTTTCGACACATTCCAAGGCAGGCATGATTCGACGTCTGATACCACAGCCGGTGTGAGCTTCATCAATTGGATAATCCGGGTATTGTTTAAGAGAAGCAATAATAGCAGTAATGACCAACGATGGGCCTGTAGATTGATCATTGCTTTCGCCAACTGTGTACTCATCTTCGGGAGTTGCGCTGAAATCGGGGTTGATCAACGTCGAGCCAAAGAAGATGGTTTTGGCTCGCATTGAGAAAAATCGGACCATCTGGCCCAGTTGGAAGAGATCACACTGACTGGCGTTATTGAATCCACCTCTGCAGTGAAATTGGCGGGAGTGAAGGAGAGCGGGTGCAGATGTCATGAAGGCTGCGCCTAATGATCTATTGGCTCTGGACGGCTTTGCACTATCATCCTCCATTCCCCCATAGATTCGGAGAAAGTGGGCCTGGAGGTCGGTTATGGTGTTCAAAACACATTGACGCCGATAATAGATTTCCTCTGGACGTGGGCATGGTTTAGTTACTGGTATCTAGTGAAGGAACTAGAATACGCACCTTCTATGCCATTTGGCAGGTACTTCCAACGCAAATCTTCTTCTTCAGGGTCTTCCAGCCCGTTGATCCAAAATCTGGAGCCAACAACTGCCAGGGTATGTGTCATAAGCCTAGAGACTCTCGAATCATCGAGAAACGTGGATATAAAGATGGTCTGGCGGACCCTGTCTTCCCTCATGGAAAGCAGGCCAGCATTAAATCTCGCAAAAAGCGCAGGTTTTGCCTTGCCATAGGCATACCCAATTCTTCGCAAAACATTGCGCACAATGCGGGGAGAGTTGAACGAATCGGCAAGATCGATCATCCTTGCAATAAGCGATGTGGGCTGAACTTTAAGCTCATGCTCAAATACATTTCTTTCGGTCTCTCCAATGGAATCAAGACATAGAATCCGCAAAAAGAGTTCGATGGCATCTTCTCCGCACATGTTGGTAGGGCGGACACTGGGAAGCGTGACTGTTGGTAGCGTATGATGTGAAGCCACGTCTTGGATCTGAGTTTCACTCCAGGATTCCTTTTGAGCATTGAATTGTCTTCCCTCAGAAAATTTTGTAGGGTCCAGTAGTGCTTGAAAATACGGACTGTTCGACGCAAGAAGCTTACTTGCCACCTGCCATTTGTGACTAGTAGTGGCGGCGGAGTCACCAGCAACATATTCGAGAATCAAGTCTCCGTTTGCAGTAATCACTTTGAGGGATGAGGGTGAACTATCCAATTGAGGGCCATTCTGACCAGACTCTTTGTGATAGTCGCCTGGGCCCATGACTGTTCAGTTCCCAAGGTCACCGACCCGGACTCTCTAGGGATATAATGAAGATCACAAGACTGTCTCGGTTAACAGGAAGCATTGGAAGAAAACAAATGTGAAGGGGTTATGTCCAAAAAGCAGATTTGAGTATTGTCATGATAGAAGAATTGTGCAATCTCAAATGATGTCCACGGGTGGTTTGAAGATGCTGCTTAGTGGGTCAAGCGCGAGCAGCCCTGGATGGTCAATTCTTGGAAATCGACCATGAAATAGATCTCAAGCTTCAATTGATTCTGATCAGCTACAATGATAGTAGGGTCTAAGATCCAAGACAACCATAACAATCAATCATCACAGATTCCAGTGTCTTCATTGTTAACGATGGGTCGGGCCTTCGGAATTTCATGACTAATCATCCACGGGCGGCCATCCAGGGATCTTATATATCATGGACTATAGCTGAACGGAAATCTTATATTTTTCTTTACCTTCAGTTATTAGAGTATATTGCTGTTAAACAAAAGTCCATAGGATACAAAATCAGCAGGTGATTTCCAAGGTTCCCAGATGATTTCTATTGATATATGCAATGAGTTGATGCAAGTTGGCTTCTTCAAGCAATAGGCAAGCCGCACGAGGGGGTAAAATCAGAAAAAAACTAATTTTAAATTCAAAGTCCAAGAAGAGTGCATTAAAGCTGGTTGGCAGAGCAAGATGCGCTAGTTGATATGAAATTATGCAATCAAGATCGCTGGGATATGCATGATATTGGGTCCCACCGGGGTTGGTTCTCTTGAACCGTTGCCTTCACGCTCTTGTCGGTTCTTTTCTCTTAAATCAACGGCTTTCTTCGTGATATGATAAAGATATTGCACAGAGTATGGAGTGCCAAGCTCAGAGGGCTCAACCCCATCAGGCTTGAAGTTGGGATCAAGCTCAAAGCCGAAACCCAGACCAGGTGGTACAAGAGAGATAACACCAAGGGATCTTCGGTGCTCACTGACATAAGGCGAGGTAGCGAGTTTTGCACAATCCATCCCTTCTTGGACGTTTCCACTGCCATCAAGCAATGCCAGTTCGAAGATATCGTTTCCTCGATAATTGACATAGAAGGGCTCACTTGTTCCGAAACCGATGACAAAGTCGGAGTTGGCACATGCAGCAACTATCGTACTTTGGCGATACTCGGGTGTGAAAGCAGTCTCAATAGCACTGGGTAGACAGAGTGCGATGCCACGGGCCAGTAGCGGTACGGCTGGAACACCGTCATCTATATCCATTTGCGCATCTGAAATCACAGACTCGGTGGTGAAGGAAATGGTTGATGATTTGCGTAATGCTGATCCCATATTGTTCGGACTGAATTCTTTCCAGCCGTGGGTTGATTCATCGGAAGGTGCTGTGACTTCCACGTCCTCTCCCGACGAGTAATTATTATTCTCTGCGGATATCTCCGTTTGGATTGTCTTTGCGGTTGTCGCAACTGTCTCACGAGCAGCCAGTCGTAACGTAGGGATCAATACATCCTTTTCTTGCTGATCAATCGGAGCTGCAGGAGCCCAAGATAGGGCTAAATTGGACCATGTTGCCGTCTTCAGCGGGCCACTGGTGTACGTCTTCTTGATCAAGTCCGCCAACGCCTGTCGTGATTCCAATGGTGCGTCCGCTCTGCCCATAAAATTGATAAACGAGTTTAAAACTTTGCTTGATTCCCATAGCAAGAATCTATGTTTTTTGGATAAATGCTGGAGTTCTTGGACTGTATCGCTGGACCAGTCGTCGATGCAATCTGCTGCAATTTCTAGCATGGCGATGTGGGGGCCGAGCTCTGCGGCCAGCCGCAGGATTGAAGCCGAATCACTATGATTGTGGGAGATGTAGCCGACGACGGGTTGTCCATAGGGGAGACCCTTTTTTGTTTTCGCTAATGTCTGTAGGTAGGCTAAGACGGGGTTCTCAGGGGACCAGTCCGTGGTCAACATGGTGGATATGGTAGAGGAATACGTAGAAACAAGATGAAAAGGAGAAAAGGTCTAAGCCGAGAAACAAGAAAGGAAGAGGGGCTGAATATCCACCAGCCAGTGTGATGTCTTCAAATGTACTCCGTACGTATGTAATCTTTCTTAAAGTGGAATTGACCGTGCAGAGATAAAATGATAAATAACCAATAGTCCAGCTTTCCCGTACGAAATTCTTTGTCCGCAGGATTGCACTATACAGCGCACTAAACCTTCGGTGGAGACAATACCCCGAGAGAGCATAGTCAGTAAGAAAGATAGATTTGCCTTTGACATCACACAATAATCTCGGAAGAGGATCATGTCACAAATTGAGATATATTCCAGGGTCCGACTACCTGATCTTCGAGAATACAAGTAGCAAAGGTACACAACTACTTGGAAGATCAGGGGAAGTTGATTGCGAGGAACAGTTTAGGGGGTAAGAAATTGTTTAGTCAGTTCAAACCAATCCTGGCATAGCCTATGTAATGACCGCACTAAGGAGTTGGTTGTGATTTCGATTTACTCAAATTTGGGGGATTATGTCAGCAATATCATAGTACTAACCACCTATGTACATAGGCTATCAAAGAGATTTCCAGTCTTAATAACCATTATATATAGAGCAAAAAAGATTTTGATTAGCTGGTTAATCCCTTTAGAAATTTACAATTAATGGTTTGATCTTTTTCTTTCGATTTGTGGCCTGATTCACTTGTTATACAATATACCTAGGTACTATTATTTGATCGAAATTTTGCCGGAGCGACGCGGGATCTCTGATTGGTTTTTTGGTGTCACGCCACGCCCCTGACTTAATTATTTTATTGTTATCGCCCCCTCGGCCACTTTTCAACATCGCCTTTGCAAGATCTTCCAACAGTCCAACTCGACACCTTTGAACTGATTCTTCTTCTGCGAATATGCCTGGGAGGGTTCTGCCAACAATCAGCTCGGCCGCGGTTCAATCTCACAATACCGCTAAGTCGTGCTACATTACTTTGGGCAACAGCGTTTACGATGTCACCGATTTCCTTGGTGATCACCCGGGCGGTGGTGATCTGATCTTGGATTATGCAGGCAAGGATGTGACGGATATCCTAAAGGACGAAATCTCGCACGAACACTCTGATGCTGCCTACGAAATTCTCGAAGAATACCACATTGGCTTTGTCGGTGCCGCTGCGCCCCAAAAGACCACGACCACCGTTATTGAGACTGTGACTGAGACCGAGGACGGTCCCATCTATACAAGCACCGGAATGTCGCGCGCGGAGGACTTGTCAATCGATACAGATCATTCTCAAGACTACAAGACCCACAAGTTCCTGGACCTGAACAAGCCACTTTTGATGCAACTGTGGAACAGCAACTTCTCTAAGGAGTTTTATCTCGAGCAAATCCATCGGCCTCGTCACTATAAGGGAGGAGAATCTGCCCCTCTGTTCGGCAATTTCCTCGAGCCTCTCAGCAAGACCTCGTGGTATGTCGTGCCAAGTATCTGGCTGCCTCCCGTTGCATATGGAACCATGGTCGGAGCTGCTGGACTGGGCAGCTCATCGGCGGCTGCTGCCTACTTCGTTGGCGGCGTTTGCCTATGGACCCTGATCGAGTATCTGATGCACCGATTCCTCTTCCACATCGATAACTGGCTTCCTGATAACCGTGTTGGCCTGACGCTTCACTTTTTGCTCCACGGAATTCACCATTACCTTCCCATGGACAAGTACCGTCTTGTCATGCCCCCAACTCTATTTGTAGTCCTGGCTGCTCCATTCTGGAAACTCGCACACGCAGTCTTTGCCTACAACTGGTATGCAGCTGTCTCGGTGTTTTGCGGCGGAGTGTTTGGGTACATCTGCTATGATCTCACCCATTATTTCCTTCACCACCGCAAGTAAGTAATTTCTTTTCTCCGGCCTGAATGTCCCCGACTAACATTTCTTCAGTCTTCCCTCCTACTACAAGGATCTCAAGAAGTATCACCTCCAGCACCATTTCGCAGATTTCGAAAATGGATTCGGCGTGACCAGTCGGTTCTGGGACCGAGTTTTCGGTACTGAGTTGGTGACCCCTGCCCCCAAGGGCGGGAAGGCTCAGTGAGCATAAACATGCATTATCATTGGGCGCTCACTGGCTCAAGTCATGATCTTACGTCGAGTACGATTGAGATAAGTTCTCAGTACTCTGTTATTACATGGAACTGTGGAGTTATGGTTTGTTCTATCTTCATGTACAATATGGAGACTGTCATGTCTTTTCCGATGATTATTTGATCACTGGATCGCTGTGATGAAGTCCTTTCTTATTCATTCAAGTATCACTTATCAGTGTGTATGACTGTTAATCATAATTTGACAAAAAATAATGTCTTAAGATATGTAATCTGTTTGTTTTGAACGTTTTTTTCTAGACAAACCGCCTGTGTTAGAATCAAGTCTACATAACTACATAGAAACAATTAACATTAAATGGCTTGAAGCAGAGTTGTTGAAAAACATGTCCAGACTGCTCGCCAGTTCTAGGTTGAAAATAAAGCAACTAATAAGGAAACAATAACACACAGGAACAAGCAGTCGAGGTTTTTAATGGGGTGCGCAGCTATCACAGCATGGCTACCGTATGTACTTGTATGTATATGTACTGTACAGTCGTGGCAGCTACCTACCAATCAGAGAGCAGGAAATGTCGAATTATGTCTCCTGGGGGCGGTGAGCCCAAACCGCCACTCTTCGATAATCCGATTTTTGCCAAGTCACGTGCGATATAAACACACCGCCTTCTGCACCATGGGATCATCTTTCTCTGATCTCCTCTCAATTGCTATTGCGCGCACGAGCAACTTCATCAACAGCACGAATTCTTGGTTCTTGACATCCCACGTCAACCTTAACTTTCAATACCACAAGGGTATCAATGCCAACATCTTTAAATCTTGCGCGTGTCCTGATCTTTCAACAGTGATCCTCCCCCACGCATTGCTCAATCGCATCGCCCACTATGTCCGGACTCGACGTGGAGGCTCTTCTTGAGTCCACTGCGGCTGCCCCTACCGAGGCCTCCGTCAAGTCGGATGACCGTGATGACCGCGCACGTACCGACCCCGACCATCGTGACCATTCCCATGACAGACGCCGTCGCAGCCATGACCGCCGCCGCCCCGATCGGGACGTGGACGCCGACGAAGAAATGAAAAGCCCACGCAGCGAGCATGGAAGTGCTAACGGTAGTCAGAGAAGTCGAAAGCGGAGCCGCAGCCGCGAATCTGACCGTCGCCGTCGTCGTGATGACTACCGCTCCAACGGTGATTTCTATCGTGGCGGAGGTCGTGCTCGCTCCCGCTCCCGCTCACCTTATGATGACCGTCACTACCGCCCTGGACGCCGTGACCGTGATGATGATCGCCGCCCTCGCCGTGGCCGTGACGAACGCCGTGCCACCCCTAACCGTCGCGAGAGCAAATCTCCTGAACTTAACGAGGATGAGCGTGATCGTCGAACTATTTTCGTGCAGCAGCTCGCCGCTCGTCTCAGAACTAAAGATTTGATGCAATTCTTTGAAAAGGCCGGCCCCGTTAAGGAGGCTCAGATCGTCAAGGACCGTGTTAGTGGACGCTCCAAAGGGTATGCATTCTCTACTTCTCTACTCCGTTCAAATGCACTTGCTAATGCTTTTCAGTGTCGGTTACGTTGAATTTAGGAACGAGGAGGCCGTTCAGGCCGCGATTCAGCTCACCGGACAGCAGCTTCTGGGCATTCCCATCATCGCGCAATTGACCGAAGCGGAAAAGAACCGCCAGGCACGTAACCCCGAGGCCAGTTCCAGCAGTCAGAACGCGGCGCCATTCCACAGGCTTTACGTTGGTAATGTTCACTTCAGCATCACTGAGAGCGATCTTCAGAATGTCTTCGAGCCCTTTGGCGAGTTGGAATTTGTCCAGTTGCAAAAGGATGAAACTGGAAGAAGCAAAGGATACGCATTTGTGCAGTATGTCAACACGTCTCAACATATTTCTCCATATTTCTCCATACTGACTCTCCCAGGTTCCGCGACCCTAACCAAGCCCGTGACGCTCTGGAGAAGATGAACGGATTTGAACTTGCAGGACGCGCTATTCGAGTTGGTCTTGGCAATGATAAGTTCACCCCCGAGTCGAACCCGAGCCGTGTTCCAGGACCCTCATCTTCGAGCCAACAGAATTTCCAGGGATCTTCATTCTCCGGTCAGGGAGGCCGCGGCGTTCAGGCCGGAGGTTCCAACAACTTTGACCGCGCTGGCGGCAGGGAAACTGAAAAGGGCGGCGGTGCCAGTGCCCTTGACGATACCGATGTTGCCGGTGTGAACTTCAACAATTACTCTAGGGACGCGTTGATGCGTAAACTCGCTCGTACAGATGACCCCCAACCCTCGGTCGACGACCAGCAGAAGATGCTCCGACCCAAGACCGAATCTAAGCCTCTTCCCGTCAATGTCAACATGGCCAGTCGTTGTGTTATGCTGCGCAATATGTTTGATCCCTCTGAGTGAGTCTCCCTCTGAGGTTTAAAATTTGAGTTCCAAAGTTTGAGAAAACAATTACTAATTTTTGACAGGGAAACTGGCGAGGCCTGGATCAAAGAATTGGAGGACGACGTCCGCGGAGAGTGCGAGCAGAAATATGGCCACGTTGTTCACATCTCGCTAGATCCCAATTCCCAAGGAGACATCTACCTGAAGTTTGACCGTGTCCAGGGCGGCGAAAACGCTATCAAGGGCCTCAACGGCCGTTTCTTCGGCGGCAAACAGATCACAGCCCAACCCGTCGTGGATGCCGTTTACAGCAGCCTGTTCTCCCGGACCAAGGCCATCTAACTCACCATTTCTGAGTGTGGGTCCCTTTCATGACCCCCATCATGACATCTAACGTCACGTTTTTTTCTGAAAGCAGATTCCCTTGACTTCTCCCGTGGTATCTCTGGACGATTCTGCTCCCAGTAGGTGTCAATTTGACAGCGTATTTCCCCCATTTTTTGGTCACACCCGTGGACCCCTGGTACCTGGAGTTACTTTTTTTTAACAGCGTGGTCTAGCTGCACATTATTTGCACTAGTTTTCTCAATGGAACTCTTCGAAATTATACAGTAGCACATGGTAAATTGTACATTATATGTGTGCGTATATTCAATTGCGTTTACTCGTTCTGTTTGCTTGCCTTCCTAATGGCATGCGGTTGCAGTACTAATACCTAGGGTGTGCACAATTGGTACAACTGGTGTTTCCTGCAAGGACTTTATACGTTCCTTCTTTGCCTATAGATGGATCAGCTTAGTTCTGTAATCTGCTACTCGGCTTCGCGTAAATTGATAGCAGACTCATTCTCTACCCTGGCCAGTGACGCGTTTGGTGTCTTTGTTGCTTCGGGCACTCAGAAGTTGTGGAAAAGGGATTTGGATGATTGAGGAAATGTTTAGTCTGGGTACTTGGCACTTGATATGGAAGAGTTCCGGATAATCTGATTTTTTTAAACAGCGTAGTGTGGTTGCGCATAAATCACACAAGTCTTGTCAGTTGAATCTTTGCGACTCCTTACCAGTAAATGTAGAACTATATGTACGTTGTATGCATGTAGTAGTAGCGGACCTAAGAATATGCCGACCCAAGTGTTCTTATCTGCCGACGCTCGGGCCAGTGATCCCCCCACGCAATCTTTCAACCCTTTCTTCCACTACTTCTCTGCTCTGTACTTCAATGGACCAATGACTCTCCTTTCAGCGAGGCGAGTAACAAGCCGGGTCTGGACCTTGGCCCCTAGTTACAGTATTTATCACACTCCCTTATGAAGTTCACTAGCTAATCTGCAAAGGCTTCGCTCTTCAGGCTCGAAACTACGTAACTCATCTACCCGGCCAGCCGACAGGCAAGAAGGAACCGCAGTTCCGCGATTACTTCGTCTCACATTTACCCTCTTCCTCGCTCCATCCGGACCCCCGCGGTCCGACCTCACCGTTCCATAAACTCCCTCGATCTGAATCTACACCACATACGGGAGCTACGTCACAATCCCCAGCTTCGTTCCAAGCTTTGATAGACCGCGAGACAACGGTAGTCAGGATTCCACTTCGCAGCGCGAAACACCATTTCGGCGCCGTCACTGCTCGTGGCACCCGGCCTTCAAATGAAGATACGTACCAGGCTGGCGTCATTGACATCCCGGCCTTTGCGAAGCGCCCTCCAGCTTCGCTAACGATCAAGCGGCTATATAAACAGGACCCTCTAGCTAAATACAGCGAATCGCGAGGGGCAGAAACGGCTAGTGGGGATCCGCAGGTCTTCTACTTTGGTGTTTTTGACGGTCATGGCGGAACCGAGTGCAGTTCCTTTTTGAGGGACTATCTTCACGAGTACATTCAGAACGCGGCATTGGATATCGACCTGCAATCCAGCCTCCGACCTGGCGCCGAGGTTCCTCCTACCACCAGTGAACTGCCAGTGATGCAAGAAGGCGACCGACGCAGAATCGGCGATTTAGAGAAATACCTTGTACAGAACTGGAGACGGATCGTCGGAGGATACTTCAAAAGATTCAAGCCGCCACATTTCGCCTACCATGGGACCGAGTCCACCGACCCAACTATTGCAAACCATGTTTCTATCGAAGAAGTCCTGGAATATGCTTTTCTCCGTGCAGATTTGGACTTTGTCAAAGCCCAAGCAGCCAAGCAAGACGATGACGTGGTACAAGCTGAGCGACCTTTGAACGAAGATGAAATCTTCCACAGACCTAGCATGACGCGATCCCCCCAGATTGGCGGACGTGCCCGCTTCAAGGGTGGTAGCACTGCAAGTGTCGCGATGATCTCAACCCCAACCCCAACTCCCTTCTGGCACCCAATGGCCCCATCAAGTCTTCTAGTCGCTCACGTCGGCGACACCCGAATGCTTCTATGTTCAACTGAAACAGGCGAAGCCATCCCTGTGACCTCAAACCACCACCCCTCCTCTCCAATCGAGGCTAGCCGACTCCGGCGGTACGCCGCAACGTTCGTCACGGACTCTTTCGGCGAAGAGCGCATGAGCGGACTAGCCAATACCCGTGCCTTCGGCGATGTCCACTCGAAACGCATTGGTGTCTCCGCTGAACCGGAGCTCAAGCGCATAGAGCTGGGACCCGCGGAGTTCTCGTTCCTAGTCATGGTCTCCGACGGTATCAGTGGCACCCTCCTTGACCAGGAGGTCGTTGATATCGTCAAAGAGTCCAAGACTCCTGAGCAGGGAGCCCGGGATGTGGTCAATTTCTCGACCGAGGTTACCAAGGAAGGTGACAATGCTACATGTCTCGTCATTCGGCTTGGTGGTTGGGAGCGTCGTCTTGAAGGCGGTGTTGGGAGTTTGGGAACTAAGGAGTCTCGCGAGTGGCGCCGGCAGGATGCCACTGATCCGCGCAGGTCACGGACATGAAGGGTTCCTGTAAAGTTTGGTTGTGTTGTATATATTTTTTCTCTTCGGCTTTCGCTGATTGCATATAATCATTGGTGTCCATAAGCAATAAACATTATTTTGCATTGATTGGGACTTGTTCTCTTTGATATCGATATTTACGATTGGAGATTTGTGGATAAGTGAGGTGACATGATGTCGAAGCAGCTACAGAGCACTCCTGATTGGCCGTGATTGCTTCATATGAGTTGGGCTTCGATCAAGTGGCTACTGACAGTAAAAAAAGAATTTATACATCATGGTATCTATCTCTAAACTTACAACAAGGTCCATGTTTCTCAATCATACACAAACCACCCTAGTGCTTTATGATAGCTCTGTTTTGAATATCCTGTCTGTGTAGTGGACTGCGTGGGGAAAGCTTCCAAGGTTCCGAGTAATCCGCCAGGGACAAGGGACACATTCCTTAATCTCCTGTTTTGTACGGAGTATCTCTCACTCTCTTTTTTCTTCACTCTTTTTCACCTTTTTCTTCTCTCTTGTTCGTTTTGTTCGTTTCAGATTTTCAAGAGTTTGAAAGTTGATCAAACAACGCTTATCACCTTATCGGATCTACACTCTGAACTTTTCCAAGGTTCTCCTTATTGCCCAACGTGTCTCCATCCTTATCCCGGTCCATTATCTGCGCTGACATCGTACGTGTCTCTTGGCTTTGTTCTTTCCGATCCGGGCTGACGGCTATCCTTCAGTAAGATCGAGCATCCGGCTACATTCCTTTCCGGACTCCGAACCTATACAAAAAGCCCCCGTTCGTTCTCAAAGTATCCATTCACATCACAATGAGCGCACGTACACGACGACAAAAGGCCGCTCTCGCCGAAGAAAGCGAGGACTCACCTAATGGAAATGGCGCCGTGTTAACACCCTCAAAGCGCTCCCCCTCCAAGAAGAGAGCTAGGTCCGCTGTGCGGGAAGAGGCCAAGGAGAACATCTTCCTTTTCACTCCTAATCTCATCGGTATGATAGATTCATGATTATAGAGCTTTGCCCGCCATCGGCCATCAAATCTGACTCGATTTCAGGATACACCCGAGTCTTCTTGACCTTCGCCTCCCTATACTACATGCCCCTCCACCCTCGAACCTGCTCCTTCCTTTACACGATATCTTGTCTGCTGGACGGGCTGGACGGTTATGCAGCTCGCTACTTCAATCAATCCACCACCTTTGGTGCGGTGCTGGACATGGTCACTGACCGCTGCACAACTGCGTGTCTCCTTGTATTCCTCAGCTCCGCCTGGCCCCGTTGGTCCATCGTCTTCCAGGCTTTGATTAGTCTCGACATGGCCAGTCACTACATGCACATGTACGCGACCTTGAGCATGGGCGGATCCAGTCAGAGCCACAAGAAGGTTGATAAAAGCCGTAGCTGGATCATGTACCAGTACTACACCAATAAGGTAAACACCGTCCGTCTGTATGTCCCGACTTGTTATTAACATCTCTAGGCCGTTTTGTTCGTCTGCTGTGCCCTCAACGAGGCCTTCTTTATTGGCCTATACCTATTGTCATTCTCTTCGCCGATTCTGTCTCCCTCGCTCCTGCAGCCCGTCTCCGATGGATCATCCGCTCAGCCCGGAAGCCCGGCACACCCCGAGCCAGCCAGCCTCTTCGCCAGCCCCTGGAGCGCCGGTGCCCTCGAAATGGCGCGTGCCAACAAGCTTGAGAGCACCTGGCCATGGATCATCACCGGCATCTCATTCCCCGTCATGGCCTTCAAGCAGTTCGTCAACGTTGTCCAGATGGTGAATGCTAGCAAGTGGCTCGCCGAGGGTGACCTGAAGGCTCGCCAAGCCAACCGTAAGAAGTAAAGGATAGCTATGATGGCATGATGCAGCCAGCACATGCTTCACCCTTCCTTCCTGCTTGTCATGCATGTCTTTGGAGCTACGGTCTGTTTTTAGGGATATAAGCGGACAGCTCTCGGAGCTGTTGCTTTGTCCCTAGGGGAATGGTTGGTCTGGTTGATAGATCCTATTCATAAGCATCTTGGATAGGGATGTAGGTATTTTGGTGACCTGGCATGGTCTGGTTTTTGGGACCTTGTACAGTACACACATGGGTCGTGTTTCTTTTGCTTCTTTTCTCTCTTTGCCTTCCCTTTCTTCTCTTCCGTCCGCTTTTCTCTTTCCTTTGGGCTGTTTGTCTTCAGCCTTTTCCTTCGATATTGTCTTTGTAGTCATTGCTTCTGCCGGTTTTTCCTCATCATTAACGCCGTTATACATCATTTAATGCATTTCTCTTGTATCTTCCACACTAGCGAACATTGACTTGAAATCCTCAATGGTATTTGCATCGTCTCATCCTGAATATATTCCCATTAGCATTGACTTGCAACGGCAAGTCATTGTTGATAATCCCAAGAAAGCATCCTTCTAAGCTCCAGATCAACAGGTATTAATGAATCAAACCAATCAAATTTCTTCGACTCCGTCGAAGAACCTCACACAGAAGAAAGCCCATACAAAAGAACATGGTAGTGTAAGTCCTAGATGTCGTACAGACCGTAAATAAGCGGTGCCGATAATTGCATTTATGTCATCGGCGCCGATTTCGGAGCTAGCGGGGTCGAATTCACCCGCCCGCCGTCTTTATAAGTCTGAAGCTCTCCTGGACACCAATTGAGTCACGAATTCCTATTTCCATAATTAAAAGCACAATGTCTTCTTTCAACGTCGTTGTCTTTGGTGGTGACCACTGTGGTCCGGAGGTATGCCGATGAGAGCCCATTTTAACCCCACCATGGGGACGCGAATCCGGGGACTGACATTTTGAGTATAGGTTACTGCTGAGGCTGTCAAGGTAAATTTCTGACAAGCTCATTATCAACAAGATCCATGTACTCATTCCGTCTTCCTAGATTCTCCGTGTCGTTGAGAAGACCCGCGGTGTCACCTTCAACTTGCAAGAGCACCTGCTTGGTGGTGTGAGTATAGTCCCATGCCACGAAAGCTCAATCGCTGATAATCCTAGGCTTCCATTGACGCCACTGGCTCGCCTTTGACCGATGAGGCTCTTACCGCCGCCAAGAACGCCGACGCTGTTCTCCTCGGTGCTATCGGAGGACCTGTACGTTTGCCCCATACAATTGCTACAACTACCACGAACATGAACCACGTACTCACGCTTTCGCACAGAAATGGGGCACCGGCGCTGTCCGCCCCGAGCAGGGTATCCTGAAGCTGCGCAAGGAGATGGGCACATTCGGCAACCTGCGCCCCTGCAACTTCGCCGCGCCCTCGCTGGTCGAGAGCTCCCCCCTCAAGGCCGACATCTGCCGCGGTGTTGACTTCAACATCATCCGTGAGTTGACCGGTGGCATCTACTTCGGTGATCGCAAGGAGGATGACGGCTCCGGCTACGCCATGGACACTGAGCCCTACTCGCGCCACGAGATCGAGCGTATTATTCGCCTCGCCGCTACCCTCGCCCTGCAGCACAACCCTCCTCTTCCCGTCTGGAGTTTGGACAAGGCCAATGTCCTTGCCACTAGCCGTCTGTGGCGCAAGGTCGTCACTGAGGTCATGGAGAAGGAGTACCCCCAGGTCTCCATTGGTCACCACCTCATTGACTCCGCTGCTATGTTGATGATCAAGGACCCCCGTAAGCTGAACGGTATCGTTGTTACTAGCAACCTGTTCGGTGATATCATTAGCGATGAGGCTAGTGTCATCCCCGGTTCTCTGGGTTTGCTTCCCAGTGCCAGTCTGAGCGGCATCCCCGATGGTAAGAGCCGTGTCAACGGTATCTACGAGCCTATTCACGGTATGTATCTCACTTCTTCCCTCTTTGGAATTTCGTGACTAACGGTACCAACAGGCTCTGCCCCCGATATCTCTGGTAAGGGTATTGTCAACCCCGTCGCTGCCATTTTGTCCGTTGCCATGATGATGCAGTACTCCTTCAACATGATTGATGTGGCCCGCGTCATCGAGACTGCTGTGAGCAATGTCATCGAGGCCGGTGTCCGCACTGGCGATATTGGCGGCTCTGCTAAGACCGCCGAGGTCGGCGACGCTGTCGCTGCCGAGCTGGAGAAGCTGCTTAAGTAAATACGAAGTAGCCTCTTCGATGTTTCTATATGAGATATGACTAGCATAGAAAACAAAAAATTGAATACCCGTTTTAGATGCATGTGTTTCACTGGCGATGCAAGAAATGTCTAACGAGGGATGCACTATGGCCATGTAAAAACTGGAACTGGGTATCATGAAGATCAAGAGATAAACTCCAATAATAAAACCTCCCACCATGCAGCCCACTAACGCCGGTCCTTTTTCTGTCCTTTTGTTATCTGAGGATCTCATCGAATAACAGGCTCGCCCATCCAATCCGGCTCGTCCAAACCAGTAGCAAAACCAGCATCAGCATCTTCACTCGCCGTCCGCCCCCGAAGATCATGGTGTCCCCTTAGCGAAGAACGCCGCTGGCGAGCATCAGCCGAAGCAGACGGCGCAGCCGCCATCTTGCGGCGAGTATCATCGCAAGCAAACACCTGGAACCCACGAACATGCGTATCCTTTCCATTCTGATGATTCTCCATAATCCGCATCTGAATGACCATAGCCTTGAGCACATTCCCCGCGTAAGGATCATCCCCATTCTCCTCATCAGCCTCGTCATCCCCAGAAACCGGCTCGCACTCCTCATCATGCTCATGTTCGGCGTCGTCACAGTTCCGGTAGACAGTCCTACGCCGCCCACTCAACCGCCGATTCGTCTTCGCGTCTGCCACCCAGCCGCCGTTACGGCCGCCCACGCCTTCCAGCGGGACATCGACCCACCCGCACGGCGCCTCGCCTTCCCACGTCGCGAACTCAACGAGGTCGTTGCCGCCCATGCCCGCGGCAAAGATCATTTTCGTCGGCGTGTAGCTCTCGTCCAGGTCAAAGTCGAGGTACACGCGCACGCGCACGACAGCAACAAGCTTGAAGAAGTGCAGGGTCAGCGTGTGCGGTTGCGGGCCGTCGGATTGCCAGTATTGGGATGGGGAGGGGTTGCGGAGGGCGGTGACGCCGCAGCCCGGCTTGGAGGTGGAGACGGTCCAGGATGCGAGGGAAGAGATCTCGCGGAGGTTGGGCGGGAGGGGTGAAGGTGATTTTTCTGTTTATATAAGGTTAGCATGGACTTGCTGTACCGTAGCCGTAGAAGCGTTGTGCCGGACGTACCGCGGTCGTGCATTTCTTCGTCGGCGTCCTCTTCGAATTGCTCCTCTGGCTCCTCCTCTTCCTCCTCTAAGTCCTCGCCATCGAGATCGGAGTCGTCGAACTGTCCTTCGATGGTTGGTTCAACATCAAAAGAATCGTCGGGGTCAAGTGGCTCGTCGTCGTCTAGCTCACCCATGCTTGCGCGGGGTCCGAAATCGTCGTGGAAATCGTCGTCCATAACTTGCTGCCGTTGCTCTCTCGGCCTGCCAAATATGTCGAATGGATTTATCGGCGCCGCTTGGTGTGCCGCTTGGGCGGTTTCGGGCGTGAAAGCATTAGGACCGGTGGATGGTTGGTGTCGGGTTGGGTTCGTGGGTGTGTGACGCGTTGGCGGGGTTTGGAATTGTGTGCGCAGATCGCCTGGAGCATTGGGGTCTTGATTTGGTATTAGGTCGCGCGGATGCTGCCTGCGCAGGTGAGGCATGGTTGAGTCTATCGGAGCTCGAGGTGTTGTTTACGCGCAGTTCCAGCTCAATTTCCTCTTGCGGTTAGCGGCTTGTCGAATCTATAAAACGGGGCTTAAGAATGTGCTAATTGAGTCATGTCTCTCGACATATGCATCTTTTTTCTTTCGCTTTTTAGTTCGCGGGTATAACAGATTCTCCTAATTCATTGTTATATTCCGTTAGTATTGTGGTTATCTTTCGCATTCTTGCAAGGCCTTGAAGAACTGTGGAAGCATGCTTTCATCTTTTGACTATTTCCTTGGTGCTTCACACTATGGTATGGACATAGGAGCCAGCCTCTTCAGATATAAGAAGCTAGTGGGAGCACAATGACCTGGTGAGCTGGAAAGATACCTGGTTGATACTGTGTCTTTTGCGCAAATTGGTACCTCATCCAGCCTCGTCAATATCAATCGAGGGACAGGTGGCGCACCCCAACGAACAAATATCCATCGCATCCTAGCTGGATGAGGTGACTGAGGTCGGGATGGTCTACTTGATTCGATTCCCCAACCCTTACCCTGCTGTATGTCACATTGTCAACGCCTATCTTCTTGGCCGAATGTATTTGGAGTTTGAGAGTTTTGCCCCACCAAGACTCCAGTTGCCGCTGATATCTTGATGTCGGGTTACCTCGCAATGAATAGAAAGCAGGAAGCAGATTACAGCGCGGTCGATGTGTATTTTGACTCCCAGTTAAATTTCAGAAGAGTAAGTCTCAATCAGCCGCAGGTCAGTAGACAATCGTTGGTTGGTACTTGAAAAGTTGCAGTATTCGTAGCATCGGGGAAAACAAAGAGAGGGAAGTCGATTTTGAGGAAGGGGAGGTTTATAGTCAACTTTCCAAATGGTGCATGGGGAAATGATCGGTTACCAGTTGACAAGTGACACTACAGAATTCAACAGACAAATAGAACGGTAAGATTTCATTTCAAGAAGTGGTATCCAATATGCTCGCGGTATTCACATGAGCTTCCAACGCCGGACAACCCATCACATCAAGTTGTAAGGTCTCGTATTAGTAGCGTATCTAGCAGCAACACTCGCAGCACTCGAAGCAGGCGATACCGGCGCAACTATCGTGTCTTGATTAGTATTTGTTCATCGTGTAGACCATCGTCCATATAGAGCAAGGAGAACTCACATTCCACAGCAGATATCACCACCCTCGCCGCCACCACGGAGTTCCATCTTCATGGACTCGGGCACCTGTGGGTAATAGTCTGGTTAGTTGTTGTTTTCTTCCAAACCCAAGATATTCAAACATACGGGCTGCTGAGAGACAACCTGGTTAGAGGACATAGCCTCAGCGTTGGAGGGCTGCTCCATGGTCATGGTGGCCGCGTCCCAGGTGGGCTCCTGGGTGAGCTGAGACTCGTTGGAAGACTTGAACCAGCCGAACATTTTGATGGATTGTTGTAATAGAAAGAGGTTAAGGAAAACCAAGCCGTGTAGGAGGGGAAGGGGAAGATAAAGGGGAAAAGGGCCAGTAAGCCGGGGTCAGCCGTGTTTCCGTTTTAATTAATAAAAAAAGGAAATCTTGGTCGTACGGCGCAACCGAAGGTACTGGTTCTCAGGGACCGATAGGCCATCGTAATTACCCCAGGCAGCCGTATTCCACACTGGTGGGGCTGGCTGAACCCAAGATGGCAGTGGTATTTTGGGATTTTGTTGCGAGAGCGCTAAGGTAGATGGATTTTTGAAACATGACATAGGTGGCACGTAAACTGTCCGTTGTCTGATTATTTATATACATAGGTGCGTATCTTTCAGGAACAAGAAGAAGAAAACCAAATACAGTGACATACACATTATATGTGTGTGACAACGATATTTTACACAACTGGAACGCCAATAATTGGTCTTCGAGGTTCCACGTGAACCACACTAAGCTTTTAGTCAAGCTTTGCGAGTCCTTGGCACGTTTGTTCCTTTTCAGCCCTATCTGATGACGTTTACGTCTAACAATAATTTGTACTGGTATAATCTCTTCTTATTCTCTTATTATTGCCCTAGATATTTTATCCAACCCGAAGTTGTATGTCTTACAATCTCAATCGAAAATGGCATCAACTATTCCATGTAAACACTCCGGTGCATCATGCTTGGCCATATGCAATTCAACAAGACGCAAAGGCGGCGGGTTCTTCTCATCAAAGTTGTCAGCCGGCCCAAATGATGAGTCCATGAGAAGGCTATCCAACTCGGCTGTCGTATGAACAGTGTAAGTGCGAACGCTATCAGGCGTGGCCTGGAAAACAGTCGGAAGAAGCCTATGGTCCCAAGGTTGGATGTCGTTATACTCGGCCTCCGCCCCGTTAAGGAGGCGTTCGATCGTGTAACCCTCATTGCAGATAACAAACATGATAATCCCGAGCTTGCACCTCACCATGGTGCTGACTTCTTGCACCGTCATTTGAAGACTGCCGTCGCCAGTGAAGAGGATAGTCCGCCGGCTCTGAATCCCCTTGGAACTCTCCTCGTATTCACGCGCAGCGATGGCAGCTCCCACGGATGCGCCAACGGCGTACCCAATAGAGCACCAGAGTAGCTGGGTCATTGGGACTGCTCCACGTGGGAACCGTGACCACAGTGTGCCAAAGCTGGAGGTTCCTACATCTGCGGCTATGATGTCGTCTTCCTCGAGCCAAGAGCTGATCCGCTGCCAAATCCAGTCTTGCGTCAAGGGCGCAGACTTGTCGGTTATGTTGCCTTGGAGGTTTAGAATTCCATCGCCATTGACATTGCCCTTGGGAGGCGTCGAGGCAGATGAGACAGATCTAGTCATATCGGGTGAATCGCTGAGCTTGTGCGGGGCTGTAGAGGCCGGCGAGATTGACCCTGCCTTTTCCCTAATGAGAGCATTGCCTAGTTTTGTGAGAACGCCGCTCGATGCGAGTCCTGGGAATTCTTCGAACTGCAGTGCAACTCTGTCACGCTCGAACCTGATGGTCTCAACGTGTGGCATATCGGTCTTGAACCCAGCTGTGTTTAGATCTGTGGGGCGTGGTCCAATACTCAGAATCAGGTCACAGCCTTGAACCTCCTCCAAAACGGAGGGATGCGAAGCTCTCTCTGCGTATACGCCGCGGAAGTTGGGCAGAGTCTCATCGATGACTCCTTTGGCCATCGGCATAATAAAACATGGCAGCCCTGAACTTTCCACGAACGATCTCGTCGATTTCAAAATGTGTGGCTTACTGGCCAGACTATCAATAAGGATGATCGGGTTATGGGCCGCCAGAATATGATCTAGAATGAGATCCACCGCAGTTTCTTCCTCTAATACAGGGTTCGTAGCCAGTTCTTTAACAGTCAGCTGGTGCGCAAGCGGAGATGGATCTACTTCTGCTTTGACGAGATCCATGGGGAAGCCAATGTATACTGGCTTGCTAGATCGATAGCACTCAAGAATTGTTTCATCAATGAGTCTAGCTGCATTTGAGTGGTTTTTCAGAACAACCACAGCACTCGAAATCTCCGCACTCATTTTAGCGAATCGCTCAAACTCGCCATCTCCTAACGTATGATGCATAGGGAGTCGCTTTTTTTGAACCTCTGTTGATGGATAGCCCACTATATGGATGACAGGTACAAGCTCAGCACATGAGCCTGCTAGTGCATTGATGGCGGAAAGCTCCCCCACGCCGAGTGTGGTCATTAGCGCAGAGATTCCTTTGATGCGTGCGTAGCCATCGGCTGCGTAACCTAATCGATTAAAATGTTTAGATAACTGTCTCTTCATCACATTGAATATATCCTTACCAGCATTAAGCTCGTTGGTATTTCCAACCCAGTTGAGTCCGCTTGGTTCAAGATAGTCGAGCGAGGTAAGATTGAAATCACCGGGACACCCGAATACAGATCGGATTCCAAGTTGGTGGAGACGAGAAAACAAGTACTATATCGGAAACCTTATTGTTAGAAGATGCCAAGAAACCAAAGAAACCTGACAGGTTGACAGATGTATACCTCGGCAAGATGCATGATGGACTCAGTAATTTGAGGCAATCCAACTTTAGTGAGTGTAATAGTTATGAGTTCCCAAGGGCTTTCTGGCTTGAGATGTTTTTTTTCGACTTTTGACGTCCAACACAAGGTTTTTATATCATCCCGGCTCACCATCATCGTAAAAAAATATTATATTTGATACCGGTCACTCAACGCCACAAACTATTTCTTCAACCCACCCAGCCAATGATCTGATAACTATTTTTCCTTTTTAACCAATAGGGTGATAGAATATGCAACACACGCTTAAGAATATCTCAAAGGAGAGTTATGCACAAGATCGGCAGAGCTGTGTAACTTTAGATATCCCCTTTTCACGCCCAATTATCCGGCGAAAGGTGTCACAATCCTCGATCTAGATACATTCAAGCAGATCACCAATCACCATGATAACAACTTTCCAGATTAGGGATCACTTTGCATATTTCTGGCAGCACGGTATGAGAAGACGAACTCTGAAGGACATGAGTGACGAAAGCAGGCTGTGCAAGGTTTGAGATTTGCTCTTGGACATATTGCCAAGAGCCCCTTACGGCTTTTATTCATCTACATTTAGGATCTCTTTCGCCAAAACAAAAAAAAAGCTTACAGAAGTTGACCTCATATAACACTATGGGTATATTTCTATGACACACGGTGCAAATTTTCTTCAAATATCCGTAAAGATCGCAGATCTACATGTGTCAGCTCGCAAGGAGTTTCCTAATGAGGTTACACATCCTCATGTATTTTCTCTATTCATCAAGGATGATGTTGATAAATTTGCGAAAGAACAGCATTTTACCCGACATATGGAGTGTGACAAAGTGCTATCGTAATGGCACAGCCAAAAGATTCAGCTTGCGAGTTAAAAAAAAACTCATCTCGAATCAAATCCACTTGAATCAAGTTTAATGATCTACCAGTGCCTAGAATCAAAAAAATCATTGTCTTCATCGGGAAGACACCACATGGCTGCTCACCAAGGCTGCGCATGCCAGCCATCATCTTCATAGGCGACTGCAAAGCCTCACCTGTTCTGGATCAGATGCAGTGAGATCTGCAATATTTTCCCCATTCCAGAACTTCCTAACCGCTCCCCAATATCGGCCCGGATTTTCCATAATCAGCCCACAATGTGCACCATGCTCAAAGAGAACCTGCTCAGCATGGTACCCCAACGAGCGAGCCTCTTGCAGATGTGTCTGTACATCAGTCCAACCAATCACCGGGTCGTCCTTCGTATATATATATAGCCTTCTCGCGCTCGGCCCGAAAGTGTTTGGATCATTAAGCAGGGCCCGCAAATCGCGTATGGAGCGCAAAACACCCGCATTTTGCAACCCATTGATCACTGACATGGCCGGATAAAGCAGTGCCTTGCCTAAAAGTTGGGCTGCAAGATTATTGGGGACTGACACTTGCGCCGCCCCATAGGATTTGTTCAAGCTATCGTCTCCGGGACAACAGTCCAAAATGATGCGAAGATTGGCAAAGAACAGTGCACCTTGGTCATCACTTGCTTTCATCGCAAGCGCAAGCTGGGATCCAGTGCCCCCTCCTCCATGTGAGAACATGTGGAGCAATGTTCCGGGCCTGTCATTTGTATCGCTTGCTCTCGTCAAGATCCGACGAATGCTCTCGCATGCTGGCTTCAGGCCAGATCGGACCATGCTGAGTGGCCGGAATGCCACGTTTTGTACATTGGTTGTTAGAATGAGAATGCTGGCTCCTGGGTATAGCTGTCGATATTGAGAGGTGTATTTGTTGATCCGGCGGGGAGTGGCTCCCCCTACCCAGGTGCAGAGGATGATCAGTGACGGCGCACTGGCATCCGCGGCGTCAGCTGTCTCTTGAGGCTCATAGAGAGAGATCTCTCCACTCAGGGCTATGGGATATTTAAGTTTGGGTTCATCAGAGGCCATGGCGGGCAAGTGTTTCAATGTTGATCGCTTGACATCAATCACAGTGTTGGGGAAAGAACTTGTCTGTGCTCCGCTCCAGGGTTGATATTAGCGCTTACCGAGGTAATTCTCATCGTCTATTGTTGCTTATATTAGTTGCAATCTATTGATTGAGAAATTCTTTTCTTTATATTATTTTCAGCAATCTACTAGGGACTTATGTCGGTTCGGGTACCCCTCTTTCCAAGGTTGCTTTCAGCAGGGCCATTTAATATATACATTTAGAATAACGATGTAAGCCCCAACCAAGCCTGTATATTTGCTCTCTTTTTTCTACAGCTTGATGGTCATCATCGATTTACTTCTTCTTGGCCAAAGGATCATTTGCATTTGAAAAAATTAAGACTTGAACAAGCAATAGTGTATATACTCAGTCAGCCCTGGTGGGATGAGCCTTCTTTTTATAGATCATAACGAGTAGCTCATTTCGGGTACGCAATGGATATAATGACATCGTTTCTATGCACTATTTCCTATCAATCGATAAACTTTATAAACATAGATCGGGAACAATACCGCTGAAATGTCATGCGGCCCTGACATTGGGCGTTCATAATTGGGCGTTTTGAGCGATGAGATGATTGTTATCATACCAAAAGATCGTCGGTCAAATCTAAACCTGAGGCTTCTGCTTTATCGCTGTGATCAGAATGCCTTGTGCAAATCATCATTGCATGGTCCCACTAGTTTTGGCGGCGATTCTTCGGATGATAGCATCGGTCGGCAATGATCCGATCATGGTTTCGGGTAATGCTCACCTGTGGCACCGCACATTCAACTCGGCGGGCACTGCACCGACAGTGGGTCCCCCCGCGCCGATGTCACTTTGAACACATTAAAACGAGAGTCTGGGGAGGGTCACAATTGCTTTTGCTTCTGCAGCACTCTCAGAAACAAAGAATTCCCAGCAAAATGTCTATGACCGTTGATGATTGTGCTCAAGCTCGGGATGGTTTCCCTCGACCATTTCCAGACACCCCTTCCAATGTTTTGAAGCAGTTTCAGATGAACGGGAAGGTGGTTGTTATCACAGGTGCTGCCGATGGACTGGGTTATGCCGTAGCAGAGTCCATGGCTGAGGCGGGCGCTCATGTCGCCCTGTGGTATAACTCGTGGGTTATCCATCTTCCGCTGTTCGGTACCTAGTTAGCTAACCAGTCGACAGGAATGATGTTGCTATTGAAAAAGCAAAGGTTCTGGCGCAAGAGCACAACGTTATGGCTTCGTCTTACAAGGTTGACGGTGAGTGCACGCTTTTGGCTTCTAGAAAAGAAACACCCCATTGCTGATACATATTCAATTTCGATAGTTTCGGATTCAACTCAAGTTTCGGAATCAATTGCAAAGGTTGCTAAAGATTTTGGCAAGATAGACGTATTCGTCGCCAATGCAGGTAAGGTCGCGCTTCAAGGACATCCATGGATGGAATATGACAACCAGCTGACCATGGACAAAGGCATGGCTATCTCGAAGCCCATTTTGGAACAGACATTGGACGAGTATCGAAAGCAGATGTCTGTGAATGGTATGAACTCTATCTGATTATGAACAGCTTATAGTACTATTCTAACAGGCACTAGTCGATGGAATTGTTTATTGCGCTAAATATGTCGGTGAGGTATTCGCAAGACAGGGTTATGGCAATCTCATCATCACCTCTAGCATGAGTGGGCACGTTGTCAACGTCCCTGTTGATCAACCTGTCTACAATGCGACTAAAGCTTACGTTACTCACTTTGGAAAGTCACTGGCTCGCGAATGGCGAGACTTTGCCCGTGTCAATATTGTCTCGCCGGGATTCTTTGATACCAAGATGGGTGCAAGCCCCTTGTGCCTCCAAGAGGCGTATCGCATGTCATCGGTTGGAAGACAAGGTCATGTTAAAGAGATTAAAGGCTTGTACCTCTATCTTGCTAGTGACGCCTCGACTTACATGACTGGAAGCGATGTAATTATTGATGGAGGATATGTTTTGCCATAGATTATAAATTCTAAGTATAGACATAGACAGTGAATATGGAGATGAAATAACGACATTTGCAAATCATAAATTCGATGTACAATGACGACACATGTAGATTTAATATCAAGGGTCTTCGATATTGGGCTGAGACCTTGCTATCTCATGCCGGAGCCCCATTACGTCAAACTAGAGAGAATTAGGTACCAATGAGAGACATCCACTGAAGGGTTTTTTTTCTTCTTTTCTTTTCGTTTTCTTTTTCATATTGAAAGTGAAATATGCTTATATCAATAAAAAATAACTATCAATCTCCTACAATATCGTAAAAGTAAAGAACGTGTTCAGGATCTTCATGGAACACATCCGAGCCAACAAATGACCGGATAACAGTGGAGCAGAGTGATTCAACGACTCAATAAACCCAGACGAGGTTCGGTCTGAGGAAGGATACCAAATTCGGTACTTTTGCTTTGTTCCACAGTTCATGTTGCGTCAGGACATCAAAGACATCATAGACATATATAAACCTGCTTGCCAAGACAGGGATTCCATGTGTGGTCAGCTCATACATAAGTATTTTTTGTATATCAAATTCTTTTTAATATGCGACACACACGGCAGATGAAGGGAGTAAGAGAAAACCTGCTTTTTCTTGTCGCGTGATTGGCTGGTGTAGCGGCCCGGAGATTTCACACCCCAAGTAGGAAATATAGTGGAAAATAACTAGATGATAGGGTACAAAAGATGTGACATTCTAGGGTATTTGTTACAAAAAAAAGAAAAGAAAAGTTTTAAAAAAACCAGTTAGATAGGAGTTATCAATAAGCCACAAGGCGAAAAACAAAAGGAAGCAAAAAAGTGCATACATAGTAGCCTAAGAGCACTTCCCCACGTTATCGCAGTGGATCCGTGACTTCAGCGTTGCGATTTCAACCTCTGCCCCTCCTTTCTCTTTCTCTCCAATATTTTTTTCTTCTTCACTTTTGCATTTGCTTTATAGCCTGTTTCTGTTACAGCGCCAAAAGGTGCAATCAAGCCAAAACGGCCTCATCACAGAAACTACACCGGCCATTGGTGTTGGTCCGACATCTTCAATAGTCCGCCATGGCCGATACACGAGATTTCGCCGTTGAGCCAGCACCGCCAGAAATCGACGTCTCTGTCCAAAACGATACGTCTCAAACAATGAATCGTCAACCCTCAAGCCCTGCGGTTCTGCCTCCTCGCGACTCAACGACGTCGGGTTTATCTGCCTCCTCCACACACATGGGTCAGATCAACGCTGCGCGGCGGGGTGGACCCTCACCGCACCACCAGGTATCCATGAGCTCGCAGGCAACCGGTGGATTGAATCAGGATATCATGGCCAAAATGAGGGCGTTTTCACTTTCTCGGCAAGGTGCTCCGACACCTCATGCTGCATCGACCGGCCAAATCCCCACCTCACACTCGATCGGTGCGGGCGGCGGCGCACTTGCAGGCCGACTTCCTCCGACCACACGGCCTAGCCCTCAGCCTTGGAGCTCTTCTCCAACGTCTGCTAATTCTTCCCCTGGCCCTGTGCCCAGGCCTGGGGTTGGAGGACTAGCGGCGAAGCGCATGAAGCCAGGCCTCAAATTGTCGGATGTGACCGGCCCGCCTACTCCAGCAGCTGGAACAGACCAAAAGCCGAACGAGAACCCCGAGGAGTCTGCTTTCAGCAAGTACTCTGAGTTCATCGATACGAAAGAAGGCACTTTGAACTTCAAAAATAAAGCGATCTTACACGGTGGCGGTGTCGAATTCTCATCTGGTCATAGCTTCAAGCTATCATTGGATGAGGTTGAGCGCCTGGAGGAATTAGGCAAGGGAAATTATGGAACAGTTTACAGGGTCCGACGCTGTCGTCCACATCTTCGAAAGCCAGGTCAGGGCTTGGGTGGCATTGTCAGCCGGCCTGCTGATGAGCTCAGCCCCAAACCTGGGTCGAACCAGCTGTCTGGCATGGAAATGGCGATGAAGGAAATTCGCTTAGAATTGGACGAAGCCAAGTTTGCGCAAATCATCATGGAGCTCGACATTTTACACCGCTGCCTCTCCCCGTTCATCATCGATTTCTATGGAGCATTTTTCCAGGAAGGTGCGGTCTACATGTGTGTCGAGTATATGGACGGCGGTTCGATCGACAAGCTCTATGAGGGTGGTGTTTCCGAAAACATTCTGCGCAAGGTCACTCTGTCCACAATCATGGGATTGAAATCATTGAAGGATGATCACAACATCATTCACCGCGATGTGAAGCCTACCAACATCCTCGTTAACAGTAAGGGCCAAGTCAAAATTTGCGATTTCGGTGTCAGTGGAAACCTCGTTTCCAGTATCGCAAAGACAAATATCGGTTGTCAGAGTTATATGGCCCCCGAAAGAATCGCGGGAGGTGGAATGCAACAATCAGGAGCCCCCAGTGCTGGTACATACAGTGTACAAAGTGACATTTGGAGTTTGGGACTGTCTGTCATCGAATGCGCCATGGGTCGTTACCCATACCCACCGGAGACCTTCAACAACATTTTCAGTCAACTACATGTGAGTTGCTCAAGACTTTTTGCCTACTTATAATTCTAATCTTCTTCATTTTAGGCCATTGTTCATGGAGACCCCCCAACCCTGCCTGCTGAGGGCTATTCCGAAGAGGCCCACGCTTTCGTCCGAGCCTGTCTCGATAAAAACCCGAAAAACCGCCCATCTTACAGTATGCTTCTTCGGCACGCTTGGCTCGCACCCCTCATGCAGCCACCAACAGAGTCAGGTGAAGACGCCTCGCCCGAGGATTCCGACTCCGGTGATGCCGCCTCATCCGCGACGACAGCAGACAAAGAAGTCGCCGAGTGGGTCAATAGACAAATTCAACGCCGGAAAGCAGGCACCCTTCGTCCCTCTGAGAAGCCAGCGCTACATGCTGTCGCGCTGGATAAGGTTGCCACAAGCCCCTCTGAGGGTGACCTCGCTCCGTCGCATAATGACTGAGCTATTCACTTCTCATCTATTTCGAATTCCGCATTTTCCTACTTTTCTCAGGAAAAGTAGTTAACGGCGCAGGCGCCGTTCTGAACGTTCTGCATGCCTCTGGACTTCGGGTTAATACACCATAAATCCGGTCTTTTTGAGACCTGGGGCTCGACTGGATTCTCACGACGGCTATGCAAGACGTATAATATGTGATTAGCTTGACAAGTTTCCATGGATATGTGGCTATATGGAATTCAACGGGCTTGGTTGGCCCATTCTGCTCTGCCCGCATTTCATACCAGCATGGCTCAGGCAACACATTTCTTGTCATACACATTCCACTTTGCGTCAAACTCTTGTATTTGAACTATGCTTTGGTGCATTTGATACAAGCGCTCTGTTCTCGAGCTTTGTAAGCATATTGGATTGGGGGATTTTTGTGGACAACATTGCATTCTCATAGGCTCGATTACTGCAGTCTCAATCATGATCCATTTATTAAATTCATTTTATTTAACACCCAATCCGGTCAATTTTATGTAGTAAACTCGCTGCTCTGTCGAAGTTCATGTTGAATATGTACAAAATCCCTAAGTTCTCGCTGTTGAAACTGAAAACCGAAACAACCCCACGATCTAAGCCTGACCCCAGATTTCATCTGCAATCTCCCTCACAAGACTCAACTTCTTCTTTTGGTGCTCAACAAGAAGAGGATACCCACTCTCGTGAGTACTAAATCCACACTGGGGACTAACACACACTCTCTTCAGAGCCTCCTCACGACTCTCTCCCGACCCCTCAGCCACAAAGTCCGCAGCCCTGAAGATCCTGTCCTTAACAGCCTCCTTGTCCTCCATCTCTCGCAACTTAGTACTAATAACACCCACAACAACATTCTTATCCTTGGGCAAGAACTTCAGCGGCTCGAACCCTCCGGCCCGCTCAGTATCATACTCAAGATAGAACGTGTTCACATTCAAATCCTCAAACAGCTTCTTCGCAATGATATCATACGACCCCTCAGCGAAGTGCCGTCCACCGATAAAGTTGCCCCGACACAGATGAATACCCGTGTGCATATCAGCGGGGAGTCCAGCAAGCGAGTCGTTGTACAGCTTGATATAAGCATCAAGCAGATCATCCACAGACCCAATATTATCCTTGTCTTCCTCCCACCCCTGGCGGAAAGCCTTGGAGCAGAAATACGCCATGCCGGGATCATCGAACTGCACGTTCCGCAGACCGGCCGCATACAGCGACGCCAGCTCCGCGCGGTACACTTTCGCGACGTCGGCGAAGTATTCCTCGTCGTTGGCGTAGGCGTCAGCGGCATATGCGCACCCCTGCTTGTAGCGCATGTGGAACCAGGCCGGCGTGATCATCGTCAACTTGATGTTGTGCCATTCGCTCTGGGGCAGCGAGGCCTGTACGAGCTTGAGCTCGTGCAGGTTCGACCGCGAGGAGGCTGTGCTGTGCGAGAGCTTTTTGCCGGCGATCACGGAGTCGCCGGGCATTACTTTGCGGTCTTTCTCGATCAGGCTGACTACGTCTGGGTGGTAGAGTCTGAACATTGAGGACTCGGCGTCTTGGAGACGGATTGTTCCTGGATTGGGGTTAGGTGGTGGTTGGGAGGGCTGGAGAGTAGACGTTTCTCACCTTCGAACTCATCCCACATCAGGCCCCAGAACCGGGTGCGGTTGTATTCGCCCGAGGTCACAGCCTTGAAACCGAGCTCTTGTTGCATCTTGACTACATCGCGGACAGCTTCCTGCTCAACGGCTGGCAGGCCGGCTTCCTTTTCGGAGATGCCGGTGTTGGCGATCTTCTCGCGAATCTCGAGGAGATTATCCGGACGCAGCAGCGAGCCCATTTGCTCAGCGCGGAAGGGTGGAGCGCTGTGAAGCTTGTTCGCCATGGTGGTTGATCCGTTGATGCTGATATCTGGAGAGAAAGATGCTACCTTTGGAATCTGGATAGCTGTTTAGGATCAGAATGATGCAATTGAGCAATTCTGGGCTGTTTAGGAGGGGTATCTGGGGCACTCAGCACGATCCTTCTTTTTCCACCTTCTTTCTCCACGTGGGGTCTATCTATATGCGGGGCTGCAGCTAAAATGTGGTGCAGAAATGGGGCTCTTTTTGAGTTTGATATCGTCTGTGTCCAATCTGAGAGACTGATGGAGATTTGCCCTTAAACCCAGTCCTCGGCCTATATCGAGTTCAAGTTATCATAACTAGCACATAATAATTACCTATCTTCCATATCATTGCTACTTTACTATGACGTTGTCAACTCAAGCAGATCGAACCTTAACTGAGCCCCACATCATATAGTTTGTGAGATCTGCCTTCGTATAGAAGATATTCAACTTGCTAGCAACATTTAAGGCCATGGAATTGCAATCAAAGTCATTTTTTGATACACACATCTCCATTCGCGCGGATGCGGACTCGTACGATCGATCTTTGTCAACGTGACTTCCCAAAAAGGACAAACCCTGGTAGCTTCTCTTTGATTAAGCGTGCCATCCTTAGTGCAAGGGCCATGCTAATCTTCTCTGTATATTTTCGGTTGATCAAATGCCCCGAAGGGCGAAAGGCTGATCTTTCAAGTTCATTATAACCCTATTATGGGATAAAGGTCCACACGTACATACAACAAAACTATTGTACATCTATTTGTTCAGCATTGTTAGATCTGACAGTCGCAATGAGTATTTTTAAGAGTACATATGTATGTACCCATATAATAGAAGTAACATGAACAATACTATGTTACGAGGCATTGAATATGTAGAATCTAACAGTAGCAATTTTGAGGTCAACAAGGCTTCTGAGTTTTATAAACTGAGTATCTAAGGTATTCACATTTCTCTCTATTCAAATATTACCGCATGGTCACAAGCTCCTCGGCACTGGTGGGGTGGATAGCAACACAGCTATCAAAGTCCTGCTTAGTAGCACCCATCTTGACAGCCACACCGAAGCCCTGCAGCATCTCACCAACACCGAGACCAAGGATGTGGAGACCAACAACCTTCTCCTGGGGACCAGCACAGATGAGCTTCATCTGAGTGGGGTTCTTGGCTTTCTCCTCGGGGGACAGGCCGACATCGTAGAACATGGCAGTGAACTTGGTCTGGTAGATCTTGATCTTGTCATCGCCGTAGCGCTGGCGGGCTTCGGGCTCAGTGAGACCCACACAGCCGACTTCGGGGTGCGAGAAGACAACAGTGGGGATGTTCTCGTAGGAAAGCTTAGAGTGCTTCAGCTCGGGGGGACCGAAGAGACGGCTGCCGAGTTGACGGCCAGCGGCGATAGCAACTACACGCGATTGGTCAGCAATGAAAAACAAATATGCTGGGGGAGAGTCATTGTGGCTTACCTGGAGTCAGCTCGGCCTGGCCGGTGACATCGCCAAGAGCGTAAACACCCTCAACGTTAGTGTTCTGGTACTCATCGACAATGACGTGGCCGCCTGCGTTCAGCTTCACGCCAGGGATGTCCAGGTTCAGATCCTCGACTTCGGGAGCACGGCCCACAGCCCAGAGAAGCTCGTTAACTTCAAGCTCGGAGCCATCGTGGCCAATGAGCTTGATCAGACGGTCCTTGCCCTTGCCATCGCGGATGAGCTGGATTTCCTTGAAGCCAGTGTGGTTACGGTGGAGCTTGACACCAGCGGCGTCGTAGCGGTCGGTCATAGTCTTCTGGATCATAGGGTCGAACTTGCGCAGGAAGTGCTCGCCACGAATGAACATGTGGGTCTCAACGTTGATGGCATTCAAGACACCAGCAAGTTCAACGGCGATATATCCAGCTCCAACAACGGCAATCTTAGGGGGCAGCTCCTCCATCTCGAAGAATCCGTCGCTGGTGATGCCGTGCTCGGCACCGGGGACGGCGGGGAGGTTGGGGCGGCCACCAGTCGCCAGCAGAATGTGAGGTGCAGTGTAGCGGGCAGTACCGGAGCCATCGGCCAGCTTGACCTCAATGGTATGGGGCTCGACGAAACCAGCGCGGCCGTGGACGAGGTCGATTCCTTCGCGGTTCCAGTTGTTCTCATAGGCGCCGTTGAGACGCTTGATAACGGCGTCACGAGTGTTCTTGAAGTGGGTGTAGTCAAACTTGATGTTTTCGGGGATGGCATAGCCGTAGTTCTTGCCAATTTCGAGGGTCTCGTTGATGGTCGCAAAGTTCCAGGTCATCTTCTTGGGGACACATCTAGATGTCAAATTATGTCAGTCGCATATACCGGCAGGATACATCTGATCTAACTCACCCCACATTGACACAGGTACCACCGGAACGTCCACTTTCGACGATCAGGGTCTTCTTGCCATACCAACCAGCGGCGCGGCGGGCGCTGCCACTACCACCACTACCGCCGCCGAGGACGATGTAATCGTACTGCTGGGTTTCCACGGGAGCCATGTTGGAAGATTGTTGGTCTTTGGAGATTGCAGACGAGGATAGGTGTCGAGAGATAGTAGAAAGACGAGAAGTAGGAGCAATTGAGTCCGCGGGTGTAGGGCGGGGAGAGCTAATGGTCGCCAGAGTTCGATTTACGGTCAAAGGACCAAGGATGGATTGTCTGATAAAAGACAGAGATGAAGAGGCTCGAAAGCTGATCCGAGGTGATTGGAGGGAGCGGGATAGCATGGAGGGAAAGAAGAGGGGAATAATTATGTACAGGCTGATGTGAGCGGAGACGGAAAAAGATTATGGTGACGATATCGGGCTTCGATAATGCGTGTCTACCGGGAACCGTGCATTTCCGTCGATTTCTCAGCCGATTATGTGATCCGATCTAGATCCATTTTCACACCTTTGTTTGCTGAGTATTTATTGCATGTGAGATCTACTTGATGATTAATACAATTTTGTAGTTCTTTATAATTATCGTCAAATGTATTATAGTATTGGATGGTATGGGGTATAAGGAAATCCAAAGAGTGACAGGAAGTGACCAGCACAACAGCAACAAAAGGAAACGCAAAAGGCAATAGATATCAGTATGTCTTTCAGAACTCAAGATCCAGGGTTGAAGAATTGGAACAAGACAAAGTCTGTTGAGAGTAATGAAAGCCAAGCAATGCAATGGTAAAATATTCACGTAGGGAATGTCCAATCATATCAAGCAAGTAATAGAATGAAATGATGAGGAAAAGGCAGGTCCTATAAGTGCTGAAGGGTGAAAGAATAGGGCATCTGGTTCAAGCACAGTTGTCGTATCCTTGCCAGTAAGCGATATGCAGCACTGGTAGAGACAACGAAGACCCCGCGCATGTGTACCGATGGTTTAATAGACCAAAGCCGCGAGAAGTTTGTCATCTCAAATGATTTGGTATAGGTGAAAGCTCAACGGTGTTTGTTCCAATCTTTCCGAGTTGGGTTTATATAGTGGTTTGGAGGGTTGAAGGGAGGGTGGCAGGTTGCAGTCTGTCAGGAAGTTTCAGAGATGTTCGCCTCTTATGATGGCCAGCATATATCTTGATCCACTGAGAGATAAAGACAGGATCACTTCACTGTTCAGACAGATGCTTGTGGTGGGGTTGTCTTCAGTGTTGAAAGCGGGGACCGGAGGTATTTGGCTCGCATGTTATGTGGTGAGACGAGAAAGGAGGCATTCGTAGATGAGGGGTTTCCGGAAAATGATAGAGACATTCCAGACAGCAGAAACTAGACAATAGGATCTTTCAACTGTGTCGGGAGCATAACGCTATCGCGGGCTAGTGGGTGTAGGCGATAACGGCAAAGGAGATAAGACAGAAGCAGAGAGGGATGTAGACAGAGCGCTCCATGTCGGCCTGGGAAGAGTTGGATTTCATTGCAAAGATCGTATATGTTGTACGTTGTACACAAAGAGATCGAAGAGAGGGGGTCCGGGAGTATATAGAATCTGGGGAGGGGCGGTGCACCCGTGATCTTTATCTGCTGAATAACAGCGTTGGGGCGCCTCAACAAAACATCACCTGACTCAACACTGGCAATACTCTCGGACTATTCATAAATCAGTTTATATTGTTATAAAGACAATCAAATTCTAGTATTTGGGCCCGTGGGAACTTTTCAATCTGGTTGCTCTAATTGTTCTGATTGTGTGACAAGTAAAAACGCCCAAATGTTTCACGTGGGACCTGCATAATCCTCGGCAGAGCCAAGTGGACTGGACACCTATGATTGTTTAGGGCCAAGTTTGTATATGTGGCATTTTGAAGGCCCTAAAAGGCCCTAAGAAATGACTCATATAGAGTTCACCAGTGTTCGTTGTAATTTCTAGGGCATGTATATAAGGACCCAACTTCATACATCCCTTGATAGCACCCAGCCATCAGGGATTGCCTCCTAAGTTCACACGGACACTACAGCCTCAACAGGAGTGATCTACATGACTGCCATGCCCCTAGCTACCGTAAGAATAACACCAGCAAGAGAGACTGGCCCCTGTCGAGCAAACCGCAAAACTTTGAAACCTCCACATTCACAAAGAATGAAGAATGCAAGGAGATACCAACCACGCCCCCCATCGACCAATGAGGGTAACGATGAGCAGCCTTCATACCTAACGAAGAGGCAAGAAAACAAAAGCCAGCCTTGCCAGCCAATGGAGCAAGGCATTGGTCTCTAAATTCTCCTGTATAGTCCTGTTTCATTAGACCAAATCTTGCCCTAGATTGATTCCTTCTAGTTGTATACATCAGACAATCTTCCCCCACGCACGCACTGTCTTTACATCGTCTAATTGCAGACTACACGATCTTTTAACCGCTATCATCTCAATACTGCCATAATGCGTGTCTCAACCCTTGTCTTCGCCGCCGTTATGTCCATGGTCTCCGCCAAAAAGATCAACATGCACTGTAATTTTGCGGATGACCATACCGGCATGGTTCAACAACCCTACTGCTGCCGTGACCTGGTTCCTGCGCGCGGAAACTCGAAGGCGAATGAGGCAATGGACTGTATGTATCATCAGGCGATGTTTGGTCATCCGATATCTCGCTAATCACCATTTGTCTCTAGGCGATCAGCTTTCTCAGCCGCAGCTATGCGAGGATCAGTCGCGGCCCGCCTGCTGTTACACCATTGTGAGTCGTACTTCGAACAATGAGATATGGGCTTTGCTAACAGATTTCTTTCTACGATGTCTAGGGTCCCAAGAAGATCTGTACCTCCCACGCTATCTTCATGGATGCGGATGATGTTTAAATAGCGATGACATAGGGTTCCAGATGAATACATTTGTTATGATCTAGCGGGATGAGAAACTTGCTCAGCCATTACGTTTTGATGTCAACAATTTTTGTTGAATGGCCATCGAGAGATACATATCACACTTCGCTTCTTGCATCTCAAATATTATATGCCAGCAAGGGATGATCTGCTGGCAGGCTAATGATAGACTTGCGAAAATTCACTCCAACGGTAACAAAATTAGTCAATGTATGATTCGTGAATCATGATGATGGGCTGTAACGCTTGAAGAACGACCGAACTCCGTAACCCAAATGCTGGAAATGCTAGATAAATTCTGCTTTTGTATCTCCAAAAGCGTGGCGACCTCAAAAAAGACCAATCAATCAGAAACAACACCTAGCATCTCTTCCGTATTTCTGCGAAACAGGCGCTCCGCTAGCCCCGGCTTAGATGCACACAGGTCCAAGCAGCATTCAGTGAAAGGACTGATATCAACCCCGGAGAACCGAGTATGAGGCCAGTCCGTGGCATATATCACGCGATCAGGGGCAACGGATAGAAACTCGCGTGCCATAATCTGCAAATCACGCATTTGATGGTCTTTGCTGAGTCTGTAAGGCGCAGATACCTTGACATATGTACTTCCGGCACGAAGCAGAGATATCAAGGATGAGAATCCGTCAAGCTCGTAGGGATTGAACAGGGGATTCTTCTCTAGGGACACCAGCGCGGGACTACCGAAGTGGTCAATGCAGATGCGGACTCCTAGTCGCGGAAGAATAGATTCAATCATGGGCACCATCTTGAGGGGGAGATAGACTTCGACGATCCAATCAAATGGCCGCGCAATCTCAGCATGTCGAAGTAACGTCTCTTCCAGCTCAGCCTTGTCCATCACCTTGCCGACGGACTGGAGGTTGATTCTCAATCCACGGACTCCGAGACGATGCCATTCTTCCAATGTTTCTGAACGCACAGCGGTTGGGTCAACGACCACAACCCCCCTGCCACGGGATGGCCCGAGTTTCCTCAATGCATCTAGTAGACATGAATTGTCGGATCCATATACTGAGGGCTGCACAAGAACTAAATTTTCAACGCCCAGCCCGGATTCAAAGGCGAGTGCTTCGCTAAGCGTATGAGGAGTTGGCTTGTACACCGCTGTCGGTGAGACAGGAAACCGCTCAGGTTCCACAACATGCATATGACTATCCCATGACCTGGGAGGGAGTCTCTGCTTTAATGATATGCTTGCAGGACTGGCATGGCTTGACCGCCGGTGCTCGAAACGGGCAGAGAGAACATTGAATGATATTGACGGAGCCCCGTGGAGTACATTGGTTTTTGGCTGAGCAGCAGTCAGCATTCTGGATGCTATAGATTTCAAGCAATCGTATGAAGCCAGATTTTCAATGGGGAGCCAAATAGACCAGCAGTATTAAAAAAGAACGAAACTGAAGCTCTAGGGTTATACTAACAGAAGAGTAAGTTGAACGGGGTGCAACCCTTAAACCGTGCTTGAGGAGTACCATTCCAGTTTCACCGGTCAATGTCCATCGTTAACATTTCAGATCCCTGTAATGCAGGGTTTTCCACTTAAAAAGGGCAGTCCTCGCCCGAGTCCGAACAAGACAAGACAAGCTGCACGACCCACTACCTCGGCAGCCACGCGCTTGTGACTTGATGCAATAGGGGGTAAAGTCTAGTCAGCGCGGAAGTCGTCCGTGAGGCCGTACAATCTTGAAAGCCTTGATCATTTGGGCCTCTTAAATGAGTAGACGAGCCGTCAAGCGGAGCCAAAGTGGATATCTCCGCGGAGTGATCCGACATTGAAGAAGTATGGAGTCTGAGAAAACAGAAGATCAAATTGGAAAAGAACAGACAAAAGTAGAAATAAAAATATGCATAGTTCAACCAAATAGGTACTTGGTGCTCAAGCCTCTTGTTTGCAAATCACTTAGAGGTCCGAGTTGAAAAGTCGCAGGATGCGCAGAAAGCAAAGCTCGGACGTTGACCGAAGAGAAATCTGTTTGGCCGGGATGCCGAGCACCCAAATTTCCTCCCTCATCCACTCTTTGGGAGTTTGCCGATGAATCTGATTCGAATTTCCCCAGGATTTATATTGCCTCCACAATTTCGCTTATCTTTTCCAGTTCCTCGTTATGCGATGGGACGCGTCACGATGGTCAACCAATCCCTATTGCGCCCTGGTGATTGTTGTCATAGCCTGCGGTGGAATTCCCAAAGGTATGGACCCCGAATTGATAGTCATTCCAACCAATGGATACCTAGGTCTATAATAGGTTAGTATAGCTTCCTATTAACTAATCGATCATTATCCTTTTTAGGCTATGACGAAGGCGGTTATAGTGCCAGCGTGTCTCTTCCTTCATTTAAGGCGGACTACAACCTCGATTCATCACATTGGGAAAATGACGCCACTGGTTTAGCCAACCGGAATGCAAATATTACTTCCTTCAATGTGCTAGGGGCAGCGATCGGAGCCCTACTCGTCCTCGATCTAAACGACAGACTCGGCCGCTTGGTGGCGTGGCGCCTAGCATGCATCGTATGGGCAAGTGGCACACTGATGCAAATATTTGCATCTGGCATCTACGGATTCCTGCTGTTTAGTCGTATATGGGGTGGATTAGGAGCTGGTGCCCTGACAGTGACTGGTCCACTGTATTTAAGTGAAATAGCCCCTGCTAAAACACGCGGTCTGGTGGTGGGGGTATACATGGTGCTATTATTAACATTCCTAGCAACAGGTGAGCTATGACCTCCCCGATATGACTCCGCTGGCCACGTTCTGACTAGTTGATCGCCACTCGATAGGGTTCTTTGTGAACTACGGTGCTAGAGTCCACATGTCGATCACCCGAACCCAATACCGCCTAGTTCAGGCTGTTCCATTAATACCGACAGGGATCGCATATTGCCTGTCATACTTTTGTCCTGAAACACCTAGGTATCTTGTTTCGAAACAGCTCCATGCCGAAGGATTGAATGCGCTAGCGCGTTTGCGCGGAAAAGCCATCAATGACCCGGACGTGGTGGCCGAGTTCGAGACCATCGATGCTCAGGTGCGCAAGCGTGAGACGGACCTTGCGTCTGTGTCGCATTGGGCTATATTCAAGGAGACCCAGACCAATCCAAATTACCGCCAGCGCTTTTGGTTGGTCATGACCATGCAGAGTATCGGCCAATGGACCGGTGGGAATGGAATCACGTACTACGTCACGAGCATTTTCAAGGTATGTCAGCACAACCAAAGACAGAAAAGAGATCTATTGACAATCCTCACAGTACGCGGGCCTAATAGGCGATGCCGAATCCCTTGTCGGCTCCGGCGTCTACGGCGTCGTGAAACTGCTCTTCACAATGGCCTTCACGTGGGGACTTATTGATCTTCTGGGCCGACGGCGCTGTACCCTCGTCGGCCTAACTCTCCAACTAGCAGCACACATCTACATGAGCATATACATGGGCCTGCGACCAGGATCTGCGGACAATCACCACGCATCAAATGCAGCGGTCGCTTCGGTCTTTGTCTACGCCGTCGGCTGGTCTATCGGTCTATGTACGGTGCCCTACTTATATGGCACTGAGATCTTCCCCACGCGCATTCGAAACGTCAGCTACGCGGTCAGCATGGGATTGCATTGGCTCTTCCAATTTGCCGTTGTGCGTGTTACACCAAATATGTTCGTTTCGCTGGATGTTTGGGGTGCTTATCTCTTTTGGTCGCTCATATGTTTCTCGGGACTGATCATCCTTGGCATCTTGATGCCAGAGACTAAGGGTGTACCGATTGAACAGATGGGTGACCTATTTGATGGGCCGTGGTATTTGCGCTGGAAGGCAAAACCCAGGGAATTGGTTGATACCTCACGCCTTTCCACGGAGCATACTCTTGCGTCCGAGGATGCTCCTCCACCCAAGGTTCGCGATTAGATCCTTGGTGCTTTTTGTTCCTTTGGATACATCCTAGGCATTTTCTTCGACACGCGCAGCGATATATTCATGACTTATGATACCCACATCTTCTGTTATAACTTCCGGCAACTTGCATAAACTGATCTTCAACAACATCAAGCTTTGCAGTACTTGTATATATACATCCATTAGGAACGAAAATCTGTCTATCTTGAGGACTCGACGGTTTCTTTCCATAAAGTTGTCGATGTATACCTACTTGGGCAAAATATTATACAAAGTGGAACAGTAGATCATGTAATTAGTGAACAGTTCATGCAAGATATATCACAACGCTACAGATATATATTCAAAAGTCATAAGAAACAGACAAAAGGGTAATCGACCAACTTGGCCGGGAAGCTCACTGAGGAGGCCCACCCCATCCCTGATCAAAAGCAGGCGTCATATTCGTCGTGATAGGCTGCGCATATGAGAATGCTTCGTACACCTCCGGTGTAATCTCATATGACGCAGGATCATCCATCGTCATAACGGCGTTAGGCATCCCGCCCAGTAAATGTGTGGGCGGCATCTGAGGCATTTCGCCGGAATGCGGGATATTGAAACCCGTTCCTGGATGTTGGTAGTTGCTGTATCCTTGCATCAAGGGTGGGGTTTCTGGCGCCGAGCTTTGGACATGGGCGGTCATCGATACTGGGGTTTGGTGATGATGCTGGCCTGGAGAGACGTGGCGGGATGGGTTGCTGCCTATTGATGGTGACTGACTGTGGCGAGGATTGTGGTGCTGTAGTTGAGGAGGAGGCTGGTGGTGCTGGGGATGGTGTTCTTGGTTGGATTCAGGAGGGGCAGACCTTGGAACGTGGATATTGATGTGAAGCCTTTGGAGTTCCAGGGAGATCAGATTGAGGGCTGTTATAATGACGGGGTTGGCGGCCTTGACTCTCTCCAAGGCAAATATGCAGAACTTGAGTTTGTCCAGTGTTCCTGGTGCGGCATACTTCAAGGCTTGGATCTCAAGTAGGAAAATCGATGCCGCTGTGTAGATGCTGTATGCGAGGGAGAGGACCACGTGGCTGTCACCGAATGTGCGGCGGTATAGGTCGAAGAGGGATAGGATTGATGTTGCCGATGCCATGCACTGTACTAAATGGCTTGAATCGTATTCATCTGGCCGAGTTTTGAGCAGTTCGCGAGAGCAGAGAATTGGTCGATGCAGCAGGATATTAATTGTGTGATACAAACAGCTAGAAAAAAGAGGTCAGTATGAGGGCGCAACAAGCATAGGGTAATCACAAACTTCAAAATCACAATATGGCTCGGTGGTGAGTACGGGGGAAGGTTTGACGCCGTCAACTTCAAAAAGTCTGGAAGATCGTCCCACCATTCACCCAGAGCTTTGCCCTGCTCCTGAACACAATCATAGAACTCTGAGTCCGTACTTCGACGCATCGGATCGTAGATGTGGATTAAGATCTGGTTGAGGACTTCTGCAAGTCCGCACATCTTCATGAAACATGACGTCGAATGCGCCTGTGTGGGCGGATAGTGAGCGCCATCGGGGAAGCTAACGCCGTGAGGGGTCCAAATCTCAATCTCAGCTGTATCATCCAGAATCAAGCGCGGCGGGCTAACGCGGGAGTGCTGCATTGTCGGCGCCCGACCGAAGTACAACGAAACCACCTTGTCCCAGAAGTAACAACTCCAAAAGAGGCGATTCCGTATCTCGATATCCTCGTCACTCAATTGAGCTGAACCAGAATATTTCCGGCTGTCAATGGAGATGCCCAAGTCATCTAGCAGTCGGAATGCCATGCCACTGTACAGCCATGCTTGTGTGCGGTTTCCACGGCCGCATTCCTGTGCGCTGAGCAATAGTAGTGTCTGGATGGTAGGTATGCCTGCATATCCAACTTTGAGGGAGTCAAATACACCCGTCAATGCGCGGTGGGAGAATTGAGCTCCGCCGTCATAGGAGTCCAATAGTGGACCAATCTGAGGCTCTGCTTTGCACCATCGTACTGAGTGGGAGAGGATGGCGTTCAACAAGACATCTGAGTAGTAAGTTCCTTGGATTTTCATATCACCTGCTCCGTACATTAGCTTCGTTGTCGCAATCTGGAACGAGGTAGAACAGACGTGTAAATGCAGGTCGGTAGACGAAATTCCAAAGCGGTTGGATCCAGCACCAGTGCGAATCGAGAAGATACTGAAACGGTTCCTGTAAATCGCATGGTGTCAGCACATGTGGCTTCTCCGACCATCCACAAGACCAGAAACTCACTGGCATAGCAGCCATTTGCTCGAATGCTCTCTCTCGCCACGCACTATTGATGAGACGCTCCTTGCGACCTTCGATCTCCTGCGCGTAATGCGATTTCGATGCCGTGTCACTCCCTACCCCACTCGGAAGCTGGAACAAACTCGTAGGTCCATGAAACGAGACGCGACCGTCGTTTTCGACATTCAGGCCATCGAATTCTCTCGCAAGATCATCCGTATCCGCTTCGATCTTAATTCTGGGGCCGCTCGAACTGGACTCGGCTACCGACGAAGGCGAGCTTGCCTTCCGTAACTCGACATCCCCATCAGGGCGAATCTTGGACAATGCATCCTCCAATTGGGCAACTCTAGCTTCAAGCTGTTTCGTGTATGATAAAGTCGGCGCTCTTAAGAATAAATTCTCAATTATCAGCGGGGTGTGTGCGATGAGGAGAAGGGAAAAGGGCGGTCAACTCACAAGCTATACACACACAGCTCTCCTCTAGCTGCACATCGCGAACATGACGGACTTGCTCCGTTACATTTGACCTGCCGGGGTTCGACGAGTCAGCTCGGCAATCTCGGGTTTTGTCCGAGGGGATCCGCGCGCACCTTGCGTTTCCGACACGCCTCGCACGAGAAGGCGCTCTTCCGGGGAAGTGTGGGCTTGGGCTCAGCCATTCGTACCCTCAAGTGGATTTAGGGAGTTTAGCCTCCATGGAAGAAAAGTAGAGAAGAACAAGAACAAGAAGATAAAAATCAGAATAGGAGAGAGAATTTTTGGCCCCAATCCTGCGTGGGGCAATGATCGCGGGGATTAGCGTTTTTGAAACGGGTGAGATAGTATTGACGTCGAATCAATCCTGAAGGGTAGCTTGTTGAGTCAGTTGGAGGCTTTTGGAGGCTTTTGGAGTAAAAAAAAAGGCTGGGCCCGGTTATGCCCCAGTTGAGACCCAATGTATTCTTAAGTTTCGATGGGTAATCTCTCGAAGGGAAATCTTGACGACTAATTAACATATGGTGAAGAATGGTAATTGGTTGAAGAGGAAGGGATTTGCTGATCTTGGCATTAAAGGTATCCATATGCGGCTCCACTGATGAGTTGTATAGATAGTCCATCGTGACGAGCCAATTAATCCACAATAAACTAACAACAGTGTAGGTAGTTATATAATTATGTATAACTATAAGTATAACATACTGTGTAGAAAACAATTATTGCTATTTGCATGGTATCCCAATTGTATACATTTAGAAATGCTCATTTCTTCCCTTTTGGTCCCTTGCCCTTGCCCTTGCCCTTGCCATGGCTCTTGGGGGCCTTGGCGAAAGCAGCATCGCCTTTACCCTTCTTCCACCCCAGATTGCCTTCATGTCTTTCATTGCGATCGTCGAGACGCTTCTTGTCCTTGTTGCTGAGCTTGACATTGTTCTTCTTGACATTGGGCCCGTTCAATTCAACAGCACCCAACTTGCGAGCCACCTGCTTGTCCTTCTCGGTCTCGAACCATGTTCGCTTCGGTCGCGACATGATTTCATGACCATGCTTCATCAAGTTCTCACTCTTGGTGTATTGCATCTCGGCCTGAGAGAACTGCTTCTCGGTCTTCTCTTCCTGCAGGACCTCGGTCACCTCATCGGCCAGATCCTCGGCCTTCTGGGCCCAGCTATCTGCGACGGCTTGCTCAACTACGCGGCTGGCAATTTTAGCGCCTTGAGCTTTGCCGGCTCGCACGGCGAGCTTGACGATCTTGCGGTCCGGCTCGGCAGCGATGGTGCATGCACGACCAGAGCGACCGGCACGGGCGGTACGACCGACACGGTGCAGGTAGATCTCGTGGCTTTGAGGAGCTTCGTAGTTAATGACAGTTTCAACACCTTTGATATCCAGACCACGGGAGGCAACGTCGGTGGCGAGGAGGAAAGCAACCTTGCCGTCTCGGAAGTTTTCAACGGATTTGATACGCTGTATTAAAAATTAGTGCGGTCCATGTAGGGTGATGATAGTTAGATCGTACCTGTTCTTGACTCAAACTACCGTGCAGCTCTGCTGCCTTCAGACCCAATAGACCGAAAATGATGCGAACGCGGTGAGCTTCCTTCTTCTGTCGGAAGAAGATAATGACACGCTTTGTGTAGACTTCCATGCACAGGTGCAGGAGATATCCAAGACGCTTGTCTTCTCGCCCGGGGCGGAGACGAACAAACTCTTGAACAAGGGTGGAAACAGTGTTCTTCTTAGCGTCAACCATCAACCGCATTGGGCGGTTCATGCCAACACGAATAAGCTTGTCAATTGAGTCGGTCATGGTAGCGGAGAACAGCATAGTTTGACGGTTCTTGGGAATGGTAGTGAGAATCTCATTCAACTCGTCGGCAAAACCATCTTCAAGCATACGATCGGCCTCATCAAGAACCAAAATCTCAAGAGTGTCCACAGTAAAGCTGGGCGAGTTGCGCATGTGATCAATGAAACGACCAGGAGTGGCAATGATGACATCGGGTCTCTTCTTGAGAACATTCTCCTGTTCACGAAGACTGAAACCACCAACAAGTTGACAGAAAGTGACGTCTGTGAAGGTGGCTAATTTGACGGAAACATTGTAACACTGGACAGCCAACTCACGAGTGGGCATGAGGATCACGACACGACTTGTAGGGGTCTTGCGGGGACGGAAGAGAAGACGTTCCAGAATGGGGACAATGAAGGCCGCAGTCTTTCCGGAACCTGTCACGGCACTACCGACGATATCCTTGCCCAGCAGAGCAACAGGGACCGCCTTGCGTTGGATAGGTGTCGGGTCTGTGAATCCAACCGAGGCCAGACCTCGAAGGATGGGGCGAGAAAGGTTGAACTCTTGGAAAGTCATCTTGGACAAGTTGGCTTTGGTGTCGGTCTTTTCTTCGGGAGCAAAGAATGCCTTGCGCTTCTCGGCTTCCTCTTCGTCCACAACACTCTCTACATCAGACCCTGCGTCCGAACCATTGTCATCGGGGTGACCAACAGGTGTAGCGACAGAGTCGTTGTCAGATGCAGCCTCGTCGTCGGAATCTTCATCCTTGTCCTCGTCGTCGGAGTCGGAGTCATCTCCAGAGCCAGGCTCGGGGCCTTCAGCATCGCTAGCCTCGCTCTCCTCTGCACCGTCCGCACCCATACCGAAGGCGTCATCGGCCATGAGCTCATCATCCTCGAAGTCTACAGGCATTTCATCGCCCGATGCGGCCTCATCTTCGTCTTCGGATGCGCTCTCCTCCTGGGTAGCCTTCTTCTTCTGCTTCTTGGCAGCAGCCTCTGCCTTCTTCGCTTGCCTCCGCTCGATGATGTCGTCGATATCCACAGCCTTCTTATCACCGGACCGCTTCTGCTCGTTGTCGTCAAGACCCCAGCCGTCGAAGCCCTCGGTAACACCATGGTTCGTCGCGCCGCCGACATCGAACTCGAATTCGGGGTTCAGGACGCCATCGTCTTCTGTCGCATCTGCTGCAGCAGCGTCATCATCTTCCTCCTCTTCAGACTCGGGCTCGGGCTCGGGCTGAGCAGTCTTCTTATTCTTCTTGGCGTTCTTCAATTGCTGCTTTTCCTGCTGCTTCTGCTTTTTGTTCTTGGGCTTGGGGGCTTCGACTTCACGCTTGCGCTTTTTGTTGTCTACTGGCGAATTGCCCTGCATTTCATTGTCGCCATCTTCTTCTTCGAAACGAGGTTCGTTCTCGTCGTCAGAGAGCGTGAAGACGAAATCGTCGTCTTTGGCCATTTTGGAGGCTGGCGCAAAACGGAGGATAAATTGAGTAGCGGTGCGCCTTTGTAATTCTCTCAAACTGCCTCAATGAAAATTTCAGGATCTCCGAACACTGTGCAAGCAACTTATTTCGGTCGAGAAGAATTGGATCAACATGCAAAAAAAAAGTTCCCCGGGCGGTGACGGGGAATTTTTTTGGATGACATAACCAAGTTTGGATGCCCTGAAAGCTTCATTGACAACTGGAATTCTGACATTGATAAAGTTGTAGGTAATCATACATTATTTTTGATTAAAATAACTTCTCTGCTAAAAGTCTCAAGATATGAACCAAGTACCATATGGCTTGACCTCACCACCTTCACCTGTTTTTTTTTTCTTCTCTTTTGGTGCGAAGCACAGATGTATAAATTACTTGGAAGACGTTGCTCTCATTCAAGCACAATGATATGCGCATGAAGCATCCAAATTCTTAGCTCTTTTTTCCTTCTTCCGCCTTTCTCAATGGGACTTTTCTTTTCATCACCTCGCTGGCTTTTCTGCAAGCGCCAGAATCTTCATTCGTTTTCGCGCAGACCTAAGATGAGCTCAGATCGATGAGATCCTCCTCATCAAAGTTCCACCGAAGCTGTCGCACCAAACTTGTTTTGCTAACCTCGTTCATGTGCGGGGTGTCCATTTGGCGAGCCATATAGCAAATGTCAAAACTAAAAAGCCGTGTGAGTAGAAAAATCCCAGAATGAAGATGGGGGGAAAAGACATGCCTTGCACCAAACTTCACTCGAGCACCTTCAAATATGCCCTTTTCTTGGAAATTGAAATCTTTCCGTAGCCACTCCTTTAGCCAGGAATGCCTCTTCTGTACTTCAGAGGGGTAGGCGAGCGAGCAGACCAGGGTGGTCAGGCTTCTGCCGTAGCCGGCCCCGTACTGCACAGTGCCGGTTTGGTCGAAGCTGTAGTCCTCACTCTTTGTAGGAATATCATCATAGCAAGAGAGGACCATGTCAACAAGAGCCCGCCCGATGTGTTGCCTCTGTCTGTCCTTTTGGACGAAAACCTGCAGCTCGCCCATCTGGGAGTCGGCATTCGTACTGTAGCGGTGATATTTGACATAGGCGTACCCAATCACAGGGTCAATCTGGTTCTTGCTGTGACGGACCTCTGTGCGCTGAGCAGCAGCGACAAATGGAAGCTTTTCATTGCGGCAAAAATCAAGAAGCTTCTCATAATCGCTCTCATTCCAAAGCTGGGTGTCTTCGCTTGAGGGTGAATTCTCCACATACCAATTCACAATGTCCAAAATCCAGGAAGCATCACAGAGCTCTGCGGGACGCAGATAGATGTTGGGAGGCACTACCCTGGAATCTGGCGGCGAATTAAGCCAGGCTCGATGCGGTGCGCTACGACGCAGCTGGTCTTTCTTCTTTTCTTCGGCTTTGATACGCTTCTGGTTAGAAGAACCCCAGTTGCAAATGTAGCCTTGAGTTGTCTCATGCCAGTGCATTCGGGTAGGCTCTTCCTTCATGTTTCTGGGAGCTGGAAGATGCTTGAGGTCAGATAGGAACATGGAAGATACCCCGTCAGGCATTGCGGACCCATCAAAGAAGGCAACATGCTAGATGTCAACCATCTCCGGGTCATCTGGGAGTTGATCCAGCCAGCTGCAGAACTGCGCCCTGGCAAATGGGTTGGAAATGGTATAAGACGCGATCCTGCATTCGATCAACCAGTCATCCCAATCTTTATCCTGTTGAATCACCAAATCGCAATTATCCCGAGAAGTTGGCAGGGGGTTGTAATTCAATTTGTCTCTTTCAGTAGTATAATGGAGTTTTCCAGGTTGGAGGATTGGATAGAGATGATCAGAGTCTCCATATGCCTTCAATTGAGCCTGGTTTTTACCTTTCCAACGGGATCGAAAGTGTTCAGTGTCGATTTTGTGCTGCGACCATTTGGGCTTTCGCTCAACCTCGTGGGCATATTCCTCATCGGGGATGACATCAGGGGGGTCAAAATTGACCATCGCTCAGGCGGCTCCACGCCTGGGGACATTCGGGGCCTAGAGAGATACTGGTAAATATTACTTTTGATCTCGGCTCCGGGCCCGCCTCTGGCTTTGGGGAGCATCTCGAGGCAGGAAAAGCTCTCAATCTCCATGCCAATCAGATTCGGCCTCACAGGTGAAGACTTTCTCTCCATATTTTTGTAACGCCGGCCGATTTCCTTGATTTCGTTCAAAGACACATTGTTGCCCAGATCCTGAATCAGCGTGTTTATTTGACTCGGACTGAGCGTTTTTAGCTGAGGGGAAAGCATGATTTCATGAGCTCTGGACGCCTTCCGTTTCGACTCATCGAGGACCTGGGATGAATGGTTGCGAAAGCAGGAACGGGCATTGCTTTCAAATGATCGCCCACAGCGTAACTCAGGTTCCTCAGCCATTCTGCTGTTCTGAACTCTGTCAAAAAAATTAGGAGTACCGAGTCTGACGGGACAATGGCTTTTCTCAGTTGCCTGATGTGTTTCAAAAAAGGAGGACACTGAGTAACTGAGTAAGGACAAAACCCGGTGTCCTTACAAAATGGAGCAGGGTAGAGGAAGAGTGCAAAGTATGTTTGTAAGATGGAAACATCAAAACCTGTTCTGAAGTAGGCCACGTCAATAGCGGTTCTTTAGCCTGATCGAGATGGTTGCCCTTCAAATCGCAAAATTGACTAGGAATTGATCAGTCTTTCTTATCAACCTTCTTTGTGGCACAAAATAACTTCGACGCGATAGAAGAAGAGGTGAGAACTCGTAAACTTACTCGAATAATGACTGGTGTGTATGCCTGGTTTTCATGCACCAAGATTCGGTTTTAGTGGTGGAAGATGGGAATAGAAGAGTAAAAGCGCAGGGTGGATAGAAGACGTGAGTTTACAAAATTTAGAGAGTTGGGGAGGTTGGGGAGTTGAAGAGTTGAAAGGGAATGAACAGAGGAAGTCGAGGTGAACTAATCAAGTCACTTGGGCATTCACTCCTTCCATAACCCTACCTAGGTAGAAAGCTCTCTTTTCTTCTTTACAACTGCTAGATATACTAAAAGCTCGATTGTAATATTCGTGAACTTTGCTACTACATTTACATATTTGATGAGATACAAATCGCGCGAGAGCATCCTCAGCAGGGTCTATGGTCTTGTCTCTTTCTTTTGTGCATGGATATGATAATATCAATTATGAATGTCTGTCCCTATCTTCCAATTGATTTTTGTTCCTTCCTCCTGCTATCCTACTTATTATACCTTCGGGGCTTAAATCTTTGTTTTTAGATCTGTCGACAAGTCGTTTCGAAGGTCTTTCGGGAGGTCTTCTCAACGGGTCTTTCAACGGGCATAATCATATATCACCAACCGGTATGTGATATGTTGTACTGACTGTGTCAAAGAAAGGCTTTCTGAAGAGCAAGAGGGCGCCTACCGTGGCCGAAGATCTTGATAGTGATCTTGAAAGTGTGATGAGCTTTTCACCCTTAAAATGTCAGATGAATTAAATAGGAAAGACGAACTATCTTCACTTGTTTGCTTTTGCTTTTACACCTTGTAACCTTGTAGAAAAAGACCTTTCTACCGTTTAGCTAAATTGTATAGTATATTTTTGGCTTGTGGTTTTCTATCTCCTACAATGTTCACTCCGATTAACTCCCAAGGTTTAGGAGTTCTATGACAAATAAAAAACATCCGTATCCATTCGTTCTATCTAACTATATAGGTAGTTTAGTTCCAAGACGGATCTTTTGACAGGGCTTGGTTTGTAAATAGCAGCAAGGTCAAGAATCCTACCCATGTTAGCCATGTGGAATGTCGCCAATCTGAGGCTATTGTAGTCTAGATTTATACAGCCTTCCTATCAACGAATACTATTTATAGAAGACCATAAGGAAACAAAAAGTATAACATCTGCAGGTATAAGAAAAACCAGAAAACTATGAATTTTGAGCAACATAGAGTTGGTTGGTAAAGATTACTTCAATCCCCATTTTGAGCCCAACAACATTTTCCCTCTTTCAACCCTCTCGAAATTCCCCGGGCAGCACGAAAATCCGCAAATATGTTGTCCATACTCCGAAAAGCCCGATTAAAGGACAAAGAAATGCGAATATTGATGCTGTATGGATCATATCCAGCTTTTCGGATGAGAAACTAATGATTGCAGGGGTCTTGATAACGCTGGTAAGACGACTATTGTCAAGCGAATCATGAACGAAGACATCACGACGGTCAGCCCAACTCTAGGCTTCATCATCAAAACAATTGACTTTATGGGGTAAGTTGCTATCGCAATATATAATCGCTCTTTGCTAACTTGGTCTCAGATACAAACTCAACATCTGTGAGCCCAAACTGTGCGGGTTTATAACTTCATACTGACAGCCTCAGGGGATGTCGGCGGGCAAAAAACACTCCGATCTTATTGGAAAAACTATTTTGAAAAAACTGATACTTTAGTCTGGGTTGTCGACGCCACAGATCGGCTTCGCGTGGATGACTGCCGACATGAGCTTTCGGGTCTGCTTCTGGAAGAGGTGCGGATGAGGTCCCCACCCTGGCATCGCAAATCTTGACGCAAACTGACCAATTTCAACCAGCGACTTATGGGCGCCAGTCTGTTAGTATTTTTGAATAAAACAGATGTGGAACATTGCATGAGTGAACAGGAAGTTCGAGAGGTATGTATAGAGTTGTTTTCCCTTGGGGACTCGGTGTGGCCCTTTGCTGAACATGAATGATTTTTATAGCGTCTTGACTTGGATTCAATCAAAACCCACAAATGGACTATTCTTCCATGCAGTGCAATGACAGGCACAAATCTCAATGAAGGTTTGGAATGGGTGGTACAAGATGCTAAAGACCGACTCTTCCTCTACTAAGAAATCTCTATCTAAGGGAATTTTGGCAAAATAGGGCTACTTCTCATTCGATATCCAATATATTGTATTAACGAGCTTAATGATATCTTTTGCATCCAATTCAACTGCCTTGGTCATGATGGCCGAACACCTAAGCTACCTAGGTAGAAACAAGGCGTTCACACTCCGGTAGAAGACGAGAAATCCTGGAGTCTCACCCGTTATATTTAACTCATGTGTACTCCGCAGCCAAGTCAGATTTAAATTTCGTTTCTGAAAATCACCTATGCCGTGCATCCCATGTATACTCTTTATAATCCTTGTTATACATTCTAAAGGAACTGTAGTGGTTCAACAAACGTCTGTAAAATTGTATGGGAACCGGCCTACCTAAATCCGATAGGCTAGAATATATTGAATGAACCATAATATTATCCAAACCAGTAAGAACAAACCTTCTCTTAGTGTACTCTGCATAGGGTATATATAATATTGTAGGTATACCTTTAAGTGATGTTATTTAAAGACTTTGCCACGTAGGAACCTTGCCGATCTATTTTATTTTACGTCCAGAGTTCAGAGTTCAGAGTTCACCCTATCTAACGTATCGGACGTAAGGTACAAATGATATATCATTTTCTAGCACATACTATTCAAGAATTAATAGTGCGATATTCAAGCATTTACTCCATACAATATTGTATATTGAGATTATACCCCTGAATGTAAATCAAAACATACACCGGAAACGTGAACCAAAGAGAGAAAAAAGAAGGGAACAATATGGAACGCGGCGAAACTGCGGGGCGTAAACAAACACCACTTTGGTTTCAGGTCCATTTGGGTTTGGTCTAACTATAATGCATCTAGCCATAGATTAACTATGTAGGGAAAAAAAAGTACCGAAATAGAGTAGAATGAAGTTATAAAGATTTTCGTAAAAAAAAAAAAGAAAAGAAATAAAGTGTGCGTAGAAATATGGCTTGTGATCATCGTGTCCCGATTTAATTTAAACAGGGCGGAGAACACCTCAGCCCTCAAGACTTCCACTTTGCAACTCCCCGTTTTCACTTAGGTGTGTTTTGTACACATCACACGGGAATATGACGGTCCCCAATGAGAGTTCTGAAGATGTCAATGACTTTCTTCAGCGCATTCGGGAACTTGGCGAGCGCCGCGACAAGGAAGATGACGAGCGCACCAAGAAATTAGAAGAAGAGATCCTACAGGGCCGCAAGGAAAGACAAGCCCGAAGAGCCGGTACACCCCTCTCCCCCTCAAGTGTCGCAGTTTGTGTAGTCTTGGCTTTTTCCGCAACTTGAAGACTAATGTGCTGATATCTGAGTGACTCTAAACAGAGCGAGCACGTTCGATAGCCCTCACTGACGACTCATCTACACTGAATATTGCGCGAATGAGCGCTTCCTCCATCAGCCCGGGGTCTATCAACCCTCCGGAACACCTCGAGCCAACACCGCATACAGAACCCGAGTCCCCGAGAGGCGCGAATTTGAGCGAAGATACGGAATCTGTGACAAACAACAGGCGTGGATCAGTCCAGGAGCCCACGATAGGGGTTTCCCCAACGCAGGTTTCTCCAACACAGATACGGCCTCCTCTGTCCCGTAGCCGCGCGGGAACTCTGTCATGGCAGCAACGTCCAACCTCGCGGGATTTCGGCTCCATGTCCCCCGGCTCAACATCCCCCACTCGTTCCCCAACTCGCGCCAGCCATCTGAGAAACCATTCCACGGCCTCGGACGATAGACCTCGCTCGCAATATGGGTTTCCACGACTGTCGAAGGATCTTACAGGGGCTTCTCTATCACCAGAACGAGGGGTGGACTCGGCAAATCCGGAAAAAGAAGAACGGTCGGATAACCGGGCAGAGTTGGAGGTGGGGCATCAATTGCCGGAGGTGAGCGACAAATCGAGTGCTACACTAGATAAACCTGAGGTTGTAGATGGGAGACCATCGTCGCCTCCGAGGACCGCTTCTCGAGACAGCAACATGAGCCATCGCTTCTCTGTATCCTCTGTTTCGACCACTGGGCTGGGTTCGCCGGTGCATTTGTCAGAGGCTCAGAAGCTGGAGCCTCCGCAGGCTGATTCCTCCATTGAAGAACCTGCGCTGTCTCCAACCCAACGGCGCATGTCACCAGAGCGAGCTCGGTCCACATCACCAACAAAGGGAATGGGAGGCTTCGTTCAAAGTGCAATGATGAGAAGGTCAGATAGTGTGTCAAAAAGGTGGAGTGCGCAGATTCCGCAAGGGCTAAGCCGGTCGAATTCCATAATTTCGAACCGCAGCAGTGTGGCGGGTCCAAGTATGAGTGAAATGGGCCCTCCAACTCTTTCCCGTCCTGGAAGAGACTCTTCAGCTCTCCCACCACGCCCCAACTCCAGCCACAGCGACGCACCCACAGAAACAACTGAACGACCAACAACACCTTCTGGACCCGCTATCCTCGATAGAGACAGTGTGCGCGCCGAAGGTAGTCCGAACAGATCGTTCCGACCAAGTCACTCACGGTCTGCAAGTTCGGTCACCGCAGATGGTGGAGACACGCAGTCGAGCCCGTTCGTCTCGAAAACAATGGATCCCCGACGTTGGAGCCCGAGCAAGGCAACTTGGCTGGAAAGTGCCCTCAATCGGCCAGAGCTACCACGTCAAACCACCAGGCCTCCATCGCAGCCTAACTGGGCCCGAGATCGTCAATCGCGGGGAAGTGTCGATATGGGACGTGTCAACAGTTTCAAAGAGGTGACTCCTGTTGGTCTGATGCGAACTCCCCCACCGGGACTTCTCAAAAAGCCTGGCGTTTCTGGTCCGTCACTCCCTGCGAGCCCCGATAAAGAAATCGCACCAGAGTCTCCGTTGGGGTTCCCTCTCAAGAAGACCAGTATTTCTGGCCCTTCGGTCTCTGGAAGCCCTGATGGAAAATTCAACGAGGCGACTCCTGCGTCTCCGTTAGGATTCCCTTTGAAGAGGCCTAGCATATCTGGTCCCTCTGTTTCTGCAAGCCCGGATAATAAATTCGAAGAGTCTGTCCCTGAGTCTCCTGCCGAATTCCCTTTCAAGAAGTCGAGTCTCTCCCGAACCTCTACGTCCGATTCTCTGTCAGACTTCCCATTCAAGAGACCAAGCTCCTCCGGAGCTTCATTATCTGGAAGTCCCAAAGCCAAACCCAGGGAGACCATGCCTGATCCTTCATCGCGCATTTCCTGGAAAAATTCCAGCATCTCGAGTGACTCGATTCCCGCAAGTCCCGGAAGCATATCGAAGGATATTGTTCCGAACTCTCCGTCAGTTCTCGGCGGTTCCAACGCGGGACAAACAGATGAGGATACACCAGCTACCCCATCACACATTGAGGATACCCTTAGGGCCCTATCTGGTGGTCAGCCGCCGGAAGAACACAAAGCTGATACTCCCGTTGGAGTGGAAAGTGAATCTCGAGAGCAGCAAGCGCCCACGGAGCCCGAAGTAACCGTTGAGCCCGAAGCGACACCTACCCGCAGAGACCCTCCCCAGTCTCTGGTCAGCCCTAAACCAAATTTCTCTATATCTCCCTCATCGCGGGTCATCTCACCGAGAGTCATCTCACCCAAGCCAAACCCAACCCAATCTCCTGTCCTCGATTTCCGGGCGAAACTCAAAAAACGCGAAGTCGTCAAGGACAACGGAGGCGAACAAGAACCAGAGTTCAAGAACGTGTTTGGCCGGCTCAAGAAGACGGAAACTCGCAACTATGTTGCTCCCGACGATCTCAAGGGTAATATTCTGCGGGGTAAAGCTGCCTTGAATGCCACCGGCGGCCCGAAGAAGACCGAGCGCGTCGACGAGTTCAGAAAAAGTCTCGTCCAGCGGAAAGATGAAATGAAGGCAGGCGGAGGCTCGATCAGGCGCAACACTGCAGGCGAGAAGGATGCACCGGAGCCCGCTCAATTCGTACCAGAAGCAATTGCGAAGCGGCAGAACATGAACAGGACCAACAGCATAAAGCAAAATCCTGTGGATGAGCCCATATCACCCACCAAGAGTGTTGGCTCACGGGCATCCCAGGACATCAAGCCCTTCTCCCCAACTTCGTCCTTCAAGGAGATAGGCTCCTCGCGAACTTCTCAGGAACAAGAGCCTTTGTCACCATTCCCTACAGATGATGAGCCTGGTGAGCCAGTCTGGCCCTTAAAGAACCCCAGTGCCCCTGCTCCACGACTGTCTCAAACTCTGCAGCCATTGTCGCCATCGCCTGCCGCTGAGCCCGTTGAGAAGGATGAGGTGGAGCTGGCCCAGGTGACGAGTGACTACCAGAACACTCCCGAGCTGATTTCTTCTGCCCAAGAGGAGTCCCGTGAAGTCGCGGAACCCGTTGAGCCCTTCACAGAAATGAAACAGGAGCCCTCTATCGCCAAAACCCGTCCACTCCGTAAAATGCCCCAGGCGCCCGTTACAGATGCCACCGAGAGCCCAGTCCAAGCTGCGAAAAACAAGTTGGCAGGCCGAATCAACCCTGCATTGGCAGGCTTGCTTTCTCGCGGCCCACCCGCCCCCCAAACACCGACAAGGGAACTACCGACCGCAGTCTCTAAGCAAAACAACTCTGGCCCATCCGCGCCCCTCGAACATACCACAAAAGGCCGCGCTAGAGGCCCTAAGAGACGTCCTCCCCAGGCGGCTACTCTCTCGACTCCATCCGTTCAGGAGGATACTAAGGAGGTTGGTGCTATTTCACACTCTGAAGCCACCCCATCCCAGACTCCTGTATTCCCTCTTGAGTCTTCGGACGACAATTCGGATCACCTCTCGCAGCTTGATGAAGATTCTGTTCCTGACACCGATATTCTTCGTGCAGAGAGCCCAGTAGCCGAACTACTACCCGCCGAGAAATACTCTCCCGAGCAACTTCCTGCCGAGCAGCTCCCCATCGAACAGTCTCTCGCCGAGCAATTCCATTTCGAACAAGATCCCATCGAACAGCCTTTCACCGAGCAGCTCCCTGTCAAACAGTCTCTCACTGAACAATTCAGTTTCGAACAAGATCCCAACGAACAGTTCTCCACTGTGCAACTCCCTGTTGAGCAGCTCGACATTGAACAAGCTCCCACAATCGACCAGTTCCCCATCGAGCGGCCTCTCGCCAAGCAAATTTCCGTCACGCAATTGGATATTGAACAACCCTTCGTCGAGCAGCCTTCGATTGAACACCCTGTCGCCGAGGAACTTCCCGCTGAGCCACTCGATATCAAGCATTTCCCCATTGAGCAGCCTTCAGTTGAGCCACCTCTCGCTGAGCGACTCCCAAATGAGCAATGTGATATCGAACAACTCCCTGTTGCGCAGCCGCATATTCAACAACCCCTCGCGGACCAACTCTCTGTCGAGCAACCTTCAACCGAGCAGCCTCTCGCTGAGGAACTTCATATTGAGCAGCCTTCGATTGAGTCACTTCCCGTCGAGCAGCTGCTCGCCGAGCAACTTCCTGTCGAAAAATTTCCTGTCGAGGAACTCGACATCGAACAACCTCTTGCCGAGCAAGTTCTGGAAGTGAACGCTCCTCCCCCAGTCCCCCGCAAAAGTGAGCCTTCCAGCAGTGGATTCCCACAGCCACTCCAAACTCGTTCCCTCACACCGGATTCCGACACATTTCCCTCCCATAACCCAGAGGCCATACAACGCGATCCTGTAAGCCCTGAAGAACCGGTTCCATCAAGCGGGCCACCTGTACCATCGAAGTCCAGTTCTCCCATATCTATGTCTCCCTCAACACCGAAGTCGAGATGGGCCCAACAAAATCGATATGCGTCGCCATCGCCTTCGCCTCTCCGAACAAATTACAATGAGAACCGAATGGATTCGCCCGTCAGTCAGCGCAGCGTTCCCGGTGTAAAAGTCAAATCATCTCGGGAATCTCTCACACAGCCCATGAGCCATCCCTCTCCGCCAGTGCCTCCCAAAGACAACGATATCACGCTCCAAAAGCCAGTTGACCCGCGTCGACTTTCACGAAAGATGTCGGCCCCATCATTGGTTGCGCAAGCTGGCGAGGCTAAAGAGGTTATTGCGGGCTTTTTCAAGACGTTCCCGAACCCCTCAAAGAGGATGGACATCGACCCTCAGACCATGTTGATGAACAAACAAGACGACTCGAAGATTCGGACTGTGAAGTGTGACATCTGGGAACTCACCGGTGATGGCAGGCGTCAGGAACTTCCCTCTCACCAGCAGTACATTCTATACCAAGGAAGCATGTATATCTGCGTACACGCATACGAGAGTGGACGAAGCACTACTTCCGAGGTATACCTCTGGTGTGGAGATGATGTTCCTGATACTTCGGTGGACAGCGAGCAAGCGTACGCACGCAAGGTTTCCCGCGAGAATAGCTCCAAGTTGCAGGTTATTCGACAAGGTAAGGAACCCACACGATTCATCCAAGCCCTTGGTGGCATCATGATCACTCGTCGTGGATCCAGCTCCCGCCACAACTCATCGGCTCTCTACATGCTCTGTGGTCGCAAGCACCTGGGCCAGATGACCTTCGACGAGGTGGATTATTCACTGCGTAATCTGTGCTCCGGCTTCCCATATGTCATCTCTGCGCCCTTCGGGAAGCTTTACCTCTGGAAAGGCAAAGGCAGCGGCCCCGAAGAAACTGGTGCCGCTCGACTAATTGGCATGGACTTGGGCCTAACAGGCGAATTCGAAGAAATCGCCGAAGGCGAAGAACCAGAAGATTTCTTTGACGTATTCGCAGGGCCCAAGGAGGCCGCGCCACACATGTGTCAAGACTACTGGAAACTCAGGCCGAGATATAACCACTTCCGCTCTCGGCTCCTCCGCGTCGACCACGAGCTTGGCCAGCCCACTCGGTTCTGGAATCTCCGCCGTCCCGGCTCCGGCTCGCCGGTCGTCAAGCCAAACGATTGTGTCCAGGAGATCGAGCCATTCTGCTACCGCGACCTCACTGAGAAGGACGTCTACGTCTTGGATACATTCTTCGAGATATACGTGTAAGTGCCACCACTCTCTATCCCATTTATCTCCAACTCAACACTAATTCCCATAGGATTATCGGCGAGCAAACATCACAGAAGTCCGCTGACTTCGCTTCGGCCGTGGTCTTCGCACACGAGTACGGTATCATGGCTACTTCACTTCAGGATCGGCCGTTCATTCCTAAAAGTTATGTCGCACTAGGGGGTGTCCCCGATCGCTGCCAGAGCGCGTTCCGCAAATGGAACCCGCGCAATCATCATGCGCCCTTCGTGTTTCCTCTAGATGTTGTTCTCGAGGCGCTTCGATCTCCTGGGGAGAATGAGTGATTTGCATTTGTGTTTTTATCTGTTTGATTATGTGCATATTTCGGTCTATGCAGTTTGTACAGGGAATATTTTGGGGCGGGTCTTTCTATTTCCATAGAGCAACGGGAGCGTGGGACTGTAGATAGGCGAATTCGCATTTGCGGTGTATTTAGTCATTTTTATTGGCATTTTCTGTGTATCAAGATGAGTTATCTACTCCGTACATGCATATCATATCCATGGTGTAGTAGGCAAGGGATGGTTGAAGCGGAAAACGGAGATTAAACAGAATCAATCAATCGGGAACACAAAAAAGCTGAATCGGGTTGTGTCGCCATCGATTTGTCCCCGTCTTGTTTTCCCTCCACTTCCCATAGAATATGAAGATGCTTTGATTGTACATTCAAATCATTAATGGATCCTTTAATCGTCCATGAGCTCGCAAAGCTCGACCCTGCGGTACCGTTCCGCTCATCGTCCGACCACCTCCATCACACATGGGCCAAGACTTTCTTTTCCCGCCCGGAGTTGTACATTCGTCCACAAACAATCCCAGAGATCCAGCAACTGGTCACCCTCGCCCGGCGTTGTCGTCGACGACTGGTAACAGTTGGCAGCGGCCACTCTCCCTCCGACATCACTTGCACCTCGTCCTGGCTCGTCAACCTCGACAACTTCAATCGCATTCTCAATGTCGACCCGAACACCGGTTCCGTAACCGTCGAAGCAGGAATTCGATTGAGAGACCTGGGCAGTCAGCTGGAACAACATGGATTGACGCTCCCGAACCTCGGCAGTATCGATAGTCAGTCCATTGCCGGCGTCATCGCTACAGGAACACATGGCTCTTCCCTCCGACACGGCCTGCTATCCGAATGTATTGAATCGCTGGGCCTCGTTCTCGCCAATGGCCAGCTCGTCCGCTGCAGCCCAACCAATAATCCCGATCTCTTCCGCGCCGGTCTGGTCTCCCTCGGAGCCCTCGGAATCGTCGTCGAAGTCACATTCAAGGCAACGCAGTCATTCAATATCGCCTGGCGCCAGGAACGGTATACGCTCGGTCGCGTTCTGAGCGAATGGTCGACCGGTCTGTGGACTGCGCATGAGTTCGTCCGCGTCTGGTGGCTGCCATATGAGCAGGGCGCTATCGTCTGGCGGGCTGATAAAACAGACCTGCCCCTGCGCGCTCCTCCCAAAAACTTCTACGGCGACTCTCTCGGCTACCACATCTACCACAACCTCCTCGCACTGTCATCATACGTTCCACGCATCCTACCGTGGGTAGAATGGTTCGTCTTCGGCATGCAATATGGGTTCCGCGCCGGGTCAACCGTCACCGAAGCCGTCGAGCCGGCGCGTACCGGCCTGTTGATGAACTGCCTGTACTCACAGTTCGTCAACGAGTGGGCGCTTCCCCTCGAGAAAGGCCCCGAGGCCATCAGCCGGCTTTCCGCATGGCTAAACGGCGACTCGAAGACTGGCATCCCCTTCTCATCCAAGGGACTGTGGGTCCACTGTCCCGTGGAGGTGCGTGTGTCTGACACTTCGCTAAACAAGAACCCCCGCCCGTTTCTCGACCCAACCTGCCCTGACGGCCCAACGCTCTACCTCAACGCAACGCTCTACCGTCCCTACCTCCGCGACCCCCCTTGCAAACGACGATACTATGAAGCCTTCGAATGGCTGATGCGGGACATGGGCGCCAAACCGCACTGGGCAAAGAACTTCAACGCATTGGGCTCCTACGAGTTGGCGGGCGCTTACAAGGACGACATGGACTCGTGGATGAAAATCCGCGACGAAGTCGACCCGGACGGCATGTTTCTGGGCGAATGGCACCGCCGCAATCTACCCCTGGCTGTAGAATCCCAGCTTCCCCTCCTAGAGCGCGAACAGGCCCGTCGTAGGCTGGGGACTAGTGGCGTCGGCGATGGCGTCGAATGGGTAGGCGATCGCCGATGGCACGCTCAACCCCAGCACCCCTCTCCTTCGCTGAACGTGAACGTGAAGACGGCTTACGCATTACCGCCAGACGACTCGCCTAGTCCGCCTGGTACGACTGCTAGTGAGGAGAGCTTTGATTTGCTGGCCCGGGGTGAAGCGAGCATCTTGCTCCCCGATGGGCGAGAGTAAGAAATCAATCAGTCAGGCCCCAATGGAAGCAAACATCGGGTTGCGGTCCTAATTTCCCCTGGGGGCTTTGGCGTCAGCTGATCTGGTTGTGCACTGTGCTGGTGCTGACTGGTTCGCTCGAATGGAGCTCAGTCTTACTTTGTGAAAAGGGGACGAACTTTATTGGGTCTATGCAGCTAAATTGTTCATATCATTTCGCCTTTTTTTTCTTTCTCCTTGGTCATTTACTTCGGATTGGTAGAATCTGACAGGATCTGACAGGAATTTCAAAGGTATGAAATCGAAGAGGGGTTGGCTAAAACGGTTAGATCTCATCCCACGTTCCTGCTATTGTTTTGTGCCTTTTCCCCTATATTTGCTTTTTTTTCCTTTTCCCATTCAGTTTCCTGCCATGGCAAGACTATGACCTGGTGGTCTCTGGGAAATTGGCAATTTTAGAAAGTCACAAGTGTGATTGTGTCGGTGAACTAGTGGACTCTGTCTGCATGTTAGACGCAGGTGCTCATCATTGATTCTTTCCATAGGGCGAGTTTTGCTTTTTTGCTTATTCTTTTTCCCTTTGAAGCAGATATGCATCTATGAGTCAATAGTGGTATTTGTACATTGACCTTGTTTTTTTTTAGAAAGCATTTGGGGCTCCTATTCTAAGATCGGGGAGAAAGTGAGAGTGTGTGGTATTGTGTCTCTACGTTGTATGTCTCTTGTCCCATGTTCCCTGTCTTGTCTCCCCTTCAGCTGAGCTGGGAGACCTAAGAGATGCTAGAAGCCCTAAGCATCGGCATTGTACAGTCATAGATTATTCAGACATTGGATGCAGTGGCCAACACAAACAAAAAATACAAACACTATCCTCGGAGTAGGATTGATCTACGAAGTACCCTCAGAAAGATTAAAAGAAACATGGGAAATCAAATGAGAAGGGTGTCGCAAACGTCCAGAATGACGGTGCAATACAATACAATTATCTGCATTGTACAGGTGATCGAGGAATAGTGTAGAGAGATCTCTGTTCAGATTAGGGCTGCTTCTTCCCGGGATATGAGGCGCAGTGTTTGTGAGAATGCAGGCAGTACCGGGGTGTAGAGAGAAGAGGGGAGAAGGAAAATGTAGTATTGGTAAGACGCTCTTAGCCCCGCTTCTACATTCTCTGTATGTCTAGTTGTTGGGAACGTTATATCCAGTCCTAGTACGCTATTCCGTACTCTCTGCCGTATCCAAGTAAGACCTAACCCCCAAAGGTAGTAATTTTGATGAAGCTCTCTCTATTTCGCTTTTTTTCCCATTTCACCTCGATCGAACACCTGACAGTCACTCAGAACCCGATTTGCTTTCCGGGATTTTCCTCTGTAGCATATCACATTGTACCACGTTTGTACGGCGGTGCAAGGATTGTCCACCACACTTTGACTTATGTAGGTATTGCTTTACCTATTCAGCTTTCTTTGTTTCTTTTTTGGGAGGGGATTCCTGTTTTTTTCCCATTTTCCCTTTTGTCAGTATTTTACCAACATTCGAAGAGCATTGACCATTGAATCCATGCTTCCAAAAGCACGCGCTCATGAGTGCAGATAGACCGGGGGCCTGATTGGTGAAGTATACAAAGTCCGACACAATCACCCTCAATAATACTATCCTTGGAATTCACTTTTCTCCACACACGTGTTGGAAACACTGTAAGTCAGCAAATATGCAAACAGGCAGCTATGCCCATAGGCAGATATGCACATATATGGACAGATGTATGACAAAGAAAAGTCAAACGGATTGACCCTGCTTTCCTGCCCAAGGATGACTCTGCCGATTTCACGGCTCGGACCGTGTTGATTATCCCTTTGTACTTGGCCGAAGCTATTCCCCGAGATCCTTGAATTACTGGAATATTAATTGAATTATAACACAATAGTCTGACCGTTCTCCCACGTCACTGCTCTCAGGTCTCTATACTATCTTTATATGCGCGGGGATGTCTCCAATATCAACTTTCATTATCTACCACCCCACCTGCTCGATTCCTTTCTTTTTTTTCCTCCTCTCTTCTTTGTTTTCTATTGAATCATTGCTAGATATTTTATTTCTACTCTATCCTTATTGATCCTTTCTGCATTGCGATCTCTCCCTTGCTTGGTGTGGTTTTCAATATGATACAATCCATGTCGTGGCAGCCAAAGCTTCGCCCCAAGGGCTTCCCGCATATCATGGATGACTTCGCCGCTGTGGCTTCACTATCTGAGTTGGAGCATCGTGCTCGTACCGAGGACAAGCGCGACCATCGAGTCTTCCGGGTCAAACGTAAGCATGTTCTCAAGGCTTGTGATCGTTGTCGCGTGAAGAAAACCAAGGTAATGTCGAGAGATGGCACGATAGGGGCAGTATACTAACCTTCGATATTTAGTGCGATGGGAAACAGCCTTGCAATCGATGCTCAGTATACAACCACCCATGTCTCTTCCGCGAGAGAAAAGCAACCCAGACAAAGGTCTACTCAAGAGGGTGAGAATACATAGTTTGCATATACTCGACTAAACACTAATAGAAGTCGACATAGCTTCGTTGAAATGCTCGAATCCCACCACTCGCTAGTTGTGAAAGCCCTCCAAAAGCTCTACAAATTCTGCATCAACAACGAAGGCTTTCCAGGCGATCCCCTCGCCGAAGCCCCAGACGGCCACCCTCTAACACACGCGATCCTCGACCGGCTAGGACTAATCAAGCAAGCCGAAGAGACCGCCGACGAGCCAGACGAAGACTCCGAGGATCTGCGATACCTGCGCCTCCTCTCCACCTCAACAGAATGCAGTGTCACCGCCGAGCCCTCCCCAGAACCACGAACGCCAGAAGAACGCTCCCCAACGATCCCGCGGCATCAAATCCAAATCCCACCCCCGGTGTCCGTCCCGCCTCGCTCAAGTAGCACAGCAAACTGGCAGTGGGATCTCCAGCCCGTCCAGACAAGCTACAGCTATCCCGACGCGGGATATCAGAATCTCATGGCTCTGCAGCGCGGTTCCATGAGTGCCCCTGATATGGCGGATATCCCACCCCATGTGGATTTATCGGGCTCTGCAGGTTTACCGCATCACGAACAGTCTTTCCAGTATGGGGTTGGATGCTGCGAGCAGACGCAGGATGTCAAGCCTGCTATTTCGAGACTGCCGCCTGGGCTCATGGAACATCCGGGCATGACGGGGATGTCTGCGGAGATGATGGGTGAATTCCAGTTCCAGGGAAATGATGGTGCTTTCTATCCTCCGTTTACGCCTGGCTGGACGTTTCCTTCTGGGTAGTTGTGGGTGCGGGTTGGCTTTGATGGGTTTGACACGATACGATATACACGTTGGGGCACTTAGTCTGGCATAGGCTGTTGAGCAGCTTTCTTTTTTCACTTCTTATTTATATTTTTCTTTGCTTTTTCTTTCTCGTCGAGATTTATGAGTTACGACATTTTCCTCTTTGAGCTTCCTGTCCTTTCTTCTATACCCCTTCACATTTGGATCTGGATTCGGGTTGTCTATCGGAGCATATCTACAAGGCTCTGCCCACTGCTGAGCATGATTTCGAAGTCCTTTGCAGGATATTAGTTGGATACGTTGGAAAAGATGTCTGGCACATTGAGCCCTAACCCTTCCCAGCCGTCGATTTTGTTTTTGCTTTTTCTTGTTTTTCTCGGGTTCAGCCAGATCTCTCACTTTGGTTTATTTCTCTTCTGGTATCTATCTAGCTTGAGAAATTAACCCTATCACTTTAGGTACAAGTTCTTGCTTTGCTTCTTGTCTCTAGGACCTATACTATGTGTGCCAGCCAGGGCCAGGTAGACCCTATTTTGCATGAAAGGTTTGGAGTTATGACCATGGTACTTGATGTACTAAGAAACCTTACAATAAATGTAGAACTCTGGTGATACTTTGATCAAGTTACATAAATGCAGTCACTAGTATTTACTATACTTTATTGATCCCCTTCACGTCTATGACCAACATAGACCGACCTGAAGTGTAGTGGGGGCCTTTGACCTTGTATAGTCAGTATCAAGTACATGTCTCCAAGCAGCGCCGTCTAATCATATTCAGCATTGTACAAGAATCAGCCTCTCAATGTTTCCCTCCCAACTGAAGGTGAGACTCGAGAGGAAGACACCAGCACACATCAGATCTAGATCTAGGTCCTGGTGTTATACGGTTGCACCGACAACGCATAACATAGCACAAATCGAGCTGGCATATCCCCGACAGTCAAGTACAAGCTGGTAAATCAGATCAGATCATGCAATGTTCTGACGTATGGCGTGTTCTTTGCTCGTGTGGCTAGCTGCGCGACTGGTTGTTGGTTTAGTGGATGTGGCGTGGGTATAGTCTGTGAGACTGAAACTTTGCTTTGGTATCGAGGTTGGTTGGCTGTGTGCCCTTTCCTGCAGTGCAAGGCAATTGAGATACAGTATCTATATCTCGATCTACATCTCGATCTTCATCTGGAAGTAGTGGGTGAGCGGTATGGTGGGATAAAGTACATTTATACAGGCAACTACATTACACACTTTAGATGCCGGAAGAGCCAAGTATCATGCTTGTCTCTCTTTTCAAACTTTCAAAGTTTGGAAATTCTCGAATCGATTTCCGCCGTCTGTTATCCAAAGACAAAAGACAAAAGACGAATCATAGATGCACATACACAGTAGGAAAAGATAAAACAGAGAGGAATATAAAAAAGAGATAAAACAAACCCCGAAGCTACCCGATGAATAGTAGAAAGACAAAAACAGAAATGTAATTGGGGCTTCCAAGACAACGTGGGCCCAAGCGAAAAGCCAAGCCCACGGCCAAGGTCTAGGTTAAGATCCAAGACGCATGTCACACAAGTCCTGAGTACAATCAATCAATCATGCAATAGAAAGGAAATCAATCCTCGTCTTCCGTCTCTGTGTCGGTATCGCTGGTATCGCCTGCGTCGCCGTCGGTGTCACTCTCACTGGAGTCGTCGGAATCCCTGCTCTTCTTCTTGGGTGCTTGGCCTGTCTTGATAGCTTGCATTTGTCCGGCAATAGAGTCTGCAGTATGTTAGTGAGTAATCGTTTATGTAATCAGTACGATAATTTGGACTTACCCTCGTCAGGCTCGCTGATGTCGTCTTCCTCTTCCACAGCCGCAGCCTTGGCGGGGTCGTCGATGTGCAAGGTGATCTGTGCTGTGTTGTCGAGACCCAGGTAGCTGTCACAGAGCATGTGGAGGACGAAAGTGAAGTCGCCAACCTGTGGGGGAGCCTGGAACTGCATCTTGAGTGTCTGGACGTTGTAGGTGGGCTTGCCGGCTTCGTCGAAGATCGGCTTGTCGAATGTGGTGAACGTGAAAGGCGGCACGGCCATCTTGCCCTGCTTGGCGTCTGCCAGGAAAATATTCCAGCGTGGGGAGTGGTCGCGGGCCAGGTACGGGGCGTGGGCAAGAGGGGGCTGAATGGTCTCGATCTTAGACTCGACGACCTTCTTGCCGTCCACCATCTTGGGCACGCGGTTCTTAGCCGGCTTGCGGCCCATTAGCGCTTCCAGATCATCCTCATCTGGGTCAATGTCTTCAAGGTCGAGTTGATTCACCGGCGGCACGGACGTGCTGCCTGGTGGGATAAACCGTGCCTTGACAACCAGCTGTACCAGACTGCTGGGTGTGATGACTTTCTCTCCCATAACCTTGAAGAAGATTCTTTCGGGTTGGAGGTAAGGGAGTTGTTTGGCGACGGAGATGGCGTCAACGTATTGTTTATCGGAGAGAAGACCAGCGCCAACAGTCAGACTGCGGCGTTGAGCCTCTGGTATTTCCATGTACTTCTGAACGGTGATGTGTTCCTTGGAGTCTTCACCCTCCACGGACTTTACAATAGCGTCGGTGAAGTTGGGAAGTTGCAGTAGTGGTGAGGAGCCTGGAGACACAGCCTGGATGAGGTTCTGGGAGGTTTTGAAAGCGCCAACAATAGGTCCAAGATTGCCAAATGCGAGAGCGATAGCAGTGAAAGCTTCAGTGAGAGAGAGGGCGACAGGTGCGGCTTCGTATTTTTCTAGCATCCAATTAGTGTTGTGCTTTCAAGATACTCAGAAATTGATCTTACCAGCATCAAGAGAGGCATCGCCAAGATCAATACGACCAAGGTAAGCCCACAACAAAGCCAAGGACTTGCGACGTGAGGAACTGTCCACTTGCTTCAGTGCGGTGCGGTCCTTGTCCGACAGGAATGAGTTGTCATCAGACAAAACTCGCTTCTCGAGCTTGGCCAGCCCAGATTCGGCCCGAGCGCCTTTAAGCATATCCTTGAATTCTTCACCAGACGATAAAGCGCTAACGACACCACCTTCGGTGATGTCGTCCTTGTACTCGCGGAAAATGTTCCCGGCGCTAGCAACAAGAACGCGCTCCTTGGTGTAGCGCTGGGATCCATACCACCACTTGCCGACAATATATGGCAGAAGCACACCCAAAAGAGCGCCGTAGACCAAAAGAACGTACTTGCCATTACCATCCATGACAATGAACTGGGGAAGCGCGATACCAATGCTAAAGCTCTGCTTGCCATCGGGGTGGCCGAATTGAAGGTAGTTGTTGCGCACTTCCTCGTCAGTAAGAGCCTTGTAGGCTTTGGTGAGCTCGACGAAACGCTCATTGAGGGTTTCCATGGTCTCATTTTTGGCGGGGTCGGGGCGGATTTTATCGGGGTGGTAAATCAAAGACATGCGCTTGTAGTGTCTGGAGATCGCTTTCTCATCTGCGCTCTAATTTACAAAAACAATGGTCAATTGAAACGCTCGTGCATGTAGCCATGTTCCGGAGAGGACAACTCACCCTCGCAACACCCAATATATCATACGGGTCGTAAGCTTTGGTCACTGTTCTGGCCGTGACAACAATAAGATAGACCATCCATGCCATGACGGCATATCCGAGGATGACGGTGACAATGCGCTTGATCCGGCGCTCCTTGCGCAGGCGCTTGCGCTTCTGCGCGTCGATGAGGTCGGCATGTTCTGGTTTGAAATCGGATTTGATGCGGGGAGCGGTATTCTCGAGCTCTGTAGATGACGCAAAATGATTAGACCTTAATAATAGCTTTCAAAGCTATCTTTTGTCCAAACTCACCTTTGCTGGGTCGTAGGAGGTTATAGGTGAGAGGGAGGGTGACCAGTCCGGTCAAGGTGAGGATGAAGAAGGGGAAGAATTGGCCCTGAAAAACAAGTCAGCACTTCTATTCTTTCCCATGTTGTGTGTTATACTGACCTGCTCATCATAGGTGTAGTCTGACGACATTCTGCGGAGAGTTCAATACAGACAGCGGTTGCCGCTGTCCGCGGAATTTAAAGAGCGTGTTGCACAGGGCAGTTGGAAGTGGCCACTTTGGACAGTCCGTAAAACGCGTTTTGAATGTGAAAGATATACCAGAGCCAAATTAGAGCCCAAAAGCCTGACCCGCAAGAAATAAAAGAACGATGAAGGGGGAAGAGTCAATATTGCACTTCCTGATCTGGTGATGACCGTGTCCTCAAGCAGGGTCCGCTTACCGCCTGCCTTACGTGGGTCCCAATAAGGGCAGTTTCTTTGTGTGGCGCAGGCGGTGAACATCTTCGCAGTCATTCACAGTAAAACCATTCATGTTTTGGACTTCTACATCCCACCTTTTGATATTGCAACAGTATGCAGTAAGCTTACATCTATTTTAGCCAGTTTGAACCTGGTAGGAGGGAAAAACTTATGAAATATAAACGTTTTTGGAAAACCAGCGGTCAATTTCACTGTTTCGTGTATTGACAACACTCAATTTCATTAATATCAAGCATTTCATCTCGTGCTTGGGTTCTTTTATCATTAATATGACCGTATACTTACTTTAACGGAATCCAGGATGGCACCAGGGCTTACCCTTTATTCTGTTTGTACATATTTTGTTTATACTGTTGACAAGCCTTATGTCATCAATCGCAGCGGCAATTCACCATCTGGATGGAGCCTACTTAGGTGCAAGAGGTAAGTGGGGCTTGCAAGCCCTTTCCTTCTCTTTTCGAAATGGATTGGAAGTGCACTAAAATGGCACAGTCAATAGTTCTAGCCAACTAGAGGACCAAAGCGGAATATTGACTTCATCAGTCTAAGACAGACTCTTAAGGTTTCTAGGCCTTTCTCATCCTAATCTAGGTACGGCCTGGACAATACAGCTCCTTCCAGATGATTCTCGAAAAGCGGAGGCTTGTGCTGCCCTAAGTAAGGGGGCCCTTTTTTGAATATCTGATGTATGATAACTGAGGTAGCGCTGTAATGAACCAGAATTGCGGTGAGCAGACAAATGAATTTGGAAAAGAGGAGGCTTGCGTATTGAGCTGTTCGACCGTGCCAAGCAGAAGGTTGGAGCAAAGTGGATGTTGGTTGATCAGGTGCTACGCAGGTCTCTCCGTATTGCTGGAGTCAGACCATAAAGAAAATCTTGCTGAAAATCAGGACTTTTGCTGCAAATCGGAGTGTGTTGGCATATCTTGTTCGCTACGTGTCATGGGCTACTTCTTAGAGACACGGCATTGGTGGAGATTTACTACCTAAGTGTTACCATCTAAACTTATGATTTACTTTGCTTGTAGGAATGGACTTCTTGATAAAAATATGTTTTGTATGAATATGTAATGAGCTCAAGGCTTCATATGTAAATATATCGTGATTAGGTCCACTCCAGAGAGCGACAGTTGTAAGAATCGAATATCCAATCGAACCCACTAGCAGCCTAACAATCCCATCGGTTTGGGAGTATTGAGAACAGATCCACGGCACACATTTCTCCCCTCATAACGATAATAGTCAAGCCCGCCCAGGAAGGGTGTTCAAGCGTCAACAACTCAAGGTCGGACGCGAACTCAACCTAAATAGACAGAATGACTGGAAAATGTTATGACTCATTTTCATTTTTTCATGTGTGCGGTGAGATCAGTAGACCAGAATCTACACGGGCCGGGTCAAAAGGGACCAATCCAATATCCGGAAAGATATCTTCATTGCTGCAAGTCGGGGACCCGGAGTGATCCATGTGATCTGGTGTTCTCGCCTGTTGGCGCATTGAGGATGACGGAGGCTTGTTGTCCGTTCTCGATGGCACTTTTGGGTTTTTTGATTTGTCGAACGCGGATTCATAAAACGTTGCAAATTCGGTAAAAAAAAATTCGTGGGTGTTTTCTCTTTTTTGTTTGACTGAAAAACAAAGGACAAGGGTTCGAACATTCAGTCTCCAAGGGCATGGCCACTCGTTCTGGTAATGTCAGAATTGGCGTCGAAAGGTATGTGTGGCTGAGTTCGATACTCACGAGTCGATATAATCCAGTGCGCCGAAGTATTCAAGCATCCGGTAACAGAGACTCACGTCATCTCCCGGCTCACCGCCGAAAAGACGACATTGCTCTTCTTCCAATCCTGATTCCAGTCTGGAAGGATATTCACGGGTCTGCCAGGCCGTATACCCATTGTGCCATGATGGGGCGAGGGTGGCTGCGGGCGATCCCAGTGAACTGCATGGAGAGTTGTCGGCAGACACAAGGTCACAGTAGGTGTTTTGAGGTGTCCGAAGAGTCGGAATTGGCGAGACCGGATGTGAAAGACTTTCTTGTGAATTGCGGTTGGTTGAGCGACGAGTTCGACGTCTGTTGTGTCTCTGGCCCATCCTCGACAGGATGTGTCGAAATTAGAGAGGGAATGTTCCCCGATTCAAGAAATATAGAAGGAAATAGACTTTTATAAGAGGGGGAGCGACCATCACCTCCTGGAAAGGACGAGATGAGGTACTGAAAGAAAAAATCGGATGTTCATGCAGCAGGGGTGAGTACCTTTATAGAGTGGACACCAAGGTGAGTCACTAGTCCTCTAGTCACAGAAAGAAACAGTATCCACTTTTGTGTTTTTCTCGGTGGGACCCGAGCAGATCACCTTACGGAATCACTGAGAGAATTGCCCTAGTCTACTTTGGAATGAAAGGCGTGATATTTTCATCAAATGACAGTTGAGTATCCCATGGCGTTTTCCTCTCGCGTCATTTGAGCCTCTCTTCAGCGTTTGAACTGACTAATTTTTAAACTTTGGGTTTCATGAGGTGATTTGCCTAGTCGAATCAAGAATGCGAAAATGTCTCATGAGCAATATGGCAACGACATTAAGGGCAATTAGGCAATAAAGAAAAATTCTTGCATGAAAGGGGTTTTTTAAAAAAAAAAATTCAATGAAAAAAATTGAAACATCAAATGACGACAAGATCCATGACACAACGCACCATCTCGGGTCTCCATATGCCAGTCCTCCTTGGTCTCCAAAGTCCGATCATGCCCGATGCCGGCTTCCCCTAAGCGCTTAGAGCCGTGCGGACCGAACGGCGATCACATCAGGCAACGAAGAGAGCTCGCCCGGCTTTACCCTTTAAATTTTAAAGAATTTTAGTCAAATATGCAGGGTACCCGGGGGGCTTTGTCAGACTCCGAGACCCGCTTAGTCGCAGATGCGTTTTATGTACTTTTGTTATTGTAAGGCTCCTGAATATCCATCTGCAACATGGAGAGATTTAATTTGACCTACGTCGAAGGGAACGGATGATGGAATACCAATTTGAGTTCCGGCACTGAAATAAAAGTCTTCAAGTCGGAGTATCGAACTAATTGACGGCTTAAGCGAACTGCGCATGTAAGCCAGCTGCGCAGCCCAAAACACCTAGTAAAACGATAAATCACAACTTGCTATCTCAACAGTAGTGGTCTATAATCACTTCTCCTAAAAGTATACTATATTTTAGGTAATTCTAAGACTCTTGAGGGACTTTCAAGAGTTTTCAAACCCAAGAGACTATGTAGATATATATTGCTGCCTCGGAGCTCGTCAATTTTCGACAGCCGTCTTACCGTTTGACCAATGCTGCTCCGCACATTCACAACGATGTAGGTTTTCAACCTTGGAATTTCCTTAAAAATAATATACAGAGTTTATAAGCTTTATCAATAGCTTTCGACAAGCAATGAAATAAAATGCAAATGTGGTTGTTGAGATATCAAGTGATAAAATTAGGGCATTTACTAATATGTGTTTTGGGCTGGAGGTAATTAATTACTTATCTTTAACAAAACTAAAAAAAGGGCCTTGCCGGGGATCGAACCCGGGACCTCGTGCACACAAATACAGCCTTTCAAAGGCTGGGATTTTATCCGAAGCACGAATTATCCCACTAAACCACAAGGCCTCAGCAATTAACTTTGTGGAAGGCCCGGTGCTAGCGAATCTTAAACACCCGTTGAGCTACCCTTTATTGGTATGTTTGCCAATATAATGTGAAAATCAAAAAGAGGAGAATTGTCTGTGGTTAGACTACAAAGACAAAACAAAAAAAGGGCCTTGCCGGGGATCGAACCCGGGACCTCGTGCACACAAATACAGCCTTTTAAAGGCTGGGATTATTATCCGAAGCACGAATTATCCCACTAAACCACAAGGCCTCGGATATTAACTTTTCCAAATTGTACGTCCTATGAGTCGGTTTACATATAGGTTCTCTTTCCACTCCAACATAGCAGAAGGCTTGATTTATAGACACGTCGACTATAATTTACGTTCGATAGAGGGAACATCACTATGGAAATCAATAGACTGCATACTAGCTTTACCTGATTACACGCCTCTATCTACTTTCTGAGTCTTCCCGCTTCGGGGAAGGCTATAATTCTACCGCCGCGCCTCTCTGTGACGGCACATATAGAGATGGAACAACGGGTTTAGGGCTTAAGAAAAGAGGTCATTTATAAGTAGAAGAAATATATTTTTTTAAGGCATGGGCATAAGGGAAGATAGACGGGGTGAGATAGGCAGTTTTATCTAAAACGACTTTTGTATATGAATCGATCATGAATGACTTTAAAGGGCTTAGGCTTTTGATAAGAAGCTAAAAATGAGAGTATCTCTAATACTTTTCCTTTCTTTCTATCCTATACCTTCTCACACGCCCCAAGTCTTTTTGAATTTTTCTTTACATCCTACACAGACTGCGTCTCTGCTTGGGTGTTGGCAAATCTTATATTCAATCAAATCATACGGAGCAGAAGCTTCTACATTATCAATATATCACCATTTAATCTTATAAGCTTTTACCCTGTTTTGTTTAATAGGATTCACATAATTCGAAATACATGGATTGGTCGGCGTTGTCTCAATGGTGAAGCTAAAGACATTCAAAGCACCATGTGTCGTCAGGTCAGCAGGTCCTTCTGGGTCCCTTTACGACCTTGTACATCGGTAGAGTGTTCAACAACAACCGTATCGCTCGGTCATGAATCTGGATAGGATTTGCGAAGTGGGTATGCTGGCAGGTAAATACTTCAGTCTGTAGCGTGTTGTTATAACATTCTCCGCCCACGAACTTGCAAATCCTTGCTAGGTGGTATTGCACTCGCTGCTGAGGATAGAAGTGCACTGAAAGAATTAATATTTCGAAAAGGGAGAGCTGCTCAGCCTGAAAGCATTCATTTTCATTCCGTGAGACCATGTTCAGTGGCGATTGCGTCGTTAGTATCTCCATTTAGGATGACCCTCTTGAGACTCCCGTAGCTGGAAAAATCCTAGGACCAAGCACATTTTCTCCGGCATCTGGGATGCTTCATCGACCAGAACGTCAAAACCAGTCGAATCCCAACGATTGCACTTATGTTTTACCGAAGGTCCCGTATAAAGTCATCATGTGGCTTTTGTAGGTCTGGGGTTCAGAAAAGCAACGTGTGTGCCGTCTGCGATCTGCAGCATATTTAGTCAAACATGAGTGCATCGCTTCGCCCTACGAGAGAATGACATGGAAGCATTCCCAGTTCTCCTGGATTTGCACTCGTCACTGAGGAACCAGCGCGCTGGGCGCCAAAATCAAGATTGGCTTGTTGTCCTTGGAAGGTACGTTTCAAGAAAAGTATTGATTTGGACTGAAATGATAGTTAGGGGATCAATCATCCCTGACAAAAACTACACAAATGCAAACATCTTAATCTCAAGGCTCTCTCTGGCAGCACTCTCCGTATACTCCGGATCAACAAAAGCAGTGTGTGGAACAGTAACACCACCCCAGTCAAACTGATCACTATCGAACTGCGTAAAGATCAACGGTTCATCAGGCCGTTGGCCGCTAAGATAGCACCACCTCTGCTTGGGACTAAACACATACCGCCCGAGTGAATTCCAGCCAGTTGGCAGCATCAATCGATTGGGAATACTCTCCTTCTGAACATCCACAGTATCCCAATCACAGACAGCCAGCGGATCCCGCTGGATCGTCTTCAAAGGCCGCCATACATTAATGATCAACACCCGGCCAGCGAGCAATGTCCTGCGCTCATTCTCATCCGGTATAATCGCCGACAACTGATGTAATGCTCCTGCAGCTGAAAAGTCAGAATGCACGCTGTGTGCTGGCGCGCGGTTATTCGCTAGCTGGGCTGTATCGGCCACGAAGCAGCGGACTCGATGGGCAAACGTGACGGTTCTTGTTGCGCCGGTTCTGCGCCTGTTCAGTCTTGACCGTGTGCTATTTAATTAGGGATTGCAACTGACAGGGTTCGAACTAGCTCTTCTGTCTTAGGGATGATTATGTTTTTCATGCACTCTTCGTCGGATGTCCGATCTAGCTCTGGTATCACATGGGACAGGTATGTGAAACCGTTTCTTTCGAGTGTAAAGGTAGACTTTTGGCCTCGAATGTCTTGAATTGTTACTCGATGCCTTTCGTCAAGCTTGTGCATTGACTCCATGTGATCTTCCGGCTTGCCTTTGGTAAAGTCGACCTGGACGTCATTACGGGCTTCGGGACGTCGCCCGAAAATGAGATCTGCATCGATGTTTCTGGCTGTGTATTCGACGTGAGCAGCCATGATTAAAGGTTGGTGTTTCTTTATATCGAAGTGCGTGATCGGATTTGCAGATGGCACTTGGGAACCTGGGCTATAAGTACCCCTGTTGTGGCGAGTCAAGCTGTCGACTATGTGACACTTGGCAGACTAAAGAGCCAATTAATGTGCATAAACTGGGGATATCTGAAGATGAATGCGAGTCTCAGGGGCAAAGGAGATTTTATGCTCATATGCTGGCATGCGAATTGATCGTCGCTCAACGAGGACATATATACGGGTACGAACCCGAGTTAGGAGGTGGAGATCGTCGTCCCAAGTTTCATGAAACGTGCATTTTGGTTTCAATCTGGGTTTCATATCGCATCCACGGAGTGTGGTCTATATCATGTAATCCTGGTTTTTTTTGCTTCGGATTTTCTCGATCATAGGTCATGATTTAAGCTCTACGATATTGTAGTCTAAAGGTGGGAGGCGAGAAATTGATGGAATAACATGATATATATATAGTACATTAAATTTGTCTCAACAATATGATCTGATAGATCGAAGTACAAGAACAAGAACGCGAATTTGCTTTGTGTCACTGAGAGTGTCCTTCGCTAGGTCACTTGTAGAGGCGCATGGAGGAATATGGCAAGCAGATCAAATCAAAATCCAACATAAGAACGCGAAATTATGCTCGGACCATTGTCACATAACGATGAGAAGGAAGCGGTTTATCGAGCTGGTTGAGTGTAACAAAGATGGTCATGATCAAGGCGAGTAGGGAGATTCATCCCACCGGTCAGCCTTGGCTGCCATTAGGACTCGTTGAGTTTGCCATGTATCACGGATACGACGTGAGATGCCGTGCAACCAGGTTGGAGAGGACATTGTTTGTTGGCCGTGGAGGATATGGTATTTTGGTTGGTTTGATTGTCTGAGGAGATTGGAGATCAAGTATATAATGGACTTGTTGGATGGATTATGGGATTTAGGACATAGGACATGATGGACTATAAATATACGAAGCAACATAACGAGTTTGTCAGAGTGAGTCTCGAGAGGCCCATTTGAACAATCAATTGGAAAATTTGCCACTGGAGTTGATAATGCTGGTACCTATGTTAAGTTGTCGAGACCCACGTCAAAGTGTGGTTCGTGGGTCAAAAGTGTGGTTGCTTAGAAGAGCACCCGGGCTGAGGCTCGGGTTTCAAATATAACGGCCTAGATTATGTAGATTATGCGAAAGATCTCGATTTCAAACACAACCCCGCTAATACGCTACGATCAATGAATCCCTATGCAGATCCTCTAATTACAGCGAGCATTTTATCACCCTTAGGTGCAGTGGTGAGGTTCTCGTAGCCAGTAGCAGTCACGAGAATATCATCCTCAATACGCACACCCCCGATATGCACATATTTCTCCGCGACATCGAAATCAATGTACTTGGCATACGGCTGCTTGCGCGCATTATCAAGGGCCAAAGGCGAGAAGTACAGCCCCGGCTCAACTGTAACAACCATCCCTTCTTCCAACAAAGGAGCCAAGAGCGTGCAAGGCGAGAGATAGCCACATGCCCAGTTCGGGCGAGTAACCCCCCCACCAAACGCCATGATCTCTCCTTCAGCGACATCGTGCACTTCAAGGCCAACGTGGTGGCCCAGGCCATGCGGGAAGAAGACCTTGGACGCGCCAGATTCTCGGACTTCATGGCTCGCGCCCTTGAGCACACCCAGAGCCAGCAGTCCCTCGATTGCAATATCGTGCGCTAGATCGTGAAGAGCGCGATACCGCACCCCTTTGCCGATCCGTCGGATGGTTTCCTCCTGCATGCGCTCTACCAGTTTGTAGATATCCCGAACATACTCGCTAGGCCACTCGCCAGCAAGCGGGAATGTTCGCGTCACATCGCTCGCGTAGCAGTTCCACTCGGCACCAGCATCGAGACACACGAGCGGCTTCTTGTGAAGTGTTTCATTATTCCGACCGTAGTGCAGGACTGCCGCATTGGGCCCTGACGCTGCGATGATATTGTATGCTTGGTTTCGGGCTCCGTGTGAAATGCAAGTGTTCAGGAATGACCCTTCGATCTGTGACTCGTTGGAAAAGGACCGAATGCTCTCTAAGATCTTGCGGTGCGCAAGTCCGGAGACCTCGTTGGCCTTGCGGATCATCCGAATCTCATACTCGTCCTTGATGCCTCGTGCCGCGTTCATAGCGGGCGCGAGGGTGTTTAGATCCACAGGTAGGTCTTTGGGTAAAGTTTCAGGCCTCTCCGATTTATGGAGCAGGTACAGCTCACTGCTCTGTTCGCGCTTGTCTAACCATACCTGCAGCTCATGCTTGAGGGATGCGTGATATTGAACACGGTCCACATCATATCGGTCTTGTGCGTCCTCCAGGGAAATGGTCGGTCCCATCCAAATAGCGCGGTGGAGGTCGAAGTCGGGCACGTAGAGAGTTAGGAGGTCTTGTTCGATATCGTACGTCAGAGAGCAGTCAGGTTCGTCGACTCCGCTCAGATAGTAAAAATATCGCCGTTGTCGAAACGGTTGTGACTGGTCTGAGTCACGCAGGTTGATTGTTGGCTCTCCGGAAAGGAAGATCAAGCCCCTTGAGGCTCCAAGCCTCCGAGCGACATTGCGCGCATGCTGCTTGGCTAAGGCGGTCTAGTTAGTCTGAGGCTCGCGCAATCACCGGTCGGATTCAGTGCAATCAATATGTTGGCATAGTGGTATGCGAGAGGGCGAAGGAGAGGGACTCTAGCTGGGGGTTCACATACCGGGGTATTTATCACAGGAGGTAGGTGTATCCAGGAGAATCTTATATGCGTCAAAGTTAATCATGGTGTGAACCGAGGAGTGGGGAGCACCCTTTTGATTTGTACGCATGATCTTTATTTAACAGACAGACTTTTGTTCAGAGGGGTCACTTGTCACTTCGAAGTAAGGAGCTATGAGGAGGGGAAAAGGTCAAGAAGGGCGCTTATCCTATAAGCTCCTTAGTAGGGATAGGCACCTTTTATTTCAAAAGTACGACTCTCGCTACTGCGTACTTGAATATAGCTTGAAAGTCAAATATAATAGAGACGTCAGATATGACAAGAATTCCAGGAACTAAGAAAGTGTATATAACCTTGCATGTTTTAGCCCTTAACTAGGTAGAATTCCTTCCCTAAGGGCCGCGCAGACCACCTGGGCACCGAAAACGTCTTAGATAACCCACGCCTCTTCTGTCCGCAGCCGCCCACTTATCTTTCAACCTTTGACAACAACTTGTTTCAACTTCGTCTTTTCTGCTTGTTAACTCTCTCTTCCTTTCTCTTCCTCTCTCTCTTCCTCTAATCAATAATATTCGACAAAGTCAATGAACCATGCAGGGCTCTGAGGCTTCGAGCGCAGTGCTCGCAGGCCTACCTTCGACTTTGAGAACGGTGATAGGCAACCCGACGACGTCACCGATCGGCCTCTCAACACCAACATCTTTACAGATCGAACCATTACTATCACAGCAACAAATACACGAAAACCTGCAAAATGTCCTCTCCTCTTTGTCGATGGAATTCCGTCCTGAGCCCATGCTCGCCGCCAGTGGCAACTCGACCGGCTCGACCGGCAAAGGCATCCTGATTGGGATCTTGTCCGCCTTTGGCTCTGCCGCCGTCGCATTTGTGGTGTTAGCGATTTTCTTTTTCTTCAAATATACCCGCCGGGGGCGAATTATGCTGGATCGCATCGGCCGGCCCGGTGAATTCGACGATGAACAGGCCTTTGCGCGGGAAGAAGAGGCGGCCCTAGAGTCAATGGATGACTTAGCGCGGTCGGAGTATTTACGAGCAAAAGGTAAGACACCAGTTGGGGTTTCCCATGGGTCGCTTGGATTATTTGACTGACTAGTTGCAGCTTTTGTCCAAGGAAACCCGCCCGAATCTGTACAAACCGATATATCACTCTCACAATTCCTCGCGATTCAAGAAAAAGGTGTATCTGCGTGGGAGTTCCAACCAGAATTGGAAATTGCCAATTGTTTTGTGGAAGGACGCACGGAGATTGAATTCTTTGACTCGGAGTGCAGTGTACAGACCAATCTGCCCATTCCTAAGCAGAACGAGGTTTACTACTGGGAAGCGAAAATATATGACAAGCCCGAAACGACCATGATCGGCATCGGAGTAACTACGAAACCATATCCTCTGTTCCGAATGCCTGGTATGTACAACAAGAAATCTGTTACTCCTAAGGCATGCACGCTAACAAACCCCAGGCTTCCACAAATCCTCTGTTGCCTACCAATCAACCGGACATCGCAGACTAAACCAACCATTCAATCCCACTCCCTACGGACCTCCTTTACTACAAGGCGATGTGATCGGTGTTGGGTACCGGCCCCGATCCGGAACAATTTTCTTTACTCGCAACGGCAAGAAACTCGAGGATGTGGCTCACAATTATCGCTCGCAAAACCTCTTCCCTACTATAGGTGCCAACGGACCCTGCACCATTCATGTAAACTTTGGCCAGATGGGATTTGTCTTCATCGAAGGCAACGTCAAGAAATGGGGCTTGGCCCCTATGACTGGCAGTCTCGCTCCGCCCCCACCTTATGGTAGCGAGCAAGGCAGCATCTTACTAGAGTCAGGCCGTGAGAGCGCGGCTCAAATCTCTCAACGGGTTTACCAAAATGCAAATTACGCGGCCTCAGGCTCAAGTGTTAGGATCCCTCCAGCGCCCAGCCCGGGCCCTGCTCGATCGCCAACTGACATTTCCCTTGCTCAGCTAACCCACATCCCTTCTCTGGAAGATGCTGGTGAGGGATCCAGCCGGTTTGCTCTGGGAGATGAAGAGGCTAATATTGGAATTGATGACGAAGAACATGAGGCCCCACCGCCTGAGTATTCCAGTCCCAATGGCAGTCGGAGAGGAAGTGATGCTTCTCTTGAATTCCCGCCTAGAACTGGGGCTACCGAAGAGCCCGGATCTCCATCCAATGACTCTATGGAGTCTGGTGGTCGATATCTACCTAGTTACCAAACTGTGGTGGAAAGAGATTTGAACGACCACAACTCAAGAGGCCAATGATCGATGATCAGCCCTCATACATTATACCCGTCTATTTATGAACATAACTCTCGCTGCATAGGCTTTGTCTGATCATCTTTTTGCTGTTTTATTTAGCGGGCTCACGGATGGCGTTACAGCACTCGGGAGGCTGATTCTTGGTGCTTTATTTTATTGGAATAGGCTTTGTCTCTATCTAGCCCTACCCTTGGGGAGTCAATGAATACATGTATAAGGGAACAATCGTTTTGTTATGTTGCTATTTTTGCCATATTCTTTTGTACATTTTTCTATTCAAGATAGGCTCAATTTTGTTCTAAAAATGTAAAAATGAACCACACCCAGGATTTCTTCAAATTCAACTAAGATCATATAAAAAGCCGAATGGCCTACGTGTAGAAACTAGAAACTGGGATATTTAAACGACTTGGCCCCACAAACCTAGTATCGCCAAGTTTCCCCAACACTCGAAGCTTTGATCTAATTTTGCCGACACAAAAACCTCTATTCTAGAAGCAGAATTCCAAGAATAACAAGAATACATTAGATCTCACTCTCAACCCCAGATCTTCATGTTTACCGTGGCTCCATTACGATCCATTCTCCACTAGCCCCGCCGGTCCACCTGAAACCTCTCATCTCACTGACATAATCCGCAATCTGCATCTCACCTGCAGAACTCCTCAGTGGCTGTCCAACCTGACACAAAGGCGTTTCTGTGTTACAAAAGAAAGAGAGTTCTCTAATTTTCCTATCTGCACGCAGCCGTCTACCCAGCCCCCGGATTTCTGTTGCGGCTTCGCGCCCATCTCCCATCTCCCATCTCGAGGAAACGTGAGAACCCCATTTCAGTCATTGCAAACACTACCTGCTCGGGTGCTTTATTGTGTGCATGACGCACATACTGAGGGGGCTCTAGCTCTGGAAGTTGCCATCTACCAGACCGAATCGCAATTTTTGCGCGTTAAATCTGTCGTGCACGTAATATCTTTTTATCGCTTAGCCGCCTCCCAGAAATTGCTGCTTGGTGATTGATCAGCTAGCTCGCTTGGATTGTGAGCCAGCTTATCGCCGAGAGCCGGCTCTTACTGAAGATCAGTCACTGAAATAGACTTGATCTTGGGGGTTTACACATTATCAGTTAATCGGTTGTGTCTCACATGTCTAAGATCAAAGATACAAGTGGAACAATGGGGGAGAATCCAGCATTCCACGTCATTGTCTTGGTAAGTTTCAGTTACTAGTCAATTTGTCTGATTTGTCTTTTTTTTGTCTTGTTGCAGAACCTGTCACGTGCAGTCCATGTGTCGATTTTGTTAACATGTGCCTATCTTGGTGGTTTTTGTCGCGCTTGATGGCGGGTTCTAGCATATATATCCCTGCAACCATCCATACTGAATGCTAAATGCTGATTTTCTTAGGGCCCAACGGGTGGACCCCGTGAGGATAGCGTCACCGGCATTCTGGTCCGCTCGACCGCAACGGAATGGTCTCCAGACTCGATTGTGGCCGTTGATGCGGGTACTCTGCTTGCAGGCATCATCCGATTGCTAGAGCAATATATGCCCGACTGCACAGACGACGATGGTGTGATGACGAGTGGGCCATTTAAGGGGCTCGAGCTGCCCAACATAACCCCCCAGGCAAATGGTGCTCATATCTTTCGTGAACTCATTGGCGCTGTCCTCATCACACACCCCCATCTAGACCATATCGCAGGACTGGCTATAAATACTCCGATTTTGGAGGCTGGAAATGGCCCCAAACCTGTGGCTGCCCTTCCCTCAGTATTGTCTGCTATCAAAAACCACATGTTCAACGATGTCATCTGGCCTAATTTGTCGGACGAGGATGGCGGTGCTGGTCTGCTCACATATCAGCGCCTAGTAGAAGGCGGAAATCCTCGTTTTGGTCGTGGTGATAGTCGAGGCTATGTTAGAGCCTGTCATGGGCTGTTGACTAAATGCCTCAGCGTCAGCCATGGCCGGTGCAGGCAACGATACCATCCAGAGACTGGGACACATCATCGAATCGGAAGCACTGTCTTTGCTGAGCATCAATTGATGCTTCCTTCAAGGGCAATTTCAGTGGACCATACTGATGGCAGGTAAGCTTGAACCTGCGTGTTTTCATCACATTCACTTGTATACTAACCCCTCTAGCTTCTATTCACCCGCTCGCTCTCCGCGCATGCTCCCATCCAACCCTAAAGAGCCACCTATGGCATCAGTAGAAAGCTCCGCATTTTTCCTGCGTGACCATCGCACCGGCAGCGAGATAATTGTCTTCGGCGATGTTGAACCGGACTCAGTATCCCAAGAAGGCTACAACAAGCTAGTATGGGAAGCCGCGGCACCAAAAATAGCCAGTGGCAAGCTGAGAGCGATCTTCATTGAATGCTCCTACAATGACAGCACAGACGACGCATATCTGTATGGCCACATGTGTCCGCGTCATCTTGTCTCGGAGCTCAGCGCGCTAGCAAACAAAGTCATGGAAGTGCGCAACGGAAAAATGGGGGAGAAAAAGCGCAAGCGCGATTTTACAGTGCCCGTCGAGATCGGCAGTGAGGCAGTGAGCCCTCGGTCAAAACGGAACCAAAGCACTGCTGGCGATAAAATTGAGCCTCGATCGCACCCTACCGATCATTTTGAAATACCTCAGATCCCTAAAATTGGCTCCCCGGCTTTTGGGGACACTGGTGACCGTGGTGACTCTGGTGATGCTCTAGAGACGCCGGATCCTGAATCTTGGGTTGACACCAAACCCCTTCCCTTGGAGGGGTTGAAGGTCTACATCATTCATATCAAAGAGAATCTCACCGATGGGCCTCCGCCTGGAGATCAAATTCTCAAGGAACTGAAGGCGCATGGCACAGCGGCGCATTTGGGATGTGAATTCTTTATTCCTAGTCCTGTGGAGGGGATCTGGATATGACTGAGTAGATATGATTATGCGGAGGTTTTTGTCTTGTTTTTCTTTTTCCGTTGAGGCAGCATTGGAATACCTTCTCTGTACAATTACCAGCACTACTTGTTTTTCTCTGACAATTACTTCGCTTCTGTATTTCTATATTTGAAAAAATTCTGAATTCCTTATTTCACTATAGACCAATTATTCAGGTTTCTCTTGTCCAAAAACACAGCGGATGAGAAACTGAATTTGAAGTTGATCTTTCACTGATTAGGAGGTCCATTTGGCACTTTGGGTCGATTACTGTTTGGTAGCACCCTGAGTACTCCATCCTTCGAGTAATAGTTGTTGAGGTAAAACACTATCACGAAAGAAGCATCGTCAGAATCAACTTGGCAGCAAACCACGCCCACAACCAAACTTACCTCGTGCAATGATAGCAAATGTATCACAGTTCTTCCATTTTAAATCCGAACTTGCAAGACCTTTGCAGCCAGCATACTCATATTGCTCGCTGGTTCCATCGCCCAAGGATCTTGGGACTAGATCGAATAGTCAATTTATATGACCAATCGGTAGCAAAAAGCGGAAAAGTACTTACACTGATCGAAATCACCCGTATGAATCAGCTCGTGCGTGAATATAGAGCTGATCGTCTTGGACAAGATATCCACCCCCTTATTCTGAACATTTCCAGTATTCAATTGACTGAAAGTCGCCGGCTGATTGACACCAGTGTTATCCCTGTTACACAGCATAATAACATCCTTGCCTTGGGCTTTGTACGCAGTAGCCTGGACAACATCGCAGGGACTTTGATTCGGTCCCGGCGCAGGGTTATATCGCACGTCTGCATACCCTCTATCTTGGTCTCGGTACACGCCTGTGGTAATCTTCTTTAGGTGACTGTCACCACACACGATAGTGAGACCATCGACTGATTCGGAGTAGGCGCCTGGAACTTTTGAGGCTGGGCCGAGGGCATCTGGGAGATGTTTTTTAGCTTAGGCGCCAGGGATTTTGGAGTCTTTGAAGTAAAACTTACTGGCTATAGCTTCATAGGCCGTGGCGCTATGGTCTCCAAGGAAATCATCCAGGATGCTGCGGCGTCCTTGGTCTTTGCAGGTTTCGTACATTGATACCGGTTCGTCGCCTGTTTCGTGCATTCTCTCCCACATTGCACAGGCCGTTCCGGTTAAACTTGACCAGTTCAGCACAGCCTTTGCTTCTTCCATTGCACTTTTGATATCAGCGCGGTGGTCACCACAGTCACAGCTACTGTGGATGTTGTATGCTAGAGCTTGCGAGGCTGCTCCTAAGAGGAGAGCCGCCGTTGAGGCCTTCATTGCTCCCAAAGGTATAGGTTGACTTTGGGATTTAAGAATAGATAACTTCACGCAAAATTCGGTACGGAAGAGTTAGCACAAATTTCTCTTCTCTTTTTTATGGAATTCAATTGAAATTTGTGGTTTGGATGACATCCTATGCTTATGCTTCCAAGTTTCTATACATTAAGGGTCACATAGCCCGTTGCAGATCTCCACCACACTAAACAATATGTACCTTTGCCACTGCAATCTGATATCCCGTGTCTATTGGGGGCCATGCGGCTGACTTTCCTCTGGTGTGCAGAGAGCGGGACGTTCGGACTGATTTGATAAATGGAAATTATCATCATGTTGTCTATTATTAACAACTGAAGCCGAGCAAACCAATGAGAAACGTCAATTACAATAGAAAACTTCCGTAGAGCACGAGCGCCACTAATCATGCAGATATGAAATGGGGGCGAAGCTTGGTGCGGTGGGCCTCGTTTCAGCACTTTGTCCCTGCCAAGCACCCCTCTGACAGTGGGGGCGTTACATGCAATAGACTCCATAGTAAGCAAGACAAGCGAATTGGATGTCCCAGGTTGTTGTCTGACAGGGGCATACAAGATGATGTGCCTTCCGCATGAAGCAGTGGGGGCTACTGATCGGCATTGTCGACTGCCCATCACTTCTGTTTTAAGAATATCTAGCCCTGCAGGACTAATTTCCCGAACCTAAATTAATGTCAGAAAATAGCATGCTGATCGTGCTGATTATGCTGGGGCCAAAGAGGACTTCTGCAATTGGAGATAGTGGAGCAATGGAGGCAGCATAATGCCTCGTGGAATATCCAGTTTTCGACGTTACATGTTAGAAGCTCATTTCCTGAGGTTTGGGGGGCTAAAAAGGGAAGCATAACAATATCCGGACAATTTACAGAAAAGAAGACGGATCCTTCTCTGTTTGAGTCCATCAAGTCCCTACTTCTTGTATCAACATATAGCAATGATGCAACTTAGGGCTATTATCTTTGGTTTGCTTCTACTCGAAGCTGCTGCAATTCCTCAAGGCAGCTCATCAGCTAGGGGGTCTAGCTCAGCACCTTGCAGCGGCTCTGACTCCTCCTGCTCGGCGATTCAGTCTTCTACTAAGACGCCGAGTCCTATTTCAACTCCATATTCCTCTTCAGTTGAGTCGACAAGCTCTGCTGGGCCATCTGCCACTTTCAGCCCAAGCTCTGCGAGTCCCGGGTCATCCACTACAAGTGTGTCGAGTGTTTCTGGCTCTTCTCATAAGCCGGAGACGTCGACTCCAATTACCCCCACTGGAAGTTCTACCATCACGCCTTCTAGTACCCCAACGCCTAAACCATCCAATGGGTCCTCTGCCGGAGGATCATCGTCAGCGAGCTTGAGTCCTGGTTCATCCGCACCGAGAGGCCCCACGCCAGGGACGTCTACGCCAGGGACGTCTACGCCAGGGACGTCTACGCCAGGGACGTCTACGCCAGGGACGTCTACGCCAGGGACGTCTACGCCAGGGACGTCTACGCCAGGGACGTCTACCCCTGCTTCTTCTTCTCCCGGAACATCTACACCTGGATCCTCTACACCTGGATCCTCTACACCTGGATCCTCTACACCTGGATCCTCTACACCTGGATCCTCTACACCTGGATCCTCTACACCTGGATCCTCTACACCTGGATCCTCTACACCTGGATCCTCTACACCTGGATCCTCTACACCTGGATCCTCTACACCTGGGTCTTCCTCTCCCGAAGGATCTGCTACTTCTACTCCGGGTGATGCTAGTTCTACAACTCCTCCGGGAAGTAGCGGGTCATCAGACTCCACCACCCTCCCTATTATTACTATCACATCGCTCTCTACGTCTTCAGTGAGTACAGTGACTGGTGTCACCAAGAACACCCTCATCGAGACAACGGACAAAGATGGCCACCATACTAAAGTCGCCTTCTTTTGGCATTGTTGGTTCTGTGGTGGAGGCGGACTCTTTGCTTGGGGCATTGGTAAGTGAATATTTTTTCAACTAAACAAGAACCATAATTGACGCGCAAACAGGACCAAACCCGGGCATCTACCCTCCACCCCCAGATCCCCCTGTCACGAACTGGCCAACCATTACTATTGGCACTGATAATATGCCTACCCCTGAGCCAGAATCTTCAGCCTCTCAGCCTTCATCTACCGCCACTTCATGTACATCTACCTCAACGGTGACTAACACATGGGCTTCATGCACATCAGTCACAAGTGGAACATCATCAGGTATCCCGGTACTTACAGAGAGCTGCACTACCAGCACATCTGTGGAGAGCGGCTGCAGTCTCACTTCAACAGACACTACGACGACTGCTACTCCAGAATGCACTACCAAAACTGTGACCAACAGCTGGGTATCATGTACTCCTGTCACCACGAGCACGCGCTCTGGAACTCCATTGTACAGCAATAGCTGCACTACAAGTACATCGGTAGCAACAGGCTGCAGTGCTACCCCATCATCTTCGTCTACGTTGGCAACGACGACGCCAGCTGCCTGTACCATTGCTGTGAAAGCTAGCCCATTCGCTACGCTCACGGATCCCATACCTGATGCCCCAGACACAACGTCATCTACTCCGGATAGCACTTCGGCAACGAGTAGTCGGCCCGTATCAGGTAGTTCTGTGCTCCCCAGTTCATCAACTGTCTCTCCAAGTGCTTCGTCATCCAGCCCCATTCAAACCAGCACTCGCAACCCAACCTCGACCCCTCCTACCGTAAGCGGTACTTCAACGGCCATCTCATCACCAAGCTCAAGCTCAAGCTCAAACTCAAGCCTGGAGACTACCTTATTGAGCACAATAAGCTCGTCTACTACCACCAGCCCAACAACCGAGACTTCAATAACCAGCAATTCAGCTTCGCCAACAGCCACAAAGTCCTGCACTGGCGGCAGCGGCCAGACATACCCTGTCTCTCTTCTCAACACTGAAGGCTCCCAATCCGGAAACCTAGACAAATTCTGCATCAAGGCCGCCGCGCAAACCAATTGGCCATTCAATCAGACCTTCGACGGCGAGTACGCCGGTGACACCAAAGCCGTCATGGAAGTCTCAACCCAGCAAGGCTGCAGCGTTCCAGATAACGGAGAGATCTCGGCCGACTATTGCAAACAGTACATGAACATTCTCGCCAACGACTGCGACACAGACAGTGGCAACAAACACGGCGGTACAGTCTCAACGGATGAATGCTACATTTTCAGTTTGAGTGTTACTTCTGAGTCTAAGCTGAGCTGTAAGGGCGGCGATGGGTGGGATTGGCCTGTTGATCTTTTGAATGGATATAGTAGTAACAGCGGTGTTATCGATAATTTCTGCTCGAACGTTGAGTTGAATACCAGGGATGGATTCCATGAGGATTATACGGGTATGAGGGAGAGTGATAATGAGTGCACCATTACACTCAATTTGAACAACTGTGATGGTGACATGAAACTGTCGCATGATGAATGTGTTCATTATGTTGGGCAGATTGCTAATGGCTGTGATACTGACAGCGGGAATAAGCACGGCGGTATTTTCGATGTTGGAAATTGTTTGTCATTTAACATGACGATGTATGATCCTTCTGTTATTTTTGGAAGTGGTTAGAGAGAACAGGTTGCTTTGTATATCGACTCGTTAAAGAAATCATTGAACCACTGTCACTAGTCTTATAGGCCAATTATGTCTTGAGAATCCGTCTTCATATTTCAGTGCTAAGACTAGAGCACTTGTCCAATTACAGATGTGACTTGCGATATCTGGGTAGCAGCGCGAGATTTGAGATAAGATATACACGTACATAAGAAGGGAGCATCGGCAATTATTTTGTTTACTCGGAATGTTTCTCTTTCGCCTGAGCGATCACATCCTCCCAGACCGCAAGCCCACCAGAGGGAATACGCAGACCGTTTGACACTGCGGCAGTCCCAGCTTCGAATGGAGGACGAGAACCAGGCAGGTCCAATATAGCCTCTCCATCGCGAGCAAAGGCGATCAACTCCTCCTCTGTGCCCCATTCACTCATAGCCATCACACCAATAGGGACCCCACCATCAGCGGTATACCCAGCGGGACAGCTAATGGAAGGACATCCGGTGAAGTTGGCCAGCCAGACATATTCCATGTTGCGGACAGAGGACTTGCCATCTGACAGCCCGCGGGCTAAGTCTGCCTCGCCGCCATCGATATGCCACCCAGGGATGGGGGTAGTAGGCGAAACAATTAGCAGCCCGGGATGAGACTTGAAAAGATGAGCCAGATGCGTCATGAGGAGATTACGCAGCCGCTGAGAAGCAAGTAAGTCCTGGGCGGTGATCTGCCACATTCCCATAGAAACCAGCACCTTGTTCGGTGCCGTGAGGTGCCAGATCTTGCTCGCGTCAACACCAGATGCAATCTCCGCCATGATAGTCAGGATGTGAGCGCGCTGACCCTCGGGGAGATAAGGAATAGTGATATCGATGATGTTGTAGCCTTGCTCGCGGTAGTAATCGAGGGCCCGGTCCAACGCAGCGCGCACTGGGGCTTCGGCGCGGTCGATCCAGTCACGCGCGATTCCGATAGTCTTGGTCCGCTTAGCATCTGGCATAGGAGGTTGGGGGTAAGGGAATTGTGACGAAATTGGGTCTTGTGAAGCTGGCGCGGGAGTGGCCATTGTGCGATATGCGAGGGCGAGGTCATCGATACTCGAAGCCATGGGCCCAAGTACACCGACAGTGGGCGCCAGACTCTGAGATGGAGCCCCTGATACACGACCGTGCGAAGGTTTCAATCCCCAGATACCACAGAAGGACGACGGGATCCGAATTGAGCCTCCACCGTCTGCACCCAGGGCAAACGGCACGAGGCCCGCTCCAACAGCATACCCAGAGCCACCGGATGAACCACCACAGTAAAACTCCTTGTTGTGGGGATTTCTAGGTGTTCCATAGTTGGGGTTGTTGTTGTTTGTATCTGGGAATAGTCAGTGAGTCCAATTCGACAAAACATCACCCAATAGGAGCTCACCTAGTCCTAGCTCGTGCATGCTGGTTTTTCCAATAATTATAGCTCCAGCATCAAGCCACTTCTCGACACACCACGAGGTTCCATCGGAGCCATGCTTGAAGTCTAGCTTCGATCCTAGTGTACGCTTATACCCCGTAACATGCACCTCATCCTTCACGGCAACAGGCACACCGTCCAAGGGACCTAACGATTGACCATTCTTGTATCTCTTCGTAGAGGCTTCCGCAGCTGCATGGATAGCTTCAGCCTGGGACTCAAAGAAAGCAGTTGAATGCTTGCCGGGCGGGTGGGCGTCACGTCGCACTAAAGGCAACAATGCCTCAATGACCGCGGTCGGTGTCAATTCCCCTGACGAGTATAGCGCGTGATAGTCGGCGGAGGTATAATATCCATTGCTCCCCTTTCTGCGTTGCACAATGGCAGATGCCGTCTTCGCTGCTGCCTCGGCCTGAGTGGTACTGTCCACGGGAATCACGGTTGGGTCGTACCGGCCGGCGTACTGGCTCAGTTGGGGGATCTCACGGATCACTCCAAAGCCGGCATTGTGCCAGAAGTGTCTTTGAATGAAGCCAATATTGTGAATTCTGCAGCCAGCCGGGGATATTAGTATGTTGCGACAGCTCAATGGAGTTTGGAGCTTGGAACTTACAATGTAGCGCTGATGGCTAAAGGTGTGCCGCGGAAGACTGGAATGACTTGTTCTTCATTCTTGTATGGGACCGAGGGGCCTTCGCGTGGTGGCGGATAATTGAGAAATGACGGTTCGCTCATGGTTGATTGTTGTAAAATGAAGCGCAACCTCGGGTGTCAAGCTGTTCTGTTTCCCCACCGATGATATCACATGCCGCGGTTAAAAAATAAAAAAAACGTACTTTCGTCCAGGAGTTCGATCTATGAACTTGGTTGCTCATTGCTAAAATATCATGTGTATTTTGGGTGTATATATGTGTGCTATCTTTGAGCTGTAGGATTTTGCATGTATTTTTACAAGCTCAACTTGATGTTGTACTTGTCCATTCCCAAAGCAGCAGCAGTGAGCACTGCTGCATAGAGAACCAAAATGCCCATGGCCTGCGGCGTATTCAGGTCCAATGTGGGAATGCTCAAGTTTACTGCTCCGGTGAGGAGGTTCGCAATGAGGAACAGCGCAAGGCCTCCGCGGTTGAAGGCGTGCAGGATCCGACTGGTCGCAAAGGTTGTTTGCTCCCCCTCGCCTTCCTTGGTAGTTGCGCGGTGAACCATCGGGAAGAAGACAGTCTCAGTCAAGCAGAAAAGGAAAAGCTGCACGCTATTAAAAGCCGAAACCCACAGCACATACGGCATGTTGGCTAGTCGACGTGATACAGGAATGTTGGCTCCATGACCAAATGCGTAGGTGGAATTGAAGAAGAACATGGTCGACCAGAACATTCCCTGCAGGATCAAGCTTGTCAGGACAGACTTGCGCGCTTGTTGTGGTGATTTTGTAGCCGAAGTACCACGAGGAATAATGCGAATTCCAACACCCCGCCCGGCGAGGAAGATTGCAAGATATCCAATGAATGAAAATATACCCTCGCGGTTCTTGGATAGAAGATCCGGCCCGCGAGGAGACACAAGAATGTAGCCCTTGAGATCAGTGGACTCCAAGGCGACTTGGTAAAGAGCCGCAGTCAGAAGCGCAAGTGCCTCGTATGAGGGGATCAATGTAGTCAAGGAATCGAAAATCTCTACAAAAGGAGGCAAGAAGCCAAGTGTGAAGAAGAAGTTCCAATGCACGCCATACTCAGTGACATGCTCCGCGTAATCCAATCCCTTGACACTCCAAAGTCGAATGAGGCCCAGCACAAGCAGAGGAATGGAGTGCCGAGCAGAGCCAATCAATCTCCTATGCAGGGCCGCCTTCGGGGTCTTCGACTCCCGACCCTTCAGAACCGCGCGTGCAGACACCACACCCGCGGAGAACACGAAGGAGCCCACGCCTAGGTCCATGAGAGACGTTCCCCAGTTCTCCACCTTGGCAAAACGGCGTGGGAACGCGCGGAAGTCGACAGCCAGAATTGCTACACAGGTAACGATCATCATGGCAGCACGATACGTCGTCAAGAATGGGTGGATAGGCAAGGCCGACTGGCCCTCCTGGGAGCTATCATTTTTGGCCTTGGATTTGCGGGGTGGTTTGGCTTTCTGGGGAGGGCGCTGGCTGTGCCGAGTAAGGAATAGTAGGACGGCGGGGGAAACAAGAAAGATGTTGAGGAGGAGGGGTGCGGAGGAGTATGCGGTCGTTGCGAACAGTATGGCTAAAACATTGAGAATGAAGTCGGTCGCGATTGCTGCAGGTCCGTATGGTGTGAAGAATGACAGCCTGGATTGGAGAGCGGACCAAAGGATGACAGCTGTCTAGAGATATATCAAATCAGAATGAATCAATTGCAACGGTAAAGATCGGGGTATCTCACTGAAGCGACTAGGGTAACTGCGTTGATTTCGAGTATTGTGCTGCCGGCAAGGTTAGACACGAAGGCCTCCTTGCGAGCTTTGTAGCTCTGATCCATGTTGAATAAGTATCTATACAGAGAGCTGATTACCCTTGGTGGCCGTAATTGAGAGAATGACGGGGTAAAAGAGAAGTTGGAGAAGCTCCGAATGTTGCTATTCACCCGCAATCACCTGACCATTTAGCTGTCCTGTATCACAAGAACAACTGTCAAGATCAATCATGACACTGTGTCAGTTATTCCAAGCTTGTATTGTCGGTCGAAGTAAATATCATGGTCGAGTGGATATATAGTAGTTCACGGCTGGTCAAAACACTAGCTTTCTTCCTCTACATTGTCTAAACGAAAAATCAAGCACTCAAGCGTAATTCCAGTGCAATTAAGGATATTTAGTAACAATGCGTAACTCTCTAGGGTCTATATAACGACATGATTTAATATGCTTTTACTTGGGGTATGAAACAGCCTTAAGATCTCGGCTTTCCACGTCCTCCGCCGCGACGTGCGCCTCGGCCTCCACGGCCTCCTCCACGGGTCTTCTCAACACCACCTCTGTCTCCCCGACCGGCTCCAGGGCTGAGCGCATCACGGGTCTTGTTGCTTCCCCGGTTGCCACGAGAATGACCGTGCGATCTACCGGAACCCTGCTTGTCCAATTCGTTGGGGTTCGCATAGTTGAATCCAGGAATGCCCTTCAATCCCATCTTGCCAACAACTTTCTTATCCATTGGAGGAGCCTCGGGGCATCCCATACCCTTGATAGCCAGCTCATTTGCAAGTTGAACAAGGCCGGCCTTGTCGATACGAAGTTGTTTCAGGAGACCTGATCCAGCGAAGAAACCAATGAAGGACGAGTATGCGCGCTGCTTTGACCGTTCCTCAATAGTGTACATGGCAGCCATAACAGCCTTAGAACATCCTGAGGCAGCCGCGTTAATAGCCTCAGTATCAGGGTGGGCCTGGATTGGCAAGTGACGGTTGTTTTTCATGAAGAAAGACTCGGCTTCGGTAAGAAGAATGATAGCACGGCCATCGGCACCAGCGCGAGCTGTACGACCAACACGGTGGACGTACTGCTCGCCGTTGGAAGGCATACCGACCTGGATGACCAAGTCGACGTTGGGGAAGTCCATTCCACGACCGATGACATCTGAGGCAAACAAGATTCCGGAATCCGCCTCCTTGAACTCGTTGGTGGTCTTTGTGCGAGCACCCTGGCTGAGTCTGGAATGAATCTCAAACACCTTCAAGTGAATCATGCCCTTACAAAAGACACCTGCGAGAAGAGAAACCATATGCGCGGTTACACCAAACACAATGATTTTTGAGTTCTTCTTGACTTCATGCTTGAGCAAGGCGGCAAGTGTGGTGAAGGTATCTTTCACGGAGGGCATCAGCACGTGGTACTGAGGTACTCTCTCATGTGTGGGTGCTTCGTTCTTGTCAATGGTACTAATGCTTGTGTAATCATTTCGCAACACCACATTCACAACATCCCTGACCTTGGGAGGAACAGTAGCGGAGAAGCACATTCCTTGCCAGCCGGTGCTCTTCGCGGGGATGAGCTGGAGAATTCGCTTAACATCAGCGATAAACCCGCTTTCGAGCATCGTGTCGGCTTCATCCAGAACAAGGGTTTGAATGTTGGATAGCTTCTTGGCAGTAGCATCGTCACCCAGGTAATCGGTCAATCGTCCTGGGGTTGCCACCAGAACAGAAGGTGACCCATTCATGAACTGTCGGTGGGCAGATGCACGAGCAGTTCCACCAACTGCGATGTGGCACTCAAGGGGCTTCTCCAACTGCGATGTTAGTTGATCACATGATTTGGCAATTTGTTGTGCAAGCTCGCGGGTTGGGGTGATGATCAAGATGCCGACCTTGCCTTTCGGTGGCGTGTTTCCATTGAGCAGGCAGTGAAGTGCGGGTAAAAGAAAAGCGAGTGTTTTTCCTGTGCCAGTTTTGGCCTGGACAAGACAGTCACTGCGCCAGTTGGGAAGTTCAGTCATGACACGGTGTTGGACAGGTGTCATATCATTGAAACCCATCACATTGAGGGACTTGAGAAGTCTGGGATCCAGCTTTCCAGCCATACTTGAGTATGGCTGAACATCACTGGGTTGAAGACCTTCCATTGTAGTTGAGGTTTTCTGATCCAAAGAAATGTTTGAAAACCTGCGGGTTAAATATGAATGAAAATTTAAACGGTGGCGAGGTAAGTTGATAATTCTTTGGCGAGGGGCTAGAAGGGATCTTGTAAGGAACAGGCGATTGATTTTTAATAATCCTTGCATCGAAGTTGATGCAAATATAGGATAATGAATCTAGTTGTCAACAATGCAGAGATTTGTTGCCGAGCGCATTATTTAAGTTGACCTTATGTCTGGTAATCACGCAGCTGATTGGCCACATCCTGGATCCACTATCTTCGCTTGATATCACGTGAATATCTACTCCCAAATAGGAAAGGTCGCTCTTTTACCATCTGTCCCTGTCGGTGTAGTAATCGTACCAAACCAATTGTCAATGAATTCCATCATCAGCTAGGAAGGGCTATGCTTTGTCGGACGAGACTATAGCTGCAGACATATGAGTGCTTACTGACCTTAAGCACGAAGCGTGGAAGAGGATTTGTCTTTAATTCTTGATAGCTCAATTTAGTCTACCAACGATCAACTTGAATACCGTGAAATGACATAGGATGTCTATATCTCTGACTAGATAATTAAATGATAAGAACCAGGGAGTAATGAGGATTTTACATCTAAGTCAAGTCTACTCCGTAAGTGGAGTTGAAGTATGTTCGAAATAAGGCGTAGGTAGCTGCACACTAACGAGGCTTCAAGGCAAAAGGTAGCCAAGTGTTCAGACGAAAATTCAATCCACAATTGAGATTTGATTTCGCTTTGATGAGATTTCAAAAAAATTTTCAGACAGTACATATAACCCGGTTAGATTCATAGCTTCTTAAACATCAATAGAGACATTATTTATTGCGTATTACTCTGGGCTAACAATGACTACGTAGAGTTACGGGCGAAGGTTGCAAATGATTTCAGAGACCCTTCTAGATCCGGGTGAGGTGATTGGCCCGGCAGTCCACAACAGATCACCGAAGATGTGCCGGACACCGACACGGAGTGCAGCACCACTTGGCACTTTCTCCTTTAATTCCTACATAGTAAGGCTGGCTGTCTCGGTTCATATAAACTCCAAAATTGCATCTCCGGGATTCCTATTATCTTTTTTATGAAAATGAGCCAAGGGAGAAAGTAATGAACATGGGGAATAATATTTGATCATAGATGCATTGACAAATTTGCGTCAAAGCCAAGCGACAGGGTAAATGTACTACAAAGTAGCACTAATTCTAGTAAGGCTACGGAGTACCAATTCGATTGATGCCCAGCCCCTCATCTCGCCAAGTCTTTAGGCTCTAACGTTGGCGGAGAGCGTTCGTCTAATAAACTGACGTTTCGACTTTAACCCCATCGCACTAAATCCGGTATCACACCCGTAGATGATCGGCCGGGGAGGCCGGAGCATCTGTGACTAGAAACAGTGCGGAGATTCGCATTTTATACTCTAGTGGTGATTGATTGGTTGGGGGCTAAATTTCGAATAACATGAACGCCCTCTGACCTCCCACCATATATGCCGTGCGATTATAATATGGATCAAGTGGCACACTCTTTAACTTCATGGAAAATTTAAAAGTTATTATAAATCTAGGGACAGCGGGGATCGTATGATAGACTCCTACTGATGAGTTCAACCTGGTTTCTAGTGCTATTCTCGAGAGATAATGTTTCCTTTCGCCATAAACACGTGTATTAGAGCTATCAAGCTACATACTTACCTCGAAGCCATTAGCAAGGGTTTTACTTATGTATGTTGCATGGCTTTCAAAGGATCACGAACAGGATTGGGGGCCGAAATATTCTCGTCCGCTCTTCAAGCCATTTCTCTATCGCTCGGCTACAGAAATGGGGGCGAAGACAGCTTAAAGGGGTTGGCCATTGAGGCATTGTGGCTCCAAGCCTATTTTCAACAAAAGAAATGAGCAAAACTAATATTAAGTCGCAAGGATGTTGTTTTAGTGCTCTTTTTTGTCTCCACCTGATGGGGTCAACGACCGGCACGAACGTGTCCGCCACGGAGTCAGCATTTATAATGTAAAAGAACCTACCAAGTAACAAGAATCGAAACCCATAAAGTCCTGCGCATCAAAATGAGCACAGACACTTTCTGTGAGCGTTAATGTGACAGACACATCAAATCATCGGCACCTATGGCATCCTGGCACAAGTTCAAAAAAGCGGACCTCATAATGGGGGCGGCTCACCGTAGTGGCTGGAAGAAAGACGCTATGTCCATAGCATGTACATACCCACACCGTCGTCTATTTATCAACGTTCATTGGACATCGCGGAATGGTCTTAGAGTGTCTTTTTCGCCGCATTATCGGGAACATTTGCCTGACGCGTTGATGGGACAGTCCGGAGACTGGAATAGAAGTTTGGTGCAAGCATGGCTATCCTTATTTAACGCGCTTCAGCTCCTGTTCATATGAGTGGATGCATCTGACAGTCGCGACTCTTTCCTATAACGGTACCTCGTTTCTTGCAGCCCAGGCGAAATCAGCCTTGGGATTCGCCTTTCGCCTTAATCCCTGCTCGGATCGGAGATAGTCTGGAGCCACCCACTCTCGATCTTTGCAAATCATTGATCCACCGCTTCCCCTCATGCTAAGCCCTCTCCAGGCGTTGCGAATTGGGTACATGGTATATGGTCATCAACAGAGGGTTCTTCGTGAAGAAAAAAACAGACAAGCAAGGAGCGCTTCGCCGAGAATCATCTGGTGCCTTCATATGTGGTCTCAGCGTTGCTAGGAATCGGGTAGCCATGACTCTTAACGAAACACAGCCCAAAAGGCGGGAGTCTCGCTCAGGGACTAGAAAGGTGTCGACTTTGTCAACGGAACAGCTTGAGCGAAAGCGTGCCAACGACCGAGAGGCCCAACGATCTATTCGCCTACGCACAAAAGAACATATAGAACAACTTGAGGCTCAGGTCTCCGCCTACCAGTCGCAGATCGACGAGATGAGGCTCCGAACCGAGCGCTTTGATGAAGTCATGCAGCGAAACACCATGTTGAAAGATGAAGTGGACCGATTGAAGCAACAGCTATCTTCTCTCACTGGGCGACCGGAATTTGAACCTGATAACAATGAACCGATGGGTCCTTTTCCAAATGGCTGGTCTATGGAGGACCCCTTGAATAATGCATCGCCCGGTATCCCCACGACAGGGACATTACTATCGCCGCATTTCACTGCCACCTCGAACCCCCGAACTCCCTCAGCCCTGTCAGCCTCGAGCCGAGCATCTCATCAACATGACTGGCACCAACAATACCCACCCACTAGATCACCATCCGTGGGGGAAGCTTCCAACCCGGAATACCCGAATCGCATGGAGTCTTATGTGATAGATGGCCAACTCCATCAAGGGCAACAACACATCTTTCCGTCCCTGAATCCAGTAGCGCCTCAGTTCCGCTTTGGTGGTACTCCGACTCCTTCCCAGCAGCAACCCGAGTCCTCTTTCCCCCCATTACCCTATGGCAGCCGGTCACTTTCCCTGCCGAATGCTAGCTCGGTTTCTCCATCCGAAGCTTACCAGTCCTCGACCTCGGTGTACCCCCAGTCTTTACCTCAGTCACAGCAGGGAGACGAGACATATCACTATCAATGGGCGCCTCCTCCATGAGCACTACCAACTACCAACGCCACAGAATTGGACCAAGACGCGTTACTCTCCGCGGAAGACGCAGATGCGGGAAAGTGTAAACCTTAATCGGTCTCACGGCAAGTTGATCTAGCCTCGATGCGCCCACAGAGACTAATTGGTACAGACAGCAACATGGCTTATGTTGGCAATATACAACGGGGGAACCAATGAAGTTGCTTTGACGTGGGAAATGGCAACGTGCTAAACATACCACTCACACTCCGGTCCCACCTGATCTACAAGACTATCGGCTATTGCAGTTAGGCTGATAGCTGACTGTGCGATTGACACTCCCCGGTGGATGGAGTTGAATTTGTAAATTGAGCGTGGTCGCTGTATCCGCCCTCTCTTATATATACACTGGGATTTATACACAGCGGAGCGGGTTTGAGCAATCCAAAGTCACGATCAGCAATGGCCGATGAAGTCCTGTCAGTCCCAAAGGGAATAAATGATAAATTCACATTCAAACAGGAAAAGCAATGCCCCCAGTGTGCATAGAGTGAAACAATTCATAAGCAAAATATCTCTATCCAAGAATGCCACGTCTATTGTGTGTACTGCTTCTGAAGAAGCTTAGCAATCGTCTGCAACTGGATGTTGCTGGTGCCCTCGTAGATCGCGCCAATCTTGCTATCACGGAACATCTTCTCGGCAATGCCCTCACGGACAAAGCCCATACCACCCATCCACTCAACGGCGGAGCTGGACACGCGCCCAGCAACCTGGGAGGCATAGAGCTTAGCCATGGCAGCATCCTGAACAAAGTCCTGGCCAGCCTCCTTCTTGCGGGCGGCGTTGTACACAAGAGCACGTGCGGCGGCAATCTCGGTATAGGCCTGCGCAATCTGGTGCTGCATGCCCTGGAAGTTACCGATGAGCTCGCCGAATTGGCGGCGGTCGTTCCACACGTATCTTTTCGCGGAGTCAGTAAATCGAGTCTACGTTGTCGGGTTGAGATGAAACCTACCTGGCGGCATTTTCCCATGCACCGAGAGCCAGACCGGTCATCTGGGCCGCGATACCAATGCGGCCCTCGTTCAGCACACTGATAGCGTACTTGTAGCCCTGGCCCTCCTCGCCGAGAAGGTTGCTCTTGGGAATGACGCAGTCGTCAAAGTTGAGCACGCAGGTGCTGCTAGCGCGAATGCCGAGCTTCTTCTCCTTCTTCGCGATTGAGAATCCGGGGGTATCCTTCTCAACAATGAAAGCAGTGATGCCCTTGTAGCCCTTGCTGGGGTCGATGTTGGCGAAAACGATGAAGATACCAGCCTCCATCGAGTTAGTGATCCACATCTTGGATCCATTGATCTTGTACCCATCAGCGGTCTTCTCGGCTTTGGTCTGGAGCGCGAAGGCATCGGAGCCGGACGCAGGCTCGGAAAGACAGAAGGAGCCAACAGTGCCAGTGGTGAGCTTGGGCAGCCACGTACGCTTGGCCTGAGCATCGCCGTACTTCAGGATCGCGGTGTTGACGAGGGTGTTGTGAACATCTGCCAGCACACTGACACTGGGGTCGACACGTGCAAGCTCCTCGATCGCTACGATCGCTGCGGTGAAGTTCATGCCGGCACCGCCGTACTCCTCTGGCACCTCAATGCCCATGATACCCTGCTCGAAGAGCTGCTCCACGACCTTGGGGTCCATGGTCTCGGCCTCGTCCATATCCCGAACCTTTGGGCCGATTTGCTCCTGCGCGAACTTCGAGACCATTTCGGACATCATGGCTTCCGTGTCGGACAAATGGGTGATTGGCGTCGGAGTCAGCTCGGAGATGTCGGTGTCCCGCCGGCGGGGGGTAGTAGAGAAGGCATAGGCACTGTGATTATAAGCAAGTTTGTTAGCGAATGTTTGAAGCTGTGTTCGGAGGGCTACACGGGGTGTACCTTTGCACGGGCCGGCCGGCAGCTAGCCTTTTGCCGGCAAAGCGGACTGGGGTACGCGACAAGGGCCGCAACGCGCGAATAATAGAGGCCATATTGAGGGGAAATATGCTAATACTTGAAGGAGAAAAAAAGGGAAGGGGAAAATAAGGATGAACGTGAAGGCCATAATCACGAGGGTTTGCTGTGAGCCTCGGTTACCGGCGGCGTTGGGGATTCGCGGGGAGCACAAAGTGGGGCGAGAGTTGCACCGAGGATGAATTCGAATAATCGGGTCGTCGAACGCGGCCACCTGGCGGTGTCCGGGTTCCCGGGTCTAATTGCCACCCGGGTCTAATTGCCAATTTACCAATTCCATCATTGAATTCATTGAATTTAAATAGCATCGCCTTCTGTATCAACACAATAAAGATCATCTATCCAATCCTGGGCCCCTTCTGCACTATTATCATCCTCAATTTCTCCTGGATTTTCAATGTCGCCGTCCTCAATTGCTTTTAAAATAGCTGCATCCCGCCATGATTTCTTAGATCGGTTGAACATCTGCAGCCTTTCTCGGTCGGCGCGGTCAGATATTTGTTTTTTACAGTCCTTAACTAGGCGAGGGCCTAGTTCAGGAAGTCTGCGCTTTGTTTTAGCAGTATTAGACTGTTTTTTCCGTCGTAAAATGCGAACATTGTCCTCCGCAAATTGAGCACCAACTTCGGCAAGAGCGAGTCCACCTGCTAAAATCCGAGAAAGACTATCCCGCACCTTCGGGGAAATTGTAGCATCATTCTGTATATGCTTCACAACCTTATTGCTCGCTTTTCGTAGCTTTTGGACAGTTGTAGGTGGTGAATTTGGTAGTGAACTTGATAGTGGTGGGGGTGTAGTTCCGGCAATATCATGAACTATAAACCCGGGCATTTCAGGGAGATCATTGTCTACCAACTTCAATTTTTCAAGGCCTTTGTCTGAATTGACAGGCCAAATTCCAGTTTCTCGGAACCCGTGTCGAATTGTCCGCTCGGTTAATGATCGTGTGCGCACATCATGAATACCCGCGAAGAAATTGGCTTTATGTTTCGCATCACCACCCCAAAAGGCAGTCTCGTTGTTGTATTGTTTGTAGTAATGCTTTAAGACCGAGAAAGGTGTATCATCGAGAGGTTGGCAACCATGTGTTGTATGTGGAATAAAGCAGTAAGGAATAATGCGTTTTGTCCAACAAAATTCAATGAAATCATAGGTCAAATGTGAACTATGATTATCCATTAAAAGAAGACGATATTCCCCCTTTTTAATACGCAATGATGTAAATTCATCGAACACCTGGAGCCATGCAAAACTAATGATTTCATCAGTCCAGCCATTTGGGGTTGGACAAATTGTGTAGTTGTCTGGTAAATTGGTGTCGATAAACCAACTTTCCATATGGAATTGTCCCTTCACTAAAAACCATGGCGGCATAACCCAACCCGTAGCTGAGACACATTCAATACCGGTAAGCGATTCAGCTTGACCACCGGTACTATTATATGAATTGCCCCGGGCTGAAACAACCTTTTGAGCCTTCCCTTCGCCAATTCGAAACCCGGTTTCGTCGAAATTATATAGATTTCTCGGGCTAATATTGTAGTTTTTGAGCGTAATTTGTAGACGATCGTACCAGGAGACAATATAACCAGGATCTGCGGCCTGAAACCGTGCTTTCTCCATTGGTTTTTGGGTAAGATGCTCAAACCGTGGTGGTAGGCGAGCGATAAAATCGTAAGCCCAATTCTTTCCAAGCGTGCGAGCGGGGTTATGACGCCGAACAATTTGTAAAGCAGTACCTTGAATTTGGGCTGTAGATGGTGGAGAAAAAGCCTGATCTAAGGTATCAATCCATAGAATTAATGCCTTTTCTTGCTCAGGATGTAGTGCTTTATTGGGTCCGTCACGGTTGTTTCGAGATGTGCGACCGTGGATACGTCCTTTCAAGGTGCCGCGCGAGATGTTGAATTGCTTAGCGGTAGCTGTGATGTTGGGTTTCTTACTAGCATGGTATGCTAATAAGGCATTGGCAATGCGAATCTCCAATTCTGAAGACATGATATAAAGAATTGGGGGTGTAGTGAATGATTAAAGAAGATGGAATTGGTAAATTGGCAATTAGACCCGGGTGGCAATTAGACCCGGGAACCCGGACACCGCCAGGTGGCCGCGTTCGACGACCCGATTACCGCTTTCTATATTGTTGTTTCTTAAAACTCATCAATTGACTATCCTACAAATGAACTTTCAAGCCTTGACCTATGTTCATAAAAAATTAGATCCCCTTAAATTATACAATGTCAAACAACTTTTCGAGTATCAGGAGTCTGTTTTCGAATCAAGTCTTCATCCGAGATTCTACCAACACCCGACGATGGACCTGTATGGCGCTCCACATCCTCATAGCGAGTTACAATGTCGGTAGTAATGACCACATCCGATGGCCCGTTAACAATATGTTCATTACTTCCACTCGGCCCTTCGGTCACCGTGAGTTCCATCCAGCCCAAATCGTCATGTTCACCACCGAATTTCTTTCTTCCTCCATGTGCATTGGATTGGAAGTTGGAATGACTAGTGGGGTTAGATTTATTCGTGCTGTAGGCTGCATGGCCACTCGAGTCGCGATATTGGTAAGGAGCCGATGATTTCTTGGAGATAAGACCGAGGCGTTGGAGCACTCTTTCCATAAGAGGCCGAATGGGTGGCACACAGCCCACGACGATAACGATCCAGGCCTCTGTTGATGCCCATATTATCAGGGATGATTGATCCCCTGGTGGAAAGACGCATCATTAGCAAATGTTAAAGTGGCGAGATAGAGCAGAGCATACAGGTGATATCTTTTGTTTTCGTCAACGCCTTTAGCTCATATGTCTTGACAGCGGAGCACACTGCGGCTCTGCATTTGGATCCATGTCAGCTCCAGGTAATAACCCAAACTCACTTCGGTAAGAAACACTTACATCCAGCCCAATCCCATGAGTATAGATAATGCGATCTTAATCCGCAACTTCATCTGCAGTTTCCAAAAGAGATAAACCGGATAGGTTGCCAAGAAGGCATCGGAGAATGAGTTGAAGCCTAATTTATCAGCAACAAGTTGCACACTCAATGGTCTAACTTGGAATTCCGACTCACTAGCTTGGAAGAACGAATAGTTCTGGTTAATCTTGCGCCCCGGGTCACAAGTCCCCTCTACAGAGTCATTCCACAGTTTGTGCATTGGCTGGCATTGACCTAGAATGGTGCCAAGAACGGCAATGTTGACAGCTCCGATGAGCACACCAAGAACAATCAACAGCCACGGCTTCTTCTCATGACGGCCACGAATCTGTACCAAAAATGTGAGAATCGCAAGCTTGCCCAGCATACTGGCCGCAATTGCAAGTAACTGGAATACCCACGACCATTTCAGGGCCAACACTAAATTGAAAGGGGAGAGATCATCCATACGCCGACCCAGGCCAGCATTGACCGAGAGCTGCAGGAAAACCTGAGCAGTAGTCTCAGTTACCTGTAAGAGCCGTTTATTAGCATGTAATTAAAGTGGTTGTTTGCGCTTTCAAACAATATGGGTTGATACTTACCACAGTCAAGCCAGCGATAGCAAAGTCCCATCGAAATCGTCCCACGAATTTCCAGTTACTCAAGAATCGAAGAGTGAACATAAACAGACCAACGCATGTCTCCGTCCAAGAGACCGCGAGAATGACCGCAGCGTTATCGCCAGCCATTTCTGGCCTCAAACGGGAATAACTTCACGCGTTCTGTCAATATACAGGGCAACACCGAAGAGAATTGAATAACGAGGTGAGAAGTTTAGGATATGATTATGGTATTCCCAATATCTTCTACATTATCTTCGCACCTAAAAGCCGACAGGTTGCACTCCGTGGTCCCAGAAAAGTTTCACGGTGTGCAGGGGTCGATCATCCCTTGTTTGTCTTGTATTGGAAAAAAACAGCGCCTCTCAACTCATACCAGAAATCCAAATCATATCACACATTTAACAACTCACACCAATAAGCATATCGTTTTTTGCAAGAAATTGTCGCGTGTCCATAAAAATCAAAGTTAATTACCTCGCAATTGTTCTGAAGGCGCTTTCCAACATAACATGAAAATCTCGCAATGTACGCGACCCAATCTTTGCCTCACCAATATGCAGCCTATATTCCTTAGCATGGATGTTGACTAGGGTCTGAGAGGAGAGAATGACTCGTGGGATTTCGCGATTGCCTTCCAACTGTTAAATAACATGTGGTATACTGGGCGGGGCCGAGAGCGAAACTTAGTGCGGATCCTGGTTGGTTTACAGCCCCACCTAAGTTATATGTCAGAGAGCTAACAGACGGCATCACATCAAGCTATGCAATACTTCTTTTTATAGTTACGGTGTAATTGTCAAAAGAAATTATATCCAACGGCATACGCAGCCATATAACTACAATTATTGAGTTGGATCCATAAGAACTCTATTCGAAACTTTACTCAACAATTATAAGGAAATGGAAATACGCTACTCCGTACAGTAGAAAATAACAATTAGCCAATTCTACGGTTGTCTTGGCACTTTATAAATTGGGCTTTTGGTAATCTCAGGTACACACTATAATCTCCCATTGGGGCCAATCGCAGCGGTCTAGATGAGACCAGCAGACCGGAGCAAATCCTTCCGGTGCAGCCAAATTCGGATATCCTTGCCCTTAAGATAAAATGGGATATAGGCTAAGTAGACCGCCAAATTGATAGCGGCTACCGTCATAAAGACACTTATCACACCACTAGCAGTAATGAAGTCGTTAATCACCCAGGTCCAAATCCATGCAATACAGCTTTTTAGAGCAGCAATTGTGACCATGATCTCGACAGATAGCTGAAAAGCAGGAAAATTAGCAAGTGGGCCATGATATTTCGTTGACAGGGATTCAAGTTGGAAAGACAAAAACCCGTACCTCTTTGTGGCAATCCAGCGCATAGTTCATTCCTAGCGTGGTTCCCATTTGACTTCCCACTGAAAGTATACCGGCTCCCACAAGAGGCATTGCCCAATGCATTTGGCGCTCGTAGGAAAGACCAAACCATAATGCCCCGAAGAATGTGAAAAACGCCGCTAGCAAACAAGTGGGCAGTCGCATCTCGGGCTCGCGAATACCGTTGTTGCGCTTAGTAAAGAACGTTGCTACCCAGTCACCTCCTGGTCCAGAGAAAAAGACACCAAAGAGTGATCCGATAAATGGTGAGAGGAAGAAAAGCCCCTGGGCGTTAGAATTGAATCCATATGGAGGTGGTGTGAACAGTTGTGCTACAGAGGCACCGAGGATGACGTTCCAGCTGAGAGCCATTCCGTAAATCAAACATGACCAGACCACGGTGGGATAGGCAAGAAGCACGAACGGACGAAAGAAAACGTGAAGAAGATTCACGTTCGGATCTCCACTATTCCAGAACTTGAGTTCTTCCACAAAAGTCTTCTTGGGAACGGGGCTTAATTCTTCGACCACTACCTGGTCTTTCAAGTCGGACTCTTCGCCTGCTCGGCTTGCTTGGAATGGCTCAGGACGAGGTCCGGTAAACTTGGTCTCTGGCATGAAGAAGAACATGCAGATGATGTTGGCACCAACAAACATAGTCACAATCCAAAATGCCCAACTCATTCCAAGCGCCTGCACAATAAATCCCGAAAACATGGGCCCCAACTCATTGCCTCCAAGAACAGACAGACCGTAGATTGCCACAAGTTCGCCGCGGTTATGTAGGAAGAACATGTCAGTTACTGTAGATGGAACAATCGACTCGATCGGTGCCTGGAACGCGCCAAGAAAGGCACGTCCGACGAGAAACACGGTATAGGTTTTGTCCGATGCGATGGCGAGCCAGATACAAGCGATGGCCATGAGGATATTTGAGATGAGGTAGACCGGCCTGCGGCCATACTTCACGGCGAATGGCATCCATACAAAGTTCCATACACCTTGGTTGATCAAACAAGCACCATTCGCGTATGTCAATTCTTGGAGGGACTTGTCGAAGGTGACGGACAGTTGGTTCATGCCTGTGTCACTGATGAGAATTATGGCTCGAAAGAAAGATGGTATACACATACCAGCCGCCATGATGGGGCCTGTGATAGCTCCCATAAATGCAAACCAACAGCCATTGAAGAATGTCAGACTTTTCTTCGTGGTCGACCAGTTCAAAGGATCATTCGGGTCGTTGATTGAGGGCTGTGGGACTAGAAGCATGTGGCCATCTCCAGTTGAACGATGCTTCAGCTGGTGGAGCCGATCGGGGAGACTCCCATTTTCGCTGTTGTCAAACAATATCTCCGTTCCAGGTGCGTCGTGGAAAGTCTCTCCGACTCTATCGTTAGACTCGTGAGGTGGGTTTTCCGACATCGAGAAGATGCTCGTATAAATCCTCCAGGAAAAGCTCGAAAAAGATTAATGATGGGTGTTAGAAACAAACAGAAAAGGATGACTTTGAACACTATGTAGATCAGGTTTAGGTAGAGGCCTCCTTTTAATATATCAATAAGTATGGAAACTAGCTATTCCCCTTTGAATCCCAACCCAAGCCAATGCGAGTAAGTCGGGAAATCCGGAGAGTTTTTTTTAATTCTTTTTTTTCAATTCTTCTTTTACTCGACTGCATACATCCCTGTATTCTTGGCGGCCAATGATAAGTTCAAACGCAAATCATCAATTCCCTATCCAGGGATGTAGGTTGCCGTCGCAATAACGAGGTACGTGCGTGTTTAGAAGGACTAGTTCCCCTCAATGGCCCCGCAAACAATGGGCATTTCCCATGGAGGATCGAATCTTTAGTCTACGTGGCCCTGAATTTCATTGGAATATTCCAAGACTTTGTTTGAGTGTGCCATAAACTGTGACCTCGGAGCCGAGTACGTAGATGCATTAGCTTTGGACAGGTCCACTTATGCACAAACACCCAAAGTTCCTATCTTGATTCCCTTGGAAGTAAAATTATTCGTTCTCTTTAGATACTGAAGTCGATTTGGTGACCTGTTCTACACTGGGAGCTCTTGTCTACGAATTGTATCTAACTTAAGTCACGGCAGATTCAAACCTTGAAGTTCACTCCCCGGACAACCTTCTCGAATTGACCTGGGCCAAATTTTGGAATTACTTGGAAACACATCATGGCACCCTCGCTAGACTTTGCGTCCCATAATTCCGGAGGATCTCGCAGTCTACCGAATAACGTTCCAGTACTTATTGTCGGCGGAGGTCCGACAGGTCTCTTGCAGGCACTTCTTCTGTCTCGTCTGGGAGGTACATTGTTTCTGGACACATTGACGACACATTGACGAGCAGCTTTCGTTGACGTATTCATGCAGTACCATCATTGATAATTGAGCGTTATCCTGAGCGTTTGGCAGCCCCTAAGGCACATGCGATTAACCCCCGCTCTCTGGAGATTTTGCGACAGTATGGACTCGGGGAGAAGCGCATTCGTCAGTTGGGCACTTCACGCGATGATAGTTCCTGGGTTAACTTCGTTACCAATCTTTCTGGAGACTCGATTGGGAGGCTTCCGTATGAGCGCATGGATCCTGCAGTCTTGGATGATACTCCAGAGGTAATTTTGGCCGCCGGTAGGAAAGGCTCATTGCAATGTTGTATTAATTGATTCAAACAGATGATTCACAATATTCCTCAACCGGTCTTAGAGCAGGAGTTGACCAACTATATCGATAACGATCCCAACATTACCTTACTGAAGGGATTTAGCATTCATGCTGTAAAGCAGGTGAGTCGACTTTCACTTACTGCTACTACACAAATCAAGGAATGAAGAGTTTAACCAAAGCCCTGGGCCAGACTGAACGCGAAGTTCTGGCGACGATTGAGGACCGGTCAACCGGACAGCTCCACCAGACAAAGTCACGACATCTCATAGCCTGCGATGGTCGCAAAAGCAAAGTCCGCGAGCTTCTCGGAATCGAGTCTGAGAGCGAAGACTCAGATCAAACTATGATGACAATTCACTTCAATGCCAATTTGCGACCCGTTGTTGGTGATCGCGTCGGTATGCTGTACTGGATCATGGACCCAATAGCCGCAGGTTTCATTATCGGATATGACCTTGATGGAACACAGGTACACATCAGCCAGGTGGATGTTAATCAACACCCAGTTGAGTCGTGGACGGAAGACATGTGCAGATCCAAGATCCGTGGGGCTATTGGAAAGGATGACGTTCCGTTCGATATCCTCAGCTTCCGACCTTGGGTATTTCGGCGGCAGGTTGCGGTCACTTTTCAAGAGGGGAATATCTTTCTGTGGGTTGTTTAGAATGAAAATTGACGACTTGAATGAGACTAACTAATGTTTTCGTTCCTAGTGCTGGAGACGCCGCTCACTCCTTTCCGCCAACTGGTGGGCTTGGTCTGAACTGTGGTCTCGCAGATGTCCACAACTTGGCATATAAAATTGCCTTGGTTCATCAAGAGGTGGCAAATCCGTCAATACTCTCAGCATACACAGCCGAAAGGCGCAGTGTTGCTGATTCCTATTCCAAGCAAAGTGTCAAAAACGGCAAGGAAATATTTGCCCTGTTGCAAAGCCTAAAGACTGCCGGTGTTGAGGATGTTGCACAAGCACGGAGAAATATGATTGAGGCGTTGGCAGATCCAGCTCAACATGCAAAGGTTGTGGCAGGTATTGAAGGTCAACGAGAGCATTTCGACAATGTAAGTGATATGCGTTAATATCTCTCCTGGGCTTATGGAAGGTTCTTTTTGACCTTGTTGATTTTAGCTGGAGCTTCACATTGGATATGTGTATGGTGCGAGTAAACCACCTCCTCATGCCTCATACTACTCTCCAAAGTTTGTCCCGGGGGCCCGCTTGCCTCATGCTTGGATCAAAATTGTTGAGCAGCCTTCACTAATAAAGAGGACGGGCAAGCATTCTTCGATTCCTCATGAGCCTGTCGATGTGTCTTACATCAAAGAGCTCGATGCGAATAAGATCAAGACATGCCAGTGGAGTACTCTCGATCTCTGTGGGCCTGACTCGTGGACGGTAATACTTGGACGGGATCACACAGGCTCACATGTTTCACAGTTCAAGCAACACTGCGACGCTATTCATGTTCGTCTCAATGTTTGGTGTCTTGGTGCGGATTTTGAGCTAGTTCAAAAAAACTGGTTTGAAGATGAGGCCCTCAATAATGGAGGACTCTTGGTTCGCCCTGATCAACATATCCTGACAAGGTTTACTATTTACACAAGGGGAGAAGAGCTATTTACGGAGCTGAAGAGACATATTGGGCTTTGAAAGAATTAGATTAGAGGAGATGGCATTTAGAATTGCTGTTCGAATTCTCGAAATTTTCCTCCAGCTCCCACGGCATTTCTCACCTTGACCCATTCTGCTTGTTCTTGGGCCTCTCCTCCCCACTGAATTAGATAATCTGGTTTGCTTTCGTTCGTAGCTCAAAGTAACGTCGATCTGTGAAGAGACGACGTTCGATCCCGCAACGACGACGCCTGCGCGAAACCGTCATTTTTTCATAGTTGATTTTGCGATGACCATGTTGTATTCGGTTGCAAGAGCCATCCGCCACTGTTTCTCACGCCCGTTAGCATTTGCACGTCTTTCCAAACGAGACAGGTCTGCACATTGTTTGGTCCCAATTGCAAGGTAGATGAATTATAACCTGATAGGAGAGCACGCAGTAATTGGCTTTCTGAGACGCCAATAGTGGCTCTCACTACACAGAACAGCGAGGTTGAAAGTAGATTATAATGGCCTAGGATGGCGTGAATCTTAGGGTGGAACTCTTTGGTGCGGTCCTTTTGAGCGGAAAGCTATGCAACGTGAATCAGCCTGGGAGTGGTTTATGGCAAAACCATGCTTTGGAATGAATCTGCTTGGTGATTGTACTCCTCGATGGTCATTGTTATAAGGTCGAAAGTTTCTCGGGTGTTGTTGCGTAGGGAGCGGGATTGCCAGAGGAAGTGAAGTGAATGAAGGCTAGGTCACTGAGGTAGATCTCAGAAAGCAAAATGATGTTTGGAGTGTACAATGTCCTAAAGCGGGACTATAGTTACGCTGTATGAGTACATATAATTTCAACCTTGCTAGGTCTGGTAATTTAGCCGATAGAGTGTGGTATACCCAATTTTCCACTGCCAAATCTGATTACTTTCCAACGGGGACCTATCTTGTTGGCGAAACGCTACTTTAGCTTCAACTTATCGGTTCCTACGAGAAACCATACTTTTCGTCAGGCGAGTATAGGTAAATTTTTGTTAAAGCGGCTTATTGACATTCCATAGATTAAAATCCCAGCAAGCCCTCATCGGCATGATCTGTTTCAAAATCAAAGCGAACCAGGTCCTCCTTGTAGGGAATGAAGTATGTGCTCGTCACCCTAGGAAACACGAATCTTAGTTAGTGTTCCAGTTGTCAAAATACCACAGTAACGGCAATATATATAGACAACTAACTCACCTTTCATGCTCACTACTGGCTTGATACTCGGCCAGCGCAGCCCGATCTTCATGGTAGCTGACCAGAGCATACTGGAAGCCTTTGCTTTTTTCGATTGGGACGGTAATTGAGGGTCCTCCAACAACAAGCCTTTGGCTTTTAACGCAGGGTAGATTCTTCAGAGTCTTGATTTGTGCAAGAAATTCCTGCCTCACTTTATCCCCAACATCTGCGCGAAACTTGAACAGGACTATCGGAGTGTTAGTTGATTATATAGATGATTCTTGAGAACAGATTATACCAATGTGAATGAGAGTCATTATGAGAATCAAACTTTAGGTAGTAGATTTAAGTGAATTGAGAAGAAGTTGTACGGCCTCAGAGTCCGGATTGTAGTTCCCTTTTAAATGACGCGCCCAACGGATGTCTTCCGTGCGCCAAGATCAGAGAGTTACCAACACGATTTACCAAATCTGAGTAAAAGTTGTTATATACTCTAGAATTAGCCCGAGAATACAGAGAGGAAAGTATTGGCATTATAGTAAATCGAAGAGAGTTTTGCCATTCAAGTGAGGCATCATCGATGAAAATTGATGTACTTAAGTGGTGGTCAAGTTCTAGACGGAAGCTTCCCGTCTCCACCAAATCCTTTTTCTCTGTACCTCCTGGATTTTCTTCTTCCCAAACAGACAGACCCTTGTGATTCTCAATTTCGCTGCTTTGGAGGTTTACTACTTGGAGCGCTTTTTTGACACTTCAATCTCACACTTGCTCCTGTCCAGCAGGCAAGATTCACCGCCTCTACCCATGGACTCTCCACGCCGGTCTCGGAATCGCGCCGCGTGTCGAAGATGTCAAAGACGGAAGATCCGCTGTGACGGGGATCTCCCCCAGTGCGCATCCTGCAGAAAGGCGAATGTCGCCTGTCTGAATGAGGGCAAGCAAGAAGTGAACCGAACGTATGTAACACTTTTAGGCGCATCGAGCTTCCCTCCTCCTGTGTCTTTTTTGCTTGTCCCTCTTCAGCCTATCACCACCAAGTAGTACTAATAGTATGCTAGATATATTGCGACTCTTCTGAAAAGAGTGCAATGGCTAGAATCCTTAATCAAGGAACATGATTCGACAGTACGGCTAGATGATGGCCCGCAAGCTGACTTGTCAGATACCATCTCACTATTAGAGCCTACACAAGGAGAGTCCCAACTAGATCCTGTCATTCTGGAGGCTGCTCGCGCTGTTCCATCTACCATACCACACGACGAGCAATCGTCGGAGCCCAGAGAACTTGAATCATCTCGTACACAATCAAGACCGGCTCATGAAATCGGCCTGGTCTCTCTTTCTTCTGGGGGCGAGCCGAGATATATAGGCCCTTCAAGCGGATACTTCCTGGCAAATCTAGTCTTTTCGAATGCTGGTCGTCGTGCGGGACTATCGGGCAACAATGCGTCAGGAAATCATGGAAATTCCGACCGGCCCATGTCTCTATCTTCGGAATTTTTCAATAGCCCAGCACCACTTCCGAGTCGCAAGGCAGATGCCATTGAACTCACCTCAAAATTTTTCACTTCCGTTCATCTGATATACCCGTTTCTACATGAGCCTTCCCACATGGCAAGACTTGAAAGGTTGTATTGTTCAACTAATTACGACTCGATTGACGCCTTCCACGTCTTCATGGTACTCGCGATAGCAGCCTCGGATCTTTCCCGACGAATTCGAATTCCTCTTTCAGCTGAGGGATATTATACGGCAGCCACGCAGCACTTCGAGCGTGCATACGCTGAAGGGTCTTTAGAGGGACTCCAAAGCCTGCTGCTACTAATGGTCTATGGGCTTCATAATCCATCATGCGACATCAATGTGTGGAGCTTGAATTATCAATGCTTAGGTACATTGATTGACCTGGGCTTACAGCGTGACGTTCGCACATCATCAGCATTCCCCATCTCCTTTCTGGAGCAAGAGATGAGAACTCGCATCTTCTGGGTGGTATACAGCTTCGATCGAACATTGGGAACTATGATGGGTCGACCTATCGGAGTGAGAGATGAAGCGTGCGAGCTTAGGGTAAGTAGCTATGCTGGCTAGCCATATAAAACAACCTTGGGAGCATTCGCTGACAGCATCTCCAGCTCCCTTCCAATGTCTCAGACAGTGATCTTCTTGAGCAAACAACTGTGGAAGGATCTACGCATAGATCAACATCTCATATGACATTTTCGATTCATCTCTTCAAGCTCGCACGGATCAATTCCGAAATCAAATATGTCATGCACAGCATTTGCAGGGACGCTCCGCAATATGCCTATCCTCCCGTTGTCGATATCCACTCATGGCAAAAGGACATGATTGACCGTTTGCAGTCATGGCTTGCAGATATTCCCATTACGCCCTCAAATGAGGTGATCTCGAAAGTCTGCGAAACCAAATATCACGAAATGATGATCCTGATTCTCCGGCCCAGCCCGGGAATCCCTGATCCATCAGAAGAGATGCTCGGTCGATGCTTTCAGCATGCCGTAGATCTCCTCCGCGGATTTGGACAGCTGTACCGCCAGGAAGCTCTTTTATACAGTAGACTCATTGTTCACTCAATCTTTTTGAGCACGCTCATCATGCTTCATTGCTTGTGGAGACTGCCACATGTTGCATCCGAGGTGCAGATAGATGAAGTGGTAGCTGACACGAGCATCAGTCTGAATGTTCTAAGCAGCATCGGAGAGTACTGGACTGAGGCTAAGCGGGCACGGGATTGTATCCATGAGTTGTCTGGTGCCACTGTCCAGAGGCTCGTCAAGATGCGAAGCTTGGAGGTCTCTTCAAATCCAATTCGAAAAGGCAAGAATCACGCAAATTCTGGCACTAGAAGAGCCCGAAGGCCACAAACTACAAATATACAGACTACAAATGAAGCAATGGAGGCAACTCCTGCTCCTCGTCCTCATTCTGGTGTTGAGGACGTACCAGAAAATCCCTACATGGATGATTACGACTCCAACGTTGAGTCAATGAGCTGGCTCAACGATCCCATGCCAGGAGGCTTCATGGACTTCAGCGGCGCTCCAGACTTTGATACTCTGATGTGGGAAGTCTTCAACGCCAGCTCGGGATAGTTGTCTCTCTCATTTGAAAGATTATCCAAGTATATTTCACATTTCTCGGGTTTGAAACCACAAAGCTATCATCAAACAAGTTAAACGGCTTCAAAGGTGACTTGTAAAGAAGTCTCGACATCAATCTCTTGGGGTGTAAGGTCTAGCGCGAGAGGCTCACTGCGACTGTCGTCGCTAAAATCAGCAGCAGCCATCATGTACCTCCTCATGGGTGGAGAAGAGTATCCTGCGTCAAAGATTTCCACTACACCGACATTCCGACCAAGAACCTCGGAAAGATCGTCCGCTTGCTGAATGGCATCGCGCAATGCCAGCTTCCGCGTTTCGGACGAAAGCTTTTTTCCAGTCTCGTCGGTGAGACTCCAGTCAATCGACTTGATCTCTACTTTGGGAATAGCTAGCAATCCGCTGACAGCTTTTCCCATGGCTTCGAATTCGTGGAAGACAGCTGTAAATGATATAGTAGCATGGTGTGGGTCTGCCACGGGCTTATCATCCTCATCCTTCGGCTTTGACCAGGCTTTGATGTTTGAGGTCCAGAACTTTTTCACAGGGGGCTCGGCGAAGTCTCCATCATGCAACCGGAATCTTTGAAACCATAGTTGAAGGTCTCTAGCTGCTGCAGTCACATCCCTAGCAACGGCGTTTTGCTCTGGGCCTTGTGCTTTGACTGAAAACTTGAGGGTGCATAGCTCTGGAGCGTGGCTGACGGATGATTTGCCGGTAACGTTGATTTTGAGCGGAGGCATGATGATTTGGAGATGGGCTTGGAAATAATTTGACAATAAAATCACAGAATATTCCTCTTTACTTATAGGAAGAGCTGACAGGCAGCAGCCAGCAGATCTGCACTCTAGCGCTAAGATTTAAGACACCCCCACCTCACTTCGCACAGCCCTGCCACTTTTGTGGCGCAGTTTTAATTGCATGTACATACCTAGGTATTCTCTCCCAGTGGCGGCTTTAGACTATGTTTAAATGTTTCTCGGGAATCTTTAATATGATTAATAGAAGTATGCAAAGTGGATAGCGGCCAGGGGTCAAATGCATTTATATCATAAGGTTGATGCCTGAAGATGCCTTATTTTGGACATAAATTACTACCTAGGTAGTATAACGCCCGAATAGCATGATACTTGGTATTGTTGGAGAGAATATCAAGAATCCCGTCATTGTAGATATTAAGATTAATAAACAGAGGCATTTCATAGAAAGGAATAGATTTGACTTCTGAAAGAGATGTACCTTGGTAAACAGAGCTATCAGTCATGATTGAATATAACTATTATGGATGGAAATGTTTGAATATGATATAAAGTAGTCTACAGAGCGGTTTATAATAGGAATAGGGCATCTTCAGATATCAATACTGGCGATAGAATCCCTATACGCCTTTCATTTGTCAAGTTTTGCTCCTTGACAAAATATTGTGAAAAAGAACCCGTTATGGTGAAGGCACGAACATCTGGTGCCATATTGTTCGGATCCGATCTGCGTTCCAACTTCTGGATAATGGTCTTACGAGCGTTAGGCTATGCAGTCTGCTTTGTTCTAATTGCTGGTCGGCATTTGCCAGCCGCTCTTAACGATGCTCCTTTCTCACTAGACGGAACCTCCCCTATGAGCAGCCGATGTTTCCCAACAGGGTACTATCTAACACGCCACCTGCCATGCGTGAAGACTTTCGTCGGCTTTTTGAATTACTGAGGAGCAATGTCACTGCTCTCAACAATCGCCTCTCCGCTGCAATTGCCGTATCTACTGACGAGCGCTGTGGACCAATTCAACGTGGATCCAAAATTGATAAAAGTCTTCACCGAGAACTTGGTTTTTTTGGCATGATATGTAGCTTTACTTTGTAAGCCAAACGTCGAGTAAACTTATAGGTCAGATCTCCTAGTACCATGCTCTTATCACACTCTACGGAAAGATGGTCTTCCGCAGAAACTACAGAAAGAAACTGCAGAAGACAGAGATCGTATTGGAGTGGTGTCTTCAAAATTTCCCACTAATCATCAATGATGATACCTGTAATTTGAATAGCGATATGTCTTTGCGGCAGTGCTTCACGCCCGGGTATCTGCTCCCGAATCGGGTTTAGCGGGATGGTATCACTCGGCAAACACTCTTCGGTGATCGGCAAAGATTCCTCCGCTATCCTCCGCCAACATCACCCATGGCGAGAACGCGAATTTCTGAGACGCAGCGTCGAGCGCGTGCTGTATGTATTCGTTGTCATAGTCGCAAGGTTAGTCTTGGCTTCCACCCTAAATTCATAAATTGTTAACATGGAATGCAGGTAAAATGTGATTTGGAGGATCGACCAGGCGGGATCTGCACCCGCTGTCAACATGAAGGTCGCGAATGTCAGCCTCACATTGGACCGCGAAAGCAGAAGGCCATTCGCTCCTCGCTAGCTGGATCAAATTTTGGCGCTTCCTCTCCAATTCGGACTGTGCCAACTACAGTACAAGAGGGCACACCACAGCAGACGCCGTCATCCTCATTCAGTGTTCTTGGGAATCAACCTCCAAACTGCTCAAGTGCAATCAACGGGGTTGCTCATCCTAAACAACCAACTTATGTAGAAGGAAGTGAGCTCATTCTAGACATAAGTCGAGCATGTCTTCTTCCGCCCCCGATCATCGCCCAAGCTTTGGCTGATTTCTACTTTCGTGAACTTTTCTTTTTTGTGCCGGTCTTCGACCGTGGACAACCGGAATTATCAACATCTCCATTGTTACAACAAACTCTGTGTTTTGCTGGAAGCACCATGCGTAGAGCAACAGGTCCATCAGCGGAATGGTCCGCACACTCGATTTATGGGCGGATCAAAACGTTGCTGTTTCTTCACCATGACCCGAGCCCCTTCCATATGCTAGTCACTCTTTGTGTCCTTGGGACCTGGCTTCCATACACTCCTGATGCCGTCGTATTGGACAATCCATGGCAGTGGACTGGTATGGCAATCAGACTTGGTATCCAGTTACACCTTCATGAAAACGAGGCGTACCGCTCACTAACCCATCCTGGGAGATTGCGAAGAGTGTGGTGGTATCTCTTTATAAATGATACCCTGCAAATGTCATGCTGTGGGCGTCCCGGGATGTTCCCCTTGGAGGAGACCACTGTCCCACTGCCCGAACAAACTGATTTCGAGAGTCCTGGTATTGAGTCTGCATCTTTTTGTGCGTTGGCTAGTCTATGCACTCATCTGAGAAGAGTTATAGACCTTGGAAGGAACCAGTCCACGCCACAAGACGAAGCCTATTCGGGCCTTGAAATATTGATGACGTGGAGAGAACATTTGCCCTTTGAATTAAGATTATTTGACATGGAAGCCAGACAAGCTTACAATCGCCCCATTGTCGAGCTCTACATATTCTACCTAGTGACTATCATCTTGACCTGCTCGCTTGGCCGCCGCGATAATTCTCCATGTCTCAAGTACGTTTCAATGGTTGCCTCGTCTTGCATCTCTCGGCTGTACGAAGAGATTCTATACCACGAGGAAGTACAATACCTACTCCCGATCCACTCATGGGCAAACCTAGTGGCTGCAATCCCCCGAGCTTTCAGTGACAGTGATATCCTGAACCCCAATCGGGCATATGAACTCAAAATCAGTTATCAGGTGCTTGAAAAAATGAGTGAGAAACATACGTCCGCTGTCATGGTACAGGGCAAGATCAGCGGTCTTGGCAGCCTCGGTGCGAGCTTATTTCCTCACGCTGATAATATGGGGTCTAGGCTGGACGGAAGGATAAAGAATATGGCACTTTTGTTCCCTTTCCCTTCCAGCTTTTGTTCAATGCTCGAATTGTTGCAATCTGCTGAAAATAGCGGAAGTCAAGTATCCAACACTCTTCCTGCACTGTCTACGGATAACATTGATGGACAAGATTGGCCTGTAGATTGGTCTTTCTTCTTATTTGATTCAAGTATGACCTTTTGATATAATCGAATGCCAGAAATTATGAGCAAACTTACATTTTTGATAAGTGACGATTCACGCGCACATTTTTGAAGATAGAAAAAACCAGAGCTAACCACCTGTCTTCCTTGATGTGGGCCACGGTCACAAATTCCTCCGACGGTCGAACTTGTTCATCTGGCGCCTTCGGCTATCTTTCGGGCTATCTGTGGTAATAGCCGAGTCGCCACAAGTTTCTACGGATTTCCGTCAATGTATTTAATCTGGCTTTGGTTCCTCCTAAGCCTGTTCATCATTAGATTCGCTTCAAATTTTATATACAAGATGTCAACCAATTCAATTGGACATGTGCAGTTAGAGTTTATGACAACTGGGACGGTGCGGATCCGGCCCTCAATGCGTTCACAACCTCTCAGCAAAATTGGCCTTTTTCGACGCATTCGATCGTTCCTTGACAGGGAATGGACTGATCCAATTCCAGTTGGAGTGTTCCTCATTCGCCATCCTGAAGGCCTCTTCCTCATGGACACTGGGCAATCCCCGCGTTGCAACGACGCAGGATATCTCCCAAGAGGCGCTTTCCTCAGTGGCTTGTTGACTCAATTCACCATTGAACATCACGACGGAATTCTCGAGCAGCTCCACAAACGCGGCATTAAAGCAACCGATCTGAAAGCTGTCATTCTGAGTCACCTCCATAACGATCATGCAGGTGGCTTGGAAGACTTAGTTGTCGAAGCACCCGATCTCCCTATCTATGTCAGCCGCGAACACTGGAAGGCTTTTGGAGAACATCCTTTCTTTGCAAGCATTGAAGGTGCCACTCCCAATCATTGGCCGAAGAACTTCTCGCCAATGGTGTTTGATTTTCAGGACAGGCCCCTTGGGCCTTGGAAGCAGTCATTTCCTGTGACAGAAGATGGAAGAATTGCCATTGTTGATACATCAGGACATGTTCCCGGGCATGTCAGTGTGGTGATTTATGGGAACGATGGACCTGAGCAAGCCCAGGTCACATACCTTCTCTCTGGAGACGCAACATACGCCTTGGACCTTCTGGATAAGGAGCAACCTGATGGTATCAATGATGATCCCATGCGCGCGTTCCAGACTCTGCAAACTATCAACAAGTTTGCCAGGGAGACTGATGTGGTAGTCTTGCCTAGTCATGATACCAACACTCCTCGTTTGCTTGATGAACGAGTGGTCTATAAACCTTCTGGCAGGAAGTAATCTTGTTTGAGAAATTTGTATCATACTGCTTATTTACAGATATATTGGTTGCCGTTTGTAATTATTTGAATAATACTCCGCTTTACATTGCAAAACTGTTGTACCTTCCGTCTATCCCTTTCTTCATCTTCAAACCAACCCATGGATGTATATACCAAAATAAGCTACATGTGTATACTCAGAAACAATGTGCTGGCATACAGGTCTCTTCATCCTTCATCTCCACCCATTTCCAGCAGGCTTCCCACAGAGCCTCGCGCTTTGCCTGGTCTTCACTGGCACGAGCAGGAGGCTGGACCTTTCTTCCATTGAAATGGCCTCTCGTTGAATTATACTCGGGGTCCAAAGCAAGTGCCAGAACGTCCCTAGCCGAGTCCGCATTTGAGCGCAGTTTGTGGGTAAAAAGTTTGATAATAGGAAGCAGAATTGCAAACAATCCGAACAAAATCCGGTTGATTGAACGCTGAGCAGTATGCGCCCGGGAGGCAACAAGACCACCTGGATCCATAGCAGTCACCGTAATCTTGTTGAATTGGGGGTTCTAAGTACGGAGTCAGCAACATCTTTGCTGATTAAATCAGAATTGATACATGCCTGCTGTAGGCGCTGGTTCAAACTTTGCATAAACATGACATTGGCCAGTTTGCTGTTTGCGTATCTTCGCCAGCCCATATCATGTTCGGTTCCGGTTTCATCTGGACCGGGCTTGATCAGTTCATCAAGTTCATCATTGGCAGGAAGTTTTGCCCCCAGTTTAGATAAGGGATTGGTATGTTCAGGATCGTGAACTTCAGAGCTCAACATGACTATGCGACCTTTTTCTCGATCCATGCTTCTCACGAGTGTCAGAACTAGCAGAAAATGCGCAAGATGATTGACCTGGAATGTCGACTCCAGGCGATCATTGGAAAACTTTTGGCCATTCAAAGACCACGTAAACGCATTGCAAATGATGGCGACAATCGGGGGAAGCTCTTTGGATTCCACCAAACCGGCGATTTTATCTGCAAATTCCCGGACTTCTGAGATCGAGCTTAGATCCACGGTGTTGATCAGAAGCTTGCCGTTGGGAAACTGAGATCTCAGCTCGTCCAGTCGAAGCAGATAGGGGCTCTTTGGAGATTTTGTAGCATGTCGGACAGTTCCGACTATCGTCAAAGAGGAATGCGACGATAGAAGTTGCTGTATGGCTTCGATGGCGAGAGATCCGGTTGCACCGGTGATTACCACTGTTCCTGTCATAAATGATTGCGATATGAGACTTTGGGGTTGGTTCAGGGGTGAAACTATTCATTCTAGTGTCTTGTGGCAAAGGATTTACCTAGGTAGGGACATAAATGGACTGACATATGTGTTTGCCGAATCTTAACCGCAATAGCCGAATTTTGAATGTATGCCGAAGCTGGTATGAAAACCACATTTAATCGTTACTACGGATGTGTATTTTGCGCCCTAATTGAAAGAAGCGAAATTTCTCTTCGCGTTGCAAAATTCTCCCCATGACCAAGGCGGGAGAACCACTGGCTGGTGTCCAGTCTGTAATTGAAGGTAAGAAAGTTGGAGGATCACAGATGTTGAGTAGAAGGATTTGGGAAGCCGCCCTAGATAAACAATGGAAGCATTTTCAACTTTTCAGTAAGTATTTTAGGCAAAAATTAGCTGCTTAAACGTTTGTCGGATTCCTTAAATTGCCAATGCGCTATTGACGTGAGATGTCAGATGAAGCTCGCACTAAGGAGTGATAAACAAAGCTCTTCGTTATTAGGAAATAATATGTAGTCACACTGCAAAAGTGTTGACACCCCAATCGAGATTCTGCCGGTAATTTCATTCATTCTCCACCAATCGCAATTTGATGGCGGTATACGCGTATCGGAAAGCGGTATACATAGGGGTGCTAACACTTTTGCCGAGTCACTGTATTTGCAGTCTCGATTACCAGTCGTCTAGCCCCTGGGCTAGACTTTTCAATCGCTTGGCAGAGATAATATATCTCCGCAATCCGGTAGATACTGATGTATAGCTGCTTGTTGTAAGCGAGATGGAGACACAGTTGAGCAGAATCAAGCTATTTGAATCATACTAATTCTTAATTTTCACTTGGCGTCAAGGGAGACAACATCAAATTTGCCGAGCTTCCGTCGATGTTCCATCTAGGTGAAACAAGTTGGCGACAACTGCCCCTAGACTAGCGCCCTTTCTGACTGCAATCCACCATCTAGATATCGCCCAACCTCCGTGTAATTTACCGACCACACCACCGGTCAAAACATCTAATAATCCACCAATATGCTGACGCGTCAAAGATCAAGACTAGCGGATCATTCACTCTACAGCGCTCTGCTCCTAATCTGACTACTCCTAATTTGATCAGACTCAGGTGGGGTCGGGTCTACCAATGTGAAAACTCCAAAGCCTTCTATAAAACACCTGTCTTGGCCCATTGCTTAGCCTGTCATCTAGGTCACTCTTTTACTTTCATTCACTTGTTTTCAATTTCATTCTTTTTTAACCCTTCAATTCTTCAAAATGCGCTGCGCGCTTTTGCTTGCTCTTTTGCCCCTGGCTTTGGGCTGTGATAATCCTGCCAACGATGCTTGTGCTGCCGCATACACTGCGTCTAGATCTGCTGCCGATGCGTTTTGTGCCACTTTCACTACTAGTACAGTGACGGCTACTACGGGCCTGCCTGCCTTTGCTTCGGCTTGTAATTATAACACAAAGCACCTTTCCAGTGCTTGCAGTTGTATTGACACTGCCTGGGCTACTGCTGCTGCGGTGGTCTCCAGCCAGTCTATCGCTACTAGCGATGCCATTACTACCAGTGATAATGTCGCCACTACTGCCCCTGCAGTAGTGACTACCACTCCTACCACCCTCGTTACAGCCACCCGTGCCGCTTCCAGCTCGTCTTCCTCCACTCTAGCTCAGGCTTCTGTCACTACCGCACCTACCGTTGCCGACTCAGTCACTGAGGCTGCTGGAACAGGCTCTACCTGCGTGGTGACGGCTTACGCTTCCATATCCTCTGCCGTCAAGTCTTGCACCAACATTGTGCTTTCCAACATTTCTGCCCCTCCTTCCAGCACTATTGACTTGCAAAGTCTCCAGACTGGCGCTACTGTCACCTTTGCTGGCACCACGGTAAGATACAATGGTTGTTTCTCGCGCCTAACGTACTAATTTATGGTAGACATTCGGAGATACCTATGATGATGATTTTGATCCTATTGTCATTTCCGGTCACGACATCACCATTACCGGTGCTTCCGGTCATGTTATTGAGGGCAACGGTGAGGCTTACTGGGATGGTGAGGGATCCAACGGTGGTCAGGACAAGTAAGTTTCCCGAGTGATTAAATTTCATCAATTAACAATTTTCCCAGGCCCAATCACTTCATCGTACTGAAGAAGCTCTATAACTCCCAGGTCACCAACCTCAACATCAAGAACTGGCCCGTTCACTGCTTCTACATTAGCGGAGCTCAGCATCTCACCGTTTCTGGCCTTACCCTGGACAACTCTGATGGCGACGAGCCCAACTCCGCCAGTGGTGATGACCCAGCTGCGCACAACTCTGATGGTTTCGATATATCTTCCAGTGACTATGTTACTCTGGAGAATATCGTTGTGTACAACCAGGATGACTGTGTTGCTGTTACCAGTGGAACCCAGATCGTGATCGACAATGTGTACTGTTCCGGTGGTCATGGCCTAAGCATTGGCTCCATCGGTGGCAAGAGCAACAACACTGTTGATACTGTCACCTTCAAGAATTCCCAGGTTGTCAACAGCGAGAACGGTTGCCGTATTAAGAGTAACTCTGACACGACTGGTAGTGTAAGCTTATCAACTTCCTTTCTCGTCATTTCCCCTTTACATGAACAAAACTAATATCCTCTACAGGTCAGCAATATTGTCTACCAAAACATCACTATGTCTGGCATCTCCGACTACGGTATCGATATCCAGCAGGACTACCTCAACGGTGGCCCCACTGGAGAGCCCACCAACGGAGTCACTATCAGTGACGTTACTTTCACTGATGTGACTGGTACTGTTACTGACGATGCCTATAACTACTACATTCTCTGTGGTGATGGTAGCTGCTCTGGATTCACCTTCACTGATGTTTCGATCACCGGTGGTGGTGAGACCAGCAGCTGCAATTACCCTTCCAGTGGCTGCCCTTCTTAAATGGAATGGATGGAATGGATGAAAATCCAATTGGGTATATAGGGACTTGAATGTACAATATTCTCCAATCCACATATAGGCTACAGCTTGAACATACAATATTGGATTGACTCTAGTGTGCCCATTCAACCTATAAACTCAGGGCAGCTGATTTCGCGCCATTAGCTGTTCATATAAGGCAAACTTCTGCCGCTTAAATCTCCACGTTGCCATCATATTATTGGTGAAAGCCAACCCTCCCATGATCCCAAGCAGCATTATTCCAATCAGCGGCCCAAGTATCGAAAACACAGTAAACCCATAGGAGACCTTCTGGAACGGCGTATTTGTACCTAAACGAGTCGTAGCCAGTCCAACCTGCATCGCTGTCAACACCAACGCAACATAGATAGTCGCTGCGGTCAACGGAGTCAGGTAGTCATGGAACAGCTCGGCATACGTCTGGTACGTATACTGATAGGCACTCAGCACACTTCCATGCCGAATTGCATAGATTTTGTTCAGTCGCGACAGCCTCAGCTCGCCGAAAAAGTACCGCGAATTGATGTTTGCGGGGTTGGGGGCATCGCTCTTCAATAACTGGTGAACTAACTTGAGCCACATGTCCCAGGTTATGTTATTTGGTAGGAGCTTATATTCCCGAGCGATCGCAAAGTCGCTTTCAAACTGGATCAATGCGATGTATGAGCACAAGAAACCAAGGGCACATTGTCTGATGTTTTTTGAGCATGCTTGAGATGTTTGTGCAATGCGGTCACATGGCGATGCGCAGCAGGGGGCTTTGCAGGACAGATGATGCTCCCAGAACTCGGGGTCGAGCAGGTATCTTGGGACCGGTTTTAAGTGAATTCGCCGAGTATGCTCCCATACCATGTGCATGTCGATTCTTTCATCCACGGCTATCTCGCGGGAGGTTGCGAGTTGGTAGTTCAGGGGCTTGGGCGGCGTCGGCAGGCCGGCCAGCCACAGATATTGATCGATCTTGTTCAGTTTCCCTACACATAGATCCTTCTTGAGGAACCTTTGTATGTCCTCTAAGGGGTTGGCGAGTGTATGAACTGCTGTCCGAGCGGAGGCTGGGAGAAGTCGACCAGGGTCCAGTATGTTATCATCGAACACGTCTTTATTGAACGGTAGAGAGGACATTATATATTTTAATCTGTCGGACTTGTCACAGAAAGAGTGATCAAATGCTCTGGAAAACTTAGTGTGCTGACAGCTGGCTTGGCGAATTTGTGCGAGGTTAGCTACAATAGCTAGATAGGATTTCCCAGGCTGAGGGTTGTACCAAATTGCAGACTATTCCTCTCAATTTAATTCTCTATAATTGATATGCTTCTCATCGTCGTATTCAAGCTCACACAAACGTAGATATCCTGATATCCTGCGTATCCCAGCCGCAATAACCCCTCCCCACCCGACATCTCCAACCCTTAGTAAAAAGACCTAGATACTGATCGAACACCGGACTTTTCGCAAACATTTACATGCAAGCGAACACTCTACCACCGATCTCGCACACAGGTGATGTGAAAATGCGCTTGGTTGCCATCAACCCCTCCACCAAGTTTGGGTCCCAAACTGGATTTTGGTCTATTTCATCAAGACACTCGATCTCGATTGATATCTCCTGATACCTGCGTATGGTCTCAGTGGTTAAACTGTTTACCTGATATTCCCCGATGTCAAAAATCGTGTAGATATTTTCTACCATGGATCTGAGTCCTAAACCTGAATTAGTTTCACATCGTCAAGACCCTCAAATCTAACGTCATTTCACATCACCTGGGCGTGTGACTCAGTGGTAGAGTGTTCGCTGTTAGTAATCACCAAAACATTCTTTAATCATTTCATTGCTAATTCAGTCTTCAGTTGCATGCGAAAAGTCCGGTGTTCGATCCACCGCTCGTCCATTTCTTTTTTGTTTTTTTTTGGTGTGCACCAAAATGCCGATGGGCCGAGGAGATACCTCCGACGGATGTTGCTGATCACCACAACTCTAAAAATGTAATTACTGCTATCAAAAGAGCAGGCAAGCATGGACGGAGTGTTTCCCACTCTTCTAGTTTAGTCTTATTTTTATATCTTAAAAGGGCGTGAGTGGTGGCTACAAAATGGGAGGAAATTCCCGATCCATGACAAAGCTTGAGATTATAGTCGCTTTTTCGCACCTTTCTCGATTCTGTTTTGGGGCTTTTCGACTGATACCAATGAGCTTGTAGATAAATGATACGAAAATCTACCGCGTACGGGGTGGCCAAAGCAAATATCTCCAAGGAATACCTAGGTAGTATGCTAAGTATATGCACATATATATATATCTGGCTGTAGTTCACAATAACGACAATACTTACATTTTTGGTCTGTGCATAATCAAAGAAAGTCAAATTAAATCAAAAACCCAAATAACAGTCAGTTAACCTCCTGCTTCATTCAAGCCAAATCCCAAGGCCAGCATAGCTACACGAGGTCCGCGTCCCGAGGCTCACAGTACGACCACAAATCCATCCACTCCTTGCCAGATTTTGTTTCTACGCGTTCACACCAAAACTAGACGAGAAGAATATTACAATTTGCTCCAAGATACTTGAACTCCACATCACTTCTTGCAATGTCTACAAAGCCACCCCCAACAGACCTCCCAACACACTCATTCTCCACTACTAAGGAACTAGAAGCATTTTTCGAGCGCGAACATTCAACTCTACCTGGATTTCACCTAAAACTCGCAAAGAAAGCCTCTAAAATACAATCGGTGACCGCCGCAGAAGCCGTTGAAACTGCTTTGTGCTTCGGCTGGATTGACGGCCAAGCGAATGCGTACGACAAGGATTGGTGGCTCGTGCGATATACTCCTCGCCGGGCTAAGAGTATCTGGTCTCAGAAAAATGTGAATACGGTGGGAAGATTACTAGAAAACGGCCGATTACGCCCGGCAGGTCTGGCAGCGGTGGAAGCTGCAAAGGCCGACGGCCGTTGGGACCGCGCTTACGCTGGCCCCGCCACCATAACCGTCCCTGACGACTTTGCGACTGCATTGGCCATGGAGCCAGCCGCAGCAGCTTTCTTTAGTACTCTGAAGAAGAGTGACCGGTATTCTGTGCTGTGGCGCGTGCAGACAGCTTCCCCAAAGTCTCGTAACAACCGAATAAAGACTTTGGTACAGACGCTAGCTGAAGGCAACTGGCCAGCTGTTCCAGCGACATCGGTGTCAAAGCGCAGGGATACATCTGAAGAGTTCACTGAGATCAAGGAGGATACGAGTGTTATATCTAAGAAACAAAGACGCACTACTCGTCTACAAGGCGGCCGTCATGCGCAGGATAATAGGGAAAGCTAGGCCCAGGTGGCTTGTCTGTCTACAAACAAATAATAATTTTGGAAAGAGTGGGCAAAGGTCTACTAGTACACATAACGGAATGAAATCATTTTGTGACATCAAATCGTCACCACTAGCTCCTCATTAAAATCTTGTGCCTGAGAGAAGTAATACCCCCGCTGGTTACTAACGACCAGCTTCCCTGTATCTTCAAGGTAATTGGCATTGAAGTGAGTATGACCGAACGCCCACAGCCGCACCAACGGGCTCTTCCAACACTCTTGCGCCGAGAGATCGGTGGCAAAGCCCGATGAGAGCGGACTGCTTATATGTTTTGGATCAACCGCTCTGGCATCCTGAGTAACCGGGCTATGGTGGCTCAAGACCACTATCTTGCGATGCGGTTCGGAGGTTGCTATCTCAGAAACCTGATCATTCAACCACTGCAAATCTGCTTTGTGGGAAGCCATGTGATCTTCAACTGTCCAGTCGTGGATGCGATAGAAGTCATTGAGACCGAAGCTGACACGCTCTTTATGGGCCTCACTGACATCCGAGAAGAGTGTAGACCCCAACACGGTCAGATCTGATGAGAGATCGTACCGAGTTTGGTCTAAGAAAATAAAAGAGCCTAATGTTTCCAGTCCATGGTGTTTTGAATGTAAACGCCGCTCGTCAACCGAAGCTGAGAATTGATGAATTGTTTGCTTCGTTTCTGCCCAAGTAGAGTAGTAGGGCTCGTGGTTGCCTAATAGAAAGAAGACGACCTGGAACCGACTCAGTTGAGCTTCCATGAATGGGAAAAACCCGGCATCCTTGACAACGCCTATGTCGCCCAGAAGAGCGAGATATGATGCTTTGGGGGAAATTGTGTATACATCGTAGGCAGACGGATTCTCTAGATGTAGATCAGATAATATCTGAAAGGACATTTGGAACCTTATGATGCGGGATCTGCCTTAAAAAGTACGTACGGAGTACGGAGGATGTGACTGGAAGGTAACTAACAACGAAAAGCGGGTTATAGGTGGAAAATCGGGGCTGGATGACGACATCCAATCAAATCAGTTGATCGCAATCACAGGCCCCATCAAGTGTGGCGATGTGGCGGTGCGAATGTGATGTGGCGTAGCACAGCCCTCCATTTAGTTTATTTAAGCGCCCAGACATGATCTCATAAGAGGACCCCTCCTTGGCCGAAGCATGAAACATATTCGATCTCTTCTTCCTTTCTGCTATCCTCAACTTCTCTTATTACTTCAGGAGGTGGTTTCGTGATTCGTTTTCTACGACAACGCCAACCATCGACACTACGTCATATCCGCGTTATCAGCGTCTTAAATTGCGGGCAACGGCAAGTTCCCGATGACAGTTAACAGAATGTCAAGTGCAGCACATGACCCGCGATTGCTGTACAGCGTCAACAACATCCGCGCGTTCCATATTCAAGATGGCGAAGAGCAAGATCTCACGGCGTCCGGCGCTCAAACCCTCTCACTGTTAATGGTCCCCACCAACACCGCCACCGCTGGGCCAGGTACAGATTCGGCCGATGATTCGACCGAAGAGGATTTCTACCTTCACCTATGCCTAGCACCTGAGCTGGATCTTGCGATCCCGGCGACTACTCAAATATTCCACCAACCTCCCGACAGCTATCTCATACCCCGCTGGGATATGGGACCCGAGGCCGGCGCTTTCATTCGCATCCAGTTCCCAAGCATCGGACCAGGCCCCACAAATGTGTCACAGGACGACATCGATACCTTCGAATCGATTCTTGCGCAGTGCACCGCTTTCCTGGAGCGCGCTCCTGCCTCAAAGGGTCGGGACTTTGTCTATAATCCGGCTGATTATGCACCCGGCGAGGGCTACGTTGGTTCTTCAGATGATAAGAAAAGCGGGCATGGAAGGATTGTTTTAGTGGACGAGGAAGATGGAAGTGTCGTCGGAGAGCTCGGCGATGGCTATGACTTGGTGGAGGATTCTGACGTGAAGCCTGGCTCAAAGAGTAAGCAAAGCATATCGTGATCCTCGTCTCGCTACTAACAATGTTTACACAGGACCCGTGGGAATTGAACTCCCCGTGGAAGGCAAAGGTAACCGCGTCAGTGTCAGCAATCTCTCTGAAGAATACCTAGCGATGGCCCGACACCCGGCTTATAAAAACTCCACGATTGTTCAGAGTTCAGCAACGGCATCCCGTTTGATCGTGACTGGATCATCGTATCTAGCCAGTGCGATTGCCAGCGGCGCAGAAAACTTCCAAAAGAAAACAAGGCCCAACCAAGAGCCCCTTAAATTCTCTGACGCGACCCATGCACGCATTCGCAAGGTCGGAAGCCTCTCTAATGGAGCAGCTGACATTTCTGCGCGCACAGTCGGCCAAGTCGGCAAGATTGCACAGAATATCGGAGCATCACTCGCGCGCAAGCAAGAAAGCCAGAAAGGTTTCGACAAGCGAAACCCACCACCAGAGTACAAACCGGGCGTGCTGAACAAATCAATGATCGCATTTTCAACTATAGCTGATGGCATCGAGCAGAGCGCTCGGAACATGCTGTTCTCGAGTGCGAACGCAGCCAGCTCCATGATCGAGCACCGCTACGGCAACGAAGCAGGCAATGTCGCGACCAATCTGACAGGAGGCATCAAGAACGTCGGATTGGTGTACATTGATGCCACGGGCGTCAGTCGCCGCGCGCTTCTCAAATCCGTCGCCAAGGGTATGGTGGTTGGAAAAATGCGCGACGGCAAGCAGGTTGTTGTTGGCGGTGGTGATGGCGGTCAGATTCCAGCTGGCGCCGTGGACGACGCCTCGGGCCCGTCAGGCCTAGGGGCGCGGGACCCTGTTGCTCGTAGTGCGTCATCTGGCTCCACACCGCCTCCTGTATATGGTGCATTGTCCCCGCCAGGGGGTAAGCGGTAAAAAACCCGGGGGCTGGCGCGCATGGCAATTGTGGCATTGGAACAGGCATTCCGTATCTGGCACCTTTTTTAATTTGATTTTAGTACGGCGGCAAGATTTATCCTTTTGCCAGTCTAAAGTTTGAGACTGGAAGCTTCTCGAATATATTTCTTTTTATGATACGTATGTAGTATGTAGATAGCTCGCATAACACAATAAAGTTCCGACCGCATCCAATGCGAAACTTGCTTAATTTGATGGATAGGATTTGGGTTTTGGCTAGGTGGTACAGCGAAATTGCAGGGCACAGAGCTCAAATTTGACCCTGACCGTCTTTTTCTAGCCACCTGATTTGTAAAGGATGTGAACAGCAGGCCTGGTTTTGGGGAGGTGAGGGTGTGAATATGTAGGTAACGGCGAGGAAGGTTATTGGATAGGACTGCTCATATGCATTAACGCTGGACGATCTATCCGATATCGATTGGATGGGAGCATAGATGGCGAATATGCCAGCGCATTCGCTTGACAGCTGTCGACGACCCACTACCCCTTGCCCAATAGAACTCTGGATTCGATAGGAAATGACGGTTACAGCCAGATTATACATTTGAAAGATCCGGGGCTGAGAAACACTTGGAATGTATAATTTAGTGACAATCAGGTGGAATTGCCGAGAACGTTGAGAGGTCAAATATTAGGTGGGTAAATAGTGGAATAGCATATACAATATTGTAAGTTAGAGTAAGGTTTGCGAACTATTCAGGCACCGCATTACACGTACATTGAATTGTAAGGTTGCAGTTGCGAATGAAATGGGAACAAGATCTGCTTCGATCGGATGGTTACCGTGGGTCAACTCGTCCCTACCATGGTTGAGACCGGCATAGTAGTTGGAAGCTCCATGGCTCTTCCAGTATTTGATCAATCAATGAATCAATTATACATTGTACATTATAGTGGTGGTAATAGTAATAGTAATGGTAGTGACATTAATCTATAATATTAACCGAGTGCTGATAGCTTTCTCTAGGGCTGCAACGTAGCGTTTTCGTGATGCAGAAATCAGCGCTAATTGGCATCTAGACTAAGCTAGGGAGCTTTAACTAATGCAAACCATCTTCACGGGTATTCTCTGGATTGGAATATTGAAATCTATAAATGATTACAATCGAAATCAATTGATTCCATTAACACAATTTAATTGAATCTAAATAACCCAAGCCAATGAAGATTCTCAACAAAAGCAAGATCTGAGCTTTTGTTCTGTAGACTAAAAGATGACGATCGTCCCAAGGTGTCCACTCTATCAACACTCGAAACAGCCGGTGCAACCCCCTATTCTACTTTTGACATTGGCGCCTTTCTTTCGGCGCCTTGAGCTATTATGGGTAAATCTAATTGTCTCCCTTCTTTGGCACATGTGAGGATCGGGACTCGAGCCATTTTTTTTATAGCACAGATTTGTGTGTACATATACTTAGGCGCAAGGGACTTGGGATATATGGGCAATATTAATTGTGTACGTGTACACAAATAACTTTCCAAGGTTCGTCATGGATGTATCATACAAAGCTTTGGTTAGACCTCGGGCTACAACCGCTCTTCAATGTTCAGCAAAGAACACACTACCTAGCTAAATAGATAACTAGTTATATAGTGTATTATGAATACAGTTCTCACATAGAAAACATAGCTAATTTGAATTGAAGAAAAACAATTGAAGCAAAAAAAATATACTATCCTACTACGGAGTACTTTGATGTGTATCTAACTACTTGGTACCTAAACCCTCAGAGCCCATGGAAGACCCGCCTCCCCCAGACTAAGAGAGACTAACACCAAACCTGCTCGTATCTCACCTCCTCTTCTCCTCTTCCACCTTTCTTCTCAGCTTCATTAAGGGCCTTTCTTTTTTCTTTATTTCTGTTGTTTTTCGTTCTTCGATTCTGTTCTTTGGGGGGTATCTTGTTCCCCCTTTCTCAGCTCGGGAACCCCGACCGGTGCTTCCCGTCTTTTTTTCACTCCCCTCGCGCCCCCTGGCCGCCCCTCACCCTGTCTTCGACCATGTTCAACTCTTGTCGCAATTGAATCTGAGTCCGATCGGAACTGCAATCGCGACTGAGACATCTACCGCGTTTGCTCGTTTTCTCGAACGTGCGATCCTAAAGCCGTGGGTCTGGACAGAGGGGACTCTGGAGTACTGCAGTGCAGGTATCTTTAGCTTTCTGTTCGTTTTTCGAGGAATTTTGTGTCCTTCGACGCGTCTTTAAATCTAGAAAAGGGCGTGACCTGGTGTCCTTGGTGATATTCAAGCCTTATCCAACGGCTTCCGCGCGATTGGTGGTAAGGCAGCTTCCCCCCATTCCTCCGATCTGATTCTGTCAGCTCCCCCCATTCCTGGGCCCAAAAAGGCACATGTTTGGCGTTTATCGATAAGATAATTTGGAAAAGTATCATACTGACAACAATTACCATGTCCAGAGATTGCGCTTTCGAATCTCCATTGAGCGAGTGCGACCGGTCGCCCCAACCTCCCGACTTTTGCCAAACACCCCCGGAACGTCTTTGTGCTCCCTCGCGCCAATTGTACCAATCGCAATTGATACCAAATATTCAACGAGTGCCCACAGTAGCTGCCCTGGTCACACAGCAAGTCTCATAAGGCTTTGCGCATTTACTAGACGAAGGTATGCCGTTGACCGCGATCCAACTTGCCTCGTATCGCGTGCCGCCTCCCAAACCGAAACACCACATTTTGTAGAAAGCTCGCTAATATTACTCTAGCCACTTCTGAGGCCGGCCCCGAACAGCCTCTTTGGCTATGAGCACTTCCCATCAGCAGGCCGTGCCACTTCCCGCCCATGCCTCAACAGTATCGACCAGCACATTACCTCCCGCCCAAAAGAATGCTCGCATACCCTATCCCGACATGTTAAGTTCACCTCCGGTTCCTCCGCCGAGGACCTCGTCAACAAACCACAGCCGGCGCAGTCCAAATGGAACGACAGAAAAAAGCAGCTCCCGACAAGGCAAGAGCAGGTCGGATCGAAAAGAAAACCGTGATCGCACAAGAGACGACCGCAATGGCCGATCAAGGCGACAGCAACCCGAGGAAACCTCCCGCGAAAGACAGCAATCAAGGACGGCACCAGTTGTAAACCCCTCCGATTCGGAATTGGACAACATTACCGACCAAGGGAATTTGGTGAAGGAGCCAAGCACAGTAATCAACTCCATGTTGGTCAGTGATCCCATTGTAGATCAAGAACGAGAGCAAGTGCGACAAACAGGTGCGGAAAATGCCTCTTCATCTGGATTCGCTGCTGGTAGCGACGGCACCGAGGAGGCTCGCGGACCTCGGAGTCGACATGATTATGCCAACAATGGAAACGTTGTCAAACGCAAAGAAACCACCTTCGGATCGTACATTCTCGGGCAAACTCTCGGCGAGGGTGAATTCGGAAAGGTCAAATTGGGATGGAAGCGCGATGGCAGTATCCAAGTGGCTATCAAACTAATCCGAAGGGACACACTGGGACACAACCCCAGCAGATTACCGAAGATTTACCGTGAGATTGCCATTCTTCGCGAGTTAGCTCATCCAAACATTGTGCGCCTTCACGAAATGGTGGAGACCGATCGCCATATTGGCATCATCATGGAATATGCATCCGGGGGTGAGCTATTCGACTACATCTTGAACAATCGGTATCTTAAGGACAACTCTGCTCGCCGACTATTTGCTCAGCTGGTCTCCGGAGTTGGTTACCTACACAAGAAGGGTATCGTTCATCGCGATCTCAAGCTTGAAAATTTGCTACTTGATCGAAACCGCAACATCATCATTACCGATTTTGGATTCGCCAACACCTTCGACCCGGTGGACCCGTTAGACGAGGAGATTGAATATAACCTGACCAACAAAGAATATGTGAAGCGAAAGCGTCTAGACAAGACTGGCCCCAATGGGTTACGGCGAGGTGATCTGATGCAAACTAGCTGTGGGAGTCCGTGTTATGCAGCTCCCGAGCTTGTTGTGAGCGACTCTTTGTACACAGGCCGAAAGGTGGACGTTTGGAGTTGTGGCGTTATCTTGGTATGTTCTGTCGTCGCTCACCTAACCCCAGATTGACCTGGCCGACTTACGAATTTTAGTATGCCATGTTGGCTGGATATCTTCCCTTCGATGACGACCCAGCAAACCCAGACGGCGACAATATTAACCTTCTTTACAAATACATCGTCACCACCCCTCTCACATTCCCCGAATATGTAACACCACACGCCCGCGATTTATTGAGAAGGATACTAGTCCCTGATCCTCGGAAACGTGCGGACTTGTTTGAGGTTGCCCGACACAGCTGGTTGAGCGAGTTCTCAAACGTTGTGTCTCACATCACTAGCAGCACAACTAACGTCGTGGACATTGCCAACACAACAATTCCGTCCGAAACACAAAAGGAAGCACCGCCTCTCGTCCGCAGCGCTTCTGTACGCGAGCCACCAAAGCCAGCCCAAAGCAATGTTGCGGCTGTTGGTGGCTTAAGCCACCACGCTGGAGATGTTTCTCAAGATCCACCATCCGAAAAGTCCCGGACACCACGCGATGCCAAACGCAGGACAGTACAAGTCGAGTATGTCGCACCTCAATCACAAACGACCCGCGGAGAACCCCCAGCGGAGCAACCTGCCCCACGCAGTCGAATTCCTGTACCTGCAGAGGCCCAGACTTCTGCTTCTGCGCATCAGCCCGCAGAGCCAGTGCACAAGCCTGCAGAAGCACCCGCACTCAACCTCAACAAGCCACTTCCAGGACACTTCCCGCGCTCGACATCGGACAATGCAGCTCTTACCGGGTCGCATTCTGCCATTCCCCAAGGCACACGCCCGGCTACTGGTGGTTCAATGAACTCCTTCGGAAATACTGGTCGCTTGCCCTCGCGCGGCTCATATGGCCAGCCTGTGGCTCCGACTGTTACCGCAACTAATACTCAAGGTAGCCTGGCACAGCCTAAGAGCAGGCAGTTCGCTCTCGCACAGGACCCCACACACGCATCAAACTCGTCGGTCAACCGTCCGACCACCCAGAGCCAGAATTTGCCTCCTACTTTCAACACAACTCCTCGGCAAGAGCCACCAAAAGGCCACAAGAGGTCCAACACTGTGTCGAGTTTGAGCGACAAGCTCTTCGGACGTTCTGGTTCAATCTTGGGTGGCCGTGCTGCACAGTCTAATGCCCCTCGCTCAAAACAAGACAAGCGTTATCCTCCAGTCAGCATGAAGGAACCCCTAGGAAGAGAAAACTCGAGAATGTCGATGGATTCTCGCCGTTCTATGCAATATCCTCACAATCGCAAGATAAGTGAGTCTGGCCAGGAGAATCGCCCTCGTCGATTTACCCTTCTACCGCAGTCTTTCTCATTCCGAGGATTTTCCACCGCTCGAGCCCAGACTCCAGAAGAAACATCGCCTAGCCCCCATCTCGTCGATCCTCGTGCCCCGCAACGCCCCGCGACAGGCCCTGCAGGCCTGCCGCAGGTTCAGGGCCAGGGCCGTTCTCGCGCGACAAGCTATGGCACCCAAGATGCCATGGGAATGGTCAGCGAGCGACCCGGCGAGGACATCCAGCATGAGTCCGCACCCCTCAGCTACGAGGCTCAGATAGATCGACAATTCGCCGACCTGGGTTCTCAATTCGGCCAACAGAACAACTCCTTTGAGATACCCTTGGCTGAACAGGTCTACCAAAACTCCGCAGACCAGTACTCCGATCATAGTCAGGGTTACGGAACCAAACCGAACTTCTACGACGACTACAACGACAACACGTATGACCGTGTGCCCCGGCAATCAATGCAGGGAGGTCGATCAGGACGTGGGCCGGGAGTGTTGCAAAAGAACAACCGCAAGTTTGCCGATGCCTACGAGTATGAGCGCGATGGATCACATAATTCCGGTAGCTCTGGCGCAGCTCGCAAAGTGATGGATTTCTTCCGAAGACGTGCCAAGTCTAGGGCTGGCGATGATCGTTGATTTCTCAGTTTGAACCCGAATAAAAAGCAAACACCTAATTCACGGGGATTGACTTATAAGTCCAGGCTGATCAAACCTGAGCTTTGCTCTTAAAAGCAGATTTTTCAAACTCCGCCATTCTATGCTTCTTTTGAGTGGCTTGAAAGAGCAGCGAGGTTGTTTGGATATTACGTGATACCCTTGCTTTTGTCCCCTTATGCATGGAGCGATAACTCATCATTCACCGGGTGTTTGATTGATTATCTAGCATGTTCTTTATTTCTTTTGTCTGAATACATTTCCTTGCTCCTAATGTCTTGCTTTTCTGTTTCCTTTTCGATTCCTGTTCCACCGTTTTACACCCACATGTGATTTGCATTCTCTTCTCCTGTTACTATTATCTCTGGCTGTAAAGTGAGACTTTCCCATGTTCCTCAGAACATTTATTATCCCTGTGACCTCCTTTTTTGCTTCCATTGTCATCTCTTAGCTATTTTTTGTTCCTCTATGGGAGGCTCTGTCGACGATAATTCAATTGTGACACTATTTTTTTCATCCCTCTGTGAATCGTGTGCTCTTGACCCATATTTTCAATATGGGTGGCTTCTTGCTATAGGGTGGCTTTTTCTGGCGGCTGTTTGTCGAGGATCTATTCCTGTTCTGTTCTAGTTCTCGGTACTCTACTTTCTAGGGCCAGTAGTCATTGATTCCACAGGACTTGAAACTTGAATGATACTTTGCCAAGATTAGGCTCAATGACTTCGTATTGTATTGCACATAACTAGCAAATTGGTCGCGGTGTAAGCATAAAGTTTTGTTCTAACAGACAGCTTACAGCTTCAAGTGTTCAACATTCACCAAGTCGGCCTCCTTGTTCAAGCTTTCAATCTCCGCCACAGCGAAAGGAATACCTTCTTTTCTCCTCTTCTCCTCAGTAATAATTTCAATCTCTCCAGGGAAGTAAATCTGGTCCACACCAGCCATTCTCTCTGATTCAACAACCCTCCGGTAGAGATAATCCATCCTCCCTTTGAACTCATCAATAGTCATAAACAAATCAGGCTTGATAGCCACCAAAAAGTGCCCCACATCCGCCGGCCTCGACGGATCATACGGGTTGGTAACATGCCCCGCAAATGCGGACCCAGAAAGCACCCCAGAGAAGACATCCATCATAACAGAAAGCGCCGACCCCTTCGGCCCACCCATCGGCAACATAACACCCTGCAAAGCCTCAGCAGGATCGTCCGTCCTGCCCCCATCCTTGTCAAGCGCCCAATCGGTAGGAATCTTTTCCCCCCTCCTCAAAGCCTTATAAATCTTTCCCCGCGCTGCAATAGAAGGAGCCATATCAAGAATAAAAGGCCTACCCTCACCAGCCGGCGCCCCACAAGCAATAGGCGAAACACCCATGAGCTTCTCCTTCCCACCCCAAACAGGCAGCGCAGGCGAACTATTCGTAAAAACAAGAGACATCATGTCTGCGTCCAGCGCCTGCTGAACCAGCCACGCAGACATACCGAAGTGATTCGAGTGTTTGATGGAAACCATGCCGATGCCAAAGATTTGGGCCATTTCAATGGCACGATTCATGCCTTCGTGCGCGGCGACAAAGCCGAACCCGTTGTGCGCGTCTATCTGCGCTACTGCTGGCGTTACTTGATTGAGCGTTGGTGTTGCAGCTGGGTCTAGGGCTTTTTGTCGGATTCGCTCCATGTATGATGGGATACGATTGCTGCCGTGTGTGTCGACTCCTCGGAGGTCTGCGGAGACGAGACATTTAGAGACTATCTCTGCATGGGTGGGTGATGTGCCGTTTGCTATGAGGATTTGTTGGACGAAGTTTTGGAGGTGGTCTGGTTGGATATTGTGCATTTGTTGCGGTTGATTGCGTTGGTCTGTCATTTTGTTTAAGATTGTTTTTTTAATATGGTTGTATATAGTTCACCTGGTTGTGGTTGGAACCTTGTAGTCATTTTTGTTGAGGTTCCGTCTTTTATAGACGGATCGCGGGGCGGATGCGTCCCGAGAGACGGAAAGCTGCCGTGTGTGGGGGTATACTTCCACTACGGAGTTATCCGCCCCAGACGACGGCAAATTGATTCAGAAAGATGATTTTGTAGATGACCATAAGATCACACATGTACCTAACTGCAGCCATATTGGATTAATGAAAACAATAAGCGCATAGATTCCACGTGAGTTGAACCCCGCGCTAACACGGCCCTGTCTGACCAAGCCCAAGCGAAGATCAGCCATCGGTGCAATTCAAATATTCAAATCTCAGTACTATTGCTTTCTATTACGGTTTGTTTGACTAATAATTCCATCTATGGAGCACACCGGACTAGCGATTGGAGTTGTGGGACTAGCAGGTCTATTTAGCTCTTGCTAAGATGTCCTAGAACGGTTCGACTCCTGGAGGAGCTTTAGAAGTGACACCCGAGCCCTTGCGGCTCGTTTTAGGGCAGACAAACTGCGCTTTAAACAATGGGGCCACGTTGTCGGATTCAGTGCACTGTCATCTACTCATCATGAAGCCCTTGACAACCCGCAAACATCGGCAAGTGTCAAAGAGATCCTGTCGGTCACCAAGGATATTGAAGGCAACATAGGACCTGCCATGTCATCGAGATTGTCAAGCTGCTTCTCACGAAGGGGGAAGATATTGAAGCAAAAGACGCCGAGGGGATTTCAGCTCTGCATATAGCATGTTCTTTAGGGTATTTGAAAGTCACAAGTCTGCTTGTTGAGCAAGGGGCAGATACCGCTGTCGAGAATAATCAGGAATGGACGCCTCTAGGTACTGCTGCTGGTCGGGGGCACCTCGAGGTTACCAGAATGCTTCTCGGCAAAGGGGCTCACATTGCCGAAACCCGCCAAGGGTGGACTTTGCTAAACCGAGCTGCCCACGAGGGTTCATATGAGCTTGCCGAGCTACTTCTTGAGAATGGGACAGACGTCAATGCATCGCAGGATAACAATTGGGGGTGGGTACCGCTCATGTGGGCCTCGGTTCAAGGCACCTCCGAACTTGTTAAGCTACTACTGAGAAACGGAGCAGATACACGCAGATCTGATGATCTTGGGCGCGGACACCGCTCTATTTGGCCTCGGAAGAAGGCTGCGATAATGCGGTCAAAATTAGTACTCAAGAAAGGAGCAGAGCCATCTGCAACGGACAATCTTGGGCGATCACCACTTATCCTCGCCTCGATGAAGGGACATTCCGGCGTGGTGAAGCATCTTCTCGAAGGAGGCAAAATTCTCGAAGAATGGATTGCAATTCAGGATAAGATTAGCGACTGGGATGCATTGATGTATGCTTCCTACTGTGGTGACCTGGAGATCACCCGACTCCCACTCACAGTGCCAGGGGTTGGTCCCAACAGAAAGGAATTTGATGGTCGCACATCTCTTTTCTTGGCCGCTGCGAGAGGTAATAGTGAGCTGATCCGAGTGCTGCTGTCAAGTTGTGCTACACTGCACGTGATGGACCGATATGGCTCGACACCATTGTTTGCTGCTGTGAGAAAAGGACATGAGGAAGCTGTGGAAATGTTGCTGAGCCTGAGAGAGCCCAATATTAACCTTGAAGATGGGATTGGCCGGTCAATGCTCTGGTGGGCCACAAGCAGCGGCAATGTGAAGGTCACTCAGCTCGTGTATGAGCTTTTTCAAAGCATGGGTATGGACATCCCTTTGAACTATCTTGAGATGCTATACTCCCCAACGCTTATCAACGATCCACGTGATCCATGGTGCGATATTTATATAAGGTATTTTTAGAAGGGAAGATCCTGGAATAAATGCAAATCTTGCGCAAGGGGTGTATTTTGTATTTGCATAGATTATTCGGAGATCGGAGCTAAATGTCATGACGGCTCCCACGAGAGGTTTACTAAGCACTGCGGTGTCTAGTCAGAGAGGAATCCATATGCTTGAAAAATCCTGAACTGAAAGCAAGAGTTATTATACAGTCACAACGTTTGTAGAATATATGAAACGAAAATTGTATGAGGCATCAAGGTCTAACTACCTGGATATCAACCACCGACTTTGACTCTGCGCTAGTCCATACTGGGATTAGACCCACATCAACTCTCCGGCGAATTGAACAACAGCCGCAACCAATCAGATCAGACTCAAACAGTGCAAACACTTGTGCGGGCGAAATTTTGGCAGTAGACTGCTGCACCATTTTATGAAGGGCAGTGACTTTGTGGGTTAAAAGAACTTTACCTTTTGCTCACTGAACCAAAATGGAACCGGAGATTTCAAAGGCCCAATTGCCAGAGGCCACCGTGGCTGTGCCTGATATGGACGTGTCCAAGCGCGAGGTCGCAAGTGGTGATGCCGATGCGGCGGGCGAACCTCCATCCAAGAAGGCACGAGTGGAGGAACCCGCTAAACCGGTCGCACAAGATATGCGCGATCGAGGAATTGCGCCTATCAAAGCCGAGTATGCTCCGCCCCTTCCAATTGCCGTTCAACCAACTAACAAACAATCCAGGTACCGTATCCAAGTAGCACCAAAGCCTCGCTCCACAGACGAGACAAACCCCGACGATGCCGCCGAAGCTGCTCCTCACGATGCCCGCGATTCCCGTGGGTCCCGGGATGCCCGTGATGGTGGTGGCAAGAAAGACAAGTCAAAGAAGAAGAAGGGCCAAAATACTAACCGCAGCTATGGCAAGTCTGACGATGCCAAGGGTCTTTGCAGCACGAGAATGTTTGCCAATGAGTTTTCCGCTGGAGAATGCCAATTTGGTGCCGGATGCCGATTTGAGCATGACCTGCGTGTTTACCTGAGAGACCACAAGCGCGAGGACCTCCACACCTTCAATGACGTCTGCCCCGTCTATGAATCGCTGGGCAAATGTTCTGCCGGCTGGAAATGTCGCATGGTTGGTTCTCACTCGACCGAAAGAGAAACCGAAGACGGCAGGAAGGAATTGATCTTGCTGGAAGATGCTGAGCGCATGGAGAAGGCCCGTCCTCGTGTGCCTAACGCGACTCCTGAGGGAGTCGTCAATATTATTCCCGTTGGGGACAGGGTCGCTCTTACTAGAAAGAAGGAGAAGACTCCCCGCGCTGATTCTTACACCAATTGGTCCAACCAAGTGTCCGCGGAACTAGAAAAGGCGATTCACCAGCGATCCACTGTTCGCGCCATGGGAGAGCCTGTTGAAGCGGCTGAGGCTGCGAAGATCGAGATGGAAGAGAACCGGGCTCAGTTCCTCGAGCCTCCTTTTATGCCTTCTGAGAAGAGACGCATTTACTTTGGGCCAGAGACTCCCGTTCTGGCGCCTCTCACCACCCAAGGTAACATGCCATTCCGACGACTCTGCGGAGATCTTGGTGCGCAGTTCACCTATTCAGAGATGGCGATGAGTATGCCTTTGATTCAAGGCAACAAGTCTGAGTGGGCCTTGCTCAAGGCACACGAGTCCGAGATGGCTCCACCATCCGTCATCCCTGGAGATAACATTGTTCAAGGCTATGATAACTCCAAGGATTCCAGGTTCGGAGCTCAAATTGCTGCCAACAAGCCGTGGCAAGCATTGAAGGCCACCGAGGTGCTCTCAAAGTTCACTCCTAACCTGCGTGTCATTGATCTGAACTGCGGCTGTCCTATTGAGCTTGTGTTCCGAGAAGGCGCTGGTTCGGCTCTCCTCGACCACCATTCCAAGTTGGAGAAGATTATTCGCGGCATGAACACTGTCTCGCAGGAGATCCCAATTACCGTCAAGATCCGCATGGGAACCAAAGATAACCAACCTACGGCACAGAAGCTGGTTGAGCGCATGGTTCTTGGTGGATACGAGTCCAGTGTTCTGGGTCTCGGCCCCCCTGGTGCCGCAGCCATCACCCTGCACGGACGTAGTAGACAGCAGCGCTACACCCGCCAGGCTGACTGGGGATACATTTCAGAGACTGCAGCTCTCATCAAGAGACTGAATAACAAGCAGGATGCGCTTACCGACACCATCCGTGAGCCAGATGAGCGCCACATGCCCAATGGTGGCAAGACTTACTTCCTTGGAAATGGTGACTGCTACTCACACACCGACTACGACGACCATGTCAACAACGCCGGCGTGGATTCCGTCATGGTGGCCCGTGGTGCTCTCATCAAGCCTTGGATCTTCGAAGAGATTCAAACCGGACAGTACTTGGATAAGTCGGCTACTGAGCGTCTGGCCTACATTGAGAAGTTCGCCAAATACGGTCTTGAGGCTTGGGGATCCGATGAGCACGGCGTTGGAACTACCCGCCGCTTCTTGCTCGAATGGTTGAGCTTTACTTACCGCTACGTTCCCATTGGATTGCTGGAGCATCTTCCTCCCAACATCCAGGACCGACCTCCTGCTTGGCGTGGCCGTAACGAGCTGGAGACTCTCATGGGCAGTGATAACTATAAGGACTGGATCAAGATCACGTAAGTTTCCTCACTTTATTTTCGTTAACTGATAAACTGACTTTGGATACCAATAGTGAAATGTTCCTTGGCCCTGCTCACGAGAACTTCAAGTTCGAGCCCAAGCACAAGTCGAACTCCTATGATGAGGCTGAAGGTTAAGTTATATTATTATCTTCGGCCGTTCCAAAATTGTATATAAAACCATTCAATGCATTTACGCATCTTTCAGGGCGTTCGATTTATGATACGTTACGCAGAAGTCTTGGCTTCTATTCATTACTTCTGTCTTTCGAACACAGTGAAAAGGCATTCAACTGTGTTAGTTCTTTTGACATCTTCTGTCGCACTATCAACCCCTAATCAACCGTCAAAAGTTTCTCAAAAAACCCACCAAACCCACGTTCCCGATCATGAAGATGAATCTCCAAGATCCAATGACGCCTGAACCCATCACTACCCGCCAAACCCATCGAGTCATTATTATCCTTCGTAATATAAAGAGCAATCTTATTCCTCGGAATACGCTCATGAGGAAACGACCCAACAATATGACCCGCAATATCGGCACCGAAATCAAAGCCCCACTCCTTTGCAACCTCACAGGAAATATTATATAGCTCGTCCCCCGACATATCAGGGTTCTCGCGATACCGCGCCTTGACAATATCCCAAATAGGCTCAAGCGCATCCCGCAGTTTGAGCTTGTGTGGGTCATTTCCGAGCACGAAGGTGCGGCCAAAATCAGCTTCCCAGGCCTCAAAGACAGGTCCGAGATCCACAACCAGGATGTCATCTTCCTGGATGACTCGATCTGGGGGGTTCTCGGCGAATGGGCTTAGAGTGTTTGGACCACTGCGGATGACTCGTTTGTGCCAATGGGTCTTGATGCCATAGCGGTCTAGACCTAGTTGGTAGATTTCGGCATTGAGGGTCTTTTCTGTGATTCCGGGTCGGATGAGGGTGCTTTCGATTTCTTCGAAGAGGGCGATGGCTTTCTCTTGGGCATTTAGAAGTTGGGATGCTCTTTCGATCTCTTCGGCGCTTGGATTGTCGGGTGCCATGATGGGAGTGGGAAGTCGGAAGATGGGGAAAGAGGATTCAGTGGGACTTGTGTGTTACTGTGTAACGTACCGGGGGCTTTGGGGAGAATTGCATATAAATATATACATGTATGCTTTGGAAATACCCCTCACCATAGGGCGCCGTTGGTCTAATGCTGACAATCTGATGTGATACCTAGCCGAGACTCCCCCACACGAGGGGAACTTTTACCGACTAGGCCAAATGCAGTATCTGGAACCGCATGTACCTTCAATAGGATGAGATGGGTGTAGATGACATTGAGAGAGTTTGGTATTGATATAGCTATATATGTACCCGGTGACTGGTACCTAGGTAGACACATTCTCAATTGCTTATCAGCAAATATCTGTAGATCGCCGTGCAGTGACGACATATGTGTATTCCAAACAATGGATAAAAAGGCACAAAATTCGAAGAACGAGGAAAAATATAATTTCCCTTATTCTAGCTAGCTATGTTTAAAACTGCCCAAGCATATAATACGCAAACGACTCAGGGACAAACGCGAGATTTAGTGATGACAGCATCACGTGCTGATCAGCTATGACGTCTTCCTCCGAACTTGGAAAAACTTCCATAAGAGACCACCTCTGCTTCTTACTTCTCTCCGACCTTCAATTGTCTCAACCTTTTGATTTAAGCAAAAGAACATCTATTGCTTGATCCTTTCTGTGTTTGTGCTCGTCACTACCAGAACTGTTACCACCATTTGCCTTTGTTTACCTTTTCCAAGCTATCTCACCCCGCCCCTTTTGATTAGGCCAAAACTCGAGATCAAGTGTCGCTGCATTTATAATACTCGTCACAATGACTCTCTACTATTCCCTTGTACGTTTGAAAACCTCATCTCTAAGTGATCTGTGGTGGTGTTGTCGCGCTCCTCTGCGAGGATCGCTGCAGCCTAATGCCTGAAACTGCCGCGCAGCCTAAGCTGCCACGCAATGTTTTTAGATCTTGCGCCCATGGATTCGCTAACAATATTTTCATATAGGTCTTCCTCCTATTGGTGTTCGAGATGGCTGTTTTCCTGGCCCTCGTCATCCCTCTTCCCCACGTCATTAAGCGCAAGCTCTTTGCGTTCATCTCCGAGAGCCCTATTATTGCCAAGCTGCAATACGGACTCAAGGTATGTACTGAACAATGTTCAAATTAAGTTTCCCGGTCAATTTGCTCATTTCACACCTAGATCACATTTATCTTCATCCTTATCTTGTTCATTGACTCCGTGAACCGCGTTTACCGTGTCCAGCAGGAGCTTGCCTCCTTCACCAAGGAAGGTCCCGGCATGGGGTAAGCAACCAGTTCTATCAAATCACAGCGCAAAATCTAACTATCATATCAACAGTGCCGCGCACCTCGGTACCGACCGCATGGAGGTCCAGGCTCGCAAGTTCTACTCGCAGCGCAACATGTACCTGTGTGGATTCACTCTCTTCCTCTCCCTGATTCTCAACCGCACCTACACCATGATCCTCGAGGTTCTCCGTCTTGAGGACCGCGTGCGCCTTCTCGATGGCGACAAGAAGGCCGGAGGCAAGGACTCCGCTCGCATCGCCGAGGCTGGCTCCGTCGGCGAGATTGGTCGTCTTAAGGAACTCGTTGCTACCAAGGACCGCGACATCGAGACTCTCAAGAAGCAGTGTGAGGGCCTGACCCGTGAATACCACAGCCTTGGTGATAAGGTTGCCACCGAGAAGGGCGACATCAACGAAAAGGGTAGCAAGAAGGACCTGTAGAGGATTCGCATCGTTCGATACCGCCAAGGCCAGAATATTGAACTCCGGCTTTGACGGAATTCCGCATGCCCTCACCTTGTTCAACTTGTGTGTATGATTCGGATAAGGACATTGTCCTCATCCAAGGTTTCATAGAAGTTGAAAATATTTCGGCAACAAAATCACTTCACTTCATACATTCTGGACCGGGCACCGTTAATAACTATGTACTTTTTTTTCGGCATGTACCTCTACTGTTTAGTGGGGGATCGTCTGAGACACGCAGTGAACGAGGTTCATTATCCCTTTTGATGCACTAGCCGGAATTTTTAAGGATTAATTCATAGTGCTTGCTTCTAGCACCTGTCATATTTGATTACCCTTTAGTAGCTTTAAGCGCTACTAAAACCCCATTGATCCAAGTCTCGTCACGTCTAAAATCATTATTATTCGTAAATGTACATATAGGGACCAGAATCCTCAAACAAGGAATGTCCAGAAGCTAGGATAAACCAGCTCCTCCTCAAAGATGCGGCGAACTTGCGCGAGCACAAAACGCTCCACCTTCCCAACGTTCTTCAACACCTGCTTTCCATCCTCCTTGCGACCGATCTCACTATCAACCCGAATCTCCTGCAACAGCCCACCCTGCCTCTTCTGATCCTTCTCTTTCTGGTCCACCCCAGACCTCGGTCTTCCATCCTCGCTAGGATTCTGACTACCGTGCGACTGCTCCGATCCAAGTAATGCATCCGCGTCCTCAGCAGACAAAAAGCAAAAATGTACTCGCTTCCGAATATACGCCACAACCGCAACTCCATCAAATGTAATACCCGTGACATTCAGCTTCAATGGCAAGCCCACAAAGCTGGGCATGGGGTAATCCAGCAAAATCTCCGCCGTGAGAGACATTCGCACGTCGCCGGCGTACTTGGCATGGCAAAGGATCTGAAAATCCTCTGGCCGGCGCTCGCGCATCCGCGGCGGCATAGGAAATGACCGCTCGTCGGCATCGGGGCCAGGGGACTCAATCGAGGGCTGCACGGCATCGACGGGGTCACTGCTATTGTGATTGGAACCGCCACTGCCCGCATGGCCTACTGACGGATGGGATGGAAGGGTGTTGGCGGTTGAGGGCCTTGATGCGGAACCGGTGTCCAGATCTGGTTCTGCGAGATGGTGCGCGGCGGAGTGTGCGACCCGTGGTCTTGGCCCTGCGCCCATGCCAGAATCTGACCACCCACTCGCGAACGGCGTCCCGCCTGCGACGGCAGCAAGGGGTGTCTGCGCGCCTGATAGACCGCCTAATGACCTCATATGGTATCCGAGTGTTGATGTCCCGCCTGGAATCCCGGGTGTACCGGCGCGGGGCAGGAAATGCGGGTTAAGGTGGTCGCCTAACGGAGATCGAAGGGCAGATGGCTGGAAGCCTTCACCGGGGTATGGGTGGTGGCTGAAATTGTGAGGGCTATGGGCGTTTGGGTTGAAGGCCATGTCATCTTCGTATGGTGATTCATGGAGCTCGGACATAAGCTCGGACGAGGTGACTGAGGTATCGGCATCGTCGTCATCCTCTTCGTAGAAATCTGCAAAGGGTTCACAGAAATCCTTGATTTCGAGATCTGGGGCTATGGTTCCGAAATCGAAGGAGTGGACCTGCACTGAGCGGATGAATCGTGGTAGAGTTATTTCTTGGAACTTGTCATGTACAAATGATCGGATCCGCTCTGCCAGGGCCTCCCCATCCGGGCCCGAGGTTGCGGCTGCCCAGTCAACTTCGATTGACATTACATATGCAATGCGATAGCTTTTTGATGTTTATATGGAAGAGGTTGGGAGGTTGCATGTCAGAGCCCGAGATAGTACTCCTTATCACCACGTGATACGAATGATACCGACCAGTTGGCATTGACGGATAGATCCATGGTTCGTGCAGCATGTCAGGGCAAGACACGGACCATCTCTTCTTTTCAGCAACATCAACTCGTCGAACTCACAATACCTTTTCAATTTACCTTCTATAATTATTGTTACATCTTGTCTAACTTATGCTCTGACCTCAATTTACAAAATCTGTAGTTTATATCAAGCATAAGCTTGAGGAGATATGATTATGCAGTTGAAGTGACGAACCATCTCGACCTTGATCGCCTTTTGGTACATAGCTAAGCCAGACACGCCGAGGTTCATGATTTCATCTTTCTGTTATTATTTAATTAATTGATAAGATGAAGATGAGAGGTCATAGTTGATACCTCCCTTGTATAGCTTCCTCCGAAACTTCGGTCCCCGAATCCTGTTCCTAGATCTGTATACGAGAACGTAGCACTCTAGTTGGCTTTAAGATAGTAGATTTATACTGAAAAAATAAACTATATATACATAAAACAGCGTCCCATACAAATTATCGATCCTTTAACCTTCCAATATTAATCATCCTGATATTCACATTAGCCTCCGTGCTGAGAGCACACCTGGGCAGGAAGCCCTGACATCCATGGATCGAGAGACTCCTTTCTCCTCAATACCGAGGCAAAGAGCTATGTCTTGATTTGCACATAAATATCTGCCGCCTTCTTGCTCTGTGTAGCCGTAGCCGTAGGTGTTAACGTAGGAGGATCACGTAGTGGTAAAAGTTCGAGTGCGAAATCACTTGATGAACACGAGTTGGCGTATGATGCGATTTGAAGATAGTCCAGCTCGGAGAGAAGCTTGAATGACAGTGGTTGATTGCTATGATAGGAAATAGGATGCGAATTGATGCCCGGCTTTACAGTATTCATTCTATACTTCTGCGATGTAAGCGAGTTGACTACCCATTTTAGTAGAGAGAACATACCTAGACGTCACTTTCCATGGCGAATGCATTTGCCCTTAGCTGGACGAGGCTCATGAACAAGAGATGGGCAGACACCCGCGGGTTTATTTGAACAGACAATAGTGTCGGTTGTTGGTTGTTTGCAGCCGCAGCTCCAGGTATCAACGTAGACGAGACACATATTGAAATTTGAGTGCGAAGTACAACAGGAGTTGAGGAATGATACGAATTGAAGATAGTAGAGTTTGGAGAGAGAGAGAGCCTTGAACACTATTGATTGCTTGATTGCTGCGATGAAGTTGAGAAGCGGATTGATGTCTCGATTTATATCATCTTGTATCGCCACATTACCCAGCTGTATGCGAGTTGACTACGCATTCTCAGCGGAGAGAACACACGAAGATGACATCGAGACGAATGCAATAAAGATTTGATCCTTGTGTTGTCCCATAAGGGCTGTGGTTCTAGTTCAGTGCGTCAGGCAGTAACGAGGGTGAATAGGGTGCGCAGTTGAATGCTATTGCGCAGTGAGATAAAAGTGATAGACGCCATGAATGAGTAGAAACATGCTATATCCAGGGTATATGCCTTTACTAAAAGTAAGCAGGGTTGGCTGTGGGTGGATTTTTACAGACCCTGGAGGGCTATGCCAATCGGCTTCAACGCGAAAAATAGAGGATAGGTCAGACAAACGAACTGCTGATCACAATTATTGCCTAATTTAGTAGGCCACAGAGGGCACTAACCAAAATATCCCCTATTCCCTCTATAGGTGGAGCAATATGGCGTAGGAGCTGTAAGTAACGCGATGCGGCTCTATAAGTAACGTGATGCGGCTTAGATGATCATGGCGGCGGGACTCTACAGCGATAAATATTGAGGGTATAGAAAAAAAGGACTCATAGCTACGGCGCAGTTGTTAATAGCCATAAATTCTGCGCGACTGAAAAAGACATAATACCCTATAGTGGTAGTGAGGGATATTTGATTGATTGATCTTAGTAAAAGATCATGGAGGCTGTGTATACTCCGCATGTATGATGATTTCGAATGTTCTTTATTCGATTTAGCGCAATCATGCGGTAGGATTTCAGTACTAGTTTAGGGAGAATATACCCGGTGAAAAGCACCAAGTTCCTCAGTGATACTCTGTGCAGCAAGGCTCTCTATCTTAGCCGCCGGCCCACTGGGGAAAGGGAGATCACCTCCTGGCGAATAGAAACGCACGAGGCTAAGCGGCAAGGCACACACACTTGACAGTCCGAGGCCAGTCGCTGCTTCGCCGCCCCAGAGCTGTTTAGCCGCATTACATTCTACATCTACAGGGAATGATGATAGACCAAATAAAGATCAGGAGTTCACTGCATACAGGCCGTACCACGTGATTTTCCAACGCTGCGACACTACTCCGTACTTCAATTTCGCATCATTTTCAATATAAAGTTCCTTAAAATTTCGATTGCAATCTAGCAGATCGGTTCAAAACATTGCTTCCCATTTGACACATGCTTGGCGCTCTCGGAGTGATAAGTACCCGAATCTGAGGTTTCGGTCAATCGAATATCTCAATTCTAGATTTTAAGGGATAAACACTAGAAAATGATGTCATTATAGTATTCTTTTTTCTTTAAACGGCAGTGAAGTATACCTGAATCGGGTGTCGAAGAGAAAAGCCGGGGTGAAATCTGAACTTAAGCATAACCGATGGTCCTAGCGGCCATGTGATCGGAATTATTCGCGATAGGGACTCGTTACTCATTACTATTCTAAAACTTGAAAAGCTTCCACCCGACACCATATTATGATTATGAACAATATGAACACACGTACTGCATAAAGGTGACTGCATACGTGGGCCTGTGAGAGCCGTGAGATTTCGCACGCTAGGTCTTGGCCCCTCACCCTGGCGACTGATCTTCCGAGGTCCTTTGACTTTCGGCTGGCAACGGACCTGGGTAAAGTACTCTTGCGCAATGACATATCTGCGCGCACACCTGGGCAGCTTATCTTGCCAAATCGTCATATTTGCCATGGCTGCTGGGGAATGAGTATCAGCCGCCCAGACCGAATTTGGTGCAACAATGTTAAAGCCAAGAGAGGCAAAGTCCAAGCATTCAGAAAAAAGAAAGGGTGATAGTTATCCAATAGTGTAAACTCTTGGCTTTGATTGACCCCCTTTTTCCCTTTTTTGGGCCAAGACATGTGAAGCTCTCTAGCATGCTTACAATATTGTGAAAATCTCCTTTAATGGGCGATAATCGCGGGGGGTGGCTTGCAGGACCGGGTATCCACCTCACAACAGATAACTACTCCGTATGATGTCCTAGGATCGGCGTGACTCGGGCACATCATTATTGATACCAGCATGCCCCTCATTCCCAAAGGTTGTTCTTGGCTTATTTCGGTGAGAATCTGAACTATATAAGTCAGCTCATCTCCCTGGGATTTAATCTTTATTTCAAACAATCCATTGCACACAACCGCTGCCTCCAAAACTTCAAACATCCCGCTTCAAACCGAATCTCTACTTCCACACACTTACATCTTTTCCAAAGTATCTTCAAAATGTACACCATCCCTCCCTCCCACCGTTTCCTGGTCCTCTCCGCTGCTGAGTCTGGCCCATACAACCCTGCCAACCAGTTCCTTGTCTTGTCTCCCACCGAGTCTGGCCCGGACCCTCGCGCCTTTGAAGAGTCCCAGACTGAGACCAACTCCGCTGAGCAGAGCCCTGAGTTGGCTCCCCTCAGCCGTGCCCGTACCAACAGCTCGTCTTCTACCAACTCCTCAGCCTCTTTCAATGACCTCACTGGTACACTTCCCAATGGTTTCCTCTACCTGGGTCATGGCAAGAGCAAGAAGAACTAGATTCCCAGTGTCTAACTAGCCTTCTCATTCTGGTCTTTCTCATCCAGAACTTATGATATACCAGCATCACAGCGACCGATGCATCATTGTACTCATCAACTTTGTCTTTTTTCTATTTTTCTTTTGCAACATCGAGCCTGCCCAATGGCTCCGATCTGGGATTTTGGGATAACCTCAATGAAGGAACACGGCAGGAAAATCAATAGGGGTGTTTATGGGCGCTACTATCGCACTTTGGTCTTCATTCAGCATTAGTTTATGGTCATTACCCCTTCCGCTTCTGGGAAGCATATATACTCCGCCCCAATGGGAAAGTAGCGATCAATAAATAAAATGATCTACTATCTGAATACTTTCTTTCTCCACTCTTGCCACCAATCCATGCCGTTTACGCCGTCCACATGACCCATGTAGAGGAATCTCCATCCCGCCGGACGCGAGGAGGTCCCTGAATGTTTGCCAAGGGCCGCCAAGATGATGATTTTCCGCCAAGCCTTGTGCAATCTGATACTCCCGCCTTGGCCGGAGGACAGGGATTCACGCCTATCGCGGATCATGTTCCACAGCTTAGGCAACAGTGGACATTGTGCATGGTATAATTGTGACGCAAATTTTTTTCCCGGTCTTGCCAAGGCCCCTTGTTGCCAATCTCACTGCGACTGCTTATCAGGCAGTTTTTTTTTAGTTTTTTTATTCACTCCTTGCACGTTTATTGTCTCTTGAACAACATTGGCTTGTATCAAATATTTGGTCCACAATTGACAACTGGCTATGCTACTCTTTAAATTTCGGTGAGACCGTCCCCTCATTCCCTCTGCCCCTCCTATGGGTCTGGGCCCCATTAGTTTCTCCGCACTGGATAAATCCTGGGGCTAGGATGTGCACTATTTACCTTACCCTATCGATAGTCTCGGTGTACTTTAAACTGTGTATGTCCAATGGGATGTGCCTGTTCTGACCACATGACAGATGCTAAGCGACGTGAACTCGGTAAAAAGGAGGAATTCATCAAGTCGGCTTTCGGATTCCGAGTTGGTCAGAATTACCCTAGTACTTAGGGCTTGGGCTAGGACTAAGGTTCTCACCCATCAAATGTAAATATGACTGGTTCTCTGAGTGATAGATCTGTGTTACCTTGTGCTTTGCTTTTAGAATAATTTTCATTTTGCTTCACGAGCCTCGTGGGTATTAGATGAACCCAAAATAAATTGGGTTGGAAGCCGTGTCCCACGCTCCTCTAACTCTTTTCTATCAATATATCATAATAAGAGACCGCTACTTCTTAATATAGGGGTCAGCATTGAATCAGCCCATCTATCTTGTCTCAAAATATGGCCCGAGAGTTCTACAATGTACGTTTGTTGTTCCCCTTTAATCTCGTTGTATACGAAATATGATATTGCTTCATCACCTCTCATGCCATTTTATTTCTTATAATCCGTAGAGCTAGCCAGACTCTCGACCTCAAGAGAATATGCACATTCCCGATTTGCTCTGGAAGAAGCTGTTCCGCGTGGATCTCCCCACACCACCACGATTGTCGATATGTTCAGAAAGTCTAACTTGCGGACCATCCCCCATTCCAAGGTTGTCATACCCTGCCATTATATACACTCACCTTTGAATTGGAAAATTCCAACGTAGATAAGCCCCCGCTCCTTGCCAAGTCTTCCACTAACCCTTCCTTCAGCATTCCTCTAGAGAAATATTGACCAAACATTACCGCATCCCCACGCATGATGATAAGGGCAAATACTATGTCGCACACGACTGGGATATTTTTTATCACACCACCTTGACCGGAGCCTCTGAATTGTGGGAACCTAATTCCCCGCGGGTAATCTGAATTCCTCTGTCCATCAACGAAGACAACAGCGCCACCCAAACGCCCCTGTCAAGGGATACGAGCCTTTTGTAATAAAATTGACAGTCGAACGCAGTCTAGACCCAGCTCTCTGGCGATGGAATCAGTACTCTATCCGCGGCTCAAGCCATATGAAACGGAGCATAAGCACGATATAAGGTGTTGTCATGTTTTACTGAACACAGAGATGCCGTGAAATCTAGAATGCATGCTACAAATTACTCTGTATAAAAGTCATAATTTAATCGTCGCACGATATCATCTTCAAACCTACACATTCCCCCTTTTGGGATGGTTGTCGCCGGTGGTACAGCATCGCAGAAAGTAGCCGAGTTATTTCATGAATGAGACGCAATGGAAGAGTAGAAGACAACAAGCCGGAATTGCTTCTAGGGCATGGTAGGGATTCAAGGCAAATCTCAATTCCAGTTGATCCATGCTTCGTACTCCGTCCACGGGTGGCGAAAGCGCCAACGTTAAAATCTATAAATATGTACATAGGTAGCTATGTATAAGGTTATCATCTAGTGAAGTAAAGTGGAGCAGACGTGAGAGATAACCAAATGAAATCTGAGAAATGTCATATGCTGAATCAAGTTCAAATCAATTAGATCACATCCCATCCCAAATTGTGTTGCTGCCTAGATTTGGAGGGCATCCATGAAGAGTGCTGTTTTATGGCATCAACCAAATCAAACAAGGCATTTGATCTGGGACTCTATATATATATATATATTCGTAGCCAGATGATAGTCGCCACCATTGAGGCTAGTCCAGAGAGCAGGAGTTTGACCTGAAGCGTGTCCTTCCTGACGAGCCCACTCAGGAGGCTATTTCCGCGTTCAACAAGATCCAGCCTTCCCACAGCTCTTCAGCTGAGATGGAGTAAATGCGTCCGGTGCGCCCATTCCATATGCCATCAAAACAGATGGCAAAATATCAAAAGTTTGACCTCTTGAGCTTGCTGGATCACGAATAAGTCTGCAGGTTTTCTGGATACAATATTTGTGGTATGGAACCAATTAGGGCTGAGCTGCTTTTTGACCAGATGATATTCGTGTGCCCCATCAGTCAAACCAAAACTGTCCGTCCTGGGGCCTACACCACTGCAACTTGCCGAACGCAAGCTCCATGTTCGGATACCGGCGAGACTTCACGACAGTCTCGCTGCCCAGCTCCCCTCCCCGCCTGATATGCGAAAAGCTGAAATCGGTGGGCTTATTAAACACTGCTTCTGTATCAAAACCCCCCTCCTCTCAATCAGACTTGGGAGAACTGCTGCTCATCCAGATGGATGCTGGCGTCCCTTCCATAGCGAGAAGAGAATCAGAAAGTCGATAATGTAACTTGCCGACAATACAGTCTAGGCATCTGATTTCCAATCACGGGTGAAGAGTGGAAATTGATGTTCTTGGTTCTGGGTTTGTTTTAAGTCCTTGCTTATATTAGTTGAGTAAGGTTTGAGGATCGTTTACGTTGAGAAGAAAGCATAACTCAATGACAAAAAGGCCTAGGAGGACATCAACCGTAACAGGAATCAGTACCTGGTTCTCCTCGAAGTGTGGTCTCAAATTGTTGAAAGACATTTTGATGATTATGATTGTCTTAAGGGTGTGGATTACCGCTTGTATAATAGATATTCGGGTTTCAACTCGACCGAACGGGGTTAATTAATATAGAAAATGAATGTTAAGGGTAGGAAACTATATTAATGAGAAGGGCGAATTTGTTAACCCTCTATACTTCGTTAAACTCTAGGACAACATAGGTCTACGAGCTTATCACGAGGAATCCAAATACAATAATGAGAGCGGCCCTATAGAACCGCGACTTCTAAAAGACAGGCGAGGCTGAGTGGCTAAACTACCTGTATGGTTAGAGGTAGTTCACGAGGTACCAAAAACAGAGTCCCTTCTCGCAGCAAGTCAACCTACTGGCAACTGATAACATTAGAAACCTAAAGAAGTACGAAGCACATTGAAACGTCAACAATCTAGGAAGTTAGGACTCGGACATACCAGCTTCTATACTGCATACGTGTGTGGCGAGTTCAGCCATCCAAACTGCGAAGGGGAAAAAAAGGCTCAATTTTTCACTGAGTATGGTTTCAGTGAGCAAAGCGAGAAAAGTGCCGAAGCATCTGGTTAGTGTGATATTCTGGGGATGGGAAAGTTGCTGTTCTTGAGGAGTGTATAGTCCAATTGATTGTCTGTGAGAGGGTACAACGAGTCTAGCATGAATCGAGAAAAGAAGGTCTCCGCAGCAACGGCCTACCTCCGGTGAAATTTAAGGGCTGGGCCCGGTCATTTATATCACGCTCTAGCTACGTTCAGCGGCAAGATCTATTCAAGCTAGTCTTCAGACTTAAACTTTTGTTTGCGTTCACTGCGCGCAGACATAGATGAACTGATTTTCTTTTTTAAAAGGAACTAGTAGGATCCGAAGCAAACACAAAGACCAAGGGAATATCGAATGAATTGATGACAATATATGGAGTATACCTAGGTATATATGCGGTATACGCAACAAGACAACCTCCCTATAACGTACTTCTTTAAGATTGCGAATATGAAACTAGCAAATATGCTACAGTAGCCAATGGTATATGCACTAAACTTTCTATTACAAGGATCCAAATCATTTGAGTAACATGAGCACTTGTCACATTGAAGAAACATGTTGGATTATTAGCTAAAGAGCCATATTACTCTTTTCCGTGTGCTGTTCTCTCAATATAAACATACAAGGAAATCCAGGAGCCTATTGGCACAGATAACACGGCATATTTGAAGTGATCCCAAGTCTCCAAAAGCTTAGATCAGAGTTCTTCCCAGTCTCTGTAGAATGTTGTATCAAAATTCCGAATTCCCCACAATAAAAGCCATGCGGGGGTGTTGATAGCGGTAAGGGGTCGGATATATTCCCCTTATCAGCCAGCCCGGCTGCAGATCAACAAACTAAGCGCTGTAACCTGATTTAACTATGATGCAAGCATACCACATCATGAATCCTGACACGGCTGGTATCTCAGCCTATTAGATTTGTTGAGACTGAACTAGGAGCAAACTAACGAGGGCGGAGGTTTGACGTTGACTTGGAAAAATGACAATCATCCTGTTTTTAGTCTCGTAATTTACTTACCTGGCAACCCCGACATTTACATTTATTTCTCGCCGTATTGAGTAAAGAATGAATACATCATATCGGATTGGGGATGAATTCCCGGTTGAGTTCTAAAATGTATCTTTGAGATTTAACATCCTGCCTCTTGTGCGCCTTGATGCGTGTTTGTATCAGCCGCTTGCACTGCCACTTCACATCTTGCTCGAGTTCTATAACGCCTGCCCCACCTCAACATCCAATATACTCTGTGTAGTAGTCCCACGGATCCCAAGTGCCGGTAAATTGACACAGAATCATTGGCAAATATCTTGTAGACCATGCATCATTCCTATTAGCAGTCTACTGTGCTTTTCTGACCTTCCAGTACGCAGCTAGCCAGCCCGACTGTTCCCAATCGACAATTGCAAGAACATGATATGGCTTAGAGCATGTCATCAAGATGTTGCTGCGGTGGAGATCAACATGCGTAAAAGTAATAGCACTATCATCAGGTGAATCCTTACGAAACGGCTCGATTAGGGCAGAATATGGATCTGGCATTGGTTCGATATAGGAGAGTGAACCAATCATGAAACTTCTGGACGGTACTAAACGGCCCGGCTTAGGATATAGAGCTGGGGTGAAATGCCCTATCATAAAAATAGCTCGTAGAATGTTACTTATACGCGGACCTAAAAGTTAGACAATGTAACCCAGGGACTTTAAAGACTTTTGAGAAAACCCTACCAATGAACGGATCTGCTCGATCCTATTCAAGTTGGCAAAGGTTGTTGCAGATTGTCCAAAGCTCATAAGAGACCGAAACACGGTCCTCGGTTTCCAGCATATCCCACAGCTGCTCCAGAGTTGGCACCTGCAAGTACTCCGTTAAAATAAGCATTATTTTGCTATCCTGGCGCCACCCGCATCCTTCCGGAACGTGGAATTCATCTTTAAGGAGTTGACCAATACCATGGAGGCACTGGCCCTGGGAGATTCTCATATCCGTTCCCCTTTTAACAAACAGTCCAGAGTCCTTAGAATAACACAGGCGGTGGTCACACATTAGGGGTGGAAGGACTCCTGCGAGATGTTGGGCTTTGGCTTGCGTGTGGATTTCATCTGGAGAAGGTAAAATGGCGATCTTATTGAAGAAACGATAATCTTTCGCGCCGAAATTGGAAGATTTTGGTATCATTAGGGGATCAATGTTATGCGTTCTTGCTTGATAGGTACCCCGCATGTCGAATCGGGTGGGATCATATTCATCAAATGAAATCCGTGAGATAAGAAAGCGTGTTGAAAAATTATACACAGTTGCTGGTATTGTTCATCTACGTGGCAAAACGAGAACCGGTGCGTCGAGGAGGTACAGGGGAGAGGGGTTTTCATGTTAGATAAATTAAGTCGCGTTACAATTTGGCCAGGTGGTTTGCATTGCTCATCAATCTTCAATGTGTACATCTGATGTGTGTCTGTCATAAGGGGGAAGTCACAGCGGCCGTTTACCCTAACCTTGTGATTAACATGGAGAAAGGAGGCGGTGTGACCCCCCAAGTCCTAGGCGGAAACACCACGTCTCACCATAGCGTCTGCGCGGTCACCTCAACTTACACCATATCAGGTGCGGATCGACAAGTTGCAACCGAGGTTCTTCCCAAACATTGGTCACCAGACGACCCCGAAGAGATATAGTAAATGAGGTTTTGGGGGCTAAGTGGTTTTAGTTAGCTAAAGGATGTGTTGCACTAGTACTAGGCTACTAATATTGAATCCACGGATATTGGGCTGGGATAATAAGCTCGGAAGGTCAATTGGGTTTATACTACAATATTGTGAGACATTGTAAAATGATGAGGCTTGTGTGAATTGCATTCAGCAAATAATACATAAAGTTGTAATATATACTGTATAGTATATCGAAACAAGAATAAGATCTACCCTGCATAAATCGAAAGATCCAGACAATGCTGATTACGCATGGTGGCGATGTTTTCTCTAATAGTACGCGGTCCAGCAACGAAGGTGCATATCGACCGTTGAGCGGATAAACCCGAAATAACCCCGAAACACAAGGGGTTACATAGTATCGACCGAGTGAAGGTTAAACCGGTTCTATATTGTACAATAGTACAGTACTATATAATATATTATATTGTTTTATCACGGGCATAGCGGACTCCGAACCTCGGGAGTTTCGATGTTCCTGCCGGGGTATGCGGGTTTCGGGGTTTCGGGCCCCTACGATTGTATGATTGTACAACGTATTATTGAATTTCGCCCTAAAATCCCGAGGATCCGTTTCTGTTGACCGCTAGAAGCTCACCTTTTCTCCCGCACGTTCTAGCGTGTATCGACTAAATAATGAGATTATTTCGCCACAATTGCTTTACAACTAACTTACTGAACACAGTTTCATGCCGATCAGTGGGATGTTCCACCCTTTTGCCGACGTGAGATCGTACTAGGAAAAGGGGTATCGACCCATTTCATTTGGCTATACACTACAATGTCCAACCCTCGATTATTGACTCTTGATCAACAGCTTTCAATTGAATATAGTAGGTGGCTTCATTTGGTGCAAAAGGTAAATCGCCACCCCGATCTCTTATCGATCACCCCTTGCAGATGACCCCCGGATTTTACAGGGTATCTGAGTTTATTTGGCAAGATCTATATGGGTCTATGTATCTAAACATATTTACGTTGTAGTATATCAAGATGATCTACCGATCCCAAAGCCGTAGAATTTGGAAGGTTATTCTTTCTTCACTTATGAGCCATGGAAGACAACTACCGACAATAGCAGAGTTAAATAGCCCCACTGAGGCGGTTCTTGGGAGAACCTTCAATAATAACTAGGACAAATGAAGACCTAAGTAATGAATATCATTCAACAGATGGGGTTGATTAAGTGTCGCTCATTACATAGTTCAACACCATTGAACATTCCATGATATACCACTTGATGATGACGGCCGGATATAGTATCCCAAATAGCTCCCATTAATTCTATCGACATCATAGACTTCAGGGCCCCAGCATTCTTATTAGTCACAATACACTAGCTCTGTTTCAGGTAATTTGAATACATATGTACGATTAATTGATAGTGACGTTTTCAGTTGCCGTCCCATTCTAACATACTTCCATACTACTTACCCGTATACTAGAATATATACTATACGTTTCCAGGTCAATCCTCTACTCGTTTTTTCCGGGATAGTCTAAGATCTACTAAAAAGTACTAGTCAATATAGTCATCAAGAATATACACCCCTCAAATATAATTGCTCGGCGCCAAAACCCGCTAGAAAGAGAATCACGTGGGTCACGGCGCCTGTCCTAATCCGGAAGAGCGGTTTGGAACCCATCTCATAGAAAGTGATCAATCTTGCCCCTACTACTCTTCATCTTATCACTCTCCAATTTCCAAAAAAAATAATCGTTCTTTTTGGATCCTATTTTCAGGTTCATAATATCCCTAAGAAGAAAAGAAGAAAGGAATCATTAAAAGAACTCGACAACTTTCTGCCAAAGCGGGACTCCATCCGAGTGGGCTCTTGTGAACCCGCCCAAAAACCGCCGTCCACTCAAAAGTCCACTCATCGAGGGGCACCGATTGTCTTAAGTCGTGTTCTTTATTCTCTTCAGCTTTCCATCTATTTGTGTGAGCATCGCGCCTCAACGCGGGAATCGAAGCAACCTTACCATAAACCCCTCGGGCTTGGCGTCACATCGCGCAGATCAGACAGGGAACTAGGATATTTATTCGTCAGACCTCGATCGGAACCAACAAACGGAATTTTCTCCGGAACTCATTACACCAGGCAGTTCACCACGATGACTGGCGCTGCTCCCATTGATATTTCCTCCCGGACAACTTCGGTGTCGCCGCCGGGCCAGCAGGCGTCCAATTTGACCTCGGCGCTGCAAAGAGCGGGTACCGGCGAGCGCACAGGGAGTTTCTCAAACCATGCCGGAGGAGGACTCGGAATGTTTAAGGCGCCACCGCCTCGTAAGGACTCGATCGGCGCAGCTGCGGCACAATGGGGGAACGGGACAAAACCCATCTCCATGTCCGGGTCTGCCCGCGACAAAGGCCGTCGGGAGTCGCTCGCCGGGAGCTTGGTGGGTGGCATGAGCTGGGGTGGTGTGTCCGTTGGTAGTTGGATTCGTGATGAGTGAGTATTCTTTTCCCGGTGACGGAAGGCCCACGGTGGAAACGCTCGTGTGCTGCTGGTTGTTGCACTGCATCAAAGACTGACCAAGGAAAAATTCCGCAGTATCATAATGACTGGCACGTCACCATTTGCCTTCCAGTCACCATCTTTCCACTCTTCATCGTATCTCCCGAAGCTAGAGGCAAACTTTATGCGAGACTTTTCGTGCTGCGGTGTGACGTTACCAACACTTCACGACCTACTACAACATTACGAAGAAGCCCATGCGACCAAGTCGCCCAATCAAGGGCATCGACCGAGCCAGGGTGAAAACCGAGCTGCTTTGGCCGCTGCGGCAATCGCACAGCAACAGAGCCAACAGCATGGCAACCAAGGACGTGGCCTGCAGCCCGACCGGACCCTAGACATGCAGCGTAAATTGGGACAGAACCCATCCCCGTTACAGCATGCAGATCTGGACACAATCGATGACATGGAGTTGGACGATGCCCTTGGCGACGGAGACGCTTCGACTTCGCAGCTGTTCTCCCCTCAGATGCACGAGGGTGGACAAGGTGGATTTGGAAACTCCAACCAAGGCTCGCAATTAAATCTCGGCATGCTTCCAAGCCACCAAGGATTCAGCACACCCTCGCAACCCGGTACACCGATCGGATCAGGACGGCCTCTTTCCTTGCAGAACAATCCGACCGTTTCCTCCGTCAACACCCCAACGTTGATGGCCAACCCCCTTCAAAACTCGCAGTTCCGAAATACGCCCGATTCATCCGGACCGGGGACCCCCGCTGAAATAGACGAGAGCATGATGGGTGGCTTCGGTGACCTCAGCATGCAGAATAACACTATGGGCCAGAACCAGAACCAGTTCGGCCGCTTCAATGGTAACAATAATGACATGGTCGATCTCTGTATCGATGAGCCAGCCAAGCGGCTCTTTAGCCCAAGCGGTGGCATGGGCTCTCCTAATGCCCACTTCAAGCTTAGCGGGGCTCAATACGGCCCGAATAGCGATATTGCACGACGGATCCGCGAACAGCAACTGCTGGCTGGGGTTCCCGATACGACCGTTATTCTCCCGAATGAGGAGCCCAAACCATTCCGGTGCCCTGTCATCGGTTGCGAGAAGGCATACAAAAACCAGAACGGACTCAAATATCACAAAGCTGTAAGTGTGGCTTAGACTCTGCCAGACCTATCTCATATTCTAATGATCTCTTCCCTTCTAGCATGGCCATAATAATCAACAACTTCACGACAACGCCGATGGCACCTTTTCAATCGTCAACCCAGAAACATCAGCACCTTATCCCGGCACTCTTGGCATGGAGAAAGAAAAGCCCTACCGCTGCGAGGTGTGCGGCAAGCGCTATAAGAACCTGAACGGACTCAAATACCACAAGTCCCACTCCCCGCCCTGCAACCCCGACTTCCAGCTTGGAGGCCGCAACCTTGCCCTGGGCGGTGGAGTCATGCAAGGGCAGAACATCAACGTTGCTGGAGCTGGTCTCCCCGGAATTGGCGAAGAAGGTCTTATGTGAACGCGTGAACGAAATATGTCCATATGTCCATACATAATTCCCAGCTAATTGACGCACACGATCTCGACGGCTTTCGGGGGTCTGAGCACTCCTGCACACACGATGTCATGATTTTGAAATTGGGTCTGGTCACGTTGGAGTTTTTGAGTCTTCTGCTTTCGTTCATCTTTTGGAACATTCTGTCTGGCTTCGCGCCCGGCCTTGTCCCTTCTTGCTTGAATCTGTTTGGGTCTGTTCTACTACCATGGGTCGGTTTGCTTGATATCCCTTGCCATTTACAAATCTTTATGTATTGGCCCGGTAATAGAGCTTCCCTTGAGCGATCACCGGCCACACCGAGATATCTGTCAGCATCAAAGAGCTGTTTAGAATGAATGCTGGCTGCTTGCTTTGACTCTATCCCTGTTCGATTTGCGCTTGCGTTTTCTCTCACAACCACGGCTCCCACGGGAATCGAAGGGGAATTGGACCATACAACCCCGCCACGCTATCGCTGTTGCTTTTGCTGCGTGTTTCTTTTTGCACGGGTTGGCTTTTTGATTTGACTTGCGCGTCATGTGCGCATGTGCGTTCAACGTTTCCGTTCATGTGCCTCTTCCACAAGAAAAACGACAGTCGCTGGCAAGTCCGAGCCACTCCCTAGCACTTAAAACAAGCACCGAATGGAACGATGCAAAGTGGTTGTATGATTGGCTGGGGTCTGGATTATATGGGATATTGTGCGAGGTTGAGGGCTAGGGACGTGCTACCGTCCCCTCCTTCGCCCAGTCGGTGTTCGCTCTCTTCCCTTCGTCTCTTTCTTGTGGATTGGACTGGATCTGGGATCTGGGATCGGGAAATGGAAATGGAAATTACAAAAAAGTGTGTTTTCTCGGCGTCGGATCTTTGTAGATATGGATTTTTGATACACTGGCTTTCTCGTCTTATGTTACTTATCTTTCTTTCCTTGCCTTGCTATTGCTATATATTTCATTTTTCAGATTTTATTAACACTTTGACAAGTGGTATTGCCTTGGTACATAAAAAATAAGACCTGGCGTCGCGAGGGCCAGCCATGTGGAACAAATCAAACGGCATGTTTCCGTTCTCTGTTGTTCAACCATAGTCTTGCATACATGAAAAATCCAAATATTCAACTTGATTGATCGATATATTAACTGATGAATTGCAGAAATTCCAAAGCAACCGAACTGACCTTCACAAATTGTTTATGCCTTTTCTGACATTCAATCTGCACCAGGATTTTAGGGCATTTCCGCTTTCGCTTCTCAATATCAACCTGGCCCATGCTAATGATTGCTTAATACTAATTCCAATGATCTTAACTCAAGGAGCAACATCCGATGAAGGAAGCCGCTTCTTCGTGAAAGCCCTCAAACGATCAAATTCCCTTTGCAATTCACGCGCAAATCTAACCTGGCTTTCAGCCTCTTTAGCCAACCTATCCAAATGACCTTGAAACTTCTCAAAAACACAATCATCGTCAAGAGGTTGTTTATGTTTCTGCGGTCTGCGATCAAACCGAGGATTCCGTATTTGAAAGCGACCTACCCAATGTGAGCCGATCTCCGGGGGTTCAGTAGTCGGATCGGTATGCGCGTCTTTTAGAATTGCATTGGCTGCGGCGCCAATTTGGGATGGCTCGATGGTGGCGCCATCTTTTTCGAATTCTTCAATGTACTTAAACAGAGCTTCTTCTTGTTCGGAGTTGAGTTTTCGGCCGTTGGCTTCCCGCTCAAAGATTGATTTCCCGCCGAGCCATCGTCGTCGGAGTCGGTTTTCGGGAACCCCGAATTCGCGCGCGGTTTTGGAGAAATTGCGCTTTGGTTGCTCTGATAGGAAAGCTAGGGCTTTGGTGATCTGAACTTCGATTTCTGTATTGTTGGCTTTTGGCATTTTAGAGTTGTTGAGAGAAGGGTGACGGATATAGAAATTAGAGAAATCTGGTGTTTGGGTGATTTCTTCTGTGTGGACCAGGCTGTCTGATCGTTATATGCCACGCTGCTAACATAGAGAGCATGGATGGAGTAGTACAGTAAATGCACATATAATTATTTTTACAATGGAATTTCTGGCTTATTGATGTCGAGAGTCACTCAATTGGTTTTATTGGACGTAGCCGTACCGGCGATTCATTCTAATACAAAGCCAACCATACGGTATGGCAAAGAGATGGGGCAAAAATAGCAAACCCATCCATCCTCACTAGTTAGCGCCGTGAGCCACTGAGAGCTCAAAATCAAACAAAAACACGGGAAAACCCGGTAACGGATATGTCGATATCTGGGTAGTGGAATCATAAAAGAGATATTTCGCTTGCACAAACCGTTTCGAGAGCGTAAGTGGAAAGGCGTATAGATTTGTTTTCGTTTGTGTCGTAAACACAATAATGGGAAATTGTTACAGAACGGGGAAGTAAAGTCGTCAATGGATGTTGGAAGATGGATTGGAGAAATATTGTGGCGTGGTGACTACCATTCGAACTCGCCTTGGCCCTTGTGGAAGACATATCTAGAAAAGTTAGTATAAGGCAAGTATTGAAGGTGCAGATACAATCTTACTCTTTTCCACCACTGGTCAGGATGCCGTCCTTCAGGGTGCACTTCCACTTGTTCTTCACACGTTGGACCTTGTCATACGTGCAAAGCATGACTTGGCCTTCTGATTCGTCTTGGTCGTGATCATCTGCAATAAGATCATCCGGATCATCAAGATCAGAGTTGATGGCATCTTCATCTTCTTCCTTGACCTCGCCGTCTGCGCCATCAAATTGGCCAGCCATTCGAGGAACCGCAGATGCCTCGGTAGTATTTTGACTGAGGGACGCGCTCAGGGCTGCACGGCGGGCAATCTTAGCAGATGATTCATGCTCATCTAGGGGTCGCATGAGACCACCGGCCTCATATTGGCTCATGCGCTGCTTTAGGTGCTCGCGAAGGAGACGGTCGCCCTCTCCACTCTCAGCAGCCGCCCTGCGGCGTGCGACCTCGGCCTTCCAGTCCGTCATGGGGTCATCTCCACCATCGGTCTGTCCTCCCATAGGAGGGTAGCCATGTTCTTGTTTGATATGTGGCATCTGTCCATGGGCATTGGGGTGCATCTGAGGATATCCTTGTCCAGCCTGTGCCTGGGCTTGCATTTGACTAACAGAATTCGCAGCGGCGGCACCGTACTTTTGCTGAAGGGCAGTCGCAGCCCGGTCGCGAGCAGACTGCGCGTTCATACCATGCGGGGGCATGGGGTTGTTCATTTGGGGCATTCCAGGCTGGCTGTTGTGTCCAGGCTCGGTCTTAATGCGAGGACCTCCCATAGGCATGGAAGACGGCATTGGCGGGGGAGCATGTTGAGGGATGGAGACGGGTGGGGGAATGTATTGTTGTTGCTGAGGTGGTGGTCGAGGAGCATTAGAGGGGACAGTAGTAGAAGGATGGATGGCGTTCTGAGCAGGCTGCTGCGGGGCAGGATCCCAGGGGAAGTCAGCAACGTTGACCGAAGAGAGCTTCGCTTGCCAGGTCTGTTTAATATTTATTAGCATAAGTATACCAATATAAAGTCATGGACGAATTAAATTGTCGCTGGGGCGGAGGCTTGGCAGTCTAACACCTAAGCGGGTAACAGCGGCACATATAAAGGTAGACTCATAAGTCGGTGTTCCCCCATAAGCACCGCCTCCCGCACCTCGGATCTCCCCGCTTTTGGCCGACCAAAAGCAACCACGCCAGAATACCACGAAGGGCACAGAAGATGAGGGGAAATATATAAATCACCTTTCGCAGATCGTGCAGAGTCTGTTGATCGACACCGCTTTCTTCGAAGTCAACCTGTGAGGAGTCACAGACCTCCTGGATGACCTTCTCAAAGACGACACCCTATGAAGCGATGGTGTTAGCTCTCGCGTCCGGATGAAAGAAAACCGAAATGAGACATGTGTGAGGATCAAGAACACTCGAGAGGATAGATACTATGGGCGCGGGTGTGGATAGACCGAGTAGATCCCGTTGGTTGGACTTACGACTTGTTGGTTCGACATGGTGGTCGCTGAGGAAGAGGAACTGAATTCGATGCAAGGGCGAGAGAGCAAGAAAACTGAGAGATCAAGCTCTTTCTGAGCAATGAAAGCTTAGGAAAGCTCAAGAAGTAGAGCGCTCCGTCGCAAGTTGCCGAAAGGGTGATCGCACGGTCTAGGAATGACGCAATGTCGAGAGAAAGATTGGGCAAACTAAGGATTTCGCACCAAGGAGCGAAGCAGTATCGTTAGAAGTAGGTTCCAAAATACTAAACGTTTAAAAAGCGAGATGGGGATATTCCCGATGAGTTGGCAAAGGTGAAAGTCACGGCTCTGCGGTGGAAATCCCTCTGGGTCCGAGATGCTTACATAATCCAACCGCTTGCTATAGAAATTTGGTATATTCAAGACCTCTGTGAATTAGAAGAGAAAACCATTCCGCATTATTCTACAGACTAAGGTGTGAGTGACAAACTCCATGCTAGGGAAGATATTTTTTTTGAGAAAATAGACGACCACATTGAATTAAAAACAACCATAAGAATGGCATTTGTACAGTTTGTACGACCAGCTTATGGCAAAATAAATACAACGAAAAAAGAAACACCATCCAAAACACCGAGATCATTCTAGCCATGGGAAAAAAAAGCCATAACACCAAAATTATTGTCCCAGCCCATCAATGCTTTCAAGTATGAACCAGGGTATCGAGCGAAGTAAAGAGAAATATGCAAAGTCCGCTTAGCGGATGGTCATTGACTTGGTCATCTGAGCCTTGCTTCCGACACCACCCTCACGAGCAGCGGAGGCACTGCTGCCAGCCTTGCGCTCGAAGATCTTCCAGAACTTCAAGCTCTCATCAGCGGCAGTGGTAGCCAGCATCTGGCCATCGGGGCTGATGGCGCTGTGAAGAACACGAGTCTCGTGAGCAGGGATCTCGACATTGCGGACCAGAGTAGGGTAGCTCCAGATGCTGAGAGAATTGTCGGGGAATCCGCTGGAGCTGACAATCTCGCGGTAGTGGTTGCTCCAACGCAGAGAAGTGACCTGGGAGCCAGTGTCGATGCTGTTGGTACGGGCACCAGTCGTGGTGTTCCAGAAATGGATGTGACGGTCATATGAACCACCACCGGTGGCAAGAAGGTTAGATTGCCACGGGCACCAACTGAGAGCCTTGACGGCAGCGCGGTGGTTGGTCTTGGTGAATTTGGGAGCAGTGAGGGAACGAGCGTCCCAGATGTTCACAAGGTTATCATTTCCACCGGTGGCAAGCTGGGCACCGTCGGCACGCCATTCGAGGCCGCAGACCTCGGAGGTGTGGGAGACCAGCTCAGCAATTTTGTGCTCGGCGATGCGAACATCGTGGTTGTATACGAGACCACTGCGGGCTCCAGTGGACAGAGTGTGCTTGTTCCAGCCCATGACACCAACACGGGAGTCATGGCCATACATGCTGCGCAGCTTGGAGCCTTCCTCGACGTCCCAGATCTGGACTTCGCCAGTTCCCAAGCCAACTCCAACGTAAGCACCATCGCCACTCCACTTCACACTGCTCACGTAAGTGTCGGGCGAGGTTTCCAAAAGACAGTTAACAGTTCCAGATTCAGCGGACCAAACATAGACATTGCGCTCAAGACCGATGGCGACCTGGTTGCCGGAGCTCCAGTCGAGCAAGTTGAGATAATAGTCATCAAGAAGACCAGGTGCATCCAAAACACGTTCGGGGGCAGTTTGCACTCGGCGACGGAACTGAGCAGCTGTGGACTTGGCAGGGCGAAGAGGACGGTTGTACTGAGCACGAAGATCGATGGGCTTCGAGGATTCTGGGGGAGGAGGCTTGAAGGCGAGAATCCGAGTGTTCATGTTCACTCCGCAGGCTTCAGCCAGAGAGGACTTGTAGGCAGCGGCATCAGGAGCCGGCCGAGTATAAGTAGAAGGCTCGTTGTCTTCCAAGCCCATGTTTCCCAAAGCAGCAGCAAGATCATCATCGGATCCACGGGTACCAATGTCGAAAGCACTAGCTGCGGAGGCGAGGACTGATGATCCGTCACCACCACCACCACCACTCTTGGGGCGTTGACCCTCTTCGGGCTTCGCAGCACCAGTTGTGGCCAAACCTTCACTTGCGGCCCGGTTTGGGATGAAACGATCACCAGCGTTGTGGGAGATACGCACGGTCGTCTTGCTGGAACGAGTGCGAGGAGGAGCTTCTCTGCGGACGACACGTTCCTTCTCTTTCGAAGGAGTATTCGCAGTTGTGGCGCTTGTTCCGGTCAGAGTCCAATCAGAGACTCCGAGTTCCAGGTGCTTGGGTGACTTGCGTGTGCGGGCGATATTCGATTTGGGAGAATCACGGTAGGTGCTGCGTGTTGGCTTCGAAACGGACGTCTTCGGAACAGAGGTCCTGGAAACAGACGACTTGGCAAAATGAGCGGACAGATTTCCACCGTATACAGACTTGGTTTGAGTGCGGCTTGAATCGGACTGGCGAGGAGGTGTGAAAGGTGACTCTTGGGCACTTGCACGAGGGTTTGGTGAAGGGCTCAAAGGCATACGGCCTCCAGCAGTCTTGGAAGAGAAAAGCCCATGGTGGCTCTTCACCGGAGTAGACACAGTGACAGAAGTCATAGTGATATAAAATACAGGTAGGCGCAATGAGACCAATCCCAATAGAAGATGCAGAATACTAAACGATGTGGTTGATACAGATCAAACAATGGGATAGTATGCAGATATTTGAGGATAGTAAAAGAGAAAGAGTCGTATGAATGATGAAGAAAAGGAGATCGAAGCCCAGGGGAAGGAATAAATAGAAGTATACTTAGCTATTCTTGCTAAAACCACGAAATTCTCCCCAGCAACGGTCACCAGGCCAACATTCTACCGCATTGGGATTAGCGTGAGCTGACACATCATGCCAGGCGCTTGCCTCTTTTGATGATGAGCGTCTTGGCATTAGTCCACTCGCAATTGCCTCATTCAAGTTGGGCAAAAGGACCAAGAAATCGCCAATTTAAAAGATAATCCATTGCATATTCCTTGATTTTTCTCTTAACTTCAAAGGGATGATGGTTGTTTATAACAACTTGATTGAGGTGGCCACATTCTCTTGCTTCTGGGATGGCGCATCCATCTCCTCGTTCTAGTAATCCCCACCACGCTGTTCTCTCTTAGTTCCACCAAGACCCACTCGAACGATCGAACGACGTCGCCCTGGGATCTTCGAGGCCTTTTACATATTTTGTCTTCTTGGGACGATGCAGGACGCTTACTTGATGCCTGCCAGTACGGCCCTTGCTCGTCGGACCAGCGCGGACTATCGTCCCAGCATCAAAAAATCACAAGGACATGTCCCCGCCTGCTTGGTCAATGCCTCGGTGACGTACTGCAGCAATGATCGCATTTATGCATTCGGAGGATTCGACCAGTATACCGATGAAGGTCGGAGTTTCCTCTGTAATCTTTAGAATTATACTAATCTATACTAGTCTACAACCACGTGCTCAAGTTAGACCTGGAGACTCTGCGGTGGGAACTTGTTGATAACTACGGCGATATTCCCGGAGTGCGCATGGGTAATGACTCTCTCTCTTCTCATTCGCCCGTCACACATAGTCCACAGCACTCTAATTCGGTGATCTTTCTTTGACAGGACATACTGCGACATTGTACCAAGGCGATAAATTGATCGTCTTTGGAGGCGAAAATGAACATACCGACTACCTATCCGACGTCATTATCCTTGACCTGAACACCTTCACCTGGACACTCCCCGAGATTCGCGGATCAATTCCGCGCGGCAGAGCGCGCCATGCCGCAGTGATTCACGAAGACAAGCTTTTCATCGTGGGCGGAGTGACGGGGGAGAAGAATGTGATCTTAGACGACTTGACATATCTGGACCTACAAACCTGGACCTGGTCCCGAACCTGGAGTTTCACCGCACGCTTCGATCATACCGCATGGGTCTGGGGCAACCGCCTTTGGATCTTCGGTGGATTAGGCCCAAACATGGAACGGACAACTGATATTTGGTGGCTCGACCTCAAAGGATCCCCATCACTGGCCGGAAACATCACCCCCAAGGTAGCGTCGACTCCCTGGACGTCAATCTATCCACCACTCATCTCCCAGACTCCGTATCTAGTAGCCCTCATCAAATGTCTCCCCGGTCCGGCATCTATGCTGCGAATTCGGGAAGTGTGCAGGTGCGCAATCTAGGTCGACGCAAGCCCGTTGCGCCTGGTGCCATCTCACGTCTCCGTTTCAGCTCTGGTCCCCATGTCCCCTCTCTATTTTCTGGTACTCATTTCCATTCCTTTGCATCTGGTGTTCTTCTCGATCTGATCACGCCCTCGGAGACCGTACGGTCGCATGATTGTAATCTGTCGGCCCTGGAACTCAACTCGCTGCGTTGGCAGCGGCTCGCCGATGGGCAAGAGATCTTTCGTCCCGGTTACAGGTGGCACTACTGCACAGTCAATGATGCGGGGACCAAAGCGTGGCTCTTGGGATGTAGTCTCGACACCACCAATGTACCCGGTGGCAGTGATGGCAATCACATGAGTGAAGTTCTCACCATCGATCTAGAAAGGTACGGTCTGTTGGGCAACGGGTTATCGGCTGAGTGTCCCGAGCAGGACTCCCCTTGGCCATATGGCCAAACAGGACCTTCTCAGTTATCTGGGCTTGGGGCAGATCTAGCCGCTGACTTCGATCAATCTCCCGAGTCAGGCAGCGGTACTGATTTTGTTATCACTGCTATCTGCGATGATCACGAAGGCTCAGTCTCGGAAGAGATGAGCGACATGCCGAACCCTTCCACATATCAGACACAGCCAACCTTTGTGGAACCAAACTCCTCAACGTCAGAACCCATCCATGTCCACCGAATCATTCTGCAGATGCGGTGGCCACATTTCAAGCGCTTGTACTCGGCGCAGATGGCCGAGTATCATACCAAACGCATGCATATACCCGAGCCTTATTCCGTCGTGCGCGCCTTTCTGTACTACCTGTACACGGACAGTATTGCCGGTCATCCGGAGTACTGTTCGAGTGTTGTTGATGTTGCTGGCATGCTTGTCATGGCAAATCTTTACGACATGCCCAAGCTTCGGCTGTTGTGCGTCAATCGACTAAGTCGAGAGCTCGACGTAGACAATGCAGCGATCGTATGGGAGCGCGCAGGGCGAACCAATGAACATTGGCTCATGCGCCGAGCCGCTCAATTCTGTCTGACATACTGGGGTCGCGTGGTACGGACAGAGGGTTTCAAGTCCCTGAGCCACCAAAGTCTGATTCAGCTCTGTGAGGTGGTGGACACGGAAGGTCGCATCATCGCAGGACCAGAGCTAGAGATGGTCACGTTAGGGGCTGATGGTTTAGGGGACCGAGACAAAAGCTCTCGACTACGCCTAGGCTCTACCGCGGACGAGCTGTCAGAGTCAGAAGGCGACGACGAAGGCATGGAAATTTCATGAAAATAAAACGAATGGGGCACGCATTATCGTCCGGAGTTCTTGGCGGGGTCGCATTTTTCTGAATCTAGCATTATTTGATGAACATAAAATCGTTTATACTCTTAATCTGTAACTCTCAACCTGTAACCCTATAAATTTTTGACGGTGAACGGGCCGGTCAACCCGCGGCTGCCGCTAACACCCTTTTGGGTAGAGAGGGGTGGAGCCTGACGCTCTCGGCGCGGCGTCTCCTCCGCGCGGAGATCATTCCTGTCACGATAAGGAAGCTCTAAAGCGTGTCTCAGAATTTTCATAGAGTTTCAGGAAAAAAATGGATACATGCTGAAATTACATAAATGTCGATGTGCGCTGAAATTCAACTCAAACAGGTTGGCAAACGGCTTCTGCGTCAATTCCAATTCCAACCGTTATGGGGTCTATCGAACAATCCACTTTGCCCTCAGATTTCATCTGGGGCTTCGCAACAGCTGCGTATCAGATTGAGGGCGCTGTCAAAGAAGATGGTCGGGGGCCGTCTATTTGGGATACTTTTTGCAAGATTCCCGGTAAAATCGCCGGCAGCGGCTCTGGAGATGTGGCTTGCGACTCGTATCATCGAACACACGAGGATATCGCCTTATTGAAAGAATGCGGTGCTTCGGCTTACCGATTTTCCCTGTCTTGGTGCGTTGATTCTCTGATTTTTGACTGTTTATACCTCTTCTAATTGACGTCTTCGAATATATAGGTCTCGCATTATCCCGCTCGGCGGCCGCAACGACCCTATCAACGAGAAAGGCCTGCAATTCTATACGAAATTCGTTGATGATCTGATTGCCGCGGGTATCACGCCTATGATCACACTGTTCCACTGGGATCTTCCCGATGAGCTCGATAAGCGTTACGGCGGATTCCTCAATAAAGAAGAATTTGTTGCCGACTTTGCACACTATGCCCGTATAGTATTTACAGCTTTTGGTCCCAAGGTTAAGCACTGGATTACTTTCAATGAGCCTTGGTGCAGTAGTGTTCTTGGATACAACAATGGGTCGTTTGCGCCTGGTCATACGAGTGATCGTACCAAAAGCCCCGTGGGAAATAGCTCGACTGAGCCATGGATTGTTGGTCACAGCATTCTCATTGCTCATGGAGCTGCGGTGAAGATATATCGTGATGAATTCAAGGCGAAAGACGGTGGGGAGATTGGAATCACGCTCAATGGTATGTAAATTTTCCTGTGAATTATTGACTTCAAACTAAAAAAACAATAACAGGCGACTGGGCTGAACCATGGGACCCGGAAAATCCAGCCGATGTGGAAGCCTGTGACCGCAAAATCGAATTCGCAATCTCATGGTTTGCAGACCCAATCTACCACGGCAAATACCCAGACAGCATGATCAAGCAATTAGGTTCTCGTCTGCCCGCTTGGACAAAAGAGGACATCGCACTTGTGCATGGCAGCAATGATTTCTACGGCATGAACCACTACTGTGCGAACTTCATCCGCGCCAAGACAGGAGAGCCAGAACTCGACGATATTGCAGGCAATCTGGAGCTGTTACTTGAAGACAAGAATGGTGTCAGTGTCGGGCCTATTACACAGTCACCTTGGCTGCGACCCTCTGCGATTGGATTCCGGAAGTTGCTTAAATGGCTCAGTGAGCGGTATGGGTATCCTAAGATCTATGTCACGGAGAACGGGACTAGTGTTCTGGGTGAGAACGACATGGAGCTGGATGAGCTGCTCAATGATGAGTTCCGTGTGCAGTATTTCCGGGATTACATTGGTGCTATGGCTGATGCTTATACATTGGACGGTGTTAATGTGCGAGCTTATATGGCTTGGAGTCTTATGGAGTATGTTTCTTGTTTCTCTATATTTGGGCTGAATCATGCTAATTCGTTTGCTTGCAGTAACTTTGAGTGGGCTGAAGGATACGAGACTCGCTTTGGTGTTACTTATGTTGATTATGACCATGATCAAAAGAGGATGCCGAAGAAGAGTGCCAAAGAGATCAGCAAGATCTTTGAGCGTTTGATTGAGAAGGCTTAGATTGGATGCGGCGCAATTTATTTTGATGATAGGGACACAGCAGAATGTCATTTTACTAGAATTATTTACAAATAATTTGAGTAAGATGGCTGCTTTTAATCAGCCTCATGAAACTCAGCCCAAGTAGTTGGTTCAATATTGGTAATTGTTCCATTGAAGTCACAAAGTTGAAAAATGACAGACTTCATTGACGCTTGGAGCGTCTCAAGGAACTTAAATTACATTGATGGATTTTTCTTCATTGCCATAATACATGATTGCTTTTTCTAAAAGTACAAGACTGATCTGGGTTTAGTTGAGTAGAAGTGTAACAAAGGGAGAGAAGAGTGGTGATCTGGCTGCACGGCGGGGAAGTGTGGCGCCTATAACCCTCGCCCGCCTCAGCGGGTCGGAGCTTGAATTGCCCCCGGGCATCTAAAGATTTAGGAACAGCTGGTACCGAAATCAACCTGCTATAGTAAAATGTCTAGCAAAATGGAGTCAGTGGACGCAAAACACAAAGACATACAGAGGGAGACCGAGCGACAGCAGATTATGGGCCAGATTCGGAATATTTTCGGTAAGGCAGCTAGCCGAAGCGAGTAGGAGACCAACAGGATAATATGTGAGAATCTGAGATCGAATGATAACAAGAAAAACACAGAACAGGAACAGGAAAAAGTGCATGAGAAACATGTTGTACGCAGCTCTCCATTGCGCGGCACATCAACAAGTGAGTGATACCGGGGAACTTAGTAATTCCGCATCCGAATCAGATCTGATTCGTTTCTGCTTTTTTTATAGCGTATATCCCCCAAGCAATATGAGCATAACCCAAATCTCAAAGAGGCTCTCATCATCACCCCAAAGATTTCCAGATTGCTGCTTGGGGATCTCGAGCACCTTGATCGCCCACCTCTCTTCCATCCTTCCTAAGAAACCCACATTCACCGTTTCCGTGGGCAGCGGATCTGGTTTACTCGAAGCTTTAATCGTAAACCACGATGAAAATGTGACAGTGCAAGGTGTTGAGATTGGCTCAGCTGTCAATCGATATATTGCCGAAGAACACATGAACGTCGTGATCGGAGGCTGGGGACTCTGCTCTGCTGCTCAACAGGCCACAGCATGGATGTTTGTCTACCCCCGCGACCCGAAACTCATCAAAAAGTACATTGATACATATGGTGATCGACCTCTTGAGTTGATTGCATGGCTCGGGCCGAAGGTGGACTGGCCAGATTATGAGCTGCAGTTTCGCCAATCTTCGTTTTCCGAGTTGACTTATCCGGATGATATTGGACTAACACCGTATGAGGTTATGGTTATTGCAAGGAGATCATGTTAACATAAGCCAGTGGAATTGTCTGGAGTCTGCCGTTGGAATGAAATGTATATACATCGAACCTAGTACATAAGAAGCTATATCTCGCATGAGGTTTGAACCGTTCGCTGACGATATACAACGAGCAAGTTCTTCAAATGCTAATTTGTAGACATCAAGATACTAACTGCATCAAAACTCTAGATCAACTGGCGTATTCTAAAAATAGTGCCTTCTGCCTGTTCTCCACGGACAGAATTTTAGAGTCAATGTGGGGAGACCCCCCTCTAATCGTTAACTTTCTGCTTCATTCCCATTCGCAAGATATCTATAATTGGAGATGATAGAATGTTCCAATGATGGAAAAGTCCCAGTCCACCCTTCAAAGGGGCCGCATCGGTGCCACAAAATCTCGATTTGGCTGTAAAACCTGCAAGTAAGGTATGCCGCTTAGTTTGTTAGGATTCAAGCCTAACCATGACAGGATCCGGAGGGTGAAATGCGGAGAAGAGAGACCCAAGTGTCTGCGGTGCGCAAGCACTGGGCGCAAATGTGACTTTGAGACAGAGGAGCTCTCACCCCCCGCGCCATCTACTCCGCCTTTTCTGAACCCACGTTACACACCCTCTTTATCTCCAAATTCGGGGAGGAGAGAGCGCCGGGCATTTGAATACTATTTTCAGCATGCAGCTCAATATCTTTCTGGCGGTATGGACATTGACTTTTGGACTGGTGTGGTCCCACAAATTTGCCGCACTGAACCTGCTGTGTGGGATGCCATAATCGCTATTAGCGCTTTATTTGAGTGCCCAGAGCAATCATCGCATTTCACTTTCCTGGGAACCCAAGAAAGGGATCGTGCGCTCAAACAAGCCCATCAAGAGGCTTTGGTTTGGTATTCCAGATCAATATCTGGTATTCATTCCCAAATTGAGCGTGGTAGCGCGGATCCTTACATCGCTCTTGTCAGCTGCGTACTATTCATCTGTGTAGAAACTATTCAAGGACGCATGGAAGAAGCTCTACGACTTCTCCAGCAGGGGTTTATGTTGATTCAGGATCTCCGCACGAGGGCTTGCCATGGAACAGTCTCTCCTACAAAATCCGCTTTGTTAGAACACACAATCATTCCGCTGTTCTTACGCTTGAACACCGTTGCTCTTAATATATCAGGTACTCAGGTCAGCGAGCTCTTTTCTGTTTCAGAAGATACAGAATACGTGTTTCCATCTCTTGCCTCTGCTCGGCAAGGCATTACCACATTAGCTGCCGAATGCATGATCTTCCAACGAGAAGCAGAAGTACACCTGGAAGCCGTCAGTGGAGATACAGGTGTAAGCCAAGATCTTTTTGCTCGACAAGAGTATTTAAGGTTTCGGCTTGCGGGTTGGCTGCGTGCCTATACCGAGATCTGCCAAACTCTACGTCGCAAATGCTCCCCTAGCTCTAGATCATCCCCCCACACGGAGCCAACTCTTCTCACTTACCATGCCGCTGCCTTGATTCTTGTCTCTGGCTGTTTGACGCAACACGAAACCGTGTACGATACTCAAATGGCTGAGTTCGAAACAATCGTTGAGCAGTCAAGTCTGATTCTGGAGGCAATAGCCGGACCAAATGGTGCGCCACCGCCATTTACCTTTGAGATGGGTGTCGGATTACCGCTATATTTGACTGCGCTCAAGTGTCGTCATCCGGCTCTCAGACGAAGAGCTCTACAGCTGCTACAACAGGGGCCTCCTGTTCAAGGATTCTATAAATGTTCCCCTGGTGCTGCTTTAGCCGGGGCTCTCATGGCCCTCGAGGAGAAACAAAGCATTCAACTGGCTGAAACCATGGATCAAAGCCATACTGCTAGAGTTAGTGGCATCATAAACTCTGATAATTACTACGATTTCACCCTACCACTTTCAGCGGTCATCCCTGAGGAGGCCCGTATATGTTACGTTGGTGTTTTCAAACTTGGAAATGGTATTCCACATAATGTTTCTCAAGAGAATGTTGAAAAATGGAATCGCGGCCCAGAGCAGCTTTTTGTGTCATTCAGACGACTACGACGTGACCATGAGTCTGACAAATGGGAGTCCATTCATGATTGTGTACCCTTAGAATTTTGAGTTCAAATTTTTCTTTTGATATCTCAATAGTACACCTGAAACGGCTCATTACTGAGGCTATACGATGCTAATTGGGCAAAGTAACTCAGAATCGAGCTGAAGCAACAGAAGACCATATTAACCGGGCAAGATTCGAATATAAGGATACAGTTGTCTTGGCGAAAATTGGAAAACGGAGCTCATATTTCGTGTGTCTTAATGTAGCTCATGCTTTTCATGCCGCTTCTTCTCGTTCATGGCGTCTACCCGCTCCTAACACAGTATTGCACAATATTGCCAACAAATCTCCGCTCTTCAGCTTTTGTCACTTACAAGTTATAGACTGGTCTTCATATCTGATGTCATGCTTCTCTGACCCGACCATCCTATCTGGGCTTTTTTGCTCAACGATGAGGAAGATGACAGAATTGCGAATGAAATATTGTTCATCAAAATTGTCAAAGAATCAAATGCCGAGCTTCAAAGACTTGTCCACGACAATATCTTCATGAGAGCAAAGAACTTACTGCAGCTTAAGGAAACAGCAGATGAACTGAAGAACGCCCAATCGAGCCTTCGCAATAATGTTGCTTAGTTCGAAGAAGATATGAGCCAGCTTCCTGAGCTCGTTCATCGCGCAGAGCACTTTGCTAGGGCAAAAGACAGAACACAGAACTTCCTTTATACTCCTTCCACCGACTTCGGAGTCTTTCAACAACTGCTCCACGGTGTTGTTAAAACGCCATGGCTCCATGGGAACCTCTTTCGGAAGGGGTTGCTCTTCGGAAGGTGGAGGAGTAGGCTCTTCGGAACGTGGGTGCAGGGGTAGGTTCTTTGGTAGGCTCGACCTCTTCATTCCTTCTTTCTTTTCGCCTAGGCTATTTTCACTGGGCTCTTTGCTCCTACTTGGCTCCTACTTGGCTCCTACTTGGCTCCTACTTGGCTCCTACTTGGCTCCTACTTGGCTCCTACTTGGCTCCTACTTGGCTCTCACATTCTCCACATATTCAACCATCTGATCGAATTAATCCAGTTCACACAGGATCCTCCTATCTAGCCTTTTTCCTAAAAAAACCTCAAAGATTATCTTACTATAGCTGTGTGTATTACCTGGCGGGGTTTATCAGAGTAAACGAGCCTACCTTTTTCCAAAGGTTGGGTGTTATAGGCGCCATTTCAGCATATAGGGTCAAAACTATATCAGAGACATTGATCTACCATTACGCATCTCGACCATTTTGATCACTTAATTTATACTGGCATGTACGTTTGAAAAGACATATCTGCCAGCTCTCAGGTTATTCATCTGCCACTAGCTCAGCGCTGGGCAGATCCAGCGTCTACAGGAGCCGTCAACTATCGAGCGTTTTAGCAAAGATTCCTAGATCTGTGCAGACGACGACTATGCAAGCAATACCTTGAGTGATTGCGTTGAGTTCCACAAACTTTCTCAAAAAGCTGAAAAAGAAATTGAGGTTTTGCCAGAGTCATAGTTCAAAGTGAGCCTCAAGCAACTTTACAATTTATGCTTTCCAAGATCTCTTTTTCAAGTCCTTATCATTATCTTAGCATGGCATGGTTTCTGCTAACTACGCACGTCTTGATCGTTGTCTTGCTTATCGTTCTCGACTCGAGATGCCCATCAGCTAATCTTATTGCGTTCTGCTTTTGCTGTGTTCTTCTTTCTTTAAACTTAGTGTTTTTTGCCCTTTGTGCCGTTTCTTTTTCTCTATTTGCTGCATTCCACGTTAATCTATAGCATCAAGAATTCAAAAATAGGCCAAAAGCTACGTATTCACCAGTCATTCGTGTATTAGATCTTGAACACTAGATCTACTTCAAAGAGCATACCTAAAATGCTTAGACTCCATATCCGTCATATCCTTAAATCCATCCAAAATAGCCTGGGCTGCAACATCCCCCGAAACCCCATCAGCATGTTCTCTCACTGCAGCATCCCTACGAGCATTCTCCCACCTCATAGAAACATACGCCACAGCCGACAAAACAATAATACCAGCATAGCAAATAAGCAGTCCCGCAAGAGCCGAATAGTAGCGTGGAGCCTCGCGAGAAAAGAATATGTTAGCTCCGGCCACATTACCCGCTGCATAGAGCGAGAACCAGATACCGTTTGCGACAGCACGCTTCGTGTGGCCGCCCACATTGGTCGCGAGTATATTCCACGATACGATAACTGGTGCACCGATGATGTACTGGAGCCAAGTACATCCGACTAGCGTCCAGCGGTGATCTAGGTCTGTAAAGCGGATGCCTAGGAGGCCACAGAAGGGGATAAGACACACGATGGCGAGGACGATACAGCGCGAGTCTTTGATGTATGTGGCGACGATGCCACAGATTGGGACCACAAGGGCTTCAATTGCACCAGTGGGTAATTGGAGGAGTGTAGCATACAGCCCGTCAAATCCGAAGCCTTTGATGAGCGCCGATGCGAAGTTCGATACGCCGCCGTTGATAACGCCACATGCAATGCCGATTCCGGCGCAGCAGAGGACTTTGACATCGTAAAGGTTCTCCAAGGCTTGGCGTGGCTTGATTTCTCGGGTTTTGACACCGATCATGTTCTCCGCAACGCGTTGCACGGCTACCACGCGCTGTCGGTGGGATAGGAAGCGTGCAGAACTGGGCGAGTCTGGCATAAGCCATAGAAAGAAGCAGGCGCAGACAAAGTTGAGAAGCCCGATTGTTAAGAAGATCAGCTGCCAGCTGCGGAGAGCAGTATTGTGTGTATGGCCGAGACCAAAGCCCAGAAGCGCACCAACCATAGTGGCCATACCGTTGGCGCTAAGCCAAATTGCCATGCGCAATGGTTGTTCGGAGCGCTTGTAGAACATAGAAGTGAGGTTCATCACTAAAATAGATTGGATTAGCATTCTTCGCCTGGGTTTTGCTATCGGTTACTTACTGCATGGGCTGACACCTGCCTCTGCCATGCCCAGTAGGAATCTCAATACCAGGATTCCAGCATAATTATTGGCTCCAATATGAGCGATGACCAGTACACTCCAGATCAGAAGCATTCCACCCATATACTTTGCAATTGGTAATCGCTGGATCAATAGGTTGGCTGGGAGAGCCCAGAAGAGATAGCCGAAGTTGAATATAGCAGCGACCCATGAGTATCGCTGTCCCTCTAGACCAAGGTCTGGGATTAGGGAATAAGCAGATGCATAATTAAGTGACAGTTTATCTGAACAGAACGTCAGTTATGAGGATAGCCTTGAAAAGTAGGAATTCTCAGCATACCGAGGAACTGAATAACATAAGTCACATAAAGCTAGGGACATGGTGTTAGTAAATGGCATCAAAGTGTTGAAGTGTTAAAGTGAAGGAAACCGAAGTACTAACAATTGGCATAATTCTCCAATCGATAATGCGAAGCACTTTCGCCCCCTCACTCTCCAACTCCTCAGTAGACAGCTGCTCCGCTTCCAGGTACAGATTAGCACCGATATCGTGTGTTTCACCGAGGGCAACATCCTTCTCCACAGTGGAGTGAGGGTCCACCTTGATGTCTTTGTTCATCGTGAAGTTGATTGAAGTCGAAGGATTTATTGAGGTGCATTCTACACGTCCTTTGCTGGACTTATAAGTACTCAGCCATAGTCTAGACACATGTTATCGCTGCCAAGGAGATAAGCTTCATTATCTCTTCAGTTGCATATCTTTTTGCCGAATGATGATAAATGGTGATACGGGCTGCGGCCAAAAGTCCGATCGTGGAGGTGCCAAGACATGCGGACTATTGTCCGCCATCTCCACGTTAGCCCCGTTAGCCCTCTTATATACTTGGCTTTCCTGTGAAATGACAAGAGATCTGCGGTTATTTCGTATCTCAAATTCAAAGAAAAGATACACACTTGAAATATGGCTCATGATCAAGATTTCTCCTTGCTTGACGCAAGCATCTCGGACCTCCAATCCGCACTCTCTGCAGGAACACTCTCTGCCGTCGATCTAGTATCAAAATATCTCCGAAGAATCAGTACATACGATGCAAATGGCCTAAAACTCAGCGCAATCCCAATTATCAACCCATCCGCCATCCACGATGCAGCAGCCTCCGATGCCCGACGTGCATCTGGTCTACCACCACGGCCACTAGAGGGTATTCCATACCTCGCCAAAGACAGCATCAAAGTCAAAGGGATGAGCGTCGCCTGTGGATCCCCAGCTTTTGAGAACCTCATCGCGAACGAAGATGCAGCGTGTATCAAAATCCTCCGGGACGCCGGAGCCATTCTTCTAGGACGGACGAATATGCCTGCAATGGCATACGGCGGTATGCAGCGTGGCTGCTACGGTCGTGCTGAAAGTCCTTATGACAAGCAATTTCTGGCCGCAGCTTATGCATCAGGCTCATCGAACGGGTCCGCCGTCGCCACTGCAGCTAACTTTTGTGCCTTTTCGCTTGGCAGCGAGACTGTGTCTTCGGGTCGTTCGCCTGCATCGAATAATTCCGTCGTCGCTTACACGCCTTCTAAAGGCCTCCTACCCCTTCGCGGTGTCTGGCCTCTCTATGCCACCTGTGATGTGCTCGTTCCTCACACCCGAACCATAGCAGATCTATTCCAGGTTCTCGACGTCCTGGCCGTTTCCGATCCAACCCCAAAAGGAGATTTCTACCAGGAACAACCCCTCATCCCCCTCCCTTCAATCGACACCCTCCGACCAGAGTCATTCTCAACTCTCTGCGACGCCACTTCGCTGCGTGGAAAGCGTATCGCCATACCATCCATGTATATCGGCGGCGACCAGTCTTCCCTCAACCCCGCTAGCAAAGTCAACACCCGTCCCTCCGTCATCAAGCTCTGGCAAAAAGCCAAACAAGTCCTAGAGTCCTGCGGCGCAGAAGTAATCGAAACAGACTTCCCACTCGTAACAACCTACGAATCAAACGCCGACAAAGGCCAACTCGTCACAGTCGCAGGCCTGCCAGAAGGTTGGTCATCAATGGAGCGAAGCGAGCTAGTCGCCCATATCTGGGACGATTTCCTCATCGCAAACGCACAGGAAGGTCTTAGCTCCCTCGCGCACGTCGATCCGGCTACCATCTTCCCCCTCGCGCCGGGTTCATTGAAGGGCACGCCTGATGCAGCGAATGCGCTGCGCTGGGACGAGATGGTCAAGTATCCGCTCCGGAGACCGGATTCCATTTTTGATATTCCTGGTCTTCGGCAGGGAATTGAGGCGCTTGAAAATGCGCGCAAGGAGACTCTGGAGAAGTGGATGGATGGGCTTGGTCTTGATGCTGTGGTTTTCCCGGCGAATGGTGATGTCGGCGCTGCGAATGCGGATTGTGAGGAGGTCGCTTCGCGCTTTGCTTGGAGTAATGGAGTTAAGTATTCGAATGGTAATAGACCTATTCGGCATCTGGGTGTTCCTACAATCTCTGTGCCTATGGGTGTTATGGATGATACGGGGATGCCTATTAACCTCACTTTTGTTGGGAAGGCATATGATGATACTAGTTTGCTGAAGTATGGGTTTGCGTTCGAGAAAGCGATGAACGGCCGTGTGCGGCCTTCGTCTGTGCCTGCCCTTGACTCTGATTGTGTCAAGGCTGCCAAGGGCACCCTTTCCTGGACCTCACAGTCGATTCCAGAGTTGGTGGTGCAGAGTCAGTCAAAGAAAATTGAGAACTCAATAGTTTTTGTCCAAATTGAGGGGACGGTAGTCCCGAACGATATGGAGCTGTCTACACTATTGTGCTATGTCAATGGTGAACCATTCAATGCTGTCTCAGATGGAGATAGATGGTTCCTTGTCGCATCTTATCCTGAGTCTGAGCGCGACCAAACCTGGGAAAGATGGTCGAGCCCTGCTTTGACCCAGACTATCGTGGTTATCACAGCTCGTACCAAGTCTGGCTCGACGACTGGTAAATTGATACTGTTGTAAATACTATCGACTGTACAAAATTACATTGTTTTTTTTTCGTTGTTGCACACTCGAGATCCACTAGTTCCTTAAAGCCTCGATGTGTTTATATAGATTCCATTAAATCGTCTTCGAAATGCTCTTGCTGTATGCTTCCGCCATACATCATATCCTCAATCATCCCTAGCACAGCACGGTGCAGGTAACTCTTCTTCAATTGCTCGAGGTACAACTCAGCATCTGCGGGCAAGACAGGGGTGCTGGGTTCCACTGCAGCTGTATCAATATTCCACATAATCTTCTGTCGCAGAAACTCAAACACATTCATATACGGGATTGCGTCCGTCCAGCGGTCGATAAAGCCAGACAGATTGGCGGCGCATGTAGCAATAGTTTCTTGGGTAGTCAGTCGAATGTGTTGTTGGTTCCGACCATCGGTCAGATTTGCCGTCATCCAGACAATGTAGAGAAGCGTGATTCCTGCTCGGAATTGAAATACAAGCTAGAAAGGAAGTTTTTATTAGCTATTCGTTATAGCGGAGGTCTTGTATATTATATAGCACTTACTGCAGACCATGTATAGCACATCACATGTCCTTCATCTTGCAGCATCCTAAAATTGAGACAAACATCCACAATTGCCGCGAGGATATCCTCTGTTCCATCCATATCATCGAAATCCCGTCGTCCTTCTACCAGGATCAGAAGGCTGTAATCATATAGTTTCTGCATCCATATAGGGTGGAGGTAGCCGCATTGAACATTAGTCAACGCATTCTGCGGAATTTCCTGCCTCCAACTGTCCAACGCGGATTTAAATGACAATCGATGGCTCTTGTCATCCAGCATGAGAGTGTTGCAAGGTCGACTCTCCCGCGATCTTCTAATTTTCGCTTGAATCTTGCGGAGTCTGAACAAATGACCCAGGGCCGGGTTGATGTCTAGTGCCGGCTGGAAAGTATCTCCTAGGGTACACATCTAATGAAAGTCAGATGTTGTAGAAGAACGAAGAGGATTCAGACATAACTTACGTCATCGTCCACAACCCGGTCCGCAGCCGATACGGGCCTATCCCAACCAGAGACAATGACCTCGTTGAGCATGTAACAGGTAATAAACATCTTCTCCGATAGAACTTCATCGGGCTCCGTGGCCGATCCATTCTCCCTGCGGATAGAGGCGTGTTTCCGAATCTCCGTCATTGCAGCCGCACAAAAAGGTAATACGGAAGAAACACTCGTCGTGATCTCCTCAGAGGATGGAGAATGCAACGCATACAGAATCATAAGCAACGAAGCTTGAATCTGTAATACCAAAGACGAATGACCAACAACATAGGGGTAATATCTCATTGCCGATGTATAAAATTCCTTCGAGCGCACCGAGTGCGATGGATCACGCTGTAAAGTACTGGAAAGAGATGCGCCAATGGCATATACCATTCGCAAAAAGAAGGCTCTCCATTCATCCTGTCCATTCAGTATTGCTTCCGTATGCCATGATTTCCATGCAGCTTCGTCTAAAAATGGCCATTCGCGGTGGGTGACTGAGAAGTACATATTTGCGTATAGCTCTTTCAGCCAGGATGAGTCGTCGCTAGTAAATGAATATATAGGAGCCATGTCTATCCAGGGTAAGTTGAAGGAAGACTCCGTTAATAGGGAGAATGCATCAGACGAGTACTGTGATAGAGGCGTTCGGCGAGACTTCAGGCCCTGGTATTGCAATTCCGGGAATACCAAAGAGGGAATGTCATTCTCCGTGCTGCTGATTATATCGGAGTCGACCAGCAACTGTCGTGCATCGGTGCAATCCAAATCATCAAAATCTGTCTGAACACCAATCTCGCATGAGCTTGTTGAGTTCGCATTTGAACTATGATCGAGCTCTGCTACTCGTTTCTCTAGTTGTCTCAAATATTCAAGTGGGATTGTAATGTTATCGCCCGACTTCCGAGACTTGGCGGGCAAGCATTCAGCTCCTTTGCGACGACATTCACTGCAAGATGGCTTTGCGTGGTCACATTTCCGCTTAAGACGGAAACAGCGAGCGCAGGCTATGTTTCTTTGCTTCAGAGGGCGCGACATACAATAGAATATGAGAAGAAGGTAAATGCGGGGGACGATAACGGCCCCGGGAAGTTGATATCAGTTCTTAATAAGTCACTGGAATAGGAAGGTCGATGCGAAGATAATAATGCCATTCTCCTCTCTTCTTCATTGTCGTGTCTTTCGTTTCTTAAATATACTGATCTCTCTTCTCTCCGGGTATACATATTTCAATTATCAAGTCAAAATAAATCTCCATGGTCGTAATGGTCATCAATACTTGGTCAAGTCGCCAGCAACATCAACCTTTAATCCATCGCTGAGCCTTCGTATCATACCCAATTAACTTAGGATCAACATGCAAAGTCTTCAGCATATACTCCATAGTAAACTCCTAAGCAAAGAGGTCAGCATATGAGTTCTAAAGACAAAACCAAAACCTACCTCATCTTGATCGCCAATCCCAGACCCATCCTTCTCATCAGGCAAATTCTCAATCTCTCGAGGGTCAATCTCATCGTCAACATGCTCCCGCTCATTTCTCTCTTCTTCAAACTCCCATCGAGTCGCATCACGCTTTGAATTCTCTTTCCACGCGGCCATTCCTCCCATGCGAGAGACTCTCTCCTGCGCACCGGTGAATGCTTCCTCGGCAGCATCCTGGCTGGCGAGACGCCATTTGATGATCAAGGCTTCGAGCTCTGTGTCTTTTGTTGAGCCCTCGAGTCTGAGGGCTTGGTTTGCAGTGTCGATTTCTGAGCGCAGTGTAGCCAGTCGTGATTGGATGGCGCGTTTTTGTTTTTGGAGAGCGATGATTTCAGGGTCGGAGGAATGGAATGGTTTGGGGGTGGAGAGTCTAGGCTTGAGGATTGGCTTGCGTGCGATCGGGATTGGAGTTATCGGTAAGGATGAGTTCGGATCTGGGGATGGTTCTGATTGTATAGGAGTCGCTGGTATTTCTGTCTTTGAGATGGGCGTGGAGGGTTGGATGTCTGTGGCTGCTGTGGGCCGGCGCATGGGAGACTTGAATGGCTTAGACAAGGTTACTGCTGTATCGATGCGACGACGCTTGGTGGCTTGAGCCATGATCAATCGATTACGGAATTAAGCAAAATGAATGGGAAGAGAAGGGTGAAAGAGGAATGACAACATCGAATATTTGAAATGCGGAGACGCGATAGGCTTATCGATAAGCATGTATTTTTTTATCTACACCCACCTGGGTAACAAAATGGAAATGCCTCAATGACCAACTCCCCCTGCTACCCATTGCGCGAACTCAGGATCACCAGGCTGCGGGAAAAACCCCCGATCATTGGCATTCGCGTTTGCGTTTGCGTTCGCATTTTGGGCGTTGGCATTCTCGTTCTGCCGATTGCGCTGCTGTTGCTGTTGTCGGAAATAAACCAATACCAACAAAGTAGCAGCCAGACCAACAATGAGCAGACCCTCGAGCATTCCTTCATCAATATCAAGATCCAGGTCATCATAGTAGCCATCCTCGTGGCCCTCAGATTCCAAACCTCGGTAGTCATCATCATCTCCCTGTCGTTCGTAAAGGTCTTCGTAATAGCTCTCCTCGTCGTTATCGATAAAGGCTGTAATCCATTCTCTAAACGTTCGACGGGGTTTTGACTCTGTATTTATTTGTAAGTATCAAATCGGAGAAACGAAAATACTATCCATCGCTTGTGGTAATCGACAAGGAGATGCTTACCTTCTTCGTCACGAATGGGATTGATGTCTCCGTTGGTAATGCGGTTCCAGTATCCGCGGACCCGGAGTTTGAGCAAACTCAGCTTGACTGGGAGGTATGCTTCGGGGCTGAGATCTAGCGCTAGGTCATAATATCGCTTGGCCATGTGGAAATCCTGGTCGACCGCCACGCCATTCTCATGCATCCAGCCCAGGTTCCAATAGCCCTGGGCACTGTGATGAGCTTCAGCAGCATTGTGATAGCAAGTTGAAGCCTTGTCAGCGTCAACGATAGAGCCAGTTCCAGACAGGTAGTAGTCGCCCATTTTGAGCAAGGAGTCGATGTTAGCTTGCTTGGCGGAACGAGTCCAGTAAACCAGTGCAAGCGCTGCATTGCGCAGCAAAGAAGACGGCGCCTTTTCGGCCCAGGGCAGAACCGAACTGAGCGATAGCACAGAGCGATGCTCGTCAAGCAGGTAAGCTACATTTGCCTGTGCATTCTCATATCCTTGTTCGGCTGCCATCATGGCCGCAATGAGAGCACCTTCTTTGTCGCCAGATTCGTAAGCATCGTTCGCCTCCGCAAAGGCTGAGTGGACGATCTCAGCTTTTTCAGCCACCATTTTGTAATAAGCGGTGGCCACTCCACAGTGACGTTGTCTGCCAACACCAAAGTTGGCCATTTCTGCGAGGTAATAATACGCTTCCATCCAGCCCCAACGGGCAGCAAGCTCGAAATAGCGAGTGGCAGTTTCCACGTCACCTTGGTCCAAGAAAAGAGCTCCCAATCGCGATTCAGACGCCGGGAGATCCTGCTCTGCAGCCGCTTTGAAATACTCAGAGGCCTTGTAGCCATCTTGGGGGACCCCATACCCGTTGAGGTACACCAGACCCATCCAGTGCTGGCACAGAGAATCTCCATTCGCAACACCCCGTCGGAACCATGTGAGGGCTGTCGGGTAGTGTTGCTCAACTCCCTCTCCGCGGAGGTACATCAACCCGATATGTCCTGCAGCTTTAGAGGCAAGCTTGTCAAGCCCGGCTTGGGGGTTAGGGTTGATAGAACCATCTTTGTTCCAGTACTTCTTAGTGACAACCTTGAAGTATTTCATGGCTCGTCGGAAATTACGAGGCAGGCCCCGGGCACCCTCAAAGTTCATCTTCCCCAGGGTGTAGGTAGCCTTGAGCTCGCCCTTTCGGGACATGAGATCCAAATATTCCAGAATGTCCTCCACACTGGCCTCCGGGCCCGCATTGGCGGCTTCTCTTGCATTTGGACCGGAGCTGGACACACTAGCTCCTTGGCCGTAGACACCACCTTCCTCATCGGCCCAGCGATAGGATTCCCTAATCAGAGCACTGCCACCCGGCGGACCAGAGCGGTAATACTGCACAGCCTTATCTGCAACCTTCTTGTAATAAAAGATCGCGTGGTCACAATTCTTCGGCGTTCCAATACCACTGTGGTAGCGATATGCCAATGTCATCTCCGAGCGGGTATTTCCAGTCTCAGCTGCGAACTCATGGTACATGAGGGCCTTTGCCTGATCCCGTTCAACTGCACCGCCAATTCCCGTCGCATACATAAACCCGACCATGTGTTGCGCTGTGTTGTTTCCGTTCAACCATGCCAACTCATGGTACCATCTGAAAGCAGATTTGAAGTCGCGGGGGTGGGAGAAGTTGCCGTAGAAGTTCATCTCCGCCAACAGGAACATCGCGTCTGGATCTTGGTCCTCGGTTGCTGTTGCTACCAAATCATCCACCGCTGAAGCAACCTTCGGATTAAGTTTACGCACTAGTTTCTCGGTGGTCGGGCCATTCATGAATAGTAGGCGGAACGTTTGGCGGCCGTAGTGTGTAACTGTTCCAAGTAAGCCCAGCGGCTTGTCGGATTGTTGGACTGTGGGCTTTGCGGTGCGAAGGATATCCCAGGCATTCTCGACTCGTTCTACAGACAATCGATAGTCAGTAAGATGTGTCGGTCAACAGGATACGAGACGAGGTTGCGCTGAAGCTATCTCTACTCACGAGTCATGGGTCGATATGCTGATTCCTCCGATGTAAATATGAATTCATGTTGATCATCATTTCCAACCGCCGAAGAACTTGTTTGGTCAGTGAGCGGTTGGCTAGGCCCGGCTGCGCATGTCTGTAATAGCACTGGATAGGGGGTGTCAGCCTTCGTTGTCGTATTGCAGTTGCCGGCGGAACTTACGCAGGGCCGGTAGAAACTGGGCTAGCGGCGTCCTCATAATGCCTGCGAGATAGGGATGTAGTTTCGGAAGAAGAGGCACATTGCGACACCCCAAAAAGCAAAAGAGTCGTTGCCTGAGTGGGAGCTGGGGAAACGCGATATGATGTAGTTCCGAAGTACGGGCCACTTGGCTTGACGGAGCTTCATTCTGCCGATGGCGAATCACTGCAACGAATCCAGCATAACTCTACAATGCTATAACTATGCCAATATGTTAACATATGTCTAAAATTCTACAATTTACAAGCAACATTTGACAGGAAATGTCATTAACATTCTTTGAGTCTACTCGTCCCCTAACGAGGCTGTGTACATAACGGGAAAAAAGCAGGCAGGATACATCCACATAAGCGCTCTCCATGCAATAAAAAATAGGCAGCTTTGAAACTTCCATCGGGAATCGAAATCTACAGTTCTTCCGCACAGCGTCCACGGGTGTTTCCACAGTTCTGTTCGGAATAGCACAGTCTTCGAGTTCACAACGGAGGGAAGTCAAGTCCACCTGCGAAACGAGGAAACAATCTTGGGGAAACAAGGAAGGCTGATACCGAATACGGTACGATTTGTGTTTAAAAAAGGTGGAAAAAAACAGATACAATTGAAAGGGAAAGCGGTCCCTGATATCGTAAAAAAATTATCAATCAATTCCCATGTTGGTCGCGAAAAGATCTTTTTTGTTGGTTATGTGAACGTTCGTTCGATGGTGGTACAGTTGTACAGCACGAGCCTAGAGCCAGGCACGCCATGTTCATCCGTAGTTCACTGGCGTGGCGACGTGGGGCTATAAGCCGGCGAAGTCGGGCTGTAAGCCGGAGAAGTCGGGGAACCAGAGAAGTTGGGCGAGGTTGGCGAGTAGGACTGGGGGCTCGTGGGAGACCACCCAGGCGAAGTAGGTGTGTACTTTGGAGATGTTGGGGAAGTTGGGGACAAGTGCCGAGCGCCGCCAATTGCAGGACTGGTGGGACTATAGCTTGGAGATGTCGGACTAAAGGCCGGCGAGGCCGGGCTGAAATTGGGCGACGTTGGGCTATAATTGGGTGAAGTGGGTGAGAACCCAGGCGAGGTTGGAGAGTACGAGGGCGACGTAGGAGACGCTTGACCGTACGCAGGTGAAGTTGGCGAATAAGCTGGGGAAGTGGGAGCAAACGACGGGCTGGCAGGTGAGAACCCAGGAGATGTCGGATTGAAACGCGGACTGGTCATGCTCATGCCGGGAGAAGTTGGCGAGTAGCTTGAAGACGGCGAATATCCAGGAGACGTAGGACTGGTGTTGAAGGGGCTTGTTGGGGAGTAGCCCGGGCTGCGAGGGCCGGGACTAAAGCTGCCACTACCAAATCCGGCGGGATTGTTGTATTCCGTGAGGCCTCCAGTATTATCCTGTCCAAGCTGGTGCATCGGTGAGAACGGGGCAGCGTCGTCGCTGTCAGTCATGAATTGTGAGCTAGCCATCGGAGAACCAGTGTCGTACTGAGTAGCAGCACCATCTGGGATGATGGCATCCTTGGCACCAACAGCACCCATTAGGCCGTAGCGTGCATTGTTTGACACGACTGTGTTCAGCAAGCTCTGGTCCAGGTAAACATCGAACTCTCCCGTTCCAGCGGGCGCCATCTGTCCAAGGATCAAGTTTTCGGAAACACCACGACAGTCGTCAAGCTCTCCAAAGGCAGCAGCTTCGAGTAGAATTTCGACCGTTTCTTCGAACGAACAACGCATGAGGGCACCGTTGTCAGCACGGTTAATACCGTGACGGGTGACGGGAGTCAAGTAACCACGAACTGTCATAACATCGACCAGCAGCGCCAAGTGACGATGGTTGACATAAGATCCGTCGAATGCAAGCACAAGTGTCAACTCGCGAAGCACAGCTGTACGGGCAGCCTCGATACCAAAGACCTCGAAAATCTCAATAAACTGGTTAGAGTATGTACGAGAAGCATCGACACCAGGAATTGAAAGAACGGCAGCGAGAGACGATCCACTGGTTTCAAGGACCCACTCCTTGCAAAGAGTATCACTCTTGCTTGAGAAGAGTGTACCATCTTCGTGAACACGGACCTTGGCCTTCTCGTTGATGAAAGCACGGTCGACACCAGTGACACCACGAAGAGTCAAAGTGTCCAGCAGATGCTGCTCAAGCTTCTTGAGAGTCACGTCGTATTCAACATCTTCATCTTCATCATCCTTGTAGTCCTGAACCTGGCGAATACGGATGACTTGCTCATCCGCGTTGTTATCACTGAAAATGACTGCAATATCACGTGGGTAAGCTTCTTTGATTCTGGTAGCAACATCCTGCACAGTCAGACCCTTATCAAGAAGAGCAGGACGGCTGAGAACAATACGAAGCAACCACTTCGACTGCGATGCTGAATCATCGCCGGTGTCCTCAGGAATGATGAAGTATGACTCAACCATGTCTTTATCGTTCTCGATGACAGTAGACTGGATATCGGGGTCATAGTAGATCTCGGTAGACTCAGTCACGGACCGCAGACTAGTGTGCTCGACAAGACTACGCAGCGTCTTAGCACCCTCCTTGTTGTGGGTCTCCATACCTTGCTGGTAGACGGTCATGGAGGGGGTCTTGATGTTCGTGGCAACGTTGAGAATTTCCTTGAGACGGGGCACACCAAGAGTAACGTTTTTGGAAGACACACCAGCAAAGTGGAAAGTGTTCAATGTCATCTGGGTGGCGGGTTCACCAATAGACTGAGCTGCAAGAACACCGACCATTTCACCAGGGTTGGCTGCTGCGCGAGCGAAGCGGCTTTCAACGGCACCAAGCACATGCTGGAACGCCAATTTGTTAAGCGAATAGTCTGTCACAAGGCGGCGGAAAGCCAGACGACTGCGCAGCTGCGCCTTGAAGAGCAAAGTTGCGTTGACCTGGGCCTCGCGCGAAATAACATCATCACCGCGGACAATCACCAAGCGATCCAGTAGCTGCTGGACTTGAGGAATGACCTCAGCGGGGTGCAAGTCACTGATTGTGCCCTCGCGAATGTGGAAGGTGGTTCGAGCCATCTCAAGAATACGCTGAATGTTAATGGGAAGTTGCATCATTTCTTCGTCTTCCTTGACCACGGTTCGAAGGAACTCGCGGTCCTTCAAAATAGCCTCCCATTCTTCATCGAAGTATTTCTGAACCTCCATGTCGCCAGCAATCTCATTTGCTTGCTCCAGAACCTCAGGGCCAAGAGTACGCTCGGGATCCATGACATCAACACGGAAACGCTCGCGGAGCTTCTCATCGGAGCATTTGATGTGATCGACACGCTGGTTCTCAATGTGGGCACCATCGAGACCATCCTCTCCATAGATGAACTGAATAATATCACCGAGAGAATTGCGAACAGTGCCATCGTACTTAACCATCACTTCTTCAAGGGCCTTGACCAGCTTACGCTGAATGTAACCAGTCTCGGCAGTCTTGACAGCAGTATCAATCAAACCCTCACGACCAGCCATGGCGTGGAAGAAGAACTCGGTTGGAGTGAGACCACGGAGGTACGAGTTTTCGACGAAACCACGAGACTCGGGAGAGTAATCGTCCTTTGTGAAGTGCGGCAAGGTACGGTACTTGAAACCGAATGGAATACGCTTTCCTTCCACGGACTGCTGTCCAACGAGAGCAGTCATCTGCGAAATGTTGATTGCGGAACCCTTGGAACCGGAACGGGCCATCTGAATGGCGTTGTTCAAATCCTTCAAACTCTTCTCGGTAGCATCACCAGCTTCGTCACGAGCGTTGTTCAGAGCGCGAGAGACCTTGCTCTCGAATGTCTCACGGACGTTCATACCGGGGAGAGCCTCCAGTGTGTTCTCAGTAGCGCTGGCAGTAATTGTCTCGACTTCCTGCTTTCGGTTGCGCACGGCTTCCTCAATTTTGTTGATGGTCAATTGGTCAGGAATAGTGTCACCAATACCGATACTGAAACCGTTGTGAAGTAGCCAGTATCCAACAATGGCCTGGGCACCATTGAAGAATTTAACACAAGTGTCAGGGCCATACTCGTTGAAGATGGTGTGGATAACACCACCACCACTGGCACCGACAGTCTTCTTGGAAAGCATGCCGTACATGAGCTGTCCACCGTGAATTAAGAGACCACCATCACTGAGGGGACTGAATTTCTCGGCCAACGGGGAACCATCCTTATCCACACGCAGAAGATTCAAACCCGAGGGGAAAGCCATGCTGATCATCTGCTTTCCGGTCCAACGGGGCCGGGGCTTCAGGATAGCCGGAGGGGGAATAGCGCCATCCCAGTCAGGAACCCAGAGCATGAGGTTCATAACTTGGTCCTTGTTGAGGAAAGTATCTCGACGGCAAATCTTGTAGATACCACACAGGGTGTCCTGCACGATACCCATCAGAGGACCGTTACGTTGGGGAGAAACAATGTTCTTCGGAACCAGAGTGAGCTCGGCCAGCTCGGCACGAGCCTCTTCGCCCTGGGGAACGTGCAAATTCATCTCGTCACCATCGAAATCAGCGTTGTAGGGACTGGTCACAGACAAGTTCATTCGGAATGTGGAGAAGGGCATAACACGGACACGGTGACCCATCATGGACTCCTTGTGCAGAGAGGGTTGACGGTTGAAAAGAATGTAATCACCGTTGTCGAGATGGCGCTCGACCTTCCAGCCATAAAGGAGCTGCTGAGCACCTGCACGCTTGGCGTGACGAAGATCGATACGCTCGCCGTTGTCACGGACAATGTAGCGTGCACCAGGGTGGATGTTAGGTCCGTTGGCGACCAACTTTTGGAGCTTCTCGATGTTGTAAGGTGTAACAACTTCGGGGTAGGTCAAAATACGGGCAGTCGAGTAGGGAACACCAACTTCATCGAGCGACAGGTTAGGGTCACCAGTGATGACGGTACGAGCGGAGAAATCGACACGCTTTCCCATCAAGTTCTGACGAAGACGGCCCTCCTTACCCTTCAATCGACTGCGGAGCGCCTTGACGGGACGGTTTCCTTTTTGCATAGCAGTCGGCTGTCCAGCAATATCGTTGTCCATGTAGGTAGCGATGTGGTATTGTAGCAAGGACTCGAATTCACGAATGACGTGCTCAGGTGCACCTTCCTGCTCACATCGCTGAACATTCTGGTTGGCACGAACGATTTCGGCAAGCTTGTAGGTCAGATCATCTTCACCGCGGGCGCCGCTGGTAGCCCCCATGACAACACTGGGGCGGACAGTGGGAGGTGGAACGGGCAGAACGGTGAGAACCATCCATTCGGGGCGAGCGTAGTCGTTGCTAAGGCCCATAATGCGCACATCTTCGATGGAGATGTTCCGGAAGATGTTCAACGCCATCGCGGGAGTGATAACCTTCTTCTCGGGCTGTGCCATCTCGTCCTCCATCATAGCCTTGCTGGGCTTCCATGTTCCGACCAGGCAAATTCCTTCTTTCCGAACAGTAGGCTGGGCATTACCGCAGCCACCGTGGGAGCGGCCCTTCTGTGAGTCCTTCGAAAACTCTTCGTCATCGGCAGGCGCGTCGGCCTCACAAACCAAGACATCCTTGGAAAGTCGCCAGATGGCGTCAAATCGCCGCTTGGGATCACGGAATCGGAGGGCTTCGAGGAATTTAGAATCGGCCTGAATTTCATTTCATGTCAGCAAAATGTACCAGTCAAGATTTGCCATCCCGGTAGGGATGACTAACCGTGTTGGCCTTGATCTTTCCACAGTTGTGGCAGACAGTCTCTAGCAGCTTCTTAATTTTGGTCAAGAAACCTGAATTTAAGTGAAAAGTCAGTAAGAGCAGAAAAGACGAAAGAAGCCCGAGGCAAAACGTACCAATGTGAAACACCGGACAAGCAAGCTCGATGTGGCCAAAATGCCCTGGGCATTCTTTGGGACCTTCTTCGCAAGTCTCGCAGTTGTATTGGCGGTCGATTGTACCGAGTCGCGGGTCATTGATACCCTTTGTCCGAGGCCGTTGACGTTGATCGTCCTATCGCGTTGTTAGTAATCCGATAAGTGGCGCAAACCCCAGAAAAAGTTTTCTGAATGAGTATACGACAGCAGAAAACCTAACTTTACTCACCATTGTTTCCGGGTACTCGATGTGGACCACACTCATGCGCTTGATCTCCTCGGGAGCGAAGAGACCGAACTGGATCTCCTTGATGGTGCGCAAAGGCGCCTTGGAGTATGGGAAGAAAACGTTCGACATATTGGCTCGAATTCGTGATAAACGGAGATGAAAAAAACGCGGAGAGGACCGATCAGGCGAATATGTGAAACCGGTATTAAAGAGGGAGCTCGAGTCGTAAACGTCGCAAAAGTTGAAGTGACAGACGTGCTGATAAGCTGAAAGTCGAGTTTACACGTAGCGACGATGAAAAGAAGGTGATGTGGAAGCAGCTGGCCGGCTGAGGCCTTTGGCAGCCCTTGCCACGAGGGCGCCGGCGACCTGGTGGTCGGACGTCACGGAGCAGAAAAAGAGAGGGAAAAGGCGCGCGCAGCAATGGTGAGCACGTTCGGGTCGTCAAGAAGAAGTATCGCGGTGCTGTGGGCGATCTCCTGTGTTGGGGGAGGTGATGGTGGATGGTCGGAAGGATGAAAGGGAGATGTTCTGAGGTTGCCTCAATGTGATGGGGCTTGAGTTTTCCCAGCACGAAGGTAGCCGTCTAAACTGTAGCTGACCGCCTTGGCAGAATTGCGGGTACCTTCCCCAAAGTGTTGGCCATGGGCAAAATTGATGTCGCCCTTCAATATGAATTTATTGTCATCTTTCTATACATTTTATTTTCTTTCCAGGTCTTTATTTAACTATTGAAAAGTGCTTTCTACATTTCTTCTGAATATGAATATACAGTGGGTCCACACGTTATCATGATCCGACCATTTTCAGAACAATACATTCAATAAATCTAGATACACCATTCACCATTGTTCGTAAACAAAGACAGTCAATGAAATAAGGCCTCTTTATGGCAAAATGACTTGTAATACAATGACCACTAAATCTAGAGTTTATCTAGGTGACTGTTGACATAACAGTTGATTAGAGTCAATTCATCATTATCCATATATATGTACGAAGTATGTCCGCACCAATCAAGGTACTTTAATATCGTTCACTGATGTCGATATATATAATGCGTGAAAAAGGAAATAGCTTATGTTGAAAAATTTTCAACCACTTTGAGTTTCCAGTTGAAAAGAAATTGGGAAAATACCTTCAAACCAATTATAAAGAATAATTGGAAAACAAAACCTTCGAAGACACTGAGAAGACTATACTGAGTCCTCCATAGAAACTTGGAACAGAAAGTCATGTAAGCAAAGGCGGTCAACAGATAAGGCATCAACCAGAGGCATCGATACGACTACATTTTAGAGGGGTCTATTCACCGCCCTAGCTTCCTCCAGATTCGAAGGATATCGATCCGGCAGAAGCAACCATGATTTCAATGTGAATTGTCAATAATTCGGAAAGTGAACTCCAGTGTGAAGTTTGTGATATTCTGATATTTGCTAGATGCTTTGCCAACAGTCATTCTCCTAGCCTAAATTGGCTTCATTTACAGGCTAGGATCTTATCTTCAAAAACACTGCTCCGTTATACGCCGCCGCAATGAACTTATCACTCGTGGACCCATTTGTCTTGGCCCAGGAATACCCAGATACTCTGACCGAGAAGCTGAGTATGTGCGCAACCAATCAAGGAGAAAACCCAAGAACTGACACTGAATTCTAAAGGCAGCGGCCATGCGACATGCTTGAGCTTCAATCACAAAGGCGATTACCTTGCCTCCGGACGAGTTCGTGGACCCAATACCAAATAGACCCGAAATACTAAGATGTACCTAGGTGGATGGCACGGTCGTGATCTTCGATATTGAGACGAATGGCGTGGCGCGCAAACTACAAGGTCACACTCGCCAAATCCAGTCTCTCAGGTACATATCCTCGCAGTGAACATGCGACACAACCCGCTAACCTCCTCCCAGCTGGTCCCGCGACGGCCGCTATCTCCTCACCTCGTCCCAAGACTGGAAATGCATACTCTGGGACCTCCAAGACGGCTCGCGAGTCCGCACCGTCCGATTCGAAGCCCCCGTCTACATTGCCGAACTACACCCATTCAACCAGTACGCCCTCCCCTCCCCAACCCACCCCTAGACCCAAACTAACACCCCCAGCCTCCTCTTCGTGGCCTCACTCTTCGAAGACCAACCCGTGCTAGTAGACATCTCCAGCGCAAAACCAATAAAACGCATCCTCCCCTCCGCGCCCCTCCGCGCCGAAGAAACCGACCCAGCAACAGCCGCTAAACAAGCCGCCCAAGACGCCAAACACTCCACCTGCGTAACAATCTTCACAGCCTTCGGCAACCACATAATAGCAGGCACCTCGAAAGGCTGGATCAACATAATCGAAACGCAAACCTGCACAACAATCCACTCAATGCGCCTCTGCAACGGCGTTGTGATCCTGCTCCGCCTAGCCTCAAATGGCCGCGACCTACTAGTCAACAGCTCGGACCGCGTCATCCGCACAGTCATAATGCCGGACCTCTCACAGCTAGGCATTGACCTCGAGCAATCCTCTATAAAACTACACGTCGAGCACAAATTCCAAGACGTCGTCAACCGCCTTTCCTGGAACCACGTTACGTTCTCATCGACCGGCGAATTCGTCACAGCAACAACCTTCATGAATCCCGACATCTACGTCTGGGAACGCAGCCACGGGTCTCTGGTGAAGATCCTCGAGGGCCCGAAAGAAGAACTGGGCGTCGTGGAATGGCATCCCTCGCGGCCGATGGTGGTAGCCTGTGGACTGGAGTCCGGGTGCATATACACGTGGTCCATTGTTTCGCCGCAGAAATGGTCTGCGCTGGCGCCTGATTTCGGCGAGGTCGAGGAGAACGTCGAGTATATGGAGGCGGAGGATGAGTTCGACGTGCATCCTGCTGAGCAGGTGCATCAACGGCGGCTGGATCTGGAGGATGAGGAGCCGGATGTTGTTACGCTTGATCTTGTTAAAGGGGAGGATGTGGATGGCATCGAGGCTTTTAATGTGCCTGTTTTGCTGGGCGTCGAGGACAGTGATAGTGGAGAGGATGTTGTTGCTGTTGGGCCGGGGACTATGCGGAGACGTACGCCTGGGGCGAGGGAGAATGGGGAAGATAAGGATAAGGCTAATGGGCGGGGGAGGAGGAAGAGGTAGGTTTTCTTTTTCTGCTTTGCTTGGCCTTGCATTTGCTTGCATTTGTGGTGTTTGGAAATATAGGTTTGCCTGGCGTTAAAGGGTATTGGTTCTTTTGGGGAGGGGAGGTTGTCTTGATACTGGGATCAATCAACTACCAAAATATATCATACTACCATGTTTCAACTGATTCTGCACACTTTCCAATGAATGATCTAAGAGGCCATGCCATAGGAAGTGGCCGATAACATTGCAATGTTGACATATATCAGCACTGCCGTGAAATGTCAAAAGGATGGTCTATCCACGAACCAAAACACCACTACCAGCCGACTACAAAACCAAAAATAAATACAAAGAAGAGCGAAATCGATTCAGACTCGCCGCGGGTAGCAAACGGCGTCACTAGGGTAATCAGGGTATAAACAGGAAAGCCGAAAACCGCTAGGGATCCAAAATTCGGTCCCAAAACGCCAATGAATGCAAGGCTCAAGGCTCAGCATGCAAAGAAAAGAAGACATGACCAACAACATCACGCTGATCGCAAGAATGAAAGAAAAAAACCAGAAAAAAAAAAGAAAGAAAGAAAGAAAGAAAGAAAGAAAGAAGAGAAGTTCACATGCATATCGTCAACCGTTCGTAAGCCCCAAACCTCCAGTCGAAGCTGACACAGTAGTCTCAATTGGGCACAGGAGGCTTTCGCGCCTGATAAATGTGCAGCAGATTAAAAGTGTGAGTCGTCTCATCGGCGATCTCGTGTTCGAGCTCCTCGACAAGTGCATCGATCTCCTCTACTGTCCATCCAAGAACGCGAGTGAACGGCGCCAGGCTGAGAGTGCGAAAGCTTTTACTCAAGGCCAAATTATACCAGCGGCCGACCTTTTTCTCCTTTGCATCCGAATGCCATTCGTTCAGAGGTAGTCCGACAGTTTGGTGATCGATCTCTGTAAAGCCAGCGTCTTGCAAATTTTTAATTGTTTCTTTCGAACTATGCGCCATCGGCCGCATCGTGGCTTCAGTTGCTTTCTGCAGATTCGAGTACCAGGTGGACAACGCCTTGCCGGGTTTTTGGTTTTCGTTCTCACAGCGCGGCCGGAAATCAATCTCGACCTGTTCGAACCAGGCTCCAGGTTTAAGGTGCTTGTAGACTCGATGGTAGAGGCTTATCCAGCTTGCGACGCTACCGCTGCCCATTTGCATATGGATCAGATCCCATGATTCCTCGCCTAAGGTCCAAGGGGACTCGAAGTCGAATGGAACAAAGAAGTCGTGGTTCTCCGCGTACCAGGGTTCTTTAAGCAGTGGTGGTTGTTCTGGTTTTGGTGGTTGCATTTTGGCAATGTCACAGCCTCGCACGTAGGCTTTGGGAAACTTCCCTGCGACATCGAGGACCCAGATCCCTGTTCCACAGCCTAGGTCGAGAACTCTGGTCTTCACATCCGATGGCAATGGTGCATAGAATAACTCATCCCCAACCCGGGCTACCTTAAACAGGTGGTGGAAGAGATCGAGACGGTCTAGCTCTTTTTCGTCGCACGGGAGCGGATATGTACCCTTCCGATAACTATGGTACAGTCGGCCGTTCTCCTTATAGGGTGGGTATTTTTCAGGGATTCTGAGCAAGAGTCAGCCACAGGACACAGTCTCGTCCGTAGAAATGACTTACTTATGATCGGAGAAGATAATCGGCGATGAACGCGATATTTGAGACGTATTCGACACCTGGGATGCCTGCGTAGCTACCGACCCAATGCTGGTGAACCTAGCATTCCTCCGGGGATCGCTATCGGCTGGGGGATCTCGATTGATCAAGGTGTACAGGTCCATGGCGGTAGAAGATTGCCGTGAGCGGGCGCGTTCACTCCCGGTGACCGAGTGGGAGTAGTATGCGGAGGCATCGCTGGCTGGGACCGAATCGGATTTGTGTCGTTTGGGCGCTGGCACCAGCGGTGGAGAGCGCATCCGCAAAGGAGGCAGGCATCGCATCCTTCGATCTCCTTCCGTCGCATACATTCTCGGGGGTGACGGCACGGGAAATGACCCGGGATACCCTCTGTGACTGTGAGAACTGTGAGACATGGCGAACAATCAATCGTCGCGAGTGGTTTATGAAGTTGTGAGGGGTCGAGAGATCGTTTGAATCGTAAAGGAGCAAATGAGCTATGGACGTTCGCTAATATGCAAGACGAAAGTACGAGCGAGGGTGACGTCGGTTTGATTGGCGAGAGCTTCGACCAGGCGATTCGTACGGTCGGGTGAAGCTCTGGAAGGCCCAGCAATTGGGGAGGTGAAAGATGAGAAATGAAGAAAGGTGCAGCTTTTAGGTACAGCTAGCAGCACTCCGACTCCACTCAAATGACGATGGTCATCACAGTGGGAATTAAGGTTGAAGGGCGGGATGGCGGAGAAAGCAGCCTGATGAATATGTGAAGATGCCAGGAAAAGATGACAAAGATAAGAGAAGGGGGAAGAGGGGGGAGTGAAGTGCAGAAGCGCAAGAAGTGCAGAACCTAGGCGCAAGCAGAAAGGTGCAGAAGTACAAAGTGGGAAAGTACTGTCGTATGCGCTACTGGTAATGTATTGCTCTTTTTTTCCTCCTCTGCTACTTGACGATTTATTCTGTCTGCATTTTTCAATTTATTGATGATCATGATATATTCATATATTATAGAGAAATTCAATTAAATATTTAAAGAACAAATCGGTTCTAATTATATAACATTTTAAGGTATGCAATATAAACAATATAAACAAGATTGTACCATATACAATATTGCTCCGTACGGAGGAGAAAAGCCCCGGCATACCCTAGTGATTCCCAACCCTGGAGCCAAAGTGGCGGGCCATAAGCTAAACTAATTCCAGATGCATTCAAAACCTTAGATTTCCTTTTTTTATTCCTTTTGGCTTTCTTCAAGTCTTCCCTCGCATTGCATTTACATTCAAAGTTTCACCCGAGTTCAAAATTGACTTCGTCCATATCAAATAAGGAAAGAGTCTCTGATCTTTTTTCCTTTCATTTTTCCTTTTTTTATTCTTTTTTTTATGTTATTTTGATCGACAGCTCCACGCTTAAGCGGGCGGGACGCGGTCCGTCTGGGCCTGTCATTCCCAAATATTAACTATTGATAACTCGATTAACATACGAAAAGAGCCTTAACTAGTTGTCTATGTAGCTAAACACTTTAATTCCATTGATAATTCAATAGAAATGAGGAGTTTCAATGCCCATATAAAATTCAAATCTCACGAGAATCCAGGAAATTCCCTCACCGCAACCCAAAGCCCCGGGTCGGCAAACCCCGGGCGCTTGGTAAATAAGTCGATGGGTATTATACCCTTCCACTGTGCTGGGTCCGCTGACTTGAGTCAGCCACCTACGCCCCGTTCTACCCGTTGTACGGAGTATACACTATAATCACAACGTTGTAGCTACATATGTAGTTATATGTATGTACGTATGCAAGTATGTATGTATGTTGTAGCCTCTAGTGATTTATTTTTATATACATTGTACGTGTACCTAGCAGCATCCCAATCCAAGCTGAGCAGGAAAAAGAACGAGTGGTCATGATTGGGTACCAGATAATGCTCATACTGTATGATTCAGACATGATATGTGTGTTTTAGCCTTATTGGCCTTAAACCGCCTGATGTTAATTGTTCGCAAATCCCTCGTCTCGTTCTCGCTCTCTTAGTTACGCTTGACCTCCGAATCCCTTGCGTATCGTTTCCGCTACTTTAGGGTTTGGAAAATTGTTTTGTCTCCGGCGATCCGACCACGCCGATCTTTGGTGGCAGCCGACCACCACAATATCGATATCGATAATCGATCGATCAAGGCACGCATCATTATTTTGATTGGATAACTGGGTCGCATATGTGGGGGTTTTTTTTATTGACCTTGACTCTGTACGGAGTACTAATTGGTTATACTCTGTATTATTGGGTGACGACGACTTACGCAGTGCGGTTTAGTGTGCTGATTTAGGTTTAGCTTTACAATGCTCCTTAGCATCTCCGTGCGTGTTTCTATAAAATCTCCTCTATTGCTGCTTCAACTTCTTACTGCTCTTTGTCCTTTTGCTTTTTCTTTTCTATGTACGCCTTAGATATTCATGCTCAGCATATATGGGCCCTTCGAAAGTCTACTCCGGCAAAGGGATCCCCGTTGCTCTGGTGTTGCTGTATTTATGGTAAAGCAAAGAAAGTCTTATCTAGGTAGTACATGGTGGATCGACCTAAGAACTGAATTGGAATGCCCTTCTATCTACTCATACCTACGTCTATTTCAAAGGCAGTGTTTCGGTGCAAACTTTCATTACAGACGGCTAGAATGTAGAACATAGACAACGCAGCGAAGATGAGGATGAGATATCAATTCAAACTACTTCATTTGAGTGCTAGCAACATTTTGTAAAAGTAATAACCAAACACAAATGCTCAGAGACTCTTGTTGAAGCTGTCCGATCTTTCTAAGATAGCCGCGCATATCTTCCCAAAGCCATCATAGGAAAATAATGAGAATATAGACTATACCCGAGGTAGAAATGGTTTGGGAAACCTGTCCCTGTATATTGGGATTCTGGCCATGAAGCTTCACCAGGACGGTCAGATAGCGTCTGTGTCCGCAACAAATATCCTACCCCTATTTGAATCGACTTTTGATGAGACGAGCTGCGAGCGAGGAGCGCCATCAGCGCCCACCCTGTTTGTGAAGCAGTAGAAGACCCCTGACCGCCCAACTCGGGCTTTCTGTAAGACAACAGCGTCTCTCCCCATCCACCATCTGGGTTTTGGACATTTCTCAGCCAGGAGATTGCACGATCTAGGGAATTACCCACGTGGCTTGTCTCCGCCTCCCAAGCCGAAAAGAGGGCCAATCCACAAACCACGTTGCTAGTGCCGTAGATGTAGTTTGCTCCCCATCTACCATACCAGGAACCGTTTTGTTCTTGTGTTATGAGCAGATAATGGATGGCGTGGTCGCAGGCGAGTTTCATATCGTTGATAAGATCGAATGGCAAGTTGTGGGGACGTTGGAAAAGGAGGCCGAATGCCTCAAGGATTCGTCCTGTGACATCTGCCGTAGAGGGATCGCATAAGGCCTCCATATCACTGAAAGGAATTTTGTTCAAAAACAACCGATCATTATGAATATCGAACGCTCCCCATCCACCATCATTGTTCTGCATGCCGATGATCCATTGCACTGCCTTGACAATAGAAGCGCGAGAGTCCGCCAATTCGGGATCTTGCTTAATCATGGCCAAAATTGCAGCTGCAGTGTCATCCACATCTGGATACCACCGGTTAAAGTACTCGAAGCTGAATCCTCCTGCGGTGATGTTCGGCTTGTAAACTCGCCAATCACCCTCTGGCCCGCACAGCTGGCGGTCTTTGACCCATTTCATGGCGCGCGCGGTGTGGTCAGAGACCATATTGGCATCGCAGAGTCCAATGGTACTCAGGATTGTATCCCACACGGGAGAGACACAGGCCTGTACTCTTTTACCGCGTTTGTCAGACCATGAAAACCTTTCAATTGCTTGAAGTCCTCTCTTGACTGGGATATCATCAAGCGCGTATCCTTCAAGGCATAACGCAATAACGCCGGTATGCATGGGTGGGAAGATCCCAGCCCAGTCACCTTCGGCCTCTTGATGTTGTAAAATCCAATCGATGCATTGTCCGCGGGCGCGGGACCGTGTTGGAGAACTACGCAGGCCGCCGAGCATGTGAAGAATGCCATCAATCACAACGAACGTGGAGGCGACCGCGTCAGATTTCACTAGTTCCCAAAATGAGGGAGAGTAGGGCACGTTCTTCTTTGCTGGGTTATCCCATAGCTCATCCAAGAAATCATTTGTCTCCGACTTGCCATTTGGTAAAGGGTATACAGGACGATGATGTGAAATGATGAGAAGGGGCACAATAGTGCTGCGAGCCCAAGACGCTAACCGATATATACTGATGAACGCAGCATCTGGCATCATTATTAACTCCGCTGGAAGTTCTGGCACTGCACCCCAAGGGAACAGACCAAACGTCGCCAAATAGATACGCGTGAAGATGCGCACCTTGGCGATTCCACCGCTAGAGACGATGAAAGATCGGGCTTTCTGCATAAACCCTGTGTCTGGCTGGACGCCGAGAATTTTCAATGCAAAGTAGGCCTCCACTGAGGTCGAGATTTCACCTGAATGTCCCGGAGCGAGTGACCATGATCCGTCCTGGTTTTGTTCTGACAGGAACCAAGAGATCAATTCATTGCGATCTGAATCCATGTCCAGGCCCAATGCTTGGCGAAGCATGACATATTCTGCCGTGATGGTGGCGTTTGACTTCAGTTCACCACACCAATGACCATCCTCATGTTGGCGATGGTGTGAGTAGTTCGCAGCTCGGTCAAGTGCTTCTTTGACTTCAGTTGCCAATGAGCCAAGGGGAAATTCAGCCATGAGGTCTCAAGGTTCTTGTAAATTTTGAGGAAATTTAGTTGGTGCCCGCGAAGCAGGTGTTTTGCAATGTCGTGCCTAGGTCATATATGCCCAAAAAAAACACTGCGCAGAGAGCTTGGACGAAGGAATTGTTTTTATACGCTACACGCTGATCAGGAGGTCCACACACTGGAGCACTCTATCATTATTATAGGATATTATGATTGGGTGCAAGAGTATCTGGGTCCAAATTTGGAAGAAAGCAGCGCTGGCCAGACATCTCAATAACCCTTTTCTGTGACATTCATATCCGATCAGAATCGATATGTCTTAGTTTGTCATTGATATTATCCGAAGACCATCAATTGATTAGTGGGATTACTGCAAGCACAGGATACGCTTGAATCACAACTAATTGGGCTCTTCTGTGGACGTTATCTTACTCGTAGAAGTAGCAATCCTGCATTCGGCTTTGCTCGGGTGTCCCTAAGCTATATCCCGCGAATCCACAGCTGACAGGGTTATCAGGTTTTTTTGCCAAGGGATTTGCCCTACAGATCGTGGAAAAATCTGAACCAGATCTCGGTGGTGTCATATGTGGAGCCATTATGTCGGCTGGGAGATGTTGATCTTTCTAAGACTCCACCAAAAGATTTGGATTAAGTGAAACTTTCCCATATCAGTTCGTCTATCACGACGCTAGGCCCACAAAAGAGCTAGATTGTATGTAAGCTAACAATTTGCTATGTTTCATGGCCGAAGCAAAGCTTTTCCGCCACCAATACAGAAGGAGCTTCTTATTCCTACCACTAGGCATATGGTGGTCACTTTGAATCTAAGTAGGGAATGAATTTCATGGGTTGTGTAAGATACAAGACGTTTTCTTCCGTGGATCTTTGATCTACAGTATGTTAACCTCATCTAGGAGATCATCTCGGAGAACAAGTGGTGTGGATCCCGGTTATGAATCTAGAGATCCCGGTCTGAGCCGTCTTTACACCGTAGTCTTACAGAAAATCTGGATTCAGTTCAAACTTTCCTAATCAGTATTAGGCGAGTCCCACTATAGAGCTTGGTTGGGTCAGGCTGAGCGTTGCCATGAAATATTGACCCTACCTAGCCCTTGCTCAGGTCATCATCAAACATCGTCTTTCGATTTGTTATTCTGACTTCCCTAAGTATCCTCCATATTTGCCCCAACATGAAGGACTCGCAGGATCTGTCGACACTCTGTGTCGCTACTGCAGTCGTCCTTTTATGTCTAACGCTTGTCATTCGAACATGGATCCGTCCTGAGCGAGTCCCTCCTGGGATTGAATGGGCAGGGAAGCGACTCGAGTTCTTTGGCGACATCAGAGCATGTGCCCGTGAGTACATGGGAGGATTGAAAACAATGCTGTCTGGTTACAAGAATTTCAGTCGCAATGGGAAACCGTTCATCCTGCCCGGAACGGGCTTTGAGCCTCATGTCATGTTACCACCTGAATTTATCAAATGGCTCATCGAGCAACCTGAGCATGTTCTTTCTCACCGACTGGTTCAAGGAGAAAAGCTAGGTCTTAAGTATCTTCTTCCGGCATTTGATTATACCTCTGATATGGCCATCATTGAAGCAATTCGCGTCCATCTCACCCGGAATCTGGGCAAGGTGCAGGGTGATCTATTTGATGAAATGAGACATTCGGTTGATCAAACGTTGGGCATGAATGATGCAGAGTGGAAGGAAGTAAATCTCTACGACACTTTGAACGAGATTGTTTTCAAGGCCAGCGGTCGCATTCTTTTTGGCCAGGATTTGACTCGCAATGAAAAGTTTATGCATTACGTCTTGAAATTTGCGACATGGTTCGGCATGGGAACTGTTTTGATCGGTCAATTGGTTCCATGGCAATTTCGACGATTGGTTGGCTCGCTTTGCGCCATACCAACTGCCTACTATCGGTCAATGTGCGCAAATCACCTTTGGCCACTGTTTGTTGAGAGATATGAAAACATGAAACGCAAGAGGGATGACCCGACTTTTGATTACTCTCCGCCAGAAAATCTGATAACTTGGATGTACCGTGCTGCATTCGACATAAAAGATCAAGAGATCACAAGTGGGAAGCCTTTGGCGGCCAGATTCACAGTCTTGGTAAGTGTCATCACTGGATCATGTCTTTTATCCATCAATCTCAAGCTAAAAATTATATTCACAGGTAGCGGGGGCCATTGCAACATCCGTAGTGACATCCACTAACGTTCTACTTGATCTCCTTGGTTCTGACCCTCGTCAAAACTATTACAGACTCTTGCGGGAAGAGTCCGAGGCAGTCTTCTTGACAGAAAATGACTGGAATAACTCTTCTTCGCTCTTGAGACTACACCATCTGGATAGTACAATTCGGGAAAGTCTTCGACGCCATCCGATCATTCTTCGAGGTTTGTCGCGACAGGTAATGCCCAAGGAAGGCATTACACTACCTAACGGCCAACATATTCCCCAAGGTGCGTGGCTCGGCTTTCCTGTTCCAGCAATTCAGAACGATAGCCGATACTACAACGAGCCCGATGTGTATACTCCGTTCCGCTTCTTGCCCACAGAAACGAACAAACGAACTATGCTGGTGACTACCAGTGACACTTTCCTTCCATTTGGCCATGCTAGGCACTCTTGGTATGTTACCCGTTGCGATTAACGACTATTGGGCCAGATAAGCTAATGAACTTCAGTCCCGGTCGTTGGTTTGCATCTCACCTCATGAAGCTGCTCTTTGCGTATATTACGATCCACTATGACGTCGAACCCTTGAAGGAAAGACCTTTGAACATGATTGTGGGCGATCACCCAATCCCGCCTCCTTGGATTAAGATTCGTGTTCGTCGCAGAGCGCGTCATACCTAGTTTTGAATCTCGAACGGCGCTACTAAATTTGATTTGATGGTTCCATTATACTCAAGGGAGCAATGCAGCCTAGTCAAATTGTCAGCGACCAAAGAAAATAAGATGTTGAAAGTTTACTACTCCACACAACAGCGACGCAGAGCCCACATCATCCGAAAAAACTCGCTGGTCAGGTTTCTCTTTTTCTTGGAAGGTTCTGCTTGCAGTCTTGTTTATTTGGTAGGCAACCAGGCCAGAGTTCGCATCTTAGAATGAACCAATCTCATCGGAAGGGTTCTCATCCGGATTATGATGCGCTCGATTTACCAACAGGGCGGCATAAATACGACCACTAGCCGCACGTAATCAACGCCAACCCATCATTAGTCCGGATTAAATTATAGGACTTGAGAGAGATCTTTCGTGGGAATGGGAAAGGTTATGAATAATCCAAACTCAAATTGCGGAGTAGAAGTAAATCAGATGATTCATAGACGCGTCATCTCCCAGGGACCATCAACTCTGTTTTGACGTCTCGTCACAACGATAAGTCAGAGTGCATTCATTCCACCCAAAAATTGTCTACAGGAATGCGACCCCATAGTTCCGATAGTGCGGGATCGGAATCAACAGACAGCTGTTATTCACAGAGACCAGTATAAAGAATGCAAGACAATACTTCTCAAGATACTCGTCCACATTATCCCTTCGAGCATGTCGAATCACCTGCACATCCATTGTCATCTCATCGTCATAATGTGAAAAGAGAGGATGATACAGATATGAGCGACTTTCAGCCCCCTCATATTTCCGATAAATTAATCGGCCTCTTATCCAAATGGGGCTGGGCGTCAGCTGAATCTGAAGGTCATTCTGAATCGAGAAAGGGCTTGCCAGGTCATGGTTCTCCAGATCCTACGACCCAATCTCGTCCACAAGACACAGATTTGCCCTCATTTGAGTCTGATCAGACGCAAAAAACCACAGTAACAAACAAATCAGCGGATGAAGCATCCCGATTATCTTTTGCAGAAAAGTATGGGAAATTCAACAAAATCCTCCATTACGGGGACTCCAATACTGTTCAATTGTACGAAAAGAAACTACCAGCTTTAGCCCAATCCATACCTCCAGCAAAGAATGCGCCCGGCAGTATGATGGCAAGATTGAGACGAGCTTCTACATTCAATACAATTAGAGAACTTTATGCAGTGAAAGTGTTTCACCACGCTCAAAAGACCCGGCTTTCACTACCCAGTTCGCTTCAAACTGGAACCCAAACGGTCGCACTTGACCACCCTAACATTGTTCCAATCCTTGACATTCTCTATAATGAGCAAGATAACCTTTGCCTTGTCATGCCCTACCTTTCTGGCGCCAGCTTGCATTCCTTTCTTGCTCACAAAAAGAGACGAAAGGAGAGTCTCCTACCCGAAGAGGCAAACTGCTTGGCTATACAACTCCTACGCGCAGTGGCATTCTTACATGAAAACGATATTGCCCACGGCGACCTAAGGCCCGAACATGTACTGCTCACATCTCAGGGTGCAGTAAAGCTAGGTGGTTTTGGTGAAGACCAAGACGCGATTCAAGGGCTTATGCAACGATCACATGGCGACAGTCCCACATCAACTTCGGTATCAAGCCCTAACTCAGCTTCGGCCTCTAGACACAAGCCAAATTTGTGCCTTCGGAGAAAGCTCTTGGATTCAAGTGCACCTTATCTTCCGCCGGAGAGGCTTCCTGGTCGCCATGGTTCTCGCCGGCAAAGCTATACAAAGCAAGACGTCTCGGATATGAAAACGGGCGATATATGGGCATGTGGCATAATCTACATGGTCCTACGATCTGGTCGGCTTCTCTGGCAGAGCGCACAGAGAGCCAACGAATCCTTTGCTTATTATCTCCACTCTCGCCTGGACGAAGATGGATATAGCCCCATTCAGGTTTTGGAAAATGTAAGTCACTCCTATCATCTGTCTCTAGTAAATAGGAAATGTATCTAATCTTTCGGAATCACAAAGCGCTGCCGAAACGTAGTCTACGCGATGTTACATCCAGAACCGGGGTCAAGGATTACTGCAGCAGAAGTCTTAAAATCTGAGTGGGCCCTTGGAGTTGCTGTTTGTGAGGTTGGTGAGATGGGGCTATGACCATCGTTTCAATGTATGCGCTTCTTATTTGCATGCAATCGACTTGAGCCAAGTCTAGAGAATATATGTAGGTCTAACAGTGATGAAATTGGAGAAAACATTAGGACTACAACAGCAGAAGCCCTTCCGACCCCACATGCTCACCGTCATTGTTTGCCAAATACGATCATTACCAAAGACGGCGACAATGCAAAAGTGCGCGCGAGGCTGAAGCCCACACTCTAAATAACCGGGGGCAGAAGGACAGACAATGTCAAGTGGCTTAACATTCTTCAGCCCTTATCATCTCATGGAATAGCTGACTTGCAATTTGGGAGGTTTTCTACACTGAACCAGAGCGGCCAAATGCAATCACTCGAAACATTCACTGATAGGGACACAGTTTACTAGTGCTGCATTTGGAACTGATATACGGAGTATTAGTCGTTGACATAATACCCCATACTCCAATTTCAATTCCAGGGTAGATATCTTCACTAAACCAACGTCATAAGTTACTCCCATACTGTATAGATCCAAATCGCCACAACGCCGCCGATCGTGCTGATGAGCAAGTGACGGTTAATGCCGCTCAATCACATAAATTGTGCCTTGGAAAAGCCAAAAAAAAATTGCATTAGTGACCTCGAGGTGTGGAATGTCGAAGAGATTCAGCTGAACTTTTGTATACCACTCCAAGCGCCAAGCTGCTAATTCGTGCAACTAGTGGAAAATCCAATGCACCTTAGGCCAACGTCCCTGTTATGTAGACTCCCGCTGCTAGGAATCAAGATCGACAGCTAAAGTATAGTATATAGATGACCGACGTCATAGGACCAGCCTTCCTAGAGTTATTCATGATTTGATCGGACCTCTCGTCACTTTATCTAAATCTTTCAGCTATCGACGGATCCATCATTCAATTCGTGCTTCTTCTTCTTCTTTTTGTTCTTCCCCTCTTTTTTTCAATAGTGTCATTTAGCTCATTGCAAATTCAGGAAATTTCGATTCAATCATCACTTTTTAGAATAACCCTTACAGCACGGACAAGAGATCTTTACTTGAAGTACTGCCGCCACATTATATAGGTGCCTGACTAATATTAGTCCCATAACTATTTCAGCATGATGAGCAATGTCAGGCATTCAAGAAAACAGGGCTTGGGGAAAAGCAACTCTTTCTTCAACACTGACCACTTTTTCCATTACAAATAAGGAGGTCTCGCTCCCTCGTAGATTTTTCTTCTCACATAACAAATCCTCTATCCTAGTCCCTGACTTGCAACATATCAATCCATTCTCCGACCCCTAGTAAGCTTCTGAAGCCTCGATGACTAGGTCGATCCATTTTACTGACTGAAATAAATCGCAGATTCCACTTTCGCGCAAACCAAAAGCATCATGAAGCTGCTTCTCGCCATTACCACACTCTTTGCTGCGTCCGTAGCTGCAAAATACGCCCATCATACTCTGCACATGTCTACGTGTATCCTACCAAGGAAGGGGCCTTGAAGGACAGTAATGGCAAATGTATGCCTCTGTCTTTTCCTAGCCTTAAGCAGTCAGCATAGGGTTTAAGCCCTGAGGCAGCTTTGAATGAATTTCTCTTGTACTTACCAACAAACGAAGATCCTTATAGTACGTTGACTCCTTTTCATCTCTAAATTTCTTAAAAATATCTTTGTATTGTCGGCATAATCGCTATTAACTTACGTAACTAGCTAGTGAGCCTTTGAACAAGTTTTAGTCGGGTTCAAGACGTTCAGCTCGAATTTTTGGCATTGTGCCCCAGTCAAATCTCAAGTACAGCAACCGTCGCTGATAGAGAAAAATAACAGACGTAGAGATGATATTTGGAGGATCATTAAAGGCTCATTTATACCTTTGCCCTATGACAGACGCGTTTAGACTGTCCTTGGTGATGTACAGAGTATTTACATTTGTTGAAGAAAGGCAGGCTAAGCCTAATTTGGCTACAAATGAGGGTGTTCGAGGTGCCAGGTGAAATTACCACGATCCCCCCTCTAAAGGCCACGCACCATCGTCGCCTTTTTACCGTCACCCAGTTTTACTCCGTAAAATATTGTAATATTGCGCTCCGTACATAATAACGGGCGCTCGTGCATTTACGGGGCTGCGCATGCCTCTTTGCCTTTTTTTTAAGACATTCCAAGGCACATGTATGTATGTGGATGATTATGCAGCTGCAGGATATATGCGTTGATCGGATCTTACTTTCTTTTCTTTTCGTGCTCGGGCCTTGCCGCCCTTTTTTTGCCTTAGCGTAGGCTTGTGCTCGGTTCGTTCCGGGGTCTACAGCGTTATAGTTTGCATATGATCAATGCTAACTCCTACTTTATATGATGAAAACTCAGGTGACTGCAAGTAGTATAGCCGGACAGATTGATAGCAGCAACGTAACTATACTTTATGTATGTAAGTCACGGTGAACGAATATTTATGCCCCTGAAAACGTGAGATAATTCCAGCGATGATATATGATCGGGGCGGATAGATATTTTGCCGAACCCAACCCAAATTGAACTTGAATTGATCTTCCAAGGTAGCCGAGATACTCATGTAGGGAAAGTGATACTAACCTGAATACACAAAAACCCGTATTTACCTGGTATTGTATTTCAGGGTGTCAAAGTGTCAACCCGAGAAGCACCATCGGAGACCGGCCCCACCATTAAATCTCTTAGCTTCAGCACCAGGCTTTGAATTGGAACTGGATTTGCGCCTATCCACATCTTCCAAAGCCACATATATTCCTCCAGCCACACCCGTCGCCACTCTGAATCTGAATCTGAATATTGCATCAAAACGGACCTAGTCCGAAGCAGAAAATCAAAGCAGAAGCAATGCATACGCTCCACGCTGTCGCCTCGTCGACGCTGTCTCTCCCGACAGATAGCTACATCTACTCCATCACGCCCTCGGCACCGGGCACGTTCGCGGCCATTTCATCAGATGACTCGCTGCGCGTGTTTGACGCCGCCAATCTGGACCGCGGATCTGTGGTCTCTAATGCTACGCATGCGGGTGTAACGGCGTTGCGGAGCTTTGGGGTTGGCGGGTCGCAATTGCTTGCTACTGGTGGGCGAGATGGGAAGGTCAAGGTTTGGGATGTTAGGGCTGGGAAGTCTGTTGTGGAGATGCAGACGGGTGAGTTTATTGCTTAGGCTAAGCTAGGTCAAGCTTTTGTCTTTGTTTTGTCTTGTTTTGTTTTTTATATGTGTTTCCTGTTTGGGTTGGGTTCGGGAACCTGCCGGATGGGTGCAAGTTTTCTTTTCTTTTCGCTTGTTGTTGGTTCTTGCATTTCCATTCCGCTGTATTGGGAATTTAGCGCTTGCAAGGATTGCCTAGGAGATTGGGTTGGTTCTATGAGATGCGTTTACTAATGCTTTGTTTCTAGAGAGAGCAGCACCTGTTCTGTCTGTCGCTTGTAATGCAGAGACGAATATTATCGTCGCAGGAACTGAGCTTGTCTCTTCGCAGGCAGTCGTTGCTTTCTGGTACGTTCTATCATATCTCAGCTCTGTATCTGCTATTGCCATCAAGGCATGGTGTTTCGACCTCCCGTTCCCACAAGACCATGTATACATTTCCATATAGCCACTAACAACGTAACCAGGGATATCCGATCCCCACAAAAAATCAGTCTCCAATACGTGGAAAGCCACAACGACGACATCACCGAGGTAAAAATTGCCAACAAACCCAAGCCCGGACCAATTCACTAACGGTCTCGTGCCTGTAACACAGCTCCAATACCACCCGACCCGCAGCAACATCCTCCTCTCCGGCAGCACGGACGGGCTAGTCAACATCTATGATACAACCATAGCGGATGAAGACGAAGCCTTAGTGCAAGTAATCAACCACGGCTCCGTCCACCACGCCGGATTCCTGTCCGAGCACGCCATCTTTGCCCTCAGCCACGATGAGCTCTTCTCCGTGCACCCGGCTACAAACCCGGACGATGCAGCGCAGGCGCCGGAGCCCGTGCAGTTCGGCGATCTGCGCGATCCGCTGGGCTGCGAGTATGTTGCTCAGCTTTGTCTCGGTGCGCAAGGGATGTATATTGCCGCCGGTAATAAGATGTATGTGTGCTGTTGTGTTTGGTGCGCCGTTGTACTAATGAGATCAGGGAGAAGCAGCTTGATCTTGTGCCACTTGTTTCTGGGGATTCTTGGTCTTTGGACCGGGAGAATTTGTGGCGCTTGCCTGGTGCTCATGGAGAGGAAGTTGTGCGCTCGGTTTGTCTTGATGAACAGGTACGTTGGGATTGCTTGGCTTGTGTCTTTATCCTGTTAGGGGTTGTCTATTACAGGTTTCCTTTTCATATCTTCTCAGATACTAATGCAATTACCAGAGTCAATCGGTCTTCACCTGTGGCGAGGATGGATATGTGCGGGCGTGGAAGCCTGCCGAGGGAGGCGACAGTTCGGTTCAGTCTGGGTCTGGGTCAGCGAAGGCTCGGCCGAAGGAAAAGAAGAAGGATAGGTACAAGCCGTACTAATCTGTGCGCGGGTGAGTACATCTGCTTTCAGTTGTCTGTTATGTCTTATTGGGTGTTTGGAGTGGTAAAATAGAATATCTTGCACCTGAATATCATGAGTTTATGTCGTCAATATCGAAATTTGCTTCCAAGGTTCTAGGTTGGCAAAGGCACTAAATGTGTTAGGGATCAGTTAGATGACTGGTGATATGGTCTAGGTCCCTAGGTCTTGAGCAATGGATAGACTTACCTCTTTTAAGTACCGATCACCTAAAACCGAGCCTAATGAGATGTCTGACGCTAAATATTCTCTCTGTGGTTTGTTGATGACAGAAGTAAATAGGCTGCCGTTGCTATGCTTTTAGGGGATTCAAAGCATAAACCCGAGGTATATCTAATAGACCAAGAGAGGGAGGAAGAAGAAAATGATTCATGGTATCTTAAACACTATCTACATATCTATTGCTAGGGAAGGCATATCAAACTGTTGTGATGTCATGTGCCTATTGCCTTCATATAGTCCTCGATGGATCAACCATGACAGGAATGTCCCCAGGAGATTATCCAAGACCTCATTAAGGAGAGCCGTCTTTGGCTCGGGACGTACAAGGTCAAATCACGCACACAGCTAACTTCCGTAGGCAGGGAAAGCTCCACCATGCCTTTTGGGGATCTTTTCTCTGTATCGATTGATATTAAGGCGCAAGAAGTCCACCTTCCTCGCGTTGCCGCCGATCATGCTATAAGAATGCCTTCCGGCGTGCGCACCTTTGAAATTAGGTTCATGCTGGAGAACCCATTTGGCGGCTGTTTTGCGTCCGGGAAAAGTACAATTGATTCCATTTAGTGTTTGTGATTCAATCACCCCAGCCAGCGTTTGTAGGCACTTATCGATCCTCTACTTAGATATCTTTAGGAATGGGATGCAAGGTGCTCTAGGACAGGTCATCCTGCGTGTATTTGGAGCAAGACGGTGCAAGACTGGCCCTCACAAAGTCAATATGGTTATTTCAACAAACTGTCCATATTCAAGACATTAAGCAAAGTGGTGGTGCAATGGAACACTGTGAAAGCTGCAACCTATCTAGGTATCATGTTGAAAAAGTCACGCTAAAAAAGTGACTTTACCAACAAACCTTGCAATGAACAAGACTGAGTCGGAGCCTGGAGTAGAAAAGAGAATCATTGGTGATCTGGAACAAAACAAAAAAATGGGGTGAGCCGGGATCGAACCGGCGACTTTACGAATAAATGACTGTAGCTTCAGTCGTACGCTCTCCCAACTGAACTATCGCCCCATTTGATGAAAGCACTCGCCGTAAAAGAATTTCTGAAGCTTAAGCAAAAAGTTTCTCTGTTGGCCTTTTTCGGGCGCCCAGTCTTATCTCGAACTTTTTTCTGTTATCTAAATATTTTTTTCTAAGGCTCCCTCAGGAACAGGGACACTCACTCCCTTCCAACCACCCTATATCACGAGATCTACGCCTCATAATATAACACTGTTTTTGAGGAAAACTCCAATTCTCACCTCCAAAAGAAAAACTACCCGAGTCCACCCTCTCCACCCCTCAACCTCACCTCAACGGCCCAGGGCACCTCACACAAAATGGACGCACAAGCCTACCTAATCAAACACGGCTGGTCTGGCCCCGGCAACCCGCTCAACCCATCCTCTAGACCAGGCCTTCACGGTGGTCTCGGCCTCACCCGACCGATTCTCGTCGCACGCAAATCCAACAACCACGGCGTAGGCAAGAAGACAACAAAAGACGCAACGAACCAGTGGTGGCTGCGCGGTTTCGAAGACGCTCTCAAGGGCGTCGGCGACGACAGCTATGAAGCGACCTCAGCACGCCAGAATAATGCCCTCACCAGTGAGCTTTATCGTCATTTTGTGAGGGGGTCTGGGTTGGCGGGGACGCTTGATCCGAAGAAGGAGAGTGAGGACACATCTGCGTCTGCGCCTGCGTCTGCATCAAAGCGCAAGCGTGAAGACAGCAAAGATGATTCTAAAGCTGGGAAGGCAGCTAGGAAGGAGGAGAGGGCTGTTAAGCGGGCGCGGAAGGTCGCGAAGAAAGAGGAGAAGGCCGTGCGGAAGGAGGCGAGGCGGGTGAAGAAGGCTGAGAAGGCCGAGAGGAGGGAGGCGAAGGAGGCCGAGAAAGCTGCAAAGAAGGCGAAGAAGGCGGCGGAGAAGACTGCGGAGGAAGATTATCCTACGCCTATGTCGATTGATCCTGAGTCTGAACAGACGGTGAAGGTTGATTTGGATGAGGCTGCTGCTCGACTACGGGAGAAGAAAGAGAAGAAGGAAAAGAAGAGTACGGAAGGCTCAGACTCAAAAAAGAAATCTAAAAAGGATAAGGAGAGCAAGGTCAAGGCCTGATGTGGGCGTTTGATTTTGGAGTCCACATGCACAGTGCCATGTACAAAACTTTGCATATACCAGCTTTGGCTTTATCTACGCCATATAGAAACCACGATACCCTTTTTGTTTGGTGAATGGCAATTTCCAAGAGACTCTATCTTGTAAAGCTACACTGGTAATTTGCCCGGAGTTCCAGATAGGATCCACGGGCGTCTCTCCCAGAACTCATCCTTAATGATGTCGACATGGTCAACAACGACCTGTGCTTTCCGGCGCAATTTCCGGATCTTATCCTGCTGTGACCGCGACTGGTTTTCCACGCTTGGTTGTGGCTCTTGGTCGATTTGTGTAGCCTTGGGTTCTTCCAGTTCGTACTGCGGCTTGTTAGATATCCGTAAAAATGGCGGAATAAATTGGCTATTACCTGGCGGTAGAGAACACTGCCCTTTTTATAAATCTCAAGCTCATTATTGTAATTCACTCCAAATCGCTTGAAGAGAATTTCGTTCTTGTCTGCTGATACAGTGCCCTGATATCGTCAATCGTGGGTACTCGTACTCGGAACTGCAGATGATGGTGACTTACCTTCAATTCCTGCTCGGCATCTGTATTTTTCATACCACCCTGCAATACCATGGTCCAGAAAGTGGTATTATAGAGGTTGTTGATATGGCCTGCATATCAGGTTAGGTCGATAGTACTGCTGGAATCGAATGATAACTTACAATCAACCTGTCTCCAGCTCATATAATCGCGCAGGATGCGAATGTTCGGGTAAACTACAGCACGCCCATCAAAAGATGGCAGATAAGGAGGCTTCAGAGGCGTCGACGGGAAATACTCGCTCCATAAATAGATGTAGTAGGCCGTAAATGTAGAAACAATGGTGGTCACCAATTTCCTGGATAGGGGTGTTAATTAATGATTGTTCCAGGAAAATTCGACAGAGACGAATGAAGAATACTAACCCATTACGTCGCTCAAATAATTGAGAGTTGGGATGGAACACGAAACTATATAGACGTGAGTGACAAAACATGTAAGCTGGTGGCTGACGTACCTGAACTCATCACTAACGCCGTAGGCAATGCATAGATCTGGAAGATCTTTCATGACTTCGACAGCGGCTCGATTCATCAGATCCAGTGCGCGACGGTCATTTGGTTTCACGAAGGAATAGTGATCAGAGAGTCTAGGAAAATTAGATCATGTAGACATTCTGGGTGTTCGCCACGCGGTCAAATCTCAGATATAGATGCAGGAAAAAGCCAAAAATATACAGACTTCGTCTTCTTCGAGCATCGAAATGCATGGGATTCATAGACAAACAACTGGAGTAGAAACTCACTTGTGAAATCCTCGTCCATCAATGCGGACCACAATCCACGTACTGGGCAGGAGCACATCTGGCTGCTCGAAGTTCTTGACGTACTCGAATCTAAGTTTTCTCAGTGAATGGTCTGGATTTATTCAAATTTCACTGCTAACCTTGAATTCGCCATGTCGGATGCTATTGACTATGGTGTTGCGATGGACACAACCTTGGAAGTTTGCATGGAAGACTCATTTTGTGCGGGCGGGCAGAAATCGCATCCGCACATTTGTTCTCCGCAGTGCCCGACTCAAGAGCTACAACTCATATCATAGAAACAGGTAGTCTGGTATTTGAATTAGGAAATTAATGGTGTTATTTATGTTCTTATATATTACACTAGAATGGAATAAGTCAAGTGACGAGTCTCAGAGTGGAAATAATCGTATGTCGCTTAGATGCATATCAACTGCGGAAAACCGTCAAGGTGTGATAGATACTCCAGAATCAAGGAAATAGAACAGTGAAAGGACAGAACCAAGGTGGCCCATAGATACATCATAATCACGAGGTCTCAGCCTCCTCCCGAATCTCCTCGTCGCCAGTTTCACTAGCACGCTCGCTAGTTTCACTGGCCTTGTCGGAGCGGCGGGACTTGCGAGAAAAGAAGCCCAGGCTGCTGCGAGTCGAACGGTCGGCAGATGTAACACTTGAAACAGTGCTATCAACGCTCTTGCCAAGTTGTGCTTCGCTGGCCGCGTCCTCGTCAATATCACCTTGCGAGGCTTGCGAGGACGTGTCCTTCTTGGAAAACAGTCCCGAGCGGTCCTTCCATGAGCTGAATTTGCTGGAGCTACCCTTGCGGGTGATCTTGCGGATGAAAGACTCTTTGGACGCATTGTCGACGGAGGTTCCGGATGGCATGCGCTCCAGTGACTCATACGAATCAGCAGTAAAGTGGGAGAGGGAGCGGGATGTGCGAGGCTCGGAGGGTGATCCTTCGAACTCACGCGTATCAAATGGACTGTCGGGGCCATCACGCTTTTGTCCTTCTCGGTCCGAATTCTCGCCGGTGAAAACTGCAGTGAAGGCCGGAGCAGCGGGATTCAACTTTGGAGTCAGTGGTCGATGAGAGGATGACGGGCGAGTGCCAATCGGTGCCTGGAGTGGTCGATGATGACGTTCAAATGTGTCCTCCACGAAATCAGGTTCACCGGTCAGCCCCAAAGGAAGATGACCCGACGACCCATACTGGATTGAAGGACGCCGAGAAGGAGCTCGAGACCAAGTTGGTGGCGAGGCCCAATCGAATCCAAGCGGGCTATTGCGGTGCCTAGCGTTCTCAGTGGATGGCCACCCGAAGTGGCGATTGTCCGTTGAGGGATGAGGAAGCTGGTTCTGTGTGTCAAAAGACGTAGATGAAGGTCGTGGAGACAAAGAGCCTCGTCGAACGCCACCGAGAAGAGACGATGGGTCGATGGGATCATGACGAGGACTAAACTGATTATATCCGGTGCTGAGGTCGGGGTTTCCACGGGTGCCAGCACCGCCGAAGCCAAACTTGCCGGATGAGAAGATACTTGAGAAAGCGGCTCGGCGAGAAGGCGCATGGTCGGAAGAGCTGTCCATAGTGACACCCGTTGTGTTGCTCCGAGGGAACAAGGACATTGGGTTTGCCCAATTCCCGGTATAACTTGATCGTCGTCGCCGAGAACCGATTGGGTCCAGCTCATCGACATTGCGGGGGAAGGATTGACTCTGTCCAGGTTTCAATGTGCCCAGCATGGGCGATTCGTCTGCCAGGGTCTTTCCACGGGGTCGATGGAAGTTGAAAAGCCCAGAAAGCCTTCGGGTTGCACTTTTCGGGGCATCCCCAGCAGCAGACAAATGGACTCCTTGGGGTTCGTCCTGTCGGGTTTGATTCTCAAGTGGGCTTGCAAAGATGCTGCCGGCTCGGCCGTCAGAAGAAACAGGCGATACCGGGCCGTGGCCGAAGCTATCCAATGGGTTGCTCGATGTGTCCAGAGTTGTAAACCTCGGATGAGCCATAATTCGGGGGAATTCTGGCGATTCCTCATCGCCAAGGAGATCAGATGGCAACAGAGCATCCGCACGGGGGCTCATCTGTGGGTTATTGAAAGCGACTTCTGAGTCTGATCGCATAATCTCCGGGGGGTCATTGAGGCCGGGAAGTGCCATGCCATTGTTAATGTTGAAGAATGCTGAGCTTGGAGGGAAAGTAGGCGAGTGGGTAGGCTGGTTGTAACTGACGCCACCTGGGAAAGAAGGCTCGATACCCGGGAAGTTCACAGGGGATGAGACATTGCTGACGAGTGAGCTGCGATGGCGACGAGGTCGAATGGTGGCACTATTTGTTATATCGAGGTCCAGGGGCGGCAAAGCAAAGGGGCCTGAGCTGCCTGGTCGTTGAGCAGTCAGCCATTTCAGCCGCTCTTGGGCTTCTTGATATTGCTGCTGGGCTTGTGCATGAAGGTTCACCAAGGTGGCATATCGTGCATTCAGGTTGCCTAGTTTGTGCTCCCATTGCCGAGCCCGCTCATTGTCGATCCGATCCAGTTCCTTGCCATCTTCACTGTCGCCTTCTTGCAGCCCCATTCTCTCTTCTTCGAGCTTCTTGACCCGACCTCCTTTGTCCTGGATTTCATCATCAAGTGTCTTCATCTCCGACTGCTCCTTGGCGATCTTTGCTCGGACTTCATCTGCGCGTTCGGCTCCTTCCTCTTCGATCTTTGTCTTATCATCCTTCGCCTGCTCGGCGTCGGAATTCATTTGCGCAATTTTTTCTTGCCATCTTAGAATTTCGTTCTTGCGCTTCTTGCGCTCCGCCTCCTTCTGTTGAAGTAGCCGCATGCGTTTTGACTTTTCGCCTTGCACCGTTCGGTTGACGCTTTCCAGCTTGTAGACATGCTTCTTCAAATCGCCGCTGGCCTCATCCTTCTCCCTGACACGCTTTCTTAGTTCACTGCGTTGCTTTTCCAGATCCTTCAGTAATCCGATATGCTCGTCTTCCTCCTCTATCCCTTGCTTCTCTAAGCTCTCGTTCTCATGCTGCAATGCCTTCAATCGGTCTGCTAACTGCTCCAAAGTCTCATCCTTGGCAGTTTTCGCCCTGCTCTTGAAAGTTTCTTCGAAATTGCCGTGCGCAGCGTCTAGCGTTCCAGCCGCGGGAGAAATTTTCCGTCCGGCTGAAGGGCGTTTGCCTGGCAGTTGGCCGGTGCTGTGTTCGCGAGACATGATCGGGGCAGAGGGCGCAGGCAATCCAACCGTAGACCGGGGAATCGAAGCGCGAATAACTGGACCTCCGGGGGTGCCATTTTGCTGGGTTTGAGAAAGCGGAAGAGATTTCGTTCGGACATGGAGGATTGCACTTGGTGTTTGGAAATTGGCGGCACTGAGGGAAAGAACGCAAATGTGGTAGATGTTTCCAGGTATCAAATTCGAAATCTCAACTGCCGTTTCGGCTCGTTTGGATTCGCCGACTAGACACCGTTAGTATGCCAATTTCTAGAGAAAGTTGTCGAATAGCTTTACCTTTAACATTGTTGACCTGGATGATATGCTTATGTATTGAGTTGTGAAAGTCTGGTTGCTTCCAAGCAAGGCGGATCTCACGGGCTGTGATCTCTTCGAGAGTGACTTCTGGCGGCGGAGGAATGTCGAGACCCAGCTTTTCTACCAAGACCTCGTTTGAAGTTTGACAGACCTGCCACGCACGGTAAAGAAGCCTAGACGAATGGGTCAGCCGAATAACACGAATGGCAGAACAAAGGACTCACCAGATCAGAGCCCATAAGATCGAAACGGCAAGGAAGAGTGCCATAACACCTCGGACTCGAACACGGGGAACCACTGCTGGGTAAGCGTCGAATGCAAAGTAAAGCGGCTCATACATCCCAGCGTCAGATACCCATGGACGCGGGCAGCGGGATAAGGGACTGACAGGGTCGCAAATGCCTTCAATTCGGCGGGTGGGATAGGCTCCACGTGACTACTAATTTTGTAGGTTAGCGCGTATAAAGATCGGCCGCTAGTCCAAATTGAGTGGTAACTTTTGCCGAGGTGTTCCCCAACATCCACTCTACTCCGTACTAGAAACAAATCATATCGGAAGTTTTCTTTAGAAGACGGATTTTCAGCTGCTATCTCGAAAGAACTTTAGGAAGATCCGAAAAACAAGACCGGTTAAAAGAGAGGAAAAAAAAGCCTAGACAGACTAACTGACTATGAAATGTCACCATACTTTCTAGACGCACACCTCCCTTTCTTTACAAATCAAAAGTTCCCATTTCAGAGAAAGAGGTCAATGAGAGAGGATGGGATTGAACACACCATGTGACTCTAGTAGAACCCGTGGCTATATCCACATACGTATGATCATATGTGCTAGGTTTGCTATATTCGCCGATATTTCACATTTGAGTCCATGGAAACTCTGATCAAGCTTTCATGGACCTTAAATATAAGTTTGAACATAAGTTTTCATAATGTGAAATTCTAACTGATCTTTCCTTTTTTTAGAGTGCTCTGATGTCTTGCTGGACTACTTCATCCGTGTTCACGCCCCTAGTACTCCTAGCAACCAAGGACCTCAGCGCCAAATGCCCAACCTCCCCCAGAACTGTCTATAATTGCAGCAACCCTCGTGACAATCTGCGTTATACTTCGATCAAACCACATATCGGCTATCGGGCATAGACGCGCACAAATTGGGAAGAGTTGGCTGGAAGAAGATGAAGCAAAAACTTTCAAGACAGAATGAGTTTTACAGAGAGTGAAAAATCCTTGCTGAGGCTAAACGGCTAACTGCAAACTGGGAGGAATTGAAGTGTACCCTGACTAGGCACATTTTGGCGGGGTTACTTGTGCTGGTAGCCATTTCGCGTGGTTGCACAATAAGTATCTGGAGAGAGCTTGCTCATTGTTCGAAAACTTGAGACAAATTTGCCGGGTTCTTGTCCAGATTGAAACGGTCCAGGTCCTCTTTGCCTTCTTTGTGCTTTCTCCCCCAGGTGACCATTTCCGGGATAGCCTTTTGTGCCTTGTCACCACTATTGAAAGTGTTTATGTCATCTTGCGGGATTTCAGCTTCCCAGTTGCGGACTTGCTCTTACGCTAAAAATATTTTAACCACAATCAGAATGTCCCTCTGGCGCTTGACATAAAAACACGGTTGAGCCCACACGGAATAAATAACATGTGCAGATTCTAGAATGGGATTAGCCCGCTTTATCACAAGGCAATAGTCACAGTCTCGCCCCAGACTCTCAATGTTATAATATTAGCATTGCTCTTTTTTGAGATTTTTGATGAACTCACCTTAGTGATAGGGTCTTGAGAGAACTCGACGTAAATAACTTACTTGGATGTAGCATTACCAACAAACGTATTTTGTCTTAAGTAGAAGTGAGGGATAACTAAAGAAAATCTAAATAACCTGCAAAGCTAGATCAAGTCACTGACGTATCATCCAATATTCGGAATTATATCATTCTTAGATTCACAAAACTACGAAATTAGGAAGACGAGATAGTCGATAATCTAAAAGCATTGAGAGCTAACAAACGAGATTGAAAAGAAAAAGAGAGAGAAAAGAGGTGATTAATATCTGCATGCATTCCCCCGCATACACCTCGTAGATCGTTTCCCAAAGACTGTTTATTGAACCCACACTAGTCCAAGTAGTTACTTCTTCTTCCCAAACCATAAATTAAGCGACCACACCTGTATTATCTACCTAGAAAGATTCAGCCATGGGAGCAAAAATAATGGACTCGCGGGGAATCGAACCCCGGACCACTCCCATGCTAAGGGAGTATTATACCACTAAACCACAAGCCCATTTGATTGGTTGGATGGGCCCTCCAAGGCTATAGAACGCTTTGATTTCACCCAAGACAACAGACAAGAAGAAAGGCTAATCACAACGGGTGCAACATCACACAGCCTAGCACGGTTCTCAAGACCGAGCGATATCTCGTTAGACAATTTGACTGTGGAAACCGTGTTATCTGCCGGTTACTCGCCTCCATTGGTCACTCACCCCATAGGTGTTCACTCAGGTTGGTTATATAAATTGAGCAGGCACTCTCGGGGAGATAATGTGTAATATAAATGTGCCGCGTCCAATCCGAGTCTATGCGACATCAAAGGCCTGTTTGTCGACACGTCGATCAATGACGGGTTCCAAGTATGGGAGCTTTGTGTCATGATCAACTTGCAATATTGCATGGACATCCAGAGCTGCTGAATGAATGAATGCTTCTTCAGATACCAGCAAAGCCCCCAAATTTCCGTTATGGTCGGAGCTTCTATGCGATCGTGCCTGAGAGGGGTAATATAACAAGATGCCAAGGATTGAAACATAGAGCGAACCAAACTAAACAACAGCTCATTCTTTCCCTCTTTTCCTTCTCTGTTTCCCCGCCTGTCGCCAATTAATGTCGCAGTGCAGTTCGGAGCTACTAAATAAGCCTGAGAAATAAGAAGATCAATACAATTTACTCTCCCTTCACCTCATGTAAACGCTGAGAAAGTACTTGACAAGGCCAGTCTCCTTTAAGAGTCAATGTTTCGAATCGCTTGAATCCTTGAGACTCATAATATTGGACCAATCTGCCGTCACCACCTGCATAGCAATCCACCCGTAGCAATGAGACTCCAGCTCCGTAGGCGAGATTACGAGCATGTTCCAAAAGGCGTTTGCCAATCCCGCTACCAGCGGATTTTCGATCTGTGACCAATAAGCGCACGTAAAGCTCAGGCTCTGAGATAGCTGCCACGTAAGGCATCTTCTCCCCAACAGCAAGCGCTCCTACGATGGACCCTGAAGCTTCTCCATTCATAGTTTGAGGGCGTATATTTGAGGGTTGATCCTGGTCCACTGGCGTGCCATCAGTAACCTTGATGGCGAGCCAAAGGCCAAGGCCGCTTGTTGCAAATTCTTGGAGTTGTTCAGCGCGTTGTGGATTCTCCGAAAACGGTGCTTCTCCCCACTGCCCAGTTCTGTTACGCGACACCAGCCATTTGACTGCGGTATCTAGGAGATGGAGGACCGCCGGCACGTCGTCCACTGTTCCTCGCACGATAGCAATGTCGTCAAATTCATTATGCATAGTACTTTCGAGACTTTTAGTGAGTTTCTGTGAAAGGATTTTCTTTGATATTGACGCCTTCTTATCTACCTTTTCCTGGGTGGATTGGTCCTTCAAATGATAGTACTCACTTTGATGCCATTTGTCCAATCAAATCAATATGAAGAGAGGTAGTTATCGAACAGCTTCAATACACTGAACTGATTCGAAGATTTTGGGAACATCCGAAGGATGTTTTGCCAATGTATTTCTTTATGGGAAGAGCCTCTTTCAGTCTGTCTCACTTTCAGGCCATGTGTCCAGATTCCATTGGCTGATCCTGGATATTTCCGCGCAGTAGCGTGCCGAGGTGCCAACGTGTAACTAAACCATGTACTTATCATAAGTCTAGTATTATTATTAATTTTTAAAATAATATTCTAATGGTATGTTCACATGAAGGATAGGTGAGAGGTTCCATGGTTTCCTTTCATGTGAGTCCCTTTGTTATCAAAGATGGCACATTGTGAGCACAACTGGCAAACCCAGCAGAGACTGCCATGCCCACTTTGTAGGTGCTCGAAGAGATTGTTGGACGTTATGTACATATCTGAATCCGGGCAATTTTCGGAGACGCACAAATATGGAGATATGTCTTGATCAACATGCATCTTCTAATGCGCCAGTCAGTCTAGAATATTCATTAACACAGAGCTACGATAACATAACTGGATCTGTAGTGGTCCCCAAACATCTTACCGACAATATCTCAGTACAGGATGGACACTGTGTCATGTTATCCCATAGGAGTTCGGTTTGGGCGAGGCCAGATAACTAGGGTCAGTTTTGCCGCTGCGCTTGACCATTGAACGTGATAAGCTCATCGAGAGTGTATCAAATTCGATCCTACTCCTTCTGATGATATTTGCCTGTATCAATCGCTTCTGCACATTCATCAATGAGCTTGAGGATGCGTTATGTGCTACAACATCGGTGGCGTCGAATGACTTGAGGGAGTCAGTGGACATAGTACCTCTAAGAATCAAATCTGTTAACTGCGTTCTGCAATCCGCGATGTCTTCCTCTCGTAGCGAAGCATCAGCCATTCTGTGTCCATGTTCGGGCCCCTCTTTCTCAGTGGTCTCCCAAAGGGCCTTGAGCTTCTCTGACATAATTTCCATCTCCTCCTTTAGGTGACTACTGGCTATACCCACGCTTTGTGAAAAACTATTTGCTTTCTATCTGACAAGAGTTCCTCGAGATTGTCGCTTGACATATCTTCAGATGATACATTGAACTTGGTCAGCTCTTCATTCTCTGACTGGACACACTTCTTTGATGATAATACGGCTTCTCATACCTAGGCCCAATATAACCTGGGGATGAGCGGAGAGCTCGTCGATTAGATGGTATGTATTTTGATGTTGGACATCCCGTAAGGGATGATCTAGTGATGATCAACCAACTTCCAGGGCGTCTGAGTCGAGTGCCCAAGAAATAAGTGGCCAAAACGGATTTCAATCTAATTTACTTTTGCTTGCGTCTTACTCGAAACCTTTCACGGCCTTTTATCCTTCCACCTCGCGTGAGATTCTCGATATATGCAACCGATATTCGTAACGTAGCCTCGAAATACTGGTTCGCCCTTAAAAAGACCCACTACCCGCCACCCGCGTTTCTAGAACGTTGAACCGGCTAAGTTCAAGGTGGATCGGATCGGATCTATCTCGCACACCCTATCTCCGATCTGAAGCACCAAGGATCTTACATGGTCCCCTCGACATTCCACTTGGTATGCGCATGTACCCCACCAAAGCATAGAATCTGACGTCGGAGGTAAATCAGAGTGATAGAAGAGAGTTCTCCACCCTAGCCGGGGTCCTAATCGTCGCTGCCGCTAGAGTAAACCTCAGCCTAGCTGCTAGGGTAGTTTTCAAATCAACGGCACAAATTTTGTGGGGAGTCTAAAATGCTATCCCGATTGGGGGCAAGAAAACGGACCCGAGGTTGACAGTGGCAGACTTATTAGAAGGACCAAAGCAAAATTCCATCTTAACCGACTCTATCAGGAACCAGATGAATGCTGGCGTTCAGATTACCTTGTCTCGTGCCAGGACATTGGTTTCTGGTACGACTTTTGGAAACTCGCTGGAGGAAAAAGCTCTAGCGAAGTTGCAACATGGCATTCTCAACGCTTTCGTCTCGACGATACCCCTGGGTGCTTTCTCTTGCTTGGATGTATAGTCATAATAAATGGATGGTTGCGTTTACGTAGGAGTAGGAGAAATCTTGGATAGCACTGACTTCATACAACTGTTATTGAGTATGTGTTCGAACAGTATCTTGGCATGTAATTCATAATGATGTGAAACGCGGCTCGCTGGATTTGAATGACACTTAATTCTGCATAATACGAACCGATTGAACTAGGGTTTGAAAAAAAAGCCAAACACGGGGTCTTGTCCGTCTGGGCTGCAATTCCCTGCTATATTAGGTTGCGTTGCCTCCCCAAATCCCTTTCTTCTTTTTTCATCTCTATTCACTAAGATCTTATATACAAACTTGAGACAAATTCTTCATCACAATGCAGCTCGGCATCTACACTCTTCTTGGTCTACTTCTCCCTCTGGCCACTACTGCCAACCCCCTTGTTAAGCGCAAAGAACAAGTGTGTACTGTCGTCAGCCATGGTGACAATGGTGGCTGGGTAAACTGCCGCCGACAACCCCGGCTCGATGGAGAGTATTGGGGCAAACTACAGAATGGCTTCAAGTCGGATTACACGTGCTACGCGGTTGGAGACTGTTATAAAGGAAATTGGTGAGTCTGCTGCTTGTTTCACGTTTTTGCTTAGGCTTATTGTGTCTTTGAAGCACCTGGGATTGGAATGTTGACGAGGGGTGCTATATCAATGGCTACTATACAAGCTCTAACTGCAACACTGGTAAGTTGTATGTCTATCAGGAAATAATTCTGACATTTATATCTGACTGCTACGGTTTGGTACAGATAACCTCCCTAAATGCAAGTCAGCTATTCCGTGATTATGTCTTAGAGTCGGAAGCAAACTTGGGGGAATTAGTTTCCCCTGCCTCTCTTCAAATGTGGATTTTGGACACTCAAAATAGTCAGAATGCTCAGAATACGAAGCAGATCGACATCTCCTCAGTTATTGGCGATATATGATAGGGTCTTTATACGAAGTGTGTTACTTGGCATAGCCTCCAGCCCCACTTCACCTTATTGGTCTGCTACTTTCCAGGCCGTATAGCAAGAAAAGCCTGGACTGCACAGAAACCACTGATGAAACAACAGTAACATGTCGACCATTGACCATAGAGACAACACTGTCATTTTAGGAAAGATGGCCACCTATGAAAGCAAGTTCTACAGGGCGGGTAACGGTAAAGCTTACTGACTTCAAGACGTCTCCCATTCAGCCAGAAGAGCTCATCATGCTGTACCGATATCTCTGATTTCAACCGAGCGAGCTTTCTTTTTAAGAATTGTGTCCATCAAGGCTTTTCGAATTCAGAAGAACGGGTATCGATGAGTGTAATCATTCCCTGATGAATTCAGAGGAAATTGAGAAGAGAGATGTTCCTGACCTTCACGCCTCGTATGAGTTAGTCCTGAGTTTCGAAGATTCGGAAGAAACTTGCAGTGTGTCTTCCTCGTTTGGCTAGAAACTATCTACTAGTATCAATGGCTAACGTTGCATGTATAGCTGCTACTGTCTTGGAAAATTTGATTTGAAGTACTAGTAGCACTGAAGACAATCAAGTTCCATCGATTATTGGACTTGCTATCACCAATTCTACAGAATCATCACTGTTATCCCATGGTCCGAATGTACAGATTCATGTTAGAGTGGGTCTCGTCTCGGTTCAAACCACCTACTCCAGGTGGATGTTCGTCACCATCCTCAAAATTTGCATTTGAGCGCAAAAAAGTACGTGCAACCGCCAAAGTTCCGCCAGATGAAACGGCACAGGAACAGCAGAGATCGAGTATCCACTTCCGGGAGGGACCTCGGTATTCTGTGCTGACGTAACAAAAAATGTTGGGGTGCGGGCGAAGGTTGAAATGTTGACGAAACCAACAAATGTTGGCCTGAAAGTAAGGAAGAAATCGCCTCATATTTGAGATTTTCTCTGTTTCTGCCATTCTCAAGTGTACAATATTCTAATAATTCAACTCGTTGTTATCAAAAGTCCCGTGTTGGTAATGCGAGTCATTGTCGACTGAAAGTGTCACATGGGCCGGCCCTTTGGAAGGCGGCACTCCAACCTCCGATTCCTCAAAACCTGTCTCAGTTCTCTTTGACACCATTCTTTTCGCCTCTGCATTTTTTTTGCTCTCTCATATTCTTTGTATTGGAAATTCTTTCGTTGTGAAAGGTGCTAGACACCATTTGGAGGGATGCAGTACGTCCGGAGCATCAGCGGTTCCGTCTCCAAGACATGGAATTCAATCAACCCGGCCACCCTCAGCGGGGCTATTGATGTCATTGTCATTGAGCAAGAAGATGGTAATTTCAGTTCTGCGAGAGTTGGCATCTGCAAACGATACTGATTCATTGTTCTCTTGCAAGGCACCCTCGCATGTTCGCCCTTCCATGTCCGGTTTGGCAAGTTTTCGCTCTTGCGTCCGTTTGAGAAGAAGGTGGAGTTCAAGGTCAACGGCTTGAAACAACAGTATGCTATGAAGCTTGGAGAAGGGGGTGAGGCATTTTTTGTCTTTGAGACGACCGACGAGATCCCCGCATCGTTACAGACTTCGCCCTTGGTGTCTCCAGCGGCCAGCCCAAGGGCCCAGAGTGAACCAGATCTTCCGCCTTCGTTACAGGAACCCGACTTTTTCGATCTAGAAAAAGGAAGTGGTGATGCATTGTCGGAAGGCGCGAAGACACCGCCGGAGATCGCGATGCCACCTAACAAGATGCGAGCCAACACGGATTTAGGTATGACACACATCGGTCCCTTTGTCGATACGAGTATGCCTTTACTGACTAGCAATACAGGAATGATTACCCCACTATCGCGCTCCCCCGATGAATCAAACCTGACACATTCACGGCATGGCTCGCTGGGTGCCAAGCCGCCACTCGGTCATACAACCTCCGACAACGTGCTTACAACCACTTCCCCGCGCCACTCCTTGACAGGTCATTCGGCAAATGAAACTGAAGATTCTCCTCAAACTGATCGTGAATCAGCAAGGCGTTCCCGTAGTCCAGCTCTTTCTCCAGAGGAAGCGGTATCTCGTGCCATCTCACTTTCAAAGAAGCTGTCTGGTTCCAATATTCCATCGCATGTTACCGAGACAGGCGATTTGATGTTGGATATGACCGGCTACAAAAGCAACGACGAAGACGCACTCCGTGCGGAGGTCGTTGCGCGGAAAATTCTCGCCGAGGAGCTTCAAGGAGATAACGATATCGGCGCACTAATTGGAGCCGACGAGCACGGCAACCTGTGGATATACAGCAGCGAAGAATCGAAGGAGCTGGCTGATCGAAGAGCCACCCTCAACTCGATGCGACCAACCACTGCGATGAGCGATGATGCTATCTCTGACCCGGGCTACCACAGCGAAGGTGAGCATGCCGTCTTGGAGCCATCCATGGTTTCGCGCCACCACCGAACTAAATCAGATGTTCAACCTGGATTCCCTACACCCCCGCACTCGCCTTTGCATGATTCTTTCGAGGTTGAAACTCGCCAGTATGCGAAGACTCTCCGCTTGACCAGCGATCAACTCAAGGCCTTGCAGCTAAAGCCCGGTGCCAACACTATGTCGTTCAGTGTCAACAGAGCAATTTGCACAGCAAACATGTATTTGTGGAATGGCAACACCCCGATCGTGATTTCTGACATTGACGGAACTATCACCAAGTCGGATGCACTTGGCCATGTGCTTAACATGATTGGACGCGACTGGACCCATGCAGGAGTCGCCAAGCTGTACACCGATATCGTCAACAATGGGTACAACATTATGTATCTCACCAGTCGATCTGTTGGTCAGACAGATACAACAAGAGCCTATCTGAATGGCATTTGCCAAGATGGGTACAGACTACCAAGAGGTCCAGTTATCTGCAGTCCCGATCGCACAATGGCGGCTTTACGGCGCGAGATCTACCTGCGAAAGCCAGAAGTCTTCAAGATGGCATGTCTGCGAGACATTCTCAATCTCTTCTGTGGCAAGGAGAATCCGTTCTACGCTGGGTTTGGAAATCGATTGACTGATGCTTTGAGCTACCGCTCTGTTAATATTCCATCTACTCGGATTTTCACAATCAACTCAAATGCCGAAGTCTCTTTGGACTTGCTCAGCCTGAACAAATACAAGAGCAGCTATGTGACCATGCAAGAGCTGCTCGATCATTTCTTCCCGCCAACCAGTCTCCTCGTGCAGTCCGGAGGCGAGGAATACACTGACTTCACATACTGGAGAGATACACCAAATGAGCTTGATGACTTTTCTTCAACCGATAGTGAAGATGAAGAAGAAGATGAAGATGAGGATGATGTCGATGAAGATGCGGCCGATGAGGATGGAGATGAAGACGGCTACGAAGATGAACTGAGTGAGGGCGAAGGGAGTGAATACCTTGATGAGGCTGATGGCGCCGACGAAGACCTCGGCGCAAGCTACATGTCCCAGGACTCAGTCGCCGTATCAAACCCTGTCGGTTCGATAATCGAGTCAGTGGAAGGCGATGTCGAACTCGGCGAAGAGTCCATCGGGGAAGAGCAATTTTTCCCCATCGTCGAGAAACCCCTCGAAGCAACCGAGCTCTCCACGACCTCCCTGCCGATCCGATCCAAATCACCCCACAACCCCTGAACATACACTTCGCTATGATATTTGACTCCGGCATTTCTCTGCGCCATAGATACCCGCCTTGCGAATGTTTTACTGAGTCAGATTATGCGTTAGACTGCTGACAGCGATATATCCACGTTCAACACTATTGCATGCAGACCTTGATTGGGAGACTGCATTATACACTGTCCCTTTGGACCAGCAATTTAATCATGGCATTGTTGGCGTTTTGGTTTTTGAGCTTTTGTACATTCATGGCGTACATGATGGATTGAAGAAGTTTATGAGATGGGATGCAACGAAGGAAATAAGTCATTAGAATTGCAAATACTTTGAATTGCTGAATACAATGAATGGAATTAAACCGAATCAATTAAGCAAATCTACGTACCTAGGTACATTGGACGTTGGAAGCAACATACTTAAATAAATTGTTTAACTATTACCTCGGGCGCTCCAGGCCCCATAGTAACTGCGGCCGCAACACGCTTACATAACCATAATTATCGGTCTCAAAGCTTCAACTTTTAGAGATCGCCACCCATGCAACCTCTTGCTATATCCTCCAACCCAAATCTCATAATCGACCACGAAAATGTCAAACCCAAACTCCTACGGCACGCCCGTATCCGACACAGCATTCCGCAAAACCTGGGACCGAGAAGAATACACGAAAAAAGCCGCCGACGATGAAGCCAAACGCAAAGCAGAAGGCAAAGCGCGCTACGAAGCAAAGCTACTGGGCAAAAAGTACCACGCCCCGGTCGACTATAGCACGTTGGAGGAGACGACGGCGCGCAACAAACGGCTCGATGTCGCGTCGATGGTTGGCAAGACGATGCTTGTGCCTGCCGGATCGAGCGTTGGCAAGCGGGGCCCTGGTGCGGGCTTTTACTGCAAGGACTGTGATCTTACATTCAAGGACAATTTGCAGCTTGTCGAGCACTTGAATAGTAAGCAGCATTTGATTGCTACGGGGCAGAGTGGGGAGGTGAAGAGGGCTGGGGTTAAGGATGTGAGGTTGAGGTTGAGGATGCTTTCTCATCGGAAGAGGCAGTTGGAGGAGGAGGAGAGGAAAGCTTGGCAGCTTGATCTTGGGGTGAGGCTAAAGGAGAGGGAGGAGGCGGATGCGAAGGAGAGGGAGGAGAAGAGACGGATAAGGAATGAGAAGAGGAGGAAGGTTAAGTCCGAGGATGATAGCTGGGAGGGACGATTGGGGATTATTTCTTGAGGGTTTTCCTCGGATTGCGTTCTACATTTGATACCCATGGTGTTTTTGGCATGTTTTTCAGGCTCTTTACTCTGCAGTTGCAACGTTCAATCAAAATTGTGAACTTGAAACAATGATTTCACACTGTCTGGGATTGGAGATAGTTAAATATGAAGAAGACATCCCAAAGTAGAAGAGTATAGTCAGTAATGTAAATGTGTCTACTTGAGACGGTGGCCTAAGGTAACCATTGTACAAGCAGCAGGAGATAGCCGCCTATATACATTGAGATGCGTTACCTTACTACTGTACATGGATACCTGTAGAGTACGCGTATGGTAAAATATGATCTTTATACTCCAAAAAGAGAGGTGAAAAGAGATATAGGGAACGCTGATCTTGAGATTGCTTTCTTACCCCATTGACATGGAATTCTAGATCCAATTTGATGGATCTTATTATATGTCCTTTTAACCTATTGAACTTCTTATTTATCTTCTGGCTTTTTGAACTGGCAGGTTGGCCAGAGCTTCTGCAAGCTTTCTCGCGTCTGTCTTTCTGCAAGTGATGATGACGATGACTTCTGCGATTCTCTTACTCGCTTGCTACCGACGGTCTTTGGACATTGGATCCACGCTCCATGCAGGGCGTCCGTGTAGACTTGACGGCCTCCACAGCGCAGTTTGAATAGTTATCTGCCCTCTTGCAAGCATAGAACGACGTCACTGATATCCTTGGTGTATGAGCAGATTCCGCCGTTGGGCTCTAATTCAATCCGATAACAAGGACGTTGCATATTAGCCAACGCCATAATATGGGATAAGCTGGAAACGCCAATTAATCTGTAGAATAGGACATGCCAGGGTATAATAAAATGCGGAAGCCGAGTCTAGTCATGTATGGGTGATGTGGGCCAGACAAGGTCGAACCGGGGCCTATAACTTCTCTTACTTACATGTACTTACATATGTATTTTTTACTGCAATTCTAAATATGTGGAAACCGAGAGCGAGAACCGTCAACTCGCTGTCGTCACATCGAGACGAACCGATCTGATGTCAGTAAATAATTAGAACTGCCTGCAACCCAGGCAATGTTTACGTCACTGGAACGATGAGACAAGTACCTACTGGAAACAAATTAATGCCGTCTTACGGCTGCAGCCGTCATTATAGCCTTCTTTCTTGCTTCTCTCTTGCTTAGTTCACCCCAACTTCTTCCTGACTTACATACGCCATCAGTTAATTCTCAAGGGCTGAAAAGCCGCATGACTCTTTACTCCTTCCTCACTTCCATACTCCCCCTAATCCATCCCCTAATACAAAATCTACCATGGGAAATAACCAAGGTCTTTCTGTGTTGGCGAGATTAGACGCGATGGAAGAAAAGATGGCCGCGATGGAAAAAACTGTGAAAGAACCGGCAGAACCCTCTGTAAGCTACGGCAACCAGTCCTTGATTAATGGGTCCATGAAGCGACAAACCCTCAATATATCCATGCTCGAGATACGATCGCCTATACGGGAAGATGTTATTGCAAGGTTGAACGAAGCTAATCAAGCCGTTACTGAAAGCGGTGGGGAAAGTTTCAACGCTTCTTGAGTGCTGGTATCTTCGTGCTTGAATTTCTGAATTATAACGATGCCTTCTTATTGACTCATCTAGTCGCCAGTCAACCATTAAATTTGGCTTCCACGTTCTTTACTTACTAAAATTCATCCCTTTTGATCTCTCTCCCATAGTTCATTTCTTGTTCTATCCTAGCATTTTCATTCTCATGGTTCCGGATTAGCTCATATCAAAACATTTAAATTTCAGGTCGGGTGGTTAACAAAAAGCGCTGCACGATTTCATGAACATAACTCAATAACCGGGTCGTCGAACCCAGCCACCTGACACCGCGAAGGCGGTGGCCGCAGTTCGACGACCCGGTTATGGGTTTCCAAGCTGCATATCACAAAATTTCAACGCAGCAATCATCTTCATTTTTGTGTGCTGCCAGTACCGAGCAATGAGCCTTAGATGTCAGGAAGCTGGCACCCTCGAATCACGTAGCATCAAGTTGCTCAAGAGTAATTTGTAGAGATTGAGTCGCTAGATGGCACTAGCAAATATCTCATCGTGTTAAACCACCGGTGGCACCCGCGAGATAGCGAGAAAAACGATCAGATAACTGAATAGCCTCTCCGCCGGCATATAAGCCCTTGCAAGTAACCAAGCCTGACAGCATAAACTGTCTAGAGCGCGAGAGAATGGATGTAGCTCATGATGGCCTCTGGATTCTTTTCAGCTGCATTCCACTCGCGCATGATGATTCTCTCATGCTCTGGACTTCGGACGCGGAATAGGGCTTCGAAGTCCGCGGGGGGAGGTCATGTTCTGCTCCATGTTCCAGGGGTCGACCTCTTGTTTAATTCCATCTTTATATTGATGAGTAATTTCGTACGCCCAAATCAAGCGCGAGATGGAGATAGTCAAGGAGTTACGAGCGACATGTCGTCCAATGCACCCCCGACGGCCGAATCCGAAGGCAGCCAAGGGAAGATTCGGATCGTCCAGCCAGCGCTCTGGACGAAATTCTGTGGCGTTTTTGAAAACAGACTCATCTAAATCTAATGTCCAGTGGTTAGGCATAACCATCGCTCCCTTTGGAATACGATAACCCATGTATTCATCGTCTTCGGACACAACACGGGCAAACCCTAAGGGAGTGAGGGGCCTCCACCGCAGGCATTCGGTAACCAGCGCATTGACATAGGGCAAATTTTCCATATCCTCAAACGAAGGGAGACGATCCAACCCAACGACCTTGTTCAATTCTGCATGGGCCTTTTTCATGGTTTCCGGGAAAGTCAAACAAGCTAACACAAACACTTTCAAGGCCCCAGCTGTCGTATCGGTGCCCGCCTCCCAGAGAACTCCGATGATATAACTCATCTCATTATCTGACAACCCTTTTGACTCTTTCATGTTGAGAGACGCTTGCACCCAGTTCCAGGACGGACTTGATCGTCCATCAAACAGGTTCTTTTTGTAAAGAGCAATGGTCAACTCATGGGCAATATCGCCCTTCCGCTTCCAGGGAGCGAATATTCGCGGTAAGTAGTTCAGCACTGGAAACAGCTCGACCATAACACTCTGACTGGAATTGATAGAGCCGAGCCAGCTCTCTGTCAAAGCCGCTAACTCCTTGATGACCTTGGCATTCGGACTCTCAATGCGCTGGCCGTACGCCATGGTTGACATTACACTTGAAGTAAAGCGCCGGAAATGGGAACAAAAGCTACCATCTGTCAAGAGATCGTGGATCAGCTGTTTGCTCTCCATATCCTGAACATCGCGGTAATTGGTTGATAAGTCAAGTTTCAGGAAGCTTGCTTGGATTCGGTGATGGTTTCTCCATTTAGGGCCGTACGGGAGCAATGCAGTATGAAGATTTTTTGCAATACATTGACTTGCAATGATGAACTGGGGCCTGGAACTATAAATGCTGCTTTTCTTTTCCAGGAGGTCTCGCGCCACTTCATGGGATCCGATAGAAATTACATCCTTCCGACCGTAACGCAGTGCCACTATAGGTCCGTAGGTCTTGTGCCAGTTTTGATATGTTCTACATGCATTGATAGACGGAGTTTGATGCCCATTTCCAATGATAGGGAGCGGTGGTGGACCGGGAGGGAGTGGTAAGTCCTTTTTTCGTCGCAAGGAGTACCAGAGGACGATGACGAATAGGCCAGTAGAAGCAAAAAGTATCAGTGACATTGAAAGGCTATGTGGGATTCGATGATGAGTAAATTGGCTGCAGTTGTCCAGGTGAGGATGAAAGGGGATGAAGCAGAAGGAAGGCACGGCGTGTGAGAAGTTGGAAAATTGAAGAAAAGAAAAGCACTAGTGTGTTGATCTAATCACCTTTTTTTGAGAGCTCAGAGGGAACTGTATTTTTCAATGCAGAGGCTTTCATTAAAAAAAATTTAATGTCCAGTGTATTTGAATTTCGCCATGACGACCCTTGTCCTCTGCGGACACAGCCTCGCTATGCACTGATCTGTAACAAATAGATATATCAATTCCCCCCCCCCTCAAAGTGCCCCTTACTGCATATGACCGAGTAATAAGGGCCCTTAGCTGAATAATATCAAGAGTATGCGTTCCTCCATAGGGCCCACAACATAAGCTTTTGGACACCTTGTGTAACAGATGTCTCTCGCATATCTGATTATGAGTTTTGACGAATGAAGATAGCCAATGCACTACCAAAACACTATACAATGCTCTATACATAATCTTGCTGCATATGGATTTATGTCCGCCATAATACTGGGTTTTTCACCGAACACCTCAAGTATCAAATCAGCCCAAAACTGGTCAAACCCTCCGGATTGAACTGCCGTCAAAAGCAAAGTTATTGTCGATCGGGTTATTTAGATAGATGTTGGCAAATATTGAGGGGAAAGCTTTACAACACGAGACCTTATAGAGAGAACATATAAATTCGCGGCCGCTTTGAAGTCTTACGAAAATGCTCCGTAAATTGATAGGGGCGGCCCTACTCCGCCGTGTACAAAATCTTATCTTTGAAACGTGTATCAATTTCAATGGCATAAAAAAGGGTTTAAATCGTATTGTCCTTTGTTCTAAACCGTAGCTTCTGACCAATGTGAAGAGCAATTTGGGAATGACAGGATAGTATGTCATTAATGTGAGATACAATCTTAAACCATGCGGTCAAAATCCACTTGTACCAATCATAGAATGCGGTACTCATGTAGCTGACAGAGAATATACAATGAAGCGTGTATAGTTGAGAACAAGGTTTGTTCGACACCTACGACACGTAGAATTACAATTATGATAGATTGTCCTTACAGGTCTGCTCGAAATCAGGTTCACTTTTAAGTCTTCATGAATCTCGACCAGAACCCAATATATATCTGTCCGTGCCTCCCCGGGCCTGAAAAATAGGAAAAGTGCCAAGTGCACCGGCCAGCTACAACTATATTAGGCCTAGTGATCTGCAAATTGGAGTTTGGGATACATTTCAAGAGCGTTGAATGAATGGAACCAATACGATGATCTAGTTAGTTGTGTAGATTCACTACTGCTGCTACTACATTATAAAATTCCAGAGATCTACCAAGGGTTATCCGAAAATGCAGTCAGTGGCGCATTTCTTTGCACCCCGCAATTCAATTGATGTGTTATCGGCCGAGCTACAATCTGTTCAGTATCCCATTTGAACGACACTAACTGGTGATTCTGAATCAGAGAAGTAAAACAGACTATAAAATCATGAAAATCATTCGCTAGCCACCAAAGCATAGATTGACAACTGGGTATTAGGAGGTTGGTGGGAGCATTCCAATTTGACAAACTATGGGTAGTAGTTGGCGTGTCAAGCCAATTCAACCAGACAGCGCTTGCCTTTTGGTGCCATCATGAAGTAAATCAGTTGCTCCATGTCTGAGTCACTCATGTTTTGTTGAGTCGAAACTTTGGCGCGTGGGAAGGTACGGAAGAAGTAGGCTGTCGCAAGACGTATCTGCCGGCGTGCAAGGTGTAGACCAACACAAACTGGAACGAGATATCTTAGACTTAACTTGCTCATAAGGTATACGAAAACAAAAGGAGTTGAGTAAACAGGACACCAAAACGCGAAATGTAAGAGTAAATGACTCACTTCGGGATCCACCACCAAATGGCATGGAGGCATCTCTCATCTCCTTAGTCGAATTGGCCCAGCGGGATGGGTCAAACCTGGGACTCATCAGCCAAGCATAATAATTTGATTGTAATAGTTCTATCACCTGAGAGGATCTGGAAATATCTTTGGGTCTCGATGAAGAGTATATGCCTGTGTTGAGACGGTAACACCAGCGGGAATGAAAAAGCCAGCAAGCTCTGCACCACTTGACGGGACAGCCCGAGCCAACCCAGAAGGCGCAATAGCATACAGACGCAAGGTTTCATTGATCACTTGTTCCAAATAAGGTAAACGCCGGACATCCTGGTCGGTGAAGTTCTCTGGGAGAGAACAAACTTCGCTCACCAAGGCCTTTTGGACTTCCTTGTGCTGGCAGACCGCCCATACAAGATAAGTCAATGTAGTTCCGGTAGGACTACTGCCCGCAAGAAGATAAGTGAAAGCTTCATCTCTGATCTCTTCATATGTGAGACTGTCAGAGTCAACGCTATTAAAGAGCTTGGTAAAGAGCGACATCTTGGGGTTATCTTTATTTTTGATGAGTTGATGCTTGTATTTCTCGATTGCTTCATCGGAACTTTTCAGCATCCTTTGACCTCCAAGGACTATTTCGGGAACAAAAGGAATGGGCAGCATGGTCGCAAGTTTGACGAGAGAAGGAACGGTTGTGTGAAGGCATTCGATATAACCTGTCCTCTTGACATCTTCCGCAAGTTGGCTTCTCTACAATATGTAATCAGCATTTCAAATGTCTCCAGAACATAAGATGACATCAGACCTTTCCGTTTTCCAACAGCTCAAATGATTCCCCGAAGCTCAATTCCCCAATAATATCAGTCGACATGAATACCCACCATTTGTATACATCAACAACACCATTGGTATCCATTTGTTCTCTCATACGTTGGATTGTGAGCTGGACTCTAGAGTCAATCAATGGCTCAGCGAGGCGCAGCGAAGAGTCCGAAAGGGGGGTCGATAGAAGACGTCGGTGTCTACTGTGAAACTGCGGGTTGGTTGTGACAAACAGGTTCTCAACACCTGGAGGCGACAGTTTCTGATACCAGGAGGCTTTGAGAAATCCACTGCCGGTTTGATGAATCTGCCGGACCGCTTTGAGATCTGATATATCAATTTCATTGGGGCTCAAGCGAACAACGGGGCCTACATTCATTAGCCCCTCGGTTCGGAGAATTGGACGTCAAAATGGGAGAAGACTCACCATATATTTGATGAAGTGCATGGACATATTTGGCTCGTCTACCCCATACCCACTGGATCTGAAGTGGAAGAGTTGTCCATTTGGAAAGGAATGGCCCTGGCACATCACGTAAAGAAGAGGCAACCATGCGTTGGATCAATAAACTTGCAAGAAGAAAGAAGAGGATTCCAGAAACAGCCCCCCAAGGCAGGCCAGAAATTAGGATCCCCATATCAATCTTTAAGGATTAGTAGCGATGTAGCTGGTTACAGCGGGGTGGGTCAACAGCCAGTGTCTAATCCGACGAAGCTAGATAGGTAGATGCCTGGCTCAAAAGAAAACTAGATAACCAAGAGTGATGGCAGTCTTTTCTTCGAATCTGAGAAAACTCAAGACCAGGCTTGGTTAGGATGCAATGAAATCCTGTCACTTCGATACATATAAATATATACAATTATCCCAAGGGTCCTGTATGCAATTGGTGGCTTGAGAGATCCACAGCGCATACTCCGGATTACAATAAATATACTTGGTCTATCAAAATCCTACACCGCTATTTAGCTTTAGATGTTTTCATCCTATAGTTCTCCTCTCATGTACCCAAGAAGACTAATTGGGACTCTACATAGAATCAGGCCTCGACGGATGAGCAAGGGGTCAGTGAAGAGACTTGATCGAGAAAGGCCAGAGATTACCCCGCACACAGAAACTGAAGAGTCCAGAGAGATTTAATATGTTCATGAGCTAATTGGTGTTCATATCTAATTTGTCAATACTCTTGATGGTTATCAATATAAAACGTCATAGCCTCAACAAGCAGAAATGGTGCAAAAAGAGTTGGATAGATTGAATGTGATAATGACTACACATGTGATATCTCCTATGTTGTGCGATTCAATAGAAGGTTGTTGAATGTATATTTTACTGTGCATGTATCATGTATCTGAACTAGTATGATATTTTGAGTTTCAAATAACTTTCATGCATACTACATACAGGAAAGGCAAGATCCATCTTATGCAATGATGGCCAAACGAGCGAATTTGGTTTTATACTCATGCCCACTTTTTCATTTTACTCGAAATGAATGCATGCTTATAGGCTCATGTAGTGTTGCTATCTTAGTACAAGCCCATGCGCACGGAATATGTGTAAAGGCTGTGATAGTACCCTATCGTCCGAGTGGTGATTGCGCTGCCAAGACGATTGTATACCAATTTCGCAAATCATTCTCGCTGTTCGATAAGCTATCGAAGGATACCGTCAGCCGCTCATCATGAGTCCTAATTTGTGAGCCTTTATCATATGCGGTGAGTAAATGCATCCTGATGACTTTTAGCGTTGCTACGGCAAAGTCACAGCAAAGACCTTACATTGGGAGCAACCGAAACAGGCAATCCAAGAATCCCACTGCCGAAGGGTTAACGGGTTAACTCGGGATGGGGTGTACGCGTTACCTCAATTTAAGAAGTCCAGTAACTGCGGCCCGAATTTCCCGCTTTGTTTATTTGAAATATCATCTCTAATAATCTGCCTATTATATCTCAACCAGCATTGTGCGATGGAGAGTACAGCAAAGGAAAGCATGTCAGCCGCAACTGAGGTTCCTGTCCTAATTGTGGGTGGCGGCGCATGTGGTCTGGCTCTATCATGTTTCTTGTCGAACTATGGAGTCAAACATTTTCTTCTCGAGCGACGCCTAGAGACGTCCAAATTGCCAAAAGCGCACTATCTGAACCAGCGTACAATGGAAACCTTCCGCCAGCACGCGATGGTGGATGAAATCCTTCAGAAAGCCTGTCCTCCAAAGTATATGAGCCGGGTCGCGTGGATGACATCCCTCGGGGGCTCTGAACCGATGGACCGGCAGGTGATTCATACACTTCCATGCCATGGAGGCGAAGCCAAATCAGCCGAAGCGGAGGCCTACAGGTTAGTGATATATCAGGACTTTTACTGTTCTTCTCTGCTCATTGCCGATCTCCAGGCGAGATGCACCATTGCGATCAGTCAATCTCCCACAAATGCGACTCGAACCGATCTTACGACAACTGGCCGAAAATAGAAATCCTGGCTGTATTTTGTACAACACCGAAGTAACACAAGTCCATGAAGAGGAGATATCGGTGGTGGTGGTCGGCACCGATGCCACAAATTCGCAGCTCCTCTATCGCTGCCAGTACCTCATTGCGGCCGATGGAGGACGGACGATCGGCCCTAGAGTGGGGATTAACATGCTAGGCCCGACAGGACTTGCAGATATGGTCTCTGTCCATTTCAGTGCCGATTTATCTGCCTTTTGGGACGATCGTAATATTCTCTGTTATCTCCTGAATGAATGCCCGGGGAGTGGGCCCGAGAAGGGTGTGATCGTTCCTACAGGGCCAACATGGGGAAGGCATTCCGAAGAGTGGGTATTCCAGGTCGGGTTTGATCACAACGATCCACAGAGATTTCAAGAAGATGTCCTGATCGCCAAAGTTCGGAATCTGCTGAAGACACCTGATGTCGACATCAAGGTCCACAAGATCAGCCACTACGCTATTGAGCGGGTATTAGCAGATGCCTATCAAAAGGGAAACATCTTTGTTGTGGGTGATGCGGCACATCGACAGCCGCCGACCACCGGGTTAGGACTTAATACGGGATTGGAGGATTGTTTGAACCTGGCCTGGAAATTAGCTCTGGTCCTCCGCTATGGTGTCAGTCCATCGGTTCTCAACACGTATGAGTCTGAACGTCGGGCGGTTGGCGAGAAAAACTGTGACTGGGGCTTATTTACATTCAACAATTCAGTCCTCATTGATGCTGCGATGGGATTGATCACCCCACTTATGAAGGCGAATCAGGACCGACTCAGGTTCCTCTTTACGAAATCTGCCCAAGCTCAAAGTCTTCGGGCTCAGCTTGCCCGGATTGTCAGTTCTCAAGACGTTGAGCTCTCTACACACGGTATTGAATTAGGGTTTCAGTATGATCACGGCTTTTTTATCGCCGAATGTGGTCCCTCGCCCCTATCTGATCCGCTTGGAATCCAATACTTCCCCACAACCAAACCTGGTAATCGATTGCCACATGCGTGGATCCAAAGCAAAGATGGAATCAAATCTACACATGACCTGGTAGGCGCGCATGGAGCGTTTGGGCTCATTATCGATAAAGATGGCGCACCTTGGGCATCGGCGGCGAGAAGTGCATCCATAATCCATGGTGTCAATATTTCAATTGCAGAAATTGACGGTGGATGTCAGTACCAGGACTACGATGGTCAATGGGACCAAGTGAAGGAAATTGGCACCGGCGGGGCTTTATTGGTTCGTCCGGACAACATAGTTGCTTGGCGATCAATACACAGAAGTCAAACCACTGGCCAAGAGTTAGTGAGGGCATTAGAACATTTATTCGCCTGCAATTTCGAACCTTTCGGTGGAAGAAGATCCACCAAGCTCTGAACCCGCCAACCGCGGGCCTGGTGGATGGGACCTGAACTCGCGCGTATGAATTCAGTAGGTTGGAATTAATGGAGGCAGAATAAGTGACTTCTGTTGAAATATGGCATTGCAAGGAATTTTCATATGTATGCAACATTGGAAGGACGCTAGTGTGAATCATTTGCTGTGTGAATTTTCGGTTTCCATACATTCACACAACTCAGATTTATTGCAACCCTTGAAGCTCACTTTCATTTATTAAGTTAGTTGTAGCATCGCCTTACGAAGGTGCATAGGGTCCTCGGGTCAAATGTAATATATTCCCAGTATTTATGCCTGAGGCTTCAATATGGTGCCTGATCTCAGACCGCCTTTTTGACCGCTCCATACCATGTATTGTAAATGAAGCTATTCCCATCTCTCATCATTGATATGAAGCTATTTCTAATCATTAAATGCCTCCATTCATCAATTTAAACCCTCATAAAGACGAGATTCTTACTCTTCTCTCTGAAAAAATCACACATGAAGCTATTCGCACCCTCTTACAAGACAAACACCACATTAAAATCAGCCGGTCAGGCCTGAAGAATCGCCTCCGAGAATGGCACTCTACACATCCTACTCCTACCTCTACCCTTACCCGGCGATTCGATATACAGGATCGAGTCCTAGAGCTTCTGCCTGTTTATAACACAAGTGAGATTCTCGCGATCCTTGATAAAGATGGTACACCTTCTTCAATACGCACTGTGCGTAGAATCCGGGAGGATCATAAGATCAAGATGCGTCTTTCACCTTTTGAGCGACAGCAACAGGTCTGTGATATTGAAGCTATCCTCATTAGTGAGAATATTATTGGCGATATTGAGGACTTTGGCCGCCGAACTCTTTACCGTCATCTCCGTGCAATGGGATTATTCTACACTGAGTACTGAAGCCTACTATATATTCTTCTACAGTGCTAATGTTATATCTTTTAATTCATTAACAGGAAGCAAATCGCCAACGTCTATCGACTCCTTCGTCCTGATGCTGTTAACGGTCGACTTCCTGGTCAACGGAGACCACGAATCAATTACGTATCACCGGGACCGAATGATGTTTGGCATATTGATGGGCACATGAAGCTTGAACCTTTTGGTATAGAGATCTATGCTGCAATTGATGGCTACTCTCGATATGTTATTTGGGTATATATCGGGCTAAGTGCTCGCACTTCGATCAGCGTTTTGAGTCAGTGCCTGAAAGCCTTTACGGATAATGGAGGGTTTCAACCAAGGAAGATCCGGTCTGATCGAGGCACTGAGACTGGGCTTCTTGCTGATGCACAATATGAGCTTCGCAAAATAGCAGACCCAACGGTGAAGATCAACGACTGTTACCTATACGGTAGGAGTGTTGATAATCAACGGATCGAGGCATGGTGGGGACTTTTATCAAGAGCATGTACTGGTCTATTCCATGTAAGTTATGTCGACAGCGACAGCGACAGCTATGCTAAATAAATAGGGATATTTCCACCATCTCCATCGCGATAACCTCTTTACAAAGGACTGTATCCCCGAGCAAGTGTCTCTTCTTGCTATCTATATGCCAGTTATTCGACGCCGAGTTCATTCATACACTACTAACTGGAACACGCACCGTATTCAACACCAGAATTCACCAGGTTTTGTATCAGGGAGACCATCATTCAACTACTACTATTCTAATATAGCAGACCTTCGCTGTCCAATCAACTCAGACCGAACCTCGGCTCAGGCGCAACTATTCCAGAAGCTACAACAAGATGTACGAGGTTGGGATTCTAACGAGTATCTTCCTCTATCTACGCTCGCTTGGTGTCAACAACAGCTTGCTGAAATTGGGGAGCAGCTAGCGGGGATACCATTTAACCCTGAAGATCCGGATCTCTGCTTTGTTGGGGACCAACAAGCACCATACCGAGCGGTGTACGAGGCATTACGGGAGCGAGCGTTTGCGCACTGGGATGCTGGTCGAGATCCAATACTCGACGTTTGTGCTAAGCCGATTGGTGCTGCTAATTGGCGGCCTAATGTCTCAGAGGAGATGTAATGTCTCGGCAGTAAGTGGTTGGTCATTATTATAATACTCATCTTTATTAACATTCCCTATTAATCAACTAAGGATATCTATAGATACGTTTTACATCGATCCTATAATGTCAGATATACCCTCTGCTGCTGCTATTGCTGCCTTCATTACCCAATGGCGGGAAATGAATACAGTAACGACTTCGCCAGCGACAGCGACAGCGACATCGACACCGACACCTATAGCGAGCGCACCTCTATCTTCGGCCCAGCTCACAAGCACACCATTTTCTACACTTCGCGGCGCAGTCAGTAGTACTAGGCTTGCATACGGGCAACACCAGCAAGCTACTCAACAAGTGGAGCGGGAGGTGTCATTCATTGTAGTGTTTTATCTACAAACAAGCCCAGATACCACAGAACTAATCCCAAATGGTATAGTATCGTGATCTAATATCGCGAACCCGCGGATACTAACTTAACCTTATTATACTAGCTACTACAACGATCCGGCTCCCTCCTTACGACCTCATCGGCGACATCGACCATTTAGTGCGGGAAAAGATACTCCCTGAGCTACCTGGGATCGTGACGTTTAAGGCCGAATACACAGACAAGTTCTATCTCGCTGACGCGATGATAACGGGTGCAGGAAAAAAGCTTCTTCCTAGGTGGGTTCCAGGAATCAAAGCAGATTTCCTTGGCACAGCGAAGCAATTTGTGGAAACTATTCGCACTGCGAAGTTACATATTGTTGTTGCGCGGTACGAAGGGCAAGTGTGGAATTGGCCGGATACCGAACTCATTACAAGACCCCCTCGGCCAGCGACACCGGCGCCAGCGACACCGGAGCTAGCGACAGCAGAGCCAGTGTTCAGAGTACCACCATTCATACCATCTTCACCAGCATCACCAGCATCACCAGCAAGAAGCGTCCACGTTATCAGAACAGTACGGAAGCGAGGTCGATCTCAAACACAGGAGTTAACTACTCCGCCACGTCGGAGCCAGCGGAGGAGGGTACGGAGGTGAATAAAAAAATGTGGTGGGACAACATGGGGGTGCGTGATGTTTTGTGTGGTAGGAATGGCTTCATCGCCAGGTCCTGCGGGTGCGTGACGTTTTGTATGGTAGGAATGGCTTCAATATTGCAAAATACGCAATTGTCAAATGAAAATATATTCAACGCCTGATTTTGGGAATAAATGCAGTTTTATGTAGTGGGAATAGCTTCAATATTATAAGATACGCAGTTTTGTCAGAAAAAAATTTCTTCAACGCCTGAATCTGGGGATAAATGCAGTTTTATGTAGTGGGAATAGCTTCATTTTATTGAACTTGAGCATTTGGGCAATTCTGGTACTTTGCTTAATAAGGCATTTGTTATAGTAATTCATGTATTTTAATTTCTGCCGGTCTAAAATAAGGCACCCACAGGCACCACCAGGCATCAATACCAGGTTTAAATTACATTTGACCCGAGGACCCTATGCACCTTGGTAATCGCCTGCATCACTGAGATTGGAGACATGATTTGGCCAAACATGTCGGTTTGGTCATCTATAATGAGATCGCTCTCATGCCATGAATCGATTCGGCCGATCAGGACCATTATTTTGGTATACGAAATCTCATTGGTTTTGCGTGAGATATTGAAGTTAATACCTTTAAATATCCTAAGGTCTATCACCTTAGCCCAAAATGATATGATTCTTGGGTTTGACTAGCTCTTGAGGCAAAGACTGTCAATGGACCATAATATGAGCTGCTACTGCGCTATTAAGAGTCGGACCCTATAAAACCACTATTTATTGAGAGGAGGAAGGTATCATGTCAAGTTTTAGTTGATAATTATTGAATGATTCCCCAATCGGTCCAATGGATGAAACAAAAGGACCGCCACTTGCCTCTCTGGAAGTAAGGGAGCCTGGCCTGCGTGAATTCAGTGAAATCGACTTCTGGGTGGCGGCATGGTTTTTGCCTAACCTTGCCAAGGTATTCAATAAATTTGCTCATGCAGAGATCAAGATCTGCTTCGATTTTATGCAGCCACAGAATCTCAATTCTATGTTTGCTTCTTGCCAACCAATTTAAATTTATGAGAAGAGTTTACACCGATATTGTAAATTGTCCAGACAGAGCAAAATATGCATTACACATCACACCGTCGATGTTTCTGTATGATTTGCTGAATGTGGCGCGGGTCAGTCATAGCGAGTCTTTTTGATTTCAGTCTCTGACTATAGCCATCATCCCTTGCTGTGAGGATCAAATGTTTCTTTTTTGCTTAAAGAAACGTAACATGTGCTGGTGAAAGACCAAGATTCAAGGTTTCTGAGAAGCCATCAAATCATTATTCTATCGTATAATTAGGTCATTGGAGCGATTCAAGTCTCCTCCAATGAGACAAACCCCATTCTTTCAGTGAACGCACATCCCCTTAGATTTTATTTGTTCTTGATGTTGCCTCGTCTCTAAAAATGCTGAACTCACGACAATAATTCAGAGAATATCTTACAATGTCAACGCTGTATCTGTTCGTAATTGTTTTCGGTACTCCTATATTACTAGCTAGGGTCAACCGAATTAGAAAAAAAAGATAATTTGCATCTATCAGATACAGTGGTTATACTGTGGACTTTACGGTGTAATCATGGTTCATGTTATGAAGAGATCAATGGAGTCTTCTCGATTTATTACATATGCCTGTACATGGTCCAGTATGACCAAAGGTATGGAATTATTCAATGCCGACGTGATCCAGCGTAGCCGACCCTTTGAGCCTCCTTTTGTACAGTCTATGCCTAAGCTTTAAGGCTATATAGGCCACTAGCTTGAAAACTTTTTGTGCTTCCAAAATGATGGATATTTTGATGGAGATCTACATTAGTCCGAATTACTGACTGAAACTATGGCAAGAGCTATCTTAGCTACATCGGAGAAAGGCATGATGTATTAGTTCAACTCCGCTTGTCTCAAAACTGTGTTTATTTCAGATGCTAAACTCGATAAAGAGATATTCTGCTTTTGCCCGAAGCAATCTTGAGGGAGATATTACCAGTTTATCCTACTTTCTAGTAAAGAATCCGCCAAAGCTGGTAACTAGTATATTACCAGTCATATGAGAGTTGCACCCTATGATATATCCACCTTTTGCTTTCTCACTCCGACAAACCAGGTCATGTAGCCAGTAGGAGAAGTGATCAGATCGTGTCCATGGACAAATGACCAATCATCCGAAGAAGCAGAGCAGCCGTTCACCAACGATAGGATCTCCTCGGGGGTACGAGTCCTAAGCGCGCTCACGTATCCATCATACAACACAATGAACGGGATCAGTGGAATAAGATACGTAAATATCATGTGGCCAGGCGATCTCCAAAAATAGAAAGGAGTGATTACCAAACTGAGCAGCGTAAACAGCGTAATGTTGGCCAGTGATACAAAGGTTCGCTCCTGAAGCTCAAATATCCTGCAGGAGTGTTAGCAACTTCCCTCAAACTCCCTTGATCATACCCAAGGGTCAGGCATTTGTGTTTTTCCAGAGAGATTGGTTGCAGGGGAGGTGATCCCTTACCCAAATCCATCAGCAGTATCCAATGTCTCGCGTAGCATTGAGGAGGCAAGTTCATCATTGAAATGGTGGAAGGCTAGATTGTATAGTCGAAATATCTTCCTGCCACCCCCGAGGCTAGTGAGGAAGGAGTATCCGTCGCATCAACTGGCTCTTCGACAAAGCTAAGATGGCTCCGGCCTATCACAGCCTTGGACCAGGCTGGAATATGAGGGTGGAGGTCTGTCAAAATGAACTTGACCGCCTTCTCTGCATGTGCGCCGTGGGACTGATCGAGTTTATCATTCCAAGTTTTTTCAATGAAGGCGGAAGGCCCGCCGGCACCAGCACAGAAGTCGACATATGTGTAGTCTCGAACTGCACTGGAAAGCGTGCGAGAGAGAATAGAGGCAACCCCGGCTGCTGGAGACATCGGCTGCAGCCCTTTCAGGTGAAAAGTCCAATATAAAGTCAGGAAATCCTGGAATTTGGCATGAAGGTATCGCGGTAACCTAAACCCCATCTCAGCACTTGTTAAATGTGCCCATTTTAGATTTTCCACATACCATCTCTGGTCTCCAATCTCATGAAATTGAATTCGACGACAAAAGGGGCTCATTTTATCTTTTGTTCCTCAAAGCGGCTAGTGAAAGAGAAAGATTTCTGGATGAATAAATGGTGTGCGTGTTTTTTGGGAGTCCCTGATGAACATGTTTATAATTATTCACAGACCCTATGACTAGGATCGGGATCCAGGTCAGTCGTATGTTAGATGTCTGCCTGTCTGGACTGTAAAGCTGTAAGGAGAGATGTGCATGTGTGCGCTGCATACTCCTTAGTGAAAAGTATAGATCGATGGGCCATTGAGCAGACCTATGCATCACTATAGAATTGAATTGTAAAGTCAATTCACCACCTAGGCATCGATCATAGAGTTTGTAAATAGTGGCCGACTTATCGGGGTTTGGCGGTGAACTTCATTTTCCTGAGGGTAAAAAATTGCTTTAGCTGATACCTAAATCTTGATAATAATTTAGCAAAGATGTGCTGTAGATGTGGACATCGAGAGAGATAATCTTCCGTGGACGTTCATCAGGTAGTAATAGAGCGTTAGTAAGAATTTACATTTATTTCAAAAATCTATTTTACATGTTCTCTGCAGATTCTAATACAACAGTTTTGTTACGGGACTAGTGCATAGAGAATATCTTATGTCTCTTAGTCTAATTTCCATACGGTAAGAAAAATGTGAAGTGACTATAATTAATTACACCATTCAGCTCACAGTTTGCACAGGCTAGTGAACGCTATACTCTTAAGGTTCATGGAAGTCCATATTAGGCCCATCTTGCGTAATGCTTATGCAGAATCGGTGTCAGATTATGATCATCAACACACTGATCTACAGTGCATAGCTGTGCATATAACTATCTGTCAAACGCATAGACAATCTTTACAAAACCTCCTTGCCTTTTTGTATAAAGGAGAGTATCATCAAGAATTTTTGCCGATAGCTAAACAGTGACAGAGAAATGACCATGATAAAATTGCTTGGTTAACAAGTTGGTCACATTGCATGATGCTAGGGGTTGTTGAAATTGAGGATTAATTGAATTATTTGTTTGGATGTAATTTGGTCGTTGCATTTTCTTATCATCACAATTATTTAACACCGTGATCCTCTTTTATCCGCTTATTGGGAGAAATGATGGAGAAATCTATGCACGGTATGGGATGCGAAGGGGTTTCTGTTGTTGTATGCAATGAATGCTAGCTTTAGTGATTTACTGTTCTCACCTATCGAACCATTTATTATCAGTTCTCCGTAGGGTTCTTCGGTAAATAGGGCAAGATATATGTCTACTGAGATTCGTGCAGTGTTGGCTCTGTTCTATTGTCAGGACTTGGAAGCACGACTTCTGCAATTTGAGCATTGTTTCATTCACGATGAGATCCGAGGACTACCATGATGATTGTTCAATTAGTTCACCAAGTAGAGCCTCGGGCTCTCTCCCCCTGCATCGTGAAATTCTCTTCATTGGCACAGCTTGTATGGTACAAGTTTTGACCCAAGGCGGATTTGGCCAAACGCTCTCTATTCCTCATATAATCGGTCAATCCTTCGGGACGGAGAATCAGCCGGGCGAATTAAGCTGGTTTACTTCGGCCTATGGCCTGACCATGGGCACATTCATTCTGATCGCTGGCCGCTTAGGCGACATGTTTGGCTACAAAAAGATGGTGGTTTTTGGGTTTCTATGGTTAGGGGCCTGGTCTCTCGTATGCGGTCTCGCGGTATTTTCGGGGCATGGGCTTTTTATCGTCGCGCGAGCATTTCAGGGAACTGGTTCTGCAATTCTGCTGCCGAATACCATTGCCCTACTAGGCTCCAACTATCCTCCGGGTCCACGAAAGAACCTCTTTTTCACATTGTTCGGTGCTGCTGCCCCCGCGGGCGGAGTCATAGGAGCTACTTTTGCAGCCCTATTTGGCCAATTGGTGTGGTGGCCCTGGGCGTTCTTCACACTCGCAATGGCCTGCACCTTTCTGGCTGTGATAAGCCTTATATCGATCCCTCCTGTAATCAAAAGCAACCACCGGCAGAGCTTTGATTTCTTGGGCGCCATGACCGGGATTGTCGGCCTGGTTTGTATCAACGTCGCGTGGAACCAGGCTCCGATTGTCGGATGGTCGGAAGTATATGTTTACATCCTCCTCATTATCGGGTTTCTTTTTCTTGTGGCTTTTGCCCTTGTCGAACTATATCAGGCCTCATTTCCTCTACTGCCGTTTAATATCCTCTCAGTCGATGTTGCGCTAGTTCTCATCTGTGTCGCCTGCGGGTGGGGGTCGTTCGGTATCTGGATATATTATACCTTCCAATTTCTCCTGGTTTTTCGAGATGTCACCCCGTTGCTCGGGGCTGCGCAATGCTGCCCTCCAGGAGTCCTCGGTCTCGGCATTGCTCTCACCACAAGCTACCTCCTTTCTCGAATGCGACCTGATTACGTAATTACAATTTCCATGGCTGCATTCACTATCGGAATGATTGTCACAATGACTGTACCTGTTCACCAGACATATTGGGGCCAAATCTTTCTTGGCATGATTATTGTGCCCTGGGGGGTGGATATGAGTTTCTCCGCAGGATCGATTATTATCTCTGGCCTAGTCTCACGGGAGCATCAGGGTATAGCTGGCTCACTGATAAGTACCGTGGCGAATTACAGCATGTCACTTGGACTGGGATTTGCAGGAACCGCGGCAAGTCAGGTCAACAGAAGAGGAAACACAAGTGACCAGGGCCTGCAGGGCTTCAGGGCAGCATGGTATGTTGGCTGTGGATTGGCGAGTCTGGGGCTTGCTGTGAGTATTATCAAAATGATTTTGGACCGAAGGCGCTCTGTGGGTAGATGATTGATGAAGAAGAAGAGAGACATGTATTTACTGTCGCGATGATAGAGCGGGAGAGAGGGCTACGGAAAGAGAGCCCTGCACGCAGGCGAGCCTCAGGCCGACATCAATACACGGGTAGCGCGTTTGTCAACTATCTCAGGTTGGAGTCAATTATTGTTTGAGCTTTGCTGAGATGAGAGAAATTGAAAGATCGATATACATAACTCAGATATTCAAAATTTGCAACTCAACAGCAATCCCCGAGATATACGCTCAGATATGTTCTTCTTCAAAATTTACTACATCGCGTCCTCAAGAGGAACAAGACGTAACTCGGTGGAAACAATGCTAGGTTAGTTTAAGGGCATGGCCTGCCACCCTATTGTGGTGTATTTTCCTTCTTATAATGTATCAAAGCATTCGAGACCTCCATTTGCTTTTATGCACACTTCTTGCGTCACAAAGCTGAACGTATGGAAACCCGCAGATGCAGGAAATACTGAGGTTTTGTCTAACATTTCATATTCATTTCCCGGGAGGCTGAGTTATCGAGATTGCCTCTGAGCTGTAAGCCTTATTGTATTTTTGGATTTGCGTTCGACATCCATAGAGGAACAAGTGTGTTATTATGATATGAACAAAATGATTACTTTAGTTGACGGAAATCTGACCCTAGATAAACATCCGGCGACGAGGAAGCCGGTTCATCAGTCATAATAGACAGCAGGAAGATCTACGGTCGGGTCTATGGGGTATTCGCATGCGCCGGCTCCAATCTAAGGTCTCCTCCTAAATTTAATAAACGAGGCCTTAGGCCATTTAGACGACAGGTCACTCTTGGTATATCCATGTCATTAAGCTAAGAATGCTTCCATCAGGGGTCTTGCAGCTTTCAAGCTTCAAGTTGGGTTCCACTGACTCCACCAGGTGAACAAACTGCTCCAAAGTTCGCTCCTTGCCAGCTAACAAAGTAAACATACCGATATCCAGCGAACGGGTACATTTTTCTAGGTATAGTGGGATTGAATCGGGCTCAGTCAGGATGGTATCCATCACCATCAGCCTGACACCAGTCCGCAAGACAGGCCGCAAATTTCTCAAAATCCGACGTGCATCTGCATCAGACCAGTCGTGAAGAATTCGTCTCAAAAAATAGGCATCTGCCGTAGTGGGCTGGGGCGAAAAAAAATCGTGCTCTACAAATTCCACCTGAGCTTGAGCCAGGACGCTCGGGGATTTGTTCGAGTCTTTAATGACTTGTGCCGAATCTTGCACTATGCACTTCAGGTGAGGATATTGCTTTGCAATGGCGAAAGAAGCATTCCCCGAGGATCCTCCAACCTGGCGTAATATTAGAACAATTGGTTCATCGATATTTCAGGGGAAATCATGCTCACATCCACGAGGGTTCCAATTTGGTTCCAGTCAAATGCACGAAGAATATGATTTAGCGAATACATCGGTGCCCTACACTGAGTGACCATGAGATCATAGAAATAAGATCGGAACGAGTCCTCTTTCTCCAAAAGACTCCACATTGTCGGTCGACCTTGATGATTTTGGTATGCCAGTCCAAGAGGAGTCTTATCGCGTTGCTCGCCCATAGGGTCAATCTGTAGCGATCGCTGGAATTCCATAGCACATTTGAGCTCAACATTGAGACACCACTGCAGAGCCCCGCCGGCCTGTGGGTTTCGGACAAAGACCGAGGACATTGAGTTGTGCTTCACATGCCCTGAACCATCCTCAGCGAAGTACCCGGTTGTCATGGCGAATCGAATCAGCCGAGTAAGAAGAGTTGGAGAAATGCCAATCTCTCCCGCTAGCTTTTCATATGAAGCTGAACCTCCTAATGGTATTTTGTAAGGCACACCTAGGCCAATCAGCGCTTTCAAGGTGCCCATCTCAAAAATCTATGAAATGCTCGGTATTAGACAGTAATTTCTTTTTGGGATTATAGATTTTACCTTCGAATGATAGTCTATCAAACGCTCGGTTGGAGTCTTGGCCAGTCGCAGGATAGTTTCGGCTGTCGAAATCACATTTAACCGAGCAGAGGATCCTTCGGGACTCAACCGAGACAAGTCATGGGATGAGTTCTCATCACTCAGGGATATATCCTTATATCCAGCAAATTCTAGCTCCTGCTCTAGGCAATCGATCGCTGTATTTAGAGTCAAACGAAGATCATGGAAAAATGCCATATTCTTCTTTAGCGTCACCCAAGCTTCGGGCACACTGGTACTGGATGGAGTGAGAGGACATCAAGGCAGAAATTCCGTTTCATTTGTATCCTCGGTACATCTGGAAACAGAGCATGGCGCGGAGCCCGGACCTATGATGACTCAGGACGTGGACAGATGTCACCTAAAAGCGGTGATATGCAATGCCTATCCTAGAGATCATAACTATACCGTCGGTCAATCTGTCAAATGACCTGTCGAGTCGCACATTGATCCAAAGTATATATTACCCTTGCTTCCCGCTGGGGAGATCACGAGAGACCCGGATTGTCGATATTTCGAACTCTTGCAGATGTTAACTAGAATGTCTGTCCCAATAATGGCGCAATCCTAGTTTGATCTTGTCACGCATGAGCGTGTGACTGTACCTCAAAAGTACCAAATCGCGCCCATAATTAATCAATTTACCAATTCAAATTCATGGCTTGCTGATCATGGTCAGTCTACGTATAGTCTCAGAGAAATTATAGGGACCAGGGTGCCTCACCACAGAACGAGCTATGCAAAACTTTGTAGATCTTGGGTTACAAATATTTCAGAGGAATTGTACACTTATACTGGGGAATGATTGCTATTGTGCTAAAAAGGGATTAGAAAGCCTAGATCTTTGTCAAATCGCTGAGTCGAGTTGATAAGCGATCGCGATACACTGCTGTCGAGGGTTCATGCACTCTGTAAGGGTTTATATGCGACCACGGAAAGTCACGAATTATACGCAGCGGTTTTTATTGTGTTATTGAAATCTTTGAAAAATGGAAAATGCAACCAAAAATTGCTTTCAGTCCTTTCAACGCTTACCCTCAGTGTACATCTCTCACAAAAGTTGGTCGGTGGTGCATAACCTTGTCGGTTTAGTTTGATAAAGATTATTTCAATATCGCATTTCCATTCTAGGAAGAACTGCAACTCAGTTTCTATTGGACTAGAATTCGTCAAACGTGTTTTGTTCATGATTATACATTGAAATTGGGGACTCAACCGGCTCTTGCCTTACGCAAGACTTATAGTACAAAGAAGAATTTCGCTAATTGTGGGATGAGGATATCCTAGATACCCAGGAGTTGAAGTTTTTTTATTATGAAGAGATGGATTAGTTGTGCGTTTGAACTACCTGTCGGTTATTTCATCAATATATTTTTCAAATTATTGGAGACTATCCCTTCTTTACATGCACTAAACCTGTAATTATTATCTTTCTCCTATCTTTCACCTCAGTGATTGTATGTATACCAACTTGTCAGTGTTCTAAAACTGCATCTATGCAATGGAATCTACATCTATACGATGGAATCTACTCGACACTGTGGTTTTCAGTGTTGCATAAATCATCTTCTTCCTGCCAGTAGATATTTGGCACTCAAATTACTGACAAGAAGGCATCCAGCCTCATAACGCAAGACCCAATATTTGGAGATAATTGTGGATCTAGATATAACCTTTAGCCAACATAATAGCCTAGCTCTCCACACCCAAAAATGTTGTCAACGTTCAGAGTAATCATGTCTATACTTTGGGCCCCGAGAATTCGTGGAAAAAAGCATCCAGTTGATCCGTATCTTCTAGATCTCCAATGAAAGCGACATGCTGGTCCGGGCGTAGGAGTATCATACAGCCCTGAGGGCCAATACCATATCTCTGGTAAGCATTACCAGAAATTTGCCGGTCACCCTGACGATCCACAAAGACTTTTGTGTAGTCATAGCCTTTCGCTGGGTCAAATGGTCTGAAGATGGCCGGGGTGTCCATCCATTCAAACGTTTTGAATGCGGTGTGTACAAGATAAATCCCGATAGTTCCAACCAAACTCTCTTGTGTCCACCGATTTAGACGGCTTATTAATGACCATGGTTGGGAGAGTTTCTTGGATAAATGCTTCAAACGGGTCATCTGAGCTTTGCTCGCAATATCGCCCCCAAATACGACGAGGTGCCATTGGCCTGTGCTGAGGAGTTGCTCTTGCAGATGCCAGGGACGAGAGTCACTTTGACATATCACAATTTCACTTGGTAGCCTGCGCCCAAGGTTGACGTGTTGAGCAAGATAGGGTTTGCTATGAGGAAGCGAGGTGTTCTCTAGGCAGAGTGTTTTATGAGTTGCCTGAACTCCTGCAGAGGTCACTAGAAGGCCGGGTGCATAGGTAACCCCCAGCCCAGATTCCGAGGAATTCTCTTCGGCAAGGGTAGAAACCAGATCGTTGAATTTGGGGGTAATTAGCGTAGTTGTCTCAGGCAATGAGCATACCCCCTGACACATTCGCCGGTCAAAGGAAATTAGTCTCTCTGCCACTGGCAGACGCTCTTCTTGGTATGTCTGCAGGATCCGTGGGATTGCCTTGCCTTTCAAAACAAGAGCTAGCTTCCACCCAAGATTGTACGAATCCTGTATGCTGACATTCATGCCTTGGCCAGCCTTTGGAGAATGAGTATGGAGGGAATCGCCTGCGAGAAAGATTCTATCATGCATTGAGAAAGTACGACAAATTCGTCTTCCGACCTGAATCGGAAGTATGAGCCCCTGGACACATGATAATATTGACTGTAGGGAGGATCTGGGGACTTACACGGTAAACAGTTGACCATTCAATTTGGGTCGAGGCAAAAGTGTATGGGTGAAGTATCTCTGTCAGAATACCAACCAGCAGCGATTGGTTATGGTTCTCTTTCAACTTCGTAGCAACTGCTGTGGGGAGCTGAATGTAAAATCGAACTATCATTCGCTCCCGAGGTATTATCATGATATTCCCTCGAAGGGACTTGATGATGCATCGCTTCCGGACATCGGCTGTCGATCAGTTAGTATAGTCACTTATACAAGTGCTGGATATAAGAACATACGAAAGTCTGTGATAGGTAAGCAGTCGATGACCCCCCAGCAATCCTCATCTGAATCGGTCTCTCCTTCAAGCGTCAATCCTAGATTTTTTCGAACCCAGCTATGAGCACCGTCGCACCCGATCAAGTATTTTGCTCGCACCTGGGTTAAGATTGGCCCCTATGTTAATTAGAATGAGGCACGAAAAGTTCATGCGCATATTTCAGGTCCCATACCTCCACATCTGGCACATCACATGTTTTGAGATCGACTTGGACAGGGTAGGCACTCATATCATCCGGGCTTGCTGAGTCGACATTCAGTGAGAATGGAGCCATGCCCCACTTAATCTCAATGTTTTGATGACGTTGTAAAAGCCCCAGAAAGTGCTGTTCCACCCTCCCCTGTCCCAATGTAACCTCTTGATATCTGGACAATCCATTACTGTGATTGATCGAGACATTATTCCTGCGGATTCTGCCGTCGAATTGGTCCTATCGTTTGCTTATCAGAGGCCAGGCCCTTATGCCTAAATTCATAGCGGTGTATGCCTTACCCAAAGACAAACTTCAATAGTCCTATTTGCCTCTGTCCAAATGGCTGCACCAATTCCAAAACTGTCCAATATCTCAAGTGTCCTACTTTCTAACCCATCGGCATGTCCTGCCTTGGTGTGTGACAGTTTTCTCTCAATAACCAAGGTTTTGATTCCAGTCTGAGCCATCCAAGTGGCGGCCATCAACCTGAACGTATGTCAGTCACAAATCAAAGGAGTATTGTGCTTGAATATTACCCAGATGGACCTGCGCCAACTATGATAACATCAAACGTCTCAGGAGAGGCCATAGTAAGCTTGAAAAGGGAGTCAAGAGGTGCCAATTTGCGCCAGATTGAAGCGGGCGTCTCTAGTATTCTGTGCAGGAAGCTTCTCGTGGTATGGTGGAAAGGGTGAAGCAGCGGAAAGCAAAAATATATTTCATTGCTAAAGCTTAGCTACACATGTGACTACTGCAATTTGCCAGGTGCATCTTTGACTTCTGGTTCTGATAGCGTTCATTACCCAATTTTTGACGAGCTCTCCTACCTCAAGGTTGTGCCAGTATCTTTTGAATTATCCAATGCCCAAATCTTGATCTAGCTGACTGCAAGAGAATTTTCTGCAGATCAGAGAACATATACAATTGGCTTCGACTTAATCTCAACCCCCTTACTGAGAGACGCCGACTTAAATATAACAATCGGTGAAGGTAATTAAATAATTCAGGTGCAGCCCGGATCTTTGGAGGCTACGCCCTCGTACATCTCCTCCGGAGCAGCTGACCCAGCAATGATTGATACATTCTTTATGCGGATGGAAATAACAGAGCTTGGTCCGTTACCAGATAGACCTTGAAATAAAACGGAGGTCCTTTGCGGCGTGCAGATAGAAGCAGCAAACTCAGAAAGTCAGTGCAGGTGCAGCCCGACTAAAGACTCGATTTAATTCATTCCATTGCGCCATGTACTCAGAGCTTCTTGAACTAAATTCTCAACTTATCGGCTATTCCCAGATGAAAACATCATAGAATAAAAGGGATGGGGGGGGGGGGGGAGTTCCTCGAATTTGGTCAGCTTCAAATCTACAAATCCACAAAAATTATGAATAAAGTCTTTTAATAAGGCGTTCTATTACCCAATATAGTTTATCTGTAATTACTAGTATCTGCAACTGCGATCGCCTATCGAGCCACAGAGATAGACTTAGTTACAAAGGGTAATTAAAATGGTAACTTCACAGGCTCGCTCGCGCACATTTCAATAAATTCAAATTTGAGAAAATCGTATTTAATAAACTCATTAATTACAGAACCATACAAAGCCCTAATGCATAGCGTGCATATATATAGCATTAGGTTCTCGATCCCTAAAGCAAGATGTTAGCATATGTGAGGTGCCAATTGTGATAAATCTCTGCATTGAATCGCGTTGGAGACCATATCCCTGGGTATCTAAGGTATTGAGGGCTGAAAATACCTTTTAGCTGGGCAACCAAGCTTGTGTCTTTATATGCCTTCCTGTATCTTCTCACGAATTCTATTCATTTTGGATCATAACTATCAACCTGCACTATCTCTTTCATAAGGGATCACCAAATTTCATCAAGAGGAACAGTCTATTAAGGAACTCTACATCATGGCAAAAGTCTTTCTGACTGGTAAGTCCAACAGATTTGACTTGTGATAATATTGGTAAAAAAATAGCTAAACCCACTTCTTCGCAGGTGGCACTGGATTTGTTGGAGCTCATATTCTCCATGAACTTCTTGTCTATGGGTATGTACCTTCCATTGTATCACCTTCTAGGGCCATTTCCTAAAATCTCGATTTTGTTCAGCTATACCGTTGTGGCAGCTGTTCGCTCTAGTTGGAAAGGTCAAAGGCTAGAGCAGAGATACACCGACGAGTTAGGAGACAGGCTGTCTACAGTGGTTGTTGAAGACATCTCTAAGGAAGGCGCCTTTGATGAAGCCGTTCAGACATTTCCGTTTGACTTCGTCATCCACGTGGCCAGTCCTTTCTATTTGTTCCCGAAGAACCCCGAAGAAGATATGCTGAAGCCCGCCATCAGTGGTACGCTTGGTCTTCTTCAGTCCGTGAAGACCTATGCCCCTTCAGTTAACAGGGTAATTGTGACTTCCTCTTTCGCCGCCATGGAGAACCCGACCTCCCATCCTCCCGTCTATTCCGAGGAGTGCTGGAACCCTATAACCTACGAGCAAGCGTTGGACCCGTCACTGGCCTACTTTGGAAGCAAGAAATTGGCCGAAAAGGCTGCATGGGCCTTCATGTTGGAGGAGAAACCCTCATTCACTCTAACCACTATCTGCCCCCCGCTGATTTACGGACCTGTGATGCACCACCTTGATACCTTGAATGACATCAATACGTCAAACGAATTCATTCGCGATGTAATACTCGGAAAGTTCCAAGAGCACATCCCACCGACTCCTCTATATCTGTGGGTTGATGTTCGTGATGTCGCCCATGTCCACATTCAAGCACTCGATGCCGCTGGTGCGGAGAGTGAGAGGTTCCTGGTAGTTGCGGGGCACTGTGATAATAAGGCGATTATTGATGTGATCCGCGAGGAGTTTCCTCAGCTTGCGCCAATTTTACCGCCCAAAATATTGCCAGGTGATTTGCCACTGAATGTCTACCAGTATGATGACACGAAGGTGACCAAAATTTTGGGCCTGAGGTATCACAGCCTGCGAGATAGCATTAAAGCTACTGTTGCAACACTCCTAGACAAAGGCGACGGATTAGAAAAGGTCGTACGGCCAAGATGCTTGATCTAATGAAGATGTTTGAGATTTCAAGTAATGATACATGCTATACACAACGTATATACACCGTATTTATAGGACAGTTGGAGAATAATGCTCAAAGTAGATCATTCCGGAGACCTAGCCGGGCCCTGATTCGCCTACGCGCGCCGGGCCGAGTCCAATACACCACCACAACCAATCATATCGCCAGATTAAACGTCAATTTCGCAAATTTAACTGCTAAAGACATCTAGCCGACGGTCACACTTCCTTCTATCGGTCGCACATATTTAAGCCCCAAAGGAAGCAAAGGATGCTATTGATAACTTCGCACATCCTTACGGCTATGCTTTTATATCAACTCGGTCAGGAATTATAAAGAAAAGGATAAAGAAGATGGTATAGTTCATCTATGATCGTGGCCGGTATTTTAGACCAGGGGATCGGTCTCCTCTTGAGAAGCGACCTAATACTAATACTGTTAGTTATGGATGCCCCTTTTCTATGACTCTTCGTCTATATCTATTTAAAGGAATTAAGTATTTGGATTGAATATCCAAACAAGGAATGTTCTTAATGACGCACTTACCAAAAACGCACTTACAAAAAAGACGACTTCTGATGACCGATCAGGTCATCATACCAGAGTTTCCATTATATACCACCAAGATCCAACGGACCGGTATCCGAGATATACCCTAGTATGGCTTATCTATTATAGGTAGTTACGTTATATAAAAGTGTTTATGTTTAAGTGGCGTCTGAATGCACCAGGAAATATAAAGACTCGACAAGCAAGAGGTTCACACGAAACGGGGCTCGAATGTAACTCGGCGTAGTCGACCAAGAGCAAGAAGGCCTCACCGAAAGCACTTTAAGGAACAGAGAGGAAGGAATAGCGAGCAGACGGTCTGGAATCGCACACAGTCGACGGAGAAACAGGGGGTGGCGGAGCCCGGCGATGCAAATCATAGCAAAAATGCCTCACATGGGTAAGCAGAGAAAAGTAGCAAAACGTCGACTAGATATACAGGCATTGCAGTTAGGCGCCCTGCTCATCAATTACTTTTGATTGCTTACAGGATGGATCGAAATCAGTTTCACCACTTGCAAACAGAGATTCTTTCTCAACCCTATTCTGAAAGACGCTATGCCTATTACAGTTACTCTACTCCTGTTCTTAGCGGTGTTTCAGTACACTTGTAAATAACCGTATAAAAATCGCTTGCTCAGCCTTGCTCACCCCTCTGCTTAATGAGCAGATGAAATTTATGTAGAACAATATGTCCGGGACATGCTAGGTGTAGAAATGGACGTGACCTACTGATCTCGCATTTCTGGCAGCTTGGTGAAGCTAATTAAAAGCTGCCGACCTCAAATTTTGGCGATTGAAGGACCGCAGCTTCCTGCACTAGCTCGACCAAAGCCACAACAAATTCATGAGCATGTATTGCTTATACCGTACATTTGAGATCACTGACGCCGGTGAGTGGAAAACTGTGAAATAGGTTCTGGCATGCTGCGCGTCTTCTAGGCGTGGAAAGCTGCTATCCTATCAATTGGTTTTTGTACCGTTTTTGTACCGTCGCGCGCGTTACCGCCTCTTAAGTGATTGGCCCTTGCAGATATTTTAGAAGACTACCTCGTTGCCATGCAGATCGCTTGCGCCCCGAATTACATTCTGTTAACAGCACCCTAACGTCAGTCCGACCGTCTACACTATGGTCTAGATGTATCTAAATTAAGATCCAACATTCTTTCATGTGAGATTACCATATGACTGGCCAAGTCTGAGATAGTCCGGATTCTTTTGCTTCTGCCTCCGCCTCAGGTGTGATTAGGGCATGCAGGATCTATAATTAATGAACTAATGCACAATCAATCACATCTGAGAATTAGCTATTGACACGTGGATCTTTGAAGGCGCCTAGTCGTTCTGATCATATGCAGGGGAAGATGCATCGCGTACGAAGTTCTTCCTCTCCCTCTGCCAACTATCCGGGTACTATCCGGGATATAACTTTTCACTGAAATACTCGAGGTATACTCAAGTATCAAGTCGTTTGTCGTGATACTCTATCACGATGGCAGAAGTGATTGGCATAATTAACGGAATTATTGCCCTCGTCGAGACTTCGATCAAAATCTACGACAGCGCTCGGAAGGACATCAAATTATCCAAGAATTTTAAAGCTGTTCGATACCGTCTTCCGATCATTTTGGATACCCTCGCAGTGTGCAAAAGCAGCCTTGAACCGAGAAAAGCCTCAATCCCCGAAGACGTGTGTGAAGCCCTGGAGAAGACTCTTGAGGGTTGTGAGGCAAAAGCCTCGAATCTAAGAGGGATATTTGAGAAGATTATACCCGGTGAAAGCGACACATGGAGGAACCGTTATTCAAAAGTCCTTAGCAGATACGGTAAAGGAAACAAAGTCGAAGAGCTTATGCTTGGTCTCGCTGAAGAAGTTCAACTCATTGTCAACCACGATGCGGTGAGCTCTGCCAGCCAGAAGCAAAATTTTGAGCTTGATGATATCATTCGAGAAATGAAGTCTGTCATCTCCTCGGGAAAAGATGAAGACAAAGTTACCATGAATTTCAATACCGGGGGCGGGGCACAGGCAAACTACATAAATCCCGGTCGTGGACAGCAAATCAACAATAGTGGATCTGTTGGAACGCTAAACATCAATTCTGGTAAGGAGCGGACTTGATCGCGATTTCATCTCCTGATTGCATGTGCGAGAACAAAGGCGAAATTGGCCCTGGGCAAATTTGCTTTTCACATTTTTGCGAGAAACTCGCTATTGCTAGTTCAATATCCAAGCTACCTATGCCTTTGATGCATCCCGGCTTCTACTTGTACCCAAACATGCACATCCAGAATGTAAATAGCACTGCTGACTTCTAATGTAGTTTTTCAGAAGCAGAAAGAAGATTTTAGTTTTTGCGGACCCGTTGGTCTCCAAATTGGCCAAGCACCATATATCGCTCCAGGACTTTTCGTTGGTCGTGGCTCCGAGCTTGAGCAAATCAGAGAGCTTTTGCAACCCGCCCTAGGTGCTCACAAGCAACAGCGTCTTGTTCTTGGAGGAAAGGGTGGTATCGGCAAAACCCAGCTTGCTATTGCTTATGCAGAGTCGCGATCTGAATCATATACCTCGGTGTTTTGGTTGAATGCATCGTCCGAAGCTGCACTCCAAAAAAGTTTCCTGTCAATCGCCCGCCTCATTTTTGATATCCAGGATCCCCTGCTTTTGGAGAACAAGGATGTCATCGTGCGTGTACAACGCTGGTTATCAGATCCCCTAAATACTGGATGGTTGTTGATATTCGATAACTATGACGACCCGAACCTGTTTGACATTAACGTCTACTATCCACCTGCATCTCAAGGGTCTATTTTAGTCACCACCCGGTGCCAAGATCAGATTGAAGGAACTATTATGCATGTAAAACCTCTTCAGAATACCAGAGATGGCCTAACCATTTTACAAACCCGATCGGAAAGAGACAATGTTCAGTCAGGTAGGACACCCGCGCATTAATTAAGAACAAACTGACAGCCGCTATAAGATGTCTACGCAACAAGGCTCGCAGAGCGACTTGCTGGTCTCCCGCTTGCTTTAGCAACTGCTGGGACATATCTTAAGCATAGTACTTTTTCATTTGAACGCTACCTATGTGAATACGAGAAACGCTGGGATATCGGCCCCACTCAACTGCAAGAGTATCGTGAACGTACACTTTACACCACCTGGGATCTGTCATACTCTCGCCTAAAAGCCCACTACGCAGACGCGGCAGAACTACTCAGATTATTGGCCTACTTCGACAACCAGAATCTTTGGTATGAGCTTTTTCACGACGGAATTACCGAAGCATGGCCTACGTGGCTTCATAAATTGCGATCCTGCTTTGGTGAAAAGAAGCCTCGGTTTAAGCGTTTCCACAGCAGAATCATCGAAGGATCCCCTAAGTGGCTTTCTCAGTTGCTCAAGGACGACGTATCATTCCAGAGAGTCATGAGGACCTTGACCGAGTATTACTTCCTCGAAGTCCACCCAGCATCAACATCATGGAGTATGCATAATTGTGTGCATGACTGGACACTAGCTACACTCAATGAGGAAATTGACCTTAGCTACTACTGGTATGCTTTTGATTGCATCGATGCGAGTATCAGTGGGGTTGATATAGAATCGTTTGGTCGCATTGCCTTTTCGCGCTCAGCTGGTCATGCAACACGACTAGTGCAACAGCGGTTCCTCGAATCTAACATGATTTCCAATGGAACGTTTGATCAGCTGCGTAAGACAACACGTATTGCAAACTTGCTTCAAGATCAGATCCAACTTGCCGCTGCCGAGCAGATGTACACGCGGGCGCTCACAGGGTACGAGAAAGCGCTTGGACCAGAACACACTTCAACCCTTCTCGTTGTTAACAATCTCGGGAATCTATATAGTCACCAAGGCATACTAGATCAAGCCGAGCGTATGTACACGCGGGCGCTGGCAGGGTACGAGAAAGCGCTCGGACCCCAACACACTTCGACGCTTGACGCCGTTGGCAACCTCGGGATTCTATATAGTAAACAAGACAAGCTAGAGCAGGCCGAGCAAATGTACGCGCGGGCGCTCGCTGGGTACGAGAAAGCGCTCGGAACGGAACACACTTTAACCCTACGCACTGTCAACAATCTCGGGACTCTATATAGCCAACAAGGCAAGCTAGAGCATGCTGAGCAGATGTACGCGCGGGCGATCGGTGGGTATGAGAAAGCGCTTGGACCGGAACACACCTCAACTGTTCTCGTTGTTAATAATCTCGGGAATCTATATAGCCAACAATGCAAGCTAGAGCAGGCCGAGAAAATGTACACGCGGGCGCTCGCAGGGTACGAGAAAGCGCTCGGACCGGAACACATCTCAACCCTACGCACTATCAACGATCTTGGAACTCTATATAGCCAACAAGGCAGGCTAGAACAGACCGAGCAGATGTACGCGCGGGCGCTCGCTGGGTATGAGAAAGCGCTTGGACCGGAACACATTTCAACCCTACGCACTGTTAACGATCTTGGGACTCTATATAGACAACAAGGCAGGCTAGAGCAGGCCGAGCAGATGTACGCGCGGGTGCTCGGTGGGTACGAGAAAGCATTAGGGCCGGAAAACCCTTTAACGCTTGACGCTATTCACTCTTTCGGGTATCTCTATAGCCACCAAAATAAGCTAGAGGACTCCGAGCGGATGTACATGCGGGCGCTCGCAGGGTACGAGAAAGCGCTTGGATCGGAACACACTTCAACCCTTCTCGCTGTCAACAATCTCGGGTATCTGTATAGCCAACAAGGCAAGCTAGAGCAGGCCGAGCAAATGTACACACGGGCGCTCGCAGGATACGAGAAAGCACTTGGACTGAAACATACTTCAACCCTACGCACTGTCTACAATCTCGGGAATCTGTATAGCCAACAAGGCAAGCTAGAGCAAGCCGAGCAGATGTTTGTGCTTGTCCGCTAGAAGACAGGAAAATATGTATCGTGAATATGAACTTTCAACGATGGTGACATCCTATACAGGACTGTTCGAGATCAGAGTCACCATTCAACATTGATGATTGGACAGCCTTATTGTTTGTAGACTTTCGAAAAGGAGTACAGGAATTAATTGGCTCTAATTGTGGTGTTCGGTTCAACGAGAGAAGGAGTAAGGCGTGATTATATCCAGGGGACGGCTTCCAACCAGAACGACTATAGACACGCCCAGCTTGCTAACCGAAAACTGCGAGCGGACTCGAAGCGGCGATGCTTTCTCGAGAATCCACAAACACTCATCCATCTCATCGTATTGACAAGACCAATAGAAGCATGTATAGGGTCGCAGTGAGACTAGACAAATTCCTGGGAGAGCATGGTAAATGCAGTCATAATAGAACAGGCGCTTCCGAGATGGGCATTATCCTTCCCAGAACCTTTTTCCGGAATCCTGGGAGCTGTTCAGATCCTGAAAGGTGCCACTATATTCCTAGGGGCAATCTTGGCTGCGGCGCAGAGCTTTTGCAGCCTGGTCCGACAGTAAAATGGTGCTGATTCGTTAGAAAAGTCCTTCGAATGCAAACCCCGCCTATGTCATCCACCACCTCGCCTCACACTTCACGCGTTCATTCTTCTTCCTCATGAGTCAGTAGTTCTCTTCAATTAAGCATCGCTTGGAAAGATCTGACCACGTGCTAAAACGATGCCCTTCAAGATCGATACAACTACCCTCCTCTACATCGTGTTTATTGTAGTAAGACACAGAAAATCCGGCCTGGCGATGAAATCTGTTGACAAATTTCCCTTTCTAGGGAGGGGCCATCTCCTTGATCCTAGGAGCGTGAGTTATCGCGCTCTTCAGCCCATCTCTAGTTAGCCTTTATTAGAAGGCTAGCATGTATAAAGGGGAATAGTGACTAACAGACCTCTCACGAATCAGGATGTCTTGGGCTCGCACCGCCGCACTGCTTCTTCCCTTACCGACATGGGTCCCAGCCATCGCTACACTCATATCCCCCATCACAATACTCACACTGATAGCCACGCGAATCTTGTTCCCACGGTTGAACAATGAGGCGCCTCGCAATTATCGATGGACCACAACATTTGGTATACTGAATCAGATTCAAACCATCATTTCGACCATCGTGGCCACAGTAGCACTTGCGTACCTCTTCCCTGACAGGATTCTCTCATGTAACCTAGATCAACAATGGCAGGTGTTCTTCCAGTCGAAGAATTCGCACGCTATCCGCTCAATCCAAGATGAGTTCCGATGCTGCGGTCTTAGAAGTCTTCACGACAGGGCATGGCCTTTCAAGGATCGGAACCACGGGGACAACGCGTGTGAGCTGCAGCTGCGATATCAGAGGAGTTGCTTCACTCCTTGGAGAGAGAACCAGCAGAAAACTTCTTGGATGATCTTTGCGGCGGCTGTTTTTGTTTTCGCGGCTAAGGTAGGTTCACACTGAGGTTTGTGGTGTAGTGGCTGATATTCTGTAACTTTGCACAGATCGCTTTCGTTCGGCTTTCCCGCCATCAAACGAGTTGGATGAGCGCACAATCTACCAGCAGGAGGCCTGATTACCAGCGTATTTCACCCCCAGGGGTACAGGACGAAGGTGACAACGAGAACGATGTCCCCGAGGAGACGCGGAGGACATTTTTACCCCAGTCGAGCACCGAGTATAGAAACAACTGGGAGGTAGACTAAGGAGGAGAAAGGTAATCAGCGCGAATCCTTGGCCTACGTTCTGGTTGAGAGAAAAGTGGGCGGGTGGCCGGTGGAAAAGCAGCTGGAAAATCAGCTGGAAAATCAGCCTGTGTATTACTCTAGTGAGGTCGAGCCAGAATAGGAAGCAGAGGCGGATTGGATTTGAGTGCAGAAATGGAAGGATCGATTTGAAGAAGATGCAGAAAGTGGAAAAAGGCATAGCGGTTAAGGACTGATTTGTGGGGAAGCTGAACCGCAGCAGGCATTAGGCCTAATCCGAGGCCTACTAGTTAGTACCTTTTGCTGTCCGGCCGAGGAATAATTTTTGCCGGACATCCAAAAACTGTGGCTATGTCAAAATGAACTCGAGATACTTTTATCGTGTTTTCAAGTTCGTCATACTTCAGAATATTCATATACGTCGAGATAATACCGGACTTTCAATAGAAAGCGAGTAGAGTTCAACTGGGTTCCTTATATGGTTTCACTGAATAAGCGCATTGAGCTTGCTATTTCAACATCGAACACCATTTGGCCGTTGGCCGCGATCTGAGATGTCTTGGGTCTGCCCCTCTGAAGGCATCTAAGGAATATCATCCTTTTTGAAGTCCTTGAGAATGCCAAGAATTGACACGCTGCAGTCCAACAGATTTTTTCAAAGATCCTGCAAGCCTCTATCACTAACCGCTACTGGCAGGAATATGGATGGATTTGGGCATCTGTTGGACTTAGGCTGAGAAAGAAGATTCTCCTCTAGAAGATTACTTCAATATAATACCCTTCATACCGTATAGAAGGCGGAGAAAGTCACTTACAATTATTTTAGTGCAATGGTCATATATATACAGTGTATATGTGGAGCCACAACTTAGGGCAAGATTTTTCATTGTGGATAGAGATGTGATAGTGATATGCATTTTAGGTATATCTTCACTGCAAACGCCGGGAATCCTGATCCTGATTAAGTACCCGGAGCCCGCCTTGTGGAGATGAGGGCTATATGGATACTGTAGAAGCCAATTGCATGTATTGTATGGTTCTTTCCAAGTTGGCTAACTTCTTAGCGGTTCAGCCTCCGGTTGGCACAGGTCAACCTTTCCCGTCTCCCCGGTTGGCGCAGCTGGTCCATTCAATGTGCTGCCCTAAGCCAACAGTTGGGAGTAAAAATTCTGGACCCGTGGACACACCTATAAGTTATTGAAATTAATCGTATATTACTATTAGTCGAGTCAGAATTGTGTTCCACATATTGTTTCTTAACTTATAGTGGCCGATTACAACGGTGTCCGTGTGCACCACCTCAACGTTGGAATCACATATTTCACTACAAAATGTAACTAGATATTTTATTGAATTTAACATTATAATCCCTCTTGTTTTCAATATTTCTGCTCATTTAATCATCCTAAATCCGATATCTATCTCTTGTTAATAGCTTTCAAATCACCGCTACCTCTTAGTCTTGCCTAGATTTATCATACACTTTGAGCCACGAAGGTCTTCGTCTGTACGAATAGATATATATATAGGCAATTTTATAGACTATCACTGCACCTATTCCTATCAGGAAGTATTCTATTTACTTTTGTAGACTTAGAAACGCCAGGGCAGCATTATGCAGCAACGTTACAGACAAAAAGATCCACAGGAACTTGCGACCTCGGGATTGGACAAAATCATGACCCCCGAACTACCTACGTAGGTATAAGTGGAAATCTGGCGCTTTGCAAATACTATTCCCGTCTGCAAGCGTTGCAGATTTAGGCGCTAAATGTGGGAGCAGCACAGTACTGGATGGTTGAGTTTACTAGAATCAAGATCATGGATGCTACTTGTTTAGATATAATTTCTTCAAATTTATCAGCTTAGTTGAACCATCCTTCCTGGTAGGCGACCCATGCCCCCAAAGTAAGTGTTTGCGTATACAACCATATGCTCAAGGCATCACAAGGACCCTGCACACTCCTGGAAAATACAGGCTGCGTTAAATCAAAGCATACCTGCAAGTACTCGAGGATGGAAGACTTGCGGACAACAATTTCCAACATATCCGGTGTCATGGTAGCTATGCGGCTCCTCCGTCGTGCCTTTAGATCAATCAATAGCAGGACAAATTGTTCTGCGCCTAAAGAACCAGCTGTTGCGTCTTCTTTGCTCCGCTTTTCCCATTGCAGAACCATTCTGCCTGGGTTTAAACTATCTCTGTTTTCGTCGCTGATAGTAAATCGGTAAGTGGGCGTCGATTGAGCGGGTCCTGTGCCTGCGCTGGCCTCCCAGCTGCATCGTGCATCGCGGAAATGAATAGTTGACGTCGTCTTGTCCTTCTGACACATTACTGCCACAATATCTTTCTGTAGAGTAGCACTGTCACCATACTGCTCCGCGCTGGAAAGATCCTTCGGTGTCCCGGTCAAATTGGTAATGTACGAGTCATCGAGAGTCGCATAAATATCACCTGTCCTCAGCTTGACTTTTTGATAAAAGTCGCCAGTCAATTTTGGCTTGCGAAATATTGGCTGCCATAGTTCTAGCACTGGTACTGGTCGGTGATTTTGAGCGAGTAGTTGGATTTGAAGAAGCAGCTTCGGAGCAAGACGAAGTGAGTATTTTGGTGCAGGTCGGGCGAGCTGGAAAATCACATGAATCTTGGTTTTTATGCTCCGAGACAGCCTAGAATATTTGTTAGACAATGTCAACGTTTTTTTCGGTGCGAGGCGCGTACCACTCTTCGCTTTTAACATCTTTTTCATAGACAACTGACTGCGAGCTCATACTGGGCTCTGGCCGCATGAAGATAAGGATATTTTGTTTCTACCTACCTCAGTGGAATATACAGAAATTTTGTTTCTTATTCACCGACCCATTGAATGCCTCGGGTATTCTTATAAATAGTTGGTTCTTGAACCTCGAATACTGAACAGACGATGCACGAACCTTGTTAGGGCACAGATTTAGGTGTGTCAAACGCCGATTTCAAGGCAGTGACATTTCCTCCCCTGCCTATCGCCGTCATAATAAGAGCTCCAGATTCCTGGAAAAAGTATGGCATGTTGTGATTGGCTCTTTTGTAAGATCGTGAGGTGGCCGTCGAACCACGCTCGAATATTTCCCAAAATGGCTAGGCGCCCTGTTTTCATTCGTTGATTTCTCGCCCCATAAAAAGCCCCACTTCGGGAAAGCCATGGATTTGGTTCCAGCATTCTATGCATCTATGAGGTTAAAACTTCGGTGTTAGTTCTTGCGGCTAGAAACCCTTTTGTTGTGGTTTTTTGTTATAATTGTCAGTTTTGATCCTCGTATATCAAATAAAGAGGCTGTATTTTCACTGGACCAGCTGGCAACACACAAATTAGGCAATAAATGAACGCTCTTCAGCCTACACTCGATCAGGCTATCATTGAGGACTCATGACTCTGGTCCACACCGCAGTACTTACCACCGGATTGTTGCCTAGTCCTCGGTGTCCTAAATTAGTATCAAATGAGCGCGCCTCGGAACAGATGCGAGCTCGATTCCTGGAGGTGAAACGTCCTCTCATACATGCCCATGTGGGCTTTGCGGAAGTATAAAGTGGCCGACAGTCCCATGAATGGGCTTTCACAGATACTACCATCTTCCTTTTCAAGAGCCTGCTATCTTCATCTATTGTTAAACCCCACCATCGAATCATGCGCTTCCTTCAACTGTTCTTCGTCTCGCTTGCCGCTGGCATCCTGCCAGTGAGGGCTTCAAGCTGCCGTTCATTCCCTTCTTCCATGATCGAATTCTCTTCTGAATTTAAACAACCAACTCCTCCTATGATCCAGGCCGAGTATGAAACCAATTTTATTCAACACAAGTGGTAGGCCATAAATACTGATGACCGCCCTACTTCTGTCGTCAAATTAACAGAGCAACAGGAATCAAAACCTATCACACATCACAACTGGCTTCATCAATAATTCGCCATCTCTGAATTTCGTTCGAGTTGACGAAGCCTTCGATGGTAACCTAGCATCGTCCTTCTTCAATTATGCCAATTCTACAAAAGAAGGTCTGGTGGACAACACTTTGACCACCTTTGATCACGAATCCAACAAGCCAACTGTATGGAGGGGATTCGTCAACTCGAACTTCCCTCTGTTCCCTGAGGACATACTAATCCAAAATGGTGCTGTTTTTGGCGGACTGGTCCGGCGACAATTCAACGAGGACTTTGTGGCAGCTGTAAGTAGCCTTTTTCGAGTTCGGCTTCAATTCAAACACAGTACTGAAGCTAAAAAAATATCATTAGTGGAATATTATGTACCAGGGAGTTATTCCTGTTACAGTTTTCGTGAGCAAGTGCAATATCATGGTCGGGTACGACTATTTTTCTCCTGGATTGCGTACCAGGGTTATTACTGAATACTTCAACATCAAAGTCTAAGCTGATTCTACACGATGGGATCATGGTTAAGCGTTTTTTTCAAGTCATAACCTCAGCATGGAAGTCAAGTGAGAGCTCTACAGTTTCTGCTGTAGTGCGGTTTCTATCATCGAATAATCAAGATTAGTCTGAATCGAGTCAAAGATCAACTGTCAGTTGTAAATTTTGCCGTAAATCACCTAATGTCCGATGAAAAAAATCTATTTTATTCGAGAAATAGCTTCTCATGTATAAGGAATTAGCGTCAAACTGCGCGCTGTGCTCGCGTTGGGTATTGTAGAGAGAAAATCAAGATAGAATCCCATCTCTTGAAAGTTGAGACTATTGAGTACTGGCCCGGCTCCAGTGCGGGCGGCTCTAGGCCAGTGGTCGGGCCAGGCAAGGTCAGAGTAGGGGTCACATGACAGGGCCAGGTAAGCCCAAGTCAGAGTTTTGCAGCCATTGTTGAAGAGTTGGATATTATTTCCTGGTAAATTGAATCATGTCATCGGATCTATGCATACAACCAAGCAAAATCTCTAAACGCACTATCGGGCCCCTAGACAAGCGCAAAATCACAACGCGCTGTCAGCCTTGTGCGAACAGGCGGGTAAAGGTTTAAGCAACTGGCACTCTGTTTCAATGAGTCAAACTTACATGATATACAGTGTGACGGGGGGCACCCCTGCGAAAGATGCGTCCGGACAAAGAAAACATGTGTGCGGCAGCAGCTAGAGCAAGCACAAGTGAAATTCGTCCATGCTTCGGGACATATGTTGTCTTACACAATTCCCATGCAAGTGCAGAAGCCTGATAACATCATATACCTGGATCATTTTGCATCCTTCCTTCAGAATTGCCACTTTAGCAAAGGGTTTGCTGCCACAAATGCAGACATAGTCACTATCATTGGCAAATACCCTCTGCTTCTACACATTGCTATCGCAATCGGAGCTTTGGATGCCGGTAGGAAGGGCTCTATCAGATCATTCGGTGAGCTAGAGTCTCCTCAGCAAATTGCGTTCCGGGCTTGTGGTAGATCAATACAAGATCTGCATTCGGCCATCTCGATGACGAATTCAGTCTTTAGAGATGACGTGTTGTGGTGCACGTTTCTCCATGGCCTTTTTGAGGTATAATTATATATATTCATATACCCCAAATTCTACTAACCATTTGCACAGCTGATAGCTGAAAGTTCGGGTCACTCATTCGCAAATCACATGGTTTTCGGCACGTCTCAAATGCTGCTCCTGCTAGACCCTACAACTCCGCTTTCGTTACCCACAAAGAGCTTGATCGATGCTTTTTGGATTCTTGAGAGTAACAGAGCTATTCTTTATGGCGACAATATTACCCTCGATCCAGATAAATATCAGTTGATTTCGACACGAGAAAGCTGGCCAGATACCTTGAAGAAAGTTCTCATGCTCATGACAGAAGCTTCCACATTTGCGAAAAGGCAAGTGAATTTTGCTATGATTGGTGAACGCAGCTAAGTCCTCTAGGCTTTTTGACTCAATCGAGAGCATTCCTCAAAAATTAAGATCCTTTGATCCCAAATTGGACGCTCTTGCTCTTGAAGGACTCGAAATTGAAGAAAGAGTTCTCAATTGGCAAGAAGGAAGCCATTTAGAAAGGTTGCCGATGGGGCCTTTTACGCAATTAGCTGTCATCGTTCACAACGCTCTTCTTTTATATCATTGCATGAACTTTACCTTTCATTCTTGCTGGATGACACGGTCAATCCCTCAGCTTAACCAGAGTCAAGTCGACAAACATGTCTCCACAATTTTGGATCTGTCTCAAACCCTTCTCTCGGGTACATGTATCCCCGCGGTTCTCTTATTGTTTCCTCTGCGAATGGCTGGAGCCCATGTTCTTGAGAGGCATGCACAGGGTAAAGTATTGGGGACCATTCGCAAGATACGGCAAAAAGGCTTCATCGTTTCAGATATAATCGAACTCGATTTGCAAGAGTTTTGGCACTACAAATTGGGGAAATTGACTAAGACGAATGAAATGCGAGTATAAGGTACCAGCATCTTGAGAAGGAAAGAAGGATTTAAACCTTCGAAGCAACCTTAGATGGATTAGCTTGATGGGCTTCCAGCATAATAGTCTACTATCTTTACTTGATAGTGCTCTAACATTACTCAATGTCTATATATTAAAAGAGATTCTTGGGCTATATACCTTTTGGCAGATTCTCGAATGAAGTGGCTAAGGTAGTCGCAGAAAGAAACACGAGGGCAGTTAGGCAAGTCCTCCAGTGGCCAAATATTAACTGCCCCTTTATCTTTGGCGTATTTTTGTATTGATTACATTATAAACCTCGAGACAGGAGCTAATTTGCTAACTTTGAGTCTGCCTGCCTGTCGGAGAACATACCTGACCGTACATCGCAAGACTTTGTTTTAAGTTTAAACGAAGCTAATGCAAATGCATATTGATCATACGCTCACTGGACCTACTTTCTTTAGCTTAAATACAATATCATCAGCAAGGACTAATCAATTGCTCTGAACAGGCAGTGTTGGTATTTAAACATCTCTCAATTTACAATACGTAGTACAGCTTTCATCCTCGCATAGGTGCCTGAATTCTGCCCGAATATATGTTCTGAGATTCGTCAATCTGCATGTGCATTGTTCAATTAAATTTGTGATTCTAAACTTCAAACAGTGATCCCACAACACCTAAAATAACACCTATCATGCAAGTTCATATCGTTTGAAAGTTCCGTGCAACTGTTGGTCTAGTCAATGCACTCGATGGCTTCGAGCCGCTGCATGGCCCGGCCGCCCTCCTTCTCAAATTGACCGACAAGTCGTTCACATTCTCTCTTCAATCGTTCTTCGCCGTTCTTTGCATTCCACGCGATCCATTCTTGAACTGTCATTTTCTTCTCCGGGCTGGTCAATCCACCTTTCATACCCTTGAAGAGCCCAGACAGATCAGCATTCTCCTTATCGCTGGCTTCTCCAAAGAGCGCTTCATCAATATCCACAGGTGTCCATGGTTGGCCTGAAGGCCCAAACCCAGGATTGGCATTGCGCTTAGATGGTGATGGAGTGTTATTTGCCATAGGGGCTCGGAACTCGGGGTGTTTGGGTGTAGACTGAGCTGGCGGACGCGATGCCGTAGGCCGTGACGATGGGGGCCGGTTCTCCGCATCCGATGATTGCGGGGATGGTGAGGGCGTACTTCGGTGGGTTGATGGGAGGGGCGAGACTGCACGGTCAGACCGTTTAGATGTTCGCCGAGGCTCGCGGATTTCATTGGGTGAGCTTTGACTAGCAAAACTCTCTGCAAAATGCTCCTCTTGGGGAATATCGCTATACCGCTTGGTGGTCTTTGGCGGCAAGCTGGGCGTCTTGCGATGTGACGAATGTGGCTCAGACGAGAGCGGTTGAGGAGGTGGAGAGAGCTGTTGAGGTTTGACCAGCTGAAGCTGATCAGGCAGATCATCCGCATCTTCAAACTCGTCGTCTTGTTCATCAATTGTCGATTCGGCGTCATAATGCTCTTCGACTGGTGGCACAGGAACCGGAGTTGCCTCTGCCTTTTTTTCTGATTTCTTGGGCTTCTTTTCTTTGGTCGAGGTGGCTTCCTTCTTCTTGGAGCTCTTTTTAGTCTCAGCCTTCACCGCCGGTTCTTCGGCCACTGGCGCTCGCTCAGCCTGCTTGTCCATAATTTCAACAGATATGGAGGATTCATAACGCTCGGGCTCATCTCCATCATCTGCGACCAGGGCGTTTAATGATCGCCGACCCTCTGGTGATTCCGGTTTAATCGGCTCCTCGGCCTTTGTTTTCTTTGCTCCTTTTTTCTTGGGTACTTTCGCCGTCTTGACCTTGGGGGCTGGCACTTCAAGTATGTCATCAATGGTTTCCACGGGATCGTTTGGATCTGACTTATGGGCATCGGCATCATCTACCTGATCCTGCATAGTAGGCTCAGGAGATTGAGTCACAATTTTGGACTTTTTGTTTGACTTTGTCTTCTTTGATACCGGTGACTGTTCTGGTACAGACACAGCCTCTGGCTCAGCAGGCTCAGGAATATCTTCCTCCAGGCCTGCTTCAATCTCTGCATCAATCTCCGAGTCACGGGGTACCCGGGCTTTTGGTTGGGCTTTTGAAGTAGCAGACACACCAGAGACCTTGCGAGATTTAGACGCGCTCTTCTTTGTAGGCTTGCGACCCCTCTTGTGTTCTTCATCCGAGACCACCTCATCTCTAGGCTCTGCATCCGCCATCACATAATCACAGTGTTCATAATCGTAGTTGCGAGCAATGCTACTGCTCCGTGTTTTCGTTGCTCGTCTTTTCGCTGGAGGTTCTGCAGGTGGCTGTGGTCGCTCTTTCTCTTCTGAATAAACCGGCTCCGGTTCATCCTTGATATCTTCGCTGACTCGCTTCTTCCCTCTGCCGACACGCTTGGTCTTTGCAGGCTCTGGCTGAGCAACTTCTTCGATTTCGCCCTCAACTTGGTCTTCGACCTCTGTTGGCTCCTCTTTCTTGTTCTTGGTGGCTTTCGATTTGCCTTTGGTTGTCTTCTTCGTAGATTTTGATTTGGTGGTGGCTTGCGACAAAATACTCTGATCCATTGAGTCATCCATATCCATGTCGGGGGCTTCAGATGTGACTGTGCCGACGGATTGGGTGGAAAGTCGAGAAGAGGCCTTAGACACCCGAGGCTTCTTGGTTTTTGAGCCTTTGCCCTTCTTCCCTGGGGGTTGGGCAAATACAAAGAAAGAACAGTCTGATGAGCGACGGTAGTGTTCGTCACTGGGCAGGTTAGCGCAGTCTATCTGGGAAAGAGCGATCAGTACGTACAATGGATCGTCCTTGGGCTCCCAGCCATCCAAAGACAGCTTGCAGTATACACAACTGGCCAAGTCATTGCTTTCCTCTGTTGGGCAGAAATACCATCCACCTTCGACCATCTGTCCATATTGTGAGCTTCAATCAAGGAGATGATGAAATTCCAGCATTACCTTTTCTGACTGGCACACCCAACCTCGCTTCCCGTCATGTGGCCATGCGGAACCAAATGTCGCTAGTCGCGCTTGTGTGATGCGATCGCCTGTAGGGTCTTCAATCGAGGCGGGGTTGGAACTGCCCTGTTGGATGTCCATCATAATGGCCCATCCGCAATCGGGTGCATGCTTGAGATGTTCTGTTATGGGATTGTCATCTTCCTCCCACCCATCCAGCGCCCGGTGGCACTCGAAACATGTTGTGTTGTCAGGATTTGTTTCGTATGGTTTATAGTAGAATCCAGCGTGCGCCAACTAGAATCTTAGTCAATCATTTTGAGTCCAATGTGAGGCCTCTAATCCTTCACGTACCTCAGCCGGTGAAGGTCGCTGGTGCGGCCATGTGATTGCTTTTGGTGTTTTTGTGCCTGAAGATCTGCGCTTTTCCGGCTTCAACACCATGTCGAAACTGGCTAGGCGGGCCGCAAAAGTATCCATTTCGGAGCTCATGGCATCTGATAAGAGCAGTTTTAGATGATATCACTGAGGTTGCGACATGCAGAAGCACCTATGTGGGAAATTTAGGCGTAATTCGGTCGAAGGTGCCGCTATTGTCGATCTCCGCGTCTGTTTACTTCCGTTGTTATGCAAACACGCGCGTTCACGTGACCACTTACTCAGCACCCGAAAAGGAAAGCAGGACGGGGTACGTCAGAGCCGGAAATGTTGAGGGAACCTTTCCACTTCAATTCAATTCACTCCTTTGTTCTCTATGGGGAACGTCGATGCTCCTTGATTTTTCTCAATTACTGCGCTCCGCGCTCCGATCTCTCTCACCCAACTCACAGTTATGCCGGGAGTAACAGTATGTTAGATCTCCATCTCTACCCGATGATCTCAATCTCACACTTATTTACAAGATGGTTGCTTCTCGGGGAGCTAATCCCCGCTCTCTGTGGCGTACTCGCATTTCCATCGCATCTCCCCGATTTGTTTCGGTTTCGGCCCGCACTCTGTCAATCAATTGTCGCCAGATCACTCCCTATAATGGCCGACGCTCGGCAAGTCGGACCGCTTCGACATCACAATTGCTACGCAAAGTTTCTATCAGCCAGTCATCATTCTCGACATCGTCATCTTCACTTTTGCCTGACTCTGATTGGGACCACAACCCGGATCTCTCCATCTCCAATTTCTCCGACCTTCCGTCCAAAGACTTCGGAGTCAATCAGCACATGATTATAAACCAAGAGTTCAAGGAGGCTTTGCGAATGATCCTTTGGCAGTTCAAAGCACCAATTAGATACGCCTTTGCCTATGGATCAGGTGTGTTCCCACAAAATGGCAGCACCGCCCCGTCTAGCTCGTTGCACCCCTCGGCACCGACGGCCATCCAGAATATGCAACAGGGTTCCGGGAAGATGATCGACTTTATTTTTGGAGTTTCTTACTCCCAACATTGGCACGACCTGAATCTAACCCAACATCGTGATCATTATTCCGGGATGGGGTCACTTGGCTCGTACATGGTTTCCCAAGTTCAAGACCGCTTCGGCGCCGGCGTCTACTTCCACCCTTATATTACTGTGAACGGAACAATGATTAAGTATGGTGTGGTCAACCTTGATACGTTATGCCGGGATCTCACTCAGTGGGACACCATGTATCTTGCCGGTCGTCTGCACAAGCCCGTCAAGATCCTGCGCGATCACCCTAAGGTGCGGTTAGCGAACCAAATGAACTTGTTGTCTGCTCTGCGAGTTGCACTGCTGCTGCTACCGGAAAGATTCAGTGAGTTTGAATTATACAGCACAATCGCAGGAATGAGCTATATGGGAGATCTGCGGATGGCCCTCCCAGCCGAGGATCCCGCTAAGGTACGGAATATCGTTTCGGGGCAAATGGCACACTTCCGCCGTTTGTATGCGCCACTCATCCAGAATCTGCCCAATGTCACCTTCCAGGATCCTCGTTGCAGCAACGAGGATTGGATTGATGACGAGAACGCTATTTTGGCCATGGCCCAGGACATGGACCCGGTAAAGCGTGGTAATATGGTTCGCCGCCTGCCTGAATCTTTCCGACAAAAGCTATACTTCCAATACCAGTCTCGCTATCAGATCCCGCGGGCCGAGTTCGACCAGATGATAAAGGAGAACAGTGACTCCGAGGAAATGCTTCGACGACCCCAAGGAGGTCCTTTCGAGAGACGGATTGCCCGCGATGACTCCCTTCAGGAGGAGGTCGCCAGGTCTATTGAGAAAACCATCCGCTGGCCCAGCACTGTTCAGACTATCAAGGCGCCTTTGACAGCCGGTCTTGGCAAGAGCTGGACCTACCTGAAAGAGAAGCGCGACAAGCACAAGAAGTCTCAGATGGCCAAGGCGGCTGCATTAACTGAAAAGTCTACTGAGGCCAGTAAGCCAGCCGAGGAGCCCAAACCCTCGGAGACACGGAAATCGGAGATTAAGGAGACTAAGCAGGAGTAGGCGTCTGGAGACCCATTTAAAGGACATTCCTACGTTGCAGATATGAGGCATACGGGGGCGTTGTGGATTTTTTTGTGGCCCTGTGTCGAATTTCATCGATGATGCATCTAGCATCTAGCATCCGTGTTTCGACAGGAAATACTTATGCAGACATCTAACCAAATACATACAGCTTATAGAATTTCAATTTGTCAAATAAAACATTTTTTCTTTCAGCTTCATCCGGTCTTGGAAGCATTCACTTGCCCTCTCGCTACAAATGTCCATTTCTATCTGCTTAAGTACAGGCGACTTAAATATGGGGTCTGGTCCTAGCTACGCCTGGCAGATCTGGCCCCAAGCCTTCGCCTGCAATTTGGCAAATTCCCCAGGTTTGCCATATGAGAGCAAGATCATAAAATACCGATGTACACTCAGGGTAGTTGGGTGGTGCCCGATTATCATTATATAAGTTCTTCATCAATGCGATATACAGGAGCATGGCATTTAGAATATCACTTTCTCAAACGCCTCTTGTAGCCCTTTGTTTCCCAGCCAAGCCTCCAAAGCTTGCATATCCCCACGATTGGCCCGCTGACCACCTCGTTCTCCCAACGAGTCCGTGATTTCCTCCATTCCAGAGAACACTCTCTGAACATCCTCTGTCTCTCGAAACCTTTCGCTGACCTTCTTCTGATGACTCGGAATGTCACCCCAAGAATGCGTCTTAATGAAGCTCATATATGAATCGACATCGGACGAGGTCCCCTCGAGACACAACACGCCCGGCTTCCCGGCCAACACAAAGCCCGTCAGACCATAAGCTGGTGCAAGATTGACCATGTCATCTCTCTTTTTACGCGTTGACAGAGAAGGGAAATAAAACCAGACTCGGGCAATGGGCCCTTTGTTCGTTTCTTCTGAGGTCACAGTGTGGCTTTGCTTATTTTCAAGTAAGCGGGTTGCTTCTGCTTGGATGTATTCGAATACTTCTAAAGCATCTTCGCCTTGTGGTATTGAGGCCGTGATACCTGCCACCTCGGCTCTGGACATCCAATCTGGTTGTCGGAGTGAAAAGCTCAAGGATGGTGGCTGGTCAATCGTTCCTGGGTCTTCACATTGTAGTGGTACGGTGACGTTGACCCGGATGGTTCTTTCTCCGTCTGCAATTGGCAGACAGACAGCAAGAGAGATGCTGGGTGGGATTTTATTGGGTATTGAGTCTGAATCCTCGCACCAATTCCGTAGTTTCTCCACGCACTGTGTTGTGGATTCAGGGATTTCTAGCTCGCCTGGAGATGGAAACATCGCTGTTAGAAGATCAATTGTGGACAATTGAGACTCCATGATGTCCACTGGCAGGATTGATGGTTCTTTTGTAGCCATCGTGCATATAATAACTGTCCGAAGAACCAGTATCAAAAACTTGGCAGTGCGGATTTATTGGCCAATTGAGCATAGATAAAAGTGATTCCTAATGGTGAATCAACACGAAACAATATTAAGGCTTAATAGATATTGAGAATCAAGAAATGCCCAACGTTCAACAATGTTGACCTCGAACAATATTCCAATGTCTTTTTGAGGCCAAAATAGTGCTTATGGTGTGCTTATCTAATGAGCATCAGGTCGGAAGAGCTGACCACCCCTAGACATCTATTCATCCTGAGACATTTGGAATTATGAAATTATATAACATCCGTTTTTTTCATGTTTGACTTTGCTTCGCATGTGGAATGGTAATCTTGAGTCGCTATGACTGCCCACTCTCGTACATCGACCGGAGATGAGCGCCAAACAGCCCCGCAACGCCGCCAGAAACGAGCCCAGGTAGCCAGAGCGTGCGATGGCTGTCGTCTTCGTCGCACGAAATGCGACAATAAGACCCCGTGTTCAAATTGCGTCGCAAAGGAACGAATTTGTAGTAACAGCGGAGCACCGAAAGCATCAACTCTCACCCAGGCCTCCGAGGAGATCGAGTCACTCAAGCGCAGAGTCAAGCAACTAGAAGCAGAGCTGAAACAGCGTTCCAGCGAGAATATTAATCTTCCTACGCCGACAGGGTCGTCTTCATCGCCGGCCCAGTTTTTCACGAGGAGCGATAATGAATACCGAAATCCGAAGAACTGTTGGGGTGGCATACACCTTCGACCAGCGCGTTCTTCTAATGAAACATGGCTTGGTGCATCATCACTACATTTTTTCATTCAACGTCTTAGCATTTTTTTGGCATTTAACTTTCAACAAGCACACTCTACACAGCAGCTGCTTCCCATCTCAGCAAGTGATCACCATTTGCTCGACAGGCCAGCAGCGAGATCCAATGAAGACCCAACAAGGCGGCTGACATCTTCAGCAGAGCTTCCCACAACGGGTGTCTATCTAAAACCCACACAAGAAGAGTATTTCATAGATCTTTTCTGGCATACCTACCACACTTCCATGTTTCCAATCTTGGACGAAACCCAATTCAAAGATCATTACCAGTCCCTTTGGGTAACAGGTGGCAAGGAAAGAAACCCTTCCGCCCTTGTCGACATCGTCATTGCCATGTGCATGCAGTACGGTATTTCAACACTTCCCTCAAACGCTCAGGGTACTCTTGTAGAAGGCAAAGACGCCCTGGTCGCCGGCCGATGGCATTATTGGCGTGGACAGACGCTCCTCGCATATGAACTTGAGAGTCCGTCTTTGTCGACCCTACAATGCCATTTGCTCTGCGCAATATATCTTTGCGGTGGATCCTTCCACAACATGATGGACACTGCCGTCGGGCTATCTGTGCGCACCGCTTACATGCTCGGTATCCACCAAGACCCTCCGCATGATATGCCAGAACGGGAACGCGAGATGAGAAGACGCTTGTGGTGGGCGGTCTATTTAATGGATAGCAAGGCGGGCATGAAACTTGGTCGTCCTTTCATGCTGCGTGATTCGCATGCCATGCCTTCCTTACCCAATGATAGTCTCGATGCTGCGAGGACATCGGGCTCTATATTTGCTCCTATCGGCGATGAGGCTACTTGGCTGAGTTTTAACTTGCACCAAGTAAAACTCTACATGAAAGTACGGGCAGCCTATACATGTTTCTATGACCAGGATCTGCATTTGTCCAACGGCCAGATAGTTTGGGATGATTCCCACGCCTTGGAAACCAGTGCAGAAGCCTTAACCCACCATATCCAGGGTCTCCAGGAATGGACTGACAACGTGCCCGGCGCTCTAAAATTAAACCGCCAAAACAACGGCAAACCCCTTTCCACAGATGGCACAGGTCTGTCGATCGAGCAATTCGCCCCTCTCTGGCTCCAGCGCCAGCGCGTGCTTCTCGAAATCACATACCACCACCTCAGTACTAATATATATCGGCCGCTTATCTCCTTTGGCTCAAAACCACACCCGGGTACATTGGCAGAAGAAGTCGCGATGCAATGCGCATCCCACGCAATCATGCTGTCGAAAATCACACACCAGGTTCTTACAGAAACACTTATTCTTGATGGGTGGCATGAAGCCTTCCATTATCAATGGAATGCTGCAATGACGCTGATCGGCTTCGTGGTGGTGTATCAACACTCCTCGCTGACTACAGAAGCTAGAGCCGCAGTGGATCTGGCAATCAGCGTCTTTGATAATTTTGGCGCTAAGTTTTCTGTTGCTGTGAATGCCGCTAAAATTGTGCGAGAGCTTTGTCTCAAGGTTGATATCTTGGTACATCATAGCCAGCTTCAAGTTGGTTCTTTGAGCGAGCTTGACATGGGTTCTATGGACAACTCCGTGGATATTTCCGATGACTTCATGTCTAATAGTTCCTTTTTTACCTCTTTGGGTGGGAGCTCGGGTCTTTCTAAGACTGGCTCGGTTGATGTTTCGGAGTTCAACTTTTTCGACATGGCTGTGGATATTGATTTCTGGAATAGTGTTGACACGCTATGGCCGGAATTTGACAATCTGGCTGGACAGCAAATAAGTGCATGAGATATTCAAATGAAAGGAGAGACTGAAAACATAATTTAAAATGCAAATTCTCCGATTCTTGGAAGGGCTCTACTGAGTGCTAGTCATTGTCGACGAGGCGAAACACCTGCTGTGGATCGAGAAACCCTCATTTGTTTCTAGAACCAACCATATATTTTCCCCTTCTAAGCAGAAAAAATAGTCCTCCACCGATAGCAATAAGGAGTTAGTTCTTACTGTATTGATTTCAGATATATGACAGCAATGCATGATCTACTGAACTCCGGATCCGGGCAATCGGAGTTGCGGAGTGTGTGTGTGTTAACACCACTTCGACCGAGAACAAGGGGGATGTCCGAAAAAAAATTCCGGAGATAACATGATTATACAAGCTTTTAGAGTACACAATCCTTCCATGAATCATCGAGACCTGGCGAATAAGCCACTCAGCGGAGCCACGGAGTGGTGATGGTGGAGGAATCGCCGGAGTTGCGGAGTTTGTATGGGAACGCATGGACCGTCAGCCCTAAGTATGCAAAGCCCAAGTATGAGCAGCAAGTCGTCAGCAATTGGAAAAGAACATAAATACAGAGATGTCTGTCCTCTCAAATCCTCATCAACAACAATTCCAATCTCACAACAAAGCATTCCATTCCAACCTCAGAACACCCAGTTCAATCCATTCCAATCAAGTCAAAGTCAAGATGTCTCCCGCCCGCAAAGCCCTCATCAGCATTACCTCCGCGCAAGCGACCCTCTTCCAAGGCAAAGAAACAACAGGCCTCTTCATCAGCGAAGCCCTGCACCCCTACAACGTCCTGGTAGCCGCAGGATTCGAAGTGGATCTCGCCTCCGAAACAGGAAGCTACACGGCAGACTGGCTCTCCCAGCAACCGGACTTCCTGAACGGCGACGACCTCGCCACCTGGAACGATGTCAACAGCGAGTTCCGCCAGAAGCTGGACAACATGCCCAAGGCGTCTGAGGTCGACGGGTCCCAGTATGGTGTTTTCTATGCCTCGGCTGGCCATGCCGCTTTGATCGACTATCCCACTGCTAGCTCTTTGCAGAAGATTGCTGAGCAGGTCTGGGCTAATGGCGGTGTTGTTGCTTCTGTTTGTCATGGTCCTGCTATTTTTGCGAATATTCTTGATACTGCTACTGGGGAGCCGATTATCAAAGGACGCACCATTACCGGGTTCACTACTGAGGCGGAGAATACGATGGGTATTATGAGCGATTTGCGCAGCTGGGGTGGTGAAATGGTTGAGGAGCTTGCTGTCAGGCTTGGTGCGAAGTGTGAGTTTGTCCTATGGTCGAATATAATGCTGCGGTTCTAGTACTGACTTTGGTTATAGACGAGCGCTCTGCGGGAATTTGGGATGACTTCCATGTCGTTGATGGCCGTCTAGTTACTGGCCAGAATCCTGCCAGTGCTGGATCAACTGCTAAGGCTGTGGTTGAAGTTTTTGAGACACTCTGAGTGGGCTAGATGTGATGAAGTAGTATTTGTTGCATAGACTTTTTGTTGTTTTGCACTGCGTTGATAAATTATGAATCTCATTCTTTAAGAAGCTCTACCTATCTCTATTCTCAAATATATTAAGCGCATATAGATATGCACTCGAGATGTTCCCTCGCGACAGCTGTAAATGTGGAAGCTTGTAGCCCTAATCAACCTCGAGGGATCAAAACGGGAAGAGGACAAGTTCAGCAATTCAACATCTACATCATTGTATGTAAATAAATAGATAATTTAAATTATGAAATACAATAATTTATATGGATGTGGAGTTACAATGTAACAAAATCAGAGTGACTCCGATATATAGATCGGCATTTGACTCATAAAGTTCCCGAGACAAAACCCCCCACCCCGCCACTTTAACTCGAACTTGACCTTGAACCTCCATTGACACACACAATGGCATCACAAACCTCCCCATTCAATTTGGCCACTTGTGCCCGCCCTAATATTCTGGCATTGCAGCCTTATCGATGCGCCAGAGAGTATGTCGCCCTCTCCAATCCACAGAACCAAGCTAATGAGTCAGTGACTACAAAGATGATGGGACCAATGTTCTCCTCGACGCCAACGAGAATGCTTTTGGCCCTGGTCTGGCCTTGAACAGCGAAGGCGCATTGCAAGCCTCGAAAAGCGGCGATGCTACCGGTGCCTCCCAGCCCGAGATCGATTTCCTAGGCTTGAACCGCTACCCCGATCCGTGAGTACATGCTACAATCGCATGGGACAGCCCATCTAACAAAAGCCCCAGTCACCAAATCGAACTGAAGCAGCTCTTCTGCAACCTCCGCAACACCCACCACCATACCCCCAAGACCCTCCTCCCCGCGCACATGTTCTGCGGCGTTGGTTCAGATGAAGCCATTGACGCACTCCTGCGCTGCTTCTGCGTCCCCGGCAAAGACAAGATTCTCACCTGCCCCCCAACCTACGGCATGTACAGCGTCAGCGCGCAAGTTAACGATGTTCAAATCGTCAAAGTCCCACTAGACGCCACAGACGGCTTCCACCTACAACCGGAGAAAGTCAACGCAGCGCTCTCCGCCGACCCCTCCATCAAACTGGCCTACATCTGCTCCCCGGGCAACCCAACAGCGAACCTCATCCGCAAAGAAGACATCCGCAAGGTCCTCGAGCACCCGACCTGGAACGGCATCGTCGTTGTAGACGAAGCCTACATTGATTTCGCGCCCGAAGGCTCCAGTCTCGCCGAATGGGTCACCGAATGGCCCAACCTCGTCGTCATGCAGACGCTCAGCAAAGCATTCGGCCTCGCAGGCATCCGCCTCGGAGTAGCCTACACAAGTCCCGAAATTGCGCTCCTCCTCAACAGCCTCAAAGCCCCCTACAACATCTCCAGCCCGACAAGCGCGCTCGCCTCGGCGGCACTCACTGCCCCCAACATGGCCGTCATGCACAACTATCGCACGCAGATCATTGCCCAGCGCGACCGGCTCCTCCGTGAACTGCCTACGGTGCCGGGTGTGGGTCAGTTCCTCGGTGGGTCGGATGCGAACTTCTTGCTAGTGCAGATTCTCAATGATAAGGGCCGACCGTGTAATGTTACTGCGCTTGCGGCGTATGAGGGGATGGCGGAGAAGAGGGGCGTTGTTGTAAGGTTCCGAGGGAAGGAGCTGGGTTGTGAGGGTTGTCTTCGTATTACGGTTGGTACGGAATCGGAGGTTACGAAGTTCCTGCAGGAGTTGCGGGTTGTGTTGGGGGGGTTACGTGACGGGGCTGGTATCGCTCTGGATGAGGAGGCGCGGGAAGAAGAGGCGGCTGCTGTGGTTGGATGAGGACTGCGCGATTAATTATCATAAGGTTTGGGAGATAACTCCTGATCCTTTGGGGCGAAACTTATCATTTCATCCATGGGTGTCTATCTGATAGATAGCACAACCAACCTATTTAACTAGGTAGAGGACTATTTAGTTCGATCATAGAATCATAGAGTACGGAGTACGGAGTCCATACCTAGTCCACATTGCAGCCACATAATAGGTTCAATGTAACTCGCTTATCAACTCAAGTCATTGGCTCGATACTTGTATACAGCCCTGTCTCTCCCGAGGTCTCTTACAATCTTGTAAGGGATGTAATCGGGTACATGTGTCTGTAGATGTCACACCATAGTCCAACAGGGTAATAGTCCACGTGTAATATACTTTTCTCAATTCCCCTTACTTTGGAGATTTTATATCCGATGAATTTATAGTATTAATTAGTGTTATATAGCTACAGAGTACAAAGTGCTAAGGATCCCAGAGTCAAATAGCCAAGGCCGTTTCCCCCCGTTACCAATCCCCGCAAAATGTCAATTAGAGCAATCATGGATTATTGGGCTAATGGTCCTTTTTCCTTTTTCGCCATGATAATCCTGGACGGAGTAACTCGAGACTACCTACCTAAGTACGGAGCACGGAGCAAGTATAATAACATTGTAAGCTCACCGACATATCTGACTCGCTTAAAAAAGATCTAATTGATCGGATATTATATGACTTGTCTAGAACATAGTGTCGTCAAAAAGCCCAGCCCTGGAGATTAATCAGTCCAATATCACTGGTAAACCCGCACTTTCTTATCTGTGGCTCAATATACACTTCTGCTTGATTCTTGAGTTTCCCTTGGGTTTCCCCTCTCTTCGCTCTAAAAGGCAACTTATAGAACATTTGAAAGTTGAACTTCTTAATTCTCCCCAATTCTCCCCTTACTATCATTATATTACCACATCCCACATCTCCCAGAATCGATCTTCAATTTAGTCTCAGCGATCTGCCCCCCATACCCGTTACCCTAACTCCACTCTTCGGCACAGCCATGTAAAGCATCGCCCTGCGAGTTACTCGGTATCGGGGATCATGGCCGACATGTTGATCGCGCGTAATATCTACCCCGACAGCCCACCTGCTATGCAAACCAGGCTCCAGATCAATCCGACTCTGATGATGAGCTGGTGGGCTACGGGCTTTTCCTTGGCCATCATTATCGTGCGCCTATTTGGCCGCTACATTCGCGTCGAACGCTTCTTTCCAGAAGACAAGGTTATGATGATCAGCGTCATTCCCTTGACCATTCGTATGGTCTTAGTGCACTTCGTTCTCGTCCTGGGAACAAACAACACCACAACGACAGGCTTGACCGAACAAGATATCCTAAATCGCGAGCTGGGGAGCAAGCTGGTTCTTGCCGCGCGCATCTTCTACGCAATCTTGTAAGACATGACCTTCCCAAGCTCTACCTGCTATCCTATAAAACAACTCAATCTAACGACCCCTCCCAGCATCTGGACAGCCAAAGTGACAGTCTGCGAATTCCTCAAAAGAGTAACAGGGCTCCGCTGGCGCCGTTCAACAACCCTCTTTCTGAACTTCATCTCCATCTTCCTCTTCTCAACCCTCGTCGCCGTGGTAATCGCCACTCTAGCCGAATGCCAACCCTTCACCCACTACTGGCAGGTCGTCCCAGACCCAGGCCCAAGCTGCCGCACAGGCTACGTGAACCTGATAACAATGGGCACCTGCGACGTAATAACAGACCTCCTCCTCGTCGCCTTCCCAGTCCCCATCATCCTCCTCGCCCAAATGCCCCTCAAGCGCAAACTCGCCCTCGTCATCCTCTTCGCCCTCTCCCTAATCCTAGTCGCCATAACATCCTACCGCGTCCCCTCAGTCATAACCCACTCCGGCTCCCAACAATACCGCTCCCTCCTCGCCTCCCTCGAAATCCTCGCCGCAACAGCAGTCTCAAACGTCCTAGTAATAGGCTCCTTCGTCCGCGACCGCGGTATCAAAAAATTAAAATACAAACGCGCTCACGCGGACGCCTCAATCTCAGAATCAATGGACAAATCCTTCCGCAGAAATACTATCATGCAGAACCAGTGGGGCTCGGACTCGGACCTTGCCTCTGGTCTCGGCATCCGTCTAGACCCAGAAGCTTATGCCCTCCCGCCCACTCTCCCCCTCGCAGTCGCCCGCACAGGCTCAATAGACCCGTCCTGGTCTTTCCGCTCCCGCGATGATGACGACAACTCCTCCGACAGCGGAGAGTTCAAGGCTCCCCACGAGTACCTCCGCACATCCCAGTCCCCCCGAGACCGCGACCTCCCGTCTCCGCGCCGCGTATCGTTCTCAGATGTCGGCGGCTTGCTGAAGAAGCCACTCCATGAGAAGCCCGGCCATGCACGCTCCCAAACTCTTGCTCCGCCTGAGGTGGCGCAGCGCCGCGGCGGGAGTAGGGCTTTTTTGGAGGACTTGGGGATCTTTGGGCTTGGGGTTGCGCCAGCGGCTTTGGCGCGGCGGGCGGCCGGGTCGGGATCTGGGTCTACGGAGACTGAGCTTGATACTGGTGTTGAGTTGCAGGATGTTGGGGGGCTGTTGTCGAGGCCGAGGTCTTGAGTATATAGTATGATGTTATGTGATATGATGGGTGTCTTTGTATGGACTGAGTTGGTGGGCTTTTTGGGAGTTTGGTCTTGGACGTCTTTGTATACCCGATCCTGTGTATCTGTCTTTCTTACTGCCTGCCGGTTTTTCATTCCCCTTCTTGCGTTGGTAGCGTTGGCGTTGAGAGTTCGCCTCAGGTGTTCTTGGTATGCTTGGGCATGTATGGTTGGGACTCTTTTTCTTTTTGTGGCTGTTGTTAATAATGTACCCCTATTTGATCTACATACACTTATGACACGATATGACCATATATTGAGCCAATATATTCGATCACATGATGATGTTCAACCCTGAAGTGTCACGCATCAGTCTGCAGTTTGCAATGCCGCACTGCTACATCTAGATAGTGACCAAAAGAGCCCAGCTATAATCTACGAGTTGTTGGTGAGACTCAACCAATTGGAAAGCCATTCATACAATAGATTGTTTTCATCTAGACATAGATCAAGGGCGATGTAAATCACAGGCAAACCCCCAGCGAACCCCCAAAGCAGGAGAAACATCAAACCTGTACGCCTTGCTGCCCATAATACAAGGGGTAGACCAAAACTTTTTTTTGTCTTTGTGTAAGGTTGCATGGATTAAAAAAAAGATAAAACTCCCAAGTATCCACTTCTCTTTTGGTATCTCACCGTGCAGCCCCGAATCTGACTGACGAAATCCCAAAGAATAAGGACCCGTCATATCGCCTCGAGATGCCGAAGTGGAAAATGCATTGCAAATTTGCGAGGGGGCACGAAACCATTAACTCGCCGGGGTGAGTGCAAACCCCCAAAACTCAACAAAAGGCCCAGCTCAAGGAAACCCAACTCAAATAACCCACCGGTAACTAGCGTAGCGGCCCGCAGTCTCAGACTTGCGAATAATCTTGACAACCTGCCCACGGCGCAAGCCCAAGTACCGAGCAACGGGGTCAGAAACCTGTATGCGGGGAAGCTGGGATTCCTTGAGGCGGTAGCGCTCCAGGAGCCGGGCCTTTTCCTCAGGGCTGAGAAGGACGTGCTTGGGCACGAGCTCGTGGCGCGTGATGTTCACCAGCAGATCCTGTTCCTGAAAGTGCTCGCAGATGCGGCCGGGGACGCCACTGAGAAGGCGCACGGCAGACGGGGAGATGGGTGTCTGCGTGATGAAAATTCCGGTGTGGAAGTTATTTTCGTCGACTAGGTGGTTGAACGCGCGGACTTGCTTCGTGCCTACACCTGAGGCGTCCGGGCAGAAGTCCACGTAGATGGTGCCGCAGTCGGGTTGCGGGTTGGGGTTGGCTTTGCTGGGGAGAGCTGTGTACTTCATCTTCATGAGTTCGGTGGGTCGGGCTTGGATTTTCATTTTGGTGCGGCTGTGCGGGGAGGTTTGTTAGTTTGGAGGTGTTTTTTTTCTCTCTCTTGCGCTAGGCACTGATTTGCTTGGTTTTATTTCACTTTGCAGTTCAGTGTTGGAGGCGCAGGGGTTTTGACGTACTCGGCGAAGCCCAGAGGGTCAGAATATTTTTCGCGGAAGTCTGCTAGTGGGAGCGCAAGCTCATTATCAGAAACTTCGTAGCCCTGATGCAATGAGTAGTTAGCATTGACTTTAAGTTGCGATAGCTCCTGACTTGTCAGGGACTCGGTCTGAGTGTGCCTACCCGGTCTGCGAGCAATTCATAGACAGTTCTAAAGGTGCGCCAGAGGCGAGTCATCTCGCGCTCAGCCTCCATGGAGTGAGCCCCTTCTCCATCCATGGTGAAAGAGTTAATATGGATGTGAATGAAAGTGGTAGATCTTATCGGAGAGAGGACGAAGAAAAAGAACGGGGTAGAGAGAAGCTCCGAAGAGATACAGATGAAGTTCGAAAAATCGGCGGGAAATTCTGCCAGCGACACTTTAAGCGGAGAAACAGACCGAACCAATTTAATTATTCCCAAGTTCCCCTTTTCAGTTTCCCGTTGGCATCATCTTTGTGGTCTTATAAAATACTTTCGGTGTCTTCTTTCCTTTCTCTTCTCACTCTCTTTTTGCATTGAACTCGTCGCAATGGCTACTGATGCGGAGCGGGTTAAGCCCACCAAGCCCGATGAGGCCGCCTACAAGATCGCTCTCGCTGAGGCCGAGAAGTTGCACACTGCTGCTCAGGAGAAATTGGTATGCTAATTGCAGTCTTTTGGTTACTGGGAGGTTCCGTCTGATAATGGGTTGGATGATCCCGACCCACTCAGAGTTGCCCTCGTGTCCACCATTTACTTGTATATCACGGGCCGATGACTGATATGCGCCACAGAACCAAATCAAAGCCAAGTTGGACAACGCCCAGCCTAACAACAAGGACTCTCCCGCCAGCAAGAAGCAGCAGGAACTGCGCGCCGAACTCTCTTCCATCCGCTCCAAGCAATCCGGTTTCAAGTCCGGCCGCGCCTCCATCCAGGAGAAGATCAACGCCCTGGACGCCAATCTCAAGGCCCGCATTGCCGAGCAGAACGCCAACCGTGGCCGTCTGTCATTCAAGAGCGTCGAGGAGATCGATAAGGAAATTGCCCGCCTCGAGAAGTCCGTCGACTCTGGCACTCTCCGCTTAGTGGATGAGCGCAAGGCCCTCACCGAGGTCTCCAACTTGCGCAAGCAGCGCAAGAGCTTCGCCGGTCTTGACGATGCTCAGAAGGGTATTGACGACACCAAGGCACAGATTTCTGAGCTGCGCAAGACCCTCGACAACCCCGAGGCCAAGGCCCTCAGCGACAAGTACAACGAGATCCAGAAGGAGCTCGACGTCATCAAGGCCGAGCAGGACGCCGTCTTCAAGAACCTGAACGCTCTGCGCGACGAGCGCACCAAGCTGCGCAACGACCAGCAGTTGAAATTCACCGCCATCCGCACTATCAAGGATGAATACTATAAGGCCCGTCGTGCCTACAAGGAATACGAGGATGAGGCCTGGCGCGTGCGCCGCGAGCGCCAGAAGGCTGAGCGTGACGCATTTGAGCGTGAGAAGCGCAAGAAGGTCGCCGACAAGAAGCTGGAGGAGGCTTCCCAGCTTGCCTACACTGATGAGATCTTGACTGCCCAGGGCCTGATCCGTCACTTTGACCCCGCTTATGACTTTTCCACTCTTGGTCTTGATGAGAAGAAGGATGAGGGTAGCAGCTTCCGTGCTGGAGTTGGCCGCACCGTTGAGGCCGCTGAGATTAAGGGCATGAAGGTCGTCCGCAAGGACGACGAGGAGGACTACTTCGTTGGCTCTGCTGGCAAGAAGGGCAAGAAGGGCGGCAAGAAGGCCCCCGCTGCTGCCGAGAGCAAGTTCAACATGAACGTTGGCATCATTGAGGATTTCGCCAAGGTCAAGATCGACCCTCCCATGACCCAGTCGGATGTCCCTGCTGCGGTGGAGAAGCTGGCCGCCAAGATCACCGAGTGGAAGAAGAACCAGGCCAGCAAGACCGAGGAGGTAAGTTTTATTCTTTGCCGATGCTATTATGATTAGCTGCTAATAGTTATGCCGCAGAACATCAACAAGGCCAAGGAGGAGATTAACCGCCTGGAAGAGGAAGAGGCCAACATCTCCCAATCCAACGGCCGAGCCACTGACGCTGCCAAGAAGCCCGCCCAAAAGAACAGCGCCCCCTCAGCGGAGGCTGAGTTGGCTCAGGAGCAAGATGCCGTGGCTGACGTCTCCGATGAACTCAAGAATGCCGCCATCGAGGAGAAGGCATAGATCTGATGGTATTTCCGGTACATGTCAACGCATTCAACGTACATGAAGTCTAGCGTTTGCCTAGCATTCTCCTTGTCCTTTTTTCTTTCTTATTTATCGTTTGGCTCTTGCATATGCATTATATCTGAGGTTTATAAATGGACAGCTGGTTGTTTCCAAAAGTCATATTCTAATTGAAGCCTTCATCCAGAAAGCAAAAACTAGCCTAACCATCTAGTAATACACATAAATGGATTCCTTATGAATCCTCATATCAATTTCTTTTTAACAAAAACAAAAACCCCAACATTACACCAGTGTCAAGAGTGTCAACACGCATACAATGTAAATCCCAGACTCAATGCGGGGGGTGACTGCAGCGGCTAACTAGGTTTACTAACCGCCTACAATACAGAAAGCAGCCCTGTTAGTGGAGACATCGAAATCCATAACCTACACTAAAGGGATACACTAAAGGGAGCCCATATGCAGAGGACATAATCATGAAGCCTAAACCAAAAATAATCCAGGCTGAAGCATAACCAATGATCTATATACAAAACCGGAACTGAAACTGGTTGACTAAGCTGCCGAGTCCCCCGGCCACTTCAATGAGGAGCGAACCTTTTGCGATCGCCACGTTTCTGATCTCCCTCTCCTATTCACATTTGCATCCAAATCTCAATATACCCATCTTGCCCTAGAGACCCAGAAACCCACTCAACCAAGATCGTCGCTAATTCAATATCCACACAATCTCCACAATGTCATACTACCCCGACAACAACAAGCCCGTAAGTCGAACCACCCACCCTAATAAAGTACTGACCCCTAACAACCCCAGATGAGCCCTCCGCCTTCCTACCCCCAACAGGGCTATCCCCAACATGGGGGCGCCCAGGACTACTATAACCAGCCGCCGCAGGGCTATCAGCAGGGCTACCCTCCGCAGGGCGGTTATCAGCAGGGCGGCTATCCGCAGAGCTATCCCCCACCCCAGATGGTATACCCGCCCCAGGGCCAGCAGCACGATCAATCGAGAGGCAGTAGTAGTGGCGGCATCTGTGCGGGTATTCTGGCTGCGTGCGCTTGTTGCTGCTGTTTGGATATTCTGTTCTAAGCGTTTTGGGACGATATATGTGCTTTGATTCAATGCTATCTGCCAAAGTTCGGCCTAGAGCTATGCGCTGGTGTTTCTATGATCCTTTTCATGCTCATGGCTTGGGTTTGCGGCGGCTTGCGCCTGGGGCGGTTCACTCTGGAGTATATATCCCTGACCTTCTTTGTTTATTGGCGCAACAGGACGGCGTTTGCGGGTCCTGGCTGGGCTTGGCTATACTGCGTGCTCTCTCTTTCCTATGTACGTTTCTTGATAGACATATGTTCAAACCATTCTGTCATGCCTACTGAAGGAATCCTTGTTTTTGGTGCTCGTGGTCACAGTTTTACAACACCATTGATTGGATTTAGATATAAATACCTATCTCAAGTAGGACATAGGAATACAAGCACATTATAGATAAATATCCAGAGCCTTGTAATCAAATCACCGCATAGATCACATTCATTAAACATTTTCACCATAAATCATAGCACACACAAGGGGGTATTGCAAATTCTCAACCCCGCCGACTATCATAATCACTTTCCCCCCCATAAGCCAGCGGATCAACATGCCTAACCCCATCATGGGGCCTACGTCTTTCCCTCGACCTCCTCCTTGGCAGCTGGGACATAACATCCGAAGCAGCAGAACTACTCTCCTCATAAACCTCGATCAGATCGCCATCCGCATCCCCGGTAGCAGAAGTAGCCAGCGACTCCTCGACAACAATGTGATCATGCCGACTAGTCGGCCTGCGCCGGTAACTATCGCGGAATGTGTCCCGCTCTTCGATGACCTCGACCTCGTTGTGGGGGCGCGGCCGCCGCCGACTGCGCACCGAGCGCTCGTCGTCCATCGACATCGTCACGGTGGATGAGGTCGGTGCTGGGCCGCGTTTCAGTGCGCCTGGGTTTACCGCTAGGAAGAGCACGTACATTAGCAGTACAAAGCCTGCTACGCTGCCCAGCACGATGCCCACGACTGTGCCTGCTTGGGGGCTGGAGTTTAGTCGGCCATAGGTTGAAGGGATAGAGATTGTTGTGTAGCGTTTTTCCAAGGGGGTGTCCAGGAGGCGTGGGTTTGGTTTAGAGGGGTCGAGGTTTAGTTCGAGGGTTGACATTGTGGTGTTGTTTGTGGGGGTGGGATGAGATGGGTTGTGAGGTTGTGAGGTTGGGTTGAATTGGGATTTGAGCGAGCACTCGGGAAGAATCTCAGGTTGGGCTCGATTTCATGGGTCTAGAGATGCGGATATTGGATTTGAAAATCACAATATGCATCGACAGCATCAACAGAATTTGAAAAAAGAGGCCTCGAGATCGAAAAGGGCGAGGTTGGGGTGGCTGGGATCTGTGGAGAAGTGGAACCCGATCTACTTTATTTTGTCTCACTTCACTACTTTATTGTTTCTACTTCACCACAACGTACTTCAATATCAATCAATTCCTCATCACTGAACATTGAGAGTTCTCATTCATAAAATTATATACCCTCAAACTAATAAGCCCCCTTCCGCTTCGCATACTTAGGCTGAGGAGCCTGCACAACCTCACTCAAAGCAGTCAGCACAGGAGTAGTACCAACCAAGTCGAAACTCTCCAACTTAGCACCATCCTCCTGCAGCGCCCAAAGACTCAAAGCCAGATAATTAGTCCCCCGGTAATTGAGAATACCCTCCGGAACCGGGAAACTCGTCTGCGGACCAACATTACTCACATACTTACCGTACTGGTATCCATTGACATAGAGCTGGGCACGATAAGCCGCCGCAGCCGTCGAATTCCCAAAGTTAAAGTAAAGAGGAACATCCCAGCCCTTCTCGATATCGAGATCGAAGCTCGCGCTGTAGAACTTGATGCCAGGCGCCGACAACCCGTCAAAGGGACTCTCAGACTTCCAGCTCTGCGTCGGCGGCTGGGGCTGGTGGAAGCCCTGGCGCTCAGCGTAGAGACCGCCCTCATTGAGCGGGCCGCGGGCGGTATCGAGGAAGTCCTCGCCACCAAGGTTGCCCGTCAGCTTCCAGGTAATGTCACTCGCGGACCGGCCCGAAAGCTGGTAGTCCAGGATGCCTCGGGGGTCTTTCATGTCTTCTGTGCCGATGGTCCAGTCCTCGTCCAGGCCCATGTTGTCGATGACAACGGTGAGCACGTACGACTTGCCTTTTGTTAGCGTTGGCAGCGTGTAGGTGGCGTTGTAGTCTGCGTCGATGGAGATTCCGGCCCAGGAGCCGACATTCGTGGCGTTCAGCCAGACGGAGCTACCGAATGCGGTGCCGCCTTGGGTATGCAGAAAGAGGGTCTTCTCGTCGCCGGTGGCGACGAAGTGGCCGCGGAAGAGGAGGTAGCCGGTGTGGAAGCCGTAGTCAGAGGCGAACAGGGAGGTTGGGGTCTTGAGGGTGTTGGCGCTATTGAGAGTTTGTGCTTTGTCGGCGGATACCCAGGCAGAGTCGTCGTAAGAATTTTGGATCTCGGGTAGAGTATCGATGGCCTTCCACTTAAGATTCTTCAGGGTAGGGAGCTTGATCTTTGGTGCGGTGTATTTGACACTGCTCGACCAGATTCCGTTCTTGTCAACCTTGACTTGTGCTTTCTTGCCGTTGATTACCAGGTTCTTGGCCTTGGATGGGGCACCAATCACCTCGATGGGTGTGGTAGCGTTGAAATCGGCAGTGAGGTGAAGATCGCTTCCCTGCACGTAGGCAGTTCGCACAAGGTAGCCGGCCTTGACGATAAGGGACGAGGCGATGGCCTTTTCCGAACTATAGCCAGGAGCCGTGCCAGAAGTTTGGAGCTGAGGAACCCAGTAGTTGTAAGCAGAGTTGCGGTCTAATATATGTGTTAGTTGTGTAAAAGCAAAAAGAGATGTTCGATAGAGCACTAACCCAGGAGAAGAATCTTCAGGTCTCCAACCTGAACAATGCGGCGAGTGGTAGATACATCCCAGCCGATCACAACAGCCTTGCCCACTTGCTTGGTGGTGATGCCGGACGATGAGCCTTCAATGACGGAAGCCTTGGATGTGGAGGAGACAGCCAACTCATGGTGCTCACCAGGGCCACCGTACAATACCAGAAATTTCGAGCTTCCAGACTTGGTCCAGGTGAAGACCTCGGCAGAGGAGTAGAGGACGTTGGTACCCGCGACATCATAGTCAACGACGTGAACCTTGGAATCACGACCACTGAGAGTCAGGCTTCCACTCAGCTGGGGAATGGTAAGTTGGCCAGCGCTGGTAGGAACCTTGAGCTTATAGTCGACAGACGCTTGGCTTGAGTAGTCATTGTGTCTGACGACGAAGAAAGACGAAGCCGTGCTATTGCCTCCGAGCAGGGGAGTCACAGCCAGATCAGACGACGTGGTGTATTCGGTGGTGGTCAGACTTCCTGGTGTGGATAGCAGGTATGATGGAGAGGCTCTAGCGAAGTTTCCGATCAACTTGAGTTCGCTGTACTTCTCGCGGGTAATGTTACGGGACTCGGAAATTGGAGAGCCGTAATCGTAGGATGTGTATCCTCCAGGGTGACCCAGGTTACCCCAGTTGGTACCGCCGAATATCTAGCAATGTCAGATTTGTTTTGGCAATCACGATGGGAGAGAGTAGCATACCATGTACAGATTGAGGAATGCAACCCTGAAGCTAAGGTTGTTCTTGTAGAACACTCTCTCGAACTCATGGTTCAGGAGGGCAGCGCACTTAGTGAACCCGACGCCTCCCCAAGGATCGAAAGCTCCACCTTGGAACTATACTTCAGTTAGATGCATTCAAATTTCTCAAGCGAATGTATAACATACCTCGACAAGCGAGTACGGGGTGGCAGGGCTTTGGCTCATGTGCGTAGTGTAGAAGTCAGTGGGTAGATTACCCGATGGCCAGGTGGAAGGATTCGCGCAGTCAAAGCCAAGAGGATAGCTATCATGACCGTAGATATCAACGGCACCTTCGCCAGTTCCGGGAGCATTGTGACCAGCACCCCAGGCGTCGTTGCTAATGAGAGGGACAACAATCCCAGCCTTGCGAGCTTGATCTTCAACATATTGCATATAAGCACCGTCGGGGAAGTTGTCAACGCCACAGCAGGCACCACTGTATTCGTTCTCAGGCTGGAAAAGAATGATAGGTCCTCCATTCGTGATTTGAGCCTTAGCGATTGTGGCACCAACATTTGCCATGTAGCTAGAAAAACACGTCAGTATCCATTTTCACTTTGTAAGCGAGCTTCAAGAATCACATACTTGTCTGTAGCCTTGAGATATGCCTCGTCGCTAGTACGCAGGGTTCCATTCACACGCTGCAACCAACCTGGGAAACCACCACCCGATGATTCGGCGTTAATATAGGGACCAGGGCGGGCGAGAAGATAGATTCCGGCTTCCTTGGCAGCATCGAAGAATGGCTCGAGGTCAAAGATTCCCTCGGCGCTGTAGTGACCCGGCTTGCCTTCTAGTAAGGCCCAATCGACGTAGAAAGAAACACAATTGAATCCGAGAGCCTTGACCTTTTGGAAGACATCAATGTATAAAGACGCAACAGGCAGACTGCGAAGAATTCAAATCAGCTACTTGTATCCTTAAACCCAATTCCAACTGATGCAGAATAATAACTCACCGGTAAGGGTGAAATTCACCACTAAACAGCATGATTCTCTCGCCATTGACAAATAAAGACTTAGAATCCCAGGTGACCTAAATACTGATCAACACAAAATTCCCCAGAAGAAGCAACATCAACATACGTATTTTTGGAGCAAAGCCCGCTTAACAGGATCCGGATGCTCAGTAATACTAAAGCCATTAAGCGAATGGCTAATAGCAGCACCAGCAGCCTGAGCCGCCAGACAGGCTACAGCCCAAGTAGACAAGAGCTTCATGGCTCAGGGTATAGGGAGGAATGAAGAAGAGGCGTGACTCAATGCAAGGCAATGCAGGGGCAGAGGCTATACATATAACCCTGGAAGGAGATTCGGGGCATCGTCACCCGACGTTCAATAGCCGATTGAGCATGCAATGCGCTGCACCAAGCTAGTGGTCGTCATTTAGACAGTTGAGGGGTGTCCCGGGTGCTCCATGCAGTAGTGATGGTAGTGTTGCATGTCATCCAAGCCTCACTGGTAACCGGGCCGAAGATCCCTTCCCCAGCTCCAGAAAGAACCCTGCAAGCATTGCGGGGCACCGCCGCAATTTTTCCGCATATCGTATGGCTGGAAGGGATATTGCCTTGTTTGGACGGGGAGTGATGATCTTCTATTTATTTTTTGGGCTCTGCGCTTCATGAACTACATACAGTTTGAAGAATTCGTATAGAGCTCATGTAAAGCTCTACAATATTCGCTCTTCAGACTTTTCAGATCCAATGTCCATCACAATGCCAATACCAATGGCGCCATTCAGATTAATTTACTTGAAGTTGCAAGACACGATGCGGGGAAGCTGTCAATAATTTAGCCGGCGCAATTAATCCTACCGATGATTCTCCGACGGGGTGTAGATCGCTCGGGAAATGAAATGACGAATTCATGAAATTGGGCTTTTAGTACATCGAACATTCGGTGTCTCCAATGGAGCACGTAATAAGAAAGTAAACCACCTAAACAGTGGTGTTGAAACGATCCTCCTCATCGCCATCTTTGGTGTATGTCTCCCGTTCATCAACAGCATCCTGGGCATCCTGGCCAAGCTCGACGTTCTCCTCTTCCATCGCAAGCTCCTCGGCCTCAGCGGTCGGTACAACATCTTCAGTCTTCTTGTATGTGGTGTTGATGAGGGGGGTGGAGTCGTTGAAAATACGCAGCAACATGGCGCGACGCTCTTCCTTGGGAAGCATAAGGTTCAGGGAATGGGCAGAGCGCCAGAGAGGCAGCACCATAGGTTCACTGTAGGAGAATATCAGTAAACTGTACAACTCAATCTGAAACGGAAAACTCACGTGAGGCCATCCTCGGCACCGGTTGCTTCAACGCGCAGGATACTGCATCCCATGGGGATATCCTTGACACGCTCACCAATCTCACCCAGAGACTTCCAGCCATCGTCGGAGATCTTGGGGAACATCTCCACGAGAAGACGACGCAAGGTCTCCTTCCTAGTCAAAATGACAGAGCGGTCAGGACCCAACCAGGGCTCAGCAATCTTGAGACCATCGGTCTGAACACGCCACCTGCAGACGTTGTCTCGCTGTGCGTCCTGCTTGACAAACATCTTCACGCCGCAGTGGACAAACTTCATACCCTGGCCCTCGTTAGAGGTCAGGATATCGCGCGCGAGAGCACTAGTGTAGTAAACGGTGCGGGTTGGGAGACCCTCAGCATTGCGGACCATGAAACGGTCACGGGGGAAGCGGTCCGACAGCTTGTAGAATTCGTAGATAGGACCGAGCTCCTCGTGGTTGGGATCAAGGTACTTGAATGGCTCCTCTTGACGGGGTCCCTTCTTCTTCAGCTGAGTGGGAGCTGCAGCTGGTGTGCTGTCACCAGGAGTCTGAATGCCGGTTCCCCCTGAAGGTGCGGGAGTGTGGACTGGTCGGTCACCGACGAGGACCTCACTGCCATCGTCGAGCTTGGTTCTCTTGGTAGGAATTTCTTCTTCGAGGTCACTTGCCTCGCGCTTGGGGAGGGAAACGGAAGTCGACTCGTTAAGGGTAGCAGAGTAAGGAAGTTGGTGAGAAGCCTGGGCAACAGTGGCATTCTTAGCAGCCTCAGCCTCGGCCTCTTGATCGGGAGTGACAAGTTCATCCAAGGTCTCAAGCTTCTCCAGGGGCTCTCCATTAGTCTCAGTCTTCTTAGCATCAAGCTCCGCGGCGAGAGCTGCAACAGAGGCCTTGGGAATAACGTTGCTGTTCTCAGGCTTGGCGCGAATCTCAGAGGTCTTCTCAAGAACTGTGATGAAGAAACCGCCAGTATCCTGCTGGTGAGGGTAGACACGCATGCACCGGTCCAAGGGCATATCGGCATTCTCGCCAGTGGGTGCGAACATACCCTCTGCGAGTCTGGCAAGACCGTTGATGCCTTCCTGGTCACGGTGCTGCTCAACCTCCTCCCAGCTGTTCCACATGCGGCCTTCGCGGTCCATGACCTTCCAGTTGCGCAGACCAGTGGCTCTCTTCAAACCGGGCAATTCTTGGCTGCAATCAACGATTTTGACATTAGCGGCACCGCCGCAGCGTGCAATGGCAGTGGCGACGATAGCCTCGTTCTCCACAGGGTTCAGACTGCAGGTGGAGTAGACGACGCGTCCACCAACCTTAAGCATCTGCAAAGCGCGGACCAGGATGCGAGACTGAATGCTGTAGAGTCCGAGAGCATTGCCAGGAGTCCAGTCCTTCCAAACACCGGAGTTCTTGCGAGCAGTACCGTCTCCGGAGCAAGGAACATCAGCAAGGATACGGTCAAACTTCAAGTATCTGTTCTTGGGCTTGCTGCCATCTTCAGTGGGCAGGGGGGAAGTTTGATGGAGGGGAACATAGTGGCGTCGTGGTTTGTAACAATCAAATTGGGGGAGGCCAGACGTTTCATTTGGTGAATAAGCATGTGTGCACGCTTGTAGTCGCTGTCGTTGGCAATCAGCAAGCCAGTGCTTCGGCCATCATCGTTCAATCCTTCAGGGCCGAGGGGCTCAGGTCCAGCGTTTCCACTCTTGAGTTGTTCGGTAACTTGAGCAATGGCATCTTCCTCGCCCGCATGAAGGAGTTCCATGAGCTGCGCAGACTTGCTACCAGGGGCGGCACACATGTCGAGAACGGCCATGCCAGGTCTAGCATCGATGAGAAGAGGGGGAATCATGCTGACGACCTCTTGGCGACTGATGTTGCCAACGTCTGTCTCGGCGACAAGGAATTTTTGAAAGGAAGCGAAAGGTGCAAATCGGCGAATAACGTTCTTTGGGGTGGTCATAGACCAGGCGAGCTGGTCGGGGTACCATGCAACTGGGCGCGGCGGCTCAACAAACTCGCCTTCGTATTTGATGGATGTTATTTCAGGGATGTGATGGTCCTTCAAACGTTGTTGCACAGCCAGTGCGTGTCTGGAGATAATCGCAAAGTAGTCAGTATTGCTTAGAACCACTCAATGCGTCAATCGCAAATTTCCAATGGTCAATACATACCCTCGAGAACCAGTAAAGCGGAAACTGTTGGGAAGATCTTTGCGCATGGTAGCCCAGAAGATCTCCCGCTCCTCCTCGGGGAGGAATTCGGGTTCATTGTAGTAACGTTCGAACTTCTCATTTTCTTTCGTGATATCATGCCAATTGGCGCGCGTACGGCCTTCGCCGCCGCCTCCGCGGGCACCACCTCGGCCACCCTGAGAGAAGAGACAAGGTCAGCACACCGAAAGAGTCAAAAATCACATGGAAAGGATGGACATACCTTTTTGCCTCCTCTTTTGCCCATTGTTATGGTATAGTTAGTCTTGCAAGAAAGTGTACTCAAACAGAAAATCCGGCAAAAAATCTCCAGATTGGATTGGGTGATTACGTGATCACGTTTCCGACCCCCCGTGGGCACAGTCGAAACATGATACGCAAGTCCAGCTTAGGGAAGTTCTCAAGATACTGCCGTGCCCAAGCCTGGTGTCTGACACTAGGATAACGAGAAAGGTTGTCAATCACCGATTGCAGTGGGGGGCCTGATGGTGCCTCATCAGGACGTGTGGTCTTGAGGTAGATGGCTTCCGTCTCCGCAAGCCACCTCTCAATCCGGAAAGTGAATTTGCGTGTGTTAGGTTCGTTGACTGCCTCCCAGAACTTCTTTGCAGCCGGATCGAGGCGATTTTCATACGACTGAGACCAAAGAGTTTCATACTTCCGAAGAGTCTCCATATCAAAGGGATCGAGCAACTGTACAGGCTCGGCGCCGTGGCCAAAGAGGCCCGTATCCCTCGCCTGCTTCTTGGTGGCTCTGACACAAATCGTGTGAAGCGAAATGATGCATCCCTTCAATCTGATAAAGAGGTTCCACACCACGGTGTCGTCAATACCGCAAAGTTCATGGAACGGGAGGAATGGGTGGATGAGGTCTGCACTGAGCGAGAGATTTTTACTCAGTTCAGCGGCCTCGTATGATCCAATCAAGTTATCCATGAACATAAACCGTGATAGATTATTCATATGCCCCCAGTCTGGCGAATTGAAGTGAATTGTCTTGCCGTTTTCAAACCACACCCGTTCGTCCCTCATGCAATCAGGGTCGATACCATCTGGCACCTTGATAGGGCACATGGCAATTTGGCGAGACTCATGGCAGAGATGAGCAATGGTTGGCAACTTGCGACTGATGACCCATGCATGTTTGAGATCACGCTCCGGTATGTCGGGGTCACACGGCTCTCCGAACTCGATGACTTGGTCAGGAAGAGCCAACTCCCAGATCACCTCGCGCAACTCAAACGGCAGCGAGAAGAACCGAAACGGCTCACTCATCGTGAATGGATTGGATGAAGCAGACTGAAATTGAGAGTAAAATGAAGCCTTGAAGTGAGAAGGTGTTCTTGGTATTAATGGTTGAGTAGACACAAGGTATGAAGAGGAAAAGAGGAGACATCGAGCCTCTACGCATTTTAAATAAACAAGAATGGCAAGCCATTGAGGGCGGGGAGTTACCTCCACGTAGTGAAGGATCACTTCGAGGGCGGCGTGGTGCGGCGGTATTGATACCTCGACCTCGTAACGATAAACAACGAGATGCATGTATGGGCATACATGTATAAAGTGTCTAAAGTCTCTGGGAACAGCTTATCTCAAGGAACCATATTAGGGATATTTAGCCGCTACATCTTCATGGGGCAGAGGAACCATAAAGAGCTACGAAAAGACTGATACAGAAACGTATAGGATGCCGTAGATATCATACTTTAACAGAACATGACAGACTAGGATGTTTGAACATGATACTTCTAGACCAGATGGCAAATTCCTTCAGAGGCTAGTTAGGACACAATGCGCCTGTCAACTGTCATCGTCCTCTCTGTATAGACAGATAGGGGGAATTCGTCAAGTGATGATAGCCTTTCCAAGGTTGTGTTCCGCCTGTTGGCAGTGATGATAAGCTACATGAAGGGTCTAGATAATTTCGTATTGGAAAGTTAAGGGTTCTTGCACAGCGTCTTGATTTATATCCCGAAGCCTAACTTAATGCCTAGGTGGGTCAATTTTATATCGTTTACAAACCGAGTCGCCGTGTTCATCGCCTATCTCAAATGACTTTTTTGAAGATTTTATTGTGCTTGTTGATGGTCCTGGTTCACGCCTTAGCGTAGAGACAGCATTGAAGGATGCGATTGAGAGACAAGTTAAGACCATGTGATTTACAGTTGAAGAAACAGGTTCGTAGTTTGGGGCTCGTGGTTTAGAGGTACCTCTAAAGCAGTGGTTTAAACCCTTGTAGAACAAACAAAAGAAATAATTGAGTGTTTGCTGCAAAGCAGCAAACCATATAGTCTACTATGGCAAACCATTAATTGCTATTTCACACACGAATTTGGGATCTAACAGCCCCAAGGCAATGATTGATAGTACATTCAAACAAAACCGCCAAAAGCCCAGATTTTCCCTGGTATTCCAACAGCTATTCTCACACGCGATCATATTCTAGAAGAACTTAAGAGATCATGCGGGACATGTCTCCGCGGATGCGCTGGTAGTCAAGGATACCCTCAATGCTACCGACGGCGGACATGGCAAGGTCCTGATCCCACAGCTTGCGGGTAGCAAAGTCCATGACATCCTTCTCGGTGATCTGGCTGACGGTGCGCTCGATGTCTTCGGCGCTCAGGCGACGGCCAGTGGTGATGATCTGGCGGCCAATGTCCTCAGCGACGGCAGTGGTGCCATCAAGAGACAGGAGGATGGAAGCCTTGAGCTGGGCCTTGGCACGCTCAACCTCAGCAGAGGTGACGTTGTTGCACAGACGAGACCACTCGCGGAGAGTGAAGTGGATCAGGTCATCGAGCTGGGTCAGGTTCTCACTGACGAGGTAGATACCCCAGAGACTGAGATAGAGTCAGTATATGTTTATTAATTGAAAAAGACAAACATGATTAATTGAACTTACCCAGTGTCGCTGTAGCTGGTGGAGAAGCTCATGAAGCTGTTGGCGAGGTTGTGGTGGCTAACGTGGGAGCTGAGCTTGCTGCCAAGGAAAGGAGACTGGCCCATGGCGCGGTCCCAGTTACCGACAATAGCCTGGGTGACCAGAGCGGTGAAGTAGTCATCGTCCTTCCAGCTGACACCCTCAACGGCGAGAGCGATGTGAGCGGAGGGGATGGTGTCATCACGGAGACGGACCTCGGAACCAATGAACTCGGGGATGCGCTTCTGCTCAGCAGTGAGAGCGAGGGCGGCGGAAGTAGGGGGCTTGCTGGGGAGGCTACCGAAGTGCTCCTCAGCGAGACGAACGAGCTGCTCGTGAGGAATGCCACCAGCACCAACCAGGACCATGCGGTCAGCAGTGTAGTTGGTCTTGATGTAGTCGGTCAGGTTATCCCGGGTGATGGTCTGGATGTTCTCCTTAGGGCCGAGGATGGTGCGGCCAAGGGGCTGGCCCTGGTAAGCGGTGGCGTGAAGGTGGTCGAAGACAACCTCCTCGAGCTGCTTGTCAACCTCCTCCTGCTCGCGGAGGATCACATCACGCTCACGCTCAATGGCGCTAGCCTCGAGCTTGGAGTTTTGGAGGATATCGGCGAGGATGTCGACGGCCTTGGGGACATCGTTGTTGAAGGCCTTGGCGTAGTAGACGGTGTTTTCCCTCTGTAGTCGCAATTAGTATTTAGTTTGGTGGACGTTGATTGATGGATTCCCGAGTCGTACCGAAGTGTAGGCGTTGAGGTGAGCGCCCATGTTCTCAATCTCGAGTTCCAATTGGTGCTGGGAGCGCTTGTTGGTGCCCTAAACATGTTTATCAGAAAATGCGCTCCGTATTTGTAAGGTTTGGGGGGTCGGACCTTGAAGGCAAGGTGCTCGAGGAAGTGCGCGGTTCCGTTGGTCTTGTCAGTCTCTGCCCGGCTACCGGCATCGATCCAGACGCCGACCGTGGAGGTTTGAGCCCATGGGGAGTGGTCAGTGGCGATCTAAAAATATATTAGCGATGCAATTGACATATTACTTGACCGATCGTACCGTGAATCCGTTGGAGAGAGTGGTGGACTGGGTGGTGGACGGCAACGCAACGGGCGACGCAAAGCCACGCTTGACGGGTTGGATGGACTTCAGGGCCGCACGAGTGCGGAGAGCCTGGTTCAGGTTGAGAGCAAGGCGCCGAGAAGCCATTGGGAACGACTTGGATATGTGGAGGGAGGGGGAAAGGGGAGGGATGGAGAAAAGAGCTGATGGAGACGCCCTGAGGTTGAAGTTCGGAAGTCTGAAATTGTTCGCCAGCTCCCGCCAGCCAATTACATAACCCGCTTTTCCAAACCGCCCTTTCCATCCCGAATACTTCCTTGATTCTTGTTGAATCGCGATTATGGTCTTTATATGGTCTGAGTTGGTTTGTTTTCAATGTGTTATAATTCTTACAATATCACAATTTACTTTGTTGGAAGTTTTATCGACTCAATCTGCCTCAATCTTCAATCATTCGATCCCGGTCATCCAATTTAGTGTCTATTGATTGGCTAGATGGCTCTATCTCATACAAATGTGCTCGCAAAATGCTTAATATTCTCCTTCATGGAGATATCAGCGCAAAATCCCATTTTGAACGCACGCGCAGTATCAAACTGAGGAGTCCAGGATTGCACGATCTTGTCAGTAGCAGCGTCATATTTCTCCTCCACGAGAGCCCGACGTTCCGGTCCACCAACTTCCAGCAATGCATCCAGCATCTGCTGAATACTAACCTTCAAACCAGGGAGATTAACAGATCTTGACTCTCCAAACTCCTCCTTCGGAACAGTGCGGGCATGGATTAAATTCTTGATAATAGTGTGCGGCGAGCAGATCCACATCTCCGTCTCCTTGGCCACAGGCAGAATAGCCTTCTTGCCATGGAATGGCTCGCGGATGATATCACTAGCGAAGCTGCTGGCAGCCTGTGTGGGCTTTCCGGCTCTCACTGTCACTGTTGGCAGACGCACGCATCGGCCGTCTAGGAATCCTCGTCGCGAGTAATCATTCAGCAGTGTCTCGACGATGAGCTTCTGCGATCCATATGACGATGAAGGCACGGGTGGGAAGTTCTTCTCATCAATGACGAATCCAGGGGGTGCAGGGCCATAAACTGCCAGTGATGATGTGAAGACCACCTTTGTTCCGGGAGCGGTGGTGCGTAGCCGGTCAAGGATGTATCGTGTCGAGTCGAGGTTGACTTGGATGCCCAGCTCAAAGTTTGCTTCTGAGCCGCCGGACATGATTCCATGAAGAAGGTAGACTGTTTCGTAGGGACGGGCGGCGGTGATCAATTCGTCGACCTCTTTGGTGGAGGTGAGATCGGCCTTGACACACTTTAGACGGCTTGCAAGTTGTGCGGCAGACTCCGGGATCTCAGGCTCGACCACATCGGTGATTGTCACTGTCGTCGTCGCTGGAGTGCTTGCGAGGAGAGAAGTGGCCAATTCCTGGCCGACGTAACCACCCGCACCGGTGATGAGAATCGACATGCTGGGTATATGGCAATGAAGTTCAAGCAGGATCAATTAAGACAGTTATTTTCTGAATGATGTGGAATAAATGATGCAATTGAACACAAAAATATGCTCAATGAGAATGGAAAACTGGATATGTAACCGATTATATAGTCCAACCGCTTGCGGGGTTGAAGCGGATCTCACTTCCTCCCCCACGCTCGTTCATTCTGTATAACCTTTCCCTGAGCCAATGGTATCACCATATCCTACAAATTTGATCACTAAAGCCAAGTCTCGCGCATCAATTCCGAGCCACTTTACGACATTGGCGAATTTAGTCTCGGTGAGAAATCCGAGTACCGGGACGGCCGGCACAAGTCCGAGAGTTAGTTTGGGGCAGGACGTCGGTTATTGGAATAGCGAAACTCTTGAGTAATTCCTGAACGAGAGAACAAATACCACCATGAGAATATGGCCATCCTTTTAGGGTGGTTTCACGTCGCATCTCTTACCATATTTGTCTGGAAACATATTGCATAAGATTCACAGAAATTGAAAAGCTACGTCTATAATGAATACTCCATGTTCCTACAAATTGAAATGCAACCTTGGAATCATTCCTATTGACTACTGGTTACCTCTCTACCTAGGTAGATACGTAGGTACGGGTATCATACATATGTACGCAGTCCAAGGCTATCTCGGATCAAGGAACTCAGGTGACACATTCCAGCGTGTAACATTCAAAGAAACTAAATTTTGAGAGACGCAGCCAAAAGTACATAGGCAGAAAACCTGTCACGGGAAAGGGGAAAACATTCGATACATCACAGAACACGAGACGCCGAGGGGGAACATGAAAAGAGAAAGGACATGACCGGAGATTAAGACCTTTATGCGGAACGGTTGTAGATACCAGCGACGATACAGTGGTCACGCTCGAAAGGCTCCAGGGTCAGCTGCTCCTTAGGCTTAATCTTCTCCTCACGCATCTTCTGGACCTCCTTAGCGAAAACAACCTCGGGCTTGGCTGTGCTGTCAATACAGTTGGCCTTGACAGAGACGACGACACCACCCTGGTCCTTGAGGAACATGTGGGCGTTGAGGCCAACAATACGGGCCTGATCGGGCTGGGCAACATCGGCAAAGATGACATCGACCATGGGCACGAGCATGCGGTAACGAAGAGGGTGACGGGCATCCTCAACGATAGGGATGACGTTGGTGCGGTGAGTGGCCATGCCAATCAGATCACGGCCGGAGCGGTGAGAGAACTCAACGGCGTAGACGTTACCGGTGGGACCAACAATATCAGCGACGTGAGAGACGGAGGTACCGGAGGCGGAACCGATGTAAAGAACCTTGGCACCGGGCTTGATGTAGATGTCGTCAAGACCACCGAGAACACCAGCAGCAAGCTGTTGGAAAGAGTGATTAGCGAAAAGGTTGGAGGAATGTAAGGATTGAAAAAATCGAGAAATTCTTGATTTTTCGACTTTTGATCAATCCAGTAAAAGGAAATGTATTTACCTTGGAGCGGAAGGGGTTCCAGACACGGTACTCGACCTTGGTGACGGCACCGTCCTCGCTGGAGGGACCCTCAACAGAGATACGCTTCTCGCCGTATACAGCCTCACCAGGGGTCAAGTTCTTAGTGACCAGCATGTCCTCCTTGCCGCCACGAGCGACGAAGATACCAGCGTGACGGTGGGGCTCCTATTGATAAGGAAAAAATCCGTCAGTAGCTGAATCTTATGTCAATTGACTTTTCGAATACTCACGATGACAACCTTGGCACCACCACGGGCACCACCACCACCGCGGGGAGCACCACGGCCACGGGGAGCACCACGGCCGCCGCGAGGGGCACCGCGGCCACCACCACGGCCACCACGATCACCGAAGCCACCACGGCCACCACCACGGCCGCCGAAGCCACCACGACCACCACGATCACCGCCGCCACGGCCACCGAAACCACCTAGATCAAGGACTCGAGTCAGCAAAGTTACTAGATTATAGCATGCGGCAAGCAGATTGTAGCCACCGAAGTGGGATGTTTTATCTGCATGCTTGCGGCTTGGACTGAATTGGGCTGAACAAACCACGACTGCCGCCACGGCCACGGTCACCACCGCCGAATCCACCACGTCCACGAGGAGCGAAAGACATCTTTGTGTTTTAAAAAAAAGTCTCGGTTATAAGAGAGTCAGATAGGGAAGGGAAGTTGAGCTGTCGTTTCCGAACGCTCAAACTTAATGTAGCTGGGAATTGGGGAGGAAAAGTCCCAAGAGATTCGAGATAAAAGGAGAATAAATTGACAATAGATCCGAGATAAATGGATCAAGCAGTTCCAACAGAATTGGCTACTGTTTGTCTGTCGGTTGCGGGTCAAAGCCGGTGCTGCTCGTTGATGCGGTCGAGATTTTTTTGCGCCTTTGAGAACTTTCAGAAAATCAGAACGGCGCTAGGCTGTTCGTGGACTAGCGGGTCTTCCGTGTGAGTACATCACGTGACTGTCTGGTGATAGCGAGATAGTCATGTGACCAGATTTAGCCCTGCAAATATATCGGCGTTTGTAAGTGGTTGACTTTTTCACAATCTGCAGTTTGGCAAAAAGCGTCATCATCAGCCCAATGGTTGAGGTTGCAAAGAAGAGAATGGATGGTTGATAGGGAGATAACGTCAGCAAGTGTCGACAAAGAGTTTTCAAAGACAGTGATCAGTCAGGAAGAACATAGGATGAAACAACAATACCTTACACTATGTCTGTTATCGCTAGCACTTGTACGTAAGCCCTGGAGACTAAGTAGGCCCCAGAAAAAGTTACATAGATGACGAATATACATCCTCGACGCCAAAAAAAGCCCAGGCACTATATACTTACCAAATGCAACAGGAGCATGAACTTGGCTTCGGTCCTCAAAAATCGTATAAAAGAGTTGATTTGTGAGAACACCATTTCATGAGTGTCATAGAAATAAAATTCCATTATGAGAGACAAACTTCCGCCCGGTAAATTCAAAACAAATATCTCCCCATCCACTCATCCATCATTCTATGTACAAAAATAAGGCAGCTATCTACTGCCCAAAGAAGTAGTAATTAGCAGAATACTGAATCTGGAAAGCAGCTGGCATTTTGTGACAGGTCTTCGGCGGCGACCCAGCAGCAGTGTCTACCCGATATACACTCTTGTAGTCGCCCACCGTGCCGTCTGTATGAGTCAAATAAAGCCAAGGCACGGCACCATACTCTCCGGCGGCAGCGGTTGAGGGAGCAACGATGCTGCCTTCTTTCTTTGACATGACGATGCCGGCTTGGTTGTCGGGGGTGGTGTTCAGGTTGAACTCTGGGGTTGTGGCATCGTAGAAGAAATGGTGGCCCATCAGATCGAGGTTGGCTGGAGGCAATGAGGCGCCCTCATTGGTTGGGAGTGCGATTTTGTACGCCAGATTAGGGAGGCTCTCCAGGATGCTGGGATAGTTGGCTGCAATGCAGGTGGCGTTGTAGAGTCTTGCAACGGCGCCGATTGCTACGGGTGCGGTGCTAGATGTGGAATCGGCGCATGTATAGTTCTGGGTTCTGGTTAGTGTTTCTCCATGGCTAGGTTAGAAGAGACTAAAACATACCTGAGTGCCTCGTCCAAGTGCGACATAGATTGGCTTCAGCCCTGTAGGGCTGGTGAGACCCGATGCGTAGGACGGTAGAGATATTTTCGAAACATCGCACGCCGCCGATGCCCTCGTGGTGTGTTTTGCGGTGCTGATAAACTGGCTCACTTTTCCGTAAAACTCGGCCAACTCATCTGACCAGTCGTACGCATCGTCAAGGAAGTTTGTTGGGGCAGCAAGCGAGGCTGCCGTTAGGCTGAGGATGAGAGCGAAACGCATTTCTGCTCTTATTTAGGGAGATAGTGGCGGGTAATGGCGTTGAGATTCTTCCAGGAAGCCTTTAGTAGGCAGATTCAAAGGAATTGAGGTCGGGGGTATAGAGGAAAGGGATGACGAAGAGGATTGACATAATGATCAGCCAGTGCGTCGGGCCGGGGCAGATATACATATAGATGCGGTGGTAATTTTAACGTCCCCAATTTCAAGCTTATTTCAAAGATAGTAACACAGGTCCGACTCGAAACAATTAATTAAATCTATAAACAGAGCAATCGATGCAATCTGCAGGTACTAGCAAGGATTAACGCTCAAACACAGGTTTTAATTGGTTGATGGAGGCGCTGAGGGCTGACCCCCCAGCCTCCGGAGACATTGATTTGTCGTCGGCCTCAAACGAACTTGACTAAATCAAGATGGCAACGCGCTAAGTAAATTAACTGGGCTTCCCACGGCGGTTCAATAATAATGAAGACAATTCATGCGAGCCAATGTGGTTGGTCCTATAATTCCCCCGACTCTATTAATAAATCTGACTTGAGGGGAAGACAGGCATACAATATACACGGCGGTTAGATGTGCAACATCATTACCGGTCCAGGTTAGTGTGCAGAATAGCAATTGACCACCTAACCCTAGACATCTGCAGGACTCGGGCAATTGATTACAGAGCTTCTTCATCCTTCCAATTTTGGATTTTGTGTTCAATTTGTCTTGACGTTTTCAATTCAATATTCGGGTTGGGACTGCCGGGGGCTGGGAGAGGGCTTGAGGGCTTTTCCCTCCGCGCTATACTGGCGCGTACGTGCCTAATGCCAGTTTACTCCGTACTCCGTACAAAGACCCTTTTTGCATAGGTAAGACATATCACTTGAGTGTATCTATCCAGGTTTTCTATTTATGTTCCTGATTCTAAGCGGGGGTTGACCGCTTACCCGAGCCAGGCAAGCCACTGGAGGAGGAGAGATATACTTCCCTAGGCGATAGAATACAACACTCCGAAGATGATCCAACGAATCGGAGTTAATACCCTACAAGCCGTTTGAATTGACCGCAATATGATATTTATGGTTGAAATAGACTATTTCGTCCGCCTACGGTGGTATATTCAATCTAGCGCACATTTAGTGTATAGAACCACACATGGTTGTCACCACTTATAGTGGCATGATGGGATAGAGGCATTCCTGGCGACGTTCCGCTCAACATGGCTCGGGCCTTAATCTATTTTGAAGACCTAGAAGTGCTATTGTTGCTCATTGTACATCTCTCAATCCATGTTGGGTTAGATGCCTTCGGAGTAGAACAACGAAATAGAACCAACAAAGCTAGACTGAGGGATCAATATAGATTTCCAAAGATTGTTCTCGAAACAATTGGTCCACAACTGTATGTCTACATTCACAAACTTGGAAGTCCTATGGTCAAGTACGACACTACTGGAATCCTTCGAGAGCCCAATGCGACAGTGATGTGATGGGCACAGATACATGATATTTGCCACGAATCAAATTTACACATGTAGTTCGACCCACATATCAGAATAGCAACGAGCACTTAGTCCCAAACGCCACATGATAAAAAGAAAGTGAGAACTCCGGAGCCCTTCGCTAGGTAAAAATCAGGGGAAGACGTTAGGTGAATCCTTCCTGCTGCCAATCATCGCCTTTCAGCTGACTCGCACCATTGCCCATGCCGCCCCCACTCCCGCTTCCACTACCAGCACCACTCCCGTAGGCTGCTGCTGCTGCTGCACTGCCAACAGCGCTCATGGCACTGTGCTTTTCGATTTCCGTCGTGCTCATCATGTAGAGCACGACGAACAATAGGATATGGAGTGCGAAGCAGTACGTAGCGAAGAGATTGCGACTGGTTCTATTTGCAAGGATGACGCGAGTGAGAGAGAACACGATCCGCTCGGGGAGGCTCATGCGTTTATAAGCACGTGTTGATTCACGGCCTCGGAAGGCCGCAAACGGTGAGATCCGAGCCTCGTAGGCAGATTGATATCGGTCGAGAGATAGACCGGATGGCGTATCCGCCGAGGTATAGACAGAGGTTGAACTGGGGGTGTTGGCATATGACGATGCAGATGTGGAGGCACCCTGGCCACGGCTGTAGGTTGAAACATAACGGGTTTTCTCGTAAAGACTGAGGTTGTCCTTTTGAAGGGATGCAACTTCTTGTCGGAGAGATTTGACTGTGGCATATAGTTTTGATAGCTCTTCTTCAAGCTCTGCGTTCTTCTTCTTGAACCGATCCCGTTGGGCCTGGATCATAGGCAGAAGACCAGAGCCGCCACCTACGGCCTCTCCAGCTCGAATTGACTCCATTGTATTTGCAGATACGGCGCTCTGGTCAAACCCGGAGATGATGGATGAGGTGGGCGAAGATGCGCCTCGCCGGGCCGAGTGTGGGTATCTGGAGGAGTAGGTTCCTGCAACAGACATCGCTGACGATGGGAACGCATTGCTAGCTTCCTCTTGTACGCGAAGAAGATCGTTCTCAAGTGTAGTTGATAGGGCTTGAGACTTTTCAAGTTCCTCCTTCGACGTTGAAAGCTCGGTTCGTAATGTTTCGAGCTGGCCTTGGATATCGCGATGCGATACCCGCAGCAGCGTGAGGTCCTCCGTCAACTTCTTGTTTCGTGCCATGAGGAGTTGCTCTAGAGAATTTTTGTCCTTGGATTTAGGTGCATCGCCATTAGTCGCAGTCGTAGCATTCTCATCTGCCTCATCATCATCCCCTGCAAATTCAATGGACCTGATCATCTCCAGCTCGCGGCGGATCTCATCATAGTCAGCTACCTTTGCCAACCGCATACGCAGCTCGTCCCGCTCCACGGCGGCCTTTGAGGACGCTCTTTCTGACTGAAGCAGCTTGGCTTCCCAAGTGTGTCTTTCAGAATCTTTGTCGAATCGGGCAGCGTCAAGCTTGCGCAGCAATGAAGAGTTCTCAGATTGTAGGCGAAGATATTCAGGGTCATCCTCCACAGAAACCGAGCCGGATGAGTGTGAGGCGGCTTGGGCCAGCTCCAGTCGCATTTGTTCATTGCGCGCTTCCACATCTGCCAATCTCAAGCTTGTCTTTTCTAGTTCGGCAGAAACGAGTTCAAGTTCAGCCGTAATAGCGCCGCTACGCTGGCCTTCACTATCGTCGCCTTGGCTCTCGCCCTCACCCAACCGCTGGGAGACTTCATAGCTGGCCTTGAGCTCCTTAATCAATCGATCCTGGTTCTCCACCTTCTCCTCTAAACTCTTCTCCTTTGCCGCCCAGTTGTTCGTCTTCTCTGCCAAGACTGCCTCCCATGATGCTTCGATTTCCTTGGCTTTAGATTCCTGGGATTCTTCCAGCTTCTTCCTTACAGCACGCTCCTCTGCCAGACGTTTTTCGGTCTCCTCTTGTTGTTTGGTGAGACGATCAACAGATTTCTGCAATTGATCCCGCTCCGAGTTTAGTTTTGGGACGGTGTCTTCAGACAAGACAAGGGAATCGACTGAAGCTTCGAGGAGTGGGTACGGGTCTGGGGCTTCCGATAATGTAGAGTATAGCTGCAGAAATGAAGATGATGACGTCTTCCCCTGATTGGTCAAGAGATCGATAAATGACTGATATGCCTTTAGCAATCCTTTGTATTCTACAAGCTTGGATTCATCATCCAGCTTCTTGTAGTCTTTCGTCTTTTGCGCGAGCTCTTTTCTTTGCACGAGTGCATCGCGCTGCTGTCCAACAATATCCGTAGCAGTTGCGTCGAGTTTCGCAATGGTACTGGCCAAGTCAATACCTATTCCATGTCAGTAGAGCATTCAGTGACATGTTCGATCACTATTACCTCTCCAGGCTGCAATGGCGCGTTGGAATTTGTTGGTCTCCTCGGTCAATTTGATAGACACTGGTGATTGTGGTTGGTCATTTTGTTGATCTTGAGGGACCAGACCCTCTGTAATGGCAAATGAATCCATTGTCAGTCCTAACCCCAGGGTTCTGCACAGTCACCCCACATCAAAAAGCAGTCCACTAAGGGGAAAGATGGAGATCTGTTATCGCGAATAGGACACGCGGCGCACGGGCCGAAATTGTTCCGAAGTGTGTACTTCTGTATGTTGTACTGCTTGAGATTGGAGGTGGTTATGAACTTATGGTAGACATAACATTATTATTGAAAGGAAAAGTAGACAGTCTGTTTACTGTAAATGTGTCTTCTCAAGACAGCGGCCCGAGGCACCCGTCATTCACGGCAGGAGATAACGGCCACTATTGGAGTCACCGCCTTGTTCGCCGTTAATGTATACATACATTCTACTCCGTATACATCGTAGGTTTATATGTGGAACGCTGCTATGTACAGCAGGGCCATAATATAAGCATATAATTGTCTACATGAAAGCAAATAATGGTCTTACAATTATCTAAATGATCCCAAATACCGCCTAAAACACAGTGCCTTGATTCTGCCCGATAAACCACTGCCACATGTGGCCCCCTGAGCTCTGGCCCCATCTGGTTACCGCCTTCAGATCACTCTCCAAGCTTGCGGGGAGATGCCTAGAACGATAGCCTCATTATGGCTTCGGACGATGGAATTGGTCCTCGAAAGAGGCGCAAGACTAGTCCTGCAGGGACTGTGCCCTATGTGCTACGTCCCCTCTTCGCAGACGTACCTATAGCGACCGAGCATAGCTCCGACGTCTACATCACCTGTGTTGAATACTGGAGTAAGCTCTATCTTTTACCTGATGCTTGGACTGCTATTTGGGGTTTGGTCACTGACATTAATAAATAGATGAGAACTTATATATCGGAACATCTGCAGCCGAGATTCTACACTTCGTATGCCTCCCGCCAGCTTCCCCGGACGAATCCGCCGAGCCTACCTTTATACTGGCATCTCGATTACCTATTCTCTTCGCCCAGAAACCTCCAGCAGGCAGTGATCAAGAAGGTGTTCGGCAAATAGTCATTCTGTCTTCGGTAAACAAGGCATGTGTCCTTTGCAATGGAACTGTGACGTTCTACATGCTACCGGAGCTCAGCCCGGCCTTCGGAACTACCAAAGTGAATCACTGCCGCTGGATCGGTGGTTTGGATCTCAACAGGGATGCGGATTCAGAAGATGATCCGACTGTGATGATTGCCGTGCAGAACAGAATCATGCTGGTTCAGATCGGGGATGAGGCGCGACGAATCAAGAAGATCGAGTTCCCCGGTTGCTTAACTGCGGCACGACGAGGGACAATTGCATGTGCCGCGGATACCCAATCATACTCATTACTTGAGGTGGCACACCAGCAGAAGATCCCGCTCTTCCCAATATCCTCCTCAAACGAGGTCTTTGAGTCTGGTCATGTGGAAGACATGAACCCAGCACCCCCCACCCCACTCAAACGTTCGCCCTCTGCCTCTTACCCTAATTCCCCACCAAGTGATACCCCGGGGCATAGTAGGAGCACAAGCCTGAATAACTTTGTGGGAATGCTATCACCACATGCGCACGCAGCTCAGCTGGATAGATCGCCCTCGGGAACCCCAGATCCCTTCACATCGACTGGAGAGCCAAGAAGATCGAGTTCTGAGGAGCGAGATGGAAAGAGTTCGCCGAACATTCCAGAGATCCACGAACCAGACAATGAATCTCCCCCCAACGACAGCCTGAAGCCACTGCCACCCCTGCCACCAGCAACTAATCCAGGATCAAAACTACTCCAGCCTCATGTGGTGTCTCCGACACCATCAGAGTTCCTCCTAGTGACTGGAACCGAGGAGACAGAACCCGGTGTTGGAATGTTCGTCGACATGGACGGCGAAGTTGTCCGTGGTACTATCAACTTTCACCGATTCCCGAAGTCGGTTGTGATTGATACGAACAAAGATGATCAGATATACGCGCCGAGTGGAGATTCGAAGGAGGAGTTTATTATTGCCATTATCGAAGACGAAGAGGATGGAAAGCCTCGGACACGACTTGAGATACAACGTTGGGATGACGACCCAGGGGAAATTGAGCGCAATAAAAAGTGGCTAGAGATACCCTCTCCCGGAGAAGAACAGCCAACCCAAGTCGGTCTCCGCCATACACTCAGTGCCAGCCATCTCGAGCTCAATGATCTTGGGCAGCTTTTGCGAATGGTTCGCCTCAAAACACCATCACTGCCCCCACATGTGGCGACAGCAGACTCTAGGACACAGGCGTCTATCGAACATCTTCAAAAAGAGAAAGAACTGTTCGAATCACCAGACGTGACGGACTCGGAGGGATCAAAAAAGAGCGATGTCCAAAACTGGGAGGCTCAACGCGATGCAGAAGAAACAAATTTCGCACACGGACTGGGCAAGATTCAAAGCAGTCTTGTCATGTGGTCAGGATCCCAGATATGGCGTCTAGTACAGAACCCCTTGGTTATTCAGCTCGAGGACACCCTACAGCAGGCCCAGGAAACAAATGACGGCGAGCATACTGTGCTGCGTAGAGATGTTGTCCTTGATTTGCTGCTTTCGATCCAAGATACGGAGCCAAAGACCGAGTCGGAGTTCATAGGGTTAAGCTACATCAAACAAAAGGCGAGCCTTATTCTGTACGGGGACATTCTCTCCATGCAACCGAATGACCGCAGTAGCACAGCGGTCGATGACACTGAGAAAGCACTAGTGGCAGGCAACCTTGATCCCCGTTTGGCTTTGCTGTTTATTCCTCTGCTGCGGTGTGAAGTTTTGCAGGGCCCCCAAGGTGTATGGATACACGCCGGGTTAGCCACTGTCGCGGAAAAGTATCTTCGACAAGTCGACAACATAGGCATTGAATACTCTGGGTGGGATGCCTCTCGCAGTCCCATCTTAAACATGGTGAAGCGATTCCTTCTTTCCTGGCAGCAAAAAAGAGGATACGGTAGCATCACCGATGAGACATGTGTTTTGGATAGCACCGATGCCGCTCTGTTGCATCTGACCCTGGAACAAGATGCATACCTAACGCCGGATCAGCGTGCAGCGTCACCAACTCGTTCCGAGCTGAACAAACTGGTCGATAACTGGAAGGGTAATTTTGATCGAGCAGTGATGCTACTGGAGACATACAAGCGGCTTTATGTTCTATCACGTCTGTACCAGAGCCAAAAGATGTCACGGAACGTTCTCAAGACCTGGCGAAGAATTGTGGACGGGGAGACTGACGCCGGTGGTGAGGTTTCTGCAGATGGCGTGGAGACGCAGATGCGTAGGTACTTGGTCAAGATCAAGGATGTGCAGCTGGTCGAAGAATACGGTTCTTGGCTGGCTGGGCGAAACCCTGATCTGGGCATACAGGTATTTGCGGATAATGCGAGTCGAGTTAGGCTGGAACCCGCACATGTTGTTGCCTTGCTGAAGGAGCGAGCTCCCAATGCCGTCCAGGTTTATCTGGAGCATCTCGTCTTTGCCAAAAATGTGAGCCAACCTCCTTCTTCATTCAGAATTACATGACTAAACTTTAAATGCAGTACACCCAATATGCCGACGACTTGATCTCGTACTATCTAGACACCGTTCTCTCTGTGCTGGAGTCATCACCCGACGCACGCGCTTCCTTAGCCGACTCCTATTCGACCTATCGAGCCCTGCGTGCCCCCAAACCTACATACCTCAATTTTATCACCGAAAACACCCCCTCCGAGCCGTGGTGGCAATCCCGACTCCGTCTCCTGCAGCTACTAGGCGGGATCTCCAGCTCCCGATTCTCCTCCCAACCCCTCCCAACAGGAATCATTTACTCGATCCCGAACGTTCTGACCCGTATCGAGCCCTTCCAAAACGAACTCGTCTCCGAATGCATCATTCTCGACGGGCTACAAGGCCACCACGGCCCAGCCCTCCACCTTTTAACACACGGCCTAGGCGACTACGACTCCGCAATTCGTTACTGTCTCTTCGGCGGCCCACGCAGCTCTCCCTCTTCAACAGGCACACCACCAGAGCTGGCAGACTACACCCTACAAAAAACTCTCTTCCGCCACCTTCTCGAAGAATTTCTGCATATCCAAGACTTATCCGATCGCATTGAGCGCACGAGCGATCTCCTGGCCCGCTTCGCAGCCTGGTTCGATGTCCGCGAAGTCCTCGACCTAGTACCGGAAGATTGGAGTGTTGATATTCTCGGAGGCTTCTTCGTGCACGTCTTTCGCACACTAGTCTCGCAGACTCGCGAGACGCGCATTGAACGTGCGCTTAGCGCCGGTTTAAATCTGCGCATCGGTACTGAGTATATCGATGGCATGGAGAAGGCTGGGCCTTGGGTGGAGGAAGCCGATGGGGTGAGGCGATTGAAAGATACCCAAACTCGGGAATCCCGACAGGTTGATGGCGCTGAGGACTCTGACTCTGAGTTTGGAGATACAGTGGGGCCTACGTTTGGGGAAGTGGGCCGGGTAGATCACTGATCGGAATGTACAACATATTGAGTACGCAATCGCAGTCTGTGGTTAATGTTCTTCTGTTTTGGATCTATTATACCTATGGAGTTTTCAACCGGACAAGGTTCTTGTAGGTTGACTTTTTTTTGTAGCCAGAACATGTATCTGGGCACTGATAGACCGAGTCCTGGGCTGGTCGCAAGACCGTCGATGATTCTGCCTCATCAGGTGACTCGGGGAGGGGGTAGTCCACAAGGATCATGTACAGGTATCTAGTTTTTTCTCCTTCGTGCCAATGAATGGTATCTTTTCCCACTTGCTTGAGCTGTGGTTGGCCGAATCACGTAGACCAATAGTTGATGAGTCATCTTGCGGCTCTTCCACACAACTAGCCGATGGCGTAAGTTGTCCGGACTTTTTTCAACGGGCCAGCCAATGGACTTGCAAATCGTTTGCGTTCACTCATCTTTAAATCCTTTTGATCAAAGAAGGGAAAGGACGCTGACCCTTGCTTAATGATGGAGAGATTGTAGAGCACTGAACCACAAGTGAGAGGAAACTGAATCTTGCTCAGTGATGCAGAGGTTTTAGAGCATTGAAACTGAAGTGAGAGAACGCTGAATCTTGCTTAGTGATGCAGAGGTTGTAGAGTAATGAAATTGAAGTGGGAGAACGCTGAACCTTGCTCAGTGATGCAGAGGTTGTAGAGCACTGAAACACAAGTGAGAAGACGCTGGATTTTGGTCAGTGATGAAGAAGTTATATAAGGAGAAGGTTGTCGAAAGAAGAAGTTGTCGAAGGCAAGGACTGAAACAAGAAGGGAAAGAGCGCTCAATCTTGCTTAGTTGTCAAGATATCGTAAAAGGCAAGCACTGAAATATACACCAGGAGGGAAACGGCGCCTAGTTTTGGTTAATGATTAAGAAGTCGCAAAAGGTAAGCACTGAAACGGGAAGGTAAAACACCAAGCGCGACCTTTGGGATGTCTTCATAAGTTCATATTAAACTACATCCATTCCTAGGCAATGTGGGATCAATGATATTTTAGATTATATTTTTTGGTTTTGATAGCCCCCAAATCTCCGCTTCGGAGACAGAACCGTAGTCCCACGATCCAAGTCGCAGAAAAAGAAAAGAAGTTATGTAAACCATGCGTTTCGTTCCCTTCGTAGCTACTGATGAGCGTATGTTCCGGTGCACAAAAGCCATTCGGGACATTAGTCTAGTGAAGCTCCAGGCCTGTGGAGTGACATGGGAGCCCGAATTGAAGATAATATGCCAGGAGGAGCTTTTACTCCTCTGCTTGCAAGAAGGGGTTGGGGATCTCCTCGCTGCCGTCTGCGGGGGAGATCAGAACAATCAGGGTGCCTCGGGCGACGATCAGGCCCATTGACCGGGTGGTCTTGTTGCCCTCGTCATCTGGGATGATTCATTAGAAATGGAATTAAGTTCAGAGGTGAGATTGGGTGCTTACCACGCATGGTCTCCTTGACATCGTCCAGGACCAGGTTCATCAGCTGGTCGTATCCCTTGAGGATTCCGGTAACTGTTGGAGTTAGCGTGGTTCTTAGTTCATGTAGTCGTATCAGACATCAGACAGCAAGATAGAGATAGAGATAGACGGAAAAGAAAAGAAAAGAATCAACTAAAAGAAAGAGTCAAGTTACACATACCCTCACGACCACCATTGAACTTCACTTGGACCTCCTTGTCCATGTACTTGTTCAGATCCAAGATGTTCTCCTTCTTGGGCTTCTCCTGTGCACCGCCACCACCGCCACTTTTCTGCTGGCCCTGGCCATTACGGCCGCCTCGTTGGCCCCCCGACCACGATCACCACCTCCGCGGAACGAGCCTCGTTCAGACATATGAAATAATGAGGGATTTTCTTGCAAGAAGAAAAAGAAATTAAAAGCAAAATGGGCAGTTCCGATAATCCGGGAACTCTGGTTGTGTAGATAGGTGTACGTACAACGTAGACGGTGAGCGGGCGCTATGAGGGATTTTTAGGTGGGAGAGTCAGTCCGCCTTGTATTGGGATTACATTGGTACACTGGTAAATTTGCTTCGGAGCAGGGTGAGGGATCCCGCTCGGAGGTATTTTACAACATCGTTACGCGTATCTTGAATTTCGTGTGTGTACAGTCACAACAACTAACTACAATATGTAGTGAGATAGAGCTCTACATGCTCCGAACATTCCAGCTCCTTACTGATACTTGTAGTCTGATCCTGAAATGCGGGCTAAATGCTTATCTTTTTCCGGAGTTGTATACAATGTTTCAGCCTGGTAACAATAACGGGGCTAATGAACTTCCACTCAAATGGACTGGGGCTTCAGGCATCAGCATAACCATCAAATGGGGTCCTCCACAAGGCTCAAGGCTTGATTTTGATGATCGGCAGGAGCAATGACCCATTAGATATATGATTTTGAATTTGCCTCGATTGTTTTGCATTACGCAGCTTGCAACCTTGCAAGGCTGTACAACGTGAAGACGTACACCCTTTGTAAGCGTTATCTGCCAGCGGAATCCTCCGGCGGGACTCCGCTGTACCTAAGTAGATGTACTTAAGCTATGTACTTAGGAGTCCCCTCCACTAACAGGGTCGTAATCGGAATTTCTGGAACATAATTGTCTATTAGAGATAGGAGTGATATTCCAACTCGGAAATATTAATTAATGGAATTTCCATCAGTTCCGGGGCCCGCGGACTGGCGGCAGCCACAAGATCACGTTTTTCCTCTCCACTCCCGCTGTTCCGTCCAAAAGATAAACGCCCCTACTCCCTCCCTACTCTTCCTGCTTATGTTGTGTCGTTCGCTTAGAATTTACCTGCCGGTTCATCTCCGCGCACTTATTCTCCGCGCTTTGATCTGACACTCTTTGGCGGTCTACTTTACTACATTCCTCTCTCCAAGATCCTCACATCCCAGATTCCTATCGCCCCAATTCCACCATGGAATCTCACGCACCGGAGCCGTCCAACAAACGGCCCCGGTCTCCCACCGATCAGCAGATGTCTTCGAAAATCCCCAAAACCCATTCGAACCACCTGCAAATCAACTACCTCGCGCGCCAATATCCAGACAACCTCCCGCTGGTGTCTGTCGATGATACTATGCCCGCGATCGTTCATCTGCTGGGAGAATATGACGGCGTGTTACATCGCCACGAGAGCATTGCCGGGAACCTAGGCGCATGTCCGCTGGGCCCGATCTTGATCAAGCGTTTCGAGCGTCTGTTCGATGGTCCACCAAAGGTGTTGAAATCACATGGTAAAGATGGGCCCACTGTGACATGGCTGGACGTGGTCGAATTCGCAAAGAGCAAGCCGGAACAATTCAATTTGGAGAAGTCGCGCAATGGCGTCCGTGTCTGCCAGTTCTATACTAAGCAGTGTCGCGTGGAGATCAGCGAGGAGGACTTCGTTTTGATTGCTTCTGGTATGCCCCAGAAGATGATCCCCCCACAGCCGATCATTGAAGATGAGGAGAAGGAGCTTGGCGCGCTAGAGATTCTCGAGAAGAACTTGCAGCATATTACTCAGATGGCGGATCAAGGTAGGCGGTTTTGGCTATCGATATTAGTCTGGAGGTGTTCACTAATGTTCGCTTTTAGTCTCTGCTCGGGCTAGACAACTCAATCATCGTCTGAAGAACCGCCGCAATGCAATCGTTACCCGGCGAGAGAACGATGCTACTCTACATGCGCAATCTCGATCTGCCACCGACATCTGGCGCGATGCCAATGGTCATGGTCCTGTCAACGGCCACGGCTCATCGCATGCTTCTCCGTCGGGGTTTGTCGCTGTCAACGCTCATCGCCCCGAGGGTGAGCACACCGAGGAGAACCCCAACCCTCTATCATCCCAATTCATGTTCTCGCACTCCAACACCGACAACGTCACCATGATCAACGGCCAGTCGATCAAAGGTGCCTCACCAACCACTCGCGCGGACCTTATGAAGAGATTCTTCACAACCGCAGACCGTCATGCTCGTGCTGGCTACGAGGACATCACAGCCCCAGTCAACCCCCAACCCCTGCCTCGGCCTCGAGGTTCCGACCCAGCAGAATACAGCCTGTACAATCCAACAACAGCAACCCCCGTCGCAATCCCAAACACCCCTTCCTCCCTCCTCCCACCCCCAAAATCAACCCCGCAAGAAAAAGATGACGGCGGCCCCTTCAAGCTCGAAATGATAGCCCACATGGAAGAGCTCCAACGCGGCGAGCGCGTCCTCCCACCCTGCGACCGCTGCCGCCGCCTACACATGGACTGTCTGAAGAACCTCACCGCTTGCGTCGGCTGCACCAAGAAACACGCCAAGTGTTCCTGGCGCGACGTCAAAGAAGACGAAATCACAGCCATGCGCGCCGGAACCTCAACAGCAACAACCTACGATCAAGAGCCAACTATCACCCCACCCCGATTCCTCGGATCCGGTCCCCTCCCTCCCATCTCCGCAGAGCGCGAGCATCGCAGAGACTACGAGGAACCATACTATCCGCGCCGCGAATCCGCCCCCTCGGCTCCAAACCCCGCCCCCTCCGCCGTTCCCATGGAACTCCCCTCAAGCGAGAACTCGCCCCGCCGCGCTATCAGCGAAACAGAAGGCCGCCCCCGTGCGCCTGTCCGGTCAGACCGTCCGAACGATGAAGACCCGGACGCGAATCAGCGCCTCATGCAGGCTATTCTCGATACGGTGGATCATCATACCCGTGTCGCTGCTGCTGTGCAGGAGAAGGAGCGCGGAACGGAGCGCGAGGGGGGGTCCTTCGGCTCCGAGTGCGCCTGCTTTTGACAAGGAGAGGGAGCGGGAAAGAGAACGGGATCGAGAACGCGAGCGTGAGCGTGAGGCGGATCGGGACCGAGACCGTCGCTTGGTGCAGGCGTAGGCTTGAGTTTGGGATTGCTTTTGTACTTTTTTTTTTTTTTTTCTATTTTTCCTTTTTGTTAATATTGTTTGGCGAATTGGTTGGAGGGGGAGTAGTGCTATATATCCCTGAATGCAATTAGCGATGACTATTCTTTTGATTAAGCATTTTTATGTAGATACAGTATATCGTGGATGTAAACGTGTAAACATGGTGGTTGTACCCGATCTATATATTTCTACCATGTGTATAGGGCCTGTCTACCATATCGATGAACACAAGTACAACCACTACCTAGGTATCTTTCGAGTCGCATTTTGACAATATACAAAGCTTCAATTAGAACCAGAACATATTACTTATTATTACACTAGACGCTAGAACTATACACTATAATAGATGTAACTACTCCAGGGCTGCTTAGTGAAAGATGACCAATTCCCTCATTCCGCCCTCCGATCCCCCACCGGATATATTTTCTCCCTTCTTCGTTCTACTCATTCTATATTATTGTATAACCTTGTCTAATATAATTCCGTTATTCCGTGTTCAACATTCAGCTCCCTACTATGTACTCGAACACTCAAATGGCAATTCCGACGGAGCGGGGACCTTTGCGGGGTGAAGAAAAAACAAAAAGATGATTTCGTTTGCAGCGAATATGATTGATTGAAGTTGACTCGGAGTGGGTATTCAGAGGTCGACCCATTGGGGAAGTTCATAACCCAACTGCCGGTTGCTATCCGAAACAGAAGTCCATGATATAATGATATAACATCGTACAAACCCCAGAATTAGACTCCATATTGTATTTAGCGTTAGCTACACATTCTCCCTTTACACCAAGTCACAAGCGTCACACACACCACCCACCCACCATGGACCCCTCAAAAATCACCCTCCCTCCAATGAAAGACCAAACCGTCGAAAATATAACCTCAAACACAATAGCCATCAACTCTCTCTGCCAAGACGAGCGCATGAAATACGTCCTAGAGCGCCTAGTAACCCATCTGCACGACTTCGCCCGCGAAACCCGCCTCAGCAGCGCAGAATGGATGACCGGCCTGCGCTTCCTCACAGAAGTAGGCCAAATAAGCTCAGACGTCCGACAAGAATTCATCCTCCTCTCCGATGTGCTGGGCCTCTCAATCCTCGTCGACTCAATCGACCACCCCAAGCCGAAAGGCTCAACAGAAGGCACAGTCCTGGGCCCGTTCCACACGCACGACGCGGAGGAAATGGCGGCCGGCGAGGCAATGTCACATGATCCTGCCGGCGAGCCGCTGTTGGTTGTTTGCTCACTGAAGGATTTGGAGGGGCGTCCTGTGCAGGACGTTAAAATTGATATCTGGGAGACGGATTCCTCGGGACATTATGATGTGCAGTATGCTGGGCGGGAGGGGCCTGACGGACGCTGTATTATGCGGTCTGATGAGAACGGCGAGTTTTGGTTTAAGGCCATTACGCCGGTGCCCTATCCTATTCCGCATGATGGGCCTGTTGGGCGGTTGTTGGAGAAGTTGCATCGGCATCCGTATCGGCCTTCGCATATGCATTTCATGTTTGAGAAGGAGGGGTATGATCATTTGATCACGTATGTTTCGTTCTTTTATTCTGTCTTTGGGGTGGACATTGGAATTGGAATTTGCTAACTTGATTGACAGTGCTCTGTACCTCCGCAATGATCCCTACGAGACCTCTGACGCTGTCTTTGGTGTCAAGGAATCGCTGGTTGTCGATATCGGCAAGGCTGGTCCTGAGATCGCGAAAAAATACAATGTTCCCGAGGGCCATGCGCTGCTCACCTATGACTTTGTACTTGTGTCCGACGAGGAGACGAGCAAGCTGCGCGCGCACAACTCGAAGGTTGCGCTTGACAAACTTGGTCGGAAGGTCAAGATCGTCAATGGGCTGCCTGTTCCGGATCTGGACTAGATCTCACTGCAGGAATTACTTAGTGTATGTTTGACAATGAAAATCACAGCTGTTTCTTTTTCTTGTTTTCACAATTATCTTGTACGAGTTGCGCAACCAGATCCTATCGTTCCATGTCTGCATTTCTTTTCTGGCCTTAATCGAAACTTGTAACACGGTATATACCGCCGCAATTGGTGAACTGGTGATTACCTGCGCGGCACTGATGGACGATCGAGGATTGATCAGTTTCTATTAAGACCATTTGAAGTGTCCCAAGTCAAACTTGGTACGACGGACGATCATACAGGACAGACGATGGCTATATATGGAAATCTTTATCAATGGATGCATTTGCATTCAGCGTTTCCCTATCGAGTTCACTATGCGTTCCACTCATCTACTATTTGCTGTGGTGTCATTGGCCTCTGCACTGGTTATTCCAGATGAGGATATGGTAGCGGAGATTCGTTCTCAGGGTCAATTGATTGTTGATCATCGGGGTGGAGGGGGTACTCACGATGAAGGCATCGATGCGGACTCGTGGTGGGCGATGGTAGATACTCTGAAGGGTGGCCAGTCTAGCCGGGGACTTTTCGAAGGTGAACAAGACTGGGGAAGAGGAGATTGGCCAGGGGAAGGTCGTGATCATCACCATGAACACTGGCCTGGCGAAGGACACCATCACAGACATGGCGAATTCCCTGGCGAGGGTCACCACCACCACCACCATCACCATCACCACCACGGGGACTGCCCTGACGATGACAATGGCGGCAGAGGTTCCCATGGCCACCGTCCCCCTTTCCATCCAGGCCACGGAGACTGGCCCGGCCAAGACGACAGACCATGCCCAAGACCCCCAAACCGAGACCAGAAACCACCACACCGAATCCACCGCCCAACAAACCCCTGCCCAGGATCGCAATGCCACCTCGACAAAACAATCTTGGAGATTATCCAAGAAAACGAACGCACATCACGTCTAGCCGAGCTCATCGCCTCCGACAAAGACCTCATCACCCTCCTCACAAAAGGAAACCACACAATCTTCGCCCCAACAAACCAAGCCCTAGCCCACCTGGACGAAATACCGCAAAAGCTCATCGCAAGCTTCCTGCGATACCACATCGTGCCCGACCGACTCCCCATCCACGAAATAGCGAACCATGCAACCCTCGCAACGCACCTGACTTCCCCATCCCTAGGAGCTAACCTTACGCAGCGGATCCGGGTGCACGATGTCGACGGAGTAGTTCTTAACGGGCGGAGTGCAGTGATAGAAGCAGACACAGTGAGCAGTCCCAATCCAGCATCACAGAATCAAACATTAACCTTCCCTTCCTTGGTACAAGATAACGAAGACGGGAATAATCCACTTAATAGACAGCGCGCTCGTGCCGCCACCAGCGACGCTCGCCCTGATATCGCCATGCAGCACGTTCATGCAAGCGCTCGCGATATCACAAATGACAGAGCACTTCGATTCAGCGCGGCGGGGTGGAGGGACGACGTTCGTTCCTACGAATGCGGCGTTTCGGCAACTTGGGGAGCCGGCCAATGAATTTTTGTTTTCGGAAGAGGGGAGGGAGTGTCTTGCTTTGTTGATGGGGTATCATGTTGTTGTTAATGCGACGCTTTATCCGGATGTGGTTTATACGAGGGAGGGGAAGGTTAGGGGGTTGGTTGGGAAGGAGCGGGAGGGGGAGATGGGGCATGCTGTTGTTAGGATGGAGACTGTTTCGGGGAGGGAGGTCAGGGTTGATGTGAAGAGGGGGCAGATGCGGGTTGATGGGTTTGGGAGGGTTGTTGGGGAGTTGGTGGCGAGAGATGGGTCGGTGATTGTTTTGGACAGGGTTTTGGTTCCGCCGAAGAAGGTTAAGGGTGAGGTTGAAGATGGGGAAGTGATGGTTGAGGAGCTGGTTGAGAGGTTGAAGTGTGGCCGTGAGGGTCGTGGTCGTGGTGAGCTTTGATGTAGGGAGTGACTGGATGATACGTAGTCTACGACTACAGGAAAAGGGCAATTTGAAAATTTCATTCTTATGTTTGTATCTCCATGAGATGCGCACGATGGCGAACATGGTTGCTAGCGAAATGAAAAAGATATAACCTTGACAATAGGTAACCTCCGATAGAATAACATCATCTAGGTGGCAATTGACCAGGATCCATAGATCTGTGCAACTAGGTGGTTAAAAGTGCAAGCAACCAGAAAAGAGCATGAAAAACAGCTATGTGCGTAGTGAAGTGTTCACTCGCTAGTGCATGCGTCGAGGAGGCTTCAATAGCGCCTGGAAGCAAGATTCAAGCGCCTTTTTCACTTCCTTGTAGCTGACGATGAAACAGCTCTGCTCATCACGGCTGATCAAAGTGATCTTCTCGTCACTTCCAGCATCGAGCTTGTTGAGACAAGTCAGCACATGGCCAAGATCGACGGAGGGATCGCCTTGGGCGTCCACCTGGTGGAAAACAAAGTCGCGGAAGAGCTTCAGGAAGTAGCGCTCGCCGGTCTCGGCCCAGCGGGGGTCGAGTTCATATTCAGGGCGCTCATTGACGAAGCTGAGCTTGGACATCAGGCGCACGAGCCTTGCATTTTCTAACTCACGGCAGAGATCGGAAGTAAGCTGATCATCCATGTGAAGGGCCGAATCAAAAGTTGACATCAGCTGTGCTGAGATGCCAGTAATGAAAAGGTCAATGGTGTGGTCAACATCCGTCTCGCATGATTTCAAAAGCCAAACAACACAGTTCTGCAACTGTGGACTGTAGTTGCGGGTGAAAACCTCCATATGCGCGGCAGGGTTGTGCTGGATAGGCGAGTTGACGCCCAGAGTGAGGATCAATTGGCCGAAGTGGACAAGATCTTGTCGCTGGAGGTCCCGAATGCTTCGCTGGGTGTCAAATTGCACCACGTCAAGTACAGCACAGGCATTGATGCGAAGACGATTCCTGCCCGTGATTAGAACCTTGCTTGCCTCGAGAACCCGGGCGGCAAGGCCATTGGAGTGAATCGCCTGGAGGCCATTGGAAATCTGAGTCATGTAGCCCCAGAGAACCTGCTCAGGGATAGGAGCATTGCTGCGAGCCTGGAAGCGATTACCAGTACCCAGATGCTGCTCTGCAAGTGTCTTGGACAAGGGGTGGTAGTCGGTAACAAAGATCAAAGAACTGTCCTGGAAGCTGCGGCTGGTGAAGGCGTCGTGAATAGTCACTACGCTGGCGCTGCAGACGTTCTTCCAAGCTTGAACAGAACGGATAGCCTTTTCATTGGTCAGGCGGAAACCTAGAGTTGTAAGTTTAGAGTCGGTGGATACGAAACCAGCGTTGCCATACCTTCAAGTCGGCGAAGAGCATAATAGTTGCCATCCTTGCTGGACTGGGCCTTGTAAATCCAGCTTGGGTAGCCGAAGATCATAGCATTCTTCTGGTGACTAAGATCCAGTGGGACAAGAGAATGGAAATAGTCGACTTGGGCAGGGAGTTGAGTGTCTAAATGCTGTCAGCGCTAGCACAACTGTTCTGATGAAGGTTTTTCATACTAGGAAGGGTTTGAAGAGTAGCCGCAGACTTCTTCTGCAAGTCTTCGCGGATATCGTTAGGAAGGAAAAGACCATGCACATTGCGCTGATAGCCCAAAAGATTCTGGCTGTGAGGGCCAATGGGAGCATAAAGATGGTACTGGACCTATAAAGCCGTCAGAGAGTCAATCAAAGCGGCCAAAAGAGTTTCCGTCAAATATCAGCGTACCGGTTGCTGGAATCCAGTCTGGCTGGCAAAGAAAGCGCCTCCCATCGCAGCAGTAGGGTCGTGGGAATAAGGGTTGCCAGATACAGGAACAGAGCCAGGAGTCATAGGAGTGGAGGTGGTCACAAAAGGATCAAATGCACTCGAAGGGGTGATTCCTCCATTGCCATTGCCCTGGAGAGGATTCTGTTCATCGAAGTCAGCAGAAGTTCTTCCATTAGAGACATGACCCCATATGCGGTGGAACAAATCGCTGCAATCGCTGACTGTTTCGTCACTGCAGGGGCACGGGAGGGCAGTGTGCTTGGGTGGGTCATCTTGATATTCTCTCAAATCAGGCAAGCTGCGACTCTTTTGCAGGTAATACACCGTGCTCGCAACTGGAACCATCCTCGTATCCGTAGAGGCATCCATCTTCGTGACTGCAAGCCGATGGGGAGTTTGGCAAATTTTGCAGACGTGCATTGATGAAATGGCCAGAGAGGGGGGTGAAAGGGAGAACAAGAAGAGCTCGAAGAGCTCGAAGAGACGAGACTACCAAGAACGCATGGGGAGGGCAGGAACAACTAACCACGTGCTCAAAGCCCCGAGGCACAAATTCCTGAACATCAGCTACCGCCCAATCTTGGACTGCTTCTGACCGCCCTGTTGGTGTACTTGTGTTTGATCCTTTCATGTGTCAGTGGGTATATTCACAATACTCAACACACTACCCAAGCACTTACGCGCTGAGATTCGGGGTTGGAATGGAGCTGCATTGGCAGCTTTTGGAGAAATGGCGGTCGATTTCTTGGGTGCGGATACACCATTGCCAGACATCAATGATGGAGTGAAACTGGGTGAGTCTACGTTGAATCGCTTCTTGCTATCAAACGAAAAATACTCCGTTAGCAATCTTTGCCCAGATCTCACCCAAAGACCAAATATGCATTGTAGTACTCACCTGTCCGCTTGGTTTGCAGTTAGCTTCGACGGATCATGATTGAAAGCGCAGCCTGGATAATCCAAATTAGCTTCAACATCGATTACCATGATCATTATCCGCCAATACCTTTGTCTTCATAGCGGCAACGCCCATATATGGTCACATTGCGGCACAGTGTGTCTTTCGCGTTCTCTGTCAAGTGAGCCATTGTTGTCAGCAATGTTTGTCCCAAACCGGGCTTTTACCTCCGTTTGCTTGGAGCGAATGCGATGGGATAGTGAGAGAAATGCTTTCCGGTCTCGATTTGAACTCACCACGGCTCTTCATTTTTGGCGATCCTGTCGTGCGACGAGCATCCTCGAGTGGAGGCTTTCCGGCAGATGCCATGATGTATGGCTGATACCCACTTGACGGTGCGGATCAGCGCAAAGGTATCCCCATTGAAACCGGACTCGGTATGGTACAAAGAAAGCTGTTGAGAGGAAACCGCATTCCCCTGCTTCGGCGGGATATCTTGAAGGTGTCAACGGTTCACGTGGTTGGCGATCAGCGGCGGGTCAATCGCGGGAGAGCCCACGGAGGTCGGGTGGTATCTCAGCCTATAACAATAGCAGGCATAAATGAAGGGCACCTAGGTAAGGATAAGACCAAAGTCCTCTCGCATCCCAAGCAATGATTGCGACACAACTGATGAGATGAAGACGCGGGGCGGATGAACCTCGAACGAGCGAAGGGGGATATGCGCACGGACCAGGCGGTCAGGACAATGAGCTACTGTGGCCAGCTTTAGCTTCAACGTCGTTCTATCCATCAGTTTGACTACCTGCCAATGCTAGCGAATATTTTCTTTGGCATTGCTCATGTATTTTAATCTTTGTTGAATATCATCCTTTTCCTGAGTTTATGGCCAACGGCCCTTCACCGACAAGATGTCAGAGTCGGAGCTGGATTTGGATCAGCTATCCGATAGCGAGAGAACTGCGCTAGAGATGTATATGGCTGTGACTAGCCAAGAACCGTCGGAGGCCATCCCACTTCTACGTCGCTCAGAATGGAACGTCCAGGTTGGTTCATTACCGAAAGTTGTTCTATACGCCTGACTTAGAGCTAACTGATCCCCGCATGCTAGATTGCGATATCCAAGTTCTTTGATGGAGAAGGTCCGGATCCCTTGGAAGAGGCCCGATCAGCTATGAGCCAACCGCCTCCTCCACCTCACTCAAATCGCCGAACCCAGAATCTAATGACCGACGATTTAACGGAACGCCTGTCGCAGATGACCCGCGTCACAGACCCGGCGCCACGAGTTAACACACAATCTGGGGACCAGCCCGCTTACCGACCACCATTTATCATTGCATTACTGTTTATGCCGTTCAACCTGGTTTATCGACTACTCTGCGGTTCCCTTCGTCTGTTCGGGCGGCTCTTCCCGTTCCTCCCACGGTTATTCAACAGGACGGCAAACCCCGCGCTGGCAGGTGCCCGCCAGAATACCACCGGTCGCCGTCCGCTCGGTCCCAAGGACACCGCAGCTCGCTTCATTAGAGAGTTTGAGGAGGAGTATGAGTCGCATTCGATCCCATTCTTGGAGAATGGATACAACATGGCGTTGGAAAAGTCCCATCGCGACTTGAAATTCCTACTAGTCATCCTCTTCTCCCCAGAACATGATGATACAAGTAGCTGGGTACGGGATACTCTGTTGGCACCCGAGGTGGCAGAATTTATCAACGATCCCCAAAACAACTTACTGGTATGGGGAGGTAATGTGCGAGACTCGGAAGCATACCAAGTCTCCAACTCATTGCGCGTCACCAAATTTCCCTTCGCAGCAGTCGTTGTCCACACCCCAAATGTATCATCAACTGCCATGTCCGTGGTCGGAAGGATCCCGGGAATCACCACGCCTACAGAATTCGTGAACAAGCTCCGGGCATCCGTGACCTCGAACCAAGAACCCCTAGAGCGCATCCGATCTTCCCGTGCGGAGCAACAAGCCTCGCGCAGCCTACGCGAAGAGCAAGACTCGGCCTACGAGCGGTCGCTGGCGATCGACCGAGAACGGACCCGTCAACGCCGAGAAGCAGAAGCAGCGCGCCAACGTGAAGAACAAGAAGCCGCCGGACGCCAAGCAGCAGAAGAGCGGCGGCGCCGTGACCTCGCCCAGTGGAAGGTTTGGCGCGCGCAGTCCCTTAGCGCAGAGCCTGGGCCAGATGTCAAGGATACAGTGCGGGTTAGCGTTCGGCTTCCGTCTGGGGAGCGAATCATGCGCAAGTTTGCACCCGATGCGGATATCGAAGAGCTCTACGCGGTTGTGGACTGCTACGAGGCCTTGCAGGATGCAGATGCACCTGCGGCTAGTGAACCAGAGGGGTTCGTGCACCAATACTCATTCAGACTGGTCTCACCGATGCCTCGGGTGGTGTATCCTGTGGAAGAAGGTGGTTCAATCCGAGAAAAGATCGGCCGGGGTGGGAATTTGTTGGTGGAACCTATAGAGGATGAGGACGTAGAGGATGCAGATGATGACGAGGCTGAAATGTCTTGAATATGACTGATCAAGTGCATTTTTCGATACACCGCCAGCCCTACGTCTAGGTCCCGCTCGTTACAATGTACAACCTTGGAACGTATTTTGTATGTACTCCGTATGTAGATGAAGTTCTGATTTATGATTCCCTGCATGCTCAGGCCATAAGATGAATGAGGTCAGATTTCGTATTAGTCTGAGCTTGCATCCACGCGTTTGACCGGGGTATTCATCCTGATGGCGTCATTATCGTTGCAGCCTACTGCGGCCTGAACTCAGCCATGTCAGGTCAGGTCAATTACGGAGTACCTTGTACATAAGAACAGATAGGGCCTTGGCTAGATTCTAGACCGCCCAAAAATACCCAAGCGATCCGAGCCGACCTCCAGGGCTGGGCATTGTCAGAGTTGTTTTTCTCAACGTACGCAAAGTCCATTGTACGTTGTACACTTTTGTCAACTCGGCCGAATTCGTCCGTCTCGTATATATACATCTGTATCCCTGTATATATATATCAGCCCCAACTTGAGACACCGATTTAGATAGCGAGTGGAGATTGGAGATAAGATAATCCGTACTCCGTTACTTAAAGTTGTGTTATATTAAGTGGCTTTGAGAGTGGGCACAAAGAGAGTTGTGCGATCTAAGGAAACCCCAGGTCCCGATCCATTAGCTCCAGCGCTTGGGACCCATGAATAGCTGAGTCATGGCCCGGATGCATAATTCCCGAGCATCCGGGCCAAGATCTCCATCGGATCACGATGTTCCCGAGAACCCAAGATCTTTAATTTGTTGCTTTTACACGTATGATTTTAATTGTTTGAATTGTGTTGTATTACTATTCCCCTTTTTTTGCTTCTTAGATTGAGATGTAACTAGACCATTATTAAATACAGCTCTATGTGTAGATAAATACCTTACTTCAAATGAATGTTTCAAAAATTTAAGATTCTACAAATGGATACAACCAATTGCCGTACCCTGGCGGATTCGCCACTTTTTACGCGAATCTGAAAATTTAGATCATCAAAGCTAACCGTAAAACGAAGTAAGATAGTCCATACAAGTTGCTAATCTTGGCAACGATGAGCATGAACCGTAATCAGATAATGGAGCAATTACCAGTACCCATGTAAACTAATACACAACACAAAGTATTCAAAATGTATCCGGGTCCTCGCTAGTCCGCCCCCCGGGTTCTATTTTGACTCCCAGTCCGGACGGAATTGACCATCTTCCCTACTCCCGATTGGTTTTACCAACTTACAATCCAATCCTTTCCTTATTTTTTCGACTATACTTAACCGCATCCTTCGCTCATTGCGGTATACTCTCATTTTTTTGTCGTTTTTGATTATTCTCCGACCCTTACACACTCTCTTATATAATACATAACCCCTGTCATCCCCTAATCGGTTTGTGTGATAGCCTTCTCGATTAACAGTTGGGAACAAGCCATTTTAATCAACAACTTACATATTCGACAAGTGACTCCGCTGGGAGATCACCATGTCACTTCTCGGGACGTTTAACGCGACACCCTCCGTCGCCCAAACATCAGAGGAAAACTATGTGGCAACCATGGAGGCCCGTCGCCATGACCCCCACGCCTGCATGAGTATGAGTAATGCAAGCACAATGATTCCAGAGAACTACGAGGTCATTGATGAAGAGCATGTCGAGGAGGAAGTCCGCAGCTTAGCGCAACAACTCACCCGCCAATCAACGCGGTTCTCCGTGGCACCAGATAGGGCCGAAAACACCTTCGTCCAGACAGAGGAAGACTCGACCCTCAACCCGCACAGTGAGAACTTCAAGGCCAAGAACTGGATGAAGAATTTCCTGGCTATCAACTCCCGTCACAATGATAAGGACCTCAAGCGCGAGGCTGGCCTTGCTTTCAAAAACCTCAGCGTTCACGGCTTTGGAAGTCCTACCGATTACCAGAAAGATGTGGCAAACTCGGTCCTGCAGGTCGGTGCCTTGATTCGTTCTCTGAGTGGCACTGGCAAGCAGAAGATTCAGATTCTGCGCAACTTCGACGGCCTAGTCAAGAGCGGCGAGATGCTGGTTGTTCTCGGTCGTCCTGGATCTGGTTGCTCGACTTTCTTGAAGACCATTGCTGGAGAAATGAATGGTATCTTTAAGGATGGTGACTCTTACATGAACTACCAAGGTATCTCCGACGAGAAGATGCGCACCCAGTTCCGCGGTGAGGCCATATACACCGCCGAGACCGATGTGCATTTCCCCCAGCTTTCCGTCGGAGACACATTGAAGTTCGCTGCTCTGTCCCGTACGCCTCGCAACCGGTTGCCGGGCGTCAGTCGCGAGCAGTACGCCGAACACATGCGTGACGTCGTCATGGCCATGCTGGGTCTTACGCACACCATCAACACCCAGGTCGGTAACGACTTCATCCGTGGTGTGTCCGGTGGTGAGCGCAAGCGTGTCAGTATCGCCGAGGCTACCCTTTGTGGCAGCCCTCTTCAGTGCTGGGACAACTCCACCCGCGGTCTGGACAGTGCCAACGCCTTGGAGTTCTGTAAGACTTTGAACCTGATGTCCAAGTACGCCGGTTCAACCTGTGCCGTGGCTATCTACCAGGCCTCCCAGAGCGCCTACGACGTCTTCGACAAGGTCACCGTTCTGTACGAAGGCCGACAGATATACTTCGGTCGCACTACCGAAGCTAAGGAGTTCTTCACCAACTTGGGCTTTGAGTGCCCCGAACGCCAAACTACCGCCGATTTCCTAACTTCGCTCACCAGTCCCGCTGAGCGCATTGTCAAGTCTGGCTACGAAAAGGTGGCCCCCCGTACCCCTGACGATTTCGCCGCTGCCTGGAAGAGAAGTGAGGCCTACAAGGAGCTCCAGCGTGAAATCGCCGAGTACGATGAGCAGTACCCTATTGGCGGCGCTTCTATGCAGAAGTTTGTCGACTCTCGTAAGGCTATGCAGTCGAAGAACCAGCGCGTCAAGTCCCCCTACACGATGTCTGTCGTCGAGCAGGTCGATCTCTGTGTTCGCCGTGGATTCCAGCGTTTGAAGGGTGATGCCAGTTTGTCCACTTCTGCACTGATTGGAAATTTCATCATGGCCCTGATTATCGGATCCGTCTTCTATCAACTGCCGGAAGATGTGACCAGTTTCTACTCACGTGGTGCCCTTCTCTTCTTCGCTGTCCTGCTCAACGCCTTCTCCAGTGCTCTGGAAATTTTGACTCTCTACGCCCAACGCCCTATCGTCGAAAAGCAAGCCCGGTACGCCATGTATCACCCATTCGCCGAGGCCATCGCCTCGATGCTGTGTGACATGCCATACAAGCTCCTCAACTCGATTACTTTCAACGTACCGCTTTACTTCATGACCCGTCTGCGCCAGACACCCGGTGCCTTCTTCACGTTCCTCCTCTTCTCTGTCGTGACTACCTTGACCATGTCAATGGTGTTCCGTACCATTGCTGCTACCTCGCGGACCCTGTCTCAGGCCCTGGTGCCCGCCGCCATCCTGATCCTCGGTCTGGTTATCTACACTGGTTTCACCATTCCCACCCGCAACATGCTTGGCTGGTCTCGCTGGATGAACTACATCGACCCGATTGCTTACGGTTTCGAGTCTTTGATTGTGAACGAGTTCCACGGCCGGGATTTCCCCTGCCCCGCGTCTAGTATGATCCCGGCTGGACCCACATACAAGGACGTTGGTTCTCTCAACCATATTTGCTCACAGAAAGGAGCCAAGCCTGGCATGAATTTCATTAACGGCGATGACTACTTTATTGATAGTTTCCAGTATGCCAACAGCCACAAGTGGAGGAACTTGGGTATTATGTTCGGATTCATGATCTTCTTCATGGCCACCTACCTCATTGGTACTGAGTACATCTCCGAGTCCAAGTCCAAGGGTGAGGTTCTGCTGTTCCGTCGCGGCCAAACCCCCAAGAAGACCGGTGGCTCTGATGATGATATCGAGATGACTACCATGACCCCCACCGACAAGAAGGATGGCGCCGACGAGCCAACAACTGCTGCAATTCAAAGACAAACCGCCGTCTTCCACTGGCAAGATGTGTGCTACGACATCAATATCAAGAAGGAGGAACGTCGCATTCTAGACCACGTTGACGGCTGGGTCAAGCCTGGGACCTGCACTGCCCTCATGGGTGTTTCTGGAGCTGGCAAAACCACTCTTCTGGATGTCCTTGCCACGCGTGTGACAATGGGTGTTGTCTCCGGTGAAATGCTGGTCGACGGTCGCCCTCGCGACCAGTCCTTCCAGCGGAAGACCGGTTACGTCCAGCAACAAGATCTCCACCTGCACACCACGACCGTCCGCGAGGCTCTCCGCTTCAGTGCTGTCCTCCGTCAACCCGCCCACGTCTCCCACCAGGAGAAGCTCGACTATGTCGAGGAATGTATCAAGCTCCTTGGAATGGAATCCTACGCGGATGCCGTTGTCGGTGTCCCCGGTGAAGGTCTTAACGTCGAGCAGCGCAAGCGTCTCACCATCGGTGTCGAGCTCGCTGCTAAGCCCCAGTTGCTCCTGTTCTTGGACGAGCCCACCTCCGGTCTTGACTCTCAGACTTCTTGGTCGATTTTGGATCTCATCGATACCCTCACTAAGCACGGCCAGGCTATTCTCTGCACTATCCACCAGCCCTCTGCCATGCTCTTCCAGCGTTTCGATCGTCTGCTCTTCCTCGCCAGAGGAGGTAAGACCGTATACTTCGGAGAAATCGGTGAAAAGTCCTCTACTCTCTCCGACTACTTCGAGCGCAACGGTGCCCCAAAGCTATCTCCCGAAGCTAACCCGGCCGAGTGGATGCTGGAAGTCATTGGAGCCGCCCCCGGATCCCACAGTGATGTCGACTGGCCTGCCGTCTGGCGCGAGAGCCCCGAGCGCCGAGAAGTCCACAACCACCTTGCCGAACTCAAGTCCAGCCTCTCCCTCAAGCCCGTCGCCACAAACGACAACGATCCCGCCGGCTTCCAGGAGTTCGCCGCGCCTTTCTCCGTCCAGCTCTGGCAGTGTCTTGTCCGCGTCTTCAGTCAGTACTGGCGCACCCCGGTCTACATCTACTCCAAGATTGCGCTGTGCTCCCTCACAGCCCTGTACATCGGCTTCTCCTTCTTCCACGCCCAGAACAGTATCCAAGGTCTCCAAAACCAGATGTTCAGTATTTTCATGCTGATGACCATCTTCGGTAACCTGGTGCAGCAAATCATGCCTCACTTCGTCACCCAGCGCTCCCTCTACGAAGTCCGCGAACGCCCCTCAAAGTCCTACTCCTGGCAAGCCTTCATGGCCGCAAACATCCTCGTCGAGCTCCCCTGGAACACCCTCATGTCCCTCCTCATCTTCGTGTGCTGGTACTACCCGATCGGGCTGTACCGCAACACCGAGCTAACGCACGACCTGCACGAGCGCGGCGCCCTCATGTTCCTCCTAATCTGGACCTTCCTCCTCTTCACCTCGACCTTCGCCCACATGGTAATCGCCGGCATCGAGCTCGCCGAAACAGGAGGCAACCTCGCCAACCTGATTTTCTCCCTCTGCCTCATCTTCTGCGGTGTTCTCGCAACCCCAGCCAACATGCCCGGCTTCTGGATATTCATGTACCGTGTCTCGCCATTCACATACCTCGTCTCCGCAATGCTGTCAACCGGTACCTCCGGCGCTCCCGTCGTTTGCGAAGACATCGAGCTGCTCAAGTTCCAGCCTGTAGACGGCAAGACCTGCGGCGAGTACATGCATGATTACATTTACGGGACCGCGACATCACTCGCCGGCGGCGGATACCTCACGGACGCCAATGCTACCTCGGAGTGTTCGTTCTGCAGTATTGCCGAGACGGACGTTTTCCTCGCCAGCGTCAGCTCGTACTACAAGGATGCGTGGAGGAACTTCGGGCTCATGTGGGCTTTCATTATTTTCAATATCTTCGGTGCGGTGTTTATTTACTGGCTTGCGCGTGTTCCTAAGGGATCCCGCAGCAAGAAGCAGAAGACTGCTTGAATCTGATTTGCACAATTCGAACGGTTGACTCGGTCCTGGTTAGCACTTCCCCAAAACGAGACTGCTCTGCGTCTCTTCTCTTCTTCTATTTTTTTTGGTGTTCTGGAGGATGCAGTGTTGCTCCCCATATTTTTACCTTTGTATTTCACTTCTTTCTTCCTTCTTTGTGAATTTTATTTCCGCCCCAGGTGGAATGTGCATTATATTGCGACGGCCTTGAGAGCTTGCAGACATCTTGCTTTTGGCTTGGGTTTTTTGCCTTCTGGCTACTTATACATACTATACACTGTCTTGCTACGGGGATGCTCTAGATAATAAATTAGAATAGAGCCTCTCGGTCAAAATTTACGAACAATTACAATCATTTCCGCCTAACAACTACCGTCACATACTTCTCGTACCTACAAGAGCCGAAGCAATTTTCTCAAGAGCATGATTGATATGTAGAAAAAGGCCCCAAAATAGTACTATACAAAGTCAATATTACGCTTAAATCACTAATGCAACCACCAAACGCTGACTAAAAAGCAAAGCACAAACAAATCACCACGTAAAAGCCTCCTCCGTAAAATCAACCACAGCACCTCTCCCAATCCTCTCCCTAGCAGCAGCACGCACCTCATCCGCAAAAGCACCAGGCCCACAAACACTCACCAGCGCGGCGCCAACACGCCCCGGCAAAATCTCATCAAGCACCACATCAGGCCGACACCTTCCAGAATGCATCAGCACACTCGCCGAGGGACTGACGATGTCTGCAGCCTTTCGCGGCTTCGAGACAAAAAGCTTGACGGTGAGGATGTCGCGGCGGCCAGGCAGACGCAGGATCTGGTCCATGAACGTGCTTACCCATGAGAGGTGATCTGTTGAGCGGACGGACCAGATGAGGTAGATGCGGCGGGTGGCAGCTGTGCTGTCGTGGGATTGTTTGAGGAGTTCGCGCGTGTACAGCAGGTGGTGGGTTATACCTGCACCGGCGGAGAAGAGGATTGTTGTGCCATAGCTTTGGGGGTTGGAGGGGTGGGAGCCGTAGGGGCCTTCTATGAAGCCGGCTATGGTGAGGGATTTGGAGGGTGAGGCGTTGGCGAGGTTGTACAGGCGGCGGGTCATGCCTTTTTGGGCGCCAATTATGAGCGAGACTTGGGTTTTGAGGGCGCTTGTTGGGGTGCTTTGTTTTTCTAGATCGGTGTATTGTTTGCTTTGCGTGGTTGGGGCTGTCAGGGTGGATAGTGTGTCTTCAGCCCAGGCTATTGAGAAGGGGTGGGACATCCACCAGGATATTGAGGGAATGTAGGCGAAGACGTGGCAGCCTGGTTGGATGGGGATGCGTTTTGGGAGGTGGAAGGTCACGCGGCATGCTTCGCCGGGGAGGGCTTGGACGGTCATTGTTGTTGTGCCGCCTGTTGAAACGTTGAGGTGGAGGAGGCGGATGAGACGGGCTGAGCGTTCGAAGATCCATATTGTTGCGATGGCGTGGGCCCAGCTTCGTTGGGGGAGACTGTCTAGCTTGAGGTGCATATAGACGCCCAGGAAGGCGAGGACGGCTGCCAGCTGGTGGAGGTGCAGGAAGGTCTCGTAGAATGCGTGCCGGATTGGGGAGGGCGAGTGCATGCATAGGAAGATCATTGCGACGGTGCCGACTAGTCCCCAAGCGAAGAAGGGCGTTGTTCGGACGCGGGTTAGCATGTGCGCAAAGTCTTGCTCATCGCAGGCGTTGACAGCCCATGCGGCTGTGTGGACGACTGATTCAAGGACGACCATACGGCCCAACCAGCGGTGCAGAAGGTTGTATGTGTCGAAGCTGATGTGCAGGATTGAAATCAGAGGGTTGTTACGGCCGGCGAGGAGGAAAAGAGGGACCATGTTGAGGGTGGCCAGCGTCCCGGATCGCCCGCGAAGCTCAGCTACCAGGGCTGCTTTGTGGTTGACACTGTAGTCCAAGATCACACAGTATGCGACCTGGCTGGCGAAGTATAGGACAACCAGGATGGTCTGCAACCGCGAGGGCAAGGTACCGACATTGACGACAGAGGAAAGCTGCAATTCTCGATTGTGTCTCTTCTTGCCTAGTGGGGCGTAGAGGAAGTGTTTCTTCATATTGGGCCACCATGATGAGTGTTCTTGGGACCAGAAGGTCTGCTGTTTCTTGTTTGCGCCGCAGGCGGTGATTTGGCGTAGCCAGGCATGACTGATCTGGGCTATCCGGCCACAGAATAAAGCGACAGCCAAGAAGGCGAGTGAAGAGTAGATGATGCGAGTAATGATCACATCGCGAGGAACGTCCACTCCACCCAGTCCTCTGGAGTATTCATATATGTATGTAGCGTCTGATGCATAGCCTCGTGCCGCGATATGCGAAGAAGCTGCTGCCATTGAATACACAAAGATTCGATACAGGGATGTTGTCTCGAGAGATGAGATGTGTATCAAGTTCCGATAGAGGGTTGTTTCAAGCCGCTCAACGGCTGTGGAGATTGAGATGATTGATATGAGATGATTGCGGGGCTTCGAAGTCGAAGACGGAGAAGAATAAATTCCAAACAGGGCCAACAGGGCAGTCGCGAGAGTATAGATAGGAGCCCTTTTTTGGTGCGAAACAAAGACAAAGTGTCAGAATAGGAACATTGTATCAAACAATGAACAATAAGGATTGTATCAAATGAGCCCTGAATAGGAGGTTTCAAGGTCAACCGGCCAGGTCAATAAAGAGATCAAAATAACAGATAGCAACGGGAGATCTCTAAGAATTTGAGAGCAATTAGAACGTCACCAGGAATCGGGTTGAGGGAAAACTCACCAGGAATGCCACCAAGGGATGAATACACGATTTGAACACCTTTTTTGTGCCTCTATACAGGCTCTATGTAGGGTTTTTCTTCAGAGAATCTTTTCAAATAAAACACAGGGAACAATGCACATGCATATAGACAAAGTCGATGTCAAGATCACAGAAAGTCCCAAAAATCAAAGAAAGTGTATGCGATCAACGCATTGTCGAAACCAGCGATGGAAGCCAAGAGAAAAGAATGAAATGGAAAAAATAGAAGCGAAAGCTCTGACATCCAGTTCGGCGGCTGCAGGAGTTTTAAAAGAAATCGAACTGTTGCACCGAGAGGTCCGACATGTCAGGTTGGACGAGATCCCCTCTATGGTCTGATTAGCAATTAGATATGTATTCAAGGCGTTTAGATTGCTGGAGCCTATCGGCAGGACTCCTTTTCAGATTCCAAGCACGCCGGTGTTTCCAACAAGTTCAGGGACCCTTTAAATGGACACTGTGATTTGCTGGTGATCATCCTTGCATGTCCAGCCTGGCCGGCGTCACGCCAATGCTTGGACGGAAGGCCCTGGTTCATTTCAGATTTGCCATGAGGGGCATAAAGGGGACAATATTAATTAATTCGCAAGAGGTTTCGTAAAAGGATCCATCGCGACTCCATTTTTAGCTGTCATACGCTGTATCGTCCCTTATAGGTGTCTCTTGGGTGGTCCGACATTAGCTTTGTTTAGGTGTTTCAAGTTTTGAAGTTGTGCACAACTGATCACTTTTTTGGGCGGTTGAAACTTGTGGCGCACCCACTGCATCATATTGTGGCTTCGACTTACACTCACTTAACACATGCATAATAGGTAGATAGTAACCAATAGCCCAGTATAATAAAAATATAGGGGGATGCAACGACCATAGTTAGTCAAGTTTAATATAATTTATATACACGCTAGATCCATTCTCAAACATTGGTTGTGGTGTTTACCGACCCATCCATCCACCATCCACAGTAAGAATTTCACCAGAGACATAACCACTAGCCCGACTAGCCAAAAAAACCACCGCACCCTTGAAGTCCTCAGGAGACCCCCAACGGCCAGCGGGAATACGTGCCATAATAGCAGTATTGCGGTTAGAGTCGTTAATCAGAGCTGTGTTCATATCAGTAGCGATATATCCAGGTGCAATCGCATTGACATTAATTCCCTTGGAGATCCACTCGTTCGAGAGCGCCTTGGTCAACTGCCCGATACCACCTTTGGACGCCGCATAGGCGGGGACGGTAATCCCACCCTGGAAGGTGAGTAGCGAGGCAACGTTGATGATGGAGCCTCGGCGGCCGGAGGGAAACTCGGAGGCGTCACGGGCTAGTAGGTAGGCGCCGAATTCTCGGCACAAAGCAAAGACGGAGGAGAGGTTCACTTCTAGTACCTGTGGGTAAAATTCCACGAATTAGAAATGGTTCGATATGCTAAATTGTTTCTATTTCTGGAATTTTAGTGCAACTCACCTCGTCCCAGTCTTCGTCGGGGAATTGCTCGCTCGGGTGTCGCCGTTGGATGCCTGCGCAGTTCACCAGAATCTGCGGCTTGAGCCCTTGACTGGTCAATGCGGGCACGATGTTTTTGACGGCTTTCCGATCTCCCAGTTCGGCGACGTGGATCCACGCTTTACGACCGAGACGATTGATAATCTCGTCTTTGGTTGATGTGTTGGTGTCATCTCTCTGCTGGGTGTTAGTTGCTGTGCCCTGTTATCTGTTTGTGCTTCTTACCTGAACCAAGATAATATCGGCACCGGCTTCGGCCAAAGCAAAGGCCATGGCTTGGCCGATACCTCGAGTTCCGCCGGTGACGAGGGCGGTTGTCCCGCTGAGGGAGAAGAGGCTCATTACATCTGCCATTGTGAAGTATGCAATATAAAACTGTATTAATTGAATGCGAGAGTACTGAAGGAAATCAAAATACTAAATAGAAATTGTGAAGTACAGAAACAAATGGAATTGACCCCAATGACGCGGGGTTAATCCGATACGGCAATTCCTACAGCCGGGTCAATAGCCGGTCGGGGATTGAGGTATTTTCTCCAGTTATTTCTTGGTTTGTTAGTTACGTATATGTATATTGATTTAATTTTAACTATATATCGATATGCAGGATAAAATTGGTGCATTCGAAAGATATCAGACAAAATTATACATGGGGAAAAGTGTACAGTAAATGTACAGTAAATGTAGAGACATGTAGAGACATGTACTCCGTAGAGAGGGAAAACATAAGCGCAACAAACTTCCCCCACAACCTGAGCTCCTCCAGATGAGTAAGGGCTGGACCTAGCTTTTGTGGGGACGCCTCCAAGGCTCTTTTTTGTATTCTCCAGTGCTCCTCCCCAATGCTTCGTTTTTACAAACATGGAGGAAGAATCCCCAACAGAAAGCGCGCGGCGCGATATCGCCAAGCGAGTATCTCGAGCCTGTTTGCATTGCCGACAGCGTAAATCTAGATGTGACCTGTAAGCCCTTTTATCTGATTCTATTCATCAGTATAACTTTCCCCGGATCTACATTCCAGCGCTAACCCATACACAGAGACAGCAACGGCACAGGCAAACCGCCATGCCAGCGCTGCGTTCGTGAAAACCGCGAATGCGTCCTCGGCGGCTCTAATCGCGGAGGTCGTCGAATCCGAAAGAACAAAATCCAAAATTTTACACCGGCCACAAACACCTCGCCAAGCAAAGACTCCGACGCTTCAAGTCCGTCTAATTCCGAAAATCGTCAACAGTCAGCCTCCTACCCCGGCCCGGTGGTCTTCCTACCACCGAACCCGCCAGCGCCAGCGCAAGCATCCGTAGATGAAGACGACACCTCCATAGGCTCTGTCCCACGCAATCCATCAGATGCCTGGCAGTGTCTAACCGGGATCGCAACGCACGCCCCAACCGAGCCCCGCGAGGCCCGCTCAGACTCAACCAGCTTCCCAGCATACACGAACCTGCGCAACAGCGTCGTGTCTGAATTCAGCAATCCAACCACAGGCATCAGAGCCTACAGACTGGTGCAGTCGAGATCCCTCGACCCGGAAACCGTCTGGCAGCTGGTCTCCCGCTACGCAGAGAACTTCCACCCGTACCTCCCGCTCGTGCCGAGGAAGTACTTCGCCCGCGCGGCACTAGACGCCTTCGCAAGCTCGGAGAAACACCTGCTCACCGCCGTCCTCACAATCGCCTCCAAGGACCTGGTCGACCAGCCCGAGATCCACGAGTACTGCTCGAAATACATGCACGAACTGATCTCCGGCATAGCCGCCGGTGCGGAATGCGACGTCGAAGCTGTCGAGGCGCTGCTTCTTCTTGCGGAATGGGAGCCGCAGGGTCTACGCCCGCGCATTGAGCGCGTCGGCCGAGGGGAGGAAGACCGCGCGGCGTGGATGCATGTTGGGCTTGCGCTGCGCTCGGGCTATTTCATTGGTATGGATAGGACTTCTTTCCGGGGTGATCCGTTCGGCGACCAGGAGGGGGAGGCGAGGAGGCGGTTGGCGTGGGCTAGTTGTTATGTTTCTGATCGGTTGATTTCTGTGCGGATTGGGAGGGCGTTTTGGTCGCGTGGGCCTGGGCCTATGACTGGTCTTGTTAGTCAGGATTTTCCTTCGCTGCAGCCTGCTAAAGAGGGAGACGAGGATTATTCGAAGATTTTCCAGGCTATGCTTGATCTTACACAGCTTTATGGGAATGTTCATGAGGTCTTGTATTCGGGGATGAGAACTAGTAATCAGATGATGTTGATGGGGGATTATGTTAAGTATGTGGATGATTTCCGACTGGCGATCTTGAGGTGGAAGTCGCTTTGGGGCTCGTTGGATTGTGAGTTTGTTCTTTGGCTCTCTTTGTTGCGTTTTGGGTACTAACATGTTTAGGCTCACCACCCATGCGGGCGACTCTGCAGTTATCTTATGAGTATCTACGTCTATATACGACTGCTTTTGCATTCCAGGCGGCTATTTCTCAATCCCTGGCCAGACCCAAGACTGATGCAAAAGGTCAACGAGAACAGCTGCGATCGACTTTTAAAAACGTCGCCTCAATGCAGGATTCGCGGTTCATCTATGAGTCCGTTGATGCGGCGAAGTCTTACTTGACCATTCTGGTGGACTTGGTAGATCCGGAGAAACATCTACATTTCATGCCTCTCCGCTTCTATTTGTATGGAATCTACTCTGCGGTTTTTCTTTACAAGGTAAGAGTCTGCGCGATCTATATTGTTATATTCACCCTTTTTTGGACCCTCTGACCATAATACAGGCCCGTTCCTTTGGCATGATGGTCCCTTCAGAAGAAGCGAAGGTCCAAGGCTTGGTGGTCCGAACTACTGAAGTCCTCAAACAAGCAAGCGCCGGCACCGATGATGTCGGATCACGCTATGCTCGTCTCCTAGAGCTTTTGTGGAAAGCCAAACCAACGAATCCACCCACAGAATCACAAACAAATAGCGACTTCCCAATGCAAACAGCCCTTCCTAACCCCGTCGCAGACCCCTACATGCAATTCAGCCCAGCGAACGACTTCTCGTGGCTGGACCTGGAAGCTGTAGGGGATTATGTCTCCGGGGACCAAATTTCCGGAGGGCTCTTGGGGCTCGATGCCTTCCAGAATTCATCCGATATGTACCAAGCAGGCCAAGACCGATCGCAGTCCTGGCAACCATCTACCTGGATGGGTGATATGAGCAGTAATCTTCTGTTCTAGGAAATTGTGCGAGTCTTGTAATACACTTTTTACCCCCACACCGGTCGACGGCAAATGATGCGGGGCTGCGGGGGCACACCTCGGAGATTGCCCCGAGGGGTAGCCGTGGCCGCCCTTTCCATTGCTTTGAACTTGGACGAGCTGGTACCTGCCTTTGCATTGCTTGTCACAGCTCAACTTCAATTCAAATCGCATCATGTCCCTCAATGAGATCAAGGGTCGGCTTGCCCTCATCACCGGCGCATCGGGAGGGTGAGTTAGCATCATCTTACCCCAATCCCGAAAATAATGCTAAAATTTGTGCTTAGAATCGGGGCAGCCTGCTCACACCAGCTTGCCCAACATGGAGTCCATCTCGCATTAACATACGCGACCAATCTAACCGCCATGAATGCGCTGGTGGCCGAATTGCAGAGCAAATACGCCGAGAACAAGCTCCGCATCTCGATCCACAAGGTGGACGTCGGCTCTGCTGACGATATTGAGACAATGTTTCAGCAAATCGACACAGAGCACGGCCATCGACCTGATATCCTGGTGTCGAATGCCGGTTACGGAAAACGAGTACCCAATATTTGGGACTGCACCCTTGAGGAATTCGACTACACTCTCCAAGTCAATCTGCGCGCATCTTTCATTTTGGTCAAGGGTGTTGTAGAGCGCATGAAGAGCCAGAATTGGGGCCGTATTGTGTTTATGTCCTCGATTGCTGCTCAAGGCGGAGGTATCAATGGATGCCGTATGTGATTTTTTTTTAATTCTTCCTGCGACACTGGCTAACTCTGTCCTCCTCAAGATTACGCCGCCTCCAAAGGTGGCTTGACCGGCATGATGAAAAACCTTTCTACCCGCCTGGCTGAGTTCAATATCAGTGTTAATGATGTCGCTCCTGCCATGATCGGGGACACCGGGATGATTCCTAATGCTGCGGCTATTCCTGAGGTGGCGGCTGGTATTCCCATTGGTCGTCTTGGGACGCCCGAAGAGACGGCTAATGTTGTGACTATGCTTGTGAAAACGGGCTACATGACTGGCCAGAGTCTTTTGCTGGCTGGAGGCTTAAAATGAGCATCTAGCTATCCTAGCAAATTGTTGTAGCGAGTTATTCAACGCCTTCTATACGAGTCTATGATATTACCAAATTTGAACACAGTTTATTATCTTGGTTCATTCTTATGTATAGAACTAGCACTATATCTTCTTCAACATATACATATTTTGTTCTATTTTCACAATCGGGTATTTCAATCATCATCACCGTCATCAATTAAGACTCAACTCTCACAGAGAGCCATTCGAGTCCCGTCTGTTCTCAATAATGACCTTGACAACAGGATTTCCTTCCTCATCAACTCCGGCGCCGGCAAGCGTGAATGCTCGCTCGCCCTCCTCAAGCTTCAGTCTATGCGTAACAACCTTTTCCTCCACACTCTTCATCTTCCCACTCGCCAACAGCGCAATAGCAGCAGGATACGCATGTCCATCATACCGGAAGACGCCAATGATATCAACCTCCCGTAGCGCCGCAGCACCAACAGGCAACGTCTGGATAGGATTCCCCATACCAATCTGCACCAGCACACCACCAGGCGCACTAGCATAAATACCCGCCTGAACACAAGCCGGCACACCAGTACAATCATAAACGCGACTGAAGCCCGGAACAAGCAGACCGCGCTCCGACTTCGCCGCCTCCGTCAAAACACCCGCTACCCGCTGCGCATTCTCAAGCGCATACGCCGTCTGCTCCGCAACCGGTGCATCCTTAGCAGGAGGCGGGCTCTCTGCCCGCGGAATAAGTACAGTCTTCAGTCCAAGCCCCATAGACTCCGCAATCGCCAACCGCCGCGCATCAATATCCGCAACCACAATCGTCGAGAAGCTCTCGCTAACAGCCAGCGCCCCAGCAAGTAAGAGCCCAATAGCGCCCGCGCCAAAAACCAGCGCAGCAGTCTCCTCCCCAGCAGCAGCGTTCATAGCGACCTCCTCAGCGCTGGGCGGCCTCGACCGCCGCACAGCATGCAGCGTTACAGCGAGCGGCTCAACAAGCGCACCGCCGGCGTCCGACACGCTGTCCGGCAGTGCGTGGCACATATCAGCTGGGTGATTCGTGCGGTCCATGAGCGTGCCGTCCAGATGAGGGAACTGCTTCGCCGAGCTACGGAACTGCATCGCCTTACAGATGTTGTAGCGGCCTTGCTTGCAGAGCGCGCAGGCGCGGCACGGAAGGCCGACTTCCAGCGCAACGCGGTCGCCAACTTTCAGACTTGAGACACCGGCGCCGGTGGCGGTTACGATGCCGGCGGACTCGTGGCCGAGGCACATTGGGCTGCGTACGACGAAGTCGCCGTTACGACCGTGGTTGTAGTAGTGCAGGTCTGAGCCGCAGAGGCCGGTTGCGCGGATGGAGACTTGGACATTTTGTGGGGTTGGAGGTGCGAGAGCGCGTTGTTCCTGGGTTTGTTGTTAGGGTGTTTTTATGTATTTTTTATTGTTTGGGTGTGTTTGCTTACCAGGCGGAGGTCCTTTGCGCCGTGGAGGACGAGGGCGGTGGTGGTTGTGTCTGCCATGATGGGTATTATGTGTAGAGTGTTAACTTTTTGGAGCTAACGACAGTGAAGAAGAGAAGAATTGAAATTGGGAGGAGCTTGAAGTACTAATTTCCGGAAGTTGTCATGAATCCGAACGGCATTTGCACTTCGTCATTCCCCTCAATTTAGTCTCCACTACAGTCTCGTGGGGGAATTCAGCTGCCCGGAGGTGCTCCGCTGTCGGTGTTTGAACAATTAAGGGTAACTTCATTACCCGACGTGGGGGTAAGTGTTTTTGCGTGTTAACAAAGACGAGATAGCTGAGGTGAATATATAGAAAAACAAAGCTAGATAGAGAGTAGAGTAGTAGATGAGTAGAACTGAGTATATAGAAATGTAAATATTCAAGGTAGGAAACTAATACTTAACTATGTAGGTAGTTATATATCCCATTAAATCCGGAGGAGCCCCCGCGATCGCGACATGGGGGTCAGTTTAGATAGCGGGGATACTCCAATCTTTTGTTTCTTGGAATGATTTCCCTTTTATTTTCTTTTCCATCTCTATTAACTCCTTTCAACCCCTTAAACCGTTTATTCTATAATAAAGTTCCTATAGATTTCCAGAATCAAATGTGAGTATCTTCCCTGAGATCGTCCGGCGCATCTAACAATGTGAAGAATACACCATGTCGCAATCCGCTCTCCTCATCGGAGAAATCACACACGCGCGCAAGGAGTGGGAGAGCATCTCTTCACTCCTAGAATTGAAGGTAAGCGATTGGCATTTGCACTGCGCATAGACATCCGCTAAACGAACCAGGAATTTCCCAGCGGAACCAGAGAGGAATTCATCGCGAACTGCAAGGCGGGACAGTATGACGATGTGGTGGCTCTCTACAGATCCAACAACTCCACCAAGGTAAGGGTCTCGATTTTCGAGGCGAAGCTCCCGCTTATGGCGTCTAGTACACCGGTCCCTTCAATGCCGAGATGGTCGCAGTTCTCCCCAAGTCTCTGAAGTATATTTGCCACAATGGTGCGGGATACGACAACATTGATGTCCCTGCTTGCTCTGAAAGGGGCATTGCTGTGTCCAGTACCCCCGTTGCAGTGAACAATGCGACAGCCGATGTTGGCATCTTTTTGATGATTGGTGCTCTACGCCAAGCCCATGTGCCTATTACTGCTCTCCGGGAAGGTAAGTAGTTCTCCGCGAAGCTGGAGTGTAATTCATTTCCGATTCAGAGACTGACCACGTTCACCAACAGGGAAGTGGCAAGGCCCAATCACCGCAGGCGGACGGGAATACCGCACCTCCCTGGGTCACGACCCTAAGAATAAGATCCTCGGAATCCTGGGTATGGGGGGTATTGGTCGGGTAAGCGCAAACATATACTCCAAGTCAAGACCTAACTAACATACTCAGGAAATGGCCATCCGAGCCAAGGCCTTCGGAATGAAGATTCAATATCACAACCGCTCCCGTCTCCCCGCTGATCTCGAAGCCGGCGCCACATATGTTTCCTTCGATGAGCTGCTCGCCAATGCAGACGTGCTCAGCCTGAACCTGGCTCTGAACCCATCCACACGCCACATCATTGGCGCAACCGAGTTCGGCAAGATGAAGGACGGCGTGGTCATTGTCAACACCGCGCGTGGTGCGCTGATTGACGAGAAGGCGTTGGTTGCTGCACTTGAATCTGGAAAGGTATGTATTTGCGGTGAAGAAAGCTTTGGGACTTGGTTGACCTTTTTATGCAGGTGCGCTCCGCTGGTCTGGATGTGTACGAGTGCGAGCCCCAGATCGAGCCTGGTCTGGTTAGTAACCCTAATGTTATGTTGCTGCCTCATATTGGTACTGCTACCTATGAAACGCAGAAGGATATGGAGATTCTGGTGTTGGATAATCTGCGATCGGCTGTTGAGAAGGGTGAGCTAATTACGCAGGTTCCTGAGCAGAAGAAATAGATTGAGAACAGATAGATGTAAATTTTATAGAGCGACTGGAATAAATTGTCTCAATTCAAAGAGCAAAGGTGGTGACATAGATGTACAATGTAGATGTATGTTGTAGTTCGTGATTGACTTTGGGACTTTGCTCCCCAAAAAGAGATCGACACCTTAAGGCCTTACACCTTGACACCTTGACACCTTGGAAAAGATGATCCACCGACACCCGATATTCAAGGCAGCAGTACCTGACTAAGGTTTGACATAAGCCCATCCAAAACGGCTAGCGCTAGGGCTTAGGGCAAAAACCGCCAAGAGCGAAAAAAACCGCACCAAATCTAGTGGCTCAAGCGAGAGCCGGACGTCGAAAAGCGCCAACAACTCATCACCGAGGACCATCACACCCCCTCGCCAACTCCTTCAAGATGGTGAGTGCTGCCAGTCCCTGTTACCGAAAATGAACCTTCAGAACACCATTCCCTACGAAATGCCCGTGTCACGCACATCGTGAAGATATTCAATGTCCATTGAATGTCGGATCGAACTTTCGCTGTCACCTTCAAATCACGAACCACCCGATCATTGCTAACGAGCAATGCTCTCTACAGGTCCGTTACGCCGCCCAGGAGATTTCGCAGGCCAAGAGCGCCCGCGCGCGCGGCTCTTACCTGCGTGTCAGCTTCAAGAACACCCGCGAGACCGCTCAGGCCATCAACGGCATGAAGCTGTCCAAGGCTCTCACCTTCCTTGAGAACGTCACCACCAAGACCATGGCTGTTCCCATGCGCCGCTACGCCGGTTCCACTGGTCGCACTGCCCAGGGTGAGTCGCCCTTTTTTTCCTTCAAAAAAAAAATGAATTCTGGATCGATGGACTGGAGGATTTGTGGGAAGGGGTGCATCGCCGATTCAACGACAGCCATATGGAAAGGGACTTTGCAGAGGAAAATGACTGGGATGAACGATTGGCTTATTGGCGATGCTGTGGATGTCTACGATCCGGATGAAATTTTGCACGGGGCTCGAACATGAACTGACCACTTTGGTTTATAGGCAAGCAGTTCGGTGTCTCCAAGGCCCGCTGGCCCGTCAAGTCCGCTGAGCACATCATTGATCTGCTCAAGAACGCTGAGGCCAACGCCGATGGCAAGGGTCTCGACACCAGCGCCCTGATTGTCAAGCGCATTCAGGTCAACCAGGCCCCCAAGGGTCGCCGCCGCACTTACCGTGCTCACGGTCGTGTATGTTTAACCTAACATCCGGAAACTATCTGACACGAAAGACTAATTTTTCTTTTACAGATCAACCCCTACATGACCAACCCCTGCCACATTGAGCTCATCCTCACCGAGGCTAACGAGGAGGTCAAGAAGGCCGTCGTTGAGAAGAAGGAGCACCTCTCTTCCCGCCAGCGTGGTACCCAGATCCGCCGTGCTCTCATTGACGCATAAACGGATTGCCATAAGAAGGTGTGAGGGGAATGTGGTTACGCAATGAAAAGATTTTTGCGGTGGACGGGAAGGATCGGAGTTCTGTCAGCTGTGTATGTTGGAACGGAATCGATACCGGATCATACAAGATTTTAAGGTGCCAACATTCGGAGGAGAACCAAATAAAAAGTTTAAACGATATGGCCCAGGTTGATGGAAATAGGATTCTGTACTTCCCGATCCAATCATGATACAAACGTGGTTCTTTCTCCGACTCTTATCGAGTTTTTTTTCTATCCGGGCTGCTTCTTTTCCGTCTTAACTGCATACTACTCGTCTTTCGATCTTAATATGATCTCGTTCTTTCATGTTCACTGCATTGTTCGACTGGAATTGTAGGGGCGACTCGCCTTATATGACTAGCTGGACTATTACATCTGGGCATCCAGGTATCAATTTTATTCTGAGGGATTTACTGACATCCAACATCTAGTCTATGTCCGAGCTATACCAGTTCCGGTGCCCGACAGTCTAATCTGCCAGATTCCGCCCCAAAAACACGCCAAGAAACCACCTTCACGAGCAGGGATCTGCATGAGGGGTGTATATAAACCGACAGCACGCCATGAACTCATTCAACCAACCCATCTACCCCAAAAACTCTCAGCAATGACCAACCCCAAAGACTACCATCTCCTCTGCTTCGACGTCTACGGCACATTGATAGACTGGGAAAGCGGCATCATCGCCGCCCTCCAACCAATCCTCTCGAAAACACCCACCAAATTCACCCGCGAGCATCTCCTAACAGTTTACCACGACCTCGAAAGCACCCAACAACAACAAACTCCAGACCTCCCCTACTCAACCCTCCTATCATCCATCCACCCCATTCTCGCCTCCCGCCTAGGCCTCCCCACACCCAGCGACGAGGAAAACACCAACTTCGGCAACTCCATCGGAACCTGGCCCGCCTTCCCGGACACCGTCGACGCCCTGCACCGCCTGTCAAAGCACTTCAAGCTCGTTGTTTTATCGAACGTGGACCGCGACTCGTTCGCCAAGTCCAATGCGGGCAGTTTGCAGAACGTGCATTTCGATTTGATCATCACCGCGCAGGATATCGGGAGCTATAAGCCTGATCGACGGAACTTTGAGTATATGCTGGATGCGGTGAAGGGTGAATTTGGAGTGGCTTCTGATTCGGTCTTGCAGACGGCTCAGAGTCAGTTCCATGATCATCGGCCTGCGAGGGAGGTCGGGATTAAGTCTGTTTGGATTGAGAGGGCTGGGGCTTTGATGGGGAATACGGGAGAGCCAATTTTTGATTGGAGGTTCGGGACACTTGGGGAGATGGCCGATGCTGTTGAGAGGGAGTAAGTACGTCCATATATATGAATGTATGTAGGTAGAATAATACATGTCTACCTATATTTAGACAATAGCGAAAGATCGGCACCGGTGCCTTTGGTTGTGTAGGCGCTGCCGGAGGGAGATGTAGTTGTCGAATATGTCAAAAAACCACGGAGGTGCTCTAGAGTAGTCTTTGGTGTTTAGGACACAATATCCTAGATCCGCTTTAGGCGAAAAATTATAGAAAAAGATGATACCCCATCGAAATTTCATAGTTACTTAGCTCGAGGCACTTACTGGCGATCTAAGCCTATTTTTAATAGTAGAAGCCTGCTTCTTAGGTAGGATCCATGGAACCTTAGGTAGGGTCAGTGCCCAGGTGACCAGATGAACTTAGGTCAGGCGATGATATCTTGATAGCATGGACCTTAATAGTTAGCGAGCTCCCTCACCGGCCTGATGTCAAGTTATTTGACCCTAACTCGCAGTCCCTCTTTAGGGGGGGGGGGGAAAGGCATCTAGATACTTTTCAGCTCAACTTTATCTAACATAAACTGATTCACACATACACGGCTGAGCGAGGGTTTAAGGCGACTCGTGAGTTACTCTGTCACGGTCTATCAAAGATTCCACGCTAATAAATCAATAGGGTTGGGTAACACTCTCTGTATTGGGAAACTGTGCGATCATCTCGTCCCTTGCATACATATATATTTTTGCTGATTTGATACAACAAATAAATGGAGTAGACAAGATAGAGTTTCCATTTTTGAAAAAGATCATTCGTAACTCCTTAGCTTTTTTTCGACTTTCTACAACTAGTGCGTCCTAAATTATCATTCTGCTGTTATGTACGCATTGTAGATGGCCCTAGTAGCTCGTTCTTAGGTAGCGAAAAGATAACACGAAGTAATCGGGGAGAGTCGATTTTTGATGGGAGGTTCCAAGGTTTGTGACAGTCGGGGAGATGGTTGATGCTGTTGAGAGGGAGTAAACACATACATACGTACATCCATGGATATATATAGGTAGAATTATTCCATAGCCCTGGAGACATTGTTTGCTGACCGCGCTGTAGCTATGGAACTTTAGATTTGCATTCACTAACATCAAGTAGTCAACCTTTATACTATTCCTACATAAAATGGCACCTTTATACTCTACAGAAGTGTAAAAAGATAGGGTAAAAGGGATCTTGTAGTGATAGAGTATTTGAAAGTATGTTTAATGTACTCGGTACTTCTCAACATAAGTACCGAACCAGCATTTCCAAGTACTGCCTACATCCGCGCGTGGCAGAATCACCAGGAATAGAAACATCCATTTTTTGCTGGAGCCTGAAAGGACTTGGCAAATGCACGATTACTTGGATGCATACGCGGAAATGGGGGGTTATTTGCCACTAGGATAGATAACATTGTATACACAATGCGCATATATGTATGTGGCGTTGAACCTTTTAGCGAGGCTGTAAACTGCTAGTCTCTGCAGTGTTACTAGTTCACCCCCAGTTGGCCCCCCGACTCGAATTATTTTGTGGAATTCACACTTTCAACATAGCTCCCCCGAGCGAACCTGGAATTACTTGTCACTATGAAGCGGTTTCTAGGTTCTCTGAGCAGACGTTCAAGTGAGTCCCTCACCGTCTCCACGTCTCCCCGCAAATTTACTAATTGTACCTGAAGGCTCCAGCGACAGTGTCTCCGAACACCGCGAAGACTCCCCAGAAGCCATTATCACCAAAGAACTGGTGCGCAACGAGATACAAACTAGGCAACCCTCACTAACACCCAGCAGACAGCCTTTTGCGAATCCAATGGGAATGGCGCTGCGCGCGACACCGTGAGCGCAAACAACAACCCCGGAGACCCCCTAAGAGCAATACTAACAGAAACCACCAGCAAGGAACGGAAGTTGTGCATCTCCCCAAAATTGTCGAAATAGCCGAATCAAGCCCCAATGCCGCCAAAGAAGCAGCCTTGCGCATTCGCAAATACCTCGCCGATCCCGCAGGAACCCCAAACTCCACGCAGTACAATGCCATCATGCTCACCCGCATTCTGGTCGACAACCCAGGCCACACCTTTACGCGCAACTTCGACGCCAAATTCGTGACGACAGTCAAAGAACTCCTCCGCGCAGGCCGCGACTGGCACGTCCAGAGCTATCTCCGCCAGTACCTGGACACCCTAGAACAGCAGCGCTCATGGGACGAGGACCTCAAACTGCTCCTGCAGATGTGGGCGAAGGAGAAAACAAAGGCCTCCCGCGGACTGGTAAGAGCACACCACGTATCTTGCACGCGCAAAACCCACTAATAACCAACCACAGATCGACCGCTTCCCCATGAACTCCGGCAATCCACCACCCGTCCCACCACGCCAAAGCCCAAATCAATACAGCCCACCCCACCAGACCCTCCCAAACCCAGAAGAACTTGCCGCCCGCATCGCAGAAGCGCGCAACTCAGCAACGCTGCTGACCCAATTTGTGCGCTCGACCCCGCCAATAGAACTAGAAGACAACGACCTCGTCAAGGAGTTCCTCGACCGCTGCCGCACAGGCGCGCGCATCATCCAGGGCTTTATCTACTCCCGAAACCCGCCGCCGGACGAGGACACGCTGCAAACCCTGATTCAGGCGAACTCCGAGATCACCGACGCCATCTCCTTCCAGCAGCACGAGATGCTGAAGGCCCGCAAGCTTCGGGGCTCTTCCTCCCCGAGCTCCTCTCATGCTAATAGTCCTGATTCCGTGCCCGTTGCGTCCGGCGCCAATCCTTCTCCTGTTCGGGGTCCCCAAAGTTCTGGTCCTGGGCCTGCGGAATTGCCTAGTACGGTTATGACGGGTGGTCGTGTGCCTGTCGCTCCTGCTGCCCCTCCTGCTGCCCCTGCCACTGCCACTGCTGCCCCCGTCCCTACCCCTACTGCCACCGCTACCACTGCTGCCGCTCCCTCGACTAGTCGCTATGAGTATAATGCTGCGGATTTCGAGGTTCGGAATCCGTTTGCTGATGACTATGCTACCAATGAGTCGTCGGGTGGGCATCGGCAGGATGGGACTGATCGCGCGCGCTAGGGTTTAAATTAGCGCAGCGTCTGTCATCTTTCCATTTGGTTGTTGTCCTTTGTGGTTTTGCCCCAAGCGCCTGGATTTCCTTTCTCCTTTTTTTCTCTTATGATACCTTGCGCCTTGCCTTGTCCATATTTTGACCTTTTCGACATTCTATACCTACAGAGCAGTGTACACATCTGCGTGCCTTGCCTTGCCTTTATACATACTGACGCCTCGGAGCGAATATACTCTCGATTGAACATTCGAATGTCATTACATATTCAACTCATGACTTAAAGTATATACAGGGCCTATGCTAATTTTATGCGAGAACGTACACTACCAAAAGCAACGTACCCAGCTTCACACTTCCCCCCCCTTTTCTCAAACGCCCTACTCCTGCTCAATCTTGACATGCACCCCCCTATCAGGCGCAGCAGGCGAAACCTCCCCATGGAACGGCTTCCTAGCCCAAACCCTTCTCCTACAAAACCATCAGCAACTCCAATCCAACCCAGAATCTGGAAGCAGACTCAACTCACGCGCGCTCATAAACATGATACCTCGGATTCTGCAACTCCGCCCTCAACTTCGCCACATAAACAATAACCTCATCCTGCGACCACGGCGCCGGCTCCCCATACTTCGTAAGCAACCACATCGCCCACCCCTCCATCCCGCTCATCCAGTGCTGGTAATTCACCGTCCCGGCCTCCTTGTATTTCTGGTCGCGCGCCCACGGCCCAATAGGCCACTTGTATTCTTTCTGGTGGAGGTCCACGAATCCCGCGTTGCGGAACGCGTCCTGCATCATGTCAACTGTTTCGAGCGGCCGGCCGGCGCGCTTCCCGCAGGCTGCTAGCGTGGGGCCCCATGTTCGCAGGATGCTGTTTGCGGGCAGGCTGTCGTCGTCGCATTCGATATACGGGCTTGCTTCGAGTTGTTCGAGCCAGCCGCCTGGGCGGAGGTTGCTGGGTGGTTTAGACGGGTGGGTAAAAGGGGTGGAGGGTGTGGGTTAGCTTACTTGTAGCATTGCATGTAGACTTTATCCCATTCTGTGGGGTCGAAGGAGCCGATTAGTATGCGGATGTGGATTAGGTCCTGGGGTTCGTTCCAGGTCCAGTCTTCGGCGATGTTGTCTACTTCCAGGATGCAGTTTGGGGGCATCCATGTTATCGGTGGTGGGAAGAGGTCGACGCCGCGGACGGTAGCTGGGTTTGTTAGGATACTGGTGAAGGTGTTGGGTTGGGAAGAAACTCATTAGGGCTGGCTGGCTTACTATTTGGGAACATGTCGGCCACGTCGCTGGGAGGGTTAGTTGATATCGTGATAGGCATGTAATGGATTTGTGCTTGTGGTTCATGGCACATACATGGCCCAATTACCCTGGCCTGTTCCCAGGTCGAGAATGTGTTTTGCTTCTTGGCCGATGGGCGAGCGGAAGAGGGGATTCTCTCTATCTGAGTCCATGACTAGGGCTACTAAGTGTCTGGTTTTGTTAATGGCTGCCCAGCTGGCCGAGGGCTGGAGATAAGATAGTGTCACATACCCGGCTTCGTAAGTCTCGAATTGCCTTTCATCGGAGGGAACACTGATGGAAATCAGTATTTTGTCTGAGTATTTGGTAGAGTGGAAAACAATAATTCATACATATATCCCTTGTGGTTTAATGTTTGATATCTGCAGAATTAGCCCTGAGCGCTAACAAGCGTGATGAGCACCCACTTACCGACGACCATTTTCTTCCAATCCACGATAAATGGAGGAGCCGATAGATGTAGTTTCTCTGTATTGCGTAAGAATGCGAGCGCTGCAAATTTCGAGTCACGAGTAGCGACTCGGAGAATTTTTACGATTGCCAGTCATCGCCGTAAACAGTGGTGACATAGATATTAGGGTCCTAGTGAGGAGATTAAAAAGTAAACAACAAATAACCCCGAACCGAAACTCACCACGTCGATATCGCCCTGTTCTTCTATTTCGTGATCCATAACGGAGCTGTTTTACCGCAGACCATTAAAAGGAGAAGGGGGGAGTGCTGAGGAAATTGAAGAAATATGATAATTGCGGGTGCGCCCGCCAAAGTCCGGCGGTGTTGGAATTGGATTGGAGGAGATGGGCGAATAGACCCCCCCGCATTGTGAACAAAAGGTTAAGTGCCATGCTGCCGGCTTATTCAGGTATGTAGCTACTGTGGTGGGTGATAGGTACATTTGTTCATGGATATCATTTCCGGTACCTGAGATGACTCGGATTGGTGTGCACAGCTATTTAGGATTTTCACTTTCATTTTCTGCCGTCTACAACGTGGTTTGTGCATATTCTTCAGTGTTGATTAATCTCCACTTTGTCATATTCTATCATGAGCCGCAGTGTACTATACTACTCTTGGCGGATTCTTTTGGTATTTAGTTCCTCTCGCCAAAGTAACAAAAGTACGTGATTGAGAATGGACAACTTTCTGGACAAGCAGGGACGACATAAGTACATAAGTCAAAACAAAAGTCCTGAAACATAAAGCTATCATTAATAAGCTCAGGATAACCAACTATGGATCACGATTGGTAGATCTAATACCCGAAATATGAGGTGATTCACTGAGAAAAATAGGCTATGAAATAGGCTATCCGGAAACGGGGACAGCCAAACCCGTCAATCTACGAAGTATATAAACCCCAGAACGAAACAACCCCATTCCACCAACAACCATTTCAAACCTCCCACTCCAAGTCCAGTTCCAATTCCAATTCCATTTCAAAAGAAAATAGCCCAACAGTCTATCATAATGACCCAACCACGCACCCTCCTCCAACAAACCGCCACCTCCAAAACCCTCGCTCTAACAACCTCCCCACCCCCAACCCCCTCCCACCCAACCGACCACCTAATACAAGTAAAAGCATGCAGTCCCTGCTCCGGTGAACTCCTCTGGCCAGCAAACTTCCCCCCACCAACGCCCCGCACCCTAATTCCCTGCCCAGACATGGCAGGAACAGTCATCTCCGCTCCACCCGACTCACCCTTCAAAGTCGGCGACGCAGTCTACGCCCGGACAAACTACACCCGTCCCGGGAATGCGCGCGACTACACCATCGCCGTCACGGATGAACTCGCGCTTATACCCAAGGGTCTGAGCTGGGTGCAGGCTGCTGCGGTTCCTGTTTCTGCGGAGACGGCCTGGCAGATTCTGTTTGTGCATGGGGTTAATAGTGATGGTGAGGGTGGCGGGGAGGTGGATTGGGAGACTGCGAGGCGGTTCTGGGGCGGGAAGAGAGTGCTTGTTACTGCTGCTTCTGGGGGGGTTGGGATGTGGGTTGTGCAGTTGGCTGTGTTGCTTGGGGCGGAGGTTGTTGGGACTTGTGGGAGTGGGAATCTGGAGTTTGTGAGGTCTCTGGGGGCCATGGCGCTTGATTATCGGGTTGTGGATTTGAAGGACTGGGCTGGCAGTGAGAGGAAGGTGGATGTGGTTGTTGATTGTGTTGGGGGGAGGGCTCTAGGCGATGCTTGGTGGACTGTTAGGGATGGGGGTGTTGTGCTGAGTATTTTTCAGCCGCCGTTGATGGTTCGACCGGAGGGGATTGAGGGGGATGTCAAGGATGTGTTTTTTGTTATGCAGCCTGTGAGGAGGCAGTTGGAGGAGATTACGAAGTTGATCGAAAGGGGGAGTGTCGGGGGATGGTGGATAGTGTTTGGCCTCTTGAGCAGTATGAAGAGGCATTCAAGAGGCTGGATGGGGGTCATGCAAAGGGCAAAATTGTTTTTGATCTTTCACTGAACCAGTAGGGGTTATGATATTGTGCCCCTGTTTATCTTGCATTAGTTTCTGCAGTTTCATACTCGGCTTTATCTACAAGTTCTTTGCCTTTGCGCTCTACAATTTTATACAATGTTACACACAGTCGAACTTAGCTTGATCTACTAGTCCCACGTATTTTTACGTGAATGCTCTCTAGCCATATTATCAACCAGGCTTGATACGATGCTGACTTACGTGCTGTCATATTGGCTATTGGCCAGATGTGTTAGACATGTAGATCCGTCAATCTGTAGATCTTAAGGCTATTGAGTCCACGTGGATAGCCAGTCTAAATGACTATATTCATGCGTTCGGGACTCCTATCCAGGAGAGAAAATAGAGCCCAGCGAGCTGTTCCCGGTTAAAACCCGAATTTGAATACAGTCCAAGGCTTATACTGTGCTCTACCAATCACATTAGTTATACTGGATATCCTCAGCATATTACGTCTGTAGATAAACTGTCTCCAAAACATTGAGAAGTACAAGAAGAAACTCCCTTATAACCGAAATATCTACATTTATTTATAAAAAAAGACGTATGGTTGACTGATCCTAACACCGGAATATTAACCGTTGGATCAATTTATACCCAGCTTCTATTTGAAACCATAAATTATCACCAAATACTAGGCGGTTTCAGAAATTTAGCTTGATTTACAAAGTAGAAGTGGCTTGCTAAACTCGATAGGGATGACCCTCAGATGAAATTGGTCAAACCCCCGATCAATGCGGTCATGTCAAGCTTATTCTGCTATGATCTCCAGGCTCTTAATCACACAGTCGAAATGTCCATCAATCAAATTCGAGCTTTTACCTGTCACTCCTTGGCAGGTCCATAAACATGAAACTCGGAGCATCCTTGTTCGGCGCGTGGAGCCATGCTTGGCAACCCTAGTTCAGGAACGTCGGTGTTGTTTCGGGAGCAAAATCATCAACCGGCCTAATTGAATATACAGCGACCGAGGCCATTTTTTTCCCGATAGGATGGGTCTAGCCTTACCGTCTCACCAGCCGCCTTCTGGTGGAGGAGGGCTGTCCCTTCGATATATCCGACGTGTTTCAAGGGCTACGATACGTGCATATGGCTTCACTAGCTGCTCGATGTCTCTGATGAGGGTCTACTTTCGGTTTGCGGTTGATTAATGCTGCAATCAATCTTAGAGTATCTTTTTACCATGCCGACTATATAACCGGTGGTACGCCGCGACCCCAGACCAGTTGAGCATGCTGGCCTGTCTTTCTTGAATTTTATTCTCATTCTTCATTCGTTTTTCCTCCGGTTTGATACCGTGCAGAGCTTCTTTCGTTCAGTATACATTCTTTCAATCGGTACCGGCTTACCGATCACTTCCATTCTCTCCCCAACATCCAAATTCGACCTCAAAATGAAGCAATTCACCCCCGCCCTGGCCTTCGCCAGCATTGTCTCCCTGGTCAACGCCCATGGATTCGTCACTAGCCCCGAGCCCCGCATGCCCGGCGCCGCCATGAAAGCCGCCTGCGGTAACCAAGTCGAAGTCAACCAGCAGTCCGACAACTACGGCAACATTCAAGGCGAACTGCAAGTTGCTGCTAGCCAGAGCGACTACAACGCCGGGGAGTGTGACATCTGGCTCTGCAAGGGCTACAAGTTCGCCGACAACAAGGCCAACGTGCAATCCTATACCGCCGGCCAGAAGGTCGCCTTCACAGTCGACATCCGCGCTCCCCACACCGGTGTCGCCAATGTTTCCGTCGTCGACACCTCTTCCAACAGCGTCATCGGCTCCCCCCTGATCTCCTGGGATGTCTATGCCTCCACCGCCACCGGCGTCACCTCTGACGAGACCAGCTTCAGCGTCACCATCCCCGACGACCTCGGCAGCCAGTGTGACACCGCCGGTGACTGCGTGCTGCAGTGGTACTGGTATGCCGAGTCGATCGACCAGACCTACGAGTCTTGTGTCGATTTCACTCTCGGTGGATCGGGATCTAGCTCCAACTCTAGCGGTTCCAGCTCCGCCGTTGTCAGCGCTGCTACTAGCGCAGCCAGCTCCACTGTCGCGGCCGCTCAGTCCACCACCTCTGAGGTGGTGGTCGCTACTTCGGTCCCAACTGTCGCTGTCCAGACCCCTGTTGCTTCCGCTGCGCAGACTACCTTCGCCACCAGCACCCGTCAATCGGCCACCGCTTCTGCCGAGCCGGAGGCTGCGACCTCTGTCGCTTCGACTGCTAGTGCTGCCAGTGCTGCCCTGCCTTTCCCCACTGGCAGTGCGGAGGATATTCTGTCCTGGATTGAGTCTCTGGTCGGCAACTTGGTTGGTAACTAAGCATTTCGATGCGCGAAAACTGGCCCACTTTAGAGTCTCGGCGCGTCAAAAATAACCCGCCACTAGTTTTGGATATACCTATATTTCTTTGATCAGTTATATCGGCAATAAATGTTGGATTTACCATGCTCTACAATTTGTTCGGCGATGCTTTGTATGCAACGTAATGTAGCGATATCGGAGCGATCGCTAAACATCCGACAACCGCCACTACCACCTTGACTTCTCCAACATATTCAACAGCTATTCAATTAATACATAAGTAGTCCCAATGCCACCATACAAGAATTAGTATTCCAAAATACAATGTTTTCCCGCCCAACAACCAAACTCCCCACCCTATTCAAGGTCAGATCAACAAGACCCTTCACCACAACAATGACAATGACCTCATCCAAAGACTGGAGCGCAGCGCAATACCTAAAATTCGAAGCAGAGCGCACCCAACCAGCGCGCGATCTCCTCTCCAGAGTCCCCCTAACCACCCCAGCCCGCATAATCGACCTAGGCTGCGGACCCGCAAACTCCACAAAAGTCCTATCAACCCGCTTCCCCCAAGCCCGCATAACAGGCCTAGACTCCAGCCATGATATGATCGCCAAAGCCAAGACTGTCCTTCCAACAAGCGACTTCCACGTCGCGGACCTGAACACATGGACCACAGACGAAAAAGTCGATCTATTCTTCTCAAACGCCGTCTTCCAGTGGCTGAAGCCAGACGAGCGCATCGCTGTGATCAAGCGCCTCCTGGCGCCCCAGGAAAAAGGCACCGTCTTCGCCCTCCAGGTCCCGAATAATCTGTCCGAGCCCTCGCATGTGCTGATGGGTGAGGCGGCGGCTGCGGGGCCGTGGGCGGCTAAGCTGGACGGCGTGCAGAGGGAGGGATTCCAGTCGCCGCAGGAGTTGTATGATCTTGTGAAGCCGTTTGCTGGGGAGGTGCATATTTTTGAGACGAGCTATTATCATTCGTTGGAGAGCCATGAGGCTGTTGTTGAGTGGGTCAAGGGGACGGGTTTGAGGCCGTTTGTGGATCCGTTAGATGAGGACGAGAAGAGAGGGTTTTTGGAGGAGTATTTGCGGAGGTTACGCGGTGCTTATCCTGTTTCTGTTGATGGGAGGGTTTTGTTGAAGTATCCAAGGCTGTTTATGGTTGCTGTGAAATGATTTAGGGTGGTTTGTTTGTTGCAGTGTGCATGAATTATGTATTGTTAATGTGATTTGGGAATTTTGCACATTTGCGAAGGACTCGTTAAAGTGAAAGTGCTCTTTCGTTAGTTGCACTGCCCATAAGGCGTTTGGATTAGAAACTTAAGAAAAGAAAACTCCATTGAACGAACATTTGCGCCGAGATATCTCCTTAAACTTAGCTGAAAGGGATGTTGAAGCTCATTAGAAAAGCAAAGCAAAGCAGAACAAGGAAAAAAAACCAAAGGGACTATAATGGGGAACAGACTGCGAGATCGTAGGACTAGTGGGATGAGACTGAGTCACCGATCCATGGATGATTCCATGTGGGACTAACAAGCCTCCTCATAGTCAATATCCTCCTGGACGACATCATCCTGGTCAATATCATTCTGGACAACATCCTCCTTGGAGTTGATAACCTCCTTGAAGTTGATAACCTCCTTGGAGTTGATAACCTCCTTGGAGTTGATAACCTCCTTGTTGTCATCCTCCTCAGACTTGATATCCTTGATGTTTTTTTTGACAAGTTCCTCCTCGACTTTGATGTACTCGAGCCTGGCACCGTTTTCGATAGCTTCCTTCTTGGGCTTGACGTCCTCGAGCTTGACACCCTCCTCAGCTTTGACGGCATATCCAGTGAGCTTGAAATCCTCATCCGACTCGTCATCATCAATGACAATCTGGGCAGTCTTCGCCTTCTGCTTGTTCTTCTTGTCAGGCTTGACATCTTCAACGATCATCTCAACATCAGAAGAATCGTTCTGAGTCACAGTCTCAAGCTCATAGGCTTGCTTGATACGGGCGTACCATCTCTGGACGGTGGAAACAGAGACGCCGCACTGCTTGGCGAGTGTAGACCAATTCGAGCCCTATAGTATAAGTAGTCAGTATAGATCAAATAGGGAAGTTGTACGGGCATCAACATACGCCGTGCAAGTGATAGCGGTACATGAAGATAGCATCCTTGCTCACGCCGGCGGTAGGACCAGAGCCGGCGCCGGAGCTGGGGGACTTGGCAGACTTCGCGACTCCTGCATTGCCCTTTGTGCCTTTGTTGGCGGGCTTGCGAGGAGTGGTGGGAGATTTGGGGGTCTTAGCTTTGGAACCCATTTTGGTAGTGGTGGTAGATTGGAGGATGTTTGTTTGAGTTGATGGACGGAGTTCGCGTTCAGTCAAGGAGCGTAAGTGGGAAAATTGAACTTCGAGTCCAGATCAAGGGTTGAATTCGGAGCTCGTTTCGAAATCGAGCGTGAGAGACGTTGTTGTGACAGATCTGATTTCGTTCGGTGCACGAATGTGAAAAATGTGGAAGAGGTAAAGAGAAGATGGTGTTTGAGATCGAATTTGAATCGCGCGATGTATCGAACCTATAGGTATGGATCGCACAGTAGATTGCAGGTGGATGAAATCAGAAGGTTTCAAAGACACGTTGTAGGTTTTGTGGGTTGGTCTGATCAAACTGGATCCTTTGAGATGCTCGATTTGTTTGATCGAAAGAAACAAGGGAGATTGCGGCTTCGTAACAATTGCTTAGTCGAATATGGTAGAATTTGCGAATTGGTTTGATCAAGGTGACAGGTTTGAATTAGTTGAGAATGGTATTATCCGAGTAGTAAAATGATAAACCATATACCAAGGCAAAATCGGGTTTCATTCATAGATTAACAGCTAGGCTATCTTATACTCTGCTAATAGATGCATATGGCAGATCTAACACTGGTTGCCCGGTCAATAGACTAGGCCATCGCTGAGTAGAAGGATATAGGAAAGATGGGTCTAATAGAAGACCGAAGCCAAAGACAACCAAGAACAAATCAATGGATCACTAGGAGATGAAGTAAAGTGAGAGATACAGGACATTACTTTAAAAATACACTCCTACTAAACAGAAAGAAAAATTTCGACAAAAAGCATGTAGCAGTAGTGAAACTGAAATCTCGCTGATATCTGTAACACGAGATGTGCATTAGTCGAGGTCCATTTACTCGAGGTAGTTTGTTCAACCCTTCATCTTATCTAGAGGGAATCCAAGGAAAATGCAGTGGGATTTGTATCATGAACATAGATGCCGGATTTGAGTCTACGGTGCGTAAGGTTGCCATTAATTGTTTCGACATTATATTTATCAATTATTTAAGACATAAGAAACGATATCTCATCCGCTTCACGGCTTGCAGTCAACAGCCATATTTCGCAATTAGAATAATTAGTGAGTAGCGTTGGAGGGACGCAGAGCGGCCATAGCCTCCTGAAGAGAGTTGTTGATGACCATCTCGTCATGACGGATAGTGTCGTAGCAGATAGACAGAGCCTTGCGGGCAACCTGGGTAGAGAAACGGCTAGTCTCAGAGCTGACCTTCGAGAGGGTCGACTCGACGCTGCTGCGCTGGGTGTTGTTGAAGTAGTTGAGGTGCTCGACGAAAGCGTCGTTGAGCTCGATACCGCTCAGAGCGAGCTTATTAACATTAGCTGGAGGTTGGTTTCTTTTGCTTTAATGCAGACTTACAGAGTGGTAAGCCTGGCAGAGAACGAGCTGGGAGGACTCAGACAGAGCCATGGTAGGCTGGTTCTGGTTAAGAGCGCTGTCCTCAGTTGCGGCGGTGTTCTTGTAGCTGGTGACGACGTCCTGGGAAATATAATTAGGATCGTTGTAGTGATAGGGCTGGAATAATAAATCATACATCGATGGTGGTGTTGCCGCGGCCGTTGACTGCGCGGTTCAACTTTAGGAAAGTAGTCTTGTAGCCGATGTCGATCTGAGCCAGACGAGTCTGGAGCTTGGGTGCAATGTCGGTGCTGTTGGTAGAACCGGCGAGGGCGGGGAGGGCCATACAGGCGGCCACGAGGAGGTTCTTCAACTGCATGGTGGAAAGGAGTGTGGGTTTGGCTAAAGAGTGACTGTAGTGAATGACGGAGGTTTGAAGATGCAAAAGGGTTTAATGTTCCGGGCCTGCTTGTTCTTATATGGAAAAGGGGCCCATCGACTCTGCAGATCACCGGAGTTGTTCGGTTTGGTGAAATGCCCTAGGAATTCAAGTGGTTCTTGATGATAGCAGAGTGCATCTCGCAGGGTCCATAACTAAGATTAAGATCATCGTAAGTTATCCGAATCAAAGATGGACATATCAGAGATTGAGGACTTAGGGGGGCTTGTTTCGCTAGTTTCGTCGATCGCCGTGCGTGTGGAGCAACAGGGCCACTTTGCCGCATCATTAGTCGCTCTGAACAAGGACCGATCGTGGAAATCCGGCAAGCTTTAATTCGGAGAACTCTTCATCTCTCCGGATCCACTCCGAACCCTACTCAGCCATGTTGGATTGGATCGGTTCCTTCTTGGCTTGATACTAGTACAATGATGGACAATGCTGTTCATATTTCCTTCACAACATCTAGATTACATTAAATGTGCATTAATTAGCAGAAAGCCATGATCAGCAATATGTACAACCTTTAATCCTGTACAGGTCTTAGCGTCATAATCAAACATGAGGCTGTTTCAAGATGAGATGTATCCATCGTGCAAAGGGAGATATGATATCATTCCAGTACCCAAAACAGCCCGATCAGAAATACCTATATCAATATCGCACATATACCCATCTTAGACATGGTAATTCTGCAGTCTGCGCGCCCAGTTTCCTGCATTTTCCAACAATTTCTCAGTATCTTCAACACCGTCCCACAGTTACCAAATCTCGCAGAGTCGCGCACAACGTCAGCCATGAGATTTTCGAATAATCGCTGATTCTGTGGCTGCGCCATACATCCCAGAACACACAACGCCCATACCAAGCCAGTGAGAGAATAAACCCTTGGTCTATTCTGGAGCACAATAATGCTTCTGGAAACCGCACTTTGGATCTCTGGTAGTGCCGGGAGGGGCCCGGAAACGATTGTGTGCAGCAGAACCAGGCAAGCCAGGGCGAAGAGGCGTGTTACCCAGTTAGTTTGGGATTCGTCATCCTCTTGTTCCTGGATGTTCAACGTTTATAAAGTGCGAGATGTCATGATGGTGGATACTTACATCTCTGCTTAGATCGAGCTTCTCAATGCCTGTGGTCAACCGGTCTTTGATCTCTTCCCCTCTCTTGACTAGTTCGTCAATGCTGAGAATACCGTCTCTTTCTTGTACTTCCTTCCATTCCCCGAAACAAGCTAGATCTCCAATGACAATCATAATCCAATTTTCGCAGCTCAGTAGATCTGCTATTTGTATTCCCGCGGTATGGAGCCATTTCTGATACGGGAGTCGTGGTACCCGCCCTGTCGGCAGACACGCGAAAAGATCAAGGGAAACCATTGCGGCTAGAAGGAACTCAAGACCTTCCTGTTGGCGATTTTGATGACCAGAGGACCCGGTGTGCGATGTATAGCGAGCGTCGAATATCGTCTCCGGCGATAGTGACTGTATGACAGATATGACAGCATCTAAGTGCAGTAGCCAGTCATGTTCAGCGCCTCTAAAAACCTATAATTCTGCATTAGATGCGAGATCATTGAGACAACGTCCAGGCCATACCTGGCAACTAATCAAGATCAAACTGCACGCTAGGAACTCGGCCAGCCGAGCATTATCGTCCAATAACTTACCCCGTTCCTCGCCCATGAACTTGCAGAACTCACGGAGCGCCCTGGAATGATGTTCTAGTGCCCTTTCCTTTTGTTGGTATTCCTCTTCACTGCCCATAACTGCACTCTGGTGCAGTGATGAAAGGCTCAGCACGGCATAATAAAGAGGCCCTCGTTTCAGGAGAAGGTATAACAGCCAGCCCCGATTTCCTAATCGAGAGGTAGAGCAGAAATAAGGAAATTGCCATGCAAAAACCTGATCAAGGTAATGCATCAATAGACACGCAGCTTGGGGATCAAACCCTCCATCTTGGACATAAGGCTGCTCTTTTATTTCCAACGATGCACTTGGCACGGCAACCGAATTATCTCCCGTATCAAAAGCAGTCGAGACATCATCTTCCGCCGTGGAAGGGTGTTCTTCTTCATATGTTTGCGACGAGACAATTCTGGTGCGATTTTGCAATTTTCGAATCCGCCGAACATGTTGGTTGATTGCGGCTTTAATCCGCTCTCTTTCTTTCTTTTCTTCGCATCCCCCGTCCATCCATGCTGGCTTCGGTCCATAACCATGACAGCGGACGTTGCGGTCACTGCATTCTCTGCAGGATGGTATTGTTATGTCGCATTTTTTGTGCCGTACCCGACAAGTCCAGCAGCCAATTGATATGGCGCTCATCTGTTTATTTATCGCGGGGCGTTCTCGGGTGGGTTGGAAGAGAAGTCAAAGATCCCGGGGGTGATTGGCGCCCTCCCGACTGTGGACCTCGTGTCAGACGAGTTATAATGTGGGGATGGCATCGCTTTCTTTTGTGTCCATTTGTCTTTACATATTGCAGATGCTGATATCAGAGAGAAAACCCCATATATGTATGAACTTTGAAAAAAACACTGCAATTCATTGAGAGCATGATAGCGCGGGTATGAGTTCATTACCGAGGAGCCCATTCCGAACAATCTAAATTTACTTAAGTAGCGTTTGTAGTTATTTAAATTCATTTCCAGGGCTAGCAATGAAGATAATCATCTGGATGTTCTGATATTCAACTGGGATAAGGCAAGTCGAGCCGGGCGCTACACGTAGGAATTGGCAGAGGGCAGGTCGAGCCGATTCATATGCCAAGAGCGCCGGCCCGAAGAGGGGACTATAGTCGAACCATACGGATGACTGTTGGAAATTGTCACATCATATAGGGTGTCTGCTCGAAATGCGAAATGCGAAATGTGGAATATAATTTATCTGCAACCCAGACACGTATGTGGATTTATACTCGGCACCTTTCCACTTAAACGGCTACTTTTAGGCAAGGCAGTTCACGAGTGGTTTGAACACAAACCTCTACAGTATGGATGAAGACACCATCTTCTTTAATGGCCGTATCCTCACAAAAGCTGGCTCTGGTCTGCATGGAGAGCCCGTGTTTACAGACAGCATGCTAGTGAAGAAGGGCATCATTACTGCAGTTGGACAATTCCAACAAGTCCTCGCTGAATGCCCACCTAACGTGCAAAGGCGAGACCTCAAGCAACAGACTGTCCTTCCAAGCTTTATCGATGGTCACATGCACCTTCTGCTTCTTGGTCAATCGCTGCGCAAACTCGACCTGCGACCCTGCAAGTCTCTAGAGGAAATCCGATCAACAATCAAACAGTACGCAGTCGCCAATCCCGACCTCCCAACTATCCTTTGCAAAGGCTGGATGCACTCCATGACACCGAACGGTGTGACTGCCTCAATGCTGGATGACATTGACCCGAGACCCATCTTCATCGATGCAAGTTCGCTGCACTCTTGCTGGATGAACACCGCCGCTCTGAACGTGCTCGGTGCTGAAACTATGGCGGATCCCCCTGGCGGTAGTATACACCGTGACGCCGAGGGAAGGCCTTCCGGTGTGATGGATGAAGGTGCTGTGATGTCAGTTATCTGGCCATTCCAGGCATCGTCATCGCACAAAGAAGAGCGCGAGCAGTCAATTCTTCAAGCCATTCATGAATACAATGCGGCGGGATATACGGGCATTATCGAGATGGCGATGGACGAAGAAGCGTGGGACAGCCTTGTTACACTGCGTTCGACACAATCAGACCTCCCAATGCGTATTTCCGCATACTGGCTGATCAAGCCTTCAACAGACCGCGAAGCCATCTCCAAACAAGTACAGCGCGCGATTGAATTGAGTCGACAGTACAACTCCAGCACAAGCCCGGACCTCCGCATCGTCGGCGTGAAGGTTATCTGCGATGGAATCGTCGATGCCTGCACCGCCTTCCTGTCCGAGCCCTATGCACCCATCGCTTCGCCGCCTCCAATCTGGGAAGCGGAGCAACTAGCACTCGTCGTCAAAGAAGCAGACAGCGCGGGTCTTCAAGTAGCCCTCCATGCCATCGGCGACGGAGCAATCAAAATGGCCATCGATGCAATCGAGAAGCACGCAAGCCCAGGGCGACGCCACCGCATCGAACACCTTGAGCTTGCGTCTCCCGAGGACGCAAAGAGGCTAGGGGAGCTCGGCTTGACGGCATCTGTTCAGCCTGTGCATGCGGATCCCTCCATTCTCACTGAGTGGCCTCGTCTCATTGGAGAGGAGCGCTGCGGGAGGGCATTTGCGTACCGCGAGTTCGCGGACGCGGGGGCTCTTATGGCGATTGGTAGTGATAGCCCTACTTCGCCTTGGGCTCCGATGGATAATCTTTACGTGGCTACCACGCGGAAGTCGTCTAGGAATGTTGAATATACCAAGGTTGTTAATGAGCACTTCCGTTTGGGGATGTGTGAGTCTATTGTTGCTGCTAGTGGGGGTGCAGCATGCAGTGTTTTTGCGGAAGAGAGGACGGGGAGCTTGAATGTTGGGAAGTTGGCGGATTTTGTGGTTGTTGATATGGAATGGGAGGCGGAAAGGTTGCTGGAGGCGAAAATTAGGGAGACTTGGTTTGGGGGGAGGAAGGTTTGGGCTGATTAGTTGAGTAGAAGATGATTTGTAGATAGAAGCGGAATATATATCCCTCATCATGCAGTGAATATGTCAACAACAAAAAGCCAAGTAATAGCCAAGTAAAGGTTAACAGGGAGGAAATGATGCCAAGACCAATGTCTTGGCAGGAGTCGTGCTCATTTGCAGGGCATTGCTTCAATGTTCGTACTTGGATACTTCATTTCTTGATCTTGCTATTAATATTGCAAATATACAGAGCTCTCATACTAGTTTTATTTATGAAACACTCTGGTATAATATTGATTCATCGTAGAAGTCTTTCAACAAGCAAATCTGCAATGCAATGCATAAATGATCGACACGATAAGCGATAAGCACTGCCACTTTCTGAATTTCTCCAGGGCTATCCCCTTGCATTTTGATCCATTCTATTTCTTCTTTCATCCCATCTACTCTCAAGTCCTACCGCCAACATGGAGGAGCATTTGCGTCACAGTTTGTCCAACCACCCCCACGTCTTTCAGAATCTACACCATAGTAGCTCCAACCGCTCGGACAGGATGACACCCGTCAATGAGGGGACGACTACCGCCCTCGAACACGAACTGACCACGATGCAACAACATCGCAATGGCAGCTCCAGTGACGAGGAAGGTGCCCCTCCTCCACGCTACACCTCCGAAAATGATCCATTTCGCCTCGCCTCGAAACTCAAGACCGAAGACGAGATTCGGCAGATGAAAGCCAACACCTCCCGGAAACGTGATTCCACTAAAAACACCAAAGGTCACAAAGTCGCAGCCATCGTGCAAGATACGGCCCGTCTCGGCAAGCAAGCCTTCATCACAAAAAAGCTGCAAGGCTTCTACGAGTCCCAGAATGAAAACATTGAACGCATGCTCAAGCCCGTCGAGGAGCACCGCCGAGCCGCCCGTGAGCTGAATGTCGACAACCGTCTCAAGTACCGTATCGCCGTATACGGCTCCTTTGCTGCAAACATTATCCTCGCCGTCATCCAGGTTTATGGCGCCGTTTCATCCGGCTCCCTCTCCCTCTTCACCACAATGGCCGACGCCATCTTCGACCCCATGTCCAACCTGACGCTCCTTCTGTGCAACAAGGCCGTCAACCGCGTCGATCCGCGTAAGTTCCCAGCAGGAAAAGCCCGTCTCGAAACAGCAGGCAATATTTGCTTCTGTTTCCTCATGACTGCTGTCTCTTTCATCTTGATTGCGTTCTCGGTCCGCGAGCTGGCGGTCGGCTCCGAGGAAGAAACTCAATCTTTCCATCTTCCCTCTGTCATTGCCGTCGCCGTCGCGTTTGCTACCAAGCTCGCCCTCTTCTTGTACTGCTGGGCCCTCCGCAACCAGGTTTCGCAGATTCGCATCTTGTGGGAAGATCACCGTAATGACCTGTTCATCAACGGATTCGGTATTCTCACTTCTGTCGGTGGCAGTAAGCTGCGTTGGTGGATTGATCCCATGGGTGCTATCATTCTCTCGGTCCTGGTCAGCGGTCTGTGGCTGCACTCTGCCTACGGCGAGTTCCAGTTGCTGGTCGGTGTCACCGCGGATACAAAGATGCAACAACTCATCACATATATCTGTATGTCTCCTTTCCATTACCTTCTTTCTTTAATCTTGAAGGCCGTTTACTAATATCACCAGCAATGACCCACTCCCCTCTCATCACAGCCATCGACACCGTCCGCGCTTACACATCCGGTCCTCGTCTGCTTGTCGAGGTCGATGTCGTCATGGACGCGGATGCAACACTACGCGCTACCCACGATGTGGCGGAAGAACTCCAGATCAAGCTTGAGTCTCTGCCTGACGTCGAGCGTGCGTATGTGCATGTCGACTACGAGACAACTCACAAGCCCGAGCACTCTCTGAAGAAGGAGCTATAGGCTTGCTTGGCCGTCTGATTGATCCAGATTTATGATGGTGGAACTTCATGATTGGCACCATAGCGTAGGTTTTAAATAAGAATTCTTGGTTCGAAGAGCGTATCTCTTTTTTGGAAAACAGACCCATCCCCAAAAAAGGTCTGTGCGTAATACGATATCTCCCTTGGGTTGAAATGAGTACATATCTCCGGGCTGCGTCTATGAATCATGCAAAGCCCATACCTCAGCGCAGGGACGAACATCTCAACAATATTAAAGGCGGAGAAAAAACCCGTCTAGGCGGTATTGACTGTTTTCTCGCTGTTGGACTACAGGGTATTACATTGATCAAAGACCCAATTTGCCTTCAATTTGTTGTTCTGTCAAGGGAGTTGAGGCAAGCTAACTTCACTCAACTTGTGGGAGAGAAGATATTGTCGCATCTGGAGACTCGGCAAAGATCTTCACCGTGTCAACAATCCTCTTCGCCAACAAGCCAGCCTGCGTCGAGCTCATAGTTCTACTCGTAGTCATGACATGGATTTGCAATCCACCATTCGCAGCGATAGACCGAACCAAAACCTGATTCCCGAAATATCTCTGGAACAATCCACCCGCGTTAGATATTATAGCGCCACCCTCGAGGACTTGCGGGGCGTCATCATCAGCACCTAGGTGGTTGATGACGAATCCCACCTTACTGCTTGGCGCCCAGTCCGTACTCCTGGCAACGATCTCCGGCAGATCGAGATGTCCGTATCGCGAGACCTGTGTATACTCCTCCCTTAGCGTCCGACACAAATCGTAGACGGAGCGCGAGCGATCAAGCCGCACACGCAGTGGATTGATGTTCACACACGGACCGACGATCTCCTGGGCCCCTGGCAGGTCGATGTCGCGGGTGCTCATGAACATGGAGAATATTATGTCGTCGGATTGCACGAGGTCTGCGAGGAGCAGGGCGAAGGCTGCGTTGACTAATACAGGGGTTGTGATGTCGTCCAGGGTACGGGGTAGTTCTCCGATGGCCGACTCGTGGATATCGCTGGCGGACATGGCTGCACTTGTATCTGAGTTTGGGGGGATTGTCATTGTTGATCCGAGGAGATAGTTTCTCCAGAAGTCGAACGCTGAGGAGGGTCGATGGCTGGCGCAGTAGTATGCGTATTTGGAGAATGGTGTGCGAGGCGGTGGTGAGCATCCGGCTGCGTTATAGGCTGTCGCGAGATCATTGAGGATCAGTGAGTATGCGAAACCGTCGTACTGGGCGTGTGTGAGCCGTATGATGAACATGTGGTTGTCATTAGACTGGGAAATCAGAGTAAATTTGACGACTGGGGTTCCGGAAACTGCATCGTCGTGGATGTAGGAGTCGCAGAGAGAGTTGCATGCCGACTCTAATGGGATTGTCGTGTTGATATGGTCGAATGAAACATCGATGCTCTCAAAAATGGCTTGAAGCATTCTTCCCTGGTGTCGTGCAAAAGCCGTGCGCAAAGAGGAGTGACTTTGTACCAAGGACTCACAGGCCGATCGCATTCGATCGGAGTTGATCTTTCCTTTTATGGATAAATAGAAGCAAGCCAGAGGCAAGAACTTGACTAAGAAGGACTGAGATTCTGTGGCTGGAAGAACGTCGATTGCTTTGTTATTGCCAGCAGAAAAGCCAAGAGCCTCGGAGGAAAAAAGAGATCTCTGCTGAGCATTCAGGAGAGAGAAGGGCTCAGAATCAAAGGCTTCACTGTCACCTTGCTTGTCAACCAGGGCTTCAGCTAGAAGGTTGAGCTGTCTGTGAGCAAAGATATCCGACACGGACATGCCTAAGCCTTGAGCCCTAGCAAGACCAACAACACGCATCGCCACAATAGAATCTCCGCCGAGTTTGAAGAAACTGCTATTTTTGCTAATGGAAGAAGACGGGATGTTCAATGCTTGTGCCCATAGCTGCTGGATTTTCTGCTCCATAGCCGACGAGTTCTCTGTGATAGGCGAAGCTTGTTGCTGCAAGCTTATGGTAGAATCCATCTCCAGCTGCGGCAACGATTGGGTTTCCGTTTGAGAATCACTGATCGTATAGCTCTGCAGCTGCGAATTTGAGAGTGTCTGGAGGACTTTGCGGAAGAACCCTCGGTCAAGTTTCCCGGAGACCATTGCAGGCGCGTGTTTGAGTGGTATATACACAGCTGGAACCATGTAGGACGGCAATGCCTGGCAAAGATGGTGCCTTAACCCGACCAGCTGACTTTGGAGTCCTTCCCAGACTACAAAAGGAACGCTGGTATCGGCATTGGTTACCAAGCCTTGGCTGGGGCAGACAAATGCAACAAGGTGTTGACTTTGTGCTTCGTTGTCCACAGGGGAGCTGACGATTGCAATCTCAACAGCTACATGCATCTCGCTGCCAAGATACAGCCTGACTTGGTGCTCGATTTCTGGCAGCTCAAGACGCTGACCGCGAAGTTTGACTTGCATGTCTTTTCGTCCAAGGAATGTGAAACTCCCATCTGGCTTTTGGCGGACAATATCACCGGTTTTGTAGAATCGTCGGTCTTTACCCCATGTAGGGCTTTCAATAAATGCAGCAGATGTGGCTGGTTCATTGTGGATATAACCACGAGCAAGGTGAGGGCCCTCCACAAGTAATTCACCGGGACAGCCACGAGGGGCGAGGTGATTATGGTTATTTTTATCAACAACCCAGCAAGCTCCACAGGTTGCCCTTCCAATGTTGGCAGGGTCGGACTTGGGGTCCACCTTGGTATTTGTAGTTGAGATCACGGAACATTCAGTTGGTCCGTATGCATTGAGAGCATTGACACCTTGTTTCATCCAGCGCGTGAAATCGCTCTTAGAAAGAGCCTCACCTCCCAAAACAATCGTTTTTAGGCAAGGCAAGGTGGTTGGGTCCAATATTCGGGCGTAGGACGGAACCAGGAAAGCCCAGTTCACCATCATGCGGGTCATGGCTTCCGGTAAGGAATTGAATTTTTCATCATCGCTAGGAATACAAATACATCCTCCGCAAAGGATAGTGCTCAACGTCTCAAGCAAGCTTGCGTCAAAGCTATTCGAGGTAAATTGAAGGACTCGTGAAAATTTGCTGAGGGAAGTTGCTTTTGAGAATCCAGCCCAGCTTGAAATAAAAGCACCATGCTCGATCACCGTTCCTTTTGGCTTCCCCGTGCTTCCCGAGGTATAGATGATGTATGCAATGTTATTTGCAGTGACCTGACTGGTAGGATGATAATTTTGGGGGACTTGTAGCAGATCGAACTGCTTCTCATCTAATTCGAGCACGGTTTCGGCCACACTGTGTGTGAAAAGATTCGCGAACTGCGGCGACGATAGCACAATCCGGCCCTCGACATCCTTGACTAATTGACACAGACGAGCTTGAGGATGAGATGCGTCCAGTGGGACAAAGGCACCCCCGGCTTTCAACACTGCTATAGTAGCAACGACTGACCAATAAGACTTCTCAAAGCATAATGGCACACATGTCTCGGGTCCGACTCCGTAGCAGCTTGTCAAAACTTGTGCTAACTTTGTGGATAGCTCATCTAATTTTCTATAAGAAATCTCTCCATCCCATGAACAAATTGCTTGAGCTTCTGGTTGCTGCTGGGCGGTTTGCTGGAACACTTCATGGACACAGGCGTCCACATAATCGGAGCTCGGCTTTGCGTTCCAGGCTGCGATGCTCGATTCATCATGCGAGCAAAAGATATCGATATCACCGAGAAGTTGTTGAGATGATTCACCATTCAACTTGGTGATGGCCTGCTGGAAGTGGTGGGCCACACTATCCACGTCCATCTTTGAGAGTACCCGGGGGTCAAAGTGAGTTTTGATGTCGAGCGTATCTTGATTCGGCCCCAGAGTGCATTCAACGACCAACCCGTATGGGTGAGCTTCGACGTCATGTGTGTCCAATTGGCTCCAGTTGAGCGGATGAGCCTCAGCGTTGTGGGGCTGGATTACCAAGAGGTTTTGAAATTGACAAGCAATCTCCGTATCCGCGTTCAGCTTCCGAATCCTAGGAAGTCCCATGTGCTCGAACGAAATCATATCAGTTGCTTGCGCCTGGACTTCCTTCAAGTACTCGTCCACATTGCGTCCATAATCCAAAACGGCTCGCGTGGGAACTGTGGCAATTGTCGGCCCCAGCATTTCTGTCACTCCTCTGACGGGTGTGTCTCGCCCGATGAGAATGGTCCCGAATACAACATCCTCGGAGTCCGAATGTTTTCCAACCGTCAAAGCCCATGCTGCCTGTATAATAGAGGATATAGTGATCTCTGAGTTATCCCGGCGAGCGATTTGAGTTGAATACAACAAAGATGCACTGGTCTCAGGCTGGTATGTCTTTGAAGGTAATGCGGGAAATAACTTGGTACTGGTGTTGGATAGTCGAGACTTCCAGAATTTCTCATGCTCGAGAGTGTCTGTGTTGATGACATGTTCAATAAAGCGGCTGTACTTCGGAGGTCTGATTTCTTCCTTGTCGGTTCCACGGTATACGGCAGCCACCTTTTGCCAAATCAGTGCAAGCGACCATCGGTCATAGATGCAATGGTGAATGGTCCACACAAAGTTGAGACTGTTGTTTTCAGAGTCGGAGACAATCGCAAATCGCACAAGAGGATCACCAAATCCCATGGCCGTTGCTTTGTCTTTCCGTAAATAATCTTGCAGACCAACTGATTTTTCCCAGCGAATACCATTTTTGACAATGATTTGGAAGCAACCAGCAGGATCGTTCAGGCTGACCATACGGGTCCGGAGAATATCAACCGTCTCAACCACTTGATTCCAAGCCTTCTGGAAAGACTGGACGTCGGTGCCGGTAGGAATCTGGAAGACAAACTGAGCGAGGTAGCTTCCTGGTTGCTTGTTGGAGATAGACATCAATCCCGCCTGCAGTGCAGTACAGGGGTATACATCCTCAATCAATGACTGATCAATTCGGAGATGGGCATCGCTGATCTGGACCAAGATGTCTCCAATATCTATCCCTGTGGTTTCCATGAGCTGGAAAGGAGCTATATCCTCGCTCTCTTGATCTGACTCGGACATCTTTACCACACTTGCCATCTCAGAGAACTCGGGATAGCGGAAAATTTCCGTGACAGGCATAGACAATCCGGCCTTTTGGGCTGCGGCTGCGAGGCGCACAGCAATGATTGAGTTACCTCCGACTTCGAAGAAATTGTCATCATCGTCGATATACTCCTCATCAATTGCCAATTCGGCGGCCCATATTGATTTGAGCAATTTTTCCATTGGCAATGGTAGGGATAGCTAATACCTGTTTGCAGTGTGTCGTTCTTTCAGTTGACAATGGAGGATCGTTACTAGGATTTAGTTTTTGGCTAGGAAATCCTCTGACCATTACGATGACGTAGTTCTCATAAGATTCTCTATCGGAGCTGAAAAATAAATGTAACACAGAGTCATAGCAATGCATATAGGGGGCTGGGATCTGCAGTTCGTGAGATCATGCTAGTGGTCGCGATCTTCAACAATCCACCTTCAAGCAGATTCCATCGAAATCTGACGAACCGGCCCTTAGCTTTCTCCTCATGCATGTCGCGATCTATCGGCTTCGAAAGAATAACAGTTGACCGCTTGTTGGATAAAAATAACTCCAAACTTTTAGTTTACGCTCAAAAGTGGTGAGCCACCATCACATACTTTTTCTTCCAGCATTCGAAACGCGAAAATGACAGCGACAGAACATCCAACATACCCGTGAGTAGTAACATCCAGCAATCCTTGGGATGCGTAAATTCTAAATTTCAATCATAGAGTACCAGCAACCCATTTCTACCCGGACAGAGATGGCCCAAATCTCCGAGGAATGGATGAGTACAGAAAACTGTACAAAGAATCCCTCGACGACCCAGAAGGCTTTTGGGCCAGACTATCCCGGGAGCTCTTGACACTTGATCAGGAGTTCACTACCGTCCGTGAAGGAAGCCCAACAGAAGGCAATACCTCATGGTTCCTCGGCGGCCGTCTAAACGCAACATACAATTGCGTCGATCGCCACGCGAAGACCGAACCCTCACGCAATGCCATTATCTACGAGGCCGATGAGCCCAATCAAGGCCGAACCGTCACCTACGGTGAGCTATTGGCCCAGGTCTCAAGCACTGCGTCAGCCCTCCGAGCGTTGGGCGTCAAAAAAGGCGACCGTGTCGTGGTTTATATGCCGATGATCCCAGAAGCGTTTGTTAGCGTGCTTGCTATTTCTCGGCTGGGAGCAATCCACACTATCATCTTTGATGGATTTTCTCCGAGCTCGATCGCCGATCGCATTCTGAATGCTGACGCAGAGCTGGTTGTCACGGTTGACCAGGCGAAACGCAGTGGACGAGAAATCGCCATGAAGAAGGGGGTTGACGAGGCTCTGTTGAGATGTCCCAAGGTTCGCACAGTGCTTGTCTACCAACATTGTAAATCTCCGGTGTCGTGGACGGAGGGCAGAGACGTTTGGTGGCATGAGACTGTTGACCCTGCTGCTGAATTTGTCGAACCTGAGATTATGGATTCGGAAGATCCTCTCTTTATTTTGTATACTTCTGGCTCAACAGGGAAGCCCAAAGGCTTGGTGCATTCCACAGCCGGATTCCTGACCGGCGCCGCAGCCACTGGAAAATACGTCTTTGACATCCAACCGTCGGATACCTTCTTTTGCGCAGGCGACATTGGCTGGATCACCGGCCTGGTCTATGGGCTGTACGCACCACTCCTCCTAGGATGCACAACAGTCATTTTCGAGGGTAGTCCGCTGTATCCGACTCCGTCGCGGTACTGGGAGATTTGCGAGAAACATGACGTGACGCAATTCTATGTGGCCCCAACAGCTCTCCGTCTTCTGAAGAAATTCAGCGACTCTGAAATATCGCAATCGTTGCCTTCTCTGCGAGTTCTTGGGTCGATTGGTGAGCCCATTGCACCAGAGGTATGGAAATGGTATTATCAGGCCGTGGGAAAAGGGAAAGCCCATGTCCTAGATACGTACTTCCAAACAGAGACGGGCTCACTGGTCCTTACACCGTTGGCTGGTGTCACTCCCACAAAACCCGGGAGCTGCACCCTTCCATTCTTTGGCGCGGACCCGGTCATCTTAGACTCTGTTACCGGAGACGAGATCAAATCGCCGTGTGCCGAAGGCATCTTGGCCTTCAGGGACTCATGGCCAAGTATGGCAAGGTCCGCATGGGGTGACCACGAGAGATTTTTGGACACTTATTTCCGGCCGTATCCTGGCTACTACGTACGTTTCATTCCATCTCGCGTGTTACATTGTTGATTGCTAACATGTCTTTGCCTCAGTTTACCGGCGACAGTGCCCGAAGAGATTCAGATGGCTACTACTGGATCAAAGGCCGGATTGACGACGTGGTGAATGTTTCCGGTCATCGCCTTTCAACCGCAGAGATTGAAGCCGCTCTTCTCGAGAACACGTTTGTTGCCGAGGTGGCGGTTGTCGGTGTGGACGACGAAATTACCGGCCAGTCGGTGGTTGCCTTTGTGGCTCTCAAAGAGCAACCCCAGGGAAGAGACATCCGCAAGGATCTGAAGAAGCAGATTACTCGAAGTATAGGGTCTCTGGCACTTCCTAGGGTCATCTATTTGGTTAGTGATATTCCGAAAACACGCTCTGGGAAGATCACTCGGCGTATATTGAGGAAAATTCTCAGTAACGACACGGAAAACATCGGGGATACATCCACCGTGGCAAATCCTGCAGCTATAGGAATAGTTGCGGAGGTTGTTCTCGGAGCAAAGAAGTGATCTGAGCCTCTCACTCACTAGGTCATGATGGAGTGCAGTACCCGATGTGAAAGCTGCCCAATCGAAAGATAGATTGCTTGATCTTCTGGCTGCTGCTGCTGGGCAGTTTGCGGAGATACTTCATGAATGCAGGCGTCCACATATTCCGAGCTCGATTATGTGTTCCGTGTACTTGCTAACGTAAGGAAGTGTCCATATACTTTGTTTGAAAGGGTACCTTTTGACAAGATCCTCTGCCTAGCCGAGTGGCTTGGGCCACTGGGACACCGCTTGCGGTTCTTTCCCACAGTATGTGTGCTCAACTGGCTGGCCCCCAGTTTGAAGCTCTCAAAAGAGGATTCACCCCTTTTTTGCTTTTCCCCCCCCTAGTATAGAAACAATGTGACAGTTTTCACTTCTTAATATAATTTTTTTTCCTTTACGACCCACTTGGGTATGTCTTGGCTAAGAAGGTCGCGAAGGTCCGAGCAATAATCTAAATTGGACCTTTTTCTCTTTTTGCTCCTATTTCTTTTCATATACGGATGATACTTGTATTTCTTAATATTATTCTACAGAAGGGGGAATAATATAGTTTCTCGTCGGGCCCTCAGGGCTTCAGAAAAATGCACTGAGTTGCTGTGTTAGTTGTTGTTTGCTCTAGGAGCTTTATTTGCCTAATCGGGAAGGTAGCGGCTCCATTGCAACACGTGACTGGAATCTATGCCTGCAGGCTATGGCACCCGTTTCATATACAATTGTGATTCAACCGATTCGATCGATCTTGAAAGCTTTCTCCGAATCTACTGGTGGGTTCACGGGTGCTTGGTTGAGCCAATACATGAACCTGGATGAATGTTCCGACAAGTAATATAGTACTAGCTCGTGCGGTCAGCCTCAAACAAGTTACTACTGCCGATCAGCATTTGCGTGATTCTGGGAATAAGATCGGCTATTTCAAGGAGTAGGACGTAAACCTATTGGTTCTACGGAGTACTCATGACTGTTTTTGTGCATAATTCGTCCTTGAAAATTTCGACTGTTTCTTCACACTACAAAGAGCTCCAGTGAGCCAGCCACATATCTCTGCGCGCATTCTACCTTGAACTATCGCATGAGGTTGGAGACAATTACAGAGGGAGAAGACGATTGGATCTCATGTTCATGGCATTTTATATCATTGCGTGAAAGAAAAAAAAGTCGATTAATGATCATAACCGAGAGAGCCGGTGGTATCAAAGGAACCAAGACATATGTCCGGAACAATCTAAGGGGAAACGAAAAGACACGAAGGTGCGGGCCGAAGCCCGAAAGTACAATAGCAATAGAGAAAAGAAAGATCTAACTAGGAAGACTGTTCAAAGAGAGCGATGGTCGAGCAGTAGTTGCTCTTGTTCGGCTTCTCGAGAACCAAAGCCTTGCCCTGGGAAGATGTAATCATGTTGACGGACGCCTTGGTGCTGAGACCGTAAAGCTTGATGTCAGAACAGTCGATCTCGACCATATTCTCCTGGCAATCCTCCGAGTTCAGACACGACTGGGCGTAGTTCTCGAAGAAGCTGTAGAGACCGGCGCCGTAGATGAAAACATCCGAGGAACTGAGGACGCGCAGACCCCAGGACTTGCGACATGAGTCTGTGGTGCAGTTTGCGAAGTCGGGGTCGTTCCAAGAGTCTTGGGGTGTGTAGGGTGTCAGGGCGGTGGGGTTGGATTGGTAGTAAGGAGTCTCCGACTGAATGAGGCCCATGAAGACGTTCTTGGCGTTCGAGACCTGGTAGTTGTACAACTGATGGTGCTCGGACGAAGTTCCCCACAGCCAGACGGGGTTCTGGGACTCGATGAGGACACCACGGCCGGTGTAGACGTTGATCTGGTTGTGGTCGTCGAGGTCGAGCTCGTGGTCGGCGGTCCAGAACCAAGTGTTCTCGAGGTAGGCGCTGCCCTTGGAGGTTACGTGCAGGAGCAAGAAGGCGGCCATACACTCTTTCTTGGGGGTGGTCTTGACCTTAGGGGTCTTGGGGCAGGTGTCACTCTGGAGCTCGGTGCCGGCGGCACCACCAATACGGAAGTGGACGTCCCACATACCGGCAGAGCCCTGGGAAGCACCTGCCACGTTCCATTCCATGAGGATAGCACCGGGAGCAGCGCCCTTGGTGGTGATGATGAGGTCGCTCATCTCGACATTTCCAGACTCGCCCTTCTGGCCGATTTGGAAGACAGGGACGGGATTCTCCTGGTCGGCAAACTTCTCACCATGCGCCATGAGCATGGGCCAGATCTCACCAGTGATGCGGATGTTCTTGGGAACCTTGATGGTGGAAGTGATAACGTAGGCACCGTGGTCGAAATAGATGACCTGACCATCCTTCCAGCTGTCGAAGATCTTCTGAATAGCCGCAGTATCGTCGGTAATTCCATCACCCTTTGCACCAGCAGACTTGACGCTGATGAAGTTGGAGGCTTCAACGTCGGTGTACAGGGGCTTGGAGCGTTCGAAGACAGCGCCGTCCTTCAAGAGGGTCTTGGGCTTGTTAGAAGTGAAGGTGCTCTGGCTGCGCGCAGACGTCACAGCCTTTGCAGCACCGCAGGTTCCAGAACCAGTGCTATCACTGCCAGACTCGGCTCCGTTGCTGGTACCAGAGCTGGCGCCAGTAGACTGGGCGGGGACTGCGCTGGAAGTAACAGGAACGGCGGGCTGTTGAACAGCAACACTGGAGGATGCCGGCACGACGGGAACCTGGGAGGTCACAGCAACCGGGTTGGAGGGAATAGGGGCAGGAGTAGGCTCATCAACCTCAGAGGACTCAGAAGAAGCTCCACCCAGGATGGACAGAACGGTGTCCAAGCCAGGAAGATCGGGAAGACCAGCAGTGCGGTCAGAGGAGCCGCTGGAAGCGGGGATTGCGGCAGTAGTGGTGCCACTCACACCAGGAATGGGCGACGGAGCAGCTGCACTTTCAGCAGTCGCGGTTCTGGCAGGTGCGGGAGCGTCGCTGGCCAATTGGCTGGCAGTAGGAAGGCCGTGGGAAGCGGAGCAAAGGTTGACAGTTTGCATGACAGTCTGTACGACAGTCTCGACAACAGTGACCACATGGGGCTCGGCCTCTGTGGCACGCTTGTTGATAGTCTTGGAAGGAGTGTAGGTGTTACCCTGGACCCAGTTTTCGATAACAGAGCCACCGGCCAAGATGCTGTTGCCGTTGACACCAGCAACGGCGGTCTTGGAGCCAGTAAAGTCGACGTTGTCCAAAATGAGATCACCTCCACCGACGGGGATACTCTTCTGGGTCCATGCAGTGACGATGCCAATCGGGGTGTTGGTGAGCTTGCTGTCGAGCATGAGAACGGAGCCGACAGTCTGGTTGGTAGGAGAGGTGGACATGTTCAATCCAACCTCACAGTTGTTGATTTCGACCGACTTGAAGGTCCAGGCCCAGTTCCAGTTCATGAAGATAGCAGTCTGGCAGCCATTGAACTTCAAGTTACGGGTAGTGAACTGCTGGTTACCGAGGAACATGCCGTAGTTACCACCGTTGAAAGTCAGGTCAGACATGAAACCACCGGAACCATTGTCCATGAAGATACCCTGCTGCTTGTTGGCTTCGCCGCCGCCCTTGATCATCTCGAAGCGGATGTTCTGCAAGCTGGTGGCCTGACCAACCTGCCAGTGAATACCGGCGCCAGAACCTTGGGGCATGGCAGTGAGATCAATGACCAAGTTGCGAATGGCGCGAAAGAAGTTGTTCTGGTTGGTGAACCAGTTGGAGCCATCGTCCTCGTAAGGGTCGGAGTCGATCACGGCCATACCGGTAAACTTGGCAGATGCCTTGATAACGGGCAGATCAACTGCGTCACCGACGATCTGGGTGTAGTAGTACTGGACAATGGGCTTGGAGACGACATAGGTACCAGGTGGGAAGTAAACAATAGCAGGAGTCGTGGTGGACGAATCACAGCCCTTTCCACAACGGCCACCCGAGGAAATTGCCTTGTTAATGGCAGCAGTGTCGTCGGTAGAGCCGTCGCCTAATTTACAGTTAGCATGCAGCACACAACACGAGCAAAGGTGATTTTGCGTACCAGTAGCACCATAGTCCATAACATTGCGGAAGATCTTGTAGTCGGCGCTCTTCACGAAAGGCACTGTCCCCTGGCGGTCAACATTGGCAACCCAGTAGGTCGACGCAGCAGATGTCTTCTCCGTAGTGGCCAAAACATGGCTGACGGGCGTGATCGGAACATTCAAGGGAACGGCTGCGACCAAAGAGACGGGTAAGCCGAGCAGCAGGATCATATGCGCGACAAACATCGCAATTGAAGTATGCAAAAAGGCCATGGTGTATAAACGCTGAACCAGCAGCGGTTGGTAAGTCTGAAATCAGATAATGCCTAATGAAAGATGGTTCAGTAACCGGTACTGAAGTGAGAACGTATGCGATCTCAAGTCCTCGCTAACCAGCAGCGATGTTCAGAAACAAAAGGGCGCGTAGAGAAGTAAACGGTAAAGAGAGAAAGCTCCCAGCACCTTCCGTCAATGAATAGGCCGAGGACAATGTAATTGGCCAAAAAAAGAATGAAAGGAATGAATGAATAGAAGAAAGAAAACAAGACAATAGGGATCAAAAAGGGAGAAAAAAAGAAGAAGATATAGTTAGAAGAAAAGAAAATACTGACCCTATACCAAAATTAAACAATAGGCTCCTGTTCAACCTATCACACGCGCCGGGGGCTAAAGTCCACCACAGCCCACCAATCACAGAGCCACACGGGCTTAGCGACTAAGAAGCTTGAAACGCGATAGTCGGGGGGTGAAACGCTGAAAGAGATGAACAATGACTGAAGGGCTGCAAAAAAAAACTCTGTTGGCAACAGACTCAGCGTCAATTTGGAGGGTGGCACACTGTGGCGTCCTGCGATCGGTTTCAATAGATCCCTGTTTATCTTCAGGATGGAATCTCTTCCAGATATAACTTGTCAAAATGGAGAAAGAGAAAAGGAGAACAGCAGAAATTCCCGAGATAATAACTGGGCCGTGGGTCTATATAATATAACTAGTATCCTAATCCCTAAGACAAACTGGGTATGCCGGATCGTCCATTCCATTCATCTGCATTATTTTGATCGAGACCTGGGCGTAGTAGAGGGGTTCGATTTTTCGATCTGCTAAGCTAAGGGCTAGGGGACACATTGTCTGTCGCGATCACCGACTATGCCTTGCGGACACAAGGCACAATAGAAACACCATTGTACTACAAGTTCGTAGATGCCATTATTCCAACTTCTCGTCAGGCCGAAAACCCAAAGTGTATACGATATCACAGTTCTCAGCCGTTGTCATGGTCGCGAACTGTACATGCCCAAGACGATGGCACGCGTCGACAAGTCACTAAACACAAATAAAGTGGGTGTTCGGAGCATATCGCAGAGACCGTCAGGGGTTGTTGCTATGGATGAACATTCCACGGTAAAGAGACAGATTCCTGATGACGATGGCGGCAAAGGCAACCTTGGCAGGAGATGTGTGAGTGCAGGCGCGACACCCGGAATTCTCAAGCGCCTTGATAGGTTCAGCGTCAATGATCAAGGATTGAGTGATTCACAGCCAAGCTTTTGTTCGGCCCCTGAGGTCCCGGACCCGCTCGGGATTGTGTTGCCCCTCGTCTGCCCTGTCTCACTTCTGCCACGCTTGGCGTCCTTCAAGGATCCTGGAAAGATAAATCAGGCTGTCACATTCTGCCTGGGTAACCCATTCTGCCTGTCATGCGTAGGTGATCTGGCCCCGTGGGTCGTATTGGTGTGGCGTGGCTAATAATCATGGGGGTTTCAGGGGCCGAAACGTACTGGGCAAGAAAAAAAATGCCTTGTTCGGATGCCTCGTCGGGTATACATACAGTATGCAGAGCCTCACTACACCAACTAATCCAGGTCATAACATCTCTTCACTTTGCTGGCAAGGCTACAGCGAACACCTAATAATTAGCTAATTTGTACTGTCTTAGATTAAAATAAGCCACGCGTCCAAGTGGAAACGGTTCGGACCGGTGGCTGGAGGTGGCGTGGATCTAATCCGTACCAGTACAATCTCGTACCATCTCGTGTACGGAGTACTATGTAAGAATACGCTGCAAAACGCGCGCTAGTCTACGCACTCCTTCCGCCAAGTGCCGCGCTTCCTCCCACGCAAAGCAAAGCCGTAAATGGTCCGAAAACACCAGATCGCCATCCGGGATCTGGAACAGATCGCCAGGCGCTAGACGTAATTTTTCCTCTTGCGCTTTGGCAACAACTTCTGACGCCTGTACGCCCGCCGGAAGCCCAATCCAGATGAAATAGCCTCCTGCACATTCCGCTGGCACCGGCACAGTGACTCCCAGCGGGACGAGGTGCTCGCAGATTGCAGAGAGGAGGGTGTGGTATTGGTTAGCGTAAAAGGGCTGCAGGACATGTCGGATATGGTCCGTGATTCCTGTCGGGAAGAGCTGGTCTATGATTGCGGCGCAGAGGTGTGAAGGCGCACCGCCCGATCGGGACGAGCCACTGCAGTATCGGGTTAGTGCAAGGATCGTCAAGGGTAAAGCGTACATACGCTTGTGACAGTCCATAGGCGAGCTTCTCGGAGGCCTCAGCCCAGCCGGTACGGGTTCCGGGCCCGATCAGTTTACTGAAGCTACCGTTGCTTATTGCGTGGCCCCATTCATCGACAGGGCCACCGTCGAGAACGCGGTCGACGTCGACGATGCGCGGAACGCACGCGCGGTCCGGAGCTGGCGCGCGGACCACTGCAGGAAATCATAAACGTCATCTGTCACGACGAGCGCGTCGTACCGCCGGGCAAGCCGGACGAGCGCCTCCCGCCTGCGCAGCGACATGATCTTGCCGGAGGGATTCGCAAACGTAGGCACGCCATAGATGACATGCTTGTAGATCTTGCGCCAGGGCCTGGCGGGTTTCAGCTTCTGCAGGGACAGGGGCAGGGTCAGTCCGGTAAAGAATCAATGCCACGGTGCAATGCCACTGTGACGTTCGCGACTTGTCCTACCGGGGTTGTGTTTCCTGCGCGCTCGGCGTCTGCCTCTGCTGCGCGAAGTCCGTTCTCGAGGGAGACCAGGTCGATGCCTTCTTCGTCTTCGGGGATTCCGCGTAGGCGGGTGGCAAAGCCTGCATCTTCGAGGATGCGTGCGGCGAGATGGTACGTTGGTGTGACCATCCACACATTGCGGGTGTAGATTGGATCTGTGAAGACTTGGAGGACACAAGCGAGGTTTTGGCTTGCGCCGCCTGTTATGCAGATTCGGGGGGTTAAAATTGGGGAAGGCGATTGATAAAATGCCGTTAGCCAGGCGGCTATGTGGGTTCGTAGGGGCTCGTAGCCTTCGTCGGGGCCATAGAGGAGGGCTGGGTTGGTTATGGAGGGGTTAGTTAGGACCTCTGTGGCGGAGGTTTGGAGGGGGTGGGCGGGGAGAAGGGTGGGGTTTGGCCAGCCGGTTAGAAGGTCGATTGGGAGGTCGATTAGTTCGGGTTCGATCATGGTGATCAGATTTGTGAAATTTGTATACAATTGTACATATGTTGTATGGCTTAACATTGGGTGCATATGGATAAACTTGGAAATGAGCTATGGCGATCCGAGATCGGGGGAGCGGGACCGGAAACGAACAGGAACAGGAACAGGAACAGGAACCGTATTTACTTACAAAGTACAGCCTCGTAACTTGTTTAATGCTCAGATTTGGTAAACATTGAGCATTTACTACAGAATATATTGCTTATGGGAGTACCCGAGTGTAATAGAAAAAAGATCCAATATTAGGCTCGTGTAATTCCAGCTGTGCACTATATATATGTATAGGTACACTGCCGCCGGATTGCTTCATGGATTAGATATATAAGTGATGCTGAAGATATAATATTGATTTGTACTGCTTTTTAATTCTCCTAACTGGTGCTTTTCTACATACTAGTAGACTTGCTTTTGATTTTTAAGCGTATATATTTATTCCATCTACAATGGTTCACTACATATGTAAATTCATGAGTTAACTAGTACATATGTAGTTAGACATTGCATTTAATTCCAACTCCCATATACCACACTGCAACGGTGCAGCACTATATCCACAACCATAGAATACATATATGCGTTGTAGAATATATAAGTAATGTGTTTGCCTACATAATGCCCATACAATGAGGTAGAGGCACTGGTAATTTATTCGATCCACATCCAAGACATGCACAGCCAGGGAACCACAACTGCTCATATGCAAGTCTATTATTGGATTATGTGCCATAGTCCACTCATATTCCACTATTATTCCACTTGTTCATGACCTGTAAATTATCTGGTTCTACATTTATTGTACAAATATTGTACACATATTGTAAGCAATTTCAGTAATAAAAAAAAGTAAAAATGATACATACATAAGTATATTAATAGTACAATAGTACAATATTGTATAGTAAAAATAATGAAATAAAAAAAAACCGATGCCCCAACTTTCGATCAACTCCCTTTTCCCCTATAACTTCTTTACCTGGATATTTTTTCTCTTCTTTCTCTTTCTCTAATAATTTAGGGAACTTGTTTTTTCTCTCTCTCTCTTTCTTAATCAGCCTCGTTCATTCCCTCTGCTCCTTGCCATCATTCGAATTCCCTCCTGCCGATCCATTCCGCAAAACCACCCCCCTACACTCCTGTCATACTGCCAAGTACACGCCCATTCCTCTATGCGTTGACATTTCCTCTCCCTCCGGGCAACCTCCCAACCTCTACTCAACCAAACTCATCATGTTGTCGGCTCCCGTTAAGTCGGCGAAGCGCATCTCGTCCCTGTTCTCGTTGGGATCAAAAGATCGAGATTCACAACCTTCCCCCGTTTCGCCCGGAGTCCAAGAACCTGAAAAACGACGGAGAAGCAGCTCAAGGCCCACTCGTCATGTGTCAACTCCCAATTCTGCGTTTTCTTCAGAACCCCGGACTATGCCCACACCTCTCGACATGGAGATTCTCCCCCGCCACCTTCACTGCTGGCGGTGAATCAAGACTTAGCAAGCAGCGCTCCAAGTTCCCCTGTAGGCCGGCCACAGAGCCGTGGTCGTGATATGAGCAGGCCTTCCAGTTCGGTAGGGCTGGCCATTCCAGGATCAAATCCAGACTCTCGTCCCAGCACACCGTCCAAGCGCAGAAGTTGGATGCCGGGTCGTTCGCGCGCAAGCTCAATAGACAAACGTCCAACTCCCATGCTACCGGCTGCCTGGATCGCTGGACTAGACCAGAAAGTCGTATACGACCTGGGGCCGCTGTCCCGGGGAGAACAGGTACGCAACATCGAATGGATGACGTTTTTCGACCAATGTGAAGCTGACGAAATTTTTAACTTTTTTCAGATCCAAGAACTGTGGAACGAACAAGGCGACACATACGTGTACCTTTTCCCTCAGAATACCGGCCGCGCTGCATCCTTCAAGGTCGACTCTACCATTTTCGCGGAATCTCCCTCCCTCACCTATCTCGCCCGCGGCAACGATGGCAAAACCAACGGCCTCGAGCAGCCCACCCGCACGTTATCTCTCGTCAGCCCCATGTCACCACCGTTGACACCGCAGGACCGGCTCGAAACCGACAACGATAATGACAGCTCGGGAAGCCAGAGGATGGCTTTCGATGATAACCCCGAGGAGGTTCAGGAACTCCATCTATACCTGCCTATTCCGCTCAACTGCGATGTGTCCAACCCTCAGGCACGTCTAACGCAAGAAGACACAGAGACTCTACTCTTGTTCCGCAATTTGTTTGCTTTCCTTTTGGGTCAATCCTTGATTGCGTCGCCCAAGTCAGCGACACTTTTCTCTATTTTCATGGACGTGGCGGTGCTCTTAGCCCGCTTCGAGTTCTCAAACTTGGATCAGTCCAATTTCGGTGAGACTGCAACCTCCAGTTTCAGTAATTACTGCGAAGAATTGCGCTTGGCAGATGTTCGTCGAAGCAGAGAGAAGACCATTGAGGCCATCGTTCTCGGTGAGCGCCTGCGCTACTACCCGCTTTACGTTGAGGGCTTCGTTCACGGTGTTGGAAAGTTGGATGAGCTCAAGCAGCTTCGAAGCCCTAAATATACCTTCATTCATCCGATCACGCAGAAACGGATGGAACGTGCCTTTATCGATCTTGACACCCGTCTCCGCGGCCTTTACGGTAAGCTTGAAGACTTCGACTTTCCCTCGGTGTTCTCTGGCTTCGCCAACTCGACTACCTCATCCGAAAGTAAGGTGGTGCGCTTCAAGAACTGGAAGTCGGCCTTCCACGAATTCCGCCGCTTCACCCTCCAATACTATCGACAGAAGTACGGCTCGTGGCCCCCCAAGGCCCGATCGAAGAAGAACGAGTTCGAAGAAAATGGTCTCAATCGCCTTCTTTTGCTCGATCTTTACCACGATTTCACCGATCTTTACGACTTGATGGTGGACCGCACTTCTTTGACTACGCGTACGATTGATATTTCCGGTGCAGGCAGTTCCACTCCCTCGGAGGATCCCAAAGAAATTACTGTTCGTGCTTTGCGCCATATTCTTAGCGAGTACGATCGCAGCACTCCACCAGTGATGCCGCCCATTCCGTTCGACATCCCCCAGTTGCCTTCACTGCAGCCTTTGCATAGGAAACCGTTGGACGCCAAGAAGGAGGCTAAGCAGAGTGGCAAGAAGCTCAAGAGCTCCGACATCAACGCTGTGCTGATGGACTCTTACACTCGCGAGGCCATGCGACCCACTCCCTTCATTGAGAGCTTCATGCAGTTCGAGCGCCGCTCAGCCCATGGCAAGAGCGTCAACGATATCACCGATCTGCGCTGCGGCCAGTGGATCTTCCTCTACGCCGTCATCCAATCCCTCCCTATGCTGGTCGTTGATGTCCCCGAAGTCCACTACAACGAGGGTGTAGAGTACTTCCTTTGCATCGCTCCCCGCGGCGGTGCTCCCTGGATCCAAAACGATACCAAGACTGCCCGCAGCTGGTTCGGAGTTGCTGGCGGCGCAGGTGTCGTCAGTCTGCCATCTGACGTGGTCATTAACGGCGTCGAAGGTGTATACCGCCGAAGTCATTGCTGGACCGTAGCCGAGCAATGGGCCGAGGCGGGCGCCCTCCTCGATCCCCCCATGGTAGAAGATGCCACCTACGACGACGAAGAGTCGTCCATCTCATCCCCCTACCAGGGCCACCAATCTTCCGCCGGCTCCTCCTCCGAACCTTATCTGCACCACATGAGCATACCCGGCGGCGCCCTCTCCCCGCCTCCCCCGCCATCCCTCGTACGCGCTCCCCCGGCGCCGCCCAGCGCTCCGAGCAGCACCGCCACTCCTTCTATCCGGGTCTGGAGGCACTGCCACTCCCGGCAGGGATCGCGCCCATCGAGCCTCCCACTCGTCCGATCAGCCACTTCAACCCGAACATGAGCTTCGACGATATCCTCAGGGAAGTTCCCAAGAAAGACAAGAAGAAGAACTAGTGCGCAGCAGACCATTGTGTTGATAGTGTCATGTAGCAGGGCGGGGCGATCAAAAGCAAGATCTTTTTAATTGGGCATACATGGAGAAACCAAATCATAATTACCAGCATATCAGCATCTGCATTTCCGGAGGAGGTTTTCGATTCACTGTGTCATTTTTTTTCTTTATCTTCTTTTACTTCGGATTCCCCCTGTTTTCCGTAATTTGTGAGAATGATAGAAATATAGATTTAATATCTGTACATTGCCTACTCCTAGGCCTACGTGTTGCATTCATTTTGCATTCATTTCCTTGCATGTTTTCTAGATGTAGTCATCGATCACAACGAAGATGATTGTAATACCTACTGCTATAACCCAGAATGCTCAAAGTACTTACTACCATCGCCCTGAGTATTGTACCGTCTCACTCGAGCTGTTCACTGTTCACTGTACACATTTCCTTCTTTGCCTCATATGAGAAAATTTTGACTCGCGTAGATTCTTACCACCCGTCTCCTCCAGGCGAGCCTCCACTAAAGAGAAGATTAAAAGTATGTGAAGATGCTGATGTTGGCGGACCACGTTGGTGCTGTTCGAAATGACTTAGCCCCAAAACCCTACCCGAAATGGAGCTCTTGGTTCAATTCATTGTGCATCCAGGGCCAATACAAAGCCACCTATCGGAGAAAAGCAATGGCTTATGGAAATACTTCAAAAGAAATGGACCTTTTTTGCGGAATGCCTGGATTGGGGTTTCTCTGCATTTCGAGCGATGCAAGAGAGATCCAACTAACGGAGATCGCAGGGAGAGCCTGGGAGGGGCGTACTAGTGGAAGCGTGTTATATTATTGTTATGTTTCAAATTTCTTCTATCTCTTTCTTTGTGGAAAGTTCTTATACGAGAAACGAAGCTATGTCAGAACTACGCCACTTGTGGCTCATAATCTAGCACCCAATCCTTGCGTCAGTATTGACCAACGTGACCTGCTTCACTCGGCCTGTGTTGGTTCTCGAGATATCAATATCAGAGGCGGTTTATTTCATGTTCGATAATTGTAGTACCCTTTGCTTGGGATGGGCCGCCTATTTCTTTCGAGTCCATGATAGTCTGTTGTACAGTTAAATGGCACGAACATACATCTGCATTCGCATATTTGCCTCTTTTTGACTTGAATATTGACATGGTGAGTCTCAGTATCATAGATCCCATGCTGGTTGACATAGACTTTTGAGCATATGACAGGGTGTTTGGAAAGAAGAAAAGAAGGTTGTCCCGTTCCATGGGCCCGGTTATACTTACTCATTTCTTAAATGCAGTCTAGTCCCGACTTGGCATGTTTTCATACTTTTGAATGGCCAATCAAATGTCAATTTTAAAGGGCGCAATACGAGTTATTCTGAACAATGCCCCTAATTTCACGCAGATTTCTTCCATATTTGGCCAAGGACTGCCATTTGAGCTTATTGCAGTTTTAGCCTCTCCCATCTTCCTGGTTTCTTCAACATTGTTTTCGTTTCATTCTTTTTTTAAATTCGACCCTCCAAAACAACAACCCCCGATTTCAGAAATGGAATAACAACAAAACACATCTCCAGCATACATGTATACACCTATAACTTGTACTCAATCCAATCCTATAATCTAATCGACCGAAATGCCCCCCTCTCGCTCGAGCATAACGAGCGACAACAATGAGCGCCTGGAACCGCGGCTGCTCCGCGCCGCCGAAAACAACGACATTGACTCCCTCCACAAAATAATCTCCCTCGCTAAAGAAACAAACCAACTAACCGACAACTTCCTCCGCATAGCGCTCATGCGCAGCGCCGAACGAGCCAATCCCGAAGCAACAGAATACCTCCTCAACCACGGCGCAAAAACAGATGTCCAGTCCAACAGACCCTCCCCACTCCTCCGCGCCGTAGAAAAAGACAACTACCAAATCGTTAAATTACTCCTCGACGCAGGCGCATCACCCAACACGTCCGATAAGGAAGGTCGCACGGCGCTCATGACCGCTGCATGGAAGAACCACGTTGATATTTTGCAATTGCTTATATTGCGCGGCGCGGACGTTAATGCGCGCGATCACCGCCTGAGAAATGCGCTGCATAATCTTGCTGCTGATCGGGCGTGTCGATGGGGGTGGGGCGAGGACGTTGTGAGAGTACTGCTTGTTGAAGGGTTTGATGGGGGAGGCGTTGATGAGCTCGGTCGGACGCCGCTGCATTGGGCTTGTGCGACGGGCAATTGGAAATTGGCTGAGATGTTGCTTTCGCGGCCGGATGTGGAGATTGATGCTGTTGAGTTGAGAGGCAAGACGGCGTTGCATGTTGCTACGGCTCATGATCGGGAGGACATTGTTCGCTTGTTGCTTGACCATGGGGCGAGTGTTAACGCTACTAGTGATGGTGGTTGGACGCCGCTTCATAATGCGTGCGATAAGGGGGACGAGGCCATTCTGAGAACTCTGTTGGCCCATGGTGCGCATTTGAATGCGCAGCTTTTGAACGGCGTTACTGGGCTGCATCTTGCTGCTCAGGGAGGCCATCGCAACATTGTGGAGTGTTTGCTCGAGAGGAAAGATTTGAAGAGAAGAGTTCGGGATAATTTTGGGAGTACGCCTTTTTTGCGCGCGGCACAGTTCAAGAGGAAAGATATTGTGCTTTTGTTGGCGCCTTTCAATAATGTGCAGAGTCTTTCCGAGGATGTGAAGGGGGCCTGTGCGGCTTTTGATGCGACGGTCGTTGACTTTGGAAATTTCCATAATGAGAACCGTGTCAAGCGCATCTCGGTATTTGATTTGCTGTATGGCAGGGACAAGGAGAATCCGAGGAAACAGGCCTTTACTACGCTTCCGGTTGATAGCCGAGCGACTGATTTCCGCTGGATTCATTTACCTGCCAACAATATGGCGTGGGTTGAGGCTTTGCTCACCAAGTCGTTCATTGAGGAAGGAGCGCACGATGTGGATGGGTTCAAGGGCTTGGAGAAGTCCTTTAACTATCAGCATCGGGGTCAGAGGACTCACTCACATTTCATGCGGCCATTGTGTCAGAATACACCACGGACGATGCGGCGGCGATATGAAGAGGAGACTTTGGAGGAACAAGTGTCTGACCAGGGACAACCGAAGTCGGACAATACGGGTCGCAAGCAAAAAAGTCCAGGTGGCAAACTTGACCGTGTCGATTCTTATTCCCACGATGAAGGCCCAGGAGGCTCTCATGGAAAGAAGAGCAAAAACAACAACCAGAAGCGAGGAAAGTCAGGAAGTACACCAGGGACCCCTAAGTTTGAAACCAAAGGAAAACCATCATGGGGTATGAGCGAGAAGCAAACACGGGCATCACCGATGTCCCTGTCAACCATGTGTAAAGACCCCCACCCTCTTGTTTCTGAATGCAACGTCTGCGTATTCATGCCCTACCTGCACTTTGAGACTACAGAGCGAAGACAAAAAATGCAGGATGCAATCGCCCGGGCGGAAACGCTGAGCTTTGTGCCGAACGGGATCAAGCGAATGCGCACGAGAGATGAGATGCTCATCGACGCACATCTTTCGTCCTCAACAACCTCGCTCCATGTCCGTCGAACACTGGACCAATTTTTCTACCCCAACATTGACACCCAGAGCCGCGACGGAGATCAGGTGGTGTTTCGGTACCAGACCAAAAGTCCAGGCATGGAGTCTGACCCTAAGATCTTCATGGTAGATCAATTGTGGATGTGGCTTCTAGGCCCGAATCTCATCGTGACGGCCTTTCCCCAGAGATGGGACCAACCAAAAAACGACCCCCTCAACGTGTTAGATGGGATTATTGAAGACATCAACTCCAAAACCAGAGACCCTGTCAAGTCTGTATATGATCTGGCAATCATAATTACCAATCGATGCTCAGGGGTGTTCGACCGCCACCGACTAGGTGACGAGGAGTATCAATTTCTGGACATGTTCGAGTCATCCATCGGCATAGCAACAGACAAAGAGACACTCCTCTTTAATCAATTCAACCATGCCTCCGTCCAAGCATCAGACTGGCTAAAAAGCCACCGCAAACTCGACGGATCTTTCAGCTCATCCCGCACAGGCACAGACGAGGATGGCCTGAGCAGCGATTACTGTGACGAAGATGGTCAGCCGCTATTCGTCGACCGACTCCTAGATATCGGACAAGAAACCGATCTCCTGGCAGAAACAAAAGACATCCGAGACGAGCTGAACATGATCCGCACAGTACTGGATCACCAAAAATACGTACTGATCGATTTCCAAGATGTGATCTGCGAGACATACCAAGGCCAGCACCGCTCACAGGTTGAAGTCAAGAAACGATTCAAGGATCAGCAGCGCATGATCGATATGCACCTCAAAGATATCGACCGCATGGATAAACAAGCCGAGCGCATTTACCACTCTATCACGGATCTGCTCGATCTGAAACAGAAACATGCAAATGCTTTCGAGGCCCGCTTCGCTCGCGACCAGGCGGCCGGTACCGCGCGCCAGAGCAAAACGATTATGGTTTTCACTGTCGTGACTATTGTTTTCCTGCCATTGTCATTCATTTCTTCCATTTTCACTATCAACTTGAAAGAGTTTGCCAATTTGAATCTAGGCTATGTCGCAAAATTCACCTTTGGAATCGGATTCGCGATCTCCATCCCGCTCGTCTGGGTCGCGTTGATGGTCGATGATATCGGTGGTTTCTTTCGCGTTGGCAGTCGGCGCTGGCGGTCCAAAAACAAGGCGCCGGCGACAAGTGAACGGAGTGAGCCGTTGCAGGCTTTGGAAATGGAGAGAATTCTTAGTGTGTCGCGGATGCGCAGGAGCGTCGATGTCGAATACCGGGGTAATGTGCTACCTATTTCGACGCGCGGCTCTGTCGTGTCGAAACGGGCCGAGGCTTATCCCGCTGGATTGGGGATTAGTACTGCAAGAAAGAGTTATGATTTACGATCTAGTCAGGACTACCGATCACGATGATATGATTTATGATACATGATGCCCAAAATCTTGGGAAAAATTTATATTACAGGTATTTTGCTGTTGCAATATCAAGGCATATTTAGCCGCTATACACTCACAATTGTTTGGGGGCAGTCTGCGGGTTGAATAGTTGAAATTTTAGAGTTATGATCCCGTCTATAGCGCTAAAAGCAAACAGATTCGAAACGGTTGGAGAGATGTGTCGTAACTCTCACACATACAAATCTAGTTCTATAACTGAATGGTCTCTTCATACCCACTCCCATTCCCGCCCTTGCCGTTCCCCAAAATCTCTGCAGGGTGGTAGACATTCATAACAGCCATAGCAGCCCACATCAACACTGCATCGAAGACATACATGAAAACCTCATGGGTCATGATATACCCGCCGTAACCCTCGATATACTCGACCAAGCGGAAGACAGAACGAACCAGAATCAGGAAACTGACCAGATACAGCCCGATAAGGATAGTGACCCAGTTGCGCTGTTTAAAGCCCTGGCCACGGGTAAGATCGCGATCAGCTTGCGATTTGGAAGTTGGGTGGCGCGAGATTCGGAAGTGGAAAACGCTCGTTACGACGACGAAGCCTCCGAAGAAGATGAGTTGCACGATTAGTCCGCCGATTGTTACATTTGAACCGATGTCGTGCATGGAGCTGCCGGTGGACATGAGGCCGCCGCCTGTTGAGATAGAAGGTTTGATTAGTCGATGTGTCTTGCGGAGTCTATGGGCACAATTTCTCTTCAATCTTACCTGCACATTGCATGAGGAATGAGATCACATCACCCGTCACAAAGAACTTGGTCATCCATCTCACGGATACCATGCTCAGGTTCTCGGCATGAAGGTAGGTCACTGTTCGTCCTAGGATCATGTAGACTGACGCGGCGTATAGTGGCGGAGCGATCAGGATGAAAGTTGTCTGCATTGCGTATAGGGGGATTCCGTAGTAATTGTCATGCGATGCCGCTCGGCAGATATATCCTATAATCTGGACTTTATTGTATCAGATTAGTTAGAGCTTTGCGAAAAGATGACTGAAAACACTCACGGATTCCACCGATCACAAATGGAATGAAATACCAGCATCGCGCTTTAGTGAGCTGATAGCCATGGTATGCAGTTGAGGCGCCGAACAGAATAATGAAAATAATTGCCGCTGGCAGAGAGGGATTATACCCGTAGATATTGCGCTCGTCAGCCATTTTGTATTAGAATTCGGGTGTATGATTTTATTTTCTCCATTCGAAGTAGCATTGAGTCCTTATATGAACAGTTCGCTAACATAGATTTGAAACAAAATCAATTGCCGTTGAGATCCACTATATTCTAGGCGACCTCTAAATTCAGAACAATTGATTCGCTCGTTGTTATTATCATCTCGAAATCTTCTTGGCTTTCTGCTTCGGCGTGGGGCTATGTATCCGTTTCCGTGTCCGTATTCGTGCCCGCATCTCCGTATCCGTTCTCGAATTCACATCCTTCCAACTACATCTACTGTATCACTTCTATGATAATGGGCCCAAGGAGATCACATCGAAAATCGAGGAATGGGTGTCCGGAATGCAAAAGCCGCAGACTTAAGGTAAGCATGCCGACAGATTTCGACCTACTTCGTTCTAACCCTCGCAGTGCGATGAACGTTATCCATGCACGAATTGCACTAAACATGCAATCCCATGCAGCTATATAGATCGAGGCTCTTCGACTCCCGTTGACACTCCGGCCACTCTGCCAGACTCATTTGTTCACTCGCATGGACCATCGCCGTTGAATCTGGAGTCGTATCCGGTAACTCCCGGATCTGTGGTCAACCACAACTCTAGGCCAGAGAGCAGATCTGATATATTGCATTTCCTGGCTGACTCGCCGCATGGCCCTCCGGTTTTGAATAAAGATGACTGGGCATCTGATCTTGAATTGATGCACCATTATTGCACCTTTACATGCAATACCTTGACGATTCGCGAAGACTCGCGACATGTCTGGCGTGTTGTTTTACCTATGGAAGGGTATTCAAATAAATATTTGATGCATGGGATTCTTGCTTTGGCTGCTTTGCATCGTGCTTACCTCTATCCAACCCAGAGAGAAAAGTACATCAAAGCTACGGCCTACCATCAGGCGGCTGGGTTGAATGAGTTCCGGGAACTGATCGCTTCGCCGATTGATCCTAGTAACTGGCAGCCTGTCTTTTGCTTCTCTTCTATGATCATGGTATATGTTTGTGCCTCGCCGATCCGCATAGGTGAGGATCGCTGGCCCTCTCCAATATTGAATATGGCAGAATTATTTTCTGTCGTCAAAGGAATGCAGACTATCATGGAGCCGTGGTTACACTCTCTTCGAAAAACGCAACTTGCACCGCTTGTAAACTGTGTCTATCTTGATGATGAAATTCTCATCCCAAGGTAAGTCTTTCATTGCTTGGTTGTTAATTCTAGCTGATCTTGTCTCAGTCCAGCTGTGATGCAACAGTCTTTGCTTCCCCCAGGGACTCACGATCAATTAATTCTACTTCATCAATTCATCGATAACTACCCATTCCCTCAGAAATCCCAGTCTCATGAGGAATCCGGCACATCTGACGGGTCACACACTGACCATCGGGAAGACTATAAGAAAGCCCTGAAGTATCTTGAAACTTCAATACGTCAGATTGATCTTGCTGGGCCCCATATCGAGATTGGAATGGTTCTTATGTGGGCATACTCACTTTCTAAGCGATTTCGAGATGATTTGGAATCATATCAAGCCCCTGCTCTGGTTCTCACGTCTTACTGGTGTGTTTTGTTACATCTTGTTGACAATTCATGGTTTATCAATGGCGCCTCGAAGCAGCTGCTGGGGGATATTGAGAGCAAAGTCCATCCTGCATTCCGGGATTGGTTGGTATGGCCGAAAAAGTGGGTTTTTGGGAAATGATAAAGTACTGTATACTACAACTAAGGCAGAAGACAGAGATTATCGACGATTACCAAATCTACAGTAATCAATTTGGAATGGTAGGTGCGGCCCACAAGTAAACGATGTAGTTCTTCCGAATCATGACTCTCTCTCTCTCTCTATATATATATACAATACTCGTCTCAACTCATTCTCGTGACAAGTTCATTACGATTTAGCATTATCCTCAAATGAGATTATTCTTATTGTCCTTTTGCCTCTACTCGTCGTAACTTGATCACCTTTTGACCTACTGTACACTTATACTTTATACTACTGTACGGGCACCCATCGAGCTTTTATAGTTTTTTTGCTGCCTACCTATGCTTCCATCGACAAACCGAAAAGCAATGGCTGACAGGCGGTCGCGATGATTACTGCCAATTCTCCATATCTTTATATTCGATTACGGAGAGGGAAATGTTAGAATGCGGTGTTATATATTTGCCATATGGCATGTCAAATATCTGGTGCCAGTACTGCGGCAGTGTGTACTCACACAAGGTGCTGAGAGGTGAGACCTCAAATCCGCTAATTTTATACCTAGGTATCCGCCCCAGGGAAGCAACATATCTGCCAAATTATGTGCAAGAGATGTGCTGAAACATATAAAACCTGCAACCAGGTATGAGCCTTTTGCCTGCTCCTCGATGAAGGCATGTCAAGTTCGAGTATCTTGTCGCTGCGGGTTATTGAAGCACCTTTTCAAATTCGCAAATCCATCCGTATTTTGAGCACCAATAAATAATAGCCTTTGACCAAACAGAAAAAGCCCCGCTCGACTGAGGCTGCCAAGGTATGAAAGTTCACTGAGAGGTTTAGGTTCGGCGTAGGATATCAAACCTCGTCCCTGTGCTATGTATGTTACAACATATATATATACAGGTAATCTTTAGTCAAAATGCCACCATCGATAGTCTTTTTATGATTAGACGCAGCCTACCTTGGAAGGTGGGAAAAGTAAATTCATTGTTATTCGAAACTAAGTAAGTTATTAATACTGAAAGTTCTATCAAGCAAGCCCAGAGGTGTGGGATGGATTTTGACACAAGCTTCCATGCATGTAAATTTTTCAAATAGCCACCTGCCCACCCGCCCACAAACAAATCTTGATGGCTTTACAGAAACAAGATATTAGTCCTATACCTAGCTAGTCTAGTGCCTTCTTCGGAATGGAGTCAATTGATCTTCCTTCCACCAGGAATCTTCTGTGACAGATTCACCATCTTACTTACTAGACTGGTTTTGAGAAAATGGTAAGGCTAGCCCGGGCCCGTGGATAATGCCAAAAAACAAAAAACAAAAAAATATATGACAAGAACGGGATTCGAACCCGCGCCCCTTTCGAGACCAGAATGCTCACTGAGTTCAGCGAAGAGATAACTCTTGAGTCTGGCGCCTTAGACCAACTCGGCCATCTTGTCTTGATGACAAAACAGGCCGTTCTTTCTTATATGACACAGGGGTGTAAAACACGAACATAGTAATTCCTGATTCACAACCACAACCACAAGAACATTGAATAGCGATAGTTTCGGCGACGTGAGAAGCAATGGTAGCGACAAAATTACATAAAATGATGTTACCCACTTATGTGTCCGGGTGATGTTGACTGCACCTAAAAACATTGACTTTCTCTTCTTAATGATATGATGTTCACAAAAAAAAAGAGATAAACCGCATATGTGCCCTAAAGCATGGCCGTAACCCTAAGGGATCAAATCGTCTGATGTTTAATAGGTATCATGTCCCTGAATGATTGTGAGGCTAGCAGGCCAAGGCAACACAGAGATATTAGATGTGAAGTGAAAGCTACAGTTGTGGTCTAGTTAGGCAAAAATATTTAAGGCAGTTGATGGCCTGAGCCCTAAGGCATATATAAATCATTCATGTGGGGCATCGCATCGTTATGTTTGAAAGAGGCAGGTGGTAGCACGCTATATACTGACACGTCTGACTGGGGCAACTTAAGTTACTGAGAAAAAATTCCCGACTAGATTAAAGAGGCAAGGTCGGCTTATTTGGTACATTTTCTCTACATGCTATAGGTAAGCTTATTCTATGAGGCTGATGAGTGGTTGGTTGCCTTGTTTGGATGTAAGGGAATGTAAACAGATCCAGCCAATCAGAAAGAAAGGAAAAAAGAAGGTCCGAGAGCCCAAAGGTCCAGACTCACGGAAGGACCGATAAGGAATTATGTTACTTGTTGTTGATTTCGCGATTCATTTAATTATGGCGCCATCCTCGGTATACATGTACGTGTGTGTATATCGGTACATATGTATACATTATAGTTCGACGACACCATACTAGCGTCAATATGAAAATTTGAATTCCACCTGCTTCTCACCTGCCTCGTATGCAGGGTCCATCTTACCTTCTTACATCTCTCTCTGAAACAATCGTAATTATTGATCATCATGTCCAAGGAAGATAAGAAGGAATCGGGCTATGGCTTGGGAACGGAAATTGATGGCACTGACTCTGGCACTGACTCTCTCGATACTATTACTGCGCTGATTGCTGAAGGTACGTATCGTCTTTATGGTACAGCTGCATCCATGCTGACTTCGTTCATCCAGACCACCAACATGACATCAAGCTTCGGACTATGTCTTGGCACAAGACTGCTTGTCTGCTTGCAGGCGATCAGGTCTGCCTGGCTATCATGGCCCAGTCATGGTCTCTCTCGTAAGTCCACATATCGTATAACGGTGAGTGAAGCTGATGAAAGTGTACAGTGTTCTGGGATGGGTTCCTGGAATTATTACTATGGTCTTGTGCTGCATCCTTTTCTGGTTTACCTCCATTACCATGCACAAGTACATCATGAAATACCCTCAGATCAAAGATATCTGTCAGTTATCAGCCGTTGTGCTCCCGTCCCCATGGGATCTAAACTAACAGCTGACAGGCGACTTTGGATACTATATCTTCGGAAAAAGCAAGGCTGCCTATGTTTTTTCAGCATTCATGTTGCTTGCAAACAATATCTTGTTGATCGGTTTCCACACATTGACCGGCGCCAAGGTTCTGAATACCCTCTCCGACCACTCGCTGTGCACAGCTGTGTTCTCAGTAATTGTCACCATTATGGGAATCGTCATGTCCATGCCCCGAACTCTGAACCATGTCAGCTTCATGTCGATGTTTTCATGTCGGTCACACCCCTCCCGAAAGTTCAATTCACTACTAACTGTTACATTGCAGCTGCTTGCATGGGAATCGCGATTCTTCTCTTCATGGTGTTCGCTGGAATTGAGAAAGCCCCTCTGTACGGGTACAATGGAAGCTTCCCCACTGACGGGCCTGTAAAAACCTACGCATTCCCCCTTCCAGGCACCACATGGGTTGCATGCATGAACGCCGTGCTGAATATCACCTTCCTTTGGGTCCCCCAGATCCTATTTCCGACCTTCATCGCTGAAATGGAAAGGCCACAGGACTTTCCCAAAGCGCTGGCTGTTTTGACCGTGATTTCCGCGGTCCTGTTCATTGTGCCTCCGGCCATCGGATTCCGCTACCTGGGACAATACGCCACAGCACCGGCATTCGGCAGTCTGGGCGTGGTATCCTACAAGAAAGCATCGTTCGGCTTCGTGATTGTTCCGACCTTGATTATCGGCGTGATCTACGCCAATGTGACAGCGAAATTCATTTACACTCGGGTTCTGGGCGCCTCCCGCCACAGCCACAGCCACACGGTCGTCGGATGGAGTGTTTGGGGTGGCATCATGGTTGGAATTTACCTGATCGCGTTCGTATTCTCCGAGGTTGTTCCCAGCATGGGTGATTTCCTCTCCCTGCTTAGTGCGGCATTTGACTCCTTCTTTGGATTCATTTACTTTGCTATTGCGTACTGGCAGCTCAACCGCGGCTCGCTGTTTAACGGCCTCGGAAAGACTACCATGACTTTGTTCAATGTCTTTATCTTTATCGTTGGACTCTTTATTCTAGGACCTGGACTCTACGCTGCTGTGGAGGCTATCATTACAGACTACTCGGGGTCTGTGACGCCGGCCTTTACTTGCGCTAACATAGCCATTTAAGGGATGATTCATTGCTCTTCTGAACAGATAGAATTTTGGGGTCTTTTGTGCTTAATCAAACGGTTGACGGGACCACAAAGACAGAAGGAAATTAGGATAATACCAGCACATTAGTACCATGATTCTCTCTTTATTTTCGCGTATTGGTTTACTTTCTGCATCACCCCGTTCTTCGTGATATCATGACACGCTGCGTAGCTTCGTCACCACCACCCTAGAGGCTTTCGCCAGCCACTTCATTTTCATTTTCTCGCACTGTACTGAATGCACTCATATACTTGCATATTAACTATTACTACGACGTTATACCACCATGGGGAAGGTCTAATTTACGCAGAGTTTGAATGCTTTAATACGCAGCCACACTAACTCAACACAGCGTACACACAGAACTCGTAAAGCACCATATGCATTGAAGTAAATCCGGACCTGGCTCTATTCAACCTAGCTGAGCATTGAAATGGGTCGATTTTATACAGAGAGTATATCAGAGAGCTGCAAGGCCATGTTTGGAGCTTTAAAGAGCGACATTCGCCTATAACTCCCTTATTTCCGATACACACTCATTGTGTGGCCTTACTAAGGCTACGCTGAAGTGTACAGCATGGCGCTCTTTGTTTGATATGATACATTGACGTGATTAGAACTGCACTAGGAGGCTTACGCGGAGTCGATCGATGGATGATTTGATTAGTGGCTTGTGACGAATGAGAAGGATGTTCTCAGTATTTTGTAAGTCGGTACTTTGTCTGTTGTGCGAGCACTTTCGAGCCGAGATGTGGTATATTTTGAGGTCGTATGCCCCTTATGGACCGCTATTTAATACAAAATAAATGATTGAATGTTAGAAATTCAATTGTTCAAACTGTCTGATACAACTCAGGGGAATATTCTGAAAGATCCTAGAGCTATTCGAGCTTATTCGTACTTTTGCTATCAATTGCATATGGAGATGAAAAGTAAGCGCCATACTTTTTAGTTTAAATCGTCGAAGATGTCCAGATCGCTCAAATGATCGGTCAATATACCAAATCAATCATCCGCACCAGCAATCCGCTCATGCCTCCACTGAATAAGCCCCGCATTAATTAAGATAGGAATCGCCTGGTCCTCAATCCACTCGGTACATTTAATCAACGGCCGACGCGGTTCTCCAGCCTCATAAAAAGTCAAAGGATCCCAAGTCTTTACCGGCTCTGTCCTCATAGTCACCTTGTTGAAAGCCTTTTGCTTCGGCGGAGCAGGAATAGACTTGAGAATATCATTCCAGTTCTTGGGATAATTCAGCGCGCGCGTATGGCCAATGAGCTCCTTTGAATAAAAGTTCTCATCATTCTCGGGATCGTCTACTGACACAGCCTCGTAATGCATTCCTGTGACGATGTCGCCGGTGACGTGGTGCTTTATGCCGGTGCGTGGGCCTTGTTCGTTCGATTGGATGAAGAGGATGGTGTGGTACCGCGACTGGTACATGTCTGGGTCTTGGATGGATAGTCTGAACTTTACTTTGTAGACTGGGTAGATTTGGGAGGTTGCCATTGTTGCTTGGACATGAGATTTGTGAGAAAATTGCCGACGTGAATGTCAAGTCATCCTTTTAATGTCCCTTTCCACCAGTACCCCTCATTGCAACTTGTTTGGCAGATAGGGTATCACGAAAAGCAAGTAGCCGGCGGGTGAATACAAATAGTCATGTGTAGACCTCCTTTGAACGGGATTCCCTTTGATGAAAGGTTTAAATTCTAATTGGTCTAGTCTTGTTTTCCTATCCCTGTCAGTGCGATGCGATTCTGGCCTACCTTGTATCCCCTCCTTCTCTATATAAACTTGATTAGCAAAAGGTTAATTTGATAGTATTTCTTTTCTAAACATCCTAACCTCCCCGATGAGAGGTCTGTATCTAGCTGGTTTGTGAATTAGACAGACAGTCGACAGTGCAAAAGTCAGCGGGGAGGCAATAAAAATTCCCTTAGTGATTCGACATCTCTAGTATAGCATGATCTAAAATTCTCAGTATGTACTCAAATGGTTCTGAGATTTGTCGCTAGGTAATTGTGACCTACCAATATTTACCACTGAACTTGCACTCATATCTTTCCCTTATACCAAATGCGGGGAGGGGACCACCAAACCATCAAACTGCATGACTTCCGAGCTTAATCGTCGCCGATCATTCTGTCGCTGAACTTTGCTCGCATATGCTATTTATAGCGCCTCTCGTGTTTCTAACCCGCTGTAGGGAAGTATAAAAACTATAAATGCAGGAACACGAACTTACGAGGAGAGATCAACAAAACTCCCAATCAGTGCGTTTGGCCCCCATGCTATAGTTAGTTAATCCCGTCCAAGATCGTCTAACACCATTCCATAGTCAGGTATATAATTCGAATTTCACGAAATGCATAGTGTTGGGAGGCTGGATACGAACGTTGGGTTGCATTTGTTGCGAGAAATACGAATTGCCAAGTCGAGGTATGCTATGGCACATGAATAGAGACACGTTCTTTTCATTCGAAATTGAAGGAGTACTTGCCTATAAAAGGCTCGACATCCACTGCCATTAGATCCATCTACAATTCATTCTCTCAAGACAAAATAACAATCACTATAACAAGCATCGACCAAGCAGACCATCATGCATTTCATCTCCCTCATCGCCATCTCCCTCACGACCGCCATAACAACAGTATCCGCTTATCCCATCACCGGAGACTCAGTCAACTGCCGCTCGGGACCAGGAACAAGCCACGCAGTCCTGAAAACGTACAAGAAAAGCCAAGATGTCAAAGTAACCTGCCAAACGACCGGCACTGCCGTCTCCGGCAACAACATCTGGGACAAGACATCCGACAACTGCTACGTAGCGGACTACTACGTGAAAACCGGCAGTTCGAGCTACGTGACCACGCCATGTGGCAGCAGCAGTGGCGGCGGCGGTAGTAGCGGCACCGGAAAAGCCATCATCGACGCCGCCGAGAAAGAGAAAGGACTGCCGTATGTCTGGGGCGGCGGTGGATGCAAGGGACCCTCGAAGGGCGGCTTCGACTGCTCTGGTCTGACGCAGTATGCTATCTGCCAGGCGTTGAAGAAGACGATTCCGCGTGTTGCGCAAGACCAGTACGATACTAGTATGGGGAAGCGGTATCCGCGGTCGGAGGCTAAGGCTGGGGATCTTTTGTTTTGGGCTACTGGAGGTGATTGTAAGAACAAGGTTGCGCATGTTGGGATTTTCATTAAGGATGGGTTGATGATCAATGCTGCGAGGACTGGGACGCCGGTGAGAGAGCAGGCTATTTGGACTTCTTATGGTGGGGAGAGTATTTGTCCTTATGTTATGAGGTATGTTACATGAAGGTCGAGGATTTGGGAACTGTGGACTGACTTGGCGATAGATTTACCTGAGTTTCGTTGATTCTGGCTTCTCTTCTGGAACTCGTTGGGCTAGATGAGCTAGACATGGACCCTGCTGCTTTTGAGGAATGTTTTCTAGTATGAGAAATATTTGCGTTGGTAGTGAGAATAGCATTTGAGCTTCGCATCCGTTGATTGTCTCGTACTTTCTGGATCACGACCGTGAGATCCTTTTGTTCGTCATTTAACTACTCGAGGGCCATTGGTTAGGAGGGGGAGTATTTTGTTCTAGTATCTTCAAATACTCTAGTATCTTCAAATTGTACCTACATCTCTAGAAGCGGGAGACATCCCTGCCAAAGATCTTGTTCAAGGTCCACCGGAAAGCCACCCTGAACTTATTGCGCCAGCTGATACTCATGGTGATGTATGCCGCATTCCAAACAAGCGAAGCAGTACGTCCCTTGATACCATCGGGCAGATACTTGCGCGTATGCCCAGCATCTTCGTGTGGGATTTGCATCAGCGCGCGCTCGCTTCCGATGTATGCCATTGTACCCATATTACGGAAAGAGAAAGACGGAGTCTGGTTCAAGTCTTTCTTGTTTAGATGAGAAGCTAGCCACTTCGCTTCTTGGAAGGTGGCCTGTGCGGTTGCAGGGGGGGCGCCGGTCTCTGGCATGGCGTTGTCACCCAGGGCAAAGACGTCCCGGAGAACTGCTGTCTGACCAGCTTCGTTCTGTAGCTGAACGCGTAGATGGCCGTCGACTAGCAGCGGGCCCTTCCTGGGGGCTTTCTTGAATTGCCATGATTCTTGTTCTGCACTGGCGGGGACTTCCTCGGAGCCTTCAAAGGCATGGATTGAGTTTGTTGGGAAGTCGACTGTGCCCAGAGATTGGGTGATGAATTTGGGCATGGCGTTACCCGTTACCCAAACACACATTCCAACGCCAACTTGACCTTCCTCTTCCGTCTCGAGGGTCAGACAACGCTTGGGGTCCATCTCGTGGAGCGATGAACCTCCAGGCGGACCCCAGCGTAAGCTCTTGACATGGTGGGAGGTTTTAATATCGATGCCTTCTTTCTTCATTGTTTCCATGGCGTACCGAGAAAGCGACTCATCAAACATCGACAGGACCTTGGGCGCAACATCATACAAAGTGATCTTGGGGATCGCGTTTAGGGTAGGGTATAGCACCATCATATCATCATAGATAAAATCGCGCAACGACGCTGCAAGCTCAATACCAGTTGGACCAGCCCCGACGATTGCGAAGTGCAACAAGTGTTTCTGCATATCCGTAGTAGTTGTCGGCAAAACGGCTAGTTCGAAGCATTCTCGCACGCGGCGTTTCACCCGCTTAGCGTCTCCGATGTCTTTGAAAAACATAGCATTCTCCCTCACTCCAGGTGTTCCAAAAGTGCGGCTGACTGCCCCTACCGCAATGATAAGCTTGTCATACGGGACCTCGAAAGTCTCTCCCTGTTCCCACAGACGCTGGTTCTGCATGGGCTTCTTGCTCGTGGTCTCCGGGCCTTCCTCGGTCTCTCTATCCTCTGTTCGAGGTGACTCGGTGACTCCACTCTTGACCACAGTTGCTTCACAGAGGATAGTCTTCTTTTTCAGGTCGATAGCCCGCGCGGCTGCTTGTATGAAGTCGACCTTGGACCGGGGATCACGAACAGGCTCGACAATGTTCGAGAAATCGAGGGATCCGCTGGCCGCATCGGTGAGGAGAGGAGTGAAGACGAAGTATGACCGAGGTGAGATGATGAGAGGAGAGTAGTTCTTAGGGGAGAGCCTGCGCGAGAGTGTGTATCCACCCCAGCCAGATCCGAGAATGACGACTCGCTCTTTCTGGTTCTCAGACTGTGGGAGTGCAGTGGATCTGTCGACTTGGGTTGCAAGGCATCTTAGTGGAAGTGCGCGGTTTGGGGGTGATATTTTGGAGAATATCGTATGCGCAGATTGGAGAGAATTGGCAGGACAAGCCAAAGGAGTTCGGATACGTAGGGCCTGGCGCTGCAGAGGGAGCATTGTGCCCAATGGCCTGGGTTTCATGGCAACGCTGTGTGGCTTTGTTAGTATATCGGAATTAGTTTTCTATAAAATTGCTTTTTCTCAGCACCACGAGCTCTATAAACCATCCGGCATCGGTGCTCGCTCCCCGCTGACACATTGATGACTTCATCCTCGGTTGAATGAGGAAAGGAGAGGCCCGGATCGGGACTTTGGCCATACATTCTGGCCAGGTCCACTCAGGATCCATACGGGATCGGATACACTGCTCCCGTGAACATGTTTAGGACTTTAAGCTGTGGTATCAAGCTCGTGGAGACGCCCGGAACCCTTCGGAGCGATCGGTGAGGGCCAGCTGCACGTGCCGTCGGAAAGCATCGGGAGATCTAGGCACATAATTTTCACATGGCCATGAAGAGTTTTGATTTCTTTCAGCTGCAAAACATAGAATTGTGAGTCGATAAAAAGAGGGGAAGAGGTGCATTAAATTTGAAAGTCGAGGAAGATGCGCCATCATGTGACGTTGTGGTATGATGCTTGGCAAAATCACATGTAGTCGACGCAAGCCACAACATACATCTAGGCACATATTATCTGTAGCAGGGCAAAAATGGACATCCATAATAATGTTCTGGCATCCAGTTTTGAGAGGGCGTGATTTCACTGATGTGACCAGCACTAAAGAGATAGTAAAGATACCTACATTGATGTCAGATTTGTAAAAACACATTCAAACATGGCTTCGAAAGTATTTTGAAACAATATACTGGCCCAACGAACAAAATATTAACACTGATTATAGGTCTATAGAGATTTAGAGATTTGACTTACTTGGAAGAAAACAAAATCGCTCCGGGGCCATTGTTCTCGACATCGTCATCATTTTCATGCTCTCACAGTCTACAATAGAGGCGGTGACACGGGGCAAAATACCTCGGAGTACGACCCATGTGGCGTAATGTGGCGCAGTCGGACGCGAGTCAAAGCCTCGGATTTAGGACGAGACTACCCTATTCAGGAATTGATCCACCTACTTGTATACTTTTAGGTCTATTGATCTAAATTCGCCTCTCCGAACTTTGAATTTCTCGCGTGTTGACGAGTCATCGAGTGACGCATTGAGTGGCGCATCTTTATCACCGAGATATTGCTTCTTGCGGCACTGAAACTCGGTCCCGAGCCTGGATGGCGAATCGGCGTGGAGAGGATGTGCAGGGTTAGGCAGGGCCGTAATACGTAGACCTCCAGAATTACGGGGTATATGGCTGCCTTGTTGCGAAGAGAAATGTATATAAAAGGATGCCTATCACTTCTGCAGTACTTTCGGATTAGATCAAGTGTGTTCACTTTTCTTTGCTTTACCTTTTTCTCTGCCTTTTGATATCTTCCAGTATAACATTTCATCATTTCGATCTCCAAGTATCTGCACTCAAGTAAAACAGTACTTGCACCGAATATCGACAATCTAAGATGGCTTCCATCTATCATCTCAATCAACCCTCGAATCAATTTTGGGATTTCACCAATGGAAACCTAGAGGATCATCCTTTCTTTGCTCCTCGTGGTCACCACGGCCACCACGGACGCCACGCCGGCGGAGGTCCTAAGCATGATAGCCACCCTGATGCCACCGAAGCTGAAAACACCGAGCAAACCGGCGAGAAAGGCGAAGCCTCAGCATCTGACTCCGACTCCCCTGACAACCACCACCGTCGCTGCAATCACTGCGGAAAAGGCAAAGGCAAAGCTCGGGGAGGCCCTGGACACCACGGCCCAGGTCCATTCCGAGGAAATGGCGGCAAAGGAAAGCATGGACGTGGCCACCACGGCTTCAAGAGAATGCAGCCCACCGACGGCACCCAGCAATCTGACGCACCCCGTGCAGCAGATGAGTCCAACGCAAACCCATCAATCCCAAATGACAACAGCGAGTCCTCATCTGAATCCGAATCTCCGGACAACCACCGCCGTTACGGAAAATGCAAGAACAAGGGCCACGGCCCCGGTCACCATGGACCAGGCCCTTTCCGTGGCAAGGGTGGTAGGGGCAAGCACGGTCACGGCCCCTATGCTGGACCGTACGATTTCCACGGCCATGGTCATAGCCACGGCCACCACGGTCCTAGCCACGGCCACCACGGTCCTAGCCACGGCCACCACGGTCCCGGTGCCTTCGGCCTCGGTGGGCCCGGACGCCATAGTATGGGAAAGCATGGACACGGATACGGTCCCCACGCTGGACCCTATGGCTTCCCTGGCCACCACCACGGCGGACCTTTCGAGTTTGGGCCTCGAGGCCACCGAGGCGGTCACGGTAGATACGGTAGACACGACAGACCCCCATTCGGAGGCCCGTTTGACTTCCTCCACCAGATCGGCGCTGGTCTTAGACTCCCGATGAACGGACCTGCTCACGGTACCGACTTTATGCCTGCTGTTGATGTCTTCGATACTCCTGCTCGATACATTGTGCATGCATCGCTGCCTGGTGCTAAGAAGGGTGATCTCAGTATTGACTATAACGCCGAGGAGTCTGTCTTGCATTTGGCGGGTGTTGTTAACCGCCCTGGTGTGAGCGAGGATTTGCATCAGGCTCTTGTGATGGAAGAGCGCGGTCAAGAGGTTGGTGTTTTCGAGCGCGAGATCAGATTTGGTACTCGTGTGGCACCGGCTCCTGTTCTTGTTGATGGAATTTCGGCAAAGTTAGAGGATGGTGTTTTGAATATTACTTTGCCGAAGACTGTTCAGGATTCTCAAGTCATGAAGAAGAAGGTTTTCGTTGAGAATGGTGATGAGAATGAGAAAGATGCCATGGTAGTTGAAAGGACTTATACTCCAGTTGAGTCCGAGGAAAGTGACAATGAGGGCGAAGCTAGGGAGTATGTCAAGGTTCCTGTGCTGTGAAGCGCGAACTAGGATACTGTGATTTTGTATGAATTGGAGTTGGGGTACAAATTGTTGAAGCTGTTTTTTTGGTTTATAGTTGATATTGTTATAATGGAAATATGATTGCTATCTAATTTTGGTGGCGTGCATACATATGTGCCGGAAAATGCCTGGTACTCGAGACCTATCTCTTTCCGCTTCTTGATCTTAGAATCAAATTGAGCACTCCCTTAAGCACCCTGACCCACTCACAGATCATGATATGAGCGATCTATTTTACTTAAAGCGTATGATTAGAGTAGAAGGAATAAACGAACTAAATAAGCTATGTTATCGATGGCTTCTTGTGGTCTCTAACATCTCTGTAAGTATCTAGTGATTCGAACAACTCATGCATCTTGGCAGCTATTCACACGAATACACAGAAGCGCATGGTATCATGACAGATTTGATAGAAACGCAAGAGCTGGGCAATTCATGGCTGGAGATTTTCTTTTTTAGCGCGTTCGAATTCGTCAAAGAGACATGATCATCACACACAGAAATGGCGAGCGAATGGGATAGATAACGAAGCTCATAGTTGGGAGGTAGTTAAATGATAAGATTGTTTTGTGTTTTGTTGATACTGCAGAATGCCTGGACTTACCTGCCGCCGCTTTCTCGTTTGACTTCGTACCTTATTTTGCGGCGAAGTCATTTTATTGCTGTTTTGGACAGCTGACAGCGAGGGGGTTCTCCCCCATCGGACATCGGGTTCACCATTGGGGTTTGGTTTTTTCCATTGTAAAAGTAGACAGACGATCACAGTAACAACGAATACACTACTAGCATAGCTAGAGAGGGCGGCATAAAGCCCGATGTATATGTAGTTCAGACAAGAATTGACAAATGCAATCAATATAGCTGGCGGAAAACATCATAAAAACCAGCCCAGCGTTTCATCAAGTGTCCTAGCCTCCCTCAATGGAACTGCTTTTCCTTTTGTTGCCAATCCAACCCTATTATGCCAAACAACTTTCATGCCAGCATTTGTTGCGCCTTCAACGTCTCCGGCACTACCAGCAACAAACAGCACATCAATCGCTTCAACCTCCATTGCAGTCAAGATAGCCTGATAGGCTTGCCGAACTGGTTTATAAAACCCACTATCTTCAGCAGTGATGACCGCATCAAATAAATCTTCTTTCTTTTCACCAGTCATACAATCAACCACACGCCGCGCCGCGAGGTTCCCCAAATGATTTGAACAATTCGTAACCACACCAAGTCTATACCCTTGAGTGCTAAGATTTTGTAAAACGCCACCAGCCTCCGGCCAGGCCTGCAGAGTCTGCCAGTCCCGCAGCAGAGCTGCAGGAGCAGACTCGGTTAAACCAACATCCCTTGCAGCTTGCCTCACGAGGCTCTCATACGGAACATAAGCACCAGCGCCGAAGGTGAGCTCTAAATAGCGTTCGCGCCAAGCTCTTCCTTCCATTGATGTAGCTGATGGAGTAGACGCATCCCACAGAGTCCAAGAGTCCAGAAGGGCTGTGAGAAGGTCGAATATAATCACTTTAGGTCGCCAATCAGGCTCTTCTTTAATCAAAGAGGTAGAGGGAGACATGGCTAACGTTAGACCTAAACAAACGCACTATTGTCAGCCAATGTGGATTACACAATATATTAAAGTTTACCTTCGAGGTTGCGGCGATTTGAATGACAATTTTTGTTCGATTTTGGTTGTTAAGTATTGGTCCGTGCAAATAATCTTTCACCTGGGCTTGAACAGGAAAGCCTTTTATATATGCTAGGGAGTTCTTGTTAAGGAACGCTCGGCTCAATCCGGGGAGCGCTGGGTCCCACATTTCTTCCGCTCGTTCTCGATGACCACTTTAGGTTTAGCCATTACACGTTTTATGTAATATCCATACCTTAAATACATTTATATTTGAAGGTGACTAAAGATGGTGCTTTGAGCCTAGTGTTGAAAAACGTTTCGAATCATATTTAAAGAAGACAAGGACGACAAGGCAAAAATAACATGTTTATAAAATAAGAAGAGCACAAGCGTGAAGCCCCTTTGGCCACATGTTTGCCCCAGTGTCCTTTGCATTGTCTATGAGACTGAAGATGTCGCTGGCCCCCTGGCTGCTCGACGAACTTTTATTTGGTGCGAAGTTTGGTGCGAAGGAATAATTCTTTGTTGGCGGTTCTGGCTGCACGTGGCTCCATATAAGCTGTCGGTTCTGGGGAGGGTATAGCACGAGTGATGATGATGGTGATGGTGGTGGTGAAACTAATCCGGTCCAGCTCCCTTTTCATGGATACTGTCATGCGGGGATTGCTCTCAGAGCCAACCCGAAAGACAGTAATTAAATGAACGACAAGCCTATTAGTCAGTGACCAGGCGCGTAGACCTTACTGTAGAAGGCAGATCGCCAAGACTGCCAAGCACTCTTTCCACCCTTTGGCCATTCTCCCATCAGGGTTTTGCCTAATTAGTCTTAAAGAGACTCGGCAGATTGAGGAGCCGCTGATCCGACAGTGTTAAAGGAAAATTTGTAAACCAGATAGGACTCGGACTCAGTGTCACCAATAAAGATAATGAATCCATGATAGCGTCATAAAGGGCATAAAAGGGGACTCTGACCTAGACCCCTTGTTCTTGGTAATAATCAGTCTCTGTGTGAAGAATGCCATATTATAAGCACTACTTGGTCGATTCGTTTCTGATTAGGGTGGATCATGCTGTTGCTTCCTAAGCATAATCGTGTTATCCCTTTTCCCTGAATACCTAGAGATGTCTAAGTATAGGATGTTGCACATGATCTGATGACAGATATCTTGGTTGGCTCTCGGTGGTCCATCAGTAGTTGCGGTCTCTATATGTGATTGGTGAGTAGCATGTCCGTAACAATCAGTGCTAGATAAACATTGAGATTGGCTACCCGCGGTAAAAAAAAGGTCGGCCTATTTCCCCTCCTGTGGGGGCTGAAATTATCCCTGCTGTGGTCTAGTTTCAGACAAGCGACCAGAGAATAACATCGAGTTTGAGATATCATAGGATACGGGCATTCCGATGATATGCCTATGCGCCGCTTCTCCTCACCTTGAGTTGGTGAGAATGTATGAACTAGCATGGATGTCAAGTAGCTGCATCATCGGCGGCTATGCACTGGACCATATTTAGCACAGCGATGGCTCAAAATAGCGCAGTGTTCCCCCTCGCTATGAACTTTTCAAAACTGCGGTCTTGTATATTCTGAAGTCGTAGCACTTTTGACCAAACTTTGTTTTTCCCCGAAAATCCATATCGCGATGGAGCAGTCATTTAGAAAGAAGAAGCTCTCCAAGCAGGAGGAACGGGAGTTGATTGATAGGCACAAAATTAAGTTCGAGGGGCCTGTCTCGCCGAATAGTTGGCCGGAGCAAAATTCAGCCATATTTACCACCATCCGCAAAATCGAAGACATTAAGTACAACACCTACGTGAGTCAAATACAAGCAAATACTCCGGAGGGCGTACAAAGGATGAGAACGGTAAATAAGGCTAAATGTCTTGTCTCTGCTGCATATGATTGCCGTCTTCTTGAAGCCAACGAGTTTACTTGGAGGTCCAGGATAGAGTTCCCCCTACTTGCCCGTTTTGAGGAAGACATAGAGTGGTAGGTGAAACATCGAAACCGTAACCTTGGATCGATTCTGATGTTGATCTAGCCGGAAATGTCAACAGCGACGATGGGTTCCCGATTTCTGTGCGCTGTCGATCACGCCAAATGAAGGACACAAAATGCAAACAGCGCAGGGAGGGGTGGGTATTTGTCGGTGCATTGAAAGCGATATTGATGGACATGAGGTAAATGGTTCAAATTCAATCGCCCAAAAGATCAGGCTACTAACAATGTTTGCTTGCTAGTCCGTCGTCAATAGTGCAATATTTGCGGGACAGCCGCACGCAGGAATCAACGATCTTTCCGTTCCTGAGATCGGAATCAAGTACCCCGACAATATCATCGGGCTTCAGAGATCACCATCACTCAGTGCTGCCCTTCGTGGCCATTCAAGGCTAGGTTCCAGTCCAGTAAAGGATGCAGAGCATATCTTGTTTCCTTTCCTGATTCTCGAAGCCAAGTCTGAGATTCAAACACCTGGGTTTACGGCTATCGAGAAGCAGACTGCGTTCCCAATTAAAAGACTTGTCGATATCCAAAAGTCTCTGAGAAAAAGAAGGCAAGAGCCAGAAGAAAACAGCTTGGTTTGGTTCTTGGCTTTCAGTGGGGATGAGTGGAGAGTCTATGCGTGTTTTCCAAGAGGAGACGAAACGGTAAGGTTCTTCGAAGGGGCCGGAATGCCTGACTGACACAAAGGCAGCGTATAATCGACCTTTGGCACGGATGCATTCAGAGACAAGACGCTGCACTGCAATTGTGTTTGATTGTTGACTTCATATGTGACTGGGCTTTGAATATTCATCGAAATGAGATCATTAGATTGCTTACTGGAAATTCTCTGCCCAGTTTGCATGTATTTGATACTCAAGAACAGCAGCCCGAGCCTTCCAATCCGCCGAAGCGACAATCCGTCATCCGAGACACAAATGAAGTGTTCTTCTCATTCCGCCATCTGACACTCCCTGATATGACGAGCAAGCTGATTGCGATTCTCAATCCACCTGGCTCGGGGGATAATGAAGTCAATCAGAAATCTACCAGTCTTTTGGATCTCTTCAATCTAGAGCATCCGCTTTTGGTCAAGGCGGAATTTATTTATCGTCTACAGAAGCTTTGGACTGGTGCAACGAGCAATCATCCAATCATTGACAGTGAACAGCTTGTTTTTGCTCACATTTCCTTCCAATCATACTTTCGGCCAAGCGACTTCCATATAGTACGAGAACTTTCATGCATCACGGCATCGTTCAGTGCAATAATTACTCTGCAGCGTCTTGCTGGAACTCAGCTTCCTTTGTCGTCTGCTTATGCAGATCTACACCTGTATAAATTCCTTCCTTTGGCGGAACTATCTGGCGAGCATTCATTGAGAGCTGCTGCTAGGAATTTACGACTCACATTATGGGTGACTAAAGGGGACTTCATTATGCAGCCATCCTGTAGATGGGTGAAGCAAGTCTCTCAAGGAGAATTCGTATCAAGCATCTGGGACAAACTGGAAATCTTTTCTCCTGGGATTCTTGGGTATCCTGTATCCGCGCAATCGAGCGAACTACGCAGGTTGTCGGCTACCAATACCTCCCTGTCTTATGACCTGCAAGACTGTCTCAAACAGGGAAACCACCAGCTCCTTCATGGAGCCGCTCTTCTCAAGGCACCTGAGAGCTCACTCCAGCCGCTTCTCCCACAGTATTGCTTGGCCGTATTCGACGGTTCCGACCTAGACGATCGGCCGTGTCTTAGTTTTAAATTATTACATTTGATTACAACCGGCAGTTTGTTTGAGGGGAAACGGATCTCTACTGCAACTACGAAAGATCGCCAATTCATCCTCGACTGGGCTACGCGCCTAAGGCGCGGTGATTCTTGAGTGCCGGTTGTGGCTCGCAGTCTAGGAAGAACTGTCATGTTGCAAAAAGTTGGTTCAATGCTTCTTTCTCAATTTTGTTTCAAATGCTTCCTCGTTGGGATGCTACCTTGTCCTAAATTAAGCGTTCAACACTTGAAAAACATTTGACTAACCTTTTCCTGCTAGCATGTTATAGATCTTCCTATAAACCTGTTACTGTTGTCGATGGAATTAGAAATGACGAAGGTGTCTTCGAAGAAGTATACGAGCTGCTAACCTTCAATCTGTTCTCCAATGTACATCCGATGTTGCGTCCGTTTTGATTGAAATTTTTGTACCTAAATTGATGTAACAGGCTAGCCATATTCCTTGCTTTACACTCTCCTCGGAGTAGTCCTTATGGTTACCATCAATAACCGTGCTTAGGTTTAGGGCTTTATTGATACTAATAATATGTCTGTGGAAACATCACTTACTGGAATATTCATCTCCATCGAGAAGACCAAAAGATGCTGAGTATGTGAGTTCTCTAGTTAAATATACACTCACAAGTCGCTCCAACCGCTGACATGTATATGTGGCTGAATTAATTGACCAAACTGCGTTGTGTCCCTGCCGCCGGGTCGATAGAAGAAATTGCTGGCCTGCCTAACCGCTGTTCCTAAGCCAATCGGATGATAGAAAGCCTCGATAGGCATTACTAACAGTTTTTGCGGATTTCAAGAACGTTGATCCTTAGACAGTAAAGCATTTTGCTAGCAGTAACCATCTGAAAATAGAAGAAGAGGTATAGCAGTGTTAAAGGATATTTCAAAGCATATGTTATGAACCTAGCTTTCGATCATAGTGCGGGGACTATTGACGAATATGTCTGTCTATCAATAAACGCACAGAGCAGCTAGTGCATCCGGCCGTCCTAAAGAAGTGGATGATGAAGAACACTTCGAAAGTAACCATTTCAATACTCATAGGTATCATTGCTCACGGCGTTACCCAGGCCTATGCTCGGGCCTTGCCCATCTCATTGCTCATCTCGTTGCCCATTTCAATGCCTATTTCAATGCCTATTTCCCTACTCATCTGATCACCCCGAATAAAGTAACTCGTAAGATAGCAGCTAAGGCCGGTAAGAGAAGAGTAGCTACCTGCGGCGATGATAGTGGTGACAATAGAGATGGTAAGAATACCAATGGCGATAGCGGTCGTAAACTGAAATGGTCCCGATATACATTCCCCCGGGGCCTACGCTAAGAACTTTGTTGTGTATGCCTTGTCTTCGACAATATATATCGCATCTTAATGCGAATACCGAACAATACAAACCAAAGTCAATCGATGCCTTGCAGACTTCTGGTAGTCGATCAGTGAGATCAGTGCTGATCTTCTTTCACAAACTGCAAAGCAGACACTTTAAAATGTATAATGAAGAAGGGGAGATGTTGAAAATTATTTTAGAACCGAATCATGCAGTTTGGCGCTTGATAACTGCATCAACTCATTCTAACACGTCGAACATTGGTTAAAGCGTATGTTCTTATTATATACGGATGAATCAAAATGATCAAAGCTTTGCACTAGTAATAACTCCCTGGCCCTGTACAGCACGATCAACAATTTCCATTGCCTGGAATAGCTGATAGTCATGCTGTTTGGGAGTAACAACCTGCACACTGAGAGGTGATCCAAGGTATACGCGGCGGTCGACTGTTTTTTCGTCCCCTGAAAAACCAAGATTAGCAAAAAGCATCAATGAGTGGATGATAACATACACAGCTGCCGGTTGGCTTTATCCCAACTTCCCAACACAGGCGCCTCCATCGCTCGTCCGGCTTCAAGATCTGACTCCAAAAACGGACGAACTGGGACTACACCGGCCGGGTAATCCAGCAACACAAAGGTCGATGTATACCCCACAGCATTGTATCGATCCATTTGCGGGACTGGATGCGGAGCCACAGGGCAAATGATAGCGTCCACGCGTCGAGCCACAGAAGAAATGGATTGCGTCCACATCTTCAGCATCTCCTTCTCGATATCTGCACGCTGAGCCTGCAATTTCATCAACTGGGTCACATCTATGGCTTTGCCACGCTTTGTACGGCCCTGCAGCCACGGAATCAAATCCTCGTCCATGCTCTCGATAAGATCAAGCATGTGCGATCCACCATCAATGCCCATCAACCGACCAGCGAGACCTTGGCATTTTGGCAGCACTGATGGAAGAGGGATATCGACAACCTCAACGCCAGGCGTGCGACGGAGGGCATTAGCGACTTCGTCCAAAATCCGGATAATCGGCGGCAAGGGCGTGACAAGACCGTCTGTTTTTAGCACACCGACGGTAAAATTGCGAGTCAGAGAAGCCGGCATAGACGGTGCCCAAGATCCTGGAATACCATCTTCACCGAAGAGTTCTGCACGAGGCACGATCTCCGCCATGACGGCATTGATATCCGCCACCGAGCGCGCCAGCGGCCCAGCAACAGGCTGCAGCCCAATCCGGCCCTTTCCTTCGATTTGGCCACCTTGCTGGCCACCATATGGTACGCGACCGGTACTAGGCTTGAAGCCGTAGATGCCCTGGCACATAGCCGGGACGCGGATGCTGCCGCCGATGTCCGTGCCGAAGCCAACCATGGAGCCGTGCATGGCGAGGAGGGCGCCTTCACCGCCTGTGCTGCCACCTGCTGTCCATTGGCGGTTTAGTGGATTGAGTGTGCGCCCGAAGAGGTGGTTGCAACTGTCTAGTGTTCCGAGGGTTTGGGGGACGTTTGTCTTGGCGATTACTATCGCTCCGAGGGAGTGGAGCAGGTCGACGAGCGGGGCGTTGGCTTGTGCGGGCTGGAATGCTAATGCGGATAGTCCGATGCTTGAGTCGACACCTTGGATGTTGAACGTGTCCTTCACTGATACTGGGAGGCCATGGAGGGGTCCGACTGGTTTGCCTGTGCGCTGGAGGTGAGTGTCTAGGTCGCGGGCTCGCTGTAAAGCGCGGTCGAAGAGGGGTTCGGTTAAACACCGAGTAAGCTGGTGAGCGATGGCTGCTCTCTTGGAAAACATTAGCGAATGTATTGCAATATGAAGAAAGTACATACCTTGCAAAACCCTTGCACCACGTCCTCGGCCTTCAGTCGACCCTCAATCATCTCCGCGACCAACCCCCTCACATCGTATTTCTCAGTAATATCCAACTCTTTTGGTGTGAGCAGACCGCATTTCCGAGGAACATCTAACACACTGATGCGTTGGTAACTTTTCGGGCCGAGGGTGATGGACTCGGAAATCGAAAGCATTCCCTCAGGAATCAGATGTGCGGGCAGGCGCCATTGAGCAGGAATAGCAGCAGCAAGCTCTGCCTGCTTGCGTTGGGCGATTGCTATATACCGGGGTTGAGAGGCCATGGTGGATGGAAGAAAAACATGGTGGATGATGGAGGTGGTTTTTAATGCGGGGAGTGCGGAGAGCGGAGAACAGGGACCTCGGCCCGTGTGGGTACCGAAATTAGGGTTTGATATCGAGTGCGAAGTACAATATTGTACAATATTAAATCGACCATGCATGCTCTCAATTTATTGTCGTTGTCATACCTTCCTTCTAGCCTAAATTGAATTTGAATATGGTCTTTGATCATCTTTATCTCACAGGCGTCCTGGTTGAGTATAAACTTCTTACTTTTTAACAAAATGTCGGATGCTATTCTGACTTGGCCAATAAGAATGTGCAAAAAGCTCTGTATAATATTATCCCTGGTTCTGGAGATTTATAGGGATTTAAGCATGACTATTGAATTATAAATAAATAGCGGATACTCTCTGGCAGTTCATCTGCCACAAAACAACAAGGAGCAAATAAAGAAAATAAAGAAAACCAAACAAAAGGGGTCAGGTGGGGCTGTCCACTTGGGGTGTTTCCAAAGATTGTCAACTCCCTAATACGAAGCCTTGCGAATTCGGATGTCACCTGCCAGTAACGTGGGATGTACAAGGCTTCAATGTCTTGCAGAAGACACCATTCCCTGTGAGAGTCCCCAGAGATTAATGACTTAGTGCAGGCTCAAACACCCGAGCTCCCGCAAGAGTTTTCCTAGGACCCGACATAACCAGTAGGCACACTCGCATCAGATAACATCCATATGAGTTAATCCATAGCATTGAATAGGGAGATGAACACCATCCCTTTTCTCATGAGCAACAAGGACGACCCAATATACAGACTTTATGACGAAGGTGCATTTGAAAGACGTCAGTTTTAGTTACAAACATTGTAGAAGAGCCAATAGTAGGAGAAGATTGCTACGGCACGTTTGTCTCTAGCTTATAGATCACTTCCAAGGTTGGATTACTAAAGAGCAATTTCGATAATTGCAAACGTAAACTACAATCTCCCCTTAAGCACCGCACCACCGTCTGTTGCAATGACAGCACCGTTCAAATGACTTGAAGCCCGAGACCCGAGGAAAACAACAAGACCAGCAATATCCTCAGGCCTACCAAGTCGACCGTTGGGCGAGTACTGTTCGAGCTCCTTCAACCCACCCTTCGCCTCAATAAGTCCACTAGCCATCTTGGAGGGATAGAACCCTGGTGCAATGGCATTGGTCAAAACGTGGCGCGGACCAAGCTCGACGGCCAGGTTCTTCGCCAGATGAATGGCAGCAGCCTTGGAAGCCGAGTAAGAGGGCGTGGCATTGTCGCCAACTGTACCGATACCAATTCCAGCAACGGATGCGGTAATGATCACGCGGGATGGATCGGCGATTGTGGCTTTGGCAGTGAGGAGGGGTGTGAACCTGTGCTGTCAGAGTGATTTGGGTATCGGTAGATCTAGATTTATGACATACTTCTGGATCGTGTAGAATACACTCTTGACATTCAAGTCCATAACTTTGGAGAACATCTTCTCGGGGTGAGTATCGAATTTCTCGCCCCATGTTGCACCAGCATTGGCAAAGAGGATATCGACTCGGTCTGTGGTCTTGGCCACTTCAGCAGCGAGTCGGTCAAGCTCCTTCATATCTGAGCTGTCGGCCGGCACGGAGATGGCCTGAGCGCCGGGCCGCTTGTTGGGGAGCGCATTGAGAGCAGCAACTGCTTCATCGCAGGCTGCCTTCTTGCGGGATGTGATGTAGACCTTAGAGCATCCAGCTTGAAGGAGACTGTGGGTAATCAGCAAATGTTCTGTGTTTCGTTTCTGTCAATGGATGATACCCTGATGCCGCGTGCAGTCCTAGACCACGGGACCCGCCTGTTACGACAGCGACCTTGCCCTCGAGGGAAAAGATGTCGTTGAAGCTGCTTAGCTTGACTTGTTCGTTGGCAGACATTTTGCGATTGAATTGATGAAAGGGGGACTGAAAAAAATGAAGTTTGGATGGTTCCCGGCTTCTCATCTGTATTTGTACACAAAGCCGAAATGACCGAGGCTCAACCCCGCAAATCCGGGGATTAGTAATCTGCACAAAATTATCCTTTTTTCCAACTTTGGTTGTTTTTTGAGTGAATACCAGCCATGCAGAAATAAGAGACCCATGAATAAATTGTCCAAATATGGTATCTGGGGGTCGAATGGCAATATAGTGGTGAATACCGAAAAGAGGAATCGAGATGTGATGGCCAAGCTTCCCAACTGCCGATGCAGTACGCCATCAGACTACATATTGGCTTATTGGTATTCAGAGTTGTTTTACAGGTTCAATCATGCTGCAAATCAAGTGCGTCAACAGAAGTCGAAATGTCTTACACAGAACTACCAGTACTTGGTGTCTCAAAAGTCTAAGGTGTTTTAATCCGAAGAGATTAGAAGAGGCAGGAAGAGACAAAGAATATCAAAGAAACCCACGGAAAGACAATTGGAAAGTGCATAGGGATGTATAAGAGTGTCGCCAGCCTTCCTAGCCACGATGTAGACACTGTACTGTTCTACATATTTACTTCCAAGGTACCCAGCTACGGTGGATAATTCAAAGCGAAGACTCACCAAAGACTGCGCTAGTCTCCAGGGTCTTCTTCTTTTTAATAAGCATATTAGCAATTGCTCATCAATTTGATTCACAAGGACATTCTATGTAAATGAGTGTTATAGTGTCAAATCGAATACAACTACAATGTTCATTACTTGGTTGTTAGAGGTTGCTCGATATAGTTGCTCGTGTCATCGGATACGTGTATTACGTGTATATACTACAGATAACTATTTAGCCTGAAAGTATCCATAGATATAAACCCGGTGAAAATTCATAAAAGATTGAGCAAGAATAAATATATAGGGCGTATGCCTGGCCAGTCGGAACGAGCTTCACTATTTGCCCTTTCTGGGTGAAGGACCATCCATCGGAATCAATCTCCGCAGATTCCACGATTCATGTTGCCCCAGAATCATAACTGATTCAGGGTATCTGAATGAGCTCAAAATAATTATGTGTGAATAAAATTGTTCCAAAGCCGTCAAACTCAGCGACCATAGGATTTGCAAGCACAAACGCAAATGTGCTCAAACTAGCGCAGTGGATACACGCACTTCCGCTACATACCTTCACTCCTACCTTGGTGGTAAAATCACGTCATCAAAGAGATACCGCCCTGGGTGTTGATAGTGCGAGCCATGGCTCTTCCGGTTTCTTCTTCACTTCCCTCTTCAACCCCGCCGACTTGAGCTTCACATACAAGTCCAATCTTTCATCATGGCGCACACACTCCCCCCGCTCCCCTACGCATACGATGTAAGTATTCCACTATTTAGCAAGCCAATTATTCACTGACGATATAGGCTCTGGAACCCATCATCTCAAAGCAGATCATGGAACTTCACCACCAGAAGCACCACCAAACCTACATCAACAACTTGAATGCTGCCCTCGCTGCCCAAGAGATTGCAACGAAGTCAAATGATGTTCCCACCCTGATCACTCTCCAGCAGAAGCTCCGCTTCAACGGTGGCGGCCACATCAACCACTCCCTCTTCTGGAAGAACCTCACTCCACCCGGCACCCCGGGAAATGATATCAGCCATGCGCCTGTCCTGCGTGAGGCTATCGCTTCTCGATGGGGATCCCACGATGCCTTCGTCAAAGCCTTCAGTACTGAACTCCTCGGTCTTCAGGGTTCGGGCTGGGGCTGGCTCGTTAGTAAGGGTGGAGCTAAGGGGCGACTTGAGATTCAAACTACCAAGGATCAGGATCCTGTCAATGCTCCCGATGTCCCTATTTTCGGAGTTGATATGTGGGAACATGCATACTATCTCCAGGTGAGAGACTTGTGCTTTGATTTTACATCGGTCTGCTCCTAACCTTTTTGATCTAGTACCTCAACAATAAGGCTGGGTATGTCGAGGGCATTTGGAAGATTATCAACTGGGCGGAATCCGAGAAGCGCTACACTGCCGATGTTGAGAATCCTCTGAAGCTGTGAGTGAGAAGCTATTGGTTTAAGCTGGCTTGCCTTGGGGTCTAAATTTGATAGATCCACACGTGGACTTAAATCTAAAATTGAATATGATGTGATCATGAAATTCGTGTGCATTCGTAAATGAAAACCAACAGTTCTGACAACCTATTATTGTCCCTTCCATGGAGAATTATCGGGGTTTCTTCAGTTGTGGAAAAGAGTGTTGCCTTAGTTGTATCCAATCACTCCGATAGCCAAGACCGATCCTCCGACCTCGCGAACAGTCACCTGGCGACCGATGACGCCGTGCTCTGAAACGTTTAGGTCAAGCCTGAAAGGCAACATGAACTCAATCTCCTTCGAATCTCCCGCACCAGCTTTACTTGGATCTAGAGCCAATTTGTACTCCTTGAGGGGAGCAGCTTCTAGTGATTGGGTGATATCCCCAGATTTCCTGTATAAGGTTAGCTTTGTCCACTCCCGAGATCCTTAATCGACCTACTCAATTCGAATGTCGATACGCTCAAAAGATTGCATGGCCCGGTAAGTTGCTTCGTCTTTCATTTGGAAAAAGGCCCTTGTATTTCCTTCTCCATTGAAAAAGTAGAGGTAGAAGGAGAACATTGATGCGATTGTAGACTGTACAGCCATTGACTGGGGCGACGAGGACAGGGCAGCATCAGAGTTGGCGGACTGGGCTGGCGGAAATAACACCGCAATGGTGCCCCCGAAGGCTGGGCGGCAACTGTCACCACACATTGCGATCTGGATGTCAGGAAATGGAGATGCGAAGAAGGAAGGGCTCGTTTACAGCGTTCTATGCTTATAATAAAGAACGGGTCGTTACATGTGCGCAGAATAGAAATGGAATTGAAAAATCCGGAAAGTTCATTTATTCTATATAGTAGACTGACCCGGCTACCAAGGTGAGTGCGATCGAGCACGACTGAGCAAATTAGTGGATTTCTGGAATTCTGCTCATGTGGAGCCTGATGGCACAACATACGGGAACAGGCGTTTAATGATAGCCAAGTAAAGTGTGAATGACGTTTAAAGAAGGGATGACAGACAGCCTCGTCCTAAAGTTCTAAATCGAGTTGAGTCAAGAGTTGAGATTGTACTGGAGTGGATGCGCTTTGGGTTTTTTAAGATGCTAAAATGTTGACACCTCGACACCTTGTAGCCTTTCTGCCTTCATGCCTTTCTACCTCAGTGCCTTGGTGCCTTACAGGCTCTTTGGCCTATTGCCTCGTTGCCTTACAAATTGTAGTGTAATAGACCGAACCTCTCAAACCTAATCTTTTGCAATATACAAAATATAAACAGAAAGAACACGTGACAAATAAACAATTCTAGTATAGGGTCCCCTCTTATCATATTTCTCAGATCTGGGGTAAGGCCACAATCGGCATCAACCCCTCTTCACCACCCAACGCAATGTCCGACTACTACGACCTCGGAGACTACCGCCGCGAGGTAACCACCTCAAATCAAGATGTCCAGATCTGGTTTAGCCGTGGCTTAATCTGGGCTTATGCCTTTAACCATGACGAATCCGTCCGATGCTTCGAGCAGGTCGTCGCCCTCGACCCGCACTGTGCGATGGGCTACTGGGGCATTGCATTCGCCCTAGGCCCAAATTATAATAAGCCGTGGGAGTTGTTTGACGGCGAGGATCTGTCAGCTACAACGACACGCGCGCACCAGGCTATCGTGCAAGCCAAGACGTTGGCACCACACGCCACAGCTTTGGAGAATGCACTCGTTGATGCGCTCGCTTGTCGATATCCGCAAAAGCAGCCTGGAGATTGTCTTGCATGGGATCGGAGTTATGCAAAGGCCATGGAGGCCGTGTACGAGCAGTATCCGGATGATCTCGACGTTACGGCGCTGTACTGCGATGCGCTGATGAATCTCACGCCGTGGAAGATGTGGGACTTCAGAACGGGCCAACCGGCAGCGGGTGCGAAAACGCTTCTCGTAAAGAAAATGCTTGACCGCGCTTTGGAGCGCGATGAGACTCACGAACATCCCGGAATTCTGCACTTGTACATTCATCTCATGGAGATGTCTTCGGTGCCAGAAATTGTGCTCCCCATCGCCAATTGCCTGCGCGGCCTCGTTCCCGACGCAGGTCATCTCGAACATATGCCCACCCACATTGATGTCCTGTGCGGTGACTACCGCAGCGCTGTAAAGTCCAATACGTCTGCCATTCGAGCGGATAACAAGTTCCTCGCCAATCAGCCTGTTGGCCATTTCTATAATCTGTACCGCGCACATGATTACCACTTCAGGATGTATGCTGCTATGATGGGCGGGCAATCGAAAATTGCGCTGGATACCGGGGCTGAGATGGCGCATATTGTTACCGAATGCCTCTCGCAGGCTAGCTCTTTGGGGCCTCGCTCGCCGCCAATGGCGGACTGGCTGGAAGGGTTCGTTTCCATGCAGGTGCATGGGTTTATACGATTCGGTCGGTGGGATGATATCATTACTTTGAAGTTGCCGACTGATGCGCAGTTGTACTGTGTCACCACAGCAATGATGCACTACGCGAAAGGCGTCGCATTGGCGGCCACTGGGCGGGTTCCTGAAGCGGACGCAGAACGTAAATTGTTCAAGGAGTCTGTCAAACTCGTTCCCGATTCACGGAGAATTTTCAACAATAAGTGTACCGACATCCTCGGCATTGCATCCGAAATGCTCGATGGCGAAATTACATATCGTCGCGGTGAGTTCGATGCGGCGTTTGATCATCTCCGTGAAGCTGTGAAGCGAGAAGATACATTGCCCTACGATGAGCCATGGGGCTGGATGCAGCCATCAAGACATGCGCTTGGGGCTCTGCTGCTTGAGCAGGGTCACATTAAACAGGCTCTAGCTGTTTATGCTGCAGACCTTGGGGTTGAGCATGAGAGTGATCCGCCGCTGCCTCGTGCGCTGAGACATTATGGTAATGTTTGGGCTTTGCATGGTTACCAAGAGTGTTTGCTTAAGCTTGGAAATAAGCATGAGGCAAGGCGTCAGGCGCCGCAGTTGAAGCATGTGCTAGCTTACGCTGATGTGCCTATCAAGTCTTCTTGCTTCTGTCGAATCGACACTACTTGATGAGTTTTCAAAGTATCATGTGATTTAGCATAGCATTGTACTGGTTGTGCTACAGTTTATCTAACATTTGATTGCGTGGAAAGTTACGCGGATATAACACGATTGCTATCAATGACATAGAACCTTGGAACTAGAAAACTCAGGAATAGAAAAAGTCAAAGAGAACAAAAAGAAACAAGGATATACAAGAAATTGTTTGCTCGCCAATTTAAATCGATCACAACAAGTACAATTCCGTAATATCAAAGCGCACCTGCACCGATGACAAAAACGCCCAAATATGAATCCTCTCAATCCGATGAGTTCCCCTCAGCCAAGCACCCAGAACAAGCCGGGCGGTTGCTCTGCCTAATCGCGTACCCCAAAGCTCCTGATACTCCTGAGTACTGTATTCGAAAGTGTGGACATCATCATTTATGACCGCCCAAACTAGCCCCATTCTGGGCCAAAGTATCTCGACGATATATTTATGGGTCTCGTGGTTCACAACATTGGTAAAGTAGATATACCTCAGTGTATCAATAGATTGATCAATTTCATACTGCGCCTGGCTAACATCCGACCAATAAGGCCCATGGCGTCGGATGATATTATCAGCAATGATCACCCCTCCAGTGCGGTCCTATGTACGTACAAGGTCCAGTCCAGGCCCAGCTCAATGGGCCATGTCTGAATCGCTGAAAGTACAGCATGCGGTAAGTGTTCTCTTTTGGTAAATCACGCGCAAGGTTAGCCTCAATCTCGGGCGGCACCATCTTGCGATAGTCGCTTCCTCTGCCAATCATGCTTTCTGGCCTCTCGCCCTCCATCGTGTGTCCTCCGTAACTCGGCCGTGCGATTAGCTCCTCATAAATGAGAGTGCTGTGGGGGATTTTACACCCAGGCACATTTGGGTCGTCGATCCAGCCTTGAAGCTGAGCTCCTTGTCTTTGAAATGTTTCAGGATTGAGCTGTAAGGAATCCCAGCCATCGTCTGACGAGGAGTGATGAGAGGAATGTTTAGAGGAATGCCTATTTTGATTTGTGCTGCCGGGCCTGGGAATACCATGGGAGTTTTTGGGTGAATCGGCCGATATTTCGCTTCGTTGTCTTGGATTTCGGGAGTTGGACTGCTTCTAGGTTCTTGATCTGGATTTCTCATCTTTGGCTTTTGGCCAGGCAGGCCAGCCGCCAAGTCGTCTCCTTTGACGGGCAGCCTCTCCCGGAGGGGTTCTGGTGCGTTTCAGAGATCCGCGAGGTGCGTTTGAGGCTTCGCCAGTTGCCGAATGGGTGGAAGCACAGCTCCGGCCCCTGGTGGGCAGTGCTTCGCAGTCGTTTTGAGCGCTCTGGCCATGCCCTATCCGCTTTGCAAAAGCGGAAAAGCTTTCACAAACGAAAATGCATCAAAAAAAGGCATATATTTCGAAGGCGGAAGAAGTTGGAACTCGAATGTTATTATGGGAATAAAAAGCGAATTGTTGTAATAAATCTGACATCGAATCTCTCATAGCGCCCAGCGGTTGAAAAAGGTGGACATTGTAAGGAGAACAAAGAGACACGTACGAAATTATTTCTGAGAGTCTGTGTCAGTGAAATTTCTAGACAAATATTTATATCGCGTTTCAGGGCACGGCGTCAATTTTGCACCAATATCCCCTTCGTGTAGGCCCATTACCGCGATAAACTATTGCATCACCACTCTTGCATGTTCAACCTAAATCTTGCAACTGTTTCTCCTTTTTCCACTGCTTCAGATCAAACGTCCCATCCTGTAATTCATCCGGTCGTCCGTTCCACATGAAAAAAATCCCTTCGATGATATGCTTGACGCTACCATCGTCATTCAGAGGCTCAATCAAGCAAGCTTCAAGCCGATGTTTGTTCGTCTCATAGGCGGCAAGTCGATCAATCGGTGTCTGCGACAAGAGTTCAGACACAAAGCCATTGAATGAACTAAGAGGTCTTCCCCTAAGAAGGGCAGGGTACGCGCCCCAAAGTTTAGTTTCGTAACCTGTGACTCTAGCACGATGTAAGATAGGTGGTCGCTTTGCTGATTTCAAGACTTGTGAGAGCATATGTAGATCCATTAATGTCCCGTAGAAAAAAACAATGTTCTCTTTGGAAAGGGTCTTGAGGCCAGTCGCTTCCCGCAGCAATGTCAGATGTCGCTTGGTTCTGCCTCAACAAGTCTTCTGGGCTGTTGTCTTCAAGGAATTTGCGGACTTTTCGGAATGGGCCTATGTCGCTCATTTTGCATGCAGATGAGAACCTCTACAGCGAGAGATTGTGGAGGAGAGAAAGAAGAAAATAGCGAGAGCTATCACCCAAGGCATCGGATTACCGAACTTGGTACCCTTCAACCTTGGATGATTGCCAAATTTGAAGAGATTAGGTCATAGAGATTGAGTCATCAGTATACCTGCCTACCTGGGAAGATGTGACCCAAGGCTGAGATAAGTTCCAACCTTGGAAGGTTCTACTTTGGATAATAAATCTGTGAGCCCTTGGACCCGAAGAAAATCTCATATATTGCAGAGCGATATCTTCCAAGCTCCATTAAGGATCAAAGATAACATGAAAGCTTGATAAAGGCTCAGCAGACTATGAAATTTTATGAGCACATCATTTCACATTGACTTCTTGGCTAAGATCCACAGGAACGGGACCTCACGCGAGACTCCATTATCTGTCTCCAAATCTGAAACAACCTCATCAATTTCCACCTCAAATCCAAGATCCTTCAGAAGTCTCAATGTCTCAGCTCTACCCCAGCCACTCCAATGCATGGCCCCTTGGGTACCCCCCAACCAAGATTGATTCGAAGCAGTCTCAAATTCAGTTCCAGAGAAATTCGCAAGAAGCTGCCCCCAGGCTTCAGCCAATCGAAAATGCGATGAAGAATCACAGTTTGTTCGTCGCGTGGTAAGTGGAATATGGAATACATGGCCAACACAGCGTCGAATTGCTTGTGGCCGAATTCTAACTCCATCATATCGCCTTGTATTAGGTTCACAGACTGGGGGAGAAGTTCTTTAGCCAAGGCTATCTGGGCCTCAGAGATGTCATTTGCGGTGACGCTGGTGTTTTTGCGAGAGGCTAGAAGTTGAGTGCATGGTACCCCGGCGCCGCAACCTAATTCAAGAACGCTCATTTCGGCAGTGTGGAATGATTGAAGCATGATGTTGAGATAGGAAAGCCGTCTTTCGTGAGTATTTCGTGTCCAATTCAGGTAGGTACCGGCAACGTCATCATAGGCTTTTTTGATATCGTCTTTGATGCGGTGGCTATCAGTGATCTCGGTCATTTTGGCAGGAAATTGCAAGTGATAAAGGATTGATAATTTGTCAATGTAATTCCAAAAAATAACTAGATGCGTATGAATTGAATGGAAGAATTCGGTCAATAGATGGGATGGGCTATTTATCGAACGGTTGTCTTTTTGTGTGACTCATTCGATGCTGACTTCGGGATATCTATTGACCCAGACTACCAGCCTATGTATAGTAGAGAACCAAAGGGGGAATGGGAAGAGGGGTCCGTGCCATTTAGAAAAGATTTAGCTTTTGCGGGGTCTGGAAGGAGCTTAGGGTTAATGGGTTCTGGGTGAACTTTTATAAAAGAATCACGATTTTGTAACATTGAACAGTATGGGTTAGGACCAAATATATGGCTAGGTAGAAAAAGAAGGCAGAAATGATGAAAGCTCAACCCGATATTTACATTATTTGTTCGAGCCATTCGATGGCTTTAAACTACCGGCCCTTTGTTTATGGGACACGGTCCGCACTAAGGGCAATATCTAAATCGTGAAGCTCGAAACGAACAATCAAACAATTGACTTGGCCTTTACTGATATTTAATAATATATATTCGAGATCTTACCTAGTACTTCTGGTCGGGAGGAAAGCGTGAGCACTAAAATCACATGGAACCCTTGCGCGAATTAGCCAACTGGCCAACATTTCCAACATATCTTTCCAGTTCCATGAATGTACCAAATCTTAAACCCTGAATATATTTATAGAAAAAATGATAGGGCCCCGATCAACACTCCCTTCTCTTCTCGTCAGCCAAGATGATCCGCGGTAAAAGAACCGCCCCCATGTTGAACTTTAGAAGTAGGCAGCGGCCCATCAGACCAGAAGTAGATAGCTAAACCCTCAAATTTGGGGTCCGCCAGTAATTCCATTGCTACATAATTGTTTCGCTGGCTGTTTGTAAGATCTACTGGTCCGCTTAGGTCTGCAGGGTGCGATCTCCTTGGCAGATATCCTTGGCATTGCCACTTGGTTTGAAGGCTGTGCTGGTTATAATAGGCAATGATCCTCATAACACATGGAGAATACGAGGATAGCTGTACAATATTATGGGATTCCGCAAAAAAATATATAGAGAAATAAGGACGCTTGACTTGAGATTCACTTTCATCGAGCGATTCAACACTAAGCTTACTTTTTGTTTATTGTTTAATACCACGTCCTATCATGCCTGCATCTTGGGAGGACAGAGCCAGAACATCCTGGTGCCTTGAGGCGGTACCTAGACGAGAGAAGAAGTGGCTTTCACTTCTTTCTTTGCGCTTTGGAACTGTGCTATGCAACCTGATAGCGATGATCTGCTTTGCCTGGGCCATGGAACAGCATTATATAGGGGTTGTTTCCACTGATGGACTGGGACAAGCATGGGCGGGAGCAAATCTAGGGACTGTAAATCTTGCTCATTCTCAGATTCATTAAGTGCGTCGATTTTGAGTGCTGACTTTGCGTTCATTATTTCTCAAGGCTACGTACGGATTCACCTGGTCTACCATTTTGCTCATCGTCGTGTTTTGCAATTGGACCGTCCACCCCGGAGTAACCCTTGCGTTCGACAGTGTCGCATTTGCGGCTCAAATTATTACTATCTGTTTCTATCTGCATGAACTTGTTTTCTGGAATTTGGGTGGCTATGGGTATTCTAGTACCACTTTGGATGACCGGCTATATGGGACAGAGTGCTTGGGGTGCTCTATGGTTCTGCTTGCAGTGTGAGTATACTGACGTGTTCTATTTGATGGCTCATTACTGACTAGACATGTTATTATAGGACGTTCAATTTGATCCTCCTTGTGCGGGCAATGAGGGCTTGCCACGGTCAGCGTAAGGCTCAAAAGAATAATATGAAGCAGTCGATTGATGCTTGAGAAGAGTTGAATGGTGGAGAAATTTTCTCCCCTTTACTGGATGCTTTTGGGAGATCTGCTGGATGGAGATTATGTTTAATGCCGATCTATATGATGTCACATAATCCTGTTGTTTAATATCTAATGTCTAATGCACTTTATCTCCATAAGAACTTTGCATAAACATTGAAACAATCTATGCACAATCGGACTAGCTCTTTATCAACATTCAAGCCGGGAATCTCAACCCAATTCCACCTTTTTACCACCACCCATCACGCAACCAACTCGATATTGGCAGTGGCAGCAGCCGAACCCGTCTGCGCAATAATCTTCCCATTCCTGCCAACAGCTTCAGCAACAAATCTCGCAGATGAAGAGATAGCAAAGCTAGGCTTCCAGGTATGAACAGTCTCAAACGACTTCCGAGCCACCTGACCAACTCGAGTCTTCTTATTCCCGCTGACATAGAAGAATCTCCAAGCTTTAGTCTCAGTATCTCCATTCCAAGAAACATGCAGCTGGACGGTATCGGAAGATGTAAGCGCAACCAAAGCCGGGCTTTCAGTAGGCGTGCCAGTCCAGTTGCCCAAGAATCCGCGATAGCTCACCGAGCCCGATTGGATGAACGCATGGTAGAGGATTTCATTGTCAGCACTAAATTCCGTAAATGCACCCGCAGAGCCCCAGTTCACGAAGATTCGCTTATCGGCAAGCAGCTGCGCATTACCCTGGGACTGTGCTTGCAGCTCGTAAGGCGCCGTCGCCTTGCGCAAAACGGTCGCGGTGTTGTCTGTGTGGTTGAGCTGTACAACCAAAGCCCGGGAAACGTCATTGTAAGTGATTTTGCCGTTGCCGGAGTTGTCGAAGAATGAAATAACCTCCGTTCCGGCCTGACTAAGCTCTGGATGCCACCGTGCGTGGTGCTGGAACCCGAATGTCCAGTTGCCTGTTTGTGTGAAACTGGGCTTTTTGCCGCCCAGTCGCCAGATAATTGACCCATCTGTGCCGTTGATCTTGAATATTGTGCTAGTGTGTCGGGAGGAAAGCAGGTAGTCGCCTTCTTCGTTTTTGTCCAGGCTATTGATGTGGAAGTAGTCCCATGCATCGGCGGAGGAGACTCCGCTGTTCGAGCCCGTTGAACCTAATGTGACCAGGCTTTCTGCTGCACTGTTAGTTCTGGCTTTACTAAATGCCAACCGAGGTGCCTCACCAGACGGGTCGACATGATCCAAAGCATTCCATTCAAACAACAGCTCTCCCGTGGCGATATCATTTTCTATCAACACATCAACACCAAGCAACCCAAAATCTGCAAAGTCAACAAACCTTGAAAAATTCCATTTCCCAGCCACTGCTGCGTCTCATTGCCACCGTAGGCCGACAGATTGGCAGGAGTGGTATAAAAGACCTCAATCAGGGCCGTCTTACCACCAACAACATTAAACTCATGAATTGACGAAACACGATGATTCCCCGCAGTGGAAGTAACAACATGCTCATAGTTCTGATCAAGCAGTACATGCTGCCCAAACCCCTCGCCGTGGGAAGTATCCATACTACCCTGGAACGCCTGCAGCACAGATTTTCCTTGGTACGTCGTGGGGTGGAAATTGGCCACGAAGCCGGCGTAGTACCCCGTGCCGGCCCACACTAGATCGCCGTCCTTACGGTAGATGTACGGGCCGGGCCGTTCAAGAGTGCCGCCGCTTGCGTATGGGGCGACGAAGACATATTCTGAGCTGTTGGCGTTTGGGGACGGGATGGTGATGTTTAGACTTGGGGGTGCGAGGTCTGGGCGGGAGCGGTATTCGCTGTTTGCTGCTGCTTGGGGGATGGAGGATGTTGCGAGGGCTGCTAGGATGGTTTGTTTTAGGAATGTCATCTTGAGAGACTTTGTTAGGCGAGATTTTATTTTGGTTCTCTGTCTATCTTGTAGGTCATTTTATACATAGGTGATTGAGCAATTAGCGTTTTCGTGATATTCTTCAAGATAACATCATTTTGGGTTTAATATGCATAGCGTATGTATTGCTAGATAATTCCATAACTATACACGATGGATAAATTAATTTCTGATTCCAAGCGAGCTATTGTGTCACTGTTCGACAGATGGCGCAATTATATCTAGCCGAGCATCTGCCGGTTCAGTGACATTCTCCACTTCAATCGAAGTAATAGTAATGATAGGCTTGGTATTCATTAAGCGAACACCGATGTTGGATTTTCTGTTTTGACTAATATGCATTCGCTATCTTGACTTGATGGCGTGCGCTCAGAGTCATAGCGAGGTTCAACAGGAGTATAGGGGATCCGGCGACTTCCGTAAGTTCTGAACTTTTATACTATGTGTATAGCTGTTAGATGCCAAAGAATAAGCTGTGTATGTGCCACAAGGCAATCATTGAACATGCAGATCCGGTTGTGCAACGCCCTGACTGGCTCGGGAGGGGCCGAGAGAGAAACACCTAGTTGTTTACTTTCGAGTCCGATATTCATATATAACTTAAAAGGAAGAATTCTCTCCTTTACAATATTTCAAATCGTCACAAAGACAAGAAATGCAATGAAGGATGATTAACGTACTATCTGCCGTAATGAAAGCCTATGTAACTATGTAATAGCTTAGGTGTGCGACACTTTAAAAGGATGGGCCTCAGTGTTGAACACAAAGGCGTTTTTTCCACCCCTTTGCACTTGCCATGGGGCATCTGTAGAAGCCATCATTAGCATGGAGATCAGGATAGATATGACGCAGGCCAGTAGCTTACCCTCTGCGTGTACCAAGTAGGCGTATTTCATGACCTCGGCGAAGAGGAAGCTCTCTTCATTGTCGTAGTGGGAGCCACCGCCAATCTTGTTGACATCGCTCATGGCATCAAACCCTGAATCAGTGCGACAGGTGGCATTGATTGCCTTGAAGCCGTTCCACACCCAATCACGGTACTAAATATCGGTTAGCATGACATTTGCAAATAGAAACAATTGGCTTACGATCTCATTCCCTGTGATACGGTAGGCGTAGTAGAAGCTTTCGATCACTTCGGGGCGCAGGTCATATGAGCCGCTGTTGATGTAAAACCCAGCATCCTCGTAGAACTGCTTCTGGTTGCTCGGCACTTTCTTAGGATCCCAACCCCAGGAGTCCGGTCCGATGCCAGTCAAAGTCTGATTGTACGTCGCCTCACAGCCGTGAACGAGCTGCAGGCCAAAGTCGATAAAATCCTGGCGATCAAGTACGGTACCTCCCAGGAGGAAGCTACCGCCATCAAAGCAGGTCAAGTGCTGCGAGTCCAGGCCGTATTGACCATTGTTGTATGAGGCCAGGAAAGTCAATTCTGGACGGGGTGCCGGGTGCGATGCTAGGTGCTTGATTGATGATTCGGCTGCGAGGACCCAGCGGTCCTTGTATGACTTGAACCGTTTGGGATCATACACGTACATCTTGATCAAGTACTCGTAGAAAGAGTCATCGCCGCCGTTCCAAGAGACAGCTCCGTCGACGAAATGTCCGTTGGAGATGTTGATGTAGCTTCCCACCAAGCCAGGGAAGGGCTCTGCGCTCGACGGTTGAGGGTTCAAAAGGTAAGACTCAGCCCTTTGACTGAGTTTGGCATATTCCTGATCACCAGTCAGGTCAGACAAGCGTGTCCACTCCAGAGCCAGAGTTCCAGTCACTGCCAGGCCATTGGTAGTCGCACCATCATTTCCCTTGGTAGCGATGTTGAGATTGTTATAAGGAACACCAGATGGCGTGTCAAATGCAAACTTCAAAACGTCGGCAAGTTTCTTTGACTGGGTGAGCAAATTATCTACTTGGCTTTCTTCGACGCCAAGGTTTGCCGCAGGGCCTTTGAGCAAGTCGTAGCCAGACAGCATTCCAGCCAGGTACCGGATAGTGGTCTCAAAGAGGCTGACTTCAGTACTTGTCTGTGAGAAGTCGATGGTGTCAATATGGTCCAAAATCTTTTGAACGGCATCCTTATTGCCCATGATAATAGCAGTTGATAGCGCATCGACAGCGGACGCACCCCATCCATTTCTACTTGTCGTTAGATAACGGGATATACGTCTTGATTCAAGATACTCACCTGGAATCACCATAGCCATTACTCACTGGGTGTAGCTCATCATGAGGGAAAGCATATTTTGAATATCCATCCCATGCATGCTGGAAAGCTTCCTTCACAGCATCGGCCTTAGCCTGACTATCCGAGTCACGACGCAAGAGAGCACCACCCTCGTATGGATAAGCAATAGCAGAGCCCACGAGGCCCAACAATGCCAGAGGGAGAGAAAAAGAAGGGACGCGCATAACTATGGCGGAGTATGGATATGCACAAGTAGTATAGTTTCTATTTAGAGGTAATCGGTGCAAGGTGGCACACGAAAATAGGAATTGCAAACGAGAGTACGCCTTGCAAATAGCAGGCCAATGCAATTATTAAATAAGGGAGCGTGGAATGGAAGTTGAGGTTACAATTGAGAGAAGGAGACGAAAGGGGGAAGGCAGTTGGCACGCGACCCGTCTGTTTATTTTTCCCCTATGTGATCACATATATGTAGTTAGTGCATTCTATGGAATATTCCAATTACTTGAGTATGAAATGTATTGAATTTCTCTTTGACATTAAAACATTGTACTAAATATTGTACACAGTATTCAGGGGTGCGTCTGGGGGATCTGCAAGGACGCCACCAACTATTGGCGCTTTGATCGGAGAATGATGCCCCTGGCCCGAGCGAGTATCTTGGCTTCGGTATTTGATTCGATGTGAGAAAACCTCATAATTCAATCTACTATACAATGTTGTACTAATTCAACTTATCAGATCATTTTCACGACATTTATCCACGACCATTAGTTCCAGTGACCGAGACAGACGACTACTTGGCGTGACCTATAAACATGACCCTATCCTCGAGTATACTCTCAAATTCACAAGGATGTGCCTGACTAACATTGTCTTAGCTCAAATTGAAAAACCGTCACGCTTTGTGCTTTGACATCATGCAACCTACCCCTCAAAATGCTTGGACAGGTTCTATCACGAGACTAGACTGACTGACTACTGACTGACAACTTCTGTGCACAATGTCACTTCATATAGTCCGCTGGCACATCGCACGGAAATTTGTCGGTGTCGATCAAAAGACCTGGTAGACTTGTTTCTAATGAGCGTGCACGCGAGGCAGTATGCAACACTCAGAGATTTCAATGGGAACTAGCCCTCGAGTACTTGGAATTCCGAGTCTGGTTCCACATGCAATTTTGGGTTGGCACATAAGATATCTATATACTTGGATCCTCGATTCTCATCTTCGAATATAGTGAGAATAGTCCTGAAGTGCCAGCGCCAAATTTGGATGGACCCGGAGTCTATCATTTTCACTTTTATCACTTTCTTCAACTCTGTTCATCTGATCAAACTGTGGCAGCATTATCGGAATCAACTCGGTCAGTGGTTTGCCGCAACATGACCCTCGTTTCTGGGATCTAATGACATATTTAGCCCAAAGCACAAGAGAGACAAGAGTGGAGAGAAAAAGCCCTAAAACTCATTCATATCAGGGCCTTGTGTAACTAGTTCCTAGTCTAGGCCCCGGTGTTTGTCGCACCAGGTCCTTGCATCTGTTGATGAGTGACAATGATTCCGGGCATACTACCTATGACTGTCTTCCATACTAAGCCCGGGTAAGAAAGACCTCGGGATTGGACAGCGTATGGCGTATGTCATGCTCCCAAGTCAGTTCCAGCATCGACTTTTCGTTCAAATGTACCGAAAGTAAAGCGCTAGCGCTTGGAGTTTCGAATGAAAGATCAACATTCGGAGACATTTTGCTCGGGCGCTTGCACTTGCTGACCGCATTTGTCAGCTCGAGATGCTGGCTGGATGGAGTATATCAATCAGCTCTTGACAAAAATATCTAAGCTGCTTGATGTATACAAATACATAAACATGACATCAAGCAACGAGTCTCTAGTTGTTCGCGTACAGGGACAATCCAAATTGGTCAAAGAACAACTTCCCCTACCGGCACCCAACATAGGTCAAGTACAAGTTAAGGTGTCGCATGTCGCACAAAATCCCACAGACGGTATATTGTGATACTCCGACTATCTTCATGCATAAAGCTCAGGCGCTGCAGTTCAATCCTTTGACGTGAATGCTTTCGGTGATGGAGCTGTGCTTGGGTGTGATTTCGTTGGAGAAGTTACTGGGTTGGGAGACGGAGTCACTCGACTTGGTCGGGGGGACATTGTGGCAGGGTTGACTTGGGGTGGTCAGTGACCTGGGTAATGATGCGGCAACAATGAGTAATCACTGATCAAAGTACAGGGGAAATCCCTGGCCTGGGTGGATATGCTCAATACAGTGTTGCGGACCAGCGTATATCCTTCAAAGTGCCTGCAGGAATTTCGCGGGCGGAGGCAAGTACTGTTCCTCTTGCTGCCACTACAGCATGGCTTGCGTTGTTCTCAAAGTGTTGTTTGAATATCGATCGCTCTAGGGCCAGTAAGACAAGTATTTTGGTCTGGGGTGGCAGTTGTAAGTGAAAGTGCTCAGGATACACTACTCTAATTTACCTATACTGACCATCAACAGCAAGCGTGGGACTATATACTATTCAGCTCGCCGCTATATATGGCTTCAATGTTATCACGACATGCCGCCCACACAACGCCGACCTTGTTCAGTCATACGGCGCCAACCATGTCTTTGATTACAACGACCCCAGCGTGATTGAGAAAATCAAAGACGCTGCACCTAGCCTACAACATATTTTCGATACCATTGGAAATAACACATCTTCAGCTATATCGTCTCAGGCTTTTGGAGGCCGTCAAGGTCATTTATGTACCGTGAGGCCGGGGAAGGCACACACAGAACAGGTCACCGCCAACACTCATGTCACCGATGTTTTAGTCTGGACTGCCTTTCTGAAAGACCATGCATATGGCGATTATCGTTGGCCGGTAAATACTTCTTTAAGTCCGTGAAAAAGCCAATCTTAACTGTGAACAGGCCTCGCAGGAGGACCATGAGTTGGCCAGTGAATTGTTCGAAAACTTGCCCTCTTGGTTGGCGCAGGGCGCAATCAAGCCAAACAAGGCCAAGATCTTCCTTGGGTTGGATTCTGTTCCCCAAGGGTTCCAGGAATACCGGGATGGTAAGGTTTCCGCCTATAAGATCGTCTATGAAGTGTGAGAAGGATGGGCATCCCCGCAGTAAACTATGTACGGGTGGGTTGTTGCATATGATATGAGCTACCCTAGAGAACCCTAGATTTCTATAACCGAGTGTTGAATACACAATTATCCATATTCCGAATAATTTGGTAGAAGCTGTATATCACAAGAAAATAATATAAAAGTGTAAGAAACGAAGACCAAGTAATGAAATAAGTAGTAACAATAGTTAGTAATTGCTATCTCGTTGAGCGGCTAATCGAAAGATGATTCAGCCGCCAATTGCGGGCCGAGAAAAAAGGTTGCACAAGAGTCATACATAGTACTTCCCGAAGTCACTTCCACATTCCTCATCATTCCCCTTTCCATTTTTGAAGGGTCTCAATTCTAAGGGGATACATATCTCCTCTGGTTTATCCTTTAGTTTCTTCTATTTATCCCTTCACCATGGCGACTCCCATCCTTATCTCATACGACCCCTCCTCCCCCACCTCCGACTCCGGACTCTCCCTCAAACAGATCGCCTACTTCGGCCGCGTCCTAGTCAAGGTCTCGACTCTCGACCAGGCAGAGAAATTTTTGCGTCAGAACTTCCGCACTCTCGATGTCTTTGTCGACGCAACCGAGATCACCTCTGCCGGCGATCTCGTCGACATCCTCAACGCCGGTGCCGCCAAGATCTTGATCACCCTGGACCAATTGACCACTCTTTCCGAAGAACAATCTGTGCCCTCATCCCGTCTGCTCGTCAACGCCCAATCAGACTCTCAGCTGGACACCCTCCAGCAATGGATCGCTGCCAATGCCGAGCGCAGCGAAGCTAGCGTTTGCACCGCTTCCGCGACTGTCTCCGCCGCCGCCGACAAATTAAAGATCAGCTCCGATTCACCACGCCTCTTCACAACGATCACCGATAACTCGGAGGATGTCATCACACAGGTGACACAACAGGGCGCGATCGCCGTTGTGTCGTCGCAGGCTTTGACCGTTGAGCGCGATGTGTCTGGCAAGATCTCCGCTGCTAAGCTTATTGCGTCGCGTGCGGTCACTGATCAAGCTAATGGCTTATTCGCTACCTCTGTGACCGACGAGCGGGGCGCTTGTCTCGGTTTTGTTTGGAGCAGCGATGAGAGCATCGCCGAGGCCCTCCGCACTGGCACTGGCGTCTACCAGAGCCGCAAGCGCGGGCTCTGGTACAAGGGCCAGTCCAGTGGTGATGTGCAGGAGCTGCTCCGTATTGGCTTTGACTGTGATGCGGATTGCTTGGTCTTTGTGGTCAAGCAAATTGGACGTGGTAAGGATCGGATTCTTTTGTTTGTTGACATCTGTATGCTGACTCTGATTCGTCAGGCTTTTGCCACCTCGGTACTGAGACCTGCTTTGGCGCGTCTGCCGGTCTGTCTCGTCTACAGAAGACATTGAATGCCCGCAAGGCTGATGCTCCCGCTGGGTCATACACTGCTCGTTTGTTTAACGAGCCCAAGCTCATCGATGCCAAGATTATGGAGGAAGCCGATGAACTCTGCCGTGCGCAGACCAAGGAGGAGATTGCCTTCGAAGCTGCTGATCTGTTCTATTTCGCCCTGACCAAGTGCACTGCTGCTGGTGTTAGCCTCGAGGATATCGAGCGTAACCTTGACCTCAAGAGCTTGAAGGTGAAGCGGAGAAAGGGTGATGCCAAGGGCCCATGGGCTGAGAAGGCTGGCCTGACCAAGCCCGAGTCAAAGCCAGCTCCTGCTCCCGCCGCTGCCCCGGCTCCAGTTGAAGACCGTACATCTCGAATTGAGATGAAGCGTGTCATCACAGCTGAGACCGCCCCTAAGGTGGTTTCTGATTACCTCAAGCGTCCTTCCCAGAAGTCCAACGACGCCATTGTCGCCCTGGTCAAGCCAATCATCCAGGATGTTCGTGACGGTGGCGACGCTGCAGTCCTCAAGTACACCCACAAGTTCGAGCACGCTACATCACTCACCTCCCCCGTCATCCACGCCCCCTTCCCCGCCGAACTTATGAAGTTGACACCCGATGTCCAGGAAGCAATCGACATCAGCATTGGCAACATCGACCGCTTCCACTCCGCACAGAAGGGAAGCAACGACACTCTCCAGATGGAGACCATGCCCGGTGTTGTTTGCTCCCGTTTCTCGCGCCCCATCGAGCGCGTCGGTCTGTACATCCCCGGTGGAACTGCAGTGCTCCCCTCCACCGCCATGATGCTGGGTGTTCCCGCCATGGTGGCAGGCTGCAACAAGATCATCCTCGCCTCGCCTCCCCGCTCGGACGGCAGCATCTCCCCGGAGATTGTCTATGTCGCCCACAAGGTCGGCGCCGAGAGCATCGTTCTGGCCGGTGGCGCCCAAGCCGTGGCCGCCATGGCCTACGGCACCGAGAGCATCAGCAAGGTCGACAAGATCCTGGGTCCTGGCAACCAGTTCGTGACAGCTGCCAAGATGTTCGTCTCCAATGATACCTCCGCAGGCGTCAGCATCGACATGCCCGCCGGTCCTAGTGAAGTTCTCGTGATCGCTGACAAGACCGCCAACCCGGCATTTGTTGCCTCCGATCTACTCAGTCAGGCCGAGCACGGCGTCGACTCCCAGGTCATTCTCATTGCTGTTGACCTCAGCGAGGCCGAGCTGAAAGCCATCGAGGACGAGGTTGATGCCCAGGCCAAGGCCCTGCCTCGCATGGACATTGTCCGCGGCTCCCTCGCACACTCTGTCACCTTTGTCGTTCGCGACATCAACGAGGCCATGGTCCTCAGCAATGACTACGCTCCCGAGCATCTGATCTTGCAGGTCCAGAACCCCGAGTCTATCGTCGAGCAGGTCCAGAATGCAGGCAGTGTGTTCATTGGCCCCTGGACCCCTGAGAGTGTTGGCGATTACTCCGCTGGAGTGAACCACTCGCTGCGTAAGATTTCCCCTTTCTCTCCATATAAATGTACCACCGCTAATATTTTTTCTAGCTACCTACGGCTACGCCAAGCAATACTCTGGTGTCAACCTGGGCTCATTCCTGAAGCACATTACCAGCTCTAACCTTACTGCCGATGGTCTCCTCGGTCTCGCCAAGACGGTCGAGACCCTTGCCGCTGTGGAGGGTCTGGAAGCTCACAAGCGTGCTGTGAGCATCCGTGTTGCCCAGATGAAGAAGAATCAGTCATAGATAGGCATTAGGCGATGATTTTATCTTGCATTTTGTTTTTTATCATGATGGGATGTGCCATGAACACAGATACTAGCCTAAAAGCAAATTAGCCATTTGAGGGCTTCAAATTGATGAATTGTGCAGCCAATCAAGAGAACGCTTCTATTATGCGTATACAACGTACTCCGTAAGATACAGAAATATGTTGGTAAATGAACAAGCGAAGATCTTTCAGATCTACAAACGCCCAATGACGTTGGTATCCACTGGAAAATTCCACTCGATCACATCATCAGGCACAAATTGAGTCATTGGAGTCCGATACAGAAAAAATGGAAAAACGAAAAGTCACATTAGTGAATACTAGACGCCCCTAGTATAATTTTGAAACACCCAAAAAACCAAAACTCAACTCAAACCCCCAAATGCTCCCAAAATGCAATCGTAAGACCAATCGGGACCGGGAACCCGAAAAGGCGTAGGCATAAAAAATTATCTTCAGAACTGCGCGACATCATTCAATATCTGCACTTCCTGTCCGGGCTTGAACGCAGGAAGACCCATGTAGGGACATCCGTCGCAGCGGAAGGCATCGCCCAGCGCACAGCTGCCGCAGGAGCCTGTCTTGCCCTCGACGGTGAAGTCTAGCTCGGCGAGATCGCCCGTGTCGAGCTTCATCACGTTCAGTTCTTTGTCGGCATTTGCGCGGCGCTCTTTGTCCTCTGCTTCTAGGCGGTCGGCGAGACCGCAGGTGCAGTCTTTGCAGGCGCGGCGGCGGCGGCCGGTCTTAGGTTGGCATTCTGGGGCTGGGTTGTGTTAGTAGATGTAAAGATGAGTTTTCGGAGATCGGAGTAATCGACATACGAGGCATGTTGGGTCTTGTTAAATCTTCCTCGGTGAGGAGCTCATCTTCATCAATGAATTCGTCGTCCTCGTCGAGGTCATTATTCGTTGGATCAATGAATCCCGGTGCCGCAAATCCTGTGGGAATAGACTGCACAGGTGCTGGTGGAGCAGGCTTATTCTTCTTCTTCAGACCGAACTTAAGAGGGACGGCGGCGGTGGGCTCGAAGTTCGGCTTCTCGAAGCCGTTATCGGACTGCACGAGTCCGGCCAAGATGGCCTCCATTGACTCGGAGGCATTGAGGGCTGAGTCTTGGGTTTGAAGCTTGGCGCCTGGCTTCATGGAGGGGACGAGGGTTGTGTAGACATCTCGTGTGAGCAGCTTTAGGGCCTCGGAGCGCCGTGTGCCGTCTGTGTCTGTGAGGATGAGGACGAGGTCGTAGGTTGTTGCGGGGAGAGAGACGAAGCCGGCGGAGAGCCGGTCGAGCATTTGGAGGTCTGTGGTTGCGCGATCGAAGGTGCTGAAGAGGCCGCGGAGTTTGTCCTCTTGGGTGGCTATGGAGGGGGGTGCGAGTAGGAGGGTGCGCTTGCCCTGGACAGACTTTGGAGAGAAGTCCATGTCCGCGTCGTTGGTATCAATGGTCATGAATGAGGGTGCCATTGTAGCCATCAATTATGGTATAAAGTAGGGAGAGAAAATGAGTCGAAGTGAGGGGTGGCAAAGGGAATATTTAGGTCACCGATAAAAGATAGCATTAGTCACCCACTTTTTGCTGGAGGGGCATTATTAAGCTAGTCTTCTCCTCGGAGCCTATCAGCAAACGCGGATTACCTTGAACGGCTTTTGATTCTTTCAATTGATCTCCGAGGAGACTCTTATGAAGGAATTTTGATTATCAATCGTGGTATTTCGAATGGCAATATATTGTCCTACTTGATCGGTCTCATTCCGCCTCTCCTTACTGGACGTCAGCGCGTTAGCGCTCCAATTCTGTCGCAATGCTTACATTGTAGCATGTTGGTCAGATCTAACTTTCATATGATTCGCTTGATATTCCACTTCGGTCCCTATTTTGCGGGGTTTGGGTTAGTTGACATCCCGAGATCGGACTCTCATACTCCGTACATGTCGCGCATATGTATTCCACTTTCGGTAATCGAACACGCTTCTAAAAAGCAAACAAAAAGCAAAACCGGCATTAGGGTCTACTCCTGAGCGTATGAGTATATGGAAGTGCTGATGATTACTCTCTGTGTCCAACTGTAGGTATTGACCTGGTCATTGTTATACTCAATATCATAGCACATATGTCGCCCCACTATCAAACAAATTTGAAGTAACATATGTTTTATATGAAAGTGCCATAAATGTGTTCAACTTTAGGCACTATGATTCTTTTTACAAATGATGTCCATTTTACAATCCTTGGAAAGCTACAAGGAAAGACATTTTGGCCATCGTAAAACATATGTCAAGTGGTATCTATCTGAATCTCGGACTATATACATCTCAGTCACATATCTTCATCAACCACCGCAATCCTCATGCTCGCAAGAAGGTTAAGCGCCACATTTGAATGTTTATACATATCATTGAACATCCTTGTGGCATCCTTACCAATTCCCGATTTGATCAATCCCACGCCACCAGGGTGTATCTTATAGAACTCCGTAATATCGTAAACAATTCTCTCAATTAAGATCAAATGTCGTGTTTGAGCTTGCTCATAGTATTCTTCCAAGAGCATGACGGGCAAGTCTGCTATCGGGACACCCCATTGAATAGTCTTGTACTGTAGATCAAGCTGTTTCTGAGATGCCTGGAGCATGCTCTTGTTGATCTCATTCATAGAGAAGAACCGCAAGTCGGAGACAAGACCGAACTGCGTCCACAACCAAATACTCCACTTTGTAGGATCGAACTCATACCACCGCACTCCATTGCGCCAGTCCGACGGAAACTCATGGTGGAAGTTGTGATACCCCTCGCCAAGCGTGAGGATGGCAACAATAAAGCAATTCCGGGCAGACTTGAAAGTTCCATAGGGCTGGTCTCCCATCCAATGAGCAAGCGAGTTGATGCAGAACGTGCTTTGCTGCACAAGAGCTGTACCCAGAAGTCCTCCGTAGATGTACCCGCCCAGCCAATCACCCCACCCCAATCCTGCAATGAGCGTAGGCCCAATGTATGCCATTAGTAGGAAGAGTTGCCAGTAGTAATAGGCCTGGAAGGTCACAATGGGATCCCGTTTTAGGTCTTCCACGTTTACACGTCCGATTTTGTTAGGGTCGTCTTTGAAAATGATCCAACCGACGTGGGAGTAGAAGAGACCTTTTTGGACGCTGTATGGATCTTGGTCGGTATCCACATAACGGTGGTGGGCGCGGTGCTCTCGGCACCAGAGTTTGATTGAGCCTTGTCCGGCGCCAGCGCCGAAGAGCATCAAGAATATTTGTAGAGACTTGCTGGCTGAGTAGGATTTGTGAGACCAGAGACGGTGGTAGCCTGTTCCTTATGTCAATAACTTGCTGTGGTAATGTAACCATGAGATGACTATATTTTCTGACAAGACAGAAATCTGTAGTTACGTACCTCCTGTGATGCTGAATCCCTTCATGAGATTATAGAAAAATGCCATGATCTTCGTTTTCTTTTGGAAAGGCACCCAGATCGTGCTAAGGCCTGCAAATGCAGGAACGAGAATGACCATGGTGACCATGAGCCAGTCGAGCTTCTTGTACCATGGTACTTGCTTTTGTTGTGCAGGGTTATTGTTGGCAGGAAGTCGGCCCTTCTCCTGGAGCTGAGGAGAGTCTTGCCGTGTAGACATGTGAGATGGTTGACAGTCCCACAGACTGATCAATACCAGAATCAGATGTACAAGAAGATAGGAAGAAGACTCTAACCAAGAACTAGAGACATTCAAGGCGGGTTATAAGGATCTTATCTAGGGGGTCCATTAAGCATGTGAGTTAGAGGGCGCCAAGGCTGACCAGTCATAATAGTTGACTCGTAGCATGTGGTCCATATCTTCTTTTTTTTTTTCTCTCTCTCGATTTAGACAATATAGGTAAAGTCCCAAATAGCAGTTGGCTAAACTTTAGTTGTCCTTCCCGCGGCGTTGAATGAGACAGGTCTATAGATTGGTGCGACACAGTCTAAAACCTCTTCAAGGAAGTCGACCGTGTTTGGACCCAGCACCTAAAATCGGGAACACAGACCAAAGTGATCCATTTCCCTAATCCTTTCGCCTCAACTAGATACGGCAAAGCATTTGGCTGATCATCACATCTTTAGGGTCCGAGTGAAATGGTGTATCTCGAGGTCATGAAGATCCACCGCGAATAGATGAAACACATTAGGAACAGAAGAGCCGAGGAAGAGGCAAATAATTGCGGATCTAATCTGCGACTGGAAACTATCCCGTAGAACTTGGGAGTCTGAGAATCTTCCCTCTCAATTTTCGCTGGTTTGACTAATATTCCTTGCCAGCTTCAATTTTGAGAATAGGCAGGCTCGGTGGAATAGCCTAACAAACGTGAAGATCTATTTAGCCAACAATAGTGGGGATCTGAGATGGTCCCTTTTTGCCTTCTTTTTCGCTCTTCAAGTATTTCTTCTCCACTTGGTCGTTACATTAGTTTAGCTGGAAGGTAAGGTGGTGCCCGCCAGGAAGTTCCTCCGTGAAGTGGATTGGTTTCACAGCCAAAAGAGACTACCTCACATCTTGATTTTGGGATTACAATTGGAAGGCTTCCAAGATTTTGTAACGTAATTGAAATTTCCGCAACCATTGACGTCTACAATCATAGGGCTTCACTTTTACCTCTGGTGATCTTACAGTGCGTAATATCTAAATACCAAGTCATGGTCTGCGTGTTTTAATGCTTTCTGGACCTGTGATGTCCTCCTGCAAGCTCCTCTCTAGAGTTCATAGAAACAATCTCGCTCCCAGACTCAATATCTTCTTTTCCTGTACAACATGGATCAACAAAGCTCTCAATTGTAGTGTGTTGAAATCTCACTTACCTGGTCCCAGACTATAGACCTTGATAAATAAACTCACTAATAGTGCCACCCCAGAGCAACCACACATCACCGGCCAGAGCACTCTCAGCGAATCTGCATAAGTTTTGATCAAGGCCGGCTTTCGAGGATCTGAATCAGGAATAGTTTTCAAAAGCTCGATCAATGCCGCTGCTCCTTTACTCAGCTGGTTTGTGTAGGAGGCAAGTTCGGCATTTTGTTTTACCTTTGATCGGAACATATTGTCGAAAGTTGCGCCTCCCACAGCAACACCAATTGCCTGGCCCAAGGCGCGAAAGAACGCGAAGAATCCAAGGGCATGGGAGACTTCGTGTGCCGCAATGTGTGACTGGACTGCTAAATTGAGACTTGTAAACAAAGATCCTGTTCCTAGGCCCACAAACAGGTTAATAAGGACCCATTCATGGGTTGCTGTGTGGACATCGAGTAGATATAATGTTCCGAGGCTTGTTGTTGCAATGATCCACCCTGCTGTCAGAGCTTCTCGGTAGCGGCCGGTGCTAGCAATCAAAAATCCAACTAGACCGGCAGCAAGAGTGATGCTGAATGTCTCAGGGAGTAGAGCGACACCTGACATAAGAGCTGTATATGACTTGACAGCTTGGTAATAGAGTGGGAGGTAGTATAAAAGACACCAGACCTTTTGTATATTATCTTTAGTCAGAACTGAGAATAAAAAGAGTAGCTTGTTGAGGTAGGGCAGACTCACTATCAATCCATGCAAAAATGTCTGCACATAGACCAGCTTTGCGTTCCAGTCCCGGAAAATGCTTTTCAACAAGAATGGCTCTCTTGCGAGGAAAATTTCGTATATCATAAATGCTCCTAGTCCCCCGACACCAACCAGAAGTGGTACCAAGGTATGCCAACTATCCCAAGCAAATAGCTCTCCACCCCAAGTGAGCGGGATGAGAAAACTAGACATCGATGGGATGAAGAGGCCGAATCCAACCCAGTCAACACGGGCGAGCTTCTGCCTCGTGCTCTCTTCATAAAAGGTCATGGAGTAGTAGCGAGATTTTAAAGAAATAGAGATCAATATCAGTGAGATACTAGCAAGGGGCAGGTTCAATGCAAATATCCATCTCCAAACATCTAAGGACAAATTGTTAGATATGATTCAGGGCCCAGATCGATGAGAACATACCCCTGTGGGCCAGCGCACCACCCACTATGGGCCCGCTAACGCACCCAATAGCCCACATCATACTGAGAATGCCAATCCATTTTCCGCGCTCCCTTAGCGGCGTTAAGTCCGCGATCAGGATCTCGGAAAGCGTGAGCAACCCACCACCTCCAAAGCCTTGTATAGATCTGGCAGCAAGGAGCACATCAAAGCTTTGAGAGCCTGTCGCAAGAGCCGATCCCGCTAAGAATAGCAGGGAAGCAAGTATAAACTGAACATTCGTTAACATCCGAGACTGACGCCGACAGATGTTTGCTTACCAGAGGCTTTCGTCCAAAGATATATGAGAAGACTGCAAATGCAGGCTGGAAGACAGCAGAGCAAAGAAGATTTGCCGTTCCAGACCAGAAAGCTTGAACATCAGTCCCGTGAAATTGACTTGTAATCATCGGGACAGCATTGCTCATAGAAGTAGAGCTGAGCGAGACAGTGAGGGACACGCTTGCCAGAGCAACAATAGTGAGGGAGAAGCGCTGAGAGTCTGTAAGCTTCATCCTCAGTTTAGCGGAGACGTTTCCCATTCCCAGCATTGCTGGCGGTTTCACTGGATCCCCAGGCAAAAACTTTGCATATATGGAATGAGGGGAGCACTGTGAGCATGACGCATGAGGGAACAAAAACCAGCGATGTTTTTTTTCACGCTTTTGAGCTAGTGTATCTGTGACTACCTCGGGATGTACATTGTATTCCATCAAATTTGATATGACGGTTTTTTAAGTCTGACGACCTCCGTGACCCACTGGCTCAACGCCGAGGTTTGCAATAGTGTAGAGCGCAATTTGGTACCTTGATTCAACATGGTAGGAAGAAATCAGAAAGTATATGGGGATTATCGTTAACGTTTACAGTCTCGAGTTCGTCTCAAGCCACTGCTTTAAGTAAAGATAGGCATATAGTGGGTCACAACGTTGATCCGTGGAGAGGTGGACCTCGGGACTATTTCCAAAGAGATTAGATGGACACTGTTCATTCCTCAGATTTCTTAGGGCAGACAAATACTTAGTTTTTATTGGACTATTCGGGTTCTCATTTTTGGCAACTTTCTATGTAGTTCCCGTATCATATGAGCGGAGCCGGGGAAGCCTTAGCACTTGCGAAGCTCCCTTAATTTAGAGTAGCCTCAAATTAAGGTGCCCGGAATTTGGATTTGCTCTTGAATTTGAAGGCTTTCTTTTCATTCAGGGTTCCCCACAGCATTATTTAGCCCTGCAGGTACGTGCATTGGATGCAATATACTTGTGATGTATCTTTTGCTAAAGTGCCGAATTTCCCTCGGTTCCCTACGGTATCCATGAGTCTGGATGACCCTAGATATTATTGAGCATAGGCTAAATGGAGATGACGTCTGGGAAACAGTTGAGACCCAGTTCTGTCTAGATTATGGCCCTTGATGTTTCGACCGAGACCAAATTTCTACCAGACTCAAACTTAAAAAGGTTCAACTCTTTGAAGGATTCTCATGATTCGGTTTCAAGTCTTCCTCCGGCGTAGTCCATCCACTCTTCGATTGTTGCAAAATATACCCCTTGTAGTGGGTCTCGAGTGCTGACGAGGGGCCGAGCACCTTATACTTGTATCATAATAATATAAGTTATAATATAAGTTAATAGGTATCCTTGGAATAACCTTTACAGAGCTACACGATCTATTCAAGATGCAGCCCGAAAGATTGATCAGCTCTGGCTGCAAAGCGTTTTTGTCGGAGGATGTCTACTTCGCCCATCCACACTACTATGGAGACTGCGTGTTGATAACGCGACTGGGCAGCTTCATGGCTCCAGCCATTGCCAGCCTTCTCATCACATTCTTTGTTCTTGATCGATATGTCCTCCAAGCGTTTGTGCTTCCCGCTCTATACGGAACAAAATATACGAAAATGGAAACCCGGTTCCAGCGAATCTTCTCCATTACACATCTTGATTGGATCGTTCGATTGATCTCACTGTCTACGGTATCCAAGGGAGTGTTCGAGGTGGTCTTTGGAGGCCGCCATTGGTCTGATTCGTATTTCGCGGACCCTTCCATCACTCACGCTACGCTGGGAGATGTCGCCTCTGTTGCTATGTACTTGGTGTGCGCATTCAAAACATTTGAGCTTCTTCGAGCCCAGGATTTGAAGTTGTTGATTGTCTTGCATCATGTGGGAACTATTGTAATGATCCAGGGATTCTTGTCTTTGGCTTTCAATCTCCCTGAAAATGGTCTTTCAACAAGATTCCACTCGAGAACTCTCGCGGATATGTTTGGCTTCTGGGGTAAGAGAATCTCTAAGTCTACTTGCTTTTCTCATGCTAAAATGAGTAAAATAGTGTTCTTCGATGGCACCCTGGGTGTTGCCTCGCATTTGACGCTGATCCTCCGGCGAGGTTGTTCAACGCAGACTGAGCTGCTGTACAGATTCTACGATATAACCTATGCTGCTTCTCTGCTTAGCACTATACTCGAACCGATCATCGTCGCATACCTCCTCCATCTGCATTGGAACCGGTTGTCTCTCACCGCTCATGTGGTCATCTCATCCCTGCAGGTCTTGTTCTTTTTCTCCAAGCTCAAGGTCTGCTCACGGGTGGGCGCTGCTCGCAAGGAGAGCCAAAAGGCAACACCACCTACAGAAAAGAACTGAATCATGTGTCTCTCTTTTTATGCGATGATTGTGACAATAGAATGCCCACGCGAAATAGTTATTTCTATATCCACATTTATGTACTCACAGTCCAATAATACAAGACTCAAGTGTCATAGAGGATACTTGCTGCTACCCGTATACGTCATGCAGCATAGAGAACAAGCAAAACTTAGTGGAGGTTCTAGCACAAAGTCAATAACCAGGACTTTTAGTTTGCTAGAATGCGACTGTATACGCCGGACTGCCTCTATGGTTGGTATCAATATATACAAAAAGATGATAGCGACTCATCACTCATAAACTCCAAAGCAAAGACAAGAAGCTTAACGCTTGCGCTCACGAATCTTCCACTTGATTCCGTCCTTGTTCGTGCCTCCGACGGAATTGCCCAGCTTAGCCCGTTGCCAATCAAGCTCTTTTTCGGCAGTCTGGATCTCGGCATGTTGCTTGCGCAGCGCAGTCAACTTGTTCTGACGGGCTTCGATGGCGCGCTTTCGGATCTTGCGAGCCCGCCGGGCTTCCACGAGTGCTTTGCGTTCAATTTCAAGTTCTTTCGGCGTCTTGCGGGCCTTGGTGCTTGATTGATCATCTTCATCATCACTAGCAGCCTCCTCTTGTTGTAACCGCTGCTTCTTCAACGCCAACTGATCTTTTCTGTCTTCGGCAAACACGGTTCTGTTTGGCTTGGGCTTCACCGGAGCGCCGAAATCGAAATCATCAAATTCGTCATCGAACCCGTCGAAGTTATCCTCGTCCATGCTTTCCTCGTCCTTCTTTCCATCCTTCTTCCCTAGAGACTTGTTCATGCCGTTCTGCAATTCCACATCGCGCTCCAGGCGCTCAATCTCGCGGCGAAGCCGCTCTCCAACCGTTCGGAGGTATCCTTTATCTTGCGTCTTGAGTAGCTTGATTGCTTCATGGCTCAGCCCCTGTGCCGTGGCAGAGTCTCGTGTTGTGCCTGCGCCGCGTCCATGCCGACCCTGAGTTCGGTTTTTATCGCCCATCATACCGAATGCGAATTCATCGGGGTTACGATCCTTCGCCTTCTCTTCGAGGCGCTTCAGCTTGGCCTTCTTGGCATTGTAATCTTTGGCACGGAGCGAGTAGTCCTGTTAAACGTTAGAGATGTTGTTTTTAAACTGGTTAGAAAATTGTGCAGAGATATCATGCTGATACTTCGCAAAGATATACTGACCTTGTGCTTCTCGAGGATACCCCATTTCTCGCGGCCCTGGATCTGACCACGCTCTTTGTGGTTGCGCCGTTGAACGGCATTGCGCATGGACGACATGCTGGATTATGTTTATTCCCGAGACGATAGAATCGAGAAGATAGAGGAGAAAGATGAATCGGAAATCGGAAGATGCAAAGATCAACAAGAAGAAGGCGAGTCGAGATCAGTTGGAGAAACTTTTTTTTCTGCTGGGTTTTTTCTCTCCGCCTGAGCTCGGCTCACTCGCGCTCCGCATCAACATCTCCCACTTGGCTTCGATCTTTGCTGCAAGCCATTCAGTAACGAAGCTTGCAAATTGCACCTGATCTTTTCAATTCTTTTTCTTGGGATCTACAGCAGCCTTCCATCTCATCAATTGTCTCTCAACCAGGCCCAATATCGTTTCAAAGCAAACTATCCGACTCATTGATCGTCCCATACACTTAAACCGAACTTCGATCCTCGAGATCGACCAAATCAGTCCCAATGACTACACCATCCACATCCTCCGATGCCTCTTCAACGAGTAGACCCAAGCAATTTAACCTTCGCAACCCTCTTCCGCTCTCAGCCCCCCAAGAACAAGAAGTAAAACTGCTTTACTACAAGCGTGTACGGGCCCATTGCGCCCCCGAGATTAAAGGTATGCGATTACCCTTACTCCCATACAGAACCTGCTTTCTTTCCACATACATTGGCTTGAGTTGCACATGAAGCGGAAAACCAATCCCGCTCTCGTGACCACGTTTTCCGCTCCGCACCTTCCAACGCTCAATTCACTAACTCAATCTGATTAGCATTTGCCGAGTGCGCCGTTAACCGTACCGTCACTGCCACATGGGTCTGCCGGCAACAGCGCCTCGCAATGAACTCATGCATGGTTGCTCACGCAAAGCCGGAAGAAGAGGACCGCGCACGCGAGGAGTGGTTCGCTTCTTTTGAAGAGAGGCGACGGGCGCGCGAGGAAGAGCTCGCGCGTGTCGAGAAGCGCCGAGCTGAGGTTATTAGTATGATGCGCAATGATGAAGCTCGGAGGCGAGAGGAGGGTAAATGATTACTGGTCGTTCTCTTGTACTTCTTCCTCTCTTCATCTTGTGTGAGTATTTCTTGTCTATATGGGTTTTGGCGTCTTGAGTATTCTGCTTATTGCGTTTCTTCGGCGGTCGAAGTGTGAGGACTTCGTCTTGAGTCCGTGCTTGAGGAGACTGTCAGACTCTCGCCCGGCCTGGTGTACTGCCCCGTCGTTGGGCTGGTGCTGAAGCACCGGCTTCAAGCTCGACAAACACCGTGTCTCTTTCCATTCTCACTTTAGTGGAAGGCTATCAGATTGTCCCGCCGGACTGGTCGGCCTCGGGTACTCACTCAGCCCCCACTGATCAGGGTTTACAAATTCTCTCCTCTTGGCGCACTAAGGCGAACAAAGTAGGCGTTTTGCTGGGCATTTCGATCACATTGCATGACCATCCCTACTGCGGAGCGATGGGATGGACTTGAATTATGTACAATATACAGACAATTGCATATCTCGGTTCAATTGAACAGGAAGATGTTTTTATTTCCATTTTTCTTCCTATTAACTGTGATTTGGCCGACTATGGGAGCTTGACTCCTCATATCCGGTTTGTAGACATAATACATGGAGTAGACTTTCTCCAATTTATAAACCAGTCCCCCATGCCGTGGTATGAGATAGATAGAGACAATAGACCAACAACACCATACGCCAGGAACACTGCAGACCTAGGGCCAAAGCAAGCGAAGGAAACACGGAGTAATACCGAATGCCCTTAAACATCAGTCATATTCCGATCCTCATCACCACCCGCCTCGCCCATGGTGGTATCTTCGCCGAAGATATCCTCCATCTTCCCATCGTCCTCTTCTTCATCACCACCCTCCTCATTATCCCCAGCCACGTCACCAGAAACAACACCATTCCCAGCTGCAAGCGGCGGTGCGTCAGGCACCTCTTCTTCGCCCTCACTGTCCCACTCATCCTTCATATTCCACCCCAAGCCAGTAAGACAGAAGCGCTCGGGAGGCAAGCGCAGCCCTCCTACCGAAACACTCTGGTTAGCATCTTTGGGCGCCCCATTCGGAGCAGCAGCGGGATCAAAGCCACGCGAAACACCAGGCAACGCAATCCGGTTACGCTCCGACGCAACATCCATCAGGAACTCCTTTGGCAGCCCGGTCTGGAACTGAAAGTGCAGGCGCGAGGCAATGCTCAGACGCAGTGCCGGCAGGGATACACTACTGACTTCGGCGGAGCCCTTGGGGCCGGCTGCGCCGTCTGTTGCTGCAGCGTAACCTTCTGTGGCGAGATGCACGGCATCTTGCAGGACGTTGGCGGTGTAGCGGTATGCGAAGTCGAGGAGTTGGAGAGGGACCCGGTCTTGGTAGGCGGTTACGCCTAGCGAGGCGAGGAGCATGTGGACCAGCCGCACGTCGCGTGGGCGTCGCGATTTCCCGCTATCTTGGATTGATGTCCCCGGGACTTGTGGGGCTTGTGGTGCTGTTGAGGGTTGGGGGGCTGCGGCTTGGGTACTGGGTTGAGCCTGGGGGGCGGGCGCGACACCGTTTGTGGTGGCTTCGGCAGGTGGTGTGAGAGGAGGTTGGGTTGGAGGCACCGATCCTTGGGTTTGGCTTGGTGATGCCATTTTGGTGAGAGTGTTGATCGGAGATCAAGGAAGATGATGGAGAGGGAGTCGCGATCTTGCAGAAGTGATGAAGTCGGAATTGCACCTTGATAAGAGGACCTGCTCAGTATCTTGGGGCGAAATTGCCAGCGCAACTTTGCTGCTCAGATGCTGGCAATCCAATAGTGCGAGCGAGTGTGGAGTAATAGAGTGACAATTTGGTGAAGCCGAAAAGAAGTCCAGCGCAGGAGCTCCGATATTGAGCTAAACCGCATTAGGTAATCGAGCACTTGGAATGTCCATCAATGAATGGATGCAACATTGGATATTAGTTATGGAAGTTTCACCTTCAGTTGCCTTTGTTGGTGAATCATGAATCATATGCTTAATGCTTAATCAATTGTATCATTCAGTTGTCTATGACCAATAGGCTATGGTCGCATGAAGTGTCCAGTCACTGTTTCGCGCTAGACAGTAAGCATCGGCATATAAGGTCCCTCAGAACTTGCCATGTTTGGAGTACACAAGTAAATAGGCAGCTGTGTTAGATTTGTCAAAATTTGACTATTTCTGAAGATATCGACCACCAAAAACAACGCCATCAGCAGCCTCCAGGCTAGGCACCGACTTTTGACCTCGTATTGTATAAGAGACATATTTCACCCGCAAGTCCACGACCTCGTTTCACAACGCAACATCTCTCAGACTCTCTCACGGCACCAGACATGGAACCTATACAGCCTTGCTCAAGCGGTCCAAGTCTGATGACTCTCCCGTCAGAACTTCACCTCCAAATAAGCACCTACTTATGCTACCCAGACGCTCTGGCCCTAAAACACAGTAGTCGCCATTTCTACTCCATGGTCTACACAGGCGTACACCTAAAAGTTGACTGGCTGGTCGAGAGATTCGAGAGCAAACTTGAATGTCCAATGGAGAAATGCTCATTTCGCACCGATGAATCATTTTGCAATGATCGAATCAGGGGTATCATGGAACGTCGCCGATGGCATCTTGAATGTCGGCCGGTTAAGGGTGGGTGTATTGTTGTTAATGGGAAGACCTGTCGGACAGATTTGGTGCCAACTTGGTTCAAGATCAAGGCGCAGGGGAGGAGGATGGTGGTGAGAGGAGTATGGATTTGGGGACAGGAAGGTATATTGTTCTTCCTTTCCTGGGTTGCTTTTTATGGACCTCCGTTTGTTGACTCTGGTATAGCATTTTTGGTTGGAATAATGGCCGTTGTATTGAATTTATTATGGCTTTCTGCTCGAAGGTTAGTTATCATTGTTTCTGGTTCACGGCCCTTGCTAAATCGATTTTTTAGAATTGTTTACTCGGTAGTAAACTGAGAAGATACCATACGACTTTGAACCTTCCAAGGTTGGTACGGCGAGGGTGACAACCAACGTACGTGTATGTATGTATGATTCTTAGATATTTTTGGGGAAGAAGGATATAATCAAATTCCAGTAAAATGAAAAGAGTGCCAAAGAAATCTACAATAAAAAGGAGGGGTGGTGCGAAGTACCTATTATATACAATTCCCAAACTGCAGTCGACACATTTCGAACCCTAGCGCATGAATTTTGCTACATGCCCCGTAAAGGGTACTATCATAAAAAGGGTAACTACCATACAGGACGACTTGACACAAGTCCAGCCGACTAGGTTGCGCAGGAGAGATGTCTCAATCTACATGTTAGGTATAACTAGGACCCTCATGTTTGGATATTTCCTAATTAGGAACACCGGACTCCAAACCCCCTTCTAGACCGGAAGGGCTCACAAGTAAGATAATAAACCTGAATGGGCCAGTTACTCACACAACTCTAATGTTTCTCAGGGGGTTTATCGATTGGTGATGCTATCGATCTGTTAATGCTGCCGATCTGGGGAGCCACACTTCATTCAAATGTGCAAAATATCAGATTTGCGGTTTTCCGACAGTCGCTAGTTGAATAATTGTCAATTGTGACCAGAATTATTGACTAAGAGAGATTGACTCGATTATCAACGAGAGACGCGGAGCTGTGCATGACTGTGCATGACTGTGATGTAATGATCGAGATGATCGAGTATCCAAAGTAGATCGCGATCGACCTCGATGGAGATAATTCCAAGAGAGCTGCCCAGACCCATAGAGACCATAGGCTTCGTAATTGCGAGTTTTTTATACTTTCTGATGCATGATTGGACTTGAATGGAAGTACTGGAGCAGTAAAAGTGGACAAATGTGTTCATGGGGTGATCCCTGAATCTAATCACTGACGTCACATTGACGAGGCTCATACTTCCAAGAAAAGTTGATATCAGCTGTCACATATAAGTTGTCCTGAGCTTCCTGCTTTTGTTTAATTCACAATCTCTATCTTAATCACATACACCATGTCTGCAGACGCCACTACCAACACAAGTACGGGCAACCACCCCGTGGACCCCTACAAGTCCAAGAACTTCGAGGACCCTCCTCTTCCTCAGAAGATCGAAGACTTGACCACCTTCATCTCCCAAGTGAAGTTTGGCATGTTGACCACCAAACAATCCGACGGCGACTATCTGGCATCGCGCTGCATGGCCCTCGCCGCACAGGTATGGCATTTCCAAACTTCTATATACTCGAATATCAAACAAAGCCATGTACTAACAAGTGTCCCCACACAGGAAAACGGCGGCATTGATTTGATCTTCCACACCAACCTTTTCTCCGGCAAGGCCATGGACCTCGCCGCACACCCACAAGAAACCAATATGTCCTTCCTTGACCCCTCCAGTGGAGCCTGGGCTTCCATCTCAGGTACTGCATCCATCATCAGTGACTCTGAAACCGTGGAGAAGTACTACTCGCCCATGCTGAAGGCGTGGATTGGTGATATGGGCGACGGTGTGCACGACGGTGGCCCCAAGGACCCGCGGATCGGTGTCATCAGGCTCGAAGCGAAGCTGGCGACGCATAACGTTACCCACAAGGGGTTGCTTGGTCGCGCCTATGATACTGTTAAGGGTGCTGTGCAGGGCAATGTTCCTTCCATCAATGGTATTCGGGAATTGACCAAGGAGGAGCTCGCTGAGTGTATGTCCATTGTTCCTTCTCTTTGTGGTTTGAATTATACTGACTTGTTTTTAGGGCGCCGGACGCACAAGGAATAAGCTGATCTTACCGTTCCTGTAGTGGCAGCTAGATACTCTTATGTTGTATGACTGAATGATATGGCAAAATACTTAGGAGTTAATGATATTCTCTGCTGTGCATAATCACAAAGGCCATTGGGACGTAGACTTTTCTCCTTCAGTATGAGATCGTGCTCTTCCAGGGCAGAACTGCCCATCGTTCGATCCCCACCAACCTCCACATAGCTTACCATCTCCACCACCGTGGCCGCGCCAGCACTATATCCAAGGAAGAAATGTGAGATACTGCTGCAGAAGATGGTAAATCTAACTCTTACGCTTGTTCTGTGGCCGCACTCGCTGGTTTTCTCCATCAGTAAGTGCCAATCAATATGCCAATGGATGCTTGTGTCTTACAAATTGATCCTTCCAATCCTGCAATCGCCGCCATTGCATCTCTGGTCTACACCTACATCAGTATATTACAATTCGCAATCGAACCAACAACCACATACACCACAAACTTGCCAACATGTTCTAGGCGTTCTCAGTCTCATGAACGTTATGATGTCACTATTCAATGCTACTCAGTGGCTCCCAGAATGATGGCCTATGCGCTGTTCAACTCTGGAATAGAGACAAATTTAAGTTCGAGGTTGTATCACACGCTTTGTTGAACTTCAAATAGCGCGAAAGCTGGGTGCAATATGGCACCTTGCTCGTGATAGTATCAATCAAACAAATATGATAAACTAGACCTACATATACATACATACATGTATATAGGAAATAATACAATAACTAAACAATCAGATCAATAGAAAAGGGGAATGAAAAGAGAACAATAGAAAACAACATTGGAAGAACAGTATACAGGGAAAAGGAGCTCAGTATAAATACTTCCGTCTCCTCCCAACTTCTCCTTTTCGTTTCTTCCTTCCTCACCTGTCCGGACGCTGTTCCATCGCACAGGGGCCTTTGGCCAAAATTCAAACCTACCAGAACCTACGACTCTCCAGGGGGCATTTACATTTGCTGTGACCTTGAATACTAACTTACCTTTCAAAAGACATCGTTCAAACTGTGTCTAGGACCCATTCTTTCTTCTTGTTTTTGGGCATGCCGGATTCATTTCTTTGAATTTTTGACCCGAATACCTTGGCTTGCTTCGGTATTTACATCCGTTCTGTGGGCTCTTTTCATCAAACACCCTAATTCCTTTTCGGCATTTGGTCTTTTTTCCCCTCTACTACCTTGCGGGCTCGTGCCATAGCAGACAAGTGACTGCTTTGGCTCGATTCGAGCTTGTTAAGGACATATTGTGAGAAAATAGAATGAATGTCATTTAAATACATTCAAGATTATCTTTTAAAACTGTATTACTACATTTGTAGACGAGGGCCGTGAAATCCCAGCTTCGGTTCTCCAATCCATGTAAACACCCTCCAGGTACATTTGTAAAAATAAATCCAAGCGAGATGATATTACCAAGAGCTCACTCCCAATTCGCCACAAAATAAAAGAGGGTATCGTCCCAAACTCCCGCTGCGGTGTGTAAAAGCCAAGAAACAACAAAGTGGCACCACGGAAACACTCAAATCTGAAGGCTTAGTTAGCACAGTAAGAAATAGATGAAGAAAAAGTCAAGACTCACCAAAACAAGAGGAAGACGCGCAGGAATGCCGCCCTCATGCAGCAGCATTGCAACGGCCTTTTGTGGCGTCGCCTGCAACTTGCGATATGCCTCACGTACGTGCCGCGGTTCGATAGGCGTGCGGCCCTCCTCAGGCGGGTCAAATAGACCAGTCTCGCGCTTGCGCTTCTTCAAGTTCTCGCCTGCATCGGCACCTCCACGACGGTTCTTCTCGTTGTCTTCGCGTTCCTTGACTTTGAGCGCCTCTTCGGTCAGGGTCTGGACGATTTCGAAAGTGAGGAATCCTAGGATATCCACGATGTCGTCATTTGGCTTGGACTCGGTGACGATGCCGAAACCCGCCCATTCGCGGAACCGCTTGCTTTTTCGGTAGGTGAAGGATGCTTGGCGACACTCGGACCAGAAAACGTACTCTTCTCTTGTCATGTGTCGGGTGCGTTCGTCAGCAGCGGCGAGGCGCTGAAGGGTTGCGTAGTTCTGTTCTTCCTCTTCTTCGTCCTCTTCGTCCTCGCGTTCTGGCACTTGGATCGAGTAGAAGCTGTTGACGTCCCAGGCAAGTCCGACCTTTGCTCGCTTGTTCTTGGGTTTGGCGGCTACATCTGCAGGGCCTGCGACGGCGCCTGCTGCATCATCGGCGGCAGCAAAGTCCGCGGCATCACCTCCTCCCTTGTCGTCGGAATCTTTGACGTTTTTGCGGACATCTTTCCAGGAAAGAAATGTTCGAAGACGAGATACCTTGGCCTTGTCGTGGCGGATCAAAAAAATCAGGTCGTCCGTGGAGATAGAGCGAACTCCACGCCGGGTTGCCAACGCAGTGCTTCGGGTAAGCTTTTGACGTTAGCGGTTAAATGCATTTACACGAGAACTCCAGTACTCACGATTTCAATGACTTGTTGGCGGGTGATTTCTTCAATCAAAGTAGTAGTTTCAGGGGAAGGCTCAGCAGTCTCTCCAGAGACAAACATCATCTTTGTAGCAATGTCAGTAAACCATTTTTTGGCTGAGCTCCTAGTCTCAGTGTGAGTCCGAGCTTCAGTCACAATCTCAGGATCTTCCCGTCTCTTGGTCTTTTTGGTGCTTTTGATGCTTGCAGTCCTTGTGTTGCTTTTGGCAGCGGAAGGAACCCTTCTGCCAGTTTTAGCGGGCAAATGATTGAGGATGGAATTGCGAAGTTCGAGGATTTTAGCATGAGCGATATCTTCGATCGATGCAGCGCCAGAACCGGGGAAAGACATGCTTGCTAAAACTAAGCAAAACAGCAATATCTTCAAGTGCTCGATTGGGGTGTCAATCAACCATGCGTAGAGTCCTTGTTTGATGGAAATTCGAAACAACCCAAGACATCAGAGAACACATCAGGGCATTGGAATCTCTGTCAACAAAAGACTTGGTTGGGTATCATCCAGGGACCTCATAGGCCTACTGATAGTTTAGGGCTGCAGTATACAAGGTCCAGGTTTCCTGTCTCAGAGCGCATGAATCACAACCACCATATCTTGCCCTCATCCTTCCGAAGCATGACCTCCACCTTGCTATTTATTCACAAGATATGCTGCCCAAGTCATACAGTCGATACTATCGGAGTATGGTGTCCAATATTGCGCGTCTATCCTTCCTGGCGCAAAGACGCGGATTCGGAAGCCCAGTCGAAGTGCAATGCGCTCAAGAGAAGCGTAGAACCTCCAAAACCCACACCATTTAGACGCCCAATAGACGAGAAGACCGAGAGATAGTACAGGAAGCGAGCGAAAAAGATACCGAATGAACTCACCTGTTGGATCTCCTGTCGGTACTTTGGATTCCGATCGGAGCTCATGGTGAATGACGACCACCCTACCGGAGTGGATTTCGATGGCTATATATATTATAACGAGGGTGTTGAGGGTCTATAAAAGACAGACGGTATACTGGCGACACAGGGAGGTGAAAGTACATCAAGATGCGGTTGTATGTCTACGATCTGGGGATAGGATCCAGGCGGTCACGTTCTGCCGGACTTGCGGCGGTGATGTGGGCGGTGATGCGGCGTTGCGGGGCAGATATTCTTTTTTTCTTGTCTATTGTTCGCTTGGATTGCTCAATTAACAACGTATCAATTGAATTGCTGGGTTGAAGTTGCTCAGCTAGTCAATTCAGATACCCCTCAGCCAAAATGTTGCACCTTATTGGTCTTGGTTTGGCCGATGAGACGGATATTACCGTCCGCGGTCTGGAGATCGTGAAGCGGGCCGAAAGAGTCTATCTTGAGGCATACACAAGTATCCTTCTTGTGGATAAGTCAAAGCTTGTAAGTGGACATATATCCTTGATATTATTCAAAATGCAATTGCTTTCGTATCACAACCCAAAACGTGTAACAGATGACTGATTCGATATAATACCAGTAGGAAGCCTTCTACGGCCGCCCCGTCATCGAGGCGGATCGCGAACTCGTCGAAACCGGCAGTGATGATATCCTCGCCGGCGCGGATAAAGCAGACATCGTCTTCCTGGTAGTCGGCGATCCGTTCGGGTACGACCCCACCCCCACCATCTCCAAATCACAAACTAACCCAACCAGCGCAACAACTCATACCGACCTCGTCCTGCGCGCCCGCGAACTAGGAATCGAAACAAATAACGTCCCCAATGCCTCTATCATGTCCGGAATCGGCTGCACCGGCCTGCAGCTCTACAACTTTGGCCAAACAGTAAGCATGGTCTTCTTTTTGGACAACTGGAAGCCATCCTCGTACTACGACCGCGTGCGCGAGAACGTCCAGATCGGCCTGCACACGCTGGTGCTCCTCGACATTAAGGTTAAAGAGCAGTCAATTGAGAACATGGCGCGCGGTCGTCGCATCTACGAGCCCCCTCGTTACATGACTGTTGCGCAGTGTGCATCGCAGATGCTCGAGACAGAGGAGGAGCGGAAGGAGGGTGTTTACGGACCAGATAGCTTGGCTGTGGGTGCTGCCCGAGTTGGAGCTGCCAACCAGAAGCTTGTTTCAGGGACCCTGCAGGAATTGTCCACTGTTGAGATGGGAGCGCCGTTGCACAGCCTTGTTCTTTTGGGACGGAGGACGCATGACCTCGAGAGGGACTATATTCGGGAATACGCTGTCAACAAGGAGACCTTTGATGCCAGTTACGCCAAGGGCTATGGAGCTAGCCTGTGAGGCTCTCATGTCATATGAAATCAAGATTAAAATGCATATTCAGTCCTAAATAGAGGCCGATTTATTCTCATGACATTAGATGTTGAGTAGAAGGTTCAATCAATGATGGCGACCGATAGACTGCGTACATAATCAGCAGGTTTGAGAAGTACAAGGTAGTGAAAATATAATGTGAAATGTTGATTCTCATTCGATCTGCGCCAAAGGAATCGGCAGACCAGGGGATCTGGACTTTTCTATTCTAAAACAAAATGAAAATGCTGTAAATAGCGAGAGATGCAAACCCGAGAGATGCAAAACAAATGGTATCCAAAAAAAAACAAGAAACAAGGCAAGGATATGCAAGCGAACAAGAAAAGCCAATATGCGTCAAAAATTTACAGCCCACCGGTGCAGCAGATGTATAAACGAGATCATTCGGAGACGATATGACCTGCACCGGCATAGCAGCGAGAAATCCAAAAACGAAAAACGAAAACATGGAAACATCCACGACCACCAGACACCGGATAATATGCAAAATGTTGATGTTGAAGCAATGTACAATCCAACTGAACAAAAGAAAAGCTCATATCGTATCACATCACTAAGAGGCATGTTCGACCTCGTCATCCTCGCCGGGAAGAAGGATCTCATGCCCAGAACCTTCATAGACGAAGATAGCTGCAAGGCATCCAAACACGGATACCAGGGCAATCATCCACCAGGCAAAGCCAACCATGCCGATGTCCAGACCGTATCCGTACCACGCACCCGAGAAGATAGGGCCGATGGTGCGGAATGCGGACGACACGGACTGGCCGATACCGTGGATTGTGCCCAGGACCGAGGGGTGCGGCGAGCAGTTGTTCAGTAGGATGATGGAGGTGGGCAGGGTGAAGGTTCGTGCGGTGACTTGGAAGAATAACACGATGATGATCCAGAACCAGACCCAGGGGCCGTTTGCTTGGCCAGGTGGCGGGATGGTGGATGGCGCGAGCGAGATGTAGGGAGCGATGAAGTAGGCAAGTGGGAAGAGGGCTAGAAAATACTGGTAGCTCTTGGCTGTGCCGAGGCGGCCGTTGATGGATGGGTAAACGGTGAATTGAAGGAACATGCCGATCACACCTAGAATGGCGGTTGCGAAGCCGACGCTCTGGGGCAGCATACCGAGTCCACCCGTGAAGGCGAATGGCAGGCTTTGAGCGGGGCTGGCCGGGTCATTGGCGTCATAGCGGGGGGTTGAAAGGAAGAGGAGCCAGAGGTTGTTGAAAGCACCCATTTGGAAGTCGAAGAATGCCTGTGCTCCAAGTGTGCACAGGACGTTCTTGGTCCAGATTCTGCGGAATGGCAGGACGCGCTGGAGACGCACGGGCTTGTGGGCCTTTTCTTCGAGTTCGTAGCTCTCGGAACGGTCTAAAGGTCTGCCTAGCAAAGGTCCATCCTCTTCGTAGTCACGGAAAGGAAGTCTGGTGTACAAAGGCGAAGAAGAGGGAACTACTGCCTTGATGCTGCGCGCAAACAGCTTCATGGCAAATGCACCCAAGCCAGGCTTACCCTTGCAAGATGCGAGGGTCTCTTCTAACCCATATGCAACCAAAGCGGCGGTGCAAGAAAGGAAGCAGAAGTTTGCGAACATAGGCAGCGCATACGGGTATTTCTCGAGCCACTGCACTCCATTTTCACCTCCAAATGAGGAGTTAAGACCAAAAAGGCGAGGGTAGCTCTTAACTGGATCAGCCAACATGCCACCCATAACTGTGAAACTGTTCAGCACATTATCGCAAAGTCGCAAACACATTAGTACATACCAGGACCGAACAACGAGGCCACATTGAAGCCAATAGGTAGAATTAAGAAAGCGCGGGAGTGATATTTCTTTTCCTTAACATTCTCCGCAATCATAGTCCGAATGATACCGACAGTGCCGTTGATAGCGCCGCCAAATGAGCGCCAGAACACGGCCTGCGCGAACGACGTCGAATAAGCGACACCCAAGCACGACATCGCAGTACCAATAAGACCAACAAGCAAGACAAACTTCCGCCCACCCCACTCAGCATCCGCAACCCGACCCCAGGGAATAGCAGTCGCAAACTGAGCAGCAGTGAAAGCACCCTGAAGAATACCTGCCTGGGTCGCAACGTCTGAGTCGGACAGGTTCGGATCAAACGACTTAAGCTGGTAGAACATGTACGCCTGCAGCGAGGCAATCTGCAGGAAATCAAACACCCGGCACAAACCTAGCAGCGCCAATTGGCCCTTCCGCGGCAGCGACATCCAAGTTACAGCCGCGGGGCGAGGCGGCACAGGCGCAGCGGGAAGCTCATGGTCCTGCATGCCGAGCACGGTGCCCTGGCTGATGGAGCGGCTGCGCACATGCTGATGCTGATGCTGGCTCTTGTGACCTTCCAAATCCATCGAGGTATTCCTTAGCATTGTGTCATCGATGGCGGGCTCGTCGAGGGAATTCGGGGGGAGGAGCCTTCTTCAACGCTGGCGAGAGATATGTTGGACTCGCGTCGACGACGGCCTGGATTCTCGGAGGTTTCGCCGGTGCCTTGGATGAAATGGTAGCCACTTGACCAGGACGTCGTACGCGCGTGGCGGGCATTATTCGTTTTATGGTTCCCGGTCCTGTTAGGCATGGAGGAATGGAATGTGTATGTAAGCCGGAGGAGGCGCGGTAATGATCAAAAGTGGGAATTATGACCCCTTTGGTTTCGTGTATTTTTGATGGCGCGGTAATTATTATTATTGGCTCAGAAATGCCATGAGAGGGATAAAGAGAGAGGAGTGTGTGTTTGGAGAGTGATCATCTTGACTATGTATGTATTGTTTTTGGCTCTAATCTCTCCTAGTCTTGGCCTTCGCAGGGGATTTCCATCAATGACGCTGGTTTCTCCGTACCTTATTGAGTGGCCCACAGTGGAATGCCGTTGGAGATTATTACACGGGTTTTCCATTCGATGATTATAGTACTTGATATACAGTGTATGTATACAAACATGTACTCATTCCCTACTTCGTACAGAAGAATTAATTTGATCTAATTGATAACCACCTGTACCATATGATAGATCAATACAGCTCTCGCCACAATACACAAATTTTGGATCGACAACGACAGCCGGCTTGCGACGACCAGGTCCACCTCTCCCTGCCGAGCCCACTTTAGTCCTGTATTGAGCCATGACTCGCTAATTCACCCGTGCGTTTTGGCGATTGATGTCTTGGCATTGAAAGCAATGAACCGTGGTGGATGAATTATATTAGAATCGCTTCGCTTTATTCCTTACAACGTACAATATTGTAATCAGCTCAATTTCTGGAACATCAGTACTTTTACATATTGCCCCTGAATTGTGATTGAATTTTCCAAACACTTACATAATTGACCATGTGGAACGTGCTTCCACGGAACCAATTTAAGCTTGAATACATCGAACTCTGATCCTGATACGTGAAACAAATAAAAAGCGTAAGTTACCGTATTATAACCTTAAAACTTACAAAACGTTCTAACGTTCTAGAACCAACAGCAATAACCAGCACTAAGACTCAAAAGCGTTTCAGCCCCGTAGCGTCGCAAAAAAAAGCCATTTGATACATTAGCTTGATTCAAGTCAAGCATTGTTATTGTGACATGTGCAATGCGATCAAGGTGAACCTGAGACTCGATTATCCGTCGCATCCTGCGACAAAGGCACGAAACATAACCTTCCCTTTTTGACATTGATCGGCATTCCAATATAACAATATTTTTATAGTACAATCGTACCGGGGGATTGATGGATTGACGTCTGTAATGTATTGTGAAACTACATGTATCGACATAATGCATTAACTAGACCGATACGAGGAATAAAAGCTTGCAAAAGAGCTAATATTCCGCCTCCCTCCGGGAGTACGTATGCCCCCGCGTAAGAGAGATAGAGGCGTGTCGCGGTCGGATTTATGTATTTTTCGGGTATGCGTGTTCGGAAAATGCCCACAAGTGTTCTTTACGTGGCGCCGCGTGGGCTGCGGCGTAATGTGGGCTGTTTTTATCTGATCTATGATATACTCATTGTAAATGAAGCTTTTTCGGAGCTAAGCAGGCCTTGTGATATTATATGTATGAAGTGTGAATTGTATGGGACAATGATATATAGTAATATGTACATAGCTACATGAGCTCAGGTATCAATGCAAATGCAACAAAAAAACCCAATGAATGAACGGTTACTCGTCCCGCTCTCGCTGTCGTGCATGCCCATGTGGGCTCCGCTCACCGAGCGGGAAGTATTGTGATGTTTCGCCCTCCCCAATCCACCGGCGCCAATTCCACCAAGGGAGATCGGTGGTCTGCGCGGGAGAGTGTTTCCGCTCGGTCATGCCATTTAGAGGCTCGGAGGACTCCTGGTCCCGCAGGTGGTCGCGCGAATGTTTGGTATAGTACCGATAGGCGAAATAGAATCCCGCGAAAAACGGCATCGTCACTATGAGAACACAGCCCCATGCAAGCAGGCCTGTGAGTTATTAGCTTGGTTTCTCTGCATGGTAGAATTATGAGCAATGTTGGTCTGCACTTACGACCAAAGCCCCACCCCTTCGAGTATTTGAGAGTCCCCGAAGAGTGTGGGTATCCTGAGGGTGAGGGATTGATCCAAATGTTTGATCCCGGGTTGTCGGGGTCAATCCATGGGACAGTATTCACCCCTACAGGAGGAATGAAAGGTCTCGCTGCTTCTTCGCCAGGGAAACCATATCCCGGCGCATCCAAGCAGGTGTTATCTGCGCAGAATTCGCGCAGCTCCGATGAGGGCACAAAGGTGTATTTCGTTTCAGATTTGCCGAGCACGACGCCTTCGTGATTCACAGCCTCAACCTTGGACCAAAGGTAGAAGCTGGCGTTGGTGTACTCAGTCTCAAACCCAGCCTTGGCTACCTCATCCAGCAAGGTCCAGGGCCCAGTCATGTTCATTGCGCCGTAGAATCTCCATGCCTTGACTTGGGTCGCACCGTTCCAGCTTACATAGAAGCTGGTTGGAGAGAATGGTTCAGCTGTCCGGGAGTACGACCACAGCGCAGGTGAATCTGTTGGCATTCCATCCCATTCGAACTTCATTGCACGATAGTTCATCACGGTGTCTTTGGCAAAGGCGCCCCAGAACAGGAGGTTTCCTGCCTCGTCATGCTCAGATACGAATGGATTGTTGCCCCATCCAATGAATACATTATGATTCGGCAGCATCTGTAGGTTTCCCTGGCTGGAACTCACCAAGTCATTTCGGATCGGGGCATAATCGCGGAGCTGGAGGGCGGTCTTTTCCACATGATCAATCAGGATGATCATTCCCGCAGAATATGTGTGAGTTTTGTTGAACCCGTTGTATCCATTGTTATACAGTGACACAACCGTATGGGTGGCGTTCTCAAATAGCCATCTAGCGTCGTGCTGCTGGGAAAAGCTAAAGTTGATATTCCGGAACGTCGGCTGGGCGCCATGAAGCCGCCAGATCACTGAACCATCTTTGCCAGAGATCTTGTAGATGGCGCAGGTATGACGTGACGAAATCAAATAGTCGCCGTCCGCATTTTTGTCGATGGAGTTGATGTGGAAATAATCCCATGGTTCGTGGACATTCAATCCAGTGCCGGAGGTATCGGTATGTGCCGGCCATGTATAGGTGTCCGATGGATCAACATGGTCAAGCGACCTCCATTCAAACAAAACTCTATTGGTTTCTACATCCACCTCCTGGAACACACTTTCCATTAGCCATCCAACACCGGTCTTAACATTCCAAGGTGTCATGTCGAATTGCCGTTGCTGGTAGATCGTCATCAGGGCGGTTTTCCCGTCGTTGATCGGACGAAATTCGTGCATGTCGCTCGACGCCATTCCTCCGCCCGGCTGTACTGATCGGACCACTCGATAGTTCTTGTCCATGATGATGCCATGTCCGCGGCAGTATCCTTTTTGTTGGTTTCCTTGAAAGAAACATAGGTGATCTGCGCCGTTATATTTGCACACGTGGAAGCCATGAGCATTCCCCGGACCTGAGATACCCCAGCCGCTCCATACTAGCTCCTGTTGATCGCGTGACTGGTCAGTGATCGGCAAACGTCACCCCCGCGAATTCCAAGACCTACCCCTGTGCTATCGAAGATGTACGGTCCCGGGTTTTGAAGTTCGTAAGGGGTGATGAAGATATATCCCGGGCTGAGCTTTTCTGGATCGGACTTTTCGACGTGAAAGACTGGAGGATAGATATCGGGTCTCTGTGATATGAGATGCAATTAGTCAAAATATCAAGATAGTGTTTTGGGAACTTCCAAGGTTTCTACTCACCGATTTGTAGAACGCGGTCTCTTCGCCTACCACGGTATCAATGGCGCATAGCCATAAAATCCCGATTAGAAAGAGCGAGGGAGTTCTCCTCAAAGAGGAAAGTATAGAGGCCACCATTAGTCCTTCACATCACTTCCCAGGAGAACTATAGAGGCCAAATGCGAGAATGTGGGGGAAATATGAAGCAAAGCATGTAGGAGAGATATATAAAATGCATAACCCATAGGAAAATGAAGAATGAACAGCCAAGGCCAAGGTGAGCAAGCAGTGTACGAGTCCTGATCCACCTTGTCGATGCACTTCTCTGCACTTTCTGCACAAGTGGAGAATGTAGTTGATGATAATCAACGATCATTGGCCATTCTTAGTTTAAAGCCAGAAAAAGTTGCTTAGTCAGGGTAAAAACAACCAACGCCTGTCGAGCGCCAAGATGCCCAGTCCTGCTAAATTTGCTTAACTTGCTTAACTTGCGGGGATGATTAGACACTTTGGTACATGTGTTTTGGATACCAATTCTATATACAGTATACAGCATAGAAAATTATTCTTCTGATCACCCTTCTCCATATAGACGGGAAGTTCCCCCTGAAGATTCTGATCGTCTATTGCTGCGCAAAACTCAGATTTTCCCCTATGTTTTCCAATACCTGTAATCCCAATCATGGTACTGATACGGAATACTAGTAATTCGCAGGCCACGTCATTGCTGCGAAACTTAAAATTTGGCACCCCGCTACCTAGGTAATATTACATTAACTCCGAGATTCTCTTTTATTCCTTGATTTCACGGTTTGGGTCGCGAGATATTGCATGTTTCGTGAGATTGTGGATGAACCCCTCCAGGGCCACCTAGTCGGATACCCACCCAAACCCAGAGCTGGATCCCCAACTCGACTATCTTTTCCGAACCGTGTAACCCTGAATCAAGATAGATAAAGTCAAAAGCCACGTAAAAGTGGCTGGGTGCACCCTTTGTTGCAATCGATCGTGAGCAAACCCTTGGTTTGGGGCTACAAATAGAACAGGGCAGATGACCCTGAGCATACGCAATCTGTTTTCGTAGTAGACTCTAACCTTGAAGCTAACCACCTATCACGAGTAGGCCTAGATAAGCGTTGTTCATGGCATTGATCAATTCCTGTTTACTGTATTGTGGTCTTCAAATAACAAAGTTTCTCATGTAGTCGGACTACAGCCACTCATAGAACAATTGAACATTGAATACCTGTTATGTAGGTGTACTTCGTATCCATGCATAATTGACATGCTAGTCTATGAGCGACTTCCCGGTTTCGATAATACAAATCCATCCAATGCAGTCCAACCCTCGAAAAACGGCAAAGACATTTCAAAGCCTTCATGTCAAACCAGGTCAGACATCCACGTAACCGACCCTCCAACTCGCGATCTCCTACTTCGTGCATCGAACGAGCTACCATTATGCTGAGATATATGCACATTCTGCACGAAGTGCAATGACCCACCCACCAGCCCAGACCGACAACAATAATCGCCGTCTCCGAAGATCACCCATGTGTCGAACCCAAAATAAACCAAAACTGCTCTCCTCCCAGCGTGCCACCACCGAACGTACCCCCAGTCCACGTACACATGTGCAAAACCCGGATTTTCAATTCTAAATCTACTGGTCTGACACGCCTAAACACGAGAACACGTATATTACGTGGACTGTCTCACTAGCCCTACAAGCCTTTTAGAGGCGTCTCTCGAAACCTTGAGCATGGACAAGACTTTTGGTCTCGCTGACATTGAAAACATTGATCCATAATATCAATCAGTCTCTGACAACCGAGCTTGTGGGTCTACGGTTTATGGTACCTACGAACCATGGGAGGATTGATACCGTAACCCGATAACGATACTAGTATTATTTGTTCATACGTAATGTATGGATCCTTCTTGTTTGCCAAGACTATAGCCCAGCCAAGCACTCCCCACCTCCCAATGACATGTGTCGTCTAGTTTGCTTTTTGTTTCGTACGAGTACGAGTGCAGTGGAGAGGAGTTCCTTTGGTTCCGGTTGTGGCCAGATTTAGAAGGCGTACAACGTGTTTGCTTACTGTCGGCTGCTATGTGTAATGTACACTGGAACTCAGGATGTACAATATTGTACTATTATTTGATGGGAATGTGAAAGTAAATCCATGCACAACGTTCTTTGCAACGCCTTGAATATTGGTTGCTTTGATTGTTTAAATCTCCAGCCTTGGCATGGCACAGTAATGCTTTGCAGCTCGGCGGTAAGGCTTTTCATCCAAGCGCCCCTTGCATCTCAATTATGTAGAAAGGACTGGAGAACAAATTTACCCCTCGATTAAGGTGTTGCGGTGTGTCCCACTTCATGTGAATGCAAGCAAGAAGGTCTGGAGAAAGATAGATGTGCAAAAAAAATATATAATATATACTGTAATATTATCAGGTGTTCCTCGGTAGCCCCTCCATGAACCGATTGTGACAAATTGTGAGGACAGGGGATATTAGACATGGGTATGAGAGATGCAGGTTGCTCCAAGGGAGACGATAGATCAAATGGCAACAAAAATGACCACTGAGTCTGACATGCTAAAGGCGCCTGCGCACGCTAGCAGCCAACAAGAATGTGAGAGGCGGGGAGGGGAATATGAAAAAGGAAAATATGCAAGGACGGGCGTGTTTTTTTTAGCGGGAGAAACGCTTGAAAGCAATAGTAGCAGCGAATCCAGCGGCAAGCAACGATCCACCAATGGTGACGGCCTGGAAGGCAGCGTTCATCATCTGGTGACGGTTGCGGGTGCTGCAGCGCTTGTAGAAGTCTGCCATATCGTTGCCGCGGGGGAAGGGGGTGTCGGGGACTTCCTCCTCGAGGAATTCGCAGAGCGGCGCCCAGCCGTCGTTAATGTTGTATTCGAGCAGACGCTCGGCGGGAACCAAGCTGCGGACCTCGGCGACATGGTCCTCGTACACTTGCTTGCCCTTGCCTTGGAAGTCGCCACGGAAGAATGTCTCGAAGAACTTGTTCAGCATGGGGTAGTACATGCCGGCAGCCCAGCTGAAGTTCGAAACGAACTTGTGCTCTGGGTCTGAGACACGCCAGAAGACGGTCTTCATAACGGATCTGGATTGCTTGTTAGTGCGGAATTTGATAAAGAGTCCGGTGTAGACATACGCGTGCCATGGGTCGACGTCACGGGTGGTCAAGATGACCTTGGCGTTGGGATAGGCTTCGATCAATTCCTTTGCGAAGGCACAGGCAGGCCAGTCACAAACGGCCTGGCAGTCACCCAGAAGCTGGTCCCATTCCTTGCGGCCGAACTCGCCGATTCCGTTGTACTTTGCGTTCAGGGCATCGTGCCACATCAAGCAGTCCGGCGGGTTCTCAACACTTGCGCACATCATGTGGTAACACTTGCCATAGCCAAGACGTTCAAGAGCCTTACGAAGAGCTGTCGAATAGAGATCCGGGTTAGTTTACACAGTTCAATTCCTACCAGACCCGGTATATAGGAAACGCCGGCCCACGCAACACAAACTCACAGGCAGTTCCGGTACGGCCGACACCCAGTGCGAGAACCTTCATGGGCACTGTCCGGTGGCACTTGCGGCGGTCAATGTTTGTGTCATCAGTGAAGATATCAGTCATAGGCTGAGGAGCCAGGTTATCGGAGAGCATAAGAGACATGATGTATGTTTTGAAGCTCAGATGCAATTCGATATAATTGGTGAAGCTCTATGTTGTAGAAAAAAGGAGCTGTGGAGAGAAGGGCAATGGAGCTTGATAAAGAAGGGACAGACTTATGGAAAAAGTCTAGAAGGAAGGGGGGCTTTATGAGGTTGATATGGAGACGAAAGGGGAGAATTAAAGGAATTAAATGCAAAAAAAAGAACAGTAAAAAAATGCCAGAGCTAGATCCTCCAAGGGAGATCGATAAAGCGATAAACAAAGTGGGCTCTTCTGTCAGAGTTTCAGCGCCAATGAACAGCCTCGAACCACTTTTCTCAGTTGCAAAGTATGTCACCCCGCGAGTGGCAATCTTTCCACTTCATCTTGTTCTAGTCTTGGCTGTGTCAATCTCTTCCATTCTGCGTTCCATTGTATCCTAATTGGGATGAGGGAGTACAGAAACAGACAAGGGCCACGACTATGTGCAGTGCGACACAGCGTTAATATCGTTTGGCATACGTTGTCCACCAAATCTGGAATCATTTGAGGCGCAGATAGGCAAGACGTCACTGGCTGACGCACAGGGATGTCAGGGATTGTCAGGGGTGAAACTTTGTTGAGTCAAGATTTCAAGGTATGGTATTGTGGTGTTTTTGATACCATGTGCAAAGCCGGACATTCGGTACCGAAAGTAAGATTAGTTAGTAGTATATGTGTACTCCGTATTCCGTAGTACCTGGGTATTGTATGGTGTATTGTAAAATACACCTCGAATCAAGAATGTCGTCTGCCGCCCTGCCAAGACTTAGAATCCACGTATGCTCCGTACGAATATTCTTCCGTTGATCAGCCACATTTTTACCGGCTCAGCATAGACGATCCGTGCAGGTACCGATAGTGATTGGTCGGGGATTGAAATGGCAACGCGTACACTTTCTTGTGGAGAGTGCATATTTCTGAAACGATGATTGAGTTCTGATAAATGAGTCTTGTTCATTGTACTTCAGGGCCTTTCGACATAAGACACATGAAGACATATGAAAATTGCGTTTTCCAGCAAACCGAAAAGCTCAAACCGTGTGCGTTCAAGTTGAGTTTGTATCTGCCGAGCTCGGCCCACAGCGACTCAAAGAGATCTGTTCTGCTCAGGGGGTTTCGGGATAAGAATACCGTACGAGAAATGGTGCCCCGCTCCGGGAGATTGATTGCTTTTGGCTCGTGGTCGAGACTGTTTAGTCCCACCTGCCAAGACCAGTCCAATATACGCTCAAGCGATCAACATGGACAAGGTAGGCGGCCCAGCTGGTCGGTATAACGAATGGATCCTTCTCCTTGATCGTTCGCCCAATGCCTATCCCAGAAATGAGTTTCCGCCAAATGCGATGCGGACTCGGAGCCGTGTTCGAGTATTGAGGATCTTTGTTAGAGTAATAACCTTGCACGATATGAATGAGGTAAAGTGTCGGAAGTATGAGCGCCGGGTGTGATGGGTGAGAGATACGTCTCTTTCGTTATCAGTGCTGTCACAACTGGTTTGATCGTCCCGTGTTGCGATGTTTTCCTCTCGGGGCAAGTGTGCACCCTGGGCCGGTCGATCAGGCTTGGTGGTTCTCAGGGTTCTTAGTGTTGAGCAGGTATACTGTGTGAATATCTGTGAGGATGTGTAGACAGCTAGTCTATGGCGGACAATGATGTGCCGGCATAGTCATCATGATAAGCATCTAGAGCTCAGACTCTTCGGTCTAGTTATCCTGGGATCGCAGACCATGAGATCCGTAGATAAAATCAGGTGTGAAGCAAAGCAAAGAAAACGTGCAAATAAAGTAGACTCTTCTTTTTGAGGGTTAGCAGCGACAGAGGTTCTTAAATGTTCGGTGCCAAGACTCATAGAGACGTTCGCCATTGATGGCTACGATCACCTCACCCAGCCATGACCGATTAGGAAAACACAGGGCCCGCAAAGCTGATGTCCATTTAGCATTTGGCACTGCTTTGGTCTTGATCTAAGCTTAAATCTATTTGCACAGTCTGGGCATTCGTTTCTATGAGTCAACGGCATTAATTTCGGCAGTTAGAAATGCATTTTGTACAAAGCTACCCCCGGACCCTGAGGGTCTATGGATATGGAAAGAGAATACGAAAGGCTTGGCATTGACCAGATTGGTCCGTGATTTCGACATTGGCCCCAAAGTGGTGGCATGAACTGTATGGGATTTCCATTTCCCCTTATGAAAAGCGTAACATTGTCCAAAGCCCAATACCCCTGAACTCCATGCAAATGACTGTTGATTTGATACAGGCTCGTAATCGATAAGGGTTGACCCCCAATCAAACCACGCTCCACTTCTATTCCAGCTTGTCCAGGTGCTCCAATCTCGTGAGAACAACCTGCTTGCTTGTCTCTTGAATCTCGCCTGCGAGAAAGACTTCGTCCAGGATCGCGTAGACCTATAGAATGGACGTATTAGTACCATGTTCCAAATCATCGCCGTATAACCCAGTCATGCGGGTGTTATCCCACACCACGGGCCGTACCTTGTAGAAATTGAAGACCAAATCTAGCTCGCACACGTTTCCGAAGAATTGATCCAACACTTCGACGAAGAAATGGATGGCCTCGAGGTATGCAAGCTCATTGTCATTTGCATCGACACAGACACAGAAGAATAACCCGGCATATCGTCGGTACACAACCTTTGTACTGCGGCGGAACTCGACGAAATTCGACTGGTATTTTTGATCACGAGGGGCGACAAGGCGATGGACCTGGATCGTCGGTTAGATGTCTCCGGGCGAATGTAGGCGTGGGTGGTATTGCAGGACGAACCTCGCCTTTCAGCTTCACTTTTTCTTCATCCTGCGGCTTGTGTCAGCGCAATTCGACCGCCGATTGGCATAGAGAGTTTCTGGCAGGACTCACACTGTACGGGGAGTACCACTTCGCCAGCCGCGTTTTCCCCCTATACCGTCATTAGCATGAATTATGGTCCGGAAGGAGAGCCACTCACTGGCGATTTTGAACCAGGATAAATGAAAGGACCATCTTGAACGAAAGCCAGGATGTCACCTGGTAAGCATTTATGAAACCACTCAGGGGAGTGTTGGAATAAGCTTTTGGATATTCTCCGCTGCTCCCGTTATCGAAGCTCCCCTCAACCCCATATTGCCAGATTTCACCGCCTAAATGATCTTCGAGAAGTCATACAGTATGGACATCTGCCGAGGCAATTTGTAGATTTTAGAGAGAGCTACTAGTAATTACTGAGACCTTGGGATTCAAACTGACTTTATGACTTCCAGAATCCCAACAGCAATTGAGCTAGTATAACAATATTCGCAAACATGAAGAGTATCAACAAACGTAAAGCGTAGAATTCGTTAAAAGCTCGATTCGCAACCCAGTGCAACAAGAAAGCATCAGTTGTCACTGCGAAGGAAGAGCACTTTGTTTTATGTCGCCATGGTCCACAGCGCCCAGCCCAGTCCCTCATCCTGAACTCATCCGGTTAAAGAACCTCGTTAGACGAGACTAAAGAGTATATCAGCAATGCCCGCTCCGCGCAAGATAAAGTCACATACCGTATAACTCCGAGGACTAGCAGGCTCCATGTAGCTCTCCTCTTTAACCTGTTCCTGAATTTGACTCTGGCGCTGACTCTGGCGCTGGCTTCGACTCTGAGGCTGGCTCTGACTCTGGCGCTGACTCTGACTCTGACTCTGCCTGGACTCGACCTCGCTCTCGTACTCGAACTCCGACTCTGTCTCTGACTCAGGGTACCACCGATCCGGATCCCCATTGTAAACAAGATACCAGCCGATCTTCTCACCAGGCGCAAGCCGATCCCGCAGCTCCTCCAGCGCCTTGGTCTGATCTTCCGTCAACCCAGACCCCTGCTCGACGACATCCTCGATATTCTGGCCGCCGCCGCCGCCACCACCGCGGCCGTCCCCTCCGTCCGGGATCTCCATCACCCGCGCCGCGACATAAGCGTAGTCCTGGCTGACAGTGCCGCTCGTTTCGTCAGCCGGATCGTACTGCTCGATGAAGGAGAGCTCGGGCAGGCGCGGGACGAGGTCGGCTTGCGTTTTGTGGAAGGATTCGGAGAGGAGCTCGGTTGTGAGGGGTTGTTGGATGTACTCGGCGGCTGCTTCTTCGAGATTGTGCAGCACGATGTACACCCGGATTCCGGTAAAGCCTGCGCGTGGCCAGCGGAATCCGTGGAGCATGTAGACTGGCATTTTTTGGTTTTTGGTGTCTGCCCGTGGGCGTTGGAAAAGGGGTGTTTCACTGCCCAGAGGCGGGATTACGGTTCATATTTCTCGGGTGATGTATCGACGCGATCGGGTTTTAATGGGGTCGGGTGTGTCCCGTGCATCCAACGGCTTTTGACATCTTTCTTTTTTTTTCATTCTTTTTGTTTTCACCACCTGTATGTGTCATATGTACGAAGTATATTGTTTGTTCAAATGTACGGAGTAGTATCTATTCTGTTGTGCAATATTGTATCTATTTCAGAGAATCCTATCCTGTTTAGCGTTTAATATTGACTGACAGCTGTCAATCCACTCTGTATGCCTTGCTTCTACACTAGTGTCTGCAAGAGATCTCTTATCTTGTTTCACACATACTGTATCGCAAAAGTCAGCCAGACGGAATTTTGTTTTTACCTTAGGTGTGGTAGAAGAAGCCTAGACCCCCTAAGAGCATGAAAGTTTGATTCCATCGAATTGTGAATCAAACCGAAGTTCAACTTGGTTAGTTGTAGCCTAAATACTCCTATATCTGGTCCGTTACTAGTCCCGGATGCTTTTGTGATGCTCCAGGTTCATGAGTGATACTCATGATGTGATGCCAACGGACCCAGCATACTGACAGTAAATGGCACTCCACAAAACCCAGACTCCATGCCAGCTCTGCCAGTTAAGGGCGACCTGTTCAAGACTGCGACCACACTGACATCATTCCCAGAGTCGGAGATGGCCGTGCACATATATCCAGTACCGGCAGCCTGGTAGCAGTGGCCACCACTCGGGTCGTGGACGAGCCCAGCGAGTGCCCCAGCAGGTGAGTTAGAGTCGTCCTATTCTCCAAGATCGGAGTTGTGGGCGCAAATGTTGTTGCATACTTGGGCGCGGATGGTGGGTATCAGGTCACCCAAGATAATCACGGAGATGGAAGTGGCAGGGACAATAAGTTTCATGTTGTCTATATAAGTTTGTTAGGCTTTGAGTTGTAGATTCACAACAGCGTGGTTACACACCATAGCTGTGGGTTAAATGATATGGGATGGTATACAGAAATGGAGAGGTTGAATTCTCACCTGCGATCCAAGCTAGGTGGCAGAAGAGGGATTGTCAATAGAGCTGCATTTTTGAGAGTTGGCAGTATAGGTTTCAAAATGAAAATCCCAAGCACCTGCGGGCAATTCCTGAAGCTGAAAGCGAATTTGTATAATTTAGCTATGTGGTCACTACCTAGGGCCGCTTGCAATGGCAATGGCAGATTTAACGAATATACGAGGTCGATATGCATGCGTCGTATCCGGAACAGCCAGAATCACATCCGTCAGAGGTCTAGTGGTCTAACTCACACCCCTGAAATATCTCACAGAATGTGTTTGATGTAATGGCGGCTCAGTGGCCCTAGGGCTTTAGGGCTCGGGCGTGCTTAATTTTACCCTATAATTAAAAAGCGACAAAAAGTGAGCACTAAAATAGAAGAGGAAATGTCTCGAGTGCCTGTATGTAAGTCGACTGTCACATTGGGTCTATTCACACAGACTTGAAATTGTGATTGTTGGTCTTATTCGAACTTGTTTGCTCATTTGCGGTACTTACCCCTCCAACTTTGGCGTTACGCGACCTCGAAAATGACCTATCAAATACATATTGAAGGCCGGCAAAGGCCAATTTATAGTTTGCCAGCTTGTGAATAAGCAGCCAGCCTGAGTTATGATTCGCGGTGTCATGAAGTCTAAAAATGTGATGTGTGGTACCAAGAACAGGGCTTGTTTGCAAAAATAAAACGTTCTAACAGAACAGAAAGGCAACGTGTCCTGCAAATCGTAGCAATCAGATGAGGCTAATCAATACAAGGTCCATTGAGAATTAATATCCTAACATCCTCAATCAGGGTTTCCGTTTCAGATCCGCAAACCTCCGTGTCAGTTCATCCAGCTCGGGTATCCCATTGTTGCTCCTCTTAGGTGCTGCCGCTCCCCCACTCTTCGAAGTATCATTATCCTCCGTGCCAGGGACCTTGACTCGAGGATTGGGATTGTCAGTCCTAGGAGCCGGCGGCGCTACACTAACCGGACTCCTACCAGCGGCGAGACCCCGCGGAGGCGTAGCTTTATTTAACTCGCTCGTCTCCGAAGCCCGTCTTGCCTCTGAGAAACTCGGCTCTCCCTGCTTGCCAGGCGTCTGCGGTAATCCAGGTTCATCGCCCTCACCCACATCATCCACGAACTCAGGCGCACTCCCCAGCTCCTCTACATCGTCAAGTCCATGCCATTCAACCCCGTACGCCTTCGCAATCTCTCTCAGGTAACTTTCAACAAGCTCCTGACCCGGCGGGCGCACGCGCAAGCTCTTCAAGAGCCGATCAGGAACACTCACTCCATCGATTTTGTTCTCCGTCGCCAGAATCCGGAATTCCTTGCCATACCGCTCATCCAGCATGGTGCGCAGCATGGTGAACTCGCGCACGTCGTGCGGGAAGCGGCTCCACGCGTAGAAAACCACCACGGCGGCCTCGTCGAGCGCAGTATCCAAGTAGGGATTGTCTTCCTCGCTGGCACTTTCCTCCGCAGACCCTGTAATAGACGCGCCGACGCGCTCGGCTTCTTTCTTCTGTGTCCCGCCTCCCAACCACCCGAATCCAAATCGCGATCCGGTGTTCTCGGTAGCCTTGGATGCTGCTGCAGCTGATCCTGCGGCGCCGGCTTGTGCCTGGGTGCGTTTCTTGAGTAATTCTTTCGCGCGGTGTCGGGCGCGGGTGCCTTGCTCGCCAAAGGCTAGTTGGTCGAGTACGTTGGCGCGAGCAAGTAGGAGTTCACAGTAGAGCTCGACCATCTCCATTACTTCCACTGCGATATCTGTGGCGATGACATTTTCGACTCGGATGCGCGCTGAAGCGTCGCGCCCTTCGCTTAGGAGTTGGGAGAGCTCGCGGCGCTGGACGACGGAGGAAGCTGTGTCTTTCTTTTGGAGGAGGCGCAAACGGGGAATGAGGAGGCGTAGTGTGGATACTAATTTGGTCTTTGGTTCGATCGAGTTAGTCATTGTTTCTTATGCTTGTTCATGGATGTCGCATGGAAGGGTGTTATATAGGTGGTGCGGGGTAGCCTTCCAAGCTCTAGGCAGCGAGGTTCTTTGGGCATGGCTATCAAGTAGGATTTCAGAAAATAAATCAGGATAGGGAATAATGTACCGTCTGAGCTAAAGGAGGCATTTTGAATGCAGTTGTTCGGGGTTGTTGGAGGAAGAAAGGCGGGGGACCGATTAGGATGGGGCAATCGATAGCGGTTTGTAGATCATCTCAAATGTTTTTCCCTTTCAACTGTCCAAGCAGATCACCATACGCACGAGATCAGACATCCGCAACATCAGATAAAATAGCATCGAATTATTAATTGGATCTTCTAGATGTCGGTGTCCTGAATGTAGGCGAAAGAGGCGAAAGAGGCACTCTTCGGACAACGACAGTACCATCATTTGTACGCTCCGACATGTCAACAATAGATTTCTTGAAATCTTCAGTAAAAGTAAGCCATTTGCTAATCTCTTGTGTCTGCTTATTACAGCGGTCTGTAATTTCTTCCAACAATTGAGTCAGATCACTCGCAGTTTCGGCCTCGTTGCTCGCGGTGGTCTCGATGGTCTCGATGGCTTCACTCTCGACGCTCATGATAGGCTCTAGATACCATTGATCCATGAGTATTTGTAAGCTCCTAAGGTATATAATTGCGGGTGTCTTACCTTGGTTATGGTGTTCTTCCATCGTGGAAAGGATCGTGGAACTGTTGAGAATGAAACAGACTAATGTGACGAGAATGAGAGCTGGTTGAGATCTGGACTGTTAAAAGAAAACAAAGCAACAAAGTTTTGGTATATTCCGTCTAGGCACTTAAAAGTCCCGGCAATATCTACTCTCTTTTATCATTCTCTTCTCGTGTCGTTTTTATCTTCTTAGATCTTTCCAACTTAACTGGAGTGAAATAGTATCTACCCCAATAGATTCAATATCATCTACATTAACTATCTTGCAACCTCAAAGCGAAAAGTCAAGGAGCCTCAAACTGTGACCAAAATCAACAAAGGACATCTGCGAATGGACACAGGAAGGGAGTAAGAGCATTGACTGATTTCTGAAAGATATCTCTTATTGAATCAATAACTCTCACTTTCAATCTCCAACAGCCTAGCACAATCTTCCATCATCTTGCCGATGTCGGCAAAGAGCTTTGCGCGTAGCTCGGAGTCCTCAATGTTCTCAACTCGACTGCGTTTATCTTCACCATCCTGGAGGCATTCATCCAGTAGGGCGATCCGCTCGTCTCGTCGGTCATCGTATTTGCGACGTTTCTCAAAGTATTGTTCCTCCTTTTGTTGCAGAAGTGCCTCGTAATAGTTTGTTCTATCCTGCCTGATCAAAATGTCTCTCTGTTTGTGGTCAAGGTGCAACAGGTCATTTTTGAGCTGGCTTTGGCGAGCCTTGAGTTCCTGCAGATTTTGTTCTATATGTCATTCTTTCGTTAGTCTACAAAAGTCTTGGAGAATCTGCTGTACCTACTCACCAGCAGATTTTGCCGACATAGTGATGAGGTCGAAGAAGTAGAGGTGATGACGAAACTCGGGGGAGGAAGACTCGAGAGTGGGATGAGGACTCGACCTTACCATTTACAAATCTTTGCTGCTTATTTACGCAAATTTTCTTTGTTGGCATCTGAAACAGGTAGGCTTGATGTTTGACTGGTACACTGTTGCTTGCCGTATACAATGCAAAGAAACAAAGACATCAAAATTGCAAAACTCGTCCTATATATTTTAGTTCATTGTGTCTTGCCTGCATCCTTCATCTCGCAACGCTCTTTCACTAGTTTAGCCATTTGGTCGCCAATATCCGAGCCAAGACTCGCAAATCCATCGATCACACCCTCACGATCCCCCTTGCCGCTCTCCTGGCTCATTTTGAACTTCCCGCCAATATTCTCAATTGCGATCTCAATGCCAATGATGTTCTTCTTCATAATATCAATGTATTTCTCAGGCGCCTCCGAAACAGTCCAAGGTCCAGGCTTGCCGTCCTGACCCGTATATCCCATCTGAGAGGTCTCACACAGCTGCGATAGATCATGAATCTGCTGTGAAAGATAGTTCGATGTCTCCGGAGCCGCGGAGTCAAAGTAAACAGTTGCTTTGCCGTATACTTGCACTGCAGAGTAGTTCCAGGTCGGCACCACTTTGGCCGTGCTGGGCTTAGTCTCCGTATAAAACTTTGGAGTGACATAGTGATGAGCTGAGCCCGTGAATAGGATCATCACGTCTTGCGTCAATTGGGTCGACGACTGTCCGGCATTCTCCATGATGACTTTAGCCTGTGGGTTCTGTCGGGCCATATGTCCTCGTAGCTTGCCCTTCACGGGTGCATCGGGGTCATCGCTGATTTCATCCAAAACCCAGGGAATGTGACTGGACTGGATGAAGGGGTGGGAGGGGGATGAGATGGCAGTCGTCAATATTCCGAGAGGATTCTGCTTGATAAATTCGAGGAGGGCTTTGATTGAGCCCTCGGCGTGAACTGAGCGGAGATACATTGTGTCTTTGTGTGTTTGTACAGATGATGTAAAAGGAGAACAGGATGCAATGAGTTAAGATATTTATGTGTTTGCTGCCCTAAACCTACATGTAAAGTACAATTGTACACAGAAGGCGCCCTGTGGGAAATGAGTCAGTCTCATTCTGATTGGTTGGAGAACGTTGTCTCCACTCCCTTCAAGTTCCTAAAACGGAAGGGGCAGCCGTGAATCAACCAATCATATCATCGATATTTCTACAATGTGGACACTAACTAGATGCTGTTTTAGGAACTTGATGGGAGTGGGAACTTCAAAGTAGGAAGCCCTACAGATATAAAGATCAGAACTTCAGAATCTGATCTTTGTCTTTTTGTTTTTGAATCTAACTTTCAAATTTATCACAATGGCCCCTTCGCACAACAGCCACCCATCAACAAAAGCATTGCATGCGGACGACATCCTAAACCAGGTGTCTGATGTGGCACCTCCAATCCATCTCTCTACAACCTTCAGATATCCCGATGACCCGGAGCAGCTCATACCATCCGAAGATCCAGTAGTAAGTACTGAAGACCAGGTGTATCATCAATCAATTCTAAAACCCACTAGGACGAATTCAATGGCAAGAACTATGTATACTCCCGCGAGTTTGCACCAAACGCCACCCGGTTCGAAGCCGTGCTCTCCTCACTAATAGGTGGCAAAGCAGTGAGCTACTCTACAGGGCTCGCTGCACTTCACGCCGCTCTAACACTTCTAAACCCGCGCCGCGTCTCTGTCGGCAACGGATACCACGGCAGCCACGAGGTCATCGCAGTCGTATCCCGTCTGTCAGGCCTGCAAAAGCTACCACTTGACTGCCCTGTCGAAAGCTTGGGCGAGGGTGACGTTATTCTTCTCGAGACTCCGGTCAACCCTCTCGGGACGGCATTCAGCATCGAGGAATACGCCCGCAAAGCACACTCTCGCGGTGCATTCCTCGTTGTTGATAGCACATTTGCACCACCCGGACTACAGGATCCGTTCCTCTGGGGCGCGGATATAGTCATGCATTCTGGGTCGAAGTATTTCGGCGGCCATAGCGATCTTCTGTGCGGTGTTCTTGCTACAAAGCGAGCAGACTGGACCAAGCGGCTTTTCGAGGATAGGTTGGCTCTTGGGAGTGTTATGGGTAACATGGAGAGCTGGCTAGGGACTCGGAGTCTGCGTACGTTGGAGGTGCGAGTTCAGCGAGCGAGCCAGAATTCGGCTAAGCTGATTTCGTGGCTTGATCGTGCTATGAAGGTATCTGAGCCTGCGGTCGGTAGCGAGGACGCTGTTGTTCAGTCGGTTGTGCAGAAGATTTATCATGCTAGTTTGCAGGATGAGCCCTGGCTGCAGAAGCAGATGCCTAATGGATTCGGACCTGTCTTCTCTATCGTCTTGCATAAGGAGGAGTTTGCGAAGCTTTTGCCGACTGAGCTTAGCTTCTTCCAGCATGCCACTAGCTTGGGTGGTGTTGAATCTTTGATCGAGTGGCGGGCTCTGTCGGATTCGAGAGTCGATCGGAAGCTGTTGCGAGTTAGCGTTGGGTTGGAGAATTGGGAGGATCTGAAAGATGATTTACTGCAGGCCTTTAAATCACTCCTGGCTTGATGTTTGAACTAATGTTATGATGTTGATGTTACATATCTCTTAGGTAGGTATCTTAAAGGATCTCCTATGAGAGTATTTTTATAACCTTGAGACATCATTGCAACTCACCAACTGGCAGATGATATATTTCACTGCCTGTTTGAACACTTCGTGAAAAGAAAAAGGCCCCTTAACGGAGTCCGAAAATCTTGTGTTATATTAAAAGCCAGTCACGGCCCAAGCAACCAATGTCAAATATCCACTGTGACGGGGTCTCCGAGCTGTCCTCCTGCTTCCAATGATCCTGCAAGATCTTTGCAGCATTAATCACATTCAAACAACTCGTATCAATCCAGAATTTTTCCATGCATCCAACCAAAAAGTCCCTCTGGGCCTGTACTCGACACTCCAGGCCCGCGACAAAAATGGCCCACAGAACACACTTGAAAAGGGCTTCATCGTCTTTCAAAACATTGAGCAAGCCCAGCAGCTCAGAGACCAGCTCATCCTGCACTGTTGTGTTTCCTGTGAGCGCATCGATAACACGTTGCCCGTATAGTAAAACTCCGGTTTTGTACGCCTGCGATAGTGTACAGAGATTATTTGTTTCATCCATTGGTGATTGTCTTGAGCGCTGAACATTCAAAGCCCATGCGTAACAGTCAAAGTTTCGGACAAGCTCTAGCATGGCAGTGGTATCTTGGATATGGGTTTCAACGGTGGCGCTATCCGGCAACTTCGATCCTGCAATGGTGTCTCTTTCGTTGGAGAGAAATCGAATTGCTTTCAATAGATACTCCGGACATCCGAGGAATGATTGTTCGATTGTCTCTTGTTGTTCAACATCTTCCTGGTCGGTGGGAATAACTTCTGACAACAATTTTGGTCGTAAGAATGTTGCTCCCAAAGTTTCGATACTATCTAAGGTCAGTATCATAGCTTGATCTCAGTTACCAACTTAACTGAGACGCACAGATGAATTTGCTTGGAGATAAAGCTCCATATCTCCTGCAATGTTCGACCAGGGCCATCGTTAACTCCGGCATGTGAGTTCAGCAGCGACTGGTGGGAAGTAATCAAACTTTTAGCGCCCTCAAGATGAAAGTTCCACCCATCACTTCCAGACTCGAGCAAATCTAAGAAAATGAGGAGAAATATGCTGGCAACAGTTGTATCATTTTTCCGTGTGTCTCCAGCACCAATGACGCGGGACAACGCCTCCATTGCCTGATGCTTGAAAAGAAGCGCATCGCGATCGGCGTTGATAAGGCCAAATGAGCTCGGCGCTTCAATTCGATGAAATGGCTGGCCTGTATTTGCGTGATGTCGCGCTGCAAGAGCAAGAATGGCTTTTTGCAGTACAGGATCCTGCAGTCCAAAGGAGATAAGGCTCCGAAACGGATTCTTGTCGCTGTCGTATACAATAAACAATTTGCATATACGTTCGTTATCTGATACAATCAGCATTCTGCGGCCTTGAATGGCATCGAGACTTACAATAGTCTATATAATACTTGGAAGTCTGGTCCAGATTCAACATGGACGGATCTTGCAATGTAACGGGCAGGCTTCTGCTCTGAGAAGATCTGACCAAAGCTCTAGCGAGGGAGCTTGGCTTCGATCGAGCATTTTTCGCAATCTCGGAAAATTTCACTGGTCCATCTGATTTATCCTCATATGAATAGCCTTGCATCCTCCCACGAATCGCCACACCTTTGACCCACCTCAATGGTCTTTTGTCGAAGCATTCTATCCCCGCTTTCTCGCACTTGGCACAAGGAGTTCCAGATTTGTCGCATTGAACGCGCCGATTACGGCATGTCCAGCAGGGATTCATGTCTCCATTTGCGGCATGGAGAGATTGTGGTATTCCGTATAAGATTGACGATTGGCGGCGATTCTCCGTGTGCCGGGATTGCTGACTGAGCGGACCGGCTATTGGTGGAGACGACCTCAGGATATATATATAATACATGTACTCCCTAACTAATAGACACAGGATTAGATGGTTTTAATTAGATGCCCAGGCACCGAGTGTATAAGGGATAATTATCACCAGGCAATTGTTAATTAATGGTTTAAATTTAATCTGATGCATTATGTATGCACCTTTCCTTTGTCAGCATGTTTGCCATGCCGGCATGCTCATATAAATGGGCATCTAGGCCACCATCTTAGATATTTTATCATCATTCTTCTTAAATTCCTATGAGCACGTAGTATCATCCACTATCCATCATGATAATTTACATGTAAGGTAATTGTTCATAAAATGTAGGATTGAACTAGGAATGAGAATGAGGGACATGGACACCGCTAGAGATCTGGCAATGGATAAGCAAGTTAGTTGGAATCATCCAGATTATGCTCACATGTTTACACCATTTCGCTATATTATGATCAATTGCGGGAGGTAACAATTGAGAGTATGATCTCGGGGTTGGGTAAGTTGATAATTGCAACCTTATCATGTGCCTCTAGTGCGGTCTCTCAGTCTACTTTGACGAGTACTAGCACAATTTGCAGACGGAGAGACCGAGCCATGTGAGACAACAAAAAAACAAACCAAACAGACTCGCAGGACCTCAGATTGCAGCTACCGATGCGGGCCCAGAGACCAGAACCCTCGAGCCAATCAAGCCAGGCATACCAAATCACACTAAAGAACCGAAAGAGTGCAAGCCCACTCCGGCAGATTAGATCTTACATTTGGGGGCCGAAGAGTGGTCCGTGAGGAAAAAAAGATTAGTCTCAAAGTCCCCAATCTGTATATTTAGAACATTTAGCTCAACGCTAACTGGTTGACCCGCTCAGGAATAAAAGGCTCTGATAGGTCCGTTCGGTTTCTGACATCATTGGCGCGAGATTCTGGCACCGCTATTCCTATTCGGGAATAATATCACAACTGTATGGTTCTTTTTAGCAATTCGCGTTTCACTAAATTTGCTTACTGTAGGTGCTAGAGAGAGAATTCTTAGCGGGAAGTCCCTGATTTCTCATATATAGTTGCTGGATTTCGCACATTGGATGGTTACAGCTCTTTGCTATCTTTACAGACACTCTCAAGAATCTACTTCGGATTGAACCATACCGACCAAAAGCACTTGACTTCAATTGGCCTCCTTACTTTGATCTCAGTGTGTATCTCTTCAACTTGCCTGTTGAGTGTTCTATTGACTAACATATTGCTTCGTCTACTCAGTCCCCTTCATCTACAATGCCTTCAATCCCACTCACAATGGAAACAACACCAATCGACACCACTATAAACCTACTCAAAAGGTCCAGCATGTCCGACCCCGATAAATACCCTCTCTATGTCTTCCTTATCATCCTTGGTTGTGTAGTGGGTACCCTCATCGGATTCAGTATTTACATGATGTACCATGGTCTCGACGATTCAGGACAGATGAAGGAAATCCCATACGAACAAAGGAAATACATGCGTGAGAGCAGACAGCGGAACTTGAACGCGTTGGCCGTTGAGGCTCGGCGGCCGGATATGATCATTCCTATTGAACATTTGAATGTTTGAATTGTATATGTTGGGCGTTTGGGTTGGGGTACGTGCATGTTAATCGGGCATTTGTTATCTAGAAGTGTCGGGCTGGGTATGGCATTGGGAGTTATGAATATTATATCGGAGCATTGGATATCGTGGGACTATCGCATATTCGGGAATCATGTTCAATGCTTGAGTGTTTTATAAACAAATGAATGGCTGCTCCATGACTCGAATAATGCAAACAGGATATATCTAGCGGAAGAGAGCTCTGTATAATCTACTATGATATAGGATATGGGGAAGTCTTGGAGTAGAACATCTTAAAGGATTTCACGAATGAGAAAGCGAACGCTGTTTTTCCTATGTCCATCCAAAATATCCAAGCCTGGTTGGTTCAAACCCCAACCAGCCGTCAATATGTAAACAAAAAACCCCCGTGCGTACCAGAAGCAAGAAGTGAGGATATCCAAGAAGAAAAAGAAGAGCAATGCTGAGGAGCCAAGGGATATATAAGTCATGAAGCGGAGAAGTAAAGTAAAAGTCCAACGTTGAGCGTCGTCAAGAAAGGGCATCCTGGGGATGTGAAGAATCATAGAAGGGGGATTATGTAGAAGTGAAATTAAAAAATGTGAGAGAATCGAACAAGAGTGCCGGCGGAATTAGATTAGTAATGGCAGACACTCTCGGTCTTGAAAGGATGCCCCGAGGTGTTATCTGTACACACCCTCGTACATATTTGCAAAAATGTACAGTGAATGCAGCCAGATCAGTGGAGACTGATTTAGAGGTTCATGGCAATGGCCGCAACGGCACCAAGGGCCAGGGTCATCATGGAGACGGTGGCGCTGGTAGCACCGCCGGTGCTGGAGGACGAGGACGCGGCAGCGGCAGCGGTCGTTGAGGAAGCCTCGGAGATATCAGCGGAACCAGTCAGGACGTGAGGCTGGTAGGTGTAGCTCAGAGACGGGCTCGACTTGGGCAGGCGAGTGCTGCTGGAGGGATTGGCACTCGACATGGGAGTCTTGGTCGAGGTGGAGGTAATTGTCGAGGTGGAGCTGGAGGTGGCAGTGGCGGTCGAGGTAGAAGTCGACGAGGGAGTAGGAGTAGAGGTAGAGGAGGGGGTTGGGGTGCTGGTCGGGGTTTCAGTGCTGGTGCTGGTCGGGGTAGGAGTGGGGGACGAGGTGCTGATGCTAGTGCTGGAGCTGGAGCTGGAGCTGGAAGTAGCAGAGCTGGTGGGAACAGAAACAGTCTCGGAAGAGGTGCTGCCACTGCCCTCCTTCTCGAAGACGACAATATGCGCGGTCTCGCCCTTTGGGACGGTCACGACACAACCGGTGGCACCGCCGGCGCCAACGAAGGGGTTTCCGATCATCTCGTTGACGGAGTTGACAGCAGGGTCGATCTTGCAAGGCAGACCGTTGCAGCCGTCGCCCTCACACTCAATTTCGATACCGAATTCGGGCTTGACATCGCGGAAGGGAGTGGTGGGCTCCAGGTAGATAGGGTTCCATCCAATCTTCAGGTAGGTGTTGCCCTCGGCATCGGTGTTGGCACCGGCAGTGTACGGGGACCAGTTACCAACGGGGTTGGCTGAAGTACCCCAGACACAGCCCTCCTCGGTGCTCACACCGGGAGCGTTGATATAGTACTGAGCAGCAGTGGAGCACCAGTAAGACATGCCGGGCACAGCCAGATCAGCCAACTCCTCGACCAGAGTGGGGATGATCATGGCCTCGTTACCGGGCAGTACGGTCTGGCAGAAGGAGACAGGCTTGCCAGCCTTGTTGTGGGCCTTGAGTACACCAGCGGCCGACTCACAGTAGTCACGGTTGGGGAAAGGCTTCTGAATGTTTCCACTTTCGTCACAGTAGAGACCACCGTTCATGGACATGGGGTAAGAGTAGGATGTCGCCTTGGGGTCCCACTGCATGGAAACCTCACCCGGAGGGCAAGCATACGGGCAGTAGTTACCAGGCTTGCAGGGCTGGTTAGGGCTCATGGCCCAACCGGCGTTCTCCTCATTGGGAGTGACGGCAACCAGGCCAGCGTCGGTAGGGAATTGGCACTGGCCACCTTTCTTCTCGAGAACCACTTCGCGGGTCTCGTGGTGACGGCTGTGGCCATGACCGTGTTTAGCGGCTTCAGCGCTTGCAATGAGGGCGACAAGCGCAGCTGCGCGGGCAGATTTAATTTCGAACTTCATTGTGTCAGGGGGAGACTTGGCAGAGTATGCTGGCAGAATAAAAGAGTGAATATATGAAGCGAATGGCTAAGTCAAACGAGTGACTAAAAAAAAATAACGGCCGACGGGCCAAGGACAGACACAGTGCTCACAGAGAATGAAGGTCAAGACGAGAGAAAGGAAAGCATCGGGGGACAGCCACCAAGAAAAGGGACCTGCACGGAGCCTTGGGGAAAAGACCGGCTTTCTCTCAGCACGAGTGGTCTAACCTCAATGAGGCTTAGGTTTTGGATGATGTGCGCGCAATCCGGCAAGAGAGACTTCTCAGATACGGAACAGACCCTGAGTGGCCCTGGAGGTCCATAATTGCCCATAATTGCTCCAGAACAAGAATCCTGCACCTACCAAAGTGCCCCTGAAGCACACTCCACTAGTGGACAGCCACAGAGCCGCTAGACATTTAGCGTCAGGGGCGAGTGTCTATGGCCAATGGTGGGCCATAATACCCCGATGGTTCCTGCTTGGCAAGTGGAGTGAAGCCAATAAGCTTAGAGGAGATATGAAAGTCGTGGAGTTGTTTGTCGAACTCTTTCAACGGGCGTGTTGGGGCGCGGGACATGGAGAAGAAGTTGTTGTTCCTGGCAACAAACTTGACCACATGACCCCCTTTTCGACTTCAACTCTATGGTATCGTGAATTTGATAACATTGAAACCACTGCATCTATTTATTTCCTTATACTATGTTTTAGAAAATGAGAATTAATCAAACATGCAGAATTACTCGGTTCTTCACACAATACCATGGATATACGATATGGTATGGAGGTCACTATCAAGATTTCCAAAAGAATAGGAGAGAAAACCCCACAACAAGATCAAACAAAATACGAATGTGGCATGGAAAATGCGCTTAGTCTGACAACCCGTCAATCATAATCAAATTCTACCCGCTACCAGTCTGGGCCTGTTGACCACGATAAAATCCCGATCTCACCAATAATACCTCACTATGGAGAATTTTCCAATCTTCTGTTAGCTTTATAGGCTCGGAATTACATGGACAAGAGATTTAAAAAAAGGGAAAACTACCTATCTGTTGCAGATTCGTCACTTTGTGGAGGCCAGCCTTGGTTAAAGCTTAACCTGGGAGATTATGGGGTTTTGTTTCACTGTTGTAAGACATGCTTAGAGTGATCTGAAACTTGATTAATTGCTTGATTAGCTGGCCCACAGGTTGGTCATTGTCGGTATAATGATCTACTCAAGAAGGTCTTGGTCTGACATACAATAGATGGCAAACAGGCCAAGTCTGGACTGTGATAAGCTTGGTTGACGCAAACTCCCTGTTTCCGTCGCCCTCGGTTTCTATAAGGCGATTCTACTCTGTGATGTGCTCAGGGGACGTGGGGCAAAGATGGTCTACTGCCATGCAATGGATGCAGGTATAAATTCCCATGCTATACCTACAGCGTACACCATTGTACATTATGCAGCAAAAGTATATCTACAGATATAGATAGTTAGATCAAACATAGCGCTCAATGACTCGCTTAAAAACCCATTCTACTCAACTGTCTCCTTTCAAGACAACAATGATTGAAATGCCATGTCAAGCACCTCAAGAGATCTACCGTGCCCCCGCTGCAATCAATATTGACTCCAATTCGCATTAACAGCTAGTCATAAGCACGCTATCAGGGTGTGCTGCACTAGCACAAGATACATATGCACTCACAGCATGCCAATGGCTAGCAGTCCCCTACCTAGGGAATGGACATCGATTCCTTCTTGAGGTACACCGCAAAGGCAATGAAGCGAGAACCAAGCAAAATCAAGAACAATGTGACTTGACTTCTCATCTCATCTAGTTAAGCAATTGCCTCGACATGTATCAAATGAATCTGCCAGGAACTGGCTCTCAGACCTAGTAATCCTTGCGTCGGCATACAAATAGCATGTCGCTAGGGGACGAAGCTTAGCTCGTTACATCACGCATGCTAATCAGTGCAAACGTCTCTTTTGAGTTGCTGCAAGGGCTGATGATATTCCTCGCATGCAAATTCCCATTCGGCCTATCAGCGACTTCATTTTGCGGGGCCCCATGCGTCTGTCAATTTGTGACAGGTCGTATTTTAAACTTTGCCGGTATACTCAGGTTCTCCATGTTTATGCTGGGACAGCACTGGTAAAGGTTTGGAACACAGTCCGCGGTTTCAGCTTTAATCCCATTTGCAGGATCAAACTTTGGGGCAATGAATCTGGGTATTGACGCGAAGCAAGTTTGGAGTTCAGGCATCAGGGCATGACTGAGTTGATAACACTTTGGCCTTGATGTTATACTTGGACCTTATTACATTCAATATGGACGTTGAAATCGCTCTCATTATCAAAATCACAAATACGTGAGCGGCCTGAATCTTGCTTTGCAGCTCTCGCTTGGAAAAAAGGCGGAGGGGATCATTATGATCTTGATCTCACATTGTATGTGTGCAAGATCACTCTGGGGCACCTTGTGGAAATAATTCTTTGTCTTTTGTATTCTTTGATTTGTGTCGTGTCCTATCGTTATAGTGCTGTATCATCAGACATCGCAAATGCCTACTCGCCCTGCTGGGATGCAAGATCTTTCCACCCAGCAAAGGCAGGGATACCATCTTGATCTCTCCATCCCCAAGCAATGCAATAATGCCGTGCGAGCAACTCCCACTCCTCCATTTCATCCAACATCTCCAGCCCAGCAACTCTCTCCTTTTCTTCTTCGCTGACCCAACGTTTCCAGATAAACTCAATATCACCGGCAGCCTGGCCACTTCGAAAGCCTTGCTCTCGGAATCGACTCCGCTGCGCCTCAAGCGACGCGTACTTATGCAGAGTCTGGAGCTGAATTCCTCGCGCTGCCAAATTCGACACCATGGTTTGACCAAAGGGATCATTCGGGCGAATAGGTTCATAAAGAATCAAACCGAGCGGCGCGACATCTTTCTGTCCAAAATGTGAATCATCAGACCCAGATGTGTTCCCAGAACCAAAAAGCCGATTCGTAAAGAATCCAACCACCCCTTCCGCCTCAGCAGGCGACAAATAAACAAGGCAGCATTCAGAGATCAGCAAGGTAGGCAATTTTGTTTCAACACCCGGCAAAGCTTCAGCGGGATTGCTACATGTCGAGAGCGACCGCAAATCAACCGGGTGCACGTGGTACGAGGACGAATGGAGCGCGTCTCCTGCCTCCGACACCGTAACCCGTTTATTTTTTTCCGAAGCCAAGCTCGAAGAATCAATCCCCAGCGCGCGCTGCAGCTCCGGAGCCGACCGAATCGCGCGGATCTTCCCCGCTGTGTTGACCGCGAAATCAAGTTCGTGGTAAACGAAATCTGGGGATTGTCGCGACGACAAAAGTCTGAAGACGCGTGTGTCCGACCCAGCGCCGAGCGAGATGATCTGTTTTCGTTGTTTGTTTTCAGGTGAATACGGGCCGAGGAAGCGGGCCACGAGCTGGTCGATGGTGGTTGTGCGCACGTAGGTGCCTGGGCAGAATAGAAATTAGTCACGCGCCCTTTCTGAATGGAATTGTGTATATAATTATGCTCACCTCTGTTTATAATTGGAAGTCGCCGCGTCGCGGCCCCAACGGGTGTCAGTGCCTTTGCATAGGGATCCTCGAGGTATCCTAGCTCGACGGCGCTCAGGCGGGATACACTCGCGTCATTGTCTGTGCCTTGCACGATTCGGTCTTTTCCAGGCCGAGTTCCAGGTTCTGTGCGTGATGATCCTCGGCCTCGACCTCGTCCTAGTCGGAGGGAGTTAAGGTTGGGGATTTGAGGGGCGGCCATGTTGGAGGAAGAAGCTTGGAGCTCTTCCGTGGTGGGGTACTTGAGCGATATCACCAACACCTATATATGTGTCTTTACTGATATCAATTTAAACCAATTATAGATCGAATCTCTCACAGTTCATATCTTGGCTGGTTGAAATTACTTTTACTCAATTGTTCATCGACTCAGGGCCATCTTCCACACATTTATATGTTGCTGATGATATCATCGGTCGTCTGGCATGTATCTATCTAGCTATAGCCCTAATGCTATAGGTGCCTCTTAAGATCACAACAATATGGGAGCTTGAATGAATGAATTTTCTCCTGGATTATCCAGAGTTGTCTTCAAGCTACCTTAGTTGATAAAGACAATTGACTCGCACGTTTGCATGGTCCAACTTCCATCAGCCTTCTCATTGGGATTGCCATCAATCCAAGTCTAAGCCAGCTTACTCTTCACAAAAGCAATAGCCTGACTTCCATACTCAGCGCCATAGCCAGAGTGCGTTGCTGCATTACTACCGTTGCAGCAGTATGGGTCCGAGGCATCACAGTAAGACTGAATCTTACTAGCTGATGGGCAATAGAACCCGGCAGGACGAGCATCGAACTAGAATCCATTATTAGTTCTAACTTTCATCTTAGATCAAGGGGGGTTCCATACGCCTCCAGCAGCACAGGTCCCAACTTCATACGACAAACCAGCCTTGAACAGTGGATCGCCCATGAAGATGGCTGCTTTAACCATATTCACAGCGGAACTCGATAGCTGCACTGCCGTGTTGGTGTATCCCTGATTGGGAACACCACCACCGCACAAAGCAGCGTCCATGATCTCTCCTCCCTATCGCATTATCAGATTGTAAGTTATAGAAATGAATAGGCAGATACTAACCTGAGAATATCCAACCAAAACAAGCTTTGTAGATGGACACTGTTTGTTGTAGGAATTGACAGCAGATGCTACAGCTGCAATTCCCTGAGCCACTGAGCTCGAATAGCTAACGCTGCCACACGAAGCTTGTCCACCACATGCAGGATAGTTAATGGCCTCATCTGTGGAACCTGAATAGGCACTGAGGAGGCCGTTGACGACTGTGCTGGATGAACCGTATCCGGCAGACGCAGTGGTCTCGCGTGCCCCGAATATATGGACACTTGGGCAGGTGATGCGCTTTTCGAGCTCGCCTTCAATCGGAACGGCGAGGGCGCCGGCGAGGAGGGATAATTTCAAGATGTTGGAAAGCATGATGCAAACAGAAGGCAGTTGTGTATAAAGGTATAACAGGCGTTGAATTGCTTTAGGGATATTTCTGTTGGCAACCTAGTATGATCCAGATGAGAAAAGAGACGGGGACAGCAACTCATTTATATAGATCTGAGGCATACATATGTACCTATTGTGGACTGTAGGAGATCCAGTTCCCCACATAACAGGCCATATAGAACTCGAAAGAGTGTTCCTTTGGACCGAAGAGAGATTTTGCCTAATGGCAATTTCGATGATCCAAGTGTCAAGTTTCAGCTAACTTGCATCTGCCAAGTTCAGCCGTGAAGATGTAGAGCAACCGGGTAATTAGGCTGAATCAGGGGGTGCATAAGCTTGAATAAGTCAATCCAGCCGAAACAGCACGGGTATTGGTTACTTGGAGAGTGTAATACGCCTTCAGACCACCTAGGTAGCTCCCCCGCATCCTTAAAGGAAATAATATCGTCAGATCTTTCCGGGGTATACACCGATCTAACTGATTCGGGACGAATTGTAGATTGGTGATTCATGTGGAAATAGGCTTCTGGCATGCAAAAGGTAAGCTCAGTGGATAATATAGAGTCTTTACCTTGGAATTCCCCCGATTCCTGATACGAAAATCAAAAGGGGGCTCACTTCTCCATCGGGTATGGCCCCAAACGTACTCGGTACCTCGATGTTTCATGATTTTTGATATAACATGCATGACCCTTGGCATTTCTATCCTATGGGCATATTGATGTGTCTACCTTTTTCTCTACTTGGTAGGAGCCTTCATACTTGGTAGGGACCATCGAAATAATGTTTCAGGCTCATTTGACGCCAAGGTCATTCGTTTTGTCACATCATGTCTATCTATCTTCTATATACAAGTAAACTAAACATAAACAAAGTTGTTTCTGCAAAGTGGACAAGTGCTTTGGTTACTGCTCTTGAACCACCGGAACAAACAGACGGAGTGGAAAGTGTTCTTGCAGGTGGCACAACGCTTGTTGGGTGTCTGCATATCTGTTGAAATAACAGAGTAACAGATAGCACACTCGCTCTGGCCCTTAAGAGCACCTTGAACATTCCGCCGGAAGGCCAACAAACCATCCACCAGATTTCCATTGGCGAACATGATTACTCCTTGGATTGTCAGAAGCCAGCTTTTCCATTTCTTCTCATCCACAAGCACACGGCTGCGACCGACGACCAACGCAGGTTGGAGCGGGTATGCCGGTGGGAGAGTGATTGAGATGGCGACTGGGGGAGATTCCTCGTCAACGGGGATGCTGGCAATGATCTCTCCGGTCTTTTGGGAGATTTTCACCTCCAGGGCTCGCTCTTCGTTGGGATCTAAGGTCGAGACCCAATCGGTCACACCCTTGAGGGCATCTTCCACGACAAGTGGAGAGATGTATCTCTCTGACCAAGTCTCCACAGGGCCCTTGATGCGTTTCTTGGAATCGATCCACCAGTTCTTGGTCATGTTGGCTGAATATCTCAAACACAGGTAGTACAAATGAACCAGGAGCCACTGAGTTTCCTTTTCGGCACTTTCAGACTGATCCGGCTCAAATGACTGGATCTCGAATTTAGATGCATCAATTATCTTTCCGTCTGACCTTTGGAGGAAGTCGAACGTGAACTCTAATAGTGGGATCAGGATGTTATTCTCCTTGATGCTGGATGCATAACATTCTTGGACAGGGAGCGAAGCATTCGTAAAATGATCATAAACAACCTTCCAGCTGAGGAGGTACGACCGCATACTGGTCCACATCTTGTCATCTCCATAGGCAGAGTTGACCATTTGCATTGACGGAGGTTCAAGCAGTAGGGATATTAGCTCATCAGGCAGAGTGACAGCTGCCTTTGATAGAGCAAGCTCGAAAGAAACTTTTTCTTGGGCGTGAGGAATGTAGTGATGGAGAATGGTGTAAGCAGTTCGTTGAACTGCTCGACTATGCGCAGTAAGAAGATAGAAAGTTTCACTGACATCCTCAAGGTTTTCGGCGGGGATGTTGTTGATCAGGCGTCGTAAATGTTCAACCGCAATATCGCGAGGCTGGTTGAATGTTGTTGCGGAATCAAAGGTATCAATAGTGGATGCCAAAGCAGTGAAGAGCTTAACCTTTCGGGCGGCCCAGGCATCTTGTGCATCTTCATTGCTGTCACTCTCTGATATAGACTTCAGCTGTGAAAAGAGTTTGAAAGAGGAGTCCAGCAATGGTAAACCGTCTTCGCCGCCACCAGTTCCTCGAAAAATAGAGCTCAAGATATCAATGCATTCTTCCCAGTGGGATCCATAGATTTCACCGAGAGCTGGAAGAATAAGAGACAGGGTTTTGATGATCTCGGACTTCAATCCAAGAGGGATTGAGTCTGATCGGACACACTCAATCAAATTTTTGGTCAGGAAGACTAATCGCTGCGTTGGAATAGTAGAGACAACATCCTCTTCTCCAGACAAGAGAATATTCAACAAAGCAAGTTTTTGCAATCCACTCTGGGAAACATCCTCCACTTTGATTACGGTAGAATCGGCGACCAGCTCATTGCAAATTCTGTTCCCTACTGGGTTCGAAAGGATCGAGCTTCGCAAAACCGCAAACCAGGATGCTGAACGGATAATATTTGCTGACCGGGCGTCCCTGCAAATCTGTGCGATATCATCTGAGGACTTGGACTTTTGAGATGAATCGACAACGCTCATAATTCTGACGAACGCTTCGCCAACTCTGTAGTCAGCAGGAGAAGTGCCTTTAAGCTCCTCCAGTCTGGCTTCCCAAAACGCGGTGAACAAGGAAGAAATGGTCTTCTCCGGAGCAAATCCGACCGATTCATTGCCCTTGATCCACTTGCTGACGACGGTTCGGCCATCGAGCACAGTCTCTATGTACTCTTCTCGTTGATCAGCCGACTCCAGGCCTGAAATCCCGTTACTGTTTTCGATGCTCAGATCATCGTCAATGAGTTGAATGGCCAAAGGCAAGAACCGGAACAAAGTCTCTAGATCCTCCTGATCCAAGTGTTTCACGATCTCGGAACCGGAACTAGATAGAACACTGATAGTGTAGATTGCCAGGCGGAATGCAGAAGAACGACTGTCTGAATCACGAGGGATAGTAGACCATAAAAGGCGGAAAGACTCAGATAGCTCACGCCGAACCAAATGGATAATACCGCCCAGAGAAGTCGTGATGGCAATGGAGGGGCGAGGCGGAAGCTGGAGGAAAGGAGTCAAAGCCTCTTCCCATGCCTGGTGAGAGGGAAGTATTTCCCTCATGGTACCGGTTGCACCTTCACCTGTAATGCTCGGAAGCAATTCATCCACGATAGCAAGTAGTGACTCGATTCTAGTTCAATGTTAGCACAATTGTAAGAGAAACTGATCATGCACTTACGACAGTGATTCTTTATCCACGTGGTTAAACCCATGCTGAAGGATTTCGATACCCGATTTGGCACTTGCCTCACCAACACCTGCCTCTTTCAAGGACTTCAACAGTGCCTCCGCTAAGTTTGCTACCTCTTCTTCAGAAGACTCTGCGAGGTAAAGAAGCTTGCCAGCTAATTTTGAGCCGTGCGCTCCGTTTTGGAACTCCCGAATTGCAGATGGTGCAGTCTTACCAATATGCGAAAGCCCATGCAAGGCGTTCAAGACCTTGTGGGCCGTGGACAACTCGTCAATCAAAGACAAAAATATCTTTTCCATCAATTCACCGTGCGATGTTTTGTTTTGGAGAACAGCAGTGATGATAGGCCAATGCGAATGACTTCCGCGACAGGCTTTATCTAAAGCTCGCACCACAAGCGAATTGAGTTTCTCTTTATGCTCAACCTCATTGAAGTTGAGGGAGGAAAGCAAACTTTGGAGCACGTTAACATTAGACTGTTCTGGCTCAAGCGCGAGGGCCTGCTCGACAATATTCTCAAAGCTGGACGCAAATCCATCCCACTCCCGGCACGACAGGATAGTCGAGATCAATCTATCGGCAGATGGTGAGAGCAAGAGCTCTGGTGCATCATTTTGAATGAAGTTCCGCAAGTCCTGAGACTTCTTGGCAACAAATGGCATGCTGTGAACACACTCCTCCACCACGCCAGCAGCTCCGTAGGGCTTACCATTGCGAGAGCGTAAGACCTGTAGACAGTTTTCAAGAAGAGATGAGGTTGTTGTTTCAAAGATTTTAGTGACTCGGGGCTCCTTAGAATCTGCAATGCGTGAAAGGACAGCAGACCCCAGAGCCAAGAGGCGTTTTGCTTGGGCGCATATTGAATCTTGAGATTCGCGGAAATCTTTTGACTGTTCTGGTGATGATAATTTGACAGCTTCTAATAGACCGTCGCAGAGGGTTGTATACAATGATTGTAATTCTTGTTCATGTCCGGTAGAACCCAAGGTGCACATATACTGGACACAGATATCCTCGGCTGACTGTGCCGGAAGCGACCATTTTGTCATTCCAGGGTCAAGCCGTACATAATTCACCACCAAGGGGGAGATTCTCTTCTCGATGAACTCGGCTTTTTGCTCCTGGGGAATCAGCGTCGCAAGCCAGGTTGCCATTTGAATATAGCATTTCCACCCGATAGTGAGGTTCTGTCTTGGTTCTTCTCTTGAGTTCAACCCTTCTTGCAGAGCTTCAGTCAAGGCGGTTGCGCTCGTAGAGGTGATTCCTTGATCGGCAGTAGCTTTATCGGCACCTGCCAGTATTTCATGGGGTACAGTTCGGAGTAATTGATCTAGATTCGACCAGAAACTACCAGACCCACCCTGTGATCCCTTCTGTATATACTGGCGCAACCGCTTTGAGGCAGAAGACTTTCCAGTGTAATCATCGGTCCACACTTGAGGCCTTGATATGGACAACAAAAGAAGCGATTCAGACAATTCCGATGCTGAGCCAGTCTGTTGGAGAGACAAAGATTTCCCAATCACAGCTGAACCGAGGGTCTGCCAGTCAACCCATCTAGGCTCTCGGGAAACAGCAGTCCGGAGCAAAACATAGATGGACCGGCGAACATATGCGTCATCATGGTGACAGAGAGCCCAAAGGGACTTGCTTGCCAACAGAGTTTCAATTTCCGGCAAGTTCTTTTCCAATTCTTCATCGGCCGAATTGCCTAGAGAGGATCATTAGTTCAACCTCGAAATCAATATTGGACGAAAAGAAAACCGACTTACTTAGTACACGATTGAAGAGCATTATTGCAGCTCCAGCAACGCGGGCGTACTTTCCCTCGGCATCGTCTCTTTTGACAGTCCTCTCATCACTCAGTGTTAGAGGCGTTTGGTGAAGAATGACATCATCCACAAAATCCAGAATGGAACTCTGGTAGATTCTCCACACATTGCTCCTTTTTTCGTCCGTTGAAAAGACTTTCGTAAATGACTCGAGAGCGGACCGATGTACCAATTTATCATCATCGTAGATTCCTGCGATCCATGCGCCAATAAGTTTTGGCAAGTTGGGTACGATTCGCTTCCCGGCCAGACCAGCAATTGAACCTTGAATTGAATGGGCAAGTTGACGTGCTCGGCGGGATAGATCAATGGACAGTCGGGGGTAAATTCGAACCTAATGTGAACGGTTTGTTATTAGTTGGTATTTTTGTAAAGATCAGCCAACTATACATACCCATGCGTCTAGAAACCCGTCATCTAAAGTTCCTTTTTTCCCTTCTACCGCAGATATATGATCTCGCAATTCTTCCAAGGCTTTTGTCCGTGTGATATCATCTTTTTTCAACAAATTCTTGAATGCGATGACTAGTTGCTGCTCCGCAATGCGGGAAAGATCTGGTGGTACCGCGATGTATGTGAGAGTAGATGGCTCCTTTCCTTGACTTGAGATGCTTCCAGAAAATCCGCCAAAAGACCCAAAGGCACCAGCAGCAGCGCGACTGCTGGAGGCCTGAGATTTGAACTTTTTGCTCATGTGGGGTATGAGGTCAGCGGGATAAGGATGTAGTGGGGGAGAAGCTCTAGATTGTAATCGACAAGCTTTTAAAGGAAGCAATCAGCTCTACTTGTAAATTTTCAGCTTTGTACAAGTGATATCGATGCTGTATCACTTTTTGATCGCGTATGTGAAGCTGTCAAGCCCAATCGATATCAATCTCCAAAAGATCCGCGGGATCAAAGATAGCCGTCACGTGACCTGATGTGATCGCTGTCCAAATTGGGGAAAGCGTAAGTTGCGCGCAAAAGATGAGATCAGAGCTCGCTCGTGTTGTCTTCTCTTTCTCTTGCCCTCTTGCGTTCTGCATCGGAGCCCAGCCAAGATGAAGTTCTTCATTGAGTATGACTTTATGCATGTTCTGATGCTGTGCCCAACTAATATGGTCTGCTTGTCACAGTGATCTTCCTGTGCTGTTCCCGTATCCTCGAATCTACCCCGAACAATATGCATATATGTGCGACCTAAAAAAGACCCTCGACGCAGGGGGTCATTGTGTGTTGGAAATGCCATCAGGTACTGGCAAAACGGTTTCGCTGCTGTCGTTGATCGTTGCCTACCAACAGCACTATCCAGAGCACCGAAAGCTCATTTATTGTTCTCGAACCATGTCGGAGATCGAGAAAGCTCTGGCGGAGTTGAAGGCATTGATGGAACACCGCGCTAAAGAGCTGGGTCATGAGGAAGATTTTCGCGCCCTGGGCCTCACCAGTCGGAAAAACCTGTGCCTTCACCCTTCCGTGAAACGAGAGAAAAGTGGCACAGTAGTCGATGCTAGGTGCAGAAGCTTGACAGCGGGCTTCGTCAAAGAGAAAAAGGAGCGCGGAGAAGATGTTGATCTTTGCGTTTATCATGAGGTATGTCTCGTTTGTTTGTGGTACAATATTGGGGGATCTAACAGACTATAGAATCTTGACTTACTCGAACCTCATAATCTCGTCCCCCCAGGCGTCTTCACACTCGATGGGCTATCAAGATACGGAGAAGAACATAAGCAATGCCCTTACTTCTCCGCTCGGCGCATGGTAAGCCAACCAATGATGATCCTATGTGGACTATCCCAGTTCTGACAAGCTGTATTAGATGCCATGGTGCAACATCATCATATACTCATACCACTATCTTCTAGATCCAAAAATCGCAGAACGCGTTTCACGAGAACTTTCGAAAGATTGCATCGTCGTGTTCGATGAGGCTCACAATATCGACAACGTCTGTATCGAATCCCTCAGTATCGACATTAGCGAGGATTCCTTACGCAAAGCAACCCGAGGCGCGTCCAACCTAGAACGCAAGATCGAGGAAATGAAGAGTTCGGACGAAGAAAAGCTCAAGAATGAATATACGAAATTGGTAGAGGGATTACAAGAAGCAGAGAAAGCGCGTGAAGAAGATCAATTCATCTCGAATCCAGTCCTACCTGATGATTTACTCAAGGAGGCTGTTCCCGGCAATATTCGTCGAGCAGAGCATTTCATCTCTTTCTTGAAGAGATTTATCGAGTATCTCAAGACTCGCATGAAAGTGACCCATACAATATCCGAAACCCCTCCTTCTTTCCTTACCCATCTGAGAGACCTTACATATATTGAACGAAAGCCCTTGAGATTTTGCGCCGAGCGTCTAACGTCACTTGTACGGACGCTAGAGCTTGTCAATATTGAGGACTATCAGCCTCTCCAAGAGGTGGCTACCTTTGCGACACTGGTCGCAACATACGACAAAGGATTTGTTCTCATCCTTGAGCCATTTGAATCCGAAGCTGCTACTGTACCAAACCCCATTCTTCATTTTACGTGCTTGGATGCCGCAATTGCTATCAAGCCGGTGTTCGACCGTTTCAGCTCTGTGATCATCACTTCGGGAACTTTGTCTCCCTTGGAAATGTATCCAAAGATGCTGGGATTTACCGCTGTCATGCAAGAATCCTACAGTATGACACTTGCACGACGTTCATTCTTACCTATGATCGTCACTCGAGGCTCAGACCAAGCACAAGTCTCATCATCTTTCGGAATTCGTAATGACCCCGGTGTTGTACGAAATTACGGAACCCTAGTTACTGAATTCTCTCGCATCACACCGGATGGCGTCGTGGTCTTCTTCCCTTCTTACCTCTACATGGAATCTATTATCAGTATGTGGCAAGGCATGGGTATATTGGATCAAATCTGGAACTATAAGTTGATTCTCGTGGAAACACCTGATGCACAAGAGTCATCGCTCGCCCTGGAGACCTATCGCACAGCTTGTTGCAACGGACGTGGCGCAATCCTATTCTGTGTTGCCCGAGGAAAGGTTTCTGAGGGTATTGATTTCGATCACCATTATGGTCGAGCAGTGTTATGTATTGGTGTGCCTTTCCAATACACTGAGTCTCGCATTTTGAAAGCCCGTCTGGAGTTCTTGCGTGAGAACTACCGGATCCGAGAGAACGACTTTTTGTCCTTCGATGCTATTCGACATGCCGCCCAGTGTTTGGGACGTGTTCTGCGTGGCAAGGATGACTATGGAGTCATGGTTCTGGCAGACCGTCGATTCGAGCGAAAGCGACCCCAGCTTCCAAAATGGATCAACCAGGCAATGCTGGATAGCGAAACCAACCTCAGCACTGATATGGCTGTATCAAATGCCAAGAACTTCCTGCGTACAATGGCCCAGCCTTTCAAATCAAGGGACCAAGAGGGCATTTCCACTTGGGGTTTGGCTGATATCGAGCGGCATGAGGCAAAGAGGAAAACAGAAGAAGAGCGGATGATGAGAGAAGAAGGCAACGGGGATTTGATGGACGGCATGATTCCATCTGCATCCCGCATTGTCGAGGACGAATTCGATGACGACATTGATGAGGACCTCATGATGCTTGATGCGCAATAAAATAATAACTTTTGTCACTTTCGGATCGGAATATAAACGGTAAACGGTGGCGCTTATACTGATTTGGGCACTGGGGCGTTTGGAAACTGGCATCGTGCCATTTAGCATGCATGGATGGTGTTTCTTAAGACAGAAGAATATATGTGATATGTCTCAGACAATTGAAAATCTAGCTATTTGCAAATCAATGGCTTTGTAAATATCTTTTGAGGTTGCACCATTCATTATTCCTTGGTAGCGCAGTTTCACAATGAATATTATGTCTAAATCCCTATAGCATCCCTAGATATATAGAGTAAATGGGTGTACTGAATCGGGCTGTTGAATGGGGAAAGCTACGAGGAGCACATAGTTAACCTGTAAGTAATATGATTTGAAAAAAGATCTATTTATCAACTAGATAAGATGCAAATATGAACAGGGATAAATACTTTTTAGGTCCGCTGCACAAAGACAAACTCCAGATCATCGACACATCAAAGATCAAGTGACAAAAGAAAGACAGAACTGAAATCAAGAGCTTTGCAATAACACAATATACACATGAGAGATGACAAGATCCAATACACATTTCAAAACTCCGTCCAGTCAGAGAGCAACTATGCTACAGGAGCAAGAATGTCGAAGGAACCAGTACCGACAGTACCGATACGGCCAACAACAATTCTGCTACTAGGACTCTTGAGGTTGTCAACACCACGCTCAAGCACAACATCCTTCAGGGCGCCGACAGTAGTCTCGAAACTGGCACGCGCAAAAGCGGATGAAGCATCCTTAACCAGGCCGTTACGGCTGAAGGCTTTGAATCCACCAGACTGCGTCATCACGTCACCAATCAAGTTCAAGTGACGATTGTCAACGGAGATACCGTGACCTTTGAAAACGGAACTCATTTCGCGGACGATGGTAGCACGGGCGGCTTCAACGCCGTACAGGTTGAGCATGTCGTGGATGGAGTTGGTGTAGATGGAGTGAGGCTTGATGATATCTTGGTAATCACGCATGGCGAGCAAGTTGACACCATCTGTGAGGACGTTGGCAGGATCGCCCTTGGCCTCATCAGCCTCGACGTAGACGCAGTTGCCCATTCCGGGGATGGACTGGATGACAGAAAGGTGGAGAACCTTTTCAACCAGAGGAAGAAGCAGAAGCTTAGGGCTGTCGATATCGTACTGCAACTGGATGCTGCAAGAGCCTCCCTTCTTGGGATCGAATTTGAACTTGGAGATTTCCTCGAATTTGCCCATGACGTCGACTTCGCGGCCCTTGCTGTCTTGGGCGACCTCATCGTCAGAGTCATCCTCTGACTCTGACTCAGATCCGTCCTTCATTTCCACGTCACGAGTACGTTTGGCGGGCTTGCTGGATTCTTCCTCGTCATCTTCCTCATCAGGCGTGTCTTGGCGGTCAATGATATCCTGCTCAGCATCGTCGGGTCCTTCGTAGGAGACCTGGTTGCCCCTGTTCTGGGCTCCGGCGGCTCTCTTGGCATCATCCGCGTCTTCTTCCTCGTCGTCATCGGCAGGTTGCGCCTCGGAGTCGGCGCCTCTCGGTGCCTCCGCGATCTTTCCAACTGAAACACCGATCTCAGGCTGAGAAGTAGTGCCCTTGACACCCTTCTTCTCGTCGAGACGCTTCTTGATTTCGATCTTGGTGAGTTTTACAAGTCGAGGAATGAGCTTGGACTGCAAAGCAACCAACACATCCTTGGTTTCAATAGCGTACTCTTCGGTGTATTCTTCAGATGGGAAGAAAGTGATCTCAATATCGTAGATCTTAGCCTTCGAGAGGCCAACACCCGAGCCAATGCGTTCCTTCACTTGCACGCTATCAACCAGCTCAGCAATGGTAAGCTTGCTGATAGCCTTGGCGAATTTCTGTGAGTCCTCACTGGAGATCTCCTCGTTCAGAAGTAGAGTCATCGTAGGGGTCATAATGTTGGCACTTGCTGTCATGACGATTTCACGTAGACGGGGAATACCCAGTGTGACGTTCTTTGCCGAGTGACCAGCCAAATGGAAAGTGTTGAGGGTCATCTGCGTAGACGGCTCTCCAACGGACTGACCAGCCATAATTCCAACCGCCTCACCAGGATCGATGATAGACTTCATGTACTTCATGTTCATCAAGGCCTCGAATGTCTTTTTGGTGACCTTGCCCTCAATATTCTTCTTCTTATCCTTGAGGTGCTTCTTCTCGTTGAGATCCCCATACTATTTGATATATGTTAGTAATGCTGTATTTCCATTAGAGGGATAGTGAGTCCTTACCTTCTTGAGTGCCTGCGCAAATGCTTCAGATGTACTGCCCAGGTTTCCTCCAGGGGGGTATAGAGATAGTACAGGGTCCATAGCATCAACCTTTCCGGTCTTGCGAACCGCCTTCATCGCATCTTTGTGCCAATCCGAGACAGCGCTCTTTGCCAACTTGTGGTAATCGTCGGCTTGAACCTGCTTGGAAATGGAGACGTGGTTCTCGGCGAGCAAATCAAAGTTGTGGAGGTGCACCTGCTTGGTGATGTCGAGACCGTCCTCTCCGTACAGGAACTGAACAATGGAGCCGTCTGAGGATTCACGAACCGAGGAGTCGTACTCAGCCTTCAAGCCTTCCATACCCTTAATCAGACAACGTTGCAGGTATCCGGATCTAGAGGTCTTGACGGCGGTATCAATCAAACCCTCACGACCAGCCATGGCGTGGAAGTAGTACTCCTGGGGCTTGATACCAGTCAAGAAACGACCAGAGACGTAACCACCAGCCATAGGGTGTGTTTCGAATGCTTTGAAAGAAGGAAGTGTCTTTCCACTAATCATGAGTGGTACACGGCGACCTTCCAAAACCTGTTGACCAAGGTTACAAGAAATAAGGTTGGCGTTAACAGCAGTTCCCTTGGCTCCAGATATCGTCATAGACTGCATCTGGTTCCAGGGGAAAGGCTTAGCAAGGCCATGTGGAAGACAGGCAGTGGTGATTTCAGATGAAAGCTGGTTGGAACGGGAATTGGAAACGCTATCCAGGCCATGCTGCTTCTCATCATCACGAAGAACCTCCTCCAATCTCCGGTTCAACTCTTCAGTTTGATCACCAGGAGCCTTGTCCAAAGTCACGTACTTCAGGGCAACATCGCGACCCAGTTGGGGGGCTTTGGCCAAAAGTTCCTTGCGCTTACGGTCACCCTCTTTGGTCAATCGAAGATCATCGATACCACAGCTGAAGGCTCGCAGGCTGAGGACGCGAGTGAGAAGTCTTCCAAGAATGCCAATAAGCTTTCCAGCGGTGCTGTATCCGTAAACCTCATGAATAGCATCGATGAGACCTCCGGCGCTGGGACCAAGCTGTTTCTTATCGAGAATACCGCATAGGAACTCTCCATCTTTAAAGATGACCTTTCCTTCCTCGTTATTGTCATCTCCCCATCGTTTACCGGGGGTGGAAGACGAGCTCTCCAAGGTCAAACCCCCCGCTCCGCTGGCTGGATGTTCTTAAGGATTGTTGTGATGATCTGCTTTCCAGTCCACAGACACTTTGGTTTGCGCATGGCAGGCTCAACCATTTGAATCCGGTCACTGACAATGTGTGAATGCTCAGGTCTCAGACAACTGTACAGTAGCTGGTGATAATCCTCTTCGTCGTAGAAGGTGTCACGACACGTGACCCAAGTTCCCATCGAGATGTGATCTTGAATTAGACCTCTCAGAGGTTTACCGGATGTGGCAACGAGGTATTGGTGATCGGCATCTGCCAGCATTCTAGCCTCTGCCTGAGCAAGCTCATTTTGAGGGAAATGCATGTTCATTTCATCACCATCGAAATCGGCGTTATAGGTGTTACAGTTGGCGTAGTGCATGCGAATGACTCGCTCGTTGGGAAGAACACGGGCCTTGTGACCCATAATGGAGGGCTTGTGCAGAGTGGGCTGACGGTTCATCAAGACGTAATCACCAGTGGTCAGATGACGGTAAACCTTCTTGTTGCGCGAGCCCTTTTGGCGCCAGTTTGATGGTGCGAGCAGTTGGTTAGCAAGTGCTGTCCGCTCTTCCAGGTTTTTGAATTTCAGGTTAATGACTTGGCCGTTCTCGTTCTCGATGGAGGAAGCACCAGGGTACTTGTCAGGGCCGTTGATGACAGCTTCCTTCAATTCCCAAAAGTTGTGATTTGTCACAGGTTCAGGGAAGGTCAGCTTCTTGGCGAAGACGAGGGGGACACCGATCTCATTGGGCTCAATGTTGGGATCGGGCGAAATAACACTACGGGCAGCAAAGTTGACACGCTTGCCCATCATGTTCTTTCGGAAAAGACCCTCCTTCTTCTCCAAAATCTGTTTGATACCGTTGGGCTGCGCCATGGCAGCGGATCCGGTGACAGAGGTGCGATCACGATCGATCAGACCGTTAATTGTATCTTGAAGCAGAACCATAGCTTGGAGGAGATCACTGTAATTCCGTGCCCGAAACATCGTCTTTTCCTCCTCGTTTGCAATCTCCTTACTGATCTGGTTGATAGCATCGCAGCCCTTCAGAATCGCGTTGAACGAAGTGTTCTGCTGTGCCTCCATGACTGTTCCAGCACCCTGTTGCACCGCGGGACGGAATTTGTTGGGCGGTACCATAAGGCTCTTGATAAAGAACATGTCCTCGGACACAACAGTCACCCCCTTGGGCACAGGCCGAGAGTTATAGACAAGCTGCAGAACCTCGCTATCCTTTTGGAAGAGGAAATGGAGTGATGCATAGACTTCGGAGGAAGACATGAACTCTTGTCCGTTGGCTGATCCCTGCTCTTGTTGCATGACAGCCGCTCCAAGGCGGATTTCTTCCTCGGCGCCATGTACAGCTTCAGCGCTGCTGTACTTGGACCGAGCCTTCCGTTCCTCGTCAAGAAGGATCATGGTGTTTTTCGCCTGGAATCCTCCCTGCTGCATTGCCAGCTTCGATTTGTCGGCCAATTGTTTACGGAAAATTTTGTTGTAGCGGTCCTTCTTGTATGACGGGGACACACTGTGATGATGTTAGTTGTGAAGCACAAATCAAGGGATCTCTCACAACGTACCCGCTGCAGTTAACACATTTCTTGAATGAGTTGATTTCCTTTAAGAAGGTCTTGACCAACTCTCGTCTGGCTTCTGCGGCAATAGGGTTTAGGCCACCACCCATCAATCCGTCAAGTTTGCCCGACTTTTTGACTTCCCGAATGCATCGAGAGACATAATCAGATCTCTTTTTCATATAATCTTCATCATCAGGTTCGTCGTCGTTGTCTGAATCTTGCTCCTTGCCCTTCGCTGCCTTCGACTTGGCACCCTTGACGGATCCCATAGTATCAACAACAGCGACTTCATCGATCAAACCATATTGCAAAAGGCGCAGTTTGCAGGTATACATGTTGACCTGGTTGCGACCCATCTGCAGGCGAAGACAATACACACATTGGGCTCGGAGAAGACGGAAGATGTGGTCGAAGAAAGTGACATTGTAGAAGGGTACTGGGAGCTCAATGTGTCCGGGATGTCCGGTACAGGTAAAAGAGTTCTGGCGACAAGTAGTGCATCTGTAAAAAAAATCTCCTCTGTTAGAGATCCAACAATACAGTGGACAATTTGAGATATACGTACACATGGTCACCCCATGCTCCCATAGCAGGATCTTGCAGACCACCAGGAACAGGGTTGTTGAATGAATCCAAAGTTGGAGTATTGTGAATTCGTTTCACCGAGAGAGCTTTAATCTCTTCCTCGGAATATACATTAAAGTCGACCGCATTAATGGTCGAGGCGACCGGGCGCGCGAATGTTGCCATTGTAGCCTGCAGCTCCTTGAGCAACAGAAAACGCTGGCGCACGAAATCAAAGTGCTCGGATCTGTCTCCAAGTGCTTTAGTTCTGGAGCGAACTTTTTTTTTCCGGAGGAGCGACTTTTTCTGCCTTTCCTTACCGCCTTATCTTTTGGTTTCTGCGTTGGATGATGGCCATCACTCTAATCTCTTGTCTATCCTTACTTGCTCAACTGCTCAGGGATCTTTTGTTTGAGAGACCTTAAGTGGGTGACAAGCCATTCACAACATGGCAGATACATCGGGAAATGCGCTGAAGCGTTCTCATCCGGAGGATCAAGACCACAACTCCCAGAAAAGGACCCGCTCCAATAATGGGTCCCCAGTACCAGGTCAAGGAGTGACTCCCCCGGGCAAGCCAGACATTGCCAAAATGGTCGCTGAGGCAAGGGCCAAGGCAGATGCTGTACGCGCTCGACTACAAGCCGCGCGTGGTGGTGGCGCGACAGCAACACCACCACCAGCACAAGCAGCAGCTCCCGCACCGGCACCCGCATCCTCTCCTGCGATGTCGAAGCTCGAACAGATGAAGGCTAGAGTGGCGGCAGCTACTCAACGAGCTAGCGCGCCCTCTCAGCCACGACCTTCTGCCCCCGCACCATCCTACCAACCTCCAACCCGCGACGATGAGGGTATTAGCAAGGCTCGCGGTGGTCTTGATGTCGGCCTCCATCCCGCACTCCTCTCCGATGCCACAACTGAATTCCGCAGTGGAAAGGGGAAGCAGGCGAAACCGAAACGCGCCGGCGGACCCCAGCTTGATCTCTCTGGTCCATCCGTGGAAGAGATCAAGAATAACCCTTACTTTGATCCAAGTCTCAACCCTAAAGCGACAGTGGCCAAGCCACGTCAATCTCGGCAGCTTCTCTTTAACGAAAAGGGAAAGTATATTCACCAGGCAGCGGCTCTACGCAGACAGGCTCAGCTGGAAGCTATGAAAAAGAGAATTGCCGAGAAGGCGCGACAGGCTGGTCTCGATGAAGAAATGGACGTGGAGAAGGCATTCCTTGTTCCTGTTCCACCGGCCGTAGAATGGTGGGACGAAGGTCTCGTCAACGGCAGCGACTATTCTGCAATTGATGACCCAAAAAATATCAAAATCGATACCCCCGACTCCATCATCACGCCCTATATCCAGCACCCTATCCAGCTTGAACCTCCGCAGGAAAAGCATATGCCTGCTCAAAAGCCCATGTACCTTACTCCGAAGGAGCAAGCCAAGATTCGCCGCCAGCGACGTGCAGCCGACCTCAAGGAAGAGCAAGCCAAGATTAGACTAGGTCTTGTGGAAGCACCTGCTCCCAAGGTCAAGAAGTCCAACCTTATGCGGGTTCTGGGAGAACAAGCTGTTAAAGATCCCACGGCTGTGGAAGCTCGTGTAAACAGGGAGATCGCAGATCGCAAGGAGGCACACGAGCAAGCAAACGAAGACCGCAAGCTGACCAAGGAGGAACGACGGGAAAAACTACTGGCTCAGCAGGAGAAGGACGCTGCTTTGGGTATCTTCCAATCTGTGTATCGCATTGACAGCTTGGCAAGCGGCCGGAACCGCTTCAAGATTGGCAAGAACGCAGAGCAGAATAATTTGACGGGCATTTGTGTCATGCATCCAAAGCTCAACCTTGTGATTGTCGAAGGAGGCAAACACTCTATCCACAACTACCGAAAGCTGATGTTAAACCGAATTGATTGGACTGAAAACCCTGGGTCAGATCGAGTGTCTGCCGACAGCCCTGAGGCTCAAGTGTCATGGCTCTCCACAGAGAATGAGAAGGGAGAGCCCCGCGACTTCAGTCAGAATACATGCAATCTTATCTGGGAAGGTCAGGCCAAAGGTCGAGCGTTCAAGAGGTGGTTTGGTGCCCGTGTTTGTGAGACCGACTCGGCGGCCAAAGATGCTCTATCCAGAGCCAAGATGGAGAGCTTCTGGACTCTAGCAAAGAGCGCCAAGCCAGCCGAATTCTAATGAAACCTGCCTATGGCCGTTCTTAAGGTCTGGGCTTTTGTACCTATACAGACAGCGAATTTCTCTTCATAGCCATTGTTATTCATACGCTTGATGCCTCGAGATTACTCTTATTTGACACTGTAGCCTGTACGAAAAAAAATTTCCTGCAAAAAAGCCCCAACCCAGAGCTTCATAATGAAAAATTTTAATAAAAGAAAATCCCAGCCCAAGTAAACCGCGCTCCGTATGCAAATATTCCGATGCCAAAATATTATGAGAACAAGTAGGCAAATCAAAAGGCATTCAAGAAGGTGGAGGGCCTTGGTTCCCTTGGCTCAAGCTTCGCAGCAGATCCAATTGAGCTTTGACTTGATCGAAGTTCATAGCCGGGTTCTGACCTTGAGCTTGTTGCTGTTGAGGTTGCTGGTACTGAGGCTGATATTGCTGTTGGGAGGGCTGCTGCTGATATTGTTGTTGAGGCTGCTGGGGATGTTGCTGATATTGCTGCTGCTGTTGCAAAGCAGCCAGGAAAAGAGGGTTGATATGAGGGGCACCCTGTGGGATGTTCTGGAAACCATTGGGTTGCAGCTGGGCCGGCTGGAAGGGGAATTGGAACGGGTATTGTGGTTGCGCTCCACCTTGTCCAAATTGCTGCGGCTGCTGCTGAGCATACTGTGGGTTCTGAGCTTGTTGCTGTGCGTATTGGGCATATGCGGCGAATGGTTGGGGCATGCCGTAAACAGGTTGTTGAGGCTGCTGGTACATTGGCTGTCCGTAGGGTGCAGGCGGAGCTTGAGGCTGGGTTTGGGGCTCTTGGCTCTGTTGGGGCCGACGGTCGTGATCCCAGTCTCTGCCGCCTCTTCCAGCTCCGCCTCGGCCTCGTCCGCCACGGCCACGGTCACCTCGGCCACGACCTCTGCCGCGGGCACCGCCACGCTCGTTTCCTTCGACTGGTGCCTCGCGGGCACCCATGATCTCGTGCAGATTGGTAGGGCGTGCGAGAGGGGTGTAACCCTCCTCGCCTCCCGCATCGTCGTAGTTGAGCTCGGTCTGGTTCAATTTCGAAGGCCCTGGAGCGGGCTTCTTGCCCTTGGGACCATCCCTGGCTTCCTTTCGCTCTTGGCGCTTTTGCTTCAGCTTGCGTTTATACTCAGCCTCCTCTTCGTCGTCGGAGAATTCCATCTCTTCAGCGGCAACTTCCTCGTCGTGGAAGTTGGATGCGTCACTTCCCTTCATGCCCTTCAGTGGCTGGGTGAATACGAATGTAGAGTGTCCTTCAACATAGAAGATATCTGTACCTTTGACTAGGCCCTTTTCCTGTACTTCGGATGCAGTTGCAAATGTCATGGTGTATAGGGGATTCTCCACTCTACCCAGTGTCTCGGCGACTACGCCAATGGGCTTTCGATCGTCGGAGCAAAGCAAAGAGCCCGACTCAAGTACTTGGTATTCTCCGGAAGTATTGGCCTCAATGAGGACGTTGTTGTCGATGGCGGCATGGATTTTACCCAAGAACACGATCTTCATCTCAGGTGTGATTTTAACATCAGGGATTGGCAAGACCTCTTCTTCAACTTCGTTCGTAGTGCGAAGCTGGCCACCCGATTTTCCCTTGCCATCTCCTTCGTCGTCAGAGCCACCTTCTGCTTGCATAAGGATTTTCGCTTGCTCCTCGGCACTGAGAATCGGATAGTCTTCATCGTCGCTATCGTCCGAGTCCGAGGAATCAGAGCTGTCCGATGATGACTCGTACGGGGACGAGTCGACTTCCCACTCTGGGTGCTCCCCTTCTTCTTCATTTTCGGTATTGGGGGCGACTTCGATCATGTTGCCTTCGTGTGTGTCCACAACTTCCATCACTTCGTCGAGAGAGGCCTTTGCTTCCTGTTTACTTTGTGTTGTCTCCGGTCCTTCTTTCATCTGCACATCGGTGGGCTGGGACTGAGTATCATTTTGAGTATCCACTTGCTTGATCACTGGCTCAACTTGCTCTTGAGTGACTTCGGGTTCGGATTGCAAGCTGGAGTCCTTTTGAGTGGAGTGGTCGATCAGGTTCAATCCTGGAATCGAAGGCTGGGATTTCGGGAGCGCAGTAACATCGGATGCGCTGGTTGGCTCTGCTTTCATGCTACTTGTGTTTAAAACTGGGGTAGCTCCAGCCAAGGGAGTGTTGTAAAAATCGCTGCCATTGTCTGGGGTGCCTGCGACAGGCGTATCGATCAGGCAGGGCTTTTTCAAGTCAGGGCCTTCCACGACACCTGCATCCTCATATGAGGGGTTCTGGTGATCACTCATCGTAGATTTTCAGACAAGAAACTAAAAATTCAAATGAAAGATAGTCAAACTCGAAAGTCCACAGAAACATCCGGCGAGGAAACTTTTTTTATTCTGCCCGTATCTTCAGGGCGGTCTGCAATATCTTATCGGTTATCGCAGCTCTCATCCATCGAAGCTGTCAATTCAACTTGCCGACTTACAAACATGGCAGGGAACAACAATGTCTCGGGGAATGCCCCTAACCCAAAACCAAAGAAACAGTATGCTTGCATACTTGTATCCTCAAAATATCAGGCTGACATGATTTATGCAGACCCTCTCCAACTTCCTTACATATCCCCCTCAACATCACCCTCTACCTATGTCTAGTCGCCAACGGTCTGGCTGCACTCTTCTCTCCAATTCAAGATTGCGATGAAGTTTTCAATTTCTGGGAACCTGCGCACTACTTACAGCATGGATATGGCCTTCAAACATGGGAATATTCACCAGTTTATTCTATCCGAAGCTGGCTCTATGTGTCGCTGCATGCTGCTGTGGGAAAGTTGGGGTCAATGTTTGTCCACAGCAAGACAGCTGAATTCTACACAATTCGTTTGGTTCTTGCATTTGTATGTGCTGCTTGTCAGACTCGACTGTACTCCGCGATCTGCCGCACTCTCAGCCCCCGCATCGGTCTATTCTTTGTCATGATTATTACACTCAGCCCTGGCATGTTCCATGCTTCGACAGCCTTTTTGCCATCCACTTTCACCATGTATATGTCAATGCTTGGTTTGGCTGCTTTCCTGGACTGGAAGAATGCCCAGAGAGCAGCACACGGCATCATGTGTTTTGGCCTAGGTACAATTGTCGGATGGCCGTTCGCGGGAGCTCTCATTGTCCCTCTTTTAGCTGAAGAGGTCATTCTCACCATTATTTCTGGGTCCGTTGTCAATCTCTTTTGGACCATTGCTGATGGCCTCATCGGTTGTTTGGGCATTCTGGTATGTGAGATCCAACATAATACCAAGATCCGTTCTAATATTATATACAGGCTCTTGAGGTCACGGTCGACTATGCTTTCTTTAAAAAGTTTGTTCTTGTACCTTGGAACATCGTTGCATACAACGTATTGGGAGGGGAAGGTAAAGGCCCTGACATTTTTGGAACGGAACCATGGACTTTCTATATTCGAAACCTTTTGCTCAATTTCAATGTCTGGTTTGTGCTCGCCATGCTATCTGCACCCCTCCTGGTTTTTCAGATGGTCTTTCGATCCCACACCACCTCCTTGCAAACCTCGTTGCGGTCAATGGCATTCGTCGCCCCGTTCTACATGTGGTTTGGAATCTTCACGTCTCAACCTCACAAGGAAGAGCGATTCATGTACCCAGCCTACCCGTTCCTAGCACTGAGCGCGGCACTTTCATTCCATATCATTCTGACATACCTCGGTTCAACTGATCGAAAAGAGCTGGTTGGCCGTATTCCGACGAAATTGAAGATCATTGCAGTTTTGCCGGTTGTTCTACTTGCCCTGAACGCTGGAATGTTACGCACCCTCGGCATGGTTACAGCCTACAGTGCTCCATTGAAGGTTTTTGAACCTCTGCAGCAAGTCGGTGTCGCACAAAGGGACGGCTCAGTATGTTTCGGCAAGGAGTGGTATCGCTTCCCTTCTTCATACTTCCTTCCACACGACTTGCGCGCCAAGTTCGTCCGAAGTGAATTCCGGGGGCTGCTCCCAGGTGAATTTCCAGATGCACCAAGCTATCTCGAGCGTTTGGGTGGAGCTTCGCAGACTCCATCTGGCATGAATGATCTCAATATTGAGGATCCCAGTAAATACGTGAGTGCTGTATCTCGTCACAATTACTCTCTCTTATACTGACTTGAACTACAGGTTGAAATCTCTCAATGTTCTTTTTTGGTTGACTCTCACTTCCCTGGTCACGATGCGACCGAGCTGGAACCCAATTACGTCATGGATACAGCTCACTGGGAGAAGCTATCTTGCGCAAGTTTCCTTGATGCATCCCAGACCGGTTTGCTAGGCCGATTGATCTGGATTCCTGATTTCCCAATCATCCCAGATCGCTTCCGACGCAAATGGGGTGAGTACTGCCTTCTCCAACGAAGCACAAAAAGCAATGTATAGCTCCAGAAACGAGTTTAGGTATTCATCTTCTTATGTCAAATGCCAGAAGAATGTAAAACCATCAACACAAACTGCGTTTTCGATCAAACAGGTATCGCATATCATATACAAGTAGGATGTAGCGTCACCATTCCCAATGCGGTCAAAACTTCCCTACCACCAACGAATGATAAGCCTTACTCCACAGATAAACCCTCTAGCATGCTTTACAAAAGGTAAACCACTTCTTCAACTGCCTAGCAATAGGTCTGATTTGATATTAGTGCATGCAGCCTCGGATTCAACCGCTTGAAAGAGAGATACTGCGGTGAACAAGTCCCTTTTCCCCTCTTCCCCGCCAAACGAAGTCAACGGTGTTTCAAGCTTGATTCCAACCGTCCTATAGAAATAAATGCGTATCTCGCATCCTACTAACGGGAACGGCAGCTCGCAAGAGAGACCTATCTATTATTATATTGTTTGTATAAACATGATAAGGGCGATCTGGGTCCATTCTGTGTCCACTATCTACATGTACTAAATGGACTCTGTTGACCTTATTTGTTGAGACATGAATTATTGACTGGAACAAGGTTTTGTCTCTTATTCCTTGGTCTAGATACATTGCCCACATCATGGCAGCATTCGAGTCCCTAGGCGGAACTATACTGTCAAATATCCCGAAAGATCTCATCTGGGGCTTTCTCGCTCTCAATCTATGTGCTTGTCTTGTTGTCTTTGTGTCGAGGAAATTGACATCTGGTAAAAGCGCCAGAGCTTCTAGTCCCGACCTAGAAAAGCCTGCTGTCGGTGTGAGGGGGAAGGTTACCAGGCCACCTGGTGGTAAGGACATGAAAACATTCCCTCTGAGGAATGAAATTGACCAACTGTTTCTGCAGAATGGACTCAATCAAACTTTAAGCGGCCAACAGCATCACCATACACAGACTGGGACGTCCATTCGACCAAGCCTCTCCCCTATCGGCCTTTCCGATATGGACCGTAAGTCGCACAACCATGCATATAGGATGTCTTTTGACCATCGATCTCAGAAAATATTTCATCACACTTGGTCTGAGAAGCATGAAATGGGATGAATGGATTGGTATGTTCACTATACTTTAATTCCTACTCAACCGTGCGTACTGATCTCGCAAACCAGAACTCGATAACCACTACCTGAAATACCACGCCGACAAAGCACGGCGCATCAAAGAGCGCGGAAGCAAATGCTGCCACACATCACCAGAAGCAATGGACGCTGCAATTGAACTTCTCGAAGAACTGTGAGTACCACACCAATCCCACCATCTCAATTAACCCTAACACACCTTCACCAGATGCACATACCTCCCAGAAAGATACCCAAGCATGTTCGAGAAGATCCCAGAAGGAATAACCAACAAAGTAACCAATGAAACCTTCAACATAACCCAGCGCCCCTTGCCCGAAGACCCAATGGCCACAGCCGCCCGCCTAGTCCAAGACGACTTAGCCATCATGATCGAGCGTCCAGACGGCGAATACTACCTACTAGCCGGCGCAATTCTCCTAGCAGGCTTCTGGCGACTAAGCGACAAATTCGGCATGCGACTCTCTGAAATCCACACATCGGGCGACGTCCCCCAATACAAAAACAAGCTAGAGAAGGGAATGATGAATTTCTTCCGTCGGCTGCGTCCCGAGGACCCCGTTCTGCGGAATAACTACTTCATCCAGGTCGATGATGACCTGGCTTGGTCGCATAGTATTGGGCCTGAGGATGCGGACGTTGTATCGTGGGGAACGGCGGAGAAGAATCGCGCTATTGAGAATCATTTCTTTCGGTCGGAGAGGCAGTCGCTTAGGAGGTTGCCGAGGTCTGGCGCGGTGGTTTTTACAATTCGCACTTATTTCGAACCTATCACTGAGGTTGCGAAGGAGCCGTTTGTGCCTGGGAGATTGGCTAGTGCGGTTAGAAGTTGGGGGGAGGATGTTAGTCGGTATAAGGGGAAGGAGAAGTATCAGGATGTTTTGTTGGAGTATTTGGATTTGAAGCATCGGGAGCAGGTTGATCGGGGGTTGGAGGTTGAAAAGGAGGACGAGTTTCGAAGTTATCCCTTTTGAATAATAGTAAATGAGATGTTTAATGAAGCTTGTCATGAGTGATGTCTCGATTCATAAAAGTACGTCCAGATAGGATGTAGTATACTGCAATATCCAGTCCTCTTCTCGAGGTCTGATACACAACCTGTAAAGAGCAATGCAAGCATGACACGCTTCTGGTAGAAGATCGAACTTCACATATGTTTCTAAAATTACAAAACAATATTAATTATGATACAAGGCCATATCCCATATAGTCCTGGAAAAAAAACATGCCCGACCTAACCAACTCCATATCCTTACATCGCTGAACGCGTTCAAGATATTAAAAACCAGACCGATGACCAGATATCAGTCCCAAAACCATATCAGATATCTGACAAAGATCCAGCTCTGCGGCCCCGGCCGGCCCCGCCCCGTCTAGCATAAGCTAGCTCGCGCTCCTCGCGCCAGGAGCACTCGTCGCGGAACTCACAGATACGACATTTCCATGCGTCCATAATCTCCACGCCGCGGGGGTCTCGCTGGCCACGCCACCAGGTCATCTGATCATTCAAGTAAGAAGTCAGGGTACTGGGATCGAAAAGGAAAGATCGGCTTCCTAAGTGCTGTCTTTCCAGATCTTCGTTGGCGGCTGACGAGAGGTATCGAGCTGTGAGAACTGGGGAGATAAGGGTCGGGTATGCTTCGAGAAGCTCTGGTTGGGTCTCTGCTGGGATGGATGGTGCAACTGGTGCAATAGAGTCTGTCTCCGCAGGTGGGAGGAATGTGAGGCGGAGTTGGTGTTGCATGAGACTCCAAAGCCGAGACAGATTGTTATGTGAGACCAGAATGCCGGTCGAGTCTTGGCCATCGTCATGTTGGCTCTCGGTCATTTCGGAGTCTTGAGAAGACAGAGAATCGAAGAACTGGTCGTTCAGTCCGCCAACCTCTGAGACAAAGGCATCGGTGAACGGCTTTTCGGGATCAAAGTCGTAGCGCGCGGCAAGAACATCGATTGTGATATCGTCGCTGGTAATGAGACGGTTCATCATGTGGTAGTAGAGCTGGAGCTGGAGAAACGTAGGTCGGAACCCCGAGCTCTTGACAGTGGGCAGTGAACGATTAGCCTTGGTTTTCACGTCCGTCATGTAGATCCTGGGTAGGTTATAGACAGCCGCAGACACTTCCGGCTCAAAAACTGCCGTTTCCTCGACTTCGTTATAACTCTGGCCCAAATCTGACAGCTTCATCCCTCCCCCAGAAGACGAAAGCAGATAGTCCGACAAGGACATCTGATACTCCGGTAGTGCAGCCCGTGATTCCGCCGCATCAGCATAGTACCCAGCAGCAGTGGCCTCGAGTTCAGAGTCAGGACATTCATAGGATAACTGATCAATGATGCCATTGACAATCTGGCCATCCACAAGCCCCCAAACCTCCATCTCACGCGTGACACCATACAGGCGCAGCATGCGTAGTCCCTGGATAACGTTCCAAATCCTCAATCCCCAGGCATCCTCTTTAGTCGTGATATCTACAGGCACAGTGGTGTATATTTCATCCTCAAGCGTCTTGTGCATAGAACTGCCCTTTTTCATCGCAGGCGTCCTCCTCTTCCGTCCATGTTTGGTCAACGTATACCAATACTGCAGCTCACACCAAGCAGGAGACACAAGATCAGTCACTGAGAAAGCCTTGTTGGGTGCTTGGCAGAACCGTTCGAGGGGGCTTCTCGTGTCTAGCGCTGTAACAGCGGGATCTCCCTGTGTCCATTCTTGCGCGCGCGCAGCATTGCGCTCGCGTTCTCTTTCTCTGCCTTCGGTTGAATCAGGGTGCTCGACTAAACGCTTCGAATAAGATGTCAGTTCAATTCAAGAATCCAATCGGAGAAAGAAACCGGAGGCAAAAGAATCATGAACGAGATGAAAGAAAGAGATAAGCATACCAGACGGGCTGGGCCTGTTGCTGTTGCCAACGCGCGGATTTGCCCTCGCCATGCCATTTGGATTCCATCTGGCCCTCTGACCCGACCGATACTGTTGCGAACGCCATGGTGAGCGAGGCCCTTCACGGCCAAGCACCTTAGGCAGCCGAACACTCGGCTCCTGAACGCCATCCTCGATATCCGCGACAGTTGCCGCTAGAGCTGCTGGTTGCAAGGACTCTAATTCGATGAGTTCTGGCGATTTGGGCGTGGTGAATTGTTCGACGGGGGTTGGTGTCGAGGTTGAGATTGGTGTCGAGGGCGAGGTGGCGTCGGCCTGGTCGGTCGCTTGTCCCGCGGCTTTGTTGAGCAGTTCGTTCAAAAGTTGCTCTTCATCGGGAGTAAAGTCCGACCCATAATCACTAAAGTCATCTGAGTCTCTTTGTGGGAAGGACATCCCTGCGACTAGAGACGATCATATCTTAGAGTTGGGATTGGCGTTTCTAGATGAGCGGGTGCGTCATTGGTAAGGGACGCGGGTGTCATTCGGAATTCCACTGCTCTTACTGGTCGAAATAATACAATTCGAAGTAAACTTGATATGTTTCAATTCTTTTAAATCACAGAATATTGAAGTCTACATATAAAGCTAGATAACTCTTGGTATCACATGCATCGCTATAAAAATCAAACGCCAACGTTTATCCCCGAAATCTATACATCTATACAAATCCATATCAGTAGCTTTCAGTTTCATGCTCCAGCAGGAATCATATTCCGACCAGAAGCAGCATTCAATGCGCTCCCGGCTCTTTCCTCGGCCGCCGCAAGCTGCTCCGCAGCTAACACCTCCTTGGCGGCCTTCTGATTCAACCAACTGAGATACGTCTGCCAACCAACGGCAATACAGCCCGAGAACACATTGCGGAACTGCGCTGGCACATACATAAAGCTAAATGCTGTAACCGCAGGCCAAAGCTTCACGCTATTTTGAATGCTAACGGGGAGGGCCTTCTTCAAGCGCTCCCAAGTTTCGTCAAATGTTGCGCCGCCAAGGAGGGAGTGCACGCTGAAAAAGTATGTGTTGAAGATGGGAGTAAAGACCGTTTGCTGCACGACGACTTTGGTGAGAATCGAGAGGATTTTGCTCGAGTAGTTGAAGTTGTTGCTGAGGAACGCAAACCTGCAAACGCATATTAGTACATATTCATTCACCTCAACTCACATTTCCAAACTCACCATTTATAAGATGGGATACTCGACCCAACTCCAACACAAAGATGCCGCAAAGTTCTGTACGGGTCGTATCCAGCTGCGACAGTCTCCCGCTCTTCCTCATTCTCATCAATTTCGGCGCCTTCCTTTGCAGGCGCAGGAACCTCAGTGGGAAACAGTATTTGCGCACTCAGATCACCACACAGATAAATGATGATCGAACTCCAGAGTTGTGTCGCATATGGCTTGCGCTCTTGCATGCGCGCATACCACCTCCCAGACTTCCCAATGGGCCCAGCCATTATAACATCGCGAATGCCGCGAGATCGCACCAGTCCACCGGTAGAGGGTACGGTTGCTGCGCCGGCTGCGACTGCCGGCTGTGCAGGTGGGACTGCATCATGTTGCCGTGAATGGGGGTGTTCTGATTTGCTGTTCCCCGCGGGGTTCTTCTGTCCAGTGGAATCAGAGTTATATCGGCGTTGCGGGCGCAATGATCTGGGGTTTATCGGACGGCGGGGAGTGGCCGAGGTTTGGGCCCTGGAGATGGGCCCAAACTGAATGAAACGCATTTCCAAAGCCCGCGCAAATATTCATGCACAATCAATAATAAGTAATGACTGACAGGTATAAGAAGTTGAAAATCAGAATATAGGGAAAGGGTGATTTTTAATCGAAGGTATTGCGCGATAAGAGTCAGCCGAATGTCGGGAGAAAACAATGCCGGATGCTGAACCCGATTGGCGCTTGGATCGGTGCGGTGTGGCACCGATTCCCCGGGCTGAAAGACCTTGGGAGTCTTTGAAATATCAGACCTCACAATTCTTTTTGTTTCATAATTATATAAGAGCGACGATATGCTGATTGATCTGTACGAGCTTTTCTCAATGTTTTGTGCATGGCGGTATCTATGCTTTTTATGACTTGATCCCGCGATGTTTCCTCCTAGAATATATATACAATGCAAGGCTATATGTGCGTATATATAGGGGATTATTTATAATTTCAAAGCAAAGGTTGACAAGAAAACGTGGCAAATAATTCGTGATATTTTAATATAAAAACCTCCCAAACTCCATATATATGCAACAATGTTTCCCATATAAACATAAGTCAGAAATCAATCCCAGTATATCAACACATGGGAAGACCAATTCGGGTATCAAATCCAAGTATAAACGCACAGATAAACAGGGTGATTTTTGAATGCAGGGGAGAGGATCAATAGAAACTATGATTAGGGCAACGACACATATAATAGCGAGGCCAAGAAGTAATAGGACAATAAGCTGCTCAGCAGCCTATTGTTTGAAAGATTCACGAGTATTGACTCGGTCAACGTCGTAAGGATTGCCCTCATATGTAACAACGCGATGCAACGATCCCGCTGTGCGAGTCGACGCAGTGGAGTGGGCGCGGCTGCGGATTCGCTGGGTGGATGGGAGCTCTTCTTCGGAATCGCTGGATAGCGAGCCCTCGGCTGGTGCCTCCGTACGGTCGTACTCGACCTTCTCTTCTTCGACGGGCTCGTTGGTGGCCTGTTCTTGGATCTTGCGCATGAAGGCGTCGGACTGCGCGGCGAACTTGCAGCGCGTGCGGATGGCCGGGCCGTACTTGTAAAAGAGGAATGGGAAGGGCACACAGGCGAGGGCGAGGAAGGCCGGAATGCTCGATGCCCAGTGGATTCCGAGGTTCTTGTACATGTAGGTTGTGAACAGGGGGAAGGCAGCACCGAAGAGGGATCGGATGACGGAGTTGGCAGCTAGGACGGAGGCAGCGAAGATGGTGTACGCGTCGATGAGGTAGTTCATGATGCTGAGGAAGACGAGGACCATGCCGAAGCCGAAAGGTACACCGGCTGCGATACTGACCATGAAGTGGATGCTGGGATAGTTGGTCCAGGCGAACCAGAACAGACCGATTGGAATGGCGGTGGATGCAATAAGGCAGGGTGGTAGACGGGCTTCGGGGGGAGCAAAGCCATTATGCTGCTCGGAGGTCTTGATGTAGCGCTTGTTATCCCACAGGGAGTATACAACGGCGATCAACATTCCGACCATAATACCAAGGAAGGCAAGGCCGCTGACACCCTGGTTCCAGCCACGGGACTCCTGGTAGACGATAGGGAAAGCTGCGAACATCATGTATAGAGTACCATAAACGATAGCCATGTACATAGACAGCAGGAACACAATGGGCTCGCGGAACAAGAGAACCCATGGGCGAGAAAGCGAAACTTTGAATGACTCCTTCAGGGAAATCTTGCCTTGGTCGATTTCGATCTTGCTCCGGTAGATCTTGCCGGTTAACTTAGAAAGTCTCTCCGCACGACGACGGAGAAGAACAGGCGCATAAGTCTCGGGGATGACCAGGGAACCCATGATCCAGACTGCACCAGAGAAGCATGCAAGAAAACCCATAACCCATTGCCAGCCACCATCACTCATACCAATGAATCCACCCGCGATCGGACCAATAACAGGGCCCAAGAAAGGTGCAGCGGCGAACAGACTCATAGCGACACCTCGCTGCTTGGCGGGGAACATATCAGCGATTACACCACCGGCATTGGTCAAGGGTGAAGATCCAAAAGAACCAGCGAAGAACCGAAGAATGATCAGGGTCCAGGCGTTCTTGGAGCCTGCGACACCGGCATTGAAAGCTGTAAGAGCGGCGTAGGTAGTGACGAAAAGAACCTGACGGCCAAACAGCTCACTCAGTGGAGCCCAGAGCAACGGACCGATCTATACCACCACAATTAGTATCTTTGTGACTAGAAATTGCGCAAAGCGAAGGTAACTCAAACGCTTGTGGTGGGTGACAGTAACTTACTGCGAAACCAAGGACGAAAAGCGAAACACCAAGCGTAGCCAATTCCTGTCCGATATTGAAATCCAGCATGATTTCTTCAATACCACCAGTATAAGCCGATGAGACCAAAGAAACTGCTAAAGTCGCAACAGCCACCACCATGGTGTAAGTCCATTTCTTCACTTCACTGAAGTTCATAGGGTTGCGGGGATCGTCGGCGATCCATGTTACTGCGAACGGGTCGTCATCGGTTCCTGAGCCGGGATATGGGTGGTCGATGATCTGTTGTGTGACGACACCTTGGTCGAAGACCATGCGCCAGAAGGGAATTTTCGTGGGGGCGGAGCTTTCGATCTTGTCCGAGGGCTGAGGCTCCATATCTGTTCCCATGGTGGGCAGATGGTGAATTGGTGGGGTAAATAATTAATTAGTTGACGAGAGTTGACGAGATCACGATGTTGATCAATTGGTGAAAGGCGGTAGAGGCCTGAAGCTCTGTTTGCGGGGAAAGAGCGAATATCCCGAATTAGGTATAGAAGAGCACAATATGTGCAAAGGTTGAGAGAATTGGAAAGATAATCTTAGCTGGGGCTTCATCTTATTATTATAACATAAATACTATCCATGGTCCTGTGGCGCTTTTGTCTCAAGATTTTTAGCGTCACCCCCATTGCATAGTTCTTATGAACACTATGCAGATAAAGTATGGATAAAGTGGGAATAAGTGGGAATAGGTGGACCTAAGCGGACAGATATCTCCGGGAAAAGAAAATTGAAGAACATTCTGGGCCTTGTTCGTTTGCTTGATGTTCATTCATTGATATTTCCATCTTTTGTTTTGTTTTTGATATGTTGATCTTGTACATGGTTTTGTAGCTTTGAGTAAACCTACCTACAATATTGAATGCAGCTGCACAAAATCCAGGATCTCGGGGGTTTTCCGGTTAACGTTTGCAGCCACGTTTTGAGCCACGTGATTTATGAATATTAATGCCAAGATGCCACTCGGCTATGCGGCACTGGTTTGATTGGTTGGGATTTTGGATTCATAAGATTTCTTTTGGTTTCAGGATGATTATTAATTGACATTTAATGTAATACATTTTATGCCAATGTTGCACTTGAATATTATATCAAGATCCTTCATTTACAGTGTAATAATTCCAAGGAGATAACTGTAACGACTTATTCAGTTTGCACGATAGTATATAATGCACACAAAACGAAATCAGAAAGTCAAATGAGAACTTTCGGAGATGTGCATATTGCACATCGGGGAGGCCGTGCATAAATCCACGTTTTGATCATCCGTTGGGCATCGGTACCTTACCGAATCTCCTTCCACTCCAGGGGCTCGAAGCTTAGAATAGATTATTGGTTCAGATCTAATGCTCCCACGAGGATGATGAATAATTATCTCCGATGCTTATAAGGGGTTTATGCTTCTTATAGCCGACTAAGTCCATGAATATACATGTAGCTTATTGATTCCGATTATCAATTATCAGATCAACTTGGTACGAGCTTCTGAACAGTTCAATGCACAATTCAGGGGAAGGTTCCCGACGACGGTTGTAATTGTGTTTGGATCAACAGTCTTTCCCCTCTTGCCTCTCTCTCAGGGCCATGTACCTACATACATGACATGTTCATTGCATAGCTATCTGTACTGGAAATGCTAGTTGAGAGAGTCAGTGAAAGCACGTTTGGTGCTCTCAAGTTTCAACTTGTTTATGCAAAATTCTGTCTTTGGATTAGAACTCGCCATGTTCGAAGGTGACTCATGGAACGGAAAAAAAGGAGAGGGAAAATTGCCCAGTGTATGCAGGGGTGAGCACAACATCTGACATTTCATGGGGGCTGAAAAGGACAGTCCGCCTCTCATAACCACCAAAGACCATTCTACAATGTACTCATATACGGCAATGACACAGAGCAAAAACATAAAATAAAAAAATTCAAGGGAGAGAGAGCAGCACCATCAACATGACTAAAGTGTACATATGTACGTTGTTTCGTATGGACTTCCAACACCTGGACCAAACAGTCCCCACCATCAGACCACAGCCAGGCAGGCTACAACACACCATATATCACCAGATCAAGCACAGAACCAATAAGAAACATGAAAGCAGTCTCCGGAATAGTCCTAGTTCGATTCAATATCAAATTTTCGCCAAACACCGAAAGATCAAAGAGTAGATCAATAAAAGGGAGGCTCCGAGTTCCGAACGTCGAGTCTCGGGATTACAGAACCCGGGTGGCTTGCAGGAGGAGAAAAAAGCCACAAAAGCCAGGAATACGAGGTCCGTTCTACGGGATCCTGCACCCTGAGTACATAGCTAGAATTTTCCATGAGGGCTTCTTTTCTTTTGGCCTTAGGCCACAGAACCGTTAGAGGCTCCACCCTGTATGCATACAGGTACATCCAGTTCTACAAGAGGTAGCCTTGATCTTGGTACCCAATTGTGTAGATACGTGTTAATTAGAACCAATTTAATCCATACTTGGAGAACTGGTTCAATCTCTAATTTGAACCCATGTAGAGTCTCGTAAAAAGCAAGATCAAAGAAACAATATACGCGTTGAGGTCACTGGGTCCCCACTTCATTTGACGTGAAGCATCTATATTCGACGCCTGAAAGGCATGGCGACAACTTCCAAATGACTAACTATCCCAAGGTTCACATTGTGCACCAAAACTCGCCTGGCAACTCTGATTCACATTTTCTAGAGACAAGTCCCGGTTGCCTCTGGCCACGCATTCCATTAAGAGATGCGAAACTCCCTCAATGCCAGGATCGGCAAATGATTTGATCCAATATTTTCGGTCCTAATATTGAAGTCATCTGATGTTTTTGCTCCCCACGTCGATTTTGATTGATTAAAGCGAGTTTCTTGTATCACAGACTTGGAAAAGTAAGTAATTCGATGGGTTTTTTTTGGCCTAACGAATAGTATATGTAGAACATGCGGGTTGTTCTACAGAAAAACAAGAATACTACCAGAGTGAGTTAGCGTATAGACGCTGAACTCGACATATTGATGGATCGTCCTTCAAGATAGGAGAATTATTATGTATGGGATGGAGAACATGATATATGCTGCCCGGGAGTAGGCGACTACGGTGGTTAGCTTGTGGTGAAACCCCTCGTCACCAAGCGTTCAATTCTCCAAATCTATAAATTTGGAACTTTGAAATAATACATGGATTAACTTCAACTATTGAATCTATTACATGCTATCTGTTCCAATTATGAAAAATCCCATAAGCAAAAGGGTAAATAGTAAAGCTTGGAAATTAGACAAGTATTTGGAGGTTGAGAAGATGAAACTCAAACCCCGATAGTCATGCACCATAATACCACACTAATATCGGATTCTCGGACCATGGAATGCATCGAACTGTGAAAGGATGCAACGGGGCTAAGGCAGGAAGGCAACACAAAGCTAAACGGCTCTATTTCGTCAATTCTTTGTTCAGGAAGCAGTTGAAGATAAGGGAACGCGAGGACTTTTGGTCTTAGAACATCCGCCGGTCGCATCCATTTTGGCCTTGCAGGTATTGCACAAAGGATAGGTTACGGTTTGTTTCTAGACAAGTAACACGGCTGCCTCAATTACGGTTCTTTATAATCTTAGACTCGCATATATGTACAACATAGATTCTTTGTGCGATGGAGGGAAGCCCGGGGAGTTTCGGATCAATGGCTATACGAGTTCATCCTGAGTTGGGAGAGAGGTCAATTTGGAAGATCAGCTTCATCTGTTGAGAATTGTGTTATCTCTGGATGTTGCTGGATTGTACAAAAACTATTTTCTAGGACGTAAATGACTCTAATGAGATTGTAACAATACGCAATGATGACGTCGCGATCGTAGGGTCATTGCACGACAAACAAAAGTCCAAGGGCAAGTCGCAGCAACAAAACCAATACACTAGCAAAAGAGCCTCCAGGTGGGACACGTCTCAAGTCACGTCTAGGTCATAGCAAATTCAAGAAGCTACACGTCTACAGTATTAGGAAGAGGAAATTGAATCATAAGACTGCATTTAAGCGTCTTGCCATGAGATGATGCGCGCTAAGGCATCATGTTAAGAGGGAGCCCCATAATGTACATGCTCATGACTGATCCATCACTGCGATGGTGAGCAGTAGCATCGATAAAAAAAGCAAAATTGCGAAGCAACCCGGTTCCGGAACCCATTGATATTTGAAAGCAAACCCATCATGTATCGCCTATTGTCATGATAAAAAGATAAAAACAAACCCCATGATCGCCTATCAGAAAACCAGCTCTTTGAAAAGGAAAAATCACGAGCGCTCGCCACGGAGACGACGGGCCAGCTGGATGTCCTTGGACTGGATGGTGACACGCTTGGCGTGGATGGCGCACAGGTTGGTGTCCTCGAACAGAGAGACGAGGTAGGCCTCAACGGACTCCTGGAGAGCACCGATGGCAGAGGACTGGAAGCGGAGATCGGACTTGAAGTCCTGGGCGATCTCACGAACCAGACGCTGGAAGGGAAGCTTGCGGATCAGGAGCTCAGTGGACTTCTGGTAGCGACGGATCTCACGCAGAGCGACGGTACCTGGAAATGAAATATTAGTGAAGGTTCTCAAGTAGGTTTGATTGTCATGTGCAGTTGGAACTTACCGGGCTTGTAACGGTGAGGCTTCTTGACACCTCCGGTAGAGGGGGCGGCCTTGCGGGCGGCCTTGGAAGCGAGCTGCTTGCGGGGAGCCTTGCCACCAGTGGACTTACCTATTGAGTTGTTAGTTATTATGTTTTCGGGGTCAAATCGCGTCAACGCGTCCAACCATCTCAGTCACATGACTTCACAAGGGAGAACGGCGACAGCGAGGTGGAAATGATGGAACACGATGATGATGGAATGTAAAGGTAAAAACTTACGGGCAGTCTGCTTGGTACGAGCCATCTTTGATGATAGACTTGATGAAAGTTGTTGTTTGTTGATGGAGTTGGTCGGAGATGGATGAGAAAGGGAAGAGAAGGACGGGTGGGGGAAGAGTATTTGTAGGGGCAAGGAGGGGGGATTGATCTTGAGAGACGGGTTGGCCAATCATGGGACGAGCCTTCCAGATCAGAATCAGTGCGTAGGAGCCTGCGTACATCAGAGCCTGATTTGCGGTGAATTCTGATTGGCTGCACTAGATCAGAGTCATGGTACTGCCACTAAGCGAGTTCTGAACCAATGAAAGTTCAGGATCACGGAGTATAGAATGCTCAACCCTTGAATTCTTGATCTTACAACCAAGGGGGGCTGGATTCATGATTGAACCTATCTGTGGTATTCAGCATATTTTGAAATGTATATTCCATTATTTTTTCTACGTGATTTACATTGTTGGTGGTGGATTAAAGGAGGATCAAAGATTGACTGCAGTAAAGTTGGCGTTCTAATTCTGGGGTCTCCCGGTAGATCAGAGCAGGACCGTGATCCTACATTCTCATTGGTCCACGCCATCATTAGCGCGTGATTTCCCAGTCCTTGCAAGATTCCCGTCCTCATACAAATATCCCACTTCCCAATCCTCCTCTATTTCTACTTTTTTTCCATCAATTCCATCGACAACAACTCGATTACTCCACTTCACACCTTTTTTCAACTTCTTTTTTTAATACACATTCAATATGTCTGGCCGTAAGTCTTTACCAAACTACCTTATTTGTTTCTTGACAAGAAACGCGTTCTAACGCGTATCGTCTATAGGTGGAAAGGGTGGCAAGGGTCTCGGAAAGGGTGGCGCCAAGCGTCACCGCAAGATTTTGCGTGACAACATCCAGGGTATTACCAAGCCCGCTATCCGCCGTCTCGCACGTCGTGGTGGTGTCAAGCGTATCTCCGCTATGATCTACGAGGAGACCCGTGGTGTCCTCAAGACCTTCCTCGAGGGTGTCATCCGTGACGCTGTTACCTACACTGAGCACGCCAAGCGCAAGACTGTCACTTCCCTTGACGTTGTCTACGCTCTCAAGCGCCAGGGCCGTAAGTTTACACGCGTCTTTTCTCGTTACAACCGTTTTTCTAACCTTGCTTGCAGGTACCCTCTACGGTTTCGGTGGCTAAACAATTTGTGCTTTTTCTTTTCCGGCTGGTTTACGGTATGACGGGACGTTGGGGTGTTCTCTGATTTATTTTACTACAATCGTCATGGGTCTCTGGGTTTGCTTTTCATAACACTCGATTACCACTATTGCGCGTCCACTACGGGTCTGCTAGTGTTCGCTTCTGAGCTTTTCTGTATCATAGCGGCCTTTTTCATTACGGCTGGCACCATGGACATGGTGGGATCAAGCACTCAAGTGCGATCCGATACGAATACAATCAAAACTTGATTAACCATTGTCTTTTGTAAATCTCTTGGTATCCTTGGGTTTTCGTACGTAAAACGGCGCGTCTTGTTTCGTTTGGCAGCTTTCGTCATGTACTTGCTTGTTGCTGCCCATGTATGGATTAAGCATGACGCGTTGTGTGTCCTCGGACCATTCATGTTACCTTCCGTATCATCCTGATAATACCCGCCCTGTATGTTTGAGGCTTGGTTGATTCTATCTGTATGTGTCTTGCTCTTGGTGTATTGCTTGCTATATAACTTTTTTTCTTTTCCTTTTCTCGCAGAAACAAAAAGTTGCTTTGACCTCTCGCTGTCTCCCTGTTGTCGGTTGTAGAGTTTAGAATTCCTGCTGTGGTTGATTGATTTGTGTATTTGGGACAATTTGAGGAGTTCTGTCGTAGTATTTGATATTCATAGTTATCAGTTGTCCATCTATATGCTTATGTGTTGTCTAGGATCAAAGATATGGTGTCAGGGTGTATATGTATTGTGGGAGGAGATGGCGATGTTATTCGTTGGTGTAGTAGCTGGAATATATATAGAACCAGCTTGAAAACGTCACACATCAATTGACCAACCACCAAGCTCTATACCCACACGTATTGTATACTGAACCACTGGAAAAAAGAAACAAAACACCATACCAACACAATATTAATCCATATAGACCATATATGATGGAGTGGTAGCTCCAAACCTGTAGTCTACTGGGCCAGGGTTGAACCCCCTAAAACGGAAGTTCAACTTTTCTTGGCACATCAGTCATCCAAGTTTTAAAAACCAACATTTTGATGTACAAAGTAAGAATGCTAAGAGAGGATGCGAAAAAAACATACTGACGAATAAAACAAAAGAGACCTAAATACACAAGCCCAGTGCTCTGATGCACTTGTAGAAAGTTTCAAGGTTGCACACTGCTTAAAGTTGAACCCCCCAAAATAGAGGTTCTACTTTGCTTGGCACTTCCCCAAAGTGCAAAACCCGGCCATCCAACTAAAAAGCAGACCATCACATGTATATAGAATCATCTGCCACAAGCCGACTCTTTATTCAAATCTCCACCAATTATAGTACATAAAACACACCATTCTCTCCCATGCAACAAAACAACAACAATCAAGTCATCATTCGCACTTCGACGCACACACGTCTTGACACACGCCAAATTTTCATCCTGCTGCATTGGCATTACATATTACGGGAAAACCAAAGAAACTGAGAAATACAGGCCTCACCAAAGATCCGATTTCATGAACAATGAGACACAACACGTTCGATACACCCAGAAACAGTTGATACATGAAGTCACTGGGACCCGGCCACTACCTTGAACAAAATAACAAGGAAAGAAAACTCCACACACTACCGTGACTAAAAATTGCAGAAACGAAGGGATCCAACCATAACGAAGACCTGGAAAGGCGTCATATGACACCACGGAGAACAGAATGGTCCGACAACAAAGCAAGCCACACAAACCTGAAACATAGCGATCTCACCATCAAACATGGGGAACAAAAGCACGCTGCCCACGAAAGCACGATTCGTTCCCAGTCAGGCTTACCTGCCAGAGCTTGCACTGGTATATTGGAGATGAGACATCAATATGCAAGCCGCGAGTAGATTGGCCAGTCAACACCACACAGGAGACAGGCCCAATGCCCGGAGCCATTGGCACTTGATTGTGATCAAACAGTTCAACATCCCCGATATCAAATCCACTATGCGAACTTGGATCACGAAACAGTCAACCATCGGACCTGGTAGACTGGATGTTGATTACTATCTGTCCATGGCGACTGCTGTGTACATGGACCCGGTCAAACATTCATAGTATAGATGCCAACCTAGATGTCGATATGTTTCTTCGGACAAGTTGGATTAAAAAGGCGAACGTGCAATAGATAGCGCGAGAATCACATAGTTGGAGAAAGGACGGAAAGGTATAATCGGTCGCGAGAAGTAGCACAAAACCCAACCATCCTACGGATAATGGATGTTTGATAATTTTGATTGGTATGAACAAATACACAGAAGAGGTAGACTATATAAGAACTGAAACGGAAACGGAAAGCCAATATCCACCAGAAAACATCGACTACACAGGTAAGAGTTGGCAGCTATAGCCGGATAGAATGAATGCTCGAACCAATTTGCCCGAGATAATAACAAAATCAGGGCTAATTCAGGTACCCGCTTCGTGCATTCCTGATGCGGTTGTTGGATGTTTTCAATTGGTTCATGGATACGGCTATCTCGACCGAAGAATGTAACGCCGATCTCTGAAATGCGACCTTGAAAAAAGTCATGATGTCGGAAGATCTCCTCGCTTTCTTTTTGTTTGACTTGAAAATCGTTTGGGTCAGGAAAAGGCTGTTTTTGGCCATGTCTTTTTTTTTTTTTTGGTTTGTTATCTTCGCGGGAAGGTCGTTCGTCTTTTTTGCCCACGGTGATGAGGCACTCAGCCGTTTGAAGTGAGATTTACATTGTACAGATGACCTATATTACCAATTCCTCACAAAGCCTCTGTCTTGATATCATACGAGCAATTGGAAAGGTGGATATCAACAATCGTGATAGTGTGTGTGTAGTTGTGCTCTAATCTAGAGAAACCCGGAGTACCTTTCCATATGGGAGCTGTCAGACCCCACTGTCAACGTGCCGGGAATAGACACCGTTGCCCTGGACCAGAACCTGATGGCTCCATTGTATTTCAAGAAACAATGTAACGCTTAAGATCCAAGTTTTTTTTTTTTTCAGGCCTGTTATAAGTCCTACTGGAAATTCCCATGTTGAACCCTATATTTTGAGACTTGATCCATTTACTCTTCCAGGCATATACTACTATTCACAATCTGCAGCGTTTCATTTCTCAATCGGAACCTCCCTAATACCCAGATGCGTTATCTCGCCACTCTCCTACTTGCTTCGGCTATCCTCATCGCCGCTCAAGATGCACCGGCCACAACCCCTACAAGCGGCAACTCCAAATGCGCCCATCAGAAGTAAGCTCTGGATTACCCGAGCCTCATGAAAGTAACATCAGGCTTACAAGTAACAGTCTGGTAGATTCATGCGTCGCAGCCATGAAACGCGGACTCACAAAGTGCAGCACAGACGACTGGGACTGCAAATGCTCAGGCGCTGCCAATATTGCCAAGTGAGTAATTTCTTCCCCCCCCCAAGCACCCATTGCCCCCATATTCCCAGTATTGACCTATCGTAATAGCTGCTATGTAGACTGCGCCGAGGAAGATGAAGGAGGTGCCTCTGCACGGTCATTGAGTGTAGGGAATTGCGCCACCGCGAACGCATACGACCAGGGAGAAACGACTGTGGCGCCAACATGGACCCTGCCCGGCTCTAATGCAGCCCAACCGACCGATACAGAGCCAAGTATCACTTCTACTATTGCCGGGCCGACGAAGTCGGTGGAAGGGAATGAGAAGTCGGCGAGTACATCGGAGGGGGCTGCATCGGTGAATGTTGCTGGTGGCGCCAGTAGCTGGCTAATTCTTGTTGGGCTGGGGTTGGGGATTACTTTTTGAAGTAGAGACTTGTTGCAGAACAATCTCAATGTGGCATCCGTGGATTGACGGCATCGCAAACCCATCACAGATACTTGAAAACTGTGAAGAGCAGAGGTCTTCAGGGGGGGGGGGTTATGTACTCGTCCATACCACCCTCCCCAAAGAAAGTGTGAATAATTTTCGGAAACCCCGACTCTCTGCCAAGGGAAAGATGCTCACTCGTGACTGCTGGAGTTCAAGTCTAAGGAATCGCCATGACATTATGGCAGCTACAACCTTCGTCTTTCTATATGTACCTGTGGCTCAATCATATGTATAATTCATACGATATAAGAGATAACCAGAAATGGAGCTTCACGTTTCCTTTTCCTTTCCCTTGTTTTGATAAGCCTCTGACGGCCGATGAGTGGGCGTGATGGGAAGGAGGTGGATGGTTGACTTGGCGAGGAGGAGTATATAGAAAGGAATTGGCCAATAGCAGTCAGTTTATCAACAGATTTGGTTTGTCGTTATACAGCCGACCCATATTGGAATTTGGTAAGTAAAAATGAAGTGAGAGTAGGCTAATTATGTCCCGACTCATCGGTCGGGGTATGTGAGGCGAAATAAAGGGAATTGTGAGTCTGCATTTGTCTGTTGGTATTCATTCGTACAAGGATTGCTGCTCCCCTTTTGGGTAATTTTATTAAATCTGACATGGAAACTTGAATGAGCTTGGCTTGCTCATGAAATAACAAAAGACAATATAAGCCTAATCAGGATGCGGGTAGCCATTTTTGACTCGAAGTACTGAACAGGGGGGGAAAAAAAGGAAAGATTGAGGTTAAGATCAAGCTTGAAGGTATGGAATAACGGTGGTTTGCAAAAAATTTCAACAAAATCCTTTAAATGGAAGTATAAAATGTCTACTGGGTGCTATGGTCAAGTGGTTACGACGTTTGATTGTGGTCAACTACATTCTCTGATACTCAAGAATCCCCGGTTCGATTCCGGGTGGCGCCAGTTCTTTTTTTACTTTTTTTTTTTAGTACCATCCATATATTTATCACTATCACCCTGACTATAGTTATGTATATATGTAAGGCCTTGATTAAGCGCTAAATGATCAAATGATGAAGAAGCACAGAAATTATTGGTTGAAAATATAAATACAATGATATTGATAAAAGTTTTGTTTCTAATCTCCACTATATAGCCGTCTTACCATATGACAATGTCGCTACCGCGCATACCATTAGTCATAGTAAGACGGCTACTCAATAGTTTTTAATTCCATTAGGAACAAGAAAAGACACGCTACCTTAGTTTGCATATAGATCGAGATCACGGAGTAATAATAGTAAGGGAGTAAGGTTAATAGTGTTAATGTAAAGAACACACCTCTAGCTATAACTAGAAAAAAAAAAAAAAGAACTGGCGCCACCCGGAATCGAACCGGGGATTCTTGAGTATCAGAGAATGTAGTTGACCACAATCAAACGTCGTAACCACTTGACCATAGCACCCAGTAGATGACAAATGGTGAGATACATGGTTACACATATCTGTTCACCAGGTCTGACACAGGTTTCCCTCCACCACAATTTAGCACCTACTCCGTAGTAGTAGTAGGAATACAGTATGGTTGACCACAACCAAATGTCATGCCGCCTATTCGACTATCAGAATTAATTGGCTGCTGTTATTGCTGGCAGGTCTACTTACTAGATCATGGCACTATGTAGATGTATACACGTATTTTTCCTTATAGTTAGGTACGTATGTATCTCTTATACAGGACCTAAATTCTTCGTATCAACGTACCCTTTTCCTCTATAACCAATAAACCGAACTACATATGTATTTAGGCAATAACTGCTTTAATGACACTATGCTTGTGTCGAATTTAAATTTAGAGAAAAATAACAACGTAGTTAACAATCTGCAACACCCTACTCTCCAAGCTAGTACTTGGAGAGACATTTCGTTTTTAGAACTAAGAGAGGATTCAGGGCCAGGCTCATCGACGCGGGAGATGAAATCAGCCCAGCTAGGATGAGCGTTCTTCAATTGATGTTGCCGCTGGTGGCCCCCTGCCACAATCCCGGGCGCTTCGACACCGCCTATCACAGGTCCGATCACTAGGCCATCAGCAAATTGGATTTGCAGGAAAACGAACCGGATTCCCCCCTAACTCACTGACTGGTGCTAGCTCCGCTCGGATACCTATATTTGTGATGAACAAAGCGCCTGGTTGGTGCTTGTTCACCGATATGTCTGCCAAGTCTGCAGGCTTGCGCCCGCACAGACATCAAGCCCGGACAACATACATTGTTTTTAGATCGGCACCAGCAGTCCTGAGAATTTAACTCTTTGCCCGAGACGAATCAGCATGATCGAAATTGCACCTAGGCGCTCTGCATAGCTTCAATCAGCAATCCGGGCTGAATATTGTCTTCGAGATATGCTCTCATTCAACAAGCCACGGTTATATTTGTATAGCGCTCGCTAATTTGGTCCCTGGATCCATTCTTGCATGGGTTACATCTCCACGAGTATATATATCTCACCTGTTCCCTGTTGCTTGTCCTCTGCATCAGGGTCTTACAAAATAATACCTACCTTTCTTTTTCCCATTACCCCTGAGGGGTTTCTCGCTCTTTGATATTCAACACTAGGAACATCCTTGCTGGTGAGGTGTTCAAAGTACACATACTCCTTTTGCCCCTCTTTATCTTTATAATATATTCAACGACATCCCTTTTATCATGACTTCAGGGTCGTCGATCGCGGGATCAGGCCATACTTATTCGTCAGACAAGGAGGAGGATACATTTTTGAAACGCAATCGTATCACTCATTTTGTAAGACTTGGTTTGTCTTTCTTGTCATTTGGAATTGGCATCGCTGTTATCACATGCGAGGCTCTCCCACTACAAAATTACAAGAATACCTCACAATGGGCGACTGCCGGACTCGCCCTATGGCCTTTGAACTTTGATATCCGCCCAACGATCGCAGCTATCTCGTGTGGGGGCATCATTACTTTGCTAAGCATGGTGTATATTATCGTTGCCCTTTTACCGTCTGTAAGTATGACACCTCGCACTCTGTGATATCGTCGTTAACGCAAACCAAGCCCTACTCGCTCATAAAACCACTCAACATTTACGCCTCAGTCTCAGCCCTTGCGGGCTTTGCGACTGCCCTTATTAGCGTTCTATTTATAATCTATCGTCCGTCTTCAGACTACCCAGCAGGGTTCAACGAAAATGAGACACTTCACAGCTGGACCTGCAAATGGAAAACCGGAACAAGTGGCATTAGTAGCCCTAGTCACTTTGATCGCGACTGTACCAGTACTCGTGCTGCATTCGTATTGCTATGTGTTCTGGTTGGAATGGAGGCGTTGATGGGAATCGTTGGTGTTGTTGGAATATGGTTCCAGCGAGATGTTTCTCGCCGTCGAATTGGGCAGTCCCAGTTGACACAGCTCGACTTTGCTACCAAGGATACTAAGGATGGGTATCGGAATTGAAATTCTTCACTAGAAGAATTGGTATTAGTTGATTGCGATGTAAACGTGGCGTTTTCTGGCTAATTTTCATGTCTGAACGAATCAATGTGGTTTGCTTTTTTTTCGAAGAGGACCAGGCACTTGATTGACTACAAAGTGAGCCTCCGCTATCTCTCAAATACTTGTTTTCGGTTCTTATTACTCCCATTTGGTGATGATGTATGGAATTATGGGCTCTGGAAAGGTATATTTGAAAATGGATTGAATCTTCATATTCTGAATAGTAAGTGAGCAACAAAAATGTGATATACGCAACATGTAAGCCTTATTGACTACCCCGCGATCCTAATAATCCTATCTCAGCCTAGAAATAAGAGCCAATGATAATTTTAAGTGCAGTTTGGTAGGGCAGGAATGGAACGAAATGGAATATCTAGTTGGTTTGACTGGGACGCAAGCCTTTTTGGGCTCAGCAAATATGCCGGGGCCTGAGAATGCGCTCCAAAACAGCAAAGCAACGAATTAAACAGTCATTCAGCTCACTATCCCAGATTCAGTTCGTAGGAAGCATTTCATTATGATGAGGGACTCTATCCAGTGTTCTCTTTAAAGTCAATTGAATAGATTCAAGGGGACAACAAGAGCTATACAGTCTTCTGTGTTCGATGTGAACATCAATTGCCTCAAACAAAATGCCTGGGCTATAGCGAGTCAAGAAACTTCCTCATAAAATAAACGAAGACTTCATTCGTGTTGAAAAAGGCGCTAGCTGGTCCATGAGATCATTATATATATTACAGCCACGTGTTGAGATTAAGAAAGAAACTATGCGCTACCTATATATCAGCGTCATAGCCCTCCTCTACGTAATAGACCAGTCCTCTGGATATAAACAGCTTTTGATAGGAACCGGCAAGCCTGATACTAACCTATTCCAGGTTCATGTAAAAAGACACTTCTATTTAACTAGCTTTGACTACAAATATAATTGGAAAGAAAAAAACAAAAAAAAAGTGAACTGGCGCCACCCGGAATCGAACCGGGGATTCTTGAGTATCAGAGAATGTAGTTGACCACAATCAAACGTCGTAACCACTTGACCATAGCACCCAGTAGATGACAAATGATGAGATACATTGCTATCTATACCAGAGCTATTATAGAATCGATGATCACTTCTAAGTTTACTCACTAGACCATAGCATCAGACTAAAAAGATAGGATATCTACTTTCGAGTCTCTAGATTCAAAACCAAGTATGTTAATAAAACCTATCTTTCAACAATTTTACTCTTCGTCTAATAGCAATTCTCAAAAAATAGAATTTATTGCTAGATTCATAATTTATAAGTTGTCATCCCTCTCTCTACAACCCTCGAAGCACTTACGAATATGATTGCTACGGCAGTGGAGGTATATACCCCCAACCTATAATTAAGACCGTACTGTAAGCTTTGGGTCACGCTAGACTTTAAAATATAGTAAACTAAGGTTAATATTATACCCATACCTAAAATAGTAAGGGAGCTACGCGGAGCTTAGACGACACTATGCCCGCTCTGTAACCCTCTTTTAAGATATGTGTTCCATCTATCGGTCTGTATCAATTCCGTTGCTTTTAAAAATACTAGACCTGATTAGAAGCTTCCCTAGCCATTAGTTGAGCGTACGATATTAGTCGCTTCTATATAAATAAGGCAGTGACCATGCTCTCACAAGAGTAGAACATGCTAATTTCATTCGAAATTCAGATCCTGATGCTGTTCATGGTGTTGGGCAGTGTTGTGGCGCAACTAATACACCTAGCGGCCCGTAATACAGTAGTTGATGTGTCGGGCTTTTCCCGTCCACCTCTCAATCACTCAATTGTCCGTTGAAGACAGAGTCAGATGTTTCTAGATAGAATTCGACATCAAATCTTGAAGCACGAAGATTATCACCAATTCTGGGGAAGAGAACACTGGAAAATTCAACGAAAATCATCAGAGCGGCGCCCTGCGAGAACGTCAATGTGATCCGTTCAAATTTCTCTGCAGCAGCATGTTTGAGCGTCTGCACGATTGAGTCGAGCAAGGGTTTCTTTACTTACGGAAGATTCGAGAGATAGGTAGTAAGTAATCGACACTTGCCTCTATACAATGCATACAGTTCATGCCCCTACTAGGAAATCTTTGTGCTAGCGCTTATAGATTCTGAAATGCTAGAGTCCTACGAGTAAATTCGCGAGAACCTCAATTTCGGACACTTGTCTACCATTATCGATGAATCTTTGAATGAACACCATGATATTCGATTAAACTTGGCAATACAATCTCTTTTATGTTTCTCCAAGTACATACGACCATAGGGTGTGGAAAACAGGGCTTCCCGTCCGCTCAGCCGTACTTAAGCCACACGCCGGTGAGTTAGTAGTTGGGTGGGTGACCACCAGCGAATCCTCACTGTTGTATGTTTTTGATGTTTTTGTTCATCTCCATTACCAAAAAAAGACTGAGAGGAAGTCAGGAATGTGGGCCAAAGATATGAAATAAGATATGTAAAAAGACCGTTAGAAAGCCGGGTAGAAGACATGTAGCAAGGTAGCGGTACCGCGCCATTCCAGAGTGTCGCTAGACTTTTTAGACAGATTGTACTACTATAGAAGCATCTTCTGTAAATTCACCTGAGCCTTACTGGTAGTGGCGTCAATCGTTTATCTGACATCTAAGCCGGCGGCAACTAACTACATCTGATCCGGCTAGAGGCGTTTTAGTCAGTCCACTAAAATGTGATTATGAAATGTTTCGCCGATCTACAGTACTGGATAATGATTGACAGCGAGCCATTGACAGCTCACCATAGTGAATCGTCCCTGAGAGTCCAGTATTACCGTCAGTGCTTCGCAGGAAGTCATGGCTTACACATTTTCAAATGGAATTCCTGGCCTCCTCGCCTCAACCCATGTAGCCGCCAAGGAAGCCGCGTATGTGTAGTGGTAAAAACGTAGATTTGTATGGTGGGACTAGCTTTAGTTGTTTAAATTAGTGTACTTTGCTTATGAGGGCATCCATTATAGTAATTTATGTATTTCAATTCCTGAGTATAAAAAACGCATTTGACCCCTGGCCGCTATACACCTTTGCAGTAGTGGACATGAGGTATGTGGGGTTACCACCGCTTTGGCAGAATATTTCAAAAAAATGGCGGGGCAAAGTGAGGATTAACCGTCAACTTTCGCTGATCACAGGGATAGATTCTGCAATTGGAGATTGAACTCTCGAGCCAATCATATTTGAAATATACATAATGCCTCTGACCAAGCTACAGGGAGTAAAGCTCCCCGCTTCGGCCGACTTCCATGGTACTGATATCTCAGGGACAACGTTGAATTGACATATCGAGCTGACCCAATACAGTCCATCTTCGGGATGGTCCAATGATGGAGCTGGTGACTCCCACCATCCGACAGGGTGGTGTTAACACGGTATTCGTTATGGTAAGGAAACTATGTGATCGGGACAAGAGTCAATTCTTTCTCAGCTATATCTAACACACTCCATAGCCCAACCTCGTGCCTCCCATCACGACTGTCGACCGTGCCCTAGAATACAAGCAGCGCTTGCAAGCACTCGAGCCGAATGTCAACTTCCTTATGTCGCTGTACCTCCACGAGACTGTCACCCCCGAGACCATCATTGAAGCAAAGAAGCGCGGCATCACCGGTGTCAAAAGTTACCCGGCCGGTGTGACGACTAACTCTTCCTCGGGCGTGGTCGACTACACGCAGTTCTACCCCGTCTTCGCCGAGATGGAGCGTCAAAACATGATCCTGAACTTGCACGGAGAAAGTCCATCCGGAGGCGACGTGACCGTGTTGTCCGCCGAGGAGCGGTTCCTCCCAAAGCTCTTCGAGCTGCATGAGAAGTTCCCCAAGCTGCGCATTATCCTGGAGCACTGCACCACTGCCGCGGCCGTGGAGGCAGTCAAAAAGTGCGGCCCCACAGTCTCCGGCACAATCACAGCTCACCACCTGTCCATTATCATCGACTCGTGGGCCGGCGACCCATTCTGCTTCTGCAAGCCTGTTGCCAAGACTCCGGCCGACCGCGACGCCCTTCTCCGTGCTGCCGCTTCAGGTAACCCCAAGTTCTTCTTCGGTTCCGACAGCGCCCCCCACCCAGCCGCATCCAAGCGTGGCGGCGAGAAGATCGCTGCTGGTGTCTTCACTCAGCCCTACACCACCCAGGTTGTGGTTGATGCCTTCGAGCAGGCTGTTGACAACGGTGTCCTCAGGGAAGAGGATATCACGCCGGAAATCATTGAGGGTTTCATGAGCAAGTTCGGACGCGCCTTCTACGGCCTTCCGGAGGAGCAGAATGAATTCATCACCATCGAACGCAAGGGTGAGAAGATTTCGGAAATCCTTCAGTCAGATAAGACCGACGTGGTCCCCTTCAGAAAGACCCAGGAGACCTGGAGTGTCTCTTGGTCTTGAAAATAGACCTGCACATATCCAATAACGAAGTTGTAGAGCCAAAATTTTTTCATATGCATATCACATCACTCTACACAGACTTGTCCTGCGTAAGCATATTGGCCACATTTTCAAGAGCATGGGCCTCCCTGATATCGATTCTGCGACCTGCGACAACAGGGTTTCCGTCGTCGCCCGTAGCAAGTTGACCAGCTCTTTCAAGGTGCAGTCGGATTCGGCTCTCGATATACTCCTTTCTCTCGTCTCTCTTAGACGTCGCTTCCATTGGAACCAGCGAATCTGGCAGAGCCGCCAACTTGGGCCGAAGCTGCTCAAGCGTGGCTTGTAACGCGGGCAGTTGGGAGAGAATAAAGGTCGTGTTTGTAGTAAGAGGCGTGGGTTTGGCATTCGGCCCAGCATCAACGCCGACGCGAAGCTGGCGCGCAGCTGGGCTGGAGGTCAAGAAAGACAGATCCAGTGGTTTGTTTGGGGATGCCTTGGACACACCCTCTGCCTTTGCTGTTTCGACTGTTGAGAGTATGGAGTTGAGCTGAGAGATCACCGCATCGTTTCGCGCGTGTTCCTCCTTCAGTGCGCGGTTGAGTTTCTTGGTCTCGAACAGCTTCTTGCGCAGCGCATGAATAGTCTCGGGTGTGGGTGTTTCTGTCGAAGAGCTGAACGAGAGGCCCTAAAAAATAGTTATTATACAATCTTCAATGGAAGTTTCACGCAGCTGCAAAGATTAGATTCCCACCAAGTCCACATACCTCATAATGCTTCAAGCGCACCCATGGGAGCAGATCCTCTGGTACTGTGAGAATGTTCCGCAGCACATAGATCTCGAATTTATCAAAAGCTTTGTCAACATTGGTCTCTAGTAGCGTCTCCAACTGGTGCAGACCATTCTCAATTTCTAATTTCGCCTCAGGATATAGCACATTGCCATCATCGTCGGTCTCCGGGATGGTGATGCTATTGCTGGCGTGGGAGAAACCAAGGCGCTCGGGCGGTGTGTTCAGCAGTCCAGATTCTAAGCTCGATATCGCTTGGTAGATAAGGTTATTTATCGAGTTGATAATGTCGTCTATGAGAGACTGATGCTTGTCAGTATGTGCTTCATCGCAAGGGGTGGGGCTAGGGCCGAAGCGCTGCGCGTGAGGGGAGATCGCAGTAGACCTACCAGGGGGGTATAGCTGAAGTGCTCAGTGAGCAAGGAGGTCGTCGCATCATTCATCGCGAAAATGTTCGTATCTCGGTACGGGGATTTGACGCGTTGAAGAAGCAAAACACGGGGGGAAAATCCACTAGCCACCGCCTTCCGAACTACATTCCTGAGTGTTACCCCCAAGCCTTTGAGTATTGCGGTTAACACATATTTATTGTTTTTCATTTCATATTCATTGCTTGTTTAATTTATTCCTATATCAATGATCTTCCCCGATGTACTGCTCTTGTGTTGTACAAAATTTGGTGTCAGACTAAAACATTCATGGATGGGTGCCATGGCCGACTCATCCCAGTCAGTAGATACGCGGGAGCGTTGCTTCAGCTGAACCCCGAGTCTTTGTACGTAGTTGTCAGAATTACAGAAAGTCCTGGACTGCAGCAGATGACCTTCCCTTGGCAAATGTTCCGGTTCCAACGACCAGACTGTCGAGCCATTGGAAGGTTTTTATCTCGTCCAGGTAAGACACCGAACTTTGTCCCATGTGCCTCAAACGTAGAAAAAATATTTAAAGTCTCTGCTCGAGGCCCTGGATGTCCTTATAGATGGTGAAGCTTGTCGGGAAAACGAAGGCAAGAAGACATGGAGAAAATTCAGACATTGTCATCATCTGAGTCGGTAAGAAGCCACCCACAGCCACCCCAAGGACAAATTCTGACAATCATAGCCGAGGATGTCCCACGGGAACCCACTGCGAGTGCTGGTGATCGTTTCGCATCGAAGTTCAAAAATTTCGAAAGCCCAGAACAACCCTGAAGCCCTCCTCCCCAAAGCTATTCGCCTCCTCAAATCAACGCACCTTTACGTTCCGCAAGAAAGGCACCCAACAACAAGGCTGTTAGCAGCGCAAAAATGGCAAACGAGGGTGTTTTTCGTCTTTGACATCTGCCACACAGCCTACGATGCCAGGCTCGGCCATCTGCCCGAGCAAAACCGGCTTCCCGTGGCTGTTGTCCATCTCAGCAAGAAGAATACAGCCTATGCGGCAAATGCATGGTTGTCGAAAAGAGTCAATAGGGATATTGCTCTCTTCCATAATGCCCATGGGTTCGGTGCGGTGCCGCCTTTTGTTGAGGATCGTACCGTCGGGAAACCACCTGAGTACATGAACCCAAGGGATATTACGCTCTTGCAAGCGTCTTGTCTCTGATAAAATGTTGCATGATTTTGCTGTGGTATCTCAAAATAATAACTCCCTAATACATAAGTTTGAATCGAACGCCGTGTCCCTTGAAAATGCAGACGCTAGAAGTCCATCGTAAGCTGTGGTGCCATTTTCTCAAGATCCTCAACCTGTATTCCAATTAGTATACCATAAAAGACAGCCAGAAGGCAGAGAATGCCAATGGCTTACCTCGAGGAATCCATCACCAACAGTTCTCCCCCCAGCATGCTCATTCGTCTCAGCCCTCTCATAAGCAGCCCGAGCGATGGCTTCTCTCACAAACACATCGACGTATTTGGCCACAACATTATTGGCGTCTTTTGCGACCTTGGTTTTGTCATTTTGAAAATGTTGATGCAGCAACCGCGTAAGCAGTTTGGGAGGTATTGTCGGTTCGCTGTAGGTCACATCTTCTGGTGGATTGGTAGTTGTAATTTCGGCGAGGATGTAGTCCGGTTCCTGAGAAAGAGAACGCGATCGATCGCGGGCCGATGCACCGGAGTCGGACTCTGAGCCCGATTGAGAATCATCGGCAGCTGAAGGTTCAACACGGGCTTTTTTCCCAGTCGCAGGCCTGGCGGGCCCAGATTGGGAATCGCCAGGAGACGGTGATTCGACATGGGACCTTTTTTTAGTCGCAGTTGCAGGCTTGATGGGCTTGGTAGATGGCTTGGATTTTACTGGTTTCGATGCAGACTTCGGTGCAGATGTCGATGCAGAGGCATTTGTGGTTTGTTTTGTTTTCCTGTTGGCTTTCAGCGCGACAGACGGCTCCACGACGGACGGCTCCGCGTTCGATGTACGGCTAGGTGGCTTGAAAGGGAGGCGGGGGCGCTTCTGTGCTGCCTTTGGTTCACCCGGCATATTAAATTCCTAAATGCCTGCTGAAATCAGGTCAACTGTGCAATTTAATAGTGAATTTGGAGGATGGAGGAGTTGTCATCGGAGAAATCGGGGATAACCAACTCGGGCGCGATTTGCGCGCTGTCATGTGATTGGAGGGGCCCTAATTTATCTCAACGCTCAAGATTTAGTTCATTCCTTCATAATCTGAGATATGTTTCTATGGTCCTATTCTTGGAAAACCTACAACCGATGTAATATTTAGATGAGAAAGATGAAAAGACAATCTGATTACCTCATTGATTCAATTTGAAAAGGCTCTAAAGAGCCAGACAAACAACCCTCCCACTCAGTTGGATATTGTTCCCCTCAATTTATCCGGTAAAAACTCGTTATCCACATTAGAAACGAAGTGAAGAGCATCGAAATATCTAGAGATCCAGATCACGAGGGTTCACTGACCACCAGTCTCATTCCCCTCAGTGGAGCGCAAGCGCACGGGGAGACGACCGCGACGACCACCAGTGGTGCTAGCCGTGTAAGGGAAACAGACATTGATCGGTAGACCAATGGAATTGATCATATCACAAATTAGTTCCCAGCGCACGTGGAACAGCCCGGTACAGAACCGATTGGAATACAGAGACAGAGGGTGTTCGCTTCCGGTGCGTTGGGCTTGCATTCTCAGCAATATAAGTTGCTCGTTGAGGTGCTTCAGAGCAGCAGAGAGGCTGCTCAAAATCTTCTCCGAGGAATCGACGTGACGGCCGTAGCCGTCAGAGGCAAAGAGACAAACAACCCAGTGGCGACGGGAGTGGATAGCAATGTCCCTCTCCTGGGGTGGGATAATGAGTGCGGTGCCGAGAGGAAGATTTACCGAACGGAAACGGGATACTCTCGAATATACAAGGTCATAAATGTTGTGAGAGGAAGGGGATTCTTTGAAAGCCCGGCAGTGCTGGACGTAGACTTCAAACGCGGCAGGGTACTAGGTATGCAATGTTACCAATTAGTGTCGTTTTACTATCGCAAGTGGCCAAAGATTCACGCACGTTCTTCCGAAATATGGCTGCGATGCCGGCGCCCCAGGCTCCCTTGCAGTTACATGCGTCTAAAGACTTGAGTCAGTGAAAGCTGCGGAAAAACTCATAATTCAGTAGATAAGATTTGTACGGATAATTGCTGCACCATCCGGTGCATCGAAAAGGTCTCCAGGGGTCTCCTGGATGAAGCTCGTATCAGTGGTGAAAAATTGATGCACCAAAGAGCAGGGATTGGTAGCATCGCCTACAGCGGCGCTAGCTTGAAGATCATCAGACATGGCAGGGACGAGGATCTTGTAGATATGAAGATAATAAGATTGAGAAATGAAATGGATAAGCAGAGGTTGTTTAAAAAAGATCGATAGAAACACCAACAGGCTGGATGAAAGGTTGAAAAGATGGTGAGCTATGAAACTCATACGAGAGGTAAGATGTAGATATCAGAAGAGAAAAAAGCGACTTGATGGAAGTATACGAAGAGAGATCCCATCTTAAGGAAGTAGAATGAACCTTTGATTCTATTAACCACCATAAGGTTTGCGCATAAAATTCCAAAATTCCGATGAAATCAAGATTGAAGGCCATTTTAAATAGCATATATGTAGAGCATCTGCTTAAATACCAAGAAAATATAGTACTAGAATTGGCTTAATTAGAATCAAAATGGCATGGTGTCCATAGCTATAATTAGCATAAGGCAAACACGAAAAAGAGGATGTCATGAGGTATTTGTTCACCAAAAGAAGGAAAGTTGATTTGGCCATTCCAAGGCTTTGGAGCGATTGATAGCTATTCCATTAATTCCGAAAGATTGAGTTTATACGGCCAGTGGAGGGACTTTGCAGTATATTTGGACAATAGAAAAATGACCGCAAATGGAAGAAATAAAGAAATCAAGCTATAGGAAAACATATTTGTGCGAATTGCGTAGTTAATAGAACTTAAATATGGCCGTAGGGGTCCGAGGGCATCTATCGTCGACTATACCTAGGCCTAGGGCTAGTGCTATGTTTCATAGTAAAGGGCACCAAACGACTTGTGTATAGGGGGATATGTCTAGCACCTCAAGAGATTCGGCAATATGATCGCTCATCGGATATATTGACTACAAGAGGGAAGTGAAGAGACCACTGAGACGTTGAATAAAATATGCAGTAATAATAGACGGCATGCTACAGATAACGTACATCAAACCTTGTACCTTTTGCCTGTTTGTACCTTTTGCCTGTCTGCATTTTGTGTCGTGAAACATGTATCGGACTGTCAATCTTTCTTTCCCTTGGAAGGCGGCTTAGGGCTCATGAAAGGGGCTATTTCCCCTAACTCGTTCAATCGACGATTAACAAAGCTCTTCAAGCTTTCCCTCTTCTTCAGCGAGCGTTTGCTTTGCTCATCCTTGGATAATGTCAGCTCCGGAAGATCCTCCATGGGTGGCTTCTCCAGGGAAGATCTCGCTTCAGTAGAATCTGCCAGCTTGGAGTCATCGGGACGGTGCGATTGAAATGGAGTAGCGTCAGCTGGGATGGGGACAATAGGAGAGCGCGAAGATCCAGTTGGAACATCGGGGCTCATGATGGTGCTGAGCGAAAGCGGAGCACTATTATCGCTGCTTCTCTTCATGCGGCGGCTCATGGACCGTGAGATAGATTTGAAGATCGAGGGACTTTGATCACTGCACTCAAGGCGATCGATTTCCTCTCTAGCAGTCTTTCCATTTGTTGCGAGATTGTCTTCGTCCACCGGGTTGAAAATTACCACTCCATTTTCGGGTGGAATGCCAAAGAGATCATTGATGGTTGCTTGGATCAGGTTTGTGTTGCGGAAATTGGTCAGAGGCGCGATAAGAGATGAGAGAGCGGATACCTTCAAAAGGTATGCAGGGCCATGAGTTGTGCCGAAAAGTAGATTTGTATTTTCATCGATGGTTACCAAAAGAGATGTTTTCGGTCGCTGATAGATTTGAGCAAGGGAATGGGAAAGGTTCGACAGTAAATTGAGTATATCGACCTTCGCCTGGTAGCAGGTCAGCGCGATGCTCACTGAACAGAGAACAGTACAAACTTTGGTATTAGTCCTAAGTTCAACAACAACAACAGATTCGTGAGCAACACGATCCTTGGGTGCATTGTGTGATCCATGGACTGTAAAGGCATCTTCGTAGTACAGTTTCTTCACCTTTGTCACTTGTATATCGTTCACCTTTTTCGAGGCCACGAAGTTGCATTTGCGATCTGATGTGACCGGTGCAATGTTTTCATCATCGCTTTTGTCCTCTTTAAACAAAGATGATTTTCTCATGGGTCTGTCGGGCATGACTGGTACAATTGGGAGTGTCTTTGGTGGAGCATTGCAAAGAGCATTTGGCGGCTGCTCTAGAAAAGCACGATTAGTGAGCAAGCGAGGCAAAGACTGCTTTTTCTTGGTAGACATTTTCAATGTAATTTGACTGAAGTTGATGACATTGGAAAAGTGATGAAATGACAAAAGAAAAGCAAGAGAACAACCACCAAAAAGATATGGAAAGTACGACTGAACTCTTGTTTCAGGCAAGAAACGCCAGCTCGCTGAATGCTGAGTTTCCACTGAAAAAAATCTTGTCAATACGTCTCCTGCGATCCCAAACAATCTCCCCATTGTTGTGCCGAATGTATAACACCCGATGCTGTGGAATAAATTCCTCGTCGGTGGTTTCTTTCTTCCAACTATCCATGCCGACTTCCAATTGACCTTCGAATCTATCCATAAAACCAATTACATAATCACTGCGATCAAATCCAGAGTCCCAAGTTATACGACTGATGATATCTGAAGTTGTTAGACATTGCTACCCAAATGGGTATATGCGGTTTTGCTCACCTCCAGCTGGGCGTAGTCTGTTTTCACCGGCTTTCGGATCAAACTCGGGCGACGGGGCTCGGGCTTTGCGCTCTGGAAGTGGGTTTTTTGACTGGGATGAATCTGGAGATATTATTTTCTCCATGAGGCTATCGGTGGCCATGGGTTGATTTGGTAACTTTAACGCCATAATTTGGAAGTAACAATTTACTCCGCAGATTAATACTATTTATCCTTCAGAACCAGAAGTAGATGTGTTTATATATGATTTTCTAATGCTCATCAAACAATTCTACCTAGTCTTCAAGTTATTCTTACGTTAGCTTCGTAACAAGTTCATGATTCACGTTTGGTCACCATGCTCGATTGGTCCACAGGCGGTAGTGAGGGAGTAAGTGACTCAGACTACATGGGGGCTTGGCCAAGGGTTATGACTCATTTCCATTGGCATGGGACAATTATTATTTTTATTCGACAAGATTATATGAAAAAGGAGAGAAAATTACAGATATAATAAGCAAAAGGAATTGAATTTAGTGGGAAAGACAGAAGGACGGAAAGGAAAAAAAAGAAACTCCGATAGGGGGAATCGAACCCCCGGCTGTCGTGTGAGAGACGACGATGTTAGCCACTACACCATATCGGATATGGGACAGATTCTTTGTTATAATTTGATGTCATAAGCTAATCAAAATGGTGCCACTGCTCGCTGTTCGTGCTATGTGGTTATAAATCATCCCTCGCCCCTTCAACAGCCCCGATTTTCATTTCATTTTGTTTTTGCCTTTTAACTCCTGCTCATCACTAGCAGGCATTATTTTGCTACTTGCTCGTCTCACTAAACTCCGAATGTTCGCCCTTCTTTTGCTTTGGATGTGACTCACCGAATCCTTTGTGACAGCAATTTGCGCTGCCCAATTTCGCCCGGCCAATGTTATCATTATCTCCAAACTCCGCTGATAACGCTGACCTCAATTTCGAGCCGAGCATAGTAGGGATCAGATTTCACAGCTTGCTGAACTGCCATGGCGTGACCAGACACTCAGCCATGATCCTATCCACCAGTCCTAACTTAGCCCGCCAAATTACGCGACCTATCACACACGGACAGATTTATTTAAATGCACTGAGGCATCAAATATGTCCCGATGGCGCATACTCAAGCATGGGAATCGTCTGATTCGTGCATTTTGTCCACAATCTTGGGCTAGTGGTCTTTCCCTATATCTCGCATGCGACTTCAAGAAAACCACGTGAAAAAACCAGAGCAAATAACAAACAATAAGGGAAAACTGAATCCAAAGTACTCATCCACCACGGTGTCGTACGAAGTTAACTGGAATTCTTACGCTGCCACATAATTGCTCCACAAAATGTTAAGACAGTCCAAGTTGCTATCAATGTAGCGAAGAAAATCCCCATCGCCCTAGCGCTGGCGCGAGTGTCCTGATTCACAGCAAGGCCAACAATTTTCGTACTAAATAGAGTCTATTTATCCAGATAAGCTTATAGCTTCTTATTGGAGCAAGGTAACATATCATCTTACTGTAATATGCATCGGATATGGAGATGATTGGCAGCTATGTCTTCGGCCAATGCGCTCCTGCCGGGGCCTCTGCCGCCTCGATCTGAGAATGACTTGAGCGTGTCAGCCTTACTCTATAGCTCGAACGAGACATGTTCAGCCGGACGAGACATAAAGCCGTGCAGGCCGCGCGCTTTCTTCATCCCAATTCAGTTTTCTGCCTTGTCCTTGTTTTCATTAAGGAAGATGGAAATATTTTCACCATCATGTTTGTCCAATACAGTCATCGGATGTGCTCGTATCAGCATGGCGCGAGGAAGTCAAGGTATTCGAGGTCTTGTTGAGATTTTCTATGATTTCGCATAGTGAACATCACGAAGCTTCGCCTCCCATCAGCGTGGGACTTTGCAGACTCTGCAGAACTACGTATACGGGAGATCCTTGGTGTTCCTGGGCTGAGCACGGAGAGCACCCCACATAGTGATTGGAGATGATCCTGCTCCATTAGGCTCGGCTTCCAACCCCATCATGACCCACGTTGACGAGGAATGGTGCCATGATGACAAGTCTTCTTCTGGTGAAGATACCGACATTATGAGTACACCAAAGTTCTGGGAGAGTTTAACCCACGATTACCTCGCTATTTAAGCAGACGAGTGTGCAGATACTGACCCACCAACGGTGCCGCCAGCCTGCGAGGGCCCATAATAGCCTGAGATTCTTGAGTAGTCACCCATAAACCATCCTTCCTTGGACGATAAAGCAATCAGATCGCGCAGATATCCAAAAGTTGATCCAGAGACACGTTGTAGTTGCATGAGGTTGATGTCAAAGCTAAGAACTGGTCTGTTTCCAGTGGGCAGACTTATGAAAAAATATAGGGCATTCCCTCGCGCACGCTCGATCTGCAGCAGAGGGTAAGGCTTCGATCTTTTCAAGAAGCTCGGAATATACATCCGACAGCTTTGGGGGTAGATGACCAAATATCTCTTCGATTGCAGCAACGGTTCTTAGCTCGCGCATAGTTTGCAGCTGGAGACTGGCTTATAGAAATCTGAAAAAGAGATGAACAAGTAATGCTATAAGGATTGAAATAATCTCATTGCACACGTGCGAGCAACATGACAGATATATTGTGTGATACTGTACCTCCCATGCTATGACAAATAAAATTCTACACTATATTGAAAGGAGTAAGGGTAAGCCAGTCTCAAAATCGAACACACACCAAAGTACCCATATCATTCCTTGGTAAATCTTCCTACCATGGAAGAGTCTTTGCGTTGTTGAACGAATAATGACCTCAGTTGCCCGCGCTGGACCATTTATTTTCCCGAAGGCAATGGAGTCGTCGTTTATATTCCACAATAGATAACAATCAGCGGAGGGGATGATATGGCCATTGCTATCAAACCTCTGCATTCATGTGAATGCACAAATGGAAAGCAAAAGAACAGCAGCAGAAAGATACAGCTCGATCGCAAGCCTGAGGGATCCTCTCTATATACCGGTCTCTGGAAGGCCGAAAAAGGCCGAAATGCGCAAAATACAACCTCAAACCTCTTTCCCCGATCTTGAGAAGAAAGCTGCTTCAACATTGGACAAGCGCAAGAGAAACAATACATTCTCCCCCATTCAAATATCCGAATCGCATGTCCTAGGGACAATCTCGAAGTTAGATCAAGAGAGGACTTTGGCTTACTCTATGCCTACTTTGGGTCAGAATTGCTCAGGTGGAGGTTTCGAAAGTTTGTCCATGGACTGGTACCACATCAGGAAAAAGGCCTCCGGGAGATCTCCTCATCTAATATTTGCTTCAATGCAATATCTGCCAATCGGAACTTTAATATACATGAGAGGAGTATGCTGTTGAGAGCCATGCATGTCGATGTCCCCAAACTGACCAGACACAAAAGGTCTCTTGATAGTCGCTTTGAAACATCGAGCTTGGTCCCAAAACAAGCAGGCCAAAACTTCCTCTTGAGAAACTCCATATAGTTCTGAGATAGACTCAAGACAGAGGACACCGCTCTTCTTAACCCTCTCGAAGAGATCGTCGTTGTCGAACATCGCATACATAGTCAGCTCGTAGGGCCCAGCATTCTTCGTGCGAATGACAGATGCGATATCACCTAAGTAGCGATATCCCTCTAGCGGATTGAGCTTGAGAAATGGCCTTTTCTCAAGGCTCCTGGTCATCATTTCAGCTGCCTTCGAAGACAGTGAGCCGGATTTTCCATCCACTGCAAGTTTCGCAAGTTCTGTCACGAAGGTTCCGGTGCCTGGTAAAAGCCGGTGATGGATTGGAAAATGCTTCACAGGATCGACTTTCTCGAGAATATGATAGACCGAAATCTCGCATACTTCTCCCATTGGAATATCATAGGGCGGAAAGGGCATTGCAAAATTGCCAGTTGTCGCTAGTTGATATGGATATGGCCCATGGATACAGGCGAGTCGCGCAATGTTGCTAACATGTGTTGCTTGAGTCTGCGTAGGAGCTAGCACCTCTCCACAGAGGCAAATCTCTTTTGGAACATTTAAATTGGGCTCAAGCTCGCCCATGACAGCGTTTTTGCCATATTGATGAAATCTCAAATAGAACTCGTGGGAGAATCTGCTCCTCACATATGCCTGGATGTTGCTCAAAACTTGATCTAACTGCGAGATCGATATATGATCCCGGATAGCGCCAAAAAAGGTAGTTCGGTATCCTAGCACCCGAGCCCCTTCGAGCTTGACTGTGTAAGGATCTGCCGCGACGAACTTGTCCCCACGTACGCGGACAGTACGATTGTCTTCCAGGACTTTATGAGTTGCGTGTTCAAGGTAGAGGGTTCCACCCGGGCCAACCAAAATATCTGGTTGTGTCTTTTCATACAATGTATGAGCGGCAAACGAAGTGACTCTGCAACGTGCTGCAGGGTCGAGGGGAACTATGTCGAAACTGCCCTTTCGTAAAGTGGCCATTGCAGATTGGCTCTTCGGGAAAGCGCACAAGGCCCCGCATTTCATAATCTTTCCCATATGATATGCGATACCAAGATCGGGAAAGCCGCGATAGATGCAGAATGCAGCGTATGGTGACGGGTCATATGTACGACCCCCGACGATGATATCAAAATCAGGATTTTTTTCCATGGCCTTCACATAAGGCTCTAGTCCCATTTGCGCAACGATTCGCGTGGTATCGTCAATATTGGACGACTTGAGCAACGGGGCCGCTTTGCTGCAGGGGACAACTTGGCCACAGTCCAGCTTTGATTTCACCAGACTTTTGTCGACTTCTGAATAGATACTGACAATTTTCATTGCACGATAGCCTTTCTTTAATATGAGATCCCTCATGATCTCAACAAAGAGACCAACATGACCATTTGCTCCATCACCGCCGGCAGAACCAACGAGGATAGGAAAACGATGTACATGACACGCTGCGAGAAGAAGATCGAGATCGTGTTCGTAGCCCTCTCTAGTCACGGTTGTATGGCCTAGGGTGAGCTTCTGTGGTCCACTGTCGGCGATGAATGCATCAGCGCCTTCCTCGAGCGCTTTCCAAAGGAGATCTTCGTTGAAGCCATAGTCGAGCATTCCGATGGGTGTAAAGATCTTCAAATCATCTTTGTTTCTGGAGATCGTCATTTTGAAAGAAAGAGCGTGCTTGAATTATCCGACTCTGAGATGTGGACATAACTATTGTTACCTTCTTTCCCTGACAATGGCTTTGGGCCTTGTATTTACTGCGGTTATTCTCCAACTATTTATTAACTTGAAGACATACTTTGTTCAGACCTTTTCCCATTCGATTTGTAATAGCATTGTATTGAACTCTTTACTGTCAGCGGTCCAAGGTAGAATTCACCAAGTCTAGAGTCTGTCCAATGGAAGGATAGATGTCTATGCAGATAAATAACATGAATGATAGAACGGTACCAGACGAAATACATCAACCGGCAATCTGATGAGGTCAGAACAGCCGCGGTGTGAGATCTCATCAGCCAATTCTCCCACGGTTCCTGCTTTCTTCATTGCCTCAATACGATGTATTGATCATCATACTGCTGTCATTCCTGTCTATCCCCAGACAAACATAACTTTCATTCAATAGCTAAAGGCAGCTGTCGGAGTGGTTGTCGCCACCGTCTGAGCATCCTTTAGGGCATTTCTGCGTCATGTGGATGGCGCCGTTGCTGCCACCGTCGCAGTGATAGAGGAAGTAGTCGTAGTTGACCGTCGCAGGATCAATACCCGCTTCATCCAAGGCCTTGAGGATCTGCTGGTGGTAGTCGCCTATTTTGCTTTAGCACGATTCAAGAAGAAATGATAAATGAGCTTGGTTGCGATACCTTTCCCCATAAGGGTGAAAGAACAGTAGTTGAGGCCCTCTTGGCAGTTCTTTGCAACGGCCAGAGAGGCGAAAATGGCGAGAGCGGGGACGATAAACTTCATATTGAAAATGTAGCTTGAATTTGAAGGTTTGGACTGTCTGAATTGCTTGAATGATGAAGCTGTTTGATGATACATGATATGAAGGGAAACAGCACCCTTTTTATAGACTTTTTTGATAGCGAAAAGCAAAGATATGACGAACTTTCTGAAACATCGGCCCCCGAATGACGTCTGTTCTGTATCCTCTGGCCCCCCGAAGGATTTGAAGATAAAAATAATGTGTAGATCGTGAAAGCCATGGCCCCCGGTCTGCCTTGCTCCATCCGACGATCTTTTCATCCTTTTTGTTCCCAATTTCGGGGCCAAAGAATCCTGGCTTCACTCAAACGATCCAATTAGTGAATTTCTATTTACACTTGTTCCATGGATAGGGCGAGGATAGCGATCCCTTAGGTCATCCAGGCACGGGTTCAGTACGGCTAAGCAGAAGATAATCCCTATATTTTACAATTTGCGGGTTTTAGACTAAATATTACAGACAATTGTCATGATTTTCAGTCTTTGATATCTATTGGATTGTATTACAACACTTGGCTTTTACCCTTGAAGCACCTGAAAGATTTCCTATCCCATCTAAAATTTGCCATTGCCCAAGTCAGATTGACTGGCAGAAATGTTAGGCTTTTTATGCAAGCAATTATTCTTGCACATATTCTAACATCTTCCGGATTTTTTGACGGGATCAATCAGATCATCAGCGATCATTTGCTACATCGCCATATATATTTCCTAACAACTGCAGAGAGATAAAAAATTGCTAGAATGAGTATGGGCGAGGCCAAGATAAGCTACTATGGTCACTGAAAAAGAAATGTTTGAGGCCCGTTCCATCGCAGTATCACGATTTGAAAGAAGACAGTAAAGCATCACATACTTTGGTCGGGTTCCCAGTCAAAGTATCCAGGCTACCCCGAAAGCATGATTTGCAAGTGAGAGAAATTGTGATCAAAGTAGAAAGTAGTGGCTTATAGCCCTGGAAAGCTTCCAATCCGCCTGTTTTTCGGCTCTGAAAAGCGAGCTGTTTGATGTGCCTCAGGGGCTGGGAGTCTTGTCGTTTTGAATAGACGAGGCTTGCAGTTTCGGGGACTCTTGAGGCTGGTGCGGGCCTCTGTAAATGCTATGCAGAGAGAAAAAGGCTAACGAGACCAGATAAATTGAGATTTTACACGCCAGTGGGTATCGATCACTGAGGTTGGTGTAATTTTCGATCTCAATGGTGGCGAAGAGGACCAAAGATATGCCGATGCAACCTTCAACGACTCTTTCGTACATTCTGGGGGCTCAAGATTTGAGCTTGAGAGTAGAGAAGTGGCCCACGAGAGTAGATGGTTTGGTGGATTGGAAGTCACACAGAGAGAGATACGGATTGAAAGCAATAAAGGCGAGACCGAAGATTACGGGGAACTAAAACATTTCATACGAAAGTGGGGTATAGCGTCATGATGTAGCCTTGGTACCTCGACCCCAAGCCATTGCAACCGTAATCCTGACCTGATATGCCAAGACGAGATAAATTTATTTACTTGGGAGCCGGGGGCCGGGGGCGAGGAGGGCGGAGCAATTATCACAGGTCTCCCAGGTCTCCCATCGAAGCCAAAACTGAGACGAAGGAATCCGTGATTGACACTGGGGCCGAGGGGCCGGGGGCCGGGGGCGAGGAGGGCGGAGCAATTATCACAGGTCTCCCAGGTCTCCTATCGAAGCCAAAACTGAGACGAAGGAATCCGTGATTGACACGGGGGCCGAGGGGCCGGGGGCGGAATGGGCGGAGTAATTACAGCGGGTCTCCCACAAAAGCCAAACCAGAGGTCGAAGGAATGCGCGATTTACATCGCAGCCGGGTATCAGGACGGTAAGCAGTCATCTTACCCAAATCACGCTTTGCAATAGCTCTAAAGGGGCCATGTCGATCATCCCCTCCCAACAATCCTTCTATACAGAATAAGATGCGTTTGGGGCCATTTAAATACAGGATTATTGATACTGGTTGTTAGTGATCGTCTAGACCGTAATTCAGGGCCCAGCAAGTGACTCGCCCCAAGTGCATAAACAAAGAGTGGCCGAGGAGTCTCGAATATAAAAGGGCTTCTGCTCGACCAGATTGTCTGTATCAAATCTGAAATTATCGCATAAATATCAAGATTCGACTGTTTCCTATATTCTTTTACAATTTTGAAGCCTTTCCTCTCAATCGAGCACAGTTCTACGCGTTTGCCTCAATGTTCATTCTTGTCCCCCTTTACCTTTTTGTGTGCTCCGTTAGCGCAGTCAAGTTCTACGGTCATGCTATTCCCGAAGACCTTCTCAGCAGCACACTGAGTCACTTGTCAGAGGCTCTCGAAGGTGACCTGAGATATAGCTCTCTGTTCATGTCTCAAGACTTCAAAACTCAAAATGGCTCTGACTTTCTGGCAAATGAACTAGGCGTCTTTGACATGACACTAGAAGAGTACTTTGCCGAAGAAGAGCAGCTCTCAAGCACCTTGCTGCCATCCGTGACTGCTAGGCCGTCCGCTGTCCTTGGCGCTAGATCTTCGGTGGACCAGCTTCGCTGTGGTCACAACGCTGTCGAGGATACAATCAGCGAAAAGAATCGGAAGCACATCTGCGGTGGTGCCGCGGCCCTCGCTTCCGCGATTCCTGGCGGCCTCGCCATGATTTTAGACAGCTCTAGGGGTTGTTCTGAAGCGTCGTCGGGCATGAAAGTTGCATGCAAGACAGTCGTTTTGATCACTGGTGTTTCTGGAGTTGGATTCACGTTCAACGAGGTAAACAATTTCTGCCTAGACTACATGGAAGCCAATGGCAAAAGATGCAGCAGCCAGGGCCTTTCTGGTTCAAACAGCAAGGCTTCCATCACCGTGAGAAATACTCAAACAGGCCCCACGTGCGCAGACTACGACGAGACATGCAGAGAGTATAACGCTTGAAGCCCTGTGGTGTATTAAGGCTAAACCCGCGCATAACGACCAGAGACCAAGAGAGAGAGAATTGGAAGAGTGAGGGTGCAAGAACTCGGGTTCATTTTTGGTCCTCATCCTTGTACCCATTTGGAGCAATCTGATTATATGAGTCAGGACACAAGTTGTTTATGTTCATAAACAGACCTGTATTGTTCTAGACTAGACGATTTGCAAACTGCTTTTTGTGTCTGCTTTTGTCTACTATTTTACCATCGCCATTGAATATTCCTTTCCCGGCCGATGAATATCGTAATAGTAAATCTCTGCAACGTCTAGTATCATTACGTTGCATCCAGCCAAGTCTCCGCCACAATAAGGCGGTTTTGTTCCATTAGTGTTGCCCTTAAAGATCACTTGCAGTCCCAAATTCAGCTAGAGCAGGGCTTTATCTCCATCCTTTCGAATCGGAAGAACTGCTCGGTTCAAACTCCGAAAAATAACCCTTGTTTATTCTATTCTCACTGCCCTATTGGTTGACTGTACTTACTCAGGGGTCTGACTATACAAATCCGAGAACTTCGATTAAATCCGCACCTTTACAATGAAAAAATTCCCCTCACAGCGGTATTTGGATATTATTGCGACTCGTGACTAACTAACTGGTCGAAATTTTGCACAGGACTACAATCAAGTATGGAGCATGGCAACTGTAGCTCATGTCAATAGTGAGGTATTGTCCGCAGAAAAGTTGAGCTATTTTGGGCTATCATCATCAACTTGGCTGCTAAGCAATCCAGTCGAAAAGCCTTTAGTCAGAGATTGACTATCATTTCATGCTATGCCAACAATCTCACACCGTTTATGCCATTGATCTGACATGTATCGAGTATTGAGAATAGTATCACGTTTTGCAAGGGCCTAGTACTCCAAGGTGGAGAAAGGAGTACCAGATATTCCAATCATACTAATGTCCGTAGTAAGGCTTGCTGTCCAGTGTGTAGTCCTTACTCGCTGGTAATTCCCTGCTCTTCAGTGTGTCCCATATGGGTGCAGCACTATCACATGGCCATTCCCCCATCCGATATTCAGATCGTAACAGCTTCTACTAGTTCCTATCTAGGTATAGCGTTAGGACTAGGCGTGATACCTAGTTGGCTAACATTTCTATGTGGAAAGACCACGGTTTTTGATAGTTTCAACTACGACAAACTGTGGCCCTTTCGCTGAAGCTGCAGCTGCCGTTTACACCATATCGGAGGGGGATAGCGGATTACGCTTTGTAGTTAAATTTGTCCACTTGTGGTTTAGCGCTCTTTGTCCTTAGGCGTCGTCTATGCGAGGGTCTACGAACCGCAGGATACAAAGAACGGTTTGGCAGGGCCTTGTTGTACTTAAAAATGATAGCGCTTGTAACATAAGATGATGAGACGACTGGTATGTAGATGTGTATTCTCAGTCAAATAAATGAATTTGGATAATGCAACCAAGATTCCCACGAAGGCCCTAAGTAGTCCTTGATTGCAGAGATGATATATAGGCCGCTGTCTCCCAATATCCACAGGTCACGGCGACTATGGATAAGAACACCGAAGTGAGAGAGGATGACTAGTGCTTCCGGTCGACGTTCCGACAGTAGATCTATGTATTTGGGGGTAATGGTGACTGGCCAAAAGATTATTGGGCCAATTGTTGACAATCTCAACGAGTCAGCGCGGCTTGCATCAAAAGCCTTCTGTAGGTGCTCAATCGCCCTTCGGTAAGCATCCCCGGTAATTGTATCGAAAGGCATGGCGTCAACGTGTGACAGGAGTTCAAGGCACTCGTGTCCGGAGGAGCCTTGGTCTAGTGCCTTGCCTTCGCCTTCCAGGAAGGATTTTAGAGGCGACTCTAGAAGCACATCCCAGAATTGGCCGGTGATTGCGCGAACCCCGTGATGCATCCGTAATGACTGGATAAAGTGATCGAGGAAAACCTCAAAATTGTGTGGGCGATATAACAATTTGTCTGAGAGGACGTGCATGGCAAGAACCGACGAGAAAAAAAAAGTCGGGAGGCAAGTTTCAGCGTTAATGTCCAGTTTGGTTCCATTAAACTCGGAAAGAGCATGTGTTTGGAGCTGGGATGCGTGATTTCTGTAGAACTCCTGCTTCTCCGGGCGAATGATACTCATGTGTAGTGCAGCAAATGCAAGGACTTGATTCATGAGAAATGGTGCAGTCAATGCGCAATTTGTCATGTCGAAAGCAGGGTTTTCAAAACAGGACTTGTCAAAGCCAAGAGAAGTCAGAACATTCGTGACAAAATGATGGAATAGTTCCAGATGTAACTTATTGACTGGTGGGCTCAGAACTGTTCCACCAACATGAGTGACATTTGGAGAATTGACAGGCGTTGCATCCTTGCTCTTGGGCTTTTGCTTGGGGCGTTGTACTAGAGAGTGTGCTTTTGACACCAACTCTTCATATGAACAAGTACGCCTTGAGACATCGCAGTTGACACACTTTGGGCGGTTCTCATCGCACTTCCAAGGTTACGAAGTTAGCTTTGCCTATTCTGCTTAGGCTAGACTACTTAGGATATTCTAATTGGGTAAAATACCTTGATGTGGCGGCGCTTGCATTCGACGCAACCCTGCCTGGATTTCCTGTGTGGCTTCCGTGGACAGATCTTACTTCTATCAGAAGGGGACATTCTTGGATAGAGTCTGACTTTTCAAAACATACAAATTGAAAAGTAATATACCTTCTGATCGAGGCAGGTTTGATGAAGAAAATATTTACTCAGAAAGGAGAAATTCTTCAATGATTCATGAAGCCAAAGCCGGGTAGGGTGATGACTCAGCCGGTGCCTGGCCCAGCCACCACTGGCACTAATACAAGGCTACAGAGACATAGCCATTATAGTTGCACTCAGAATTTATAAAAAAACATGGCCCTTTAAACTTTTGACTCTGGATTCTAGGATGTTTCGACGTCAAATGAAAGCTATGATTATTGAACATTTTGATGAAAGCCAAAACCCTATATCATCAACCCGATTCTGACCCCTGTAAGAAATGGCCGATTGCTGATCTATAGTCTTCACTATCCTTGATCACACATGATGCAAACTAAAGTGATCGTCTCCTGGTAAAGCCGCTCCAATCAGAATTTTCCCAGGATGATAGAAGTGGAAAATAGATTGCACAGTGAACATCGGCACTGCATCGAATAGGTACATGTATACCTCGTGTGAATAGAGATAGCCATCCATTCCTTCAACATTTTCGATGATTCTAAAAACGCAGCGCCCAATAACCAGTGCTGAGACGAGCAGTAAGATATGAAGAAGTCGATACCAAGGACCACCAATAACATGCAGACCAGTCCGGCGTAGTCGTATCAGGAATGACAGAGAAACGTAGAGAAAGAAACCGAAGAAGGCTAGTTGAATGATGAGTCCGACAATCAATATCTTCTGGCCCATGCTACGCATGCTGTCAATAACCTGCATGCCACCACCTGACAGCTGTAGGAGAAAGGCAGCAATGTCGCCAGATACGAATATCTTGGTAACCTTTCTCGGGGCCACAATGGATAGATCAGGTTTGCCGACAAACATGACGATACGTCCATAGATCATGTATACTGTGGCAGCATAGAGTGAGGGTGGGAGAATGATGAACATTGATTGACCAATGTAAGGCACAAGACTGTTTGGGTTACGCGCCGACATCAATCGGAAAATGTAGCCGAGCGTCATCACTAGAGCGATACATGGTTAGCATCTCGCAATTCCATTTCAAGTCTTAGATTCACTGATAAGGAATACAAACTGAAAGCGCCGACGAGAAATGCTGTAAAGAACCATGTCTTCATCTTGAACAGTTGCCAAAGGTGAATGATTGCACTTCCTCCAAATAGAACCATCATGATACCAGCGCCTGCCTTGCTGGGATCATATGGATAGTAGTCCGAAGCAGCCATGGTAAACAAAAGTAGTTCTCAGATTATCGAGAGAGCGGGATATCGAGGACGAGATGAGAAAATATGCACAATTTATCGTGTGACCAAAAGCAACGAGTAGAATGAGAAGAGAGTGTGATTGCGTTCAATGTGGAAGTACTTCAAGTTCTAAAAGAAAGTAAAAGTAATGTGTAAATTTCAAGATTGAAGAAGCGGAACGTTGGCTGACCCTATATGTAGCGTTCCACTCGGGCAAAACTTGCACCAGACAGCTCAACCAGCTGCTTGTGGCTAAAAGTCCTGGCGCCTAAGTCAAAGAGATGTCTGATGCGCTATTTTGGAAAACAGAAAAGTGGACTAGTATCCGAAACAACGGGGACTAGCACATCCTTCACTCGTATCTACATTAGAGGAATCCTAGTTAGACCCGCCCTTAGGAGTCAAGTGCAGCTCAAATACCAGGTATCGGAGATTGTCACCGGTTGATTTGAGATAGACATCCAAAAGGGGCCTGTCAAATGGAGCCTCAGCATTATCATGTGGAATAATAAATCTTTATATGTGGATAGACCTCGGGGACTTACTTGGGAAAGGCATATACGCGGAACGAAAAGTATGTGATTGGACCGGCCTCTAATTAGTGTGTAGCGGGCCCTAACCCACAGGAATATTGTGTCAACCCCTAATCAATTGCATACTGCATAGCATCTCAATATCGTCTCCTTCCAACTGTTGGACTGTAGTAGATCGTATGCTAATAAGCTACTATGCTTTGCTTCATTTTTCGCCATTTCCAATTTTTCCAATCCCCCCTTCCCGATCAACTTGATCTTTCGCCCTTCCCACGACGACACTATTTCTTGCCACAAGCAAGCTGAAACCGACTAAGCCGATAGGTAGACCGGGCTCAAAACCCTGATGGTTTTCTGTTCCTGTAAAATCACTGTCGCATGGAAAGACATTGCCACCCAATACTATGGGGCGTTCTCAGATTACCACAGCTAGTACCTCGATTTGAAATTCAATACAATCTCAAAATGTATTATCATAAAGCTCTATCGTAGGTCAACCATAAAAATTGATTCACTGAATTAATAAATTTTCTCTATCCAAGTATGTATGTGCTTTGTACATTCGGTAAAAGGAAATCTCTTCCCACAGGTGTTTTGTACATGATTTGGATATTCGAGCATCAGGACTTTTGGTCTTCGGGTACAAAAAGCAGAAAGAATATGAACCGATAGTAAAAGAGAATGTCCAGCGAACCAAACCATGTCATCTTGCATCTCCTTCTCTTCCAAAAAATGTACTGAGCTTAGGGGCCTCACTTTTTCAGAAGGGATTCTTCACCTGTTCATGGTGCCACTCGGCAGAGCAGACCAGTTTGCAAGTCATTGTTCCAGAGGTCACTCCCTACACCACTCCAGACAAACAAACTCTCAGAAGGATCATACTTGCGCTTGATAGAAAGAAGCTTGCCGTAGTTTTCACCATAGAAATCCTTCTTCCATGCGCGACACAAGGGGTTGCCCTCGTTCATGTAGGACCCGCTGTTGGGTGCCCATTTTGCCCAAAGAGGCTCCTTGACAGCTTCATAGTAGTCGGCACCAGCCTTCAGAGATTCGCTTGGGTTACCCGTGGCGTTCACTGATGCGCCCAACGTGAAGACATGAGCATATGCGCTGCGCCAAGCAGGAAGAACGCTACCGCGCATGTTCTCTGGTACACTAGCTGTCCCGCGACCACCTTGCAAGCCAAACAACAACATTGTTCCGGCTTCCGGATCCTCAGATGCTAGGGCCACCTTGAGGTATGTGGTCAATTCTTCCCGAGGAATGTCTGATAGCTCCCTACGGCCCATTAGCCGGCTAGTCATCAAGCTGACAGCACCAGCAGTGTTGCTGAGGAGAGGGTCTGGATTTACAAATGACCAGTAGCTCTGGGTAGTCGCTTGTTCAACTGAAATCTTTAGGTAGCGACCAGAGCCAATAGCGTTGACACGACTTGCTAGGTTCCTCACAATGCTGTTCATGTGGTCTGTTGTTTGATTGTAGCCAATAAGCCCGATGACTGCTGTGACGCCAGGTGGTGCCTCGCTGAGGCCAAGCACAAGTGTGTTTGTTTTGGTGTATGCAGTAAAGTTGCCGAGCAATCCATCATCCATGAGATCCGGGATTAGAGAAACGACCTCGGATAAGGCGTTCCATGAGGCATTCTCACTCTTGTTAGACCTTTCGGCCGCATGAAAAACAAGGCTCCCCTTGACAACATTTTCTGGAACGGGATGTGTCTTCAAAACAAATTCCGTTACCACACCATATTGGCCTCCACCACCACCACGAATGGCCCAAAAGAGGTCTTGATTCTGCACGCTGTTCGCGACAAGAATTCGGCCATCAGTCGTGATCACAGTGGCTTGATATAACTGATCTGATGCAAGTCCATAGTGGCTGGATAAATATCCATGACCACCGTTTTGAATCAAGCCCCCGAGTCCTACAGTAGCATCTTCACCACCGACGGCACTTCTGTTGAAACGGTGGGCTGCAGTGTAGACGGATCCCCAGTTGTTTCCGCTGCCGCAGAATAAAACGTCTGCTGTCTCGTTGCGATCGGGTAAGAGCCAGGCACGATCTCGTTTGATGTGCTTGAAATTGTGCGTCCAGATAGAAAGTGCGAATGCTCCGGTTGACCTAAATCAAGATTAGCGAACGTGAATTGAAGTCGCACTAATCATTAAAGCCACATACCGACCACTGAGGTCGTGTCCAGTTCCCTTCACAACAATCCGAATGTTCCTTCGCGAGGCCCATTTCATCGCCGTGGCGACATGGTTTTCTGTCGTAGCGTTCACAACATATTGTGGCAGGCCACCGATACTGCAGCCTTTTCCCTCCGTGTAGCCGGTCACACCATCAGGAAGGCAGGAGTTATTCGTCCAGATTGGGAAATCAATACTCTCTGGCAGGGAGGCGTGGAATGCTGCATATGACCATTTATTCTGCAGGTCCGTACAGTTCTGGGGTGAATTAAATGGGTTGCCGGGATAGCAAGATGAGGCGACAGGGGCAGTTTTGATTAGAACTCCCCCAATAGAGCGATTTAGTGCACCCCACTCATCATAAGACGGCCATGAGAAATCTGCAGGTGAGATTTTGCAGTCCAGGCTGGCAAAAGAGGTGGCCGAGAAAGCTAAGAGCAAGGACTGGAATCTGAGGGGAAACATTTGCAAATCGTTGCAGTGAAAGATTAGCATACAATCCAACACGACACAGAAAGAGGACTTTGAGATTTGTATTTAAAGGTACAACATATAACACGAATACGATTGAGCACGACTCAAGGGGTATCATCTCACGGTTCTACGTCATCGAACAATCTCGCTATACTTGACCGTCTACACAATTCAGCCCACACGCTAGGATCTATATATAGTATTGATGGCACCAGGAACGGTTCCTACCGTCTATGATCAGTGCCCATTTATTCCATTTGTGTGGAACAGGCCCGAGGTGATAACCAAGGCAAAAGAAGATGCCTGGAAGATGCCAAGCTGAAGATTGACCCGCATGATGTATTCTGGACCAAACATGGCCGTGGCAGCACGCGGAAACGCATACAGGTACTGAGGTACGAGTGGAACTGCCTTGGTGGTTCATTGGTGGATCGTGCATACGCGGATTTTCCGGCCTTTAATTTGTCCACAACCTTACAAAGGGGTCTTCTACAGGTCGAACTCTAGTAATTACTTTAGCCATTGAGGCTAGTTGAACGTAAAATATCATTATTTTTCCCTCAGTGGGTAAGATACTAGAACAAATCAAGGATAGTAGGGGATCTCCGCCAAGTTCGTCGGATTCTCTTCAAAACCCGCTTTGGGGGGCTTTGTGCCGAGCAGTCTGTCATTCCCACCAACTTTAGCGTCTCTGTTTGGTGGCCGTCAGCTAAGTCTCTTCACTACTGTCCAGGGTCCATTTGCTTCTTGATTTGGGCGACAGCATTAAATTGCTTTGAAAATATTAAAATTGCATGCTGAGTTCAAATTTTGTGACTTCTGACTGCGCCTTCCAGGTCTACACCCGAAAGCACAGGAGGCTGAACAAGATGCCGCAAACCAGATAGTCCATGAGGACGGAGTTTCTTAGGCAGTCGCCTCTTTTCACCGCAACCTTCCACTTAACAATATGCGATGTCAGCTTCTTCTGTCAGAGCCAGCAGTGTGGCAGTTCAAGCAATGATCTCAACCCTCGCTTTTCTCACCCAATGTTGCCGCGGGAGTCTCAGTCAAATACTCCGCCTTCAAATTCACTGATATTCACCTGTAAGCATATTTCCTCATTTCACCTTGCCATACCGTATCTGATCAATGGAACAGCCATGAAGTGAGCCCAATACACTCAGAAATGATGGTGGGATCCGGTGACAGGCATCACTTCCTCACTTATTGGTAATGGCACCGATGTTCTCCAGGCATCAAGCGATATCTTCTACCGTCCGTATCAAGAATTTCGTCGTGCTCCTCACTCGAACGCTGACCTTTCGGAGTCCTCCAAATCTCGGGCTTCGAGCATAAAATCTATAACGGCCTAAATTCTCAAGAAGGCAAAAAAGACTCGAAGTTGAGAACTACTAGCTCGACACTGAAAGGGTCAGCGAAGAGTGCTGGAAAGATGGTTGGCTTTTGGTATAAAGGCATATTGGTTGAATATGCCTTCAGCAGTCAGTGACGGATTCAGGGCAGTGCTACGTCTATATGGTGATGAAGTGAGGGATCACGGGAATATCCGAGATTGGAAATCAGGAGCTACCTTCGCGAGAAAAAACTTTGCTCATGGCATGGCGGAATGACTAACAGACATCTTTACTCAGCCTTACAAAGGCGGGCAGAAAGAGGGGGCAAAGGGTGTTATGAAAGGAATTGCCAAGGGAACTTTCGGGGTCACCACCAAGGTGTCCTCAGGTATGTGCATCTCTGTCACCGAACTCGACAATCGCTAAAAAGTCTCATCGTAGCAGCACTGGGGTTGGTAGCATAACCCAGAGCATAGTATGATGAGAAGCTTGTATACGGCAACGCATTGTCAAACGCGGAACCGCGTTATTCAAGCGAGAGCCAAAGAAGGAAAGTTTCTGGTTAAGTCACCGAAGGGAGAGATTCATCGCCAGTCTATCATTCGGAAATTCGAGGCTTATCAACGACAACCTATTGATCCATGTAGCTCATAATCTGTTTGATCGAAAGGCTGTCGGAAGTTGTTGAGTTTTGTATTTTTCTATTTCCGGACGTTCTTTCTCTGTCATATCAATCAGCTTCTAAATGGGATTCAAGTGTCTGTAATTTATCGCGCTATTTTCAAACCCGACTCCTTGCATACCCTTTGGTCTTGCCTGGATACACCTCAAGGAGACTTATCAAGGGTATCTCATCATCTACAAGTATTTTTGTTATGCTTTTGGAAACTTGTAACAATTACCACCCGGAGAGGTGGATACGGTCTCTGGGCTCATTCTGAGATCACAAGTGGTATAACAAAGTCGAGTGACATAGCCCCAGATCGAGAGTAATTCAAATTTGGTACTGTGTGTCTGTTGCTCGTCGGTCATGTCAGATTCCCAGGTCCTGTATCTTTCTGTTTCTGGGCCATGATTAAAACTGATCTTCTGTTTGGAGCTTCCATTCCAACTTTCCTTCTTGGTCCAAATTCTGGCCTCTTCATTCTGTCGATGGCCCTTTTTATGATTCTCTTGGGCAATATCTATTAAAATTCGCTTTGGCTTCAATCAAGCGGAGATACGTACCTGTTTCATATAACCTGTATCCTGGACCCACAAGGCCAAGCCAGTTAGGGGCTCAAGTCCCGCAACGATGCTAGTCTATTCAATCAATTAACGGGGGGTAATTCCGCGGATGCACGGCCCATCTTGCAACTTTATCCCTTTGAGGATGCGGGCTATCATGTGGAGTCACCTTATGAATACGCGTACTGCTGCCCTCTTGATTGGTCCATTGTCATTTATCGCGGAGATACAATATTCTCCACATGGAGGTTACACTTGCTAAAGCTATTTATCAGTCAAAGTACAAACCTCAATCTTAGAATAAAGGAGATTGAATTTCACCTTACCACAGATCAAACAACCCTCTTCGCGTCCCTTTACAACATACTAAGCATGGCTAAATTGATGCCGCTGGATGGCGGCTCCTACTATGTCTGGCAATATGTACCATCCATGGCCGCCGCGATCATCTTTTTGATTCTTTTTCTCGCTACTACTTCGTATCATTTCTGGAAAATTTTCCAGACCGGAGTGAAATTCACGCTACCCTTTGCCATCGGTGGCATATGTAAGCATTTTCGCCTGTAACAGTACGATTCGATGCCTAATGCTCCATATTCCAGTCGAAGTCATTGGGCTTGCCGCTCGAATCGATTCGCACAATCACACGGACAAACTGATTCCTTACTGCATTCAGTCAGTTTTCATTCTTCTTGGTCCAGCCCTCTTCGCTGCATCAGTCTACATGGTACTCGCTCGCATCATCCAAAGCGTCCATGGAGAGAAGTATTCTATTGTTCCTTTGAAATGGCTCACTAAGATCTTTATCACTTGTGATATTGCCACATTTGTGCTGCAGGCAGCTGCATCAGGAATGATGGTCAGTAGTAGTCTGGCCAGCATCGGAAAAGGAGTCGTGATTACTGGTTTAGCTCTACAAGTGGTCAGTTTTAGCCTGTTCGTTGTTACTGCCTATATATTCTTGATCAAGATGCGTGGCAATCCTACTCCGGAAGTACTCGAGGGTTGTATACCCTGGAAGCAGCATCTGAAAAGCCTTTACTCCATTAGTACGCTCATACTCATGCGATCCATTTTTCGAGTTATTGAATACGCCATGGGAGATAATGGTTACCCGTTGGAGCATGAATGGACATTATATGTCTTTGATTCTGTGCCCATGTTCACTTCCATGGTGATCTTCGGTGTTTGGCATCCTAGCGCGCTGAAGCCTTTTCTTGGGCAGCAAGTCCCTTCGAACAGTGAGACCATAGAGATGAAAGATCAACTAAAGTCGACATCGCAAACATTTGAATGCTGAGCTATCATGACTTTGTTGTGTGACATGAATGAAATTTCTGGTAGTCTTATAGCCGCTACCCGATATTTACCAATATATATATCCCCTTCACTCTAGCACAATAGAGTCATGACTACTTTAGCCTCCCGCCTTTTCTTCTACTAGTACGTATATACTCTATAAGAGCTCCTCTAACGCCCTGTCTAGCTTATATGCTATGTCGACTAATATGAGCTATTCGATAGTGATAATACTACTATCGCGGAAGTCTTTAATGACTTCGACTATACCGATACGCGTAATAACGGACTATTAAGTTAGAAGATCTCGGAGTTTAGTTTCGACATAAGTAAGGCGATAAGAGCAAACGATTATAGTACGTACTATGCTTAGAAGGTATAAGTGTAAAAGGATTTTGTAAAGTTTCAGATCTTAAAACGAAGCAGTGGAAATAGGATTGAAACTATGGTATCCTAGTGCTGTATAAATATTTCGAGGTTGTCGCGTACACCATGAGTCATTAGAGTGGTCGCGTGCATGATGAGTCCGTCCTGCAGCATCACGTTGTTAGCGCTAAGCCTGGTTGCCGTCCTTCCCTCGAACTCATCCATGACCTATCTTGCAATGAGTGACCGACACGGTTATCATCAGGCAACTGTGGGGTGGAATTGGCGTATGTCATGTGAGGCATTGGTTACATCGAATTTTCCAAGATCTTCCATCTTTCACGTCTTGAGCTTTGACGATTTAGCAAGGGCCTCAATTTTACCATTATTTTGTAAACCCATGAATAAACAGTGCTCATCCATAACTAGAAAGCAACAAGGAGAAGTAAGAAGAAAATCATGAGGTTGAAAACAGGAATGGGTCAATCAGGGGCAAAGCCGCGAATATCCCGCTGCTTTTGATACTCGGGCTCGGAAATCCGTAACAGCGACGAGAATGGCTGTGTTGTACCAGGAAAAACGAACAGCATCCATGCTAGAACCGAGCACATTAGTGTTACGTGCAGAAGATATAGACCAATCCAGGCCAAATATCTATTAGTCAATACGTTTCGCACAGAGGGCGAAAATATGACGGCAGTACATATCAGCCGAGCGCCAATTCCTTGCCAGTATCGACATTGAACTGCGACATCAGGAAGAATCTGGGCCCCGAGGAAAAGTGAAGTTGACGTGACCACAACGCAAAGTTGGCGTTTGAGCGGGGATAGGAGCCCACCAAGAGGCCTAAACTAGTACATGCATATGATAACCAGGAACTTAAGGGGTTGTGTTTTGCACCTGGAATGTGAGGCAGACATGAAAATTCTGCTAGAATCATTCCCGCAAATATGTTCAGGCGAATTAGACCCAAGATGCATTTTATTTCTGATTAATCACTACCACTCATAAGTTGCTTTAGCGTTGATAGAATGATTCACAGTAGCCAGTAGCCCAGCTCCAGATATCTAAAATAATTTCACACTCAACCGAAATGATGGACGTACAAAGACCGTAGCAAGCAATGTCATGTAGGTGAAACAGGACCCCTGCAGGAGGTACATCAGCGTCCACTGATGTGGGTCATAACGATTCTGTCCGTAGAATCATGTTGTTATAATCTCCGCTTCAAGATCGACGGCAGTTAGACTCCAAGTTGGACTCACACTGTCTTCAGCCTCAACCATGCTAGGGATGCTTATGAATACTTGGTGAGCTTTTCCATTAACCTTTGTCTGCACCTCTTATAGCTGCTAGCGGAAGATAAAGTGGGCTCAAAAGCATTTTGGAGCAGTGACCATCAAAATGGACTAAGAAAGCATCATCAGGGGAATGCTTGAATCGTTGGGATCGCTGAAAAGATTTTTTAGTCATTACTCAAGAGCCACAGCACAGCGCGATAAAAGGTGCAACTTCAAAAACGGTTCAGACCAAGTTACATTTCGGGCATACAAAATGATAGATAGTCTTGAAACCGAAACGCGTTGGGTGGAGGCTGGTGTTAGATTTGATAGCCACATCTATCTCGGTTGGTAGGAGAAACGCTACACATGGGTAGATTGAGAAATCGATCAGATTTCGAAATATTAACTATCATAAAAGAGGAAGAATAAATCATTAGGGCAATTGCTCCAATTTTTGTACCGGATGTTTGGAACAAGGACCGTGCGAGCAATATGGTTTACGCACTCAAAAAAGTGGTGAAGAGCCCGTCGCTTTCGACAAAATAGATACTTAAATGCTCGGAAAACAGTACTGCTCATACTGGCTCGATAGTCGCAAGAATATGGCACGCAGTGATCATACGTCTTGAGGCTATGGTTTGTCCTACTGGAACTTCCGCAGGCTGCCGCACCAATAAAGCCAAATTGGTGGGAAACCGGGTATATACCGCTTTATCAAGGATACTATTAACCACAGACTCAGCTTTCTAGCTGGGCAGAAAATATACCTACGGCAGAGAGAAATTGAAAACAAATTCATTGCCCAAGAAAATGCCATTAGCCAGCAACAAGGACGCTGTGGGTGATAGACTGCTTGTGGGGGCTGTCGGTATGATCCATACTGGCGGAATAGCGAATCAACTGTTTACCGATGGTGGCCTTGATTTTGTCCTTGTCGGCCGAGGTTTCCAAAAGAATCCTGGCTCGGTTTGGACATGGGCGGAGGAGCTGGGTGTTGACATCAGTATGTCGAACCCAAACCAGTGGGGCTTCTCCCGCCGAGGGGCCGATAATCTGTATATTATCCATAAGAATGCTGTTGAATAGCCGTAGATAGCCGTGCAGATACTACGCCTGCGAATAAAATAGATTGGCCTTTTCTCAAATCTGATGCATTTATTCTTCCCTGAATATCCTGATTCCAAATCACCGACTGAAGCATCAGTCTGGCGCCTTGCAGATTGGCATCACTCCGAGGGAATTGCCCTATCTCGGAGGAACCATAGCGTATAAATACCATAAGCAGCTACTAGTACATCTATTTCTGGTAAGTCCTATGTATGTACTTATTTCTGACTAGACCTCGCTGAAGTTACGGGCTGGCTTTTGACCCTAAGAATGTGTCCAGGTCCAGAAGTCCTCCACATCAGCGTATATCTTGTTACTGAAGGCCTCGGGCAGTTGGCGATAGTCTTGGCTGATTATGACCGCCCGCTTCGCAGCGCCAGATCTGAAAGTCAATGTGGCCACCAGTTCATGTGAAGGGAGTCTCCCATGACCTCAACGCTTCCGTTAGCATTGTTTCAATGCCACTTTAGGCCTAACCTGAGTGCATGCCATACCAGACCTCCACCGTGGAATCGAAAAATTATTGGTCTTTTCTCGCCTGGATAAGGTGCTCGAGGGATTAGGATATCCGTTCGGATGGCAGCTAAAAATCGCCTGTAGGATACCGAAATGGTCCATTTGTGATCTGAAAGTATAGCCATATTTGGTTGCGAAGGGGGCCGTATTTCTGGGGAGAAACAAAATAATTGGACAATATGCTCGTATTCATGAGGAATGGAGAGAGGGAGTCCACGTTAAGCGTGAATTTCCATCTTCTATCTGGAGCGCTGGGAGCAAACGGAGTGGGGTTATGTGATCCATACTCAAACAATACGCGAATATCAAACAGGAACACTGACAGGAAGAATGAGCCGCGAAACTCCAGCAGCTATTGTGATCTTATGTGTTTGAATAATTGTTTTGTCGCTTCGCACACGATCTTCTTCGGTCCCCAAGTTTCGCGCATACATGGGGAACGACCCGCCAGCAACGATTAGTCGAATCCGTGTGCCGGCTTTGAATCGATGAGCGCAGTCCGTTAGATCCAGGTGTAGAGACCGAGACGTATCGCGCGTCGGATCAAGCGCCTGATACATTTCGCTGATGTTGTGGGAAACGCCATTGCTGTCCACTTCACTCAGTCGTAGGAACAAATCTGCAAAGGGCGGGTCACTTGAATGTGAGAGCTGGACGGACGGGGCCCCAAGAACCTCTAGGTCCTCTAACAGAGTTTGGCTAGTGAAGGCTAGGACATCAGATCTACCACCGTAGATACTGTCGTCGACTCGTCCGCCAGCAAACAGTTGGCTGCCACCAATGCTAGGGGTCGGGTCTCGAGGATCGAAGATGAAGGACGCTGGAGCTACATCCTGTGCAGGTAGCTCTGAGTCGAGGCCAGTCGCATCTTGTAAATACAACATTTTTGACTCGGTGTTGGGAGGCCAGGTAGGCATCGAGCGCCACTCTTCGGCGCCAGTGACGAATATGCGAGCTCGAGACCGGCCGTATTCTCCAGTCTTAGCTAGATGCTGCGCGAAGAAGTCCATGGTCTCAGGTATAGAACGCAGACCACATCCTTGTATATGGGTCCAGGGACCGACAACAAGGCTGACGTCCACACCCCTTTCAGACAAACGTTTGTATTGCTGCATCGTCTGCGGCTCAAATGCATCATACCAGCCACTAACCAACAAGATGGGGATGGTAGCACTCTCAAGAGCAGCCTGCTGCCGTTTCGTGATCCAGTAGGGATCATCAACATCAGGGTGAGCCAAATAATCAAAGAGCCAAGGAGCCCTATCCTTGAAGTATTCTTGAAGACTAGCCTCTAGCGGCAAGCCCGCTATGGCCTTCTCCAACCCCGAAGACGATAAGAAACTTAGGCCTGGTAACTTCGAGAGTCGCCCGAGAAAGCTTCCACGCTCCTCTTCTGGTGTGGCCATAGAGTCACTCCAAGAAGCCCGATCCAGACGAAAAGATCCAGTCTTCCAGACATGCAACGCCAGATCATGCGGCCCAACGGGAATAACGGCAGCGACACAGTCCGCCGGCGGATCGCGCAAAAGTGCCCACTGGCTGTATCCTAGATACGATGCTCCCATGGTCGCAAACGTACCAGGATACCAGGATTGCTGACGCATCCACTTAACGATATCCTGGCTATCGCTTGCTTCGTTAATTCCGGGACTAAAGGTTCCTTCGGAGCCGTGGGTGCCCCGTGTGCTAACGAAAAGGGCTCGGTAGCCACGAGCGACGAAGACACGCGCGTTGAGGAAGGAAATCCCTGCACCTCGGCCGTAGCAACATTGGACCATGATCAAGCCGAGCGGCTTTTGACTGTCCTGTAGTTCTGGGTCGTAGAAGTCGGCTGCGAGCTTTACTCCGTCTGACATAGGGATCTGGACTGCTTGTGTTGTGTAGCTGCATTGTTCTGGACCTGCGTTTACATATCGTGATCCAGCGTAGTCCAGAGTAGCTCCTAAGAAGCCACGCTTCACGGGCTCTCCCGTCATTGCGGTGTTCGTGCTGGGCTTGCAGGTGGAGTAGTGCTTCTCTGTAGGCACGTGGTTTCTCAGCTGTCAGGATTCTAACGGTCACTAGAGCGTTGATTCTGGATAATTTCTGCTTGCATTAAGAGCTGTATCATGTAGGATGCCAAATTCAGGTGCCATGCAAATTTGCGCAAGGAGTCAGAGACCTTGGCCAGTATTCGTGTTTGTAAGCACTATTTTTATGCCCAAGCCCCGCACGACCCGGAATTATGTAAATAATCTAAGCACTACTTTTGTGCCGAAGCCCCACACGATCCCGGTATGATGCAGGTGACTATATACAAATCCTGACTGCAGTATGTCTATCTTCACCGTTTTTTTATTTGTCCGGGAAACTGCCCTTACCACCTTATCCTTCAGTTCCTTCAGCCCCTTGAACGCCCTTAACACCACGAATATCCTGCGCAGCCCTTCAGCGCTGACGTGCCCTCCCCCTCCCGTGCTGACCTTTTCCTTCAGGTAATGGCTTAGTTTGTGGTGGTCCATGTCTTCAGAGGCTCTATGTTCATGATTATTTTTACCACTCCGGCAGCCTAAAAAAATCGGCTTCACCATCATTATCCATAACTCTTTCGGCGCTCCATTTCCATTCAGAACCGGGAAGTGACTATATTTAGCCCAAGCTTTAGACATTGAGAATGTAGCAAATTTCGATTTTCGCTTAGTGTAAACTACCAAACTAAATAGACAAAGAGGTCTTGTACTGTTTTATCGTTCGACGAGAGGTAGATATTCCCGCGCCATGGAGACCGATCATAAAGATCGTGATTCATTTCCGTTCCGAGCTTCTATGGATATCCGTGCTCTATATAGTCGCTTATTCCCTTTGACTAGGCATATTTTATAGGAAGCGGAATTTACAAACCCAAGGACTTTTCATACTATAGTAAGGTGATTTATCACTCTTTTGTTAGGACTGAATTCTTTCCATGTATCCTTGCACCTCGCAGTGCGTGGTGGTATATAGTACCATCGAATCACTTCAGTCATAGTGTTATCCAGGAAAGCTAATGAATGGAAATCGATCAGCCTGACAAATTCTTGGAATTGGAACCTCATCAGCTTCACTAGTAACATAGTTTACAACCTTCTAATTCTTCACGAGAGTGGAGTGCCAACTAACAACCGTTCATCTGTAATACAGATGAGACAAAACCATGGGATGGAGCATAACACAATCAGCCAAAGGTCTTATACAGAAACTCCATTCCCCTCCCTGCATCTTGCCCCCTTCCCTGCTCAATAATCCTCCCCCGACTCTCCAAGAGACGCTTTGAAATCTCCCGCTGATGAAGGATCTCGCCGGGGCTTCCACTAATTCCACCGTAGAGTTGCACATCAACCAACTTTCCACATTCCTTCCTTACCACGCCATCAACAATCACGACCTCAATATCCCCCACATTCGCATGCAGCAACACCGCAGCGAGCGGATCCTCCTCAGCAGCACAGACCATACCCGGTGACGTCGCATCAAAAATCACAATATCAGCTAATTTGTTGACCTCGATGCTCCCAATCTTGTCGGCCATATTCACAGCGCGTGCCCCCTGGATTGTACCAAGATTAAACATTCCTTCAAGTTTGATGTTGACATTGGGATACTCCCCATTTTCAATCGCTTGCACATTCTCCACACCGCGCGCGTGCTGCATACCAAGCCGGAGCTGTGTGAGGATATCGCTCGAGTTATTCGAGTGGCAGTCAATCCCAATTGACGCGTTGGAACTCAAATCTGGTCTGAATGCAACAGGCTCGCCGAGACCCATTTGGAGTTCTGTTTCTGGGGTCGACGAGAAGTGCGCCCCGTGCGCGAGGAGGGTTTGGGCATCTGACTCTGCGATCCCATTGATATGAGAGAATATGACTGTACTGTTGAGGAGGGCGCATTCCTTGAGCAGGGAAACGGAGTCTAGGACTATGTGTGAGTATTTCAGAACATCCAGGTATATGGTAAGGAGAACGGAGGGAATAGGCGTACTCTTCATATAATTAGCCACAAAATGCGTCGTAAATAGACTTATACCAAGCGCGCGACATCTAGCCCAGAGATCTCGTACTGTCTCTTTCGGGACTTTGAAATCATCGAACCCCAATCCCAGACGAACCCGACCGTCTCCAAAGGGCGCGGACCTCCCGAGGAATTCGAGCGTCGAGAACCACCATTCTGGTAGTAAATCCTCGTCGAACTCAACGGGAGCATCAGATGTCCAGCTCTTGATTCGCCAGATGGGCGTGTAGCAGAAGAAGGTTCGCAATCCAGAGGATGCTGATGCGCGTATGGCTTCGGTTGCTAAGAGAGGTCAGCAGGCCAGTCCAGCGACCGATCACATCGCGTTTTGTAGTGAGAAAAAGACGTACCATGCTCAGGCGAGTATGTCATATGCGCATGATCCACAACAGTAGTTACTCCAGCGTGAATGCTCTCTCGACACCCCGCAAGCTGGCCCCAGAAGATATCCTCCGGTGTGTAGTTGAATGACTGGATGTTACCTGCAACCATGTAGTCCATGAACTTCATGTTACCGAAGCGGCCTCCCATCTATATTGTCGGACAAAATATTAGTAGTTGAAAAATTAGATAAAAATTTACAGATCCAGAAAAATGCACCTGTGATTGCCATAGATGGTGATGCGTGTCGATGAACCCGGGCGAAACAATCTTGCCTTGGCAGTCAATGACCCTCACAGCACTTCTATCAGGCAGAGTGAGTCCTTGGCCGATATCTTCTATCCTATTCCCAACGATGAGAATATCATGGTTACAGAGCACCTTGACGCGGTCGCCCTCGTGGGCTAGCACTGTGCCTCCTTGGAGTAGAATGGTGCCCATAGTGAATAAGTAAAGTTGATTATTCAATGTACGCTCCCATGAAGGAGGGCGCCGCTGTTAATTTTATGGAAATAAGGCCTCCCATGGATTGTGCCAAAAGCTCGGAGATAGGAGATAACACCCCGAAGACCAGCCCGAAGACCAGGTGATTGACGTACTTAATTCAGCAGATGGTATACCAAGACAGTCCTAGCTCGTGTCGGAAAATATTCACCAGCCGCCCATCATGTGCCAGGGAATCGGTACTTTCCTACGTCAATCATTGACAAAATGGTCCTGTGATTCTCGTTGCTGGCCTAAGTAAGTGCTGGGGCTGTCACTCCGGGTTTGATAAAGCTACGTTTCCTATTAAGATAATGAAGGGTCGCTCTATTTGGTTCCTGGGAGTGCTCCTCGTAGTGCTGAAAGTGATGAATAGTCAATATCAAGAAAAGCTATAGTCGACTCTAGAAACAAGGCGATGAATAAAAAACACGGTAGCTTCCTCGCGTTCAAGGGAACCCAGATGCGCCATGTGGGTCCGCCCATCGTTGATCCTCTACTAATCGTGTATGCTTGATGTATATCTCTGACAGCGTGCCACAGCGAGCATACATCCCAGTAGCCATAATACCATTCACACGTATCCGTTGTGCATCGTGGAAGACTTATTTGCGTCGTCCTCGATGATGAAGCGCATGCGGGGATGTCTCTGGGCCAGGCGAAGTGAATGATGCCCTGGGTAGTCAAGGTATCCCATTCTCCACCGCAAGCACCATCGACGTCCATGATGAAGTCAAAGATGTCTGAGCTTTTTGGCGACACCTGTCGTATGATAATCTTGCTCCCAAGCCATGCTGCCCGTGCAACATAATGGGCATATCACTTCTCGCGCTGCTCGAGAGCATCAGAAATTGGCTTTATGGATAGCTGGTGTATTGATGTGCCAAGAGGTGAACTTTGCGGCACGGAAATAGTACTAGATGCGGTAGTGAATGAAGTTGTAAATGATAAGGGGTCTAGGCATAGTTCAAATAGTTCACTTCAAAGACCCCCGCAGAGTGAAGGAAAACACCTCACTATATAAAATATTGGTACCTTTTTTCCATCCATCGATTATTAACAACAACTAAGAGGCTGGTGATATCCTGACAGAACCCCTGACGCACTCGCACAAGACAAACCAATCGCAAAACTGCGTTGCAGTTGCTCAGGCCTGACTTCGAAGGCAATTGGAAGCTGGAAAAAGGCCATCTCGATTTCCATGAATGAATTCAGAGCTGGATTATTGCTGAAACGTGCAAAACGTGGGAATTCATGGCCCTGGTGCGGATCGGAGTGAAAATTCAGAGGTATCAACAAGTCACTTGGTATGATTTAGGCGTTATATCCTCGCATCCCACGATATCAAATGGCCAATTAAAACCCCTTCCCTCTTGTTTCAGTGTCTTCTTGGATGTTCTTCTGCGACAGGTATCACTGATGTTAAGGACTAACAATCACATAGCTATCCTTATTCAACACTCTCACGATGCTCAGGCAAGCTTTGATTCCAAAGACCTTGACATGTTCCTAGCCACCAAAAAAGCCATATCGGACTTTCTTCCAAGATATTGAAGCGCACGTATCGAAAACTCACAATTTTGCCGTAAACACTCAGTGTATACATTTTGATCTGTGGAATTGTCCAAACTTTCCAGCAAAATATAGCCCGCCTTGGCAAAAGAATGCACCAGCACAGCCGTCCAAGGTTCAACAAGGAAGGCCACTTCACTAAGAGAATCATGGAAATGCCTGTTCATAAACGAGTCTTGTCCTTGTATCGAAGCTCGGGCAAGCCCTCCAACTGCCAATGCATTATTCGCTCTAAGCGTAGCAACCAAGTGCGTAGTTTGCCGAGCTTCACGTGCAGCATCACTGCCGAGCCTGCACTTGTCGATGCTTTCTAGAACATCTGCCAGAAGCATCGCAGCGAGGTGCCAGTGGCCGTCGAGAATAACGTACCACGACTGTATGCGGGAAGGGAGCAGTTCATGATTAGTGACGCAATCGATCATGAAACTCTGATACGTGGAATCCCAGTATTGGTAGACCAGGAGGGTCTTTTGGATGACATCCTCGAGGTGGTCGGGACTGGCGCCTCGGTAGACCAAAGTCTGGAGTTGTGTCACCCGGCGGTAAAGTAGCACTTTGACAGGAGTTGCCTCAGAGAGTATGGATGCGGCATCTTCGTAGGAGCATGGCCACTTCGGTGGCACTTGGTTCGACTCTTGACGTTTGATTGCAGAACAAAGAAAGAGATCACCCCACACATCTTGTTTCCCACGTGCTCTGCTTGGGATATCCCAATGATCAAGGTCAAGCTGGTTTTCAGGTTCAACGATTGGTGGTGAGACCGATGAGAGTTGACTATCCTCATCCGAAACTACTAAAGGACGTTGATACATTGCAGAACTCAAAGTATCAAACATAATGCCTAGCCAAAACATGAGATCTAGGGTAGTGCGGTGTTCCTGGCTAGCTAGAAGTGGATCGAGTTGTGGGGACTCTGACGGCTGTGGCATTCCTAGAATGTTCGTCGTTGTCGGGTCTATTGAACTTGTCTCGAGCCCTCTCAGCTTGGGGGTAGCTTCTCGCTGCAATCTTGTGAACTTGTGGCGAAAAGTGAAAAGTTGGCGATTGGCGGTTTCCAGAAATATTGGCGCACAATCATTCTCCAAAAGCTCACCCAAGCTCGCTTCCTGATCTTTGTTCAGGGGACTTTGCGTTAAAGAGAAGATAATGTTTGCGAAGGCGATACGAAAAGACGGAATGCTACTCGAATACTCCAAAGCATGCCGTGCTTCGTTCCAAACTTTCTCTCGGATTGATCTCTCATCGTGATCGATTTCCGCGGGAACTGGCGCACCAGCGCCCTTTTGTGCATGTTGTGTCCACTGCGATGCAAATGACATGATTGCTAAATGAAGCGCTCGAGCCGCCTTCATATCTTCATCTGTACTCAACGCTCTACCACGTATTGAGGATGATACACGATCCAACTGACAGACCCGGATACACATTCTGTTTGACCAACTCGGACCCCACTCTTTCATATTTTGGCGGGGAATCACTTGACCGATTGAGTCGCTGTAAGGGCAGTTGTGCTCTGTCAACCAGCATGATAAAGCATTTTCCATGCTGTCGTGGTATATGCGGATCAAGTTGCGTGACATCGTCGCACGAGCGGTTCGATTAGCTGTGTTTTCGGAGGTAATGCAAAAGTTCCATTGTGATTCTGAGTTTGAGCTTCGGTCAGAGGCAGCCTCTGATGGATTTTTGTGTCGCCTCCCTTTCCACACTGAAGCGCTTGGTATGAGATGATCGGTGAGTGGATATGCTTGTGGTAAAAGGCTGTGGTTCCCCTCCCCAGAGTTTTGTGGAAAATCAAAAGGTTCTGCCGGAGCGTCAGATTGCTCGGAGGAGTTTGGAGACCCATGTGGATTTGGGTAACCAATTGGCAAATTATATGAGTTCACGGAAGGCAAGGATTGAGACTGGACGCTACTCGAGTTATGAATCTGAGATGAGTCGAAAAAGTGAGCTTCCGGGTGCGAAGAAGACGACGACGACGACGAAGCGTGATATGGAATTTGCGGAGAGCCAAGCCATTCTCCGAGATTGAGAGGTTGTTTTTGTGAAGAGCGCAGCATTGCCCCAAGAGCTTCATCGTGGGAGCCTAAAATAGTTGCGCCTGTGTTGTTGGATTTCAGTCGTCTTCGGGTGTCCTTCGAGTCCAGGCGCTTTGTGGAGATCCAATTGAACGTGCACTCTTTTTTCCATCGTTTGCAATTTGAGCAAGAATTGAAGGCGCTTTTTTGTCGGTCTTTCTAGGTATGGAAGTCAGCACACGCCCCTCATAACACAAATTCAAGTTAACAAACAGGCGCGTCGCAGCCTCTTTTGCCCTTACGACATGGATCACAGCTATGAAGCTGACGTCGCCGAGAGTCCTCCATGCCAAGCGATCGATGTATTACTGGTTGGTTGTATCTACCGGAAAGAAGCTAAACGTTTCAACGCCAAAATGTCGAAGCAGAAGTACGGACAGGGTCTTTGGACTCAAATATCATATTTCCTAGGGGAACACGTGAACTTTGCGGAGTTGGAGTGGGGTAAGCTAGCCCATGCATCCGTCAACACGAGTCATGGTCGGTCCAGTGGAACTATAATTGCACTCTACTTCAGTTCAGCTATTGAAAGGGTTGATGAGATGAAAAACCAAAAATTGCCATACTATGTACAGGAACAATCCTGTACTGACCAAATATGTGGGATCCAATTGTAAAGAGGTTCAAATGTAAAGAATGAGAGGAGTCAGTACAATATCTTATAATTACGGCTAAAATTACGCTGTTCTGGATGTAGCGCAATTTTGAGATGGCCTTTAATTCCGAATAGGAACCGGAATATCTGTTTTACCGAGACCGAGCCAATGGTATAACATCTCTCGGTGTGCAGTTAAGGTAAAATATAATAAATCTAAAATGTAATGCAGGAGAAAGGAAGCGGCCGGCGATTGATCGGGGTATTTCCGTCATCAATGTTGATCGTTGCTGAGAATAGTAATCTTGGGTTTCCCGCCCCAGTCACTACAATATGACCGCACATTGATCTTCAATGTGATCGACCAATTGAATGCGGCAGAGTACGATTTTACAACATTGTACTTTAAGGGGTAATACATTCCCACAGACTTGCCGATTCAATTTCTCCTGATCTAATGAGCAAGCTCTTGAAAACGTTGATGTACTTGATTGACTGGTTAAGTCACCATCTCTAATAAATTCTACTATAGCTACTTATGTAGTTACCACGCAAGGAAAATCTTCTACAAATTGAAATCTACCAATTTATGCATTAAATATGCAAAGTTGATTCCCTATGATATTGACAAATTTATAAAATGACACAACAATTGAATCCTTCTGCATGACGTAAAGCTTACGGCCGAGAAAGGTGCACACGAACGGTCTTAACCTCAGTGTAGTTTTCCAGTGCGTATGATCCAAGCTCTCGGCCTATTCCCGATTCTTTGAAACCACCAAAAGGCATTTGGTAGTGAAGGGTGTTGTAATTGTTGACCCACACGGTACTGTTGAAAGCTACATCAGTAAAACAATAAAACAAACTTTACTGTTCAATTGACTCACCCTGCTTTGATCGCGTTGGATACTCTGATGGCGGTGTTGATGTTCGTGGTGTGAACAGCTGCAGCCAATCCTGTTGATGACAATCCAAGTCAGAGCTTAAAATTAAGTTAAATATGAAACCGCGTAGCACTCACCGTAGTTTGTATCATTGGCGACTCGAATAGCCTCCTCTTCGCTGTGAACCTTTTGCACCGTGCACACAGGTCCAAATATCTCTTCCCTCACAATCGTCATGTCCTCAGTGACATCAGCAAAAATCGTGGGTTGAATATAGTAACCTTCGCTGCCATGCCGATCGCCACCAGTGATCACCTTGGCGCCTGCACCCTTCCCATCCTGAATATATCCCATAATCCGATCGTATTGGATCTGTGATACTTGCGGTCCCTGGAAAGTCTCAGTGCTGAACGGGTCTCCGACCTTGTTTTGCTCCGCTCGCTTCTTGAAAAGCTCGAGGAACCTTTCATACACGGCTTCGTGGACGAGAATGCGAGAGCCTGCACAACAGCATTGGCCATGATTGAAGAAAATTCCCAGATTGACCCATTCAATTGCTTCATCCAGGTTGGCATCTGGGAGAATGATATTCGGCGACTTGCCACCCAATTCGAGAGTCACTTTCTTTAAGTTGCTATCAGCCGCCGATTTCATGATTTGGCGTCCGACCAGAGTAGACCCCGTAAAAGCGACCTTGTCAATATCCATATGAGCAGCAATCGCCGCGCCTGCAGTTCTTCCGAATCCTGAGATGACATTGACCACTCCAGGAGGGAACCCGGCTTCTTTGATGAGTTTAGCCACATAGAGCGCCGAAAGGGGCGTCTGTTCGGCTGTTTTCATAACGATTGTGTTTCCTGTAGCTAAAGCAGGGCCAATCTTCCATGCAAACATCAAGAGCGGGAAATTCCACGGAATAATCTGGCCGCAGACGCCTACCGGTTCGTGGCGCGTGTAGGTCAGACTATTGATATCAGTTTCTATCGTTTGACCGTAAATTTTGTCAGCCCAGCCACCATAGTAGCGTAGGCACCCGGCAGAGGCGTTAACATCGCCTTTGGCCATTGTCACTCCCTTGCCATTGTCAAGGGCTTCAATTGCGGCCAAAGTCTCGATGTCGCGTTCCAGGAAGTCTGCTAGCCGAGTAAGAAGACGACCTCGTTCGGAAGGAGTGACTTCTTTCCACTCTCCATTCAGTGCACTGCGAGCGACTTTCACAGCAATATCGACTTCCTTTGCTGTGCCCTCGTGCACGGCCACGATGGGCTTCTCGTTGTGCGGATTGATTGTCTCGAAGGTTTTCCCTTCCACACCTCTGACAAACTCATTGTTGATGAATCTAGAGAATTTGTCAGATTGTTCGCTGAATGAATTGAACATTGCTCAGTCCAACTTACAGACCCAAGGGCTGCTCGTATGTGACCGCAGGGGTCTCGATAGATTGGAAAAGTGACATGGTTGAAGAAGAATAGCTACTTGATGATAAAGAGTCAAGAAATGTGGGAAATGAGAGAGACTTTTATATAACTGATAAAAAGGACCTTCATAGCGAAAATGATCGGGAGTATAAAGCGCGGGGAAAGCATTGAGATCGAAAAAGGCCGGCCCGATCTTTCTCGTTGTCTGGGGTAATAGTCCGTTAACCCCGGGATTTTACTTTGATTTGCGCTTCCCTTCGCCCGAGACTTAATCAAGACTGTGGTTTGAAAAAAGTTTTACGATGTGATTCCACGTGGGAAATTGGCTACGTACAGATGAAGTGAGGAGCTCTGGTCAATTGTCTTTACTTCATGTTGCCATCTGGTTGAGTTCATGTTATTTCAACCATTTTCACTTAGGTAGAAATGGGATTTAAACGCATGATCTAGATAGACGGTGCAGGTTTTTACCAAAATCTGGCTCGTTCAAGGTGAATTACTCCTTAGGTCCCAGTGTCTTTCAATGCTGTTAACAAAATTTGTAGCAAGCTGTTTGATTCGGCCCCATTTTTGATTCCACCACCGGGGTCGTTATAATTCCACGACTAGCCGGATGACAAGCTTGCAGTTCCCCAGGTTGTGTGGAGACTAGCGATTTGCGGAGAACAACTTTAATATCTCAAAATGAACGTCAGTCTTATCTTCAATGGTGGAGGAAAGAGACGCAGTGTCAAAAGACTGTTGTACATCAATTGTTAAAAGCAAGTTAAATTCAGTATCTCAATTTGTACATCACAAATTCACACGGAATTCTCGAATGCTATATACGGCGCAACCATAGTCCTTTATAGTTGCTCAAAGCAAGACTTAATAATCGTTAATCATCAGTTACTCTGGCATCTCGAGCACATAGCGGCCGGCAATCTTGCCTTGCTCTATTTCAAGTTAGTTGTCAATCAGGCGTAGAACTGGAAGTGTGTGACGGACCCATGAGCTCAAAGATCTTTGGAAGATCCTTCAAAGGCGCCAATTTGAATGGAGCCTTGATCAAGCCTCTGGCGAAGAAGTCAAGAGCTTCAACGCCATCCTGTTGATTTCCAACGTAGCTTCCCTTAATTGTAATCATACGAACGACGGTGTTAATCACTGGCGCCTTAAGAAATGCATCCGGGGGCAATCCAATTGCAACCACTGTACCTCGAGAGCGCACGTATTCTGAAGCTTGTTGGAAAGGTTTCTCGGAAACAGCCAACAAGATAACGGCGTGAGCTCCAAGTCCACCGGGGGTTGCTGCTTTCACATCCGCAACAAGGTCCTTGGACTTAGTAAAATCGACATAGGTCTAGTTCGTTGTTTTTATCAGCTTCCATGTTGAATGGGGAGGAATCTCAGGGAATAGAGATTTGACAATCATACCTCAGTGCCGAGCTGTTCGCACATGACTCTTTTCTCGTCGCCTCCATCAATGGCGATGACTCTGAGACCCATAGCTTTCGCGTATTGCTGGGCGAGTGAGCCAAGGCCACCGCCTGCTCCAACAATTGCAACTGTCTGGCCAGGTCGAACGCCGGATTCTTTCAAGCCCTTGTAGACGGTGATACCGGCACAAAGGACCGGAGCTGCGGCATCAAGAGGGACATTCTTGGGGATCTTGGCGGCATGGGTAGCTTTTCCGACGGCATATTGCTGGAAAGTACCGTCGACGGTATATCCGGAAAGTTGTGCGTCAGCGCACAGAGGGGTATCGGATTGTCTGCAGAATTCACACTCGGAGCACGAGCCATTGATCCACTTGATTCCAGCGTGGTCGCCAATTTCAAAGGAGTTGACAAGATCACCCTTGGCCACGACCACTCCAGCTCCTTCGTGACCACCGACTAGAGGCATCTTGACTGGGATGGGCCAGTGGCCCATCATCGCGTGGTAGTCGGTGTGGCAAACACCCGAGTATCGAATTTTGACGAGAATCTGGTCAGGGGCTGGCTTGGGAACCGGAATTTGTTTGAGAATAAGTGGCCCTCCGATCTTCTCGGCCACCTGCGCCCATTGAGTCTCGGGGATGGTCATGTTGATTGTTTGAAAATGAAGTTTGAGATGAATTCAATTTTGCAGGAGTAGAAGAATTTTCTTAAGCGAGCTGATTTTACTTTGCTGGGTGTGAATTGGAGCTTTATAGCTGACTGTCTCGGAGGGAGATGTCCGGGGTAAAAGAAGGCGAGGCGGGGCCTGCCGCGTCAATCCTGATATTGCCTATCATCTAGGAAAATTGATTCGGGCCACCGGAGTCATCAAGAAAGAGCAAATAAAATAGATCAATATTGTGGAGATCAGTGCGCATAATCCAGGAGCTATGGGCATGCGCTAGAACTTGGAACGCAGCAAAACTAATGCGGGGAAGGTTTTGCGGAGATCGCACACGGCCCCATGCGGAGCCGCACAGGAAACGAATGCGATTGGTCGATGATTATGCTTTTTGGTCTCGTCTCGAGATGATCTTGGTCTCACATATTCCTTGAGAGTATGAAATAATTCTTTTGGAAAAAGATAAAGGACGAAAGCACAAGACGGAGATGATCGATGGAGAAGGAAAATTTACAGGAGGGCTAAATTAATTACAGTAGGTAGAGGTTGCCGCCCAAGGTATCAATCATAAATACATCTAAAACCTTTTGATTGAACACAACTTTCAGTTCTAACCGCTTTCGTATATATGCAATGCAATATTAATATAATCATATTCTAAAATTTCGAGTTGCTAGCTGTACAAAACTGAAAGCGAGACGAGCTGGAAAATCCCGATAAAGCAAAATCGGAAATCAAATACCGAGGACCATTCTCTCCTTCACTACCACCTCATCCTGTTCTATTCATGAGCATACCAAAAGCTTGGGCTTTGGGGTTCTTTCCGCGCGCAATTGAATGGTTCTCCTTCGATTCCGTGAGGAAAGAATGTGCTTGACCACCCACTACTGATAGCAAATCCAGAACACGTTTCATCTCTTGCATGCTCATGTGGCTTGAATGGTGTCCCTATTTCACTATCTTCGGATTCATTGGAAGCTATCTCTGTCCATGCCGAGTGTTCAGTATTCGAGAATGGGATAAAACTGTCGTTCCCTTTAAGAACGATCCTCTCTCGGAAGCTTGATCTCCGAAGTCATAACTCGAAATTTCGGTATAGAAAAAATTTGAATCAATGACTTCATTAAAGACTTTCTCAAATGGGTCTTCTTTGTGGTCTTGAATCTGTCTCTCATTGCTGGCTTGTGGTTCAATGATCTTGTTGCTATACTTGATGTTAATATAACGATGCAATAACCTAGAAGGAGAAATAGCGGACCCATGGACTGTGAAATTTTGAATGTCCTTTTTATGATTTCCAGATCGCTGTAGGGAAATAACATCGCGATGGAATTCAAACTTTGTTACTTTACTTGTACCATCATCAAGGTATTTGGGCGGCTTGCGAGCTCCGTCGACACATTCCGATGGCATCTTGCGCTTTACGCATTGTCCACAAGGCCTTTCATTTCCTTTCAATTTTCGTTAGTTTTCTCTTATTGAATTTCACATGATCGAGAAAACAGGGGTTGTGGTTTGTTGAACATACCGCATGTCTTATGGGCCTTTTGGCAATACAAGCAGGATCTTCTAGCTTTTCTGCGGGGGCGCGAAATTTGAAATTCAGTGCAAGATGTTATTGATGCTATATTCATACTAGTCATCTTGAAATTGCGTGGTGTGGAATTTTGAAGGGAAACACGATAGTGCAACAGTAACTTTGGGGCAAACCTGGCACCGAGTCTTATAAATGATCAGATCAAGTGCTCGTTGTAAAAGATAGTAAGTGCCGGGGGCCCTCAAAAAGCTAGCGAGATTGACAACCTATAGTCACCAAGGTAGTTCGCCATGACTAATGCTTGTTCACATTTTCCCATGAACCTTGAAGTGTCAATCTGAGCGGCTCCGCATGCATTGCCATGCTCGTGTGTGCTTACGATGGCTGCCCCAGATCGAACATCCCCCGATTAAAAAATCTAGGTTTCGAAAAATGCGGGGTAAATCATGAGAATTCCCTGATTAGCTCGAAATTCAGCTGTGCGGCTCCGCATGAAATTTCGGATCCGCATGGCCCGAACCGTACACGTCGACTCTGGGCGATCAGAATACTCCTGGAATCCATCACGACCGCATGATCTGCATTTTTCGCACAGGATATACCCAATATAAGATGAAAAATTATCTCGTTCTGCGTATCCGCAGCTCCGATGTGTGAGTCTTAGCTGTTGAGTTCACCTTGCGTTCTGGACTCATTCAAGCTTGCTCCAAATCAATGAGTCGCATGCTTCATCTGATTGGATGCGGCAAAAAGGAATACCAACACGCTTTCCCCTTTCTTTACGGTGCATTGATGAAATATCAATTACTCCACAATGAACCCTGGCCCCAATTCTGGGGTAAGCTTAAAAGGACCACAGTTCCCGCGTGTCGAAGACTCATAATGCTTGTTTCCCGCAGTATCAATTGCCAGTAACCTCCAAAGAAGATTCATCTACTCTCTGACATTACAAGCAGTTGTTCGAGCAAACAAAATGGACAGCGATATCAGCCAAAATGGCGAGACAAAGGCGAATTTTCAAAACAAGGAGAGCACACTCAATGGACTAACTACAGTCCCAACATCGGTGACGCTGTCATCTGAACAGTTCGAAAGACTCTATTTGACTCCAATGACCGTTCGCCAGTCACCGTTGGCCAAGAAAGTCGGAAATCCGACACCACTGTTAGTATCCGAGTAACATTTACACCTATACTTTTGATCTAACTGTATCGCTCAATATGTAGAGCACTAGGAGGTTTTGTCATTACCACAACTCCCCTTTCATGTTGCCTAATGGCCTGGAGAGGAGCAAGTGGAAATGGTATTGCTTTCATGTAAGTGACCATGCAGTTCAAGATGGGGCATTGTCTGATGAACTGAAAAGTGGACCTATCGTCTTCCTTGGTGGTCTTTTGTTGCTCATCACAAGTATCCTTGAGTTCATCATTGGAAATACATTTCCCTGTGTTGTGTTTGGCACCATTGGTAAATATTTCTATCTCATGAGAGATCTATCAATCACTCTTTCAGCCTGCTGATCTTTTACCTAGGCGGATTTTGGTTTGCGTTTGCAGCCACAATGATTCCCGCTTTCAATGCAGCTGGTCAGTTTTTCTCATTAGACAACGCATCCTACTCACAATAATGTCCCAATTTACTCAATTCTTCCAGCTCCCTATTCCTCATCAACGACAGATACAACTGCCGGGCTAGCCAGCGAAGGCTTCATGAATACCTATGGTAAGCACAACCAGAGAATCTTCAATTTCAAGAATTTCTCTGATAATATCAGCATTCCTATTCATAACCATGGCGGTTCTGATGTTGATTTTCATGATTTGTGCAACACGCATTAACGTGGTCTACACTCTCATCTTCCTTTTCCTGCTCCTAGTTTTTATCCTTCTGTCTGCAGCCTATTGGCAGCTAGGCCAGGCAAATGCGCCTATTGGTGATCGGTGTGTAAAAGTGAGGTTATCCTGTTCTCGTGATAGTTCCCCCACTATCTTGACCGAATTATGACTCAACTTACCTTATTTTCCAGGGTGCGGGGGCTTCGCTCTTTGTCGCTAGTTTACTCGGCTTCTACCTGTTGATTGTTCAATTATTTGAGTCTATAGGGTTCCCATGCTTTTTGCCAGTTGGAGACTTGGCAACACTCTGGACACGCAAGCAAAACAAGTGAGTCTTGTGAAAGCCGAAAATGCTTTGTGCTGACAAAATGACAGAGGACAACGAGATGATATTGAGCAGCCAGCTACTGCTCGCGACAGTTGAATATTTTGCAGATTATCTAGGACTGTTCGTTGATATCTGAAGTCAGCTGTCTTCAGAATAGCTCGGGTGTTTATTTAGTCAGCTAGTTGTGGTTCCCATCGGCCGTTCCACTCATGTTCCCAGTGTGGGTATCTGGCAACCCGTTGGTTGACGATGTTTTGACCTTGCAAGAAATAAATAACCATGATACTCATTAACTATATGCATTGTACAAATTTGATTTCTGCAAACGGTAAAGCTCATATCAAATCCTTTGTTATTGGCCAGGCAGTTTCAATCTACATTTTATCTCAAAAAAGGTAAGGTTAGCAGAACCAAAGACATGCTATATAGTAATGAAACATGTATTGGGACGTTCAAACACTCTTGAAGATGGGTATAAACAATTTAGTCTAGATTGTTGCAAGCATTCAGTTCTCGATACGACCAGCAAGTGATACGACAGAATCTTTTGGCAAAGATCCTTCTTCACTGCTGACGTGAATGATAGTGGCAGCATCTCAAATAACAGCAACATTGAACGTCAGATTTGCTCCATGACCTACTTTGATGGTACCCGCTCAGACATTCATGTTAGAGATGGTCCAGGGTCCGGACCCCGACATACGAATAATGGCTACCGACCGGGAAGGATTCTCGATAAGCGGCCCTCAGACGCAGGGCTTACAACAACATTATTGTCGGATTCTCTAACCACACTTAAGCCTGGAGCCAAATGCCATCAGCACTGTAAGCCAAAGGCTATGTCCCATTTTTGGTGTGAGGGCTGACAACAGACGAACCATATAGGGATATTCCGGAAGTGGCTTTCGAAGACTGGCAACTACCTCTTGTTTACCCGTATAGCATAACATAACAAATTAAAATACAACTACACCAGGTCCCTTAGGATCTTCATGGCTCTCTTTGGCGAGAGATTCCTCAATACCATCGCACAGAGGGCATCACTTGAATCTGCAGAGGTTTTAAAACCAATATGTCACCAAGGCAGCATTCTGATTGCAAGATACTGCGCTGTCAGTATTCTGCTCAGTCTACAACTTTTGAGTTTGGTCTACTTGACGTGTTACTTATACAGCGTCCCGAAGTGGTCGTCCAGTTTCAGTCCTTATGCTGTGTTACGAATATGGTCTTCTTTGAACAACCTACCGACGCTAGGACCTGTCGGAAAAGCCGAGTTGGAAAATTTGAAGCATGAGAATGGGTTTGATTGGAGTGAGTGAGGACTTTTTGACAATTTTAACAACATCCGAATAACCACGTTTCCCAAACTGGTCCTCGGCGCTTCGGGCCTGGTAAATAGGGCTTCCAGCGATCGAAGAATGATCAGCTGCATGATAATTGAATATTTCCCAACAATTCCTCTATACCCACAAATGAAAGGTAACTCCGTAGTCCACAAGCTGATAGATGCACACGAGAAGCTCTTGTGAAAAGCAAACAAAATCTCGAGCCATCTTTCAATCTTTCTTTGCTGTTGTCTGGTCAATTTTAACCAAGTACGTCATTATAATAAATGACGAAAACTGCGATGAAATTTCTTGTTTACTACATGATGTAGAAACCCACAGGACTTCACATGAGTATTGCGGTCGGACTCAGTAAGTGTTATTGTAACAGGTCGATGAATTCCAGAAGTACTATGGAAGAGAAATGCGTCATTTCTGGTGCCTGAAGAATCTCCGCCACGCCAAATGTGGGGGCGAGTAACACGGGGGTGCTACATGGGGGCGGAGCGTTGCCCCGAACTTGCTTCTCGCTTCTTTCTGTTAATCGGTAGACTTCAATAGTCAAAAGGGATAGATACTCAAACAAAATTGTTATGCAGTCTTTAAGAAAGTGTCGCTACATGGCTACAACCTTTCAACAACCGGCTCCAGGATTTGAAAAGAAACTTAAGGAAATTTGTAATCTGGAATTGAACATCGTTCGGAACTTGGCCGGTATGGCCCAGCCCCCCCTTTATTCGTCGATCATGAAGGGTTTCGGGATAAACAATAGCCCCACAGTGTAGCCAGTGGACCCAGGGATAGGCGTTGTTGGTTGGATACATTACTCAACAGTGTGATTGTCCACGGGTCTATGGGGATTTGAACACTGGGCTTGTTTCTCAAATCCTAGGGAAGGCACAAGCTATGAAACCAAAGACCGGTTTTCAAGAAAACATTCTGCCGATAGCTGGGGTGTATATCCCAGATGACAGTAGTCTTATTATTGAGAGCACAGATTTCCAGGTACCCTATCACCCTACAAGAAAACGCAGGACGCGAATAATATAAGCCATTGGCTGCTTTGCTCAGTGAAGAAACCTAAAGTAGCTGAAGAATTACTGTTTACTGCTTATTATGTGCCAAGGCCGCCCCCAATCCCTTCCCTGTGTCGACGGGTTGGGGGCGGCCTTGGCACGATTCTGACTCTATATATCTTCATGTAGATATTATTTCATGATGTAATCTTACCGACTATCAACTGACTATCAAAATCAAGCAGGATTCGAATAAAAGCTCAGAAAGAAACATTAGCTTGACTTGAGAAATATAAAGGTCTGCTGGTAGCACGGCAAAAAGAGTATCAAAACAACCAAATTCACCTCGATCTCCAAATACAAAGCTCTCCTCAACCACAATCTAATACCATAATCATGGCTTCTCTACGCAACGCTCTTTTCTGCCTTATGGCTGCCTCTGCAACCGTTTACGCCGAGCACCTCAAGGTCGTTTGGTCATCCGGTGACTTCTCATCCATTTCCGGTCCTGCCGGTGGCAACACAAATGGCCACTACAGTGGATTCGCAATCATCAATGACGCAGGCGATGCTATCTACAACCAGGGATTCCCTGACGACCACGCGCCCTGCTACAACACCGGCGACGGCCGCGAGTTCACCATCGAGGGTGATTGCTGGAGCACTCCCCGCAAGTTCAAGTGCAAGGCTGATTTTGGAGGTCACCCTGACACCTGTGAGGTGAAGGATGGCGACGGAAACAGCCTCGGTACTGGTGACGGAAAGACCGACACAACCTTCATTGGTATTGCCATTGGCCAGGACGCCAGCTGTGTCGTTGAATTTGAGTCCGACAGCGATGGTTGCCCTGTTGATGATGGCAATGGCCCTCTGCATGTTACCTCAGGCTAAGAAACCCTCCAAGACTCCTCAGGACGAATCCTCCTCGGCTCAAATGGGTGAATTCACTTTTGTTTATGGGCAATTTTCTATAGTTGGCAATTAAGATTTTAGACTTCTTTTTACACTAGTGAGAGAGCTATGATCCGAATTTGGACGATACATTCGCCAAAATAGAAACTGCAAATCCAGATGTGTGTATATATGTGCGTATATATGTGTGTATCTGAACCTCGGTTTTCAATAATTAACAAGTAAGTCTAACATAAGGTTACGATACGGTTTCTTCTTCTAGAATTTTTTCTCTCAGTTTTCGTTGTCAATAGTGGTTGAGTCATACACCATCATGCTACAGTGGCCAAACCAAAAATATTGTGCTTAAACTGTAAAGTCTATAATTGAACTAGGGAGAGATTGGACCAGGTGAGCTGGACAACGCCAGGTGTCAAGTCCGATGAGCCTGGTATATCATAATATCAAAAATCAAGTAAATCGTCAGGTTTACATACAAGTCTAACAGTTGTATCTCATAAAATGATTAAAAAAAGGCTGGATTGGAAAAATATTCCAGATTCCTAAACACGCTTCCCTTGGAAGCCCTCAGCGGGCCATCCCTGAAGCGTATCCCCGTCCTCGACATGGTCACCCGAAAGGACCAATGTATGCTCCAAAAGACAGGCATCTTTACCCATCGAAGCACCAGACATCAGGCGCGATCCAGCACGCAAGATACTACGGTCACCGACATTCAGGGTATGCAACTCGAAGCCGCCGCGAGAATTCAAGTGACAAACGAGACTAGCGTCGTCAACAGCGACACGGTCACCAAGAGTGAGGAGGTCAGGCTCAGTGAAGAAGACATTGGGGGTACCATTGGCGTGGATCGCACAGTCCTTTCCGATCTTCGCGCCCAGGAATTGATAGTACCAGGAAAGGTAGGCAGTACCAGTAAGCATCGGCAGGAGACCCGAGCCGCCGTAGCAATCCTTGATAAGAGTCTCGCAGGAGAGAAGGAATTGCCAGCGCTGATTGTAGCTGCTCTTGTCCCAGTGGAAAGCACCTTCCGTGCGGCGGCCCATGACTGCCCATTTGATGCAGATAACAACACCGAGAGCGATGAACGTCTGGGCGCAACTGATACCGGAGAGAACCGATGCGAGCACACCATACAGAACAAACGGGCGCCAAGGGCCGATGGTGAACCCGGCGGCGTTACTATACCTTAGAGCAGTGCGGAGAGCCAAGAGGGCAAACACGACAGTGAGTAGCCAGTAGACAGTAACCACAACAACGGAAACAACGGAATAGATGACGATCTGCCAGATTCGGAGCACGTAATAATTGGCGTCATGGTGGTAGAACGCGCGCCCAAATGGCTTGCAGGTATCCTTTTCAGTGCCCTCGCTGACGGCTCTGCTCTTACCAACTGACACAGTGTGTTTCTCATCAATTTTGTCAGTAGCCCGCTTTTCGTCGTCACTACTGCCACCTGTGGCACTGTTACTACTGCTTCCAATGACAGTTGGAGCAGTAGAGCTGGTGGTCGAGGTGGAGCTGGGGAACTGCACGGCATTGCCGCCCTTGCTACCAGTCCAAACAGTGTTTGATGGGAAGTTACCATTACGGCGGAGTAAAGCACCAGAACCGATCATGGCTTCACGGCCGATGGTGGTACCAGGTAGAGCAACGACACGATCACCAACCATAGTGCCGTCACCAATCACGATACGGCCCCGACCAGAGCCATCGGAGGTGATCAGAGTCGAGCGAGAGCCAAAAACAACATCGTTTCCAACTTCGATGAGATCAAAGTCAGGGAGAGTGGGACCCACACTGGGCCAATAAACACGCTTGCCGACCTTGCCCCCCAGAGCACGGACGGCCATCGACACAAGCTCATAATGGCGACCGACAAGACGCGTTAGTTCGTGGATATCCCCAGCTGGCAGAATCTGCGCGAGCACAGCAGCCCGAATTTTCTGACGAGTAGTCTGCTTTGAGGCCGGACCGGGCTTGGGCTTGCCGCAGATGAGATCGACCAAACCCTTGACAATCAAAATGGCGACGAAGAGCACAATGGGACCACCAAGAGCGCGGCAGATTCTTGCCGTGATGTGGAAACCAATTCGTTGTCCGCTAGTGTACCATTCGAGAGTAGCAAGGAACATGTCCGGCGAGGGCACAGGGTACTGCCTTACCATAGGCACGAGACCACCCATCCAAGTGAGGCGAGCAGAAACCCAGACCAAGATCTTGAGGGGCTTTACAATGAGAAGAGACCAGATCCAATGAGGCTGCGGGATGTGAGAGCTAAGCAGGTTACGGTTTGACTCATCGGCGTCATGGAGTTCCCAGCTCGAGGAATTGGGACCAATGCAAGTGTTCTCCGGAATATCGGCACCAGGCGCAACGATAGATTTCGTGCCAACAGATGAATCTTTGCCAATGCGGATGCGCTTGAGGAGCATGGAGGTGTTACGCTCCACAGCGAATGGACGACACTGGGAAGTGTCCAAGGTAACGTTGTCACCGATCTCGATTAAGTCATACTCACCAAGTTTAGCAGACGGCACGATAGTGACATTCTTGCCAATCTTGGCACCCAGAAGACGATAGAAGAGTACCCGAGACCAGTTGTAGTTGTTAAAAAATCCTTTGCCGCACACCTGCAACGCTTTCTGTGTCAACCACCAACGCGTATGGTACGGTCCCCACATGGGGTACATTCCTTCCTGGTAACGGCCGATGACGAGCCATTTGAAAATTATACCACAGAAGGGGAACACGATGTGGGAAGCAACACGCGCAGACAAAACAGCCAAAACGATCAAGATCAGACGTCCGATGAGTAGATGCCGGATGGGGAAGCGAGTTGAACATTCAGCCACAACGTATGAAAATATAAGCCACTGGAAGGCGCGCTTCATGGGGTAAAAGAACATAACAGGGAACAAATGCAAGAACAATATGGTTGGGTTTGTGCTGCTGTATGTTTTCTCGCAGCCGGGCAGCTCCACTTTCTTGTCGTCGCCCTTGGCAGCTTTGACTCCAACAGCCTCGATAATCCTGCACTCCACATCCCCAATGGTGGGGTTGTGGAAAAGAATGTCTCCGGCCAAGAAAATACCGAACTCACGACGAAGCTGGGAAACAAGACGACCAGCACTAAGGCTGTCACCGCCAGCGGCAAAGAAATCGGTCAGTGCAGAGATATCTTCAGTTCCACAAGACAAGGCACCAGCAAATATTTCACGCGTGCGGCGCTGAACTGGGGACAGATCGCCTTCGGTATTGAGAGCGCGGATTGACTCGTCGATTGCGACCTGGTCGGGGTTGCCGTAGAAGTCAAGAGGCATTGGACCCTTCAAAGGAGTAATTCGGCTGGGGACAAGATAACCATCCAGGTGGTCATGAAGGTCACTCGGCTTTACGTGATCGTCATCGGGGTTGTCAACGAAGACAACAGCCTGCGGGAAGCCGTCGCGTGGATTGATCTGAACATGCACCTCTGAAGTATTGGCTTTCTCTGCAAGAACGGAATGGATAAATTTGTTGTCAATGAAGCATGCCTTTTTGGAGATGGACACGCTGAGTGGAGTGCCATTTGGTGGGCACTCGGCTTCGAAATGGCGGTCCGCAAGAGGGGTTGTCGGACTAAGGGGCTCTAGAGACAATCGCTGGGCGAGCTTGATGCGCTGAATCTTGTTGTTTGACTTGGGAACACGGTCCATATAGACCACCAGAGTAGGCCACTTAGGCTGGTGCAGAATAGGCTGTAGTGCTTCTTGGATCTGGCGTAGATCAGGCCTGGTGGCTCCGGGAGCTGTGACAATCACTACACCGACGACCTCTTGTAGGACCTCGTCAGGGACGGAGAAAGCCAGTATCTCAGTAACACGGCCATATAATGGGGAGCCAGGGTGCTTGGCAGTGGTCAACACGGCGTCTTCGACTTCGACAGGAGAGATGATTTCACCGCCACGGTTGATGACCTCCTTGCTGCGACCAGTAATGTACAAATAATTGTCGGAATCGAGGTATCCAAGATCACCAGTATCAAACCAACCTGACTCATCAAATGCGCTGGTGTCGATTTTGCCTTCCGGGGTCAGGTAGCCCTCAAAAGCGGGTGATCCACGGATGCAGATGTGTCCTAGCATCTTGCATCGTGGAACTGGCTTGCCGCTCTCGCTCAGGATTGTCACTTCAGGACCAACAATCCGTCCGGATGTTCCATGGCGGTCAAGCGTGTAATCTTTTGGTGGCGCAGCAATAGGCATACATTCAGTCATTCCATAACTGGGAAGAATGACACAATTGAACGTATTACGGAGCTGTCCAGCTAGAGAGGGAGGGAGACCAGCACCGGCGTTACAGATAAACTGGATCGCACTTTGCTTGAAAGCATCGGGACGGTGCTCGGCCTCACCAAGAATCATCTGATGCATTGTAGGTGTGGCATAGTACCAAGTAGGTGTCATGTGCGTACTTTGAACGGCGTCCCAGAACATGCTGGGGTCGAAAGCAGGGCAGCAAATTGTGGCTCCACCGGCGATAATTGGGGAGAGAATACTGCGGACGATACCACCACTAGTATTGTTAGTATTGTTTCTTCGCGGGAAATCAGGAAGGAACATACACATGGTTCAGCGGCATCATGTTGAGACATATGTCTGTCTCTGACAACTCCACCGACTCGATAGTGGCGATAGTACCCGAGATGAGGTTGTAAGTTGTGATCGGAACCAGCTTCTTGTTTCCGCTAGTGCCACTGGTGAAAAGGATAATGGCAATGTCATCTCCGGTATTAGGGGGAATATTGGAAGCACCAATGGCATTTTGAGCAGAGACCACTCGAAAAGTCAAGTCTTCCAGGTGCTCAATACCAAACACCGGGCGAGTGCCATTGTCCAGTCGTAACTTGCCAATGTCAGCGTCCAGCGCGACAACGGCATCAGCTTTAACTTGATCAATATCCATTTGCAGCTGCTCTGGGACAGTATTTGATGCCATAGGAACCATAGTATATCTGTTCGCAAAAGCTAGAACTGCAATCGCCATAAGAGGGCCATTAGGCAAAACCACCGCGATGCGGGGTTTTCCATGAGCAGATAACCTCACAGGTACCTGGAAGCTCTGCAAAAATTGCCGGATGGCATTATGTGTCAGATTCTGTCCGGTGGTGGCATCAATCAATCCAGCACGAGAGTCTGTTCCTATCAATTCCGCGATGTCGGGTGTGACTAATTTGACTTGTGCGCGGAGCCGACAAATCGATTCATCGCTCTTGGCTTTGAGGGAATCGGGGAGGAACTTGTAGATTTCTTGGAAAGTTAGGATTAGATCGTGGATGGGCCAAGGGCCGGAATGGGAGGATAGTAGGGCGGAGAGGTGTTGCGAAGATTCTGGTTGTGACGCTTCACTACGAAGACGTAGGAGCTGGTCCACAAGGCTGTCTCAGGGTTAGAACGATTTGAAACATGAAGCTTTGCTGCGCAAAAAAAGAAAGGCGGAAGAAAGAAAACAGTAGAAGGCAAATGGAGCAGAATAGCAAGCAAGGAAGGAAAATAAGCATGAACAAGCATAAAAGAACAAAGGAACAAAAAAGCTCCAGAGTCAACGTACGAATATCTTGGCAGATCCGCCATTGTATACAATTGTATTGTATAACTAAGGATTTATCACAGACACACTTTAGGACTTCTCCATTTCGGAGAGAGTCCCTTGGCATCTTATATGATTGCCATTGTACCCCCAACAAGGTGCAAGATCTTTTAATAATTCGAAGTTGCATCACGCAGTTGATTTTGATTGTGGTTTCTCCATAAGGATAATGGACCAAGAGACGAGGGTGACCCGCAGCGCATCAGGTCCCCAGCCTTGGCCCAGCTTGATCTGGACCCATAGAATTCCATCCTCGGATATCCATATAGCCCTGGAGGTTTCGGACTAGAAGAAGCATCGATCACGCGTTTCAGCTCAGCCGTCAGCTACAGCGGGACTAGGTTTGATTGTAGCCAACAAAGCAAATGTACCTGCAATAATATGCGGCTGTTTAGTTTAGGATTCCAAAGTCGGCAGGTAGTCAAAAGCTAGAGCCTTGATCGACATTGTTCTGTGGCCCGCAGAGGCCCAATATCGCGCGGTCAGGTCCAGTTCGGAGTGAAATTCTTGGATGGACCTTGCTGGTTGGCCCTTGCAACTTCTCGATTTACCTAACGTGGTATTCGTAGCCGTGGGCCTTGGCACTGTCATTAATAAAACTATCACCTCCCGTCATTATCCTACTACCACTTTGATTGCTTCATTTCTGGGTTTTGAGCATAGCATTTTTCACTCAATTTGCGCCTAAATGTCCCACTGACCGTTTTTGAATACTGCCAAGTCCGTCAAGTAGCACATGTAGTGGCTGTATGGGTTCGCGGGATCATCACTGATCGACAACTTAGGGTATGGTTCACGTGGGTCTCCAACGGTAAACGCTTGGCAACAATCGGTATCCATGTCCGTTCACTTGGCCCCTTTGTTCAGTATAGCAACTAGTGGTGCCGATCAACCAAAACCTGAAGCTTCTAGGGTATTAGGCCAGGGTCCACACGCAACAACGGTAAATACCCCAAATAAAATTCTGCCAAGTCCGAGTTGCGGATCCCAAACCACAATTTCCACCGAGATCGTCAGTACCTGTCCTGGCCGACTGTCGGCTGCGATATGGCTGATAAGCCCTATCTTTATCATCTACTTTCGCCGGCCATATTGTTATGGTGTGCTTCAGTCATTTTCATACCATGCCGCTACCGGAGAACTCCGGAGTAGAATAGTTCCGATTTATCATCGGGAATCACCACGAACCACGCGCAGGTCTGGGTGTGCCGAGTCGTCATGCTTCCAATATTATTCTCGGCCGGCTCCGGTTAAAAGGCCCTACCTATGTATAGTTGATCGATTTCATATGATATATGCTCACGATTTCCTTGATGAATCGTGTTCGCGGTTGACACGTTTTTATTGGTAACAGCTTGATATAAGTATTATGTAACCCCATGTCATGGATCTTGCATATATATGTCTGTAGTAAAATTGTAGAAATCTACCCGATTCAAGCATCTTAAAAGACATAGTTTTTGTTTATTTTCATATTACTACTTGCTTGCTTGCTGGGTGTGGTCCTTTATTCCACACATTGCCTGCCCATGATGGTCAAGATACGTGATGAGACAGGCAACAGAACGAGATTCAATGGATCAAGAGTACAGTGTTGTACCCTTCAAACCAAAAGGGGTAAGATCGACTAGAACGCGTAATTGCCTCCAACGTTGTATTAAAGATCTACACTACCAGCGGACTGATCTATCTTATCAGATGGTGTTCAACCGGGAAGTGTAACTCCGAGCTCGGCAAAAGGATTTTCTTTTCTCTTTCGCTACCGCGGTACCCTTTTACATTGAACCTTTGCCACCCGAAATGATATCATTTAATTCACTTTTTGCAGAGAAATAAACTTTGGAATGGCCAAGGAGCCCCTCGCCAAGCTTTTCACATGGTCTTGGCAGAGTGCATAGTGGATCTGATTAAATCCGAATTTTGAGTGCCAAACGATCTTCAGTCCCTGTTTCATTGCAGGGTTAGCCAGCGTTCCAAGATTAACTTCTCAGATAGCCATGCCATGGGAACTCTGCAGAAGTTATTTCCAGAGTAATCTTTCCCTTCATCTTCCGCACCACTAACATCTCGTCGCGAATACGATTCCAATTACGACCTTTTCCCGCCTGGAATGTTCAACCACGGAGGATGACAGTAAAGTCAATTGAACGTACAATAGAGACAAAACTTGCCCAAGCTACTAGTAAAATGCAATTTCTTTTAGAATTGACGGATTTGCGATGGATCTTTTTGCAATATAAATGTATTAAACAAACCTATTTAGTATTAGCGCCAATTGTCATTATCGCCCTATGCCCCTATACGTTCTACGTTTGAACAAAATGAAACTCCATACCCCTTTAGTTTAGCGTGCAGTATCGGCTTACAGCTGCCCCTTCCTCGTTCACACTCGTTTGGTGAGGGACTTTTCTTAATGATCTAGACCGCCGCGCTCCGCCCGTCATCTCTAGCGCGACTCGCCAACTCCATCGGCCACATTTTAATACCGTTCAGCCGGCCCGGCTCCCCATAAATCCCGAATTGTGATGACTGCAAATTGATATGACCTTGTGCTCGCCGATGGACCTGCGTATGCTACATAGTAGCTTCGATATGCGATCCTCTGCCCTGCATCTCATTTTCAGAGACCTTGTAGCAAATCAGCTCCTTCTCAACGGAAACTGGCCAAACAAAATACAACGATGTTTGAGAATAACATTTGTTAAGTTCTATTTTCCTTATATTATGCAATCTTGGTGAAAGAAGACCTCACTTAGCGCTTTGCGCGCGACAGGCTTTTGAGGCCATCTTGACAATCAATATTTTCCTTTGGCAAATACCCACTCATAATTAAATTTCAGATACCAATTTTTAATCTCATAGTTATTTGAATCAAATCAGTCCATGCAGAGAGTAATTTGTCTGGGGCGGGTATTACACCCGCATACGTGTCTGCTTGGTGGCATCGGCCAAGACGCACATTTTTACCACGGAGTGTAGTATAGCCGCCTACGAATTAGAATATTTGACATTTTTCCAGAAAACAGGAATATTCTGGAAGTTCCATGCCATCTAATCAACATGGTACCAAAAAGGATTTTCCAAGGTCATCGAGAAGACGTACCTGCGGGGATAGCCTCAATTTTGAGCGTTCGGTCCACTTCCGCCCTACCAGCACTACAACGTACGTTGTACCCAAGCTCGTATGCTAGAATTTTCATCCAGCTTCCCTGTTATAGATTTGGTTAGAGTTTGGGGATTCAGTAACAACCGTGAAACGAGGCTCATTCCTAGGGAATCCAATCACCCATACATCCCTAGCCAATCCATGCACAGACGAAGTACCTAAACAAAGCATGACGAAATTAACAGCCGCGTCCTCAACTGGTGTCCACGGGGGTTGGAAAAGGGGACACATCTCAAACTGGATAAGAAAGGTGGTCCCCGTGTCCAACGTATCCTGGATCATATACTTTGTAATCAATAAGCACTTTTTTTCCATCTAAGTGGCATTGAATACTTTACCACATTTACTGAGAATAGCCACAAGGAAATTCAACAGATGGTGCCCACACTGGGGCCTGTTGATTTATGAATTCAAATCAAGTTCATTTTTCAACCAATTGGTGTAGGTTCTGTCAAGAGCAAAAATCAATTCAAGCACTCGCTCCCGATTCGCTAGACCTGTAGAAACAGACCTTCTTCCATCTGCAACAAGATTCATCAAATTGAGACACGGTTGCCAATCTAATGTAAAACCTGCCTTACTGAGTTTGTTCAACTCAAAAAACAAAACACCATTCAATCGCGCTCGCCAAAAGCCCTCAGGCAACTCCCAGCCAAACAGTAAGAGTATATTCCTTGTGTCCTTGATGTCAGCATGTGTGTACTCTGTAACAGAACAAATCCACTGGCAGATTAAAAGCGCAAGTTCCAATGGAAGCGCGCTGAAGCAAGAAGACGGGGAATAACGCTCAATCTTTGCGCAATCTATAGCTTCCTGAATTGCGGGCACAACAAGTGGATTCTGAAAAAAATCGCACTCGTACCCTTGCATTGACACGATGGAGCAGGAGTCTTCCCACAACTCGTTGTTTGTACAGTATTGTCGACAAACTTTTATGAATCTGGCAAGGCCATCATCATTAAGTTTTAGGTCTTCGACCTGGCGGAAGAGGGCCCAGCAATGGGCATGTATGAAATATCCGATAATCTTGCCTTTGTATATAATAGGTTGCTTCGGAAGCTGGTAGCATAAAATCGAGTGAACACCCGTTTGTCGTACCGGGCGCCTTTCTTCCCACTGATCCTCGCCTTTGTTGGATCATTCGGGGTGTAATAAGGCTCAAACCCACCTATCATATTGATACCGGTTAAACGGTACTTGGTGTTGGTTTCTTTGATGACTAAATGAACTAGTTAGAGGACCTGGGCTTGTTTGATACCAACCCATTTGTTAGGGGCTTACTAGCCCGACAAAGGCTTGACCATAGTCGAGGTGAATTGGAGGTGAAGGTATTTTCAGCTTCGGAGGATGGTATCATCAGATGAGTAAGACCGAGTTTCCAAAGCTTTTTCCACTGATTTTCTTGAATCAACGGATGGTTTTTCCCTGATTTTGGGACTCCATTGTCCGGTATGCGTGGGATGGCCATTCCACATAGGAGACATGCCGGCTCAGGCAAAACACCCGAAGTAGAAGCATGTGGATGTACCATAGTGAAAAAGTAGATGTGCGAAAATTTTTAGAGGGGTTGTTGAATATCTAAGAATAAGGGGTTTCAAAGGATGAGATCATAGTGAGTCCTCGATGAAGAGTCATTGATGGACCTTTTGAACTCTGATACCCCATTTTCCCTCTAAAGCCGTAGCGTAGGGAATCGAAAGGAATTGAAAGGATTGAAAAAGTGCAGGTAGGTATTGCAAATATGCAATCAGGTGCCGAGTTTTGCTCTTTTGGTATACCAGGTATGGCACAAGAATGCCTAGGTGAGAACAGTGAGGTCTTTTCCATTCTCGACCATATGTAATTTGATCCGCATTGCTGTTTACAGCAAACCAGACGATTGCGACGAACCAAGATAAAGTTATGGGGTTAATATAAGACTTGTCTTGACTGTTCGGATGTTTCATGGTCCATTTTTCGGTTTGCTTCATCTCTATCCAACTCTTGTTTTGTATTCTATTAGAGAGAATGAGGATTTCATCCATCGGGCTTTATAGCGCTATAGCGCATTTTAGAACAATGTGTGATTGCGGAGTTTGGGCTGACCTAGGACTTTTCCTGAGACTCCGTGGACTTTAAACTCTAACCTCGAACACCATGGCTTCCTTCATCTCAGCAGTAATAACCAAGGAAATAGTGCAAATGATTGAAACCAAAATTTTATATAAAATCAAGAAATTTGTTCTTCATGTCAACTTTGACTTTAAAACAAAACCTTAAAACAAAACAGTTCCAAAGCCCATCTACGCCGTATAGCCTCCCAGAACACCACCTCGTCCACTGACCAAACACTCCCAGTAACTGTTTCAAAAAGGAGGGATCATCGTTTGAAATAAGAGCTACCCGAAAGGCTGAGCCAGGAGTTCCTCAGACCGCACTCTCTTCAACCTTCCAAGAAGCTGTGTTCATCCTGGTAAATGGGTTGTTGGAGCTATGTTCCGTCGGTGGTCTTGAAATTGCCGCTCACTCCCTGTAAGAGATCGGTTGCTCTCTACATGAAACAAACAATGGACGAATTTCATTGTGCTTGGCATCTTATTCACTCTGTGGCGGCGTTTTTGTCTTGGTTACCGGACGTCTAGGTCATAAGTCTGGCCACAAATACATGTATCTTGTTGGATGGACCTGGATGGCTATTTGGTCACTTGGCTGTGGGCTCGCCCATAATGTTGTTCTCTTTGATCTCGCCGGTGGCATGATAGGAATCGGTTCTGGCGCCTTGGATCCGAATGTCTTTGCTCTCCTGGCGCGCGCATTTCCGCCCCTCTAGACCAAGAAGAATATCACCTTTGCTTTTCTGGGATTTTTGCACTCAATTAGGATACAAATTTGCTGGTTTGATCGGGCGGTTTGCCGAAAAAAAATACCGGGCGTTGGGGGGCTTGAGTACTGGGCCATCGGCTGCGTCGTTCTCGACCTGGTTACCTTCGTCATCGTCCCTCATCGAATAGATAGCCGATTTCAGGGCTGAATCTACGTCATTCCGACTTTCCTGGTAGCCTGCTGAGCATATAGGTATCGAATGGCCTCGTCGAGGCTTTACTGCTATGCTCAACGCGATGGTCTTTCGACGGATGTCTTTTAGAATCTTTGTACACTATACCACCATCTACATCCTCATCATTTATGATTTTCAACCTCTCAGTGAAGTCGCTTCAACGGTGCCATTAGTCCTTGGCGGTCTGTTCGCTACCATCTCTGTCGGCCTGTTAGTCTCGGAGGTCCCCGCCAGTACATTCTAGGCGTGTCCATGTTCTCCTTCCTTGTCGGCAACTTGGTAATGAGATTCGTCAATTATTCGGACAATTACTGGGTCATCATATCCCCCGAATGTCTGTTGGTAGTCGGTGGCCCCGACTTGTCCTTCGTTTTGTCGGGCCTTCTAGTTTCCAACACCGTGTTACCCGAGGAGCAGTGTGTGGCATGATCGTTCACATCAAGAGGGGTGCAATACTCGATTTCTATCAGTCTTGGTATTTCAGCCATTGTCGAGACTTATGCAAGCGATAGAGGAAAGAACCCGGGCAAGGGCTATCGTGAGGCCTGGTGGCTAGAAATAGGTTTCGCGGTTGTAGAGTTTATTGTTGTCATCTTCTCTGTATGCGACAGCCGATTTGACCCCAAGAAGGACCGTTCTAAAAGCTTCGAGGGGCAGCTTGGATTTAATTTTCGATCTAATTTACCATGCTCTGACTGAAGATCTTCACCCATCGGTCTTCATTGGCATTTTGGTGCGTCTAACGACACCTTCGGATATAATAGTCCCGTTTCATGCTCAGATGGAATGTCCAAGGTTAAGATAATCGACACTGATCAAACAGGAGCGACTGTTCCGTGCGTACTTCAAATGAAAATGTTATGCACCAACGAGCCTTTCCGGGCAAGACATGTCTCAGCATCAAGATGTCTGTGTACTCAGCCTATTTCAGCCAAAACCAGAAAAAATCGGTTTCCTAGAAGCTTTACACTTAGAGAAATGATATGACACCTCTCTTCGGGCATATATCTCGTCGCCATCGAGTGGGATCAACATGATTTATCCGGGCCAGAACACTCGCCCCTCGGTGGTACCCTTGACCCGAACATCCCCATCCTCGTTTGGGAGCCAATTCATCTTGAGATCAGAGACAAATTCTGGCATTACGTGGCATTGGCGTTGTGTAAATGTCGGAAAAGGGCACCTGGGCCAACTCTGTAGGTCATTTACGGCTATTATCTGAACAATTTGCTAAGTCATTATTGAGTGAACACCTTCTAGAAGTGTCTGTGTGTTTCGCACGGCTATTTCGATCTAAGGAATTATTTGAGCACGAATGAAAAGATGCAATATAGTGATAAACCATATTAAATTCTCTAAACCCTCAGAGTGGAATGCTTAGTAGCTAGCTATGTGTCAAACCAGTCCTCCATCTAGAGCCCGGCCGTAAACGCAAGCCAGTTCAAATTGAAGCTCAATCTCGTGGCTCTCAAAAAATAACTTTCAAACGTGCTAAAAGATCATGGTATCCGATCACAGAGTGACAATCACCTTCTGCGCAGATGTGCCCTTCGCTTGCAAGTCGATAGCAGCCTGGATATTCTCGATTCCCTGTCCGGCAACAAGAGGGCTGGGGGCAGGAATGAAACTTCCTTCTTTGAGAGCCTTGGGAAGGAAGTCCTCGTAAATAGCCTTGCCGACGTGGTTATCCTTGATGGTGGTGCCAAAGACGCTCTTGAGGGTGATACCCTCTGGAGGCTGGAAGCCACCCTTGACAGAGGAGATAAACTTGTTACCCTCAGCCTTACTGACAATATCAACAGTCAGGGGAGTTCCGGCGAATCCAACACAGTCCATGGCACCTGCAAGAATCTTTCCCTTGAGAGCGTTGATGAGATCATCGACGACGGTGGCACTGTTGTAGTCAAAAACCTGACTAGCACCGAGCTTTTTAACGTAGTCGAAGTTCTTGGGCGAGGCGGTAGTGAAAACTTCGTAGCCGGCGGCGACTCCGAGCTGGATGGCGTTGCTGCCGACGCTGCCTGCTCCGCCCCAGATTAGGAGGGCTTGGCCAGTGGAGCGACGGGGCTCGGCGGGAAGCTGAAGCTTCAGGAATTCGTCCTGGAAAAGACCGGAGGCAGCAGTGGAAAGACCGAGAGGGAGCACGGAAGCGTCCTCGTAGGTGATGTTATCGGGCAGTTCGCTGGCCATATTGGTCTGCAGGATGGTATAGGCTTGGAAGGCGTTGTCCTGGATGCGCTTGGTGGCCATGCCAACAGCGTGGCCGACAACACGGTCGCCAACCTTGAAGCGAGTGACATCGGGACCAACGGAGACAACCTCTCCAGCAACGTCCTGCCCCAGGATAGTAGGGTAGTTCATGGACCACCAGGCCTTAGACTGAAGGCTACCATCTACAGGATTGATAGCGATGGCGTGATTCTTGACGAGAATCTCGCTGGCCTCAGGAGTGTAGACAGGAGCCTCCTTGACCTGGAAGGGGTGGGCCTTGGCCTCAGTGAGCCACGCGGCGGAGTTTGCAGCCATTGTGAAGGTTCGATTTGGGGGGTTAGCTGACGAAAGCTTGGAGTGTCTTTTTAAGCGCGAAAATATGTTGATGAAAGACAAACGACTCATGTACGATGAGAAGTTGGAAAGTGAAAAGTTGAAAGATGAGGCACGAGATGATGAAAGAAGTGTTTGCTTGAGATGGTTGGGAGTCCCAGATCCTCTTTATATGTCTGTAGCCCATATTGTCTAAGTTTAGGGAGATATGTACACCATTTTCTCTGAACCTCATCAACTACCATACAATCTCAAGGGCCAGCGCAAGCCTAACCGAATGGGGTCCGCATCCTACGATCGCAAGGCTAGCCCAAGATGGGTTAGCTTTGAGATTGCCTTCCGCTTCAACGCTGACCTAATCACGACAAGCTCAATGAAATGGTAAAAATGAATACGATCAATACGAACAATACCACAAATACGACGACTCGATCAAGTTAGTCTTGAGCGTATGTCAGCTTCGGAATTTCTTTTCAAATATCCATGTGTCAGGCAAGTTTCGTTTCCCCGTAACTATTTGCTTACATTTTCAATTGACCAGTCTACATAGGCATAATCTTTCAATGTTGACTTCAGCATTATTTGATACCCTCTTCATGCTATCAACCATGACAGATATTTACAAGCTGGCAAGTTCAAGGTGTAACTGTCACCCCAGTCTAGATTGTTTCACTTTAGAGATATACGGCACATGCGGAAAAATGAATCTAAGGTTTCGGTAGCACAAGAGATATGTTATCGATATTTGTACGATATGTTCCTCTTCAAGAATAAGCCCCGCTACTTCAATTGACCTCCAACTTTGTGCTACCGATCACTCAATTTGGATAGTCAGAGTCACAAAGCCTTGCTAACAAAAACTTTCATTGGTGTCACGACAGCTTTTTCCAAATCCCACACCCCTAGCTTGGCGTAGGGATCGTTGCGAATCATTTCCCACACCTCTTCCTCTGTGCCGGCCTTGCAGAGATGAATGCTTCCTGTGATTTTGGACATGCCATCTTCAAGGCTCTCCGGTTGGGAGGAATACATTGGACCACCGAATGAAATCTTGCCGGATTCAAAGTGCGGCTTGTTGTGGGTAAGATGAAGAGGTCGATTTTCGATCCGAGTTTGGAGGATGTTGGGGTGATCCGGGAGGCGCACGAGGAAATCCAGCTCTTCGGACATTGTGATATATTTGGTCTTGAGTGATGCAAGTGCAAACAAAATAGTGGGCTCAAAGTGTGATTTTGCTAAAGGAACTTTGGGATGGGTTCAAGAAGAAGATCAGAGACTGATAAATAAAAAGAGAAGAGATAGATATGTAAATAAGCCCTTTGCTGCACAAGCACTTATCATTGTCCAATCCCAACGCAGCATCCAAGACAAAGTATTTCGTAAATAACTCCCACGGTAATGATTACGAGTTTCTCCGTTGTATCACTCGCAAAAGCGCAGTGGCCTATCGGCTAGATTTTGCGCATGGTAAGATGTAGTGGATCTGACTGAGATCTGCCATTGCAGAGCCTCCGCGGAGTTTCTCTTCACCCTGGATGATCAGCGGCATGAGCCTGGCAATTTGTCGGCGGATATACTCAGCACCGAGAAGGTTTGATTAACCACTAAAAGTAAGAACCTAGAGCCCCGTTTGTGTACTGTTTACCAAAAGCTCCGTTCTTGGGAATTCTGATGCTGTTTTTCGTCGCCTGAGCAAAATACATAATAACATTGTATAAGACGGACAGATATATCGAGATAGGAATACCAGCATTTATCAACGATTATTACTTCCAGATAACCATACCCAACTGCAGCAGCTCAAAATGGGCAGCGTCGGAACCATACCCACCGTCGATATTAGTGCTTGGATTGACCCCTGTGGCACGGAAAGAGACCGCCAGAATGTAGTCGAGGAGATGCGCAACGCCTGCACGACCTATGGTTTCTTTAATCTTGTTGGACATGGTGTTTCACCTGAAGCCCAGAAGCAGGCACTCGATTGTGCCAGGTTGTTTTTCACACTTTCAGAGGAACAAAAGATGGATGTCTGCATCTCAAAGTCGAAGGGAAGATCTTTCAGAGGGTATGAACCACCAGGTATCCAGGTCCACCAGGAAGGCCTGCTACCCGATACCAAGGAGGTAAGTGTCACATAGCCAGCGGCCATGAATATACCCAACACATGCTGAATCTAATTCGAGTGTTTCATCATCGGCCATGAGGTTCCTGAAGATGACCCGGACTGCGGTACATTTTCTACTGGACCTAATCTCTGGCCGAAGTCTCTGCCCGAGGGAAAGTTTCGCATTCCAATCATGGAATACCAAGCTCGCATGGTTGAGCTTGTCAAAGTCTTGCTGAAAATCATCGCCCGCGGTCTACCACAAGAATGGAATTGTCCACCCGATGTCTTGGACCCGTTGGCGCAAAACAACCCATCTATCCCGATGAGACTGTTACATTATGGCCCCCAGCCGATCAAAGATGAGAGACAGTTTGGAGGTATGCCACGTTGACCTCTTATTTCTGTGAAATGCCTCATTAGATACATGCTGACTGGCAAAGTCGGTGATCACACTGACTTCGGTTGTGTCACTATACTGCTACAGGAGATGGGAACAAAAGGCCTCGAGGTCTGGTACCCACCAACGGAGACTTGGATTCCTGTACCTCCTCAAGAGCATGCATATGTGATCAATATCGGTGATATGGTGCAGAAGTATACGGGTGGATACTATCGCAGTGCTCGACACAGGGTTATCACATTTACAGAAAATCACCGATACAGTGTTCCATTTTTCTTGAACGGTCAGCTGAAGCTCAACTGTATCACACTTGACGGATCTGGTTCTGAGACTGTCGTTGGAGACCATATTCGAGGGAGGTTGCTCGAGACCATGGGAAAGGCTGGGGAGAAGTTGAAGTGAAACTGAATGTTGGAGGACGGAAATCGTCCTAAATAGTTAATTTGCAGTCTCTCTGTGATCGACTGGGTCCTTAGACATTGCGAACTGGGCTGCAGACGGTGACGGGCCGACTGATTGTACGGATGCGTCGCATAGGCCGTGGAAAGACGAAGATATACATAGGGGCTACCGCCTAATTACTATTAGTATCCTAGTCTATTTCATAATATTGCATCTAGCTTTGATGACTTCTATCCATACTTTTATTTGTAGAATAACACAGTCACATAATGAAAACCTTGACAACATCCATGCTTGCGGGGTCCTACAAGATCCTGGAAAGATCCATCCGGTCATTTGTACAGACTTGACTTACCCTCGTAGATCAAGGTGCACCCAGTCTTTCGAAGTCGGAAAACTATGCAGAGCAACTGACATATCACCCCTAGAAGGACAAATCGCAGACCCTCCACCACCAATCGAATTCAATGACCATGACGAGTGGGAAGGCGAACGGATCGTCGCAATTCGAATCCGACGAAAGCAGTTGTAATCCACTTAATGGATCGGGTATGATAAAAATTTAGCAATGAAGCCAGCAAGCTTCGTTGCCCACTTCCCCTGGCTCGTCAAAGAATTGCATGGGGCTAACTTACGCCGCCCGGAACTGCTTAAGAACGTTGAGTAGCAGTTCCGGGCGCGTGGGTTGGCCGCGTGAAACTCTTTCATTTGCCGTGAGGAGTGAGCAAAGAAGCTTGCTGAGTGCCATGTCAGGTCTTCGTCGTACTCAATCCATTGAGCTCTGTATTGCAACAGCCAATTGTAATTAGTGCCCCTGGTTTGGGATCGTCAAAATTCATTGGTCTAGTTATTATCCCGTGGAGGATTTGCAACGGCTGTAACATAACGCATATCGGAAGGGCTGAGTCGGCTAAACTTACTAGTATCAATTTAAACTCATTTCTGCACTTTTGGTAACATTGTGAAGATATAGGACGGATCACGTCTTGTTGAAGTCGTTTTGTGATGTGGATCGCAGGGAAGATGGATGTCAGTGAATTTATTCTCAATGGTGAAATCATGGAAAAGAAGAGAGAAAGAGGAAAAAGGTAGAACTACAAACAAGGCCTCAACTGAAGAGTGGGAGATCACCTGATATCCCCAACATTATGCAATGCCGCCTGGATTGGCTCAATGTCGCGAGAAGGAACTGATAATGGGGTTGCAACATCCAAAACTAACCAAATACCACAAATCACTGGCGATGTGGTGAGATGATCGTGCTGGTGTAACTTAGTGGGTATCATTAATGGAACATCTCTAGCAAGATGTCAATATCCCGTGTCTATGGCGAGCCACCACTTGAGAAAATAGGTAATGACCTTGGTATGCAAATTTCGGTATCAACTGCTAGTCGTATTTTACACAAAGCCACACCCGGATTTGCACTGCTAGTGCAGGGCCTAGACAATCCAAACGAGAATAAGGTGTTGCATGATTAGATAAACCACTACTAATATAAATTATGCTATCTCTAGCGTATACAACGGATTTGCAGTCCACTTTTATCTTACCCGCTCGTATAAATTTCAGAGACGTGGCGCAAAATTATCAGACGCATATTTTAAAAGTAGTTGCCCGATCAGGGTGTCAAGTACTCTTTTCGCTCATTATACCAGCGAAGGCAAATAATACCGAGGCAAAATTACATCTCTGACTGGATAGCCTCAATGTTACATTTTTAAACAATAGACTTGACAATTACACACCTGATCCCAGCCCCCTGATCTCTCACTCGCGCATTCCGCCAATAATATAATTTAGAACCCCACAGGATTGGAATTGCAAGACATACTGGACTTACCCTTGATCCGCGGGGCGCTTCGATGTTGCAGAATCCTCGTATATTATACTTTTACAGCCTCGTTTTGCCCGAACTCTCGCCTTTTTCGTACTGTTTGGGTTAGACAATCTGTGAGTCTAATTTACGAGGTTATACATAGCCAAGGCGGGCTCTCCGTCGTTACCAATGCCCAAACCAACTCAAATCTGGAGTGAGTCTTCGCTGTTGCATATCTGACACCATCCAGAAGTCGCGAATCTGTTCCTGTCAGCGTGTTTTCTGTTCGAAAATTATGACTTGGCAATGCTCGTCGTATTAAATGATATATCTCGCACAATGACTATGTATAGCAAATCCTCCCGAAGTCTTAGTATTGCTTAAGTTGGCTCTTTGATCCAGCGAAAAATTTAATCTCTCAAACTTTCGAAGAACCACGCCGATCCCGCGTATCAATCAAGCTTACAACAATGTCCCAATCATTTGATAGCCGCCAAACAACCCCACCATGCAGACCGCAACATAAATCTGGCCTTGCTTGTGAAGAATGTCGCAGACGGAAGCTCCGTTGTGATCGCCGTCGCCCAAAATGCAGCCTGTGTGAAACATCCGGTGTAGAATGCCAGACTACCGCTCGGCCGCCCCGTGGCCCCAAACGTGGATATCTCAAGGTGCTCCAAGATAGGATCGGTAAGTATAAGTATGTACAACTTTCCAATATGAGAGATAGCTAACCAGCATGCACCATCAAGCCAATTTAGAAGGGCTTCTTCTCCAGCAGAATAACGGTCAAAAGAACTCACCGTACGATGCGAGCGACATAGAGACTATTTTGATAGATAGCAAGATCGAGCTACCATCATGGCAATTGCCGATCATGGATGAAGATGGACAACCCCTTGACATATGTGAGCGGACAAAATCATCAAATTCATCGGATACACCCTCGATAGACGGAAAGAGTGGTGCTTCCATTCCCTCCATAAACAGACTTTCAATGCTAGAAGAGCTGGGGTTCGATACAACAGTATGCAGGTCCTGGGATACTCTAGATCTTGACCCCAAGATATCGGACTTGATGCAAGCCGACTTGTACGCGAAATAGCTCTTCCAGTCTTTTCTATATGCTAACGATTTCGCAGAGATCAGCTTTATTTTGATAGAATTCACGGCTTTATGCCAATTCTACACCAGAGCCGATACTTTGCAATGCGTCAAAAAAGTATCAAAGCAGAGAGCGAAGTTTGTTTGCAATATGCAATGTGGACTCTTGCGGCGTCAGTTTCAGCTCACTATCAGAGTGTGGGACACTCACTGTACCAAAATACGCGCCGCTTACTGGAGGAGTTAGACTCCAAAAATATCAAACTTGCATCTACTGACCTTCAACAGGTGCAAGCGTGGCTTTTGCTTGCGATCCATGAGTTCATGTGTGTTGACTTCCGACGAGGTTGGATGAGTGCTGGGAGGGCGTTCCGACTCATCCAACTCAGCTGGCGACATGGTACCGATGGTCCGGACTTGACCCAGGTACAAGGGGACTGGATTGAATCGGAGCGGAGGCGAAGGACATTTTGGATGGCCTATTGCCTTGATCGATTTGTGAGCATGCGGATAGAATCTCCGTTGACATTTAGTGAAACAGTAAGCAACATTGAGCTTCCAATCGATATCATATTAAGGGAGTAACTTCTAACATCAAGAACTCAGGTTGCCATTCGACTGCCATGTTCCGAGAGAGATTTTCAGACTGATCAACCTGTTCTTATGGGGTTCCTCACCGAAGCCCTCGTCTCCAGTAACTCAATGGTTGTTTCCGCGTTTACGGAATGCATCATCGTAGCCACAATTACCGGGCGCGCCCTCGCTCATCGCCATCAGTTTCACGTCGGTGACATGTGTTTTAACGCATTGGCGGATTTTTGGACTCAGCATGAGTGGATCAATGCTATGCATAGTCAGAGTATTGAGGCATTTTCCTCGAGATATTCTGCAGATATGCAACAAACTGATCCTATGCTTCTTTTCATCGGGTTGATGTATCGAATTACCACTTTACATCTATATCAAACGACAGGGTGTTTTATTGCAACAACTCATGAGGAACAGCGCGACTTGGTGCTAGAGGATCGAATACGAGCATCTTCGGCAGCAAAGGACATTGTCGACCTAACTAACAAACTCTCGAGTCTCAATACCTTCAAAGTAAGCTGTAACCAATCTCGATCTACGCAAATTCTCTAACAAAGATAGGTGCATCCTCTCACACCGATACCACTCTCGCTATGCGTGGAGTTTCTCGTCTCGAGCACCGAGTTTGGTGACTCTTTTGCATCCGAGCTACAAAATATCATAGAAGCGATGCGTTCTTTGAGGAGCTTCAATAACATCGGAAGAGGAATTCTACATTTACTCGAAGAGTTTGGGGTGGCGGAGGGCATACCAATGGCTGTTCAATAGACTCATTATTCTTTTATTCAATCATATTGAGCCTCTGTGGCTGGGCAGGTGTTCAGGTTCATTTTCGTATTGCTGCGCTCCAGATGTGATGTATCCACCAATTGACCTGGGATGAAATTAAACGCTATGATCAATCTAATCATTACTTGTCTAGATTCAATTAAGCCGAGGATTACTGAGCTACGGCTTTCGTATCTACTGTAGCAACAAATAAAGCTGCCGGTTCATCTATGGATGAGCATGTCTCTAATATTACATCGTGGCTGAAGAATATAGTTCAAATACGAAATGTCGCCTCCACCGATGAATGTAAGATTGTGAGACAAAAAAGACAGCGATGAGTCTAAAAGTTCAAATTGAAACCGCCATTTCTAGTCGAGCCTGCGCTCTCGCCTCTCTAGCTTCCTTGGCAACCTGCGCCCTCTTGCTCACACACGGGCTGTCTGGCTGTAATGCGTTGAGATCATGCGCCTCCAAACAAGCCTGTGTACTGAGTAACACAGCATCAGAGGTACGGGCGCGCATCTCTTTCTCATACGCATCCACCGCATTTTTTATTGTGTTACCCGAATCAGCAGAATGCCAAGCAGAAATTAAATTCTTGCTAAGCACCGCGGCATCTGCAACACCGTGGTTGAAAGCCTCTCCTCGGTAGGATGTCATCGCGTGAGCACCGTCACCAGCGATTGTGACATGCCCATTATGATTATCCCATGGTATTGGGACCCAGTCAACCAGTTTAATGTGCAATACTTTCGTATCTTCCGGCATGGACAGGACCGCATCGCGGAGCCGAGGGTCGAAATTCTGTGCATTGCGTTTAAAGATTGCAAGGCGCTCTGCGTCTGTTTCCGGAACCTTGTCGGCTTCACTCTTGTTTAGCCAAGATTGGATCAGCTGGCCCTCATAGAACGGATGTTCTGTCCCAAGACTACCGTTGATTGTTGGACTAGAGACAAGAGAGAACCACATATACACGCCTGTCTCTGGGTGAGTTCCTTGAAAGAGAAGAGGATCAATAGTGATAATTGGGGCGAATTGCTCTGGGGTCATGGTTATCGTTGCGCCGATACTGCAAACTGGCAGGGGGTTAAGACCTCCCAGCCTCTCGCCGAGTAGGAGACGGCGAGTCTTGCTATTTCGCCCCTCGGTGCTAACTAGCATGCATCCCTTTGTAGAGGTTCCGTCGGCGAATGTGACTTCAACCTCGTCGCCTTTCACATCGAACCCAGACATGCTCTTGCTGTAAGTGATGTCGATGCCCTCACCGAGTAGGTTCCCAAGCAAGCGGCGGTTGACGCGGTGACGCTTTGTTGGAGGAATGACATATTTCGGCGCTCCGGTTGCCAAATCAATAAAGCAAAAGCGCCGGCTATCATCAAGAGTAGGATCGACTTGGATGGACTGGAGGCGGTGGAAAATCTCTGCTGGAAGGCATTCTTCAAGCGCCCTAAGGGCCCAATGGACAGTCAAAGCCCATCCACGGCCTTTCTCTGTATCATACGAAGTATCGCGCTCGTAGACCTCGTACGGAATGCTTGCTTTTCTAAGGGCTTGAGCCAGGGTAAGGCCGACCATGCCAGCACCCACGATAATGATGGGAAGAGTAGGAGGTGCGCGCGCCATCTCTTGAGGAAGATAAATCTGTGGAAAGATTAAAAATTCTTTGCTTGAATTATAGCCGCTGTTTCCATTTGTACTCTCTTTTATGACTTTCAAGGACGCGTCTGAGAGCTCGGGGGCTTGGAAACTCCGGCGATATTATCATAACCCTCATGGGCCAAAGCGGGGAGTTCGAACAAATTGTCAGCTTATGCTCCTAAATCTAGTTTCTTCGGTATTACTAGTCACCGAATTCCAAAGGCCGCAGCGGAGTTACCTAGAATAAATTAACGGGGTGATTGTCCGTAAAACTTAACAAACTCCAGCTAGCCTGCGTAGTATAAAGTTGCCAAGTGGTCTACGTCGAGAACAGCACTCCAGAAAGCAAATTTTGTACACAAAGAGGAACAACAATATCATCAGCTGGAGTAAGCAACTGATTTCCAGAATTTAACCTCAATCTAACGACCAGGCTTGCAAGAATCAACATGGCAACCCCTCAACTCTACGATTGGCTTGTCCAAACTCCTGCAAACGCAGAAGATCTTGAGAATCGGATCAACACCCGCCCTGCACACCTAGAGCATAACAAGCCACTTATCGAAGCTGGAGTACTTGTTTGGGGTGGACCTTCGCTGGCATCCCACCCGCAGAGCACTGAAGAGCAGCTCTTGATCACCGGAAGCGTACAGTGTATTCGAGCTGAAAGTGAAGAGGCTGTGCGGAATATCATTCGCAATGATCCATATTCCAAGGTTGGATTTTGGGATGCTGAGAGGGCTACAGTAACACCGATGAAATGTTTTCTTCGCAGGCCGCTTTAGTTCGGTGCCTTCGTCCTTTTGTATTAACCGGCTGTCAAAGAATAAGATTTAAATGATACAATTGCATTTATTGGTTTTATCTGTGGTAGTTCTGCGAATCTCAAACTATCTCTGATCATTCGGTGGCATCCTGGTGTCTACAAAATTCCCTGTATTTTTCTTCTTCTCCTTGTAATGTGAACTACGGCAGGATCCGATTATGGCGCCATAAAAATGGATATTAGTCTAGCTTGAAGTGGCCTTATCTTATAATCTGAAAGACAATCTGCTTTTTTGCGCTTCTTGACTGTCCACTCTCGGCCGTGTCAGCCACCGAAGGAATAAAATCCAGTAGTCCTTCTTCAAGCCTTCACTTTCAGTCCAGATCCATACATGGCGATACGAAGTCCTGCATACATGAATCCCGCGACGCAGGCAGTGGCTCCCCCAAACGCCCATAGTCCATTCCAGTTCATATGGGCAGACTCTGCCAGAATGGCCCCACCAGCCGGTCCACCAGCTAGAACACCCAACCCAATTATGCCGAATCCCATACCGATCCGAGTGCCAATCTTCGATTTATCTTTGGTAAGCGCGACAAAGCAAAGTGGAGGAAGACCAATCAGTGCACCGCTGAAGAAACCTGATAAGATGGCGATCACGATCAGCCCGCCTTGTGTCGTCACAGCCAGAAGGCACAAAATAAGTACTCCAACAATAATGCAGCAGGGTGCAATAAGATTGAAAGGACCAGTCCTGTCAGCCAATGCATTGGGTAGAGTACGACCGAAGCACGAGCCAACGTTAAGGATTGGCACAATGTAGAAGCTCATGTTTGTGTCGGTGATGCGAGTAGCTGCCCCAAAGTATGAGATGTAGAAGAATAGCACAAAGAGGCCCATAAACGCGATCAGAGATGCCAGGACAAATGTAATGTACGGCACATCCGTAAAGGCTGACCAGTCGATGAGGCTTCGGGCGCGAGGGGGCTTGACGCGCTGACGCATAACTGCGATTGGAATCAAAAGGGTGCCCAACGCTATGAACCCAATGATTCGAACGGCCCATCCAAACCCAAGTGGCTCAATCAATTGGTTCAGCACAATTGGGTAAATGATACCACCGAGGGCAGAGCCAGAGACAGCCAGTCCGAGCGCCGCACCCAGTCGTGAGCTGAAATATGTAGGCAGAACAGACACGCAGGGCACAAAGAGGCAGCCCGCGCCGATGCCGACACAAAATCCTTGAGCGAGTAGTACCTCCCCGTACGTCTTGCAGATACTCAGCATCATCATGCCGAATACAATGCAAAAGCTTCCGATTATCAGGAGTGAGCGCAGGTAGCCGCGGTCGTAAATTGGTCCAGTGATGAAACCGACCATCAGCAGCATTGTGGCTTGAATGGCGCCGATCCAAGAAATGTCGGAAGATGAGCGAGTGAAGAGGGCACCTGATTCATAATAAGTCTGGAAAACGCCGAACGCGTTCAAAACCCCCCAGGTGTTGAAAAAGAGCATGAAGCCACCCGCAACGTGCAGCCAGGCGACCAGACCACCGTTGGGGGGAGCGGAACCCATAGGAGGAGGGCCCTTTGGTGCTTCTACTAGCATATCATGACTCCTCGGAGTCTGTAGAGCCTCTGTTGGAGCTTTCTCTGAGCTTTGATCCAGAGGTGAAGTTGATGGAAACCGATGCCGATCTTCCTGCATTCTGGGAGGATAAAGGAAGTCAGGACTAGAGTACTTTTGAGATAAAAAGATTTTGTATAAAAAGAAGATCGAGATTTGTGTGTTGATTTTTGTAGACTACCAAACGCTGGAGGGAGGCGTTAACTCAAATGACTTCGTATAGATGCTAGCTCGGACTTACCCGACGGAGTTCTCAATGGGGATATAGCTCCTTATATCCGGTACTAGCCACATCTGGTTAGTGTTGAGCGATCAGGGTCTTGGTGGCGTTTCTGCCTTGCTGCCTTACAATCAGAATATTACCCGGTAATCAAACTACGTCCGTGAGAAACTCCTCGTGAGTTGAGAAATTCCGAAGGTAATATTAAATTTTTTTTTATCGTTTTGGACTAACCTAATCTTCGGCTATCTCCAGGTTTGACTCACAGCTGACCCTGAGAATGGCATGATGCGAAATTAGGAAACCACTAGCGAACCACGTGGAAGGAATCTCCGAGACAACGTGGCTGCAATCCAATGATGTTTCGCTGATTTGACCAAGGGATTTAAGAATAAGTGAGGCTGAAATAGATATTGTTATATTCACTCGATCGATGTATTCAAGGCCGTGTGAACAAGAATTACAGACATATTTAATTTCACCTCTGTACTACTGGCTGATAAAATCAAACATGAAAGTCCCAGATCCCACTTTGAGTCTCCCTCGAATCCTCTGCCTACATGGCGGCGGAACGAATGCACGCATATTCCGCATGCAGTGCCGCGTTCTGGAAAGCACCCTCAGCTCAACTTTCCGTCTTGTCTATGCCGAAGCACCATTCCCTTCACAGCCCGGATCGGATGTGACATCAGTATACAGAAATTATGGCCCTTTCAAATCCTGGCTACGCATTACGTCCTCTGATACTGCTCATGAGCCACAGCACATAATTGAGCGAATCAACACCGCTATCGCAACAGCTATGGCCACGGACTCAAAGTCAGGCGCAACAGGCGAATGGGTTGCATTGCTAGGCTTCAGTCAAGGTGCTAAGCTAGCCGCGAGTATTCTGTTTGCCCAGCAGACAATGCAACTGCGTGCTGGCCCAAACGCTATCATCTGGCCAAACTTTCGTTTTGCTGGATTGATAGCTGGTCGTGGTCCTTTGGTGTGGTTGCTTCCTGAACAGAGTGATATCTCATCCGCACATCCCTTGTCTATTAAATCTGGTCTTGTGGACGCATCTAATCCCTCAATCGGAGGAGAAGATCCTTTGTTCCCGTTGGATTCAGATGAGCATATATTGCGGATCCCCACATTTCATGTTCATGGGTTACAGGACCCGGGATTGAGTTTGCACCGGGCTTTGATGCGTAACTATTGCAAGAAAGGGCTTGCATCGATATTAGAATGGGATGGTGGTCATAGAATACCAATCAAGAGGAAAGATGTACATGCTGTGGTAGAGGAAATTTACAATTTGGCGCAAGTGACGGGAGTACTGAAATTGTGGTGATCAGGAATTCGGCCTTTCTTCTTCGGCGTTTGGGCTGAACTACTTGGGTTATTCAGGGTGTATCTTTTACTGAGACAGCACTCGCTTTTTTGTACATAATAGAACAAGAATATTAGCACAAGACAGTAGTTTCAATTTCTTTAAAGCCTAGTCCATACGTCGGAACTTTCAAGGAACGTTTCAAGACACAAAACGTCTTATTTTCACTAATATCAAGCTTCCGGGTTACACTTGTAAGATATCCTAGTATACAATCTCTCATCCCAAGCCTATTAATCGATTTGAACGAGAGCCTTTACTGGTTATTCTCCTTCCATCAACCAAAACTCAGTGGGCAGCCGCAAGGATATCCGGCAGCATAATTGCCGTGTTGTTCCAGACCTGACTAGAACCGGTGACAAACAAAGTTCCAATATACCACGTGTTGCGGTGACCCTGAAGGGCGTACGCATCACGATAGAACCCATTCCTGATATCATCCACTTCGGCCGCAAGATGGAATGGCCCAAAATCAGTGAAAGCAACAAACTGGGGCTCGGGTTGAGTGGCAGCACCAGTGAGTTTCTGAAGTGTCTTGATGGCATTCCGGGCATCTGCCTCAATGCGCTTTTGACTGACTGGTTTCGCACTATTATACCAGTAATATAAATGCTCATCGACCGGAGATGGGTTGAACTCAACCACAGATGGGATTTCGGCAATATTGTAGGTGTTGTTGGCAGCATAATTCTTGTAGCTGAATCCACTGGCAAGGCCGGTGTTTTTGACGACGCCACCATAGTAAGGCAGCCCATAGATCTGGGAGAGAATGCCCTTCTCGCGATTGTCGAGGCCAAAAGTCTTCATGTTCTGGATTGTCTGAGGAATGGCAACAAGAAGTTGCTTCGCCAAGATGAGCTTCTTGCCAGTGGGAGTTTGTACAACAAGGCGCACCCCTTGACGATGGTTGCTACCGCGGTCTCCGGCAATAACTGTTGAGTTCAGAAGAACATTCGACTTAAGTTCAGCTAGCGCGTTCCGATACAGTTGGGAGTTGTCGCGCTTGCCATTGACAACGGCACCACCATTCTCTTCGTGTAACATTAGATCATTGAGATCGTTGAAGACATACAGAGCTGGAATGTCAAGGAGGTTACCAGGGATGGCAGGGCGGGCCAAGGTCGCCATCGCAGAGTCCTCCAGGTTGTGTTTTGCGATGTAGTCCACCCACGGAAGTAGCAGATCCTCTGGCACCGGATCGGGCAAATCAATACCATCATTGAGATACGAATACTCAGTTAACTCCTCCAAGTAGTCTTGGCCTAGAGACCCAGTGGTGAGGTTGAGCAGGTTCCCGGTCTTGAAGTCTGCATAAATGGGACTACCGAAGTTGGCCATATCGAATTGCGCGAGCGGCGTGTTGAGGCGCTCGAAGAAGTTGCGAACAATTGTATCATTGTCATAGATCTGCACACCATAGTCCACGGATGCCCCGGTAGTTGGGTCTTGATAAGTTGCGACATGGCCGCCGAGCCTGTTGGTCTTCTCGACCACAACAAAGGATTTTCCCTCGTCTTTGAGAGCCACGGCAGCATAGGTGCCAGCAGCACCACCGCCAACAATCACAAAATCACGGGTGATCACATCATGTGCAGCAAAAGAGGAGGTCTCAAAGGTGTTTACAGAAGGGGCGGCGAAGACCGAGACTACAAAGCAGATGCTACTCCAAGGGGCGGAGGTCCTCATAATGAAAAAGGGAAACAAATGTATGTACAAGGGCTTCAGTAATTAAAGGTCGAGAAAATCGTTCGCTGCGTGCTCTGTCTCCCGGGCATATATAGCTCCCTTCAGCTCAATTCGTCACCACGGCGATTGATCATGAGAACGCCCGGTGGCCAAAACGCAGAGAACTTGCACAATATGATCGGCCATAATTATGGTATTAGGTCAAAGTTTGCATGACTGAAACATCCAGAAGAGTAGTCATGCAGATCTCGTAATGCTGCAGAGCGAGTAATTTTCAAAAGTCGATACTTCCAATACACGTACGGTCAACCGTGGAAACGAATGGCGCTAATGCAGATAAGCACGGCTTAGCGTGTTTTCGGCTGTGCCCCTCGATTAATCTATATCGGGTTAGCGTTGAGCGCATTCTAAGACAACGCCGATCCTCGAGCTCTCCTTCGATCTCTCCCCGGTCGGCCTTTGTACGTATTCGTGTTGTCATTGCCAAAATTGCACGGAGAAAGCAGATTGTCCCTGCTTCTGCATCTAAAAAACAAACTAGATTCGTGGCGCCACTTCTGCACATTCAGTACACATCGGCACGATGGTTTATTTCGGACCTTCTAGAGGTTGCGAGACCTGCAAGGGAAGAAGGAAGAAGGTCAACCCCCTGTTCATTGTCCCATTTGATAGAAGTCCCTGCATCATCGGACATTTCATGCGGTGTGGCCGATGCTGATCCGTGTTTACAGTGCGACGAGACCCGCCCGGTATGTCAACCAAAGAGAGTGCATATTTAAAATCCCGCGCCATTACTTGGACGCTTTACTAGACTCTGCCAGATTGTTTGTACGCATTGTTTGTACGCATCGCACTGACTTCTGCAGTCCTGTTTGAGATGCCTCAAGTCTGGGCGCACATGCCGTGGCTATGAAGATAGCGGGAGCTTCATCTTTCGCCAACACGAGAACCAAAATGATGGCCAAAGCCAGTCTAAGCCGGCTTTCAAGTCTATGGCTCGAAAATGTAGCTTGGCTGCCCGAGAACCAGTTCCAGGAACTGACTTTATCCCCGAGGATGGCCCGCCTAAGGAAGTTTCCGAAAGTAGAATCAAGGAGCTGGCTCTCCAAGCCTTCTTCTATGACTACTCAGTCGTTTCCGTAAATTCTTCCCTTTCGGGAGGCTTTCTAGGTGGATTGGAGCCGTTGGTTCAAAATCTAGGACTACAGTCCCATGTGGCAAATGCATGCAAAGCAGCTGCATTCGCCAGCAATGGTATAAAGCTACGGCGACAGTTCCTGACACAGCAGGCCGAAACTCTATACTATGATCTACTTGTGCATCTGGCTGCTTCTATGCAAACCCCTGCTGCAAATAGTCACGAGACCTTAGTTATTGCAATACTCCTAGGCCTCTACCAGGTAATTTTCTGTTTGCAGAAGTTTCTTGTGTATTGAATCGTGTGATTTGCTAATGCACAACAGATGATCATCTCGGAAAAGACCAATCCTGGACATCACACAGCCCATGCCGGGGGCGTGGCTGCAATTTTGCAAATCGAGAACAACCCCTTGGAGCTTGTAGCGGCGGTCCTTTCAGGTCATCCATTGGTTCTAAATGGCAAGCAGGTTCGTATTCTTTATCCATTTAGTGTGGATCGGAACCTGATCTTCTAGAACAATCCTCTTTCTGCAAGAGGCACTACCAGCGTTGATCAAAGTTTATACAATCTATTAGTTAAGCTTGATCCTATTTGGAAGCGGACAGAGGCTCTTCTTGCAGGGCCTCCCGCTCCACTCTTTTTTGATGAGGTCTTTGGTCTCAAGCGAGAGGCGATGGCACTGAATCACGATCTTGCGATCTGGCAGCAAAGTCAAAGTGAGGAGCTCAAACCTACGACCGTAGACCCGGGTCTCCAAGCCACCCATAACCCTGGGGTGGGCTACTGGCATGGAAGAATTGATATGTACATCGATCTGTACGTTGCATCACTGTGGAATATTTCTCGCATTGCACGATGTTTGCTTACTACATTGATTATCCGGCTATCTGGTGTGCTCGATGATGGTGTGAACCATGAATCTGACCACCAAGAAGCCTTACGTCTGGTGGAGAACGTCATAGCTTCTATTCCCTATCATTTAACAGAGGACTTGCAGGTCTTCTTGCGTCAACGGGGTAATCACACTGAGATCAATAACCCCGGTCGCCCAGTTGGTGGCCTATTGCTTATGCACTCGATTTACGTTGCATCACATTTGGAAATATTCCCATTGGAGATGCGCGAGTATATGAAAAACTGCCTGGTATGGATTGGGCGGCGCATGGGAATTGGACAGGCCACTTTCTTAGCACAGGCAAGTCTTTCTCGCGCTTTTCTACGCTTTTTGGTCGCTTTCCGGCAGTCTAAGCTAATCCATCATGTCAGGCTCCGCAGATTGACAATCAATATTTTGCTGGTGGATGTTTGATTGTGTTAGCGGGTTTACTCATATAACAAGTTGGTTATAAATGGATATATTGACGTATGAGAGACATGACATTGATATTTTCCTAATCAAGAACAACTATTACACCTCACTACCCGATCTATTATTTAACAGCACATTACCACAATAGCCTTTAATGGTTTCCTGGATCATGCCTTCATGGTCAAAATGCCAGATCTTGTATGATCGATCCTTCAGCTCCTCAAAGCACGTCTGCGCTTTAACCCATTTTGCCTGCTCCGCCCACTCCGGTTGATGATAAAAGTCACAGACCCGTCGACTGCTGTTCACTAACCACTGGCTTCGGGTGCGACGAACAGCGTTGTAAGTCTCGAAAGCTGTCTCGAGTGCGTGTCTTTTGGCTGAAGGATTCTCTTTGACTGTTCTATTTACTTCTTTCAGCAGCGTGGACAAACAAAGACCGTCCTCGATACCCATACATGCACCAGCGCCATGATGTGGGCTCGATGCATGCGCAGCATCGCCTGCAACGCACACTGATCCCTTGTTGTAATAGGGTGCTGGGTAATTCCAAAGATCGAACACAGCCCATTTGTCAAGCTTTTCTGGGAACAGATCAATGATGTTGCGCACACATGGGCTCCAGCCCGCGAAAGCGGAGAGGAGCTCTGCCTTTTCACCCATTGCAGTGGTCTTCTCATGTTTCCACTCATTGCGATCTGATATAAAGGCTGTTGCGTTGATCAATCTCTTGTTGGCGACAGGGTAGTGGATGAGGTGTGCATTTGGGCCCACGTGGTTATGCTGGTTATTTGCCTTATACTCCCCAAGGGCTTCGATGGCATCATCCATTGGGATGAGTGCACGATAAGCGACCTTGTGTGTGTATCCAGGGTGACTGGCTGGACTTTCTTCCCCAAGAAGCACGGTGCGGACTCGGGATTTAATGCCATCACAGCCAATTACTGGCTTGATGATTAGTATGAAAGACTTGTCACAAAAAATTAATGAGATCAAGACATACCCGCATCAGCCTCTGTGACACTCCCATCCTCGAACACCAGGTGAAGCTTTCCGTCTTCTCCTTCTTGCAGGTCTTCCAGTCTCTTCCGACAGTGAATCACGTCTTCAGGAATAATCTTCACCAAAGACTCAAGGAACTGATCACGTCTGCATCCTTCAAATCCCCGATACCCAGCATCTATCTTGTACAACATGCGCTGATAGTATGGATCATCTTGATTTATTTGGTTGTATCCGTCGATCCAGCGGAGGTAGTCATTAGGGTCTGTCTCATCACCATTGGAGGTCGCGACCGATCCGCTAGAGCGCAAGGCCGTAACAATTGCCGGATCAATTTTTTCCATGCACTTGATAGCATTGGCCGTAAAAGCGATTCCGGCCCCGATTTCACGGAAGCCTTGAGCCTGTTCGTATACTGTTACTTCGATGTTTTGTTGGATAAGACCGACTGCGAGGATGAGGCCAACGATACCGCCGCCAATGATGGCGACTGAAACGCGGTCTTTTTCTTCTGAAATTGGGACAGGCATTCTGTCCTTGAATGTTCTGCGTGATTGCTTGGCTGAAGATCGGACGTAATCGCGGTGAAGTCAAAGTATTTCTCAATCAAAATGAAAACTTGGCAGACAATATATAAACGAACGAATGAATAAGAGGAGTGCGACATTATGACTCTAATCAAACTGATCATAACGAATAGAATTTCCTCATTGTTTATTAATAGTTGGCGACTCAGAGTAGTCGGAGTTTCCAAGGTTGTAGCACCCGAAGTTTGGATACCGTAGAAATGCACTGAGAACGAGTTCAGGAGGATTGTATGGCCCTGCCACTGAACCTTCTTGAACTGAAAGTTCCGACATAACTCTAATAAATCAATGCAATCCAATCAAATATTCAAATGGCTTTCTATCTTCATAATTGGCTGTCAGTTAAGCTCTTCGCTGACTGCGGAGAAACTGATACGACAATCCGAGCTCCTGCAGCCGCAGCGGATTTTCTCATATGCCCTCGGAGTTTTCTTTCTGTAAGGTCCAGATTCATTTTCAATGATCTACTTTTAATTTATCAGCTTATCCTAAGCAAATCATCTTGTTTGGTTACTAAGGTGAGCATGAACCTTCGTATTGAGTTAGGCTCGTAGTAAACTCTGGGTCCATTACTGTTTAGACCCTGCGTGTGAATACTGCAAGCCCAGTTCGTCCTGTCTTACACCTACATGCGGCTTATCCCTCGTGGTTATTGTTCCACACTGTTTCTAATTGTGTGTACAGGTTTCATTTTCCGGGAAATGTACATCGGAATCGCCGACAATTTGGGGCATTGAGCCAGCTCGCTAACAATCTCCATCTGAAGCCAACTTCAGTCCCAACTCTCCAACTGTATATCTTCTGCTCCGATCCGTGATATCAAAGTACCATTCTATGTGTCCTTGATAGACGAACGACAAAACAGATTTCAACAATACCTCTGTTGTTCAAATTTATATTCTTCACACAATCTCAATATGATTGAGCCCCAGAACCTTACGAACCACTCCCTCTCTGGGCCAGCCGTTTTCCTTTTTGGTCCTCTTGCTCTTTCATTCGACTTCAATTCGTTCGTGCAGCTGCGGCACACAATTATCGACGACGAGGAGCATAATTGGATTTGCGATGTCATCACCAGTCTGCCCCAATATTGGAAGACTATCGTCGCAACGATTCCTGGGTTGAAGGCCAGTGCTAGCCTAGCGGATCTCGAGGATCTTAAAGCAGCATTCACCACCGGACAGTCTCTCAAGACTCCTTTTCCGCTGCCGAATGCCCTTTTAATTCCTCTGGTGGTTAGTCTCCACCTGATGGATTATGCAACTTTCATGAAACACAGCAATCTTGAGCTGGATAGTGGTCTTGATATTTTTACTTTGAGCAAGGAAGGCCAGGAGACCCTAGGCCTCTGCACTGGTTTGCTTAGCTCCCTGGCTGTCTCTTGTGCCGGCAACAAGGAACAGTACCAGAAGTACGGCGCCGTGGCAGTTCGTCTTGGCCTACTCATTGGCATGGTGGTTGATGGACATGATGTTGTTTCCAAATTTGGTCCATCCAAGTCCATCACTGCAGCATGGAACACTGCCGAGAAGGTCAAAGAGATGCATCGGATCTTGGACGATTTCCCAAATGTAAGTCAGCACCCATGGGCAAGTGGTTAATTTAACTAACATGGTCAGGCGTACACATCTGTCAACTATGATGAAGATCGTGCTACCATTACCACGGCAGCATCAGATCTCTCTGAGATGCAGCTGCAGTTGAGAGGATGCGGCTTGATCACAGCAGAGGTGGGTCTCTATGGACGTTTCCATGCCGAATGCCACCGAGATCAACTCCCAGAGATCTTGAAGTTTTGTGATTGCCACTCTGACTTCAAATTTCCAAATGCCTCCGAGTTGAAAATCCCAACACGGTCTAACGCAGGCGGGCAATTCATTACGGAGGGTGCGTTGCACCACCACGCCCTGCGTTCTATTTTGGTAGAGCCACCCAAGTGGTTCAAGACTTTCATGGATGTATGCCAGACTACCCTGAAGGACAAAGAGTCGAAAGTGTTCTCCTTTGGATCAGAGCGCCCTATACCACCATCTATTCTGCGCGGACTCAACCAGCGGATCATCAATGCAACGGACCATGGGCAATCGTCGCAGAAACAGCGGAGTTTCAGATCAAACGACATTGCTGTGGTTGGGATGTCATGCAAGGTCGCAGGTGCAAACAATCTCGAAGAATTCTGGGACATTTTGTGCACCGGGAAGTCTCAACACAAAGAGGTTCCCAAAGAGCGATTCAATTTCGAAACCCCTTTTCGCAGTACCGACACAAAAAGAAAATGGTTTGGAAATTTCATTGAGGGGCACGACGAATTTGACCACAAATTCTTCAAGAGAAGTCCTAGAGAGAGTGCTACAATGGATCCTCAGCAGCGCCACCTTTTGCAAATTGCCTATCAGTCCGTCGAACAGTCTGGCTACTTCCACGCCGCAAATCCCGACAAGAACATTGGCTGTTATGTAGGCGTCTGTGCTTGCGATTATGAAAGCAACATTGCCTGCCATGCGCCCAACGCCTTCTCGGCTACCGGAAATCTCCAAGGATTCATTGCAGGCAAGGTCAGCCATTTCTTTGGATGGACTGGCCCAGGTTTGACAATTGATACTGCCTGTTCATCATCAGCCGTCGCTGTTCATTCGGCATGCAAGGCCATTCTTAGTGGAGAGTGCACCGCTGCTCTGGCTGGTGGCACGCATGTTATGACCAACCCCCTATGGTTCCAAAATTTGTCCGGAGCTTCGTTCCTAAGTACCACCGGCCAGTGCAAGCCCTTTGACGCCAAAGCAGACGGATACTGCCGAGGAGAGGGCATCGCGACAGTATTCTTGAAGAAGCTGTCGGCGGCCATTGACGATGGAGACCAAATCTTAGGTGTGATTGCCGCGTCTGCAGTCCAGCAAAACCAAAATTGTACCCCGATCTTTGTCCCCAACGTGCCCTCTCTTTCGGATTTATTCCGTAAAGTCACTCAACAATCTGGACTTCGGCCCGGTGATATATCCGTCGTCGAGGCTCACGGGACAGGAACAGCAGTCGGTGATCCGGCCGAGTACGGAAGTATCAGATCAGTGCTAGGTGGCTCTGTTCGGACAAATCCCCTGACGCTCAGCTCAGTCAAGGGATTAATCGGACATACTGAGTGCACGTCTGGAATTGTGTCCATTATCAAGGTTCTTCTCATGATTCAAAAAGGGGTGATACCGCCACAAGCCAGCTTCACAGCCATAAATTCTGCGATCGGCGCAACCCCTGCAGACAAAATCAACATTCCTACCAGTGTGCAAAAATGGAATGCAGACTTCCGAGCTGCGCTGATTAACAATTATGGGGCATCTGGATCCAATGCCTCATTGGTTATCACCCAGCCCCCGAGTGTCCGAGCTAGATCATTTGAACCACCATCCCAGGACGAGAAAGGTATTACATACCCTTTCCAACTCTGTGGTCTCGATGACTCCAGCCTTCGCCGATACTCTGTCGCTTTGCGCGATTTCATCAGCCGTCAGGACCCGTCGACTGCAGATTTGTCGCTTTCGAATATTGCGTTCAATTTGAACCGGCAGGGAAATCGTCAACTAGAGCGCACTTTAATATTCAGTGCTCAGTCAATGGACGAGCTGCAGCAGAATCTAATTTCATTCGAAAATGGAAATTCAAATTTGGCATCATTGGCTTCACCAAAAGCAAAGCCGGTTGTGCTGTGCTTTGGTGGTCAGGTCTCCACATTTATTGGACTAGATCGAACAGTATATGGAAAGGTTGCCGTCTTCCGGAAGCACCTAGATACTGTGGAGGCTGTTGCTCGCTCTCTTGGGGCCAGCAGCATTTATCCTGGCATTTTTGAGCGAAATGCCATTACCGATATCGTCAAGCTGCAGATCACCCTATTCGCGATGCAGTATGCCTGTGCGCGTAGCTGGATTGACTCCGGTGTTAAGCCTGTCGCAGTGATTGGACACAGCTTTGGCGAGCTTACTGCTCTCTGTATCTCGCAAATCTTGTCATTGGAAGACACAGTGAAGATGATTATGGCACGGGCAACTCTGATTCGAGATGCTTGGAAAAGTGACAAAGGCGCAATGATGGCCGTGGAAGGTGATTTGGTTGAAGTTGAAAAGCTTCTCAGCGAGTCAAACAAAGCTTGTGAGGGCGTCGAACCAGCCAACATCGCGTGTTTCAACGGACCCAGAAGTTTCACCCTCGCTGGTCCAACTGCTGCGATTGATGCAGCTGCGCAGAAACTTTCCCTCCCTGCCTTTGCAAACATGAAACATAAGAGATTGAATGTGACCAACGCTTTCCACTCTGTCTTGCTTGACCCTCTTCTCGGGCGTCTTGAAAAGAGTGTCGAGAATCTAACATTCCACGAGGCCACAATCCCAATGGAAAGAGCTACCGAACATCACTTTGAAGGAAAGCTCAGCGCCAAATTTGTTCCTGAACACCTTCGCTCCCCGGTCTTTTTCAACCATGCCCTGCATAGGCTAGTAACGAGGTATCAAGAATGCGTCTTTTTAGAAGCCGGATCAAATTCAACGATTACCAATATGGCCAGTCGTGCTCTTGGTAGCCCGAAAAGCTCGCACTTTCAGGCAATCAATATCACCGGCGACAATGCCTGGAATAACCTAGCTGCTGCCACCGTCAGCCTGTGGAAAGCCGGGCTTAATACACACTTTTGGGCTCACCAGTCTACCCAAACCAAAGAACACTCGCCCCTTCTTTTGCCTCCATATCAGTTTGAGCGTGCACGTCACTGGACAGAATTGAAAACGCTATCAAAAGTTGCAGAGATATCTACCTCACAGAGGATGGAGCCAAAATCAAACGAACTTCCTGACACCCTCCTGACATTTGTTGGTCACCAAGACAGCAGCAATCTTGTTGCGAGATTTCGAGTCAATACCATGATCCCTAAGTATGACACTCTCGTCAAAGGCCATGTCATTGCTCAAACCGCACCCATTTGCCCTGCTACGATTCAGCTTGAGCTCGCAATTGAGGCAGTTCGAGGTCTCAAACCTGAACTCGCTTCTTCTGGGCTAGAGCCCCAAATCCATGCCGTGGAGAACCAATCTCCTGTCTGTATCAACCCAGCTCGTGCGGTTTGGATTGAGTTAACTTCGAAGGAGACCACCGGCAGCCCCTCTTGGGACTTCCAAGTCTTCAGCGATGACATGCAGCGTGAAGGTGTCTCCAAAACGCTTCATACGACTGGTAAGATTGTCTTCCGATCGGTTGATGACTTAACATTCAAGATGGAGTTTGCTCTGTTTGAGCGTCATTTCAGCCACCAACGCTGTGTTGACATGCTACAAAGTGGTGATGTTGATGAAATTCTACGCAACCAGAACATCTATAAAATTTTCTCGGAGATCGTGGACTATGGTCAGGATTACCGCGGGGTTCAAAAGCTCGTCAGTAAGGGATCTCAGTCGGCAGGCTATGTGGTCAAGAAATACAATCCAGAGACATGGCTCGATGGCCATCTGGCCGACAGCTTCTGTCAAGTTGGCGGAATATATGTCAACTGCATGACAAATCAGTTGCCGGCCGATATGTTTATCGCGAATGGCATCGAACAATGGATTCGGTCGCCCAATCTTCGCCAGGGTGATGCCAGACCAGATGCCTACCATGTTCTTGCCGCACACCATCGTCCTGCCAATCAACATTACTTGACTGATGTGTTCGTTTTCGATGCTGATAGCGGTGCCTTGGTTGAGGTTATCCTTGGTATCAGCTATGTCAGAGTTCCCAAAGCATCCATGAGCAAGCTCCTCGCCCGCCTCACCGTAAGAGAAGCGCAGCCCGCTCCAATCAGCATCAAAGCTCCAGCAGAGCGTCCCGCTCTGGGGCTGTTCGCCGTTCAGCCGACGACGACTGCTCCACCTTCATCGTGTATTTCAATTCCAGAAATAAAATCATTAACGGTTCCTAAGGCAGAGCAACCATCACCTAGGGTGGATGTGGTGCCCAAAATCAAGGCTATCCTAGCGGATCTCTCTGGTCTCGAGCTGCACGAGATCAAAGACAACAGTGAGCTGGCCGATCTCGGTATCGATTCTCTCATGGGAATGGAGATGGCCCACGAAATTGAGGCCGCATTCAAGGTTGATCTTCCTGAGAGCGAACTGATGCGAATCACGGACATGCCGGGTTTAATCAAGTGCGTGCAGATTGTTGTTTCTGGTTGTACAATCTCGACTAGTGAGGCATCCGAGCAGGACTTTGACGAAAGCGATGAGAAATCAGCCAGCAGTACTACTCCGAGCAGTCCGGTGGACTCCGTCGATATGGATAAATTGCTTGGAGATTCGCAATCCCATGGCTTGAGTATCCCATATGCCACAGTGATGGAAGCATTCAATGAGACGAAGAGCCTCACAGATGACCGGATTGCTGAGTATGATCAAACCAACTACGTCGACACTGTTCTTCCAGCTCAAACCGCGATGTGTGTGGCACTCACACTTGAAGCGTTTGACCAGCTTGGTGTAGGACTTCGAGATGCCAAGCCTGGTCAAAAGTTTGCGCGTATCTCACACCCAAAGGAGCACACTCGCCTGGTTACGTATCTATACCAGATGCTCGAGGATGCTGCAGGTCTCATCAACCTCGACGGCGATACTATCACTCGAACAGCGGCTGTGGCGCCAGTAAAGCCCAGCAGAGAAATCTTGGCGGATCTGCTAGCTCGCTTCCCGGACCAAAGCACTGCTGATAAGCTCACATACTACACCGGATCTCATCTTGCAGAAGTTTTGCGTGGCGAGACAGACGGAATTAAGCTGATTTTTGGTACCCCAGAAGGGCGGGAGCTGGTGTCTGGCCTTTATGCAGAATGGCCCATCAATCGCTTGCTTTACAAGCAAATTGAAGATTTCCTTGCTCGCCTAGCCTCCAAGCTTGACAGCAAGGATAGTCCTATCAAAATACTCGAGATGGGTGCCGGCACTGGTGGCACAACACGCTGGCTGCTGCCATTGCTCGCCTCACTGAACTTGCCAGTGGAATATACCTTCACCGATCTGGCACCGTCCTTTGTAGCAGCAGCGCGGAAGAAGTTCTCCAAGCAGTACCCTTTCATGAAATTCCGAACTCATGATATTGAGAAGGCCCCGGCCGATGATTTGATCGGAACCCAGCACATCATTATCGCCAGCAATGCGATCCACGCCACACACAGCTTGAGTGAATCTGCCATGAACATCCGCAAAGCCCTCCGCCCTGATGGATTCTTAATGATGGTTGAAATGACCGGTACTCTGTACTGGGTGGACATCATTTTTGGCCTCTTTGAGGGCTGGTGGTACTTTGACGACGGGCGAACTCACGCCGTCACTCACGAATCTCGATGGGAGAGAGATCTCCAGGCTGTCGGATACGGTCATGTTGACTGGACTGATGGAGCCCGACCAGAAAACAAACTCGAGCGGCTGATCTTGGCCTTTGCCTCGGGGGACAGGTATGAACGACTTGGAACTCCCGGATCGGTAATGGGCCCGTCGGCTGACCTCGTGTTCCGGAAAGCAGTTGTTGATCGTTATGTTCGTGATATGACCGCCGGTTTCGGGGATGCTGTTGAGGATTCCTCGATATCCGGTGCTCTATCGAGTCATCCCAGCGGCCAATGTGTCGTGGTGACAGGCGGCACTGGTAGCCTGGGATGTCATCTCGTTGCTAAATTTGCCTCATTGCCAGACGTTACTCAAGTCATTTGTCTCAATCGGCGCAGTCGACAAGATCCTTCCTCACGCCAACATGAATCTCTTCTCAAGAAAGGCATCGTGCTTCCACCACATATTGCTAGCAAACTATGTGTGTTCGAGACTGACATGTCCAAGTCAGAGCTGGGTCTTGCGAAGGATGATTACGAGTACTTCCTCCAAAACACAACTCACATCGTTCATAATGCCTGGCTCATGAACGCCAAGTGGCCAATCAAGAATTTTGAACCTCAGTTGCGTATCATGCGAAACCTGCTCGACTTCACGGCACATATCTCCGCGCGTCGCTCGCCTGGAACAAAAGTCAACTTCCAGTTCATCTCTTCCATCGCAACAGTCGGTCATTGGCCGCTTTGGACCGGAAAGTCTAATGTCCCCGAGCAGCGGATGACGATTGACTCCGTTCTTCCCACGGGATATGGCGATGCGAAGTACATCTGCGAATTGATGCTCGATGAGACCCTCCATCGCTACCCGGACCGGTTCCGTGCGATGGCTGTCCGCCTCGGTCAAGTTGCGGGATCCAGCACAAGCGGTTACTGGAATCCGACCGAGCATCTGCCGTTCATCATCAAATCTTCTCAGACTCTCAAAGCTCTGCCTGACTTTGATGGCCTTCTTTCCTGGACCCCTGTGGATGAAGTCGCCAGCACGCTCGTTGACCTGGTTACTTTGCCGATGACTGATACCCCGTACTCGATCTATCATATCGACAACCCGATTCGCCAGGCTTGGAAGGAGATGATTCCTCTTTTGGCTGAGGCACTCGGTATTCCGTCTGCTGATGCTATTCCCTTCGACGATTGGGTGCAGCGTGTCAAGAACCATCAATGTCAGGTTGAGGGCCCGGAAGGCGAGAACCCGGCGATTTTGTTAATTGACTTTTTGGATGCCAACTTTTTGCGCATGTCCTGTGGTGGACTCTTGTTGGAAACGAAAAAGGCGCGCGAGCACTCTAGGACGCTGGCGAATGTGGGGCCGGTTAGTGACAAGGTGGCTAAGCTGTTTGTTGAAAGCTGGAAGCAAACAGGTTTTTTGGCTCAGGTTTGATTTCTTGCCTGTTGTCTTTCTATATGTATATTCATGTGATCTATCGACTTGAAGTAGTGAGGTTTTGTTCGAATTTGATTAAGAGATTTGCTTTCTATCCTGCCCACGAAGAACAACTCATACTTAGTAGCCATATGATGCCATGCATCTATCTACACGTCTTGCTTTCCTATAATCTTGGTGACTGCAACTCCATCCTAAATCAATATGTCAGCATCAATTTATTCATGATATGAACGAAACATACCCTGCCAAAGTCGGTGTCAAATTCGGAAACGGCCGTCTCGTACACGAAACTCGGGTTTGGAGATAGCGAACCGATATCTGAATTGTTGACGATATGCTTCTTCTCCTGGGGAGTCGCGTGCACCCATTCAAGATACTTTGGTGCGCCTGGCATGATCACATTGTCTGCCAACAGCAGGGAGACACCTGGGTTCAGGACTTTCAAGTCTTCAAGCAACCACAGATCGTGCAGATAAAGATCCTGCCAGTGATCCATGAAAATCAATTCCACCGAATCGATCTCTTTCTTCTCGCTGATCAATTCTGTGAGCACCTCGTTGCTAGAGCCAACAACAACCCTAACAACGTCGCGTAATCCTGCCAGATCCACAAGTTGAGTTGCGACGGCTGCCATTTCGGGATTCTTTTCGATGCTGAGGTACTGCTTTCCTCCATTTTTCTTGATCGCGTCGCCGAACAGAATAGCTGAGTAGCCGACGTATCCACCAAGCTCAATCATCACTGAGGGCTTACGCTCTGCGATGATCTTAGTAATGAATGCGCCTTTGCTCAGGCCAACGTTCATGAGCTTGTTGAACTGATGGTGGTAGTCGTCAATAGCAGCGAGAACCTTCTCAGGATGTCCTCTAAGCTGTTTAATATCGGGCCTAGCGAAGACATAGTGAAGAAGGTCAACCTCGCGTCCATCCTATCTAGTGTTAGAACGGTGTATATGAAGGCGCAATTGAACCGCGAGCTTACCAGGGCCCAAGACAGTGCGGGAGGGGCGTGTGGCTTCGACATTCTTTTCGTGGATTTGTGAAAGGGTTGAAGGTTGTGGGGAATATGTGGCAGTTTCAGAAAGTTATGTTGTTATGTTTCGTGTGAACTGAATTGTTATTTCTTTTATAGCTTGCGTTGATCTACTATTTACATCGGCGTTAAGCATGACCCAAAAAGGAAATGCCCGAGGTCCTGTGTGAGTTACCAAAAGGGGATGCACTGTCCGAGCAACCGTCGGACTTATGTATTTAGGCACAAAAAAGGAATTAAGTAGGTACATATGTAGCGATCTCAAAGAATCCCTGGAGATTCTCTTAGATTTGACAAGTCGAGTTTTATGTCTCGGCCCCGAGAGCACCTATCCACAACATTGTGGGTACTTCTGGGGCACCTCGGTTTTGGCAGGTGTATGTATTGTAATATGCACCTAGCCGACGTTCTTTGTTTGCCTTAACAAAATAAAAATCATGTGAGAAGATGCAGTAAAGGTTAAGTGACCTTGAACCTTCTTTATGCATCTAATTTCATATTTCAACCCTAACACATAATAGTTATCAATATCATTAGTTAGTTAATTCGCACGAATCAAAGACCAGATGATTTCTGCGGCGGTGGACGCCTTGATTTTCTGCCAAGTGTTGATGCAACCCTCCCCCACTGTGCCTGAGGTCTTGACATTGTACACATGTCTCAACCATGCTCAGACAATTCATGTCAATTGCTGTCGAGAAACGAAGGCGGACACGGATAAGCCACTCTAAAGTCCGAACCGGCTGTTTAACATGTCGGTATGATTGTCCCTTCCATAACATCTGTCTTGTTTCTAGCATTGACATCGCGTTTCAGAAACCGGCATATCAAATGCGACGAAGGTCAACCTACCTGTTCGCAATGCACCAAGGGCGGACATGTGTGCGAATATCGTCAGACCCTTGACGGACGAACTCGAGCTTCACGAATGGCCAAGGGTCTTGTTGTGGGGACTCAAAGTAGAGCCGCGCACAGGTTAAATCCCGCCCTGGGAAGTCAAGTGGACCTCACCTGGAGAGAGCGATATTTTCTTGACTTTTTTCGTAACAGTACATCTCTACAATGTGCTGGCTATTTTCACGATGAGTTTTGGGAACGCTTGGTCCACCAAGCTAGTGAATTTCAGCCCGCTATCCGGCATGCCGTCATTGGTATGGGATCTTTGAACTATCATTTCGCCCAAACAGGAAGAAGCCAATTGCGTTTCAGCAGTAACCGAACCCCTTCTATTGAACCCTTTTCTTTGCAGCAAATCAACAAAGCGATTGCCTCTCTTCAGCAAAATATGAGCGACGACAGTATGGGTCGTCTGCGAGTCGAAACTGCCTTAGTTGCATGTGTGGTTTTGATATCCACACTTCTTTTTCAAGAAAACGCTACTTTGGCCGGTCGTCATCTTTTTTCGGGCTACAGGCTACTAGAACATTATTTGATAAGCCATGGAAGCAACAGTTTGTTTGCTGCTACAATCACTAGAGCCTTCGGTGTCATTCATTTGACTTGGACGCTTTTTACTAGCGCTGAGCCTCCTGATAAGGATGCTCGTCTCCCATTACTAGTCCCTGAAACAATCATACGAGGAGGAGATGATATACAGACGGCGAACGATCTTGTTGTCACGCTGATAAGAATAGGTTGCTCACAAAACTGGGCCCAGGGATTCAACATCGGACCCGCCAGCCCAGATCTCGATATTGATCAAATGGCCATAGTACGCCAGATCCAGCGTATACCGAGTCAAATCCAAGCATATCGGGTGCTTCATGCACATCAGTCAACGCAGCGAGATCTCAGCGCTTTTCTTATCTTGCAATTATGGGCTGAGGTTATCTCTATAACTGCTACCGTTGAGACAGGCCCAGAGCCCCAAGAGATGATATTTGATCGCTATATAGTGCGTTTCAAAGAAGCCCTTGAAATCTCCAAAGAGCTCCTGGTGCGCATCTCATCGACACCAAGCTTCTCAGTCAACCTAGGAGTTATCCCGCCGCTTTTTGTCCTCGCTATGAAATGCCGGGATTGGGAAATTCGTCGACAGATCGTTGACCTATTACGCGTCTTTCGCCGGCAAGAAGGAATTTGGTCGACTGATTTGGCTGCCCTTATAACTGAACGCGTGATTGATATTGAGTCTGCGGGCTTTGGCCCTGGAGATTTGATTCCTGAATCATCGCGCATTAAGTCATTACTAGTTGATGCGATGACGACCAAATCCCAAGTCCGTTTGCGGTACCATTTTGTCAGGGATTGTCCGGGATTTTGTTGCAACCATGCTGAGCCATACGAGGAAGAGATTTCATCATATGCATCGGGCCGCTTCGAGATACTCGAGTGTAGTCGAAGACCGTAGCAGTAAAGGGATGTATAAATAATACGAACAGCTACTTAGGTACAGACGGCAATATACATACTTCTAAGTACTTCATCATGATGTGCTCTCCCCCTTATTTGGAGAGAAAATCCAGAGAAATTTCTCCTATTCATAGGTCATATCCTACGGCCATAATACTGAGCTACACCTTTCAAAATCTATTACCCAGTGATACACAGCGCTAAAGCACGAGGTCTAACCGTTAGCTAATTATTTGGCTAGGGAACGTAGTTACCATTTAGCCTACAATGTGCGAGCGTTTCCATCTCTAAATACACTACGTAACCAGTTGCCTACATATCTAGGTGAACTATTACTGTGAAACACCAAGACCGAAGATCGTCCTTAACTAGGTACACTTTGAAGCATGGTCAGTTCGAAGGGAATTTTGCTTTTTGCCTCCCTTCCATTCACCTCTATTGCCTACTGTTGTAATGCCTGCGAACTTAGTTTGTTCTCTATGTCAAGGAAAGAGGAACATTGGGATGAGTGTATCTATAGATGCTTTGAGATATCGATATCGATTTGTGACTTTTATACCTCGATGCCTTAGAGCTGTTGCTAAAAACACGAATAAATTTACGGCACTAAGACAATATCCTCCAAATGTCCAGAGATGCTCTTTGAAATAAAAACGCTCAAAATGCTCAGTGCGATATTACGTGTCGAAGAAATGGGAAGGTATCAAGCCGTTGAATAGTTTCTGACTTATAAATAACTTTCAGGGGTGATACGCTGGTAAATTATATACTGCAAAAGGTTTCATATACATAAAACGTTGGACACCTCTATCCACTAACAAGAGGATCAGTTGTGAGCGCGGTAGCGACCGCACCCTCAACAGGTGTGACAGTGCCTTCGGAGACAGGAGTATCCGTTTCTGTGTCTTTCTTTTCCTGTTTATCATCCTTTCCGGGAGGCTTCGAGCCCTTTTCCCGCATCGCCCCAATCTCAAAGGCTTCCTCGGGCAGAGGGCGGACATGGGGCTGGCAGATCCACCAAGGCCGTCCATACTCCGCAATAACCGCCTTCGAACCCTTGAGGTTATCATCGGGCTGGATTTCAAACTTTTCAGGAGATGCTTCGTATTCCTGGAGCCCACCTTTGATGGCCTTTTCAAGAACGTTCAAAGTGCGCTCGAAGGCGGCGATATCACCTGGCCGTGACGACGCCAGCGCATCTCGAACATCAGTATGTGTTGCGATCATTGGGCGCAGGACTTGGAAAAGATGACCCTGCATGAAACCGAGGTTGACAGAAGCACACTTCTTGCCGCTCTCCCCCTTGCCGCGCTTCTGTCTCTTCTTTAAAGGGCCATCTGCGTAATCATCCTCGGCATCATTGGTTTCCGCGAATTCGTCGACGGGATCTGATGGTAGGTAGAGAGGCTTCCGCTCTGGAACTGGCTGTTCGAGAACGTATTTATAAATAATATCAAGGTATCGACGCACGATGGCGTCGATTCGATACCCACCCTTTCCATCTCGCCCTCGCCAGTAGTCTCTGCTTTCGGTGCCGACAGGGGGCGGCTTGCTGAAGATTGACGGGTCTGACAGGTTTCCTTCTGCGCTCATCACGCCGTCAGCACCAGTCGCCTCGAGGCACGTTTCAATGTCATCGTAGTTAAGAATATTGCCATTGGCGAAGATCACAGTATCCGATGGCAAATTTTCTCGTAGATAGCGAATGTATGTCCAATCCGCAACTCCGGTGTTGTGACCTTTCTGTTCCCGCCTGCGTCCATGCACAGTAATAATGCTGGCGCCGGCCGATAAAATCATCTTGGCATATTCCAGGGTCTTTTCTTTTGTCTCTTGAATACGGAACTTGACCGTGACAGGAATCGGAAGCTCAGTATGTAGCTTGTGAATAAGTTTGTAGATCAGATCCCAGTCTTCCTGTAGGAAAGCTCCGTAGTGTCCCTTTCGCGCAATTCCCTGCGGGCAACCGAGGTTCAAGTCCACGGCATCGCAATAGGGAACCACGTGCCGGGCTGCCTCTAGAAACTCATCCGGGTTGTTTGAGCAGAATTGAACGAAAAGAGGGCGGTCAATCGCGGGGTTTCCATCGAGGAAAACATCTTCAATCTTTCCTCCGATGGATTTGCGGGTAGGTTGAAAGTGATGATTACGGACACGCTCTTGCTCCCCGAACAGACGGGCATGAAACATGGGAGTGTATGCGAGAATAGGCTTCGGGTCATTTGGCGGCATGAAAGATCGAGTAAGCATGCGCCACGCCTGGGGAAGATATGTGTTAGTCTGTGAATGTAGTCAGATTTTAGGTTTGAACTCACAAATTCAGACCGGTCTACCATCGGCGCAACGACATATTTTGGACTGCCGATGCTTTCATAGAATTTTCGCCCAAAGAGTTTCTCGGGTTGCGGATTTCCGGCCGCGGAGGTCTGCTCGACGCTTTTCTGGCTTGTTTCGGTGGCCATTTTTAGGAAGTGTGACCGGGAGAAGTGGCGAGATAGTCGGCCCAGTGAAGGGCTGAATGGTTTGAAGATACCTATCTTGACTTCTGGAACAAAACAGCTAGAATTGTTCAATCAATAATGCCTCAAGTCGCAAAATATCGGCGAAGCAACTTTTGTGAAAAGCGTATCTTGATCGGAATTACTATCTTCCGCTTTATCTTATCGGGATCCACAATAGGAAGATGCGATCTACGTACTAGGCACAATATTGCAGGCAGTGATGACGATGAAGCATGAAGCTCAAAGAGTCAGTACCGGATTTCGGGGTCATTTACTTCCATTTAAAAGTCAGTACGTCCTTTTTAGCCTCGAAAAACCACAAGACATGAGGCAATTCGCGATATCGTGGTTGGATTGATTACGTAATCTAATATGGAACCATCAGACACAACTAGGATCCATTAGTCAATCACAGCTCTGCAAACAATACATCTTCGATGCAATGATATAATGCTGTGATGATTATGAGCCTATAAACGACACTCCTTAAAAATACATACCTTGATACAGTATATTCCTTTTTGATCACGCATGCATTTTTTTTTCATACAATGTCAACAATGGACGCGTCAACAGGTCCAGGAGGTAAGTCCTGCAGAATCTTCCGTGTGATCAATTCTAATCGTCCTTTAGCTCCCTTGAATCTTCACTTTTCTGAAGATGGTCTCTATGCTGCCCATGTCGGTGGGAAAGCTCTGGTCGTGCATTCAAATGTAGCTTCTGAAAGCAAAGAGGTACAGCTCGCAAGACTTAAAGAAATCCCAGTCAAATCCCTTAAATTCTTCAACTTTGGAAATGCTTCTGGCCTATCACATGATGAGATTGCCCCTAGGCGGCGTATTTTATCCGCCAACGATAGCCGCATTTCGGTTTGGCAGGTCAACCCTTTGGGAATATTTGCCGATATTGAGAGCATCGAGCCAGGGACATTGGCCGTCGATTTTGGGTGCGATGAAAATGAGGTCCTGGTATTTCATGCGTGGAACACAAAGATGAGCATCCACTCATTAGATACTGGCCGCAGCTCAGTCATCAAAACACCCAAATTTGCACATCATCTCGGGTTCGGCTATCGCCCAAAAACCAGGCAACTCGCCATTTTGCTGAAACCGGACACATCTGACTTGCTGACAGTTCACGAGCCCCGCTCTTATGAACTCGTCAACAGAGCTGTACTTTCAACTATCGATGCACAGGGCCTGAAATGGAGCCCAGATGGCAAGTGGATTGCCGTTTGGGATGCTGCAAGCGCAGGCACAAAGGTGCTCATCTTCACAGCTGATGGTCAGCTTTTTAGAACTTATACTGGGCCTTCTGGGGTAGATGATACGTTCGACTTGGGGATAAAACAAATTGAATGGAGTCCAGCTTCTGATCAAGGCACCTGTCAAACATTGGCCGTCGGCAAAGTCAATGGCAATATCGACCTACTCCGAACCCGTACAGTGAGTTCCTATGTGAGTCCCACGTGAATCTTAGCTAATTTCGCAGTTTTCCTCCGCTACAACACTCTCACATGTATTCCAAGCAGACCAACAATGTATCTGGCGCGAACGATATACCAGTGCAGCAGGTGATGCTGAATATGCCGAAACATCCAGCTCCTCTGCATTCAACATGAGTCCTGAAACAGCGGGACCACCCCGGGGTGTCTTGACAATGGCTTTCAGCCCGGACGGTCGTCTGCTAGCCAGTGTCGATACCTCACGACAGAATGTTGTCTGGATCTGGTCGCTCGAATCTACCCCAAGACTCGCATCAGCCTTGGTTCATGAACAACCTGTTAGACAAATTGCTTGGCATGCTTCAACGCCTCAGCTACTGATCAACACTATGTCCAATGGGTTGCCTACTATTCGATGGTGGTCACCCCAAGATCATCCTGTGATTGCGCAGGTCCCCGTTCAGAGGAATGAGAGTGGGAAATACGATATGAAGTGGGCTATAGACTCAAACGTTGACTCTGTATTCTGGTTCGGATCATCGGAAGAACATGTCATTGGATACCTATCTGCCCAAAACGGCGGCGTGGAGTTTGAGGTGCTAAACTTGGTAAGCAGCAAATCCAGTGTGGCCCATGGAGGCAGCCTAGGTCGATAAATGTCGGCATGACTAGCATAACTAGCACAATGACACTGCACTGCCCCAAACGGCCCCCAAATCAAATGTGGAGTCTATATTCGAGTTTATTCCCAAAGAAGTTACCCATTCCTCTTGTATGCTGGATTGTCGACGCACTCCAAGTAGCGCTAGCAGGGGGGTGGGTATAAACACACCCAATTATGCTCAACGTTAGGCTACCACATTTTAAGGGGAAATATTTAAGGCTGGGTGAATCGGCGGTCTAGCTCATCACATGCTCTATCCAACCACACTTACAAACAACCATGGATTCCATCCCGAGAGAATCCACAAAGTATGAGCTCTCCGACCTTGATAGGCTGGCACCTCCAATGATGGTGAAAGCCTTCTTGCTGTACAAGCTTTCGTCCGATGCCTATCTGGACAAGCTGATTACGTCGCTAGAAGAAGGTCTGAAAAACGCCGTGTTTCATATGCCCTTCATGGAGGGATGTGTTCAAAAGGACGAGTTCGGCAAGCCTTATATCCAAACATCCTCGGACTCACGTCTAAGGCTCAGTGTCCGCTGTTTCTCGCAGACTGAACACAAGTCTTACTCCGCTCTGGTGGACAGCTCGTTTCCCGTTGATGACTTGGATCACATTAAGTTGCTGCCTGAGCTACCCGCTGGTCAACAGCAAGTTGGCGTGATACAATTGAATGTCATCCCAGGAGGTGTCATTTTGGGGTTTGCAATACATCATGCCGTCGGAGACTGGACATCTATGGATGCATTTCTGAGTCTCATCTGTCGTAGTGCCAAAGCACATCAGTATGGCGATTCAATGCCAGTGTACACACCCGATCTCAACAGGTTCCCCTTCAACGCTGAGAAGGCCAATTCTACAACCTCTCAAAAGGATCTGCTGGATAAATGCCCTGGATTCTTTGTTGTTGATATGAAAGCTCCTCCTGCAACTGCTTCGTCTGCACCTCCCCCTTCCATTCAAACAAAGATCTACCGAGCAAGCGATTCGGCAGTCCAAAACATCAAACAACAATGCACTTCCCTCGAAGGCGTGGACTACATAACCTCCTATGACTGTATTGCTGCACTTCTCTGGACCTCAATCACTAGGGCCCGACTCCATCGCCACCCCGAAAAACACTCTTCGCAGTCTATTTCAGCAAATCCAATCAACCTCCGTTCCAGAGACCCGGAAAACTCCACCTCGCAGGAGTATTTCGGCAACGCAGTTCTACCATCGTGGGTGGGTCCAGTAGATGTACAGTTGCTACTAGCAGACAATGGCATTTCTATTGCAGCCTCTTTGATCCGCAAATCAATCAATGCGTCTACAGTGGCATCTATCAAAGACTTGGCCAGACTAGTACGATCTCTTTCACCGTCCGAGAGACTGGGCATTCCTATGGACTTTCATAAAATGGACCTTCTGATGAACAGTTGGTATTCTGGAAAAGCTGAAAACTATGATATTGGAACTGGCTTCCCCTTTGCGTTCCGTACACATCGACCGAATACTGGTGCTTGCTGTTTGATTCTTCCTAATTTCAGTCGCTCGTCTACGCGGGTGTATGAGATATTTGTTCAGCTTCCAGCTGAGGAGCATGATTTATTACGGGAAGACCCTATATTCTCGGCTTGTTTTGAACTTTTATGTTAGACCCTGCGGTTGATCTTGTAAAGCTCTTGCCCGTTCTAACGATGCATGGAAAGGCTACCCCGAGGTGGAATGATTTCACGGGAGATACACAAATAACTCTTAAGGATCGAATTTGATGCTCTCGTTTATTGATCACGCTTTTAAGCCATATGTTTTGCAATGTTGGAGGAAGGATCTAAAGCCGCCAATTAGCTTACCTATCAATTCAAAAGTTAGGGCATGAATGGAAAAAGACACTTCAGTCTTCCACAATTTACTCAATGAAGAAAAATCAGAACAAGAAGGAAAAGGCTTGAAGAGGGTCATCAGTTCCATTTATTGTTGATATTGAAAAGGGATTGGAACAACTCAAAATTAGCAGACATTGATTGATCCCCAGTTGTTCCCCCATAAATCAAAGACACCTGAGGCAAAAATGATGTCAGCCATCTGACATAATCAATTCGGATCAACCAATCACAACGCCGGGACTAACCGATCAAGGGCTTAGGGCTCAACTCAGTCACGCCCCACTCCCATTTTCGCACTTGAGCGGCTTCTGGGCAGCGCTCTCTTTCTTTGAACCATCCTCTCCATCCGACAAAATGGTGAGTCCCAAGCACCCACATGCCAACCCAAACACACCGAAACTAATCGATATGTGACAGGCGCCCGCAGCAACCGGAGGCAAGAAGCAAAAGAAGAAGTGGTCCAAGGGCAAGGGTACGCAATCACCATCCATGCGACCGTGACGATTTCCGCCGAGTTCCCATCAAACATGAACGAAATCGTTGAACGAGCTGGGAAAACATCGATCCGAAACAAAAGAATACAACAATGAGACTAACGTTTTCCTACAGTCAAGGACAAGGCCCAGCACGCCGTCGTTCTCGACAAGACCACCAACGAGAAGCTGCAGAAGGATGTTCAGTCTTACCGTCTGATCACCGTCGCCACCCTCGTCGATCGTCTCAAGATCAACGGCAGCCTTGCCCGCCAGGCTCTCAAGGATCTTGAGGCTAGCGGCCAGATCAAGAAGGTCGTTGGTCACTCCAGCATGTCCATCTACAGTGCGTTTCACTTGTCTATTTTTTCCAACTCTCGAACTCGAATACTAATCATTTCTCTCAGCCCGTGCCGTCGCCGCCGAGTAAACGTACCGTCTCTCGTCTTTTCTCGCGGATTTCTTTTCCTTGTTACGAATGATATCATTTACCATGGGAAGCCCGGCTGGGCGTGATGCATAGTGGATACGTCTCTTGAAGAGTGTGGAACATTCCTGCTGCTTGTATCAGGTAGTGCGAACTGAATCAAAAAATCTACAAAACTTCTTCAAAAGGATACGTCATTTCACTCGTAGTGTTTCTCTTTTCGCAACTAATCCGAGTACTCTACTTCCCCTTCTTGAAACTAATCTACTCCATCAAACTCCTCTTCGGTCTCTGTTTCTGCGCACTTTCACAAAGAGGCCATGGCTCTCCCGTGATCTCGCCTCCAACCACTTTCCCCGCTTCGAAATACGTCTTGTGGTTTCGGAAAAAGCCAACCCACCGCCTGACCGTCGCCTCAACCTTCGCCTTGGCCTCACGCAACTCCTTCTCCCGTCGGATTTTTCTCTGTGCTGGTGTCACAGTCTCATCAGCCACATCTTCGATCGGCATAAACATCGTCTCAACACCGCGCATGTCAGCCGTAAGATCCTCTTTAAAGCACCCTGTCACAAAAGCCCGCGTGGCGTCCCGCCCCGCGAAAAAGTTGTAGCCCCCGCCCGGTCCGTAGATCATTCTGTTTGCTGAGACATCAAAGACTGTTCCGTTCACAGCCACGTAGAGGGGGATGGTGGCGTCGGTGCCGTTGTAGAGAGAGAGTTGGGCGGGTGTGAGGATTACCGGGCCTTGCTGTTGTCGCTCTGTTAGTCTATGCGAACTCGTGGAGATTGTTGGTGAATGTATCCGGGGAGTCTCGTACCACCCACTGCTTCACTACTGGCCACCGTGTATACCATGGTCTGTAGCCCCATATCACGGACTCAGAGTCGGTCATGTAATAGGATAATCCGAAGGACCCAATTAATAGAGCTGTAACCACGCGGATTATGTCCAACAGGCTGATGCCGTGGTCTTCATCGCTGGCGCTGGATTGCCGTCGCGGTTGCGGTGTGTCGGGCTCATTGCTGGATTTCGCCGTGGCTATCGGGCGCTGACGTAGTTCTGACATTCTTGGTGTCTATATTGGTGATTGGTGAGTGTCAAAGATGATCATTAGAGTTGTTGTTGTTGGGGAAAAAAGACTTGGCTGACAAAGTATGGGGATCCGCGAGATATATCCACAACTCAACCGCGTACGTTTGTACAACCGAATGGATTTTTTAAATCTTATGATATATTTTCTTGTAGCATCCATGGATGTGGTAGGTTTTGGTTTTGTATTTTGGTCTGAAATTCATTGGCTTTTTCGAGCTACGGCATTCGCTAAAGATACAAGATGTTTGAATTCATAACGCAGCCATATACATTTCCATTTCCTTTCCGGGACGTCTGCGTTTCATTTTGATCACTTGTTTTCAGTCACAGCGGCCCCATGTTGGGGTGCAGACCCTTCTTCCCAGCTACGGGAGAACACTTCATTGAGAGCGTCCTGGAATGTGCGACAGTTCATGTCAATCAACCCCCGTTTGTCTTTTGCTTCGGGGTTGCGGATCACGGAGACCAAGCAGAGATACCTTCAAAATATTGTCAGTATAATAAATCAATGAAGTGGCAGCCGAAATAAATACTTGTTCATCTCCATCAGGTGGATCATAGTTTGGTCATGTAGCACTACATGACTTTCCGCTTCTTGGATTTGGTCGCCTAGTCGTTTGCGCGCAGGATGATCCCACGAGTACAGCTCAGATATATCCACGATTACATCGATATAGTCTGAGCACATCTCGTAGCAAGCCATATCTACTGGGCGGGTATCAGAGGCGATATATATTTTGCTCAAAACATCGAAGAGGTAGGTCTTTTCGAAGCCACAGTTGTTGGCTAGGGTGTTGATAAGATTCTCGAGTGTGGACAGATTGGGGATCAGCTTCTGAATCACTTTGCTGAATGCCTCGAACACGGAGTAATCATAGATGGATGTGAGGTAGTAGTGCACTGGTGCATTCTCATATCCAGCGTCGCTGAGCTCGTCTGAAATGCGCTGGACAATGTCCTGGAAAGTATCCGTGCGGTACTCATCGGATAGCCCATCCACCTTGTGGATGAAGACTTCGATGTTAATACCTGGGTAGAACTGCTGGACAGTCAGGATAGTACGGTTGAGCCGCGCCACCGAGTCCAGGTAGTCATCCTGTGCGTCAATAACCCAGACCAAGGCACCTAGGCTACCGAAGATGTCTTCGAGGTCAAACGCAGACTCAAAATACTCGAGCTGACCGGGGAAATCCCAGACTTGGAAGTCCATAAACGAACTGTGGCATCTAAGTCAGCGGAATGCACGCGCAGGTCTCACAATAGACTTACTGGATCGAATCTTTCTGGATCCGCGTGGTGGATTCCAAAAATAATGTTTCATTCGGCGGCATTTTATGAAACACCACGCTAGCAATAGATGACTTCCCGCTCCTTAGGCGCGCATTGTCAATAACGAGATTATTCAAGGATCCACAATAAACCTACCGGCGGAGTCCCATTAGAAGAAGACGAGGTTTCACATCGGGGCCTTTGGTGTTTGGCACAGAAGCCGACTTGGCCTGAGTCGGCGCAGCTACTTGGTTGTTTCCCTGTAAATTTTCCAGAAGGCTTAGCTCGGCTTCGGTTTTGCGAAATGGAGGTTGACGCCGTCGCTTCCAAAAATCGAAGTCACGTCCGATAAAAGGGCCGTGAGGCCGGCTCACGCGGGCAGCCGGTGAGTCGGACATGCTGATCACAGAAAGGGGGGATGCATTTTTTTGGTGGGAAAAATAAATAGAAGACAAGTGTAGAGATGTCAAAATGAAGAGTTCATATGTTGGGCATACGATGGGAGAAATCAACCCATCACATGTTGGGAAAGTAGGGCATTGGGCAATCAGCGAACCCGACCAGGCTGCGATTCCTTGGAACGGCAGCAGGGAGAAATCCTGAGGCTTAAGATAGAGCCGCAGCAATTTGATGCGGCACTGTCTTGCGACAGCCCATTGCGACAGCAACCGTTGCAAATGCTGATAAGTTGGAAATTCCTCTTCCTTACCTATTCTAGAAGCCCGGTTCGCTGCGACGGCCGGTGCCTATTTATCCGCTGAGGGATCAAAAAGGCCCGGAACCAAGCAGGCGTCTCACAACGGCCCGTGCAGGGATGTAGCGGCACGGTGACTAACCGAGCTTCACAGAATGGGCCGGCCGTGGTTCAAGGAATCGAGAATTTAAGGGAAGTATGGGTTCGCGGGGACGTATTTTGCAAAAGGGGAAGACTCTTACCTCCATTGGATAGGTAATTACCTACATAACGGATGTTAGATTTACAAGGTGGACGGACATCAGTGAAGCAGCGGGTAAACGTACCAAGCAATTATGATTGTAGTAGACAGGGGAAACCAGACCAATGCAAGGTCAGGATATCTCCGTGATCACGAAGAAGAATGCTGAAAGGAACTGGCCGAGCTCAATTTAACGGCAAAGACCGAGCGTTGACTCCGCATGTGCCGATCTCGCCCAGGATGAAAGCCGCAGGATCCTACTTTGCTTGGTATGGTGGTACAAGGTCGGGTATCTGCAGTCAAACCTGTATCATGGTCCCAGTGTGTCAAAATCGGTCCGCGCCAGGCTTAATTGGAGCGATCGTTTGAGTAACCTCTGTGCTTTGTGTGCGAGAAATGCGGGGGTTTGGAGTAGGTCGGAGCTGCGAGATGAGGTGAGGAGTGATTGCACCAATGTACGACACGGATATGTGGTACAGCCGGTGGATGGAGATACTTTGTTCGAGACTTTCAAGACTTGTTTTCGATCTGAACAACTTCTTTTCGCGGAATTGTAGTCGAGGGTGAGAATGGAGGAGAGGAGAAAGGCGGAGCCGTTATCGAGATCGCGCTATCTCTTATCGGTGCTATCTGATCACCGCCTTAGATATTCTGCCGCAATATTCGAATTGAGGTTTAAGAGGCTTACGGCGTCGTTAACTGTGGGTTTCCAAATTGGTGGTCGACGACTACTAGTCTGACTAGTAGTTCAGTATTCCATAGAAGGAGAAAAAAAAATGTTTTATTTTAAGACTAAAAGCTTCCAGTTCATAGGTTCATGCTGCAATCATCCTGCGTTGTCCATGGCTATGTCCATGGGCATGTTTACCATCTTTATGCAGATATTCGCTGATACGGTGTTTCGCCTGTGGTGGTGCCTCCTCTTCTTCCTCTTCATCTTCAATCTCAAACGCAGGCCACTCTTCCCAGCCATCTTCCCACATCTTCGCTAACTTATCTGTCTTTTCATCTCTGGTCATCTTCTTGTTTTTCATCACCTTCTCCCACTTCTTCATATCCTTATCATCCAAAAGACACTCATCAAGCAGAGCGCTAATTCTCTCTTTGTCAATACCCTCTCCGATGAAAACGAGCTCCTGGCGCCGATCACCCCAAGGACCCTGGAAATCATTTTGAATAGATTCCCGTACATCCTTGTCTTCGGGCCAGGCTTCATCGGGGACTTCAGCAAACCAAGGGCCACCACATCCAACAGTCATCATGCCACCGGCTTGGCTCCATTCGCCGAATTGCCAGGGTCGGGTCGTGAGCCAGAAGAAGCCCTTGGAGCGGAGGACTGGTCCAAAGGCCGGGTGTGTACGCTTGTTTTTCAGAATGTCTGCCGGGTCAGGCTGGTCAAAGTCTTCCACTGACTCCGAGTCTGACTCTGTGTCCATTGTATCTTCATCTTCCTCTTCCTCGTCATCTTCTTCCTCTTCCTCTTCGTTATTCTGAAGAATAATGAATTTGTCATGGAGAAGAGCGAAGATACGGCGAGGATGGAAGGGCCGTCGCGCAGTGTAAACAAAGTTGTTGATGCCATATCTGTGTCGCTGTTAGTATCTCGTTCGGATAAAATAACCACCGCACTTACTCCAAGGTCTCTGGCTTCGGCGCCATCCGTTCACCATTTCCGGTCGTCTGGACCGTCATCTCGTGCAAGCTCTGCAGCCACCCAGGACCGGAAGCAGCCCGGACGAAATCGAACTTATTGGTATTGACGATCTCTCTGACATCTACCTGCGAGTAATTTGACTCGAGAACTCTCGCGCCTGGGTTCAACAACTTTAGCAGCTGCAGGATCTTGCTGCGTGTTGCTTGATCCACTGTTTCAATCTTATTGACAATCAAAACATCTGCGAACTCGATCTGATCTACCATGAGATCTGAGATTGTGCGTTCATCCTCGGGCACAATTTCTTCTCTCCCATAACGATCGGACAGGAACTCAGCTGTGTCAAAACTGGATAGCAAGTTGAAGGCATCGATCACAGTGACAGTGGTGTCCAGTCTAGCCATAGTGTGCAAACCACCCATATCCACACTATGGCAATACGGTTAGCTTCTCGAATGCGAATGGAACAGCGATGTGAGGAGCATCATACATTTCATTAAGAATCTTCTTTGCATCGGCATCGTCATTCCCGATCTGATCCTCGGCCTCTAGCATCGCAGTGCTAAACTCGGCCGTGAAAGTTTCGGCCACTTGCATGGGCTCCGAAATGCCTGTTGATTCGATAATGACATATTCCACCTCGTTTTGTTTCGTCAAGCGGGCCAGCTCTGCCAACAGGTCTCCTCGCAAGGTGCAGCAGATGCACCCGTTTTGAAGTTGAATGAGCTTCTCGGTGGTTTGGGAAACTTTGTGGTTTTGGATAAGGGCGGCATCAATGTTTAGCCTGTTTGGAGAGGAAATATTAGTATCAGGTTGGTATCATATACTGGATAAAGTACTGACTGGCTCATGTCATTAACAATCACAGCAATTCGCAACCCATGGTCAGGAGACTTGAGAATGTGCTTGAGGAGGGTCGTCTTGCCGCTTCCCTATACGCGTGTGTTAGTTCCCTCGCGTTCAAGCCAATATGTATACAAATGAAGTTACTCCATACCAGAAATCCCGATAGTAAGGTCACAGGCATCTGCCTTGCCTTGGGCTTATGCTCAGTGGGGGTGGGGACATGATACCCGACTGACTCACTTCCCGAGTCAATAACCATTATGACGGGACTTTTCTTCGCGTATATAATTAGAATGTCAAAAATAAAGCACTTCTAGAGATTTGAGTAGAGATTTGAGGATATCACTACAGCAGCACCTTGCGGGCGTACCTTTTTATCTCTTCCAACGCCTCGTCTCCAAGTTCCTCATCCTCTGACGCCGCTGGTTGCATTTTTGATGCCGTACAGATATCGATACAGGTCCCCCAAGGTTGGAAGTATACCAGTGGGGTCTTGAATTGTCCAATGATGTATTTGATATCAAATTCTGATGATAAATACCGTCCTCTAAGTGGTTGGCGTTGACGGTCCGCAAGGTACCTGGCTGGCGCCGCTGACTTTCACGGTCCTTGGTATGACGACATGGGCTAGTAACATCATAATTAACGGAATTTTGATTGGGTGTCATTCTTTTTCTTTTGGCTGGATGCTTGACTTCGGGATAACTGGGATGTTCATGCCCTTAGGGTTGATGGTAAATGTAGGGTTGGAGATAAACCGAATAAAACACATATAGTGACTAAGAATGCCAATTTTTGGATGGGTCACACTAACATATTAGGACAAATCTAACTATATCTAATGACGTTTGTAGAAAAGAAAGTCTGATATGCCAGGGCTGATATTAGGGTGCTAATTGACAAGAGCATGGCAACTCAAACCATTGGAAGTCTTATTCTATGTACTCGATGAAACTATTACACAGTTCATCGAAGAGGCTTTGAACACTCTTACATATTCTGTCAAACCATCAATTGAATAACAGGATATCTTTCATAATGCAAAAAATTTGCATACAACCCCATAAAACAACAATCCTAGTCTTCCTGGTCCAAATCAACATGCAACAAGACGTTCCAGCTATCTATATCCATAACCCTGTCAATTAAATCCATTAAGTCCGCTCGCACTCAATGTTGAAATAGTCCGAAAACATGTACAAACTCTCAGAAACGACATCGTCGACCAGATCGGGGCTCGGCTTGATGCACGGACACGGCCCGATGGCAAGCAGATCGCCGATGAGGTTGTACGAAGTTCGAACTTCAAGTTCAAAAGACAATTTAAGTATAAAGGAGACTGAACTTACCCATAACTCCTAATCCGATCTGTGGTTCGATCTCTATATCCTACATACTCAATTAAAACCTCCCAAGTTGATTCTCAGATCGAATTGGTGACATCATCATCATAAACGAGCTCCTTTCTCAACATCAACCTCAAGCCCAAGCTCCTCCCACTCCAATTGCAATCCCAATCCCCCCAAAATGACCGACTTGGGGACCTACACCAAACCCCTCGCCTACCTAGGCCTCTTCACCCTAGCAACAACAACCCTCTCCTTAATCCGCCAAGCAACAATCTTCCTACGCCCCAGCACGCTACTAAAAACGTACAATCCAACGCGCAAAAACTGGGCCCTCGTCACCGGCGCAACAGACGGTATCGGCTTCGGTTTCGCGCAAGAGCTCTGCGCCCGTGGCTTCAACGTCATCCTGCACGGCCGCAGTGTCGAGAAACTGCAGCGCCGACAGCGCGAGCTGCAGGCTGAGTTTCCCGATGCGAAGCTCGGATACGTCGTGCGCAATTCGCAGCATGTCACTGCTGATATTGACGGCGTGGATGCAGAGGTTGGGGAGATTTTGGGCGGTGGGAAGTTGACTGTTCTTGTTAATAATGTTGGTGGGGAGACTAGGCCTGCTACGCTGCTTAAGGAGTATACTTTTGAGGATGTGCGGGATACTGTTTCGCGGAATGCGATGTTCGCGATTCAGATTACGCGTGTGCTGACTAGGCGGTTGGAGGTGGATGCGCCTGGTCTTGTGTTGAATGTTTCTTCTGTTGCGGCGTTTGGGTTGCCTTATATTAGTGCTTATAGTTCGTCGAAGGGGTTTGTGGATTCTTTTACGAAGTCTTTGCGCGCTGAGTTTGCAGCTGAGGGGAACGCGGTTGAGGTTATGGGGTTGAGAGTTGCTGAGGTGAGCACTTCTGGGTATGATGTGAAAAGTAATTTGTTTGTTCCTGAGGCGAGGGTGTTGGCTGGTGCTAGTTTGGATCGGGTTGGGTGTGGGCAGGAGGTTGTGTGGGCATATTTCTGGCATTGGGTGCAGGGCTTGTCGTTTGATATTCTACCGCGCTGGTTAATGTTGAAGTTTGCTACGATGAAGCTCAAAGCTATCAGGACTAACATGGAGGCCAAGGCGAAGAGTACTTGATATTGCTGCCATGGGCCTATTCTAGTTGTATTCTAATTGTCTGCGCTGTTCATCTGCAAAATTGCTGCCATTGAATGTACAAAATTATCTGCAATTGAAGGAAACATTACAGTAGGTCTATGGGGAAGTTTAGAAGCCGGCAACGGACTTAGCACTATCAGCTGGACCGTGCAAACCGGCACCAATGTTCTGTGTGCACTCGATCTGCCAGTCATTCGGGGTGAACTTATCAACAATCGCCTTGAAGGCGTCCAACGTGCAGAATGTCTCGTCGCCAGGCAGGTGGTTCTCGGGCTTGGCAGCGCAGCCGGGGATGGTAACGGGTCGGTCATTGTAGCGGATGCGGACATAGTGCTTCTGAAGAGACTCGCGAGTACCACCAGGCAAAGAGGAGAGAGGTGTGCGAGCGGTCTCGGACGAGGTGGGCTGGCTCGGTGCGGACTTACCAAACAGCTTGGAGAGGACCCCAGACTTCTTGGCTTCAATGGAGGGATTGGAAAACTTCTCAAGCATGGTGCCAGCGGTGGAGGCGGAGCGAGGAGCCTGTGAGAAGAGTTCGACTGCAACAGAGGAAGTGAAAGGAGGCCAGGACTCGTCCTGGAACCCGCCGACGCTAGACAGCATCGCTGCAAGCGTGGTGTCGTGGCAGCCGCTCATTGCAAACTTGATCGCCTTCCCGGTCTCTGGATCGCCGGACCCAGATGCAGCGGTTTCGCTGCGCCAGCCACCCTCCACAGCGGTGCTGACCATGCGGTCAACCACATCGCCCATGAGAGCTCCAATTCCCAGCTTGCGGTACTCGCTGCTCTCGCCGTAACCGGCAAACCACTCTTCGACTGCGATCCGATCGACAACGGCACGTCCCTTCTTGTCATAAAACTCAGATGGGAGCTTCGTGCCAGGTCCATGGGCATCGGTGGCATTGATGGTATCCATGATTCCAGAAAGTCGGGGGTGGGAATCAACAGCAACCTTGGGTGATTCTTCTGGCATGTGCTTTGACCAAAGACTGTTTAGATAAGCCATTTGCTCAGAGTCATTCCCTGCAGGTCCACAACATCAGCAATCATTCCACAAATCCTCACAGATAAACTCATACATCGTGCAGCGGCACGATCGGCAAAAAGCCGAGCCAGCTGTCGGAACCGCTTACAACCCCCCTCATTGGGAAACAACGTCTCCTCATTAAATTGACGAGCCACAATCACCGGCGGCGGGAAATCGAGCGTCCGCGCACTAGCCGGGTACATACCCCAGAACGCTTCCTGGAGAGACTCCAGAGCGCGGGGGATCGGCGTCGCGCGCAGGTACATATCCTCGGCATTGGACTTAATCTCGGGCATGAAACCAAGCTGATCGACATAAAGATGGCGCAAGCGTTGTCCGAGCGCATACGTCGTCTCGCGGCCCTTATTTGTGAGCTCGCCGTGCGTGCTTGATACGATTTAGCCTTTCCCCGGATTTAACAGCCCAATTTCTACGGGCGACTTACCACATCCCTTCAACTTCTGAGCCCGGTCCTCTGGCAATTGTTGCCTTGTCATCGTTGCCGAAAGTCTCCATCTTCCGTCGCCATTGGAATCCGTTCCATGCCGATAGGTCCTTACTGCTCGAGGCCATCTGTACCATGCGTTTTGCAACGCCGCAATACGGCCAGTCTGTGAGATATCAGTATCGTCTCGGCCGATATCGGTCTTGGGGAATTGGCATACATGGTGTCAGGCCTGTCTTTGGGAAATGTTAGCGGAGACCGTCGGAGATCGGAGTTGGGGGCCGGCATCAATAGCAGCATACATTTGTGAATCTTGAGGACACGGGGGTGCGTTCGCCTGGGTTCAATTAGAGATGCTCTGTGGGCGCTATTCTTGTATTGGGATATGTTTCTCACCATGGCGAAGGAACTGTGGTGGTTAGCTCGAGCTAAAGTACCTTGAAAGTCAACTGGAAGTTCACGTACCACTTGCACCAGTTGCAGCTTCAGCTCTTTTGGGTACAGGCGAGCAAGTTCATCCTGGGTGTAGGGCTCACGGGGAATTAGAGAGGTCATATTGCAGACCTAAGGAAAGAACAAAGGTGAGAAGAAGTATTCAATGTTGAGTCAGAGGGAATAGATGCCCCGTGGGGCGGTGAGGCGCCAATCAGTTAGGGTAACCTTACGATAAGCGTGTTGTACTGAACTTAACGTGTTGGTTGATGGTGAATTGGACTTTTGTTCGAAAGTTGTTTTGAAGGTTCTCTTTCTTTGATCCTATTCATATGCTCATATGTTTCTATTCATCAGGTACCGAATATCTGACAGAAAACAGCCGGGGTTGCTCAACAGCAAATCTATAGTCCTCCACACCTCGGCAACTTGCCCGACATGCACCCCCGGGCTTCGGACCGTTATCCTGCAAGGGCATCAACCAGGCTCAATTAGTACTTTTAAGTATCATGTTTCCCCTAAGTATATTTAAAGTAGATTCATGCTTTATGTAGACTTTGCGGTATCTTCTCCAATCCCGTAGCCATGAAACCACCAAAAAACCTATTCATAAGACAACCAAAAGACATGCCAAAACATCTATTATTATTGACAATATAGAATAATATACAAAGCCAAGCATCACTACTCAGCATCACTAATCTCCCACCCATCCTCACTCTCACTAGCACTCCAAACAGACCTAGAAGGCTCCTTGGCCTCCTCAGCCTCCGTAGCCGCAGCCGCGACAACAACAGCAGTAGCAGTAGCAGCATGCTTAGCGAACTTCTTATTATTCTTCGCCTTCTTAGCATTTTCCTGATCCTGTCTGATCTTCTTAACACGCTCGGTCTCTTCATGCGTCGCCCGCTCCATAATCTCAACTAGCTTCTCTAGGGCAGGCGCATACGCCTGCGCAAGAGCAAACTCTCCAACGTTGAACCGCATGTAATCCATTGCGCCAGCGACAGGGCCGGTGTATACACCGGTTTGGTAGCTGGACCTTGGAATGGCGATGTCGTCGGACAGAGGGGCGCTGGTGGTTTCGTCTTGCGGGTCGTCGAAGGGGATGTCTGCGTCGGCGGGTTGTACGGCCGCTGCGTCGCGCGGGTTGGGCGTTTCGCCGTTGTTCTTTTCGGAGAAGGCCACTTTTTGGTAGCGTTGGCTGAAGTGCGTGAGGAGGATGGAGCGCGCTTGCATGCGACGGCCGATTTCGATGGCTTCGGCGGATGTGGAGTGGCGCTTGGCCATTGCTGAGCCGACCATGTCGGGTTGGAAGGTGGCTTCGTGGATTAGGACTGTGGAGCCTTGGCCAATGGCGGCGAATTTCTCGGAGGGTCGGCAGTCGCCGGAGTAGGAAACTTTGAACCCGTGGGGGAATACGAGGGATACGGCGAGTGCGCCTCTGCAGTGCTTTACTCGGCAGGTGAGAAGATCTTCGAGGCCGGTGGAGGACTTCAGGAGGGGAGTGAGGGGGCATGATTGGTCCGTGTAGGAAAGTTGAACACGACGGCCGGTGGGTAGTCGGTGGGAAAAGTTAGTCATGAGTTGAGAGCCGTCATTATCAGGGTGCACGCTGAGAGTGAGAATTTTGTTGAATCCGAAGTCCTCGACGTGGGAGTACTCTTCCAACCAGGACATCATTGCATCGTCGGACACGACCGCCAAGCGCTTCTCCTTGAGGATCTTCTTGATGTCGGTTTCGGGTGCAGCCGAGTCAACTCCGCTCTTGAAGTTCTCTTCGTACCAGGCCTTGATTACCGATGCGGTACCAAGGTGATGATCAGCGTGCAAATGGCTGATCCAAATCATGCGCATGTTTTGAAGCACTTCGCGGAGCTGCTCGGGCTCGAATACTCGTTTCATCTGGCCGAGCGTATTCTCGCCACAATCAAGCAGGTAGTAACCATATCCAGGGACCTTGACCAATGTCGCGGAAACGTTACGGTACTTGGACGGAACTGAAGAACCAGTGCCCAATGCAATGATCTCTGCATCCGCTCCGGGCCATTCTGCCCGTTGCGCCTGCAACTTCTTCTGGAAGTCAGGCTTCGATACGTGCTTGCGAATGTAGTTCAATCTTTGCTCGACCGAGCGAGGGATCTTGTCGATAGCCTTTGCAGGATCGAAGCGAGACATCACTTCTTCCCTGTTCAAGCCGAAATTGGGCTCCATATCGAGAATGAATCCGGGATCGAGTGGAACGAGAGGGGAGTTCTGACGGGCTGCGATTGCGGATTCTGAGCCGGCATTTGGCGCACCCGGTTGGGGCAAAGTAACGTTATCATAAACAGGAGCCGCATAACTATCTGGATGTAGACGGGCAAGTCGGACAGTTGAGCTAGCGGCGCTTCCCATCGCCAGATAGTTCGGGCATTGGTCTGTGCCAGATACGGTGTGCTTGCAGTGGGACATGCTGGCGACGAATTCTTGGAACTTAGGGTGCTCGGCGACTCCGGCGCCAAGGATCCAGATGAAAGCCTGCAACTCGGTTGTTACAGCCGGCGACTTCCACTCAGCCCGGTTCACCAGGTCTTCAACGTATTCGGGCGAAGGCACGTCCATGATAGCAACGCCTTTTCCAACTCGAGTTGGACCTAGGACCATCTCCGGGGTGACGGTCTTACCATCCATGGACTGGACGCTCTCGCCCTTTGTCAGAGCAGCGAATTTGAAACCCATCTCAACGTTATGTTCTTTGGCCTTCTTTGGGTCGAACTTTCCGCGGATATCATAACTCCGCACGATATAGCTAATCGCTTCCTTGGAGGGAGAAGTGGGCGGGAGGCTCTCAACAGTTGCACCGGGCCACGGCTTGCGGACAAGGACATTGATGTCGGGGAGCGGTTCTTTATCGCCCGGCACAGGACCCTTGTATTGTTCGAGGTCTTTGGTCTCGGGGTTGCGAATAAAAATGGCAGCGGGCATCTTGACCTCAGCCAGTGGGGTTTCGTGCAGGGTGTCCATCTTCCATGTTGAGTTGAACATGTCCTGCACGATAGACTGCGTCGTCATTTGGTCCTTGGTGCGCTGGTCCAGATGTCCTTCTGCTACGGATTCCTGGAACTCATCCAAGCTGCGCTTGCGTGGACTCTGGGACCGCACTTTCGAGCTTAACTGACTCGATGGGGTGGGCTTGATGGGGAGGGCCCAAACCTTGATGTTCGAGTCAGCCCATGAGGGGGTCTCGAATGGATCCTCGGCGCCAGTAGACACTAGCTTGGCCAGATTCTGAGAATCATATTCTTTCAAATATACTGGCATGCCCTTGCGGAACACAAAACGCCGGGCCGTAGCCAAAGTGTGCGTAAGGTTTCTAGGCCCGTGAACTGTCAGGTTTCCCTTCTGGAGAACAGTTTCGCCATCCCGCTCGATATAGGCCTTTCCATGTTGTCTACTATCGGTGTACCCTCCCTTGCCCTCACTAGCCTCTCGCGCAGCTTTTCGAATAGCCTTCTTCTTGTTCTCCTCCTCAATGGCCGTGTTCGAGGTCACCACCGTATCAGCAAGTGTCAGGATCATTCCGATCAATCCTCCCGTGTTGGCCCATTCCGTCCGCCCAGTAACAAACACATCAGAGAGGAGAGCAAGCTTCACTCCCCGCTCTGTGCACGCACGCTGTGTGCCTTCTGCTAGCTGACCGAAAAAGTATCGCTTGTCGGGGAAGTGGAGGCAGATGGCCGTGCCGGGGGTGTCGGCCGTCGGGGTCGTGACGACCTGGTAGTAGAACTTCATCGGGTTGACACCTAGTTTCAAATCCGGGGGCGATGAAGTAACTTCGAACTTGGACGGTTCACAAATCAAATAGTCGTTCGATTGTTGATTGCGTACGAGCGGGGCAGTTGAAATAATGTATGCGTTTGGGTTCACAGCGGGCTGTCTAACTGGAAGTTCCGGGGCTCTTTTGAATCTCGAGAGAAGGTCTGGCCTAACGGTGCGCTTTTTCCCTAGTTGTGAGTCACGGCTTCTGCGTGTGTACGTTCGTAAAAATGTCGGCGTCCAAATTGGGGGTTTGGGCAACGCGCTCCAGGCGACTGCACGAGTTGTCGCGGTTAACAAAGCACCGCGCGCACGAAGAGAAGCCAACTTGGCTGGATGCTATGAGATTGAGGGGGAAATATTGAGAATAGAACCCCTGGTGTAGCAAAGCAGAAGACCTAAGCATTGGTGGATCCCAGTAACGAAAAAATGTCAAACTTCGATTTTTACGTGACGGCCGGGTCGCCCCCCAAGTCAATTTTCAAAATGCGCCTTACATTTCAGTCTCAAGTGCGATATATTACAAAAAAATTGCTTTTTCCACAGTCGGATTCTCGTATCAATTTGTTCAAGGCTTTATAGCTTTGTGGCTTTGCATCTCTGGGTCGACGAGCAGGACTACGGTCCGTAGCTGAACGTTACAGATGACATCCATACATAGCACATTTTGACTAAATCGACGAGCATTCTATTTGGCTAAACTACATTCAGGGTGAAGGCTATGCAAAGACGAAGAACAATCATATGGCTGTAGATATCAAGATATGGACTTTTATTCCAATAATCCATCAAATACGCCAAAGAGTAACCACTCCAAAATTCCACCCAGAAAATCCATCGTGGGCATTACACGATAAAGTAAAAGACAGGCGCCTTGAAACTCCCCGGCACTTCGGAAAGAAAGACCGATCATTCGCAAAATATAGCAGGAAATGTCACCATTGTATCACAAGGCGATGACTGATGGCGTTGAAAGAATCACATATACAAAGAAAAGGCCGAATGGCGGGACGCTAATGGGGAATCACTGAAGGTGGGACGTAACAGCTGATACACGCTCGAAAGCGGCATCGATGCTCTGGCAGAGGGCGTTGAAGGTGCTCTTGGCTGAGTCGCTGACTTTGGAGTTGTCGACGACGAGCTCGTACTGAGAGGCTTTCTTGCTGGGGATACCCTCAAAGGTAAACTCGGCATCGCATGAAGTAGGCGCGGGAGAGTCAACAAAGAGAGCAAAGGCAGGGTCGGACTCGTCAAGCTCGACATCGGGATTAGCGACACCGATGTCAGACTGACGGTAGGAGTCAGTGGTAGGGGTATCAACGATGGGAGCCTCGTTCTTGGAGCTCTCGGGGATGCTGAAAGAAGATGACTTTCCGGAAAGGACCTCAGCATCATAGGCGGGTCCCTCGGGAACTTCCATGACAGCAAAGACGGAGGCATTGCCGAAGCTCATGTCAATGCCGGAGTTCCAGCCAGCGTTGTTCATGGCCATATTGGGGTCCATACTCTGGTTAGGCATCATGACCATGTTGGGCTGGGGATTCTGCTGCATCTGGAACTCCTGGGCACGGTTGGCATTGTTCTCCTTGGGCATAGCCTGCATGGTAGGCTGAGCCTGTTGCTGCTGGGGCTGGGGCTGTTGCTGGGGCTGCTGCTGCTGGGGACCCTCCATCTCGTTCAAGAAGTTGGAGAAGTGGGGAGATCCGAGAAGCATGCGAGCCAAGTCGTTCAGGCGGGCATTCTCCTCGTAGAGAGCACGGTTCTGGAGGCGGACTTCGTGTGCCTCGTTGGTGCGGGCGGCGACCTCACTCTCGAGCTGGCCGATGTATTCTAGCGAGAATGTTAATGAAAGATCTTGCAATATTGAACTGGAGTGATCATACCCTTGCGACGAGATCGGAAGGCGCGAGCGGAGACCTTGTTGCGCAGCTGACGGCGTTCCTTACTGCTGAGCTTCTTGCCTTCCTCGCTAGCAAGGAGGCGCTCATCCTCATCCATGTCGGCCTCGTCCTTGCGGGCCTTGGCCATCTGAGGCATGCCGTGGGAGGGAGTCGGGGAACCCTCTCCATTGGCCATGGCGTTCTGGCGCATCTGCTGGAGCAGACGGGAGATGCGCTCCTCAACCACGGGGTCGGGGTTGCGGGGACCGCGAGTTTGGAGCATAGCGGTCGCTTGTTCGGGGCGCTGCTGCATCTGGTGGCGGGCGATATCACTTTGCTTCTGTTGCTGGGCCTTGGCCATCGCAGCCTGCTGCTGATGCATACCAGGGTACATGCGACCGACCTGGGTGGAGGGACCAGCCTGAGCCAATTCTTGACCTCCAAGGGCATTGGGGTCAACGTATTGGCTCTTGTTCCCGGGGTTGGCCGGGTAGAAGTATGGTGATGCGTTCATGTTTTCGGGCTCAATCTCCATCTCTGACGGGTTCCGGCCCGGTGCAGTGTTGAAATCAAATGGGGCATCCTCCCGCTTCATGTGATGACCAGCATACATTTCAGCGTTGACGGGGAATCCTTGGGTATTGTTGAAGCCCATGGGGACCTGGCTGTAACTCATAGACAAAGCACCAGGTGGCAGACCGGTTTGTTGTCTGTGCTCGTCGTATTGATGACTAGGAGCCTGGAAAGCGAGGGGAGACTGGCCACTTGAAGCGAAACTGGCACTGCGGGCGTCGCTGGTGCTGAACTCAGTACTTGCGACCGAGGGTTGACTGGTCATGGCGATCTTAGAGCGAGAAGGGTCGGATGTATAGGTGAGTTGATCGAAGTTGATGAAAGAGTCGAGATCCTGATCGTAAGTAGATGGCTGCTGCATCGGGTGTTCAGTGAGAGTTGCCATGATGGGTGTGTGTGTAGTAGAGTAGATAAGCCTATTCCCGGGCTTGAGGGTTTTTCGTGATACGTGATATAGAAATATGAACGAAGGAAGTGAAGAGTTTTGGAGGTTGGATAAAGAGGGAAAAATATAATGGATATAAAAAAAGATTATGAAAACGAAGGTCTAGAGATGTTGGGATCTAGAATTGGATTTTAATGAAATTGGCAGAGAGAAATAGAGGAACCAAGGAAACCAGGGGAAGAGGAGGAGTGTTCCGGAATAGAAACGTTACGTGGCCCGAGGGATGATTAAGCGGCCGCCTGCTCACTTCTTTCCCGTGATTGGTTGTTCTTTGTTTACCATACGATCCTTGTATCTAGGGAGTACATTGTCATTCCCAATAGTACTAATTCTTATTTGAATATCTCCTATATCTTTATCAATCTATACATCTACTAGCAAAATTACTACTGAATTTCTTCAATGAATGCAAACTCGTGTGAATCTTTCTATTACCCCATTTTCAATAGTTCCAAATGCCCTGCTAATACTTTTTCCAATGCCGAACCTTTGAAGTGGGGTCAGTCTATTACAAAGAGCCATCGGATCCTATTGGTTCTCGAGTGCAAATATAGGGCTCGGAGTTACTTCCAGGTAATATTACCGTAATTGTATTGCTAGTGCCTGTACACTCCTTCCAATGACGCAGGTGGCTATGTCTGTTTATTGAGGATTATTGCCCTCGGATAGAGACAAACATTCCACATTTGTCAGGAGACGCAAAATATGTACTTATCAATAATGTACAATGGGCTTTAACTAGAAATCATAAGTTGACTTTTGAAAGATATTATAATAGTCTTGTCTAGGCTACTCTGTACTCCTTAGTGACTATCACACTATCACCGCAATTAGCGTTCGGGGCTGAGCCACCTATTTTGAGTCGCTCGGCCACGATATCCACTTTGGGGAAGATAGACGGCCCATATTCAAGTGGACTTTTTAAGGGCCGAACACTTCTTTTTCCTCTCTAGAGACCCTGGTGAGATTCTCTGTATCCATCAAGATTAGTAGACTGTGCATTCACAGTACATTGTACAATAATGTACCCCAACCACGGAAGTCACTTGTTTCATCACAGCCCGGATATACAATGGGCCGGGCGCCTAGCCCATACATCTAGTTACGGTTAAACCACAGTGAACTAGTCGGAGTCAATTTGCCGCTGAATAAGCTGAATATTGACATTGGATCTTACAATAAGCTTTTTCTGTTTGTAGAGAGTTGGGTCGGCAAAGAACCACCTCGGTGGATGTCCGTACAGTACACGAGATATATGATCTAGGCCTAAACTGGTTAGTGCCTCCGACCCTAAAAAACCCAAAAAGCCAAAAACCCCAATTGTTATCAAAGTGGACTCGGTCAATCCTATTTTTCTTCTCTGAGGCCATTAGTCTGGACTAGATTCTCTATAGAACCTTCTTTTCGCCTTCTAACCTGCCTCTTCGGGTCGCTCCTGAAACATAAAATGAAACCGCTATTGTACAACATTTATGGAGTACCCAAACCGCAGGGCAAACACGGCGGATCAAGTCATACCCGCTTTTTTTTCAGGAACAAACCTTGGAAGTCTCGGCTCTTGACGAGCCCGCTTTTCCTGCTCTCGATCATCTAGGGCTGAGACAGTAACGGCACCATGATCACCATCAAGTGATCGCGTTTAAGAGGCTGAGCTAATTCTGCGCCTCATGCCACCACGTATCTCGTTTTTAATTAAAAATAGACCCTGGAAAACCCTGGCGCTTTAACCGGCACGGGCGAAGAACATACTTAATTAATCAATAGTAAGGCGAACTACGCATTATTGAGATTCTCGGGCATGGCTCTTGTGCGGAGCTTTCATTAAACTGTCCCGAGTCTCGAACTGTGGATCTGGGACATCGGCCTCAACGCTCCGGCATTTGTTCCAGTATGTCATTTGCCTGATAGTCATTTCGCTTGGATCCTGCCATGGCTGATGAAAGAAAGATTATATCTCCAGTTTCTGCATTCCATGGATATGCAGGCCACGCATATCCCTCCGCATTGCTTTACTGCTTTATCAATTGATGTCATTCAGGTCTAGACCAAATTACATCCTCGTCTTCAATGTCTGGTCGTCTGACGACTCCTATGACCCGCTTGGCCCTGATCGCCCGGCTTTTCAAGGCCTCAAAGACCCTTCACTGTGAACCCTGATGCTGGTCTGTGGTTGTCTGACGACGCCTTCTTTGATCCGCCGGGTCTTTAAATGAGTGTGGGTGCGTTCGAGACTCTTGAACCCTTCAATCGAGATCTAGATGGATCTGAGATTCAGGTCCAGATCTAGATCGCATCTTATCGGACGATGAGAAAAGTTTTCGTCATCTGGGGTTCACGATCGATCGCTCTGGGCTTTGCTCGTGTGCTTCTAGGCTTGAATTGATCTTGGTACCCCAGTCCATGGGGAATCTGGAGCAGAATGGAGTTACACGTGTGGTCTAGGGATTTGCTTTGGCAATCGATGGTAATGACACGCTATGTTAAACGGTCTTCCTAGGTCTCGATTTCACACACATCGTAGAACTGACCTCATGTCTATAACGTGGATGATTGTGGCTTCTGGAATAGATCAAAGAACAAATTTCAACTTGATGCCACGCAAGTGCCAGGTCGCGGCCGCAAAATATCATATTGCTCTAGGTTAAAGGCTTGTTTTCAATATTTGAACATTCAGGACTCTATCGTTTCTCTTCAAATAGTTGAAATTCTTCCAGATCTATGAACACAGAATTTGCTCTCACTTACGCTGTATACCAAAGGTCCACCCATGATCGCTAGTCTCTGCACACCTTGATTACCACCTTACCGCGGGCACGCTTAGTAGAAATGCGCTCATAGGCATGGACAGCATCCTCCATATCAAAAACAGAGTCAACAGGTACGCGCACATGACCCTCTTCAATCAAACGCGCTAAGTAAACAGCATCATCACGAGCCGGCGGTGTGCTAAACGTGATATATCGGCGAGGAACACCGCCCAGCCAAGTAGGCAGCCAGGTATTGAACAGCATATTGCACGCCGTCCCAAACATCCCCTCAAGCATACCAATATTGACAACCGCGCCCTCAGGCTTAAGATAAGCAGGCGAGTTAGCAAAAAGCGCCTGAGACCCAACACAGTCAAGCACAAAGTCAAACGGTTTCTCCCTGTACTCCTGCGTGAGATAAACAGGCAATTCATGCTTCTTATAGTCGATGAACTTCACACGTTAGTCTTCTGTGATCCAACCAGTCAATCTCTACACAGGTACCTACCTCGTCAACACCCAACCAACGCACCATCTCCTCATTGCCACCGCTCGCCACGCCAACAACGCTCGCCCCACGCAACTTACACAGCTGCACGAGTACGGACCCAACAGATCCACTAGCCCCGTTGACGAGAACACGATGACCCTCCCGCACGCCAGCCGTCCGAATCATCTTCATCGCCGTACTACCCGCCCCATTGATCCCAGACGCAGACGCCATCTCAATGCCGTCAATCCGCACGACCTGCGACCCAGGGAGGCGAACGTACTCTGCCAGCACGCCGTGGCCTAGCATTAAGGCGGGGATATTCTGAAATGCGACGACTTGGGTGCCTAGGTCGCGCAGTTCGGCTGGTGCGCCTGACCCTGCGGCTACTATCGAGCCGGATAGTTCGAGCTCTGGAATCCAAGGGCCGGTTAGGGGGAGGCTAGGGATGGTTTTGAGCCCAAATTCTGTGCTGTATTGTAGTGAGACGTGCGAGACGCGGATGAGCACGTCTTGCGATGTGCTTTCTGGCGCGGTTGGCGTTGGGATGGTGGTTAGTTTCAGGGCGCTGTTTGCGGGACCGCGGTGTTGGCGTATCCAGGCACGCATTTCTGATGGTGTGGTTGGGATTTGCGCTGCCATTGCTGCTGTTGATGCGTAGTAATTGGAGAGGTGTAGGACTTTGAGGGGGCGTATGACTTCCGAAGGATTTGGAACTACTGCCTAGGTGGTTATATTTAGATCTGACACTCAAAAAACTCCACGGGCTTGTTCACAATAATTATGTCAATTAATATCAGATCCATAACTAGATATTGAAACATAGATGATTTTTCAGATAATGTTGATTATATATTTCCGTAGCATGTAGATCTTTACTCTATGTAGTGGCTTGCGATTTATCTGCATAACCATGAACCCTGACCAACCTTGGAATATGCCCAGAAACCAAGACTTGTGACTCAATTCCAACTATAATGACAACATCCACAATGATGTATATTTGTATATTCCCACGGTAGTATTGAAATTCGATGTCGGCTCTCCCCGCAAAATGGCCAAGCGAGGGATGTGAAATGGGGCCTCAGGCATTCAACTATTCCTATTTCGGACCCCGGGGATAGACATCCAACGAAATCAATTTGATGCGGATGTGATCAACGACTACAGATACGAGAACTGGTGCCACTGTGGCACATTGACTCAAGGGGCCTGCCGAGAATACCCATGCCCACAAATGCTCATAAATTCATAGGAAAGCTCTTGCCCAACTTGATGTAGCCATTGGCGTCCAACTTCCAACTTAATCGAGTCGTCGAAGCCTCTGTGGAAATCAAATCACAAAGTCCCCAAAAACAAGAAAAAGAATGACATCTGCCCCGGCAATCCTAGCAACGTGCAAGCAGACACGGTTCCATCTGCTAGATGATAGTCCTTCACAGGAGGTATGAATCTCCAAAACCATTGACCACTTACGCTGACCCAATCAATCCATAGATAGATGTGGAGGGACTAAACATCATTGTGACATCGTCCGCACCTGAATCGACAGAAGATACAAAATCTAAGACGAAAGGGAAATCAAAGGCAAAGGCCGCAGGAAGAGAGCTCATCTCAGATGCCCATCTACGTCTGAAGGCAGGCATTCATTATGGCCTGCTGGGCCGTAACGGAACCGGAAAGTCGAGTGAGACTATCTTTTGCAACCATGAATCATAGTATATTAACATTTCTAGCCCTGCTCCGGGCTATGGCCGAAAAGCTCATTCCCGGAATTCCACATGCGACTCGCATCGCCATTCTGCAACAAACCGAGGAACAGGATGAGACGTTTGGCGCTGCTCTCAACAAAGACAAAACTGTCTTGGAATCCGTTCTGAGCAGCGATGAGTCTAGAAATGAGACTGTTCGAATGGCAGATTGTTAGTATCCGTTTGATTAACCTTGTGCTTGGCTAATAGCTTGAAGTCCTCTCGAAGAGCTTCGAGACTGAAGATCCCATGCGGCCTGTCCGTGCAATTCGCAAAATCCGACACCAAAAAGCCGAGAAGCATCTCTTCCTCGCGCACAAGAATGCAAGTCTGAAGAGCGGTGCCCGCGGCTTACAGGCGCGGAAGGAGTTGAAAGCAGCTGAAGTGAAGCTTGAGGCTGCATCGGAGATGTAGGGACCTTATAACCCATGCTACCGATTTCATCTGACACTTATAAGGTTGGCCCAGGATGGAGACGCCATCGACGCGGAAGCAGTTCAGTCAGATACGCAAGCGGCTGTCGAGACATTACAGACTCTGCAGTCTCAACTGGAAGATGTAGGTATTTGCACTATTCTACCTACTCATCCACTAACCCAAAATCAGATGAAACTCGCCGACATGGAACAACAGGCTCGTCGGGTCCTCATCGGTCTCGGGTTCAAAGAGGACGGGCTTGAGAAAAAGGTCTCCACGCTCTCGGGTGGTTGGCGCATGCGATGCATGCTAGCCAGTGTCCTCGTGCAAGACCCGGATATCATGATCCTCGACGAGCCAACCAACTTCCTCGACCTTCTCGGAGTAGTGTGGCTAGAGAATTACCTGAAACAGCTCCGCGACACCTCGGAAACGACCATTGTTCTAGTATCCCACGACAGGGATTTCATCAATGCCGTCTGCCAAGAGATTGTCATCATCCGCGATCAGAAATTGACTTATTTCCGCGGAAACCTCTCGGCGTACGAGCAAGACTTCGAAGAACAAAAACTCTACCTGGGACGCATGAAGGAGGCCCAAGAGCGACAAATCGCTCATATGGAATCGAGTATCCGTGAGAATATGAAACTCGGAAAGAAGACCGGCGATGAGAATAAGCTGCGCCAGGCCAAGTCGCGACAGAAGAAGGTCGATGACCGGATGGGTCTCCAGGTTAGTGCGACCGGGGGCCGGTTCAAGTTGAACCGTGATTTGGTGGGATGGCATCTCCATAATCGGGCGGAGATCGATGTCCCCGAAGACGAAAAGGGCGCGACTATGAGTCTTCCTGAGGCGACGGAGTTGCGGTTCCCGGGCCCGCTGGTTTCGCTTGAAGATATCGTGTTTCAGTACAAGAAATCCGACCGCGTCATTCTGGATAATGTGGATCTAGTCGTTCACCTCGGTGATCGTGTGGGGATCATGGGGCTTAATGGGTCTGGGAAAACCACCCTGCTTCGCGTGTTGACGGGCCAGGTCGCTCTATCTAAGGGTAAAGTCTCGACTCACTCCCGACTGAAGATGGGCTATTATAGCCAGCACTCGGTGGAGGAGTTGCAAGAGCGTGGTCGGGGAGAGCCTGGTCTGACTGCGCTGGGATTGTTGACGATTGAAACCGAGGGAACTCTGAACGAGGGTGCCATCAGAGGTCTCTTGTCTTCTATGGGTTTAGCGGGCCGCATTGCTTCAGATGTGCCAGTGGCCAAGCTATCGGGAGGGCAGCTGGTATGTGAAACGCGGTGTAACATTCGAATTAGGCTAATTGTTAAGTACAGGTTCGACTTGCATTGGCTCGAATCGTCTGGAGCGCACCGCAGCTTCTCATTCTCGATGAAATCACCACGCATTTAGACTTTCATACTGTTACTGCGTTGGCTACGGCTTTGTCGTCATTCAATGGTGCTGTCATTCTGATTTCACATGACCGGTTCCTGGTGCGGTCTGTAATTGAGGGCAAGCGAGACACAGACCATAAACTCGATGAGGACTTTGAAGGGTTAGAGGAAGAGGAGACTGAGGAGACGCAGAGACGTCGATCGGTCTATGTGATCAAACAAGGCAAGATGACTGAACAGAAGAACGGAGTGGAACAGTTCGAGCAGAGTTTAGTGAAGCGTGTGCAGAAGCTGCTGCCAGCTCTTTGATATGAATTTTCGTTACTTAATTGCAAATACGATCAATAACAAAACGAAGTGTTCGTCAGTGTGCATGACTCAGCACCGGGGGTTGCCGCCCGCATGGACATGCCTCGATGCGATAAGACATTCCCCTCATTCCTCAGCGGAGGGTAGTATTGGCATATATTTCCTTTTACTTTCAACATGCTTCATCTCACCCCTTGAAAAACAAAAATCTCCTGATGGCTTTGTGCAAGCGGATCTTGCACCCCATCCCCTGGGGTCGGCTGGCAGTGATAGCTCGACACCACAGCACCAATGCAAGACTCCTCGCCACTGCCCCCCAATTATCTCCACAACCAGCGGAATCCCCCAGACTGTCAACTTTGAAGTCTGCGAAGCCTTTCTCCGACTTCCTCACAGATAATTTCAATCGCCAGCATGACTACCTCCGCATCAGCGTAACGGAACGGTGTAACCTTCGATGTCTATACTGCATGCCCGAGGAAGGCGTGGATCTTTCGCCGTCCGCGAAACTGCTCACATCCCCAGAAATCTTATATCTATCGTCGTTATTTGTCTCGCAAGGTGTGACCAAGATCCGATTGACGGGCGGAGAACCGACGGTTCGCAAAGACATCGTGCCACTGATGCAGGATATTGGTAAATTGCGACAGAATGGATTGCGGGAACTGTGTCTTACAACCAACGGCATCTCACTACATCGAAAATTGGATCCGATGGTAGAGGCTGGGCTGACTGGAGTCAATCTCAGCCTTGATACGTTGGACCCGTTCCAGTTCCAGATCATGACGCGACGTAAGGGCTTTGACGCTGTGATGAAGAGCATTGACCGCATTCTGGAAATGAACAAGTTTGGTGCTGGAATCAAGCTGAAGATCAATTGCGTTGTTATGAGAGGAATGAACGATCGAGAGATTCTGCCTTTCGTCGAGCTCGGCCGAGAGAAACCGATCGAGGTGCGGTTCATCGAGTACATGCCTTTCAGTGGAAATAAATGGAGTCAGGGGAAGATGTTTTCCTACCAGGAGATGCTGGATGTTATTCGGGAGAAGTATCCTACGTTTGAAAAAGTGGCCGATCACAAGAATGACACGAGCAAGACATATTGTGTTCCGGGCTTTGAAGGTCGCGTGGGGTTCATCACCAGTATGACGCATAATTTTTGCGGCACTTGCAATCGGCTGCGCATTACCAGCGATGGCAACCTCAAGGTCTGCTTGTTTGGTAACTCCGAGGTATCCCTGCGGGACATCATTCGCAAGGAGAACAATGGGAACCCGATTGACGTTGATGCAATGAACAATCTGCAACTGTTGGAAACAGTGCAATCGGCCGCCCGTCTCAGTGATGAAGGGACTCTGGTCAACGAACGAGAACGTGAGATCCTCAACATAATCGGGATGGCCGTGAAGCGCAAGAAGGAGAAACACGCCGGTATGGCACAGTTGAAGGATATGAAGAATCGACCCATGATCTTGATTGGTGGGTAGATTTTTTTTTTTCTTCATTTGGATACGATTTATGACTTTTAAAACCCATCTCATATTGATGGTGATTACTTATACCTTGTACACATGAAATTCATATATTTGAAATTTCCCAAGCAGCGCTGATAGAAAATTAGACCATAAAACGGCAATGAGAGCAATTCCTCGACCCCAAAGCCATCCATGGTCAGGAATTCCCACGCACATGCTATCCCCTCTGGCGTCTTCCCAACTCCGTCTCTACTCCAGCACATCCAAAACGGACTCACCAACCCCCCAATCCCTCTCTCTGCCAACGACCTCAGACACCGACCTCCCACACCTCACCCCTTCCAAAACAGTCCACATGACCCAAATCACCTCGAAACCCGAGTCCGAGCGTGTCGCAACAGCAGCATGCACAGTCTCCTTCTCTAACGCACGGCCCTTCTCCATCCTCCGCAAAGGCCAAACCCACAAAGGCGACGTTTTCAGCGTAGCCCGCATAGCAGGCATTATGGCCGCAAAAAAGACACCGGACATCATCCCGCTCTGCCACCCTGGTATTGGCATTACGGGTGTCGAGGTGAGTGTGGAGTTAGCCGAGCCTAAGAGTGAGAATGAAAATGATCATGGCGCCATGCATGTTGTTGCGTCTGTTAGTTGTTTTGGTCGCACGGGGGTCGAGATGGAGGCCATGACTGCTACTGTTGGTGCTGCTTTGACGGTTTATGATATGCTCAAGGCTGTTGATAAAGGGATGGTGATTGAGGCTGTTAGGTTGTTGGAAAAGAAGGGGGGGGAAGAGTGGGCATTGGCTTAGGGGTGAATAGAGTATCGATCCATGGATGCTATACATGTTCATCGATTTTAGATATCAATATTTAAAGCCTTGAAGATGTTTACGTTGTTTTTACATGCATGTGTACACACATGTGTCTGTCTGTATGTAGTATACGTGTATATATGTTTGGACCTATCATGTTCCCTGTAGCCTCTAACTAATGTACGCGCCGAATCCAACAATATCCACTGGCTAATGTTTCTCCAGCCCTATGCAAAAGCCGTTGAAATTCTCGGGAGTTCTCCGCTCACCGTTATTTTGGTCTTTTTTCTTCTCTTTTCTTTCACTTACTTCTTTTTTGGAAGTGATCTTTACCTGCGTAACTTTATATGTAGGTACTTGAATTCTTGAAACCTCCATATCCTGTTCTCTGTGGCGGGTCCTGGGTTGAAATTTCGGAAACCCACATAACCTCAAAAAGGCTTAGCCACTCGAAGATTCACAGTTGATTCTATTTTTTTTGTTGATCTTCTAGGAGGTTTTTTGTTTTTTTTTCTCCTTCTACTCCCAATAATTAGGTCTGTGCTCTCACTGCTTGGTCCTAGCGGTATTGGACTCCCACTCCCATTGGGGTTTTGTGGGAAAGACCAGCATCATTACAACGACATCCAGGTATAATTGATACTTAAACAAGTTTTGCGCAATGCGTAAGTGTGGACGATGCCTTCTGATCGTGAAATCCATATCACTGACCATGTGTCACAGCTCGCACATTGCGAGGGCCTATCCCGCACTATGTACTTGCAGTGCTCCCTCCATGCAACTTCCTGACCCTCCATTATGCGTATTTCATCGCTACTGGACTGATAGCAAGCATCATCTTCTATCTCACATCGACGCCATGGCGGAGCGTCGCCTATATCGACTCCCTGTTCATGTGCGTTAGCGCTATGACCGGTGCGGGACTGAACACGGTATGAACTAGACAATATCTCCTAACACGACAGAAGGAAATCTAATAATTAACCCAGGTTGATCTGTCAACGCTGAACAGCTTCCAGCAAGCAATCTTGTTCCTAATGTTGATCATGGGCCATGCCGTGCTGATTTCCCTCACTGTTCTAGTCGTGCGCAAGAGAGCGTTCGAGGCCAAGTTCAAAGGCGTCTCAGATGACCGTAAACAAAAGCAAGCTTCTCGGCTTGCTTCGGTAATTGAATTGCAACCCGGAGACCGGGATCTTGCCCACGGAAGCTCTGGAATCGATGTACCAGATGAAAGCGACCAGCGCTGCAAGCCACGACCCAAGTCAGCAGTAACTGTCAAGGAGACACCGGGGAGTCCAACTCCCGAAGAACCATGGGTGGATGACGACCAAATCACCGTCGGCGGCACAGTTCGCCACCATCACCACCGCGTCTTCCCTATGGCTGGGATCGGCGCCAGACCAGATCTTAATAACCATCCCCGGGACGCGGCGCCCAATGTACCGCTTTACGCCGAGGAGTCGGTTTCCGGACTCAAAGGTGTCCTCCGCGGTACGCAGAAGTATATCGCGAAGGGCCTCATATCCCGCAACTCCCAGTTCCACGATCTCACTGCTGCTGAGCGCGAAGAACTGGGTGGAGTGGAGTACAAGGCTGTTTCGTTCCTGTCGGTCGTTGTATTTCTCTATTTCGTTATGTTCATTCTATGCGGCATCATTGGGATGGGTGGATGGCTAGAAGCTAATCATCCTGAAGTGACGCGCTCGAATGGACTCTCGCCGTTTTGGACGGGTGCTTTCTTTGCTGTTTCGGCTTTTGTGAATAGTGGCATGTCGTTGCTGGATGCGAACATGACTGCTTTGCAGCTTAAGTAGGTGCTCTTTTATCATTAATACTTGCAGCTGCAGCCACTGACCTGCTTTTAGTGCTTATCCGCTTTTGACCATGGGATTCCTGATCCTCGCGGGAAATACCCTCTACCCTTGTTTCCTGCGCTTCATTATCTGGACCATGAGGGTTATGTTACCCGATCGACCGAGGTGGCAATCGTGGCGCATTACCCTCGATTTCATCCTGGAACACCCTCGGAGGGTAAGTCGATTGCACTGGTGATGTACTCTCAATTCTCACAATGCTAGGTTTATACGAACCTTTTCCCTGCCCGCCACACGTGGTATCTGCTCGGCACAATCATCATCCTGAACGGTATTGACTGGGCAGGATTCGAGCTACTGTCCATTGGAAACAAGGACATCGAGAGTCTCCCTACAGAATACCGTGTATTGGACGGATTGTTCCAAGCCCTAGGTATGTTCGATCTAGATCCACATCGCGCATGAATACATCTAGCTAACATCTGATCACAGCGGTGCGAGCTGGTGGCTTTTACGTTGTAACCATCGCCGACCTTCGCCAGGGTCTCCTGGTCCTCTATGGTAAGTCTCAACCACCCATTACCTCGAAAGCATACTAACAACCCGCAGTACTCATGATGGTAATAAACACACAAACACTCAAAACCCAAAACCCGTCACTAACAGCCCCCAGTACGTCTCCGCGTACCCAGTAACGCTCACAATACGGCAAGTCCCCCACCGAACGAAAGCAACCCACTCTAACAGCAACAGCAACACGAACGTGTATGAAGAGCGCTCCCTAGGAATCTACGCGCACGACGAAACCCCTGACTCCCCCGCAAACACAAGCCGCAGCAACGTCTTCATGGATCTCATCCGCCACCACCTGGGCCGACCAGGCCCCCACGAGACATCGCGCGGGTACTTCGTGCACCAGCAGCTGCGGTCGCAGCTGAGCCACGATCTGTGGTGGATTGCACTGGCGGTGCTGTTCATCGCGATTGCGGAGTCGGACCACTACGCGAACCAGCCTGTGGCGTTCTCGACGTTCAATGTTATTTTCGAGGTTGTTTCTGCATACGGCTGTGTTGGTGTCAGTCTTGGGTTCCCTGGGAAGAATTACTCATTCTGTGGCGCTTGGCATGTTGTTAGTAAATTGATTCTTGTGGCAGTTACGTTGCGGGGGCGGCATCGTGGGCTGCCGGTTGCTATTGATAAGGCGGTTATGTTGCCCAGTGAGTCTTTGGCTTGGGCGGAGGAGGAAGATGCTGTTTTGAGAAGGGAGAGGTCCAGGGCTTGGGCTCAGGAGCGTGGGCCTGTTGGGGTTGTTTAGAGATACCCATTTTCTTTTTGTTTAGAATAGAGCTGGATTTATGAGACCCATGATGTTATGAGATATAAATGATTCTTTTTGTAGGTGTCACTACCTAGTGTATAACAAAGACATATGCAATAACCGTGGGACATGAAGGAGATATACAAATTAGAAAAAAATCAGCCCTACTCGTCCTCCATCTCCATCTCATCTTCGTCTTCGTCTTCGCTCTCAATCTCGAGCTCCTCTTCACTCTCCTCTTCTTCCTCGTCCTCGCTACCGGCATCGCCGGCAGGGAAACCACTCGGGCCTTCATCCTCGGCACCATTCTTCTTGGCCTCCGCTCTCCGCTTCTCTTCCTCGATGCGACCCTCCTCAAGTACAGCAGCACGCTCCGCACGGAGCTTACGCTGTGTCTTGACGAATGCACCAACAGGTGTAGTTTCCCAGTCAACATCCTTGAGGAAACCCTCGACCTCAGAGCGGTGGCGAGGAGCGTAGGAGACATTCGCACGACGCTCCTCGATCCAGCGGGCATTAGCCTCGACCTTCTGCACTAGCAGCAGGATCATTTGGTTGATCTTAGCATTCTTGTTTCCACCGCTGCGGGCAGAGACCTGCTTCAGCCAGCGCTTGAGGGAGACAACGACGGGCACGGACAATTCCGGGAACGCAATGTGCTTGGACCAGAGAACGAAGAACTCAGAAAGGAGCTCGGCGACCTGTTCGCCGACGCCGTCCTGGTAGGTACGGGAGCGTAGGTAGGATTTCGGAGCGCGGATGGCTGTGTTGAAGTCCAGGGGTCGAAGAGTGCTGGTCTTGGGGTGCTTGCGCATCTCAGCGGAGGTCAGGACCTCGAGGAGGGAGGATGAGAGCGGAATGTAGGTGCCGGTGGAGCGGGAGATGCGGAGCAGGGAGCGCGTCAGTTGGAAGCGCAGGGGGAAGTACGTGGCGGTTGGGATCAAGCGCATGGCACCGAGGGTGATTTGCACGACGGGGTAGATGAGGGGGCGCAAGGCAGATTCCTTGCCTACTTGGGCTTCCACGAGACCGTCGCAGTGCTGTGAAAGAACGCGGGACCAGAAGTCCAGCGAGTGCACGTATTGCCAGTTGTAGATGGTCTTGTAGGAGTCCTTGGTGGTGTTGGTGATACTCTTGCGCAAGTGCATGGCCAGCTGGCGGATGAAGGAGAATCCGGCTGTGTATGCGACGTTCTGGTCAATGCCCCAGATCTCGGCAGCTGAGTTCTTCATCAAGTTCACACCGGCAAGTGTGTGTACTGTGGTGTTACGGCTGCCCTTGACAACACCCTCGTAGGTGGCCTTGAGAACAGTCTCCTTGATACCAGCATCTCCGAGAACCATAAGACGACGGAGAAGCAAGAAACCTGTGATACGGGTTGCGTCGGCAGTGGCAACATCTGACCAGATTCCGACGACAATCTTAACGAGGGTCTTCAGCACCTTGCGGAACTGGAGAAGGTAGGGCAGCATGGGCTCAATGGACGCGAGGGTCATCTTGAGTGTTGATGCATCAGTTAGGTTGATCAGGAGCTGGTGAACGGAGGCAGTGTGTGATTTGATCAAAGGTGTGAGTGTCTTGAACTTCTTGGTTTCCAACGAAACCCTGATCTTTCCAGAAGCGCTCTCCTTGACAGGGAGATGGTGGGCCAGGACTTTAGGAACGGTGGTCAAGGCCGTGACAAGAACCTGGTGGTACACGTTCTTGTCGGAGATGGTATATTTCTGATCGGGGGCATCGGGGTCGTTGACATAGGCGGCCGCACGGAAGGCGAGCACAACCTGGCGCATTGCTCGAATCGAGTTCTGCTCCTCCATCAACTTCTGCCACTTCTTGACCATAGCGATCGTCAGGGTGTCGGCGTCCTCCTCGGTCTCCTCGACTTCATCCTTCTTCGACTTCTTCTTCTTCTTCTTAGCGGGCTCCTCGTCTTCGGGCGCTTCGCTTTCGCTCAGAGCGTCGACTTCTGAGAGGTCGCCTTGATCACCGAAGTCGAGTAATTCCGCATCGTTCTCCTTCAGGTATTTGTAGAACTCGGGGTCCTTCTCCTTCAACGACTCCAGTTGATCCTTGTGTTCGTCGTAAGCATCAACATCACTGGCATCTTCATCATTGTCGCCCTCAGCGTCAGAAGCCTCGTCCGCCTGTGCCTTGTCCTCTGAGCGCTTGCGCTTGCCAATCTTGGGAGTGGTGTCTTTCTTGCTGGCCTTCTTTCCTTTCGCAGTCTCTTCGGGAATGTCGAAGCCGCCAGCGAAGAAATCGTCGACGTTCATTTCGGAGAAGGCATTTTGCTTCTTCAATTCCTCTGGGCTTTTCTCTTCAGGGCCTTCGGCCTCACGTTTAGCGGCATTTTTTTCTTTTCGCTTGTCATTCAAGTGGTGTCTCTGCTTGACCTTGGCATGCGCCTTGCGTCGGTCGATAACATCTTTGAGATGGTTCTTCTCGAACTTCTTCGTGGACTTTTTAGCTCCAGGCATTTTGAGAGATTGGTGCAGAAAAGAGTCTGCAGTTGTAGCTTCGGAGTTGCAAAAAAAAATTTGGGGAGAAAATCAGCGGGTCCGCCTTCCCGACCGCCTTTGGTCTCCGATAACGTCAACATGTTTACTCTCAGTTCTACCTACATCTTCACGACTTATTTATTCTGATATTGTACATAGCGATTGAATTGATCTGCTCAGCATGTACTCTCAACGCCCACTTTCTTATGCCCCCACTCCCTACAGTTATACCCCCAATCCGGCTCGATCGGCTTCAATCAACCTAGATGAAGTATGGATTCATGTCCCCGCATTGACCAGTGCAACAGACTAACGTTGCTTGCACAGGAAGTCAAATTAGCATCCAGCTCGGCCGAGCGTGACCTATATGAATCACTCGCCGAAATCTACAGCATTATTGTCACTCTCGACGGACTCGAGAAGGCATACATCAAAGACGTGGTCACCGAGGCAGAATATACCGAAACATGTACGCGGCTATTGAAGCAATACAAATCCAGTCTCGGAGATGAGACGGTGTCGCGGGATTTTGTGGATCTGGAAACCTTTAAACGCACATGGGGCGTAAGTGTTCAGTCTCTACCCCGCAAATAGCCAACCCTCTTACATAGACGTATCATGCAGTTGGAATGCCCACGAGCTACAGAGCGATTACGCATCGGTCTTCCCGCGACTGTCGAACAGGCTTCTCATGGTGCGCCGACTCCCAGTATGGCGACAGCAACAGGACCAGCCGGCGCATCAGGCAGTCTCATTCTGGCGGCGACCGAGAACTTCATTACTTTCCTCGATGCGTTGAAACTCAACATGGTGTCCAAAGATGCATTACATCCGCTCTTGTCGGAGGTAATTCAGTCTGTGAATAAAGTCACAGACAGTGATTTTGAAGACCGCGGGAAGATTATCCAATGGTTGATTGCATTGAATCAGATGCGAGCTACTGAGGAATTAACTGAAGACCAAGCGCGAGAACTTGCTTTTGACATTGAGCAGGCTTATCAGGGCTTCAAGGCGACTTTAAATTGATTGAATTGATATTGCATCGGTAAGGCGTTCAAGTATGAAACAAAGATACCATTCTGTCTTCAGATATTGGCCAAGAATAGCCATGAATATACTTTAAAAATACCCATACTGGCTTGATACGTGATTATCTGGCTGTTCAATCCCAACATTTGAATCTATACATCTTTTTACTACAAATTGTATATTCATGCCTGATTATTCAGGCCAGTATTGACCCGCGGAACCGCCGCGCCAACCTTTCCGCTTTGGGAATATTGTCTTTTTCTTTTTTTCTCCGCCACTTGACTCCGATTCTCTCGTCTCCGGGGGGCAACGATTGCTGCGTGTACATAGTCCTGTAAAGTGCTCATAGACAGTAGCAAACATGATCAGCCCTGACGAGCCCCTTCACGGTAAGCCCACTCATGATCTACAATTCCTTTGACCCCTTCGGTCCACAAAAGATAATGAAACTGATAAGCATCGCAGTGCTCGACCTCCCCCAACTCTACCAGAAGCCTTCCGGAACTGATCTGATTAAGGCGTTGGCTTTGCTGAGTTTGCAACCGCGTACATTCGGCACAACCGCTGATGTTGTCAAGGGCCCTGCAGTCCAGCCCGAAGGGGTGACTCGTTATCTCACGTCCATCATCGCCAGCTCGTTGGCATGGCTTGACGCTGACGAGCTCCGTGAGGCTATTTGGGATGCTGCCTCTGCAAGACTGAGCGAGCGGTCTGGTCGTACCGGTTAGAATCTTCTCACCTGTGTCGGTGTTATCTGGCTAACCATGACTCATTTTCTAGCCATGCCAGCAATGTCCCGCGTTTTCAATATACCCACCTCCTCCGGCGAAGAATACACTCTTACCCTGCACGAACCCTCCCTCACAGCTGACAACCTCGGGATGAAGACTTGGGTGTCCTCTTACCTCCTCTCGCGCCGGCTCCACGGCCTCGAATCGCCACCGTCACTCGTACCTTCGTCGACCGACGCCACCATACCCACTCAGAGGCCTTTGCGGGCCCTCGAGCTTGGTGCCGGCACAGGACTGGTTGGTCTGTCTTTTGCAGCTCTCCGGGGTAAATCTGCCACCATCCACCTCACCGATTTGCCGGAGATCGTCCCGAACCTGGCGCATAACGCTGCCTTGAACATCGAGCTCCTCAACAGGACCGGGGCCGCTGTTACGACCGGTCTACTTGACTGGTCAGTCACTCCTTCACCACTTCCCACAGAGGAACAGCGGTACGATGTGATTCTCGCTGCTGATCCGTTATACTCGCCCAGCCATCCCAAGTGGTTGGTGGACACTGTTGGGCCCTGGCTTAGCCGTGGGCTCAATGCGCGAGTCGTAACGGAGATGCCGCTGCGAGACGCATATCTACCGCAGGTTAAGGAGTTCCGGCAGAGAATGGGTGCGCTAGGTTTGGCGATTATCGAAGAGGGTGAGGAGATTGGCTATGACGACTGGGAAAGTGCTGATGGAGGTGCACTGGCTGTCAAGTGTTGGTGGTCAATTTGGGGATGGAGTGAGAAGCTCGAATAGAGTGGTCGTGCAGTTGTACGACCAAACGAAATCATGAATAATAAACGACACGATAGATTATCAGGACCTTTAGATCCTAGACTTGGAATGCATATGCTCGAAGCTTTTCAATATATATATACATATATATATATATAAACATATGGGTTTTTGCGATAAGCTAAGGATCAAAAGTATCAAAAGATTCCAACGTTCTGATGAGCAAAGAGCAGTGGACATCAAACAATCACGTGGAGATGACGTCGGTGTCAGTATGCGCCATGGATTCGATGGATTTACTTGATATCGTCATTTCTTCCAATGTTCCTTTCTCTATATTTGGTATTCATCTTGCAGTATGAATTTTCCGTATAGAACAGATATATTCAGCCTGGTCAGTGAAGAGTCTGCCAAATCTTGAATCATGCTAATGCGACAGAACAGACTTGAACATAGACCACAACGCCACATGAATACCGTTAGAGTCCAAAATCTCGATACAACAGGGTGCTGCGCATGCGCAAACATATTTGTGCCCTTTTCTACGACACAAAGTCTCTATATTTTCACCTATTTACCAACTGAGATTTACTCCCTCATCCAACCCTCCGCTTACATCCAGCGCGTACCCCACCAGCAACATGATCGGCCTCCTAGCTCTCACCTCCATCCCAACGGTGACAGGAGTATCACTCGCCTCCAGCGAGCAGCGCAAAGCAAACCAACGCCGAGAGGAAGCCCGGCGGATGGTCAAATTCAACATCTATGCCGAATGCGACGGAGACACAGACGATGACCGCGAACTAAACGGGATGACGGTCGTCGTAAGAGACGGGAAGGTATTTTTCCCCTGGCTTACATCTCTGAATTCGAAATCCAAATCTAAGCTAACACAATCAAGGTCTACCTCGCAGATCCAGACCCCTCCAAGCGCGACCCGCCAGCTTTCACGGCCTTGGCATTCTACATCGAGTACCCTGAACCAGAGGAACTAAAATATTTAAAACGCGAGCGCGGCCTCGGTCTCCCCACTTATGTCGCTGATAATCCGCCTCTTCTTAATTGGATCTATGCTGATACGGTGACCCACGAACTGCGGTATGGGAATCGCTCACAGAGTGTCGAGGAAATCGTTGAGCCGTGGGACTGGTGTAAAGAGGAGAGGGTCATCTCACTCGAAGGTTGGCGGAAAAGGTTCATGGCTGTTGAGGAAGAAGAGGGTGAATGGGCGCTATATTATGACCGCGACGGCGATGAGTTGGCTGCTGTTCTGGAGGAACAGGACATGTTGGATTGTGCCTTCGTGCCTGTTACTTTGATCAGGAAAATTGTAGAGGAGAAACCTCCTCCGCCTCCCCAAGCTGCTCCCCAGGCGCAGGCGCAGGCACAGAACGGCCAGAGGCAGACGAGCGGCAAATAATGATTTTCAAGACTTGTATATAATATTCACGAACGTGATGTGTTTATGATATCGTGATGATGGGAATAGTACTGTACAAATGAAGACACTTAGTCCAAACCAGCCCAGCTACCGGCATCGCTGACGTTGCCATCAGCAGCCGCAGCAGCCTTCCTGCTCCGACTAGCCGCAATAGCACCCTTCTTCTTATTCTCCAGACGGCGCTCAAAGCCACTCTTAGTACTAATCCTCATACCACGGGCACCCTTGCCATCCTCCTCTTTATCGGTCAATCGAGGAGCCTGGCGTGCCTTGACACCATGCCTCTTCATATCCTTCTTGCTGTTCTTGCTCAGGTTCGGCAGCGCATCCAGCAGCCATTTCTGGATGGACTTGTCGCCTTCTTTGCCGCGCAGCTTCTCGCTCACATCGATGATGTTCGCAATGCTCTTCACGTACGGGATGTCTTCTTTCGTGTAGTAGGTCACAGCGATGCCACCCTCGCGGCCGGCGCGTCCGGTTCGGCCCACGCGGTGCACGTACACAGCTGCGGAGTTGGGGATGTCGTAGTTGACTACGCCGTTGATGCCGCGGAAGTCCACGCCGCGCGCGAGCAGGTCTGTTGTCACGAGAATCCAGATCTCGCCCTTACGGAAGTCGCGCATGATCTCTGATCGTTGGATGTCGGAGAGGTCGGAATGGAGCACGGCGATTCGTGACGAGCCGCCTGCTTCGGCTGGGATGTCGTATTTCAGTTCGGAGTGGAGGGCCACGGCGCGGGGAATGGTCTGTGTGAAGATGAGGAAGGGAGGTCGGAGGCGGATGTCGGAGGCTGAGGCTGCTGATGGGCGGAGGAGTTGGCGGAGGCCGAGGAGTTTACCCTGTTCTGTCGCTGCGTACACGAGTTTGTGCTCGATGTTGGGGATCGCGGAGTCTTTCAATCCTACGACTAGGCGAAGCAGTGCGTGTGACTCGCTTGGCTTTTGTCCGAGGTCTTCCTGTCGTTCTTTGATTGTCGACTTGGTCATATCTTCGATGTTTGAGCCCATGGTGGCTGACCATAGACCGACCCGTAGGTCAGGGTGCGAGCATGATTTCCAGATATCGAGTGTCTGTTCCCGGAACAAGGGGTCTAGGAGAACATCTGCTTCGTCCATCACCAGGCTGCGCACTAGAGGCAGGGTCGCCATAGTACTTGTCCGATTCGCAGATAGAGCGTTGACCAACATCAATGGCGTAGTCACGAGGATGTCACTCTTGGTGAGTGGAATATTGGCTCGTTCCTTTTTAGGCTTGTTGTCGGCATCTTCGTCCTCTGACGCGGATGATTCGTCACTTTTCTCGTCAAGAACATTGGCATTACCATCGTCACCAACACGCATGCCCTTTTTCATTAGGGTAATCTTGACACCAGTTCCAACCACTAGCTTGCGGCCCTCGTTGACGATCTGGCTAGCAAGTTCCTTGGTAGGCGCCACAACCACAGAGAGAATGCCGTGCTCGTCCGGGTGTGAGTGGTGGTGTCGCACAATCTTGTTGATCACAGGGATCAAGAATGACAAAGTTTTGCCGCTGCCAGTAGGCGCAACAACCAGGAGATCTGGCTCAGAAGACTCTCCGAGCAGCAAGGGGAGTGTTCCAAGCTGGACCTCTGTAGGCACCGTGAATCCTTGATCCGCTACGTTCTCCGCAAGCCGCGAGGAGATTTTGTATTTCGACCGCAGCTCCTTGAAGTCGAGCAGCGGCTCAGGGAACAAGCGCCTGGCGCGCTTTTGTTCCTTCTTGCTAAGAACAGGTGCTTCTTCCTTCTTAGACTTCTTCTTTTTCTTCTTAGAGTCCTTGGAGTCCTTGGTAGATTCAGACTGCTGGATATCATCCAAGTCGCGCATGTCTGTCACTTTGATCTTGTGTGAGTTCAAGATTGTGCGACGCTGCACTTCATCCATGGATTCAGCCGCATCTGATACATCTTGGGAGGAGGCTTTTTCGGCATCATCCTCGATTGCAACAGCGGTTTCTGTCACGCTAGTTGCAGGACGCTTATTTGAGCTGAAGAAGTCAAGGTCAGGGACATCTTCTTCGTCCTGTTGGGCGGTAGTGCCTCTTTTTCTTTTTTTGCCATTCTTGGACACGAGCTCGTCGGCCTCCGCGGTGCGGAAGAGCTGCGGGTTGGCTGCTTTTCCGGTGGAGGGCAAACGAGACTCTGCAGCTGCAGAGGCAGGCTTGAATTTTGTTGACCGCGTCAACAACCTGAAAGCGTCCATTTTTGTTGGATGAAAATGTCGACTTTGATATTTCGCAAGGAAGAAAAAAAAGTGGTTCGCCATCTTTGCTCCCGGACCAATCAGCGTTGCTCACCGCCGAAATGTTGTTGAACTGCAACAACTTGGGAAGATATCTTATCTGGATGTCTACATGTATGTGCAATTATCTAAGTTGTAATTATTTGAAGGTAATATATGTACGAAGCGAGAGATGCTACAAACACATAGGGAAATTGCAGGATTGGAGCACTGTCATTCAGCACAGCAGTACAGGAAAGCTTAAGGTCAAGTCAACCTATGACGCCTTGGACTACTCTCGAGAACACTTGGGCAGTGCCTAAAAACTGATTCAGATGGAACAAACGGGGAATGAATTGCAATAAGATCTATCTCAGACAACAGCTTATATTCCATCGTCTATGGTACAAAGGCGCATTAACATAGGGAAAGTAAAGGACGACAGTCTATCCATTTAGTGGGCGTGCGCAGGCTCGCCACGGTATCCAATGATGTTCATCCGACCGATCATCTCACCAACAGTGAAGAAGCCGATGACCTCAGCGGCGGTAACACCGGCAAGGGCCAACTGCTTGGGGCTGGCGTTGCGGACACGGGCGAGGATAGCCGAGGGGGAGGGGAGGTTCTTGAGAGCGGCGGGGTTGTTGATGAAGGGCTGGAAGTAGGACTGGACAGTGGCCAGGTTGCTAGAAGACTTGTTAGACTGGGGATGGTCGTGTGGTCATGTGCGAGGGTCGACTTACGGGGGAGCCATGTTTTGGCCACGGAACACCAGCTTGCCGAGCTCAAGGCCGACCTTGGAGTAGTACAGAGTCGGGGGAATCATGGCTAGATGAATTGATAGTTAGTTATGGACTTTGGGGAAAAGCAACCCGCAGTTTGGAAAGTCAACAAGGAGGTTGGACTCGAGGATCATGAGTCGGGCTGGATCGGTCGCTCGATCGTGGTTTTCTTGTTTGAAGAGTACCCAATTTCTAACGCTCCATTGTATGCATCCAAACTGGGAGAGGATCAGGGGTGTTCCTTACCATCGACGAAAGAGATGACCTTGCCGGCGGGACCACCGATCTTGCGCAGGGCACCGGCAGCGTTGGAGATTGCAGGGCCAGCGGAGGCAGAGACCTTAGACAGACCCTCAGAGGCCTTGGAGGCCGCTGAAGAAGCAGTCTCACTAGCCTTGGAGGCAGCCTCCGAAGTGGACGAAGCGTGTCTGACGGCGGTTCTCCGGGTCAGGAACTGCGATTGCCGCAGAACGGCACGGGTGGCGGCGGGCATTTTGGTGTTTTGGAGGAAATGAGTGGAAAAGAAGAAGCAAGCGAAAGTCACCCGAAGCAGTCGCTGATAGAAAGGCAGTATGATCCAATGATCTCAAGTCTCGCGCGGTAGAGATGAAGATTTGACGCTCGGGAACTTCAGGAATTGCGGTCACGTGAGTCAAATTTTAACTTAACAACATTGGAATATTTGAAGTTTTTGAGATCGGATTGTATTTAGATCTTATTATTATGATGTAGAGAGGAATGTAAGAATTTCAAGGATTCATATTAAATATTGTCTAAATAACAAAAAACAAGTGGATGAAACTCAGCACTTTTATATTGTAAGTTGCCCAGGTGTACCTGCAGCGTTAGTCAGGCCACTAGGAACATTCGGTCTATGAAAAGAGCCATTTTTTATTAGGGAAGACTTGTGCCTTCTCATAAGAATCATAGCCTATAATCTCATTCAGTCAATAGGTTAACCATGATTTGTCCACAATGGCTGTGTATGTTTGAATTGGTTGCACTGTGCTCAAAGTATATTTTTGAGCCGTGAGGCAATGAAGTATATAGACCATTTCAACAAAATTACAACTAGAATATGAGGACCTGTAGAATTGCCGTCGAATGACTGAGTTTGAGGCCAAATATGGCTGCATTTCCAGCTGTAGCTATTCAGCACCCAGTCAGCACTGTAAGTTATCCTACAGTCCTAAAGTTAACACGCGACTTACATAGTTCACACTCTTAGATCCTTTCTCGAAACCCCAGGCCAAGACACGCTAAACTACCTTTGGCACGGTCAAACAATTTCCCCGTATCTAAACGCTGTATCGTTAAAATACCGGATAATTGTAATCATATGGGCCAGTGTTTCTTACCTGTCTTAGATCGAGAGCTACGGAGTACTAGCTTGCCGTATAAGGTAGGTAGGCGGTGAAAAAGGCGAGATATAGAAGCTAGATGGAGAAATTTACTTTCTTACTGGACCTCAATAGTGACTGGATACCTACACTCGGTACAAAAACGCTCCTCATACCTCATGAATTCAGGTGTTCGTCTACGCCCCGCGCGGGCCCAAGATCTGCCTGAGATCGCCAATATCATCGCACAGGCCATGCTGGAGGATGAACTCTTTACCTGGATGTGTCCTGGGCGCCATGAGTACTATGCAGATTTCCGCTATGGATTTCTCCGGCGACTGAAGACACGTTTCGTCACCCCGGGTTATGTGATGATTGTGGCGGTAGAACACTCCGGAGACCGTGAGGAGATCCGAGGCTACAGTGGGTGGGTGAGATACGGGACCGGGGCAGATGCCGTACAATGGAAGCGCGCGAATAATGGCTGGTGGCATGGTGGTGATCCCCATTTCATCTATCTACTCTAATCTTATCCGCGATCGTCATAGGCAACCGCCTGGCTAACACCAGCATATATTATAGCCCTGGAGCGCACACTGCTGGACCTAGAGGACCGATATTTCTCCCTGGTATTCCCGGACCGCAGTAAGGATTTAGATCGATTACAGCAGTTCAGGACGGCCGCAGATGACACCTTCCCCTTCGCTGACTTCCCCGAGTTATGGTACCTGGGGCAATTGGCTATCGACCCACCGCATCAGCGCCGCGGCATTGGTAAACAACTGGTCGAATGGGGGCTGCAGCAGGCAAAACGAGAGCATGTGTGTGTCGGGTTGGAGGCCGGTATCAAGGGTGCGGGGTTGTATAAGAAGCTCGGCTTTGATATAGTCAATATGACTAACTTAACTCCGGGTGTGGATGTTCGGGCAATGATGTACACTATATAGTGCGTATAACTACATGATGAGGACCAGCAATCCACTTAGGAGATTTGAACCCTTATGGTGGTACATGATGATTATTGCCCCGAAAAATTACTCTTGATTGAGATTAGGCCGATACCGAAGATTAAATTATAGATTCCTGAGTATCTATAGGGGCTCTTTATAACTAGTCGAGAGAACTCTCTCTACCTAGGAAGGACGCTACTTCACGATGTGTAGATATATATCATCTATAGCTATTCAGGTATTTAAAGTGATTAGAAATTAAACTCTCGACCACTTGCAAAGACACAATGCCGTCATACCAATAGCAAATGTTAGGATATACTGCAACCCAGTCCTGGTTTTGAGACTCATCTGTTGTTCTCTGCTATCCAGGGTACCAGTAGCGAGCGAACTCATCTTCAATTGTTTTGTTCCGGTTCGGACCCGAGACAGGAAAGGGATCAGGTCTGTCCCACCAAGCCCCTTTCGAGTCTCTGCTGGAGCGTTAGAAGGACTTTCAGGTTGAGGCGGGGAGGAATTCTTATCGCAAGAACAAAGAGAACAAAGATCCTGTCGTTCATTTTTGAACGATTGGGTCAAGATATAACGAGCCACAATCCGGATGTGGACATCTCGCATAGAGACCATCATTTCGAGACAGGCGTTGTAGGCAGCGAGGAGGCCCTGGTCGTCACTTCGCTCCTCCACAAAGGCTCGGATGTTGGCAATCTCTGCTATATGTTCAAAGAACCGGCGGTGAATTCCAGGCATAAATTTGCGCATCTCGGAGAAGAAGCTCTTGTCGCCTTTAGACGTTTTCGAGTGCGAGATGCCTAGGACAAGGTCGAAGAAGACCACCAGCGAGTTTTGCCCGTTGCTTATCCCGACAACTGAGCGACGGTATTCTTCCTTATCGGTCCCATCATCGTAGACTAGACCACCTATTGACTGGCTGCCTGCGAAAAAAGGCCGTAGGTGGTGATAGAAGACATGTGGATCGATACCCTAGGACACTCGGTTGAGAATGTCAAGCACTCCCTGGAGGCCTTTGGAAAAGGTGCTTAAACACTCTGTGACTGTAATAACATCCCCAGCACGTGCGGCAGCGATCGCGTTTATCATTGATGGTACGGCTGAGGCCGCCATGCCCTCAATGGCAATGGAAATCCGGTAAAACCACTGCTCCCCCGAGCTCCCAGTAAATGTGCAACATAGTATCATATCTTCTGGCCGACTGCATGCTAGATCTTGATCAATTGATCGGTAGTTCCACATATTGACAGCGGCGTATACCCCTATCGGGGGAAGTTCCAAATATGCACAAACACTCAACAGTGGAACCATGAGTGGAGGAGGTATCCTCTTTTCGTATCCATTGATGTTAGTTCAATCTCAGGAAAGAGACAAAAAAAAGAGTTGATGTGTCTTACTCCTCTAGGTGCTTTCTCTCCAAATACATAGGCATGGAGCATGAAAGTTAGGCACACGTTCGCCCTCCTCCACTCCGCAGGAGTTTTCAAACGATCCGTCGAGAGGACCGGAAGCCGGTCAATTGCCTGTCGTAGCTTCTTGGTCACGACAAGTGATGGCAGATCGGCCACAATGGCCTCCCACTCAGCATAATACGGATCTGGGAGGACTCTCAGTGGCGGTTCCGGGGGCAGAAAGCCGCGGCTTGAGGACATTCCATAGTCAGATAAAAGGGGAATCGGACGAGTCATCTTGAGGAAAGGTGAGCGTTAGTTTCGAGAACAATATGATTTGGCAACCTGGATCAACACAGAGGCTAGCTTGCGATCCAAGAGCAATTGAAGATTATGAACAGAACAGATCAAAGCAGATTTTGTTGCTCCGGCGAGTGTGCTAGGACAAGCAAGGTCTACCGCGAAGGGACACAGACTATTACTTGGTGCCTCGAATAAGGTCCATCGAAAAGTATTTTCTTTCCTGTCTAACCGCCCCGCCACGTAGCTGAGATTCGATGCAGGGCATCCACTCTTTTGTGGCAGGCCTGGGGGGACGGCGGATCTTGACCATTGGGGATCGGATGAATGCAAAGAACAAAAAGAAAATATAAATGATTAATTGTAAAACAAATACGTGCAGATGAATTGGAGAATGGAGAGAGTAAAAACATGGAGAAACGGGGCTACTAGTAGGCAAACTCCGGCGTGCAGCCTGGTGCCTACAGGAACGAACCATCGAATCAAAACCAAACTAACGGTCTGAAAGAGAAGCAAAGAGCCATGCCGCTAAATATCAGAATAGCATTAAACAGGAATCAACTGGGATTGCGCAATAATATGCCTGGAGTGCAGTGAGGTGTCTCGAAAAGACAAAAAAGGCCGCTAGTACGCTCTATGTGGTGCGAATTCCAGATCCCGTCGAACAGAGGACAACATCGCATGCCTCCAAACCACCTACATATCTGGCCGGCCAACGAATCCATGTTCATCGCCAATCCTTCCTCGGATGGCTCTTCTGCTGCACGCTCTTTGCCCCCGGGGCAGCATTTTCAGATCTGACGCAATCTTCAGACAAGCTGCCCACCTTCTTCGATCACCATTTTCCAAGCGTCACGCCTCAGCTGATCTCGCCGCAGTCACTGCAGGCCCAATTCATCGCCAATCCGCATGTGCCCATAATGGACATCAAATGCTCGAAGCAGCAACACTCTAATGTGGTCATCATTGGCGATGCTGCCTATGCTGTACAGCCGTTCTACGGCCAAGGGTTGAATGCCGGTCTGGAGGATGTTCGGATCCTCTTCGACTCATTGGACCAGCTGCAAGCACACCGCTTGGGTGGTATTCTCTTAACTTCATTCAATTTTATTCCATGTATGTGGAAATGCACTAGGGCTAAATATACGCAAACCAGATATCTAAACCTCCAATCAATACAGTGTTTCGTGAAATCATTGCATATATGTTCAATCCAAAGATGACAAGGCTCACGGATGGCGAACAAGATATTCTCAAGCAACCCAGCGCGGACCTCCAGGCAGCGAATGATGCGCACCTAGACAATCAGAATAAGGGAAGTTCCGCTGTATTGACATAATCTATGTTATCCTTATGCCCCTCTATCCGAGGAATGGAGGTATTGAATAACCGATCCCACACCCGAGTCTGCTTGCCGTAATTATGGCTATTCTTCCAGCCCTTGCGATGATGAAGATCGTGATCCTCAATAACAAGCTCCATATCACACAGCCGCAGCAGCCACGTCCACGGATTCGCCGCCGTAGCAATCATCCGCAACCCACTGTGTCCCAGAATCTCTGTGAACACCACGTACTGCTGGCATATCCACCACTCGTAGAAGCCCATTGGGAATCCAAGTAGTTTCAGCGTGCTGTACGCGAGCAGCGGCGTGCCGATCACGTCAATGAACTCCTGCACCGTGTCCGCGTATGCGGTCAGCAGCGGAACAGGGTGCTTGGTCAGGTGGTGCGTGCGGTGGAATTGCCAGAGATTTTCTGTTTCGTGGGCTGAGCGGTGCATGATGTAGTACCAGAAGTCGATGGCGAGAGGGTACATCCCGGTTTCGAAGATTAGCCAGCCCCAGCGGATCGTTGAGGGGCCTTCGTTGGCGCGATAGGCCAGGAAGACGGTGAGCATGGGCCGGAGGATAATCACTGACAGCACCGTTTGCACAGTTTTGCCCACTCCTACGTCTGGTACGCCGTCGCGGGCGTGTTTGTCTCCGTCGAAGAAGCCCAGGCTGTGGCCCATGCGTCGGAGGACGTGGGTTTCTTTCACGGCGATGGCTTCTAGGGCTAGACTGTAGTAGACAAATGCTAGCCAGGCTGAGGGGTGGCCGAAGATGGTGATGTAGAGTTGATGGAGGAGGAGTGGGAGACCGCCGTGGAGGATGATCCAACGATGGAACTGCATCTCTGGTGCATAAGGGACCTTTTCCGTTTTCTGATGAACGGGGACTTCTTGGTCAAGTTCGACATGATGCACATTTAGATATTCCAGAAGCCAGTGGCCGTAGTTCCACTGCGAGCGATCCCAGGTTCGCCAGGTGGACTTCATCGAATCCTTTGGATTGCGCATCGGGGCGGCCATTCTGAGTAGCGATTTAAAAGGGGTGGAAAGATATCAGGGATATCCCTTCTGGTCCTCCCGCTGGATGTTATATTCATGTTTAACTTTGAGAACACATGGGGTGGGTCATCCAACAAAAGAATAGTTGGGAACCGAGGTGTGGGGATGAAGATCACTTCTGTATACTGCTGTTACTGGTTAATGATCATTCACAAGAGATAATATTGACAAATGAGGAAGGGTAGAAAAGTCCGACTGATGCAATAAATCATATAATTTTCATTTCTTGGTGTCCTTTAATATTGGGATGTCAAATGCCATCCCATTTGGAATGAGTCTCCCATGCATGAGATAGATAGATAGATAGATCTCTCCCTCTCTTTCTCGCTTTTCTCCTTCTCCCCTTTCTCCTTCTCCCCTTTCTCCTTCTCTCCTCCGTCCGCAGTTCAATATTCATTTCTTCAAATCTCATTGCCATCGTATTATTTCTCAGCAATAACCTTGATTAATATGGGAAGCCAGATATGGAGTGGGTCTGCTTCAATCTTACAATCTTGTCCATTTTCAGTGTTGATCAGCGCTGGACAGCATCTGATACCGAGGCATATGGATTATGTCATCCTTTCACACGTTGAAATTAATAAGAACTACGTAGTACGGAGTAGACATCACTGTAATGTGGTAGCGAGGGGGCTCAAACGTGGGGTACTATTCGTTCGCGCAATTTTAGGATTTATACTCCACCAGGCTAGCATTTTACTATACAATGTTGTACTCCGGTCAATAAAAGAGATATATTAGTCAGCGTATTTACCCTCGTGATCTGAGTCGTATATTCTTTATAGAAGTTAAATAAGAGGCTTTCTGGCTAGCTCTCTAAGCTCCGACTGGGAGATCGAAATTGCGATCTCGCGAATATCTTGAGACACAATTTCTCCGACTTCGTCGTTCATCCGCCCCCCAAAGATAAAGTTTATTTTTAGACAGGAATATTGTATGCGACCCGTTGTTATCCTCCATAACCGGCTGTCCTGGTTGGAGACCATAGGATCGAGCAATTATTTGGCCTCCGGAGTCGGGACTTATTACTCTTTTCTTCCTGATGATGAGGACTTGATTGACTCGAGGTCCATCAAGGGGAGACAGTGAACTGGGAATCGTCGGCGACATGGCCAAAAGCAAGAGGGAGTTAGCCTATAATTCCTTGGGGCAGACCGGAGGTTTTCGTAGGTGACTTGACAGGCGAGACTGCTGCAGAAGGCGAGTAGCGCTTCTGGAGGCAGGCATTATTGCAACAGTGGACAGATCTTCAGGAGCTTGCTTATCAGAGTTGTCAGTTGGTGAAATCATCATTAGGATTAAGGGCAGGTCTGATGTAATTGTTAGTTGTACAGCGTAAATTGATATGCAGGAACATGGGGCGCTCAACCGCTAATTGGCTCAACTCAGCAACACTTCTGCCAGTTGGCCAAGGCTGAAATATGTACTGTTTGTACTGTTTGTAGCTGATGAGAAAGAGTGACAATGCTGCCTGACAATAAAGGCTTCTAGTTTGCACCGTTTATGCGGAAAAAAGCGTTTCCCCACCCCGAACCCATTCCATCAACCAGAGAAAAGATATCCGCCGGAGAATTGCCACTCTCGGTTGATAGGGAGAATTCATTTATCACTTTTGTATTATTGTATTGCGGACTATTGTACCTTTTTCTTCATTGAAACAGCGAAATCATTGATTTGAAATGGTACAGATTCAAACACTTGGAGGAAACTCCAATCCGACTGACATTAAAGCTTCTAATTAACCGATAGCCGATCACTATTCGGCCAGCGAGGACTGAGAGCGGGCAAGGGTTTCCCGATCAAGACGTATGAAGCAATTGACCCCCGCACGGTTAAATGGGTGCCCCTCTGCTCCACTCCTGTTATTTGTATGACCGTGGGGTTGAAAACAGCTGGTCGCGGTTGAATAAGTTGTACAGATCACCTGGACTCCGATTTTTTCTTATTAAAGCTGGCACCCTTGCATTGCATTTACATTTATCCTTTCCATTCTCTTCTGCCTTATACCCTCCCCCCTACACAATGGCCTCCGCAACCGTCACAAAGACCAACATCGGTGTCTACACCAACCCCAAACATGACCTCTGGATCGCCGATTCGACTCCAACAGTAGAGGACATCAATTCTGGCAAGGGCCTGAAGGCCGGCGAGGTCACAGTTGAGGTCCGCAGCACTGGTATCTGCGGTTCCGATGTTCACTTCTGGCACGCCGGGTGTATTGGTCCTATGATCGTCACTGGCGACCACGTCCTCGGCCACGAATCGGCAGGCCAGATCCTTGCAGTCGCGCCTGATGTCACACACCTCAAGGTCGGCGACCGCGTCGCTATTGAGCCCAATGTTATCTGCAACGCCTGCGAGCCCTGTCTGACCGGTCGCTACAACGGCTGCGAAAATGTCGCTTTCCTCTCCACTCCCCCTGTCGACGGCCTGCTCCGTCGCTACGTCAATCACCCCGCCGTTTGGTGCCACAAGATCGGTGATATGAGCTTCGAGGATGGTGCTATGCTTGAGCCTCTGAGTGTTACTCTGGCTGCTGTCGAGCGCAGCGGTCTGCGTCTCGGTGACTCTCTGTTGATCACCGGTGCCGGGCCTATCGGTCTCATCAGCTTGCTCAGCGCGCGGGCTGCGGGTGCTTGTCCCATTGTCATCACCGATATTGATGAGGGCCGTCTGGCTTTCGCCAAGTCGCTTGTTCCTGAAGTTCGCACCTACAAGGTTGAGATTGGCAAGTCAGCTGAAGAGTGCGCAGACGGTATTATCAATGCCCTGAATGACGGCAAGGGCTCTGGCCCTGATGCACTGCGCCCTAAGCTGGCTTTGGAATGCACCGGTGTCGAAAGCAGTGTCAACTCCGCTATCTGGAGTGTCAAGTTCGGTGGCAAGGTCTTTGTCATTGGTGTCGGCAAGAACGAGATGACTATTCCCTTCATGCGTCTCAGCACCCAGGAGATCGACCTGCAGTACCAGTACCGATACTGCAACACCTGGCCCCGCGCCATTCGCCTTGTCCAGAACGGTGTGATTGACCTGAGCAAGTTGGTCACTCACCGGTTCTCACTTGAGGATGCTCTCAAGGCATTTGAGACAGCTGCCAACCCCAAGACTGGAGCTATTAAGGTGCAGATCATGAGCTCAGAGGAGGATGTTAAGGCCGCCAATGCTGGTCAGAAGATTTAAAGAGACGAAAAAGATGAAGGGCGATATTTGAGAACATCAGCGGGTTTCTGGTTGGGATCAAGAGCCTTTGGCGTTGACGATTTTCCTTTTAATGACGAATGATGTCTAGATATGCTTTCGGGCAGTTAGAAGATGACTTCAAACTTTTCAAAATTATTCAGTATGATGTGCAAAGTAGAATATCCTGGGATAGATGAGATTGTTCTGACAGAACAGACATAAGGACCTTGCAAGCCAAGGACCTGGTTGGATCACCAAGGTACCTTGGGTAGTCAGCTACTGCCTCCCCACGGGGCCACACGTCATTCTCAGGCCTAAGCCGGCATGAAGTCCGGGTAATCATTTGGTGAAATGAAAGACGTGTCCGACGAATTAAAACAGCCTTGCAACTTGGATCTAGAAGCCACTAATCAGTTGGTACTAGTGATCTAGGGCGTTATGGCACAACTGATCCAAGTCTGTGGGACAACATATGGGAATGACTAGTGTCAGGTGTCACATCGTATGCAAACTTCATGCAGACATTCCGAAAGCGCATGGAAAGTAACCATAATGTGGTATTCTAGAGCATCGCCACACTCTATATACGACGCAGAAGCTCCAGGCTTTTGCTTGTCCAACAACGCTACACAGTATGCGTAACGACTTTGAGTGCCAACTACAAATGGTTGTGCTTTGAGCTAATCAGTTCAAGTATTCAGAGATCAAAAGGTGCTTTCTGCCAACCACCTTTACTGAATTCACCCATCCGAATTTGCCATAACCATCAATATTGTGAGCTCTAGCCCACTACTGATATTCACCTACAGCAACTAACTGTTTAGCTCTACTTCAGTTCATTGTTGGTCACGTGTCCAAGGCTTATGGAATTTGAATGTTCTCTGTCGAAGTGGAGAAGTACGCTACTTTACTTCTATTTATACAAAAAGACGCACCAGCAAACTTCAGCATAAGAAAATTATGTTGACGTCTAAAGAAGCTCTTAAAAGAGCCGTTATTCCTTTGAGAGCTGGGTCCATGCACTTCCAAGGCTGCTGGTACTGTCTTTCGGCATTTTCCTACCTGTATGATCCTTGCCTAAGAGGCTAATATGACACAGCACAATAAATGTTGCCAACCAAGATTTCCTTCCTGGGAAAGGGTAGCAGCAAATCCAATCAAGAAAGCTAAACCCAATGCCAAATGGAGTAAAAAGCAAAAGCAGGACCCTGCATAGACCCCGAAGCTACTACTACGCTGTGTGGGGTGTTGGATAGCAGGACCGGGATGGTTGCCGATCAGCCAAGAGAACACCCGACAATTGCCCGTTCTCCGCAACAGCAAAGCACCATTCAATGCAATGCAATGCGACATAAAGTCATGCTGACTAGATGCCCAGCAAGATTTCAATAGATCAATGACATCCCCACAGTTCCCCTCAATTGGCATCTGGCCTAGCACAGCTTTTCTTAAAAGGATGCACGGGAACCCTTTTCAATTCCCCAGATCTACTCCCGTTGTGCTACGGTCGCCAGATCTCAACGATGAAAGGCATTTTGGTTCTTCTGGCTCCCTTAGTGGGCGCTGCTGTCTTAGGATCAACAGATCGGCTTGATAATTGTCCAGGTTATAAGGCTTCCAATATTAAACAATTGGGTCCGAGACTAACGGCAGATTTAACTCTCGCCGGTGATGCCTGTAATACCTACGGCTCGGACCTTGCAGATTTGAAATTACTGGTAGAGGAACAAACCGGTACATTCTGAACCATCACATGCCACAAAAGCACATACTCACAAACCCAGAAAACCGCCTCCATGTCATCATCTACGACGCCGCCGAGGAAGTCTACCAAGTCCCGAACGCTGCGCTCCCCCGACCAGATATCGAAAAAGCAAAGGAGTCCACCCTCCACTTCGACTTCAAAGAGAATCCCTTCTCGTTCCGCGTCCTGCGCGGAAATGAAGTCCTTTTCGATACATCCGGCACAAACATCATCTTCCAATCCCAGTATCTAAATCTGCGCACCTGGCTACCCACCGATCCAAACCTCTACGGTCTGGGCGAACACAGTGATTCGCTGCGTCTCCCGACGACAAATTACACGCGAACAATCTGGAACCGCGATGCGTATGGCATTCCGTCGGATTCGAATCTTTACGGTGCGCATCCGGTGTATGTGGATCATCGCGGGAAAAAAGGGACTCATGGTGTTTTCTTTTTGAATTCCAATGGCATGGATATTAAAATTGATAAGACTGCTGGTGGGAAGCAGTATTTGGAGTATAATGCTCTTGGTGGTGTCTTGGATTTCTATTTCCTTGCTGGTCCTACGCCCAAGGATGTGAGTGTGCAGTATTCGGAGGTTGTGGGGCTTCCTACTATGCAGAGTTATTGGACTTTTGGGGTATGTTGATGTCATGTTTTGGGCTGGGCTGTGTTGACTTGGTTTAGTACCACAACTGCCGATATGGCTACCAGGATGTCTTTGACGTCGCTGAAGCTGTCTACAACTACAGCAAGGCTGGCATTCCGCTTGAGACTATGTGGACTGATATCGACTACATGAGTGGCCGTCGTGTGTTCACTCTAGATGATGAGCGCTTCCCACTGGACAAGATGCGGGAGCTGGTTTCGTACCTCCACAAGCATGATCAGCACTACATCGTTATGGTCGACCCCGCCGTCAGTCACTCCGGTAAGGAATATGCCCATCAGCTTAGACCACTTCTAACAGCGCTAGACAACGGTGCCTTCAAGCGCGGCGACGCCCAAGGTATCTTCCTATACCGCGACAACGAGCAATCAGAACTCTATCAAGGTATGATCCCGTTGACCAGCACCTAAGCATAACGAATACTCACAATCTCAGGCGCTGTCTGGCCCGGCCTAACCGTCTTCCCAGACTGGTTCAACCCCCAAACCCAGAGCTACTGGAACAAAGAATTTAGCCAATTCTTCAGCAAGGACCACGGCGTCGACATAGACGGCCTCTGGATCGACATGAACGAAGCCGCCAATTTTTGCCCTTACCCCTGCGCCAACCCCGCAGAATACGCCCAGCAGAACAGCCTCCCCCCAGCCGCTCCCCCAGTCCGCTCCCCTCCACGCCACATCCCCGGGTTCCCGGCCAATTTCCAACCCGGCTCGACTTCTTCTTCCTCTCCTACTCCCCGCGTGAAGAGAGGCGACACCGTGCCCGAAATTCGGGCCAAGCGCAAGACTGAAAAGAATAAGGCCAAGAAGCTCGGTCTCCCCGGTCGAGACCTGATTAACCCCCGGTACCAGATTGCCAACGAGGCCGGCTCCATCAGCAACAAGACTATCGACACGGATATCATCCACGAGGGCGGCTATGCCGAATATGACACGCACAATCTCTACGGCACGATGATGAGCTCTGCGTCGCGGGAAGCGATGCTCCAGCGCCGCCCCGCCGTCCGCCCTCTCATCATCACCCGCAGCACCTTTGCCGGTGCAGGCGCCCACGTCGGCCACTGGTATGCCATGCTCCCCGTTCCACAGATCAGAATTCATCCAAAGTCCAACATAGACTAACCACATGTGTAATCAACCAGGCTCGGCGACAATCTCAGCCAGTGGGACAAATACCGCGTGTCGATCCCGCAAATGCTGGCTTTCGCGTCCATCTTCCAGATCCCCATGGTCGGCAGCGACGTCTGCGGTTTCGGCGGGAATACCACCGAAGAACTGTGCGCGCGCTGGGCGACGCTGGGCGCGTTCTATCCTTTCTATCGGAATCACAATGAACTCGGCAGCATTCCGCAGGAGTTTTACCGCTGGGAGAGCGTTGCTGAAGCCGCGAGGAAAATCATCGATATTCGCTACCGCCTGTTGGATTATTTGTATACTTCGTTCCACAGGCAGAGCGTTACCGGGGCGCCGTTCTTGCAGCCGCTTTTCTACGTTTATCCTGGTGATGAGAAGACGTTTGGGAATGAGGCGCAGTTCTTTTACGGTGATGCTTTGCTCGTGTCGCCCGTTGCTGGGGAGGGGGAGAGCTCGGTGCAGGCTTATTTCCCGGATTTGTTCTATGATTGGTTTACTGGAAAGGAGGTTTCTGGGGATGTGACAATTGCGGATGTGGCGATTACGGATATCCCGATTCATGTGCGTGGTGGGAGTATTATTCCGTTGCGGGTTGAGGGGGCGATGACTACGACGGAGTTGAGGAAGCGTGGGTTTGAGATTCTTGTTGCGCCTGGTGCTGATGGGACGGCGGTTGGGGAGTTGTATCTTGATGACGGGGAGTCGATTCGGGTGGATAAGGCGGCGGAGATTAGGTTTGAGTTTGCGGGTGGGAAGTTGAAGATTCTCGGGAAGTTTGGATATCATCCGAATGTGGTTGTTGAGGCTGTTACGCTGCTTGGGCAGAAGGGCAAGTCTCGACGAGATGTTGAGTATGACGCGAAGAGACAGAGCGTTACGAAGAAGGTGCAGATTGAGTTGACGGGGCCTACGGAAGTGACTTTGGTTTAGATTATTAGGCTGAGCGGATGGCTTTAGATGCCCATGGAGTATGAGTTAGTAATCCATACTCCGTAGGTAGTTAGACTATCTGGGGGAACACATTTATGAAAGCCAAGTCAAGCCAAGTCTTTTTGCTCATCGAGATAATTACCGCATATTTTTAGCCGCTTCATTTATTGAACTATGATTGGGTTGTGGCTGTTCCTGCGTCCGAGTCCCCATCGCCAAGCACCACAGGTAACAGGGTGTGTAAATGTGTAAATGATTAAAACGTTTCATCCCTTGCAGGGTTGGTGATGTGAGGGGTCTCTGACATGCAGCATATTTTTGATTATTGACTGTCGAAAGAAAGTTCTGTTGCCGTTCTATCCATGTTATAATTATAACTCGGAGCACCAGCTGGGAAAATATCGAGTCACGAACTAATATCAGCGCTAGTCTAGATATAAGGCTAGTACTGAACAGTGCGCAGGTACTAGCGCCAAAATACCAAAGACAAAAAAAAAAAGTCTCAGTCCGAATGTCGACGCTAAGAGCCTCCAGCCACGTTATGCCCCAGTTAGGGCACAGGCCGCTGGTTCACTGAGTCATCTGACCGTGAAGGACTTCAGTGTCAATATGTCGGTAAGCAGAAAGAGAAACCTGGGAACCTGCGAGCTATTCTTAGCCTTAGAGTTTATCATTTTGTTCATCGATACATCATGTAGTAGGCAATTTTATGCGATGACATGTACCGGGGATGCAGTATACGAGAGACCATGGGTCACAAGTTCAACAAGTTATACGGAGTACTGCATACTACGGTGTGCCTGGGTAGAATTGTGTTCAGGTGGCCCCTGTTTCACCTCGCATGTCCGATCGCGAGATATGACTTGTGATTTGTGTGATTTGATTAGTTATTAAATTATTAATATGGGCTTAACTTAAAAAGAGGTTTCCAGAGTGATACGGCAGCCCTAGTATCATAATTGTATAAATGAAACGAAATGAAATAATGTAACTCCAGGAATATAGTCAGCCTTGGTAGGCGTTGGTAAGATTGTAGGAGGCGTAAGAAGGCAGCAGAGGAAACAATTCCAGGGCTCTGCAAGGCTTGGCGGTCGCTTACAACGAGTTCAAGAGTAGCATTGTCTTGGTCCCTTGATTTGAATAAAGGGTTCACCTATTTTCGTTCGCTCAGACTTGTGTCAGGCTTAAATTTTAACTGGGTCTCTTCGAATCCTTTTGATGTAATTGACGTGGAAATTATTCCGACCCATCATCCTGATGACACTGACTTTGCATTGTTGTATTCTGTAACATCTGATCGGCCGGATCGGCGGATCAGCCATCGACATATAAGCACATACGGAGGACCTAGGTAATGAAGACATGTTACAGTGACACGAGAGTATATATGAAGCATCTTACGTGGCATAGTGCCTCGCATAATGATATTAGTAACGAGGCTGTTCCAACCGGTATGGTTCATACCTTGTAAATTCACCCGAGGGCGGCACCAAGCTTTTGAGGGTCCTAGGTTCTTTTTCCCCAACAGCGCATGGGGCTAACACTCCCTTAGAGCCCTTATTGATCCACTTTATATTCCACTTTTCACCACTTTTCGAGTCCATTGAGAGTCCAATCATAGACATTTGTCTCGGAGTCTCACCCCGGCTTTGCCACACGAGTCCAATCACAGGTGTTCAGCCTCTACAATAATACAATATTGGAGGCACTAAGGGGATCGGTCAAACCCGCCTCCTCCTTTTTTTAGCCGTGCAGCCCGTCTCCTGATCTAGCGTGGCAGTGTACGTGATACTTGGTTGCATATGTAGAAGATAAAAAAAAAAGATAAAAAGCGAGTTGATATTCCCACGTCGGTCCTTCCTTTTCCACAGATCGGTCCACTCGTTTCCACTTTCCCAAATCATTATTTAATACATTGCGCTCGCCCACCTATCTCTTCTTGTATTGCAACTTCTTCTTTTCTTCCTTCAAAACATATCATATCTCTTCTGACTGCAGTATACAATGCCGTCTTTTATGAAGTTCGCTACCGCGGCTCTCGCCGTGGCTGCTCCTCTCGTCTCTGCTCAGACTTACTCGGACTGCAACCCCCTCAAGCAGTCCAACTGCCCTGCTGATAAGGGCTCCACCGAATCAACTTTGCACTTCGACTTCACTCAGGCCAGTGCCCTCGAGCAGTGGAAAACTACCGCTGGTACCGTTAACACTGGCGCTAATGGCGCCGAATTCACTCTCGCCAAGAAGGGTGATGCTCCCACCATCCGTAGCAACTTCTACATCTGGTATGGAGAAATTTCCGTCGAGATGAAGTCTGCTCCTGGTACCGGTGTGGTCAGCTCTATTGTTCTGGAATCTGATACTTTGGACGAAGTTGATTGGGTAAGTCATCAAACATTCTTCGGATCTATAGAGAAGAGATAAAAGGAAGAATGCCGTGCTAACTTTCTCACAGGAGGCTCTTGGCGGAAACAACGCCCAGATTGAGACCAATTACTTTGGAAAGGGTGATACCTCTACCTATGACCGTGACACTTGGCCCAATGTCGCTACCCCTCACGATGTTTTCCACACTTACACCGTTAAGTGGACCAAGGACCAAATGATCTGGTCCGTTGATGGCAACGTCGTCCGCACTCTCAACTACGCCGATGCTCAGGGCGGTGCTCGCTTCCCCCAGACCCCCATGGATATCCGCATTGGTATCTGGGCTGGTGGTGACTCTGGCAACGGCCAGGGTACCATTGACTGGGCTGGTGGTTTGACCGACTACTCCAAGGCTCCTTTCTCCATGTACATCAAGAGCGTGACCATCAAGAACGACAACCCCGCCCAGTCCTACTCTTACAACGGCAACTCTGGCAACGCCGACAGCATCCAGGTTAACGGTGCCGGTGTGACTGCCCGCTCTACCACCTCCTCCGAGCCCGCCTCTACCTCCACCCAGGCTTCCACCTCGGCCTCCACTGCTGCCTCTACTGAGGCCTCCACCTCCGCTGCTACCACTCTGGCCACCTCCGCTGCTACTACCCTGGCCACCACCACCCAGGGCTCCTCCACCGCCAAGTCCACCGAAGCCTCCTCCACTGCTGGCTCCAGCTCTGGCGTCTCCCCCAGCAGCTCTGGTGCTGCCGGTTCCTCTGGGTCCGGCTCCAGCTCCCAGACTGGCTCTCAGACTGGCTCTGGTTCCTCCAGCTCTGGCTCTGGCTCTGGCTCCAGTTCCGGCTCTAGCACCGTTGGTTCTGGCTCCAGCGCCAGCAGCGCCAGTGCCAGTGCTAGCTCCAGCCCCGCTTTCAATGCGGCCTCCTCCCTTGCTTCCAACTACCTCGGACCGATCTCCCTCATGGGCCTGATCACCGCCATGCTCCAGCTGTGAATGTCCTTGGCGCTTTTGGTTTTTTTACGCATCATTAAACTGGGCTGGACCGGGTATGGTAATGCTTTGACGTGCGCGTTTTCTTTCTTTCTGTATCATTTTTTCTTCATGCTCGTGCCGGTCTGTTTGGACCGGCTAGATGTACATCGTCGGGTTTAGCGGAGTGGTCAAGTGTATCTACAAGTATCATCCTTTGCCGGTGAGCAAAGTCGAATAATTCAATTCAGCCACTATCAATAGTTCATTTTCTTTTCTTCTCGTACAATGCAGATCTAGATCCATTGACCGCTTGTTTGGCCTGCGCTTGGGTCGTCTAGCTTTCCACTATTGAACTCAATTGCCCCATCTGTATTGAGAGCCTATCCGACATGGATATTTGCATTGAGCCGGCATAGATCATATGTACTTGTCTTTGTTTACCTTCATATTTGGCTTGTGTTACTACTGCAAGGTATGCACGCCGTGTAATGTGACACCCACCGGACAAAGATCCCGAGATCAATAGGAACAGGCGAAATGTGTGTCGAGGATTTACTTTCCTTCTAATCTTTACGTTTATAAAGTCTAGAAACAGCTATCAATGGGAACATATTGTGAAGCAAATTACTACGTTTATTGAATTATATATTTTCAACCCAAAAGAGCTAAAAAGACATGTCATGCGACTGCCGTAGTTCGCATATATTGAACTATGAACATTGGCATAACCAGTAGTGCGAAAACACAAATGCAATTCGTAAATCGTTAAACATGAGACCTTGAAACCCCAAGCAAAACAATACGCAATCTGTACGCCGTTAAACCAAATCCAATAACAAACTCCCAGCCCCCTACTCACCCAGCCCCATCCCCAGCCCCGGTGGATCAAGTGGACCCCAACTGGCGCGCCAGCCACAACACCGAGTCCGCAACAGCGCGATGATGGCCGGCAGCGCGGAGCAGCCTAAAAGTCTCATCATTGTCGCGACCCTGCTGCTCATCCCCAACCGACCGACGAAAAAACGCAAACGGCGACGCGCCCAGCCGCGCCGCATCGCGCGCATGCTCCCGCGCCACAATCCCCACAGCCTCGAGATGGTCGTCTAGCGTGCTAAAGCGCGCAGTCAGGGACTCGGCCTTTGCGCCAATCTGCGCGCGTAGACGCGCCAAGTACTCTGCTCGGCGCCGTGCTTGGAGGCCTGCTTGTGGGGTTGCTGTTGAGAGGAGGCTTTCGAGGGCGGAGCGCAGGTCTGGGAGGAGGGAGTCGTATTCTCGGATGGCGGTCTGGAGGGATTGGGATATGCCAGTGAATTCGAGGTCTAGGGCGTGGTGCGCGGTTGGGAGGGTTGTTTTTAGGTGCGTTGAGAGGGTTGAGAGATGGGTTTCGGTTTCTTTGAGGGTTTGGTTGAGGGGCGTTAGGGTTGTGAGGGTTGTGTTGAGGATTGATTGGAGGTTTGTTTGGGTGGTTGTCAGGGGGGTTGATTGTTGTTGTTGTTGTTGATGGTGTGGGTGGGGGGTTGTGCAGCTGCTGGCGTAGAGGGTTTCAATGCTGGGGATTCGGCAGAGGTCTTTGGCTTGGTGGACGAGCTCTGGGAGGATGAGCAGGTGCAGGATGAGGGCGATCAGGACCGTGTTAATTGCGGCGCGGGCGAGAGTCGTGTTGATGCCTAAGATAGCTTCGGATGGTTGCTTGGGCGCTGGCGCAGACGAGCCAGCGTCTGCATTGCCCTTGGGCGGGTTCTGTTCGCGAGCCTTACCGGGCGAAGAGACTTTGCGCCGTTTTTTCGTGCCTTCAGACCCTGGTTGTGTTGGTGTGCGCACATATTCCACCCATGATTCATCGATGTTGCGCGCTTCGCAGATCGAGGGCATGATAAGCTCCGGGCCCGATACCCATGAGGAGGTCAGAGGGTCGGCTGTCTTCGTGCCCTTGGTGTTCTTGGGAGACTTTGGTGACTTTGAAGTCCTTGGAGTCTTAGAGGTTGTGTCTTTCTTTTCCAGAGAAGGCGTCGTGGCCATCACCCACGACTCGTCGATGGCCCGACGATCTATAGTATGTTCCGTAGACATGGCGCGAACATGTCAACCCAGGGTTGAGTTGAGAATATCGTAGAAGCGACTGAAGTATTTTCACAATTCTTTTAAAAAGAATCCTTTGACCATATCACAAAGTTTTTGCGCAAAGAAAACATTTACATTCAGGCTGTTGCGGTGAGTTGTGACAAGGCCAAGAAAAGAAACATCGGAGAAAACGCCCGCAAGCCCCGAGAATCTTCAGCAACACAACCATGCGCCTACTACGACCGCGCTTGCTGACTGCCAATCGAGCTTTGCCGTGGCATTTCACAAGGTCGCGATTGTCAAATACATCACTTCGCCATTGCTCATGCTCTGAAAATCGCGATCCTCTCCCTCCCACCGACCACCGAGCTCTCGGAACCGCCCAAGAGCTCTTCACATCCTCCGTCTACAGCCCTGGGTCACCTCTATTCCTCCCAAATGGCACACACGTCGTCAACAAGTTGATATCTTTCCTTCGCACCCAGTACCTGCAATATGGCTTCCGCGAAGTCCTCACCCCGACCATCTACAAAAAATCCCTCTGGGAGATCTCGGGACACTGGCAAAACTACAAAGATGATATGTACGAGGTGACCGGTCGCGGAGCCAGTGGTGATGCAGATGGCGAGCTTGGCGAGGATGAATCCTACGGTCTAAAGCCAATGAATTGTCCAGGTCACTGCCTACTCTTCAAGTCTCAAAACCACTCCTACCGCGACATGCCAGTGCGTTATGCAGACTTCAGCCCGCTGCACCGGAACGAAGTCTCTGGCTCGCTAACTGGCCTGACGCGTGTGCGTCGCTTTCATCAAGACGACGGTCATATTTTCTGTCGGCCGCAGCAGATCAAGGCAGAGATCGCATCCGCGCTAGGGTTCGTGGATATGGCGATGAAGACCTTCGGGCTTGGTCCGTATCGCTTGGTTCTGTCTACTCGACCAGAGACGGATTATATTGGCACATTGGAGATGTGGGATAATGCCGAGGGGCAACTTCGCGAAGCGCTCAATAGCACGGGTCGGGAATGGGCGCTCAACGAGGGCGATGGTGCCTTCTATGGCCCTAAGATTGATATCCAGCTCCAGGACAAGGCGGGAAAATTCCACCAGCTGTCTACAATTCAGCTGGATATGAATCTCCCCCAGCGGTTTGAGCTAGAATATCAGGTTGCAGAGGGTGAGCCAGACTACAACCCGGCCACACCGGGAGTGGCGACTCCTGTTTTAATTCATCGGGCCATCTTTGGTTCCCTGGAGCGCTTTTTGGCACTGCTGATTGAAGAGCATGGCGGTCATTGGCCCTTCTGGCTTTCTCCCCGCCAGGCCATCATTCTGACCGTCAACCAAGATGCCGCTGTTGTTCAACGGGCTCAGGAAGCGGCCGCCAAGTTCTCTGGATTCCGCGCCTTGCTCAACGACGGCCCCGCCCAGTCGCCCCGTCCGCTGTCATCTGTCGACTCTACCTTTTTGGTTGACGTTGACACTAGCCCACAGACCCTCGGCAAAAAGATTCAGCGCGCCAAACAGATGAAGTACAACCTCATTTTCATCCTCGGACCGCGTGATGTCGCAGAGGGTGGTGTCACTGTTGATGTCACTGGACAGATGCACAGCAAGACAGACAAGGAAGGGGCACAATTGCAGGCGCTGATCAAAGCCAAACTTGGCGATGATGCCCTGCAGAACCCTCGCGCTGTCAAACTTTGTGTGGACGATGTCCATCCGCTATTGGTGGAACTCGAAAAGAATTTTGTTTGATTGTACTATTTTAGCGCTTGTGCTACATATATTCCCATCTCTTTTGACTGTATGCTAAATTTATTCATTATTGAAGATTTTGACTGCGCTGACTGCGCATCAAGATTTGATCTATCTGGCCACGCCCTTCAGCAACATACACTACGCGGCTATCCTCGGGTATTGACGCCTCAGGCAGAAATGACTCCGAGTTCGGGGACACTCTATGGAGCCAGTGAGTATAAATATCGAGTCAACAGGGCCGTTTCTGGTCATAGAGTGAGTAGTGATGAAATCAGAAGAAGCTAATAACATATTCCAAGAATTCTTGACTCAATTGCCCATCAATTGCAGATCAATTGATGCCACAGCTGCGAATCTTCATGTCACGTGACTCCTATGTCGGCGCCGAAAACTCGGCGTCATTGACGATCGGGAGTGATTTGAGTCACAGCATTCTTCATTGGTCTTTTTTGTAATTTTCTCTCTTTTTCACTTCTATAAGAACACTCAGTTGTCCAGCTTTCTGGATATCACAAGTTTCAATTAGACATCGAGTCTGCTGTATATCTTTTGATCTCTTATCAACTTTATCAACTTCGCCCCGCGGTACCCCGCCAACACCCGCCATGCCGATGTATGTTGACAGCTATATGTATTCGAACTCGACTAATTGTTTGAAGGCTCAAGGATCCCTCAACGAAGTACAAGCCGTACAAGCCGCTGAACCTGCCTAACCGTCAATGGCCTAACAAGATTATCGATAAGCCTCCGCGTTGGATGGCCACTGATCTGCGCGATGGCAACCAGTCCCTGCCCGATCCAATGGTACGAATTATTATACGGATGACTCATGTTCCTCAAACTAATTGAAAGTGCTTTAGGATGGTGAGGCAAAGTATAAGTTCTTCAAGATGCTCGTGGACATCGGATATAAGGAAATCGAAGTATCCTTCCCATCTGCATCCCAAACGGATTTCGACTTCACCCGCCGCCTGGTCGAAGAACCTGGTCTCACTCCCGACGATGTTGCCCTGCAGGTCCTGGCTCCTTGTCGTGAGGACCTCATTCGCCGAACAGTTGACTCCCTGAAGGGCGCCAAGAAGGCCATCCTCCACATCTACCTCGCAACCAGCCCTTGTTTCCGTCGCATCGTCTTCAACATGGATCGCCAAAAGAGTCTCGAATTGGCCGTCAAGTGCACCAAGTACGCTCGCTCTATCACCAAGGATGACCCCTCCCAGGCTGGTACCGACTGGCAATTTGAGTTCTCCCCCGAGACATTCTCCGATACCGAGCCCGAATTCGCCGTCGAGGTCTGCCAGGCTGTTAAGGAGGCTTGGGAGCCTACTGCTGAGAGACCCATTATCTTCAACTTGCCCGCCACAGTAGAGATGTCTACCCCCAACGTCTTCGCTGATCAGGTTGAGTACTTCTGCACAAACATGACCGAGCGCGAGAAGTTCGTCGTATCAGTCCACCCCCACAACGACCGTGGCTGCGCCGTCGCCGCCGCCGAGCTGGCTCAGATGGCTGGTGCCGATCGTGTAGAGGGTACCCTGTTCGGTAACGGCGAGCGCACCGGAAACGTCGATCTAGTCACCCTGGCTCTGAACCTATACACACAAGGTGTCTCACCCAAGGTCGACTTCTCAGATATCAACTCCATCATCAAGGTAGTAGAGGAGAGCAACAAGATCCCCGTGAACGAGCGCTGGCCCTACGGCGGACAGCTCGTTGTCTGTGCGTTCTCAGGTAGCCACCAGGACGCAATCAAGAAGGGCTTCAAGCTCCGCGAGGACGCCGTCGCCGCCGGACAAGACCCCGAATGGGAAGTTCCCTACCTGCCCCTCGACCCGCAAGATATTGGCCGTACCTACGAGGCCGTCATCCGTGTCAACTCCCAGAGTGGAAAGGGTGGTGCCGCCTGGATCATCCTGCGCAGCTTGGAGCTGGATCTCCCCCGTGCTCTGCAGGTCGAATTCAGCAAGCTTGTTCAAGTGAAGACCGAGGCTGTTAACCGTGAACTGAAGCCTACTGAGATCGTCACTCTCTTCGAAGAAGCTTACCACCTCAAGTCAAACCCTCGCTTCAACTTGGTCGATTACAGCATTACTACCGACCGCTCGCAGTCCCCTGCTCCCCCCGAGCCTGGCAAGGCCCTCAACACCAAGAACCTCAAGCGTCGCTTCACTGGTATTATTGAAATCGATAATGTTCAGCATGCTATCACTGGTGTTGGCCCGGGTGCTATCTCCTCTCTGGCCACTGCTCTGTCTAGTCTCGGCATCGACCTCGATGTCCGCGACTACAAGGAGCACTCCATAGGTCTCGGCCGTGACGTCAAGGCCGTCACATACATCCAGTGCACAGCAGCCGGCAGTGAACAGCAAGTGTGGGGTGTCGGTATTCACCAGGATGTGGTCCAGGCCTCTCTGATTGCGCTTCTCAGCGCCGCCAGCTCGGTAAGCACTACTTGTTGATCCATAACATTGTGATACCACTAACTCAATTCTAGTTCCTCGCTTCCCAATCTGGCTCTCCTGCTCCTTTCCGCCCTATTCGCTCCAACACCCTCACCAATGAGGACCTGCAGGCCCTCGAGCACCTGACTGGTGCTGAGCCTGTCCCTTCCAATGGTGGCCTGGCCCCTCAAGTCAATATCGAGCAGCTGACGAAACAAGCCGAAAGCCAGTAAATGTAAAAACAGAAAACAACAAGAAGCATTCAAAAGTGATAGCAATTTTGCATATACCATGATCTATTCAATTCAATCAATTTGTCTTATTCCACTTCATGGATCAAAACTCACCATAAACCGGAATTGGTGTGGAAATTTGAATATATACATCTCCGATGCTAGCCATACCAAAACCAAATCATTTAATAGTCATAATCATTCCAGCCGTATATCAAAACTTTTTGCATGTATATCTACACTCGCCAACTCATCAGGCCATCACCAGCTTAAGCAAATTACCAAATCCCATCCAACCACCCCCTCCGACTCTGCGCCCCATAAGCATTGAACCCCTGCGGCCCCTCCGCAGGGATGATATACCCATTCTCACAAGACGAGAAGGAAACCGTCGGCTGATTCGCATAGAACGTATCGAAGCCCGAGTCCAGCGCTTCAGCAAGACTATTCACTTTGCCCGCTGGGTGGAGTTGTAGCCATGGCTCTCGACACGCGTCGCCTTCACAGGACTTCAGAACCAGCACTAGGGCATTGAGCCGAGAGATGATCTGCGGGAGTTCGCGATTTGCGATCTTGTAGCTTTGCTTGGCTGGTTGAGCGCCGAGATTCTTGGTTTGGTGCGGATCGCCCTGGGTTGGGTTTGTTAGGGTTTGCTTTCTTTGCTTGCACCAGTGGTGACTAGCGGCTCGCATACCTTGAGATCGTAAAATTCTTTCTCATTCGTGCACCATACTGCGTAGTACAGACTGTAGTCGTCAGACACTAGTCTTATTCCCTTGTATGTGTTGCGCTGGTAGCTGTTGTGCGCTTGGTCCAGCTTGTCACTGGCGTAGCCGTAGATTCCTTCCGGCACGGCCTGGATACTACGTTAGGTCTGTGTGAGGGTACATGTTGGTTCACTTACCAGTCCCCAGTACTCAATGGCAACATGCTCGTTTCTGTTGTGGGCAGTGCTGGCTGCGATGGTCGTCGGAATCTTCTTACCATCCAGACCTTGCCTGGTGGCTCCAGCTATGGAAAGGAAGGTCGGTGCCAGATCAGTGTGACTGGTAATTGCGTCCAAAGTCACATTTTTACCAATACCAGGTCCTCGAACGATAAGTGGGACATTTATATCAGTTTCTATGGCTTGTTAGCGCAATCCATCTGGCACGATCCACCCCCAAGCCACAAATAAACTCACCATAACCGCAATTTTTCCCAGGCTGCATCCGATGCTGCCCCAGATGATACCCATTATCCGTTGAAAAGAAAATATAAGTATTATCCAGCTCCCCCAGCCTCTCCAACTTCTCCACAAGCTCCCCAATCATCTCATCAACAGCCTGCAACGCCCGCAGCCGACACCGCTGGAACTCATCAATATAATCGATATGCGTCTGGTTCAACTCTGGCACATTCTCCACCCAACTGACGGCATTCTCAATCAACGAGTTGAAACTTTCGTCCCGCGGCGCCTTGACATCTTTAAACAGATCCGCATGCCTCGGTGCAAACTCCGGCTCCCCGAACCAGTTCGCGTTCCGCGCCGAGTCATGCGACCCGTTCGAGTGCGGCGCGTTCGGCGCTACAGTCAACATCCACGGCCTGTCTTGTTTGACCGCGTCGTCGATGAACCCGGATGCTTTTTCCGCAATCACGTCCGTCGAGTAGTTCCCGTCGTACTTTACGGGCGGCGCGCCGTTGCGCGTCATCCGCGCATACCAGTACCGGTAGGTGTAAGGGTCTAGGAGAAAGTCTGAGCCGTTGAATCCACGCACGTACGGGTCGTTGTAGTTCTCTTCTGTGTGGGCGTTCCACATCTAGTTGGGTTAGGGGCTGCTTTTCTTATTCATTGTTTTTTATTGATGGCTGGCTTACTTTGCCGACGTAGTAGGTGTTGTAGCCTGCATCTTGCATCCAGAGAGGGAGGTAATTGTCGTTCCAGCCTGCTGAAACTACTTTAGGGTAGCCGCCGTAGGGAAGGCCGACGTCTGTGACGTTCGTGTTATGGGGCATGCGGCCGGTCCAGAGGTTTGCTCGCGAGGGACAGCATAGTGCAATTGAGCAGAAGTGCTTAGAGTAACTTGTTCCTTGTTGAACGAGTGTTTTCTTTGATGCGTGTTAGATTCTCGGATGAGGACTGGATCGAGTATAAATCGGGCATGCTGACCTGCAACTTGGGCATATGCTCTAAGCCACCGACATATTTTCCTTGATCGTCTGTCAAAATGAACAAGATGTTAGGCTGCTTGGCAACAGCGACCGTCGCTAGTAACAAGAAGGTTAGGAGATTCATGGTTTTGCCGAGCTTGCTCCTTCTAAACTGTACGGAGGCCAGGGAAGCTATATACCCCGATATATCAACCCCTTCTATCAAACCTGCGTCATATAGATACGATATTGAATGGTATCATTTCTCTACAGAATTGCTCAACGAAAATCATCTCTGATCACACAGCCAGTGAGTAATGCACTCTTTCAGTGCATGGTGATCGTCGGCTATCGGGAAGAGTAAAGGGCAGAGGATGGGGACTATGGGGGCAATAGACGGGAGAGGGAAGTTGATCAGGGAGCTATACTATGGCTGAGCAGGCTAAGTTTACACTTGCGCAGTGTACGGAATATAAATTGATAATTGTCGTGTTGATTTGCCTGTGAAAAGCCAAGAATTGATTGCGAGATTTGCTCGTTGATGAGTTGACTTTGGGTCATTATCACGTCTTTTGACGATCATTTATGAGTGTACTGGTTACTCGTATTGGCTGTTGTGATTTATATTGTAGTACTGTGAAGGGAATATTATAGCCATCAATCAATACTACATATATGTATGTATTAATTCACCCTATCTACATGCAGCCGGATAAAGATATGGGTATGTACAACAAAGGCATTCAAGTAGCCGGGAAAGCTAGAGAAACAGAAAAGCAAAAGTGATATCGCACGCTCAAGGCGCCTTTGATCTAATGACAATGACGTCTGTACAGATTAAGCCCCGTACCCAGTTCCATAATATGGATTTCGCCCACCCGGTGGGTGATGATCATGACCATGACCATCCTCTCCACCGAGCGCTGACTGGTACATCAGAGCTTCTTGGGGCCAGTCGTCAATCACTCCACTGTCCTGCGTACGCGGACGGCCGGGTTCGGCTTGAGCCGTGCCAATTGGCCCGCCACCGTTGTATTCCCATTGCTGTTGACTAGAAAGTGAGCCATGTCCTGCTGTGGGATGTTCACCGCCGGTAGATCCCTGTGAAGGAGGAGTCTCGAGAGGCGTCTCGAAGCTAAAGCGGAAGTTACGGCTGGCGTCTACTCCCTCGGGGTGATCCAGGGTGTCGTAGTGGTGATCGTCGAACTCGGTGACGATGGTCGCGGACTGCGGCTCCTTGATATGAGGCACACCAGGGGTGGGCTCGGGGACGGGAGTTGATTTCACGCTATTGTCGTTGGTGTTCTCAAGGTCATGCCGCGTAGATCCAGAACCCTCGGCAGGGTAGGTCGCTGATGGATGAACCGTTTCCTCCAGCGTCACGCCGGCTGGGGAGTGTGGGACCGGCTCCATGTCTGGGTTCATGGTAGACTGTCGGATGCTAGTGCCCATGGTGCTTCCAGGCTTGGAAACCCTGCTCAAACGATGATGAGGCATTTCTCCAAATGGATTATCCGAACCTTCCAGATCGCGAATGCTGAACTGAGCAATGGTGCGTAGCTTCCGAGTCACCCAGGAGGCGAGAACCTTTCCGCGTTGCTTCTCACCCAGGCGAGAGCGAGGGAAATCGCCATGAGAAACAAAGGCGACAATGTCAGCGATGACTTGATGCTCCATGAGGATGGCATCGACGATGACGGGAACAAGAGAGGCTAAGTAGGCCTTTCGAGTGACCTCGACAACAACTACAACTAAGCCACCAGCTTGGAAAATAGCACATCCTCCATTCACAATGTTGCGATGACACCTTTCCACAGAGTTCTCAATGTCCATAGGGAAGTGGTTAAGACCATTGACCTCGAAAGTCTCACCAATGCTACCGAGAAGAAATAGCACTTGCATCTCCACCGGCTGACCACCAGGCCCAATCGGCCGAGTAACAGTGTGAAGGAAACCTAGGTCACCAGTACGAACGTAAGGCACGCTCGGATCGCCATCCGTAACGCGGCCATTCAACCGCTCGGAGTCGAACTCTTGCTTGGATTTGTAAAATCCTTGGGCACAAGCATCGGACTGAATCCAGATCTCACCGTACTCCCCAACATGAGCGAGGGTACAGGTTTCTGGATTCACAATCGCGATCTGCGTGTTAACCGGTACCATACCAGAATCCTGTAGCAAAAGTGCGGTTGGGTCGGCGTCGGGATCAACAGGGTAAATCAGGCCTTGGCGGAGGCTTCGCAGGTCCAGCCAGAGCTCGATCGGCTCAATGCACATGTATGATCGTGTGGTGACCATGGGGTTGAGAACGTGTGAATAAACGACGTTGATTGCCGTACGGTCTAAACTAGCATTGGCGAAATGCAAGCGGACCTTCCCATAGATATCCACTCTGGGACGACTCTCAGAAGAGATCATCAGATTCTTTAATTCTTGCAGCTGGAAACCCTTTCCAGCCATGGCACTCATGGCATAATCCAACATCTGACTGGTGGCGTAGGTATCCTTGATCTTGTATCGAGCCAGAGTTACGAAGAGAGTCATGGGGTTCGTGGCAAAGTCAACAGGCGAGACGAGATATGTAGGGGCGCCAACAAATATACCCATCAAGCAGGTGTGGAGGAATCCGAGACCCAGGGTACTGCGCACACTTCCAAGCACTGGCCTTGAGCTTGTCATTTGACAGGTCTCCTTCTGAACCTTGCACATGCCCATGATCGTTTCGTGGGAGATGTTGACGGAGATTCTTCGCTGATCCGGTGTCCAGTAAGTCCAGATCAGGGCGGGCTTTCCGGCCTGGAGCCAAGCATCCTTCACTGTGTAGCCAAGCTCGCGGCAGCCGTGGGACTGCTTCGACGGCTTGGTGGTATTGTAGATGGCAGGGACACCAATTCGGAGGACCTGTGCGGACTGCTTGATGTGCTGAGAGACCAGCTTCTGTCTCATCACATGGTCAACATCTGTGTTGACGATGATGGCCTTGACACCGAAATCACTGATGATGTGTAGGAATGCAGGTGCATCCTCTGACAGACGGTTTTGATCGATAGGGGCCATTGGTATAGCAATAGCGCCCAAGCAGAAACAAGCATGAACGGCGTAAATGTAGTCCTCCGAGTGGGTGTACATCAGCACGAGATGATCGCCTGGTCGCACCTTCACCTTGTTTTTAAGGTAGGTTGCCACGGCTGAAACCTTCAGGTCGAATTTTTTCCAAGTGATGCCTTTTCCTTCCTTTCCACGGCCATCGATAGAGCAATAAGCGAGTTCTTCGGCCTGGCGGGAAACTCGCCAGTGAAGGAGATCGACAATAGTGTTGAAGTTGTTCAATGGAGTGGAGGTTCGGTCATCCATAACCACATCGCGATAGTCGACGCCAGAGTATTGCTTCTCTTGATAAGCAAGCAAATCTTGTCTCGACGCCAGAGCAACTGGGGACCAGATGCCTCCCTCGGGATCAACACCGACCGGAAGATTCATCACTGATCGTTCGACTCCGAATTTGACATGCACTGCTTGCAGCATACCAGATTCGAAATCCTTGCGACAGAGCATGTTACCGATTTCTTGTCTACCGTTCTTGGTCACACGCGGCAGAGTGTTTGGAGCTGTGAGTAGAACGCAGTACACTCGGAGGTGATGCTCTTGGTACAAAACTTCCATACACCGGTCTGCTAGCGAGTCAAGCAGGACTGAGTCGAGCTGTCTGGGTGGGCCTCCAGAAGTTGTTGGTGCAGTTGAAGCCGAATAAGACTCCAGAACAATCACTGGGAGATGTTCTTCGTTCACAAATACATCGAACGCAGTGCAATCATGGATTTTCGGCACCTGCTTCAAAATGCTGACAGTCAAATGCTGGACGAAGAAGTATCGGTGCTCGACAATCTCTTGACCGTGCTCTACCCATTCCACCTTTTGACGGAGGCGGTCCTCATAGAGACCGAGAACGAACAGTCTGCCCTCAATCACACATCCAAGCAGACCCGTCCGCAGGAACTCGGGCTCCACGAGGATCGGTGTTGGGTTGGCCTCCTCAAATTTGTAGGGCCGGGCATGAAAGATAGCTTCTGTGTGTTTGGGCAATGCCCAGAAGCCACCAGAAAGAGACGGCGAGTCAACCCAAATTTCTCCAACAACATTGGGTGTGCAGAGGAGATTGGTTTCGGGGTCAACAACGGCAAGAGTTGCATCGGGAATTGGATAGCCGAAGGCGCCAACGCGCACAGCATGTGGCATACTGCTGGCATACTTTCGGGCATCTTCACCCATAGCTAAAACGACGACTTCGTTGCTCTTCAACGCCTCTTTGTCCAAAAGAACCTCACAAAGCTCATTCTTGGTGCTCTGCTTGGGGGCAGAGACTCGTGATCCACCGCCCAAAAGACTGCTTCCAAAGCCAGTGTTGGTCTCAGACTTGACGAGGCTCTCGTCTTCCTTCTTCTCATCGCGCCCAGCCGGGTCCATTTCATGGGTCAAAGAACATCCCATCCGCTCTTCACCACCAAGCCAATCACGCATACTGATAACCATACCTCCATGTTCCGGCAAACAAAGCATTGGTGCCACAATTTCTCTGGCGCGTGGGTTTCTCATTGGACGGAGCCATCTGTCGGCCAAAATTTCGTGGAACTCGGGGTCGAGAGTAAGAGTATCGATAAGACAGATTTTAACACTGCTGAAATTAGGCTCCGAGTTCTTTTTGAAATGTCTGGTCGACATCGGATCTTGCTGGTAGTTGTAGGTGGCGATTTTTAAGCCAGAGTAGTCGGTCGCCATGACTGTCGCCTTGTACTTGGTGATGAGATGTGCGTAAAGACCAGGCGTCTCTACTGCGCGGTCCTCGTGCCACACCGTCGTATGGCCACCGTAAACAGTGAAAAGGATAGCTATAATCATACCGATGCCTTGTCTTGGGTCGAGATAACTGATAATGGTTTCACCCTTGGTCGCATATTGCCTGGCACTGGCATCTGTGGGGACTGTGGAAATTATAGCGCTCAAGCATGCCATCTGATGCATGATAGTCCGGTGGCTCATCACAACACCACGCATATCACCCGTAGGAGCCCGTGCGAATTCAATGTAAGCCAGATCGGGGACCTGCAGAGGAGGCGTGTCGTCCTTCTTCTTTGGGTGGAAACTGCCGAATTCATTCGTCTTCCACCACTCGACTCCTTTGGGCCAGCTCAATTTCTGTGCTGTGATATCGCGTTGGAAATTCTTCAAGTTGTTCTCTGTTGTCAAAGCCAGGTGTGCTTGGGTGGAGGTGAGCAGCAGGTTCAGACTTGTGTAGTCGTCTAGACTATTGATGGGCACAGCTACAACTCCTGCGATGAAGCAGCCCAGAAGCGCGACAGCGAACTCAATAATTTCAGCTTCGCGGTAAATGAGAGCAACCCTGTCTCCACGATAGAGGTTACTCTTATCGCGAATAACTTGCGCAACTTTCTCTGCGCGGGTAGATAGCTTTTCCCAGGTAATGGACGCAATTTCCTTGCCCTTTGGATCCAGCACCCAGTACGCCGCTTGCTTGGGGTGAGCTCGAGCGCGGTGTCGCAAGACTGTGGGGAGATTGTCAAAGTTAGACATTGGGATGTTCTTGTCGTGAGGATCGTTTAATGCGAAAGGAATCTCTCGAGGCTCAAGCGGGAGCAAATGCTCAATCGCCGGTCCATGCTGAAATTCCGACGCAGAGATCAATGGCGGTGCCATGTTCGCTGTAGGCGAAAAGGCTTCGCCGGACTGAGAGTAGCGATGGAAACCACCCCCATAGCTATCTCTGTAATCATCATGCTGCTGACCCGCAAAGTCGGAGAAGTAACCTTGTTGAGAATCAAGCATTGTGGACTGCCGTGTGGGACCACCAGACGCAGGGTCGTAGTACAACGTTCCGTCGTCCACATACTCGGATTGAGCGTATTCGGCCGGAGGATACTCAGCTTGGGCGTACTCAGTCTGACCATACTCAGGTTGGGACACATATTCTGGTTGCGAGTTAGGGTTGAAGGCGTAATTCTGGCTCATCAAAGTTGCCGTTCTGGAGCCATCCGGGCCCTGAGAACCTGGAATCGGGGGCCTAGGCAGGAATAAAGAGTCGTAGGAGCTCGATGAAGGCATTCGGTCATGAGCACTTGCTTGGAGCATGCCCGCACGGTCTCCCTCGTGGGGCCCCGAGGGCTTCCTTGATTGATTCTGGTCTGAATTGGCGCCATGGCTATATCCGAGGCTTCCGCTGCGGTGATCATCGTAATCGTCTGCGTAGGTAGAAGATATTCCATGGATCGAGGATTCGGCGGTTGGAGGGCGAACATTCAAAATGGCCGACGGGGCGACTCCAGGGCTAGTTGGAGATGGATCATAGCCAGCGTTGACGTGAGGATTGATCTCAAGAGGTTTGTTTGGGCCGAAATATTGCGAGAGTAAGGCCGTACGGCGCTTTTGATATCTTGTTGTTGTCAGTTTTCTAGATTGCTTAACCCCCTGCTGGTCCCTATCCTCGGGATCACTATATCCACCTTGCAATACCATTTCATCTGTGGGGTTCTCATGGTCGGGGGTGTCTAGAATGCTTACCCTTTCTCGGTGATATCGCCCTCCTGTTCACACAGATATAAGCAAACTGATTGATCAGACGTATAGAATATGCACATACCTCCAATTCCCGATCTAGGGTCCGCAAAGCGGCCTGGAGCTCGGGGGACTCTTCCGCCATTTTGACAGCGGGTCGGAAAGCCTCAATTCGGGGAAGCGTATCTAAAGCGCGGGGGAGGGATGAGAGTACGCAGTCAAGGACACCTCATCGCAATGAGCGTCTCAAGGGCGCAAAATGAAGAGGGGGCGGATTTGCCGAGTACAGCCCTGATAGCCGCGAGTTGTATTTACCGGGGGGTAGTCGACTAACAGTCAACGAATGGTCGTGTCTCTCTCGGCGCAAGACACCCGCAACGTCACCCGTTCAAGGGCGGTCAAGCGAGCCGATATGCGCAGCTGAGACAGGAGACTAGTTTCGCTTGCTATATATAGGAGAATATTTCTACATTTGAAGAAGGTCTATTTGATTTGAGATTGACGATCGTAAATTGACCATTGGGGGCTGTTGAAGTACCTTCTGAGTTGTATCGCATGGCCAAGGCTCAGAATGCTAGGACTAGTGTGGTGGGTGAATGTAGAAGTGGATAATGCATGTATGAGTTGAGGCTGTAAGTAAAGATATTAAGACAACATAGAGCAGATTTAGGAAAAATCAATTTACTTGTGGAGTTCAAAGGGTTTGTTCGTATAATTAAAAGATTAAGAGATCAATAAGGCTGGAGAGACTGAGACTGGAGTGACGATCATTTCAGATATTAAGGCAACAAGGCAACAGGGAATCAAGGCACCAAGGCATCAACACAAAATTAATGTGGACCCGATCCACGTGATCGCACAAACTGTAAGCGAGCGGCGGACATTTTCCAGTCGTGGATACCGGAACCTCATCGACGTTCAACCCACCAAACGACAACCCGGTCACTTTCCCACCAACTCCTCCCGCACAGTCAACATGTCCGACAACGGGGACGTCGAGGTCTCCTTCCCTGTCCTGCCCAAGGAGGTTCTGGCCGAGCAGGGCAGCATTAAGCTGTTCAACAAGTGGAGCTACGACGATGTCGAGATCCGTGATATCTCCTTGACGTGAGTCTATTTACAGGTCCTCTCTGCGCCGAGTGAATTCCTGTTGTGTGTGTGAGAAGAAATTGAATCAGATGGGAGGAACTGGCGAGAAATTGGCTGCACGGAGGTCAATCTCGAAATTGTTGATATTCTCGATATTTTCAATGAAGGAACACCACACGTCAATGGATTGGGATTTTGCTTCGCACACAGCAGGGAACCAACAATGCGCAGGAGGATCGGAAATTGCACGACTATCAATTTTAACAGAGGTGCTGACCCTCTCTCACAGCGATTATATCCAGATCCGCTCCCCTGTCTACCTCTCCCACTCTGCCGGTCGCTATGCCGCCAAGCGTTTCCGCAAGGCTCAGTGCCCCATCATCGAGCGTCTTACCAACTCTCTGATGATGAACGGCCGCAACAACGGAAAGAAGCTCCTCGCTGTCCGCATTGTCGCCCACGCCTTCGAGATCGTACGTGCCACTTCGGTTACCCTTCCGGTTCATTGATCAGGCATTAATCTCGAATTCTACAGATCCACATCATGACCGACCAGAACCCTCTCCAGGTCGCCGTTGACGCCATTGTCAACTGCGGTCCCCGTGAGGACTCCACCCGTATCGGTTCCCAGGGTACCGTCCGTCGCCAGGGTATGTGAAAGTTCTTTTACTTCGGTATATCATGAAATGCTAATTTCTTTAACAGCTGTCGATGTCTCTCCCCTCCGCCGCGTGAACCAGTCTATCTCCCTGCTCACCATCGGTGCCCGCGAGGCCTCCTTCCGCAACATCAAGTCCATTGCTGAGTGCCTTGCTGAGGAGCTGATCAACGCCGCCAAGGGTTCTTCCAACTCCTACGCCATCAAGAAGAAGGACGAGCTCGAGCGTGTTGCCAAGTCCAACCGGTAAAGGGTTTGTGCTGGATTTGTTCTCCGTTTGGTCCTCTGTTTACGTTTACTGGAGTGGACGGGATTTTAGCCGGGATTCAGTGGATTCGCATGCATCTGCAAGGCTGTACATAATGTGATACAGTCTCGAGGAAGCACGATCTAAAAAGGGAAACGTATTCGGACGGCTTTCTTTGTAGTTGATATGCGATCATGAAGACCATAGGTCGTAAAGACCTATCTCCTAAAAAGAAAAATCTCTTTTATTCGTTCAATGATTTTAGTTGTAATTGAACAAATGTAAAGCATTTAATCCGAAAGATTCAAATGTAATAAGCTACAATTTAATATCGATATTATTTAGTTAGTCAAAATATCCTGAGACTTGATATTGTTCTAGCCAATTTGTACTCCGTAGAGTCCACTGTAAAGATTGCCCAGAGATTTTCCATCGCTTATCGATACGGAGAAAAAAAGTTTCGGACCTCCTACCAACACAACCCCAATCAACTATTTTCCCAAGTTACTTTGCTCACCGTTAAAATGGTGAAAAGAAAGCTTGGAGCCTTGGAAAAGGTTGAGGCTGATTTGTGAGTCTTCTTTGTCTGGAATTGAGTTGATGCGCTCGAGACTTCAGATGCTAACCATATTTGCGCTTTCCAGGCCCAACTTGCAGCACAAGATTAAGAGAGATCCCAAGTGAGTTTTACCTGCAAATGATTTTTACACTTCGGCTTTACTTGATCAGTGCTGATTGTCACTTGCGCTGCTCAGGTCTTATATTGAAGATTTCCGCGCCCAGCACTACCAATATGAATCTCACCGCGAGATTTTCATGGCGGCGCCCACATCCGCTACCGATACCGGTTTGATCTCTTTGAGGGATCTTATTGATTTTATTTCCCATGTCGCAGACTGTTACCCGGACATCTGTAAGGATTTCCCGCAACAGCTCATCGACATGCTCATGCAGCACCACCTGGTCTTGGAGCCCGAGCTGCGCGAGAAGCTGGTCGGAGCCCTGGTCCTCATGAAGAAGAAGGATATCCTGAGCTCGGAAACGTATGATACCTTACTCTTATCCATCCACCTGCCAATGCTGATCTCTACCCCAGACTACTCCACACTCTCTTCCCAATTCTTGTCACTACACCTAGCAAGACCCTGCGGGCTTTGCTGTTCCAGAAGATCCTTTCTGAACTCCGTACTGCAAACTCTAAGACTACCAACCACAAGTTAAATCGCACTATGCAGACTGTTCTCTTCAACTTGGTCACCTCTGATCGCACATCGGCTAAAGGCCTCTGGGCAATCAAGATTACCCGAGAGCTATGGAAGCGCCAAATTTGGACCGAGGCAAAGGCCGTTGAAGTCATGAAGGAGGCGGCCTTGTCACAGAACGAGAAGGTCATTGTCGGCGGTGTTCGTTTCTTCCTTGGTGGTGACAAGGAGCGTGAGGAGCTGGAGGACGAGGATAGTGATGAAGACGTCAGCGTTGGTCAGGTTAAGCACCAACTTACTATCAACAAAAAGACCCGAAAGAAGGCCCGTGTCGCCGAAAAGGCCATCAAGACCGCCCGAAACAAGGAGAAGAAGAAGCAGAACCAACCCGTAATGCTTAACTTCTCGGCGCTTCATTTGTTGCACGATCCCCAAGGATTTGCCGACAACATGTTCTTCAAGCATCTCCAGAACGGCAAGTCCAAGTTGAACTTGGAGCAAAAGCTCCTGGTCCTCCAATTGGTGTCCCGTCTTGTGGGTCTACACAAGCTGCACATCATGCCTCTCTATTCCTACTTCCAAAAGTACCTCACACCGCGCCAGCCGTCCGTGACTTCGTTCTTGGCGTCTTTGGCCCAAGCTTCCCACGATCTGGTGCCGCCTGATGTTCTTGAGCCTCTCGTTCAAAAAATTGCGAACGAGTTCGTTTCCGAGGCCTCTGCTGGTGAAGTTGCTACAGCTGGTCTCAATGCCATTCGTGAGATTTGTGTCAGACAACCCCTGGCCATGGATGAGACATTGTTGCAGGATCTTGTCATGTACAAGAAGAGTAAGGATAAGGGTGTTATGATGGCCTCCAAGGGTCTTCTCAGTCTTTACCGTGATGTCGGTGCTCAGATGCTCAAGAAGCGTGACCGTGGCAAGGAGGCTGCTATGAGTTTGCGTGCCGGTGATAGAAAAGAAAGACGCTTCGGTGAGCAAGCCGTTGGCGAAATCGAGGGTCTGGAACTTCTGGCTAGGTACAAGGATGAAGAGCGCCGTAAGAGGAACATCGAAAAGGGTCTGCCATCTGATGCCGAGGAGGACGATGAAAATGACGAGGAAGCTGACTGGGCTGCGTGGAACGTCGAGGATGATGATGACAGTGACGTTGAGGGTGAATGGATCAACGTGGAACATGATGTCGATATTGAATTGAGCGACTCAGAGGACGAAGGCAAGCCCAAGCCCTCGAAGAAATCTAAAACGGAGGAGGAAGAAAAGAAGGATGGTGAAAAGTCCAAGGTCGAGCAAGAGATCGACTTCCTCAAGTTAGCTACCACCCGAATCCTCACCCCCGCCGATCTGGCCAAGCTCGCTGAGCTTCGTGCCGAGGCAGCCGCCGAGGCAACTCTTCCTGGTAACAAGGGCCGCGTTGCTGCTCCCTGGACTTCTCGTCATACCGACGACCCATTGACTGCCAATGAGATTGAGGGTCTCGCTGCTCTGTCTGCCGCTAAGGCCACCCGTGAGGAGCGTATCGCTCACGCCAAGGAAGGCCAAACCGACCGCTCAGAGCACAAGAGCAAGGAAGCCAGGAAAAAGGAGCGCAAGGAGCAGGAGGGCAAGAGTACCACCAACAAGGAGAAGGCGCGCAGAAAGAACTTCTTGATGACACTTGGAAAAGCGAAGTCCAAGAACAAGAGAAGTTTGAAGGATGTTTCTCGTGCGCTCAAGGCGCATCACGAGAGAGGCAAGCGCGGCGGAAAGAGAGGAAACCTGGGTACTACAGTTGGGCCCAATCACTAGTATTTATCATCATTTTCTACGAATATCAGCCAGGCAAGAGTGCTGTTGCAAATTTACATCCAAATATTGAGGTAGATAGAGAGGGTCTAATTGTCGTTGGTGTATATATTCAGATATAAACTTGGAATAAACAGCCCTGGAGCTAGACGTCAACATATTCTGCCTAGGGTTTCTGTGTGAAACATAAGAGGACTGAACTCCTCAAATTTGCTATAATCGCATGTAAGAGCCGGTTACCTAGATATATATAGATCTGAGAATATTTGGAAATATGTCTATTGTGTTGCACCCATGGGTTCATCGATAGGGAATATATAAGTAGAGGCCCACCACTCTGTGAGTGTAACAACCAGCCATACCTAGGTATTACTTATCGTTCTCGGTCTTCCTGGATGATGTCTCATTTTCAGGTAACATCTATCTCTTTTGCATTTCATTTCATTCTTGGAAATATATTCATCGATGTAATCAAGTTGAAGTAGATTGGCCCAATATAGGCGCGTTTTTGATATCATGTGACCCATGATATCCCAATAAGGCAAAATTACGTCGCGTCCCAAATTAAGTTGCGCGTTGCCCTTCCAACGGCCCTTTTCACATTTTCTGCATCTCATTTTCTCTCATTCCCTACGTCACACCCCTCGTGGTAATTCAAAGCACACACCACACTTCAAATCTTGAGAAATCGGCTTTCCATCGCATTCGGATCTTTCTGAATTTTTGTCTTTCAATCTCCACTCTCATAATGCCTGCCGCCATGCCAGCCAACGTTGACCTCTCGAAGCGTCGACGTTTCCAACCCCCTATCACCACTTTCTTCACCTCCGCCACAGAACCAGTCTCGTCCGATACACCCCCAGTCTCGCACCATCACCACTATGCTGCAGCAACTTTCTCAGCTACTCCAGTCGTTCCTGCTAAAGTGCAATCTTCTCTTATGTCGGTCGGAATGCGGGTCCGGAAATCTGTCGCCGAAGGATACAGAACCAACATGACCAAGACACAAGAGAAAGTCTCGTTTCCCACACCTGTGGCTCAAACCCCCGCTGCCCAGCCTTACTTCGGCGCTCGCCATCATTCTGAGCTTACTCCCTTTTCTGGAACTGGCAAATCTTCATTTTCTCACGACGACTACCTTGTCACCGATGATGGTGACGCATTCTCTCTTCCCCCGAGCAGCCAAGAGTCAACCGACTCATTATCTGGTGCACTGGGCGGCCAAAAGCGCTCTTTGGAAGTAGACGAGATTTTTGCCGATGAGAACGATAATGAATCTTACAACACCTCGTGGCAAGACCACTCTGTCGGCCGAACCATCCTCTCCCCGAACCTGGGCCAGAGTCGCCGTATCCTTGCTGTCCGCAACAGCAAGGTTCAGCAGCCTACTATTGACGTCGATGACTTTGAAGAAGCTGCTTTCCTCCGCCGCCGTGAGGAAGTTGATGCCGAGGATGTCCGGATCTTTGGGGCTTGAGCTGCTGTTTTCTTGATTGCTGTGTGGCACGCTACAATATCTTCTTATCGTTGGGCTTGGTGTCGGTACGACGTTACTCACCAGACTTGTATTATACCCATTGTTCTGTTTTTTTTATTTTGCTCTATTGTTTCCTGTATCATACTTTTCTATTTCTGCAGTGCAGTCGATCTAACCTTGGAATTCTTGTTCGCTATTGGATCAATTTGTTTACCTGATATTTTTCTTGGAAACGTAAAGCTATGATAGACTGTATGCTCTGTTTTAGTTATCAGCAATATCAGGTCCCTATATTCTATGTACCCCTTCTAGCGCATATATCGGGTGATATTTAAAAATTGGGCCCAGGTAGCCAGTCTCACTCTCTGCCCAGCATATGCTCCGTACGGAGTGACTAGTTAGTTGGTGTGGAATAGCGGGTCGATCCTGGACATGGAAGGCGAGAGACTAAGTTGAGGTTGCTTTGGTGTGCTGAAGAGCAATCATTGGTGGTCACCTATATACTTTACTGAGAGAAAAATGTGAGATTGTATAAACGGGATACCACATACTGAGCCTCAGAGAAAATTCATGCAAGTTTCGAATTGGAATATAAAACATTGAGGAATGATTGATCAAAAATTGAGAGGACTTTGATCGCGATAAAAAGTTTTAGATATTGAATCACATATTGGGGCTTGGTGCGCTTCAGTTGCAAATCCATAGTTTCCAACTAAGAGATGACTACTACCAAGATATCTCCGATCCAAAGCTAGTATCAACCCATATCATAAATCATCTGTGTCCAACGGAATATCATCCAAGAGAATAAATCCCACAGCTCCACAGATTATGAAATGAATACAAGTCATGATCATTTAATCTCGTGCAATGGTATACAGTCCATGGAAGGTCTAGAAACAGCTGATATTGAAGAATGTCGCCAGACTTTCTAGGTGTAATGTATATATTCCCACAGCTCCACAGATTAACACCATCAGCGTATAAATCTCGCCCAGTAAGCTCGGATTCTCAAAGATCTAGGAGGGCTTAGAGGGTCATAGGTCCCTTGGCCGACAACAACGATAGTACCTTTCAGGGCAGCGCCAATGTCAGCATCAACATATATCCATTCTACCAACTCAATATCTGGAAATCAGTCTTCAACAAGCGCATATTAATTTCGTACATATGCAGATCTCGGTGCAGATGTGCCATCAAACGATCGGTAGATTTCGTGAGATTTAGAAGAATTGTAAAGAGTGATGAGAAAAGGAGCAAGAAAGCGAAAGTATTGCACATCCACCACGGATAGATTGGACTTCTAGAGTCATCATCCGATGTCCAATTAGGCTTAGTATGGACGTTTAGGCTATAGTGGATCCATGGTTTGTAGTACAGAATTAGGGCTCGGGTGGGTCGGCACAAGTATGCGCAGTCACAGTCACTGACAGCATTTACAGCCCATTGTCTTCAATGTTCACTAAACCATCTTAGCGCAGCTTTCTAAGATCCAAGGTGACTTGATTCATCATCGCCGCAGCCGCAGCCTTGTCGGAAGCGTCCTTTTCCTTGAGCACTTGAGCAAGGACGAACTTGGACCGCGCCGCTGCACTAATGTTATCTTCACTTTTTTCCAAGATCTTGATAGCGGTTTCGAGTGATATACTATAATCAATCGCAACCTTCGCATTAGCATGAGCGGACATGAGATTCAGTGAAGAATGGCTACGTACATGGCCATACTGAGACTTCCGGGTCCGTCGTCTTCTTGAGTCCAAGCATCAGCCTCCTGACACCATTCCAGCGACTTGTCAAGCTCTTTTCGAAAGCGGCATGCAATCGATCAGTTAGTTTCCCATACGCCGCGATTATCATGATCCTCGTAAGTCTCAATGAGGGAAGTAAAGGGGGAAGTACAATGCTTTGGTTGAGTCAAGGGTAGTCGAGTCATGGGGTCCATTGCGAGGCACGCAAGGATGATGTTGCCCTTCCCGGCGCCACAAACCTGGAGATCAAGTAACTTAGGTAAACTTTCTCGAACGAGCGGCCTGCGATACGCTATCGCCTCCTCAAGCCAGGATATTACAGTGCCGGGTGCATTGCGCTCGTAATTAAGGCTTCTAATTGCTGAGTACAAGTCAGCAATTAATCTACGCATGTATTTGGATAATAGTCCGGGTGAGCGTCCTGCTTCAAGAGGAACTCCGAAATTCCACAGGTTTTTGCATCCATTCAAAATGCCTCTTTAAAGTTGCCGTACTCAATAAGATACACAGTTAATCATTAGCAGACTGCTCCCTAGCGGAATTGAGGTCAAAACCTGCCCAATCGAACGAGATAGAGAATGACCCACTATCAATCATAGATTGCAATACAGCCTCTCGATCCTTTTGATTGATGCACCGATAGTTTAGCGGATCGTGTTCAGGGAACTTGCTTGTCAAGGACTTTTCGACGGGAGTCGAAATTGGCAGATCAAGTCTGCGCGCATATTAGCATACGGTATGAGAGCCAGGGTTACAACGAGACTACTGACAATTCCGGGCGGGAACTGCTTTCTCAACACCCTTTGAGCATTAGAAACTCACAACTTGGTCCGTTGTGCATTCTGCGTCCAAACTTAGCAATTATTGAAAAACTGTGGGGCGAATGTAAAGTCAACCTATCAACTTAATCATCATCGATAGTTTCAAATAAAAGAACTGTTGGAACGCCGGCTGGATCAAAAACACCAGACTTTCCTTGAGAGCCTTTACTTGATCATATTGATTATGAGAGCCATAGTGCGCGAGAACGGCGTTTGGAGCAACTGAAGAGTGTGTTGAGTGTGCTGATCTTTGTACTTGAGCTGCAGTCTTTCATGCGCTGCAAACGATTACTGTGTTAGTGTTGAGATAATTTGTAGGACGGTTCAGGAGCAAGAAGTTTCTAAAAGCAAGAATTTTGCTTTCAAGTCAGCAGTGTGATGATGGGTTGGTTTGTCCTTTTATAACAACAAACATGCTGGCTCAAAGACAGATCATAGGTACCCATATGTACAAGTAGGCATACGCCAATAGGTGTTTCATCCTATCACATAGCAACTGAGGTTGCCGACGATGAGCATGAAATGGCCTTTTTTAATGGCGCAAAAACTAGCCATGATGCGTAGAACTTACATTTGAATGTTGGTCATATGATTTCTACTGATTACTTTGTAAGACGGACCAAGAACAGCTTTTCGGCAGCCGAAGGCGTAGGCCTACTTCCAACGGTGGTGAAAGCAAGACTACTGCACTTGCCGCTCGCCTAGCTCTTGGTTTAAAAACCTGCCTTGTGGCAAGTATTGGAGCTCTTATCTTCCAGCGCAAGATGTATGAGATGAGAATGCAGGATCTAAAGGCGTTATTTACACCTGGAACGTTTGCCCAACCTGCGGAGCTTCACGGAAATGCTAAACCAAGTGTGTGTGAGTTTGGTAGCAGTAGATAAATCTGAAATTAATCTTTGTATAGAGCGTACATAAGTAGTTCATTTAACTACTTTAGAATCATATGTTAGTGTTGAAATCAAGAAAATGTCTTCAAGTGAATAGATACTGGCGAAGTGCTAGTTAAGAAACAGTGTTACATTATTGTCTTCGCCCTCACAGTATGTCTGCATAGCAATGGTGCGAATTTTTTCATACTTTCAGGTTTGTCAACATTCGACTTATCTTCGTGTGCTCTGAGCTCATGAATGACGATCATACGCATCTTTATCTACTGCCGGTGCCTCAGTGGTTCTAGATCAGCTCTACACGTTTGTGGCCGGATAGTGATGAGAATGACAAGTTTCTATTTTTCGCGACAGCCAGAGAGCCGGGCTAAGTTTTGGCACCGAACATCGCTCCCCATTGTCGCATAAATATTAGAATACATTGCACTTAGTGTAGCTGCTTCAAAAGTGTCTACATCAAGTGTCAATGCGGCTTCACTACTACTATAATCGACGGGGTCTAAATGAGAGGAGAGAATTCCATCTATGGATGGGGAGTGTAGTCTTCATCGGGAAGTTGTAGGGGAAGCTATTATGCTGTGCATTCAGCAGTCATGATTACAACAATGTATGTACATGAAAATGGGTTTCTTACATTATCCTAGCGAATATCAATAGTACCCGGGCCAATTCCCCGTGCCGTTTCCAAAATTCATCTCACTTGGGGATGGTCTAGGGAGATTATCGGGAAATACACCAGCCATGTTTCCTCCAAGAGGATAATTGCCAGCATTGTTTGGGGCGTTTCCAAGATTCGAAAAGTCAAGACCAGATACAGGATCTAGTTCCATTAGATCATCTGCAACAGGGAGGTGCTGTCCAAATACAGCATCCCATTGGTCCCAATCGAAGTTGATATTGGGGTCGACCATGCTTGGAGGTGTTGTAACACCCATGGTCAAGGGATTGGGCGCTGAGGGGTCTATGAAGGGGATGTTGGCCGAGGCATCGACGTTAGGGATTGGTGGTTGTGTTGGCTGTATGGGATCGGAGGTAGAGAGTTGCGCTGGAATGGGTTCACCAAAGGGACTCAGGTTGGGTGAAGATGAGTCCGGATTGACATTAGGCATGGGCCCAGTTGCAGGGTCGGGAATGATTCGGGATTCTGAGAGTGTTGAAGGTAGGAGTTTATCTTGGGGTTGATATTGGTATCGAAGAGGACTCTCGGTAGAAGGCGGAGTGGTAGGATTGGGAAAAGTATGAGAGCGGGTGATGTTGTAGAATCTTTTGTTGAAGTCTTGGGGATGATGGTTATGTGCAGCGTAGCCGGCTGCTGACCCAACTGGAGAGTCCGAGTAAGAAGAGCCACCACCATCGGAACGAGGGTCCGCTGGAGAGGCAACACCGGCATAGATTTGATCTTTTTCGGTCCAGAGCATTCGAGGATTGAGACCAGCCTTTTGCCAAGCTTTTTGACGAAGGCGGCGGATCATGTCCCAGGCTTCACGACCACCATCCTTCAATGGTCGCTGTGTTGAAACGCCATCTTCGCCGCCCACGACACCTCCATCGGGACCGGAGAGGGCAAGGATTCTGTCAATGAATGCGCGCGACCTAGGTGCCTCGGAGCTGTAAGGTCGTTCATACAGATCGATTAGCATGATCCTATGAGCATGATTAGTGGGATTCAAAAAGACGACAAGAGTTCGAGATGAGACCATACATAGTAGCATGCATTGGCTGATGGTTTCTGCGAAAATGTCAGCAACGATTACTGGCCAGTATAAAAATAAAGACAAGCTTACCCAGGCCAGCTCCAGTGAAAAGGTTGAAAGTCAGGATCCGTTGCAAGTTGGATGAATTTCTGCATGAATCCATGACAATGACGGAGTGCACTATTACAATTAGACATGAGATTCAAATTTCAATTCGATGCCCACGAACCTTTGTCGTGCCGCTGGCCAAATACGGCTGCGAGCATTCTTGAGAAAAGGTTGATAGGCAACGCAGAAAGCCTATTGAGTGTCAGTCTAATATGTTACTACCAGATATCTACAGGTCATACCTTGTCGATATATAAGGATAGAATTATCTTGGCCCATTTATGGAAGCACACAAGAACTGGCGAGTGATATTGTTCAGGACATCCAGTCGGGCCATCGCCTGGAAGCTCTGTATCGGAAGAACGACCATCCACAGGTGATTTCGACATGGACAAAGCTCTGCCTGATGCCGGAGATGGATTAGAAACATCTGCGCTCTCCGGTATTCTGCTTATTATGGAGTTGAGTTTTAATTGCAACTCAAGGAGTATAGACCGAAGTTCCTCCATGTCTTGTCGAGTGAGAGGTTTCGTTCCGAGTTGGATTTTTAGGATTCGGCGAACAGCACCTATTCATGATTAGGCTTGAAACTTCAATGAGAGGGACTTATTCTCACGGGCCATAGTATATTTCCCCCTTGCAGTCAGATAGTAGACGTTCACCATCGACGGCCCGCCGCAAAGATTCGGGTCATCTGGATTATCGGGCAATCGGCTACGGGACGCGATTTGCTTTTCGTACTGCTCGGCCGCAGGACTGCCCAGCAACGTGTCTTTGATTTCGCTGGTCTCGCACACATCCCAATAATTTTCATCGGAGATCAACGGGGGTAGGCCACTTGACATAGCGACCACTCCGTCCATGTGCATAATATGCCACCACAATCGGCGACGGTACTCTGCTTCACAGGGCTCTATGCCAAACTTGGCCGGGTCTCGGTGGAGACCCATAGTTTGAGCAACCCGCATAGCTAGACTGACAAAAAGACTGCTAGTCAGAGGCTCTTCCTCTTTGGACACAATTGTTTGCACAATAAGATATGCAGCGAGACCTTGAGGGGTTGGGCTGCGTGGAAATTTGATTTTTGTCAACCACCTTGTCACTTCTTCGCTATACATCGTTGAGAGCGCAGAACGTGACGAGGCGTTAAACTCGGCTTTGATGGCTCGAATCGAGATTGTCACTGATCCACCATACCAGATGGCATATAACAGTGGTATAAATGATGGGTTGGGAAAAGCTTCGCCGGAGTAACTGTTATAGTCAAACCAATCCCAGAAGGAATTGTATAACTTGAGGATTGTTGGTGGGTGTATAACAGGACTGATGGCGTGTACGCCAGACATGAAGCCCTTGTACAAGATATGGCTCTGGCGTCTTGTTGGGATGTGATCAAGCATTTCAGGCTCCACCACTCTCTCGTTGACAGAGGGAGAATCACCAGAGGGGAAGATAATTGATTGTTGAAAGGAACGAGATCTAGGCGTGGTTAAAGGTGTTGGGCTGTCCATTGATTCTCTCCAAGACTGCCGACCGTTGGAAAGTGGGTCGATCGGTTCTTCGATGTCATTGTCTAGACCAGACTGATCATGCGAGCGATTTTGGTCTCGGAGTAATTGGTTGAGCTCATTGATCTAGATTTCGAGTCAGTCGAAATTATGTATCACGGAATACAAAGGGAGCATACCTCGTCGGAAATGTAAGCCCAGTATGTGGTTCCAACATACCTGGTAAAGAGTCAGCGAAATCAATCTGATCAAAATAAAGTACCACCAACCGTGACCTCCCGCCGTCCTCCAAACTCAAATGACCGAGGTTCAGACTGCCAACCGGATCCACTAGATCGGTTGCCTGACCAGATGGAATCGGAAACTCATCGCCGCTTGACTCTGCAGCAACGCGACGTGGACTGGCGGCTCTTTGTGCAGCTCCATTTCCATTCAGATTGTGATTGTTTTGCCGCAAGTCCTCTAACTGCCGAGGGTCCACTTTGGTATCCGGGGCCGATGCCTGAGACCCCACAGCCTCGAGGGCTTGGTTTCTCCCACCAAGCCTCTCGATCATTGACATCAACTTGTCCAGCCGTGATTCAATCGCACTTGAGTCGGGCTTTTCGCCTGTTGCTGAATCCGCCCGCCTCAAGTGACCGTATATTGACTGGAGTTCGTCCACATCCTCTTCCAATGTTCGTGGTGTCTCTCTCCTTCGTTTGATGCCCTGTCCTGGTTGGGAAGATCCTTCGCGGGAATCGTCATCTTTTTGCGACGAAACATCATATATGCACTCGGTGTTGTTCTTCACGCAGTTTCCACAGATCGGATGTGCCTAGTGAGAGAAAGAGATGTCAGTCAATTTTGTACTGCTAGTATCCATATCATGAATTTCAGTCTACCTTATCACATTTGACTTTCCGGCGCCGACAGGTGTGGCAGCTATAGCTTGCCCGGTTGCGGGTGATTTGGCGACCTGCAGCCAAGGGTCCCTTCAATGGAGGGAATGAGGTACCAGGGATAGCACCCGGTACGGGCTGAGTATTGGGCGGACTAGGGTTCATAGTCCGTTAGACATTGAGGATTAGACTTGAAGCATGAAAGCGATACGCGCAAAAATGAAGACGCGAGCCGATTGCGGGGATCATCGGAGTGACGCCCAGGTGGGGCTAGTTAATGGTCAGCATTCTCGCCTCGGGTTTCAGGCAGCAACAACCATTTCCATTTCCGTTTCTGTTCTGTTGTCGACATCGTCTCTCTACGACGTTTTATGGAAATATTGAGGGACAGAAATTTGATGGAACGGAATAAAGCAAAATATAGCACTTTATTGGGGCTTCGATTGTCTAGGCATCAATACAGACACCAAGAACTATACCCAGAGTCTGGTTGTAACATCAACCCATGATTATCGATATATGAACCGGAAACCCCCATACTTCACCAGCCATAAATCGTATATCTGAAGCTTCGAATAATTGCTAGAGGACAAGGTGCGTGAGATGGGAGTAAGCCCCTTTGTAGATCTGTATCTAGGGCCTGCCATTGGCTCTACATATTCACAGCGAAATTGCACAGAAACTGGAGAGATTCGAAAGGAATAATGAATAGCACGCTTTGATAGGTGTGCATAGAATAAAAATCAAAAACTCTTTCTCAACCTGTGAGAATGGCTGCTCTTAACTATACGGGGTAGACGGTGTCCACGTAGGCGCTCCTTGGGAATTTTCATGCAATCCCATGCAAGTCACTTTGAGAAGGCGTTTGACCGACAATTAGAGATAATTTTGAAGCCAACTTGAATGCCATGCTTCTATCCGTAGTGAGAAATAAGTGCTTGTCAAGATTACAGTCTTACTAGAAGCCAAGTATTGGCAGGAACTCCATGGAATTCACGCAAATTCAAGTAAATCCACAACCCATTAGAATCGCAGTCTGATATTATTACCACTCATATCATAATTGGCAGATAAAAATACCAGCGCGGACGGATCTTTCCGGTGTGATAATTTTTGCGCCAACAAAAGTGGATGCCAGCGCCTAGGCGTAATCGCACTCAGCCACTAGAGCCATGATGAGCCCCCTCCGAAATAGCTTTTTTTTGACTATGAAACAGAAGTGCCAACTGGGTACTATGCAAGCTAATGCAAGAGGTACTTCGGGAAGTCTCAGTAACCAATCAATGGAAATGCATCCGCACCATTCAACAGCATCCAGAGGCCGCCCTCGATGGCCCAGACTGCGCGTTTGTTGTTCATTTAAATGGAGGCTGTTTATATGTCCTCACATATTCCCCCCACCTCTAGGCAATCTTACCTTAATATACTTTGCCTCTGGGCATAATGAGCTTCGGCGTGAGTGTGGGAGACTTCGTTGCGGTCTTGTCGTTGGCCAATAAACTACGAAAGGATTTTGTCGGCGCCCCCAGTCAATACAGAAGTATTGCTAAAGAGTTTGTGCCTAGTGCGTACGTTATCATTCATTTTATTAATACATTGGCGAACAGGGTCAGAGGACTGTCAATCGTCCTCCAAGATGTCGATGATCAACTACCCCTCTCCGCAAGAGAAGGCGGCTCTCAAAACCCAGAATTGGATGAGATTTCTCATGGCTGTCACATTCTTCTTAAAGAACTTGAAAATGAGCTTGATAAATATAGGGTGGTCCAATATTCCGGGGATGATATACAAAAGAAAGCGATCAGCGTGTGGAAAAGGGTTTCCTGGGATTCCAAAGAGATACGTGAGCTGCGAGATCGATTGGTCTCTAACATGACATTGCTCCAATCATTTCTGAGTGCTATTTCGAGGTAAATAATCAATTCCCCTTTAGTTCCACCTCTTGATCGACTCTAATATGTAAAACAGTAAAACAGCATCAGCGACAAAGGAACTCTTGGATGTGATGAACCATCGACAAGAAGACCAGGAGAAATCTAAAATTCTTGACTGGCTTATTACTACCGATTACAATTGCCAACAAGACGAACACATTGGGGTAAGGCAAGCGGGTACTGGGAAATGGCTTCTTGATTCGCAGGAATATGAACATTGGACTCGAACGCGACAATCAAGTGTACTTGCTTTAGGCATACCAGGTGCTGGTAAGACCATTTGTTCTGCTATAGTTGTCGATGATTTGACAGATCGGTTTGAACACGGCCGAGAAGTCGGCATAGCATACCTCTACTGCAACTTCAAACGACAAGAGGAACAGAATGTTGAGCACTTGCTTGCTAGTCTTTTGAAACAGTTGAGCCAAAGAATGCTCGATTTACCTGATGCTGTGAGAGACATGTACGATCGCTGGCAACGTTCAAAGAAACGTCCTCGATTTGATGATCTTTCGAAGGCTCTACACGCCGTTGTTTCTTTATACTCCCAAGTCTTCATCGTAATTGACGCCCTCGATGAGTGCGGGTCAGCAAATGGTTGCAGAGCAAGACTCCTTGCTGAGATAATGAAGCTTCAACGTGAGACTGGTGCGAATGTCTTTGCAACATCGAGACCCATGAAGATCGATGATTGTTTGAAAGGAGCAGCATTGCTTGAAATACGTGCGCGTGAGGACGATATTCGAAAATACGTTCGTGGCAATATGTTCCGACTGTCGGGATTTGTTACTGAGAATGTATCATTGCAAGAAGAGATTGAAAACACAATAAGCCAACGGGTGCAAGGGATGTATGTATCCTTTTCACCCTATGTTTACTTCCTTTCTGTGGTATTGAGTTGCTCATGATTGCCCAGGTTTCTGCTTGCAAAGTTTCACTTCGAATCGTTAGTAGGCAGAATGACAGTTAAAACCACTCGTACCCGCCTCAAAGAGCTGTCTGAAGGAACGGACGGGTATGACAAGGCGTACGATGAAGCTATGCAGCGCATCAATGCACAGCTCCCAGAGCAGCAAGAGCTAGCTATAAAAAGTCTGGCCTGGATAACCTTTGCAAAGCGGTCTCTTACGGCGCTAGAGCTTCGGCACGCACTTGCTATAGAGGACGGGAAATCAGATCTCGATGAAGAGAATATCCCACGGATAAAGGATGTTCTTTCTGTGTGTGCGGGCCTTCTCAATACTGATGGTGGTATTGTTCATCTGGTTCATTATACAGCCCAGGAATATTTTGAGAGAACACACACACGTTGGTTTGCTGGGTTCTCAGAGACTCATATAAGCAATCTCTGTGTGACCTACATCTCGTTTGACAGTTTCGGAACAGGGCCATCTAAAACCAATCAGGCTTTTGGCAAGCGCATTCGAAAATATCCTTTCTATGTCTATGTGGCACATCATTGGGGCAATCATGCGCGCGAAGCTCAAAATTGCGGCCCAGAAGTGATAAGGTTCCTAGAAGATGGGGCAAAGCTTGAGGCATCCGTTCAGACTCTACAAACCAGAAGAATACCAGTCTATTCCCGAAGAAGTATCACCACTCTCGTGAGTGGGCTGTTTTCAAGAGGAACGACGGGGCTTCATGTCGCAGCATACTTTGATTTCCACCAACTGGTTAATTTACTTCTCCAACATCACCACATTCTGGAAACGCGCGACAGTAACAGTTGTACACCTTTAATATGGGCGTGCAATTTCGCTAGAAGAGATAGTATGGCGACTATCAACTTACTTCTTGCCAGTGGTGCATATATCGATGCAGTGAATAAGTACTATGAGACTCCCCTTTATCTGACCGCCTCGGACGGAGACGAGGAGGCAGTGCAACTTCTTCTTGATTTTGGCGCAGACATCAATGGCAACAATGAGAACGATCCACCCCTCGTGGTAGCGTCAGAGGAGGGACATTTAGGTGTTGTCAACCTACTCCTCTCGAGAGGAGCAGATCCAAACCGGACTGGGATGGAATTTCCCTTCGGGGAGACCCCCTTGGAGCGCGCATCATCGAACGGCCATCTCCAAATAGTTGAACTGCTCCTTAAAGAAGGTGCCGATGTTACCGCACACGCCTTGAAATCGGCCGTGTCGTACGGCTATGAAGATGTCTTCGAGATTCTCCTTGCAAAAGCGACAAGCATTCCTAGTCCGTCTGCAATTTATGAGGCAGCGCTTTGTGCGGCATCAGAAAAGGGAAACCATTCAATAGTTCAGACGCTTCTGAACAAGAACACCGACGTCAACGCGCACTACCTTTGGGAAACACCACTTATTGCTGCATCGAAGGGAGGACAGATTTCGATGGTTCAGTTTTTACTGGTCCATGGAGCTGATGTCGATGAAAACGATGACAATTATATAACTGCTCTTCAGGAAGCCTCGTGCACGGGGCATCTGCAAATAGTCAAAATCTTGCTACAGCATGGGGCCAATATTAATCAAAATGGTCGTCGTCATGGAACTGCTCTTCAAGCAGCCTCGGGCCGGGGGTGTCTACAGATAGTCGAGTTCCTGCTACAGCGTGGAGCGGATCCCCTAATTCGTGGTGGGCCAAAAAAAACGGCCCTCGAAGCTGCAAGGTGGAGCCGCTATGAAAATATCGTGGAGCTGCTGAAAAAGCATATAGTGGAAAAGCGTCAACGGCAGGTACTAGATTCAGTACGCCTGAACTCAGAGGTACCACAAATGGACAGCATTGACAGCATTGTATGTGAATAGTGTATTAGGTTCTATTTTTTTATTTCCAATGAGTTCCTTGCAGTAATTTCATAAGACAAACAATCATAAAGAAATACAGCAAGCTTGGAAATATTGCAGCCATTGCCGGAAAGCAGGTAGAATAGGGTGGTGATATTTGTGAAATATGTCCTGAAAAGTACATACAAGTAATGTCAATTCAACGCCCATCTAGGTCTACTAGACATGCTTTCCAGCTTTTGACTTTGGTGAATGCCTATATTTCCACCCGAGATTTTGATACTGAATATCTACGAATAGTCACATGGGCATACATGCAAAATTAGATAAGCTAAACATGGAATGTGAGAGACAATGTAGTCATGAAGCGTAATTCTTGATGATCCAATGGATCACTAGCAAAATAAGAACGATGGGAGAGCATTATTAGAACAGACAGACCCAGGTAGGGGGTATAAGTAGCCACTGCGTCTTGAACTGCGACTCGCCATTCTTTTACGAAATTTATTCATTCCCATGGAGATGTTTAGACCTTCTCTTCAAAGAGACCATCCTTCCAGATAGTAGCGAAGGGAGTGACACCATCCTCACGGAAGTCAATCAAGACGTGCCTGATAGTGAATCAGAAGCGTTAGTCAAATACACGACAGGGAAAGGATGTGAAAGAACTTACATGGCTTCACCGTTCATGGATTCGCCCATCATGACATCGAAGTTGTCGTAGTTCTTCAGAATGTACTTCAAAGCTCCGGCCGCCTGTTTCTTCCAATCGTCGCTTCTAGCGTCGCGCTTGCTGAGCATCTTGAGGTATTCTGTCGAGAGAAAGCATTAATCAATTGCATAATCAAGGCCACAATGAACAAAAATTGAGGAAATTATAGGCCGGTGCAATGTAGGAGAAGGGAGTTATAAGCGTACTCTTCAGGTGAACCTCGAAGTCTGACTTGGAGGGCTTGTACTCGTCCTGGAGCCAGTTAAGGCGGAACTGGTCCTCGATATCGTGAACCATCTTGAACTCGCCCTCACCACCATCATCCTCCTCAGCATCCTCAGCGGAGGGGTTGGCACCGGCGAGTTCGAAGTTCTCGCCACCGACACGCTTCGTGTACTTTCGGCAATCACACTCCCAGAGGACGAGGGGGAATTTCTCGCTGTCCTTAAGTTTGAAGGTATCGGCGACGATCTCATCGTTGGAAACGACGTCCTGATGGGACTTGTCAGCTTCAAATCGCTAAACTTCCTGAGGGCAGGAGAAAATTGACCCCTCAGGTAAAGAAGGAGGGGTAGTCTAAGGACCTGTATCATGTAGAGAGGCATACCTTGTAAATGATCATTTTGGCGGAGGAGCAATTGGTACTTTTTTGATTAAGAAAGATTGAGGGGCTGGAGTAGGAAGAAAAGAAAAATAGGGAAAGATTTTTCTTCGATTTTATTCAGGCGGGGGACGAATCGAAGAGAGGGGCGTTTGCTTTGTTTGCTCTCGAAGAGATAGTGTATGTACATACAGTATGTACATACAGTAGTTACCGCCACAGGTTCAATTTAGTGTTGTACACGTTGCATCTACGGAGTACATTAATCATAATACAGAAACAGGTTCGAGACTTATGATCGGGATTTATTTCATTTAGTACTTCATATTTCTCTTTAATGGTGACTGGAGGAATTGTATCGAAACCAATAAAAGTACATGCAACGTACAACAGACCAACTCCGTCAATTGGCCAATCGGAGGTCGATTTGAATCTCACCTTAGTCAGCATCGAGACTCCCCGGGGCCACGGCCAGGGCTGATTAACTGGTACCATACCATACTGTATTAAATATCCTTTTACTCCATAAGCTTCAAAATTTCTGTTCGGTAAGTATGACCACGCCACCTGGACAGCCGTCTCCGGCGAATTCCATTATCTCCTGATCTGAATCGCATATCTTTTAAATCTTCATCTTCCTATATCCTTTCCTTCATCATTATCAGATCATTTCTTGCCTGTAATAACCGGCGAGTGCCGAGACTTCTCTAGCTGATCGCAATCAATACTGCGTCGCGCCTGCTACCCGTCAGCTTCCGGACTCGGCGTGGTAGGCAGTTGCTGACAAGCGTACATTCTCTTTCCTAATCCACGATTTGCTCGTCTATCGATTCCCTCCTTTGATACTTCAAACATTCCAATATTTTTTCATCCCATCGACATTTTTAGCGCCACTGCACCTCGATTCTTGCCATTCTTTCATCATGGCTGTCAACGCATCCGTCGCGTTTGATCTGCCTCCTCTCCCAACTTACATCTTGACAAAGCGGGACGATCTCCTCGCCCCTCTTCCCGATAACATCCTATCGCTTCTTTTGCCTATCATCGCATACTGGGGCATGTCCATGATCTACCACTATCTGGATGTCAATGAATACTTCGTCGAGTACCGGCTCCACACTCCCGCGGAAGTTTTAAAGCGAAACAAAGTGAGCCGATGGGAAGTCATCCGCGATGTCGTTCTCCAACAGGTGATTCAGACTGTTGCTGGTTTGGCCTTTCTGTATTTTGATGCCGAAGAAACTGTTGGACGAGAGGAATACGATGTGGCCGTCTGGGCCCAGCGATTGCGGATCGCCCAAAAATCGGTTCCGTCATTATTGGCGCTTGCTGGAGTTGATGCTATGAGCCTTGCGAAATCTGTCTCTCAGAATGGCCACACGATGTTGGCCGGAGCTCTAGCCGGAGGATCATACCCAGGAGTCACCAAGTCTCTGGTTCTCGACACTGGGGCTGAGGTTGTGGTGCCCGCTTTCACTAGCTGGGAATCCGCCGCTGCTGGCTTCATCTACTGGTACTTTGTCCCGGCTCTACAATTCATGCTTGCGGTGTCTATTGTGGATACCTGGCAATACTTTTTGCACCGAGCTATGCATCTGAACCGGTGGCTCTATGGTATGCCTAATCCCTTTTTCTTATTTTTATCTGAATATTGACCATTATAGTGACATTCCATTCCCGCCATCATCGTCTCTATGTTCCTTATGCCTTTGGTGCCCTCTACAACCATCCCTTTGAGGGATTCCTCTTGGATACCGCTGGCACTGGAATTGGATTTTTGGTATCCGGCATGACCACCCGCCAGGCCATGTGGTTCTTCACAATTTCGACTATTAAGACCGTTGACGACCACTGTGGTTACGCCTTCCCTTGGGATCCATTGCAGCATTTCACTTCCAATAATGCCGCCTACCACGACATTCACCACCAAAGCTGGGGTATCAAGACGAACTTCTCCCAACCCTTCTTCATTTTCTGGGATCGCCTGCTCGGCACCCAGTGGAATGGTGAGGTCAAGCTGCGTTATGAGCGCGCCCGTGACAACGCACAAAAGCAAGTCGACATGGATGCTATTAAGGCACCCGAAGTGGCCCCTGAAGTGGCCCCTGCTGTGACTGTGACCGAGAAACGTGAGCGTGAGCAAGTGGTGATATCGACCGAAGGACCAGCTACGCGCACGCGGCTGCGTCGAAAGACAGTCGATAGTCTCAAGGGCCCCAGTCACGGTGTTCCCGGAAGTGTCCTCCACAATTGAAGCATTGATGAAATGAACCTGAACATTTGCCGATTTTTTATGCATTCCCCCAACCCCGTCCTTGGAGCTGCTGGTCGTCTCCGCCAGATCGTTGGGCTTTTCGTCATTTTTTGTATATGGGACAGCGAGCCCAGTGTATTAATACTTCAGAATGTGCTAGTCCATCCTTTGTACATGGATCGCTCTACGACCTACTGTCCATAATGTCTATTCATTTTTTATCTACATGCTTTCGTGGGTGCCCAACGTGAAATCAATGCATTTGCAAATATCATAAAATGACTGCTGTCAGCGGAATCAGGTCTTTTATAAGAACCTTAAAAATAAACACTCATAAGATGATACTTATCAAGTGCTAGACGAAAGCAAAGAACGAGAGCAAATTGCTCGATATGCTAATCGCATAGGGATAAAACAGCAAAGCAATGAAAATAGAAAGGAAGCACAAGGCAAGCAGAAACCAAATGAGACGAAAAGCCATTCGTAAACATCAAAGTCCCTCAGGTTCACACAGCAGATTCCCGGCCGTCGTCGCGCCAGCTGGACTTTCATGTGCGTTAGGCGTATCAAGCTCATCATCACTCCACTCGCAGTCGGTGGAGCAAATCGACAGAGGCGCAGGACGTCCTTGATACGGATTCGACCCCGTTGTCTTGTACATGGAAATCATCTCATCTAGTGCATCTGGCCTCTTGAAGTCAGCGCTCGGGATCCTCGGTGAAAGCGGATTCCCAGGCGGCCCATAAAAATTGTCGCGGTGGAAACTGTATTTTCGCCCTTCAACGGGATCCACAAATCTAATCACGCGGTCCGGATGAAGACCGGAATGAAGAGCCAGGTGAAGAGCATTTTGATGACCCGCAGGTGCTCGCTTCCCTGCGTCCAATGAATTCAAAAGCCTCTTGTATGATAATTTCGACTGGATCTTCAAGGGGCTCGAGTGAACAGGCCGGCTGCGCCCTTCGTTGTCAGTGTCAGTATCGTGGGGGCCGAGCTACATATGAAATTGGAGTCTTCCCAACACACCTTTCCGCAGGATGGGTTTCGAGGATCACCGGCGGTGCCTGGGGATGGCACTTCTTCGCACACTTATGGATCCCATCGCTGCCTTCCTTCCCGGGCTTGTCTAAGTCCTTGTCGCCGATCTTGTGGTGCCTGTGCAGTTGTCTGGTGTCCGCATGAGCTGGATCCATGTACCAAGCCTTAGTACAGGCCTTGCGAGTGGCTTTAAAGATATGGGCGAAATAGCTGGAGACGCTGTGCATCTCGTCCAAATCCTCCTGAAAGTGGTCGATGCAGCTATCGACGAATTTCATCAGTCGGCGCCGGACGTGGTTCACACGGGTTTGCGTGCGGGAGAGCAATGCGGTGCGCAAATTGCGCAGTGTTTCCTTGTCACTCGCAATCCGTGCCAGCATGCAAGCCTGGCATTTGCTCGTCTCGTAAATCCATGCGCCTGGTTCGCTGGCGCAGTCCGCGGCTGGCTTTTCCCACATACCTCGAATCGACTTCAGTTGCGCAACAATGACCTTGTCCAGGGGCTTCAGTAGTTCTGGGTACGCATCGAACTTGACGAGGTGGTGGCCTACCTCCCGCTGGACGAGCCAGAAGATTTCATGTGTAAGATTGGCGTTCAGTCCTTGGTGTGTGTCGCACAGAGCCTTGCTTGTTCTGATCCAGCGGTCACGACGTAGTTGCTTTGGCAGTTCCTGAATCAGTTGTTTGACGAGCTGCTCAGTGCGTTTGTCTTTAGTGTTGTCTATATGGAAGATCGCTGTTAGTTTTCTCAGTTCGCCCTTCCTTAGGTCGGTGACTAACTGGGACCCGTGTCCAGAGAAGAGGGATCCATGTCGAGTAGCTGAAGCTCTTCTCTTCCTTCCGAGTCGGTCTCCATCTTTGCGCGTATCTTGTCTTGTTTGTGGAGAAGGTTGATCGACGTTTATAGCAGACTTGGACATATGAAGGTGGTAAATTATGAGGAGAATATATACTGGTTGGAGCTGATCAATGGATAATAGAGATCTATGGAGTGAATATGATATAGATTGTCTTTCTGCTTCAAGCGCAGAACAAGCATATAAATGCGAATAGGACTGGGATTTTCATTCGTAGGGACCTTTTTGATGTTGACCTCAGCAAAAGTGAGAGGGAAGTTCACGAGTGCCGCTCTGTTGAGTACTCTTAAGCACTCTCCCAGAAAATGCCTTCTGTACACTTTTCTCTTACTTTAGACTGCTGTTTGTACCTAAATACGTGCATTTGTAGGTACTCAACGGACTTTTCATTCTAGAGAGAACAAAAAGATTGTTTGCTTGTCCAACAGTCGTTTCAATTGAATCACCTAATTGGGTGGAATCTGGGCAAAGACAAAGACCATTGATGATTTTCTTCATCTCATCTTATTGTGCAGAACAAAGGACTCACTTGTCTTTATTGGTCTAGCATTCAATAACACTGAGCGAGTGAAATAGAACAAAGAAACCCCATCCATTGCCATTGTTCTATTATCTTGAGGCGAGACTATCTACAAAGCAATACCATCAATGGACAACTCCGCATCCTATAAAACAGGACTCGATCCCAATTCCCATGTCCTGAAACTTTCGAACTTGATTATTCTCAAAGAGAATCCCAACTTTCGCTTTTTCGAACAAGTACGACTTTGCTACATACCCTCGAATATAATTACCATGAAGCGAGTCAAGATGCGTTACCATGGGATGTTCAATTACCCCAATGGTCGGAATATCACAGAAGACGCCGATCCCCCCGGCGAAAATCAATACGTGACTGTCTTCTTCAACTGGTCTGATCGCCTCCGCAATGACGGACAGCTCATGGATCTCGTCGTGGACCACATTATGGCCCGAGACGGAATCATCACCCCCACACCTGTTCACCACGACATCCGATTCTGTCTCTCTTTGCAGATTCCCAGACACTGGAACCCTACTGATGCTTCCGTTACATCAATTGCAATTGGCATTGCCCAATGGTACAAGAGCGAGATTATCCATGCTGGCATGAACATCGATAGGAGCTACTTGTTCCGCTTTGCACATCGGCCAGTTTGGAGATTTTGAAGAACGACTTACTTCTTTTCAATCCAAACCACGGATAAAATTCATCATATGCACTGAGTCTATATATGGTATGTTTCCATCAATGATCTCTTGGGATGCTGGCTCTTGGCTCACACTTGCTAGCACATGTCAACTCCGAACTACGAACACCACCTCGATTTTGCTCTTTTCCTCGACGAGTCGTTATTGCCTCCAGTGATTTGTTGAGAACGTTGGACTGGCTCATCCCTACTAATGCTAAATTGAAGTCGAGACAAAATTTCCTGTCAGGGGTGGAGGACCCAAACATGGGGGTCATAGCGGCGAGGGTCTTTGTATCATCGCAGGCTCGATCTACAAGTTGAAAAAAATACAATACAGTTTGAAACTAATCAATATTATTCGACGGAAATAAAGTACAAAAAAAAGTACAACGTAATATAAATCGAGCAAACCGAATATAGTCATATATAGAGTCACAAGGTAGAGGCAGGTGCGTCGGCAAAAGAAAAAGGAAAGACTATCACATGACAGCTAGGCGTCAACAAGATGATTCACATTATTCGATTCTCTGCTTTTGTTACACACTGCGAACTCTCGGTTCTACAATGACCTGCCAGGGCGAGGAGGGTACACCGTTGCCCTACACTGCCTCCCCGATCAAGCTACTATGGAGCGATCTATGTTTGTTCTTGAGCCTTGTTAGGCATCTGCCGGGCATTTTTCTACCCCTGCATTTATGTCGCGCCCGCCCATTAGACGAGTTTTATCCCTCGATACACAATATATTTATTGTGGCAGTTCATCTGTTTCTCGCGGTTTACCAAGTTGTATTCCTGGTCTCCCTTCCGCTCTTGGTGATTTGCATGATCCCCGGCCTATGGATCCTTGCATATTTTGTTGTTGGAATTAGCTTCAACTATGCGATCGTAATGTTTTGCTTGAATGGGGTTGACCAAATTCTTGTTTCTGCGGTGCCTGTGGCTGAGCGACCAGGACATGATCGTGAGTGTTGGCTGTTTATAAATGGAATCGCGGCTGGAGATCGATGGGTGCAAATGAACATTGATCAGCTGTCATACACCTTTGGACGGAAGGTGACTGGTGTGCATAATCGCACGTAGGTGAATTCTTGCTTGATTTACCAATCCGATACTAAAGAGTCTAGTGCCGGTGTGGTTTTTGATTTGATCGAGTGTTTGATTCAACGCGACTTCTCATACGCTACTGGCGATATTCGAAGAGCATATGCTTTGGTTAAGAAAGCGCTCTTAGATCCTGAATGTGACAAGGTCGTTTTGATTCTTCACAGCCAAGGCGGCATTGAAGGTGGATTGGTCATGGACTGGCTTTTGGATGAGCTACCGCACGATCTTCTCCACCATTTGGAAGTATATACTTTCGGAAATGCGGCGAGCCACTTCAATAATCCACGATGGACGAAGTTGGCAAGACCAGAAGCGGTGCAAACACAGGATTTGGTGCATCAGTTTGGTCAATCCATCGGCCATATTGAGCACTACGCCAACTCAGGTGATATTGTAGCACTAGGAGGCGTGCTTCACTTCGTGGACATCCCCAATCGATATATGGGCCGGCTTTTCGTCCGTCCAAACTCAGGACATGTGCTCAATATGCATTATCTGAGCAATATGTTCACTCTCGGTCCTGACATGAAGGTCCTCGAGTCCAACCCTTTCATGGACATGGAGGTCGAACCCTGGGCAACTGCCGGGATAAACGGGTATTCTGGTCCTCCGCATAGAGTCAGATATCAACCCACTATAGCCCGGGATGAGGCATTTCTTCCCGCCGCACTGAGCCTGCAACGATTTCAGCCGAATGGTACGAGTCGAATACTGCGTGTCAAAGATTTCAGTCGACTTTGGCAATATAGAAATGGAGGATCACCCCAAGTGCCCAGTAACATGATTAGTGAGGCGATCATGTAGTTTATGGTTATCTAGCTAGTATATCGCAGATTGACATCTTCTATGGTAAAACTTCGAAGATTCCCAACTTTTACATCCAAATTCTGACACTGTTGTCTGCACTTCCAATAGCAACCACATGTGAAGTCCCCTGGTCAGAATGCATGCTGGGTCCCCATCGAACCGAACTCAAAAACTTGGATGACCCGACAATCGTCTTCGCCAAACGCGCCTCGTTCGATAAATCCCAGCACCGAATGGTCCGATCATCGCCAACACTAACCAAGAACTTCCCTTGAGGATGAAAAGCCAGACCCCTAACCCAAGTATCATGGCCTTCCAGAGTCTTGATCAACCTCCCCCTTTCATTCCATAACTTGATATTGCTGTCTCTCGACCCAGTCGCAACAAACATTTCCCTGCCAGATAACTTCATCGACCCCAAACAAGCAATATACACATGACTTGTCGCCGGTGCAACCGCACAGCACTCAATAACACCCCCATGCCCGATCATCCTTGCATTCACCTCCCCAGATAAAACATTCCATATCGTAGCAACCTGATCATCTCCCGCAGACACAACATAGTTCCCATCCGCAGACGGCGAAATATCTCTAATCCAACCCGCTTGCGAATCTATAGTGCGAAGACAATACCCAGTCATAACATCCCAGACCCGAATCGATCCATCCCGTCCGGAAGACACCAAGTTTCCATTGGGCAAGAACCGCACCGCATGAACTGAGTGGTCGTGACCGCATAACGTGCGTACGTTAGCATACTTGCTGCTGGGATCCCAGATCTTGACCGTCAGATCACTCGAGCAGGATGCGAGTCGGGTCTGCTCTTTGGGGCCGCCATAGTCGAGCCCTAAAACGGGTAGTCTGTGGCCTTTGAGGGTCCGCTCAAGCTGTCCGTGCTCCCAGTCCCAGATTTTGATGCTGCAGTCTTCTGATGATGAGGCTAGGGATGAATGCGTCGGGTGGAAAGCTACGCTTGTCACTTGATCGCGGTGAGACTGGAGTTTGTGTCTTGCTTCGGCATCTGGTAGCCAGTTGGTGGGATCCTGCTGCGGGCGGATGGTTGTCACTGATTGGAGCTTTGTCTCTAGATCCGTGACTTTGGACTCTAAGTCAAGTATCTGTGCAAAAATTAGCATTGTTGATTTGTTTGGGTGCATTGTATAAACATACCCGCCTTTGCAGGCGCATCACGGATGTCCATTTCCGCTCTAGAATGCCTTCGTACTTCTTTCGGGTAATGTCGTCAAACTTCTCATCAACGCAGAGCTCATCTTGTAAAATTGTTGTACTTTTGATGTTGATCGATGATAAGTATGCAATCAAAGATTTGTGCCTGTTTGGGAGTTAAGTTATCTTCATTGTAGAAGTATGAGCTTGAAACCTACAGCTCCCCTGCCTGTCTGGCTGTGAGTACCGGAGTCATTAGTATCCTGTTGAACGCGTTTGAATGTAAGAATCAGGGGCGCGACTGGTATTTACCTAGGTGAGTATAATATATGGCCCCTTGCAGTTGTACAAGCTATAATTTAAGGTGGTTGGTTACCCAAGAGATAGATATCAATGAGCTGGGGGTTATTGAGGGCGGTCTGGTACCGATACATGTCAGGAATGAAAATTGACTCCCAGAACAGTCATGTGGCAGGTTTTACAAGGTATCAAGATGATCATAATGATGAGTAGACATATTTTGGGTGGATGTACAATAAGATCAATTCAGATGCAGGTCCTGGTATCAAGGAATCGTCCTCTCCGAGTGCATCAAATTATAGAGAAAAAAGCAACGCCCATCGCCATAAATGCAAGTGGAACAAAGAGAAATGACAAGCGAAATCATGCCCTAATGATCTTCTTCTTCTCCTTCTTCTTCTTTTCCGGGCCAGCCGCTGAAGGCTCACCTCCCATCCCGCCCATTCCGCCGAGACCACCAAGCATACTGCTCAATCCACCCATGCCACCCATTTGGCTCATCATCTCTGCCATGTTGCCCATTCCTGGTATTTGTGGCATCCCAGGCTGGCCCTGCATGCCCTGCATCTCGGCCATGGCGTCCTTGAGCGGGTTGTCGCTGACACCACCGCCGCTGTATGCAGGCGAGTGAATGGGCAAGATCTTTCCGATCTTCCATCCGCGCGGGGCGGAAGGAGCAGCTGGCAGCTTCTCGGGCATGGGGAGGCCGCGAATCCGTAGTCGGTAGGGTGATTGCTCGTTAGTCGGGTTGGCCCTCAAGAATTGTGCGACGAGAATGTAGAGGTGGTGCTCTGAAAGATCATTTTAGTTCACGTCCAGATAACGTTCAAGCATTCATTCTGTAAATCAAGCCACGTACTGTTCTTAATCTTGGAGTTGACCAATTGACCATTCTCGTTCTTGAGCTGCACGCGCACACGGCCGGGGTTGGCCCAATCCTTGGGGTGCAGCTTCTCAGGCTCCAGGCCTGCATTCAAGCCGAGCATTTGGACGGCATCGACGATATCTCTAGCAAGAGGATTTTCGACCGCAAGCTCGGCGCCCACCTTGCGGCCTTCGGCGCGGGATCGGGTCTTATCGAAGTACACGGGGTACAGGCATTGGAAGTGTCTGGGGATCTCGCGCTGGGGTTCAGGTGCTGGCATCGACGGCATGGGCATTTGTTGAGGTGAAGGTGCTGGGGCGGCCTTGGTTGGGATATTTGCGGGCGAGATGATGGCATTTCGGGGGAGTTCATCATCCGAATCGAAGGAAGGGGCGACCTCTTCCGGGTCGGAGTCAGAGACTTCTTCAATTTGGGCGTGATGCGACATTGCGGCTGTGGAATGGAGGGGGTGTCTGGGGAAGAGGGTACTTGTGGCCAAGTAGCGGCGGAATGGGCAGAATGCAGTGTCTGTGCGGGCGGTGGAGTAGGATACTAGCCAGTTGTCGTGAATTTGATAAAACTGTTCACAGATATATATTCCAAGGTTAGTAGACCGATACTGTTTTTCCGTGCACATACTAATTATATGTCATTGAGTTTTATGATGATTTAAGCGATTAAACCTCGACTCTTACCCAAAACAAGTTATCATTTTGACTTAGTATATAAACATATGACCGCATAGATGAACTTTAATGAGCTAGCACTTGAGTACCTCCATACAAATGTTTATCTTCTCCAGGAAGAGTACTTCAACCCATGAGTCATTGCAGTTAGCTCAATCAAAATCTTCTCCAACAAGTGACCAGATAAGAATGCCGGAGAATTCCAACCCCACGGCAAATTGGAGCCCGTCAGGAGTCCGAGCTCCGCCCCCGGGCAAATCATAGGCTCGGCTTTATCGGCATGCCGAGTGCAAGGCCCCGCAATAGGCATTACCTCGGATGATTTGATTGAGTAGATCCTTGGGCGGAATTATATAAGTATCTTCATTTCCTCCACGTCTGATTCTTCTCAAGGGCCCTTTATTTCATTTCACATATTCCATCATGACCGGTATGTCACATGTATTCCATATGTTGACGATTATTATTTTCTGACATACTTCCACAGATAACAAGACTAGTGCTATCCTTCACCGTGACACACGCTTTATCCCGAAGAAGGCCATTGGCGGAAAGGGTAGCTACATCTTTCTGGAAGATGGAACTAAATTCCTCGATTCGACTGGCGGCGCCGCTGTCTCTTGCTTAGGGCATGGCAATGAGCAAGTCACAACCATGATTAAAGAGCAGATGGACCAATTGAGTTATTGCCACTCTGCATTCTTCGGTACACAGGTAGCCGAAGACCTCGCTCAACTTCTGGTTGACTCTACCGGTGGAAGATTATCCAAGCTCTTTGTCGTCAGCTCAGGTAGGTGATGGCAGGACCTCATACTCGGAGAAAGGGTTGACACAGTTTCAGGATCTGAGGCTGTCGAGGCCGCACTCAAATTAGCACGCCAGTACTTCTTGGAACTCCCTACTCCCCAACCTGAGCGTTACCGGTTCATTGCTCGCCTACCCTCATACCATGGTACTACTCTAGGAGCTTTGTCTGCTGGTGGACACGTTCAGCGTCGGGAGCCCTTTGAGCCTCTTCTCTCTAAGAACACATCTCATGTTTCCCCTTGCTATGCTTATCGCGGCAAGTTGGAGGGCGAATCTGATGTGGACTACGTGTCACGACTTGCGGCCGAACTAGACGCTGAGTTCCAACGCGTCGGTCCCGAAACTGTTTGCGCATTCATCGTGGAGCCTGTCGTTGGCGCGGTATGGATACCTTTCTCATCCCGAAGAGTTAGCCACAAATTCTAATATTCTCTCCTAGGCCCTTGGATGTGTCCCTGCGGTGCCAGGATATTTCCGTGCAATGAAAGCCGTGTGCGAGAAGCATGGTGCCCTCTTTATCCTCGATGAGATCATGAGTGGTATGGGCCGTTGCGGAACGCTGCATGCTTGGGAGCAAGAAGATGTTGTTCCAGATATCCAAACTATCGGAAAAGGACTAGGCGGCGGCTATGCTCCGGTCTCGGGTATTTTGATTGGAGATTCCATTGTTCGAACTATGGATAAGGGCACCGGAGTGTTCCGCCACGGACAAACCTATCAAGGCCACCCGATCTCATGTGCTGCTGCGTTGGCTGTGCAGAAGACAATCCAGGAGCAATCTCTATTGGATAATGTCCGAGCTATGGGCGCTTACCTGGAAGCACAATTGAGGCAGCGATTCGAAAGCCATCCCCATGTGGGTGATATTCGTGGAAAAGGATTGTTCTGGGGTGTAAGTTGTCTATTCCTCACTATATATGAGCTTGATTTATCTAAAATTTATTTTACTAACGTTTGCTCAGCTCGAATTTGTCAAAGACAAGACTACCAAAGAGCCGTTTGATCCCAAGGAACGTCTTTCTTTCTTGATTCAAGAGAAAGGATTGGAGCCTAAGCATAGTGTCTCACTGTACGGCTGCTCGGGCACCGTGGATGGAATTCGAGGAGATCATCTTGTTCTCGCGCCACCTTACATTGTTACCAGGGAGGAGATTGACATTCTTGTGGATACCTTGGCCAAGGTCCTTGAGGAAATATTTATCTCGGTCTAGATAACATCCAGCTCTGGTTGATAGACCTGCTTAGGCACGGCATATTTTGATGTTTGATGAACTAATGCAATTAATTTCTTTTGTAATAAATAGTAGCTACTAAAATGGACAACATTTTCAGAGTAACAACCACGAAAAATAAACTCAAATCACTATCATTTGATGGGATATTTTACTAGTTTACAGGTACATCAGAGTGATCAAGCTTGGGCTTCAATGGCAGCCGCTTTCTTCGCAGCAGCCATTTCAATTCCTCCTTTTGCGTTGACCGACCCATTCGGCGCAGCATCCCGGGAAATGGAGCTCTCCGCCCACAAGCCAGCAACAGTCTCAATGGCACGCTCCACAACGACACGAATACGGTCCCGCAGAACGGCATTGCCGCATTCAACTTCCAAGTCTTCAAGCCACACGCGAGCAACGTGCTTGTCCACCTTGATCTCGATACCAGGGACAGGGATACCCATTGTGACGAGGCGGTTCAGCTCTGCTGCTTCGATGTCGGAAAATCTCTCATCGTTGATCTCATCTCCATCGTGTTGTGGGCCGAGGGCGAGATCAGTCTGTACGCGAGGGCGCTCAATTGGACCAATGTTGTCACCGCCAAATTGGGCCTCCAGCATCATGAGCATACGAGCGAGTCGCTCTTGGGGTCCAGCTTGGGCGTGGGGGTTTGGAAGAGACGGGATCTCCATGTCGTCGTCATTGTGGTGATGATGGTGGCGCTTGTCTTTGGCGGATTCTATAATGAAAGTAAGCATGGGATTGAGAAGGTATGCAGGTCTTCTTACGTTTTACTGACGCCGGGCTGCTCTCCACTGTGAGCAAAACAGCCATCACGGCATCTGCGACTCCATCGTTCATCATGTTTCCTTCCCATTCCAACTCAAGTTCGCGAGTGCGAGAATGATGACGGAGATATACACACCCCATGACAAGGAATGTTTGTGTCTCATCGGAAGGAATCTCCTCTTCAGCATCTTCTTGCTTCGTAGTGCCCGCCGCAAGCATATCGGTATCTGAGTCTGCATCTTTTTGGTTGTTCTCGGCTTTCTTGTTGCTTCCAATTTTCTCAATGGCACCGAAAGTTCCTTCGAGGGCCCACCTAATCAAGTCCATACTCGCGGAGCTGAGCGTGATATGCTGTTTACAAGTAATAGTCGTGGTTGTCAAGCCCGCATACTCCTGTAGGTCGTCAGGGGCCATCAGTGACAAGTTGAACCCATTCTGGACCAAGACGCCGGCCATGAGTTGAGCATCATCCTCCTCGGACGGAGGTGCAAGCCCAGCAAGCTTACCGACAACTTTGGCAATCTTGTCTTTCTTGAAAGGAATGCGGACTTCGTCGCAGTTTGCCGGCGTATAGACTTTGACTTTGACAGTTTTATCGGCATTGAGGCTGAGCAGTTTCGACTTGAGTCTCATCATTTGGTGTTTTTCGCCATGAACCAGAATCTGCCTGGGTTAGGAAACGTTTCACATGGACAGGTCATACTACACTTACCACGACCGGTGCAGCAACCTCTTCAATGAAAGTGCGGTTCTCGACGCCATCAACGTGGGCTGCAAAGCTGACTTCATCGACAGTGCATCGGCGGGGGATCATAACCTTTTGGTCCTCGTCATTCGCTCCAGGAACACGACCTCGACCGTGCCCAGCAGAAACCTTGGACATCACAGCCGGGATCTGGTCAGGTTCATTAAGCAGTTGTTTGGCCATGGTTCCTTCCACACTGTAACCAGTCATGACAATACCGTTGCGATCACTTGGTGCCCATCTTTCTAGCAGCTCACGGCTCGTTCCTGTCTGCAGCATACCAGGAGAGGCAAGCATCACACAGCCTCCGACATCGTCAAAACGTTCCAGGCTGCGGAGACTACGAACGAATCGAAAATCCCACGGTCCGACACTAACACTCTTGTTACCGCTAGCTTCGGCTTCCGCCATACGCTGCCGGAAAAGTCTTTTGATATTATCGTTCATGGCACCGATGTAGGTTTGGTATACAACCATACACCGTCGTGCCATATTTCCGATGTAGTAGATGGGAAACTTCTGAAGCTCAGGGTGGGTTTCCCAGTATTCATCAAGAATCAAAAGCAGCTCTTGGGCACGACCAAGAGCAAACACAGGCATGAGGACACGTCCGCCACGGTTCAAAACGCTCGTGATTGACTTCATCAATGCAGCCTCGCGCTCTAGTCGGGGCGGATTAGATGATATACCAAATGTAGATTCTGTGATGAGGACATCAATCTTGGTCCCCTTAGGCACCTCAGCGGGAATTAGATGCCTGTCTTCCTCGCGCGAGTAATCTGTCGTGCCATGGTCAGCTGCTTTTTACCATCCAAAAAAACTTTGAATTGCTTAACTCACCTCCTGTGAACAATGTCACCAGTCCTGCAATGTCAACCTTGAACATGGCCGCACCGAGAACGTGACCAGCGGGGTATGGGGTAATGCGGATGCCATTTATCGTATGTGTAGTGTAGAAGTCGATGGTCTCAATCATGGGAAGTGTTGATAAATGATCACGTTCGGTATATAGCGTGGTGCGTTGGTCGGAAGAAGAGGATGTGTTGCTGACCCGAACATTGTCTTGAATGAGCCATTTGTAGATTGCTCGAGTCGCTGGAGTCATAAAGACCCTTCCTTTGAAATTGGTCTTGCTGAGAACATATGGAAGGGCAGATGAGTGATCAACGTGGAAACTATAGAGAAGATTATACAATTAGTAGCTGCGACGACCATGGAGAAGAGCGGCACGGTTAAAAGCAATCAATTTCGAAAGACTTGAAGATACAGTAAGGCATGAAATACATGCATGATGGTGGATTGTATTGGGCTTCTCAGATATCTCATATGTGCAGAGGGGTGTGTTACAGGAGACAAGTTCTAGCAGTAGACTGCCAAAACCAAAAGCCTCACATCCTGTATAGTCACGCGACAATGTCCCTTCGCGGCTTTCCGCGTATATATGTAGTAGACAAAATAAGAGATGAACGTACTGGCTGATTAACAGAACATCCACCGTGCTCAGATCGAACTCATCAAAGAAGGGTAGTGCAGAGAAGCCTTCCTTCGCCGGGTGCATACCTGCGTCAAGCTACAGCCAAACGTCAGTACATGTCTTGTGTGTTTCTGCAGTCCTCTAAGGCCACCTACCATCACTGTCTTGCCCTTATATTCCAGGATATGACAACTGCGGCCAACTTCATTGCCGCCGCCCAGACAGTAGAAGGCAAGTTCGTCTGATGGATCCACTGGCTCATCATCCACGGCTGCGCCCATTGCTGAGACTTTGCGCTTGGTCGCCATTGTGTTGTAAAATATGCAAAATCAATATTAGGCCGTTGAATGATTGTCTGATTGTTCAATGTTTGATCGAATGGTACTGGTCCGAGTCGCACGGTTTGAAGCCGAAGATCTCAGTATGGGTTGAGCGCAACGCCCATGACTTGTGCCACAGAGTGTATATTAATACCAGATACTGAGCAGAATTCAAGAAACTATAAGGACCTTGGAGCCTCAATGCGATCTGATGGAGGATTGAAAGGGAAGCTTCATGGATTTGGGATGGGAGAGCTTAGTTAATCGCGTCACGTGTCAGTCGCGCCCGCGGAAGAGTTCAACCACCTTTTGGGCAAAAGCTCCTTACCCCATCAAGGATCATTCTATTCACTGGTCGTCGTCCCATTTATCCTCAAACAACTCAGATACAATTACATTGTCGCGCTAATGGTTCAGATCCATTATTGAGATGGTCAAGGTTGGTGGAAGCTGGTGGTGCGAGCAATCCGCTCACTTTATCAACCACGCGTGGAATACCATTCATATTGAAAGCCACAGCTCTGCGCAATAATCCTGTTCATTTCCGAGATCTTTCAGTCGGTTTTTTCTGTTAGTTTTCGTCACAATGGCGCAAGCTCGCCATCCTCAACAGCAGCCTCCGCCGCCGCAGTTCTCTACTCAGCCCTTCTCCCCGCCTGTCTCGTCCCCATCTCCAAATTCGATGGCTTCCCCTGTGAACGGAGCCGTTGCACCCCCTCCATCGAAGCGTCCTCGCTTGTCTCCTCTACCACCGTCGCAAACGCAGTCTCCTTATGGATCCCCAAGTTTCAACGCAATGCAACTTCCGCAAAACCCACCCCCTATGAACGGCCAGCCGATGAATATGAACACCATGAACATGGCTTCGTCGCCTGCTCCCGCTCCCCCCGGGACTATGGGACCCCCTTCTCGCCCAGCAGATAAGACGACGGACGCTGCCGAGCTGACGGACGTTCTAGCCTCATCTGGAATTGATGTGAAAGAGGAGGAAGCTTTTCTCACTCGGAGCTTCTCAGGGCAGAATGCGCAGGCGCAACCTCCCCAAAGAGGTCCACATACACATCATCCGCCCCCAACCAACACTTCTTTTACTTCTCAGGGTTCCGCAGGCACTCTCTCTGCTTCTAACAGCTTTGGTGAATTGCCTCAAATGAAACCGACGATTTCGCACGATTCATACGGCGCGGACCCATCTTCTCAAGCCCATGTTCCGTTCAAAGACCCTAACGAACCAACTCGCGAAGACACAGTCGCAGCGAGACGGGCACAGTACCACATCCAGGAACCATTCCTGATTACAAAACTTCTCGAACAAAAGCTCCAGAAGCGAGGCTTTGACTTGGGTGTTCGGATTCCTTCCGAGGGACTGTTCCACCCAGTACCCGGTCGACCCCAGCCAATCGAAGTCACTGGTCCTGATGGCTCCTCTGTTGTCCGCACTGGTCAAACAATCCTCAACCAGGAGGGTGCCCCTCTGGTGGACATTTTGAACCTTCTGTCAATTTCCACCGAGGAACGATTCAGAGGTGTCATCGAATATTCTGCGACTCTCGCTCGCAGTCGCCGAGCACATTCTCATGGTGTCGTTCCCATCGAATGGAAGGACCTTGCACAGCCTCTTGCGCAAACTAAGGGGAATACTCAAAATCTTCAAACCCCAGTCAAGCGTACGATCTCCAATTATACCACTCGAGTAATCAGCAGCCTGTTCCCCCTTTGCTAACAACTCACAGGCCCACATACTGCCATAGATCCTACTAAAAAGCCAACCACGGAACGATTCCGGGTGACTCTCAACCGGGAGACTTCGATTGAGGACAGGCGCGCATCCAAGCGTGCCAAGCGCAATAGCAATGCTATTCTCAACGAGGCTGGTCGAGCCGACTCCGTCGATCCAATGGGATCCGCACCTTCCACCCCGATCGGTGAAAGAGCACCTGGTACTGACAAAAAGTCAATGACTAAGAAGGAGGCGCGGAAAATGACGGATTCCAAGGCAAGCGAAGCCCAGCAGCATGCGCAATCCGTGGAGACGGCCCGAATGGCTCTGGGCAATGCTGCTCCCCGTACCAGCATGTTCGGTAAAAAGTCATACTCGTGGCTGAAGTCTTCAGGAACTGGTAGTGGATTTTCATCTCCATCGCGCCAGGCCCCTTCAACTCCCACCGCTGGTCCCGAAAAGCCCAGCCTGGGAGATTCAACACCCACTCAAACCCAACGCCGCCTTGGGTTATGGCGCGAAGATCAAGACAGGGGGGCAGGCATTCAGGTCCGAGATGTTTTGTTCATGCTTGAGTCTGACGGACGGGCAATCAGACATGTGCAACGGGGTTACCTGAAGGATCCTAAAGAGGACCGCGATCGTGCAATCTGACCGGCCCATGAATGTTTGTAATCTTATTTTCTTGTCTTTCTAATTCCTTACCAGTGCCCATGACTGGCTCCGCGGTCTCTGGAGTTTTTGCATTTCCTGCGTGTACGGTGGCGTTGGCTGGCTTATGGGGTCGTCGGGCCATCTTTAATTTTCTTTTCTCCCACAGGTTGAGCATGTGCGTTTCGTGAGCGGGTGATAGAGGACCTTCCTATGTACCCCATTTCAGTCCATCTCATTGCCATTCGCTTACTCTCCCTCTATGCGTACTAGTAACTTGGAATAGGTTTGATGGGTACGCCGACAAGTCGGCTGTACATAAAATTCATAAATCCGTCGCTACCACGTATGCCATGTTCTTCATATTACATCCTAGACATCCATCCGTCCCACAACCTCGCGAGCCTGAGCCATTTCCGCCTCGGATGGCATGTTCACAATGGCCAGGTACAACACTTTCTGCTCACGTAGCTTCGAAATCGGGTTGCTCAGACCCATGTTTTCTCTGTTCCATTCTGCTCGTCGATCAAACATCCGACCATTCTCGCCGCGCACCGTGTTGTATTCAGACGACTCAAACGACGCCCCTTGTCCCGCGCTGCGGGATCCTCGCATATCTCTGCGTCCACCGATGATACCTCTCACATCAAGAGATCGACCATAGGGCGCATGCGGCGCCGGAGGGTTGGATCTAGAGTCCCTCCTCTGATCATATTCTTGGCTGGCAAATTGGTCCGGGGCATATGAACCCCGAGTTCGTCCAAGAGGGGACCGACCACCTCTGAGGCTCTGCAGCTTGTCCGCGGAGAAATGGCCTCCGCTAACCAGGGCCAGCAGGTCACCGCTGCTGGCGGGATGATTGGGGTCAGCATAGCGCGAGGTGAACGCGGGTTTGGGGCCTTTTGCCAAATGGCTCTCTGGATTCTTCGTTGCCTAGATCAAATATGAAGGTTTAGTACAGCACCTAATCATCGGCTATTGATTGACTCACAAATTTAGCCTGGGCCCGCTTGTCCCAGTAAGCATTCACGAATTCCATCTTTTTCTTGGTCTTTGAGATCTCCTTCGTCGCGTCTCGGTCGGAGGCAAGCTCGTCAAGACCGGGGAATATCAAGGGTGCTACTTCAGGGAAGATATTGCCATAGGTCTTCCCGTCGGATGACTTGAATTTGTGTCGTAGACGGTCCAGCATGTCTGAGCCTCCTCTCTCGGTGGACTTGAAGACCATTGAGTTCAAATCTACTGTTGTCGATGGTGCATCCGGCAAATCTGGATTCCAGGTCATGACTAGACAGAAAAGACCACGCGGCTGGAAGAACTCTTTATTCATTTTATCGAAGAATGTGTTTGTTCTGGGTCGTGTCAGTGGTATGAAGCAAATCATCCGAGATCGACTCACCTCCGTATGCCATCCACGGCAATGGCGACATCTGTGGCAATCTGTATGGCAATTGATACTGCAATTCCCGTGGCAAATGGCATGAACATTGTCCCGATTGATGCCAGGTTGATGGCATTCAGCCACTTTGCTCCTTGACATGCCTTCTCGGCATTATCGAGGAACTCAAAGAACATGGGCTGGTCAATAGAGAAGGCGGCTAGATCAGGTGCATATGCGCGGATGAATCCGCGCTTGCGGCTTTTTGGTCTGCGTTGGGGCAGGAGGATCGGCGCGGGTAATTGGGGCATTAGGGTGTCGTTACTGGGTGTATATTCAGGAGGGGGATGGTCGAATGCAAAGCGGCGAACGGCTTCATCGAGAGCCTGCTCGGTCTCGTGCTCTGACAGCTCTGTTCGAGCTTCGGTTGTCTGTCTCAATTCGTCTTGGGTCTCGTCGAGCTCCCACTGTTCTTCCAGGAAGTCTTTCGCGGTGCTCTCTGGGTCCTCGCCTTGTTGTCTATTGATGCTTTGAGGGTGACCACTCCCATGCAAATTTCCTTCTAGCTGGTTGTTATCGTTTGTGTTGGTTTGTGGCGATTGCTTCTTCGCCTTGTGAGCAGAGATCGATTCTGAGATGAGACCAATGCCTGCTGCCAGGCCTTTCACGGCCTTCTGTCCCGCGAATGCCATTGTCGATAAGTAATTATCAAGTTTAGAAAAGCAAAAAGATTTGAAGTAGTACTTGATGATCAAATATCAAGAGCAGGAAATTATGTAGGAATGAAGGTCGATATCAAAAGAGATGCAGCGGGAGGTATGTGGTAATTATATAGATATTCAGCAGCTCCAGACACACCGAGACTATCAGGCCATCATCCAATCGCACAGAATACCTGTAAAGGTTCTATGACTGCGGGATGAAGGGGTTATCCATGGATGACAACAAGGCAACGATGTAAGCGGGCCCCACGACTTAGCACGGGTGGCTTGGGCATGGCGCTAGATTATATGTAAAAGCTCCATGTAATAAGGAGGATTGATACCAAAAAGAACACATAGAATAGGGCCGCAAATAAGAGATGCTAAGCATTTCAGCGTTGTGCGGAGCATAGGTAGCACAGCCACGCCCGATTAGGATAGTACGATGCCCTGGATGCATCGAGGTTACCGCTTTGGTCTGCATTGGGCTGTAGGACTGATTTTCGGTGATAAGTGTCCTTCAAGGCAGCAGTGAATAGAAGTTGAGACTATGCCTATGTTTTCTCGATTGCATAGGTGTTTATAAGTCTATACTCACTCGCACAATCGCCAGCAAAAAAGTGTCAATCTCAGGCCCTTTGTGCCCCAAAATTTTATATAGTAAGAGATTTTTTAATTATTTTTATATTCATTATTATGATGAATCTAAGACAAGATGTATATAAGTCATCTCCGTAAGTATTTCCAAGGCTTTAGTATAGAACTGCTTATTCTCAAGGTTCTGTAAAAGATTCTAGACTAGTTAACTATGGGACCGCTAACCAACTACGTATAATTGAGAATCAAACTTGAAGTCAGACTTTCATCATTTACCATTTGACGATCTAATAGATTGGATCATTTGGAAAGAGATGGTTTGTCAATCTGATATTAAATTTGATTAAAGATTATCTAAAAAATATGTCACCATACAAATTCATGGAGAAAAATAGGCCTGAAATCGACGGGGGGCTGTATGAAGATAGTGTACCTAGAAGCACCACCTCACTTTTATTGCAACCTCTGCCATTTAATATTTTTGAACTATCACTATTGGTCGAAGGCACCTAGTAACAAAAGCACGAGTGAGGACAGCAAGGAAATTATATTCCGGTGTATGTTTGTTATACCTCGAGGCGACATCGACCAATTGGGGGTTTATATGCAAGTGGCTAGCAAAAGAAAAACTTCTGTATGGGCAATAGGAATATTTTTGCATTGATTAACCCGATCAATAACTAAACAAGGGTCAAATAACAACAGCAATGTTAATCTGAGTGACAATGAAAACCCTAGGCTATTAATATACTAGATTTTTCTATACCTATATCTCTATATCGCTTTTCAGTTCACTCCTGATATTGGAATTTTCTATTCTCCCCTTACTTTGGTCTGACAACTGGCTCATTGATACTTCAATATCATATAACATCAATCTATTCACAGTCAATGTGGACTTCATTTCCTAATGTAGTGCTGAGTCATTAGGAATGTCACCTGGGCCAGCTGATTCCCATTTTCTATACATAATACCACAGTGCATTAAAACTCTTTATTCCCCCTTTTTTGTGTTGTCGTGGGATAAATCTTCTAACACAGTCTCATTAAGTTCTTTTAGAATCTGGACATGAACATGTTGATAGGAGAATTCCCGATGTGGGCTTCGGTTAGCCCAGGGCTTGGACACGATGCTCCGGTGGCGGCCCCAGACCATTAGCACCTGGGCAGTTTTACTTTTTTTTCTCCCCCATTATCATTCCGGGACGGTGTGCGATTGGAATGAGGCCATAATATCCCGCAGCAGATCTCTCTCCCTAGAAGCGCATGGACCTCCGAATTTGTTCCATACCTTGGGTCATATTATAGAGAGAGACCTCATAATGGCTGTGACGTTGAAGTTAGATCTTATATAGGAGTTTTGTATAGTAAGAACAAATTTATAATTATTCTAATGAATTTTGAAATAAAGTAACAATAGCAATAAGAAGAATTGTCCATCATTTGAAACCCATCTCAATCACTTAAAATGATGCAGGATCAGAACGAATAGAAAACGATGTAGTTGATCGACAGGCGGTCGAACTTCCGGGCTTCCATCTTCCCAATCGTCACTCTTCTTTGCCTCCAGGCCTCTTCTCCCCACGTTGAATCTCTTCATGTCGCTAAATTCCTTTTCAATGATCTCGTATCTATCTTTGTCTTGAAAGTCGAGGAAATGCAACTCACTTGAAACAACTCTTCTTTCTCCACCGCCCTCAGCCTCGTCATCACGTCCTAATCTCCTTCCGGCCAATCTTGCCTCAATCTCTGTCGGCTCTGGTTTCTCTTTGGCTGGCGTGTCCTGCCTCGAGAACCTGTCTCTATTCAAGTGACGCGCGAGATCTCTCAGTCGTGAATAGACTGTTCGTTTCCCCCGTTCGTGTGACGGCATACCTTCGTGCACAATGTCCACCCCGTCCACCGCGACTGCAACGCACCCTTCTCACCACCAGACCTACGGATACCCTCACAACCCCCCTTACCAAGCGAATACTTCCTATCCAACTCCGACTACTGCCGCCGGACCCCGTCTCGCGAACTCTTACGCTTATTCGGTTCCTTCTCCAACAACCGCCACCCTTCCCTACACCCAAACCCCAAGAAATCCCCCAGCGGCATCGACTCCCTCAGCCATGACCCACCAAAGTGGATCAAGCACGGCTCCCTCGCTGGGTACTCGCAACAAGAAGCCAGACTGGACCGAATTTTACAAGAATGGAATTCCCAAGGAAGTCATCGTGATTGATGACAGCCCTGGACCAGAGGCTTCCAATGGAGCCCCTGCTACTAATGGAGCCCCTACTCCTGCCATTCATGCGTCCACGAGGCCTCCTCCTGCGGCTCCTCAGCCGGCTGGGAAAAAGCGGCGTACTGGCATTGAAACCGCCTACGATCTCGGTCACTATGACCGACCGTCCTTTTCAATTAACCCCCAACAATACGGCGAGCATTCCTCAACCACATCCTTGTCGACCGATCGCACTGCTTCCTTGCACACAACCGCTCCGACCTCGCTAGGATCTCAAGGCAGTTCTGGCGCAAGCAATGGTGTATACTATGAAGAAGCCGGAGTTGGTCAAAAGCGGAAACGCGTGGCTACTCGGAAATCCACCCGCGACGAGCAGAAAAGACGAGAGCTAGAGACTACGGGTGCTTTCGAGAGCTACATTCCACCTTCGAAACCGACGATCAAAGCGAAGGATGTTCCTGTGCCCGTCGTTCGCGATGTGAGTGTTCTCTAACCTACTATTATTCTCCACGATTTTCTGACAAGAGCTTCGCCTCTCTAGTACACCAGTGCTCAGAACAAGAAGTTTGACGACGACGACGGTCACTATATTGTGACTCCTGATACTCCATTGACAGATCGATGTGAGTAGGAACCGCTTCAATGACGAACATGACCATACTGACTCCTTTTGAGACTCTGTTATCAAACTTCTAGGCCAAGGTACATTTGGCAAGGTTGTCGAGGCCTACGACAAGCAGCGTAAGGCTCGCTGTGCAGTCAAGATCATTCGCTCGATCCAAAAGTACCGCGATGCCTCTCGCATCGAGTTACGAGTCTTGTCAACTCTAGCGTCGAACGACAAGAGCAACCGCAACAAATGCATCCATCTGCGGGACTGCTTCGACTTCCGAAACCACATTTGTATTGTGACTGATTTGCTAGGACAAAGTGTGTTTGATTTCCTTAAAGGAAATGGCTTTGTGCCTTTCCCCAGCAGCCAAATTCAGCAATTCGCTCGCCAGCTATTTACAAGTGTTGCCTGTGAGTCCCTTGTTAAAATACTGTCTCAGGATTCGAAAACTGACTGCATTAGTTCTCCACGACCTAAACCTCATCCACACCGACCTCAAACCCGAAAACATCCTCCTCGTTAGCAACGCCTACCAGACTTTCACCTACAATCGCACTATTCCCTCTTCCTCTCATGCCACAAATCGCAATGCTCGGCAGCGCCGCGTTCTTCTTGACAGCGAAATTCGACTCATCGATTTCGGCTCAGCGACCTTCGACGACGAATACCACTCCTCCGTTGTGTCTACCCGTCACTACCGGGCTCCTGAAATCATCTTGAACCTCGGCTGGAGTTTCCCCTGTGACATCTGGAGTATCGGATGTATCTTGGTGGAGTTCTTCACCGGAGACGCCCTCTTCCAGACACATGACAACCTGGAGCATCTGGCCATGATGGAGGCCGTTATTGGCACGCGAATTGACACCTCATTGATTAAGAAGGTGATGGCAGGCAGCCGAAGCGGAGGTAGCAACTCGGCCTCTAAGTACGTTATATTATCCAACAAACATCCCATCGTAGCACGCACGTACTAACTCGACTAGGTACTTCTGTCGCAGCAAAATCGACTACCCTAACAATGATACAACCCGGGCCTCGCGGAAGTATGTGCGCGCCATGAAATCCTTAACAGTAAGTGCTATCGACAGGACCCTCTTGCGAGCAAGTGGCTGATCTCCTCAGGAATTTATTCCCGCGAACACCCCATTTAACCGTTCATTCCTGGATCTGCTACAAAAGATCTTCGTCTACGACCCTAAGAACCGCATCACTGCCAAGATGGCATTGCAACACCCATGGTTCAAGGAGTCGCTCGTCGATGACGGCACCGAGGCATACCGGATCGGCCAGGGACTGCAACGTCAAGGACAAGCACGCACCTAGTTTCCGATCTGACTTGCACAGCTACAGTAGCCTATATTTGGGTTTCACATCAGCATAATATGGTCTCCTCACCGGTGTGAATAGGATCCAGCTCTTGATAGACGGCTTTTTATCTCGAGGATATTTTTTTTTTCAACTGCGAAATGGGATGGGAATGGTGTTCTGGGAAAATCATGATCACGATGCCTTTTTTTTAACTCTTTTTCTATTCTTAAAGGGTTTGACCTTGCAGGTGGTCTTGCAGGATTCGGCGGATGTCCAAGTTCTTGTGGCACTACAGCATCGACCCTGAGCAACGGGCATGTATCTTCGGGATCCTCCGGCATGCGAGGTGCACCTCTGACCTTTTATTTGCTTTTATCTATTCTGCTATCCTTAAAGGCGCCGGCTGTATGTTATCTTCATTTCCAATGCGTCTGTTATGAAATCCGGCTTGGGGGGCTTAGGCTAAGTCTGGACGATTATACCATTTTGATTGTTTGTGGCGTCCTCTTAGCTGTATCGTGTGTTGTACATATAAGACATGGGTTTCTTTTTCTTCTTTCAATCCATGTCAGGGGTTTCACAGCTCTGTTTTTTTCTCTCTCAATTGACCTGTACAAAATCGTGCTAATGCAGACAGTGCTTTTTTTTTCTGATAGATCGGATGAGCCGCCACCGCATTCTCTATTTGTCTGCGGAGTACTCCGTACTCCATATACATCGAATGATTATTCTAGAATCATTCGATATTCCTGCAAACCCCAATACCCATCAGGACATAACAGGTGATGGCAGTTCAAAATGGCTGATCGCCGATCTATGCATTGCGTCGATCTCGCAATATACCTTCGAACATACTTACTCCAACGACCCCAATTTCCCCTCATACATATCGCATATACTTCTAAACATCTCAATCAACTCCCTCACAGACAAAACAAAATGACAATTTCCCAGTTTCATCAAAGTCTCCGCAAAGACCCCTCCCTCGGCCCAGTCCTACTAAACAAATACATCGAGGCAATCACCCACCACGACCAAACCCTTAAATCTATCATCACACTCAACCCACATGCCCAAACCGAAGCAACCCAAAAGCAATCCGACTCAAAATCCCACATAACATCAAACTCCGCCTTCCCACCCCTCCACAGCATCCCCATCATCCTGAAAGACAACTACACAACAAACAACCTCCCAACAACAGCAGGCGTCAAAGCCCTATCAACCCTCCAAGCCCCAGACAACAAAGTCGTAACTCGCCTCAAAAAAGCAGGCGCAATAATCCTCGCAAAAGCAAACCTTCACGAATTCGCCCTCCAGGGAATAACCCTCTCCTCCCGCCGCGGCCAAACCATAAATCCCTACGATCCTACCCGCACACCGGGCGGATCGTCCGGCGGGACAGCCGCCGCTATCGCAGCGGGCTTTGGCCTCCTCGGTTGCGGAACGGATACGGTCAATTCGGTGCGCTCGCCGGCGTCGGCTTGCGGTATTGTGGGCTTTAGACCCTCGACGGGGCGCGTGCCGTGTGACGGTATCGTGCCGGTTTCTAAGACGCAGGATGTTGCTGGGCCTATGGGGACTTGTGTGGCTGATGTAAGGGTTTTGTATCGTGTTATGGCGGGGCTTGAGCCTGCGTCTGTGTCTGCAGCTGCGAGAAAGTCTAAGGTGAGGATTGGTGTGCTGGATGCGTATTTCTTGCCGGATGAGGGCGCCGACGAGGAGGTTATGGCGGAGAATGGTATCGTGCAGGGCATTGTTAGGAGTGCGCTGGGGGATATCGGAGAGGACGAGGATATTGTCTTAGTTCCTGTTTCTGCGTCTTGTCATCCGGACTGGAGTTTCGGGACGCTTTTGGAGAAGGGCGATACGCAGGCTTTCGAGTTCAGGGATTGTCTTGATGAGTTCTTGCAGATGGAACATGTTGAGTCGCCGCATCGGTCGCTGGAGTCTGTTGTGCGGAGCGGCGAGTTTTCTAGAGAGGCTGTGACTGAGGTCTTTACGGCTGGATTGGAAGATCCTGATACCTATTCGATGACGAGTAAGGCATATTTGGCGCGGTTGGCGTTTATCGAGTCTCTTAAGAGTTCTGTGCAGGAGTGTTTCGAGGCGTATGAGCTTGATGCGCTGTCGTATCCGCATCAGAGACAGTTGCCTGTTAAGCTTGGGGCGAGGAAGCAGTGTGGTCGGAATGGGCTTTTGGCTGCTTTGACGGGGAGGCCGGCTATTTGTATTCCTGGTATGTTAATTGTTTTGTTTTGCGTTGGACATACTGATGTGGTATACTATAGCTGGACGAAGCCCTAAGACCGCGTCTGCAGTGCTTGGTGTTCCTGTTGGACTGGAGTTCATGGGTCGACACTGGGGTGAAGATGAGCTGTTGGATCTTGCGGAGCGTGCAGAGCGCATTCTGCAGATTCAACAGGCTCCTGATCTGGGCTTTGTTAGTCAGACATGACAGGTTGTACCGCTACAAGGCTCAGAGAAAGGCCATCTGCGTACGGAGTATAAACAGGTAGTATATAAACAACAGCCTAGTTGTATTGACACTGAAATACCCAAATATAACACGAAAATGCAAGTCTATTGCCTGCAAAGCAAATATGTATGTGCACGCTGTTCAACGCCAAACCAAAGATTTTACATTCCGCGATTGAACTCCACCATACCCTGGTCACCGCCACGACCCTGGAACTCCTCCTCGAGGCTACTGACATTGATCGCCTGGCGAGAGGGGAACGCCGCAAGAGCAAGAGGCAGCGCGAAGAGCGAAGTACCCAGAACCAAAGCCAGGTTCACGGGCATGACCATGCGAGGACGCGCACGCAGCCAGTTCGTCTTCTCCAGACGAACGAGGATAAGAGGCGGCAGGACCATGATGGGCGTGGCGTTCAAGACGCGAGAGATGGCTGTTTCGCCTACGGCGAGGGTTGCGGCTTTCTTGCTCTTGCCGAGACTCTCGAGTGGCTCGGCGTCTGGGTTGGCCTCGCGCTTGGCGCGCTCGGCCTCGGAGAGGACGGGGTAGATGTCGATTCCGCGGCGGATTTCCTCGCCGCGCATGAGGAAGACGTTGAGAGCGGAGGCGGAGGCGACGGCGGCGAAGGGGACGAGGCGGGAGAGGATGAGGCGGGTGTTGGGGGAGATACTCTTCAGGCGGGGGACGAGAGCATTCAGGCCTACGGCGACGGAGCAGGACGCTGAGACGGCCATGAGGTAGGACTTGCCGATTTGGGACAAGGAGAGGGGAGTGGATTTGTTGGCGTTGGCATTGTTGATGGCGACGTTGAGGGACTGGTTGCCGATTTGCCAGAGGAGGGTGCCGCTTGTCTGTAGAGATCAGTCATCGTTTCCCTTGGAGGTATGGAATCAGACGTACACTCAATCCCGGGGTCAGCATGCCTGCCGTGACCACCAAGTTGGAGAGCACGTAGGCCGACATGCGGAAGGGCAGAAAGACCACCTCGCCGGTATCTGATCGGTCCCGTTAGCCAAGAACCAATATATGGGTTCCAGTAAGTCCATACCAGGGTGCAACGTCGCATCAACGACCTTCTTGGCCGACCACAGCTCCGGTGTCATATTCGGGATGTGATTCTGCTTGTAAGAAGAAATGAGGTTCTTAGCGGCCTCAAGACCGGACGCGGAAACAAACAGAGTTCTAATAATGGGCAAAGAGTCAGTACACGTCCGTATTATTCCTAAATTCCACCAATTCCTCTTTGTGACACTCACCGAGGGTCCGCAATGTCTGCGGAATGGCGCACGCGACCCCAGTATGTTGTCAGGTCATATTGCGAAGCGGGCATGTCCCGGCTGCCAGGGAGAGAAGCAGACATTGTAGTGAATGAATGACGAAGCACAAACGACTGGCAAAGAAAGAACCAAAGCGAATGAAGAGCGCGCAAAAGAAGAGAAATGACTCCACGCCGCGGGGACAAAAGCGCTTTTTGATAAAAAGGGCGGTGAGGCGATAAGTAACTAATTGACCAATCAGATCAAATCGAAGTATAAGTTTTTTTCTCTTTTCCCGCCGCCTTTGAACAGGGGTTCAGCACACTGGAGGTTGAGATTGAGATGTGATTTATCTGTTTTAGTGATTCAAGCGAGGGTCTGCAATCAAACTATATAAGTGAGCTTATTACATTGCGATCATGCAGCTCTACGGCATCTCTCCCGATAACACCGGTTCGCCACCCCGATATGCGGGGAATTTGCAGATTCGAGGGCTTTTTACAAGGGTAAGCGTTGGCAAGAACGTGCGGAGAATTATAGAAATAATTCTATTCTGGGCTTGCCCAGTCAAGGGAATAGTACATAGGTATCATAAGTGTCTCCATAAAAGGAGATTAGGAAATGGGGAAGCGAGGCCCAGCTAATGCAAGTATAAAAGAGCCCGAGTGGGGAAGAATCACACAAAAGAAAAGAAATCAAGCGGCACCGGTCTGGTCAAGACATGCAGGGAACGGCACACAAGGTTACCGAAGACGGTATGACTTGTGGGCCAAGGGAGAGGGAGGGGCTTGCCCAGGAACATAGGAGGTTCGGGGACGGTTCTGTTTCGATGGTGTTTGTGCACAGAAGACACAAACGTAAACGGAGGGGAGGTGTGAGCGCTCCAATCCTACGCATCTGGTGTGTAGCCAGTGAGTGCATGATTCACTGAAGAAGTTAGAATAGAATGCAAAGTTAGGGTATGGAATAGAACCCACCATTGAATCATGAGATGGCCACCGTTGTCCATCGAGCGGCAGACACATCGTGTCCCATTGCTGGGATTGCTGTGACGCTCAGTGCTGGGCGTGGCAAGGTCGGGATCAGTTAGGGTTGTAGGAGAGGCATTGTGTCGGGAAGGAATGTCAAAATCGCAGCCAAAGCGTGGGGGTGATGATCGGAGATGATTGAAGGTATGAGATGATCGAGAAAGCCGGTTGTTATACCCAGTAGAGGGCCTGGGACCCCGACCGCGTTCTTTCAAAACCTGTCGGAGCGCGGATTGGGCATCACCACTGTCATCGTCCTCCCCAGGCAGCGAGTCTGATGCTGCGCTTCCACGGGTGTAGGTTGAGTCCGAGTGGAGTAAAGAGGAATGCCGTTTAGGCGTGCGCTTTATATCAGGGGACCCACGGAAGGTTGTTCGTCCCCCTCCTCTCGAAGACCCGGCCCACGGTGAGAGCCGTCCTGATTGAGACGAGCCAACAGTGGAAGCGTATGAACCCTTTGAAGGAGGACGGGAGTCAGAGTCACTTCGGGATAGCGGAGGCCGGGGCCCATCATAGAGCGAGAATGACGACTGTGCACGATGCAGGACAGGGTAGTCTGAGTATTCAGCCGGGTCCGCTTCGCTCTCAGTTGCTGAGCCATCTAGGTCCATACCGGTCAGAGGATCGGTCAGACCAGTCGGAGTCTCGTCGAGGGGTTCCATCTCAGCCTTTGCACGACCGTCTCGGCCAATGCGTAATACTACGGATGATGAGCGGGTCGGCAGTCCAGTGGCAATTGAGTTCGCTCGAGGCAAGGGAGCCGGACGCATTGTCTTGGCAGGAGATGATCGCCCTTTAGATGGGCTCTTTCGAATCCCGCTTGTAGATGCCATCAGGCCCCCCTGACTGACTGACCGATTGAACGAGCTTGATAGACCGATATGTGTTACACTCCGAGTTAAGCCTGGTCGTATGCCTCTAGGCGTATAGTCGTCATCTTCTTCGTCGCTCTCGCTTGGGAAATTGGCAGATGAACTAGGTCGCCGCCTATTCGGTGCCTGGGCACGGAGGAGTTCCTCTCGCTTTGATTCCTCCGCTTGGTGATGGTACGGTTGCCGCAGGCCACGGAGGGACCGTGTCTCGGGTGTGAGCTGGGGCCCGCCAAATCGACGAGCAGGGGAGCTTAAGAACAGCGCTGGATCTTCAGCCTTGGCTATAGGGCGCCGGGGTGAGGTCGAGAACGGGGCTGGAAAGAAGGCAGCATCATTGGCGGGTGCGGAAAGATCGAAGGTGTGACCAAAATCGGGAAGATCAATTGCACCATCAATGGTGGGTAATTGGGGGATATGATGTGTGTTTGAAGACGGTTGGCGAGCATCAAAATGGTTTCCATTGCTCGGCAAGGGGATCTCACTTGTATTGTCTAGATCTTGATCCCAGAACAATCGTTGCTGTGGAAAGAAGGGGGAGCCCGCGGGATCTAACGAAGCCAATTGGAAGAGGTCGGGTGACGATTGAAGGTTTCCAAACATTCTGGGAGACTCCCCCAGAAGACGACTAGGTGTTTCCAAATGTCCTCCCATCCCTGATATTGTTCCTTGTGTAGTTCCAACGGGCTGGTCAAACTCGGGTATTTTTCTTCTGGAGGCACTTGTCGGCGGAGGCGTTTGCATCGAGGCGGCTGACTTGGCGGAGCCCACTGGCCGGGGATAATCCTCATTCGGAAGAGGCTTCATGGGTCGAATTCGTCTGGCCGTATCGGTTTGGTCCGACGTCCTCCCCTTGTAACCTGACTCCGAGCCATGACTAATTCCCTTTGAATTCGATGAGCCGAGACCGAACTTCTGCGGCGTGCGGAGTAGCTCCGGACTGGAGGCATATGGATCGGAGGTATCCCAAGTGACTCGAGGATCGAAAAAGCTAGATTCGAGTTTGGGGGTATGGAAGGGATCGAAGTTAGGAGTCCTCGTCGGAGTTTGAGGTTCACCGTAGCTGAAGCTAAACATAAACGAATCCATGAGCAACACTTCCCATCACCTTGAACATGAACGTATATGGGAAAAGAACAAAACAATTATCCATAGAACAAAAAAAAGAAAGATAATGTGACACACCCCGCATGGAAGGGGGTTATTCAAGGGAGTAATGGGCATACCTATGGACAGGGTGATCCCAACTCATGTCAGCAACACTTAATCATTGAAGGTCAAGCTGCCAGGCAACCTTAAGTTTGAGAATGTGGGTTGACAAGTAAGATCATTTGAGATAGAGTTAATTCATTTAAGTTGTGTTTTGTTCTTGTGTTTCGTATTTTGTTTGTTTTTGTTGTAGTACAATATTGTACGAGGGAGAGTAGAGAGTAGAGAGATCAAGGGGTAAAGGAGGAATGCATGGAAGGTTTTTTTTTTGGTGAAGAAAAGAAGGAAGTCGGAGATTGACAGTTTCGGTTGTTTTCCTTTTTCTCTGTTTGTCTTCTTTTTTTTTTTTTTTATTACGTGGGGACTTGCTGGTTTTTCTTCTTTTTCATTTTCATTATTTTTATATCCACTGATATCCACTAAATCTTCCGAAGTCTTATCCATGAATATCTATAACGGAGTAACGGAGTAACGGAGTAGGCAATTGGGCATGTATGGCAGTACCTGCAGGAACGCTTAATCTGACTGGTTTTTCAAGTAAAGAGTGGAGATAAACGTATGAACACTTGCTATTTGCTATGTATTCTCTGTCCTCGGTCCCGAAGCCAGCTGAACTTCAGCCTATCAAGGCTGAAAAGGACAGAAGACCCTTTGGCGGTCACACTTCCCCTTGTCTAAAGGCGCTGATCCAGACCAAAATAGGCCGGAAAACGAGATCGAGTCTTGTTCGGGGAACCCGGAGAGAGTCCAGTTCCAGGCTTCAGTGGATATGCTAAGCCGCTTTGTTCGTGAGCTTCGGGCCAAGATCTAGCTTATGACGACATGACTAGAATCTAGTCATGTCTTTTCCCCGGAGTATGGAGAAACTGGTACAATCGTAGATCACACATTGCACAACATTTAAAGGTACCTAGGTAGAACACATGTACAACGTATAGTTACCGAGATATAAGCTTGGTGTAGTGTACCTTGACCTCAGGACTGTATAATTTACAGTCGGAACCTTGGAAGTTCAAAGGGGCAACCTCCGCCTAAGTTTGCCGGAGTTCCATGGTCCCTTAATTACTAGCTAGTCATGGCAGCTCGGATTTAGGTGCTAAAGCCCAGGATAATCACTTGCCTCAGCCCCTATCTTGGCATGTGCCCAATGTACCCAATCATCTTATTAGTCTGATTAGTCTTTCTTTGTTCATATGAAGTGCGCCGCTGTTCGGCTTCTGAATTTCATGGACGTTGGACATACAACACTCCCAATCCCAATTCCCTGTTGAACACTAACTTGAAAACCCACCGAAGCTCCCCACGCTAATCTCACAATCTTGGGATCCGATGATCCCAATCTTAGTCTATAGGATTTGTCTCTGGGCTGATACATCCAACCAATGCAGCCTATCGGGGATCCTGTGATTATTCCCCATATAAGGCGTACCCCATTTCCCTCTTGCTATCATGGAGCTGTATGTTTATCTTTAATTGGTCTGTCGATAACATTGGGACTAGAGATATACAATACAGGCACTCTATAGACCGACAGGGTACCCAACAGAATATTGCAGGCCCAATGCTTAATGTGTCCAAGTCGTTGTAGTCAAAAGTTGCCCCTCGTGAGCAGGGACTTCCCCTTACCGCTTCAAGGTCATTTCGGGGGATTTTCGGGAGATTTGCTATTTACACTTCTACTTAAGTACTCCATCTCACTGATATTGTACAATATTCAGTATCTCCAAACACAGAGTGGGAAAATACATGATCTACGAGCCTGCCAGTTCAATTGACCATTTGATATTAGATCTGTCAATTTTGAGCAACTGTAGTATTGAATTGAGGCCGGCAAATCCATCGATCAATCCGTACATGTATGTCTAGTTCCATTTTGGATCAAATATACATGTGTACTCATATCATTTATAACTATCTCATTTCCATCAATTTCCCTGCACAAGATTCAAAAGTCGGCACTTGAGAGATGAAACCTGATTATTAAGGCATCGATACCGAGCCACACCACAGCCACAACGCCACTATTAAGCGTTCCCGATTTGATCAAAGATAACCCCGGAAGTAACAAAAGTAACAAAAGTAACAAAGCCCATTGAGCGTTTCATGTCCAAAATTAAAACATAAGATGACATGAGAATAACTCTTCTGATCAGACAATTGCTCAATGGAAGTCCACGCAAGACTTAACCACCCTCAACCTCCTTGCTAGCTCTAACCATGGCACCCACAACAACAAAATCCAAGTCGAACATCCGCAAGCGCAAACCCCGCACTCGGAAGAACCACCGTGGTGTTCGCACTCGCGATGGCCATGCCCGTATTGCCGAAGCGGGGTCCCCAGTTCAGCCTTTGACGGAGGTTCTCAACGTCTCCGAGACGAAGAAGCGTTCGAAGCCTAAGAAGGCTCGCTCAGTCCCGATACCTGTTTCTGATGATCCACTTGAGAAGGTATGGTTGAGTTCCTTGGTACAGAGTGTCTCGCTGATCGGTCCCAGAATATTGTTGAGGGTGTCGCCATGCTAGCGGGATACGTCTTCGTCCCCAAAGGCGACGTCTACATCACCCGCCACTGCCGTAGTAAAACAAAAGAAGCCGGGAAAATTGTCTATGTTATCTACGTAAGTTCTTTCCGACTCGGCCTACTACAAATCTCACAATCCCAGCACCACTCCGGAAAACGCACACTGGGCATCCGCGTCCCAGAAGAGATCCACAACGAAGTCCTCGACTCAGCAGCCGCAACGAAAGAGTCGCGTGCAAATGCCGTGCAACTCCGTGACGCTAAAGATCTCTCCAAAGCACGAGCACTTTTGAAAACTGAGTTCCCGCTCATGCCCAAAGATACCCTCAAAATTGTTCTTGAGCATGCTTTTCTCAAGGGCTCTGGGCGGGTTGGCCGCACTGCTATGATTAGTGAGGAGAAGAAGACCTTGTTGGCTGTTGAGGCGCATATTCGTCATGTGCACACGCCTTACGAGAGGTTGCTCGATGAGGGGGTTGATCGGAAGAAGGCACGGGAGCAGGTCTGGGGGACTATTCAGGCTATTGAGCGGGCTTGGCAGGGGAATGGGGAGGGGGAGATGAAGTTGGCTTTACGTTCTAAGGAGTGAGGCGTTGCATTTGTTGGCATTTCGGGTGTTTGTTATGGTCGTACAGAGTGAAATAACCATGGATTTTGTGGTTAGAGTTAGGCGTTATAGGTTAGAGTGTTTTAAGATAATGGGACGCATTGGTTGTCCTGTCAGTCCTAGCTTTGGAGTCATAGGACTAGTAGATCGTACATTGTCATTTAGTGGATAGACTGGACTGAGTAACAAACGTACAGTAAGAAAGATGATACAAACAAAACAAGGCTGTATGACTGATGGTGATGAGAATGATAGTTAGGGGAAGCTTCGTACGTGATGAAGGTAGATCCGAAAGTGAAGGATATTTGAGTGAGAGCTCCAGGAAAATTTACAGATAGATGATAGCCTATAAGGAAATTAAACTCAATGTAAGACTTCCACAACCGATGATTTCCGCTGATCACAGCTATCGGGGAGATGGACCATAGTTACGAATGAACCTCACTTCGAAGTGAGGGTAAAGATAGGGTAGCCCATTGAATCAGTCGAGACCATCCCGAGTCATATTTATCATCACTCCTTAGCGGCGACCAACAACATTGATGGCGTATCAGCGATCATTATGCTCACAATCAGGCATACTATAGACACGAGGAACGCTATTTCCACTGGTAAGTGTCTCTAGGACTGGAATTGCATCATTGATTGCTTCAACGCGAGAGCCGCGAACAGGAGATGGGGAATCAATGCCTATTGCGTCGCCATTGAGGACTGGAGTTGTAAAAACGCTCTATTCAATTATCGCGGGTGTCTGAGGTGGTGTCTGAGCTCGTTTAGGAGTTAAATCCGGTTGACGACGAGACAAGTACGGACAGGAAGGCATGGTGAATTCCTCAATGCCATGCGCTGCTCGCGCGCTCGCGGTCTCGGGGGAGTTGTCTGGCAGCAGCTCGTTGGCCGTTCCGACTGCCTTGAGTGGGATCGGGAGGAGATAGAATACTAAGAGTGATGCTGGGTTAACAAGTTAACAAATTGTTTGATGGAAAGTTTGGATGATGAAAGAAAGCATACTGGTGATTTGGTTCCATCGGGCTGAGATGGAAGCTGGATGAACCTGAGAGCGGTGGCTGTAAAAAAAAGGCTTGAGGTGTTCATTGTGAAAGAAAAGGACTGCAAAAGATGCACGGGGCTTGCTTACACTGTATGGAGTTTTCCTCCCCCATGTATGTTCTCTACCTTCTAATCTAGCGTGTCTCTTAGATCCATGCTTAGCTATTATATGGTAACAAAGGACACTAATTCGGTATATCGATGCGATGATATATGAAGACTTGATGTAAACACTCTCCATTAGACCAGATCCCTCGCTTTATCTCTTCACTTTGTATAGAAACATGTCTCTGCGCTTCTGACTTCCAATTGACCCTCTTCAATATTTGACTACAATCAAAGTTTGATATATTTACGGAGAGTTTTGATAACTAGCGTATGTAAAAGTGAATCAATCAAATGTGATACCTTGTTGATCTCTTTAAGAATGTGCAGTTTAGTTAAAACTTGAAAGAATAGCAAGGCCTGATTCAATGATCTGAAGGCTATTAATTCTATTAACCCTTAAAATATGATTTTCAATGTAGATTTTAACGCCAGCAGAATACTTAAGAAGGGTTATAAAGACGGCTACGTAGTTCACTGGTTTGATGCCAAGACTTTGTGGATCTTTAAGATTCTAGAGATCTACAACGTACATTTGTACAGACTCTATTCTCTCTATTCCATGTACAATTATGTACCGGATCATCATGGTATCATATGTGACACATAACTATGTATTATGCAGAAATCAACCAGTGTCCATACTGACACGATTTGACTGTCGATCACATGTTTCAGTAAATCTGCACTAAAACATTTGAACCTTGAGAAGACCCTCAGTCTCCACTATAATCAGGGTCCAGTCAATCAAATTACAGTATTTCTGTGGAACGTTGTCCAAGTCAAGGCTGACTTGCCAAAAAGAGAAAATGCCCAATCCAACTTTTGAACTCCGAAACACTCAAATCTGACTTCTCATCATGAGCATCATGAGAAGTCGCATGTACTTCGGTTCTCTGAATCGACACAAATATGTCTTCGTCGCTGCAATTCTACTCACATTCATTGTATACCACTCACTGCTTGCGCCAAAGTCCAAACTCAGCCCCCGCACCACGGTAACACAGGCGGGAAATCGCCCACGATATCTACACCAGTCGACATTCCGTGTGGATCCGGATCATGACTACGAAGATAAACTGTCAGATGCGCTGCGCAACATCGAGATAACGAGGAATGCGCGCCATGACGAGGATGCGACGGACACGATCTGGCAGATTATCTTGTCTGCCAAGGATCACCGAAAAGACGATTCATACCAGTTCCAGAAAACCAACTCCGAATGGAAATATCAAGTATGTTATCTGCGCAGATGGGCAGCTTTCTTGAAACTGGACTAGTACACGCAAACTAATACCGCATTTTATAGCTGGTAGATGCCGCATGGGCCGAAACATTCATCACCAAAACCCTCGCGTCAATACCAGACCTTGCACGACTATACAAATCATACCCGCACTTCGTCCAACGCGGTGATCTTCTCCGCTACCTAATCCTGTGGTATTACGGTGGCTACTACGCAGATGTCGACGTATACCCAGCGAAAAGCATTAAATCGTGCCCATCACTCCGTCCCGTGTTCAAAGATCCCGTAACAGCTGCCAATGTCTCACTGGTCGTCGGTGTTGAAATTGATGAACCCTTCGCTTCTCCGCAGAAAATGCGCGACTGGCATTGGGCCCGACGATATGGGTTCCTGCAATATAACATCTATGCGCCACAGCGATTTAGCCCGCTGCTGAGGGATATTGTTGTTCGCGTGATGTCCCATACCAAGCGCTATATTGATGAGAGTCACTTCCTGTGGGGTGGGAGGTATAATGAGATGGCGACATTGGAGATTACGGGACCGGGCGTGTTCACAGATGCTATTCTCGATGTGTTGTCTGATGCGTTGCCATCTACGCATCCGCTTGTTCAGAAGTCCGTTGATGCGGATGCGGAGTTTGGTGATCTTGTGCCTTCATACTCAGCATTGCCTGTACAGCGGGTGACATGGGCGCCATTTCACGGTATTAAAGAGACTATTTGTGTGGATGGGTCAGAGGCTGAGCCGGGAAATATGTTCGGGGGGTTTGCGTGCTGCCTGTTAATGCTTGGGGCAACGGACAGAGGCATAGTGGTTCTGAAGGTTTTAGCAGCTCGCATGCTTGCATTAATCATCGCTTTGGTGGTACCTGGAAACCTTGGCGACAGAGCTGGAAGCAGTATCTCTTTGGCTGATGGGCCTGGTTCATGTCTTCCTGTAAATAATGACTTCTCGTTGTAGTTTAATGATACCTTGTAAATCACCCATTCGAAGTGACATTCACAATGCTTTGTTGCGAGCAGAAGAAATGTCCTAAGCTACTAAAGCCGTGCATCCAGATGTCTCTTACTCTTCTACCACTCACGACCAACTAAACTTTCCTACACATACCTTGCTGCTTTACATTGCGCATTCAAAAATTCAATAGTGAGTTCTTTGTATACCTTGAATCTATTAACGAACAGTTTTTGATATTGGATATACATCAACTAAAGCAGACAATGTGACATGCTTGGGCATCGGAGTGGTATGATCAATGTCTCCGGACATTTAGATCAGAATAATAGCACCAATAGCAGCACCAGCGACTGCCATCAATGGACCAACACTGCTCCCCGCAATATTGGTCGAGACCGGCTGAGCAGAGGAGCTACTGGTAGCCGTACCACTTTCAGTCGTGTCCGAGCCCGTTGATTGAGTTGGAGCCGCGGTAGTCGAAGGAGTCGAAGCAACAGTGGTGCTCTGCGAATTATCGAGCGAGGAAGTCTTGGCGGCTACCCCCGTAGAAGATGTAACACTGGTATCAGCCGAGGCAGTAACAGATGTAGTCTCTGTAGAGCTAGTGGAAGCAATAGTCGAGGAAGCAGAGACGGACGAAGGTGCCCAACAAGAGAGAGTGGAGGTCGTGGAGACGCAGGGCTCTGTGCCTGTGTATGCTGCACAGCAGGGGACGTCGTACTTGACCGGGGCGCGGCCACCGCCGCAATCGAGCGGATCGCAGACTTCTCCGTTCGTCGGATCGTACCAGTGGACGGTCTTGTCGGCGCAGCTGGTGTAGCTGATGGTGTTGCACGCACCAAAGACGGTCGTCGCCAGCATCAGCAGGGATGCGGCGGTGGGAAGAGTTGTTTTAACCATCTTTGGAGGGGTGAGACTTTTGTCAGGGTACAAAGGTATATCCTTTCACGACTTGTAGGGGCTGTACGAGATTGTGGAGTTGGGGGCTTCGGAAAAACGAAAGGGACAAACAAATTGAACGCGCCGGTTATACTTTACGCCTTGACATCCCCATTCTCCAATGAGTCAAGCCAACTTGACCACTGCCCCTTTACCGAGCGCTAGGAAATTATGGGGTAGTAATTTCAGAGAATTTATAAGCCTCGCCTGCCTAAACGAGCGCAGAGAGAGGCTCAGCCCTATTTTAACTGGCTGGATACAGGTGAGACGCATTGACCTCTCGGCTAGACCCGCCCCCAAGAAGGCCTCGGCTACGAGATACATTGTAAATGTGAATAGTTACACGCATATATTTATGTAAGTAAATATCACATAAAGAGTGATTAAGTCGACAATGAAGCGTTAATTAACAGAGCTATGCAACTTGATTCCTTATATTAAGGTGCTGTGCGCGATGTTAAATCTCTGTGCTCCGTACTGTCCCATAAAATATTGTAAATTAGACCGCAAACACTGTCTAAATGGGCTAGCGCGTCTCAAACTAATAAAAGCTTTTTAATTTTCATAAAAGGGGGGCATGGCGGCCATCGGAGGCTCTTTCATCCCATTATTATTATTATTTTCAGAGGGAGAAAAAAAAGCATTCCCCTAACCCATCCGTCGCTCGCTTTTGTCATTCGTTTCAAACTTCATATTCATAATCATGGCGCGATTGTCCGTTGTTTTCGTGTTCTTCGCCTTCTTGGGCGCTACTCTAGTAACTGCATTCAACCAAACATTGGAACTAGAGAATTCGGATTGCGATGTGAGTCAAATTCCGGCCTGGACTAACATGCTTCGATTTCCAAAAAATTCAAATAAAATCGCAGCAAGAATCAGTAACTAATAGACCTTTTACTTGAAAGAACAATTGCTACTTCGACAGCTTTCCCGGTGGGTCCTGCACCAACGACGCAGCATGCATGTGTGACCAACAGAAGTACCGCGAGGCATACTTCTGCTGCATGGGCAAGTATTGCAACTCCAATGTGCTGCCTGGTAAGTCTTCTCTTTATTTCTACTTTTGCTCTCTCTTTTGGACCAAGTCTCGTCGCTAATGAATTCAGATTCCGTGACGCGGCAGAACAGGGATTGTAACGCCAGAAACATGCCCTTCACCTTTGATTCAGAAGCTGTTTGTGGTATCAAACTGACTACTTCCGCCGGTGTCCTGGTAGCGGCTGCTACTTCTGCTTCTACTGCTACCACTGCTACTACTGCTGCCGTCGATGCTACCACCACTGGCGACTCCAAGTCCTCAAGTGCACCTGCCTCTACTACTTCAGCGGCATCTTCGACTGTTACCTCAGGGACTTCTTCTGCAGGAAACCAAACGACCTCAGGCACTTCGGCGCCGACTCCTACTACCAATGGTGCGCCAGGAAAGGCAGCCATCTGGAACGCCGTCATGATCCTAGTTGGTGTGTCCGCTGCATCAATGTGGTGAGTGAGGTACTGGATGCAAAACGACGAGGCAAATTCATTCCTTAATAATGACTACTTTCTTGATTCTTTGGCGATCCAAGACACTATTTTCAAAATTCTTGATTATGTGTAAGTATTCGGTAAATCCGTAAGCTCCAGATGCATTCTAGTAATCAAAATAACATCTTCCTTGAGATTTAAAAATGGCTGTCGTTCATTGCTGGTGAAATCAATCTCATATCATACGATGGGCTGCGGCTCTAACTAGTTCGGTGCTCGGGTTCCCGAACTCTCCCGAGCTCCCGAGCTGCCGCTGACTCATCGGAATCTGGCGGATCTGCGCGCCATCCCCTGTGGCACTTGACAGCTGTCGAAACTCTGAAAAGCTTCAGACCCTTGAAACTACATTAATCTTAAGTGCTTCAATATCATCATGGCTGAACATCCTTCCTTTACCCTTGCTGCTCTTCGTAAGTACTGCGCGCAACGAGATAAGTAGATCAACATTTCTGACCAAAACAAGTGCCTATCGGAGGCGCCATTGGATTTGCGCGAACCCGTTCTGCGCCCTCTTTGATTGCTGGTGTTGGTCTCGGTGTATCATATGCCTACTCTGGTGAGTATCGATCTCAACTGTGGCGTACCGAAATATTCCCGACTGACCCCGCTACCAGGTTATTTGATCAAGGAGAACAAGGACTACGGCACTGAGCTCGCCCTGGGAAACAGCATCCTCCTTCTCGGCTCTGCAATCCCTAGGATCATTAAGACGAAAGCCAGGGCTGTGATGCCTCTGGCTCTCGGGGCTACTGGATTGTTGGCATCTTTCTACTATCAGAAGAAGGTGCGGGAGTTCCGCTTCGGAGTCTAGTTTCTACGGTATTGTAGAAATTAGTGTATATCTAGCACAGATGTTTTGGTCGAAGATGACAATCAGTCACCTAGCAATTTATCTCGGCTAACTTGTTCACATTGAGAATCAATCTACCTGTACAAATATGATGAATGCACTAAAAGCCACAGTGAGGGCGGAATGGTGCTGGATGAGTAGTTGTTCATGTAGACCTATGCAGTAGATTCAGAAACGATCAGTAGTAGACAAAACTACATGGAGATGTTTTTCGTGCAAAAGCATATGCAGCTCCATCTCTGAAAGTTATATTTAGTGGCCCCAGCTAATATTTGAAGAGCAGTCTCACAAGTCCCGAGTAGTGGCGGAGCCAGACACGGCGCCATACTCGGCGCCATACTCGGCGCCAAGCCGAAGACTCGTGGCGCCCTCGGGTATAGATCGCTCTGTACTTCAATCTTGATGATCATCCCAGGGAATCAGATTGCGGAGTATTGTTGCATGCATGTTCAGCATGCACATTCAATTGTGGAAACGGGAGTCAACAACCATCACACCAACAATCTCCGTCCGCGCGCCAGACAAAACACGCCAAGCATTCAAAATCGAGGTTATTCGCAGGCTGCCTTATTTTTCCCATTGCCCAGCCTTGGCGTGTCGCTCCTCTCTGTGCAAGGCAGTATCTATTGGGACTGAGAATCCCCGCCGCGCTGTGATTTCGCCAACTCGCGCCTAGTCTCGGGTTCGCGTTGTCTTTCGTGACACTCTAATAGCCAAGCTGCCATGGATCTATTGTCTATTTGCGTTAGACTTACCTCCTTTAAATACTATTGCTCCTTTTTTCATGAAAAATGATCAAATTTTTTCTTCGCTCGCCTCAGTCACTCATTTGTTTCCTCAATTTTACTATATGCGTCAAGTAACAGGGGTCTCTTGATTCTACTACACATGTTGCCTTACGGTCGCTCGCTAATTTCGACATCATGGCTTGTCATTTCCATATTTATAGCAGTCTTTGCACCTCAAGCTTCGGCAACTGGCCTTTCGTTGGACACAAGTAGCGTTGGTATGAGTCGTCGCTCGCCCGAGAACGAAACTTACGAAAATAATATTTTAACATTGACAGAAAGACTCTATCAAGTCCACGGCGAGCCAAATAGCCTTCGATCTAGTAACCTTCTATACCGGCAATAGTACAGGCGATACACCGGGAAATCTGCCTGATCCATACTACTGGTGGGAAGCAGGAGCGTTCTTCGGAGCTCTCGTCAACTACTGGTCGTATACCGGAGATTCGACCTACAACGAGATCACCAAACAAGCGATGATACACCAAGCAGGAAAGAAAGGCGATTTCATGCCCGAGAACCAAACATACACCGAAGGAAACGACGATCAATGCTTCTGGGCTCTGAGTGCAATGATTGCCGCCGAGAGGAATTTCCCCGCGCCCCCATCTGAAACTCCCAGCTGGCTGGCGATGGTCCAGGCTGTTTTCAATGAGCAGGCTAATCGATGGGACACGTCCGCTTGTGGCGGCGGGTTGAGATGGCAGATCTATACCTGGAACAGTGGGTACTTGTACCGGAATAGTATTGCGAATGGCTGTTTCTTCGATATCTCGTCGAGATTGGCTCGCTACACTGGCAATGAAACATATGCCAAATGGGCTACCAAAGCCTGGAATTGGTCGCACGCCATTGGTCTCATTGGAGATAATTATGAAATCTTCGATGGAGTTACCGACGTCGACAACTGTACCTCCCACGACCATAACCGGTGGTCTTACAATGCAGGTATCTGGCTGCACGGTGCCTCGGTGATGTATAACTACACATCCGAGGAAGATGCTTCTTCTGAGATATCGGCTACCTGGCGGGAGCGCACAGATGGTCTTCTTAAAGCCACGGACAATTTCTTCCCCAAGGACAATATTATGTTTGAGCCGAATTGTGAATCGTCGGGCAAGTGCAACGTTGATCAGTTGTCTTTCAAAGCGTACCTGAGCCGCTGGCTGGCTGAGGTCACGCAGTATGCGCCTTACACGTATAATTCAATCATGTCGGAGAGACTTCGGCCGACTGCAACCGCTGCCGTGGCACAGTGTCAGGGTGGTGACACGGGTACATTTTGTGGTCATAAATGGAGTTCTGGCAAGTATGATGGTACCACTGGTGTTGGGCAGCAGATGGGTGTGCTTGAGGTGCTTCAGGGCCTTCTTGCAGCTGATGTTGGCGGAGCTTTGACTTCTTCTACTGGTGGTAAAAGCGAGGGGAATAGTGCTGCTGGTACCGGTGAACATGAGACAAAGGCAGAGCTGCCAACAATGCATATCGACAATGGTGATAGAGCTGGTGCGGGTATAGTGACGGCTTTATTTGTCTCTCTTGTTGCTTGGGCTTGCTATGGGATGATTTCTTGATCTATTCAGCCTCACTGTTTCCTGTTTGTTGTTGATGATATTCATAGATACCCATAAATTAGATGCAGTGTCTCTATAATATGATGTATATAGCAGCGTTTGCTTATCCATTGTTCGTCACGCCTCCCTAGCTATAGATAGAGAGCTTTTTTCCTCAGAGATCTCAGGATATCATAATAATTCATATCACTATTCCACCTACATAGTGAGTCCACATCAGAATATTACATGGATTTTAGCAAACTTTAGAAAGGTTTTCATTGGCTTTTGTATGTTCGGTGGGAAACTGAAATATAGACGTGGAGTAAAATAGATACTCGACTCCCCTCGACTACGGAAGAACAAAAGATCAATATCTATAGATGTCGAAGAACAAAATGAACATATTTCAATTTTACTTTTGACTATGCTATATAGTAGAAAGATATTTGCGAACGGAAGACAATTGCTATGAAGGGACAATGAGTTGCTCCTCCTTCGGCCAAGTAGCAATAGTCGTAGCATCACCAGTCAAAGTGAACTTCAGAACGGCTGACCGTTCATTGTTTAGAGCCAGCTCATACTTGCCAGGATAAATAATGCGGTTTCCATCAACATCAGTACGAGCAACATTGTCCAACGAGATGGGAATGGTCAATGTCTGGGATGACTTTGGCTTCAGTGAGCCCAAACGGTCAAATCCGGCTAGCCACTTGATAGGGTGTGGAGTGGGACCAGCCGTGGTGTTGACAAAGGCCATGGCAGTATAGTCAGACTCTACTGAGCCAGTGTTCTTGATGTTAACAGTATAGTTCATGAAAGGCAACTGCTCAACGAGGTTGTATCCAGTGTGAGGACGCGTAAGAAGCTTGTCGATATCGAAAGTTGTTCCGTTGGTAGGACCCTGAGATTTGGCCGGTGATGCTTTGAATTTAGTGTAGAACAGACCATGTCCAAACTCAAAAACGGGCTTGCCAGTATACCACATGTACGTCTGACCCGGGTTGCTTCCGTTTGGCCGCAGGCTCATATCCGTTGCGGGGAATTGATGAGCATACTTGGCTGGATACTGGGTAGCTGTCAGTCTGCCTGCTGGAGCACGCTTGCCAGTAAGAATATCCAGGATTGCAAGACCGCCGGACTGTCCAGGGTATCCACCCCAAACAATTGAGTTGACATTCTTGCTAGCTTTGAGTGCTGAAGAGTCCACCTGGCCACCGCCCATTTGAAGAACGATCAAAGGCTTTCCGAGTTCGCTGAGCTGCTTGATGAGTTCAAGTTGGTTGCCGGGCCATGTGATCTCCTGGCGATCCATGCCCTCTGCTTCGATTGTGTTGTCAATTCCACCCGCGAAAATAATGACATCGGATTTCTTCGCAGCTGCGATCGCGGCATCAAAGTGTTCAGTTGACTCGGAAGAGATGTTAGTTCCAAAGGCGTAGTTGACGTCAAGTTCCGAGGCCTGGAAAGCAGCGAGCGGACTGGTGATATATGGCGAGTTACCGAGAGAGGGAGATAGTTTCCTTTCATCTGCGTGGTCGCGTTTGCCCAGGGTCCTATCAAAGCGACGCTGCTAGTGTTTGCGGACAAAGGCAAGGTGCCATCGTTCTTGAGGAGAACAATGCCCTCTACGGCGGCTTCGTAGGAAATATTCAAGGCATCGGTGGCAACGACATCAGACCAATCAAGGTCTCTGTATTTGCTGTCCTTTCCGTCGAAGTATCCCAGACTCGCAAGATTAGAATATAACCGAATCACGCCGCGTTCAATCTCGCTGCGAGAGATCTCACCCTTTGTGAAGGAACCATTGAGGTAAAGCTGATATGTCTCTCCGCAGTCAATATCCGTGCCGGCCAACATGCTCTTGGCCGCAGCAAGCTCTGTGTCGGACGCATAGCCGTGGGGATTGAAAACATTGTACACAGCATCGCAATCGGAAGAAACATAGCCATCTTCAACAAAATTCCAGGTGTCTCGCAGGAGAGTCTGCAACAAGAAAGTGTTCGCGGAAGAAGGAACCCCGTTCACTGCATTGTATGATGACATGACGCTGTGGACTCGGGCATCTAAAACAGCAGCCTTGAACTGGGGCGAGTAGTACTCTGACAGATCCTGTTGGGTGATGATCATATCGTTGCCCAGTCTCGAGTGGTTGTTCCAGTTCTCAATATCGTAACCGACAAAGTGCTTCGCATTGGCAACAAGCTTCAGAGGGACTGGATCCACACCTCCTTGAATACCGGTGATGTATTCGAAGGCGTAAGTCGCGCACAGAATGTTCGCGTCCTCACCTGGGGTTTCCTGGCCACGACCCCAAACAGGGTGACGGAAGGAATTGATGTTAGGGGCATAAACATCCAGTCCATAACGGCCGTAATTGTTGAATGCTCTGCCTTGGGTTGAGATGATGTCACCGATTTGGTTAATCAAGGTGCGGTTCAAGGCAGCCATTGAGAGGATAGGGGATGGGAATGCCGTGGTCCAACTGAAGTCTCCTGACTCTGTCCAATTGGCGCGATCGATTCCATGGAGAGCTTCACTCCAAACTTGGTACGGCGGGAGCCCAAGGCGGGGAATAGGTGGAATGAGGTTTCCGGTGCTGTTCACGAGTTCTTCAAAGGTAAACATGGAGACAAGGGCGGCGGCCCTATCGTGAGGCCTCGCTGATGTATCGCAAACAATTGTTTTGCTCAAGGGACCATCGGAGCAGTCTGGGAACGCCCAATCAATGACGTTCATTGTCTCGGAGTAAAGGTTCGGTTGAGGTTCGGTATTATAGTCAACATAGCTTGAATTATCCTGTGCCAATGTGGCCGGCGCGATGGCCGCCAACAAGGCGAGTAGCGAAGTGATTCCCATGGCGGACAGATTTGAGCGATGTTCCTTCAACAGCTACGGGGGATCAACTTATAACATTCCTGGGCCAAGGAGTTGTATGGGGAGCTTCCCCCACACGAACCGAATATAGTAAGTTCTGCAGTCGATCCGATGTTTAGGCCGGGGATATTACGCGGGGTTTTGCCGAAATGCAACCGAGATGGCGGATGTTGACACTTTAGCCTAAATATACCGTTGCCGATTGCTTAAGCAGTGAGTTGATCGGCAGATAGTCAATCGTTTTGTAGTATCTGCCGGCTTGACATACTCACGAAAGCACGCGGGGATAGGGAGAGAAAATTAACCATTGCATAAAAACAAATCCATCCATCCACCCCTAGCTTGAAAAATGAGGAGGATCACGGGAACGGTGAAGGTAGGCCCTTACTTACATTACACTCAGGAGGTCTAAGCCCTGAAGAGCGCAATTAACCTTTACGCCCAGAACCAGCCATCAAGCCATTCCAGCCATCCGAAGAAGATCAGAGCTTGTCTATTCAGCCTAATATATATGATGGCATGATGAAATAGTTACTAGGAATTTTCGGCGTTCACCTGGGCATGCAGATTAATTCGCGCATCTTCCCCTCTTTTGCCTACTGCCACACACTTGGATGAATTGACAGGGCCGTTTTGACCATTATAATCGATTCTCTGCAAGTGACCTAAAGATTGGAGTGCTCATTCGATATATCGTTTCTATTCGTGAGTATATCCGGCTATGAAAGGACACCATAGGTGAGAGATGCAATCAGGCTTTCGTCGTCCCACTAGCACAACGACTGTCAATTTTAAATTCTCTCTCAAATTACAAGTTGCGCAGTCTGGGATCGAGCTTGAGAAGTTTTTCTACCAAAGGCGCTCTTTTGGAAGAAACGGTGAAATCACACCAGAAACCCCCATCTGCCTTGCAAATGATCTGCGCGTTGTATCTCGTAGGAAAGCTGCGTTGCAGAGAGTGCCCTAGCACAAGAGGCCGAGCAGTACCACCCTGCCTGCCTTGCAACGCATTATAAGCTCATGAAATAGGAGCCCGCTCACCAGCAGCACAGAAAGCATCGAGATATGCGAGCGAACCATCCGGCTGGTCCATCCGCACACTTTGCACGACGCCTTTCGTGTCAAAATTAAATCCATAATGGTAGAAAAATCCAGCCATCCTAGCAGCGCGGATCAAATAGAAATCGGCGTCAGAGAAATTATGAGCCTCCGCTCGAAAGGTTTGCCAGAAGAGGCTCTCGAGTTCGCGGCAGCGATCGTAGTAGTGCCACCCTTCTGAATCCATCCATCCCAAAAGATTCTCAAGCCCATATAGCGCGAAGCCGAACGGCAGAATCCTTGATTCAGCCCAGTCAAAAATCCCTGCGATATTTCCGGTTTTGGGATTGACGAGGAGATTCGTCACGTTAAGGTCACCGTGGCTAAGAACAAAGGGGAGAGCTTTGAAGACAGACGGGAGCTCTTTGCGGACCCTTTCTAGCTTTGATGCAAAGCGAGACGGCAGATTTCGAGCAAAAGCATGGCCCCGGTTGCATCTGAGCATGGCTGTAGATTGTTGTTCCATGACTGTGCAAAGAACCTGTTCTAAAATGTTAGTTCTTACAAATGAAGCAAAACTTTGCTAGGGATACCTTGCGAAGTCCTTGATGGTGTTGTGCTGTCGGGACATGTCGTCTGGAGGAATGCGCGCCATTATGTGAGCAGTCCCAGGAAGATGCTCCCTCTCGTAGATATAGACTGGCCGCGAATCGCCCAGAGATACTTGCAGTTAGTCACAAATTCGGGATGGATCGCTTTGGCAATGATAATGTTGCTCATATCAATGGTAGAGTTCTCATCTCGGAACTGGAAGAGCTTGGTGTTGTTGGGCCCCGCTGTCACGGTATAGCTGCACACTCCCTGCATCTGTAAAGCAGAGGACACCCCGCGGCGCGAGAAATGGCGAATTCATCGCATTTCTGTCTTGTGACAGTAGTATTCGAGTTGAAAAATTCATCAATTGCGCCGTCAGGACTGTAAAGAACATAAGTCGTCATTGTGGTGAAGGGCAGTGGGACGGGGAGGGAACTGGGAGATAATGTAAGGTTGCGTTTATTCGTACCCAGCGATAGTCACCATTCTCTCCCATTCATAATGTATGCCACAGCCGTATTCTTGGGTAATTTGAGGTCAATGAAGTAAAAAATCGGTCTTTTAGAATTCGGTAATCGTTTATTCAATCTAACTATAAAAGAGAAAAATCTGTACCGTAAGAAACACCCAAGTCCCAGCCTTATTGCGATAATACTTGGTAATTTGAAAACAAGTAGCTAATGCTGGAGGCATTTGAAGTACAATCTATTCACAAAACACGGAAAAAAAAGGTTTCATTCGTGACCATGTTTGCGTACAATGGAAACAGAATGGACCTTGACCGCAAAAGGTGGGCAGTGGACGCCCACGCAAAATTGACCTATGCCCGCATGGCAAGGTGAACTAGGGCCGGGAGAACCTTAGGACATCGCCCTACCGCAGGCACAACGGTTCTGGCTTGTCATAAAAGACTGTACTAATAAAGGACTTAGGGCTAAACCCTAAACTAGGGTCTGGAATCGAACTCTGAAAAAAAAAAGTGCTTCGTGAGGGGTTCGAACCCTCGCCTCTTACGAGAGTGGTTTCAAAAGTAATAACTGCTTAAGACCACCGCGTTAGACCACTCCGCCAACGAAGCGAGTGAATGATCACTTCCTCACATAATTTACTCTACACCTATAATCATGTTGTGAAAGTTGCATATCTAGAATCGGATTTTTATCTTTCGTCCGATCTTTAGTTAGCTTTTCCTTTACGCTCTTATGGTGAAAATCACAGCGTTCGCTTACTTCAAAGGTTACTCATGAATTCGCTTTGTTCGCTTATCAATGTTTATCATGTTTTTTATGCCTTACATTTCTTAGTGCCTTTTTACTCTCTCCTGGTCTCCAAAACTTCACGTTCCCTAAAGAGTCTTCCCGACCCTTTTGATCGTGGATATATATGAGCTAGATATCTACATGAAATAGACCATATGATCGACTTTTTCGTTTTTTAGTCTTTGACAAATATATACCTTGTATCTGAAATACTGTAATGAAAATACCATTCGATACGAAATCTCGGATATTTATTAGTGGATCCTTTCGCTGTAAAGAAACGTGTGACCTGCGTCAAACTGCGTGACTCGCAGATCTTACATCTCTGCTCCTATTGTGATACCAAGGCGCTTAATCTGATTTAATCATCAGTATTCCGACCTACGAACTCAGTAGATTCATTCGCGACCATGTCCAATACTGAGAACAAGTGCTCTGGGACTTATTGCGACAACGAAGCTGGCACCTTGCAATGCCCGACGTGTCTGAAGCAGGGTATCAAAAATAGCTTTTTCTGCACTCAAGATTGCTTTAAGAGGAACTGGGTAGGTTACCTCAAGGAATGGGTTGACTGAAGATGATGATCTGATTTTGATGCTTCTAGGCCACTCATAAAGCCGTGCACAAGACGCAAAATGGTATGTGATGGTACCATATGCAGATTTTTTATGATTCTGATCACAAAATACAGTTAGCGGGAGTTACAACCCATTTCCCGCATATCCATACACTGGCTCGGTCAGACCCGTGTATCCACTTTCCCCGCGACGACCCGTCCCAAAATCCATCAAGCATCCCGACTGGGCCGTGACTGGTATTCCAAAGCGTGAGAATCGCTTAAGTCAGTCCAAATGGGATCTCTTGGATGCAACGGGACAGGAAGCTATGCGCAAAGTGTGTCGGCTAGCCCGAGAAGTTCTGGACATAACTGCTGCTGCAATGAAGCCCGGCGTGACTACGGATTACCTCGATGAAATTTGCCATAATGCTTGTGTCGAGCGAGAGGTAAGTGATGTGCACTATTCAACTATTCCGAGTGATTCGCTAAGACCCGAGGCAGTCATATCCATCTCCACTCAACTACAACCATTTCCCGAAGTCATTATGTACATCGCCTAATGAGGTCGTGTGCCACGGTATTCCCGATGGCCGAGTCCTTCTGGATGGCGACATTCTCAACCTCGACATCTCTTTATACCATGGCGGCTATCATGCTGATGTGAACGAGACCTACTACATTGGTGATAAAGCCAAAGCGGATCCGGATACGGTCAAACTTGTCGAGACGACGCGCGAGGCCTTAGATATGGCCATCGCCATCATCAAGCCAGGAACACCCATTCGCGAGTTTGGCAAGATCATTGAGAAACATGCCACCTCCAGAGGCCTCGTTGTCATCAAGACGTGGGGCGGCCACGGTATCAACTCGGAGTTCCATCCTCCCCCTTGGATCCCCCACTATGCCAAGAACAAGGCTGTCGGGACATGTAAACCTGGCATGACGTTTACCATTGAACCCATTTTGGCGTTGGGCAGCAACCGAGAAAAGTATTGGCCAGACGACTGGACTAACGTGACGGTTGATGGCAAGCGCTCAGCTCAGTTTGGTGTGTATAGACTTTTTCAAATGCTTTCAAATGCTAGGTGGAGGCTCAAGACACTAATCTGGACTTTTATAGAACATACCATGCTTGTGACAGAAACAGGCGTCGAGGTCTTGACAGCGAGACTCGAAAACTCACCTGGAGGACCAATCCCGATACCGGAGGTCGCAGACGAAAAAGCAAAGAAATGAAAGCATTGGCAAGTAGGAGTGGGTCACAAATCAGCCACCGGGTAGATCAGGGTTCTCTGCCCGAGCATCCACTGTAACCCATGAATCTGAAGGCTGCTATCTTTATGCCTTGTTTGAATACATACATATATGTACATAATCATTGCTCTGTTCTACCCATAGATTGAGCATGCAAATGGACCTGCGAATTGCTTTTTTGAGCTAAATTTCCCCTTTTGGGCTTGGTGCCCCGATATGCCGCCACGTAGCTTCCTTCAGCGCTCCCAGGAATCGATCTTGCCAAATGCCAGCCTAGATAATAAATTTCAGAAGCTATCGCCCAAAAGGTAAAGCTCTGGCAAATTTTAATGCATTGTGACATTTAGTTTTATACCTTAATTTATAATGGTCCAACACTAAGATTGTTGTCGTTTCGGGTCTTCGAGTTACAGACAGTACAGAGTGCCCTGAGACGAACGCAGTGAGAGAACCCTTGGAAGTGATGAAAGACAAGCCTATTGCTATTACTAATTGTTAGCCAAGAGTGGAATGCATGTAGGTACAGTCAGATACTAAAATAAACACGATGTAACCTTACATATGTACGGAATACGAATGTTCCTTTCCAGCCCTGGAAGTCTTGGACTCTTCTACAAAAGCCCCAAGGAGCCTCCCCAATTCAACAATATAACATCCATCAGTTTCACAAATCGGGCTACCAAGCTTTGACTTCCTCAATTTTGAAACTCTAAGATGCAGTTCCCTTATATCCTCATTGCCTTAACCACTCTTTTGGCTGCTGGAGTCAGCGCTGCTCCTGCAGAGGCGGGCAAAAGCGATTGCGGGCATGTGTGTCGCCCTAAGGACTTCAAATGTCCTAATGGATTGGTGAGTCGTCTCTTGTAGTTTGACTCTGGATTATGTGTTACTAACGTATTGCTTAGCATCTGAAGGGTGTAGGTATTGACGGCCGAAATTTTGTCCAGTGGATGCTAATATGTTCATAGTTCAACAACAACCAATGCTACCGCTGCTGCCAATAGATTCGTGCTTCGCAGGATCCCGTTCATTGATTGTCTTGCTATGTCTATCCATAATAGCTGCAGATACGAATATGTACACAGTGTTACGGGAGCCTCTTTCTTCTCCCCAAACCTTTGAACAGTCAGAACTTCACTACTTTTTCCTTTGATCGGTACTGTAGGGAAAACAGCTTTCTAAAGCTATGTAGCTCCGTCTGGGCGTCCTCTATAATTTGAAAATTTAATCGTCCAAAACTTATTATCGTTGTGCCTCATCTGACTCTGTGAATAGATCGTAGATTTAATTATTAAGAAGACAATAGTATCTCAAATGTACAGCTCTATAGTGGATTCCTCTATTCACAATTATTTCAACTTCTCCAGCGACTCCTCAATGGCCTTCCAAGCTCTAGGTAAGAGAGCACCACCGAGCCAGTAGTTGTCGGCATGGTCCTTTCCATACATCACGAAAGCGTTGAAAGCATCGTACATGTGATCGAGATATTCGTTGTAGTAGCTGACCATGCTTCCCAGGGGGTTCTTTCTGGTTTCTGAACTTTCTCCCTGGCGAATGACTGCCGGGCCGAACTTAGCAGTTTTGATCAAATCAATCTTGATAACATTGTTGACGATCATGTAAACACCATCTGTTGGCCCAAAAAAGATTCGAGGACCCTTGCCCGCCTCAATATCATCGATCATGCTTCTCATCAATCGGCGGCCTTGCTCATCGGTTCCTTGTTCAGCAGTATGGCGTCGATTTTCAAGTGCAATCTGTCCAAGTGGACCTCGAGCGACTGGAGCAGAAAGGAATGTGAATGTCCCGACGCAAATGTTTTGAAGGAACACACCAGTCGATTTGAGCAAAAGCGGGATTCGGAACCGAAGATTTAAGAAGTTTAAGACTGTGATGGGACGGGAGGTTGGCTCAGAGGAGGCGAAGGCCCGGGCTGCCCACGCTGTGAGGATGTCATTCTCACTCACCCAAGGGGTATCCTCGCGGTCAGTCGCGTTTGCAGCGATCTCTGCTTTGACTTCGTCTTTCATTTTCTGGAAAGATTCTTTCGGAAGGTAAATGCATCGCTTCTCCCGAGCTCCACTCCAAAGGTAGTCCCAAAAGAATCGTAGTTGGAACATAAAATAGCCTAGACCACTGATGCGGTTGTTATCCAAGATAAATTCCTCTTCGGCTTTAGCTGTGATCTCGGGATGATCAAGAATGTCCTCTCGGGCGCCCACCACCTCGGGAACTTCTTCTTCTCGCCCAGCCAGCACTGACGACCATCCAGCCAGCAAAGCTTTGCCACCCATAGCATCCATCAGCTGGTGTGGCCATGATAGGGCGAGAATAGTTGCATCATTAAACGAGGTCATGTGTACGGAAATAGGCGGGATATCGTGTTTGGTCATCTCCTCAAATATCGGAAAGTTTGGCCGACTATCAAAGGGCCGAAATTCGGGTTCCATGCGATAGAGCGAAGGGCCATCGGTTTTCACTGGGAGTTTACTACCGGCAGGGTGGTCTAGAATGTTGGACTCGATCACTGCCTGTGTAAAAGATACATTTTCTCTTTCTCCCGCAGATGATCCTGGAACGAAGATTTCTAGTTTGCCGTCCGGCTAAAGATTGTTAGTATCAAGATTCCAGTTCAGCTAGGGAGATTCTCATCACTCACTCTGTATCTGAATCTTCCACCAAGCTTTCTCCAATCACCAATCTCAAGGAGTCTGGAAAGCGATTTCTTCAACAAGTCGGCATCCAAAACATCGTTGAATCGCATCACCCAATCCACATAATTTGGATTGTAATCAAGAGTATGCAAAGGATACACATCGTCTGGGATACAAGGCACCGCCTTCTCGTCGATTGTTTTAGAATCCATAACGTTCATATCTAGTGAAATGTAGAGAGTTGGGAGTTGAGGAACACGGGAAAGAGCATTTTAAATTCGCTGTTAAATATGTTGAATTTGTAATTTGATGAAAAATTCTAGCGCATCGAGATGGAGTTGGGATCTACATTCTGTAGAATTTTATCGTGTACTAGTGCGAACTAGCGTCTGCTAGAGGTGAACTACATCGGTGTTCACTCGGCTTTTCATGCCTATATGACTCTGATATATCTTCCCTACAAATGTAGTTCTGCGATGTGTGATTCATTTAGTAGGTGTAAAGCATAGGGCAGATCATATTGCCTATCCATGGCGATTGTTAGAATAATTTTCACCAATCTGACGAAACCCACATGGCTGATGTTTATATCCACATCTGTATATCCACATCTCGTAGGCATATCCACAGCAAACCCAAAGCAAACCCAAAGCTACTGTGATTTTGCTCAGCTTTGTTCCGCTCACCAAGGAACAAAGCCCCTGTCTAATTTAATTTTCTGCCGATCGATCTGCCGAATGTCGATCTGGGCTACCTAGATCTTATGTAGCGTAGTTCCTTGGATTATTATTTACAATATTACAATTATGGGCACAAAGTCTGCTCAGCTTAAAAATCAAAGCTTTTCTAGCAGCATAAAAAGCAGACTGCTAGCCCGTACATTGTAAAAATATGGTATGGCCTGCGGCACAGCTTCACATATTGCTCTCCGTAATAAGAGACAGAAAGGAAGCTCATGTCTCCAATCCGCTGGTAAGGTAAGGGGCCCACCACGTAAGGCCTTTGAGGATTTATTAATGCTATCAAGTGTCCTCCTTTCTGGATCTGAAATTCGTGACAATAACACCACGGCCGCATCGGTACCTCGCACAAACGCTTCAGATTTGGTCGAAAAGTTATTAACAGACGCCACTTTTCTACCCTTCAGCCACATATAAATATCGTGCAGCCCATCCTCGGTTTCCTTGATCTGAAAGTATGTGGTTGCAGTCACAATTAGATCCACACATAATCCCCCATCAGAAAACAGCGAATTCCTACCGCAAACATCTCGCCAATTCTATATTGAACCAGCTCTGGAACTTTCAGACGAATCAGGGTTGATTAGACCTCCCGACTCGGCAAAGTCGACCCACGGTGATCCGATTCCAAGGTTTACCCGCAGGGATGGATAGTGACGGCCTCACCGGGCCGCTACACGCACTCGACGAGCTACGCGGGTCTAAACTCGCGAGGTAAACGGCCTACTGCGTACGAAGTAGCCACTGACTTGCTTTGTCGTGGTCCCCCACCTCAATCATGGTGCGCTGGGGTTGCCGCTATGTAAGCAATGGGCCACTAATTGGTGAACCACGTGGGGCTGTGGTTTGTCATCAGTCTCGATGTCCACAGTGCTGGCTAAACTGGCGCTTTATACGTGGATATAATTAGATCCGGCCCCAAGGGTACATACCATGCAAAACTTGTGTGATTAGCCCTGTCCCTTCGCACTTTCTACCGAAAGTTCTATTCTAGCTTTCTAGCCATGGCCTTGACAAGAGCAATAGCTTACGCTTCGCTGCACAGGAACTAAAGGTAGTAGCGCGCATTCTGTCCATCACTACTTACTGCCGGATTGAGGAAGTATCTTACGACGATAGCTAACTCGAGGAGGTCGTATGGCAAAAAAGCCCACATGTCGCCTAAATTAACAGAATATCCAGAGACCGAAGGCTAAATCCAGCAGATGAAGGAAAATGTGCTACCCAAAGATAGACCTTAGCTTCCTAATAAGAAATTTGTTTGAGTAATGATCTCCAGCACCACGAAGAGCTGGATGTAGCGGCAAGCCGCTGTGCGGATGTGCCGGGTAGCAGTGACAGAGCCGTGCAATTTAACGCGATTGATGGCAGCATCTCCCAGTCACACTCATTTTCCCGTAGAAGAGTTCCTTGGCTTTTATATCCTTCGCGCGGCGAAAATCGACAAAGATCATAGTAAGATCCGTCGGCGGCCACCAGCCAATTACCAACCCCTTCCAGATAGGCCGTGAAAATACATACGCATGTCGATCCTCAATCCATCTGCTGCCCCTGCAACATAATCAAAGCCTCGACTTCTGTTCATATACCTTGCAAGCAGCCTCCAGTCTGGGTGTCCATTCAGCCGAAACACTCAATTTGTCCTTTGTTGGCAGATTTGTCCAACCCTTTGCAATCCTTATTTCATCCTCACGCCATCTCTGCACCGCCGACTCAATCCATGTTCCAATCGCCGATGCTATCTCGGCCACCTCTTCGAGTGGTACCTGATGCCCGCAACCTTCAATGCGTGTTTCTTTCACCTGTCCACTCATAAACCCGCCACTCCCTCCGATACCTGCACCGGTTCGCTGTAATATTTCAGCACAAATATTGGGTTTTGATATGGGGCTAGTGCCACCAAATATATAAAGAACAGATGGCCGAACATGATCAAGCAGCTTCCATGCAATCACAGGTTCGCTGCGGTAGAAAGGTGATATTTTGGTAGGAGGGCCAATCACATCAGCCTGGAACAAGGGCTCATAAGCAGGCCCTGTGGTAGACTTCTTTTGCCCAAGAGGCATGTGAGCCCCAAAGTTTGGCCTCACATACTGCATTACTTCTTGGTGCTTGGTGCTAGCCAATGTGACTGGGCCATCACAGGTGTCTTCTGTGTCGCTTTTCAAGTTCTGTGGGTAGAGGGCAGTTGGAAGACTGCGGTATCCATGCAACGCCCAGCGCTCAAGAACGCGCTCGTCCCACTTCTCGTGAGTCTTTCGCGCCGCTTTGATTGCTGCAGACCTTGATGGCCAGATATCACGTCGCTTGAGCGACAACTTTGATAGTAAAGGCCCGTACCCACTGAACGTGTCTGGTACGATCACTGGCTCTACCAAAATCAAAGACGTTAATAGGCGAGGATGCATCAGAGAAAGTAGGACACTAATAGAAGGTCAGCAGTGAAGATCACATCCTTGTACTTCCTTCTTACAGTTGTCCTGCTCCCATACTATGACCCACGCCGATGATGGGTCGCGGCATTTCATCACGGAATTGGTTTATCATGTATAGAAGGTCTCGGCTATGGTCAAGCCAAGATGCTTCGATGGGTTAGTGACATCGCCACAGCCAATGAAAAAACTAGATATGCTTACGGTCATTCCCCAGTAGTTCCTCGTTCACCACGCCACTAGCACCAAGGTTTGCGGCGTCTGCAGTCCAGATTGATCCAATTCGGATTCCATGTTTCTTACATTGCGCAATTAGATCTTCCCATAGCGGTTCATATAGCTCCTTCAAATTGGTCAGCAAGTCATAAAAAGAGCCAGTATAAGGATCAGTGTCTCTACTTTCGGAAAGCCACCACCGGGTGCCCCAATGATAGTCACGTCCCCTGATTGAGGTTTTGGGTTGTCGATGGGTATATACTTCTTCACCGCCAGCTTCAGGCAAGAAGCTTGTGAGACGGTTGCTCGAGGGTATTCACGGATATACTGCCCATCAATGATATGTTCTGTCACGGTAAAGGGGAAAGCTGATGTGTTGGCCATGTTTGCTAAAGCAATTGGCACGTCTCACAGCTGCCCAAACTGACTGTCATATTCAGGATAGGAGGGGCCTATATTAGGCTTCTCCGGAGAGCCGAAAATGCCGAGTTCGTTACGGATCAGTTTTCACCGCTAGAACGCTAGAAAGTGGACCGAACTTGGCAAGGGAGATTCCACTGTACTCTGCCCAATGAGCATTTCAAAATATGAATGTACAAGCAGCAAGAGGAGATCCCATACAATCTGGCTACGTAAGAATTTCCGACAGATTAGCACATGGCAAAGTAGAATCTGTGAACCAATGTTGATCTTTCTTGGCACCTGTGTGGGATCTCAGCGGATGCAGATCGAATCTGTAGATCCAAAAATTATCGATTCTGGGGATGATCATGTCCAAATGTGGCAGCCGATCTCTTAGTTCTCCACCAAGTGGACTGGGCTGAACCTCTTGCTTGGCAGCGATTTTTTCGCGAAGTACGTATTTGCGAAAATTCGAATTGGCGAGTGGACCCTGGACTAAATTCTCGTTGGCTTTGCCGTTAATACATATGTAAGTATGTCTTTCGGATAAATTGGTACCAGGGATAACAAAAATGTGATACTAAACTAGGGATTACGCAATTCTAAATCCCACCCAGACACAAATATATAACGGATTCCGATGATCCTCGCTCAGAGTACTATACACGTGATTAGACCATCTATCACCACTTGATACCCACACTTTTCTCTACATTTGGGCTCATACAAATTCAAGAAAATGTCCTTTCTCTATTTGGACTGTGCGTATAATAAAGACTCGAAATGGCAAAAAGCCCAATGCACCGTCAGGCAAGATGTGCATACTTATTGTCAAGAACGAAATTGGAAACCGTCATCTTTCTTCCAAACAGTCTGGGCAATTGTCCTCAATAAATACACTGCATCTCACGATGTGACGTTTGCCATCCAAAGTAACGGAATTCACGGCGGTGCTCCAACAATATGCGACGTCTCAATTGAGCCCGAGACGTCCATCTTCGACCTACTGGCAGATCATTCCACTTTCACTACTTTCACTACCGCCCTGCCAAGCCAGCTCACCTGTAATACTGGCGTTGCCATCGACATGCAAGATGGCGAAAGCGTTCAACCCCTTCCTCCGCTGCAGGTCCTTCTTCTTGCCAGCACGACTTCTTCTCAAGTGTGCTTGTCATATTCGTCGGATGTTCCCTCCTCACATACCGACAACCTGATCTCAACTGTAGAACAGGTAATTGAGGAGATTTTAAAACACTCAGACCAGACAGTCAAACATCTCAATCTGTTCAGCGACCGCAACAGTCGCCAAGTTCTTGAATGGAATCGTCGCTCCATGCCTAGTGATATGGCCCTAATGGTTGACGTGATCCGACAACATGCATTACAAAGATCAACCCACGAAGCCATCTGTGCTTGGGATGGGTCACTGACGTATGTGGAGCTTGATGAAATGACAACTCGGTTGGCATATCACTTACGGACCATGGGAATCGAAGAGAACGATAAAGTCTTGCTGGGCTTTGAGAAGTCGATGTATGCAATTGTGGCTTTTCTATCCATCCTCAAAGCAGGCGCCACATTTGTTCCTGTCAGTCCCGCTTATCCTATTGAGCGTATGCAAGCAATCATTGATGCAACCAAACCTCGGCTTACTCTCACCTCACCCGAATCCACATCTGTCTTCGAGCATCTCCATGTGCCAGCCCTAGGCCTGGATTACTCCTTTATCGCCAACCTATCAATCAATGAAAGCCAGGACCCTCTCCCCTTAGCTAATCCACAACGCGTGGCATACATTCTTTTTACCTCTGGTAGCACTGGTCGTCCTAAAGGTTGTGTCCTTCAACACCAAGCACTGGCAACTATGATCACCCAGGGACCTTCGTTCCGCATCTACCCGTCTAGTCGTGTACTCCAAGTTGCCCCGATCATCTTTGCCGCATCCTCCGTCGACATGTTTCTGCCCCTGCTTACTGGAGGGACAGTTTGCATCGCCTCAAAATATGATTTGATGAACAACCTAGCAGCTACAATGAGAAAGTTTCAGGTGACTTGGGCATGCATGACCCCGTCTGCGATTGCCTCCGTTGATCCATCGGAGATATCAGGTCTGAAAACTCTTGGCTTGGTCGGCGAGCCCGTGAGTGATAATTTACTCAATAAGTGGGCCTCTTCTGTGGATCTTCTGTCAGGCTACGGTCTATCGGAAATTGTGGGAGCTGGGTGCATCTCCTCTCTCAAGGTAGGGATGCACTCTCGAAATATCGGCTACTCTCCTACAGCACATATTTGGCTAGCGGATCCGGCAAACATCGACAAGCTTGCCCCGGTAGGCGCGATTGGTGAACTCTTGATCGAGGGGCCAAATCTCGCCTGCGGGTATCTTGATAGTCCTCAGAAGACGCTCGATACATTTATTGAGGCACCCGAATGGATTCAAGATTTTTACCCTGGGCACGGTCGACGCGTCCTAAGGACGGGTGATCTGGCTCGATACCATTCCGATGGCTCTATCATATATTTCGGCCGCAAAGATACGCAGGTTAAGATTCGGGGGAAGCGAGTCGAGCTAGGAGAGGTTGAAAGCGTGATTCGCCTTCATCAAAAACCCGGCGATGCTGTGATTATAGAAGCGGCAGCCCCGCTGGATGGGGACGGCACTCCAATGTTGATTGGGTTTATCCACACATCGAAAGGAGCATCAGAGGATTCCTCCTCGCTTCTAGGACGCCCTAGCCAATGTTTCCACGAGGAGACATCGCATCTCGATCTCCTGGTTCGCGCAGTATTGCCAGAGTACATGATACCGAGCATATACATGCCACTCAATCGTATCCCCAAGACTCCCTCAGGAAAAACAGACCGCCTCGCGTTGCGGCTTGAGATTTCTGCCCTGACTAGACAGCAGCTTGAAGCCTATCACAACGTCGGTGGTAAACCGCAGGCTCGACCTCGAACAGATACAGAGAAGCTTGTACACGAGCTGATTTCTCAAATCTTGAGTCGTAATCAGGACTCATTTGGAATTGACGATCAATTCCTACGATTAGGAGGAGATTCCATCAAAGCCATTCGTCTTGTTCAGTTATGCCGAAAGTCTGGATTAGCTGTTGATGTTGCTGGAATCATGGAATCTGGCACAGTCGCCCAGCTTGCCCAAATGGCAAATCCCTTGCCACAACCTATTCTTGGAAATGACAGAGGAAAATTGGAAGTCCCTACCGCTGCAGTAACAGAGCAATTGATCAATCTTGGTGTTGTCCCTCAAGAAGTGGAAGCAATGAATCCGTGCTCCTCCATGCAGGATGGTATCCTGATGAGCCAACTGAAAAACCCTCAGCAATATGCACTGCGAGTCTTGTATGAAGCCCAGCTCTCTACAAAATCATCAGTATTGTCTTCGAAGAAGTCGTCGGAATTAGACCTTGCTCGACTTCAAAATGCATGGCAATTGCTCGTTCGACGTCATCCCATGCTGCGGACAATATTCGTGACTAATGTGACACCCAGTGTATTTGCAGTGCAAATTCAGTTAAAGAATGGTTCCGTGCCCCGTATTCATGAACTCAAGGAAGACTTAAAACCGAGCGATATTATCGACCAGCGTCAGGAATATCAACCCCCAAGCACGCTGCCTCGATTTGATCTACACGTCGCTCCGTGTGGGCGGGTCATCATCGAGCTTGAACTGTCTCATGCAGTTGTTGATGGTATGTCCATGTCGATCATAGTTCGAGATCTATGCAGACTCTACGTTGATACAGATTCTTCTTCCTCTATCTTCAACTTCACGGATTACGTCGAATACCAGCGACATATAACCACGGATGATTCTGTTTCTTATTGGAAGCAATACCTCGGTTGCATGGACCCAAGCCGGTTTCCCACAGCCAGTGAAAGCACGCCACATATGTTGAGAGAGTCTAATCAAGATTCCAAGTTCAAGGCTGTGGCTGTGGACGTTGGTCCAGCTGCAGAATACCGAAAGTTTGCCCAAAAAACCGGGACAACGGTGGCAAGCGTCGTCAAACTAGCATGGTCTATTGTTCTGCATGTAATGTGCCGTACAGACGACGTGTGCTTCGGCTATCTTACCACAAGCCGTGACGCGCCTGTTGAAGGCGTACTAGAAGGTGTTGGGCCTTTGATCAACTTGCTAGTGTTTCGGCAGCGCCTTGATCTTGAAGCCAGTGTCGCACGAGTTTTGCAATCGATCCAAGCCGATTTTATCTCTAGCCTACCACATAAAGATGCGTCTTTGAGCGATATTCGCCGGGCTCTGGACTTTGCTAGTGACGAGGTCATGTTCAACACCTGCATCAGTCATTTCCCAGCAACCACCCCAAATGAAGCCGATGACTTGCCGATACTACTTCATGAAGAGGCGCGGCAAGATCCTACCGAGTTTGATCTTTCCCTCGAGATTATGGAGTCGGAGGATCAAATTGAATCAACCATCAAGGCGTATACAGGCGTTGTTCCATTGGAGCACATGGAGCGAGTGGCAGTGCTCTTCGCACACTTGATGAAGACTATACTCGGGAGCTCTGATCGTACAATAGGAGAGCTGGGGCTAGTCCCTGAGAAGGACCTTGCTAAAATTGGACATCTAAACAGAAGTATCAGTCACCAGCCCGTTGAAAAAAGCGTCCAGGATATCATTTTGCAGCAGTGTCACAATCAGCCTACAGCACCGGCTGTTTGTGCCTGGGATGGAGACTGGACTTACAGCGACTTGGATCGCGTTTCCTCATCTCTAGCACAACAGCTACAGTCCCAGGGTGTCATTCCCGAAACATTCGTGCCAGTCTTGATGGACAAGAGCCGCTGGGTTCCAGTCGCTCTACTTGCGATTCTCAAAGCCGGAGGTGCTTTTGTCCTTCTCGATCCCACCCAACCAATTCAGCGACTCCAGGATATTTGCATTGATCTGAAGCCCAACACCATCCTGGTATCACCAGAATACCGCGCTACTGCTGCTCCTCTTGTCGGTAGCGTTGTGGTAGTTGGAAACGAGCACTCTCCGATACTTGAGACTTCCGACCTCGAAAAGGTTCTCGAGGTAGTAGTTCACCCAAAAAATGCGGCTTACGCTGTATTTACCTCCGGTTCTACGGGAAAGCCAAAAGGAGTATCAATTGAACACCGTTCACTGTGTACTAGTGCAGCTGCGATGATGGAGCATTTACCATTGAACAGCAGCACGCGAATGTTGCAGTACGCCTCACATGCGTTTGATGTGAGCGTTCTAGATCTTACCGTATGTCTTATGGCTGGAGGCTGTCTATGCATTCCATCAGCCGAGGACAGACAAAATCGTCTAACGGAAAGCTTGAACGACTTTTCTGTGAACCTCGTCGCTCTCACTCCAACCGTTACTCGAACAATACAGCCAGAGCGCTTATCATCACTGAAAACTTTGAAGGTTAGCGGAGAAGCACTCTCATCCTTCGATATCCAACGGTGGAAGGGTGCAGCACCACACATCGAGATCGTGAACATGTATGGGCCCGCAGAATGTACAATCAACTCAACTGTTCAACCCGCTATTGATTTGACATCGTATGGTTCAAACATTGGATATCCTTTGTCGAGTGCTACCACTTGGGTGGTTGACCCCAAGAACCATCACAGACTGCTTCCCATGGGAGCCGTTGGCGAACTAGTAATTCAAGGACCTATCGTCGGTCGTGGCTATCTCAACCGCCCTGAACAGACAGCTGCATCATTTATCTCGCCACCAAGCTGGTTGTCGCAATTCAAACCGGTGGCTTCCGATGGGGAGAAATTATACAAAACTGGAGATCTGGTTCAATACGCTGCAGATGGCTCAATGCATTACAAGGGACGCAAAGATTTCCAGGTCAAGCTTCGCGGTCAACGACTTGAGCTAGGGGAGGTTGAGGCGCAACTTCATCTCGTGTTTCCCAATGCTTCCGACGTTATCGCCGAGGTAGCATCTTTGAATCAAGGCAAAACATCAGCCCTGGTTGCCTTCATCCATCAGAAATCCTGGGATAGTGACTCGGACTCTAGTCAAGTTTTCAGAGCCGGGATCAGCGACTCTAACCTTGATTTACTGCATGCTCCTTGTGGAGCCTTTGATCAGGCAGTCGCGCAAGCGAGGGTAATGCTGGCCACCGCTCTTCCAGGCTATATGCAGCCCAGCATCTACTTGCCGCTCGTTCAGATCCCCAAATCTCGGAGCGGTAAGGCTGACCGCGTCCAGTTACGGCACATAGTCAGCTCTGGCCTCCATGAGCGCTGGACAGGTGACGCCAGCACAGAGACGATCTCAAAGAGAAGACCAAAAACCGAGATGGAACTCATACTATGCTCTGCTGTTGTCAGGGTTTTAGGTCTTTCGGAGACAGATGTTAGTGCAGAGGACAGCTTCTTCCGCCGTGGAGGTGACTCAGTTGCAGCAATGATGTTGGTCGGAAATTTGCGAGAGCAGGGTTGCCATCTCACCGTCGCAGACATCTTCGCGCACCCTCAGCTGGATATTCTCGCTACCAGAATAAACCGCACACTTCCCTCGAGTGTTGCCAAGGTTCCTCCACCTTTCTCTCTCCTTGGGGATGATTCGGACTCCCATAAAGAGTCCATCGAACAAGTGATGGAACAGTGTGCCGTGGCCCATGAGGAAATTGAGGATATTTACCCGTGCTCGCCACTCCAACATGCCTTCTTTATCTTCAGCAGTACCCGCGAGAAGGGTACCCTGATTGCAAGGTTTGCGTACAACCTACGACCAGAGGCAGATCTTGATAGACTGCAAAAAGCCTGGAACGAGACGATGACAAAACACCCGATGCTACGAACGCGAATCGTTAAACTCGATGGTAAATCCATCTTACATCAGGTGGTTCTCAGTCGGACAGTGGACATTGAGTACTATGACTCGGATGATCCAGATTATGTCCCTGGCTTGCCAATTAAAGTTGCGCCAGGTAATCCACTCCTGCGAATTGCTTTAGTACGTAGGTCATCCGCGCAACAACATCATCGGCTTATTGTCACCTTACAACACTCCTTATACGACGGATGGTCTCGAGCTTTATTCATGCAAGAGCTCGAGAAAGCGTATTCCGGTTTCACGCTGCAGCCTTTGCCCGTCTCCTCATTCATAGGACATCTAGACCAGACCAATGAGGGAGCCAGGCAATTTTGGACAGCAGAGCTGAGGGATCTTCGAAGCACAATCTTCCCTCAAATCCCCGCAGCCTATACGCCCCATCCAAGTGCAACATTGGTCCAAAATGTCACTATCCCGAAAGTCGTATCCCCCCAGTTCACGCTATCAACCAAGATTCGGTGGTCGTGGGCCCAGGCCATATCACTTCAGACTAGCAATCTCGAGGTAGCAATGGGTCTAGCAACAGCTGGACGAGGCACTCCAGTTGCAGGAATCGAGAAAATGGTCGCGCCAACAATGGCCATCTTCCCCTATCGAGTCCATATCAATCCGAAACAGCGAATTATCGACGCTCTTCACGACTCTCAACACCATTACAGTCAGATCCTGCCCCATGAGCACTACGGAACGCCAAATATTTGTCGCGCCGCGACAGGACCGACCTCTCCGGCGGCTCTCCAAACTCTCTTGATTGTTCAGCCCCAAGCAGAACAGAGCCCTTCTTCGCTGTATTTCAAAGAAGAGATGCTGCCTCAGACGGGCGCCTTCCATGTGCGTGCGCTGACGTTACACTGCCACCTTCAAGAAACATTTGTTGAGACTGTTGCCTGTTATGACGAAGGAGTCATTTCTGGCAAAGATATGCGTTGGGTGCTTTCTATGTTTGATTTGATCTTCCAACAGGTCTGCCTTGAGCCTAGCATGCTTGTTGAGGAGCTAAAGGTTGTACTGGATCAGGACTAATGGAAGCTCCCACATATGTAGCGATGGCTACACAGAATCAAATGAATAATGGAGCATGTTGAGGATAGTGATAGCTGTTGGTAGATGACTCCCTATGATTAGGAATCTCATTCTAGTAGCGAATGTGCCGTTTGATGCATTGCCTTCGCCCTACTTCATACTTTTTTCTACCTAGGTAGCCTACTTCTCAGTGTTTTAGGCTATAGTTACTTGATATTTATTATGCAAGATATATACCATAATGTACATTGATAATCGAATCAATTTCGCCTCTAATCTCCTACGGGCCAACCCTAAGTAATAGGATATTTTTCCGCTAATCTTACAATTGTGCTTGTATCTTCGAAGAATCGGCTTGAATTACAGGATTTTCATCGCGTAATAGTGTTGTTCTCTATTATAAAGGAATGCAATTATATAGTATTGCAATTCATATCGAAATCTCTATGAAAAGACTAATCAGACTATCGCTACTAAATGAAAATAAGTATCTAGTTTCTATGTTGGTCTCCGTAGAAAGCTAGAATTTTAAAGCACTCTAAGTGGGAAGTAGTCATGTACTGCATTAAAGCTCACATACCAGTCACTAGACAACATAGAAGCTGATACGCTTTGTCATATAAATAATCCGAGATTTCTCAACCATTTTCTGCTTAGCATCACGACTTCCCTGATCTTCGGTCTTCCGATCTTAAATTCCAATCTATGTAGCGGAGAAGGTTGATGGTTCAAGATAGACTCTGTTGAGTTGATATATGTTGTTTTCAATTTTTGCGTATAGGCTGCCGGCTAGCGGTTTTAGACTTGATCGTCAGTTTGTTTTCGGTGTTACATCGTGTGGACTAGGATATATTAGGAATAGAGATTGCATTACGTGCATCGCCCTTGAGAGTGCAAAGTACTTGTTAAGCTACTATGATACAAGAATATAACCGCTAGCAAATGCACACAACACATAACTAATAATAAAGTACACGAACCCCAAACAAATTGTCCAGACTAACCGCGTTTGACCTCCTTCTCCAGCTTGTCCAAAGCCTTCGTGTACTTCGGCTTTAGTGAACCAAGTGCCTCCGGCTTGATGTTGACTTTATCGATGAGTGAGGATCGGGTAATGGGGCCGCCCGCAATTTCGTTGGCGAACCAGTAGCCCTCGCGGTGAGCGACCAGCGTCCATGCGGAACCTTCGCGGCCTGCACGGGCGGTACGTCCGACTCGGTGCACGTAGGTGGTAACACTGGTAGGAACATCGTAGTTGATGACGTGTGTCAAAGATTGCAGATCAAGACCACGGGAAGCACGGTCGGTGGCAACGATGATTGAGATGCGTCCTTGTTGATAAGCCCGCAGGGTCTTGCGAGATGCAGAGGAGTTGTTGGATTTGATGATTGTTCCAACGCGTTTGGCCAAGGCGGGATGCAACAGTGCTATGAGACGCGAAAGACGGGATGCGGACTCGGATGACTTGGTGAAAATCAGAACGGTCTTGCGTGCAGCAGTTGGAACAAGTTCCATCTCATCGGATTCCGAATCAGACGAGTCGGAAGAATCAGAGGAATCAGAGGAATCAGAGGAATCAGAGGAGTCAGAGGAGGAATCAGAGGAGTCAGAGGAGGACTCAGTGTCAGAGCCTGAACCAGAAGAGGAAGTATCGTCATCGGATGATTCATCGGAGCTGGTATCATCGTCGCTACTCGTGTCGTCATCAGAGCTAGTGCTGTCGGAGCCGGATGAATCGGACACGCTAGAAGCGCGATCTCCCTTAAGCTCGATGTGAGATAGAAGAAGACGTAGGAGGTAGAGTGGCTTGAGCGACCCGTCACCAACTTGGACCATACGCTCGGAGAGAGTGGATGGCAGGGTGAACTGGCCATCTGCGCGGGAGGCAAGAAGGCCTTCTTCTTCGTCGAGACGTTCCTCTGACCCGATGATAACCATTTTGGGGTTGGCAAGACGTAGCGAGTTGAGTTTCGAGATATCCCGAGTCATGGTAGCACTCAGAACAACCTTTCTCGGCGGCTTGGCGTCAATCGGAAGCCCAAGTTCTGACAGGAGCTTGCCTCCAGGGCCGAACGTCTCGGGGTCCTGGCGACTATTCAAGGAGTTCATAACAACATCAACCCACTCTTGGAAACTCTCGTTCAAGAGACGATCGGCTTCATCAATGACCAGCCATTCGAGGTGCTTGAGGGTGAATCCCTTCGTGTAGCGAATGTGATCAACAAGACGACCTGGGGTACAGATGAGAATGTCGACATTGGGCTCAGCTCGCTGGATATGACCAGGGAGAGATCCATTGGATTCGACTGCCTCACTGACACAGTCCTCAAGACTCAAATTCATCCAGTCATTTCCTTTAAGTCCTTCCCGCTGTTGTTGTTGAATGGCAGGGTTGTAAACCTGATCCACACGCATCAAAAGCTTTTGCTCATCCTTGATGGCTACATTACCCACTGCGCTTCCGATGTGAAGTCGGGAGCCCGAAGCACACAGTTCGCAGGCCTCTCGGGCTTGTTTAACTAGCTCTCGTGTGGGGACAACAATCAATCCCCGAAGTCTGGAGGCAGGTCTCGAAGGCAAAGCGGTGACGAGTGGGAGTACGTAAGAAAGTGTTTTTCCGGATCCAGTGGCGGCAGAAACACAGAGATCTCCAGAGTGATTCTTCTCACCTTGTAGCAGCAGAGGAATGACGGTAGACTGTACAGCAAATGCTTCCGTATAATTCTGCTGTTCAAGAATCTTGAGCAGATCTGGTTTGATCCCCAGCTCAGAAAACGGTTGTGTGTCTTGGGTGGATTTGCGCACTGGATTCGCCAGCCAACTGGGTAGAGAGGAGTATGTTGGGAGTTGCTCTATCTCGGGCGGATTCACAGGCTGAGGCAGTCGTTCAAGGCCTTGCGCGTAAACAGGCTCAGCGGCAGGTGTCTTCTCTTCAATAGCCTCGGGTTCAACTTTCTTCGCTTTGGCGCTTGCGACACTCTTTGTACGCTCGAACTTTGACATGATACCCGAGTGCTTATTCTTCGATTTGCCCTTGTCAGCTTCTGAGGCTTCATCATTCTCGTCCTTCTCCTCAGTCACAGGTATAGCTGCATCATCCGGTGCATCGTTCTTTCCATCGCTCTTTCGCTTGCTGCTCTTTGATTTATTTGTCTTTTCGCCAACTTCGTGATCTGAGTCTGTAGCTTTTTGTTTGCTGCGCTCTGACGAGAGAGTACTTTCTTTCCGGGACGTCTCCGGGGAACTCTCTCCTTGAAGCGCATCCTTGAGGCGCTTGCGCTTCTTGGTGCTGCTATCCTCTGCGACCTCTGCGCTCGGCAAACTGTCGCGTTTCATGTGTTTCTTCGTGGGTGTGGGCGTTGCGGCGGGCTGGGTGACCTGGACATCTCGCTTGCGCTTGTGGGATTGGGCTGATTTTGGGGTCACATCGACTCTGTTGGAGGACTCGAGGCCCAAATTTTTGCCGGCCATAGTCACGGAATTCTGCGAACGTCGAAGTCGTTGCTGGTTGGCTCAAGCAAATTCCTTTTCTCGGGATATTTTATGCCGACAGAAAACCAAATATTCTCACCGCTTCTGATACCGCTCTCCTTATCGCTGTACAACGTAGCTCCTCCTGTGTTGGTTGTCGAATGGGAGTGGAATGGTTTTTAAAGCAACAGACTGTTCGTCATGGAAAGGAAGTTGACACATAAAGCATCAGTTTCATTCCGGACTTCTCACTACGGGAACCATCACCACGATGCCGTATAACATCGCGTTAGTCAATACGATCTACAAGTCGCGATTACTTGCTAACCTTCCGTTGATAGCATGGTCAGTGACTTCTTCTTTCCTCAATCAGGTATGATATAGAATTCTTTGCGATCAAGTCTCAGTAATAACTTTTGTAGGTGGAATTGAGAGTCACATTTACCAATTGTCGTCTGTAAGCGCAACCTCCGCAGTCACCACTCCACCTCCGCATCTCCTAATCGCTTCCTAGAAACTCATCGATCGGGGACACAAAGTAATTGTCATTACGCATGCATACAAAGGGCGGACTGGAGTTCGTTACCTTACCAATGGACTCAAGATCTACCACGTCCCGTTCTTCGTCATCTACCGTGAAACGACATTTCCTACCGTCTTCTCTTTCTTCCCCATATTCCGAAATATTGTTATTCGAGAGAACATCGACATTGTTCATGGCCATGCCAGCTTGAGTAGCTTTTGTGGAGAAGCTATCCTACATGCCCGTACTATGGGACTGCGGACTGTCTTCACGGACCACTCTCTCTTCGGATTCGCCGATGCGGCGTCGATTCTTACCAACAAATTGCTCAAATTTACTTTGAGTGACGTTGATCACGCCATCTGCGTGAGCCATACCTGGTAAGTGTCTCGGCGTCTGTGCTGGAACTCAGCTGATGACTTGCAGCAAGGAAAATACAGTGCTTCGAGCCTCATTAGATCCCTTAATGGTTTCCGTCATCCCGAATGCTGTTGTAGCAGAAAACTTCTGCCCCTTATCACACACTAATCGTGCTGCTGATCAAACTCTGAGCTCGCCCACAGACCCTCCTATGTCTCCTAGAATAATTGGTCCAGATGACCCAATTACAATTGTGGTTATTTCCCGTCTTTTCTACAACAAGGGCACAGATCTTCTCATTGCATCCATTCCACGGATTCTCGCCTCTAATCCAAACACTCGATTCATCATCGCTGGGTCAGGCCCCAAAGCAATCGACTTGGAACAGATGCTGGAACGCAACGTGCTTCAAGACAAAGTCGAGCTTCTGGGATCGGTCCGGCATGAAGAAGTCCGTGATGTGATGGTTCGTGGTGACATATACCTCCATCCTAGTTTGACAGAAGCATTCGGAACTGTCATTGTCGAAGCTGCTAGCTGTGGTCTGTACGTTGTGTGCACCCGGGTAGGTGGTATTCCAGAAGTTCTGCCGCAGCACATGACTACGTTTGCCAAACCTGAAGAAGACGACATTGTCCTTGCAACCAGTAAAGCGATTGCTGCCCTGCGCTCGAATAAAGTGCGAACGGACCGCTTCCATGACCAGGTGAAAATGATGTATTCGTGGCGGGATGTGGCCGCACGCACAGAGCGTGTATATGAAGGCATCATTGGCGATATTAGCCCCGAGGAATTCTACGGCTACTACCCAGGCCAGGGATGGGAAGCGAGCGGTGATCGCGTTCGAAGCTTTGCGCTCATCGATCGGCTCAAACGGTACTACGGCTGCGGCGTCTGGGCGGGCAAGTTGTTCTGCCTATGTGTGGTCATTGATTTCCTTATCTACGTCTTCCTTGAGATGTGGTTCCCGCGTGCCAACATAGACATTGCTCGAAGCTGGCCCAAGAAGCCACCTGCGAGAAAGTCCCTTGATGGTCGATGAAATCACAATTGACAGGGATTCAGCCAGGCAATGCTCAGATTGCCCCTGTCACTTATAAAATTAATCCTCGCCCCATTACCTCAAACCTCCTTGATGCGGGTGTCTTGTATATATCCTTTCCCCGATGACCCACATGATCCATACATAATAACATCCAGCAAAATCAAAAGATCAAACTTGCGACGTTTTCGTTGAGCGCGCATTCGTTCAAGAATTATTTATAGGATCATGCGTATGGGCCAAGTAGGAAGCTAAAGCAGGAAGCATCACTATTAAATAAGTGCCAATAGTAAGCATTATTGCTAGGTCAAACTTGTTTGACAGAATGTCTGTACATGTAGACTATACAACGTATAACATCTTGACAAACTTTGTTCGGAGAGTCCCTTTAGTTAGTAATGATAAAATGAATATCTAAGCTACGTGTTTTCTTTTATCACTGCAAATATTGTCGATTTCTTCATGAACTTTCTATATTGAAGCATATGACCGAGTACTATCAAGAATACAATCTAAGTCAAACAATTGATCAAAATTCTTCGAACACAACTTGATCCAACAGCAATCAAAAGGAGCGAACTCTAGTGCTCCGCATGATAGTGAATATACTCGATAGATTAACAGAATGTAATTATAATTAACGCCAATATGCATGATATGCTGCGCTCGACATGGCATGTACAAAAATACGGATCAATTCAACGCATCACAGGAGGGCGGCCCTCTTTGTTCCATTTGACCCGACTCTGCACCCACTCCACAGCCGCCTGGACACCAGACCCAAGCAGCGCGCTGACCGGCAGCACGCGACTATCCCGGACGCCGCTTCCCGTTTCCCCTTCGAATACTTTGCGAACGAGCCCTTCCTTGATGCGAACCACTTCCACGCAGTCCTCTCGGTCTTGCTTGTTTGCTAGTACTAGAATTGGAACGCCGGCCACGTCCGCGTTTTGTAGAACGGACTCCAATACCTGGCGGCACTCGTCTAATCGCCCGAATTCGCTGCTGGCGGCGCCTATTCCCACATTTTCTTCAGAGAAGGCCTCTGCGCTGGAATTGCCACGTGTGTTGCGCGTGCCAGCCGTGGAACTCGCGCGCCGAGATATAAGTCGGGTAATGTCAGGGTCTTGACCGACATCCGCGCTGTCAACCACGAAGATTATCGCGTGACAGCTGGTGTAGTAACTCTGCCACAGACCGCGCATGGAAATCTGGCCGCCCACATCCCAAATCTTCAGATTCATATCATGTAAGGGTATTGTTGCGACATTTTGGCCGACGGTGGGGACGGTTTTTCCGGGGTTGGGCGTCGGAGCACCCTCCGGACGGGGCTGGTATAGCGCTTTGATCTGGGAGAGGAGTGTTGTTTTACCAGCATTGTCTAGTCCGAGGAGAATGACGGAATATTCTGTTTGAGAGATATCAGTTTCCATTACAAGTGATGCGATGGGGTAATCGGAGTGTACCTTCTTTGCTCGTGGCGGCCATGTATAGCGACTTGGCCAGGTGATACATCGTCCCAAAGGGAGCTCAAGGCCAAGCGCGATTAGGATTAAAAGGAAAAACGGAATTAGAACAAGTAATCATGGCATTGATGATCCTCTTGCGAAGCGTTGAAGCTCACCCTCTGGCCGCGTTCCAGCCTCATCCGCATTAGGAAATAGGGCTTAGGGCTCAATAACTGCGAGGGGAATTGTCGGACTCAACTGCAGCAATCGACTTCATTTGCAACCTATTTTCAAATTCGCAATTCACCTCACTTTTTTTGGTTTTATATCATGTTGATCTCATGTCCACCATGGTTTTGACCCGACAAACAGGTCTGTGGCAATACATATATTCCGTCACAAACGAACAGAGTGACCATTGCTTGTCGGCGAATAAATCATGTGGAGATCTCCATATTCTCCACCCGCAGGTTTGTCAGCCTGATTATTGATCGTTTCTCGGACGGCCATACGAGGTTCCCCCCATTTTCCTGGGGCTTTAACCTTCTCAAAGTCAGACCCTTCATGGCACACCCTCCTCTTTTTGCTCCGGTAGTGTGACAAGGCTCAGCTCCGGTCTTGTCTGATCAGAGGTGCTTCGATCTTTTCCTACTTCGTCGCAACTTTGTCGCATACCTCTTCAATCATCGCATGTCTTTACCATTATGCCCCTCACTGTATCAATTCTTTGAGATACGCCGCCGTCAATGGAGATTGACACCGTCATCGTCGGTATGTTTACCTTGTGAAATCTGAATCCCACTCTTCTTGAGCCCCGCAATCCACCCCCGCCACCGTTACGACCGTTAGTCCTAGGACTCGCGCTAATTGAGCTACCCTCTAGGCAATGGGCCGTCGGCCATGATCCTTGCATACATTCTCCACGGTCATATTCCTCTTTACACATCCAATCCCCCGCATCCAGATCATCTATTGGACGCCAAGCTGAAGGCCGCACCAGAGCTTTTGAATGCGGATGTGGATGCCCTCACGGCGCATTTCGACGCCTCGCGACTGTCATACTCAACCCAGGCTCTTCCAGTCAATGTCTTGTTAGATACGCTAATGCGCCCGAGCGTTGATGTAGACGAACCGGGCTGCGTCTCGAATATTGAGTGGCGTTTCCAGCCGGAAAAGGCAGTTTCACATCTTGTTTTTGGAAAGCCCTTGAAACCTGGAGGCCAATGGACCGAAGATCCGTTGGGTGCGAGTTGGGATATTCAGACTTTGAGTTATGCCGCAATGCTGTCTTTGCCCGGGTATTCTTTTGCCGATCATCATATAAAAACCACCGGCAAGGATCTGCCCTCATATACAAGGCCTACACGGCGCGAGATCGCAGATTATTTTTCTGCTTACCCGCAGGCCGCTCACATCAATGATGCATTTCGGTGCGGGGAAGAATTGAGGGGCATCTCTCGCACCGCCGATGGTTTTTATATTCGCTCGCATAACCTTCACTGCAGGCGGCTCGTCCTTGCTAGTGGAATCTTCTCTGAGGTTATTTTACCGGAACCGTCAATTCGCCCACTGCTACACATTAAGCCCACACCTCGAACACCACTATTAGTTGTTGGATCCGGTTTCTCTGCCGCCGACGCGATCATCTCTGCCTCTCCCGATCAGAAGATCTTGCACGTATTCAAATGGTCCCCCGATGATCGCCCGTCCCCTCTCCGGGCGTGTCATCAGCAGGCATATCCCGAATATGCCGGTGTCTACCGTCTCATGAAACGAGCCGCTCTGACAGCCGAAGCTGCAGGCAAAGACCGGCCGAAATACCGTCGCACCACCTCAACTCCATTCCTTGAAAGCAGGAATTGGGATGAGACCTATGAAGGCTTGTCTAATGTCGAAATGACATCAGCCGAAGTCCACGGTGATCTGGCGACCGTCACATTCCGCCGCCAAGATGGAACTACTTTCTCCCGCTCCGTCAGCGGTCTTGTCTATGCTGCTGGTCGGCGAGGCACCCTGGATTATCTTGATCCTGAGCTCCGCTGTGAAGTGCTGGGGCCCGGTGATCAGGAAAGCCCGACAGTAACGGGACAAAGTCTCCGTGCGAAGGCAATCGAGGACCTCGAGGTTGCCCCGGGGGTCTTCATCATTGGCAGTCTGACTGGAGACTCTCTGGTCCGCTTTTCCTACGGTGGTTGTGTCTCTACAGCTGGTCATCTGATTGATGGCGAGCGTGACACGCGAAGCATGTGTAGCAGCTTCGTGTCGTCGGCTAAATTGCATGGCTCTTCACTCTCCGTTATGAACGGCATGGATGGTCATTTGGTTTACCCGAACGGGGATGAACCAGACCTGTCCCGCGAGGATACCTTCAGCAAAATTTCGACGATCACGGATCAGCCTGTCGCACGGAGTTGGTGGAAATCAATTTCCCGAGTATGGAATGATCTCATACGATGATTTATTTGATTTGACGACTATTGTTTTTGTACATCTACGACAAAACGCAACACTTACAAATGCTTCACATGCCAATATATCTTTGAATTTATCATCAAATTCCCCCTCCTCAAACTCTTTTTCCTTGCATCTACTCAATAAACACGTTCACAGTTTCCCCTGTCTAATACCTCCACTTTTTCTATCTATTCAACTTGACTGTCCCATCACAACGAATAGCAGGAATAAAACGGACTATAAAATCATTCAAGTTAGCTTCAATCCACTCATCAGAATCAAATGACTTACTCATTCTCGCCCCTCCACCCAACACATCTCCAACAATCAAACAAGTGAGTCGGATCATACTTGTTCTTCGCCTCCAAAAGTTTCGGGTAGTGTGAACCCCAATATGTCTCTTCCCAATCCGGCTCCAGATAATGCGCTTCGTTAAAGTACGCACCGCCACCGGGACTGAGCCGCTTCAGGGGTTCAAGAAGATCGAGGAATGCCTGCGCGGTAGTTGCGTGCTCATCGGCTTCCAATGGTTCCACCCATTCTCCAACTTGGATGACGTGCCAGAGAGTGCTCCGCCAGGCGGGATGCGCGGACGATTCTTGGTTTTCGTCGAGGTTTGACACTGGCGTTTCCAAAACGATTTGAGTTCCAGTAGTGTTCAAATGATCTCTCATTGTTGCAATGCCTAGTATCACGCCATCGACCAGTTCTGCGATGGTGTCAGGAGCACCAAACACCGTGCGGGGAATGAGACGAGATGCCAGCATGGAGAAGATCCCGGATGGCTCGGTGACCTTTGCATCGGCAGAAGTGACGGTCAGATAGCTGGCATAGTTGGCGTAGGATTCATAGCTGGTGGCGGTGACAGCGAGGTCTGTTCTATTTTTCAAGAAATGGTCAAATGACGCGGTGGCAGCCTTCAACTTCGAGCCGTCGTCTCCGTAAAGCAGAACGAGGGAGACGGATACTCGCTCCGGGAAGTACTCGACCTGGCCGGTCACTAGTTGTGCTGACCAGTTGAGCTGATTCTCTGCATGTGCTGTCATGATCTCCCGCAGAGCAGGAGTCTCAGTGGCATTGGTACCAAGGTTCGTGAAGTTTGCTGCGAATTTGTAGACGTGGATCGGTAGGGAAGGATAAACCTGGACGCGGTACTTGGTGAGTACGGCAAAGGTACCACCTCCTCCGCCCCGCATCGCCCAGAAGAGCTCGGGATCATTGCATTGGTTGATGATGCGAACCTCTCCGTCTGCTGTCACCACTTCAAATTCGACAGCATTGTCGGCCATCAGGCCGTAGGTGGTTGTGAACGACCCAACGCCTCCTCCTTGGCCAAATCCACCAGCCAATCCGACTGATTGTTCATATCCACCCGTGATGTCCATTCCATAGGAGCTGAAGTAATGGTATGCATCGTTTGCAATAACTCCGGCTCCTAGTTCACCGACGTTCTGGCCATTGGCCGCGGGACAGTTGTGTGCGGTGAAATTGGAGTTAAATTTCATGGAATCGAGATTGTGAGTCCAGATGGCGAGGGTGTTGGGGACTGAGGACCGTCCAAAGAAGTCATGGCCGGTGTTCTTCACACTGATTCGGATGTTGTGCTTGGTGGCAAAGCGGAGGGCGGCAGAGATGTGCGAGGCATCTCGCACATCCACGTAGTATGAAGACAATCTTCCCAGGCTGCAAGTGCGGTAGAGGAGCTCTGAGGGATTGGTTTCCAACAATGCACAGCCAGTGTCATGGCAGATCTCCCAGTTTAACCAGTAGGTTTGTCCGTAATGGGTTCCTCTGGGGATACTGTTGCCGTAGTACTCCTCGACGGCCTGGCAGGCGATCTCGTCGTAATGGGGAGAATTTTTGTAGCAAGGAGCTGCAATTGGAACGGTCTCGTATAGATGACCATCGATGGTTTTGTTGAATTGTTGCCATTCCTTTGACGTGGGCCAGCACTTCTGTCCAGGGCGACAGTCGTAACCCGGGTCAACCGAGGCCCATACGCCCAAGGCCCAAGAAATTGAAAGCAAAGAAGCTAGACGAACCATCTTGACAAAGTGAAGCTGGATTGTAGAATTAAGACATATCCTCCATGTTCTTTGCGCTCTTCTTATATATCATCTTCCAGGCAGCTATTTGCTTTCGTTGTACCGACTCACTGTACTACGCGAAGCTTTGGGCGAAGCTTCGCCAAATGACGTAGTGTTGGAGCTAAAGCATTCCGAATGTGGAAATTGGTTCAGCGAACGTCGATCCCTCTCAAGTCCATCATTGCAGCATGAAGTGGCGTTCGTACCGGCAGTCAGCATCTCGAAGGTTTCCCAAAAGAGTAATAGTTTCGATGACCCACTTGCGCATATACGCTAGTCCTCATTCGTCATGATCCATGCTTATTTTTGTTGTTGGCTTTTGCTTTTGCTTGGACTTCATTTCTCTTTTGCTTGTTCGTCGCGCTAGGCAAACGCCTTAATTCTTATTTCGGAATGCAATTCAACAGGGCTGAGTTGGTCGGGGGCCAAAATAGTTTGCTAAGGCACAGGGAAAATTCCATATATAAAGCCCTAGTTATCGTGTCTGAAGTAGGAACCATCAACATCAAGCATCATTTACCACGTTATCTACTCTACTTTCATCTTTATATTGATACTTTCAACTAGTCAAATTGAATAATGGCTGTTGTCACTCCTGATCACGTCGCTATTGCGGAGTTGATTATATATATCCCCACCGCTCTGCTCACCATCTGGGTCGTATTACGCCATGGCTTTCACAAACAATTGGGGTGGATCTACCTTTCAATCTTTAGTGCCATTCGAGTTGGTGGAGCCGTTATGGAAATCCTCAGCACCAAGAACCCAAACAATGCAAATGATAAGGAATGGGCTCTCATCCTACAATCTGTTGGACTTTCTCCTCTTCTTCTCTCAACGTTGGGTCTATTGAAGCGAGTGTCAGTCATACCCACCCCAGAATCTCATCACACTTTGGTACTGACTATTCAATAGTTTCGATGAGACGACACAACATATACCTTCCAGCCCGGACTCCAAGCGCAATATCATAATGCAAGGAATGACGAACTTTGGTATCGCTGGAAAACTGTGAGCATCCCTAACTTCAGGAATTGACAAACGATCAATTCAAATTAACCATCCATTTACAATAGTATCGGGATTTACAACAAACGAGCAACCGCAACCTCTCGCCGTTCTAAGATCGTCCAACTCCTGCACGTCCCTGCCTTGATTGCCCTGATTCTCGCTATTAGCGGTGGAAGCGACCAGGCATCTTCCAACACCTCTGACCAAGCCAGTGGCAAGACCGAGACCCGCGCTGCTATTATTCTCTACCTTCTCATCTACCTTGCAGCCTGCACCCTCTGGACCATCACAGTTCGTGATGCCAGCCTCATGGTCTCGAGCCAAAAGCGCATCTTCTACTGTGTGCTTCTCGCTCTGCCTCTCATTGCAGTAAGACTGCTTTACAGTCTGATCAGCGACTTTGGCAACAACCCTCAATTCTCCTTGATCAATGGCGACACTAAGATTCAACTGGTGATGGCCACTCTTGAGGAGTTTGCTATTGTCCTTATGTATACAATCTTGGGAATAGTTACCCCCAGATCTTTCCAGAATGCTGCCCCGGTTGAGACCCAGGAGCAAGACGGTTACTATGCGCCCGGTGATGTTGAGTACGGTCATCGCCAAGCTAGTCAGCCTGTATATGCTCAGGCAGCAGCTCAAGAAGCTTACAATGCTCACTATTCGCGGAAGTAATTATGATTGGATCACGGACAAACGAGGCTGTTTCTGTTTGGTGGTTATAAATTGTTGAGTGAGGAGTAGCGATGTTGTCTGTATGAGGTGTTGGACTATATAGATGTGCGTTTTAGATGAGTTTATGCTTGATCGAATTCTTTTCAGTTTTTCTTATAGAGCAAGACGAAGATATATAATTTGAATACTTCCAAACTTCTTATACAAGCAAGTAGACATTCTTTCATTTTGATGGTTCACAAGGCCTTTTGCCCGTGTATACCTAGGTAATTTTCTACACTCTTAGTTCTTTCATTCACAGTATGCCCGACATGACCAACATCCATCATCATCTATGAGAGTTTATACATGATCCGGTCATATGCTCCTGTCTTCATAATTTACAACTTGGCTTTATCCTCCTCTCGGCCAACAAGATTAGGATGGGGAGCTCGGACAGGTCGAGTCACAGCGTAAAAGGCAAAGCCTGAAGACTTGGTAGAGAACTATACAGCAAGCTATGTTAGCAAAACTCCCGCTAGGAAAGGAAAGGCTTATGACAAACCTTGACTTTAGACCCGACGTGGAAGAAAGCAAAATCTCCAGGGACTAGGTGGTGGGTGACCCCGGTAGCCTCGTCCTATAGATACAAAAAGAAACAATTCTTAGATTTTTTCATGTTTACCACATTGCAACCACCATGCGATTGGGGCCAGTTGTAGGAGGTAACATACCAAAACATCGATCTGACCGTTGAGGACATACTTAGTCTCCTCAAAGTTGTATAGTGCAGGTCGTGCAGGTCCAGCCTCAATCTTATAGAATCCAGAAGTAAAGTGCGCTGGGGACTCGGTCTTGGTGCGAATAGAGTGGAAGTCGGCTGTGGTTGCGTTCTCGCCCTGGGGGAGGGGGATGAACTCATGGCCGGCGCCCTTAATGACAGTAAGAGGAACGAGGTTGTTAGACACTGTAAAGTGAATTAGGTTAGCTTTTTGGACGGATTTTTCTGAAGTCCTCGATATTGAGTCAAGGACTTCTAGGAACAGGAGATAACCCACTTTTGATTCAATTGATTGATTTAGATAGATAGCGACAGATTTAGAGAAGGCACTCTTTAAGTAACATCAGCACTCGAAATATTAATCATCGGACGGCTTCCCGGGATGCAAACATGACTCCTGCATGGTTTATCCCCATGAGGGGAAAACACCCCGGGTGCATTGCCTGATGAAGAGATTGCCGGGTGGATGTCCGTCCGCCTATAAAAGGCCCATCCTCACAGTTCGATCGGGAATTGCGCGTTATATACAGAGGTGAAAGATAAGTATTGTGTCTGCAATGATGACTTCAAGGAAAGAAGAGCTGGTGAAAGAAGAGACAACGAAATACTGTACCAGTGTACAGTGGAGATATTCATAGTTCGACCAACCAGGATCATGCCCTCATTCCCCCGCATCGATCAGTGATCGGGATGGCTTCCCTAGATGGTAAAACCTTCCATAGGGGACTTGTCGATGTACTTTCTTTTTTCTGACGAAAGAATCAAGGTGTTTGCAGTTTAACATGTCTGCTTTGACACATGTTTATTTACAATCCACAACCTTGGAAAGACGAATTTCGACAAATAGGATAGTTCATAAGATACATTTCCACAACTTTCTCAAATTCAATTATATACACGTTAAAAGCAGACGCTCGTATGAATCTGTCAAAAACTAATCATGTCTCATGAGTCGGCGAACCTTCAGGCGACAGCCAAGCCCGAGTATCCATCCCATCTCGCAACAACTTTGCCATAGCCAAAGCCTGATTTATTCCCATCGAATGTCCAATCTTATCCAAGCAGTTGATAATCCACTTGCGCATATCTCGAGACGCAAATCCAGAGTTGGCGGCAATCAACAGTGGCCATACTAGGGTGACGCCGCCGGCTCCGAATATCTCGAAGTTTGGGGGCAAAGGTGAACCCCGTTGAGGCTCTGGACCCGTGATGCTCATGTTCACCATGAAGTCTCGAAAGTTTCCAGCTTCTGTATCCGAAGATGAGCTCATCCCGGTGATTGGGAATGTGGGCGCTGGTGACCATGGTAGAGATGTGGAGGGAAATGAAGAGGATGCATTATCCCAAGTCGATGATGCGTATGTTTCACCTCCGGTTTGCTGTCCAGGGAGTTCCCAGTCATATTCATCTTCCATGCCCATACCCATGTGGAATGGCACACTGGCACAGATATCATCCACGAGTTGCTGCCCGATTTGTCGACTTTGAGTGGCTAGGATGCGCTGCTGATGGAGACTGCTGTTGTCTGGCGATGAACCTTCAATTGACTTGACGGTATCAATAAGTAACTCGTGCATGAGAAGTCGAGCTGAGCGAGCGTTGTTCCAAACGCCGCTCACAGAAAGATTGCGGTACACATGGTAGCTATCACCCCAGACAATGTTGGTAATGAGCTCTCCGTCGACTACCGGAACCTTGATTGTTTTGTAACTCCATGACGGAGGAGCCGTTAGGAGAATTGACATCAGTTCCGCGTCCAGATTCAAAATCCGGCGAATGATCTCGCTAGGCTGGGTGATTGTGCCGTCCTTGAGCGCGGCGCAGAAGTCAGTCAGGCGAATGACCACACTGCCGACTTCATCCACCATTCGGTCATTGGGACTTCGGTGTTGCTTTGCGTCTTCCGTGAGTTGCGTCATTGTAGAAGAGCTGTACTTTTCCTGGTATATTTTGCTGATGCTCTAAGAAAGGTGGTTAGGAGTCAAGTTTATATATTCGATGCTCCAAAAGTTGGTACATACAATTTGTGCTCGTAGATTGGTAAACAAATCTAACCCTTCTTGTCGATTCAATTGCTCTGGGCCTCGAAACTCAATCAACTGACTAGCTCCTTCCATATGCTTGATCCAACGGGCTATAAAGGAGTCATCGCTGCAAGTCATAACCTGACCAGGCAATATTAGTACAGAATACTCTAACGTATGCGATTTGACTGGCTTACCTCGAACATGCCCAGTAGCACAACTGCAGCCAGTGTGTCATCTCTCTTAGACAAGACAGGGTCCTGCAGGGCCTGATTTGTTTCACTCAAAGCGGTAGTGTATTCTTGACGCGCTTTGAGTAACATTCGCGGAGAAAGGCGAATATTGGATAATGCGGCCAATCCAACGGCAGAAAGAGCGGCATTCACGCAGTTCCGAGGATCTTTGGCCAAAAGAGGTAGCAGATAAGACATGTGGCCCCCTCTGGGACCACCCGACATATAGTTCACAAAGACATGGGTCTTAGCTAGTTCCCGTTCTGGGTACACTAGGCTGTTTGTTGGGGGCGGAAGTATATTCTGAGCGCCACTGGAAGATGTGTTGGAGGATGTGTTGGCGCTAGCAGTGGAAGAAGGTACGGTGCGCCTTTTGCGTGCGGTCCGCTGAGACTTACGGATCACGTCCTCGCTTTGGTCTCGAAAGCTCCAGTCCAATGGATCTCGATATCCCGGGCATTCAACCTGGGCCCTCATGCATTGAGTGCAAGATGGTGATCCTTGATCACACTAGTGGGGCAATTTAGTAACAGATTATCGTACAGGGGTTCGTTTTTCTTCACATTCTTCATACCTTCAAACGACGGGTGCGACATCGCTCACAGGCCGCACTTGGCTTTCCACAATATACCATCCTGCAAGGCAGCCTTGCCAAGGTGCCCACGGTGCTAACGGTGCTAACTGAAAGAAGTAATGGATACGTCGAGAGGTAAAAGAAAAGAAGGAATCGCTTTTGGGCAAGCAATTCGTTTTTAGACAGCCCTACATGCTTATCACGATAATATTCCCCAATGAGAATATGCAGTAGCAAATTAAGCCTCGTGGGGTCAAGTTGGCGAAAAGGCTTGTTGAATACGAGGTCCAGCGCCACATAAAGAATGCCGCTTGCCCCAATGCGGTCAGCAGCTCGTTACCCGGCAGGCGCTTGGTCTTGTTTTAGTATATGCTTGACAGTTTTAGATTTTAATTATGCTGTTATGCATTCTGATTGTTCTTTAAGCCAAAAAAAATCAAACGGCTGATTTTCTCTGCCGTGTTTTAGCTACGCGTAAGATCGTTTCTCCATGCCCTAAAAGGAAACTGGTATCTACAACATTGAAGAACCAGTCTTACATATCTAACTAGAGTTTATATCTATTTTGAGTATTTTTTCGTGTCGATTTCCATTCGTGAATACTATATCTCGTATCTGATGTCTTTCCGGTGCAATTATCTCCGACGGGTAGTGCATTGCCCCTCAGAATCGGATGGGATCCCCCGCCATCCAGCCCCTCATAATTTGCTTGTTTCCCTCGATAAACCCCCGAAAACCCATACGTCTCATTCTTATGAACATACAGCTCGCAATCTTCCAATAATTCGTCTCTGACTATGAATGATTCTACCACTGTCCTCTTTGTCCCAGGCGCATGGCATAGCCCTGATTGCTTTGATCTAGTGATTCAACGCCTTGAAGCAGCCAATTATAAGACCGACAAAGTTCATCTCCCTTCAGTCGGCCCGCCCAAGCATTATTCGAACTTTGATGTCGATGTTGCCCAAATCCATTCCCAAATTGAACGTGCAGCAGATGCAGGTCAAAATGTTGTCGTAGTCGTCCACTCTTACGGCAGCTTGCCCTCAAATGAAGCAATCAAGGGACTTGACATCAAGTCCAGACAGAAGAATGGTCTACCAGGAGGCGTCACTCATTTATTCTTCTGCTGCTCCTTCGTCATTAAGGAGGGTGATTCCTTGATCGGCGCCTTCGGTGGGAATGATCTCCCTTGGTTCATTGTCGGCGATGACAAATTGGAAGTCGCTGCCGACAAACCGGAGGAGATTTTCTACCATGACTGTGATCCTGCTCAAATTCAATCCGCCATCGCCGCTTTGCAGCCTCATAGCTATCAAACGTTCCATAGCCCCTGCACCTATGCGGCATGGAAGGATGTACCTAGTACCTACTTGTACTGCATCCAAGATGCAGCTATTCCGCTCGCTGTCCAGAAGATGATGGTTGAAGGAACGGGTCAGGGATCAGGCATGAGGACTGAAACTGTGGATGCATCGCATAGTCCTTTTTTCAGCAAACCGGACGAGGTCACCGCGGCTATTCGACGGGCTGCTGGTGAGAATTTCTGATTGGCAGGCTTGGAAATTAGATAACTTTACATACGCTGTGTTGAGAGATTTGTTTGTATATAATTCATGACCTATGCTAGTCATGTGAAATAATTTGAACGAAATATCAGAGAATAGCGCTTTTATATTAATGTTTAAACGCGGAACAAACTCCGCATTAATGATCCCCGCGGAGATGTTATGATTCTACGGGATGAAACGCAATTGATTACACCATCTATAAATCATAATGTTACATTTCAGGAGAAAAAGATTGTGAACGACTTTCCTTTTATGGGGAGAAAGTCGGTGGTGCCAAGTTGAGTCATTATTACAATATATCTTGTTTGGCAGTCCAGCTTACCAACAACATACGCCTACGTGGAAGAGAGGACTACGAGCATAATATTTAATTTAGAAGATCGCTATAATAGTAGTACAGAGAATGTATAAGTATAACCCGTGGTTGACGATAGCTTCAATAGGTACATATGTAAATGACCACATGTTTTGAACTTCAACTTCAACCTCAACAACCTCCCTTCACCGAACAGCCCAAGACGTGCCCATCCGAGATAGACGCGATCTCAACCTAGGGCTTCGTAGCTGTATTGTCGTCAGCAACTGCTCTCATCGCGAAAGATCCCCCAACAAGCGCTGCACCCTTCGTCTCGGTGGTGGAAACTCCTATTCCCCCAATGTTATGTATCCAGCGCATCAACGCATACACAAAGACCCACCTGCCCGAGCCAACTTACAGCCATTCTTTTCGTGTCTATCACTACGGCCTCGCCATCAAGCAATATCGCTTCCCAGAATGGACTTTCGACGATGAGACATACTTTCTTTCCTATATGCTCCATGATATCGGAACAACCAGGAAGAATTTGAGAGCCAGCAAGCTTAGCTTCGAGTTACATGGCGGTCTGATCGAGCTAGATGTTCTCCAAGCCCAGGAAGCTTCTGCAGGAGGCTTGGATGCCATCGCGCCAAAGGATCAGGCCGAGAGCGTGGCCGAAGCAGTTATCCGGCACCAAGACTTCTGCGAGAAGGGCAAAATCACGGCTCTTAGTTAAGTGCTTCAGCTGGCAACAATTTTCGGTACTTTGCCTTGCTTTGCCTGGCTGTTACACATGCTTGTGCCATGATGTGGAGCCAACTAACATGCGCAAATAGATATCCTTGGCCTGTACGAGAACGTGGTTCACCCTTTAACCACCCAAGATGTTTCCGACCATCCCCCTCGTCCAAGATGGAGCAATGGCTTTGCTAATAGTGTCCATGAAGAGATTGAGCGAACCTAAGTGACTGCAATAGATATAGATGTTTTACTACTTTGGGTCGTTTGTTCATCTACCTAGTGGTGATTGTGAGTTCTCCCGATCAAGCAGTCGAATGATAGGGCTTGAGCGCTAAGCAGCAATGTGAAGCTCATCTAAAAAACCACCTCATGGAGGTTGCAATAATTTATAGCCTTGGCCTTGATTGTGAACCTGTGATTCAGGATGCTTATACATTTCGCATCACGTCGATGGTGGTGTTGTCATAAGGCCCATATATTTCTCAGCCCAATATTTACGTGGCAGTAGACGTCGTTGTATAGATTGTACCTTATGCAAGGGTGGCCGAGTGGTTAAGGCGACACGTTCGTAACTCTGACGCTATCTTGAAGAGCTCACACTAACAATTCGACAGGTTTAGGTAACACTCTCCGTGTTGGGCAACCGCGCGAGTTCGAATCTCGTCCCTTGCATCGCTTTTTTTAATTTAGTCTAATTAGTATAGACAAGTAGTTGTTGTGTAGATTATACGTTTAGGGAACAAAATCATTATTAATTCCTTGGCTCCTTTTGTTTAACTTTCTACGACTAAGTCCCTAGATTATCACTCTAGCTATCATGATCATATGAATCATAGATGACCTTAGTACGGCGTAGTTCGTTATTAAGTTGCGATAAAAGGATATTTTTTCAAATGTCTAGGTAGTTTTCGGCGATATATTATAGGACATAGGTTCGAGAGAATTCAATGATAAGATGGCAGGCGAGGTTAAAAAGGGATTTCTAACAAAATAGGGCGTTAATTAGCTTTGTGATCTTGATGGCAGCAAAGAATTCTTAAAGGATTTGATATTCGAGTTTATCTACTCTCACGTGGAACGTGATGCGAAATGTATAGTCAAGCATCCTGAATCACCGGTTCACAATCAAGACTGTGAATTATTGCAACCTCTATGAGAGTTTTTTTCTGGACGAGCTTTGCATTGCTGTTTAGCGTCCAGGTCCTATCATTCAATTGCTTGATTGGGAGAACTCACAATCACCTCTAGGTAGATGAACAAGCGACCCAAGGTAGTGAAATGTCTATATCTATTGCAGTTGCTTAGGTTTCGAAGCTAATCTAGCATCGTAGAAGGAAATTCATCATTTTCATCATGATAATGAAAGCTGTTTTCATTTGCTAATAGCTAGATGATGCTGAGTGTAAAGTGAAAGGTAGAACAAGGATAGTTAGGAAACAAAGAGGTCTTGGGTAATCAATACTCATAATAAAAAAAAGTTTATATATCTTTCTACCTGTCTTTTTACCTCTTTTTTTGCTAGTGATCTAAGGGTTTTGATTTCAGATATTATGACTAGGCAATATGTCCAGAATCTAAGTGACAATCCGTTCTACTATCTCGAGCGTGATGAAAAGCTTTAGATCATCTTTTGGAGAATAAACTCAGATATGAATATGTTTTGAAAGACTCATCTTTTCCATGATACGGGAAGCTGCTTAGGGTTCAGGCGTGGTATCCAGGCAGCCCTCCACCTAGGTAACTAATGGTAGTTAGTATACAGCCTTGGAAGGTACAGCCTTGGAAGGTACAGCTCTAACTCGCCCAAGTGTGACACTCTTTAGGTAATGATAATCCAATTCACCTAGTCAAAACGGGAATAATTATTTCCCGCTTGACGGTTTGGCCGAGAGGTTAAGGCGACAGACTTGAACGAGTAAACTTTTGAGTTATCTGTTTCCTTCGGGAGCGCAGGTTCGAACCCTGCAGCCGTCGCTCTTTTTTTCTTCGGGACCGTAGTCGAACTGCAACTGTTCATGTTATTTTTGGTTCGTTGTGCTGTTGTTGACTGCCTTTCTTGTTGGATGGACGTAAAAATTTCAAAGATTGAGATCCGGATCACATTGATCTAAAAAAGTTTACAGTCAATTATTGAATAGAAATATTGAAGAGGAGAACAGTGTTCTTGATCGCATTTATCGTGACAAAAGTCTTCGCTAGGGTTGGCCAATTTCTAGGCATGCTCAGGGCCTGAGGAATCGACCATGAACCTCAACTCCCCCCACCTGCGCAGAGCGAGGTCGATGGGAAATATGACTAAGCGGCGTCGCGATAAAAAAAAACTGCGATAAGAGATTCCCCCACAATATCAGCCCTCATTTCACGAATTGACGACTTGTTTGGTGCTTTTTGATGCTTTTTGTGTTGACATGACTCGCCCCAATCCCCTGCCACTCTCTGACGAGTGGAAGGATCCCGACGAATATGTTGCGGCCCTCCTCTCCTTCGCGACCGAGTCGGTCATGTTCATGAACCTTTGCGGTGGTGTACATATCCTCGATTTTTTGACGCGCGATCCCGATCTGTATACTTCACTATTGCCAGAGGACTGGCGTTCTTTCTTTGAGAATCATGATATTCATAGCATTTTACAGCTGCTTTTGCGAGAAGACATTAGCCCGCTATGCGATCAAGCGGAAACGAGAACGAGCGAAAATGACAGAACCTGGAATGGAAGCGCATTCCCACCTGCTACTCTCCTCGAATACATCCGCAACATTCGTCGATTCAGCCTTCGCCGCGAGTTCACGTCTGAGAGGAATGAGGGTCTCCCCAGGCACATTGCCAATGGCATGAACAAGAAGAAAGCACATGAGGTTGAGCAATTTTCTCACTATGTCGCATCGTTATCGGAGACGGTTCACGAAAGTCGCGGAGAGCCATTGACCCACATTGCAGACTTTGGGTCTGGACAAAATTATCTGGGGCGGGCGCTGGCCAGCGCACCCTACCACAAACATATCATAGCGATTGAGCGCAAGCATCAATACATCAGCGGGGCAAATCGAATGGACGTTCATGCCCGATTAGCAAAGGATGAGAGGAAGAAGATAATGCACAATGCGAAATTGGCTAAACTGGAACATAAGAAAAAGCAATGCATCAGTTGCACCGATACCCCAGATTTAGCTACTTTAGGAGTATCTGATCCTGCCAGGGTGGAGGCGCAGGCACAATATGCATCTAGCAACAAGGTGCTTGAAGAGCCTACTGGACAAGAGGAAGATGACACCTTCTCCAGTACCCTAGGCGGCATGAGTTTAGAAGCCGATGACATCCTCACTTCGACCGAGCAGAACCCTCCCGCCTTCAAAGCACCACCACCACCCATGGTTGATGCCAGAGGTGTTGTCAGCTACATTGAACATGAAATCCAGGATGGTTACCTGGAGCCGATCATCGACCATGTCGTCGATCCCAAAATCCCAGTGGAAACCAGAACTGCCAGTGAAGAAGTCGTCGCCCAGCCCCAGGAAAAGAAGCCAAGTGATGCCCGGGTAATGGTCGTATCACTGCATTCATGCGGTAACCTCGTTCATCATGGAGTCCGATCCTTGGTTCTCAACCCATCTGTTGTCGCCATCGCTATGGTCGGCTGTTGCTACAACCTTCTCACCGAGAGACTCGGTCCCGCCACCTACAAAATTCCTATTCTTCGATCTTCGCATCCACGTCTCAAAAAGACCGGATCTTCGTGGGATCCGCACGGGTTCCCAATGTCCAAACTTTACGAAAACTACGAGGCAAAAACCACAAAAGGCATCAAATTCAATATCACAGCTCGCGCCAGCGCTGTTCAAGCACCCTACAACTGGGGTCGTGCTGACAGTGAGGGTTTCTTTACTCGCCACTTCTACCGCGCCCTTCTGCAGCGCGTTCTCCTTGACCATAAAATTATCCCAAAGGCGGACATCTCCAAAGATCTCTATGAAGAAGACCCAGATGACCCCGAGTCTGGTATCGCGCTGATCGTGGGATCTTTGCGTAAATCCGCTTTCGAATCTTTCACTTCATATGTTCGCGCAGCAACGGTCAAGTTGAGCCAGGATCCGCTGCGAGGCGAGAAGGTCAAGGAACGAGTTTGTACCATGACTGACGAGGAGCTGCAACGCTATGAAACCGCTTATTTGCCCACGCGCAAAAACCTCAGTATCGTGTGGACTCTGATGGCTTTTAGCTCTCAGGTCATCGAGGCTGCTATTGTTGTGGATCGTTGGCAGTTCTTGCGTGAGCATGACTCTGTCAAAGACTGCTGGGTTGAGCCGGTCTTCGAGTATGGCCAGAGTCCCCGGAATCTGGCTGTTATTGGGATCAAGAAGTGATTTTGTTGGCCTTGCATATCAAATTTGGCGTTTGTTCTCAATTTCGAGAGAGTTTACTATAGATTTGGGACATCATGTTTCTTCTGAAGACACTGAGTAAATAGATAGTGATGATTTACACGAATAGACGCACAGACCTATAGAGCTCTCCTTAATGCGTGACCATCATAGCGTGCAAGCGGTGCCACTGCGTCAACTTTTAACATTTCTTTTCTTTAGTTTATGGATATAATAGGGAAGAAAACCTAGGCCGGGGAACAAAGGAAAAAAGAGGGGAAAAGCTTGAATACTTACTGACTTTGATTCTACATATTGTACTTACATGTTATACATTTTACCCTTGATTTTAAAATAATAATTAACTAGCGAAAAAACAATTAACTATGTTACTACAAATCAGTGGAGAAGAATAGGCCTGAAATCGGCACTTTTTGCTGATGATTGGGTAAAAGACTTTTCAATACCTATGTAGATTGACTCGGTCACTGGCTTTTAATTCTTCGGCACTCACTGCGGAGTACATACCAGGATAATCATACAAATAGACCAAAGCGTTACAACATATATGATGAGATTGGTTGTAGTTTATGCAAGTAGGCGCAGGTACAGTAGCCAGGTACTGCTGCATAAAGCGAAGCGAAATCGAAACAAAACTTAGAGCTCAAAAAGCAGTCCACTGCTCCCTACAAGCTTTAGCAACCTCGACTGCCGCTTTCCCAATCATCCCCTTCCAAAACTCGGAAGTACCAGAAGGGACAAGATCCTCGATCTCAAGAGAGAGCAGTGCGTCAAAAACCCAATCCTGGCATCTCTTATTATTCCCTCTAGGAGCAGCCTCTTTCTTGATCACGGTGATTGCTTGGCTTCGTTGATCGGGCGTCAGATCTGCAATTTTGCACATCCCCACTGCACACCTGTCGATGATCTTGGTTCCGTATCGGGGTGTGTACTCGTACCATAGATTGTTAATATCGATGACCTCGACTTGGAGGAGATCGCCGAAATCTAGATTGTCTGGTTTGTTGATCATGAATCCCCAGTGGGATCGGTATTCGGGGTCTGTGCCGGGTCCGAACACTTCTATTGAGAGGTTGTAGGTCATGCTGGTATTGTTAGTGGATCTTGTTTGTAGTGGATTTATAGGTACATTAGCTACCTTGAAATTGAACTCTGGGAAAATTCAACAGTGAGTTTTCTCTTGAGCTTTTGAACTCTTGTACTCTAGTACTCTCGAACTCTTAACTCTCGAAGTCTTGAGTTCTTAAATTTTGAATCTCCCATGGTCTTAGCTTTCTGTGCGTTTGGCCTACCCTTGTCAAAAGCAGATGATTTGACCAAAAACATTGCTGCGAGATCCCGTTCACCAATAATTGATGAGCGATGTGCGTCCTGGCCCCTCTCGGTTCTATCACCCTCTCAGGGCCGTATGATGCGACCCCATATTGCGGAAATATCGTTCAATGTTGATGATATTTGTGTTTCAACCCTTATCAACTAATTTCCATACTTCCCTCAGGAACACCCTGTCTACTCCTCAGCCTATGTGCAAAGAACTGCATCACAGGCAACATCTCATCCCGACTCGAAGGCATCGAATCTCCCTTCCGCGCATACCGACTAACCTCCACAAACTCGAAGACCTGCTTCGTCCTCCGCACCGCCTCATCAGAGACGACAACCGAGTCCCGGCCAGAAACAAGCAGCACAGGCGAACGGTTTGTTGGTCCAACCCGTGACCCGGACAAGGGGTATGGCGCTCCAATGGAAATCACCCCGGATAGAGAACCGCTTTGTTGTTCGTTATTTCTTATCCCCAGTTCCCGGGCAGTGACGAGTCCGACCATGCCTCCTTGGCCGAATCCTAGGATCATGATCTCCCGTAGAGAGTAGCCGCATTTGCGGATGAGTGTGTCGCGCACAACATCTTCTACTAGTATCCTTGTGGCCCGGACTAGTCCGGCGTCCATGTCTATGGCTCCGGTCGCGGAGTCGAAGGAGACATCGTCGCCCCAGTGGAAACCACCTAGATCGAAGGGGAGCGGGGCGGTTCCCTGAACTGTCACGACAGTTGTCTCCGGTAAATGTAATGCTTCGCCGAACTTTGTGAAGGCTGCAGCTGAATCACCGAGACCGTGTAGGAGGAGGAGAATGTTTGGGGCTGGGGCTGAGGATGTGGATGTGGGTGTGACGGTGACGGTGAGTTGGGACGGGAAGTCGGATGGAGTGGGGGTTTTGGAGGGCATTGTGACGTGAGACAGCTCTTCTGATGCTGATGATGTATCCTGCTGCCTTGTTGATCGGGAAGTTGCCGAAGCTTTGGAGCTCAAGTCGAAGCTCAGAAAGTCGAGTGGTGTGGCTGTGTCGATTTGTGGCTGAGCGATATAATGTCACGCTAAATGTTGTTAGGGACACAGGGTTTGAGCTCTCATCGTACAAATGTACAAGTGAACATGAAAAAGAGGAATTGACTTTGGCGGGGCGGTTGATTGTTGTTGCCTATTGATCTACAATACTGTAATGTGGTGCTGGTGGTTACTGGTAATTGCTGGTAGCCGGATATTGAGATGTCCACTGGTCATAGATTTTAGTCCAGACTTGAGCTGATCACTTCAATGGTTTCAGTTTTCAATTAAATTGCTACAGTGTATATTTCTTGGCATAACTTTTGACGCGGTTAGGATTAAAAAATAAAACCACAAGGGTGTGGCATGTACCAAGACACATTCAAGCCACATATACTCCGTATTAGATGAATGTATGTATGAATCAAGATCACCTCGGTTCATCTATATCTTGAAATATTATTATATCATCCTATTCGGTAGAATTGGTTGAATCGTTATACAGTAGGTTACTATTTTAATCCTCCGCCACAAGAGGCGCAGTACGTAATGAGATTGGTTTCAGGGTCATTGATTTCCATCCACATCACTTGGTTGACTGTGATCCATGACAAAACCTACCTAGGTAACTAGGTATTTTCTAATGATTAACTTCATGCTTCTTTCCATCCATTTCAAATGCAAAACTTCACAAGTGCGAATCAGTACACCGTCATGATTCACCGCCACTCTTGTGGCTCATTTCCCGACTCATAAGGCGACGACAAGCCTCCTTCAGAAGGCTTGGCTCGGCTGCACCGGCTGTAGAGTCTTGGCATTGGGACTGATCAGTTCCAACTGCGTAATTAGTACCTATATTGTATACGACTAGTTGCCGATGCAGTTAGTATCATCTGTGTCCTTTTCTGATTCGTCAATTGGTGGCGGAGTAGGGCTGACCCGACCCATCTGGGTCCATCGGATCGGCGCTTTATTGGACCTTGTGGAACACGACTCGTAACGTTCGGGTTATATGTTGAGGAACAATAATATGTTACTGCCATACCTGCGTTGTATATTGAACATATCCCGTAAAACTATGGATAGAACTCAATTTCAAGGCACATTATTCGTAGTAAGAGACAGTATAGTACAGCTCTGTAGTGAGGTGCCGAGGTTATGTATATATCGCTCACATATACTTCAACCCCTGGACCAAACTTCTGGTCCCAAATCTGCGGCGATCCGGTAAAGACTAATACGTTGTATGGTATACGGGGATCATGATACAAATTCCACCGTCAATGGAGTTGCGTTTTAATTGGTTCTCCAATGGTATCGCAGACTACGTACGGCTCTCATCGCCCCGGGTACCCAACAAAAACAATTCTTAAGTATCTCTTAGCTCCACCAGCCACGAGCCAAGACTCGGAAACTCGTCGGTGATCCGTGGTCCAACCGTATGGCGGAAGTCGACACCCTCAGCCACCTTTTCCATAGCTTCGATGGTGGGGCAGCACAGGCTGAGACAGAGCTTTCGGAGAATATGTAGCCCTTCTCGAGTGTTCCGCAGCTGGGTATAAGATCCCCTCGGTCCCCCGCTCATCAGTAGCTTTCTTCTCTTATCCATCACTACAAACCTTTTCCCGCTTCATCACCTTCTATCTACATACATTCACAATGGCTTGGGGCTGGGGTAAGTCAACTTTCCTCGATATGCATCATACATATCCCTTGCTGCCTGCATGCATGGCTCCGTCTCGATGTGCATAGCTTGCGCAACACCCGCTAATTGGATACGATCCGAGCAATACGAGCAATCATGCTGACTTACGAAAAATCAGACGAATCTGAGCAGGCTCACCGGCAGGTGTACAACGGTGAGCAGCACCACGAGGGCAAGTTCTCTCACGAATTCGCTGCCGGTGCCGCTTCCTTCGGTGCCATGAAGGCCTACGAGGACCACGAGCGCAAGAGCGGTAGGTTTGACCGTATGACATTGAATCTCATCGAACCATATTCTAATTGTTTTCTTTAATAGGCAAGCCCGTCAGCCACGCTTTCGCCAAGGAGCTCATCGCTGGCTTCGTCGGCGGCGAGATCGACAAGCTTGCCGAGACCAAGGGTATGGACTGGTTTGACAAGGAGAAGGCCAAACACCACGCGAAGAAGAACGCCGAGCACATGTACGAGGAGCGTTACGAGCGCGGCAACTACTAAGCCACTCGTTAGGCGATGAATGAATGACATTTGTTTTATGAAAAGCCCTGGCCTTCCGTATATACCACTGCAAGAAATATGAGTAAACCATCACAATCATGATCAACAAGGATGTACCGTGTACGGTCATCTTGAATGAGCGGTGAAGTAAGGCAAAGTCAAGCGGAGTCAGGCCCTATAAGGCGTAGAATATTGCAATCTTTATCAATTGGATGCCAAGGCTGACATGAAGGTCCAAGGTAGTATAAGACGTGGTCAAACATGCATGTTTCTGCCAGACGTACGTAGCCCTACGTATGTCGACGTCGCAAGACACCCGATTCCCGAAGGGAAATATGTGCCGAGCTAGGATAGGGATACCGGATGTTTTTCTGGGCCAGTAATCACCATGAGAAACCACCGAGCACATTCCTGCATTCCAAGGCTGTCGGAGCTTAGATAGGGAATTGACAGTTTTATGGTAATAGTACTGATTGTACATATGTACATTTGTATGATCATCATTTGGAATATCACCTTAAGTATATGTTGGGAAGTTGAAGTGATCGATAGTTAGAAAGAAAGATTAGCAGCCTTACATAGCAGTAGTTGCATGCGATTAAGTGCCCAAAGTAAATAAATTCCTTAAACGGTTGTAGTGGAACCCGATCTCCAAAAGGGTTTGTATGAATTGACCAATCACAGCACAGGGCTGACCAATAGTGGAGTGCCATCCTGATAATTCAGGCATCAATAGGTAATGAGCTCATACACGTGCCAAAAGTATAGGGTCAAAATGAAATTCGACTGAACTTTTAACATTTTTAAACCGCACATGTTCTGCATCGCAGGATTCTCTAGGGCTTGTTTTTTTAGGACGTTGCTTAGGTATTTTCTATATACTTGAATGTCCTTGGTACCTTTATCTCCTCCCAAACAGAGAGACCAGGTACTTTTCCAGATCTCGGCGCTTATCGTTCCTGGCTGCTAGTGGCGTTGAACTAACAACTTTCAAGGTTTTCGGGCCCTCGCACACTGTGAGTTTCGAATGTTACTACTTTGAGACTGCAATGACGGTTGTTCAGCATGAAATTTGCCAAGTTCGTCCTTCTTGACGTGTGACCTCCCGTGGACATTCCAGTGGCTGACTCAATTTAAAACAGAGAGCTGGAGCAGGAGCTCGTGCCTGAATGGCGGGCAAAGTATCTCGACTACAAAGTGAGTTTGGTGTTCTGCCACAACCGATGCATGATGACTTGCTGATCCCCTTGCATCTAGACCGGAAAAAAGAAAGTCAAAGCAATCACTCGGGCCCTCCAGAAATCCCACCGCAGTCCACGTATCCCATCCTATCGACAGTCCAACCCGCAAGCGCGCGGTGCTGCTCAGTTCGGTCTGACCCCGTCCAATACCGATAAACAACTCGATGCCAGTGAAGGAATCACCCCTGCATCGCCACTGAGAGGTGCGAGTCCGCCACCAGTCGCGCGATCCACCCCCATCCCAAAAACCGAACGACAACCACTGCGAACGCCCGGATCGCGATTCTCGGAAAATGTTGGTAGCTACGGGAGTATACTGGCGACTCCGCCCCAGCAACCCCGGAGGGGAGGGTCGGACACAGCCTCGTTCGAGTTGCCGGACCCAGCTCTCGACCCAGATGAGGACTATCTGCCACCCGCGGAAAATGCAGATCGACCGAGGACCGTTCGTACACCGTCGCCGGTGATGGATCGACGTGTTGTGAGCAACATGACCCCTTCGCCTTCGCAGCCCATGGACCCTTCGCCAGATCACAGACCCCAACTGGACCAACGCCCAAGCTACCAAAGCCCCATGAGTGGCTTGACAAAGGTTCCGTCGAGTAATCGGACATCGCAGCTGTTGCGGCGGGTCTTCACTGCGGAGGGAGAGCCTGGTGCGAAGCGATCGCAACTGGATTCTAGCGCCGGTGGCGAGGTCGACAAAAGACACGACGAGTTCTTCGAGTTCTTGGACAGCGAGTTACACAAAATTGATTCCTTCTACACGATGAAAGAGCAGGAGGCCACGGAGAAACTTCGGGTTCTTCGCCAGCAGCTACATGTCATGCGAGACCAGCGCATTCAGGAGGTTCTGACCTCAAAAAGGGCAGCCAAATCCGATAACGGGGATGGCCAACAACGACCGAATGGATTTGCCAAGCTCAATAGTAATCTGAAAGATACCATAGTTGGCAAGACCCGTTTTGGTAAAAATTCAGAGGCACTTGCGGAGATGGCTACTCCTGGGATGCCCGCGCAGGATCGCGAATTCATCGTCAATCGCAGGGACTTCATGCGTCGCCAGGAACCCCTGAACCAGGAAGTATCCTATCGCTCTGCTAAGCGCAAGCTCAAGCATGCATTGCAAGAGTTTTACCGTGGTGTGGAACTATTGAAGGGCTATGCTTACTTGAACCGAACTGCGTTTCGGAAGATCAACAAGAAATATGATAAAGCAGTTAACGCACGCCCGCCGCTGCGTTACATGTCAGAAAAAGTCAACAAGGCTTCTTTTGTTCAGAGTGAAGTTATTGAAAGCCTTATGACAGCGGTCGAAGATCTATATTCACGGTACTTTGAACGCGGGAATCGCAAAATTGCCGTTTCGAAGCTTCGACACACGATCAACAAATCGGGCGATTTCTCGCCCAACACCTTCCGCTCTGGTCTGTTGTTGATGGGCGGTACCTTGTTCTCTATCAAGGCTCTTGTTGATGCTTCGCACAATCTTCACACAGGTGAAGCCAGCGAACAAGTTAAGACTAGCTATCTGCTTCAGGTTGGTTTCCATAGCTCTCACGGCCATTCTCAACATTTTACTAAGTTGACTAGATATATGGTGGATACTTCCTCATCGTGTTTCACGTCTTGCTATTTTGCTTAGATTGCATGATCTGGACCAAGTCAAAGATCAATCATGCATTTGTGTTTGAGTACGATACCAGACACACCTTGGAGTGGCGTCAGTTACTTGAGGTATGAAGCGAAAGTCCATGTATTGACTCAGACGTTCTGACGGCAACTATAGATTCCCTCTTTCTTCTTTTTCTTGATGGGCCTCTTCATGTGGCTTAACTTCTCGTGGTATAACCACATGTACATCTACTGGCCTGTTGTCCTCATCGGCCTAACAGTCATCCTAATCTTCTTGCCGGCCCGAGTTCTGTACCACAGGAGCCGGAAATGGTTTGCTTTTTCGAATGTGAGTTATCGAACCTTTCATTTAGTCACTACCACATCCCTAACCTAAATAGTGGCGCCTATTGCTCGCTGGAATCTACCCCGTCGAGTTCCGTGACTTCTTCCTTGGCGACATGTACTGCTCTCAGACATATGCCATGGGTAACATCGAGCTCTTCTTCTGTCTATATGCCTCATACTGGGGCTACCCTCCCAAATGCAACTCTTCCCATTCCCGCCTACTGGGATTCTTCCAGTGTCTCCCCTCCGTTTGGCGAGCTTTCCAATGTATCCGCCGATATCTGGATACGAAGAACGCCTTCCCTCATCTTCTCAATTTGGGCAAGTACATATTCGGTGTCCTCTACTATGCTACTCTGAGTATGTACCGCATAGACCTCTACACCCGCTTCCAGGCTGCATTCATCACCTTCGCCCTGCTGAATGCAGTCTACACTTCTGTCTGGGATCTAATCATGGATTGGAGTCTGGGCAATCCCTACGCGAAGAACCCAATGCTCCGTGAAGTCCTTGGTTTCCGCCGCGTATGGATTTACTACGCCGCCATGTTCTTCGACGTGATCGTCCGCTTTAACTGGATCTTTTACGCAATTTTCATCACCAACATTCAACAATCCGCCCTCCTCAGCTTTATGATATCCGTCTCAGAAGTCTGCCGCCGCGGCGTGTGGTCCATCTTCCGTGTCGAAAACGAGCATTGCACGAACGTCCTCCTCTTTCGCGCTTCCCGTGATGTCCCTCTTCCCTACGACATCCCCACAGCGGCTCCTGCCCTCGACGGTTCGCCGGAAGATGTCCAGCTCCAAGAACAGCAGCAACAGGCCTCTACCCCCTTCATGTCGCCCGGCGACGTCGAGCACGGCACGCCCACTGGGTCGAGTCTGCGTTCTCGACACCGTCGCCCCTCTGTGGGTATCGGTCGAGTCGGTACGATCGTTGCCTCGGCGCATGCTCAGGATTTCGAGCGCAGGCGTCTGCCAACATACCTTTCCACTGCGAGTGTAGGACGGGATATGACAGGGGCTGATGATAGTACCGATGAAGACGACGAGGGTGATATAAGCACAGACGAAGACTCGGAGAATGACCACAGTCATCGTTCCAGACCGGTTTCTGAGCGGAGAGACCAGATGGGTCGCATTGTTGAGTGAGGTTAAGAAAGTTCCTACCCGCCTCAAATCCAGGGTACGGGCTGTCTATCGATTTCGGTTTTTTTATTATAGATATCTTGAGCGTGCTGCACATATCTTCTTATCTTGCTTTGAATAAATATTAATCTTGTCATTGGTTTCTTTTCCTTTTTCTTTCTCGGTCCACATTCGCCGAAGGCGAGATATCTCACAGAAGTATGTCTGGTGCTTTGTTAGGCAACTGTCTCGGAAAGCTATCCGCCGTTACGTGCCCTAGTGTGTGTCCTGCCCCTAAGCTACGTGTATGACGTATGCATGGCCCTAATGCACGGCCACACCCCTCCGTAGGTTCGCGTTTGACTGCGAAGATGGTCCTCAGGGCCCAAGCAAAGTCTATGTATTCGCGAAGTACCGGTTGGCAACTTTGATAGATAGATTTGCTGTTCTTCCTGAGAGAGGTCTTTGTGACTTATTGTTAAACGCAGAAGATATTCATAAAAGTGATTCGAATCGCAGGAAAGGGAGGAAAGAAGCCAATTCTACGACTAATGGTGGGTTCGCTCTGACAAGAAGATAACGACTTGGGTGCTATCTCGGCCACCACAATACTCATCATTTTCCCGATTCGTTCTCTCTCTTTCTCTTTCTCGTTCGTTCCTGACTTTCCCCTGCTTCTTTACTGTCTTCACCATTGCTTACAACTTTTCCACTTTCAGAAGAGCCTGAAATTCTTCCATATGCTCGTAAGATCCTTATTCCCACCGACTCACCACTCCAGTAAGCCCCGGTTGAAGTACCAAGCGCAACAAATGGTGCTGTGTGTTCACCTGCCAACCAGATACCTCTCTCTGGCATTCCATGTCTCAAGGCTCTGATGTCATCATCTAGCCGGAAGTTCGCTTCCCCTTCTTTAGGCTTCTCAGTCGTTTTGAAATTCATGTATGAACCATATCCCGCCAACTCATCATTCTGCCAATTTGTTGCCAAGGCAGCTCTGGGGCGGCAATTGGGATCACTGGGGCTGTAGTTTGGCAACAACACATAGTAGGGACGGAAGAAGTCGTCGATGACTTGAAAGTATTCCGATGAATCTGATGAGAGCGGTGTAATGAGCGATGTTATGTGGGTAGCGCAGGCCCCATATATACCGAACAATAGGGTTGGTTGAGCGTAGCTGCCAAAAATTTGAGGCGAAGAGAGCGAGTTCAATTCAACAGTCCATGATTTGGGGTTCTTCTCGAGCGAGTAAGTTGGATGTAGGAAATTTGCAAATGATTGGAATGCTGAGGCACATTTTGTTGATTTTTGTGCTGTTTCTGGCTCTGATAAAGCAAGTGGTTCCCAGAAAGCTTTGGGGAAAGTAATATAGACCTTCTCCAAGCGACTGTATGATGTGTTGTGGATGGCACGGGTAATCGACGGAGAGAGAGGAGGGGAAAATTTCGGATTTCCACGCTTTAGGGCTCCAAGAGGGATTGTGACGACAACATCATCGAATTCGAACGCATGCTCATCGTCTGTCTTTACGCGAACTTTTCGACATTCTTCTATACAGCTGGTGTTCTCGATACTCACTATCTTGGTGCGAAGCAAAATTTCCGCATTTTTCAATGCCTTGTCAGCCACACTATAAAGAATTTTTGCGTGACTGCTTGCGACAAAAAGATTGTCTGTCAATCCCATCAGTGATTTTCCAGAGGTAACGTCTTATCTCAAGATTGATCTTTCTGATATGAGAGCTATCAAGGACCATAAACCAATCCACTCACCTCCATCAAGGCATTCTTCAAGCCAGAAGTACTTCAAGCTTTGCCGCTCCAACGGGTCACCTATAAAAGCCCCCCACATCTCGGCCATCTGTAATACCAAGGTCTGATCCGCTTTGCTCAGTTCTCTTTCAACGACCTGCTCACTAAAAAAATCTTTCAAGCTTATCTCCGGTGAGATATTCAAGCTATTCTCATTGCTATACTTGAAGGCCTCCTTGATTATGTCCCACACCAGATCTGAAAGTTCATTGGCTCTTTCGTGGCTCAACAGTTCCCCGTTCTGGTCGAAGAAGCATGGATTATCTTCCACCTTAGAAACGATTGTTCCAGTCTTCTTCGCCACGTTCAAGAGAGGATTATTGAGGGTTCCATGAATCCAGCTTGGTCCTCTTCACTAGAAGTCAGCGCAATTTCAATTTAGATCAATATTAAAGAAAATAGCTTCACCTACATATCAACGGTATGACCAAGCAAATCCATTTGGTGAACCTGTGTACGTGTGTCAGCGATGCCATGACTCCACCCTATTCCTTGTTTAGTCCTCAACTTACACGCCCACCCAGCCTGTTCCGAGCTTCCAAGAGCGTAACTTGGAGGCCATGTTCGATCAAGATCTCTGCACACCGCAACCCTGCTAAACCTGCTCCGATGACTCCAACATGAATCACTCCATCTTTGACTTGGGGTAAGCTGCTAGAACCTTTCTTCATATCCCGTTCTTGAAATAATGGTTTAAAGTTACGGGAGCAGTAAGAAAGGTCCTGTTCCATCCAGGAGATTTGTCCAGGCTTCACATAGCTTTCTTTAGAATGGGCTTTGGACTCCATTGCAATCGCTATGCTGGTCGAACAATCGAATAAAACAAGGAAGAACTATGTGAGTTTAATTCACCTCTAATCTATAAAAATATCGCACGCTGGCCGAACTATGGAATATAAGGGGCGAGCGTATAAACAGCTTACTAAAAGATTGTCCTCGTTATTTTTAGCTTGACAGCCTTGATTCAGCTTTAGCCCTACTCATTGTGCTGGTTGGGTTTATTACTATAATTATGCCAACCGACGGGCGGGGTAAGGAAGCTAGGCTTAGCCTCCGTTAGCTCTTCGCTACTATTCGTTCGGATGGACTGGGAATGGCACAGGGGCAGCGTAATGTTGCTAAGATTATGATGGACAGGCAACTCTTCGAGTTACATCAACCTATTTTGGCGAACTTCTTGTTAGTCCGCTGTACGACGAGTTATAGGATCTGGATAACTGTAGATATTCTAACTATTGTCCACGATAGTCAGACTGATGCAGGCCCCCTTGCCGAGGAAGTGTAAGTCCCAACATGTTATGCAGTTGAATCAGCCATATGCATGATCGATCGGTAGAAGGTGCTTGAGCGCATCTTTCTATGCTCACCTCAACAAACATGGGCGCTTAAAATGCATTCTCGTTGGTTGTGGACATTTGAGGAATTTGGTGGCACTTCCTGATGTTACTTGAATCCGAATACATTGATTTATCTGTCTTCTTGAGCAAATGATATAGTTTTTTATCTAAAGGGGCGGGAAACTTCCGTAGAAGGACGATAAACAAGAGCGAAAGTGTCTCTTTGTACCTGAAAATATGAAACAAAGATTTAACCCGGTAAGAGAGAGGAAACTGATGTCGGAAACAAAGCATAGAGTACAGCAAGCCTATCCATGTGTTAAAAAGGACGGTACTACTACGTGACTGTCGAAACTTATCTTTTAGTACTTGACTGAATATATTAGCGCAATGGTAATATGCTGCGCTACCCCCCGCCTCGGTATCCTGCCTAGATAATTCCCGCTATTGTCTTTGAGCTTCGTAGCGGATCATGTTCGTAGATAATTCCTTCCTTTCTGTAGAATCTAAATTCGAGTCAACGTCGAGTTGCCCTTGCATATGTCATTCATTAACCTTATTTGATCACCAATCTTCTAGTGTTTCCTATCTCCCGAGCTTTGTTCCTAATGCTCTATAGAGTGCAGTCATAGTTTTGAATACCAAAAAAGCTGGTTTTCGTTACAACTATATGAATTGACGACTTAACTAGTACTTAAAAAAAGAAAACCGATGCCGAATGCAATGATGTTCGCGTGAAAAATTAACGGAGAGACCTGCCGCTCGGGAAGCCCTTACCGCGAACCGGATGCATGCCTGCCGATATCTTGCGAGGGAAAAAGTTCAGCAAAAATATATAAAACTGACGTAGCTTGGATCCAATTCAGGTTTCGTGTAATCTGCATCGATATAGATGATCGATTCCTATGTCATAACAAAAATGAACATGATTGATACAATTGATAGCATCAAATCCCGGAACTTGTCCCGTAGAACTTCCTCGGTGATCTGTCTATTTGTTTGCTCGCCTCCATTATAGCGCGGAAATTATACAACATAATGACATTTTCTTAAGCTTGAGTCGCAAAGAGCAGGGCGTTCAGTATTTCTCCGTGTCTCCCCATGGGGTACGTATGGAGGAGACGAGTATCCAGCCGTGTTGGCGAGCTCTACTCCACAACGTCTCCACGCGCTGATAACTGGGGTCATTAGCGGTCACTCCTTGCCCTGTTCATGGATGAGCGATGTTTCTTCCTGGTGGGTACTCTTCCTGCAGCTGATAACGCGATGAAATCACTCGAGTGCGAGGCATCTCGTAGAAACCCACAACCTGCAAACCCACTATTGGGTAGCTGGCGCCGGTGACGGCCCTTGTCTGCTATGTGTTAAATCGACTGGTGATCTGAGGTTTTGGTCAAAAGCCAGTGATACCCCGCCATAGGATCCGAGGGACTTAAGGTTTGCCTGCGTATTCGGCTTTTTCGTATAACTTTACCATTCAATACAGTAGAGGAAAGGCCGTGGGACTGAACCATGGAAATAGATCATGAATTGAAAAGCTCAGAAGCTCACAGCCTTAAAACCGGGATATATATGGTAGACGAAAGCCAAAAGACGCACAAACAAACAGAAAAGTCTTGGCCTCAGGTTAAAGCACTTAGTCCCTTCATAATTTTGACATTCTTCAGTTGAAAGAACTCCACGGCTTCGATTGAGAAGCATATACTTCCCAATCGGGCAGTGGATATTTCATTATATAAGCCCCCGGATATTTGCTTATCACACGTGACCGATCACATCACAGCGATCCAGGCTTCACTCTCATCTCTCTTTCATCATCGTTCATTCTTCAAGTACAGCCCGAAGCAGATACTTCACTAATATCCAGTATTAACATGGCTGCTAACGCCAGATACGAGCCCGCACCTCAGCGGGACTCATTTGAGGACTCGTCCTTCTCCCAGGCCCCTCCTTCATATCAGGCTACAGCGGAGCCAGCACCTCGCAGTGAAGGCGACAATCTGCCAGATGACTTCAAGGTATGTATCATTATGTCCCTGTTGGCCTAAGTGCAATAATGAATACTGACAAGATCGTATAGTTCGGAGGTACCGTCGCCGAAGGCACTATTGACATTAGGATGCAATTCGTTCGCAAGGTTTATTCAATTCTGTACGTGAATCCCGGACAACTAAACCGCATCAAGATGCGCAGAAATTGGGACCTTCAGCTAACACTCCATCGCTAGAACGGCCCAGCTCCTCCTCACCACTATTATGAGCTCCATCTCTTTCTTCAACGAACCATATCGCAAATGGATCCAAGGTCACCCGGTGGTGATGATAATATCCGTGTTCGGTGCACTTGGCTTCATGCTTGCGACTTTCTGGAAGCGCAAGTCTTACCCCGCCAATCTGCTTTTCCTATCCGGCTTCACTATTCTTGAGGCGTACTCGATCAGTGTGGCGACATCCTTCTATGAGACCAAAGTTGTTGTGCAAGCGCTAGTCCTGACGCTCGGAATCTTCGTCGCTTTGACCCTCTTCGCGTGCCAGACCAAATATGACTTCACCGACTGGATGCCATACCTGTTCGGCGCGTTGTGGTTCATGGTCCTCTTCGGATTTGTGACTATGTTCATTCCATTTGGCAGCACTGTTGAAATCATTTACGGTGTGCTTGGTGCGCTGATATTCTCAGGGTATATTCTCGTTGATACGCAACTTGTTATGCGACACTATCACGTCGAGGAGGAGATCGCCGCTTCCATCTCGCTGTATCTCGATGTGCTCAACCTCTTTATGTCCATTCTGCGCATCTTGAACGGTGCCAACAACAATAACTAAATGGATGTTAATCAAAGCTGCCAAGGCATGAAAGGAACATTTTCCCTCGCTGAATATCACGGGAACTTCTTAGGCAGGAGGTGGTTGCTGGACAAACGTGCTGTTGTGCTTTGGTGCTCTTCAGATCTGGATTCATATTCAAAGTTCTTAATCCCCCATCACCGGCCTGTATCCACAGTTATTGTACACTTTCCTTGTGCTTAAACTTTCGAACTCTTCCAATATTACTGTTGTGTTGTATTCACGGATGATTACCAAAAGCCATTTCTACAGTATACGGGATAATACATGAAACCTAGGGCGACTTACATCTCGTAGTTGATTCATGGTTTTATTCAGGGGTAAACCTCAACTGGAATTATTCAAATGCGAACTTTGAAGAAATGGAGATCATACTTGACAAATACAACCAGTATAGAATTTAGCAACCGAATCAAATAAATACAATATTCACAATCCTCCAAACTCCCAAGAATAAGCCCAAATGAAGCGCAGTCTAAGCCGTATGATGCAACACCCGATAGGATGAAAACACCACAGCAAAAGTCTAGAGTCATGCGAAAATAGCAAGAAATATGCACAGTGAGATATACCTGATGTACAGGCAAAAGAAAGGAGTGGGTCCTTCATAATATATGACAGGCTCAGAGATCAAATAAGATCACACTCAGGCGCACAAAAGAAAGTAATAAGAGTGCCGTGTAGGGAGAGAAAACGCCTTTTAATGCGAGGCTTTGAAGAAGGTATTCGTAATCAGACACACTACCATCACGAGAAGGCCGTAAATAGCTAATGCAAGACTCAGGCGGCGCAGGATGGCTTTGCGCCAGTGGCGGTTACCGCGGAGCAGGAGGCCGCTTTCAGTTAAAGAACGGGCGAGGGAGCCCTCGCCATCATCTCCGTTGTCTTCATCTGAAAGATCGTCATCGACCTCGTCATCCTCTTTCAATAGACCACGGTGGGTTGGCGAATCTGGGGAAGAGATCTTGTAGTAAAATAAGCCAGGGAGAATGAAGCTGATGCTCGTGCTGCCGGTGCTACCAACGTAGGCCAGAACAGCTTCGAGGGATGACACGGTCATGGCAACAAGGTAACTGAGGATCAGGATGGTAGTCGTGATGACGGAGAAGCGAAGGTCGCTCATTGGCTCTGGTGTGCGATTACCGCGTGGGCCCAAAAGCGGGTGGCGGTGGGGGGAGCTTTCCGTGCCGCTTGGTTGAGGTCTGGGACGCCATTTCAGGACAGCGTCGACTGATGCCCGGCATGGGTGGCATTGGAGCGGGTAGGAGAAGACCACAAGCATGACAATTGCGGCGCGTCCAATGGTCGCGTAAAGTCCAGGTGGATACATGCCGACGATATTTCCGCCGACTTTGTTGCCAAAGGATAAATATCCAGTGATGGCAACGAGAATATAGGTTGCAGCAGCGCTACCTGTGCTCGCAAAGACCACAGCAGTGGTGCGGAAGTGGCTGTTGTTGGCAATTTCGTTGAGAATGGAGAACATCTGATATTGTTGTTAGGTGGGGGCAGAGTTGTGACAGGTCCCAAACATACGTTTTGATGGCAAGTAAATGCAAATACAATCACTGGTAGACTGCTGAGAGTTGGAATTGGGCCAGCCCAATGACCCACGCGAATGGGGCCTCGGTCTTCCATTGTATCTCCCTGAATAAAATGATACACGACCAAGACAACCAAATAGGCCATGGAGACCAAAGCCGCAATACTAGTATATTTCAAAGAGTCTAATCGGCGAAGGTAGGAAAGAGGTATCACGATCAACCTTGAAATGGTCAGCAGGTTCCTTTCAATCTGTACATTTCAATCGACTCACATGAAAGCTGTAACCCAAAAGTGACGGTCCACCAGAAAGTCATATCCTGGCTCGCTGCCGACAAATCCCTGTACTACCCCAGGCATGAGATCTCCTATGATAATGAGATAGCTCACGCCGACTCCGAAACATTTGATCGCAATTGCACCGTCAAAAACGACAGCTGCGTTGGGGTATGTCAACTGCGATAGCGCAAAGAAGGAAGCACTCCCTCGATCGAGGTATTGTGCGCATAGTGATTGTAGATAGAGACCGAATCCTGCGGTCATTCCAGACCATAAGACCACGCAAACGCCAAGGGCGATTCCCATGTGCGAAATGGCTAGGGGCATCGCAAGCACGCCAGCGCCGATAATGGTATTCACCAAGTTGATCACGCTACTGGTCCAGCTTGCTTCACCCACGACGTCTCCAGCTCGTTTTCGCCCGGTACGCCTTCGTCCATGTTGTCCAGATGGACCAACCCCGATAGTCGCCTCGTCCATTTGATTTATCTTGCAAATCGCTCTTATCGGTCGAATGTAATGGGCGCACAACACATAGCGACCGCTACCAGCGGAGGGGCCGGGGAATTAGGAAGAAATTAAAAAAGAAAGAATTGGTTAAGATTGAAAGAGGGAGAGCGAGAGCGAGAGAAAGGTAGAGACTAGAGACAAGAGAGGAGTAGAGGGAAAAAGGTCTCTTATCGATTAGCACATGACCGGCTCTTCCCCGAAGACTTGAGACCCTTGTTGCCTAGAATTTTCCCTTTCTCTCTATTCGTTTAATGGAATCACTTTACGGAATATTAATTACAATCCATTACAACAATTGTGCTATTGTTATTGCATATTCTCCAATTCTCATGCATATGGCGTGACAAATCTATGACTACAACTTGGGCAAACCCCAACCCTTCTGCGTCATCTGTTGATAACTCTCTTCCTCTGCGGTTCGATGCACGGAGGCTGTATTCCCAGGCCGATTCCCAGGGCCTGAATCATTGAATTGATTCACAGCCCGTACTGTCTTTGAACATTCCAGAATCGTACCTCCAGACACCTTGTACAATGGACCCCGACCCGACCGGTCTCCAATGATTTCGCTCACTTCTTCCTGTCGAACAAGCGCCAACATCACTTCTGCCACTTCTTCCGGAGTTACCCACACATCGGTGGTATCATCAATTAGTTTGAGTTTCTCGGGATGATCGGTCCAAAGCGGTGTTTTGATCACACCAGGAGCTACGGCTGTGACTCGGATGCCAAGCTTCTGATCGAGGGCGCCCAGCGACCGAACCAGACCGTTGATGGCATGCTTCGTAGCGTTATAGATTGGCGCTGTGAGATTTGTAATTTGGCCAGCGATACTGGAAATGTGGAGGAGGTGCTTGCGTCGACCGCTGGTACGGTTCTTCAAGAAGTATGCAATAGCCAGCTGCGAAGTGCGAATCGGATGCGTAATATTAATGTCAATCAAAGCATATCGACCGCCAGAGGGTGAATCCCTGCTCTCAGTTGAGTGAGGAGGACGCCAAAAGTTGGACCAGTGCTGTAATCGCAAATGGAGTTAGAATAATGTGTAGTTTCGCTGTTTTAATACTCTTACCGGTTCGTAGATTCCAGCGCCCGGGCACACAATATCGATCTCACCAAACTCCTTCTCTGCAACTTCGAACATCCGCTCAAGCTGAGCCCAGTCAACCACGTTGGTCTCTTGAAATACGATTCGCGCAGGACCAGTCTTGTGCTTATCAGCCAGCACTTGCGCCTCAGGACGCAAGGCTAGGTCAGCGATCAATACGTTGCATCCATTTTCCACCAGCAATTTAGCGAAACAGAGGTTGATGCCTGAAATTGTGAGTATGTGGACTGCTATGCAGTGGGGGGGGGGGGGCCTACCAGAGCCAGCTCCAGTTACTATAGCAGATTTGCCTTGGATGGAGTTGATTGAAAGGGCCATAATGAAGATATCACTGTTTTAACAAGCGGTCGCACAGACTTGACCCTGGAAGGGGTTCTACGCTCTTTTATGCAGACTGTGGACCACATGGAACATTTGCAGCGCGTACAATAGCCGTTTATAGAGCTCGCGGGGTAAATTTGGACATTTGACCGTCCGGGCGAGAGGTAAGTGGACCGAGGCCGGCGAGATGCCCGAGAATTGTATTCTGCATGTTTGTATACATTTGATGAGTCTAGATGTGTCTATTGAGGAATGTCATATTTCCTTTGCATGCATATTCTCTTGCCTGCAGTGCCTATCCTCCAATGGGTATTTTTGGTGGCAATTTGTATGGATTACAACGTGCAGCTACTAGTTACAATAGTATATAGATGCCAACCCAGATCTAGTAGGATGCTAGGCTAGGGCTCGGTACGCTTGCCTCTTCGGTAAAGATATTGATGTGGACAATTAATTGGGTATAGAGTACAATCGCCCTTCAAGAAGGTAGTGGAATCATGCGCTTCATGTCTCATCTGTCTGCGTTATACATGGGTATGTAATCATCCGGTTAGAAGCGTACGTCCATACCTTTCAAAGCATAGTCTCGCCTTGTATACCGCATCTGGTGCGTACATTGTGCAGTCTCCAACTTAGCTTTTACTTATGCAGTAGATTTTCTTCAGATCCAAATTATAAGCTTGCCGTGTTGCCGAGATTGGGGCGAAAATAAACTTCTTCAAATTCCACATTGTATGCATTTGATGATGAAATTATACAAAATTGTACTTTGATGCATTGAATATGTATCGTGATGTCATGAGAGCAGTCGGATAGACCTCCTAATATAGTAATTCCTTGGCATATCATCCTTTTCCGACTGCGGCTCGACTACTATTTGGGGAAAGTTTCCGCCTCTGCATGTACGCTTTCCCCACGAATTCACATATATAACCGCTGCTGATCCCCGCAAAGTAAATTGACACAACTCTAGGCTCATTCCAATCATGTCCATGTCAAAGTTTCTTTCAAAATCTGCTATCCGGGCAGCATCTACCTCGGCCCAAACAACCAAGGCCGCTGGCGATATCTCATCGGTCTTTCCCAGCTTGAGACCTGACTATAAGCCTGAACCTCTTCCTGCTCGGTTTCAGGAATTGAAGGCTTCCATCTTTGAGAAGAACAAAGATGCCTTGACAAGGAGCTGGGAGCGACTGCTCCCTAGCTTGGATCAAGAAGTACAAAAGATCAAAGCTCTAGGTAGCGATGTATGTGATTCGGAAATTGATACACCCTGAAGCAACGTATTAACCCGCAAATAGATCATTCCCTCAATTGAGTATTCCGATGTGGTATCTGGTAAGGTCTCCGAAGCGGCTTTAAAGGAGATCCGTCATCGTGGCAGTGTGGTTGTACGCAATGTGATCAACCAAGACCAAGCCCTAGAATACAAGCAGCGGATCCGCGACTATGTGGCCGCCAACAAGGAGCGCGTGAAGGCTTTCCCGGCTGATTCTCCAGCTGTATATGAACTCTACTGGACTCCATCACAGGCAGAAGCCCGTGGCCACGAGAACATGCTTACCACCCAGCGCTTCATGCAGCAGTTGTGGCATTCATCAGACCCCAACAGCAAGATCTCAACTTCACACCCACTTACCTACGGAGACCGCTTGCGTATTCGCGATCCCGGTGATTCAAAGTTCACTCTTGGTCCCCACGTTGATGGCGGTTCTCTGGAGCGCTGGGAGGATCCCGAGTACGCCCGAGTCTACACTAAAATCCTGGAGGGTAAATGGGAGCAATACGATGCATGGGATGCACGACACCGCTTGACAGCCAACATGGATCTCTACAATGGCGCTGGAGCCTGTTCTATGTTGCGCTTTTTCCAGGCTTGGCTCTCTATGTCCCACACAAAACCCGGTGAAGGCTCCCTGCACGTTTGTCCTATGATCAACCATAGCACGGCGTACACCATCCTGCGCCCCTTCTTCGAGACTGAGGGGTCAAAACCTCTCTTGGACGCCAGCTTCCCAGGTTCCGTACCTGGCGCTTGTCAAGAGTACAATCCTGTTACACACCCGCATCTTGACCTTGAGACGACGATGGTCTCGGTGCCGGAAGTTGCTCCTGGTGACTTTGTCGCGTGGCACTGTGATGCTCTGCATTCTGTGGATAAGGAACACCGCGGTAAACAGGACTCCAGTGTCCTGTACATTCCTGCTACCCCGCTGTGCGACATGAACGTCAACTACCTTATCAAACAGCGCCAAGCTGCGGAGAGCGGTTCGCCCCCTTGGGATTTCCCCGGTGCGGGTGGGCCAGGTGAATCGGGATTCAAGGGTGCTATGGATTGGTCTTCGCTGAGCCCGGAAGGTCAGCGTGCTATGGGTATGGGTAACACACCCTGGGAGATCACCGATGGCATGAGCGAGGGTGAAAAAGAAGCTATTCGGTCGGCTAACAAGGCTTGCTTCGGGGTGTAAGCTCAGCTCATGATTTTTTGATATTTTTTTTTTCAACCTGTACATTACCTGCATTACTGGGAAAGGGGCAAAATTGCATTATACACATTATCTCATCATTTTGACCTCTCGGTGGTAATTAATGGAAATCAATAGTTCACGATCTAGATCCCGGGTCCGGAAGCTGCAAGATCCGCAATTATTATTGGCGCATCGAATTGACTCGCATTTCCTAAAAATGAGCTCCAATTCAGCTCTTTGTCTTGCCCCGCATTCGATCAATCCGGTTGCAAATCAGGTACACACAACTCTGGTGTTTCCAACATAAACATGGAACAGGTATGGCCAGCCATGTAAGGTCGAAGGAGACGACATGACCTACAACGGATATCAACATTCGCATATGAAAGAGGGGCAATACAAACTCAATCCTTAACAGGGCAAGACTGGATCGACGGGCGAATGAAAAAGCAGTTCTCATGGCGTGATTCGGCTTAGCTTCATTTGCAAGAGAAAAAAAATCTGATCCTAATCAGAAAGGTTAAGGGTCATGGACCAACGAGGCCCCGGGGCAGCGGAAATGTGGCTCATTGTCCCACGAGGGCAATCACTAGCGAACAAATAAGCAAATGTCTAGTGAGCTCCTATGCTAGCCGTTCATGCTACCTTCTCCATGCTCTAATCATTGGCTACTAGTGTCGTTTGGATGTTGTCATATGAGGGGTTTGGAGGGGGAGATCCTGTTCTCTTCAATTTGAATAATTATAAATAGGCCGCTCTGTTTCTGGTTTTGTACTTCACATCAATCTTCCTTGTCTTCTTCCAATATCCTACATACAATTCTATATACCATCCATCATGTCTTACCGCAACGAGTCCGAGTCTGATAACTACGGCAGTGGAAACCAGAGCTCCGGCTTTGGTGGAAACGATAGCTATGGAAGCGGCAACAACAGCTCTCGTCGTAACCAAGATAGCTACGGCAGCAACAACGACAACTACGGTAGCCGCAATGACAACACCTATGGCAGTGACAATAGGTCGAGCTCCGGCCGTGATCAAGATAGCTACGGCAGCAGCAACAACAACACTGACAGCTACGGTAGCAGCAACAAGGATAGCTATGGCAGCAGCAACAACACCGACAGCTACGGAAGTGGCAATAAGGATAGCTACGGCAGCAGCAACAACGATAGCTACGGTAGCGGCAATAAGTCGAGCTCTGGTCGTGACCAGGATAGCTATGGCAGCAGCAACAACAACACTGACAGCTACGGTAGCAGCAACAAGGATAGCTATGGCAGCAGCAACAACAATACCGACAGCTACGGTAGCAGCAACAAGGATAGCTATGGCAGCAGCAACAACAACACCGACAGCTACGGTAGCAGCAACAAGGATAGCTATGGCAGCAGCAACAACAACACCGACAGCTACGGAAGTGGCAATAAGGATAGCTACGGCAGCAGCAACAACGATAGCTACGGAAGTGGCAGCAAGTCGAGCTCTGGTCGTGACCAGGATAGCTATGGCAGCAGCAACAACAACACCGACAGCTACGGTAGCAGCAACAACACCGACAGCTATGGTAGTGGCAACAAATCTAGCTATGGCCGCGACCAGGATAGCTACGGCAGCAGCAACAACGACAGCTACGGCAGCAGCAACAACGATAGCTACAGTAGCGGCAACAACAACGACAGCTACGGAAGTGGCAACAAGTCGAGCTCTAGCCGCAACCAGGATAGCTATGGTAGCAGCAACAATGATAGCAACTCTTCCAGTGGTGGTCTGGGCAAGAAGATCTTGGACAAGGCTGGAGGTTCGTATTCTCAATCGCACTGCAATGTTCAAATACACAATGCTAACAAGTAAATCATTTAGATCTTCTCAACAAGGGCCATGGCTCCAACTCCAATGACTACTGAGTCAATTCTATCTCGTTTGGATGTAATTTTGTGGACACATATAACAAGAATGTCGGTTTATGTGCTGTCTTTTACAAGCCTGTTGAGTACACAGTCAGAGGTCAACAAGTACCTACGCATATATCATATGAACCTTGAAAACCTACAAATTTAGGCACATCGAATCCGACATTTGCAGCTTTGGTCTATTTCAGTAATCGGCATCTTGGCTAGGTGCCTCTAGAGCTCTTGTCAGTCAGCAGTCAATGGTATATGCGCCAACAATATATATAAATGGTTTCTCATCCACGCTCCATGGCCATATTCTAGGAAATGTTGATGTACCGAGTCCCGGCAAATGTTTTCGAAGGGCACGATTCGCATTGAGGTAATGTAAAACAAGTAGATAAGCAACGATCTCAATGAACAAGATGGAAACAGTCAATGGATTCTGATAGGTGAAGGTTGCAATGATACCGAAATGCAGTTCGATTTTCAATGATATTATATATTCCAAGGCCACGGATCTATCTATCTATACATATAGTGTGCTGATGATATGGACCTTTTGCCACGTTTCAAGTTAACACATTGCAATATCATATGAATTGAAGTGAATGGATACAGATGACACCCCTGTACCTACGTATATATGTAGTCAGATCAATGATTTACGTATAGCACATAGGATTTAATTTGGCTGTTGCACCTAGGAATGTAGTAGGGAAACACGATGCTTCAGTAGTCATCTCAAAAGCGATATGCCAGAAGAAGATAGATTGGATGAATCTAAATGTCCAAATTAATTGAGCCAATTCTTGGCCCGATATCTACTTTCGAAAAAGGTTGGTGGATGTAGAAGTACGAACACATAGCTTTACTTTGTGGAAGTGGATGAGGCTTATCACCGCCCGGATTCCGCTAAGTTCGTATTGACAATGAGTCCACGCCATCGCTCCTCCACCAACTCGACCTTCAATGCTTCAATAAGAGTGATAATAATGCGGCTTCAGGCAGCGCTCCTCTTCGCCGCGTGCCTATCGCCCGCGGCGGCCATTTACTCGGATGAAGTCAACCACGTTGACTTCCATCACGCTCTCCTCGGTACCCCCTCGCCAGACTCGACCTTCTTCCTTAAGCCATCATCAAATTCAAATGCCTCTCTCCTATATACATTATCAGACAAGCTACTCGTGGGTGCTGTGAACCCCCGGGATGGTGCGCTGGTATGGCGCCAGAACCTCTCGCGGTCGACGGATTCTCCTGCCCGCGGGGCGGGTCTCTTGCGCGGATTGGATGGCAACGATGCCCTTGTTGGTGCAGCAGGCAGCTATATCTCATCTTGGAGTGCCCAGGATGGCAAGTTGGGATGGGAAAAACGGTTCCCCGAGGGCGTGGTCGCAGATCTTGAGCTATTGGAGCTTGAGGACGCTACCGCGACTTCCGGGGTAAGAGATACCATCGCAGTCGTTGCTAACAAGGGTACTGGACTAGTCAGACGGCTGGATGGTAGCACTGGAAAGACTCTATGGGAACACAAGGATACTAGGTTAGTTCTACGGTTGAACGAACTGTTGTCACAAAGCTAATGCTCTCTTTCGCAGCGGTGATGTTCCTTTCCAAGTGTCATCCTCCTCCACGGAAGTCTTCTACATTTCACTCCAGTCGGCTATGCTGAAGGGCAACAAGATCAAGGTTACTGTGTTGGATCCATTGACTGGTCAACAAATTCGTCAACTAGTCTTGAATTCCGAGACCGACGTGGCTATACCCGAGTCCATCCTCTATGTAGGCGCCAATTCTGCTTCCCCCATCATCGCTTGGACAGACAAATCGCAAAAGAACTTGAAGATCAATGTTATCGGCACCAAGGAGGTCAACACTATCGCCATTGAAAATACCTCCGGCTTGGATATCCAACAAATTACCATCAACGCCCCGACCAAGCTTAAATGTTTGCCCCATTTCTTGGTTCACTATGCAACCGATGTTGGTGCCTGGGCTGAGGTCTATCACGTGGATTTGAAATCCTCTAAGGTCACCAATGCCTATCGGTTGCCCTACTTGCCCGGACATTCAGTATTTGCGACCAGCGTGATTGACGCTAATGTCTATTTCACTCGAGTTACAGAATCGGAAGCCATCGTCATATCCTCCGCCTCCCACGGAGTTCTGGGACGTTGGAACTTGCAGACTCCTTCTTCTGAGATTGCCTTGCACTCGGTGTCTGAGGTCGTCGCCAAAGGAAAATCCTGGGCTGTCAGATCGGCGCTTCTCCGAGAGCACGGAGATTGGCAGCTCATCCGCAATGGCCAAATCGAGTGGACCCGACATGAAGGTCTAATCGACGCTGTCGCTGCCACTTGGGCGGAGACTGACGCCCAGGAGGACCTGGCCCATGAGTTGGAGGTCGAGGGCCACGAAACCTTGTACGGCGCTTACCTGCACCGTGTGAAGCGCCATGTTCGCGACTTGCAGCATCTGCCTGATTGGCTGAAGGATCTGCCCAAGCGTATCCTGAGCAGTATTCTAACTGATGAGGTGTCCAACTTGAACAGCTTTGGAGTCGCCAAACCAGTTATTGTTGCCACCAAGAATGGCCGAGTCCACGCTTTGGACACAGGCAACCACGGTGCTGTTTTGTGGAGCGTCAAGGTCGCGGATACTACGCAGTGGGATGTCAAGGCGATCTTGAGTTCTGCCGGAGTCGTGACTATCTATCCCAGCGATGGAAGCTCCGTGACTTTGGACGTCTCAACTGGAGAGGTCGTTACGCGCACTAAGCCAACCAGCAACAAAATTCACTCTCTTGCTGTGTTTGAGGCTCATGATAGCAGCTCGCTGGCCACCGTCGGTGTCGGTGCAGACGGCGCCCCGGTCACTGCACTCGCAAACGAAGATGGATTCTTGGTTACAACCAGCGTGGATGGTCGAGTGCTTGGTTGGACCACCAAAGACACCGAGTCGCCCGTTTGGGAGTTTGTGCCTCCCAATGGAGAAAAGGTGGTTGAAGCTACCGCTCGCCCTGCGCATGATCCCGTTGCCTCCATCGGTAAAGTTCTTGGAAATCGCTCGGTTTTGTACAAATACCTTAACCCCAACCTCGCTCTGGTAACCGCTGTGAACAAAAAGACGAACACTGCCAGCTTCTATCTTTTGGACGGAGTCTCCGGCAAGGTGCTGCATGCAACCACACAAGCTGGTGTGGATTCTACGCAGCCCATAACCTCTGTGATATCCGAGAACTGGTTCGCCTACTCATTCTGGGGCGACGTTGCCGCCGATGAGTCCTCCGCCAAGGGCTACCAATTGATTATCTCGGAGCTCTATGAGTCGCCATTGCCCAATGACCGAGGCACCCTCGATGCTGCCAGCAACTACTCCAGCGTTGACACCCTTCCATTGCCCCATGTCGTCTCCCAAGCATTTATGATCCCCGAACCTATCTCCCAGATGGCCGTCACGCAAACTCGCCAAGGCATCACCACCCGTCAACTTCTCTGTACTCTCCCGTCCTCTAACTCCATCATCGGCATCCCTCGCCCTGTCCTTGATCCCCGTCGCCCCGTTGATCGCGACCCTACTGCCGCCGAGGCTGAAGAAGGCTTGTTCCGCTACGCGCCTTTCCTTGAATTTGATGGAAAATGGTACCTCTCACATTCTCGTGACGTCGCTGGCATCAAGGAGGTTCTGTCCCGTTCTACTTTGTTGGAAAGCACCAGCCTTATTTTCGCCTATGGAAGCGATATCTATGGCACTCGAGCAACTCCTAGTCAGGCATTCGATATTCTTGGCAAGAGTTTCTCCAAGCTCCAACTTGTTCTCACCGTGGTGGCACTGGGAGTGGGTGTCGCCATTTTGGCTCCGATGGTATGTTTGAGGCCCATTTCTGTTTATGAAAAGACGATTTTGAGTGCATTTGCTAATGTTTTTTTTATATTTAGACTCGGAGAAAGCAAGTTAATGCCTTGTGGAAGGCATAGATCTTTATGGCTCATATCCTATTCTCAGCATGTGCTTTAGTTTGTAATACATACCTGTTGATTGAACCATTCTCTGTATCGTGTTAAATGCCACTTACATATCATTTTTAACTTGTAGGTCACTAAGGGATTCACTGATTAGTCAACTGCTGGTAGGTTATCTGTCTAACAGACGATACTATAACTAACTTTCATGCTAAGAGTAACTCAACCGAGTACGGAGGCCCACGAGCATTTTAAATATATTATCCACAAAATTTTTATAGGCAATCGATCCTAAAGGGAGCATTGAAGGTTATATGCGACTGATAACTAGTCAACTATGTACAATATGTACATATGCACTCTGTACCTGTGTCTATGATGTATTTTTGAGATGTTCTGCCTTAAATACGAGGCACCGAAATTATATTCTTGACTTCGACCTTACTCGGTCTTTTGCGGACTGCCTCCTATTATCACAATTCGTTGTTACAAACAGTTTCCCTTTGTTAGCCTTTATTGTTGGGATTGTCTTCAATTTATCCGAATCTCCCAATTCTTACCTTCATCTCCACTCTCCAGCGCATACCCAGAATCTTTCTACATTCAGAAGGCGGTGAGCACCCCGAGGCCAAATGACCCTCATAACAAAGAGAAATGAAGGCACTTGCATCTTCAAACTTTCCTCAAATCATTGCTTGACTTTGCGCCTCTCCTCTGATCCCTATCCTCAGGAGCACCTCGCCCACAGGCTGAAATAGCGTGGAACGTGGTTGTCGAAGGGGACTTGGATCGCTTACGGCGGATACGATTTACCGGGGTCAGGAGAAACCCAAGCTCATACCCTAAGCGACTCCGAGCTTCACATCCGACATTTTCACTCTTTTAACCCTCCGAGCCTCGACTTGTCCAAGGTGTTCATGTCTTGGCAATCTCCGTCTGCCATGGCTGGGATCGGAGGAATGTCCGGCGCCATGGATGGGTCAAACGGTCCGCAGGGCACGGAATACACGCTGCAAGGTGAGTGTAACTATCGGCGATCTATTAAATGAAGCTGATCAACGATTGTACCCAGGCGTGATGCGCTTCCTACAGACCGAATGGCACCGCCATGAGCGCGACCGCAACGCATGGGAGATCGAACGTGCCGAGATGAAGTCCCGCATTGGCCGATTGGAGGGCGACCTTCGTACAAGCAAGCGTCTACACGAGTCTCTCGGAAAGCATGTGAGGCTAATGGAGACTGCACTCAAACGGGAAAGGGAGAAGGTCAAGAAGCTCTCCAACAATGAAGTTATTGAGGATATCAATGACCCTAAGGAGGTCGCGCGTGACAGTATCAACTTCCTGAAAGGTATTTGACTCTCAATTGTATTCGCAAATGCGATTTCGTTGTACTAACTAACTTGTCTACCAGCGCAACGTTCCAAACCGAGCACGGACTCCGAAAATGAACAGGACCCCGACAACGAAACCCACCGGGATGGTCATCTTGACGACGGCCGAGAGAAGGTTCGCGGATTCCTGACCAAGGCCTCTCACGAGATTTCCTATCATGTCATACCTGCCTCTCACCCTCCACCCGAACTCAACGACTCCGAAATCTCAGGCCATCTCTATGGCAATTCACAGCTGTCTCAACAAAACTTGGAGGAGGCTTACCTCCAGCAGCAACGTCAGAAGGCAAACCAGGCTATGGCGCGCGAAATGGCGTTGCAGAACCACCAGCCTGTTGCAAACCACTACTCGGCCGCCAATGATATGGCTCGAGCCCACAATCAGTATCCTCCTCGGGATGCGATGGACCGACGCTCGCTTGAGTCACAGAAAGCGCCCGTCACGGTAATGGATAATAGGAATCAACAATACGACCAGGGCTTAGTCGATGATCGACAAAACCAGACATACCAGGGGAATCAGGCAGTTAAAGAAGATCTCAACCCGCAGAACCCAACTGTGGAGAAAACGGAGGATGTGGATGGGTGGAATTTTGACGAGCCAGCAGAGCAGGAACAAATTTCGGACCCCATTCCGCCTCATCGCCCGGATACTGATGCGTTCCCGAATGCCAATTTTGTACGCTCCGAGTCGTCGGCTAAGGGTGGATCTCTTCCACATCGAAGGAAGAGCTCCGGATCAAGACGCAAGAGCGATGGTGCAATTGATTCCCGGGAAGGAGCCTCGGCTTTGACTCAACAGCAAGATACCAATTTCAAAGTCAGGTTTGCCCTGCGTGGTCATTTGGACGTGATTCGGTCTGTTATCTTCACTGGTGGCGGAAGCCCGTCAGAGCCCGAGATTTGTACTTGCAGTGACGATGGGACTATCAAGCGATGGATCATCCCAGCTACTTATGGTGGTTTTGGACCCCACGGGCCCGGTTCTAGCAACGATTTGGACATCACGAGCTACTTTACTCACCGCGGACATGAAGGTGCCGTGACCTCTTTGGCTGCCTGTTCGCCCTCTCAGAACATTTCCAATGGCGGACGTGTGTTGGGTGATGGGTGGGTGTTCTCAGGTGGCCAAGATTCTAGCGTCCGCGTATGGGAACGTGGGCGTGTTGATCCGAAGGCTACTTTGGACGGACATACAGATGCAGTTTGGGGACTTTGTGTGCTTCCAGGTACTGTGGGTTCTGTTTTCGGCGACAATAGCAGCCACTACGGTGGATCGGATCGTATTCTTCTGGCCTCTGGAGCAGCAGACGGCCGTATCTTAATCTGGGCTGTCAGCGCCCCTCCTCAAGTCGCCTCACCCCCCGGTGGATCGCGTCGTCAAGGCGGAAGCCGGCGAGCGAACTCAATATCCTCTGGGTCCAACTTCCCATCTTCTCCACAGCCTAGTGTGGCCACAACTACGCCCTTCAACTACACCCTTATCCACCACATCGTTCGCACCGATTCTCCTTCACCAACATGCATTAGCCCGTTATCTCTTGCAGGCGTCAATTTCGTCGTTTCCTACTCTGATGCATCTATCTTTGTCTATGACACCCGAACTGGTGAGGAAATCGCTGGCATGGCCAGTCTTGAGACCTATGATGGCACGCCATCCACTGGAGTGAACTCTGTTGTTGCCACCACGCTTGGGTTTGATGGGACAGCCAATCTGGATCCCAACCGCGCAACCACCGAAGAGGAGGTTGTTCATGGAGCCACTGGGTCGAGTAACGTGGAGGGCGTCATCATCAGTGGCTATGAGGACCGATACATTCGCTTCTTCGATGCCAATAGTGGTATGTATCATTCATCCTTCAATATCAATCCCTCTTCATTACGCTGACTTTCAATCCAGGACAATGTACGTACACCATGCTCGCACACCCCGCTGCCATAGCCTCATTGTCATTATCCCCCGACGGACGTGAGCTTGTATCAGCCGGCCACGATGCAAGCTTGCGATTCTGGAACCTCGAGAAACGCAGCTGTACCCAAGAGTTGACCAGTCACCGATTGATGCGCGGCGAAGGTGTGTGTGCTGTGGTATGGAGCCGTGATGGCCGCTGGGTTGTTGGCGGCGGCGGGGACGGTGTTGTTAAGGTCTTCTCCCGATGATTGAACGACGAGATGAAACCCATGTATGATTCTTACTGTGTTATACCTGTGTGTGCTTTTCTTCGCGTTGGCTCTGCCTCTTTGCTTTTTGTATGATCCCATGAACCGGATGAGCGATTGGCCGGACCAGTTCTTTCGAGCATTTACAATGGTGTTCTATCAAGCTGCCTGGCATATCATACTCTTCTTACGTGATTTTCCTTTTCCCTCTTCAACATGTGTACTTTTTACTTCTCTGATAACATGCCGTTTGAGAAAGATTCCCTGGCATGCGTGGGTGTTTTGTCTTTTCGACTGTTTCGCTACATGTTCAATTTCTTTTGAACTGGAACTTTTCTTGTCTGATGTCGTTCTACTAGTTCTGATTATGGATTTTTTTTTGAGCCTCAAGTAACACTGCCTAATAGGCGTTCATATGATGCGACTTTTGTGGGTAGATCCTCCGGTGTGGATGTTATTTCCTTCAGCCTCGGTACGCCTGGTTTGTCCCTTGGATGCTGATGGTTCATGTTGATGTACAACAATACAATTTATTTTTTCCGCCGAGCGGCATATTACTTAGACTACAAGTAGTAAAGCACGAGACCATAGGCTCTCGCGTAATACTACGCCTAGTGAAAACAAAACTAGCACACGGAGGTATCATTCAATATTGTTATTATTTTAGACTTGCGATGTTATGCGGCTATGTCACTATTTCGCAGCCTTCCACGCATCATTAAATACGGATCTCAAACGCTTTGCTTCATCACCATCTTTCAATCGCTGTTCCAGGTAGCCCTGCAAATCATCCCAGAAAGCGTCTGTCCGCAGCACTTCTTCACCACTCGGTCCTACGGCAGCCTTTGGTGGAGATTCATCCCGCTTCTCTGCTGCTTCCGGCTGGGCCACAGAAGATTCAATTGCCTGGGCACCACCAATAATCATAACACCGATCTCAACCTCTTTTCCACCCGCCAGAATCGCGGGCTCATCTGCTAGAACTTCGGCAAGCGTCTTCCCGGTTCCCGATACTGGCTTCCGCTTGTACAGGATCTTGATCTTCTCAAGTGGAACCTGGCCTCCCTGCGCATCGGTGACGCGAGCTCGCACGGCATCCCGAATATCTTGGACTGAGGTGGTCGAGAGGGGTGCGTTGGAAATGACGAAGTCCAGAACAGGGTTCCGAGCAGACTTGACACGGACAGTGATTGATTTGGATGAGCCAGGCGCATGTGCTGACTTGACCTTCTTAGGCATTGGGGGATGCGGGGCTGAGAGGCGGGGAAGAGTGTACTTTCATGCCGGATGAAATATTAGTACATGGCCGTCGTATTTATGCTTGATTACGATATTCTTTTTCAAACTCACAGGAACTCGAAGTCCCACTTGCTCTGGGTCGAAGACATGATCGGCGCGAAGCTTGATCGGCCGTGAGTCCAGTGTGGACAAGAATGATTTCGTGAATGTCAATTCGGACATGATAGGATGAATAGTATGATGTCCTCAAGTCGGATAGATAACAAATTGGGAGAGAAAGACAGTAAAATGGAGCTGTTGGAGAGTGGATGTTTGGAGTTGGCGGGCGGATCTCGATCCTGATATCAAGATAAACACCTGCTCAATCAGGCACAAGTGCCCATTTACACCGCCTTAGGTTGTTTCTGTTTTGCCGCCAACCACCGCCCGAAGAGAAAAAAAAAAGAACGGGAAGAAATCGCAGCTCTCAGACAAACATCTTAAAAGTCTCCATAACAATTTTTCACAATGGGTGTCGGTCGTCGTATGGGAACAAAGCAGGGCATTCCCGCCCCGCTCGATGAGTCAAAGATTACCACCCTGAAGAAGCGCAAGGCCGGCAGCGGCAGCGCAGAGGCGCCCTCGAAGACTGCCACAACGAAGCGTCGGAGATCCGATGCCGAGGAGGCTGCCCCCAAGAAGAAGAAGGCCAATGGAACCCCTGCTAAACCTGCCAAGGCCCCCGTGAAGGCCGAGAAGAAGGTTACAAAGAAGGCTGTACCAGTGCCTATGTCAGACGACGACGAGGATATGGAAGATGATGAGTTCGGTGATCTCGATGGAGTCAGCGATGGCTCAATGGAGGGACTTTCAGACCTGGAGGATGATGATTCGGTTGTCGACTCTGATGAGGAAGGTGGTCACGCCCGTGGAGCCATGTTCTCTGACGATGAGGACTCCGATGCCGAAGAGAGATTGACCGCCGCCAACATCGAGGGTCTGTCACGGAAATTGGACGCTGAGCAACAGGAAGAGGACGAAGATGCCGCGCAGGAATTGCAGGAGGCTCAAATGCAGACCAACATCGCTGCACCCGATGTGTTCGCCGACCAACAGCAGGGTCTCGCACCTGATCTGCAGCTCCTCCGCCAGCGCATCACAGACACTATCCGAATTCTGGGTGATCTCAAGACCCTCGGCGTGGCTGGAAAGTCGCGTACCGACTACGTCGATCTCCTGCTCGACGATATCTGCACTTACTACGGCTACACTCGATTCCTCGCCGAGAAGCTGTTCAACCTGTTCACCCCCATGGAGGCCTTTGCCTTCTTCGAAGCTAACGAGACCCCTCGCCCCGTCGTCATCCGTACCAACACTCTGAGAACCAACCGTCGATCCCTCGCTCAGGCCCTGATCAATCGTGGTGTTGTCCTCGAACCCGTTGGCAAGTGGTCCAAGGTCGGTCTGCAGGTCTTCGAGTCCCCTGTGCCTCTGGGTGCTACTCCTGAGTACCTGGCTGGTCACTACATTCTCCAGGCCGCTTCCTCGTTCCTCCCCGTTATGGCTCTCGCTCCCCAGCCTAATGAGCGTGTCCTCGATATGGCCTCCGCCCCCGGTGGTAAGACAACATACATGTCTGCTTTGATGCGCAACACTGGTTGTGTTATCGCAAACGATGCCAGCAAGCCCCGTGCTAAGGGTTTGATTGGTAACATTCACCGTCTCGGCTGTAAGAACACTATTGTGACCAACATGGATGCTCGCACTGCTTTCCCCAAGGCTATGGGTGGTTTCGATCGTGTTCTGCTCGATGCTCCTTGCACCGGTACCGGTGTTATCTCGAAAGATCCCGGTGTCAAGACCTCCAAGAACGAGCGCGATTTCCTCGCCATTCCCCACATGCAGCGTCAGCTTCTGTTGGCCGCTATTGATTCAGTCGATCACGCTTCCAAAACTGGTGGATATGTTGTCTACTCTACTTGCAGTGTGACAGTCGAGGAGAACGAGGCTGTTGTGCAGTATGTGCTGCGCAAGCGTCCCAACGTCAAGATCGTGGACACCGGTCTCGGTGGTTTCGGTAGCCCCGGTTTCCTTAGCTACATGGGCAAGACTTTCGACCCCAAGATGGCACTTACCCGCCGCTACTTCCCTCACCGCGAGAATGTCGACGGCTTCTACGTCTGCAAGCTCAAGAAGGTTGCCGTAACACCGGCTGCCAAGACAGACGACACTGAATCCCGTTCATCTGGCCGCAAGAAGTCCCGTAGCGCTTCCGCAGCATCCTCAGATGATGAGTCTATTGACAAGACTCCCATTGTTGATGAGAATGGACACGCTGCCGACTTCGAGGGTGGTGCCTTCAGCTCGTTTGAGGATCCCCAGGACGCTGAGCGCATTGCTCGTGCCGAGCGCAACCGTCTGCGTCGCAAGGGTCTTAACCCTAAGGGTGTTTTGAACAAGCCCAAGAGGACCAAGGCTGAGGCCGAGGCATCGCAGAAGACTAGCAAGATAGAGGCGCCCAGCAAGGAAGAAGAGACCAAGACTGTTGCTTCCAAGAAGTCCACTAATGAGCCCAAGGGTGAGAAGAAGACCGTCACCAAGGGTAAGGAAGATAAGAAGCCCGTGACCGCGGACAAGGATGAGAAGAAGCCCAAGGCTAAGGGCGAGAAGAAGGAGAAGGCCAAGAAGGCCAGCAAATGATCAATTCACCTGATCATCTATTTCTTTTTGTTTGTGTATATTTCTTCGGGCAATTTAAAAGCATCATGTATTAGGTCCGGGGCCCGGCGCATTGGATATACCTTTTGTTCAATCAAGATCAAACTGTGTTTCAAAAAAAATTTAAAAAACCAGACCCTGCAATTCCAAATAGAAGCTAAAAAGCAAGAGCGAGAGTAAAATAGCAATATGTGATTGTACTAAATGTATTTCTATCAACGATCTATGTCCACCAAGCGGTGATGTAACCAAAAATGAGAATCGAACGCATCATTCAAAAAACAACAAAAATCCCATGCGCTAATAACAATGAATGTAAGTTTCTTCAATCTCATCAATGTAAAGAGAAAAAAAACAAAAAATAAAAGAGATCTATGCCCGATAAACCTTGATGACCTTCTTGACCTCTTTTCGACACATCGGACAAAGGTTTACAAGATTAGCACACGTCACACAAGAGCAGAGATGACCACATTCGGCGAACACGGCATCCATCTCTTCCGTGTAGCATATCTGACATAGATCCAACTCTGCATCGGCTACCTCCCAGTAGCTGATTCCCTTGCCATGACGTTTGCCATCCTTGAATCCACCAACGTACTTGTTGCCTGTGGTTTTCTCGATATATGTTCCTTGCCCGTGGCATACATCTTCGATCCAATCGCCGTCGTATGAGTCGCCCGTAGGATAGACTAGTTTGCCTTGACCGTGACGTCGGCCGAAGACGAAGTCGCCTTCGTAGACCATTCCCGTGCTGGAGATGTGTGTACCTCTACCGTGGTAGTGACCCTTCATGAAATCGCCACTGTAGTAGTCGTTGGTGAATGTGGCTTCCATGATTTTGGTGCCGGTGAAGCCTTGGACTGGATGGCCGCGAGAATTGGCCCATAGGTACTGGACCAGACGGTCGGGGTGAGTTAATAATCCCAAAGATGCAAGCTGAGAACGCCTGTGTGTTACATTAGCTTTAATGACTTATTTGATGGACTTTTTCTGTGTGTGCCTACTTGTCCTTGGTCAACTTGTCTCCGACGATGAAGCACGCTCCGTGTGGAGCCACAACATCGTCGAAGCTATCAGCTGGTGACACTGTGGTAACAGTGGTGCCATCGACTCGCTTCCACATTAGAAAATCTTGTCGTATGGGTCGATTCAAATGGCGTCGAATCGAAGCTTTGACGTTGGCGTCAAGCTTGGAGAAAAATGAACCCACAGTGCGTAGGACTTGGCTATCCGCGTCGAACATTTGAATGAAGTAATACGCGTGACCAACAGGCAGCTTTACTCTGGGCTCAACAGGGGCCTGAGGAACAGCTTCTGGCGTGGATAACCCACTCTCAGAAGGAAGAGGCGCAGAGCTCGTGGCCTCTGTTGATGCTGAGTCTTGTGAATCATGAGGGGCGTTGGGAGGTGAATTCGCTTCATTCTCCTCGGTCTCAGTATTGAAAGCATCATTCTCTGAAGATATTGCGGCCAATGGAGGTAGCGATCTGTCATCAATGACTAGGCTTGATGTGTCTGGAAGACCAACGTCGCCTGGAGGGGTGCTTTCCGATGAACTAGCAATAGCATCGCCTTCTACCACGGATGAAGATGCATTCTCCAAGGCTTCATATCCCGAGGTGCCAACCAGATGATCATCAGGTTTATCCTCCAAAGAAATGGGCGCAGGAGGATCCGGGATGGCAAAGAACACAGCATCTTCTATAGAAAAAGTCTGGTCAGATAATTGCATAAAATAAGTTAACACTAGAGGGACTTACCTTCAGAGATAACTTCCATCCAGAATCGAATTATGTTCAAAGATGGATCCAAGGGGACATTTAAATCGGTTGTGCGGTCAAGTGAGAGTGATGAAGCAGACTGTGCGAATGAGTTGCCAATCTGCCAGAAACGAACTCGCTCGGGACTGATTGACTCGGAGCTTGAGGACTTCCACACAGCGATCTTTTTGCGTAGCTCGGCCAGGCGTGTTGTGCGCGGCAAAGACATGTGCATAACACTATCTGACGCTTTGGCTTGAGCCATGAGCTCGTTGGAGTCGAATAGGCTGGTCAATTGGTCATATTGGGGAAGCGAATAAACCTCAACCTGGACATCATCTGTAGACTTGTCACAGGCGTGGTAGACGCCTGTTTCGTAGTACTCTTTCAAAGCCTCGGGGACTTCCCACGGACCCTGAGAACCAGGCAAAATATTAGAAACCATATCGCCGCGGACATACATTGCCACAACGGGTACGTCGTGTCCCTTCTTGTGATCCACTTTCTGTGAAGAATCTAGACCAAGATGAGGGCCCATGGCTGTTTTCTGAGTCAAGCACTCCACGCGGTTATCGCTGCCGTCATCAAAAGCGAGCCATGTGGTACCCGGGCCTGCTGGCCGAAGAATACTAAAGAACTTGCCTGAGGTACGGCGGCCACGGTGAACAATGTATCCATACAGAACATACTTGCTACCCTGACCGTCAACCACCCACGGTGTCAGATCTAGCTCCTCGTCCAGAGCAACTTTGTCGTATCGAAGTTGCCAACGTTTGGCCTTGTCCAATGTATGACGGCCGAACTCAATGTGCAGTAGTGGTGGGAGCGACCAACGGCCAGGCTTAGCATCCAGATAGCCGCTGACAGCCTCTGAGGTGGATTTGGCTTGATCGATTGGCATATATAGGCGCGAGTTGAACTCTGTAGGCAACATGTTCACAATAGTTTCACCGTCAGCTGATGGTGCGTTGACGATCGGACTGTCGAACAATTGGGCGAGTTGCTTTCCAAATTCCGTACCCGCAAGCTCCAGCTCTAAGGTGCGGCGCAGCCTCTCCCAGAATTCAGACACATCACTTGAAAACTCGTGCAAATTCCGCAAAGCTGTAGTCACTCCATCGGTATCCACATAGCTTTGGGAAAGTGTCTGGCGGCGCAGCTGCCACAACAACCTTTGAAGGGAATCACACAAAGGCTTGGGCCTGGTGTCGGCATTGGTGAGATGTTCAAGCACATCAACACCTTGGATAATTTTGCAGAATGGAGCGATGTGCAACCACGAGGCTAGCCCAGCCACCTCTGGGCTGTGGTTGATGATTGAATCTCCCAGAGGTCGATAGCCAGTCAAGGCCATGCTGTCCCAAGTAGGTTCGGAATCACTTGGATGCCACCAAAGAGATTTGGTGGGATCATTCACCACCCGGATGTACGCATCAAAGGAAAGCGTATCGTTGTTCAGAAGAGCACGGTGCTGACCTCGTCGACGAGTGTGAATATGGTCCCATGGGCCGTGGAAATAAGTCCACCCCCAGTCCAAGTTATGTGGGTTGAATTGATGACAGGATGACTGCATCCATCCTGTGCGTGGTTCCTCTGGATTGTATACAATGACGCCGACCTGTGCAGGCACACGCCACGAACTGGCAGTTTCACTGTCAACTGACCGGGCGGCATCCCTGGCTGCCAGGTACTGAGACTTGTAGCCCTCAAGCCATGCTACCGAATCGTCCGTGGCCCCGGATTTCAATTCTACTTCTGGGGTGGTGTCATCAAGTGCAGAATCGGCAGCACCCCGGCGGATGGAGAATTCCATCTCGGGGAGACTCTCATCTGGGGAAGGCATGGTGGTAGAACACTCCAGATATACACTCAGTGCGTTGACATTATTGCCCCGAGGGTAAAACTTAATCCGCCACCAATAGCCACCAACGAATGCTGCAGGGGATCGAATGACTTTGTTTCGATTGGGGTTTTCCGGGGTACCTCGTACACCCTTGAAGGTCCATGTTAGACGGGCCTTTTCGGTTGGAACGTACTCGGGATCGCCCAAATCCCGGAAGAAATTGGTTTCCCAATACTTGTCTGTCACAAAATTCGATCAACTTGAGGTAACTTCACATTCTGGGTAAATGGAACATACGGTCACAGGCACTATAATCTGAATCGCCTCCGTCGATCTCTTTCATCTCATCCTCATCTGGAGTGGTTGTATCCTCCTCGTACTCGGCCCAGTATGCGTGTTCAACCTCTTCCGCAGGTGGAATTGGTGTAGATTGAGTTGTCGGAGGTGAGGGCTCGGAGATTTGAGTGTGTTCGGTCTCTGTAGGTGAAGTATCTGGAATATTCACATTGCTCACAGTACTTTCAGTTTCAACCGATGACTGTGGGTCTTCCACATTGGGTACGGGGTCCATGATCAATTGGACAATCCCCAATCCTTCACGATAATGCGTTCAATGAATAAATAGAAATGCAAACAATATATAACTCGAAGCGAGCGAAATGAGTTTTGATGCTCCGTTGCCCGATGTATATATATATAGCGACTGATAAGGGCTTATCGGATAAGGTGGGAGAAGTGGAGAGGAATTGAGAATATACAAAGAGAGAAGAATAGGTCAAAAAATGGGCGAAGAGAGGGAAGAAGGAAGTAGAGAATGGAAAGGAATGAAGAAACAGAATATAACAAGGGATGAAGAGATGAGAAGAGAAGAAGTTCCAAAAAGGAAAAAAAGAATGAAGATAAGCCCAAAAAATAAAGAGTCCGGGGGATTTTGCCGGGTCTCGGTCTCTCACTTACAGAGTACATTGTGTATGATATTGTATTATTTAATCAATATTACTATTACTGTTATTATTACTTGATCTCTCAGCTGATGTGATATATTGTATATTGTATATCTTACATTGTATATGATACATTACATGTATTTTCATCTAATTGTTCAGCGGTGTGACTCCTGTCCAGCCGTCGATCCGAGGAAAATCTCTCAGGGCAGACAACCTTAATTTGCCAATGAGAAGGCCGTTTTTTCTTCAGTGGCAATTCGTCTTATCCCCCCTTCGCCACCGGGGGGACGCCACCTGAACCAGTTGTGCAATTATCGACCATTGTTCATTGTAACTGGCAAAAGTTGTTGGAAATCCAGGCGAAAGTCGGGCTCATTTCATACTCGCACTCACAACATAAATTGTACAGTGTAGAGTGACTCGGCCTGCTTGACTTGGCTTGCTTGAATCTGAAACAATTGCGCGATCAATGGTCTTGACGGAGAACCACTTTTTTCAGCATTTGAAGGTGATTGGTCCCTGGGCCAAAAAAGGAACCACTCCTTGGACGGGATCCCGCATTGCTTGGCATTGGTACGAAACTCAATGGGAAAGTCGGTAAATTGTTCAGTTTTGTGATTGACGAGCAAATGAAGCGGCGACGATCATAGGGAACACTGCGGTGGCCTCGGCATAAACCTGAAAAGAAAGACAAAATCAACTTGGGAACCAGACGATACCCCGAATTGTAGAAAAAAATGATCACTTACCTTGACCATTTTGGCATTCGCCTTGATCTTTCCCCAGCTCACCGCTTCGTCTGGCCGAGCACCTGCATCGCTACCATCGAACTCCTGCGCCGTGTTTACATAGACTGCATGCTCGGCCCCATTTCGCATCAGGCATGCATTGGCGATGTGGTGCTTCACCACGCCGCCACCCAAAATAATCATGCCCGCTCGGGTGGCTCGCACTGCCATGGTGTTGATGCGGCGCACATCGTCTACGATATCAACTCGAAGCCGTTGAGGGGATGACTTGAACGTGTGGAAGTAGAGCATATCGCCCAGGGAGCCATCGGTCAAGGCAGGACAGAACACGGGGATTTTGTTCCGGGCCGCCCAGTACAGGACTGAATCCTCGTGGTCGATCTCACGTCCCAGCCGTTCGGTGATGAGGCTAGGTGTCCAGTGCAGTTCATCCTCCTCATCCCCGGTCTGCCGAGCCTTCTCCTTCGCCGCCTCTTGCTCTTCCAGCATCTTGTCCAAGATGGGCACCACCCAATCCTCAAAAGCACAGTAGTTGTTGTTGGGCACGAGGAGATTGCCGATCCGGTTGAGACCCTTGGCACGGAGACCAGCTCCTGGGGTCGAGAAGGAACCGAGATAAGTTGGAGCCAAGCATTTGATCAAATCTTCCTCCACGCCACCAGCCGTGGTCACGATGGCCGACACATGGTTGTGTTTCACCAAATAGCGCAGGGTGTCACGCAGACCGGAGGAAATTAGGTTCGAGGTAAAGCCGAGAAAGATAGTAGTTTTGTTTCCAGTCTCAGGGTCACGAAAGGCGCGCTAACAGAAGCAGAGCATTAGACATTGAATTTCAATTCACCTTGAAAAGTATAATATGATGGGGGTATTACCATTTCATTGATGATGCTGGCCGCCTCCGCGACTGCACTACCTTGGAAACCAGTGTGCGCCATATTGTCCACCATCTCGGCTACTGTGATATCTCGTCCTTGGAACTTATCGAAATCCACTCCGCTTACAACATGAGATCCTTCCGGAACAGGTTCTGAACTCTGGAGGACCGAGTCGGTCACGGAGGTGGGAACGGCCGAGTGGCTCATATTTGCAGTGAATAAATGACGGATTAAATGAGTGGCTAAAAGAGAATTCTCCCAAATGAAGCCGCTGAATATGAATGGTTAACTTGAAATAAAGAAAGTAGCATCGGAACAATAGAGGGGCAGCGTTGATCTTTTTTTTTTCGGCGGGGAAAACTTGATCGACACCTCAGGCATTAAATCCAGACCATGATGCCTTGATGCCTTGATGCCTTGGGGCAAAATACATTTAAATGGGGAAAGATTTCAAGAATGATTGATATTTACGCAACGGGTCTACCACATGAAGCAGACTGAATATATATAGAGAGTGATTAAAAAAAGTATCTAAATATCTCTCTCTCTACATAATCTATATTCTATATACATCAGTAACTAGAAAAAGAGACACAATCCTACATATTGCAGTGAACTATATCGTGACGAATAGAGTTAACCCCCCAAATGCACACTAGAGTTGGATTAGGACTAGCTCCGAACCCCTTGAAGTTCACCTTACAACCCTCTTCTCTTCTCATTCCGCGTTTCTTTCGTGCAAGGAGCTCGATTTCTCCGATTCTCGAGCTCCACACCTTCTTGTTCTCTATAAACTTACTTCTTGTATGTGTGCGATAATTTCTATTGATCTGCGATTCCATTCCAATCCCCCTGTGAGTGAAGGTTGTTAACATAAAACAAACAAGGCCCCCCAAGGCTACCTAGGCGTCTGAACAGGTGGATTTGGATATTTGAGGCGCTTTTCCCGATTGGGACCTTACGTAATTTCTTCATATGGTCCGTGCTTTATTCCTCGTTCTGCTCTCCATCAGTGGTCTTGGATTGTGCTTCTTTCGTTCACATCAATATCTTTTTTTTATATGGAGCGCTTACCGACCTACGGCTTCATAGCATGACGCGATAATGTCAAATCGATTCCCCCAATCGTCCGGGTTCAATTCCCGTGACCGCTCTCCACAACGATTTGGAGACCGACGCCCCCCGGTTGGTCCTCGTGGCCCCGACGACGGCCCTACGCCATTCGGGAGAGATCCACCGCGTGGCCCGCGAGCCCTTGTCGATTCTCCCCGTGGTGGCCATTTCGGAGGCCGTGGAAGAGGCTATGGCCGTGGTGATTTCCGGGACCGAGACCGAGATCGCGACCGTGACTTTCGAGATAACCGCGATGGACCCCCGTTTCGCCGAGAGTTGGACCGTGACTGGCCTCGTCGTGACCGGGATCGCGATCGCGACTTTGATCCCCGCGATAATCGAATAGGCTTTGGACGAGGCCGCTCAAGGTCCCCGACGCGCGACTTTCGAGATCTACGAGAGCCTCCGGGGCGCGACTTTGATTTGGTTCGGATGCGACGAAACTCAAGGGACAGTATCTTGTCTGCATCATCGGGAGGCCCAGACGGCCCACCGCCGAACATTGGCCATATGCCGAGAGGTGGTATGCGGGGGCGAGGCCGCGGAGATTGGGAAGGAGGCCGTGGCAGAGGTCGTCCACCTTTTCTCGATGACCGTGATCTGTTCCGCCGACGAAGTCGATCCCGTGAACCATGGCGTGGCCGTGATCGAATTATTGACCGCGATAGAGATCGTGACATGGACCGCGATCGTGTTTTAGATCGCGATCGAATAATGGACCGAGACCGGGACCGAGATATTCCTATTCCGCGTCCCAGAGATCGAGAGTTACTAGATCGTGACATGGACCGTCGAGACCGCTTTGATCGCCGTGAAGATTGGGACAATCGACGACCCGATCGCGAAGATCGTGACCGCCCGGTGGACTTTTGGAAACGGGACCGGCCCCCAAGTCGCGCAGGTAGTCGCGCGGCCTCAACTACTTCTTCGCATCCTCCTGCGGCATCGGGCCCAGTCCCACTTGCAGCAGATCGTTTACCCGACCATCCTCTAGTGGATCAAAGCCGTAAGCCATCAATCATTCCCGGTCCTGTAGCTCCAGAGCCTGCACGAGACTTTGACAGAAACAACTTGATTCCGGCCCGACCTGAGCCCATTAGACATGAGCCAGTGAGATCCGACGTGCCGAAATCAGACGCGGTGAGACCGGACGCAGCTAGGCCCGAAACCGCTCGATCGGCGATTACCCAGGACACCGGACTTGTACCTCGACACTCTCCACCTCCAGCTGCCCCTCAGGTCCCCGCATTTGGTTCGGTGACTACCCCAATCCCAAATCAACCTCCAAACAATGATTTCTCCGAGCGCTCAGTGCCCGGTGCCACACTACCAACGGAGAAAGACCGCAGCGATGTACTACCACGACCACCGGTTCAAGCTCCTACCGGCCCCAAGGCGGAACGAGCTGAGACAACGCAAGTCTTTGACCCTCGTAATCGCCCCGATAATATACGAGATCCCGGAAATCAACAAGCGATACCTCCCCGGGTCCGAAAAGTGTCTAGCAATCTCCCTGATGTATCACCACCAACCGCCCCAGCTGCGATGACTAGGGCAGACCATATATCCGCACCCAACGAGTCATTTGGGCCCGGCAGATCGCACTCGCTCACCTCATCTCCCACCTTTACGCGAGCGCCGCCGCCGGCCCCACGGGCAGTCTCTCGCGAGCCGTCTATGTCACCTCGAATGCAGTCCTCTGGCATTCCCACTGGACCTCGAGCGTTGCAGTGGCCGGCTTCCTCTCCTAGGGGCCGCAAAGGCAGCAAACAATGGGTGCGGCCCGGCTACGGCCGAACCCCTTCCATCCCCAACGCACTCCCGAAGCAAGAGCCTGTCAATGATGGTGAAAGTATTCCTCCTGCCAATGAGAGCACGCGGCCAGTCCCCCGGCCCTCATCTCCATTTGATATGGACGAACCGGAGAGTGGTGAAATTCTACCCCATCACCCCACGAAAGATACATCTCCCGTTTCTCCGATGAACCTTCCGATCCGACGCAGTTCGCCGGTCGTGGAAACCCCAAATGAAGCAAAACAAATGCCAGAAAACCAAACCGATGAAGATTCTGTCATGATCCCGGACTTTGGACGTTCCAGCGACGAGGAAGACGGGGAAAACATTGTTTTCACCAAGGAGTATTTGGATGAAAGAAGGCAGATATTTGAGAAGGACATGGAGGCTCTCCGAGCAGAACTTCCCCCATCACCTTTGGAAGACCCTACCATCGTTGCCCTGTTGATGAAAATACAGCTGCTTGGTATGGTGGCCAACCCAGAGGAAGTCGAGCGAGGAAATGAAATCGAACACCCAACCGAACAAGTGAATGAACAATCCGTGGCTCAGGTTGTTGATACACTGACTGAACGCCCCATCGAAGACCCAGTTCTGGAACAAAAAATAGACCGTGCGCCATCCGTGGAGGAACAACAGCCAAATGGTCACGCTGGCGACGAACGAGTTGTCTCATTCGCTCCAGCTATCCCTGAGCGCGAACCAGAGACACTCACAGAGACGATCATCCCCCCAATGGTTCATCGCGATGAGATTACTGTCAACAGTCTTCCATTTTTGCACTCAGGCCCTCCAACGCCTATCTCAGACATGGATGTATACCACGAGAACATTGCGACCCAAAATCGTCTCAGGGACACTTTTAGCGCAGAACTCTCCCACGAAAAAGAAGAACTCTTCAAGAAGAATGAACTCCTTCGTGAGGAATATATGTCATACTATAAGCCATGGCGATTGGCGATTTGGGAGCTCGACCGTATGAAGGACAAGAAGTCTGTGACCCCAGCCCCTGCGTCGCCGCCGGTTTCCACAGTCCCAACTACCCCGGCACCGATGCCAGAAGGTCGCGAAGGCCGCCGATACAAAGGGAACAGCGAACTTGATTTCCTCAATGCGTTGAAAGCTTCCGAAATCTCGGCCCAGGAAGAGCTGGAACGTCGACGCACTAAGATGGCTACTGCTCGACCTGACTTGGGCCGTGAAGCAATCATCCCTAACATGCTCGAGCTTTCGGAAGAGAAGGCTCGCATCTATAAAGATGTGAACAATATCATTGAGTGCAACAGGGCTTTGGATGTGTTCGGTTTCTTGCCACCACCAAATGATTTCACTCCCGAGGAGCACGTTATCTTCACGGACGCTTTCATGGCGCACCCAAAAAGATGGGGCAAGATTGCTGAGTCTTTGCCTGGCCGAACTTTCCAACAGTGTATCTTACATTATTACCTTACCAAGGAAGAGATCAAGTACAAGGCCAAACTCAACAAGCGCTGGAGTAAACGGAGCAAGGGAACTCGCAAGGGCGCACGACCTAAGTCCAACGCTCTTATCGCGGACTTGGGTGTAGTGAAGCCTGACTTCGATGGCGGCGAAGAGACAACCACACCAGCTGTGACTGACACGGGTCGGCCGCGACGTGCAGCAGCGCCGACATTTGGCGAAACCACCGCTGCCGAAATAGAAAGCAGCAGTGTGCCAATCGGACGTCGTGGTCAACCTATCAGGGATGGTGAACCAGTTGAACGGCCAGTTGCTCGTCGCGGGGGACGTGGCGGAGGCACCCGTGGTGGGCGGCGCGTCAAGGCCCCTCAGCCGGATCCGAAGAGCCAGGCCCCAATGCCACAGGCGAATACGCCCTCAGTAGCCCCCCTGCCTCCCCCTCCCCCTCCCGGAATCGAGATGGAAATGATTCAAGATACCATCATGGAAGGGTATGAGGCCCGGGAAAGAGAACAGGTTGAAAAGGAGTCTTTGCAGCCAATTCCACGAAGCAGAATGGGTCGAGGACGAGCAAAGGATGGAGTTTATGTCTTTGAATCAACCGAACCTGAACAGCCTATGGCGGCCAACAAACAGCCAGAGACTGGTTATGGATCTTTACAACCAACAAGTTATTGGTCTGTCCCAGAGCAGCGCGATTTCCCGGCCTTGCTGGGACATTTCGGCCGCGACTTCGAGGGTATTTCTGGTTGGATGAAAACCAAGACAACAGTGATGGTATGTTTTGCTTTCTTTTCACTCGCTATTTGAGTTTACCTCACATCCTTTGCTTGACATCTACCTTTCATTCTATGTTTGCCTTGTGCCTGATGTTCATTTCTTTTAATCTCATCCTTGTGCACTTAGCTGACTAGACTTTTTCTCATTTCTTAGGTCAAAAACTTTTACCAACGACGTCTGGACTCTGGCCAGAAAGATTTCGAATTGATTCTCACAGAAGCCGAGGAAAAGAAGGCCCGCGGTGAGCCTACAGGGCTACTTCCGGTCCCAAGCGTTGCTCCCAAGCGACGGTACGAGGCAACCCCATCGTCTATTATTCCTCGTCCGCTCGCTCCCCATGGCGATCCGATGATGGAAGGGGAAGATATACGGTTCTCATCGAAAGGCAAACCCATGGCCCTTTCGCCGCAACCCATGCCCCTGCATGGTCGACCCATGCCCGAGAAAGACCGGAATGCCGGTCGCTACCAGCCCCTTGCACAAGCATCCGGTGCCTCGCCGGTGCCTTCAACTGCGACTCTCATTGAGGAATCAACCCGAGCGATTCGTGCGCAAGGAGGGCCGTCACACCGCAGCATACAGGGACCAAGGCTCGGGTATTTCACTGATGAACGGCGAGACTCTTCAATATTGCCCCATGCCACAGCCCGCATGCAAGATTTGCCAATGTCTTCGCGTCATCCTGGCTCCATGCCACCGGATATGACACGCATGGACCCTTTGTCTGGACAAGCCTACATCCCTGGACATCAATCCTCGTCCATTCTCTCATCGGCCCATTCGCGTCACCCTAGTATGCCCCAAGCACCTGGATCACCAAGTCAGTTGCCTAGACCCGACCTTGAAATGTCGTCTGTCCACCGCGATCCATTCGGTCAGCGATCTTATTACCCCATCGGAAGCCAATCGATAGGTATTTCTCAATCGCCTCGCCCTGGTTTGTCGCCAGTGAAGGAAACCCCCCGACCTAGTGCCACCCCTGCCCCTGAAGCAAGTTCTCGCCAAGTGCCTGCCAAGCGGTCCAATATCATGAGTATCCTCAATGATGAGCCCGAGGAGCCTCAACCTCGCAAGCGATTTGCGAGTGAGCAGGCTCCGCCCTCACAGACTGGAACCTCAGGCGCCAGTTCAAGGCCCGCTTACCAAGCCAGTGGAGCGTCCCGCCACGAAGAGAATGTGATGCCGGGTGTACCACATAAGTCTTCTGCTTATGCCCAACAAAGCCAATATCAGCCATCGTCTCGCGCATATTCCGAATATCCTGGATATGGACCTCCTCAAACTGGCTCGGGCACTTCGGCAAATACCGATTGGATGGCGCGGTTTGATCCACGGGCGCAACAGACTCCTCCACAGCCCCAAGCCCCCTCTCTACCACAGCAGCAGCAGCAGAGCAGTCGTGCTCCGACATCTTTGGCTTCCCAAGGTTCATATTCTTCTTACGCGGCAACTCCAAGTCAGGCATCGGTGCCTATGTCCAGCCTTCCCGCCCCATCCCCCGCTCCGACTCCCCCTCCGCAGAACGGCTCTCAGCGATCCACTTATCCTAACGTCTTCTCCCAATCATCTTCTACCCAGCCATCTGCGGCTTCAAATTCGCGAGAGATGGCACATCAACCTTCGTCTTACCGGCCACCGTCTCCTGGCGCACGCTCTAGTATGTCGTATGGTTCGCGGCAAGATCCACCTACGCCTGCGCAGCCTTCTGCTAGTCTTTATGGTATTCACTCACGCCAATCTGGAACGCCATCTACGTACTCAGCAGCACCATCTACTCCGAACCCAGCACAGCCGCACAGCTATCAACAACACGTGCAAACGATGGTCAGCGGGTCGCATCAACCTCAATCCCTCCGATCGACGCCAGTCAATCTCTCTGCTGGCTCCTCGCAATATGGACACAGTACCCCGCCCCCTCAGTCCCAGGCTGGTAGGCCAATGGCCTCGCTGGCGAGCCTTGGACGCTCGTTCACCCCTCCATCGACTCTACATCACTCGATGAATGGAAGTACCATGAGTGGCTATCCTGCCCCTCCATCTGGAACGGGGTCGATTCCGCCACTTCACCAACGACCGGTTGGCCCAGGTTCAATGGGTGACAATGCCTCCACGCCTACGCATCATCGCGTCTACAGCCACGGGTCGGGCCAAGGTGGGTTACCGGGATCACTTCCACCACCTTCACAACAACCTCGGTAGGCATTCATCTGCGCGATGTGTCTCAATGAACTTTATGCGGGGTGGAAAACCGTAATGGGATCGGTTGTATATTAATTTGTTGTTATTTCCGTTTTTTTTGTTCAGCGTCCTGGTGTCTTTGCCAACAAGTATTTTTCATTTGATCATGTTTCATATGTACAACTAAATGAATGATTTGATGTATCAATCCCCTATGTCCTTAGTTAAATGTACATGTAAAAATACATATGTAACTCTAATTTGCAGCAAGTATTTACACATCCCTCATCGATCCATCTGGTTCATATGACTGGGAAGGTTCCAGACATTGTAGTCCAAATGCACAAAGGCCCGGTCGACGGTTGGCACACTTTCAATGATGTACTGCAGACTCTCACCAACGTCGTGGCTGTCCCGCAAGCTGAGTTTTTCATCAACCACAAGGTCAACTTCGACATTTAATTTGTCGCTCGCATAGTAGGCTTTCAAGTCTTGAATCTTGAGGATAACTCGGGAGAACCGCATGGTCATGTACAGGAGAACACTGTGGTCGTCGGGAGAGGCAGCTGCACCGGTCAACCGTCGGATGTATTCCGCTGCTGTCTCGCCCCAGTTCCACATAATATACAGGGAGAGGAACAGACCACCCAAAGGGTCCAGGTACCAAAGGTTTGCAAATGTGCCAACTGTAGTGAGTGCCTGTTAGATCAAAACTTTAGGGATGTACAGTGAACATATGAGACTCACTCAGTGGGAAGATGATGCTGAAAGTGTTAAACACGACATCAGTCATAGCATCCTGGGCTAGAACTTGGACGCTTGGACTAGGGATCAAGCGGCACCAGATCCAGCAGAATAGTTTGACCAAAACCGTACCACCCATCAACACGAGGGACGGCACGGAGAGCTCGACTACTGTGCGGTCATCTCCCATCAATTGTTTGATAGATGACAACGCTACTTGGAAGAAGGAAGTCACCATTATGACAGAGAATATAAGCACACTGATGGGCTCTAGTCGTCGTCGGGTGATGGGGTACCGGTTGCGATCTTGGCGGCGGATCATGATAGTGGTCACCCAGACGATGACGGTGCTCAGGAAATCCAATGCACCGTCAACGAGTCCTGCTAACATAGACATGGAGCTTGTCATGGCCATGATGGCAATCTTCGAGCCGAGAAGGGCAACATTGGCGATGAAATTGATGCGGATGGCGAGGTTGATAACACGCTCCTCGTCATGCGGTGCCATCCCACCGTGCGATTCGAGATCGGGGAATGGTTCTGATGGGCTGGTGTTTTCGTCGGGGGATGCAACCAGAGGAGTTGTCTCGTCGGGAATCCGATAGAGATTATGGGGTGTGCGCTTGATCTTGCCGCTCTTGGCATTGGCATCCACGGTTTCGGAATTATGGACTTCTGGCGCCTGAGGAACGCCTGTTTCATCCCGGTGGGTTTCGTTGTATTCCTCAATCAGGTTATGGGGTAGGGAAGAATCCAGCAATCGGTCGATGTAAAGGTATTGGGAGATGAGACCATTAGTTCGTTCATAGTATTGTCGGCTGTTCCGGGTCAGTCCCAAATCCAGGGAGATTCTCATAAAACGCACATTTTCTTGGGGAGATCTTTTAATGACTCGGGTGACCGATAGTAGCGTTGCCTGTGTTGCAGCTAGAGGTTAGGGTTGAGGTTTAGTCCGAGCAGAAGTGAAGCCTACCACTCGTAACGAGGATTACTGCGTCCAATCAACAGTGACCCACGTCGAAGAAATAGTCGACGTTCTGACACATCATCATCAAGCTCGTTCAAGCCAAGACTGGATGTGCGAGAAGGCAAAAACCCCATTAAGCGCTGGCCCCTGGTAGAGAGAATTTCGCGCTCTGGGTCCAAACTGGGTCGTCGTGGACGTAGAACAGGTGAGGGAGAACCAGGAGGGGAAGATAATGGAAGAAAGGGATGTGAAGACATGACTAGTCTATAACTCCAGGGTTGGAGTATAAAGAAGTTGTAGGCAAAAAAAAGGTTGGAGATTAATCTTTTACCGCGCGAGCTTTCCTTGTACGCGTATCTCCACCTGATTGATAAGGACATGGCGCCTTATCTATTGATCACCAACTCTTTATTATGTAGTTAACTATTAACTATACCTAGTTACATGTAACTATGTCAGTTTATAGATTACAGTTCAACAAGACTGTAGAAAATTATATAGTATACAAGCTCATTTGAGACAGGAGATAAAGTACTAAAGTCCTATGACAAGAATCATGATCTTTTGCAAGATATATACATAGGTATATGTCTACTCCCACATAGCACGAACAGAAAAGCCCAAGCGAATTTGACCTAATGTAGTTCAGTTGCAGTGAGGCAGTGCAGTGTTTCATCGGCTTGTTCATGCAGTGTTTCTTTGTTTCTTTGTTTCTTTCTTGTCCATTCCAAAATTTTCACCCTTTCAAGCAGCATGTGTGCTGTGATGGAAATTAAACCCAGGCTGATCGCTTTGATATCCGGTCCGATCAATACTGGCATAGATAAATCCTATTTATTTTCTCACTACGTAAACCGAGTCAACCAAGCTATTGAACGCAGTGACCACTTTGTCATTGAACCCATCACAAGTTGCGTGGATGCAGATGCACTGGAATATCTCTCGGCATACCCTGTCTCCCCTGACCGAGTTACTATCTTTGTCACCAAAGCTGAAGATGGGATGTGGGGTACACACTTCCGCTCTTCAGGAGCCAATGTGAAAGTGATTAAGGGACAAATGAGTCGGGATCGAGATGCAGCACTCACAAGTGCCAGCACATACGATATATTACGTGTGCAAACGAAGGAAGAGGGAAAGCTATTCTATGGCCATATGTGGCAGGATGGATGTATTACGAATACAGAGCGCACTTGGAAGCCACGGCGGGGAATCGCAGAGATTGAGGTACATAGTTGAAGAGGACACAATCAATCTTTCAATAGGATGTGCCTCAGAGTTGAAAGCACCAGGGTCTGCTAGCATAGTGTGATGATTGAAGATGGGGAAACCAAGGACACTTGTTTATCATGTTGTAACTACCTAGGTAGAGCATGGAGATAACTCGCACAACCAAGACAACTATGCTTCATCATGTATAAATAAGTATCAATCTGCGGAAACTCGAATTAAATCATAAATATGTAACAAGTGTAACTACTGACCATATACAGTAGTATTGTAACCATTAAAGGCGCTAAAGGCGGGATGAACGACTCGCTAGTTCCGAGAAAATCGGACAGCAGCGGAGGAGCGGAATAGACCTTCCGCCCTTCCCGCCTTGAGTGGAGAACCTCTCGGCTCCCCGGACTGAGAAACTCGTCAGTTGGCGGTCAATTCGCCTGAATTCAAAAGGTCTTTGCTGATTCTCTGCATTTTAACTGGTCCATGGCCACTTAAACCGATGTCACCGACCTTCCTCTCCGGTGATAGCCATGCGTCTCTACAAATTCGGAAATATGCCGTACAGTACCCGACCGAGGATCACCTAGATATAAGAGGTCGCACGCTCTGCAGAGGGTTTTCAAATTCACTTCACACTCGTGCTCTCTCACTATGACGGCCCAAACTCTTGCAGTCGCCGTTATTACGGTGGTCTATCTCATTATTCGCTATTTCAATCGTACCGATGTCCCCAAGATCAAAGGTATTCCGGAGATTCCAGGTGTACCCCTCTTCGGCAACCTCTTGCAATTAGGCGATCAACATGCTACAGTCGCTGGAAAATGGGCGAAGAAGTTTGGGCCAGTCTTCCAAGTGCGCATGGGAAATAAGGTGGGTTCCAATTCACATAACACAGGGACGCAAGCTAACAAAATCACTTAGCGCATTGTCTTTGCCAACAGCTTCGAATCCGTCCGCCAATTATGGATTAAAGATTCATCTGCTCTAATCTCCCGTCCGACCTTCCATACTTTCCACAGCGTTGTCTCTAGCTCGCAGGGTTTCACGATTGGTACCTCCCCTTGGGATGATTCTTGCAAGCAGCGTCGCAAGGCTGCAGCCACTGCGCTCAACCGACCAGCTGTGCAATCATACATGCCCATTATCGATCTCGAATCCAACTCCAGTATTAAAGAGCTGTACCGGGACAGTCAAAACGGCAAACTCGACGTGAACCCCACTACTTACTTCCAGCGCTATGCACTCAACACTAGTCTGACCCTGAACTACGGATTCCGAATCGAAGGCAATGTGAATGATGAGCTCCTGCACGAGATTGTCGATGTGGAGCGTGGTGTATCTAACTTCAGAAGCACCTCGAACAACTGGCAAGACTACATTCCGCTGTTGCGCATCCTTCCCAAGGCGAATAACGAGGCTGAAGACTTCCGCGGTCGCCGTGATAAGTATCTCACCTACTTGCTTGATATGCTTAAGGATCGTATCGCCAAAGGAACCGATAAGCCTTGTATTACTGGCAACATTCTCAAAGACCCCGAGGCTAAGCTGAACGATGGTGAGTTTTGACATGAGCGTGACAAGATTACTCTAAATTGGGGCTAACCCTTTCTTAGCCGAGGTAAAATCGATTTGTTTGACTATGGTTTCGGCTGGTCTCGATACTGTTCCGGGTAACCTGATTATGGGAATTGCCTACCTGGCATCTGAAGATGGCCAGAGAATCCAGAAGAAGGCATATGATGCAATTATGGAGGTCTATCCGGACGGCGATGCGTGGGAAAAATGCTTGGTCGAGGAGAAGGTTCCATATGTGACTGCCCTGGTTAAGGAAATCCTCCGGTTCTGGACGGTCATTCCCATCTGTTTGCCCCGTGAGAGCACCAAGGATATTCAGTGGAACGGAGCTACAATTCCTGCTGGCACGACTTTCTTCATGGTACGCATTCCCTTCTCTCGATTTATTAGTCTTCTACTGACTTTCTCTAGAATGCCTGGGCTGCTGACTACGACGAGGATCACTTCAAAGATGCCAATAAATTCATTCCCGAGCGATATCTCGAACTCAACGAGGGCTCTGGCACTCCTCACTACGGTTATGGAGCTGGCTCTCGCATGTGTGCAGGCTCACATCTTGCAAATCGGGAGCTTTTCACAGCCTTTATCCGCCTGATTACTGCCTTCAACATGCACACAGCAAAGGAAGCTTCCGACCGACCTATTCTCGATGCAATTGAATGCAATGCCATTCCTACTGCACTGACTACCGAGCCTAAGCCTTTCAAGGTCGGGTTCACCGCACGCGACCCCAAGAAGCTTGAGCAATGGATCGCAGAGAGTGATGAGCGCACCAAGGATCTTTGAGATAACTGTCTTTTTATGTCGTACATGTTTGAAACATGTTCCTTATTTCTTTTTACATTCTAAGTGAGGCCTTGTATATATACTACTAAAACCAGAGCAACGAAGGAAAGACAGAAAAATTATATCAACTCAAACTTATCCACCGTTTATGCTCTAAATTCAATGAGACCATGAGCTTGAACAGTTTCTGCAATGAACACACGCACTCACCTACGTTTATACTTCTATGAAAAAAAAATTAGCATAGTCGATTAACTGCTGTCAAAGTGCTAGCTAGGTACTCCTCTTTAGCCTGGATAGGTTTCCATGCTCTCTGGCTGATCAAAACATTTCAAATAGCTAATCTGGTGACCTCTTCCAAGAGGTAGATGTCACATTCCTTGATATAGCGACCCAGTCTCGAGGTTGGCTCTGCCTCGGCCATAAATTTCTCCGCCTTCGCAACTGATGTCCATTAGTATTGAAGGCCGTCTTCAATCTCATTGTCAGTCAAGCTAGGAGCCCCACTGTTATCGACTAGATCTGCGCAATAGCAGAAAGAAATTCGGCGGAGATCGCCGCGGAACTCCTCTGTGAAGCAACACAGCCGCCATCCCGGATATTGATCAGGGCTCCGGTTTCCTCTTGCATCTCACGCTGGGCCGCAACGTGGTGCTTCTCACTGGATCGATGCCACCTCCAGGGAGTTTGTAGTAGTTGTCCCGCTTAGCATGGATGATGACGATCTTGCCAGCGGCATCGAATGCAACCACACGAATGACGTGACGATCAACATAGTTGACTCCTTCTTCTTTGGCGCCGATGACCTCTGGGTTGCCCATTTTGTAGGTTGCGATCTGCATGAAGTTGATGTGTAGTTTGACAAATTTTGATGATAATGTTGTAACAGGGTATGAAATAGAGAGTCGCACCTTAGCTGTCCTGTATTGCATGTAAACAGTGAATTTGCATTCTTTTTTCACGATTGAGGAGTGCGAGGAAATGGAGGAAATGTGAGGGGAATGTGCTCGAGCAGAAGAGAATCCCGCGGGTTCTTTGCCAACTACATAAACCCTCTTCCCGCTCGCGCTTTGTTGGCTGTTTAGCTCAGTTGACAAGGAAGAGCTGCAGGTTGAATGTGCCATAACTCATCAGCCAATCACATACTGTACCTATCCCAGGCAGTCGCCTATATATGTAGTTACATATGTATCTGCTCCGTACTCCGTACACGTGGAAAAACTCGAAGATTTCTCCCTTTTTCGTCTTTTCTGGTTTGGTTCCTAGGATTCAAATTCCTTCAGGATGCAATCTGTCTGATTCACCAGTTATTAGCTAAGAAATGCAGTACAAGTCTTGAAATGGCCCATTTTTCAGTGTATAACGTCGTGTGGAGTCAAAAGGCGGAATCCCCCGCATCTGTCGCCTCCACACTTTCTCTCTCTTCACATCCCCCTTGTCGGTTATAAGCCCTGTAACTTGAATAAAATGCATCTTGCTTGATCATGAATACCATACAGACATACTCCGCCCCAGAAAATTGGAATAAATCACCCTTGGTGGACGATCCCAATGATGATCGGCCGCGGAAGAAGCGCCGCAAATACATCGCCAAAGCCTGGTCAGTTTGTAAATCTTGTTGAGACAACCTGCTAACACCTTGAAGCAATGAATGCAAACGTCGCAAAATAAAATGCAACGGCCAAGCACCTTGTCAACGCTGCGGCCGCCAGAATATCGAATGCATCTACGTGGAGAACTCTCAACAAGATAGCCCCGGGGAACAAGAGTAGGGGATGTTGGCTTGTTCGCATGAATCACCACTAAACTTTCTCCCAGAAATTTCGAGCGGCTTTTTGATCAGATGAGAGTCATGCAGGAACAAATTAGCATTTTGTCTGCGAGTGTTCGCTCAATAGCCGGTAGTGAGCATTCACCTGTCGGTCTTTCCGCCACGGGCAGTTATGGGCTTTTGCCTACTCAACGTTCGCTGCGACGCGTGTCGAGGACCAGAGAGACGCCATTTCAAGGTCCAACGACATCGGCTTTCAGTTTCGACCTCGCCAAATCCAGTTTGCAGCAACGCGGCATTGTCGAACGCGCTGAGGCTGGTGATGAAGGTGATCTGACGCAAGAACCTTCGCCCTTGGCATCTCCATCAGCACAAAACGAAAGAATAGATTCACATCAACCGCTTGATCCACTCTGGGCCCTTCCAAAAACCGAAGCATTGCGGCTTTGTCGAGTATACGAGGAGGAGATGGGCATCATGTACCCGGTCCTGGAACTTTCGGAGCTTTTGGATCAGGTTAATCTGTTATACGGCCCCATGGACCGTGCGCTTGGTCCAGCCCTCCAACCCGATGCAAGAAATGAATTGGACCGTGAAGATATTCATATTCTACGTCTAGTATTTGCTTGTGCCTTGACGGCAGAAGCCAGCGGTCGGAGTGAACAGGCCATTACGCTGTTTGACAGCGTGCGGGAAGTCCAAGACAATTGCGTCTGGGGTCCGCCGGAAATCAAGAGCATAATCTTCTTAACACTCGTGGTTTGTCATAAGCTATCAATCTTGAAAGTGAAGTATGCTAATAGTATCAATAGTCAATTTTTTATTTTCAAATGGACGAAGAAACCCTAGCATGGCGCACGATTGGAATTGTCGAGCGCATGTGTCTCGAGAAAGGTCTACATAGGCGGGAAGCATTGAATCAGCCGGCTATTGTGGCTGCGGGAAAAGAACGCGTTTTGCGACTCTTTTGGTCAATCTACATTTTGGATATGCGATGGAGCTTTGGCACAGGCATGCCATTTGCCCTGGAAGACACGGATATCGACCCTTGGTTACCAGAGCCTGCAGAAAAGACTCCATATCTGCGTGTCATGATCCGATACAGCCGTATTGCAGCAAAAGTTTGGAAATTTATTTCGGCTTTCAACAACACGAACGAAATCAAGAAAGATGAGATGAATTATCTGGACTGGCAAGTGTTGCGCTGGGCCCGTGCAATTCCAGACTCGTTACAACTTGAATATCGAAGTTCCGCAGAAGAGGAAACTGCGACAGATGGCTCGCGAAGCATGCGCCGGCTACGAGCGTTGCTTTATCTCCGCGCAAATCAGCTACGAATGTTGATTCATCGTCCAGTACTGCATACAGCGGCACATATCATGCGGTATCCAAGCGAATCGGAGACAGTGGTGGAGATTGCCAAAGACACCATACGATTCATCACCCGCCTGAATGATACATCAGATATTTACCAGTTACAGCAAGTCGCATTCAATTGGTTCCTTGTCTCGGCCGTGGCTGTGTTATTCCTGGCTGTAGCCCAGGCCCCAACGCAATTCAGCGGTTCATGCAAAGAGGAGTTTTTCTGGGCTTTGGATTTAGTGAAAGGGTTTTCCACGCAATCTTATATCTCGCGCCGGCTGTGGAAATCTATTCGAAGCCTTCGCAAGCTTGGCCCCCAACTAGGCCTTGGTGTGCAGAAAAAACGGCTGAATGATCAAACTGGAGTTGAACAAGAACAGTTCAACTCCAATGCTTCGCCCGCTTTAGCGCCGACCGCGAGCAACCATAGCCAGACACCACAGGACGGTGTCCAAATGACACAGGAGTTGATGGAGTGGTTTGAAGCAGTGGGCAATCTGGAGGATCAAATCATGGGGATGGGAACAGGCCCCGTGCCAGATGGAGGTCCTTACCAGCAAATGCCTAATGGTGGTTTCGTGTTTGACTATGGTGAAGAATTGTCGAGTGTGATGAAGGATTGTTTTTAAGTATATAGAACTGTGTGTATATATATAAGATGAGACAATTATAGAAAGAAACGCGATGTTGACGGAATGCGTGGAACGTGAGAGCAACAATACAGCCCAGATGTTGCAAAGGCAGAACTTTCAAGAAAAATTGACGACTTGCCGAGTGTGGCAGTTCACTGTGCTGAATCTGGATTCGGATGAGAAAATGCATAGATTAATCATGTTTTTCTCAGCAGCGCCGGCCACCGTAGCGTCCTCCACCCCCAAAGCCTCCACCGTAGCCGCCTGCATGTCGCCGACCGCCATATCCCCCGTGGCCTCCGTAACCTCCGTAGCCGCCCCCATATGGGGGACCTCCCCATCCGGAACCATGGCCGCCCATTCCGCCCATTCCGCCCATTCCACCATGATGATATCGACGTGGAGGGCCCATTCCACCCATCCCCATTCCATTCATCCCCATACCACCCATGCCCATGGCTGGAAATCGTTGACGTCGTGGGAACGAGAAACATAGACCCATTGCGAGGACCAGGATTTGGATGAATTTGCTTCTGCAGATAGCGCAATGGAATGTTCAAGTAGGTAGGGATTAGAGTGATAGATTTGATTATTGAAAAGAATCAGGTCTTTGAAGAAATTCAAATTATTTCAAATTTGTCGGTGGATTGTGAAACTGAAGCCAGTTCGCCATTATATACGGGCGGAATGGAGTCTTGTGCGTCATCATGTCTTGGACCTTGATGACAACTTGTTTAATTAATAAATATATTTGAAGTCCACCTCTCCATCACCAGTCCGAACTCGTCGAGTCTCTTCGATTTCTCCACTAGCAATTTGATCCTTGATCTTGTTCTCACGTCGCAAGTAAAAGCCAAATCCAGCTACAGCACACTGCGCCACCACGAGAGACCCCAGTGAAAAGGAGTTCCCTAGCACATATGGTGATTTGCGATACACTTGACCAGCAACAATTCCAGCGCAATTTCCCATCGTCTGTTGTAACCCGATCTCGAGAGCGCGGCGGTATTGAGGGGCGATATTCACATTCAACCAGGCGACATTGAGCCCGACGGATGTATAGGTGGTGATACCAATAAGGAAAGTGGCAAAGTATTGAACCGCGGTGTTTTTTACCGTAAGGAGAAGAATATAACCGATAATTCCGAAGATATTCGCCGTGAAGATGTACTGGTGAAAGATTAGCACAGAAACTAAGAATGGATATAGCTCTACTGACCGATGCAAACTTCGAGTACCGATCGGAGCAGAACGCAATGGCAATGAAGACTATTGCCGCCCAGATGTACACAGGAACTGTCAAGACATTGCTCATCAGAGAGTTGTAGCCCATACCACCCAAGATAGTTGGCAGGAAGGTACTGAATCCATAAAGTAAGATATCTTGACAGAACTGAATGACACCGCTGAAGAAGAGTTTGGGGTCACTCAGTGCAATGCGCATCTCTTCCCAGCTGAAATTATCACTTCCCATGTACTTGCGACGCTGTTCGTTGCGCACCCGCATCATCCATCTCTCTTCCTCGGTGAGGAAGTATGCTTCAGCTGGGTTGTTGGGCAAGCCGAACCAAATAAGGATGGCACATAGAGCGCTGAATAGGCCTTCAATGATATATACCCATCTGGTCATTTGTGAGCCATGATCGTTGTTTTAGAAAGATAAGACAAAATACCTCCATCCTGCCTTGCCTCCAATTCCATCCATATGTAGGAGCCCGTATGCCAAAAGCCCACCGACGGCACCAGAAATAGCCGCACAGCTCATCAGATAAGAAACACGCTTTGCCTGCTCCTCTCGGCGATATACCATGGTCAGGTAAAGATTAAGACATGGGAACAGCCCTGCTTCGCAGGCACCCAAGATAAGCCGAGTTGCATATAGTGATCCCACCGATTCAATAAAGCCAGTGAAAATGGTGGTCAGAGACCAAACGATGCAGAGGCCCGTCAGGATATTCCGAGGTGTAAGTTTCTTCATCAAGACTGCCCAAGGTGCCTCAAAAAGAACATATGTCACATAGAAAATTGAGACTGCTGTTGAAAATTGACTGTCTGATGCATTGATATCCTCGGGCATATGAGCGACCTTGACATTACCTGGGATATTGGTCAACGTCACGATTTAATCCATCGGATGTTCAATAATAAATGAAACTTACCAATATTTGATCGGTCCAAAAAGCAAGTCAAATATGTAAACATGATGACAGGAATAAAGGCCGCATCCAGCTTGGCCAGTAGTTTCCTTTCTTTTTGCGGATCTAGCACCACATTCAAAGCCTCACCGGTGGCAGTCTCGTCCCCTAATTCTGCATCATCTTTTTGAAGGGAATTTTTCAACTCCAAGGGAGGATCATGAATAGTGTCGTGTAACATTATAGGTAGTATTGGTAGGTGCGAAAATATCAAGTATCAACGTTGGTTGATCTAGGGATTGGTCTAGTGATTAAACGATATTTAAACGATAACGTAAACGTAAACCTATCTCTATGTACTATGTCATATAACTACATAACTACATGAATTTAGCTGATACCCCCTTATAGAGAGTGGGGCGTCGGGCCGATGAAGCCCTGATAACGCGGGCATTTTAGGGCAGTGATCACCAAGATAGAGGTGCATATACCATTGATTGGTGTTGATTAATACTGATTGCCACCTGGAACCCACTATATAGGCCAATGTTATCTTCAGAACAGATTCTATCTTCAACAGGAAAGTCGATCCCTATATATTGTATGATATTATACATAAATGAAAGGGGTTTGACCTGGTGGAGAGTTTCCCCCAACTTTTTACCCCAGACTCATCGGCATGTGGATCCCGATGTGTGTCTAACCGAGGATATCTTTGCTTTGATATGGAAAAAGGATGAAGAGATGATAGGAAGAAAGGATGATACGAGAAAATACTGTAATAGGTACGCAGTTGAAGATACTCAAAAATTCTAATCTTCTCGAATTGTCTAGTATCCTTTTCATTGCATTTAGACATGGAAAATATACCGGCTTCTCATCATGCCCGACTGCTTTGTCGCCAAAATCAGTTAACAAATACGGCTGGTATTGCTCCGGGCTACTTGCAAGCCAATTTACTTGTATTGCCGGCCAAATATGCTGCGGATTTCCATGACTTATGTCTTCGTAACCCTGTTCCTTGCCCTTTACTGGGTATGACCTCTGTTCCGGGTGACGCAAGTGCTATTCAACCTTCAAAATGTATCCAATCGCAGGATTTCGACATTCGAACGGATTTCCCCAAATATCGAGTTTATTCGGGCGGAAAATTTATCGAGGGCCGTCGTAACTTGTTGGATGTGTGGAGAGAAGATCATGTTGGATTTTTGATCGGGTGTTCATTCTCATTTGAAGATGCTTTGGCCGCAGCAGGCCTGCCACCTCGTCACCACAAGACTGGCACGATAGTTGCGATGTATCGGTCTAACATCCCACTATTACCCGCGGGAATATTCACTGGGGGTCACTGTATTGTTTCCATGCGACCATACCGCCCGGAAGATATCGAGAGAGTGAGAGATATCACACGGGTGTATCGACTGACCCACGGAGAGCCTGTCGCATGGGGATGGGATGGTGCAAAGCAATTGGGGATTGTTGATATCGACAAGCCAGACTTTGGTGAGCCACAGTCATTTGACGAGGGCGAAGTCCCCGTATTTTGGGTCAGTATGCCGCAATCCTTCTCTCAAGCTTGTCTGACTTAATTACCAGGCGTGTGGAGTGACGCCTCAGATAGCTGTTGAAGCTGCAAGTGATAAAATTGAAGGCCTAGTATTTGCCCACGAGCCAGGGCACATGCTCATTACTGATTGGACGGCGGATATTCTACAGAGACTCAAGCTTGGCATTGTTTAGAGTCAAAAAAGTGTTGATTGCGCATGCACCATTCAGAATATCATCAGACTCGCTTTAGATAACCTTAGACAATGTCAATCTCAAAGGCCCCGAATTCTACCTCGACATTATCTCCAATGGCAAAAACTCCGATGACTGGCCCAGTAAAATCATAATCCGTGAGAATAGCAGTGTCCAGGGCTGATACGGACTCCCAATTGCCTCGATCTGCCTGGAAAGAAAATTCCAAAGAGGCCTCAGTATAGTCAATCCTGAAAGACATAGAGTCCTCACACGAAACAGCGTGATTCTCATGTCGCGAGAATGATTTTACTTGATTCAGCCCTCTGAAATCGACTTGTTGGAGATGGAAGTCATAAGATATTGCTAAGAACCGGTGTTCATCTTTATAGAGACATAAGCCTGCTCTAACCGACGTAGAAGCATGTGGATTGAACAGTGTGGTTTTCGCAGTGCCGTGAAGCCTTCGCTGTCGCTGCCCAACGAACGGGATGGATTCATCAGGGCTGGTAAGATCCACCGCATCTGCTTGCAAAGTGATATTCTTACCCCTGATTTGATATAGGTCTAGCTTGGCGTGTCTCACATAAACCCAGGGTGCCGTATGTGAGCCTTCAGATTCAAGTAGAAGGGGTTGTGGCCCAGGAGAGCTATCGGCCGTTGGGGGCTCAATCGTCGGCCACTCATTGTCAGGCCAGGTCACCTCCGTTAAAAAGGTCTCCCGGCCCATGATCGAGCGGCCTTCTTTGAAACGAACTCCCAATAACACTGCCCACCATACCCCGGCTTCATCTTGGAAGAGATCGCCGTGTCCAGTATTTTGGACATATCGATCGGTGCCGCTCGCCGTATACAATGGGTTGTTGTCATAGTGCTCATATGGACCCCAAATGCTTTTTGATCGGGCCATACTCAGCATATGAAACCTAAATGTACCTCCTTCGGCACACATAAGATAGTACCATTCATCTTTCTTGTAAATATGTGGACCTTCTGTATATCCCCTTTTCCAGCCCTCCCAAATAAGGGCGGGCTCTGTGATCATTTTTCCGGTCTCGATGTCGATTTCGACGTTGTAAATATGAAACTCAGGCCCTGTCTTACACAATTGAACATAAGTATGTCCATCTTCGAAAAAGAGAGACGGATCTATTCCAGGGAAGTCGAAAATAACTGGGTCCGACCAGCTACCTGAGCGAATATCGGTTGTGTGGAGAATAAATTGCTCACTTCGCTCATCGCCTGGCAAATTAGAATGCCCGTGAATGACATTCGTGCAGATTATGTAGGTGATACCATTATGATGTCGGATAGTGGGAGCGTAAAGTCCTCCTGTTGCTGCCATTGTTGTTCCATCGTCCCATGGCGCGAGGAATGTGGTTGCTCGGCCTAGTGATAGTTGTGATGGCCTGTTCACGGCATTACCTTTAACGCGTTAGAGCCCACAATTAATGTTTTCATCCAACAAGTCTCACCGATATGGGTCCATGAAATCAAATCATCTGACATATAAATGGGCAGCCCCGGAAAGAGGTGGAAGCTCGAGTTTACTAGAAAGAATGTGCCATCGATCAGGCAGATTGAAGGGTCGGGGGAAAATCCAGGAATGATCGGGTTCAAGTGAGCAGCCATGATTGCGAGTGGGCGGACCACTGCTTTTGTTGTCAATATGATAAACCAAAGAAGATGAAAGAAAAAAGTAATTGGATTTTCCTGAACTGCAGAGACTGGAAAAAGACGATAAGGAGGAGGGAGAAAAGAGGAAGAGAGACGAAATACCTAGAGAGATCTCTGTTCAGATAAGATGATCCGATCCAAAAAAAAATTGTTCCTAGAGGTTGACAAGGAATTGAAAGTAATTGTCAGACAGACGACTTTATGTGGCGCGAGGATTTAACCGGTTGGGACACGGCGTGGCACCCCGATAGCATAACGCGAACAAATAACAAACAATCACCCCGCGTTTGCTTATCTTATTAGGCTGATTGAAACCTTGAATTGAGAGTAGTTGGAAGTTTTTTGGACCAGTTGTATGGTAATATTGAATCGAGCTTATAGCAGGGACTCAGCCAGTATATATCAAGCCTACCGCCCATGTTCTGAATATCAACCAGGCATCTTCTCACAACTAAATTACAAAAGCCTGGCAGCACAAAATGTTCGAAAACTCTGAGACTCTTAAGCCTCCTAAAGGTCACTTTTACTTAGCAGGGAGGCTGTTCCCTCGGGTAAAATGGTGGAAATCCCCTAAGATGCGAGTACTGTACTTTTACATATTTGTTCTGATCATAACTAACACGGCGAATGGGTTTGACAACTCGATGATGTGCGTCTTGCCTTACTAACGAGTGTGGCTGTGGTTTAACTTCAATGCTGACAATATGGATTTAGGAATGGTCTTCAAACATTGTCCTACTGGCAGGACTATTTCGACCACCCCAAAGGTCCCACACTCGGCTTGTTTAACTGTGTCATGAGTGTGGGTGCACTGGCTGGGTTAGTGATTTTGCCATATATGCTTGATCGTCTTGGCCGGAGGATTTGTTTAGTGTTTGGGTCTTTCTTTATGTTGCTAGGTGTCGCACTACAGTCCGGCTCCATCAATTTCTCCATGTTCGTTGGAGCTCGATTTATCCTCGGGTTTGGTGATATAATTGTGATTTGCACTGCGCCTCTCCTTATCACTGAGATCGCCCCCGCGCAGGACAGAGCTATTCTGGTCACTATAGCGGGTGCCACGTACCACTCGGGCGCGTTCATCGCAGCGTGGACAACATATGGAACACTGAAGATCCAAGTGAGTCCAGCTCCTGACTGAGAGAATCAATGCTAACATAATATAGAGCGAATGGTCATGGAGAACCCCAAGCCTGATTCAAGGCGTATTTACATTGATTATGCTGGCAGTTGTGTGGTGGATTCCGGAGAGCCCGCGCTACTATGTCTCTAAAGAGCAGCCAGAAAAGGCCATGAAGATCCTCGCGTACTATCATGCTGATGGAAACGAGAACGATGAGGTAGTTCAATTAGAGTTTACGGAAATCACAACTGCCATCGCGATGGAGAAAAATGCGGAGCATTCGGGATCTTACATGGACTTCCTGAGAACTCCTGGGAACCGAAAGCGACTGCTCATTATTATAACCTTTGGCTTGTTTGCTCAATGGTCAGGTAATGGTCTGGTGTCCTATTATCTGAATCTCATTATGGACAGCATTGGAATCAAAGATGCGAACCGACAATTATTGATCAATGGAGCGTTAACCTCTTTCAACCTTGCCACAAACCTATTTTTCAGCTTCTTCGTTGACAAATGGGGGAGGCGACCCATTATGCTCGTGAGCTCGGCTGGCATGATGGTTGCCTTTGTCGTGTGGACAGCGCTGTCGGCGAAATATGATGCGGATGCAAGCTCGGCGCTTGGATCTGGAGTCTTAGGGATGATTTTCATATATTATCTCTTCTACAACCTGAAGTACGACCTTCACGATAATGATAGCTTCCCAGAGTCTGGGGCCACTGCTGACGGGTCATTTTAGGTCCGGATTGATTGCGAGCTATACTACCGAGATTCTCCCTTATTCGATGCGTGCCAAAGGATACACTATTATGGAGTTTGCCATGTACATCGCGCTGTTTTTCAACCAATATGTCAACCCGATTGCCCTGGAAAACATTCATTGGCGCTACTATATCTTTTACTGCTGCTTCTTGTTTGTGGAAGTCATAGTGATCTGGTTCTTTTACCCCGAGACGCGCTACTTACCACTTGAAGAGATTACGAAGATATTTGACGGAGATGATATTGCAACCGCTGCGAACCTGGAGATGGAAAAGATTGAAGAATATGGAAAAGGCATGACAAGGGCTGTTCATATTGAAGATGCAAGTGCTTGAGCTGGGCAAGATACCGGGGCAAAGGGATAATAAGCACGCAACCGGAGCTGAAGATAGGATCGTGCTGCTTATCAAGTACATGGAGCTAGCACTTTGGTTGTCATTTTATTGCCATAATCCAATGTACTTTCCATGTATCCTTCTCCCAGTCTTCCTTCTGGTCAGTTTTCAAGATTACCTGAAGTCTCTTCCTATTCTTGGTTTGATTTTGAATATACTACGACCCAACAATCCGTAGTTACACAATTGAATATCGATGCAGCTGGGTTATTTTGATATCAGTTGTTTCCAGCTTTTTGAACGACTATTTGTGACCAATTTTCACATTTAGAAAGTATCCTCATATATTAAACTGCTACTCGATTAGCCTGAGCCGCTCTAAAAGCATACCGAAATACATAGGCCACGATCAATAATTACCCGTGTTTGCGTTATAAGTCCGCTTTCCCCTGTACCAAGTTTCACATACTCGAGCCTTGAGAAGTGCTTCTGCGGCCCATTCCATGTCTACGACCACAAAATCGGCGTTGAGGCCTGGACGTAGGCTTCCTGTCCAGTCATCGGCGAAAGACGCATAAGCAGCCCCAGTAGTAGCCGCCGCAACTGCAGTAGCAAGAGAGACCGCGTGTTCTGGGTTGATGGTGTCGTTAATTGAGGGATCGAGCGCTGAACGGCGAGTTGTAGCTATATACAGATTTGGCAATGCGAGGTGGTCCGCCGTGGGAGCATCTGTCCCGAAAGCCAAGGTGGCACCGCCATCCACGAACTCTCGATACGCGAAGGCTCGTTTGCATCGCTGTGAGCCGAGCATCTCTGGCCATCCCCCGAATGTCGCAGGATCTAAATGAACCGGCTGAACTGAGGCGACTATCCCCAGATGACCAAGTCTTTTTGCATCTTCGGGCGTTGTGAGTTCTAGATGCTCGATACGATGACGGCAGCTGGGAAGATTTGGAACCTGGGATAAACAATCGATGGTCTGTTGAACTGCTCGGTCCCCAATAGCATGAATTGCACACTGTAAGCCAGCCTTAGCCGCACGGTGTATGGCTGCTGCAAAAGGCTCGACGGGCCATATCGGATCAACAAGAGTGGAAAGATCGCCATAAGGCTGGTGTAATGCAGCTGTGCAGCCATCAACTGTCCCGTCGCAAAGTAGCTTGATGCCGTTGATGCAAAATTCTGGGGATGCGGTGCGGTTGAAAGTTTGATGGAGCGCGATTGCGCGGTCGATTTGGCAGTCGATTTCTGTATTATCCTTCGAGTAACGCACTAGCCAGTGTGCAGAAATGTGCAGTGGGAGCCCACCACACTCTTTGCGGTAGATATTCAGCACATCCCAGTCCTCCTCGCTCATAGCCATATCAACAAGACCAGTATACCCAGCAGACCTGTGTGCGGTAAAGGCAGCCTCGATCGCTCTTGTCCTCTTCTCTGAAGATGTCACGCTATTGAGAAAAGGCCAAACGATGTTGAGCTGGGCTGCTTCATCGAGCAAGCCAGATGCGGTGCCATCTTCACAGCGATGAATCTTACCCCCAGGAGGATCTGACATTGAGTGAACCTCCAGCTCTGCGAGAGCCGCATTGTTGCACCAAGTGGAATGAAGATCCAATGCTTCGATGTATATAGGCCGTGGGTCTAGATCATCTAAAGCTGTGGCGAGAGCCTTTCCATCCGTGACTGATTGCATCCATCCTCGGCACAGGATGCGGGGTTCGGATGGGTATGTAGCCGCATAAGCAGTGATCATCTTCCGAATATCGGAAAGTGATTTGCATGGGAGCAGATCAAGCTTTTGTAGCGACAAACCGAAGTTCAGGATGTGCACATGGCCGTCAATAAAGCCGGGGAGAACGACACGATTTATCAAATCCACAGTTGGCCCTTCTGTTCTAGCTTGGACTACTGTGGGATCATTTTCTGAGCCGGTGTACACGATTCTGTCGCCCTTGATCACCAGGGCAGAGACGAAAGGATCCCCCAAGTCAGGACAGAAGATGCGGCCATTAACAAAGACTGTGGTAGTCATATTGAATCGACGCAAGAGCAGCAAGGACAAAGAAAACACCTGGGCGGGCTTTGTGTTATGGTTGTTGTAACACTGGTGTAATCTGGAAGCGAAAGAGTAGAGTGAGGTGAGAAGAGGAAAGTAGAGACGGAAATAAGACGGCGCAAAATGACACTATTGGTTAGATTGATGGATATTGCAGGCAATCGAAAAAGGTGTCACGTTACGACGAAGGGTGATTTTGTATAACGCAAAACTTCGTCTGACATTTTTTCAATGTTTTGTTGGAGCTTACTATGCTGCAGATCGATCCAAATGAAAAGTGAGATATAGTGTACATATACATACATACATAATGTACAAATTACCACAGTTGCAACTCAAAATACCTATTGTTTTTCCCTTCAACTCTTACGAATCAATAGTCTTATTCCACGTATTTACTATCTTCTCTTTAACTATTTAAGGATGGGAGAATCTAAACCCTGATTCAGAGATAGAGGACAAATTTATCTTAGGTATGTACTTATTGTAAGGGTCACTAATGAGGCTTTTTGAAATTACCTATAAGATAGATAATGGTTTAAAATGTACGGAATGAGATGTGATCGTTTCAATTGACTTTGTGTGCCTTTACATATGTCTAGATGCATAGATATTTGCATGAACACTAAGCCGCTGTGATTGCATTAAGAAGTGTAAGATTTATCGTTCAAAGGTTGGTGTGTAACAATAGGCTTGGATATTGAATGACACTTAAGACAGATATGCTCACATAGTTATTTGCCTTTATGTGAGACACAAGAGGGAAATCAAAATATTACATAGAATAATTGTCGTCTATTAAATAAGTTGGTCCTTTCGACCCCAGAGAGCAATAACGACTTCACAGAAAAAACGTGGAATTTTGTGCTTTTGGCAGATACCAGATTTCAACGGGACTATGTGCCTCCTAAAGGTCCAGGATCATACAGGCCTAGATGGCTGCGGTCATTTTTGAATTGTTGATCTCGATAAATGTGTGGCCGCTAAAATTTTGGGAGAATTTTCTGCTTGTTTGTATCCACTCAGGCAAAGACTTGTTCCTCAATCAAAGGAGCGGCGAAAATGGGTCAACTACTTTTGACCAGGATGTTCTAGGGCTCCAGGCATTTGTAAAGGCTGCCAACGTGGAAACGGTGGATGGGAAGGTCCATATTAACGTTCATGATAGCTAGCCAACAAAACTATAATATTCCAATGATGGAAATTGAGATTTGAAAAAGAGAGAGCCAAAAATATTCATAGAAAGCAGGACTTTTAGGTATTTTGTGCATACATATGCAGATAGGATGTACCTTCCTAAACGGGTGATCATTTAATTTGCTGCCTAAATTCTAAGGCAGAAATTCAGCTGACCTGGCACCGAAACATCTTTCAAGTCTGCTCTCCTGCTCGACTTGCTTTTCTTCTTTTTGACCCCTGTTTTTGTTTCTAGCCTCAAAAATACGCCATAAAAATTCAACTGGCTTATCCCACTTGTTTCGACGTATCATATTCTGCGAAATGAATCTTGGATGAACATCAGGAATCTCAAATCTTATCGCGAGCGCGGGTCATACAAGCCTGATTGGGGTAGCATGGCGGAATTTTAGGAAATGCGAGCACACCACCATATACCCGGGACCCCCATCTCGTCTCCGCTACCGTGCAAGTCGTACAGGAAAGCTCGTCGCAGACCAGCTTACTTACGGACAAAGACCGGTTGTTTGACCTGTATGTCTCCCTTCTGACTTTTTATCGAGTGAAAATCCTCCTAATTATGGCGCCTTATTTGTTGGGCATTATATTGGGAGTCCTTATTATCTGAGGATCTATACTAACAATCATTGAGGCCGTAAGCGAAAGAAGAAATGTGACGAAACCTTCTCGACCTGTCTCAACTGCGCAAAGCAGGGCACAGACTGTGTTTGGCAATCCAACCACAATTCTCGGACGCACGCCAATCATGACTTCGGTAGTCTTCAGACTTATGGACCCGAGCAAGAGGACTTGCAATGCTCTTCCATACCCTCGGAGGGTATTGCTAAATCTTGCCCCAAACTCGGTACTGTAGTAGCCCGAAGCCAGGAGTACGCATGCCGAGAAATACCCACAAGTTCATGTCAGCGGTTGCAATTTGTGCCACCTGGCACCATTGCAAGTCTGGCTCTGGAACAACGCTATTTCGTCAACTTTGGTCATTCGTCAGCTCTCACTTCAGGGAGTGCTCCTCTGTTTGAATTCCTGCGGTCAAAATTCCTACCGCAGCTTATCCGCCCTGCAGCAGATTGTCGCGTGATCGATCTGTTCAGTCAGGAGTCGTTGGCAATGGCAATCAAAGTACCGGCTTGCATGCACGCGCTGCTTGCGTGTTGTGGCGCTGAGATCCCTGCAAAAAGTACACACTTCCAAAGCCTAGCTCGTTTCCATTACACCCAGGCGGTGGCTGCACTACGTAATAATTTGAACCAACAAGGATTAACGACCAACTGGCTGGTAACAATTCATACTGTGCTTATGCTTTGTATCTACGAGGTAGGCCTAGCCTGAGCGAACCTTTCAAGAGCAACAACATCGCTAACAAGAACACAGAGGTCTAAACCATGGGGCCCTGCAAGTGTGACAGTCCATCTGACAGGTGCAGCCCAATTGATCCACCTTGGCTCTCGCAATTGGAAGGCCAGATCCAATGCGTCAGAGATAGAACGCATGATGTACCGCCTTGTTCACGAGGCATTCATCTTTCATGTTGCAACAAGTCTTCCATTTCAATGCCATGAAGCATATTCACCTGATATCGACTCTGCGTTTTCATTGGCAGAGAATCAGCTTGGCCAGTACTTCCATATACTATTGCCAACTCATCCAGATTCTCCAGTTTTGGGAGTCGCGCCTGAACTGTTTCGATTAAGTTTTACGATTTATCGTATTTATCAGAATCGTTCACACGACAGACCCAGTACAGAAGTTTGCATCAACTTGGAGAAAGAGTTAGCATGGTGGGATAGATGGACAGCAACGGCTCTTTCTCACAAACCCGAGAACATTCAACTCGGCGAGCCTAATTGCAAGCAGGGCGCTCATGCATTATGGCACCGAGCAATAGAAACGAACTATACTGCCGTTATTGGGCCCCGTTTGTACTTGATAGGATGTCAGATTCTTCTACAGCGCATGTTAAACCGACAGCAGAAAACAGTTGACCCGGTCATGGATAAATTACTCAAACAAGGCATGAGTGCCGTAAAAAGTTTACAACCTACTCTGGACTATTTTGCTGAATATTACTGCTGGCCATTCTATGTTCTCGGAACCCACCTTGTGGAGCCGTCGGAGCGCGAGTGTCTTTTGGCTCAAATTTTGGCCTTTTGGACAGCCACCAACAATGGAACCATGAAACGACTATTAGAGATACTCCGTTTGTTTTGGCAGTCATTCTCAGCTTTCGAAATCGCCCTTTAGCGGCGCCCAACCAAAGTACTCGATGTTCCGAAAAACCGCGGCGAAAATCGAAGGTTTTTTTTTTCTCTTTATTTAAAACTGACGCACGCCAATTTCTCATGATCGTTGAATGATATTTTTTGATTTGTGTCGATCCGTAGTAGCAAGACCATTTCCCTCATTCGAAAGTCCCGAAATCGGCGTTCGGTGCTCGGCATTGTTTCCGAGTAACTATCGCATATTCTCCGTCGCGTTTTTACAATTTGTAAGCAAGGGGATTATTAATGCAAATATATATAGCATGGGAATCCATATTCCACCTCGTCGATCAAGAAAGTGCCAATTCTCTAATCTTTTGTTTTAGAAAAACGAAACGCGATAACGATGGGGTCTATCTCGTTCAGTTCTCCGTCCATGAACAAGGCCGAGGGGATACCCTATTTTACTCCCGCAAACAATGCCGGAGCAGCCGCCAATCCAGAATCCCCCGATACCCCGACACTCTTCCGTCCGTTGCAAATTCGAAACGTGACGCTCAAGAATCGTGTGATTGTGGCACCTATGTGCATGTATTCGGCGGAGTCAGATCCCACCTCTCCTGCCGTAGGTGCTTTTACAGATTATCACATTGCACACCTCGGTCACCTGGCCACCAAAGGCGTCGGTCTAGTCATCACTGAAGCCGTGGCAGTTCAGCCAAACGGTCGAATTTCGCCCAATGATGCTGGTCTTTGGCAAGAAGGAACTGAATCGGAGCAATTCAAAGGACTTCGCCGTGTGGTGAATTTCGCACACAGCCAAGGTGCTAAGATCGCCATTCAACTAGCCCACGCAGGTCGGAAAGCGAGCACTGTATCTCCTTGGCTTGCATCTCAGCGGAACAAGCGCAGCGTCAAAGCCGACGAGAGTGTTGGTGGTTGGCCATCCAACGTCGTTGGCCCTTCCGGTGGGGAGGAACACATCTGGGCCTCTGACGATCAATTCTGGGCCCCACGGGAGCTTACAACTGACGAAGTCGAAGAAATTGTTCGGGCCTTTGCGCGAAGCGCAGAGCTCTCCGTTAAAGCAGGAGTAGATGTGATTGAAATTCATGGTGCCCATGGATACCTAATTCATCAATTCCTGAGTCCCGTTACCAATCAACGCACCGACAAATATGGTGGCAACTTTGAGAATCGAATCCGTATCGTTTCTGAAGTGGCTGCTGCGATTCGTGATGTGATTCCCACTGGAATGCCGTTGCTCCTTCGGATCAGTGCCACGGAGTGGCTCGAAAAACAAAATGTCGCAGCACAAACTGGAAGCTGGGACTTGGACTCTTCAATTGAACTGGCCAAAAGGCTTCCTGATTTGGGTATCGACTTTTTGGATGTGAGTTCAGGCGGAAATCACAAGGATCAACGTATCGAACCCCATACAAACTATCAAATCGACCTTGCTGGCCAAATCCGATCTAAGATCCATGCTGACGGTCAAAAAACGCTTGTTGGTGCTGTCGGATTTATCACTGAGGCAGAATCCGCTCGTGATATTGTCCAAGGCGCAGAGGAGGCACATGCGAACGAAGCTATGTTGTCTGGCCAAGAGCCGAAGGCTGATGCCGTGCTAATGGCTCGGCAGTTCCTCCGTGAACCAGAATGGGTGCTCAATGCCGCTAAGAAACTGGGCGTCAAGATATCGGTGCCCTTTCAATTTGCTAGAGGGTTGCTTTGAAATATAGACACACTAAATATTATAGAAAATTGACTTTTCAAAACAAAGATGGACTTCTCTTCCGAAACCTAACGAAGGGGGATTGTTCTCGACGATCATTCCCCTCATTGAAGAATCAATCTCCACCACACATTCATTCATGTTTCGGCATTATGCCCTAAAACATTCCCGCGTCCGGAGGGCTTAGGATTGCTGAATCAAGGGCGAGTAGTTTATCTTTACTTAGCCACACGCTCACGCGCTATCCACTATTCAGCCAGTAATTCCTCAACGTGCAACGCCAAGCACCGGGCCAAGACTCGGGAGCCGATGTTACAGTGCATTTGGAGCTAACTATGGATAATCAACACAGTTTACCTGAGGGGATGAAATAGGGCCAAGAAGATATACCTGAGATATAAAAAACATCATCCGGGACTGCTTGTTTTTTGGACTCAGAATATCATATGACCTACCTAGGTAGCATTTTTTTCGAAAGGCGTCTGTTATCTTACACGTTCTGATCTGACTGACAAGCCCAGTCGGTCGTTTCTCCCCCTTTCTTCTTTTTTACCATTTGGTTTCTTTTAGAACTGCCAGGATGGGCATTTCTCATGTGGCATGGGTTTTAGCCGTCTGCCAGCCCCTTCTAGCCGGGGCGCTGCCTGTCCCTTCACCACCTGGAATTCCCTCCGCATCTACCGCCATAAGTGAGCTGGCGGGGTTAACTGTTGCTGCACAGGGATCGCAGGATGGATATAGCCGCGCGCTGTTTCCACACTGGATCACTCAAAGTGGGTGAGTAAATTTTACTAAAAAAGCTCTGAGACGGCTCCCATAACTAAGAATCTTGTGGGTAGTACTTGCAACACACGGGAAGTGATCCTCGCCCGGGATGGAACGAATGTGGTGCAAAGCTCCAGTTGTGCAGCTACTAGTGGATCATGGTATTCTCCATATGATGGGGCCACATGGACAGCTGCAAGTGATGTCGATATCGATCACCTGGTTCCATTATCCAATGCTTGGAAGGTGAGCTATATTCTTTACAAACTGTGGAAAATTTGCCTTTTTTAATGCATGTTTATCTTCACAGTCGGGTGCAGCCAGCTGGACCACGGATGCTCGTCGTGCCTTCGCCAACGATTTAACTAATCCTCAGCTACTCGCTGTCACTGATAGCGTGAATTCCGCGAAGGGAGACAAAGGCCCAGAAGATTGGAAGCCCCCGTTGAGTATGTTTCAATACTGGATAATATTGATTCGGTCTTTGCTCACACTGTCACAGCTTCTTACTACTGCACTTATGCCAAAATGTGGGTGAAAGTCAAATCAGTCTATAAACTTACAGTGACTTCAACCGAAAAGGCCGCTCTTGTTCAGATGCTGGACACTTGTTGAACTTCTTGACATGAATGAAGAAATATAACTAGTCACATATTATACTGATAAATGTCTAAATCGCATGGAAAATATTATTAAGCTTATCCCAGTCATAAACCAGATTTGTTTGGTAGGATGCCGCACAGCAAGATAGATCAGGAGGTGGACTGGATAATGATATTCAAGATTGTTACCAGATGGTTTATCATTGGATTAGAGGGTTCTTCAATTATAGCAGTGGTCCGATTGAGTTACAAGGTCATATGGTATCTATATAATCTGTGATAATTTATATGGAGTCTAATTATTGCAGTACAAGAATGCTAGAATTTGATGATTTGAAGTGCATTATGAAGACACTTCAAAGGTTGGATGAAAATGCTTGCACAGGAATGATCGATTGATACAAAATTTATACGTAATTCATGAATAAGCACATTAAAAGTGTTACCAAATCTTCCAGGCAGAATGTATTTCAGGATAGATGCAGCTCATTAGATTTGCTGTCTAAAGGAAACCCCTCAACGAGAACATATATTTGAGTCGTTTTCAAAACCAGCAGTTTCATTGCCTGGCGGCCAATTCAGATCAAGGGTTGGTTCACATCGGACACATCTCATTGCATTTCTTTCGATGTTTTCGACCTAATTTGTCAATACAATTTGAATCGGCCGAGTTGCTGATCAAACCAAAGCTTAAATTGAAAGCATCTAGTTCCAGTTGTGAGACTTGCGCTAGACATTAGCATTGTTGATGGCCAATTTTTCCATGTATAGAATATGTTATATATCAAATTAACAAAATGATATTGGATGTTAAAGTTGTACCTAGGTATGTACTTTTTCCTGGGGTTAAGACGACTTCAATAATTTGACCATCTTGTCGTACAGTAACGGGCGTACTTAAAGCTGGAAAGCAAAATTTCATGTAGATTAGATACCCCCTTTCAATACATTGTGTCACCTTCAAGCCTTGTGGAGTAAATGTGCAATGATTATGTTCATATAGGCCCAAGCACGGGGCGTGGAGGTCTCAATTCCCTCTATTTTAGCGGCATCATCCCATAGTCGGAGCGACACCATCTCATCTCGAAGGGGATCCTGCTGGAATACCTCGAGATCTACACCTTGGAAGGGCCCTCCTTGAAATGCTAGCGACTTTTGCGAAGCAGATGAGAGGGATTCGTAATAATCACGATTGATCGCCGTAAGGTACCTAAGAAATCAGTCTCGGCCTACTACGGACAGAATTGGTGACATACCGCTTGGCTGCAACATGACTATCCACTAAGCGACAGACAACCTCGCTGAACCCAAGAGATTCGAGGTAGGATGCCCCGATAGCCTCGTGACCAACACGGCCGACATTCTCCGTACTTTGGCGAAGTGTCATACGTGCCTCTTTGGTGGACTCGAGAGGAATGATTTGACCAATATCGTGCAACAAAGCGGCAATTACCAGCTCATCACGAGCGCCTAGATGAGTGTGAGCTGTGAGAATATGTTAGATAAACAATACTAACCCGCTTTTTGGGCCTGATGGGCTGCCTGCAAACAGTGCTCTAGCTGGCTGATCGACTCTCCAATGTAGTCACCTTGACCATACTCTTCAAGAGCGCTGATTAAGGCTTTTGCTTTTTCTTGAGCCGAATGTTGGTTCATAGTGTCATGAATGAAAAACGGAAAGTTGAGGGAAGAGATGTAAACTTTGTTCAGGTGGATGGAAGGAGGAAGGGAAGACCTAGAGATGGAAGGAAGGATTTATATATAGAAAGTCACCTCCTTTATATCTTAGGCTCACTGGTGACTTTTCTAACGACGCACATATTTCCGATATCATTTAGTGGGTTCCATGCACAAAGACTTTGATTGTCGGCCATCATGCCGGCGACCCACTCTAACCATCTTGCTTAATTAAAGGAAATGTGTAAGTAAATTTTCTGACTAATATTGCTACAATTACTCAAAATTCTCATCATTGAATCTTCCTTCGATAATGACCATTCAATGCATCTTATACATGGAATAATCAGGAAGCTGGGATAAATTTGGAGTCCACAGTTAACATAGGGGACCCAAAACCATATCGCATGCGGCCTTCTTCATAGGACTCTCCCATTTTCCGCATGTGTGTTGCAGGCCAAAGTTTCTCACGATCAGAGTAGTACTGGTCGTGCAGATTACCTTCAGCTGCACAATTGTAGGTTGCGTAGATGGCGCGCCGGTCCTTCGCGCTGAGATTGGCGCCGCTCCGATGGGCTAGATACGAGCCAAAAACCAAGATATCGCCTTGTTTTCATTAGCACGCACGCGGTGAAGGTTCAAAAACTTTTTTTTTTTTTGATATTTGCATACCTGACTGAAGCTCAGCTGGTGTCCATACATTGCTGTCGACCCAATCTGATGTAATGCATCGATCGTTGCCAAGAGGGATATTCATCCGGTGACTTCCATCAACCACCTCTAGACCTCCATTGGCTGCGTTCATTTCATCGACTGCCGCAAGAATTGTCAAATGCTTAATGTTTTTAACATGGGTATAGGCATTGGCATCGATATGAGGATCGAAACCACCTATCAGATATATTAGCACCCGTGCAATGGCCGCGAACTGTGATATTACTTACCACTACCTGCTAATTTGTAGTTAATCTTTTCTTTGAAAAGAACCATCTCCTCTCCCGCAAGTTGTTGGAGAAGACTTGTTGCACGCTGCCCGCGGAGAAAACTATTAAACCCGGAATGCGAGTTGGCAAAGTTCTCCGTACGACACAACACCCGCTTGCCTTCGGCATTGACCTCTTCATATGGCATCCAAGGTACGCCCGGTGCGCATGGAAGGGAATGAATTTCTCGGGCCCATTGTTGAATCAGCCTCGATTCCTGAGAGGTGAAAAATCCACGAATTAAGAGGTATCCACGGTCATGAAAACTTTGAAGCTGCTCAGCAGACAAAGAATAATGAAAATTTTCCATTTTCAACCAATGATCATGTCGAGTAGAAGCACAAAAGAGAAGTCACCTGTAGGCCTTATGGGGCTCTGCGGCGCAGATTTATAGGTCGGACAGATGCGTTCTGTAAAGAAAACTCGAATTTATCGCCCTTCGCACCGAGATTGACCCTTCAAGTTGATAAACTATAGATCAATGTTCTATGTAAGATGCTCAATGAAGCACATGGGTGAGCGATAAGCTCCGATAGGCTTGGTGATGAAAAAGGCGGATCCACTAAAATAGACTATGTGGGTCAATGAAAGACATTAGCTTTGAATGTGTCAAATAGAACCATGATACTTTGGAAGATAGTGGAACTATGTTATATTGTATATTGAACAATGCATGGTAGAAGGAGCTCAGACCCCTGCTTAAGTGCTACGTACCTAGAGGCATAGTTCAAGAATACGACGTTATTGATCTCGCACTTCCCCCCGAGTTTTGCGTGCGTCAGTATCTCGCTTCTATTGGTCTTCTCTTTATGTATACCATCAATAGAGCTAATCTAAAGTACTTTATATAGACCTTTGTCGATTTCCACCAAGCTCAGCATCTTCCCTCAGTCTTATTTCAATATGGATGCCTCTCCTAGTGACCCCAGTATGAAAATGGAGGACCCCAAGGAACAAGTCTCGCAACCCGGGTGGGATATTGAGCAGCGAGAACCCGAGAAGAAACGCTCAGGTATCCTTAATGTGGTGATCTCAGGACTAGCTTTATTCAGTGATGGATATAACGCTCAAATTAGTGCGTCTGATATGTGTCTTTCAAGTTTGGTCTCTCCCCAGGGCTAACCCATTGCTAGTTGGCTATATGGAACCTTTATTTTCGGTGCTGTGAGTAATCTTTACTTCTGGAAAAACTTGGACAATCTTACTCATAAATCTAGTTACATGGACGGAATGTCTTCTACAATCAAGTCACGCCTGTCAAATTCTTATCTCATTGGCGAGATCTTTGGTATGCTTTTCTTCGGTATTTTGATTGATCGTATCGGTCGTCGGACTGGTGTCATTGCTGCCACAGCATTCCTCATCCTTGGAGTGGCTTTGGCAACCGCCTCTCATGGAAAATCACAACTAGGGTATGTTTCTATAGAGATACAAGGTTTTCTACAAGAACGCATCACTAACACTAGTAAAGGATGTTCTGGATGATGATTATCGCAAGAGGCATTGCTGGATTTGGTGCCGGAGGAGAATATCCAGTCTGCGCGACTAGTGCCACCGAGGCTGCCGACGAGACAGTCGAGCTCCGAAAGCGCCGTGGATTTCTAGTTGCCGTGACCACCGACTTTGCAGTGGACCTGGTGAGTGATATCAATACGTCCACCAGGATCCTGCTAACGGTAAGATAGGGATTTGTTGCTGCTGGTTTGGTTGCTCTCATTGTACTTGCTTGTTATCACCAACATAATTCTGAAGGGGTCTGGCGGGTTACATTTGGGTTGGGTATTGTGGCAAGTCTATTTTTCTTCGATTTATTGCAGCCAAACAAATCTGACACAAAAGACAGTTGCCCCTTTCTATCTGCTTCTTCCGCGTTCAGATGATAAACTCTACTCAATACCAAAAACATGCTATCAAGTCGAAGTATCCATACTGGTTAGTGTTTCGCCGCTACTGGAAACCTATGATTGGGACTTGTAAGTTGACTTGCTTAGCCCCCTAATGCAAATATTTTGGCTAAGAATTCCAAAGCCCTGGCATGGTTTTGCTATGACTTTGTAACATATCCATTTGGCCTATTCTCGTCAACCATAATCGAGCAGCTGAACCCCAACAATACCACTGTTCAGAATATTGGATACGGAGTAAGTAGATATACTACTTATAGTTCGAGCATTAGAGCTGACAGAGGACTTTAAAGACCGTTATCAACTGCTTCTATCTTCCAGGATGCTTACTTGGTGGTATTCTGATGGACCGCATCGGTCGCAAACAGACAATGACCCTAGGATTTATGCTTTGGGCTCTCTGGGGCTTTATTTTTGGGGGGTGCACTCCAGTCTATACAAAGTGTCTTTCCACTCTTTATCGTCATGTATGGGATTTTCCAAGCGCTTGGAGAGATGGGTCCGGGAGTGTCAACTTTCCTCTGTGCTTCAGAGTCGTTTCCAACACCTTTGCGTGGCCACTTTCTTGGGTTTGCAGCCGCTGTTGGGAAAGCTGGCGCATCGATTGGGACAGAGGTCTTCACTCCAATCCAGAACTCTTTCGACTCTACTGCTAAGGGACAGCAGGCAGTCTTCCTGATTGGTGCGGCATTCACAGTTGTAGGCGGGTTGGTTGCATGGTTTCTGATTCCCGATATGTCTAGGGAACTCGAGACAGAAGATGCCAGATTCAAAGCATATTTGGAGGAGAATGGTTACAACGTGAGTTTGTATGGGGAGGCTTTGGTGATCAACCCGCGCCCTTCAAATTGATTGTCGGGGCAAACACATAAAATAATAAACCTAAATAGCCTAGAAAATGTAGCAAATGCCAATGTGATTGGAAAAACCAAAAAGTGGCACATAGATCGACGATTAGCCTTTGAACTGCGACCAAGGTTAAACAGAACAGGTGAAAAAACTATCCAAAAGATACTCTAGGGGATGAGAGACTCTGAAGGTGTACTGGAGCTACATTTCCATGAAGACATAAAGAGATGTGCCATAGTATTGTAGATATCTTGTTGTTAAAAGCTACATGTATTTAGTTGGGTGACGATAAATTTCAAGGATCAACATTTAAACGAAAAGACCTGTGATATTCTTAACTTCTTGTAATCCTTCTGAGCTCGAAGGCAAAGAGTGACACGTTAATGGATTATTTTTATGGCTCGCCACATCGATACTTTGATGCTGAAGAAGAGCGATCGCTGAATACGACGCGTCATTTAATTTGGGGCTAATCTATGAATATTATCTGTAATATTGCACCTGCAATCTGGTAGCTGCAACGTCTCTTTCACGTGGACTCGGTCTATCATTGGAAGATCATCGCAGTGTCGTGAACTGCCTGCATATTTTCTACACAAAGATTGCTGAAATAGCACATGGTGTGATCGTGGGTGTATTAGTATAATTTGCGGCGAGACCTATGCTCAAAAGCTGATGTCTTCTAGAATCAAATACAGATTACATAGGAACTAAGCAGAAAAGTTGTAAGTGATTAGCTATCCGGAGCCCGATTTGTCTGATTGGTGTTGTAGTACATGCTCTATGATGGTCACGCTGAGTTGTACGCTCTACGTGGCCGAAATTCCAAAAGTGAATTTGACAAAAGCAACCACAGGCCGACCGGCCAATTCTCATGGGCAAAGGAGAGATTCAAAGGCCAAGAATAGATGAGAAGAAAAACAGCCATGTGGCATGTGCAAGTGAGCTGGTGAAAATCCGGCGTAAACCCCAGGCATGGCGAAGATCATATGACGTCATTCACAGTAGTTTCTCAACCCCGACATGCGGAGGCGAGAGTGACCCACATAGCTTGGGGGAAATGGTTTTGGCGAACCGTTTTACCTATAGGGACCGATTTAGCCGGGGATTATTGAAAATGATGTAGGATTACGCATATGATGGAGGTGATATTAAAATGAGCTTTTTGTCCACAATAATATCGTATGTACAATGATAGTTGTGATGAAGTGTATTCATACTATCCAATCGTCGACAAATTGTGCGTTAAATTACCGTGAACAGATTGTAGGGAAAATTCGATGGCTACCTGGGTAAATCTTTGCTAGAAACTTAGTGTGTATTGTCTGGGTTTTCAATTTCACTTTACTAGTTTCATTGAGATACTAATGGTTAGTACATGAGATGTTGTAACTATGGTATTCATAACATAACCAGCTCAGGAGACACCCTTTTACGTGCCCCCTGCCGATATCCAAGGAATATCAAAAAATAAGTTGAATTGTAAAAACAAGGTGAATTGACACACAAAAATGATGACTTCTCCACTATTACAAATCTATACACCGAGGGGGTATAAGATAGTCCTGAAGCGCCAAGTGGAGCCATGTTCAGCCAAGCATTTGCCAATGATGCTTCTTTTCGGCACGCCGAACCACTTAACCGCTTGCCGAGTGTGGCAAAGCCCTCGGTGGTCGGGGTACAGCGTATCATGAGTATGGAGAGAAAATTACTCCATAGGATTCAGGGTATTGAGGTCGCGCACCCCACATTGTGTCCCCTCTTCTAAAATACTGCCCTTGATCCGCCCCTTGACTAAGAATTCTAGCCTGATTTTTTCTCTCTCCCACCTTTTTCTTTCCTCCCTCCCATCACACTATGTCATCGGGGAGAGAACGTTCTGATGAACTCCCGGACGTGGAGAAGATCTCAGACTCTCGTGAGAATTCAACATTGCTTTTGTCAGAAGAACAAGCATTAGCGAAAGCACGGAGCAAACCCAACGACGCCCTACCAATTCTCATCACATACGGCCTCAATGACCCTGATAACCCCCGCAACTGGCCTAAATGGCGCAAGTGGTATATCACAATTGTTGTGAGCATGTTGAATGTTTTTACGTATGTCGTTCACTACCTTTGGGTCAGGCTCGAACTAACAAAAGGAATTCAGAACATGGTGTGCAGGAGGTATCTCGTCGGGAGCAACTGGAATTCAAGATGAGTTCGGCGTCTCAGCTGAGATTACGACATTGGCCTTGTCACTATATGTTCTGGGGTATGCCATCGGTCCTGTCCTTCTCGCCCCGCTGTCAGAATACTTTGGACGCCAACCGGTTTATGTCGTCTCGTGGTTTTGTTTGTTCATTTTTCAACTTCCTCTCGCGTTAGCCCCGAACATTGGTACAATTCTAGTGTGCCGGTTCATTGCTGGCTGTGCCGGAGGTGCGCCGCTCACAAACACCGGTGGTAGCATCAGCGACTTGTGGGAGCGAAACGAAAGTGGAGGCCCCATGGCCATCTACGGACTGAGCAGTACATTTGGTCCACCTATGGCGTTGGTGATAACTGGATATATCGGGTTGAATCTCGGTTGGAGGTGGATTTTCTGGGTTCTCATGGCTATGACTGGTGGTGTTTGGGTTGTGTTGGTCACCACCATCCCCGAGACTCGCCACACGACTGTTCTTCAAAACAAGACCAAGCGCGCTCGCAAGCAAATGAAGAAAGAGAATCTCCAGTCCGCTGAATCTACCACCGATATGCACGCAAGCAGCAGGAAGGGATTGCACGAACTATTTTCCATCACACTCACTCGTCCCTTCCGCTTCCTTTTTTCCGAGCCTATCACATTGTTCTCGGCAATATACAACGGCTTCCTCTACGGTCTGGTTTATCTTTTCAACGAGGCAATCCCTCTTGTCTTCGGTGAACCCAAAGGACACCCATTCAATGGCGGCCAACAGGGACTCGCATTTCTCGGAATGGCAATTGGTCCTCTGATCGCATTCTGTTTCTACCCCCTTCAGGAACGGTACTATCTGCGCCGCGTTGCCGAAAATGGTGGCAAAGGTGTCCCCGAAGCCCGCATGTGGATGGCTCGTGGAGGAGCGATGCTTATTCCGATTAGTTTGTTCTGGTTTGGGTGGACAAGTTACCGATCGGTTCATTGGGTTGTGCCAATAATCGCATCATCTTTCTTCGGCGCTGGTATCTACATTGTGATTCTGAGCATTTTGAATTACGTTGTCGATAGCTATCAGACCTACTCGGCTTCGGCGTTAGCAGGTGTCATTCTTGTGCGCAATGTCGTCGGAGCTGGGTTTCCATTGTTCGCCACCCAAATGTATGAGAAGCTTGACTATGAATGGGCTTCTAGTCTTCTGGGATTCATCTCCATTCTCCTCGTGCCAATCCCTTTTATTTTCTTCTACAAGGGCAAGGCCATTCGCCTACGAAGTCCATGGGCAAGGGAACACTTTGATCAAAATGAGGACACCCCTCACTAAGCAAGCTATGAGTTTCAATTAACCCAACTTCTTGTATTTACCTGTGAAATGCGCCAATTTGTATGTGCAGTGCCCAACGAGCGATATACCTTGAACTTGTTATTCAAGACCCACTAATGGAAACTGGGTTTCAATTTAATTCATAACACGAATTCAGACGCTTGCGCCATGCTATAGAAATTCTCTGCTTTAATGATGCAGTATACATCGTTTAATAGTTGGAATGAGCAGAAAATCCTGAAGCAAGCTACGAGGTTTGATCGGCACTCTAGGATAACTTTGTATTCACTCCAAACGTCATCCTCAAGTCAACGCTTCAACGTTTCAATCAGAGATCTTTGGAAACTCCAGGTCTTGCTGTAGCACACCGCATACACGAGTTTTGTGGCGGGCAATACAGTTTATCAGTCTAGCAACCGCCCTCGGGGAAAAATCATCCTTGCCACCTGGCTTCAAACATTGCTTTTCACTGAACTGTTGGGCGCTGCTATAATAACTAGCACTGGTATCAATAAGGGGATCAATGCCTCCAAAGGAGGCTACAATGAGGCTGGAGTTGGGGTCCTTCTTGGTGCAGTATTTTTTCTTCATATAGGAGGATTTGGAAAATTCTGTGTTGTGATCCTTGCGCTGTCTATAGTTGCTAATGACTGTCCGAGAATTTATTGGGTATCCTTTACATTGATGGTCATGGGGCGATGGATACGGCACGTTTCTCAATTTCTATGGACGATGGTCGCTTCAATAGCCTATATCGCAATCGCAATTCCCGGATATAGCAGCCTTGAGATTTCTCACGGGAACTTCATGCGCTTCATTGGATATCGGCTTGTCAACTATGAGGGAATTGGCGTTAATCGAGCACGTTGTCTTTAGGGGAAATTTCTCTAGTTATCGACCAGAGGACCACGACAACCGAGAAAAGCTTTCACCTGGGATTGCTGCTTTACTTACATTCTGTTGTGGAATTGGCGGCATGGTGAGTGAAATGAGCCAACCAAGATGGGTTGGCCTGATCGCTGAGAACGCGGCATTGACTTCTACTGGCTTCGAGCTGGGTTTGCGTTTGCTGCTGGGTCATACACTATACTTATGATCATTGAACTCAAATTCTTCAAGCGATAAGTCTCGCAATGGGAGAATATGTACAAAATGCACGTCTTGCATGACCTTCGAACATGGAGCTGCAAAGGTAGAGCCAATACCAAGAACGGATTAAAGGTCTGATCAGGCGATCAATCAAAAAAAATGGTAGCGCGGCACTTAATTTATCTCCAATCAAGGTACAATAATCATTGACAGGCCAAAGGCTGAACTTGACTGATTGTCTGATTGCCTGGTGGTCTGATTGCCTGGTCTACACATCCTTTCTGAGAATGGACGTTTACCACGATCAACTATCGTTTCTCATGGCACATCTTTATATCACATTTCGATGGATATAGCAGCGTTTGCTTATCCATGTTGTCACGCCTCCTTCGTTATAGATAGAGAGCTTTTCCCCTCCGAGATCTCAAAATACGATCCTCCATATTCCCTTTCCATCATCATTCCTTCACATCACTATACCACACATAGTGAGACCACTTCGAATTTTATGTCATATGCCAAACACGAGCACCCTAAAGCCGGCGTACTCATTACGAAACCCATTGGTAACTAAGGACTGGGATCTCGAATATTGGTGCCGTGCAAGTGGCGTTGAAGAAAGCGTCATGAGTACAACTGAGTTGGAAGTCCGTACTCCCTGAGTATGTAATGCTGCTTCCATTGTTGCATTTGAGTGCATGTCCAGCTCCGAGAGTGTAATCCATATGTGCCGTTGAACTTTCTAAGTTGGATGTTCCATAGAAAGCAACAATTCGCCCAGCACCGCGATCAGCATACCCACAGTTACTCGCGCCATTTCCGATGTCATGGATGCGATACCCGATGTACTGATCATGACAGGTGAGGCCGTCTTCGAAGGCGATGTCTAGCGTTTCGAGTGGGCCATATCCCCAAGGTTCATAGTTAGGCAAACCAGTATAACACAAATTGACCATAGTACCATTGCAGGTCGCAGGATCAGGATTGCACCATGAGTTTCCGCAAAGACATCCTTTGGCGTTGATGTCGGCTTGGTTGTGGATACAATCCAGGCTGTTGGACCCATTGTACCACTGGAAATTATTGACTGTCCATGTTGGAATCGGACATCCTTCGGGTGGACTGATGGAACGAGGCTGAATTTGCAAAGGAGAGGCAGCTACTGGAAGCGCCAAAAGCGCTGGAAGCAACATAAAGTTTGCCACTTTTGCCATTTTTGCCATTCTGATAGGGGTTTAACCAAAGCTAGAGAACGAAGAAGTGTGATCGAATGTAAGTTGGCGTGAATGATGACTGCTTTATATGTTGATTCTTGACCCATAATGCTCGTTTATGCAAAATTGAAGCATGTAACCTCGCGACTGTTGTGGGGTTTATTTATGCAGGTAAGCTCGCTAAATCCACACGGTTCAACTGATTCCCGTTGATTAAAACCAATTAGACAGCCCTATCTCTAAAAGGTCTTAGACATACCTGAACCCTCTCTATTGTTGACGTGATTAAATTTATCCTAGCGCTATATCGTGTCTCACTACTATTATAATTATAAGCTGAACTACGTAGGTAGGGTGACATCGGACAGTTCGCCGTATAACGTTATTTTATACTGAAAGAAAGAAGGTCCTAAGGTGAGATTTCACAATAATTCAGATAGTTGTCTGAGTTGTGCCTGGCTTAAATTTCAGAAACAGGCACGAGATGCGCCGATTCCGCGAAATCGGCGGGCATGGTCACTGTGGCAATAATGTCCACTTTTAGCCTAAACCTTGTGTTTAATCGGCCCACAATTGATCTTGGAGTCTATTGAGGGTGTTGGTAGTTAACTAATTACACCCCACTCTGTCTAGTTTTGCCTGACCCATTCCCTTTTAGTACACTGCTCTGAAATGTGGTCAAAATTGTGGCGGCATTGGCAAGGTTGGTGTATTTGACGAGTCATCCTCTTAGCGTGGCCAGATGGCAATGCGTTATGTCTCAGAGTGATAATGTTACTTACAGATACTATTTTGGTAAGCGGTCTGGAAACTGTCGATGAAGGTGTCCAATCACGACTCGCAATCCTTGAAATTAGTTTCCGCCAAACATGTCACTAGAATGTGCAGGTATAGGTGATTTCGGTCTCTAGTTTCCCTTCCCGTTTTAGCCTAGACCTCGCCACTTTCTACTTGTTTGTCACTAGCGGCTGCTTATATATTTAATTCTTAACTCAGACTCCAAAGATCTTTTTTACATCTTATATCTTAAGCCATGGCGCATTCTATTTCAGATGGATTCCCTCTCGGACCCCGACCAAGAAATCCTCATTTGGACTAAGCTCTAAGTTTTCAAAGACCTGGAGCTAAATCCCGAATGGGTTAGATTGTTTCAGCCACTGATTTGGGCCCCGGGACATGACGGGTCTGGATGGGTAAGACTCCAGAGCCTGAACATGATGCTTCTAGTAACAGGTGAGTCGAGCATCAAATGGCCAAGACCCGGCTAATACCTGTCATAAAGGGTGGAAGAGAACCTTAGACTAGAGAGAGATCATAGCCTCTCCTTCCAAGGTTCCACTTAGCTCTATTAGGCGATTCTTAAGAGTAGGGGAATCGTATACGTGTCCTCTTAAGTCATTTTATTATAGGATAGACGTTACTGAAACTATACGTTCAATCCTCTGGATTTACCTTCCGGCACCCATAAATAAAGCATATCAGGCCTAAATGTCGAATATAACAAGACTTCGTGCAACGGCCCGAGGGCTTAATGGTTAGGATTATTATAATGAGAGACGTTGACTTTAATATCGTATAAAGATGTAGGCCCCCCAAACAGAATCTGTGTATGGCTGGGAAGCTTAGTTAAAGCTATGGCCACATTTCTGGCGGAATGCAGAAGCGGCCGAGTATATATATCTTAGGAAATCTACTGGGACTGGTAATCCCATTGCCGGCGGGAGAACCCTGTTAGAGAGGTTCGGTCAGCGTCTGGAGAAAGTGGGACCCATAGGCTGTAGGGAAGAGTTTGTTGATTGTAAGATAATCGCTTATGTTTGAAATTCTATGTTGGCGATTGGAGGTTTTAATGCCATTTGTAGCGACTACTTTAAGATGAAGAATTCTCTGTAAGGCAAAATTGGACCAAAATATAAGCCTTCAACAACCACTTCCAACAAACATAAATATACCGTCCAAATGGCCTGATCACCGGTAATCGAACTATGTATTTAAATTTTCTGATCAAGCTAATATTGAAAGTGTTATCCGAGGTTGAAGTGAAGGTCCTAGATGGGAATGAACGTAACATAGTCTATGTCGCGGGCCAGTGTGATCCCCTAGATCATAGTGCCTCATATATAAAAAATCACACGTGAAACCTTGGAAGTCTTCACTCGGAGCAATGAAGCACCACAATCCACACCAACAAGTCATTATATTACAAAGACCCTTTACCATCTAGTATAAAGAGAAGGGCAACAGCCAAATATAAAAGGAAAAACACAGTCTATCTTTATACGGAAATCATGATCTTTGATAACCAGGCAGCCCAAAGTAACCTCGTATTCCCTTGGACAGAAACAAATCTCGACATTCAGAGCCCTATCTCCACTTTTGATCACCAAATCCGATGCTCCGGCACACGATGAAAAGAACCAGCGTTGTTTTTTCCGTCCCTACCACCATGCGATATGACTCCTTTGAAAATCTTATTCTGGTTCGTGATCGCGCGAAAAGGGCCTGGGTTGGCCTGTGGCTTTTTATCAAAGTCGTAGTAGGTGTTCCCTGTCGACAAGACAGGGTACTTGCGATACGATGTAATAGAGCTATTTTGCGGATACGAACCAATGGCTGGCCATCTGGACCTAAGTCTCCATTATAGTATTTGTGAGGGTATCCCGTTTACGTGGTCTATTTTGGTCCGTGTGCCTCCCTGAGCTGGTTTTAGACAGTGGAATGGGAAACCCTGTTTTCCTCTCCAGTGAACATAGTATTATAATCATACCAATGTGGCTATGTATCGCACTCATAGTCAGCAAATTGAATATGCTAGTTGTTGAACAATAGGGATAGTTTCATACCTGTCTAGCCGCAGCTTGTTTTGCCTTTCGAACCGCAGGCTGGGCTTTCATCGCCTCATTTTTGGTCTCTGTTTTGAGAATAATAGCTGGATAACAAGTAGGCAAAATATAAAGAATGGGAAATGGTAGAGGGATCTAAATGCTGACAGACCGATGAGATCATGGCTTTCTTGCGCAAGAACTTGCGATTTAGCTCTTGAAGCTATCGAAAGAGACATTCGTTCCTATGAAGATGGTAGAGCATTTTTATATCTCGATATATCACTAGTAGCGCTGAAGCGCTGGAAGTTGAAACCCTCCTCTCTTTCTCATTCGCCTGGTGCGTGGATCATTTTTTTATTATTAGTCTCACTTTGTATAGACAACAAGGATTGTGTATGGTAATGTTCCATCATTAAGACAGTATGGCTGTGAAGAGTTTCTTGACAGAGCTCCTACATTAAAATGGCTGGCGCAGTGGCCATATGATAGCGGTTAAACTGTGGATATTATCGCCTTCAATTGGCTTAGAAGCGCAAATAAGCATAGTTAAAACATTTGAAAGAGAGATACAAAATACAGACTAAGGCAATATATAGCCGCTTACGAAGGTGTAAAGGCGCCAAAGCTCACATGCCTGATTTAGCAACCGCCAACCTGACATTTCTGAAGATGCACCATTCTAGACATCATCAATACCCTGATTTTCCGTTCATACCCCTGCAAATTTTATCTCACCTATACTTCGCAAACCGTTCTAATCTTAAAAGCGGCTTCAGTGGTGTGACTAAAATGGATGAAAATAATCCTGAATAAAAGTATCTGGGTGGTCGCTATCAATTCTTTTGATAAATATACTATGTTTTTTAAAGTATCTCTTCTATCAAGGCTATCAAAGTTTATTTATAGTTACAAAACTATATTCAGTTTACAGTATCTTAAAACATATTACAAAGTAGTTTTGTATTATTTCGGGCAAAATACGATGTTTCTTGTTGGCGGTTACTGCCATTCAAGTGACCGCGCGCGTTTGGCGTTTCAGTAATATGCAGGCCCTGCTTTCACATCAATTCACTCCTTTAAAGTCTATAACCTTCCTCATAAACTTCGATTTTGCTAACTCTTGAAGTAAAAGCCCTTGAAAACAAGAAAGTCATAATATGAGCCGACCTAGAGTTTAATCCATCTTGCTTCCCAAGTGCTTACTATTTGCCTGGCTTCGTCGACAAACCCCAGATCTAGAAGAAGCTGGATGGTTCCGCGAAGTGCAGAGTCGAGAGCCGATGATATCCATGCATGGGTATAGCTGGTGTGCTCACCTATGAATATTGTTCTATATTCCGTCCGATAGAATGACGGAAGAAAGAGACTCTGCTGACCCACAAGGGGGGAAGCCCACGCGCCAGCCTGATTTTCATCGTTTTCCCAGCATAGACGATGGTATATTCCTAAAACAGCATGTCAAACCAAGAAGACGGGGTGATTTAGAGCGAGGATTTTTAAAGAAAAGAAATCACCTTGAAACTGCTCATTTGCGATCTTGCCGTGAAGTCTAATCATTGCGCGCTGGGCGAGGGCAACATGCTCTTCAGTGCTCAAGGCTGCTGTGGATCGAGCCATATTACCGTGGTTGTATGTGGCAAGGATAACTCCTGGCCCTGTCGCATTTATTGCATAGGACGGATAGCAGATATCGCCAATTCCAGGAACAATATCAGTTGTTTCACACCCTCCGTAGATAGGATGCTCAGTATGTTCCCAGAATCGCGTCTTGTAAAGGAGCGCTACCTTGCAAGACTGCTCAAAAGGTAGATCGGTAATAGCACGTCGAAGAATTGGGGAGTACGCTGGAGTTTCCCAAAGTCGAACTTTGCTGAATGGAGCCGCTACTACCACGTAGTCGTACCTCTTGAACAAATGTTGGTCCTGCAACTGGTCATCGATCCAGTGCACTGATATTTTATTGCTTGTTTGGTTGAATGTCAAACGATCAACCCGAGAGTGTAAGCTTGTCTTATTGACAACGTGGGGATAGAATGCGCGAGGAAGCGACTCAAACCCTTTGTCAATTGTCTGCCAACTCGTGGTGGAGAAAAAGTCATTCGAATAAAGGCTCTCCCATATAGGGCTAGTGTCATTTGAAGCAATGTAGTTCGATATATTCGTCTTAGAGCCAAGTGCGTAACGCAAATATCCACCTTCTGACCAGTGCCAGTGAGATTTGCCGTCTTTCAAAGCCTCTTTGTGTGCTTTGAACATCAAGGAAGAAACATTCCTGATGTATTTATCTGAATGAGAGTCCGCTTCTGTTTGCACTGTCGATTTCAACTTTGGGTTTTGAACTTTGAAAGGAATGAACTGAATGTGTAATTCTGGATTTCTGTGCGCGTTCTCCCTGTTGAGTAGATCTGCCAGCCGAATTACTAGTTGATGATCTTGAAACGGAAGTGGCTCATCGGTACCAATGTATTGAATTTCAACGGGAATACGCATCGCACCCATCTCTTGGTACTGGTAATCATCTGGTTTGGTATCATTGAGGTACACCGTTCGTACACGGCCTCCCAGCCTCTGAGATGACTCGTATATATGCCAGTCATGGAGACCAACAGAATCCAGCAGATGGCTTGTCATCAACCCGGCCATTCCGCCTCCAATAATGGCAATGGAAGCATTTTTTGAGCTTTCACTAGCTGCTATACTTTGTTTGGCTCTAATGTATTCAGTCCCATCAAACCAGGCATTCGATGCGTTTATCAGCCTGGCAATATTTCCGAGCGGTTCACTTGGCGTTGTTACAGTGATGGGAGAAGAACGCCCAGCATGAAGGGAGTTCGAGAAAGCGGAAAGACATCGATGACTTGGCGTATCTAGAGGAATTATCCATAAGAGCCTGTCAGGATAAGCGCCTCGCTTCACCGAAATTGTCCCCAGTTCATGGTGAGCGTCAGTTGAGTTCCGAAGGTTGCAATCACCATAGACTATGTGTAGAGGCCCTTCGAAGGATTTATCAAGAAAACGAAGATGAACATTGTATAAGGAACCAGGCTGGACGGTATCTGGTTCGTAGAATTGCAGCGGGAAGGTGTCGTTCTCTGTAAGGTGCGACAGATAAAGAGCTATAACGACAACACCCAGAACTGAGAAAAGACCCCTGTTTCCCCTCATGAAACGAAGCATATTGGAATTCTGATTTTTGCAATATTTTCCTAAAACAAAAGTAAAGTTAGTGTCGGAGCGAAGGCTTTTACAGTTATGTAAATCTCAGTTCGACGGTCTTCTTCTGTCCATTGTTTTGAAATGAATACTTCCCGCACGGACCATCTTTGTAGTGCCCCTTTACGTCTTCATGCATGTACATACATAAAATCAAGGAAAAAACCTCTTTTTCTTTAGGCAATGTCTCTGCTATCGATATTGTGTAACTCTACCACATTTATCATATGCACGGCAGAGGAACCGACCCATGCTGTGTAAGATGGGTGACTAAATCCACAATTGTGCGACGGCTCGCCACTTAACCAGATGATCCAGTTTAGCAGGTGACATATGTAAACGTTGATCTGGGTAAGTGTCTATACGAACACTAGCACAAAGTTTAGGAAAAACCGCAGTTACCGCCTCTTAATTAAGATAAACCTACATCCTAAAGGATGCTGTCACCCGCTTAAGGCAATCACTGACGACCAGAGTGCTGTGGTATAGGGATTATGCGTTGGGCGGTAACTTTTTCGGCTACCTATATTGAGTTTGAGTTGACCTAAACGCTAAATGATGGAGATTCTTCGTTACGAGTTGGTAAGAGTCTGTTATACCCAGCTGCTGCTGTGCCCTCTTAAGAACTTGTATCTGATGATATCATTAATAGGCTGTGATGAAAGTAATCTAAGCTAAAAATTACGGAAATATATGCTAAGGAACAGCGAATGAAAAGGTGATAGATAAATATTTCAAAAGACTGATTATATTTGTTGGAAATAGATCTATATTATAACCCCCAATGCTAGAAAAACAAGCAATATTGGTATACAACGGACTATCTAGTATCCTAAAGTGCAATGACGTAGCCTAATCTGACTTTGGACCTAGGAATCGCGCAATGATTATCTATATGATGAAAATGGAAGCCACGACAGATCAATTGAGCATGACGACAGGAGCCTTATATGCCCTGGGATAATCAAGGTCATGATTGAATCAAATTCAATGATGTGATGATAGTAGTGGGTTTGTGAAAGAAAGAAGACATTAACTATGTCCATGGTGAACAATTTATAATTTCGCAAGGAAAACAATGTCTGGGATCCAGGTATGGCATAATGGCTGCCATGTTACCAGACTGCGGGGAAATCACAGAACGAACGGAAATGTCGACTTGTAGAAGAAAATAAGCAACGCAGGTGTAGGTGAGGTGGAGGGAGGAGAAATGTAAACAGTTAGGGGACTCTTGATTCATCGTAGGGTGTGTATGACCTGATAGAAAAGTCTGCTTATTTCGCAGAAGTTGTATTTGTATAACTCGATCCATTATACGAGCGACTGTGCGCCAAGAGAATTGATATTTTGATTGGTGGTATCACAAGGATCATGGCAAGTCTGTAAATTGTTTTGAAAAGCATGTGTATTGCTTTTTCTCCTTACATGTCAAATTATTCTCGGCACAATAGGCCAAGGTACCCACAGAAATGTCAGGGTGTGGCACATCATCGCTAAACCAATGATGATAGGCGCCCAGTAGATAAATATGAAAAAAACATTGACGGACCTTTTGGCCTCTAAACTATCCCATTTCCTATGCCATTCATAGGCTACTTGTCATTTTTGAAAATGATAGACCTTCTGATTTCTGGTTCATGCTGCTAAAGCATTGATGCACGTACCAGATATGCTGTCAGTTGGCTGTCGATTATGCGGATGGCTTCGAACTTAGTAAGGATCTGAGTGCATCTGGAGGATGAGCGGGTGAATTCACCATATAAGATAATATGGTTGGATTTTCAGACTTCCCAGTTACACGGCAGCGCCAGGGTTATGACGGAGGGAATGACGTGCTATTTCTTGTTCTCACGGTTTTCTATTTACAGGAATCTGCGAGAAGATGTAAGGTGTCTTCACCTATTTAAGTCAGTAATAGATAAAACCTGTCTTTGCAAATACCAATGGAGACTGGAGAATCATAAAACTCTTGATGTACGATTGATCAGTGACTGAGATATATGAATTGATAACCGATCTCTACTTTGATATCGCTATGATCAATACAACAAACCTAGGCTCACTAGAGGGCCTTCACTGGAGGTCCTCGAGTTCTTTCACCATCATGACTATTTTGATGGCTGCAATGACCAGTAAGTTAGTGCCGAGCGGCTTTCGGTATTAGCCGTCAATATTTATCAATCAGGCAGACTGATACCATCAGACATGTTCCTGTATAGTTTTATGGTCCCTCTTCTGCCTTATATACTCGAAAAAAGACTCCTCATTGATCCCGAAAGGACGCAGAGCTTTACCTCTATACTATTAGCCGAGACTGCTGTGGTCTCGGCCTTGTCAAGTCCCGCCATTGGAAGCCTAACAGACAACCGCCCTTCCAAAAGAGGCTTAATGATCTTATCTCTTTGTCTTGCATGTGTGAGCACCGTAACTATGGCTGCTGCGAAAAGTCGTAAGTGTTTCCTTGCCAATATTGATTATAACTTCTCTCGGAAAGGGCACCTCTTTCATGGTCTGCAGTGCGTTTAAAGTGAACTGATGCGTTTTACAGTGCCTGTAATTTTTCTTGCTCGATTTGTTCAGGCGATTGCAGATAACTCGATGTGGATCGCAGGGCTGGCAATGATCACGGACATTGTTCCTTCTCATCAATTTGGTCGCATCATGGGGTTTCTGAGTGTTGCAGTCTCGGTGGGAACATCAGCTGGCCCGATGGTTGCCGGCTTACTGTTTGAAAAGTGTGGTTATTGGGCAGCGTGGTCGAGTGCATTTCTACTCCTATTCATTGACTTTATTATGCGAATCTTGATGATCGAGCGTCCGAAAACTGAGTTGTTAGGTAAGTCTTTTCTGTTCTTCTAGCTTTCTTTTTTTGGCATGGAAGGATAAGTTTGGTGCCGAGAGACTTGCTAGACACTAACATTGTCGTTCTGATTAGGGCCTTTGTTTCGCGCTGCTGATGAAGAAATTGACCCCTTAATTCCTCAGACGATCCAACCATACAAACAAGGACAGCCAGATCCAGACGTGAAGCACGTCTCGAATGCCGAAGTATCTGGGTTATGGTTCTACTTTTATCTACTACGCCAGCGTCGATTTTTTGTAGGGACTGCTTCATATGTCTTCTATGCCATGCTAGTGACCAGCTTTGACACAACATTACCTCTCCATATACGTGAGAGCTTCAACTGGGGCAGCCTAGCGGCTGGATTGCTTTTCATCTGTCTCCAACTTCCGGGAATAATATTGACTCCTCTCAGCGGAACGCTCAAAGACCGCGTGGGAACACGTTACCCTACTGGGACTGGGTTTTTACTGATTGCGCCATTTTTCTGGCTAGCTGGATTGCCCGGGGCAAGCGAAGTTTCATGGACTAGTGGGAGTTTAGAAACTGGAAAAGCTGTTTACGTTGTTTCCGTAACCATTATCGGGTGCTTATTTTCTTTATTCAATGGGTCGGGATTCCTAGAGGCGACTTGTAAGTGAAAAATTCACATATCTCCAATTGAGATATAACCTGCAAGAGGGAATCTCGATAGCCGAAGCACGCTTTTTCCCTGCATTTCCCATCAAAACGTTGACTAACTTATACCAAACTTTGGGACAGTGACTGTTGACGAGATCGAAAGCAACAACCCCGGTATCTTTGGGTCGAACGGCGGATACGCCAGAGCAAATTCACTTTCGTGGATGTCCTGGACCTTGGGCATGTTCCTTGGTCCGATAGTCTCTGGGCTTCTAACAGAAAAGGCTGGGTACTTCAAGTTGAACCTTATTCTAGGTATGAAATTATCACATTCAAGACTGCATGACAAATGACTGACAGATTTGCGTTTGAAACTCATGTAGGTGCGATGTGCCTTTTTTTCGCGGTCCTTGCCTGTTGGGGTCTGGGAGCGCGAAGGAAGCGTGACTGATGCCACAATTCGATTGCGATACATCCATCTCTTCTTGCTAGTCTATGGCCTATTGATCATATTGTCCACTTTTGATTGTTGGGCAGATTCTGCAGTTGTAACGTGGCGCGGGATCAAATTTCTAAAAGACTCTGTTACTTGGCTTAGAAATATTATTTTCGGCTTCAATAATGTTCTCTCAATATGGAACAACTACGGTAAACACGTCCAGCGGGAGGGAGTGTCTCGATGGTCGCTAGAAGAAAATGCTACTAAATCAACATTCCCTCCTTTGCACCCTATTCCGCTGTGTATTCTGGGGCAGACTCCACTTTTTCGGCCGCTGATTAGCTCGAATAACTCTACGTGTGTGTTGCCGATTAACCATCCTAGGCTTAAGTCTGACCGTTCCCCAAAATAGCATACGTTTTACATAACTAGTTATTCTATGATTTATTAGATTGAAGACCGATCGGATTAGAGCGAGCGGCTTAGTAGAGAGCCATATGTGAGACTAGTCTGCGCCAGAACTAGACTGCACGAAGAACCGTAAAAGGGTTCTAAACCTCAACCTAAAACCCCGACTCGCATTGACTGCGATTTCAAACAGTTCAAACCGCACCTAGTCTATAATCCACTTCGGTTCCCTATCACGGCACAAAAACCCCCATTTTTGCATAGAATAAGTGCCTCGGTATACATAACCCTAGTCAATACTGGCAATTGTGACCTTGAGCCAACGTACTACGAGAGGCTTTGGCTTCCAAAATTTATATTTCACATTACCCTGTTTGCATAAGTTCCAAGACTATAAATAAGCACTACAATTATTTCTAACTACCCTAATCATTAGAGTATCAGTCTCCAAAGTTGGCGTTTTCTTTAAATTCTGAAAGTTGTATCCGGTGTAGCATTCTATGTCTTTCTCAGTCATAGGATGTATGGCCTTGGATGTGCCTTCAGAAATTCATGACCGAACGGATAATCATTATATCCCTCCCATTGCTTTTTGAGGTAGACAGTTGCACGTTTGTACTTGGTTAGGGGAATGCCATGCTGAAACCTGAAGACCAAGTCCGGGTTGGCAATGAAGTGCAGTCCGAAGGCAACCATCAGGTCCCATTTCTTGTAGGGCTCTTCTACTACCCATGCAGCGGAATCAGGTTGATAGCCCCTTGCCACCATTACAGGAGCGTAATTGTCCAAGGCTTCTAGGATGAAGTCTAATGTCTTGCCAACGTTGATATTTTTCTCATCTCGAATCAAGACACCAGGATCTCCAGTTGCCTCGACCAGAGACAGGTAAGCGAATTTGACGTTCATCTTTTTGAGCTCCATGATGAGGTACGTGTACAGCTCGATGAAGTCCGTCTTCTCGGAACCTTGAAATCCGGCGTAAGGGGAGAACCGGACCGCCACCTTCTCAGCACCGATATTCTTCACGACAGCCTTGATAACTTCAAGTGTCAGCCTAGATCTGTTTTCAATGGAGATGCCTTATCCTTGCGCTTGTTGACATTGGGCGTGAGGAATTGGTCGAGCAGGCTCTTTAGAGGTTGTGGAGCATACGTTGTGCCGTTCAACCTTAATGATCTCGCGCATAGTGAATTTCGTCAGATATATGAGAAACGAAAACTCAAACCTTTAATTAATTATTCAAAATAAATAGAATTCATAGGTGAAAATTGGGTGCTGTTCCATTGTCATTCGGCATTCGGCCTTGGTCGGAGACCGAGGGCTTCACATCCATCGTTCTCTTTCCTCAACATTCCGCCTTCTCCGCTAGACTTGTCTTTATAAGGCCAGAAAATCCATGTCTTTTACTTTTCCTCATTTTATTCCCAAGTACATTTTAGCGCATTTGACCGTTCTATAACAACCCAAATCACCAATAATGCTCACTCTCAACATCGCCTATACCGAGCTAGTCAACAGCTCTGATTCCTCCATCCCAACCCTGACCCGAGGACAGGTCTGGAGCGGCCTGAAAGCAAAAGCCCGACGCCCTCAAGACTTCATCCCCTCTTTCGATGACTCCCGAGTCATCGAGGAACGGGATAATGGTTCTTACATCGTGAGAGAAGCACATGTTGCGGCCGATCTCCGCGAATCTCCTATGGCTGGAAAATGGACCAGAGAAGAATGCAGGTTGCATGAGCCGGTTAAGGTAAGAGAGCCAGAAGATTTACAACGGCCCGGACCGTCCTGAAAACTTCGAATGTATCATCGAATGGTCTAACCAGCGAGTAGACTTACTTCACGCTACCTGGCGGGCCGATAATTCAGAATATCTTATCCGAAGGACCTGACCAGGCTCTATATCTCACGTTTACCTATGAATGGAAGCTGCCTGATATTGAGCCTGGGACTAGTGAGGCAAAAAAGGCGGAGGATGACCATAAGAAAATTGCGATATCCTCGGTTCAAGGGACAATCAGGGCGTTGAGAAAAATGGCAGAAGGGAATAAACTGTGAATTTGGGATGGAGGAATGAGCCACAAGCAGGTAAAAGAATATAAAGGGCTGGAAGAGTTCAGTCATCAACGTCTCGCAGCTACTGCTCGAAATGCCCAGCTACTCGGGATTTCTCGGCGATTCGCCATTCGGTCGTTATTTTATATGCTGATAATCTCTCTTGGCCAAGAAACCTGGTTGACTTCCTGAAAAAAGACAATACTCTTGTCTTCTGATAGTAAATACGACAATAGATATGAGGCTCACAGCGCATAACGTCAGAAATATGGTAGATCTGCGTGTAGATTTCTGGGTACTCACCCGAGAATATCTCACATCAAAATTTATATCATCTTTGTCAGTGAAGCCGAGGTACAACAAGAAAAACTGAGACGGAGAACGACTGTACGGGCAGGCCGGCCATTGGGTGCACCTTGAAAAGAACGTCGGTGGCGATGGATTATTTGTGACTGTGTGCCGAGCGGAATGGGGGACCCACCCACGGGGGCTCCCGATTCGCACCATTAGTTAGTATGGCGACTAGTGGCACGATGGAGAGTGTCCGCTGGATCAATCGATGGTACATCAAGAAACGAAAAAGAGCAGAAACGCGGTCTGATGTGGTATGAGCACCTCGAAAGACCCCTTTCTTCTGTAGCTAATGAAGTACTAGGATCACGCTTACGAAAAGCTTCGAACCGCACTTGGCCGTGAAGTAGCCATTTCACGAAAACCAATCCTAAAGCTGCAGGACGAACTTCGCCTGGAGAAGAGCGAATGCCAAACGACAGAGGAACTCCTACTGGACACCAAAGATCAAAAGATGATTTCGTACTATTAATTAATTAGCTGCAGAATGAGCTTCAAAACACAAGGAGCAACTTAAACAAGTGAGGGAAAAACCTCAATGCAAGATTTGCTACGTGCAGCGAGATCGTTGGGTGACGCTTGCAAAGGTGCATAACGGCCAAAGGCCGAATGCCTGATTTCATAGTATTGGTGCCTGAAGATGCCTAGGGATGCGTTATTTCAGACCGCTGTTCGACACCACTCTATACACTGTATTGTAAATGAAGCTATTCCCATCTCCACCATCGCCACCTGCACTGAAACAATACTAGTGCGCAAGCGAGGTCGATTGCAGACACAGGAGGTAACTGCTTCGCCACGTTGGAGCTAGCGGAGGAGGACCTGGAGGTGAATAGTTGTGTGGTGGAAATAGCCTTATAACTAGGTCGGGGGAGGAGGTCCATAATGTTTTATATAGTGCGAAGTTCATTAATAAAAGAAAGTAGTAACAGGATGAGAAAGAGACAAGTCTAGAGTTGGCCGAGGATCGACGTCTCTTAAATGGCTAACAAATTCAGATGAAGGTGTTGTTTGTCAAGCGCAGTTTCTGCTAGCTCTCAGTTCAAGCTTATAGTGAATTCTATTCAGAAGAACATGACTGACAGGTTCTGACCTTTGCAAGGGACGGTTAGCATTCTCGCTGTTACTCTCTTTTGTTGCCAAGTCACGAATGTTACTTAATAACAAGAAGCATCATTGGCAATTATTGACAGAATAATATTTCAGGTATCTAGTCCCACTTCCTAAAAGCGGAATTAGAGCCTCATCAAGGCCTATCGTAGCCTAGTAACGTATCAATGTGCTTCCCAAATTGGCTGAACAGAGGCTTCGGGTTGGTAATGCTCCTCCAGCCAGGCTTACACCGAGATTTCATGGCCTCCGAACCGGCGGACGAAGAGAGCTGAAACGGACAAAATGGCCCTGATTTGAGGGAATTTGCCAATGCTTCAATACAGTGTTTCAAACAAAATATAATATTCGGTTTCAGGCTAAATAACTGGGACGTTGTGCCAAAACTAGTGGAAGCTCAATTTTCGATTGAGCATATCTTCGAGAGCTAGCCCGACTGATTGCAATGCTTCTATCGATGTACAATATGCTGTCAAGCTCAAATTATGGCAATATGTCTTATGTGGTATCACAACCACACTTCTGAAAGCTATGAAATCTCATCTGTTTACCTCCACCGAAATGAGCACATCGCCGCTTAGTCTCTAATTGAAGAATCAGAAGTTTCGTAAGATCCAAAGCAACTCTAGCCTCTTCTATACAGTTGGATAGAGAAGCTAGAAGTGTGATCTAATCATATACTACTATCAATCCCCATCCAGACCATTTTGCATGATGCCGAACTTACATCCGGTACCAGTGCACAAGATATCCTCCTGCTTACCTTTTCAACAAAACTGTCACCATCAAAAGCAGAAGCCAAAAACTTCTTCCTCGGGTTGCTAGGCTCGGGAATGTTCTCTTTCAACGATTGGAAGGGCGGAGTTCCTTCCAGAGCCAATTGTATAGCTAGAGTGAGTCTTTGTGCAAGGCACAAGCATCTCTAATTTGCCATGTTCAAATTGATCAGACGCATTCCTTGTGAGTGAAAAAGTTAGAAAGTGAAAGAAAGGACGGAATTGCTATGAGGGAAAAGTGTAGCCTATATGGGACCGTAACGCAAGTAGTTGTTAGATAGTAATATGAGGGCAGCTAGCGTCCTGTGTAAAATGTTCCAAATCCTCGAAGGTCCTTACAAGATATCGAAATCATGATGGCACCCACACCTTTAGCCGGGCGGACCCGTTCCAAAACTTGGGTCTAAATTTTTCTTGCTGTAGACCTGGGGCGCATCGGTATATTAGGGGCTGTACGTGATCTAAGGACTGAGCAGAGGGTTTGCTACTCTCTAACCAATAATATTAATTATCCTAATCCACGTAAAGGCGTCACTCTTTACAGCTCTGTTTAAACGCCTGGATTTTGAAAGTCCGCCTTCGGTCTACGTGCGTCGAACCCATATCTGAGGGCCTTTCTTGTCTTTGTACACACATTTTCAACCAGCGATCACTCGAAGATTCGAAAAAACGACTGCTGCCGTCGATCTGTCTTGTCCGCCATTAACACGTGCCCCCTTCAAGACGAGGCATAGTGGAGATATTGGTAGATGAAAAGGACGATAATTGACTGATGAGGTTCCCCTCGACCTTGGGTAAATTCTAGGTATTTATATTCCATCTCATGATATGTTCCTCAACTGCAAAGTGGCGACCTCTACTGTTAAACAACACAGGACCATATTTGATTGCCCTCCTGCATTAATCACGAAAGGCGACACTGTTTACCCACACCAGGATGAGCTTCCCTGACAGCAATTGCTGAAAGCACGAAAATTTACATTGGCCATGAACTTCACCAATAACAAATAGTATTGTCCTACCATCCTTGGGACCTGCGTGTGATCACCACACTTATAGTCTGCGGGGATCGTGTCTGTTCAAGTATCACCAACCTGCTCTCACCATGCATCAGCGATCAAATCAAATGATGCTGTATTTGCCATGTTGATTGATTTCAGTAACGCCGTCATATGGTATTCGCGTTTCATGGAGCTCGTATGCTTCCTTACGCCAGTTCAACCCGTTGTTGCACATTAAGAACAGCTATTTCCTTTCTCCAGCAACTTCCTATTCTAGTTGATCATGTGTCGAGAAAATGAGGTAAAAAGGCAAGGGATCCATTAGATACCAAACATGAAGACTGACGACAATATCTGCTAATTGAGCAAAAGTCCTCCAATAGCAACGGCCTTAATAAACCTGTCGATATTTCTTTCGATGCTATTATTAAATATTTTCACCCAGTATGACAGTCCCTTGATGACGCATACAGAGACGATAATTGGTGCGTTATTCCCTTAAAAAGTGGATTTGTTATTCCTAATATGATTGTTTTACTAGACCGAGCGTCGACCTAACAACCATTGTACGATATAACATAATAACTCATTTCCCTCTCTAGACCTAGGGCTATCTGAAATTCATCTCATTTTATTTCTTCATGATGAGGCTTTTGGCAAATTTGTTTCATCCAATTCCACCAGCGTCTTCAAGGTGCCAATGTGATTACTCGGTATCACCACGACGATTCAACTTCGGAGCTGGAATTTCTCGGAATGAGTACGAGAAGGGAATACTCGAATCAAGGGAGAAATACATGAGTTTTTCTGAGAGCATACTTGCCAGGATTATGGGTCACATTGTGCTACTGCTCCTTACGCCTTCGACCTGAAAGCAATTCGACAATCTAATGCTCGAGATGTGTTGGGGATAGTCTCCCATGGAGTAGATAGATAGATATCTCTCGCTCTCTCTCTCTCTCTCCTTCTCTCCTCCGTCCGCAATACAATATTCACATCTTCATATTCTATTGCCCTTGTATGATCTTCATGAAGATGTCCCTGAACGCGGCTTAGCGTATTATAAGACCTACTTGAATTGGTTTCATTTATTAAGCTCTGCATTGCATAGTACCGCGATTTACGATATCACCTTACAGTCAATCATATAAGAGTTATACCTATCTTGTATACTGCTCGTGCGTAGGGTTATGTGCCTCTACCTATAGCCTTCCTCATCCTACTAGCGACTTCCATGATGCGGTCGCATCAGCACCACAGGATGCGACGAGGCGCCTAAGCACTTGTCTGCAAGCCCTGGGCAATCAGGCCGGCTAGAAGATTAACAGTCGTACTCCTTTTCAAGAGCAAAACGAAGGGTACGTCGACCTCAAACATGCGAAAAATAAAGGTCCGAAACTCAGCAGCCAGCATGGAATCCAAGCCAAATTCGCCTAAAGGTCGATTCACTTCCAGCTCGTTCTCCGGCAGAAGGATGAGATTAGAGAGCTTCTTCGAAACAATACCCCGAAGTGCATCGAGCATAGATGCTGTATCATGGTGGTCGCGCAGCGCTCGCGCGACCTCCACAGGGATGTGCACTGCGGCGCTGTGCATCTCGCTGTCGCCCGCGGCGCGGCGGGCAAAGGAGGCAGTGAACAATGCAGCTCTAGGATCGGCGAAGACGTGGTTGTCTCCCTCAAATCCTCGTTGCCGCTGCTCCTGGAGACCGATGAACTCCACACCAGTGAGAAGGTGGCTGCTTGCCAGATGATCGTACCGTGCATACCATGTGTATGGCCTTTGGTTTACAAGGGCTATGTTCATGATCTGGATTAGTTCATCTTCGTTGATGGGATAGATCCCTTTGCGCTTCATGAGGGCCTCGATATCGGGGTGCTCGTGCAAATATCCCACTTCCGAAATCATCCCGTAGCCGATGGAGATAGCCGGCAGCCCGAGACGGTTGCGATAACGGGCGAAAGCGTCCAAGAAGGAGTTGGCAGCGCAATAATTACTTTCAGTCGCCGTGCCCACGGTCCCGGAGATGGACGACATCATCACGAAAAAGTCCAGCTGGGAGTCCCGGCCCTGGCCCAACGCACGGTGAAGATTCCAAGTGCCTTTCACCTTGGGGCCGATGGTAGTGTGCCATGCGCTGTGCGACATATCACTCCAGAGAGCCTCGCTGAGTGCCATTGCCGCCTGGATTACGCCACCAATGGGACAATCCGCGGCTTCCAGGGCCCTTTCGACATCATCATACTGGCAAACATCTCCCCGGATCACCGTCACGTGGGCTCCTTGGGCCCGTAGATCATCAACTATTTCCTTTGCCTCGGGCTTATCGGAGCCAGATCGACCCAGATAGATGAATCGTCGAGCACCGCAAGAAATCATCCACTTGGACAGACTGCGACCTAGCCCGCCCAGGCACCCCACCATGAGGTAGCACTTTAGGGCACTAAAGGTGGTTTCATACTTCGTTGGAATCACCCTTACCTTGATGTTCGGATCCTGGAACGACACGGTTACTTTCCCGAATCGCGTGCCTAGGGAGAAGTGCCTGAAAGCATCTGTAATTTCCGACGCTTGGAATGTCTTGATTGGGAAACATGGCTCACAGATCTTGGATCTCACCAGATCCAGACTCTCTGTAAGCAGGGATTTCCAGAGTTGATGGTGGGCTGGCTTGTTCGAGTGATACAGATTGGACAGGTCAAATGCCATGAAGGAGACATTCCGGCCGAACTCGGACATGTCCAGGACGCCATGATCAAGGATGTCACGCTTCCCAATCTCTATGAAGCGGCCAAAGTCGGCACATGCTTCAAAGCTGCTACGCAGAAGGTCACCGGTGAGAGAGTTCAAAACGACGTCAACCCCTTGACCAGAAGTGGCGTCCATAATAGCAGGGAAGAAGGATGAGTCGCGAGAGTTAAAAATGTGCGCTGGATCCAGATCATACTTCTCGACGAGGAATGCCTTTTTAGATTCGTTTCCAACTGTGGCAAAAATCTATAGAGTGATTTAGTGGATTGATTCAAACTTAGTACTGCTGGGTCCGCAGGTGGTTTACCTTTGCCCCGAGATGCTTCGCGTATTGGATTGCCGCAATCCCAACGCCACCCGCAGCGGAATGGATAAGGACGCTCTGATCGATTCAGCCCAGCTCATGGCAATAAAAAAGTACGGCACCTACCTCTCCCCGCTGCAGATTTGCCCTATGCTTCAGTCCATAAATAACCGTGGAAAAAACAATCGGAATAGTGGAAGATGTCTGCACGTATAAGCTTCTACTTTTATGTAGAGACTCGATCACTCACCGTAAAATCCTCTTCGTCCTTCAATTTACATACTGCCCAATGCGGGAACCTCTCGACAGTCGCAAAATGGCCAGGTACCATTGCAACTACACGATCACCAGTCTTAAACTCGGAAACGTTGTCGCCCACAGCGGTAACAACACCGGCACATTCACACGAGCATGATGCATCCTTGGTATCCACCTTGGCGCTTATGGCATACATGTCCTATTTCTTGTTACCAATGCCGCTAATGGTGCCTCGCAAGCATGAGACCTACCTTTGCATTCATTCCTACACTCTTCACACTGATTTCCACATGATCGGGATGCAAGGCGGTTGGATACTCCAGCTGCACAAAATGTATCGTGTCCATCTGTCCCGGGTCCTTGATACCTAATTCGCAACGCCCGGCAATCGCTAGCGGGAGGTCAATGGTTTCCTTATTCTGCTTGAGACGGAAGGTTTCGTTGAGATGCTCGTCTGGCTCCCAGCGAGAGATATGAAGGACGCCGTCTCGTTGCGCGAACTCGAAATCCGGTTCTAGTTCATGGATCAGTCGGTCGAAAACACTGACGATATTGTACAGGGTGTCAGAAGATGATGCTGATTTGTTGTCCACATCTAGAACCGCAAATTGGAGGGAAGGCTGTTCGAGCATAAGCGCACGAGATAGTCCCAGGACTGGCGCAAAGTCTGGGTTTTCCCCACCCACAAAGCCGCCATTGACGACCCATACGATCTTGGCTACACGATCAGTAATACTTTTCAGCTGTGCCATTTCTTGCTCTTCAATCCTGTTCAGAAGAGGTTGCTGCTGTTCCAGGGTGGATATGACAAATGATCGGTCCGGAACGGTCTCGATGTTGACCTGGAACAAACTAACAATATTGACCACGGATCCTAAATATTCTTGTAAGACAGTTTGGAGCTGTAGATCCAGGCGTTTTATATTGTTATCTCGGGTCACCTGGACACTTGTCAGAAATATACATGATGAAAGGTCATCTAAAGAGCTCACCACGATTGTCGGGGCTTTATCAACCTTTCCCTTGCTCGCCATTCCGCTTATAGTCGCAACTGTCACAGGAAAGGGACCACCTCCTTTGATAATCTTCATCCAAGTAACATCGTAACTGGATGTATTCCCCATCATGATGACAGTTGCTCCGGGCGTGAGCCTGCTGGAAAGGGCCGGCGTCCATAGATCGACCTATCACATATCAGCGTCAAGTCAAGCTTGCAAAAGGTCAAACATACCGAGGGAACGAGAACAATATCGAATTTCCTTTCCTGCGGAATCCCCGTTGGTCGGTCTGGCTTCTGCTCGTCTACAGTCTTCGAGAAAACCTCCGTCCCGACTAGATCGCCGTCTGTAAAGACCCCACGATAATAGGTGTTATACCTTCGGAAAGAGGAGTCGACACGTAAGAGCCCACGAACAGTTTCTGCTATCCGCAATTGGTCGCCAAGTTCGAGGATATTGGTATTACACCGCTGGTGACAGGCCAAATCTAGGGCACCAGCCAAGGGGAGCACGTCCTCGTCAGCCAATTCCTTAGAGCCGCAGTTCTGTGCGAACCGGTTCAGATACTCTTCAAGACCCGTGCTGGTTAGCGCAGAGAGATCCGGCTTCCAGGTAGCTCTCACAAGAGGGTTGCGTTGCTCGTTGGTTTCTGTCGGTCTGTTCCCTTGGTAGGCAATACAACGAGCCTGGCCCATCCTGATCAAGACCTGATCAGACGAATTAAATAGCTCTGCATTGATTTTGACCGTCCCAAAACCTACGTTCTCCGACTGGGTGTCAATGCACCATGGTCTATCGGTATCCATATCAAGGGCCGACGGAGGGGCGATGTAAACCGATTCCATGGAAACAGGCACCGTAGCCCGGAGCTTACTAACCCAGCCACTAGTAGTAGCAATGAAGGCCGTTTGTAGCATCGCATCTATGGAGATTGGATGTGCAATGTACTGGCCAAACGGTTCTCCCCGCTGGAGATGTGTAGTTGCTGCCGCTACGTGTGCCGTGCGCGCGCGATCTCGAAAGACCTCCTCCATGACAGCAAACTTGGGACCCCAGTTGAGCCCTTCTTGGGTGAACTTGTCGTACCAGACACGGACCGCATCCTGTTTCATCTTGGACCTGTCAAGCTTAATCTGCCGAGTTGTCCGGGGCGAGGTTTCTGTTAGACGCACAGCCGCGTTCATATGCAAGGTGGCCTGGGAATCACTGTCGATCGAAAGCACACCGAATCTCCACCATTTATCTGAATTCCCCAGGTTTGAAAGCTTCATTGGACGCATCTCGGCAAATATCTCCACCGTCGGTCTTCGGTCGGGATCCATGTCGAGAGCTTTGATGAAGTTGAGATCGCGAAGTTCCACACCAGGACAATCTTCCAGCTGGAGACCTGCAACCTGGGACATCGCCTCGACTGCCATTGCAATATATGCAGCGGCGGGGAATACCACCGACGGGCCTAGGCAATGATGGGTAAGCCATTGGGCTTCATTGAGGCTCAATACATTTCGCCATGTCACTCCTGCGGTGCTCGCTCCCGACACTTGGGATCCGAGGAGATCGTGCCGGGGGTATTTGCGGTGACGGAACTCGATACTGGAGCGAGGCTCAGACCACAGGGTGGGAGAACTGTAGTCCCACGGATAAGAAGGCAAATCAACCAAGACACGGGCTTGAGATCCATTCGCAAACATCTTAGTGTATTGGAGCTCATCGTGTCCATGTAAAAACAGTGAACCGACAAGCTGAAGGATAGTCAAACAAGCATCTTGGTGACGTATGAGAGAGGAATTATAGATATAACGACTTTGTTCAAGTGTCCAGGCATTCTGCTTGATGGGGAGCTGTAAAGCTGAGTGCGGACCAAGTTCTACTAGATGGTAAATGCCACGCGCCAGGATATTTTTAATGGCCTCGTCAAATCGCACCAGAGATTCGAGGTTTGTACGCCAGTATGTGGGCATCCCAGCCTGATTTGTACTGACTGGCCCACCATTCACAGTGGAAACCATGACCACTGACGACGCCGGACCATCCACAGCGCCATTTGTATCGTGGTTGCCATTACCCGTATCCCAATAACGCTCGAGAAGGGCCTCATATTTCGGCCCCACAATCTTCATATGGTGCGAGTGGTACGCTTTACCTCCAGTCTTTAGCTTTCGAGCCCAAATATTTTTACCTTCGAGTGTCCTAAGAAGCTCGTTGATGGCGACTGTATCCCCACTCACGGTCGCGCTCTCTGGCGAATTCGCACAAGCAACGATAACAGACTTTCTCAACCCACATTCCTCGATTATCGCCTCGGCCTCATCTTTCCCAAGTCCCACGGCAGCCATGGAACCCTCGGTGGAGTCCTCGGCAACAGCAGTTCCGCGGAAGAAAGACGCGAAGATCGCTCTCCGGGCGTCGATCGCCCCGGCGGCATATGCTGCTCCAATCTCGCCGGAGGAGTGGCCCATCACTAGCTGTGGCAGAGCACCCCAATCTTTGAGTAGGTCTGTCAGTGCAATTTGCACCGCCGTACACAGTGGCTGTGATATTTCTGCGGTGTTAATATCACAGTTTTCATCACCTCGCAGAACACCTTCCAGTGTCCAGGCGGGCGCATGTTCTGGATCAAGGGCTCGGAGGCAAGAGTCAAGATAGCCTATGGTCTCCCTAAACACGTAGTTATATCTCAGAAGCTCTTTGCCCATTCCAACCCACTGTGCGCCCTGTCCGGTGTAAACAAAGGCCAACGGGAATGGTCCTGCATTGTCAGAATCTCTCAGTCGTAGGCTCAGCATATTGAGCCCCTTATTCAGGCTCGCTTGAGATTCGATAAAAAAACCACGAGTAGCCAGCTTGGAGCGACGACAGCTCAACGTAAAAGCCAGGTCATCGATTTGAACCTGGCCAGCTGAATGGGAAGTGAAATCAGCCAAGTTACTAGCCATCTGTCTGAGGGACGTCTCAGATCGAGCCGAAAGAGGTAACAGATAGAGCCTCTCTGCATTTTCGCCTACTGGCGAATCCCTACAACTGCTGGTCAACAGGTCCATCGGCATTGCCTCCAGAATAGCATGGCTATTTGAACCACCGAAACCAAACGAATTGACCGAGGCTCGCGGGACCCGAGATACCGGCCATACTCGATTGGCAGTAACGATTTCCACGTTCCATTCCTTTAATTTGATGCTCGGGTTGATCGCCTTAACCCCGGCCGTCGCAGGGAGTAACTCATTCTCGAGCGCTAGGGTGACTTTGATTAGGCTTGAAAGACCGCTCGCTCCTTCGCTGTGACCAACGTTCGGCTTGATCCCCCCAATGAGGGTCGGCCGTCCCGTCCAATGACGAAAAATATCCGCTATGGCCTCGACCTCCATAGGATCACCGACCTTGGTGCCGGTTCCATGCGCCTTCCGCTGTCAGCATGGTAATTTATCAGCATTCGGAGAAACCTACCTCGATGTAGTCCGTTTCCCCTAGATCTAGACCTGCCCGACGATACGCCGCTCGAATGACGGCCTTTTGGCCTTCCAGACTGGGCTGTACAATGCCTGGTGTTCGTCCATTTCTGAGCGTTATCATTAGCGTTTAAGACTACCACCAAATTGAGAAACCCACCCGTTGACCGAGGTTCCTCGAATGATCGATCGAATGGGATCTCCATCCCTCAGTGCATCACTGAGCCGCTTTAGATATACGGCTGACACACCCTCCGCTCTGCCATACCCGTTGGCCGATTCATCGAAGGTATGGCACATCGAGTCTGGCGATAAAATCCCCGCTTTCACGGCAATCATCTGCTGCTCTGGAGATTGGATGAGGTTTGCAGCAGCCACAACGGCCGCATCGCAATCATGGGCATCCAGGGCCAGACAAGCCGAATGCAGCGCATACAAGGACGATGAACAAGCCGTATCAACCACATGGGACGGGCCGCGCAGATCGAAGCAATGCGTAATGCGGTTCGCCAGCACGGTCAGTCCCGATCCCGTGGCACTATATCGGGAAAAAGACTCTGGGTCTTTGTACTGCATGTTCAAGAAATCGTTGGTGAAGTTTCCGATATAAACACCGGTGTTTGAGCCTTGGATCCCGTCCAACGGCACACCGGCATTTTCCAACGCCTCATAGGTAACTTCGAGGAGTTTCCTTTGCTGGGCGTCCATGGAGGTGGCTTCGAGGTTGTTGATCCCGAAGAACGCGTTTTCGAACGCTCGAATGTCCTCCTGGATGAAATATCCACCGGTCGAATTGATACTTCCTGGTCGTTCGGCATCCGGGTGATAATATGCCGCTGCATTGTAGCGTTCTGATGGAACGGCGCAATGGCCCGTCTCGTTCCTGACGAGCAATTCCCACAGTTTGGATGCGGATGAAGCTTTCCCAGGTAATCGGCATCCTAATCCACGTGTCAGTACACCGAACTTGATGCGGATTTAACGCTCCTACCTATGCCCACGATTGCGATTGGTTCACATTGGCATGCAGGATTCAATGCTGGTTTCTCCATTCTATCGCCTAATGATGGTGTTTGAAGCAGCAGTGTCTTGTCGGAATCCTGTTGGATGTTTTAAGGAGGACTCTACTAGTGATTGGGGCGTCATTATTATCGGGCGCGAAACGTCTATTTTATCCATCTTATGCTTTCGCACCTCGGCCAGGCAGAGAAGACTAGTCTGGATATGGCCACAAACTTAGCGGGAAAAAATCGGCGTCGCGGAGTGTGCTTTCTGCACTCGATGCAGTAGTGGCGGATAGGCCAAGACATAATAGGCATGTGGATCGGGCGGTTCTACCCAATCGGGCTGGCGATCTTCCTCATTTTACCAGCGCTAAACTGGGACCTCCGTATGTAACGTAATGCCATCCAATAAATACTTCTGACCTCCAACGATAGATAATGCCTGAAGCTGGGGCCACCAGCCGCTTGGGTTTCAGAGATAGTGTGGTATGTTGGACTAGTGCAGAGAGCCAACATGGCCCCCACGTAACTCCGCAGGGATTATGTTTGTCATAATTAGGTCGGAGTTGCATGCATGTCAGGCCAAGTTGCTCGTGAGTGATTCTCTTCGCATTAGCTCCTTCGCCCGTTCCGTCATTGTTGCCTTAATTGCTTCCGCCTCTCCTTTCTTCTCGGATCCGCGCTCCCCAATCCATACCTATGATTTCGCCAACTTCGCTCCAGATCCGAGAGATAACGGTCATAACATGTCCTCCGCTGAGTCTGATGGCAACCAACAGCCGGGGCTCATCGCGCTTTGTGTCGTGATGCTTGTATTGGCTGTGGTCTCGGTCGCCCTCCGCTGCTGGTCTATCTGGGGCTCGCGCACTCACAAGTTTGGTTATGACGACGCATTTGCCATCCTAACATTGGTACGTGCTGTTCCCTAGAGTTGTTTTTCTCGAGGTTTGATGCACAGGACTGTGTGGTAATCCTGTGTATCATAGCCCTTCATCATCGCCGAGTCGGCCCTCATATTCTACTGGATCTCCCTGGGGTTGGGTCGTCATTCAGCCACTTTACCCGTCAGCAATCAACTCGCGGGCCCGAGGATTATCTTCGCCGCTGCCTACTTGTACGATGCATGCATAACCTTGCCCAAATTATCGGTGCTATGCTTCTACGACCGAGTGCTCAGACGGGGAGCTACCTGGGTCCGGCCTACGCTCTGGGCGGTCGGTGCGCTCTGCCTTTGCTGGCTGATAGGCGCCTGGTTGGCGACCACCTTCCAGTGCTCGCCCGTTCATGCCTCGTGGAAAGCCGTTCCCGACGCTAAATGCTTCACGCAGTGGAAATTCTTTACTGGGACTGCTGCACCCAGTGCGATCCTGGATATAATTATCCTTTTGATCCCGCTGCCACTTCTCTGGTCGTTGCACATGACTAAGACGAAGAAGTTCATGCTAACTGGCCTCTTTATTTGCGGTTACTCGTAAGTTCCCCGAGCGCATCACGAGCGATCCGGTCATCAGCAGCTTGCTAACCAGCCTCGACATGTGCCAGGGTGGTCATTTTGTCTGTCGGTCGCCTCGTTACTCTCCTCAAGGCCGGCTCTGCCTTGGAAGCCGACCTGACTTGGAGCACCATCGAATATATCTGCTGGGTGCAGTGCGAAGGCCCGATTTCTCTTATGTCCGTCTGCCTCCCTAATATTATGGAACTCGGACGCCGCCTGCGAAACAAGAATAAGCAACCCAGTACCAGCATGTCATCATCTGCGAGCAAGCAAACTGCGTCGGACTTGTTGAGTGGCAACCGATCATTCCGTCCTCTCGAAGAAGACAGACAAGCCATCCTGATGGACCGCATTTCGGGGACTCCGAACAGACACCACTTTAAAACCACCATCGAAGCAAAGCGATCAGTCTCAGAGTGGGATAGTGTCTGACGGATCGGAAGCATAGGTGCACGCAAACCCCATATAAGTCAGTCGTCCTTTTGCCACCTTGCTTTTATGTGAAATATAGGATTTAAACCTTGGAACAGGGCGGAAAAGAGGGAAGTCTAATAGTGTACAGAGTAAATTAAGCTAAGATATTCGAATAGAGCCTATATCTTTGATATTAGATATTGTTTTACTTCTAGATATAACCTTGCTAACGTTGTACGTGAAAGCTTACAGTCATAGTAAATGGTAATCATCTGCCAGTAAGAACGTGGGTTGGCGCGATGGACTCTAAAACCTGCCGTAGACATACAGTAAGTTTACAGCGGAAGGCTTGTAGTTCTATCCTCAACGACTATTTGAATCTAACATTCCTCTACTCCGCCACCCGCAATTGTGTCAACAAGTCCGCTTGAACGTCTTGTAAAAACTCTGTCATTTGCCCCGGGGTGTGGAAAGCCTCATTATACACTAGCCGCAGTGTCAACTGATCACGGAACGTCCACACAAAAACTACTCCTTGGCGCGAAAGTATTTCCACGCCCACTCCGGCATTCGTGATGCTAAACCCGCGCTCCGGGGTTCCATATTCGCGCTCCAGATATTTCTCCATGATCCCCATGCTGCTGATGTCGATATCGCTAGGCGGCTCTGTCGGTGCTGGCAGGTTCTTAATCACCTGGACCAAAGTGGACGCATACTCCCGGTGCGCCTGGAGATACTCGCTGCTGATACCCTTCTCATACTCCGCCTGATACATGCGAGCATTATCCTCCCAGCACCCGGGGGCGTCAACCCGAACCAACCAGCCGGACGTGTATAACCCAGCTGCTGCTGCGGGGGTCGAGTACGGCTCAGGCAAATACGGCCGCAGCGACTGTTTGATGGTGCTGGTGTAGTGTCGGCCCTGGTGCTCGGCGATCGCGTGCCGGAAGTTGACCGCGGCCAGACTGGCATGCACGGCAGCCGTGATGCCGACTCCGCGTGCTTTTGCGGCGGTTACAACAGCGGACGTAGTGGCCGGCGAGAACTTGAGTTCGGCGGCCCGCGTGCCGGAGGGTACGCTCGAGTCATCCCCGGTATAGGGCACCCCGACTGCGCCCGCCGCCAGGGCAAAGGTGCCGACTGCCCCGTGGGCGATAGCTTTCTGCTCATCTGTCGCGGTGAGGGGCATGTTACCGGCCTCTTCGACTGGCGGTGCCAGCCGTACGACCTCCGATCCCCAATGGAAGGAATCGAACGGGTCTGGCAGCGTCCCCGAGAGGAGGGTGTCAGCGTGCGAGACCATCAAGTCCACCAGCTGGCCGAGGAGGAGCAGGCCGCCGACTCCATCCATGCGCCAGTGTGCGGTGTGCAAGAGCAGTTCACTCGATTGGGGGACGTAGTACAGTTGGGCGTCAGCAGTTGGTGCAATGGTAGGAATCACCTCGTTGGCGGACTGGGCGTCAGCCTCCACGGTAAAACTCTGCGAGGCCCATTTGCTAAGAGCGTCGGCAGAATCAGGAACCGTGTAGACGACGTTGTAGTTGGAGTCCGGATGCGCAGCCAGACTGGGGTGCTGGAAGCGCAGATGCAACCAACTATAGCGGATGACGGTTGGTAGAAGGTCAGGCGAGCCCGACAAAGCCGTGAATGTCCCACGAGGACTGATGGCGGCCGTGTAGTTCACAGCCCAGTGCTCACGACTGAACGGGTGGCCGGGGTCACTGACAAGTTTGATGAACACCTCGTTGGGACCAAGCGGCCGGGTGAAGGTGTTCGGCGAGTGCTCTGCTGTCGTCCACGGCATATTGAGGCGAGGGAGATTGCTGGGTGATAAACTCAGGACGGACCTCTCGTTGGACATGGTAGTGGATTAAATCTAAGCACCTCGAATCTCGGCCTTAGCCAAAATGGCCCGATGGCGTGTCTCCGAGAGAATACTATCATTATTGGAATAGGGTGATGACGGAAGACCAAGCGTGCCGGCTGATCACCTGGACCCATCCTCCGTACAGGATATAATTATTGAGTGCGTGGCCCGATGTAACCTCAATAGAGAGCTTACCTCAATTTAGCATTAGCTCCGTGCGCCCAGTTTCATCGGTCGATCGTGGTGCAAGGAGAGGAACGACCAATCAACGGGACTCCCGCCGCCACTTCCGCCAATGCGGGCCGCAACCCCTCAATTGACGTTCCTCCTCGATATCACATGTTATTGTATTCAGTAGGGCACAGGTCGATCTGGGTACCATTTCGGTACCCCACCGGGCCAGTCTTGGCCTTGGTAAGACTCACGATAACATCCTCGTCCTTTAATCCCAAACACCGGGGCCACTAATTTATTTGAGTAGTATTGGCCCCTTTGTGTGAACCAGAATCATACAATACCATGCATGACAGCCACTAGGTTTACATTCAGCCCCACTGAATGTGTGAGCTGGACGACACAGCCCGATAAAGAACACTCAATTCGACACTAACTCCAGAGGTTGTTAACCACAATTCGCCGTACATAGCCCCTATGCAGGTGGAAGGTGTCGCTCTAGTCCTTGGTGCTGGTATGCTGTTTATTTTGTCCCCCTTCCTGGTTTTCGTCTGCCTAGCCAATGCCAACGCCAAGTCCATGGCCATTTCTTTACGCAAACTGACAGGTGGATCAATCGAACTATAGGAAGTGGCATTGGGCGCGCGGTCGCCTATGCGCTTGTCACACAAGGCCTCACCACCCTAGTCTGCGCCGACATCAATCTCTCTCAAGCCCAAGAAACCGCCACATCGAGCTACGCAGTTGCAGGGCGAGAAGGCTACGAGGCAACCGCCTACCATGTTGACGTCCGTGAGGAGGCGCAGGTGCAAGCGTTGGTAGCGAGAGCCAAGGAGCAGCATGGCCGCATTGATATCTGCATAACTACAGCCGGGGTGAGCCAATCCAGTCGTGATTTTTTCTCCGTGCTGGATGATTCTGACCAAGGCAAGACCGCGGCTGCCAATCAAACTCCGATCAGCGACATGAGCCTGGAAACATATAGGAGCATGGACGAGGTGCACAATATCGGGTGCTTTTTAGTCGTCCGCGAGGTGATCCGGGCAATGACCAGCCAGGAGCCAGTTTCGACTAAACGGCAGAACCAAACTCGGGGTTCAATTGTATTATTAACCTCGCTGGCCTCGGAGGGGGCGTTCCTCGGAGTGGGCAATTATATCGCAGCCAAACACGCCGTCAAAGGACTGGTTCAAACCGCCGGTGAGTCCTTACTTTCGTTTGTTCCGTTTGTTCAATTACATGGGTTTCTGACTTGACAGAGAAGCTCTTGAAAACGCGCGCAATGGTATCAGAATCAATGCCGTTGCTCCCTCGTATGTTTCGGGGCCGTTGATGGAAAAATTCCTGGATGGGGCACCGGCCGTCAAGGATGCTATGCTGGGTGATTTGCCGATGAGACGATTGGCCGACCCAGAGGAGGTTGCCGACGCGGTGGTGTTTCTGGCGTCTCAGGCTGCCAGCTATATCAATGGGCATACATTGGTTGTGGACGGGGGATCGTCATTGCAATTGTCAAATCAGCCTTTTTCGTGACAATATCTGCTTTCTATTGATCGTTCTTCGCGAACGGTGATGGGGACTAGAAGTCCAGGCGGCGCCTGGATAATTAATTGCTTGGTCTTCCCGTCGAGAATTTGGACGAGGCTACGGCAGAGGGCATCCATATGGGAGAGCAAAATGCGGTTCCGTTCTCGCATTGATACCAAAATCGGCGGCCCTTCAAGGGGAGGGCTACTAGGCTCAACCCTTGTGTAAGAAATTTAGATCATCAGATGGAGTTTTCAAGTATATAAGTTATCATACTGTGACCATATAACCCAAATCCAATCGACTAGTTATGTAAGATATTCGAGATATCGGAAGGGACAAGGACTTCAAATGTACAAACTTTCCCATCTCCACGGGCCTGTTGTGCTGGATCAACCTACCGCAGTTTCTGAATCTCCGGAGGACGAGAATAATACATATCCTAGTGATTGGAATCAGTTATATGGACGAACGATATCTCTATCACGGTAACGCACATTCATCCAACCCACATCATGTTCGGTACATCCCTCCAATGGATCCTCCTCTAGCTCGGCTCCAGTGCGTTCATCCTCATCCAGCTCCTCCGGCTCCCATCAAACGAACAAACTCAGTGTCCTTATCATCATACGGGGCGCTGAGTACCGATTTTAAGGCCTCCTGGCCCACCATAACGAAAGACCGGTACCAGCCAGCCCATCAACGGTTCCCATTCTGGACACCATGTTCATCTTGCAGTGCAGTCGTCGCACACTGATTGAAGTGGTCGCGGAGAATGGCAACTGTCGCGCCCTCAGATGAGCGGTCTTCAAAGACCGTTGGAGCAAATTTGTCGAGGTCTAGACCATTGTAACACTCGAGAATTTTCGGAACGGGACGGAGGAAGCGCGCAATGAATTTCTCCCAGTCAGAGTCGTTTTGGTCCGTGCACCGATAAATCACAAAGCCCCCGGACGTTGACTGGCCATGTAAATCAGACATCTCACAGCGAAGTGTTAACCATCGTTCCAATATGAGCATATATAGAGTTTTCAAACTGATTCATCAGTCCGAAGGGTTATAGGAAATAATAAATTGAAACTGAAGACTGCCAACGGCATTAGGGCCACTCTTACAACGCCGGTATGTGGGAGGGGGGAGGAAGGTATTAAAAGATCACATGATAATCTGTCGAGGGTCGATCACCTTTTTCCTTTTATAGAAGGCGGCATTGTAGAGTATGTTTTAGTTTCGAGGCTGTTTAATGTTCTGGCCAAACAGTTGGCATCTCGATGGTCACCTGGTTCTAGCGGCCCATTTCCTCGGTATGACTGTTACCAAGTAATGTGGATATTTGACCGCTCACGGTGCACGACTACTAACCACCGTGAGCAACACGCTACGTGCATGCGAAATGTCTGGTGGGCGCCGTCAACGTCGATATAGCAGACACATCAAAGACCATCGGACCCATGGTACTTGAAGACCTGGACAGAGCCTGCGTTGCTCGCACCGACTGTCTCCAACAGGTCCTGCGCGTCTTGTGCTGTAATGGCATCTTCTGCTACGAAGTATCGACTGGTTGCTTCGGCAATAATCATACCTCGGCCTTGCTGTTGACAAATCATTGGACACAGTGGCGCAACAGGGTCATGCTCTTCGGCAACCAGTTCTACGATATGGCACGTGGAATCCCGGATTCCCTGATGGGAGGACTGTCTCGCTGGCCCGCTCAGATCAATTTTGAGACTGACGAGAACATGTTCATCTACTTCCAGAAACAGGGCTGGCTATCGCAGCTACCCCGTACCCTTGGTGCTGGGGCTTCCGCTCAGGCGCCAGGAATCTTGGTGGATTATCCGTGGGAGGAAGTTGCCTATGAAACGGTAATCGACATCGGTGATGGTGGTGGTGGTGCGCTGGTGGCACTTTTGCTTAGGGAGCGCTAACATATGATCGGAGGCTTTTACGACCTTCCGGCAGTGGTCAACTACATAAAGCTGGCTTTCCATTTTCCAGAGGGTCAATTTGCCGACCTGGAACCACGTGTTCCGGAGGAAAATATCATTGCAGGGGACTTCTTCTCATACATTCCCCCGTCCAAGGTGTACGCGATCAGACGGTGTCTGCACGATTGGAAAGACGATAATGCAGTAAAGATTCTGCAAAAAAATCGGAACGCCCTTAGGCTGAGCCCGGAAAGTAGACTGGTGGTTCTGGAATCGATTTTGGACTATATACGTAGTTCGCGGCTGTCCCGTTATACGGATATGAACACGATGGTCGAAGCCAACGGTTTAGAGCGGACGATAACAGATTAGCGGAGACTGGCCAAGAAGTCCGGATAGATGATTTTAAATGTGCACTATCTGAGGAACGCGTGGCCATGTGCAATCGATATGAGGCCACTGATCGAAAGTGGTGTGTTAGATAGCCCGTTGACCTAGGTGAATAAGCAAAAACTACTGGAACTTGATAGTCATATGACAAGATTTCATATAATTCAAGCTGCACGTAGTTATGATTAATAATGACCTTCTTTTTGTAACTACCAAGCATCTGATATGACAGCCACCTTGACCGTCCATGTTGATTTTACGAACTGTGGGGTTGGTCAACACAGGTGTGGAAGACGATGGGTAATCAACAACGAAGCGTACGAAACCGGGTGTCGAGAGGTTCGATGACAGTCGACAAACATGCTACGCCAATGGACTGGCCAGTAGACAACACAGCATGAATTGAAACGGAAGCAGGGGAGGATGGGGTGGTGACGTGAGAGAGTGAATGAGGGAGGATGGGAGATGAAGGGTGCACTCCATGACGATCATTTTGGGTTTTCATTTGTATTGGGATTTGTATTGGGATTTGTATTGGGATTTGTATTGGGATTTGTATTGGGATTTGTATTGGTATTTGTTTTGTGGACTGGCAGGAAGGAAATGGGCTGATTTCCGCACTCTTTTCCAATCAGCGTCTGTTTCCTCTTTGGGTAATACCCCAGCTCTGGTGTCTGGCTACGAGTTTTTGCTTCCGCTGGTGGAAGCGCCTGCATAGTCATATGCAACTAGTTAGACTGCAACAGGTTAATTGAACTTTGATTGATCAATTGATCGATTGGGTTGGTCAACAGACTGCTAATTCACAATTTCTACCCGGATGCCAATAATCGTCACTATTCAACTTCTAGAATAATTTTATCTGCGGCTGGTATAGACGGGCCGAGCTTCGGATGCCGAATTCTGTGATGGCCTGTTCCGGAAGGGTTCCCTTCGGTCGTCGATTGGCATATTAGATTGAGCAGGGCTAATTGTACTGTTTTGGTATTGATTGATTGACGCGTGGGAATTAGTATTGAACATTGTCATCTTATGATCCGTCAATAAATGACATAAAATGGGATCCGTAATCATCATCGCCGGGATTGTTCTCATCGTTTCTGTTCTGGCAGCAGGCAATAAGGTCTGCAATCGTGTTATATCAGCTGTGGTCCAAGTACGCAATCTCGTATCCGAAATTATATCTAAATAAAGCTCAAATTTATATTTTATAGTGGTTCCTTCTCCGGAAATACCCAGTGCGGCATCTGAATCGAGGTACACGTCTTATTTCATGCCCCTATACCTAGCCCAAGGGGTAGAGCGACATAGGAAAGTTTTTCGACGCCATCGAAACCAGCGAGAAATGGGGAAAAAGGCATGGCACTAATTACCGATTTTGGTCTGAGGTGAAGCCTGGAATGTCCGTCACACATGATTATTCAATTATCCATATTCCAACGTTGCATAGGTAGCTATTTAAGGTAACAGCGTCTTGACCAATGCTAAAAAATAGTAACATTGTTTATAAGGACTCGGACAAGCAATACAAAGCTGTTAAAAGCAAATCAGAATATCTCATGAGCCAGGTTCTGGGCAAATGCGTGGGACTTGTGAGCGGCTAAGAGTGGAAAGACTTGCGAGCCGTGAGTGGGACAGCCTTCTCACACAACAACGTCTCCAATTATGCGAATTTGGTCCAAACCGCGTAAAAGTCCATCTTCGGGACTGCGCAGAAAGGGGAAGGATGCATGATGGACTTATCGACCCGGTCGGAGACCTGAAGATGCTTCCCTTCTTGGCCGTTGCCGACTTGATCTATGGGGAGCTCTCTCCGGATATGGAAAGGGCGCTGCAATACTTAGCTTTTTCACGAAAATATATTTACACATGTTATTCAAGGTGGTCTGAGTCGCTTCGAACTCTCCAGGTTCCTCCCAACAAGATCCAATCGGACACTGCGCGAGTTTGAGACCAAATGGAAGGCATTCAGTCGCATGGCGTACCAGTGCGCCTGCGACCCGTCCCTGACTAAGGCCCCTATATTCCAGCTGTTCGATGCCCTTTACAAGGGCACTCTCAGCGCGGAGTATGTACATCACAATCTTGACGAGGCGCTGTACGCTGACCTGGATGTGACAATGGGGGCCCTCTCGTGGAAGCTTGATTCTGGCATCTGACAGCTACGCACAGACCAGGTTGTGAGAGAAAATCTGTGAAGTACGCTGGAAGAAAGTTGAGCACTAACATCTTCTCAATTCGACGTCTTTTCTCTCTCACTGCATTTCCGAGTCCTCGCGTCTCAAGCCTCTGGTCGCCTTTTTGTGTCGCAATCGGCTCCCACTGAGCGAACGATTGATGGCTACGTTATCCCAGCAGAGACAAACTTTGTGGTTGATTCATACTCGCTCAACATTCGCAATGAGTTCGGCGATCCTGATGCACAGGATTATCGACCTAGTCGCTTTCAGACGGTGAACAGTACCGATGCGCGCTACAACTTCTGGAGATTCGGGCTTGGACTTAGGTAATTCATCGAACGGTATATAGTGGATGTGGTGGTTTGTGCCCTACTCGTAGAGTTGATAGAACAATGGGAGTAACATCTAGCCAAGGATTTGGTAGGTAGGGAGTGGAAACGTGATGCACAGACATGGATTACCCATCCGCAGATGACGCTGATCTGCGTCCCTATCTTGCAGGAAAGGACCAATAAAGATTGAATAAATGGAAATGATTAGGTTGTGTCTCTTGCGTTAAACGCAGCGTCTTTGTCGAGTTATCACATGGCTGTCATCTGGTAGACCTGTGCAGTTGTTGATCATTTCTGAGCTAACTCTCCGTGTTCCTATTTTCACCGATGGTTTCAGTCAATGCATGGCATACTTCGTTGTTTGGCCTGTTTATCTTCCTCTTCTCTTTTCTGCAATTGACTAAGTGGTATGTTGGACGCCTTAAGAAGATTCGCCCGGGCTCCAAGCTTTGAAATAATCATATTGTGGATCATTCTATTATTTGAAATCACTCTAACAATCTCTCAATTTGGTAAACCTATTATCAAAAGTTTATCTGAAATTCCAATGATTCAATTAAGAAGCATATTTAGGTCTGAACATATGTAAAAGGTTACTGCCAGGACCCTAGATTTTGATGTTTCCAAACAAACAGATGTCCAAAGATAAATAATCTCCAATGCAAGTTACTTAGTTTTCGAGCAAGAACATTAATACACGTGGGCAGATGTGAAGTAAACCTGGATGCTGACCACCACTCTGACAGCGATAAATGACAAAGTCGAAGGAGAGAAAACAGTTAAAGAATCAAATAACGGATCTCGCATCAAATTCAGATTCCAAGGGGCTTTGGGTTTTCTCATCAGTCGCATCCATGATATTTGACGATTGCGTTTCACATCTCAATCTCTCCCACTTGAGCAACAGAGTCAATGGATAGTTCACAGCTAGTAAGGATGTTTTTACCGCAAAAGCACCCTTGATGCCATCCATATGGGCAGTCAGAATCCCGGGCAGTACATTTACCGGAAACCACTCCCTTAGTTCGGACGCACCAGCTGAGAGGACAAGGGAGGGGTATGTTTCGGGAGCGGTCTCCGCAATTCTGCGCAAAGCGTATTTCCCAATCCAGAATGGGCAGCAGAGACAGAAATTTAGCCACAAAGAAAATGGAAAAACAGTGTCATTGCGTGCTCATTTCGGCCGTCTCCACGCATGCCGTGTTGGCCATGATGGGAATCTGCGATATAAATCCAGTCGAAGCATCAGCCAAGATCTGCTATCTAACTCACGTGCCAGTCGAGGTATCCTGGTCAATTGTATAGATCAATCCTCCTCACCGCGCTGAGAGCTGCGATGATGGCCATGAAGGAAACAAATCGCTGGGTGGCACTGATAACGACACCAGAAATCATGGAGAAGATACCGCCAATCAGGAAAGGTAAGTTGCGAACACCGGAGCCGATGAGAGATGCATCGCGAATGGATTTGAAGTAGATTGGCAAATAACGAATGAGAACGATAAATGCTCCGGAGTTGAAAAGACGACAGCGCAATTAAGAAGGACTCTGCGGCGTTTCAACAGACGGGGCACGATGGAGGTGCGCTCCCCAAGCCACCATTCGTTGAAGCCAAACGCGATAAAAATTAAAACAAAGCCAATCAACGTACTAATAACGCTGCTGTCAGACCATTCCTTCTCCAAACCACCCCACCGTAAGCCAGAAGGTAATAGACAACGGCACCGATGATGAGAACGCAGCCACTTAGGTCTAGCTGGGGAATTTTCTCTCTCCACGGGGTTTTGATCGGCTTTGCCGTTTCAGGGGTTGAGGAGAAGATGACGATAATGAACGCGGCCGGACCCCCGATAGGTAGGTCAATGTGAAAGCACCAGCGCCATGTGACATTTTCAATAAACGCACCTCCCAGCAGGGGCCTGACAAAGGATGCCAGCGCTTAGGTTGCTCCCATAACACCCTTGAATGCAGGTTGATGCTCTTGAGCGACAGTATACCCAATGATAACAAAGGTACCCGTACAGAGACCTGCACCCCCGATGCCAGCAATTGCACGGCCAACAATTAAAGTACCACTGTTCGGGGCAATGGCACAGATAAGACTTACAACTTCAACAATAATTAGAGACAGACGATATGATGATTTCAGGGGGAAGTACTTGAACACCTTGCCCCAGGTTGTCTGCAAGGCCGCAAGTGTCAAGAACCTGACCGAGCCATACCAACCAATGTCGTCGATACTGTGATATTCATTCGTGATATAAGGATTGGCGTTCGCCAGGATTATTGAGTCGAGGTTGGACGTGAACATGTCCATGAACAGAGCGAACATGGTAAAAGCTAGCCGGCCGGGGCCAGGTAGCTCAGAAGCGACGCCGTCTACCATTTATGATGGTAGTAATTGTTTCTAGTTGTGTTGAAGTTCGTAGATTTATAAATGTGCTCTCAAGGCAATAGATACAAAATTCACCAAGTTTGAGATGTTGTAGGATCGACCAATCGGCCCTTCGGACCTCTACTACTTGGCTTTCCAAATTTGGCTAGTGGGCGACCCTTTGACTTTGCTGAATAACAAGCTTGAGATGATCTGGGCCCCGCTAGATCGGCCCGTTGCCTTCGGTCCGCTGTGTCGACCAATGGAAACTAGGACATGGGGAAGTAATAGCCCCCGCCCCACCCCCGTCGCCACTTCGGATTGCCAGGGCGGATCACGATCTGGCCTCCGTTTGTGTTTTGTAAGCGGTGGTTCTCACACAATTAATAACTAAGCTGATCACATGGTAATTCAGTCATTTAAATACGTCTGTGGTGATGCCATATCACTAATTCATTAATGCCCATCTGGCGATATTACGCAGCTGCACTGGTGGCCATATTCGCTTTCCTTCTTCGATATCGAAACACACTTATAGAAGAAGCATTCAACCTTCCTAGTACAATGGGAGAGACACTTGCCGGCAAGAACCAGGCATATTGGAAGTGAGTCGCGAGCTATGTAGAGACTCCCATGACAGACGAACGAAGAGGATAGATGCTGATTTCTGACTGTGTCTAGCCAAGCCTCCCAGCTTGTGTTCAAAGACAAATGGGTGCACGATCTGCAGAACCAGATTTCCGAGTTTTTGACCGGTAGCGTTGAATGGATCGGCGTTCGGCCCAATACTGGCGAGGATAGCCGGCAGACGAAATTAATGGATTATGCCTGTGGAAATGGCATTGTTTCGCGCGTAAGTTGTTGAGATCGGTCGACGAGTGAAAATTATCACATTATATGCACGTTATACTGACTGATCTTTTTCTACAGTCCCTACACCATCTATTTTCTAAATGCATTGGAGTCGACCTGTCAGATGGCATGCTAGACAAATATCGTGCAACCGCTGCGGAACTAGGCCTCGATAAGTCACACATGTTGGCTGTTCAAGGTGACCTCCTGGCTCCCACAGTAGGACCGACTAATCCTCAACTCACTGAGGAGGAGCTGAATGGTTTCGATTTGGTGGCTATATGTATGGCATTGCACCATGTCGAAGACATCGCTTGGGCCACCAAACGTCTCGCCGAAAGACTGCGACCAGGCGGTGTTCTTCTCATCATTGACTGGGCAACGCTTGATTTTTCAAATCAGACTGAACAGCAAGCTGGAGTGCAGACAAATTGGGAGAATCACCACCATCACCATCACCACATGCATGACATCATAGATCCAAAACATCCTGCAGCGCATACCATCTCCCACGACAGCTTTTCACGGGATCAGATATTCTCTCTTTTTGAACAAGCTGGCTGTGGAGAGTCTCAATTTGTGCTGGCGGATCGACTATCGCCCGTTCCCGGCGCCCGGAGTGGGGAGATGCAGCTGTTCTGGGCTCGTGCAACTAAATTGTAACATATGTTCAAGGATAGTGTGTGCATTACATAGTGTGTACATTACACTTACATATTGGTCAAATTTGAATTTATTGATTTAAGATATTATTATGCTCAGTGTTCGAATGTAAGTAAAGAAGACAAGAGAAGAATACCTACTTAAGGGTACTTATTCAACGACTGATCTAAGCCCTAGGTGATACAACATTTGAAAATTATTTCTTTGAGTCATAGAAACAGACTTTTCAATTACAATTTACCTTCGAGTGAATCCTTAAAGATGGGGGAAATGATACTTCAAAAGTACTCCTGTGCATGACTAATAACCCCATGGAGTATTTTATGTCCATGTACGCATACTCAAATTATGCAAATCGATATTCTAGTCGTCCCTTCTTTCAGACTAACTCTCGAGTTATCCTTCGGGCTACAGACGCCGCTCGTCTTGACCCTCCCGTCCATATCCCATGAGCATCCCTTGACAGGCTCCAAATCCCAACATTTTGTTAACACATGGCTGCCACAAAGGCCAGCACCTCGCGCTCTGCAAGAAGCCTTCATTTGCACATCATTGCGCCTTCTCCATATGGCTGGATGGTCTTGATTTCTGACTGGACATGGCCCTCGCCTATGTCCACGAAGAAACGCTCATGGTGGAGCTCGGATGAATTTGGAAAGTACCGCGCATCGGTATGGTAGAGATCAGTAGGGACAAGGACCGCGTGTTCCTTTTGCATGTGAGATTGTGGACTTATCGTTTGCTTCGAGTGGATTCACATGCTCCCCCCTTTATTGCACTGTACAGTCTTTCTGCAGGCGTTTGAATGGCCATGGGGCTGGGTCAAGACGGAGGGACTCAGAGTAGCAAGACTTGAAGATAGCACTCTTTTTAAAAAGTCTCTTCCAGTCGATCTGCAACTTATTATCAATGATTAAACAGGCAGGGGCAATCTCCCGCCGGACATCCTACAAGGGCCGGGGGTAGCCTGGATGTTTCGCAGCATCCAGTGAACTACCGAGTTGGAATTGGCATTAAGTCTATCCCCGTTACATTCTTTAGACTTCTTCGGTCGTATATTATCATTAGTGCTAATTGAATGCGGCTACTAGACAATAAAACAGAAGAGAAGGAAAGAAAATACTTACGCCGATAATATAGACAAGTCTACAGCAGCACGAGCTTGCATCGAGAACCCTCGCGCGGACCAGGTTTTCTGTCGTTGTTTCATCAACTCACTGACGTTCTCAAATCACCCTGATTCCGCAATCGAGTCGGCCACCGGTCCAACAGCTTCCATGTTCGTGTGCCACACAATGAGCTTCTCCAGAATGCGGGCCCGGGACTTGCGCGCTTTTGCAATCGATGGCCGCCAGCTCGGGTACCGAAAGGTAAACTCCATAATATTTGCATGTAATTGCCAAATATCTTCCAAAAAGTCCGTATGGGAATCCACAAAAGCAAGTGCCATAATCTCCGACGAGCTCAACACGCCCACGCAGTTTCGGATGAGCGGAAAAATATCGGCCTCGATAGTCCCGTCGGGTCGGACCTCGACATTTGCCGCACGCTTGCAGCTCCGCACCCCTCCAGAAGCGAACGACGGCATCAGAGTCGACGGCGCCGTTTCTTCTATATCGGTCAAGAGCTTTCTCCATGACCGTTCAAAGCCCGGACCTTTCATCAGTTGCGTGACGAAGGTGTTCTGATGGATAGTTGATAACACTATGTGCTTGTAGGAATAGAAGAAAAATGATAATAAACTATCTAAAATAGTGGCCTGGATGCTCATTTTATATGAGCATGCCGGCATGGCAAACATGCTGACAAAAGAAAGGTGCAGACACAATGCATCATATTCATCAGCCGATCAAAGTGTGTTATCGTCTGTGGTACTTCAACGGATGGGAAACTAAAGATCTTGGTGATAATATTCGATCCCATAGTCCTATGCTCGATGACGGATCCGGGCAGCGCAAAGAAGGGTCTCATCAGCGATTGCCTATGGATGATGCGAGTATCGACGCCCAAACATATTGAGATTAAAGATACCATGAATGGATTGTTCACTACAGATTGCATCGACATTAGTCTTTGCCCTTTAAACTTCCGCCAACGCGCGACATACCGTCTGTAGCGCAGGAATCTATCTGTATCCTAGATAAACGCCCACACATGGCCAATAACTTGCACCCCGAACGGAGCAGGTTCTTTCATGGACTGTTTGAGTTGTTTATGATTGAACTTTCCATTCCGTTCAGGGACATCGAGAAAAATGATCTAGAACGTTTTTCGATATCTATCTAGCATCGCGTGCACCCTCGCATTGCAAAATTAAAGGGACTATAGACAAGTGAATAGCTAGAGGGGAGATGGGAACATAGGGTTATTTTGCTCACCAACATTGCAAGTATCCCAACAAAAAGAAGTGGTCTCATAGGCTCAACCACCCCCATGAACTTATATAGCATGTCTCGGCCGAGTTCGTCATAGCCATGGTGAGACAGATTGGCAGTTCAACAAATCAACAAGATGGCATTTCGTATAAATTCCCAGATTCATAATCAGCCCTATCGAATAAATACATAGTAAGATGAATCGGCCGGTGTTTCGTCTGTTCGGTGTCTAATCGGCGGCCCAGTGTTTCGGTGCGAGAATATCGGTCCGACAATTGTGAACTTCTGTGGAGATAGTATGCTAACAAGCTCAATTACTACCAACTCAGTAAATCTCGTTATGAGAGGTTTGGACTACTCATTCACGTATAACATTTTTAATACATACCTGACACCACATTTCTTCTAAATGGAATTTATCGAATATACTAATATTTGATCCATTAAGAAGGGAATCATTTCTTGGCAAAATCAATCTCTTAAGATATATATACATAGTGCCAATCGGAGGTCTGTGAATTAGTCCTTCATAATCGTGACCTCAAGCATTACCGTCTGATACCATATTCATAGGTGGCGGCGCGGTCTGACCAAGGCTGCAGTACTCAATACCAGCAGTAACGGCACGTCGTCTCTAGGTCAGATCGAGCTTCGCGAGGACTGAGAAGTGATTGTGAAGGTCGGACTAAGCGGTGAAAATATGGCGGACTATCGCCCAGGGAGCTAGTCAGACGGGTACAAAGTCAGAGGGTTACACGTGCTCGACAGAAGAAATCTGTAGTCCTGGTTGGAGAGGCTGCCTTCGTCGCAGCTCGAGAATTGAAACTAGGCGATGTGTTGATGGAGACAAACAGTGCCCCGTGGAATGAGCGTATCCATAAGTATCCCAAATGATGAAAGGCTTGCGGGTCGAGCTCGGTGATCTACGCGCTATTGTGTTGAGTCGTAGTGTGCCATTCCTGCATGAAGTCGAGGATCCTTACCCCGGAGACGTTGGCCGGCGCTGCAGCTGAGTTGCTTAAGCAAAGCCTCTTGCACAAAGGCGTTTAGATTCAGTACCGTAGCTGGCTGTCGCGATCGGGTACACGGACTGAGGCCTCGATCCAGGTAGGGTACACAGTGTTGGCAAGCCGTTCCATCGTTACTAGTGTCATTAAAAGGGACCAAACACATACTCCTTCGCACTTCCGCTGTGAGGTAGGTTTTGTGTATTATATGCCGGAATTACTAAGAAAGTATTACTACTTCTTGTATGAAAATGAGAGAATTGAGTTACTCGTCACTTGTGGCCGCACTGGGCAGGAAGAGCGGCCAGAAGCTCCTTGGCCCGATATCCCATCTCCTGGTACCACTGGGTGTGTGCATGAGTCGATGGCGTTCTGTACTGAAGTACTCCACGGCTGAGCGGCCCACTGTGCAGATTCCCGCTTTGTCTCGGTCGTTGTAGAATCTCCTGACTACAGTACTGGATGGTTTCAACGCATCGTCGTAAATCACGCCGCACCATCGCAGCCCGGAAGATCTCTTGTTCATCCGGATCGAACTCAAGGCATCCAAACTGAAAAAGCGGGGGCTCTGAGCCCCCGCTGATGGACGATCTGAGACTAGACCCACCACCTGGCATTTCATCTATCCCAGACGGTTGCTGGAAAGGACTCTTTTGCCAAGGCACTTTGTTCTGATCTGGCAAGGAGACGGTATCGCCTTCGCCCGCGGGGCGCTGGATAGCGAGGATCACGAGTTCATATAGCCCTACGGCTAAATCCATCACAGTCGCCACTAAGAGCGGACAACTCTGGCAGCGTCGAAATTCGTCGGTCTTACTTACCTCCCGTACCTTAACCATCGCCTGCCGGTTTAGCCGCATCGCTTGATCTATTAGGACCCGGGGGACCTGGAGCTGCTCTTCTAAACACTCGATGATCCTCATTAGGGCCGCGACATGAGGGTACTGCGACACCACCGACCGATCGCGATAGCTTGAGGGGACTTTCGCGTCGGTATTTTCTGCTGATCTGGACCGCACCGACTCCGCTGTGCGCCCCTGGAATAACCTTAGCAAATGCTCATCGGACATTCCCGACGTGTGCCAGCTAGCTAGCAATGTTTCTAACGGTTCGGGCGCCGCGGATGTGCCATCGGAAATGGAGATCTCGTGAATCTCTGGATGCGCATCGAGTAACAAGTTCTCATTTCCTGACCATAAAGGATCGGTCGCGCCGGGCGGAACCAGCGGCATATCCGGGTATTCAGTTAAAAGATTCTGCAGATTACTGTTGATCTCCGTCTCGGGAGAGACGTTAAATTCTCCCATCGCGAAAATGGGACCATCCACTGTTATATCGTTCACTGCGGGAGGGGGGTTGCCTAGCATAGACACGCTGGCTAAGGGTTGTGGGGAAGACCCGCTTTGTGAAACCGATTGATGTGAGATTGCGCTGGGTGGAAATGACGATCGTGGACGGGGAACCTGGTCACTCGCGTCCATCCGTCGTTTCTTCGGCGCACGCCCTACCATCGACACCCGGTATTCGCATGAGAGGCCGCCCCGGCGACAGCGTTCACAGCCATACTTCTCGCCGCTGCAGCGGACCTAGAGATTCTCACCACAGTCAGGTTATTTGCGTATGGATAACCATCGCTCTCATCGTTGGTAGACATACCTTGGCGGCATAGCACTCCGTGCAGGCAGACCGTAGGCGCAAGGGCTTTGAAGTAGCCAACATGGTTGATCCACTAGCTATAGAAACCCGCAGTGCGATAGAGCGGGAGAAAGCACCGCAAGTAGTATATTTCGGCCGGATGCTCAAAGAAGCCTCGAGAGGTTTCAGAGGGACGACACCCGTAAGAGGCTAACTGTATAGAGTCTAGCGCGGAGATCAGCCCCTAGGGCCAATCATCACATGATCCGAATGCGATAACGCTCAACACGCCTCGTCCCTGATCAATCACTGGTTCACTGGTGGGCCCCCTCAGTAGCGCCAACTTCGCGTCTTGGCAGCCCAATAAGATAGATGAGCAATTACGAGCTAAGCCTGGACGGGCGCGCACGGATGCAGACAACAGTTTGCATGGTGGTAACATCCCATCACCTCCATGTCGACACTAGCAAATATTCACAGGTATTCGCATTTTCTATGAGTCGTTTGATGAGCAATTATGTGATCCAGACAAAGTCGTTGACTAGCAAATTGAAAAAAATAGAAATTGAGACCGAGAATATGTAGAGACACTTTTGCGATCGACCGGCTTGTAGATATATATTTTTACAAATCTTGTCGAATATACGAATTCACTCGCAACATGCTGCCTATCAATCATCCATTTTGTTTGAGAATTCACCTTTATTGTATTCAAAAGTTACTATATAATTGGTAGTTGGACGTCCAGGGTGGAGCTTTTGGCTATGCACTCCAATGTCCGACAGGATTACCTCACCAAAGGCTTGGGCATTGGCAAACGCGTAGAGAACATGGGTCAGCCGCTCGGCGGGGATATCTTGGGGCTGGAAGTTGCGAGCATAAATGCTCTGATGGTGTGTGATCTGTTGCTCTGATCTAGTGGTGGCGTACATAGATGAGACTCATACCTAGTTCACAAAGTAGGCCACGGAGCGATTCAAATCCATCAACAACACGAGTAGCAATGTCAGTCGCATTGGTCTTAGTCAAGGAAGGGATTTAGGCAGCGTTGGCCTACCATGCTAGGCCCAGCAAATAATGAAGGACAAAGTGCTTGGTGAAGGACTGTCAGGGCTTTATCCGATGAGATGGGTCGGTCCAGCGTGGTTTGAGAAAAGAGAGACTTGTCGAAATGGCTTCGAGGAAGCGAGAACTCAGACTACTTGTACTCGAGGTCGATAAAAAATCCCCCTGATATACAATAGGGTATTATCAATACCTCGATTTTCCACAGTATATAAGGCTACATTATAGAAAAGAAAATCACTGTCACTGCAATTCATTCCAGCATAGTTCAGAAATAGATAATCCAGTTCGTTACAATCAATGTTGAAATATGTTGGGATAATTAGTCCCAGCATATCACAGTAACTGGTCAAGAAATGCCCGGGCACTGGTCTCAGCCATGACGCCAATGTCGATGCAGCGTTTCCCTGTTTGAAGTGAAGCCCGCCGCACGCGGAGGTCCTTCTCTGCCTCCTCAATCCGTTTATACCACGTGGAAATATCGATCCCAGGCACGGTCTCGCGCAGGAACTCTGTAAGCCCGCCTACTATCTCGACGAGACCAAGGACGGGGACGGGCCTTTGTTGTTCTTGCTCGGGTGCAATATCGGCAGAGGAGGCTCCCCCGTATGCGAATCGCAAGATGGCCTTGTCAGAACTCGAACCCACGGAACGCAGGCATGATAGAAATCGGAGGGCAAAGCGCTTGGAGTCGAGAAGGGTGTTGCCCATATCGTAGTAGTGACTGTTCTGGTGGTCTGCGTCTGTGACATCTGAACGCTGATGATCCACAAATGAGAACATGTGCATCACGGGAAAGACTTGGACGACGGCGGAAGTCAAAGTGGTAGTCGAGGGCAATGTGAATTTGCGGCTGCGCAAGGATGTCGAAAACGCGCAAGTCGGATAGATGATTTTGTCGCGGAGCCACCCGGAGTCACCGGATGACCTCCCCCGTAGTAGCAGCTGCGTGCAAAAACGAGCGGAGGCATTGTCACTATCCCTATCCGGTCCCTGCAAGAAACAGAGCTGTTTGAGGGCCGTTGACTGCGCCAGGGCCGCTACTAGATTACCGAGGTCTCCCTCGTCTCCCTCTAGCTTGAACTTATCGACGTAGAGGCCGAGCGCAGACGCGCTGCGAAGCTCGTCGGATGTAACGGCAGCAGCGATCATAGCGGGTGCGAGTTTCCTGAACGCGACCCAGTTAAGGTGCGCGCGTCCGGCGTATGCAACACGCAAAATATGGCCCGAGGCCTCCGAGGACGGGCCCAGGCTGTCGGGCACCTCTTCGAGCCGCCGCTGCAGCTGCTCGCGGAACTCAGCGCGCAGTTGGAATTTGCCGATTGTCCTTTCGCCGAGGTGGAGGTCGGCGGGCTCCTGTGTGAGAATAAGCAGACTGTCGATGGCGCGGTCTATGTGCTCATTTCGCAGCGGGTCGTCGAATATGGATAAGCGCGGGGATGATGAGGTCGACGCATCTTTGGCGCGGGTGGTGGACTTTAAAGGCCAGAAGTCTATTTTATAAGTCAGTAAGTGCGGTAGATATGCGTGAGCATTGAGAAGTGCGAGTAATTCACAGACAGTCGGAGATGCTTGAGATAATATTTTGCGAAGATGCTCTAGCCTGATTTTCAAGCTCCGGCGGCCAAATTTCTACCCTTCCTAAGTCAGCACATACACATCATCTTAATCTCATAGGCGACCAGGTAGCGTGGAAATAGACATACAGTCTAAGGCTACAGCATTAACAAGCGGCCTATCCTCTAGTCTTGCCGCGGGCTAAAGAGTACAATGTCAGGCTCCTTCTTAGGCGGGGGTCTTCAACGGGGTCCCAGCCACCCGCCTCACTGTGGTAGGAAACCTCAGCCATATAGCGCACAGAGAAGCCAACAATGCCGTAATTGACGCCGCTGTCGAGGTCGGAGATATCGAGAACGATAAGGCCATACTCGGTGCAGTTGCCACGGAACACAGTGGATAGCGGCTGGAGCTGGATGTTGCCAGGGCGCGTGCTGTTGCTATTACGGGCATTGGCATTAGCATCACCATCATCGCGCGCAACCTCAGCAAAAGGCACGTCGTTGTAAAGGGGAACTCGCTGAGCGCGTCACTATGCCACGGCAGCTCAGGCAGTATTTGTGGCTTCTCCGATCGCTGGGAGCCATCAGGCACGACAAAAGGGGGCTGCGGTGAATCTGGAATGCTGGGCCGCTCACTATTCTCGGTCTTGTTGCCCCCTGAGACCGACAATACCAGTCCTCCGCAAGTGCCCTCTCTGCCTCAAGCGGCGCGCGGTTCGCCGGGCCCGAGAGGATTTCGATCAGCGCGAGGGTGTCTGCCACGACATGCTCCACGCGTGCCATAGATGACAATGAGGTGTCCACGTCGTTGCCCTGGCGGTAGGCCACAGCCAAGGGGCGGCTGGCGCTATGGGGGCCGACATTGGCGACGACGGAGAAGAGGAAGGACCGGGGACTTCTCGAGTATAGACACTTGTATCCGAGCATTATATTATCTACAAGACGGGACGATTGACACACGTAAATGGTCCAGATAGCAAACAGCTGGGAAAAAAAGGAGAGGAAAAGTGCATCACCCTAACGTTTATTTTACAGCAGCCTAGTTTAGGTGTCTGGCAAAAGACGGCTAGCTGAGGCCTAGCGGGACAAAGTAATGGGGCCAAGCGATGGCTTCTTTGACTTCTTATTCAGGTTCCGGTTCTGCTTTTGAGATTGGATCCTACAAATTGACCTCGGATATCATCAACTCCTATTAAATCTATTTACAACGCGCGATTATCTGATGACAGTTCCAGTCCTAAGGCGAGGGTGGGGAGGGCTTACATACTACGAACCCCCGAGCGTCGGGGATCTCCCTTTAAAGGTGTCGCTAGGCTTATGTTCTAAGGCAAAGATCCTTGTACTCGGCCAAGAAAACAGGTCTGAGTGGCCGTCGGACTATATCTCGGACGCTAAGTGCTAACCTCCGCCTAAGTAGGTAGTGGTCCGCGGATCACTATGAAGGCGTCTGCCATCGCCTCTGTAACGGCAAATCCAGTTGCATCTGCTCCGCCGGTAATCACGGCTACCTTATTGTATAGCCGAAGCTGTTCCATCACATTTGAAGGCGTGCCCGGGAAGGGTCGCGGAAATCCCTGGCGAACGAAGCCATAATCTTGAAAGTTCATAGACACTGTATCAGTCTCCGATGTTACTGATATAAAATGCAAAAGAACAAAAAGGGAGAGATTAAAGTTGAAGGTGCTTTTAAACCAATCTCCCGACCAATCGTCCTTATTTGGGCGGCACTCGGGCGACACACGTTCGCTTCGGCCCAGTGACGCCCGATGCTTGTCGGCCCAGTTCTGTCGGAATTCCAGACCGAAGCCAACACGATGTTATTTGGAAAGTTATTAATCCCGAGGTGAGTATTCAGCAACGCTTCCAGGAAGGTGAGAATTGACATTGTGAGGTCTTGAGCTCCCTCTTCATACAGTACCTCTGAAGCCAGTGGAACTCTTGGATACCCTTTTTCGTCGTTTTGAATATTACTAACACGAGAGTCTAGAAAGCCAGTGGCTTTGGCTCTGGGTTCTGCCGCTAAGTGGGAAATGGCTTGCTTGAAACTCAATTTCCCCTGCAGAATTCCGAACACTACAAACAGAAAAGCAGAAAGGATATTGGCACACTTTTCGATGTGGTACTTGAAGTGTTGCTGTATAGTTACCACCGGATTCTCTTACTCCACAATCATGAATTTATACAATGGCCATAACCGTGTTGATTACTTAAACCGACATGCTCTCCCAGCCACATACAATATATCTTAGTGCATCCCCAGTATTCAACCGAAAATTTCTCGTCCTCTCTTCTCGTGCTCGTAGACTATGATTACCCAAAAAGTCTTTCCCTGCTCATCATCACGGAGGTGATAACAGACACTACCCCAGCCACAAGTGGAACAATAAACGCCCGTGCCATCGCCGATGTAATTGCATCAATGGCTTCAGTTCGAAGGTCACCATTCAGCTTTTCGAACAGTGTGCTCTGGGCCCCTGCGACAGCATTGTGTATCTCTGCCTGGCTAAATCCCTGGCCGTTCAAAACATGGTTCAGGTTCCTCACTGCATTAGACTGGAATGCCTGGCTAGCAATCACGAGGCAAATAACAGTAGCTCCAATTTGCGCGACATTCTGCAGGTTGATGGCGCTGAGGATATCACTGGGTTTCACTTTTAGGCTGCCCACGGAGTACCCTAGCTGCATGGTCATGCCCGTCCCGACTCCCATAAGAATACTAAACCCGTAAATTTGGGCGGCGGGTGTCGATGAAGAGAGATAAACCACAAATAATGCACCCGCCACGGTCATCAAGATCCCAGAGATCAAGCAAATTGGCATATAATACTTGATCTTAGGGAGTGCCCAACCTGAAGCCAGATTGAACGTGATGGTGAAAAGCAGATATGGAAGCAGTCGAACGGCGGCCATCAACGATGTGTCATTTCGAGTGAATTGGAAGTAGATGGGGATGTAGAAAGTCGTGAAGAACATGCAAGTATTGGCACAGGTTGTTGTGATGTAGAACAGGACCTGAGTCCGAGACCTCAGCAAGTGTCCAGGGAACGATCTGCGTTCGGGGGTTGTGAATATACAAAAGCCCTGCTGTATGGCGTAAAGAGCAAGAAGCACTGCCCAAACCACGATCATTGCGATGGTACGTCTATCCCCCCACTTCCAAATCCCACCAGCAAAGAGGAATCCTATAGCAATGGTCGCCCACATTCCGGCACTGAGGACAAAGCCAACATAATCCAAACTAAGCAGTCGGTCTTTGAGGGACCTTCCTGGAGCTGGATGAATTGCTGGGAGATAAAACAGGTAAACAGGGGCTGTTATAGCACCGATAATCAGGTTGATATAGAATCCCCATCTCCAGGTTGCAGAAGAATCAGAGAAACCCCCGCCAACTACTGGGCCCAGGATAGCCCCCAGTCCCCAGACAAAGCCGGTACCGGCAAGATATAAACCGCGTTCCTTCCTAGTCGTCATTGCAGAGAAGTGATTGAGGCCGCCCAAATATATCCCTGTTCCTCCCGCGCCAGCAATCACACGTCCGACGATCAGGGCACCCATGTTTGGGGCTCCACCGCAGAGGGCGGAGCCACCTTGGAACAACACAATTCCAGCAATGTAGAGTAACTTCATATTGAACGTGGTGAAGAGGAAGCCGTATGGAAGAATAACGGCAACGGATCCTAGAGGAAAACCAGCCCCAATCCAGGCGAGCTGATCGACCTCGTGGAATCTCTGAATCACTGCACCCTGGACATCTGCAGCAATAGTCGTATCAAGTCCATACATCAGGGCCGACAAATACAAAGCAGCACAAATCAGAAACCAACGGTATCCAGTGATCTTTCGAACATCTTCCTCGCTACTCCCGGAATCCTCTGCGTCTCCGAGTCCTTTTTCGTCGTTGGTGGGTTCAGGGAAACTGCCTTCTCCTCGGCGAGGAGGGGATTCGTCGGCATTTGCGGAATGTATTGGGTGGCTTTCGATGTCTTTACTCATGCTTGAGGCCGACAAAGGTGTTGTTGTTCCAGTCATCGTGAATTGTTGACAGGTGACGGTCTTTCAGATGATCGCTTATGAAATTGGGTGATGTGATGGCAGTTATATATATCACAACAGCCAACCATCTATGCTGGCAGGACCGTGACTGATGAAGTTTCTTCTCCCTTTCTTTTAATTTTCTTTTCCTGTTTTTGTCTCCTGAGTAATATCGTGATCTAATTCCAGGGATAGCAGGGGGGTGTCGTCTCGAGTATTCTGCAGACGGTCAATCCGACGTTATTTCCGTTATGGCCGATGAACGAGATGCTGGTCCCTGGTCAAAAGGAGATGGAAAGAAAAAAAGAAAGCCCAACAATGAAAGATGACGGAGCGGGATTAGGAGTTAGGAGCTGAAAGGAACTAACGCCGAAGAATTCGATAAGTTATTGCAGCATGAAGCCCGATATTCGTCGGCCGACACACCAAGACCCACCGCGTACACCCGACGCGTATTGACTTGTATCTTTTTGAGCCCACGATTAAGGCATTACTAGTATGAAGTGGTTATTGGAAACGCGGAATTTCTACTATAAACCAGCCTTGATGGGAAAGAGGTTTCAGAGCCCTCCAGGGACTGTATATATCCTTGGGTGTTGGTGGTTGGAGATCGAGGGCTGAACTCGAAAGTACCTTCGGTACTGTAATATTAATACCATATGTTGCCGAATCGGGTGGAGGTGTCTACGGTATATGCAGGGCTATGATGCAGTAGAGCAAGGGTTTCAAATCAGTGATTACCCCAAAGTCTGAAATTAGTTGGTCTTAGCGCGAGCAATTCATAATCGCACCACGCCTTCACCCTTCCGGGCTTTTGCATGTATGTACATAGAGTCGAGAGATTTCACATGCCCGATTGAATGTCTCAGTTTCGATCACTGCAAACTTTCACACGAATTAGAAGAGAATGCGCCTGCGCGGTACTCGGAAAAATAACAGATTTAGACAGGAAGTTTTAATCTTCTCGAGCTGTTGTATCTAATCTGACAATGGTAGCAATTTAATTAGAAGCCAATTTTCGTGCTACTCGGAACAATGGAAAAAAATAATTTGCAAAAAATAAGCCCTATGAAAATCCATATTTGCATTCTTCCAGCCTTGAAGAATTATGCCGTAATCGTTTCCTGCACAATGCCTTGTGCCATTGCATCGATGCTTGTTCGTGCATCCATCAAGTCCAACATGCTCATGTTTTTCCCGAAAGCTGCATTCAACCAACTCCGGAATTCTGCAGCGAGTAAACTATCAATCCCAAGATCAACCACAGTCTTAGCTGCCTTGACTGCAGAAGGGTCGATAAAAAGCATGCCGGCCACCATCCCTCGGATAGCCTCAGTCACCAGCGCGACCGTCTCCATAGCTTCTCTCCCATCATGATCAGTTCCAATTTTCTTGATTGAACTATCGAAGGACCGACGAAGTTGCATGGTAGGGGACTCATTAGTACCATTCATGTCAGCACTACCCTTGCTGCGATCGTCCCCATCCTGATGGCGCCATCCATCATCCAAGGCCCGCAACATCAGAGATGCCCGCCTGTCGTTATACCACCGCGGTATAGTACCAGAGGTAGATGTCTTGCCTTCCACCCGCCTCATGTTCACTAATATGGCTGGGTCAATGCCGGTAACAATATTGGCCTCCGAAAGTGGATCCTGCTTATGGCCAAGGTATTGACTTTCAACTTTCGAGTTGTTCACAAAAGCAGGCTCCAAAGCTCGCAAAACCTGATTTCCTGTGACGGTTTGACCCTTCGCACGGACAAAGAGATTGAGCGTTACGGCGTCTTGGGTAAGAGCTCCCAGATCATTGATGAATCCGAGTGATACCGTCGTTGCCGGCAGCCCGAGTTGACGTCGATAACGCCCGAAATAATCCAGAAAGTTATTGGCCGCTAGGTAGGTGCTCTGGGTAGGAAAAGCATAGACAGTCCCCAAGGAAGAGGTCATGGTGAAGAAGTCTAGGGTCAAGTCGGACGTGGCTTCGTGCAGATGCTTGGTTCCGAAAACCTTGGCAGCCATGCCCTCCCGGAATTTCTCCTCTGTCATCTTGTCAAAGGAGATATCTTGATAGGAGACCGCATAATTGAAAACCCCACGCAAGGTGCCCTGTGAGTTGGCCTCTTTCACTCCATGAAGAACCTGCTCTCGGTTGCTCACATCGCAGGCCACCAGTTGCACACTGGACCCCTGTGCTGCCATCTCTTCAATGAGACTTTTAGCTTCGAGGGCCACGATGTTTGGACCTCTCCGTGACCAGACAACGAAATCTCGAGCTCCTCGATTAGCCATCCACCGAACAATAGATCTCCCTAGACTGCTTAACCCGCCCACGAGTATGTAGCGAGCCTCCCGGTCGAATTGAGCGCGAGGAACAGACTGTTGGACTCGCAATCTTGCTTGGGGGTTCTCGTACGATATGATCATCTTGCCAATGTGAGTTCCTTTAGAAAACTTGAGCAGAACCTGGTCGAGTTGAGAGATATCTGACACATGGTATGGACGAATAGGGCCAATGTGGCCGTTGCGGAAATGCTCGTTAACCGCGGCCATCAGCTCCCTGCCGATTTCCACGTCACGTTCAAGAACAAGCCCCAGGTCAAATGAAGTGAAGCTGGCACTCTTTTGAAAAAGTTCAAGGGAAACACTCTTGGAATTTGTCACGTCTAGGCGGCCGACATCAACCAAATGTCCTAGCGGTGCTAGTGCTTTGATGGACTCATGAAACATATCCCCTTGAGAGGTACTGAGAATTACATCGAATCCGCCGTTCTTTGTGGCGCTGACCATGCTTAATAGACTTGCCAGCTCGCGGGAGGAAAAGATATGATCGGGCGCAATGCCCATTTCGTCGGCCAGAAAACGGGCCTTTTCCGGCGTGCCAGCTGTGACAAAGATATCGGCGCCCTTGGATCGAGCAAGTTGAACTGCGGCCAGGCCAAGGCCACCTGAGGCTGATTGTATCAAAACCTTGGACCCTTTTCTCACTCGAGTGATGTGCTCGAATGCATAGACTGCGGTCATATAAACTAAAGGCATCGTGGCTGCTTCTATCGCATTAACCCCCTCAGGTAGCTTCTGTGCAAGTGCTGCTGGCACGCGAGTATAATTTCCAAAATGACCCTTGGCCATGCCATACACGCGATCCCCAACCTTGAGATTGGTAACCGCAGCTCCAGTGGCGGAGACAACACCGACGTATTCATTTGAAAGATGATTCTGATCGAATCTTCCAGAACAAAGACCCACGTCTTTCCAGTTGAGACCAAGCGCCTCCACCTTGACTTCAGCCCAGTCCTGCGACAGAGGCTGCCAGAGCTCGGTGTATGGTCGGAAGTAGAGCGAAGTCAGAATCCCGGGTTTCTTGAATGCTGCTCGGATAGGGCCGACGTCACCCAGCACCATCGGCTTCAGATCGCGGTCATAAACGGCTGTTTCGTCATATCCCGAGAGACCTGCATCAGGAACAATCCGGCTCACCCACATGCATCCATCCTGCCAGACCAAGTCGCGATTAACAACACTCTCGCTGCCATCCTGTGCCTTTTCTTGCAAGGAAAGCTCCTGATCGAGCAACGAACGGAGCAATTCGTCCAGGTCACTTTCCTGAACTTGGAATTGCTCCGCATCAATATCTACCGAAAGAAATTCGCCGCTAGGATTCTCGCTTCCCAACGTTCGCAGCAGACCGGAAACAAAGGACCCATCAGGGTTGCGACCCTTGACTAGGCCGCATGACGTGAGCCAGAGCATGCTGGCAGAGTTCGCAGCCAGATGTTGGAAGAGACTCAGTCGATGCTGATCAGCACCGAAGAGAAGGTTTTCTCCATCCAGGAATACAACGACGCGGGAGTTAGCCGATACAACATTCTGAACATCATCAAGCATGGAGATTTGAGTGGGGACCCCACGGCTCTCGAGGGCGCAAGCAAAATGCTTTAGAAGCTTAGGGGGCTCCCCGAGACCCATGCAGAAGATGTACCAGCTGCTTGCCGACATTTTGCTGCTTAAGAGATGCACGAAGGGTGTGCACAGTAACTCTAGAGCCATGGTTTTGCTCAAAGATATTTCCGAGAAGCTCAAGGCCAACGTGTTCAAGACTCTGTATGTGACCATTCTTTTCTGTGACCTGAACTTGAACAAGATGTCCACCTGGACGGATGAGATCGCGTACATTTTCACACGCTTTGGTAGAGTGTACGGGGTCTGACCAAAGGACAATGTCGTAGAAGCCGGGTTGGAAGCCCTGCTCGGACAGATTCCGACCCATATCTAAAGTAGAGCAGGAAAAATCTCTGAAATCCTCAGGGAGCTCACGCATGAGGTCAAGCTGCTCCTGCGAGGAGTCGGTCGCGACAAACTCCCTATATCGCTTGATATCATTGGCACCAACAAGCGTCCCCAGCACGGCTCGATTCATACTGAGATTGCGACCAGCATTAATTTCTAGAATTCGCAAATCTGGATTGGCATGGCCTGCCAGATCAAAGATCTTGGAAAGCTGGGGGAAAGGGCCAGCCTTCTCCTTGACCGACGCGAGAGTCTTATCGAACTGATTCTTGCTCAGAGTGCGAAGATCGGGCCTCCAGACTAAGCGTGCGAATGGGCTTGAGTAAGGCTTGGTGGTCGAGTCCCCACTGGAAGATGAATCTTGTTCATTATTCAGGCTGGTGAATCGCATGTTGTCTACGTCCAAAATGACATTCCCCATATCATCCAGCATTTGTAGCTTGGCATAGGCGCCGCGGAGACCGCGCAGCTCACCACGAGATATACCGGATGCCCAATTGTGACCTTCCAGCCGACCGTGGTTGAATCGCATCTCATTGAAGTGGATCGGAAGTTGGACATCAGCATTTTCAGCCTGGCCACCGTTGCAAGCCATAAGACCCAATCGAATCAACAGATCCAAGGAAGCTGGGTGAATTGGATAAGGCGATTCACCACCTGGGAACATGCCCGCTGTGGTATTCAAGGCCATTTTAGCCGACGTAATATTCTTAGCTGGATCGGCACGGATTTCTGAATAGCCCTGGAAGGATGGTCCGAACTGGAGGCCCATATCAGCGAAGCGTTTGTACCATGCCTGTGCATCGACAACTCGCCCATCCATTGTAGTGTCGATCGGGGTACCTTGTACGAACGGAGACACTTCCACCTTGATCAGACCGGAGCAATGTTCGGTCCATTGGTTAGTATCGCGGACGACTGACGCGATTGAGAAATGAGCCCAGCCTGGAGACTTTGCAGTGGCTCCATCCTCAAGCTCCATACTGAGTACAATTTCAACCCCATGGTTATCTTCAGGAACTACCAGTGTTTTCTTGATAGACACGTTGCGCATCATCAGTCCGTTGATGGGCAGAGCATCTGGAAACTCTTTGTATGCATTTTCTGCGGCCACCATCGCCATGACAATGTGAGCAGCCCCGGGATGCAAAACATGAGGGGGCACACGATGATCATCCAGCCAAGGCAAGTCCTTCAGACGAAGGATGTTTCGCCACTGGGGACGTAGCTTGGTAGTACCCGGTACCCTGGATCCGAGCAGGTCATGGCGAGGCGTATTTCGCAGGCGGTACTCTTTGCTGAGCCTACTCTCATGGTACTTGATGGGGCCATAAGTGTACTTGTATGGAGGAAGATCAATAGCTGTACAGCCGTATTCGAGCTGTCCCTGGCCATTGACGAATGGCCCATCAACAGCGTTGACAGCCACTAGATCTATGTCGGCATCAAGAGCAAACAATGTCCCTGCGCAATCGAGCATAGATCTCTGGGAATTCTCATTCCTCTTCAACGAAGGAACGTGCGGGATGTTTTTGCCAATACTCTTGACAATTTGACCCAAGGGGCTCTTCAATGCAGGATGCGGGCCTATCTCAAGCAAGACACCGATGTTCATGTCTGTTACGTCGAGTAGCTTTGCTACGGCATCTGCAAAGCGAACCGGAGACTCCAGATTGGACCTCCAATAAGAGGCTGAAACTTCGTTTGTAATCTTATTAAGAGTGACGGAAGAAATCCAGGCAACAACCGGATACTTTGCATTTGCAGCATCGATATCGTCTTCTTTGAGACGACGTAGTCCGCAACTGACTCTTTCTTCATATTCAGGGCCAAATGGCAACATGTGGTGAGAGTGATATGCGAGCCTACCGGTGCGAACAATTCTGTTGAACACTGCCTCTTGAGTCAGCTTTGCGCTGAGTTCTTCGACAGCCTCAGCGTCTCCAGAGATAGTAACACTATCGAATGAATTGATGGCAGCGACCTTGACTCGCTCCTCTAGTCTTGCCTCTCGAATGTATCCCAATGCTCTTTCGGGACCAACTCCAATAGCAAGCATAGCCCCTCTTTGTTTGTTGAAGGAGACCATATAGCCGCGATAATACGCTGCTGTAATGGCTTCTGCAGAAGTTATATGACCGGATGCATAAGCCGCGGCCATTTCTCCAGATGAATGTCCAACAACACCGGAGGGCCGAACTCCCCATGAAGCAAGAAGGTCCACAATTCCAATTTGAACAGCTGTGCAGACAGTTTGTGACACCGCAGGTGTTTGAATAAGTTCTTTTTCACAGTTTCCGAGAAGAATGTCGGCAATCTTCCACTTAGGTAGATTGGACATCCTGGTCAAAACGGTATCTAGGTGAGAGATGGAGTCTCGAAACACCGCGTAATCGAAAAGGCCCGAACCCATTGCATGCCACTGTGCGCCCTGGCCAGTAAAAACAAACCCTACAGAACCATGCTGTGGGGAAGACCAGGTCTTGAGGTCGGTCTCCTGCCTCAGGCCAGTCTCTAAGTGTTTATCCTTATCGACAATACAGTAGGTCCGCTGCGTAAAACGAGAGCGTTTGGCGGCCAGAGTATAGACTACATCAGCCAAAGAGTGCTGATGGAGATTCTGAGACAAGGCGTCGACATTGGCCTCAAGCGAGGTTTGGCTGTGTGCTGAGAAAGGAAGAACCACTAATTTTCGAGTTCCTGCATCGGCCTTCCGAATCATTTTCGGTCTGGCAATCACAGGACGGTGATTGTTTGACAGGACTGAAGCGTCACTGGATTCATTGGTGCGGGCATCGCCATTCGCTCCATGCGAATAACCATTTGCTCCATTTGCATGTTCATGAAGAGACCCGTTGGCGTTTACTTGGCCATTGGCACCATTAGTACCATTGATACCATTTTCGTCGTGGTTTATATTAGCTTCATGTATTTTTGGAACACCGTGGTCAAGGACCCCGGGCTTGAGATAGGATGGAAGCACGTTGTGCACATGATCAATTACGCAGTGTCCGTTTGTCCCACCAAAGCCGGCCGATGTGACACTTGCCCTCCTGAGCTTATTTTTAGGCCATGGTTCGACTTTGGTGAGAACTCGCGCTTTGGCTTCTTGGAAGTCTATGCGCGGATTGGGCAACTGGAACCCCAGTGTCGGTGAGATCTCTCCTTTCTCAATAGCTGCAACAACCTTGAGGATTCCAGGGAGAGCGCATGCACCTTCTAAATGACCGAGATTAGTTTTAACAGACCCTACTACAAGTCTATTCTCGTATCCAGAAAGACGCGAAGGTCCAAAGACATGACCAGCTGCTGTGACCTCGATGGGATCACCAACCCGAGTTCCAGTTCCATGACACTCAAGCAATGTGGTTTGTGATGGATCAAGGTTCCCTGCGTTCTTGTACCTGAAAAACAGTCACGTTAGACTTTTTAAGATATCGCGTTGCCAAATTGCTTACGCTTCTCTAATCACAATCTCCTGAGCCGGGCCACTTGGGTTTGTGATGCCATTGGTTCGACCGTTCGCGTTGATTGCGGAGCCCATAATCAAGGCGCGGATAGGAGATGCATCTTGAATTGCCAAAGAGGATTTCTTCAGGTAAAGAGCCGCAAAACCTTCTCCACGGGCATATCCGTCGGCCGATGCATCAAAAGTGTGGCTTCTCGAAGTAGCAGAAAGGGCACCGAGTTTCCCCATGGCAATGTGACAATTTGGGTCCATGATCCAGTTGGAGCCAGCGACAATAGCAGAGTCGCAATCTCCGGTTCGAATAGAAGTGATGGCCAGATGCAATGCATACATCGCTGAAGTGCATGCACTATTCACCAGCAGACTTGGTCCCTTCAGGTTGAAAACGTAGTGAATCCGGTTGGCCAGCATGTTGGGGAATGCCCCCGTGGCTGAATATTTCCCACCATAGTCCCAGTCTCGAGTTTGTGATACATAGTTATCGAAAGAGATATCACCCACATAGACGCCAGTGCGAGAGCCAGATACGGTTTCCCATGTCTCTCCGGCATTTTCAAAGGCTTCATATGTCACTTCAAGAAGCTTACGCTGAGACGCATCCATTGTCTCCGCTTCCACGTCTGTAATGCCGAAGAAGCCTGGGTCAAAAAGTCTTGGATCCTCTTTCAATAAAAATCCACTGCTGGCTACAGCCGTGCCTGGGCGATCTGAATTGGGGTGGTGGAACCCCTTGGCCGAGAATCGTGGCTCGGTGAACTCCTGAAGAACATCCTTTTGCTCTTTGAGAAATTCCCATAGAGCAGGTATATCTCGAACACCGCCAGGCATATGACAGCCTATGTGCGTCAGTGATTGTTTTCTTTGAAGGTCTGGATAGTCTCACCGATGCCAACAAGAGCAATCGGGTCATTACCACCAGGATGTAGAGCAGGCATCTTGTGCAATTGTTAAAGGTGCTGTGACACAATCTAGGTCTAGGATATCAAATTTCCAGATGGACTGAAACGAAATCATGATCATGTCAATGACTGATTCTTTATAGCTTTTGAAATGGAGATACTAAGTAAGGTACTCCGGTGGCTTTTTTTCTGGAGGGCCACGCTTAGTATCCACGTCGTATCCGCACATCGTGTCATATCGCCATCTATGTTGAACTTCATACATTTGCGATTATTTCCATAAGATGAAGAGCCTCGTGTTATTTCCTTCTACACAACCAGCATTTTCCAAGTATGTTTAGTGTCCCGCCTAATCCCGGCCATTCCCCATCCGTAATGCGAACAGGTACTTCCTGCATCTTATTTTTGTCTTAGAGCGGGGCTCGGAATGTGATTGCGGTCCGATGTCTCAAATGACGCTATCTCTATCTTTTGCTTGATGATAATGCACAGCAAATCACAATCAAGCCTCTAAGAGGTCGGCGGGCGTGGCGATGTGTCTGTTAGAGTGGATGCTTGAATCAGTCGGCCTCGAATATCGCCCGATTTTTCACAGTAAAGCAGCCTCGTGGTAACATAACAGCTTATCCCCTGCTTGAACAATGGCTTTGTGGCTTGATTCAGCTTCAACTGGGAGTACCGTATCTTCCCTGTAATTACATAGTTACAATCCACCCGTGTTAAAGTTAGTTAGTTACCTGCATGACCTCACATGTGCAGAAATGTTTGTCATTGCTAGCCAAAGCCAGCAAGCCAACTAATGTTAAAAATGGACAGTTCAATTGTGGCGCACTCGGCGTGGTTCGCATGGTTGTCGGTTTGGGTAAGAATCGCGCGCCCTGCTTGGACCAATGGGAGAAGGTATGTAACTCACTTGGCATTATGACAGCCGTTAAATCCCGAGCTACCTTGACTAAAATGATAACGTTTGCCACGATTGCGTCCTACGGGGGGCCGTCCGGCAATTTGCACGTGGACAAAAGGTGTTATGCGGATCATCGAATGCATAAGTGACGGTCGGCGCCGAAAGATCCGGAATAAGCGTCAGCCACCCCCTTGGCACTTTGTCTCAGTTTATTTAGACGGTAGATAATCCCCGCTTTCACCCAACCCCGACCTGCGTCGGCCGATTTTCAGCGGTGTTCACCTCGCCCAGCGCTTTGCAATGCAGCAGAACCGAAAGCGTCGCGTCAGAACGTGCTACCCTTGCTACACACGGAAACAGAGGGTGGGTGAGTTCTCGAGCCGCTGAGCTTGGAATAGAATATCGCGCTAATGGACTCGCAGTGTAACCGGGAGTACCCATGCAACCACTGTACCCGTCGTCGAAGACCAGAGGAGTGCGTTTTCAGCTCCGAGCCAACGAGGAATCCTTCACATAATGCTTTGCATCCAGAAAAATCGCTGAATGAGACTAAGGGTCAGATTCAGGGACCAGTTCCTGCACGGCTCCCCATAGAGACTCCCGCTCTAGACGGGCCGAACGAACACTGGTCGAGCCAGCATTCCGCGCTAGCCAAATCATTTGGTTACTTTGAGGATAGTAATACTAACACGATGGCGTTGCTACGCAGGGTGGGCCCCCCCCCCACACACAAATCCCCAATCTCCACTATCTCCTTATTTCCTTCAGGGATTGCATGAAACTGATGGAACCTCGCAGTTAGAGTTTCCCGGGGGAACCAAGACGGCTCTACGAGATTCTTCGCCAGCATCGACTTGGGAAACTATCCACTATGAGTTTAGCCGTATGCCTGAGCGCCGCATCCTAGACTTTCTCGTTCAATATTTTGTGTGCGAGCTGAATTGGTAGGACTTTCCCGCAAATTCATTGACCACATGTCGGCCCAAATTTCTAACTTCGACTCGTATATAGGATGAAACAGATTGTGCATGCCCCCCGCTTCTTAACGCATTACCACGAGTGGTGGGAGAATAGTAAGCCCAGTTTAGTGGCAGATGTGGAGTTTGCCACTCTTATCCTTCGCGTATGCTCCTACGCAACACAATTCCTCCCCTCGCCGCTTCACGCCATTGATCAGATCTGTGGCCACCCGCTCTCCGATATTCGCAACACATGTAGTAGTATCGGAGACAATCTTGTCAAGCTCTGCGAAACTCTTGATTGGAAAGGCTCTTTGTTCCGTGTTCAACATCTGATTTTTGCAGCCCTCCAGATCTCCTGTGAAGGTAGAACTGATCAGTTCTGGGAAGGGATAGCTTCTGCGAGTCGAGCCGCTCAGAAGGCTGGCATTCACACTGACACTACTCTATTCGAGGAAAGCCTAGTACCTCAAAATGACACTAGTAAAGAGTTGGATAAAGAGGCTCGACGGAGAACTTTCTGCAGCCTTTACGTCTTGGATAGGTAAGCCTTGGACCACGACGGCTTGGAAAGAATATTGACGCTTTTGTAATAGCCATTTGAGTCGTCAGCTTGATCGTGTCCCCTTCTTACCTGATCATTTGATTGCTGGCTCACTTCCACGGATGCACTTTGTTTCTGAGACTGGGAGTACCTCGACGGAAATCCCTGCCGGTGCACCCGACATTTTTACCGAACGCCTCATGCAGGTGCAGCTAGGCCACTTTTGGCGGCAATTTGGGTCACGGCATAACTGCGACTACGATCCAACAGCAGGCGAGCAAAGGTATGACAAGTTCTACGCCGAATATCTCCCAAGCCTGCATCCAGCATTTGCATTCGACCGTACAGATACGACCTGGGATAATGCTCTTACAAAGCTCCCGATGCAAAGGCAACTTCTCCACATCGCCATTTTCGACTCGGTCTGTTGGAATTTTCGACCCGTTCTGTTACTCAAGCCCGACTATGTGGCGAGGCTTCCCCCATATAAGCGAGTGCTTCTCCAATCACAGAAGAGAAGACTTGGTTTGGTTGCATTGAAGGAACTCGAGGCTGTTACTTCCCTTCATTTGATGTTCGGGGGCTCATCCACCCGTTTTGCTGCTATTATTTTCAATACCTTCGAAGCTGCCGTTCTTTTACTATGTCTTTGTACTCATGTCGACTTTCCCTTTGACCAAGCAGACGAAAATATGGATGCTCTAGGTATTCACGCTAAGTTAACCTATAAAAAGGCTATCCAAGCTTCCGAACAAGCTATTAGCCGCCTTCAAATGTTGGCTGAACTCAGCGACATGGCTGCATCTGGGGCTCAGGTGGCTGCACAACTGTTTGCCAAAATCGCCAAGTGGAAACAATCATCCAGCCCAGTTCCTCTGGCGGATTATATTGATACATCATTTTGGCAACTCCCATACTCTGCTAACATCGGAGTTTATGATGACCTAGGCCCGTTTCCATCTTTGGAGCAAGCCTATCCCGGGTTTATGAGCGAGATCTTCTCCTCGGCGGCGCAAAAGCCCTAAGTCTTAAAAAGTGTCCTTATCGTCTTTCGAATTTCCCACGTTTGGGGCGGGGATCCTCCCCTCTAGCATCTCCTTCAAATTGGAAGCTTCTCGGTGATCAGGTGAAGACATTGCCGCAGGCAAAATAAATATAATAGAATACTCCATATTGATGTCAATATGTTTACTCTTTAGCAGCTGCAGGCTCGTATTCAACTTCTGAGTAGCAAAATTCTGTACTATTCACCTCACCACCTTTTACGCTATATGCTGATTATGCTTTCCCCTCAATGGTCAAAGTTAAATCAAAGAAGCCCTCGAGGAGCAAAAATGAGACAGGAAAAAATCCAAATACGAACAAGTGAAGTGGCAATGGACCCTCCCAAAACGGAAATTCGTTTGAATGATAGCCTGCCACGTATTTATTGTAGCCAGTAGACACATAAACTCCGGTGCTTCGGTTAAATCCGTCTGACATCGTTTTCTACAGGTAGGGTTGCTCATCGTTCGTATACAATCAACTCTACTTTAGAAGCTGCTGCTAGAAAATACGTGAAGGAAAGCAGGTTCCAAATTAGATGAGATGATTGGGAAAGTCTTCTCATTCTCGGAAAAATCATTGTAATCATGTTCCTCAAGGCTGCAGCAGACAAGGCGTTCCCAACTTAAGCCATGTGGTTATCACCATGCATCATGCATGCACCACACCCGACTTCTGTCGGCCGACGCGCATCGGAAAGATTCAGATTGCTAATACGAGGTAGCATCGGGGCTTCAGCGAAGGACTTTTGTCGATGCATCTGCATGGGGCCAAAATTTCTACGATGGTCCAGGGGTTTCCTGTTTGGCCCCACTTTGTCCACGTTAAACGTGGACTGATTTCGGTGACAGCAAAGTAGCGGGGAGATAGTTGTGTTTCATATCAGCTGAGATGCGATGACTTAGAATCAAGAGTATTTATTCTTGTCTAGGCATCCATGGATGCATTAAGCACACTCGATAGTATCAGTCACTTTGATCTCGAAGAGCACTGCAATATCCTCAACCATGTCATGGCTCGATATATCACAGAATTATGAGCCCTATCAGGCTTTCAAGATGTCTTCTGCAATCGTTCTACTCGTGACCGGGCTCTATGCGCTTTATATGTGGCTACTACCAAAGCCGCTTCCAGGTATCCCATTCAACATAGCGGCCTCCAAGTCAATATGGGGTGACGTCCTGGAGCTCAGGGATGATCCCTCGGGTTTGGCCAAATGGTGCAGCAAACAGCTCGAGGCACATGGAACGCCAATTTGCCAGGCATTGATGGGACCATTGTCGAAACCAGTGGTTCTAGTTGCTGATATTGGGAATGCTCGCGAGATGCTCATGGGACGAAGTGACTTTGATCGCTCTGTCTATATCATCGATCGATTCCCGCTGTTTGGCGAATTTCATCTCAATATGAAAACCGGTGATGGCTGGAGACAATCTCGTGGCTGGCTCAAAGATCTTCTTGCTCCACAATACCTACACAATGTTGCCGGTCCCGCTATTCACTCGTCAATTCTGAAATTGATCAATCCAGGCATCTTAGGTAGTTTATTATCGTCGGTTAAAAGGCCTATTTTTGCTAAGCCTTTATTAGAATTCATAGGCCAAATACCAGTTTCTCGGAATCTATATCGAATAGTACGTATTGTTAATGCTGATATTCGGATATCGTGAATTCCCGCGAAGAAGTTGGCCTTTAACCGCGTATCACCACCCCAAAAGGCCTCTTTATTATTATACTTCTTATAATAATGTTTTAGCACTTAAAAGGGTGTGTCGTCGAGCGGTTGGCAACCATATGTCGTATGTGGAATAAAACAAAAAGGAATGATTCGTTTTCTCTAGTAAAATTTAATAAAATTATAGGTCAAATATGAACTATGATTATCTATTAAAAGAAGACGATATTCCCCTTTTTTAACACGAAACGATATGAATTTATCGAAGACCTAGACCTAGGTAAAACTAATAATCTTATCGGTCTAACTATTCGGGGTTGGCTATATAGTATAGTCGCCTAGTAAATTAGTATCGATAAACCAACTTTCTATATAGAATTAGCCCTTAACTAAGAACCACGGTAGTATAACCTAACCATCGGCTAAAACACATTTAATACTAGTAAGCGACTCAGATTGTCCACTAGTATTATTTTTGGAATTTTCCCGGGCTGAAATAACGTTCTAGGCCTTCCCTTCGCTAATTCGAAACCTAGTCTCGTCGAAATTGTATAGGTTCTTCGGAGTGATTCCGTAGGTTTCAACGTAATTTAAAGGCGATCGTACTAAGAAACAATATAACTAGGTTCACAGACCTCGTACCGTGCTTTTTCTATTAGCTTTTGCTTAATAGTCTTAAAACGTGGAGGTAGACGGGCAATAAAGTCGTACGCCTAGTTTTTCCCTAGGTTCCGGGACGGTTTATATCGTCGGACAATTTGTAGAGCAGTACCCTGAATCTGCCCTACGGTCGGGGGAGAGAAGGCCTGATCTAAGGTATCAATCTATAGAATCAATGCTTTCTCTTGCTCAGGTTCTAGTATTTTGTTAGTCGGGTGCGCTCGTTTCGAGACTTAGAACCTTTAAGACGGCCCCTCAGTGTACTGTATGAAATGTCGAATTGCCGAGCGATCGCTTTGACGTTAGGTTTCTTATTGGCACGGCATAATGCTAAAGCATTAGTGATGCGGTCTTCTAATTCTTGAGGCATAATATGAAAAAACAGGAGTGTAGTCAATTAATGGAGAAGGTTGAGTTGATAAAAATGAGTTTACAGTCGGGGTGAGGTTACGCCCGGGAACCCGGACACCGCCTGGTGGCCGCGTTCGACGACCCGATTATATGTATGTATGTGCAGGACTAGCCGCTATCACCGGCTGGACATAAACACTATTTCTTGTATAATTATACTTTTCATGGGATATTTTCTGTTTTGCAGTTAATAATTTTTACTCTTCTTGCGTCGTACTATATGTGGCTACACACGAAATAGAAATACATACAGAAAGGAAGCAAAAAAGGATATCCTAAAATTGGTTCAACTATGCTTTCTTCTAAAATAATTCCAGACCAAACTTCTAGATGTTTAGATAATTAAAGCCCTATACATTGGCAAGAGTTGATCTTAACAGATCTGTCGCTATCCTAACAAACCTGGTGGATTTGGGCTAGACTTGCTAGTTAGCACGTAGGTGTAGACCGAACATGGTTTGCGAATGATATGGACGTGCAGGGAAGAATACCTGTCTACCAATGTTGCGCAGAGAATAATGAAGTGCTTGTCTCCCGCCATAATATTCCTATCAATATCATGAAATTCTTCTCCGCGGTCATCTATGTATCGAATTCCATAAAGGATAAGTCGCCAGATTCTTGGGCCAGATTAAGGAGCTCGTCTTTGACTTGTAAAAGCCTCGGGCGATACTTAAGAGGCAGCCACAGAGTTCTCTTGACATTGACTGTCACCCATTGGTCACTGAGCATCTAGTATCTGGAATTCTATACTTTTCCGAGGTGAAGAGTTCTTTGGGTTGACCTGGAGGTTTCCCCGGTTTGTTCTCAATCGATAGCTATTTTCAGTGAACTTCAAATAATCGATATCCCCTGCGTCCCATGCTCTAAGAATTTTGCCAGAATCTATAGCCTAGTTTTTCCAGTCCGTGTTGAAGAAACTAATTTCCGGTTACTAGAAGAAAATATCACGCAGTTTACTTTAGACCGATATGGAGATCCCTCCCACTTTAATGTATTGATGTTGATATTCCAAATTCTGCTCGTACCATTTCTGGACCCCGATGCCAGCCATTTACCATCAGACGAGATTTTCACCGATAGATTGGAGGCATTTTGGCTAAAAGTCGGCTCATGCTGGCCTCGAAATAAGAATTGTCGTCAACCAGTAAATTCCTCCTTCGACCTTGACTAGGCCATCATCATTATCCTCGATTTTCTCATCGGAGTCAACTTTTCGAGGGAATAAATTGCCATCTCTAAGACCTCGCTGGGTCGGTTGTATGGTGTCCGCTTTTATATCCCAAAGAATTGCTGTCTAATCCTTTGGAAGAGATCCAAGAAATTGGTTGCAGAAGGAAATTTCAGTCGAAAAAACTCTGTCACGGTGATCTCTCAGGCACTGGACCCTACTACCTGTGGCAAAATTCCAGACTATCACACTCTTATCTGCCGAACTGGATGCAAGGTGGTTGCTGTCGGGAGAGTAATTCAAACAGCAAACCGGACTCGAATGTCCTTTACAGACCCGCAGTATATCCCTTGTCTATATGTTCTAGATCATAATTCTCCGATCAATTGATCCATTTGCAATTATCGATCCATTCTCAGAGGATGCAGTTGCAGGGATAGTTGCCGAATGGTCCTTTAGAACCGCCTTTTTGGTAACTGCTTCTGTATCACAGAGCTCGATTGTTTTGCTCTTCTGTCGAGCTTATTGCTAGGATTTTGTCATCATGGGAGAAAGCCATGTAAGAAACATATTTACGGTCACCAAGTATTCGAAGAAGTTCCTTTGAGTCGGTCTTCCACAAACTGATCTTGTCATAAATTGAAATCGAGAGTTGGAATTTCCTTTGGGGTGATTCTATATCATAAGACATTGAAGTAATTCTTAGGTTCAAAAACCTTCAAGAGCAACCGTCCTAAAATCCAATAGTCGAACAATGTCGTCTTGGGAGTGAGTCGCGAGTAGTCGACTAACCGGAGAGAATGCTGCAGATACACCCCTCCCTGAACTAACCTCAGGTTCCCCCAGCTGCGCCTAGGTTTCCCTATTGGTTGTAAGGCAACCGCGAGAGTGTCTGCTATTCTCAGGGTGCTCCTAGAATCCCGATAGGCCAAATATTGGCTATCAGACAAGAAAATTACGCAATGAACCTGTCTAAAGTGGTCTTTGGGGTTATGATGCAAGGTGAGTTCATGCGCGAAATTGTTCGTTTCCCAGTGTATGGCCAAGTTATCAGCAGTTGCAGATGCGAGGATTCTGTCATCCGGGAAAAAGGCAACATAATGAACTGCGGCCGAATAGCCCTGCAGGGTGTGATCAATGGTACCAGTAGCCACATTGCATATTCACAATATCGAGTCTATTGATCCGGATGCGAGTATATGCACATTTGAATGAGAGGCGATATCGTTAAAACTATTTTGAGAATGAAAGAGACTTCCGGGTGCCCATTATCTGTCAAGATAGGCTGCAGAGACGTGCAGATGTATGGTACAATGTGAGTTCATTGAACAGTCGACGACAATGTTAGAAGCAAATCTCCTCTCAACACTATCCTTCTCATCGAACACTACGTCATAACTTTTTTGTCACTCTTACACGTGCATGTCGGCCTTCAAAACCAACACTTGGGGTTGGTATGCGCCAGTCCTAATCCAGGTTGTTCCTTCGAACACTTAAGCCCTAGAGCCATGTGTCACAAACAGCATTGCTTGTTAGATGTATTTATTCCTCGGTTTTAAAGGGCCGCAGTCCCATATAAGCTATGGACCCCATGTACACTGTCGTTAGTGGTAGTGATCGCGGACGTTCATCCCGATCCCTATTTTGCCCTCCGCGGGGGTATGAATACCTTCGGCATTGTGACTCATTTTAAAGTCAGGACTGTGTCACAAGGTCAGTTCCACGCCGGAGACAGGACCTACACAATAGATAAGAGAGACACCATTCTAGACCGGGCATACAGGCTTACGACACCATGAAAAAACGACGCAGCCATGTCCTTCTACCATGGCTCCGGTTATCACCAAAGTACTGACCAGTACACTTTGTCGTTTACCCCGGAGTATTCCCATCCTATTCTAAACCCTCCTCCGTATGCAGAGCTAAAACGCATCCCGTTCGAGACTGATACGGCGCGGCTCGGCTGGGCAAGTGAAATCTCTAAGGAGGTCGCGTCGGCAACTCCTGCCGGAGGTCGGTAAGATCATCAACACACTCCCCCAATTGATAATTTGGCGAACGCTAAGCGGTACAGCAACCTATTTGCCACTATGACGTATTACCCATCAGTGAAGCTTGATAGGAAGATGTAAGAGATCATGATGGACGAGATCGAGTCGTTCAATTTGATTCCAGTGTTCTATCCCAACTTGATCCTGCAGGCACTTTATGAGGCTGTCATCCATGCTGGGAGACAATGCGGCAGGAATGCTGCTGGAATCAATGCAGACGGCCCTCTTACGTGTACAAAATTCTAGTAAATAGGTTGTATATTCGTTTCTGACCGCTTCAGTTGCCCTACTAACCATACTCTGGGAGAACTCTGCCGATGACAATGCAATGAACACATTTCTCAGCCGATGGGTAGAAAGGGCCACTACCTTCATCTACAAGTTGGGAAAAGCCCATCCTTGGCTTTATATCAACTACGCCGGCAAAAATTAAGATCTTTTTTCGGGATACGGAGAGAAGAACCTCCAACGACTGCGAGATATCCAGAAGATGATTGATCCTACAGGTTTGTTTACATCAGGGCGATTGTGTAGAGGTTATTTTAAGTTCTTGTAAACTACCAAAAAGAAATAACATGGGATGTGATGTCTGGTATCTGTCTCTTTGGGATACAACTTTACTACAGGCTTGGGTGAAAGGTATTGACGAATTCCATCTTTCTATGCCAGTTGAGTTAACTACCAGTAGACCCTTGTTTGGTTTGTAGAAATCAGAAAAGGGCTATTATCACCTCTGACTTGCTTACAGGGGGACCCATGAATGCACTATCAACGATAAGACCACAGAAGCTTCCAAATTTCTGTAAAATGTCGGTTCTCAAGCAAAATCCAAAAGTCAATAGTTGGTGCATTCTCCTGATAGACGACACGAGACCCCTAATGTATCCCTATACCTCACATTAGAGACATTCTTATTGGCCGCTAGCAAGTTAAATATACACTGACCGAAAAGCAAGATGACCATGTACATACCTCATCTGAAGCACTAGGCATAGACCACCCTAAGACATTTATTTCGATGCCTCGATTTGCGAGCCAAACAAGAATACCGGCTCCTTGTTGCTGAAATTCGGAACATCACCCATGACCTCAGCCACTTCGGGGCTTGTGAATGCTTTTTCAACACCTTCCTTGTTTTCCCAAACAACAACACTTCCAAAGGTGTAAGGGGGTTGTGCCCCATCGAGACCGGGGGCAAAAGTGGTTACGGACCAATTTTGCACCCCGTACTTCGTCCAGTGTTGTTTGATTAGAGGCATGTGATGCGCCGTGTAGTATTCAATGTCGTACTTGGCATCAGGGACGTTGGGAAAGAGGACAGTAATAGTGAAGGCCATGGTGCCGGGTCGTTATCAAGAGACGGATATGGAAGATGAACTTAAGGTGGGGTGGGTGGTGACAAGGAAGGAAGACCGGACTCTGGCTATGAGATATTTCTACTAGACTGGACTCTAATACTTATATCCCAAAATTCTCAAAAGGCTGCTGGTTGTGCCAGAAACTTCCTTCAGATTTTAATTATTTCAATGCTTACAAATGGCATGATGATATCTCTGTAGGGTTCAAAAGGCTTACAGGATTTAAGGGTGTAGGTCCGAATAATTTCACTGGATAGAAGCTCCGCTCGGTGGGGGCAACCATGTAAGCAAGATGATTCAGGAAGTGTACTCGATTATATTGATTTTTCGTTCCGCTTGAATGGATTCGGTGTTTGCAGCGGACTTATCACAACTCCGTCAAAACTCTCGTTCTCAGATATTTGTGAGATCATGTTCTATTTGTAAAATCGCGCATGTCTTGCCTCTTCGGGTGTTTCCGACACGACAGTGCTCTAATCTCCAAACTATTAAAGGGCCAATGCTAGTAGATGACTGCAAAACCTGTGAGTAAAATAAATTATTTTGCTATTGCAATACTCTGGTGCATTCTCAATCTCATCTTCTTCCCATCTTTCAAAGTTCTTCTCAAGATGTCCGAAAAGCCCAGCTTCCTGTTCGTTCTCACGTCTCAGGCGATTTTACCTAATCGGGGAACCCCTACTGGCTGGTATCTGCCGGAGCTTGTCCATCCTTACAACAAGCTGGCACCCTATTTCAACATCGTCGTTGCCTCTCCAGCCGGCGGGGAGGCCCCGTTGGATCCTTACTCCATTCAAGCCACCAAAGACGACGCAGAGTGCCAGGCATTCTTGAAGGAACAGAAGAATGTCTGGGTGCAAACAGTGAAATTGTCTTCGTTGCTCGGAAAGTCAGCTGAGTTTGCCGGAATCTTTTACGTTGGTGGACATGGCCGTGAGTTGGCATCCTTTCCTGGAATCTCAAATACGTTGCACCAAATTAGGCTCTAACATACGATTTAAAGCAATGTTCGACCTTGCAAACGACTCAAATTCCCAGTCTTTAATTCGTGAATTCTACGAGTCCGGCAAAGTTGTTTCAGCCCTATGCCATGGCCCAGCTGCTTTTGTGAATGTCAAGCTGTCCGATGGGACATATCTCGTTTCTGACCAGGTGGTTACTGGCCTCTCCAATGCAGAGGAAGAAGCTATGCAGTTCACTAAAGATATGCCATTCCTTTTGGAATCCGAGCTGCGAAACCGGGGAGGAAAGTATGAGAGCGCCGATGGTTTATTCGGTGTGAAGGTGGTTGTTAGCGGCAAAGGCGGAAAGTTGATCACAGGCCAAAACCCACCGAGCGGAGCTGTAATTGGCGAGACCTTGCTCCAGGCTCTTTTGTAAATATCTAGCAGGTGGTAGTGTTTGTCAGTTCTAGCCAATTCGAAATATAGTCAAGTCATACGAAAAATCAGGAATAGTAACACGTGCAGAATTTAAGCCCACAAATCCATGTGTTCCACGGTTAGCTGCAGGTTCAATCGGTGACTATTAATAAGTTTTAACATCCCATTTCCACACCACTTTACTTATATAATATTCTGCCAGTCAAGAGATTTCCAATACGGTTTTACATCAATTCTGATACTGTGGCAATGTGGGCCAAGTGTGGAGGACCAAGCCATGCAGATGACCAATGCGAGTCTACACGTAAGCAGACTAATCAAGGTTTGGTCCACAGGTCTTTTTAACCAATGAACATCAAGGCGTAAGCAGACTAATCTGTCGGAATGCTAACTAGACCTAGCCAATAAGAAATGTGTAAAAACTCTGTATTTTATCTACTCTGATTCTGGCAATTTATAGGGTTGTGTGGCATGACTAATTAATCACAAATAAACAGTGGATACTCGCTGGGAATTCACCGACATAATCTGTTTCACGAATACCCAAGAAAGGGTAATATAAGGGGACCTAAGGCTACGGGGATGTCCATTAGCTGATTGTGGTTATCTGTGGGAGAATATTCCAAGGTTAGACATTAAAAAACGGGAACTAGACAATTGATACCTGTGGACCCCTCCAAGGTTACCTTTTTTATTACTAATCGCGTTGAACTCGGCCTTTCGGTTCCAACGGTGCTAATCTCCTTTCATTCCAGTCGTATGGAAACCCCAATGTCATCAATCGCCCCAGTATCAAACGCCCAAAAGAGCTCTTATTCTCCCGATGACGATTTGACGGGGGTTACTAGCGCGGCTTTACGGCGGAGAATACAGAACCGTCTAAATCAAAGAGCATACCGTGAGAAATTCGCCTATTTGTGACATAATCGATATCGATCGTACCTAGCTAACACGGTCCTTTCTTTTGAATCCAGGCGCACGTCTCGAGGCGCGTGCTCAAAGGGAAAAGCGAATAAATGAAGCACCACAAGTCCCTAAAATTGGAGATGCTGCTACCCTCGCACTACCGAAGAGCGGAGCCAAATCACGGCCAAATCCAATTATATGCACATTATGTGAGGCACAACACTCACAGTGTACATTCGCCCCTCCGAACATACATGCTCTTATGGATGAGTTCGAAAAAAGAGCCCTGAATAGTTATTTGGAAGGCTCGCCAAAGACGGATCTTTTGATCAGCCTAAGTAGACTAAACGTCCTTCGGGCAGCATACGATAATGTCATGGCTATGGGGATGACAGCGGAGTGGCTTTGTCAAGATGAACCCATTTCAATATTCAGTATACAGGGTCCTCAGCTTTCTGAGGATAGTATCCCATTCACTTTACGTCCCACAGACCTACAACGATCAACGCCACATCATCCATGGCTTGATATTTTCCCATTTCCTCAGTTTCGTGACAACCTCATCCGAGCCGGAGATAATCTTGATGATGATGAATTATGCCATGACCTTACGGCGTTTTGGGACACTCGCACTAGTAATGCTAGGTTACTCGTCTGGGGAGTACCGTCTTGTCCGGAGAATTGGGAGGTCACAGAGGAATTTGCTATCAAGTGGGGTTTCTTTCTGCGAGGTTCTCCTGACATTCTCATTTCAACAAATAAATGGAGGTTGAAAAGAGGTGAGAAGCCACTGGTTTGGAAGAGAATATTTGGTATATACTAAAGGTGTCCTCCTATACACTCCTTAAGGAAAGCACTCAAGTTGTACCCAAGTGATACAGAGGGCAAGGAATATAAAGGAGAACTGTATATATGGCTACCAATCAAGTCCGATCATAGCAAGTTTCAAAGAGAGAGAAAACTACACATAGCAATAGATATACTAACACGCTGGCTTATATGGGACTTTGGCTTACACTAGAATTCAATAAATAGCCGACGCTTAGTAACATATCATCTTTGTGCTTACTCCCCTGCTATGCTGATCTTTTAGTTGCTCAGCTCGGGCTTATTTTTGGGGTGTTGATTATAGGGGCACTAACGGACTTTACATCGTCTTAGGCGATAGTTCATATAGCTTTGATTTGCCTCTTTCCCAACATCCCTTTATTCTTAAGCTGATTTTGATAACGTATGCTTTTATATTAATTTTCCAATTGGCGGCGTGATTATTCTTATCACCACCCAGGACCGGAGATTGTCAGTGACGGTCTCTTAGCCATCTAAATTGACCGACATAAATTATACCCAATTGGACTCTTTCTCTTTGCACTATGTCAGGACCCATATACTAAGCAGGTCTGACGATATATATCTCGCAGTCTATGTGAGACTGCGAGATGGCCAGTTCGCACCTGCGAACTGGACCCAGGGCTGAGACCCGCAATGCGAGGGCTCATGACCTCACATGACCCCACATTTGTATATAAACAGTTCAGAGGCTGGAGTCTTGGACTCCAGCGATTAGTTCAGCATTGAACCTGTCTACTGCTTTCTCTATTCTATTGCCCGAATCCACCTAAGTCCCAAGACCCTCGTAACGGGGTCTTACACACTAGCAATGATTCAACTATTCCTGGTACTCTATTACGATGGAAACCGATATGCTTAGAATAAATGCCTGTTTCCTTCCGCATAGTTTGTTAAAGAATGGTCTCTTCGTCTTCTCTCTTTCTGATTTTATATTACGTGCTTTGAGGTAAGACTCTAGTAGGATTACTTTTTTTGCTTTTTTTGATATCGCTCGAGATGATATTTCAGATATGCTTTCAAATGTCCTTTTTACTATCTTTTACGCGCCAACTTGGATGCCGATGGACGTCTGTTTAGAATAATGAGTCGCAAACTAAGGCACAATTCCTGCCAAACAACCTTTCCATATATAATATAATATCTATTCATGGATATGACCAGAGGTGCTTATTCAATTAAATATTACGCTATCATAACATAGGAAATAAGGAAAACAACGAAGTTTCTGTAGGCTAATGGATAATTTACTATTACTAACTATCACTAGTAATACCTATGTTTATCAATAGATATATATAAAGGTCCGCTATTTCGCCTATAGTAGAAGCGCGGGGGCTACTCCGCGAGAAACTAGAAAGGGAATCAATTTTGAAGAGATTCCTTGATTCTTAAAAGTCCAAATAGCTGATACGGTTCTAACCACTTGATGTGTCTAGCTTTTGGAAAATTAAGTGCGAATTAATGGTATAGAGGTGGTTGAACTAAGGTGGGAGCATACGTTAATAAAGTAATATTGGTAATGGTGAGTTAGCGGCCGGAAATGGCCTTCTTAGGGTAAAACATGGTTATGTGCGAGTACAACTTATAATTGCCAATAGGGAGTCAGAAACGGCTCCCAAGTCGAAGTGGTTTCTCCTAGCTCGTACTGGGGATGTCCCAGTATAGGACGTTGCACGTGATCTGCATAAGAGATTGATCGGTTAGCTCTCGGTGGCCCATCTGTAGGTCGCTGTCCCCACATGTGATTAGTGACTGGTATTGTAAAGTATAGGGGGGTTCTAGTGTTTACAGGATAGGGCCTGTCAACTAGGTAAGACGAAGATGGCCCCGGAACAGATGTATTATGTGAATAGTACAGAGACTGATTCTTGGGGAACTTCCAGGTTCCCAAGAATGGACTATTTATCATTGATAGGAGCGGGGTAGAGTGGCGGTCAGAGTACGCTCTGTGATCGACAGTGACACGCTGGCGATAACCCGTCTCTATGACAGGACTTCTGAAGATTCAGGATCCACTCCGTTACAGGTATGTCCGTAACAGGTACGAGACTGATACCGAAGAGTAACACTTCCTTCCGTATTATCGGAAACATTCCTATACGATCTGTATAAAAAGCTAGGTCTATTTTAGTTAAGTTAGATTTTATGCTATAGGGGAGTGCTACGAAACTAAGACTACCACGCAGAATAGGTCTGCGTTAACAATATTCCTCGCTGGGAAAGCTGCGCAACCAAGGACTTCAGAGCTACCGTTACCACGGCTGTCGCCGCCACGAGCCTAGCTATATAAGACTTACGCCCCCTCACAGCTAATGTAAGAAGATTACCAGGTCAGGGGTGATCAGCCTGTCAATCCGGTAAGATACGATGATGGATCGGTAATGAATAAGTGGAGGAGCGTCAACGATATAGTATTCTTGTACAGAGACTAATTCTTGTCCCCCAGATAGGGGCCAGGGAGTTATCCCCTTTTTATGCCCTGTTTGGACGAAGCTCCCAGGGGCACATTATCTCTGTCGGTATCACTTATTGCGATTCCATCTTCGTTGGTGACACTACGTCCGAATCCTTTTCGTAGACGGAACATTCCCGTTACATGGTCGGATCCATTACTCCTCGTCCTGCATAGCCTCGTTAAAACCAACCAGGCAAAACCCAGATGGGAAAAGGCCAAAGGTTGGAAAGAGTGCTTGGCAGTCTTAATGATCTGTCTCCCATTGTATGATCCCAAAGACCATTACAGCTAATGAGCCCTGTGACTGTTAAAATGTGCTTAGCTATATAAGATTTGGCTCGCCAAGGAATTGCCATGGCTCATTAGCGATATATAGGCGCCTCTCCGAGGCGCTAGGAACTAGTATTCGAGTATTCGAAGAGTATTCGAAGAAGCAAATACTTGCGCAACATCTTTACCTTCTTCGTATTCCGAAGCAACTTAGAGAGATAGAACGAGCCCTAGATAGAAACAAACCAAGCACTAGAATCGTAAATTCACGACTAAGTCTTGTTCGCTATCGAGTTCTATATTCTAACCCCCCTGTCTTAATAGTTTGAGGTCTGATAGTCTATCTGCTGTAATAGGATGCATCTACCATTAGAGCGTAGAGCGAATAGAGACTTGAGTGTTTTGGTGCGTCGCAGATGTGTTGATGAGTGTTGATGAGAGAATATTTCTAATGTAATCCTCATCTTTTACAATATCCTATATTTCACCTAGTTAAGATCGCGGTAAGTGTGACCCTTTTTTTTGTGGCTGTAGGGACAGATTTAGGCATCGCTAATCCAAAGAGAACGGAGCTGAAGCCGGAAGTAAGATATTTATTATGCAATTCAAATTATTCATAATCACAATTTGTTGGGGATGTCAGGTGACATTCCACATTGGGATAGTCTCCCATGGAGTAGATAGATAGATATGTCTCGCTCTCTCTCTCAAATTTCTCCTTCTCTCCTCCGTCCGCAATACAATATTCACATCTTCATATTCAATTGCCCTTGTATGATCTCCATGACAATTCTACATGAATATTCAACAATATTCATATTCCTTTCGGAGCCCTAGCTACTGCAATCGAGGCATCGCGCTCGTACCCCTAAGGGGCATCGTTGACGGTTATGAGCCGCCGCAGTGGGCTGTAACTCCTTGCATATTCTAGCCCAAACAGTATATCACACTTGCGGCTATATTCACTCGGCCATTCGCTTAGACATTTCTAAGGTAGCCACGTGCCGATGTGCAACACATCGCATTTCATACATCCCGACTTTATACACTTAAGCTATGCGCCTTGATCCTGTTTATTATACACCCACAACAAAGAGGACACATGTTAAGCCATTCTAAAGCAGAGCTGACCCATCATCTGACCTATGTTGATTAGTGAGAACATGGCTGACGCCACGGTCGGCTCAGCCGGTAAGGTTGCCCCCCACCTTTGGATTTTTACGTCTAGTCATCCATAGGGCTGTTTCCTAACAGAGCAAGAACTTTGTATGAAGACCTTATAAGTAACTCGGCTGAAGAGTGCTTGGTTCAAAGTATTCTCTGTAGGTCTTGTCGATACAGACGGCATGATAGCGCCTACATGGATGTTCTTAGAAGCAACAGCAAACAAGACAGCAAAGAATTACAAACAGAGGGCATATTCCGAGCCTTGGCTTTCGTAAGACTATATCCTAGCAAATCCTTCCCCCGCATGCGCTTTGAGCGCCTTCCGTGCCGTCGCCGTGGGGCAATCCCGCGCCACACGATCACAAATAACAGCAGGTTTCGACCACTTTGTATGGTAAGCTTTCTACATAATTGTGAAAAGTAGGGCTTGAAGCCGCTGGAGGACTTTCCCCTTTTTTCAGCGGCCTGAAACAGTCACCCTTGAAGTATATTGTACGAGTCTAGTATTAGGACCCCCAGAAGCTGAGGGTGCTAGGACCCCTCCAAGGCCCCTAGTGCTTACAGGCATAACCTTATGCAGTGCTAGGTAACGCCGCCAAGATTACTAAATGCCGTCAGAGATGCTCTCTGCTGAATCTACTTTTGTGGCTACCCCACCGGCGTGGATCGTTTATATGCGGCGTAGTAGCCAATGTCCGTCCCACGTCCTTCTAGGTGCTTTCTTCAATAGGGAGCCAAATCGCGTGCAGTATCCCCTGCGCAATAGATTCCACTCACTATGGAGGATAAGCTCACCAATCCGGACGAAAAGTCCTCCGCGGGCATTCTCTCTCACGATGAGAAGGTAGCTGAAGCTCCGCCGCCGGAGCTGGCCGAGCAAACTGGACGCAGCAAGGCTGTCGCGCTAAACATTGTTCAGAACCCTCTTACGGTCAGATTTGCAAATTTCCATCTTCTCATCGTTCATATTCATGATGGCACCACGTGTTCGATACTGACACTCTTTTTTGGCACAGCGCAACTCCAAAGAACAAGTTATCGCCGATGCCCGAGCTTTCGCTCAGTCGCATGATATGTCAGAGCACGCCGAACTGTTTGCAAGAGCTGCTCTTGTTGCGCGTGAGCCTAAGGCCTTCGAGTTTATTACAGAGCTTGATGAGCAGGAGCGCACCGTGCTAGCATACGAGAGGGACCATAAGTGGCATGGCCCTTTTATGCTTTGGTACTCGATCTCTTTATGTGCCGTCGGAGCCGCCACACAAGGATGGGATCAGACTGGATCCAACGGTGCCAATCTGTCTTTCCCTAGGGAGTTTGGTATTGATGGTACCGGGAAAGACGAGTGGATTGTGGGAATTGTTAATGCCATCATCTTTTTGACCGCTGGATTGATGTGAGTAGATGCTCAGCCCTAATTCGAGGCCAGCCAGCAGCGCTGAAGGTTGCCGAGCCCCAAAGCCCATAATTTACCTTTTCTAAATAGTGGCGCTTTTATCGTCGACCCTCTCAATCACTACTTGGGCCGAAGAGGTGAAATATTCGTCACTGCTTGCTGTCTCACTGCCACCCCAATTGGTTCTGCTTTCGCGCAGTCATGGCAAGGGCTGTTTGCTGCGCGATTTGTCATGGGTATTGGAATTGGTGCAAAAAATGCCACAGTCCCTATATACTCAGCCGAGATGGCTCCAGCTCGAATTCGAGGCGCTCTCGTCATGTTCTGGCAACTTTGGGTTGTGGCCGGTGACTACCTCTGATCGCCCGTAGAAGCACATTAAGATCCTAATATTCATGCAGGTATCTTCTTGGGTTTCGCTGCCAACGTCATTGTCAAAGATACTGGTGACATCGCTTGGCGTCTCCAGCTCGGTTCGGCGTTCATTCCATCCTTCATCCTTGGCATTGGCATCTTCTTCTGCCCGGAATCCCCTCGCTGGCTCATGAAGCACAATAAATATGCTGAAGGGTTTAGATCCATGGTGCGCTTGCGAGCTCATCCCCTCATTGCTGCCAGAGACTTCTACTACTCGCATGTCATCTACGAGGAGGAGCTCAGGGAGGCTCGTGGCGCGGGCTACTTCTCCCGTCTGTGGGATTGTTTTGCTGTGCCTCGAATAAGGAGAGCAAATTACGGTGCTTCGACTGTCATGATTGCTCAGCAGATGTGTGGTATCAACGGTAAATTAATAGCAATTTTTCTTCTTACGCTTTTTGTTGGCTTCAGCTGACACGCCGCAGTAATCTCTTTCTATAGTTCAACAATCTTCGAGGAGGTCGTTAAGTCGCAGACAAAGGCTTTGTACGCGTCGCTCGGCTACGGTGCTATTCAAGTGGTGTTTACCATTCCTACTCTTTTTCTCATCGACACCAAAGGTCGGAGAACTCTAACTTTGATTGTAAGCCATTCCGAGCTTCGCGCATGAAAAGAAGACTAACGCATCCTATCTCTCGAAGACATTCCCCCTCATGTGCATTTTCTTGCTAGCTGCGGGTCTCTCGCTTCTCAAAACTACAGGTAGTCAAGGAGCACAAATTGGACCAGTAGCCTTGTAAGTTTGCTAAAGGCTTTCGTGCTGATGCTCTGAGGTCTTACTTACTAAACTTTTACCCAGGTTCATCTATCTATTTACTATATGCTACTCTCTGGGTGAAGGTCCAGTCGCTTTCCAGTACTCGGCCGAGGTTTTCCCCACTATTCAGCGTGAGCAAGGAATGGCTTGGGCTGTTTGCATCAACAATACCTTTGGTCAGTGGTATATTCCAGTCTCCAAAATGTACAGTAATATCCCTAATATAGTTTTCTTTAGCCGGTATTCTGAGTTTGACATTCCCACGAATGAAAACTGTCATGACTCCAACTGGTGCATGTGAGTTGCGGTGCTGTTGTATTGGATCGATCTGCTAAACCTATATTTCTACAGTCGGATTCTACGCCGGGCTCAACATTATCGCTTGGTTTATGATTTTCTGCTTTGTCAGAGAAACCAAACAGCTCACGTTGGAAGAATTGGATCGTATGTTACATCTCTCAATATGCATAGTCTACTAATTTACTCCTGTGATAGAGGTCTTCTCTGTGCCCACGAAGGAGTACATCCACCACGAACTGATCGTGTGGCTTCCTTGGTTTATCAAGCGGCATATCTTTCGAAAGAACATTCCTAAGCCACCATCAATCATTGCAACTGCCGATGAGGCTATGAAGAGCAGTTAAAAGTGATGAGTTCTCTCGATGAGAAGTTGAGCTAGAGGTGTCATTAAGGATATTCAGAAAATTTTGATTGTTTTTGTGCGACCAGCGGTGTATGCAGAAATACTCCGGGGTATAAGATGCTAAATTGTGGCTTCTTAGTCATTAGTCCTTCTTTTAGTCTGCCTATTGGTAATTACCTCTATATACATTTGTCTCGTTATTCAAGTAGGGGTTGGTTACATGATTTCTGCCTGGTACTGTCCTTACCTAAGACTTTTTGCAACGCTTGTAATTGTATTGTTAGCATCTTTACTATTCAGTGCCCGTGCAAAAACATGGTAAAGCCGCAGACTGTGCATGATAGCATAGTTTTGAAACATTCATAAGTAGACAAAAGAACCATTGTAATACGTAGCTATTACCAAATCCGCTATCAATCCCCGCTTGTGACTCGTAGAATTCTGAAAAGAATAGAGGAATGCGAATCATGGCTTTATTCATATTCGCATGATTTCATTCATATCATTCATGTTTCCCTTTAGGGTTAAGCGTATCGGGTTCGATGTAATATATGTTACAACATACTACTAATGTTCGTATTTACTCTTCTGGAGTTGATTATCTCATGGAGATCATACAGGGGCAATGCAATATGAAGATATGAATATTGTATTGCGGACGGAGGAGAAAAGGAGAGAGAGAGAAAGAGCGAGAGATATCTATCTACTCCATGGGAGACTATCCTAATGTGGGATGTCACCTGACATCCCCAACATTATCTCACGTTGCCAACCTAGTTGCTCATGCCATGAGATACACCGTATATAAATATCATAGGCTTTTCCCTTCTGAGGGATTCAACCTCAGTGTGCACTCGCGCGTCGATAATGACAGGCCATATCCTAGCACTTATTGCGAGTGTCATCCTTATGTTGGCGCCTAATGATTTTATGATGACACAAATAGCATCAACCTTGTTTCGAATATTGTGTTTGCATAGACCCTTCGATAATACTTTCATTTAAGGGATTCCGAGAATCCATTTTTACGTATCTCTCGAGATGTTCCTCGTCGCAACTAGATGTTCTTCCATGGTGCACTAATATGGCTGTTTACAGCGACTAATCCAATCCATGAATTCCTGACGGAAGCTTTTAAAGAGGCAGCAGACCCTGGGAGCTAATGTTGATTCCATGAGCTGCTTTATTACAAGAGATCGGAGACAGTCTCCGTGGCCGTCGGTCTCAAGGATAGAGATAGTGCTTTTACTTGAAACATTCTTACCGAGAAAACGCCTATAGGGATTGCCACTGAGGCAACAAAGCTTTAAAAAGGCACCTGACACGGCTCACTATCAGCTGAGCCATTCTTTGCTAAGGTAGCATTTGTGTGAAGAGTGCATAGCACATATGAATTCACGGCGACCAGAGATTGACCTGCTTCATCATTATGCTGCTGTTCTTTACTTTGTTTGACTGTTGCCATGAACGAGACCTGCCTTACCTTCCTGCATTCGGAAAAATCTATTCCTGTTGACACAATGCCTCTGAATACTTCCGTGGCAATGATTCGGATGCGTCTTGCCATCCTTTTCCTTTCCATCACCTGGCTGGTCCTTGCCAGTCTCAGTTCAGCCACTGTACGCTTTGCGGTCGTCCTGCGAGACTGCGCAAGATCTGACCTCGTCACCTCGAGCGACTCTATTTTGGACATCGCATTCCAAAACCTCATGTATAACGTCGTTGAGGCCATGGTGATTGTGGCCCTGATCTCAGCCCTGATATTCATTCTTCGGGTTTGCCCTTGTGATCTACCCGAATTCGTTACAAGAGAAATGTACCGCTAGATTTTGCTACAATTGCATTCAAATTGTCGTGAGCTTGAGCGTTCTCTCCTTAGGAGGTTACGTTCCCAGCCAAGTCCACGGCTTTCAACCATCCTTCAATTTTTTTGATAGTGATGGCCATTTTCCATACTACAAGATTATGCATTACGGAGCCGTTGGCCAGGCCGCTTTCGGAGATCTACTGGTCATCAGGTCTCTCGTGCGTTTTGCTGAACGTGGCTTATCCGGTCACTAGCAGACTGCGCGCACCGAGCTACAAAACAGTCCAAGAGGCGGTTTTGATTGCCTCCTAGAGTAGGACTGTGAAGAACGACTCAGCGGGGATTACGAATAAAAACAATTGCATCTAATGATTATTTCGAAGAATGAGTGCGGGAGCTGGAATTAAAGAACATTAGAGAGAGAGATGCAACGGATAGGGTCATGCAAAGGAATGGACTTTACTACAGTGTAGAATTACTAAGTGACTTCAATCACCGACTGAAGCGAGGACTAACAACTTAAGGAATAGTCTGTCGCATCACCATATTTAATTGAGCTAACAAATCGTATTTCGAGCGCTTCTCATCAGATGCTTCTACACCTGGTTGGTCTGACCTTGAGCGTATTGCCTGATTATAGCTGAACCGAGGGAAATTCGGTGTTTACATTCGACCAGCTCTATCGAAATAGAGGCTATGTGCGAATTTCATTGAGTAACCACTAGGGGACAAGAAATGGCGCTGAAGTAAACTAACGAAACTGATATCTCTATTACGTGGGTAAGATAGTAAGAAAGGGCTTCCGCAAGGATCGTGAGACAATGATCAACTCTCACCTTCACCGCACGGCCATATACCACAACGCTCATCAACGCTCATCAACACATCCGCGACTCAACACTTTGTTCGCTCTACGCCCTGGTGGCAGATAAATTCTATTGCGGCGGAAGTACTAGCAGACTGCAAAGTATTAGGGCAGCAGGGTTAGGAGCACGGCGCTCGATAACGAAGGTTGAGTCTTGAACTCACTACTCTGGTGATTGGTTTGCATCTATCTAGGGCTCAATCTATTCCACCCACAATGATACTTTGGAATACGAAATGCATAATCAAGATGTTGCACAGATCTTTGCTTCTTCGGGTACTCTTAAATACTCGAAAACTGGTCCCTAGCACCGCGAAGAGTTGCCTGCACATCGCTAGATGCCTTATTAACACAGCAATCACCTACGAAGCCCATTTATTGACGCAGAGCTCGTTCTGCGAAGGAAATTTTTACATCGCTGGGCTCAGAGCAGCGACAGCCGTGGCCACGTAGACACCAAAGCCCGCAGGCAAGAGAGGACACCATAACATATCGGAGTGTGAGGATCGAAGTCCTGAATGTTTTGAGCTAGGAATCCGGCTCCTTCTATATTTTTTCGGCTACGTTTCTACCAAGGAACCAGTTTTGCAAATGATAGCGAGAAATACTATTTCGTTAGTAGGCGTTAAAGCGATCGGAACGAAGTTGAACTAATGTTTGGGGACTTTATGGCCTACAAAGTCAAGTCTCCACCTAGACTCATTCCTCTCAAAATCATACGTTAAGCGTGGTGAACCATTTTCATCACCTGTTAAGGAGAAAGTAACGCCGTAAAAATATGATTCTTACGTATCATTAGATTTATAATTAAATCGCTTAATGCGGTGGCAAATAACTCTACCCGTTTTAACCATAGTCACAGCCACGGTCACCGTTTCTTTCATAAGGGTTGAAGTGCTTTGATAGATGCCGTAATAATAGGTTAGAGACTTTATGGCACACAGTCATATTCGATTATACCCGTGGTTAGCTATAAGACGTGCCTCCTATTGATCTCTCTATAATCCTCTTTGCCTAGCTTTACGCTAACGGTAGTTTTCTGTGTTGCTCGTAACCAACTGATGTTGCCTCCACTAATACTTCTACTACCTATCGATACAGACTCTATAAACATACTCCCAAATCTAAGGTATTAGTTGTTTTCCTTTAACAGAGAATCAAAAGTCTAGACCTTATTAGAAAGCCTAGAATAGAAACCCGAGTCCAGTTTCCAGGACAATGAAGTGAGTTATTTCAGCTACCACGGCTCACGAGCTAGGTTCTCGTGATCGCCACCCACCGCGCGAGATTGCAACGCTACTGTCACATTAATAAGACCCTAGACACGAATAGCACCCAACGGACCAATCAAACACTAGGCGTGAATTTAGACATACACAGGCACGGTTCCGCGATGCAGATCCCGGCGACGACCCACAGGACAGTAGATCAAGGAGATTCTATTTGTGGCCCGAAGAAAATCGAAGGATTTGCAAGGGTTCAGACACGATTCACAAACCTAGTCTTGACGGGCCGTCAGAGTACGGAGGGAACAGGTCTTTGTTGCTTGGGATGTCGGTTGGGGCACATGGGGTATTTGAAATATCACACAGACTTTTGGCAATAGAGATCCGATCTGTGGTCGTGGCCGACATTTCGCGGAAGGGGTAAGACTTCTCTCCGCTCCCTTCTCTTGATAAATTCGGTGTCTTATTCCAGTTTTCGGGGACTTCAGACAGTTCTTAGCGTAAATCCTTGGGTCATTCACCAGAACCCCGACATGTTTGGTGAGAATTGCGACAGCTTCAACCCAGACCGCTGGCTCCAGAAAAAGCGGGACGAATGGATGCCTTCTTGATCCATGTTTGTATATGCCCCCTCCGACTGCTATCTTGCAAAGTTTATTAATGACCATTTCACTGTTATAGTAGGGGGCAGGATACAACGCATGTCCCAGGCGCAATTTCGCGCAATTTGAAATATGCAAGTTTGCTGCCACTTTGTTCCGGGACTATGATAGTGAGCAAGTGGATCCCAAGGAAGAGTGGACATAGCACAATCATTTTATCTGCGTGCCGTACCAATGGCCATGCAGAATCCGATAACGTCCGAGGATAAAATATAGGAACAAACCTTCGCCATTAATACGTCTCTGATTTGCCTTTTTACTTGGGAAATAACTCGACATAATGATCGGCTCCTTTTGTGTCTCTCTTGGTACATATGCGAGCACATTGCCCCTGGTACGGACAATGAGAGGAATATATTATCGGCAATAAATCATCTGTATATTATATTGTTCATCTTTTCTATAGTGCTTAGTCTTAAATTCTTCTACTCCAGGGATTTCGACTTAATGAACGCAGTGAATCACACGATCAGAGGGGGTGAGCAGAGAGTGAGCAGAGAGTGAGCAGAAGTTGAGCCGAGAAAGAGCTGAGAAAGCGGGGCCAAAACCCTAACCACGACCAAGAATGACCTTCGCAGCACGATAGTGATCCGGCTGTATGGGTTGAATTTTACTTCCTTTCGTCCCCTCTTTCGCTCCTGTATTACCGTCAAGCCGCGTCGTGAATCCAAAACTGGCTCATGTTCAGGGCGTGCGTCGCGTGGTAGAATCAGCCTGAAGATGCAGACGGCTCATATCCATTTCATCGCGTCAATTTCCACCGTTGAAACACGTCATGGAGAACCTGTGCGGCTAAGAAGAGACTAGAACAGTCGTGGTTATCATCGTTAGCTGCAACGTCCAAAAACCCAACCCTGTCTCCGAGACCTACTCCGTTGTCGTTTCCATTAAGATCTGCAACTAAAAGGGACTAGGTACTTTCGCATCCTTTGCCACGCCTACTATGTTCTCAAAGCCCCGAATTACTGAATATCCTGCATGGAACACGTGCCTTCTCGGAGAGACTCCCCAGTTAGGACCCTAAACCATCCATCGGACTCCCGACGGGCAAAGAGTCGCAATTAATCTAAAAGTTAGTCGCCGAGATTCACACTCACACCTTCTCCATTAGACTTCCATGTACGCATACTTAGTGTCTCAACGGCTAGATAAACCCTACACCCCGCAATCCCCCGGGATTACCCCATATGTGGATCACCTGGGACTGGGTTTGCTATAGGCAATCGATATACCTGCACATCTTGCGCTGGTGATGAGAGCGTTACAATCGTTGATGGCTGAGTATCTTGGCATTGTGTCGGGTTGGTTAGTCGAAGAACGATCGTTGCCTAAAGCGATGGTTTGCTCCGTTTGATCTACTCATTCTCCGTCAAGGTCCGGCATGTCTCATCACCAGGGCCTGAAGATGGAGATGGAGTTGAGCCCGGAAGACCGGCGGCGATGGGCCTCTTCTCCATCTCTCAGTATGTTATAAAATGGCCCCTTCTCGTCCCAAGTTGAGGATTCTCACTAGAATCTTGCTGGGTTTCATCATCATCCTCTTTATCTTTATATCATTTCTACACAAAATCATGGGTTTCCTAAACGTCATCACAACATCCCTTGCGACTCTGGCAGTCGTCAATGCCGGTAAGCTCCTTACCGCCAGTGATGCCAACGCGGTCGTTCCTAGCTCCTACATTGTTGTCATGAATGATGGCGTTAGCAACGCGGAGTTTAAAAATCATCGTGAGTGGGCTGCAACTGTTCATGCTCGTATCACGAGCCGCAAGAGTGGCGAGTCTGGACCAGGGAAGCATTTCGACATCAATGGCATGAGAGGATACAGCGCTAGCTTCGATGATCGTACCGTCAAAGAAATTGCCGGTGACCCGGCGGTATGGCGTTTCATTATCCACGTTGATTCCTCAAGAGAGTGTTGTAATCTGACCCGCAGTTGAAATATAGGTCAAGTACGTTGAACCAGACATGGTTGTGAACGCGACCGAGAATGTGGTTCAGCCTAATGCTCCTTCATGGGGCCTCCCTCGCATCTCTAGCAAGAAGCCCGGTGCTACCGACTATGTGTATGACTCTACTGCTGGTGAGGGCATCGTAGTCTATGGTGTCGACACCGGCATTGATATTGAACATCCTGACTTTGAGGGCCGCGCTGAGTGGGGCACCAACACTGCTGATAATGATAACACTGACGGCAATGGCCATGGCACTCACACTGCGTCTACTGCGGTGGGCAGCAAGTTTGGTGTTGCAAAGAAGGCCTCTG